CTGGATTTGTGAGGAATTGTGCAAGCGCAGAGGTTGCTTTTGCTGCATCTGGTCTGGTGATTGTGGTAGCATATTGCGTTGATCCAACTTTCTGCTGATACTCATGGATCTGCTGTCGAGTTGCTTCTCCTTCATATGGCTTCAGTGCCAGTGCTGAGGGCAGTGGGGTGTCAACTTTGCGGCCATTTGTGAGATGGTACCGGCTTGCCATAGAAGAGATATAAGAGTCCTGACAGAGCCAGAGTGCTTTCTCCTGCCGATCTCGAACAACTCGGATTCCAAGAAACCACGCTGCTTCTCCCATGTCACGTAGTTCCCACTGCTCATTAAGCTTCTGGCGCAGTTCCGTTGCGCGTGTGCGCTGGGCTGGATGGTTGACGATGATGATATCATCCACATAGAAGAAAACAATGATGCCGTTTGTGGAGAAGAGACAGAGGTCTTCCTGTACAACTTGTAAGCCAAAAGAAGTCAGGACCTTAGAAGCTTCTTGTTGCCATAGCCTTGGAGACTTTCGTAAGCCATAGAGAGCTCGCTTGAGTTTCCAGCACTGCCTCTGTTCCTTGAAACCCTCTGGCATCTCAGTGATGATCTCCTCATCAATCCAACTATTAAGGAATGCATTGACAGCATCATACTGGTAAGTGTCAAGGTCAAAAGCAGCCACTAATGAGAAGACTGCTCGTGCAGTGCGTGCAGCGAGGGTTGCCGAGTATTTCTCCTCTGTGGTAAGTTTCTGGAGATCTCCTCGCACGCAGATTCTGGCCTTGAGCTTGCTGAGATAGCCATTGCTATCAACCTTATAGTTGAACACCCAACGGAGTGGTAGAATCTGTATGCTGTGGTCATTTGGTCGTTGTATGACCTCATATGTGCCTTTCCTCTTGATTGTCTGAATTTCAAGAGCACAAGCTGCCAGGAACCCCTCTCGGTAAGGATGGTTCATCATCTCCTTCCAGTTTCCTGGCTCTGGAGGTAACTCATCCTGATGCACTTGCGCGTGTGTGCGGGAGCTGTTTAATCCAGTAGCGAAGGCTGCGAGTACGCTATCCTCTTCCTTCTCAGAGATAGCTTGAAAGCTGACAAAGTTGTCATCCTCTCTTGTTCGTCGTTTTCTCGTTCCTCTCACAATGATTCGTTCTGAAATGTCACCATCGATATCTCTAGGTGCTCTGGGAGTCTCCTGTGCGGGTGATGCAGCTGTGAGCTCATTTTGAAGCTGCTCAGCATGGTCATATGACTCCCGTGGCGGTGAGCTAGGGAATGTTCCTGGTGGAAGCGAAGGTGCCCGTTGCTGTGATGCTGATGGCGTTGGTGAAGGTGTAGCCATCTGTCGTCCCTCCTTCTGCTGCGAATTTGTTGCTTTTCCTGCTGAATGTCTTGCTGCTTGTTCATGCATGTTCTCAGCAGCGCTTTCTCTGCTTCCTGCTTCATTTGAGGAAAGAGGGACTATCTGGTGTTGTATCTCCTCTTCCTCATCCTGTTCAGTGATCCAAGGCATTGATTCAATTATATCGCTGACTGGTGGTTTGTCTAGTTCTCGTGGGTTGAAGAACTGGTTCTCATCAAAGACAACATCTCGCACTGCCCGTACAGCTCCTCTCTGTGGAAACCATACTCTCCAGATATTTGAGGCTTCATAGCCAACGAGATAACCGATCTCTGCACGAGGCTCCATCTTCGCTGCATTCGGGATGCCCTGCTTGCGTACATACGCTCTGCATCCATAGATTCTGAGGTTGGCAAGGTTGACTCGTGGTGGTTGGTCTTGCTGGACATGAAGTGCTTCCTGGTATGGGACAATCCACTTTCCATCTCTCATCCTCGTGGGCGATCTGTTAACTATCCAAACAGCTGCTTTGACTGCTTCTGGCCACAGATCTTTCGGAAGACCTGCATCCTGCAGTAGTGCGCGTGCTATAGTGACTATCACCCCCCCAGATCGCTCCGCGAAGCCATTTTGCTCTGGCGTTCCAACGACGCTATGCTCAACAACAAAGCCTTCCTCTGCTAGGAATTGCTCTACCGTACGACCTGCTGAACGCTCATTATCATAGCGAAAGGCTCGGATTGGTAGGTTCCACTGGGTCCTCACATATGCACAGAAGAGTGTCACAGCTTGCTGACAACCACTTTTCTTCTCGTGAGTGAATGCTGCATGGAATCGAATTCCATCCACATAGAAATGGGATAACCAGCGATCACCATTATAGGCAGGGTCAATTTGAACAAGGTCAAAGTGTATTCTCCCAAATTTCCCGTATGTGGCTCCCTGTGGTCTTCTTGATATCTGACGTTTCGCAGAGGTGATCTGACAGACCTCACATCGTTCAGGGTTACCATGAGAGTTGTCTTCACTCTTTCCATCAATTTTGACTCCATCCACCATCGCTGGCAACAGTTCAATCTTCTGGCTATATGCGTGGCCTAGCCGACGATGCCAGCGCCTGGCTGATGCTGCTGAAATGAGTGGCTTTTCTGACTGCTTGGTGGCAAAGGCTGCATCAGAAGAGCAGTATTCCATGAAGTATAATCCCTTTTCCTTTCGCACATGTAACACTGGACTGTCGCTGTGGTTGACAATGGCTTTCTTGCTAGGATTCCACCAATATCCTTTATCCGCAATCTTTGAATAGGATATCAGATTGGTATGGAAGCCCGGGGAATAATGAACATTGGTGAGCTCTACCACTTGAGGCTCGCCAGTTTGAGGGTCCTGGCCTACCATGTCCACAGTGCCATACCCTGTAGTAGCAGTCATAGTATCACCTGTTTTAACAGAGCTTTCCCCTTTGATGAACACTTTGAAACGCCCACGATCATTACAGATATGCAGGGTAGTGCCTGAATCAAGAATCCAGCGATTTCTGAGCGGTTCGGCCACCTGATGCTGACCAGTTGATGCTGCAGCTGCAATGAAGAAGCTAAGCTTCTCTTCTGATACTGCTAATTGAGCCTGCGCTGGTGGTGCTTCCTTCTTTTTCTCCATCAGCTGCTTGATCTTCTGTTGATCCTGAGGACTCATTTGCTTGATAGCATCAGTTAAGCGCTTCGCAATTCCTTCTCTTGGCTTCCAGTCGTCACTTCGCAGGGTCTCATCAATATACCAGCACTCTGAGTAGTGGTGTCGAGGGTATCCGCATGGGCACTTCGTTCGATAAGTCTTCTCTGTTTTCCCAGTTGGCTTTGCCTCTTTCTGACCATCCAGGGTTGCGAAGGCCATCTTCGGTTGCTTCTTTCCAGAAGTGAGTGCTAGATCTCCACGGCGGCTACGATAATCGGCAATAACCTCATGAAACGTAGCAGTCGTGTTCATACGAAGCTCACGTCGCCATCCCGAGCAGAAGGTGTCATCTAGCCCCTGCACAGCATCTAGGAAGTCACGAATAGCATCATCTTTCTCAATACAGTCAGGAACCTTGGCAGCTTTTGCCTCCTCATATAAGCTTTCCCACTGTGTGAGCCACTGATCAATGCTAACATCTCTCGCAGGTTGCCTGATCATCAATCTCCACGCACGTCGGAGCTCCTGTCGTCGATTCTCAGGCTTTGGCTTGAATGTCTCTGCCAGTTTCAATAGCTTCTTCCTTGGAGTTTCCTCATCGACAATAAGATAGTGAAACTCAGTGGCTACTGAACGGGTAATAAGGCTATTCATGCGCGCCATAGCCTTAACAAGCCGCTGTCGCTTTGTTTCCTGCCGCTCATACAGCTGTATCTGCAACTGCCATCTCCTTAACTCATCATCAGTGAGGTCCATGATATCCTTCTCTCTACCGCGATGGTCCACAGGCATCATAGGTTCCCGATGTGCGATTGGAAGCTGTTCAACTTCTTCGTCCGACTTCTCGAGGTCGAGATAATTCCACACATCTTCAGATATGGCTGCTGACCTGATATGTCCTATCCAGATCCTCCACTGCGATTCCGCCCGTAGTTTCTGATCGGGTGGGATCGTTGCCATCTCCTCTCTTTGTGAATCGGCCATCCTGTCTTCTCTCGCGATGATACTGATACTGTGTTGATACTAGGTTCAAGGGTACGGGATTGCTGCGTTGAGCGCGGGGCGAGGTTCCAATTTCTCGCGTGATGCGTGCGTTCAGGGGTATCCCGATCGTGCGAATCGCTGCTGCAGTGCTGCCAGGGGTGGTACGCTCGCAGTTACACGTGTGCGGCGCGGCTAACCGGGCTCATAACTGTCAGGATGTCGGATACGTGTATCATCTAGTATCGAGGGACGGCCAATTGATGCATGAGATGGATTAACGAGAGTGTGTCTGTGTGTGTTCCGATCTGTTGAAAATGATCCAGGGGCTATAAACTGCGTATTACATCACAGTTCTTCCGAGAATGACCCGAATTACCATACAATTACTATTGCAATGTGGGTGGATGCTGAATAACCAAGAGCAGTGGAGAATCCACAGTATTTTACCTCTCTCAGAGTTGACAAATAATTGTAATGAGATGTAGGTCAAACCCAAATATGGTAACTTTCACTCGACTTGTAGACAAGCTTGTTGCGTAATCATGGTTCTTGATGCGACGGTGTGATGGGACCACGGATAGCTTTCCGTTGCCACTTATCCTGGACACAAGTGTGCATGTTGTATTTTCTTCCTTCCTTTATCGTATACCTGAGAACTCGCCTCGTTTGTTTCTCGTGATGATTAGTGGTTGGAAGTTAAAATGATCTTGGAATTACTATACCCGCCAAAAGAACAACACAGTAACCTCCAGCCTTAGTCAAACCGCCTAGTGTTTCCTATCATCTCCTTTGCTTGGTTTCGGAATTCCATGCTGGGTATTTTGTAGCATGTAGCCTTCTGCTACCAAAGTTGCAACATCACCACGCCTGCAGGCAGAATGGTTGGCCTACTCACCCGTGGGAAATCCGGAGGACTGTAAGTACATATTAGAAAATGAGCATCTATATATACTTTGTGGATAACTATAGGGACTCCTGCATATACAGTAAGCCTCGAACAGGCATAGCTTTGTTACTGAACTGGTGAACAGATCGCTAAAGATAGTGTGCTGCCTGTATTAGACCTCCCATCAAATCCTGCGTCCTCGAGCGTGATATCGGCAGTCTCTCTCTCAACGAATCCCCTAGATGGCCTCCAGTCTGTTTTGGATGTAACATTGGAAGCCCACTGGGACTTTAATATTGGGAGCGCAGTGGATGTGTAAATAATGGCGTTCCAAAACCCCTGCAGAGAGAGGACAAACGCTCCAGCCAAATTCAAGCCGAAATTTGGTTTTCCAGAATTGACCAGACCGTAAATTCGATTGATAAATGATGGTGTCTGGGAGCCTCGTCAGTAATGGATTGTGAGTGCCTTATACGTTGGGTAAATGTTTTATGAAAAGATCCATACCCAGGTAACTATCATGGCTATGAAGAAGAGGAAGGAGTATCTAAAGTAACTCCACATCGCGTCGTTCGTGTTGATCTGCATGCTAAACCCGCTTCCAATTTGGGATTGCTGGGACTCTATGCAGGTTGAATATGGCGTAGCTGGCTCAAAGGCCAAGGCTTTCGCCGCGGTAGTCGTGATGTTGGAAGTGACCGATCGAGTAATTACTCTGCTGACAGGCTGAGTCTCTTTAGCCACTCGTAAAGCCTTGAATTGTCGATAAATGCGGAGGCCGGCTGTGGCATAGATCGCAAAAGTTGCGATACTCACCACCCTATGAAATGAAATTAGATCCGCTGCCGCGAAATAGTATTGTTGTCCCCTACCACACTGGGCCATAGAAGCACGCTAGGCGAAGAAATTGCCACGGTTCTGCAATTGAGCACCATATCTAACGGAGAGTCAGTTTTATTATGTTATGGCAAGGCGTGCCGGAAGTACTCACCAAGGCTGGCCCATAGACTCTTCCCCTTTCAGTAGATTTTACGAGGCTCAGAACCGTTGCGACAACCAGTGGCAACCCGTAGCATAGAAGAAAGTACCACTTTTCAAGCTTTTTGAGGTTTTCTGCTGAGTATTTCCGGTAAAAAGCAAGATATATATTAGCAGCCATACAAAAGGACCATAATGAGTCCGTTGGCATCCAACTACAGTCACAAAATTTAGAGTCTGCAAACGTGGCATAGAGGGTTAGGAACATACTATTGGATGAAGAATGCTTGTGCTTGACATAAGGCAGAATTCCGGCCCTCTGTAACTCCATCCCCGCTCATCAGTGACGCAACGGCGGAGAAAGCATTTCCAAACGACGCATAAAAGATTAGCCTGTTGACCGGCTTACGAAAAGCGGTAGAAGCACAATAGGTCGTTACAATAAACGCACAGCCCAGCAGAGAAGAGCTACCTCCCACTCTTTCTGCTATTGAGATAGCTCGGAGTTGCTCGTCGGTCAAAGCCATGGGGTTGATCTAACTCTTGAAACTGCCTGCAAGGTAAATCAGCAGCCTTATATGTCGGTCGGTTTGTAACAAAGAAAGTCTACACCAGCACCACCGGTTTGAGAAAAGCACGTGGTGGCGATAAGGTAGGTAAAGCTCCCGAGAATAATTATTCGCCAAACCAGGCGCTTGCACTTAATGTACCACGAACCAAAACGCATGACTAAGCCGAAACCTGGGGTGGACAGAGACAGGGTGAAAGCTTATTGTTAGATTCGCCTACCGATTACAAGTCAAAGGTAGAAGTTGGGTACCTGCCATAAAGCCCGTGCTACCTAGAAGAGGCTTGAGGCGTAAAATCTAATAAATTCAAGCTCGTGGCAGTTCCCCCAACCACCGTTCATTCCTAATGTGTTAGTGGAGTTGCAGAGGAATGTCTAGAATTCTAGAATCAGACTTTTCACCAATCACCATAGACAGTATGGGAACGCCACAAACTTTAAATTATTGTAAATAAGCGATAGGTTCAAGGTATTTACGGCAACCGAAAAAAATATCTCTGACATAACCATACATACAAGTGTTTCTTCACTGGTTAAGCCGGGTCAAAGCAGCTTAAATTTGAAGATATTAGAACCTTATCTTGTTTGACTAGCTCCGTTGGCCAATCTGCAACTACCCAATATGTTGTCTATTAACGCGAAGCTCAAGAGACGAAACGACGGATATTTGCTTCGACCAGCATGCTTTTAGAATACCATAGATGGGACCAAAACTTCATTTGGGCCTGGTATCGACGACGTGCGTTTGGTTTCGGTAATAAGAAACAGAAACATTTCTCCACTTTTATTTTCACCCTGGTGAAATACTTTCCGTGGCTAGAGAACATTAAGCAAATTTAAGGAAGTAAAATTTAACTTTTAGCTGTTTTTACGATACGTTAATTATGGGAAGCTCTATGCCTAGGTGTCTGTGGGACCTGAGTGGTCTAATCGAGGGTCTGGTAGCGGGTCGCCATAGATGGTAAGTGCGTAGTTTAGGAAGGGTAATTTGAGAGGGAAGGAAAATTTAAGTGGGAAATGGTTGAAATAGGGAGGTATTAGACTATCCTAGATTAAGAGGGCAGTTGCAAAATGTATTAAGCCATAAATTAGGGGGTGGAAGTTCCACACTAACATTATCAATGCGGTAGACCTGTGTAAATTTCGTGCGAAATTGAGGATCTCGGGACTTGGGATGGGGATAGAGAGTGAGCTAAATGGGCTAGAGTGGGCTAGAGTGTGGGCTAGAGTGAGCTAGACTCTAACTGCAATTCCAGGGGAACGACGAGATTGCTTAGTTACTGCAAAGGATGCAGAAGTAGTTTCTGGGCTGACGGCGACAGCAGCCAATCCAAACCGACGGCAGAAAATTGACTCGGTCGGTGTGAATACCGGACGGCCTCAGAGCAAGCCGCGCCTATAATTTGCTGCAGCAGGCAAAACTCTCGGGAGGTGCTTCGGGTGGAGCAGGGGGTCAACCAGTGTTGACGATGCTGAGGTGTCGATATTTCCCGGACAGATGTCGCCCCCACCAATTTCGTAGTGCAGCCATCCTTTGTGGCCATTCCAAAGGAAGCCGACTCGGGCGAATAGGTGGTGATATCCTGTATCTCCGCAGGGTTGCGGGCTCGTGTACCGCAGCTGTTGGCTAAGGGTTGGGATAGTAGAAGGGATTCCCGATGTAGCGGCTATTTAGAGGTATGATGGCCCCCTACTCTTTTTCTTCCTTCATCCTGTGCCTCCCGCCAGCTCCCTCGCACTTTTTTCGCTGTGGCACGCTCTCCCCGGCGCTCTCCCCGAATTCATGTGCTCATTCATGACCGACACCACTCAAAATGGGGCCCAACCTAAGCCGGCGACGCCGCAAATCGCAGCGTCGCCGGATGCCCAAAAGCGAATGAGCATCGGGCGCTACTTTCTCACGCGTATACCAACTCTGATGCCGCCCATGAACCCGGCGCCGAACCCCTTATAAGGCTCTCACGCTTCTCAATCGTCAGCAATGGCTGTTCTTTTCTGTATGGTAGTCGCAAGTTCTTTGGATGGCACGGAGCTATGCTGACTTCATTGTAGGTTGCATTTACCGGTTGGACGTGGGATGCCTTCGACTTCTTCACGGTCTCCCTAACTACCACCCAGCTAGCCAAAACTTTCGACAAGTCCGTAACTGATATTACCTGGGGTATCACGTTAGTGCTGATGCATGTGGAACAGAACCGAATGGTTTCCCAGCATAATTGCCAGCGGACGGTATTTAGGCCTCTTGCCTGAGACGACGAAGGGAGCCGATACCATCCATTGGGTTCCTGTGGATATCTTTGCGCAAACCGTCATGGAGTTGACCAACAACGCCCAGAACACGTCTCCCTCTCCCAACAGTCTACAACGTCGTGAACCCACGGTCCAACCAATGGAGTCTCCTTCTCTCCGCTATCATCGCTTATTTTGACAGGAAACAAGTTTCTGTTCAAACTGTGCCTTTTGACTCTTGGATCAATGCGTTAGAGCAATCCACAACCAATGGAACGCACAGCAGCGCTAGTCAGAAACCGGCAAGCTACTTCTTGGAACTTTCTTTGGGACCCCTGAAACCACCTCTAGGGCTCGATCGTCCTCCTCGCCCAGCGACCCGGCTACCCCAAAGGAATTTCCTCCATGGTCACCATGGCCAAAATATTACCCCACATAATAATCAAGACCGGACCGCTAATCTGCATCACGTGACCGCGACTCCTGCGTCGTGCGGTCCCTAGGGTTTGGCAGGGCATCAGTTATGCTGTTACGACCTCTACTGTATCCGGCCAATTGGAGATATCAATGACTCTGCATTTCATTACCCCTATTTCCTGCTATGTATGGGGCCATTTCTAATTACATCATTGGCCTCCGGATATACTGTATACACGAAGCCATTCTGATCATCTATAGACCCGGTTTCATGCAGTATTCGTAAGGTAATTGCGACATAATATTATCCTCCTTTACCTTCTCGGTTTGGTATTCACGTGTGAATCCACGTGATGCGTCACGTGCAATACTCTCGTTGCACACTGTACAATGCGATTGTTGTTACTTCCGTAGTGAAATTTGGAATAATTAGAAAGATTGACCGTCCAGTGGTTAAATTGAAAAAATGGTTTCTAGAAGTAGTCAAAGGGGACAGGTTGCTATCCGACGGTAGAATGTTTGTCGACACAGTAGGCGGGCATAGCACTGGGCATAACAGCGGACATTGCTATCCGACAATAGTACAAGTGTATAGTAAAATTTAAAACAGGAGTGTGTCAGCGACGTAAGACCCGTATGATAGTCTATAATAGGATAAACTAGCGAGATTTATGTAGAACCAGGTACTTGTTGGATACCCAGGTCGTACAATATGCCGCAGCCTACTCCTAGGCTTGCGTAGGACACCATTGAGCATTCAGTGCGGAGTACGCCAGGTACATTAGCAGCAACCGGGTTAGCTGCGTATAACTCAGAACATGCGACGCCCTAGCTCAGGAAAGTAACAGTATTGACTGCTTTGACTAAAACATCTAGAGATCAAGGTACTAAAAGCGGACCCCACCACCATTTTGATTTGTGGAAGCAAATTGACTTTTGAATTCGGCCGTTTCGTCCAATGCCTGCTGGTCCCACTCTAGGTCACCTGCCTTTGGATAGTGAGACTCTTCGATTCACCGGCCCACGGCTGGTCCTTACAGGCTTTAGCCCCACTGAGGCTTAGAGAAAGCTTGGAGAAAGCTTGTTAACCGAAGACATTACCGAAAATGTATATTACGATTTGTCATTTTAGTGAGAGAAATTACATAGTTAACCCTAAGGGGTACCATATATTGCCGTATTGTATATTTCTGCCAATATCACTATTTACTAGTCGTGACTTAATCATAGTTTCCCACCTCCCCCGGGGACCCCCGTTCGCTTCGAGATGTAGTGGTCGGATTTTAGGTTCAAACGACCAGAAAAAGAAATCGTCGCTGTGGGCCTAAGTTTGCGGGGTAGGACAGCTGGTTGGCGTAGTCAAAACACAAACTAAACTCACCTTTGCCACGTGAGACCTACCGAGTTATAGTATATCTGGTTGCTTTGAATTGTCCGCCACTTTTACATAAACTTTAAGCTAAGTAAGGCTGCTAGAATAATGCGCCTTATAAGATGATAAGCATAGAGAAATATAGACCGACGAATTAGAATGCCTAATTCAAGTGCCAAAAGAACTACACGCATTCTCCCCCTTACGAGATTTCGGATAAAGCATACCTCGAACTCCGTAAAGATGCGACAAATGGCGTTCCGAATATGTACGTAGCCAGCGATATTTTCATACTTTCTTGAAGATGCCGTGACTTCCAGCTAATAAAATTTTCACTAAACTAGCGACCACCCTAACGGCTGACGTTCTATTCGTGCCAAGTCAGCTTCCTTCGGGGACGGCCACGAATGATGACCGCGTCCTAGGGTTCGGGCGCCCGATCTTTGCACGTAGTGGGGAACTAGTGGCGACCCGAGACTGGGAATATTAACGTCTTAGCATTCTCGACAGTAGTTAGCGTCTGCCTGATCGAAGCACTACGCGAAAGAACGGTTGACTAGCCTAGAAAATTATGGCGGCTTGCTAAAGCACGTCGGATATCGGAGTTCCAACCCTTCCATGTTAATTTGCCTGCCGCCAGAGCAGATTGGCTCCCGTTACCGTCCAGCCCAGAATGTCTCTCATCACGACCCGGATCTCTGAGTTCCTGTTGGAACTTCTCGATCGGAAAATCTCCGCCCCGTCCTGTCTTAGCATGGGCGCATACACCCTACAATCCTACGCCCTCCCGCATTTATCCAGGCCAGACTTTCTCCGAAGTTGATATGCTAAGATTGTGGGGTATGGAACTATGCAGAATAAAACGCTCGGTGCCCCATTTGCCAAACCTACGACAAGATCCGATCCGAGAGCTTTTGTGATCTTGGCAGCGGTATAAAGCTTTGGATATCACACATATAAATCTCCATATCTTTCCATGTTTTGATTGTATCTCGAAGTGTACGCGCTGTCCTGCTCAACTGCCCTTCCCTGGCGATCTGTGTATCGGACGATTTCCAAGCTGTCCTGATTTATCCCTCTCCCGCCCCCGTCCCCGCTATGGCTGATACGCAAGATGGTGGGCATGGGATCGACGTGGTTCCAAACGAGCACATGGGCATCGCACGATATCTAGCCACCCGGCTATCTACCCTGAAACCTCCTATGAACAAGGTTTCGAACCCTTTCTCAGCCCTCGTGCTTCTTAACAAACAACAATGGCTTTTTGTCATCGTAGGTTGTCCCTGCTTACTCCATTCTTCAACTCGATAGGAGTAACGTGCTCACCTTTTTAGATCGCCTTCCTAGGCTGGACATGGGACGCCTTCGATTTTTTCACGCTTTCGTTGACGACAACAGACGTGGCTAAGACATTTCACAAAACAATTCCTCAAGTTTCTTGGGGTATTACCCTTGTTCTAATGTTGAGATCGGTCGGGGCAATCATTTTTGGTATTGCTGCTGACCGCTGGAACCGCAAATGGCCCTTCGTTATGAACATGCTACTCTTCATTGTCCTTGAGCTTGGAGCCGGTTTCTCTCAAACGTGGAAGCAGTTCTTAGCGACTCGCGCTCTCTACGGAATTGCTATGGGTGGTCTCTACGGCAATGTTGCTGCCACTGCACTTGAGGATTGTCCTATTGAGGCTCGCGGTATCGTTTCCGGATTGCTGCAGCAGGGCTATGCATTCGGTTATCTGCTTGCCACTGCCTTTGCGCGCGGTCTTGTCAACACTACCTCTCATGGATGGCGTCCGTTCTATTGGTTCGCTGCTTGCCCTCCCGTCTTCCTGATAATCTTCCGCCTCTGTCTTCCGGAAACTCAGTCATTTACCATGCGAAAAGCGCTGCGTGAAGGCAATGGCAACGTCACTGCCAACTTCTTGTCGGAAGGTAAAGTGGCGCTAAAGCGCCACTGGCTCCTTCTCATCTACCTCGTACTACTTATGGCCGGCATGAACTTCATGGTAAGTCTGTCTTAAACTGTTTTGGGGCGTAGATGCAAAATCACTGGCTGGTTATTTCCTCTGCTAATTATCCACTCTACAGTCCCATGGCTCCCAGGACCTCTACCCCACCATGCTCAAGGCGCAATTAGGCTTCTCCGCCAACGCCGTAACCGTGACCCAGGTAGTCGCCAATCTTGGTGCTTTGACCGGCGGCATACTTTGCGGCTGGTCTAGTCAGATCTTAGGCCGTCGCTTCACCCTCATTATCATCAGTATTGTCGGAGGAGTCCTGCTGTACCCTTATAGCTTCGTGAATACCGAAGCAGTTATTGCCGCAGCATTCTTCGAGCAGTTTTGCGTGCAGGGCGCTTGGGGTATCATACCGATTCACCTAATGGAGTTGTCTCCTGCGTCGATCCGAATCTTCGTCGTCGGCACCTCATACCAGCTGGGTAACCTTGTCTCCTCGGCGAGTTCGACCATCGAGTCAACCATTGGACAACGCTTCCCCTTGTCTCCGGTAAGTGACGGCAGTCAACGTTATGACTATGGTAAGGTCATATGCATCTTTATGGGCTGCGTCTATGCATATGTCATAATTGTCACATTCTTCGGACCTGAGAAGCTCGGTAGGCAATTCGACCTAGCGAACGACAACGAGGAGCTGGTTGAGACCGGTCAATTTGATCCCGAGAAAGGTGCCGCTATGCACAGGGAGCATTTGGAATGATCATATTTGCACGATACTGTGATGCTCGGTCTAATGGTGGCCAATTTGTCTTGTCTGTTCATGTCATGCCTATTCCATGGGGAGGCGGGAGTCTGCCTGATTAGCATATGGGTTTCTGAGTTCTGTATGGCAGAGAATCGGTGCGTCGGGGCTCACTCGCACTGACTTTTAGAGGTCGAAAATTTTTTTTTTTTTTTTTTTTGCCGTTGGTGTCGGATTCGCTTTAGATATGCAGAGGTTGTATCAACACGAGATGAATTTGCATCATTTTATCTTGGGTTTGTTTAAAGCAATACGGGTGGAGTTATCTGCGATTGAAAATAGGCAATTTTTCGTGAGGGTTTTAGGTGGAACTTACATTCGAAAGAAGCTTTTGAGATACAATAGACAGATTATTGTAAAAGCCACAGCCATCAAAAGTTAGGAAGACAATCAACACGAACAATAATTGATAGTTACAAATTCAGAAGATTGAGCCAATGGACGGCCAATCTTTAACATGGTGTTTCGCGGGTCGGGTAACCGCACACGAGACCGTGGAGTGAAGCTTTCCGTAGTCTAGGCGGACAGTCCCACAGCTCAAACAGCGGAGGCTTGGAAAATAATGACCATAATTCCTAGTGATGGAAGTGTAGGGGCTCTTCGGTGATTCAATGTTAGGGGTCATTAACAGATGATGTGGTCAAAACATGAAACCTGGCCATGTCATTGATGATTGAATTAGACCTCGCCACGACCCTGATATTGGGTCCCTCCTACCGACTCGCAACCCGGACCGACCCTCAGGGTCATAAAATCTCGTCAGGGTCACCCTGACTACGACCCTGACTACCCTGAATTGCATAATTCTTTTACGCCTTTCCTGACTAGGATGAATAAATTCGCGGACACATCATTATATATTACTGTTTCTTATACCTGTTCTGTATGTCTAACTATGATTCCATCAATTTTCATCCACCCCCTATGTAATTCTTTGAATTAAGTCTTTTGAATACGTCTTCTGGCTTGGTAATACTAAACTTGCCCTCTTTTCTATCTAAGAGGAATTGTTGTGGTGTGTTTTATAGAAAGTTGGTGAAATTGGTGTGTAAGGATGCGGAAATATATTTCGAATGTATGAGATAGTTGCACTACATTCCGCAAAACTTAAACACTATCCTAACTCCTGCGGTGATGGTCTTGAAAACCTAGTCAGTGACCTAGGAAGGACCGTGGCTATCGCAATGAAAGAGAAATCCTATGGGAATCCTATCCTATGCCATAATATTCGGGTGGGATTCAGGATAGGAAATTCCCTCCCACGGTCAGTCTGACTACCCTGAGGGTCACCCTGACTACCCTGAAGGTCACCCAATTAGCTTGAGGATTTGAATAAAAAGCGGGGTTTAGATGTGATCTATCAAGCAAACAATCAGATAATGCAGAATCAGCATGTACCTCTACCCCTAAGTCCTTTCGCCTAACACCAAAGAAAAATCTCAGTAAGTCCTTCCTTCTTATACACAGCTTCATCATGTCTCAGTCATCTGATATATTCCACTCCTCTATACATGATGCGCCACCTTCAGATTTCCTTGAATACGTTGCTAATTCGACACCACCTCAGCCTTTCTCCCCCGTCCCCTCCGGAAGCCAACAGACCGTCTACGAGCCTCTGAAAGCCCCCGAATGCCTTAAACGCGTTTGCCCGGACCGGATCAGAACATACATTCTATATTCTCCAGAAATGAGTCATGAATTTGTGACTTGGTGGCTTCAGACCGACTTTGGGAGGAAGAAACAGATGGCTTGGGATGGGAAACGCGCAAAGTGCTGGGAATACTTTGACCAGGTCGCCTTAGACAGAAATGGGAAACCAGGAGTTATGTGCCAGCAATGTCAGAAGGTTCTTGATCACCCTGGTTGGGCTCATAGCGGAACAACTTCAATGAACAAGCACTATAATGGGGTGACTTGTCGGAAAGCTGCCCTAGCCAAAAGGCAGAAGCCAAATACCAAGCTGGCATTAGAGCATGCTGTATGTTCAGCACCCTATTATCGGCTTTATTTTACTAACTTACTTCTATGCCTAGGCTCAGAATACACCCGTACGAACATTCGATACGCGTATTTGGCAGCAGAAGCTTGCGAAGCTTCTTACTGTGTCACATCTTCCGTTCCTTTTCCTTGAACACCCTAAGTTCCGTGATCTTATCTCTTACGCCCGGCTTGCACCATCAATGCCAGATATCCCATCCGCTAAAGCTATGCGCCGGCAGCTTCGAGAGCTAGTCCGTGAGAACCAAAAGATTATCCTTCAGACACTCCCTTCTGGTGCTAAGCTATCACTTGTCCTTGATTGCTGGACATCTCCATTTAAGCAGGCATTTATGGCTATCACTGGGTACTTCATTGACAAAGACTGGGAGTACCGTGAGATATTACTTGGATTTCAGCCCTTACATGGAGCTCATTCTGGTGCAAATCTGAGTGAGGTGGTTTTCGACTTGCTACAAGAGCATCAGATCACGAATCGAGTGCTTTCGGTGACTACCGACAACGCTTCAAACAACAAAACTCTTATGGAGAGTGTCAACGAGGCGATTGAAGGTCTACAATCCTCGAGCGACGTCGCTATCATTCGGGTACCATGTATTGCACATGTGATCCAGATTAGCCTAAAAAGTCTTCTTGGGAAGATGAAGGCTATTCCAAAGAATGACAGGGCTGAGCAAACATGGTCTGATGATCGGGTAGAAGCTCTGCGGGCGACGCAGCAGGAAAGAGGGATTGTTGACACTCTAAGCAAGGTAAGACGTCTTAACTTAATTCCGATTCATAACCTAATTTGTTCCTTAGGTCCGAAACCTTGCGATTTATATTAATGCAAGTCCTCAGCGCCAGGAGTCATTCTACAACCTGCAGGCAAGAGAGAAAAAGCTAGTTCCAATCCAGGACGTTACTCCTCGATGGAAATCTACATTCTTAATGCTCGCACGCGCGAAGAAGCTCCAGCAGGCCTTCGATGCTTTCTGCTCCCAGTATGACCAAGGGCACTTTTCCTTGAGCCAGGAGCAGTGGCGGCAGGTTGATTATCTCCTTGTATTCTTGAGCCTTTTCACCGATTCACAACGCTTTTGTGCAAAACAAAGAATGTCACTATCCATCGGGTTTTCAAGGTCTACAACAAGCTATTTGATCATCTTGAAAAGTCGATTAACCAGCTTCGACGGAAGAAGGTTGCTTGGAAGCAGGTGATGCTTATATCCCTCGAAGCAGCAAAACTCAAGCTCTCAGCCTACTACAGAGACACCGACAAGATTGACAGTCATCTCTACGCAGTTGGCACAATCCTTTCTCCACAGGATAAACTTAAGTTCTTCTCGACTCCCGGCTGGGATCCAGACCCAGGATCTGGGGTCGACTACCGAGCAGCCTATCGCCAGAGCCTTGAGTCCTTCTTCGAGAAGTACTCTGAGAGTTTTGCCGAGGACCATCAAAGGTTAGGTTGTCCGACTATAAGTTCGATACCGGATGAATTTGATTTAGCTTGTGCTCTAGATGAGTCGCAGCAGTCTCAAATTTCACAGCCAGCACAGTCAGACGAGCTTACAAGGTATCTTGATAGCAGTAAGTATCTCTTGATCTCTATTTGAGCAATTACTGACTTGTCCTTTAGATATAGTCACAAATGCCCAGCCTCTGACCTAGTGGAGAGATCATCAAGATAAGTTCCCTACGATGGCAAGGCTTGCTCGCGATGTGCTCTCTATCCCAGCTAGTGGTGCAGGATTAGAGAGGCTTTTTTAACTCTGCACGAGATATCTGTCATTATCGTCGAGGCTCTCTTCAACCTCAAACAATCTCAGATCTTATGATGTATATGTGTACATCACGGTTTGAAACTCGTGAAGAGGAGCGAATAATGCTTTCTGAATATCTTTCGGCTCAGGAGATACAGGCTGCAAAGGAAGAGAGAACACAGCAGCAAGTCGCTGTTGATCCAATTAGCGACAATGAAGAGGATGAAGCGTCTACGACACAGCTCCGAGCCAGGTCCCAGCCCCGAGCTATCTCGCAGACCCTACCAACCTCGCAGGCTGCCCAGGGTCCGTCCGCAAAAGCACTCGGCAAAAGCACTCGGCAAAAGACGTATACGCAATATAGCTGACTATGTGAGAGGTGATGAGGAGGAAGACGATGGTCAAGAGTCGGAAGCAATACCTCTGCCAGAGATACAGCACCGAGTGTCAGGCAGAGTCCGTAAGCGTTCAAGGTTGCTAGATGGGTATGAAACGTCTAATATGTAATTCGAGATTCGGGCATTCTTTTAGGTTGATTCATTAGTTTGATTTGTTTTGATTTAATTCATTCTACATTGCCAAATTAAAAAACTACTCCTCTAAATACTGTAAGTGAGATACTCAAAAATACAGACAAAATCTGCATAACTTATGCTCCGCGTGACTTGGCAATGTTTGCCTTGTTTGACGACCTTGAGGGTAGGTTCATGACCTTTATGGCCCTATCCTGACCCCATTTCAGGGTCTAACCTTACGACCCTAAAACCTGCGTGGTCCGGGTCGCGGTCCGGGTCGTCAGGGCCACCCTCGGATCGTGGCGAGGTCTAGACCCGCGAGGAGTCACCACCGAATTTTTCAATATGGTTCTGCACCCACTCCATAGCAAAGCGTTGGTCCAAGAGACCGGCGTTTGGCACACCATAAGTGTGGACTTCATCGGAGGAAAGGAAGCCGAAGGCTCCCAATCGGTACTGAATTTCGACGGTGATAAATCCATTGTCATTGGTATTCATCATCGGGCTGGGGTCATATACAGCACCAAAGAGCCCATATCCACCACCACCTACACACGCACATGGTCAGCAAACATCACAAAAAGCCCTATAGGCAGACGAGAACCGTACGAATCCACAAGAAGACGGGCAAGTCCCGAGCGCCAGGCGGTGCATAGAGGTTCAGGAGCAGGCAGTCTTCATCTCCGGCATAGGAATTGAATCCATAGACGGTTGGTGTCTTGGCAGCTCCCGATTGCGGGCAGACCGGCGGTTGTTTCATCGCTTGGGTGACCTGGGTGTTGTTCTGCACTGGAGGCGCAGGGGCCTGAGAGCGAAGGTTTCCTATTGGAGGGGCGGCATATCGGATGCTGTGTGGTATTAGCATTTCACCTTGCGAAGAACTCTGTGACAGACATGGAACTCGAGGTACCTTTTCCAGACGTTCAGCCCGAAGGTGGTATCATAGTACCCTTCTTCATATGTCGCATAGCCAAGATCGACAGGGGGGCCCGCATTTGCCAGGCCTACCAAGATGGCAGAGACTGTGGTGAGGAGTAAGGGCTTTGTGACTTTCATTATTGCTAACTCTCGAGATCCCTGGGACAGGAAAGTCAGGAAGCTGGAAAGAAAGAAGGGGAGAGAGAGGTCGCAATCTACTCCGTACATCGTGACCACCTAGCCCCACGTGGGAGGAGTTGTATGAGCAAGAGAGGTGCCGTTTCTTATATTGTTGGAAGTGTTATCCGATGGGTCAGTTCACGAATCTAATGCCCCTTTCTCTGCTGAACCAGCCACTAACTGGCCCTTACATTTTTTACAAAAATTACAGGGCCCCCGCTCTGTAAGGGCCGGTTAGTATATGCAATAACTCGTTAGTTTTGTACTTCCATGTGGAGTACGGTTGCAAAAAGTCATCGTCCCTATGTTGGCAACGTGTGGGGCAATATCCATCCATACGCAGTAAAAAACATATCTAGCAGAACTTACACTATCGCACCAATTAGGCCTATTACTGATACGTAGGCATATTCCATACATAGCACACAAAGGATTAGACGCCAAAATGAGACGTGACTTGGGTCTATTGCCACGCGGAACCCCCACTAACGGCGGAGGCTTTTCCAACACCTGCCGCTTTTGATCATGAAAGTTAATTCCGCCGCGAGTTCATTTCGCCAAAACCTTATTATTATTTGCTGACCGGCCAATGCTACTGTCCAGGACGAAATGAGGGAAAGGGCGATTCAGTTAGATCTCAAAAGACAAAGTGAGGAGAAAGGAAAACGGCTGGAAGCAATGAGCTCTAATAACATCCCTATTGTCACTCTTGGACTGACGCTCCGGGCGGAGCCTTAGGGGGCGGAACACCACTGTTGAGCGTAAATTATAGGTATGCGCTAGCAAACCAATGAAGATATCAACCAAGTCCGGATTCGGCGCTATCTCCGGAAACTTTATTCCAGACTTCAAAGACTTGAACTTACCAGCTTCCCAGAAAAGTAATCTCGTGACTATATCCTCCGTCCCATTTTGGTCAAGGCTCAGGAAGTTCTGCAATGTTCTTCCCTCGCGGAATAATTTTTCTTCATACAGACTCACGGTTTGATCGAAGTGATATTTGGCAGGACATCGTTATTTGAAACCCATTGAGGATCCTCATGAACAAATTCTTTCCAAGTCGAATGCATTGAACACTAATTTACCCCCCCCTCTCTCTCTCTCTTCAAAGCCGAAGATGGCTTCTTCCACCACCGAAAACCCAGACTTTTTGGCGCAGTCCCGAGTATCTGAAGTGCTCGCCGGATATATAACTCCCATCCCACTCGAGCTGCTGACTACCGGGTTGCGAATCTATGTCAAGCTTAGACCGTCATCAAAGGACCGCTGGGCTTTTGATGACTATTTAATAGTTTGGGCAACTGTGAGACCCCCCGTGTGCCATAACGTGCCTCAACTTTGTCGAACGGTCCATATTCTGACTCTGAATACTAGGCTATGGGGATTGCTGTGTGCGTCAGCGGTCTCGTTTACGGTTCATTCGCCTTACCGATCCTCCCTACCAAGCATTGCTGATGAGGAGTTTATGCAGGACCTCCGTACGGATTTGGACGACATATTGAGGCGGTCCCGACGGAAGACCTAAAGATATTTATGATGGTATGCAGCGATCATACAAGTCAGGAGAGCAGCTTAACTAATATTAAATGGATGATCAGGGTGACTACATCTTCAGCCATTTCTATAATGCGGCCATCGTTGGCACGAAGCTCTCGGTCCTCGCACTTTACCATCGAATCTTCGTCACGCGCAGCTTCCGTTTGATGGTCATCTCTACGGCCGTCTTCATATTTCTCTGGTTCTGCGCTATGGAAATCTCGCTAGGTCTGGAATGTCGCCCTATCCAAGTCTTTTGGGATGCCAGTGTGAAGGGGAAATGTAACAACCTGGTTGCGCTTACCTATTTTACCAACATCGTAAACCTGGTGGCTGATATCTGGATCTTTATCCTCCCGCTACCTGTCATCTATAAGTTGCAGATCTCCATAAGCCGCAAAATTGGTCTCAGCTTCCTTTTCGGTGTTGGCTTGGCGTAGGTCTTTCCAGTTCCCAACTTCTTGATGCTTGCTCTCCCTTTTGTTTCTTCTTGCTAATGCCTGCTTCTTACCATATAGGACTTGTGCTATTAGTGCAGCTCGACTGTCTGTTGTGGTTTCCCAGGGATCTCCGGATTTCACCTGTTAGTACTACCCTTGGTTCCAATTCTCAACATTTACTAATCCCCTGAAAGGGGCTGGAGTCCCTTTGGGGGTTCTCTCTGCATTCGAGCCACTGGGTGGGATTCTCTGTGCCAACTTGCCCGTGCTCTATAGGTACTTTGCAAAGGCTTTCAAGACTATCAAATCTGCCGGCCGAAGCCATCATTCACAGAGCGGATACGACTATTCGAACCAGCACGAGCGATCCACGAGGAGCGTGACTAATAAGTGGTTTAAACTACCCAACGCCAGTACCACCAGTGATGATAAATATATCACTACCTCCGTGGTCCGGGGGCCCAACATCGATGATGACACCACTGAATTACGGCCAATGGATGGCAACACTATTGCCATCCAGCGCATGTTTGTGCAAGATGTTTCTACCTACCAAGATGTTGAGGCCATGAACCAAGAAGTCGTGAGAGCGCATAGCAATAAGTTATGAGGAAATACATTCTGTGAGGGCTTCTATTTTTCTGTATCTCTCGTTACCCTGGTAGAATTCACCTTTGTTCTCTGAATCCATCCATGGATGACCACTGCAGACCAATATTTGTCGGAACCAAAATAAACGAAATACGCCACTAGGCTAAAAATGTACACACGCACAGAATTTGCACTGTCCACTATATTTTTTGGGCTCATTTCCGACACACCCCCTCAGGGCAGCCGGATTAGCAAGAAGGCTTCCCTGGAGATCCTTGGTTCTGTAGTTGCAGCATGCATATTCCATTGGTCTTTATAAATCACACGTTCCTCTAGGAATTTCCACGCTCTGACTCTGGTCTGGCTATGATAGGCTTCATCCTGCTAGGGGGTCGGGCCGGCATTTTTCCCTGCTATAGCACTAAGTATGCGTTCTTTGACCTCTAGCGTTTTCTCTGTGAATCGAACGTCGACCTTGCTTCTCAGGTGGTAGGGCTTCTGGGCTCATAACTGTCAGAACAAAAATGGACCAAATACGCCACTAGGCGAAAAATGTGCACATGCACAGTTTTTGCACTGTACACTGTATTTTTCCATTCCGACAATATTAAGCTCGGCTTCCATTGGCAGCTTATAATAAGGCCGCTTGTTTTCAAACTCTATAAGCGCTTATAAGTGTGCAGAGTATAAAGTCGGCCAATGACTTGAACTAACTGTGACTAATAAGCATTAAGCACCAAGGTAAAGCTGGATTCAGACAACAGATGATATTAGACTTTCTTGGCTTCAAAAGCTATTCATTCCATTGATTTCTACCCGCCGGAGTGGACGGTATCAACTGCTACTTCTTGATGGTCATGGAAGCCATTTAATTTCGCATTTCGACCAAATTTGTTTTCAAAATGATACCATTCCGACCTCCATGCCACCGCATTCCTCACATCTTTTACAACCGCTCGATATTGGCTGTTTTTCTATTCTAAAACAGAAGTAGGGTCGGCTAGTCGTAGGTCAAATGCGTGCCGGTATCAACCATATCGACAAACATGATTTCCTCGCAGCATTTCCAACTGCTCGGGTGGAAGCTTTTAAACCTCAAAATATTCGAAATAGCTTCCCAGCTTCTGGTTTATCACCATGCAATCCAGAAGGGTAATATATAAGCTAAATATTTGGCTTAAACACCTACACCCTCCGGCAGTCGATCTAATGAACCAAGCCTCAAATAGAGCTCGAGATGGGACGGTTCTTTTTAAAATTTAAGAACCGCATACCGCCAAGAGAACCGCGAAAAGACCCGCCAATGGGTATTAACTACATAAAGCAGAACTTATACACTGATTATCTCCTATTTAGTATACTTATACCTTCTTCATTTCTTTGTGGTTAATCTCGTGGCCTAGACTCGCTCCTTAGCACTCGACCTAGGAGCCAGCGTTCCCCTGCGGTTACAAGAATCGCGCGGTTTCATTGGCCTCGGAGGACTGTATCCCGTTGCTTCTTATCCAGATCACCATGTTCGATTCTTTTGCGTTTGCGATTCGGTGAAATAATACCCAAAATCGGCGGGGCTCGATAATTTCAGCTCGTTCAAAGTCGGAAAATACCACATTTTTACTTTCCTGATTGTACGACGAATTCCTCGGAGCCGGGTCTCTATGAACGACATGGAGGGTATGTATCGCTGATAGAAAGTCTGTCAATTTGGAAACGAGGCAAGTTCGGCTCACTTTCCTGAGTGCTAGCTCCAGAGGTTGCCCGCTTAGGCTCAACAGCATCATACGCTGGGGATAAGCGATCCCGTCGTAGCTATAGGGGTGAGACTGTTGAGGTTCCAGGATAAGGCACCGAATTGATGCCTCATTCCCAACCTCTGTCGGCATGCCTGTCCAGGGAAACCCGAGGCACTGAGCGTGATATGCGCTTCACCGACATTATATTCTACATCCAGGGGATCTTCATGGAAGAACACCGATCGAGATCGATTATGAGGGATTTACTACTGTGAGGGGCTTGCCGCCCGTTCAAGGATAAATACCCCCAGAATCGCATGTAGACAGTCTAATACAAGTTCAAGTTCTGTCAATTTCATTAAGGTCGATTTGTCTAGCAGGCCCTCATTCTATATTCAGCGCTTCGTCGTAACCAATCTCAACAGAGACAAGTCAATACTCCCGAGGTGGAGAGAGATATATATGCCCTGGATTGGCCGAAGCTTGTCGTATACAGCTGCTTCATGTCGGCGATCACGGAACTCCGACACGGCGAATTTTGCAGGGACAGTGTACCCGTGCGATGAAGTATTGACTTTCAACAGGGCGCCTCTAGAGCCATGTATTCCGACGATCTCACAATCTGCATTAACGGTCTCTGACAGTTGCCGTTGCAATTTCCCGACGAACATTTTTGAGTTGATGGCATGACCCGTTGTCCCGTGACCATGATCATAGACATTGGGACAGGCCTGATCTAACTCCCCTCCGTGTACCAATCTGCTTAGACACTTCAACGTGCAGTAACGGCGATGGTTCTCGTCAGAGAACGAGGTTCGTCCAGCTGCAGTGGATGTTTGGCTGGCCAATACTCGTCGACTCCGAGTTAGTGTTCCGAGAAACGTGTGGATTCCGACTCGGTGTATGCGGATCATCATCCTCATTATCAGAACTGCTATGCGGGTGTAATGGTCGACAATCGCTCGTGCTGGGATCGTGCCTTCTGCGGCGCAGCTGGATCGGAGACCGGAGGAATTTTTCTGTTTTCGGTGGACGATATTCGGAAGATAGCACTTCGTGGTAAGGGACCAGAGGAGACCTTGATAATTCCTCTAGCACAGTGAGGTCGGACTTCGAAAACGTGATCTTGATCGTACTGAAAATGTCGCTTTCGCTCGCTGCTGTGCACCTTCTATTTACTAAGGAAAATGATCTGAGTGTGCATCCGCCCAAACTGGCTGTGATAAGTCAAACGGGAGGTCTGTTAGTTTCGTCATGTTGTTTGAGGGTTGTCCAGGTCAATTCTGCTTCTTGGAAAAGATAAAGGTTTTACTTTATGTATGATAGATGCCGTTATATTGTCAGGTCTGCCTACTAGCCAAAATTACGTGGCAATGATGCTGCCCCACCACTGTATTACGTTCCCAGGGGCACCCTCCTGTACGAGACCTGTTCAATTGGCGGCTCCATGATTAGGTGGAATCAAAGATCAATTTGATGAAGAAAGATCAATTAGAAAAAGGCGAGTCCTCATAGAGCATGATAGTATAGAATGTAGTTGCTACAGTGGTAAGTAATGCAGTTGCTCTGATAATGTATGGTAACAATCTTGGGCAAATTGGGCAGGGAATTGTTACGGACACTACAGGATTTACTAATAGTGATTCCCCTCTCCCGCCTTTTGCTTAGCTCAAAGTGACACTTGATCTATCTATTAAATCGTTGAGGAGGCTGTTGAGAAATGGCTGTCGCACCGCCCACCCAAAGGAGCTGGTCTGTTTTGAACAGGAAATCAAAGTGCCAGCAACAAGGTCCTCGCAAATCAAGTCTTATGAAGAAGGTATGTGAATATAGCATCTGTAGCCTGCCCGCATGCCCCAACTAGCGTCTCCCACGTTTGACAATCGGTCCATCTTAATTTTTATTCGACCCTTGCCGAGTCTTGACGAAATCCACCAGCTCGAAAAAGCTCTTCTTGAAGTACCGTTTCTGACTAGGTCGCTCCACCTTTTGCATGCCGAACTGTGCCGAGTAATCTCCAAACTCCCAATTGTCCATGAAGCTCCAAGCAAGAGCTCCCATGACGTGGACGCCATCTTCATAAATGGATTTCAAAATCTCCGACATGAAGCTCTGATAATACTGGCTGCGAGGTGAGTCGAAAAGTTGATCCGGAAGCTCCTTATCGGCTTCACCGTAAACGGGGAACCCAAACTCAGAGACAAAGACCGGGCGGCGGTAGGTGTTCCACAGATAGAAGAGATACTCTCGGAACATAGTTGGTGTGATGTAGACATAGCTCTGAGAGCGGTAGCCGATGTTCCAACCGTACACGTTCTGCCACTCCTGGTTGACACAGTAAGGCAAGAGGGTGTTGGAGGTGCTTTTGTTCGCAACACAGGCATCAATGCCTTGATCTGCCGGTGACACAACAGTGGCAGTATAAGGATCAATGCCGAAGAAGTCCGAGGTGTGTCCGATATACTTCAACTCGGTCTGATTTAGCGGTCTAGCTCCGGGCATAGTGTTCAAAACGGAATCCGGATATTGCTTTCCAAGGAAGATAGGATTTCCGAAGAACCCGAGTTGCATCTCTTGGAAGCGGTTGGCAGCCTCGACATGGCTCTGGTTCTTGGGGTCCTTGGGGATTCCGAAGTTGTCGTTGAACTTGATACCCATTTTGCCGGTTCCCTTCAGGACGTCGTGATAGAAGTGATAGACATGAGCGTGTGCGTGGACAACATTGTCAACACCTTGGAAGTTGAAAGCGTACAGGAGAGGCTCATTGAAGGTGATCCAGATGGGCACACGATCGGCAAAGTTGGTCAAAAGAACCTTTCCGTAGTTGACAAAGGCATCGACAAAGGTTTCGTTCTGATAACCGCCGTTGTTGTATCCGATGTCAGGGTGCCTCGCTAAGAGAGAAGATCAGTAGATCGTTCGAATAATATCTGTCCAAGGGTGTCATACTGATATCGTCACTGGCAACAAACAACAGTGGGCTATCAAAATGGAGCATGGTGACCACAGGCTGCATACCGGCCTCTAGAACAGCGTCGATAACGTCGTTGTAGTGGTCTATGGCCTGTTGATTGACAGGGGTCCCGGGCAGGGCAAAGGGCAGAATGCGTGTCCACGGGATGGTGAAACTGTAGTACTCCACTCCCATAGCAGCCAATCGCTGGATATCCTGCTTGTACAGGAAATAATTCTCGTTGGTTACATAGTCCTTGGGCTGCTCCGGGTTGGAGATCTGTTTCTCTAACAGCGAGGGGCCGCGGCCTTCGAGACCAATTGCGCCTTCGATTTGAGCAGCGCTACCGGCGACTCCAAAGACGAAATCATCTGGAAAGTTATAGCAATCTGATGGACCAAAGTAGTCTCGCGGTGGCAGGACTAGCTCGCTGGTAGGAACCGGAGTGGGGCTGACGGTGGTGGTGTACAACCCAATGGTGGTCTAGAAGGGACATCAATCGTTGTAGAAGTAAAACTTGGGGAACGGTTTAACGCACGTAGTTTTGCAGGTCTGCTTGCTTCCACATGGATGACCAAGCGGCCTGCCCGTAAGGATCCTGAGTATCGGTCGCGCTGATGACCGTCTGCCCAGGGACCCAATTACCCCAGGTAGTGGTTGTGACACTCGTCATATGCTTCGATGCGTCTGTAAACGCCGGAGCATATGTTTTGGTAGTGGTCGGAGAAGGCATCGAGATTGCATATCGGACGGTCTCACTTAGCGTGTACGAGAAAGGCTGGAAGTGATAGCTTGGAGAAGCAGTTTCATGTTTGCATTGAGGTCGAGCTGTGTAGCCAGTGGTTGTGACGAAGATCTCCTGGGCCTGCACGGCCGCAGCCAGGCCAAGAATATATTCTAAAGTAAATCGCATAACGGTCTATTGTCCAGCGCTGTCTACCTTTGTCAAACCTGGAAGAAAGGAGCTCAATATGTATTCGGAATGCCCGGATTGAAACTCGCACGGCACAGCACCCCACGCCCGCAATATGGACCCTCTTCGTCTGGGGTAGACCTCACCAACTCTCACGGAACAAAATTTTTGGTCCCAGCTCCCATGAGGTTTTTAATTTTTAATCTTAGTTTCCCCGATCCACACAACAAGTTACCTTTTTAGGCCAATTTATCTAAATATATTGGTCCTGGCATGACCCAATTTGCCTAGAAGTTCCACAAGTCCGCGGAATGTCGGACAGTTAAAATCGTGCTAGAAGCAAGTGGGTAGAGCCAGCACATCAAAAAGGGGCTGATCTGCACTTGACAAATGCTTGAATCGAAGCGCTAAGGACAGAAATGTCGGGGAAACTGTTCCATCGGGAAAATACCCCGGGAAAATTCTTAAGCCAGCGAAATGATGAGTGGAGAAGACGAAGCTAATTTCAACATAAGTTCGACCGTGGGTAATGACTCCAGAGCCATATACGGGTCGATACGTAAATGTACTTACGTATCTGGAAACTCTGCCCAAGGGCGTTCCTAAATCGTGTAATTAGACGAAGTGACGAAATATATGCAGCGGGTGACTGAAAAACAGTGGCGCACCCACAGCGAGAAGCAGTGTAAGTGGCCAGAACGCCTCCCACGCGGCTCGCTGTCACCGGCTGAATCGATACGTGGGGCTCTCCCAACATGCATGTAAGCAAGCTAGATCGAGCAAGTGAATTCTACTACCACATACTACTGCTATTAGTAGCTTAGCTTGGAATCTCGGGAAAATATCGGTTTGATGGCCATTAGTGCAACAATTTTGCACGCTTCCCTGTTACGGTTACACTTGTGAAAAGGATATGTGCCGAGAACCCGTTCTACAACGCAATTTCCGGGCTGGGTCTAGTTGGATGCCGTGTGCGTTCTAGGTCCTGCTTTCCCCAGACATGGCTGCCCTACCCTGGAAGTCGCGGGAAAGCCCAACCCCTAAAAAGAAGGTAGTTAGCCTATGAATTGACCCAGCGCTTCGTTTCCAATATTGTTGACAGCTCTTCGTCGGCACCATAAGCGCAGCTCCACACTCTGTCATCGACTTCTGGATCCGCTAATCTCTGCACTAGGCTCCAATAGATCGAAGAGAGGATTTTTAGTATTATAGTACTTGTGAGAGTGAAGGGAGGACGGGACGGATAGGTCCTGGATCCTCTACACTGCGGAATGTCGGCCTCCTCGCGTCCCTGTTGACTGAAACGCGACCCGGAAAATGGTCGGAGTTGGCCCACTTAGGACTAGCATCGGCCTAAATTCCCCGCAAACCAAGCAATCGCCAAGCAAGGAACAAGCTTTTCGAACCACTTTAATCCCCGCATTATTTTCTCTATGTTTGTTTCTCTCTTAATTTCGTGAGCCAGCAGACCGCACTCGGCAACAGGGTGGTGGCTTTTGGCGAGCAGGCGGCTCAGATCAGGATTAAAGGACTGCGCAGACAACGGCCAACAAGGACAGTCTACTACCTAACATGAGACAATAATGGGACTATAGTAGGGTTCATATTGGGGTACTCGAGCAAACCCAGATATATGCAATGCTGAGTGGATGTCCGCGACCGTTGGTGTCCTGAATTATCAATAAGAATGAAGAGAGTCAGATTCTAGAAGCATCCCGCAAAGGATGGCTTGGGAAAGCCGGACATTGGCTTTTGTTTGTGGAGTCAGCTGGTGGCAAATATACCCCCTGTACCCTGTACATATTCGGCCCTTTATTGCATTAGGGTGGCGCTACTGCAAGCGCAAAAACACTAGTTACTACAATATGCAAATATGAGGAGGACCGGGGGAGGAGACCTTATGGTGATCCCCACTCTATGCCCCTCTCCGGCCGCAAGAATATTGGCTCCAGGGCAACCGAGAAGATTGAAGGGTGAGCGGAAGTAATACGGAGCAAATGCTGACCGACTCCCAAATTTGATCGAGATGGATCACATTTCATATAAGAAGCAACGTCTTCAGCTGACCGGGGTTTGTCGACGAGATCTCTTTACGCCAGAGCTCGCTCCTCTTTTCAAGAAGCACCGGCCATCCTCAGCCCCTCGAAGCGCTCGTCAACTTATTTTAGACAGACACTTACTATCCTTAAGCATGAAGGTGACCACCGTCGCTGTTGCCGTCCTAGCGAGCTGCGAATCCGTGGTCGCGCATGTTAGCTCTCGTGGTCAACATGGCACTGATGTACGTGAACCCATGAATTGGGCCGTGTCAATCCCATAAATAAATGCAAAAGAAAAGTTCATTAACACCAAGCTCTTTTCCTTGCTGTGACAGCCTCTCAACAAGAGGAATAAGCTGCCCATGCCTCCATCGCCACCGAGCTACCCATCGCCTTGGATGAATCCCGAGGAGGTGGGCTGGAAAGAGGCCTATGAGAAGGCCAAATCCTTTGTCTCCCAGTTGACACTGATGGAGAAAGTCAATCTGACGACTGGCACTGGGTAAGTAGAGAGTTCTAACTTCATCACAGCTTTGGTATGCACTGGACAAAGGCTAAAGCTGATTATTTAGTTGGGAGAGCGATCAGTGCGTCGGAAACACTGGGTCTGTGCCCAGATTGGGCTTCAATGGCTTCTGCACCCAGGATTCTCCCGTTGGCGTCCGTCTAGCCGACTACAACACGGTATTTCCTGGGGGACTGACCGCGGCTGCCACGTGGGATCGTGCCCTCATATACGCTCGTGGTCTGGCGATGGGCCAGGAACATCATGGTAAAGGCAGCACTGTCCAACTCGGCCCGGTGTGTGGGCCGATAGGCCGCGTCCCTGAGGGCGGTCGGAACTGGGAGGGATTTTCGCCGGATCCAGTCCTTACAGGTGTTGGGGTTGCTGAGACTGTCAAGGGTATCCAGGACGCCGGTGTGATTGCATGTGTTAAGCACTTTATCGGTTACGAGCAGGAGCATTTCCGGAGCGCCGGTCAGGATGGAGTTGTTGCATCGTACTCGTCCAACATTGACGACCAGACCATGCACGAGCTGTACCTTTGGCCCTTTGCCGATGCCGTCCGCGCCGGTGTTGGCTCAGTTATGTGCTCATACAACCAGATCAACAACTCGTACGCATGCCAGAACTCGAAGGTGCTCAACGGCTTGCTCAAGAACGAGCTCGGGTTTCAGGGCTTCGTTATGAGCGACTGGACTGGTCAGCTTACTGGCGTCGCGAGTGCTGCGGCTGGTCTCGACATGACGATGCCGGGAGACACTGCGTTTGACTCGGGTCTGAGCTTTTGGGGTGCGAACCTGACGTTGGCTGTGGTCAACGGCACCGTTCCCGAGTGGCGGATCGACGATATGGCCATGCGGATCATGGCTGCCTACTTCAAGGTTGGCCGTACTATTGAGAACCAAGTGCCGGTCAACTTTGACTCGTGGTCCTTCGCAACAGAAGGACCCCTCCATTTTGCCGCGGACGAGGGCTACCAACAGATCAATTGGCACGTTGATGTGCGTGGCGACCATGCGAAGGTGGCCCGGCAAGTTGCTGCTGAAGGCTCCGTGCTGTTGAAGAATAACGGCATCCTTCCCCTGAAGAAGGTGAAACAGGTGGCAGTGATCGGATCCGATGCCGGCCCGAATTTGGACGGTCCCAACGGTTGCAGCGATCGGGGTTGTGATACCGGCACTCTGGGCATGGGCTGGGGCTCTGGCACTTCCAACTTTGCCTACCTCGTAACACCTGATGCCGCCATCCAGGCCCGGGCCATCCAAGAGGGTTCGGCGTACCAGAGCATCTTCGACGACTACACAACCGACGATTCTGACTCGCAACAAGGCAATGGCCTAACCGCCATCCCGGATTTGGTTTCACAAGCCGAGACCGTATCCATTGTCTTTGTTAACGCTGACTCGGGCGAGGGCTATATTACTGTTGGCGGGAATGCAGGTGACCGCAACAATCTGACCCTTTGGCACAGCGGCGACGACCTGATCAAGAATGTGTCGGCTCTGTGCGACAAGACCATTGTGGTGATCCACTCTGTTGGCCCTGTGGTTGTCGAGGACTGGTACAGGAACCCGAACGTATCCGCTATTGTCTGGGCCGGTATCCCGGGCGAGCAATCTGGTAACGCTATCGTGGATGTCCTCTACGGAGACGTCAACCCGTCAGGCAAGAACCCATTCAGCTGGGTGAGTGATCGCACTCAGCTGCCCGACGTCCTGTACAAACCCAACAACGGGGAGCTGGCACCGCAGATCGACTTCACCGAGGGCGTCTTCATTGACTACCGCGCTCTGGACAAGGCCGACATCACGCCCACATTCGAGTTCGGTTTCGGCCTCAGCTACACTACGTTCGAATACTCCAACATTCGGGTCAAGAATAACAGGGTGCCTCCGTATGTGCCGAGCTCAGGAAAGACCAACCCTGCGCCTACCTTCGGCGCCTTCAGTACCCATTTGTCCGATTACCTGTTCCCAAGCACCTGGAAAAACGTGATGTACTACATCTACCCGTACTTCACCAGCAGCGACCCCGCCAAGATTGCGGGCACGAGCAACCTCCAGCCTGCTTCCAAGTTCCTGCCACCGCATGCCAATGATGGAAAATCTCAGCCTCTATTGCCCGCCGGTGGCGGGCCTGGTGGTAACCCACTTCTCTATGAAGAGCTGTACACCGTGACAGCCTCCATCAAAAACACGGGTTCCATCGCCGGCGCCGAGGTCCCGCAGCTGTACATCAGCCTTGGAGGGCCCAAGGACCCCAAGGTTCAGTTGCGTGGTTTCGATAAGCTGTTCCTCAAGCCGGGCGAGACGGGAGAGTTCTGTGCTAAGCTTACCCGTCGGGATCTAAGCAACTGGAATGTTGTCACTCAGGACTGGGTTATCAGCGACCATCCAAAGAAGGTGTATGTGGGGTCTAGTTCAAGGAAGCTGCATCTTAGTGCTGAGCTCTAAGTAGATCGATAGGTGGACAGGGAGAGGTTCGATCGGTCTCTCCCTTCCTCCGCAGTACCGGGCCGCTCATGGACCTTTAATCATTAGTCCTTTCTCCTGTATCACTCAGCTAGCTCTCCCTAAATCTGAGTTTGTGTTTCAATAGCTAGAAGCAGGTTTATAACCTTTTCTTGTTGATCTCAATCTTCTAAATTCCTCAACTTAGGCTCTTACTTATGTACATCGGAACACGTCATTTGATCACACCCTAGGATAACGGAGTGATCCGATTTGACCACTTCATAAACACATCACAACGTGACATCTTGCTCGGTTTAACCACCTCGGCAAAGAACGGGCGCTATAAAATTTCCACCTTCCAAGGATTTCAACTAGCCATTTCATCACTTCTGGTAGGCTGGTTGGGTTTCACCACCCTGCAAGGACCGGGATGACTAAACTTGACCATTATATTATTAACTAGTAGAACTCGCCAAACGTGGGTTTGGGTTGGGTTTTCAATTTCTTTACCCGCCCACGGGTAACCCATCGCGGGTTTTGACCTTGGTGAACCCGCCTGTTGAAAATATCACGGTTACTGGGATAATCATGGGGGCTGGGTCTTTTTGCCCACCAGGCCAGTAAGCCATTGAATAAAATAATAAAATATAGTGTACGTGGGGAAGTAAAATTGCTCATTTTGGTTTTTTTTGGAGGCATATCCCTTTTTGGGATAAGAATGAATTGAGTAATTAGATGGCAGCCGAGTCGAGGAGAAGGGTAACCGTTGTAGTTCAGAGGTATGAATTGTTCTATTATTCTAGAGGGAAAGGTGAGGCTATGTATACAACAAGGAGCCAAGTTGATTGGAAATCAACTTGGTTGTCTGTATAGACGTCTCGGAGCTAATTCCGATGGTGCGGCTTGCTTCCTGATCTGCACTAGCCTTATATCAAAACAATAACGAGAGTAGGCGGGCAACAACACCAGGGGGTGCTTACCCGCGCCTGTTTATTTAAACCCAGGGTCTACATTATCATAATAAATCTAAGGCATAGTGCAGCTTTAGTAGGTCCTTGACTCTGTTGGTGGTCCCGGGCAGGTGTTTCCAAGCCCAATGAACCGAATTGTTCAGCTTCGTATTCATCTTTAAGACTGAGAGTTTCTAGTGACTGAAGTTATGTCAAAGATTGGCATTGTATTGAACTTTAAATTACAAAAATTCATTTTCCACAAGTTGAAGTTGCAAAATCCAGTCTTGCACAGCTTAATTTTGAACAGGTGGATGTTGTAGTTTGATCCCTTACGTCATATGAACGGGTTCTCCGTAACTACTAGAACTCTCTTAATACAATAGAGGGTTTGGACGGGTTGGACACTGCCATTATCAATGATCTGATTGCCGAGGTATGACATGTGTCTCCTGGTCCCTAGAAACAAATGTCTCTGGATAAAAAAAGCTGGCGCAACATACCACCATCATGTCTCTGTGGAGAGACACAACAACCCGGGGTAGTGGAGTACCCCAGCCTTTGCACAGGTTAAAGCGGAGACAAACACAGGCCTTACTAGGTGAGGCTCAAAATAGTCTTTAAAACGAGATATATCGGGCAAATGCATTCATCAGATAGTGCGCTACCTATTCCTTGGATCCCTCGAGATTGGTTCTCATGTGTTGTGAATTCCCGATATTCTCCAAGGCCAAAATAAATTTGTTCGCTGTCTCCATTCCACAGTTCAAAACCACATAGCTTAACTTGTCTCTTCCGTACGCTCATCATGGTTATGACTGACGGACCCCTTTTGTTCAACAATCTCCATGAAGGTCACAGTCGGTTTCCAGCCAACGGATTTGCGCGCACTGCTGACTTCGGAGTACAGCTCATCTACTTGCTCTAGGGTAAGTCCCTTGGTCTCGTAGATCATGAAGTAAACGAAACCAATACAGAGAAAGCAGCATCCGAACCAAATGAAGAAAATCTTTGACTGCAGATTCGCATTACCGGTACCGTAATTCACCAGGTACGGGGTAGAGTAGGCGATAGCCCAGTTAAGTAACCAATTAGTGGCGGTGGTCATGGAGAGTGATTTGGCTCGAACCTTCAAAGGGAAGATTTCGCCAGTAACAACCCTATATCATTAGATTAACTTTTGTTTGTAGCAAAGGGACTAGGGCTTACCTACCAAGCAATTGGTCCCCATGATGCAGCAAAGAAGAAAATGAAAATACAGATGAAGGCAATCGCGGCACTCTGTGCCGCTTTGTTGAGCACAATAATGTTACCAGCGGCATCCTGAGTGGTGGTCGTTGTTCCCAGTACGGCAACGAGAAGCTGCGAAACACACATGCCGATGGCACCTAATAGCAAGACAGGTCGGCGGCCCCATTTATCAATAGCGTAGAGACCAGGGACAGTTGAAGCCACGTTGACACAGTTGGTAATCAAGCTGATGATGAACTCGTTCTGGAATCCGGAGTTCTTGAAGAACTGCGTACCGTAGTAGAAGATGAAATTAATGCCAGTCAGTTGCTGCAGGGCTTGAAGACCGCAACCAGTGAGCAACCTCTTTCCAAGATTGCCTTTGAAACATTCGAGATAGCTAGGCTGCCCTAATCTCATCTCGTATTCATGGTTTGCTTGAATCTCAGCAAGCTCCTCTCTGACTGCGGGATGATCTTCAGGGAGACGGCGAAGTTTCGCAAGATTCTGAGCGGCTCTTTCAAAGTTGTCCTTTTTAATTAGGTAGCGGGGAGTCTCGGGCAGAACCAGCATTCCGATAATCAAGACGATAGCCCAAGCAAACTGGACTGCAATCGGGATACGGTAGGAGCCGGTATCATTCCGGCTGTGAGTCGAATTGTTGACCACGGAAGCCAACAGTAGACCAATGGTAATGGCCAGCTGGTAGGAGCCGACAATAAATCCACGAATCCACTTCGGTGCGGTCTCTGACTGGTATAGAGGAACTATAATAATGATACCAGTCAGTGAAAAGCAGCACGAGAGAAGGCGTAAACATACTCAATGCCGAAACCAAGCCCACGCCGAAGCCAGCAAAGAATCTACCTGCGAGGAACAACGGAATTGCAGTGGCAACTGTCTGTAATATGACGCCGAAGATAAAAACCCAGCTAGAAGCAATCAGACCCCATCGACGACCGATAGTGTCTCCCAGAGGAGCTGCACCAAGAGCACCAAAAAAGGTTCCGGCCGAGAGAATGGAGACGATGGCAGAAGACTGGCTAGATGTAACATTGAGATGACCAGTAGCATCCCGATAGCCCGTGGAGAAAAGTTCTTGCCAGTAGGGCATGGCAAGAATGCCACTGATAGTCCCTGTATCATATCTTTGTGAAGAGAGATGTCAGATGCAATCAATAACTGTGGTAGTTTGAGAAGCTTACCCAAACAAAACACCACCAAATGCGACGAAGGCCGAGATGGCAATGGCTGGCCATGATGCGCCAGCCGTGCCGTCAGGATTCCTAAGTAAAATACCCATGGGGCCTAGTGGAAGAGTAGAGTAAATTGGACAGCCGTGGAACACAAAGTAGATGAATCAGAAGAAAAAAAAAAGGAGTCTCGAGGGGAGGCCAATCTGCATCTTATACTTACTTCATGGCTGAGAGAGCGATAGACTAGCATCTAACATTTCAAATGTATGAGCAGCGAAGAGGATTTTCCAGACCGGGTTTCAGCAATGGCACCAATGACCTAAATGTCGGGCCAATCGGTTATGTCGTATATCTGCGAAATTTCGCCGATCACGCCCATCGGGCGTTCATTCGGCCTTGAAAGGGTTTCTGTATAGCAGTCCGAGCCAAGTCGGACCAGCCACCGGACCAGCCACGTCCTGCTCAGTACAACCTTACGCGAAAGCTAGAACGTGTTAAGACAAAACTGGCGAGTGCGAACGCGATGATTCAGGGGCCTTCCGGAGCAGTTGGAGCAGCACCACAAGCGCCCGTGGGCAAGATGTGGGTGTATGATTTAATCAGACGCCTTCCAGATGGCCTATACTGGGTGAAGCAGAAGCCAGCGGAGCGAGAGCGTACGGAAGGCTAGAAGGACGGCTCCATTAGTCTTGGAAGAAACGCCTACAAACGCGCCGGTGGTGGAGACACTGGTTCAAACGCCTATTAATATGGCAGAGGCATCAAAATATTACTATAGTCCGAACTTCCCCCGGCGAATTACTGTATATATGACTGCGAATAGCTTCAATTGATCATTGGGAACGGGATGTTCGTTGGGATCGGGGGGACCAACACCCGAAGCGGTGTGGGTCAACTACGGGACTATTATATAAATGCGGAGATGCGGGGTCCAAGTCTGGGGCACCGTAAGCACTAGCTCCGCGGGAAGTGTGGAAGAATCGGCCACGAAGGTTGGTCCAGACCGAGTGATGCAATGCACAACACGACCCTAAGCGCATCGGGTTGCTCGGTGAGGTCTTGCTGGTATTAGGCATGACTCAGGTATATTCCGTAGGTGAAAACCCCTAACTTTACTAGGATAAATGTTAACAAACGCGGGGTTTTGACGCCTAGGGAGATCACCCGAAGCTGGCCCGATATATGTCCGTACTCGGCAAATATCTAGCAGTTCTATCGGAACGATCAGGCACCTAGTACGGATTAATAATCGAGTTATTTGGCTGGTAAAACGAAATGTTTACCCCCGTGGAGAGATACATGGCTATACAGAGATGCCATGAGAATCTACAAAGTATCTTTTCCAGAGTAGATGATGAGAACTAGCCCCTTCTCGAGAGCCGTAAGGTCCGAAGAAACTCCTAAGCCCCCAGAACTCTGAGATTAATTCTTTTGACTTCTCAAGTATCATACCCGCCATTGGACAATTTTTGGGGTTAAGGTTTGAGTTTCTCCGAAGAAGACCCAGAGCGATGGACTCCGTGCGTCGGTTAGGTGAACGTTTACCCGATTTACCTTGTTGAGGACCTACGACGCATGAAGAGCAAAACATCGACTTTCTCCAGATGTGGTCCCCGTGGGGAATGGGGAATTTGGAGAATATTATGTGCCTGTGGATCCGAAGCTATGGGCTCATATATATAGTTACGTAGCCGTGTCGTGAAATTTCCAGTGTTTATATTTCTACAGTGAATCCTCATACATACACTATGGTTCGTCTCACCATAGCCCTCGCGGTGGGTCTTTTGGCGGGCATCGCAAATTCTTTCAACTATGACCAGCCCTACCGTGGACAATACCATTTCTCGCCCCAGGAACATTGGATGAACGACCCCAATGGTCTCTTATATCATGATGGGACCTACCATTTGTTCTTCCAGTACAACCCCGGCGGTATTCAGTGGGGTAACATGTCCTGGGGCCATGCCACCAGCAAGGATCTCACCCACTGGGAGGAGCAGCCCATTGCCCTCCTTGCTCGGGGATATGGTGGCAATGTCACCGAGATGTACTTCAGCGGAAGTGCGGTCGTTGATGTGGACAACACCAGTGGATTTGGGAAGGACGGCAAGACCCCTATGGTCGCCATGTACACCTCCTACGTAAGTACATCCTACCAGCAAATGATACCTAGAGTGAAAAGATGACTGACTTACTTCCTCTTTACAGTACCCTGTTGCGCAGACCCTGCCGAGTGGAAAGCTCATTCAGGAGAATCAGCAGGCTCAGTCCATTGCCTACAGTCTTGATAATGGTATGACCTGGACTACGTACGATGTAGCCAACCCAGTCATCTATCAACCTCCCGCCCCATACCAAGATCAGTACCAAAACTTCCGAGATCCCTTCGTGTTCTGGCATGAGGAGTCCCAAAAATGGGTCGTTGTGACTTCTCTGGCCGCATTGCACAAGCTCGCAATTTATACTTCCGACAACCTCAAGGACTGGGAGTTGGCGAGTGAATTCGGTCCTTACAACGCGCAAGCCGGCGTTTGGGAGTGCCCTGGCCTTTTCCAGCTGCCCCTTGATGGAGGAAAGTCCACTAAATGGGTCATCACGAGCGGACTAAACCCCGGCGGTCCCCCGGGTACAGTCGGTTCTGGAACCCAGTACTTCGTGGGCGAGTTTGACGGGATCACTTTCACACCCGACGACGACAGTGTGTACCCTGGAAACGCGACTGCCAACTGGATGGACTGGGGCCCAGACTTCTATGCCTCAGCTGGCTACAATGGCCTCGCCGTTGACGCCTACGTCCAAATTGGATGGATGAACAATTGGCAGTATGGACCGAACATTCCCACCAACCCCTGGCGCAGCGCTATGTCCATTCCTCGACACCTGGCCCTCAAGACCATCGGTACCAAGGCGAGTCTTATTCAGCAGCCCCAGGAAGCTTGGTCTTCTATTGTGAGGAAGCATCCGGCCTACTCGCACACCTACAAGCATGTCCCACAAGGCTTCGTTAACGTGGGCACTACCGGAGAGACGATCAAGATCGACTTGAGCTTCTCTGCTGCTTCGACGGCTTCGAAATTTGCCATCGCCCTTCGAGCCTCCGCAGACTACACCGAGCAGACGCTTGTCGGTTACGACTTCGTCAATAAGCAGATCTTCATTGATCGCACCAAGTCTGGAAACGTGTCATTTGACACGACTTTCGCGAGCGTCTACCGCGGGCCCCTCGCACCGGGTGTCAATGGCAAGGTCAAGCTGACCGTCTTTGTTGATCGGTCTAGTGTGGAAGTCTTCGGTGGCCAGGGTGAGACTACCCTGACGGCTCAAATTTTTCCAAGCAGCAATGCGCTTCACGCCCGGCTGGTATCAACTGGAGGAGCTACTGAAAGCGTTAATCTCAATGTCTATAATGTCACCTCGACTTGGAACTAGTAGCGCTGATGATTCAAAACATGGCAACTTTTCAAAAAGGAACTATGATACACTTCGAAAGTTGAGATGGATACTTGAATTAGAAATGGAAATAAATGTCTCTGGCTGCTATTCGCATTGATTATCACACCGTCTCCAAAAGGCCAGCACCCCCAAATGGTCCTATATGGCGTCTGTTGAATTGCAACACACGAAAATAACCTAAATTGAGTGCTATTTTGCGCTAGGACGCTTTTAGATAGTAATCCCTCCTAAACTTTAGCAGTGCCTTGTGTAATTCGTGTTAGCTAGCGCCCCCACCTGGCGGTGAGGGTGCGCCTTTTATTAGGGACCTGCCGAATTAGCTTTTGACACTGTGAGCGTTGATGTTTCTTATGTCAGGGTTGTAAAATAAGAGAATCAATAATCGAATCATGATCAGATGATATGCTTCGCATGGATGGAAATTGTCTTTATCAGATATACAGATTCTCGCTCTACGCAGTTGCTTCCTCTTTGGCAGAACAACATGTGCTACGGAATGGCAGCGATGGATCTACCGAGAAAGTTCGGATATCTATCAAATCAAGATGTGTTCGCCAATAACTATTTGTGGATATCAAGTGAGTGCGGCAACGGTAGAAATCACAGCAGCTTTGCAAACCCTGTTCAAAAACTCCAGAGCAAGGCCATACCTCTGCGGGCTGTAGATTTTAGTCGTTAATTGACTTCATGCGCAGAATCTGTACAACTTTCTACAAGAGCGGCTGATTGCTGGTGCCCTTCGTACTGACTGTGTTGAACGGACTGCGGCGGCGCCGAGGTGGGTCAGGTAGATTCGGCCAGTGGGGACTGGGCAGGAGACAGGTCGGTTAATCTATCTGCCCTGGTTAGCCATGTGGGCCGTTGGTGGACTTTTTCCTGCTGACCGTCTACACTGATCTTGATGTTTTCAGCTCTTGAGACCCTTATCTTTAAGAAGGCCCTCGGTTCTTGGATGTGCGCCCCTGATGATCGTACGTAATACGCCATAAACTATGTTCATGTTGAGCGTACATACATCAGGTACTCACTTAGTCACCACAGTCACCTGACTCTGTACCTCTTCTCTCACTTCCCACGCTCTCTCTTCCTTCCTCTTCTCTCTCTCTCTCAGATAGCAGAAGATAGCAGCAGATAGCCAATACCACCTGCTTCTCACCCGTTAACGATCATCCTGTACATCTCACACTCTCACGTTCGTTTCAGGGCATGCGGGCGGGTGCAGGGTTCATTTCAGTTCTTGATTCTGGATGCTTTGTGCCTGTTCAGATTTCTAGCGCCCGAGACTCAGGTGGACGCCTTAACTGTGCAGTTAACTCAGGGGCAGATCTTTAATTGCCCCCTCAAAAGTAATATCTCAGCCACATAAAACATTGGTCGACTTTAAGCCCCACGGAGAGCCCTGCTGCTGAAAAATAGATGCTTAGCAGATTACGTAGGTTACTACTTTATTGGTAGGGTTTACGAGTTTTTGCTAGATCGAATTTCTTGAAGAACTAAAACTCTCTCGTTGGGAAGGCTACCTGTCTACTAAGCAAAAACACTTGAGAGTACACAAATAACAATATGAGGCTAAAAAAAGCCCTGGAGACTGGTCCCACGTATATCTTTGAGCACCTAGAGGAATGTATTAGTGTGACCTGCCGTGAGCCCTGACCCCAGGCGCCTGGCACTTGTGATCCATACACAATAATCCACTGTATCTATCCTGGATCGAGTACTTGATCGACGAAAATGATCAGAAAGGCCATCAAAGCTTTCAAATGGCCCATAATATGAGACAAGATACATCTTGAACAACAAGGCAAACACGCAGCTTCACAGTCGTGTCTATAACACGTATCATCCAAGTATCACCAGCAACGAGGCTCATTCCAGCAATGTCCACTTCGCCTATATAGAGGGTGGTTCTTCCTGCCCTGAAATCTTCATCAACAATCTCATCAATCCAAATATTTTACGAGAAACCATTCCCTCCAAGAAACGAACAATATCGACATTTATCATGCAGTTCACTCGCCTCACTCTTGCCTTGATGATCAGCCTCTCTCTGGCTGCTGTTGCTCCCGCACCCGCCGAGCAAGGTACCGATGCCGCACTTGGCTGCCCTCACAGATGGAAGATTTGCGGAGTTTGTTGATGACCCCTTTGCACCCATGCCTGTGTTCTATTTATTAATACCGCGTTAAGACCTGCAATGGTAGCTCCTGCAAGATTGCGGGCGCTAACTAGTAAGTCCTCACCCAGGTATGATCTAAATTACTACTAACAATCTTTTCAAGCTCCTGTGTCTCGAGAACTAGCGTGATTGTTATGGAGAAATCTGCTTTATTCGCGACGATTCTAATGTGTGACAGTGTGAGTGTTGGTATCACCAGCTAGGTACTGTGTACACAGTTAAGTGGACAGTGTGTATGCTCCAAAGCAAAAGTCAATTCTGTTGATAGATGTTGATAGATGTTCAGTCTAGTTGGAAAAACACCCCTAGATCCCACACGCCGGCCTTCGGCGGTCACAACACCGAGGCCACAGCCCAGCGCAAGAATGCGTACCCCAAGCAAGGGATGTTATCCATCGGTCGCTAGCAGTGGGTCACAGCCAGTTTGTTCTGACAGGAGAATATATCCCGACAGTGAGGGACCTGGTGGTGGTGATGGAGCCCTTTGCGGTGCCACTGGTGGCTTTGGTCCCAGACTTGCCCTGTCAAGGCTAACTAGGCGACTCAAAGAACTTTTGAAAGGGATTCGTCAGTGATGGAAATGAAAAAAACATCACTGGGGTGTTCCTGGTCTGATAGAATTCCTTGTTACACACTCAGGAGTGTGTCTGTTTCGACAAGCCACTTGGGTTCCATCGCTCATTCAATGCGATATGTTGACGACTTGCAAATTCCTTCTCATTGAAAACTTGAAGAGATGACATGGAAGTTCGAGGGACGTATATTTCTGCAATTGATTATTTACATTCTTCCACCGCTACCTTTCGTTCTCACATCCCCATTCCCACGCCTGATATTTTACCCACGCCTACTCTCCCTTGTAGACGACAGTGGCATTACCCAAGAACCATTCAAACACCCCATCGCCGGTAGTCGGTGTAATCGAATTAGGAAGGTCCTTCCCATCGTCGTCGCGATCATCAACAGTCGTAGCATTCGTCTTCGTCACCCATTCCTGAGCAATATTGAACTCGCTATCCGCCTTCTTCTTATTCCCATTCGCAATCGCATTAAGCATAGAGATCAAGTGCTGGCATGCCTTAGCCCACTGCATCGCAACAATCGACCACGGCTCCACGTCCGCGGCGAATCCCTTCATCGCCATACTGGGAAGGACATCCGGCAGCGTAGAAATAAGAGCAAGACGAGTTCGGAGAGCCGATTCGGCATTGTGATACTTGGAGGACCCATTCCGCGAGGCCCAGAAGGCGGCAATGTCACTGCTCAACTGGGGCGCGTAGACCTCGGGCTCGCGGTATGGCCAGTTCTGGTTGAGATCGACGAAGGCAAGAAGGGCGTTGTGGACGGTTTTGTTGGTGCCGGACAGCTCCCAGAGGATTGCATCCATCGATTTGTTTGCGTCGTACTTCGGCCCGTTCCAGGTGTAGTCGGCGTAATTTGCGAGGGCGGGCATGGAGGCGTAGGCCTGTTCCATTGGATTGGAGGTGAAGCCGAGGAGGTATTTGTATAGATTTGGGGCGCGGCCGGTTAATGGGTTTAAGAAGAGACGGTCTCGGTTGCCGTCATTCACGGGGAAGTTGTCCCATAGGAACATCTTGTCGGTGACGTAGGTTTTGTCGGCGCGTTGGACGCTTGTGTCGTTGATTTGGTCACTGAAGACTCCCTCGCCGGTCCACTGAATGCTGATGTTCTTGTTCAACTGCGTGCCGAACTCTTCTTTGTAAGGATCCGGTGCGCTACCGGCATAGTTTGTGGGAACCGTCTCAAGGTCCTTGAGGCCCTTTGGTTTGATGTATTCCTTTTGAATGCGGTTAAGGTAGTAGGCCTGCGCATCGGCCAGCCACTTGTAGTCGTTCGCATTGCTACTGCCCGTCTTGTTCCACTTCCGCTGGTCCGAATCGCAGTGCAGCTTCTCAGGGATATCATCAAAAGCAATGTAGAAGCTGCGGACACCGAGATTGTGGGCCTGGTTGAACTTGGTGATGGTCGCGTTGAAGTCCGAGTCGGATGAGTAGCACAGGTCATTTCCAGGTGACAGAGCAAACGTGAAGTCAACGTGGTTGGTATTGGCAGTGCTCACGATCTCCTCCAGCTGCTTAAGATCATCGCCTTCATAGAGGGTGCGCCACTTCGCGCGGAGGAGCGGGTCATCCTTAGGCGTGTAGATGTAGGTATTCAACTTATGCATTCCATAGAAGACGAGCTGATCGAGACGCGCTTGGTGCGACCAAGGAACACCGTAGAACCCCTCGATGGAGCCACGGATGGACATGAGAGGCCAGTCGCGCACCTTGATGCCGGGCACATGCTGGCCATCGACAAGTTGACGGAGGGTCTGCGACGCGTAGAATATTCCGCGTTTGTCGACTCCATTGAGCACAATGCTGGGCTGGTCCTTGTATTGGCCTGATGCAAGGACGTATCCATCGGCGGTGAGGCCGTTTGCAGATTTCCCAGCCAGCGCTGTAGCAATTGCGGCCGCCGCTGGGTTTCCCGAGCCGGTGCCGATGACGATCTGTGTACCATGGCCACTTGAGTAGGATGAAAGGACGGCTTTCCCGCCAGCAGAAGAAACAACCGATTTAATTGCTTTAATCGTGGCTGCATCTGTGTCGTTGCCCGTGACGATGGTCACTGTGCCGTCGAGCGAGACCCCCTTGCCGCTCGATGAGATCTCTTGAGGAGAGGGCCATACCTCCGGCAGTTGATGGGTTGGCGCCGCGATGGCCGGTCCGAGGGCGAGAAGGCCGACAAGAAAGGCTCCCAGGCGTTTCGAGTTATGGGGGTACATCATGGTGAAGTGTAGGTGTGGGGGTACAAGATATCAAAGGTTAGGGGCGTGGTAGTATTTATATCGATCCACGAGGTTAATGTTTACGACCCCTTAATAGGTTTCGGGAAGTGTTACATTTGATTGCCAATAGGACTTATTACGGTAGGATAGCACTTCGTAGGCGTTAGAGAGAGACCAAAGCCAGGGGTGACATTCGAGAACAAAGTTCCGTTTCGCCTATCCTACTTTATCTCGCGTGTAACGTTGCGATCGCCAAGCATGAGTTTGATTTTTAAAAGTGGCTAGAATCGTAGTTTAATAGCCAGAGTCTATACCTTCATAAAGTATCGAATGGGGTTGTGTCGGCACTGGGGCAGATGGAAATTGAACATTTAGTAGCTGGCACCCTAAGTCGATAATTTTCATCTGATGGTTATTGACCTCTTGTCTGCTCATCTTGTTTTATGTAAAGTACATACGGATCGACTACCGTTAAATGGAAAAGATCAGCCGTTACATCTTCGCTTAACATTGATTGCGGGCCATCGCGACGAAATGCGGGGTGTCGTGCTGAAGTCAACATTCCCCGCATTCTTATCAAGGTCGCATTTCATAGCGGCTAATATTGAAGCTATATACACCAGAAGTTGTGGCGATTGGCGGAATTAGCCGTGAAACATTAAGGCCTGCTAAGGAATGGCTAACGATGTGTTGAATCATTTCGGCTATAGTATAGCTTATTGTTGACGGGCGTAGCCTCTTCGGACGCGACTCATAGTATACAGTTAGTTATACCTTGGATCAGGTACAATGCGACTTTATTTCATTATCACCTAGTTGTGAGCTATCTATCGCGGGCTGGAGTCTGCAGCAATCTTCGCTATCCCAGCTTGGCCAACTGCATGTTCAAGTTACTTAACCGAGCTCTGGTACTCTTCCTGAGTAGACAGGTTAACCACAATAACGTAGAGCACATCCTACTGTAGCATCTTTTTGACGATGCGTCTCTTGGCATCAGGATCTTGGTTAACACGGTCGAGGAAAGAGTTTTTGCGCTGACGCATCTGAAGCTCGCGAGCTGTTTGCACAATCACTTCAATCACGGTGCCTACTACAATCACGGTGCCTACTACAATCACGGTGCCTACTACCGCGCAAAAAGTGTTGGGGATTGAGCCTATGATAGCTCCTGCCAGCACAGTAACTTCAATCCACCCCGAAGCCTATGCATTTAGTTAGAGCCATGCCAAGACGAAATGAAAAAGACTGAACTGAACAAATGCTCACCTTGTTCACATTGTTCAGGTCTTTGACAAATCCCAAGGACACTTCCTAACTAATTCCACTGTCGGCCAAAACTGGAGCATAGGCCCGAACGAATCCGCGATCCCTCGCCCTGGGACGAGCCTGAGGAATGATGACAGGACACTGGAGTCGCTGTGATTCTTGAGGAGGCGGGCCTGCCTTGGCAACGAGGTCACGAACAAGTCCATCCCTCCACTTGATTTTGGCATCCTCTGGCTCGTTTTCCGAAGGTAATGTGCCCGACTCTGCTTCACTTGTTTCAGGCTCCATTTGCTCGGCCATGTCATCAATCTGCCATACCGCTTCGTCCTGGTTGAGATCGTCTATCGAATCGTAACTATGTTGGATATGCCTCGTAACCCCGGCATTATGTAGCGGGCTGTCTTGAGAAACACAAGGATCGATAGGTTGGCGTTGACTGCTACTCTCGACGGGTAGAATCCGCAGGGAGCTCGGCGTACTCTTGAGCATCGTTCGCGAGCGAGTCGGCGGACTTGGAGGTTTTTTTGGACGAGCGATCGCGGGCGACATGAATATCTTCTGAAGTGTAACCAAGGCCCGAGCTCAGCAGCTTGACCACGAAAGCCATATCTGCTGCCTTGAATATAGACTTGGCTTTTTGGAATAGAAAATGGGTCAAGCCTCGAGTAGATGCAGAAGGGTAATTCTGCAGAACAGACGGGGAGCCATCTTTTATATCTGGCCCCCATCCTAAAGATAGAGGCTCTTCAACTAGCCTTCTGGAGCTTCGGTCGTCGCCCTGATCCCCGATTCCGGCAGGAAGCGCGAAGAAGACAGCCGTTCTACGCAGCTTGGGGCCAAAATTAGTCAAGAGCTCTACTAACAATCACTACCGAGTCAGGATAATATCAGTGCCAAGCCTCTGGCCATCCACAGCAACCCTCTCGAAGTCTCCACCGGTGCCGCCGATCCTCGCACCTTCCAACCACTTCAGCATGGCTTGCCAACATGCAGGCTGCGGATCATTGCTCAGAAGAGTATATTCCTTGGCGGCAGTGCTTCATACTTTGAGCCCTGCGATAACAACCCGACCTTGAGGAGACAATGCTAGTCGCGAAGCATTATAAAAGCTCTCTGCTCGCCGGGCATTTTGCTACTTTCGATCATATTTCAATCAGTATCTCACAGTCATCGGCTTCCAACAATTCCAACAAAAAACCCAGTTTGCATACTCAGCAACATCCCAAGAACTACTTGTCTTTCAAATAATTTCTACGTCATGTCGCAATACGGTCCTACCTCCATGGAACAGCGGCCCCAGCCCTACGCTCACCAGAGTCAACCACAAGGCCAATATCACCAGCCGGTAAGTACGATAGAAGGCGGAGACATGGCTCATATTGCCTCGCGAAACGTTTGCTATTGTTTCATTCATGATCTGTCATTGTACCAACAACAGAGTACTAACATGAATATACAGCCGCCTTCATCTGCCCCACCAGAGTACAACCAGCAGGCCTATCCTCCCCACCATGACCATCAGGCGCAAGGCCAGTACTATAATGGCCCTGCCTACGATCAACAAACCGGACAGAACTTAAACCCGCCTCAACAGCAATATCAGCAGACTGGAGCCAATCTTTCATATTACAACGGGGAGCAATTCTCAGACCCGAACGATCGCAATGCACCCGAAGGCGAAAAGGGTCTTGGCTCGACCGTTTTCGGAGGAGCCGCTGGTGGATTTATGGGTCATAAGGTGGGAGGTGGATGGGGCACCGCCGCAGGTCCCGCTCTTGGGGCTATGGGCATGAACATGGCAACTCATAAGATGTAAGTGTGATTTCTAACGAAACATCTTTTGCTATGTTGCTAATGAGTATTCCAGGAAACAACAAAATACTTCACCCACACAGCAATATGTAGCTGCGCCTGTTGCCGGTAATAACGGCTTGGGTATGGGCCTGCTTGGACGTCGTGGAGGCCTAGGTATCGCCAACCGCCGACTTGCCCGCAGGGGATTGATCTAGAGGATATTTCTGGATGCTGTCGCTACATGTATTTTTCGACTCAACCATGGCGTTAGAATGTGACTACTGGATCTGGTTCAACGATTCTACCAAAGCATGATGATATCCACTATCTGTCTTTCTTGTATTTTCCTCCTAGTATTATAATCGAAGCGAGTGCATTATCTAACTTATAGACAATTTAACATCACAAGAACCAGCTATTTCTCATGAGACCTTGGTAAATTACCATATCTCATAAAAAGGGCATTATACTGACTTTCACTGATCCAAAATTCATGCTGCTTCTGCCAAATAGGGCGTTTCATACGGGCGCTCGGCCTGCGGTGTGATGCGTGCCAAATGGCGACGCTCTCCGGTAGTCCAATCAACGATAGCGGAGTGAGCAGTGACACGATTCTATGAATTTGTGAGTTTGTTACCCCTCGGCTATTCTATTCAGGGAAATACTCACGTCCCAAACAACAACGGTCTTGGGTGCCCAGCGAATACGAGCTTGATAGTCAATACCGCGCCCAACATGGGCTAGCAAAAAGTCCAGCAGGGCGTTGCTCTCTTCTTTTTTCAGCCCGACAATACTGCGAGTGACTATCAATTGTGTCAGTGCCTCAGTTTATCTGGGTACGTATAGGATCATGGAACAACTTACAGCCACCATTGACAAAAAGTGCCTTCTCTCCAGTGACCGGATGAGTCCGGACAAGAGGATGCTCATTCTTCACCGGCTCTCGTCGTACCACACCTCCACGGTTCAAACTGAACTCAGCCTGCTCAACACCGGAATGAACAGCCTTCAGTCCATGGAGCCGCTCCTTGATCGCTGGAGAAAGCCGATTATAGGCCACCACCTGGTTCACAAAAACAGTGTCTCCGCCCACCTCGGGACCGTCAAGTAGGTATAGGAAGGTAGTTCCAGGCGGCTGCTGTTCATATGTGACATCCGAGTGCCATGAGACGCAACTGTTCTTTCCTGCAAGGTACTCGTCAAGCTCCCAGGCGTTGTTGTTCCGATGAACCAGATGAATCTCAGGATATCCTTCCGGCGACCCGCTGGTGGGGTGGATATGGTGTCGTCCGAAATATCCACCAAAATCCAGGGCCTCTTGAATTGACAAGTCGGCAAAGTCTTGGTCTCTGAAAGCGACAACCTTGCGTTGAGCGACGAGTAGAGCCAACTGGTCTTTTCCAGCCGATGTGAGTTTGCTGAGCTGGACACCTGTGACTTCGGAACCGATCGTTGGGGTGAGCCTTTGGATACTCGAGCCTTCTTCCAAAAGGTCTTTGAGCGAGGGATCGGCATCCTTGCCGTGTTCAACGTGGTTGAAGGGCTCTAGAACGGAATATTTCTCGCCATGATCCCAGGTTGGAAGGTAGTTTGGGTACTAAATGATTGGTGAGGTTAGCCACTGAGAGTTGGCGCCGATGTAGCATAACGTACACTAGCAGTAGTCTTCTCAAGGCCGCCTTCCTCTTCGATAACTCTCCGTACTTTGGGCTTCGAAGTATTATCGTCGGGATTTGCTTTGATGGGTACAACGACCTCTGTGGTAGGAACGTCGGCGATAGACGGCACCATTTTGGCTTCTCAATTTGACTTAAGAGTATGGATAATTCTGCTCACAGGGTTAAAATCTGCAGTGTCCTTTCGCTGTAGCTTAAGTTGCAAGCCAGCTTAAGTATCCCAGGATGACTTTTGCACGCCATGTCGTCTCAAAATCACGTATTCATCTTAACACTGATTATACGAATGTACATAGGATGAAAGGCGTCATTTGATGTTGTCGGGCTGTTATTGGGCATACAAAGCACGTTGCAAGCACCCTGAGACGGTGTTCCGCGCCATAGGGCTTCATAGTATCACATCATACCTAATAGCCCGGACGATCGTTACCCGGAACGCGAGCTCGAACAATAACAAGCTCTGAATTCAATGCCTTGGGGGAAAGGGGAGACCCTTGATAGATTGGGTCTCAGAGACACAAAGATATGACCACTATGTATACTGAGAATTATTGGATAAATTAGCGTGATTACGCTAAAATAGGTATAAAAAGATACTTTCTTACGTGTTCGTAGCCGTTTGTCACTACATGATTATGTACATTTCATTATTGATGTCCATATGGCGTGATATGATGCCAATGCTAACCCTGCAATTATCAGTGAAGACAGAGCGGAGCATAAAAGATACATAGCACATGTCTAATTAAAGCTTTATAGGGATTATTTCTGCTTTAATTCTCACGGGCTAGGTGAAACTACCTAGCCGAGGTTCCAGCTGTGTACAACTGTGAGTGAAAGTATCATAATGCTTAAGAGCAGAGATCCCGGTCTCGTCAAACCGACTGAAGAATACGCTAATATTCCAAATGTATTTTTCTAAATTTTTATATCTATTCTAGTGGCTATTGACAAGCCTTGGCAGTCTGCTTTTTCTTGTCACTCAACTCCGCCCTTTCCTTGACCAGCTCCGAAATGGCTGTACCGGTTTCGTTACCAAGCTTCGCAAAGCCCTCAATGACACCTTCACGATCACCCGGTCGCATCTCCTGGCTCATCTTGTATTTGCCTTCGATCTTGGTGATCCGAATCTCGATTCCGACGATGTTTCGCTTCAAGATATCGAGATAAGATTGTGGAGCATCAGCGACCTTCCATGATTGCGGTCGATCACCACCAGTGTAACCCATGATAGAGGTTTCAGTATGTTGGGACAAGTCATGAACCTGCTGCGCCAGGAATCTGCCAGCCTCGGCGGTCTTGGAGTCGTAGTAAAGGCGGAGCTTGCCATAAACTTGCACGGCGGAGTAGTTCCACGTCGGTACAACCTTTCCAGTATCGGGCTTAGTATCGGTGTAAAATTTCGGGGTGACATAATGGTCGTGTCGTCCATTAAACAGGACTAAAACATCATTATCGAGCTCCAGGACGTTTGGCGGCTTCTCGTCGACGGCTTCGATCATGGCCTTCACTTGCGGGTTCTGCTTCGCGATGTGGGCACGGAGACGAGGCTCTGCGCCTCCATACTCCTCAGGAAGATCGAGGACACAGGGAACATGAGTGCATTGCAGAAAGTCCACTTGGGATGAGTTTTGGCCTGTGATGAGGATGCCAAGAGGGTTCTCTTTGATGAATTGGAGGAGCACCTCCTTGTCGGTCTCGGCATGAACGCTGGGCAAAAACATTTTCAATCGGATTCCCAGCAAAAGCGCAATGTATTTTCAATGTGTATAACTGAAGAGTGCCGCAGATGCTGCTTAAATATTTCGGATCATTATTCGTGGGACGGTAAGGCGCCTTGCCCTACCCGGAAGGTCGCTTCCGCGCGGATGTAAGCACCCACCTCCCAATTCGGGCAAATTTGCGCCCTTTCTTGGCAATCTGGCAAGTATGACTCAGTATATTCTCTGCGTTTACTCACGTTTTGCATCTTCAGGTTGAGGTGCTGCTGTCTAGAACAGGCTGCTTATTCACGATCTGGAGGTGTATGCAGCTTCTAGCCTCTTCCAGTTAGTGTCGTTTCCGTGCACTTGATCAGGCAACGTGTGGATCCTTGTCAAACGTTCATTTGTAAACAAGCCAATAATATAGGGAAGAATTACGTTTGTGTGCCCGTCTACCCGCTGGCCGATATTTTGATCCCGAGGAAGGATCTCCTCATCCGCCCAAGGCTGAAGCTGGATATAGTTGGAGGATCATACGTCACAGGGACCTGGGATACTTGAGATCGAGTGCCTGAATCGATGCTCGAGGAAGCTAAGAGCCCGTCTCAGCTTATTTAGACTCATAATCTAGAATTGGGTCGTGCCAAATGCTTTTCTTCACGATGACTCCAAGTTTGTACAGAAAACTGGAGTTCCATCCAGATTATAGTGTGCGATTCAGATGATGACTTCATCAATGGAGATTACTCCTGTGCGCAGACTCTATTAGGGTATTACATGGTCATTAGCTACCAAGGAAATATTAATTGGGAGCCTCGTCAAAGCCGGGAGCCTCTTCAAATCAGGAGAATATGTATGTTTTGGAAATTTCGAAAGTAAATTAGGATCCAATACAACGAGCCTGACGTCTTCGCCCCCAAACTCCGGCGCTCAGCCACCTTCGGCAGACGGCCAGTAGAGTCTAAATTGACAGCCCCTGAAGGCATTGTCCTCTTCGGGTATCGCCGGGTATCCAACTAAAATGCAGTGCATGAAAAGAGATTTCCTTGCACTAAAATTGCAGAGTTTATTACACTAGTGAGACTCAGAGTCACATTGAGCACTGGCACTGAATCAAATATAATGTTGACGACTTTCTACTCTAGGTAACGATCGACTATCATTTTATCCTTTCGTCCTTCGGAGAAAATTGCATGCCTGATGTCCACAAGCTGGCTAATCGGATAGCCTTGCTTCCGTCTCAGGTGCAACTACATTAAACAACTACATTAAACAACAAAGTGGATTAAACAACAAAGTGGAATTGGGGAACTTGATACTTTAGTCCAAACTCAGTTAAGTCAATGACGGCAGGTTTAATATCCGATACGTATTTAAGTCTCTGTGAGAACCAACAAATTCAAGCAATCACTCTAGGTCAAAAGTTTCTTTTAGAATTCAAAAGAGCATAGAGAAAATCCCGGTCAGGCCAGCAGTTTTTTTCAGTCATGAATGGGGCCCTTTCAGTATTGCTGCCTTGTTGGCGTGCTTCTATTCCACAGCATTGGCGAGTAAAAGTCGCTTCTCAGTCGAGACATTCAAGGCTCCAAAAAGTCATTCTCTCGTAGGTCGCTCGACCGGCTCTAGCGTCTCAAGCCAAACTACCATTTCTTGAATATCACTTTCGGACAACAGACTTTCCCGATCGAAATTGACACGGCACCTCCGCCCTATGGCTCTTTACCACCACAAATACTCCGGCCAATGAGACGATGGCCATCCGCTGTATGATCCGAGCAAGTGTTCTACATTCGCCTCTCAGGATGGATACCATTTCAGTATTGACTATGCTGATGGCACTGGGCAGTCCGGCCCTCTGGGGACCGAGGATGTGACTATTGGCAGTGTTACCATTAATTCGCCGTTTATCGGCGTTCCCAATGATGTTCGAACAAACTCAAATGCTGTGCGGGCTGGGTGTTTGGGTATGGCGCCGAATGCATTTACCATGGCCCCTCAAGACGAGAAGACATGGCATCAGAATGCGGAGTCGACGCTTGACCAGCCCCTTTGGACTGTTGACTTCCACAACGACAAGCACGGGCCCATGGATTTTGGATTTATCGACGTGAGTAAGCCTAAAAGCGATCCTATGTTGATTGTGACTTTTCCTCTGGTGCCTGGTCGTTTAACGTCACACAATGGAATGTTCCTGATGATCAGCCCGTTGGGGCTTTCCTCACCATGATCCCCGATATGGCAACGCCTGTTACTTCTTTGCCTATTGGAGTGACCGATTATTATTATTCCAAGATTCCAGGTTCTTCTCCGTAAGTCAGCCGAGATGCATAGCCCGAAAGCCCAGTGCACTGATGCTGATGCATGATCTCTTGATCCCTTAGGGACCCTGATGATTCCACCGCCTACAATATTCCTTGCGACTCCAAAAAATCCACCTGATTTTGTCCTCGGATTCGAGAATGGTGGTTCCGTGATGATTCCCGGCTCCATGATGATCGAGGGAACTGCTGGCGATAGCTGTCGGGGTGCTCTGTACATTACGGATTCGGACAGAAACTTGGGATCCGCTATGTTTAATTCAAACTTGGTTGTCTTCAGTCAGACTAACCAGCAAGTTGGATTTGCGCTGAAGCCTTGAATCCTCGCTTCGTGCCAAATCTCTCCCAGGCGGATGACGGTGAAGCCAAGTTGATGATGCTTCCAGGAGATTAGCATTGATGGAATGAAAATCAGTTTCAGAGTGATCGTATCCTGTAGTGGAATCCTGTATTAGACCACTGCTCATGCTGCCTTCCCCTCCCACAAGGTAGTCAGGTGGATAACCATGTGGCAATCAGGTGTCGATTGTCGCCTTGTCGCCTCAGGCTGCCAACATGACACTTGAAGCGCGAAGACAGCCGAGGGGATCATTGCATTGCAAATTCTTGCTGGCGTCGCGCACCCGCCGGTGTCACAGGAACCAAAGTTGACCCTGAGACCGACCCTTCGACCCTCCAAATGTTCCAGATGTTCCAGGCCTGCCCCTCCCAGACTGCCTGATTGGCTTGCCACGAGCCAACCTAGCGGGGACTGCCAATGACACGCTGAGCGATGGGGCAAATGGAGAGCCATGCGTGTCACAGACGCCACCAGGCACAACTATTACAACAGACAAGCGGTCGTGGTGGACAATATCTGCCAGTGTGGAGTGTGGACGACTCACACTCTCTTTGCCAGAGCCACGGACACCTACGTAAATCTCTTTCTGCAGCATCACTGCAGTACACATAAGTGTAGGCGATCGGCGACGCCGCTATTCTAAAATTATCGAGTTGATCCAGTCCAGACCCCCCCAGAACCCACTTTTCTTTCATTCTTGGGCTTGCTTGTCTCACTCCCGCCGATCGGCCTTCTTATTCGGGCGTCCGAACACTCGTTCCTCTTTGCGATTTCCTTCTTCCCCTCTTTTTCCCCAGGCAGGCCAGCTGGGCTTTTCTTCCGGCTTTTCATCCATGCACCCTAGTCATTCGTTTCACCTGTGAAATACTCACTCTCTTCTGCGGGCGCGATGGATCTGCGCCAGAGCTTACAGCTCCGCGACGATACGTCCGGGACTGACGAGTTCGTCAAGCTTATCTCAAATCCGTTTCGCAACCAAGTACGTTGTCTATCAATGACTTGGGTTGACAGACGGAACACCTGCTAACAATTCTACCTACATAGTTCACTGTCACTGCCATCTGGGCTTCCCTTGGAACCTCGATCGGATTCTCCATCCTCCTCGCTCTCCTCTTCTCCCTCTTTCGACCCCGTCACTCGGTTGTCTATGCCCCGAAAGTCAAACATGCGGACTCGAAACATGCGCCTCCTCCGGTAGGAAAAGGCTTTTTCTCATGGGTGAAACCGGTGCTGCGCACTCGAGAGCCTCAACTGGTCGACACACTCGGCCTAGATGCCGCTCTTTTTCTCCGCTTTACCAAAATGTGTCGGAACATCCTGATCTTCATGAGCATCATCGGTTGTATGGTCATGATTCCTGTTAACATCACCCAGAGCAAAGGCAATGGCGATCAGTCAAACCTATCGGTCTTGAACACCATGACGCCCCTCTATGTGGTCAATCCGACAGCGATGTGGAGTCAAGTGGTATGTGCCTGGGCTTTTGACATTATCATTGTGTTCTTTCTCTGGAGGAACTATCGAGCTGTTCGGGCACTGCGCCGTCAATACTTTGAGAGCTTCGACTACCAGCGCAGCCTCCACGCCCGAACTCTGATGGTCACCGATATTCCTGGGCCAGATCGATCTGACGAAGGCATTCTTCGAATCACCGATGAGGTCAACCCCACTGCTGCTCTCCCCCGTGCCGCAATTGGTCGCACTGTGAGGGATCTGCCTACCATTATCAAGGAGCACGAGGATCACGTACGACAATTGGAATCCGTTCTCGCCAAATACCTCAAACGCCCAGATCAATTGCCTGCGAAGCGGCCCACCATGCGCCCACCTCGGAGCCAACGGAGCAAGCATCCAGGTGGTAGAGTGGATGCTATCGACTACTTGACGGTGCGCATCAGGGTCTTGGAAGAAGAGATCAAACATGGGCGAGCATCGATTGACCGCCGGAACGCTATGCCGTACGGGTTTGCCAGTTGGGAAAGAATCGAGCACGCCCATGCTGTCGCGTGGACTGCGCGCAAGAAGCACCCGAGGGGTACTACTATCGCTCTGGCGCCCCGGCCGAGTGATCTGATCTGGGAGAATCTGCCTCTGACAAAGCAAACGCGCAAGTGGAAACGTTTCATCAACTTCATCTGGGTGACTCTCCTGACTGTCGTCTGGATTGCACCGAACGCCCTGATCGCGGTCTTCTTGTCCAACTTGTCGAATCTGGGCCTTGTATGGCCTGCATTCCAGACAGAGCTTGAGGCAGACCCCCATGTATGGGCTGCTGTGCAGGGTATCGCGTCGCCGGCGCTTACTTCTCTTGTCTATCTTGTGCTGCCGATCATTTTCCGACGCCTTTCGGTTCAAGGTGGTAGCAAGACCAAGACTTCTCGGGAGAGACATGTGCTGGGCCAGCTCTATGCATTTTTCGTTTTCAACAACCTTATTGTCTTTTCGCTCTTCTCGGCTGCATGGACATTTGTTACAACCGTGATTGAGAAGAGCAGCGAGGCCGAGAATGCATGGCAGGCCATTGTGGACAGCCAACTTTATACTCAGCTGGTGACTGCTCTGTGCAATGTTTCGCCCTTCTGGGTGACTTGGCTTCTGCAACGTAATCTGGGTGCCACCATTGATCTGGTACAGATTATCACTTTGACATGGGTGTGGTTTGCGAAGACCTTCCTTTCGCCGACGCCTCGACAATCGATTGAATGGACTGCCCCGCCGCCATTTGACTACGCCAGTTATTACAACTACTTCCTTTTCTACGCGACTGTGGCATTTTCCTTTGCTACTCTCCAACCAATTGTACTGCCAGTGGCTGCGCTGTACTTTGGTGTTGATGCCATGCTGAAGAAATACCTGCTGATGTACATGTTCGTGACCAAGAATGAGTCTGCAGGAGCGTACTGGCGCGTCTTGTTCAACCGCTTAGTATTCGCAACCATTCTTGCTAACCTCATCGTCTGCCTTGTCGTCAAGGCGAGAGCCACTTGGACTATGGTGTTTTGCGTCCTCCCGCTGCCTTTCTTGATGCTGGGATTCAAATTCTACTGCATGAAAACCTTCGATGACGACTGCCACTTCTACAACCGCGGAAACCTAAGTGATGCTGAAGCACTGGCTGCTTCCAAGTCTGGCAAGAAAGCCGGTGATCGCCTCAGCTCCAAGTTTGGTCACCCAGCACTTTATAAGCCGCTCATGACCCCAATGGTTCATGCTAAGGCTGCGGAGGTTCTCAAGGCCATCTACCAGGGCCGCTTGGAGCACAACGACTTGGGTGGCGAGTACTCCGACATTGCAATGAACCCAATGATGCCATCGGAACCCGGAAAGTCCGCCGACCCCGCTCCGTTCGAGGTCGTCCCCGAGAATCAACTGGATTTCTCGTACTTCAAGGACCGCGCCGACTTCCGCGACGAGTTCGGTGGAGGCATCTACGGCAGGCCGGAGGACCTGATGACCGAGCGTTCCCAAACCCCACGCAGCACCTTGGGCGACTGGTCACCGAGCTCCTCCCGTGCATCATCTCCGGTTCCCTCTCTACCTTCAATGTCTGGGCTGAAGGTGCACGACGGCTACGAGGCTTCCGAGGGCGCCCCTCTCGTCCACCCTGCCTTCCGTGTTCCCCTGTCACGGGGTGATAGTGGTGGTCTTTACCAACAATCAAATGAGAGCGAGTCAAGACTCCTCGGTCATGCTCAGACTCCCGCGCACACCGAGTCCTCCAACCCGCTCGACCGCTGGCGCACTGGCGGCTACGGCCCTGTTGAGCAGGATGATGATCCTGTTTCATACACTTCGTATGAGCCCTACCGCGCTCAGCGGTAGTCATTGATCTCCATCATTTTCTTCATTTAAGAAGTCTATCTGTGCACATACTGTTTCTACTTCTGGCGAATTTCTGCTTTTCGATACGAGATCACGAACTTTAATCCTTTGCATTGAGCGGGACTCTGGAATTAATCATACCATAGCTTGTACAAAACATACACAAATGAAAAGTGTCTATTTGAAGTTCTATTGTTGGCTTTCATAAGCGTTACTAAGGTTACAAATATCTCATAGGGTGCATTTTCGGGTTAGTAGTTAGTTCATGCGCTGTCTGCATCGTAAGAAGTCCACTACCATACTACAAATACTCGCCGTAAAAGTGGTGGCATGTAAAAGATGAGAATCAAACATGAAACTGGCATTAGCCCATCACGGGCAAGAAAAACGTACCTGACGCACTGAGGAAAAGATCTTTGGAGAATGACCCTGGGCCTTGAATGCTAGTACGCATCTTCATCCCAGGTCATTCGGTAATCCGAACGAGAGTCGTTACCGTCGTCGTAGTCGTCGTCGTCGTCGGCTTCGTCGTCGGACCGCGTCGCCAGCGGCGTCTCTTCGACCTCGTCGAATTTGTCCATGATTGTCTTTTGGCTTTGTCGGATCTTGAGTTCCAGGTCTTTATTCTGGCTCATCAGAGCCACGATGCTGTCCTGCATCTTCTTGAGTTGAGCTTCGCGGACTCGGTCGCGTTGCCCCAGCTGCTCGAGACGGAATTTGCACTCTCGGCTGTGTTGCTCCAGCTCCTCGATGCGGGCCTCCAGCTTCTTGACTTCGGGCTCGCGGGCCCTGAGATACCCAGTGACTTGGTCGAGTTGGGCTAGTTGGCCATCGAGCTTGGCTTGTTGGTCCTCGAGTCGTCCGTGATGCACCGACAGAATCTCCTGGTGGTCCTTTGTATCGGCACTACTGTGCGCAAAGGTATCCACTTGCTGGGTGCACCACTCGAGGTTTGCTTCGATGGTGCTGAGTCTGTTGTTGGTATGGCTCATTGCGCTGTGTGCCAGGTTAATGTGGGTACTCACCTCCTGCTCCAGGTGCCGCACCTGGCCCTTCAAGCGGAATACGTCCGAGTTGAGGTAGGACATCTTGAATTTTTGTAGTTGATATGCGATCAGCTGCGATTTTGATGGCTGTTGCCGTAGCGGTGTCCTGGGGTTCGCAGCTGTTCGGGGATAATCAAGGTGATGGGGGCGCTCCACTTTCTTCACTTCGGCAGCACCAGGCACCAAGGCCCTAAGGCCTTAAGGCATCAACTCGCCCTCGCACCTTCCTCTCCCGCTCCAGCAGTTCGTCGATCGTGTCCGCCATCCTCGCAGCCATTCGTTCGATACCCAATGTCCCGGCACTTGGTCTTGATCCCTAACTGCCACCGCCTTGCTTCTTGATTCCCAGCTCTTGTCCCGTTCGTTCCGAGCTTCACCGCGGCAGTCCTTTCCCCCGCATCGCGTTCCATCTACCCCGGATTTCATGACCAAGGAGCGATCATTCGCATCACGAGACCAGTGCCGGTAACGTCTAATTCAGTCACATACAACTACCGACAGCTTGCAGCTTGCAGTGGTGTCTATTAAAGCGTCCCAAGGGGCCCCTACAACATCGCAACCACGCACGCGGCTGTACCCTTTCGCCCAGGGCCATCACACCATGGCATGGTACTCTATCCTCCCACCCCAGCTCATCCAGTTTGAGAGCTGGGCTGTCCGTATCTTCGTAAGTCTCCCATGCTTTTCCTCTCCTGTGGAACTCAGACCACACCTGCCCAGTTCTTCTCAGAAGTTAATCATTTTGGCCTCATAGTTCCTCCTCGGCCTCATTACCATTGTCCCCTGGTTCGCCATGCTCGTTTTTGATGCCGGCCTATATCTCTACCGAATGATCCTTTGGGAGTTTCCATGGGTGGGTGGACGAGCTCGTGGACACCAGCGCCCCCGCGCGCCGAGCTTACAAGAACGACCAGACGGACAACGACGCGCATTCGGGCTGAAAGGCGTGCAAAGTGACTCGGGTGACAGTTCTCGGGAGTGTGTATCGGCCTCGAAGAATAGTGCTGAGAAAGAGAATGTGGCCCCGGCTACCGAAGGTCCCGCACATCCCAGCACAGACGGAGACGTGAAGCGTAGGACCTCTGGACGAGCATGACTGTTCGAGGCTTCTACTGGCGATCTCGCAGTGTCTATGATATCTTCGTTACATTTTTTTATGGCGTGCATGGCGTTTGTATTCAACAGCCGGATAACGATACCCTTTCCGGCAGTCTTTATTGATGGGATAAGCTTGCAGAGGCAGTTGCATGGTACGAGTTTTGACGAGTTCCACGAGACTCTTTACGTCGACGTGGCTCTGTGAACATATTGTTATACCCTTCCTAGTCGGTAATATCAGAGATTCCCTGGCATCGGATAGTTCCGTCAAAGTGGAGATAGAAAGCGATCAAAGCCAAAGACGATTCCCCTCTGCGGAGTCTGTGCGGAGTAACGGGGTACTGATAAGTCATTACTCGTGGGTTCGATCTCTGTGTCCTTTTCATAATCCTACACGCCTGGTGAGAAGCTCTCTCGGTTGGCAGACATCGCAGCTACTCTAGTATATTCGCCCAGAATGGCCGAGGTCGTCCAGAAGGTGCTCGATGTGCTGCTCAGAAGCGAATCGCCATATCTTCTGTTTTTCCTTGCCATTTTTTTGCCGGGTACATGTATCTGTGCCTGGCGATGGATTCATCAACGCAAGCCTTCGCCAATAGCAAGATCAGATCACAAGAAATCCGGTATCAAAAACGAGGTACCGGTTATCACACCTCTGAGAGACTTCAGCTGGCAGACAACCGAACCGCTGCAACTACGCCCGTTCCGAGGAAAGGAGAAGTATAACCTGACTATGGGTGAGGAGCTTCCTCATGGTGAAGCATGATCTGAAACTAATACACAATCTAGCTATTGAGAACCTGGACCCATCAGAGCTGATCCAGATGGATAACACATACGAGGATCGCATAAAGAAACGCAAATCCATCCTGGATAAACACCACGATATTGTTGTCGCAACAAACGAGAAATCATCTAAAGACATACGCATTCGCACGGCAGTCAGCGAGCTCTATACCTTCGTTCTTGGTACATATCTGCCAACGCGCTATCCCGGCATGTTCAGGATAAGCCACGGCGCAGGGAATCCGTCAAAAACCTTTGAGAATTTTGTCACCGGCGCAAAATGGCCAACTCGACTTGCAGAGCGCACACCCACAATCCAAGCACTTGAAATTCTCACACAGACAGTCGACGAAGAATTCTTTATTCTTCTTCCTGACCTCTCAGCACCGGTGGATAACCCGAAATATATCCTTCAAGCTTACGCGACTTGTTTCCCGTCTGGCTTCAACACAAGCGAAAAGCTCGGTCTTCGACTGGCAGATATTCATGGTCCCGTGCCTGGCTACGCAGACAAGCTTGAGCGCAGTATGGATCGATTCTTCGCGAAGATCGATGTCGGGAAGTTCGTCAAGAGAGTGAACTGGGGCGTGACAACTGAGACGGATCTATTTGCTGCTTTCGGATCTATGTATGCTTCTCAAAATTCAGACCCGCAGACGGAGCAAGTTATCAGTCCCGAGAATTTGAAAGTGGATCAGGTAAGTTTTGAAATTTGCCTCTCGCCAGAATATACCTGATGTTTGGTTCAGACGGTTCTACGGTGCGAGCGCCAGACTCTACATAGACTGCCTCAATCTAGGGCTCTTGTTTTTGCTTTCCACACATATACATATCCTTTGCAGCAGATCAAAGATGAAGGAATGGGAGAAGAACTGGCCACAGCGATTGAAGGGCTGAAGAAAGGCAACATCCCAAATATCTATGCTTATAAGAGGGGTGATATCTGGGGGCAAGCTGTGACACAGTTTCTCAAATCTTAAAAATTGTGTCAAGGCCGTCGTGTCCTACACGCAGGTTACGTTTTGGAGAATTCAATTCATAAAGACTTCAATTCATGACATATCTAGGATGCTTTTTTTCACACAATATTGATTTAGCGCAGGCGGTCCATGACCTTGATCAGGTCAGAGGCAACACCCATGGCAGTGACATCACCGCCAGCACCAGCACCCTGGACAATCAGGGGGTTGGAGCCGTACCGCTTGGTGTAGAAGCTGATGATGTTGTCGCTACCCTTCAGACCAGCAATAGCGCTGTCCTTGTCGAAGTACTGCAGACCGACCTTGACGGCCTTGCTAGCAACATCGATGCTTCCGACATATCGGACGACCTTGCCCTCCTTCTCGGCAGAGTCCTTGATGTTACCCATCTGGACATCGAACTCGGGGAGGCGGGTCATGAACTGAGTGATGCCGTCGGCGGAGGAGGGCAGCGAAGCCAGCTCCTCGGGGATGAGAGACTCGATGGGGAAGGAGTCGGGGCGGGAGACCTCCAGACCAGCCAGACGGGCCAGGATGGTCAGCTTACGAGCAACATCCATACCGTTCAGGTCGTCACGGGGGTCGGGCTCGGTGTAGCCCAGCTCCTTGGCCTGGGCGACTACGGCGCTCCATTGGGCGTTGGAGGAGCCAGAGGCAGGTGCGAAGGTGTTGAACAGGAAGGAAAGAGTGCCGGAGAAGACACCCTCAATGCGAGTGACCTCATCGCCAGTCGCGACCAGATCCTTCAGGGTCGAAAGGACGGGGAGACCTGCGCCGACGGTGCTCTCGTGGTACACAAGAGCCTTGCCCTCAGCCGCGGAGGCAAAGATATCCTTCCACAGAGACAGGTCATCGGAGAAACCCTTCTTGTTCGGGGTTACGACGGAGATGCCCTTCTTCAGGAATGTGGGGTAGGAGCGGGCCAGGTTGATATCGGAGGTGTTGTCGACGAGGATGGCACGGCCAGGCGCAGCAGCAAGGTACGAGGCAATCTCCTCCGCGGGGAGGGCACCGGTCCTGGTCACTGAGGGCGCCGCAGAAGCAGTGGCCCAGTCGGCCGCGGGAATGGCCGGGGAGTAGGCCGGTGTCGGAGCGAGGAGGGTCTGGGAGGAACGGGCAAGGAGGACGAGTTGCGGAGGGTTAGGGAAGCGGGCGAGCTGGTTGAGGAATGCGTTTCCAACACCACCGACACCTTTTTGGAGCAATTAGCTGGTTGGCTTTCAATTGTCATCGAAAGTTTTGAGAAGCTTCATACCAACAACGCCGAGATAGATAGGGCTAGACATGATGGTAGCCAATTGTGTCAATTTATGATAGTGTAGTCAAATGGCGATATAGCTGGAGGGTAGCGCACTAATTTAAGCAAAATTGTGTATGGAATTAGGCAGGAAGAGCCAGAACACGAGCACAAATCAAAAAGTACTGCGATGTCGCCGGCGGGGCATTCGCGGGGCAGCTGCTGACTCATATCGTATCACATGACCGCGCACGCCGCAGGCTATTGGTGCCTGATACAAAAGGCAGAAAATTGACTTATCGCCTTATCTGTATCACCGCCGCGGGGCGGTCAGATTTGACCAAACATTCGAATGAACTGTCGCGACTTGGACAATCTTGCTACTCATCACGCCAAATACCTCGCTGCGTAGCCACTTTGTCGGCAAACACAGTTCCAATTCCTAGGGCGTCCTAACGCCATGTGAACATTTCCTCGATTCCGCGCGATCTGAGCACAAGAGTGTCTTAGCAATCCGAAAATATGGTTGCAGACAAACACCAGTCCAGCCTGTATGGGCAGCCCCGGCCCAAGAAAAAAGCCGAGGATGAGCCCGCCTCCGTGTCCAGCATGTCATTCGCGAGCCACATGTCCTCTCTCATCTCCTCCTCTAGGGCCACTCCCCACGACCGAGCTCGCCGTTCAAAGAACCCCAAATCCGACATCTTCGCCACACATAACAAAGGCACAGCGAAGCGTGCAGCTGCAGACCTTGAGGAATCAGACCACCATGTCTCAAAGCAAGTCCATCTCTCCAGCAAGGAACTCGGTACGGTCGATGCTGCGACGCTTGAACGGTCTAAGCGGAAGATGGAGAGGAAGGTTCGCCTTTACGATGATATGAAGAAGGGATTACATCTTGCAGCCGATAGCAGCGATGAGGACGGAGATGGTCCCAAAACTCAGTCCGACGAATACATGGCACGGCTTCGACGCCGGGAGAAGGAGGGACTCATCGATTTCGATCGTAAGTGGGCCGACGAAGAGAAGAAAAGAGAAGATGCCGAAGGCTCCGACAAAGAAAGCGAGGACGATGAAAATGCTTCAATCATCTCCTACGAGGACGAGTTTGGACGTACTCGACATGGCACCAGGGCTGAAGCAGCTCGCGCTACTCGCGAAAAGGAGGCCGAAGAAAGAGGGGAGACCGAGCAAGAGCGGTGGCGTCCCAAGCGCCCGGACCATCTAATCTATGGTGAAGCCATTCAGACGGAGGCCTTTAATCCGGATGAGAAAGTTGCTGCTCAGATAGCAAATCTTGCCTCCCGACGAGATCGATCCGTAACTCCCCCAGAGCAGCTGCATTACGATGCTGATTCCGAAAGACGAACTCTTGGCACTGGCTTCTATGCTTTCTCAAAAGACGAGGAGACCCGCAAGAAGCAGATGGCGGAGATGGAGGAGAAACGGGAGGCGACTATTCGAGAGCGCAATAGGCTCAAGGAACGAGCTAAGGTTCATCAGGACAAAATGGATGCGCGACGGCTGGAAATTGAGAAGTTGAGGGCCAAGCGAATGGTAGTTGAGCAGCTGAAAGCTGAGCGACGCTCGGAGCTGTTCATGAATGTTTTGGAGCAACAATTCAGCGCTGCGCACCCGGAGGGTGAGCAGAATGGTAAGCCAATATCCTTGTTTCGTGTTCTTGATACGGAAATTCATACTTTTCAGATGCCGTGGATGATGCCAATTCCATCCAGCCCTGATGCTTTACGAATGTTATATTAAGCCATGCACCGGTGCTTTTCGAATGTCATTTTTTTTTTATCATTGAGACAAAACAGATTCAACTTGAAGGACCATGGACGAAGACATGGCAATGAATGGTATCACATCAAATAAAATCCAAGCAGCATAGTGACCATTCATTCATTCCTTCCTTCCTTCTAGCCAAACCCCAAGCGCTCCGAAAGTCAGGTACCAGGTAATAACATGAATGGTTCGCTAATTTAAATCCACCACATCCGACTTTTTATTCATGAAATCATCCAACATAATTCATCAGTCATAATGAGGGCTCACTTAGGCGTTCTTGAGTCCAAGTCCATCCAACCTGCCGATCGGGATTAAGAGCAAGCCGCCCCTTGGAAGAATATTCTTAAACGGATGAATGTGACGGAAAAACATCAGCCATTCAGACGTAGCGCACGCTCCTGGTGTATTCATCGATAACCTCATCCATAGTATCGAGGAAGTCGTCCGCATCTATGAATTAAATATTCTGGTCAGCATTTGTCAATCACAGCCCAGGATGATCTCTCACCATGTCTACTACTGAATCTCAGATAATGCTGTCCCGTTGAAAGTCGTGGCGGGACGCAGTCATCTTCGGGCACCATAACCATTGGCTTCAGGTAGCGTATTACCACCGTTTTTGTATCGAGGGACGTAAGCCAATCGCGTCTACCGATGCTGCGTGTCACAAAGGCGGTCCAGATGGGGGTTCTATATCATATCCCCGGTTAATATGAAGATCAAAATTTAGACCTGGACTTTCAAAAAAAAAAACGTACCGATCGCTATTTCCCCTGTGAATTGATGACTGGAATCGAACCGTTTCGGTATTTTTGTCCTGGAAGACACGGAAGCCGCGCTTATAACCCCCTCGATTATTTCGCTAGACTATGTTAGTACGATGCACGATTTTGGAGTCTAGAGAATCCAGCCTACCCAGCAAAAATCTCCTCTTCCCCTTCCATCTCCCAGTCTCGGATGCTTGAGACCGGCTTGTACCTATCTTGGGCACGCAATGCCAAAAATGAACAGAAAAATGCCGTCATAGCTGGATATTGAAGAATGGTTAGCGATATTGAGAGACCGGGTGCTGGTGGATATGTGGCTTGCGTACATTCGATGGTGGTAAAATAGAGGGAAGCCCACTCGTGAAGCTCGCTCCCCGAATCGCGTCGTCGGCAAAGTCGAAGGACGGGACCTTGTCTAATGACCTCCAACAAGTTAAGGGGAAGACAGTAGTACTCCTTTTCTCCATCTCGAGGCACCCTGATTACAATACGAATGCGATTATCGGATTCGCGCAGGTAGAAGTAAACTCTCATTTGAGCGCTGAGGTGCCTGCAAACAGTTTGTCAGTAGCCATACTGGTATATTAATAGAACTATCGTGTGTACTCACATGCGAGTCAATAGGACGAACCCCATTTCCTGAAGCTCGCGCTTGATTCCCGGATTGGGTTTGCCAGAGCATCCTACTCTACATCATCAAATTAGCCTGGGACTCTCATGTCCGCTTAGCTTATTACTCACACTTGACGCCCCTCACTCTGGAAAGGCGTTTCTGGCTCATCGCGAGAGAGAACATCATGAATCCAATGGTCTCGAATCGTATCGGAGCGTGACGACTGACTAGTACTGGTGGTTGCAGATGCCGATCCTGTGAGCGGAGAACTGGGAGCCTCTGGTGCCAATGGGGGAGGTGGAGGTATATTAAAGCCCCTGGGAGATGGCGACAAAGGAGAAAGAGGTGACTGGGGAGATTGAGGGGGAGATGCGGTGGACGAGTACGCTCGAACGAGCCCCGCCGGAGTCGACGGTCACTGACAGGACTGCTTGGCTCAGTACTGTTGCCGCTAGCACTGGCGCTGGCGCTACCAGCTGATGAAGGATTACGGCTCAGTGACATGCGTCCGAAATGGTCTGGAATACGTTGTCGCTCCTGAGTTGCCAGCAGTAGCTTGATTCCATCGCGATGAGCTTGGTGGAGGCTAAGCTCTTGAAGCTTACTAGATATGACCAGTGATTAGTATGTGTTTTTCTTTGGCTTTCAAGTCACTTTGAAGATCGTTCTCCGCGGCCTACCTCAAGAGCACATCGGCCAGCTCTATCAGGAACACTCGATACTTTGCCAGTCGTATACGGAGGGAGGACTTGGACTCTTCCCAGAAGAACAGCTCTATGGTCCGCCAAACCTCTCTGAACTTGTCGGCGCGGGATCTGTCGGGGTCCAAACGGCCAAAAAAATCGTGGATGTCGGAAAGGGTGTACTTGAGACTCGACTGCACCAAAAAAGCATCTCTCTCGACGAGGGGCCAATTGCGACTATACCGAGGATCGTGAGACAAAGAGTACAGCTTCTGCATCGACGAACTGATGCCATAAAATTCGACAATGAGATCGGTGATGTCCGCCTCGTGTTCGGGAAGAGGGAACCGAAAGAGCCTGAAGCCGGCCGCGACGTCCTCGGCCTCGCTGGCAGTCTTGCGCAGGTCCATGGGTTAGGCCATACGGAGAATTTGCGTGAAGGAGGGGAAGATGCGAATTCCTCGTAAATCCCAAATCCCACCCGACCTCACGTGCAGTGCGGCTCTGCCTCCCTTGCGTTCTTGACGTGGTCGCGCGCGAATGGCGGGGCTTGGTGGGGTGCGACTGGCGGGCAGCCCGCTCTGAAATGTCGGAGTCTCGCAGTAAGTGGAAGCGACGAGAAGGAAGCGGATGCAGGGTTGGAACACGAGCGTGGACGAGCTATCGAAGAATATCGAAAGGATGCGGAGGGAGGATGGCCGCTGGCTGCTTCCATGGTTCCCTCGCGGGTGACCTGTTCGTGCGGTCCCCACATGTTCCACGCCCGGGTGAGCCTCTCACCTGAGGAATCTCGCAGAATCTACATGGAGCGACGACGTTACACAGCGCGACGATGAGCTGGTGACGGGTTTAAGGCGTCATAAAAGACTGGGATGGCTGTTCAGAGAATAGCCATAGTCGATGTAAATGTAGATGTCTGTCAAAGTAGGCAGTGCGGGTAGATAACCTAGTAATAGGTAGTAGCAGGTAAGGTCGGAAAGAGGTTGCGGGAAGTGAACAAAAGCCAGATGGAAAGTCTCGAGGAAGGAGGTGGATTATGAATCGCCCAGTTTCGACCGACTAAAAGCAATATTTCTGCCTGGCCGAAATACTAGTACCAATACTAATGGTACCTTGCTCGTATAGTGCAATGACTCGCACGGGGCTGGGTAAGGCTGTGCAGTCTATACTTCAAATGCCAAGCGGACCCGCTACTATGACCTTGCCTCGTTTTAGCCTCAACCGGGCCTTGATTTGACGAATTAGGGCTCATGAATACCTGATCGTGGTGCTGTATTTGAAGGAGCTCCCACGTTTGGTACCTAAGGGTACCTCGGGTTATGACTACGCGCTGTCAATCTAAACCGGCCCGATCAGCAATAGCAACCTTGGAACCACCTATATCATCTACTCGTTATATTCCTCATTTATTCTATGAATTTGATTAGTATTACACAATATCAGCACCACGTCATTATCGCTGCATTTTCCAAGTGGGCGGTCAATCCCAGGCATCCAAATGGGATTCCAACAGTCACGGCTGATATCGCATCTGAATGATCACACGACAAGCCCCACAGCATTAGACTTCTTTTTAGAGACACTGGGGCCATTCATGATGGGTTTTAATCCGTGCTCATGTCGGTGGATGTTACTGGTTTCTCTTGCAGCTGTTGCTCCGATCCCAGCGTTCTGATGGCGTTCGACCGCCGTGTCATCAGACTAAGAAGAAGTGCAACAAAGGCCAGGCCAGCCATCGTGGCCCAAACAACTTTCAAGTTATCAGCATATGCATCCACAATCATGCTCCGTCGGGGAGAACTCGGATCCATAGCCTTGACAATTTCGGCCAAAAACTCGCCTCCTGGGAGAGCTTGTCGGCCTCCCCAGCGAGCTCGGGATACGCTCGAAGTTTGACAGCCAACTGTGACTGAAGAATTGCCCCACCGACCGCGACTCCAATACTCTGTCCAAGGGAATAGTGAACGTGTACATGGTCACTGCATGGGCCGAGTCTTGGGCTGCAGCTTGCGTTGCATATCTCTGGCTGTTGAAGAGCATCCCCAATCCCAGCCTTGGGACAATGTTAAGGAATACCCATGCAGCAATTGACGTATTGGGGCCTAACAAATACAAGAGACCCAATCCCAGTGTACTCAGAGTCCAGCTAGTCCAGATCGCCCAACGGAAGCGACCCCATTTGGTAACCAGGACTCCCACGACCATGGACGTCGGGGCCACAGTAAATGTCTGAGGGAACATGCTTACATCAGAGATAATAGTACTATAACCTTTCACACCCTCAGAGAGGCATGTAGTAGAGAAGTCACCGAAGTACAATTCCATGGACGCAAGTGCCCAGATAGGTGACTAATCCCGTTGTCTCCTTGAAGATGGGACAGGCGGATTATGGGGTCGCGAGGAAATCTGGCTTCGTAGAACACAAAAATTGTCATAAAAGACCGAGCACCAGTGGCACAATGGTGCGCCACGATGACCAGGGGTACATGATATTACCCCAAGAAAGCGCAAGGAGTAGGCTGGTGGCCGAAGCTGTGAGCAGAAATGCGCCCACCCAGTCGACTGTGAGGAGCTTTGGAACGAAAGACCCCGGCACAGACTTGAGATTCAAGAATTCAATGACCAGAATGAAACCAACTCCGCAGATGGGAATATTAATCCAGCAAATCCATCTCCAGGAGGCAGCCTCGGCTAACGCGCCACCGATGACTGGACCAGTGACAGATCCAAGCGCCCATACAGCGCTGGCATAGCCAAAGTACGTTCCCCGCTGACGCAGGGGCACGTAGTCCGTAATGACAACCTCGGTGAGAATGAGAATGCCGCCTCCACCAGCACCTTGGATGCTCCGACCGACGAGGACAATGTTCAGGTTGTGGGCAGCGCCGGCAACAATTGATCCCACGGTGAATAGGACCAATGCAAGAAGAATAGTGTATTTTCGTCCAAAGGTATCAGATAACGATCCGAACGTCAGAATGAAGACCGTGCTGGTGAGCAGAAACGAAGTACCGGCCCAGAAGGCCTGAATGACAGTGCCGCCCAGCTGGCGAGGGATGATCTAATCATCCCATGAGGACGATGTACTTGGTATGAAAAAAATTCATGAGGATGAATTTTATTCACTGGAAAATCTGTTCCCAGTGATGTCGTATCCAGTGCAAGGGACAGAATGACAGCCAAAAGTCTGCCAAAAGCTGCCCAAAATCGACGGCTAGGCTGGACTTGGGGACGTCAATATCCGTCGTCGTAGTCGCTGAAGCTTCGGTTCTACCCATCACGATCTCTTGTGACGAACGGGAAACCCGTCCGATGGTATGTCTGTTGATTGAATCCAGATGGACAGCGGCGCAAAAAGTGTTTCTACCTACCTGGTATTGCAAATTCGCAACCTGCGCGTCGCGCACTATCCTAAGAAAGCAAGGCACTTGCATTCTTCGATCACCACCTGTGCACTACGTTGCGTTCGCCATGCATGCCTCTGCGACCTACCGACCCGACTGTTAGGCGTACTACAGCAATGGATGCACTCCAAATCTACGTGGAAAAATTCCTGCTGAATATACCCTTATGCTGGTAATGCACAGTGATTGCAGTCAAGTATGATTTTTCAACATTAAATGTTTGATATACAATTGGACCTTGAGCCAAAAGAACAGTGCCTATAGCCTAGTCTTGTATGTAGGAAACCTCAGATTCTCTCGGTCAACAATCTGGCATCCAAAGTGCCGATCAATCCCATGGCAAGTATGCTGAGAGATCTGGAATTTTTCATCCTGTATAACGAACCTTGCGATAGCAAATTCAAGATATAAAATAAATAGACTCAAACAAGCATCTAAGTAGTATAAAATAACGTTTAGATAACATTGGAGCAAAATCACCTGTCGTGTCGATCCGCAAAGACCGCCGCCCCACCGGAGGATGGTACCTTTTTCCGAGCTCACACTGCAGCTCCCGCACTTCACCTTCTGCCCGACTTCCTTCACGTCGCATACCTCATTCCACACCATGGCCGACGATTACAAACCTCCCGCTCTCCCGGCCCCCTTTACCAACACCCGCCCGGCGCCCGAACTGCTCACCCAAGGCGCCGAGGCCCATCTCTACAAAACCGTCTCGCTCGACCCCTCCATCCCAGCCGCCCTCAAGATCCGCCCCTTCAAGCCCTACCGACACCCAATTCTCGACCGTCGACTCACTCGGCAACGCATTATCCAGGAGGCACGCTGTCTCGCGAAATTGGTCCGCGAAGGTGTCAGTGTTCCCGGCGTTCTCGCGCTCGATTGGGAGGGGCAGGGCGGCGATGAAGGCGGGTGGGGAGGAGCCTGGCTGATGATGGAGTGGATTGATGGCCCGGTGGTGCGCGTGGTGCTGGAGAAGTGGGAGGCGTGGATGAAGAAGAATGCCTCCTCGCTTGATTCGGCCCAGCTGCAGCACGAAGAAGCTCGCGTCAAGGATCTCTTGAGGCGCATTGGGAAAACCCTTGGTGCGCTGCACAAGGCCGGCGTGGTACACGGCGACTTGACCACAAGTAACCTGATGCTGCGCACTCCGCCGCAAGTGTCAGACTGCGGTCCCACTGGCGTGTCCATGGAAGGCGAAATCGTGCTCATTGATTTCGGGCTCGCGTCGCAGAGCATGCAGGATGAGGACCGGGCCGTCGATCTGTACGTGTTGGAGCGGGCGATTGGCAGTACACACCCACGGTCGGAGCCCTTGATGGAGGAAATGGTGCATGGATACCGAGAGAGTCATCGGGGCGCTACTTCTACGCTCAAGAGGCTCGAAGATGTGCGGATGAGAGGCCGCAAGCGGAGCATGATTGGATAGATTGCTGCGGTCATGTCTATGCACAAAAGTTGTCTGTCCCAGTAGCCGATGCTGTCGCATTCGCTATCTTCCCCCACATGGATAGATTTGATCCTGATCGGATCTGGACTCTCAAAAGAAAAAGAAAAAACGCCACGCTGAATTATGAAATGAATGTTTGACGACCACACATCACATCACCACCTTGTTCCCGGAAGCTCTCTTCATGTCCGGTCTTTGACGCATGTGCCGACGTCCGCCAGGGCAAAATACCCCTTGTTCTCGACTACCCCGCGATCCTTCACCACGGCCGTGTACTTCACCACCCATTGCGGCTCGACGTCTCCCTGGATCCCATCGTCGGCTTCGGGTGCCGAAGCCAGGATCTTAGCACCCTTCTCGCCGGGGCCCAGAAGCTCCCGAGTGGTTCCAACGGGGAGAATATCATTGCAGTCGTTATGTGTGAGGAGCTGGATCTGCTCCTGCTTGGCATAGAGGATTAAGGACTTGGGCACGACACAGCAGTCCTTGAGGTTGATCTGGTCGACCGAGGGCTTCACCTTGGTGTAAGGCAGGAATCGGGCCAACCGCTCGCTGCCGAATTCCGCGACACCTAGCTGGGCAATCATGCCATGCTCGTGGAGCGATTCCAGCACCCGCCATGTCTGAACCATACTGTCGAAGTCATCGGGCTCGCCCGTGCAGGCTTCGGTATCTTCGTCCTCGCTGTCGTCGTCCGCATCGAAGAGAATGCCGGGGAACGACACGATGAGCAGATCGATCGATTTAACATGTAGCTCCTTCAATACCAAATCAATCGCCTCCCTGGTGTGCGCGCATCGCCTCGATGCAGGAATTCCCGGTAGATAGAACAGTTTCACAGTAATATCGTATTGATCCCGCTCCTCCGCCAGTCCAGGCTGTGAGAAGTCGATCGCAGGAATGTGGAGAGAGCCCTCATGGTCCTCCGTCCATGCGCGGTACTCCTGTCCGGCCTTTGATCCATTACTCGAGCCATCCGCGTGCCCGTTGGAGTGTCCGTTCGTCTGGGACTCCGCGCCGTTGGACCCGATCTGCTGCGATGCGAGGAAATTCGACCGGAGGGCGTTGATCAGCTCGATATTCGATTTTTGCGTAAGAGGCTGGCGAAGGACAGATGGCCGCCCGCCCTGCATGAGGTTGCTGTCGGGGTTCGCATTAGTTTCTTCGTCCTTGCCTTCGCTCTCGGACGTTGGATCGCATTTGCGCGGTGCCACTTACGAGGTGGAGAGGATCAACTTCATGATGGCGGTGATCAGTGGGGATGGACAGGCGCTGGATGAGGCTGCGCAAAGTCCTGGAAATTTCTACCAAGGGAACATGGAAGGGAGAGGTGAAACGAGTCTGGAATTGGAACCCCGCGATGGCCGACCCCTCCGGCTTTCCTGACAAATCCACCGCTTCCTGCGATTTCGATCTACGACCCCATCGGGCCCCGTCTACGTCTAATCATCGTCCACGGTCGGGTCCCAGTCTGTCGGACTGTACTCCCCAGTGTCCAGCGACTTCATATCCTCCGCCGACAGCTCAAAATCAAACACCTCCGTGTTTTCCCGGATCCGCTGCGGCGTCACAGACTTGGGCAGCGGCAGGAGACCCTATTCAAGAATCAGTTTCTACTTCATCCTTCTTCGCCTGTCGCTTCTCATCAACTGTTTTAGGGAAGTCACTTACCATCTGCAAACTCCACCGAATCATCACCTGCGCGGGGGTCTTGTTATATTTCTTCCCAATACTCTGCAGCACGGGTTCATCAAGACGCTCCCCATGCGCAAGAGGCGAGTAAGCCTCCACGACAATATTCCGCTTTTGAAGCCATGCAATGATATCGGAGTGATCCAGCCAAGGGTGCAACTCATACTGGCCAACGGAGATCTCGCCGCCACCTCCGCTCTGGATATACTCCTCCAGCTCTTCGAGGTGGTGGATACCGTAGTTGGAGACACCGATGGATCTCACCTTACCGGCCTTCTGAGCTTCGACGAGTGCCTTCCATGAGCCTAGTCGAGCCTCTTTTCCACCGTACGGTGCGTGGATGAGGATCCTGTGTTGGGGCAGTCAGTAATGCTTAGTGTGAGGTCATCATGTAGACCCGGCCTTACAGGTCGAAGTACTCCTGTCCAGCCTCACGTAGGCTAGAGTCAATGGCCTTTTTAGACTGCTGGTAGCCCATTGAGCCCGGGGGGATCTTGGTCGTTAGGAATATCTCGGATCGGTTGAGTCCGGAGTTCTGAATTGCGCGACCGCAGCCTTTCTCGTTGCGATACATGATTGCCGAGTCGACCTATAGATCAATTAGAGATGCAGCAGTGTAGGTTGGATTTTCGACTGTCTTACATGGCGGAATCCCACTTTGAGTGCCTCTGCGGCTGCCTTTTCGGTGGAGGATGGGCTGCTGTTGTCTGTCAAACGAGCTCAGAGGCAGAGAACAGGAAACATCACGTACATCATGTACACCTGTCAACGTAGAAATGGTCAGTCCAACTCTTGTTCGAAAAAGTGTCTGGTATATGGAGCAATTGAGAAAAGATCCAGATAGCATCTATCCTGTCGTCTCGTGTAAGGTGCTCGTGGGTGATTGTGCTTACTCCATATCCAATAGCCGGAATGTCGTAGCCCGATAGCAGGCGGTGCTTAGATTGAAGTGTCAACTTGGACGCCATATTGTAGGATATCAAAGCGAGAGAGCGACTGCACTGAGTGGTATGGAACAAGATGTTGAGGAGACGAGGACGTTGGCGACGAAAAGGTCTCCGAAGCGATGAGATCATATGAAGTGGGGGCGCGGCGTGGGGTGCTTGCAGAAACGAGAAATGCAAAGCAGACTGCTTATCGGTGATATGTGTACAATGAGGTACAATCAGCTGTTGAGGAAGGCAAGGAACGTCAATGACAATGGAATCTGATGTGAAGATAATTATATGCAGGGGCTCATATTCTGACATCGGATGAAGATCTCGCGGGATCGGATCATACCTCAAAACAGGTATGCAGTCGCCATTCGATTCATCGCTTTGATCGACTACTGTAGTAATTCTATGTCGAACCAAAATTAGACCATATCAAAATGGCTTCAGAAACATTTATTAGAACCCATGCACGTTCTATGCATCCGGTGTCCCCTCTCTATTGTGTACAGTACATAAGCAGCGCCTCTTCTAGCTTTCTCGGCAAGATCTAGATCTTCCTCTGCTGCTCTCGCTGCTGCTCAGCCTCGGCCTCCTCTCTCGCCTTTCGCTCGGCCTCACGTTGCAGCTGATCAGGACGGCGAATGGCGATATCCTTGGGGCGGAAGTCGCTGAACAGCTGCTTAAGAACGTTCTCGATCAGCCAGCAGCCACCATAGTCAAAGATCATCAGCACGGTCAGAGTGATCTTGAACTCGTTGCTAAAGGGAACCAGGCGCAGCTTCTCGTTGAGCTCGGGCACGAACTCGGTCGCGCAGGAGAAGGCAACGCCGGAAGCGGCAACAAGACCCCAGTACATGGCCTTGTTCTCGCGAATGGACTCACGGAACGGACGACCTTGGTAGTTGATTGAGAATGTGGAGATTTGCTGGATCAGCTGGAGCAGGTAGATCGCACTGTTGAGCAGGGAAGGCTCGAATTCACCCTCAAGATCGACGTTGTCATCTCTCCTATTGCAATTGTTAGCTCGTTTCCAACACGCTCCTGGAGGTTTCGGGAACATACGGTTCAATCTTATAGACGTAGTTCGAGAGGTAGATCAGGGTGACAATGTGGATGGCAAACTGTCCCAGGACGGATCCAATGATGTAGACATTGAAGATGTTGGGCTGCGGGCGCTCCTTGGAAAGTCCCTCGACGGACTTGGGTGGCGGTTAGCAGACGTAGGCAGGTTAACATAAGCGATCAGGGTGACGAACCTTAGCGCGAGAGATAGACAGGAAGCAGACACTCATCAGCATACCGCTGATGGTAACCTGGCCGTCACCAAACTTGATACCATCCAGGTAGATAACACTCAAACTGTAGGCGCTAATCAAGCAGTTCAGGGCAAGGATCTTGTACATCTGGATGGTAGCAACCAGGGTGCAACGGCCCTGGCGGAGAATGTTCGGAATAGCAACCACGTTAGCCAGTTTACTCGTAAACGGCGCGGCGACTGAAGCATCTCCCAGCTTGATGGTAGGGGGTTCGCTGTCATCCAACTCCTGCTCCAACATCGACGAGGTCAGCTTATCAGCAAGGCCGGCAGCAGCCTGCTGAGCCTGCTGCTGTCTCTGCTGTTGAGGAGTCATGTTCTGCTGCAGGGCCTGTGCACCAGGCGAGGTGATAGTCGGGATGTCCTCGGCCGGCTTGTTGGCAGCAGCGGCAGCAACGACAGCACCCTTCTTCTGTGCCTCTCTTTCGATGGCTTTCTGGTAGTGCGGGTTGCTAGGGCCAGCGGGGTACAGGTGTGCAATTTGGACAGGAACGGGGGGAGAAGGCTGGTTGAAGCGTTGCATCATGGAAACCTGCTTCTCATACAGCTCCTTCATCTTGGTTGTGCGGTAGTGCTCAGCAATCTTAGTAAGATCCTCTTGAGAGCCGTTGAGAAGAGCAACACCGACGTGAGCCTGCTTGAGAGCACCAACGTCGTTGGTACCATCACCGCACATCAGAGTGGTGTAACCAGCATCCTTGAGACCGAGGAGAATGTCTTCTTTCTGCTTGGGGGACACACGAGCATAAACCCAGGTGTGACGCAGAAGGTCGGGGAGAGCCTTCTGGCCCTTGAACTTGGCCAACGCATAACCGGTGATACAGATATCCTTGGTCTTGATAATCTCTGGGTCCAGGGGTTGCGTGGGGTCGACATCGGTGTTCAGCTTGTCGTCAATGGTGCGCCAGACAAGACGGGTTCCAGAGGTATCATTTTCCGGAGCGTCAAGAATGACGACCTCGCGGTCCACAATTTCAACCTGGCGAGCGACGTGGCAGGCGGTCAACGGGTTGTCACCAGTGATCATAACAACACGGTGGCTGCTTTCGTTCAGCATGCGGACGGCCTTGATGGCATCATCCTTTAAGGGGCACTGCAGAACGAGGAAACCAGCGAAGATCAATTCAGATTCAATATCCTCGCGAGCGAAGTTGTTCACGCGGTTCTGAGAGAGCTCGGACTCGGTAGAGAGGTACTTGTAGGCAAGAGCCAGAACACGGGCACCGTTGCGAGTGAAGTGCTTGAAGGTCTCCTCATAATGAGGAGGAGCGTTGACGAGCATCTTTCGGATAGTTTCAGGGGCACCCTTGACACCGACGAAGGTAGCCTTGGACTTCTTCGACGTCTTCTTGTCGTTGGTAGTAATGGTAGCGATGGTGCTCTGGCGCTTAAGTGCAGAAGAGAATTGGAATCTTCTCTTGATCTGCACAGACTCAACAGGGCGAGATGCGACAACGGGTGCGGTTCCCTTAGACATGAGAGTATCGTTCTTGCCCAAGGTCCAGCCGAGCCAAGAGAGAGTAGCCTTCTCCATGGGGTCACCAACAACCTCGCCCTCGTCCAGTTTCACAAGGGCGTGGGCACTAGCAAGCACAAGGGTCGTGTCAGCCCCGACGGTTGAGGGCTTCGAAAGATCCGTGTGGGCACCATCAGCTTCGACCTTAGCACCAGCCTGGCCCAGGGTAAGTCCAGCAATGCCATCGACAACAAGGTCCTCTCCAGTAAGGGTACCGGTCTTATCGAAGCAAGCGACATCAACACGTCCGGCGAAGGGAATACGAAAAGGCTCAGTGCAGAAAATGGCGAACTTGCTCAGGGCAGCGAGACTGGTGTTAACAGCCAGACTCAGTTCCATGGGAAGTTCAGGAGGAACGACGCTTGTGACGATGAGAACACAGTCCAGAAGAAGCTTCGATCTCTTGCGGTCCTTTTGGACACCCTCTTGCCAGACGTACCAAGAGGCCGCAAGCGCGAAGATAAGCAGGAACAGGATGAACAGCAAGGCCTCCACGTTGTTGGCGGATACACGCTCGGTGGAATAGATCATAGTACGGACAAGGCTTCCCTGGCTAGTCTCGAAACCGGTCTTGACGACGACACCCAGAGCACCGTTGTCAGGAGGCATAGTAACACCATTGGCAATGTTCTTGAGGGTCTCCTCCCCGTTGGTGTTAGGGTGGGTGACCTGCAGAACCTTGGTTCCGCCGTGCACAAACGAGTTCTTATCCAATCCATCGGGCTCAATCAAGTCCTCTCCAGGTCGGAGTTGAACGGAGTCCTTCAGAAGCGGGGTACTTTCACCAGAAAGCATAGCCTCGTTGACAATGACACTACCTTCAATCAAGAGAATATCGCAAGCAACGCCGCCATCTTCCTTGGTGCGGTTCACGGACATCAGATCGCCGGGAAGAAGCTGATCGCTAGTGATTTCCAGCCACTTGCTCTCACGGTACACCCACACATCGTATGGCTTGATGCTCATTCCACGGAACTCGTTCAGGGTCCGCTGGCGTTGCCACACAACAGTGCTTTCAAAAGCAACGAGCATGAACAGCGTGAACAGCGAATAGTACCAGTATTCATCCAACATCCACAATCCGACACAAAACACTTGGAACACGAAAAACGGCGCAACCGCATGCTCCTGGAAAAGTTCAATAAATCCAGGAACGGGGATATCGAAGGTATTATCGCCATAGTGGTAGTGCACACGGTCGATCTCGGCCTTGGTGGTCAGACCCTTGCTCTGCTGGAAGTATTGGAGGGCGGGCTTGGGCTCGGCGTCAAGGACGTAGGAAAGGGGCGCAAAGGAACGGCGTTCGGTGTAGTACAGGAAACGACGCTTCTGGAACAGGAACGAGAGCGTCTTCTTCCCACCGGAGTTATCGTGGATCAAAGTGCAGATCTCGGCGGAACCGGCGTTGGTAACGGGAATGACCTTGATGAGGCGGGCGGTATCGATAGACTTGGCATTGGTAGTGGTGAACAGAGTGTTGAGATTGATATTCCATTTGGTCATCAGCCACAGCAGCGACTGGGCCGTGATGATGGACCCCGCCCAAACGAAGGTCCACTCCTGGCCTTGGATGTAGGTATCATACCGCTCAGGAGAGAGGTAGAAAGCGAAGAAAACCGGCCAAATGATCAGGAAGGGCCAGACGTAGGTGTGTAATTGCAGAGGGAGAGGGTTATGCAGGGACGCATATTCGATCTGGGGGTCATCTGCGAGTTTTGCCCTGTGAACTTGTTAGTCGGAGGTGTCCATTGGGTTTCCATCGGGGAAACCGGGGATGGGAATGGGGATCTCACATTGTGGCAATCGGATGACCGCGTTTGGGGTCGGATAAAGGACAGATTAAAGACGCATAAAGAGATCGCTCGAAATAGAACCTTCCAAAAGGGAATGCCTATCAGAAGAAGCCACCTTCGATATAAAATTGGTTCCAGAGAGTTCGCCCCGGCGCGCTAGTCGCTTATGTAAGAGGTGGACCCTGCGCGCCATCAATAGATTGCCTGAGGCATAAACTATACACCTTGTGACTGGTTAACTAACTAGCTCTGTCTTGCATTTGTTGCCCTCTGCGAGAGGCCTGCGGCGGGTTCAATGAAATTAAATAGTCTTCTTGGACAATTATCGAGTGCAATTGTCTCTTGAAATAAATCGAAGTACATGGCAAATGCGAATCGTTGTCCCAATCTCCGCGGATACCTCTACCAAACCACACTATCAGCAGCGCCATTTTGTGTACAGTAATAATGCAACTCATCTCCTCCGATGTGGCTCCCCTGAGACTCGCAGTAGTACAACAAGTCTTTTTCGTTCTTGAGTGTACAATCGGGGCATTGATCCCATTGATTGCTGCCGGTGTTTCGGTTTTTATAAGCATCGCATGCCTTCTCAGTAGCAGCTTTGTTGTAGACTTCCTGTAAAGTCGTTGAGGTCAATTTTTTTTCTGGATAGAATTGAGATATCATCAGTATGCACTTACTACTCCTTCACCAGGGGTATCGATACAGACACCTTGTGTATGAAGGTCTGCCAGGGCACTATATGGGATTAATCCTCGGTTTGAACACGGCATTTAGGAGGAAGTCTTACCCGGCAGCGAAGGCCGCGATAACGAGTGAGACTGAGAATGTCTTCATGGTGTTGTAGCAGAAAGTAAAAATTGATGTGATTATAGATTAGGAGGCGGCATCTATTACGTTTAAATGATCGGGGAGCAAGAAATGAACGACGTTAGCCGAATAGGAAAGGAGAAGGCACCTACTACTACATCACCTCAAGCCATATGGTAGAAAATTCCAGTCATCCATACAAACATACTTCTTGAGGATGAGACAACCAAGACAAAAACTCCGAGATATCCCCAAAGAGACGACGATCTGTGATCTTCGATTCTTGGGCTGCAGAAAGGGCGTTTCATGATTCTTCCTGTCATCCTGCAGGGTACCGTATAGTGGGTCATGTTTCACTATAATACATACACAAGGGCAGATCTTCAAAGATTCACCTAGGAATTTCAACATTTAGACTCGGTACTGGCCACGTGAAAATTCAAATCTATTAGGGGGTTCCCGAGAGTCAGGCATCGTCATTCAGGCATTGTCACCCCGACTGTCAGCAGACGAAGCATTATGCAACGTGGCTTAAGCTTTCTGATTTTGATAGCTTCCAGGAGTTTACATACTTATCAGAAGAAAAAGGCATAAAAGGAAAGTAGAGAGATCGAAATGTAATTGTCCCCTTTACTTGACTATGAATTAGATTTCCGCCCCCAAGTCTTGGTGTCACAGCCCGTGCCTATCGGAGCCGAGCTGCGCCCCGCAGCCGTTGAGGCCCTGACTATGGACAAGACACCATTAATATGATGAAGGATTTCTGTCGCCTGATAGATACTTTAAGAGCCAATGATTTGACACATTATACCCAGGTCCCATGATCTACATTATGATCAGCCTTCACGACCCTGGGCAAAAGTCAAATTGATTACCCTATCGCAACACATCTCCACCATTACTCGACACTTGATCTTCAACATACGTAGATTCACGGCTTTTTTTCGGAGTTATGAAAGTGAGACAAGCGGGTTCCTCCCATCGTCGTGTAAGATTCTACAGCCATTGCTGATCCATTCCGGTAGGATGGTTCCGTGTGAAAAGTACGTGCCGTTTGGCGACATACATGTCTCTCCGAAGAAGACCTGGTGAATGGATCAGCTTTTCGATGGAGTCTAAATAGTTCCAATTTCCGTCCTTCATTCCAGTATCAACATTCCTTCGCGGTTCTCTCTCTATTCCGTTTACTGTATATCTGGCGATCAAACATTATGAAGTCACCCTACATTCTGTTCACTTCGCTTTGCGCCAATATCGCGTTCGTCGGTGCATTGCCTGCCGACAAGGCCGTGCTTCTCCTGAATGATGGCTCTGCCAGAACCATCGACAAGAAAGATCTCAGTGCCAACCTACCTGGCGTGTCTCTCTCGCCACCTACCAACTCGCTTCCGCAAGTCTTGGAAACTGGGAGCATCGACTCTCTTCCCACAAGACATTTGAGCAAGCGCTCTGGTGCTCAATTTATCATTCCCCTTCCTGATGAGCAATTTCTCGGCTGGGACATCCCAATGTCTACTATCGTCCATGCCAACGAGGCTGATGCTACTGTCGCTATGGCACAAGGCCAATTCATCGCGAACAGTATCTCTGTCGGCACCTCATTTACGGCTACAGTCGAGAAGTTCCTACAAATCGGCACCACCATCAACTACCAGTGGACTGAGACGGCCACTCTCACCGGCACGGTCACAATGACGATCCCCAAAAACAAATGGGGCGCCATTATCAGCAATCCCTTGACCTATCGCAAGAGCGGTTACGTTTTCAGTGGACAACCTGGCAATGGGCAGTATGAACATTTCCAGGCAGATTCTTTCACACAGGATACATACTCCTATGGACAGAATTCCCTGTCTTGGGTTAAGGGCGTGGTTACAACTTGTCTGGGAGATTCTTATCCTTTGAAGCGTTGCCTCGGGGAGGGTGAAATGGAATAGGCTCATGAGTGGGATCTTTGTACATTTGTGGTCTGGTGGAAGCGAGTTATTGTGAAAATCGAGGGTGTTTTACATCTCATTCATTTCGGTTCCTGTCCCAGTAACAATTGAGTAATTTAACCATCCCCTTTCAGTGGTGGAGTGTTCGAGGCTAGACTAGCCATCGCCCTATATTTGACCATCAGTCAACACTCTGGGTCAGTCGACATGGAAAATTGGTTTCACTTATGCCGCCGGGTACCGAGTTCCTTGGATCTCGACACCCTCAGCCAACTCCCTAATCTCTTGAACTTCCTGGTCGCTCAATTGCAGAAGTGCAGAAGCTGCATTCTCCTCCATTCTAACCGCCGACTTTGTGCCTGGAATTGGGAAAATCCCTGGCGCTTTTGCTAGAAGCCATGCGAGAGCCACCTGTGCTGGGGTATTTCCATGTTCCTCAGCCACCTGCTCCAACTTCGCTACCAGCCTCAAAATTTCTGAGAAGTTCTCCTCTGCGTATTTTGGGTACATTCGTCGCAGGTCGCGCTCGGGTAGATCGGTATGGGATTGGAACAGACCGGTGAGAATACCGTGTCCGATTGGGCTGAAGGCGACAACGGCGACACCAAGCTCATGACAGGCCTTGAGTAGATTATACGTTGGCGATTCGATGTCCAGCGTGAAAAGGCGGTATTCTACCTGAACGGCGTTAATAGGGTGGACGCCATGTGCCCGACGTAGTGAAGATTCGGTGACATCTGACAGTCCAAGATAGCGGATTTTTCCTTGACTTAATCAAGATACCACAATGTTAGTTTCTCCTGCTTTGCGATCGGAGGATCGGGGGGATCAAATGCGCTTTTTTAATTCCACCATTGCTTGAATTGTCTTTTCAATGGGCGTCACCCCATCCACTCGGTGACAATAATAAAGATCAACGGTGTCGATACCTAGTCTTTGTAGGCCCCTGTCACAGGCGGCTTGGACATACTCGGGGTCAGATCGGCAAGTGTGCATGCCATTAAGCTGTCGTTGGAGACCAAACTTGGTGGCCAGGAAGATATCGTCGCGCTAGCCTGATCGTTTGAACCACTTCCCGACAAGGTCCTCACTATCCCCATAGATGTCGGCCAGGTCCCACAAATGTAACCCGGTGGCATTTGCGTGGTCAAGGAGGCTCAGTCGTGAATCGAGATCACCGGGTGGTCCGTAGAATCCACTCATGCTGCCAAAGCCGAGGCCGATGGAGGAGACATGGGGGCCATTACGACGCAAAGCTCGTAATGGAAGAGACATGTCAAAAGCTTGGAGCTTGGGAGATGCTGAAAAGAATGAAGCGGTTAATTGTTCGAGTTAGCTCCTTCCTATGGGTACTGCTATACACATGGGCGGGTGTTGACTGCACTTTGCCTATTCGGCTTCCCGACAATGTGGATCGATGGCTCCGCCACCGCTTTGGGGCCTGACTTGAATTGAATTTCAAGTTGCAGATTAACTACTGTATTGCAGTAACTTATGATTCGGTCGTGTCGTTAATCTTCCATGGTACCCTACCCTAAGTTAGCCCCGGTTGCTGCATGGCCGTGGTCGCAAAGTGAGGACTTGGCAGACCGTTTGTTGGCAGACCGTTTGTATAAAAGTGGGTCCCAACGACGAAAAACTCTGTTTCAGGTTGATAGTTCCACAAATCGTTCGCTTTCCAACAGCCCTGCCGGGCTAGCTCAATCGGTAGAGCGTGAGACTCTTAATCTCAAGGCTGCGGGTTCGACCCCCGCGTTCGGCTATTCCTATAAAAACCTCGAGATTTCTTTTTTTGCATCTTGATCTTTTGCCGTCATCACCACAGACGGCAACGGTCACCTTGACTTCATCTTGAAATTTTGATAGCTGGATAATATTGACCCAGTAATGGAGATTTTTTGTCCGCGCTGACGGGGGCCTTCCACCGACACTACATCGTGATTGTCAAGCAAACTATGAAGTGGTATGCCATCACCGCACCGTTTGGGAGATATATATCGTGGGCCTTGAGGTTGTTGAGATGAGGGATAGGATCTAGGAGGAGCGATGTGTGCATGCCAGCAATTGAGTGATATTAAGGATTGAAGATGTCTAAAGTAACCCCTGAATGGAAGCGTGTTTTACACGCTTCCCAATTGTCCGCGTTACCATATAAGGCTTAGTGCGTCTCAGGGGGGATGGCAAGATAGCCATCAGAGCCTCAGCGGCATTGAAGACTGCTGAAACTCAACAGAGGTCACACGTTCTTATCGATATGAGTGCAATTGAAAAATATCCCTGATGAGACATTACATTTAGACATAGACACAATATTTACCCTAGCTTGAATATCATTGTCAAGATGAACTAGTAGCCAATGGAACTCAAAAAGATGGCATTTCAATAGAAATTGCTGTTGCCACCTGTGACGGATACTCAATTTCCACCATCTGCCGCCCTACCAGAGGCATTCTTTCCCTCGTCAAGCTTCTTCACCAGCTCATTTAGCATCGCAATCTGCTCCCTGAGTTGTCTAATCTCCATGGTTGTATCATTCAACTTGATATCAGGCGTTGACTGTTGGACCTCCTCCTTCCAGGCGTCATCAAGATCGAAGTCGACATCCTCAGCCACGAATTCCCACTCCTGTCGGTTGTCCTCGTCATCCTCACCGTGGCGACGGTTCCACTGCACACTGTCTGCCTGACGGGACTCTAGCCAAGCAGTCAATACAAGCAGAGGCGAGTAGATGATGCCCATCACGACATCGTTCAGTTTGGCATATTGTGCTCGCGACATCCACCATTCGAATGGGACAACCAGACATAGTATTTCTATCAGATTGAATGCTAATTCATGGTTAGCTCAAGCTCCTGTACACCGAGGGAAATGACTCACGTGGAATGAACACATTCTCGTCTGGAGCTCGGACGAACTGCATGGTCTTCTGAGCAAAGATAGCCATATACTCATCCGTGGCATTGCTCGAGATATCCTCGTATGCACTGTTGTAGAGTGCAATCAGAATGTTGAGAAGTACTGTATATCATCAGTCAGCTATTCAAACAATAAAGAGCGAGCCAATGAACATACCTATCATGATTATAAAATTGAAGATATAGTAGAGAATAATGCCAAAGGGGAAGGCAAAGTCCTGGAAAATCTCAAACTCAGGACTCTGCATAACACTGTTTGCCATGCCTTGGATGATGGGCCGTGTAAGGGAAACCGGTATATCGGAGTCCACCTGAGCCATTCCAATAAAAGCCTGGAAGAAGCCTGCGAGCACCACAAAAAGAAGAGCAAAGAAGATCAGACTTTCCTTCATCATGACCCGCAATACAACGAACATGGCTCCAAAAAAGCGGAAAGAGTCCAGATAGAGCATCATTCGCATCCAGAACATTGGGCCAGAGAAAGCCAAAAAGTTGTAGCTGAGTTTGTTGAAAAGCTGTCGCTCGGCATCGTGTTGAGAAGGTGAATGAGCCAGGGCGACAACACGAAGGATGAACGATATCGTGAGCAAGGCATAAAGTGTCGAATTGAAGGCATTCCAGAACTCAAGGTAGTTCCAACCAACCTTCCAGAATTTCACAACCTCATCGCAGATGAAAGCGAGTGTCATGCCGTAGAGAATGCACTCAGCGACATCGAGGTCACCTGTAGGGTTGACAGAGTTGATCACAGCGGTATAAAGCGCAAGGTAGAGCAGCGAGAACAGTATTTGGCAAACATTCTGATAGAGTGGGGTTCTCATCCGATCAGGATGGAAATGAGCCCAGTAGTTGGTCTCACCCTTGTCGTGATACTCCACAAAGTTTGTAGGATTACCCTCTTCTTGGCAGATCCAGCCACGCCAGAGGTACTGTATGCATTTTTGGTAGCCCGCAGAACTAATGATTCTGAGTGCGTGGAGATCCACCGAGCGTTCGATAACGTTGGCAGGATCGGTCTCCACGCCTTCAACGTAGATCGAGTACCGCTTGAGCAGGATATGCTTCAGCAAGTAGTCCTGATTGGGTTCAGATTCAATGCTGCATGAACTGATCAGCCATTCTGTTTAGTAAAGCAGGGCCTGCGAGGATTTCATACATGCGCTTGGAGATGACTTCACAAGCCACAGCACGAACTTCATGCAGATCAGCATCCCAAAGCTCGATCGAGGACTGGATCTGGAACCATCGCAGGCAGACAAGCAAGCAATACACAACACAAGCTTGATATTCCTCGCCGCCAGCATTCTTGGCTGTCTTCACAACATCGTCGGTGATGATGCGACTGTTTGGGTCAGTTAGGAGGCCCTCCTCCACATCGCAACAAACCACTTGTTCAATTTGGTACTTCAGGCGCAAAGCAACCTTGGCGATCTCCTTAGACGACTCCGAAGGCTGCGCCTCATCGGTAGCATACGCAGGGAGAACTGACGGATGGTTAGCTGGTGTAACACAGCGGGAGTTTATCATGACGTACGCCGACGGCGCTCTACCTGCATCCGATGATGCGTTCTGCCGCGATCAAGCCTGAGCAGGTCTTTCCAATGGCCCATGTTGCGAGTCGAATATCTGGAGGAAAATAATGAGCGGAGAGGGGTCCGGATAGGGGTTTGAATGGTCGAAGGGGAAAGCGCGGTGAACCTAGGAAGATCGGAGCCGGGATGATCGGCGGATAAGACCCAAGCGCGCTTCCCCGCCACCGTTCAGCTCCTGCACGTTTCGCGTTTACGAAGTCTACTGGCAATTCTCAACAACACATTGCGGTGTGGCAGTGCAGACATAAATCTCCTACATGCCACGGTGCTGCGATGTTCTGGGCAACAGGGAGGAATCTTGAGATACGATTAGATTGGCTCTTGGAACATCACTGGCATTGAACGTCTTGGTTGCATCACAACATATATACATCAGAACTTGCCTCCCGCGCAGACTGCGCTCTATTGAAAGAGGTCAGACGAGCACGAAGACTTGGCCATATGGCATGCACGCAGCACCTGGTTCGGGCGTGGATACTAGTTTGCCCCAGGCCCGAGGTGCAGGTGAATGCACTTGGTGGAAAAGGCAATTCCGACTGCAATCGTGCCCAGAAGCACATAGAGCCATCAGACCTTTTTCATTGATCGCGTAAATGTGCATGATTTTTCTCTATCCATTTTTGCCCAACCCCCCGCTTCGCTTGCGATTTGCGTATGTCGTCAAAAATCGATGTACGCTGGGTGCTCCGTGGTTCGTATTGGTGGTTCATCCATTACTCGTCATCGCCGCTCTCGGAGTCCTCGTCTCCGCTGACCTCCTGGTTCTCACGCTCGCGCTTCTCCATGAGTTCAGCGAGAACAGCATCATCGTGCTCAGTGACAGCCTTGGGGGCCATCTTGACGGTGCAGTTACCGCCGGCCGCCTTAATGTTCGCCTCGATCTTCTGAATAGCGACCTCCAGCATCTGAACACCCATAGTCTTATCCAGGCACTGGCTGGTCAGGACGTAGAGGGGAGGGGCCACAAGCTTGACCTTGATCTGGTTCTCGGGGGTGTTGTCGGCCTCGGCGGTGCGCAGGGCGGTCTTGACAGCGTCGATTCCATCGTATCCGAAGCAGGTAACCTCGATATCGGCACGGACCTTAGTGGGGTGGGGAGTGAGCTTCTTGCTGATGTAAATTTGAAGTTCCTTCTTCACAGCCTCGCTGTGGAACTCGGTGTCATTCCAAACTTCAGGGTTGCTGGAAAATTTCCGTTAGCCGTCATCCCCACGCAAGATGTATCGCCTCCAGCGGCCGAATGATGTCTGAGAACATACGTGATAGAGAGCTTGAAGGCATCGTGAGAGTGGCCGTATTTGCGGTTCAAGGGCCAGGCGATTTGCTGGTAGAGGGTCTCGAGAGGGGTCTGGGTCGCCTCAGCGACGTGGCGCATGATCGAGTGCACCGCCTTGCTCTTGTTGTACCGCTCCTCACACTTAATAACATCCTCGGGGGAGACACGTCGCTTGGACAGATCGATGTAGCCTTTACACAATCATGAGTCAGCTGATGGCCTCTGTACGACCGGGGGCATGAGCCTTCCTTACCCTTCTCCTTGTCGACACGAAGCACAATGACAACCTCGTTGCGTCCAATACGGATGAGCTTCTGGATACTGCGGATACGTCGTCGCGAAAGTTCAGAGAGCAGGATCATGCCGTCAATGTTGTCGTATTCGAGCAGCTTCACGTATGCACCCATCTCGGCGATCTACAGTATACCCACAGCCGTAAGCTCAATATGTCCCTATAAGACCAAAATATGCATTGAGATAACACATACCTGCTTGACATTGACCATGACATAGCTATCCACCTCAGGATATTTCTCCTCGTAGAATCGGCAATTTGTCAACGACATTTTGGCGGGGTTGCGCGCTTTTTTTCGGCTAGAAAGACCGGGGGAAAACGTGGACTAGCGAGTCGGCAGTCCAAGAGCGATTGAAGGCAGGAACCTGAGCAGTCGGATCCAAGCGAATCGAAGGGGGGTGACGGGGTCGGAAGTGAGGGTCTTGAGGCGGAAGCACAATCGACTCGCAATTCGCTTTGTGCAAAGCGGCGGCCCAAAACCCACATTGGATGCACGTGACTGGACTGATAACTGGCACGTGACTCACCGCCGGAGCTGCGCTGGGCTCATTTGGGACGGCGCGAGGGCGTCACACAGGCGAATCAAACGATCAGACGCCAGCACTCCGCACGTTGACACTGCGGCGATGACTGATGGATTGCTCGATGCCGGCGCCGCGACTTGGGCTGTCTCCGACTCTCCAAGGGGAATGATACATGACGGCCCCGCTTGTCTCTAGCGGCCACCGCCCTTGCTACTAGTTGGCTAGTCGGGAAAAGGCAACGTTTTCCTCCTAAGCTCTTTTTACCTGTTTTCTTCCCATCGGTCTTTTAAGCTGTCAATGGAGAGCACGGGTGCTCCTAACATGCTGAATCTGTCTTGAGACGGAAATCTCCCACTTCAAGTTACTAGCACTATGTCCGAATCGAGCCCACTCCTCCGGCACGAGTCGGATGCGCGTCGCACTCTGCAAGAACGGATTGTTGACGTCTTTCGCCCGCATAGCAGCTCAAGGTCCTCGCCGACAGGCTTCGAGCCCAGAGGGGATGGACCGCTTGGCACGCAGGGACTCGGAATCACCAGCGAATCGGACGTGCGAACTCGCCTCTTGGAATCGTATGATAGTTCGGACCCCGTCTGTGGTGAACGACGCTGCAGCCACGGCACCTTCTCCCCGCGCCCAGAGGCATCCGAACGAAGTCCATACTTGGGAACTGCGGGCGGTCGATATCCCTACGGGGGCTTTGGAGATGTCGGTGCACCGTCAGGCGGCGATGATCCTGCAAGGTCTCGTCCAGAATCGGAGTATACTTCACAGATGAAGTCGTCTGTTTCCGCCCTGTCCATGAATGATCATAAGAAATTGTACGCCATCTGCCCACGACACCGTATTCCAGCGTTTCCTGTAGCCCGGGTCCAGTCGAACAAGAGACAACTAACGAAGGTCCCTGCAGTTATATTTCATATTATATTCCTTTCTTCAACTGGATTAGACAGTACCAATGGTCCTTCTTTCGAGGTGACTTGATAGCCGCGATCACCATCTCTTCGATCTATATCCCAATGGCCCTATCTCTGGCGTCCAATCTTGCCCATGCACCACCCGTCAACGGTCTTTATTCTTTCGTGATCCATCCTTTCGTCTATGCAATCCTGGGAAGCTGCCCTCTGTTAGTGATTGGCCCTGAGGCGGCTGGCTCGCTTCTCACGGGCGCCATTGTGAAAGCCAGCGTCTTAAGCAAAGACGCCGATGATAATAGCATGGAGAATGCTATTGTGGTCGGAATTAGTACGGCGATGAGTGGTACCATGATTCTGGTGGCCGGACTGACCCGGCTGGGATTTCTCGACAATGTTCTCAGCCGGCCCTTCCTACGGGGATTTATCACCGCTATTGGTTTCGTGATCTTCGTCGACCAGCTGATCCCAGAGTTGGGACTTGCGGAAATCGCAAAGGACATGGGATTCAGCCATGGAACCACAGTGGGCAAGCTTTCGTTTATCGCACGCTTTGGTAAAGAGTGTCACCCGCTCACGGCTACCGTGTCGCTAGTTAGCTTTTCCATCATTATGGTTTTCCGGTATATCCAATGTCGTCCTTGTCTGCTTTCACATAACTGACGTTTCTCAAGGACTCTGAAAAAGTGGATGATGCCGCGCTTCCCCCAAGTCATCTACTTCCCGGATCGTTTCCTGGTCGTTGTTCTGTCAGCGATTCTCGCCTGGAAGTTGGACTGGGAATCTAAGGGTCTCGAACTTCTCGGTCAAACCGAAAGCCCCGGCCAGCTTTTCGAATTCCACTGGCCGTTCCGGTTTGAGCACATGAAGCACATCCGCACAGCGATGAGCAAATCTTTTATCATCACTCTTCTGGGCTTCTTCGAGTCATCAGTAGCAGCAAAGGGTCTGGGCGATGGCCAACCTGATGGCATCCAAGGCATGCACATGAGTGCTAACCGAGAAATGGTGGCCTTGGGCGTTGCCAATTTCATCGGTGGCTGTTTCATGTCGCTGCCAGCGTTTGGTGGTTATGGTCGAAGCAAAGTCAATGTTCAAACGGGAGCACGCTCTCCGATGAGTAGCATTTTCGTCAGCATTATCACCCTCGTGGCCACTCTCGTGCTTCTACCCTACCTCTACTACCTTCCGGTGAGTGACCTTTGCAATGCCATTCTCAGAACAATGCTAATCTGGTCCTAACAGAAAGCGGTCCTTTGCTCGATGATCTCGGTCGTGGCCTTTTCTCTCGTAGAAGAATGCCCACACGATCTAGGCTTCTTCTTCCGCCTCCGAGGATGGACTGAGCTTATCTTGATGCTTCTCATTTTCGTTGCGACCATCTTCTACTCCCTGGAACTGGGAATGGCCCTCGGAATTGGTCTTTCCGTCATAATCCTCATCCGCCATGCCACCCAGCCTCGTATTCAAATTCTGGGCAAAGTCCCTGGACCTGCAGTCCGATTCGAAAACGCCGAATTGCATCCTGAAAACGTAGAGCTGATCGAAGGCGCTTTGATCGTCAAGATCCCCGAGCCTCTCACATTCGCCAACACGGGCGATCTCAAGAATCGTCTTCGTCGTCTGGAACTGTATGGCTCCAGCCGGACACACCCTTCCCTGCCTCGCATGCGCTCGCCGGAACACAACAAGAATATCATCTTCGACGTCCACGGCGTGACCAGCATCGACGGCTCTGGAACTCAGGTTCTCTATGAGATCGTGCAGTCATACACGGAAAAGGGCGTTCGCGTTTTCTTCAGTCGAGTGCCTAACTCCAGCGTGTTCCGCATGTTTGAACGGAGCGGTATCGTTGAGCAGTGCGGTGGACTTTCGCATTTCGTGCCCCATGTTGATGAGGCGCTCCGCCTCGCGGAGACAGAAGAGCATACCGAAGTTATGTGAAGCTCCATGTCCAGCATTTACGGCCAATATGTTATACAGATCGGGTTGATGATTTGACTGTGACCGCTGTTGTGTAAAAAAAAAGTCAAGTTGTTATTTCCGTTGCTATTTAAGCCTGTTATTGAGCGAGAAAATTTGTTCTTCTTTCGAAAGCAATGATAAATCACTTTCTCAGATGATTCTCATCGATGCCCTCACTTTTTAACTCAGTGTTATAAACGAAATGGTTTCTTGTGGCGCCCTTAGCCCTTGACTTTGATGGAGTCCATGTGCATCTTCCTTTCACGCCGGCATGGCCAACTTGTCGATGTTTTAAGCGATTCGTCATCACCATGGGGTCGATGAGATTCGGCGGCATTTGCATATATTCGTGCCGCGTTGGTCAAGTTTCCGAGTAGCCTATATTTTCGGCGGCGTGCTGCGATTTGCCTTGATGGCTTTAATAGCCGGTGGCTTGTTGAGAAGCGTCCACATGTACCGAAGGCGTTCGGCCATTCTTCCATGGATTGCATGGGGTAGCCGATAGTATTCCAATTCGGTATACCAGCAAGAAGGCATCATGTCGCAGCCTGGTCTCCAATAACGGCCTTGCGGATCGCTGCAAGGAGCAAAGTCTCACTCGCCCGCTGAGCAGGTAGAATCTCCTCATCATCCTCGGGCTGTTCAGCAACAACCAGTTTCATACGTCCTTCCCCTCCCAGCACGAAAGCAGCACACGCAACCTTCGATAACCGGACATGTTTGGCCACCTCGTTCCCGGCTGAGCCATCCGAGTCCAATTTCATCGCCAAGTGCTTCTCCAAATAAGCCGTCAGATTTGAGATTAACGGGCTGCGTGCTTTCTGTTTTCCTTTGGACTTCCCCACACCGTCGCGCAAAAAATCGATCAAGGAGTTCCGAGAAATGCCAATGTTCAAAGACCTCAGCGCTGGCGCAATGGGTGGCGAAAATGCAAGCGTAAGCTGGAGCTCCTTGATCGTATCTTCGATAATGGCATTCGCAGTAGATTGAGAAGCAAACCCTCGTAGCTCATCAATAAACGTCTCCATACCCGTACACAGGAAGTTAGATGGGAGACGCAGAGTCGAGCAGTAGGTGTCGAAATTGGCCGACAAGAACGAAATGAAGGTCTGTCGCAAGGCATTTGGGAACCTTGTCAACAGCAGCGGTAGAAACGTAGACCCTTCACGTTCATTCAATCCAGAAGTATTATTCGGATCCGCAAGGAGAGCCGCTTTATAGATGATGTTCTCATATTCCAGCGTCACCAGAATTCCGGGAAAGGTAGCGCGTCCTGCAGAAGACTCCGTGGAGATAGGAAGCCAATGGCATCTTCGTAACGCGCCTGTTTTTGAGAGCGCATCATCCTCTGCTGTAGTTGCGCTGGAATGAAGTCCAGCGAGGATGTCGCCGGTGAGTTGGTCGCGTAATCGCGCTGCATAAACCTTCAACGCGGCTTGGTTGTCGAGGAGGGTCTCGCAGTCCTTCCCGTGGTGGAGAGGAGAAAGACGATGAATGGTCCATGATGTATTGAACAACTGGCGGTGCGATACCTGCTCCATGGCGGAAATAGTTCAATTTAACACCCTGGATATTGTGGTGCTTCACATGGTTGAAGCTTCGCGTGATAATCGCCATGGCGGTAGGTCTTGACGCGCCGCGGTGCAAACCAAACAAACACCCAAGTATGGCAACATTGGCAGCGCAGGTTTATACCATAGATTTTAAGCTACAACAAGCTATTAGTAAAATTGCAGTGATATTTGATGTAGCTTTCGTTTATTTTTTGCTCAGAATTTCAATATAGAAAATGCTAGGTATCTGCCCCCAACGCCGCTAACGCTCGAGTTGAAAGTAGGATCATGCTGACCATCCCGGGATTTCTGGCCTTTGGCAGTCCGCGCACCCGATCAAGATGGGGACGGAATTCCATGTCCAGGCAACCTCTATCTCGTGAGGAATTGCCTGCCTCTCTTCCAACTCCGCCTGAGCCGCCCAAAACCAGAGATCCCGCACAGATGTATGTATGTTCTGGTCTGACGACTCACCGAAAATAACCGAGTTCATATGGTCTTTTCGGTGCGCCGTCATGTCGTGGTGAAAGTTGTACATGAAGTCCTTCCGCTGCATTCGCTGGTTGCCCCCATCTCCGATCTCGGCAGAGAAGAACTCGACAATGCGCCCAAATGGTGCTATCGTGAGAAGGGAGCTGATCCAGGAATCATCGATCGCCGTTTCCGAGGACATTGTATGGCGGATGTAACTGACCAGTAACAACATGCAGTGGTGGGTAGCAAGTAAGGCCGTGGTGTTGGTGAAGGGAGGTTTCTTGAGGATTCGGGTCTGGATTTCATGGTACATCTGCCGGCGCCTGTGGGGAGGGACGGGGACTGTCAAGCGACCGGCTTCATATTCGCGGAGAAGCATGTTTGTATGCTCTCGTCGAGCAGACATGTACGACTCGAGGTAGTACAGGAGGTAGTACCTGACATGGAAATTAGTCTTAGCCCCAATCCATGGCACTTCCTTTCACAAAGATCTCACATTATTGGTGCTAGATGGAACCAGATGCTAGCTTTGCCTCGTTTGGTCAGCGCGGTTCGTTCCGCTTTCTTCGTGGGGAACGTAGTTCTCAGGAAAATAGGCTCGGTCTGCAGAAATTGGTCCATGATGCGGTCTGCGAGGTAGTAGCAGAGCCGCGACGATTGCTTTTGTCTCTGCCGCAGGCCATAGAGATACCGGAATGTGTAGAGATGGCCTCCCCTGGCGCTTGTTGACGGCGGGAAAAGGTCCGACAGCAGCACGACATCATCCTCCGGGTTGCGGGTATAGGTTCTCTCGCTGTCGATGGGGGACGGTAGCGTGCCATGTCGACGCTGGCGGAGGTACTGTCGCACGATCTCGTGTTCATGTCGGGTTAGGAGCTCATTGAAGGCCCTGCAGACCAGTCTCAACGGGTGATAATCGGCGGTCCCGCAGTAACCGAAGATCTGGATTTGTATTTCGACTGGCAGGCCCCATGGGGAAGGGATAGGAGGGTCGACATGGTTGAGGCTGCAGGAAACGGGCACAGTGTCAGAAGCGTCCGTCGCAAGGACTGAAGTGCCTGGGATGAAACGACTCACCCTAGAGAGGACGACGAGCCGGGGAGGTCGCGTCGGTCCTTGGCACCCTTCCTCCCCCGGTGGATCGCAGCTAGAAACTTTTGCACCGGCTGGAGTTTGGAGAAACCAGTCATGCTGGGGCTCGGCACCACATTGACCAGGGTCGGCGAGGGCTCCAGGCGTCGCGTCGAGTACAAATACCAGCGCCTGGCCCGCAGCAACAACGGGAACCCCCTTTCAGCGGATTGAAGTTTTGACTAAGCTGTAGACACAGCCTCGAATCTGGGGAAACCCCTTCACAGGTTTTCTAAATTTCGCCGAGGCTGCAGCTTGGGGGCCGTGAGGAAGAATGAGACAACAATAATTCGAAGGAGCTGGACTGGACTGGTGGGGACTGCAGACCTCGTCGGGCGGAGCCCAGACTCTTCGAGCTACCGAACATCTATAACGGGATGTATACTCCGAGCGCAGCGGCCTAATCGCACGATAACAATTGAGGCAGCATTGTATTTACCGTAGAATTGCTCTGGACTTTCTTAAGCTAGTTTGCTGGTTGCCAGGCCTTGCGGAATCGGCATCAATCGAACCATGGGGAGTACCTTAACCTAAGGTACTACGCTTAAGCTATGCGTTCCCTCTCGATGGTCTCGACCTACCTTAGGGTAGGGTCCTACCCTTTGTTCGCCTGTCTCAAGTATGGTCCCGCAGAATCGCTGGATTATCCCCAGAAAATAGTTACAATTTACTCTAAAGTAGCCTCGAGCTCATTCAATGGCCGATTTTGGGAGTTGATTCTCAACAATGAGAAGATATCGGCTCTAGTCGCAGTGGGGCTGTGTTGCTCGGGATTTTGTGTCTCAAATGCACCGCAGATAAGGTTGTTTGTAATATGAGGACGAGGAACCATGCGAGTCAGTGCTGTCGGAGATAGAGCCAAAATGACCGACAGCAACTTTGTCAGACTCGAAATTCGTGGGGTTTGTGACAACCCGAAGTATACCCACGTACCCCGAGGTAGATGGGGTCAGCGGCTTGGGCCTCACCCAGGATATCCTTGAATGCGTGCATGATGGCCCTTTCGGATGTTCCACAGACCTTGCACACTGCATGCGGGCACAAATAAATGCAAACCTGATTGACACGATCGACCAGACTGGTCTGCTGGTCGCGCCGTCGCCTGTTTGAGAAATTACGTCATTGCGATAGTGTACAATCTACATGAGAGTCGACTGCTGCCCGAGGATTGTTCTTCTCTTTGAACACACCCGGTTATTACTCAACACCCCAGTTTGCAGAAACACCATCGTCTCTTCCACAATGACGAGCAATGTTCTCATCGTCGGCGCGACGCGGGGTCTCGGTGCATCCCTCGCGACGCTGTACACGCAGAGGCCTGATCACCATGTCGTCGGCACGACACGAGCCGCCAACTCACCTGCAACGCCTGACATCAACTGGTTGGTAGGGATCGATGCCTCCAAGCCAGATGTGGGTGAGATGATTACTTCTGGGGCAAAAAACTTGAAGTTCTCGACAGTCATCATCTCGGCGGGCTACTTTGGCTTTGAAACCTTCGACACGCCAGATTGGGACAAGCAGGTCCAGATGTACACCACCTCTGCAATTGGGCCAGTCTTTATCGTTCACCATCTCGTGAAGGCTGGGCTTCTGGGGGAGGGAGGCAAGGTGATTCTTGTCAGCAGCGAGGGTGGGAGCATCACTCTCCGGCATGAGAAAGAAGGCGGAGGAAATTTTGGTCACCATGCTAGCAAAGCTGCACTGAACATGGTTGGCAAACTGCTGAGCTTGGATCTTAAGCAAAAGGGAATTGCGGTCGGCCTGGTCCACCCGGGATTTATGCGGACGGAGATGACGAAGAGTGTTGGGTTCGACAAGTACTGGGACATCGGTGGAGGTACACTACTCACCTCTTCTCCTTGATGGCTTGTGCTAATCATACTCTTCCTACAGCTGTGACCCCCTACGAAGCCGCTAAAACCCTGGCGTCCTTTATCGACGGATTCGATATCAGCAAGACCGGCGAGTTCTGGGCCCCCAGAGGACCAGGGTATGTCTGATACCAAGCTTACTCTTACTCGAATAGGAAAACGACGCTAAGCTGACATCGATCTTCACAGTGACATTGGAACTGCAGAAGATGTCCTCGGAAAGGGCCTTCCCACTCCCCTGCAATTGCCCTGGTAAAAGAAGACAGTATTTGCAGTCATGAATTGAACGCATATTACGACGAACGGGAGTACTTTCGATTTTACTAGTGAAAATATGTTTTTATTGCGCAGCTGGGGCGGCTGGCTCAGCACCCGGCCTCGCGCACATGAACACCAAATCTTTGCCAATATCCTTCCGCTCTTCATGTCCAACAACCTTCATTCCGAAGATCTTGGCATAGAACTTTTGCAGCGGTTCGCCGCTGGTAAGCAGCATGTTTCGACGAATATATGGCATATTAGCCTTGGAGAAGACGTCGGAAACACATTCGATGAGCCATGACCCCAGCCCGTAGCCTTGGTACTCAGGCAAGACATAGACATCCGTCAGGTAGCCGAAAGTGACTCCATCGGTAATCATTCGTGCCAGCCCGATTTGTTCTGTGTTGTCGGCGGATGGCGTTTCAAGCTCGGGTTGTGACTCAGAGCGACGAAGTTGTCTATAGACGCCGAAACTCATACACCCATGCAGCATTTGGTGCAAAATTTCTTCGTCGAATGGGTTTGCCCAATAAATGAACTCTCTCCCATAAGCCTCGTTAACTGCTTTGACGGACAGCAGGGACTTTTCTGTTGAGATGAAGAACTCGCTGTTATCTCTTCTCCACGTCCGAGGGGCAATCGATTTTGGCGGGGTAAATGACATGGCGGCAATGAATCCAGCAATCTGATGGTGTAGACTGTTGAATAATTCACAGCTTTAAACGATTGAGGGATCGCTGGAAATCTGAGAAAGTGTGAGTCAGTTGCCGGCCAAGTTGGATGTCACCGAAATTGTCCGAGCGGGCCATAGCCGATTTGCCTTAGTTGTTAGGGGCGGGTGCCGCACCCGTTGTCATCTTCAGCCTCGTATCCGGGCAACCCGATTTCAACAGAGGCCCGGCATCAGGGGGTTCAAAACCAGAAGGCAGGAATGTGCCATTGGTATGTGCTTGATTCCAAGCTTCTCCCATGAAGCCTCTCGTTTGTTATCCGAACGCTGACATGGTCGTTGTTTAGCTGAATCGTCTGGTTCGAGTCAGAATGAGTGAAGTACTTCACGGCTGAGCATGATTCCAGGTAAATGCAGTCAAAGCCTGGGAGTATGCCACAAATATGGGCTACGGCTTGAGAGCAGACCATTGAGTTTACCTGTGCAACACATGCCATCGATATTATTCCAGCACCGTCAACGACTGCAGTCGGCCGAGAATTCAATTGCAAAACCCCCACATAAAAGACGATCACGAATCGGATCAAATTGAATGCGCTGCAAACATTTATCTCTTCCATTCGCCGAGGTCTTGAATGGCGTTTGGAGTGGGGTGGATGGTGCTGAATCCCCAATGCCCTCACGCCATCGCCTTCCGCGATGATGTTAGCAGCACCGAATCACTCACGCCTGTCTGGCTGCTGCGGCCGCTCGACCGTGTCATTATGCTCGAGAGATTTATTTCTGGATGGACTGGCTTATATACAGATGTCCTGCCTGGCGTCTAAAATGCTCCGAATGGCGTGCATCGAATTGTGAGGGGCCCATACCGATACCTTAAAGCTAGCAGGCCCCGAACGATATATCGATCCTGCGGATAATCTTGATTTCAAAACATAGAATTCGTGAACTGACTCAAAATGGCCATATTGGAGAAACCAGTGGTGTCGGTTTACCCATCGATCCCGAATATTGATTCGAAGGTCGAGTCGATCAAGGGACCTTCAGGTCTGAATGGAGCGACCCCGGCGGTGACGGTGAAGGATGCAGTGAATGAGTCTGAGTTGCAAACCCCGGTGTCATCGAAGTTTGAGTTGGAAGATCATCCCATCGATGCATTGAGGCCTGTGAAAGTGGGTGTTATCGGAGCTGGCCTTGCTGGAATTACTGCTGGTGCGTTGTTGCCAGTGAAGCTCCCAGGGCTCGACTTGCGTATATACGACAAGAATGCCGATGTGGTAAGTTGAAAAGACTATCAGCTTACTAGTACTTTCACTAATAAATTTATTCATAGGGCGGCACCTGGTAGGTTCTTTAATGTCTACCAGGTATGACCAAGTTTTCTTCGATATTGACCTTACAACCACAGGTTCGAGAACACGTATCCCGGTGTTCGTTGTGATATACCGGCCCATGCCTATCAGTCTGGCTTTGCGCCAAATACGCAGTGGTCAGAGGAATTTGCCCAGGGCGCAGAAATCCGAGAGTATTGGCAAGGGGTTGCAAAGAAGCATAATGTGTACCAATATCTTCGACTGCAGCAACAGGTGCGAAAGGCCGAATGGCTTGAAGAAGAGGGAAAATGGAAAGTAACGATTGAACATGTCGATGGATCCAACAAGGTAAGCTGACCTTAACAAAAGCAATAAAAATGGGTTGCTCACTCCTTGTCAGGTATATGAAGAAAAGTTGGACATCCTCATCAATGCCATCGGTCATTTCAATGCCTGGAAACTACCTGATTATGAAGGCATCGAAAACTACAAGGGAAAGCTCTTCCACTCCTCTCATTGGGACCACTCTGTTGACTTGCAAGGGAAGCGAATTGCCTTGATTGGCAACGGGGCTTCGGGGTTGCAAGTTCTCCCCTCCATCCAGCCGATTGCCAGCCACGTCGATCACTATGCACGAAATCCCACCTGGATCGCCGACTCCTTCAGCAGTGGAAGCTCTGGTGTGCGCCGACTGGAGCCGAACATCATCCCCGAGTCATTGCGGGAGACATTTAAAGATCCAAAGACCTATCTGGAGTATCGGACAGGAGTGGAACGAGGATTCTTCCAGCGATTCGGGGCCATCTTCAAAGACACGCCTGAAAATCACGAGCTGCGTGAGAAATGGACCGAGATCATGTTACACCGCGTCGCAGAGAAACCTGAGCTAGGGGAACACATTCTGCCTGATTTCCCGCCAAATTGCCGTCGCCCGACACCCGGGCCGGGATACCTGGAGGCTCTGACGAAGGAAAATGTCAGTTATATCCGGCCGCGGATTCAGCGCTTTACGGAGACAGGCATTGTCACCGAAGATGGGATCGAGAGACCTGCTGATATCACTATCTGTGCAACGGGCGCGAATGTTGACCATGCGCCGCCATTCTCCATCGTTGCCAACGGTATTGACCTGAAGTATGCCTGGCAGAGAGATGGTCTTTTCGGATTCCCATATTCCTACCTTGGCTTTGCGACTCCCGGTTTCCCCAACCTCCTTTGGCTTGGTGGCCCCTATGCATCTGGACACAGCGGCACAGTTCCCAACAGCATGGAGAACCAGGTCACCTACATCGCAAAGGTAGTGCGCAAAATCCGCAGTCAGGGCATCAAATCCATTGCCCCATCGAAGCAAGCCGCGGACGATTTCGTCGAGTATTGTGATCAGTTCTACCCGCGCACTGTCTGGTCGGCGAACTGCAGCTCGTGGTATAATGGCGGCCAGCCCGGGGCTCGCATTCACGGATTATTCCCTGGAAGCGCGTCCCATGCGAACTACATTCGGCGGGACCCACGGTGGGAGGATTGGGAGTATACATATGTGAACCCTAGTGGGAATCGGTTTGCGTACTTTGGCAATGGTTGGACCTCGAGAGAGCTGGATCCGGATGCTAACTTGACGCCGCATTTGAAACTTCCTGCGGAAATCGACTTGAAGACTCACATGGAGGGTTGGTGGGATGTTTGAGCACGTATTTAGATTGGTTGGTTGCAAATAATACGAGGAGAGCCAAGTTCCTAGAGAAGACCGTGAGTGAATACCCAGTTCACCAGTGTTATGGCAAGAAATAGAATGACGTGGATTCCGGCCAGTACACTAGTGTAGGGCATGAGGTTCCTAGAGAGGTACCAGTGTCTAATGGGATCTAATATGAAACTAGTCTGAGTAAGGGTATCCTATGTTTGTTCTAGAATGATCCTGGACGTGAATTATGCTTTATCTGACATGCTTATTGCGATTCTTTCAGGCTGTAGGGAGGAGCCACTTCGCCTGCTCGCCAGAAATACTTGGCACCTGGGTGGGACTCGGGAAGTCTAGTTTGGCCCTGCTTCCCATACATATTCTCACGGAAAGTACCCCCGGGCACGGCATAATCCGACCAGAAAAGACCGCGTCTCTGCAACTCAGGAAGTAGAAGACGAATGATATCGTCAAAGGTATCCGGGAGACTGGCATAGCTGAGGTTGAACCCATCCACGTCGCCGAGATTGACCCATCGCTCCAACTCATCCGCAACCGTCTTCACACTACCGATGATCTTGACTCCATTGCCGCCCAGGGTCAGATAATCAGCGATGGTCTTTTTATCCCACTTCTGGCCTTCGGTTCCGGGCACTGTGCTTGCCCAGTGGTTCACCATACTGCGCACGGCGGGCTGCTCCACGAACCGGAAGTCCTGGTCATCGGTGTACGTCGACAAGTCATAGCCCGTCCAACCGCCAAATAGAGCCAGAGCCCCTTCCCGATCGCCATAGCTCTTGAGCTTCTCGAATTTAGCCTGTGCTTCTTCGTCGGTCTCTGCCACAATCACCAGGGCCCCAGCCACCACCTTGATGTCCTGTGGGTTCCGACCCAGATCGGCCGCTTGTTGGCGAATGCTATCGACAGAAGGACGCACCAGCTCTGGCTTTTGGGCATGCAGGAATACGGCCTCTGCATGCTTAGCCGCGAACGCCTTGCCAGCTGTCGAGGTTCCCGCCTGGAGTATGAACGGCGTGCGCTGCGGGCTCGGTTCACACAGGTGAGGGCCAGGCACTTGGAAGTATTTCCCCTTGTGGTTGATCTGGCGCACGGAACGGGGGTTAGCATAGTGACCCAGAGCGCCCTGGGGCGGACCATTCTTGGAAGCATCCTGTCTCCAAGTCACGGCATCGTCCCGCCACGAGGCCTCCCAGAGCTTGTAGGTCACATCCAGGTACTCATCGGCAATGCGGTAGCGCTCATCGTGCTCGACCTGGGTATCGAGGCCGAAGTTCCGGGCCGCGGAATCCAGGTACGAGGTCACGATATTCCAGCCAATACGACCATTGCTGAGGTGGTCGACGGTCGAAAACCGCCGGGCCAGCGCGTAGGGCGCCTCATATGTGGTGGAAGCGGTGACGCCGAAACCGATGCTTTCCGTCGCGGCTGCCATGGCGGGAATGCTGTACAGGGGGTCATTGATGGGGAACTGCGCGCCCGCTGGAATGGTCGGGTCGAGATTGGCGGGACCCTTGTAGACATCGTAGCCGCCCAGGACGTCGGCGAAGAAGATGGCGTGGAATTTGGCCTTTTCGAGTCTCTGGGCGAGCGAGATCCAGTGTTTGAGGTCCTTGTACTCTGCGCCCTTGTCGGTCGGATACCGGAATAGACCTGGATTCAGGTGTGCCGGGGAGTGCATAGCGAAGGCATTGATGATAAGCTGCTTCTTCTCTGTAGAACCCATGGTTGCAACGGTGGTCTGGTCTCGCCGGGCGAATTGGTAGGAGAGGAATTGACGCGCGACACGTTAATTGCATTTTTCGTCTTTTGGGGTTGCCCCTTCATATTTATTGTTTTCGCATGGCTTTTGTTCTTTTGCCGACCCCGCAGGCTCGTCGATGGCGTGCAGGACGAAAGACGTGAAGTTGGAGTCTGATGGCGTCAGCAGATTATGTACCTCGGCGGGGTTGGCCAACTCCTCTCGGAGGATTTCACAGGGGTGCTGTCATTTGGTGCTGTCACTTGTGTCGGAGAGTTGGAGCCATTGGTGAAGTGCTGGGTGAGTTACCCTGGACTGAGGCGGTACTACTTGGTCAAGGGGTGCTGGCTCGGCCGATAGATCCCTCAGGGCATACTACCAGGCGTGCTAGTGCAATTAGCACATATGAAATTTCGAATGCTAATTATTCACGGTTGTCGTGCAGTCAGCTTTGACTTTCGCGCTTTATTAGCCGCCTTGAGTAGCTCTTGTTTCATAACGGTCAACAGTCACCACCTGGGCATTACCTGTCACCCTACAAAGGTATAGTTCCCACCACACTGGCTGCCCTGTAGCTGTCCACCCTTGGCAAAAATGCTTTCAAGAACTCTCCAGGAGTTTTATTATTTGCGTAGGTAATGGATTATGGCGCTTTAGCTTTTTTCCTCGGCATTTTACATGTGAACTTATTGACATTTGAGCTATATAACTCGTATCTTGTACATTTCAATGTTTATGTGGCAAAGGGTTTAGTTTCAATATAGTTCACATTATGATAAGATGCAATGGCACAGAGATCGTATGGACCAAATAATTTTCCTACTATCAGACTGTCGCATTCGAAAAGAATGGCAATGAAAGGACTTCTGCTTGCATCTGAAGGAGCGCCTGGACAATCCCAACTTCCGTCACTATCCCCAGGAACTACCACTGCCATGGCGTATTAAACAAAAAGTCTTGAGCGCGCCTCAATTGCGCGATCATTGAACAGAGCCTCGTGTTTCCTTAGAATACGATGTGTCAAAACTAAGATGTTTACCCATCGTGGCTTGGAAAAGAGGCTCATTTGGTGGTGGTGGTGGTGGCCGTAATCGAAGCCACACATTGTTGGCTTCGGACAAAAAGTACGACTTTGTCGCGGTACTTTCCCATTTCCAATTTCAAACCATGTTTGATCGTTTATTTGTATTACTTTAGTGCTTTTCTAGTATTACTACTACCTAATGATAGGAAGGTTCTTTGCATTGCGACTTATCCCCCGCAAGTTCGCGTGGTTTATGCCTTGACATGGGACCGGACTCAGCCTCAAACCAGCCAGTCTTCATTGTCCCATGTCTGCCGTCTGCGTCTCCGCTCGCGTCAGGGTCCCAACCTCGCATGAGGCAAATCTCAGCACCCGAGTGGCTCCAATCGGATTCTGCTCGGCACTGCCCCCTGGCAATCCGTGGTCGGGCGATCACAAGGTTGGGGGCCGTCTCACGGTGAAAGAACTAGTGCCGTCTTTACGTCAGGGTGCCCACGATGATCTGGCAGCGTGCAGCGACACGGCCCATGCACGGTGGCGTCCATGACAGCCATCAGCTTGCGCCAATCCCGATGCTTCTTGAGCTCTGGATGCTCTTGACGAGGATGCGCAGCCGCAGACTCGATCGATAAAGTTGGGTCGCAACACTCCGCGTCCTCCAACGCCTGAGGTGTCCAACAGGCGCAACACGGAATCTGCCTCACCCCTGGGACCTGCCAGCCTTCCAGTCGACGCTAGAAAACATCTGGAAGAGTGTGGGCCTCACGTGTGGCATGACGATCGCCCAGCGATTGCCCAGAAAGATTCCCGGAGAGAATGGGATCCACCCCCCCCTGCTGCATACCACGATACAACGATAACAAACATGCGAGAAGAGTCGAGGAATGGGAATGGAAGGATTACATTCGCGCATAGCTGCCATCTCGTTCGAGATCGCTGCTCGTCCATCGTACATACTTCGGTGTGCCCGGCCAGAGGACGACCAGTATCCTAGGGGAAGCCCCTCGAATAGTGACCTCCTTTCTTGTCAGCATGGCCAAATCGAGTATCTCGTAGATAGCACCGGGCCGTCGTTCTCGTATTGCAACCAAGAAACATATGAACCCATGAACACAGCCCTACCAGAGTCGAACGATCATCAATGACTCGAGCCGGATGCTCGGCACCCGGGCGTCCAATCCGCAAGTTGGCGGTGGATTCATCCGAAAGCTCGCGGTGTTGCGCCCGAGACTCAGCCATGGAGAGGCTTAGAGACGCTAGGCCAAGGGTTCGGGGGCGCCCCACTGCGGAGAAAGCTGATCGGATCGGTGCAACTGGACAAAGTAAATGCTAGCAAGGCGGTTGCAGGTGGAAGCTCTGTTTATCTTGGCTGGGTATTTAAACCTTGTGGCCGCGCCCCTCCCCCCCTCCAGTCATCCCCCTTTGAAGATCATCTGCATCGGAAGATTCGAATATTCGAAGCATCCTTCTCTCACTGCTCTTCCATTCTCAACTATCCCCGCCACCTCACAATACAGGCTACACCGTCATGTCCGTCAACGGAGCTTCCGGCAAGGCCCCCGTTCAGGAGCCACAGTCGCAGCATCAGCATTCGTCGCGCCACGATGAGCGCGGTCTGGTCAAGGTCCAGCCGGCTCGCTTGGCTGACCTGCAGCCGCGATATGCCTCCACCATCGAGCACGACGAGGATAACCCGGACGCCCACGGGTGGTATGCGCAGATGAGTATGTCGCGCCAAACGCTCCTGAGTCGTATATCGCATCAAAGCTAACCAGTGTCCGTTTCATTTATCTAGTTCATAGCCTGGGAGGATGCATCGGTTTCTTTGGTGCCATTCCTTGCTGTATCTGCTGCCCTAACCCCTTCAAGCCGGTCGACCAGGGTCAGGTCGGTCTGGTCTCGCGATTTGGACGGTTCGTACTACTCTTCTCCTCAATTGCACAACCTTACTCTGACATGTCATCTCCAGTTTCGAGCGCTCCGTGGATCCCGGTCTGGTCAAGGTGAACCCACTCAGCGAGCACCTCACGACCGTCGATGTCAAGATCCAAATCGTCGAAGTCCCGCGCCAGGTCTGCATGACCAAGGACAATGTTACTCTCAACCTTACATCTGTCATCTACTACCAAGTCACTTCGCCGCACAAGGCCGCTTTCGGTATCTCCAATGTGAAGCAGGCGCTCGTCGAGCGTACCCAGACCACTCTGCGCCATGTGATCGGCGCCCGCGTTCTGCAAGATGTCATTGAGCGTCGCGAGGAGATCGCACAGTCCACATCTGAGATAATCGAGGAGGTCGCCGCGGGCTGGGGTGTACAAGTCGAGTCCATGCTGATCAAGGATATCATCTTCAGCAACGACCTGCAAGATTCGCTCTCCATGGCTGCTCAGTCCAAGCGAATCGGTGAGAGCAAGGTCATTGCTGCTCGTGCCGAGGTCGAGTCCGCCAAGTTGATGCGCCAGGCTGCCGACATCTTGTCTTCTGCCCCCGCCATGCAGATCCGCTACCTCGAGGCCATGCAGGCGATGGCCAAGACCGCCAACAGCAAGGTCATTTTTTTGCCTGCTACGAACCAGACCATGAGCCAGCAATTTGCCACGGCTGACAATGCTGGCGAGGGCCCTAGCAGCCATGGCCTTCAGCAACAGACAGGCATCCCGGATGACGGGTTCCAGCGTGCTATGAATGCCCGCGTTGTCGAGGACATCTAGTTTAAATGGCTGCCTTGAGAGACACGTTGCCATCATCGGGTCCCGCCTTTCTGGAATTTCCCATGAAGATATGACTCTTACCCTTTAGCTTGTGATTTATCTTGCTTTTCCCGGTGGCTTGATGCTCGGTGGCAGCAAGTACCCAAGGTACTTGCTATCCGGGCGCATCCCTCCGAAGACCTCTTTGAATTCTGTACTATGGCTGGATACGATTCGATCCACGACGATACCCACCTTCTTTTTCTGCGTTATGATTACCCCTTTTGCTCTGCGTTTCGCTATATGGCAGTTATAATAGCTTCATAGTATTATTCGAGTCCAATTATCAGGCTACTGCTTCGCCGTTTATCAAGATCGTATCAGAAAGTAGAAAATACTGCATGAGTCCCCTAATAGCAAGAAAACTTTGACATTAGATAGCCCGTATTAATCTCAATTACAACTTTGCATGCATAATATACAATTGTAACTATCGTGAACCTTCCAAGGCGGTGAAGCTACCCAGCCGGAGCGGAGGACGGCGTGGTCAACACGGACAGCCCTCTAGATCGCAGAGCCCGGCCACTATGGAATACTCGTCCAATCTCTATTAGTGCGATTGGAATCATTTGACGGATACACAGTGCCACGATCGTGCAGACTTGCTACCCATGGCTTCCTCACAGACTGCACGTTCGAGTGTCAAACCCCCCAATTCGCAATCCGACACGACACCCAACTTCGCCGACCCGAACTTCGACCCCGCCGAATTCCTCAATGAATCTCTCTCGCCGTTAACTGTCGCATCCTTACAACCGAATGCCTCGCGAGCGCCGGGCTCCGTGCCTCTGACCGAACTATCTGCGCAAGTCCAGACACTGCTCTCGCAAATCAGCGCACAGAATGTGCGCCTCTCCAGTACGCTTTCCCAGCTCAGCGATGAAATACTCCGAAGTGGTGGACGGTTGGCATACGAGGTAGAAGTTCTCCGTGGAGAGACCATTGGGCTGTCGGAGACCCTGACAGAAGTCCTGCGGGACGACATCTCCAAGTTTGTGCCAGAGTCCACAGATGATGCCTCCGCTGGTCGGAAGGTAGAGCTCGCGCCAGAGGCGACCGAGGAGTCTCAGCCCGAGTCTACGAAAACAGAAGAGAAGTCTGCAGGAGAAGGAAAGGGAATCGCTGCACCGATCGATCCCGAATACATTTCCAAACTCCGTACACTCAACAAGGTCCGATCAAGGCTCGAGGATGTTGTCCAGGCCTTTGGCGATGCGATGGAATGGCCTCTACCACCGTCCGAGATCTCCTTCTCTTCGTCCTTTATCTCCGTCTCCGGCCCTGAAATGAGCGCCGATGGCCATGATCAAGAACAGAAGGGCCAGGAAACCATGAAGAAGCTACGGACACAGATCAACGAGTTGCTGGACAGTGACGGCGGTGGGCGTGCCGGATTGGAAGCAGCCACCCGCCGCGTCGAGGCTCTGCGGATATTGGCGACGGTCTGGAAGGGGTCGGCCGAGGAGAAAGCGCGCCATCGGTTTGTTGATACTCTGGAGAGGATTGTGGACGAGCGGCGGCGTATCCTGGACCACCAGCAGGCCACGGCCGGCCAGAGCATGCGCGGCCCCAGGTCGCGGTCGGAGCAGCGACGTGACAGCGACAGTGGGGCGCCTGGGGGTGGCTTGTTCCGCAACTTACAGCGCCTGCGGGAGGAGATCTATTTGGAGTAGAGAGATAAAAAGTAATTTTATGTGTACGAGCAATGCCAATATTGACACCGAGAGAGTGTGTATACATTTTACTGCTCGTAATATAGTACGTAGTTTTAAGTACAGTCGCCCTCGTGCTGCGAACGTTGCGGGCGCCGATCCCTGCCGCGGCCGCCCGTTCTCGTTGCTCCCCTCGATTGCGTACTTCCCGCGTGGCATTCTTCAAGATCCTGAAACCTCCCCCTCTGCACACGCCGGCATGGCCACCTGTTCCCTTCGCTACTGAATCGTTTCCCAGTCTATTTTCCAATGGTCTCGTTCAGCTCGTCGCCGCAGTTCGAGGCCAAGGCGCCGTCTGCCTCGTTCTGGCGGCAAGTCCATCATTATCGCCCGCGAGTACACAAGGCCAAGATTACCTTCGTCGCCATTGCCTTTCTTCTCTGCCTCTGGATGATTTCATCGTCCTCGAAGGTGAGTGCTAACCTTCCAGCCTGGATGCACAAGGCCATAGCTCCAATTGCTTGGCCGATGTCGCTCTGGTCAACTGCCGCAAGCGCCAGCGCTAACGCACGCCATGTCCAGCAGCCTGAGCCGGACTTCTGGACAAAATTTCCCTCGCAACACCCATTCACTGAGCACCCCGAAGATGCGCATGTTTTTCTTCCTCGACGAGTCGACGTCGGACCCAACGATACTCTCCCCCATGATTTAGAAAAGACCAATCCGCACCTGCACCTGCTGGTGCCCGCCACCAAGGGTTCTCGTGGTACTTGCCGAACCCTGGTCTCGTCCATGATTCTGGGATATCCGCCTGCGACAGTTGTTGGCTATGGCCATGAAAAGCCCGGCGCAACGGAATTCGAGCGCATGGTGCAGCGCATCACACGCGTGCGCAATTACCTCCGGGATAGCAAGACGGTCAAGCCTCACGACTTTGTGCTAGTCGTGGATTCTCTGGATACCTTCTTCCAACTACCCCCGCAGGTTCTCGTTCAGCGGTTCCAGGAGATTCTGCGCGAGAACAATAGGAAGCTCCAGAAGAAGTACGGCGATGTGGAGCTGCCCCCGTTGAAGCCAGGTGCTTCGCCAGAGGTAATCCAAAAGTACTCACAGCGGGTTCTTTTCGGGGCAAGCAAGATATGTCCCAGTGAAATGAAGGATGATCCCGGCTGTGTGTCAGTCCCGCAGTCCTCTCTGCCTCCCGATGTGTATGGATGGTTCACAGACGAAGCGCGCGATGGACACAAGAACCGTCCCCGCTGGTTGAACCCTGGTGCCGTGATTGGCCAGGCTGCTGATCTGAAGATCATCTACGACGAGGTCCTGCGCTTGGTCGAGCAACGCCACAAGAAGTACGGCGATTACCTGGCCTTGACCCAAATGTATGGTCGACAGGAGGTCGTGCGAGAGCTTGAGCGTCGCCGTACTGCTAATAGTGCCCAGGAGTGGCTCTACTCACTGATTGGAATCTCCGATGCGAGCAATCTGACCGGTATCAGCGTGAAATTGGAAACGGGCCACCGCTACGAATACGGCATAGGTGTCGACTACAAGTCGGAACTATTCTTCAACCAGATAATGGCTCGCAACGACGTCGGTTGGCTTAAGTTTGATAATGTCACTAGGTCAGCTGCGTTCCAGGCCTCGTTCGGTGTCCCTCGCGAGACTCGCATGCTTCTTCCGCCGGACATTGAGTCCCTCCCCAACCCGTTCAACACTAGTCGCCTGGCTAAGCACCAAACGTCAATTCCGACATGGAACTTGACCCTCGATAAGCTGCCCAGCCCACATGACCACGGATGGGGCAATTTGCCTCTCCTGACCAATGCGCACTCTGCTTCGGTCCCTGTCCTCGCTCATATGAATGGCGATTCGAAGCTGCGCAACACATGGTGGGAAAAGATGTGGTTTTTCCCCTGGGCCCGTGCATTACTCCGGAAATACGTTCGCGACTCGCAGGGCTTCGAGGCAGCACAGTCTGCCCTCCTGGGAGGACAGGAGTGGTGGGATATGCGCGGTGGCCGGGGCGGACTCTGGACCGACGACGCGAACTGGATTACCCTATCTGAGATCTGCGAGGGCCAAGAACGTGATCTCTTCGATGATGATTTGGGCCCGTGGTCGAAGGAGAATGGGGATCCGGACGAGCCCGTCTACAACCAGTTCGGCAAACTGACTCACGGCAAAGGTCAAGAGAACGAGGAAGATCAGTTCGGCTGGAACAATTTCAATTTCTGGTGAAACCCTCCTGTTTAAAGGGGGATTCGTTCTGTTCTGGATGAACAAGATCAGCGAGCGTTATGGGAGTTTTGCACATAATCTTTTGTTCATGTCTACGGTTCTAAGTTCGCGTCTTAGAACTCCCAGGTCTGTTTTTTTGCTTGATACCTCTTTTGCTTTACCCCCGGTTCAAAGCATGGCTGTTCGGCGTTTGTGATTTTCAATGGAAAATGTACGATTAGTGAGATACTCGAGTGCCCTGTCTTATCACTGCTACGTGCGGGCATAAACACGACGTGTTACAGGGGGCAGATCAATGCTCGTAGAAACGAGTTTCAATACTTTCAAATCGACCGCGACTTTGGATATCTAGTAGGCACGACCACTACTATCCTAAGATAGAGTACTTGCTGTACTTGACTTCGGTACCCTAACGGAACCCAGTAGCATTCTTCCCTATCCTGTGTACAGGCACTAGTGATAGAGCTGTCTGGCCGAGAATATACATGGATGGTTGTTCGTGTTTACCTTTTTGCTTGGAACGGCACATAAAGGATACGAAATATGGCATGCTACTGTGTATTGTTTCCTTCCTCTAATTCTTACATAATACTTCGTGGACTGCCTCTAGTTAGTTAAGTGAAACAGATAATAACAAAAGTCATGAGTAATCCCCAATAACTTGAACCGATGAAAGGTTTTGGAAGATCTCATGCAAAGAGCGCATATGATACACATGGATTTGTCATTTGAGGAAACTAGCCCCGGGATATCGAAACAGAAATGCTAAAGAGATGCCGCAAACTTCCCAACCAATTCCCTTCAACTAGCATATTTCTCATGAAGCGTCTCTCGAACAATGCCCAGGATCGTCGCCACATCCTCATCTGTCATTCGACCCTCACGCTCCTCAATTACGGTATCAAAGAGCGCCATCGCACCACCATCATCTTCTCCTTCGCCTTCTTCATGCTCTTCCCCATCCCCATTGACTTGTCCCCCATCAATCTCCATCGCATCATCCCCATTCGCCATTCCATTCTCCTGTTGAGCAGCATCGGATTGGCCGCTCGGCACGCCTAGCCCTAAATTCAAGACCATGACGAGCTCCGCCTTGGTGAGTTTGTAAGGCTTCAACTTGGTGATGAGGTCCCGGATAGCCTGGTCCATAGGTGTCGGCTCCGAGGATTGGATTTGAGGCATGACAGCACTGTTCTCGGCGTCGGTGGTGCCGTTGGCTCTCAAAGTGCCTGTCATTGCAGCTTGAGATTGTGATTGCGAGGATGAGGGTCGATGGGAGTAGCGTGGGTATTTGAGGATATGAGGGGAGATACGAGCAATGTAGTTATGAATCTAAAGGAATATTTTAGCTCGATGTTCCTCTAACATACTGCGTTTGTCGCGTCCGGCTCGGTTCATATGCGGTGATGAGCTAATTCCATCGCATAGAGCATGAATGATTGACCAAGTCGTCGATTTGGCGCAGAGTCAACTGCATGTCCAGCTTACCTCTTTCACCACCGTGTTATGGTCCCGCAAATCCGGACTGGGAACCCAGTTTCGTCGTGCATTTGGAGGCGGGTTTGGAGGGCGGCGGGGTGGGTTGGATGACAGGTAGGCCAGCACCTCAACGTTGGTGAGGACGGCGGACTGGGGGTCAATTATCTGTAATACAAATTTAGCAAGCAGATTTAAAAATCGAATGAGCCCAACTTACCCTCATTATGTTCTGTTTGGACGAATATCACGAGAACCAAGTGCTCGAGGTGAGTTGCGAAGGGAAAATTGCCCAATTTGCCGGATTAAACAAGGCGGTAAGAGGAGCGGTCGCCTAGAACATGCAGACATGGGTGTCAAAAAACAAGTACTGCCCCGCCTTAGGAGAGCCTTTAGACGGATTCATCTGCAGGTACAGTAGCCATAGTACGAAGCTACTAGTACGTGAAGGAGAATTTGAAATATGAACAGATTATCCAGCTAAACTGTACTGCCTTGTACCATCAAGCACCGTCTGCGCCAAAGGAAATGAAACAAAAAAAGCTAGAACAACCTTGAAATGCCCCCAAAATGCGAGCAGGCCGCGAAACAAAAAGAAAGTGATATCATACAGCAATTCCGCGAAGCCGTCACATAGCACGAAACTTTTGGCATAAGAAAACCTTTACTCGCCCTTGTTCTTCTTCTTCTTCTTTTTCTCGTCATCAGCGTCGTCGGAGCGCTTGCGCTTCTTGCCGTCCTCTTTGTTGGCCTTCTTGGATTCCTTCTTAGCCTTCTTCATATCCTTCTTGCTAACCGCTGAGGGGTTGCCAGAGGCATCGAAGGTGATTTCACCGCGTTCGAGCTTGCGTTGGTAACGCTTGACACTGAGGCCAGCCTTCTTGGCCATCTTCTCCAGCTCGGTGTCGGTACCGTCTGCTGAAGACTCGTCGTCGGAATCGGCATCAGCCATCTCTTCGTCGGACTCAACCTCCTGCACCAGCTTCTTTTCCTTCTTGGACTTCTTGTCCTTCTTGGCGGGGGAAGGCTCCTCCTCAGCCAGTGCATCAGCATCGGCGTTGTACTTGCGAGCCTCCTTCAGGTCGAACTTCTGAGCCGGGGCACCGTTGGGGGCAATAGCAGTACCACGGGGCTTGATGGGCTTGCCCTCCATAGCAGCAAGCTTGCGCTCAAGGTTGAAGCGGGCCTCGGTACCGAGAGCGGCCTTGTCCTCCTCGGTAACATCATCATCCCACTCAGCAAGAGCATCCACACGGAGACCCAGCGAGGCCTTGGCGGCCAGGATACGAGCCATCTTTCCCTTGTTGCGACCAGTGGCCTGGCCAATCAGGGAAGCGTGGTAGATCAGACCGTACTTCGGGGTATCGTGCTTGGTCTTCAGGGCACGGAAAAGGGCCTTCTCGGCACCCAAAATTTGGATGGTAGAAGCAGGGCTCTTAGAAAGGCTGGACAGACTACCAGCGTGAGCAATAAGACGGGCACCAACAAGCTCACCGACAAGAGCAGTCAGGTTAGGGGCAATGGCGTTCATGCGGGAAGTCAGGTAGGCAGCGAGCTCCTGACGGTACTCGTTGAGACCAACGACAAGGGTGGCAAGCGCTTGCATGTTCTCGAGATCCTCGGGGTTGATCTCGCTACCCATGGAGCGATCCGCCGCGGACTTGACGGCACCCTCAATCTCCTCGGGCAGGATCTCGGAAAGATCGACGGTCTCCCAGTTGGTGCGCATGCCCATCTTCAGGACAAGCTTAGAGTAAGCAATGTTGTCATTCAGAATCTTAGCCAGCTCCGGAAAGTGCCAGCCGTACCATTCCTTAACACGCATGGCATAAGTGTTGAGCTCCTTGTCCAGGTCGTCCAGAAGGCCGATGGCCTGAACGATCATGGTGTCAATCTTATCCGGGGAGAACTTCAGCTTGTGGCGAGCAAGAGAGTGAGAAAGACCAAGGGACATGGCAGACATATCGCTGGGCGCCAGGCCGGGGATAAGTGAGGTGAGGTTTTCACGAATGGCACGGAAGGCATCGTTGGTTTTGTTGTCGGCGATACATTCGATGGACAGGCCAGGGAGCTTTCCAATTGAGTTTCCTGAGAAAAAGAACCTCCAGGTCAGTTAATTGTTGGTTACAGTGCAATTGGTTTGAACATACCGAGTTTGGGGTCAGCAACGGCCAGGGAAACCTTCTTCTCGTCCTTGACACGGTCCAGGAGCGACGCAAGACGGGGGGTAACCTTGCCCTCGCTAATAGAAACAGCCTCCTCCACGGCGGTAGCAGCGCTGTCGAACTTCTGGAATTCCTTGAGCTTGAACCTGCAGACAGCGTTAGCGTCGTTGTTGGCTGCGACAAAAAATTTGCGCCCGGTCTGCAAATCGTCCCCTTCACACCAAGATTTCGGTTGGCATTGAAAAAAATGAAACTTACAGGCTCGAGACACCCTCAGCAGTGCTGATCTCCTCAGGCAGCTCGTTCTTGAAGAGCTTCTTGTCCTTGGCCTTCAGCAGGGCGTAACCCGCGCTGGTTTCGGTCAAAATGAAAAGCGACATGGTGGGCAACCACGGCTTGTAGGCTGCGAAAAAGTTTTTCGGAAAGGGTATCGAGGGGCCCAGGTCGTACAGGTAAAGAAAGACGGAAAGAAGGTGTGGACCGTGGACGCTTTCACCGTTGAGGAGAAATCTAGAAATTTTGCACGGAAGAAAAAGTGCAAAAGTCGAAAGCCACATGTGGCTGTGGCTTACGTAAGTGACGCCGGAATACGGGCGTCGAAGGAGCTACAGCTGTTCCTCCCCCAACCCATCTGTTCACTCCGCACATCATGGAAGGCCTCTTCTTCAATGTGAATGGCGGGTTAGTGGACTTGCTCTATGCATGGATTGGTCGCATGCTAACTTTTGCAGATACGTCGAAGGTATCGTTCGGGGGTATCGGAACAGCCTGCTGAGCGGCCAGAACTACTCCAACTTGACACAATGCGAATCCATTGATGGTAGGCCAATTTGCGATCCCTAGAAAGCAAGCTTAGATGCTAATCGTACTCATCGCAGACGTGAAACTCCAGCTGGGCCCCTCCTATGGCGACTTCCTTGCCTCTCTTCCCCCGAACCCCTCCACCTCAGCACTCGCCGGCAAGATGACCGACAAGCTGGTCTCGGAGTTCCGCTACCTTATCGCGCAGTCCACCGGATCGACTGCTAAATTCTTGGAATATCTGACATACGGGTACATGATCGACAACATTGCCCTCCTTATCACCGGCACCCTGCACGAGCGAGACACCCGCGAACTCCTCGAGCGATGCCACCCTCTGGGTTGGTTTGAGACCCTGCCTGTGCTATGTGTTGCGACCAACATCGAGGAGCTTTACAACTCGGTTCTGATCGAAACCCCACTCGCGCCATACTTCAAGGGCAGTCTCAGCCACCATGATTTGGATGAGCTGAACATTGAGATTGTTCGCAACACCCTGTACAAGAACTACCTGGAGGATTTCTTCAACTTCGTCAACACCCACCCCGATTTTGCTGGTAGCCCGACGCAGGATGTCATGTCCGAGATCCTGCAGTTCGAGGCCGACCGCCGGTCCATCAACATCACCCTCAACTCCTTCGGCACTGAACTCTCCAAGCAAGAGCGGAGGAAGCTGTACCCTGAATTCGGTAAACTTTACCCCGAGGGGAGTCTGATGCTTTCCCGTGCAGAAGACGTTGAGGGTGTGGCTCTAGCAGTCAGCGCTGTCGCGGATTACAAGCTGTTCTTTGATGCCGTGGGTTTGAGCCAAGGCGGCAGTGGCCTTGGTGGTATGGGCGGTGGCCCGGCCGATGGAAAGAGTCTTGAGGACCTTTTCTACCAAAAGGAAATGGAGATGTCAAAACTAGTCTTTACCCGTCAATTCACCCCGGCGGTGGTGTATGGTTGGATGAAGTTGAAGGAGCAGGTAAGTCTGGTATTCGAAACGACTTACTTGGAAAATTTCGAGACTAATGACCAACAGGAAATCCGGAATGTAACCTGGATCTCAGAGTGCATTGCTCAGAACCAAAAGGAGAGGATCGGAAACTTCATCTCCGTCTTCTAAGCCCAGACATTATGACCTCGTACCTCTTCCTATTCTCTGTATTTACCTCTCTGGCTGAGAAGTTTCGCTTCTGGTGGCCAGTCTATTTTGTTGTATCGAGTACCCAGTTCGTTTTCTTTCCAAGTATCTAAGTGAGCGCATCACCTTGACAATGGTTATATCTGGTTTCGGCTATTATTGGCTTTCCAATTCTTCGGGCATTGGACATTTTCGCGCCCGCGTTGCTTTTTGTGACATATCCTACGTTATGATAGGAGGTGAACAAGGAGCATTGTTTAAGTTCCATATCTTGGTGTAGTGCTCGTATCAAAATCCATACGTATCTCACCCCACTAAGTTATAGTGCCAGATTTGGAGCATCATTCTAGTTGTTCATAATGTGATTTGTCGACATCTCGCCCTGTATATCACACAGCGGTGTAGTGTTAATGTACAGAACTTTTCTAATGCACCGCCGTGGATAGGGGCCCCAACATCTATGTTTATACTACCTGCTTGACCCCGTAGAACCCATTTCCCGTGCTTCGTCATGATTAGAGCAACAAGGACCCCTTCCACGACGCAACCACAAAACCTCGGCCGACCCAAACAGCGGTAAAGCAAAAGGACGTTTGAAGAGTAAAAAGTTTTGATTTATTCCAATTCGGGCCCATATGTGCAGATGGCCGGCAGAATGTAACAGCACCTAGATAAAATAAGGACATTCCAAAAAATCAAAGTCCACGAGAGCGTCAAGGGTTCACACAAATACATCAAGGATCTCTCAAAGGTACCAAGTCTACTTTGACCGTGGTTCTATATTGCAAGAGAAATTCGGTAGGGGCAAAAATACAACACGAACGGCTTCATGTCAACAACGCCCGAAAGATCCAGAAAATTTTCAATTCAAAGGCCAGCTAGGAAAATCAAATCCCGCAGCCTCGCCCTTTTTTTTTGGTTTGATTAGTTTTGAAGAAATCATTTCCCAGCAAGGTTGCCAGAAAATCAGTCATATTGGAACAGAACACTAATGCTTTCACCGTGGTGGACGCGACGGATAGCCTAGTTGAAGCGGTCAGCAAGTGGAGTCAGGGCGCGGAGGGCAATTCGACGCATGTGACTCACCTCAGCGAAAACGTGGCCGACCTCCAGGACCTCCAGCTTCGGGCAGCGACGCAGGTGATCACCCTGGTCCACACTGTTGGTCACCACGACCTTGTCAAGTGAGCTGGCATTGATACGCTCGATGGCGTCGCCGCTGAGGATACCGTGGGTGACCAAGGCATAAACCTGGGAAGCGCCCTCTTTCTTCAGAAGCTTGGCGGCGCGGGTAATTGTGTTTGAGGTATCCGCCAGGTCATCGATGAGGATAGTTATGCGATCGCGAACATCGCCGACCAACATCATGGTGGCATTTTGACGGTCTGTAATCTTCGTGGGGCGACGCTCCTGCGTAAAAGTTTCAATCGATCTATTCGCATATCCAAGCGACTCCGAATTGATTTGTAGACGAACCTTGTGGATGAGGGCAAATTCCATGCCCATCTGGTCGGCAATTGCGGTCGCGCGCTTCGCACCACCAGCATCGGGACTGACGATGACAGCCTGTTTGTAGTTGGGGATGTTGCGCTGGATGTAGCTTTTGAGAAGAGGACGGCCGTAGAGGTTGTCGACAGGGATATCAAAGTAACCCTGGTACTGAGGGTCGTGCAAATCCATGGTGATGATGTGATCCGCGCCAGCACAAGTAAGCAAGTCGGCAACCAGGGTACCTGCCTGCGCAACCCACTGCTTGTAACCGGGGCGGGGCTGGAAGGCATTGATCTTGGAAGAATTGGAGTTGGATGCGGTGCTCGCAGCGTCTTCCGGGACGCCGTTAGTTATAGACTTAAGCGACTCGTTGGTATCGCTGCGCGGAAGGCCGTTACTGGGGCGCTTTTTCACGGGGCTGCCGTTACTATCTTCGATCTGGGCCTTGGCGAGGCTTTTTTGGAGGTTGTCGATGCCGTTCATCAGTCCAAGACCCTCGGGCTTGCCCGGACCCGGGGTCGGAGGGGTACTCTCAAAAGTGTAACCATTGTTGGGCCGGTTCGCCACGGATGACTTGACGAGGGGAGCTCCGGTCTTGTCGTAAGGGATGTCGCTTTGGCGAGAATAAGGGAAGAGAGGGAGCACGGCGGTCACTCGACGGGCGGACGCCGTCTTACAGGCGGAGATGGTGATGAGGAGCTCCAGCAGGTGGTCGTTGACCTTACCGCCGCCGGACTGAATGATGTAGACATCCTTTTCACGGACCGACTCCTGGATTTCCACCCGGGTTTCGCCCACGGCGAATTTGGACAGCAGAACCTCCGCCGGCGGGATGCCCAGCACACCGCAGATGGATTCAGTCAACTGTGGGTGGGAAGTGCCCCCGATGACGACAAGATTGCGAACCATGCTGGTTTATTGTTCAGACAGGTCCTGCACGGGAATATCGACGATATCGAGGGGGTACGGTCGGATTTGGGAGGGGAGGTGGGAGGACGTCTGGAATTGGCGGAGGGTCGGAAAATCTGGGAGTGCGATCTCGGAGGGGAGACGAAAGAGTCAAAGGAAGAAAGAAGACTGTGAAGATTGCAGAATGTGAAGTTAATCGACTACCGCATCGCGGGGGCGAGAGGAGGTCGAGAGGAGCAGCGCAGACAGCCAGAAGGAAAAGAAACCAGTAGCTCGTGTGAGGCCCGCGATTCGAAAAAAAGCCTCTTTGGAGAGTGGAACAACTGCCGGCCTCGGGTTGGCTGCTGGCGTATATGCCTCAGGTGTCGAGATACCGCATAGGGCTAAGCGCGGAGGCCCAGCCAAAAGCCCCGCAGAGAACGGCGACGCAATGCACGAAGATCCCGTCGTGTGGACGGCAAATAGTCAGGATCTGTCCGGAATGTATTTCCTCGGGGGAATACAGCATTCCATTTGCCGGTAGATACAGATGTGTGTGTGTGTGTGTGTGTGCGCAGAGAAGATGCAAATAAGAGGATTAAAGAAAATAAAGAGACAACCGCTCCCATGCTCCGGATCCGTAATAAAAACATTGAACTGTCCAATCCACGCTCTTAGTTAAGATATCGGACTATGTGTCCATCATCAGTCGCCCGTGCCGACCTCCCTAGAAAACAGTTAGCATACCGAAAAGCTCGAGATCAGTGGGGGCAAGGGAGGCGTGGAGGCTCACAGGTCAAGTTGTACTCCGTTGCTCACTCCGTAGTCCTCCAGAGTCAATTGGTCCTTGAAGGGACGTTCGCCCTGGCGTTTAAGAAGGATTTCATGAGGCTCCCGGCCGATGCGCGCGGCCACTTGAGCTTTGAAGAGCTCTTGGTAAACATTAGTATCTTCCCGCTCCGCGGCAATCAACCTGCAGGGAAACAATGGGACATGTGAACATACTGATTGGATCAGAGGCCAGACAGGGGATCGCAGCCTTGGTGCCCAGACGATCGTTGACATGAACAACAATCATGGGCTCGGAGGATTGGGATGCGACCGGTTTCTTCTCCTTCTTCTTCTCCTTCTTTTCCGTCTTCTCGCGGTCTTCCCGGGGTGCATCACGGTCCTCGCGCCGTCGTCGGTCCGAGTTGTCATTGCGGTATCTGTCTCCGTCGCGATCTCTGCGTGGCGACCGTGGACGGTCATTTCGGTCTCGGTATCCTCGATCTAGTCTGCGCTCGTCGCCGCGGTCATCGTCGTCGCGCTTCTTTTCCTTCCACCGAAAGCCTCCGGACTTTTTCGTTCGACCTCGATCGCCGTCATCTCGCCGGTGTGGTGACCGGCTCCGTGAACGGTCACCCATGGTAGAGGTTGGAAAGTCGAGAGAGTGAGGTTGGTGCCCGACAGTCCAGCCCCGATGTCAACGGAGAAGCAGAGCTGCTGCACGTGACACAGGGTCTGCAGATGCGCCGCTATGCCAGAACCGGACTAGCCCGTGTTTTGCCCCGATTCGAGCTTCGCGCAGGTCGGGGGAGGTGCTGAGATCTCGCTTCTTATGCGATTGACTTGTCAGGGTATACGTGTCCCACCTGATCCCCCACCTCAACGATGCCCGGTCGCTTGAGAATCCAGCGGCCGTCGCCGACAACCGTCAGCTTCACCGTCTCTAATGCGGCCCGGCGCTCCAATTCCCCGGCGAAGATCTTCTTTGGTCTCCAGATCCTTCTGCGCGCACTCCTTTTCTGCTGCGTGATCCTCGCTACCGCTGCACGGATTCGTCACTTTTTCCTGCTGGAGAATGGCAGGATATTACAGTGGAAGCTCATTTGGGCCAGCCCACTCGGTGCTCATATCTGCCGTCTGGTGGACTCCTACAACCCATGGGCCATGGCCGCGGTCAACACATTGATCGTATATGGCGTTTTTAGAAGAGGGTACACCGGTATGTGTTGAGCTATGGAATGCTTACTAGTATCTCGAGTATCGGCTGATAATAATCTGCAGAGGAATCTCTCCTTGTAATTCGAGGCTTCGGAATTCAGACCTCGACGTCTTCTTCAACATACCTTTCTTCAGCCGCGACGAGATTTATCCCCACCACTCAGATTCAAGACATTGTGATACACGAGGCTTTCAAGGGATTCGAGGTTAGATTTTATCTCGCTGTGATTGTCGAAGGAGAACCCGATGTTCTGGTGGTTTTTCCGGTAGGGTCTCTTCCTCTGTCTGTCATAGGTCTTGCGCTAAAGTGAATGATTTATAGCACCTACTACCGAAGCGTGAGATCCTTGAAGAAGTTTGGCGGGGCTCGCGTCGTTGTCTCTATGATGCGAAATCATGATATGCTAGGATCCTATTTCGTTGCTTCCGAAACTTCGATCTTTCTAACTGACAACTCAAAACGCTTATATTTCTTCTGCTCTCGAAAGGGGACTATGCGATCTGAAATATTCTGCGAGTGCAATCTTATTGCAGCACTTCCGCCTTCTCAGCTTCTTCTTTTGCCGCCATTTTGCGTTGTTTGGACGCAAGCCATCTGGCATTCTGAACCGGAACGGGGTCCAGCTTTGGCTTCTGCATGACAGGGATGTATTTTCCACCCACACGAGCTTCATCTGACCCCAACCAGACCTTAGCACCTCTGCACTGTTTCTTGGTGAGTCCCTGCTTTCCAAATATGTTGTCCATGCTCTGGTCACCCTGGCTAACCGTCAAATCCAGTAGAGCACCGGCCAGGATTTCATCCATCTTGCGCTGTCTCCAGACACTCCACAAACCGTCAACCACACCCTTGATGCCAAACTTGCCATCGCCTTTGGCGCTGCCGTTCTGGTTGAGTCTCGGATCGCTGGCATATACCCAGTCCAATGCATCATCTCGGCTGCCGGAGCTTTCGTCGGGGAAGATGCAATCCCACAGCACGAGTGGTGCATCAGATGCCATCTCATATGATGGCTTTCGTGGGGTTTTGACAATATCCAAAAGATCTAGGACGATGGACGGAGGTTCGAGTCCTTGCCCAACTAGGAAGAGAATAGCGACCATGTGGCGAACCTGGTGCCACAAAAAGGCGGAGCCGTACAGGGTGAACGAATACACCTGTGGGGGCGTCTTTGCAGAATCGTCGGAGGTCATATCCATGTCCATTGGAGAATCCTCGCACTGTTGGAACCCCGGTCGGTTCACATAGCCCAGGGGAAGGGACTTGGGGTCAACGCGCTCAATATCGGAGCGAAAAATTATGCGCTCAAAGTTTTCAATCTGCTTGCTCGTGTCCAGCTTGCAGAAGTTCCTGAAATCGTGTGTGCCTTCGTAGTACTTGGCTGCTTCGCGCATGGCTTCGATATCCAGCCAGCCCTCGCGGTACTTTTTCCGCGACCCCTCCCCTCCTCCGATACGATCTTCAAGTCCGACTGCTCCAGGGGTAGGGGAGAAGGCAGGTTGGGTGAAGAAGTATCGATACCTGCGCTCACGGCAAGAAAAACGAGCATCGAATCCCGGTGGGGGATTAGGGCACCAGGCTAGAATTCGGATATCATCTGGTAGTACTCTGTTCAAGATCGACACATAGGATAGTTCATCGGCAATATCATCCCAGTCCTGGTCTACGGACGAGAGTTCAACTTGCGTTGCAGCGTCATCCGCTTCTGGGTCTGTAGCCTTTGGTTGCGGCTTTGGCCGAGCACTGCGAACCCTCACCCCAACAACTTGCCCAAATGCACTGACGCCACGATCCGTTCTCCCGGCCTTCGAGTAGTCGCACCCGTCCCAGTGAAGAGAGTAGGGACGCATCTCTCGTGGCTCGGTAGGATGCGGCTCATCAGGCGAGCTAGTTTCAGGGAGGATTAACCGTGTACGCCGCAAAGCTTTCCACAGGATTTCCTCGACCGTAGGGAGCGGCGTAGTGTTCCCATTCGTATGCTCGAGGCCATTGTACCGTTGTCCCAGGTAGGCGAACTTGAGTGCGATGTACCGGGTGTTGTACTTCGATGGGTCAAATCCACGATTTTCCTTCGGCAGCCGATCTGGTGCGGGCTTGTGGACGATATCAACCTCCGCCGGGGAGTGGGCGCGTTTCTTCGAAGTTTTGGCGGATGGGGGAGGCGGAATGGCAGGCTCGTAGACACCTTCCGAAACAGCTGCACCCGGTGCACCTTCCGCGGGCGCGGCCGTGTACTGCGTCGTCTGGGCATGCAGTTGTCTTTCGAGTTCTGTGATTCGATCAATCAGACTGGAATTGGTCCAGGTCGAGTAATCGGGACGCCCCTCGGCACCCGCATCGGCCATATTTTGCGGCGTTGGCGAGCGGATCTGGCTCTGTAATCGAGTTTGTAACTTCAGAGCGTTCTGGAAAGCGGTACTCTGTAGGGAGAGTCTTGCTGGTATCCTCCACATGCCACTTCTGGCGGTCTGAAGAGAGGCTGGCTCACGTAGCGCGAAATTGATTTGCCCGCAGCGGAGAGAAATTTCAAGTCCGCGGAAGATCGTGTACTGTGGTATTATCCTATGTATGGTAATGTAAGATACGCCTTCTCCCGGGATTTGTGTTTCTTGAGGTGCGTATTTATGTGTTTCTGGTCTTTATTCTCAATTGAGGCTACTTTTATCGCTATTGATCAATTTCACTGGTTTACTTCGGAGTTACTGGCTGTCAATTTTGGGATGTGGAGGTGATATACCACTTCAGAAAGGGTGCTCCCGTGCGAGTTTATATATCGACGCAGCACCGGTCTCGGCTGCTCTACCCCATCCTACCGCATTGCCACCCCCGAGCACCTAGGACCACTAACCTCCTCACCAGCGTTGCAACACCACTCCAAACAGTCTGCGCAGATACGAGATGCTGTTCTTACAACAAAAATAGCACCAGAGAACTCAATAGGATGACCGAGGCCACAGCTGGTGAGACCGATGCGACGGTAACCTTGCTACTGCTCGGCGATGCGGGATGTGGGAAATCCACATTCTTATCGTGAGTTGAATCCGGGTTCCATTCGCAGCTACGCTGCTGCTTGAATTCACGAAATCGAGACAGAGAAATGGACTTGGACCTGACGATGACATAGACGCCTGAAAAGGGGCAAGAAACCCTCGCCATCACAACCCGGCGCGGCCGCAGACAACACCGTCGAGGCCCTTCGCGATAGTGACCAGCCATTTATCTATGACATTCGATTCTCAAAGAAAAAATTCACCCTAGAACTTTATGACACTGCAAGTCCCAATCAGCATTGGAGTACTCTCCACCCAGATGTCGTCGTTCTAGCATTTGATATCTCCAACCGGGAGACATTAGCGGGTCTTAAAGAGGTATTGCAACAATCATTCTATGATATCGGTGAGCTCAATTGCGGAACCCAGAAGCTGATGAAGCCCATGCATAGTGGCGGCAGGATATAATTCGATATTTCCAGCATGGTCATGGCGAGCGCATCCCAGTGATGATGCTCGGTCTGAAACGCGATCTCAGACAGGAAGGCGAGGACATCATTTACCCACAAGAGGTATGTCAAATGTCGACAGACTGGAGTGTACGTCAGACGCATATTAGCTCACATCAATCAAAAGACATATCGCATTGCCCAAGAACTCCGCTGTGATAGCTATGCAGAATGTTCAGCGGTGACTGGCGAGCTGCTTGCAGAAACATTCGAGGATCTTGCTAGAATGGCAGGGATGACGACGACAGAGAAGGGTGGCCAAACGGCTGGTGGATGCAATATTCTTTGAGTCTCACTTTTTACGTTGAGTATTTGACACACTGCACTAGTGCATAGCGAGTTTCTGAAATGAGTATGGTCTCAGTGAGCGTGTTGTTGGTCGATTTTCTGATTTTCGATTATTCCACTGACGTCGTAAATTCATGTTATTGTCCCACTAGTAACTTGCTTGGGCGCACCTCTCTAGCACTCGTGTTTCCATAGCTCTGAAGTGCCTATGGTACCTTACTATATCATAGTGACAGGGAAGGATGTCCATGGACCACAGCTGCACCTCAGACCCTCCTCGAAATAGTCGATCAACTACGAGTGGAGTATCATGTGTCGGCACCAACCCAGCGTAGGTCACGAAATTAGAATCTATACGCTGGAATAATTCATCAGCCGCCTTGGGTGTTTCTCAGATATCGAAGCCAACTACACTACATTCTCTACAAAGGACTTGGAATACCGAGCACACCTTTTCCCGAATACTAGAATATACATACAGGGAGAAACCAAGGTAACGATTAAGTCCACCTTGTCGATTGACAGCACAGGGCTTTCCCCCAGTCACAGAATGTAACTGGATATCTTTCCCTCATAAGCGCCAGTCAAGAATTGACGTCGCTATTCCTCCCCGATGCGAAAACAAGAAAAATCATGAAGGTTGCTGGTAAATGAGACCACTGATGCAAAAGGACTGGAGGGTTCCCGGTGAAAAGCTCTTTTTCTTCTGCTGTTTTTCAGTTTCTTTTGCTTTTTTGAACACTTGAACAGAAACTAGGATAAACATGTCAAGGGAATTTTCCGGGAGATGTCAGTGAAAGAACAAACAAGAGCATTTCCTTATAATCAGTGTCGTAAAACACCGAAAATCGTCACAATCATCCCAGGTCGCCATGGTTTTTGGGTTAAGATCACACTCCCCCCCCTTGAACGACTACCCTCGTTACCGCTCAGTGAATTTACCACTTGTTCTCGGTGGTGGTCTGGGTGGTCTCAGCAGCCCACTCAGTGGTCTGTTGGGTGGAGCTGGCAGCCCAGTCGGCACCGTCAGCCTCCCAGCTGGTGGCACCAACAGCGGCGGAGGCAGCAGCGAAGGCAGTACCAGGGGCACCAGCACCAGGAGCGTTCACGTCCCAGTTATCGCCGGCGAAGCCGGACTCGACGGCACCAGCGCCGATCTCCTCAGCACCAGGGACCTTGGTCTCGTCGGCGATCTCCTTGTTCTCCTCGGCCTCAGGGTCGCGGTAGAAGTACAGGTCAACAACGGTGTCCCACTCGGTCTCGCGAGTAGCGAGGGTACCCCGGAGACGGAGGATCTCACGGGCGAGCATCCACCAGACCAGACCGATCGAGTGACGACCCTTGTTGTTGGTGGGAATGGCGACATCAACGAAGTCGGTGGGGGAGTCAGTGTCGCACAGAGCAATGACGGGGATGTTGACGTAGGAGGCCTCCTTGATGGCCTGGGCGTCGGTGCGGGGGTCGGTCACGATGATGAGACGGGGCTCCTTGAAAGAGCGGGTGATGTAGTTGGTGAAGTTACCGGGGGTGAAACGACCGGCAATGGCGGTGGCACCGGTGTGGTGGGCGAACTTCAGGACGGCACGCTGACCGTAGGGACGGGCAGAGATAACACAGACATCGGCGGGGTTGTCGATGGCGGCGATGATACGGGCAGCCAGGACGATCTTCTCCCTGTTTCAACGCGATATTTGTTAGATCTAGTCGCAAAGCCAACCTTAAGACGTAAGAAACTGATAATCAATCGCGCTGCTGCATACCAGGTCTTGCCAATGTTCAGGACATTGACACCGTCGGGACGGGTCTTCCAGAGGTAGGGCTCCATGTGCACCTGAAGGTTCTTGGAACCCAGGTGGCACTGAGCAGCAAGGAGCATCTCAATGTCCTGCGAGGTAGGGTTGAAAACCGGGGGAAGCTGGGAGGGGGCCATGGTGGGCGATTGATTGATTGACGAAGTGGAAAAGATCAATCGACTGGCTCTTGTCGTGGTGATGGAAGGGAAAAGGACCAAAAGCCGGAACCGCGAAAACCACGCCGCGATCTGCATGAATTTCGCTTGCAGGTTGTGAGTGTTAGGGCTAGGGCAACCACCCGCCTTACATAAGCAATTATATATGCCATAAAATAAAGGCAGAAAGACTTGTTGCCTGAAAATTTAGTCAGAAAGAGCGGATCCTGAAACGGGTCTAGCTTGGGTCTTGCTCGGCCCGGAGGATTTCCCGGCCAAAAGAGTCGCGAAGAACTTCGCATACGCTGTCCGGGGGAGCCATTGACTACAGTCGGACAAAATGCCTCCGCGTTTTCCATTCCAGCCTTCACTGAAGGCATTCGCTGGTATGCTTAGTCTATTCATATTCAGCTTCATTGCTCGCAATCGGTTTTTTTTCTAACAGAATGTAATCACAGGCTCGCTATCTGGCCAAAGCCATCTGGCCGCTCTGTCAAATGCCTCCAAATCTACCGTGAGGGCCGCGTCCACGAAGTCGAACCCGCAGAAAAAAACCGATTTCTTCCGAATCTCGCAGGCGCGTCAACGCAAGGCAGCCAACATCTCGCGACAAAAAGTTCTCCAGGCGGAACGGGAAGCCTCGATCGGTGACCCGGTTGAAAGCAAGCCGACACCTTTCATCCAAGAGATTCAATCTATTCAGAATGGCTCCAAGCCTCCGTCAAGCTCTGACCTCAACTATTATTTGAAATCCGATGGACTCAGCGGGGCCTTGCAATTCTCCAAGGACTTGACCGAGCCGCTTCAGAACCCGGATCGCGACACCGCAGACCCTCACGTCGAGAGAGAAGTAGCTGAGCTGCATCGGCAGCAGCATCAGAACGCGGAAGAGGCCATTCAGCGCATTGTGAACCTCAGTAATGGCAACACAAAAGATCGCCTTCGACTGATCGTCCAAAGATGCATTGAACAGTTCGGTCGACACAGCACGGATGCAGTTCTACCACCTAAGCCGGCTAGTGTGCAACATGAGTCGGCAACGAGTCACCTCGAGAAGGTGCCTCGTGTCGGACCTGACACCGGTTCCCCTGAAGTCCAGGCGGCCATCTTGACTGTCAAAATTATGAATCTTTCTCGGCACTTGCAATCCTCCAATAAGGATAAGCACAACAAGCGCAACCTCCAGATTCTTGTTCACAAACGACAGAAGCTGCTCCAATACATTCGCAGGAAAGAGCGTGGCGGACCTAGATGGCAAAACTTGATGGAGACGTTGGGTCTCTCCGAGGCCGCATGGAAAGGAGAGATCTGCCTGTAAATTGCCCATCTACTGGGGGGATGCTCTTCTTGAGCTTGTGTCCTTGTGATTTGACTTCAACCGTTAAGCGTGTTTTATGGGATAACTAGTCTTGACACTGGAAAAAGGTTTGGTGTGGTAGACTTTCCTTGGCTCGGCCATCAAAGCCCGTGTTATGAAGGCCGGTGGCATAGTCTAAGGTACCTTCTTATATGTACAAATAGTCGCATTTATTTTTCCTGATCTACTACTTACGCCCCATGTAATTCCTATGCATCCCTTGAGATCCTGTGAGGGTCAGATGGAAACCCGAAACATCCCATTAGTATGCATTTGAATGTCGGCCAGCACATATACGGAGTTGCTGAAGATCATCTCTAACCAAGTAAACCTCGAGCTGGAGGCATTTCAAGCGGTATGTAGTATCGACAATGCCCAGCCCAAGTACTAGCTTCGCGAATCCTGCAGGGTAGCTCTATTATTGATCATCCTTGATTGAAGGTTCTCTTAAGCGCTCATCTTTCACCATATTTGGAAATCTGAGATATATCCTCCTTGGTCCTTCACGTGATGGCTCCAAGTTCTGCATGAAAACATGGAATCGACTGAAGTAGATGCCATGTATCACAGGTATCGTTCCAAATATGATTTTACTCGAGGTTAACTATGACACTCTTTCATTAGTATTAAATCTTCTTCAGTCAGTCTCTGTTTCCGGATTGATCCGGTGGCCGTCACCCTCTGCCGCAGTGAGCTAATGCCATTCGACACGTTCCTCCGTAGAATTCGAAATGCCTGCCATCCGAGTTCCACAGATACCCATGCATCGTCTGCTCCATGGCTTAAGAACACAGGAGTAGATAAGACAGAGCTATCATAGGTTTGCTAGCCTGTGATATCTCATGACCGGCAATTTCATCAAACCAGGAGCACATCTCTTGACCAAATTGTAGGTTGCCTGAGGTATCAACTAGGGCTATTTCTCACCGCCTACTTCGACCGCCTCTGCTGTAATTCTGCCGAAACAGGAGCGATGATTTTTGGGACGTCACGGCGCGGTTCGCACCTCCCCGAGGTCCCTCAAAAAGACAAGCACGTCTGCATCGCGCCTTCCTCCCCGAGCGCGCTTGTCAGCAACAACGGTTGCCCGCGGTACCTGTCAACATAACTACCCGAGCAACGCCAAATCACGACAGCGCGTTTCTCTGCTCCCCATCTCTTCCTCTTCACCATCTTCACAGTTTCGTTCGCACTCCCATCTTCAGACTTCCCATCTGACCATTTCTTCGCGATTTAAACCGCATTACTTCATATCTTTTAACAAACTTCACTTCAATTTCTCGAATCAAGCTTTACCTGCCGGAAACCGGCGCGTCACAATGCGTACCCGTTCCAAGGGTCCCGTCTCCCCAAATTCTTACATGACGCTTGACGACAAGCCTGCTCGCCCCCGTCGTACGACTCGCAGTACTTCTGCCCAGCTGCAGGAATCACAGGAGCCCCGAACTGACGAGGGCCCTTCGACCTCAAAGACCGCGAAAGCAAAGGGCCGGGGCAAGAAACAAGCTGCTGCGAGACGTGGCCAGAAGAAGATTTCCAGAAAGTCGGCCAAGGCAGCGAGTCCTGAAGCTTCTAGCTCTCCTGCTGACACCAATGAACCCGTCAATTCGGTCATTCCATCAGTCGAAATCGACGACAAGTCGGGTAGTCCTGATCTCGACGATGCTGTCGCCCGTGAGTGCATCCCCCTCCGCCCCACTGTTGGGCTGTCGTCTGCGGCGACCTTCGCTGTAATGGGCAGCTTCAGCCCGTCGCTGGGCTCGCCCGCCGACGCTTCTACTTCCCCTATCCTCGTGCCACGGACTCCGTCACTCCCGGAGCTCGCGGTCGAGGAACCCTCTTCGATCTATTACACCCCTCCCGAAGCCCCCGAAGGCTACGAATACCGTCACTCAGACGAAATGATGAGGCTGATTGACCGCCTCCGGCGCGCAGGTCACCCTCGAGTTGGGCCCGACAGCCCTTACCTCTTCACCTCACCACCGCCAAAATTCCTTTTCAAGAAGGAAGGTGGGGCTAGCCCCAAGAAAACCGAAGATGTAGACCGGCCGACGAGAGTCATGAAGCGTCAGCCCCGTAGACGGCCTCCTCCCCGTCGTCTGCGGGCCAGCGCAAATAGCACACTAGGCCGCACAATCTTCCGGTTACCTGAACTTCTCGCTCAGAACGAAAAGTTACTTCGGAACGGTCAGGGCGACATTCACCATCAGCATGACAACGCGCCCGATTCAATTAACCAGGAATTGACTGAAACTGCACACGTTGGTGCTCCCGTGGCACCTGCTACTGACACTGCCTCTCAAGTTGTAGCAGACCCTGCTCCAGTCGAGGGTACGCCCTCTTCTCGTGTTCGGTGGGTTTTCAACGAGGTTTCTAGACGGTGGACGAATATTCGCGATCGAATTAGTGGAAATCGGCCGGCGGAGGCTCTGCGTTTGCCTGCTGCCGAACTGGTAGATTCAGCTCCGGAGACTCTTCCATTTGCCGCTGCCGAGCCGGTAGATCGATCCACAAAAGCAGATCCTTCGGCTGCTGCTGCACCGGTAGCACGACGCCGCCGCCGTGCCTACTCGCAACCCTGGTCACCTCCTGCCTCTTTCCACGATTCTCTCTACCCATGCGGATTCGACCCCGAGTTGAAAGCGCGCCTCTATGCAACAATTGAACGCCACAAAGCCGCTCAGGCTGAAGCAGCTCAGGCTAAAGCCGCCCAGGATAAAGCCGCCCAGGATAAAGCCGCCCTGGCTGATTCTCCCCCCCAGGCTCAAAAGCGCAAGCGGGAAGTATCTCCTACTGATGACATTCCAAACCCGGCCGGATGCAGCTATGGCATGGATTTAGACTATTTTGGCTTCACCGACGAAGAATACGATGCTGAAGAAAAACGCAGAGCTGCTGAGGAGGCCAAGCGTACGGAGGCCGAGCATGTTGCAGCGGGCGCGCCTAGCGCTAAGAAGCAGCGTCTCGGGCAGTGGCCACGTCGTTGGTCTACCCGACCCTCGACTGTTCGTAGCGCAAAGGACAAGCTTCTGTCGCCATCAAAGCGGCCTGGTTACGTTCCCAGTCCATGCTCCTATGCGGTGCCCGAGCTGTCACCAATTGACTCTAGCGGACTGGTGGCAGAGGACACCGCGGAGTCGGAGTTGCCTCCGCCAGCTGAGCGGAAGAAGTCCAAGAAATATAAGAAACCAGGTACGTTCGAAGTACCCTATTCCTCAGATGAAGAAGAAGCTTCGTCACCGGTGCCCATGGATTGGGTACATGATCCCAAGACACCGTCGGAAGTAGCACGGCTGCATCGAGCACTGAGATCGAGCCACTCATCAAACCCCTCACCTGCTGATATTGTGTCACCCACTGACATCCCGATGTCAGACGCCCCCTTGAGTTCTTCTTCCCCGGCCGACATTTCCATGGAAGACGCAGCCGAGGCGGCCAATTCGGCGGAGTCGACTTCAATTGACCGAATTCGCGGCAAGGTCGAGCAGTTCAAACCAAAGACTCCGAGCCGTCTCCGTGAAGCTTTAAAGTCTTCCATAAACAGCAACTCAAACATTTCTTCTCCGCCCGCTCTTACACCGGCGGATCCTACTCTGGATGATACTACACCCGCCGCTCCTGTCCCGTCCGCCTCTGCTCAGGAAGTTCCCACTCCCGACACCAGAACCTTCGCATCTGCTCCCTCTCCGGCTGCCCCTACGCCGTCTGCCCCTACGCCGTCTGCACCTGCGCCCGCTCTGGACGTTCACACTCCGGACGTCACATTTTTGGAGGCCGCTGACACCTCGCCTCTCCCTACTGGTGAAGGTATCGACTTGGACAATTTGAAGTGGCCCGAGCCAATCAGTCTGATCGATCAGCTTCGCTGGAATGGAATGGACCTTACCGACGAGGATGTCGCTGCGGCCGATAGGGAATGGAATGATCCAGTACAGAGAAAAAGACTCATTGACGAAATGATGGAAGTATGGAACAATGGCTGGGAGAACCGACCTTACAAGTTTGCTTAACTTTTTTGCAAGTCTGGTTTAAATTTTGCGCTTTTGTCTATTTTTGTTTAATGTATCGTCAATGTATGGTCAATTAGGGTTATCTAGCGCAAATACCCTTGAATACTTCAACGTCGCCCGAAATGTCGAACCCCTAGGAATACAAATCCATTCTTATCGATGTTCTTCTCTCTTATTGTTTCCCAGTCCAACCTTGATCCAAGCTACCAAGTCGAGGCTCTCTACCTTTTATATCACTGATTAGTTTCTAAGAGACTGATCATCCTAGGACACTCATGCTAAGGGTCTTTGACTCTATGTGATTCCCAATGACACCTTCTGCATCACTGCCTCTAATTAGCGGAACTAATAAAATGGCAAAAGTGGGGCCACCCAGAGGAATGAATTGACACAAGGCACTACGGCATCAATATTTCTGAGGTCCCTATTGATCAAATTGGGCAATCCGTTTTACAAGAGCCTACTTGTAACCCGAACTATTGTTGTTCCGGCTCCGACCGCCTCTGTGTCTTATATACTCCGTCCTCCCCTCCGCCTAAATATGGAGAGGGCGTTCTAGAGGGTCTCCTCTTAGGAGTTAAGGCGTCCCTTCTTAATAAAATAAGAGAAATAGTCCTTAGGATAATCAATAGCGCCTAAAAATATTGCCGACGCAGGAGGTTCTAGTCCGCTGAAGCATCCACTTTCTATTCATCTTTAATGTTCTGTACGATAATAACACCTAGAAAAATTAAGGTTTCCAGATTACAATATACTTAGTGCCAGTTTGGAAATCGCTACAGACAACTCCTTCCCAGTCACATACAAAATGGCCCTGGAGTTCCCCCCAGGGTAAAAAAAGAAAAGAAAATACACTAAACACAATACACTATAACCTCCACGGGCTAAATCGCTGAAACGACGTAACCTCTTCGCATGCCCAGAATGGCGTTGCGGACTACTTGTAGTATATGTGAGGTACTGAAATTGTGCTTGAACATATATTTCGATGCCTAATCAAAACCGGCAAATTCATCGCCACTGCCTGCCTCCTCTGAAGCATCGGCCTTGGCGGCACGTTTTGCAAGCCGCTGCTGCTCATTTTTGGCTCTGATTTCCTCGATCATGCGCTCTGTCTCGCGAGCCTTTCTCTTCTCCTCCTCTGGCAGCCGCTCCCACCTCTCTGTTTCCTTCCGGGACTTCTTAGATTCCTTGCGTCTGAACTTCTTGTCTCGTGCCTCTTGGTTTTGACTCCATGCTGTATTCTCGGCTGCGCGTCGCTTCCGCTGATCCTTCTGTTGATCACCCACTTGTGCGTATTCTTCCATCATTTCCTTACGCCGCTTCTCTCGCTGCTTGTCTTTGTAGGTATAATTATCCCAGTCAAGGCTGACGCCCAAAGTCCGGTCCCCAGTGAAATTGCGCAGCTCGGGCATCTTCGGCAGCTTGAGGAGCCCCCATGCTTTACCAAGAGCTTCCCAGTCAAGATCCGCGACTCGGAATATGCTGCTTGCTTGATGTTTGCTATAGCTGCGGAGCCAACTGACAAAAGCCTTTTGACCCTTATCGTGGTGAGCTCGGTCCTGTCGGATGAGCTTTCGAACGGCTTCCGTGGCAGCCACCGCATCTGCGTCAGAGGGTGGGGATGAAAGATTATAAGGAGCCACGGGGGTCTTGCGAACTTCCAAAAACGAAACGTAATCTTCTTCCCTCCCTGGATGAAGAAGAACAATACTGAGGCCTCGGCGTCCGGCGCGTCCAGCACGACCGCATCTGTGGATAAAAGTCTTCGGATCGGAGGGAGGATCAATCTGCACAACTAGGTCGACAGACGGAATGTCCAGACCTCGAGAGGCGACATCGGTGGTGAGGAGAATGGAGGGGGTTGTGGCGGTGGTGAAGCGAGTAAAGTTCTTTTGGCGGACATTGGCAGGGTGCTTGCCGTGGAGAGGGACCAAGAGAAATTCGTCTCCCAAAATTAGAGGAAGCATCATAGATAGATAATCCACACTGGAACATGTTGACACAAAGAATATTGTCTTCTGAGGCGTAGGCTGGACTGTTGTGAGAATTTGTTTGAGAATAGAGAATTTATGAGCTGGCGGTGCTGTCAAATAAGTCATTTGCAAACTGTTGAAAAAAGTCAGCATTCTGTTCTTGAGTTTCTTTTAGCGATCACAGGCATACCTTGCAGGTGTGCGCTTATCTTCAACGCCAGACCCGCCTTTCACCTTGACGGCTACCTTGACGGGGTTACGGAGACCCACACGAACGATCTGATCAACCGCTTCGCTGATGCTAGCGCTGAAAAGACCGGTCCTTCGCTGCTTCGGAAGATGACGCAAAATATTTTGCAGATCATCCTTGAAACCAAGATCAAGAAGCCTGTCCGCCTCATCCAGGACAAGCATTTCAAATGACGATTGTGGACAGTGCACATGGGGCGACGACAGCAGTTCTAAAAGTCTCCCGGGTGTTGAGACGAGCACGTTTGGGGATCGCTTGAGGAATGTACTGAGATCTTCCGCGGGCGATGTTGAGCCGCCCAGGAGGAGTTGGGGCACAACCTTTAGGACGGAAGATGAGGACTTTGATCGTGGCGCATCGCCTTCGGATGGGTTAATCGCTGCCGCCGATGGAGGATGGAATTCGAGTAATGACAGAAGCACTTGATAGATCTGAGAAGCTAGTTCTCTGTGTGGATGAAGAGGAAACATCAGTTTAAATGTTCTTGGCTGAAATTGCGGAGGGAGTTTACCTTGTGGGAGAAATGATGATTGCTCCGATATGATGCTTCTTGAGCGGCTCCTCAAGACGCAGAAGCTTCTCCACAACGGGAATTAGAAAGGACAGGGTCTTTCCGCTGCCAGTAACAGCCTCGACCACCACATCCTTATGCGCCATGAATAGTGGGATGGCGGAGGCCTGAACTGGCGTCATGCGCGTGAAGCCCAAGGAGGCCACAGCGTCAAGTGCCCATTGTGATAGCGGAGGTGTGAGCGCATCCCACGCTCGCGAGGACGAGGGGGGTTTCGGCTTCGGAGCCATTAGTGAGCTCGGGCGATTTTGCACTCCTTGAGAGAACGAACCCAGTTTGATCTGGTCAAGCTTGGTCCAAGACCCAAATGTCATCGCAAAAAAAAAAGTCTTATCGATAAGCTTCACCAGCACGTGACAGGGGCGGCATTGGGCGGATACCGGATGCACCGTCTACTTCTTTTCGCATTGCGCCTAGCACTGCCTCGTTCGAATAGCGGTCTGCCGATTTTACTTTTACGTGTCCAGTGCGCTTATAATGCGCCGTGTTTTCATTTCGTGCTCCAACACCTGGCATCCCTGGTCGACCTTGCGCGGGCGCCCCGAAAGAACGATCGCCCATCATTGAGTCGTTAGGAAGATCACTGATACCCTGCGGCAGTCTTGCCTGCGACAGCGCAACCACCTGCGCACGACCACTGGCCGGTATCATTCGAACCCAGGCACTTCCACCCTTCACTGTGCGATCGCCCGATATGCCTTCAACACCCGACAACGTCCCAGAGACTCCCCGAGTCATCTCCCCATCGCCCTCCTTCTCCGACAGATCTGACGCACGTGACGAGTATCCTGCACCGACAACACGCTCAGCATCGCGTCGCCAACACCTGTCGGGGGTCTCAGAAGAGAGTTCTGGCTCGGGCAGATCTCGTAGCCCGCCCCCGGTGACACCTAGGGGGTCAACACGACAACGCCGGTCAAACCCGATGATTCCAGCCTCGCCGCCATCTGCCAATGGGAAAGACTCCAATGGTTTTCTGTCGCCAAAACTTCCAGATGCCTTGCGTGACGTTTCGCGATCACCATCACCGCTGGGTCTCATTCCTCTGCATTCCCGCTATCGCAATTTCATTCACCGCCATGAAATACCTCGCAAACTGTTGCACGTATCGATCGGGTTCTTAACCTTAGGCCTCTATAGCCGAGGAATCCAGACACTGCAAATTACCCCAGTGCTCTTCTCTGCGCTAGTACCCATCGCAGTCACCGACATTGTCCGCCATCGCTCAGAGAAAGTCAACAAATTTTACATTCGCTGCGTAGGAGCGCTCATGCGCGAGACCGAGGTCTCTGGCTACAATGGTGTGATCTGGTATCTCCTCGGCGCCTACGTTGTCCTACGCTTTTTCCCCAAAGATGTTGGTGTGATGGGTGTCCTCCTTCTCAGCTGGTGCGATACCGCCGCTTCTACAGTTGGCCGTCTATACGGTCGTTACACGCCCCGCCTCCGACCCGGAAAGAGTCTGGCTGGCACCCTGGCCGCCTGGTTTGTCGGAGTCGTCACCGCCGCGACCTTCTGGGGCTGGTTTGTTCCTTACATAGGAACTTTCCCCAATGACCCTGAAGATGCATTCATGTTTACTGGTCGCTTGAATTTGCTTCCAAACTGCGTTCGGGGTCTTCTGGGATGGCGACCCTCATCGTCTGGAGTCATCTCCGGTCCTCTGGCCCTCGGCGTCATGAGCGTTGTGTCTGGCGTTGTGGCGGCCGGCAGTGAATTCATTGATCTATGGAGCTGGGATGATAATTTGACAATCCCCGTCCTGAGTGGGCTTGGGCTTTGGGGATTCCTGAAGGTATTTGGCTGAATATAGGATTCATTTCTATCATATATTGTGTTTTTTTGATGGCACAGAAGAGACATCCCTCCTCATGGACTGGTGTTTAATGTTTAGATGATTGGCCGCTTTAAATTTCTCGGGCATGGCATTGCATCAGATTTGATTTCTTGCTTAGCACAGGCGCACTGTCGATGCATTTCTGCCGATATAAATATTACTATTCTATTCGTTGCGTAGGTGCAGATCTCCTAGACATGGCTCAAAAATGCAGGGCTCAATGTGAACAAAAGCTTAGGCGGCATACGGAATTGAGAACCGATGCCGATTGGCGGTGCCAGCCACTTCAACAATCGAATAGACCAGTCTGGGAAAGCACCAACGTTAATAACATCGATATCGGAGCCTAAAACCCAGCGACCAGAATTAGTTGAAAATAGAATCGTCGATTTTCTTCGTATTATCGGTTTGCTGTGCACTCGGCTATCTAAAGTCAAGGACGTAGCTAGACGGGAATGTAGGTCAGAGTAGGAGCTCGATTATTCCAAGCAATTTATATTGGTAATTCCTATTTTAAGCATCGTAAAACCTGCTCTACATTAGCAACAACAATTGTTGTATTGCTCGGAATGCTCTGCTATCACTATGGGATGGTAGTAATTGCGGGAGTCGGCTTCGGAATGGCGCCTCCGAGGTGTCGGAGGAGGAACGAGCGTGCCGAGCGCCGTCGTCGCACCAGCAAAGTCTGGGTCTGCCCCTCCGTATATGAACTGGCACTCTGGCCATTTGCATTGCCTCATTTTCAGTCCACTGCCTTGTCCTTGCACTTGCCAGGCTCATTCAACGTCACAGAATAACCAAAGCATTGCCTGTGGAAAGAAATCCGAGGCACCGTTACATCATGGATCAATCACAATTCCGAGCTGCAGCTCACTCTGCCATAGATGACAGTATGTTCCAAAACCTCTGATTGTACCGATAAGTCTGACTCGAATTCCAGTCATCAACCACTTCGATTCCATGCCCGAACAAAGAGTTCTCCCGACCGTGGAGCCAGGCTATCTGCGTTCGTTGGTACCAGAGAATCCTCCCAATGAGCCTGAAGAATGGGCGACTATCCAGAAGGATATCGATTCGAAGATTAAGCCAGGTTTGACGCATTGGCAGTCCCCAAATTTCATGGCGTATTTCCCAGCCGGTGTGACGTACCCCAGTATCCTGGGCGAGATGTACTCGGCAACATTCAATGCTCCCGCTTTCAACTGGCTTTGCTCTCCAGCATGCACAGAACTAGAAACCATCGTCATGGACTGGATGGCCAAGGCTCTAGGAATGCCAGATTGCTTCTTGAGCTCTTCAAAGGGAGGCGGTGTCATCCAGAACAGTGCCAGTGATGCGATTGCTACTGTCATCACCGCTGCTCGCGAGCGAAGAGCGCGGGAACTGGCATTGGCGGATGGGATGAAGGAGGGCACTCCCGAGTACGAAGACCGGAAAATCGAGCACCAGGGAAAATTTGTGGCGATCGCCAGCGACCAAACGCACAGCAGTGCTGCCAAAGGTGCTCTAATTGCCGGTACTCGTTTCCGTGCCGTCCAGACTCAGCTAGCAGATAACATGGAGATGACTGCTCCCCGTCTGCGAAAGGTATTGGAAAAGTGCGAGAAGGACGGTCTAATTCCTTACCATCTGACTATGACCCTCGGGACTACCAACTCCTGCAGCATGGATCGGTATGCTGAGATCACGGCTCTCTTGCGAGAGAAACCGGAGTGGCAACGGATTTGGGTTCACGTCGATGGTGCTTATGCCGGTGCATCTCTCATCACAGAAGAATGCCAGTATATTGCGAAGGATTTCGGGGAGGGTGTTGATAGTTTCAACATGAACATGCACAAGTGGCTGCTGGTTAACTTTGATGCAAGGTTTGTCACTCAACCTCTCTCGGAGGCAGCGTCCACTCGGCTAATTTTTTACGATAGCGTTCTCTTCATCCGAAACCGCGTCGATCTTACCAATGCATTTGACATGACGCCCACTTATCTTCGCAATGCATACTCTGATTCGGGCACCGTGGTTGATTACCGTAATTGGTCTTTCTCTCTCGGCCGCCGGTTCCGAGCCCTCAAGATTTGGTTTGTTATGCGCAGCTACGGCCTGAACGGCATGAAGGCCTATATTCGCAAGACCATGGGTCTCGGTGATATATTCGCGGACCTTGTTCGGGGTCGACCGGATTTGTTTGAGATTGTCACTAAGCCAGCATTTTGCTTGACTGTCTTCCGAGTGAAGAACCCGCAGGTGCCAGTTCATGGTGTCAATGGATCAGCCGGCACAGCTTCTGTGAGTAAACGAGATGAAACCTCCGACTCTCTGACGAAGAAGGTGTATGAACTGGTCAACTCCCGTGGTGAGATCTTCATCACTTCTACTGTCATTGATGGGGTCTATGTTATTCGGGTTGTGAGCTCCAACCCTATGGCCGAGGAAAAGTATGTTCGAAACGCCTTTGACATCATGGTCCGTACCGCCGAGGAGGTGCGGCAGCAGCAGGATTAGACCTCTATTGAGGGGTTACAAAATAAGTACTATATAAAATCATCTGAATAGAAAGCTAGAAAAGACGCAATGCACTAGTGTACTATCAATATTCCTAGAAGCTGACATTCCTTGCGACGAATTGTACCCCAATTGACCTGATTTTGATTTTCAATTCTTTGTGATAATTTTGCTCATTTAATCAAGAGATGAAAGTAGTTTTCTTCGAATGCCTTTCCTTATTATGCGGTTTGATTCTACGACAGGCGCAATGCGCAACCTAACTCCGCGATTGCTTTGTGGATCTCCGCCTCGTCGCAGACCACGTAAGCCGCCGGACGCCTCGGCATTCCTTTCCGCGTTCCGAACGGCACCACGTCTCTTCACTACAAGCACCCAAGGCATACCGAGAAACGGCCTTGGAGACCCGATAACTGCACCAAGAAGATGAGTGCAGAGAGCCAAGTCCTAGACATTGAGCCTCCCTCATCCGAAAGAGCAAACAAAAGGGCCAGATACACCCAAATTGCTTGGTACGCCGAACCTCCGATTCGAAGAGCAAGGCTGACCGCCCCAGCAACGAATGTAAACGACGCAAGCTAAAATGCAGCGGTGGTACGACTTGTACACGTTGTATACGGGACAAGGTAACCTGTGTTTATGCAACGAATCGCGTATTGTCTCAGCCGGGGGAATTCAAGGATGCACGGTACGATCTCACTTGCCATTCGGATAACAGGCCGAAATACTAAACATCTGCAGAGTTGGCCCACGATTTCGTGCTATGGATGAGCAGCTCCAGGCTCTACAGTGGCAAATACAGAATTTGTCGAGCCGTTTGATTAAACTCGAATCTGCAAGTCCTCAGTCAGCAGCTACACCAAAGAGCTCAGATGCAAGTGGAATGCATCGGATTCTAAACGCACCAAAATCGCCATCCTACATTGGACCAACGAGCGCAGAATTCGGTCTGAGGCGACCACTAAACTCTACCCGGATTGACAATGAAGAACACCTGGCCGATGACACGGAAATGTCAGCTACCGCGAGCCCTGTCGTTTCAGGGCGAGAAGATGCCTCTTTCCCTGGTAATGCAATGACCCTGGGCCTTGCAGACGCCTTGCGTCTAGTGCAGGTGTATGAAGATAGCGTCGGGATTATGTACCCTTGTGTCGACCTGGATAGTGTTCGCGTATATTTACGTGAATATTATCGCTCAAACGGCATAGATGTCATCAGCAGCACATCGGAGTCGCTGGCTCAAGACTCGCCTGACCAAGTCTGGTTTACAGCTCGAGACATCCAAGTTCTGAAAATAATTCTGGCTACTGCTCTTCTTGCGGAGTCACATGGAAGAAGTGAATTCGCAGCTCAGCTTGCAGATAGCGTTGAAGATCGATTTGCGCCTCGATTCAAGGTGGCCGAGGTGGATATGAAAGAAATTTTGATCATGACATTACTGGTAAGCCTTTCGACACAACACTCTTTCGTTCCGGAGCATTCGGCTAATTCTACATGCACGTCTAGTCGGTCTTTCATTCATACCGCGACGACGAAGTCATTTCCTGGCGATTGATCCGTTGTGCATCTAGCGCCGCCATGGAACTCGGCTTGCACCGCCAAGAAACATGGCAGAGAACAGGAGGTGTCTTCCCAGGCGAGCTTGCATGGACCTGGGCCAAACGGCTCTTCTGGTGCATTTACGTGCTTGATCGGAAATGGTCTTTCGGTACCGGACTTCCATTTGGCATTCAGGATGTCGACATTGATACGAATCTCCCAGAGCCGGGCGATTCGACCCCATATCTAACCTGCATGATCTCTCACGCGCGTTTAAGTACAAAGATCTGGGGGCTCATCATGAACTGGCCGAATCGTTCCCGGGTAGCGACCTCAGACCAATGTGCCTATTTAGACACACAAGTGCAACAATGGATATGGTCCATCCCACACGAATTGCGCTTTGATCTGAGCCAACAGCAAGAAAGCATTGTTAGAACAGAAGACTCGCCACAAAAGGACCGCCTAATGATACTCCAGGTGCTTCTTGCTCTACAGGGTAATCAGCTACGAATCCTCGTGTATCGACAAAATCTTCTCAGCAGCGAAAACATTGTCGAGGATCCCCAAAGCGCGTCTACGGCAGTTGAAACAGCCAAACGAACGATTCACATTCTCCAACATTTCAGTGGAGTCTCACAAACTTATTTCAAAAGACCAGAGCCTTTCAATTATTTCTTGATTTCTGCCCTGGCGGCTCTCTTCTTGGCCGTTCTACACGCACCAAATACCTTCCGTCGAGTTTGTCGACCAGAATTCTATACAGCTGTAGAGCTTGTCCGCCGATCAGCGACACAGGCTCGGACGTCAAGACGCTTGCAAAAGATCATTCGCAGTCTGAAACAAATTCAGCTACATAAAAACGGCAATAGGCGACAATCGTTTGGGAGTCATCAGCCTTCGCCAGTGCCCGGAAATGCTGAGAGAGACCCGGAACCAAGCCAACTCTCAGCAGTACAACCTCATCCGGTTGGGAATCGAGATCTATGGGACCTAACCTCAGCATCTCCAGGTGCAACATCACAGAATGTTCATAGTTCAAACAATGCCTATGACATGTCCGGCACTTTTTGGTCGACGTCGCCTAAGGTCATAGCTGAGACGGAACCCAATATGTGTGAGGACTTGAGCAGCTTCTTTGAAACTGCCGGAGATCTCTATTTCGATCATCAGACCGCAGATCTTCCAAGGGATGTGGATATGGGATTCTTTGCTCCGACCGGTTTACAGTCGTCCGTTGGCGTCGATCCATTTGAAGCCGACAATGAGGCTTTGACAAAGGTTATGGCTGACTTACTCTAAATCGAGGTACTGCAGCTGTCGGAGACAATACACTTAATGACATGACGGCATCGAGTTGGTATGTTCATATGCGCAGCATGCTTGAGATTGTTTCGGCTCTACACCCGTGAAGATTGCAATACTCCAAGTAGGTTAAAGGAAGACGGCCAAATGAAACGCAAAGAAGGAGCTTCAGGTATGCCGGGTACTTTGACATGATTGTACAACTTTAGAAATGCTATATGCACCTATATACACAGGGTAATGTCCGCCGGGTGGGGCTTTCCTGTCTGGGCTGCCGCCGGCTTTATGAGGGCGATCAGAGTCAGACTAAATTTCAGTCCGCCTTCAGGCTCAGTGAGATGGTCATACTACAGTCATGTGATTGATCGGTGACCAATTATGGATGCTCAGTGATCGCTGAGTGACCACGCAGTTACTGCTTACTCACCAAGACTCATTGTCCGGTTAGCGATAACTAACCACCTTTTCTTCCAAGCCCATATCAGACTGTGCCTGAAAAAGGACATGCCCCACAGGGCCATGTATTCTGTCATAATTAGCGCGTTAAGAGTATATAGCTGGTATCGACATTTGAAGGCTAAACCTATTTTAGGAAGGCGGAAGGCCGTTTGTCGAACTCAGTTATCGAAGTCAACTATCTATTTCCTGACCTGGGTCCTACTCATGATCGTATCGACGGCTTGGAGTCCAGCCCCTCCGCCTCCTCCACCTTGGTGTCTTCCCCTCTTTATTCTTTCCCATTCCATTCTCGAACTTCGAGATCTCAATTCTCGTGGACTGGGTGTCTCCAACATGCTGCTAAAGAAGTTACCCCTCGGTCTCCGCCAATCAGATCGCTCAAAATTTATACACAGTTTCCAAGCGTCACGTCTGAGAACACTCCGACCTTCACACATCCAAGTGGCCTGCTAGAAAACTTACATCCCTGAGCCACAACCCGCCCGACTAGTTGACCGCTCAACGCAAAATTATTCCTAATACGGGGTCTATATGTGTTTGATGATGTGTTAAGCAGGACAGACAGCGGTCGGGGGGGGGGGGGGCGCGGAGCCCACCAGTATACAGTCAACCTCAAACTTTATCCAAAGCCTAGCGGTGCCTCCGAACACATCGCAAGGTGAGATTTGTGCAGACAAGAGAATGTCGAAAACTCAATCGCCCGAAAGCAGACTCCGACGACCTGGCTGTTGAGCTCGCTCTGGCGAACATGAAAATTCAGAAGTTGGGATAGGAAAACCAATCTCTTCGCCACCTACACCGAGGACTACAAGACTTCCTACAAAATATCATCGAAACTAAGAGAACTTATTAATATTAAAAATGTAACAGACCCGTTCTGTGATCGGTACTGGGTCGAGGCCAACAGTGGCTACTCTGTGGGGAAGGCGTACTCCTTCCGTGCACGACCCACGTTCGACAGCCATTTTGCGCTGGCTGCGTTGTCTGGAGCGAACACTTGGTCCTCTTGAGTACTCATTCTATTTGGCTTTTCTACTTGGCATTGAATAGCTTTTATCATTTGATTCGCGGATCTCTCTCGAGCTACGTGCGATGAACCTCCATCGTGATGTATGGTCTCTCGGTTCGACAACAGTTACTGTTGGAAATTGGAAAAAGGAGGCTGACTGCTGCTGGGCTCCGGCTTCGACAAATCCAAGGCTGAGCTTTGTGGTGGAAATAGGATTGTCAGAGTCTGCGAGACAACTTACTCTTGATGCGCGCGGTTGGCTTGAGACTTACTCCTCATCTGTGAAAGTTGTGGCCATGATTAGCATTAAACACGAAAACCCCGAGATCATCTTGCACCGATGGGAATTGTTTCCCCGAAGCGATGGCGTCCTTACGAGGTCATCCCCTCCTTTGGCGCGTCGTACTGCATTCCTCAAATTATTTCGAACGAATAATATGACATCTGTCACCGGAGAGTCTAGCATGAATGGAACAACTACAACTACTACACAACTAGATCTACCCTTCGACAAGGTTGTTGGCCGTCCTCCTCACCAGCCCCTAGAGAGAGACTTAGTGATAACCGAGCAAGAGCTGAGAATTTTTGCCGAGGATATCTGGAGGTTGCAGTGTCTCCTATAAGTCGTCTCGATTCTGATCTATTCAGGCGGAATTGCTAATGTCTTATGTGTTTATGCTGATGGCTGTTCTTATTTTAACATTACTTGACTATTGTGGGCCTCTGTATGATAATATCGCTGCTTTGTCTGGGCCATCTCTCTCTTCCTTTGTTTTTCCTCTCCAGCCTTATTGTCTTGGTAGGAATATACTTTATTAGTCAAGACAAATTTATTTTAAGTTGCGAATAGCATCTTGAAAATAACCTAGCATCCACTGTATGTCAAGCGGAATTGGACTATGATGATTAAGGTTTGGTAAAAAGGACGCTTGAAAGAATGGCGTTGAAGGTAGCTATTTCCGGCGCCCGATTCACCGTCACTTAACGTTGGGGCAATATGCAGTCGGATCCCGTTGGCAGGAACGCCGGGAACTTGCTAGAATCGCTAGCCCGAAATTAAAACAATGCCGCTGTTTCATTTTTTACCAACGCCAGTCTCTATTGATTGAACGGAATGTAAATTTGCCAATATTGCGGGGTATCAAAAAATCAAATCATGTCCACGATGCTGATTCGGGGAGGTCGCTTCTTCTTTTTCTCGCCCTCTGTCGTACATTCTCGGAAAGATTCAGTCAACTCATCAACTTCACACCAAAAACCGTTGAAAGTCCTGATGCTGTCGGCGTGGCCAGTTGTCTGTTTAAGTTCCGAACTTTCAGCATGTTTCTTGGAGTATTTTGGCTCTTTTTCCGGTTCTTCGCAAGACTGTGTTGGTGAGGGCGGGCTTTCTTTATGATCGTTGTTCTTCAACAGAACTTTATGTCGAGAACGGCTCGTGCAAGGACTCCGCCTTGTGGAAGTCTCCCCTGATGGCACTAAATAATCAAGCTTCCCTAGGCTTGGAATGGATTTGTTCTGCTTGTCCTTCGCTTGATCCGTGGCACTGGGTCTCTGGGAGCGACCACGGGGTGGCTTCTCAAGATGCTCATCACGATGGGTTACCGTTAGCGACAAGGAGCTGATCGCCTTTTCCAGGTCTTCTACCTCATTTGCCTTTTTTTCTCTGTTGTTGGACATTTTGGGTGACGGGGCTGGGTGTGCAAGACGGTTGTTTTTGTATTCCGGCTTTGCAGCCAAATGATCCATCTTGATTACCCTGCGGCGTCTGGGGGCGGGCGAAACAGATGTATCGACGACTGGAGAGAAGACTTCATCAAACACAGCCTCACCAGTGGCCAGGACGCTAGCTCGAGCTCGTACACTTCCTCGAGTCGCTAAAGGATGGCATTTCGCTGTAGGTGTTGGTGATATTGTGCACGAGTTCGAGAATGTTCCCACGAGATCATCTACCTCTTGCGAAGAAAGGACCCCATAGCGGAGATCTCGTTGCTCCGGATACATGCTCGGAGAGGAATTATACTCCTCGAGATCGATGGACTCAGTGGAGGAGGAACCATTGGGAAAATCTGACGTTTCGTTTTTCGCTGTCGTACTGGGCATAGCGGCTTCCAGCAAGCGCGTCTTGACGGGAGGAGACAACTCGTGTTTTTCCTTGGTGAGGGTGCCGTACTTCAAAATGCTGCCTCGTTTCATTCCTGGGTCGATAGGACCCTTCTTTTTGGGCCCTGTCCGTCGACTGGTTGTTTTCTTCGGAGCAGCCTTGTTGTTGGCCTTCTTAGTCTGTTCGTCTTCCCAGCTCTTGACAATATCAGGAACCCCAAGTTTGGCTATCGTTTCGAATATCCAAATTTTCTGAACTGCCATCGGGTCATAGCGGGGTGTCACCCGCGATTTGGAGGGTGACGGTGGTACTAACTCATCGGCCGCTTCTGGATCATCTTCTTGCTCTACTGGATCCACCATGTCTTGAGAAGGCTCAATCTCCGGCACGGCCTGAGGGTTGGGTGTCTCTGCGAGTAGATCGATGCCAACAACATCGATTGGCAAAAAATCGGTTTGAAGCTCCGTCATGCCGTCTGTGCCAAAGTTTGCCCGGCTTCTGTAAAATTTCTGAAGCCATGGCGTATCGCAATCAGGCGCCAGTGTACCATTGGTCAGGTCAAGCACGGGTCGTTGCAGACGAAGTCTGTAAGACAAAAGAGGCTCTGATAGGTTTCTGATCACCTTTCTTGCTCCGGACCGGTATTTCCACTCGAAGTGCTCCGCGGCAAAGCTTCTGATTGCCAGCGGATCAATGTCTTGATCCCACGCATGTCTCAGGCTCCTTCTCAAGGTTTCCATTCCGTCCTTGTTGGACACAATGGGCTCGGCATAGTATTGTAGGATTGTTTGGTCAGGAAAAGTCTTCGGAATCCGGACGGCCTTGTGTTTGGTCGTGAAATACCCGCTTTCGTTCTCTTCCAGTTCAAACTGCAAACGATCTCTCCAGTCATTCAATTCCGACTCCATATCCGGAGAACGCGAAGTAATGATCTCGAGAAGATCTTCACCAAAGCCGGCCTTGGCGATTTCGGCCGCCAACTTGTTTCCGCATTTTGGCACACCAGACGGCAGGTAGTCACCGCCGCTGAGCATGGCAATCAAGATCATCCCTGCTCGATTGAAAGGCACATTTGGAGAATAGAACTGGTTGTCCGTATTCGTATTATAGCGAGTGACGTGAGTTGCGGCGCCTGAACCGGTGCCGCTTTCCTTTGAGAAACTCTTGATCATGAAGGTGGAACCGAACATCAAGGTGTCAACGTCATTACTCATCACAGCATCTACGACGCCGGCCTCTTGCAGTCGCGCGCATTCTGCCTCAGCTTCACCTGGCGCGACATGCCAAGGGAATTTGAAGTGGCTGATTAAATCTTTGGATCTCTGGATGATCGGCGCATTACCATGGCCTCGAGTCGACTTGCCTCGTTTGAAGGGAGGCTTCTGTCTACCATCGTAGACAAAAAGAGGGTGGATTGGCAAGGCGAGCAGTTTCAAAAGCCGGTAGAACAAGGTTCGGAGCTCTGGATTTCTACCCCCACGACTAGCTTGGACTTGAAAAAGCCAGATGGAAATATCGACCGCAATTCGAATAGGCCTCGACTCGCGCTCTAGGTGCGACACTGCCAATTTTGATAGCGCAATACGCTCACCAGCGCCAATGGCACTGACAAGCCTGTCGTAAGTTAGCCAAATCTTCGAAGCAAGGATGTTTTCTGCCACTGCCCACATGGCCCAGAAGCGGCAATGATAACACTTAGGGATGTCCTCGCGCGGACCCATCCCATTATATATATCTGCTCGCGATCGCCCAAGTGAGCGCGTTCAAGGGGTGACAGTAGGCTTACCCAGGAATTCCCATCGTGTCTGCCCTGGAGTCTGCGTATGTTGCAGCTTAAAACCCGCGCGGGAGAGCCATAGGGGGAAGGAGAAGTGAGGTTGAAATGGCGAGCTGCAGGTTGACGGAAAGTAAATAAACCACGGCCCGATGAAGATCCGTGCCTCAGCTCTCCGACTCCGAGCTTGTCACCAACACCTGTTCGAGAACCACTGCTCGCACCAATTCGAAATTCTCGGTTGCGCAAAAAAGCAAAGGCATCACCCTGACCGTATCTGATGGTTTGCCAGACTCGGTCGACACGTTGCTGAAGCGAGTTCCCCACCTTGGCGGACTTTGTTGCTCTGAGGGGCAACCCAAACGTGCGCACCACCCATGGCGAGCACGACAGCCACAACCAGCGAACACAAACACAGAATGTCTGCAACGTCTAGTCTACGCCATAGCCAAACCGCGCGGCCCTCCTCACCCCACACTCCGCAGCAGCAGCTCCGTTCGGGAAACACCTCATTTGCCAGCACCACGTCGCCTGGCTCATCCTTTCGAAATGAAGACGATGCGATAATTTTCGAGATTGGTACACGGTGGCTTCGAGCTGGCTTCGAGGGCAATGGCACACCAATCTGCGTGAAGAGGTTCGGGCCCGAGGAATCGAGGAGAGTGGCAGACTACCGAGGATGGATTCGGGGCGAAGCAGGCGCTGGCCCACTACTCAAACCCATGAATGCGGAGGACTGGGTCCGGGAATATGAATTGTGGCAATCTGACCTCAGGAAGGCTGACCTAGGACTGATTGAGGACAAGATCGAGCGCGTCTTTCGTGAAACCTACAATCAGTACCTGTTAACCGATGCAGGCACGTCCCGGCTCGTCCTGACCCTGCCAGCCCTCATGCCTCATCCGCTGCTATCGTCGCTCCTTTCCACGCTCTTCAGTCGCTGGCGTTTCCCCAGTATCACCCTTCTTTCGAGTGCCACCATGTCCGCGGCGGCGGGGGGTCTACGGTCTGCTTTGGTGGTTGATCTTGGATGGGCTGAAACTACAGCAACGGGGATATACGAATACCGAGAGGTTGTTACAAAACGGAGCACAAGATCTATGAAGTCGCTCATGCAGGAGATGGGGCGTTTCCTCTCTGGACTGGCTTCTGGCAGCACCCAGGAGGATACTTCAGATGAGGATATTTCTGTGGGATTCACATATTGCGAGGAAATCGTGAGCAGATTTGCTTGGTGCAGTCCCGAAGCAGGAGAGAGTGAAGCGCAGTCAGAAACGGAACGCGATATCTCGATACCTTCGCCCAAAAATCCGGAGCATGAGTACACAGAATTGCCATTTTCTCGCTTGGCAGATCCCGTGGAAAAGGTTCTTTTTGCACTAGGAACCGCAGAGAATGAGCTGGATGATGAAGAAAAATCGATCCCTCTGCTTGTTTACAACACTCTACTCTCCTTGCCGCCGGATGCGCGAGGAACTTGTATGGCTCGCATCGTTTTCGTCGGGGGTGGATCTCGGATCCCTGGATTGCGCCAGCGGGTTTTGAATGATGTCCAGAAGTTGATTGATCGACATGGATGGAGCCCCATTCGTGGCCAAGCTCTTGAACGACAGCGACAGCGTATGGAAGAGTTGAAAATTTCTTCGCAGAAGCGTACCCAAACCCCTGAAGCGAATGGAGACAACACTCCCTCAAACGATGATTCAAAACCCGATCCTTCGAAAGAAGAGCCAGAGCTTGATTTCGTCGAACAAAAGCTGCGCCGGCAAAACAAAGACACACCGATTCCTGTGCAAGGAATTTTGCGTGAAGTAGAGTCTCTCGGGGCTTGGGCTGGAGCCAGTCTGGTTACCAGCCTGAAGATCCGTGGAATGGTTGAGATCGAACGAGAGAAGTTCCTGCAGCATGGGTTGGCTGGCGCGACTCGAGACCTCGAGCAGCCTATTCCCGATCGTCGATCTGGACTCCGAGCGGGCGACCGGTCGAGCTGGACTCTCGCTGGATGGGCATGAACATATCGCCTTTAATGTACCGATAGAGAGTCCTTTTTTGCTCTTGTTATGCTATGCGCGATTGGTAAATAGCATTTGGATACCCCCTATTATGAACATATAATTCAAATTTTTACAAAATGATTTCCTCATTGATCCATATTCGAGGCAAGCAGTTAATTGACATGCAAGCCTGGCTTTCTGTACTCCCCGAGGAGCTGTGAGAAATCCTCACCCTTTGATGTCGCTAGCAGCCTCGGCCCAGGAAAGCGGGGAAGGGACCCACGCGAGCAACGCCTGCAACGCCGGCAAGTTAGACCTGCACTGTCTCAATGACCCGACAGACCTGCCGAAAGATATGCAAGATAGCTCGTGATGACCGGGTTTAGCCCGCCGCCATTGCGCGCACCAACGGCTTGCGTTGCTTGCAATAAGAAAAAGGTATGATTGAGCGCTCTGGTACACAACAGGGTTTCTACCTTGCTAACCTTTTCGCATCAGGTCCGCTGCATTTTTGGAGAAGACACAAGTACATGCTTGAATTGCCAGCGGCATGTATGGCCTTGCTTGTGAGTATTGCGAGCTTATCAAACACAAGCCGATTTTTGACTCAATCTAGTCGGCGAGAACGCAAGAGAAAACGTCGGAACACTCTTAACAGCCAGACCAGCGCTGGGAGAGTGGAAAATAGGATCCAAAAGCGTCGATCTACCCTGGATGAAGCTGGGCAGCGGAACTGTGTGACGTCTAAGGAAGACGGGACTTCGATAGACGAGTCAGAAAACGATGCAACCCACATTGGTTTTCCACCCCGACATACCCCTCGGAGTACTTCTTTTGAGTTAGAGCCAAGGGGGACTCCACAACAATCGATTTGCTCAAACCCATACTCATCAGTGTCAAGTTTGAGTTTTTTGGCCAGGTCCCGTTATTTTGATGATGCAATGGTCATCAATGAAGACCAAGCCAGATCATATTCAACCGCAGACGCAGATGGACCAACAGAGGATGATATCCAACTGCTACAGCTTCAAAGAGCCTTCGATCTTCCACCCCGAGCGGTACGTGATGGTCTTATAAACACCTTCATGGAAAAATGCTCTCCTTGGATGCCGATTGTTGAACGCAGTTGGCTGGAAGAAAGCGGATCTCAAAAACCATCAATACTGCTTCTTCAAGCGATCTTTGTTGCTGCGAGTCGAGTCACCTCTGCTCCAGCTGTCACTGCCTATGCGTCAACCCATCAGTTTTATCGACGCGCGAAGGCCTTAATCTGGTCCGGGTACGAGAAGAACCCAATGACCGTGGTCGCTGCTGTGTGTATCCTACATTGGTACAATCCCGAAGGCCCGGAACACGTCTCAACCAACACGAGTGGATTCTGGCGATATGTTGGGGTTGGACTAGCCCATCAAATTGGTCTTCAAAAAGAGCCTGCGAACACGAGGAATGCAGCGCTTCGACGTCGTCTTTGGTGGACATTATTTGTATGTGTGATCCGATGAAGATCGGGAAAAGCAGAGGCTGATTCTTTCTAGGCCCGAGACTGCTTAATCTCCGCTGGACAGGGTCGCCCACTCGCAGTCAATATAGAGGACTGTGAACTTGCTCCTCCTCGTTTAGATGACTTTGATGATTCATGCTCAAACGCGTCTCTTTTCATTGCCTATGTTGAGATCAGCTCTATACTGGGCCATCTCACGCAGCACTGCCGTCGCAAAACTCTCACACGTCAGATACAACAAAATATTGAGAACCAACTGTATCGCTGGACACGAGACCTTCCTGCTTCTTTGAGCCTGTTTCAGACACCCACGACGTCAGCAGAATTTGGCCGCCAAGCACAGAGCACACTCAGTCCATACAACTTCGAAGCACGCCAACTGCATATCCCATATTTTATCTGCCTCGCAATACTGTGTCGTCCCAATCAAGGAAAGTCCCCTTCTCCGGCAGTGGTTCTCGCTTCATCGTTTGTTGCAGGCATATTCGAAGATTTTCTCGCCCGAGATGAAATACAATTTCTCGGTCCCATCTTCACCTTTCACCTCTTAGCTGCTGGAATCGGCTTACTCTCGAGTAGCAACACACCTTCGCTGTGTACAAAGGCGGAGAATAGTCTCCAAAGCATTTATCTCTCACTGGACGTTCTTTCTCAACGCTGGTCGTCCGCCAAAGGGAGCCTCAGGGCATTGAAAAGCATCGCCGATAAACAGCAAAATTCGACAAGGCCCTCTGATGACTCGTCATCGGTACTGCCGCAAGAGCAACAGGTCTTTTTTCAAGGGTTTGGACCCGAAATATCCTGGGCGTGGACCTATTTCATGCCTCCAGCAGCCGCACCGAGGACAGTGGAGTCCTGGGAGGTGCACACGACAGCTGACCATCCCAGTGCTCCACTCGATTGTTTCACCGAATCCCAGGTCCCGAATGCCGTTGCTTCTTCAGCAGACGAGTATCGACCGCTTACCACAATCCTCGACCCCCATGTTGGTTTTTCCATGGGGGGCATGGCACGGGATATAGGTGATGATCTTTTCCATAATCAATACCAAGGCATGGGAGACTGGTTATTTAAAGACTTGGACTGGAATGGGGACGCCACTTGGTAAATGCATTCATGTTGTACAGCACAGAAATACATCACACCTAATTAAACCCGCTGCAAGCATGAAGATCAAGCCGCGGCCGGCATTCGGCACTCGGTGAATTCCGGTAAAGAGGCAGTGGGCCGTCTGGAGATGCGGGGGAGTTCACGCCTCGTGCAGCTTCACCAAAACCAAATACCCTTGCTGGCGAATCCTGTCTTTTACAATTTTTGAAAAAAGCTGAAGAAAATGTCAGATATTCCAACATTCCGGAATCTTTCCCTGGAGAGACATGGGAATGTTTTCGTTCTTACAATGGAGAAGCCTCCTGAGAATCGGCTTAACTCCTGGTATTGCCAGGAAATGATTCGGGCCTATCGGACAGTGGAGAAGCTGCTAGGGCCTGACTCTGAAGGAGCTGTGGTTACTCGTGGAAGCAATGCTAAGTTCTGGTGTACTGTATGATCTGCTAAGAAGTTCAGATGAAGAATCAAGCTGACGAATTGGCTAGGGACTGGAACTAGACGAATCAGACAACAATCCATTCGCGAATACAGATGGGTTCTATCCGGTGAGCTAGCCCTCCCAGGAAGCTGTGAGGTCAGAAATCAGATGGGAATTGAAACCTAATATTTTCGGCCCAGCTCATTCATACAATTTTGGACTTTCCATTCCCAACTATTGCTTTGATGACCGGGCACACATTTGGTGGAGCCTGCCCACTTGCATTGGCGCATGACTATCGCATAATGAACTCTCGCCGAGGCTTTATCTCGATGCCACCCGTTAATCTGGGACTGCATTTTGATGGAATTGGGTCCCTTCCTCGCCTCAAGTTGCGGCCCCAGGTAGCGCGGAAGATGCTCCTAGAAGCGCACAAATGGACAGGAAAAGAGGCTTTGGAAGACGGCATTGTGGACGTTGTTGCCGAACCTGAGAATATGCTGGATGCTGCGCTTGAAATGGGAGCAAAGTGGGCACCGAAGGCAAAGATGGGGTGAGTCGATCTACTGTTGGGAATGAAGACGAAGGAATGCTAACTTACGTTTGTATAGTGTCTACGCGCTGCTTCGTCAGGAGCTTTGGGGCGAAGCTATCAAGAAATTTCAGCGCATAAGTTATGTTCATAGTCGTGTGACATCTGCACCTGCCAAGGCAAAGATCTAAAGTTGTTTAGCTGGAAGGCTTAAATCATGTGTTATCCGAATCAATGAAATAGTTTCATTTTGAGAAACCTTAATACTGGAGGTCGATTCTGTAACGGGCTGAAACCCAGGATATAAGCCGGGCTATGCCCGTGCACCACGTGATCGCCAAGCTTCTGGGGTATCCAGTTCACCGCTAGATGCCCCCTATGTTTACTTTCCTTAAGCTTCAGATAAACAGCATGTTGGCACCGTTCAATTGAATCAATTCGACCGTAGCCCTTCACAGATTCCAGGAGTAGGGTATGATGTGCCCCGCACGAAATGAAAGCTCTGAAGTATTCTATAATAATTTACTATTTCCATTCTAATATAGGGTATTTTAAAGCTTTGCCCTCGCCTCCTTACTCCATACCTGAATTTCAGGGACATTCCGATAATGGGTCGGGAAGAACATCGGCCCCAATATCTTCTTCTGCACTTTCCCAGTCCCCGACTTAGGAAGTTCACCCTTGATCACACGCAGAATAGTAGGAATCTTGTAACCCACAAGCTTATTCTTCAGATCCCCTCTCAATTCAGCCAGCGTAAGGCTCTTGCGAGTCGTATTTTGATCAGTCTTCAGGCTGACAGTGGCTGCGACTCTTTGACCGAATTCTTCGTCCTCAACACCTACGACCATGACTTCGGAAATATAGTCCAAACCGAGGATCTCCCGCTCTACGTCCAGTGCCGAAATCTTGTATCCCCCTGACTTGATGATATCGATGGAAGCGCGGCCGAGGATGAAATAGTAGTCGCCTTGTCGAGATGCTATGTCGCCTGACTTGAAATAGCCTTGCTTGTCGTGGGCTTCTGCGGTGGCTTTCTCGTCATGAAGATACCTATGGCGAGAAATTGGGTCAGCCGATTTCGGGCCGTCGGAAGGAAGAAGACAACCTTACTTAGAGAACATGTAGGGACACTTCACAAGAAGGTGACCGTCGTCTTCCAACTTGAGAGAGACTCCTTCAGCGACCCGACCAACACTATTCCGCGGCGTGTCCCGAGAATCCAGATCGGTTTTAATGACCGCACCAAACTCAGTCGCACCGTATCTCGTCAAAATTGGCTTCTGTCGCAGTTCTTCCCAGAAATCCTGAACAGGACCCGGCAACGCGGATGAACCACATAGCATCGTGCGAATCCCACGAGCCCCAGAAATATATTGATCGCATACATGAGGAGCTTGGTTGGCAATATTCTCTTCATAATATCGCATCATCCGCATGTAGATAGTCGGTACACCGGAAAAGAATGTGAGCCCACCCTGACGCCAACGCTCCCACGTCCAGCCTGTGTTGAAGCTTCCACTTCGGAACTCGATGCAGGCACCTGCCGTGAGGAAGGGGAGGAATGTGAGTCCCACTCCAGAGGCATGGTGGACAGGCAGGGTGTGGAGAACGACGTCTTTCTCAGTGATGCCGTAGAAGTCCCCGTCTGTCTCGGCGTTGCCTGTGAGCCAGGTACGGCGCTGGACGGCGCCTTTTGGTGGGCCGGTCGTGCCAGAAGTAAAGATTACCGCGCTCGCGCCATTCATATCCAACATTCGGTTCGACGAGATAACTATATTGCTTGCGGGGAGGAGTGTAGTACTGAAAAAGGATTCGATGGGCGATATACAGAGAATGTGGAAGTTCTTTTTCTTTCCCATGGACTGTACGATGGACCGTGCCAGGGTCTCGCTGGTTGAACTTGCCACAAGAGCAACGGATTGTGCTTTCATGAGGAAATATGTGGCTTCTTCGACGGGTAATCCTGCGGCTGTTCTTTCTTAGCGATGGTCCTCAAACCTATACATCAAGCGAATGGACTTACCCATTGGCACTACTGCTGCACCAAGTGCGACAATCGCAATAAACCCAACAGTGTACTCGTAGCCTCCCGGTGCTAGCAAACCAATATAAACCTCCTTGTCCTCTGCTAAGTCCCGCAGCGTCTGAGAGCTCATTTGTCGTCTGAGGTGGTTGCGAAACGACAGCACATCGGATATCAGATCATGGTATGTCTTCTCAAAGCCTGCGTTCACGTCTCTGATGGCGACTCTTGGTGTCATGCGCTGCGCATATCGAAGCAGCTTGTGGAACCAAGGCGAATTAGGGAGTACGTTGTCTCCCTCGTGCGAGGGGACGTAGAGAGTTCGATCGCCCATTGTTGATGATATTCACGTTGCGGCCGTTGCTTGTCGACGGAGGAGTGGTGAAATGCTCAGGACCCCACGACTCTCTCTGTCACTGCTGTTTATAACCCATCGGAATCCTCCGCACGATGCCTGCTGCCCGCTGCTTTCTTGAATCGGCTACTTACTCCCCCGCAATCTGCCCCACGCTGCATCCCCAAGTGCCAGTCGGCATTCGGCATTCGGCGAATTCTGGGGGAATCGACGCAAGAGCCTAGGCTGATCAAATGAGGGGGTTCATGTAGGAATCAGAGGCAGTGCAGTATATCAGGAGACTTTTCTCGGCATTGGAGGAAGCTGCCGGCAGAAAGTTCATTTTGGAAGGACTCACCTCGACATGTCCGACTTCACCGACAAGCTTCGTCCAAGCCAGCCAGATGGACCCACGACACTCGCCCACGAGCGAGGACAGTCCAATCTCTCAGTGGAAGAACTCAGTCGGCATCTTCTCTCATCCGATGGATTTCTGGAGCGACAAGCGCGGGTGCTCCCGATCGTGCAGTCAGAGCCTCTTTTCTCGAAAGAGAAACAACAAAACCTGTCTCGACCGGATCGATTCAAGCTAGGCCTCGCCCGCGCGAAGCTACTACGACGACTCAAAGACAAGTATCAATGGAGCCATGACGAGTATAAAATGGCCGAGTACCTGGTGGATGATGTCTCGCCGTACTTTCTACACTTGGAGATGTTCATCACGACCATCCGTGAGCAGGCCAGTGAGGAGCAACGTGCATACTGGATGCCTCTGATCGAATCCTGGAAGATAATTGGTGCCTATGCGCAGACTGAACTCGGGCATGGAAGCAATGTCCGTGGCTTGGAACTGGAAGCACGCTGGGATAGTCGAACCAAGGAGTTTGTCTTGCACAGTCCCACTTTGACATCGAGCAAGTGGTGGAATGGAAGCTTGGGTCGGATTGCCAACCACGCAATTGTGGTTGCTCAGCTGATGCTGCCCAAGCCCGATGCATCTGGTGAATGTGTGTCTCATGGTCCTCATCCGTTCATTGTGCAGGTTCGAGATATGGAAACGAACCTACCCCTAGAAGGAGTGGTGATCGGAGACATCGGTCCGAAATATGGCTATATCACAATGGACAATGCATATATGCTTTTTGATCATTTCCGGTATGTCAACGCTCAACATTACCAAGGATCATGGAAGCTAACTAGCCACCAGTATCCCTCATTCTGCCTTGTTGTCGCGATATTCCAGTCTAGACCCCAATACTGGCATCTACACCAAACCTGAAAAGCCAGCTTTAGTCTATGGCTCCTTGACATACGTTCGCGCCCAGATCGTGCATCACGCCAGACTCGTTCTCGCTCGCGCAGTCACAGTCGCAGTCCGCTACACTGCCATCCGACGACAATTCCAAGATCGAGACGGCGATAAGACCGGACCGGAGATGGCAGTGCTGGACTATCCGACCGTCCAAATCCGCATTCTGCCTCTACTCGCAACGACATTTGCGCTCCATTATGCAGGCCAGGCTATGTGCGCAATCTATCAAAATACACGAAAAGACGTCGAGAAAGGAGATTTCCGTTCCTTGGCGCACATGCATAGCATGTCGTCTGGGCTGAAGAGTCTATGCACAATGCTTGCCGCGGATGGGATTGAGACTTGTCGCCGTGCAATGGGAGGACATGGATTTGGTGGTGGGAGTGGTCTTATCCAACTCAACAACGACTATCTTTCCAAGCCGACTGTAGAGGGTGATAACTGGATGATCAGTCAGCAAGTGGCCGCGTACTTGATTAAGAAGATGACAACTGCGGTTGAGTCCTCAAGCAGTGCTGCCGTCGATGATACTGATGCTCTTTATAAGGAATTTATTCGAAGCCGTCAAGGCGGAGCTACTCCGCCTTCAGACCTCAGTGTGTTGGAAAATGATAGCAATATTGTGAAAAGCTTTGAGCTTCGCGCAACAGCGTTGGTGAGATGCAACCACCAGTCTGCTCAGATTTAGCTGGATTTGAAAAGATTTCTGACTTCAGGTAGACATACGATACTTATGAGCAGCGCGTTCTCAAGAAACGAAGCTGGAACAGTCTTCTAATTCAACTTCATAAGTTGAGCAAGGGTAGGTCATGTTTCCCATCATTGATATTGACAAAGCTGACTATTGCTATTTAGCTCAATCCCAGTCGATCCTGGTAGCCACCTTCTTCGAGGCCTTATCTTCTGATACCTCTCTTTCACCCCCTGTGAAAGACATCATGTGGGGCCTCTTCCGCCTTTTTGCATTCAACACTATGGAGAACGAGAGTTTTGAATGTAAGAAACGGCTTCCTCTTCCTTTTTGAGACTTCTCAAGAGCTGACGATGCCTTGAACAGTTTTCCGCTGTAACGCCGTCGCCAAGTCTGACCTCGATCAGCTTCCAAATCGCGTCCATGATCTAATGCAGAGAATCCGACCACATGCTGTGATTCTGGTCGATTCGTGGATGATTCCCGATTTTCTTTTAGACAGGTATGACACAGCCATAATTCATAAGGCTCTGGAAAGACTAAAAATGCCATTTTCTAGTGCACTGGGACGGTACGATGGCCGTGTGTATGAAGATCTCTACAACAGAGCTCATCGACTGAACCCGCTGAACCGAATTACATTCAATCCAAACTATTGGGAGGAAGAGATTATCAAGGGAAGTGGGGATGATGTGTCAAACGTTTTGTCGAAGCTGTAAATAATATCTAGCGATGGTGTCGACTTGAGTGTTCAGGGCAAAAGGCAATATTGTCCCATGGAACCGGAACGGGAAGGGGTTGTGCTTTCCCTTTTTCGGAAGCATACCATTCTTTAAATGCGCCTGATTTAGCTTAGTATTGAGCGTTCCTTCCACCTTTATGTCGAAGGCACTCGAGTCATATGGGAGACCGTCTGGTCACCAATTCTCGACTTTCAAACAGTCCAGCTTGACCACCGCTGCCAAAAGAAACGCTTAAATCCACAGGAATCACCACAATGAATGTACCAGACGAGAATTGGCTTCTCATAATCGAAGTATTAGTTGATGATGAGCGACTCCGCGTCCAAGATCTCTTGGGAATAAGACTCGTTAACAGTAAGTTGAATGTACATCCTTGTTAAAGAACTCGGCTGATTTTCGTCAGAGCTGTTCTCCGACGAAATAATGAGTCGCTTAATGGTGTCTCGACGTATCGAAGAGCATATTTTCGACTCGCAGATCCACTATCGGCATAACAAGTGGCGACAATACCCACCTGATATCATGCGAAGATATCTCCACCACATGTTCAAATGCTACCCGCAACCAATTAGCATATGGAGCATCTTGATGAGACAGATACTACCGGATGATGTCTCACAATACATGAAAGAGAAGGAAAAAGTTATAGCTGACAAGCTAATCGATGCTTGGATGTATGGGAGCGGCCTATCCTACAATATGCTCACTCCGAGGAAAAGCATCGATAGCGAATACGCGAGGACCATTGGACGCTCCTGCGAGACCTGTGGAAAGTTTCCTGGCTCATGTTATCTTCGCAACGATCATTGTGGAAATGGCTCGTCGTGCCTCGAGGCCGGTCTTCTGGCCAGTGCTGTGATTAGGGGAGATGCCGTCGCACTGAAAAGGTTGATATACATCGGTCTGGATCTTGGGATGTATTGTGAGCGACTGGGTCTGACGCCCATATTCGTTGCGTTCAAGAGGGGAAATGAGGCTATACTGGAAACGTTTATTGGCACCGAACAGTACAATGACGGGGTCTGTCCGTGGGGAGGTTCCAGTAAGCTCCGCATACTTTTGGGCATCTTGGCCCACAGAGGCTGCAAAGTTGGACTTGAAATGTGGATGGATTATAACATATCGGAAATCTGGGACTTGAGTCCCGATAGAATATTTCGCTGTTTCGATATTGCCTTTCGACGGGCGGCAACGGCAGGAAAAGTGGATATTTTGGAGTATATTGAGGAGCTATGCAACATCAAACTCGATCCCGAGCAGATTCTCGATATTCTTTACGAGGTCATTCCGACTGGGAATGTCAATACTGCAAGGTATTTACTCGAACGAGGCCCATTTGATATTACCGACAGACAGACAGGTTATGGGATGGTTTGGAGAACCCTTGACACATGTCCCAGAGCACAAAGAGCAAGCATGATGAAACTTCTTTTGAAGCATGGGGCGGACCCAGATGAGCTCAGACTAGCCAGGGGCAGATTTTTCTGGGAGGGGCACGTAAGAATCTGGCCATACGTGAAAGCAGTGAGAAGAAATAGCTGGGATACGGCGATGGTTCTCCTTCAGGCTGGGGCGACTCGGACCCCGAAATGTCTTCGGGGTGAAGAAATGTTAGGAAAGGTGGTTGTTCCAGAGAGTGCTGCCTGCAGGGTAGATGCTGTCTGGGGTTTTGATGAGTTAAAGTGGGTTCTGCTATACTTCGTCATCCTCTTCATTTTTGGAATTTGCTGTTCTCCCTATTTGGGTATATAGAGTATTTAGAAACATGAGCGTGAGAAATGTCTGATTACTTGGGAGCCGTGGTGATTATGTACAGTATCAAACCAATTAGCTACAACCCTGCAATACTATGGATTATTAATGTAAAGGTATGCAAGGAGATGCACTGAGGATGAGATTGATGCTTCCAAATGTCTCAAGCCTTAGCCATCAGTTTCCAATCCTAACGTTTCAAATCTTTGAATGTACCTCCATTTTAGAAGGTGCCGAACTGGTAAGTGGCAAAGTTGACCACGGGCCCATCGTCAGGTCCAAAGATCTGGTACTGGTCACGACCCCACTGGGGCTGGTTGATGCCATCAATCCAGTCCTCGGTCTCAATGACGAAGCAGCCATACTTGTTGATGTGGGTCGCACCCGAGTCACCGTCCTGGGCCTTGTTGCGCTTGGCCTGCGACTCCTTGGTTGCAATGGTGCCGTTCTGGCCATTGCAGGTGTAGATCTGGAGAGCGGCCTGGTTGGTCGCGACATCCAGAGTGATACCAGTCTTCTCGGAAGTCGCACGCAGCGAGGGGACAACAGAGTTGGCAGCGGCATAGGCGGCCGGGCGATCGACGAGCCAGCAGGTGTCGTAGCCGGTGCAGTCGTCGCCGCACAGGTCGGTAGTCTTCTCAATATCCTTGCCAATCAGCTTGGGCTGACGGAAGTCCAGAGCACCCTCGTAGGCGGTGTCAACATCGAGGAGCTCGCCCGTCGGAATCTCGATGGAATCGGCGCCCACGAAGCGCTCCGACAGCGGCAATTGCAGGGAGGTATCCTTCAGGACGTCGGAGTTCTTGAAGGCATTCAGGTTCCAATAGATGTGGTTGGCCAGCATAATAGGTGTCTTTTCGGTCAGAGCGAGGGAGACCAGCTTTGTGGTCAACTGGGGCAAACCCCTGGGGTTCTCAGCAGACTTCTCGGTCGAGACGCTGAAGGTGGCGTGGGAGATCACATCGCCAGGGAAGTTCTCAAAGCCCTGATCCAACAGGGTGAAGGTGACGGAAGAGTCAGAGTAGGAAGTGACGGTCCAATTGCGCATGTCGTAGCCAATGAAGCCACCGTGGAGAGTATCCTGGCCGCCATTCTCATTCTCAGGGATGTGGTAGGTGTTGCCGTCAATGGAGAAAGTGCCATTCTTGATGCGGTTCGCGTAGCGGCCGACAGTCGCGCCGAAGAAGGTGCGGTTGGTTTGGCTGTCGTGGAGATAGTACTTCGGGTCGTCGTAGCCGACCACGACATCCTGGACGTTGCCGTCGCGGTCAGGGACCAGGACGGAGGTCAGGCGCGCACCATAGGGTATGACCTTGGCGGTGATATTCTCGGCCTTGATTGTGTACTCGCGGAAGTGATCTTCGCTGGCACTTGAGGACGGCGACGGGGTCGAGGGCTGCGAGTACGAAGCTGCAGAGGGCGCGGCATGAGCCAGGGCTGGCAGCCCATACAGGGCAGCGGTGACGTATGACTTTAGATGCATCCTGAAGCCCAATAAGGTGAGTGATGTGAAAAAGAAGAGAGAGTAGAGGGCGAGAAGTCTTGGGGTGATCCGCGCAGGGCACAGGAATGCGCGGAGCCAACCGAGGGGAGGGTGCATTCTAATTATATGGGCGACCAGCTACTACCTAGCTCTCACTATCGTCACCCAACTTTCACTTTCCAACGCTAAGCCGCGCTCCGCATGGCTGCACGCTAGGGGGCGGGGCAGGGGAGCCGGGGTAGGTCCCGATCACGAATTATCCGGCAATGCGATGGGCTGCGGGCGCGGGCCGGGCACAGCGATTGGCGAGATACTCTGGGCCGTGGAGAAGTGGACTGAGGAGAGGAAGATCCGAGCGAAGACCCAAAGGGCTTAGATGCGCCTGAGGCTGGGATTGCTCGAATGTGACCTGGGGAAAACTCCGGCGGAGAGGCATTCCCGACACCAAAACAACACGACATCCCCCAAGGCGGTAGGCCCCCATGTCGATCGCTGACTCAGCTGGCTCGTTCGTTTCTTTGTGGCCAGGACGGAAATGATTTTAATCAAACGCGGCCGATTCACGCCGTTTGCTGGATCGAGCGCATCTGGAAGTCTGACCTAGGGTGCTACCTAGGTGGAAATCGCAGGGGAAAGTCCCCTGAAATAACGGAGCATTCCCCTTCAGACCTCCGGTGCGCGGACTTTTGACTCGTCTCTCAGGAGAAGGTCCCAGCTGCACGCTCCATTGCTTGACCGGCACTAGCTGCAACCACATTTTATTGACATCTTCGTCCGGTACGCGGGCCCCTTGGCCGGCAATGGCTATGCATGGGTCGGATCTCGCATACATGCGAGAGGGCGAGTTACATAAACCGTGGGATGGGTAGACCTTCCAATCAGTACGGTTGCGGCCAGAGCGTGCAAGGTCCTCGGAGCCTTGCCAGTTCCTGTTAGGCAGCAAGGCGAGCTGTAGGTCGTTGGGATCAGCCTGGATTAGCGCATAGATCTGACCAGAGGTAGATCAGCCAGGGCTTGTACTAGCCATGAGAACAAGCCGAACTTTGGACCTTTTGCCATTACAGTTTGCAAGGCAGCGTCTCTTTGTGCGCAGGCATCCTGCTGGGCCCAGCGGGGTCCATGCAATGAGGTTTTTGTTCGCACTGGTCCGCTCACGGGCTGGAAAGGGTCAGAGCAAGTCGAGAGTTGGGGCCAAATTGTAAAAGAGGGGAAGCTCTCCAACCTACCATCGCATCTGTACTTCACGGGCCCGCAGACGCACATTAGTTCCAGTCGGGCACAGCCAATTGACAGGACCTGTCGTAGCATCGTGGGATCGATGGCCGTTGTCGTCATGTCGAATCCAAGTTACTGGTAGGTTGTCGGACCACATGATGTTGCGTGGGGAGCCCTGCCCGGCGAATGGAGTCTAGATCAACAGTCGTGCTAAGGTGGGTGTCAAGCTGCCCGCCGTCAAACTGCTATGCACGTCACCCCCAAGGCATATTCGAGTACCTGCTAGAGACATCTGAAGAGCGCGGTTGATAAGAGTTTCGCAGTCGAGTAAGCGTTCCGGATTTCTAGCGAAACCTTAGGCATCGCACTGTTCACGTTGGCTCACGGACCACGTGGATATACAATCTCATTATAATTATTATGGGACGAAATGCGGGAGTATATAAGCCGACTCACTAATTTGAATTTAAACACTAGAATATCGTACATATTGAAATCACCGAAGGGTATACTATTTCCATAGCCCTGGAGAACTCGCTTTTCCTGTCTTTGGCTTTGGCTTTGGAGACCTCAAAGTCGACCCTTCATATGCCTCGTACACGGTATCCAATCTCAAATGCCTCGGTCCTCCAAGCTCGACATTACCCAATTTCCTGCCCTGACAATCACCAGGCGCGTGGCCAACGCAACCTGATAGATTGTCCAGTATTCTGACATTATCATCACTCTTGGGTATCTTCATCGGAATATGTTCCCTAATCGAGCCGCCCAGCCTCAACAAGCGCAATTGTCTATCGTGGGAAGCAGCTCGCATAATTCCTGCCAGGAATAGCCCGGTCAGGTGGAGCATATCATAATGGACACTAAAATAATTGTAACAGCAACTGGGCTGGTCGTGGTATATAGAAAAGGCTATGGCCCCGGCACCAGTCTGCAACAGACCTTGGTATTTCCAGTAGTGGATTCCGGAGGTAGTCTAGTACCTTTTTAAAAGATAATTCATGGGTTTTGCTAGAGATGTGTACCAACCAAGGTTCAGCGTGCCGAAGGAGTCGAACTCCGCGGTTTGCCACTCTAGCTTCAAATAGCTTCAGTAATGCGTCATTTTCCAAAACCGCGAACCCTCCACATAGCTTTATGATTCACGTTCTGTTTTTAAGCAAAATGACCTGACTGGCAAACATGACTGCTTTTCCATACATATAGCAGAGGTGTGCCTAGCCAAGATCTCAAATATACCGGGATCTCGTCATGAACGCCCCGGAGGTCGATCGAGCATTGGTTCAGCCATGCTGCGATGAACTTTTCCGTGACATCGAAGCCAAATTCAAATTGTCTAACATCCCCAACGATAAATGGTACCTGACGACTTTAAGCACAATCACCACAACCTCGGAACCGCACCTGGCAGATCAACTGTACCTATACCTCATCAGTCAGCCCGACTTCTCGTCTTCAGAATCTCACAAAATGCTGATCCGACGAATTCGAGAGACACTATTCAAGGGTATTGTTCTAATAGGGCTTCCAAAGCCCACCGAGGCCCTGATCGCGATCAGCAGAGTTGAAGCCGAGGACGGTGTCGATCACACCTTTAGCCGCGAAGGTTGGAAATGCGACGAGGAGAATTATGGACGTGGGATGACTTGGCTCAAACAATTGTATCAGAAGAACACGACTGGACTCTTCGATCTATTCAATAAGCATCGGGACTGCGGATTCTGGGTTGCCAATATTGCGTACGGGTCTTCATCTGTCAGACCGACAGATTCTGGACGATGTCGATACGGAGATGGTGGTACTCCCGGCAGTCATGGGCCAAAATCTCCCACGAGAGACATACTGGCACATCAGGGGAGCTCGGCGATTGGGCATCTCGAAGAGGGATGTAGAGAGTGTGTGCATCAGGTGGCTCGATTCTGCGGTGCCGAGTTGGACCGGATTCCTGCTGTGGATACTGTGGATGATGAGCTCTAATTGTAGTTCAAACATAACCGTATTTTGGAATAAAGCGCCCGCTAGACCATGGCCAGATAAGAAGAGGCAGAAAGAGTATACCCTTTCACTCTCAAATATCGACCGTCTTTTGCCCGTTTGTCTCTTACGCACAGCTGTTCCCAATAAATCCCTAAAGGGGTAAGTGTATGATTGTATAATCGGCTCGACAAGAAGAAAGAACTGAATGTTTACGCAAAGCCTACCCTAGGTTGTTCATTTAAGACGCCCATGAGGAAATAAACTTCACGGGGAGTTACTACTTCTGTATGCAGGATTACCCTTTCTGGAAGTTCTTACGTAATCATGATCGGTCGAGCGTCTCGTGCCGCTTCGGGAGACTTGTTTACGCATTGCCCCGCTGTTGATTTCGCTATTGTACAGATTCGCTGGTCGTTTGGTGGCCATTGTCCCTTCATAAACAGCGCATTCCACGGGGTGCGCTCCCTCCACGCCCCCTCGCGGCACGCGTGCCGAGATTCCATCGCACCGAGTCCGCCATGTCCGCCACTACGCGGAGTTCGAGCTCCTCCCCCGATATCCTAGGCCCGCCAGGCGATGCCGATTACCTCATTTCGTCTCCGATAAAACCCTTTACCGGTCGCCAAAGCGTATACTCCCCCGCCGTCACCGCGCGCAGACAAACACCGGCCAGAGGAACCCCAGCCAAGCGACCACGCGTGAGCCTGAGTCCCGCGAAGAGCGCGCATTCAATCCGATTCGACGATGTGCTGCTACCTGGATCGCCTACAATGAAACTCGAGGGTCGCCAAAGGTCGCTTTCTCCGCTGAAGGATCAACAGGATGGGAACGTGAGCCCATGGCGCATTCGAGTTACACTTGAGGCGACACAAGACGAGGAAAACCAAGGCGAAATGCAGGCCAGTCCGTCGCGCAAACGGCGTCGTCCATCTACCGTGACCACAAAAATACCCTTGAAAGATGATCGGAGTCCGCTAGCGGAAAAGACACCTTCAAGACCGCGTGGGCGCCCACGGAAATCAGACACGAAGCCACTGAATGGATCGCCGTGGCCAGCAGCCAGCCCGGGGAATACACCAGGGCGCCCAGGAGCGACACCAATGAGAAAACGAGGAAGACCACCCAAGGGCACGCCGAGACCAAGTTTACAGGAAATACATGTCGATGAAGATGAGACAACGCCAGCGCCCGTGTCGCAGCCGATCCCTTCGCTTGAGACCGAACCTGAGCCTGAACAACATACCAGCCCAATGGATATTGCCCCGGATGGGGCCACCGAGCCACTTCAAAGAATGAGCCCCGTCAATATTGCTGGAAATGATGGCTTCGACAGCGATTCGCTGGGAGCGGACGATTTGCCCATCGCAGATCTTACAGGGCCATTCCAAGCATACGGGGAGATTTCCAACGGCAGTGCCAATCGTGGGTATGGCAGAGCCACATATGATACTCCTATTATTGGAGCATCCGAGCACCACTTCTTGGACAACGAGGAGAACATCCACTCGACACCGTCTAAAATGCCATCGCCAACTCGAGAGAGGCGGTCTTCTTCGGTCAGGTCGGTACGCGAAGCCCCCGTGCCCTCGGCGCCTTCGTCCACTCGTACATACCCTACTCCGACTCCTACTTCTTCGCTGGCCGAGGAAGAAAACCAAGCTCGGGGGGGCTCCTACGAACCTCGAGCCAGAACACTATCATAAACCTCAATCCGACCCATTCATGGAACCGACAGACGACCACGAAGAATTCGACTCGATCATGGAGAGCGAGGGCTTCACAATGGTTTCTTTGGACACTCTTCCTTCTGCCCAGCAAATCGGCCTCGGAAGCCACGCCAGTAGGGCCTCAGATAATGCCGCCAAGGTGCTACAAGATCGAGACAATGGGAAAATTGGAGATCGATTGAAACGCAAACTCCCTGGGGGAATCACTGATCTTCGAAGCGAACACAGCTCGGCGAGAGCGAGCCCAGCAGTCAAGGAATTTTCTCCGGGCTCTCTTCTTCGCTCGCGCCAGGAAGGGAACCGTTCAGTCAAGCCACCTCCCGCGAATGATTCTCCAAAACGCCAGTTTTCGTCACCTATCGGCCGGCAATCCAAAAATGCGGGCAAACCATCACCTCAGCCTGTTTCTTATCCTGATCTTCCTCCGACATCTTCACCCGCGAAGCACAGGCCCAGCTATAGATCTGAAGAACAATATGAGGATGAGGAAGAAGGGGATGAAGGCCAATATGAGGGCGAAGATGATGAAGGGGTATTTGAAGATTTTGCTCCCAAGAATGAAGCAGTCGTCTTAGATGATATTGAAGAGGAGGAGGAAGATGTAGAAGAAGTGGATGTTAATGAAGAGGAGGATAATGAGGAAGAGGATAATGAGGAAGAAGTGCATATTGTACCTCATTCATCCGAATTCGAGCAAGCGCAATCACCCCGCGACCAGGCTTTTTCTGCAAGATCACAGCAAGAGGCACGATGGCATGAAGAGCGGTTGAATGTCAGTCGCCATGCTCAGAACGCTGCTGATTCTAATCGCATGATCTACATCGACAGCGATGAAAATGTCTCGGACGAAGAAAGGATCCAAAGCAACGATTTGGCCCATGACCGATGGCAGTCGGATGTCGAGTCTGTGGTTGACGAGGAAGTCGAACAGCCTGAAGAGCCTGAGGAGCCTGAAGAGCTTGACGAGCCGGAGGATATTGCGGGACATGAAGACCGTGAGCAGTCTGAAGGACCCGAAGGGCTGGGGCCGGATGATGAGCCAGCGACTCTTTCTGAACAAGACGTACCCGAAGACATTGAACGATTCAAAGAAGAGGATTTAGACGGATTTGGGGAGTCTGATCAGGATAGGCAATCGAAAACAAAGCCCGTTCCCTCCACTTTCATTGACCAGAATCGAACGGTACAACGGGAAGCATCGGAAGATGTCGACGACGGATACGACGATATCTGGCGCCAGGAACCTGAAAATTCAAGATCAGAGCACAGACAAGCCAGGGAGCCCGAGCAACCCGCCAATCGCGCATGGGCAACGGAGTATGACGAAGATGACGCCTTTGATGATATCTGGCAGCAAGAAGCACGCGACAACAGCTACCTTTCACAGCAATCCGATCATCGTGCGCATCAGCCTGTTGAAGAGGCTGTCAGTCCTTGGAGAGAGATTGCTGAAGATTCATCCAATCAAAACCGTCTAGGCTCGTCTCCAGCTTATGTCAACCTTGAAAAGTACGATTTGCGCCATCTGAATCCAACACAGATCCGCAAACTGCGTGAGCGCGAGGTTGATCTATCCGCTCTCCTCGCGGCCGATGATACCCCAAACCGTGCTCGCTATTACAACGGAACAAGCACTCCACGGAGTATCCTAAGCCGTCATTCCGCGGCGCAGCATTCGTCTGCTAGCAAAAGTAGCTCGCACAAGCCAGAGAAACGAGTTCGTCTGCAGCCATTGTCTCAGTCGCCAGAAAGAGAGCCTGAGGCCGAGCAAGAATCGCCTGTCTTCCGGCATAATTACTCGCGTCAGGAGTCTTTACCTGACGAGGTTCATGAGATCGGTAGCGCTTCCGATGGGGGCTCTTTCGAGGATGAACCTGCCGAGGGTATGACTACTACCCCAAGGCGCCAAAGCCAGCCGGATGTGGAACCTCAGGGATCAACCTGGTTCCAACGGATCACTAGCCTCACTCCCAGATGGCTCAAAGCGCCCAACCAGGCAGATGATGACGAATCCAGCGAAGCCTCCCAGGACGAACATGTGGAGGCTTCTGATGAGGAGACGGAGGATGATCAGGTCGACAAAGGAGAACTTTCGCTTCAGTCCCCACAAGAACATCATCAATCGCATGAAGACACTCCACGCTCTCATCGTTCAAGTGAATCGCCATTTGTGTACCAAAAAACTCCGGCATCAGCGAAACCAGCAAACTCACGACAAAGATACGAGACAAGTCAAGTGCGTTCTCTCGAAGCAGACGACGAAGCATCAGATGATTTCGAGCGGCGTGCTTCGGGCGATGCCGCGGACGAGCTTGTGGGGCTGGACGAGGAAGCTCACGACAGGCCCAAAGGTCCGAGACCGCTCGCGGTGTTTGGTTATTTCTCAAACGAGCATTACTTGGCTCTTCGGCGTATCTACCGAATGGCAAAGCGCCACCCCGGGCGCCTCCCCTATCACAATGCGCCTGGACGAGCCCAAATAATCGGCGACTGGATCTGGACCTCAGATGGCCTCCATGGGGTTCCCATCTCCGAAGCGCAGTTTGCCATTATCGATCGATTTGTACAGGAACTCTCGCATGCTGATGTACAGTACGGTGGATCGGGCCAGGTCGAGTGGACAGATGCTGACCTGCACCGGAGGTTGATAAGCATCATCATTGGCGAACAAATCCGAGAAGAGCGAAAAGTCCAGGCGAACCGCGGGGCTTCTGTCGATACGTGGCGATGAACAAATACTATGTTGAAGAACTTGCAATGGTGTCGGTGGTTTGTTTTCGAAGCGGCTTTTGTTTTTATCACTCCCTTACGGTCATTGGTCTAAGAATTTGTACTGGAATACCCTGAGTCTGCATGGAGCTATATCTGCTTTTTTTTCCTTGTTCCTTCTGTTGAAAAATGAACTCGACTGGCTTTACTGGCGTTTCTGTACTTAAGTTCTCAATCCTGTTCTCTGCAATTGAACATGTCCTCGAACCCTTGGGAGAGCGATAGTCGCCTTTACCGCGTTTACCCTACAGTAGTCGTGTACATTCCTGCAACTGTGCCAGGTGGAGGTCCTAGCGAACCACGCCCAACTCATGCACTGCGATTCCTTGTTTTTCCGAGAAAGACGTTGGTGGCAATGTATAGATCAGATCGAAAACAGAACCTCCGCCGCCAAGACATTCTACTTTGAACCGTTGACTCGCGACTTCCATTTCAACTGCCCAACTCAACACACTTTTCTCTTAATATACTCCTCCTATCTTTATTGCCAAACTACATCATGTACGACTGCTTGCGTCTTCAGATACACGAGCGCTATCCTCGGCCTGGCTTGAGTTGCAGTCTCGACCAACGCTGCAGACCAGCATCCGCCGGACCAACCAGAAGACCCCGGGGTACTGATGTCTCGCGAGTGGGCATCCAAGCAAAAGACGTGTCTGAAGTCCACCGGGCATATTCCCCACTCGTGCGAGCGCCTCCTGCACCCTCGTTTTCGTTTGGCGGGTTGTCGGCCTGAGTGCAAACCAAAGTACAACCCATCGGGACGAACCTGGGCATATAAGTCTGCCCTTAGCAGCTTGTCGGACTACATGCAAGATAATATTATCTTGATTCAATTTTACTTGGTACCTTTTTGGAGTTTTTATGTTATCCATGTCCCACTCGTCTCATGTCGGTCCTTACTCTCGTCCATCGCGCCTTACCTTTCACCCTCTCCAAGAAACGGCGCAAGTCAACCAGTAGCGGCTCAAGCAGGGGCAAAGAAAAAGTGACTGAAATCGAAGCCTCTACCCCATACCATGACTCACGTGATGAAATTCAAATCGGCACGCTGCACCGTGACGTCTCCAACGCCCTGCATGTAGCGGTGAAGCAAGACCCAGGCCTAAACCCTCGCACAAACGACTCACGGAGGGAACAACCTGCATCCGCATCTGCATCCGTCTCGGATTCGCTCTCAATCTCCGACCACGAGGCCCACCGGCTCGAGGAGAAGTGCGAACCTTCTGCACGATCCCGGCTTGCTCGCGTGGTGAGCTGGGCGAGTATTGTTGGGAGTCAGTGTCGGTGGACAAGTGAGCAGGAAAAGGAGCTTGCGCATGCCCGGAAGCAGCTTGCGAGATGCCAAAAGGCTTGGAGTTCGGAGCAGGAGTTGTGGCTGGCTCATGTACGTTGCTTGTCTCTGTTCTTTCTTTCCATTTGGAAAATCAAATATGGTATTCTAACGTTTGCCTTTCTTTTAAGATACAAGATCTGAATGAAGAAAAAGAAGCGCACGACGGTTTCATGCTCTTACGAACAAGGCAGCAATATGAAGAGCAGCAACAATTCCGCAAGGCATGGAAACGACGCCGATCGTTGGAAAATACTCTGGAGCTTAATAGCCCAACATTGAAAAGAAACGACAGTATGATGAGCAGACTTCGGAGATTGCAGCGTCAAGGATACATGGGAGCTCCTCTGGTGACAACAGATTCGACTGTATTAGAATGTCGAGGCTGATCGACCTTTGAAACTGTTCTTTAATACTACCTTATACTTGCTTATACATAATGAAATACGATTTTAATCCCATTCTGAACTGGGTTTTCATTGGTAAATCTGGATACAGGTTTCACTTAAAAACAGACATCTTGTGCTTCCCCTCCTCCACCGGATGAGGCCATTTGCGGAACATATCAGCAACCATATCCACCGGCGCCGTCAAAAGGCCCACAGCAGTCTCAAAAGGCGGCTTATTGGGTGCTAGTGGATGCGATCGAGACGGGACGAACATCTTTGTCCGGTCGAATGCGTGCGTCAACGCCTCACTATCCTCCTGCGAGAGAACTGCCTCCAATCGCGCAAAATCAGCCTCCTCCGTACGAATGTGATTCTCCAAATCGCCCATCAGCGCCTGGAGTGTCGGTACAAAGCGCGGATCTGTAGATCGGAGGCCCTGGAACATCTTCAATTGCTCTTTCAGATCCTGGTGCTCGGCTCTATTCTTATCGGCTAATGCCTGGCCGTTCTTAACGTATTCCGCTAATGTTGGGTAAGCGACAAGCTCCTCGCCTATAGTGTGGCGAGCCAGTTCCCAGGTAAATTGATTTTGGTAGCGGGTTTGCTCATCTGGGCTTGTGGAATTGATGATTTTGCGGCTGTGGGACTCGAGTTCGCGGTGTTCGTGCTTGATAGCGGCGAGGATTCGGACATGGGATGTTGGCGTGGCGGCGGCATCGGAGAAGGTTCGTAAGGGTGGACTGATGCTTCTCAGAAATGGGTAGTCTGAGGATCCGAAGGCTGCTGTGTATGTCGTGTCGGAGGCTCGTTGGGATGCTGTCATGATAGCGAAGCTGGGGCGACAAGCTCGGAAAGCGGAATGGTGATGGAAGGGTTTTATGCGTTTGTACATATGGCAAGCCTTGAATTGAGACAGTACTGATTGTGACTATCAAAGAGCGCTTGAGGATGAACTATTAGAAAGACATTTGATTGTCGGTCGTCGGTTCCGCCACTGTCATCATGATGATTTTCATTTCTCCACGCCGAAGAGTGGCTGATTGATGGCTGATTGAGGCAAAAGCGAAGGTGGCGATTTATCTCCCTTGCCATACAGACAATTGCTTGGATCTATGCTATCTCTAATAGCTAGGTCCTAAACCTGAACTATAGTTAAGAAGAAATAAGCACAAACTGTTCCCGAAAGTCTGCGGTTCCTTCGCTCCAGCACCATATCTACATCATACCCCTTTCTAAAACACCAGCTCTCTAGGCTGCGCCGTTCCAATCACATCAGTGAATCACTCTCGTGCAAGGTTCTGACCCGTGGTAGGCCTACCAACTAGTGGCTCTGCAGCCAAGAGAAACACTCCCCCCCTTCCAAGAGATTAGTACTGGTATGCACCACATCTCACCACATCCACCAAAGTCACTCTCAATCCTCCTTCAGTATCTAGTATCCATGATTCCAATAAGTAATATACCGTGCATGCGTATCCAGACCAATAGTTGCTTCATTTCCCAGACCCATTAAAAACCGGGCAGGGAAAGCGTTCGTTAGGCTTGTTCCGAGATCTGCTCCAACGATCTCAACGTCGCATTCTTGTACTCCCTGCGTCGGAAAAACACGCGCTTAGCCCATTTCCAAGCTTCAACACCCAGGAAAAAAAGAACAGCCTCGACAGCAACAATACCCCATTCCCAGGTAATAGGCTTGTGCTTGAAGACAACGTCATTCAAGACCGGGATATAAAGAATAGGAAACATAGTAATCCATCCAGCCATTATAGACCAGAAAAGGAACTTGTTCCGCCAAACATCATACATCCACTGAGTGAAATACTTCGTAGATTTGGGTTGCATGCGGAAGAAAGACCGGCGCATGTTAACCATTTCCCACGCAAGAAATAGTGCGAACCAAGTAAGGCACACGAAGGTTGTTGCTCGGGCTCGGAAAACCAGTTCGCAATCTTTGATCTCCTCTGACCATTCCTTGTTGCAGCCGCGGGCGAGATTACCGTCGCCAAATCCCCACATCCGGACAGAGAATGCCGCGAGACAGAGTGCTGCGGTCCAGAGGCCGTAGACCACGATGTCGATAATTACTTCCCAGGTGAAGATTCCTTTTTTGCTTTGCGGGGGACGGTCCATAATGTCTGGCGTGGCGACTTCCATTCCCAGTCCCATGTCCGGCATGCCGGAGGTGATCATGATAATCCAGAGGATTTCGACTGGGGAAAGAGGGAAGACTGATTGATTGTCTGCGTCCTTGAAGGCTAGGCCGATGAGTAGGGTGCAGGCTTGTGCGATGTTTTCGGAGAGGAGATGAAGCACGAATTTCTGAATATTGTCGAATATGCGACGGCCTTCTTCGACGGCGTTGAGAATTGACGCAAAGTTATCGTCGGTGAGAATGATATCAGACGCATCTTTCGCTACGTCGGATCCGGCTTGTCCCATCGCGATGCCAACGTCTGCATGCTTGAGCGAAGGAGAATCGTTCACACCGTCGCCGGTCATGGCAACGAAACGGCCTCGACGATGAAGGGCGTCAATCATGCGGACTTTGGTCTGTGGGGTGCAGCGTGCAATAACTAAAGGGAGTGTTGGAAGAGCATCGATCTGCTCGGTCGTAAGTTTATCGAACTGACCGGCGGTCATGACCATGGCGTCCGCGACATCGGCTGCCACGGAATTAAAGTCTGGTAGAATTCCAACTTGTTGAGCAATAGCTTTGGCGGTGCCAGGGTGGTCCCCAGTCACCATGTGAACTGTAACGCCAGCTCGGTAGCAAGCTTGAATCGAGGCTGCGGTTTCCGGACGCGGTGGATCATATAGACCGATTAATCCCAGGAAGCATAGATCTTTCTCGACACTTTCGCGCTCTAGATCAGCTCCTTCGAGGATTTGAGGTTGATCAGTGTATGGGCGATGTGCCAATGCCAACACTCGTAGGCCTAGCTTGGCAAGTTCTTCCATGTTTTGGAGAATCTGATCGCGATGGTCTTGGGTCATTGGGACTGCCGTGGAAGAATCTTGGTCCCAAATCACTGAGACGCAGGACTCGATGACACGCTCGACTGCACCCTTAGTGAAAACCATAGTACGATTGTCCTGGGAAGTCATCTTGCTGAAAATCACGGACATTTTCTTCACAGTCGAATCGAATCCAAATTCAGCTTTTTGAAACCATGTTGCGCCCTGACCTTTGGTCCAGCGGTCCCGATTCCAGTTGAAGCGGGAAGCGAAAACTTGGATGGCAATTTCCGTGGGTTCCCCTCGGACTTTCCATTCGCCTTCTTCTTCAGACTTGTAGACATGGGAGAGGTTGGCCATAGACGCCACATCCAAGAAGTCTTCGAGCTGGCGATTTCCTGCGACCAGATTCTCCGGATTCTCTGCGGGTGTATGTTCCTGGCTATCGTTGAAATCGCGAGGCGATAAGGGAGTAAATGCGACAGTTCCAACAGTAGGGTTGAACGGCTCGTTAGAGGTACCGACTGAATATGTTCCACGAGAGGGAATCCAAGCCTTTTTAACAACCATCTTTCCCTGCGTCAATGTCCCAGTCTTGTCCGAACAGATATCAGTGACCGCACCCAAGGCTTCTAGAGAATCGAGCTTGCGGACAATAACATTCCGCTCAACCATGCGCTTAGTCCCAACTGCCATCGTGATGGTAAGGACAACCACCAAACACGCCGGAATCATACTGATACCCGTCGCGACAGCGTACATGATCACTTCAGTATTGCTACTGAAAAGGTTTGCGGCCATGCAGACGATCGCAAAAACCACAGCAACCCCGAAGAGTAAGCAGGCTAGTTTGGACAATTTTCTTTGCAAGGGCGTTCCGATGTTGACACCGAGGAACCGACCTACGGCGTCTGTTCCAGTCAATGTCCAGGCTAAAGCATACCATCGTCTTTTGACCTCGCCGTTTGGACCGCGCTTGACTGGACGACGCTTGCTATCGCTGGCTCGGAGTGCGAGAGCGATAGAACCGATTTCGGTGGCCATGCCTGTGCTCACAACCACACCGCGAGCACGTCCACGCGTGACAGTGCTCGAGCTGTAGGCGATGTTGAGTCGATCTCCAGGGCCGGTGTCCTCCTTGAAGATGGCGTCATATTCTTTCTGGACTGGAAGGGACTCGCCAGTGAGCAGAGCCTCGTCGGTCTCGAAGTTGACTGCTTCGACAAGACTGCTGTAGTTAGCAGTTGCTTGGCAGTGTCTTTCAATTTTCCTAGCATAAAAATCACAGAGCTCACTCACCGAATATCAGCAGGAATAGTATCCCCCGTCCTCAACTCAACCATATCACCAGGAACAATCTCGGCAGAAGGCACAGAGATAGTCTGCCCACCTCTGGAAACAGTACCAGTCGGCGACGACAACGAATGCAACGACTCCATCGTTTTTTCAGCAGCATATTCTTGGAAGAACCCGACAATGATATTAAGGATGATGACAGCGGAGATGACACCACCCTCGATCCATGACTGGATCCCGAAGCTAACTGCCATGGCGAGAATGAGCACCTATATCTCAAGACAAAAAATTGGATCAGAGTCACAGAGCTCTCAAGACACGCAACCTGTGGAAGGTGCCTTTATGGGGATAGTGGATCTTTACTAGCATCATTGCATTGGCGACCTGGCGGACCAGGATTTTGATCACCGAGACGCCTTCATCTTCGTCGAGTTTGTTTGGCCCGTAGTCCAGCAGTCGCTGCTTGGCTTCTTCTGGACTTAGACCGTCGTCTAGTCCCGTGCCCAGTTCCCTGATCACGGCTTCGTGGGTGAGCGTGTGGGCTGGTTGGGTGAGGGGACTTGCGCCGGACACGCGGTCTGGGGCAATTTTGTGCTTCTCGCTTGCCATGGATTTGGTGGTGGTGGACAATGTAGGCTTCGACGTTGAATTTTGGTGCTTCCTGTTACTGCAATTGAGTTGAGAGCTGAGCAATACTCAGACAGCGGGCTCGGATACTTTTTTGTTCTCACGGCGTTCGCATGAGGTCGGTGTGGCGAGTCGGCCAAGGCCTTGGCGCCGAGATGTTGTTCTTGGATCGCGCTCTTACCCTCGCGGCCATAGGGCAAGACTTGGTAAATATCATGTAATATGATCGAGAGAAGGGTCTGGCAGCTTGGATAGGCTGTAGAGGGGGGTCCATCTGCCCCCACTCGGTTTTGTAGCTCTGCGGAGTGGGTCCGGGGGCATCAGATACACAGCGAGAGCATTCCAATAGGAGTGTATCTGAGTATCGTTTGTATCTGTATCGTCTGTAGACCAGACCAGACAGGGAAGTTCCCTCTCGTTTATACCATTAACAGCGATCTATTTAGCCCAGAAAGGCCCCCGTCGTATATGCGTGTCTACGTGCTGGTTGAGGCATTGGCACTCCTGGGCGCCAAGCTCTGGGCATACATCTGAAGGCGGTATCGGAGGCTCGAAGATCCCGGTCATTGATGCTGCACCAAGAAGGCAATGGTGAAATTATTTCATTAAAGACAATCTGCCAAGAGGGCGTTAATCGCGTATACCAATTTCAAAATCAACAAGACCATCCATTAGGCCAAGAATCACCAAATGCAAATAAAATCCAAGTGCTCACAACTCGCAAATGCAAACAAAAAATCCAATCACATCACAACTCCTTCAGTTAATCTATCCAAAAACCAATGCCCTGACCTCAATGCTCTCGCGCACCCTGGCCCCCTCGGGCGTCCTAGGATCCCAAAACGCAGAATGAGGCACCCACTGCTTAACCTCACCCCCCTTCAACCCCTCAGAATCCGAGCACTTCAAAAGTAACCACTCATCACTCGTCATACCCGACCAATAATGCCACTCCTGGTCCGGATTGTATTTCACCCCCATCGTCTCACCCGTCCGATTCGGATACCGATGCTGAATGGGAACCAGATCATTCCCGTCAACCGATTGCGCAGACGCAAATGCCAACGGTGCAGATTGAACCGGTTCACTCGTCAGCGGTCGCCAGACATTGATTATCCGGTACCGGCCTGCGAGTAACTTCTCCGCCTCCTCTGGGTCGGAAACGTGTAGTCTGACTCGATCCGCCGCCGCGCGAGGCGTTTGATCCACATGTGCGCGATTAACAGGCTGCCGCGGTGCACCCTCTTTCTGGCGGCGAATTGTATGGTCGAAGAGGACTATTTTGTGTGCCCCCGGGACGTGTGTGAGGAGGAGGGACTCGACTTCAGGGTAGTAGATTTCGCGGACGGCGGCGTCTGAGTCGAAGGTGTCGTAGGTTGTTTTTGTGGGGATTTGTGAGAGGGCTTGGAAGGCGTCTTTGTCTAGGTTGAAGTTTTGTTCGGAGCCGCGGATGTCCGTTAGAGAGACATTTTGAGTGTGTTCGAGGTAGTTGCGTTGGGGTTCGTTGGCTGGTGGTGTTTCGACGTAGTTGAAGGGGCACTGCCGTCGGTTGGTGGGGCGTAGAAGGTTAATTCGGCTTTTGTTGGGCCTCGTGGAATGTAGCTTGGTGCTGTTTCAGTCGTGGTGGTTGTTGTCGACATGGTGTATACTTCAGCTACCAGTAGTATGTATGGTTATGTATGGTGTAGGAAGTATGGAGTGGAGTATGCGAAAAGCGAGGATCGAGGATCCACCACCTGTATGCGAGTATGTGATGCTTTCTTGAGGATGCAGAACGAAGCACTGGCAAGAAAAGCCAGGTTTTATATGCTGTGCCGTCGAGTCAAAAGTGTCCGAGGCGTGATGAATTAGTGAGCAGACGGTTAATCGGCTTCACCTGGCGCATTTGTCATCTCGGAGAGATTTGCGGCGGCGACCACTCATTGCCCTACGAATGCGCGATGACCCCATTTCTGACTGCGATCACCTCATTGTACTTACTTGGTATAGCCAATGTGCAATATTTCCCCACTATTTTTACCTAAATTCATTGTAGTCAAGTCAGTCGTGGTAGTCAACTTGGTGCTACTACATGCAATGGGAGTGACGACGAAGCGGGTGGCGTCATACCGAGGTTCAGATCTACACTTCATGGTTTGCTAGGTATACTCGGTCGAAAGGGACGCCGACTACGTAGAAAGTAAGAGAAAAATAAATCAGATCGAGCTCATTTGATTATCCAGCTCACAACTCAGAAAAAGAATATTGGCACATGAGAATTAGAAAACTAACGCCGAGCGCCCCCTCATTGTCACCCACGAAACCTCATAAATACAAAAAGAAACGACCGATTCCGATGGCACCTATTCCCTCCCGAACAAAAACAAAACGCTAAGGACGGCGCGAGGAGCCTCGCGAAGCAGTTGGGCTGAAGGGCCTCAGCTAGTGGTGCCGGGTGCGCTTGCTGCTTCGCTCGCGCTCCATGGTGATGGAGGGGAACATCTCCGGTCCCGCGTGAGGTCGGGCAGGCTGGAGTTGGATGTTCATGTGGGGTGGGAAATCGGGGTGAAGAGAGGAAATGCGGCCTGGGTTGGCCGGGTGGCCGTCGACCGGGTCCGAAGGGAGCGGCGAGGTAACGAGCTCGAGCAAGGCGGTGTCGATCCAGCCCGCCGGTTTGGTGGCGTGTAGACGATCGAAGCGCGACGAGTCGTCGTCGGCCTCTTCGTTCAGCAGTGAGGTGAGCTGCGGCGCATTGCCATTTGCGCGGTGCTGGTGGCCTGCAAGGATGTGGTAGGGGATGCTCGGGCGTGTGGCGGGCTTGTCGGCCAATTCGGCCAGGGCGCTGAGAGCGCTGTGCGCAGCGGTGGTGCGAGTCGACCGCGTGACGTGGAAGTTCTGACTGGCCGTGCGGATCATGTCCGTTGCGCTGGGCGTGCCATTGTCTTCGTGGCCAGTGTGGTCGGGGGTGTCCTCCGCATCGGTGTTGTTGCCATTGGTCACGGCGCCGGAGCCCTGGTCGGCGCGCTTGGAGGTAGAGAAGAAGTGCACGGTTGCGACATGTGCCTGGTTGGCATGGGCGCCCAGCTCCTTGTCGGTAAACAGAGAGTTCATCGAGTAGGTAGGCGCAATCTGCTTCTCCAAGTATGCCTTGTTGCGCTCGGCCGGAGTCGTGCCGCCCGCGTCCCGCACGGGAGATCCAGCATCCTCCTCGGGCGCCTTGCGCTTGCGCTTGTTCAATTCCGAGACAATTCCATTTCCCAACTCGTCCAGGTCCACGCGGTGTCGGGTGTGGCGGGTCTTGCGGTTGCTGCCAATACCACCGGGGCTAGCGGGGTTGGTAATGCTGAACTGGTTTGGGTGGAGTAGGAGGGCGTTTGTATCGGCGATGTCGAGTTGTTCCTTCTCGCGCATGAGACGGCTTCGCTTGCTCGTGATGTTCTGCATGAGACGCTCGCGAAGGGTTCCAGACAGCTGGTTGAACTCTTCCTTGGCGAAGTGCACTCGCCAGTCGTATTCTTTCCAGTGTCGGTCGAGGCTATTTTGATGCCGGTTCTGTGTCACGAAAATCACGTCAGTATGGCCATTCCTTTGTAAATTTGATTTTGACAGAGGGGATAATTACCATGACTTGTGTGAGCTCCGAATCCTTCTGCTCCTTCACGTTGTTCACCTCCTGTACAAACTTGGCGTACCAAGTACCCGACAAACTCGCCATCTCCTTAGCGAACTTGCCACCACCAACAGTATCCTCAATCAATTGCGCAATATCCTCGGATGAATCCGGCAGGAGACCATCCTGGTAAGGGTCGGCGTTGTTGATGAGGGTCATATCGCATTGCAGCGAGTGAAGCTGCTGGCGGAATTGGGCGTCGCGGTTCTGGCTGAACATGGCAGTCAGATCGTGAAGACGCTCTTGCAGCTGGGATCGTCGCTTGTCGCGCTTCGTCATCGTACTCGGTCCCCCACCAGTCGGACTCGTGGAACGTCCTCGCTGTAAACCGCCATAGGCGGGCCCAGTGCCGGGCGACAGGGGCCCGGGAGAATATGCCATGGATTCGGAAGAGTGTACGATTTCAGAAAATTCGAGAAACAGGTTGGTGGAGAGCAGAGGTTGTCTGTCGAGCCCACGGGGGAGAATTCGAGCAATGTATGTGCAATGTGGTGTGCAGTGAATGAGTAGACCGGCCTGTCGTCAGAAAAGCGGATGGTATTGTCCGGCTCAATGCGGTTAGGGCCGGGGCCACATTTTTCCGTGCCCAAGTACTACTGGCCGAGCTTTGGCCCGGCTCATTCACCCAGGGGGACAAAGGCGGTCTGTTCGAAGACATCTCAAATATAACCTGCCGCATTTGTAGTGACGTTTGGAGGAAATTTATAGTTGTGAATTGGCGCCTGTTACATGCGCACAGCCTGGGACTGATTGCTGAACAAAACAGTCAAGCAGGACGGAACGTTCGGATTTACCCTTGGAGACCATCGCTTGTCTGTGCTCGAAAATCAATAGCTTGGAGTATTCATGAATGAGTTGACGTATGGCGGAGACGAAACAACCCGCCCAGATGTCAAGCAAACAAGTCGGTGAAGCACAGCTGCCTAATGGTGCCTAATTACCCCGAGTTCTGAGATAACGGCAGACTAACGATACGGCAGCTTCGGCTCGCTCCACTCGGGACTATTAAGAAACAGGAGATCTACGAGGGTTCTCTGAAGCAATTCTAAATAATTTTGTGTATTGGATTGCACCACAAATAATTTATATCCATTACCAAGAAAATATTCATCAATTCTTGATCGCCAAAGGGAAAAAAAAAAAAAAAAAAGTCCAACATCATGGGTATTCACGTTCGTTTCCATCCCGCCAAAGCAAATGCAGGACGGCGCACATCACGGCCGAAACCTTAAAAAGTAAAGCAGACATCAGTCACTGACCAACTCCAGGGACACATGCCAGAGGTCCCGTATATGAGAATCATTTTTTAAAACACGGTAAGGCGTTAAAAGGAAGGTGGGTGAGAAAAGAAAGAATTTTAGGGGGTGAGAGTCGCTCAAGTGAAACAGGGAGGGTCAAGGTCACGCCAGAGAGTTGGTCAGTGGGTTCGTCGGATTACGAACACGCCCAGCTCGACACCGTCGCGAGGATTGTCGTCGCCGTAGGGTCGTTTCCGGATTCCCTCGAAAATTTCACTGAGGAGCATGGCCGAGGTGACTTCCTTGTCGGCCATCATGCCTCCGGAGCCACCAGTCTTGACGGGCGGACGACGACCATTTTGCCAGTACAGGCTGAGGACTTCCTTCATCCGGGCCTTCTCCTGGTGAAGGAACCACTCGACCCAAAGGTTGCGATCCAGGTCGGCGTTCGCTTTGCCGGCGTCGGCCACTTCGAACTGCGAGGAGGGCGAGCTCAGGGACTCACACAGAGTGACAATGTTCGCCTTCATTGTGGCAAAGTCATCCATCTGGGAGACTGTCGACAGCTTACCCAGATAGCGACCGACGTCAGCGGAGAGCCCGTTGACCACGACGAGTTGTCGCAACAGCGGGTCGAGGATTGGTCCCAAATATTGGGACTTGAAGGTGGAAGCACCCTTCTTGGTGGGGTAGATGAAGAGCAGCGAGCCTCCATTCGGAGACAACTCGCAGAGTCGGTCGACAAGGAAAGAAGGGCGGGTGCGACAGAACAGATCTCTATATTCCTGTGCAGAGGGCGGGGGAAGGTATCGCTCTAACACGGAGATGTGAACGCTGTGCGGAGGGACAATAGGCATCGGGGCGTGAGACAGCTGTCGCTGCAGAGGACCACGGAAATCATGGTAAGCGCCCACAACGGCGGCACTAGAGAAAACGGTGGCATTGAAATATTCGTCGGCGGCCGTGGGAGACCGCGGCGTACTGGGAGGCGAGTGCGGCAGGTTGGACAGGCTAAACTGTTCGGGCACTGCATGGGTGACATTGATATATGGAGAGTGGCCGGGTTGAAGGTGGTTGTGGACCGCCTGGACAATGGAGCAGAAGATGCTATCATTCCTCGGCAACGATATCGACTGGTCCGAAGTCCGGGGATATGGGAGGGTCTGCGAGACTATCTTTACGGCCTCACCTCGCGGGTTAGATATCCCGAGGGAGGAGACTATTCGAGTGACCAAAGGTTAGTACTCGATCACTCCTCATGTTTTTATTTTCTTGCTGATCTACTTACCAGTCACGTTGATACCCTGATCCAGCCAGGATCCAACGTCCTGCTGACAATCCATCTCATCGTGGGGGCCCGGACTGCCTCCCGAGCTGGAGGAGCCATGAGACAACCCATCTGATGGACTGCTCAGCGTGTCTGAGGGACCAGTGGCCGGCGACGTATCCATGCCGGGACCTTCGTCCATCATGGCACTCGAGCCCGGCTCGCGGTGGGTATGAGCGTCAAACAGCAGCATCTCAGATTTCGGATCCCACGCAACGTTACTATCGTCGTCGGGTGGTGTGAGCGGGAGCGTGGAGGGATAGTCGGACTGGAAGGAAGGTGGCGGCGAGTTCCAGGGCGAAGAGGAGTGGGAATGCGCCGTCAGCGGTCTCGGCCCGCGAGACACGGTGGTGGACAGACGCAGACGAGAGTCGGTGGAGCGAGTGCGCGATTCCACACGCAGCGGCGAGCCTGGGGAAGCGCTACGTTGTTCCCAGGCCGGGAAATGCACGGCGACACTGCCCTTGGAGAGGAAGCGGGAGACGGGCGAGGGTTTTGTGCGGAGGGAACCTTGCGAGGCTCGTCGACGGAGCTTGGCTGGGCTGGCACCGTCGGAGTACGAGTCGGGGAGGGAGTGGTTGGAAAGACGTCTTTGGGTGTCGAGTTTCAGCGAGGTTGGATGCATGGTCAGATCGTCCGGGGCAGCAGCTGGCCCACACCGTCCATTGCACTGTTGAATCATCCAGCGGTCGGGTGGGCGACAGATGGCGGCCGGCATGGAAATCTCGCCGTGGAGGGGAGGGAGGTGGGAGGTTTGAGAATTCGACCAGGTGGAAGGATGCGAGGGTAGAAGAGGGGACAATCTTGGAGGTAAGGGGAGGAAAAGCTGGAAATTGGCGGATGGCAGTGGAGGGCAGGGTAAAGGGTACTTCAGCAAACTATGGGTCAGCGGCGGCGGAGGCAAGTACCGGGTACGCGGGCTGCGGCGGTCGGTGGTCCAGACGGCGTTCTAGACCGCGCAGTCGTCGAGTCATCGTCCCACTTGGATTTCGTGTTGCCTACTAGACCAGGTTGGTCTTTCTGTGAACACATACTGACACTACACCTAGTGAGTTTATCCACTACCACAACTGTTCCCGATCGCCTATTCTGCTACAGGGGTGTCTTCATGGAACCTGGAGACGGGAGAATTGATGGGGAGTGTTTACGAGGCCCGGTGCTAAAAATGTGCAGGCAGTTCTAGACGCCGCGCTGGGCCTGCGACTGGCTGGCAGGCCCCACGCGGCTGGGGCGATCATTCTCGGTTCTGCATCGAGTTGATGAATCGCGAGGAAATATATAGGGCCTCAACCATAACTGCTCGTGCTTAGCAGTCCTTATAGATTAAATTCTGACCCGACCTAGGGTACCTTAGGGTACTGTAGGAGGGGCAGTCCCGCTACGTCCCCGGGTACACTACCCTAAGACATCGTGCTTAGGTAAAGTACTGGTACTTGGCCGCCCGCGTGACACTCGCCGTCTGCCAAGTACCAGTACGCATCTCTCTGACGCCGTTTCCGGACGCCCGCACAATTCTAGGCTTGGGTCTGTTGCCACTGAGGGGGAGGGCCCGACCTGTGTCGACTCTCTCCCTGTTTTTCCTGGTCGGGCAATCATCACGCTGCAATGTTCCCGGAGTATGCCCAGAGTATGGAAATAGGTACAGTAGGTCTTAAGGTATGAGAGGCATTGTCGCAGTAGATGCCCTACGACCCTTCCCTGTCGTTCGGCACAATCCGAGTGGACCTGGCTCATACAGATGACGCCCCTCCAGATCGGAGCCCGGATCATCATCGTGGCCGTTGGCCCGTAGTAATTTCCACCGTTTGCCCCGATCTGGTTCGCCGTCCAGCTGGATCTCCGACTGCTCCACTGCCGTCTCACGTAGAGTGTGGCCCCCTCGCCACGAGAAACGTGTCTGTCTGACGCAGCGAATCGCAATATACACCAGGGTCTGACACACTTACAGCTGTAATTGACGGGCGGGGACGGCAGGGGTGGAAATTTGGTCCATGCCAGATCCAGTGTCATGCAGCACGCTATACCCGAGGGTACTCGGGCCTAGATTGCTTGGTGCGTGAGTGTGGTTGGGGAAATGACGATTCATTTCACTATATATCGGCCCTCTCGCCTCTACCCTATGAGAGGAGGAAAGAATATTGCACGACCCTCGGTAGTCTGATTGCGAATGGTCATCAGATGCTTCGGCCGAAGCACCAGTCCACGCACTCACAATTGCTGGAATATAGATCCGGGTCCAATAATGAGTAGCAGCAGAGTCGACTTGTTCCAGTGGCGAGGTGCCCTGTTTTCGAAGGCGATAGACATACTTTTCATCTCAAGATCGAAGAGTCGAGGCATAGATGATAGTGAGCAAGTGGATACAATTCGAAGCACTCACTGAGCTAATCGGCAAGCGATGAGATCTCATGTATTATGATGTAAGGCCAATCCCGTTATGTACTGTTCAAGATATGCCAGCGTGCACTGTTATAAAAATGGGTACCGAGATCCTTGTAGCTGCCGGAGATCGAGGTTCTCTACTAGTGGATGGACTGAAGATGTAGTTGAATGTTTGAGAAAAAGAATATTAAATTAGATATTAAAATATAAAGCTTGAAATAAAAGATCCAAGTGAATACCACTCCTTATCACTATCCTCCATAGGGAGGCGGCAAATCTTTGGCGTGGTCGCGCCGGCTTGATCGGGAAGGCAATCTTCCCACAACTCCGAATCGCTCTATCGCCGGGGATCCCTGCGTTGAGGTTCTGCTCGGTAGCATCATGGTGTTGCAGAGCAGATGCAGAAGCGCTCTGCACCCCAATCAGCCGTAATGGATTGCAGTTCAATCAAACCATGCGCCTATGGTTACCCAGACCTCTGCACGGACACACTGCACATTATACACGGTGCACGGGATGAGAAAGCCGGTATCGATCGAGACGCGGCCAGACCGGTGGCCGCTGCAAGGGGTGCGGGGACCCCTGTGCCATGTGTGGCATCATATCTAAACCCTCGAGGTCGATTCCATCGAATCCGCATTGGAGTCCTCCATCCAGTTGTGAGGCAAATGTTGGAGACTTTGTTCTCTGGTTCCGAAGAAACCTTTTTGAGATGCGGGGTTTGGGTTCATCTTAGCAGCCAGTCATGGTCGTGGGTATGGTGTCATCATTCTGATGCACGTGGAATAACATATTGACGAAGATGCTTATGGCCCATTATTTGAGGCATTTTGCATGCTCGCGTATTCTTCACGACGTCATGGAGCGCCGGCGCGATTGCGTGGGGACAGCCCCGCCCAACGGCTGGCGTAGCTCGCGCGAGCAATCGTTCCACGAGTTCCAAACCATGTGCGACCGGTACCGCTGCTCCTCACGGCCTAGCCGGACCTGTTTCCGGGCAAAGCTGGAGGGCTTGATGGCGATTGTACAGGTCGCGTTCGAACGGTCACAGACCGGGATGGGCTTGGCCATGGGCACGGTGGCAACGGGGCTCTCGAGCGTGGTGCGCAGCTCGCGGCATTGGCACACCAGCTGCTGCACCCCGTCGGTCAGACGCGAGGCACGCTCTTCAATGTCGGGCCAGAAGGCGTCGCCCCAGAAGGGATCTTGCCGCACGGCTGTCTCTAGAGCGACGAGCCAGCAGTCGAAGCCGGAGCGCGGCCCAGCCAGCTGGGCGGCGACAGTGACGAAGCGGATGGTGGGCTCGGAGTGTAGAACATGCAGGACGATGCAGGCCGGGCAGCGTGCAGTCAGGTACCAGTCATGCTCCTCGGTGAGGATGCAATGGAGCCAGGCGAAGGCGCTGCGGGCCTCGCCGCGGAAGGCTCGTTCGGGCTCGGCGCCTTTCTTGCTGGGGAGGGCGCGCGCGGCGATACGCTCGGCTTGGTGGTTGATGAGGAAGAGCGGGACGAGGAGGGTGTGAATGATGTCGCGGTGGAGACGGAAGGTGTCCTGGTCAATGGAGGAGCAGGAGTGGTGATGCTCGGTGCAGAAGCTGGGGCCCTCCATGCCACAGTCCTGGCGGCGCAGCTGTTCTCTCATGGCGCGGAAGGCCTCATTTTGTTCCAGGTCGAGTTGGTCGCGGTAGGAGATGTGGAATGGGGAGGAGGTATCGTCGGCCATCATGGCGACGTAATTAGCGATATTCGGCGAACCTTGAAGAGTGATGCAGGGCGGTGGTCGACTCGGCGTCGAGGATTCAATGCACAATCATGGAGAGGATATGGAATGAAGGTGCATTAAAAGGGAAATAGCAGAGTAGTAGGTCGAACCCTGAATCCGTAGAAGAAAAAAAAAGGTGGGGTAGGCCGGATGCGGACTTTATTATAGCAGACCCCCTTTGCGGAACGTCATGGTCACGATGCAGGAGGTGCAGATCGCACCAGGCCGTTTTGCCTCTTTGTCTAGGGTCACGCAGTCGATCGCAATCGACCACCCCCACTGCTGACGAACGCAGCGCCGTGCCCTGCCATTATTGGACGAGCAGCCGGAATGGGTGGAGCCGGGGAGATGGGCAAGCCGTCTGGACCGTCTGGACTCTTTGGAGATGTGGTGGCTCGGAGTTCAGGGCTACTCTATCTTTAGCCCCTATCTCTGTTTCTTCTTTGGTGGTAGCAAAAGAGGGTATAGGGTAAAGTCTGTTAGCTAGCCTACGGTCGCACTCAAAATGGGGTGATCGAGGTGGTAGTCCCTGGTGGTACTTACTACTCCTGCACTACCAGATCCTCTACTCCGTCTTCCCGAGTCCTGACGTAGTAGATCGTCAGGACGCACCAGTGTTAGAGATTGCTTTCTACTCTACACCTCTACTGCACACCTTTAATTCTTTTCGACACCTCTCCCACCTCCCACTCATCTCATACGGACTCCGATCAACGGCGGCCCGAGTCCTCCGTGCCCAACAGCCAGCGCAGAGACCACGAGAACGCGGCAACGCTATCTGACCGTCCAAGAGGGGGCAGATCCCTCCCGCCTCTGCAGGAAGTGGGTAAAGGGGTCTCCGTGCGCGATGCGGAAGGGATTGGCAGGGCTTGGGGCTCCGATCCGGATATTCGATGGTCTAGACTTTACTATTCTATCAGGATGGAATTTGTGAATTCGCTCTTTGTTAAGACACAAAGTAGTAAAGGGGTCAGTTGGGGACTACCTTAGGGGGTATCTTAAGGTAGTAAGGGTACTGATAGTAGGGTAATAAGCATCCCGTCCTGTCGGAACCGGGATTTGGTCCAGGGGCCCGTTAAAGACGTGGAACTCGGCATACTCCGGCGAGTATCGGAGGGCCACAGTGTGGGTATGGGGCTGGCGCGTTTTCATGTTTGCATGTTGCCATTTTGCATTTTCGCTGCCCGCATTACTTGCAGTGCCGACTAGTCATTGGTTTATGTGGTTAGGCTGCAATAAGTGTGGGATGTGCCAATCAGGGCAGGCGAGGTGAGGCTTCTCGAGACGCCCATAAGTCTAGATCGTGTGGCATCTACACGCTCCCCGCTCCACTCCATAACTACGATGTACTACTCCTCGGCTAGTGGTCTAGTGGTCTGTGTACTTGTACCATAGCTTCCTAAGCAGAATGCCCTAACTATTACTTACTACTGCAGTAGGACCCTACTCACGAAATCCTGGATTTTTGAATTTCCTGTTTCGACTGCCAGCTCGGCTCCACCCCTCACAACCAAGCTAGGGCTAAGCCTAACGGTTCTGGGGATGCCCTTCCATGTTTCCCATCGTCCCCAACACCATACCCAAAAATTCTAATTGCCAAACGGCCGGGCGCCGCAGGTGTTTTGTTTACCATGTTCTGTTCATTCACACAACGCTTCTATGAGTATCGTTTTGTCCTCCATTCCTCCCAAAGTTAGCAACGTATCCCATTGCTGCGTGTTTATTGCTGCGTGTTCATTGCTGCCCCTGGCATGTCGCGGCGGAATGAAGCAGCCCGCGCTAAGGCAAAAGCTGCCACTGCAATCTAGCAAAACCGGTTCATCCGCGTCGTCTCTTTCCATTTTTGCCTCGTAGACTGTACGCCGTTCGATTTTGTTGCATAGACCGGTCGTCGCCCCTTCCCTATCGGCCGCCTGCCTCGCGACCGCGACTCCCTCGTTGAGACCAACAATCGTGCAATTGATCTCTCTGTGGTCGTTCGCCTTTTGCCTCCCTCCACATCTGTCAGTTTTGTCGTTTTCTGTTCTCAGCAACGGTTAGACTCGTATTGACTTATCGACGATCTCTTCTTATTCGCCATGCTCTCGTCCCTCGCTCTGGCCGCGCCGCTGCTCCTGGCGGGCTTGCAGGCCGCCACCGTGAGCGCAATCCCGACCATCTCGGCCGTGGGCTCCAAGTTCTTCTACGAAAATGGCACCCAGTACTACCTGAAAGGTGCGCCCATTCTGTGCTGATGGCATTGGTTGCCGGGATTAACCGTACCAGGCATCGCTTATCAACTCACCCCCAACGATCCGCTCACCGACGGCGCCCAATGCAAGCGCGACATAGCCCGCATGTCCGAACTGGGCACCAACGCCATTCGTGTGTACCACGTCGATCCCACGGCCGACCACAAGGCCTGTATGACCGCTTTTGCGGACGCCGGGATCTATCTCTTCGTCGATCTCGACACCTTTAGCACCCAGATCGAGCAGGTATATACAATGTATCCCGCATGACACAGAACACGAAAGACTGACACTGCCCAGACGAACCCCCACTGGAATCAAACTCAGTTTGACCACTTCAAGGAAGTGCTGGACGAGTTCCAGCAGTTCGACAACACCGCCGGCGTCTTTGTCGGCAATGAAGTCCTCACCACCGCCGATGGCTCGCACGCGGCTCCCTATGTGTTGGCCGCTGCACGCGATATTAAGGCGTATCGTGACCAGAAAGGGTACCGAGAGATCCCCGTGGGCTACTCCGCCGCCGACATTGCGGACCTGCGCCCCATGCTGCAGAACTACCTCGCCTGCCAGACCAATTCTTCGGATCGCCTGGACTTTTATTCCCTGAATGCCTATGAGTGGTGCGGTGACTCCAGCTACACTGTCTCTGGGTACAACATGCTGCAGAAGAATGCGACGGACTACCCGATTCCCATCTTCTTCTCTGAAACCGGCTGCAACACCCCGGCTCCCCGTATGTTTGACGACCAGGCTGCCATCTTCGGCAAAGACATGTCCGGCACTTGGTCCGGCGCCATCATCTACGAGTGGATCGAAGAGACCAACGACTACGGTCTGATCAGCTACGGTCCCTCAGCCAAGGCCGCCACCAATACCCTTGTCGAGGATGGCTATACCCGCAAGGGCACCCCGACCCCGGTGTCGCCTGACTTTACCAACCTCAAGAAGCAGTGGGCGACCCTGCACCCGACTGGTGTCCACCTCTCCGACTACAAGAAGTCCGTGTCGAGCATCTCCTCCATTGAATGCCCGGCTTCAACCAAGGGTGGCTGGGCGGTCGACCCCAGCTCGCCCCTGCCCACCCTGGGACAAACCTACAAGGCCACCTCGCAGGCCACTGCTACTGCTGGATCAACTGGCCAAGGTACCTCCTCGGGCTCCAACGCCTCTGCCACCTCCTCTGGCAAGGACAACGCAGCCGGTGCGGTGACTGTGACGGGTCTGGCCACTGAGCGCCTTCTCATGGCTTCCCTCTTCCTGTCCGCGGGCATGGGAGCCCTTGCCTTTTTGCTGTAGGAGTGTGACTGGCCATTATGTGTGCTTTAAGAGCAGTTGTGCCAGTGGTTTGTATCAATATGCATTCTTGGTCATAAGGAATAGAAACGAGTGAACGAGCTACTTGACATCGAGCAGGCAGCGATCTGTCGTTTTGTAACGTCTGTCTGCTTTGTTACACGCGAGCGATGACTATTAACTCTTATAGAATCATGATTATCCCAAACTTCCGTCAGTTGTTGGCTAAATCACCAGTGGCAGAAGCTAAATCTTTTCCAGCAGCTCCCTACGTAGAAATTGGCGTTCCACACAAACGAAATGATTATTAGTATACTAAAATAGAAGTATCTATCATCGGGTCATCAAACATCCCAACACTATGAATAAATCAAACAGCCCGCCATATCGTACAAGCACAAGTACCAACCCACCCAAAAATTGAAATGAACTATTTATGAAAAGTCAACCCCTCCAACCCCGTAATATTCGCATCCAGATCCGGCAACGACAGCTGAGGTGAAACTCGATCAACATGAATCTCCGACTCGAAATCATCCAAAATCGACGGATCAACCTCGTCCACATCCTCATGCTCCTCCGGATTCGTCTCGCTATCACTCGCCGCCTCGGAGAACCCAAAATCAAATTCCGAAACAGATGAGGAGTCAAGGATAGGTTCCTCCTTTTTCAAGACTGGCGCAGAAGCTTGTCTCCTTACCTCCCTCCTTTCTGGCTGAATATCCTTGTCTCTTGGCTTTTTTCCCCCTTCCCAGAACCTGAAAAACAGTGAACCTCCACCCCCGGACCGCGGGACGAAGGAATCTCCCGAATCGCCGCAGTGAAACACTTCCGCACTGTCCTCGCAACAGGCCTCTTCTCCGGCTCAGCGGCCAGCATCGCACGAAGGATAATCAGCATCTGCGGCACAGCGTAGAAAAACCGATCACTCCCCCGATCACGACGGCAACGTTTCAATGCATCGCCTTCTAGCAGCGCAATCCACGATTGAACCTGCACCGCGTTACGGGGAAGGTGGAATGAGGCGTCGGCCATTCCGCCGCCGCGGCCGGCGGAGCGGTTCCGTGCGCTGCGGTGCGATGTGAAAGAGGTTAGGCTTCGTTTGCAGAGGTGTGTTAGGATGTCGAGGATTATTGCGGCAAGGGAGAAGATGTCTGAGGGGAATTGGGTTGCTTGGGAGTTTTGCCATTGGTGGGTTGTGTGGGGGGTTGAGGGGGTGGGGAGATGAGGGAGGTTGTTGAGGCGGACGAAGATGAGGAGGAAGAGATGTTGGATGTAGTTGAGGGTGTAGGGATGAGGTTTAGTGATTTCTTGACCCAGTGGAGATTGCGGTGTCTGAAGGAGGAGGTTGAGGTTGAGGAGGAGGAAGAGGATGATGAGAGGGCGAAGGAGAAGCGGGATGGTGAGCCGGGGAGGCCGATTCGGATGACTGTTCCTTTGGAGGCGGCGGAGTCGGGGCGTGGGTCGTTTGGTGAGGAAGGTGGGCTTTCATTCAGAGGGGCGAGAGCTAGTTTTGAGGGTTTCTTCCTCCGTCCGGTGCGGCCGCCGGAGGGGAGGATGATTTGGCTTTGTGCCGGAGGTTGGGGTGGTGGATAGACTGGCGTTGCTGCTTTGTGGACCCAGCGTTCTGCGGCGGAGTATTGGTATGATTCGAGGTCGTTGACTCGTGGTGGTGCGAGGAGTGAGTCGAGGGCTTGGAATTGGCCGAGTAATATATTGTAGTTGGGGTCGACTAGGATGTTTGAGGGTCGGATGGCGGTATGCGCATGGCCGCGGGCGTGTAGCCAGGACAATGCAGAGGCTAAGCAGTGAGGCCAGGTGATGAGGGTGTGTCGACGTTGCTCTTTTGATAACCGCTTAAAAGACGGCGGCTCGTCGGTCAAGAAGCTGTGCAGGGTTCTATCCGTTTCGGCGCCAGTGAACAAGACGCAGACTGTGTCGTCCACAAAGTACGAAGCGTAGATGGAGACGAGATGTTGATGCGCGAGTTTTCTCAGTGCCCGGATCTCGGCGAGGACTTCGTCTGATGAGAAGAAGTGTGGTGCGCCGCCGATTTGGACTTGGGTCCGTAGGAAGACTCGACAGACTGTGCCGGCCAGAATGACTTTATCGACCGTCTCGTCTCTCCCCTGCACACCACTGCTCGTTGTGGCCCTCGCCACCTCCACCGGGACACCTTCGTTCTCCGTGTAGGTAACATGCTCGCCCTCAGCAATCCCCCTGACCAGAAAGCGCCACTGTGTATTGAAAAAGCTCGCATCGAGCGCCGGGTCATTGCCATACGGCGAGAGGACGAGGAGATCGATATTTTGCTCGGCCATGGGGAGATCATCGTCGTCGTGAGACTCGTCGACGAGCGCAAAGATGCGATCGGGGATGCCGATGTCGTCGAGAATGAGGAACAAACGTCCTGCTTTCAGCAGGATCCATTCCATGTAGGTCTCGCTGGTGAGACCCTCGCCCCAGCGCGGCAGGTCGAAGAGCCGGGGTACATTCTCCGGTCGCAGGCGGCTGATGATGAACTTTGTGTCGAGCGCGGCTTTAATTCTCTCTTCGGGCCACCAGAGTGAGGTGTGGCCGGCCATGATGGGTGCATGGCTCATGGCAAGCACTTACGAGACAATTGGTATTGTCCGGAGATCAATTGTCGGGTTCACAATGTGGTGGAGGCGCAGTAATATAGGCGAGGCATGCGCCTCATGACGGTTCGAGCGTTGACTTGTATGGCCGTACCTTAAGGAGAGGTGGATTATCTGGCGCAACGGCTTGGATCTTGGGGGAACGCCGATTGGTGGAGGAGATGCTTATCTCGACCTCCGCAAGGAGACCCGCCAATAGTCCAGAGCCGCAGACCATTGCGTCTGTTGTCAGCAGCGTCATCGGAAGAATGGACATTGTATGTTAAATGGTAAGGAGGGTAAGAAGGGCCGAGAGGTGATGGATCGAAGAACGGGGATCGCCCGACCATCGTATTGTTGCGCAGCCAATCTCAACCCGCGTGCTTATCAGTGCCAGTGAGGGGATCCATCAGGAGACGCCGGATGAGGTTTAGGGCGGAATGGCAGCTCAGGATCAATATTGAATACTTTTAATGAGACTTTACTATAAGGGAAATCCTGTCAGAGATAAGGAGGATCACCGTGACAGCTCTGCACGGTTCAGATCCTGCCGCCGCACTATACAATGCACACTTTACTAGTAGAGGCCTGTGAGCAAGGGACAGATATTGAGCGCCCGCCAGACGGAGCATTTTGGAAGAGGATGCTCCACGGAGATATCTGCCAGCTACCATTCATGCATGCAGGGGGGCGATCCGCGTGGGACACATAGGACGCATATCGGAGCAATGCGGGTAATGGTTCGGTCGCGAACTATCAGGATAGACGTCAAGAGCAGCTTCTTTGGACGGCGTCGGATAGATATGGACCAGAATTCAATTCGGGTTCGCTTTGGCGTAACCATTTTAGGCTTCATTTCGCGTGTACACTGCTTTTTCTCAGAAGTAGCCAAGTTGATTAGACACTGCCAGACCTCAGGTTACCAATTCAGCCACCTACACCACACATTAAGGGGTACGTCAAATTTGCGACCAAGTGGCAGATATATTGGCGATTTGCTTCTTCCCTGCATTCACATCGATCAGGTGTCAAGAAACCTGCGGCTTACGCGGAGAAGCGCGATAACAGAGATCGCATTCTCGGCGGCATGTGATTAGGTGTACCAGTCTAGACCATCAGCCTTGCCAGGACACTTGACCTCCCAGATGTACTGGTATAAAGTATGAGCTCTAAACTACCCTAAGGTACAAAGGCTCCCTTAAGGGCACTGCCAGTCGTCATTGGTCTCGACAATGCACTAGCTCGGGCTACTACTGTCAGCTAATGCACGCTGACATCCATGATAGATATCAGGAAGGAGGCGACTAGAGTATGCGCTGGCGATCGACGTTGACTTGTTTTTGGGACTGAATGATGAGAATTCTGAGGGTCTGCGATGATTCGAGTTTATCGAGAGTGGGTGCAAGATTTTGATTGCGAACCACTACCACCATCGGTATCGAAACGCTAATCAATAAAATCTAAGGCAGCTATTCAGGCAATAGAGAGCCGAAAAATGAAGAAATACCCCGATAGAAACCAATTTCGGGCTGAAGTAGTATCAGTGGAAGAGCAATTCCAAAGCCAAAAAAAAAGAGAAAAAAGAGAAAAAAAAAGGAGCAAGAAACTTTGGTCATGAGCTGGTCGTGTCCATGATGCTTCCTTCCACTACTTTTCCTTGTGACTTTTTTTTTGCTATCATACTCCTGGACCCTCTTCGCCCCGAGCATTCAGCTTGCTCAACCTCGCTCTCTTCCTAGTTTCCTGCCTCTGCTTCAGCCGCAGTCTTCTCTTGAGTTTCACTTGCTCGGTCACCGGGAGATCTGATGCCGCCTGGACGATGCTATGGAATTCCGGAGACTGAGTGAGCCGGAGGAGGGCTGCCATGTCATCCTTAATTTTGAGGGCTCGGGAAAGCACTTTTTGCGTTCAATGGTGGGCAATGCCAAGGCTGAATCTATTACCCAGTCTATGTATATGTCCTGCTCAACTGAATAATGTCGGGATCAAGGTTTATGGGTTCTGGCAAGCTGGAGGATAGATGCGAGGCTAGTTTCACGCCAGTGTTGATGGATTGTGGGCCACTGGTGGAAGATAGATCTTCGTTTGTGTGCTTATCTGGGTTCTCTGGCTCCTTTCCCTTCGTCTCCTTGGTCAGTCGGGACCAAACGTGGGGTTTGAAGGATCATTTGGCCGTTTGGTACTTTTTTCGATCGAAAAATTGCGTTCTTCATTGCCCCGCAATACCAGCCCAGTGATATGCAGGTATTGATTGAGGAAGAGTGATGGCATGGATGACATTGTCGTTGTGGCTTGGGTTGAGTTCTGTAATTTCGAGGATACAGAGCCCAGAGGGTTGGGGGAAGGATGGGATGAAGGCAAGAAAGAGAAGGTAAGGTAGGAATGAGGTGAATGGAGATGTGAGCGTGTGGGCCTGTTTTCCTAGCGAAGTCACTTCATCGAGCAATTAAACAGTAGCATAATCTAGCTTAGTCTCTTATCTCAATTGAACTCATTTCCAAAGCCTGTGCTCGAATAGCACAGCATGTCTGCTGGGAATTGACTTGGAAATAAAGGTCTTGCCGCGGCAGAAAACATGTTGAGTAGGTATTGCGACTGTTAGGATGCGCTTCGTATAAAATGGCGAGGCAGGTGTCTGCTGGTCGACATTGCGTCGACTAGTTCGAAGAGTGAAGAAACTCTTTGTGCGTATCAAGTCTTCTTTTGCTTTGCGGCGAGGGCGAAGGGGAGGTCCTTTCGATGCTGAACGAGTAATTTTGTTGCCATCTCGGTGATTTCGTCTTTTGGCTGTCGCGTGATCATGGGTGGTAACCGGGGCGGTTTTGGCGGGCTTTGAGATGGTGATCTTGGTTGGTTTGACGTGGATTCGCATGTGAGCAGTTTCTGGCCAGAAGATGCCATGTATGATCAACCTTGGTCAGATTAAGTTGAACCAGGCGGAGTCAGATCTTTCTGCCATCGTCACGGCTGAAGGTTGTTTTGGAATATTCAACATCACCCATCAGCCGCTGGCACTATCGTCAGCTCTCAAACTACGCCTCTTCCGACCCCGGCAAATCGTAACGGCGGCATTTCGATGCAGCATGTGGGTCGAGATATTCGCTTTACCCCACAAAATCGTCCGCCGCTTGCCGTCGGCTGAGGTGAATTCCGCGAGCGGGGTGGATTATCCTCCGACCTTCTCACTCGATTGCGACCTCTCTTCTTTCAATCACTCTGACGCTGGTTGACATGCATTATGTATGAGCGGCAACGGGTTTGGCGTGCCTGCCAGGCATGTCGTCGCAAAAAGGTCAAGTGCGACGGCGAGCACCCCTGTCAGAGTTGTACGCGCAACAAGGCGGAATGTGTGTTCGAGCCGTACAGCAACATGAGGCTAGTGGATCCGCAGTAAGTGTTCGAGCTTGTCGTGTTCAAATATTCAAGTAACATGTTCGTCGAGGCTTCCGACACTGACCCGGAGACAGATATGTGGTGAAACTCGAGAAACGACTCGCACAGATGGAAAAGAACCTGAAAGACCAGCATTCAAATCCGGAAACTACAAGAGAAACACTTCAGTCTGCATTTCCTTCACATCATCATGGCGATCTGGGCTCGCAACATGACTCTGAGCCTGTTCAACAGCCGAATCTCGCTTCCGACGAGGGTGCCGTATCCGACCCGCCCAATTACGCGCGGGCGGTTTCGGTTGATGCGGGTGTCCAGACACCAGCATCACCACTAGGACTCCGAGCCCACAACCCAGAGACAGATAGGCAGTTCCAGCTCGGCACAAGTGACATCCGTATTCACAGCAATCAACAAGAAAACACACAAGACGCGGCATCAAATACAGCACCTTTCGCAACGGATGTGACGCGACTAAACACAGCGCTGATAACAGTGCTAGTCGACTTGTTTTATCAATCAATATACTCAATATTTCCAATCATCCACGCTCGCAACTTTCGGCCACAATATGATCGTTGGCTATGTGATCACCAGGAAAACTATACCGGCCAACGAATAGATGATGACGACAATGAATTTTCATTCCTTTTATACGCCTTACTTTCCGTCGCGGCGTCACTCATACCGAAAGACCACGCCATTTTCGAGCAGGACGGGTGCCAGATCTATCAGTTGGTTAACCTGGACGATCTGATTTACTCTCACGCTACATCTCTGAGCTCGGGTCGACCTTATCAACGAAACCCCACGGCCGCCATCAACACAGTTGCCGCGCAGGGCTTACTGAGCTTGTATTTGACCGAAAGAGGCAGAGTGAACGAAGCTTGGGTCATTGCTGGGCATGCGATTCGGCTATATCAAGGCCTGAATGTCGAGGATGATGGCGATGAAGCGCCTCATAGAACCGATTCGTTCTCAACGTGCAGCAATATCTGGTGGTGCTTGTACATCCTTGACCGCTCATTATCCACAGCACTCCTCAAGCCATTGGCAATCGATGATGCAGAAAGTGAAATTGAGACTACCGGAGAGCAAGAGCATCATATACCCACCACCGAGGCAAAGACAGATCCTTGGTTTTCCGTCATCGCGGATTTTCACATTACTATGGGCCGCATCTACAGATCGGTTCGATGGATCCGCAAATCACAGCCCTCTCAAAATGCCAAATTGAGGGAGACGCTGAGATCATACGTCAAAAAACACGACGCGGAGCTGGAGAACTATTATACCAAACAAGTATTACCCAGAATCGAAGCGACAGACCGACAAGAGCCACTAGCCTTACAGACCATCGCTGTCTCGTCATACTACATCGGTGTTGTCCTGCTATATCGGACCTTCATAGAGCGACTCAATATCGCCGAGCCAGAGGCATTTCTACGCTGTGCCGAGGCAGCATCAAATTGCATAAAGGTCACGCCACAAGTGATGGCCACCGTGCCTGCCAGTCATTTTGTCATCCAGCAGAGTCGAGCCATATATGCAAGCGCTAAAGTGCTTTTACATTGTATGCGGCTGGCGCGCAATCCGACATTCACCAAGAGAGCCTGGTCCGACGTTGAGTCTGGCTTGAACATGCTGTGTGATATCAAGATTCAGTGGCCTGAGATCAAAAAGTACCAGACTCTCACCGAAGAGGACATGCACCTCACACAGCGAGATCTCAGGAAATATGAATTGTTCTACAAAACTTTTGACGGATACGGTCAAGTTACCCGCGTTCATCAGCAAGAACATAATGATCTTTCTCGCTGTAACCTGGTTGAAATGCTGCTGAATGAGGAGTTGAACGATGATCGTCGAGAAAACGAGGTTTCCGACCGGCAGCAAAAGCGACGGAAGCTATCATCACCATCTGCATTATCACTCCAAGCCTCCGAGAATCGGACATCGCATTTGCTTTCTATGGATTTGGAAACAGACGGATACCCGGTGCTCGACCCGATAATGAACACCGATGACTTCCTCCTTGGGGACTTAACCTCCCAACCCTCTACACTCGGAGACCCTTCATTAGATTTTTTTAGCGACGCGATGCTGATGACTTCGATTGACAATTTATTCTCACAGTCCGAGGACTGAGAGACTTTGTGATTACAAAGGCCTTATCATGAACAGCACAGTAAAGATAATAGATAATGAATTTCTTCAGTGCGCTGGCGCAGTCGTCCCGCATAGCCCACATTTCCGACTTTCTTCATTGTTCATCCAATCCCTCACGACTTCCTTGATCTGCGTTTCGATATCCTCGCAGTAAAAGGACTCCTCCCGTATCACTGTGGGGCGACCCCCATGGGCCTCATTATTCTCACAATACCATCTGATGCGATCAATGCATTTCGGCGAGCGTGTTCGTTCCATTACCAGGCCAATTGTATCTTTATAGCGCCGGGGTGAGTGGGGAGTATACCCTAAAAGGAAGGAACAGGTCAGCACGCCGTTTAATTAGAATGTCCTTGTTCATCTCGTACCAGGGACCAAAAATGTCTCCCCTTCGCGAATCATGACGTCTCGGAATTGCCCGTTGTCGATGATTTTCAGCAGCACGTTGCCCTTGATTTGATAGAACCACTCCTGAAGATATCACATCAGCCCGGGTTTATGAAATAGTTACGGGTAGTTTTTATTTAGTGTACTTCTGTTTCATTGACTGTTCGGGGAAATAATTAGCACAAGCTTGCAGCTCTGGGCATGTCCGGTCTGCTAAGACCTTGGGAGCAAACTCACTATGATAGTCATTCCTTGTATTCGGTCCCCCGACAGCCATCAAGATGAAGTCTTTGCCCGAGTATAAACACTTATTATTGATCGGAGGTTTCAAATCAGTCGAATTCGCGCCGAGCCATGAAGACAGCAAAATTGGCCCTGGGACAGACGGTTGAGTATCGTCCATGATGGCTGAGAGGTTGAATGAGCGGTTGGATCAGGACCAGCGACAATGGAAATCAGATACTATTTACAAACGACACCCCCGGGTCATGTCCTTCCCCGCAGTATCCAGCAATCGTGCTGATTCATACTCGATGACCTTGGTCCAACCTCGGGTGGATCGAGGCGGTCCGCATTACCTTCCGGTTGGCCGTTCGGATCTATCCGTTCTATCCGTGTATACCGTCAAGCATGTGGTCTGCCGACTGGGAAAAATGCGTACACATTTAATGAACTTGCATGTGAGATCAAGGAAAAAAAAGGAACGTTGAAGTGCTACGAGAAACAACATAAGGACGCTTTCCACCCGTGATGTTGGCGAGATTATTCGTACCGCAACAGTGAGCCGACCCGACTGTGCCGCCATCCGACTACACCTAGCATCTATAGATATACCCTTCGCATCCAATATGGCCATCACATCAAGCTGTTGCTCCTGCACCGCTGGAAAGACAAAATGGAATGTGCATGATAGCGAAAAGAATCATGATGCCCCCTTCCGAATCGACATGCACACCCATATCATGCCGCCATCCTTACCCGATTTTTCAAAGTCCTGCGGAACTTCAGCCGACGATACTGAAGGATGGATGAACCTCAAATCTCACGATGTTTCCAATTCCGACAGCAACGATAGAAAAGGCACGTCTACCAAAAAGGTTGATATGTTTGTGGGCACCAAATTCTTCCGAACAGTTGAGCCGAATTGCTTTGACCCAATTGTACGCATAGCGGAAATGGACGCGACCGGCGTAAATATCCAAGTGATCAGCACTGTGCCGATTTTATTCTCATATGACAAGCCTATTGAGCCGTCGATACAGCTAGCACGGTATCTGAATGACCACATCGCATCGGTCTGTCGCGAATATCCCGATCGGTTCGTGGGACTGGCAACCGTGCCGCTACAGGATGTCGCTGCGTCCGTGATAGAGTTGAAGCGTGTGAAAATGGAACTGCGACTTAAGGGAATTGAAATTGGGACGGAAATAAACGGGCGGTCCCTCGATGACCCATGTTTTGAACCATTTTGGACTGCTTGTGAGGATCTGGATATGCCGATATTCATCCATCCCTTGGGGTATGAGTTGGAAAGGGAGAATAAGAGTCGATGGGGAAGTTATTGGTCTGCGTGGCTGATCGGAATGTATGCTGCTCCAATCTCTCTCTTCCACTTTATTTGATGATATCGCTGACAATTCCCCAGGCCCAGCGAAACCGCCCTCGCAATTCACGCCATTCTCTCATCGGGCGTCCTGGTCCGCCACCCCAAGCTCCGCCTCTGTTTCGCACACGCAGGAGGTGCCTACGTCCCACTGCTAGGACGAATCCAACACGGATACGACTGCCGACCGGATCTAGTTGCCCATAGCTCAGAAGGAATATCGCCTCAAGAATATCTACAATCTCACCAACACAATATCTGGCTCGATAGCCTGGTGCATGATCCGGAGCTGTTGCGGCTGATTTGCAATAAAATTGGACCAGATCGGATCATCATGGGTAGCGATTACCCTTTTCCACTTGGCGAGATGCCTGTTCCTGGGAACATGTTGGTAAATGACAAGGTTGTTGGTGAGATGTTTTCGCAGGAGACGCGAACACAGATGTTGGCTGGGAATGCGATCGAGTTTCTGGGGCTGCATAATATGTTCAATTCGAAGAGTTAGGAAATATGGATTTGATGCCTTCATAAATCTCAACTGGTTTGAATTTTCGCTCAAACTGCCGCAACTTGGAACTCAGCTCAGCTTGGGTTGCAGATCTGCTAGGGGCTAGGCTTTGCTGTGGGGAAACCCGCATGAACGGTGTTTGCTCCTGTGTTGGGAAGATGAGATGCATCATTTTTCGCATGACGTGGTCAGCCGCGGACGGCAAAATGATCGACACGCATATAGTCTACATAGCATGGCAGCAGCGCTAGTAAGAGTGCGTTTGAGCAGGTTCTAGTCCAAGACAACGTCAAAATCATCGTTGTGAGTCTGTATTATGCATGCCATAAATCCGAATTATGACCGGGATGTGGTGGAAGACCTGCATGAAAGGAACTTTGTGATCCTTGAGACCTCCGCTAAACCCACATCAGTTCATAATTATGCCCTCAAATTTGCTCATCGCAAGAGGTTCGACATCTGGCCGCTCCACACAATTCCTACTCAAAGCTATAAAAGACTTCGTTATTGCATATCCTTCTAAAACAATGGCATCCTACGATTTCAAAGTTTGCTTCGTCATTTGGTGGTCGGATAACATCGATACGGAGTACTATCCGAGCTGGACGCCGCTAGTACCACACTGATTTCATAACTGCAGACTCTGGAATCAATGAGGGGGTCATAGTATGAGACCAGCGTGGTACCAGTGGGTTCCAGTTTGTATAGTACTTCGGTGTCGGTGTTATTCGCTCACCAAACAGATGATGGCTACATACTTCAAGGTGTACAGGGTGGGTACAGACAGGCCGAATCGGATAGCGGTCCGGGGAAGACAATCAACGATCGGCAATTTTGCTCACCCAAATATCAGCTTCATATCTTAAATTCGATTGCGCAGTCTGGCTAAATGTTTTGCAGGACTCTACAATATCATCCAAACTCATAGTGAATCACTCCTCTCGACATGGAGGTGATCAGGGATCTATGGGGACTCGACAATCCGGACGATGCGAGCACCTATCTGACGAACCGTGCAGGCAGTCCAATCTGCTTACAAAACTTCTTCAACAATGAGTTCTGTGATCATGAAGAATCTCATAATTGGATAGAATCGTTCAACCCCCGGTCTGGGGAGCTTCTGGCCCATGTACCTTCCAGTACCGCCGGGGATGTGGACCGAGGCGTTGCCGCAGCCGCTCGAGCGTTCCCGTACTGGTCCCAAACGTCTAGACAGGAACGCTCAGATATCTTAATGCGCATTGCTTCTACTATCAGTGATAAAAAGGAAATGTTTGCAGTGTGGGAAAGTATAGACCAAGGGAAAAGTCTAGCCAGAGCTAGGATCGAAGTGGATCGTGCAATTTCCAATTTCCGGTGAGTACCCGACCGAATCCTTGATTTACTCAAGACGATGAAAGCTGACGAGACTCAGATATTTTGCGACATACATCTTGCACGAAGAAGGCTCTGTTCGTTTTGTCGATGGACAACCGAGCACCATGACTTACGAACATCGGTCACCCGTCGGTGTATTCGCAATCATCTCGCCATGGAATATGCCTCTTTATCTTTTGACGTGGAAGATTGCACCCTGTATCGCTTTTGGATGCACAGGTGTGGCAAAGCCCAGCGAGGTCACCAGCATTACAGCTTTTTGTATGACCCAATTATGCAATCCAGAAAGATTACGAGAGGCTAACTGTCTATCCAGTACTTGCAGAGGTATTCAAACAAGCAGAGTTACCACCGGGTGTTATGAACATCGTATTCGGTGCTGGTGCCGAGGCAGGTTCAGCGCTGGTTAAGTCACCCGGAGTCCGAGGTGTCACCTTTACTGGTGGAACAAGTACGGGAAATTGTATTCGGCAGGACACAGTGGCTGATATCGGAAAACATGTCTCGTTGGAACTCGGTGGGAAGAACCCAACGCTGGTTTTCAATGACGTCGATATCGAGGAAGCGGTGCGCGTGGCTGCATCAGCTGCATTTGAGAACAGCGGCCAGATATGTCTCTGTGGTTCGCGCATATACATACATCGTCAGATCTTCGATGTGTTTGAGTCGGCTTTTGTGGAATATGTGGAGTGCAATTATCGAGTCAGGGACACAATTGGCCCGGTCGTTTCGAATGAGCATTATACCAAGGTCAGGTCATATCTCCAACAGGCTGAGGAAGAGAATGCAACATTCCTCACAGGAAGGGTCCCCACAGAAAAGCCTCAGGGAGGTTATTGGATAACTCCGACCGTTCTTAGCGACGTTCATCCGCAAAGCCGGATAATGCGGGAAGAGATCTTCGGACCTGTCGTGACTCTCTGCCCATTTGACACCGAAGCAGAGGCCATTTTGCTGGCAAATGACAATTCGAATGGACTGGCCAGTGTGCTCCTCACCAAGGATCTTGCTCGGATGCGTCGAGTGGGAGAACGGATCGATGCCGGCTTGGTGTGGGTTAACTGCTGGCTGGTGAGAGAATTGGGCACGGCCTTTGGGGGTATGAAGTCTTCCGGTATTGGCAGAGAGGGAGGCGCACATAGTAGGGATGTCTTCACCAATTTGCGCACCATCCATGTGCGCTAGTTTTAATGTTCACTGTGTGTCGGGGTGTGTTTACAAGTCGAATGTTCTCCGGAAGCAGTGATGTCACTACGGGAGCGGAGCCGGGCCGTTCGGATCTATCCGAAGGCTGCCCAAGACTGCCAGTAGCTCACTTTCTCTCATTTCAATAGCATATCAATTCAATTTATTTGTTCATCCTGTTGCCTCAACCTCGATCAAAGTCATTTTTCCTTGCTACGGTCGTCATGTCACAAAGCACTCCCTATTTCCGCCCCTCCACCCACGCCCAAGGGCTAGCCAATTACCCTCATGCCCGGACAGTGCGATCCCCCGATGGAAAAGGCGCGTACATCTATGTTTCCGGGACATCTTCAAGACGCGGAGATGGTACATTCGTCGGTGCCACTTCCAATTCAAACGGCACCACCACCCTCGACATTAGACAGCAGACCGCAGCTGTGCTCTCGAACATCGACGAAATTATCCAAGGTGCCTCGAACGGCCGGGCAAGCATTCGGGATGTTGTCGATGCGACCGTTTTTCTGACAAACATGAAGGATGACTATTCTGGAATGAATGCTGAGTGGAATCAGATCTGGTCCGATCGCAATACTGCACCGGCGAGAACGACGGTCGAGGTGCGAGCTTTGCCAAGGGATGAAATTATCGTCGAGATCAAGTGTACAGCTTATTATGTATAACAAGCGGCATGTTAGAAAAGAAGTTCTCAATGGAAAAAACAGCCAAAAGCACAATATCATTAGATCTTATCTCGAGAGTTGCGACTGGTTCGCATAGCAAGACCGGTCCCGAGGCTAGGGGTGCGAAACAGGAACCAGAGTTTTCTGACGATTAATTTCACTTCGTCCCTGTTACGGCGGTGTTTTAGAATCGCAATGTGACAGGCCCATATCCTCGGTGTGCATACGTGCGGCTTTTAGCTGCCATGCACTTTCTTCGGGTCAAGGGGCTATATCGGAATGATTCGTCAAGGATATCGACCGCGGTCTCGACAGGTAGACAATTGAACCTGCACAACGCTGATGAAAATACAGCGGGGTAGCGCAATGTAACCTCCTCCAGGTGAGCTCCGGCGGGGTATCAGTCTCCGCCAATAGGGACATGCATACTAACAAGCATAACAGGATGCTGAAGACAAGGCTTCGATGAAAGAGTCTGACACATGCCATCTCCGAATCTATCCCGAAATGGTATTGCACCATCGCTAGTAGTGAAGATCCCTCACGATGAAATGCAAAGTCCTTCGGTTAAAAGTTATGATTGACATATTGTGTTTCCTCTTCTGGAATGGAGGCGGATATTAGTACTTCTGCTTGATTGCAGATCGCCCCCTATCGTACAATGTCTCATGATGAGACAAGAGCGAGATAGTAGTGCGCAATATAAAACCATATATCCGGCCTGGATCACCCGACAACTGCTAGCACTTAACATAGGGTCAACATTGTGATCATGTACTCCGCAGGCTTTCTCCTCGCCGCCCTTCCGTACCTGACTTCGGCTCTAGCAGGTGGAAAACATAAATTGGCGAAACGCGAGAGCACTCTTATCCCGTCATCATGCTTCGACTCAACTTCCTCCCTGACGGAATATTTCAACTACAATTACCCCTGGGGCGACACACACAACGGCGCAGCGATTATGAAAGAGGCGCAATCTGTGATCGCCGATTCGGGAACCCTCACTCTGAATGCTACATACACAGGGGCATCCGACTATGCATACGACTCGGGCACAGTGTACGCAAAGCAGCAATTCACTATCGAAGCATCCGGAGGCTTAGACTTCTCCGCTGAATTCATCGCACCCGTAGCGACGGGTACTTGGCCAGCATTCTGGTTGAACGGCGTCAACTCCTGGCCCCCAGAGATTGACATTGCGGAGTGGAAGGGATCCGGCGACATTAGCTTCAACACCTTCAACTCGTCGAGTGAAGTCGAAGCGAAGGATGTCGATTATCCAAGCCCGCCAGACTTTCACAAGGTCCTTGCAGAGCTGCGCGACCAGGACGGGAGCAATGTCAGCATCAATTTCTATCTTGATGGAGCTCTCGTCACGACCCAATACGCCTCGGGACTTGTTGGTGAACCGTTGAATCTGATTATTGATCTCCAGATGGAGGGGAGTAGTGGCAGCCCAGGCCCGACAGGTAGTGAGTGCTTTCCTTTCCTTCTCAAGCAGCGGAATTTTGAAGCTGACACAGATAGCAGCCACGTTATTTCAATCAAGAATCTCGAGGTTATCGACAAGAACCCCTGAACATTTTCTCTCTGGCTTTGAGTGTTTTGAGACTAAGGAAATTGAATTTATAATTTGGATACAGAGGATGGTTTCTTCTCTTCGAAATGGGGTTTTTGCTGATTTGGGCCGAGTGTCGCTTGAGTAGCTTCGCGATAAAAAACGTATCGGAATGTCACATTTTTTTTCATTCCTCTCCCGGGTTCCCCCCTTCCAGGAATTTGAAAAAGGTAAGCCTGTTTCCATCGCTATCTCCGATCGTAAATTGTCTGAAGCCCCATGGCTTGTCCTCAACGTCCTCGTGAAATTCCACGTCTCCCAACCCTTTCAAATGCGTGTAGTATTCATCAAATTCCGAAGTACCCAGAGCAACCATCGCCTCTGATGACTTGAAGCCCTCATTGTCAACTTTAGAGAAATAAAAGTTGGCCTCTGCCTTCTTTCCCATGAAAATGGAGCAGAAAAAGGGCTGGGATGTCCCATCCTCAGGCTTGACGCTGCCGAGTTCGAACCCGAGCTTCGTGGTGTAGAATTCAACGGTGCGAGCGATTGAGCGCGATTCGAACATGGGAATTACCTTCCATGCGGACTTTCCGATTTGAGAAGCCATCCTCAAAGTGTCGTACGGGATTGTATATATCCCAGAGAGGATAGCAATGATTGAGGTTGAGAGGTCTACCCGACGTAAGGCGGTTGATTGCGGGGTTCCACGTTCGCAGTCGCGACAACGCGTCGGTCTTGATATCCGAAGGGCTTCGATTTCTCAGGAACGCGAGCTTGCAACTGCGAGTCGTGTGTGTCGGAGTTGTGCCGGAGAAATTGCTCGGGGCCGATTCGCGTGACGTTGTCTGATGAAGAAAGAGCGACGTCGGGGAATTCTCCGCCGCGATTTCTCCACAAAATGCACGTATGTCTAGCAGCACTGCAACACCAGGGATTTGCCCACCCGGCACCACGCGGGCGTCCCAATTATGGGTCTGTGTGTCTTTTTATCCGTCTTCGGGCTTTTTGTCGGACAGTTCGATACCCGGGTCGCATGGGCAGGACAGCGCGTGCCTCGATGGTTAAATACGGGGTAACCAGACGCCAATCAGCAACAACCAACGACGCCTGAACACATCAATCCGACCCTAACTACGATCATCAAGATGCCTGGAATGGTATCTCGGATTCTGGTCCCCGTCACCATTCTGGGGGCAGTCGCTCTGCCGAATGCCAGGGCAGCCCAGGCCACCAACATTACGACCGACCTCTATGCCGACTCCTGGGAAGGCTGGGGTGTGTCCCTCGCCTGGTGGGCAAAGGCGTTTGGGGATCGAGATGACCTTGCAGACGTTGTTTTTACGAGAAATTCGACTTATTGGGAGCCCGGAAACCAGACACTACCTGGACTAGGCCTGAATATTGTCCGTTACAATGCAGGTGCCTGTTCGTGGAACACCATCAACGGATCCGTCACGATGTCGGCATCTCCAAATATTCCAGCAACAAAGCAAATTGAAGGGTACTGGCTCGATGGCCTTAGCACAGACCCCAGATCCTCCAGCTGGAACTGGACCGTCGATGCTAGCCAGCGGGCTATGATGCTGAAGGCACAGGACAGAGGCGCCAATATCTTTGAACTCTTTTCCAACTCGCCAATGTGGTGGCAGCTCAACAACCACAACCCCAGTGGAGCTGATGATGGAGGTAGTAATCTACCTTCGTCCCAATATGAAAACCACGCGGTCTACCTCGCTACGATCGCCAAATACGCCCAAGACAACTGGGGGTTACCTTTGACTCCATCGAGCCATTTAATGAGCCTTCGTCAAACTGGTGGAAAGCCTCGGGGACCCAGGAAGGCTGCTATATTGGCGCAAGTGCGCAGAAGTCTATTGTCCCGATTCTTTACGAGCAGATGAAAACGCGGAACCTTGACAAAACAATCATTTCCGCTTCGGACGAGAACTCATACCAACTGGCCCTCAGTTCTTGGAATACTATCGGTAGATCTATCCAGGAAGCAAATATCGGACGCATGAATACGCATGGCTATTCAGGGTCCAGTGGGCCACGCGATGATCTCCAGACGCTTGCCCGTGGCGTCGGACAAAAGGTGTGGGATAGCGAGTATGGAGATAACGATGAAAGTGGAGATACCATGACAAAGAACATCATCCTCGATTTGAGGATTTTGAAGCCAGACGCCTGGGTGCAATGGCAGATTCTTGATGGATCTGGTTGGGGCCTGATTAGTGCCGACATTTCCTCTGGAACGTTGAACGGCGCCACCCACAAATACTACGAACTGGCTCACTTTACTCGTCATATTCGGCCTGGCATGCAGTTATTGGAGACCAACTCAACCAATGTGGTAGCGGCGATTGATCAGAGTAGCCACACGCTGGTGATTGTCGCTGCCAACTGGGATGGCCAGGAAACTTTCGAGTTTGACCTGTCAGCGTTCTCGAAGATCCCGGGTGATGGAACCAAAATTCGAGGATGGAAGACCGATCGGGTCGGTGACAGTCTGTATTCTAGTTTTGGGAACATTGCGGTCCAGAATGAGAGGATCTCAACGTCGTTTGAAAATGGTACTATTCAGACCTTAGAGATCGACGGGGTATACTTGTGAACAGGCCTAGTGAGGCCATATGCGTCATCTTGTGCGCAGAACTAGGAAGAATGAAAGCCATATTCAAGGCCGAACACTATTCCAAAAAGGCAATTACAGTCGAGATTGACATCGGACGAATGCCCGGCCGAAAATCGTTCCGTTGCCGACGCTATCCCCAGGAATGCGGGGTGCAGTGGGAGAGTCCATGCAGCGGTCAGATTTCTACAAGGATCCTCAGTCACACTCGGAGTAAACTCCCCGGGGAAACAACGTGGCGTGTCCAGGGCAGTCATTGCCCCTGTTCTCTCCCTTCTGTGCGGACCGGAGCCCGCGAGATATTTCGGACTGAGAACTACCCAGTCCCTTTGAGAGATGTATATATCACCTTCGCAGGCACTCAGAGGACATATTTACTATTGCAATTACTCACCATTTCAGAATGGCCGAGCCCAACAAGCTCACCTCTGGAGAAAATCTCCCGTACGATTTCACAGGCGTCGTCTTGAAAGATGTCATCCCCAAACGCAGCAAGCCATGGTGGAAGGATTCACGCCTGGTACAACTCAACGCCCTCCTTCTCTGTGCCCTCCTTACCCAAACCGCTCAGGGTTTTGATGCCAGCATGATCAATGGCATGCAGGCGCTACCAGAATGGATCCAATTCTTTGGGCACCCTAAAGGAGCCCGGCTCGGTGCAATGACATTTGGTCCCACGGGAGGAGTCTTGATCTCAATCCTGATCTCCTCCCAGCTATGTGACAAATTCGGAAGACGGTATCCGATCTGTGGAGGATCTATCCTCATTATTATCGGTTCTGTGATCCAAGCCGCATCGGCCAATTACGGAATGTTCGTTTTCTCACGATTTCTCGTTGGCTTTGGCCTTGGGATTGTGTCTGTCGCTGCACCTCCCTTGCTTTCTGAAGTCGCCTACCCTACCCACCGAGGGAAGCTTGTTTCCTTTTACCTGGTATCATGGCCCCTTGGCTCTTTAATTGCCGCGTGGGCTACGTACGGCACGTTTAGAATGAATTCCTCGTGGAGCTGGCGACTGCCAAGTCTCCTGCAATGTGTTTTCTCTTTGATTCAGGCAGTTCTCAGTCTCTTCGCACCCGAGTCACCTCGATGGCTCATCTACAAAGAACGCGGTGAGGAGGCTTTGAGTATCTTCATTCGCTATCACGGCGACGGTGACCCCCAGTCCCGTCTCGCGCATTTTGAAATGGCGGAGATCACGGCGACATTGCAGATGGAAAAGCTGCAGAGAAAGTCGCGATGGGGCGAATGGATCTCCACAAGAGGAAATCAACACCGTCTGTTTTTGGCACTGTATATTCCCGCAATGCTACAGTGGTCTGGCAACGCGTTGATCTCCTACTACCTACCGGAGGTGCTCAACTCGATCGGAATCACCGACTCCAAGACCCAACTCACTTTGAATGGCTGCATGTCGATCTGGAGTCTCCTTTCAGCTTGCTTCTTCGCGACACTTGTTGATCGGGCTGGTCGACGGGGACTATTCTTGTTCGGTATGGGCGGAATGGGTCTTTCATATATCATTTGGACGATATGCTCGGCCATCAACGAGAAAAAAGGGTTCAAAGACCACAGCTACGCCGTTGCTGTTCTCGCTATGATATTTATCTATCAGGCACTCTACCACGCATGCTCCCCCGTCGCTCCGACATACATCATGGAAGTGGTGCCCTATTCCCTGCGCTCCAAGGCCGCAATGCTTTATCAATTGACTGGTAATCTGGCGAGTCTCTATAACAGCTTTGCAAATCCCGTTGCCATGGAAGCCATCTCATGGCGATATTACATTGTGTGGGTCGTGGTGATTGCGATCAATTTCACGTTGATTTTCATCTTTTTCCCTGAGACCAAGAATCGTGGTCTGGAAGAGGTGGCTGAGATTTTCGATGGACCAGGCGCTCTTTCGGGGGCCAATGCTATGAAGCAACTAGGTCTTGATGTCAACGCTGAGAATGCGGTCGCAATTGGGCGGGATCCGAAGTCGGCAGTCGAACAAGTGGAACGCGTTTGATTGCTTACTGTATTGTCGCAGTATTGTTAGCAATAATGAACTTCGTCTTGATTAAACAAAGTTTGAAGCTACTGAAGGTATACTATAGCATCCTAAATAGGCAAATTCCCGGCAGTCGCTTTCGCGGGAGCTCGGGGTAATGTTCGGGCGGCGACGCAGCGAGAGCCCGACGCCATTCCCCGCACTTCCACACGGCCATCCCCAGAGTCTCCAGATCATGCACTGCAGATCTTCCACGAGCTCTCGCGATGTCTTGCCCCATTCTCTCGACAGAAGGCGGCGTCGAAGCACCACTGTCTTGTACGTAAAGCGGCACAAGCAACTCGATGGAATCGACCACTGCAACCGACGAAGCGAGCAGCACCATATTCGACCCAGACCGTCCATCCTGTCAAGGCTGTCGGCGACGGAAGCTGAAATGCTCCAGAGAGACACCAACGTGCTCACAGTGTCATCGACTTGGCTCCCCCTGTCTCTATGATGTTAAGAAGAACAAGCCAGGTTTGAAGACAGGAGCAGTTGAGGGCTTGAGCCGTCGAATTGGTAGGTGAACGAGAGACAATCGCATCTTCATCGAGCTCATGATGACTTTTCAAATCTTTAGAGGTGCTTGAAGATGCCTTGCGAGAGGTCCAGGCGAGAGACAGCGGCCCCATCGAGAATTCATACCAAACATTTAGCCCCGAAAATGGGCGTCTTGATGGAGTAGTCAGTCTTCTCTCCACGGTGTGCATGGAACTATGCAAGTTTAACAGTCGCAACACCCGAATGGCCAACGAGTCGTCGCCAAGCAGTAGTCATCATGAATTGCCGACTTGCAACCGTGACGCCTCATACGACTCGCTCATCTCGCAACGGGCACGGAAGCGAAGAAGAGTCGATACGTGTGGCAACCCAAATATCGCAATCCAACTACCACTCGACAATCTTGACGCTTCTTCCAGCCTTCCCGAGTCAAGTTTGCTTGAGGATATTGTGAATACATACTTCGAAAGGATGCATCCATGGATTCCTATAATCCACGAGACCAGGTTTCGGCGCCGCATGCATGATCCAGATCAGAGATCGTCATTGGTCGTCATCCTTCATGCCATTGTGGTTGCAGCTATTCGATTCGAGTGCCCGGGCAACTTTGAAATTTCCGTCACGGAGATAGATTCCATTGTCAAGAGGTCGAGGAGCATTGTTGTTCTCACGGCAATGGATAATCTCTCGGTCGAGAATCTCCAGGCTTTGATTATCATTGCCTTTGATGATGTGAGTCCTAGCAAACCAAACTGAAGGTCATGCCAAGTTTGTTAACTATCTGTTGCTTAGATTGGAAATGGAAACACATCCAGAGCCTGGTCAATTGTCGGCTCCTTGACGAGAACAGTGGAATACCTCAGACTGAGTGTCGAGGATGAAGACCATGGCACCCAGCGGCTACTCAAGCCCTTGCTATCTCTAGCCCCCTCTCGTCAATGGGTGGAAGAAGAGGAAAGGAGGCGAGTATTTTGGAATATATTCAACTTGGATCGGTTTTGTTCAGTTGCAACGGGGTATGTCGAACTCATGCCATAATTAGAAAACTGCATCAAAGCTAAATCATCTCCTTCCTCTGCCTAGCTGGAACACAAGTCTCACAGCGGATGACGTACACCGACGACTCCCTGCGGATGGAGGCTTCTGGCACCGAGAGGAGCAGGTAACGACGCCATTTTTCGGAATTTGGGATCGATCCGAAGCGCGCATCGGAAATTCAATCGCTTTCCTTCCGGCTCAGTACTCAACTGCTCCTAAAAGCCCCGAGTCTGCAACGGATTCTCCAGTTCAATATGGTTCCCCACACTCCGCGTCCCCGAGCGCAACGCAACCAGACATGTCCACAGTGGGTGCATTTGCATATTGCGTCGAAGCAACAGAGTCCCTTAGTAGGGTTACCACGTTCTTTCTGCAACAAAAAATTAATTTTCATGATCGACGCGAAGTTAGTGGTTGGCTTACCCGATTCAAAGAGCTGGATCTTCGTCTTGTACAGTATGCCGATGCTTATGACTGCCTCATTTATCAACATGCAAACTAATGTGTGTCAGCTGGAAAATGTTTCTTCCTCAGAAGTGGAGGGACTCGAATATTTCGCGACAACCATCCTTGGTCCACATGGATCCAAATCTCACACTCGCGCATCTCACGCACAATACATCGATGATCCTCCTACATCAACGAATAGCGTATCCACCCGCAGAATGGGCAAATATCGTTCGACTTCCGAGTGTCTGCAGCGCTGAGACTTGTCAGAATGCCGCGATCGAGATTCAAAACATGACTGCGAAGTATTTGGACAATACACCTACCAGTCATCCTGTTTCCAACCAATTCGTCTTTTGCGTTTTTGTCGCTGCTCGTGTTCTGCTTGGTAAGCTTTATCGGATGACATTCTTCTATATTTCTCAAAATGTTTATCGATGCTAATGGAATGGGATAGTCAACTGGCGCTATTACAACTCCGCCTTGCCCCAAGAATTATGGCATCTCGTTAATAGTCTTGACGAGATCGCTCGTCGGTGGCTCGGATCTACCTCAAAAGATACACATCTCAGCCGTTGTCTGGCTAGCACTTACGCGAATCATCTTCGGGACCTCCATCGACGATGTATTGCGAACCCCCATTTCAACGTGGACGTGTTGGGGTACTCAACCGTTGTTCCGAACCATCATGCTTCTTCAACTACCGGGTCTGTGACGTCTGCCTGCTCGCCTACGGCCCAGCAACGGCAACAGCATACGGTCCATGTACCTACAACCGCATCAATTCAGAACCAACCCTCAAATTTAAGCCCAGATATCTCTCAAGTCGGGTCGCAATGGTGTGCTCTCAACAGTGTCGCGGCTACTCAACATCCACAACTCAGCGAGCCCCTTGGGAACTACCAGGTAAACGGCCATAATACAACTGACGAGCTATCTAATATCTCTTATCTGCTTCTTGATCAGCGCTTCATGGATATGGATCGTGTCATCAGTTTGGAGGATATGATGTTCACGAATACCATGGCGTCAATGAGTGCGGATACAGCTGTCCATCTACAGGATGGAAGCAACTAGCTACAAAGTCTATGCCGGCTGATTCTTAGTGTGCACGGGCATATCAAGGATTTCATTCACATTATACAATATTGAAACGTCAGTTTATCTCAAACTATTCCCCCGGAAGTGTGATGCGATAGACAAAATGGTACGTAGCAGCCTTTGAAGTATTGGGTATTTGAATGTCGATGAGAAAACTCATTATGAACTTCAGACAAGACCCATACGAAGCAACCGGTTTCCAAATTCGATCAAGTAGTAATCGCCATATACCAGTCCATGATCCCAGTAGCGGCGATGGTCAAGAGCATTGTAATTCGCGGTCGCATTTTTCAGAATGGCATCAAAGCTTGCACCAGGCTGTGTATCTTCAACAGTTACTCGATCTCCCTGTATTTTCATACAGGCCGTCTCAGCCAGGGAGAAAGCAAGGGCATCTTCAATCAATAAAATAGCGGAGGTGAGATACCTATTTCCCTTGTCATATTCACCACGAGCAAGAAGACTCTGCGCCAAAATCAACATGCCATTTGCCGCAATGGTACCTGCTGATGAATCGCGAAGAGGATTCGTCTCGTCGATGGGAGCGTCGAAATCCCAGAGCGGAACAAAACGTCCGTGGACACATGTGCATGATGGCAAACTCTTATTCTCAGAATCGATTGGAAGCTTTCGTTCAACGCAGTCTGGAGACTTCTCCAGTCGAAGAAGAAAGTATTCCGCCAGTCCACAAGCAGCAGTGAGAAACTCTTGATGACCCGTCCACTGGAAAGTCTGCGCATAACCAAGGATGCTCCACGCCTGACCACGTGCCCAAGTCGAATCTTTCGCGTACCCCTGGCCAGTACGAGACTCTTTAAAATCACCAGTCGACGGATCGAAGTTGGTGACATGGACTGTGCTGAATAGAGGACCTTCATACCCGTCACGGTGGGAGTAGATCCCTGTCTCGTGGCGCAGATGGGCTCCTAGGAGCTTATGCGCATGCGCTGTTGCAGCTTCTGAGAACCGTTCATTGCCGGTATGCGCTGCTGCATAATAGAGAAGATCTAAGTTGCACATTGAATCGATGATGACTAGGAAATCCCGGTCCATGGATGTGATGTTGACTCCCTTCTGCGTCAACTGGTCCCAAGAACGAATCGCGCCAACTTTAGGACTATAGCGCGTGTAAAGACTTTCAGCGGCAGTGGTTATGGTTGAAAGTGCTTTTTCGTCGTGGAAGAGCTCCCAGCGGGGTCGCATTGATGGCTGGATTATGAAGGACATGTCGTGTGTGTCGGTACGGAGACTCATCGCATGAATGGGCTCGGACCAAGTCTCGCCTAACTCGCGGAACTTTTTTAAAACAAGAGAAGTGCTCCCCGATAGGCCTGTGGTCTGGGGAAACTTGATGAGTCGTTCGATGAGAAGGTAGATCGAGCCGGGGAAGAAGCCGCATGTCCAGAAATCTGCTTCGCGGCAATAGTACTTTCCAGCATCGGGGCCAGACTGCGGTACATATTCTGGATATGCAGTTATGGGATTCTGTCTTCTTTCAGCATCGAATAACTTGAGCACAGAAACTATTGTGTGGCTGAACTCACGTTGTTTCCGAGACACCTGTCGGCGGCACGGAGGATCTTGGATGTGATATTCTCGTTGAAAAGCTCTTGCAGACATATATCAAGGGATGTAAGGGCACTGGGGCTCATTTTAGATGAATTTTGGGAGATAGGATTCCCGGAAGTTGTAAACTTGGAGCTGTGGGGATTTGCAATGTCCGCGCATTTCGAATCCGAGCCGTTGCTATGATTTGTGGCACCGTTGCAGAAAGTCATCTTGAAAGGGAGCGAGGTTATGACGAAAATGGAACTTCCCGTCAAATTGTCTGCACAAACATGCTATTCTACGTATTTGTAGATGATATACGTTTTCAATGCGGGCGATTGAATCCGCCGAGGTCCGTCGCTGCGCGGCCGACACCTCGCCCGATGCCCGACATTTCCTCCGAACCCGAACTCGCGGGGCAACAAACAGACAGCTCCATGTTTGCATGGGTTGAGTCTGGATTGCAAGCTCACACCTTTCAGTCTATATGATACTTGTTTCAATCGCCTCCCGAGCCACTTGTCATCTACTCAAGCAGCTGCACGCTCAGCTCAGCGGTCATCCACCCGTTCACATAGCCCGAGCACGAAACCTGAACGAGCCCTCGGAGAAAGGTCTCCCAGCAGAATGCCTCCATTGAAAGGATTCACAGACAACCCCTTCCGGACCCAAGCAGACGTTACCGAAGCAGCCCTGGCACTCCTACGACCATTAACGCCCTACTTCTCTCCCGACAAGGGTCGCATTCGTCTCCCAATCTCAACAGGCGTTCATTTCGATGAGACAGCCGCGCAAATCGAAGGGTTCGTTCGGCCCCTATGGGCTGTTGCATCACTTCTGCAATTAGAATCCTCTATTTCCCAGTATGACCCGACCAAGTCTGCTCTCGCGGAGAGCATCCGTGAAGTAACAGAGCCATGGATCTCGGGATTATGTGCGGCGACAGACCCCGAACATCCAGAGTACTGGGGTGTTATTGACGACATGGATCAGCGAATGGTCGAAGCAGAGGTCGTCAGCTTTGCCCTTCTCGTTGCACCCGGGAAGTTATTCCAAAGCCGCGACAGGAAGACGAGACAAAATATCACAACCTGGTTGAGGGGAATGAATGGGAAAAAGATGCCACCGAATAACTGGCGGTGGTTCCGTGTCTTTTCGAATCTTGCACTGGTCAAAGTTTGTGGTATTCCACTAAGCTATGTTCAGGATGAGATGCAGGCGGATCTTGCTGTGCTTGATTCATTTTACCTTGAAGATGGCTGGTCTGGGGATGGGCCGTGGCTTTCGACGGAGGAGGAAGTGAAGGAATTGCTGGATTTTGAACAGACTGGGCGTCGAGACGCGATTGGCAAAGGTCGCCAGGTCGACTACTATTCTGGCAGCTTTGCTATTCAGTTCAGCCAGTTGTTATTTGCCAGGTTTGCAGAAGACATCGACCCGGATAGGGTTGCGGGGTATCGACAGCAAGCGCGCGATTTTGGGGCTTCTTTTTGGCGATACTTTGGATCCGATGGTACGTCTACTTGCATCACATAGTGGGTACTGATGGCTAACAAGCTCGATCTAGGAGCTGTTATACCTTTCGGAAGATCTCTGACGTATCGCTTTTCGTGCGGTGCTTTCTTCGCTGCTTTGGCAGTAAGTCATATACCAGATATGCCACAGCCTTTGTCCACGTCCGGACAGATAAAGGGATTCCTTCTTCGTCATTTGCGGTGGTGGGCAAATCATTCTGCAGATATCTTCTACCGAGATGGAACATTAAGCATCGGCTGGCTGTACCCGTGAGTTATCTCAGCATTCCATTGTGGCCTGGTCCAGAAAGACTCATCAAACCTCATAGGAACATGTATATGAGCGAGGACTACAACTCTTCCCAGTCCCCATATTGGAGCCTGAAGACATTAATCGCAATCGCCCTTTTCGAGAACAATGAATTCTGGACAGTCGAAGAAGAGCCATATCCATCCCTCTTCAACCCACGACTCGTACCTGCTCCCAGACAAATACTCAGCAACCACCCCTTTGGCAACCATCATTTCTGCCTATCGCCAGCGCAATTCGTAGCCTGGCCAATGAAAGCGACCCAGGCAAAGTACTCGAAATTTGAATACTCTTCTACCTTCGCCTTCTCTGTCCCAACAGGACCTTTGATACAACAAATAGCGCCAGATTGTACCCTTGCATTGAGCAGAGATGGGGCAGAGACATGGGCTGTAAAATGGAAATGCTCCGAGCCTCAGTTTTCTCAGATCCAATTGCGGACCTCTGGCGGCCTTGTTTCGATACCCGCCGTCTCAGTACGATGGTATCCCTGGGGAGATCGTCAGGCGGAGGTGACAACCACGCTTATCCCGCCAACTGATCGCTGGCCAGACTGGCATGTTCGAGTTCACCGTGTTCTCATTTCTGAATCATTGCGGACTTTGCATACTGTTGAAGGTGGTTTTGCTTCGCCCGGACGTCGAAAACATAATGGCTCAAAGCTGCCGGATAAGAGCTCGATAGACGAGAGCTCAAGTATCGGCGACACAGAGGGGATTATTCAATCCGAGACATCGGTGTTGATTCTATCGTCTGCGGGTGCCACTGGGATTTCAAGTGGGCTCATCCACGGCTCTTCGTCGAAAGGTCCATCTGCCCGAGCAGTGGCTTTGAAGCCCGATGCGAATACAAATATCGCACACCAGAGAACTCTTATTCCGATTTTAGAGCGGGATGTCATTCAAGGTCTTCATACTGGAGATGAGATCATCTTTGCGACCAGCATATTTGCGGTTTCAGCTTCGGCAAATGGTAATCGCCGGGTTGGGAGGACTCTTGCGGAAAGATGGTCAGATCAACCAGTCATATCAGCCAGGGGCGAGGTATACTACGGGGAGTCTATTCTTTTGTCATAGACCTATATATCCTTTAGCCTTGAGGCAATGGAAGAAGCTGTACAATGGCGTTCAATTATAAACAGGGTTTCCGTGTAATATTTGTCACTGCGAAGTACCATGATCAGCATCCTCAACCCAGTGCGAGCTGTCTCTGAGAACATAAAATTTCCGGGATTTTCTTACTCATATTTATTTTCCACGATGTATCCAGGCCATGGAGTTATCGTTCTCCAAATGTGTCCCAGGTCCTTGAATTCATGCCGCGCGAAGTAAGAGAATGATTCTTGAAACTCATCCGGTGGAGGCGCATTCGAATGCGGAGGATTTGTGATGTGAGTATCTGCGACAGCGACGCTGCTGGGGCAAATCAAGCGAGGAAGGCTCAGTGGGAACATGGTCAATCTTCGAGATGTAGGGCTCACATAGGTACTCAGCAATAATCAACACCAGCTCGGTTGGGAGATCGTGGATAGAAGTGGGAATTGTCGCCATGGTGAAGATACTAGGATTGACGGGGTCAGCGGTGGCAATCTCGAATATTATTCGAGTGTGCGCCTGTATATCTTGCGTAAGAGGCTGATGGTCTTCGGAAGAGGAGTAGTATTGGAAGAGAAAGAGAGCGAGAGACAAGTGAGAGGAGTTTATATGGGATCACGTGAACCAGTCAGCCAGCAAGCGCGCTCTCTGCTTGCCATGGCCGCCGCTTCCTAGCACATAAATGAACAAGCGATGCGAGATTAGTGGCAGCCTTGTTCTGCTTGCTCTTTTGTAGTACTTCTCTGGCATAGACATCAGTCGATGAAATATTTGGATAGTCTCTCATTGACGCCTCTGGCGCTAAAATCAGGTTACATATGGCATCAATACCTTTAATTTTCGAGAATATTAGCTTAGTTACCTTGTCAACGCCTCTGCGAAGTATTTCTTTATTCGAAACGTATGTCTTGTTCAAGATATTCTCCTTCTAGTTCCCGCTATCAAGTGTATCGCCCAGTGAAACCCAACTTCCACAAAATAAACACAATAGTTATAGCCTACGAGTATAGATATGAAGAAAACAAAAACTCAGTTCACGAGATCTATCGTTTGAAATTAGGGAGTGAATATTACAGTACAAATCAAATAGCTCGTAGGCATGAAAAATCACTCCGTTCACAGCTTGACTCGTGTATCGTCCCTGGGCAGCCACCCGAGCATGCCTACCATACAGAAAAGGCGTGAAGGAAAAAAACGTAGAAAGAAAGAATAGATCGAGTGCTCTGGGCACGAATGTGTTGATAGGAACAACGTTGAAGCAAATATGTCAAATGAAACTCAAAAAGTCACTGCTTAGGAATAGCATCTCATGGATAGACGAGTCTAGAACAGGAGACCCAGGAAGGCAGCGATCGAACCCATCAGAAGGCTGGAAGCAATCGACAGGCCCGGGGCTGAGTTGAAAACTGGCGAAGCGCTGGGGGAGATGCCGGCGCTGGCGGTGGGCTGGCGATAGGCGCTGGTGCTCCAGGTGGAAGAGGCCGCGGCCGGGGCAGGGACCTTGCCGGTGTTGGCGGGAGCGGCGCCGCTGGGACCAGCGGGGACAAGACCGACGGTCTGGGTAGCACCTGCGGCAGTGTTGGTGTTGGTAATGAAAGTAACCTGCGGCACGGTCACGGTGCGGGTACCATAGGTAATGGTAGTGCAGGGCAGGGCCGGGGCCGAGGTGACTTCCCCCGAGCCAGCGGTTGTGCCGACGGCGGCAGCAGAGCTGATCACGGTGGCGGTAGAGACGGAGACGCTGGGAGCCAGGGTGATGGTTGAAGGCACAGCAGTCACAATACCGGGGTTCTGGTCAACCCAGTGAGCGCAGATACCGGTGAAGTAGGACAGAGCAGAGGAAATTTCCTCCTTGGTGCCACCCCAGGCCTGGATGCAAGAGATGACCTTGTCGGTGAACTGCTTGTTGGGGCAGAAGCACGAGGCATCACTGTTGGAGGTGCACTTGGGAGCTAGAGTGAGCCAGGTGTTCAGGCACTGAGGCACAGTGTTAGGGCAAGGGGATGAAGGAGCAGGGCTTGAGGCAGGCGAGGTGCCCGAGGGGCTGACACCGGTAGGAGCAGTGGCAGTATCGGGAGGAGACGTAGCGCTTGCGGTGCACTTGGTGCAGACGGTCGAAGTCGAAGTAAGAGTGACTGTGGAGACCGTAGAACCAGTGCTGACCGAGGTCGATCCACCGGTGGTGTAGGTGCTAGTGACGGGGCAAGTAGTGGTGGTGACATAAGTGACAAGGGTAGTGGTAGACTCCTCGGGAGCTCCAGGAGTAGAGCCAGCATCCACGCTTGAGGGCAGAGAAGGAGCAGGAGTCTCACTGGGGCTGGTGGTAATCCCAGGAACAGCCGGCGTGGTCTCGGTGATAACGGGAGTTGTCGCCGGAATGCCAGGGGCGGTAGTGGCACTAGCAGTGCACTTAGTGCAGATTGTGGAAGTCTGAGTGACAGTGACGGTAGAGACCGTGGAGCCAATGCTGACCGAAGTAGATCCGCCAGTGGTGTAGGTGCTAGTGACCGGGCAGGTCGTGGTGGTAACATAGGTCACAACAGTGGTCGTAGACTCCTCGGGCGCACCAGGAGTAGATCCGGCATCGACACTCGAGGGGACAACGGGGGTAGAAGTCTGAGCAGGGCTGGTAATACCAGCAGGAGTAGTCTCGGAGCCGACAGGAGTGGTCTCAGAACCAGCCGGAGAAGTCTCGGTGCTAGGGGGAGTAGTCTCCGTACCAGCAGGGGCCGTCTCAGTGCTAGCAGGAGAAGTCTCAGGAATAGCAGGAGCAGTGGTCGATCCAGCAATGCACTTGGTGCAGATAGTGGAAGTCGAGGTGATGGTCACCGTAGAGAGAGTAGAGCCAGTAGTAACCGAAGTAGATCCGCCGGTTGTGTAGGTGCTCGTGAAGGGGCAGTTAGTGACAGTAGTGTAAGTAACAACAGTCACAGTCGAGTCGGAAGGAATCGAAGAGCTACCAGCAGGCACCATCGGGGTCGAAGTACCGACAGGAGGAGCGGGCGAAGTGATAGGCGAGGACACGGGTGAGCTGCCGCTAGGACCAGGAGTCGACTCGGCTGGGGAGGTGGCAGCCGGGGAAGTGCCCTCCACAGGGGAAGATCCAGTGGGAGTAGATCCAATAGGAGTGCCGCCAGAAGGAACGGACTCGGCGGAGGTAGACTCAGCGGGAGAAGTTCCAGCGGGGGTAGTATCAGTAACGGGGCAGACAGTTGTGTAAGCCGGAATAGTAGAGGTAACGACCGAGGTAGAGTCAGCAGGGCAATCGGTCACCGTCGCAGCACAGCTGGTGATCGTGATCTCGCTGGTAGTGTACACAGTGGAAGTGGTCCATTTGGCCGGAGTACTGGTGACCGGAGTCACAGCAGGGGTGCTGGTAGCATCAGCAGAAGAGGGAACAGAAACAGGAGGCACCGACGCAGACGGGCTGTGGGGGGTGTAAGAGCCGGGCTTGCCAGGCACAGAAACCACAGTACTTCCGGCGGGGGTGCTGGGAACTGAAACACTCAGAGTGGAAGAGCCCGCAGCAGAAGTGGCCGGAGTCGAAGCGGGACCAGTGGGTAGAGTCGTGGCGGTGTTACCGGGAGTGCAGTCAAAGCCAATTGTGTAGATACCAAAGTCGCAGCTGTCATGCTCGCTGTCCTCGGGCAGCTCGAAGGAGACGGAGGTAGCGCCACCGCACTGGTCGTTCTCGATAGTGGTTCCGGCGGACGAGCAAGAGGCAGTGTTGCGGCAGGAGGTTCCATCAGGCATCTTGTAGATGATGTGCAGATCGGTTTCCTCAGAGGTAGAAATGTGGAAATGAGTGACGGAGAAGGCATTCTCGCCGCTGGAGCCGCACGAGAAGGAGGGAGAAGACGCGCTGCTTCCAACAGAATCACTCAGAGAGCCCGAGCTGGAGCTGCTGCTAGAGCCGCTACCCTTTCCAGCAGTACCGGTGATGCATTTTTGCTAGAGGGAAAGTTAGTATATACTTGCCAGTCAATAAACACAAGGGCAATAACATACACCACGCTTGGCGAGACCAGCTCCGCCAAAGCTGTTGCTGCACGAGAAGCCGGAGAAGTCGAAGCCTCCGTATTGAGAGAACGAGCCATCAGCCAGGCCGGTCCAGTCGAAACCATTTTGCTGGTACTCGTTACACTTGTTGGGGGAACGGCCCGGGCTGGAGTAGCATTTTTCGGAGCCCCAGTACTAGAGAAGAGTTAGCACTATCATCAACAGTTGTTGGGAGAGACGTGTCTTGTATGTTTTGATGAGAAAACACGTCAAAATCACGCGTGAAGAAGAAATATCAACATACCCCAGTCGTGGCCTGGGCAGCGGCCAGAAGCGTAACAAACGCGAAAGAAGTGGCACCCTTCATCGTGGAAGAGGTGTCAACGAGTGACGAGAGTAAACGAAGGAAGTCAGAATGCAACAGGTGATGAAGTAAAAAGCACTTTCTCGAAAAGTGGTGGTGATGAAGAGGAAGTGGGAGGGGAGAGAAAAGAAGCGAGAAGTAGATGTGCGGGATATCAAAATGGTAAACAATAGCCTCAAGTGAAGGGAAGTTCCGCACCAGGCAAGTAGGGGGAAGCAAACGGACGGTAGCACCTTGGTGACTGCTAGTCAACCCAAAGGCAAGTTCGAGAACAAATCAACGAAAGCACGAAAAATTATTAACACAAAAGAGGGTCTAACAAGGAGTAAACACGAAACAATGGGCCTCAACACATTCACCTGGAACCATGCTGGGCGGGCGAAGCCTTCTTTAAACCTGCACAAACAGCCGCCAAGGGTCTTTTCTTCCAGACCCCTACTAGTATCCATCACTACGGGTGCTAGCGCCCTTGTCTACCATGAGCATTGTGACGGGCAAGTGGTAAGACATCATGTCACTGGGGGCGCTGCTTCTTCCAATCGGCATGGAGGACACCGGACAGTTGAAACGGGATGGCGCCCACCAGGTTGCAGAGGATCCATTCAGCGAGCTGAATAGGGTCACTGCTGCAGGAACAGGCTGGAGACGCTGCAGCCAAGGGTCCGGTCGACAGCAGGTTCCAGCGGAGCAACCGACTCCGCGGCATCCGTCTACTAGGCATTCATCTGAGGGTAAAGACTCCGGAGTGAATGGAGTCTATCGCCCTAGTGCATACCCTACTACCATAGGGTCAGGTACTAGGCTGTATACGCATGGGCCAAAAATAGCCCCACGCTTGGGCTTCTGAATGGGCCACGACTGGTGAAAGCCGCATGATCGACACGGTTTGCAGAGAAGATTCGCAAGGTGCAGTGTGATGTGCAACGCTCTGGTCGCGATGCTTGACCTTCGTCAGCCGAACGACCTAGATAGGATCGTCGTCGCCATGTTCCCCCGGACACCCCGATGCCAGCGACTGGTCTCCACCGAGATGCTTCCTGCGGGATGAGATAGATCGCAGGGTCTTGCACGGTGACCCTTGGCTCGTGTGGATGCTCCAATGGCCTGCACAGTGCGACCGTTCAGAGACCCGACGCCTCTGTCCCTGTAGCGAAATGCAAAGGGGATGCAGAAAAGCAGTTTGCCGCCGGCGTCGCGCCCTGAAACTCGCTGGGCGGGGACTGGCTCGAGCGTGCAGCTTCTTCGGGTTCCCCACAGCGACCGGCCTGTTCAACGTGACTGCCGATATTCTTTCGCAGTGACTTGCAGTGCCATAGAGTAGTGATTGGGGGCAGAAGGATCATCGTGAGTAATCACACTCGTGTTAAACGCCCAGCCTTATTACAATTGTCCACCAGGCCCCGTTGCGCCGTGATAATTGCACCAAGGTTATCTCAGCAGGCAACTGGTGTCAACTCCTTTGCTATTTTTATTTTATTTTATTTTTTTATTTTTTTCAGCTGAAGGACCGGGACAAGCATTCCCGTTTGGAACATATTATTTTTCTTGCCAGGGGGCACATCCGATCAGGAGGTTGTGGCGTCGAGCTGGAGCCATCGGCTGTCTGGTTTCCCCTGTGGCGTCGCAACCGACGAGAGGTCTCGTCTCGTCTGGGCTTGATTGGAGCCAAGAGCAACCTGTCGGAGGGCAGAGTCCAGAAGCCATCGACGCAGCACATTGCTTCATACAAGTACCTATACTATGCAGTATTAAGTAGGAGTAAGGGAGCGGTCGACTAGCGGTGCAAGTGGTCTACATCTTGAATGGTCCATCCGATCGACCCGTCCTTGGGCCCAGCAGACAATCGACAATCGGGAATAGACAGCTCGTTTCCGTGGAGTGCGAGGGGCTTCCGTGTAACCGATGCTGCCATCTCCAGCGCCCTGATCTCGGCGCTGCGGTTGCTCCATTGGGCTCTCGCCAGCATCGGGTACTTCTATCTCTACCTCTACCAGTAGTTCCTATGGCATAGCTCAATCACAGTCCCTTGCACCGAGAATACGAACCATTGTTTGTTTCGCAGGAAAGTGCTTCTGAGAACTTTCGACTGGGCAGCAGGTTCGTGCTTGTTTGGCGCTGCGATGTTTCAGCGGGTCTTTGCAGGAACCGCCGGCGCCTAAAAATACCGGCGAATTGGGCCCGTGGGCTCGTCGAACCGCCAGCCTTGCAGTCCATCCTCTTCCGAACGGTTCTTCTGATCGATATATTCTAGCATTAGGTATGACTCTATTTCTGCTTGTGCAATGTTGCATTGTTCGTGGTCCAGCGGCTTGGTGGCTTGTTCGGATTGGGGCCTCCAGTCGTTTCAGGAGCTCCCATTGGCGGCTTGGTATTGGGGAGGGCGTCCGGAAAGCGAGTGTTTCAACATTTGCACTTGGGCTTTTGGAGAGTTGAAGGGGCTTCTTGACCTGTCCTCTCTGCTTGAGATAGGTATCTCACGCATCGATAGAGGGGTAAACCTCAGAACTATCTAACTACAGTGTATAATCGGGCAGCTGGAAATATTCTCCAGTATACTGGCAGGTCTAAGTTCCGAAACCACGATTGCCTCACACTCGCCAAGCCCGTTACACATTTGAACCATCTCGAAAGTCTTGGGGAAGCTTGTGCGAATTGACAGACATAGAGTGCTGCCAAAAGTACAAGTCCATCCTTGCCTTGCTAGAACACAGTTTGCCCAGTCTACTCTCCAGATAAATACAATCCATGCATGACAGGACCATCTATGTGATACTCTAGCCACCCACCGTTGTAACTCAATTACCTACGAACAACTGACACGGAGAACGTGCCAAGGGACGCCACAGCGTGGTAGCTGTCTCCGACGGATACCCCGGCTGCTGTGCGCCAATTTGGCATAGCCTCCACTCGGCAGCGGGAGTTACCCGTTTGGGAGGGACAGACCAAGACTCTTATAACTACTAGCAACGAATGATTACAAGGCTTTAAGCTTAAGAGTAACGATTAATTTTTGGGCACTGCCTATTTACACACTCCTAGTAGCTCGGTGAACAATCCGTGAAAAGCCAAAAGCAACATGGGTAAACTCCGATACTAAAACATACCAAGGAAAATGGGGAAGGAACTGAATTGGAATATTTGGAATTGGAATTGATTGACTGAGGCCCTGGGCCGCAGCCGCGTCTGCCAGCGACTGAAGAGTACTTCGAAACAGTTCAACTGCGTCCGTGTGTATCATGCTATCTTGGGTAAATCAAACTTCGTGAAATCATAATGAAACTTACGCGTGCCAGCAAGTAACTCATCCATGGTGACAGCACTCGGACAGAGTGCAGACAAAATCAAACAAGTCAAGGCAGAACGTATTTTTCTCAGAGAGGAACTTGGGTACGGCGCTGAGCGTCCATGAGCTTGCGTCGCACCGCTTCGCCACCGGCGTAGCCGCTCGCCTTGCGCTTCCGAGTCGGAGTGCGCTGGTCGGCGTGTTTGGCGTGTCGGAAGACACTGGCAGGGCGAGCAGGGGAGTTCGCGGGCATGAACTCGCGGTGCTGGGGCAGCCGAAGAAGGGCCTGGTAGCGATTGTGGTTGCGGCGGAAGGCAGTGACAATACCCTTGTCCAGGTGGTTCAGGAACCGCTCAGCATTGCTGTCGTGCTGTTCCGAGTTCTTGCGGGTGGGGGTGGGAGTGCCCATGGGTGGGATGGCAGAGCTGCCAGCCATGGGGGAGATAAGAGCATCATCCTCGAAGGGTTTGCCCATTTCTTCTTCCTCGTCGGAAGACCCGTCACCAAAATCGATGAAGTCGTCGACGTTGAGCGCCGACTCGGGATCATCTTCATCGTCGTCCTCGAAGGAACTGTCGACATTGAAGTCCTGCGAGGGATAGAAAGCCTCCGGTGGGCCCATGACCTGACCGCCGGGGGTCAAGTCGTTGCCAAGGGCAGTCATCATCAGATTCGCACTGGATGCGAGCATGGGGCTAAAGTCGGTTTGGTTGGGGGATGCAAGGGCATCAGTGTCACTCTCGTCAACCAATTGCAGGGTAGTCTGGCGAGGGCTGTTTTGCGCAGTCCCGGGCATGCTGTTGGCAGCAGACTCGAGCCAGTCGTGACGAGAGGAGGCGTAGGCCGGGATGATGACGAGATGCTTGCCAGTGCAATCGACGAGGGCAACGGGCTTGTGGGGGTCAGCGACGAAGGTTCCCATGATGGGACCTCGTCGGCGGGGGGCGCTATCGGCCTTGTCGTCACCAGTTGCGGTGAGAGAGTCCGTTGAATCGCGACGGAGAAGAGATCGGGGGTGTGTAATGGTTGCAGGGGAGGGAAGATCCTCATCAGTGGTATCACCGTCGTCGGCTGGGGGGTTAGGATTAGCATAAGGGTTCGGTAAGTTAATCGTTTCGTGCGTATCATACTCTCATAACCGCTCAGGCTGCCTTCAGAAGTTCCGTCGGACTCGACGTGGTAAATGTTTCCGTGACCGTAGTCGGCATCGCCAAACATCTCTTCGGACTGGCGACGGTGGCTGTGGCGGTATTCGTTGTTGTCATTCTCGATCATCCGACGCAGCTGGGGATCGAGAGAATCTTGCTGGAGGAAATCACCGGGAATCTCATCGTCGGTGTGGGATTCGCTGTCAGACGAGGTGTCGGATCGCTCCTCAAAGTGGACGCGGCGAGCCACGGGTGTTTCCACTGCTTCGCTGGCCATGTCGGTTTCGCCGAAGGTGTCCATGGCGGTGTAAAGCTGTTCCTCGTCAAAGAACGAGGCAGCAGGCAGCAGCATCGAGTCTCCGAAGATCTCGCTGCCATTCCACTGGCTACCGTGGATGTCCGACGATGGCATAACTCGATGCTCAGTCTCAGATTCCATGATCATCATCTCTTCGAGTTTTTCCACATCTTGTTCTTCATCGTCCGCGTCGGTGATGTAGTCCACGGCGGCGTAGACGTCATCGGAACTATCGTTTGTCTCGCTATCGCTGCCCAGAGAGAACTCATCGTCGGAGACACGTCTACGCTTGTTCTTGGAAGGTTGGCGCCCCATCTTGCGGGAGGTGTTTGGACGACGACGACCGTAAGATGGAGCGTGGGCCAGCGGCCGGTCTTCCTCATCGTCTGCATCATCTTCCGATTCATCCGCCTCTTCGCTCAGCTCTTCCAGCGAAGAAACCGAGGAGACGCTCGAGACGGACGAAGAAGACGCCCGACGCTTCCGGTCGGACGAGCCATGGCCGCTGGGTCGGCATGCCTTTTTCGATTGGGCCACAGCCTTGGGAGACATGTCCATGTGCCGCAAGGTGTTGGATTCGGGGGTGGCGGGGCGAGCTTTGCTGCTTTTGGCGGAGCCCTTGGGGGTCCGCTTGGTAGGATAGGGATCAGATTGCGGCATCTGGCAATGCGCGATGCAATTCTAGTTCGGCGGGGTGGTCGTGAACTTTTCGTAACGTAAAACTTTTTTTTCTGCCCGCTGAGTCGGGTAGGTGTCGAAGAGGTTTTTCAGGGAAGTGATCTCGGTGGAGATTCAAGGAGAGTTCAAGGGAGTCGGATTGTAAGAAAGGGTCGAGAAGTTCAGAGTAGGAGTTGTCAAGGGGCGGATTGAGGGGAGAGAGACGGGTGCTCGGGGAGGGAGTGTCGGGATGTTGATTTTTTTGAAACCGCGGCAAGCACCTTCAGTCCGGTCGGGACGGCGAAGTGCTCCTTCAGTGACTGTACTTGGGGGGCAATTCCGACGCTTCAGAGCGGGCGTCGAAAGAGGAAACAATATCGTCAAGTGAATTGAACGGATCGGAGCTGTTGGACTGGAGGACCTGGGAGAGCCCCCCAGCGAGGGATTTACAGCTCAACGAAGGCCATTTGGAATTCTTGACGATATCAGGTAGGGTAACAGTTTCCGAGGGGGTCAATGAAGAAGTGGTACGTTGCGCGTTGGAGGCAGTGAGGATGATGGGGGAAAGTGAAGAGGATAAAGTACGACTGAAGGGATGTCGATTTTTCCCGCCAAAACGTAAGTGGGGCCATCCCGCCGATGGCCGCCCGCCATTCGCCCGCGCCAGTTCACCGCATTTTCTCGCGCCAATCACTGCGTGGCAGATGCAAATGGCAGTTCGCTCTATTCAGTACGACGCTGGCATCAGCTATGAGTATCGTTGAAAATAATGACTACCAGTCTGAGTCAAATGACTCTATACAGCTTGGCCTGTAGTCTCGATAGCTCTACGATTTGCTCAGATGAGGCTACAAGCAAGGAAGTCAAAACACCCAATAAAGGAAAGAAAAAAGTTCTAGAGCGGAAAAAGAGGGGGAGAAAAACTAAAACGCCCCTAAGAAGCAGACAGACGACGCATCGCTGGCAATCCTGCGGGTCCGTCTCCAGACTAGGAGCCGAGGGACAATGTCAGGTTCTGGCAATAATACGAACGCCAGCAACCTGCAAAAGCGCCAAAATTGTGCAGATGGTGAGTTTACAATCGTCGGGGCTCCCAATCGATAGCCAATCTGCAATGCTGGACGTCAGACCAGCTGCACGTCGAGGGGCCGTTGGCTGAGCCGTGCATGATGAATCATAGGCCGATCAGAGTCGGAGTCACGATGCGATGAATCATATTTGTTGACACGGCAAATGTCCATCTCCGCCATTGGCTGGATCCGACCTTCGTTTTGGTTTTTCCTCCGGTGGCAATTCGGGATTCTCCATTCCGCAGCTGTCCTCTGTGGATGCGATGGAGCTGTGCGGGACCCGGGCTCCTCATCGGTGTCGAGATTCCTCAATCTCCGCCTCATTGCAATCGGCCCTTTCTTCAGCCCTGGGCAAGAGGCGGTAAGGAGGGCCAGCATGGCGGGATGCGGCCTGCATGAGAGGGATCGACCGGGCTGATATTAGGCCCTGTTTGGGTTGCCCATCACATAGTTGGGCGGCTGTCTTCCCCCGACCAAGCCTGCAAGGGATGGCCCATTTTGCCCCCGTTCTCTCGTGGTGACTGCAAGATCATCTCCCGCCCCGCAGTGGCAGTGGCCCGGTGGAGATGAAAATTCTCCCATTGCCAATGAGCGTCTGCCCGACGATCGACGGCCGAAATCCGCTCGGCGCTAGTCTATTTTTAAGGCGGGCGCATCGGAGAACACCTGTCCTGCTCGTCCCGAGGTCGAAATTTCAGTTGTTTCGAATGTCCAGAGACGGCGGCAGAGCATCGTGCTGGTGCAATGATGCATACTATGACTCTTCTGAAATCATGCCAACCATAAATGGGCGGTCTATTACCGCGGGATCCTGGACAAGAGACGGTGAATCGCAAACCTTAGTAACGCTACCAGATATATCTACCGTAGTATAGAATGAAAAGAACAAGAGAAACAAGCAAATGAACCAATGTCTATTCATAGAAATTCGACAGTTCAAGCTCTAAAATGCATCGGTGGAGTGGGATAAGCTTCATGGTTGAAAGTCAGTTACGGTAGCCAACAACGGTAGCTACAGCACTTGAGCATAGCTAGCACGTTGCCCAATCGATGAAAACATTGTTCGCTACTTAGATATAGGAGTCTGACATAATAGGCACCCAGTCAGTATGGCCGAGTGGTTAAGGCGCTAGACTTGAATCCCCATATTTGAGCTATCTAGTTCTTTCGAGATCCTAGGTTCGAACCCTAGTGCTGACGATTCTTTTTTTCTTCGTTTTTTTTTGGCTGTTTTTTTGGTGCACTTTTCGTAATGTCTGAATTGTCCCCGATGGTCTTTTACGACAAAGGCTCATGAAATTAAACAACCTAAATTTAATTTTCTTCACCAGCTGCCTCCTGTAAGCACAGCGAAACACCACCACCCTCCTGTAGAACCCTCCGATTTCCACAGGTATATTCGAAGAACAGGCATAGAATCCTACTGATATTTATTTTTATTTCCCGGCGTCGTTTCACCATAGGAAAACTATCGTTTCCATTTATTGATTCTATTCCGGTTTACAGGATATCTCTACTTTTGTACTAGCCTAGGGTACTGTCTCTTATGTTGTGGGGTAGCTCAGGAGAATTTCGATGGTAATGACAACTTAAAGGTATCTATATATATATAGGGTAGTCGTCTGAATCTACCTGCAGATTCATAGAAACATTGCTGAAATGCGACGTGGAGGTTAATCCTCACGTGCCGGGGTATGGTGAAATGTTCGGACTGGGCTCAGCAGGCGGTTTAGACCGTCCAAAAATAGACAAACGAGACTTCGAACGAGTAGGAAGAGGCCCCGGGAGAACATTCTCGGCGTCGGTGGTGCCACTTTGGGGAGCGGTGCCACTCTGAGGAGACGACAAGGAGGTAACATCGGCAGAAGAAGCCCGGGCCTCTTCTACCTTCTTCACGCCTTCCCTTACCTCATCGGCGGAAGCACCCTGGGGCGCGGTGGTGGTCAAGGTCTCCGTCGCGCGGATCTGGGTCTCGGAGTTCTCCTCGTTCAGCTTGATGATCTCTTCTTCCGTGACCAGTCGCTCGTTCTCAAGACGAACTTCGCGTCCTCGCTTATGACAGTACCACAACACGAAAAGCAAAACTGGAAAAGTGAATAGTTAGCACAGGATCTAAGTCCAAGCTCCTCGTGGGATTGAAGTAACTTACTGAATAGAGCCAGCGACCAGAGGACGTTCATGCCCAGGACAGCCGGGAAACGAGCTCGCAAAAAGGTCATGATCGATCGGAGCATTCCGATAATGGCAGCAGGCTTCGATACCAGCTCCTTCAGACTGGGCACATTGATACCCATCTTCTCCGCAGCCGCAGCCGCCTTGCCCACGTTCTCCATGTTGACACCACTCTTAGTTGCTCGCTCACTGGCGACGGCGAGCATCTCTGGTGCGAGGCTCTCTGTCCATTTCTCCGGGAGTTTCTCAATCAACTTCTGCATGGGGCCCGGGAGCTTCGTATAGGTATCTTGTAGTTGTCGGTTTCCGTTTGTCAAGAGCATCTCCAGGTCGTGGTAGGCTGTCGGAACGCCGTTGATGAGATCTTTGAAAATGAGTTTGAACTTGCGGAGCAGCTCCTGTGTCTCTTCGCTCATCGAGAAAACCTTGTTGTTCTCTGCGGCCAGATTCAAATGCTCGAGTATGTCCTTCATGTCCTCCTCATCTTTCTTAGCGTCCTTCCCATCTGCGTCGGAGGCTGCCGTAGTGGTAGGGATTTCAGATTTAGATTTTTCTTCGGTGGCGAAGTCTTTCTTCTTCTATGTAGACAAATGTATGATTAGCATACTGCAACTCCTTTCATGTCGCAATAAGGAATGCACACCTTCTTAGAATCAGGATCCTTTTTCCAAAACATCGCGCTCCATCGCTTCTTCTTCTTGTCCGATGCCTTTGCGGTCTCTAGATTTGGGGGCTCCGATTTAGTTTCGGCAATATCCGGATTCTCACGCGCCTCCTCTCCTAGCTCTTTGCCGAACTCTTCTGCAGGGGAAGCCGGTAGAGGAACATCCTGAGCATCGTGACTTGGAACGGTCTTGACTGGGCTCTCAGCCAAGGGTTCGGCTGGTTTCGCGTCGTTTTTATCCGGGCCAGCAGAGACAGGCGCTTCCCCTTGTTGGGCTGTAACTTGTTGCAGGAAAGCTTCGTCCTCGGCGCTAAGGACAGGATTCGGAGCCTGCAAGATCTGAGAGGATCGGCGCCTGTTTTTGATCTGATTGAAATAGTCCATCGCCATAACGAAGAAGGTGTTCGGTGGTGGTGACGATGCGATAAAAACGGGAGGGGGGGGAGGATATTTCAATAAGAAATAAAAAGCAATAGATGAAACGCGATGGGCGCGTAGGCAGAAGTAAGGGTTTGAGCGCGCGCGCTCCCGAGTCGATAGATCACCCTGTGCGGTGGTTATACCTGCAGAACGATCAACAGTGGTATGGAGCAGCTTGCAGTGGCAACGAGTGCAGGGCAGAGTTGCAGACGGGGGATCATGAAGCTCTGGCTTATTTTGCTTTGGCAGCAGCTGCGATCAGCCGATGATATCACTAGTGGCTGGCATGCGGGACACTCCCCCACACTCCCCTCGTGACACCGCCACATTATCTGCACAGCCACAGCCGCAGCCCTACTGCGGTCCGTGGTTCGATCGCCACTACTCGATCAATGAAGTCGAATTAGGTCTTTTCGGGATTCCGTTGGGAAATAATTTCAGTCGTATTAGATACATTATTTAATCAAGTCGAAGCTCATAGAAAATCTGTAAGTGCTATCAGTAGGGTATGATTGAAGATATATTTTGCTTTCCCACTGGACGTACGTACATTGTGTTGTTACTGGAGGATACGTGACATATAGAAATGTCAGGATGTCGGATACGTGTATCATCTAGTATCGAGGGACGGCCAATTGATGCATGAGATGGATTAACGAGAGTGTGTCTGTGTGTTCCGATCTGTTGAAAAATGATCCAAGGGCTATAAACTGCGTATTACATCACAGTTCTTCCGAGAATGACCCGAATTACCATACAATTACTATTGCAATGTGGGTGGATGCTGAATAACCAAGAGCAGTGGAGAATCCACAGTATTTTACCTCTCTCAGAGTTGACAAGAAACCCTAGCGTATCACATTGTGACAATACAATTTCTTACACACAAGCAATCCATTTTTCATTGGCATGACATACTGATGCTCTTGCAGCAACCTCTCACAGTGCTTGGGACCATCCCGATATGATGCAAGTTCCGGAACATTTTCTTGCTTGACTCTGTCTCAAACAATCCCAATTTGAACTACAAAACCGAACCTCGGCTCGCAAGTGCCGGATCCTCAAGTGCCGACTCGGGATTTACAGGGCATTCGGGCTTCAGCCAAGCACAATTAGAGTGCCCAGACCTGCGAGCTCAGACCCGTGAGCGATCTGGGTTTTAGGTTTGCGGGGACGGTTGCATCACCGCCGCGTCGGAATTGGAATGACCCATGCACGTGTCGCGAAGTCTCCGAAATGGCTTGATTGATTTTCTGCTTATAAGGAATTACGATTCAAACCGGGAGGAGGTATTGAATTTCCCGCATTGTGGGATCGAGATGCATATCGATCGTCGAGAGCGAACAGTGCAAATCAGTCCATGGAAGTCTCAACTCTGCCAGGATAACTTCGGATCTCTCCAGGAGATAAGATCTGGATCTATCTACAGAGCATCCGGTGTTGCCGAAAATCAGGAACGAGAATGGGTCGATGGTTTCTGCTCGAGGAGCAAATATTGGCCGAGACGCGTCTCGATTTTTGGGCTCGGATCCATCGCGATTGATGTCCCCACAGCGTCCGAGCGCCGAATTTCCCCAGGAATTAATTAGATACGGTATGGAACAAGAGCGCAAAGTCGACCGAATAGCGTCTTGGCACCCTCTCATCGCCGAGTGTGCCACACGGTTGTTGTGATGATTGTCTTGGCTGCCACACCAACTAACTCTTCGCCAAGCCGCCTCTGCACCCTCTGCATTGCAGGTCACATTGAAAATGCGGAGTGAAGACTTTCCCCGGATGAGATATGCAGCTAACGGATAGTACTTTGCAGATTTCCGAGTGACTTTTTCTGGACCTAGGTTGATTTCTCACTCCAACGCCCGACTACTATGGTTTTGGTATGTGTTTACTCTGCATATTCGATGCCGAGCGGTGACTGGAGAGCTCATCTGCATACCAGGTGACAGACGTTTCAGCTTAAGACGATTTACTTTCTGGTCGCGGCCTCCGAATCGAGAAAGGCTGATCATCAGCTCGAATGCCGGCATAGTGGACCCAAATTATACTTACCGAGGCCCTTTCTGAAGTCGTAAAACTGATGGAGAGAACTATTTAAGCTGTTTCATTGCCCAGGGGTTTTGATCAAGAAGCTCAAAGGCAAAAAAGTCGCCTCAACAGCTTCGTTGCATACTCACTTGTTCCAAAATGAAGGGAACCTTTCTGTTTACCTTGATCACCCAAGTCATCGCGGCGCCAACTTTGGAATCGAGAGCCACTTATGGTTTGTGTAGACAAAAAAGACTGCTACTGGGACCGATGTACTAACATTGCTTGGAAAACAGACTCCAGTGCCTTTGATGCCCTGGCGCGTTCCGCAAAGCTTTCCTCTGCTGCCTATACGGGCTGCACTTCAAATGCCTTTGACGTGACCATCACCAAGCAAATTCGAGGCACTCTCACCGACACTCAGGTGAGCCATAATACACTTGCAGGTATACCCGACTCCAAATAACACGATCAGGGATATGTGGGATACTCCACGACGAACAAGAAGATTTCGGTTGTGATGAGGGGCTCGACAACTGGTAAGCTTAATACCTCGGCACGACTTTTTCAGAAAGTAGCTAACCAGTGAGAACAGTCACTGATATTTTAAATGATGTTGACACGACCCTGGTCACCCCATCCCTGTCTGGAGTCACCTTTCCTTCAGGCGTGAAGATTATGCGGGGCATCAATCGACCATGGTCTGCCGTACACGACGATGTGATCTCCGAAGTCAAGTCTCTCATCGCAAAGTACCCTGACTATACTTTGGAATCCACGGGGCACTCCCTGGGTGGCTCACTCACCTATATCTCCTATGTAGCTCTTGCGCAGAATTTCCCCGACAAGGAAATCACTAGTACTGCATTGGCTGCTTTTCCTATTGGAAATGAGGCATGGGCCAACTTTGCCAGCTCACTGAATGGGACGCTGAAGCGTGGAAATAACGTTGCTGACGGTGTTCCTGTAAGCACACCAACGCGAAGAATTGCGTTTATTTTGCTAACTTTTGGTGTCAGAACATGTACATCACTATTCCTTACAGTTTCAAGCACTATGGAACGGTGGGTTACTTTGAACGTTTCTTCAAATTTCTCAGTACGATTCATTACTAACAGCTAGGCCATTATCAGGAGTACTATAGCGCTGGTCTTGCGGCTACGTGCAAGAGATGCGATGGTCAACGCGATCTGTCCTGCTCAGCTGGAAATGGCATGCTCGGTGTGACTGCTGGTCACTTCCAGAGCTTCGGAGTGACTCTGGGCGCTGCTGGCTGTGGCCTACTTTCCTAAGAGTGGTTTCTACCATCAAGGAAACCCGAGCCGCAAGTATGAAACAGGTGCTGATCAAGCTTGGATAGTTCCCCGCAAGTGACAAAATGTACATTTGACTTGTTTGGATATCGGTACATTCAACATGACCGGCTCCCTGAAACTCTTGTACTTTGCAATGAATTTCTTGATGAGTCAACCACGATTTTTCTGCCTGTCGTAACGTTGAGTACCGTGTATAATCGGTAGAAGTATACAGGTTCCAGCCTCTAGGCAGCACCAACGTGCATATCGCAACGCCGATCGTGCAATGACCGGCCAATACCAAACGCGCCCTTAGCGCCACTCTCCGAACGCCTGTTGGCAACGCAGCCAGCCAGAATGCAATGCGCCGCATCGCCTGCGCCCCGGTGACGGCGGCACCTGCAGTCGATATCACCTGATCGTGTGTTTAAATACCACCGGCCCCCTCTCCCCACTCTTCTCTTCACGTCTGCCAGAGTCGACAACCCGCGTCGTGAGTTCAACAACTCGCGAATGCAAAAGCCCAGTTCGTGATCTGTGTCGTCCCGTCTCTTAATGAAACGGGCAACCCAAGATCGGAGCAAGGCTTTCCAGGCTCTCTCACATGCTCGCGTGATCTGCAGCGTCGCTTCTTCCCTCATTTGACCAACTCGTATCGCTCATTCTGATCGCCCAGGGTTTCTTCGTCGCTCCGTAGGTATTTCAGATCAGACAACCTCGGCCGCATCGTGATGTTCAAGCGTTCCTTTTCTTCCAAGAGCCGGGCGGGAAAAACTGTCAAGGCTGGCAAGAAGAAGTACGACGAACAAGCGAAAGAGAAGATGCAGCAGAAAGTGGATGCCAAAACGGACACCCCATCGGCGGGAAGGTGGTAAAGTCTTCATCCAAGGTTGAAAAAACAATGACTGATGCATTTCGTGTTGTAGTGCTCTGACTAGCCCTATTGTCACTATGGTGGTGGGTCGGGAGCAGCGTCTTTTCGCTGCACATGAAGATGTCCTGTCTCTTTCGCCGCATTTCCGTGCCGTTCTGAAGGAAAAATCTCTTGAGGAAGGCACGAAGCAACTGGTATTACCCGACGAGTAAGCCTTTACTCGACGCATTTCATGTGCGTGCTTCTAATGAGAGTATCAGAGAACCCGAAATTCTTTCGTGCATTCTCGAGTTCCTATACAAGGGCGACTACTACCCACGCTTGCTCCACGGCAAGCGTCGAGACTCTTGGTACCTCGAGAATGCCCAGGAAACCAACAACGGTAGCCGTGGGTCGAGCGAGGCGACGTTCTTCCATCCCGGTGTGGGAGACGTCGTTCTCCGGGACACGGTGGTATACTGTGCTGCCGAGAAGTACGACCTGGAAGAGCTGAAGCGTCTTGCTCTTCGCAAGCAAGGCCTTCAAATCGGCATTCCAGCCGACGTGATCTTGCGATCTGCTCGATATGCATATGATAATACTCCGGACTCCGAGTCTCGACTCCGCGCTCATTACCTGGCTCTTATCATTCGAAGCCGCAAGACTTTCAAGAGAAGCGGAACCATGCAGATGGAAATGGAGAATGGTGGAAAGTTGTTTTTTGACCTGTTTGTGGCGATGTGTAACCACATGGACGACCTAGCGGAGATCCGGTAGGATCCCTGTTTCGTTTATCACTGTTCATTGTTTGATGCCGTCCTGCTTTCTTTTGTGCTAACGAGTCTCCCCCGCCATTTTTTGGACCGCGAAGCTTACACCGCAACAGTCTCAGACGAACCCCGAAGTTGTTCTAGTCGGTCGTCTCGTCGCCTTTGCGTTTTGCACTTTCGCAGCTCAAGCGACACAGATTGAAATTGAAATTGAACCAGGGAGGCATACTTATCCGAACCAGAATGGCCGTCTTACTTGCGATTCTGAATTGTTTATCTTTTTGCTTTGACAGCAGATCCATTGACTCTTCGTTTCTATCGAGGTTGGCCGCCATTTGATGGTTTGAAGAAACCCCTCTACTCACTTTTAATTGGACCCTGGCGTCTGTTGAACTGACTTTGACTTTTGTCGACTTCTTTCTCTCCTTGACGCACTCACTACCGGTACCATTTTCATTTCTTGTCTGCATTGTTTGCTGCGTTCTCGTGAATTAATTTGACATCATGTCTCCACTCCTTTTAAGGTGCTTGCCTGCCATTTCAGCCATTGGTCACTTGTCATGCTTCAGGCGGTGCTTAAGGCGGCGCTAAGCTACCCTAGGGTATCGTCCACTTGCGATGCTTCAGGGAGAACTTGGCCACCGTTACAGGTGGTGCTTGGCTGCCATTTTGGCCACCGGCGACTTGCTATTTACACTCGAAATCAGAAATAAGGAATTTGGCCACCTCAATTGATTCTCGTAAATCTATGTCCATGAAGCTCGAACCACTATCTAAGAGCTTATCTCATCTGTTACTACCATAAGGCAGCCTTGTATATTAATAGCGGAGAGGCTCCTTCGTATCTACATTTCAAACAACTCGGAGACTATTACTCCCTCCCAAATGTCCCGCAATAATTTGGCTCTGCGTCCTTTCACCATTAATGTCGGGACCAGTTCGTTTCGAGACCACATTCTTCTTCAATCTCTCATCAGTCCAATCCCGTGCGTCAGCCCCATCTCTCATTGGTGCATCCATTCTATTGGACGGAATACTGTCTCCTTCCTTCAAAACCATCTACTTCTCGACTCTTCCTCCCTCCCTGAGCCTATCTAGATTCCTCCTTCGCCACGTGAGCGTGGGTATATAACGTCTTCCCTTTCTCTTCCAGCTTTCTCCGTCTTACTTCTTCACACTCGAATTCCTCCTCGTTCGAAGCCTAATTCGGGACCAAAACCGTCTAAATTCGACAGGAGTCTCCATAACCTACGCCCGAAGAATCCCTTTTACAACTAACACCCGGTGACTGTCAGACTCATCTTCGAATCTTTCACGTCACTCAACACTCACCCAACCCCTTCCACCACGGCCAGAAGCCTTGCGTACCTGCCAAGAGAACCAAACAACCGGTATCTGGTGTCATCGAAAATTAAAAAGAGCTAATGGAACTAGCCAAAAAGCCCAAATTCGGGGCTTTCATGATTGCTTCTCAAAAGGACTCACTTGCCTCTTCCAAGTCTACAACAGCGCTTATGGAGCAGTTCCGTTCCTCTTCTGCTTTCACCAGCTCCCCCATGACAAAGTTACCTACTGCTGGTACTTGTGAGATCCCCGAAGTGAAAAAGGAAATCAAGTCAGAGAAAATCACCAAAGGAGAGCCATCTCTTTTTGACATGAGTATGCGCGCTGCCCTGAGCCACAATCTCCTCAAGAGAAAGCTTTCCGATCCAATTCTGGCAGTTTTTCACGATGCAGTCAAGGTACAGGTTGAGCGGAGCGCGAGGCCGAGCAGATCTGCTCCTTTATCACATTCCACGAGTTCACCCCTCGCCTCACCCCCGTGCCTAATATTCAATGGGCGAAGCAAGATGCTGGAAGTGACAAGGCGATGGATAAAGCTACATGAGCTCTAACCTCCAGCTGGGAGGCATCACTATGTCGGGATCTACGAACGCAGATTCGGAATCTTGGCCAACTCTATACGAGAGCGCAATGTTTCCAACTCACTGACCTGATAGATTCAATTGTCTTCAAGTTGTGGGTGGTCTGGAATGCCTACACGGGTATCCCTCAGCTACTGCCTATCCTGAGCATTGGTTTCATGATCTGGCCCGATGACTATACTGCTGACACAGTTTCTGATGATGCCTTCTGTCAGTGGATCGTCGATTCATTGCGGAGATTTCGGGAATGTTCAAATACGAGTGTGGAAACAGACTCTGGACTGTTATGAGCGCACGCCCGAAACTACATGACGTGATCACCAAGAAGGACAATGAGCTACCCGATAGAGACCGGGTGAGGTACTCTGACCCTCGAAAGCTCCTCAAAGGTCGTGGGATCGAAAATCTCTAGGTCCAGGACTGCACATGGGGGTAGGTAGGCAGAAAGCGATGCCCCCGACGAATTTTGGAAAACTAGAGCTTTTCTTTTTCTGGGGGGAGGGGGGTGGTGTGGAGAAGAAGGGCTGACGGCCTTTTAATTTCAGTTTACATCAGGGGACACAAAGCCCAAGAAAGTACTAGTTAGTAGTGGTAGTACAAGAAAAAAAATGCAGAGAACCTCTTTCTGTATTTTCAAGGATATTTAGATCAACAGTTAGTGCTCTGGCCCCTAAATTATCAAACATCCCATCATGAAGAGGGCCGACTCCAGATGAAGTTCAGAAACTGCGTGTCACTCAGGAGCTATGGGCTCTCCTAAAAATAAAATAAAATACAGAATTAACTAAAATGAAATAAAATAAAATTCCATTATGAGATGGTCATCCCAGTATGACAACTGCTGGTCATTTATACCCCAACAACGATTCCCTCCACTTCACGCCCTGGTCGCCATCCTCCAGATCCATTGTATCTTTCCATTTGAAAATCACGATTCGAAAAGTGACATTAAATTTAGCGGTGTGATTGATAGGGTGATCCCCGTTACTGCTTCATGCCACCGGGAAGGCCCGGACCTGGATAAAGTTAGTATCTTGACGCGGCTCAATGGTTTGAGTACGACTGTACGGAGGGGTTGGGTCAACTTACCACGCTTGAGTGCCTCCTGGAGGTTCTGAGCACGAGACTTCTTGGTGAAGGTGCTCCGGTTGCCGGGAACCGGACCCTTATTCTCGCCGTGCTCACTCTAGCTCTCGGGCTCGGTAGAGGAAAAGCGATCCTACTTCTTGCCACGATACTTCTTGGTGGCGGGAGCGCGTTTCTTGCCCTTGGAGTGAGGCACATAGTCGTCGTCCTCGCCAGATTCGCTGGTGGAGCTCTCTGAGCTGGTGGGGGACTTGGTACGGCGGGCCTGGGTGCTAGAAACCCGCTTGCGCTTCGCGGCGGGCTTGCTCTCGGTGTCTTGGGCCTGCTTAGCGGAAGGGGGATGGGCACGCTTGCCGGGGGCCTTCTTTCCAGAGTCACCGGTTTTCTTGCTCTTGGGAGACTCCTTGGCCTTGCTGGACTCCTTGGTCTTAGTGGCAGGAGCCGCCTTAGTCTTCTTCTAGAGAAAGTGTTAGTCATGGCCATGGCTGCTTGAGACAGACAATACATACCGGGGAAGTCTCCTTGGCATCGTCCTTAGCATCAGCCTTATTGGAGGACTTGGCCCTCATGCCAGTTTTACCAGGGCGGTTGCACTCAGCATCCTGAAATCATGAGTATACTGTGAATGATATCGAGTTTTGAGAAGGGAAGCGAAGAACTTACGCCATTCCACTCATCATCCTCGATGTGGCCCTTCTCGATGGCAGTGCGGATCTTCTCACGGGTTTCGTCATCCAACTCCTCCCAGCCATCAAGGGTGTCGAAAGCGATGGACTTGTCCTCGTTGGCGATGTTTTCCGTGATGTTGTGAAGCACACGGGGTGTGGTGCATCCCCTGGTACAGAACTATTAAAATATGCAATGTTAGAAACTGGAGAGAGTAGCTTACCAGTGTCTCCAGGACCAGGACTGGAAGCGCTCGTTGTCGATCCAGCTTCCGACGCGAATTTCGCCCTTCGTGATCTTCACCTTGGCATCTTTGCATTCCTTGTTCGTGCAGCCAGCCCGGTTGTTGGGCGAAATCTCTGGATGGAATTAATCGCGAGAACCATCAAAATACATGATTCCAAGAGCACAATACTGGACTTACCGATACGATAAGGCATTCTGAAGTGCCGAACGCGATGGTTGTGGGGGGATGGGGAGAAGGGTGCGGGTGGGAAGAGGAGAGAGATGGGTGGGCGGAAGTGAAAGTACCCAGCAAATACCAGGCACCACCGCGACAGCGCGTTAGCTCCCAGCGCACAACTAAACCGCGTAGTGAATAATTGAAAATGGAGGTTGCAAAATTAACCACATGTTGGCCATTCAACCCAGAATCTCTGAAATCGTCGCATTTCTTGGTTTAATTTGGGTTTGAGAAGAGCTGGTCACAGCAGTTTTCTCTTGTCTCTGAGGGTCAAAGAAGCCTGCGCTTCTCGTTTATCATGGGAAATTCTGGGATGCGGACAAGATCTTGCAGTAGCGGATGTGAGATATTATGAATGAAGTTTCCATTGTGAAATTGGATTTAAATACTATTCCAAAGCTGTCATTATTATACACCTATCCCAGTATGCCAAGCTGTTTGCTGACAGAGGACCGTCGATAGTCCAGCCCATCAATGCCACGAAATCCGTACCAGCCAAGGTGAAATAGAGCGGAATGTAAAATGAACATTGCTTCTAGGGTGTATCTCAAACAGACTACTTATGCTCGGCCCTCGCAAGTCATACTACTAGTAGTACCCGGGTATAGCTATCCGAAAGAGGTTAGCGCGGCGCTGCTGTCTGCGACCGCGGCCTCGCGACCTCGACGGACTTGAATGAATGATCTCCGCCATCCATCCTCAACTTCGTCTGCAAGTTCCCCAGCAGACCTGCACACTCAATACCGAGTGCTGCAGAGCATCGACAACCTCAGAAAGGTACGTACTGACCAATTTGCCCGCAAGTGCCGCATATCCTAACCCCGATACAGCAAGAAAGAAAAAAGCAACCGCTGCAAATAGCGAGGCAGCGCCAACTCCAGCTCATCGCCTAGAGCATACACCGTCTATTCTCCGAAATGTCCGAACCAGGCCGCGAGTCTATTCCAACAAGCGCCGACCCGAAAAGCCGGCGCCCAACAAAGCGTCGCGCCTTGTCGCCGACATCCGAACAAGCGAAGGCAATCGAAGCACTCTTTAAGAACCCCCCGAAGAACCCAATTTTCAGCACCGAAGTCCAGCGTACCGGGCCTTCGATCGCACCGCCTCCGGAAATTGTCGCCAACGTCCAGGGTTCCTCGGCTGGTGCAGGCTCCGGCGAGTTCCACGTGTACAAGGCTAGTCGGCGTCGCGAGTATGATCGGCTACGCGCGATGCAGGAGGAGGTGGATGAGGAGAAGCAGAATGCGGAGCATGAGAAGCGTCGGGCGGAGATGAAGCGACAGGATGAGGAGAAGACGGCGAAAAATCGACGTAGGAGACAGAAGAAAATGGCTGCGCGCTCTGGGAAGAAGGGTGGCGATGGTGAGAAGCCTACTAGTGGTATAGCTGGACCTCGGGCTCCTGGTCCCTCGCAGGATGGTGCCGGTGATGCTAAGCCGATTAAGAATAAGGGACCTGGTCCTTCGGGTGACTATGCTGTTGATCCTGAAGGTCAGCAAGTTGAGCCGCAAGGTGTGATTTTTGCCTCGGACGACTAGTGGTAGTCTGACGATAATTACAAACACCCTACTGCCATGTACGATAGTTAATTGAATCTCGATACGAAGACACGAAGATACCCATATGACAGTTCATTTTGGTCTAGGATATTCATACAGATAAGAAGCACCCCAGAGGCAGTCGTGTAGCATTATGTACGGACCTCAGGTCCATGAATCATGGTCTTTTTTTGTTCTTGATCATACTTGTCTCTTACTCCTCGCCACCACCACCGCCGCCGCCGCCGGCAACCTGTTGGGCCGACTTGCCAGAGCAGATATCGTCGACACGGAGAAGCAGGCATGCGGACTATATCAAAAGTTAGTGAATTATAGTTTGAATAGAATGCAAGTGGAAATCTTACCTCGACCGCGGTCTTGATACTCTGAAGCTTGACAGCCTCCGGCTCCCAAACACCGTACTCCTTCATATCAACCAGGTTGCCGGACTCACCATCCAGACCCCAGCTGGTGTGGCCCTCAACGTGCTTGGCACGCAGCTTGGTGAGCACGCGGATAGGGCTGGCACCGGCGTTCTGGGCCAATGTGCGGGGAATAACCTCCATGGCGTCGGCAACGGCCTTGTACGGCCATTGTTGAACTCCCTCGATAGACCGAGCAAGCTGGCCGAGCTTCACGGAGACGGCCATCTCGACTGCACCACCGCCGGGGGCCAGACGGGGGTGGAAGATGACATTGCGAGCAACGGACATGGCGTCCTGGAGGTTGCGCTCGATCTCGTTCAGGATATCCTTGGACGGGCCGCGAAGCAGGATTGTGCAGGCCTTCGGGGACTTGCACTGGCGCATAAATGTGAAGTACTCGTCACCAATCTTCTCGATCTCGAATAGACCGCAGCGGGTACCGATGTCGGATTCTTGGATGTCGTCGACACGGTTGACGATGGTGGCGCCGGTGGCACGGGCGATACGGTTGTTGTCGGTCTTACGCACGCGACGGAGGGCAGTAATGTTGTTCTTCACCAGGAAGTGCTGTGCGAGATCTAATCAAAAAGTGGCGGTTAGAAATTGACATTCCAGAGAATTTGATACCAGTACTCACCCGAAACGCCCTTTTCGGTGATGACGAGATCAGGCTTGAATGCCACGATAGCATCGCACATGTGCTTCACCTGCTCCTCTTCAATCTGCAGAATACGGTTCCAGTCGTCCTCCTTGGAAACCTCAATGTTGGTCTGGGACTCGCCCTTCTTGTACTCGAGCGGGCAGTCGAGCAAAAGAATGCGGGGGTTCTCGATCCGCCTCCGCATCTTGGGGTGGGTGATATCCTTGTTGACCATGACACCGTCGATCACTTCAGAATCCTCAATCTGACCACCGGGAATCTTCTCAACACGCGCGTAGCGCTTGATGTCCACCTCCTGCTTTCCACCACCTACATCGAAGGAAACGGTTCGCACGGCATTCAGCGCCAGACCGCACATGAGATCGGACCACCGGGAGACGAATTTGGTTCCGATGGAGGACTGGATCAGACTGTACATTGCCTTGTCATCGTGGATATCAACGGGGACAGAGACCTCCTCGATAATGGCAAGGGCGTCGGCAAGGGCGCGCTTGAAGGCGGAGATGATAACGACGGGGTGGATGTTGCGTTCGAGCTGGGGAAGGGCCTGGGCGAGCATCTCACCGGCTATCAAATTGTCAGTACTTGTCGACAGTAACTTTCACTATAGGATCTCATACCGAGAATGATGACCGTCGTGGTTCCGTCACCGACTTCCTCGTCCTGGGTACGGCTGAGCTCGATCATGCTTTTCGCGGCCGGGTGCGACACCTCAATTTCACGCAGAATGGCGTGGCCATCGTTGGTCAGCACAATACCGCCCATTGGGTCGAGCAGCATCTTCAGCATGGCCTTGGGACCGAGACATGACCGGATAATGTCGGCCACACTAAAGGGGTTGAGGTTATTCGATTAGCTTCGTCCGGGGGAAATCGCGGGAGAAAGAGCAGCGTACGTCTTCGCAGCGGTGATGTTAGACAGCTGCGCCCGGCGGCCAACCTGTCTGTCACCGTTGTTGGTGTCTGTCGAGGGGTTAGCAATGCCATCGGGGGGACCGAAGAGGGGCACGAACTCATCACCACCACCGGAGCCTGCATATTGGCGGTGGTCTAACGGTAGGTTCGGGAAAAAGAAAGAAGCGGGCTCAGGGTCGATAGAAGCGAAGAAAAAATAGCTCCGATGGACAGTCAGGAGAAGCCAACTCGGATCCACGTCGATGCCCGCATCCCAAATTTCCAAAGTGGGAGCTCCCTAATTTGGCACTAAACCCGAACGGGTAAGGCAAACCAGTCAAACAGAAAGAGGTGGAATCTATACTTCTTAAGCTGCAGAATTACATGAACATTGCAATCAATGGGAATGGTACAATGATGATGGATAATGTCGTTTTAAACGGATTCTTTTTCTCTAATTGAAGAATCTTTAAATTGAATACTTCGTTTGTTACATGTGTGGGATTGATTTCAAGTTCTTCTCATATCGTACAGTTCTTCCCTGCCCACTAAATTGCAAGCACATCTTGCCATTCTATTTACGTGCGTCAATCCGCTATGGTAAGAATGCAGATCACCATAGAAAAATGCAGAAATTTTTGAAAGTGGGCCCGAGACACTCGCTGTTCAGAACTCTCGGCTCTCGCCAATATCACAGACATCAAAGACGCCTGTCTCGGGCATATTGAATCTCTTCAGGGCGGTCTTGAGCTTCTGAGGTGGCTCCAAGACGTCCTCTTCAGTCAATACCCATGTTCCCCAGTGCATACCGAGGGCTTTCTTGCACTTGGTATCCTGGAAGATATTCACAGCGTCATGAGGATCCGCATGTGCTGAGCTCCAAATGTGCCGAGGAGCATATGCTCCGATAGGAATCAATCCCAGATCAAACGGGCCCCGGAATTCACCCACTTGCTTGAAAGCAGGGCAGATGGCAAATTCATACTTGGCATCGTGATCATCTTCGCCTTCAGGAAGGGCGGGGACTGCCTTGTATCCGGTATCGCTTTTCACCCAATTAGTTGACTAGACTTCCAGAAAGTGGTGTCAAATGTACTTACCCAGTGAAGTAAACCTTGCTACCTCCAGATTCAATCGCCCAGGAGCACCACAACGTTTTGTATCTATCAAATGGGGTCCGGGCAGTGACATGCTGGCAAGGCAGGCAGCTGAGTCGAGCAGTAATCTCTGCGGGTCCAGAGACGGCTTCTCCGACTGCCTCGATCTTTGGATCTTCATGCTTCGACGGTGACAGGGTCACATCACGCTCATCCCACCAATCCAATTCTGTGACCTTTTCGATTCCGCAACTGTGGAACCAGGACTTGTTGCCCAAAGGGACGAAGAAATGGCAATTAGGGTGTAACTTGGCGATTTCAGTCACGCCCGGGTAGGAGAGGTGATCGTAATGGTTGTGTGAAATCACGACTGCATCAATCACCGGAATGTCCTTAATCTGACAAGGTGCTTCCGTGAAGCGCTTCGGGCCCAGCAGGTTGTAAGGACCACACCGTTCCTCCAGTACAGGATCGAAGAGAACGCGGAGGCCACCGGGGAATTCAACATAGTAACAGGCATGACCGAGCCATGTTGCTCGTAGTTTCGGGGTATCACGAGAGGGAAGAAAGTCGGGCTTTCGCACGGGGACGGTCGGGCCGGTGACGTCTGGTACATTTGCTTTGCCAGTCACTCGACGCCTGAGATGGAAGAACTGCGATTAGACCATTGCTATGCATTGCTGGCCATAAAATTCACTTACATCAACATTTCACGGACATTGCTAAAGTCCACATCCTTCCATGAGCTGACAGGGAAAATTTTCGTGTTAGGACCACGCGACCACAAAAAGAGCCAGCTCGCTGCAATACTCACTCCCAGGGATTCCTAAACCCTGATTTCGCATGATGGCTCTTCTCGGAAACATCTTCGGGAGCTGGCCTGGCGGGGGAAGTCGCCACAGTCAGCGCGTAGAGTACGCCAGTGGTGGTTGACCCCATGTTGCGGCGGAAGGACGATTGGAAATGCGAATGCGCCCGTCGAGAAGGACGAACTCGAAAGAACGCACGCATGACAGGGGTCCGGAACGCTTAAGTACTCCCCGATCAACTCGAGCGCGAACCCTGCGCCAGGCCGCCGTGATTGGGAAGAATGCGGAGGGAAGCCTTTGGACTAATCATAAAGGCCAGGCCCAAGCCCCGATATCTCCGGGTCGGAGGGCCGTAGCGTCGTCCATTGTCCGACCCATGTGAACCCGTCCCCGCATAGACCAGGCGGACCCCGGGGTTGCGACGTTACCGGAAAAAAGGTCAGAGCCCTAAGGACCAGAACAGACGAGAGTCATCGATAAGAGCATAGAGGAGCGATCAATGGGTCGCGTTGTACAGGTCAGCTGGGCTTGTTCCCCCGTCACGCCAGCCCGGCCCGTTGTAACTCCGGTATCGTTTCTTATCGGCGGGCCCATCTCTGATCAATTGCGACTGACGACAATCCGAGAGCTCGCTGCTCCTTGCTACTGCACTTCACTGTCTTCCCCTCAACTCGGCCAGCATGGAGCCAAATGGAGCCTCCAGTGCTGCGCCGTCGGCGGGCGACTTGATCCTGCAGCAAAGGACTCAAGCCGTCCAGAATGCACAGCAGGCGGCGCAGAATGGCGACGGCAGTCTTTTTTCCCAATTGACAAACAATCCCTTATTCACAGCAGTATGCATGCCCCAATTGATTCTGGCTCTCTCGAGATTTAGATTTTTTTTTTTTTTTTGACATGTCTTTTCTTTCTAGGGCTTCGGGCTAGCAGGGTTGGGTGCCGGAATGAGCTTCGCGCAAAAGGGTTTCCGCCATGGTGCGGCTCTGCTTCGCCGTCGCATGCTAGTCGACGTCGAGATCAGCATTAAAGACGACTCATACCCGTGGTTTCTGCACTGGATGACCTTGTATCAACAATCACAACTCAGTGCGACCCGCGCAGCGGCCAACAACACCAGTTTCATCGACCGCATGCTTCAAAAGATGACCCCGGGCATGCGACACCTCTCCATCCAGACCTCCAAGGTCGAACGCTCGAACGGCGCGATACAGACACATTTCTCCTTGGTACCGGGCCCTGGCAAGCACGTGCTTCGTTATAAGAACGCGTTTATCTTTGTGAATCGCGTGCGGGAATCCAAGTCTCGCGACATTCAGACTGGAAAACCCTGGGAGACGATTACCTTGACGACGCTCTATTCTCATCGCCACATCTTTGAAGACCTCTTTACCGAAGCCCACGACTACGCCGCGAAATCACACGAAGGAAAGACCACGATCTATAACAGTTGGGGAACTGAATGGCGGCCATTCGGACATCCTCGACGGAAACGCCCGTTGGAGTCTGTGGTTCTCGCCGAGGGAGTCAAGGAACGCATCGTAGAGGATGTGCAAGATTTCATCGGCAGTGCTTCTTGGTATCACGATCGTGGCATCCCCTACCGACGAGGATATCTGCTTTACGGGCCCCCGGGCACGGGTAAAGTTCCTTCATTCAAGCGCTTGCTGGCGAGCTGGACTACGACATTGCTATCTTGAATCTCAGTGAGCGCGGATTGACTGATGACCGGTTGAATCACCTCTTGACCATTGTCCCGAACCGAACACTGGTTCTCCTGGAGGATGTGGATGCGGCTTTCTCGAATCGACGTACGCAGTCTGATGCCGATGGCTACCGTGGCGCCAACGTGACGTTCTCCGGTCTGCTCAACACCCTTGACGGTGTCGCCAGTGCCGAAGAGCGTATCATCTTCCTCACGACCAACCATGTCGAGCGACTGGATGAAGCTCTGGTCCGACCTGGTCGTGTGGACATGACTGTCCGTCTTGGAGAAATTACTCGCTACCAGGTTGCCCGCCTTTGGGATCGATTTTATGAAGAAATCGATACCGACGGTGCTCACCGCCAGCTGTTCCTCAACCGACTGCAGGAGCTTGGATTGATCGAGGATGAGCATGGCCACAAGGCCAATCGCTCCAGGACGACCAGTGCAGCTGCCTTGCAAGGCCTGTTTCTGTATAACAAAGGCGACATGGAGGGTGCGATTGCTATGGCTGAGGGATTGATGTATTCTGTTCACGATGAAGCTGCAGCATGAGTTTATTCCAGTTGACTGTACCATATGTAAATATAACACCCAATAGACATGTTTGCCATCTTCTCGTGTCATGGTCTCTACTTCATACTGTATTTGGGTATCACCCTAACAGGGGTAAAATTGCCCAACGCCAACCGAGCATCTTCGGATACGGAATAGCGAACAACAGCCGGGATGCATGTTTTGGGCCGAAGCCGGGGCCATGTGGCCTGGAAGAGTCTAGTGCGATTGTTCGATATTGAAATCCTGCACATCTCGAAGGGTTTTTTTGACCGCGTTTTCGGCTCCTCCGGGCTGGCGGTTATGCAGCCACTTCTTCAGACTATATGCCCGGGGTAACTCAGGTATCCGATCAAATGCCCAATAAACTCGACTTTGATCTCTTATTCGTACTCTCACTGACCCGGAGAATCAATTCCACTTTCTTTCCTCAGAGCTGCTCATTTTACCTCATGCAGGCCTGCAGACCTGCAGCTGGGACAACCCAGGGCGCTAACTCTACCATGAGACTGCCACTTCGGCCGAGCGCCAATTGACAATCAGAGCCTCGCGAAATAAAGAGATTCGGCGACAGACCAATCCAAAATAGCCAATCAGCCGACGAGCTCGAGGCGCCGGTCGTTATTCGCGGTGTGGTGATTGCACTACAGCGGCCAATCACAGCCGCGAGAAGCTAACCGCCGACCCTATTTTTAGGCCCATCACATTCGACGCGCTCTTTGCACATCGCGACATTTCTGCAGAATGTCAGATCCAGCGGCGGGGTTGGACTATATGTCCTTCGGAATACCCCCCTGGTCGGGTCCTGGCCCTGGACTGTTTCTTTGTGGAATCGCGATCGACATCCATTCTACCCTGGTCAACGTGCAGACTATACTGTGTCGACCGTGACCATGAGTACATTTCAATTATTCCCTCCGCCTGCGCCCGAGGTGCGAGGGTCCAAGAACCCATTTCGAAAGGGCGTTCAGAAACCCGCCATGAAAGCCGAGCCGGGGTCTCCTGTTCAACTTGACGAGATCAAGGATTCTGCGAAGACGGAGTCGGTCTTGCTTCAAATTATTGAGGATACCAAAAGTACCCAATCTACCCAATCATTTCCCCCTTTGCCACCAGTTCCGACATCTCAAATCTCAAGATCCAAAAAGTTGGCTACCGGGTCATCGCAGCAGTCGAGGCCTGCTCAGTCTGCTAGCAGTCGGAGCCGTCAATATCTCGAGTCTGCGGAGAGTAGTGCTAGTTCGAGCAGTAACAGTGCACACGCCTCGAGCTTGACTGTCTCGCCTCAATCTTCGCAGTCATCTGTTTCGCCTGTACCGATGAGATCGATGTTTCCTCGCTTTGATCCGAAGGTTGCGCTCAACCAGCAAAACAACACTCCACATATGTCTACCGATGCACCCGCGCGTAAATCTCGCAGACCAAATCTCACCCTCACGACCACATCGGATATTGATAATGTCCTCGGTCCAAAAACAGTTCCTGCAAGTGTGGTGAACTTTCCCATGGGCGTCCTTGAGTCGGAAGAGATTCAATACTCTTCCAAGCAAGATTTGGAAACTTTATGGGAGGCTGCCAACGGCCAAAGACCGCAGGAAACATGTGGTACAATCCACCTCCGCCTAACAAAGTAAATACCTCCCTGGCCTCTTGTGAAGCATTTGCTTATTCAATGTCTAGAACGGGCCCGGCAACATTCTCATTCGGCAACACTCAACAACCATTCTATACGCTACAGACCTACTCGAACAACGAAATCTCGCTCTCCCGAGCACCCCCTCAAACCCAGAAGGCGACGTCCCAATCATGGGCCTGAACCTCGAGGACCGGCACCGCCGTGAATACCCCAACGACGACCTTGTGGCGCTCATCTTCTCCAGACTAGCCGCTATACTCGCCATCGAGCAAGCAGAAGAGATCAGCAAACAGCACCACCTCACCTCCTCCGAAGCAGCCGATGTCGAAAGCAACGCCCTCAAACAAGCCGCCGCACAGGAATCCTGTCGTCTATCTTGGAACCGCAACCTGCGCTGCTACGAGCTGCGTCACCCCTCTTTCTCAAAACGGACACCGCCAGCCTTGGTTGGCGCCGCGGGCATTCCTCTTTCCCCCGTTCGATCTCGATCATCGGGTATTCTACATATTACTGTTTCCGCACCTTCGAGCGATGCCTCGCCTGCTCAACCGCCGACTATCATCGTAACGGGACCTGTCTCGTCGACTGCGATGGAGGCTGCGCAGCAGGCCGCAACGGCGCGAACGTCGACCCTACCTGTGACAGACCAGGACGAGCCACTCGCCGCGCTTGATCTCGCGACCCAAACGCTCTCTATTTCACCGGCTGCTGTCATCGCGACGATCCCCTCGCTGTACGCGATCGACTCGCTCATCGCGGCAATCCTCGCAGTCGCCGTTTCAGATGGAACAACCAATCCCATCTTGGCTGATATGAAACTCGGTGATACCAGTCGCCCTTCCGACTCGTATAAACCAAGTGAACCATCTCAAGCCCCATACCGCGGGAGACTTATCACGACACTCGCAGAGCGAGAAGACTACGCCGAGAGTCTGCAACTAGCCTCCCAAATCGAAGACGCGAATGCAAAGGCCGAGACGGCAGCGAAGAGAAAAAGCCTCTTTAAATTCTGGGACCGATTGAAAACCAAATCCCCGCAGGCTGGGCCTAGTATACGGAAGGGCAAGAATAAGAAGCAGCAGGTTGTGGTTGAGGAAATTGATCTGGAGAAATATGGTCGGTATGGCCATGGCTCGTCGCGGGAGGGGGAGAAGTTGCCCGGGACGGTTCGAACTATCCTGAAGATATTGTTTTGGGGGCTGGAGCTGTTGGTCAAAGGTTTGACACTTGCTGTGAAGGTGCTTGCGTGGGTGCTGGTACGCTCGACTCGGTGTGCGACGAGTGAGAAGTTCTGAGCTGGACTTGGGACATAAATTTTGGTGATTGTTTGTGGGCGTCGACGTATGTTTTTACTGTCTTGAGAGCGACAAGTTTTGTTTTATTGTTGTTTCGCTATACCCAATGGTTTATGGTTTTGTTTGCGCGTGTCAGTTTGTTTGCATTATCGGGTTCTTGTTTCACCAAACGCCACACCCGAAAGGGAAATAGGTCAACCAATCTTTTTTTTTCTCAAGAAATTCTCTCTCCTGTGGGATAGATAAGAGATGTCTAATTTGAATACTTTTCTTCTTTTTCTGCCGACATTCCACTCATGGAGACTTCATCCAAAGAGGCTTGAAAAGCTCACGTGCATCAGTCCTAAGAAGACCAGCTGCAGGGTCCTGGACCCCTTCGCCTTAACGACCCCCAGGGACCTCGCGATCATTCTCGCAATCACCATATTGGGCTTAGGATTCGGGATTGGTCCTCACCGAGGCTCAGCGGGTCTGCATCTCCAGTTCGTTGATCCCAGATAGTACTCTCTTCTGTACACGCCGGCTACTAATCGTACCCATATATAGCTTCAACTCACATCACATTGAATTGTGTACGTCTCTATTCCCACAGATCCAGGCAAACCTTCTTATAGTGTTTCTATTCCATTGTATGCCCAACCGCCAGACAGCATGTATCGACGCCGCTCGTCTCGTGTTCCCAAATTCAAAAGCAGGGACTGCAAGCCACAAGCCCCGCCAAGCCCGACTCGTCTCTTTTCAACCCCAGTAAGACCAGCAACCGAGTGGATATCCGAGGGATTCAGCCACTGGCAGCTCTACAGAGGACCTTGAGTTGACAGGGTCGGTGCTTTCAAGCGAGACAGTGGGAAATTAAAAGTTCGGCGCCGTAAGCCGGGCTTTACTCGATGACTTCTTGAGGTATATACAGCTAGTTGTAGAACATCGCTCCCTCGTATTCATGTAGGGCAGTCTCCCAACGCACTTTGACACTGCCCAACATCACAACACTGGTGCAAATTTGCGCCTTTTCACAGTCAAGCAATGGCCTGGGGACGAGCTGGTTTTGGTCTCTATAGCCTCTCCTTGCTCCCCTTGACATGGGCGATTGCATTCCCAGGCTCGCAGCCAACTGCGACGGCCCACGCCGTTTTGCAGCCGGATTTCCCAGTCCCAACACCGGGGATCAATCTGAAGCGAAAAGGATTTGAGCGTCGGGATAGTGATGAGGACGCTTTTGTGAGCTCGTTCCTGGCGGGCGAAGGGTCATTACTTTCCTATCCCTCGGCGATCACGACGACGACATCATGGCAGCCGCAGAGTGTTTGTGGATATATCAACGGCGCGTGGTCAGACTGTAATCTCCCTCGACACTTATCCAGATCTTGCTCATCATTGACTAATATTCTCAGATTCATCAATCAGATGCCAAAACAACCGCCAATGCGTCTTCCACACCCCCGACAGCAAATACCCGGGAATGGTAGGCTGCTGCGACGGATCGAAGCCAGAAGACTGCGCCTGGGGAACCGTCTGCTACAATAGCAGACAAGTCTCCGCAACGCCATCCCTCCTCAACTACCCAACAAACATTTTCGCTATCTACTGCACAGAATCAGACCAGCCATCGTGTCGGACATGGACATACCCCCAACTTGACATTACCGACTTCGGCTGCTGGTCGACGACCACCACGCAAACATTGTGGTTGATTGCGACGACAGCTGCATCTGCGACGGGTGATGCATACGGTGGATATAGCACGACGACATCAAGCTATAATTACTATGCCTACTACCCCACCGTCGCGGCAATTAGTCCGCAGGTGGTAGATGACAGCTGGATTGAGGTCTACATATCCGGCCCAGCAGCAACATCGGACAAGGCAGACAAAATCACCTCCGCCGTCGCATCCGGCTCTTCGGCAGGCTCAGATGGCGCCTCGTCAACCGACTCGTCCTCAAATGACAAGTCCAACCCCAACACAGGACCCTCCAAATCCACCAATGTAGGCGCCATCGCTGGCGGCGTGGTAGGAGGTGTGGTCGGCGCAGTAGGCATCGGCGCCGCAATCGTGATGTTCTGCCTTCTAAAGAAGAAAAGAAAACAAGCCGAGCAAGGCGCGTATCAAGCTGGATCAGGGGACGGGGGTACCATGCCGCAGCCGCCGCCGCCGGGCAACATGGATGTGGCGCCGCGGCCCATGCTTGAGGTTGAGGGCGCTGTGCTGCGGAAGTATGCCGAGGTGGACGGGTATCCGTCTGCGTCGAAGTTTCCGCCTGAGGTTGTGGGCAGTGAGGTTACGGATAAGCCGTTGGAGATGGATTCGAGGGGGTTGTTGCGGAGTTGCCTGGGCATGGGCATGGGGGGTATCCGCGGATGTAGTTGTGCACCAGTGTGGTTTGGCATTTCTTGCTATTGATTATATGAGATACCTCTTTTAAATTTATTAACCTGGTTTTACCTGAAGTGGTGTGTATTTGTTGTACGCAGTTTCCGGAGCTCAGTCCTAAAGAAGTCGGAGATAGCTCTGAAAACTAAAGCCCAATAGCTATGGAGAACGTGCATAGGTAAGTGATCTACGTAAACTAGTGGTTCTTGAGCCAATAGCTGCATTGTGGCTGCTAATAATTCCGAAATGTCAGTCGATCATTCAACAATCTATTCATATCTGATTCAGTTTGCCACATAGAATGCTGGTAACCAGTTGCTGGATGTGCATAGATGCAGTAATTAAAACTGGATATAATTAGACTGTTGATGTTGTTTCCAAGGTTGCTTTTATGATCAAGACAGAAATTACAAATATCACCGGATTGTAATTTAAATTGGACTCTAGTGATAAATGCGAATTTGAGTTCCTACCCTACCCAGAGTGACTGTTTACAATGATTTTTACATGTATTTGACAGTCTCAATTAATTATGTGCTACTCAGAATCCGTCTGTCCCCTGGACTCTTCAGGCCAACGTGATTGTACAACATTCCGCGGAGGAAAGGGTAACCAGGGATACAGTCAGGCACAACGAGGGACATGGCAACTGGCACATTCTTGCATCATTCCACAGCGGTCGGCAGGGGCAGTGGGTACGTGTGCCACCCCGAGTTCCCGCGCACTACACTACACTACACTATTCATAAAGCAGCCGCAGATGCCAGTCAAAGCTTATGAGCGCAAAGTGCCGTGCCTTCCCCTTCCACAAGTCCAGAATGCCTGGACGTCATCGCTGCCTGCACCAATCGTAGTCAACCGGCCAGGGGAACAAGGGATGCAAGACCCGGGTTTGAGAAATGGAATTCGAGTTCTCCTTGTTTGTTGATGGGTGAGCATTTACTTAAAGTCGATTCCGCTTCCCTGGTCCCCGGCGCCATCGCTTCTTTGCTATACCTTCGTCCTGATTCTGATTCTTTTGCAATTTGCCTCCCTACAAAACAAAAGTTCTCAAGATGCGCTCTTTCATCGCTGCTTCGCTCTTCGTGGCTGGTGTTACTGCTCAGACCACTAGTAGCTTCCTTGACTGTGCTGTATGTTGTCGCTGTCCGATCTATACCCCAAAAAAAGCCCTAACCGTCATTACGATTGCAGACCGCCGCCCTGGACGGCATTGATGCTTCCAAGTTCAAGGACTGCACCGGCCTGACCTCGCAAGAGTGCTTCTGTAACAACAAAGATGCCGTCGAGACTCTGTCCGAGGCCGCCGAGGACATCTGCAAGGAAGCCGGCGTTGGTAAGTCTCCCCCAACCAACAATAACCATACCCAACTAACACGGTATAGACTTGAGCTCCCTCGACACCTCCCTCTGCTCCAGCAACCGCCAAGCCGCACCCGCCCGACACGCCTCCCAGCCCATGATGCCAGCAAACATGAAGCGCGCCTACTCCCCCGACAGCCCGGCACCCGCGATGCCCGCCGAGCCCCGCGTGATCTATGTGACCGAGACCCGCACTGAGTGCGCCTGCAAGAGCACCCCCACCAATTCGATGCATATCTCGCAGATTCCCGTCGACGTCCCCGCCAGCTCCAGCATGGGCGGTATGCTCGCTGCTTCTTCGCCTGCCGTCTCTAACGGTGTTCTTGTCGGCGCTTCGTCGTCTTCTGCCATCTTTGGTTCGCAGGCTTCGGCGGCGACTCCTACGCCCTCTGGTGCGGATCCCAACCGCTTCCATGCTTTCCAGGGTGCCGCGCCTCAGGTTAGGGCTGTGTATAGTGGGGTTGCGGCTTTCGGGGTTGCGGCTGTTATGGGTATGATGATTGCTCTGTGAGATGGTAATGTAATGTGAGTGTGTATCTATTTTCTACTGCGGTTGTAGTGTTTGATTCTTGTCTTTTGCCTTGATAGGGACTGGTTGGGAGTTTATATTGGAGTCTTGTTGGGTTAATTATAGGATCGAGATTGTAATGATCAATGAAATACGTATGTCATTCATCTGAGTCGTTCCTTTTGTAGAAAACATGTGGACATAGAAGTATCAGCAAAAGTCCATTGTCGGAGGCTCGTAGGATCGGAGGCTCCTAGGAAACTGTTGCTAGCAAGAGGAAGCCGAGATGGTCATAAGAATAAATGGTTGCTGTTAGTCATTTCTATGATTCCCCCACTGTATCCCGTTTACGCATGAATCGCCTGCTGTACACGAGGATACAACTGCACAAGCTTGTAGTAGATATCCGGATGATCATTAATCATGACCTGCGGATCCCACCCCATAGCAACAAAAATCGTCTCCACGCCACTGCCAATCGGCGTCATGAAAACCTGGCAGACCTGTAGCCCAATGACAAAAGCAAAGGCCATAATCACCGCAGTAAAATCGCCCCCGTTGTTATACGCAGGCTTCGTGAACTGCAGGTAGAGATAGGCCAGCAGAGCCGAGACATACGCCACGAACATCGAGCCCATCGTCAGCACCGGCCCAATCAGGCATTCCTGCACCAGCGCGTCGATGCCCCGGTCCCGCATCATCTGCCATGTATCCTTCGCGGCGGGGATGTAAGCCTTGCCGTACAGCGCGATGTGACAGAATGCGTAGCGGTTGAAGATCGTCACCAGCCAGTCAAGGAGGGAGATGAAGCAACCCAGGATCCAGATGAAGATGCTGCCGACAAGGTTTCCCTCGGCGGCTTCGTGGCGCTGTGCGACGGAGCATGCTTGCCGGAGCATCTGAATGAAGGCGATGATCAGACTGCCCAGACTGATACTTCCGAAGGAGTAGGTGGTGGCCCGTCGGAACGCGCCCCGCGTCGAGCCCTTGGGCATGCCGCCGGCCGACTTGCTCCAGAAATACCACGCGCCATAGACACCGGCGATGGTCGTGTGGACGGTGTTCTTGATCCACTCGCTGAACCAGTACATGGCAAAGGTGACATACACCACCAGTCCAATGACCTTTGCCGTGCTGCACCCGCCGTTCGCACAGGATGGGTTCGTCCCCGTCGAATTAGGCTCGTAGGCGACATAGATCGCAACGAGGGTAACTGAGAACCAGGCTGAAAAGGCGACGGTCACGATCCCGCCCAGCGCACTCACGAGAAAAACATGTCCGTAGCCACGGGCCACATCCATCGTCGTCTGCAGCATAAACGCCGTGAACGGAATCCGCGGGATCCAGCTGATGAAGCAGATAATCGCGAAGACGCCGAAAAGCAGGAACACAATCCCGCCGCCATACTGCTTGCGCGCGATGTAATAAATACCCGTGGCGAGAGCAAAGACAATGTTCAAGATGCCGGTGACCCAGATAAAGGTCTTGGTAAAGTACCTGGCGCCCATAAAATAGGCCCAGGAGAGGACCAGCGCGACGACCAGAACAAAAATGAAGAGGACGAGGGTGTTGGTGTTGAGTGAGAAGTCATTTGCCGCATCGTAGATGCCGCCGCCGCTGAAGCCTTTGTTTGTCGCATACTTGTGGATCGTCAGACCGGAGACCGCGACGTAGCCCAAGAACACGGCGATGAGCTAGTGGGCCCTTTCGTTAGTTCGGTTGAGGCTGTGGAGCTGGGTTACTTGCGGGTGGAGAACTGACCAGAAGACCCGCCCAGAGATCGTTGTACTTGGGCTTTTCGATTTTGAACGCATCGTCGAAGGTGCTGTAGGGCGGGGGATCATCGGGGTAGGGAGGCTGCTGCTTTTGCTGCTGCGGTGGTGGTTTGAACTCGGGTGTTTGCTGGTAATTGGGCTGTGGGTAGTTGGCTTGCTGGTAGTTCTGCTGGTAGCCATCCTGCTTGTAGCCCTGTTGGTAGTCCTGTTGGTAGCCGTTCGGCTTGCCCTGCGGGTCGAAGCCCTGATTGGGGTCGTAGTAGCTGGCAGCTTGTCCGCTCATGGCTGCATCGTGCGATTGGCAGGTGGAAGTAGAGAAGCTACGAAGTAGAGGGAGAAAGCAAGGAGCTTTTATTTCCGCAATGGCAATGCATGACGACATGAACGACCAGCGGAAGGAACCACGATCGGCCCAGTCAGACCCGTCCATCGCCGAACCAGACCCTGGCCAGCGCTAGCGTCGACTCATATCCCTAGGGGAGGATTAGCGATCTGCTAGTGCTGCGAGTGTGGAGACAGCCCTGTAGGGTTCCAGCTGTACCTCAAAGGTCAAAAAATCCACAATTGGTGAAAGAACAGAATGGGTGTGGCCGCCGAGACCCTAAGAAATGCTGCCTGCTTGGCGTGTTTTCATGCAATGAATACTACTAGCAGTAGTACAGTAGGTATGAGTATGTACAAATTGTAATCACTCCTACCCAAGGGCAGGGTAGCAGGTACGTCTATCTAAAAATATGCGCAATCCCCCTGCTGAAGTCCTTCCCCAGACCTGAAGACGCCATAAATGCAAGGACTCCCCGATCTTGCGGGTTGCCCAGTCCAACGCCGCAACGAGGCACTGGCAGTTGATTATGATTACAGAAATTAATGGCTTATCCCGGTGACCCAGGCACTGGCAGCCTGGGGGCGTCGCTGCTAGCGAAACGCATGCTGCTTCAGTTGGCGCCAGGAGTGGACAACCCGTTCTTCGACGCGGGGAGTCTGGTTGCGCGGCCGCACGGTGAAGTCGTCGGTCGCTGATGGGATCTGGCCCTTGCTGAAAGCGACCGACCGTCGCAGCTTCTCTTGTCGAACGGCCGTCCGTCGTGCGGCGCGCAGTTCTTCGATACGGCCCTGGCCAACGCGGTGTCGTCGGACAAAGGAGTCTTCGAGCAAAGCGTTGGCATCCAACAGTTTCTTGGGAACGGTTTGCACCACCTGGAAGACTTCCATCGGGTCGGAGACGGCGAGGATATCGCGCTCGCAGGCTTTGAAGATGGCTAGCGAAACGCGGAAAAAGGTCTTGGAGCCCTCGTAGAAGAAAATATCCCACACTCGCAGTGTGGTTTCCAATGGTAGAGTCCCAATGAACACACTCATGAGCCAGTTGGTCAGGCCCAGCGTGATATCGGGCAGCCGGGAATTGACCGTCAGGGGAGGTAGTTTGCCCCGAGTGGGTTGCGTCCCGCCCATGCTGGCGATTTTGGAGTAGATGCCCGGCATCGAGTCCCGCAGCAGAACCATCAGAATCCACAGGTCAATGTTCGCTCCCTCCAGACTGATTTCATGGGTCCCCGGGAGGTAAACCGAAGTCACGATATGCAGCATCCAAAACGCTTTTTCCTCAGGGAGAAAGAGGAGGAGCATACCCGTGATGAAATTCAGCGATTGCGTGTATCCCACCTTGGGGTTGTGCAGTGCAAAGGCATAAAGGACTCGACGCAGTGACTGGATCATTGAGGTCTCCACGGGACCATTTTGCTGGGAATTGCTGCTTCCAGAGCTTCCATCATCAGCCACATCCGGCTTGAAGTGCATGTTGTCGGGAAATGTACGATGAAGATCTCGCTCAATATGCTCCTTGTCATCATTGCTCGGAGATGCCATGACCTTCTGCACGAGTTGATCGTAGAGTCCAAGGTTGCGGTTCAGGAGCTCGTACCCGCCGGCATACCAGAACCAGGCCGCACCCCGTAGCTCGGACGGGATGCCCTTGCGTACAAAGCGCTTCAATTTGGTAGACTGTGCAGGAAATGTAGTGACATTGGTGGTGGGCAGCCCATGTTCCTGCAGCAGGTCATACCATTTGGTGCGCCGGTGGGCCGTGTAGTTGGAGTAGGATCCTTTCCAGGCTTCGTATTGTTCCAATGTCACGTATTGCGTGGCTTTGCGGAACCCGTAGTCATCCCGCGTGTCGTTTCCAGAACTGAGGGGTGGGGGAACGGGCCCAGGTATTATGATTTTCGACGGCTGCCGCTGACGGGGTGATTCAGGGTGAGAAGGTGATTGTGGTTGGGGCTGAGGCTGAGAAGGTGGACACGGGGGAAACGGAGGCGATGAAGGTGCGGGGGGAGATGGCTCTGGAGCTACAGCCTGAGGTTCTGGTGTTACTTGCTCCATGGGGTTGGCCTGTGGCCATGGGGTTGTGGGGAGGGATTCGCTGATAGTGGATTCCAAGACAGTGGGTTCAGAAACAAAAGAATGCGGTTCCGGATCGGACAGTGCAAATTCGGGCAAGGTCGATGAAGGCAAAGGAGGGATAGGCGGAATATCGTCCAGCGATGTCGGCTTTGGAGGGGGTGGTTCTTCAAACATGGTATCTCGCGAAGGCGGAGGCGTGATCGATGGTGCTTTGCTATCTGCCCGAGATTTTGGTGAGGCGGGCTCCTCTGTCACGTCACTAAAGCCGTCCAGATACATTGAGATGGCATCTTCCACACTCATCCCCCCATCCATCCCGTAAGGAGCGTCCGGGGTGTCGGGCGACAGATCCGTGATGGAGCTGCTCTTGGTGAGCACACTGCTGCGCTCAGTACCGCTCGCCTGTTCAATGCTGGATCGGGAGGTGATATTGGAATTGAAGCTGGATCGGGTGGCATCATCGTCGGCAGGACCGTTGGAGGGAAAACGCGGGAGCGGTAGGCCATGCGTGTTGAGTTCCTGTCGGCGATCCGGGGACTCCTGCGTTCTCGGGCGTCGACTATTTAACCGAGAGGTCGACATCGAAATGCGCAGACCGCCCCGGGTTGGCGGGGCCTTTCGGTGGTTGGATCGGTCGAAATCGTTATCACGGGTATACCATTTCAGAGTGTGGGGGTCGGGAGGTGGCGTGAAAGGGGGAGCGCGCGCAACGGGCGGTCGCCGCAGTCTCCAGTCATCGTTTGTCTCCTGCTGGGGCGAGCCCGCACGGAGCGACATAGGCAGCCATGGGCGGTCCTCGGTCGCACTCGGCGGCGCTGATGGCAACGGAGAACGCGCTCGCGGTTGCGGTTGTTGGTCGTAATGGCGTGGAGAGCGGGGAGATCGAGGCGACGATCTTGGAGACGGTTTTCGAGATCGCGCGCATGGATCAATGGTCAAGGGATCCAGGCGCGGTGGTGGAGGGGCCTTCCGGCGGCCGCGCAACTCCGATTCAACCACAGGGGGCGGATATCGAGGGTTTCCATTTTCTGTGACCATGGCCACGATCTAGTACCCAGGACCCGCTGGACATTGGTTTTTGCGCGACGACGGGAGCGAACGAGGAGGCTGCGAAGCCCTAGGATAACGTATGAATTGGTGGTCAAACGAAGGAATCGTCGAGGGGTTCGACGCGGGCACACAAAGAACGTTGGGGGTGGGTGCACGCCGTACACGCGAAGGTCGGAGGAGGCCCGAAGGGAAACGAAAAGGGTTGAGAACGTGTGGCGGGACCTCGGATAGAGGCGACGGACACAAAGAACAAGACAAGACGAAGCCAGAACCTGCCGGCGGGAATGAAAGGTCGTGGAATCCCGGCAATGCAGGAAATGCAGGAAATGCAGGGAAGCGCAGGAAAATGCAGGAAATGAGAATGAGACAAAAATCAACAAGCCCGATCGGGCTAGCGTCACATGACGTAAAGCAGGGCGTTTCAGGATGTGATGAGTATCTTGGTCCTCTCCGTTAGTACCAGCGACGAACCTGCAGATATGCAGCCAATGCTGCAGCTCGTACATACAATTAATCTATCACCCCGGATACACTGAGCGTCGCTACGGAGTTGCCCAGCACCGTTGGGGTTACTGTCATACTATCGCACATAGTCGGGCGGAGAAAGGGCGGACGGAAGTCGGCGGACGCGCCGCGGATGCAGCGTCGATCAGGGACCGAATCTTCCAATTGCTGGGGCCATATTCCATCTGACTAGCTCAACCCGCTTCAAAGCTCTCGATCCCTAACGTGACATTGCCAGGCTAGATATTACCTATCAACTAGACATCTACATCGGGAATGTCAATTTAGATCAATCAACGGCGCCAACCTTCCCCTCTCGCTTCCCCGGAATCCGACCACGGTTCTCGAAGCGAGTTTGATTTCGTTGAGTGGGGACTGACTAATCTCGGAGGGACAGGCAATCACAAAGGACTCTCCAAAATTAAACAGCTCTAACCTGAGGTAGGACACGTTCATCAATTCCAGTTTCAGCATTCTCATCGTCATCGTCATATATATCGGGCGAAAAGTGATGAGTTGTGGAGTCGACCATCTCAATTCCAACCTGAATTGTTCATCCATCCGAATCCCCCGGCCCGGCTGCCATGCCTGCACATAAATTACGACGGCCGAGATGAACATCGATACCCTTTTGCCGCACGAACCACGCATTTGTTGTCTCCCATTCCTTCTCGGGATTGTCTAGCCTGATCTGTTCATAGTATGGTTAGAATCCGCCTCTACAATAATTCCCTTCCGATTTTGTCTTACCTCATAGGTCAAGAATAGCGAAGGTATAAGCTTATATATCTCCAGCAAACTGATATTCTTCCCAATGCAAGTCCTCGACCCAGCCCCAAAAGTAAACGTCGCACGAAGCATCTTCTGCTTCCGAGCCTGGAACTGGATTTCAGACTCTTCCTCCGCAGGCAGCCATCTCTCAGGAAAAAAGGAATCGACATCATCACCGAAAAGACCATGTCGATGAACGACCCATGGATTAGCGCCGACGATTGTCCCCGCCGGTAAAAAGGGTCCTCCATTGGGGAGCTGCAGACCTTCCGCTGGTACGATTCGCTCGAGAATTAACCCCACTGCTGGGTGGAGTCGAAGTGCTTCCTTAACGACAGCGTCGAGATACGGCAATTCTTCCTGGCTTTGTTTCCATGTGACAGGCAGACTTATTCTCTGCTTCTTATAAGCGGCATCGAGCTCTCGTTGGAGCTTCTCTGCTACCCGAGGATTCTTCAACGTGTAATATAGGATTGCTCGTAGGGAAATAGCGGTAGTATCGGAGCCCGCGTTCATGTTGCTGACTGTATACGAGAAAACCTGGTTATCAGTAACGACTCCGGGGTGCTCAGTTTTCGCTTCCAAGAATCGGGCTAGAAAGTCCCTACGCGTGGGTTCCGGGACCCCAGCATTTTGTACGACCGACTTTAGTCGTTCGTCCAACCGCACACGCGCAAAGCGTGCCACGGCGCCTGTGGAACCCCCTTGGATCAGTCCCTTGAGAGGATTCTTGATGAAGAGGTAGTCCATCCACGGCATTTGGCCGATCTGAGCTATCTTTAGTATCCACTCATGATTGCTTGGCCATGAACATCTCACTTTGCCGGAATAGTCGAGCATTGCTTCTAACGCAGCGATAATCCCATCCACGTCAGACCCTTTCTCCAGGAACCCGAGAGATTTGCTGAAAGTCAATTCACCGATGACATCGAAGGCATCTGTTTTATTAGTTACTAAAAATTAACCACGGTATAGCACGGAGGTGGCAGGACGTACAATACTGCAGCCAGGTCCCAATATCGCAGACCTCGCCATGATCCACAAATTCATCCAATCTTCGGAAAAAGGTCTGGATAGTACTGTCGACAAAAGGCTCAAACTCAGTCAACGTACTCATCGAGTAAGCAGCAGAAATTGGCCGCTTAATCGCAGCATGAAACTCCTCATCCGTAGTAGTGAAGAGCGTGGGCGTTGGTTTTCCCTTGGCTAACTGCTGTTGGACCTTATAGAAGTCGGTCTATATGTGTTTAGCAGTGGGGACTATCTCGCATCTGAAGTAACACCTACCTTCCCATAGCCCTTGTTAATCCCATAAATAACCTTAATCGCGTCCAGATCTCGCACGCTCACCACATTCGGGCCGATCCGTACATAGTCCCCGTATTTCTGATGGAGAGAGTACAATGTCCACTCGGCACGTCCATTCGCAACGTCAATGTATCGCCAGATGTTTGATATCTTCGCGAGAAATGGGCCGGATATAGCGTATACCCCTGGTGTAAAGTAGTTGCGGGTGAAATGAAGGACGATAAGGAGAAGAATGATGCTTGTGATGTTCTGTCCTAGGAGGGTTATTGATTCGGATATGAAGCCCATAGCTGCGAGTCTATTGGTCTCGAGCTCGGTGATTGTTTTTCCATCTTCGACTAGCATAGCTATACTTATATTCTAAAGGCTCCCCGCTAGTGAGCCGGCTATAGAATGCCGGGGCTTAGACCTCGTGGGGTCATTTGCGGGGAAGCAATGACATAATCGAGGTTTAGTTCCGCGGACGGTATCTTCGGAATTATTCAGTACTTCGAGGTTGTCTGCTCTATCTCGCTAGTATTTGGGTGATTCCCATTGGAGAGTATATATTGGCAGGAGTCCAGGTCTAGCTTCCTAGTAGGATGGAGTGACCGGAAAAGAAACGCCTTCGGTAGCAGAGCAGAAATCAATGCTGATTATTCTTGTGATGTTGATCGCAGCAGCGAAGAATGGATTCCGACGGTTCAGCCTTTCAAGTACTAGCCTGCGTACATTCTGTTTACGTTGTTAACTACGGAATATCCCCGCTTCGCCAAACCGAGTTCGGTTATCTGGAGGTAAGATATAAGAAAACGGTAAAGGTGGATGGAAAAGGTTGATCAATGGCATTTTGATTTGCATAAGAGCTTTCCTAAATGCCAGTTCATAGACTTGAGAAACGCAGATGCAGATATCTTTTCTCTCCAAAAATGCATTCCATCACAGATCCTCGAATGATGGACATATCGCATTGCCAGTAATTGTTCTTTTTCGTAACGCATAACCCAAATATCCTCCCTCTGCACAATGCAGGTCCCTAAGTCTTGTTCGCGTGCTTGCGAGTCCATTCCCGGGCAATCTCGTCATAACGCTTGTTGTCGTTCTTGTACTGCTCGGCAATTCGACCCTCGATGGCATCGTCCGGCATGGGCTCTGCCAACAGCTGGCGGGCAAATTCCAGCACGGCGCCGATCTTGGAGCTAGGCTTCCACTCGTCGGGTCTCAACATGCCGAGACACATGCTGCCTTTATCATCGTTTGTGACGTTGGGGTGGTAGATCTTGGTTGCGAAGGAGACTGTGGGCGGCTTGAAGGGGTATTCGGTTGGCAGGACGAGTCTAATTTGGAAGATTCCACCCTGGCCGGATAGAACTGTGTTAATGTGGGTGATTCTAGGCGATGGAGGCGATCTCTGCAGCTGGAGCGCAGAGGGCAGCCATTCTGGTCTGCAGCAGTTGGTAGGAAATGGGGCGTACCTGGTAAGGCGAGCCTTCGGGGCCCTCCATGAGCACCTTCCATTCATAGAGGTTGGCCTCGTCGAGCAAGGTGACGGTGATGCCGTCGGGGGGCGACGCTGTGAGCTCGCTCAGCTCCTACCGGGACATTAAGAGTGAGCATGCCATCACGGACGGAAGAGAATCAGTTTCGGGCAACGCACCTTGGCAATGCGCTTCTGGCTACCCATGTTTTCTAGAGGGGGATGCTTTGTGGTGGGGCGCGTGACGATGCGGGGTGTTGAGGGAATGTGCGAACGATCCGGCTGCGACGGTGCAGAGGACGACAGTGGTAATAGGTCGAGGATCGGAAGTCTATCGGAGAGACGACGGTAACGAGTGTGGAGAGGAGTTGGAAGGTGCAGCGAGTTTGGGGTGGGAATTGAGGCGAGCTCGCGGAGAGGTCGAGTGGAGCTCCGCCCCGCGCCGTGAGCTCTCCTCGGCGGTGTTCTTCTATACCCTACTCGTACGGAACTGGGCGCCAAGTTGGATATTGTTGGCAATGTCGATGAGCATTTCATTAGACAGAATAAAGTCGGCCTCATCGGCCCTCCTCTCACGGAGGTAGCAGGCCTCGAAGGGGATGCTGAGCGAGCCGGTAATCCTGCATTGCTCGGGCTGCTTGTTCCTACCGGCTCGCAAGCTCGTCTCTTCGACCATCCTCCCCTGCTTGTTCTCTTGATTCCGGGCTCGCCGCTGATCGATAAAGCCTCCAGCCTTGGTGGCCTTTATGGTGATCACGACCTTTACCCGGCCCTCTGACACCTCGAGCCATACCTCCATGTCTCGCTCGAGCTTCGCAGAAGTTGCATTCCAGCCATTTTCAAGCACCACCATTGGACAGTGGAGCTCTTTATGGCCCTGAGGGCTGTCGAAGGGTTTAGGCATCCATGATGCATTAGGCCGCTTGCATCTCGTTTCGCTGTTCACTTCAGCGCCCTCCACATCAGAAAGAATTTCTCTTGATGTTGTGCTTGTCATGCTCCAAACTCGGCCACGAATACAGCAATCCTCGTCACGTGGGGAAGTGTGACCATTTCACCAGAAGAGCCTGGTGAGAAAGGTATAGCTCTCCCAAGGTAGCGTTTTGATATTTTCCATTGGGCCTGTAGAAAATCTTCCGAAGGCGTCGGGCTCGAAGTGGGAGAACATTACAATTTCTGTGAGATACTACTAAAGAAATAAGAAAAGGAGAAAGTAAGCAAAATTCAATTCATAGTCAATATAGCGGTAGAAACTGGCAAAAAGATATTCTATTATGTACCTTGGGGTAGGCAGAGGAGATAAGATAGTAAGAATATAGACAAGGATAGATCTTTTAGCAATATTAATCTCTCGGGTTACTTTTGGTGAAGTAGATGTTGAGGGTTGGAAAAAGCTGCATCAAATTCTATTCTCGGAGGATCTGCTGTCATAGCATGAGTGATCGGCTTATGGGGAATCATTGTTATTTCACAAGAGGCCGTAGCTCAGGGGAAATTGTAGCATTTAGAAAAGTTATCACTGTGGACATTTTTATGATTTGCCATTCGTTTCCTCATTCCCGCTGAAGCATGACAGTAATGCCCATGATTCCAAGAAGGACCGTTTTCAGCCAAGGGTGCTCAGACAGCATAATCGTCACATATCCCACCATGGGAATATAGCCTCGTACACTGCCCACAATATCCTCGGAGCGCGAGAGGTGATCCTGGCCACGTGCACTATAGGAGTAATACAGTCAGACACTAATTCAAATACCAAAAACAAGGTCCACTTACTAAAGTTCGGTATCATCGGCCAAGTTGTTATCTCCCTTATGTCGGACATGGTATTAGTGGCTATCGCAAAAGAAAAGTGTCACGATCGTAACCTACCTTGGTCAGAAGCATGTGGGAGTTCGGTGTGGTATCCCTAGGAATTGTCAGTATCCCAGCTATGGTACTGAGAGTAGCTCGTAATTGAGCGCGGACATACACGGTGATCTCCTTGACCGTCTTGTCCTTTCCTTCGATTTCCGGGAATGTTCGTGTGACGCGGTGGACAATCGGGATATCCTTTCCTCTCTATAATGACAATCAAGACACGTATTAGCTCCGGCGGGTGGAGAGCAAGGCCGGACCGCACTCACCACATTGTAAACAACAACTTCTCCAATCTCAGCCCGCGGCGACCGATTCCACAAAAACAGAAGATCGCCTCGCTGGAAAGCAGGCTCCATCGAGCCACTCAGTACGACCACAATGGGGGAGCTGCTCGCCGAAAGGACAGACAACGATTTCCAGATCATGAAAGCCTGCGGAGGTATTAGCGTTGGCGTTCGCGTGGGCTGGGGGATGGCGTCGAAGCTCGTACGGTTCCGAGGACAAGGCCAAAGTTCATGACCTGGGCGATTGTCTGGCGGACATTGGTCCCTGCCAGTGCGGAGAGCATGGTGGGCGATGTGTGATGTCGGCGACGGAGCAGAGGGAGAAGACAATGGGACGCGCGCGACAGCCGGGCGGAGCTGGGTTGGTGGGGATGCTTGGGTAGAAATCAACTGAATGATGTTAGTCTGAGTGAGCTGACACCCCGTTAACTTCAGGCGACCGTACTCACCGGAGCCAGCTGTGCTGGTCGAGCTTGATGTTTTGGCGGAGTCGAAGTTCGGAGATCTGGCCTCGCAGCGCCGATCGGCGTCTGCCTCCTCCAACCGCGCCCGCTCTTTCATTCGCCCAAAACTACTAACTACTACAACACGTCCGAATCAGGGTGTACTCAGATTGTAGTTCGACTAGCCATGGCCATGAAAGCTTGAATTTCTCGGTCGTTACTATTTCATCAGCCTAAAACCGAGTGGTTACTAAGTTGGTATCTGCTACACTGCCGAATTGGCGCAAGTTTCCTACTTTGACCCAGCATGGAAAACGCTTATACTACTAGTACTGTGTAAGTAGCTACTACTCCACTCTGAGACTGCTAGGTAGCGGAAAGACACCAGATATTATTGAAATAATTTATTTCAGACTTCTCCTTTTCCTTTCTCCCAACATCTCTTAAAATCACCCACAACTCAGACTTAACCAACAACACACAACAAACATCAAGTTCAGACAAAACTTCCGAAATGAAATGGCATTTGCATCCGGCCTCGGAGAACCTGACTTGTTCAAGAATCTGGGTTCTTGGATCATGAGCTATGTGAAATATACACTCGAGGTTTTGCAGGAGCTACTGCACTTATTGGGACTAATTTGGCTGTTCTCACTTCTTTGCTCTGGTATGCTGGATCATCGCCTGCCGTGCGCTTGTCTTGGAATTAGACCATGTGCTGCCGCTATGAAAGATCCTAAAAGAGATAATGATGAGAGCTTGAAGATGGTTTAAAGGAGTATCTGTTGTACGAGTGCGCTCGCTATTTGAGTAGATGAATGAACTTTTCGCTCTATGAGGGAAAATTATTCTAATTTGAAGCCCATTCATTTGGTATTTTGATAGTGCATAGCTCTCTAGTTATTCACGAGAAAAGACAGACAAGTAACCTGTTGACTCAACGAGGGTATCACGAAGTGCAGACCCCGGGTTGTCTTGTTGTCGGATTGTAGCACTTGCACTCATCGCCACATCGTCGTTGGCATAACAGCTGTCTGCTTCAAATGTTTTATATTGAATAAGCTCCGGGGGGATCTCACATCCTGAAATTCACCAGGCTAGGCTCTTGATGGTTGATCGGTTCAAGTATTCGCCAGCAGATGGCCGAAATCTTCTTGCCCTAACGTGTTCGGTGACATAAGGCTGGTGATGTTCAACCTTTTCGCATTCAGGTAAGGAAAAAGGAACCTGAAATAAATGTACCTTTTCTGTGGCCATCATTCAGAAAAATCACCTTCCGGCCATCGAGGTACTGTAGAGTCGTGAGCCTCGACTGCAAATCTTACCGGATTGGGGGAATTTGCCTTGACTTTGATCTCAGCTCCTCCCACTGGAAAGACACTTCTCCCATTATTGCTTTCATATAGTATAATACAGTGCCACGCTGTTGGTGTTTGCACTTCACGGACATTTGGTACTGACTGAAGTCCAACGAAGACCTTTTCCGGTGTTGGTAGAATGCTGTACTCCACGGTCAGTTGGAGAGGGTCGCTCAGCCCATGTGTTTGTACCTGCGTCCATCAGATAATGACGTTGGGATGACACCGTTGCCAAGGCGAGCGGTAATCAATAAATGAGATGGATATTCTAGAATCAAGATCTCAAGCATGTTGAGCTAAAATCCAAGGCTGATCATGTCATGTGTGATAGCAGGAATGTCTTCAATATGCCAGCTGCTTGTCATCTGATCACTCCACCTATAGTAATTACTGGTAGCCCACTATACGGTCGCTTCACTGCTAGTAACCACCCTAATATCATGGCATATCTCTACATTCAGTTTTCCCCCCTGAAGATCTCACTGTGATCCTATGCATAGACCCACCATTAGATGCATCTCGGAGGTTTCCAGATGGCTGTTCGGCCGTAGCCACAGCGCGGCATGCGACGATCAGCGCTGGGAATTTTTCCAGATAAGTCAAAAACCAAGCTTTGCATCATGCTTATTTTTTCCTCTACTATTATTGATCGCCTTTGGCTAGAATCCACTCATCTCCGCGTAGATCTACAAAGATCCAGCCTCCTCAGTTACCTCTGGAATGTGACAAGCATTCCACATCCCTAGATTCGATCGCACGGGGTTGGGCTTCATGAAAGCTCACACGCATAGAGTAGATAATTTCTGTCAAATGAATGGGAAAAAATGAGGTCTTTTTGAATAGAGATAACTTCAGAGCCTCAAAAAAATATGTTGTATGAGCTGCGGGAAGGTGTGCATGAATAGTTCCGTCCGGTACAAAGACGTTGCTGGGATAATCCCGAGGACCACCCACAGCCAAGCATAAATCGCTGAAGGGGGCTGTCATTCCACGAGGCTGGGAGGGCTGGTCGAGCTTCCAACTCCGGACCGATTTATACCTTGAGCGCATGTCACTTTGTCAAACATCTGTTTGCTCTCATGCGCTTCGCACTCTACTCTTTCCACCCGATTGAGTATTGCCCTGTTGGTAGCCAAAGATGGACTCCAATAGCTCCAACAGTTTCGTCGCAACCGACGAGCCCAAGTTCCCAATGCAGGAATACCTGCAGGAACATTACCTTGAATTCGCTCCTAATGGGAAGTCGATAAGATGGACACATGACAACCCTCGACACCCTAGGAACTGGCCTGTATGGAGGAAGACTTTCGATATTGGAATAATCTGTGCACTTGATCTCTTCATGTATGTTTTCTTGGCCCTTCTCCGCTCGCAAGACAAGCTGACCTTTTCACAGTACCGCGAGCAGCACTGCTGGCGCTGCTGCCGCCGCCCAAGCCCGCCACGAATATAACCTTGACTACACCTTCTCCACCTTTTGCTTCGTGACTTTGTCAGTACACCTACACCTTCCTCCCACATACTCGATTACTGACTCCATAGCAGGTTCCTCCTTGGACAGTCCGTGGGCAACATCATCTTCCCCCTTGGACAGAATCCTTCGGGCGCAAGAAACTGTACATCATCAGCAGCGGAGTGAGCTGCGTTTGCTGTGTGGTGATCGGAGTCGTCCATTCCCTTCCTGCAGCCATTGTTATGCGAGTCCTCGCCGGCCTTCTCTCAGCAGTCCCAGGCACAATCATCGGAGGAAGCATCGAGGATATCTTCAACTCCCAGGCTCGCATCTGGGTTGTTTACTTCTGGACAATCGCATCGAACATCGGTTTGATTATCGGTCCCATCATGAGCAGCCATATCATTGAGGCTCTTAACTGGTACGTTTCGAATGATCTCTCAAGCTTGAGCACAGATGAACTAACCCATAACACAGGCGATGGGTCTTCTATATCTATGCCCTCATCATCGGCACCATCACCGGTCTCCTTTTCTTTATCCGCGAATCTCGTTGCTCCCTTCTTTTGACCCATGAGGTTGACACCATGCGTCAAGAGATTCCCTCTCTCCCCCGAGCTCTCAACCACGATCACTCTCCCGACATACGCACCTTCATGAAAGAAGCCCTTTTCCGCCCTGCCCAGCTCTTCTGTCAAGAGCCCATCATCTTCACCATCGCCATGATAATTTCCATTGCCATGTCTCTCATTTACATCTTCACCGAGGCTCTGCAGCCCATCTATATGTCGATGGGATTCTCTGCTCCGCAGTCATCCCTCATTTTTATGGCCATCGGCCTCGGCACTTGTTTCAGTGCTTTGACTCGTTTGTTGGATTACCACATCTTCAACAAGCGACGCATCCAAGGGCGGCCCATCAAGCCAGAGGACAAGCTCACTGGCTTAGCTATCGGTGCACCGGTCCTGGCTGCTGGATTGTGGTGGTTCGGCTGGACCATCCCACCACTTATCCAAGGACCCACTATCCCTTGGATCGTTCCAACTGTTTCGCTCGTCTTGGTCGGGTATGCCCTGACTGAAATCGACAGCGTCCTTTACGGTTATATCTCGGATAGCTATCTCAGCTATTCTGCGAGTGCCACCGCTGCTGTAGCTTTCTTCCGTGGTGTTTTGTCTGGAGTCGTGCCTCTTTTCACGCGCCAGATGTTCAGCGGACTCGGTGCCAACATCGCTGTTTCGATCCTTGCAGGTGTCGCAACACTCTTCTGCGTCGTCCCTCCAATTTTCCTGTGCTTTGGAGAGCGGATTCGCCAACGAAGCAAGTTCGCCAAGTATAGCTGGCAGATCCATGAGGAACTGGGAAAGGAACTTGATGATATTTAATTGTGGAGAAAAAACCATCATTGTAGATAGAAAGAACTAGTTACGAAACGTCTATACCCTAGCATCAGATACCAATTACAAATACAAATCACAAGATACCAAGAACAATGCTCCCAATACTCCCAGTGCCTAGTAGATCTTGAAAATCAGGAATCCTCCAGCATAACCCGATGTTCAAAGAGCCTCCAAAGACAGTCACAATGAGGCTTTTCATGCCTCTTGAGGGGTGCGCGCATCAGAAGCCTTAACTTGCTGCGCCTCATTGGTCTCCCAGTATTTCTCCTTCTTACCCCGGTGCACAATCAGACCATAAATGTCAAACGGGTCAACAAATGTGGCAATCTTAGGGCGAGTATCCTCGTATCCAGGCCCTTCAATCTCCGTCTCGCCATCCTGAGACAGGTAAATCTTGTTGTTGCGAGGTAAAACCTGCATTGGGTGAAACATGTTGAGCAGGGTACTGTTGCTATACATGAAAACCGTTTCGAAGAACCAGAAGAACCATTCCTGCTTGAGCACCGGACTGATGTGCTCGATATCAGTGTAGGTGTTGAGGTTCGCGGCAGTAAAGTACTCGACGGTTCGGTAGATGGTTCGAATGGTGATGAGCGTAGAGCTGATGTACAGAACAATCAGACACCGCTTGATCTTAGCATTCAGCACACCTCCTTTGGAGCAGTTAAATTGGAACTTGGCGGCTAGTGCAGTGAATGCCACCATGAGAGCGAGCTGCATGATAAGGGCTGCCTTGAGCAGGGCTTTTCCAATGCTTTGGTCGTGCGGTGTCGAATCGGAGCTTGCGACTCGAACGGCTCCGTTAGCTGTGATGGCTTCGATGGCTACTCCGACAGCAACGAAAGTGGTGAAAACACGACCGGGGTGAATAGGTGAGTGGTAAGGTATGTAGTAGAGCATGCGACCGAGGATGAAGTAATTTGCGCCTTCGTAAACAGGTCTGCGTCAATTGGTTAGCCACTGAGCCGAGTTTCTTGCTGCAGAAGATTCAACTTACGGGCCTGCCAGTAGGAGGACGCTGCTAGCAATGTAGATGCCGATGTTACCCCACTGCCCAAACGCACCGACGGTTCTTGTGATGAAACCTCCGGTGAAGAGGAGAGCAGACCATGGGAGAAGGCCGGTTACCTTCCAAGATTTGTACCGACTTAATGCACAGTTAGCTTGGGTCTCGAAGGGACGAGGAAAATACATACAGGCATTGGTAAAAATGGATACCTCCGGATAATGCAAAGAGTACTGCAAAAGCAATGGGAGCACCCTTGTTCGGTGCATAGAACCACAGACTCCCTTCCTCTGTCGGGGGTTGAGTTAGAAAAGGCTGGAATATTTGATACCAGTCGTAACTCACGATATGATCGAGCCTCAAGCATGGTTGCCAAGTCGTAGTCAATGTATCAGTGACAGTAGTGGAAGAGACAGCAAGTGTATGGACAGTGGTAGCGAGGTAGTTGGATGTTGCATTTATTCATGCCTGTTATATGACAAGTCCGGATGGGGTCTCACCACTTAAATACAGCATGGACGAACGCCCTGTCAGCCCTGCCAGACTTTCTTCAGAGGAAAAAGAAAGCGAAAACGACATTTCCTAATCGGGTCAAAAACGACGAGCTCGGGTGGGCGAATCATGAGGCCGGAATAATGGCATCTTTTCTCCACCTCGCGGATCCGTGCCAGTTATTGGCCCAAGGCCTGCCCGAAAGACAGTGGTGCACTGCCATCCGGGCCCCAATACGAGGTCACCGTGGGGCCAAGACCAACGAGCATCTATGAATGCTTGGTTCTGGATTGCATAAAATAGTATGGCTGACGAAATAAGATATGCCAAATCACGTTGGCTTGGGAATACGGGCTCTCGCAAATGGTAAGCCTCGTACTGGAGCGTGCCCGAGGCGGAGTGACACGAGCTCACTGCCACGCTTCCAGGAACAGCAGGGAAGCAAAACGAGCCTCGATGGTGTAGGATAGAATATCTTGATCAGTGACAAGATCAAAAATGATCGTAGTAGTAAAATAGTATCGCGAAAAGCAAAGAGTAAAACCTTCGATGAAGGCCAACCAGCCAAAGTAATCACGTGATCGTGTAGATGGCCGTTCGATAAGCAGCGATAGCGTTGCCCTGCCAACACAACGCGCCCCTCAACAAGGGAAAGCGCGGGGACGATCTGTGGACGGCGGTCTGGACTTGCCTGACTTTCCAAGGCTGATTGTGCGTCAGCGCAACTCGCTCTTTGATGATCACCAACTTCTTCGCGCTGGACACATCCGGACCTCATCGCCAAAATGCCCTCCAAACAGCCCCAGACGTCGCTGTTTCAGGTGTTCCTCCGCCTGCGTCCTCCCATCGCCCAGAAACATGATGAATCCGACAGATTTCTTACGGTCGAGCCGCCGACAGAATCGCAAGGCGGCGGCGAGATTATCACTCCAGTGCCAACCCACATCACCCTACAGCCTCCTACTGATTCACGAAAACGTGCCGTCGAGAAGTTCGGCTTCACCAAGGTCTTTGAAGAAAGCGCCGAGCAACTCGATGTCTTCCATGACATTGGAATGGACTCCTTGGTTAGGGGAGTCCTGAAAGAAGGACGAGATGGCTTAGTCGCAACACTGGGCGTTACAGGAAGCGGAAAGGTGCGATTGCCTCTAGTTTGTTGTCATGGAACCACTGCTAATCTGAAATTGCACGTTCAGAGTCACACCATTCTCGGATCGAAATCGCAACGCGGCCTGACCCAAATGGCCCTTGATGTCATCTTCCGATCGCTGGAGCCCACTGTGAAAACCGAGGATGGAAGCATTAGTCCCATGATGCTTGCCTCACTGGCCACCGGTGACACTTCGGAAGCCCAATTATTTTCGGCGCAAACATTCCTGGATGCCGTCTATGGCGACCCCAATGGTGGCCGTACCTCGAGAGCCCAGACTCCGATGAGCCCGTCTCGCGCGCACACCCCACTTACGGTACGGAGCCCCATTTCCCTGAACACCATCGAAGGATCGCCGCCTCTACGTGAGCCCGCTGGATACGGTATCCCAAGATCATACACAAGTCCCGGAAGCCCTCGAAATGCCGGCCCAAGCCCGCAAGATATTCCCATCCTCACGGATCGTCATGGCCTTAGCCCACTGTCGCCTGAGCGCTTTGGAAGAGCAGCCCAAGGACCCTTTTTTCCACTCCCCTACACCCGTCCCAATGTGCAGAAGGATCGTTTAGCTAAATCAAGACTTTATGTCTATAAGGAACCGACCCCGGCTTTGGCTTTTCCTCGTCGTCAATTGCGTGAACGAGCTACAACAGCAGCCCCGAGACTCCCCGATATTAGCCACCTCACTGTCAATCTGAATGAAAAGTCTGATTACGTTGTCCTGGTCTCGATGTACGAGGTTTACAACGACCGAATCTTCGATCTCTTGTCCCCGTCAGTTGCACAGGGAAATACCATGTCCCGTGGAAATACTCAAAAGGATCGACGACGCCCTCTACTGTTCAAGCCAACCGAGGGATCGCCGGATCGTAAGGTAGTTGCTGGACTGCGCAAGATCGCCTGCAGCACTTACGAAGAGGCATTGGCCATCCTCGATGTTGGCCTTACAGAACGAAAGGTCACTGGAACGGGGTCCAACAGTGTCAGCTCCCGAAGCCATGGCTTTTTCTGTCTGGAGGTGAAGAAGTTGTCGCATAGCAAGCGGGGTGAAACTAACTGGGTGGGCAATACTTTGACCGTCGTGGATTTGGCTGGTGAGTGAGAATTCTCTGAAATCAATCGAAAGGATGCGCTAACATTTCCAGGCTCCGAGCGTGCCAGAAATGCTAAGACTACCGGCTCCACTCTTGCTGAGGCCGGCAAGATCAATGAAAGTTTGATGTACTTGGGACAATGCTTGCAAATGCAGAGCAATATTCAAGATGGAGCCAAGGTAAGAAAGGCCATGGGTCGAGTTTCTGTTCGTCACTAACGTACCATCACAGACTGCTCTTGTGCCATTCCGACAGTGCAAGCTCACCGAGCTGCTGTTTTCCAACTCGTTCCCTTCATCTAATCAAGTGTCCCGCGGTCTTCATCCCCAGAAGGCAGTCATGGTCGTTACCGCCGATCCTCTGGGAGATTTCAACGCCACTTCGCAAATTCTGCGATATTCAGCATTGGCTCGTGAGGTCACCGTTCCTCGTGTTCCCTCCTTGACTGGCTCGATTGTCTCTGTCACCTCCAGTCATCACCGTTCTGTTAGTGGACGGACTACGCCACATGATACATCTGCCGAGGAACTGGAGCGCGCAGTGGCCGAGATCAATCGACTCACCAACGATTGCCACAGCATTGCAGTTCGACTCGCTGAAGAAGAGATTGCACGGTCTGAGGTTGAATTCCGTCTGAAAGCAGCCGAAGATAGATGTGTCATGATTGAGCAAGAGGTTCGTGAGGAGTGTTGGGAAGAGATGGATGAAATGATGGAGGAAGAGCGTCGGCGCTGGCAGAAGGCTTGGGATGAGCAGGTACGTCCCCTTCTCAATCTGGATTATGGACTTTCTAATATCTTTTTCAGCTTGGCCGCAACGATGAACACATGGACAAGAAGATCGAACTTGTCTCTCGTGGTTTCAACAGTAAGTCCTTTTTCCCCATGTGCTACATCTATGAAAGTTGCCAACGCAATCGTTCAGTCTACGAAGATCCGGAGCCGTCCTCGAATGAACGGGTCGAAGAACTCGAGCAAGAGAACGACCAGCTTCGCCGCCGTCTTGCCGCCCTTGAACGCGAAATGAATTCTCAATCTCCCACTCGAAAGCCCCGGGCGAAACAAATTTCTCCCAGCAAGGCGTCAAACTTGCTGAGCCGGGAAAGCGACATCGAGAATGCCTTGCAGCGCATGAACCAATTGCACCTGACTGACAGCATGTTCCTCCCTGCGTCGCCTTCGTCATCGCCGACTAAAAAATCCAAAAGAATTTCGACCAGGAAATGGGACTTGGCTCCTGAGAGCGACGTTTGAGAGCCTCTCTTCAATATCTATTTTGTCATGACCGTTACGATATGAGCAAGGGTTTCAGGTTACGGATTTTGGGGCTCATTTTTTGGCGGACTAGCGAATTAGATACCACCCTAGGATACGGCGGAGGCGTTCTGTGCACTGCTTTTTTGATTAACTGGCTACTGTCTTTTCGTCTGCAAAAAATATTGTTGTGTTGTGAATTATATTCTGATGACTCCAAGTGTGTGATAACAATGTTCTCGTTGTACACGTCTGCTCAAGGTTCAAAAAGATAAAAATTATCCTGGTATCGTTAAGAAAAATATCCCACGCCAGAAGTAACGCCAAATCCGTGCAACTGCACGCTGAGTTAAGCTCAACAAAATACAAGGCCATATTCATACAATAACAGAAGTTGCTGACCAAAAAAAAGGCATCTCAAGGAGTGAAAGCCTCACGCAGACGAGGTATCCATAGGCTCTGGATTCTCCGTGTCCTCGTTCTTGACTGTTGTAGTGGATTCTGCGCCTTCATCCCCGGTGGCTTTGGCGGACTCGTCATTCTCTCCGTCCGCAGCCTTGCTTTCAGCAGCAGTCTGGTCCTCTCCATCTCCATCCTGCATTTCATCACCGGCGTCATCGCCTTCCTGGGGCTCTTCGCCACCAGTCTCAGCCTCGGTCGTGCCGGCGTCTCCTTCACCATCGTCATCTCCACCATCTTCGTCTTCGCCTTCGCCTTCGTCGGCGCCTTCGTTGCCGCTACCGGCATCATCATTTTCAGTCTCGACTTCGCCCGTCTCTTTCTTCGAATCGATCAAAGCACCCTGCTTCTTTGATCGGTTGTTTGTTCTCGTGGCGTCTGTCTCAGTCGCATCGCTGTCATCACCGCTCTCATTTACTCCATCGAGACCGACATTCTGGGCATTTGCATTATCTCCCGCAGTAGACATCAGCTTGCCAGAGTCCTGTGGGGTGGACTTAAGTTCAGTCAAGCTAGTTGTGTTGGGTTCGCGCGGGGTCGAAGCAGTCTGCTCGGTCTCTGTCGCAGTGGTGAATTTACTAGCCGCGGTGCGCGGGCCAAGTTTCAGGTTGACAAGCGTGTCAGATCGCTTTTGGATGTCGCGACGAGAGATTCCCTTGGTACGACCACGAGGAGCAGGAGTATCTGAGGCTGGAACAGGTGTTGTGGGCGCTGACACGTCCGCAGTCACATCGCCCGACATGAGGAGATGATTGACTTTCATCTTCTCTTTGTTTTCCTCGTTGGCCTGTTCAACGAGCTGGGGCAGATTCAGCTCATAGACACGGGAGTACAGGTCCGCAACAAGATCTTCGAACATAGTGACTTTCAAGAGGGTGTTGTTCAGCTTCTTCAAATCTAGGGAATCACGAACGAGTTCTAGCAAAGGCATGCTGTCATCGGAAAGTTTCTTCAGACGTTCAAGACGTGCCGACTTTGTCGAAAATTCCTCCCAGCCAATTGGTTTGAAAACAGACTCCTCGTGTTTTTCGTTGATACCGGCCGCCCTGCGAATCATCTTGGCGTAGGTCGAGCAGGCATCCTCCCACAATTTGGAGTGGTTGATGAAGTCGCCTTGTTTCTTTCTAACACGGCGCAGCAACTGATCAAGGCTAGCACGGTCATCGAGCTGATCCAGAAGGCTGATGAAGAAATACACGTAGCGCGTTGTGTATACGAAATGCCTGCCAGGGCGTTCAAATTCTGGTCGCCAGACTTGGATAGTGAGCGTTTTTGTGAATATCTGAGACATTTCATGCTTTGCAGCAGCTGCTGCGGCTGCATTTTGCTGGTCATCATAAATGATATGGGCAGCCTAAAAGAATCAGCTTAATATTCTCTCCCAAGATTGTGTGGTTTAGAACGTACCTTTGCACTCATCCGATGGTGCCAATTCGACTTATCGGCACTCTTGAAACGTTTGATTACTTCAAGAATGTACGGTTTCCAACCCTCCATGTTTTCAGGGGTATCGACCTTGCGAGCCCATGGTGAAACGGAAAGTGTTTTGCTTGCCTCGGTGACCTATTTGTAAATTAGCCCCAGGGCCCTTTCAGCAAATTGGAGGGGAATGAAACTAACCGTCATGGCTCCTCTGGTGACGAGCTTGTGCACCACAGACAAAAGTTTGAAGTGAGGCTCAAAAATGGGATCAGCGCGAGAATCTTTACGTTGTGGGAGAGCTGCAATCGAATCAAGCAATGCATCGATGACATCGTGCATTTCAACCTTCCTCGAGGTTGTCCGCATTGAATCATCGCAGCTGAACATTTTCCAAAGGCACTTCCCGAGGAAGTATTGCGCCCTATGAAACGGTTAGTAAATCAATCTTTGGCAGCGGATGATATAGGCACTTACAACCAACGCCCGGGTTTGGCATTGACTGCCCTCCTTAGAATGTTGCTGGCGAAGTTCCATACTGAGTATAGAGACATTTCCTTGAAGGGCTGGGCTTTGTACATCTGCTGGCTTTCCGCATTACTGAAGTGGCGCGAAAAGTCTGCAACCCCAAAGGCGCCCATGGAAAGAGGTTCCCGGGACGAGGAATACATCCGTATACCGAAATCGGTGTACAGATCGGACAGCAAGTCTCGGGTTTCCGTCGTTGGCTCGGCAGTTCCGATGGCCGTTGATGCGGCCATAGCATAACAGTGGATTGCATATCGCTGCGTTGTTGCCAGATCACTGCGGTTGTTGTTCATCTTGTCTGCTGCCCATGTGATGTCTTCCTCGAGTTGGGTGTCATAAGCCTGCGCAAGTCGATACCAGGTCTCCCACCTGCCTGTTCCATACTCTAAATCTTGTCGGAAGAAATTGACTGCATCATCTAACTCTGAAACTGAGCCGGGACCAAGACGCTTTTGAGAGCGAAACTTTGTGAGAGAGACATGACCAAGAAGAAAATACCAGCCTTTCGCAGCAATTGTTGCATTCTCCCCGGGAACCGGTAGCAGCGGAAGTTCCGTGACTCCTTGGACAGCTCGAAGCAGATTTGAAGGGTTGATAGGGTTCTTGAAGTAAGTGGTGATGGTGCGACGGTTGAAATTCATCTGCGGGGATTGAGACGATGGCTTGACAGGACCGATCGCTGCTTGCATCTTTTCGACCGTAGTCTTCAACTCAGATTTAGAGAGGTCTTTCATGTTCATTTTCTTAGCTTGTTTCATCACGAAATCAATCATCATGATTGCGGTGGGCCGATCTAGCTTCTCGGTCGAGCATCCATGGTCGGCTGTGCCATCTGTTGGAGAGAATTTGATCCCATGGAGGTCATAGAGGACCTGGTAGATGTCAAACTCGTAGTCTCCCTTGGTTTCGAGATTGAGCAGTTCGGATTTGATGAGCTTGAGGAAACGCTTCTGCGAGTATCTGCACATGGACCGAACTCCAAGCGAATTGTGCACACTCCGAAGAAAACGAATACGATCTTCCAGCGGATCATCAAAGAGACCCTGGTTCTGAGATATCGCCTCCAAGAACATGGTATATTGTAGAATCCAGCAACGGACATACAGTTCCCGCATCCTTTCCTTGAAGTTCTCAAGTGACTTCGCCAGTGATCCTCGAAGATCTCTTCCAGAAATTTGTCCGACACGCACTGAGTCCTCGTAGAGAATGAAGCTTTGGAGAAGTCTGGCCAGCCGGGCCACTGCGGACATGGAAGCATGTAAATGATCCATATCAACACACTCATAAGCCTTCCTGGGGTCTTGCAAGATCAGCGGTATTGCCTTGGCTAGTATTCCATCAAGAGACTTCAACCAACCAAGCAAAGCGACTTGGCGATGGCTGCTTGTTTCTTCGGTGTGCTTGCTATGTTCTAGCTCTTTCATGACAGTTTCGATACTGCGTAGATAGCAGGAAACAACTTTCGGGGGGTAGTCGATGGATTGATAGGTCTCCTGCAGCCTCCGCCACAAAAATAGTCGCAAAGTAGCGTCTCCCCGGTCAAGGAAGGAGGCCATTTCGCTGAAATGAGATGGGGGCTCATTCAGATCGTTCGTGTCGGAGTTACCTTCCGGATATTCTATGGATGATGGCTCGAGAATTGGCTCAATCGCTTCAATGAGTGATACAGGGTCTTCGTCCCCGGGGTTAAAGACCTTGGCAAAGAAGTCCATGCACTTCAGTTTCAACATCTCCTGGTCTATCGCTTCGTTAGATAGTTCAGGTATGACGGAGTTGTTCACAAGATGGATGGAAGGGTCGCCGATGGACTGAAGAATAAATTTAAGATCTTGCAGACAAAGTAGGACATGCTCGCGCTGAGCCTCGCCCGCAAGATTGAGGTGGAAAACCGATGTCCACAAGTGGCGGAGACAAAGATTTTGTCGTGGCTCTTCGGATGGGCAATTCTCAATGAAGACCTCAAGGCAGAAGCGCGACAACGTGCCCCATCGGCCAAGACGTTCTTTTTGCGCGGATTTTTCCTCTTGGCTATCTTTCGTGTCCATGGCGTCCACGGAAGAGTATATCTCCAAATGAAGCTCATAGATAGACTGTATCATTTCCAAGTTGGCGAGGTCACTTGTCTGGTATTCAAAAGGCATTTCTGTATTTAAGTCAAGAATGCGTCGCTCGAGGCTTGCAACTGACTCCTGCATCCTTGTGTACAAGAACTCGTCCTCTCGAACCAAGAGTTCGACGACAGTTTCTTTAAGTTCTTCGGGCCACTGGGACGATATGTATGTCGAGTTTTGGACGGACCAGTCCGAAGTGTCCTCTCCGAAATTTGGCATGAGAAGACATTTGAGCCACTCATACAAGCATGCATGTTGGTGAAACCAGTCTCGGTTTACCCTTTCACAAAAAGCGTACACTTTCTCTCCGGCGGAAATTTCTTGGACCAGAGGTTTTCTGGTAGCTTTCCTAGAATGTTCAAGGAAGACGGATAGCCCAGACTTGCTGCTGCCGCGAATATCCTTGAGTGAAGAGAGATCATCTTTTTGTTGCATGAGGCGAGACTTTTCATCATTCCAGTTCTTGATAATACCACGGAAGTCTTGGAACAATCGAGCCTCGGGCTCTTCTGGCACGTCGCTAGAATCACTCACGGCCGCCACGGTGGCTTTCAGGCTCTCAATGCTGCCCAATGCCTGCATGTCAAACTTGGAGAATAGGGAGTTGATAGTATTGAACATCCACTCATCCGCATTCACAAAGACTTCAAGGCGATCTTCGTAGTATTTTTCTTGGTCAAATGCGATCTCTTCCGGCTGAACGAGTGCATCCGCATTAGATTCTCGAGCTCGAGTTCGTCGACTTTTCATCCTGCCTCCCTCTTGGAAATCATCATTGGCAGCTGAGGCAGATGATCGCTTCCGAGTCTCAGATGGAGACTTCGGGTCTGCCTCCTCGGCATTGGTTTCGTCACCTGCACTCCCCTGTCTTTCAGGAATTTGAGCAGATTCCCCTTCAAGTGATTCCATGAGTTGTTTTTCTGCGCTCTGATCAATAGACGAATGTTCCTCGCCCGGCTCTGATGGCCCTGGACCAGGTTCGGGCTGAGGCTGTTCGGCCTCGGTCTCGGCACTTTGCTCGCCGACTTGGGGCATGTCAGCAAAGGCTATTTCAGGCCTGACTTGGGCATCATCATTCTCAGGGGCATTATCTGGTTCCGCCATTTCCTCGTCCTCCTGGGGCGTTGAATCCCTCGCCGGCAGAACGATTTGAATTGCGCGGTTTGGAGATGCTGTGATGGATTCGTCTTCATCATCTTCAGAGTCATCATCTTCATCGTCGAGTGCTTCGAGTATGGATTGACCAACTGACTCCCATGTTGCATCAGATGGTGTGATCTCCAGGCGAGAAGTCGAGAGAGAAAGAGGACCTTTGGACGGATCAAGAAGTTGCAGATCGTCTGGGAGGTTGGGCAAATATTCGTAGAGGTCTTCGTGCTTCTTTAAATACTTCACCAAGGCCTTCTTGGGCTTCTTGACGGGGATTTGAGAAGCTGACAATCCATCAAAGAGGGATTTCAAAGCACTCCGCAGTCGCTCCTCTGAAAAAATTTCCTCCAGGCCTAGCTGCTCTGGCCGCACTTCCAGCCGATTGTCGTCATCTGCCAGCACACTTTCCAAGCAGAATCGATTCAAACGGTAACTTTGTAGGGCGCTGCCAAGTCGTGCACTTTGCCTCCATAGATTCAGATCGGTGTCATCGCGCTCTAGCGCTTCAGCGAATGAAGTAAGCGCCTTTTTCGTCGCTTCGAAGGACTTTTTGGAGATCTTTCGTGCTGCGTCGTCGTCTTTTGGGGGTTCGCGGAGGGTCTCGTGCAGCACGTCGAGGAGGTATTTGCCGTAGTTCTTGCGGGACAGGTAGAGTGTTTGGAATAGGCTGGATGTCGAATCGCTGACATTGTACTCAACAATCGCATCCGTCGGGCTTTCGTCAACAGGTTCCGTGGACTGCGCGTCTGGCAGGGTCGCCCGTTTAAAGTCCGAGATCGATTCGGGGTATTTGAAGATCTCCGAGTTGAGTAGGGCGTCGTATGCTTCGGCGGCTTGAGTGTAGAAATCCGGACCTTGGGAGTGCAGCTTCAAAGCATTATGGTACAGCTTCAGCGCTTCTTCGATCTGAAGCTCCTTGGTGTCATCCACCTCTTCTTCGACCGCATCGTCGGGCTCAACGTTCAAAGCCACCCAGCTCGCCATGGTGTTGATTGCTAACGGTTTCCTGGCGGGTAAATGGAGTATGTGTGAATGGCCGCCCTCATCGCCGAAGTCTTCTCGGGGAAAAAAAAAGCGCCCACAAGGTGGAAAGGGTGTGTGAGCTGGCGTCAAAGTGGCAGCTGCGGCGAGTCGATCGCGGTGCGCGCGCCGGCGCGGGCGGGCCCAATCAGGCAAGGGCGGTCTCTCCGCCTTGTTGCCTGATGGCCTGAAGCTCTTTCGGACTGTTTGGCGACCAACTCCCACCTCTTCCCCCAACTTCCATATACCAGTCTCTCTTTCGTCTGTGCAGGCCCGTTTCTTCCAGATATCCTCGCTCGCCATCCCGCGACACATGTGCAGGCGCCATGGTAGCGCCCGCTGTCCCAGAGTAAGTGCTCCTGAACCCCCCGGTTTACGTGTTCCCCGGGGATGCATGCGCATGGCCATTGCCCGCTCCACGCGGGGTCAAGAACTGCGCTATTGATGGAATATCTTACTGACGGAGTGTTCTTCAACTAGAATTCATGAGGAGGAGGATATCTATGTCGCGGTCGATGCGCGGACAGAGTCATTGCAGAGCCTCAGAGAACTGGGGCCCCCGGATCTGGTATATTTGGTGAAGCAGCCGAAGGCCAATTCCACCCGTCAGGTATGCTATCGAAAGGACGCAAATCTCATTACCGAGCGGTGTCTTACAAAGCATAACTTGCCTTATTTACAGACCGGTGTGTACCACCATGTGACCGGAATCGATGCCTCGTCGTCCGCTAGCCTCGCCGCCTATGTCAACACTCTCACCTTCTCCCCACTCGACAAGACTCATAAGGTTGTTTCTGGAATATATTGGTGAGTGTGTGTGTGTGTGTGTGTGTGTGTAGTGGCTGTTTCATATTTCACTCGCTAACATCTGCGCAGCTGCTACAACGCATTCTCCCATTTGGACATGCGAGTTGAGGTGAAGATCCCCGGAAGCTTGGAAAGTTACTGCATTGATGAGCGCGGAGACAAGCGAGTGGCCACCGAGGCCCTTTGGCTAGAGACATTCCTCTGTGCAGTCTTGCGGGCTTATCAGTATGCCGATGATGGAAGTGGAGACGCCATCAAGAAGATTGTTGGTGTCAGGCGATTCAACCCGGTCACAAACACAGAGATGGAGCACAAATTCTTGGATGCTGCTGAAAAGCTGTTCTTCCTGGGTAAGTAGAGTCTTCCCCTCGGACCATGAACTCTTGTCTGACATTGCCGCAGGTCGCCAACTCAGCTCCGACCCGGAAACCCAAGTTCCCAACACTGTGACCAATCACCTGACATCTGGTATCCTGAAATACATCTACACTACCGGTCGTTATACTTCTGGTATTAATCTCTTCGAAAAGCTACGCACACGGGACGTTGAGGTTTCATCCTTGTTGGCTCGGGTTCAATTGATGGCAGACGAGGAGGTACAAGCAGTGCGATTGATGTACGACGCTCTGCAAGATGTCCCGATGGACTACTCTTTGCTGGATTGCCAAGCCGCTTTCTGCCAGGACAAGGGTGAGGGCGAGATGGCTTTGGAGTGCGCCAAGCGAGCAGTTACCGCTGCGCCTAGCGAGTTCAGCACCTGGGCTCGCTTGGCAGAAGTTTACGTTGGGCTGGAGCAATGGGATCTGGCCCTTCTTACCCTCAACTCCTGTCCCATGTTCACTTACCAGGATAAGGACACACCACGCATGCCTCAGCCCTCGCGCATTATGCTCCCAATCCTTTCTGAAAGCATGCTTGATGAGATTGACGAAGGTCAGCCAAAACAGGGAGACCCTCACGACTATGTCCACCCCTCTCTGCGGAAGTTGCACGCGGCAAGCTACCAAGGAACCTTCCTTAAAGCCTACAACCTGCTCACCAAGATTGCCGCTGCGATCGGGTGGGACCAACTTTTGAAGGTCCGCAGCGAGGTCTTCGTCATGGAAGAGGAATACCGTGTTGAGCGACACCATGTTCCGAAGCCTGCTCAATCTCACGACGCTGAAACCAACGGAGAAGAGGCCGATGATGCCGAGAAGGAGGACAATGAAGAAGACACTGGCTCGGTCTCTGGCCCTGCTGAGTCTGCTGCTGCGACCAATGGCAATGGGGAAGAGGCAGCTGCCCAGAGCCACATTGAACGCCCTGAGCAAACAGTGGCATCCGAGGTTGTCAAGTCCGGAAGTGACGACGTAAGTTCTAGTTCGGTCCCGGCCACCGAGACAGCGCACCATACTTATCATTCTCCGCAGCCCGATCCTTCTCATAGCGCCTACACACAATTCCAGAACAAACGGCTGTGTGAGCGGTGGTTGGACAACCTGTTTATGGTGCTGTACGAAGACCTCCGGATTTATACCATTTGGCGCACTGAGATGGCCCAGTTTCGCCAACAGGCGATGGAATACAAGAAGTCCGCGACCGAGTGGGAAATCCTGGGTGAGCTCGCAGAGCGCCTACACCACTTTGACGAGGGCATTGAAGCTTATCAGAATTGCCTGGCCATCCGGTTTTCGCCTAAGGCGATGCGAGGCCTCCTGAAGCTCTACGAGCAAAGGAACGACACCCGGGCCATGCTTGGTGCACTGATCCGTTTGATCGCTTGGCAATATCGCTGGTACTCTGAGGTAAGATTTTCTTATTCGCGACCTGCAACTTTTTTCATGCTAATTGTTTCAATAGTTCTCTCCGGATCTGCTCTACGTGGTGCGCAAGCTCATTGAGGATGAGGGTGCTGTTAAGGTACGCAGTATCGTGCAGGCCACTAACCTACCCCAACCGGTTCTCGATCTTACCCATCAGTACTGCCAACTCTGTGCCACGTTTCGGAGCAGTGGCAGTGACACTTGAAGAGGTCGATTGACGAATGCGGGGTGTTCCGATAAAAGGCGCTGGCAGGCTTAATGACTACCACTGGTGTGCCCTGTTTTTTTAAATGTTCTTATCATCCATTGTTATTACGAGTATCCTAGGGTATCATGGTTAGAAAGTAAATATTGGTTGATTTATTGATGATCCCAACTTGAGTATTTTCATAGCGAAATGTCTCTTGTACCAGGGCAGTGTACATTACCCTACGTTAGTAGTAAGTACCTTAGCGTATACACTGGAACAATTTACCACATTTTATCAAAGTGGATGTGAAATTGAACTGTTGCATTTGTTTGAAATTGGCAAGAGCTAGATGATACTAGTCGCTACAATTGTATTGCTTTGTGGGACTCAAGCTCCAATCCAGACTAGTGCATCGCATGGTGGGGTGTTCTGAAATGCCGTGCAGCAAGTCCCCATTTCCATAAGAAGCCCGAATTCAATCTGATCGATCTCTGTCGACAGGGTAATACACAGTCGCAGCAACATCTACGGTCGAAGTGATTTATCATCCGAGCGAGTAATATTCGGAGCATGGCTATAACACGCCCGCTAAGATTCCTCGTATACAGGGCCAAAGATCATTCAATGTCCGAACACACAACTAATCCAGCCTGAAAAGCGAATGGTTTTGTATTTGAATCATATAAGGCAGAGCCAGCACAGCCACAGATTACTCCGCAGCGTCGACCTCTGCTAGATCCGACTCCTTGGGCACATCATCACCCTTGTCTTTGGCGGCGGCCTCAGCAGGACCACTAGTCTTCGCGGTCTCAGCGGGAGCTTCGTCGCCTTGTCCGCCTTCAGCCTCCTCCTCCTCCTCTTCTTCTTCTTTTTCTTCTTCCTCCTCTTCACCTTCGCCATCCTTGTCGCCGTTGGCACCGTTCTCGGTAGCCTCGGCTTCCTCGGCGGCAGGGGCGGTTTTCTGCTTCTTGGCTGCTGGGGGACCTACGCGAATTGAGTCAGCAAATGAAGTATGGGGTTAGGACATTGGAGATGGAAAGGGACATGACACTCTCCGGGAAAAGTATATGTAGGAGGTAAGGGGGAGTGACAAACCTTCAGCCTCGCCCTCCTCCTCATCATCTTCTTCGTCGTCCTCATCGAACTCTCCCTCCTCCTCTTCTTCCTCCTCGCCCTCGTCACTCACATCGGGCTCAGAGTCTTCGTACCTAGATTGATGCGCGCGACGAGTTAGCCACCACGCTCAGAGTGTAAGTCCCTCCGAGGGCGAATTCGACAGCACGGATGGTTGCGATGCATGCGCGACGAGCAGGCGTCAGCCGAAGCGCCGTGGCGCCGTGGAGATCAGCTGGCGCATAAGGAGCAGCATCGTGGGCCGGTCGAATTGAACCCGGGTCGAGATGGGCGCATCAAGCGCAAGGTTGGGATAGCTTACTCTTCTTCTTCCTCGCTCTCGTCGCTAGGGAGAGCCTGAAGCTCCTCCTCCGGGTCATTCTTTCTCTTGCGGGTAGACATAGTGTGAGACGGGAAAGATGGGGAGATGGATTCCCGGGCGATTGAAGGGGGGTAAGGTTTAGGGGTGGAGGAGGTAGGGATGAGAAGAAGAGAAGAGGTGCATTGCCGAGGGACTAGGATTTATAAGACCGGAACGGGGGGAGCAGCCCGCGCAAGCAGGAACCCTTGGGAAAGGGAGGGGGCGCAACCCCTTGGGAGGTGACGACATGCGATAGCTTACACTCAGCTGGGTGGAGCCCTTCCGCTTCTATCATTATGTCTACCTGGTAACCAGCACACTCAGAGATCTTATTTACATCCCCGTCACTGCGCCAAAAATTCGAAATTGGCCATGCTGGGATCCAGCAGGTTCTCGTCGAGCCCAAAGCCATACGTGCCGACCATGTCGTAGATCAGGTCCGGCGGCGGGAATCCCTGGGCCATCGCGTTCGCGCCCCCTGGCACGTCCTGCCCATCCACCATCCCATTATTTGTCCCGACTTGCCAGGCGGCTTCCCATGAGTCAAATCGTTCTAGCATTTTGCCTAGACCCCGTGCGATGTGCCGGGTCAAGTGTCGCTCGCCCGCTGAAACGCAGTTCATCAGCTCGATAACTCGCTCCACCAGCCGCCGCACTCGTCGGGCGTCGATGCTGAGGTATGCCGAATTCCAGTTAATCGCAACCTTGAGGAGGAAAACCGCAGAAAAGGTCACCATCGTATGCGTGAAGATGGGGACGCCGACGATCGCGTCGCGAATATCGGGCTCTTCGAGGACCATGTTCAAGCAGGCCATCGCGGACGAAATGGCAATGTTCGCCGATTCCTTGCGGTCCATGGAGAAAACGGGTGTATTCGATGGAGAGAGCGCGCGGAGAGATAGCGAGTTGAGTTGGAATTTAGCAAAGTGATAGTGCAGCACAACGCCCTTTGAGGGATACGTTCGCACGTACGGACTATCGGCTGCACAAGAGTGAGCAAGACTTCAGAGTGCAAGTCGAATGGTTTCGCGACAAAATACATACCTGATCTTGGTTGCCAAAGCAGTCGCCATTGATCTACCGCGACATTGTACACCCGCAACTGGCCAAAGTCCTCCTCGGTGACTGCTTGCTCGGTGTCGCTGCCAAAGGTCCGATAGGCCTCGGTCAAGATCATGAACAATGCGACCTGCGCAAGGAGCCGAATATCCCCCGGGACAATCATTGGTAATTCGAGAAAAGCCTCATAATTCCGGATGGCCACGTCCTCATGGATGACGGGGGGCCGCCCATAGGCAATGCTGAAGTGATGATCGCAAACATACAAAAGATACCATAATTGGGCGCGCTCATACTGGTCATTGTGTCCCCGGGTCAAGCGCTGATAGCTCTGGTGCAAACCCATCTCAGTGGCAATTCGCACAGCATGCCCCGATAATTTCCAGCTTAGTTCCGACAGCCAAAATGCACCCACGCAGAGACCTCGGATGTCGTCGAGGGTGTGGGCTCGAGTCAAGGCCATGCTTGACACGAGAGACACATATTCTTTATAGCACCGATTCAACGTATCAGTACGATTAGGAATGTGAAGGGCTGCGACAGTTAATACTGCAGCAGAGAGAAGAGTCGATGCGCGACGGACCGAGGTCAAATCGCGATGGACCAGAATGATACCACCCCAGAGGAGCTGGTTCATAGTGCGACTGAAGTATGCGAATAGTTCCTCGGCTTCGTGGATGGAGATCAATCCGCGCGTAATAAAATCCTCTTCTAGAAGTGTTGTCTTTGGTGCCTCTACATGGTTATTTCGTAGATTGCGCAACTTGGTGACCTCGTATAAACTCCGCATCGGTGCCGGAACCAGTTCGGGGTCTTGGAGGTCGGCCTCCGGAGAGTTTTGTCGGGTGACATCCATCACCACGCCAGGCCCCTCCTGGTGGCTTGTATGTGTTGTGGCTGCGTGCTGCGAGGCATCGATTGACGGCCGTTGGCTATGGTGGGAGGCTGCTGGGCTGGGACCAAGGACATGACGGCTATCACCGGCCGTGAAGCTCGAGAGATCGGGCAGTCCCGCCTGTCGCAAAAGTTGCGACACTGCGGTTTGCAGTTGCTGCATGGTCGCGGCTGCTTGTGATTTCCATCTAAACACGGGCGATTAAGTTAGCGACCGGTTGCGACTGTCCCTGGTGCAATTGCTGGTTGCCAACTAGAGTGGGAGGCGGGAGGGGGTTACTCCGATTAGGCAGCACGTACACTCCATCATCGTCGACGAACTTCTGTGAAAAGTCGTTGACGACACACTTGATGCCACTGCGAATACATTTGGTGCAATTGGTCTCACCGGGCCTGAACTCGCAGCGGATCTTATGGCGTTTGCACTCTGCACCTGGGGCCGGTCAGCGATGGAGGCTATGAATGTGGGGAAGATATGCAGCTTACAGGCTCGGGCTTTCGAGATCTTCGGTGCTGGCGTGCGCGCATCTCCTGAACGATTGGACTCCTTCGGAGAGTCCAGGCCGGCATCAGTTGACGACCGCTTCAGTGGAGTAGAGGCATCCATCGCCGCTTCGGTGATGCTCCGGGGGAATCTGGCGATGGCGGGGGAAGAGGGAGAAAGTCGGGGCAGGCCGAGCTGTGGGTTCTTTGCCTGTGATCCGCTGGCGCAGGGACTGTGCGCCTGTCGCCCGGGGGCATGCGGCGCCGACTTGCTCAAATTCTCGGGTCGACAAACGGCAAGTGCTCCTCGAGTGTTGCGCTGTCCGATCGCCGTCTACTTGGGCCCGCGGCTGCTTCTCCTCCCTGGCGCCCTCATGCAAGCGCACTTCTCCCCTGGCCATCGGCTTCTTCTCCGGTCCCGACAAGAACTGGCGAGTCAAGCACATTTTCATGCTTCAATCCGGAGGTCCTTGAACCAGGAAATGGAGGCCATTCGTGCAGCAGATCCACCCCGAAAGCTGGTCACCCGGGCGAAGTCCGGTGCGGAGGATCCAACAGCGGACCGCCTCGGACTTGCTGCGAATGCGGAGAACCAGGCACTCACCTCATAAACTCAACTTGACGACAGCTTCCGTGGGCTTTTCCTCTTCGAAATTCCTGTCGCACTCCAAAACAGAACAAAATGCATGTTCTCATCACCGGTGCCGCCGGCTTTATCGGCCAGCTGCTAGCCAAAGAGCTGCTCGACGACCCCAAGTACAACGTGACCTTGACCGATATCCACCAACCCCCGATCCCCCAGGGCGTTCGCTATCCTCAGAATGCGAAGTTGGTGAAATCAGATCTCCTCACCGGAGCCAAGGATGTTGTGGACTCTTCCCTTGACGCTGTCTACGCCTTCCACGGTATTATGTCGTCCGGGTCCGAGGCCAACTTTGAACTGGGCATGAGCGTGAATATCGATGCGACCCGCAACCTCCTCGAGGAGTTGCGACACAAATGTCCTGGTGTCCGAGTCATCTACTCATCTAGCCAGGCGGTTTATGGCCATCCCCTGCCGGAAATTGTGACCGACAGCGTCATTCCCACTCCCGAGTCCTCCTACGGTGCCGAGAAGATTGTTTGTGAGACTCTCATCAACGAATACACCCGTCGCAAGTTCATTACCGGATTCACTCTGCGATTCCCAACTATCTCCGTTCGCCCTGGTGCCCCAACAGCCGCCGCGTCGTCGTTCCTCTCGGGTATGATTCGCGAGCCTCTCGGCGGCCAGGAATGTGTTATTCCTATCAAGGACCGATCTTTCAAGTCGTGGCTCTGCTCACCCAAAACCCTCGTCCACAACCTCATTCACACTCTCTATCTTCCGATCGACTCTGTGCCTCCACATATCCGTCAAATCAACGTGCCTGGTATCTGTGCTACTGTGCAAGACATGATGGATGCGTTGGAAAAGGTGGGAGGCAAGGACAAGCTGGCTCTTCTTCGAGAAAGGGAAGATCCTGCATTGATTCCGATTCTGAAGTCGTGGCCTACGCAGTTCGATAATTCCCAGGCCATCTCTTTGGGTTTCAAGCGAGATGAATCTTTTGAACAGGCTGTGCGGGACTATAAGCAGCAGCTAGAGCAGTCGTGACAGTATGAAACGATTTAGTAAATGATGTTTATAGATTATGAAATCAGTGCGCAATTACCTGACGTTCCACGTGTCCAATGTTTATAGAACTGAACTGCATATCCACACCGTAGTCGTAGTTCGGTAGTTGGAGGTTGGATTAAAGGACTGTGATTCGAGGGATTATGGCAAACCACGCGGTCGCTGCCTATTTAAACTCTAAATGTAGCGTTGCTGCTATTGATTCTTGCTCTTCGCGCGTTTTTGGGCGGGTACCTCAGCTAGTACGATGCTCATGGGAGTATCAGCGTTCCCGTCCCAAGTTCACGACGTACTATACCATTCCCACGACGTGCATGGACTTTTTGCAACTCGGATTACGCTAGGAAGAGCAATCGGGAACTTCTAGCGGCCAACTCGCTATCCAGATATACAGAACTACTGCCGAAGCTGCCCGTAGTACCAATTCGTGGGTCCTATATGCAACACCACAAACCCCTGGCCATCTCTGGCCTAAACCCGATGGATGTATTTGCAATGGACTACGTTGGGCCACTGACCCCGAACTGCCGGAAGGGGAACGAGTCTCTTGATCGGAGTCGATTACATGTCCCGTTATCTTTTCGTGGCTCCGACAATAAAGAACAATTGGAAGACATCGGAACAATTCATTATGAAGCATGTGGCTCCGCGTTTTGGCTGTATTGTGGTTATTTACACTGACAACGGGTCACACTTCATGGCCCCGGAACTTCACGAAAGTCTGGAAGCACATGGAGTAAAGTTCGTGAGTGGACCGGGGAGAGCGGCTTGGAGCACCGAACTCGCTGAACGCCTTGTGCAATGGTCGCGAAGATCATCCGAACAATTGCCTTGCTTCATTGCCATGTCTTAAGACCCGTGTTTCGGGAAAACGCACAAGATATCAAGCTTGTTTAGAGGTGTAGAGGGGACCAGCTTAAGGGATTTGCCTTCATTCATGGCTTTATCAGATTGTAACAGTCCCGTCTGGTAAATTGTGGCTAATGGTGTATTATTCGTCTCGTTGGGTAAATTAACTACGATGGTATTGAGACCAGCCCTCCAAAATCGTTTCTATATGCATCATGAAGAGTGGGTTAATCCCTACAGCTTAACATTAGAATTTAAACAATCCCAATCACATCACAATTCATGGGCTCGTGGTCTAGGCGTATGATTTTCGTTTTGCAATGACCTAATTGGTCAACTGAACTACGAAAGGTCCGGGGTTCAATTCCCCGCGGGTCCATAAATTTTTGTTTAAATTTTTTTTTTTCTTTTGTGTGGACGGTATGAGAAGATTTACATTGTTTCATACGTTTGTGATCTGACGTTATCTCTGTAGTTGGTTGTCATTTTCAAGTGCTGAAAGGTTGCGAAAGTCATCCTCACCACGCGTTCGGGCTCGCGTTCAAATGCGTTTATATATAATTGAACTTACCACTCTATGTGAACAATCACCTGGATGTTAGTTTGGCCTGGTGTATGTTTATTGGCGCAGTCATAGTGTCGCAATAAAAATAGCATATTTGATCAAATGATATGGATATAATATTGAGAGACCTGCTAGTGTACACCGGCTGGTGAATCCCTCGATGCCCTCTCCATCGATCGGGTGCGGTCAAGGCAGACGCCTCTTTAGTGTGCGGAAGCCATAACATCAAAAATACTAAGATGCTTGAATTTCTTACTTTGCCACAGACAAGAATAAAGCGAGCCACAAGGCGAGTTGAACATGGAGAGATTGTTCCAAGACCCATCAGTGTCAAGGCCTATTTCCAAACCTGAGATCGTCTTAGCACGCATTCGTCTATCCATTCAGCAGCATTCCCACACCTGTCCATCGATGGCAATTAAACGATTGAACAGCTGATTCCTCGTTCCCATAGCTGTGAGCTGGAATCGCTGTTCCGGATCTTTGCCCACAATTAGCAAGCCGTCAACAACCTCCTTGCTACCCATCGCCCACCCAACAACCAGTTTCCCTTTCCATCCTAGTCCTCCCAGCTTTTTCATTTCTCGGATCTCCGTCACGGGTATCTGGAATAGGACGGTGTCCTTCTTCCGATTTTTCAACTGGAGATTCTCATCCTCGGGCGAATCGGTCGTAAAGTAGAGCACCGGCGGTTCGCCCGACGAGTCGATTATCACAGTGCCGCGCTTCCCTTTGTGCCTGGCATCGAATTTGATAGGTCCGACCGGTGTGCTGTGTTTGCCCTTTGGACGGAGTACCCCGACTCGGTTTTTCGCATGTCGAGAACCGATTGTCGCCCGGACGCGATCGATTCCGCGTTTACTTTCCACGCCCGTTGCTGTTGTTCCTCGGAAGAAGACAATGATGCCCGATGCTAGAGTCTTCTTGTGGGTGGCCTGTGGCTCAGGCTGTGAGCTCTGCGAAGTGTGATGTGGGTCAACCGATGCAGCTTGCTCGATTTCTCCGTGGGTTGCCCCAAGCTCGAGTTCTTCATGATGCAGGGAGGCCGGGCGAGAAGGGGGTTGTTCCAGGGAGGTCGGAGGGGGAGGCAACGGCGATGCATTGGCCTCGCCAACACGTAGAAGTGTAAGTGTTAGTTGGGCATTAGTCGGGATGCCTTTCAGGAGCGAGCTTCAGAATTGTTAGTCAGTACACTCCAGACATCCGAGGGGTATTTGAGTATATACTTCTGGATCTGAAGAAGTTTTTGCCAGTGAGGGAATTTCGTATTCAAGAAGGCAAGTCCCCGACGAATGACGGGATCTCCGAAAAAGGCAAAGCCTACAAAGAAGCCAATTCCTTTCGTTAGAGCATGGCTAGAGATTAGACTGGACACGAGGCAGGCTGGGACCAGCACAGCCACTAGACGCAACCGAGGAGTCAAACGCGGGAATGGCGGCGTCGCAGATAGAGCACTGTGAAGTATGGTCAAACATAGGCCGAAATTTCCAATGCGCACCCCATTAAACCAGAGACAAGCTTACTTTGCAAACTTTTCGAATGTATCTGTGATGTCGCTGATAACCTGCATGCCTATATTGGCAGCCTCCATGACAGACTCTTTCATTGGTTGCCGAGTCTTGTCGTGGGAATCCGCGGGTATTCTGCCATCGGCCGCACTCTGGGCATCAGCAGTATCCGAGACCATATTCATGGCATCCGGAACACTGCCTTCTAAGGGTGCACCTTCAGGTACTCCTTGGTCATGCTTCCCGACAGCGCTTCCAACGGCGACACTCGCGACACTCGCCACAAGGTTGCTGGCTTCTTGCTCGGCTGCTTCTCCCTTGAAATTTTCGGGAGCACCGGTTATACTATCATGAGAGCCGAGTACCCCGGCTTTTGGCCTTTGAATGCCTCCCGTGTCTTTGTCCACGAGTGCGATCGGTGCTGGGGGAAACATGGCCTGTCGACAAGGGGGATATATCACCAAGGCAATCAGAGTGGCAAAAAATACAGGGAATATGATATCCAGAAGCCAAGCTAGAGAATAGACCTGTCCAAATTAGAAATGTCCTCGATTGAAGTGTCACTATGAATAAACAAACCGAGCAAAAGATAGCTGTCCGTCGAGGTTCCTCCACGAGCGCAGTCGCGCAACATGGTTAATGAACCCAACGAGAATTATCACAACGGACGTGTAAAATCGCTCAACGGTGGCACGCAGCTTATCTGGGGAAAACTCATCATCCCCTGCCCGAGTCAAATCCAGATTCTGAAGCGGAGCGTTTGGGACAGCCTTGACGTTGTACACTTGCTATAACAAGGACATTAGTCAGATGTGTATGAGATCAAGCCTCTGTGCGATTTCAAGATACCTTGTCGAATCTTCTAAGGAGCATCCAAAGGTCTTGGTTTGACAGACCTGCAATGAGGGGTTCTTCGATGTGCTGGACAGGTTTGGACCATCCCAGATCAGTCAGCTCTGCGGTGTCGCCAGCCTGTTGAGACAGACCCTTTTCGTCCTGTTCGACCTGAGAAAGGACATGGCTGTCGGTCGGACCATCCGGACAGGCGACGGTATCCGTGGGAGGATCTTTTTGTTCTCCATTTTCTCGCTTTGGTCAGAACAGCGAGGGAGAGCTCATCTCTTGTTGGATACCTATAATATGGATAAACGGAGAGTGGGCAGCAACGAGGAAGTGAAAGTCACTCAGTTGGGTTTTTGACGAGATGTGAGGGGAATCTGGGAAGGTATGCTGTGCCCGCCAGGGCCAGGGACTGCGAACCTGCTGCGTCGATTCCATCTTGCTTCAGGTTCAAGCTGTCTATTCGGCGCCTCCGGCCGGTCGACGTCATCCTCCGCCTTCCATACACAAACCGAGCAGGCTGTCTCCACCAACCTACCGTACCTACTAAGATAGTAATTAGTAGACTGCTCCCTTGAATTTCAAAATCAAACTGGATAGCGAGACATATCCCGATATTTCCCCCCAATCCGTTTTCTTGACTTCCTCTACCAGCCCGACTATGCGGTATGCGTGGGATGGTCACATGACCCCGTGTTCCCAATCGCGTTCCCAAAGAGGAAATCAGCGGCGCGTCACCGAGTCCGACAACCATCTTGCGCTCAGCCGGATGGCCGCTGGTCACCATGAGCGAGGATTGCGCAAACCCTCTCCTTCTGGGGTGGATCAAGGAATGGCTCGACCAGGCTCGTGAGCGGAACAGCAAGGGCGCGACTGTGTTGGTCTCCTATCTCTCCGTGCGCCCGCAAAACGACTAACAATGACTTGATAGGTACAAAAAGGCCTACGAGTCGATGAAAGCATGTCCACTGAAGTTTGATCACCCATCTCAAGCGCAGCAGCTGAACGGACTGGGTCCGAAGCTATGTGATCGTCTAACGGAAAAGCTCAAGGCTTGGTGCCAGGAGAATGGGGAAACAATGCCGGAACCCCCTGGCCAAGGTATGATTACTTCAAATAAGTACATTTATACTTGGGATTTTACGTCCGCATCTGACAAGATTAAATAGCCAACAAGAGAACATCCGACCCCGATGTTGCCAATGAGCCAGCTAAAAAGCCCCGAAAAGCTAAGCCTTACGTGCCAGCTTTGCGATCCGGGCCATATGCACTGCTCCTGGGCCTGGGTACGCTGGGGGAAAATGCAACGCATGGATTGACAAAAGCCCAATTGATAGAGGTGGCACAGCCTTACTGCGACAGCTCCTTCACGGCCCCCCCAGACCCGACTAAATTCTACACTGCGTGGAATTCCATGAAGACCTTGATGCAGAAAGACTTGGTCTATGAGCATGGGCGTCCTCTCAGAAAATACATTCTATCAGAGGATGGATGGGAAGTTGCCAAACGCATCCAAAAGACCCTGCCTGGATCCTCCGAGAACTTGTTGTCCTTTGCCGGAAACCAAGCTTCCACCTCACAGCAAAGCGCAGCTCAAAATGACGACGAAGAGGAATCCGAGACCTCACATCCTTTAGGCTGGGCAGCCAGCACAGAAGGTCCTACCGAGCCCATCGCTCTACCTCCGGGTAGCTTTACGGTCCAGTTAATCCTGGATACTCGAGAAGTGCGCACTTCCACGGATCGAGACTATATCGCGAACGAACTTATGAAACAAGGCATCACACCCCAAGTACGTGCCTTAGAGCTTGGAGATGCCATGTGGGTCGCGAAATGTCGGGATCCGGCATTTTTGTCGCGATATGGTGAGGAAGGGGATGAAGTCATGCTCGATTGGATCCTCGAACGAAAGCGTCTGGATGATCTGATTGGATCTATCAAGGATGGTCGATTCCACGAACAGAAGTTTCGCCTGCGTCGCTCAGGCATAAAAAACGTCATCTATCTTATTGAAGAGTTCTCGATTACACATCCGGAGGCCGGTAGTGGGCCGAAGTACCACGACATGGTTGCCTCTGCTATTGCCTCGACGCAGGTTGTCAATGGTTACTTTATCAAGAAGACGCGCAATCTGGATGATTCCATCCGCTACCTTGCCCGGATGACCCTCCTTTTACGGAAGATGTATGGTGCACAAGACGCCCCTTCAAGCGAAGCGCCCGGTGCAAGCGGAGTGACACCGACAAAAGTTTCCTTCATCCCGAGCCGGATTCTCTCATCTACACATTCCTACTTGACTCTTCTGGACGAACTCCGTACCAAAGACCCGTCTCTTACATATGGCGTCACCTTTTCGACCTTCTCCGCTCTCACCTCGAAATCCGATGTGCTGTCGCTTCGTGATATCTTCCTGAAGATGCTCATGTGCACTCGTGGTGTTAGTGGTGAAAAGGCACTCGAGATTCAGCGGCGATGGCAAACACCTCGCAAGTTTATCGAGTCCTACGAGGCTCTACAGCCCCAGGAAAGGGAAACAATGGTCTCAAGCCAATTGCAGTCTTTGGTAGGAAGAAAGAAGATTCAAAAAGCTCAGAGCAAGCGGATTGCTGAAATCTGGGGGAAAGGAGGATGATTATGATGATGATTGATATGCGATTATATTGAATAGTACTCAAAACAAAAAGACATCTCACTGCCTCCCAAATAGGCTATGCGGAAAAAGAAAAAATTGAAGATCATTAATCATAGAATTATTTCCCTTGGAAATCCCTTCAACCTAGTCCTTTCGACGGAAAAGCTTTCGAATGGCTGCTCTGTCGATTCTCAACGCCAGACTACTCGTCACAACAGATATACTGCTCAGGGCCATTGCCAGGGCGGCCCACACAGGACTCAGCCTCCAATGCTCATTGACAGTAATAATTTCGTGTCCGATCATCTTCTCGTGGTGACCGCTCACGATAGGATAGAAGACACCAGCAGCAACCGGTACCAGACACAAATTGTAGATGACAGCCCAACCAAAGTTCATCCGTACACGATTGAAAACGCGTCGACTGAGAAGAACCAGTTGGAGAATCGTGCTGAGGTCTGAGTTGAGGAGGATGAAGCTAGCAGAGTTGATAGCGACATCGGACCCGGATGCCATGGCAATGCTGACATCTGCTGCAGCAAGGGCGGGAGAGTCATTGACGCCGTCGCCAACAAATGCAACAATGGGCCGCGATGCCTTTGAATTGCGCGATGCCTTGATCTCGGTCCCCGGAGATGCGGCCTTCACCGATCCTTCCTGGATCTGGCGTACAAAATTTGCTTTCTCTGCTGGCAGGACATTGGCCATGACGTTGGAACGTGGGATACCCAACATATCAGCAACTGCATGGGCCGTAGTTTGGTTGTCGCCAGTGCACATAAAGATCTCAACATGATGATTGTTCAGCTTCGAGATCACGTCGATAGCCTCGGGTCGAATGGTGTCAGAGGTCGCGAAGATAATTACCGGAACGAGGGAGGAAGGTTCAGAGGATTCTGGAATGATGCGGCGCAAAGAAAGAATGGCGGTTGACTTTCCAGATGATTGAAACTTCGACAGCAAACTCGATACAAAGTATGTATCTGTTTCAGGGGGAAGAATGCTGTGGAGAAGACGCTCGTTGCCGATGGCAGCTTCGTATTTCTCTTCAGACTCAGATGCATCCCGAGAGACAGTGAAAGTTCCCTTCATACCCTGACCAGAGATCTCCTGGATATCTGAAGAGTGGACTGAGACTTTGGGCTGCGCCTCACAGAAAGCAGAGATAGCCTGCGCGATGGGATGGTTGCTGCTTTCTTCCATTTTCTGAGCGAGAGCCCATGCGACCGACACTAGATCATCATCTTTTGTCAAGACCTCATGATCGGACACTTTGAGACTTCCACCTTCAGTCAATGTTCCAGTCTTGTCAAAGACAATGGCATCGAGACGACTAGCTTCCTGGAAAGCTTCACCGCCACCTTTGACCAGGATACCGTGCTTCGCTGCGAGGCCTCCTCCGACAAACAGTGCCGTGGGAGCAGCCAGTGCGAGTCCACATGGACACGCAACCACAAAGACGGCAATGGCGAATTCCAGACTCCAGAATGTCCAGCCACCGCGAGCTGTATCAAGGTAGTCACCGGGAAGTACACCCGAGTGACCAAGAGCGAGCCAGATCACGAAAGTAAGAATGGCGATGAGAGTGATTACAGGGACAAAGTGGGAAGTGAGCATATCGGCAACTCTCTCAAGAGGTGCACGCTTGCTTTGGCCCTCGCGCACAACAGCGATGATCCGATCAAGCATAGAAGACCCGCCAAGTTCGGTGATTCGAATATGAACTGGTTGGCCGACGTTGACAGAGCCGGTGTAGACTTGATCGCCGGCGGCTTTCTTGACTGGACGAGACTCGCCAGTTAAGGAGCTCTCGTCGAATTGGTAAGAACCGTCACCGACAACGACACCATCAGCAGGTAGAGATGCACCATGAGGGATGCGAACCATATCACCAACCTCCAACAGGTCAACGGCAACTCGCGTCATTTGGTCTGAGCCTGGGAATTCAGAGCCCTCAGGGGTCTCGTTAGGTACTGAGGCTGAGCTCTCAACCAAAAGTGCCTCTGAGGGACGAAGATTTCCCAAGGAAGAGACTGCATCGCCTGTTTTGGCTTTGCTGTATGCCTCCAAGAACCGACCGCATAGGATGAACAGAGTCAAGAAAACAACCGAGTCGAAATAAGTGGTGCTGTGAGCACTGCCCTTCGTGCCCACAACGGCGTCGACAATGAGAACGGCGAGTGATGAAAAGTACGCAACAGATGTACCTGCAGAAATCAAAAGGTTCATGCTACCAAAGCGATACAATCTCCGCAGGACTGGTACCCGGCTCGCAGGCCGCCAAAGTGCATGGATTTCCTTCAGGGCACGAGTATGGAATACATCGGTGCCGTAGAACATGACAGGAGTCGACATTATGAAGAGAGCCCACTCGATGCGAGTGACACTACCAGACCAAATAGTCTGTTCAAGATATCTCCGGACCGGATGGTTCGAAGAAACCAGAGACATGAACACAATGCCGATCAAGAAGGTCGGAATAGCGGCAGCGAAAACAAAGAGCAGACGAGTGAGCAGCCTGCGTCGTTCATGCAACTGCATTGCCCGGGAGCGATCTTCGATGCTCGGCGGGTGGTAGATGCTAGCAGTGAAAGCACCATTAGACTCGGTGATCGCATTTAGGATCGAGCGGACTGTCAAGGCGGGCGGTTGGGGTGTATAGGTGACTTTGAGGATAGGGTTCGCTTCGCAAAGATTCTCCTCAACAGTGACTCCTGGGAGCGATTCGATAGCGGTAAGGACCTGTTCTGGGCAATGGCGGCAGAACATTCCATCGACGCGAATCGAGATGAGTCTGGACTGCGCTGGAGTAGTTTCATCCTTGTTTTCGGACATACGATGGACACTGTTGACAGCAGCATCATAACCCAGATCATCGATCTTTTCCAAGATCTTGTCTAAGTTGTCTTGTCCATCAAACTCAATCCGACCACTATGCGACAGCAGATTGACGGAGACATCTTGAACAAAAGACAATTCCTCCAATCCACGAGTCACGGCGCCGACGCAAGATCCGCAGGTCATTCCAGTTATCGCAATCTCTGCAAGGAACCGGGTAGAAATTTTCTCGGTGCTTGGCGCCTGAGCAACTCGATTGACTTCGTCCAAAAAAGCCTCGAAGCCGATATCCTCGATTTGTTCCGTGATAATATCAATGTTTTCCCGAGGGCCAGTATATACCACAGCGGCGCTGTTGGTGAGGAGGTGGACATTGATCTCTTTCACGAACTCCAGTTGCTGAACCGCAGCTGTGATGCCATTGACACACGAGGCACAGCTCATTCCTCCAATACTAATACGCGCATTAAACTCATCGCTTGTCTGCGGTGAAGCCTGAGCCCCTGGGGTCTCAGGTGAAATTTGAGGCGCCGAAGCTTCAGGCTCTACCCGAGCCTCATCGCTGTGCACAGATGGTGGTGTATGAACAGCGGTCTTAGACGTTTGCAAAAAAAAATCGATTTCTTTCTCCTCGGAGATATCCTGGGGAAGTTTCTCATGCAATGGCTCTGCCCAGGAAGAATGATGAGAGAGGCTTTGAGCTTCTTCCTTCTGGCAGGCATCGCAGTTGGCAATATGCCGTTTTTCCCTGCTCGATTGCAGTCGCTCCTTGATGTTGGAGGAGAAGCTTGAATAAGATGCGCGGGGCGTGGAGAATACTGTAGATCCCCGATGGCTCCATGAGGACGTGTCGATCTCGGAGACAATGCCTTTCTGTTCATCGAATGTCGTTACATGGTATACTTCGAAGGCGGCGTGTATGAGAGTAGAGGCGATGTCGGTTGGTTGAGCAGAGAGGCCATGTGAGACGCGCACTTCATGAGTCAATATAGAGACGTCAATATCTTGAACGGTTGGAATCTCGGTGAGGATTTCGGTGATGTAGGCAATGCAGGATGAGCAGTGGACATTGCCCACCCAAAACACGCTTCTTCGCATATGGGTCTCCGGGCTTTGGGCCTGCATATTATAGTGCGGAGGGCTTTCGGACCGATAGCCACGATTCGACGCGTTTATTGTATAAAAAACCTGATCGATGGTAGATGGGAGATCTGAGATCTGGCTGAGATCTCAGAAATGCCACAACCAGGATGCCAAGTTCAGGGGGTTGGATGTTGACTATTAAACCCAGGGGTGGCGCGCGGGTCTAGCGGTCGATCGACTTTGATAATGGCGAATCGCCAGTGAGAGCGGCAGCTGCGACAGCAGAAATTACAGAAAAAGATGAGAAGGGTGAACAGCAGACGTCAACCAAGTTGGCATATCGCAATCTATTAAGAAAAAAGAAAGAAAGAAACCCTGGAATCCGGTGGAGGGTAGGCGAAAGACGCGATGCGCCATTTGTGCGTGGAGATGGCAAATACGCACAAATGGCGCAGCAGCATTCCAATCATCGAGGGCCATGGCTCCAAGCAGTATGTCACTGGGTCAGTCTGAGAAGGGCCGGGAATGTGCAAGAACTGTATATAGGCAGGATTTAAAAGCGAACCATCAACCATGAACCATGTGCTCGTGTACGCCGTTGGAGGGCTGGTGCGACGGGCGTCGTTGGCGTGGTGGCTGCCGCAGGGTTGATGCCTGCCCGTAGGCGTAGCATGCCTGGGGAACCAGGCATACTAAGGGGCACGCGGTCGGTCTTCAGTATTGCCGTTTTTGAACTAGCGCAAAATTCATGTGCGGCCCATTCCCCGAGGCAAGCGAAGAGCCCACTTGAAGGTTGATGACACTACCTAAGGAATATCCAGAAAAAACACCAATAACAGGTAGCCCGAAAAGCTTTGAATGATATATCGCCCGACGCAAGATCCTGACGATGAGTTACCGAGCGAGGTGGAATTGAGAATCTCAAGTTGCCTCGCCGGATCGAACCCGCGCTCTCGAACCTACACGTGACTCCGCCGCTGCACCACCCGCGCGACGCGGCCGCGAAAAAACCCTTCATCGTGCAGCCCCACTCGCGACACCCAGTCTCTTATCACTTATCTTTTTATGCTCCCAGACAGGCGTACCCTAGTCGGACGATTTGACGAGAACTTCAAGCTCAAATTCAGCAAGAAAAGCAATCTGAATTTGGAGCTACGAGCTGAGACTCGCTGTTAGTGCTCGGTCCATCTCTATCGCCGACACCTATCACAGTCACCGTCCCCTCATCCCTACCGATTCTCCATTCACTTCAACTGGCCGACTATTCAAAGTGCTGCTTCCTCTCCATGCTCATCGCAACCACCTGTGACGCCTTCTATCTGGATTTCGACACCCATTGAGCTGTCTGGGAACTACCTGGGTCTCATAGCCTGGCAGTTGACCGAGCGGAACAGACTCAGCAGCGAAATCAATTCTTCGTCGTCATTATCTCGCCATGTCGACCACGAAGCCTACCCCCAAGCCTACCCCCAAGCCTCAGGCTATTCCCAAGCCTGGGGCCGGACGCCCCACGCGGATTACAGTCGCTCCCCGTGGAGGGGCCCGAGGACCTGTCGGACGGCTTGCCAGCTTGAAACCACCAAACCCGACTCCTATCAAGCGCCCTCAATCAGCTGCACACCCTCAACCTCCCCGACCTACAACTCATCCGAAGACTTCGAGTTGTCCCAACCCGGGCTGTCCCGCTCCTCAAATTGTGGACGAAGAAGGCCAGAAAGTTTGCACAGGATGTGGTACAGTCATCAGCGAATCCAACATCGTGTCCGAGGTGACCTTTGGCGAAAGCTCCTCTGGTGCCGCTGTCGTTCAGGGTACTTTCGTCGGTGAAGATCAGACCCATGTCCGCAGCTTCGGTCCAGGATTCCAGCGTGGAGGTGGCATGGAAAGCCGAGAGATGACCGAGCAAAACGGAAACCGATTTATCAGCCAGCTTTCCCGAGCCTTGAACATTCCCGAAAGTGCTTCGAAGGCTGCGGGACAGGTATTTAAGCTCGCCGTTGGATTGAACTTCATCCAGGGTCGTCGCACCAAGACCGTTGCTGCAGTTTGCCTGTACATTGCTTGCCGTCGCCAGGATGGAAACACCTCCATGTTGATTGATTTTGCTGATGTGCTGATGATCAACGTCTTTAAACTCGGCCGTACTTACAAGGCCCTCCTCGATGAGCTCCGACTCGGTGGCAATGTGTTCATGATGAACCCCATCGACCCGGAAAGTTTGATCTATCGATTCGCCAAGCAACTGGAATTCGGATCCCTGACCATGCCTGTGGCAGGTGAGGCTGTGCGCATCGTCCAGCGAATGAACCGCGATTGGATGACAACCGGACGTCGCCCTGCTGGTGTCTGTGGCGCTGCTTTGATTCTGGCAGCGCGCATGAACAACTTTCGCCGTACCATTCGTGAAGTGGTTTACGTAGTCAAGGTTACCGAAGTCACAATCAGCCAACGTTTGAATGAATTCAGTTCAACCGAGAGTGGCGAATTGACCGTGGATCAATTTCGTTCTGTTCAACTGGAAAATGCACATGATCCGCCTTCTTTCGCTCGAGCCCGCCAGGTCCATGGACGCAAGCCCAGCCAAATTTCTCGAAAGAATCCTGAGACGGCGGCCGAGCTTGAATACGACTCTGGCGCAGAAAGCGACACAGGGTCTGTTCAGCCCCGTCGGGTTGATGCTGATGGCTTTGCCATCCCGAGCCTTCCCATCGATCCTGCTCTTACGGAAAACACCAATCGTCGCGGCTCCATCACACGAGCCGTGAACGAAGTTGTCGAGGAGGCTAAACAGGAAGCACCCGATGTCAAGAAAGCACGGAAGAGCTATCCTGAGCCATCCCCAGAACAGATTGCTTCCGAAGATGCCCTCGAAAGCGAGATGCGAGACATGTTGGATAAAACATCCTCAATGGTCAAGAACGCGATGCTTCCTTTCAGCCAGATCTCGGACAACACGGAGATCGATGAGGAAGAATTCAAAGATGACCCGGAGGTCGCGAATTGTCTCCTCAGCGCTGCCGAAATCGACATCAAGGAGCGCATTTGGGTTAGCGAAAATAAAGAATATCTTCGCAACCAACAGGCAAAGGCCCTCAAGCGTGCGCTGCAAGAAGCCACTGGCGGAGGTCCTTCTTCCAAGCCTCGCAAGCGTCGCAAGGGCCGAATGGGTGATGTGGGTTATCTTGAGGACGGACAGGATAACGAAGGCCGCAGTTCTCGTGCATCTACTCCGGCTGAAGCCACCCGCCGCATGCTCGAGCGCCGCGGCTACAGTAAGAAGATCAATTACAACCTTCTTGAAACGCTTTATGGCGGCGACAGCATACCCGACGACAAGAAGGAGAAGATGGAAAGTTTCAGCCGAAGCCAGAGCCGAAGTGTCAGCCGCAGTCGCAGCCGTAGTCAAAGTGTTGCTTCCCGCCGCAGCACTAGCGTTGTCCCCGATGCACCTTCCATTCGCCGTGCTGGCCGGACCACCCCGGCGGCGACCCCGATTAAGCCTGGCCACCCAGCAGCAGGGGCTCCAGCCGCTCCCCCCAAGCCCCCAGTTCCCACCCTGACGGAGTATGGTACTGAGTTTGGCAGGAGAGATAGTCAAGTCGAACTCCGTGATCCCGATGCTTTGGATGAGGAGGAGGACGAGGACGAGGATGACGGTGTCGATGATGCTTTCGCTGGAAACTACCGGGGACGTGAAGACGAAGACGAAGACGATAATGGCGCTTATGTTAGTGACTACGACTACGGCTCTGACTAAGACTGGGGTTTAGAAGGGTTCTTGTTTTGCTCTATCGTTCACGGTTGGTACTTTGAATATGTCTGTTCATAGCGATTTAACCAAAGATATCCTGTATTATTATCTAACCACCAACTCTTTTTGAATACAATATCCTTACTTCCTACCAGTAGATTTTTCACACAGTAATATTGTGGTACGAAGAATTTCGCTCTCAAGCCTCTCAGAGCATCATCCCAAAACAGAAAATCCTCGAGTATACCCTCAGGTAGTAAGCTGACGTCTTTTGAAGATGAAATGTCTCGGCCGACCAGACTACCTCTCATTATATGTGAGGACGCTAGTGCTATAGCCGGGCTCGTTCTTTGTTCGTGTAAAGTGCTCACGACCGCATCAAATCCGGCAATTCGAAGCGCCGCATTGAGCCGATTCTTGCCCGAAACGATCGGCCTCCCGCCGATCTAAGCTTCCTTTCGTGGCGGTCGTCTCCTACTCCATCTCCACCCCCGGATTTCTCACCCCGCATAACCACTCGTCTCGGTGCATGCATTGTACTCAAGTACATATCGAGGTAGGTACTAAACGACACCATGGAAACCGAGACAATATTGGCACGCATGAGCGAAGAATATTTCAGTCTTTAATTTCGCTTGGCTATCTCTTCTTTCCTCTGCTCTCCTGGCTGGCTGAAGCCACAATCACACTCCGATCCACGAGTACCGGTACAACACCTGCGAGTAACAACGGCTGATCCCCGTATTCCCCGCCTTCTCCCCTCCGTCAACCCGGCGATCTTTGTTGCCGGATCCGTCGATTATGATTCTTGCCATCCGTGCCTCGGGCAAGGATTGGCCTGGTCGGCCTTTTCTCCGATAGTGTCGCATCGACTGCACCTACACCAGTGTGAGGTAGTGTTCCCTGGCCGCGTACAAAAAGGCGTGCGGACGCTACTATGCAGCTTTCCGCGGCTTGATATTTGCTATTCTCGTGTGGTGCTGAATCTCTTTTCTTTCGTTTTCTCGCCTCTTTACTCGATTCTGAGATTCGTCGAGGGCGCAAGATGGTCAAGCTGGATATATATGGCCGAGGTCGGCCGCTGAGGATGGCGATTATGTTTACATGTCAATTGGCATTCATTTTCTTCGGTCCGTGGATCTACTTCCAAATGGTGCTCTGCTCTTACCTTCTGGTGATCAACTAACGATGCATAGGCTACGACCAGGGCGTGTTCTCGGGCATTGTGGGCAACGAGGACTTCTTGAATGTGGTGAAAAATCCCAGCGCGGGTATACTAGGGATTATCGTTTCAATCTATAACCTAGGTTGTTTCAGTGGCACTATTGTCTCCTTTATGACGACTGATCGACTTGGTCCGCGGAAATCGATGTGGTTCGCAATGGGCTGGATCATTGTAAGGACATCAGCTCATTGCAAGAACACATCTGGGAACAGATGACTGATACAATTCCCTTCTAGGTCGGTGCGACCTTACAGACAACCGCTTTCTCAAGGGCCCAGCTGCTCGTGGCGCGTTTCGTGACTGGTATTGGGACCGGCATCGAGACGACCACAGTGCCGGTGTACCAGTCCGAGCTGTGCGAGGCCAAGAAACGTGGAAAGTACGTCTGCAGCGAGCCGCTGTTTGTCGGAGTGGGTATAGTGATTGCATACTGGTTCGACTATGGAATGAGTTATGTTGATGGGCCAATCAACTGGCGTCTGCCTATCGCATGTCAGATGATTTTTGCCATTATGGTTATTCTTCTGGTGTTCGGGTAAACAATCTCTCGATAGAGGTTTAGGGATGGGGAATAGGGTGACTGACAAATTTTGTTCATAGATTGCCCGAAAGCCCACGTTGGTTATACCGACACAACAGGAACGAAGAAGCGCTACAGGTTCTTTGCGACGTCTATGATATGGGACACGACAACCCGAAGGTTGTTTCCGAGTCCGAGGGTATCCTGGAAGCAATTCAGTTGGAGACTCTACATGGCGAATACAAGTGGTCACAGATCTTGAAGCGTGACGAAGTCCAAACCGGAAAGCGGGTGCTGCTGGCCTATGGAATGCAGTTCATGAACCAGATGGGAGGCATCAACTTGGTCGTGGTGAGTACCACATTCAGAAGGATTTCATCTATTTGGCTGCTAACCTCTGCTAGTACTACGTTACGTCAGGTAAGAAAGAGGAAAGACAGCGAAGATACATTTCAAGACTGACAGGAGACGAAAACAGTCTTGGAGTATAATGTTGGACTGACTCGGAAGCTGAGTCTGCTGCTTGGAGGCGTGATTCAAATCATGTTTGTGATCGGTATGTCATACCACGATGACTTTTCCCAGTGATGCAATCTTGCTTATATATACAGGCTCTTTTTACCCGACCTTCTTCTCCGACCGATTTGGTCGTCGCCAGCCGATGATGTGGGGCTCATTTGGACTTTTCATCTCCATGATGATGATTTCAATTCTGCTGTCGTTCAAAGGAACGTCTGTCGAAAAGCCCACTGCCTCCGCGTCGGTTGCCTTCTTCTTTCTTTTCATGCTGATCTTTGGCGCATCGGTCAACTGTATCCCATGGGTATACGGGCCGGAGATTCTCCCACTACATGTCCGAGCTAAGGGGTGAGTACATGCTGGCCGCTCCAAGCCCATATTCTAACGATTTCCCAGACAAGCAATAGGTATCTCCGCCAACTGGCTGTGGAACTTCTTTGTCGTGATGATCACTCCGACATTGATTGAGAATCTGGCGTGGAAGGGATACCTCATTTTCATGTGTTTGAATCTGGTCTTTGTCCCAGTAAGGTCAATTCCCTTGAGTTATCGAGCCAAAGAGCTAAATTGTAAAGATCGTTTATTTCTTCTATCCCGAAACAGCAAACCTCACTCTCGAGGAAATCGACTTCATCTTTACCGACCGTGCAAGGCTTCCACCCTTGCGTCCCCATACCGATTCCCAGGGAAAACCCACGGCTACACCTGTCGAAGCTAAGACCCGTAGCAGCAGCCCTGACGAAGTCCGGGAGGAATTCGTGGAAAAGAGCAAGTGAAGCAACAAAGATATCAAAGCTTCAAGGTGCAGGTAAGGCTCCTAGGCCTCAACAGCGCGTCGGTCAATCTGGAATTTAGTCCACAGGGAAAGATAGCAAACTAGAAGAGAGCCTAGAATATGAAAGAAGTACAACGAATCAAGAAGGCTCCTCTCCACCCTGATGAGCTTTATTTCTAGCAATCATCTCTTCGACCTCTTTTCCTTGGCCTCGTATGCACAAAGTCCCCATTTAAATACGGCGAACTCTCCCCTGCCCCTCCAAATTCATACATACAAACCACTCCCCAAGAATCCAAACCGATTTCCAGAGTGATACTGAATATCAAATCCCTCCCACCGAGGCGACTTGACCGCCTCAGAAAAGGCTAGTCGTGAACCAGGCCACATCACAGTTGGCCCATCCGATCTACCCTGCTTGAACCAGCTGGTACAAGGATCCGCCCAACAAGTGCGAGGTAGATAGACGAGGGCATGCTCCATAAAATCTTGAATAACCGAACCCTTCGGTGTCATCCGGCGGATGTGTTGTGTATATTCTTTTTGATCTTTTGAATAAAGTAGTTGCTCATCATAGTCAAAATGGGTATAATAGCACCTTGTGCCATGGGCGTGAACGGTCCCGTGAATATATAGTAGTTGGGCATGTTCGCGGCTGCGATGCCTAGGTACGATTCTGGGATCTGTAGGGACGCGGGGACGATAGGATGTATCGAAGCCGGTTGCGCAGATAATTACGTCGCAATCGTATTCTTGTCCTGACTGGTCTTTGAAGCCTTTTGGTGTGATTTCTCTGATATTTTCTGTATAGACTGTTGTCTTTTCACCGACGAGCGCTTCGAGGTAGCCGTTTCCTGGAGTTGGGCGGCGGCAGCCAACGTTGAAGTTCTGTGGGATTATTTTGTCCACAAGTCGAGGATTTCCTCCTAATTTTCTGTGCATTTCACCATATGAGAACTAGAAAATAAGCAAAACATGACTCAAAAACTTCAACCAAAGAATGCAGTAGGGCTCACCTCATTCCCTTTCTGCGATTCAGCAGTATTGCGTAAAACTGCCATATATCTCACATTGATCCCATCTTCAATCATCTTCCTATATTGACGATACTTCCCCGGATCGCGACGCCATCCAGCCTTTCCTTCTTCAGAATCTATTATAGTGAGTCACTCATTCTCGTCATTTTATGAGATACTTCTCACTTACACTCAAGATTGGCACCATCCTTGCCAGCATATTTCTGTGCAAAACCTGCTGTGATCCATGTGGGACTGCACACTCAAATATAAGGCTTTGAGACATTTTGAATATACAGAAGCGACAGTCTGGGCGCCAGAACTACCGGACCCAATCACATCAACTCGTTTGCCTTTAAGATCAAATCTCTCTTCGTAACGAGCTGTATGGAACAGACTTTCCCTGAAAGGAATGGAGGCCTTTGATAGTGGATCATTTCCAGGCACCATCCAAGTCAATGGTTGTCGTATAGTATAAACCCCGGGTCAAAAGCCTCACTTCAAAAATCCAGTTCCATTCAAAAGGATATCGCACTCCTCTTTCCACTCATCCGAACTATCCGTCCGACGAAGCGTGAGGACTCACCTCCCAATCTCGTCATCCCATCTTGCCTCGACGACTTCAGTCCGAAGCTGAATATACCGATCGAGACCTCATCAAGCACAATGCCCTTGAGATACTGCCATATCTCAGGCGAGCCGCAATAGTATCTCGACCAATTTGGGTTCGGCCTCCAGGTAAACTGATAACTAGGCGAGGGCCCGTCACAGGCACAACCGGGATACCGATTTTCAAACCAAGTACCCCCGACATCAGCGTTTTTGTCGAAACATTTAACTTCGATGTTTAACTATACTAGTTCGGATGACGCGTGATGTAGAAAGTCGATACCCGCTGCACCTCCGCCCATCATGATGACTTTGAAGGGACGGTCGGTTTACGAGTAGGTTTGTTCCCACTTGATATCCACCTGGTGACTGGATATGCCACTCTGGATGATCAACTGGTCGCGTTTAAGAGGAAGGATGTGGGCCTGAGAGACTGGAGCGGCAGAGATGGGTTGTATTCTCCCATATCTTCGAAGAGCCGACCAGGTAAATTTACGAGAGACGTCAAAGACAGAACCGAGGTGCCTACGGTCCTAGCTCCTCCTCGATGATTTAAGCCGATTTTATGACCGACACAGCCTGCGCATGTGCCTCTCTCGGACAGTCAGTCTCCGCGTCCATTCACTCTCCACAGCTCGGCACTTTGCCCGGGATCTGCAGGTTTGTACCCTCACCCCGCTTTCCTTTCCTTTCCTTCGCCTGGGCAAAGACAGAAGATAGAGCTGATTATTGGTCTCATGACACCAGGTCTGGACCCTATTTGCTGGATGCTACTGGGATATGAAAGAGGGGCAATATTAGCACTCCATACTACTAGTCCTCTAGTTTTGCCCACCCGAGATCAGCTACTGTAGGCTTTTAATCATGAGACTACACCTCCAGTCTATAGTACCTCTTTAAATATCAAATCAGAGACATTCCTCGAGAATGTCCCAAGAATATGCATAAATTACCGGCGGCGCAAGTGGCCTTGGCAAAGCCGTCGCCCAACGACTAGCTTCCAAGGGGATCAAAGTATTCGTCGCAGATAGCGACACAGCCGGGGCAGACTCTTCGGATGAGTCGAATATGTATTCGCCATCGTAGGAGTCGGACAGAACGAGTGGATGCCACTGGCTCGAACGGATGGCAAAGTCCAAGAGCCGAATCTGTCAGTGATAGAGATCAACGTCCAGGGCGTGTTGATGACTGTTTCGCTGGCGGTGCAGCAGTTCCGTCGACAGACGGTAAATGCGCATGGGTTCCGTGGGAAAGGTAAGCATTGTCAATGCCTTCCAGAAGTTATAATGTCAACCGCTGAAACTCGTGATAGTCGTCGTCGCCGGCTCTGTCTGCGGAATCTACCGTAGCCTCGGCCTCTCTACCTACGCAGCATCCAAGCACGCCGTGACCGGATTAGTTCGCTCCTGGGGACTGGAGCTACCCCCGAACAGATAACGCTGAACTCTCAGAACATCTCGACGACAGAATTCTACGATGCGCTGGAGAGCGAAGGGCTGTTGACGCCGCTCCACGGCGCTGTGACGACGTGCGAGCAGCTTCTCGGCGCTAATGCTGTGAGCAGACAGTGTTTTGAAACCGGACCCAACTATGACCATGGTCAGGGTCTTACGTGTCCGCGATTTGCGGATTTTACGGATGAGAAGCATTGGCTTGTTTTCGAGCGGTTGGCTGCAAGAGGAGCGTCGAAGGTGAAGAGTGCCGTCAATTACACACTGTGAATGTCTGTGTCTGTTAGCTTGTCATGTACTAGTCCTGTGTTTTCACCTGAAGATCCTCATAGTGACTGGCAATGTGCCTGGAAGCCACTTAATCAGCATGTAAGACATTGACGAAAAGTCAAGGCAGACCGCAAGATTTCGAGGCCGACCCCTACCCCGCAACTCGCCTCCCTTGCAGTCAGCCTGCGAGTATTTCTCCGGGCGAATGCAGAACACACGCAGGCAAGGGATAATCCTTCCAGGGAGAGCCTGAAACAGAATGGCCGTGTAGTGGTTGTTGGTCGGACCTCGAGTCTCCGCAACTTGGAGGAATGATGCTCTGCGAACTCACAAGTCTGTCACTCGGCGCTCCCAGGCATTTTAATTCGTTGATGGTCTATCTCCCACTCTAAATGGTTTCGCACCAGGATTCAAAGTAATTCTTGTTCTTCATTTGTAGTTCGTAAAAAGATATTTGAATGAATAGATACCGAAGCCAGATGCAGATAGAAAAGAACCAAGCCACCATTTACGACGCCGAACCAAATTTCCACGAGTAAAGCACCAAGAGAAACACCACTGCCCCCAATGCCCGCCTGGGGCAAAATAATCTGGACGATGCTACCAAACTGAGTAAGTCGGGTGCAAGTGAGTCGAAACTAAATCCAGTAAAAAAAATCAGGTAGAAAAACGCAGATAGAAAGAAAGTCGGAGATCGATCGATCGGAGAAGGCGACGATGACGATGAGGATGGTGGGTCGGAGCTCGATGGCAGAATCGCATGGTCGTGTGTCTATCGGACTTTTGGGCGAAGAGAGGTAGACACCTTTACGAGTCGATCTCCATGCCCATTTCCACGCCTCCGTTCTGACCCATTCCCGCGTCCATGCCAGTGGGCGCATGAGAGTGATTGGAGAGAGCTTGCTGCAGCAGAGGCACGCCAGTTTCCGTGTTGGAGGCAAACGGATTGGCGTCGGGAGGAGAGGCAGATCGAGCCGCGGCAACAAGAGGAGTCGAGCCTTCGAAGACGATAGGCGTGCAGCGGAGGTTTTGCAGGCAAGCGTCCCAAGAGGATGCCACAAGTTGACACTGAGTAAGATCATCGTTGAAAAGATAGAATGACGTAGAGAAGGAAGAAAGAGGCGTCGCAGAAACGAGGAAGGCGCTCAGCGCGCGGCTTTTCAAGAGCATCTGCGAACGGCGCAGATGAGCTGCGTACTGATTGTCGATGTACTTGGTCCAGCCGCGGACGGCGGGGGCCATATCATCGTCCGTGTCGATGCGCTGCCAGCTGATGCCGAGAAGGAGGGTGGCATCGTCGATATGAGGTTCGCTGGGAGGCGTGGACCCAGAAGGAAGCGAGCGGTGCTGGTCGTTGTAATCGGGGCCACTCAAGCGCTGGCGGATCGACGAGAGCGCAATGTCATCAAGGCCTGGGGCGGATTGGTCGAGCCGCTGAGACTTGCGGCTGATTTCGGCGGCGTCGGACTGGAGCGCAATCGAACGAGACGAGATAGGGTCCCCGGCCGTATGTTGCGACTCGGCCTTCTCTTCGTACCACGTGCCAGTTTGGCTCTCCGCAGAGAGAGCCATACCAGTGTCAGGGTTCAGCAGAACCATTCCCTCACCATAGATGGGCTCGGCTTTGGGAGCTGGCGGGGGCTGCGGCTCGGAGGGAGCGTTGAGGGTAAAGGCTTCCTCAAAGGCGGCTTCGTCACGCGACCTCTTGCGACACGGCTTGGGTGCAACCGTAGCAGAGTTGGCATCGGAGCTCGAGGCAGGCTGTGCGGAGCCATTGTTCGCGAAGACGGAGCTGGGGCTGGCAGGGTAGCTATTGAAACCGCCAGAGGGGTCCAGCAAAGACTGGGAAGGGAACTGAGCGAAGGCGTGTTCCTGGTGCGGAGAGAGGACGGTGGCGGGGCCATCAGAGAGACGGTTCAGAAGCATGGGAGACATGGCGAATGGTCTTGACCTGGAAACGTGGACAGGAACTGTACTGTGGGGTTAAGTGAGCAGCGCACCATAAGCTATATGGAACCACCTATAGATCACGGAGCGTAGATAGGTGTAGGATGGAGGAAGAATAAATGTGAAAAGAAGTCCAAGTGGCGGTAGGATGGGACGAGAGTGGGAGGGACTCGGATGGTGGAAGCAAGTAGAAAAGTGGCCCACGAGAGCAGCAGGTGAGACGGGGAGAGGAAAGAAGGAAGGAAGAGGGAAGAGCGGCGCGACGAGCAAAGAGCGATCTGAGGCGATCCATCGCAATGCGGAGATGACGATACGGGACGGCGTTACGCGGGCATAGAAGGGCGCCCCGAAGCAGGATGACCATACGGTAACATACCCGCCTGGGCCAGTCGGCGCTGGCGGTTGCGCCGCGCAGATTGGGGCTGTGGGGCGCTGTGCTTCTGGCGATTGGCCAATGGCGGAGGCCCAGCCCTGGGTCCGTGACGGCTGCAGCTGAAGGCTGAGAGGCTGCATTCGCCCCGTCACTCTACAGTAGTCACCCTACATTTCTGTACTCTCTTGGTGCTGGCCAAGCCCTGCTTGCTGCTCTTTACTACTCCAGTAGACACTCCATCTGGACATATGCAACTCTCAAAAGTCTATTGTTCAATATAGGGACACGAATGAGAAGTAAAAGAGAAACACCAGTACAGCCAAAGCAATCCGACACCTGAGCTCGTGCAAAAATCTTAACATCAAAATCAATGTTCGTAGAAGAAAAAAAAAGGGGCAAAAAAAAAAAGAAAACCAAAAGGACAGACTGCCAGTAACACTGGATTCGCTGGCGTATCAATCAACGGGAATGCGGTCGAGAAAGGAACGGTCAGGGACAGCCGGGGCCCTCCGTTTTCCATCACACCGCGAGAGCCCCGGAATCGTAGACCGACCACAGGCGGGATTTCCTGCATGTCGCCGTGGCCGGCTCGAAAAACCCATGTGGTACCTACTGGTTAGGCCAAGTAGAAAAACAGAAAATATGATTGGGAACCACTGGTATGCTCCACCACTTCCCAGCACGAGCAAAGCGCTCCTCGCGATGTCTGTGGTCATCTAGATCCCAAGTTTTACATGCAGACACCTCTTTCCAAACACCGTCGTAGTCAACACCAAACGTCTATTTCACCAGATGATGTGCTAGATGGTCAGAGTCAAGAAAAATGCATTTAAGCATTGCCTGCGGTGGCCCCACCAAGCATGCCCTTGAAACGATCAACCTGCTCGGGGGCGTAGCTGGGAGCCATCGATCCAACGAAGAGGAAGAAGATCAGGGCCGCAGCACCGAAGATGACGAACTTGCGCTGAGCGGGGTGGGTGTTGCCATACTCGGCCCAGGTGCGGTTGGCCTGGCCAGTGTACTCGCGGATCTTGTCACCACCGAGCTTGTAGTAGACAAGACCGATGAGGGCAATCGAGTAACCGAAGAACTGGAGGCCAGTCACAGGGGTGTTCCAGATCATCATGGAGGCAGCCACAAGCAGAATATCCTTCAGGACACCGCACAGGGTCATGACCAGAGACGAGGTCTTGCCGATCAGGAACACCACGGAGACGTTCAGCAGGAAAGCCACCATGGCGTTGGCAAGCAGAGTCCAGATACCCACACCGTAGACATGGTCCATGGTGACGTGAGGGATCTCCAGGAACAGGGCAACAGCACCGTTCATCACAGCACAGATGGGAGCAAAGTAGTACAGAGAGACCATGGGGTCCATCTTGTACTCGGCCGAGCTGAGCAGACGCTGCACCATGACCAGGCGAGTGGCCTCGAAGACAATACCACCGAGCTGGAACAGGAAACCAACCAGCTCGAACTTGATCTCTCCGAAGGAGGCAATCACGACACCAAAGACAATCATGGAGACGTTCATCAAGACCTTGTAGTTGACGGGAGCCATGCCCATTCCCCAGGTAGCGAAGAGGACGGCGACGGGAGTGGTAGCCTGTGCAAGAGCGTAGTTAGCATCGCAATCCAAAGATCTAAGTCGAGAAAAAGAAAACCCACCTTCAGCATCTGAATAAAAGCAACACTCAGGTACAAATATGTCATGTTACCACAGATCAAGCTCAGACTAAACATCAGACCGATTGGGACAATGGCGCGCAGGTAGACTCGACCGGTCATTTTAACGGTCTTGCGGCCATCCAGGACGGTGGTGAAGCGGGCCAGAATTTGGGTCATGATTGTAGCGAAGGACAGATGCCATGTTGTGAGGATGATAGCTATCGAACGGTTAGAACTGCGGGGGCTCGTCGGGGACCGCGGTGATGGAACATACGGAAACCTAGGAAGCGAATCTGTTAGTTAGCTGCATTTGAAGAACGGGGAATTGATCGGAGTCACCCACGGAAGTTGGCGTAGTCGAGGAGATGCTTGTTGAAAAGAATGACAGTGGAACTCAAGGTGATCCAGACTCTGCGTCCACAGCGTTAGCCGCCTGGAATCTCTGACGCGGGCGGACGATGTTCAACTCACGTCACGTAGACAGCGGGGTGGAAAGTAGCCTTGGGAGGCTCCTGCTTCTCCGCCGAGGGGTTGACGGTGGGCAGGGCCTGCTCGCGCGGCGACTCGCCGGAGGTGCGGACCTTCTCGCCTTCGGACATTTTGAAGGGTGCTCGAGTTTGATCGGAGATGAAGCGTCGAAACTCGAACGGACGGGGCCGAGAAAGGCTTCCTTGGCTAAAAGCGGAGGAAGCCACGGGGGGTGGGAGGGTTTATGAAGAACGGAACAGGAACACTAAAGCGTGTTGAGTGGTTAACGAGTGTGCGACTGGAGTTGGACCAAGTAAAAAAAAAGTAACGTGATGCGGAACGAGTGTAGATGAAGGAATGATGATGGAAAGTTCACAAGTTGGATGGATTGGTTGCAGTTCACGTACTTCGGGAAACAAGATTTTATTTTTCTGGTCAGCACCAGAGTCTCGCTCACGCTGGGATTTGGGGACTAGAACACCAGGGAAATGAAATGAGGGCTGTTCAGTTGTAAAATAGAGGATCCGCCGATGAATCTGGCTGCAAACAGGGTGGACACCCCAACGGGGGTTTGTTTCGACTGGGGGCCGGTCATGTTCGGGCGGTGACGGTACCGCAAAGGCCACCTGTCTCAATCGCCAGCCTCTGCGCCAAGTGTGTAGGGCGGTGGCCAGCCGCTTAAACGGATGTGTCGTATTTGGGTCTTGTATTCTGCTGACCATCATCCGGCAATACCGTATTATATGTATCTCATGTCCCTAAGGGTATCTTCCCTGGTCAACAGCAACAACTCTCGATGCTCCAAGCACACTTGGAGAGACTCGTGGCGACCAGGCAATCTGCTCTGAGCCGCACGCCAATGAGGGCTGCCAGTGTCACCCACGCTCCACCGTCCCGTCATTTGTGGCCTGCTTATTTCTTCGGGCCCTATTCTTAGATATTTGCAACAACAGCGCCCACCTTAATTCGGACCCCCGAAATCACAGGTACCCGGTTGAGATGTAACCGTGTCTCTCTCGACAGTACCGGTTTGAGATAGAAGCAGATTCGTCCTAAGGCAAGGCATTGAGCGCTGATCCAAATTAGCAAGGCAAGTTGACACAGGCGGCATTACGCAAGCAGCTGTTAGCCATGACCCACTCCAGACCCGCGTTCAGCGACCCTCTGGGCCATCGCGCCAGCCCTGGTCCCTTACGGGTGGAGAATGCGGCGATCGTCTTTCGGAGGCTGTGTCTGACGCCATCCGCCCCGTCCAGGGACTCACGGGGCTGCCCACAGGTCCACCAGGGAAGGAAAAAGGAAAAATTAAGCAGAGGCGACGCGTTGGAGAGAGACATCCAATCCAGTGCCAACCCTCTCTAGTGCCGAGGAGACAAGAAGCTTTTCTGGCTTATTTCAGGGGGACTGACCGTGCAACGGGGCCACCGTCTAGGGCAACTGCTGGTTCGAGAATTTCTTCGGGCGACCCGTCGACGATCAATGTGAACTGAGATCGGTGCCTGTTCTCTTCGCGAGGGGATCCTCGTCGTTCTTCCTCTCTTGGGGAGGACAATCAGTGGGACTGCCCCCTTCGCCTGTGCACACCTGTCCCTGGCCCGGTGCCAATCCCGTCGCGCGACCGCCAGATGGACGGACGATCGTCTCCGGATCATGGTCCGGGAGGTTCAAGAGAGGCAAAAGCCCTTGACGGCTCCCCGTTCATCCGCGACGGCGGGCCCCGAGTGGATGGATAGACCATACCGAACATATACGTACAAGGGCATACAGCACATCAACGTACATCCATATGAGGTATAAGATCTTGTATACCTCGTACACGAAACGGACTCCGCTCGGAGGAGGTTCTACACATGGTACCCATTCCATCCATCTGTGGCAGCCGATCCAGATCCCAGGAACGATGTGAAGAAGTTGCCACCAACGTGCCCATCGACATCGGTGGCGTTCTTAGCCCATCAACAAGCCCTCGGGGGATTCCCTCCGCAGCATCAGCACAGATACGCCGTCTCGTCTGCCAGTGTGGTCCCCCCCCCCGGGGGCCATCTTGCTAACCCCTTGTCCTGGCTTGCGAATCAAATATTCCGAGATGGGCAGCTGATAACAACATTCCTGATTCGTGCATGGACCCTGGAACCCCCGCCAAGAATTCTTTGCCCTTGTCCGCATGCAAACATCGTCTTTGGACCATCACGATAAGCCCCATCAAGGCCCATAACGGCCGGGGGTAGTTTGTGATAGATTCGATAGTTTAACGCCAGGGTCCGCGAGAGTGGCGTTGTGATGGCGAATGAGCGTCGATCGAGAGGATTTTAGTGTCAGAATCAGAAATTTAGAAATTTAGAATATTCGCATTAGTTCAAAGTAGCGTTGTCAAAAAAGTTCGAAATGGCGAAAAGCACAGAAAAAGTAAAAATTACAAGGAAATTACCCAAATCGTCGACCATCAACAAAGTCCAGCCAAGTCGCGCGCGTACGTGTTCGCCTCCGTTGAGGGGCTGTTCGCGGCCATCAACCCCTGAGCATCAACAGCCACTGGGGATGGCTGATGGGACAATGTGAGGTCCAGATCGGGTCTGGAGGTCGAAATCGACGTTTTCATTTCAAGTAATCAAATCAGTTTAGTCGGAAAAGGACATGGGCGTAAACCTGAAACAGGCACGCTCCCCACTCCTGCGACACCGCTGAAGTGCCGGGTCCGTTTACCCCTACCCACGGTAGCTTAAGCCTCCCACTTTCCTCCTCCTCCAACCCTCTCTTTATCACCTCTCCCTCCCGTCACCTCGCAGTCTCTTGCTGCTGTTCATTTTCTATGCTGAGCATCGCCCGCAAGACTTTTAAACGCGTTCCCAGCTTCCAGGACCTCCTTCAAGGCAGGATGACCCACCCCGACATGTAAGGACAACAATCTCTCCTGTCCTTGACCGCAACGCTGACCGGCCTTGAAGTTCCGTTGACGTCCTCGTCATTGGCGCTGGCCCTACTGGTCTGGGTGCCGCGAAGCGTCTCAACCAGATCGTATGTGTTTCTTTTTCGATTCCCTTTCGGTCGTGTCCGCTGCGTGCACAGGCACAGAAAAAAAAAAAATAGGGGCATCATGGAGGGGTAGTCCAAGAAATCAATGAACTGACCAATTGTCCAGAATGGCCCCTCCTGGTTGATTATCGACTCCAACGAGACTCCCGGTGGTCTTGCTTCCACTGACGTGACCCCTGAGGGCTTCGTAAGTTACTCATGTCCTTGTTTTTTTGACCCCGCGGAATGGCCCCGGACTGACTGGTTTTCACTGAAATAGCTGTACGATGTCGGTGGCCACGTTATCTTCTCCCACTACAAGTACTTCGACGACTGCATCGACGAGGCTCTCCCCAAGGAGGATGACTGGTTTACCCACGAGCGTATCTCTTACGTTCGCTGCCAGAACGAATGGGTTCCCTACCCCTTCCAGAACAACATCTCCATGCTGCCCAAGGAGGAGCAAGTCAAGTGCATCGACGGCATGATTGACGCCGCCCTCGAGGCTCGTGTTGCCAACACCAAGCCCAAGAACTTCGACGAGTGGATTGTCCGCATGATGGGTACTGGTATTGCCGACCTTTTCATGCGTCCCTACAACTACAAGGTCTGGGCCGTTCCCACCACCAAGGTAAGACACGCACCACTTCCCCACCACCCCCCACATTGGGATCAATTCTCTCCGTTCTCAATGCTAATCGGCCACCTTTTTTTCAGATGCAATGCGCTTGGCTCGGTGAGCGTGTCGCTGCCCCCAACCTGAAGGCCGTGACCACCAACGTCATCCTGAACAAGACCGCCGGTAACTGGGGTCCCAACGCTACCTTCCGCTTCCCGGCCCGTGATGGTACAGGTGGTATCTGGATTGCTGTTGCCAACACCATCCCCAAGGAGAACACCCGCTTCGGCGAGAAGGGCAAGGTCTCCAAGGTCAACGCCAACAACAAGACCGTCACCCTGGCCGACGGTACCGTCATCGGCTACCAGAAGCTGGTCTCCACCATGGCCGTCGACTTCCTGGCCGAGGCCATGGACGACAAGGAGCTGATGCCCCTCACCAAGCAGCTCTTCTACTCCTCCACCCACGTTATCGGTGTCGGTATCCGTGGTTCCCGCCCCGAGCGTATCGGTGACAAGTGCTGGCTGTACTTCCCCGAGGACAACTGCCCCTTCTACCGTGCCACCATCTTCTCCAACTACTCCCCCTACAACCAGCCCGATGAGTCCAAGAAGCTTCCCACTCTGCAGCTGGCTGATGGCTCCAAGCCCACCTCCACCGAGGCCAAGGAGGGTCCCTACTGGTCCATCATGCTGGAAGTCTCCGAGTCTTCCATGAAGCCCGTCAACCACGAGAAGCTCCTCCAGGACTCCATCCAGGGTCTGGTCAACACCGAGATGCTCCAGCCTGGTGACGAGATCGTCTCTACCTACCACCGCCGCTTCGACCACGGTTACCCCACCCCCAGCCTGGAGCGTGAGGGTGCCCTCACCCAGATCCTGCCCAAGCTCCAGGAGAAGGGTATCTGGTCCCGTGGCCGTTTCGGTAGCTGGCGCTACGAGGTCGGCAACCAGGACCACTCCTTCATGCTGGGTGTCGAGGCTGTCGACAACATTGTCAACGGTGCTGTTGAGCTGACCCTCAACTACCCCGATTTTGTCAACGGTCGCCAGAACACCGAGCGTCGCCTGGTTGATGGTGCTCAGATCTTCGCCAAGAAGGCTCAGCAGTAGATAATTGTCTTGACGGTTTTTCTTTGTTTACTTATGCCTGGCTTGGCCTGTTCCAACTTTTTCTTTGATACAATTGCACACGAAGTCACACCATCACGGGGAAAAATATACTCACGCAAAGGGAGCATTTGAAGCGGCATCTGGGAGACCACGATCTTTGTTGGCGTTTCATGTGATTCAACCCCAATTTTACCCTTCTTCCACTTTATATCTCCGTTTTCTCTTCTGTCACCTAGAGCCGGATTTTGCTTGTGGCCTTCTTTCTGGATACACACTTTTTTAGACTTGCTTGACTGGGTGATTTTGCTTATTTTCAATAATGGAATTCTGTCGACTAATCGACGTTCTGAATAACCTGTGATTCTCCTTCCATATGCGTATCATCCTGCATTCGTTTCAATTGAGGAGTCATTTACCCTGTTTCTGTCCAAATGCATGTACAGTAGCCTTGGCAACATGACTGGTCCTCGAAGACCTACTGCGACAGGGCCTCTGCACGAGACAGATCAGATCAACGGGAAGTGGCAACACCCGGTCGATACCAGCCAACATGCAAACCACTCTCGATCACATCCATCAGATTGGACAGCCTGGTGGATATGCACCGTTGCATCAACCTTCTGGAAACGCACTGATCCCTGGACAGTCCACCGCCGATCGAAGTTACCGGCAGGGCAGGCTCAAATGATCGGCCACGCCCAGCGGCGGTGGGAGTTTGGGTCTGGATGCCAGAGATTTGGGTTATTGGGGTGGCGTTTTAGAGTGGAGACCCCGCGACCAAGCACCGTCGGCCACGATGACAAACATATTTTTCCGCGCATTTTGATGGGTTGTAAGATTAGAGTGTCTTAAACATGAGATTGTTCTGGATTGTTTGATGTTCTAGGCTATTGTGGGTATTGGCTTGAAAATGGCTGATTCTGCTTGCGGTTTGAATAGCCGATGCTGGAGTCGCCGGCAATATTGATGATGTTCAGGTTTAGCGATGGGAGGCTTCCTCTATCTAGGTATTCGCTATCGAGCTGAATGATAATACTACATTATTTCTTTGCCGGTGGTGCTTGAATGGCACCTTGTAGAATTTCTGGCTTTGGTGTATTTTGGCCATACTGGTTAATGATCAAACTTTTTTCTCGTCAGTATTTGATGGTATGGATGATACATCCATGTCATTGGATAACTAGATTGGGCACCACAACGAGGCAAATATCCAGAATATTATGACAATATTGATGCTCAAATGTTTTCCCTTACCAAATACAACGGAGGCATATATATATCCAAAGATATACACTGTCAAACACCTCATATCTGAGAACTCATTATGGTATAAGTCCGAATATTGTTGTACGTCTAAAACCTAACACGGCCAGGGTTTGTATGTTATTATCGACAAGACATTCTGTAATATAAGGCCGTCCACAAGAGTCCGAGTCAGAAGTCTTACAGTAGCAGTAAGCTTGCATTACATGCATGAGGCATCAGCATTACCCCCTAACTACCCCATATTGTGAATTCCGCCCCCACACTGCATGCAAGGCCTGACGTCCTCGTTGGCATCGGCCCTTTACGACTTGCCTTCAAAAACATCAGTCTCAAATCTTCTGCATTCGACCCGTGGACGGTGCTAACCATCAATTTTTCTAAAGTCATACTGCTGACTCCGACATCATGTTCGGCGAGACACGGAGCCTCCACACTTCCTCTTATGAAAATTTCTATTCCTTTTTCTACGACTTCCTGAAAGCGATCGGCGTGATATTTCCCCCAGCGGCGTTGGCGGTATTCTACAGCTTGCAAACGCCAACTCGTTTTCGGGAAAGCAATTTGTCTTGGTGTTTGTCTATACCTTCAAGTGCCTCTTCTTGTTCCTGGTTCCCACTCTGCTCACATTGGCTGGTTTCGGACTACTTGTTCTGCGACTTGGATTGAAAACAGGCTTTGTTGTGAAGTCAGAGAGAAATGGGGAGAGGCAGGATCAAGTCCAAACAGGTGCTTTCGATGGCGCAGATGAGAAGGAGCACCTAGAGAAAGAAATCGAGAATATTACAGAGCGGCTCCGAATGTACCAGGAGAAGCTCGAGGCATATCGTTTATGCTCACCTGGGCAGTTGGTCACATGTCTTGGGGCCACCCCGAGGCCGCGATATATGGTAGGTGGGGGCTGTGTCATTCCGCCTTTCCCCCAGGCAGGCAAATTTTGAGCCCCAGACCTCAACTTGTACTACCATTAGATCTGTATTTGACAATAATCGCTCAACGAGTTTCATTCAGTAGCCTAAGGTGACATTCAAATTGGAATTGCGGACCAGCAATGATGCATCATATGGTTACTGTGTCATATGACCATATTCGATCAAAATCTCGTAATACGCCCATCTAGACTGAGACATTAGACAAAATATCGTGTACGCCGATCTCGTGATAAAAATCTCCGATCGAATCATTTTCACCGAATAAGTATGTGAGTGCATGGAGTAATAAAAATAGTAGATAGCTATTCATAGCTTCATTGTCGTGCGGGGCTGTGCTAGAGGCAGCTCAGTCCCGGTAATAGGGATTTAGATGCCAGCCAGGTCATGGTTACGAGCACACTGCTTTGTCCGATAACAATGAAAAGCATAGATAAGTGCAATGATCTAGTTATGCAGATACCTTAGGTGTGCAACCTTCAGTATAGTATCAATGTGTATCACGGCACAATACTGATACAACCTCCGATATTGCTAGGTGGTTGATAAACCCATAGAGCAAAGCAACCCTCAGAGAACTACATCCCTACCGATGGAACCGCAGAAGAATTCAAGCCGTGTTAGAATTCGCCAGTGATGTATCCTTCCTTTCTGCTACCTGGTGGACCTGAGGTTGATCGGCTGATGCACGGCATTTGATGACATGTCTCTTATCTCCGATCAAATATGCCGATGTGGACTGCATGGAGAATCCGCAATATTTATGAATTTATTCCGAGTCCTTCATCCCTAGGGTACTCTATCCATCGCACAGAAATACTCACCGCAATTGCAGGTGCGGGGTTGATGACCTGGAATGCTATTCTTATCGTGTAAGTGGATTGGGTTGCCAGCGGAAAGCTTGGCTGCAGCCTAGAGAAGTGCAGACGCGGAAACGAGCCCAGCGAGAGGCTGAGCCAGCATGGCACTGCGATCATACTATGTAGGAGTCGTGTTCTGGAATCATGTCTTTTGTATCGTGTCTTGGCTATTTCGCCTTGCGCAAGATGGATGGGGCGACAGACCGACGCGTCAGTGTGAGGCAGCCGAGTTTTGGAACGCTCAGCGGATCCTGCCGACGAACTACCAAGTATACTTGGCCCGGCCCAAGATCGGCCCAGGTCGTCATCCCGCTCTTCCAGAACAATATCCCACGATGCGTGTCTAGAACAAGAAGAGATGGGAAAGATGGAGTAAAATAGTCATCAATTCATAACCACTGCGGCCCTGGTGTTGCTATTAGTACATGTCGTATGGATCCCAAACCCGAAACGTAACGAACTCCGACGCCAAAGCAACCACTTTAACTGTTGCAACTCCGGAAAAACAAAACACCCATACAAATAATAAATCCCGGTTGTGTGAATAAACGCGGCCCGGCCGGACCGACATATTGACCTAAACTCCGAGGTTGTGCTAGAAAGAAAAGGGTGCAAGAAACAAGTAAACGCGCGATAATCAGTCAGCAGATGGACCCGTATCCTGCGCATCGAAGACGGAATCAGGCTGGAAAGTAGGTCCAACGTCTTGGATGCGATCGGGATTAGTTGCCACAGAAGGCGAGACCGTAGTGGCCTCGTAAGACATGGTGGACGCTAAAGCTAGGTCCCGGAGTGGGACGCTGTCGATACTCATATCCGGTATCGCTCCAAGCGAGCGATCTGGCAGAGTCACGGTGTTGGGCGAGTCACAGCGATTTTCTGTCGCTGACAGAGTTAATGAGGATCTCACTTGGGCAGCCAAAGGCCTGAGTGCTTACCTCTCTGTGGATCCGGTTTGTTTTTGTTCTCCTTGCTCGCCTGGCAGTTGTGAATATCTTTCGCGGTCCCGGTCACTCGGTCTGAGCATGGATTGGCATTCAAGGCCCGACGGCGAGCGCGAAGAGCCTCCATCCACTGGGCTGTGGTCATGCCTTCCGATGTGGATGCGTCCGGGAGAGGTTCATAGCGATCCCCCTCCTGATAACCCACCACGGTCGTCGTCGGGAACAAGGACACTGGTCCAGTACTGATCTCCTTGGGAATGCGTGGGAGTGGGTGTTTCTCCCAAAAAGGATCCAGGAAAGTCTCGCCGTCAGCTCTATCCTTGGGGTGCGGTTCAATTACCTTCAGGGGTCTCATTTTGATGGGGTAAACGGATCTGGGCAGAGGCTTATACCCATCACTGTGGTGCAAGTCAGACTCAGTCGCGGTGTCTGGATCGGCGGGCGCCTCCGGCTGGGGTTTTTCGAGATGAGCGTGCTTGCGTTGGATGGTGGTCTCCAGATGCACTCTGATCTCCGCATCGGTCAGCGTGATGGGTGTTGGGTAGCGTCTCACTGGCAGCATGTTGGAGGTTGCACGGGGAGAGAGCAGCGCGGCGTGCTGCAGCGCTTTTGAGACAGTCGGAGGGACGGGGGCCTTCCATGTCGTCGAGGCAGGCAGGCAGGCCCGGTCGCCCCTGCCATTGCAATCGCCCATCGAAACTAGACAAATCAAAGGCACCTGCCGCACGAGTTCGCGCTGGATGTCTGGCATGCTCGAGCACGATTGCACCGAATGCCCTCGTACATGTTAGTACATAGCACCGTACCGGATAAACTAGCAGAATTGCGCACTGGGGCTGGCCGTAAAAGAGGATATTAATAGATTGGTTCCAATGCGAGACCAGTATTCAAGAAGAGAAGTGGAAACGCGAAGTGGGCATTCCTCATAGTATAGGGCAGGGCAGTGGGCAGATGAGATAATGGGCATAGTTGAGCTGTCAGGCTCAGCCCCCCCTCGACACTAGTCCGAGTTCCTCCCACGACGGAGCCTCCTGTTGATCCTTCGGCCCCCCTCTCCAACGTCAACCTCACACCTTCCGGGCCATGTTCCTCCATCGCCTTAGTCCGCTGCGCCCCTCTCGTTGCTGTCTTTCTTTTCTTCTCTCCATCCCCCTGGCTGCCTAATCCCCCTACTGGCTACCCCCTTCTCCCTAACTCAACCGTCATGAACGGGGATCTCAGCCTTTCCCAGTCCCTGGGAGGGCTGCGGATTGCGAATCCAGACGATTCGCCTCTCCAGTCCGACGATGCGATCGCCGGGGACAGGGATCCCAGCCCATATGGACACCCGGACGGTTCGGCCTCAACATCTCCACCGAATCCTACCGACGACCGCCCATCGGCCTTCCCTCCTTCCCCCATCGAGGCGCCTATACCCAACGAGAACCGCTCCTCCGTGGCCATTCCTTTCCCAGACGCTCCTCCACCATCCGCCGGCTCGTACCAGCCTTACTCTTCACAACCGCACTCGACGCCCCCCAATCCGAACCGACCCCTGTCCTCCGTGTACACAAACGGCTCGGCCACCTCCGTCCTCCCTCGCGACAACTCCTATCGTATGAGAACCGACTCCGGCGCCTCGTCAACCTCGACCCAGCACTCGCGGATCGATACACGCGGCGGTAACTCAGCTCTGCAAGCCGGAGTGCCCGCGCGAGACAACTCGCACAGCGACCGTTCCTACCGCACAGCCCAGATCCCGACCAATGGGCCGGCGGTGATGCGTCAATCGTCTCGAGCTCATGCCAGAGGAGGAGTTCCACCGCAGATGTCTCGCACGCCTTACGCCATGGAAAACGGGCCCACCGCCAGCAGCGAAGAATGGCAGGACCGCGGGGCCGCGGTCGCCGTCCGGCAGGAAGTCGACGCCAACGGGAAGACTGTCGCCCGCTATATTAAGAAAGGAGTCCGGGACTTTTCATTTGGCAACACGTTGGGTGAGGGTTCCTACAGTACCGTAGTCTTTGCGACGGACCGGCAAACGTTGAAGGAATACGCGATCAAAATTCTGGACAAGCGACACATCATCAAGGAAAAGAAGGTGAAATACGTCAATATCGAGAAGGACACCCTCAACCGCCTCACCGACCACCCCGGAATCGTGCGGCTATATTACACCTTCCAGGATGAGCGGTCCCTGTACTTCGTCCTGGACCTCTGCAAAGGAGGAGAATTGCTTGGGGTTCTCAAACGGATGACCACCTTTGACGAGGAATGTACCCGATTCTACGGTGCACAGATTCTCGACACCATCGACTACATGCACAAGCGGGGAGTCATTCATCGAGACCTGAAGCCAGAGAACGTATTGCTGGATCATCAGATGTACGTGAAAATCACCGATTTTGGGACGGCCAAGATCCTCAAAACACGACGACCGGAGGAGAGCACGAGCTCTATTCCACCAATCGACTCCAGTGACCTCCCAGAAGAGGAACGGGCAAGCTCCTTTGTGGGCACCGCCGAATATGTCAGCCCAGAACTGCTGACCGAAAAGAATGCGTGCAAGGCCAGCGATCTGTGGGCCTTCGGGTGCATCATCTATCAACTTCTGGCCGGCCGGCCGCCCTTCAAAGCTGGCAACGAATATCAGACCTTCCAGAAGATCGTGCAATTAGACTACGAATTCCCAATCGGGTTCCCGGCCGTGGCCCGGGATCTTGTCGAGCGCCTTCTGGTTCTCGAGCCCGCTCGACGTTTGCAGATTGAGCATATTAAAAACCATGAATTTTTCGACGGTATTTCATGGGGAGCGGAGCTGTGGAAGCAAAAGGCACCACGGTTGAAAGCCTATGTGCCGCCTCCAAGAGAGCCCATAAAACTGAATGGGGTTGAAGGCGGAGATAATTTCCCTCCAGCGATCTCAACAGCTCCATCGAATGCCACCACCCAGAACTCCCGCCAGCTTCCCCGCGTCGTCACGGAGCTGCCCCCGCCAAGTCAACTGGACATCGAATGGTCGCCCGTGCTCAGCAAATCTAATGAGCGCATCCTCAAGCTAGGGAACATGGTGGTGATATCCTCTCCGGCATCACACAGCCCGACATCGAAAAACGGCAGCGAAGCCGAGGCGCCCCGAAAGTTCTCGCGTTTCTTCTCGGGTACAGCGACCAAGAAGCGGAATCGATTGGTCATGGTCACATCCTCTGGACGGATCATTCTTGCTGCATCTGGTGGTGATGAGAAAAAGTCAAAATTGGAGATTTCTCTCCTCGCTCCAGGGACGCACTATAGGAGTACAACAGATGCCAAGGGACATTCCTCATGGATTGTGGATACGGTATGTTCAGATTATGTCTTCACTAGTTGAGTAAACCGTCGGTGACAACTAACACAATTCTTCAGAGAGACAAGCATTTCGTATTTGAAGATCTCAAACCATCATCAAGCAACATCGGAGTCACGGCAGTATCGGCACAGGAATGGCTGGATGCTCTAGATCGGGCTCGGGAAATGGCTTTGGCACACCAAAGCTCTGGCTCTTACTCTGCTGAGGATGCATTCCGTGACATCTCCTCTGGATTCTCCAGCCATGCCAACACTCTCGACCGCACCTCTGACCTGCAGAATGAGAACACCAACCATAGCCACGGTCACTCATCAGGACGCAACCACTTGGTGAAGCATCAAGCCACCGATTCGGAGTCGACCAAGGGGAAGAAACGTTTTAGCAGACGCCATTCCAAGAACGGTCTCGCTGCAGTGTTCTAAGCCCTCACTAGTGCTGGCAATCCAGACCTCGCTTTGCCTCAAGAACCTCCCCCTCCGAGCGTCGCTCATCCAGACATCGATTATACGAGATAGAATTTTAGGCCGTGCGAACCATTCAAAGCACCCAGCCCCTCCCCCCCGCATATTCTCTGGATGTTAACCCAACCCCCGGGTCTATCCTTACCTCCCGCAACCCCCGGCCCACGGGCACCTCCTTTGCATTCCGTCGTACCCTTTGCATTTTATCGTGACGAGCGTGTTTTGTCGTGTTGAGTTATGTTTCTGCATTTAGAATTGGAAGAGAGCATGCGGATTCATTTTGTTGCTTTCATTGCGTCTACTCAATTCTTCTTCTACTTCTTCTCCCACCACTTTTTTCTCCCTTGTTATATATCCCTGATTTGATCTGAAGCATCCCGTCGACAACATCCTCGAGACCCATTGTTTCTTTTTTACTTCTGGCGACTTTTGACCCTTTGTTTGTTTGTTTGGACATGTCGATTTACTGGGCCTTTTCGCGCCAAGCCTTTTCGCACCAAGCCCCTTGGATTTTCATTTCATTTCATTTCACTTTTCTTTTTCGTTTGTGTCATACCCTCCGAAAATGGATCTGGATCAAATACTGTTACATTCCTTGTTCTTCAATATTCTTTTCTTATCTTGTCCATCTCTTCGCTCTCCCTCCTCGGCCTCTCCCTCTCCCCCATCCCTCTCCCCCTCTAGTCCCTGAGCCGGACAGTTTCCATTGTGAATGGTTTTCCCTCTGCCTCGAACTCTCTTATTTCATTTCCATTCTTATACACACTTATCTATTTCCCCATCTTAGCAGATCGCGCCTGGTGTCTCATTTTGCCAGAACCAAAAAATTGATATACCCGATTTATGTCTGTGGATGGATCGCAAACCGCCCCTCTTCGAGAAACTTGAGATAGATGGATATAACATAAACAGGATCTGTGATTCCGATAATGTAGCTCAGGTTTATTTAAACATGCAAGCTTCAAATCATAGCTTCAAGATGGTATATCACTGAAGTGGTCATATGTGAGTGCTAGCACGAGATTCTCATCCATTTGAAACGAGGTTCATTTTCGTATGGACTATTTGATAAGATACACTGCCTTGAAATTATATACAAACATTAAACCATTATTCATAAGAAATCCAGAGTGGTCTGTCTTTTTGAAGGTGGAGGGGAGAGACAATCTCAAGGACGAGATTAGATAAAGAGCCAGTCAAGCCGAGATTCATCTAGCATATCGATCCAATCGAAGGTATCGTCACCCTCTTCGTCATTAAGTTCGTCATTCTCAAACATGCCTCGACCTTCCGAATCGAGGTACTCACCACGCTCGCGGCGCTTTTTGTCTTTGTTCTGCCACATTAACCTGAGTACCCAGGCTGCGTTGCGAACGTTGACACTCGTCACGGCATGGTAAAGCGTGCCCAGCCTCTCAAGAATGAGGGCACGTTGCGAAGGCCGTCGACATTCTGCACCTGCAATGAAAGTCGGCCAAATGAGACATTTGAAGTGTGGGTCGGAGGAAGGCACGGAGCATAATTGGGTGATGAGCTCGTTCGCGACGGTGGAGTGGTCTGATGGAACGCCGACATCTGTCCAGGGAGGAGAGAAGCCCTCTCTGGAACGGGAGAGTACGCGGCTAGTGTAGAGGTAGACAGCGGCTTGGTATGCGCTGGCAAGAGTGATACGGTGAGTGACATCGGGAAGTAAATGGTATTGCTGCATTCCATGAGCCCAAGATACTGGGTCGAAGCTGCGGATACCTTGGAGGAGAGCGACGTAAGATTCGAGTGTAAGTGGCCTGCCTTGTTGCATGGACATTGGCAGGGCGGTTGGTCGTGGGATGGCGGCTGCTATTTCGGAGTCCGGGTACCAGAGGGTGTGGACGAAGAAGATGACTTCGAGAAGGTAGGCTGGGCAGCCAATCCATGATGTTATTTCGAGGCGTTTCAGCATGGCTGGTCCCATTTCCGTTGAATAGAAGGGTTTGGATAAAGCGCCTGGCCGCGCGAGGGTGGAGCCCATAATTTCCATTCTAGAAGTCAGTTAGTTTTAGCCCGAAAATAAGTCCTCGGAAATTATGCTACACTTACATCAAGCATCCGTCAACGGCGAACGATTCGAGTCCTTGCAGGATACCCTGACCAAGCTCGTTTTCAGGTCGGTCTCGAAGAAGCTTCTTCGCGCCTTCAATATGATAGCTCCAGGCGCCACTCCCAGATTCAAATAGGTCCAGAAGAGCGAGAACGATAATCGCAGCGAGAGTTCTATCATCCTTTTGTGAAACTGGATTGCGGAGGTCTTTGGATAGCTGATTGAGGGTACGCTGTTTAAATTCCAAAAAGTGCTCGAAAGCTTTTGAGGGAGTTCGTCTGAGACCTGTTGGTGAGATGAAGCTTTCAATTTGCTCTGGAGTGAGCTGAGAATCATCCGTGGCTAGACCTTGCGTCGACCAAGGCATTGTAGAAGAGTCCGAATTTGTCGTGAGCGAGTAATGGAGAGCTCCCATTGAAGAAAGAGCATGCGCAAGAAGCGGTGAATCGCCGACCAGCGAAATGATATCTCTCCAGGGATTCTTGGAGCCGGCATACACCACGAAGTCCCCAGCCACGCACTGATTATAATGATGTAGATAAAATCGAGAGAACCGAGAGAGATCTTTGAACAGCGGATCTACTAGCCCCCAGGGCGATGGGACATGGTTTAGTTCGACAGAGTGAACGTGTCCCATTTGGACGAGCGTGGAGGTCATGTCTTCCGGCATATTGAAGTCTTGCATTGTTTCCTCCTCCACTGGCTCGAATATAGGTTGGTCTGATGTGTCTTGCGTGTAGGTATCGGCTTCCGGACTCGTCTGGGTTCCTGAACTCGGGGAGTCGTTGTCGGAGGAAGATTCGGCCACGGAGAAAACGCTGAAGCCAGAGGTATTGGTCGGTATAGGAGCATGGGACTGGAGAGGAGGGTTCTGACTTTTCGTATTGTCGTCGGCTTTGTTCACATCATCGAAGCTGCGGCCCATCATCTTGCCTCGACTGGCCACACCCCCTTTGACCCAGACCAAGGGCTTTTGATAGCCCAAGCATTCTTTGCCCGCATCTCGACATTTCCGGCAAGTCGGCTGACCATTGTCGCATATGATGCGACGACGGCGGCAGGTATAGCACCCTTTTGTCATGATCGCCGGAGGGGATCTGGAATTCTCAAGCAGGAGTTGGCCACAGGAGAGCGGTGCCACTCGCCATCGCGGTCAGAGGTCGTCAGAGGGTTGAATAGACCACACGGTCATCGCTAGCGGAGAACAGGTCGTGTGGATCGAAATAATTAGACAACCCCAGCGCATCATATCCCACCAAGTCCGGGGTGGAAGCGAAGCCGCTGGAAATTCGGGGCGGGGCTTAGTAAGAGCCTCGACTCCGCTCCGCGCTTTCCACCGGCAGATCGAAAGTTCGCCTCTTTCTCGACAGTACTCGTGCGGAGCCCAACAGCTTCATCATGGTTTGGAATTTTCTGCTGCTTCGGCAGCTAGAGGTGAGTGCTCCCTTCAGGTGTCTTTAAAGAGCTCACTGCTGACCAACGTAGGTCTGGTTGACCACCAGGGTAGGTCCGAACCTCCGCTTATCATGAGCCCGCATACTAATCCGCCGATTTAGCTCTTGCGAAGCCCTATCTTCCACCAGATGGTCGGCCGAGTACATCAGCGCGTCCAGCAAGTCCGACATGGTATCCCGCCAGAACCATCACGCACCAGACTCGATAGTGATCAGGGTAGGACATGGAGCCGCAATGAATAGGCTGGAAGAGCACGCTAACGTGACTTGTAGGTCTTGGTTTGAAACGGTTCATCGAATATTTCAAGGAAGAGATCAAGGACCAATTGAAAGGAAAACCACCGAACAAATTGTGATGCGAAAAGCATCTCGGATATTTCCTGGCATTTTTGTTATTTGCTTCACCTCGATGATACCCAACCTCAAAATTTCAAGTTGCTTTTTTTCCTGCCATCCTTCCTTGCGTTTTGCTTTTGCTTTTGCGTTTCCGCGTCATCCTTTTCTTCTTGCTCCAATCTGAGCTGTCAAACCACGGGCCTTGTATGGGATCCATCTCCTCCGCCATGGAATGGGTCCCTGATTGGAGCCCGAAGAGCAAGGCATCCTGTCGTGTTCCACCCGCTTTTCCCAGCCATGTTGGTGCTCCGTACGACTGGGACTTGAAGTTGTGAACATACAGAATACCTCAGCTGAAAAAAGGGGGTTGTAAGGCTAGCTACGTAGGATAATGTTGATAATGATGTTCATGGCATAACTCCAATGGAGATTCGGATTGGCTCGGGATAAAGGCGCAGTACGTACAAATCAACTCAAAAGCCGCGCTTGACTATGGATGTGTTTCTTCATTCAATTGAATTAAATGACTCTTACTCGTACTCGGAAGCAGATGCTCGACCTGTCCTAGAACAGAATCAGATAAGCGTAACTGGAGAACCCTGGAAGGGTTCAGGTACCAGGGACCGGGAGATTCGGAGGACCCCAAACAAATTCAGCGCCTCTACGGTGATGACAGATCAGGGTGCACGGTAAAATACCGTATGTGCACAAGTACAGACACCCTGGCACGACAGGTCCAATCATAGGACCCAAGAATGGCTGGCTGCAGGCGTAGTCCAGTCTCGAGGCGCCCAGCAACCCAGCAACCCAGCAACCCAGCCGTGGGTGGGGGGTGCTCTCGGGCCGACGGTCGCCAAGTTGTCAATGTGTCAGCACAACATTGAGTCGCTAGCTCGGCGCCACCTGGGCCCAGTTAGGGCTGGTCACCGGTTAGGTCGGCTGTCAGTACGGAGCAAGGGCATTGGCGAAATAGGGGCTGGCAATGGTAAATGATGGAAGGCAAAAATCTAAGCGGGAGGCGAGAGAAGCATGACCACGTATCGCCTGACTCTCGAACACTGCATGTCGTAAATGGCGCCGACACTGCCATGATCGACACTTCGCAGGGGAGGGTATGATACACAGGCAATCAACTGCAGAGGCCAGTTGCTAAATATGGACCAGGGAGTGGAGCAGAGATTGGGTTATTGGCGCCGGACAGAAAATTGGGGACATGAAAAACTTGGGGGACGCGAGGCCTCGCACCCACTGGATCGCGTGGGTAGTTGGAAACTGGCATGGATATGACCATGCGGGCCTTGGGACAGCATGCAGCGATGCAGGGCAGCTTGCGATCGCCTCTGCTCTGCAACCCTAGCGGGCAACGGTGGTGGCCTAACGGACAGTGAGCGAGGTGAAGGTGAGCGGTGGAGCAAAGTCGAAGGCTGAAACTAGGGCCGGCCTAGTGGGCCCGATCGGGTTAGTGCCAACGCTTTGTGTGTTCCTCTCGTCGTCGCCCTCCTTTCTCTTCTTTATCCTCCACTCGACCCTCGTTTTCACCCCACGATCGTTTGCTCATCCATCACCATGCGTCTCGCTCGTCTCTCGTTTCTCGTTCACGCCCTGCTGCTGACCGCGGTCGCGGCCCAGAGCGCAGGTGCGACCGATCTCATCAAGGATCTCACTAGCGAGACCAGTTCATCCTCCGAAGCCGCGACATCAACCGAACCCACCACCACCAGCACGACTTCATCTTCGTCTTCGTCTTCCTCCTCATCCGAGGCCCCGTCCACCACATCGGCGGAGACCACCCCCACCTCCTCCTCGTCTTCTCCTGCCGAGACCACCAAGGACACTCCCACCAAGACTACTTCCTCTAAGAACAATGATCCCACCACCTCCTCCAATGCGGACGCTACCACTTCCTCCGAATCCTCCTCCACTACCAAGAGCGCCGTTGTGAAGACCATCACTTCGTTTGAGACCGTCAGCGGCTCTACTGTGCCCACCGTTATGACCACCACTTCCTCGCCTGCTGCTGATTCGACCTCGCCTTCGCTCAACAGCGACAACAGCGGCTCCTCCAGCAGCAGCGGTGTCTCCGACTCCGATAAGAAGATTATTATTGGTGTTGTCGTTGGTGTTGGCGGTGCCATCATCATCGGTGTCCTCGGTGTTATCATCTGGCGCGTTCAGAAGAAGCGCAGTGGCCAGTATAACGAGGAAGATGACGATCTGATGGGGGGCACCGCTGTCGGCACTGGCCCTCGTGAGAAGGCCCCTAGCCCTGCTGCCGGTTCTACCGGCACTCCCTTCAAGAGTACATTGGACCAGTACCACAACCCTGGTCCCGTCAACGCTGCATCAAACTTCTAAGCCACGGGCCTAGAGTCTGGCCACCATGCAGTCCGTGGCGATTCACTTTTGTCGAAGTGTAAAAATCTCTTTTTGTGTACGATCATCATGCAGTTTTCTCAGGCGCTATGGGCAGGGTCGGCGAAGGTCACGATTGCGTTTATATTCTTTTCATTCGTTGCGGATTTGATTTTTTAGCCTGGGATTGGACTTCGGTCGCCCTTCACTCCTTTTTTCCGGACTTCGTCATAGATTCGACATGCTGTTGTTTCTCACTCCTTTGAGCGTTCTTGTCAGCAACCTCCACATTCCCTATGATCATACCTTTCGATCCTCGTGCTACCATTATCCCGGGATCCACCGTTCTTCGGTTCTGTCTTGTTTTTCTTTACTGACTCCCCGTGTCGGAGCGCTTGGTCTGTTCCCGGTTCTCTTGTCTCGAATACACTATCTTCCTACTTAATACACCCCCTTCTGAGGACAACCCGAGTCATCTAGAAAGAGCTCGGGGTGTGCTTGGATGTCTCCACTTTAGCCAACATTGAAATCAAAAGTTTCTGTGAATCTCGTCTCTGCTTCTGTGAATTCATGCATACATTCCTCAAGATCTGCAATTAAATAGAACTTCCCGGCGCTGTCTTTCAATACGCGAAGCATTCCAAACGTAGACAGATCTGTCAACATGATCTACTGTACACTTCTTGCAGATGAAGATTCTCCACGTGGGTCGTGATAACCGAAGACCTGATCTTGCACATCTAGGCCGATCGTGATCTCCAGTGATCGGCGCCGTGTGGAATGGGGTGTTGGTGTCCGCCGCGGCCGAGCGTGTTGATCCATTCCGCCTTCCGCCACTGCGACGCGCTTCCTCACGTGGCGGAATGCGCGTCGCGATGTCAACGATGTGATCGCCAACTTTCCCAGCCTCCCACCCCATTCAAAAGGTGCTTGACCAGACGACCTCGAGTGGATCTCATTAGCTTTGCGCTACAATAGCACACTTCTTTACCTCGAAGCTTCCGGACTCGGTGAAATCACAACAGACTTCCCCATCCGAACCACGGAACCCACTTGTCCCAACGTCCAACTTTCCATCTCGATTCTCTCCAACCTCCACCATGTTCGTGACACATTCCTTGCCCTCCACACCCTACCGCCAGACCGGTCACTATACACCCGCGCGACCATCGCCACTGGGTCCACGCAGCTCCAACATCGCCACACCCCCATGGTCCATGGGTTCCCCCTCGAGCGCGGGAGAGCCGCAGAAGCCGAGCGTGGATGAGAACGCGTTCTCTCCCGTCCAATTCCCGACCTTTTCCATCCACGCCGACCAGTTCCAGAACCAGGGCCAGTCAGGAGAGAAGCAGCAATCGCCCTCCATCTTCGGCGGCGCGTCCACGCCCTTCCTGTTCCCGACCCAGCAATCACCCGCCCTCATGTCTCCAACCTCCCCGTCGCCTTCCAGCCGACCCAAGTACGCGGACCGCTATTCCTCGCAAATCGCCAATCCAATGAAGAACACCACTTCCCTCGCGCGCTCCAAGACCCGCAAGATGTTCCTCAACCGCGTCAAGAACGAGCGCGACACGGGCCGATTCGAGGCTCGCGGCGAGCAGATGATGATGGCGGAGCACCTGGCTGATAAGCGGCAATGGGAAGAGTCCATGGCGCGTGATGCAGACGCCATGATGCAGGGATTCGAGTATGAGGAGGATGACATGCTCCCCGAGCAAGAGGCGGATGTCCAGGCTCTGGACGAATTCGTTACGGAGGAGGAGGCCATGGAAATGGCGCTTCAGGAGACGGCAGTTTCGCAGCCTGCACAGAATGCGTCCTTCAGTGATGAGGATTATGATGATATCTTCATGACTCTTCCTGATCCTGCGCAGTCGCAGGATATGGATATGTCATGACGGTATCATAATTTTGTTTTGATTTTTGCTTTTGCTTTAGCGGGATGGGTTGCATCGGGCGGCGTTTTTCCTCTGGCTTGTGGATATGGATATTTGATGGGCATCGGCCTGGTTGTGAATATTTGATGTATAGTATAAGATGCTGATAGAGTACTTGGAACTTCCATATGAGGACCAAAACAACAAGGGAATAATCATCCACATCACAAAAGAAAGTCTAGCTAGAATTTCTATTCCAACTCACTAACCAAACAGTAGTCTAAATCAAGTCCATGATTGAAGTTATTCGCACACGCTGATGCATAGTCTCGATACTGCTGCAGTTCCGTCCCATCGCGATCTCCCGCCGCAGCTGGCCCATCCATATCCATCCCCGGCTCAGTCATGGTAAACTTCAAATCAGAGATCCCATACACAGAAACAAAGCACATCCCAATAAAAGCGCTGATACACGAGAAAACCAAAGCGACAATTCCATGGTTCGTGAATCCAGCTGGGATAAACCCAAGCTGCACATTCTGTCCCTTCAGATCAAGATAATTTTCCATCTTGCCAGCTGAATTTCCTTCATATTTCACGCCCGCAACGTGACAAATCTAATAATGGTCGTCGGGGATGGAGACTCGCTTTTGAATCTTCAATGGCGCCTCCACAAGGACCATGGCGAGACCCTGGGTGAGATGCCAGTCGATATGGCAATGGAAGAACCATACACCCGGATTGTCTGCGACCGAAGCGAATCACATAGTAACCACCGGGCAGAAGCACGAAAGTATCGCGACGTGCCGGGTATGTTGGGTAGCAGTACGGTCTGAGTCGTTGTAGCTCGCGAAGACGGTGCCATCGGCGTAGTCGTAGAAGTTTTCGTCGTAGGATGGATACCCATCGAGAAGTTGGAAGATGTGACCGTGCGTATGGAATGGATGGCTACCTGTGTCTTCATTTTCTAGGATAATCTCCACGACATCCAGGTGATCCAGGACAACGGAGTGGGTGTGATCGCCATAGACCTCGGAGTTGGTTGCCAGATCACCAGCGGAAAAATCGGTGTATAGTGTAGGAACCTTGGGCGCTGTGTAGCTGATATTGTCCAGAAGGGCGTACCCTTTGCTATTGTCCAGGTTTTCCATAACACCGACATCTTGAGTTGGTGTGACGGGTTCTTGAAGATTTCCTGGCGATCATGTGGCACCAAGATGATGTCGTCGAAGGGGATGAGGTCTGAGGATACATCGATCTTCATAGCTACCTCGTTGTGGGGAGCACTCGAGTTGTATTCCAGCCAGTTTGGTTTGGCTTCAGGTCTGGCGATATGGTGTCCAGCAGTGTTGAATCGGCGACCATCACCATGCCGTAATTCCTCTTTGTGGAGTTCTTCATAGTCACCAGGACCGAATACCGTTGCGCGACAGAGATGTAGAGAGTCTCAGCTTCCTCTTTGTCGACGTAGACTCCATCAATCTCCACAATTTTCATCATATGGGTATTGCAACCTCTTTCCCCTTGCCTGTAGTCACTGGAATCTTGGCTGGTCTGCTCACCGGCTGGCTGATTTATCGCGGAGGAAATGTCATGTCCATTCAAGTCTTTCTCATCGCATCGACCTGCGTCCTGTACCTCATTGCCGCTGGCATGTTCTCCAAAGCCATCTGGAGTCTCCAATACTACGCCTTTGAAGTTGGAGTTGGTAGCGATGTGTTCCGAAGAAGGATCTGGTTTAGGGTCTTACAACATTCTGGAAACTGTCTGGCACGTCAACTGCTGCAACCCCAAGACCGACAACGGATGGGATGTGTTCCAGACAATCTTGGGCTGGCAAAACACCGGCATCTATGGATCTATCACCTCTTATAGTTTTTACTGGATACTCATCATGGCGTTTGTCTCTTGGATGATGTATGAAGAAAAGACAGGGCGTTTGCCACTTTCTCATACATTCTGGACATGGACGGCCAAGGAGACGGTTGTGAAACGCATTGCGGACCAGAAGCTCGAAGCAATGAATGAGCAGTTGCATGACGTGGTTCGAGAGTCAACTCGACAATGTTCGAGGATTCGGTCACAGTGCAGACTGTGGAGCCAGCCGAATGATCGAGAATAGGACACCGTGGGGCATCTAGGCTGAGACTTTTCGAGGAGGACTGAAACTTGGGTACTGACAGCCTTGAATTCGGGTAAAATTTGCGAGGTTAGCATTGCTTCATGTAATGGAGTTGTTAAGCTCCTATAGAGCTATTCCAGGATGACATTGTGATTCAGAGCGGATAGCACTGGGAATACTCGAAATCTACCTTGTTCATAAGATATCAAGTCTAAAAGGGAAATATATACGTGGAGATAGATGAAGGAACATTTCTGGTTTCATTCAAAGTAGATGCAGACTGTTCAGAGTAAATGATGATTGTTCTGAGTGCGTGAAAATCCAGTTCCAAACAAGAGTGATCAAATGTGACTAGCCATGAATGCTTTCCAACCTTTCCACCCGCGGGAATATCTGCGAGAATTCGATCCAAGGTGGAATGTCAATTCACTCTGTTAGAAAATTTGGCGAGAGTCACTTCTGGGGGCCGGACACAACCAGGTCCCGTGCCTTTTTCTGCGCGTCGAGGATCTTATCCTCAAGCCTGCGAATATCGTGCACGGTAATACAGCAACTCGGGTGGTCAAGGAAAATTTCTGCGAGAATCATTTTGTGAGGGGTCCCGATACGAAGCTTCTCCCTGATGAAAGCATCATGCTGGGCCAAGTGGCGTTTGCGATGAATGAAGTGGGCAGAGGGTTCCTCACCAGGATGGTTATGCGTCGGATTCCAAACATCGACCCACCATTTTCCGGCTTTACCGCACCTGATGGATGCCTGAAAACGACAGCTTTTGGATCTTCCTTTGTCGCACCGGATATCGAGTCTACCAGTAGTCAAAGTCTCCCGAAATTTAGAAGCTCCGTAGCCAGCTGGCATTGCGTACCTCTCGTTAAGTGTATCGAAGGCCTCATTGGGACTTACGAACTGGTCGTATTGGGGAGGCACGTCCATCAACCAAGTTCCTTTTTCGTGGAATTTCCTTCCACGGACTTTGTGTCTCGAAGTTGGAGGCTTCGAGTTGGGACGGGGGGAGGTGGCATTTGCTGAGAACTTACTTTGGTAGGTTGGCTTGCGCCCGCTGCGTAGTCTTCCGGGTCTGGAAGCCCTGTGTAGGGGCTGGTCATCGTACCGAGATGACTTGCGTCCGCTGCGAGCAGCTTCAGGTCTGAAAGCTCCATGCGTGATCTGGTGGTATTGTCGAGCGAGTCAAGAGCAGCCTGGGTCATCGCGACAAGTTCACGTTGGGTGTATAGAGGGACAGCAGTTTCACCAGTATCAGGGTGGGTATTGAGTAAGGTTAGAATTTCCATGCTGGTGATCAGAACAAGTGAAAGTGAATAGTGCCAAAGATATGGAAGTGGGAAGTTGGTTGGAGGGGCAAGAGAGTCGGAGGGGTGAGGAATAGGTGAGGTGTGTGTCTGTATGAAATCCGCACTCTTCCTTCATCTCTGTCCTTGCTGCCTTCCCTTCCTTATCACGAACTCTGGACACGATCACGACTATTTTGCCTATAAACTCTAAAATACTATGCAGTCCTGGATGTGCACTCAATCACTCCTTCGTTCTATTGCAACTGCAACAAAGTAGGAGTAGGCACCACGTGACACGACGAGTTGGTGCATAATGAAACAAGCACAGCAATCAAACACGAACGGCTGTGGTCATAGACATACCGTCCTGCGGGTTTCTAGTTACAGTTTGTTCAAAGAAGGAAAGACACTGTGAAGGACTTACCTTGCGGCCAGTTTTGCCTTCAAACTCCCAGATTTCTGTTCGGTAAACGATACTGAGCTTACCAGGTATGTGCTTCAAGTGCAGACCGCTACCCTGAAATCCTTTCTCTTTGACGACCTTTCGCAGATCGATACCCTCCAGTTGGTTTTTGAAGCTGCGACGAGCCAGAATGCTTTGTTTGTCGCTTGAGCTTGCCTCTAGCCATTCTACATACTCTAAAACCCCCGACAGTGGTATGTTATCGGCGACGATAACTGAGTAATCCTGCCTCAAGGCACCCAGTTGCTCAATGAGCCATATGTAGGGCAGATAACAATGCTTGGTTGGTCAAGTAAACGCAGCATCGAGAAGATTATCGTGAACAAGCTGGGCCAGCGATAGATGTGCAGGTGCTATAATGATGGAAATGAAATCCTCTAGCCCCGCAAGTTCGATGAGAAGCTTTGCCACCGCAGCATGAATTGGGTTTATTTCCAGACTAATGTATCGCTGACCTCCGGCTCGTCGCACTGCATCGCCAAACAGGATTGCAGAGTAGCCGACATACCCTCCAAGCTCAAACATGACGTAGGGTTTGCGCTCTGCAATCTTGTCGGCGATTTGCGCGCCTTTTCGGGGTCCGATATGAATCAGCCTTTTACATTCTGTGCTGTACATACTGATCGCAGCCAAGAGGTTTGTTGGAGAGTTGCGCAGCTCGTCGAAGTTGAGTAGACTGTAGATGTAGTTGAGAAGCTCAGTCTCTCGACCGTCCTGGAGAATTGAAGCATAGTAGCCGTGTCATTGGTTGCGACAAAGATCAAGGGATCTTACATCAGGTCCAGGCTGGCGCGAGAGGTCTGTAGCTTCCATACTGAGATAAAAACAAGGGCTCTTTGAATGTTTTTAGACTAATTATGGACAGAAAAGTTTATATTCGTTGAAGGGGCGAGGAATTTATGGAAACGAGTCTTGGGCTTTGAAACTGACTTAAGGCATAACCCAGTCGCCGTATGGCTTTGCACGGCCGCAATAACTGGAATGGATACATCGATACCTGCGGAAACGGCTTATAGTTGACACCAGGCCTTTCTACTACGTCAGAATGGGCCTACTGTTATCTGGCACCTACTAGTAGCAACCGGTTAGTTGCCTATAAACCCGATAGGTCCATATTTAAACTGCGAGACACTTTCCTTCCTCGCTTTCATTATTTCGCTCTCTTTCGCCTAGCCTCTCAAGCCGAGATGCGGCACTCCAAACCAAGCATCTTGTTCCATGTGGGAGGTTTAGCACAAATCTTTCAGTCGTCTTTTGTTGCCGCGGCCAATTCCCTCCCAGAACCATCTGCCTCCAACCATGCCAACCACATCTTCAACGTGATCCACTCCTCGATGAGACAGTGGGGTTCATCAATCAATCACAATGGAATGTCAATTTTCAAGGCCTCCATCCCCAGGGGAACGAAACTCTACCTCGGCGCCTCGACTCCAGAATACGTCCAAGACCGCGGTCCGAGATCTCACGCTATCATCAGAGCGAGGTGCCACAGTCACTTTATCATCCGGAGAAGAAGTTTGAGGTGAACTTCTCTGTCCTGAGGGAGGAATCGCCTGCTCCGGGCGTCCTTTTGGCGGCTTGTACACCCGGAAGGCGAATCTTGGGGGATAGTTAGCCATCGCATTCGATGCCTTGAGCCGTACAACTCTCACAGCCAGGCTTTTTCCCATCGCACTGAGGCATTTCTGATTAGACATTGTCTCATAACTTAAATTCAGGGTCGTCTCGAACGTACCTTGACCTTCCGCCTTCGGCACCTGTGGCAGCCTGTACTGAGTCTCCCTGGAAAGACCATTTGCACATGCAAAATGCTCCACCGCTCCCCGACTGGCTAGCGGCTCAAAACTTTGAGGACACGTTCTTTGCAAGAATGGAAAAAGCCTGAAGCAACGATGAATATCCCGGTGGACATGTAGGAGTGGTTGCTCGTGCCAGGCTTGAGAAAAGTGGGGCGGCTCGGGGATAGCGACGCCCCGAGTCGAGCATAAATTGTATACGGCTATCCTGCCATTATGAAGTGGTTGCTTCATCTTCAAGTCATATTCTGCATTTCTAGACTTTCTTTCAAAACAAATCTAGATATTCGCAAAGTAGCTCGAATGGCAGTGCACCAGCTGCGGCAATCACTTTCCTCGGGGATACACAGTCATGCAAGAAGAACTGATAGTATTTCTAGAATCAAATCACCAGCGATGCAAGGCTCACAAATGGTATATTGGTAGTGAGTTGGGGTATCGACGTAGTTGCATATATGTACAGTACAAAGCAAGCCGATGAATGTGAACAAGATATTCTAGAAATCGTCTTATTGTTGCGGGCAGTCGGGCATCCCCTCAGGCATGGCGCCGGCGGCGGCGCCTCCCAGTTCACCCATCAGCGGATTGGAAATAAGCTCTTCGGGCGGGCTACCAGCGGCTTGCATCTGCACAACAGTCAGTATATAGGAACGGCGATTGGACGAACCACCGGTGGTAACTTTACCTCTTGCATTCGCTCCCAAACGTACTCCCGACACTTTGGGTCCTCATCCGAGTATCCTGGCTCCTCGAACTTTTGCACTATCTGCTTCACCACCCGTGCTTGAGTCTCGTAGCGCGTCATGTCCTCCGCGGGGACCTTGCCCTCGGCTTTGTTCTTCTCGATCCAGGGACCGAATTTGCCATCCAGCTCCTTCATGGGCTCGTACAGCATCTCCTTGTTCGAAAGCTGTTCCATCATACCCATGAACATTTTTGTGAGATCGCCATCCTCTCCACCACCCGAGGCACCAGCCTCTACAGCTTTCAACAACTGTGCCAGCATATCGTCTGATAGCCCATCGTCGGTAGATGCGGCCTCGGTGGCACGGTTGCCCGAATCCTTCATCCGCTCCATGGTACGTTGAATGGCCTCATTGAAGGATTCGGCAGGTTGCTCGGAGTTGGCACCCGAGTTGGCACCCGAGTTCGCACCGGTGGTTGAAGGTGCAGCCGGCACGGGTGCAGGTGTGGCACCACTTGATCCAGCACTATTGCCGCCCTCCTCGGCCATCACATCTGCGAGGAGCTGTTTCAAGAAATCACCCGGCGGAATTCCACTCTCCTCGAGCTGTTTGGCAAAGGCATCGGCGCCTTGGTCGATCGATTGTTGGAAATTTTGGAAGTCGGGGTTTGCGGCGGCACCATTTGGTCCAGCTCCAGCTCCCGCTTCGCCCTCAGCCCCGGCACCGGAATTGCCCATCATGTTGGCCATGTCGCGTTCCAGCTGCTTCAGGAAGGCATCTTCGTCAAAGTCTGCCGGGACCGCTCCGGCGCCGCTTGCATCGGCTAGTGCAGCCGGGGGTGCAGGTTGAGCTTTGGGCTTGGAGAAATCATCGAGCACGTCTGTTGCGGGGTATGAATATGCATGTCGGTGAGGTCATGGTGCGAGCATCCTACCGTCTAGTTCATCAAAGTCCGAGTCCTCGTCATCGTCCTTAGTCTGCACGGTGGCCTGGTTCTGCGGGGTTTCGGTAGGAGGTACGTCGGCGGTCGCAGGCGCGGCACCCTTGTCGCTGGGGTCGGGTAGGGTGGCCATGATGAATGTGCAGAGGGGAAAGAAGGTCGGCAAGAGACCAAGGGCCGGAAGCTTGTTGGCGCCGTGCGGGAGTTGATTGCAGGTTGTCCTCAGGTATGCTTTGGTCTGTTGTTGACCTCAGCGAGTTGCGGGCGGCATGTGACGCGGCGAATTTGGCGGGGAACCAAACGCCGATCGCCGAGGAAGCCAGCACCGCATGGTGGCTACCTTAGGCGTGCCCTATGGATCGATGGCAGGTCAATCGCACAATAAGAACACTCTATTTAAGACCTATGTGCCCTTGGCTATAGTCGATCTGCTAGAGATATGGTGAAAGGTACCATAGTTACTTAAGTATGTTACTAGTTAGTAGTAAGCCAAGGTAGATTGGATCTAGATTGACTTCCACTACGCCTACGCGAGATCCGTTGAAGAACCCCCGCATCAGGATGACATTGCATCATTCCTGATCGTCCGCGTGACAGGGTCATGGGGCGAGGGTGACTTGCATCGTCGCCAAGTCTGCGCAAGAGACTAGATCGAAGACGGGCAATCCATTGCTAGCGCGCCCCTGAAACCCCGCGGTGAGCGGAACCAGCATAGCCAGCAGAGCCAAGGCGGACAGCACCGAAGTACCATTGGGGTAACAATTGGAGTGTGTACGGTACGCGGCGTACGGAGTACTTCTAAGCGCTACCAACCAGTATGTGCCAGCAGGTACCGCCCAAGCCGTCCACGTGTATTCGGTACAGTACATCGTTACCTAGAGAGGAATGGTACCGAGTCTTCGTCCGGTTCGCCCCGGTATCGGCTATTCGGCCACCTCATGGCCTGTTGCACACCTGCGCCAGCACCTGTTGCGCCCTCGTGGTTGGAACTTGGGGCCCTTTCGAGGCGGGATTGGCCCTGGTTCTCCGCGGACGCAGGGTTTTTCCTTCCCTTTGCTGGATGTACAACGCGAGCAGTGGCCACCAACCATCGGGGGGACCATTGGGGTCGTGTGGAGCCCGATTCCAGCAGCCATTCGTGTCGGTGGAGAGAGGGAAAATTTTTTCTGGAAAGACCAGCAGGCAAAAAGCAAAAGTCAAAGGGCCGTACGCGAGAGCCCCTCTCTGGGCCCGGAGGACAATATTATTATTCGTTTAGTCAATCGCTTTACCTCACAACTTCTCTTCCCCAGTTCCTCCCCCCCCGTTTATCTCGAATTCTCTGACTCTTCCTTTCTCATAATCCAATTTTTTTTATGTCACTCGCCTCCCACACTCGCACGTCCCCTGTCATCCGCCTAGCCGCGCGGTTCCTGCGTCTGTTCTGTTCCTAAGAAACCTTCCGGTCTCCGCCCAAACGTCGGGCCTGCCGCATCCTGGCTGCGCGCCGGGGATTTCTGTGAGAGAGAGCGAGAGACGGATCTGGGTCTTGGAGGAATTGAGCCGTACGCACCCTGGGTGTGAGGTCCGATTCTAAAGTAAAGCAGTCGCCGCGCGATCGTCTGCCAATGGTCTCTATGGTCGAGACCTCCCGCCCCGAGCAGAATGACACGGTCATGGACCCGGTCGTACCCAAGTCCGAACCGTTGCCAGATGGCTCGATCAGCTCCGCGGTCTCAACGCCGGACGCAGAGGCCGAGCCGATGAATCAAGAGGCCGCGCAGACTCAGAAGAGAAAAGGTGGTCGCAAACCTGTACGTAACATCTTGCATCTGCAATAATCCGGGGCCCCGCATTCCCTATCTCTCCCAACCCCCATCTTTGACACCATTTTACTTTCGCCCGACTAATTTGCTTTTGCCTCCAGATCTATGCCACCTCCGAAGAACGCAAACAGCGAAACCGACAGGCGCAAGCCGCGTTCCGCGAGCGACGCACCGAGTATATCCGCCAACTCGAGACCACCATCAAGCGCAATGAGGAGCAGCTGCAGAGCCTCCAGCAGAGTCACCGCAGCGCCGCCGACGAGTGTCTGATGCTGCGATATAAGAACTCCTTGCTGGAACGCATCCTGCTCGAGAAGGGCATCGATGTCCAAGCCGAATTGCGACTGAAGACCGGGGCGCCGGGCGCCGCGGCCAAGCCACCAGCTCCCAACCCCATGCCTCCCAAGTCGGCCCCAGGTCCGCCAGGCCCCCGTCCGACGCAACGGCATCCCGCTAGCATGGCCTCCAAGCCCGACGCGTTCGGCATCTCGCAGCGCGAGGGTGCCTACGGGGTCCAGTCGCCGCAATTCCAGGCGACCCCCACTTCTCACGTCTCCTCGCCATCGCACGCCAAGTCGCCTGGCTTTGGCTTCCAGGGCGGCATGTCACCCGTGGGTGTAGATGTACAAGGTGCTGGGCGCCCGCAGCAGCAGCTCCTGCCGCAGCCTCGTACCTTTAACAACCAGACCTCGCCACCAGCCATCAGTATGCCCCAGACAGATCCTACAGATCCGAAGCCGCGGAGGCCTGGCGCTGGGCGAGTGGCCGCGGCATATTACCCTTCTCCTTTCCAAAAGCATTACGATCAACTTGGTGAGTACCTTGTTCCCGCCCTTCCAAGCTCATATCTATTCATCGCTCTAACCGTCCATCTCAGAACAAGAATATGATGCCCAAGCAGATATGGTGGACGATGACCATGATGGTTCCGTCCACGGCTCTTTTGTCCCCGGTTTTACACCACAGTCCGTTACTTCAGGCTCACACAGCCTGTCGGGGTTCAATCCAGGCTCTGGGGATGGTGCAGCCGGAGACTTTGCCCATGCAAACCAGTTGCTGGGCCAGTATGAACCGATGCTGGACACTGATCCGTTCGGGCTGAGTGCCAGCATGCATTTCCCAACGCCGTTCAATTACGAGCAGAATAATCCACGGAGCTAGCATCGCTGTGAAGAGCGACCGAGAAAAGATCCGTGTTGCCAAAAGTCTTCTTTGAGCATTGCCGGGCGTTAGTGTTTTGATGTGCCATTTTTTGCCCTTGATACCAGGTAGAACATGTACAGTCTATCCCGCGAGAATCTGAATATTGTCCATAACGCGCTATTGAATGCCCTTTAAGCATATCCTACTATTTAATTTGAGGTCGTATCAAAGAAATGTATGATGCTATGTTCCGGGAGTGACGCCATGATACCCTAAGCCCTAGCCTGATTCGCTTAGTAAATCGCGCCTAACCGGATTCGTGCTGCACCACAAACTCCCTGCCTTTCCCTCCCTTCACATCACCATCACGATAGCGATATCGATCTTCATCTGAAAGGCCGGATCTGAAGAGGTTCTGCCTTGTGCCCTCTCTATTCCTCTACGCAATCGTTGAGCGCCTTCCCCGTCGGAAGGACTCCAGGCGTCATGGCCGAGGCCATTCGGTCCAAGGTACGCTGATGAATCAAGCAGCGAGAGCTCTCTTTTGCTTTCGCTGCTCGAGCAATTGAGCTCGTGCTCGGCAAGCAGCATAGCTAACATCTGCTTTTTTTTGCTCCCCAGAACCTTTACGAGCTCCTCGGTAAATTGCCCTCTTCCATTAATCGAGTTCTGTTGCGCTTTGGGGCGATTCCGATCGCCCGCACACACAAATCGCTTCCGGAGACGACCGGCAACACCACCAACGGTGCCACCAGAATCATCCTCGACTAACCACTTTTTTTTCCTGTCGTTTTACAGGTAACGACCCGGAGCTCGACCCTAGTCGCCCTGCTCCCCCTCCCGCCCGGGCTGTCGACCGACCCGCCCCCCGCCATGGCAAGCGCGATGCTCCCAAAGAGGCGCCTGCCACTCAGCCCCGTGAGAACAACAACCGCCGCGGTGGACGTGTGACCGGTGGCAACGATGCTGGTATGTGATCGACTGGGATTTGGAAATTGCTGTGAAACAGCATTGATGGGGAGGATCGTCGCTGATACGTCTCTCGACACAGCCTTCAAGGACCGCAACGCCGGTCGTCAGAACAACCGCTCCAAGCCCACCGATGAGGCCGAGCAGCCCTCCCGCCGTGGTGAGCGCCGCGGTGGCCGCGGTGACCGTCAGTCCCGCACTGGTCAGACGTAAGTACCCTTTGGCTGATGAAACTATCTGCCTTCACCTTGGGATCATTGGCAGAGTCTGTCACCTGGGCAAAGAACGTCAAGTTAACGGACAATTCTTTTAAAGCGACACTCGCAAGCAGGTCCAGCAGGGCTGGGGTGCCGAGGGTGGCGAGAAGAACTGGGACGACGAGCGTGCCGGCGAGAAGATCGCCCAGGCCGAGGAGAACGAGCCCCAGACTCCCGCTGAGGACGCCGAGGAGGCTGACAAGTCCCTCTCCTACGCCGACTACCTCGCCGAGAAGAACGCCAAGGGTTCCCTCGCTGCTAAGCCTGTTCGCTCCGCCAACGAGGGCAGCAAGGGCGACAAGAAGTGGGATGGCGCTAAGGAGCTGACCCACGAGGACCAGTCCGACTACATCCAGGGCTCCACTGAGAAGAACATCCGCCAGAAGCAGCGCAAGGAGAAGAACTTCCTCGAGGTTGACATGCGCTTCGTCGAGCAGCCCCGCTCCGGCCCCTCCAACGGCCCCCGTGGCGGCCGTGGTGGTGACCGCGCTCCCCGTGGCGACCGTGCCCCCCGTGGTGACCGTGCTCCTCGCGGTGGCCAGCGTGGTGCCCCTCGCGGCGGTGCTCCCCGTGGCGGTGCTCCCCGCGCTGCTGCTGGTGGTGCTCCTCGCGCTGCTGGTGCCCGTGCTCCTGCCGGCCCTACCGTCGACGAGAAGAACTTCCCCAGCCTGGGTGCCTAAATCTCTTCGCCCCAAGAGCGGCCATGATGGGGTGACTGCTGCCCAGACAGCGCACTCTCTATGTTTCCGGCCATTACAACAACCATTTCTCTCCTTCTCTGCTTCTTTCTCGCCCGTTGTGATATGAAATGATGATAGCGCGGGCTTTGATCTATTGAAACTTTTTCCATGGAGATTGGGTGGAGAGGGAAAGACCTGGTTATATCTGGGATGTTCTCGTTTTTTTTTTCAAAATAGTCGGACTAATCCACCACTAAATCGGTGTCGAGGGTCCAAATGTGTGACTTGTGCTTATCATGTTTTCTTCGGATGGTGGACGTGTGCAAACGTGAATGAAATTCTACGGGCCATGTAATTGATTCGATCCAGACTTCATAAAAAATTAGGAACGCAATGAAATCCTTCATCTGAATATGCTTGCGTTGCTGTAGTTGCGTTGCATCAGAAGAGCTCAGGATAGCTATCCGATGTTACTCATACGTTGTAGCTAGCACCTTGCTCACATGGAGAAGTTACAGCTGGCGGACTGCAACTGTGACTATTATGAGTACCGAATCAAAGAATTGGGCCTAACACTCTAGATTGCTCTTGATAAGAGTATGAAAATTGAAGTCTTATTGTATTCCAGTGTTCTTTCAAACCAGATCATTGTTATATAGAACTAGATAAGTTCTCCGAAAGTCTAGCTGACTCCTCAATGACAACTTACCCACAAGAGGCTATAAAATCCCTTGGGTGGACAGACGGTAGACGGAGATGAAAAATACTCCAAATCTACCACGAGCAAAGAGTCCAGAAGCTTGGAGAATACACTACAGCTCATGGCCATGTCTCGACAGACGGATGTCATTGGCTGCGGCCTCCGCATCCGCAGACCACTCCTCCAAAGTCTTCTCATCAACATCATCCAAGAAAGACAGCCCAGGCATAGCCTTCCCACCACAAGCACGCTCCAGCGCCAAGAAGGCAAAATGACCACCGATAACAGGGCGCGCAAAGAAGTTCGGACCAGGGAAATTCCCATCGCCCTCTGTCTTGTGGAGATCCGTGAAGGGTCGATCCGTGACAGTCTCGTTGACCCAGCGCGCGACAGATTCCAAAATCTCCGAGCGAACGGGCTTCGAGGCCACGGCCATCGAGAAGAATTCCCAGTCTGTCTTCGTGTAGAGGTGGCGGCTGTCCAGGGGGAGACCGTACTTCTGGCGGACGTAGTGGTACCAGACTGATTGTTTCTGGTAGATGTGGCGTGGGACGAAGCCTGGGGAGGTGTTGGTGGAGAGGTTGGTTCCCTCGAGGTGGAAGCAGAGTTGGGCGTCGGCGTATAGGTTGTAGATTGTTGTCCAGGAACCGTACCAGTCGTAGGCGAGTTTGGCGTGTGTCTTGTCGCGAGACATGCCGAACTCTTCCCACTTGGCGATGTACTTGTCGGCGGTGTCCTAGTATGAAATGTTAATGGATGGACCAGACTAATTCTCAAAGTATTTATTCTTACTTTGAAGTATTTGGCGTCGGAATCATGTCCAGTCAACTCGGCGAGCTTGCTCATGGCGTTGATACCAATGATACCCTTCAGAGCAAGGTTGGTCTGGAGTGCCAGCCAGCCAGCAAAGTCGTCCGTGGAAACTGCAACGACTTCAATTAGGATGAGTAAAATAGGGTAAGCATAGGGTATATCTTACGTTGGTTTGCCGGCTCCAAAGAAAACTCGACCAGATAGCCAGTCCACTGCTTCCAGAGCTTGTAGCTTCGGTCCACCCATTTCTTGGCCAGGTTTTCGCCCTGAATGCCTCCGCCCCATTTACCGTCCTGGTGAGCAATTCCAGAGAACGCCTGGAGATCGGTGAGCGGGAACAACGAGTCTGAATCGCTCGAGGCGGTCCAAGAGTTCGATCCCTGGGCAGACCACATGGATGAGGCAGCAGATGCATCCTGGTACTGTAGCGAGTTGGCAATTGCCAGACCCATGATCAGGATGTTACCGCACTCCTCAACCGGCATGTACTCGTCCTTCCCATCGGGGTGGCCAGTAGCATTGGGGAAGTGGGTGCCCAGGTCGTGCATGGCATAGGTGTTAGGGTATTGTCCACTCAGCATGTGCTCAATCAGCGGCTCGAGCAGATACGCCAGCCATCGAGGGTTGGTGTACAGGAAGAAGGGGAAGGCTGGGAAAATGACATCAATGGTTTGGAAGTTTCCATTCGAAGAGATCTCCTTCAGGAACAGGATGGGGTTATCCGGTGTGCCCGAAAAGGTTGTTGCGCCCATGACTTGGCGGGCAGAAAGAGCAACGATGTCAACGTAGTCCTCAGCACCTGAGAGGTAGGCATCCTTGGCCAGTTGTGCAGAGTAGTTGGAGGCCAGAGATCCAGCCGCAACATGGTCATTGTAATGGAAGTTCAAGAGCTCTTCGGTGGTGGTGAACCAAGACTCCCAGAGGGGTCGCATCAGAGTCAGGCCGCGAGCGGATGCATATTGCACAACTGGGCGTTGAATAAGAGCGACAGTGAACGTGACGCTGTCAGAAGTCTTCCCGGGGGATCGACTGAGGTTGAAGGACTTGGAGAAGGAAAAGACGGGCGACCGGTCATTGATAGATCGGAAGTCATTGTCATTCTCGTTGGTCAAGGAACCAGTCTTCGCAAAACTCTTCCTGACCTTGGCAGCCTCTCCCGACTGGTACCGAGCATCCTGTTCGTCCAGTTAAAATCTACTTGCTCGACATTTAATCAGGGTGATACTTGCGGCAGGGCCAGTAAAGTGAATAGTACCCCATTCAGCGCGGTCGCGAATCTCTGACAAGTGGAGCTCATTCTCCCTCCGGATCTGCCAGCTTTGAAGGTTCGGCTTCTTGCTTGTCTTGTCATTGACATCAAGGGCATTCCATTCCCACTTGACTTTGCTTCCATGGTCTCCGCTCACCCAGCGAGCATCTATATCCATATACACATTTACATCCGTCTCTCCTTGTACGTCGAATGTGACGTAGGAGGCCGGAATCGACTGTCGCAGAGTCGAGGTCGGTGTGATGGGTGAGAGGAAGGAGACGGTAATATCCAGAGGAGTAGAGGAGCCGGTGTCAATGCGATAGGTGAAGTTGGTCGTCGAGGCATCGTAGTTATGTCCCAGGTAATCGGGGTACTGTACAGAGTCCGAAGGCAGGGACTCGTGCGGCTTACCGACGAGAGGATAGGCTGCTCCCTTACTTGGAAGATGGGCCATCAACGAGAGGCCAACCTCCTCACCCGTATAGAACATGGGCCATTTGGCCCATGGTGCTTCCCGGGCGTTCCCCAGCCAGGTACTCAGGTAGGGGTTCCGGACGATCAGTGGCAGGACGGGCGGTGTTAAGGAGGAGGCAGTGGTCACGGCCGCCTGTGTAACGGCCGCAGCCAGAACTGCGAGGGATAGCTGCATCGCGGTGCAGGTCAGAATCGGACGGCAACAAGACTGCCAGAGGTTTTTGCGGTCCCAGGAACCAAGAATGGTGGGAGGCAAGTTGTAACCAAGGGGCCTGAATCCACAGGTGGAAATGCGGGGAAGAGCTCAGCTGAGGCCAAGTTCGAGTTCGCGGGTACTTCGCGGGGGGTCACTTTCAGATCGAACAGGGACCAGAGTGGGGGAATAGGGTGTCGGTGCCGCTGATTGGGCCGGTATATGCAGAAATGCAGGAGGTGCAGCGCATGGGTTCCCAAAGGTGGTCAAACAGTGATCGCTGTGATGTCATGCGGAGACGCAATCGGGCGCCCGATGGAAGCCGGAGCATACTTCGGACAAAACGGATTCTACAGCTATTATCTCGGAGTGACCAGCTCGTTTGGTTATAATATCTAACTGTTTGTAGTATTTGCAGCTATACAAAGTATCAACCGAATCGAGAAACGTTGCCGGAATATAACCACATGAATGTGGTAGCCTAGGCACATTGGATGTGTAGAGTACCTTGGGGAGGAATGTGGATATATACTCTCATCTCATATCGTCTTCGAGATCCATACCGTGCAGCCTTGTTCGTTCTGTGAAAGAAATTCATTCGATCATATTCCCTCGATTTTAATTTGAAGAGGTAATTTTCAGTTGCAATTTCCTTGACAGCAGCTCTGCGATGAAAATGAATTTGAGATGAAAACTTGGGCCTGAGGCGGCACATGACAGCGCGATCTGGAATTTTGTGGCAAACGCGTGATTGGAGGTTCTGACAATCGTATTGTGGTCGCTGAATCCAATGCACGAATGAGTATGATCACATTGCTTTCTTGGTTATCAATAATTTACGACCGGAGAAAGATAACATGACAGGCGAGATCAAAATAGTCGCAGTGTGCACATTTTGCTGCGATGAAGATGCAAAGACCCTAGAACACACTACTTGAACCTTGGCCAAAGGTACTGACTGCCTTAGTGCTAGGTATTTTTATTAATACGGGCATATTTCCCGTGCGCTTGCCAGTTCGCCCAGCACGCCGCGCGCAGCGTGGACGTGTGCTCAACACGCTGTGGAGCCGAGTCCGTGCTCTATACAAGCTAGTAATCGAAGGTCTATACGCGATTGACGCGACCGTTTTCTGTTGTCCACCGGCAAAGCCTCTTGTCTCGTTCCCTTTTCACTTTCCATTCTTCATTCCTGCCGCTTTGCCTTTTTGCCTGGTTCCTGGGCTGATTGTTCGCGCTGCTCACGCGTGGACTCCCCGGGCCCCGAACCCACTCCCCCCGCCGCGGCGTGTATCTTTCGTCTTTTGACCCCAACACCTCCCCGACTTCAATCCCTCCCGGACACGCTTCGATATGCAGTCCACCACAATGCCATTCAGTCCTATTAAAGATGGACGCCGCATTCTCGGTGCAAAGGACACCAACGCGTGCTTCTCCCCAGCCCGCCAGAACAAACAGTCATCGGTTACCGGCACGCCGACCAAACGGACCCTGTTTACGAATGTCTCGCCTAAGAAGCTGCTCCCTTCGCCTATATTTGCGGGCCAAAAACGGACAAGGGACCAGGTGTGCGAGGTAGAAATCAACACAGAACGTGGCCAGACTCCGCGAGGCTCTGAGGAGCCCAGTTCCCAGGCCACCGTGAAGATGGATACCCCGAAGGTAAGTAGCAAACGGACGACCTATGAGACACAACAAGGATTCAATTGTCTCATACATTTATTCTCTAGTCAAGCCATGTGTCGGACGCGATGGAAGCTCGCGTTTCAACCCCAACCTCGCAGCCCGAACGCGACGAGACCACCGAAGATCAGACGAAAGCAGGCCGGCCTCCAACCGCGTCTCAAAGCCCCGAACAAGACACACGGGCGATCCCAGACGATCCAGACGCGCGCAAAATCTTTATCCAAGAGGTACGTCGAGATCTTTTTTCTCTCCTAGCCAAATCGTGATTGCGGAATGTTGACCAACTATATCCCAGAAAGCGGCTCTCCTCCGAAACACCCTTCAAACTGCCATGCGCAACGTTCCCAGCAATCCAATCGACCGCCGAGTCTCGGAATTGGAAGCCCACAGCCGCAAGTGCCCTCGAATCTCTTTCTCTGCTCTCTCCACTCCCTCCGTCTCCCTCAGAAATGTCGCCACTCCTTCCCAATACCGCACTCCGCGCATCGGCACAACCAATGATGATATGAGCTCCACTCCGGTCCAGTACACACCCGACCTCCCTGGCCGGCCATCCTCTCTGATCGACACATCCTCATGTGCAAAGCGGGCCCGGCGCACGCCGCCCCGCACCCTTGGATCTCCAATGCAACTCAGCAGCCCACCCGCGACGGTTGTTCGACACAACCGAACCCGCGAGGTGAGCGAAGAACCACGGCATGAAAAAGGATCCGAGACACGGCAGGGCTTGTCGCCATCTCAAAGAGGGGACGCCGTGGATGGGTTACTCAAACTCATGAGCAACAACCAGGAAAGCTCCGACGCGTGGACCGGATAGGGTATCTAAAAGCGGTTGAACCGCACCGCGGATGTCGAGTGATGTATTTCTTTTTCTTGGTTTTTTCTCGTTATTTTTTCATTGGTGGCATATTGCCTTTCTCCGGTCTAAGAAGTCACGATTGGCGTCGACTGATGACGGTGCTTTGACGAATACATCTTGTGGTTAGCATATCATGGAGATGCGACGGTTGGCTAATTCTGGGAGCATGCGGCGTTCTTTAAAAAAACTCTTTTTATCACTACTACAGTACATTCAATGATACCATTTGTATGCTTTTGAATTTGCTCAGCTCGAATGAGAGACTAGCGTGATGACATACAAGGTAGTGGCAGTCATCACTGGATGAGGGTGAGTCTGGTCAGTTTTATGACCACAAGGATGGGATGAAACGGGAAAGACCGCCTAGATCATTGGAACGGTTGAAGGAGGCGTCAAATTGTCGAGGCTTATCTGCAAGCGAGTTTGACATTCTAGGTACCTATGAAACAGTGGACTATCATAGGTGGATACCTCTTCAAGCGTTCTGCAATAACACTATTGTGTTACCCTGACATGCATACATACAGATGATCTCCAACCTAACCATCTGGGCCCAGCAAGGTTACGGAAAGGGATGACAGGGCAAGACTTGTTGCAACTTGAGGTTCTCACCCCCAGTATATGCAGCTTCAGGTGATCGCTGTTGGCACCCTGGGAGTTCAGTTTGTCGGCGCATCTCAGATAAGCACCGAATGCTTGCTAGGCCGGAATGTCAGGTACCGATATCGACGAGAGATATGGTCAATCTTGCAACTCCATGGTCAACAATTAATCAAGTAAACTTTCCTAATCAGGCCTGCATTACGTCGGTGTACCGCATCGGCATTTCTCATGTTAGCAACTCCGCTAGTCAGCATCGGTAGACACTGAGGAAGTGAACAAAGTACTAACATATAGGCAGTTCCCCAGCCAATTGTTGTCAGCTAGTCTATTCGAATACGAAATATACACGCCCTAAAAACTGACCCCGAAGATGAGTTGAGCCTCATGAGTTGAAAAAGGGGTTCCGATTGGTGGTAACGTTGACGGTTCTTAGACCCCGAAATACCGAAGAATGGAGTAGATTGGAGCTGATGTCAACATGTCCAACCCAAGAAACTTGAAAAGAGAGATCCTTAGTATGAAGACTGGAAGTATTAAATATTACATCGGCAAGTCGTCCGTCAAGCCCCAACATGCTTCGAAAAGGGCGACCGGCAATAGGGGTTCAACAAAAAAGGAATCCGGCAGTGCAGCAGGCAACCATCACCGCCACAATTCAGAAACAATTTCGAAACATCTCTTTTATTGATCAAATCGAGAGTCCAATCTTTCGATAACCATAAAAATCTCATATTGTGTCCGTTGAAGACTTGACTTTGTACTCCAGACGCCAATCGCCAACGCCCCGGTACAATATGATCCATAACCACGCCTGTGCCCATTGTCGACAGAAGAGGGTATGTCCAGCCAAACCATGATGGTCACTCTACGTACAGCACCCGAATTAACATCTCATAGCGACGAGAGAGGATCAAAGGGGCCTGCTCCGCAATCCATGAAAGAAAGTGCAATATAAGGGACGTGGGCAGTGGTAGCCAGACCGCAAGTTTACAACGGCCAGCTCGACCCCTATTCGAGAATCCCAAAGCGAGCACTCAAAGGGGCGGGCTAACAAGCGGGCTCAGCGACAATGTCATAAGAGCCCCAGATTCAACCATCATACCATCGGCTGTCATGCAGAACCCATTGCAGCCTGCTCCCGGCGCTGCCTTTGACCAGGTCCTAGGCTTCCACCAACTTGGAGAAGTATCAAGTACTAGCCATACAATCAATACGGGTGTTGGTGGATTACAGACGACAAGTGATGGGTATATGGCCCCCGGGGCGCTCGAAGAGCCATTTTCTCCGATAAATCAGCCTGTTGGCCCACAGGATAGCTCTTACTATCCTCTAATGAGTCTACAGGTCTCACAGATGGAGACTTATCTCGAGAATTCATTCGCGGATGCGAATTTGAGATCTTCAGATATGGCCCTTTTGGATACCCTGCCTCCTGCTCCCGATGCTTTGTTGTTAAGCGATGATTGCTTTACTGGACAGATCAACGATGGACACAACACGAGGCCGATTGCGTCGCAATCGGGAGAGACGAGAACAAATTCCCTTGAAGGCCATGGAGACGAGTTTGATTATGTCCTTGGAGGAATAGGAGGCGAAGTTCCCCTGATTCAATGACTCAATGAAGTCTATTGTACGAGTAATAGAGTATAGATTAGGGATAGATCACAATATGACAACGCTAAAGTCCTGATTGATTCTAAATATGGTATCAAATGGAAATGTAGATATAAACAGATTTAAAAATTTAAGATATCCTTCACCGGACCTTCTTCAACTTGTTTCGCTTTCGACCCAGCACATCACGGCCTTCATCAATCTCGCCCATAGCCTCACGCTTGGCAGAGCCGACCTCCTTCAGTGCACCGGTTCTCGTCACACGGCCCTCAATGCTGACGCCTTCTTCGGCCCACTCTTCCATCTGTCGGTCCACACGTTCCTCGATGGCAAGGATAAGCTCCACGTCACGTTGTCCGACCAGAGTAACAGCCTCACCAGTGCGACCCGCACGAGCCGTACGACCGACACGGTGGACGTAGTCGTCTGGGTTCCGAGGCACATCAAAGTTGATGACAAGGCTGACAGACGGGATATCCAGACCACGAGACGCAACATCGGTGGCAACCAGTATTCTGGCAGCGCCAGCGCGGAACCGACCGAGGTTAGAGGTACGCTCAGACTGAGGGAGAAGGCTGTGGAGGGAAGTGGCGCGATGACCGAGTCGACGGAGAGTGCGCTCGAGGAGATCGGCGGTCTTGGTGTGGTTACAGAAGATGATGGCGGGTTTGGTGTCGTTCTCTTCGGTAGAGAGCAGCACATGCAGGAAGACTTCACGGTGTGTCATAGGAACCTTTAGGTACGTTTGCTTCAGGGTGGGAGGGATGTTGCCTTGGTTCTCGGTGGAGATCTCAGTCACGAAGATGGGAGGCTTGTTCGGTGTGCGTGGCAATGATTTCAACGCGCGCACCTCGGCAGTCAAGGTCGCTGTGAACAATAGAGTTTGTCTCTCCGACGAAGGTGGGAGTGCAGAAAGACAGGTTTCCACATCGGGCAGCTGACTACCTTGTCCACTGGCGAGCAATCGATCCGCCTCATCGAGTACAACCATCTTTACCCGACCCAATCCAGCCACTGTATCCTGGCCAGACGTCTTGATGTGATCTGCCAGACGACCGGGTGTCGCAATGACGACATGAGGGCGGGAGGCAAGTGCGATTGCCTGCTGGCGCATATCGGTGCCACCGGTGATGAGGATGGGCTTCATGCTTTGAGGGGCGGAGATGGCCTTGAATTGCTCGAATATTTGCAGCGCAAGTTCTCTGTTGATAGAATATATTGTCAGAAACCCGTAGTTCTTTCTCATATATCGAGAATATTCTTTGGCGAAAGTCCAACTTACCTCGTCGGCGTCAACACAACCGCAAAGATACCAAAAGGATCTTGAGCCCATTTCTGCAAGATCGGGACCGCAAAGGCTATGGTCTTTCCGGAACCAGTCCGACTACCACCGATGCAGTCCCGTCCCTTCAGAATCTCCGGAATACACGCCTTCTGAATAGCCGTCGGGCGTCGAATAGCCATAGTCGACAAGGAACCCACGAGCCAAGGAGCCACAGTAAGAGCTCCGAATGTGGATGCTTCGGCTTCTAGACCGATTTTGAGAGCATCTGCGATCGTGACAGGCTCCTCTTCGCCCGTTGGCTCAGGCTTCTTTGTGTTGTCTTTCTTCTTGATACGAGAGACGGTGGGGAGCGGTGCCGGGGCTACATAGCCATCATCGGAGGACTCGGAGAGGCGGCGGCGTTTGGGTGCGCGGTCTTGAACTTCGGTTTGACTTGTTTCAGATTGATCAGACTCGTATGAGTCCTCAGACATCGGATCGTCTTTCGGCGGCGCCATTGCTGTTTGCTGCGTTGTCTTGGAGGAGCAATTTTGCGGCAGAAAAAGTTATCGGATCCAGCAATGACAGACCGCCTTCGATTTACGGCAAAATGGATGATCATGTCATCACGTGATTGACAGACAGTTACGATAGACAGGAAATGCAAATTTGAATAATGACTGGGAGCCATATATGTATTATGAAATGATACTGATTATTTCCGGTTAATGTGGTATATTTCCAAGATTGAATCCTCCAGAAAAGTCAAATCAATCGACTCTACTGGTAGTACTTCTGCGGCGAACATATGACCGGGAAGTCATCTCGTACGCCTCACCCCTCTCCACATCTTCAACTGCAGAATCCGAGGATGGCGAATAACGGCCTCGCAGCACACCATTCCCTTCGCTAGAGGAGGTTTGGGCCCCACTCGCCATCGCCTCGTCGGTATCCTCGTCAAGACCGTAAGTGCCACCAACACTCTCCATAGTGAAAGGACTGGCAGTGGGCGCATCCAATGCGTTAAGTTCCTCACGGGTAAACCAAAGTGGCAAGAGGAAAGACCGGACAGGAATCAAAAGGAGAATTATGACGGGGAAACCAATGGCTGCAATAGTTTGGGTAATGGCGAAAGTTGCACCGAAACCGATGAGTTCGAGAATGACAAATGCCCAGATTGCGACGCGACGTTTAATTTGCTTGAGAGGGTTAGACGCAGGGGTAAAGCTCTTGTCTTGGGCGAGGAAAATGAGTTTCTGAGTAATGCCGTTACCCTGCAAGGCCTGAACACCCATCACGAAGAAGAGACCGGCCATAACTCCCTGTGGGATCAGATGCAGGACAATGAGAAGGGGCCCGGTCATGGTGCCAAGAGTCAGCAGGCCTTGGGCGAAGTTGCTGACTCGTTGTTCGACAACGTGGTCTGTGACCCGGATGGCTTTGCCTTTGTTCGCTTCGTCCTCGTCTGCGACCTGTCGAGTGACGCAGAGGGCAGCAGTGTGGAAGGGTGCTTGCGGGATAAGGCCATTGGGGAAAGGAATTCCAAGGAGACCACCGACGAACGTAGTCAGACCGAGGAGCCACAGATCCCAGTGGAAGCCCGCGGGTTTCCGGAGAGGAAACTCAGTGCCTTGGGCAATTAGGGACGAGACTGGTGAAAAAATGAGTCACCATCATGGATCATCAGCAAAAGGTAAAAGAGCTTACCGTTGTGATCAAAATAGAACAGAATCGTCAGAAGAAGAGCAAAGGGAATAGCCAAGAAGATGTCTCCGACATCAATATTCCAGAAATGTACCAGCCATGGCCGATCAAGCGTAGGGAAGAAGGCCTTGCCGGTGGGAAGAGTGGAAACATTGACCTCCCGCATGTGGCCAATGTGCACGAAACCAGTGAAGAAAACAATGGTCAAGGGTGTACCATAGTCTTCCAAGAACTTCCGAACATATCTTTTAAAAAGATTGCTATTGCCCAATTCTCCGCAAATCCATGCACTCATAAGGACAAGGAGTGCGACCATAATTGCGAGGTAGGCCGATGTCTCGCCGACTTGGCCCCATTGTCGAGTCAGCACTTGGATACCTTTTTGGAGGTAGATGCAAGCAACATAGAAGCCAAAGATGTCGCACGAGAATCGAGTCACATATGTCAGTCCATTGCAAGAATTCGTGATAGCCAGGATCCAATGCATGATCAGTGACCATCTAGAGATTATGTCAGTGAGATCAATGGGTGAGAGGACCTGGGCGGCTTACATGCCAATCCAACACATGAAGGGGAGAAACGGAGTTCCACGAGGACTGATAATATCATACACAGTGTAATTGAACACTGTGATAGGACCTATGGGTCTCGTGCCTTAGTTCATCGTTTCTCAACCAGACAGTGAAGACATACCAGTCACGCCAACAATGACCAAAGGCTGGGCCGCAAAAAGAGAGAATACCACGGCGCCAAGAACAGACGCCAGTAACACCTCATTGACACCATAGCTTTGGTTCGTCTTTTCAAACATATCAAGCGAGAAAGCCAGGGCAGGCAGAATACTGAAGCAATTGTGAGCTTGGCCGCTCTCTGCAGAGTAGCATCCCATAGGAAAACGTACTTGGCAAAATACATGTAAACCGTCGCAGGCACGATACGATAGTCCCACGCGTCGATCCAATCACTCCAATAATAGGGTGCTCTACGCTTGACATCTTGAATCATGCCACGAAACAATCGAATGCGCCACCATTTCGGAGGGGATGATGCCGCCGACGCGGAAGTTGAAGCTCGACGCGCGGGTTCTTCACGCGCCGACTCCCTCAGGTTCGTTGAGGGAACAGAGTGTCGCAACGATGGCCCATAGTTCGATCTATCAGACCGCACGGATGATTTCCGCTGCGATTGCCAAGAAGGTTTGCGCTGAGTGGACGAGGCGGGCGCCTGCATGTTCGGTCCCGAGAGAGGAGAGGGGTCGCCGTGCGACGGTCCCTGCATCGCCTGAGTGGGAAAAGTGTGGCGATGCGGTGCAGCCCTGCGTGGGTGAATGACTCTGTTCCAACAGTCGAGAAACCAAGGTTGCGTCAGTCGTCGATTTGCGGGGGAAGAATAAGCTGGAAGAGTTGTGACGAGCCAAGACTGAGGTGTGGGGCCTGAGGCATAGTTGGGCCTTGCATCATTGAGGTTTGTGATTAAAGTATGGTTATGGCCATGAGACTCCCCTAGTGGAACGTGAACGTATCCCGGAATGGATCCCTACTTACAATAGGTTGGTGAGGTAAGGAGAAGCTCCAGCCTAAACGGCATTCAACAGAACCAGGCATGGAAGGACTGCGCCGCCGGTAATTTGGCATACATCTCTCAGCCAAGCTACGGACGTCTACGACAACGAAAATTGAATAACAGGATTCACTCCCACCCTGTGAAATGATCTTTTTGAACTACTCCAGATATCAAAACGAAACCCCTTAAAAGTTAGTCCCATCCGGTCCGTATCGCCGATCGTAGCAAGCAGAACAATAACAAGTCTGGGTCAAAATGAAAAAAAAATTTCCTTCATACCATACCCATTGGCAGACAACCCCGTCAGATTAATTTTGTCTACGCCGAAGGCGGAGGAGGAGGCGGGGGCTGGTCACTGGGAGGCGGGGGAGGCGGCGCATCGCCAGGAGGTGGGGGAGGAGGAGGCGGAGCACCTCCAGCACCAGCACCACCGCCACCATACATAGGCATGCCCGGAGGAGGCGGGGGAGCCATTCCGGGAGGAGCCATTCCAGGAGCAGCCATGCCGGGAGGAGCCATGCCTGGGGCATAGGAATAACCTCCGTAAGCGCCATATCCGTAGGCCTGAGCACCAGGAGGACCTTGCTGTTGCCAAGGAGAAGCACCAGGGGCAGAACCCGGGGCGGCACCGTATGCGGCGTGGTGAGCGTAGGCACTGTAGTCGTTGGCTTGGGTCTGAGCGGCCCAAGGAGCGGCATCTTGATTCTGAGCGGCCCAAGGAGCGGCATCTTGATCGCGAGACCCATAACGGGAACGGCTGTCGCGGTCTCTCTGCTGCCAGGGAGCGGCATCCTGCTGCCAAGGGGCGGCATCGCTCGACGGGCCACGCTGCTGCCAGGGAGCCACATCACGATCACTGGGGTATCCAGAGTCAGGACCAGCCTCAATACGCCGAGGCTGCTGGTAGTCGCCAGAGGGGGCACCGCCAGACAGTTCGTTCATGAGTTGCTACAGAATTCGTCAGTATTTGATGAAGGGAGATCCAGGTAATAGAAAAAGATACTCACCTGCATCTCGCGGTCTACCTCATCACCAGTGTCAGCAATACGAGGAGCAGCACGTCCACCGTTGTTGCGCCAGTCGCTACCTCTCTGGCGGTCGGGACAGTCGCGAGCCATGTGGCCAGCATTGCCACAGACACGGCAAATAATGCTGGAAGTGTAGTTGCGCTGCTGAGGGCAATCATACTTGCGGTGTCCGATTTCACCACCTATTTGACAATTTGTTAGTACAATCAGATTGACCAGCTGGAAACCAAGTAACACATACAGTTCTGGCAAGCCTGGTTCTCATCGTCACGGAGAGTACCATTGAGGGCAGCAAGTTCTCGAAGCTGGTTCCGCTTCAGTTCGTTTTGACCCTCGGGGATGGACGCAGCCTGAAAAAAAGAGTCAGTTCAGATATTAGAAAAAAGCGATGGGGGAGGGAACGTGCCGTTTCAATGACGTTGTGCACAAGCTTCTTGGCCTTGTTCACCTTCTCCTCCGTGTCGGCCATAATCAAGCAGTGAAGGTCCTCCTCCTGGTTGCTAGCATGAGCGGCGTCAGAGCGACCCTTTCCTTCCTTGACGGAACCCTTGCCACGAATGGCGATCTTGGCACCAGATTCGGTCTCCATTTTCTTCAAGGTGTTACCACGAGGTCCAATTAGTAAGCCAACTGCAAAGATAGCAAAAGAGCTAAGTGTTAGTAGTCTGGTCATTGTGAAATCGACTTTGAGCAATTGTGCACCATCAAGCACCAAGGGTTAGCAAGAAACGGGTCGACGACATTAGTGAAAATGTTGCGCCGACTCGAGTCGAGCATGAGCTCATGGCAGACACAAGAGGCGGGGGCAGATTGAGTTTAGAGGGTTAGTGTGTATCATACTGAAGTTAATCTCTGGATAGTCATTCACAGGCACGTAGACCTTCTCCTGGGTCTTGGTGGGGCGTCTGTAGTCAGAAGGCGGAGTGTAGTTAGGAACGGCCTTCATGGCCTTGTCGACCAGCTTGTGACGTTCATCCTCCAGGCGCTTGCGGTAGCGGAACTCGCGGGTGTTCACACGGCGACCGAAGTTGTCATATTGAGGCGCAGGTGAAGGAGACCTGCTGATGAGTTAGTATGATGCGAGAATGAGGCGAGGAAAGAGCAAAGACATACCGTTCATTTTCGGGCGGGACCACATCGTTAATACGAAGCTTCTGACTGATTTCTTCGACACGCAGGTGCAGAGCGTAGGCATCCAGCTGTTCATTGGTGAAGTTTGCCATGATCATGGTGGGCAAGCCCATCAGACCAGCAGCCTTGTTCTCCTGCTGGTCGCCCCAGCGGCTGCGCTTCTTGCGGGGCTTATCACCTGCGCGACATCGACTGTTGGTTCTCTTTCTTTTGTGGCGCTTGGTGGTGGGCTGCGTGGGGAACTTACCTCGAACAGGGCTGCGACCACGTCGAGGGCCGTCGCCCAAGGATGCAGGAGTCGCAGTGCGGCTATCGTCCTCCTCCTCGGCCCCGCCGCCGAAGCGACGTTTGCCGAGGGGAATATTGTTAGATCCGGTGATTCCTTGGTTGCGCCAGGCCATGGCACCGGGTTGCAAGCGAGATGAGTGATGAGTTAGTGAAGGGGGCCTGGGAGTTCAAAAGAAGATGGATGTGCCGTTCAATAAATGTGGCAAGAGTCACGTGGTAAGGCGGTGAGAGTATACGGTGGATGTCTTCTGTCGATGCTTAAGTAAGTTTGGCATCTGGCCGTCGACCAACTGCCCCAATCTGATACTACTATTTACTCAAAATTTTGAGGCTAATTACGCAGATCTTGCTGATGATTCGTATTTTATTTTCATTTTTCAATTCAGCACATTGAGTTTATGTGCGATGGGCTAATGTCCGCCATTCAATCTGCAATTTGCATCGTCTCCACAGCCTGTTGCATTAATCTTTTAGATCTTGTTCTTCGAGTCCTCCTTCATTCCTTGCTGAATCCAAGCCCGTGACTCTGCAGCATGCTTCTCAACCTCGGCTTTATCTTTCAAGAGCTCCTTAATAGTGTGCGGCGAGGGAACATGGCGTCCCTTCTCAGTACCCGGTCGCTGAGCCATGCGCTCCTCCCACGCCTTGACATGCGGGAACTCCTCAATATCGATACCGGCCCATCCGGCAGCCGCGATCCAACCCCAGTGTGAGATGTCGGCGATGGATACGTGATCGCCGACCAGATACCCAGACTTCGACTGGGCAAGATGCTTGTCGAGGACACCGTAAAGGCGGCGGGACTCATTGACATACCGGTTCACACCGTATTCGATGCGCTCCGGGGCATATCGTGAGAAGTGGTTGGCCTGACCTTGCATCGGGCCCAAGCCTGCATTTTGGAAGAAGAGCCAGTTGTTCATCTCATAGTGCTCTCGGCTGCCCTTGGGGAAGGAGATCTTGTGTTCGGGGTCATATTGCTCGGCCAGGTATTGCAGAATGCTACCTGACTCAAAAAGACGAATCTTCTCGCCATCGCTGAACGTATCGGTCAAGGCTGGGATGCGACCATTCGGGTTGATTTCCAGGAACCAGCTACGGATCAGTCAGCTTGCGGGATCATCGGATGACTTGGGGCCCACAGTCACATACTCTTCTTTTTGGACGTTCTTCGAAATGTCAATATTCTCGACCTTGTAGGGGAGCCTGTCATTCTGTCAGCTCCAGCTGCGGGTTATGCAATCAACGAAGTGCTCCCTACCCGAGCTCCTCAAGCGCCATGGAGATCTTGATCCCATTGGGGGTCTGAGCAGTGTAGAGGGTGATATCAGGGCGCGTCATGATGGCGATCGGTAAGGTTCAATTCAGTAGAGAAGATAAGGTCTCGAGATGCAATTGCAGAAATGCCTGGAGCTACCCAGCAGGTGGGGGTTTTGGGTCTTATATACCGGGGTGAGGTCATTGTTAGATGGCAGCTTCCCCACTTCGATTTATAATCCTGCCGAAGCTTCGCTCCGCATCCGATTAGTTAATCCTCCAAGCCGCTTCGACAGCATGCTTACAAACACTGCGCGAGTGAGTCACGATAATACTGTGAAATCGAACACGAGCGACTTGATCCAATACGCTTACTAGAAAAACAATAGTGAATTCATCGGACTTGAATAGGATGCCCTCTGTGCCAGCGTTACCCTTCCAATCCACCTTCTATTGCCGCATTCGAAAGAGCCGTCTCGTCGACTGCGGACACTATTTCGTTCTATCGCATACATGTTCAGTTAAAGGAAAAGATACAGCAGCAGGAACCCTGCGAATGGAAACACTGACATCGAATGAAATCCCACAGATCCATTAGTGGGAGTGGATGTGGAAGAGCTTGTCGTCGAGCTCGATCCATTGACCGACGAGCTACCGTTCTTATATTTTCCAACCACGAACTGAGCCACCTCCTCTCCATAATTATCGATATACTTTTTGTGAGCAGTTCCATTGATGAACTTACCCAGGTCACAGAATGGGTCGCCGGCATCACAATATGCTCGAATACGACTGCCAAGCGCCTCGCAGGCACTGGTGTCGGCGCGATAGAACATTCCATTACCAGTATTGTTCCAGCTTCCATAGTTATAGGAAGTATCGTTTCTTTGCGAAGGGTCGCCAAAAAGAACGATAGAAATGACTTGGAAGGATCAGCACATGGTAGTACAGGCAAAATTGATTTGCACTGACCATTTTTAGTGACCTCCTCCGATAAAGGATACGACAAGGCAATAATTTGTCCCAATTCCGGTTTGGTATAGGTCTTATTTTCGGTCTGATCTAATCCCCAGATCGCCGGCATCCCGCAGAAGTTGTTGGTGGTGATATGAGCACCCTGTACATAATGTCAACCTCCTGTCACGCCGAGCATAAGTGCAGTGCGTACCTGAGAGTACCAGAACCACGCCATCTTCGAATCTGGACAGGTCTTGGCATACTCAGTGATGGCCTTCCTCACAAGCTGGGTACCATTAGCCACAGATAAGGCATAAACAGGGTCGTCCCAAGTGGCCGGGTACCGTATCGCTTCGATGTCAGATCCCTCAATCTGGGAAGCGATGTCATCGACCAGGGCCTTCGTTACGCCGAGGTCAGTGAGCTCCCCGGTTCCACGAGAAACATTTTCAGCCCTTTGGCGCATTTGAAAGTGGAGTTTTGGGCAGGCACGGCTACTGCGCCGATGATGCCGGCCATAACGATGTGGATTACCCGACGCATTGTTGCAAAAGCGCGGGGGAGCTGAGTGAAGGGCAAGGAATTTATAGAGATGAGATGGAATACTACTATACCAACATTGGGGTTCCAAGCCCTTTATAGTCTTTGGGCACTTGAATCTCTACAAACTGCGAGTGCTACACATCAATGAAGACTTTCAGCCTGCTGCAAAATACTGTAAGGCCCCACAATATACCAGAAGGGGATCCATCTGGCGCCGGTCTAAGCGTGCAGTAGGGCTGAGCACCTACTGGCCTATCGGCATCCGTATGCCATGACATCAACACGAGGCCAAAGTAATGCCGAGACCGGGACTACTGCCAGTCAGATACATTTCGATCGTAGGCCGCCAAAAATATAGCCCAGAAGTTCAGCAAATTCGAAGCTATTAGCTAAAAGTATTCTAGTTGGTAATAATCGCGAATGCCAAGGGGCACTATAAATGCGGATTCAGCTTTTCTGCGCATCGCATAGCTTACAAAGCATGATTGGAAGCCAAACAACTTGGATGTTATTTGGATTTCTTTGGGCACAAGGACGGTATCGGATCAAAAACTTCTGCTTCGACCTGAGATAAGATAATCCCAAGCATGGTTTCAATTCATCATGATTACACCCCTAATAGCTATGATTTTGATGCTGGCTTGAATTGTTGTACACTGAGCTTATTTCACTCATTAATCAATCTTGCAGTTATCGATGTTATTCTGCCATTCCAATGAAACATATTTCGGAATGAAGCTATTTGTCGTGAACTCCTTGGGAAGATAAAGGCGCGAGTCGCTGATCGAGTAAGCTTTGGGTGGGTTAGCCGTATTCAAAGCAGTAACAATCCTCCCACCAAGGAATTCCCAGAAAATCAAATTCACCTTCTCCGGCTCCCCATCCGACGGGAACCCGGCGGTAGCTTGGACATGCGGGTGCTGGGCACATGCTGGAATCAGAGAATGGGGAGTGTCATCGCCATCATCACCGAGGTCATCACAGGTTACGTAGCCCGGTGTGGGCGTGTGTGCGTGAAGAACACGTCCGAAGAGGACTTTGGCTTCAGGATCTCAGTCGCGTTGTGAGGCGAGGGGTTGTCGCACTCATCGTAGCCGAGCATTTGGCTTGATATTGTGTCGACGGTTAGAGACCGCTTGGACTTTTTCAAATTGTTGATGTATTCGGGCACTTTCGAAGCTTGCGAGTAAGGGACGTCGGGGATATATGTGAATGGTTGCGTGTAAGGGCACACAATATAGGAATCATCCACCGTGAAGGGTCCCTTGACGAGGTCGTATCGGATAGCTCCTTGATTCACGATGATCATTCTGGAGTTTAGAGCGCGATACGGGTCGACAACAGCGGCCGCAGCTGCCTTTTGCACTAGAGTGTATATATTGCCCTCGTCGCCGAACGGCTTGCAGGACCATGCAGTATGTCTGTGGCGCGCAACCGTACACATAAATCAAATTGTGACTCTTGCGAGCGTCGTCGATCCTTTTGGTCACGTTGAGTCCGTTGGCAGTTTTGAATTTTTTTGAGATCCGGATGCATTGTAAGAGAAGGTGAGTCGATTCCAGTCCAGGTACCACCGTGTCAATTTCATCTCAAATGTTTTTTTCTTGGGACAAGACGCGTCAGTTGACTCCACCGTTGCTGGCTCCTCGGAGATCATGTAGCTGGCCTCGGGTCGTGTCGCTCGTGCTTCGAGTGGCTGTGTTTTGATGCCATCCAAGGAAATCCAGCTCACTGTATCGCAATATTTGCCAGATTCTATCGCCGATGACTTCTTGTCATAGACGTGGAAATCGCGACGGTGCGTATGGCCTCCAAATCCCTGTACGGGGACTTCAGGGCGCGTGTCTCGGAGAGTCTTCATGAGAAGAGGGAAGCTACTTTCACTCTTAGGAATTCCGGGCTTGCCTGGATTGTGTCCGATGAATACAAAGAGATCGATATCAACCCGATTGACTGCATCCTTGAACCAGCTCTCTTGAATCATTTCGGCTGCTGGTTGAATCCTGGTCATGTTCTTGTTGTTATTCGTCCCATCTAGAATAACACCAAATGCCATGACCCGGATGCCTTTCTTGGTGGTAAAATATCGGAACCTGCTGCCTATCGATACCCATTCTTTTGTAGCAGGGTCGTTGTCTTGACAGTTCTTGCAAATGTCAAGGTTGCTTGTGAGGTACTTGCCGCCATACACCTTGGCGAATCTGGAGAATGTTTCATACGCCACATCAAACGCAATGAGCTCATGACTTCCAGGCGTGAGAAGATCCTAGTCGATGTTTTCGAAGATAGGGTTCGTGGTCTCGCCGTTGGGCTTGGTCGAGTCGCTGAGGCCATTGCCGTCGTGCAAATCACCTGGAGCGCAACGGATTAGTCTCAATTCAAATATTTCTTGGTAAAGTGACTCACCGGTATCAATAAGCAAAAGGCCAACATCCTTCTCAGTTGCTCTATCGCGCATGTGTTTCGTGAAGGACACAAAACCACCCCAATCCGCGCCATAGTTGCGCTATTTGATTATGTGCTTCGAGCCAACCATGACTGTCGGACATATGAATGAATTTGATTTCACTCCAATTCAAAGGTCCTCTCGGCTGTGTGGTCGAATCCAGAGCCAGGCTGCATGCGACGCATAGACCTTGGGTAGACCGATGGTTCTTCCTCTCCTTCGCAGGAGGAACATCCAGAGACAGTGGATACGGCGAGGGCCAGATTTAGCAGAAGATGAAGTGCGGCCATGGTCACTCGTGTCCACGAGGAGCAATGAAACGCAGACGGTTTAACGTGCGGGGTCCACCATTGGGGCTTGGTCGTATTCTTTGATTGTCCAGCGCCATCGCAATCTTTTCTAATAGATTTTTCCTCTAGGGATTCATCCAAAAGTACATGATACCTATTCAGGTGTTCTGCATCAGCATCTATCGAGCCACTTGTTCTACCAAGCCCTTGCATGAAGCTCAGATAAGCAGACTCTATTATTGCATCTATAAGGTGATGAACGAATCATGGATGAACCTAGAAGAAAGCACCTCATATCTTGCATTCGCAAAGAAGATATGTACAACTTGCCGGACACCCCCTAGACATCATAGAACATGGCAGGCTGTATCGGAAGAATCACCAAATATACACAAAAAGCCAGGTTCAAGGCAAATAAATCAAAAGGACAAACAGACACCCAGAGGACAAGGCCTTGGATATACGATTGTCGAAGAGAAGAGAAAAGAAAAGACTTGATGAGACCAAGAGAAGGCGACCAAGACATGAGCGCTCTCGAGCAACAAATGCTCAATTAACACAACGCACCGCGTTTTTCTCTAACATAAGACATATTTTGAGTCCCACACAAACTACCAGGAGAAACTCTCCTCGACGTAGTCCACATTGGTCTTCTTCTGTCTCCTGCGGCAGACCTTGCGCACATCATCACTCAGGCCTCCGTTTCCACACACCAGTACACCCATGGCACCGACTTGGTTCTCAACCTCCATTCCGACAAGAGTATCAATGTTGGGACGACCGGGGAACATCTGCACGGTCGCAGACGGGCTCTGGATTTCTTTGGTGTTGCGCGGGCGGGTAACGAAAAGCATGATGCGGAGGACTTCGCGACGGCGGTCCATCGCCAAGATACTGGTCATCCAAGGCCGGATCCACTCCAGGTGCTCGGGCGACTGGATGATCCAGACAAGGGTAAGGCGACGGCAGGCGACAGTACCCTCTGCGAAACCAGCCACAAGGTGACGGACGAAGGGAACGTGGTGGGTGATGCCAACACCACCGGCGAAGAGCATCACTGTGCCGTAGGAATCCATGGTGTGAATGTTGCCATAAGGTCCCTCGGCGAAGGCGCGGAGGGTGATTCGGTTACCAAGGGCGTTCGAAGCACGCTGGAACAGCTTGTCGGTAAAACCTGTACGGCGACGGACCAACAGGGAGATGGTCTCCTTCTGGGGTCCAGCGATCAAGTCTTGCTTTGACATGGGAAGAGCCTTCTCATCAGTCATTGCGTCTTCAGTCTCACTCCAGCCAACGGAGAAGGGGTGTGATGTCCACCAGCCAACCGCTGGGATATAGAGATAGATGTGCTGGCCAGGGCGGAAGGTCCAGGGACGAGCCATACGCAGAGTGATGCGCATCGCATCACCGGGCATAGCTTCGACGGTTGCGGTGGTGGTGCTGCGGCCGAAGTTGTGGTAGAAGATGATGAAAAACCGAGTTGCACGCTGGTAGAAAAGTGTTAGCTTCTGTCATTCATTTGGTATGATCATGGAGCAAAGCTTACCTCCAGAGCCCAAAGAACAATCGCCGCAAGCAGGTAGGCTTTGGCAGTCAAACCGTGCAAGTGAACCCAGAGGCAGCCGAAGGAGACGGCCGCAGCAACGAAATGAAAGTGGACGAAGACTTCATAGAATGCATGGCGAATAGGCGACGGGGAATGCAGCATGAGCGCGACGAACGCAGCAGTTGCCTATAAGAGAAGGTTAGAGACGTGCTCATTTAAAACATAAAGGGGTCAAAGGAGTCAATACATACTCCAAGGCCAGTATACAAGAAGCTGCTTGACGCAAGAGCCATGCCGACAACCTTCCAGTTCGCTGTAGAAAATTAAAATTAGCTACCCACATAAAAGTGCCCGTATTGTGTACATGTACTTACCTTCATGAGCCTTGGGGATCATCCAGGCAAGAGTGTGAGCAACACCCTCCAGCACAACGATACGTCCCAGCCACCGGTGAAGCAGGTTCCAGGTGTCAAATGGGACATGAAGCAGAGCGATCAGGGGTTGTTCCGGCCAGCCATGAGAACAAGCGGAATCAAGTTGACCGTAGCCATGGTTCCAGTCCGGTTTCGAACGATGTCCGCTAGGGTGTCTTCTTCAGATGCGTAGGGAGTAGTCACCACACAGAGAATGACATTCATGGCAACAACTCCGAAGACGAGGATACCGTGGAAGCGACTGGGGAGGTTTCCCATGTTGATGGCAGTGGAGATCTGGAACTCGCGATTGTGGCGGACACCAAACAGGGGAGCATAAATCAGATGCTCTTTGAACCAGCTGAAGGTGTTGTGTGCAGGCACAAAGTACCGCTGCTTGTCATCGGTAAAGCTTGACAGTCGTCGCAAGTGGCCGGAGAATCGAAAAGCAAGAGACCAAACATACATCGCGGCAGCCGCACAGCCGAGGGCGAGAATGGTGTAGCGAGCGAGATCATCGTTCACGGCTTCGTACCATAGGTCCATGGCGCTCTTTTCATGACCACCTCGTTTTTCGATGTCCATATCAGCGGCGCTGCTCAATCCGACGAGCGATAGAGTGAGAATAAGATGCTGCATGATATCGTATTGGTGATAGCTGTTCACGGTCTAGAGGAAGGTTCTATCTTCTTTTTGGGCAAGGCCAGCTTGCTCCAGGGGGTTAGGCTAAGCACGAAGTACGTGTTATCAAATCCCCAGACTGTTGAGAAGGGATGGAAGACTTCCGTCCGGAAGTGTCGAGTCCAAAACAACACCAGGCTGCTTGGGGAGAAGAAAGGTCGTGAGCGCAAAGGGTACCAGCTGGTCGTCGGGTGATTTGACGATGAGGAGCTGGAGTCGAAGACAGGCCCTGCCTAGAATGAGCGTATCGGTCGAAGTGAATGGGAATGGGCATCTAATTGGAATACGGTGCCCCTCCTCAATTGCACTCAGCAGCAAGCCAAGGAATGTCAGACCGACACGGATATTTTCCAGAGGATTCTCTGTTGTCGGGCAACGAAAAGAATGCTGGTCACTCAGTCACTGCGATAGAAGAAGGAAGGACAAAAACGTGGATGGTTCTAGCCCACCACTTGAATGACTATTGTCAGAGAAACGAAGTGCGACAAAAAGAACGAAAGACGCAAGACAATGCGGATTGTCGTGCAGAAAGAGAAAGTAAGAAGAGGCAAGCCCTCACAAGGGGGGAGAAACGAAGAAAACACGGTCTATTTTTTTCCCTGGCGTCCACTCTTCCTGAAGGGTGGGGAGCAATGAGACAGGCCAAGTGCCGCGCCGGGGCCAACACGGCGCAATATGTAAAATCCAGCAAGACTAGGCCGAATGGCGTTCGCACGAATCGTGGATATCAGATTATCATGTCATTGATTACACTTCCGAACTATGTCACAGTGGGAGGGGCTTTGGCGCCAGTCCGTTTCCTCCAGATCTGAGGAATGTCCATCCGTACCAGCCAGCGGTCACAGCGCAAGGGAAACCCAGGGCCGAACCAGGTCGGCAGGGCCGCAGGATGGGGGCGATCGGATCGAATCAAGAGCAGCAGGGAGCCGTCTGGGCGGCACTGGCAGCGTCGCCATCCTGAACAAACTAACATACGACACGCGACAGGTCAAGGTAAGCTGGACGCAGGCTGTGGCGGGCCGCGATGAACGAGTGTGACTGGTTCGCGCTGAAACACCCAGTGAGCGGACAGAGGCTAGCATGAATCCATAGACGCGAGCTAGACTCTCGTCGATCCTCGTCAGCGACGCCGGGATGTTTGAGAAGTGCCCTTGCGTTATTGGTGGGCCAATACACTGGCGACCGGTGGAGAAAGGGGGAGGCAAAGTGCGGAGGAGCCTGACAGCGTGTGCATCCGACGAGACGTCAGTGTTTGGCGTGTTTGATGTGTCGAGTCGCCGGGCACTTAGAGCCCACCCCTGCACGATGGCATCACATCCAGCAAACTGCCTCGATATTCCTCCGAACATGTAACACTTGCCATCGGAAGCTGATAAACAGAGAGGGAGCTGCCAGCCAATGTGGTTTTTCGCTGCGGTCGCAGGGGCTGTCGCGGTGGCTGGGAGGTAAGCGGAGAAAAGGAGCGTCGACAGGCGCGAGATCTTGGCACTTCATTTATGTCAGACCTTTAATCTCCCGCGCTCTCCATCCCAAAAGAACCATGCCCGCCATGTGGATAGTCTATTTATCCCACGAATAGTGCCGGCAGTCGACTTGACAGGCGGCTGAAACAGTGAGCCCTAGGGAAAGCTATCGCTACATCCCATGCAGGCTCTTGCTGACCTCCGACAGTACTATTGCTAAATCCAGTGTGTGCGCCGAATCCCTCTCGGCGAAGCCCATCCTGTATGCCGCAGATAGAATGGCATCCTCAACAACCGAAAGAAAGAGAAAATCCCAGGTCTAGACGGCTCCCAAGTCTCATGACGTTTCGATCGACAGATGTCACATCGTAACCTTAGATCCAAAACACAGGGACTGCCGATCTCGAATATCAGACACAAACCAGTTCTCCGCGAAGAAAAGCCTAGTCGCTTGCCAATGGAAATGGAACCATTTCGCCGGTCAATAGCATGCCATCAATTAATTACACATGCCACCTGATTCCGTATGCGGAGAATGCACCGGCTAGGCCCTTGGGTGTCTGCTTGCCCCATCGCCTCCCAGCCTGCTTCCTCACGTGGATTCATTCTATGTGTCGCTCTATTGCCGATAGTGCTTTCCTCAATGTCAACCCGACACACGCCTTAAGTCGTGTCAGAGAACTCATTGAATGAGGGTTTCGACTGCAGACTTAGGCTGCTTCCGCCGACGACGAGGAGCAAGACGGAACAGACTCATCGTGTCAGAGGCCAGGGCGGCTTGCGAAAATTGCAGTAGCAGCGAGCAAGTACCTGCCTCCATAGGTAGAAGTACCCATACAATTCAGGGAAATGGATCCCCAGCGATCCACGCGACCACGAACAGGCAAAATCAAAATAAATGATAAGCCCAACAAAACCAGAAGGCTAATGTACCCAGAATTCCAAGATGACGCCGGTCCTGCCTTAACCACGGAATCATACTATCGAGAGCCCCACCCCCAAAGCGGGCCCAGCCTTATCCACTGTTTCCCTGGGAAATGAACTGCCATCTCGACCATGCTTGGTCGAGGTCGGTTGAATCAAGTTGTCTTAAGCCACTCCCATATCGAATGATTCCCGTTCACAATGTAAAATGTGATGTGCAGTTGGAACCATGGGTCGTGATTTTTGTAGATGGGAAAACTTGAAATTCAGTCAAGCGGGAGTTTGACGTTATCCCCAGCTCAGAAAGCATATGCGTGTACTATCCCAGTGGTCTTACTCGACTGCTACGCACTGAAGACCATAAAGAAATGGTGGGAATATAGCTTTTTTAAACATACATTGGAGATCATCATCTTCTGGTATCACAGTGATTTCAATGAATTTCTTGAGGATCCGGTCGAGGTTTTGCATGATATCTTTGAAGCCCGAATCTCCAATACCGTCCAGGGAAGTTGCCAGGCTTGTCATGGACCCTTAGTAAGCGTGAGCAGATTCCTGTTAGGATCCGCCTATCCTTGTCCTGAGAGTTTCCAAAACTCAGCCGCTGGATAGGGGTTTGAGATTTGACAGTCGGCGGAGCCTGCATGCTTGTTCTGATGACCAGCAGCCTGGCCAACTTGTAATTTGAATGTCGGGTGGTAGAAAGAGAGGTGATAACAAAGGTCAAAGTGAAAGAATTGAGAGAGATGAAGTGGGAGAAGTGGGAGAAGTGGGAGAAGTGGGAGAACTTCTCCAAGTAGGGACATAGCGCAGCTCAGTATTTGCTCCCATACGATTAGGTGAGAATAGGAGAATAGGACTTGCTCATGGTCTCAAGCTCGAGAATCTCACCTTGAAGAGAGGAAAGATAAGGAATTATTTCTAATGGAGTGGAAGCTAATGATACACGGTGAATAAGAATAAAGTAACGCCAAATTTAAGATGTGGGGTATCAATGTAAACTAAACAGCAAGAAAAAATAAAAATAAAAAATAAAAAAAAAATAAAAAAAAAATAAAAAAAAATAAACAAATAATGTGCTTTGCACAAGCATATGTTCACTTCTCACAAAAAGCTCAACTCATCGTCACTTTCCTCTTCCTCAATGTCTTCCCCAATGACCCCTCGTGGAGGAGCGGTCGATTGTTGGTGATTAATGATCACCACCTCGACCCTACCTCCATACATTGAACTCATAGGCCGGGGGCGCTTGGCCGGGCGAGTGGCAGAGGACTCGGCCTCCTCGGCACTCCGCTTTCTTCTCGACGAGGAGGGCATTATCAAGGAATTAAGGGAAGTATTGGACCTCGTCATCATTCTCTTGGCTGGCCGAATGGGCGAGTCATCCACTGCCTCGACACGTCGCTCCTTTCCAGTCTGGGATGGCGTCGTTGGTGAAGACGAGGGGGTCTGACTTCGGGAGGGATTGGCAGAGCTTTCCGATTCCGGCGAACTGCTGTTTGAGGAGCAGGGCGGCATCGCAGCCATTGACCGGCGGCCTCTGATGATCACTTTGGGTCCTGCATTCTGCTTTGTTGCCGGCGTGCGAGCCACCCACTCGCCGATGCTCTCCTCATAGCGGAAGCTATCGTTCGTAGTGTCGAGGTTTGTGTCCTTCTGGCGCTGAAGCTCAATGACCGCTTCCTGCACCTCGATAGCCCAGTCGTGGTCATCTTGATCGTGCGTCTCTTCCGCAAACTGCATGGCAGCTTCCACAGCGACTTTGGTGACCAAGGTGAAGAACTTGGGAGTATGGGCAGCGTCAGCCAGATGCGCCAGCCGCGAAATCATGCGGCGAGTCTCTCGACTCCTTTCGAGGTTTTTGAGCCATTGGAGATATGGGTCTCTTTCTTCCAGACTTTGGTCTTCAAGTCTGCGTTCGGGTGGCGCTTGGTCGGATGTCGCTTGGCCGCTGCCTAGGGTTGCACCACCAAAATAGCGAAGAGATCGTCGTACGAACGACGACATGTCTTTGACCAGTTCCGGTGCAGAGAGGTTTCCAGAGAGCTCCTCAACTTCGGGTGCAGCGGCCAGAATGAGTTCCTCATCACGAGCGAGAATGGCGTCGTTGCATTTAACAAGGCAATCTGCCAAGAGGATACATCCTCGTCGTATCAACTGATGTTTCGTGAATCCTTCAGTGGTTGAGGATCTGGAATTCAGTTCTGAATTCGCCTCAGAGCAAAGACGACTGATGAAATCACCTGCTGCCGTCTTGATCACCCCCTGATCATTTCGAGCTTCCGAGCCAGGAGCACGAGATCGTGAGATGTGCATACCGCAAAAAGCGGCCAAAACACTTGTGCATTGATTCGACAACGCCTCTGTGACTCGAACCGGGCAGGGTTCATCCTCACGAACACCGGGAGGAACCCAGTCATTCACGGTGTAGGCAGCTCGCCTAGCTCTGGGTGGACCTAAATCACGCGCAAGCGGGCGAGGTGGGTGTCTGATGGGTTTGGCTGCCCGTTGAACATCACTTGCAAGATACAAGACTGTCCTTATCAACTGGCAAGCTGCATGAAAGTCGTCGTCTTGCACTGAGGATGTGATAACCGCCTTCTTCATCCAGTCCACCCAGACATTCGTTGCCATCCATTCGGGAGTCATTGTGCCAGAAACGAGAAGCTTTGTGAGCTCATCGAACACATACGAGTGGTTGGGCTTGTTCGAGACGCATGCCCCGTATTTGTGGAGTAAGCCAATTGGGTCTGTGAAGGATGGGCTTGGCAATTTTGTCCAGCGAGGGTAATTCCAGACCGTGCGTGTCTTGGATAGAACAAGTGAGAGTAGCTCCTCGAAAATCTCTGGATCGCGGTTTTGACATGTTTGAATCAACGCGCACGCAACCGGCTCCTTGATCCATTTTTTGCGAATCAAATCACTGATCGTCCAAATTCCTTGGGCTCTAACAGCCTCCCGGAGTGGCTCCCATGCTGGTTTACCACAAGCATAGTGGTTCTCAAGGTCGGTATAGCACTCATCACACAAATCCTTGTTCTGTTCCTCCACAGCGACAGTCTCGTTCAACTCCTCTTGCGCTTCGGCAATAACCCTCGGCAGGTGTCGGAGCGTCATAGAAAGCAACGACCGTGCTCCTCGGTCGTGTCGGGGTACCCGAGTATTCTCAAGGAAGTCCTTAAGTGTCCGATCGAAGTTTTGCATGATATTTTTGAAGTCCGGATCTCCAATATCGTCGAGGAATTGTTGCCAGGCTTGTCCTGGTCTTTTCGTATGCGACGATTCCTGGACATTTCCAAAATTTGGCTGCTGAATTGGATTTTGCGCTTGGAGATTCGTAGGAGCCTGCATGATCGTTCCAGTAATCAGGGGTGTGGCCAGTTCAATTGCGCCAGGTAGGGTCGAGTTGGTTTGGGGGCTCTGTGCAGACACCAGCGTTCGTTTGCGTGGGTTTCCGCCTCGGTTCGAGAACTTGTGCTTCAAACGTCGCTTGCTGATTTTCTTCCCCGGGATCCATTTGGGATCGGCATCGTCTGCGTCTGATCCGGGGTTGCTGCCGGCGCGCGCATCATCAGTCGGAACATCGGATTCGAGGAAAAAGTCGTCGTCGGTCTCTTCATTTTGCTCGGGCGAAGGGAATGGCTGCACTTGATTGTGCTTTTTGAGTCGACGGTGAATTGAGGTCAGGGGGCGCAGAATGCGCTTCGCCCATTTCGCAGTCGCTGGGACTTTGGCCGGAGCCATTATGTCCGAAGTTAACGATGTTATGGCGTATGAGGAAAACGGTCAGATGAATTAGGCAACTGTAAGATAGCTCGTCAGACACCTTGTCGAGGAGGGGAAAGAAGAGTGATCTAAAGCGTATTCCTACTCACTGACTTGAGAGCAAGAATAGTGAATGCAGGTAGTGAGTTTCAGCACGGCCGCGGGTGAATGGTCACCAGGCCTGCCCTTGTAACATTGCCAGTAACCCAAAATAATATCCCACCAGGAAAAGATAAACGCGTATCAAATGCAGTAAATAGAAGAGGCACAAGAGAACGCGACGCAAGACTCCGAGGTCCACTGAAGGGAGACCGCGGCGGATCGGAGGCGGCGGGCAAAACAAAGTACTCAACGCGGTGGGTCCCAATGCGGTCAAGCGCCAAGATCGCCTCTTCCGCAGCTTGCAGTACTTCCGACCTGGGTATCAACTATTGAAGAATTCAACGCTATGGTCAAGATGAAAGCGCAAAGCCCTCGACGTTTTAGATACTTAAATCTATAATTAATGTTATTTCGATCTCGAAAACTATACTTCCTGATTCCTGCTAAAACTGCAAAGCCCCATTATCGTAATGCAATTACAACAGGTATGTGATTGGAATCTGAGCATCACATGAGCTCATATATCATTCGAAGTGATTCTAGGTTTGAACCCGAAGAGTGTTCACACTGACACTTACGATTCAACCCCACTACATAATAAAATTTGTACAGTACCAGCATCACATTATATGTGATCAGATCCTGCGGATATAAAGTAGCAAAGGTAATCCGTATCATGTATCGACCCAACTCGCATTATCGTATGCAAAACTCGTAAGTACATAGGGCCGTCCCGTCATCAATCCACAGTAAGATAATGGGCCATAGTATAGTACAACCAAAGCCTGAACTCATTTCCGTGCACTAGCCAGAACCAAGGACAAGATCGAGAGATCAAGAAACATGAAGGGAAAAAAGATCAGAAGAGAGGAGAGAGATCTAGTATAATATAACAGTTTTCCGCTCAAACTTGACCCCGGCCCACCGTAAAAAAAAATCATGGAGTATTTTATTGTTAAGACAAGAGATGACAAGAGAAGAAAATCAAGAAAATTCACCGAGAGCCGACAAATCAGAGAGCTCTGCCAGTGTTATGGAACGGGGAGAATAGATCTATGCCTTGGACTGCTTAGAGCCACGGAGTTTAGGGTTGGCAGTGCGCTTCTTCTGCTTGGTGCGGGAAGAACCGGTCTCGCCGCCTTCGATGAACTTCACCAGCTCGTCGATGCTGCGGTTGTGCATGTTGGGGTCGGCAGCACCGGCACCAGCGGTCTCAGGAGCAGTCTGGCCGACCTGAGGCTGGACGCGAGTACCCAAGGTGGAGACACGAGGGTTGATGTTGACGCGGCGCAGGCGACGGGCCTGGATGTCCTTGGCGTGCTTAGCGATGGACACGGCGTTCTGAGTGAGCTGCTCGAGCCATGTCTCAGCCTCCTTGGTGTTGCGGTCCTCGGGACCGAGCTGAGAAAGGAAGATGTTGTAGGCCTCGCGCATCTTGCCAACAGCAGCCTTGGAGTCCTGGTCCAGAGCGAGAGCCTGGGCCAGCTGGAAGAGGATGGTAGCAGTGTTGATGGACTGCTTGCCAAACAAATTCTCACACACGGACAGCGACGCCTCGAACCACTTGCGGGAGTCGGCGTACTGCTTAAGGTGCTGCAGCATGACGGCGGCGTTGTTCATGGTGGTAATCGAGTCGGGGTGGTTAGCACCGTAGATGATCTTCCAGAGATCCATGGCGTGCTTGATGTACACCAGAGCGGTCTTGGTGTTACCGGAGGCGTGTTCAAAGAGACTCAGGTTGAGGTAGGCTAGGATGGTGTCAGCAGAGTCGACACCCAGCGTACGCTCAGTGACGATGACAGCCTTGCGAGCCAGCTCAACGGCTGCCTCCTTCTCATCGGTCTGGTAGTAGAGCATAGAGAGCTGGTGGTACAGCTTGGCAACCTCGGGGTGGAGGATTCCATAGATCTGCTCGTGGAGAGACAGAGACTCCAGAATGAGCTCCTGGCCCAATTGCTTCTGGTTCTGCATGAGCGAGATACGACCGGCCTCAAGAGCCTCCTCGGCGAGAGCGCTGCGCGGCGAAGCGTCCTTAACCAGGGGCACGATGTTCAGGATATCATCGGCGGTGATGGAGACGGCAGGCTTGGCCTCGACAGGAGCACGGCTGGGAGACTTGTTGTCACCACCCTTCTTCTTTTTCTTGTTCTTGCTGCCATCATCATTACCGTTTCCGTTGGTAACGGGAAGAACGGGAGCCTCCTTCACCTGATCCTTGGTGAAAGCGAACTCGCGAGCACCAAGCTGGAGACCCAGCTTGATGGCGATATCACGCAGGAGTTGCATGTGGCGGAGGGAGCTGCCCCAGCTCTTCTCCAGAGAGAAGCGGTAACGGATAGTAACCTGCTTCTCAATCTCAGCACGCAGAGAGGCGGGAGTAACCTTCTCGAAGGAGAAATCGCCCTCGGGGTAGACCTCACGCAGCGACTCGTCAATCTCAGCACGGGGGGCAGCGTTGACGTCCGAGCCGAGCAGGCAGTTCAGCAGGTGAGCAATACAAGGGGTGACGAACGGAGCGGGCACATTGCGTAGGTACTGGTGAGAGACATGCTTAAAGGCACGGGCAACCATCTCCTGGATCAGAAGAGTAGACAGTGCCGCCAGACGGGGGCCCTTCTCGCTGGAAAGCTGAGCGAGCTTACCCAGGTAGCGCATGTTGATACCACGCTTGTGCAGGAGCTGGGTCAGGGACTGGCCATCCATGGGGAAGCCAACATCACCGTCGTGGAGGTCCTTGACCAGGTCGGGGATGACCTTGGAGCGCAGGTGGTCGCAGGCATCACGAACCTCATTCTCGTCCTCGGCCCACTGTTCCTTCTCTTCCTTGGTCTGGGGAACCTGGCCGCTGAAAACATCAGGGTTCAGCGAGAGCTGGAATCCAGAGATGTCCACACGCTCCTGGTCGGCAGACTCCTCAGTCTTCTCCTCGGAGTCCTCCTCTCCCTTCTTCTCCTCGGCCTTGGCGACGCGGCGGCGCTCAACCTCAGCCTTGACGTACTGGCTCATCTTGTGGCGCCAGTAAGACTCAACAAGCTCCAGTCGCAGAACGGACATGCGGTGGGGGTAGGCATCGCTGCCGTCCTCCTCCTGCCACGAAGCATCCATTGGGGCAACGCGGTACAAGTCGAGCACGTACTTGCGGCCATCGGTTCCCAGGAGACCTTTGGTCTCAACACTGCCCTCCAGGTCGTGGCGCTTGCCGTCCTTGTCCCAGACGGGGTGCTGCTTGATGCGGAGAGCCTTGGAGAGCTTCTCGAAAACGGGCTTGAAGTCGGGGTGGGTAGCGACGACCTCCTTGCCCTCAACACCACCGTAATCGATCTGGTGCTCACCGGGCTCGCGCTGTTTGAATATACCAGGGACAATGCTCTGACCAACAATACGCTTGCCAAGGTAGTCAACAACAACGGTACCGGGGGTGAACAGACCCTGGATGTCAAGCTGGTTCACAGCCTTGATACCCAAAACATCCTTGCCAACGGCCACACGAGCAGCCTCGTCACCACCCTCGGAAGTGAAGGTGCCAACACCGTCAGCACCGAAGGAGTAGAAGATGTTGTTGTAGACGAAAATCTGGGCCTCCCGGGCTTCAGTGGGGTTCAGAGGAGCGACCTCACCGCGGGCGACCAGAACGGCACCACGAGCGGCGGCCTCGTTATAATCGGCGAAAAGCTTGGACGTCAGACGCTCGCGGAACACACGGTCCTGGACAGTATCGCGAGGCAGCTCGCGAGTAGTCTGGAACTCCTCGTTCCAGTCACGCAGGGTCTCGGCATTGTCCACGCCAGAGATCAGGTAGCTCTCCTGCGAGCGAGTGATGTCGGCCTGGTGGGCATTCTGACTCGACGAAACCGGGGCGACGAGCCATGGGCTGTTGGGGATGGCGTTCTGGAAGGGGAAGGTTGTCAGGAGATCCTTCTGATTGTTGGATTCCTGGAGAGCCTCGAAAGAGGAGTTGAAGGAGGCCGACAGTTGGGAGATCAGGGTGAGGAGAGAGTGAGCACTGCCCTTAACGCCCTTGGGCATGGGCTTGGGGAAGGGGTCGAACTTGGCGTTGGAGTTCTTATTAACGTAGAAGCCCGACACGTGAGCGGTGATCTGGAATTGCTCGCCCTCGTTGGTCAGGACCTGTAGATAGAGCAGGTGGCCCTTCTGGCGGAGGTGGTAGGGGACCGGGTTCCACGCGGAGAGCGAGATCGACTTGACGGTCTTCGGCAGAGGCGATTCAGGCTTGGGAAGGATGGTCTGCAGCGACGAAGGGCCGGACAGGTTGTACTTGAGCAGCGAGTGATCCTTCTCCGACTCGGCAGCGGCAAGAGCCTCGGCAGAGATGGAGTCGTGCAGCGAAAGACCAGCAGAGATACCATGCAGGCTGTCCACACGGTCACCCGCAGCACCAACGAGCTCTCTCAATCGCACAATGTGCATGCGGGCCTCCTTTTCAGTGTAGGGATCCTCCACCAACACAATCTCGGAGTCGGCCTGCAGACCGGGGACCTCGGACAGCTCAACGAAGTCGTTGATGCGAGTTCCGTTGAATTCGAGGTGGAAGCAGGTGTACTGGAAGGTACCGGGCAGCTCGACGATGGATTGGCGAACATCTTGAACCTGTTCTTGGCTTGACACCTAGGGAAAGCAGAAGTATTAGCGAGCAGTCCAATTCAATTGCGAGATAAAAGAGCAACACCTACCATCACCTGGATCTTGTACGGCTCATGGGGAAGCTTCACGGAGATCTGGAAGAGGCCTTGACACGAGTCAGAACGTCATCGCACCGGGTTGTCTCAAAAATTGTCCTATCCCACATACCACCAGCATTGTCGTCCTCGGCGACACCCTCGGGGTGATCGCCGTTGGTCTGCTCCTGCGCAGTCGGGGGAACCTCTGTACATGACGGTCAGAATCGAGTGTCCAGAATTGCGATATGCCACGTTTGTATGCTGCGATCCGCGGTAACGTGTGACAGTGTCGAGCCAGGATTCGAGGGGTAGGCGGACCTTTCGAGTGCTCCAACTCTCCATTGGATTGAGCCATTATGTCTGATTGATTAAGTATAGCTCCGGCAAAATCAATTTGCGACAGACAGCTATCTCACACGCGATGCGGAGAGTCGAGACGAATGCTCAAGGACGGGGTAAAATCGGTAAAGACCCGCGAGGATCGAGAAAAGAAAAAAGGTCGCTATGGTACAAGGAACAAGGGTGAACCAAAAAAGCCAAAACCCCCGTACCCCAGAAAGATCGATGCAAAAAGGAAAAAGGTAGTCCGGTGAAGAACGAAGCGGTAGAACGGAGAAAATTTCGCGGATGCGGCATACCCTCGGAAGCGCTCGGGCGGTGGGTTCGGGGAAGCCACCGCGGAGAGAGTGCTCCACTGCGAAAAGACCGATGTGTCATGATTTCGGGACCATTTAGGAGTCATTATGTACTAGTACCTAGTAGTATTAGGAGCTTAGTCTTAGATGGATGGCTCAATTGAAGGACTGATTGAAGGATAGGCTTGGTACTACTATATGGTATAGTAAATAGTGCTAAGGTGGGCGGCAGGCTAGAGCATGGGGTTATGCACCAGCAGCGAAACTGAGGCATTATAGTACAGGACCCTTGTTAGGTTATACTCATAGGAAGCACATTACCATTGTAGTATCCGTCGGCGTCATCAGACGTTGGGCATGTACCAATAGGCTCATCCAAGTGTCAGCTAACCTTTATTCGTGCTTCCGTGAACAGAACGCTGGTCGCTTAGCCCCGGCCGCCTTCCCGACAGAAGCAAGTTTTGCACATCTCTCGTCCACCGACAATTGTACGAGGCCTATAGTATAGGAGCACTCTACCAGATAAGGAACACACTGCATTTGCAATAAGAAGCGATATCTGACATGGTTTCCTTTTACGAATTATTTGATTTTGCGCATTGTCTTCGAGGCATGACATAATTGCGCCAGCTCGATGGTTCATCAGGTAGTGCTTGGTAGAACAAAGAACGACAGACCGTAGCGACCAGTTCCAATCAGGACACCCCCAACACAGGGCCAGCACCCCGTTCACGTTACGGGGACTGGCTTGAGATAACACTGAAGCACGTCGCCCACATGACCGCCAAGCCTATAGGACGATCGGGGCTGAGACTCCACCGACTAAGCCACAACGCCCACCCTTCTGGCATTATCTGTGTCCTCCCTCATATTCTCCAGTCGTTCATTCTCTTTCATTTTTCCAGCCGAGTCCGCCAGTGTCTCCGCTGCACGCCGTCTTTGGGTTCCTCCCTGTCCGCTCCCTTTTTTCTTACCTCCCTCAGAGCCATCCCCTGGAGGTGTGGCACCGAGAGTCGCACAGCGTCTATATTGACCTATCCTCTAGCTTTTTAGGAGGTGCATTGATCGACTGGACCTGCATACTCTAACGGTCAGGTATTTGTTGGCAGCCATCTCAGAACAAATCGTTGGTCTGGGAAATCAATCCGGTGGTCATTTGAGACTTGCTTGGTGTACATCAAGCCCAGTCTTCAGCCAAGATGCTATGGACACGGCTCGCGCAACCCCTGTCGCGCACCGCCCGCTCGGGCCTGGCTAGACCACCTATATCGGCCTTGGGTGCTGCACGATTTGTGCCATGCACATTCCAACGATTCAATTCGTCGGATCCCAAAAGTACCGGTCAATATAGTCCTGATCCGACAGATCAGAATGACTCGGACGAGGATCAGGGACGGGGTCGCAAGAGTGACGACCCAACCCTCAAGTCCACGATTCTGAAGATGTTGGAGACGGCGGCGACGACAGCTGCGTCGATTGCCATTCTTGGGTAGGGTTACTTCATCGCCTGCAAACATGGTCATAGCTCCAGGCTAACACCACTTCTAGAATCGCGGGTTACTCATACCACCAGTACTATAAGTACTTGATTCTGGACAAGATGGACAATGCGTTCAATCCAGGCGACCCCGCCCTCGAAATCGCTGGTGTTGTGTCTGGAAAGCATCAGTACCGCCACGAGGAACATTGGGTGGTCCGTGATGAGCAGCTTCGAATCGATGACATCGTATCAGGCCGGCGCCGAGGTCATTACTATCTACTCATTGGCGAGAAGGGCACTGGAAAGACTTCCATGCTGCTCGAAGCCATGCGGAAGATCAACGGCGATGGCTGTGCTATGTTTGAAGCGCATGCCGACCTCGAAATTTTCCGAATCCGACTAGGCAAGGCCCTAGACTATGAGTTCCATGAAGAGTATGCTCAAACCCGGTTCTATCTGCTGCAACATTGTTTCTAAAACTATATCCAACAGCTATATTGGAAGTCTTTTCAGCATTCGTGGCCCCCGCGATACCACAGCCCTGCTGGATATCGAGCGGGCCTTCAACAAGCTGGAGAAGGTTGCTCTGACCAGAAGAAAGAAGGGCTCCCCGCCTCTCGTTCTCATTGTCAACAGTGCCCATCTGGTGCGGGATGACCATGATGGACAGGACCTGCTCGAAATGATCCAACAGCGGGCTGAGCAATGGGCCGCTAGCGGTCTTGTCACAACGAGTAAGCTCTACCTACTTGTCAAATGAGGAAGAACATCGTACTAACTCATACTCTCTTTCAGTCCTCAACAGTGATGACTACTGGGTCTATGAGCGCTTGAAGCGCTACGCAACCCGGATGGAAGTCGTTCCTGTCACAGACCTACCAAAAGACAAGGCCATGAGTGCTCTGAAAAAGTACCGCCAACAGTTCTACAATGAGAACCTGCCGTCCACAGTTCTGGAGCAAGTCTACGACAAAGTTGGCGGTCGCCTTTCCTTCCTGAACCGAGTTGCCAAATCCCCCGACGTCGTGAAGACTTGCGATGAGATTTGTCGCGCGGAAAAGACCTGGATACTCAACAAATGCTGGATACTCGGCATGGAGATGGATGACGATGTGATGGATGAACAGAAGTACTCCGTAAGTAAACCCCTGAATTTCAGGATATAAGTCCTGACATTTTACCTAGTCTGCTGCCATGGTCCTGGCCAAGGCACTGGTCGATCGCGAGAAGGAAATGGAAAAGACCTATGATCCAGAGAGAGGCCATATCCTCCCGGAGATCCCTCTCCATGAAGCACGCGAGATTATGACCCGTGCCGACTTCATCCAATCCTACGATCACGAGAACATCTTTACTATCGACTCCCGAGCTATGGTTCGCGCCGATTCCGTCCCGATGCAACTGGCATTCCGCGAGATCTGTGCCCTCGAGGGCTTTGACAAGCACCTGGACAGTACCCTGACGCGCATTGGTGACATCGAGAGTCTCGGTCGCACACGCGAGCTCACCATCAAGGACCTCTGGGACCAGGGCAAGTACCGAATCGTTGTTCGGGATGTCAAGGGCAAGGAGGCTGGGACGGTGGAATTTGCGGTGGCCGAGCGCGAGGGTGAGGAAGAGGATTAAGCAGAGCCTCGGTCATGTACTTTTAATGTCATCACGTACTACAATCTAGTTCAACCTTTTTCTTTTTTTTTTTATCGCTGGTCCGCCGAGTGGAGGTAGTCGACCTTGAAATTCGCCGCCTTGGAAGCTTCAGTAGTGACATCATCACGCTCTCACCGCCGAGCAAACATTCCACTTTCCAGCCTCCTCTTTCCTCTCATCGTCGGCATTGAACTGCCTTACCTCCTGCAGCTGCAGCGTGCTATTGACAGTCTAGAGCTTACCATGGCACCAAAAAAGCGCACATCCTCCGTGAACGACCGACCCACCACCCGGCGCGACCCCAAAGGCGCCTTGACAGCAATGGCTCCCGCACCGCCTAGTTTGGCGCGCATTCCCTCGCCAGCTCGATTCGCGCTGGTCGTCCTGAGCAGCTTGATTGCAAGCTCAATCCTTTTTACCGCGACAGCTGAAATCACACAGGGCGAGCTCGGTCTGGTCAGCAAACACCTGGAGGAATGGTGGGAAGTGGGGGGACTAGTGGCGTGGAGAGCCGCGGAGGTTGGATTGGCTTGGATTCTCGGTTTTGACAGTAAGTGAACTCTTAACGCACCTATTCATTCGATATGAGCATGGGGCAATTTATCAGAGAAAAAGGAAGGGGGCTAACCTGATGTTCTCTCGTGTAGGCTGGGATGTCGCATCGTTCCTCTTCCTAACCCACCAACCCACCTTCTCATTGCTCTCATTCTTCTACGGCGTGCGTCCAACTTCGACCCTTGCCTCGTACATGATCACCATCCTCTCGACAGTGATTCCATTTGCCATCCTGCGCCAGCCCGCATCCGTCCACGATCTGGCGCGTGCGCCATCCGGCGCCGTGGCCAACCGGGCTATTCTCCAGGACCGGGCCACCACCATCTACACCATTCTTGCCGCGACCTCGATCTTCAGCGTCATTCTCTACAGCAGCTATGCAACATGGCTCCCCGCCCAGCTGGTCGTACACTTTGAGAGCCTCCGCGATATCAGTGCCGCCCACGCCGGCCCCGCTGGTCTTCCCGTTCTCTTCGTGACGCTCATTCCTGCTGGCTATGCCGTGCGCGACTTCCTGTTCGTCAGCTCGACGGGTCACTCCGAGGATGCGGCCGACAAGGAACAAACTGCCAGCCGCGAGGACGAGTACCTGGTTGTAGATTGGTACCGCAAGACCTGGTGCCAACTTTCGACAAAGACCCGGATTCTCGCCTCCCGGACACTCATCCTTGCTACCTGTGTTCTTCTCAACACGACGGTGCAAATCGCAGGTACCATTCAAAATGTGTCTGTTCAGGGTGCTGCTACCTGGGGCGGTCTCTGGGCTGTCTCGACGCTGGCTATTGGTGCTACTTTCGGCTGGATTGAAGCCGTCGACGGCGTATAATCTGTCGTCCTCCGAGCGTGCAAGGTGCAAGGTGTTAGGAGCTTAGGGAATGGTAAGAGGCTCTCTCCAGGGGTGCTCGATGCAGGATGCAAACTCATCCCTTCCATTGTGTGATTTGCTTTTCTTTTTTCAACAGGCAGTTTGCTTTTCAAGGTTATACTATACCACTTACTGTTTCTTGCTGAAAGGCCGCCCATTCTCTCTGGGTGGTGTGCGATTTTCTTACTTGTCTTCTTTTTATCTATGTTTTATACGCTGTAGCTTCAATTCGATACTTTTGTGTCGTTCCTCGAGAGTTTATTCGTGTAAATCTATGGATATCATTCTCGTTAAAATTGGGTATATGGTTGACTCATGAAGGATCTGTATGCGATGATGCACTCAGATGTCAACATGAACAGAAAGGCTTCTCGCAAAAAAAAAAAAAAAAGGCAGAGATCTAAACACCACGAGATCCATCAGGACGATTCAGCTCGACCTCATCAACGGACGAAACATCCCTCTTCGAAGAAGCAGCCGCATCCTTAGGAAGATGCCAGCCAGGATGCAGGACATTGAAGACCGCAACAGCAACAATCATCATCGCACCATCCAGCGCGATAAAGTAGCTTTCATGGGTAATCAAATAACCCGACCAACCCTGCGACAACTCAATGGTACGGTAAATACTTCGAATATAGATACAGAGCACAGAGAGGATCATCGCGCCAAAGAGTGGGATAGCGGAGCCGCTCATGTTCTGCAAGAGACGGAGTCGAATACTACGACGGACGAAGTCTGCTGCGCAAATGACGAAGATGGTAATGGAAAATAGCTGGAAGACAATGCCTGCGACCATGGTGTGTGTTCCGGGAGCTGTGTTGCCGTTGATTTTGCCTGCTTCTGAGGAAGCCATGCCGCCACCGATGGCTTGGACGACAAGTGAGATTACGTCGCAGGTGCAGAAGATCCAGAGGTAGAGGCTTGGTCGGAGGATGGAGGATTCTCGACCCAGGAGTTGGATGAAGCGGCCGAGGATGACATAGATGCCGGCGGTAAAGAATGTGGGTGCTGTAGTTCATGTCGGTGGTTAGTGTCTGTCTACACGGATAGTAGTAGGCTATTATCAGAGTACTCACCAATAATGAGAGTGGAAATCTGCATCAGGAACGCAGTTGTGTTGTAGGGACATTTCGAGGACCACGTTCGACCGGCCCATCCGAGTACTTCGACCATACATCCGATGCTGAAAACCGATGCCCACCACGTTCGTGTCCACCAGAATTGGGCAGTGTGAAAAATCATCGAAAGGCCGAAAAGAGTGCAGTAGGCGATGCCGGCTCCCAGGGTCGGCACGTAGCCATAGGAAGTACCAAGTCCTTCAACCTTGGCATGGCAGCCGACGGCGAGTTGTTCTCGCCAGTCCGTCGTGGAATTGGACATTATAAAATGCACACCGGTTAACGTACAAGGTCAGGTCGAGATTAACAGAGCCAAAGAATGCAGACAACTGCTGTGAAAGGGACAGGGGACTATGCTTCGCGGAAGACGGCGGATATATGAGATTCGCAAGGCCAATTTTTGAGGTTGATTCAGGCCGATCAACAGCCGTTTCGAGGCTCGATTTGCAGCAATGGCTGTCAGAAATTCGATAGGAAAAGAGAGTCAGACGAAGGGTCGTGGGAAATGTTTTATTAGGGTGCTGTCCTGGAAAAGAGTATATAATGTAGTAAAAAAAAGAAAAAAGAACGAAGTATATTAAGCTGAGCCACGGCGCTAGCTCTGAGATAGGAAAAAGGCACTCGCTAGCAACTCCCAAGCTTGCGAGGACAGAATTCGCAAGATATAATTGTCTCCGGCGGTTCCCACCAGCGGAGTAGACAGTACGCCAGCCGACGGGCGAACCAGTGCCGAATCCGCCATGACTCGCGACATGTCGGAGCTGGGATTGGGCGAACGGTGGGAAAAATTGAACGAGTGGGGGTTCAACCGCAGAGTGGATACGGTCTGCCCTGCGACATTGCATTGTGCCCTATGGAGCATGACATCAAACGCGTGCCAGCCCAGATCTAATAGGATTTCGGGCCGACAGGTAGTTCCGTTCAGCCCCAGCGTCTTGGTAGAAGGAGCGTGGTGCTGTTCTGCCCTCGCAAGATCCTCCCGTTTGGGTTTAGCCTCGCCGCCGCCAAGATGGGACGGTTCTGCGGCGACTGCTTACGTCCGCCCGACATATCCGTGTCCGCGTCCGAGCTGCGAATTTTCATCGGCCGTGGCGGTCGTTTGAGTCCAGCTGTCGGCCGCTAGGCATCTCAATTCCATGTTACAGTGAAGCCCGAGATCGCTTAGCATTTGGGGCAAGAACGCGGTATACATGAGGCTGAACTCGGTGTAGTTTCCTGGCTTACGTTTTGGCTTACTGCGCCTCGACCTCTATGCGGTAGCTGGATTGACCCGCGGGGAGCGGAGACACTAGACCGATGGCCGATTCTCTCGAATATATCCGAGTCCGATGCAACATGAAACATGGTCTAGACTCTCCTCTGTGTGGCAGGACATTTTAATACCAGCCCATGATATCAAGATCCAGGAAATGGCTACGCCTAGTGCACACTGTATAAGTCAAGCAGCAAACATTCCGGGGTTGTGACTTGGTGTCTGTGCTGAGGCAGAAAATCTCATTCGACGATTGAAAGTAGACACATTGTCATGGCCTTCTAATGGGTCTATCTTTATGTAAATTTGGGCATGTTGTACATGTCACCGGGATCTACAAGTCTGATTAGTCTCACTCACTTCAAATCCAAGTTTTAGCACGCAACTTACCCTGTTGGTTATCAATGATATACTTCCTCGTCTCAACAATAATATGATCAAAATCCGCAACCAGCTCATGCTGATGCATCCGCACCGTCTCGTTGCGCTTCGCCGCCCCACGAACAGCCGCCTTCGCCACGTGGTAGCGCGATGTCTGGTTCACGAGCATCATATCAAATGGGGTCGTGGTACTACCCTCTTCCATATACCCGTTAATCGAGACTCGCTCAAGACGCGGACGACCGAAGAGCAGCCCCTGCAACTCGGTCGAATATCCATGGTAGTTGAAATGAATGGGCTTATCTTCCGTGAAGAGGCTATCGAATGCCTCCGTTCCCATGGCATGCGGGTGCTCGCCTTCATTTTCAAGGATCATCAGGTCGGTTACGTTGACAACGCGGACGCGCAAAGATGGCACGCGCTCTCGCAGAATTGCAGCCGCTTGAATGACTTCGAACATGAGCTCGACGCCAATACCTACCAACACCACGTCGGGATCGAGTCCATCGTCGGTGCTGCAGAATTTCCAGACGGAGGCGCCGGCCCGACAATGGTTTTCTGCTTCTTCGGGTGAAAGGTAGACCGGTGTCGGCTGTTTTGAGCCGACCATAAGGTTGACGTAGTTTTTTGACTTGAGGCAGTGGTGGATCGTGGTGAGGAATGTGTTTGCGTCGGGTGGGAGATAGACTCGGGCGGTATTGCGCTTGAGATTGAGGACGGAGCCGATGAAGGATGGGTTCTGATGGGAGAAACCATTGTGCTCTTGGCGGGCCCAGGTACTGGTTTCGATATAATTGATGCTGCTGACAGGACTGTGCCAATTGGTTTCATTGGCCTGGTGAAATATTGCGGCGTAAGTATTTGAGTGAGAGACGTGTACTTGGTGATTGAACTAACCATCTTGATAAACTTGGCATACTGCACCATCATCGTGTGAATGATACCCAGGAAGCTCTCATATGATGGGAAAATTCCCACGCGACCGGTCAGGGTGTATCCCTGCATGAAGCCCTGACACAAATGCTCGCTCAGAACTTCAATAACTCGTCCTCCACGCGCATTGGAAAATTCATCCCACTGGAAGTTGCGGTTGGTGTTATCAAACACCGCATCAAGCTTATTGCTCTCCAGCTCATCGGGGGAGAAAAGCCGCACACTATGCGGATTCTGGATGAAGGTCTCGTTGATAAACTTGCCAATTGCCTTCATGGCACTTTCTTCCGATCCTTTCTCGACCCCGAATTTCTTCCAGTCGGGAAGCTTCGGCGGCGTATAGCCGTTGTACGCTTCGATGCGTTGACCCAGCTTCTTCGAGTTATCGGTCGGAATGACGGACTTGATCTCGTCGATGATGTCTCCGTCTTCTGTAAATAGATCTTGAGGTTTGTAGCCTGACAGCCATTCTTGCAACAATGCCAACTGTCCTTTATCGGACTTGGCCTTGGGTAGGGGAACCTGGTGAGAGTGAAACGAGCCTTCGATGAATTGACCATCGAGCTGCTTGGGCCCGGACCATCCCTTGAAATAAGTCAGTCAGAAGGTTCATCCCCGACTTTTCGCAAGCAAACCTACCTTAGGAGTGCGCAAAACAAGCATCGGCCACTTCGGCTTGAGGATGGGCTTCCCAGAGCGAGCAGCATGTTGGATCTTGTGAATTTCGTCCACCGCCCAACTCATGGAGCAGTGCAGATCCGTGTCAATGTCGTTGATATTTTCAACGATGCGAACCTGGTATCCATATCCCGTGAAAAGAGCCGTGAGCTCTTTGTTATCCATACAGCCGAAGACGGTACGCTCGCTAATTTTGAATCCATTGACATGGAGAATCGGAAGGACGGCCCCAGACTCTTTCGGATCCAAGTACTTGATTGCGTGCCAAGAGCTAGAAGAGATAATTAGATATTGCTGTTATCTGGGGGTAACCTGTCAAGACATACGTAGCTGTCGGCCCAGTCTCGGCCTCGCCGTCACCGATTATACAAGGAATAATGAGATCGGGGCTGTCCATCACGGCACCGAATGATACAGCCAGGGCATATCCCAGCTCACCGCCTTCGTGGATGGCCCCGGGAGTTTCGGCATTGATGTGGCTCGGGAAACCGCCCGTTGTACTAAATGTCGTGACGAGATTGTGGAGGCCTTGCGAATTGCGCGAGTACTGCGGGTAGAACTTTTCGAGAGAGCCTTCCATCCATAGTGCTGCCAGGATCGCAGGTGCTCCGTGTCCAGGGCCGACGACGTAGAGCATGTCCAGATTCCTTGTTCGGATGATGTAGTTCAGGTGGGAGTATACTAGAATCAGACCTGGGCATGTGCCCCAATGGCCGAGCAATCGCGGCTTGACATCGTCGAATGTGAGGTCTTTTCTCAAAAGTGTGTTATCACGGAGAAAAATCATTGCTGTGACACATTATATTAGCAATTTGGAATGGTTGAATCATATGGTTCCATGGGGGCATCCATGCATTCGACCTACCTGTCGCAATGTAACAGGCCACTCTGCGGAACTTGAACAAGGCGTCGCATGCTTGCTGATTGAGTGTTTCATTGGGCAGCTGGACCTTTAGCTGATCTAAATTATCCGGCAGATGTGAAGGTAACGGTTCGGGATTGGGATGGTCAATGACTTCGCCGGTCATTTTGAAGGCGAGAATGTGCGGCGGCTTGGCGCGGGTGATCAGCAGAGCCGAAAGATCAGCAAAGCATAAAAACGGCAGTCGGCGGGCGAAAAACGAGCTAGAAACAATCGATCAGACGATGTGAGATTTCAAAAGATAAAGAAATAAAGTACCTGGCTGCTTTGATGTATATGGGCGGAGTGCGACCATGAAAACCGGATGGGGTCATGCCGTAACAGGCTTGGCGTTCTCGCCCTGTCGCCTTCGACGTCACAAGTCTAGACCTGACATCACCTTCGTCCACTCCGACCTCAAAGTTCAGGAATAACCTCATTCTTGCGACAGTCCTTTCCACTGCCTGCAGAAACTTCCACACAACCATGCCGAAGTCAATCATGGCCGTCAACGCCGGCTCCTCGTCGGTCAAAGTGACCTTCTATACATTCGAGAACCCGCCCCGCACGATTGCCGATGCCCAGGTCTCGGGCTTCACTGCACCTCCGCCCACCTTCAAATACCAGCGAGGCGATTACCAACACAAGGAGGAGCTGGAGAATACCATCAACACCCCCCAGGATGCTTTTCAGTTTATTCTCCATCGTTGCTTCAACGATCCCGAGCTATCCGAGGTCGCGAGCGACGACGACCTCTCTTATATTTGTCACCGGGTAGTCCATGGCGGCGACTACACGGAAGCACTCGAGATCAACGACGATACCCTGCATCATCTGGAGACATTGGAAGACCTGGCACCGCTGTATGTTGCAAACACATCCGAGAGAATCCATACCTACTAGGTACTAACACCTGATATGCGACAGGCACAACTTCTCCGCCCTAGAAATCATCCGCCTCTGCAAGAACAAACTCCCCAGCGTGAAGAGCATAACCTTCTTCGACTCGTCCTTCCACCAGACCATGCCGCTACATGTAAAGACCTACCCGATCAACCAAGAAATAGCCAAGCAAAACGGACTCCGCAAGTACGGGTTTCACGGAATCAGCTACTCGTTCATCCTGCGCTCCGTGGCCCAGTACTTGAACAAGCCGGCCGAGAAGACTAACCTGATTGTGATGCACATTGGGAGTGGAGCTTCCATTTGTGCGATCAGGGAAGGCAAATCCATCGATACCTCGTGAGTTATCCACCGCGTGGGACCGGCGGAGTCGGGTGGATTTGTTTTGCTAACGGCCTAGCAGGATGGGCTTGACGCCGCTAGCTGGATTGCCTGGAGCGACGCGAAGCGGTGATATCGATCCTTCGTAAGTCATTTCTGGGTCAAATTGTGGATGGAATTGATGCTGATTTTTTCGCAGGCTCGTCTTCCACTATACTAGTGATGCCGGGAAATTGAGTCCTGCGAGCACCAAGGAGATGCATATTAGCCAGGTTAGTAATCAACCGACTCGCGCTGTCGGTCGTAGTTGCTAACCCGCGTTGCAATGTAATATTTAGGCCGAGGAGATTCTGAACAAGCAGTCCGGCTGGAAAGCACTAACCGGAACAACCGACTTTTCCAAAATCGCCATGGAGAACCCGCCCTCAGAATCGCACAAACTCGCCTTTGATATCCTGGTCGACCGGATCCTGGGCTACATCGGCAACTATTACGTCAAGCTCGGCGGGGAGGTGGATGCGCTCGTCTTCGCGGGCGGCATTGGCGAGAAGAGCGCGCTGTTGCGGCGGACCTTGATTGAGAAGACCGGGAGTCTAGGCGTGGCGATCGACTCGGACGCTAATGATCAGGGCCCCGAGGATAAGACCGTGAAAGATATCACCAAGGGCGGCGGCAAGGGGCCTCGAGTGCTGATCTGCCAGACCAACGAGCAGGTGAGTCACTCTGCAAAAGATGTGAGAGAGGTGTGCTCTAATGAAATCGGTAGTTTGAAATGGCGTACCACATTGTTACTACGCGGTCGTGAGCATACTAGTATCCGACTGAGGCGCTGGAGGCTGGAGTTTGGAGTCGGTTGCGAGTTCCCCCGACGACCTGTAGATACTACAAACTACAGCACATTTGAATTTGAGCAACTAATGAATTCCAAATCGAGATGTGACAGGTTCGTGTGTAGATTTCAGCTCTGGCTCTATCTCACAAGTGGGACGAGATGGGCGCATCCAGCGGATGTAACCCGCTCGCTTCGCGATAGGGTTCAGGAACGCGCACAGGACCTCTTTGTCTGTGTTTTTGTCATTCTTGTGTAGTGGAAGGGAAACGATACGTCCCTGCATACCAAAGCACCACCAGTGTCGGAGTATCCGCGGGGCGTGTCATTGGGTGGTGGCCCCCCCTCGAGGAATGGATGTGATGTATCGACTGGGCCCGAATCGACGGATTCGACAGCTTGCATCGGGAGGAATCTGCTTCCCGGACCCCAAGGTTGATCCCTTAGTTTAATGCACGACGCGGGAAGGCCAAACCACTCAAGGGTTGTCTTGTCCGGATGGGGATCCGGGATGAGGGTGATGGATAGCTGCACCGATCTGCAAGATAGTACCTTGGCCCAAGTACCAACAGGTCGATCCAGATCTAACTTTACAACAATTCGAAGGCTGTAAACTCCAGTAATTTGCAGTGGACAGTGTGTGGTATGTCATGTCGTCTTGGACTCTGCATGCGCCTTACTGCAGTCGACTGCAGTTCTCTGATCTCGCTGCACGGAGTCCCAGGCGGATGGGAGTGCAGAAGTCCCCGCTGCAGCTGATCGCCTCCCATGCATGTCATATTTCTTGTACATGTATATCCTCTGGGTCAGATGATGCACCTGGCTCTATTCCAAAGTGTATTGCCAATGTCCATCCTGAATGAAAAGTTGCATTGCATATGTACGGGGCACCACCAAGGCGAGGCAAGGCGAGCGAGCGATCGACACTGCAAGCGCAAGTGTGTCGTGCTTTTCATGCTCTGTCCGAGTTGCTGCGATGCTTTTGGGCGCAATGCGCGCGACCTATTTGGCGATACAGCCACTTCTTTCCTTTTTCTTGTAACCCAAAGCAGGGGGGTTGGTGCGTCGACGGGCGACGGGGAGAGACTCGCCCTCTCCCAACCACTCCCATCTTTTCGGGGCGCATACCTCAAGCCACCAGCTCCACTGACGGGAGCTAGTGGGCTGGAAACAGCAGCCGTTGGCAGTCGACTGGCCCGCGGAACCCCTGGGCTCCCAGCCGGACCCTCTTAGGGGACTTTTTTTGGGTTCCTGCAGTGGAGGTTGCCCCAGCGTGAAGTGTATCCAGATTGCACTGTGTATGGCTCGATCTGGCCAGGAACACGAACTAGTCGGGCTATCCTCTCCCCATGCTTCTGGGCTGAATCTGCGTCACCATACTTAGTTAGGGCGACGCGCGATGGAGGAGCCAGGGGCGGCTGACCCAGCAGGGAGGAAAAGGAAGGACGATCGAACCCGACGGGATGGGTGCTGGGGCCGCAGAGGGCGATCGTCATATCCAGCTTCGGGCCTGGCACCTGCGAGATGAGGATGCAATTGAGGCTGTCACTTAGTTTTTCTTCTCGCCCCGCCCACTCCACCGGGTGAGCTTCCGGCGGAGCGCGGCGCGCAAACAAAAGTTGCACGCGGGTCTCGCCGGCAGAATAGCATGCCCTACCATGTACTATGTACAGTGGCGTTGGAGTCGAGGAAACGGGATTGGTCGCAAAAAAGGGGCACGCAAAGTGATCTCATAGGCTCAACCTTACTACAGTAGTCTCAGATGCATCGTGGATCATCAGGTTTCCTAGATAGTGTGCGTTCAGTAGCCACGGCAAGTTCCAGAATCTCGGGTGAGTACTGCTTCTCTCTGCTTCTCTCTTTCACTCCGCTGCGGAGTACGGCGGAGTACGCTCCAGGCCCGGCGAAAGACTTGCCAGCTATGGTGGACATGGTGGACCAGCGGGCGGAGTCCACTTGTTCTAGAATGCTTCTGCTTTGAGCGACGGCGATGGCAGAGCAAATCCTCGCTAGGACTGTCCGGCTTCACTTCCGCGCAGCCCTAGCCTCGCCACCCTGGCTTTGCACGACCCATGACGGGTTAGACGGGCTCGACGGATTCGACGGGTTGGGTTGGCTATCATCCCAGTGTGACCCGGACAATGAGCCAAACGGCCGCAATTTTGAGGGATTGACGTATCGATCGCCGGCTGTCATGGCCGACAAAGAAATCCCGAGCAGGGGACCCTGTGGGCTTCCCTGGCTGGGACCATCTCGGATTCTCGACCTGCAAGGTGGTCGTGAAAAGAGTCGGGCTTTGGCTGGCCCCTGCTCGCGCCACCCTGAAGGCGTCCGCGTGTCTGCCGGCAGATCGGAGGATTCTGGTGCATTGCAGGATACTTTAAAATGTAAGGTCGTCAGCCACAGTCTTGAATATATTACAGTACATGGTATCATGATGTTAATCTAGATGGCTTCAACAACTGTGTACATTGCATGTATCAAGGTATAGTGGGTTAGCTGCTTTGGTATACTAGTAAGCACTCTAGGCGCAGTTCATGCAACCAGCCCAAGCAGGCTTGATCCGCGGGAGGACTAATGCATCGAGCCGCCTGGAGACATCCAGGAACCCGTTGTGGCGAGCTCATCCGGATCGGCTCAGCGAAAGGAACGCTGATGACCCAGGGAACGAGGAACCAGAGCCCTGGATCGCACGACGGGCCGTTGGGGCCTGAAAATCTGATCTCTGACTACAGTGGACCTCGTACTTACAGCAGATTATGTACATACGTAGTATGGTATGTACTCCGGACACAAGGTACTCAACGGGGAAGACGGAGCAACAAGGCCGCCACAGTCCTTAGTGCACTCTACTGTAAAGTATGCTCTGTCCTGGTACCGACCAAAAGAGCAAGTTCAGATCAGCTTCCTGTTCGGGCCGCCCCAAAACGGCAAGATGGGGCCTGGTGACTTTTCTCCCGTTTCTAGTGCCATTCTAGCTGTAAGAGAAACGGGGTCTTCCCGACGATGGAGCCCTCAGTTGCCGGGTCCACCACCAGCAGGAGACGAGACGGTGTTTTCCTGTGTAATTTCACTCCTTTTTTTGGAGCAAAGTCCCCGACGGAACTGCGCTGCCCCGGGGCGCCCTAGTGCAACGTAAATACCGTCGGGCCCATTATTGGGGGCCACTCTACCGCGTGCGCCCCACAAGCGATCATCGTCACTATCCCTCCAGCACCGCGAATAGGAACTGGTCCCTGGGAAACGATGGGGAGGATCCCGTCCGGAGGGTCAGCATCAGGAGGCTGGGGACTACTCACAACTGGGCGACGCCATCAAAGAACCAAGATGCGGGATCACTCGCTATCGACTTCCCGTCACAGAGCCACAGTTTCACCTCCCCCCCTCGATGTCGCTAACGGCGCCGGAGGATATTCCGCGGTAGATCCCCAGCCCCGATTTCAATAGATTGCCCCAATATCGCATCGCTGGTCCCTAGGGGTCGTGGCACAGCTGAAACAGGCTTACGAACATACCTGTCGAAGTTTCGGGCAAGGGGAAACCGGGGGAGGATCGGAGGAGTCGTGTTTGGTCTGGCGCTCGTCATGGCCTGGACGTCTGGAGGGCGTGGAACGAGTCAACGCCTCAAGACTGTTCTCCATCGCGTCAGACGGGGGAACGGATTGTGGCTGGCCGAGCGGCTCCAGTGTGGCGACATGCGGGCGCGTCAGCTGCACCCTTAATCGGGATGCAGCCGTTAACCCTCTCTGTGGAATGGATACACCATACTTACTCTACTGTACATGTCTACTGTACATACTATGTACAGTAGTAGACCATAGGTAAGGCTACGTTCTCCGTCTCGCTGAACCATGGACAGGACATGGGGGTGGAGCCGTGTAACTGTTTTCTGCAGTTCCCGGAGAAAGAAGGAATCCAGAATGTCTCCATGGAGAATTTCCCATATACGTACCTTGTACCGTACCGGTCCCCATCGTACCGCGACCCAGGCCCCCGGGAAACTATGTCGACAAGCTAGAAGGCCAGAAGAATGTTCATACGTAACCGAGACCGGAAGTGGGCTCGCCAGCGGCTCTGATTCATCGCGATGGGCCGGCGGCCCACCCCCTTTGATGGAGCCGGGTCGGATGGGATCGATCGGAAATTGGGAAGAGGAGAGCAGCAGTGGAAAACAGGGAGAAACACGCTGGCAGCTAACACAGATGATGAGACAAAAGATGGCTAGGGGAAAGTACCCGAAGGTAGTGATGGCGCCAAGGATTGGCGATTGGCTTTGTTTGATGTCTAGAGGCGTGCGAGCAAAGGGGCCTGAAGCGACAAGCGATTGGTGAGGGTCTGCAAGGCTTCCGAGACGTCGTGAGGCCAGAGAGATACTAGTATCTGCTCTATCGATAGGTCTGGGTGATCGCTGCGATCTGTTGGTAGACGGGAATCCGCGATAGCGCGGAAGACCGCCTCACATCCGCATGTCTGGTCTTGATTACTTGACAGATGGAGCGATGGATGGACCTAGGCAGAGGCTAGGCTCTAGCCTCACAACCTAGGTCAAAACCTCCAAGAACAGGTCGTTGGCCAGGGGATGTCGATGTGTCGACATGTGTTGGTACCTCTGTCGAGCTGTTCACCACTCAACCTCTAGGGTGTTAACTTATCATCCACTGGCAAGTATTCAGCCTAGGCATCATATGTCAGCGCCCAACTGGTCTCCAAACCCCTGGCATTAGGGTTGAACTCATTGGAAAGGCTAGTGACCAACTCGGCCCTGCTCTAGTACTCATCCAGTTAGAAAGTGATCCATTCTGTCCGATGGAGCCCGACCACGCGAGTTGCGACGATAGCCAGTTCGGATGGATCCGTTTTTTTTGGTTAATTTCTGATTTTTTGTTTTCTTTTTTTTTTTTTTTTTTCTGTTCCTGCTCCTGCGGCTGCTCCCCCCTTCTCCACTTCTGCATGAGGGCGTGCCCGGAGATTCGGTTCCTAGCTTCCCCTTCCAGTGGAGAGACGCGTCTGAAGACAGGCCAGACTGCACGGTACTTTTGATGGTTGAGACGGAAGAGTCGCAAACATTGCAGAGTGCGATGGATCAAGGGGTGGACTGGATAGATCCACGATCGCAGGTGTGATGGATCATGGTGGCAGCGATCCGCTACTGCAACACTACTTTAGCAGACGTTGGAGACAGAAAGGGGGCGCGTTCCTGTTCCCCGGGACCAGCACGGGAGAGCCGCGCGCTGCTAAACAAAGAAATACCGGGGCCCATAAGCTTATGATCTGGTAATTTCCTCTGAAATCGTCTTAGTCTAGAGTATTTCATATTCCCTTTTTCTTTTTGGGTTTTTCCCTTCTGGTTTGGGTTTCCCCTTTCAAGTCTTTTTTTTCTCTCTTTTTCCTCGCGTTTTATTTGGTAATGCTTCCAGAAAAAGGAGCCTGGGAAGATCACTTCTTTTTTTTTTTTTTCTCGTCCCAGTTTATATCTACGCAATCGTACCCAGACACCCCTGTGACCCCGAAAGGTACCGCAGATAGGGTCGCCGTATTTATTTATTATCTCTGACGCCCGCCGGCCCTTTTCTCTCCCATCTGCCTTTGCGCATACTTGACACCCACTGGAGTTAATCCTCCCTGCGATCACCAACGCCTGCTCCCTACCAAAGCCCGCCCTGTCTTCTCCCTTCTCCCTTGCGATTACAAGCACTGCTTCTTCAACCACCGGATCTACCGGCCCACACTTCCGCGGCTTTCTCCTTTCCAGGGTCTCCCTTGCCGACTTGGCTTTATTCATATCCCTTCTCTACCGTTTTGCTGGTTCAGATCGCGATTTCATGGCCTTGATCCTGCAGCCACCCTCACGCCTATCTTTTTAAATCTTTTTTTTTTGTTTTCCTGCAACATTTTCGAAACGGAAAACAAAATTTTTGGTTCTCGATTTGCGTGTCTGGCCCGAATCCGATTGACGCGATCTTGCGGTGGAACCCAAATAAAAAAGCAACGAGCGAACGAACCTGTCCACAGCTGAAAACATCTCGTCCACCCCATTCTCCATTTGTTGGGCCTTCAGTCGTCACATTCCTGCCCTACAACCTGCTGCCGCCCGCATTGTTCCAGTGTGGTCAAGTCAACTTTTAAAAAGGTTGCTCCTTCCGATCTTGACTGCATCCGCATCCCATCGTCTACAACGCCCGTCCCTGTCTAGACTCGGTTCTTTTCTCTTTTTGCTTCGGGGGGTGGATTGGGAGTTCGTTTGCCTGGCGATTCCCTGGCCGAAAAAGAAATCGAATTCGACTATATAAGAACCCTGTGGTGGTATTCACCTGGTGAGTTATTCCATTCCATTCCTCAGCCTCTCGGCCTTGCAGTCTCTCGCGTCGCATTCGACTCTAGCACCACTCTACCTTTGCAAAAACACCGTCCTAACAATGTTCGCTTTCGCAGACCTCAATATGATTCTCCGAGACATGTCCGCTTGCAACATGGGACGAGGCGCCTACGATACAACGGGTGTCAAGCCTCCCAATGTTCCTCGCCCACCACCAAAATAATTCCACCTACCATGATACCCTCGATCCGCAACACATATTCTACTGTCTGGCGGCGAATATTCTGGACTGCCATTATCTGCTCTGGCCCTTTATTCCCGGGCTAATTTTTTGATGCCTTTACGTTCGGGTTTTGCCCTCTAATTTTCGGTGAGTAACAGCCCTAATGCATCCCCCTCTTTTTGGGTATCAACACTAACCCCCAGATGCAGACACTTGTAACACTATTTTCACTCTGTGACTATTTTTGATTCTCGGTCATATCTCTGCTGTTGATTCGCCACTGGTCTTGCGCGACCACATTATACCCTTTTTAATTTTTACTGTTTTTCCTCGCTGCATCGGTTTCGGATTTCCCAGCGTCGACGCTTCTTCCTCGGCTTTGCTTCCTTGTTCTCGCATGTGCGCCTTATCGTTGTCTCGGACACCTCCATCTCTCTCCATCCTCCTCACCTCCTTTCCTCCTCCTAATACGGATACGACCGATTCCGAGACGACCCCCATTTCGATCTCTCAAAAGTGTCTTTTTGTCTGCTGTTTTGTGGTTACCTGTTTTTTTTTTTTTTTTTTTTTTTGTTGATCTACCTTCTCACGGCGTTATGGCATAGATGGGACGGAACTTGTTGCATGGGATGCATGGGCTTTTTACCAGAAGACTTAGACCTTCAGACCTCACGGTCACAATGGCACGTTCATTGGCGCGCGGCTGCTTCTTGGGTTCTGTATGTGTGTGTATGTGTGTGTATTTGTATCTCTGCGCGATTGAGGCCTGTATGATATTGCTGCGCAATCTATCCACGCTGCCAGGCCAGCGACTTTTTACTTCTACTCCACATTATACAGTGTAATTCCCCACTTGAGAATCAGGCCTAGACTCCTCGACGCAACTCGTTTCGAATCTACCCCATACTTGTCATTCCTCCCGAATAGCACGGACATGTTCGTGTAGCCCAAATGTCGTGTCGCTCGGACTTAACAGCTGTAATTCGGGCGGTATAGGTTGAGCGTCGGGCAGATTTGCTTGGAGACTAATGCCGAGCCAGGAACCGCCAGGCCGATTCTCGATGCGGGACCCTGTCGCTGCATCGGCAGATGGGCTCCGGCCCCGACTGGATACTCTCTGGCGCCCGACATCATCTAACATCCCCGTTGGGCACTAGTCGGTGGATCCTGGCGGCGCCCAGGAACGAGGGTTGAGTTCACGAGGGGCTCTTCCCCGCCATTTTGTCGGTGTGGGACTGTCTCAACTGTTTGAATTGTGTGCTCCATCTTTTCGTCTGCGGTCAGCGGTTCCAGGAATTGGTCTCTGGTTTTGCTATTGTGAGAAACTGGAGGAGCCCGGATATGAACCTTGGGGAATGCTCAGTCGATAAGCTGTCGCGTGATACCGCGCAATGAGCTGAAAGTCCTTCTTTACTAGCATCCCTCTACATTTTGCATATATGATTTTCTTGTCCTCCAGGCCGTCATCTCTTGGGAGCTTTACGTTCTTTTCCAGAGAATTAGTGAGTGTTTAGTTCGTCGCCGCGGCGGGATCAAATTTGCCCACAAATTCATATTTCGCCGAACATGTGGCAAGATACTGTCTTGAAGCCTGGGGTTGAATACTAACACTTGTGATATACGAAATTGGATCTGAGATGCTTTCAAATGGACGTGGAGTCAGTCTACCAAGCTCTTCCAAGATTATCCACATGGCCTTGCTCTTACGCAGTTGCAATGTGCGGTCGCTTGTCATACATGCATCGCCGATCTTAGTCGAATTTGCATGGTTTTATATTTGTATTCGCTTCGGAGTCAACAAAACCGGAAGCGACACCAAGGTACGTCAAGCTGTATGCAGGATTTGGAATGCACTGGGCTTCAAATTCTTTGAAAGACGGCCTCAAGAGTAAGTCTCCAGAAGGAAATTGCTTCCGTCCCAAACCTTATTGCCGAGGCATGCACAGTGACGTTTCCTTTGAATGCATATGAGGAAAATTACAAATGATCACTGTGTCCTGGTGTTCTTTTGGTGTGTAATTTGATGCCTTTATATTTGCTCCGGGCTTCTCACATCAACATGAATGGTTTGGTAATACGATTATTGTGAGTCTGGAGATCCGGGGATGTCACCAAAATGAACACTAGTGTAGGAAATATATTTCCGGAATAATTCCGACCTCGAGCAACCCTCATTTCAAGCATAAGATATGATAATGCTATGCGCAAAAAAAAATGCTAGAATCAATGCTTGAATTGGAAAATGATTTGCATGAACCCGAAACTCATTGTCATACTGAATCTCCATCAGGTTGTTGCCGGCTGTATACTTCCTAACCCAGATCCCGTGACTGGCGGGCATTGGTCCGCGCTAACCGGAACGGGAGCCTCAACCATCATCATCGACCTCCGTCTCCGGACCCTCTTGCTGTCCCGCGGATTGCGACACCTATCCTTCGTTCATCCTGCAAGGAAATCTCTCATATCTCCACGCCACTTCACAGAGCTTGTGTGTTACCTTTCAGTACACGATCTCTTCCATATCCTTGTCGCAGCCGAACTGCTATCTGAGTTGTCTGCTTTATCACCCCGACTGTTTGACAGGCGTCTCTCTCCGCAAGACGGCCTGACCTGTGATACACCCAGATCTCACATCTATAGTGCTGTTTCAGCCATGTCCGACGCCGCCGGCGCAAATGCTCCAAAGCCGAGCAGCAGTGTCAAGCTCGTCCTGCTGGGCGAGGCTGCGGTTGGCAAGGTATGTTGTCCTCCCTACATGACAAATGGAACAGTAGCTGACGATCCCCCTCTACCTGCAGTCGTCACTAGTCCTTCGATTCGTCAACAATGATTTCCAGGAGAACAAGGAACCTACGATCGGCGGTAAGCAGCGACCCCAAACAAGCCCTTATGAGTCGATGAGAAAGACGAGCTCCTCACGGTTGTCATTGGGTATGAACAACGGGCCTGGCATGGCCGACGTGAGCGGGTTTCTCATTGTAAAGTGATATGTCTTAGCAACTCTTGAAACCATCGTCCCAGAATCTGTTACTAATGTTGTCGTCCAGCTGCCTTCTTGACACAGAAATGCTCTCTGCCTACGCGAACAATCAAGTTCGAGATCTGGGATACTGCCGGCCAAGAACGCTTTGCCTCCCTCGCTCCGATGTACTACCGCAATGCCCAAGCCGCGCTGGTGGTCTACGATGTCACTAAGCCCTCATCGCTGACGAAAGCCAAGCACTGGGTCGCTGAGTTGCAGCGCCAGGCGAGTCCCGGAATCGTGATTGCCCTCGTCGGCAACAAGCTGGACTTGACAAACGATGGTGGTGATGCTTCCGCGGCCTCCGCCCTCGAGGCTGAACCCGAGTCTGCTGATGCCGATGGAGAGGAAGGTGCCGGCGAGGAAGGCGAGGAGCACGACGCTACCCCCGGCGATGCCCGGAAGGTGTCTACCCGCGAAGCGAGCTCATATGCGGATGAGGAGGGTCTGCTGTTCTTCGAGACCAGTGCTAAGACCGGAACGAACGTGGTGGATGTTTTCACGGCCATTGCCAATGCCATTCCCGAGAGCAGCCTGAAGACCGGCCGCGGCGGTGCTGGTACAGGACAAACTGCGCTCGGAGGTCGCTCGGCGGATGACGCTCGGGTTAATCTTGGAGAGCGAAACGCAGCGACAGCCAAGGAGGGCTGCGCTTGTTGATATGACCTTTTTGTTTTTCCTTTTTGAATTCACCTTGCAAATTTTTCCATGGGTACAGGCGTCTCCCCTTCTGCTTGATGGCGTTGCTCTCGAGTAATGCTCATTTGTTCATTTCTATATCCCTCTGCCGATAGCAATATTAAACTCTTGTTGAACCTGTATTCGGACAGCAGTAGCACCATGAACTTCAAGTTGAATAACATGCGCAATTGACGGCTGAGTGACCGGCCAATCAGAGGCAGCCGAGGGCAGACCAGTCACGGGACCCGCCATCCCCTAAGTGGAAGGCACGCTAGTCCTAATACAGAAGTAGCGCACCCTAAGCGAAGCCGCCGATCCCACAGCAAATTCACATCTCTTGAACGCGAAGACCACCTCCCCTCCGCCGACCTCAACCAGCACCTTCGCAGCACTCCCGTCGCTCGCAATCATGGCTGCCATCAACAAGATTGCCAACAACTCGCCGTCCCGGCAGAACCCCTCCGAGCTGGAGAACGCGATTGCCGGCGCTCTCTTCGACCTCGAGAGCAACACCCAGGACCTGAAGGCCACCCTTCGTCCTCTGCAGTTCGTCTCTGCCCGCGAGGTAAGAAATTGCAATCAATTCGCCAATCGAAGTCTTCCGGAATCGAATCGCAAGGGAATTTTTGTCGTGGTGGTCTTATCGGAGCAAGATGGAAATATTTGTGGCCATTGTGGGATTTTGTCAATTTCGCAATACAGACACCCAAATGCATATCAGGGATATATTCGGCCATGATGAAGACGATTGGAACACCCGATTTGAAAAATTCCTTCGACGTCGCTTCCGGAAGAGCCCCAAATCGATTTTTTGTCTTTTGTGTGCGCAGGCACTTTGACCGGAACAATGCACTGACACACTCTTTAACAGGTCGAGGTCGGCCACGGCAAGAAGGCGATCGTCATCTTCGTTCCTGTCCCTCTCCTCCAGGGCTTCCACAAGATCCAGCAGCGGTAAGCGACACCTGGACAATTCGGGAATTTTTTCGACACTATAGAAACATTGGACTAACTTTTCCGCCAACAGCCTGACCCGCGAGCTCGAGAAGAAGTTCTCTGACCGCCATGTCCTCTTCGTTGCTCAGCGCCGCATCCTGCCCCGCCCCAAGCGCTCCGTCAACTCGCGCACCACCCAGACCCAGAAGCGCCCCCGTTCGCGCACTCTGACCGCTGTCCACGACTCCATCCTCAGCGACCTCGTCTACCCCGTCGAGATCGTCGGCAAGCGCACCCGCACCAAGGAGGACGGCAGCAAGACCCTGAAGGTTGTCCTGGACGAGAAGGAGAAGGGTGGTGTTGACCACCGCCTCGACGCCTACGGCGAGGTCTACCGTCGGTTGACCGGCCGTGCTGTTGTGTTCGAGTTCCCCCAGAGCGGTGCCGAGTTCTAAGCTGCTCATTTGCTGTTTGCGGGAGGGAAGGAAATATGAAGGTGTATTTTGGGTTGCTTGTTTCTAGGTCCGGACTCACTCTAGATTCAAGGAGAACATGACGGGTGAAAGAACCAAAAAATGCATTACGGGTTTTTCTTTTCAGTTATGTGCCCCCCATGGACTGGTGCATGGTTTTAAGTCCTCCGTTTCTCAATTCTGTGGGCGAGGCGACGGAGCTGTTCCATCCGGGCCGTGTTTCTCTCTAATGAGGATGGGATGGGATATGTGATAATATTCCAATCGAACAATTCCGATATCAATACTTGCGTAGCTGCAACCGAGCCGCATCAGCCTCGGTTGATTGCGACTACTTATAGTAAGTATCTGAGGTTTGGCTGGACCCTTGGATCATGACGCTTGATTATTTAGGAACTGGGTGTCATTGTAGAACATATTACAGCATTGATCTCTGTGCAACAACTAACTACACTTGGGGGTATGGAAACGAAAACTAGTATGAACAAGAACCTGATTCACCATGACTTCTACAGAGCCGCCGTGATCCTGCCAACACCAAGCACCATCCAGTAGGCCAACTCCCGAGCCACCAGGTCATCCGGCTTAGATGCCTTTCCGACATTCTGCTGTTCAAGCTGCGCCTCCGCATCCCATTCCATATGCACGAAAACTGGAATCTCGAGAACATCCTCATCTTGCTGCGCAGCAACCGCAATTTCATCCTCGTCTATTCCTTCCTTCCCAGCATCCGCCTCGGAGCCAGGCAAAGTTCCCGGAATTACCTCCAGCACAACAGTTGTCCAATTGCGACCCTTATCCCAGACCTTGCCTGCTTCGGGAACTTTTTCGGCAGCACGGAGACCACCTGCACGCGGATCAGTTGTGACAGGGGCCGACGCACCCTGCAATGCCTCGTCCCATACATCGCTGTTGGGGCCAATGTCAAACTGAGGAGAAAGTATGGTGACTTTGCTTGCGACACGACCCGGGGTGACAGATGGCGTGGCGAGGGTAATGCGGACCGGGTCGAACATGTGGTTCTTCAGTGTGAGAAGAACATGGACAGGCCGCAGTGGAGGCAATGCATTCAGATCCGGAGCTGGAGCAGGGATAAGAGAAGAAGTTGGGAGCGCGAGAGGCCTGAGAGATGGGAGGGGAATGTAGCTGAGAGCAATAAGGCGGATACGGAAGCGTGTCGACTGTGGCTTGGTCTCGGGCTTCACGAGGATATGCTTGCAGGACTTGCATCGTTTGGCACGCTTCGTGCGGAGTAGAACTGGCAGGGGCAAAAGATCATCGACAAATCGAACATCGGGAGATTGCTCTGCGCGCTGGCTCAGCGATGCCACACCGTCCCAGCCGCAGTCAGGGGAAGAAAGACGTTCGATTATGGCGGCGTCTGCATTTTCCGGAGCAATGCGCAGACCCTCGCTAGCGTTGATTGCCTCGCGCATAACGGGCGGCTTGGATTTTTGTTTCTTATTTCCACCGTAGAGCCCCCCGAGGCGAGAAGACGAAGCATACAGGGACATCAATCGGTTCAGGGCACCAGGCGATGAGAACCCAAGGTCCGAACCCAAAGGATCATTAGGGGACGTCGAGGTTTCGGAGATCTGATTGCGATAGAAGTTCTTTAGAGCTGCAAATCGTGCCTCTACACCTAGAGGAGGCGAATCTGTCTCGTTTTCCTTTACCTGCTCTCCGGACCCAGTAGGCGTGCTGACTGGCTCATCAAAAGATGCAAGGTTGGATAGCGGTGACTTGAGATCACTGAAAGCGCGGGAGCCCTGTCGTGAGCGGGTATCGAATGTAGGCGCAGATGTAGAATCAGTCATCTTTTGCAGCTGGTTGCGGATATTTGTCGGTTTGTCGAACTTGATACCGATGTCCAGTGTCGTCCACAAACAGTAAGCGCATGACAGTACCCAGGGCCCTTGTCCATTGCCTTTTCCAGCGACGTTTTCAATTGTACTCACGGATAGAGGAGACGTGCAGACGGGACAATTGAAGCAGTTTCGACCGCAACTTCGACTAAGGTTAGTGGTAGGTCCATTTCGATAAGCAGGACTGACGTACCGATTGGCATCTCCTTTCACCATACTACTGGGAGTTTCAAATAGGCAATTCGGGCAGTACCAGCTCACAATTTCCTCCGTTATGCATCGCGGGCATTTGATCTGATGGCAATCTTCGCAGTAAAGGAGCTGCTCGGGCGGATAGAGCGAGAAATTGGACCGAGGTGATCTGGGATCAAAAGTTTGTTCCTCCTCTTCTTCGTCTACCTCCTCTTCTGGTGTATTTTCTGGTTGTTTCTTGTTGTCCTTGTCGTCAGGATCCGTACGTTCGGGGGTTGGTTTCTGCGGCGAGTCCCTGGATCTGCGCTTCTTGGCCGGGTCGGGAACAGGGGTGTTGGCGCAGGGGCACGACACGTAGGTGTAAGGGAATGGTCGAGACATTCTGGGTGTAGGCAATCTCGAATAGGAGGTTGCTCGTTCAATTCATGCTTCGCGGTTGGTGGGGGTCGCGGCTATGGGATAGAGGTGGTCGAAGCGACGGAAGTCGCGCGTCAAAAGAAAGGAGTGGCTGCCTGCCGGAGTGTCAGCAAATATTCTCTCATAGCTACTCCGGTTGCGACTTGGAGGAAGGTCAAGCGCACTTCGTGGGGTAGATTCTGTGGTAGCAGCAAGTCTCACACAAATACCGGTAGAAGAAGCGTATATAAACACCGAAAGGATTGTATTTTCCCTGAGGGGATGGTTTTTAGATGCGAGTCGAGCGTGTTGAAGCCCAATTGCGGGCGAGAGGAAGGACACGACTTGTCGCGGAGAGGAGCTGCGGAGGTTCCGCATCAACAATCGACGTCAGACAAAAATTAAGATTTGGCCGCACCGCGACTCGACCATCCGCTTCCCCCCACACAACCTCCCTCAACGCAAGATGATCTAGGAGCCCACCGCTATATATTACTACAGCTATCATGATTACTCTACACACGTTTCGTGCCAGCTTGCCTCGGCGGTGCTTCACCGCAAGCGCCAGCATCCGAACTTACGCCAGCCAGACACCCGGCAACCCCATGCTGGAGGTGTTCAACCGCAAAGCTAAGCACCTGCAGAAGGATCGCGCAGCTCGGAATGTCGAAGAAAGCCGCAAAGTCGACTACCTGAAAGATGAAGTCGCATTGCGGTTATGCGAACGCTTGCTGGTGAGATCTCTGAGGAGGAAGGGCTGTAGCTACACTACAGACCCAGGATGACAGCGGATTACTGACTTGCTTCTTAACCAAACAGGATATCAAGCGCGATTTTCCCAATGTGCTGGACCTGGGTGCGAACAGCTGTAATATTGCGCGGGCATTGACGACACCGAATCTCGACATGGCGGCGCCGGAGGGCACGTTGACACCACCATTGGCAGAGCGAATCTCGAAGCTAACGTGTGTGGATACATCACGAGCTCTACTACACCGGGACAAGGACTTGCCCTTCAACCAGGAAATCAATATCCACCGTGAGGTGATCCCGGATCTCGAGTCCTTGCCTTACCAACCGAACACATTCGATGCGGTGCTCTCATCCTTGTCCATCCACTGGATCAACGACCTCCCGGCATTGCTCAACCAAGTGAACACAATGCTCAAGCCTGATTGCCCGTTCATCGCAGCCATGTTCGGTGGTGATACCCTTTTCGAGCTGCGCGGATCGCTGCAGCTGGCCGACCTCGAGCGACGCGGCGGGGTGAGTCCGCATGTGTCGCCATTGGCGGATGTACGGGATGTCGGTAGTCTGTTGAACCGCGCCGGATTCAAAATGCTTACGGTCGATGTTGAGGACATTGTGGTTGAATTCCCGGATACCTTTGCTCTCATGCAAGATCTCCAATCGATGGGCGAAAACAATGCCATCATGCACCGAGAGGCTGGCCCTTTGTCACGAGATGTTTTGCTGGCCAACGAGGCTATCTACCGAACTATGCATAAGGATGAGGATGCTCCGGGCATCCCGGCTACATTCCGGATGATCTATATGATCGGGTGGAAGGACGACAAGAACCAGCCGCAACCACTCGAGCGAGGAAGTGGCGAGTTGAACCTGAAGGATCTCCTGGGTGGTGGTGATTTCCATAAGTCATAAAGTACTGGAGAAGTGGGCGAACATAATGTTATAGTATCAATTGTAGACAACTACGCTGAAAGAAGCGACAGAAGAGGATAACTGTATGAAAAGCAATCGAATCAAGCCTCTACCAAGAACAATACAGAACAGAACGGATGTATAGCAGCTTCCATTTAGACCGTACGGCGATCGGTCATGACTCGCACGATCGATCCAGTACCTGCAATCTCGACCAACTTCTCGTGCCAATTGAGCAATACGCTCATCTGCTGACCACCGCCGCTCTCGCCGAGGTTCCGACCCTGAATCTGTGAGAAACCACCAGTGCTCTGAGGGGAGACAGACTTGTTGCGTGGTGACTGGGATCCGCTACCGGGGGCAGGAGAAGACATTCCCTTGTAACTGGTTGAAGTTAGTACACATTCAGCAGAGAAGATGAGCAGGAAGGGCACACATACATGTACTTCATCAAGCAATCAGCACGCTCCGCACCACCCTCTCCGGCGCAGACACCTTCCAGGACACGAGTCATCTCGCCCTGGCGAATTCCTTGCAGAACCTCGGTCACAGTAGCAAGATGCACCTGCTTCGCACCCTCGTCGCCTCCTAGCGGCGCAGTGTCCAGAACAGCTCGGAGTGCGCCCTCGGCGTCACCGCCGCGCAGCAGCTGGCGCACCTGCGTAGCAACATTGGCAGCGTCGCTCGAGGTCTCGGATTGGGGCAGCGTGGCGGGGAGGAGGGTTTCCATGGGAAAGTTGACCGACGACTCCGGGTCGAGCTGGTCGATGTTGATGGTGCGATAGTTGATTTGCGACATGCTGGCGGTTTATATTGTATCGAGGGAAGTCGGAGAGGAATTGGTCTTCAGAAACGCGCTGTGATTGATCCCAAGGCGTCCGTGGATCTGGCGGGGTGACGAGCGTGGCTTGGTATAGGGAAGCGGGGAGGATTCGGGGGGAGGGACGCCGGTGTGGGACGGTCGGAGGACAAGGGAATAAGAGGCTGAGAGACGGGATAGGAACTGCGAGAGGATTCAAGTCCACCTGGTCCAATTTCATCCAAAGATGTCGCGGGGAGGAATGGGGATCGAAGTGTCCACGAGTGACGGAGCTGGGCAGCGCTGTGGAGGTGATGGGGCCTAGCAAGCAGCCTGAGGGACAAGGCACCGATATCCCGCCGCGGGCCACGAGACGAATACAATTTTATTTTACCCAATAGACTCAATCGATGAAAAAGAAATATGTTTCATCTTCTTATTCAACATCAGTGTTTTCCCAGTTGTAATTCGAAGAGCGCTAATAACAATCTAGCAATGAAATCCAGCAATTTTTCTGGGCTCAATAACCAAACTTCTCAACACTGTTTTCTCGATACACTCGCAAGCTGTGCCGAGCAAACTTGCTGCGAGCTCGAATCTGCTTGCCATACAGCTTGAAGAGCGGAGGCACCATGCAGAAAACAGTGGCTATACCTGCTAAAATCGATGCAGCCACATTTGACCCGAGCCCATTGAACATATCGGAGGCAAATAGTGGGAAAGCAGCAGACAGGAGGGAGCGCAAGAGTGCTAATGCAGCGAACCCACTTGCAGAAAAGCTCAGATAACTGTCTGCCAGATAACCCGCGAGCACCGAATCGAACTCGTTCAGTGCATATCCGATGAAGATCAGAGATATCGCGGAAATGATCCAATGCACATGGCCAATTAGGGGAGGAATGGTCCACGCGAAGACCCAGAGCCCGCCGGCAAGCATAGGGGCCCCGATGGAGAAACCAGTGAGCTTGTGCTCTGGCTCTAGCACGATCCCATGCTCTTCGGCATAGTTGATTGTTCGATAGTCTTGAATACGAGTGAGGAGACCCGAAACGAGACCTATGATAATCGCGATGAAGGGCAGGTTGGATGAATCCTTGGCGAAGCCCATCGACTGGTATACAAGAGGCAGGGCCTCTGTGAAAAGATAGACCATGGCGAAAGCCACAGCACTGATAAGAGAAACCATGAACACAATAGGTTCGGTGAAGAGAAGCCAAATCGGACGGAAGAGCGCGAGACTGAAGAAACTCTTAAAATCGGGGGTGTGATCAGGGTTCAATGCTGTCAGGGTTTCGATCTTTGTTTCGTTGCGTACTCTTTCCACTTCTCGCACTAGAAGTAAGGAAGGTCGGGATTCACGAATTCCAATGAGAAACACAGTTACCACACCGGTTACGATGGCAGCAATATGGAATACCCATTGCCTAAGTGTAGGCTGTTAGCCAGCGTCACAGCTCTGCCGAAATCGAGAAGAATGCACGGCCTACTTACCAGCTCAAATGCTCAGTGATGTATGTACTGAAGATCGGACCAACACACATCCCCATGTTCGCCACCGTCGCCCAGAGAAAGATCATCCAGATACGATCTTTGGAATTGAACATGTCTTCAATGCTGCCAGCGACGACAATGGTCGGAATGGCCGATAAAAACCCCGAGAGGAGCCGTCCTACCGCGGCACCGGCAGGGGAGGGAACTACCCCGACAATCATGCAGCAGACACTGTATAGGCCAGTGCTGATAATGTACAATCTTTTGCGGCCAAAGGCTTCTGAGAAGCTAGGGAAGATGATGCCTCCGGCACATTGACCTAGGAGATACCTGTATGCCGTGACCGTATAAGTAGATGCCGGATGATGCGTGGAAGTAGCCGTCTACTCACAATGAGACGAAAAGGAAGATAGCGAGCGTTTGATTAATTTTGAAATCCTCATGTGCGCGATCGGCTGCAGAGCTTCCAGCGGTGCTAATTGCAGTACTAACGAGACGGATTAAGTTAGCTGTGTACAATGAGAAGCACCGACCCATACCTACGTGAAAAAATCAAGGAAGATAATCAAGCTGCTGTCGTAGATCTTGCGGGGGATATGCCAGTTTCGCGGATGCTTTTTGTTCGAAACCGACCAACGGACGAATTTGCCATCTGGAGTATATTCTAATCCATATTCTTCGAGGACAAATTGTGCATTTTCCTTGGAAGTGCTTCCGGACGAGACGGAGTCCATTGTATAGCGGTCAAGGTGAATAGGCAGAAGAGGAAAGGCCGTGGGCACGAGAGTCCTGGAACCTGCGAGGATCAGTAACAAAATAAATGAAATCCAGGCACCGCGTATTCAGGTACGGCAAGCTGGAAGGCATCAACACATGGTGGCTCGATTTTCGGGTTGCGGACGCCATCCCCGCTCGCTTCTTCTCCACCACGAAAGAATCATTACAGCTGGAGACTACCTTCGGGGACGACGTGCGCTTGCTCCTCGACCAGTCTAGAGGATCGGCCATCGATGCTAGTATGTGCTGTAGTGCTTACGGTAGTGCATAGAATAGTGCATAGTATGGGTAGGACCGGGAAACGCGTGGATCTCCCGCCGGAGCTCGGGCCATCACAGGCTGCCCCAAAAAGGGACCTCCATAAAAAAGGGTTAAGTTTGGTCGGATCCGCTGGCGAAGCTTTGCAGGGGTTTCTCATCGCCAATCACAGCAGCGAGACTCCTCACGATTCCCAGGCCAAGCTTCAGCTTGTATCAGTCTTAATTATGCAGGGTTTGCGGTAGTCGATTGCCCGAGAGTACGGCAGTAGAAGTATCCACTGCCGACCTCGACAACTGCAAGCTCGAGCTGATGACGAAATCGCCTCCCCAGGGGTCGATCCAGGACCCGGGCGAATGAGTTGCGAACTTGGGAGTCACCCACAGTTACAGGTTTGTCTTGAAATTCTGGAATTTGTCGGTCAGCAGTGCCTTCAGCCTGCTGCAGAGAAGTGGGCCTCTCGATTGCGAATGTCGTGTTTACGCAATCCTCAATCGCAAGCAGTTGATCTCTTTCAATATTGGGCTCGATCCACTGAATCAGGTTGAGGTAAGACTTATGTGCTTATGCCTATTGTGTCGGTCTGTATTTAGCATGCTAGTGCAGTGTGTCGGTGGCAACATGACAGTGTCATGATCTCAGAGAAATACCCTGCCAGCTCATTCGTGGGTACTCGGAGTGAATTGAAAGGACACAACTTGATCTCTCGCCATTCGATTTGACGAGCACATGTAAGAGCCGTGAATCCGACCATGACCACGTGAGAACAGACTTCGAATTTCACACGTGAAATTGGTACCAAGGGCCTTCAAGTCACACAAAAAATTCAAAAATGGCAACTTCGACTCCCGAACGACAAAATGTTGCGAGAATTGGTACCTGGTGCCTGGTGCCTGAACAGACTGGCCCGTGTCTAGCTAAAATGGAGGTAATGGATCCGGCCAGCATACTATGAGGCAATTACTGTGTTCCTCACGTGTGACTTTTTTACCTCCACTTTGATCTCTTATTTCACAAGAACTGACCAGATTGAAAGTGGGACGGGACAGAATGGGGACAGAATGGTAATGGATTAGATATGATCGGAGGGAAAAAGCTTTTGATAGCAAGGTCAATTCTCCCATGGCTTTGTTCTACGCAGTGGTAGGCCGCATAGCTAGACCTCTCTTCTTACGTTCTGGGTTAATTCAAATTTATTCATTTTGTTCGTAGATGCATTGAAATAGCTTGTCGTTTTAATCTTTTTGACAGTTGGGATGCTCCACGGTTGCTCAAAATGTGATCTGACCGAGCTCAAGCTCAGGATCACCGCCCATCTCCTCTGCAGCAACCTTACGAAGCTTAATTATGCCGTGTGTGATCTCATTGACAATCTCTAGGAAATTTGGACAATATCGTGGATCTCTATGCTCAGGAATCACTCCATTCTCTTGACATTCAAGTATAATGTTGACGACCAACTCGTCATAGATGGCCATCAACTCCTGGGTGTCCTCGGAAAACATACAAGTGTACTCGTCTATTGCCTCGTAATAATTCTGCCATATTTTATCAACCAGTTGAGAATTTCGAGAAAGGTCCCCGGTTGGAAGTTGTGAATTCTTCAGAAGATCTGTGATGGAAGCCAACAATACCGTAAAGGCAACCATAGCGTCATGAGCCCGCTCAGGATTGAGTTTCTCAATCTGCCCCTCTACCACATCGGCCACTTTTTCAATGAACTTGAGCTCCTAGGGAATCATTTTGCGACTCGAAGTAGAATTGAATGCATTGGTGATCAAATCGCAAAGCGAAAGAGCAATATTAGGAATTACCTTTTATGCTACCGGTGCCATCCGCGTGGGCAAGTTGTCTGATGATCACCCGGACACAGCTGGCAATGCCAGGAGCGGCCATTAAGAAGGGGGTTAAGCTCATGGTGCAGACAAAATGTGGGTTTGCAAGAGTAGAATCTGATTTTACTTTACGGTAGCTCGGTTGGAAGAGGGCTGATGCCAAGTCTCTATATTTGAGACTCGAAATGCTCTTTTGTTCCGTGAATACAACGTGGTATTTCAAAGGATGTATCAAAGCATGAAACACTAGTTGTGATGGTGGTTGATTGTGGTCTTTGTGACTGTAACAACCCCTTAGTAAATTTTATTTGAATTGCACCCTGATTGAACACTACTGCGTCTTGTCTTTGTCAATTTGATCGGCGCTATGTCTCTCACACTTGAGCCTCGAGTATGCCACATTCAAAGTAAGGGCTTTCCAGGATTCCCGGAACAAAGGAGTGATCGCTTTGTCAAAGAAAGTTTTCAAGTACCATTGTAAAATATCATGAGCGCCTTTATACTATTGAATGGGCTCTTGTCAACCTCAAATGGGGCTTCTCAATTGGTCCACTATGAAAATGGCTATCCTGTTGATCAAACTAGAACAAATATTCATGTATACATTAGTACTTCTCGAAATTATATAAATCTGTCCTCGAATCCTGAAGAGGTGTTCCTGACACCAGCCCCAGAAAGACACTGCGAAATTATAGGACAGTGACTCAATTAGTAAAGGTAGTTCAAGTATTGGGGATCCCGACAAGAATACTCAAGAGACTTCGAGATGGCATCAACACGGCCTGCCACTAACGCGTCTGGAGCTTTAGCAGAAGGTAACAAAACATACCAATTCCGACCTGCTAATAACGTACCCCGCCCCTTGATGGACAAAGAAGTTTCCAAGTGCTACCTTGAATTTCTAGATGCGGGAGCAATCTATGACGATGACCCAAGTATAAGGGCGAACCACGCTATTCTCAGGCTAGTCTTCCAGGATGAACACGTGAATGTTACCGAACACATGCTGGCCGGTACCAAGGGACTAATTCTTGACGTGCAACCTCAAGGCGAGATATCCCTTGACCATATCCATCAACCGAATGAGGGAGTACTACTTGTCAAGACTTGTACGTATAGTTCTAACCACCGCAAGGCAATGAAAGTTATCAGGTTAGATGTGGACCGTAGCAAAACGGTCAGGCATTTCCTTCGAGTTGTTGAAGTCTCTAGGTTATTTCCATGCCAATTTCGCATTCATGCGAGCTCCGCAGGTCTTTTGGTTGGCTGCAGATATTTTGTGTGAGTTTTGACCCATTTCCCCCGTCACAGTCCCAAGACCACATACTAATACCTCAAAACACAGGTCCCAGCTAATTCATCATTTACACGCAGCGAATGTTCTCAACATTCCTGAACATCGACGTGCTACGGTCTATGAAGCCTTTAACTTAGGATATGGTTACAATAATGCAATCTGGCAAAGTCCTGTAGCATTCATGAAGACTAAAAGAAGTTATCACCATGTTGAAATTGATGAGATTCCTTATCTGGAGCCGCGTAAGTCATCCCAAGCCGATAAATTTTGCAAAGCCAGAGCGAAAGTTAACCTATACGATATACAGGAATTTATTATCAGTAAGTACCGAGTGCGGGCAAACGGAAACACTAACGTTCGGTATTGATAAATTCTTAACAGCTGACATGACGTAATAAAGAGGCGGGAATGCATAAGGCAATGTAAACCTTTCAGAGGAGTAGTTTATCCTATCACGATGGAGGGGAACTGCGCGATGACGAGCCCTGAGGTTTATCCTGGGAAGGCTGCTCATGCTCAGCATCGCCGATCTGGGATTGATCGGGAGGATGTGATGTAGAATCAAGCTCAACAGCGGCTTGGTCCTCAGTAACAGCACCCGGCTGTCCTTGAGAAACTGTAGGCTTAGGTAACTCGGAACGATGCAATCTATCAAGCTCAGCAGGTGCTTGATTATCGGCGGCAGCTCTCGCCTCGTGAGGGGTAACGGATTGAGATGGCTGGGCAGGGAACGGTGTTTCAAGCTCATCGGTGGCAGGTCTCGGCTCTTCTTGGGGAGCCTCAGACCGAGATGCGGCGACAGGATGCGATGTGCCAAGTTCAGCGGCAGGTCGATCATCGTTGACAATCCTCAACTGTTCTTGAGAAACCGTAGGCCGAGATGGTTCGGAAGAATTCGAAATGTCAAGCTCAACAGCAGATTGGTCATCGGCGACAGCTGCTGTCGCTTGAGGGAGCTCAGGCAGCGCTTGAACTGGTGCATCGGTATTCACAGAGATACTCTGGGATGGCTGAGACTGGAAGACGTCGGAGCCCAAGATCTGTACAAGGGATTCTGCCTCAGCTGGTGACGGGATCTCGCCGCTGAGGAGTTGCTTGACTTTCAATTTTCTCCCGTAGATCTTCTTGTTGGCCGAAGAGCGTTCAATAAGCACACCACCTTCCAAAGTGAGACCACCATATACACCTCGAGTTTTCGAGTACGCATAAGTCCCCGCCACACCTTTCATGCCGATAATTGCCCCGGACTCGGCGCTTCGTCCTGGCCCAAAAGCAATCGCAATATTCGCGCCGAGCGTGAGGTTTCCAGACTCCATGAATGTTTTGACGGCCGCATCCTTGGTCAGCACAAAGACGAAGTCGGTAAGCTCCATGCCGAATTGCCCACCACCTCCTAGACCAGCGAGAGAGATAGCAGATGGGGCTGACCAGGTCCCGTCGGCAAGCCTAGCAACAATCAAGCCAGAACCGAAGCGAACCGACCCGAGGAACCCCATCTTGAATACGGTGCATATCACCAGTGCCTATCGCTATGTGAGATTGGCGGAAGAATTCCACGGTCTGGTGAGGAGCCTTACCTTTGCGGGCGCAAGAATCTTGCGGGGGATCCCACCTTCAAGCCCGACGAAGGTGGGGTTGATAAACGAGTCGAGGATCTTGGCAGCTTTCTTGCATTCGCCTGACGATTATGAGAATTATTTCAAGGGAGGATGTCTTAGGACGCACTCGACAACGACGCAGGAAATGGGTTATGGAATGGGTTGCGCACCCCTGATGTCTCTTGATTGCCGGAAGACATGGCTGTTGGACTGTCCGCCGACTGCTAGGCCAACTCGAGAGAGCAGAGCAATGGTGAGCGACTTCGCTTCCACTTCTCAGGTCTTGATGGCCCTCGGCGCAGGGCTCAGGGGCGCCCAAGGTCGAATCTGCCGTAGTTTGCGGTCTAGCCTTGTTCGGACTGTCAGCAATAGGCAGGTGGGGCTTTCAGCCAAAACAAACCACATCGATGTCACACCACACGCATAGGATTCAACAGACCATTTGGCGAATGCTACATTGCGATTGCGTCTTGGTTGCTGATCGGGATAGATCGGGATATTAATACACAATTTCGATATTGGGGATGTGGTCTCGGTAGCGGATGTGGGGCAGGACACGATTTCCTAACCAGAGCGGACGAGAACATGAAGATCCTCTCGGCGTTGCTGCGTTTGGAGCTGCTGCTCAGGTTCTGCGAATATTTGGCGAAAAAGGTAGATTTGAGAGGTCTGTGTCGACTGGCAGTCTTTTCTGTTGAACGTGACGACTATGGCAGCCATTGTCTCAAAATATGTCAACGAGGTTTGGCGATATATCCAATGCCTCGCATCTGAGGTCCGAGGTACGTTCCAAGGAACGTGCGGTGGCCATCGATGTCGGAGAGGAGCCAAAACTGCTGGCGAGATACCGTGTTTCGAGCATGGCCCAGCGACGGAGGCGACAGAGGGCAGCAGACCAGGCTGAGATGTTTGTTTTGTTGGCACTGGACCCCATGTCCCGGCTTAACTATCAAGTGGACACAGGCTATTGATCACGCAGACGGTGTATCATGATAAAGTCAAATTCGTTATCTAAGTAAGCGAAAGAGCGGTCAAATCGCGAAAACATGGCGGTGGTGGCAGAAAAAGTCGTAACCAGCACCATATTCAACCTGGTCTTTAATCAAACCTGGAAGAAAGGCCAGGGTGAGGGGAAAAGTAAGCGCATGAACTAGATTGACTGATGAAAATGTTGTGTATATTTGACAGTACGTAAAATGTAGGGTGGATCGCTCCACAAGGCATGATCGACGAGCGACCCCGGATTTGGTCTTCTTCGCTTGTTCTCCAGCATGAAGCCTTTGTGTCCCAGGCCGAATGCTGCGCCCGATTTTGCCTGACAGTCCTCAAAGTTGGGAGGTACCCTGGATCTGGAGGCCTAAACCGCCACCGGGGGCTGTGGTTCTCGGGCGTACTCGCTTGGCGGAGTATTGGGTACTTGTGTGGCCAGCCATTCGCCCGCAGAGGACCAGGTAGTGATACTCCGCATTATTTGGGGATGATTTGCCCCCCGGACCCAAAAAATTTTTCGTTGCGAGAGCGAGTCTTTGCAGGTACCGAGTACCAGTGTTGCCGCACATTTGATGAAGTCACCGAGGTATCCGCTACACGCTCGGTATCAGTGTGGCCTCACCGCCCGACTCTCGGACCCGTCGATCCATTCCTCGAGGATTGATCACTCCTTAATTGTTCTCCTTACGCTCTCTTTTTCCTTTCCTAGCACTTCTCTTTCCTTCATTCCTTTCCACTCTTTTTTTCTCGGCCGCCGGTATTTTTCGTGCCCCCGTCCTTCAATTTGCTGTTCGACTCGCCTCCCGGCGACGACCGAACGAACCCCCGTTTACCATACAACTAAACTGGGGTCGGGAAAAGGTCAATTGTTCAATTTCACCACATAAGACGCCAGTGTCCAGCCGAAGACTCTGGCTGGATATCACAATCGCTCCTGATCGCCAAATCCGTTGTACTATATTACTTCCTATTTCATCCTTGCGCACCCGATACACTGCATCATGTCGCCACAGACCACGCGACGACGCCCCTCGCTCTCGCTTCACCCACGACCCCGGACTGCGGCACACCCAATTGCATTCCCGAAATATTGCACACTCGACCAATGGCGAGAGACAGAAGAAGCCTGCCATGACTGTTGCGATGGCTCGATCGTCGAAGACTTCCCGGAGGCGGTGCCGAGACGACGCTCGGCCAAGAGCTTCTCAAGCCTGCGGCACCCGATGGATGGACTTGTGGCGCTGGGTCGCCGACTGTCGGTAACCCTGCGTCACAAATCTTCAAAGAATAACATGGAAATCGAGGACGATAGTCCCAACTACCAAGTTGCGAGCCACTCCAGTCACAAGCGCAATGTCGCCTCGCAGAGTTGGGACAAGCAGTCGCGCACTTGGTCCAACAACTTCAGCATCAACAGACGTCCCTCGCTGAACAGTGTGACTGCCCTGCAGGGTTTCTACGCCCCGACCGCATCGATTCCAGTTCCCATACCCGGCCATGGCATGGAGCCGCCAATCCTTCCGAATGATAAGTTTTCCGGAGCAGCAGCGCGGGCAGCAGCCGCTGCACAAAATGAACAGGTCAAGCTGGAAATGACCAAGCGCGAACTCGTTTCCAACGTCTCTGACGTGAGACTTGATTCGGAGAGTGGCATTGGCTTTGATCTTCGTGACCAGTCTGATGCTCCGGATACCGGACTTGATCTCTTACGCATTGGTAAGTCTTGCATATCGACTCGTATTTAACAATCATTCTAACTTCCGAAGATCCTGTTTCATACCTACCCTCTGAGATTATGGCTCAAGTCCTTTCTTACCTGGACCCTGTATCTTTGATGAATGCCGAGTCGGTTTCCGGCCGCTGGAATCAACAGGCATCTTCACCCTATGTCTGGAAGCATGTCTTCCGTAGCGCATACCCTCAGCGACCGGTCAGCTCCACGGCAACAAAGAAGAAGCAGTCCCATGGACTGGGCAAGTCTATTCCAAACCAGGACTGGAAGCGGATGTTGCTCGTTCGACGAACCCTCGAACAGCGCTGGAAACAGGGCAAGGCTGCCGCAATCTACCTTCACGGACACACGGATAGTGTGTACTGCGCGCAGTTTGATGAGTAAGTTAATTCAAGAAAACTTTCATTTCACCTTAAATTAACACCTTGTTAGAAAGAAAATCGTTACTGGTTCCCGTGATCGTACGATTCGTGTATGGGATGCCCACTACCCATGGTCCTGCCAGAAGATTATCGGTCCACCCCCGGGCGATGTGTCTGGCTCTGGGCCCGTGAACAACCCCGCGCAGCAGGCTACAGGAAAGTCACCGTTCGTGACTATCTGCCCACCATCGACTCCATCCGTAAGCATCGTCACTCCAATGGAGCAACCTGCGGATTACCACAGTGCATCTATCCTTTGCCTCCACTTTGATGAAGAGATCATGGTCACCGGATCTTCGGACTACACATGCATTGTCTGGGACATCAAGGATGACTATCGCCCTATCCGTCGTCTTTCTGCGCACCGCGCAGGTGTCTTGGATGTATGTTTCGATGATCGATATATCGTCTCGTGCTCCAAGGATAGCACCATTTGCGTGTGGGACCGCAACACGGGCGAGCTCCTCCGAAAGCTCCTCGGCCACCGCGGGCCGGTGAATGCGGTACAGTTGCGTGGTGATCTCGTGGTGTCAGCTAGTGGTGACGGCATTGCCAAGCTGTGGAATGTGACCACTGGCGTCTGCGTTAAAGAGTTCGTGAGCAAAGACCGCGGCCTCGCGTGTGTTGAGTTCAGTGATGATGGACGTACCATTCTTACAGGTGGTAATGATCGTGCCATTTATCAATTCGATGCCAATACCGGCGAGCTTGTCAAGGAGCTCCGTGGCCACACTGGCCTGATCCGATCTCTTCACCTGGACAGTATGAACAAGCGTATCGTTAGTGGCAGCTACGATATGAGTGTCAAGGTGTTTGATACTATTTCTGGGGAGCTGTCCATTGATCTTCCTGGCTGGACCACCAGCTGGATGCTCAACGTGCAGTCTGACTACCGACGGATTGTCGCAACCAGCCAAGATTCCCGAGCCGTTATCATGGACTTCGGCTATGGATTGGATGGGATTGACCTGTTGGAGGAGTGAAAAAAAAGCATACAACATCTGTAATAACTTCCTTTATTTCTTTTTATTTAGCGCTGCGTTCTGGAATATCTTGCTGGCATTGAATCATGGAGGAGTTGGACACCGGGAACTGGGCATAGAAGTTTCGTTCTTTTATGATTATTAGAACTGTGCACGGCGCACAAGGATAAACACAATCGTTATTGTTATTATCAGTTACCGACTCGGATAGTTCGAAGATTGTTCAAAGGAGCACCAAACAAAAGTAGCACCCAAAAACCCATCGGTCACATAGTCTCACGGTCTCATAATTGGGACAAAGAAATCGCTGTTAGGCCTGAGGCAGAATGATTAACTAAGCACCAGTGATTGGCTGTGGCGGCTAGCGCCACTGCGATCCGTGGGTTTTGATGCCAAAACAATAATTCCATCGAGTTCCCATCAACACAGACAGGCAGACCTTCGCCAGAGGCCCTGATCGTGCTTCGCGACTTCCATCGACACATACTCCTTTAACCTCCTACCCTCCATCCACAGCTTCCCCTCTGAATCCTAAATTGCGACTGTCGCTACCCCGCCATGGGTGAATCCAGGTTTGTCGTTTCCCCCTGGTCCACGACACGGTGAAACAATCAACTAACAAGCAATCTGATCAGACAAGAGCTGCTGGCGTGGCTGAACAACCTGCTGCAGCTGAACATTACCAAGATCGAGCAGTGTGGAACCGGGTATGATCGACCGAAACCCCTCCTCCCCCAGCGGACTCCCCCAGCGGACGACCTAGTGCACGAGACAGTTGGCTGACGGATGGGTTTAAAACAGTGCTGCGCTATGCCAGATCTTCGACTCAATCTTCAGTGAGTGCGACCCAGCGGAATGATTACTATGGAGGGCATCTACTGATTCTTTCGCAGTGGACGTGCCTATGTCTCGGGTTAAGTTCAATGTCAACACCGAATACGCCTATCTCCAAAACTTCAAGGTTCTGCAGAGTACGTTCGCCGCACCAATTTGTCCAGTGCTCACCCACGACAACTAACCTTTGCTCTCCGTGCAGATGTCTTCACTCGCCACGCGGTCGAAAAGCCCATCCCCGTCCAATCCCTCACCAAGTGCCGCATGCAGGACAACCTTGAATTCCTCCAATGGACCAAGCGCTACTGGGACCAGCACTATCCGGGCGGAGATTACGATGCCGTGAGTCGTCGCAAGGCCTCTGGTGCCCCCAGCGCTGCCGCCGCCGGTGGTGCGCGTGCCCCCTCGGCTGGCTCCCGACGTGGAGTTACTCCGACCACCACCGCGCGGGGTCCTCGCGTTGCTGGTGCTGGTCCCGGTGCTGGCGCTGCCACCGCGGCTCTGCAGCAGGAGATTTCGACACAGAAGGAGGCCATTGCCGGACTTGAGAAGGAGCGGGACTTTTACTTTGCCAAGCTGCGTGATATTGAGCTGCTGCTGCAGACCGCTATCGAGGCCGACCCGGACCTGGAGAAGGAGGAGGACACGCTGGTGAAGCACATTCAGGGCATTCTGTACTCGACCGAAGTAAGTTCTTGATTCTTGCCCAGGGTAGGACTGGGGCTTAAATATTGACGCTCCACGACAGGATGGATTCGAGATTCCCGAGGCGGAGGAGGCCGTGGCCGACGAGCTGGAGACTTTCTAAGCGATCGGGCTGTGAAGAACACATTATTTAAATACCCCGGACACACCAGCGTAGATAGTTGTCTACGCGCATTGCACACATTCATGTAAACAGCGATGAGATCTGAGCCAATGTCCACAGTGCGACGACGACCGAACGTGTGCTTGTCGTTATACTCCGAGAATGATTTCTTGTGGCATGTTTGCTAGTACTATTCGTAGAGCTGCATGTACAAGGCGATACACGGACACGCTATTGGCTGCAGGCCGGCTATATAGTGCGAGCGTCCTTGCCGGTGACTTGAGCCATTGCACATCATTGAGTCCGTCCGGTAAATTTGTGTCTCCGGAACTGGGCGAAAGTGCGAATTGATGATTACTGTAGCACCAAGCACTACTTTCACTACCTACTCTATTCGTAGCATAGGATCCCGTCAATGATGGCAGGGTAATTATAGTAATCCGAAGAGCCATTTTCCTCATTTCCTCTCATTAAACCCGCGCCGGAACTAGCCCGATCCAGCCTAGCCTGACTGGCCAGAACTCTCAGGCTAGCCCCACCTGACAGGCCTGACTGGCTGGCCCGCCGTGTACCTGCAGCACGCTTGTCCGCTTTTGGTGTCCCTCCCAGACACTGCGGCCTCTCCCTCGCAGCTTTCAGTCGTGAAAAACAATAAACAATATGCGCCGGGGAAGGGAAAAACAACCATTTGAACATCGTCTCTTATGTCTGGACTCGAACTTGGCAGCTCCAGGAGCTATCAGCTGTTGTGAAAATACGAGGCTCTCGCCCCTCGGGCTAGTTCGTCACCACGCGGGTCGCCTAGACTTGGCTTCAATAGGGGAGACGGTTTGGTCCGGCCTGGCTGGGTCGTTCCACTGTTCCACTGTTCCACCATCCGCCGTTTCGCTTTTTCTTCCTCTCGACTTTCTCTCCTTCTTCCCCAGAGACCTCGAGTCCACGAGTCGGACGGGTTCGTTGGCTGCTTCGTGACACAACTACCGTGACCATCTCCCCCGACATATCACGTCAGACCCCGCCGGCCGCTCGGGTCCCTGACATTATTCGCGCTTGTTTCCGGGGTCCGCGACGACAATCATGGACGTTTGAGCCATTCGTCCACCGTCCTTTCGTCTTACTTCTTCACGCTCATTTGCATCCGGTATGCTTACCCGTCCGATGACCTACCTCATCCTTTTGTCCCTCAATTGTGGAGTGAGGAATGGGGCATCACATGGAAGCCCATGCGGCTAGGTATCTGCTTGAAACAAATCGCTAACAGGCTGATACCTCAGACAATTCGAAACATTCGCTCTTAAATGTTATTCACTCCTTTTTGATCTTGCCAGCGACTCAACGCGCAGGCTTCCACTCCTTAACTACCTCTCAGCTACACTACAACCAATTTCATTCGCTCTACCTGTCTCGCGGGCCAGTCCCTGCACCATTTTCGATCCATTCAAACTCTCGTTTGAGCTGGTCGACCCAGCTTCATCTTCTGTGAGGATTACGGCATAGGCTTCTTTCAAAACAGGGTCACAATGGCTCACCATGGCCATTGGCGCAATTCCCGGATCAGCAGGCTTCTCAGAGCCAAGCACCGCCTGGAAGCGATCGAGCAAGCCGCGATGGACGACGACAGTACTCTATTAACCGAGGATCAACTTTTGGCTACATCAGACGTCTTCAATCCCGACTGCGACCCGTTACAAAATACCTGTCTTCAAGGAGCGTCTGAAGTTGAACCGCATCTGTCAAAACGTCAAGCGACCCAAAACGTGGTCGTGGAAACGGTCATCCAAGTGGTGGATACCAACTCTCAGACTCTTTGGCAGTCCGTAGGAGTGGATTTTCCAATGACTATTTCCGATCCTGCTTTCGGCGCTGTTACCCTCTCGGCTGGCGAGACTGCATTCTCATCCGAGCCACCAAAGATTGCGACCTCTCCAACAGCTCTGCCGACAATACAGTCCGCGAATTCCACAATCGAGGCTACTAGTCCCACGAGCAAGCAGACCGCAACCGTCTTTTCGCCAAAGGCATCATCCGCCATCAGCTCCACGCCTCACACCTCAATTCCTCTGATCTCCACATCAACGTCAACATCATCACCTACTACGTCTTTTATTCCGACGAGTATTGATTCTACGTCAAACGAAATCTCGAAATGGCCCGGTGAATCTAGTCCCTCCAGCTCTACTTCATCGAACTGGTACGGTGGCTCTGAATTTACTGGCACTGGTTCCAGCAGCGGACCAGCTGCAACGACTAGTAACACCGAGTCCGCGTCGGAATCAGGATCGGGGTTAGGATCAGGAGCTATTGATCCCACCACCTCGAAAATTGTCGGTGGTGTCGTGGGAAGTGTGGCTGGTGTTGCTCTTCTTCTCCTGTTGGTCCTCTTCTTCTTTCGTCGACGAAGTCTACAGCAGAAAGGTACTCAGGCCTTGCCTGCTGCGGCTGACTCTGGACCGCGGGAAGTGGCCGAACGACGAACTAGTAAAGATCCCCTCTTTGGTTCATCTTACCTTGCACCTGCTTTCATGAAGCGCTGGCGTCAGTCGACCATGACGACAAAGACGGACACCAGTACTATTTCTTCCAACCCCAGTGAACGAGGCTTCCAAAAGATCTCGGGACGCAAGATTCCACCAGTCCTTACTCATGGAGGCGATGGCTTTGGCGGTGGGCTTGATGGTGATTCTCCAACCATCCCTGAATTTCTCGGTGGTTTATCGCCTTCATCTCCTGGCGGTCCGCTTTCTTCGCCCTCCCACGCACCACCTACCGCAACACCCTTTGGTATGCCGCTTGATACCAACTACACCCGAGAAGCAGAAGAGAATACCACACCGACTCGACCCCGCCAGGTTCACCTCCCGGTTTCGAGCTCGGTGACCTATGGTTCTCCGACAACCATCACTCCATCGCATCCGATTGCCCAGCCCCAGAGTGCGATGCCAGTGTCTCCGCCTCGGAAAGATGGCCTGGGACGCAGTCTTCCAAGCTTCGATGGAAGCCGTGACAGTCGCGGTAGTCGCTTCACGGAAAGTCTGGACTTGTGATTCACACTGTAAGATATGGGATACGCGACACGAAAAAAAGCCGATGTGATTATGGAAAGGGTAATTTTTCGAGCGCATCGATCGTTAGCCAGCATGTTCGATTTCTGTTTCCTTTTTCAGCCTTTCTACCTTGAACATTTTTGCTTATCTACAGTACCTCTGACGCATCTTGCGACTATCTTCTGTCTTTCTCTTACTCTCATCCTGTCTGATTAGATACCCCTTATTTATATTGCCCCTCTTGCTGCTTTGCTTTGCCACTAATCGCTCTTTTGGATATTCGGCCCCCCTGCTTGGAGAACATTTGTAGTTATGGTTATGAGCCTCCTTATGGTACTAGGCTCCGATTCTCTGCATCTTACGATAATTCTTAATTGAAGCCTAATTCTTACCTCAGAAAACGTATAATGCGGGAGCCTGGAAGAGGGCAGTGTAAATTTAAGTAGCGTAGGAGGGCTGTAACTTCAGGTCCCATCATCCAGTCTCACAATTCTTGTCCGATGCTGCCTATCCCGCATCTCAGCCACAAGACCCGGGTTAGCATGCACGGGATTGTGTATCAAGTGGATACACGCAAGCGATCGCGTAGGCGGCTGAAGTGGTTGAATAGGCAGGTAAAACCGTAAGGGATGGCGATGACCTCGAGCGTAGGTCTGCGGCCATCCACGTGACATGCACCGCCACGAATGATACCTCAGCCACAGGTGGCACCCGGGTGTGAAACTGTGGCGAATGTCCCAGTCCGATCGTCAACGCCGAACCATTTGCAGCCACACTGCAACTCTACTACTCGATCAAGGATCCGTTGCAAAATCGGCCCCAAAAGGTTGGCATCCATCTCTGTCTGGATTCCTCACGCTGATATAACCCACACTTATTGGTGCTTCGTGGCGTCGGAGTGCTCTCCCGCTCCAGCATTGACCCATACCATTGACACGCTCACAGCAAAGTACTGCTCGGCCAGATGACGCACTCAGCCAAGTTCACGCCTCCTTGCCGAGGAAAGCATGGGTTTGAAATCGTATACGGTCGATGGCGCTCTCAACATGACCCCTTGACACAAAGGCGGGGTTCCCTGGCGTGAATTGTCATTCGCAGAGGCCAGTGAGGCTGTGTCGCGCGGCGGCAAGCCCAATCTCGTCACGCCCAGACTTTATTGGACCGCTCTCACTTGGCGGACCTGGTCAAAGTCGGATGTGGACGCATGTGTGCGGGCGTCTCGCCAGAGCTGTATCAACCTCACATTAGTTCGGTCTCCGCGCCGACAGTCCACGATGTGTCCAGTTGTGTGCTACCGACGATCTTTGTACTTCGCCTAGCTATGATTCATCCCCCAGCTGTTGTCTACTTTACCATCCATATTCACCTGCGCCGTATACCTCAGACCTGCTCTTTGCCGCCGAACGGGGCTGTGCTTGAGTGCTCCAACGTAATCGGGAGACGTTGCAAATTGATCAGCATACAATAACCGCATCGCCCCTCTAGCCTTTGGGTAGGGAAAATTCCTCTCCTTGGCATCTGTCTCCCTTCGCTAGTGGCTTCCCGGACGGAGTCTACGACCTAGAGGTCCCTCATACCAGAGCCGCCGAGCAACAGCACAGCCCCCTACGAGAGGGGAATAACAGGACCGAACCCCGTCCTCTGAAACGGTTTTCCAAAACGAAAGTATCTTGCATATCCAATAGCCAGTTTCGGTGCAACTTAGCACCCCATGGCTTCATCATCAAAAGATTCCCCCCAACAGGACTCTTTTCTGAGCCCTGTCGTTGTGACGAATCCCTCGGGTAGAGAGGTACATAGCCCAAACACTCCATCGGGCGGCAAACCTATACTAATACCGCTTGTACAGCATTCTTTATCAGTCTCAACCGCCGCTGCATCTTCTTCAGGATCTGGTCCGACATCTTCAACATCACCAGCATCTCCTACCTCTTCACTTTCGCCCGATATGGCGTGGAATCCGGATCCAGCACGGTTAATGGTCCACCATTCTTCTCATCGAACTTCATCATCAATAGACGGCGAGACTTTACGCTCACGCTCAGAGTCGTTCGCATCTTCTGCGCCTACGATGGGCCCAGTTCGATCTAGAACTAACTCTGAAGTTACCCACAAAGCCATCTACGATGATGTCTCTCTATCAGAGGCACTTACGCCAGATCCTCGCAACGAAGCAGACTTTATTGTGCAGAGCAATCGGTTTGCCTTTTCTCCTGGGCAGCTGAATAAAATGCAGAACCCCAAATCTCTTGCAGCCTTCCATGCTCTCGGTGGGCTGCAAGGATTGGAACGGGGTCTTCGCACAGATCTGACTGCTGGTCTCTCTGTGGACGAGGCTCGATTGGAAGGCACTGTTGATTTCCAACAAGTTACACCCCCAATGTATGACAAGCGCCCTTCAGTAAGCAAGCCGCCCCTTGATACTCCCCCGGCACCGGTCTCTGCTGGTGTTGGCTCGCCATTTGAAGACCGTGTCAGGGTTTTTAGTGAGAACAGGCTGCCAGCCAGGAAGTCGACTGGCTTCTTCAAGCTCTTCTGGATTGCATACAACGATAAAATAATCATACTCTTGACTATCGCCGCTATTGTGTCCTTATCCCTGGGCATTTACGAGACAGTGGACGGAGGAACAGGTGTGGACTGGGTGGAAGGTGTCGCTATCTGCGTTGCCATTCTCATCGTCACCATTGTCACGGCTGCCAACGACTGGCAAAAGGAAAGACAATTTGCAAAGCTTAATAAGAAGGTGAGTGGCCCGATCAGAGCTCAAGACTTTTACTGATTCATTCCAGAATAATGACCGCGAGGTCACGGTAGTCCGATCGGGCAAGTCCATGAAGATTTCCGTCTACGATATAATGGTCGGCGACATCCTCCACCTTGAACCTGGTGACTCTATCCCCGCCGATGGAATTCTGGTCTCGGGTCATGGTGTTAAATGTGATGAGTCGTCCGCTACTGGAGAATCGGATCAGATGAAGAAGCTTGATGGCCATGAGGTCTGGCAGCAGATCGTCGAAGGCACTGCAACCAAAAAGATCGATCCGTTCATGATTTCCGGGAGTAATGTCCTTGAGGGCGTTGGCACCTACGTGGTTACTAGCGTCGGACCTTATTCTACCTATGGTCGGATCATGCTGTCTTTGCAGACGACGAATGACCCAACACCACTTCAAGTCAAGCTGGGCCGTCTTGCAAACTGGATTGGATATTTGGGCTCGGGGTAAGTTTACCAACAGGACTTCTCATGAGTAGCATACTGACAAAGACTAGTGCTGCCATTATTCTCTTCTTCGTTTTATTGTTTCGATTCGTTGCCGACCTTCCGAACCACCCCGACACGAGTCCCGCTGTCAAAGGAAAAGAGTTCGTCGATATTCTGATTGTTGCTGTTACGGTTATCGTCGTGGCCATCCCAGAGGGCCTTCCACTGGCAGTCACTCTTGCGTTGGCATTTGCTACTACTCGCATGGTCAAGGAGAACAACCTTGTTCGTGTTCTTCGTGCGTGTGAGACCATGGGAAATGCCACTGTTATCTGCTCGGACAAGACTGGAACCTTAACACAAAACAAGATGACCGTTGTTGCGGGCACCTGGGGAACAAGCAAAAGCTTCCAATCGTCGGGAGAGGATGAGATGTCCACTTCTGTCTTCCAAGAGTTCTCTGACCCAGCGCGAGACCTGATTGTTAAGAGTGTTGCCCTTAACTCGACTGCCTTTGAAGACAGCCAAGGGCAATTTGTTGGTAGCAAGACTGAAGTTGCGCTCCTCCAAATGGCCCAGGATTATCTCGGCATGGACCTCGCATCTGAGCGAGGATCTTCTGAGATCGTTCAGCTCATTCCCTTCGACTCTGCGAGGAAGTGCATGGGTGTGGTTTACAAGACTAGTGGCAGTTACCGGCTTCTTGTGAAGGGTGCTTCCGAACTCATGGTAGACGCTTGCAACATGAAGATCACAGACGTCGCTACTGCCGAGAAGATCTTGCCGACCGAATCCCTTTCTGAGTCGGAGAAACGGGCTATTTTGGAAACAATCGATCAGTACGCCAAGAAGTCGCTTCGCACAATTGGTATCGTGTACAAGGACTTTGCTTCGTGGCCTCCTGCCAAGAACCTCGACGAAGAGTCATCTTTTGATGAGGCCTTCCAAGGCATGACTTGGGCCGGAGTCGTGGGAATTCAAGACCCTCTTCGCCCTGAGGTTCCACCGGCAATTCGCAAATGCCATTCTGCCGGAGTTCAAGTCAAGATGGTCACTGGCGACAACGTTGCAACTGCAACCGCGATTGCTTCTTCTTGTGGCATTAAGACCGACGATGGACTCGTTATGGAAGGTTTCAAGTTCCGACAGCTATCAGACGAGGAAATGGACCGCGTGATCCCTCGCCTTCAAGTACTGGCGCGTTCCTCACCAGAGGATAAGCGTATCTTGGTCGAGCGCCTCAAGGTCCTAGGTGAGACTGTCGCAGTCACCGGCGACGGCACCAACGATGGTCCAGCCCTGAGAACTGCCGATGTCGGCTTCGCGATGGGTGTCGCAGGCACTGAAGTCGCCAAGGAGGCGTCTGACATTATCCTACTCGATGATAACTTCTCGTCCATCGTGACTGCAATTTCTTGGGGACGCGCTGTCAATGACGCTGTTGCCAAGTTCTTGCAGTTCCAGATTACTGTCAACATTACGGCTGTCGTTTTGACTTTTGTGTCTTCCGTCTACAGCAGCTCAAACAGCAGTGTTCTCAACGCCGTTCAATTACTCTGGGTCAACCTGATTATGGACACCTTTGCTGCCCTTGCCTTGTGAGTATACCCTCTCTTATATTTCTTGTGCTCTACTAACAATGCTACAGGGCTACCGATGCCCCTACAGAAAAGATTCTCGATCGCAAACCCGTTCCCAAGAGCGCTTCCCTCTTTACCATGACAATGTGGAAAATGATCTTGGGACAGGCAGTATACCAACTCGCCGTGACCTTCATGCTCTACTTCGCCGGCGACAAACTCCTTGGCGCCCACCTCGACAGCGTCGACCTAGACCACCGCTCCAAGCAGCTCTCCACAGTGGTCTTCAACACATTCGTCTGGATGCAAATCTTCAACGAATTCAATAACCGTCGTCTCGATAACAACTTCAATATCTTCGAAGGCATGCTCCGGAACTACTGGTTCCTCGGAATCAACGCCGTCATGGTCGGTGGTCAAGTCATGATCGTCTACGTTGGTGGCGAAGCCTTTGGCGTGACCCCGCTGTCAAGCATTCTCTGGGCTGTCTGTATCATCTGCGCATTAGGATGCTTGCCTTGGGCTGTTGTTCTGCGCATGTTGCCTGATCGCCACTTCGGAATCGTGTTCAATGCGGTCGTGGGTGCTCTGAATTTCATCTTGAAGCCGATCATCAAGGGCTTCAATGCCATTTTCCAGCCGCTCGCGCGAGCTGCTCGTCGCCTCTTCTCTCGACAGAAGCAGCAGAATGCCGATGCCCCACAGGAGCTCTCTGACACTCCTGAATCTCGTGTTGTTACGGACGAGGAGTCTCCTGCTCCAGCCAAGTTGGCTCGACAGGAAAGTTCCGAGCGTCCGCGGACACCACCAACGATTGTTGTGCCTCCTATTACGGTCACAGCTTCTCCTTGAGTCATATAGCATTGTTCCGAGCCTTTTCCTGTTTTGTTTCATTTCATGTACGATATAGAGCGTGAGCGTTGGGTGGTTATTAGCGTGCTTTCTTACTGCGAACTTATACTGATGTACAGAGTATACTCCTGCAATACAAATACAAGGATACATTTTTCTACTATACTCGGAATTATTTAGTACCATGTAATCTACGAGGCAAAGCCAGAACTGCACCGGGCACAATATTCCATTGTCAAACTATGAGCAGTCAGCTGCATCTCATCAACCGAAATGACACAAATCATACTCACAGCATATATTACAGACCCAATTACGATATGCCACGGACGAGTGGCCAGCCGCAAGTCGCTAGCGGGACAGCCGGGGAACTATACAAGTTAGCGTCAGTCGATATGGAAACGGCCTGGACTAAGCAAGGAGGAAATACATTCACTAGCACGAATTTCCTTGATGCCATCCAACAGACCCTCCAGCGCAGCAGTCACACCGTATCCATTGTCCTCGCCAGCCTGAAGAATGAGGGCTTGAGCACGAAGAGTCGAGACGATGTTATTGGCCATGCATACCTCTGACGGCGTGATGTTGGGGACTGCGTTTGCTGGGGCACTGAGCGAGCGGGTACGCTGGACGTCGTTGGCGATGCCGTTTAGGATGTGCGCAACCTCTTCGAAGCGGGTTTTCTTCGGCAGGCGCATCAAGAGACCGGGGATCTCGCGGATGCGGGTGAGGTAGGACTCGAGGTTCTGCACGAAGACGCTGCTAGCAGAGGACATGGTGGGCTGTGGGGAGGGTGAGTTCTCGGGTGGCCTTGAGAGGAGGTTAGTAGGGGTGGGGGTTGGAGGAGTAGATGGTCAAGTGAGTTCGGGTACTGGTGTAGTTCGCTTGGGTGTTGACCTGGGCGCTTTGGTAGTCTCCTGCGATTTACGTTTGCAAATGGCGCCTTTTCTTTCACAACTGGCAGACTCGTCATTAAACACTTTTTAATTGGGGTGTCTTCTTTGCAAAAAGTTGTAACACGAAACTGTGACACTGTTACAAACTGACAAAGGTCTTGTTCGCAAATCAACGCAGAAAGATCATTGTTTGATTGCCCAAGTGCATTATTTTCATTATTCTTTCTTCCTCAAGTACCTTTGCTCATACTAGGCACTGGTCAAAGTCATATTCATGGGTGGTGCAGTGCGGCTTGGGGGCGCCGGCGAGGTGTCTTCGGAATAGCTTCAACTCAGCACCCGCACGAAACCCACGCAGCGCCAAGCCACCAGGGACACCAAAGGTTCGGGAAAATGCGCGGATCGAGCCCAGTTGATTGGCCAGTACCCCTGAGATGGACTTAGTCATCACACAGGGGTCTCCACCGTACATCCACCTGCTGTATATATTGGCCATCTGGCGATATCATTCAGGTTTGGGGACTTATAATAACTAGTCGCGGGTGAGTGGCGCAGTTGGTGAAACGACTGCTGCATTGAAGCGAGTCCCTGGTTCGAAACCGGCCCATGGCGTTCGATTTCGCAGAGGTGTCCTCGCACCTGCCCGCCCCCATGGGGGCAGGTCGCCTTGAAGGCAGCGATCACCCAAAGGAAGGCTTAGTAAGCGGATTCGTTTTGTACCTGGATGCCTCAGGCATACACATTTCTCGGGATGAGGTTGGGCAGGTGATTGGCGATAGCATCACCGCGCATCGTTTCCAGGGTTGGATTTTATAGCCTGGCGCTACGGCTCCGGATGAATTTCATGAATCTCGTAAAATCATAAATTAGCTATCGAACGAGCTAGTTTGCGGTTTCGTAGGCCCTTTCCTCGTTGAAATTCCGGATTGAAAATGACAGGTCTGATGCAAGATATAAAGAAAATCCCTCTTAATCCACCTTTCTCCTCATTATTCAGTTATCTCTTCAGTAAATTGACATATCAAGCAAACAGGATAATTCTGCTTCACACAAAATTATGCCGTCTTGGGCAAGGAGCTAGAGATTGACGATCGTGAGGTCAAGATTTGGATAATTCATGGAGGTTCGACAGGATCATTTGCCGAAACTTAAATCCACTTTAACGTCATTGGTGCTTGGGACTTTTTAGGATCGATATGAACGAGCAAATTTCAAGCAATGATAAGCACCTCCTTTGAAACCGGGAATGGTCACTCATGATTCTCGAATGATCTGCGGGCATGGGAATCTCATCCCGTCGATTGCTTGCAGCTTAACCGATCCCGAATCTCGTTGGGCCGACGGGGTTTCTCTGAAGGCCACTCGGAGACCGCTGCATGATTTTATCGTGGCCATCTTCTTCAAGATGTCCGACTTTCATGATCTGCTGGAAAGGAGATCGACTGCATGCATTCTCTGGTGGACCACACGTGGGGATCGCCCACTGAGCACGCCGCCGAGGCTCACGGCTCGGTCGGATCCCCACACCTCGCAAGGGTCACTCCGTTGAGTATCCTTGCCGCAACAGCTGTCAATCATTGTCTCAAGCCCTCTTTTCTTGCTGAAGAGACCCAAAACGGAGTGCCTCGGCTCCCCCGCAATGGTTCCCTGAAACGCCCAGCGGTACTCTCACGATGGTTGACCCATACTCCGAGCACCGTGGGAGCTCGCATTGCTTTCTTTTTTTGGAACAAACCAATGTGAGCCGAGAGATGCCGTCCACGGTAACTATAAGACAGCTATGGCGCGCCATGCAAAGCCCCCATACCTTGACCGTCCATATTAATTTACCACGATGGAAGACTACGACGTGATCATTATCGGCGCCGGCATCTCCGGCATCAACGCTGCCTATCGCCTCCAATCCCAGTTTCCGAAGCTTCGGTATGCGATCCTTGAGACACGCGAGGACCTCGGCGGTACCTGGGACCTCTTCAAATACCCCGGTATTCGCTCCGATAGTGACCTTTTTACCTTCGGCTTTGCCTGGCATCCTTGGGATTCAGATAACCCGATCGCGCATGGCCATTCTATTGTCAGCTACCTGAAAAGCGCGGCTGCGAAATACGGCATCACGGACCATATCCTCTTCAAGCATCGTGTGGTGGGTGTCGATTGGTCTTCCGTTGACAATAATTGGTCGCTCAGTGTCGATTGCGAGAAAACATCGAAGATGCTTTCGGCTCGGTTCCTCGTCTTCGGTACTGGCTACTACGACTACAACACCCCTTTGCAAACCGAGATCCCGGGACTGGACCAGTTTCAAGGACAGATCGTGCATCCGCAATTCTGGCCGGAAGAACTCGACTATACAGGCAAGAAGGTCGTCATTATTGGAAGCGGAGCCACAGCCATCACTCTCTTACCGAGCATGGCCGACAAGGCAGCACATGTCACTATGCTCCAAAGAAGCCCGTCTTACATCCTCTCTTTACCCAATAGGACTGCCTCCTGGTTAGGATCGATAATTCCCACGTCACTCCATCGTCGACTCCAGCGCATCCGGTTCCTGTACATATCTCGCTATTTCTTCCTTTTCTGCCAGTCCTTCCCAAACTTCTCCCGCTGGCTCCTCGGCCAATCGATGAGTCGTCAGCTCCCAAAGAATATTTCTTCTGACCCTCACTTCAAGCCTCGCTACAATCCATGGGATCAGCGTCTTTGTGTTTGCCCCGATGGTGACTTCTTTAAGAGTCTACATACCGGCCGAGCAAACGTGAAGACCGACACTATCCGCACTATAACCTCCTCGGGCATGGAGTTGAACTCTGGTGATAAACTCGACGCTGACATCATCGTCACGGCCACTGGTCTCCGTCTCCAGCTTGCAGGGGCCATTTCTCTCTGTGTCGACGGAGTTCCTCTGCATGCTCCAGACAAGTTCACATGGCGCGGTGTCATGCTACAGGACCTGCCCAATGCTGCCTTCCTTCTGGGCTATGTCAATGCGTCCTGGACTCTTGGCGCTGATGCATCATCGCAGTTCATCTGTCGCTTATTGGGAGAAATGAACGAGCGGGGAGTCAAGGCTGCTGTCCCAAGAATGGAGATTGAAACTGCAAAGCAGATGGTTCCGCGTCGTCTGTTGAACTTGAATTCTACCTACGTGCTGAAGGCTCAGGACAGCTTTCCAAAGGCTGGTGATCAGGGGCCCTGGAAGCCACGCGACAACTACTTTGACGACATAAAGTTTGCGAAGAGCCGTGGCGCACTCGAGGGACTGGAGTTCCTTGGGGAGAAGAAGATGCTGTAGTTATATCACAATTCGGGCCTTTCGATTGACGTTATTGAGCGAGAAGTGAATGAATATTCTTTTAAAAGTGAAAATAAAGGACCTTGTAGATATCCAGCTCGCCTTGGGCTGCTGGAGAAATACCCTCGTAAGCTGCATTGAGTCTGGGTGCTGCTGTGGAGACAGGGCCCAGGCCTGGATTCTTACACTGTAGCTCTACACTAGTTTCCTTGTTGATAGAAGCCATGAGTTGAATGGGTTACGTTGAGATTCACTTCAATGCACACAGTAGAAGCCTATTACGATTCGGTCAAAGAGAGTAGTCATACTCTAACATGAATTAATTAGGGAATTAGGGTATCCTTGCATGTAAAAGCACAAAGGGGCACCATTAGAAATCGGAGATCACAAAGGGCAGATAATAGTACAAATGGTGCCCCCAAATTCAATCGAGAAAATAAGCGGGCGTGTGCGAAAACAAACGGTCCACAAATGTGAGGCCTGCGAAAAGATTGTTTGGCAATGATGGGCTTAAGCACCATCCTGCTTCTCCTTGTCACCCTCCTTCTTCTTCTGCTCCTCCTCTTCCTCCTCATTCTTCTTCTCCTCCTCGGCACGCTTCCTCTTCAGCGCTTTCATGCGGCGCTGATGCTGGAGTTGGGCAGGAACCCGCGGGGCCGAGCGGACGCGCAGAGCAGCGACCTCTGCAGAGTTCCTAACGTTAGGCATGTATTGAGATCCAGGAGACGATGGATACTGACCCGAAAGAACATAGTCCCACCTCTCTTGCTCCAGCTGCTGCTGAGATTCCATTCGCTGCTGCATTTCCTGGAACAATCCCCTCACTTCGTTCATATCATCCCGCAACTCCCGGCGGAGTCGATCCACAGCATCGACGACCCCGGACTGGCACGCCGATGCAATGTGGTCATTTTGACCGCATCGGTGACACTTCAACACCCCAGTCATTGAATAAAGAGGATTGAAACGTTGGGTACTACTCACATGTATTGGGGGCTCCGGAACGGAGCAAGTGTCAATGGGACGGCCCGTCCACCAGGGATCTCTGAAGCTTCGTGGGATGCGGCTAATTTCTCGGCGATCCATATTGAAATAGACTACTAGTAGACAGACAGGGTCAGTAAGACTCGGTTCCGTGTATCTGGTGGCTGGAATAGATGGGTTCATGGAGTTTACTCACTTGGAAATGGTTGTTGTGGGATTTCGCTGAAGCCGTAGACAAGATAACAAGAGGTGATTCGCGGTGGGCAAGATGATCGACCTTGTATGCGTGGGCGGCCCGTGCCCGTCCTGCTATCGTCTGCTTAGGCAGGCGCGATGAGTCACGAGATCTACCTATACCCTACCTTAGGGTACCTGTCCTAGATCTACTCAGTCTGCTGGCCGACAAGGAGGGTCTGCCAAGTTGCAGCATCCTAAGAAAGTGTTCTATTCTCTCCCTCGGATTATCCAAACACCTTCTCATACCCAGTAAGCGTGAAGCGATAATGAACATCACCCTTCTTCATACGCTGCATTGCCTCCTTGATGCCTTCCTCGCTGATAGGAATTTCCTCGACCCAGCTCTTGAGTCCCTTATCTGCAGCCAGCTGCAACATCTCAAGCATCTCCCGACGGCTTCCCAGATGACTCGCCCCAATGAGCACACCATTCGAGATGAGATTCTGAGCTTTGATGACCTGGCCCTCTTCCTCTGGCAATCCAACACTAATCCAGCGCCCATGAACATCCATCATGGACAGGTACTTCGCCAGATCAAAGCCCTCTGACGAATTGGCGCAGTTGATAATCAAATCGAACGAGAACCGATGCGGCACCTCCCAGCCCTCCTCAGCCGTAGCAATATACCCATCCGCACCGAGCTTCAGCGCATCAGCCTCCTTCGCACGAGACCGAGAGATAGCCCAAGTTTCCGCTCCGAGCGCCTTAGCGAACATCACGCCGAAATGACCAATACCTCCAAGACCAACAACACCGACCTTCTTCCCCGGACCAGCATTGTTCCGCACCAGAGGGGAGTAAGCCGTGAGACCGGCGCAGAGCATCGGTGCAACAGTGTTGGTATCGAGGGCATCGGGGATGGGGAAGACCCATCGTTCATGGGTCCGCACATGAGAGCTGTATCCACCCTGGCTGACAATTCCGGTCTCGGGCCACTCCGAGCCGTAAGTGTCCATCATGTGGACAGGGCAATATGTTTCGTTCTCGTTGCGGCATTGCTTGCATTCACCGCAGGAGTAGGACTGGGCGCCGACACCAACGCGCTGACCCTCGTTGATGAGGGTCACCTTGGGACCCACACGAATGGCACGTCCGATGATTTCTGGTTGAGTTAGTTGCTGATTAAAGCTCTGGGGATACTTGAACTTACCATGGCCGACACAAAGAGGGAATTTCTGCTCGCCCCAGCCGCCGCTGATGGTATGGACGTCACTGCCACATACACCGCAGGCTTCAATCTTGATATCGATGTCTGTATTTAGGGCTCAATGTTAAAGCGAATACAAGTACGACAGGAGCTTATGATAAAGACGCACCATAGTCGCCAAACGGCTTCAATTTGAACTGTATGCATCAAGAATACGCATTAGAGGTAGCCTATTTCCAGAAATTGTTGGCAACTCACGAAACGCTTGTTGAAATCGGTGATTCCAGGTGCGTCAACCTGGAAACCTTCAGCTTCCTCGGGATAAGGCATTTCAATTGATGAGTTAGAGCAAGGCAGATGATTTTTGAGCTGGAAGAAAAAACAAAAATAGGAAGAGATCGGAACCCCAGCAGATAAGATCTTTGAAGGCTAGACACCGTCTGGCAAGGCGTGGGGTAAACCAAGCGGGCCATATCTCGGACATACTGCGCTGCTGAGCACTATTCTCGACCGAGAAACCTGAGCACTAGAATTAATTGGTGAAGCTACGTGGGGATTCTCTAGTATGCTTTCATGGCTGTAGATGGGTATGGGAGATGGATAAAGGCGGAGGTGAGAATTTTCCACCTATTGGAACTCATGCAATAGAGACAAGGTGGATACAGAGCTTACTTGAAACACTATTCGGTCGGGGAATCATATCAGGCAGAGAGAAAAAGTCAGGAAACTAGAAAGGAAGAAGAGCGTGGGGACCTTGAGGGAATCAGTCCCCAAATTGGATTTTTACTCTATTCAGACAGATTCCAAAAATTCGAACTATTGTCGCAATCCATCATGTACAATTTCATTCTGTACAATTTCATTCCGTAGATAATTCCTATTGTGCGTTACTTTTCACATTGGCTAATACAGATCCTTCAGCGAAAGCTCGACCTCCAACGCATCCTTAATCTTATCCGCAATAGCTTTGGCCTTGTCATCACTGAGACGTGCCAACGGACGGCGCGGGTATCCACCATATCCATAGTAAGACTGAATGGCAGACTTGGTACCGGGGATAGCAGCCTTGGTGAGAACCCAATCGGCAGCGCTGAGCTGCTGCTGCGCCTCCATGGCCTCGGCCAGACGGCCCTCAGACCACAGAGTGAAGATGCGCACACACAGACGAGGAATGACATTAGCACCACCGGCCAGGATGGCACTTCCGCCAGAGACAAGAGTCTGGAGGCTGAAGTCGGCAATCCCGCCGAAAGCAACGTAGGGATGCGTTGCGTTGGGCTTAGAGACAGTTGGGGTGGGACGGGTGGCGCTGGCCAGAGGGGGAGGCCTGCTGGATGGCACCGAGGGCGTTCGCGACACGGGTGAGCTTTCCAGTGTTGGCACAGGTGAACTTCGTCCCGACGATGTTTGGGTGCGAGGAAATGCGAATTATAAGGTCGGAGTCCATGTCGATACCGGCCACGGCACCGGGGTAGTTATACAGAACCAGGCCAATAGGAGAGGCGTCTGCGACGGCTGTAAAGTATTCGTATAGAGTGTCGTCGTTGCCGACGGCGTATCGGTAGTAGCTTGGTGGTAGGATGAGGGCATACTCGGCGCCTGCGGCAGCGGCATCCTTGCACAGCTCGATGGCGCCACGGATGCTCTGCTCGCTGGTACCGGCGATGACCGGAACATTTTGGAAGCCGGCTTCGTCAAGGGCAGAGCGAGTCTCGCGGGTCACGGTCGAACGCTCTTCGCGAGTCAAATGCACGGCTTCACCATTGCTGCCCATGGTCACCAGGCCAACCAGACCGGCCTTGGCGAGGCGCACGGCGTGGCGGCGGATTGAGGCGACATCGAGAGACTCGTCGTCGTTGAAGAAGGTCATTGTCGGCGCGTAGACGCCGGGGCGGAGTGGAGTGAGCGGCATGGTGCTAGAATATGGTGAGTCTGATATCGCAACGGTCAACTAGGTGCACACATACTGCAGATTTTGTGTAGTAGTTATATGGTAGAAATGGAATTGGACGCCAAAAGATTCTCCTTAAGAAGAAAGCGCCCTGTGCGGGCTGGGGTAATACTTGCAGCAAATCCCCCCACGTCGGCGAATTCCCCGAGCTTCCTGAATGGCGGAGGATATATATCCACCAATTGCCGATAGCCTCAGTGGGGCGCAGATTGTGGGGGGTTGTCTGTGTTTCGGCGGCATGACATCGACGGGCGCGGGGCGGTTGACGCGACTCGGCCATTACTGCGCCGAAAGGTGCGAGGAATACGAATTGAACAGCAGGACTAAATTGGGCAATTCTATATTATATTGTCCATTTAGTCGGTGCAGTAATTTAATGAGAGCTAGGTACCAGTAAAGCATTTCAAGAGAGAATTCGCGTGGAATCACCGCGACTGCTTGGTTGCTACCCCGCCGATCAGATAGCCGGCTATCGAAATTGCCCCAAGGTACCGCTGGCTATTTCAAAAGCCGGCCACTCGTGGAAGAATTATGTCGAAGGAACCTCCGGGGTTTCTCTTCTTATTCAACTTCTCTCCTCCCAGTTCCTCAGTGCCAATTCTTTCGCAGAAATCACCATGGCTCCTCCTAGCGTTTTGATGGTGAGTTCTGCTGTCTCCAACGTTCAATGCACGGCGCAAACTAACGGCACTAGGTCGGCACCGGTGAGTACACCACCGGCTACGTCGATGGTGCTGCCTCGAGCTCGGACAAGAAGGTCGGCGTCGTGGGTCTGACTCTGTTTGACTTGCGCCGCCGTGGAAAGGTCGGCGACCTTTCGATGGTGGGTGTTTCGGGCAGAAAGTTCCCCGGCATTCGTAAGTCAAGGCCGTCCTGTTAAGCTCCAGAGAAATGAGCTAACCAAGCTTTCAAAGGGGACCACCTGCATCGCAACATCTCCCAGGTGTATAACGGCCTCGATACCTCCTTCGCCTCATTCCCGGCCGACGACCAGACCGATCCGGACGCGTACAAGGCCGCCATTGACGCGCTGCCCAAGGGCTCCGCAATCACAATCTTCACCCCAGACTCGACGCACTACCCAATTGCGCTGTACGCCATTGAGCGCGGTCACCACGTCCTGATCACCAAGCCCGCCACCCAGCGACTGGCCGATCACCTGGCCCTGGTCGAAGCCGCCCGGAAGAACGGTGTCTTCGTCTTCATCGAGCACCACAAGCGCTTCGACCCGGCCTACTCGGATGCCCGAGCAAAGGCCAAGAACCTGGGTGACTTCAACTACTTCTACTCCTATATGAGTCAGCCCAAGAGCCAGCTGGAGACCTTCAAGGCCTGGGCTGGCCGCGACTCGGATATCTCCTACTACCTCAACTCGCACCACATCGATATCTGCGAGAGTATGGTGCCGGACTACAAGCCCGTGCGAGTCACGGCCACGGCGTCTCAAGGTATCGCCGCTGAACTGGGCTGCGTGCCTGAGACAGAGGATACTATTACCCTGCTGGTAGAATGGCGACGCAAGGATAACCCGGCTAAGATTGCCACGGGTGTATACACGGCTTCGTGGACAGCCCCCCAGAACGCTGGCGTTCACTCCAACCAATACTTCCACTGTATGCAGTTTCCGTTCACGTTTGCTGAGATTCGATGCTAATGATACGTCCAGATATGGCTGCCAATGGCGAGGTCCGCGTCAACCAGGCCAAGCGTGGTTACGATGTGACCGGCGACGACCAGGGTCTGATTTGGGTGAACCCGTGAGTACTTACATCGCCAACTACTCGACCCAACACAACTAACCCCGTACCTGCAGCTTCTATATGAAATATGCCCCCGACGAGGAAGGAAACTTCGGTGGCCAGACTGGCTACGGCTACATCAGTTTCGAGAAGTTTATTGACGCTGTCACTGGAGTGAATGAAGGTCGCTTGACCCTCGATCAGCTGGATGCCCGGCCCTTGCCCACCTTGAAGAATACTATTGCGACTACGGCGATCCTCGATGCTGGCCGCAAGTCGTTGGATGAGAGACGGCCAGTGGAGATTGTTTCAGATGGAGCCAAGTGGGAGCTGAAATAATATTTGATGTAGGATTAGCTAAAGTAGTACAGCGAAAGGATATCAAATACGCTCATCAAGCAATCCGAATTCAAGTAATAGCACTAGAACGCCTCCCAACCTAAACCGTAGTATGCATTCCTAGACGCCATGCAAGCCAATGTTAGGCCTGCCCCGTGGTATCACTTTCAACGCCGTGAGCCAGCCTTGACAATCCCATCCGTTCCCGGCTGTCTGCAGCTCGGGCAGAACCATTTACTCGTCCGTGGCGGAACTTCCGATAGACCGACGCAGTCGAGGTGGAACCATTCCTTGTCACACTAAAAAAAATTAGCCAGGGGGGAAATGATGTAGAGAGGAAAGAGGGGTACTTACGTCTTGGTTCTCGCAGCAGATCATCAAACCGAAACTCACATCGCCGCATAGACAGTAGCGTGGCTCGTCCGCGATTTCCTCAACGACGCCATCCTCATCAATCCGGATATCCATATCCTGAAGCTTGCCGGTGCTGTCCTGGGCCTTCCCGGTGCTGATGCGCTTCTTAGGCTTAGCCTTACGACGGCCGTAACTAACAGCCGCGCCGCCATCTTGACCGGTAGAAATGGGACCAGGGGCCGGGCGCTTGCGGCGCCGGGTTGGTGCAGGAACGTTTGGGGCATGAGGTTGTTCTCGAACGGGGGTTTTGCGAGCAGGTGTGGCACTCTTGATGCGGATATCGCGTCCACCGGCTTTGGCGTCTCCCAACAAAGACCCAAACTCGGTCGTTGCGGCCGCCGCAGATCGCCGTGATGAAGGGCGTGTGGCGGGAGGCGTGGTTGTGCCGGCATGCTGTATGGCGGACCGAGTGGATCGTCGCGAACCTGTTGGAGAGGGAGGGGGTTGAGGAGCATTCTCGGGAGATTCAGGAGCAATTTCTGCAGGGGCAGCTGCTCGAATCGATCGGCGGCGTGTCGAGCCTGCTGATGGCACAGGCACAGATGTATTGCTAGTACTAGTAGGCTCGCGTTCGGGTTTCGGTTCAGGTTGAGATTCGGGTTGGGGCTCGGGTTCAGGCTGAGACTTAGTCTGAGGTTTGGGCTGAGCCTCGACTTCGGCCTTGGCTTCCAGCTCGAGAGCTAGGTCATCCTCTGCAATGTCGTCATGCTTTCTCTTTCGGTTGACCTGAGGGCTGGAAACAACACCTCTGGCTAGCAGTTCACGTTCTTCTCGTGCGAGCTGTTCGCGCTTTAGTTTCTTGGCTTCATTCAGTTTCATGCCACGATTACTGAGTTTTGTTTCTTCGGCATCCTTGTCCATCTCATCGCGTCGCGTTTCCTCGAGATTGTCACAATCAATGAATTCTGTGCCGTTCTCGGCCGCAAGGAGTTTGGCGGCCCGATACGCCTCCCAGCCACGTCCGGAGAGGGCAAGCTCGCGATGAATCATAACCTCGCTGGGCTGCCAAACCGCGTTCTTCTTCATCTTCTTTCGCAGCTTGGTCATTTCCCATTCAGTCAATCGCAACCATGGCAGATCCTCGCTGCCAACCTTGGCATCCGCCGGCGGAGGTTTAAGCAAGGCGAGAGCATCCCTTGTGGAAAAGCCCACCCCTGAGCTGGGTCGCCGCGCTGACTTTTCCTTCTTCCGGGACTTAGTCGGTTGTTCTGCATCGGATTGCTCGGTACTAGCGATGGGGGAATCCGGGTTGAAACCGCCCAGATGCTCCGCACGGCGTCGAGACTTCTTGTTGTTGTTGCGCTTGCTATTGTCCAGCCGAAGGGTAATACGCGGCGTGGTAGCATCCTTCTTGCGGGGGCGCTTTGGTGTAGGCTCGGGGGGCGGAGTAGGTTCCTCGGATGGAGGTCTTGGGAGCGCATCAAGCTTCTGGCGAATGCAGCTCAAGCGGTCGAAGTGGCGATCAACGACGTCGTAAAGGCGACAGGCCTCAGCGTAGGAAGATTCGCGAGCATTGATTGCGCGATCAAGCTGGAGAGAGATATCCCTGCGCAGCTCGACCGCGCTCGGGCGTTCATCGGAGGCGGTTTCAGGGAGATGACCGTAGCTCTTCGTCAGGTTGTGTACGGACTGCGCCGATTCGAGATAGCGATCGTCAAGGCCACGGATGAGGGTGAGAGAGCGGATGATATCGGCGGGGAGGTATTCGGTGTAGTCGATGTAGTCTGTCACAGTAGCTTGGGCATCAGGATCAAAGGGACCGTCCAGGATCACCCCGCCACTATGATCAGTCTCGTCCGTCATTGGCATCTTGCGATTTGCCAAAGGGAAAGAGGTTGAACACACGCAGAAGAACGACTCGGAGGACGTTCAAGTTCCTTGAGTGGTGAATGCGACTGCGGCTGCAAATGCGGCGCCGCCAAACAAACGGCCGATCATTCTTCCGCGCCACGGTCACTCATGTCACGTGCGTCCCTCAAGCGGGCACTCTCATAGTACATACTTCAAATATTCACCAAGAGTTAGGGGGGGGCGGACAGATATAAGTAGGGATAAAACGGGCTGCCTTGGTTTAGATGTCCCCTGAATGATATATTTTAACTGCTCTGTGGCATGTTTCAAAGTCGTGAACATCAATCGGTATCATGGTACCTCACCTTCACTTGTGCGAATGAGTTGGATTCCAACAGCTGACGATTGGCCAGTACATCCTGAGAGTAATCAGCTCCATCATTAATTACGTATAATACAGCAGCGTTTTTTATTTATCGAGGGCGTAGTCTGCCTGATAAAGAAATGAATGGTTGACTGTAGGGTAGTTCTGAAAACGCCGCCCTCGCCCTTTCACTATCCCATTGATCGAAATTGAGCTCTACCCTTTTCATGATGGATTTCTTACAATAAAATGATTGATTAAACTTCATTCCTCAAGAGTCATCAGATCAGAAAGAGTTTACTATTCAACAACTAGTGAATGCAACCGACTCGAAGAAACCGCTGGAGGACCCGTCACTAGGCAGCCCTCCACCTCACTTGGATTCACAGGGAAGGTGGGCTCTCCCGCCATTTTTGCTCTCACTTGTAGCACTTTAGGCAGTAGCGCTCGATGGGGGAAGTCGCACACATAATGACTCGCCCAGTGGAAATCCACTTTCTCTTCTTCTTCTTCCTCGCCATCCTTCGGTGGTGTACACGCTCACCCCCCTGCCTGTACACGAATTAATTCCCATCATCATGGATAACGCTGCTTCTGGAGTAATTTTACAATCAAGTGTCACCTGACACGAATGATCTCTAACCCAGCTGCAGGAAGACGTCCCTTTGCCCGCTGAGGAGGAGGAGGCGCCATACGATGCCGCCAAAAGCTTCGCAGAAGTTGGTATCGACCTTTTTTCTTCTTTCTGCCCTGCCCGTGCCCTCGAAAGGGTCACAGATGGCCATAAGCGCGGCCACAAGCCCTGCGAGAAACCCGGAGAAGTCGAGTTCTGGGCGCGAACTTGGCACTTGTAAGTCAACCCCAGACATACTTCGGGTGTTCGAAGCTAAATCCCACAAGGCATTATCTGCCACTCCCACCCGGCTGTCACAGCCGGCTCCTGCTGCTGATTCCTCTAAAGGAAGCAAGCGACTATGTTCAGGGGCTTGCCGCCAAGGTCGGGATTGACAAGCAGCTGCTCCAAAACCTCACCCGCGACAAGGGCTTCGCGTACCAGGCCGACAAGCCTGGAATCCCGACCCCTTACTTGTTGGGCGTGTCGGACAGCACCTCCTCCATGCAACAGCTTTTCGAGAACAAATGGCAGGAGATAGGTGCTCGCTCCTGGGGACAATGGGCAAGCAACTTCGAGTCGGACATACTGAAGGATCTGGAAGCAAAGCTCGACGCCTGTATGAAGGTGGAGCATCCCACCAAAAAAGGAAGAAACTCAGACCTGATGTTTATGGCTCGTATAAATGCCGAGCACCTCACTCAAGTCCAAAAGTGGTTTGGCCTGCGCCCAAAGGATTCTGTTCTCGACACACTCGTCGATCCTCCCGATCTTAGCAGACCTGCCCCATGGCTCGATGATGATAGCCCCTTCTTCGTGTGCATCGACTTCGAGTGGAAGGAGTTTGATGAAACCCAGCTGACCGAAATCGGCGTCTCCATTCTCGATACCCTCGACATCAAAGGTTGCCCCCTGGCCCTAATGGGTCATATTGGACAAACAAGGTCCAAGCACGCCACCTTCGTGTCGCCGAGCACTTCCGCTATGCCAACAGGAAGCATTGCAAGGGATACCCGGATAAATTCCATTTTGGCAAAAGTGAGAGAGTGCCCTCGGCGAAGATGGGAGAATGGGTGGACCAGTTCTTTTCGCCCCCATATGGTTTTAGATACCCAATTGGCACCAAGCTTCCCGAGCACCAGTGTCGACCTGGGCGCCGCTGGATTCTGGTGGGACATGACATGACTGGTGATATCAAGCAACTTGTTCGGACGGGGAGTCAGACCTTTAAGCCAAAGGGGATCTCGTCGTTCGAGCAAGCCGATACCGCGCAGCTTTTCAAGGTCTTGCACCCGGAAACGGCCACTCCTGGCTTGGCCAAAGTCTTGAGTGGCTTCAATATTCCTGCGAGACACTTGCACAACGGTGGCAACGACGCTTGGTATACCCTTATGGCATTGGTCCGGATTGTGCTGGAGGGGGGATGGTGAGCGTCGCCGAGAATGATGCGGGGGTTGTGGGGACAGGAGGATGAGAGGGAGGAGGAGGGAGGGAGGTGGTGGACGACCATGTAAGATATGTATGAGTATGTAAACAGTGTAATAATATTCTTACTCCTGTCAGGATAACTTGCAGTTTACTACAGCTATGGAGCAAGACACTGTATCAAATTTGATGACTAGATGACGGCAATCTATATGTTCAGGTGCGGTCGAGGGGTGATGTAAGGAATGAAAGACGAACCATGAATGACATATTCCACTTTCCCACGGATACTATACTGTAGGCATTGTGATAGAGTGCTATCTTGAGCAATAAGTGTAATTCGCTTCGGTGCTGTGATCGGTATCTTCATTCGCAGTCAGGATATCCTCGGTGTGTACTTCAAGTCATTGCTACATATTAAGATATCGAATGCCTGGAAGTTGTTGTTAACAACGTTTGCAAATTCCACTCCCATTTGACAATACGACCTATATTAACGTTCTCCAAGCCGTCAATGACACCACTCTAAGAATCAATCAATGTTCCAAGGTATCTCTCGCTCATAGGGCTGAGAGGTGGGCTAGCCACCCACTGCAGTCACCCGCTGCAGTGTGACGCCATAGGTACATCACAGATCGCCCCACCAAACCCGAGCTTTTCTCCTCCTACCCCTCCACCCAATCCACCCCCAAACAACCCAATTGACCGCAATCGCAACTGCCAAAATGTCGAATTCAGGCCCATTAACCTCCTGGCTACTCTCCAGCACCCCGAAAGCCCTGAAACGCGCAACGACACACCCGTTCCTTGCCTCTGCAGGCCAAGGCACACTGCCCAAAACCACTCTCTCCCAATGGCTCTCGCAAGACAGACTCTACGCCCAATCCTACATCCGCTTTATCGGCTTCCTCCTCGCGAAGATCCGGATTCCGGCCCAGGCTCGTCCCAATTCCCCCGATGCCCAGGCGATCAATGTCCTCATTGATGCGCTCGTGAATATTCGTACCGAACTACAATTCTTCGAGAACACTGCCGCGGAATATAAGCTCGATTTGACGGCCATAGCACGCGAGGAATATGGCGGGGGACTTGCGAAGAGCGGGAGTATCATAATCTCCGCGGGCATCTCGACTACAGGCTCGGGGTGTTGTCCCGGATTCACGGGGTCTTCGTGCCAGTGGAAAGAGTACTCTGTTGCGGCGGCGGAGAGCGGCGATGTGGAAGAGGAGCAGTTATCCGGTCGAGGATCTGGTCCTGATTTGCATCGTCTCTGTAATGCGCAGGGCGAGTGTCAGATGCAGGATTGCAGCCAGGTGTGCTACCCGCCTTCGCCGTGGAATGTGAGCAAGGATCCTCTTGCGCCGTCGGAGCGGGAGGGCCACATCTACTTCGCGCCTTCGACGATTACCCGTGCTTATATCGATATGTTCATGTCTGCCGCTAGCTCGGGGGTGTCGATCATGGAGGGTATCGCGGTGTTGTGGGCGACGGAGGTCTGCTATTTGCGGGCTTGGAAGTATGCAGCTTCGTTCCTGGAGGGGAGGGATGGTCCGGTGGAGAATGATGCCGACGGGGGTGCGTTGAGGAAGAAGTTTATCCCCAATTGGTCGAGTGTGGAGTTTGAGGGCTTTGTGGATCGGATTGGAGATGTTTTGGATGCGATGGCTGGGCAGATCAAGGGCGCCGAGGAGGCCGAGGAGATGCGTGGGCGGTGCTTGGAGTGGTGGAGGCAGGTTGTGAGGCTGGAGGAACTGTTTTGGCCAGCTATGGAGTGAACTTGAAGACTCATGTTTCATAACGCAAGTACTTGGTTAGTAGGGGTGCTACCATCTGATATCTTTGCAGGCGATGAATTGTATGGATATTCATCATACATTGACGATGGCTGATAAGGTACAGAGCCATCGAGTCCAGGATGGCATAAACATGAACGTAAATATAGAAGCATAAACGTATAACACCGAAAACACGCAACACTGTGAAAAGACTAGTCTCGAAACTCCGTTAATCGCTCCGTCACGGAATAAAACGTCCTACCAATTGTAAACCATAAACATGAACGAACCACCAAAACACCGGTGAATGCGGAGCAAATCGTTGTGAATCAAATGCAGTCTGTTTTACATAACCAAAATCAAGTTGCAGTAGCCCGGGCAGCATTGCTCAGCTGTCGATGGTAGGAACCAATCGGTTGGAAACCACTAGAAAGAAGTTAATGATTGAAAGTTGAAGGTCACAAGGGGTCTTTCGAACACACTTACCGAGCAAGATCAAAGCCGCCGGTATCCTCTTCTTCATCCTCCTCCATTCGATCTTCCTTTCGTGCTCCATTCGCACCCATATCACCATCAGACTGCAAGGGGGGCAAAGTACGGCTCGAGCCAAGGCCATTGGATGTACCGGGTTTACTGGGGCTAGCCAAGTTGGGCGGAGGCGGACTGCTACTCGGGAAGCCACCGATGATACGGTCATCAGGCTCACCCTTCAGGGGACTCATGTCTGGGACCGGGCGCGCGGGGGTGCTACCAATGTCGGCGAATTTCCAGAATTGAGCCGGGGAGCTCATCGGCATGAACTTGGACGGGATCTGCGCCGTGCTAGGGGGCGGCAGGCGGGGCTGCTGGCGCTGTGGAGCAGGCGTGATCATCGAAGAGGGTCCATCATCATAGTAGGACGACGACAGGACAGGTGGAGAGCCGGCTGCCTGGTCCGAAAGTCCGTAGGCGCGGCTCAGGTTGTTGCTGCTGTTCTGTGCCTGGCTGGCATTGACTTGGCTATGATTGCGTGCCGGCAGGGGCGATGGCTCCTCGTAGTCTCGCGGATTCATGTGTCTCAGGGGATGGTCCGAGCCGACACCACGGCCGGCCCGGGAGCCCCGTTCCGGAGTATACGCCTCCACAGGGGCCACTGGGAACGAGCTAAAACCAGGCGAGGAGACAGGGGGAGATTTCTTTGCGGTAGCCGAGAAAGACGTATCAATGTTAGAAACATGAGTACCCCGAGCCGAAGAGGGAGGCTCCTTGGTAGCAGGCGACGAAGGAGCAGATGATTGGGTGCCGCCTTTGCGCATCTGCTTCTTGCGGTACTCTTCACGGTGCTCAGCGGCAATCTGCCACTTCATACCCTTGCCTGGCTCATCGGTTCTGCGAGGCACCTTCTGGAATGCTTTGTTCAACGACAGGTTATGGCGAATCGAGTTCTGCCAGCCACTCTGGGAGTGTCGGTAGAATGCATATTTGTCCATGATCCAATTGTAAATGCTGTTCAAGGTGAGCTTCTCCTCCTCGCTGGAGAAGATGGCCTGCGCAATAAGTGTGGCATAACTGTACGGCGGCTTTAGATCCTTCGCGGCATCCCTGCTGTAGTCGATCTCCTCGGTGCTCTCCATCATCATACCCCGGTTGTAAAGAGGGGATTGCTTGGTCGTGCGCTGACCGTCGGTTCCAGGCGAACGAGGTGGCGGAGTGACCTGGCGCTGGCGGAGATTCGGAGCGGGCACCAGGGAAGGACCACCAGACGAAGAAGGTCGCAGGGGTTCGGTAGCTTGCGAAGCGGAATGGTGCTGAGATGCTTCCCAGGCCACGGAGGCAGGGTCCGGTTCGTGGCCGCTGGCGATGCGCTGAGCGCGTTCGATGAAACTGGGGTGGATGCTAGGGTCGTCACCGGGAGTGACAAACATCATCTGGCAGTTGGCGACTTCAATGATATCACCACAGCGGAGAATGGCATCGGCGCCGCGCTTCAGCATCGAATTATTGAGGCGGACACCGTTGCGGCCGTTGACTCGGATATGCCAGGCGGGTGCCTGCTCTCCATCATAAAAGATTTCGGCATGCAGGCGCGAAACAAATTTGCTGGGGCCCAAGTCGACATGCACATCGGGGAGCGCACGAGCAGCGATGGTGACGGGGCTGGACTGCTCAGCAGACTTCTGCTCACGGTCCGGTTCACGACCGATATTGACATGCAGCGTTTTGACGTAATAGGTCCAGTTGCGGCCAGCGATTTTGGCGTACGCCTCGATGCTTTGTTTGTTTTCGGTCTTTTGATTCGAGTGGTCGCGCGAGACACGGATTTCCTGGGGAGGTGTATTCAAGTACGAAATCACCAAGTCAGTCACATCCTGGTGCAGGGACTGATCATGGTCGCCGGGCGAGTCTTCGGCTTCGTCACCGGACTCATTCTTCACGGCAGTTCGGGGCTGGGGAGTACGGCGCTCAACCTGTTAGATGAAGTCATGTCTTAGTATCCTCTTCATCCCCTGACCTGTGCGCGCACAGAGAGATTTGGTCTCGGACCAGCCAGTGAGAAACTTACCTTGCGCTTCTTTGCGGAGGGACGAGTAGGCGACGAGTCTGGAGCCTCCGCGTCGGATGTTTCCTGCAGTTGAATTTCCTTGCGCCGTGCGCGACGGCGGTTCGACAGCGGCATTTTGAAGGCGAAACTTGCAGGCGTCAACAGATCGGCGCGACTGGTGGGCGCAAAATTCGATTTTTAATCGCGAAATGTGGGCAATCAGGCCGAGGTGGTCGAGGAATGTCGGCCAGTCACGAGGAACGCGGGGGGAGGTGAAAAAATCGAAATTCCAGTGCAAGGTCACCGCGGGAGTGCAAGAGGCAACGAGGCGAAAAGGAAAACACAACACAGCCTGAGGGTATCCGGATTTCTGTGGCTCGCCCCAGTCTCGGAGGCACGATGAGAGGTAGAACCAAAGAACCGAGAACCGTCAGACCCGAATTAACGGATTTGCCACCGGGACAAGAAAGCGGGAAGCAGAAGGGCGAAAGGAAGAAACAAACAACCCGCAAAACAAAGAAGATGAATGCCTGGCGCAATAGGTGTGTCGGGAAGTGGTGTGGCTGGATGTTGACTATCGATACTACGATCGACACGCGCGATGGCGTCTGTTTGGGGGGTGACCGCCTTGTCGCGTGGGGAGCGTGTGTCTTTTTGCACGGCCCAGCCACCGCAATCTGAGCACCAACTGAGGGACAGCAAAGAGTACACGAAGGGGCGAGGCGAAAGTGAGAAAAAGGCCAAGAGGTCGGGAGAAGTCAGAAGAACCAGGAAAAAAGGCCGATCATGAAAAAGGACAGCACAAGAAGAATAAATGAGGTGCGCCCGGTTTGACCGTAAACAGTGGTGGAGCCCGGTCACGGGAGTGTATGATACGGTTTGTCTGGTATTGTCGGCATAGTAAATGAGCGGTGGGTAGGTGGTATTACAATGACGGGATCATTACGTGCTCAGCGTGGGATTGAGGATGTTTCCGAGTGCAGACGCAGATCGACCCAGTGCTCATCCTACGCTAGACCTGACCCCTAGGAGCGATCGTAGATGGATCGGGGATGGATGTGAAGGTCATTCAGTATCTTGCTCAACCACTGTGAAGTGCACAGGGAAAAAAAAAGGCAATTCGCCACATATCAGGCCCATCACGCTTAATCAATATAGACCACGCTATACATACTAAATCAACCACATGATAAGCATCTCCGACATACCAGCACCCCTCCTCTCAAATTCGCCCATATGGTATGCCCGGGTCGTTTGCGTCACAGGGGCCCGGATGCAGTTTAGCCTTGCCCGCTGGAATGTCGCGTTCCCTCATCGGGGTTTGACATGTCGATCTCCTCTCAAAGTTACCAATTCCGTGCGGGCGAAATCAGGTTCGATCTATGTAACCTTACAACTCTACAGAAGCTTGGGTGACTTAAGGTTGGAACCAGTGGAGCGTTGACGCAAACAACATTGCTGTAAATAAACAGCGCAGCCTAATATTCATACAGGTGGAAACGGTTTCCGGAGGCAAGTTCAAACGAAGATCCTGCTTGTAGAGAAAGTGACAGAAAGATGTACTCCATAGGAAAGTAATAGAACGGAACAAGTAAACCGAGAAGGCAGTAAAGGAAAGAAACAGCCTGGGCTCTTGCTCAGGAACAAATTGAAAAGGAAACGAGTCGTGACGGCGTTAGATTGAAAGCAAGAGAAACTACGCCTCGTCACCGGGCATCTTAGAGTCTCCGTCCTCGTCCAGCCCACGTAGTGTAGGATAGAGGACGACTTCGCCCTCGGACTTGGGAGCTTCGCTTTGTTGCTCAGGGGAAGCCCGGGTGCTGACCGTCTCGACTCCCTCCATGGCGCTGAGAGCAGGAGACCCTGACCCATTCTTATCCGCAGTCTCTGGCTCAACGTGGCCCTCCAACAACTCAGACACTAACCGACGAAGGTTTTCGAGCAGGCGAACCTTCTCCACCCACGCAACATTGACATCCCGCTCGGCAACCTCGGTAGCAGCACGGGCCGTCCGTTGAGCAGCCTCCTGATCGGGGTCTGGGGAGGCGCTGGACAGAGCCGGATCGATCAAGCTCTCCGCAAACTGGGGGCTCTTCTTGGTAGGAGTGCGGTCGCCGTCCTCGGTCTTAGTATCTTGCGCAGTATCCATGCGATCCTCGCTCAATTGGCGTTCGGCTGGTCGGGCGCGCTGCAAGGTGCCTCCGGTGTACCGGCGGCGGTCATCATCAAAGGCGCCGCTGAGCGTGGACGGGGGAGCCGCGCTGGAAGCGGTCGGGTAGCCCGCGGTCATGTTGTCTGGCATGGTAGTCGACGGGAGACGGGGATACATGCCCGCGCCGCTCTCATGAGGGGGAGAGACACGGTGGTTCTGAGGCAATGATATCGGGGAGCGTTGCGAAGTGTAGGACTGCGCACTTGACGGCGGTGTTAAAGCAGGTGTACCAGTCGAAGGAGATTGAGCGGTAGCAGCCATTATCGGGGCCGATGTGGTCGCAGTGACATGGCTAGGGGGAAGCTGAGTCGGCGGGGAGTTCGTTGTCCGGTAGCTCATTCCTCCATGCACGTAATGAGCCCCCGGTTGAGCAACGCCAGCAGCTGCGACATTCTCATCACTTTCGTAAATGGTGTTTTGCATCTGCTCCAAGAACTGATCGATGTTGATGAGATCGCTCTTGGTCCGCACGTTCGACATGGGAGGCAGGTGGTAACCAGGAGGATGGCCGCCGCCAGGGCTGTAACCACCACCACTGCCGCCGGCCACAGGAACTGCGGCGGGCATGGGATGGTATTCAGGAACGGGTCCATTGAGAATAGGAAGCTGCAGTTGCTGCAGACCAAGTAGGCGTTGGCCCACAGCGGCGTAGGAACTCGTATCGAACTGGCGTCGTTTCAAGTCGCCGAAGAACTCGTTCAAGGCGTCGTACCCCTCTTACGATCATAGGACTGAGCGCCGTCATGCCCTTGGCTCAGGGCGTAGTATACGTTACCATAAGAGTGGGGAGCAGCGGGAGGAGGCGGCGGGTGTGCTGCCTGGTAGTACTGAGGAGCGCCATGCCCGTAACCTTGACCAGAGACGGCGTGAATTGGGCTATCGAAATATGGAGCAGCAGCAGCATATCCTGAAGGACATAACGTTGGTTAGCGAGTGTTTAAGAGTGTGGCGACCCATCGCCACAATCAATAGCGATGCATTGATTAACGCAAGTCCACTGAGTGGGCGTACCTTTCGGGTTCTGGGGGAACATCATGTCGTGATGATGCTTCATGCCAGGCTCGGGAGAGCGAATCTCGGAGTCGTCGGCATGGGTCTTGACGTGCTTCTTCAGATCCTGGGGGCGCTTGAAGGCCTTGCCACAGAAATCGCACTTATGGGGCTTGAGGGGCACATGCACTCGAATGTGGGAGGTGATGTGGTCGCGCTTGACAGTGGTGGTGTTGCAAGTTCCCCATTGGCAAGTCAAGTTGAGATTGTTGGTGCTCTTGCGACCGACATGTCGTTCGCAGACGTGTTCCTATCGCGGGGTTAGCCGATAAGTTTCTGCGCAAATTGGCGCGATCAAGCGCGATTTGTTCGTTTTAACGGGATCACTTACATAGAGCGCCTCGGCAGTAGGGCATTTCTCGCTGCATCCCACCCACTGGCAAGGTAGTTGGTCGCCGGCGCCATTGAGTGAGTTGTTGACGGCAGCGGTCGCGGCGGCGGCGGTCGCAGTCACCGAGGCGGTCGGGGTGGCCGTGACAGCGTGGGCAGCAGAGTCGTTAGCGACGGGCGCCGGCGCCGGCGCCGCCTGGGGGGTTGTAGTTGAAGGGATGCCGTTTTCCGACATGATGCCAAGAAATGGATCTTGTTGTGTTGGCGGGATGCCCAGGCACGATCTTCCTTTTGGAAAGGTAGAAAATCAGATGTAAGTCGGAATCCCCCAAGTCGTACAGAATCAAAGCCACTCAGATCTGTGAGATTCTTGTATTCGCCAAAAAAGAATCCGAGGAGGGGTGAGGATGGGAAGGCAAAGGAAAAGGAAAAGTGGGAGGAGATGAAGAGAAGAGAAACTGGGGGGGCCTCCGCACGGGGGATTCACAAGGGAGGAAATAAAGAGCCGAGCCTTTGCCCAGAAAAAGCCGCTTTGCTGGGCCGGGCGGAGGCGTGACCAAGACGACAAGACGACAAGACCGGGCCAAGACTCGTCTGCGGGGCCGGCCTCTGCTGGGCCCGGATGGCGCTGCCTGCGCGACCGTGACTGGCTGGCCGTGCGAGGCCTCCCAGAAACGAGGGGCTGTGCATTCCTCCGACCATCGTTGCACCGAGTATTCTACCTGACCTTGGGGTAGGGCATTGACATACCTCATTGGCACTAACATACCCTCATATGCTACAGAGTTTGTATGTATCCTAGGGCTAGCAATATGCCAGCTACTACTTGAAGTATTTTGTATCTGTGATTCTGTGACAGTGGCTGTCGACTCCCCCCAATCTGGCCAAGCGCCTACCCAGACCTGCTCCAGCATGCGTAATTTCCGTACTAGCCCTCCCAACCCTGCACGGTACGCCGACGCCTGGTCACAAAAGCCCGTACGTTCCGGCCTCGGATCAAAGAACAGTCACCATTCGTCCACCCGCAAAGTGGAACGATGCTGGCAATGGGAACACAGTGGCGTTGGGGCCAAGGGCCAATGCCAAGATGATCCTTAGCCATGGCATGCTTCTTGGCAGCCAAGGCTTTCCTCTTTGCCAATTCCCGCTCCGACTCCCAAGACGTCCCCCTTGGCGCTTGGTGTGCGCATGTACTTCCCGGAGATCCTACGGATGACCATCTCTGAATGTCTGAGGCCCCTTGGGAGGTTGAGGGGTCTGCGCCGTTATGCGGTTGCCTGAATTTCCGACGGGGGCACCCCCCTGGCGAGCGTGCTTGCTCGCGTTGGTTGGTGTGTTCGGGCGACGGGGTCGTTTAGGGGTAAGCCAAACAGCCCACGTTTGCAACCCTTCGATTTACTCTGTATTTTCCACGTATAGCACCGCAGTCGAAAGTGTACAAGATTCTATTCTGCTCTAAGGGGTTCTATTTTTGCGACCGGACGTGTCGACCATATGGAGGAGTCAGTGGTGGTCGCACACATGTACTCTGTACAGGCGCCCACGGTAACACCGAGCGTTCCAAGCATTCCTGACCTGCAGTTCTCCAGCCTTGGGACTTCAGGCTGAATCTTCGCCTCGAAAGGAAGGGGGGAGATGTCTTGGCCGGGGTAACCCCAATCGCCCATCGACCCGAGCCAGACAAGGAAGGGTTCGCCAACCCCAATTCGGCCCAAGCCCTCCTCCCCTCCCAAGGCCCAGAATTCCTCCGCTGAGTCCGCCGATACCACCGATTCAAGGCATCCCATCACATCATCGACTCTCGTCTCATCTCCTCCTCTTCGGCGGCTGATACCAACTCCAAATATTCAGCCCAACCTTGGTCCCAGACGTGACCGGGTACGCGGCGTGCCAGGTCTCGGTATACCCGGTCCCATCAGGCCGGAGATTCTCCCAGAAAACGGCATTCCCCTTGATCGGCTTGAACGTAATCCCGTCCTTCTTTGACGTCGCCCGATCCCACCCTTCGCCCGCTCCCCCTTCGGCCTCGGACTGCTCGTCCTCGCATTCCAAAAATCGGCACCACTGTTTCCCAGCCGGCATTTGCAGACGAGGGAAATTCGTCCCGCCACCCTCGCAGTCTGCGGCCAGATATACCATGAATGTGCTGAGGCGATCGCCGCCGCGCGCGAGGGACCCGGTCCAGTCGTAGTGGTGTCGGTAGTGGCCGGACGCATTGTAGCGCTGCGCCCACATGCGCTCGATGTACAGGTGTGGGCGCCAGCCCTGGAATGCGCGGGCGCGGTCTTCGAGGCAGCGGACGGTGTCGTCGCGGTCGAGGAGGGCTCGGTCGGAGAGGCGTTTGTTTGGATCGACTCGTTCGGTGAAGCCGTCGTAGACAATGGAAGGGGTGTACTTGTTCAGGCTGGTGCCAGGCCAGTCGTTAGCCTACCTTCGCCAAACGTAGGCTGTGTAGTTTAAGATGTGTAGTCGACTCACCTAGTATCAACTAGATGGTCCGCTTCCTCATCGCTAAGGAAATTCTCAATGTACAAGATGAGTGGCGTCCGCGACAGCAGATGCACCTTGTACCCAGCCGGCTCCCCCGCGCAGTTCAGTGGCACCCCATCTTCGGGACTAATGAAACTGTCGTCGGTGAGGTTCAATCCCGGAGCTGAATCGTCCCAGTCGTCAGATGCATAGTTCGCATCCCACAGGGAGGACACGGGTTTCGGGACGACTTGCTGGAGCAACGGGTTGAGGACGAAGATGTAGATAGGGACGGAGTAGATCAGCCACGAAATGACGGTGGAAAATTTCGGCATCGACGCCATTGGTTCGAAGGGTCGTCGAAGATATGCTGCAGATAAATAAATAATGAACAAAAGGTATCACTAGATCGAGGAGATAGCGATCCATGCGACCGCGGCGCAATGCTCGCAAGGTCTGCAGACCGGGCTTTGATCCCCTGTCGTCAGGTGCAATTGTTGTCGGGGGATTATCGTAAGCGAATCCCAGTAGAATTGTTGCAGGACCGGCCCATGTCGTCCTTGCGGAGTGTCGACGAGAAGTGCTCTGGTGGGCGCACTCGGGACAAGAAGGCTCCAAGTGGGTCTCTGGCATTGGTCTGATCTAAACCGATCATGGTAGCCCAAGAGATAAGAGGATCGGGGAATCTGGGCCTTATATGTACGGCATAAGAATAAATCGGAAGTGGCTTTAAATATTATCATTGAATTCATTTACAGCGACCAATTCGCCTCTTCTGTACTGGTATTTCACAGATATCAAAATAAAATCAGGAAACCATTGCCAAAATCAAGCGCCAGCCAGGTATGAATAGCTATTTTCTTTTTGACTTCCTTCGTAAGTGCATATCATCATGAGAGCAAAAAGACCCAAACGACCTAAACGCCGGTGTTCATCCACTGAGACCAGTCATCGCTGGAATTTGCATTTCCGGGACGACCAGCGTTATTCCCGAAGAGATCATCGAAAGAAATACCCAGGTCCATATTCATGCCCATGGTATTCTCATCCAAGCCCATGCTGAAATCTTGTAGCCCATTCGGGGCTGAAGTGTCTTGTGGTATTGCCGGCTGCTGTTCGGGGACAACATTTGTAGGCTGGAAGTTGTATCCTTGCCACACGAAGTTCTGATTGGGGATTGATACCAGATCAGGGCTGCTGAGGGCTTCACTGGGGGTTTGACCCTGCGATATGGGCGAGTGTATCCGTGAAGAATTCATGGAGAGGTTGTTGTTGTTAGCCTGAAGGCGACTAGGTATCGAGGATTTGACACCACCAGGGGCTCCGTGCATAGGGCCCATAGAGAGGTTGTTGAAGGCCTCAAAGCCGGGGGAGGCCATGCTCGGATCGCTGGGTGTGTTCGGTGGTATCCCTGTAGGCTTCTCGAAGGGGAAAGGTGTCTGTGACATGCCTGATTGATCATGCCGGAAGTGGTCGTCCTCTAGGGTAGACATGGGTTGTGTGGGATAAGCAAATGGATCATCGGACGGGAACATCATCGGCATAAGATCGGGGAGGTTTTCCGGGTTGCTAAATTGCTGAGCCCATGCCAGACCAGAATCTTGGGCGGAAAAGGAAGGATTCATGGTTGTCGCGGAGCTCGGCTCCGGTGTAGACATAGTCTCCGTCAACAGCTCTGGCGTGTTTGCCATCCAAGATGACTGCGTGCCATTGTCGCTGGGCAGATTGCTGAACTGTGTAGTGTCCATACTCTTCTGTCGACGGCTTGAAGGGTCGAGCTTCGGCTGAGATATCATCTGGGTTGGGAATGTGCTCGAGCGGTGGGGTATGGTCATTTGCTCCTGCTGGTTCTGACCAAATTCGGGCTCAGCAGACACATTAGAAGGTGCCGGTCGCTTCAGATTGACCGGGGTCTTTGTGCTCTGACGGTTCTTCAACATCTCCGGCAGGGTTTTGAAGAGACACTGGCGGAAAATTAGCTGGTCATTCTTGTCATATGCGAGAATTGAGTACATACGTTCAGGCTCTGAGAGCACCGATCGGCCGCCATGCTCTTCTTGGCTAAGCCAGCCAGAGTATTCTTGCCCTCCATGGCATCCTTGAGGACACCATCCTTGGCTGTAGGCGAGTCGGGGTTCTCGACAACAAAGAATATCAAAGACAGAATGGCAAAGTAGGTGGTATACATGGTGAACCAGAAGGATCCATTGAGCAGAGCCCTCTTATGCATTCCGGTCGTAATGTGAACAATGTTTCGAGACACACTGACACAGGCTGCTGCACAAGCATAGGAGCGCTTGTCCACGCCTCGGGCTTGTGAACCACCCGATACGTAGTGTAGGAATGGACGGTACATTACCATTTGCACGTGCGCATAGCTAATACGCAGGAGTTGGCGGATTCTAAAAGACTGTTAGTCCTACCGCTATATTGTATCCATTCGAAGGGAAGAGAGACTGACCGTTCCAATTGTGGGGACACCTCAGTGCCCGGCCTCAAAGCTGGCGGCAATTCCTCCATCCACGTTTGCAGATCGCGCTCGATTTCACGAATCTTCGAGTGGCTGACCATATACCGCTGATCGGATTTCGAGCGATGGCGAGCATTCTTCACAGGGTAGATATATTTCACGACCTTCAAGATTACATTGCACAGACGAGTGTGCGCGTTACATCCAGCCATGAGCGGGGTGTAGTCTGAAGGCATCTGCGTGATACCTTGCGAAGTGATGAAATCGCCATCCACTTCCATCGGATACTCCTGATCGATGTCGTCGTCGCTCAGCATTTGGGGAAGACCCAGGAGCGTGCTGACGTAGACATCCATCTTGCGAACCACCCAGAAGATGCGCTTGCGCAACTCCTTTTCGATCGGGTTGAAATCGGCTGCTACCGACCGGTGCAAGCCCAATCGAAGTGCTGATCGGAGAGCAATTCCGACGTAGGAATAGCAAGTGCTCAGCTTGGCTGAGGACTGGAGGAAGAGGATCATGAAGCAGATGGCCTGGAGCGATGTCAAATCGCGACAATCAGTCACCTCCAGCAACTGTCGGCCTGCCTTGAAGAATTGGAAACTAGACTATCATCAGCTGATCTGCGGCCATTACGAGGAAAAACAGGACAGTTTCATACCCTTGACCAATGGCCCCCTCATATCCAGCAAGGTCCAAAGTGCCAGCCCCATCATCGGAGAACAAGCACCCAACAGCCATCACGATATACAAGAGTGGGACAAATGAGTTTTCCTCATTGGTGTATTGCTCCGGGGCCACGTCGTAGATGCGCTCGAGATCGGCGAAAAAGGACGGTTCATGCACAAAACGCATCAACGAGCATGCATGATCGATCGCATTGTGACACAGGCGGCGGGCAACCGCTCGCGGCGGCAGATCGTGCGTGGGGGTCAACGAAGCATCCTGGGGCGATTCCGATACGGACTTGGGGCTTTCGAGCATCTGCGTCATCCCGCGCGGTCGGTTGATAGGCACATCTGCCGCACCGAGTTGTTTGCGGAGACGGCGAACGAAGATAATGCCCGAGGTGTGCCCATGATAATCCCAGTGTCCTTGATCGTCGCGGTCGAGGCAACCTGAGTTATCTACCATCGTCTCTAGCAGCGATTCCTCTCCTCCTTCTGGGCCGGTCTCGGCTGGGGGTGCTGTTGACCCCGCGGATGGCTTGGGCGCAAGCCCAGCCGCCTGCTTCTCTTTCTGGGCCGCCAACAGTCGCTGCTCTGTCGCCGGGATGTCGAGTTGAGGGTCGTTGAGATTTATGTCGGGGAGTATACTTCGGAGCAGGGCCTCGGCCTTGTGCATGCGGGCTTCGAGAGCTTCGACATACTGCGGAGCGGGGTTTCGACGACGGTTGGAGGGCTGGTCATATGTGCACTCTAAGGAGGAGGGGGAAATGTTAAAACTCTGAAGCTCAGATATGTGCGATTTTGAATGCGCACTGGGTGGATCCTACGCACCGTAACTGTAGACGGTACAGTGTGTACAGGGCTGTTTGCCGTCGCACTTGATCTTCTTTCGACGACACTCATCGCACGCCCGCCCTACTCGCCGGCGCTTTTGCATCGGCAAGGACTGGGCCAGCTTGGGATCTGCGGGGGAGGCATCCTGTGTGGACATCTGAGAGGGGTCGTCATCGTTGGCGTAGTCGTTCAGGGCGGGATCATCATCCTCGCCGTATCCCGTGGAGGCCATGGTGAGCGAGCGGGCGCGTAATTCATGTAAGGAGAACGGGCTTGGCGGGCGATCTGATAGTCAAGTTCATCGATCGCCCTCCTTGCGGGAACATTGAAGGAAGAAAATCGGGACGAATGAAGGAGTCAGATCCGCGACAGCTCACGGGCCCTTTTTTCGGTTCGATGATGAAATGATGGCGGCCGAAAGCGGTGGGGGATGATTACCACAACCGGTGCTGGGCAGGTGTAACTGGCAACTTTCTAGAACACAGCAGGAACCCCAAAGGTACAACCTCCCTACGCTAACGCCCGATTCAACGTACGCCCTGTGACGCCCACAGCCAGTGAGAATACGAGCGTCGGACGTTCGTTGTGCGCGAGCCCGACCTGCGGAGTCCGCTGCTTCTGCGGCATTTTTCGATCGCCTCGGCATCAAGTCCGATGTAGAATTTTCCCGCCTCGGTCTCCACTCAGGGACCGATTCTCGACTCGGCGCGAATCGGTGGAAGCCAGTTCGGCGCATCGTGCTAGCAATGCCGAGGAGCTGACGAGGCGATCTGCCGATTGATCTTCAGTCTAGGCCATTTTAGCAATTTTGTGCTCGTCTCTGAGAGGTAGTCGAGCTGCCAGCGGACCAAGCCTCGGACTATACCCCGGGCTGCGTTGCAATCCCAACGGTCACCCGTTGCCCTGCGCCTGACATCATGCATCGGCGAATTGGACTCATTCGCCGAATGCCGTCTCACTATTATTAATAGGAACAGGATCGTCGCGATGATTGGCGCACAGTTGGGGTTTGATTTCTGGAGAAGTCCTGCTTGTCTCCAGGCGAACGCCACAGCAGTACCTCAAGTGCTCATGATATTAGTAGTTAACTAGGTCCTTTGACTTTATTAGTTATGGCGTACTTGGATTTTCAATGTGTATGAATGAAGAGTGTCATCTAGTGTTTGAGGCAGTCCAGTTCCGAACTCGAATGAGACGAAGGATTCGAGTGGGATATATACTTCCGCGGAGGGTGGAGAGTTGGAGCATAGAACCACCAGACGAGAAGGTGCTCCCCGACCTATAGATTAAATAACGTTAGAATTATCAACCGTTGCATTTCATCCCAAACACCGGGCCCCATCTTACATATTCCTCTTCAGTCAACGCCTCTGACCATCTCTCCAGCTGGTGCAGATCCGCCATGGCGCTAGCAGCTGATGACTGGGGGCCAAACGCCCTGCGCCCGAACCCACTTGGATGCGTCTCTCCGTGAATCGGTAACACTAATGTACATAACAATCAACGCATCAAGGTGTCGAAAGAGCTCCTGGCAGCGCAGTGTGCGACCTGCATCGCATCAGGCACTCGCGACTCGCCGTCATTAAGGGATTTGCCATGAACCCAGGAACCTGATTCCAGCATATCCGCCCTGTGACGCGACTAGGAATGCACCCCGGTCTTGAAACCACATAGCTGGCCCTTGGGGTCACCATTGATGCGTTTCGATGGCTTTGCCAAGGGCCTACGAATCACATTTGCCTTGTAGACGTGTGAGGAAGAAAGCTGACAGTAACTCAAGGCTGATCCGTCAGGTAATAGTTTTGGGCCCCATCGGCCCCGAGAAGCGACCAAACTAGGTAGGGTCTGTGAGGGGAGCGATTAAGCTCATCTGCAGCAGGGCCGCCCTGATTTCCCCTCGCCTATCAGTCTTGTAACCTGCCAATTTCCTGCAGGGGCCCATCACTGCCCAGCTCGGCGCGGGTCCCTCACATCCCGCATGGCCGTGAAGGCATTCTCGCAAGTTTCGTGATCGCTTACCCCTTCGGCACGTCCCACTTTCTTCCCCAGGCTCAGGACTCAGGATCGGCGCATTCTATCGACGCGCTTGTCAATAATTGCCAGCCTTATATGGTTCTGACGCTCCGCAGCTCATTTTGTCGGGTTCCGGGCAATTCTTCATCTTCATCGTGAATCATTGAACTCGCCCTTGTTTTGCTGTTTTTCTCTGCTTTCGGCGATGCAGCTGCGTTGATATGAATAATGGCTTTCGTCCTCGTCACTCTCTACTGTGCATTCGCCGCTCTGGGTTCGTTCTTGTTCGGCTATGATTCTGGCGTGATCTCCTCCAGTATCGAGCAGGATGCATTCTTGGATCGATTCGGGTCCCCGTACCTATCGGATGCCACCAGTGGTGGTATCATCTCTTCATACACCGGTATGTCGTCTGTAGCTCTTGCAAGAACAGTGCAATATCTAACATGCCCATCAGGAGGTGCAATTCTGGGGTCGGTACTCGCCCCCTACATCTCCGACTCCTGGGGCCGCAGAATGGTCATCTTCACCGGTGGACTCCTAGCTACCCTCGGTGCAGCTCTCCAGGGAGGCGCTGTCACCATCGCGATGCTAATCGCTGGCCGATTCATCTCCGGTTTCGCCATCGGTCTCATGTCAGCCACCGTCCCCGTCTACTGCAGTGAGATAGCTCCGCCACAGATTCGGGGCTTGCTCGCGAGTATGCAGCAGTGGATGATCGGACTAGGAATCATGGTGGCCCAGTGGGTCGGATACGGGTGCTCATTGCACACGGGCGACTTTTCCTGGCGACTCCCGCTATCTTTGCAAACGGCGCCGGCCCTGATTCTCACATGCGGCGTGTGGTTTCTACCCGAATCGCCTCGCTGGCTCATCGAGGTCGGTAAGGAGGGTGCCGGCCGCTCGGTATTGGCTCGTTTACATCTCAACCGCGATGCAACCAACAGCCAGCTTGTCGAGCACGAGCTCACTCAGATCTACGAGAGCGTGGCGCAGGAAAAACAGTCCGTTATTCGGTCTTGGCGCCAGCTTCTCCTATCCAAGCAATGGCGCTGTCGGATTCTGCTCGCGTGCGGTCTGCAGGCCTTCACCCAGCTCTCGGGAACCAATGTCATCCAGAACTATGGACCTCGTCTCTACAAGTCGCTTGAGCTTTCGACATCGACGGCGCTTATGATAATTGGTGTCTGGGGTGCGCTGGCGCAGTTGTGGAACACAGTTTTCATGGGCTTTATTGACAAAGTCGGCAGACGAAAACTCCTGATCCCATCGTTATTTGGCATGGGTGCAGCGATGTGCGTGGAAGCGACACTCGCTCGAAAGTTGGACTTTAGCGATCCCTACGCCAACCAGGACGCCCTTCGAGCGGCCATCGCCATGTTCTTTGTCTTCTCATTCTGCTTCACATCCCTCGGCCTCATTTCTTGGATCTATCAATCTGAGATCTTCCCAACCGCCATCCGAGCCCGCGGATCATCAGTAGCGACTGCAACAAATTGGAGCTTGAATTTGATCTTTGCGCAGTGCTCACCGATCGCGCTCACTGATTTGGGCTCCAAGTACTTCTATGTATTTGTGGTCTTCAACTGGGCTGCTATGTTCATTGTCTTCTTCTGTTACCCCGAGACGAAGGGATATTCTCTTGAAGAGGTGGATGAAGCATTCGCGCGCCAGCACCACAATGAGCAGCCGGAGGTCACACCGGCTGCCTCATCGACTAGTCACGAGACCGTGAGATCGGACTCTCGGGTGAAGCACAAGGGAATGCACCCTTTGTCCCTGCATCCAACTCACAGTGGAAGCTGGAGTAGCAATAGTGGCTCGTCGCCTAAGCTCTGGAGCAAAAAGATGGCCGAAGTATAGTGTAAAACAATTCTGAACTTTAAATGAATAACGTCACATCCATATCTCCAAAAACCGGACATTTTATAATCAAATTCAATCTATTATAGCACTTCTCGCAGGGTGTCTCCGATAGCCTCAGCGCCACCACCACCGCCTAGCAACTTTTCGTTTGTTGTTTGGATAATGACTCGGCGGTAGCTGGTCAGGGCGGGGGACCCATTATCCTTCACCTCAAGAATCAGGTGCAGCACTTGGCCCTTGGGAATTGCCGCTCGGCTGATGAGCTCCACGCAGCATTTCTCCGGAGGAGGGATCTTAACCTCGACTTTGCTGCTGCTCTCATTGAGGGACTTGATCTCCAATGAGCCGACTTCATGGTGAACAGACCATTGCGTCGCGCTGGGGTCTTTGTATTGGTACCACTTGAATGTGAGTTTGTCGTTGGGATCGGGGTCGTAAGATGCAGAAGCCTCTAACTGGAAAGTGGCGCCAGCCTCCAATTCAAAGTGAAGCGGCTCCAAGCCCCTGTCCCCATTAATATCGACAACAGGATGGTGGTTTGCTTTGCTCCGGTCCGACGAAAGGGACCATTGCATGCGCGCCGCAAAGTCGGTCTGGAACGCATCACGCCAGCGCCAAATAGTCGCGTGGTTGGACTTGTGCTTCCGACCATCAAGTCCAATGACTTCGTCCACGGTATCGCTAAAATGGCCATTTGAGACTCCCTTGTTACTGATGTTGGTGGGGATATATCGTCCACCCCAGGAGCCGTACTCCGGACGATGGGGCACACCCAGACCATTCTGGATTATGTATAGGAAAGTCGGGGTGTCGCCCTCTGGAATAAACATGTAGTCCGGATAGGTCGAACCGAGCGGGCCGATCTGGATATTCTCCTTGATCCACTCTTTGCTTATCTTGGATGGGTCAGGCCCGCCTTGATCGAAGCCGTACCAGCCGTCGCCGGAGATGCCGCACCATGCAGCCATGCCGTATTGGTTCCAGCCGTGGACGGAGCAGATATAAAAGATGTCGGGGTAGTTGTGTCGGATCCAGGTGCCTGTGTCGTCCTGGTCGGAAATGGTGTATACGCGCAGTTTGCAAAACAGTTTCGCGGCGCTGGCGGTGGAGTGGGTCCTCCGGATCTTGAGGAGAACGGAGGCGAGGACATTGGTTCCACCCCAGCAAAGAACCCAGAGGGGATCCTCGGAGGGTGCTTCGATGCGCTCGAGGAGTAGCTGGCCGCCTTCACTCAGGGGAATATCATCGCCTACTGCCGTCATACCGTATGTCTGCGAATGTAAGTTAGAAAGCGTTTCTTCACATGTGTTGGCATTGTTGACCTACCTCTGCACCCTTCTTAATTAGCGATCTCAGGTATTGTGCCGTCGGGTAAGGGTCATTGGGATGAGCGTGGGCATTCAGGTTGTCGACAACCTTTTCATAGCCATCGACAACCTTGTGCATATCCTGCGGGCAGACCTTGTTCTTCATCCATGTCGAGGTACACGCGACTAGTCCTTCCGTCCGAAATTGGTTGGAGTAAAGCAGATAGCGCACCAACGACTCGGCATCATCAGGTTCATTGGAAATGTCACTGAGGATGAAGACGCGCGGCTTGGTCGCAAAGGTCTGGAGCTGTGTCGGAGCAACCATTGTGAATCAGTCACAATAGGGAAGAAGATGAAGCTGGGTTCGGGTGGTGACGAGGGCCATATTTCAACGTCGAATTGTCCCTCTCCGAGCTACCCACTACTAGTAGTTGCCTCTGAAAGTGCAACTGGAGCCACACTGCCCCGAAACGAGGCGAGCTCGAAGGCGGGGAGAATGCGGAGGTGCAGAGTTGAAAATAGCCGGAGTTCTCCCGAACAGCCAACCTCAGCAAGTCGCCCGTCTGGGGAAGGCAGTCGCAACCGCCGCACGACTAGCTTTGGCGCTTACAATTCCGTCCCGAGTCCTCGCTTTTACGATTTTCTTCATTTCGTGTTCCTCACATGGTATGAACACGGCATGGGTTCGGCCTAGGAAGCAGTGTGGGGGAACGGGATCTCCCTTTGCCGGGAGATGTCCTTCGTGTCGCAATCAGGCCATATTCGGTACGATATGATCTCCTGAGTGGCTCAATTGCGGGGCCCCAGGCTTTACAGAGCTGACTTATGTCGGTCTACGTCCCGAGAATGAGGCATCCATAAACGCCGCGTGGCGACATTATAAGCTCTGGCGGGGAGGAAAGGGGTATCGAGAGGCGCTCGCCTGTAGCTTTCATCCGCAAAGCATGTTCCGCTCCATCAAGCAATCCGTGCTCTACAGGGTAGATCGAAATCAGTTTCACCACTGTACTCACAGAAAGGATTTCCCGAACCCTATTTCGAAACACACTGATGTACACTTGGCTTATCTCCATTTCGAGGGTGGAATCGTAATGAAAGATAAATCCACGAGGAATTAGTTCCTGTAAGTTACTGGAAATACTGTTTCCATGAATACTTTCACCACGTTCCCCCATATTTCGCTCAGATATCCACTTTCCGTCACAACTGCCCTCGCTCTTCTAACGGCAATGCTCGCCAGAATGATAAAGGACAGCCCTCTCGCGTAAATCGCACAAAGTCGTTTTATGATCGAAAGGTTATCGTAGCAATTTCACTATGAAGCAAAACAATCTGTGAGGGTAAGGTTGTTTTATTCGAAAGTATATTGCTCGTCTATGTAGTGAAACCCAACTCCTCCGTTTCCCATTCCAGCAAGGTTTCAGAATTAGATAAGGTGTGGTGGTGATTGGGGCCAAGTATTTGCTTCTGCTTTGCCAGGCAATCGCGTAGTAATTTGAGGGCTCTGGTATTATGACCTGAAGATTTCCAGGTGAAAGCGAGGTTTTCCATACTCGTCAGCGTGGAAGGATGATCCACGCCGAGCTTCGTCTTGCGAGTCTCCATAACCTGCATCTCGAGCTGCTCTGCCTCCTCCCATCGGCCCTGGTTCCTATACGTCGACGCTAGGTTGGCCATGCTCGTCAGCGTGTGAGGATGGTCCACGCCGAGCTTGGTCTTGCGAGTCTCCATGGCCTGCATGTCAAGATGCTCCGCCTCCTCCCATCGGCCCTGGTTCCAAAAGGTCGACGATAGGTTGGCCATACTCGTCAGCGTGTGAGGATGATCCACGCCGAGCTTCGTCTTGCTCATTTCCATAACCTGCACGTCAAGATGCTCCGCCTCCTCCCATCGGCTCTGGTTCCTATACGTCGACGCTAGGTTGGCCATGCTCGTCAGCATGTGAGGATGGTCCACGCCGAGCTTCGTCTTGCTCATTTCCATGACCTGCACGTCAAGATGCTCCGCCTCCTCCCATCGGCCCTGGTTCCTATACGTCGACGCTAGGTTGGCCATACTCGTCAGCGTGGAAGGATGATCCACGCCGAGCTTCATCTTGCGAGTCTCCATGACCTGCACGTCAAGATGCTCCGCCTCCTCCCATCGGCCCTGGTTCCTATACGTCGACGCTAGGTTGGCCATACTCGTCAGCGTGTGAGGATGGTCCACGCCGAGCTTGGTCTTGCGAGTCTCCATGACCTGCACATTAAGCGGTTCCGCCTCCTCCCATCGGCCCTCAAGCCAGTATGCTTCTGCTAACATTGCGGTACTCTCAAGGGCCTCTTTATCCTCGGCACCTAGTAATTTCACTCTCTGCTTTCTCGATTTCGTCGCCATGTCCCTCACATCGGCGATATTGCCGCTTTCGGACGCATACCATGCGCCTCTAAAAAGGAGTGTGGCCCATTGTAATAGAGACTCTTTTGATTCCGGCCGTTGAGACATCGCTGATCGAACGTGAGGAAAGAGCGACCGACACTTCCCCCAATTTTCATATTGACCCGTAGGGAACTCGTGGTACAAATTGCTAATAAACCTCTCCCTCCATTGGTCTATTTGTCCATGGGATTTCAACCACACGCGCATGGTGAGTTGCACTAGCCGATGCATCGTGAACAAAGTGCTGTTCTCGCTGATAGATATAAATGAATAATTCCTTAACGTTGTGATATCATCTTCAAAATCGGGGCCCATATCAGACTCAGATGTTTCCCCATCACTAGAGTCATGCAAGAGCTCTGAACTTGATGCCGAGTTGGCCTTGGGTTGATGCCGGATAAGGTTCTCTGGTATCCCTTGCCGGTCGAAAAAGCTCATGAGAGAAAGCAACTCTGTTGCTGATGCCTTTGTTTGGCGTATGTAATCGAATGAAATTTGCCATGTCACTAGAATTGCATTCTTTGCTTCCCAATCCCGGCAGAGGTGACCTGCCTCTATTTTCAGAAGCCTTATCGCTTCACGGTCACTCCCTTGGAAGTCTCTCAGGTATTGTGATACCGAATAGCGAGGCGCCCGATTTCGAATATGGCAAGCGGCCTGTACGATCGCTAGTGGCATAAACTCGAGCTCGTCCACTAACCGCTCACTTCCTGGGCTTTGCTCGGGTTGATCGAGCGTTTTTCGGAGAAGCTCGAGTGCCTCGGTGCTTTCCATCGGATTGACTTCAATGAGATCTTTATGATTCACCATCTTTAGCGCGACCTCTTTGCTCCGACTCGTGATAATGGTAAAGCCGTTCTGGCTTCTAGGGATGTATTCCAATAGTGGTTTCGTGAAGTCGTTCGTTAGGCCCTTGGTTGGATGTCCTTTGCCTGCCGTCGGAAGAGAGCAAAGGAACTTATCGTCATCGACATTATCAAGGATACAAACCCATTTCTCTATTTTCTCAACCCGGAGCCAGTTCTCGACCATTTTGAATATGTTCGCCTTTGGATCCTGACGACCCGGAATTTTGACTTGGTCTGCAATATCCCGAAAGCTTTGCTCGAACCGGGCTTCATTACTCGCATAGATCCAGAAAACCCATGTCACTGGCGATTTGGACCGGACCCAGTAGGAGTATTCGATGGCAAGCTGTGATTTTCTTCGAGTTGTAAGCAGTAAGCAAAGATCCACGTCATGGTCATTCCACACTCACCCAACACCGCCGAGGCCGACTAGCGCTATTCTTGACCCGGGCACCGAGCATTTTGCGTGAATCTGACGGAGCAGTGTATCGCGACTGACAAAGTGCGGATCGCGCGGGAATGGGACAGTCGACAGAGGGCTAGGTGGGGTTTCTAGTCGCTCTAAGGTGGGAAACAGTGGTGAGTAGTCGACAGTAATCTTGTTCGGTTCCTGACTTACCCGGTGGCAGATGGAATTCCGCGTTGATCGGGCCATGGCTAACTCCGACCTGGAGCGCATGGTTGCTGCCGCAGAATGATACCGACGACATGATCAGACCACTTAGCGTCGTGTGAGTTTCATTCGAAGGCCCATGGTCATATCCCCAAGCTGAAAGAGGGGCATGTCACTAGCTTCACGATCAGGTGGCCCCATGGCGCCAAGACAGGTGATCAACTGAGGTTGGCTGGCCCTGCGCGGTGGGATCGGCCCGAGCCAGAGCACCCAGATCACGCACAGCGCGCGGTAGCCAGCCAGCTCCCTCTAGCTAAAAGCACGCTTTGAAATTCAAAATTTGGCGCGTCATGATGTCAGCGATCAAACACATGGTCCCAGCATTTGCAGCTAATTCTATGTTATGGTCAATTTAGCACATAATGGTCCAATCCTCGCGCCGCTATTTTTTGAGGTCCGCAGCTTTGAGATGGCCACCAAGCTCCCAGGAACTGGGAGGTCATCAAGTCACGTGCATTTCCTTTTACCTGGCATCCCCCAGGATTTTCGACCAAAATCCTTTCACCTGCTTACTGAGCAGAGGGTGAGCAAGGGTGAGCAGATGGGTTGACTTCCATCACATTCGCTGGACGCCCGCCCATCCCTCCCGCCAAATCCCACAGACTACCTAACCTCCCGATCACTCCACCGTGGCTCCGCAACATGGCGCCAAGACTCCCGCTCTCAAAGCTTGAAGTGATTCAAGATATGTTATTGAGAAAATCACTGACTGCCTCACAAATGGCCAAAGCTGCTGGATGTAGCAAGCGTTCAATCATCAACATCAACAACAAACTTGACTGGTTCAGAGGAGTCAAAGAAGCGCCCCCAACTCATGTCGGCCGACGACGAAGCGTAACTCCTCCAATACTAGAAGCCTTATGTGACCATCTAGTCGAAGAACCTGGACTGTAAGTGGATGAGATGGCAGACTTTTTATGGGACGAGTTCCGTGCCCAGGTGACAAATTCGAGCCTTAAGCGAGCTCTCGCTTCGGTCGGTTGGTCAAAGGTAGCTCGACAGAGAGCAAAGGAGCAGAATGCCGATTTACGTGACATTTATCTACATAATCTGTCAGACTTCCATTCGTACCACCTGGTTTATGTGGATGAGTCTGGATGTGACAAGCGAATTGGATTCAGACGGACCGGCTGGTCTCCGCTAGGTGTAGCACCATTGCAGGTAGCCAATTTCCATCGCGATCAGAGTTACCAGATACTACCTGCATATTCCCAGGATGGGAACGTACTCTCTCGGGTTTTCCAGGGCTCCACTGATGCTGCACTATTCGAGGACTTCATTGACCAGCTGTTGAGGCATTGTGGAAGGTGGCCTGAACCGAGATCCGTCCTGATTATGGATAATGCATCTTTCCATCACTCTGAACGTATAGCAGACATGTGCGCCGGTGCAGGAGCACGATTTCGGACATGCAGTCTGGCGGGTACTGATCCCCAATCAGAATTCCAGCATTGTCACACAGCGCATGGGGAAGTGTTCACCAAACTAATAATGTCTCTATACACGTCGTTGGTCCACAGTGGTCACTCCTCTGGAGGCTGAGTAGTTGATAGAGGGAGAGAAGTGGGATTCTGGCAGATAACCATACCGGCGGATCCCCTTCTGTTGCCTTGTTTGCAGAATCAACATTCTAGAAGCCTTGGAGACCATACAAGCTTATTACGGATGCTATTTTTAGGCTGTCTTTTACAAGCGTACTGGAATACTACCAAGAAAGGGGTTCGGTGGTAGATAAACCGTAATAGGTTTAGCAAAGTTTCAAAAGAGGGTTCGAGAAAGAATCTCTGTGTGAAGGTGGTGAATTTGATTTCAATCCATCCTGTACCGGGAGTTGAGTCTCCGCCTGATCTTCATTGGGTGCTTTGTCTCCCTGGGAGCCATGGGCTATGGCTTTGACAATTCCTGGTGGGGAGGTGCCCTGGGACTGTCACCTTTTGGCAAGAAATATGGCTCCTGGATGAGGCCTCCAACGACTGGAGTATTCCATCCGAAAAGCAGTCTGCTGGCACGGGAACAGGTCCTGCGGGTATCATCCTCGGCTGTCTGGTTGCCCCGTGGCTGTGCTCCAACCTTGGTCGCCGACCGACTTTGCTCGTCAGGCTGGCTTCCTGACTCTAGGTATTGTATTGGAGGCCACTGCTCTCACGTCCTTTTGGCAGTTGGTAGTTGGTCGCATTGTGGTCTACTCGGGTATTGGTTTGGTATCCAATGTGGTTACATGTACCAATCTGAGTGTGCGCCCGCAAAGTTTCGAGGTGCGTATTTCTCTTAATATAAACTGTTTCACAATGGAGCAAAGAATGACGGGGGTCTAGGTGCATTCTTGACTGCCTACTCATTTTGGAATACATTTGGCGCTTTCATGGCCACGCTGGTCGTGTATTTGTGTCAAAGAATGACAACACAATGAGCCTACCTGTAAGAATGTCAGGATGTCGGATACGTGTATCATCTAGTATCGAGGGACGGCCAATTGATGCATGAGATGGATTAACGAGAGTGTGTCTGTGTGTTCCGATCTGTTGAAAATGATCCAGGGGCTATAAACTGCGTATTACATCACAGTTCTTCCGAGAATGACCCGAATTACCATACAATTACTATTGCAATGTGGGTGGATGCTGAATAACCAAGAGCAGTGGAGAATCCACAGTATTTTACCTCTCAGAGTTGACAAAGAATCCTATTGTCGTATGACTGCGCGCTCATTCCGCCTGACAAATTTAGTACGGTCATTCTCTGCCAGCTACTAGTTCCCATAGGAATCATCTGTCCCTACCCCTTCCTCCCTGAAACGCCTCGCTTCCTCGTTTACCGCGGCCGTTTTGCAGAAGCTGAGACTGCAATCAAGGATCTATATGGGCCCAATTATAATGCAGCAGAAGAAGTGCAGCTCCTGCAGCTCCAGGTGGAGGAGCAGCGTGAGCTTCACAAGGCGACAAGCGTGATAGACTGCTTTAAGGGAACGAACCTGCGACGCACCATCATTGCAATGGGCGTTCAGATTCTACAACAGGCCCAAGGTGTCTCTTTATCAAACAATTTCATTGTGACCTTCATGAAGCAGTTTGGCTTCGCCGACCCGCTGAAATACGACGTGATCGTTATCGCTTGCGGCCCCGTCGCCAGCGTGATTTCTTTCTACACCTTTGACAAGATTGGCCGACGTTCCAACGTGTTTTGGGGTGTATTCGCCATGGCCGCGATGATGCTGGGCGTCGGAGGTACCACCGCACACGGCTACAGGGTTCGTTCAAAGATGACGCAATATGGTTGCGTTGCCATGCTTGTTCTTTGGTACTTCTTGTACGGTCTCTCCTGGGGACCCGGTGTGTGGATTCTGGGTGGAGAGATTAGGTTCGGCCAGTTGCGCGAGCACACCCTGCTCCTGTCATCACTGGAAAGTTTCGTTACCTCGGTTCCCATCAACTTCGTCAACCCGTACGTCCAAGCCGCGATTGGCGGCCGAACTGCGCTTATTTACGGCAGCTTCTCTGTTGCTGCTATGGCGTTCGTTTTCTTTTACTTCCCGAGACCAAGGACCGATCTCTGGAGGAACCGGATGAAATGTTCCAGCAGAGAATCTCAACGCGCAAGTTCAAGAGTCATATTTGTACTGGAATGGGTGCCCAGATTACACAATTGGAAAACAAGGAGGATGAGAGTGAGAAGACGAAGGTTGAGCATGTCGAGTCTGCGATCTAGAGACATACGAACTGGATCGATATTTCACAAGTGTTGGGATATTATGTATGTAGATGTGTCTATATCTCTGACCTTGAATTTTCAGTCGAGAAACGAGACGATAGATTGCTTAGAGTCTCGTGTCAGCGCTAAAATAACACAAGAATTGAAAATTTTAATGACGACCGCTAGCAAGCTAGCAAAAGCAACCCGCAAATGTGTTCTTCCCTTTCTGTCAACAGCATTGACTCAGGGTTCTCCTTCTGAAAGAGAGCGAATGATTTTCACATTTCTTATAGATGCGGCAAGGCGTAGGGGCGTTCTATCGAGTTCATCGGTGTAATTGACATACAAGCCACGAGTAATCAGAAGAATGACGGTCTCCGAGTGCCCCGCCCCCATGGCAGCAAGCAAGGCCGCATTTATATGAATCGAGTGGATGGGCGAGCCTTCCTTCAAGAGAAGCTTGACTATGCTGATATTTCCACTTTTTGCGGCAAGATTCAGGGGGGCCTCACCCCGTCATCCGAGATAGCATACATATCGGCCCCAGCTTTTAGAAGCATTTTCACAATCCGAGCGTTTCCATTCTCGACAGCCACATGCAGCGCTGTATCTTTTAGCTCAAAGTCGACCGCATTTATGCTTGACCTCACAGCGAGAATCAGCCGTATTATCTTAACGTGGCCCTCAGCAACAGCATGTCTTAGAGGTGTGCGTCCATCAAGTCTGGTCACATTTAGATCTGCACCATTCCGAAGCAATAATTCGACAACTTCAAGCTGACCGGCTCGACATACGGCAATAAGAGGCGTTAAACCGGAAGTATTGATCGGCGTCTTCAATTCCAGGGCAGATCTCGGGACTGCTCCTCTCAGTATGTTGTTATTTGCGGCCGACTCCCTCTCACCACTGAATAGGATGGCCCTGTTGTGCATTAGGCACGAATGTGCGTCAAGTAGAATTCGAGATGAGGAACGGCCCACGACGACGTCATTTAGATGAGTGCCGAGCAACAAGTATTCACCATTACCTTGTGGCCGTTGACTGTAGCGACAATCAGAGGAGTCAGGCCATCTTTATTGACCACATCACATTTAGTAGACTTACTGAGAAGGCAAAAACTCCGCGACAGCCGAAAACAACCGTTCGAATGAGTGCGTTGACGCGGCAAGATTTGGTTGGCGAATGAGTATATGACACATCTAAAAGGAGGTCGACCATTTCAAGATTATTGGGGGCCAATATCGCCACGCCGAGGCAACACAGCGCAAGTTTCGCTCCGTGATCTTCTGTAACACATGCCCCGGGCTTGACAAGGGATCTTGCCACTTTGACATATCCCTTTTCTGCAGCAATTCTGAGCGGGGTGAAATGGTTCTTGTTGACACCCCAAGAAAGTGGTTTCTCTCTGGCAAAGAGACTGATCAGGGCAAGATGCGAATTCGGGTTCAAAGCGGCCGAACGGCAAGGGACATTCCCCAGGTCATTGAGAATCCAAATGAAGCCTCATTTTGGACGAGAAATTTGGCCACTGCTAGTCGGCCATGGTAGGCGGCATCATTCAATGCGGCCCAAGAATCAGAGCCCACGGTATCGATGTTGACTCCGGCTTTGAGAAGACGCACAGTTTCGAGATCACCATTTCCGGCGGCACTTCTAAACTGATCGTCGATGTCTTCCACTATTAGATCTTCCATACCAGCAAGACTGGGCTGCTCTCGCGAAGAATCCATTGAGCTTCCAGTGCACTCTCTGCCGTCAATCGCTCTTTCGGGTCGGCTTTAATCAGCAACTTGAGGACATCCATGCCATCCGAGCTGATTTTATGCTGATCCCTCTTCTGGGAGCTATGTCTTCCGTTGCAGAAGTTCATTATGGTCAATGGCTTGGGCAAAGGCGCGACCTGAGCAATGATCTCGTAGGCGACGCAGCCCAAGGACCACATGTCAACCGATTGGTCGTATCCAGAGATGAGCTCATCTGACTCGTATAGGCCACTTATCTCCGGAGCCCTATACGCGAATGTCCTAGCTTGTGTATGAAATTCTATCTCCGCCTGCGCGCGCTTTGAAGTTCCGAAATCCCCAATCTTCACCATCCAGCATGGAGCGGCTGACTTTTGGACGACGAAGATGTTTTGAGGCTTCAGGTCTCAGTGGGCGAAGTTTTCTTTGTGGATGATGCGAAGTTTATGTGTGACGATTTGTCTCGCGCCTTCCTCGGATGATAAGTTGATAATATATTACGACAAGTCACTCAGCTCGAAGTACTCCATCAGATGTAGAGGTGCAGATCATTTTCATTCAGCCGAAGAACCTCACCAGGACGTCCTTTTGCTGATAGCTGGGATTGGAGGATTTTGCCAGAGCAAGCAGCTCCTTTCTGTAGTCGATCTTGCATTTCTCCATCTCGCGTTTGCCGACGACCTTCACCACGCGCATAACGTGACTGTCGCCGTCTACTTCCCGTTTGCTCCCTAGCCAGACATGCCCAAAGCCGCCGCTTCCAACGATCTTTTCTCGCGCTCAGCGGACTTTCACCTCCTCCTGATGCCTTCACCGACTTCGGCAGGTCCGCAATTCAACATGCATAGTATAATGATCTGTCACTTCGGCATCTTGTCGGCAGTGGTCCAGCAGGTCCTAGGATTCGGACTCCGTCATGGCGAGCACCCACCGACAAAGTCGCACACCAGTGAGCCAGCTTCAGAGATGAAGCCTTCGACGGCCGGAGGGAGGCTCGAGAGATTTGGAGTCGCAGGTCTGGTCTGACTGCAGTCATCACCGCCCCCAAACATCACTTTCGTGCGCTAAGAGCGCCACAGGCATTGGGCAGAACATGCGCCTCTCCACAGCCTCCCTCAGCCCGCCAATATACGCCTATTTCTTCCGATCGCTCGTTCTCGTTCCACTTCCTAATCATCGCCGACTTGTCCGTTTAACTTTCTATGGTGTGCGCGATGGACCCGGTCTCTGTAGCCTTCGCGTCTGTTTCCATGGCTGAGCTGTGCATCAAGTGGGTTCCCCGCCCCCTCCGACGATCATCTTGACGACAAACAGACACGCCCATGCTAACCAAGATACCAAGGTCTGGAATAAAAGTCTACGAGCTCTGCCACAGGTATAAAAATGCCGAAAAAGAGTTGCAACAAATCATTCTGGAAATCGAGGGTTACTGGTTGAAGATAGAAGACCAGGTTACTTTCCTCAAGGACCACTGGAGCTCTCTGGGTGAGCGCTACCAGGTACACCAGAACCAAGTCCTCCAGGAACTTCAAAGCACACTACAAAATGCAATATATGTCCTCGATAACCTCCTCGGGAAACCCGAAGAAATCTCCAAATGGCAGAAGCTAGTTTCAAAGCCAGGAGAGCCAAGCCGTGTCAGATACGTTCTCTATGCGAAAACCTCACTTGATCGCATCATTATTCAGCTGGAGCGATGGCATCGTCAGTTTGACCCTTCGTGGTTTTTGTTGTCCCGCATGTCCGACTCAATTCTCAGTCGAGATTTCGAGAGCAGCAGAGATAGCGACAGCAGTGCCATTTCGACCATTGCGAAATTGCGCGAAGCACACGAAGAAAGTCAAACGATGCTGATGCCATCCCCATCATCTTCGGTCTTTCTCGGAAAGGACTATGAGCTTAGAGATATAGAGACGATTCCGTTGGGGCACTCCTCGATGGGTCTGACTGAGGATGGTAGACGGGTCATCGTGGATCATTATTCTTTGCGCAACGCAGTGGATCTCAACACCGCTAAAAAGGACGTCCGCGATCTAGCCTCGATACTTTCAAAGGTTGATCCATCATTCTCATCTCTCCTTCCCTGCGAGGGGGTGATCAGGACGGACAACCCTTCAGAATCTGAATCTCATTTTCGCATGATCTTCACTATTCCACGGACCCTGAGCTATAGTACTCCGTCCAGTCTCCGGTCTCTCCTGCTGCAAAAGAACCAATCCTATGAGTTGAACGAGCGTGTTCATTTGGCTGTTTCCCTAGCCCGATCGGTTGTCTTCCTCCACGCATCACGCATCGTCCACAAGAACATCACTCCGGAAAATATTATTCTACTTCAATCCAAGGGGGAGAACCTTGGAACCCCATTTCTCGTGGGGTTTGAGCGTTTCAGATTTGACGAGCGGCGAACAAATATGATGGGGGACGACAATTGGGAAAAGAACCTATACCGCCACCCCCAACGACAAGGTTTGCAACCCGAGGAGGTATACAAGATGCGCCACGATATCTACAGCGTCGGGGTGTGTCTGCTGGAAGTTGGGCTATGGAGCTCATTCGTCCAATACACTGAAAATAACCAGGTGGCTGGACCCGACTCGGAGCTTCCGATCGACAGTTTGGTTGGGGAGAAAAACAAGCGCAGAGCCGCTGCAGAGATCAACGCAATCCTTGTGGAGAAGGCTCGGTCTACTTTGCCACAGCTCATGGGCAAAATATATACGGATGTTGTCGTATCGTGTTTAAACTACCTCGATCGAGACAACCCACTCTTCTCCTCGAAAAGTGATTTCGAGGATGAGGATGGAATCACAGTCGGTGTGAAATATATTGAAAAGGTAGGCATTACTGCTCTCTCGCTGGCAGAAGCTAACATATCCATTTACAAAGGTTCTGTACGAAATTGAGAGAATACATGTCTGAGCATAATGTATATTCTTGTCTTTTGCACTCGCATACACCCACACTGCAACCACGCGACATCACAACTACGCAAAGATCCGAATCGGATGATTGGGAAGATAGAAGCCAGGATCATTGAATCGCAATCCCTTGTCAAGCGCAGAAATAGACTTCAATTCATCCTCCGTCATATCAAATCCAAGCACATCCAAATTCTCCGCCAACCGCGTCTGATTATTCGACTTTGGAATAACAGCAACATTCCGCTGGTTAGCCCATCGAAGTAGGACATGCACAGGGGTGGCTTTGTATTTAGCTGCCAGAATCTTCACAGGCTCGGCATCAAAGAGCAGCGGGATTTCCTTCGTTTTTGGAGAATTTATTCGGTAACTCGACGAAGGATTGGGGGCCGAAGCTGGAGTATGCGGTCACTGCGATGCCGTTCTCTTGCGCGACTGGATGAGCTCGACTGAATAAGGTAGGGGTGATGCTCGATTTGAAGGGAAGAGAGTGGGTATTGGGTATAGGTGAGGATGTCGTAGATCGATTGTGCCTGGAAGTTGCTCACGCCGATGCTGCGCGCGATGCCGTTGTCGACGATCTCTTCCATTGCTTCCCAGGTTTCACGGATAGGAACATTGTCTGCTTGAATGGTGCCGGCATCATCCATCCAACAAGCCTAGGTAGACTGTATCACAGACCACTTGAGTTTCGTTGTGTTTCGTTTGAATGGAAATCACATACTGGGTACTGGCGGACCGCCGGATCGATATACTTTAAAGCACAAGGGAAATGCATCAGGAATAGATCGATATATCCAAGACCCCAAGACTCGTTCTGATTTTTCGCCATAGCTAGCGCATGCTCACGACGGTGATAGTTATTCCACAACTTTGTGGTGATGAAATTTTCCTCGCGAGTCACCAGGCCGTCAGAAATGGCACGACGAATTCCTTCACCAGCCTCCTTCTCGTTTTGATAGTCGTAGGCGCCGTCGAAGAGTCTGTAGCCAGATTTGATAGCCTAAGAATCATTAGCAGCCTCAATCTATTCGATACGGGAATGTTCCTGACATTGAAAACTGTATCTGCAGCAGTTTCCTTGGGGACTTTCCAGAGACCTAAGCCCACAAGAGGCATTTTCTTGCCAGAGGCGAGAGTAACCGTGTGCCCAACCATTATTTCGCAAGATGAATCGAAAGTGAATTGCGATCGGAAAGGAAGGCTTCTCGGCCATTATATACAAAAATCTCTATCGTTACTGTACTACTGTAGAGCTTGGTGGCTACGACTGCCGACTTTGAAAAAAAGACCGTCACCTAGTAACTACATCCACATCGTGAATTACGGACACGGTTTTATCGCGGTCAATTATCATCGTAAAACAGAGTGTTTTGGAGATTAGCACTGCCCTGGCTAGACAGGCGTGGCTCCAACTGCCTATTCGGGAATCGGCTCGGACCGTGGTGGAGCATCGACGGAGATGAGGTGAAATCAGATACTGCGATTACCAACCACACTCAATGACAAAACTTAGCAACAGATGGATTCTGTGGGTATCAAAAAAATTACTCCTATTGTTATTGTTGGCTCCATATATGGTGGAGTATAAGGTATATAAGGTGTACCCCGGACAGCAGATTTAAAAGGCTTAGTTTCCCCTCCCCAAGCCCACATCAACCAAAACTTCCGCCGAGAAAATTTCACACACACCACGCGTCAGATAATTTACAATGGAAATAATAAGAAGAAAGCAACAATCAAAGCAGCGAAGGCATGATATAGCTCGTCAACGGTGCTTCCAAGATCTCACGACGCAGCTCAGGCTCCCAATCATAAACGGTGGATTCAGACACCCGCAGTGTCAAACAAGCGAAGAGGAAATCATTGATGCGATGCCACGATGGTGCGCTCAGCCGTTTCGCAATTTTTAGCATTCGGCCTACAAACCACGGCCGCGCAGATGGCGAGCTTCCTGTTGGAGAATACTGCGTGAAATCGGGGAGTTGCTCCGATAAAGCAGGCGAGACCGTACCATCTAGTCCGGTTGTCCAGTATCCTATGTAACCATCGTTGCATGCAAGAAGAATTTGTAGAATTGCTTCGACAGAGCCACTCATGCTTACTTCGCTGTCGATCATGGCGTGCTCGAGAGTTGCGAGGAATGTGCCTGCGTGGATTGGTGTATACCGGTAGTCCCACAGCGCGGCGTTCAGCATCATCAAAGAAGTGAGACGCGCGACCATCTGCTTTCGGTCTCCTGATGCCGTGAAGCGTGCTCCAGGCGCGGCGGCTAGGATTTGAAAGAGTAGGGAGGTTTCCTGCACACAGGTATGGCGAGACAGATCGAATGATTCGGGGTTATCTTGTTGATATAGGGCGAGTTGTTCGCAGCGTCGGAGGAATCCGAGAAATTCCTCGCATTGTAGATGAATCTCGTCGACTGGAGACGTGTGGGTGGAAGTTGTTACCATAGGAGTCTCTGGGCATGCGGTACTATCTGAAAGGACAGATGATGTAGAGTCTGGCGGAGACGGCATAGATTGGCGGTTCTGGGAAGGCTGGGGAGGAGGAGCCTCCGATGAGGATGAGGGAGTTGGAACGGTTGGGGCTGGCTCAAAGAAGAAGCTAGGACCACGAGTCTCGTAGCCGGACAGTATATAGTCTTGCCAATTTATCAGCATCCCCAAGCGAGTATTTGCAAAGGCAGCGGGTCCGCCACGCGCCCGGATCATATCACGAGCTGCGCGCATGTGTATCCAGCTGAATACCTTACGGCCAGGGCGAGGGTCAAAGTCTTCGAGAGCAGCCGCACTCAGACAGGATATGATAGCGACGTCCGAGTCATCAAACGGGTTATTGAGCATATGTTCGCGAAGCATGGTGATAGCACGATCTCTATGTAACAGAGCATCGGCTGTTTCTCCCTCATTGCGGACCCAGGCCCACGTATTTGCAGCATGAACGAGAATAGTGTTTTGGAATGCGACTGCGCCTTTCATCGCCTCGGGTACAAAGACAGCCCTGTACCAGTTGTGTGCCTTGTCCGATCGGAAGTGGGTGCCATATGAGCATGCGGGCATGTCATTAACATAGAAATCAAAGAGCCTCTGACCGTCGAGATCCAGCTCGAGGGGCAGAGAGTTGAATGGATCTGTCCTTGCAGCACTCAGGATAGTTCTGGGTGATCGCATTGGTTCGAATTGCGTTGTTGGCGCGAGCTGCCAACAAGACGGGCTGTTGAAATCAGGCCCATAGCCTGGGGGGTAGGTTTGGGTATGAGGTGGAACGAGAAAGGTGGGCGCTGGAAATTGGTAGGCCTGGGGCTGTATCGGAGAGCCTCGAAAAGGCAGTGGGTGTATCGCATCATCAGCTTGTACAACTGGAGGAGGTGGATGGAAGAACGTTGGAGCAGGCGCGGTCCAGTCGGGGCCCACGTCTTCAATATCGGCTGGGGCGTCATTTTCTGGTGGCGCCGGGACTTCTTGGGCTACTGGCGGAGGTTGAATTTCTGTCTCAGATGAACTGCTTCGATCATGGGTGACTTTTCTTGCTGATTTGCGCTTGGCTGCTCGTATCTTCTTTGGCCGTCCACGTTTTGCTGGGTGACTCGAGATCTTTTCATCTTCACTTTCGCTCCGTCGAGGGCTGCCTTTCTTCTGGCGCATGTATTCTTGCATCACATGACGCTTCACCTGCGTCAAATTGCTTCGACTGTTGTTCGAAGCGTCGATGAATTGCCAGCGCCCGCTAGACTCCGGTTTGCTGCTGGGGCCAGTTTGATCTGAACTCGACATTGCTATAGCAGGAGAAGGCAGGAGAACACGCATAAACGCACTGGGGAAGTTAATGCAGAGGTCCCTGCTGTAACAGGGCCGTGTTTCTAGCTTTGACTTAGGACCTCAGCTAGCTGCTGAAGATGGAGGGATCAAGTCAATGACAGGTCCAGGTCTGATCGACGAACTGTAGCCAACGGCTGCAGCTGCGGAAGGATTCGGTTTAAGAACGAATGGAGGCACCAGTCCCATGACACCAGGGAATGCAGCGCCAGCGAATAGAAAGGAACGATGACAGGCGCATCTCAGGCGATCGAGCCATACCGTAGAGCTTAACCAAAACCCGTCGATCCAACGGGCGCTCGTGCGCCGGACTCGACGAGGCAAGCCAGGTCTAATGTTCCACACAACCCCAACTTTCCCGACAATCTGATTTCCGAAAAGAATGGGGACTAGGACACCAGCATGCCGGCGTCGAGCCAAGTGGGCGCGGTGCAACCCCTGGCAGCGGTGGCTGATCCTTGGAGGCAGGACGAATCAGACGGGGCCAGCCAGGGATCTGAATGGGGGTGAAAAGCCTGGATTGCCGCGAGGCACACCAAAAAAGGGTCTTGAAGATGCGGTGGATAGCCATTAGACCCATGATTGTACATTGAGAGACTCTGCACTGATCACTAATCGAGTATGGATCGAAGCCGATCAGTGTTCAGTGGAGACGCGAGTCAGGTCTCACACTGCCCACCCCATTTTGGGTTAGATGCAATCCAGTAAAGATCACTTTGGCATCGTTCTGCAGCACTTCGGAAGCCCCACCAGCCTTGCGAGGACCGGGGCCGTTTACCCTGGTGGCTAGGGGCTAGGGCATTCGGCCGGGTTCCGACGAGCGCCGGGCTGGCATGGCGTGGAGGAGTGCCTGGGAGTGCACTGTATACCAATCTTATTTGCAGCGGACGGCCGAACAGAGTCGAGAACTCGACACAAAGGAGGGAGGAGGGAGATGAGGGATTTCAGCAGTAAGCCTTTAGCCGCAATGGAGTCGCAAACTCTCGGAAGGATTTGGATATTACGGCAGATCCTGAAACAGCCGATCGCTCTCACCTGCTGTCAACCACTGCCGACTATCTGGTCCTGCAGCCACCGAGCTATTCTTATCCCGATCCACCGTTCGGGACGTGGGCACATGGCGGTCATTGTGTGGGAGTGATTCAGATCATTCCTCGTTGATGTCGGCGCCGACGTCGTTGCTGCTTCATACCCTAGGGTATTGTCCAAGATGATATCCAGCCCTGCAACGGTCAAACTCAGTGCTCCAACGTGGGTTAGGGCCCAGACTAAAATGGGCACTAAGATGAAGGAACTGGCTATCAAACTCTCCTTTTCTTCCTGCCAAAATGCTGCCCCCCACCCCCCGGCTCATCTCACGATCCGTCTCCACATCTCATCAGCGACATACCATCTTCGGCATGGTCTTTGGTGATCGCTGTCGGGGCCGTGTCGTCCACAATGAGAGCCCTCTAACTGTGCACGATGGACGTCAGACTTCTAATTCCTGCGGCTGCTCGCTTGGAATTGCCGGGAATTTCGGATCACAACGGTCCCTGTCTCAAGTCGGGAGGAACGCCGCTGACCTCGAGTGTCATTTTGACTTCGACGCCTTATAGCGACAACCTGTTGACACTGTGGAGACTATCCAAGGGTATGCAGAAGCACGCCTTGTACGGATCGCCCTTTGCGAAAATCCACATGGTCTTCCTTGGTTCACTCATATGCGGAGTTAACCCCCCTCTCCCCTGGCTCTGGCCCACCTCGTCGATCTCGCCATGTCAGGCAACCTAGTGATTGCCATGCCTCATCCACGAGGCATACTGGGGCGGGGCAATATGCGCAGCACAGCCCTAGAGCCAGACTTGAGACAAGGCAGTCGGGACTTACTTTTGACCCGATGATTGACAATAAACGCAGGGATCCAGGGACCGTTCCGACTATCGTCACCGGCTACTAGCTTAATCTCAGTGGCACACGGTCCAGGCGATAAAGAGACATCGCCTGGACCGTAAGCAGGAGCGAACCCCCGGGCACTGTCGCCCTGTCCCTGTTTCACAAAGATACCGGCCGCACGACTCCTAGCATGTATCCTGCGGCTGTAGCTCGCCTGGGGTTGCATCGTCGACATGATATTGCACATACTCTTTTGAGGAAAGATGACCCCGAAGGCGTTGGCGCCCGGTCCTTACAATAGTAGTGTACCGTTGTGGCGGGACTTAGCTATCCCCGGTTTATGTGATACAACGGAGTATTTGCCCCGCTCGCAGACAAAGGATGATTGTTGTTAAGGACAGGGTCTATTTGGACGTGCGACCGTATTCTCATTGCATAAAGATACCACAATGAACAAAAAGCAAAATGGAAGGCGATCGTCTTCTCATTGCATAAAGTTATTTACCACCAAAAGCAGGCGCGAATCAAAAGACCGTCTCTTCCGTAGTCAATTCGGCCCTATTATCCAGGGACCATGAAAATGCTGCTGACCGGTCTCCTGGTATCTCTCTTCTGGAAGCTCATTTCCCCGTGTTCCATCTCCGTTGACCTTCTTTTGCGACGGTGGTTCCCCAGATTCTTCTCCATCCAACCCTTGTTTCTGGCTAGATGCAGTATTTGGTTTGATTTCGACACTGATTTGGGAATTTTTGTTTGGCCGGAAATAAAGATCGCGGAGCGTTTGAAGGTCTTCGATAGTCTGTTCGTCGATGGACGCGATCCTTCCGCTGCCAAAAATTGCAATACATTTGCAGAGACTTGCGACGGGTGCCACGTGCCATGATCTTGGCTTTATTATACTCAGAAGTTGTGTAATCAGATCCCCGAAGTAGTTTTTCAACAGAGTGGGCACATATTAACCTTCGATTTCCATTTCTGTAATCTCTCCCTTTTGGAGAAGATGGTCTCTGTATTGAGCAGAAGTGGGCACCTGTCGGGGGCGGCCACTTTCAAGTCGCTCGGCCTTGTCTTTGAGTTCGAAGTTAATAAAATACTGCAAATCCACAGGTACAATAATGAGACCGGAATCCTGGTAGCAGTCGAATTGGACATAGCAATTAGGGCAAAAGGGGATGTCGTTTTCTGGTGACGTGAGGGAAAAGTTGATCATGCCCATAGCATGCCAGTGTTCTATCTGTCAAGTCATAAGTATACGTAGTCCCTAACAGTAGCTGTAACAGGTTCCCATACCGGTCTGTCCTCCTTGTCTACAGCGTCGCAGATTTAGGGGGTCAGATTTAGGGGGCCCATCGCGCGGCAAACCCAACACTCATCTCCGGACAACCGCCTTACTTCCCACCTTGTTGTGGTTGAAAATGTATTGGACCTGACCCACGACTAACCGGACAACTTCCTCATTGAAGACTTTTGGCTGGATGTGCGAGGACGAGCGGGAGTGGAGGGAAGTGAGATTGGAGTGTGGTCGCAGTTCATGCTGGTGAAGGTGTAGTTGACACCCACCGACGTAATCCTGCCTCGGCCGCCGCGCCAAGAGTAGTAGTACACTAGCGTAGCCTCGACACACGACACTACGGAGGGTTCTAACGGCCAGGGCTCAATTCCCTTTTTTCGCCCATTTGGTGCTCTGTTTTCAACCGATGGCTAATCCAATTAAGAGTGTTGATATTTCCTAGTTAGGTGACTGTGCATAGATTGTTCAGCAGACCGTTCAGCAGACTGGTTGGGCGACTGTTTTTGTAACTATTGGTATGTAGGTGGGGTTTTCATATTGAGCTACAGATCTCTGATTCAAGCAAAGCCCTACTGAATTGAAAAGTGAGCTTTGGCCGTTTTAACCCTCCACACACGTTCCGTCTCAATATTTGATGACACATCCCATAGCAAAGCCTTCCGCAGATTATTGCCGGGGCGCAGATCACGATAATCCTCTGCGCTATACACCTTCCTTCTCGGAGACTGGGTAACGAGAGTTTCAAGGAGACAAACTTTCATCTTAGGTTCATTTATAAGCAGGTTCGGATAGTTAGACGATGCAATCTCCGCCACAAGATGTGATGAATAATCCATGCTATTTCGGTGGACCGTGGTAGTAATCGGACGCTGACTTGTATATCTTCTATCCCATCATCGCCGCTTGCAGAGGGAATAGAGAAAAATAAAGACGAGGTACGAGAGAAAGCATGTGCAATCAACTTGTAAGGTCGGCCCGCCGCGGACGCTCGATACTTTGACCCGCGATAACGTACGAGTAGGATGTGAGGAAAGATACCGTGCTAGCTGAGATAATTAGTCCATGAAGTCAGTGCCGTTTCCAAAATCATTTGTCCCATCCTGGCGACAGCAGAATTCGAGGCCATCTTGCTGGGAAGGGCTGCATTGATGCGGATGCGCGGAGAAGGCGAGACAGTCGACACGCGACACTGCGCGCGGTACCGCCTCACCGCCTTCGCTTTGTGCCAAAACTGCTGCGGCGGCGCAGTCGGCGATCCGCATTCAAGGGACGGTGCCAACACGCTCGATACTGGGGTTTTGCATGATCCAGTCTGCTTTTCCGCCCTTTCAGCTGTCCGTTACCACCATACACCACCCCCATCATTCCCATTGACCGAGCGACGCTGCCTGGCGCGACCAGTGGAGATCCTGCGCGAAACCTCCGGGAGAAATCCGCCCGGTCGACAAATTCCCCCTTGGTCGGCCGTTGAGGCGTGTATCGCCGGTCGCGTGAGTGAGAGGACCCTACAAGTAATATCCCGAGGCATCAGACGGAACCGTACAAGCCCCATGATGCCGGCAACATTCTCGCTGGGATTTGTCTGGATCTAGCTCAGCCCGTTCGCCCTTCGATCGATAACACAGTGAATCCGCCTGACCTGACCGGGCGCAAGCTCTCAGTTACTTCGCCTGCGCAGATTATCCCTGGGGTCTCCGACTAAATAACCTGGGACATCTTCTGGGATCCCAAACATAACATTGCTTGGCTATGGCTCCGGATATGGAGGCCGTCGAGAGGCATATCAACGGGTTCGCCGAGAGCGCAGAGGTCGCCAACTCAACGCCCAGCCCTTACGAAACAAACCCCGCGAGTATACCGAGCGATGACCCATTTCTCGCCCAAAGCGTGCACTATGGCCGCTACACCCCGCAGCCCGACGAATTCACCCCGCGCTACCAGGACTGGCACCACCCGGATTCCGACACGACCGATTTCTGGCAGGAGGTGGTGCAGAGATTCTGCACCCCAGAACACTCGCTGAATGTCTCGGGGCCGAGGGAAGCCTTCGCTGCTGGCAGCGTAGTCATTCAGGTAGACCGTGAGTCTGCGGATAGCGCCGCAGCGGAGCGTTACTCCTGTGTGAATGCGAATGAACTATCTGCAGCGCGAAAAGCCGACGAATCGCTGAAGGAAATTGGCGTTGCTGTTCCGGTCATACACTTTTGCGGCACAATTGAGGGGAGGAATGTTACAGTGGAATCACGGATACCCGGCGTATCTCTCGAAGTGGCTTGGCGATACTTGAACCTGAAGGAAATTGCTGTTTTCAAGAACCAGTGTCGACAACTCTTGCAGCGGCTTCGAACAATCCATCCGGCCTTGAACGAACCTTCTTACGTTTATCGCGGACTTAATTCGCAAACACCTCCTGCTGGGCGTGGACAGGAGCGAACAATTCTCTTCGCTGATAAGAGTGCCGGGGAGGACCTGTGCTTTACGCACAACAATCTGGTACCAGGAAATATTGTGGTGAAGGATGGTCGGATTGTGGGTCTGGCAGGATGGCGGGAAAGCGGATATTTTGGCTTAACGCGGGCTCAACAGGTGCATCAGTCATGGAGAGATCTCCAGGGTGAGGACCAAGACAGCGCAACTGGGACTTGGGTTGACCTCTACGACGAGGAATATGATCCGAGCAAGAGTACGCCGCTGGTTGCGACCAAGGACATTGCGCTGCCATCCGTGAAAACAGAACCGACAAGTTCAACACTGGACAAATTTCCAGTCGGCGATGACTTCGAGACCAAGTCGATGGGATATGACGGAGCCGGTGATTATCCGACATCAAAGAAGCTCGCCAATCTGAGAAACGGTACAACACCCCGAGCATCGTCATCCGAGCGATCCTCCCCAGCGACATCGGTGAAGCCTGCGGCAAATAAGAAAGCCACGTCTGCCACCGCAAAGAAGGGCACGGCAAAGAAGCCAGCGGTCAAGAAGCGCAAGGCGAACGATGTGGATGCAGACAGCGTGGATGGTCGATCAAACACTCCTGCATCCCGCGCCAGCAAAGGTCCGGGTAAGAAGCAAGGCTCCGCGTCTATCGCGGGGTCTCCAGCCCCAGAGGAGAAGAAGAAGAAAAAGAAGGGTGGCAAGAAGAAAGTCTTAGAGGAAGACGAAGACGACGACGTTGATGATCCGAATGAGGTCTTTTGTATTTGCAGACGACCTGATAATCATACATGGATGATTGGGTGCGATGGCGACTGCGAAGATTGGTACCATGGGAAATGTGTCAATGTCAACTCTCAAGATGAAGATCTGATTGAGAGGTACATCTGTAAGTCCAATACATCTACCACTCATGGAATTGTAACTAACGATGCCGTCATTCACCAGGCCCGAACTGCGAAGCAAATGGACAAGGCCGCACAACGTGGAAACCAATGTGTCGTCTTCCCCAATGTCGGAAACCAGCGCGCGCAAATCCCAAGAATCCCAGCAAGTATTGCAGCGATGAGCACGGCCTACAATTCATGCGCCAACACACCCGTCGCCTCAAGCTGGGGCCAGCCCAGAAGGGAAAGGAAGACTTGGGCAGCATGGGCGGCGTCCTTACGGCGAAAGACCTCAAGGCTGTCATTGTGGGTGTGAGCTCCGTCGAAGAATTCCGCAGACTGGGCGACCGGATTATTACACCGCCGCCGACAACAAAAGAAAACACGCCCAATTCCGAAGTGAAGAGTGAAAACGGGCCGCAGATCGGCAATGGGTTCGATGCCAAATCCAACGGTGTAGAATATTCTATCGAAGAAGCCACGCAGATAGAAAAGCTGCGTAAACACCGTGACGACCTTATTCACCGCAAGGAAATGCTTGCTGTGCGATCGACATTCATGGAACTTCTGCGGCCAAGGGCCAAGGTCATCCTCGACAAGCTAAAGCAGAAAGAACCAAAAGGCGGATGGAAAGATATCTGCGGATTCGACTCGCGACTTTCGTGGTCTGATGAAGAATTTGACGAATGGCGGCTGTCCGAAGCCGGAAAGAAAGCTCTTGCAGAGGGCACGGCTGAGGCCATGGCTGCCAGTTTCCCTGTCAGTACCGATGCGGATGGAGACACCACCATGGACGGTGAAAGTGAAGATGAAATCGCCTTCTTGACTCGCGGTGCCTGCACGAAGAAACGCTGTGAGCAACATAAGCAGTGGCTTAAGGTGCTGCAGCAAGACCTCCAGTTTGAGGTGAACACTACAGACGACGATCTTGCGCGGTGCGAGCAAGAGGCACGCGCTGTGGCTGAGCGCTCCGTCCTGAGGAAGTGGGCTGAGAAGGAGAATGTAGCTTCTGAAGCCCGGTAGATGGCATCTTATTTTCCACTTCATCTTTTTTTTCTGCTTTTCGTGTCGTGATTGGTGTGTCGGTTGAGATGTGAACGATGACTTGACGAGAGTGGAGTGAACCGGAGACCATCAACCAAAACAAAAAAGCCTTGATACCCCCTTTATTTCAAAGATGAAAATGTGTCTCATGGGACGGAGTTGGTATTTGCAAGGGGTAGCTGTGGAAAACTTCAGAGATCGGATTGTGCAAAACTTTCCCACTTTGCATCGGCATGGTGAAATGGCGCTTTGCGAGGGTGGATTTAATCTCAAATTTTCTCGTATAGCGAAGGTTGTAAGATTAGGTGTTACATTGAGTTAGACAAACGAACTCGACGGTTTACTTTGCCACTGGCATCTTCAAAGTTGTCAAAGCGTAATGAAAGCCCGACTACTGCTTGCCCCCTGTCATGGTATCGGGGACCATACGCCCCATTTCCCCAGCCCAGGCCCAGTCCGAGACTTAACGACCTCGGCAATTGGTGACATCTTCACGTCCGAGAGCAGAATATGCGTGTCCATCCCTTGGTCGAGTGTTTTCATGAGCAGAGTATTTAGAAGGGAAGTGTCTGGTGTCTGGAAGATCGAATGGATACCATCATCCTGTAATGAAGTTGTATCCTCCTCGCGGGGGTTCGACTGGTTCGGTCCCTGCTGGTTCGTTTCGAAGCTCGCTGGACCAAGTCCGCTGGTGTTGACCAGCATGATGGAAAGATAAGAGGCGTGTGTTCGGGACATCCGAGTGAGATTGCGTAATGTGGCTGCTAGTAGAGCTGTTCCTCTGACTGGATTGGAGGCTCGAATGACGCCTTCGATCAGAGAGTCGAGCCCAACCACTATGAAAACAATAGGTTGGGCTGTGTTTGACTGTTGCCTTTGCGTATCGATTTGTTGCAGAGACTCTGATACTTTACTGATTGCTTGAGCTGCGTTTGGAAAGTCGTGTACTGGTAGCAGTTGCACAGAATCAAGTCTTTTGATTGCTTCCTCTCGAGAGAGTTTCGGTTGGGTTGGCGCAGATTGCAGGCAGTTGAGCAAAGTCCTGGGAGCGAATGCTTCAAACCCACTTGGGAAGATGATGAAGGCACTCGGTTCCGGCGAGGGAGAGTTATTCAGTAGGTGCTTTGTGAGAAGGTAGCGTGGGATCTGACATGTATGAGACTAGATGGACTCGTAGCTTCGAGAGAGTGACTTGCATACCTGCCCGATATATTCATCATTGTCCTTACTCCTGGTTCTTAGCCTTGAGAACCCTATGACCGTACCATACTGTAAAACGGCTGACTTGGTTGATCGGATGCCGATATTCCATTCGTTTGCAAGATTCCAGTCGCTGCCGTCCGCATGGTCATGGAAAGGACCGTCGGTGATGCGGGACTCGCCTGATTGGGTAAGAAGAGAATGAGCAAGGATTGGAAAAGCCGGCTCGGCAGAGTACACGTTGGGTACGGTGGTCATGACTGATGAGTGCTGGGCTGAGTGAAGCACATGGAGTTCATGCAAGATCGATCTAGATCGTCAAGCTGGAACGGGATTGATGGGTGGTGGGGTTTGCAGAGGAAGAGGTCACATTCGGGATCCACCGCTTTTGTGCGCGTCCCGATTGCACCACGCTATACTCCACCCTAAAAGAAAGCGCCACAGCACCTTAGGTGCTCAAGGGTAAATGGAATAATGTGAATCACTTGTAAATTTTATTCATATACGCCTGAGATTTAGGTACTTGGCAAACTTCGCCTCCAGATTCCACTACCGTCAGAAGCCCATCCTGTAACCATGTTATCGCGCAAAATCCGCGCAAGATCCTCGCGTACTGCCTCGACATGGAAATCTCGACTCTGAAACTCTGATATGGTTGAGTGCTGGTTAACGTGCCATCCGGTTATAGAATACGCGCTCTCCAGTTCCATCCATGGGTCGTTCGGGTCCAGCGAACCACGCTGTTCCATCTCAGTGGCATGGTTGTTGGCATCGGGAGCCATCTGCACAGTCAGTTGATGCAAGTTGTGCATTTCGGACATCACTCTGAGTATCAGGTCCATGTGATTGAAGAAGGGGAACACGGCTATATATGAGAAGGAGGTAAATCTTTGCAACATGACCGTCAAATCTGGTGGGCAGGGTGGCCCTTGGTTCTCTTCACCCTGATCTTGAAAACGCAGATAAGATCCCCAGTCTCCGACAAAAGAAGGGACGCGCCCAAGGAAATACTCATAATGGTGATATGCTTTCAACGAGGAAGACTCATTGAATGTCAACGAGATCCATGGGCGAGCGATGAGCAAATTGCTAGATCGCTCTAGGTCATACTGAGGATGTGTAGATAGATCTCGAGGATAGCAAAACTCTCGCTCCAGTTGCATGATTTGAAGGTCGATCTCAAAGGCCCAGTTGAAACCGCCCTGGACCGGTGAGTCCAATGTCTCGCCGATGAAGGTTGGCGGAGCGAGTAGCGTAATGCGCGCTGGATCTAGATATCGCAGGACTCTGCGCCACCAGGATGGATCGTCCGGATAAGCCGAGGCCGGCGAAGAGATCGCCACGAGAGATGTCACATATCGGTTGAGCCCCGACCTAGTCACGAAGATGCGAAATTCGTGTTCATCCTTTAGCTCCAGACGAGCATGTGCGAAAAGTACCGGTCGGACAAGATTTCGCAACCGGTGTGAGGCCAGCGACAGATGTTTGAGATTCTTGTCATGGTCTGGAGATCGAGTGAGGTGTAGATCAGGTGTTAGATGTAGACGAGCCTGCGACGGGGGCTCGGTGGCCAGGTTGCCGATGATATGGTCCAGCAGCTCATTGGGGAGCAGCTCCAGGGGACACGACATGGATGCAGCGCCGCGGCCCAGTTTCCATGGCGGTACCGAAGACTGGGCTGAATATGGAGCAGCTGCGAGGGTGCAAGTGCAGTCTGTTCGGGAAGACGAGCAGGACGAAGTGCCGGTTCCCCACTTGACGACAACCCACTTGCCTCTTTGTCAGCCTTGACTCAGCGCTGGATATAACTAACTATACACTGCGGCGAGGAATAGAATGACTTGAAGGTATGCTACAGTTTGTATTGCACTGGTATATGCCTACTGGGTTAGTATCATCATAGCTATACCTCGGAGAATAAAAGCAAGTGCGAATATCGAATAAAAGCCGGCCGGGAATCCCCCGTGAAGGACTGTGGAGCACATCGCCTGGAGATGACAGCAAGGCTCAAAGATGGGACTGCAAAAATGAGGAAACGCCTTTGGCCCGATGATTCCATTTGGGCGTGCAATCCCTGCTAGCCCTGCGCGCAAGTCCTCATTGATTCGTAATGTCTTGCGGAACATTGCCCGCCAATACTGCCATACCCCAGCGCCAAGCGCCCCGCATAGTTCACTTTGTATACTCACCGTGCTCCCATGTCACTGCCATTGTCGCTTCCACTGCGTGAATTCGCGGTATCTTTCACTTATTATGACAACTCGCGGTTGGAATTCATTTTTTGGGGCACCGGCAACATGATCGGACTTGAAATGAGCAATCGCACGACTCCGATAGGCGAGCAGCAGAATGTGGAGATGCTCATCTTTTTGGTGGGGCGGGGAATCGCATCCGGACTCGGACTCAAGTGATTTGGACGGCGATGGCGATGCCCTGGTTCGGCCCCTCTCGAGGAACTTTTCTTTCTCTTCTTCCCCTCCGAATTCGAGCTTGTTGCCTCTTCACCTGCTGTGGGTGCTGCTAGATCAACCCGATATCGCGCTCAACAACTGATCGATATACATCTAGCAATCTTCACAATGGTCCGTCAACTTCACCAGCGACCCCCCTTCCGTGCGGAGCACCTGGGCTCCCTGCTTCGTCCCCAGGAACTGCTGGACACAAAGATCGCCTCTGAGAAGGGCGAGGTTCCCCAGAGCCAGCTCGCTCCCGTCGAGGACAAGGCCATCAACGATATCGTCGAGACCCAGCAAAAGCTCGGCTATGCCGCCATCTCCGACGGCGAGTACCGTCGTCACAGTAAGTCACCCGTACATCTCAAGAATGGCGAAAAGGGATAGTATTGCTAACAGTGTCAGTGTTCTGGGGTACCTTCTTCCCTGGTCTGGAGGGCTTCGACGAGGTCACCGATTTCGAGACTGACATCTTCCGTCCCTATGCGCCCGATATCGCTGCCTTCCTGGAGGCCGGCCACAAGCCTGGCGAGACCGTTCTCTGCACTGGCAAGATCAAGCACGTCGGCAGCACCTATGTCGACCAGTTCAAGTACCTGGCCAGCCGTGTGCCCCAGGACCAGGTCAAGAACCTGAAGATCACTCTGGCCGCTCCCAACTGGTACCACCTGCGCTACCGTGAGGGAAAGGCTTACCCCAAGGATGTGTACAGCTCCGATGATGAGTATTTCGGCGACATTGCCAAGGCCTACCAGGTCGAGCTGAAGATCCTGTACGATGCTGGCTGCCGCAACGTGCAGTACGATGACCCCAACCTGGCTTATTTCTGCTCTGAGAAGTTCCTGAACGGCTTCAAGGAGGACAAGGGCAATGTTTACTCCGCGGACGACATGTTCCAGAAATACATCAAGCTGTACAACGACAGCTTCATCGGCCTGCCCGAGGACATGCACGTCGGTGTGCACCTGTGCCGCGGCAACTTCGTCGGCAGCCGTCACTTCTCTGAGGGTGGCTATGACCGCATTGCGATCAAGCTGTTCCAGGAGCTGAATGTCCACACTTACTACCTGGAATACGACACTGAGCGTGCCGGTGGCTTCGAGCCCCTCATGCACCTGCCTCCTCACAAGAACGTCATCCTGGGTGTTGTCACCAGCAAGTTCGCCACCATGGAGGACAAGGAGGAGATGAAGCAGCGCGTCATCAACGCCGCCAAGATCATCGCTGAGGGCAACAACATCTCGGTCGAGGCCGCTCTCAACCAGGTCGGTGTCAGCCCGCAGTGTGGTTTTGCCTCCCACCGCGAGGGCAACGCCATCGACTGGAACGGCATGATCAACAAGCTGCAGCTTGTCCGTGACATTGCCAACGACATCTGGCCCAACCAGCCTTGAATTTCTCCCTGAAAAGAAAGGAAAAAAAAAAAATTGTCGAACGATTTCAACGAATACCCAAATTGTACATTTGCCTGCCACGGCCATTCTCTGATTGCCTATTCAACAATGCGACGGGGTCTGGGATCTTTTGTTTTTGTACAGCGCGCTGGCCTGATGCCTGGGATGAAGGTCATGATATCTCTTTGGAATACCAACTTAACGTACGATTCTTGGAAATAGTCAATCCACTCATGTTCGTGATAAATTTTCTCAAGATGGAAGATAGCATCATGGGGAAGACCGAAGTCAAGAGGTAGAAGTAGGTTGATTCATAGGGTAAGAAACGGATGCCGGGATTCCCTCCCTTTTATACTCCCAAGCTTATCGTCCAAGGTCCCCACCGATGGCGAGCTTGCCTTGGCTTTGATTGGCTTACATAATTCGAAAAGGCAGAAGGCATTGCCGACCAAGACGATTTAAGATAAGACGCAGCTTGATCTAACTTGCAGTCTCACTCATTCCAGCAACGTGCCCCGCATTTGTGGCTTGTCACAGTCACGCGGTGTTAGCCTCGCGATTCCCAGTCCTGGCCGACATGTCAGACCAGAAGTTAGGCTTCTATTTGTAGCTACCAGGAAAATCCTGATCGATACGCCAAGCTTTTGTTTTATCCGAGGAAAGTGGGAAGTCGAGAATGATGACACAATGTCAGGCCTCGAAGTCATTGGCGTTGTAGCAAGCATAGTCCAGATCGCAGACCTTGGCATGAAGCTCTTAGTAAAAATGTGCTCCTTCTACGGACAAATCAAAGATACCAACCAGGCTATGCAAAGCCTCTCAAGCGACATCTCGCTCAGATGCACGATCCTGCGAGAGCTCGGAACAACACTTAAACAACACTTGAACAGGATGAGCAAGCCAAGCTTTGCTCCGAACAGGCTTTCAAGACAGCGCAAGTGGTACTTAGCGAGTGCACGGCAGTATTCAAACGAATCGATGAAGCGATTGAGAAGTAGAATACTGTGGCTGGGAAGAATCGTTCCCAGCGCGGAGCGTGGAAGCTCACGGCTGCTTTTCTCGGCTCGGACCTTGATCTGCTCAAAAGCAATTTGGAGAGATTGAAGTCGACTATGCTATTCATGTTGAATGTCATCATGTACGCAGGGCAACTTCGCAGGTAAGTAAGCTTCCAGTCAAGTGCTGACAGCTGCTAATTGTACTCAACAGGATGAATAACGTCTCCACACTGGAGGAGCAGCGCAAATTGATCCAAATGCTACTCAAAAACGAGCAAGAGAGCGAGGCAAAATACACCCACCTCACAAGGTCCATTCAGATGATTTATATCAATGATGACGCCGGCCCGATCCGTGCCACTGCATCTACGACAACATTTACAGTAATGGGAACAGCGGCAGCTCGCCCAAACCCAATACTTCCAGCTTCACTAGACAGGCTATCTCCATCTATAAAAGCCGATGTTATGCCAGAATTCAGTGCATATGAGCATATTATCCAGAAATTTCTCACCAAGATCGACATGTGCCAGTCAACGCTAGAAGAGGCTCGAAGGCAGAGGATACGAAATGGGATCATGAAACTGCACGCTACCGAAGTTGCAGTGTACTAGAAGACCCAGGATCCTCAATTAGCCGACATACTCAACGAAACATTCTCCAATATTGAAGCTCCCGAGGGCCAATTAACCTTGGATGGTGGCCGTCTGGTACAAGCACAATTTCCCGTTGTCGTGGAACAGGGACCTGGGATGAATACACTGAATGATGTTGTACGAAGACCTCCCATGAGACCCTATGATACCGGGAAAACTGTTTTACGACCCCGAGCAAAATCAGAAGCACCATTTGATTATCCGGGATCCGAAGACCTTCCACGTTCGATGAATTTTTCGTGGGAGCCATCCGAGAGTTCTCTCAGAACTCCCTCAAGACCCATCTCAGCTTCAAGCTCTGATGAGGACGAAAACCTCAGATCACACAATGAGCGCAGCCAACGACGGCACTACCGCACTCGTTCTACCTCGCGGGACGGTGTCATCTTCCGGTTCGATCTCGGCACAGAAAAACCCCAGACTTGGGTAGTAGTGCCCGTACTGGTCTGATCGATCGCCAGCGGAGCCGGCACTCGATCATCACGTTCACATAGTCCTGCTGTTGGACATACTTCTATTGCTGTCGCCGGTTTCAGTGCCGCTGCTGTGGCGGGGCTCTATGCGAAGAACAAGGAACTCAAGACAAATCAGGGAGTCGGCTTCTTCTGGTCCTGGAGCTATGACTGAGACGGTAGAGAACTTGGTGCTACAATGAACAACCTTGACAGCAAATGAGGTTTAAGGAGATAGGGTCTGATTCTAGAAATTGAGAAAGACGGGAGTCCTTTGGATGTACGATTAAATCGACAATATCAGATGAAAACTTCAAGCCCATTCCCACTCACTCCGCAGGACCAAGAATGTTCCCCTCCTTCACAGCCGACCTCTTACGTGTATTCTCATTCTCGACCTGCGCCCAGCCATGAGCATTGAAGCCACGGGTATTGCTAGCCAGGCTTCTTCACTGGCTGCCTCGTCAGACGTACCTCATAGTGTGGCTCCTCTTCCGATGCCTCGACAATGCGGCCTGTCAAGCTAGCCGTGGAGGTGCAGACGTTTCGAATTACTCCGACGCTTTGGTTTGTATGAGAGTTTCGACCTTGTGGATCCCAATGTTAGTTATTTTAATTCTTTATAACAGTGTTCGATGGGAGTCCTACCGCCAACTGCCTTGTAGTTGACTCGGTCTCCATTTTTGAAAGCGGGCATTTTGGTCCAGACTGTTACTCAGAGATTAGTGTGTTGGTAATTGCGTTGCTATATGGGCAGCTTGGACGGGTTGATTGAATCGTGGAACTCAATGATCGCATCCACCATGCATTTTGCATCTTATATTGGTGGGTGGCAAGTAGCATCGCAGAGGGAACTATCTCCGGGTTGGTCGTCACGTTGACAATATGATAAGTGATATTGCACGCTATGCATTACCTTGGTGGTGGCGTCCCTGGAATGGAAAATCTCATACCATAAGCACGATAGTTCAGTTCAAGTTTGCCTCACGCAAGCGCGGAAACCAGTGCCCGCACCGACGTAACCATGAGGGCAAGTGTTCCGCGGCCTTGGGAATCTCAGCCGCATCGGAGTCCGATTCCGTGGATCACGAAATTTATGAAGACTAATAGCTATACTCGAGAATATCCATTCAGTCAAATGCATGTCATATTTTTGGAAGTTGATTCTCTATCTCGGCTCCAGAACCAGCTCTCCTCCGCCTTTGAAAACCAGTCAATTCTATTAACATCGGCAATCCACAATAATGACAGGGCAATCGAACAATGGCAACGCTGATGATATGAACCACTTGAGAGAATTAAATAAATTAAGGCGGAGCTCTGACGAGTCCATGTAGCAACAGAGGGGATATCATAGAAGGAAAATGGAACAAAGGGGGAAAGGCAGGAAAAGAAAAGAGGCCACACATAAAAGAAAGGGACCCAAGGAGACAATCCAAAAAAACATGAAGCCAAAAAACCCAAATGCTGCGTCGTCTTGTCATCAAACACGGGACATGAATCGAAAAGAGAAATTACTTGTCGGACAGTGCGAGGTGTTGTACACGAGGCTGGGAGGGGAAGCCTCTCGAGATCGCAGCGGGGCGTATTTATTTCTGCGGCTGGGTCTTGACGTTGTTGGAGAGCCACGCCTGGAAGTGGGGGCGTGCGGGTCAGCTATTGTTTTGGATCCGGTCAAGCAGAAGAAGGAACTTACTAGGCCTTCGAAAATACCGGTTCCGTCCGTCGCGACACTGGGCGCGACGTACCATAGCTTGTCCTTCAGCTTGGTGAGCTGGAGCTGTTGGGTGACCTCCTCGGGGCTCAAGTCTGATCAATCGGTCAGTATTGTTCGAAGCTCACGGGGCCATCACCAGCAGAAGGAGGAATTTAGGGGACGTACGGCCGCCGATATCTTGCTTGTTGGCGAACACAAGCAGCAAGGCGTCCTTCATTTCGCGATCGTTGATGATCTTGTGCAGTTCCGAGCGGGCTTCCTCCATACGCGCAGTGTCGCTCGAGTCCACCACAAAAATCAGACCTTGTGTGCCGGAATAATAGTGTCGCCAGAGAGGGCGAATCTTGTCCTGACCGCCGACATCCCAAACATTGAACTTGACGTTCTTGTAGGTGACGCTCTCAACGTTAAAACCGACGGTGGGAATGGTGGTCACGTCCTGGTTGCTGAGCTTCAATTTGTAAAGAATAGCTGAGGCATTGTGAGTGATTGTCTATCAGTACCATCAGCAGAAAAGCTCCTTACTGGTCTTTCCAGCGGCATCCAAACCCAGCATCAGGATCCGCATTTCCTTCGTGCCGAAGATCTTCCCCATCATCTTGGATACTTGGCCACCCATCTTGGCGACGCGTCAATTGGAGGTCGGGGAGATTTAGAGCGGGCGGGCGACACGGAGGCGCCTGGTCGAGGAGGGAGGTGAGGAGGGGAGCGAGGCGAGCAGCAACAATCTGAAGTCGAGCAAGTGCGAAGATCGAGAAAACAGAATCGCGCGGGGGAAAAGGGGCACACCGCTTACTCAGCCACCCCAGAGGCAGTCGGCGTTTCGGCGCGGGCTCCACTGCTAATTTACGGTGGCACCGGTATGCTGATATGCAGACCCTCAGGGACAATCACGCTATCAAAAATTAACATATAGACCCCTTTAGGGTGTTCAATCGGGACACAATGTCCCCTTGAAGTTGGCGCAGGAACCGTGGGTTTGTGAGGGTTTGTGAGAGTCTGCGACGTCATTGATGAGGACGCTGTCTCACGAGCAGGTTTTATTGTACCTTATCCTCTCCGCTGCGACCCCTGCCAGTTCTTCAATTCCCATTCTTTCTATCAGAGAGCTCTTTTTTATCCCTAATGGTGTACTTGCACTGAAATAACAAAATGGCCCCCGACGACACTTTCTCACGCCGCGCATCGGTGACGCAGCAGCGCCGCCTGTCGCAACAGTTCAAGAGAAATGCCTGGTTGGCACCTCCTTCTGATGTACGTGCAACTGGGGATGAATACTGACCTCGAACTAATGAGTCAAAGACCATTTATGCAGGAGTTTCGGGCTACTTCGCCAGCCACCATTCTTCTACAATCGCCCTCGCAATCCGGGACCCCACATATCTACTAGACTTCATTCAAAAGGAGATCCAGCCGGACGAGGAGCGACCCTGCGAAGAGCTGGCCGTCGAATTCATTTTGGCCGAGCTGAAGAAATATGCAGAAACCCACTTAGAGAAAATCATGGGAATAGCGATGCCCAGGCATGTCGCAGATTGTTGCAAGGGCCTCTGCTCCCGTCTCTGGGCGGAGCTTGATATCATCCCCCTCGTCCTACCGGAATACAGCCTCGTAGACCGCTTCACAACTCGTCGTCCATCGCATCCACGAACCTGGGATGTAAAAACAATCGATGAACAAGCCGAGTCCATGGCGCGAAAATCCGTTAGGTTCGTTTGATCGGCGAAATTGTGGAGCACGAACGCTGATCCTTGCGCAGATTGTTTGGTCCGGAAAACATCCCTTGCTGCAGGTCGGTCTGATGGGCCTCGTGGAAGTTGACACGGGATTCCACGTGCGATTGACCGACCTCGAGGATTTCCAAAAGACCGTCTCCGACAGGACCTGGTCGGCGGTGCAACAATATGCGTCCGACCTAAAGCACCGCAAGGTGAAGATTGCCTTTTTCAGCGCGACTCCGCAGGGTGGAGGCGTGGCTTTGATGAGACATGCTCTCGTGCGATTTTCGAATTCTCTGGGCACGGACATCAAATGGTGGGTCTGCAATTGGTATAACATCGCGAGGGGGGGGCGAAGACTAATTGAGCTTGTCTGCAATAGGTACGTTCCGAAGCCGCGGCCGGGCGTTTTTCGAATCACCAAGAACAATCACAATATTCTCCAGGGTGTTGCTCGCCCAGAGGAACGTCTTACTACGGCAAGTCAGACGTTGTTGCGAGAATGGATTGAGGAAAACGCCAAGCGATACTGGACTGGGCCCGGGGGTCCTCTCTGCGCACCATCTGATGGCGGCGCCGATATTTTGATTGTCGATGATCCTCAGATGCCAGGATTGATACCCATTGCCAAAAAGGCAGATCCAAATCGGCCCATCATCTTTCGAAGTCACATTCAAATTCGAAGTGACTTGGTCGCGACCGCCGGAAGCCCCCAGGCCGAATTATGGGAGTTCCTCTGGAACGATATAAAACTGTCGGATTGCTTTATCAGTCATCCAGTGTGCACCTTTGTACCGCATGACGTGCCGCCGAAGATCGTGGGCTATATGCCGGCCACAACCGACTGGTAAGCAACGCAGCCTGATAAGCCTGCATCAAAATTTTCTCGCTGACCTGGCTTAGGTTGGATGGATTGAACAAGAACATGCGAGACTGGGACGTGGCGCACTATGGCCGAATTTTCAATGCTGCCTGTAGAAATGCAGAAATGCCGGCGATCCAATATCCAGAAGGCAAGCTATCTGATTAACATGCATGTGCTGAGAGTCTGACTAACTTGCCCTCCCCAGACCAGTATATCGTGCAGATAGCGCGGTTCGACCCGTCCAAGGGAATATTCGACGTGCTGGATTCGTACGTAAAGTTTCATGATCGACTCGTGCGTGACAGGACTCATAAAACTCCGCCAAAGCTATTGATCTGCGGTCATGGCTCGGTTGATGACCCCGACGGTGCGGTGATTTACGACGAGGCGATGTATTACATTGACCACCAGATCCCGCATCTCCGAGATCAGATTTGCGTCATGCGGCTGAGACCCTCGGATCAAGTTTTGAACGCCCTCATGTCCAAGGCCACCATTGCATTGCAGCTATCGACGCGCGAGGGCTTCGAGATTAAAGTCTCCGAGGCAATTCACAAGGGCAAACCCGTCATTGCTACGCGCGCCGGTGGAATCCCCTTGCAGATCGAAAACAACAAAAACGGGTTTCTCGTGGATGTCGGTGATACCGATGCGGTTGCACAACATCTGTACGATTTGTGGACGGATAATGCCCTCTACCGCCGCATGTCGGAGTATGCGCTCAGCCACGTCTGCGATGAGGTGAGTACGGTGGGGAATGCGCTGAACTGGCTTTATCTTGCGTCGAAACTGTCCAAGGGTCAGCTTGTGCAACCCAATGGTCGTTGGATCAACGATCTAGCCTTTGAGGAGCTCGGGGTACTTGTTTTGAAGGATATACCGCGGCTAACTCGGGAGGTACATGTGGAAAAGATGGGATAGGACATGCGCTGCAAGGAATTGTTTATGCGCCTTTCTCAACTTTGAGGGAGCCGCGGTCTTTATGTCCCCTCATGATTTTATGGATATATTTCAGTCGTTGGTATACAATACCCAAGAAAACAACCCGAATTTATGTTCCAGAGTAGTAGTATCCATTTCAGAAAATAGCGCGATCGTATCAAATCCACTTGGCGAGGAAAGGCAGAGGGGGTATCATGCAACAGTAAAAAAAAAAACGCCACTCAAAAAAACTGAGGCTTTTACCTCTCACGATCGCCCAACAGCCCGATATCTCTCTCTCGCCAAGCCACCCTCAGCCCCTTCAACCCCATACCCCTCGCCAACTTCACCAACAATTCTCGCAGGTCGACCCCCAACAACACACCAGCTCGGCACAACCATACCCGGCGGCACAACCGCCCCATCTAGCACAACAGAAAAGTCCTTTATGATAGCCATGCTTCCAACCGTCGCCCGAGCCCCAACATGAACATGGTTTCCCAAAGATGCCGCCTCAACGACAGCCGACTCGCCGACGAAAACGTGGTCGCCGATTTTGAGCGGGTAATACGAGTGGACACCGCGGTGCAATCTGCTCGGCGGGCGCAGGATCGCACCCTTGGAAATGTAGCTGTATCGTCCGACGGTGATTGCGACGCTGGGCGCTGTGGATGGTTGGGGTGGATTATTGGGATCTGTTGAGGCGGGGGTGGAGGGGAGTCGGTAGAGATCACCCCGGATGACGGCTTCAGCTTGGATGACTGTCTTTCCGCCCAGAATGATGTGCTGCGTGCCGTGGATTTGGGACCGGCGCGAGATCTTGTTTCCCGTATCCTGGTGCGTGTTACTCAGTGGTTCTTGGGATTGGAGACTTGCATTCGTGTCTGTAGGCTTCACTGGAGTGCTGAGAGGACTAGAACTTACTGTTTCGATGTACTCGCCCTTGGCGGCTTTGGGAGGCATTTTTGCGCGATGTGGCTTTGGAGCTGGGTGTTGATATTCGGACCTCCCCCGATTGTTGATAGATTGTGGCCGCGAAGGCGGTGAGAGCCTGTGACCTATACGGGAGCGCCAAGACTCGGACTCATTTGATATCAGCTTGCTAGCCGATAGTTAACTACGGCATTTTGCAATTGAATTATTAAGCTGGTTGTCAAAATCTCTCTCGATTCAATTCTCTCGAGTCTCAAAATAAGGACAGACAGACTCTCCTTGATTATGCAGTGGGGTTATTACTACTAGTCCCAAATGGGCGATGGAACTAGACCCTTTGGGGCTATTATCCAAGATCAATGGGTTCAAAAACCATACTTTGGATCGATATTGCCAAATAGCTACTGAGTAGCTGGTATGACCTCGAGATATTTTCCTTTCTACGAATATTTAATCCAAAGGTTTCAACTTACGAATATCCGACTAAACAAACAAACCGCCTTATTGTATTAAGTGCCCCACATCCTCGATATGGACCCGAAAGATTTGATCGTGCTCCTGATATTTTTGTTGCTTATACTGCATGGTTGCGCTCAACTTCCAGCAATTTTCCGAGGCTTGAGAGAGGGCTTATCGGAATTCTGGCCTCTCTTTATCGTGTTTTGACAACAACTGTTGCTATCACGTCGTTTTTGCCATGTACTATTGCTGCTTTACTTCGCAGTATTACGGACGGGCTACGCTCTAGAATCCAATAATATCTTGTAACAATCTCATAATTGAACTATACACTAAAGCTACAAAGCATTTGATAACTAGAAGCACAGTTTCTGGATATCCTTGAGAACAAGCAAGTTCCCGGAAGCAAACGCAGAACGTAAACCATGGCCACCCACGAGAAGTGCCGCACATTAAACCCCGTCCAGATCTAGTACAAGCGATTAAGACAAAGGTGCATTTTATTAAACTCGATGGGTCGCTTATTTCTTGGCAGGGAAGTCGCCGTCCCAGTGAAGCTTGAGCGCTAAAAAGAAATTCAAGTCAGTGTCATGTTCCAGAAAGATTTTGGAGGGTGTGAGCAAGCAAAACTTACACATAGGGAAGGGGAAGTACGAAGTACCGTCCTGGCGGAGGTAGACGTAGTAGCCGCCATCCTGGGGGATCTTCTTGAGCTGGCCCTGGTCGCCGGGGGCGCGACGGAGGTTTTCCAAACGGCCGACGACGCGTAGCATGGCGACGAGAGCGATCTTGGTGATCTCCTTGCCGAAGCCGGTGTTGGGGCCCTGGCCTTGGTTGAGGTAAGACTCCAGAGGACGGTTGAGGTTGACCTCGTTAGGCTCAGGGAAAATGCTGGGGTCGTGGTTGGCCTGGACGAAGGAGGCGAAGACCTGCTGGCCGGCCTTGATCTCAATGGTCTTTCCGTTGTCCTGGACGGTAACGTCGTTCTGGGCCTCACGGAAAGCACCGAAGGTTCCATTGATACGAATGGCCTCCAGGCAGTAGCGGAACAGCTTCTCGTCGTTCTCCTTTGAGTCCTGCTTGGCGAGGCGGTTGATCTCGGGAAGGTGCTTCTTGCCCTCACCAGTGTAGTACTCAATAACCTGAGTGAAGACCTGGCCCTGGTTGGGGACCATCCCGACGATGGTCGGAATGATCTGGGACCAGGTGATCTGCTTGGAGTTGAGGCCGGCCTCCTCAAGGCGGCGGAGGGCGCTGGTGCCGTACTCACGGAGAGCGTTGTCGTGGGGACGGAAGCTGTTCATGAGACCGGACAGGAGACCGCTGTTGGTGTCAGCCTTGACGGTAGCCTCGACGACCTGGCCGAGCTGCTGAGCGACGGCGGAAGCAGCGCGGTTCAGCGAGTAGGACTTGGTGGCGTCCACATCGAAGAACAGAGCGGAGAAGACGGTGGTCAGAATCATGTACATCTCGTGCTCAGTGAAGAGGCCGTTGGGGTTCTCCTCGGTCTTCAGGGGCAAGCCAAAGAGGGTAGAGGCGAAGTGGATATGAGCCAGGTTGCCGACATCGCGGGTGATGTCGACCTGGTTGATTTTAGCCAGCTTGGCACCCTTGTCGTTGATGAGGCGGGTGGTGACATCCTCGTAAAACTTCTTGACGAGTTCGGGGAACTCCTCAGTGCTGAAAGCCTGGCCCATAGTCTGCTGTTGCTTAGCGTCAAAGTCACCCTTGCCAAAGAGGTCTTGCATGGTGCTGCTCCAAGCGACAGTGAAGTCCTCGGGGTTGTTCAGGACCTGCTGGGCGCTCTGGTGAGAGGCCAGGTTGGCGCGGATGGGGAGGTAAGAGGGAGCGTCGTAGGAGTAGTCTTGCTCACGGCCCAGGTTCTTCATGATTTTGCGGTTCTCGCTGGGGATGGTCATGGGGTAGTGGGCGTAGATGGAGTCAGGCTTGTACCAGTTAGGGAAGGCACGAGTAGCCAGCTTGTAGAAAACACAGCCCTGGTTGATGTTCAGGTCGTAACGGCACTCGTTGTAACCCCAGTTGGTCAGGTTGCGGGGGTTGTAGTCAACGGTGTAGTGACGGTCACCACGGACCAGAGCGACGGCATCGGACAGGACGGCACGAGAAATGGTGTAGGTAGGGGCAATACCGACACCGGGAATCATGGGCTCCTTGGCCTCCTCGGAGACGATACCGGGGTACAGCTCGACGTTGTCGGGGTGCTCATACAGATGACGCAGGGAGTTGGCAATTTCGGGATCGGAGTTGATCTCCTCGAAAGTGTCGTAAGTCTTCAGGCCGAAGTGCTTACGGAACTCGTTGAGAGAACCGACGTGCCATCTGCGGGCGGCCTCCATACCCAGGATCTCGATGGAACGAAGAGCCTTAGGGACGTTGCGGGGACCGAAGGAGCTGGCAACATCCTCGGTAGCGTGGGTAAGGATCTGGACAAGCTCCTCATCTTTAAAGGTACCATCCTCCTGACGCTTCAGGTTGGCAAAGGTACGCTTGGAGGGATCGGCATCAAGCATACCCTCAACCTTCTTCATACCCTGCAGGAGTTCAGGCATGGTGACCTCCTCAGCAGGCTTGCCCATGAGGTCATAGTAGATCTGCTCGATCCACTTCTCGTCCCCCTGACTGATGGTGGAGTGCCAGCGGTAGGCCAGATTGAACTCAACGGAACACTGGTTACCGAGACCAGAGGGAGTGGCACCAGCCTTCTCCATCTGAGCACGGGGGTCGAGGCACCAAGTGGAGTTGGTGCGGTTCAAGTTGACAATGGTACGCAGGTAGTCGTACAGAGTAATGTTGATGTACAGACCGCACGTGATCAGACGACCAGTCTGGAACAGGTCCTCGTCATACTTGGCCCAGGCCTTCTTGGTGTCCTCCTCGGAAAGATCCGGACGAGGCTTGGGGAAACGGTTGTTCTCGTTAACCAGAGCAAGCTGCTCGACAACGTTGTTGTGGAAACGGTTCAGCATGACCAGCAAAACACCGCAAGCAGCAGGCAGAGCCTGCAGACGACCCTCGGAGAAGCAGTCAGGCTTGAGCTTTCCGTCCTTGTGGGAACGGATCAGATCCTGCTGCTCCTTGACATCACCGTACAGGATGGAGAGGTCGAGGTAAGCAGAGGTTTTGTTCAGGTGCTGTTGGCGGTAGTCGGTCTGGAAGATATCTATAATCGAAAGTCAGTATCCACATTCAAATCCTAGCAACGACATCAGATGCTTACCATGGATGATCAGAGAAGCCCAGTCGAAGAAAACACTGGAGACCTTGTTGGGGTGAGGGGTGAACTCCTGACGAGCGAACAGGCTGTCGAAGACCAGACCGGGGTCAGGCAGACCGCTCGGTTGGATGGTCAGAGGAGGAATGGTGCGGCAGTAGGGGGTATTGGCCGCACCCAACCAGGGAAGCGTAGGGTTGTTGTTCGATCCGTCGGCGGAACGGTATTTGTAGTCATCACCCATGTAGCTGTTGTTGTGTCAGCAAATTAAGCTTTCCAGGTTTATATAGGTCGTTCGGGGATCTTACGAGAGAGGGGGGTGAGGCAATGAGTTCCACAGCTCATCCAGGAATTGATTGGTGAGCTCGGTGCGGTTCTTGGAGTGACCGGGCATGTCGGCAACAAGCTAAATCCAGCCGTGTTAGCTCTCTATTCGCGCCGCATATCAAAGTTGAACCCAATTGAGTCAATTTCTTGTTTGCGAGGCTGTATACATACCTGGATAATGCGCTCCATGAGGTAGGTCTTGTCGTCAATCAGCTCGCCAGAGGCCTTGTTCTTGATCAGGTCCTTGACAGTGTTCAGATCACGGAAACCGAGGGACTTGATATCATTGAACAGTCCTGAGGACTGGTCGTGCTTGAGGTAGGTGCCATCACCGGTCTGGTTGGGCAGAGGCTCGCGCGAAGCGTGGATGGCTTGCGCATACTTCTCGAAGACTGCGATAACCTCATCGCGGTTCACAGCGCGGCTGTCATCGTTAGAGGTAGACTTGCGCGCTGAGGCAGCCTTGGAGAAACGCTTGCTGTTTTCTTTGGCGGGCTTGGGGTGCTCAGCATCACCGTTTTGGTCCTTGTTCCGCTTGAACTGCGTAGAAAATCTCCGCAGCATCGACATGGTGACAGGCGTCTGAGAAACGTCGCACAGACAAAGTCACTATGTATAAAAGGAATTGAACCGGGAGAGGAGGGAGTGAATTAAGCAAAGGATTAAGGTGGCTACCTCGGGCCAGATCAGGGGGAAAGAAAATCGCGACGAGTGCTGCGCGCGCGCCAGATTTAAAAACGAGCTGTGCGGGCGACCCAGGTGAGGACCAGCTGCAGGACTGTGGAGCGTCCGCGGTGGCGGATTTGTTATCACCAATAGTTGATTGACTGCGAGGCCCAGATCTCATTGGAAATGGACCGACCAGGGCGACACTAGCCTCGATCTGCCCGGAGGCTGTGGCTCAGGACTGATGGCCCGCTGCCAATCAGACCGGCGGCCCCGCGGGGAACAAGCTCGGTTGATGGCCAGCTGGAGCTGATTTGGTCGCGGATCCCACCGAAAAGCATGGCTCCCCTCGATGACGAACCGCTGAACCGAGTAAATGATCACCATGCAGGTTTGCCAGAGTGGGGAGCTTTCCATGCGGTTTGGGAAAGGGGGTGGGCCTAGGCAATTGGACACGGCACGTCACCCAGGGCAGCGCTGAAACTCTGCACGAGTGGACAGTTCGTTCTTTTTTTTATTTTCTTTTTCTCCAGCATTATTGTGTCAATTGTCGGGATAGTCCCGTGGAAGGTGACATTTGGAGCATCCACCGGTACGTGAATACACGCGCACCTCGACGGCACACCTTCCCCCCTTGAAACATCTCGACCATCTGACGAAAGACATGCTCGCGAGGCTCGAGATCGACCAGCCACAAGTGTACAGGTGTGACTGATGTCAAGTGGCAGTAGCGGTGTACGCGCGAACCGAATCTCGGAAGTCACGATGCCCCACATCTGGGATCGCGAGATCCAGCCAGACGGCGCGCGATGGAGCGTGGCAGCACGAAGTGGGGGTAATCCAGAGCACGACACCCTTGACCATTTCGGTCGAAAAATCGTGGCTGGCTGTGAAGATCGCCGGATCAACCGGTCGAGGGGATAGAATCGGGGGGCTGTCAAACCCTCCATGTCCGTGCTGTAGCTGTATGGCGTAGCTGGGTATGATGTAGAGACTGCCAGTGACAATGGGTGCATACTAGTGGAGGATGTACGGAGGGTCTTGGGGGAGGACAGGTGCTTGGACCGACGTAAGGGAATGCGGCCAGTCGCGGCAGAACGTCCATCTCCGAAGGTGCTAAGCTACTTCTTCGGGACAGCTGCAGATGCAGATTAGACCAAACACTCGAAGTTCAGATCGGCACGACCCACCCGTTCGCCCACTCGCTAGCTGCTCTGACCCAGCTAGCGTGCGCCCAGAACAGTGAACGGGCCGCTCTGCTGAACGAACCGTATTCGACCCATTGTCATTGGCGGGCCCAGCTGCCAGTCATCTGAATCAATCAGAATCTGATCTATCGGGCCCCCACCCTCAGGGTCCTTTCTGTGTTGCCATTTCAGGATGCACTGGATTCCCTCGTGGTAAAGAAAGGATATCCTTCTCTGCGCGAGGGCACGAGGAATGGTCCATCAAGAATATCAATCATGGGGTCAAAAGCCAGCCGAGCCCTGACTCGCGTGAAGAGACGACGGGAACCACGGAACGCCCACGTGTGGCATTTCTGGGGACGCGGCCCGCCCGCCCGGCGATATCCTACCAAAAGGGCGTGTCCCCCATAACATGAGATTGTACTTGCTGTACAACACCGGACTAAGGCCTCTAGCAGAACTACTCCAATGCCAAGCAAATTATAGCGAGCACACTATTACACCCGTGCAGAACGAACATATCTATCTTCAGCAATTGAGTCCACGGCCCATGTGATTGGGGGATCGTGCATTGTTCATCTTCAGCCGCCTCGGATCGGACCTTCAAACACCAGAGCTGAGGGCTCCACAGGGGGTAAGCACAAGAAGGGGAGGAGAAATCAGGAAAATCTCTGCCACCTCAACCACCTTGTCTCTTCCCCTCTTTGTGAGATTCGGACCGCGTCAGTCTCAACTTTGGCCACGAATCTTCAGCAGCACGGACGAGGTGGGTCCCCGCAACGTGAAGACGTCAAAGCTGTAGAAGGCGGTTCGGGCTGGGAGGCCAGCAGCCCCTCTTGGTGAGTTTAGTGCCAGACACTAGCAAGCTAGCCCCGATCCACACCCGGGCTGGACATGCCCCTTGCCCCGAGTTGATTCGAGCACCCACGCTGGCAGAGGCGACGTGGGGAATGATCGTCGGTAATGTCCCGATCCCACGAACAGTGCTGGTCATGTTTCGTCTGATAGGTTCCGCGAGGCCACTGGGCTCCAATAGTCTCCAGTGCCGTGTCCAAAAGGAGGAAGAAGGACCGTATGTACTTACAGCACAGGAGTTCTGAAATTCAGCGGCGCCAACCCCCCCCACTGGACGCAAGCCCCGGGAAGGTTGGCTGCTGCGCGTGCGAGTCAAGACCAGCCTAGATCAAAAGCAAAGAAAGAGGACCCGATGCCTTGCGATTGGACGAGATGCGCCCCCGTTGGAGGGAAGGTTTCGATAGGGCTCACATTGTGTGATGTGAGAAGGCTGTAAGGCGTAGGAACAAAACCGGTCCTGGAGCAGCCTCCTGCTGGGACATGCCGGATGGAGGAATTTTCATGCCTCCGAAGATGATCATTGTGCACACCACCACAGCAACCAGCGTACCAGTACCGTTCCAGAAAAGTAAGAAAGTCGGGAAGATCCTCGCGAGGCCCACCAGCCCGTCAGCCCGAGCTTGACGTATCTTGCAGCGATCGTCTCAGTGCCACCCTTTCAGGCATTCCAATCGCCTTGGTCACTTTCGTCTTCTCCTCGTCCTGATTTGCAGGGCCCCAGCTGCATCGCATCCTGTGTTCGACCTTTTTTACAGGTCCCACGTATATACTTGACCGTCTGCCCCCTGAATGGTTTGGAGGCCGTCTCCGTGCAAATAGACGACACCATGGCGCAAGCCCACCCACACGTTCACCCGTCGCCAAACCCGAAGCAATTTGTGCTCTGCTTCGATGGCACCGGCAACAAGTTCGCCGGCGACGAGTCCGACAGCAATGTCTTGAAGATTTTTCGTGTATGTGCTGTGCATCTGCATCTGCCAAGGCTTGGAAGGCTTTGGCGGGATTGTTTTTTGTTGGAATACTCACACCGACCATGAACAGATGCTCGACCGTAGTCAGAGCCACCAGTACCATTACTACCAGCCCGGTATCGGTACCTACGTGACCACCAAGTCGCTCTCCAGCCATGGCCGCATCCAACGCATCAAGTCCTGGTACCAAAAGGCCAAGGACTCCGCCATTGGTTCGTCCTTTGACGAGCACGTTATGGGCGGGTACAAGTTCCTGATGCGATACTACTCCCCCGGCGACGAGATCTACTTCATCGGCTTCAGTCGCGGCTCCTATATCGCACGCTTCCTGGCCGAGATGCTGGACTACATCGGCCTTCTGGAAGCCGGTAATGAGGAGTTGGTCCGCTTCGCCTGGAAGACCTTTGCCAAATGGCAGCAGCGAGCTGGCGACACCGAGGAGGACCAGGCCGAGAAGAAGAAGCTGTTCGAGTACATGAAAGCCTTCCGAGAGACCTTCAGTCGTCCGATTTCGCGCATTCGCTTCATGGGTTTGTTCGATACCGTCAACAGTGTTCCGCGCTTCGAAAATGCCTGGATGCAACGCAGCAAGTTTCCCTACACGGCGCGCAGTTCCGCTCGAGTCATCCGCCATGCCGTCGGTATCGACGAGCGTCGCGCCAAGTTCCGTCAGGATCTCATCTCGGGCCCGCGGCCCAAGGAGAAGCATCACAAGCGTCATCGTCCCCATTTTCATGCCAATCGTCTGGAACAACATCTTCATCGCCACGAAGACGCCAACCACCACCTCCATATTTTCCACCAAGACCGACATGGCAATGCCAACTCGGAGCAAGTCCCCGCCATCCGTCTGGACGATGGTAGCAATGGCGCACCCACCGAGTTGAATGTCCCGGCAGAGACCCCTGGCTTCCAGACACCCGGATGGGGACCCGGTCCTGGTGAGACGTACTACCACACTGCGCGTTCATCTCAAGCTGGGAGCGAGTCAAACTTTGGGGACAAGTCCCACCGATACCGCGCCCCGTCTCCCCGGCGTAACAGTCTCGCTGTTCCGAAGCCCAACCAGTCCACCGACGACGTGACCTCCGTTCGTAGCGGACACTCCGGCCTCTCGGTTGCAGTCCCCAGCCATCAGGGCGACTACGACGAGAGTGACGAGGATGACCAGGATATCCATGAGATCTGGTTCCCGGGCTGCCACGCTGATATCGGCGGTGGCTGGAAGTTGGCAGACGGCGAGTTGTGGGCGCTGAGCCATGCGCCGCTGGTGTGGATGGTGCAGGAAGCCCAAAAGGCTGGCCTGGAACTTGACGAGCGCAAAATGAAGCAGTTCCAATGTCTGGAGGAGTTTGATGGCGACTACAGTCCCATCCAGGCTGAGATCAATGCTCGCCGACCTAGTCAGCTAGTGCCCGAGTCCAAGGAAGATGACCCTGATGCCTACCGTGAGAAGCCCGATGAGAAACAGCGCTCGGCTGCTAGCCGCGACTTCTGGCATGCATTGCACACCTCCAGCACCAAGGGTCTTCTTCACGACTGCTTGGAGTTCAACCAGGGTCTTCCCCCAATGTCGGTCCTGTCCTGGCGTATCATGGAGTGGCTGCCTTTCCGTCGTATGGATCTCCAGGATGACGGCTCCTGGAAGCCCATCTGCTGGCCGCTGCCTCGTGGTGAGGTGCGTGATGTTCCGCTCGACGCGGAGATCCACGTCTCTGCCATCCGCCGTATGCAGCACGATCCCAACTACCGTCCTGGCAATGTGATTGTCGGTGGTGGTGGTCGTGGTGTGCGTATTGCGCCGGAAGAATGCGGCATGGGCGACTGGGTGGTCCTCCGCAATGAGGGCGACGCGGTGCGCGAGACGTACGTGCGCAAGACTATGGCCACTAAGTGCAAAGAAAAGCTGGAGCATGAGAAGAATGGGCACTCGTAATGACCTCTGCTTAATTTCTGCGTGATTTTCTGTGCTCGTCCACATTCTCTCCCAATTTGTCTACTACATAATCCTAGTTATACCACCCATACTGACCTAGTATACTTAGTTTCCTTAGTTCTCTTATTTATCAAAATGTACCATCTTATGTGATCGAGTCTCGAGTTCATCTGGGACGGTCTGGAGCCGTCTAGAATGCTGTAAATGTAGCCCAGATCGAAATTGCGATCCTTGCACTGGTTGTCAACTGCGGCGAATCAGGGTCTGACGCGCATGCAGTGTTGGTTCCACTGCGACGGAGGGGTGGGTTTCGAGGTCTGGGATTACCGTCTGCCCCGCGAGGCGGATGATGTTGATCGGATGCAAAACGCAGGTGAGATGAATGGAGACAGAATGGAAGAATTGAGTTTGTCGTCTCTTGGGGTGGGGGGTTCGATGTATACTATTCATAGTATACGAAGTCTCAGGATGAGCTCCGGTGGCACCTGTCTGGATGCGGCCTGTGGGGTTCTTTGTCTGGAATCCAGGGATCTGAAGTATACCCCAAGGCCTGGGCCAAGATCTGCCATTGTTCTGAGATTACTGAACACGCAATGTTGAGCATAAGTCTGACGCAATACTAACGCGACTTTTCTCTGGGATACTTGGAGTTTAGTGCTCGCTCGGGTAAGCTCGGTTGATATCCCTGTAAGTATGACTGATGTGTACCTGAACCTACAGCGACCTTATGGGATCAAAGTACATACTCCATCCCAGTAGAGACACCAGGACACATGCCGCACAAGATAGATCTCAGAGCATGTTTCACAGTGAAATCCAGTGTCCACTTCTCCCGGACTCCGCTAGATCTTGAGGCCCCAATGCGCCGAGAAAAGCCCGGCTCGGGCAGAGTGGAGAGAGGCGTGGCAATGGCAGATGCAGGCCGGATGTCAAGCATCGAGGTCTAGATAAACTGCGGCCAGGAATTCCTGCTATTGGCGGGCGAGGATGCTATCTCCATCGCCTCGGGGCCGATCCATGGATGTAGCGTTCGGGGATGCCTCGATCTGGAGAACAGCGACGGGGGAAGTGACAAAAGCAACCGCGTCGACAGGCTCAAAAGAACGGTTCTTTGGGCTCGCCGGAATGATTGTGTTTGGCTGGTGTTCAGGGTTAGGCCGGTGGTGAGGAGAAATGAAAGGAGTATCACATAGCCCTGCCAGGGTCCACGGGGGGCCCGGGCCGCGACTTTTTTCGCCGCACCTCCTTCCACTTTCATTTTCTTTGGCCGTGGACGATTTCCAATCTTCGCTCCGTCAACTCCTTCCACAAAACTCTGTTCACCTCTTCTCAATCGAAGCCTGGCCGGTCCACGGTTTTCGTCTTTTGCGCCCTTTTCGCTCCACCCCTTTTTTCCATGATGCGCCCGGCGTGAACATCATCCACCCCCCTTCTCCCTTCCTCGATCTTCGACCTGCAAGGCCACCCCTCTCTTCCCCTCCCCCTTTCCTCGCCGATCAGCCTGGATCGCCACGATGGAAGGGTCTCCGCGACCTGAGAACAAGCGCTCTCCGGCCTCCGACTCCAGCGCTGCATCTGCCTCCGGGTCCAGCACCGGGGGTGTGCCGGAACGGGTGGGAAAGGAGGACGTCATGATCACTTTGTCGCTCTCCGCCGAACCACCGGCACCTCCTCGGACTGGATCTCCTTTGACCCGGTCGCATCTACGCTCGCGGTCACTGGTGGGAATCCCCGGCATGCCATCGATGACCCGCGCCTACTCGTCCCCAGGGCTGGACTCTCGGGGACGATATATCTTCGTCAACGGCCGCGGGATGCCCGCGCATCCTCCCGTTGATGGCGCGAAACGGCCCATGCCCTTGCAGATGCGCGCGGACGATCACATCGAGACCCGTTTGGGGTCGCTCAATATCTCCGAGACCATCTCGGAGAATGCAGAGCTCGACACCACCCCCAGATCGCCTTCTTCGCATCGCAGCTCTTCTCCTGTCTTAACGGCACATGGGTTTCCCCGCATCGGTCGGATGCGCTCGACGTCGCCCCTCCATATCCAACCCTCCGTGAGCAGTCCACCTTCGGTTCATACCTCCCCCATGCTCGGCGGCAAGTACAACGAGTCCTATCCGATTCACTCGTCTTCGTCTACATCTTCGGTCCCGTCGACTCCGACCAGTCTGCGCTCGCGCAGCCCCAGCATTTCCTCTCTGGAAACTATTCCCGACATCCCTGACGCGGAAGCAGAGGCTCTCGAGGACGAGGATCGCATGGCGGAGCTGAAAGCTGCCGCTGATGCTGCGGATGCTGCAAGCAGCTCCAATCGACGGCATGGTACATCCGATACATCGACTCCGTCCAGTTCTTTCAGCACGGTTCGTGGCGGTTCCAGCGTGTACACTCCGCGCAGCGACAAGCGCAAACGATGGAGTGTTTGCGGTGCCGAACGTCGCCAGGACCTGGACCTGGAGACTATCTGGGAAGACTGAAGCTGTCTCCCGTTCATCATTGCATCCATACGTCTTCTTAGGCCGAGCATCTTTTATCGGTTCCTAAACCGGCAGATCAGACTTGCGGATTTCGCATCCGGACACGATCCAGCCCCCTCGCTTGGGGCTTACCCTCTAGCAGAATGAGCCCTGCCGCATCATTTTGGCTTGCCATCATACCTCTGGCGGGAACTTAACTTCGCTACAAGTTTGGCGATTGGCTCAATCTTTACTAACCACACATCGACCCGTATAGTTTCCGGATCAACATGGTCCATCTTTTCATGCGACATCATCAGACCAAGGAGTTTATTCGCGATGGCGCATTATCTTACTTTTTCTGTTCTTTTATTTTGTTTCATTTTCTAGGCGGCGCGCGGGAGGCAGGACCGGGCGCATTACTTCTTCTCTTTAATTATGCTGGGCATAATCGCGTTTTCGGAGGCATTCTGATCTTTCCAGTGCTTTTTGCCCTTTTCTGCTTGATACCATTCGGTGATATCTCACCGATCTTTGCTATATTTTTACTTAGAGTCCTCGGACTGTGGCGAATTTGAATGCCGGTAGGCAACTACTAGTATCTTGACTTAGTATGCGCAGTGAAACCTGTTGTTTGTGACCACCTATTCTGTTGGGAAAGTCATCTACCTTATGAATAATGATTTCACCAGTTGAGAAGACTGTTACTACTGTACCTTGTGGAGGTAGTAAAGGTGAAGAGTAGCTGCAAAGTTTGATCTGATCTACCTGAAATCCCCCAACGAATCATTCGCCCATCCCACACTAATAGATCGCCCGATAGCCAATCACCCGCGCACAGGGCCTCCGCCTTGAATCAACGACATCAACCACTTTTCCTTCTCCTCTTCTTTCCCTCACAACCTTCCACGGGAAGGAGTTCTATGTTCCAATCTGCCCTACGCTACATTGTTCCAATTTCAGATTCATCCCGCATCCGCCGTTTCCGTCTTCTCCACCCCATGGCCGCCAAAGCTAAACCCCGCGTGGGGATCGTGGGCGCAGGCATTGCCGGCCTCCGCTGTGCCGATATTCTCATTCAGAATGGGGCGCGGGTGACTATTTTGGAAGCGAGGGGTCGTATTGGTGGGCGGGTAAGTTCATTTCGTTATTTTGAATGCGTCGTTGGATATGCGTGGAATTTGGTCGGCTTTCGACACGTGTTGTGTTTGGTTGTTGGACCTGACTAATTGTTTTTTTGTTCGTCGATTTAGGTGCATCAGAGCGAAATAGCAGGCCATCTAGTAGATCTGTATGTATTTTTATATTTTCACGGCCAAAGATGCCGTGGATTGATCTGTGAAGCCGAAACTAACAACCGGCAGTGGCCCAAACTGGATCCATGGCACGGAAGAAAATCCGATCATGGACATCGCCGATGCAACGAAGACTATAGCTCGTGATCCCGAAGGGAGAAATATCTCTATATCCTGCGACGGACAGCTTGTCGATGAGCAGCTCACAACCAAAGCGGCTGAGTTCATCTGGACAACCATCGAGAAGGCCTTCGAGTACAGCAATCACCATGGGGATAGCATCCCGGTGGAACGCAGTCTCTTTGACTTTATACAGGAGCATGTACAGAAAACCAATTTCTCCGATAAGGAGAAGAAATTGTGTTTGGATTCCTGCAAACTTTGGGGTGCATATGTGGGTGACCCTATCGAGAGACAGAGCTTGAAGTTCTTTCGTTTAGAGGAGTGTATTGACGGGAGTATGTTTCGTCCCATATTCCATCTGATTCCATAATTAAGTGCTTACGCGCTGACACTCCCCGATAGACAACTACTTTGTGGCATCAACCTACAAACGAATCTTGGAGCATGTTGCAAAGACAGCCCTGGCACAAGCTGACATCCGCTTCAAGCAACATGTTATCAAGATCGAAGCACCGCAAATTGACGGCAAACACCAAGTTAAAGTAACTACCGCATCAGGCGATATCCATGACTTCGACGAATTAGTCGTCACATGTCCTCTGGGCTGGTTGAAACGCAACACCGAAGCATTCCACCCACGCCTCCCAGACCGACTCCTCGAAGCAATCAAAAGTATATCCTACGGCCGTCTCGAGAAAGTCTACATCACATTCCCCGAGGCGTTCTGGAATACCGACTCAAATGATACCGCACACAACAAACAACCATCCGCCAACCCTGTATTCGCCCAATTCCTCGAACCAACCTACACATCCCACCCAAAGGACATCCAATGGAACCAAGAATGCCTCTCCCTCGCCAGTCTCCCAACCCCCTGCGCCCATCCGACCCTCCTCTTCTACACATACGGACCCTGCGCAACAAACATAGTCGAGCAAATTGCCGACCTAGTCGAAGGCTCAGAAAAATACAACCAAGTCCTAACCACCATCCTCGAACCCTTCTACTCCAAACTCCCAGGATACAACCCCACCTCGACTTCCTGTAAACCAACCTCGATCCTCGCGACCCGCTGGCAAAAGGACCCCTACGCGGGAAATGGGTCATATTGCAATTTCCAAGTTGACTTGACCACCGGCGACAAGGATATTGAGGCTCTGCGCTCGGGCGTGGGGCTGGGTCCGGAGCGCGGAATCTGGTTTGCTGGTGAGCATACGGCCCCGTTTGTGGCTCTGGGGACAACGACGGGCGCGTATTGGAGTGGGGAGCGGGCTGCTGTGCAGGTTTGTGGAAAGGTTGGGCTAGGAAGGATCGGGGTAGGCGTAGCGAGGGATGATTCTTTGCCTTCTGCTTCTGCTGGTGGGAAGTGAGGAGCCTGGACGTGACCCCTTCTTTTTTGCTTTGGGTTTTTCGGATGCATATTGGCTTTCGGGCCTATTTGTTTTATTTGGTCAGCTTCGGCGGGTTATATCCAGGATTACTATATTTTCCATTTTCCAAAGTCTTGCATTGGAATTCGGGTTGGTCAGCTTTGGGGTAATGACCATTGCATGTACATCACTTTGAATCAATCGTACAATCCAGAATATCAATTTCTACATTGCAAATTCAGATTCAAGAATAATTGCTATTTTTATCAGGTTCGAATATTCAGTGGTCGTTAGGGTTTCATTCCAGGATTAGTTGATCTATACCGGGAGGTATTCCCGCTGTCTCGTCCCCGACAAAATTCCACTCCCCCAAGCCCTGCATACTTTTAATTACTCCTTCATCGGGGAATTGAAACAGATGACAATGACTCGCCAAGACGAACAAAGGGGAAGTAGGAATCCTGCGAGGACCGACTGACCTTGGGAACAAGGGATCATGTAGTTCACGTGACAGATGTGGCGAAGACCGCTTGCAAGCTCACATCACGAATCATGACAAGACGAAGAGAACACAATACATCCAGGCTTCACGAGAAAAAGACAAAGGAAATAAAAAAAGACGTATGTTTATATGACAACGACAAAAGACACTTTTCCTGTACCGGTGTCTCGTCTTCAAGGGCTTTAAGGGTGTTATCTCCATGCCCCTTGGCTTAGGGACAAGAGACCCTGGACACAGTCCAGGTCATCCTCTTGGCTACCCCCAGTGCCGCCCGACATAAATGCCGAGACCTCTGCACTCATATCAGGCGGAGATTTGCCCTGCGTACCCGATGCAAATGGCCTGTTGCGCTTGCCGCTGGATGTGATACCCAGTCCCCGGTTGCGGTTGGCATCCCGCAAAACAGACCGTGAAGCATGGGAGGTTTTGCGGCGACGGACTTGGCTTGTTCGCGTACCTGGGAGCCAGTTTTCCTTGTCGGAGTCACCAGGGTCCAGTTCCAGGTCGTGTTTGCCGGACTTGGAGGTCAGCGGCTTGGACAGGTTCGACGGTTGGTTCAATGACCGGTTCCGTTCAGTCTCTAGTCTACCCAGGGAGGAGACGGTGCGAGAAAGCTTTCGCCTCTTTTCTCCCATTGATTGGGAAATCGGTGTGCGGCTTGCGTCGGCGTGGACAGAAACAAGACTCTGTCGGCCAGACGCGCTTCGGGAGAGTGTGCGGTTGGAGCGGGAGTGGAAGAGACCAGGGGAGGCGTTGGGAGCGGTTTGAGAGCTGGTAGGGGTGGACAGGGCACTTCGCGCGTCGGTATCGAAAAATGATTCCCAGTTGCGAGGGTCGCGAGACCGGCCAAAGGTCCGATCCTTCTCGGTCAGGCCCGCCCGCGGGGTGGCCGGGAGGATGGCACTGTTGCTGCGATGCAGACTTGACATCTTCGTGCGGCGTACAGAGAACATTGCGGCACGGTTCTTGGACGGAGACGGCTCGTTCTCTGCTCGGATCACAGCCTTGCCATCAGATGACATTGCAATCCGCAACGCGTTCCGACCCTTGGGCGGAGACGGTGTCATCTCGTCTTCCTTCCGGACCATAGCTTCACCATCGAACGAGAACGACAACCGCAGAGAGGGAGGCGACTTCACCGGTGTGGTATTCACCTCCACTGCTCGCTGGCTCACTTCTCCCTCGCCCTGCATATCCGACAGCGACCGTTTTCTTTTCGGAACCTGCAGCAACGAATCCTCCTGGGAAATATCTTGTTCTTGGGTGTTGAGTCCTGACTCGGGCGCGTGAAATTCTTCCTGTGTGGTCGGCGGGGTATCCTCCACATCTGTTGCCACACTTGTCTGTGTGCTCTGCGGCGGCAGTTCAGGCTCGTCCTTGTCACCAGTCACTGGATCAGATGGATCAGACAACTGCAACAGCTCGCCACCCCATGATCTCGGTCGAGTCCCCTCTGGTCGGTCGTGGCCCTCCATCTGCTCGGCCCCACTAGAGAACCCCGGCTCTCCAGACGCGGTATCATCACTTGGCAACAGACCCGACGAGTCGGACATGCTTGATCGCGGTGCAAGCAGTTCGTGCGGTTGGAGAGGCTTGGATTTGCGTCGGTCGTTCTGGCGGCGGTTTTGGAACCAGATCTGCGTGAGAGGCGAGTCAGCCAGGCGGGTCACTTGCATTTACAGAAATTTGGAGTCTTGGCATCGCGTACCTGGACCTCTTTCTCGCCGAGCGAGACGCGGTTCACGATCTCGCCTCGAGCTACTTTGTCTGGCTTGGGATTCCGCTGGTATTCCGCCTCTAGAATGGCATGGTCTTCCGGACTGTTGGACAACACAAATTGGTTAGTCACGACGCGTATATGGCGTCGGAGTTCGTCAACTAACCTGGTTCGACGCCTCTTTTGACGAGCAAGAAGCTTGTTGTCGACGCGAGGCGGCAGGTTCTGTGTCAAGGTCTTCTGGGAATGAACCAGGAAGGCGTAGTTGAGGGAATTGGAGTCGTTGGCCGGGAGATATGGTGAGGACGAGGCGGGCGCCGCCACCGAAGACTCCGGGTCGGACATAGTTCTCTTTACCAGAAGAGCATGGATGGAAAAGCAGAAGAAGCAGAAGGAAAGAGAAGATGTCCAGACCAGAACAGACCCAACGAAAGGAAGAAGGGAAAGAGCTCGCGTCTCCAAAAGAGAAGAGACGGGGCTGGTGCAGAAGAGTATGCAGCCGAATCGCGTCGCGATGTGGACGCGGAGGGTAGCAGGAACGTGGCCCGCGCTAGTCTCGCTCTGCCTTCTCGAGGTAGCGGGTACTTGACCTGCTGCCCAGCTCGCACGATTGCGATTACGCCTGGTTTTCTCTCAGTCGGAGCTGGCGGAGCTGCTTTTCTGCGCGATCGTGTGTTCGACCAGGTTCAATGCTTCTGTCCGAACAATGGACGCGCCGTGGAGTCGTCGGAGGTAATTCGGGAGGTCCCCACTAGGCCCTGGACGTGGTATGGCAGATGGGGCCCTCGCGTGTCCGCACGTCACGCCGGTATGCGCGCCAGATCCCAGGAATCCTTGGGATTTGACCGCTCTACACGTCGGTCCCGGTATCCAGCATTTCGCGTGCCATCGGCGTCCTCGTAAAACTTCCGACGTGAAAAGTTCCGAACGCGCTCTGACACGTCCTCACGTGATCTTGACTCCCACGTGACCTTCTAATCGCGACCGTAGACATTATCCTAGGCTAATATACACAATAACCACAGACTGGGATATAGTGAGAGCAATACAGACGCGTCGGTGAGCTCTACAACACGTTTCAACAAGCGATATCTCGGCTGGAAACATAGTCTTGGAGGTGATATATATTGGTCTGGTCAGGCGGTGGGGAATTATACAACCTTAAATAAACAAATAAACAAACACAGAGACGATTAGGTACCAGACGATTAAACAGTTCTTTTCCTCTCAAAAAGTAATTGATATCGAGGAATAGAGCAAAGCAATCAGGGCCATCAGTTTTGTGGATTTTTAGGCGAGGTAACCTTGCAGGAATGTTGGCGAAGTTCCCTGCATTTGATGCCATAAAAGTAAGGCCGTAATGCACCCACAGGCCTTTCAATCACCCAAGGAGCCTCAATGTTCTTCAATTGGCTCATGTAGTAAATTGCGCTAAATCATGATCAAAATTTTCTCCTCGCTCGCGAGGTGGTGACTGTTTTTTCATCTTCTCTCGTTTAATCTTGGAATACTACCCTGGCGTATTGTGTGTAGTGTTTGATGCAATAGTACGACGTAGTATTCCCATGCGGTCTTAATTTGATCTAGCTATTTATAATTAGGGAACCCACAAGCTCCGTTTCAAACCTTAGACCGTGTCTTCGGAATAGGCAGACTCTCCAAGAGCTCCTGTCACTCCAGCGGGAAGCTCGATCTTTCCTTTAGAGAACGCCCCTTCCAGCCTTCAGCAACCTGAGCCTCATCCTGCTGCCAACGCTGTACCTCTTGCTTGGTCCAAGGACCCAACACCTCGGCCGTCTCTGTTGGACTTTCCTGCGGCAGGAAGGGGCCAGCCCTCTCAAATATTCTCGAATATATTGCGCATCGATAAAATGTTCTTTGATCTGGAATGATGATCACATCTTGTCTAAGTTACAGTATGGGAGTTATGGACGAAACGTTCGAATTCCAGGAGATAAAAAAATTCTAGTGGGGACTTTCGGGAGCTGCAAGGTGCTTCAATGGCTCAATAATGGTTTTTTTTTTTTTTTTTTTTTTTTTTTTGGAAAGGCGGTTGCTTATCGGGCTGCCCTAATGATCGGCGGCATTTGTGGCATTATTCGTTTGCTACAGGCTCGGTCAGAGTCGGCTTGGATCGAGATTTCATCGTGCGTGTCCACCTGGTGGGAACAGATCTATGGTGAGTTTTCAACACTCGTGGCAAGGAACACCCTCTTTCGAAACAATGCCTGGACCAGGTAACACTAGCGCTGACGGGTTGCACATGCAATCAATAGTTTGCATGCGGTACACGTCATATTGTGTTGTAATAAAAGGGGTTATTGGTATGTGCATACAGCTGATGCATAGAATTGACTGGGATGAAAAGCAAGTTTCGTCCAACAAATATGAAAAAATTCCATTGGCAGCAATTGATTAGCCCCCGCCCACAAGTCTAGATCATGATCACATAACACACATACATCTGATTCCACTCATCATTTAAATCTTACAAACCGTTGACTGCTGGCCATTGAGCTAGCGAGGTCGGCACCGCACAAAGGGCCCTTCGACCGCTGACGTGATATAACCCTGCAATCGGAAATTGCAATGGTCGTGTATACCACCGCAGCAGCGCCCATCAGGCGCCAATCGTATGTCATAGCGGAACAGCCTGCGGGCGATTGTCACGTTCAACTCGGTCCAGGCGAGTTTCCACCCGACGCACGATCGGGCCCTAACGCTAAAGGGGATGAACGCCTGTTTGGCGATCCAGATGCTTTCCTCGTCCACACCGGTCTCTGCATTTATGATCCATCGGTCGGGGCGGTATTCGTCGGGCGCGGTGACGTAATACGGGTTGCGGTGGAGGGCGTATGTTGTGGTGCCGACCATTGTTTCTTTCCGGGAGATATTCTTGATCCACTATCAAGTCTCCTTCCAGTACGGCGCGCGGGATGGTTGTAGCGACAGAAGGCGCGAGGCGCATTTCTCATTAATACAGGCTTGGAGAAGCTCGCAGGAGTTGAGCTGGGGTCCTGTCCGGATGTCTTCGTCGGCGGCGAATGTGGTGCAGATCTCTTTCACCAAGCGAGCGAGAAGAGCTGGCATGTGGCCGAGATGGGAGATTGTGCCACTCATGACAGTAGTTATGGTATCTGCACCGGCAGTTATCAGGGGTATCGATTCCACCCAAAGATCCTTTTGAGTGAAATGAAGCCCTGTCTTGGGATCGGCTGTGTTCATCATCGTATAGAACAGGTCCTTGGTTTTGATATCATTGCCAAGGCGCGTGCGTGCTTCTGATTGCTCGTGAATACGGATACCAGCGTTGACAATATCCTGGAACTTGGATCGTAAGAAGAATTGGTCGGTCTCCAGATTGCAGAATTTGGAATTGAACGAGTGTCTAGAAAATGTGTCAGTGTCTACTTCAGACGGGCAATGTCAGAACTTTAGATCATACCGTCATACTCCGCTGGGTAATTTTCAACACGACTGACAGGAACCATCGCAGGCTGAACATATGCAACATTTAAAGTCCTTACCATAGCAGAGATCACTGATCACATCGAAGGTAACCTAATCGCACATTCCAGCCAGGTGCTTAGTGTTGGACCAGCCATCACCGGTCTCGGAGTCAACCTCAATCATGACATTTCCAAATTCGTCGCCCTTTTGGCAGGTCAGGTGACAAAATCGCGAATGTTTGTCAGAAGCCGTTCCTCGATGGATTTGAGGCCCTCAGTGGAAGAGACCTGCGCCAGGATACGGCGCTTAAAGCCATGGGTGGCCTTGTCATCGCGGTGAGGGTATTCGGGTTCTGTCGGCTGGCGCTTAGGGAGCTGTAGCCCTCAGACATGATCACATTTGCTCGGACACCATAGATAGTGTCCATTGCTGTGTGGTTATTGAATGTAAGGGCATTAGGGGCAAATAGGACAATGTCGTCTTCTTGAAATAGTGTATTAGCATCTAGACCTTCTTTTGATATACTGTGATAAAGTACTATAGCGATCATGCACTCCCGGCTTTTAATTTAAGGTCTCTTTACCAGGCATAGAAGGCTGAATATCAATGTGTTATGGCAAACCAAACGAGTACCGGGTACTTCGCTAGTGGATGGAAGAAGACGCGGTAAATGACAAGTGAATTTCCCTGGTGGCGATCATTAGCATAAGGAAGTGCCAAGCTAAGACCCAATGCAATTCACGTACAAAGGAATACAGCGGTAGCCGCCACCACTATTTCCAAACTCATTTGATCGTCGAGATGTGGAATAGAACTGTCAAAGTGAGTTTCTTCCGCCCCGTACGTCTGGTTTGAGAAGGTAGATTGGCCAAGACGGACTTTAATTGAATCTTGGTGAAAAGCCCCAGCTGAAAGAACCCAATTCCAGACTGCTTTATCTTTCTATTTTGGCGAATCATGTTGTCATCGAACAGGATTAATTCCATCGAACCCTGAGATTTTGTCGATCAGGCCCGGAGATCACCGTGCGTCCAAATCGAAATTCACACATGCGCGCAGAAAACAATTACGCTATCTATGTTCGACCCAATCAAAGTAAGACAGTATCATCTTGGAATGCCTGCAGGGTTCAGGCAGGCAGCGTGCGTTCTCAGGGTGGCTGTGGAACCTTCTGGTGGAACTGCAACCCGCTCTTTTGATAGTGTCACGATCGCCCCAAAAACCACGTTCGTTCGAAGCGCCCGACAGGACTCGAAAATTTCCAAGAAAAGAAAGTGAACGAGGAGGATCTTGATCATGTAGCAATACCGTTTAAGGTCCCCGAGGCCACCCTTTTTCTTCTAAACGTCGACAGCTGCGGCCGTCGATCGGGTCAGGCAGTTCATCCATGGAGACTCTGCTTGGCCAAGAAATCTACAAAGCGTCCCAAGATCGTCGCTGACGCCTCCAATAGTCGCCCCACCGGCCAATCATGTTCGGATCGAAGAAGGAGATTCAGATCGCTCATGGGGCATTTTTTTCGCAGGATGACAAGGGAGGCACGGTCAAGCGGGCTCGGTAATTCCCCGAGATGATTGAAAACAGGACGCAGTGACACCCTCCGCTGTCAGAGGGGTTTCCATGGGAGTATTTCTTGAAGTTTCTTATTCATAAAAAGAGTATCGCGACCCAGTTGTGAGTTTGGGGATTTTGTCAGAACAAAAACAAGAGCACTCTAGCAGTCGCTGCTTCGACAGTGATCATGGCCGACGTGCTGACGAACGGCGGAGAAGGTGTTCAATCGACCAGAATTCCCATCTGGCGCCTGATTTTCGATCAAGGTTGCGTTTCTCAGCACATCATCGACGCCAAGTACAATGGCACTGGCACTGAAGAAGACCCTTATCAGGTCTCGTGGCTGGACGACGATGAACGAAATCCCATGAAGTACTCTGAGGTAGGCAAATGGCTCATCATGCTCCTAGTAGGAGTTGTGACAATGGCAGTAGCGCTCGTGTCGTCTGCCTACTCAGGGAGTATCAATGAGATTATACTGGACTTCCATGTCAGTGAAGATGTCTCTCTCCTGGGTATATCAATGTTCGTCATCGGATTCGCCGTCGGCCCCCTTGTTTGGGCACCTCTGAGCGAGATCTATGGTCGGCGACACATCATGATCGTCAACGCCATCGGCCTGACAGCGTTCACAGCAGGTTCTGCCGGATCGAAAGATATCTGGACATTGATCATTCTTCGCATTTTTGCCGGCAGTCTGGGCTCTGGCCCACTCGCAGTCTCGGGCGGTGTCATCGCAGACACATTTCCCGATATCAGTCGCGGTCTCGCGAGTGGTCTGTACTGCGCTGCACCTTTCCTGGGCCCGACACTCGGCCCTATTATCGGTGGCTTCTTATCTGAGGCTTCAGGGTGGCGTTGGGTCGAGGGCCTTCTCGCAGCATTTGCTGGCGTCTTGGGGATTGTCACTATCTTTACGTTGCCCGAGACGTATGCACCGGTCCTGTTGCAGAAGCGTGCAGAACGGCTGTCTGCCATCACGGGCCACGTTTATCGCAGCAAAATCGAGATTGAACAAGGCAAGAAGCATCCTGTGACAGTGTTGAAAACTGCTCTCTGTCGCCCGTGGGTGTTGCTATTCCGGGAGCCTATTGTCCTGCTCTTGTCCACCTATCTTTCCATCATCTATGGCATGTAAGTGCGCCAATTCCAGTGAAGACTTCTGATCCATCGAGGCTCAATGCTAACAATCAATCAGCCTGTACCTGATGTTCGCAGCTGTGCCGATCGTGTACCAAGTCGAACGCGGCTGGAGCGAAGGGAAGACCGGTCTCGCCTTTCTGGGAATCCTCGTCGGCATCCTGCTGTCAGTGCTGGCTACATTCCCACAATACAAACGGTACAAGAAGATGGTTCTCGCCACTCTTCCTGGTCGTGTTGCCCCCGAGGAGCGTCTCCCTGATTCCTACTGGGGCGCCATCGCTCTTCCAATCGGTCTCTTCTGGTTCGCCTGGACCAACTCCCCCTCAATCCACTGGATGGCTTCCATCGCCGCGGGAGTGCCATTCGGCTTCGGCATGGTGTTGGTCTTCATGCCCGTCCTCAACTATTTAGTCGATGCGTATACAATATATGCCGCGTCCGTCTTGGCTGCCAGTTCTGCACTGAGGTCTGTCTTTGGTGCTGCGTTCCCTCTGTTCACGTCGGTCATGTACGAGAACCTTGGTATTCACTGGGCTTCTTCTATTCCGGCTTTCCTGGCTCTCGTATGCGTGCCGATTCCGTTTTTGTTCTATCGGTACGGTCCGGTTATTCGGAGGCGTTGTCACTATGCGGCCCAATCGGAGGCATTCATTGAGAAGATGGCCAGGAAGGCCGTAAGTCCAAAGGAGCAAGCTGGTAAAGAGGAAACAAGCGATGTTTCCAAATGATTTCCCAATACTGTTTCATTGAGCTTGGCGTTTTGCAGGAAAAGCATTCATTGAATAATGGGTATGTCAGCGTGTGATAACCTTGAATATTCGGAGGATTTTTAGGCGTTCCGGGAGTCAAAAATCGAGATCTAATTTGCATCACATCAACACTGTGAAGTAATATGTAGTATCCTGGTTAGGCTCTATCATCGTACCCGACCGGTGAATGCCGGAATAATAAACGAATGCTGTAAGCGAATCCTTAATCTCCAGCTCGTGCGGGGGCCGTCGGCACACCGGGCGCCCATCCGGCCACGGGGTACGGGCCGTGATAGGCTGACCACTCGGCGTGGAGAGCAGAAGCTTAAATACGCGACGCCACAACTTCCCCAGGATTTTCTGCCCCTCCCAGTCTTTCCCTCTGCAACCCCCCTGTCCCGAGTCCGGGGTTGCACCGTCTGCAGAGATTGCACCCGATTGTCCCGCTTTGACGGCTTCCAGACGATTCGCATATAAGTCGTGTGCTGCTATTCGGTATACCATGTGGAACCCGGCTGCGCAGAATTGTTGTTGGATTGATTCGTTTCTGCAGGTGTGACCCAGAAAGACTGATACTCTCTTTCGCTGTTGCTGTCCGCCATGGGTAGGTCTTTTACGGTCTATGTGGCCGTGTTGGCGGCGACGGGATCGTTCCTTTTTGGTTATGATAGTGGGGTGATGACGGATGTGATCGAGTCGCCAAACTTCCTGGCCTACTTCCAAACCACGCAGACATCGGCGATAGTCGGAGCAATCAATAGCACTTTTTCAGGCGGAGGTATGTATGAGTGTCCTATGCAAATTGTCTTATTGAAGAAATTCATTGCATTCGCTGACCGGACTGACTGCGTCTCAACAGCCGTCATCGGTTCTTTACAAGGCGGGTTGACCATGGATCGCTTCGGGCGCAAAAAGACCATCCAGATGGGTGCCTTGATCTGTCTCATCGGCGCGGTCCTGCAATCCGCCGCGCAGAACCTTGCTATGATTCTGACTGGTCGCATTCTCGCCGGAGGGGCCGTCGGGCTCATGAGTATGTCTGTACCAGTTTACCAGGCCGAGGTCGCGCACCCACGCTCTCGAGGGTTGATCGTTGGCTTAGCACAGCAGATGATTGGAATCGGATTTATTGTTAGCACGTATGTCCCAAAAAACCTTCCCCGGGTCGTGGCACAAGTGATAAGTGACTGATGCCGTTACTATCATAGGTGGATCGGGTACGGTTCTCTGCATGCGCCGGAGACCAGCCAGCTCCAGTGGCGACTGCCCCTGGCCTTCCAGGTTGTTCCAGCTCTAGTTTTGGTCATCGGCATGATTTTCCTCCCGGAGTCCCCACGATATCTCATCGAGGAAGAGCAGTACGGCGAAGCAATGCGCGTGCTTCGCAAGCTGCATTTCGACGGGACCAACGACGAATGGATTGAAGCCGAGTTTTTCGAGATTCGCCGAACGATCGAGGCTGAAAAAAGCGTTGCGGTACAGGGGTGGGCCCCCATGTTCACTGTTCCACAATGGCGCACCCGTATGCTGTATGTGATGTCCCTGGCTTCGATATCCCCCATTCCGAATATAGGCAACGAGTCGTTGACTGACAAACCCGGCTTGAACAGACATGGCGTTGCGGTCCAAGTCTTCACTCAGATGACGGGAATCAACGTGATCGGGTATTACCAAACCATCATGTACAAGGCCCTGGGGTTCACTGGGAATCGGAACACGCTGGTGGCGGGCCTCTACAACTGCGTGGGGCCGATCGCGAACTTCATTTTCGTGGTTTTCCTTCTCGATCGGGTCGGTCGCCGGCGACCGATGCTGTTTGGCACGCTAGGAATTTCACTTGCACTGATCTGCGAGGCTGCGTTGAACTCGCAGAACCCGGACGGTCAGCGCATCGGATACAGCATCGGTGGCGTGTTCTTCCTGTTCGCTGTATCGGTCATTTTCTCCATGTCGTTTGGACCTTGTAGCTGGTAAGTGAAGACTTTGGCTGCCTTTGAAATAGGCTTCAAACGCCTGACAGGTCACGCGACGCTGAGACTGATGTTTGACAGGGTCTACATGGCCGAGGTCATGCCGATGCAGATCCGGGGCAAGGGCAATGCCTTTGCCGTTGGAGTCGGCAACTGGGCGGTCAGCACGCTGTGGAATCAAGTTTCGCCCATCGCGCTGGGCCAGATTGAGTGGAGGTTTTATTTTGTCTTCGTGGCGTGGAGTGAGTGGTTTTCCTCGGGCCCCAGAATTGTCTCGGAGCGACACTAACCCCTTGATCTCTGCTTAGACCTGTGCGTCTCCTTCCCAGTGATCTATTTCCTGTTCCCGGAAACTAAGCAGAAGACGCTGGAGGAGATCGATCTGCTGTTTGCCCAGCGCATAGAGCGAATACCCGACGAGATGACGCAGAGGGAGAAAGAAGAGGCCGGGGTCTCGGCGATGAATGTAGAGAACACGAAGCTCCACAATTAGAGTGTGCCGGTGGTGGCTCGGCACTTGGTTGTCACCTGAATTCCAAGCGCTGCAGGATATTGCATTATAGTAGGGAGGTGGAGAAGCGGGGGAGTGGCCCCATCCATCGATCCCGTGATGGCCTCATACAGTAGTCCTCAGTCAGAGCACGTAGAAAAAGGCAACCGCGGCTGGCATCGTACAACGCCCGCCCTCCAGGCCCTCATCGACTTCGCTGCCACAACCTGCCACCTGACCTGCAGTCGTTCCACAGGCTGTGAAAAAGCCACCACCCAAAAAAGGACAATCCAGCCGATCAGCATTCCCAGCCGCTCGTAGCTTGGCCCGCACATCCCTTCGAGCGCCACGGGCACCCATTGGCTCTGCGACCCCTCTTGGGCAGGCAATGATCGCATCTCACAGTCGCAGCTCCAGTGGATCTCCCCCCCGCTTTGGTCGATCATCTTTCCCCTGCTGGAGACCTTTATCTTGAGACGGCACGCGCATGCTGTTCACGAACCCCGTTTGACCTCCCGAGCCGCACGGGGTGCTCGCTTCATTCTTCAGGTATGTATCCCTCGATACCTCGTATGCTTGGCTATGGCTGGCAGCGATGGTGCTGGCACGGGGAAGATCATCAGCGTGCGTTGAGTGGGCTGATCGCTGACCGTCGCGCAACAGGACACCGACTCTGGGGGAGAAAGATGGGTGACGACAAGAGCCTCAAGACGAGCCACATGGCCATCGTCCTGGGAATTGGCTTAGGCGTAGTGATGCTCATCGTGCTCAGCTTACTGTGAGTACTACAGCTGTTCCCTTCCTTTGTCTGCTGTTCGCCCCATGCACGAGCAGATCGGCGAAGATACCATCATTGCGATCTCATTCCGGCCATGCCTTTTCCCTTTCCACTTCTCCGATTATTCTCCGGTTGTGTTACACAAAGTCCATGCGCTTACTCTACCAGTCTTACGATTGTCGTCAACCGCCGCGATCGCCAGGCATTTCAACGCAAAAGGAAGAATCCGGATGAGCGATTGCGCAATCTCGATGCAGTCTCGCCCACCCGCACTTTAGAGCAGTGGTGGACGACTACAAAAGGCAAAATGGGCCTTTCAGAGGCCGTCGATGGCCAGTTTGTTTGGTAAGCGAGAATATACCCTGTCTTTATTCCGGAGATAGAACCTTAACATATACAAGTTGGCTAACAGACACCAGCGCCGTCTGTCTAGAACAAGTCGATCGCACGGAGGAAATCCGAGAGCTGCAATGCCTGCACGTTTTTCATCGGGAATGCCTCGAGAAATGGTATCTCGGCGATCACTTCAACTGCCCACTCTGCCATCGACCCTATTTCGTTGCCGATAACCCTCCACGAAATGATTATGTGTGGATGGTATGATTTCACGAATGGATTTATGACATCGGCGTTTGGGAACTGGGGCGGAGCTGACTGAGCGATTGACATGGTATTTCCATGAGATCTTAATACCCGCCATTGATTTTGCAATTTACCATGAGTCAATGAAATAGACATGAACTGTATTGCATGTACCTTGATCAGAACAAATAATCTCCCGCCAGAGGTCACGAATCCCAAGTCTCGTGATCCAGAGTCCGAAGTAGTTCACGGCGCATACCCATCTACTGCCGGGAAATATTCGGAGTTAAAGTCCCAACCATTGTAGTTTGACCAATTCAGGAAATTTGACAGACCCGACGTGACATCATGCACCATTTCAGCATGAACAGGCTGCGGATCAAGCAGTTGGTCTAGAATCCGCGAGAGCTTCTTTTCGGCTTCTTTGCATGTATGATAATTCCCATGGCCCGGACGCGATACCCAGGATAGCAATGAGACGAAGACGCTCAGATTGCGAATCAACTCTGACCGGGGAAGCTCGACGTTGTGCGGACCCGGTTCATGGGATTGGCGTAGCAGCTCCAGTAAAAGAACACTGGCGGTAGGTAAGCCGTATGTGAGGGCCTGGTTTCCGAATAGTTTGTTAGTAAATCACATTTTTCATCACCAATCGGGTGGGAACGTACAATCCATGAAAAATGCCTATCGAGGTCGACCATCGGACTGCGGATAGAGGTGATACTAATGACAATTCCTAGGGTCTGGCGGGAAATTTCGCAGAGTGCTTCTTGTCCGGTATTCGTGTGTTTGATCAAAGTCCGTTGGAGTAAAAAGCACGTGTAGAGGTAATTAAGGTACATGTACACGATCGTCAACCACCCATCGTGAAGATCATCGTTCTTACGACGGTCGTAGCAGATTTGGTCTGGGGTTGACTCCCATACATCGCGGATCTTCTCCTTAATTTCCCTGTTAAAGGGTCAGCTCAGCCCATATCAGTCCAAGCATCTGATTGTCTTACTGTGTTCTCTGTATGATGTCCTGTGGCTGGTGAATTCCAAGCGCAAGCTCTAACGTTTGCTCTCGGTAGATTCCAAGTAGGAACCGTAAACGAGAAGGAGTCATTCGGTATCGGCCTCCATGGGTGTTCCAGCCTCGACTGTCGAGCTCTGAGATTGCCTTGTTCAGAGCTTCTCCTCCCTCCACAAGGACCTCGTCACTGAGGTCCAGAGGAGGGTCAATTGTGCAATATCGGTAATTCATTAGAGGCGGTCGACCGACAAAGCTTGCTTGTGACTTGTCCATATAAAAGGCTGAAATGAAGCAGCCTCTTCGCCACTGGCGCAGAAAGAATGGGCAGGCTGCATCCTCGCCATCCGTATGCAGGCCAGCAGCGTAAACTGTGGCAATCAAGTCCCCCAGCCGGCGCCATGCTTGGTAGCCTAAACCTCGTTGTCAGCATATGATGGGTCAGATTTCTGGGTATGTACATACTTGAATCGCCGTACTGCTGAGTCTGTAGCATGACATCGTTATATTGCAAATAGGCCAGCAGCTCATTGGCCGATGAGGCTTGATCGCAAAAGTTAAGACAGATCATACTTGCCACCACAACCTGTTCCAAAAGTCGATCTTTCGCTCGAGGATCCTCTAGTCCCTGCGAAAAGTCAGGATCATTGTCGGGAGTGATCGCCAGTTGCTGTCCGCATATTGAGAAGATATTCCCAATAGCCTCCCAGCGAAAGTTCCGCCCAGTAAATGAATCACAGTACTCCTGCACAGTCATCGACTCACGAATAGCCATCGGACGCGACGAATTCTGAAATATCTGAGTCGCGAGTTTCTGCAGCTCGGGCATCAAATTATGAAGGTTATAACTGTCGAAGAGTTCGCCAAGCGAAGTCAACATGGCCCGCATGATTATTTCCGGCACAACGGCATTCCACGTTCGGAGGTAAAACCGATCTATTAGTTTCTGGCGTTCTTTCATGTTGTAGAGGAAGAGTAGAACCTCCGCTCCTGATTGGACCCGATCTGGCTCCACTGTCAAGACTCGACAGACGTCCGTGGATTCCTCGGGTTCAAAGAGGATCTCATTTCGGTGCTCAGCAAGGACTGCAGTAAAGCTTGTGGAGCCTAGGTAACCCGGTAAAGCAGAACGTGAGTCCAGCGGCGCAAAGATACTACGCGCACCACCTAATGAGCCAGGACTCGACGCACTACGGGGCCTGTCAGTCTTGAAAGCGGGTCTCCAGTGGGCATTTCGTGCTCTTACTTGGATGTTGGCTGGCTGGTCAGTCGACTCGACGATGCCAGCGGCGGATTGGCATGGTCTGACCTCCGCCTGGTCATTGGAGCTGGGTGGTAGAAGCATTGGTCATTGATGCGTTTTCCGGCGCATCGGCGGCAAACGGGCCTCTCATGGTCACAGCGCTGTTTCGACCGGCGACAAGGCTCGCACGACTGGAGAGAGCCATTCCGACGCGTCGCAGGGGAGTGCGAGCGCCGATCATCAGCGTTCCTCATCTCATCGACCAACCGTGCCGTCCAGGCTGGGGGAGAGTTGCGAAAGGCAAAAATGCCAGGGCGGCCCCAAGCGGTTTAGCGTCGCGTGTATCTTTGACGCCAGCGCTGGCGACGACAGAGCCTGTATACTACATCGGATGGTATTTTCCTTCACACTATAGACCTGCTATATAGTGAGTAGAGTATTCATTGGGCCCCGTGATCATTTAAAATGCGGTCTTAAAGACTCAGTGGAGCAATCTAAGCCTACCGGTAAGTCTCGGCTAAATTGGGCTGGAATGGACGTCAATAATTTTCACCATTTCAAAATAAAAAATGTTTCAATAATACACGATCATGAAGAGATTTTGATTGACTCTGAATTTATATTAGGATTTGCATGATCACTTTGAGTGAGCCTGAGAAGACATCACAGAACTATGAGTCTTGCTCAGTATAGGAAAATAAAGTTGAAAGTCCAGGCAGCGAGCGATGATGAGTCCATCGGAGCCTCAAACAAACTAACGTACCGTTTAACTCCACCTAGGCCGTCTACGTACGTACGTAATAAAGTGCTTTTGTGAGATTGGCAAGGTAGCCAAAACGACATTTTTCTTTTCTTTTTCGCCTGGATTATTCGGACCCAAATTGAACCAGCTATGGGTCTTTGGGTCAGGCGCCCAGCATACCCATGCAAATATGCAATATGCCCTACTTTCCAGAAGAGGTAATACCCCAAATTTGCACCCAGTACGGTTCTTCACGCTAACCTGGGTCCATCCCACGCTCCAAAAAAAGACGGCAGGACCCTCTCGGGGAACGGCCGAGCGCAAACCTTGGGCGGGCCTATTAGCCTCGAGCTTATTTGGCTGCCATCTCACCTCGCATTTCCGCCCTTTGCAAGACATCATCGCCATGCTGACCGCTGTCAGCATTCGTCCTGCCACCAATCGTCGCAACCGAGGTTTCCGTGAAGAGCAGCGAGCGTTACGCAACCCCACCAGCACATCCCGCCCAAGCCAAGCCACGAAGCCGACAAGCGCATCCCAGAGCCACGATTTAGACTCGGGAGCAGCTTGGCATCCCAGGTGGACGAGGCTATTGGCTCGCTTGGGCGGGTCGTCGGTGCCCAGGGTCCAAACTCAAAGAGGCCTTTGTGCCTTCTATTAATACCCAGCAGGCACATAGCTCGGCCGACGGGGAACTCCTCTGCCCCATGCGCTTGGGCACAGACCGAACAGCTACTGGATAAACGTTGCAAGGAAAAGCAAGCGCTAGCGCTCGAGAGGCAAATCCTTGCCCAATTGCTACACTGGCGAATCCGTCAAGGCGAGGAGACATTCGCTGGCTAATTCAGCCGCAAGGGCACACCCGGTCTTGATTTGCCCCATTCTATCTGACGATACTAAATTCGGACTCTTTGCGCAAGTGGTGGCTCGTGGGACTCTGCTTCCTCACGATGATCTCTAAGCACGACTGAATCGCGCCTCGGAGTGACTCACCAAAGAGGAACTCACCAACGAGGACCTCTCTCGCCTTCTGGCGCCGTGCCTAGCGGCCGTGGTCCTGGAATGTGCAGTAGAGAGTCTCGGCGACTCGTCTCATTATGGTCGGAGTTCCCAAGAGCAAAGGATGCCAAACCTGCATCCAGCGGCGCGTGAAGGTATGTCATGCCCTCTATCGCCTGTCATCGCGGCCGTCTACCGCCCTTATAAGAGCCGCCTAACAAATTCCCATGACAGTGCGACCTAGTCCGCCCAGAATGCTCTCAATGCCAAAGATATGGCGTCGACTGCCCAGGTTACTCAAGACCCCACAAGTTCATGGACGAAGGAGAGAGACTCCATCAGCGATTCGGCAAGAAACGACAAAAACCAAACGCAAACTCCGAATCGATCGACGAACGCATCGTACCGTCCCTCGCAGCCCGCTCAATGGACAAACAACAACCCGTCATATTCGGCTCCTTCGTCCTCTCCGCCTTCACACGCTGGTTCGGACTGAACAAATACCGAGTACATGTTCCATGGACACAATACGTCGCCCAGCATATAGGCCAGAGTCCCGCCTTCGATGCAGCCGTGTACTGCATGAACTCCGTGCACATGGGCCACGTCCACACTGATACCAAGCTCCAGCGCTCCAGCCGCGAAGTATACAGTCGAGCCCTACGGCTCTTCGGTGATCGAATCTGCGACGCAAGCGCTATGAAGTCCGCCGAGAGCGTCAGCATCACAATCGTCCTCAGTCTCTTCGAAGCATACTCGCGCACAACCCCAGACTCCTGGGCCCGTCATGCCGCCGGGACAGCCCTCCTTATGGCACACCGTGGCCCCGCGGCCCACCTCACTGGCTTCGATCGCTGCCTCTACTTATCCTTTCGAAGTTTTCTCGTCGCGGAGGCCTTCGTCAACGGCAGCAGATGTATATTCGAGCGACCAGAGTGGCAGGCACATATTGATCAGATCCGCGGGGAAGATATGGCCTCCCCACGCGTGGACGAACCCATTGCTTTATTCATCGACTTGCAAGATCGCATATTCATGGAAATTTCCAAGGTCCCGGGTTTGCTGTACCAGGCTCGCAGACTACATTTGATGCCCGAACCATTGAAAGCAAGTCGTCGGCTAGCGGCGCAGGTGCTGCGCAGTAATCAGGCCTTGCATACATTATCTTCTCATCTGCGTGTTGCCGCAACAGCCCAGGACAACCAACTGTGCAACGGGTCAGTCCATAACAGTGGCGATAAATCTACATTCATCGGTCCTATACCAACAACCTTCCCGCAAGAATTCGCCAACAGTGTCTTACGTGGATGTGATATCTGCTCATACATCCTCTGTCTCCTGCTCGACTACCTCGAAAATGATGCAGAGAAGCACCTAAACCCAGATCTGGAGACAAAAGATGAAATTTTGGTCTCGGATCCCCTACCTTTCCGCTTCGTCTCCAAACTAGCGTGCAAAGGGTACACCGATCCAGATTCCGTAGGGGTAACAGTGGATCTTCCGCCACCTGAGAAATGGCTTGATCTGGTAGCTGCGTCGATGGGGCTGGAAGCCTTTAATATAATCACGTGTGCAAATGAAAGTCCCAGTTCATCGACAGATCATGATTCAACGTGGAGTGCAGCTGTGTCACTGCGATGACAAGAATTTCTCCTACTTCTCTTTCGAGGGAGTATGGAAACGCATCGATTCGATACCTGCATAAGATGGACTACGATATTGGAACGAATGAATGAAAATTTTGAACGATTTCGTGAAATGAAATTGTCGTATCGCCGTAGAATTAACACGAAAGAAAAAAAAAAAAACAACCTGTAACAGAACACCATGCCATGGGCGCGAGATGCGGAACCGACAGAAACAGCTTGAAAAAAGCTCTATCAGAATCACAATCAACACAAGCCCTGGATCGTGACAATTCTCAAGTCATTCAGCTTCATGTATCAACAGCAGTGCGATCAAGGTAACGCCGTGCAAACATGCCAAGAACCCCGTTTCGCGCCAGGAAAAAAAACCACGAGCAGAAATTGGAAATAAACAGCCGATTCAGAAAGCAGCGGAAACATTAAAGCAATCAAATGCGGAAGTGGGTATGCAAAAAGAGTGACCAGTTATAGCCAAAGGACATAACCGGGCAGAAGAAGTAAAGTGTAGGGAGGCATCACAACGACGACGCATCAATGGATCTAAATCTCAGACCCTTACTGGACAGTACGAGCAACTCGATTAGGGCTGGATGAGCTGCCGACTCGGCCGCTGGCCTTGCGCACACCTCGAGACTCGCTCTTGTTACTATCGGTTACCCGCCGGGGGCTGGAACGGACCTTGCTAACGGAGACGGGACCCGTGGCACTCTTGCGACTTGTGGGAGTCTTGGGAGCGGCGTTCTCAACCCAGTTCTCCCGATCCTCGTGGATGTCGTCAGCAAGTGTGTAACTAGCGGTGACAGTCGCCGAGTAGCTGATTGAGCGCGAAGTAGGGGAAGCGACGGGAGATCGCGAAGCTCGTTGTTTGGCAAGCATGCGGAGCTGAATCTCCTCTTCACTCTCACTGCTATCGTTGCTCAGGCGGTGGCCGCGATGGCCGCGGTCTCCATTGTGCTCGACAGCCAAGGAACCGGATGCCGTGCGAGCATAAGGGTGGTGGCGAGAGTCCTTGCGGTGGGACTTGCGAGGCTGGCCAGGTGTAGGGGCGGGAAGGTTCTCCTCATACTGGTTGGCACCAGCCTCGTTGTGGTCAATCTCTCCGAGAGCCGCGCGCTTAGAGTGGCTGTTGTTTGGAGGAGTGGCGACTTGACCATTGCTAGGACGCTTCTTGTTCGAAACACGGGCAGGTGTGACGGGGGCAGATTGGGCCAGCTTCTCCTTCATACTATCCTCAAACCACCACTCGCGGAAGGCCATCTGGTTCAGATGGAGCCAGTGCTGCTGAGGACCAACTACCATGCCAGGACGCATGAATCGCATGAAAGCAATGACCTCGTTGGCAGTAAAGCCATAGCGATAGATGAGGTAGGCACCGATCAAGCAACCAGTGCGACCTAGTCCGGCCTTGCAGTGCACCGCGATTCCCTTCTTCTTGATGGTGATCATGTCGTGAGCCAGCTTGATGAACTTGCGGACAAGCTGGAGCGGCGGGCAGGTTCCGTCCTCGAAAATCATATCAATATGAGCGATGCCCATGGCGGTGAAATAAGACGGGCTGTAGAGCTCCGAGTTCAACCGCACCACGAGACCGACGTTACGTGTGGAGAAGTGCACCAGCACATTTTTGAAAGGAAGAGGGAGTTTCGACGAGCAGACTTCGGAGACGGTGGATGGGAGGGCATCGTATTCGGGGGTGTGCATGGGGACGGACGCGACAGGTTGGTGCTGAGGAGAGGCGAAGGCGAGGAAATCCTGTGTAACCCAGTTGAAGTCTCCCATGTCGACTCGCTCGAACTTCTCATATCTATAGCATATAATTAGCACACGCATTCTCTCCGCCGGTTCACCTATTGCTCGGAACATACTCCTCGAGGTTGAAGTCGCGCAGACCGCACAGACCCTGTTCCTTAGCCCTCCACACACCATACACCACGTCCTGGATATTGAGAATGAAGTCCGCCTGGCTGTACCCGGCGTCGCGGAAAGGCATGTAAGGGGGGTCAGCCTGTGCGATGGGCGCCAGAGCCAAGTGGGGAGGCCATGATTGGATCAGGACCATGTAGCATGCCACGAGGCATGCTGCATTGGCACGGCTACGTGCGTCAGTCTTGCTGTAGAACACGACCGGGCGTTCGCTGTTCGCGGGATCGCCCAAGATTTCGTGGAAGTGCACGGCAAAGCGATACAGATGCCCAATGTGGAGAGGGCCGAAGTCGGCGTGGAAGGCATTGTAGAGGAGAGTGTCGTCGACCGTGAAGTAGACGGGGGATCGGCGCTTGCTCGTAGGAGTTGTAGGCTGAGCCCGACGCTTACTTGGAGACTTGGGCGCATCCTGGCCGTAAGGGAAAGGCGTTCTCGAGGTTGGCGTTGAGTCGTAGGACGCCAGATAAAGGCGGTCTGTTTTTGTTTTGATCTCATGTTAGACCCCGCTTTGCAAAGCACGCCTCAGGAGAGGACCTATCAACGCGACAGTTAATGCGTACCTTGGATGTACTCAATCATCTTGATTCCGTGACCAAGCTCGGTCGTCATCGTGTCACAGTCGGTTGACCTGGACGGCGGTAATGAAATATGCAGATAGTGATCAAGAACAGCCAGACAGGCTTGGAGGTCGGCGACGTGAGACCAGTGTCAATCCTATGACAGCAGGCTAGATCAAGTGCTGCGATGCGAATCGCAGGTGGTCAACAGTGGAAAGATGGAATGTCTCAGACGCTCATGGTCTTGCAGATCGGGAGTGCGCGATGTAGATGAAGGACACTGAAAGGATGGGAATAAGAATAAACCCCGGGGAAGAAGAGAAATAGAGGAGAGTTGTGAGCTGTCCAGGACAAGAGATGGGATGAGGGGTGGTATTGAGAAAACAGAGGAGAATCTCTTGTTGGGGCAGCTGCCATGCCACGCTAAGCCGCTGTTATGATCTTGTGCCCGTTTGGGACTAGTACCCGCGTTGACTCGACAACGAGATCGCAGCCTCAGGCAGAGCCGTTATTCGCTGAGTCATTCATCCATGGCCCTGACCCCGTGACCTGGCTGCGGATTTGGGACGAGTTATTGCATGCGCAAACAAACAGCTCTCGATATGCTCACAGACCAACTCAAACTCCCCTCTCATCTCGGAGTCTCTCGCTGGCAGCAGGGTCGAGCGATTCTGTCAGCGAACAATAGCATTATCGGATTTTGCATTGTAGATGCCTGAAATGGGAAACCTAGCGGCGAACACATTCCGTATGACCGCCACATAATTATGGTCTTTCGGGTCTCCCAACTATGTTGTCAGAAGTTGCCTCGTGTGGAGGAGAGGTGAGCCGATATGATTCTCGCCGGTGTCTGGGGCGATCGTGACATCGCGCCTTTTTTCCTGACAGGATGGAGCTTCAAGTAATGTCCGCCCCTTTCATGCCGTCCATTCTTTCTTTTATGCTATCTAGACCTGTAGGACTACCGCGTGGCCACAGTTTCCTCATGATATATTTCTCCGTGATGCGATGGGACTATTGACGACCGCCTATCCCTTGGAAACGTGACGTGAGATCAGACCGCTCCTCCTATTCGGGGTTTGTGTAGACATGGAACCCTGGGCCTTCAACCCCCGCGGTCGAGGTTGCCACCGGCGGTTGTTGTCCATCACAACCATGTTGTTATTATTGTTTGGGTTGGTTTGTTTGTATACAAGCGAGCACTTGGCGATCTGCAGGCATTTGGCTCCACTTGCGGCCGGACCATTGGTCCCCGCTCGTCGCGGCTTGATTGCGTTCGATCTGTAGTTAGTCTCTCCTTCCATCTCATCAGACCCTGAGCTGTCGTCTTTACATACCGTCGATATGTGCAATTCAAGTTTGAGATCTTGGATTTCTTTGCAACATCATGGTTTAATCACTAGTTTGATGGTGTCGACCAGCTCAATTTGAACGCCTAGAAAGGGGCAAATGAGTCTTGGGCAGCCTAGCTCGGGCCAATGCACGATTGACGCAAGGCGCACACAACGGTCGATTCTCTCGACTTACGCAGAAAGGTCCAATTTCCCGGGAGGCTTCCGAGCAGAGGCTTCTGTGATCGACAGGGCACTATGGAAGCCAGTTGTCGGGTCGTGCATAAAACGCCACCCTTGCCTGGTCTCCGCTCGCCAGGTCAGTGCTGTCTACTGCGCCGGCCTCCCTCGCATGCAATGTGAAATGAGAGACTCAATTGCGGTTGGTCAACCAGCAATTCCGGGCTCGCGGTCTGGCACACGTTTCCGATGCCACGAAAGGCTGCCAAAATTTCCTGAATCCGGTTATACGGATTGCACATCCGCCGCCGAGCTAGAGAGTGGACTTTATGAATGGTGGCGTTCATGGTATATCGCGAGTCAACAGAGTTAGCGGAGCCCCAAGCAATTGCTCAGCAGCTAATAGTGGACCCAGTGAAATAGATCTTGCACCTTACTGACAGGCGACTGAGCTTATCCGGATCGAGTAGACCGCCAAAGCTCTGAGACTTTTCGACCCAGCCAGTCCGGGGCTTTTCATTGGGGCCCCATGTTGACACATCCCTTCTTTCGCTGACAGCAGTCTGCCATCCTACCTGTATGGCGCAACTCGGGGAAGCTTGTTAATGCAGATCGTGATTAGTGGCGGCCAAAACACAGGAAATGAACCCTCGGAGAAACCTTGGACCCCTGATGATCCCGGATGCATTGAATGTGAGGAGTTGATGCCGCAGGTGGAAGCTCATAAACAACAACGAGCAGAAGGTGTATATAAACCGCTTCCAGGGCCGGTCCCCCAACCTCTTCATTCATCACATCAAGTCATTCATTCCATCTCTAGTCGCTCTTTTCGGCTTCTCATCCTTCAACTATATCCATTTATACCCAACCAAGTCACTCTTTCGACTCCAATCACGCCTTAACCGCAAATATGAAGTTCACTGGATTCGCCGTCTCCCTCGCTCTTGCTGGCGTTGTTTCTTCCGCCGCTCTACCTGGTCTCCCTCTCTCCGGCTCCGAGGGTGTTGTTGGTGGTCTTGAGGGTGCCGCTGCCGGTATCATTTCTGGCCTTGGTAAACGCCAGCTCGACGCTGTCACTCCCGTAACCGAGGGTGTTGCTAGCTCTCTGAACGGTGGCACTGGCATTGTCGGCAGCGCTGTCGGCACTGTGGAGAGCACCACTGGCGGTATCGCTGGTACTGCTGAGAACAGTGTGACCGGTGCTCTGGGAGGTTAGTCCTGCTCCGAATTCCAAACTCATCACACTTGCTAACCTCCTATCTAGCTGCCAAGCGTCAGGTCGACGGTGTAGAGGGCACAGCTGAGGGTCTCCTCGGTAGTGCGGGCGTCAAGCGTCAGCTTGATGCTGTTCAGCCCGTTACCGAGAGCATTGCTAGCACTCTGAACGGTGGCACTGGTGTTGTTGGTGGTGCTGTCGGTACTGTTGAGAGCACCACTGGTGGCATCGCTGGCACCGCTGAGAACGCTGTTTCTGGTGCTGTTGGCAACGTCAAGCGTCAATTCGGCAATCTCCCTGCCACTCTTTCCCAGACTGGTACTGATGTTCTTGCTGGTCTCAGCGGCAGTATGTATCCCTTTCCGCTTTGTTCCTTACCTCTGTGGCTAACCCACTTCCCAGACCCGAGCGGCCTCTACGGTGCCCTTAACAACCTCCACACCATCGTCGCCGCCGGTGAGATCAGCCCCGACCAGCTGAACAACCTCCCCGCTGCTGTCCAGGGTGTCATCGCCAACCTGGCTGTTGCATAAATTTCAAGTGCTATTATGGGTGAAAATTCCCTGGGACGTTGATATGCATTAAAAGGTGTCATGACTTCATTCGGCCGGCGCGGTCTTTACTTTCTTGTTTCACTTCTTGCCCATCCCCGTGTACTATATACCGGGTGCTTACTTTCGAAAGACGATGTAAAATACTTTCACGAATGCTTTTTTTTTATTTTTTACGTTGATGATCACATCCAAAATCTGTGTGCGCAGTTGCTACTGAGAGAGTCCTACTTACATTTTGCTTAATACCACCATCTGCATTCCTTCATCTCATTACTTAATTCTTTACCATAGCGTCGTCCATCAGCAGGAGAACCTCGCAGCAACAAGCACAAAGAGTTCTCTGGATTTGTAACGCAATCCTTAATCTTGTTGTTTGTTTCCTTTCCGTTGGATGTGGCCAAAGAGACATGTTCCCCCTGTCCTGGCACCGGCATCGGATGCAACTGATCTGGCGCCCGCCTTGGAGGTGGTGACACATGACCACAAATCCACAAGACCCCTCGTCAATGCAGGCAACTTTATATTTAAGCTATCTGGAATTTTGTGGTGTATTCTTCTTGTACGGTTCTATGTCAACTTGTTGCATTAAATTCGAGAATCATGCTTCGCGTTGAAAGCAGTAACGCGGGCATGTGATGCAATCACAATCAGGTGCATAGTCAGAAGAAACTCTGATGCATAGTATGGGTATATATTTCTCTCTTTTCAGATTCAAACCTTACGTTCTATCATGATGTTGTAATTTCACCATGAAAGGGTCAAGACAACAGAATCGATACTGTCAGGGCCAGGGAAGAATTTGTTCTCTAATCAATTCTTTAAATTACTTTAGTTATTGTTCTCTGAACTGGATGTGTTTGCATTCATCCCATCGCGAGGGCCAGATCTGGGAAGTCTTGGCAGAGTCGCGATGCTGAGTCATCCAATGAAGCCCCTCGATTCGGTGGACAAAATGTTCAACACAGCACAGGACATCTTGTTGCTTCAGTCAATCCCCAAAAATTCCTCGGTATTCACTTCTACAATCACATAGAAATTTGTGACATAAATCCTTCCTTCCTTCAGAATTTATTTGCTCACGATGGCGGCTACTCAACCTGTCGAGGAATTTCCCTATTCTCTGTACGATCCCTTCCCCCTTCCAGCTCAGAAGATCGCACAGCAGCACGCGCGCTGCGTCACAGCAAGGCATACCGTTCTAATACGATCAAGTACCCTATCCATTCCTCTACCGACCCACCGTCTCGCCTCGTCCGCCCTCCAGACCCTCGAAGTCGACGCCGAGCTCTCCCCATTGGTGCGGCGCACTTTCGCCCTCACTTCCCCCGCACCGGACACCGATGCCGAGCCGCAAGGAAAAAAGCAAAAACAAGACCCTGAAGAATCCAAGACCGTCTTGCAGACCACATACCGCGCTACTACCAACCGTATGCTTCGTGTTGCGGTCAACGGCTTCATGGAGAATCTCGGGGTTGTCCTTGGTGTGATGACCGAGCTTGATGTCGATGTTCTGAAGGCTGATATGGAAGGTTGAACAACGGAAAGTTGCCTGATATTCGAGTAACGGACCATGTTGAGGATATTGTCAACTTATGTCTAGCGCATTAGGGCGGGACTACATTGCAAAGAGTTCGCCTTGTTAAAAAGGCTCACAGCAGGGCCAAGAAAGTGCTGCGACTGAGCCAGCTCAATGTCCACCGGACCCAGGCTATTCAGGCTTGATTTGCAATCAGGGACCCCCTCCATGTTGGTGATTCTCTACTGCAGGACGCCTCGGCGTCCTGGATCAGCCCACGAGAACCGGACAGCAGTCGCACCGAACGGTTCTTCAGCGATCGTGGAGGTGGTGGTTACGTGGCCCTAGGAGCTTTACACAGATCGGGACTCTAGTTACGATGGTACGATGAGGTGATGCGATCGTGCAGGGTGTGGTCGGGATGGTGGGGATGCCCATGTACAGCAAGAAAGATTTTCCACAAGTCCGCCAGACGGAATAACGGTCGAGCTTCTAGAATAATGTATTTAAGAATTCCAAATCACCAGATTATGCATAGACACAGGCTTCGTGTCAGCATAAGGCTGTGCAGATCCAGACCGGATAAGCTTAATAATTGCCAAAGGTTCTCCGGCTGGCATTCGGTGCTTAACCCTGCTGGGTAAATGTACAGAACTTCAACTCCACCAGCCACCAAGAGACACACGGCGAATCGGGCACCCCCAATCAGCCGATCGCGAATTCATCGACCGGCTCGGGTCAAAAGCACAGCCTTCCGGCCCCTCGTGCCTCCGTGTCTGGACCTGCGATCATTGGTAAGATCAAATGGTACCTCGGCTGGCGCTACAAAACCGCGGGCTGCGCGCGATTTTCCGCCAAGTCCGACTCGCTCAACTGCCACCGTTCTTTGCGACTCTCCCCGCTTCCTCGACGTCATCGCCATCAGCCCACAGCTCCAGCTTGAACCCTTCAAGATACCTCTCTTCCGCACCTTTCCTCCTCTCTTCATTCCAACAATCCAGAACCATGGCCTCCGCGACCTCATTCTACGAATTTGAGCCCGTCGACAGTACGTGCCACCCCCAGAGAACCCCTCAGGCTCTCCACTTCCAACCTCGGCCCAACTGGCGCAATTTGCGCGACACCTGCAGAGAAAATGAGAACACTCGCTAACCTGGTTTCGCGCAATAGAGAAGGGCGAGGCTTTCCCCCTCACCTCCCTCAAGGGCAAGGTCGTCCTCGTGGTGAACACCGCCTCCAAGTGCGGCTTCACCCCGCAGTTCGAGGGCCTCGAGAAGCTTTACCAGACCATGAAGACCCGCTACCCCGACCAGTTCACCATTATCGGATTCCCCTGCAACCAGTTCGGCGGCCAAGATCCTGCCTCCAACGACGAGATCCAATCCTTCTGCCAGCTCAATTACGGCGTGACCTTCCCAGTTCTCGGCAAGCTCGACGTGAACGGCAGCGACGCCGCTCCCATCTTCACCTGGCTGAAGGAGCAGATGCCGGGCGTTATGGGCTACAAGCCCATCAAGTGGAACTTTGAGAAGTTCCTGGTTTCCGCCGATGGAAAGGTCGTTCAGCGCTGGAGCAGCTTGACCAAGCCGGCTTCCCTTGAGGAACCGATCCAGAAGGAGATCGAGAAGGCTAAGGCGGCTGGCACCCTTACTTCTGGCGAGGAAGCTAAGCTTTCCTAAATTTGTTGATCGAAGTCTTTGGACTCTGTTTTGATACCAATTGCCTACATGTAATCTCACTCTCGCGGATTGTATTGTATGATTTACACTTGTCTATGCGACTTTAAATGACTAGTCTATTTAATTGATTGACTTCATGTCGTAAAATTCGATTCATTGTCATTTTTAATTAAAGATGTTTTTGACCGGACTAGAGGTATCCTCACATTGTTATCCAACAGAGCGCATTAGTTGGGGATCAGCTCAAGTCCGTCGGCCAATCCGGCGACGATCTCATAGAAAGCCCAGGCGCCCGGATCAGGAAGTTCCCGGCTTGAGGCCTCTCCAACATATGTTGCGCGGCCAAACTTCGCCTTGAGATATCTTGTTGCCTCGGCCTTCTCCGCGGCGACCTTGACAGCCGAGAGGAAATCGTTTGTTCCCGCAAACTGCTGCTCGAAGGGAAGCAGAACATCCATAACAGTTCGGTCTCCCTCTCTGGCCCCAGAGTGTGACTTGAGAGATGCCACTGCGGACGACAAGGCAGTAGAATAGAAGTTGGGCGAGTTGGGATTGATTTTTCCTTCTGTCAGGTTTGTTCAGAGCCGTGGAAAGAGCGGATAGAAGAACTCCGAAAATCGCGCCGAGAGTCCCTCCCATGTCGTCAACATCGTGCAGGATCGAGCGGATGACATCAAACACATCGCCGGATGCCGCGCAGCCCTTATCGACACTTCGCAAGATAGATTCGGCCAGGCCGAGGACGGCTTCACCGCAGTCTCCATCGCCCATAACCATATCCCACTATGTCAACTTTGGCTCTGCTGCGATGGCTCTTTCACATGCAGCCCTGATGGCCTTCTCCAAGAGCAGGTGGTCGAACTGAAGGCTGGGCGAACTAACGACTTTGGCGTTAGCCTTGGTATCAAGGTTGTCGAAGGTGGTCTTCTTCTGAGAAGGAGAGGGACGAGTCGTGTTGGACCAGGAGACGGCAGTCGTGGCGCTATCGAATTGACGAATTAAAGTAGCCACATCCTCGTTCGACTGTCGGGCTGCGGCGGTGAGGTTGCATAGAGAGATCGAGAAGCCTGGCGCGTTAAGAGACGTCTCGAATGAACCGAACTGCACTCTGCAGGGCTTGATGTTCCATCGTGCGCTGAGTTGCATCTGAATCTCGTCGGTTAGAGCAGAGAGTTCGAGGACGGAAAGGCCGCCATAGTTGTTGACCAGCAGGCCGACTTCATCATTTGGCTCAAACTTGGCGAATGCTCTCTCGGTATCAGATTCATCGCAGAGCAACTTAAGACAGCATTCGATGAGTTCTTCGACCGAGGGCGCCGGGGAAACGTGGAGATGGCCTGGTTCATTGTGGATACCGGTGCCAATGACGACCACGTCGTTGGGGACAGATGATTGCTGGTGTCTGCCAGGCACATGACAGTGGTCAAGTGCGGAAGCGATTGTTACAGTGTTTACGTTGACGGCTTGTCCGAGATCAAGGCACTGCTCGGACGAGTATCCTTCTGCGGCCGCAGCGGAAACAATCTTCATGGCTATACAATGTCAGTCAGCCACCGGGCATGAAGGAAGAAGTCGTCAGCAACTCACTGAAAATATGACCCGGTAGACCCCTTCTACCCATGTAGCTGTTCTTGCTTCTTCCAATTGAGACATCGTCTGTGGCATGAAGAATGGAAATCTTTTCAACAAGACCTTCAGCCTTGGCCCTTTCAGCTGCAAGACCAAAGTGGAGACGATCTCCGGTGTAATTGGTGATCAACAAGATAATACCCTTCTTCGAAGGCGCCATACGAATGGCAGCGAGAATCTGCTTTGCACTGGGGGATGCGAAAATATCTCCACACGCAGCTGCGGAAAGCAGACCATCGCCTACATAGCCATTCCATGCCGGTTCGTGCCCTGAACCTCCTCCGCTAATGACACTGACTCTTGAGTCGTCATGGTAGGCATTTCCCACAACTCTTTCCGCATAATTCAATACCAAGTGGCCATTTGCATTGACAAGAGCTCGCAGTCCTCGCGGGACCAACGAATTGGCACTTGTGGAAGGGAAATAATGCTTGTCAGACATGATTCAACGTCGCAAGTGAGTGTTTGCTGGAATCCGAGTTGACAAAACAAACAAACAAATAAAATAAAATAAAGTAAAGTAAAAAATACAATTGACTTTTCAATTGAAAGACCTATGCCGTCACTAATAAATATTCACGCTCGAAGGCGCCTGGGGTTGTGGCAGCCCCTCCATCATGGACCCTCCGAGGTAGAAAATCCCGCGATCCGAGAACAAAATCAAATCTGTGGAGATCCTCATGCTTAGATGGATGAAGTTTCCACTTGATTGAATTACCTTTGAGAGCTTTATCGTCACCCGACCCATTTTCAGCGTCAATCTCTCTGTCTCGAACGGTAGCTGTCGGGAGTGAACCACTCGTGTCGGCACCGCCCACTTCTCCACTAGACGATCCTCGTATCGAGGTAGGTCTAAATCAACAGCATCGATCTATGGGGTACACCATGCCCCGACCTGCTATAGATCCTACTGACAGATTATTATTTGCTGATGTAGGGCAAACCCCCACATTTTGACACTCCAAACCCTGTATCTTGAGCCGACAACGAGAAGGATGTTTCTCGAGATGCCGGATATGGCGCTGCTGTTGGACGCATTGGGATTGTGGATTCTAGCTGTGAGACCGCCAGGCTCCTGATCACTTGGACCTACTCAATACGAGACCTTCTGATTGAGCTCGAAAAATGAGCTTATTGATTCTGTTCTTGGTCTGGAAGCTTTGCGACAGTCCTGCTCATATGGGCGGATATGCGCGACATTTCCAACGAATGACAAATTGTGCAAATCACTGCATTGACTAAGATACAAATGGGCCAGTAAATTTCTTAATTTATCCTAAGCCTCAATTTGTTAGTTTGGATAAGCTTGAGCACTGATTGAGTGATATAGTTCAAAGAGATCGCCTGGCTGAGGACGCGTAATTTTGGCTGCCCTGTCCTTGACAACACTAAATAAATTTATCTCTGGATGAAGCTGAGACAGGAACTCGCGGAGCAGTGGAACGGAAGCAAGTATTCATATATTAATTGCTTAATGTCTTCACAGCGTTGGGGACATTGTCCATCCTGCAAGAATTGGATACATCATTCTGTCGATTATAACCTTGGAAGCCATTTAACCCTCCGGATAAATTTAGTTCGTCCACAATAAATTACCTCATGATTTCTCCGAAGGTAAGACTGGACGAATACAACAGATGAGCTCATGTGTTATTTCAGATGAAGACGCCAAGCCCCCAGGACTGACGCCAAGATGAAGAGACTCATATTCTTTTCTTTACCCCGCATTATCGGGATATTAGAGACCGAAAAAGCCAGGCAATATATATATGGCTTAATATAGAAGAGTACAAGATCTTTCGTCTGATGTAGAGTGAAAGGGACTTGATATAGACCACGTGACCACCGTCAGTATGCGATCCCTTCACACTTTCCTAGTTGCCCTACTGGCCATCCCAGCAACAAGTAAATACATTGTTCCAGGAGGCAGATGGCATGATACAAACGGGAGTGTGATCAACGCGCATGGGGCCGGAATCACTTTCGACCAGAAATCAGGCCGCTTTTGGTGGTTTGGCGAATACAAAACAGAAGACCACCCGGAGGGAGGCGGTGTATCTGTTTACAGCTCTGACAACCTGAGCACTTGGACTTCGGGAGGAATGGCATTAGGTATATATTCCATCTGGGATATTTGAGGCCCATTATCTAATTTCTCTAGCTCCGATTGAGGGACATCCATATATCTCTCCTGAGAATGTCATTCAACGACCCAAGGTGGCCTATAGTGCCGAAACGGACGACTATCATGTATGTGCTCTCCCTCGAAAGCCTCAGCGTCAATTGTTCGTCTAATTACTGAGAGTAACTAAACAGATGTGGTGGCATGCCGACAACTCCACTTATGGACTTCTTCTTCAAGGGCACGCGGTATCCGACACGATCAATGGGCCGTACACATTTGTGGACGCGGTCGCACCGCTAGGAAACTGGTCTCAGGATTTCGGCATGTTCACTGATTACAAAGATGGCCGATCTTATGCTCTTTATTCCAACGGCGACAGTGCAAATGGACGAGATGTTTACATTTCAAGCATCAACAGCAATCTCACGGCACTTGAAAAACCTATCTATCGGTTCCCAAAGTTCGATCTCGAGGCACCGACAATTTTGCAGACAGACAAAAGTTACTGGGCATTGATGAGCCACAAGACAGGATATAGGCCCAATAGTAAGATCCACGTTTACATAAGATGTGACTGGTTTTGACTAATAATGCAGATGTGGTGGCATTCCGGGCCGATTCTTTGATTGGACCTTGGTCTCAACCATTCATTGTCGCACCACTAAACACGCGTACTTTCAATTCACAGTCTACTTTCACTCTCCAAATATCCGGAACAAAAAAGACCACACACCTATACATTGGAGACCAGTGGGACTCGAACTCTGTCTGGGATAGTCGCTATATCTGGTTGCCAATTCAGATCGACGAGGAAAAGAAGACACTCAGCCTAGATTGGTACGATGTTTATGATCTCAACGTGTAAGGAAATTTCTGATATTTCCACTTGACTTCACAAGCTGAAAATGATTTCAGGAAAACCGGAGAATGGACACCTATCAAGGGAAAATCTTACAGCGCAAAGAATGCCAAGACGAAGGGCGACGCCTATAAGCAGGAGGCTGTCAGTATAAAAACACCCAAGGCGACTCAAATTTAAAACTGACAACCTCGAAAGAATTTCGCTACTGATGATGTCATTCTCACGGGGATTTATGGAAACGACAGTACCGTTACTTTCGAAAATGTCGAGGGCGATGGAAAGCCACAATGGGTCTCATTCTACTACCAAAGTATGTTCCATTCAACTATTATGACAAATAACGGTGCAGGATGCTGATAGCCCCATTAGATACTGACGATATGGGCTTTGGTGACCAACGTAAGTGCATTCTTGATTCTTTCCGCTCGTGGTCATTTACGGTCTCTGACAGTTTTGATAGCGGGAGGCACCCCAGATCGAATCGGTGGCTCATGGCAGCTCCGCCGAGTGAGCAGCGTTATAGTCAACGGAGATCCGTCAACGACTCAAACCTTGTACCAGAGGGACACCCATAAAGGAATTATTCTCTCCACTCCTCTGCAGCTGACGCTGAAGAAGGGAAAAAAGAATACCATTTCTGTCGGGGGTCTATACAACGGGTTCGATTACAAAGGCGCTGATTTGGATCGGATAGTTGTGTATCCCGCAGAGGAGTAAAAGGATATTCAACATCAGAAATTCGAGAGCGTCAACTATGGCCAATGATCACATGATCAACGGCACCCAGAGGGAGGGGTAGTTATCCATTCTTGCTTAATATCGGTCGAATAGGATTTTTGTAACACCGAAATGTCAGTTATTCTCTCGGATATGGATATTTTCATAGCTGTTGATTATGATAAGCCTTTTGTACTCACCGTGTCTTGCTTTGCGCATATCGTCGACGAAAGGAATAGTGGTAGAAGCTGTAGTTGAACGTCGCCAAGTCAAGGTCTTTAGACGCTCTATATAGCCCGTACAAGGCCAGTATTTGCAATGAGAAGCCTTCAGAATTCTTTCCCTTCCTTCCCTTATTTTTGGCCTGTTTAATTCCGTCCTTATACATTCAGGTCTGATTTCAAATGGCATCCCCGGCGCTGAGGATATTAGATATTCCACTTTTGACTCGGGCGCAAACAGTGCAAACAGTGCCGCCCAGCAATTGATCATGACGTCCGAACAATATTCACAATTCCCTGGAGCCAGTGCAAACTTGGGTATCTCAAATCACGCAGACTTGCACTCGCGGAGCGACTTTGATCGAATCCTCTCGCGCGGTCTTCGCCTGTGACACACCTACAGCCACTCGCAACATCATGAGGATCGCGTCCCTAGCAACTGCTATCCGCGGCACAACTACGCTTGAGAGTCGGCTGCGTTTGATCTTTCATCCCAGGACGCCACGGGGATATCCCCGTCGCTTGACTTTAGATACCTACTGTTTTCTCTGACAGGACGGGCCGACCACGGTCTCTTGTTCCACCATAAATTGGCGCCGGGACCATCGCAATGCATTGGCAGTTTCAAAGCTGTCAAAGACACCCCCTGGCTATTCTATGCCCTCAAATACGCAGGGTCATCCACCAGATTCCGCCACTCGCAGCGAGAATAGAGATTCTCGTTCTGGCTGGACTGGAAAGTCTACTAAACAGCTCTTGCGTTTGTTACAAGGACTTATAGTTCTGATGACGATGACATCATGGGGGAATCGGGCTGCCGTTGGAGATTCACTCGTGTTATCCGGCCAAGTCGCTATGCTAGCTCGTGAAATTGGCATTTCTACACCTGACGTAGGCCATGACAACCCCTCCTGGGAAGAATGGGTCGAGCAAGAGGAGCGCCGTCGAACCCTATGGGTGGCATATGTTCAGTTCAACCTACAGTGCATAGCATTCAACGTGCCGCCCATGATCTTGAATCAGGAAGTGCTCTGCGGCGAAGAATGGAAAGTGAGGAACTCTCAAGATTGGATGCGTATGCGAAGCTTTCATACCCCAGACTCAAGAAACTTTCAGCAAGTCTTAGGACAACTCCTTCAAGGTCGACAAATCCACAAGTCGAACGCAATATCCGCGTTTGCGAACTATGTCCTTATCCACGGCTTGTTTCAAGAGATATTTTTTGCTCGAAATACAGCCTCTTTGGTGGAACCTACTGGGTCTCTCCAAGTGGGCTTCGTGCAGACCATGGAATCGGCTTTGCGTGCATGGCAAAATTCCTGGGAGGCGACCTATGAATCAACCCTAGATCCCTTGTCCCCCAGAGGGCCCATGGGTTTCAACGCAACGGCTCTTGTGCGTCTGGCATACATTCGCCTCAATGCCAATACAGGGCCGTATCGTCAACTAAGCTCTCGGGATCCCCAGGGAATTGCTCATGAACTCCTTGATGGCCGGTTTGCCGTCTATGAACGATCTCCTTTCCTTGACCGTGCGGTTTTGCAATGCATCCACGCGCTGAGTATTCCGGTCCGGTCGGGGATACAGTTCATAGCACGCACTCAAATGCTGAATTGGAGCATACAGCATTCGCTTTGTAATCTTGAGTGCCCATTTCTACTCAATCATTGGCTCAGGACATTGCTCGATGCATCGAAACCTCTAGCGCTCAAACACTACGGGACGATGAGCGCAAGCTTCTCAACATGGTCTATCATATTTTTAGGGAGGCGGACCTAACAGAGCTTTCGTTCTGGGCGGACGATAATGCTGACGCAGTCCGCCACCTGGCAGCTTGCACTGCTAGACTGTGGGCCGATATATTCCAAGGATTCCATACATACGAGGTTTCTCGTGTTGTGGCTGAGGGCCTTGCAATCATCGCAGACACTCTCGACGCTCCACTTGAAACTCACATTTGATCTTGCATTGATTCCACGTCACAATTGCAACAGATTGGCTTTTTATTCTACGCACTGTGGGTGGGTAATAGGCGAGTCTCATCGATCTGAAGTTCGTTTTCGAAATGAGTAGAACACGCTTCGTGTGAATGTTTCTTGTGGCCCGTGTAGTACCTGCTCCACATACGCCCCCTATCTAACCCATTTACCCTTGAGTCCGCTTGAAGTGATAAGGAGTCGATGACCATTTTCGGTAAATCGACGATCTGTACTACCGAGGGGAGCTCTGTTCAATAGAAAATTTTGCCCCATAAAGGCAGCCGCCAAAACATTCGTGTTCGGAAAGACCTTTCATGGCGGGACTCGTTTTGTCTACTGTTCGTGTTGACGATTTGGCACATTGGGCATGTCGCCTGCACAGTTATTCTGAAAATTTCTAGAAATTATACGAATGCTTGATTATAGTCGTCAAAGCACTAGAGATAAGAATCGAATGAACAATAAAAAAATCTAATGAAATCCGTGGGCTTTTAGACGCCGAATTTCTCTTCATGGAGCATCGAAATTCCAAATCATGTTCCATTATCACCATATGCCACTTCAAACTCCTGAAAGAACTCCACCCGTTATTCAGCGACCCCCGGACAAAGTTTCATATGATGATCCAAAATCAGCATACTACTTGCCACGATATCTCGGCTCATTCCAGGAACGATCATGCTATCTCCACGCTCAAGGCTAGAAATGAATATCTCCATTAACTCTTCCACGGAGAGAACATTCGGATTCTTGTGCTGTTTGTTGTCGTCTGGATCATCTCGCTCTCGATGCAGATTTGTAGCCACAGAAGGAGGTGCAACTTCAACAACCTTCACCTTCTCGTAACCTCCACGGGAAATTTGTGAGCGAAGGTTCATCGACCAGAAGTGAAGCCATGCTTTCGTTCCGTTATACACCGGATTGATCACCGAAAATGGGACGAATCCGAGGATAGACGAAGCATTGATCACAGTGGCTCCATTCGGGTTCTTTTTGAAAGGATCAATAAGACCAAGCGTGAGATGCATGGGACCACGAATGTTGATGTCGATCTCTTGGTCGGCTTTGAGCAGGAAATCGGCAGGGTTGTCTAGCAAGAATTGGAGCGGACACTGGACGCCCGCGTTGTTTATCAAACAAGCAAGTTCCGGATATTTGGCGATAATGGATTGGCAGGTTGGTAGATTATATAATGCCTTGAATGCGCAATTGATAGCAACATTTAGTTATATTCGGCTTGTCAATTTGTCATCCGGAGTTATCGGCGCATTTTCACCAGTTCGACGTGGGACTGATCATGAAAAATAATACGTCATGAATCCGGACCTGATTTGCTTGTTCGCAGACAAACCCAGTGGTCCGAACCCACCGGGTTTTTTTATCGTTGGAGTAAAAAGGGTAAAAACCCCACCGCTCACGATTCTATGCCAGCGGGGTAGAAATCTCTTGTGCGGATTCACTTGCTTGGTCACAGTCTGACTAGTAGAATTAATCATTCCACTTCGATCCATACTCCAGTGGCGTGAAAGAAGTCTCCGAAGATCAAGAAATATTGGAAATCATCAAGTACTGTGCCAATTGTGCAATAATTGACTACGCGAACGAAGCCGGAGAGATTGTTATATTTAAAGCGTCTATTCCAATATTATTTCCTATCCAATATTCAAATTCAAATCTTCACTTTACACAAAGATGTCATCTCACACTGTCCTTCGTCTCACTGCTCGTGACTCCTGGAAGAGTATCCAGCAGTTTGAAGAGCCTCGCCCAATCGTTGGCAAGCACGAAGTCCTTATCAAAGTCCGGAGCGTTGCCCTCAACTTCAGGGACATCGCCATATCGACTAGCACGTACCCATTTCCTCTGAAGGACCAGGTGGTTCCAGGATCCGACGCTGCCGGCGATGTTATTGAAGTTGGCGAAGGAGTCGTCGCGTTTGCACCCGGGGATAAAGTCGTGGCTGCCTTCGATGCAATCACGCTGTACGGACCGATCAAGTCTTGGAACGGTGGATTGGGTGGTCCAATGGATGGTGTCCTGAGAGAGTACATTACTCTTCCGGCACAAAGCGTGGTGAAAATCCCGCAGTCGTCTTCTCTCAGCTATGCTCAGTGGGCTAGTGTTGTCTGCACGGGTGTGACTGCTTGGAATTCTCTCTTTGGGGATCTCCCTCTGAAGCTAGGCCAGACTGTTCTTTTCCAGGGTAAGTAGGGCATCATCGGGTTAACTTGTACCTGTAATTTGCGATAGAAAATCTCACACTAAACTGATAGGTACTGGTGGAGTGTCCATCACTGGACTTGTGTTAGCCAAAGCAGCGGGTGCGAGAACCATCATCACATCCTCTTCCGATGACAAGCTGCGCTACGTCAAGGAGAAATATCACGCCGATCACATTATCAACTACAAAAAGACTCCCGACTGGGCAAGCGAAGTTCGAAAGATTACCGACGGTCGTGGTGTCGATTTCATTCTCGAGAATGGCGGCTCCGGCACGATCCAGCAGTCGCTCAGTGCCATCGCGTATGGTGGAAACATTGCTGTGATTGGATTCCTGTCCGTCGCGCCGCAAGGGGAGATGCCTGATGTCGCTGGCCTGGCACTGGGCAAGGGAGCTAACATTCGCGGTATCATGATTGGGTCCAAGGAGATGCTGGAAGACGCGGTTCGTTTCATCGGCAACCATAATCTGCAAATTCCAGTCGAGAAGACTTTCAATTTCAGCCGTGATGAGGTGGTTGATGCTTTTGATTACATGACTGGGGGTCAGCACATCGGAAAATCTGCATCAACTTTTAGCTGCAGACTTCAAGACTGCCAACTCCAACTGCCGTGGGGATCATCGGTGTATTTAGGAATAGCACTAAATAAACGGGAAATAAATGATATTGGAACGATCTCACTGCAGGGAATAGAAAAACAAATTCCCGCTGTCGCAATAATTCGCCGGAGATCATAAATTTGATAGTCTTCCCAGAAATTTTTTGGAGTTTACTTTTCGTCGATTGCCATAAAGAAATTGACTTGGTCATAACGGCTTTTCCCAGTGTCTCTTGTGAACTGTTACCCTATTTTTTCGTATCTTGAGGCTTCTAGACTGCAGCGCCACTCTTGGGGATGAGATTCCGCAGCGAAAGATCGTAAACGACATCCTCAACCTTCTTGACCTATACATTGAGATAGTGGTAAGCATATGTTGCATTCACTGAGGTCCAGAGGAATTGACGTACGCTGTATTTGATTCCATCGCTTCGCTTCCGCAGGATGTCGTTTTTCAAGTTGAGAAGCTGGAATCCGGAGAAGAGATCCTTGATAAAATTGCCAATCTGGAGAGGGCGTTCATAGTCTCCAAGGGTGACTGAGTTGACTGCGAGGCGAGACTATCAAGCGGAATCAGTAAATGACAGGGAATTTAGAAACAACGTGGAGGCTCTTACCAGTTCCTCGACCATGGAGATGAGCGCGAGGAGGTACTCCTCGATGGTCAAATGGAAAGCATCTTGTTCTTTGAGATTGACCAGGACTAAGCAGCAGCGTGAATTAGTTTCATGCTCAAGCACGCAGACAACAAGGGTTGAACATACCATCCAGGTATTTTCCGACGTCGTCAATAGTCATGAATGAAGCCGAGTTAGGGCCTTTATGTTCCTGAAGTCCACCGAGCCAAGCGCACAGCTCAATCGAGGCAACCTGCATATTCCGATTAGGTCCATAGGGAAAAAAAAGCCGCGAGGGAGAGCTTGGGTACAAACCAGGTTCTGGAGCTCACGCGACCACACTCCATTGTACTTATAGAACGGGTGCTGGTTGGCGACGGCCTTCAAGCGTGCAACCTCCTCTTTTTGGGCAGCAATGCTAGCAGTGGCATCATCAAGAACCGTCTTCACTGTTTCTTCGTATTAGCCAAATCGTGAGTCCAGGAACCGGGTTAACCGGCCATCTCAGATAGACAGGGGCGGGTTAAGACAGCGTGAGATGAACACTGACTGGCGCCAGCAGAGTAGGGAGGAAATTTGCATACACTTATCACTGGGCGTTGAATGCGCCCTCGCGAGAATGGCTTGCGTGGAGCGTCCTATAGAAATCGCCAATCAGCCTTCTGTCTTCGGTTCCTGACCTCGCCGAGCTCAACGGCGCTTCGCCTCGGACGCGAGAAAGCAAGCTCCCAGGCCGGTCCAATTGAAAACTACCTTTGCGAGCGAGCGTCTGGACAATTTCATGCAGTTCCTGGTGGACGACGGTCAGCTTCAAGTCGCGGTTGTGCGCAGCGGCTTCAGGCTTGGCGCGTAGAAAAAAATCCCCTCCAGACTCGTCGCCGGGGCGGGTATGGGCCAACTCACATCGCGGACGGCGGACTCCTCATCGATCTTGGTCTGAAGATCTTCGAAAATACGTTGGTCGATCATCTTGGCGAACGTGGTGTGCGTGTCTAATGGTCGATGAGGGGATTTCGAAGCCGAAGGTTGCGGGAGGGTGAGCGGAAGCTGAGAGTCGAGCGCGTTGAAGTTGTTACGTCAATCGCCAGGCAAGCAACCACAGTCAGACGCGATGAACTCGGTTTTCTGAGGAGCGCAGAAGGCTCTACGAATGATCAATTGCTAATCAGTAAGATGTGCAGAGATAAGCGAATTGCTGTCGCATTGGAAACCCTTCATGCTAGTGTTATGCCCTGCTCCTACTACACTATGTGGCTAATCTAGGCCTTATGGGGAAAATGTTTTAATTGGCAAAAGGGTGTATTTCGGATTTGTGAGGGCTCCCATTCGCCTTGTGAGTGCTCGAGCTCTCAGATTAGAGTTATTTTGATGTCTTTTACAACAGCCCCACGCCGTCGGGCTTTACTATCTGCACATGACAAAGCCCCCCTTGTCTATTGTAATAGCGGAAAATCGCCCCTGAAAGATACAAAGCGTCGATTTCATTCACCTGTCGCTTCCCTAGCAATCATAGTCGTAAAATTCGTAAAAGAAAACGTCAACCACAAAAAACGTTCCTCCGGTCTCGCCATCCTCCAGGAAAAGGAACAAAGTCCCTCAGTACCGGTATCTAGTCGAGTAGTCTTTGAAACCGTCAATTTCTGTTGGCATATTCGAAGGCCAAGCGGATGAGAAATACGTACCTTTGGGAGAGACGACCAGACCGCGACCCTTCTTTGCGCCCTTGTAGATGGTCTCGAGAATGTCGATCAACTCTTGTTTATCCTCCAGCACCCAATTTAACTTGTTATTGTTTCCGGTGCCGAAATCGCACATCATGTGCTTGTTTCGATAGAAGAACATGATCGTCATCGTATCGTAGAGTTCATACATCTGGTTGAAGTCAGGGACTTCGTCGATGTCGCAGAGGTAGATGACGGCGAAATCTATCACGGGAAGTTCATTAAAGAAGGATTTTCTAGGTAGGAGTATGCAAGAGACTTACTCTTGACGCGCTCTGCGATTTTGTACAGAACCTCATCCTGGCGGATGCCTGCCAACATGCTGTTAACTTGTGTTGCGAGTACACAGCGCACGAGATTGGTGTCTCACAATCGGGATCGTGATCACGACCGAATCGGATCACCACGAGGCGCTCCTCCTCGGAAAGAATGGCCTGGTCGACATGCCAGGCAGTTCGGAGGTGGGGAAGCACGATAGAACCCATGGCGGCGTTGCAATGCTGTTGAAGATGAGCGGGGCGCGTGCCGAAAAGATTTGGCTTAGGCTGCGGCTTTGAAGCTCGAGCTTATCGATTGCCCGCTCGCGATGAGCCGCGAAGTCATGTGACCGGTCAGAGGCGTACAAATACAACGTAAATAGGTACGGCTCCCCGGGAAATCTGGTCAGGATGACGGGAATCCGAAGCTCTTGCAGTGCTACGAATTGGGAAGCACTAATGCTCTGGATTGCTGAGGATGAGGCGGACTTTTCGCAATGCAAAGCACTAATTGCAACTGAGAAATTCCAAGGGCTCTTGGAACTCATATCTATGGCGACAATGCGGCTAACGGACATGGCAACAATGTGGATCAAAAATGATGGCTTCTTCTCCAAACGACCGGACAAGCCGACCAGTTGATGAAAAAAGAGGTTCGCGTCGATCGGAGGTAGTGTAAGCCCGATGACACTGTGCGACGAGACATGTGCAGAGCACAGAGGGCAGGTCGCGAGGTACAAAAATTGGAATAATCATTGATGTCTTCCGGAGAAGACTTTCAGAGATTAAACTGAAAAGAACAGATACTACACTTGATCTAAGCCAAAAGGCAAAGAGAGCTAAAGAAAAAAAAAAAAAGAAGAGGAAGGGCCGGGGAGTAGAAGGTATTTATACCCGTTTTGAGGCGGTGAATCATACTCCCAGCACTAGCTTGGCTTAGGATCACATGATGCTGTCAGGCACGGTCACCTGACTGTCCTGTCTGCCCTTGCCCTTGCCCTATCTCTATCCGCAATAGGATTAGCGCACACAACCATCGACGGCCGCTGGCGAAATTTGATATCAGCGGGCTCCACTCGGAGAGATCTTCTCTCCATCCCTCTCGACGGCGCAGGATATTCACCTCTTTGCGACCTTTCTTCCCAAAGTCCAATCCATCCCCTCGCACTCACAATGGCTCCCGCTGCTGTACGTTGAAACAATACTCGAACCGCTTTGCTGTTCCCCCTTTTGCGATGCCTCGTCGGACCGGCTTCTGTTCGGCATGGACTGCCAGGTAAAATATCTACCTGGTCGTCTTCGCTGTACCGGCCAAATCCTCGAGACCACAATTGGGATTTCGACATTATGGAGCAGTAGGCTAATTTGGTTTTCCGCTCAATAGTCCCGCAAGGCCCAGAAGGTCACCCAGAAGGTATGTTGCGCCCGGACTCCCGACAAACATTGCGATGCGAAGAGACTAATATCCTCTCTACAGTTCGTGATCAACGCTTCGCAGCCTGCGAGCGACAAGATCTTCGACGTCTCTGCCTTCGAGAAGTTCCTCCACGACCGCATCAAGGTCGAGGGCCGCGTTGGCAACCTCGGTGACAGCGTTGTCATCTCCCAGGTTGGCGATGGCAAGGTTGAGGTTGTTGCCCACATCCCCTTCTCCGGCCGCTACCTGAAGTACCTGTGAGTGTTTCCACGCATACTGTCCGCTATGTTACTCAGTCCGCTGACCAAGTTCGCCTTGTACAGTACCAAGAAGTACCTCAAGAAGCAGCAGCTCCGTGACTGGCTCCGCGTCGTCTCCACCTCCAAGGGTGTTTACGAACTCCGCTTCTACAACGTCGTCAACGACGAGGCTGAGGAGGATGAGGAGTAAATCTGCTCTTTGGGCTTTGGATTAGCTAGCCTATGAGGCGGCGAAATAAAAAAAGTTCATACCGTCTATAAATTTATCGCTCGTAGACTTGTGGAGCAACTTGCTCCGTATTTAGTAATTGTGGCGTGAAACTTACATGTAATGAATGTAGCAACATTCGTCATAGAAATGACCCAGGTGTAGACTGCGCCGGCTCCTCCAGCGAGATTGAATAGAGAGAGAAATCCAAGCAGATGAAGAAAACAATGGCCACGATAGGAATCCCATTTCTCAACGTATATAGGAACACCCGCGAGGCAGCACCTTCCTTGGCCAGACCGTAAATAGTTCTCGATCCAACATATACGGCACTGTTGACAGCGGAGAATATTGACACAAGAATCACGGCGTTGATAGCATTAGCACCAGCTGGCACATCGACCCGCTGGAATGAAATAACGAAGGGAGAAGCTGCAGTGTTTCCAGTTTCCCCTGCAGATTGGGGTCGTTGGATGGGACCGTAAGCGTAAGGAAGACGATACCTCTAAGGAAGATGATAGCAATTCGCCAAACAATACGTTTCACAGCCTTGGGAATATCCTTGCCAGGTTTCGAGATTCTCCTGCTGTGAGACCAATCATTTCCGTGCCACTGTGTTGTAGACCTGCAAAGACGAAGATTTCGAACACTCCCTTGACTCCGTCTGCAATGAGCCCGGATCGTGATAATACTTGGACCCTATCTTCTGACCCCAATGATGCCCGTTGTGATCAGAATGGTGCAAAGAAAGAAAGCAGCGATGGCCAAAACTTTTACTAGGGCCAGCCAAAATTCTGCTTCACCAAAATCACATATACCAAGAACGGAGAAGCCCCAAAAAAAACATTAAAAACTGCCCGTAACCAGTTAGTAGGCTCATCGCGGAAATTTGAGTGGCGAGCCGATACCCACCAGAAGACTAAATCCGTCCCCAACGAGGCATTTCAGTATCCCAGTATGTCAGAACTAAGCCGAGGTTGTCTAAATGGAGGCGGGAATTGTTAGTATGGATTCCACAAACCCCCACCCCAATGCGAATAAGAAGAGGGTAAAGGATGAACGTGTTATATTCGGCCACTACAATGCCAATTCACGAAGGGAAATAGTTCCATCCAAGAGTGAAGCCCTATGCCGGGTCGATAAAAACGCGCAGAGTAATGGATGAAGGAACCAGAAACCGCAATAAAAGATCCAAGTTCAGCAAGTGATTGAATGACAAGCCAGAGAAGCCCACCCACAACTGCAAAATAGATGAGCAAGCCGGCAGGGTCTGCCGTGGAGAGACCAGTTCCCATGCCCATGAAATATCCTGTACTTATAACACCGATTACTATCATTATCTATACGTGTCCGGTGCAATTAGTTTTTTATTTATTTTGTTGTAACGGATTAGCCTGGGAAGTTCACTCCATATGTCGTTGCGCCAGGGATCGATTCAACTCTTTGTTTTCCAAATCAGTGATCTGGCCATTCTCCTGTATAGTTTTTGCATCATCTTGACCGGCTCCAATGTCTTTAATATCGGCTGGATTCGGGTCGGCCATATTGTTAGCCGTGCGCAGCACTCGGACAATGTTGTTTTTAGGCTGGGCCAATCAAACATGAATAGATAGAAAGACGACAACGCACATTTAAGATGGGAATTTACAATCTGAATGCGACCTTTGGAACGTCATGATGAAGCATAGGCCGTCGGCCTCTGGAGGCATCACAGCCGGCGTGACCCGGCTCCCTTTAGGGTCGACTTGGCTCTCCGCCACTGGGAGACAAGCCATGAGAGATAACTGACATTTAAGGCTTGCCCTAGGATTCGATGATTGACGCGATACGAAGATCGGGAACGGGGTATGAACGTGGGTGAGAATATCGGATGCATCGCCTAGATTGAACTATCTATTCCCCGCATTCAATTCGGGCCGAATCAACCCATGGGTTGCCACAAATCTGGAACAGAAGTTGACTCGGCCAACATTCTGTGCAGTTGTAAATGATCTCTCTCCGCTGATCACGGAAGCCGGAAGCTATCAATTGTCGGATTATTACCTCAGGAATCCGGGTTGTTCCTTTTCAGTCCCGGTGGTTTCTGAAGGCTCTTTGCCACCTGACGTACGTCCTGCAATTCTGCCCCAGGAGGGGGGACCAGTACGTCGTCTTTGAAGGTCCATCCCTTGTCTTTCAGGACTTTCCAGCATTCCCGCGCTCTGATCCGAACCAGATCGCCAGTTGCAAGCGCATCTTCTCGAGAGTCATGCCCGTTGTCTCCGCTTTGAATTTCACGTTCAAGATGGTTGAGAGAAAGGGTTTTCAGAGAAATGCGGTATGGGAGACCGCCTTGAGCTGGGTAGAGTAGAACTGTGTCGATAACAGTGGGGTGGATCACTCTGCAAGCATTGAGGTCATTTTCGATGGCATGTCCGATCAAGGGCGTCTCTGGCTGCAGCAGGCCGAAGAGTAATTCTCGCGCGGCAGCGGGCGATTCCACTAATTGCATGGGCTTGTTCGACGAAGACGATGTGGGATCAGGGGTTTGGGTACCGTAGGGCACGGCCGAGGCATATTGTTTAGAGCAGATGCCCGAGAAACGCGTGTTGAAATCCAGTATCTCCCCCATTGGTCTGACGAGGATATCAAGTAATTCACGGCCTTCTGGCCAACTGAGAGCAGTGAGGCGGATAAGCTCCAGGCCCATCGTTGTATACCCCATCTCGCAGTCCAAGGAAACAGGGTCCATCGGGCCTTTCTCTGGCCGAGCGGGTGTTCTCTCGAATTGCTGAATCATTGCTAACCGCTTGGCATCTCGAAATTTGAACACGTGTGTCTCAGCTTTCGTACAACCAGATGAAGTAGCAATCCCTTCGCTACAGCAAGGGTAATATGGCTCCGATGAACCGGTAGCTATGTCGGTCTTCTTTCTCCGGGGTTTGTAGAGTCGGTTTGGATGATAGATACATTCGCCCCCACTTGTCAATTTCCCGTCGTCACGACGGCCAGGGAAGACCTCGAACCTTGAACTGCACCGATCACATTTTTCCCAGCCCTGGCTGTTGGCTGCGGCTTGTTCGGCTAGTTCTATGTCGGCCTGCGAGGGAACTTTGGTCACATAGTCAAGGTCTTCGAGGCCCTCCAGCGGAGTTGTAAGATAAGTGACGAGAAATATCTCTTCTCTGACGGAGAGTCTAGCTTCGGTGGGCTCGGGGGCCTGGGTCGTTTCGACAGTCTGAATAGGGGTCTTGTAGTAACGATCATTTAGATGGTCCTTAACTGCATTGACCCAGTCTTCCGAGCTCATCTTCATGAACCTGAAAATTCGTTGTCTGATTACATTGGAGTAAACAGCTTGGCTTTCCTTCGCAACTTTTTCTTCCTCGTCCAGGGCCATGATTATTAGCTCGTCCGGAGTAAGAATGAAACACTCATTAGAGCTGTCTTTAGAGCTAGCCAGTTTGCTGTTGAGTTTAACTATAGCACCATGAAGCTTTTCCAAGACAGTGGTTCGGGAACCATGATCGGCCGGGGCTTTAGCAATCAGTCGAGGATTCAAGGCCTCTTTCCTTACCTCTCGGGGAGGGAGTGTCTGAAGAGGAATTGCCTGGGTCATGGCTGCCGCGCAGGCGGGGGTGGCACTTTGGCCAGATGCTTCCTTTGTGGCATGCTTTGGACTTGAGCGTTCGGAGGGCAGTTGCGATTTGACTCGACTGGCTGATGCCAGTTGGAGGTCCTGACGGGTTCCTCGACTGGACTGTTCTGAACTTGTTGTCGGCGTAGAAACTTTTGCTGTGGGATTTGGAGCTGGCTGCTCCGCCATTATTCCAGAAGAGTTACTTTTTCTGTAAACCTTTTGCTTCTTAAATATATGCCCACTATTATCGCTCGAGGTGATGACAGTGTGTCGGGTATCTTTGCCGGTCACTGGAAGCGTATTTTGTGTATGGATAAAAGGACAGGCCAAGAGAGAGCAGCTCCTGTCCTTTGGACAGGCAATTTCAGCCAAGTAACTCTTCCAGAACATATTGTGTGTACCGCAGGTTCAAGTTCGAATCCGCCCGGTGGAGTACTCGGGCTGATCGAGCGTATCCGCCCTGAGCTGGTAAACGACGAGCTTGTGAGCTTCTCCATCTTCAAAGGACTCTGGAACGGTAACTTACCGGAATGAGAACGATGAAATACCCTTGCAGAGGTTCGACTGGCACACCTTCCGACAGCAAGAGTGATTGGAAACACAAGTGCAGCGAGTCAGTGAAGACGCGGGAGGAAGCTACGATACAAACACTTCAAACTTAGATCCCGGATTTGTTGCAAGGCGACAAGGCAGAAAGGCAGAATTGATAAGGCATCAAGGCATCAAAACCACCGCCCGGCGGGGCTTGGCGGCAGCTGAGGGCGGTGTCGCTTTGGGGCTGTGGGCCGGCCCCGGAGTGTCTATCAATGCCGACCCGGCCTTATCGGATGCAACGCGTCCGTGGCCAGTAATCCCCGTGTCCAGCGGCAGCCTTAACTCCGGAACACACGCATGCTCAAATACCTCGCCTTTCCTTGGCGAATCCGCCCCCAAGTCCAATTTTCTCATACGCAGTCATGTCTAACTCGTCTTCGAAAGCTGACCACATTTGTGTCCTGGTCCATGGGTAAGATGCTACGAATTGACGTCAAAAAGGGCAATGGGCTAATTGCTTTCGAGCAGATTGTGGGGGAACCCATCTCACCTGGATCAGGTAGCCTCTGCCTTGAGAGAGCGACATGGCGATCAGTTGCACGTCTTTAGTGCCAAGGAAAATAGCGGGAATTATACCTACGACGGCATCGAGCTGGGCGGCGAACGTTTGGCGCATGAGATCGAAGAGACAGTGGACGCCTTAAAAGAACAGGGTCAGGAGATTAAAAAGTTGAGCGTTGTTGGCTATTCTCTCGGCGGACTTGTTGCCCGGTATGCCATCGGATTGTTGGAAGCTCAAGGCTGGCTCGACAAAGTGGAAGCTGTCAACTTTACTACGTTTGCCTCGCCCCATGTAGGAGTCAGAGCTCCCCTCAAGGGCTGGAGAGGAAAATTCTGGAACGTGATGGGAGCTAGGACTGTCTCCGTGTCTGGACAACAGCTGTTCATGGTGGACTCCTTCCGAGATACTGGCCGACCCTTGCTCAGCATCCTGGCAGACCCTGATAGCATTTTTATCAAGGGTTTGAAGCGATTCCAGACCCGAAGTGCTTATGCCAACATAGTGAACGACCGCACAACCGCGTTTTACACAACTGCGCTTTCAAAAGTCGACCCTTTCCGAGACTTGGACAAGATCAACATCAACTACGTCGATGGCTATGAACAAGTGATCATCGATCCACATGTCTACCTGCTGCCTTCTACAACAGCTGAGGCAGAGTCGGCAGCTTTGAACGCATGCGAAAAGCACAAAGCATTTGCCAAGGATGCGCCTTTCTGGATGCTCATACTCCTTCTCATCGGTCCCGTTTCAACATTGTTTCTTATCAACTCCGCCATACAGACCTTCCGTAGTCAGCGGAGGATCAAACTCCACGGTGAAGGCAAAAATGGACTTCGCTTTGGAAGATACAAGGTACCTTTTCTCATAAGAGATGCCCAATATGCTCTTGAGGAAGCATTCGAGAAGGTCAATAATCGACAGGAGCCAGCCTATCTTTCTAGCTCTGACGCCGAACAGTCTGACGCATCTACAGCGGAGTTTTCAAAGTCTTCCAGTCCAAGCAAGCCCGACAAGGGCACACAGTCCTCCGAGACTTTCCATGCTGCCAACTCAACGCAAAATCATCCAAAACTGGCATTGACGCCTGATCAGTTTGCTATCATTGATTCACTCAACGATGTGGGCTTTACGAAATATCCCGTTCATATCCACAACCATCGGCACAGTCACGCTGCTATTATTGTTCGCTCTCCAAAAGATGGGTTTTACGAGGGCAAAATCGTTATAAAGCATTGGCTGGACCAGGAATTTGTGATTTGATCTAAGCGCTTGTGCCTTCGTTCAATTCATCCTTTGCAGGCGCGCATCTGGGCTTGCCGACTGCAGCCCACCTTATCACGACTTACGAAACTCCTTCTCTGTAATTTCAGATTGCGAAATGGCGATAGACTCCTTACTATATACAATCTAATATATACACGATAATCTTCCATCTTCTTCAAGTACTTCACATTATTGAAGGAACCTCATACGAGACCCGACTGATCCCCTTCTGCCGGCTAACCTTGCGGACTTCAACGTGCCCAACCTGGCTGGTCCGGGAAACATGAGTGCCGCCGCACGGTGTCTGGTCCAGGCCACCAATACTGACAATACGGATAGCACCTTCCCGGTCCTTCCCAAGGCTCTTTAGGCCTGATCCATCCCCCGCCCAAGAGATCAGTATAGGCAGATCCTGCTTGACCAAGTCATCCAGCTTTTCTTGGATCGACGCTTTGTGCTCATTGTACAGCAACCCTTCAAATTCCAAACAAGCCTCTCCCGGAGCATGATTTGCTTTGACCTCCTTCAGCCCCGGCATGAGCATTTCCATCGCCACTCCAAGAATGTGCCCTCCCGTATGCAGCCGGGAGTGATAGTCACGCCTTTCGGCATCGACATTCTGAATGACACGCTGGCCCTCGGCAAAGGAGATGTCTTGGTTTGACGGCTTGCCGAAGTGTAGGATTTTGCCGTCGTCCGCTTTACGGACCAGGGACACAGTGAACGTCGGTTCCTGGTCTACCAGAGCAATGGTACCCGTGTCACTAGGCTGTCCACCTCCACGAGGATACAAGATGGTTTGACGCATAACGATAGCTGAGTCCTCCGGTGCCAAAGTACGCCCCAGGCTTTGCTCGTCTTCTGAGAGCGATGATATTGGCTGACAAGATAGAATCTCTGTGGCCAGGGTTCTCAGAGTGGCGTCGTGGAGATATACTGCTTCTGTGCATACAGTCTAGCTTGTTTGTTAGCGAGGGCACTCAAGGACATGATGCTTTACAAACCATTTTTCTGTTTGGAAGATTTTGGACAGAATGTGTGATATGTAGTGTTTTCTGTCCTTCCTGAGAAATTGATCCAAAGATAAGTCGGCTCTCCCCGGGTTGTGGACAGAATGTGGGTCGTTGTCATCTGAAGGGCGGGGATTGCCGCCAAAATTTTAGGGCATGCATCCAGTTTCACAAGACGGCGCCAAGCCGAAAGTATTATTTCCGACAGGACAATATGTGGAATTTGAATATATGAATTGCATTGAATTTCCGTTTGATCACTAGATCTAAAATAAAGGGATCCGGACGTCTACAGAGCATCTGTAATGAGGGTTGCCAAGATGAACATTCTTTTTTCAAGACACACATTCAAGTCGCCACAAGAAATTGTACTGTCAAGTGAAGGATAGACTAGAAACAAGGGAAAGAATCAACGAAATTCAACAAGAACAGTACAACACCGAAGGGGTTTTTAGGCCTCCCAGAGATCGGATGGATGGCAACTACGTAGCTATTATGACACAAACCAACCCGGCCAACTTAATCCAACCCTAGCATTCTGACCCCGGATTTTTCGCCCACTATGTAAATCCTTGGAAACCCAGAACTGGCTAAACGACTAGAACCTCGCAGCGGGTGGGAGGCCTGTCCTCTCGATCAATCCGGATTGCCTAATTTGTCACTTCCGTGGTTTTGCACTAGTTACCAAAGGATCGGGATTATCCTGATTTGCTGCTTGCCTTGATACGAGGCGACGGGACAAGGATACGCCAGGGAATTAGATTGGGCTTCGTTACAACATAAAAGATGCGAGTCGGATATGCATGATTCCTATCTTGGGCTGGGCTATTACATCACTCTGTTCGAACATTGACTGGACAGGAAGTCACCTATCATACACGGAGATCCGGGGTAGTCTGGACTTCCCCATGGGCCGGAGATTCGCTAGCATTGTTGGGGATAGAATACTGGGGTTAGTTGCGATGTCATTATTATTCCATTCGGCAGTGTGAGATTTATGAGACCATGGCCCCGAGAAAGTAAGTTGGTCATCCACATTTGTGGGCATGAAGCACGCATTATGATTTAGAGCAGAAAAAAAAGTATTTGAAGTTTTGGTATGTCATTTCGTATTGGGGGTGTCTTGGGGTAAAATAGTAAAACATTCACCGATGTGACCAAAATTGTACATTTGATCATCGAATCCAATCGCAGCTTGGGAATCATCAGGACAAATCATAAGATGGGCAATAGATTAATCATCTAATATAGTTGGGGTCCCGCGCAGGGAGATGGCTGAAAATGGGGTTGCCAGGCTCATCGCAGGGACCAGAAGCCAAAAAGCGTTCTAGTTCTTCAACTCGCTCTGGTTGATCTTGATGTTGGCGAGCGTATCGCCATGGTTGATCAACTTCTGCTGCTCACGCTCAACTGCAAATTTGATAGCATCATAAACGTTGTCACAAATCTTGCGAGGCGGGTAGCGAGGAATGGTTCCTTCTTGCCAAACACCAGTCTTGACAAGGATGGAGTACCAGTCGATATCACTTTGCTTATTGAACTCGTTGGTGCCACGAATATCAGACTCGGGAGTGTCACCGATGAAGTAGACCGTCGAGGGTGGATCGGCAATGTCATGAGATTTCTGGCGCCATTCTTGGAGGAGACGAGTGGCGAATTGAAAAGTGCCCATTTGGGGCTTTCCGAAAGCAAAGGTATTCAAATCCTTGCCGGTGACAGCCTTGTAGACCGCTTCTAGCGAGGTCTTGAGGGCACCCATACCGATACGTGAGTAATCATGGGAAGTCGACCAGATCAAGTCGTTATGAGAAAAGAAGCACGGCGGTCCTTCGTTGTAGACTTCCGAGCGTTTATTCAACTTTCCTTCGACTGTCATGAGGGTATCCATGATGATCTGCTGGTCGCCAGCCCAATCACGACTGTCGGCGAAAACAAACACTGCTTCAATCTGGGTGTTCTCCAGATCGACGAAGCGCGAGTTCTTGTACTCCTCTTCCGTCAACTTGCGGAAGGGGGTCGTATCTTGTTTTGTTTTGATGATATCTCCAGGCGTGATGACATTCTTGAATCCGTATTCCTCGGCCACTATGCGGCACTTCTCGCCTTCGCCGCCGACGACTAGAACGGTGTTGTATCGTTCCGCCATTTCGCGCATGGGGGTGTGGCCGCAGATGAATTGTCCAGGGTGGACATCCAATTCGAGTTGGCGACTGAGGTCGAGACACCTCTCTGCTTCAGTCTTACCGCCGCCGTTTGTGAGGAAGACGTACGGTCTAGTAGGAGCATTAGTTTATTGCTCTGCACTGAAAGGTGGTGGAATAGCAGAACTCACACTGTGACGCCCCAAGGGTTCTCGCCATTGATGTACTTCATGGCCTGGACGGCCTCTGGGATGGGCTTCCCACCTCGAAGGAGGACGCCATCGATATCGAATACGAATGCGAAGTCTGCACTCGTGACCATCGGTGGGGTCAAAGGCGTGGCAATCTGGGGAGTTTCCTCTCCGGAAGAGGTGACTTCGTCGAAAGGTTGGTTATTCATTATCAGGCGGTTATTGGAGGAAGAATTTCCGGAGCAATTCGTGGTCATTAAGTGTTTGGGAGGAACTATGACGTTGGGACCGCGGTACAGGTCGGCCCGATCGGCGTTGAGACTGGAGAGTCGGCGGACCCTCTGAGCCCCGAGTCCATCGGCAGTGGTCATCGTGAATGCGCAGAGAAACAAGGAAGTGGGCCACTTAAAGCGGGTCCGGTGTAGAGTGACGATCGGTTCAGCCGACGAGACGCGAGGCGATGCGCTGGAGATCCGGCCGGAAGCCTAACGAAACAGCTGAACAGACAATGCTCTCCACGTCGCAAGTGAAGATGGCTTGAGCAAGCCGACCATCTATTCTGGTGGCTGACGTGCAGACTGCCGCAGGAATTCAAACAGATGCAAATCGTGTCGAAAGCCAGTTAGGCGGACATGCACGTGGGGGGAGGCAGGCCATTAATATAGCATCCTGAGGCCCATCTGCGCGCTTCGCAGAGGCTCGTGCCGCTCTGGCTGTATCAAAGGGACCCACCGTACGTGTTCAGACACAGCGTCATCATCCTGATCGCTCATCCTCTACGGAGAAGCGCGAGTGAGCCCTTGCGGACCCACACTTACCAGCGTGCCCTTGGCGCAACGGAAACGACGCAAGCGTTTCGATTTCACGGAGTGGAGTCCGCTGGCCAGCGCTAAAGTTCCAACTGGGATAATGATGGCGATGGTGTAACCATTTCGAAATGGACTATCTGAGGGTAGGTGGTGCTACTGTGCTATCTCTCGCCGTATAGTCCTCAGGCTGTCCGCCCATACAAATCTATACAGGCTCGAGATAAGCAACATCTGGATCTTGCCAACCCCTCTCGCCTCCCTCTCGCCTCCCTCTCGCTGGCTATGCCGTACAAAGTATCCCGAGCATGTCTTGTTTGGAGCAATCCAATCAAGGAACGTCACCGTGGGGCCGGCCAGCCGTTTGACGTCATGGAGTAACGGTGGCTTAGCGAACAGCCTCAGGAACCACAGCCTGGCCAATCGCAACTAATCGGTTCACTAATGAGGCAACTCTATTTTTCAGAAAGGGAACCACGGGAGCCAGCGCCGCATTGAGGACACGACCGTATTCGCGGCGGCAGCTGAATGGCTGGCGGCGTCTGGGACGGAACGGTAGGGCTCGAAGCGGCACGTGGCGTCGCCAGCATACCACATTGTGAGAACGCTACGCTGAAGGCACGACCTGGTTCGGGAATGCAAGGCGCCATTTGAGAAATGAACAAAATGGACGGATTCGCCTTCAGCTCTGTCAAGTTCACAAGTGTCAAGTGTACCTTCAGATAAGGTCGTAGTCTATACAATGCCGGCACGAAGTGGACCCGGTAGCTTCAATCCACTACTGCCCCGCAAAGATCTGCTTCTAGCCCAACGTCTGAACATAATTCTAGATCCTTCATCGACCGTGAGTTACAAAATGCTACAGAAGAAAGGCTTATAGATATCTAAGCCTAAGGCCTGTTCGGTGGAAAATATACGAGTTCAATACGGAATACAACGGAGTCGAACAATGTACATGATGCATTCAGTAAAGTCGAAGTCGAGACGTTGTATAGCACTCGCACTACTTATTATGAGTGCACATCCGTCAACCAATGTAATATAATGCCTAGCATACTTTGACCCTACAAACGATTTTCTAAAACATAATAAATTTGTACAGTAATACATCAATTTTAGTATACAAGAACAAAATGAAGATAATATGACAAGATTGATATCAAAAGCGCCTCAATCAACCCTCAAAATCAAATCTGCTCCCCTCTTTGACGGCATAAGTTTCCTTCCAGTCGGCGACCCTCTTTCCGGCATATCCTGAGGCCGCTTCTTTGGGCTCGACGGGTAATGCACCACCCCAGGAGATCTCTCGGAGGGATACGGCAACTCAGAGAAGGTGGCCACAAGGGGAGCTCTCGCCCTCCCTCGCTCAAGCCACAGATCATCTGGGCCCCACGGTGCACTCCCTTCACTCGGTGGACGAGGATGAGGGCATCTCCGAACATCGACACGTTTAATATCATCACCGCGGACGATTCGTGGCCGAGAAACTATCTCTGCAGGAGGCGCAAGGCTTCCAAGCACTGGGGTTTGTTTTGGCGTCAAAGGATCTGGTCGACCGGGTGTTGTGAGGAGGGTATTTGTAGTCGTGTCTTGGGAGCAGTCAGAGCTATAGTTCGGGCCGCTGCTGCTGTTTGAGGTATATGAGGTTCGTCGATTGCTGCGTTGGTTGAAATAAGGTCCTAGAGTTCGGCCCAAGGTTCCGGGCTGTATACCCGCAGGGTATTGAGAATGAGCTGTTTGTTGAGGGCCTGGAGGGGCACGGCGGAATCTGTCTGCGGGAAACCCGTCTTTCAGAGCTCGTGGGTTTGCGGGTAGACCTGCTAACTTGCTTTGTGGTCCTGCTATTTGGGCCATGTTTGGTCTGCGGTCTGCCGGCCCGGCCAGTGCTGCCGGTGCTGTCGTCGTTGCCGTCTGGTTTTCTTCTTCCTCTTCAAATAGAGTCTCTCCACTGACCGGCCTATGACTCAACCTGAGGGGCTTGGGGTAAAGACCCTCCCCATAGTTGGGCATCATCTCCTGCAATGGGTTGTGCGATGTTTGGGACCGAGCCGAATCTGCCCAGCCCGAAGCAGAGCTGATGGCGAATCCTATACGCTCTGGCTTTTGATATACTCCTCGAGACTCGGAGTATGCATTTGAAAAGGCACCAAGTGGAGGCAGGGAACGGGATCCTGGTTGAAGGCTTCGCTGAGGCTCTGATAATTCCGGCTGTTTTCTGGCCGAGGAAAACGTCGAAGGACCTGGCTCTGGATCCGGCGTGGGCTGTCGTGAAGATTTCTCGGAAAATCCTGGAGGCTCGGACATGTTCCCACCGATTTCGAAAAAGTCTGATCCCGGCTCAGAAGAGGCGCGTCTCTGTTGTTTCCACCTCTTGCAGCAGAAGAATACGGCAACGCCGATTATGAAGGACCCAGCCACGCCGGACACGACTGAGACACCAATGACTGTGCCTGCACTAACACCATGATGGTCATTCTCCTTATTTGTTTCCGACGTAGTATTATTCGATGCAGACGAGGTGTGGATAGGTGTTGAGGTAGAGCGTTCGGAGCTTGTGGTCTCCGATATCGAGTGAAACTCGGATGTTGATGTTGACGTTGATGTTGACGTTGATGTTGACGCTGTTTGATGAGAAGTAGCTATTCCGGGAATTTCGCTCGAAGTAGTTGAAGCGGGCATATCGGCGGAGGTTTGTGTCGTGGAATGTGATGTCGTAGAATCGGTGCTTGTGGTAGTCTGTGTCTTCGTGGTTGTCTTTTTTCCAAACGTCGTCGCAGTGATCGTGGCATGAGTTTCCAAGACGGCACCAGACACCGAGTCGCAGATTCGATAGACGTTCGTGTTCGTCTTAGTATTGTCGTCACACAAAGCATACGTACAGCTCAAGGCTGCCTCTCCCAATGTCAACCCGCTGGAGGTCCTTGTGCGACACAAGCATTTGATATTTGCCGTGGTCTCGCATTCCTCCTGTGTATATTGTGTTTCGATGAAGTTGTTCACGCAAGTCTGGGCACAGTCTGGGATCATGTTCCATAGTGACGAGCCATCGCTCGTATCTGAGCTGCTGGCCGAGCAAAAGGCGACTGACAGTAGGGCAGCCGGAAGTATCCTGAAGACCGAATAGAGAAGCATACTGTGGTAGCTCTATCGCTGTGAGTGGTGGCTCTGTTGGAGTGGTGCTTTGCGCTGCTGAACTCACCTCTCATGATACTATTCGGGAATCACTACCCTTGAATCCATGTATACCTTGAGGTTATCATCCTCGGTTGATGTGTTTGTGTACTCCTCTCGAAGCGATGGCAGTGTCCTCGGAGTTTGTCTCGAGAGCAGACAAAAGACAAAAGAGCAAGATAAGAAAAAGCCACTCGACTCCCCCCCGGAGGACCAGGGCTTGATTAAACACCAAATACTCGCACATCGCGAATTTACGCGCGAGGGCAACGTCCTCTCGCTATGACGCTGACCCGCTGCCCGATGGACCAAGCAGATCAGGCTCAACCCAAGTCTGAAACGTGGTCGTGGCGGCGGTGCACATAGGCGCCCTGATGAAACGAGATGGCTTCACCCGATGGCATTCTGGAGGTTCTGGTGAATTGTGGAGAAGGTAGAGCGTCCTATCCCTGGGTGCTGGTTGGTGGTGCAGCTGTAGGCGCCGAGGCTACGCGCCGGGATACGGAGGGCGCTTCGAGAGCAACGTGAATGAGCCAACGCGCTGGGTGATGTTTCATCGTTTTTAAACGCGGCTGATCGCCTGATCACGTTTTGCAAATCATGTTTGGGGCTGGGAAAAGAAGTTGTCGGCGACGGATCATGTGAGCTTCAGCGCTCTGGTCGCGAATCAAGCTTCTGGAAGGCGACGAAGCCTCGCTGTCATGAATACGTTTTGGGTCATGCATGGATGTTCATAGCCACTGGTTTGTAGGCTTTGCGATCTGCTCGCCCCTGTTCGTGCTAGTGCTGTAATTGCTGTGTAGTAAGATGCTGAGTAGTGTCAGTTGATTCGCCGGGATGGTTGTAGATCCCCGCTGCTGCCCGCCTCATCCGATAGAATCAGCCACTTCACATCGCCAGCGCATACAGGAGTACCCTTTAAGGCACATTCGTACATAGGGTACCTGGTCCACAATAAGAAGATCCGGAGATCGCATTTCTGGCTACAAAATGTCTACAAGTCGAGAAAAGATGGATTTCAAATAATTGGCATTCCCATCGTAAAACTCACTATCTGGGGGCAGAGCGCAGAACAAGCCCGAAGGTGCATAGACTATGAGGAGGTATCATTTCAAAGAAAGCCAGCCATAAACCAGGAGATCCGAGCAGCGCGCATAATAAAGGGGGAAAAGGTATCTGACGATGTGTACATAACATCGCCCACATTAAGGGGATTATGGACTTCGACTTCGACGCCAAGTAGTGGGGGGAAAAGCATGAGGCTAGTCGAATCCGGGCCTCTGCGGAACCACGCTGGCACCGGCACTCAACACATCCGCTCCGCTACCACAGTGAAAACAAGACGAAATTGGGAATCACATGATAAGGATCGTCATTTTCAGTCGAGAGGTCGGTTGCAGAGGAATTGTCAGACGCACGGTAGCATGGAGGATGCACAATTGGCTCTAGTATTTGAAAATGATGTAGCTGTGGGAGGTGGGTTAGTGGATGTTATCCTGGTGGGCAGACGCAAGATCCTTAGAGAGAGACCCAGGTGGGATACATACAGAGCGTGGATGATACCAGGCAACCAACCCAGAATGGTCAGGCAGATGTTGATGAGCAGATCAGCACCACATCCGCGCTCCAGGAAGACACCCAGAGGGGGCAGGATGATGGCAAAAATGATCTTGCAGATGTCGCTGTAGGATGGGGATCAGCGACCACGCCCGGATTTGCACTGCGACAGGGCCCGCCCGTCCGATCCTCGAGCTTGGCTGGCTCCGAGGGAGAGCGCGGCGAGGACGAGGTCGTCGGGTCCTGCGTGAGAACAGATGCTATCGAAGGGGAATACTCACGAAGCAGTGAAAGGCATGATGGCGAGTGATTTGGAATCGTGGAGGGAGATTCGGGGTTAAGGGGAGAAGTTGCGGAAAGCAAAGCACGGAGACCGGTATTTTAAAAGGCTGGGAAGGAGCTCCCGTTGCATTGCGTCATGGTCCGCCACTTGTGGCTTGGTAGGGCCAGCGGGTTTTGGCAGGCCCTGATTGGGCATACTTTGTGGCTGTGAGTTGAGTCATCACGGGGATGTGCCTGCCGCCAAAAGGCAAGTACTTGCCCTGCTAATTACGATAGGCGCTGGGTTCCTGGTTCTTGTCGCAGTGGCAGAGCGTAGCTCGTCTCCTCGTCCATGTACAAAGGCCCCGGTTGATCACTGCAGGATCTGCTGCATACCTGCTGCAGTCTCCCCCCAATCCCCAATCACACCCGGTCTCGGCCCTGCATCTCCATTCCCAGCCGCCCTATCCCAAACGCCCGTTTCCTCGCTGCCTGGGAAAGAAGCTTGGCGCTGAGGAGGCTGGGCAACTTTGTTCATCTGCCCTAAGCTACGCGCATGCAGCCCAATCCGACCGCAGTCTGATGATACTGTCAGGAGAGGTACGGATACCTCCAGTGACTCCTGCTACGTTGATGCCGTCGTCACTGTGGCGCCTGTCCAACGACCAGCCCTACACGCCCTACAACCCTTGTTCCCCCCACCTGCCAAGGCGATGCCTCATCCTTGTGGTGCCATTGGCGTGCCATTGGCCATGCATGACTTCACTCATCGCTTTGCCGGTTCGAGGATGGTGCTCATGCGATAGTGGCTGTGGCTGAAATTTAATTATGGAAGAGCAGGTTCTTGTGCTTCTGTACTCTGTACTTTCTACTGCGTATCGGGCCATGACGCAGCTCGATTCGGGTCTAGAGAATCTCGATCTCGGCTTCGGGCCAGTTACTGGTTTGGGGGCGGACGCAGTCGACTAGGCAGCCAGCCCTGTCAACTTTCAATTTTGCTTTGTTCTAGAATTAGAAACTGAACTAAAAATTCTAGTACACATCCAGCTGAGGGTTGAAATCCACATCTTCCAGCAAGGAGCTCCACTGTGGAACATCCAGCTCTGGCGCAACGGCGACAAACTCCGACCAGAGCTGCTCCCAGCCTTCTTGGTCTATATCGTTGACCGTGCCTAGGTCGAAGCCACTGTTGGCAGCCACCGTGGAAGACGGCTGAGCAGCAAGATCGTGAGTTGTCAACTCACCAGGTCGGTAGGAGGCTTGGCTGGGTTCGGTAAAAGCATCGCCTCGCGCGGCGCCAGGATCCCTCACAGGAACCTGTGACCGACTTTTGTGCAGCGTTGACATGAGTGTCTGCAAATTCTTTTGAATGCCTTCCATCAGATTACTCGAGTCCTGCTTGGACTTTTCCAGTGTTTGATAGGCGGCAAGCACCTTTGCTTTGCGAGCCTCGGCATCGGGTGCTTGAGGATTGAACGATACATCCATGGCCAGGATCAAGGCTGCAAAGAAGACGTGATGCATCACCGTCCAGAACCGTCCGGGATTGAGTTCAACCTCAGCAGAGATCTCGTCCATGGAACGTCGTAATTCCAAGACCTTCTGTGCGGACTGGATACAGACTTTGTGGGAATATGCATATTTCGGGTTCGTCGCGCCTTCAAGATGATACTGTCGGTGGAGTCGACAAAGGCGAGTATGAAGGCTGAAGTGGACAGAGACTCTTTGCCAGGCAATATAGGGTCGCTCTTTGCATATTTGTCGGCTTTGCTCAATGCTGGCAGGATCAAGCTTGAAGAAGAAAGGAAGGTTGTCCATGTATGTCTGGTACTTGGCATCCAGCTCTAGAATGACGCTGTAATCTGCGTACTGGGAGTCCAGCAAGATCGACGGTAGGGCATCGATCACTTCACGACAGAGTTCAGAACCCTGTACTCGAGCAATGAAGGCTGACATGGACGTGGGAACGGATAGTGGGTATGCCTGCTGAACCCCCGATGTCGTGATCATTTCATCGTCTGTATTGCTGGGTAGATTGACATTCATATGTTTTGGCTGGAAAGTGTATGCACCTTCCTGGGGGCCACCGGAGAACGAAAGAAGCCTGCCATCGTGAGTATGGTTCAATGCACCCCCAATTCAAGGGGATGACTTACCAGTCAGATGCCACCATGTTCCACCACGCGCGCCTTTGGACTTCAACATCTATCATGTCGCAGCCCTTGATTCTTCTTTCTTCGCGAGATTGAGCAGTGTCTAACCGATGGATTTGCATATCCCGAGACATCAAAAGACAGCGATGGCGAAGAAGATGGACCTTGATGGGAAAGCCATCAGTGTTCATGAGCAAATGACCCAGTGTGCCAATAGCTACCAGAGCTGTAGTTGACGGTTGGATGAGCTGATCTGGATGTTCTAATATGGCAAGTGCAGTGCGGACGTATGCCATGAAAGCTGCCTTAGCCCCGGCCTTCGTGGTGTTCAGATCTTCTAGAACCCGTGGTGTCCAAACGAGCGCTGCGCCAGCAAAAATTGCAAACATCAACATTAGATCCGCTACGTGGGGCTCTTCGCCCTCGAGCATGCACTTGTAGGTCTTTTCCATAAGATTGCGAGCAGTCGGTATATGAAGGACTCCAAAGGTTGGCTGCAATGTATTTGCGAAATGGTTGAATAGCTCCCTCGCCTGACGCAAAGGCGGGAGACATCTGGTTATATCTATCACTCTGAGAACATGTTCTTTGCTATGATTTGAGAGTATATGGGCACCGAAAGGAGTGACGAAATTAGAGCCAAAATCCTAGCAGGACCTGCATTAGCAAATATACAATGAGCAGTGGTGATTACAGACTGACAAACAAACTCACTGCAGTTTCTATGGCTTTGTAGTTGACAGATGACTCCTGAGGAGTGTAAGACCTTGCAGATAATGCTTCTTCAAGTCTTCGTACTCGATACATAAGCTCATCTGAGCTACTTCAAACGGGTGTTAGCAAGTAGCACCTGGTGGCCTTGGGAAGATCGTGATCAGAAGACGTACCTAAGACCTAGCTCCGATTGGTTTGTCGGATGCGCCTCAAGGGACTCACTGGGCCCATTATGGGTGGATCCATGCAATGAATCTGATGTACCTGCAGCTTCCGGACTAGACCCGGAATATTCGCACGGAATGCGTCTCTGCAGACAATTGGAGCATGGTTGGGCACGATCGCATCGACGTTTCTTCTCGCGACAGGCGAGACATGATAGAGGTGGCCGGGTCCACCGACCAGCCAACGAAATTATATCGCCTCTGTTGTTCCGTTTCATCTTAACTTGTGGTGGTGGTGGATTGTAGAAACCATGGACGTGTTGAGCTCCGCGGACATCCGCGGGGCCTTGCATTATATAGATCTGCGGGAGCTCGAAGACTTACAGTGCTTGATAATATTATTGAGCTCTGAAATTCAAGCCTGCAGTGATCCGCTTTGCAGTTCCACGAATAACGAGCCATTCAGAAATGATGGCAGACATAAATGAAGCATTGTCGTCCGCGGGGTTAGCGGAGGTCCGCGGATAGACTTACCGTATACGGTTAGTGGATATCGTAATACAGTACAGACCCTGCAGGCCGTCTCCCGCGTTGGCTCGACATTGTGTATACGGTATTACCAGATAAATTTATCCAGCCAATTTCGCGGCAGTCGTTCTCCGCAGCTTCATGCGCTTACTTCGAACTCTAACGGCCATGTGCTACTACCTGTGATCAAGGTAGCATGCTGTGATCTCGATGTACTCCCTTTTAACCCTCCAGCCGGCGCTGCCGCGCTTAGCGCGCAGCTCGCGCCGAGTCCAGCGAAGCTCAATCTGCGCAAACCGCAGCATTGCTACGAAGAGCTCCGGCGACGCGCCTTTCGCATACACATGGCTCGCAAAGAGGCCATACAACATTGTAAGATATGAATACTATCAGCTCATCAATATCTACTAAACATCGGGACAAGAACCCAGATGATGTCGTTTCGAGCCTTCCTTCATCACCTCTCGCGAAAGATACCATCCCTCTCCTCCTCGTCACCCCCGGATTTGCTCACTGGCTCGCTCCGACCGATGTGTTCCTCGGAAATCTCCTGAACCGTTTATATAGCGGCTCCGATTCAATCTATGCTGTCGCAGCTGTCGTCGACAAGCTCCCAAATAGCAATGTATTGGCATTCAAATCACCATCGTCGGAACGCGACGGCGCCTCTTTCGAAGATTCAGAGTCGGAGGGTCTGTCTCTGTTGGCTGTACCAGAACTCAATGTCCAAGGAAAAGCTGCACCGCCCCGTCGCATCGGGGGCCCTGCTGCGGAACAGCCAGACATCGGGGTCTCGGTAGACGCAGCTGATTTGACTACCTATCAGATTGGCCTACGACTTGCTCAGACCATCTTTGTCAATGGCAAAGAATCAACGCTCTTTGGCATGCGCTGGACCAGGGATAACGGAAATGCGTCTAGTGATGCACTCGTCCTGAATAATTCAGTGGATCTCATTAACTGCATCGTCAAAACCTCGTCACCCACCACCGATATCCAATCCTCATTAACATTACCACTACATCCTGTCGGCCAACGACGAAAGGTTATCTCGAGCATGGGAAATATTCTACGAGAAGTATCTAAATCGACGGACCCGGCTTCGGTCGCGCCAATGCCCGCCTCTACCGAGCTGGAGAAGGAACTCCCTCGCTATATTGCCGAAAATAATATTGTTGACCAACGTGTCTCTGTGTGGGCACTCGTTGAGAAGCCTGGCACGACCATCTCATGCTCGCAGGATGGGGTGCTAGAGTCCGTGTTGAATGGCGGAAGATTACATCGCGTCATGAGCGGCGGAGGTGGATGGGGAAAGAAACAGGGTCTTCTCTCCCTAGACCCTGAGATCGGGTTCCCTGGAACTGCGGGTCAGGTTGAACTCGACCATTTGGATGATCTATTCAGTCCGAACACTAGCAAGATGTCAGACTTGCCGCCACTTTTCAACGAAATGGTTGGGGATGATCTCTCTATGCTGTCGCAGGTTGCAGCAGAAGGCGATTTCATTCAATTCTATGTTTCGACTGACCCAATTGCTGCTGAACACGATGCTTCAGAGAAAAAAAGTGCACACGAAGAAGCAATCTCTTACTGCTTTGGGGTTGTGTCTAATGCCGAAGAAGCCCACGGACAGGATGTGAACGCCGGGAGAGAGGATATCGTCGTTCTTCCAAATGCTTTCGGTGCACTCTCTGAGAAGGCGATAACATATTCTCAGTTCCTTCCTAAGTCGGAAAACCAAGATCAAGAGGCAGTGGAATGGGCATGCCACCCTAGCACGAAGCTTGATATACCAGGATGTCGAGTGGAGCTTGGCCCGTCAACGGAATCCGCCTAGTCATGTAGAAACCCAAACCGCCTGTATAATGATATTTTATCATCAAGATTCATGGAACAAAGTACACTGTTCAACAAGACTTCAATTGCGCAAAAGGCCTCAGAGTGAGCTGTCGGTCTAAAATCGAAACATGGGATGGCAGAGGTGATGTATAGAGCGGGTGGACCCCAGTCGTGCCAAGACCACGTGACCACGACACTTGCGTGTGTGGCCTCTGACCTCGTAGCACTCGCCATCCTCCCCGATCACCGCAACCTCCTCCCTCACGGCTTGAGCCTGCACCTACCGGGTCTCCTACCATCAATTTAAGGCACCAAGCTATCGTTGAGAATCTTGCTGGGCTGTTGAAACTATCAAAATGGCCACTGAACTCTGGTAAGTTGCCCTTAAGCCGCCTTCGGCCCCCTGGGTGCTTGACAGCTATCGAATCCCCATCCGCCATCACACCTACCACAGGATCCCTCAGCTTTAATGAACGATAACTAACCTAAAATTCTACATAGCCCCGTCTATGCGGTATGTCTAGCTCCCTCGATCGCCATCCCCTGGTTGAACCGTCTACCACCTCGTGTCCCAGCCGTCCCCTCCACATCATGGATCGCATCCAACCGCACTTGTTCCCAATCGGATTACTGATACTTGCTTTCTAGCCCTTCTTCGGTGCGCTGGGCTGCACGTCCGCCATCGTCTTCACCTGCTTCGGTGCTGCCTATGGTACCGCCAAGGCTGGTGTCGGTGTTTGCAGCATGGCTGTCCTCCGGCCCGACCTGATTGTTAAAAGTATGTGGAATTCCCCAAACATTCGCATCGCCACCAAGAGTACTTTCATTCAACTCGACGGTCAGTTTGCTGACTGTTGATTTACAGACATTGTCCCCATTGTCATGGCTGGTATCATTGGTATCTACGGGCTGGTCGTGTCGGTCCTTGTCGCCAACGACCTGACCCAGAAGCTCCCTCTGTACACTGGATTTATCCAACTGGGTGCTGGTCTTGCTGTCGGTCTGGCTGGTCTGGCTGCTGGGTATGTCCATGTTCTTCTATCTCTCTGACGGACCGATTCGGTTGTTCCATCGCTAACCAAGACATCTTTTTACAGTTTTGCTATTGGTATTGTTGGTGATGCTGGTGTCCGAGGAACTGCTCAGCAACCCCGTCTCTACGTCGGAATGATTCTGATTCTCATTTTCGCTGAAGTCTTGGGTAAGTGTTGTGATTCCGCGCATATTCTCGTCAGATCCCGATCTAATGAATTATACTCTCCAGGTCTTTACGGCTTGATTGTCGCTCTGCTCATGAACTCCCGCTCGAAAGGAGCCCTCTGCTAAACGAGAAACATCTCGTTGCACTCGGAAACCGGACCCTGAACCTATCTACCGTTTAGGATATGGGTTGACATATACCTTTTTTTTCCGGTGTGCTTATTTCCGACCCTTCGGACCTGACATAATGTCGCCCTTGTTCAGCATCTTGCCGGGAAAGGGGGACGGGTGATGCAGGAATGGAAAAGATTTTCGGCTATGGTAAATTCATTTTGACTTGTGAAAGGGATTGCTTCTCTTTTTGATCACTTGTGGTATGTAGAGAGTCGGGCATTTGAACCCGGGATGGGTGGAATGAGTGGGTAGATATTGACTGCTTTACATTTGCATGAATGCGCGCTGGATACTGTACTTTATTGTTTATGGGGTCTTGCTGATCTGGTATCGGATCCTCTCCCTTTTCTGCGGGTGGCGATTGTGAGATTTCCCACTCGTCCTCACATGTTTGAGTTGTACCCTTTTTGGACCTCTCGGTTTGGCTCTTTCATGTGTCTTTACTTTTGGTTTGTCGGGTTCTTTTGTACTCGGTATGATATAACAATCCCGATTTTGTGCATTATGTCGATTGCTATAATCCATCGTTGTAAAAGACAATTGTTTCGAGTGCAGTAAGCACCTCTACGGTCAACCACTTGGAGTGCTGTTTTTACTCCAACTCAGCCATATGATTAGAAAATACGAAATGAACTAACGTAATTCACAAGCGAGTCGATCACACAAGCGAGTCGATCAGCCAACTACGGTCATAATTTTGATTTGCATATATTACCACCACAACGCAATTAAATTAATAGCTACTGCTTCGGACATCTATTTATCTTATGCCCTATCACTCCACATCCACTGCATCTTGGTGGAGCCCGAGTTCGTTGCGTACTGGCCTGATTTGCGATCTCCACGGAGGTTGTAGCTTCGGCTTCAGCTGGGTGTTGGCTGGCCTGTATCAACGCACGCGCCTCTGTAGCACCTAATGCTGTATCATGAGCTATTTGACGAGTGGATCTTGATCGCTTTTGCTTTTTCTTTGTATTTGCAGCACGTAAGGCCCGGTTTTCTTCGGCTAAAAGCACTGCGCTATGCATAGCCATATGGCAGCCCTTAATCAGTTGATCAATGGCCGCTTTGGTGGGGGTAGGAGGGCTTTGAGATCGATATTTAAGTAGTGCCTTAACCGAAGATGCCTGCCGATGTAGCTGCTTAGAGTTGTGTGGTGTTATAGGCATAAAATCGGCTGAACTGTTGCTTCCACGACTTCGGGGTGGTGTTGGAGTTTTTAGCCGAATATTGATCTTCGAAAGGACTTGAGTACGATCAAATGGCACTAATCCTGTTGCTTTGAAGCCACTTTGTATAGTGGTATCTTTAAATGCTCGTAGACGGGCCTCAGGATATGCCGAAAGGAAGTCAAGCTTGTCGATATGGTTGATGCCATTCCGAGTTAGGCTTTCGACAAGCTCACCATATGCACGCTTTAGGGGGGCAAAGCAAGCCACGTCAAGTGGCTGGAGTAAATGCGAAGAATGCGCTGGCATGCAAATTGGTATAATATCGTGTTCCGTGCAGATTTGATCGAATTGAGCCGTTAAATGACTGCCGTGTCCATCAAGGACTAGTAGTCGATATTTGCCCTTCGAGCGGCCTTTAGTGTATGGAATAAAGTGATTCTTAAGCCAGTTAAGGCCAATATCGTCAGTAGTCCATCCATTTGCGCTTTTGTCGATTTTCCAGCCATCCGGAAGGTCATCAAACCACGATTCGATGAAGACTTTGCCCTTAAAGATGATATACGGTGGAAGGTGCCAACCAGCGGCGTTGATTGATTCCACAGCAGTCACCCACTCACGATTCCCAGGTTGTAGCATCGATCGTTTCCCATAATATTCGGCACGAGTGATCACTTTAGCGGTCGCAGTTAGGCCCATTGCGAAGCCAGTCTCATCAAAATTGAAGATATCCTCGTTGGCGATGCCGTACTTGGCTATAACTCGCTGTACAGAGTCGAACCACTCGCCAATGACAGCTGGGTCTTCGCATTGTGCCCTTTGGTAGTCGTATCGACGACTAAAGCGACTCGCGATCGTGTCTGCATGACGTTTGATGAAGTTTGGGACCCAATTAATGCCAACGGTCGGAGGAGGTGTAGGTCCACGGCTTGCGAGTAGTAAGTTGGCCATATCTTTAGCCAGGCTTGGCCGGGGAGGATTTCCACGTAGATCCATAGATAGTATCCATTCAATAAGCGATTCTTCTTCGAACTGGGTCAATTTATGACCATTTGCGCGTGATTCTTGTCGGTATTGCTGACCGCGAAGCCGGCTATATAACGTGCCAAAGGGCACATCAAAACGGCGCGTAGCTTCACGAATAGAAGAGACTTCATGGTTTTTGATGGCTTTAAGAGCTAAGAGGATCCTACCTTCCTGCTCGACACGTTTTTGGGCATTTTGAGAGCGAATTGGTGGCATAGTGGGTGGTTGAAGGTAGTGGAAGATTAAATGGGGGACGCGACCGCGTTGGCTGATCGACTCGCTTGTGTGATCGACTCGCTTGTGGATTACGTTACTAGAAGCTTAGGAAATGTTGCTCTTTTCAAAATGTCTTCATTGCCCTAGCCCGTCTTACTACCAGTAGATAACGCCAGCGATAAACCCAGTGGAACGGAAAATCACCGTTCAACAGAGATCAAAAAGACAGAATCTATTGGGTAACTCGCGATGCATGGAGGCTAATAATGCCACATAGGAAAGCAGCCATTGCACACAAAAAAATCCGAGCCAGTAACCGGGAGAGAGAGAGATGTCGATGATTGGATATTTAGGTAAGAGTATGTGGAGTGAAAGGGGGAAAGAGAATTGAACGAGATGAGGACACGAAAAAAAGACGCAATGTACGGAAGCAAGAGAAAGGAGGATAGATGCCCCGGGAAAAATCAGATAGCATGAACCCTCAACCAAGAGATGCGAGACGCAGACCGAATATGCATCGGCGATGCCGAACAGAATGGAATATGAAATCAGACGAAGTAAATCGGACGAAGTGCGATCTATGCCTTGTCAAGTTTCCGTCTAAGAGTGCGTGTCCGTCGCATCAGCTTCTTGAACTTGTGCTTTTTCATCTTGACCTTGCGCCGTCTCTTGGTGCTGATAGCGTGCATAGAACGGTTGTGGCGAAGGCGCTCGACATAGGTCATGCCAGAGGTACCGCTGGGAGCATCAATGGTGACGCCCTCCTGTTCACCAGCAGGAGTCTCCATGTCGCGGACGAAGGGACCAGTCGAGGCCTCGTAGGTCTTGCGACCGTCGGCGTGGCGAGACTCGCGGATAGTGAGAACGGTCGAGTATGTCGAGAATTCCTCCTGGTTCTCGGCCTCGGCGGCTTCCATGGCTTCGGAGTTGGCGTTCATGTCCATCGGGACTGGGGGAGGAGGAGGGTGGAACGGACGAAGGCGACGAGTGTACTCCTCCACAGTCATCTTGGCCTCGGGGCCATCGAGCATGCGGAGCTCACCGTCGGCATCACTTGCGAAGCTGCGCTGGAGCTGGCCGAACTGATCTTCACCCTCCATGCCGTGAGCCATGTTCTCCATGGACTGAGCGGTGTTGGAAAGAGTGAGAATGACATCTTCCGGCTGGTTCTTCATAAACTTCTTTGAGGAAAAGAGCGCATCGAAAGCTTCTGCGGACGAGGTCGGGGGAACCGTGGTTGTGACCGAGATCGGACGGTGGATGGAGAAGAACGAGGCAACATGGACGTCTATGAAGCAGGAAGGGATATATGAGCATTTGAGCTTGGTGGAATGCAAAGCTTGCCTAAAAACTCACCATGTGGTTGTCTGTGCTGTGTCGAGGGGACGCTCGGGAGATTCGAGAATGCCGCATGCTGCTGGTTGTTGCGAGCGCCGTTCTCCTTTCCACGGCGGCGGGCCGCCTTGCTCTTCTCACCAGATGAGTTCACGCTCTTGGCGGGAGTCGAGGTATCCATGCGACGAGAGCCATCGCTAGGCGGGACCGGGGGTTTGGATGAAGAGGAGGAAGAGTACCGGCGCTGGTGCAGTTTGCGGGTGACACCGACGAGGCCGGTCGAGGGCACGTTTTGGACAGGCAGGGTTATGCCGGACAGAGGCGCCCAGGCGGCCCGGCGTAACGATGTTGACAACATGGTTGACGTGGGACCCAGCAGCTGGGAAAGACAACGAAGATAAGTCTGAATCGGAGGCGAAATCGTCGGGTCGGAAGTCGGCGTCTCTGATCATGCGGGACTTATGTAATCATGTTGCCTGAGGCATCAACTGTCAATCAGTCAGCCACGTGCATAAGTGGCGATCTCGGCGGATGAACGCCTGAAACCGCGGCCTTTGACTAAGAGTTTGCTTATTCTGGTTGAGGTGATCTTTATTGATGGTCGAAGAAAAAGAAAAAGATAAAATATCATTACAGCTCTGCATATTGGCCTCGGTGTATCAATTGAAACGGAAACGGACCGGAGTAGAAAAGCGTCAAGGACAGAGCAAATCAAAAGACCGACCCATTAAGGACTCAGACCAAGATAGTTCCAGGTGAGAGATAAGAAGAGAGAACGGAGGTCCAGGGACATTGTGATAATACAGACAAATCATCACCTAAGGCACATCTGCAGAGACAAAACAAATGGTATCATCCTGCGTGGTCAAATACAAAAAGAGAAAGAAAGAAAATTGACACGGTCGCTTCGAATGGAAGCGTGGCATAAGTTGGCGAAATCGAGTGGGGCTTTTGAATGCAACGTAACGAGCCCAAGAGCGGGCAAAGAGCCAACGAGTCCTCTATCAAGACGCCTCATAAGAGAAAGAATTGAAAAAGAAAAAGTATGGTATGGTATGGCAAAATTGCGGGGAACAGAAAGAAACGGAGCCGCCTAAGAATGCAACACAAGAAAGGTAGGCTAGAAAGCTCGACTGGAAAATGGAAATAAATCGACTTCGTGGCAGGCAATGGCGTTCATCATAACGGCCGCCGAGGTTGTGGAATCTGGGGCCTTAGAGTATGAGAGTGTGGAGGTTCTTTTGAATGATCATATCTTGGACCGAGTCCATGGTGACCTTCAGGAGCTGGGTGTCGGTGGCGTTCGTTTTATGGATGTAGATTTCACGATCGGGGATGCGGTTGATACCGCGGAATCGCTCCGCGAAATACCGGTAAGCAGCCTCGAAGTCGGTATCCGGGCCTGTGTAGTCGGGGAAATGTTTGGAGATAGGGGAGATGGCGAGCTTGTCTTTGAACAGATCCATCTTGTTCAGGAAAAGAATAATGGGTTTCCGCTTGAACCATTCGCCATTGACAAGGGACTCGAACAGCATCATGGCCTCATGCATTTGGTTCTGTTGGACAACATTAGCAAATCTGTGATAAGATGCGGCGTCAAGGAATTTTTCACATACCGCGTTCTGATCCTCGACGAGACATTGGTCATAGCCAGACAGGGCCACCATGAACAATAGACACTGAACACCCTCGAAGCAATGAATCCACTTCTTCCGTTCTGACCGTTGACCACCAACATCCATCATGCGGAAGCTCATTTGCCCAAGCTCGAACAAGGTCTCTGTGATACCTGTTGTCCGGAGTCGCGCTTGCAGCATATCTTGGTTGTCGGGAAGCCACCCTGGGGCGAAAATGCGGTCCAAAGAGTCATAAAAGCTGAAAAGTGTTGTTAGCTTTTATGATACGCGAGATCCTCCCGCGGTAGCAACTTACTAGACCAGGTTGTCATGCAATGCAAACTCGTGCCCGCGAGCAACCGCTTGTTGAACACCCGAGTCCTTCCACATGCCTCGCATAGCATCGCGAACCTTTAAGTCAGAGAAAGCCTCGTCCGATCCAACATCCGCTTCTGTTTTGTCTAATAGGTCCGCCAATGGCTACCACCAAAGAGTCAGCTCACTGCACGAGGGTAGTGGAAAGAATAAACCATACCTGTGTTTTTTCGCTTTCGAAGTCAATGTTTTCGGCATTCATGATTTCCAGCAGGACCTTGAACGCAATAACAATATTCGAGTAGATGACAGCGCGAGTTTGATGGCGTTCTTCTTCCGGGAAGCCCCGGCTGTGAATGATGCGCATTTGTTTGATGATGGTTGACTTTCCAGACTCTCCGGCGCCTGTTCAATATATAGTAAGTCGGGGTTTCTTCAAGCGAGGGGGACATGACATTCGGGGCAGCCGAGCATTGCGTGCGTACCTAGCAGCAAGATCTTAATTGTGCGATCCATTGTCTTCTTGTCAGACTTGATGGTCCGCTCGATGCGGGCATTGCGCTGAAACGCCTCCTTGTCCGCCTCCGCGGGCTTGGAATTGATGCAACCCATGATTTCGAAACTCGATCGGGATATTCTAGCTAGCATGATGCTTGTCAGTGATGATTCAAGGGCAAGGATACTGCTTCCACCTGGACGCAATGACGGCGCCGAGGCAATCTGAATCAGGGATGCGACAGCACTGCGCGGTGGCAGGCGCCGATCAGAGACATCAGGACTCGGCCGGACTCGAGATACGAGGCATCGCCAGCACCCCAGGCGACTCGACGGGTATGAACGTACCCAAATCAAGAAAATGAACCTGGTCCACGTCAAATCCGAATAATACAGCGAATCACCGGGCGTACCCAAGTGTCTGGCGATCGTGGGAGCTTCGATCGGTTCTTCCCCACACCAAGAGCCTGCCGCGGCCGTCCGTTGTGAATTGCGCCGTCGGGTTTGCAATTGGGCGAGATTATCCTCCGAGGCCACCTTGGAAGCGCCGAGTCCGTAAAGTGGAAAGTGCGATGTCGGTTCGCAAGTCGAATGGAAGGGGGAAGGAAAAGGGCGAGGGAGTCCGAAGGTGGGCGAGGTGTGAGGTCGACGTGGGAGGGTCCAGGCTTTCCAACGCTGGGTCGCGGGGAGCCAAGTGAAGTCTATCGGGAAGCGTGACCGTGACCGAGAATGGGAGCACGGAGTATGGAAGGGCCTGAGGCGTGAAGACAAGCTGGCAGGGTCAGTGGCTTCCGAAAAGAACGAAAAGGCCCAGCGGAGTGGCAGGGTGCACCACGGGCGCGCAGGAGGACAAACCAAGAGGGTGGGTAAGGGGAAGAAAGAGGAAAGGGGAGGATGCCGAAGAGTAGCGTGCATTCAGCGTCGGCAGTACATCTCTGCCGTCCCACGAGAGAAGCCCACAAGCGGGGAGAGGCTGTCCGGCTAGACCGTAGTGTCGCGCGATGGGGTTTATCGTCACTCCGAGCCGCGATGCGGAGGATGCCTCAGCGCTGCACTTGCCCTAATAGCACCGCCCCAGCGTTGGACGGGGGCCGCCGACTTTTATGGATTGCGCCAACTTGGACTCTCCCCGTGTTTACAGCGTTTATACGAAAGTAACGAGAGTACTTTTGCCGGGCTTTGTGGCTCGCCATGTGCGTGCATTGCTCAGGGAGGGTGTCGTACAGTACACCAGCAGGCACGCTAAGCCGATCCACCAGGGGAATGGGGCCATCCCCCTTGAGGTTTGATTTGCCCAAATAATACAATGATGATCAGATACAGGCCAGGCTCCATACGGTACAATGCCCTCGAACGGTGGGCAGGCATTCCGCGCGCCTCGGCAAGCTTGCATCTCCTCCTACGACCTGCTGTAGTAGGTCGGTTCCCCTGATTTCCCAACACATGTCCATGACATGCATTCCTTGACCATGCCGCATCCAGCAGGTGCTGCCACGCAAGAGAAGAGTTCTCGAAATTCCGCCATGCCGTGCTGCTGCAGGGGCTGCGAGAGTGACTGATCTATCTCCGGCACTATTGAAGTCGCCTCGGGGCGTCCCTTGCGACAGGGCCAATCAGCGACGCTGGCACCTGCGAAGAATGAGATTCTTGTCCCAATCTTCTCTTCACGCAATTATTTCCCTAGGCTACCCTACGGTCCTTAGGGATCTGATGACGATAAGGGCACCCTCCTTACCTCTGTTTCTCTACACAAATCCCTCGGGGCAGCCAGTTCCCGCTGCAACCCCAGGACCCGCGCCAGGGACGGGTGGAGATGGACCGTGGTTTTCGATGGTTCTTCGCTGCGCGCCAAGCCGCCATGCGGAATGCATGAGCGATCGGCACGCTGTTGTTGAAACCGCGCGCGGCGGTATCGCCAAACGCAAGGAATTTTCTGAAACGTTGGCGGATTCCTCATGCTTAGACCACCACCAGCCCAAGTCCCCCACACAGACAGGAATCTGCTCCGGCCCAATTCTGTTTCTGGGCGATCGCCTCCTCACCCCCCAGGCCGGGTGAACTCAATTTGTTCCCCGACGATTTCAGTTCCTGGCCGATGGACATACCAGTATAATGTATGCAGTCCGTATTAGGCCGAGGCTTCCGCGGCTGAAGTGGCTGTTCGCGCGCCCTGCGGCGGTTCGCTCGCAACCAATACCACTTCGTACTGGACGTCTCCAATAATCTTCAGTCCACAGGGTCTGGGATCCGTGAGCGGAGCGACCTCCCTGTGTCTGTCGCCTCACTGGTCGACGTGTCAACAGACGGTCCCGATTATGACCCATCAAATCATAACCATCATAAAACCATGATATGATGGGTAAACCAGCAAGTTCGGCAATACGCAGGTGGAGCATGTCATGGACAGCACCTCCACACTACAAAGGCCAGCCATACCATCGCGTGCCATTTACAAGCCCGTGCTCGCGATGCGGAAATTTCTAACTCGTACACTGCGAGCTCAGACTCGGGACGAGAGCAAAAAAGGAATAAAAGAAAAAAAAAATTTGCTTCTCATCAAACGCCCCATAAATCAAGTGGATCAGCCCGCCAGCACGAAGCCGTACTGGATCGTGGAATCCGCATCTGCACCCCACAATACCACGGCGTGGTTTACACGGTGGTCCGTACGTCCCGTTGGCGAGGCTCGTGGCCACTCGTGCCGTGAAATGCAAAAGGGGGTCCTCTTCGGCTGGTCATCTCCGGTTTCATAATCTTCGGGCTGACCGTCGCGATGCACCGTCCGGTCGCTAAGGCAGGGGTGATCCTTTGCAGAAATCCGGTGGAGACAGATGTGCCTATCATACGGGATAGGTCAGGCCGGATCGAAGATGCTGCTTGAGGCCGATTGGGAGGCGAATTATCTCCGGCCACCAAGGTACGGCAGGCGCATGTGGAATTGATATTGATGGATAGGTCAGACGCGCAATTGACTGCAGAGCACATTTAATGTGATGTAATGTACTTTAGGATGTTTGTGTCTTAAGGCAAACCGTTATTGCTGAAACGTGGAACGTGGGGTCGAACCATGCGGGTGTTCAGTTTGGATATATCTCCAGACTTTAAAACAAATACGAGAATCTTCACGATTATACAGGTACAAACGAGCTTTTTTTTGACAATAATCCGTCACAAAAACAAGGAAATGAGCATCAGCAACATCGACGAGCATCGTATCCCCGTTTGCTTCGTGAGAATACTCGTTTTCGTTTCTGCCAGGGAATAAGGTGCCTTTCTTGGCAAACCCACTGGGCATCGTCCACTCTCGCCCGGTTTGATGACGAGTCGAGGTTCGTGCACTACAAGTAAACTGGCTCAAGCTCTCGGAGGCCCTCACGAAGTTCCAAAAGGTCGTGAAGGAGTCCGTCCTCCAGCGGCCAGACTGTTCTTGGAACCTCAACCCGCTTGCTGTGGGGTTTCCTTTAGATGGCCACATGGGCTTTCGCCATCCCCAACGGCGATCATCAATCCTTGACTCCGGCTCGACAGGCGCAACATGATGTGTAAAATGCACGAGACCCCGCCGAAGTTTAAACTCCAGACGGAAAAAACGCACAAGCAATTCCTCGCCAAGATGGGCGAGATCAACCCGGAAGTGACAGCCGCCACACCGCTAGACTGTAATCAAACCTTCCTGGCTCGGGTTTGCACGCGGGATCAGAGCATGGTCCAACGGGAAAACGGTCCTAAAAAAGTGGCCAGTGGGACGGGGGAAAATTAGACGTTGTCGATCCGCATTTGACAGCAGCCCACATCCTACTCTTCAGGGGGGCTCGCTGCCTAACCACTGGGACCGTTAGCCCCGGCTGTTCGGGATTTGCTCCGACGCGCCGCTGCCAAATCGGCCGTCCTGCAGAAAAAATGACTCGGCCTTTCGTGCGCTTTCTCGGAGATTTTGACACTGGCGCCCGGGGTGGCTTTCTTTCTATCTTTAGATAGGTATATTTGCGGGCCGTTGAAGCCTGGCTTGCGACAAGTGTGAGGAGGACCGAGCCCTGAGGATGGGCTCTGTCTTGAAGAGAAGCTCTGTGCACTATCGCTAATGCTATTTTCATTGTGCTCCACCCCCGACTTGTTGGAAGCCTTAGGTCGTGGGCCATGATAGCATGCTACTAGCAAGATACAGCTCCTGGAAAGAGGATAATCTGGATGCGTCAAGTGTTTTGGTAACCAGAGTTTCTTAGGCTACTTCTTAGCACAGTCCATGGTGAGAAGGTCCTATTCAACCTGCAGCCTTTATCTTCCGGGGTTTTCCTTGCCCTAGGCGGCTGCATACAATCCCAATCAGTCTCTTGCTCTTCCACTTTTTCGGAATGGACAAAGTGCTAGCGAGTCTTGGGTCATAGAACTCCTCAGGGCTTCAGCTCAGGCATCTTTGAGTTTTCTCTGTCGAACTTGATCGAATTCTTATAAGTTGTTTCCCTTTTGAATATCCATAGCTCAGCAAAAATCACATGCTGTGGAAATTGGGCATGGGATAACAAAGCCGCCGGCTATCTGCACTTTCCAATCACACCTCGTACAAGAGGTGTCGGGTGCCTCGGGTGAACACTGAATATTCAGCAGTCCCTGTGGGTGATTTCTGAGCAGGCACTAGACTACAGAGTCGCACGTCTTTCTATCTTGCTCATAACTTCAGGTTTCCCATCCTGCCCAAGCCAGCCAGCTGATCTACTACCCTCAGCACCTTCATCTATCATCCATGTTTTAAACACCACCTAGGGTAGCTTCTGAGCCTATCATCATCCCTCACAGAGCTCACATTCCTCAGAGTCCTGTCCGTCTCCTGACAACCGAACCGCATTTTCTCTTGTTTTTCACTTCACCCCTATCCTCTCTGATTTTCAACTTCTTTCCGAGCTTTCCGATCCTATCCTATCATCTCAGTGCAGATGGATCCGACATTTGCCCACCTAGTTCAATGGCTTCATCAAGAGATCAGAACATGTCTTTCATTGAAAAAAGTCGAGGCGTCCATGCAAATAACCGGAGAGACTATCCCTTTCCCATGCAGATCCTGCAGTCAAACCCTCGGGAGGGCATGTGGAATCAGAGTGCGAACATTCGTGGATATCCTGATGAGATGCCAGACCAGATAGACCCGGACAGTAAAGAATACAAGATCTGGACCACTCTGCTGAATAGACTGCAAGGGACCGAAGCGTTTCAATCGTCCACACATCATCAGACACGGAATACGCGCTACCATCCCTGCTTTGTCTACACCGCACTACAATCACGATTGCTTTACGTTTTCGTGAGCGACGGGAGCCAGATGACCATCGACCTTATACGACCCGACATATCTCATGTTATTAGCGCAATTCACTTTCTTACTTGTCATACCGAAAAGCAAAAAAGACCATTTCCACCGCGAGATAAATTGACGAGCCGCAGAGGACCTGGCTAGTCGGTTTGCTCAGCAGGCAGCTGCGGTTGAGGCTCGGAAAGTTGATCAGGAGCAAAAGGAGCTACACTTAGCGATGCAAGCAGTCCGCACTGAAAGCAACGCAGCAGGGTAGTCATGCCCCCGACCACCGCGGGGTCTGCAACGTATAGTTTGGATCAGTTCTTCGCGCCTGCTCGACGGTAGCTGATCATATCATAGTAGTGTCTGAGTATAAAGCGCGTGCAAAATAGCAAGAGCATGATGAAGGTGGCAATCAATATTGAAACTCTGCCACGTCTGACCAGAGCTTTGCTCCCACACAAAATAGATATAATGGGGGTAAAATATGACTACTACCCTAAAAATTAAGAATATGTGATGGATATGACCAGGATTCTCACCCGATGTTGTGTTACCGCACCACAGGAATCTATTGGCAGGATGTATATCCCCTGGGCTGGAATCCCCAACAAGTCCTACACAAATGCCATTTAAGTTTTCAGGGCCTTCTGAACGCACCTCAGTAGTCGCATAAAAATCCATGGGATCGTGGCTGTATTTAGATGTCCAAGGAGACACCAGAGCAGAGATAGGTATATCTGGTGTTACGGGGCAAGCGGACCATTGTGTCTGGAACAAAAAGACACGCGACCGTCCCCCGCAAGTATTATCCACTTTAGCATGGGTCCTCATGTTGAAGCCAATACTGACAAGTTTGGATTCGTCCGTTCAGTCCCATTTACCAAAAGAGGAAGTTATGCAATATCGGATGACTCATCAATATTGGACATGTGATGCCATCCCCTCAGCTGGCAGCTTCCCCAAACCTCGCGCGGAGTCGTCCCTCGCCTGATCAACGCAAACGAGAACCCTCAAAGAAACCAACCATACAAGTGCAAGCTGGCATACGAGTCGAGTTTCTAGCCATGGCACAGCCATATTCCAGGTTGGTCTGTCAATGTTTGGTAGATCCTCCGATGGTGGACATTAATAGCTCTCTAGAGAGGTCGAGAAGCCTGGATTGGTCGACATGAGAACAATCGAGTCGGACAATATGCAGGTCCCTTTGGAAGACAACGAAAGCGCCAAGATTGCGAACAACACGTTTGTCTATCGCGTTCTGAGAACCCGGCATGGTGGACAAAGAGCTCGCCCCCTGCGAGATCTACTCAAAAGCGCCGTGACAATCGGCTGGGTTGGCCTCGCCATTTATGGCGTGCTCAAGTTTGTCAATGGTATGCATCTCATCTCCTCTTCTCATCCGATTAACCAATAATTTGACCGTGGTTCTCCCGATAACAGACAGTCCCATCGGAGTCCCCACTCCACGCCCGCAATCCCCACCAGCCATCTGCCAAACCCCGGAATGTATCCATGCGGCATCAGAGATTCTCTATAGCCTCGACCCCAACTATGGCCAAATCGATCCTTGCACCGACTTTGACCAATTTGTCTGCGGCGGTTGGAGAGAGCGCCATGACATGCGCGCTGACCAGGGTTCTGTTTTTGCCGGGACCATAATGGAGGAGAACGCTGAAACCAACCTTCGGCATATTCTCGAGCAACCACAAGCTCCAGACTCGGCTGACATCAATAACTTCGAGAAGATCAAAGCTGCATACGATGCTTGCTTGGATGAATCGACCATCAAGCAGCGCGGAAGTAAGCCCCTGGATGAGCTGCTGGCTCGCCTGCAGAACTTCTATCCCTCAAAGAGCGGCCTGGTTGCCGGAACTCAGGATCACCTCACGGATGCTCTTTTGTTTCTGTTGAAGACTGGGGTGTATGCCCTGGTATCACCGGGTGTGTCTGTGAGTCTCACTCTGCCACTTTCTTTGACGGACCATCAAAATTGACAGCGCCAGGCGGATGATCGAGATCCTGACAATGTCGTTATTACGGTGACGCCACCTCGTGCGATTGGCCTTCCTGCGAGGGAATATTACAACAATACAGAGATGGTGACCAAATACACCGATGTCGTGAAGCAGGTGCTTCAAGGGTTTGGAGGCAGCGACAAGATTGCCGAGAACATTGTCGCTTTCGAAACAAAGCTTGCCAACGCGACCCCGGACACTGCAACCCAGGAGGACGTGACAAAGTACTATAACCCACGCACTGTCAAGGAGACCGAGTCACTGCTCCCCCAGGTCTCGTTCGCCGAAATTATTGCAGAACTGGGTCCTCATGATTACAAGGGTGACCGCCTGATTATTGGCTCGCCTTCATATATGCAGGCCCTGTCTGACATCTTGACTGATGCATCGCGAGAGACTGTTTCATTCTTCTTGCAGTGGAAGCTCATCCAGCAATATGCGACTTACATCGAGGATGACAAGATCACTCCTCTACGTCGATTCGAGAACAAGCTCGAGGGAAAGGACCCTCAGTCATCTGAGGAACGCTGGCGCAAGTGCATCAAGCGTCTTGACTCGGGTCTTGGTTGGAGCCTCAGTCGTTTCTACATTTTGAGCTCCTTTCCCGAAGCCTCGAAGAAGCTTGGTGACCAGATCGTGTCGGACATCAAGGAGCGATTCGCTTTCACCCTGGACCAGACTGCTTGGATGTCTTCGGATGTCCGCAAGCTGGGCATCAAGAAGGTCGAGAACATTGTTCAGAAGATCGGATTCCCCACCAAGAACCCCAACCTGTTGAATGCACAGGACGTGGAGAAATATTATCACGACCTGGAGGTATCCGACAGCAAGTTCTTCGAGAATGAAGTTGCTGTGGCACGGTTTGATCTTCATAATGAATGGTCCAAGCTGGGCAAACCGACCAACCGGGACGAGTGGGATATGACAGCTCCGACAGTCAATGCCTACTACAACCCGCCCGGAAATGAGATTGTTTTCCCCGCCGGCATCATGCAGCCCCCAGTGTTCTACGGGCCCAAAGCCCCGCTCTACCTTGCCTACGGTGCATTCGGCGCTGTGAGTGGTCATGAGCTCTCACATGGTGAGTATTCCCCATGACGTGAAGAATAAAACGCTATGCATCTACTAACATCCCGTAGCGTTCGATTCCACTGGTCGGCACTATGACGAAATTGGGAACTACACCGATTGGTGGGACGAGAAGACTGTCAAGGCGTTTGAGGAACGGACTCAATGCTTCGTTGACCAGTATTCGAATTATACTGTGGAGGGACCTGGAGGCAAGGTTCTTCATGTGAATGGCCGCTTGACACTGGGAGAGAACATCGCCGATGCAGGCGGCCTCGGTGCTTCGTTCCACGCGTGGAAGAAACGCGATGAGGCCAGGCCCGATCTGGCCCTTCCCGGACTGACTACCTTCAGCAAGGAGCAGTTGTTCTTCGTCTCGTATGCCAACTGGTGGTGTGGCAAGACCACCAAGGAGGCTGCCGAGCAAAGCATCTACAATGACCCACATGCTCCCAAGTCGGCCCGCATTATTCTGACGATGGCCAACTCGCGCGAATTCAGAGATGCTTTCCACTGCCCGGCGAAGAAACCGGTCTGCAAGCTTTGGTAGATCGCACACGGTTGCACGTTGAGGTATGATGGGGTACTGTGAGAGGGGCCTGCGCCGTTTATGTTTATCTCCTTTCAGCTTCTTTTCGGGGATTATTGGTACATTTTTTACAATTTTGCGATCATGATGATTAGCATCGATCAGATGGGGCACCCCACAATGAGGCCCCGGAATTGTATGCATATTGTTCAGCGTTTCTCGGTGTCCGACGTTGTACTCCGTACTGTATGCAGGGTAATAATAAGCCCCCCTTTTCTGAGGGTGTTGCTACGGCCACACGCCCTTGTCTTCCACCCCACCCCCTCCTGGCTTTATCCGTATCTACTAGTACTTCAGACTCCAAAGTCTATGCAAGCGGAAACGGTAGACCTGCTCTATGCATAAATAGCCTGGCCTGAGCCCATTTCTTTGCCTCGGAATCTGACCTACCAGCGTACAAAGTAGGCGCCCAGGCAGATGACCAGGTTGACGATCGGATAGGTGATCAGGCAAGGTATCTCCTCGCAATGCACAGTTGCACATGGCGGCTTCGCTCGCGTTTACGGGGACATCCGAGGTATCATCTGCAGCAATGTGATCGAGAGTTGCGCGACGAGCTAATCGTACCTCTCGACAGCTAGGGCAAGTGCTGCATCGAGTTAAGGCTCCAGGCAAGAAAAACGATCCCGCATGGAAAGTGAGCCTCCGCTGCAGATCATGGAGGGGCTTTCGGGGGCCTGAGAGTAGTTGAGATCGACTGAGATGAGATCGCCGGGAGGAGACAAAGGCAGATCCCGGTAGATCATGTGAAGGATGCAAAATTGCGGGTTGAGGTGCCAACTGCCCTTAATTAAAAAAAAAAAAAAAAAAAAAAGAAAGAAAGAAAGAAAGAAAGAAAATTAACCCCCCTACTGGGGTCCGCCGGTGGAACTATGGTAGATTGAGGCGAGCAGCGCCCCCTTTCAGTCACGCCAGCCCTTAGATCAAAATCGAAATCGCAAGAGTCACACAGCTGAGCGCGGCGAGTGCAGGTGGAACCGCTCCCCTCCTTCCCACTGCGCCGGAACTGCATGAGACAAGCGTAGTGGGAATCAGGATCCAGGAGCTGAGAGCTCCATCTGTCAGCTCGTCCAGTGCTCAGCTCTGCGGGTTCCAGCGTCGCGGGAGTGGAGACGGCATAACGGCGGCAGCATCGGCCAACCAACGCCGGAGGGAGTTCGCTTCACCGGGGCGAGTGGCAGAGAAGTGGGGGCAATGACCTATCACCCAGAATCAGGCCATGGCGATCTTGATGTGATGAGATCGATGGCAGATACAGCAGAACTGGCGGGAGGGGATGGTGGACGGGAGGAAGGAGGGAGTTAACAGATCATAACACTGCTGCAGCTGTTAGTAGAGTATAGAGTGTAGTAGGCAAGCGCACCCACGGTTCCGCCCCGAACGGCCGGTCTTTTCTGCCCGTCAAGCAGGAGGTTACCCAGCGTTCGCCTACTGGTTCCGCCGCCCCGGGACCGTTCCCCAACTCCACTTGGGCAAAAAACAGAGCTGTCTCCCTTTTTGCGTCATGTCATTTAGTCTCTGTTTTCTCTCGGTTTCTCTGCTTCTCGTCCCACGTCCCGTCCCATCCCCAATTCCCATGTCGTCCTGACCGATTCCCCTTTGGGTTACTGATGCCTCTGTGTTTCTAACGCCTGCGCCCCCCATTGTTCTTCGCGTCGCGACGGGTGGAACGGTTCGTTGCAGAGCTGTTGCCCGGGGCTCTCGCGTCCACCCGCGATGGAACCCATGGAACCCTTCCCGGCGAACGTCGACCACCCGCTGCATTCCAAAAACAAGGCAGGCGAGCCTCAAGTCCAGATCGACGAGTTGCCCACCTTGAATCGGACGCGCATAGGAGGAACTCCCGATGCGACATCGACTTTACGCCGTGCCAATACCGTCGCACAAGGCGGCAACATAATCAAGCGGAATTTGGAACTGAAGGCCCTCCGGGATAGGACAGCTACGACGGGGGTCCGGGCGAAAGACAGCCATGAATTGTTACGAAAAACTCCCTTACAACGCTCACAGACACACCGGGGCCCACTGGAGGCGCGTCCGGCGCCGAGGAAGGCTGGTCATTTCACCGTTGGCAGTGTCGGCCAGAACGGGAAGATCTTTCTCAGGTACGATCGATCGAGAATTTCGGCGATGTGGTCTCGTGTCACCCTCCTGCCACAGCAAAGCTGACAATACCTTCTCCCGCAATCAGGCCGGTTGCAAATCCACCCCAGAAAGCCCCCCAGATTGCTCCATTCGCCACCATCGATCAAATAACAACCAATTATCTCCAACCCAAGAGTCACGCGCATCTCCGAGATGATCCCTCGCGGTGGTCCAGTTCGCAGCTGTCTGAACTACGCCCCCGTGGGGAGGTAGGCGTGGATAACGAGTCGGCCATTCCAGAATCCACTCGCGCTGAAGCCGTCGGTTCCCCTCGCGAGGGAGCGACTTCGGTTTCGACGATTTCCGAGAAGCAGTCAGTGGCCGGAGCCGGGAAACGGGGGAGCTGCGCATCGTGATCGATCGATCGGAGGATCGGCCAAAATCTGCTGATGAGAAAACCCCCAATACCGCGCTGGGGGTCCCGATGCCTCGTTATCGGCTCGGTTCACCACGGTTCAACACAGAAGGTAGCGCGGGCCTGCAGAGTTCCGTCTACACGCGGACCTCAATGTCCGATAATTTTCGAAATTCGACCTTATTGGGCGGTATGGCGGATCCGCTGCCGACACATCTGTCGAGTGGACATTGCAGAGACTCATACTCACGGCACCGCCCGTCCTTCGCGGTCTCCATGTTCTCGGGGACGGCGGCCATTGATCTCAGCCGGGCCTCGCCAGCGCCGCGAAACTCCATGGTTTATGAATTGAAAGGACCAGTGGAACCCTCCATCTACGAAACTCTGGTATCGGACATGGACAGCGAAGCCGTCGTGCGCTATATACCCGGCACCAAGGATATCAGTGCTGCTACGCCTGCTCGGATCGTCGCGCAGATCTCTTCCGAATCTTTCATGGATTATGAGCTCGTGTCGGACTTCTTTCTTACCTTCCGCTGCTATCTTTCGCCAAGCCACCTTCTTGCATTGCTTCTCGCACGCTTGAAATGGGCTATCAACCGCCTGCAGGAGGATGGAAGAATTATCCGCATCCGCACCTTTGCTGCTCTCCGCCATTGGATTCTGAATTATTTTGTGGATGACTTCATCACCCATTATGATCTTCGAACTCACTTCTGTGAAACTATCAATGATCTGTATGAAGACGTCAAGTCTCGGGAGAATGGCGGGATGAGTGATTTGAAAATCCTCCTTGACTTGAAGCGTTGCTGGAACGGCAAGTGCTCGATCTACTGGACCACCTCCGACTATTCTCGCACATACAACGACCCCGATAGTCCGATTGCACCTGGAAGCATCCACTTCGAGCTACCCAATGGCGATGCATTTCAGCCAGACGTTCCACCCGCAGAAACTAGTTTCCAGGAGTCCGCCCCCGCTCCATCTCATCATGATCGAAACGACTCTGCTGCAACTACTCAGAGTATTCCCTTTTCAACGAAAAGTGACCAAAGTCTAATGGCACTTTCTTGCTCGCTGCCTCCTAGATCACCGAAGCGCTTTTCGTTCTCCCACTCCAAGGGCAAGGGGCCACGTCCGGTGCCATTGGGCCTGACAAAGACGACATCTCCGCATGAGCCACCTCCCTCATCGCCGGTGATACCGCGCCATCCGTTCCATGGCCACGGCCATAAGCGAAGTGCCAGCTTCTCAGACTCGGTACGAGATGATCGGCTGCCCTCGTCGGGAATGGAAGCTGGATCTACGGGGACAGCTCCCCAGGAAATCTTGGACCCTGTTAGCTTCATTCGAGGAGCATTATATCCCCCCGCAGAATCATATATGACCATGATGGCGCCGGAATCACCTCCCTTGGCTCCTCCTCAGTCGAACTCTAACCCAGACCGGAGGAGCACACCGGATGGAGGGCCCAGAATAGGCCAGTCCAATTCCGGGATGAGAACTATAATTGGCTCAATTAAACGTGCACTGCATACAAGGAATGGAGGCCAAAGTGTTTCCGCACGGATTGCAAATGTTTCGGAAGCAATCTCATTGCCCTCTCGTGGAAAGACATCTGCCATGCCCAATAATATCTCTTTAGGGTCCGAATTCTACAGGGAGAGGAAGATGGCTGCGATTCCCAAGCGTCCAGCAAGGATTGATGTGCTCTGTGATGAGGCTCTGAGGCAATATCGTCTAGCCATTAATCCAAATGAGGCCCAGGGGGAGCTCCAACCACCGGCGAGTGCGCAGCGGCCCCAGATCACACTACAACAATCTTCTCCAAACCCAGGGGAGCAGTCCTCTCTCCAGGCACCTCGAGCCGAGCAGTCGAAAATTAAGAGTGGCATTACCTCAGGTAGTGGATCCATTGTTATTGTTGATGACACCGGATTTGAGTTTCCTTTAATGACTGGAGCTATGCAAGAGGAGCCCGGACCGGATGTTTTGGACCATCATGTTCGTTCAACTTCCGACAGCAGAGTGACTTCGGATGGCCAATCAACACAAATGGAAGGCGAGTATCTGCTTCCGGTATTCTACAATGGTGAGGAGCCATCCACTCCGGTACCAGAGCCACCTCTCCATCGTCCTTCGGTCATTTCTTCTCAACGGAGGTCTTACATTGAAGGCCAAATCCCACCCACTAAGAGGATGTCACTTTCTCTTCGTCTCCGGAAGTACGCATCGTTCCAGAGCGGGATGTCTCGACAACGCCAATCAATGGGCAGTGACCCAGGCAAGTCTATTTCCAGCTCTAGTTTTGCGCAGGAATCATCGGATAAACCATTTGGCCCGGCACTCCGCAGACGACCCGGTGGAAATCTGCGACAAATGCAATTTGTCGACGATAATGACCCCGAACCGGACCGGCAATCTTTCATATCCAACCAATCTTGTGGCGACTCCCTAGCGGAGACAACGACAACGACCACGGATGTTGTGTCAAGACCACCAACCGCCCTGGTTCCTCCAAATCCTCGCTATTCTTTGATACACGGTGGAGCCAACCGAAATGTGCGACGCTCCTTTGAAGCAGCGATTGCCCGATTTGCTGAAATCCCTGATGATGATGACGGTGGAGTTGAATCGACTTTGCTTAAGCTCGAGGGAAAATGGAGTCCTCCTTCGTCTGCAACTTTTCCGGCCGGCCAGGAGCAGCCCGAGAGCTCTCTGGGACCCACTGGCAAACAAACATACAACCGTCAACACAAGGACTATGCCGGTGGGGATCGCAGACGCCAGACCGACATATCAGCGTACTCCACTGTCGGGGGTCGGCTGGCACCGCCCCGGCCCTATTCTGACTCCGTGGCAGAGTCCGAAGAATCATATAACTCGATCCCACTTCTCGAACGAGGCTTGTCAGACGAGTCTATGAAGCCTCCCGCAAACAGAAGCGTCACCCATAATACCTGTGGGGCTCCTCTCAGCCTTGTCTCCAGCGGAGACACATCGGAGCTAGCATCGTCCCATCCCTCGATCCAGATCATCCAGAAGACAGAAAGCATCCAGCGGATTCCTCGGGGCTCAACCAATCCCACATCAGGTCCTCTCAACCTCGGCCAAGAAACACCCAAGCACAGATCGGCTCTGTCCTCCGATATGTCTGTCGATATGGTTGACTCGCGTGAAGCCATGGAGGGTCGTATATCGACCGATACTCGCAGTCTGACAGTGTCGACTGTCGAGATTCCGCCTCATCCGTTGGCGCACCCGCCCTCTCCCCCCGATGACCATCCAGCACCCAGGCTCTTTTGGTTCTTGCGCTTCGCCAATGGACAAAGTGTTGTTTCAAGCGCAGCCTCTTACGCCGGATACCTCTCCTCGGCGCCGTGAAGCGGACGCTCCCAACCAGAACTCCAGAAATGTGCCACAATTCTCGAGTAATGTCCTCTCGAATTCTGAGCAGTATCACGCCTCGCCAAATCCTCTCAACGAAACTGGGCCCAGCCATGTGCCATTCGTGCTTGCGTGCGAATCTCAGGTGCTAGCTCAGCAACTGACCCTCGTCGAGATGGCAGCCTTGAGTGAAGTCGATTGGCGGGATCTGGTCGAGATGAGATGGAGCAGTGGTTCGCCATGCATTGTCAGTTGGGTCCAGTTCCTTAGTGCGGAAGAACGTAAGGGTATCGATTTGGTTGTTGGCCGCTTCAACCTGATGGTAAAATGGGTCGTGTCTGAAATCATTTTGACCCTCGATATTCACGAGCGGGTACGCACTGTCATCAAGTTCATTCACACTGCCGCCCATGCCCGCCGCATCTGCAACTATGCTACCATGCTTCAGATCGCCATTGCTCTGTCTTCTTCTGATTGTTCTCGGCTGCAGAAAACCTGGCAACTGATTCCTCAGGAGGACAAGCGACTGTTCAAAGACATGGAGTGTTTGATTCAACCAGTGCGCAACTTCCATGATCTCCGGGTCGAGATGGAGACAGCCAATCTTCAAGAAGGCTGTATTCCATTCATCGGTAAGCTTCCACTCCCAAGTTGAATTCACGCACAAATACTGATACACTAGCAATAGGCTTGTACGTCCATGATCTTACCTACAACGCACAAAAGCCCGCCCAAGTCAACAGCAACGCGGGTGGCTTACTGGTCAACTTTGAGCGATACCGCACTGCTGCGCGTATTGTTAAAAGCCTACTCCGTCTTATCGACGCCAGCACCAAGTACCGCTTCGAGCCCGTACAGGGTATCATTGAGCGATGCTTGTGGATCGCATCTCTTTCTGAAGAGGATATTCAGTCCCGCAGCAAGAGCCTCGAGTGATCTTGCTCTATATAAGATTTGTATTCTTGCTTTCTCTTTTTTTTTTTTGATAATTGGTTTCTTCATACCCCCTTTCGCTATCAGGCGTTGACTTCCGCCATATATACTGTACCTCTACATACTGGGCACTCTTTGGGTACATTTTCTTATTAGCCCTCGTTCTTTCTGCGTTTGAAGCGAGCATCTGCATATGATCTGGGAATCTGGAAATATCATGGTTGAATGGGATTTATATACGATTTATTATGATTCGTCCATACCCTCGGTGTCCTCGGCTTAGATCGCCATGTACTCAATGGCGGCAGAAAACTTAGATTGGTCTACTTAGCCTAGCGGTTTGCTCCATAAAATTCTCTGCGACGATCTTCAGCCTTCATTTTATCCGGGAACCGTAACACCGTCGGATAGTCGGTTTCATATAAAGTGGGTTGGGCCAAGGTGCGTCATAAAGCGGCCTCACTGGCGGTGGTTGGATCTACGTGCCGAAACACCTTTTTCAGCTGCGGCCCAGCTCACTCCCTCCGACAACACCTATTTTGATCGAGGAGGGCCCCCTCCGTTTGCGCGTTTCTTCCCTCAGGGACCGTCCTAGACACCTTACATCCTTTGGATGTCCTACTTTCGATCTCCTCGACTGTAGGCCCGCCGCGATGGACACGACCGAGCCACGACGCGGGGCTTCATTGGAGGTCGACCCTGACCACAACCACAGCCCCGCGTCCTCTGGAAGCCCCCAAGAGCTCCCCGAAGATCTTCCCAAGTCGCTGGACGACCGCCGATCGGTCCCGGTGTTCCAACAGGAGACGGAGATGTACGATGCGTGGCAAGGTTCGAACTCCCTTCTGTCTGACCTCGGCTGGCCCGGCCAGTCTAAAGGACTGTATACTAGCCTTTCATTGTTGCTAGAAGCTAACACAGAATCCTTTTTCCAATAGGCCAGTCGCAATTCCTTACTACCCCAGTCGCCGCGAAACCGCTGAGCTTCAGCCTCGCCCTCGATGACCACGCACACGACTCGGAGCACGAGCTACGAGCTCGCGATATGGAGGACAGCGACGCTCGATTAATGGAAATGCTCGCCGCACAGGCTGCACATCGCGAATTTGACTCCCTTGGTGCCGGTGAAGACAGCGTAGCGGCCGACGAGAAATTGACAGTCGCGGAGAAGCGGGATATTCTTCAAAAGAGCTTGAACATGGCTGCGAGCAACGGCGACGTGGAGCGGGTGCGGAGGATCGTTCAAGGATCCGCTAAAAGCTATGTCGATGTCAACATGCCGGATGAAGAAGGGACGGTGCCCTTGATATACGCGAGTTGCTTTGTGAGTAGTCCTTTCATTCTTGAGAAACGCGATCTTGGGACGGGGGCACGCTTTCTTCCGAGGAACCCCGTTTTCTTTTTGTCTAGCAGGAACTAACAGTCTATTCTAGGGACATCAAGAAGTCGTTGCTGCACTTATCGAGGCCGGAGCTTTCGTCGACCAGCAAGATCGCAATCAATGGAGCGCTTTGATGTGGGCTATGACAAATCGACACAAAACGATCGCGAAGACGCTCCTCGACCATGGAGCTTCGCCGGATATCAAGTCTTCCTCTGGTGGTACTGCTTTCGATTTTGCGCAGCCCGGCAGCGAAATTTCCGAGTATCTGCATGAAAACGGTTACAATTTTGGACCCAGTGCTATTGAAGATGATTTCTATGATGCTGGATTAGCGCACGGTCGGTTCGAAGACGAGATTGCTGAGAACGAGATGAAACGTCGCATGATGATGGAAGAGAGTGCTATAAATCTCGAGGTCGACTTGTCCAGCCTTGGATTAGACGAAAAGTTCGAGGTAGGTGCTCCTGTACGACTAAAAACCAGTCGAAAGAACTTGAAGGCTAACGGCGAGGTGAAGCCTTCGGATGACGACGATTTTGAAGAGCAACAGGAGTTCGTCTGGGATCGATGCCTGAATGATCAGATGTTCGTATTCCAAGACCACGAGCTGGAACGTATATTGGACATGATCATCACAAACATGACGCCACAACGGTCCCCTTCTCAAAAGCCTGTGCCAGCGAATCTCCTGTTCCTCAGCGCGCGTTATGCACACTATCATGCCAGTCCTGAGCTTCTTACGACATTACTCACATTCGCCACGGAAAAAATCAACGATGTCGTGGAACGTTATCAATGGGATATGACGATGCAGGCATTCTGGTTGTCCAATGCAACACTTCTGCTTCATTACCTGAAGAAAGATGGCGAATTGCAAGAAGCGACGGTCCAATTTCAACTTCACTTGGCCGAATTGATCAACGAAATTTTCGTTTTGATTATTCGTGATGCGGAACGGCGTATGAACAAAGTCCTGGATGCGGCAATGCTGGACCATGAAACCATCCCTGGGCTGGACGATATTCCCTTCCAAAATGAATGGAAGCTGTTCAAGAAGAAGAAATCCGAGGCTCCGGAGCCTGCGGACAAGCGATTCCGACCCCCATCGCCACGCCGCCGAGCACAGATCTCACCGCGCAACATTACCTCCTTGCTGTCATCAACGCTGTTTGTCTTAGATCTGTATGATGTACACTCGGTCATCACCACGCAAATTCTGTCCCAGCTACTGTACTGGATCAGCGCGGAAGTCTTCAACCGGATCATGAGTACGAGGCGATACCTGGCGCGAACGAAAGCCATGCAGATTCGCATGAATGTCTCAACCTTGGAGGATTGGGCTCGTAATAACAACCGACAACCGGAACATTACGAAAACGGTTCTATGACCAGTACAGGGGAGACCACAGTCGATGCCGCTCGCCGACACCTGGACCCAGTTATTCAACTACTTCAATGGCTGCAATGCTTCTCGTCGCTCGGTGATGACCACGAATCCCTTGTGACAACTCTTCTCCAGCTCCAACAGCTCACTCCGCTGCAGCTAATCCATGTCGTGAAGTCATACCGAGCTGAGGTGGGCGAGAAGGGCTTGACGAAACAGGCCATGAAGTTTCTCCTCGATATGCAGCGTGATCCAGAAATCCTGTTCCGGGAACAACATCGAATCCAGGTTGAGAAGGAGAAGGCTGCTGCTGCACCAGAATCAGATGCACCCGAAGATCGACCAAAGACACCTTCCAAAGATGAACCTCAATCTACACCCGCAACACCCGATCCGAACCTCGCGTCTCCGGGTTCAGTAGGCACATCTTCTCGGCCTACGAGTATCGCTCTACAGTCGAGGGAAGACCGCCCAGGCAAGGAAAGTGTTTTCCTTGACCCAACATTATTCCTCCCTTTCTCCCTTCCCACCAGTACAGATATGCTCATCTCCTACGGGGCTGGTCTCGGCGGGACCAACCGTGAGCGAGCAAGAAAGTACATTCCCACTGTCCCACCGGAGGTTCTCGTCCGCCTCGACCGCGGAAATGAAGTATAGGATATCATCATTTCTTAGGTAAGACGCGAGGCCCTGTGTGAGATCATTTTTCTATCGCTCCTATTTCGCATCTTACCCTAATTTCCATGCCTCATCCCTAACTGGGGGTTCGGTGCTGTGGTTGCGCGATGTATGCGATTTCGGTATGGATTTGGAGGATTTGTGGACAATGCGATACCCTCTGTGATCTTTGCTATATTTTTTAATGCTGGAAAGTGCTTGTCGGCGCGTTTTAGTATATAAATAGATATTTCCTAAGTGGAAATCAAATTCCGTGAACAGAAACTAGACTTTTCTTTTTTTTTCACGTAGATTAGATGTTTTGTAGCTCTCTATGTCAATAGTGCTCAATCATGAGGTGTAAGTAATCCATCTTAAGCTTCGGGGATGAGATGGTTTTGTGAATCGGGGCGCCACTGCCTCGAAAAGGCAAAGCGCCCCCACGGCAGCCTGGAAAATCACACGACCCAACCTCGTCTCAACCCTTTCTCCTTCATCATCTCTCATAACCACAACAACACCCGCCATATGTCGATATGGGCTCTAAGACACCTGAACAAGAGAGACAGTCGAACGGCGGTACGTACTAATTCATATGCCCGATCAGGGTTGACGTCTGAGCTGTGCTTACTGTTAGCAGATGGGCCATCCGGCTCGAGCAATGCGGCTTCCGCTGGAGGAGAACCCCGGGGAGTCCATGTGTCCCGGGATGGGGATGGCAGCTTGGGAGACGGCGGCGATGGCGGAGATGACAAGGATGGTGATGCCGCCCTAAACAGGCCGAATGGCGCTGTCGACGAAGAAGCAATGGCGCAGCCACCCTCTACAAATACTTCTAAGAAGAAGAGAAGAAAGAAGTCGAAGAAGAAGACTTCCGGACCTAAGCAGTCGTCCCCTCCACGGATCCCCATGATGGAGCTCTTCCCTAGTGGAAACTATCCGGTTGGCGAGATCCAAAGCTACGTGCCGGCGGTCGACAACTCAGCTCGAACGACCGCTGAGGAAACACGCCTGAAATCGCGGACTCAGCTCGAAGATCCCAAATTCCTTGATGATTATCGCAAGGCTGCGGAGATCCATCGTCAGGTGAGACGCTACACGCAGGAGACTGTTCGGCCAGGCCAGACCCTCACAGAGATTGCTCTGGGCATAGAGGATGGTGTCAGAGCCCTCCTTGATAATCCTGGTCTTGAAAAGGGCAGCTGTCTGATATCTGGAATGGGATTCCCGACGGGGCTTGCGCTCAACAACTGCGTTGCGCATTACACGCCCAATCCTGGACAGAAGGAAATTGTCCTCCAAGCGAGTGATGTGATGAAAGTTGACTTCGGCATCCATATCAATGGTTGGATTGTTGATAGCGCATTCACCATGTCTTTTGACCCAGCCTATGATAACCTTCTCGCTGCTGTCAAAGAGTCGACCAATACTGGTATCAAGGTACAAATCGACCGTGTATTTGGTTGAATATTCGTGGAACTAAGCTAACCAATATTAGACGGCTGGGATTGATGTCCGGATTAGCGATATCAGCGCTGCTATCCAGGAGGTCATGGAGAGCTATGAGGTCGAGATCAATGGCAAAACCTTCCCTGTGAAGCCAGTTCGGGATATCACCGGGCATAACATCAAGCGCTGGCAAATCCACGGTGGAAAGTCGATCCCTTTTGTAAAAAACAATGACCAGACCAAGATGGAAGAGGGAGAAATCTTTGCCCTCGAGACATTTGGGTCTACGGGACGTGGCTTTACACGAGAGGGCGTAAGTCCCTTCTGAGAATGTTGATACTGAAGAGAAGCTCACAATTTCGCAGCCTGGCGTCTATGGATATGGAAAAGACCCATTTGCCCCAAGCAAGATTGCGGCTCCTCTCGCCACGGCACGATCCCTTTACAGGACAATCAACGATAATTTCAGATCGATTGTCTTCGCTCGTCGCTACTTGGAACGACTTGGCGTTGAGCGATACTTGGCAGGCGTAAGTATATATCCATTTCGGTGTCGAATCAAATGACCAACTCACTCTACGCAGATGAACTACCTTGTGTCCCAAGGGGGTGGTAGAGTCTTACCCCCCTCTTATGGACATCGAAGGGTCTTTTTCGGCTCAGTTCGAACATGTATGTTTCCCTCTGGTTCTGAATACAGCCTCGCAAGCGCCGCTAACATTCGTGGTAGACTTTCCTGTTGCGGGAGACCGGCAAGGAAGTTATTAGTCGCGGAGACGACTACTAGTCTTAGTTCGTAAGACTTGAGTGTTCAAGGCGCTCGTCCATTCATTTCGTTAATATCAGTTATGGTCCTTCTATGCAGGCATCCAACATGCTTCGAGCTCCGTCTGATCATTACAACCATCCCATCCAACATGGTATATTTTTCTTTTATATTTGAACTCTTCCTGGTATTCCTCCGCGCTCCCGATATTTTTGAGTTGAATCAAGTAAAAACCTCATGTGGTGAGAAATAGAGACCTCTGGTTCTTCCAGAGTGATCACTAGTTATTATTTCTAAGTAGGCGCTAAGTATTTTATCGCTCACCCGCCGATTCTCGTTTACCCAGCGAATCAGCGGATCGGGCAAAAGTAGAGCCGGTGCGCTAGTCTCAGAAGAGCAAGCGCCCCTCCGTGCGCGGAAAAAAAAGGTTGCAGCGGGCGCTCGATCTTTTTCTTCTTCTTTCTTTTCTTTGGGAAAGCTGGACTCTCTCCATCAACAGAAGGTTCCTTTTCTGTTGATTATACTTCTCTGCTCCCTTTCACCCAATTTATATCTGGGTCCAGAGTTCCTTTCATTTTATTAATCATGCCTATCACCAACAAGGAGGCTGCTCCCGGTGCCGCCATGAAGGCGGAGATCGAGGACTACACCAAGGCCCTGGAGGTCGTGAAGACCTACCAGGCTCAGGATGGTTTGGATATTGACACCCTGCTTGACTCCGACAAGCATGGTGCTCTGACCTACAATGACTTCCTCATCCTGCCCGGATACATCGGTAAGCGGACCACAGCTTGGATGTCGACATGGGCATGTTAATAAACGATTTTTTCAGGTTTCCCCGCCTCCGATGTTTCTCTGGATACTCCTGTCACTAAGCGCATCTCGCTGAAGGCTCCTCTTGTGTCCTCCCCCATGGACACTGTCACTGAGCACAACATGGCCATCCACATGGCTCTGCTCGGTGGTCTGGGTGTTATCCACCACAACTGTGCCCCTGAGGACCAGGCCGAGATGGTCCGCAAGGTTAAGAGATATGAGAACGGTTTCATCCTTGACCCCGTCGTTCTCTCCCCCAAGGCCACCGTTGGCGAGGCCAAGGACCTGAAGGCCAAGTGGGGTTTCGGTGGTTTCCCCGTCACTGGTAAGTTGATTGCAAATATTCTTACCCCCCGGTACAAGTTCAATCACTTCCCCCTGCTTTTCATGATGATCAACCACTATTTTTTATAACTTTCGTTCCACTGGCAGCGGCGAGAGCTGCACTGTAGAGAAACGTTTTATCTGAAACCTTGCTCTTGAAAATTTTGCATGATCCATTATTCATCTGACCTGGATGCTAATTTGATTCTGCAACAGAGAACGGAACGCTTCGCTCCAAGCTCGTTGGTATGGTCACTTCCCGTGACATCCAGTTCCACAAGAACCTTGACGACCCTGTCACTGCCATCATGGCCACTGACCTGGTCACTGCCCCCGCTGGCACCACCCTGGCCGAGGCCAACGAGGTCCTTCGTCAGTCCAAGAAGGGCAAGCTGCCCATCGTTGATCAGGCCGGTAACATTGTCTCTCTGCTGTCCCGCTCCGACTTGATGAAGAACCTCCACTACCCCTTGGCCTCCAAGCTTCCCGACTCCAAACAGCTGATATGTGCTGCCTCTATTGGTACTCGTGAGGAGGACAAGAACCGCCTTAAGCTCCTTGTTGAGGCTGGTCTGGACATTGTTATTCTGGACAGCAGCCAGGGTAACAGCATGTACCAGATTGAGATGATCAAGTACATCAAGAAGACCATGCCCGAGATCGACGTTATCGCTGGTAACGTTGTTACCCGCGAGCAGGCTGCTTCTCTGATTGCCGCCGGTGCCGATGGCCTGAGAATTGGCATGGGCAGCGGTAGCGCTTGTATCACCCAGGAGGTCATGGCCGTCGGTCGTCCCCAGGCCGCCGCCGTCCGCAGCGTCTCTTCCTTCGCTGCTCGCTTCGGCGTTCCCTGCATTGCTGACGGTGGTGTCCAGAACGTTGGTCACATCGTCAAGGGTCTGGCCATGGGTGCTAGCACTGTCATGATGGGTGGTCTCCTTGCTGGTACTACCGAGTCCCCCGGCGAGTACTTCGTCAGCAACGAGGGCCAGCTCGTCAAGGCCTACCGTGGCATGGGCTCCATTGCCGCCATGGAGGACAAGAAGGCTGGTGGCGCCGGCAAGGATGGCAAGGCCTCCAACGCCGGTACTGCCCGCTACTTCTCTGAGAAGGACCGCGTCCTGGTCGCCCAGGGTGTCGCTGGTTCCGTTCTGGACCGTGGTTCTATCACCAAATTCATCCCCTACCTCATGGCCGGTGTTCAGCACTCTCTGCAGGATATGGGTGTTCCTAGCCTCCAGGCCTTGCACGACGGTGTCAACGAGGGCACTGTCCGCTTTGAGATGCGCAGCGCCAGTGCTATGGCCGAGGGTAACGTCCACGGTCTGCACAGCTACGACAAGAAGCTTTACTCGTAAGATCCAAGCTTACTTGAATCAAGAATCTCCCGATGTGAATATTGACCGGGATTTTCTGCACGATGATACGTGGCCTTGAAAATAAAAAATATGGGGTATGATATGATAGGATAGGAGTTAAGAGTTTGCTTTTCATTCAATTCAATGAGCACATTGTTCCGATCAAAGCTTCCATTCAACCTTTATTTCGTAGCTCGACGTGGTTGTTTGTATAGCTCCTTAAATTTGCTGCAGGGAGGTTACTAGTAGGCGACTTGCACATGGCGCGGCTGTCGGCTAGCCTGAAGCGGCCAAAGCCGTACGCGGGGTACAGGGATAAGCCTAGGCACTCGGGTCTTACCTGGCGGCTATAAACACCTGACGGCAACAAACCACGTCGGGACATGTCTACCCTCCTACTCACTGCGTATCCTTGCAACCGTTGGTTAGCTCCTACAATCGTCCAGTCTCGTTTCACTCGCAAATCCTACACTTCCCTCCGCATTGCGCGCATCTGGCTTTCACCGATCCGAAGCCGAGGCGACTACTACGTCAGAAACTATTCGGCCAATTCGCATCCGCCGCCAAACCCTCAGACTCCCAGGATGCCACACGCAAAGGGAGATGGCGAAAAGAAGAAGAAGAAGCCAGCTGTTCCTCGGCCGAGTTCCAGGTGGGCGACTCTCCGACCCTGTTATCCCGATTTCCAGGGGCTTGAGAGACTTTCCCGAAAGCGGGCATCTCCGAGCATTTGTATGGCCAAAAGCAAAGAAAACAACACTAAAGTTAGACCAGCGTAATACTTGTCTCCCCAAAGAATGAGATTCTTCTTCTGCATAGGGTGCAGACATCCAGCTCCTTCGCCTCGGCGCATGTCTTCCCTGGTGGAAATCTATCCAGTCAGGACGGTCCATGTCCTCCTCCGGAAGACCAAGCTCGACACGATGATCTTCCTTCGTACCGACGTGCAGCTATCAGGGAGTTGTTTGAAGAGAGCGGTATTCTCCTTGCCAAGGACACGTCATCTGGGAAGATGCTTGTTGTCGATGAAACAACGCGCGAGGAAGGACGACGGCTCATTCACCAGAATAAGATCACATTTGCCGACTGGCTGAAGCAACAACATGCGGCAGCCGAGCCTGATATTGGTATCAATATATCTCGGCCTGGATATCATATTGTTGCTATGCTAACCTCGAGATAGATAAGTTGATCCCATTTACGCACTGGGTGACTCCGATCAACAATCCTAAACGCTACACAACCCAAATGTACCTATATTTCATGCCACTTCCAGTCAACGTGGACAAAAAACTACTTGAGGTACTCCCGGCCGAGGGAGAACGGGAAGAAATCCAAGTTCCAACCAGTGATGGCGGCGTTGAGGTCACCGAGGCGCAGTTTCTCCCAGCCTCTGAATGGCTTCGTCGTGCGCAAAAGGGAGAGATTATTCTCTTCCCGCCGCAATTTCTTTTGTTGCATATTACCACTGGCTTCCTTGACCGAGAGCCTCGATTAGGTGCTTCGATACAAGAAATGGAGAAACGTCGAACGGCACTTACTGAGTTTGTGCACTCGGGGTCTCCGCCCTGGACGGACAAGTATATCTCGCCCAAGATGCTCAAGATAACCGAAGACGGGCGCGCTGTCTTAGCCTTGGACGATGCTGGCCCTGAATTAAAGGGATCGGGTCGTCGTGGCGAGTCTGATCGTGTTGTTCTAGTCCGATTCACCAAGGGTAGTGCGAGAGAGGTGGATGTGGCGTGGAAGAAAGATGTCTTCCGAGATGGGAAAGAGGAGCGGAGTAATCTTTAGATTACACATCATAGCAATCAACTCGACATTCTAAAGGCTAAGTCCAGAGTACTGCTAGCGTAGGTGCTACATACCAGTACAAATAATAGGACGGTTGTGATGGTCTCCAAATGGCCTTCGCGGTAGAAAATGGAGATCGGTAATGCCACGGCCGAAACCATGTCCTCCTAGACCCACGCACACCGCCTTCCCACAACGCCTGCCCTCGACAAAAGATCACATGACCCACACAAATCATTTGAGTCCCGATTTGTGCGGACCGAAAAACCCTCCACCTCCAACCTCACCGTCGCCCGTCGAATCCTTTACACCAAACCCGCCAAAATGGAGAACGAGAAGGGAGAGATCGTCGATCTGTATGTGCTTCCGCCCTTTCGACTTGCTTTCGCTACAATCTAGCCGGCGTCCTGTATCTGCTGGCCGCAATTGCTCTTTCGCATCCAAGCCCCATGCGCAATGAGAAGGGTTTTCGGGGGATTGGTGAAAACGGAGGGAGAGCAATCAACCTGCTGGGACAATGCGATTTGCTTTGCGAGCCAACGAATTCAGGACGCCGGCGGATTGAAGAGAAATTGAAGTTCAATTTTCGAGATGACTCGAAGCGAGGAAGAACAAAAACTAACTTGGCCTCTCCCTCCACAGCTACGTGCCCCGCAAGTGCAGCGCCACCAACCGCATCATCAAGGCCAACGACCACGCCTCCGTCCAGCTCTCCGTCGGCAAGGTTGACGAGAACGGCCGCTACACCGGCGAGAACGAGACTTACGCTCTGTGCGGCTTCATCCGTGCCCGCGGCGAGAGCGACGACTCCTTCAACCGCCTTGCCCAGAAGGACGGCTACCTCAAGAACGTGTGGTCCGCCAACCGTCAGCGCTAAATTGTCTGACTTATGTGGTTTGCACGAGGGTGGTGTTGACGGGTTGATATTATGGTAAGTCGACTTGCGACCGTGCGACTGGTTGAATACAGACTAATAATAAATGCAGACGAACTGTGGCTAGATGGTCCAGGTTCGGGGAATGGAATATGAGAAAAAATGGATGAGGGTGTACTAGTAGTCTCCTTCGCCTCGAATAAACCCTGTTTTCCTATCTACAAATGAGAATGGAATAACGACTTCATGGGTCAGGTCTTCTTTACGATGCCGCCTATTCAATTCCTCTATTCACGCTTTCCTCCTTTTACGGTAGAATGGGAGGGGGAGGCATTCCTTGCGAAGTGAATTCCTTCCCTTCAGGGCTTACTCTTTCTCGCAGCCACTCACGACCATGAAACAAAAGCCCCAAAATGAAATTTCAAAAACTTCAAAAAATCAACCCCTATTTCCCTTTCTCTCCTTTCTAGCTTTTTTTTTTTTTTTTTTTTTTTTTCCCTCTCAACAACCGGCATATCAAGGCTCCCTCATTCTTGCAGACTTGAAAACCGATCGCAAGATCTGTGTTCTCAATGTCTGAGTTCTATGAGCGAGGGGGTAGAAATAGCACATCCATCGCCGAAGATCAGTTACCGCTTACTGAAGAGCCACTGTTGCAGAGTTTCATGCGCTGGGGCACAGATACAGGTGGGACATCCATAACTGTAGAACTCGACTGGCCATCATGTCCAGGCATATATACTGCCTGGCGGACCATGTTTTGTTGGGGACATTTACAGTATTCATCTTTTACGATAGATAGCAATAAAAAAACAACTGGCTAAGAAAGACGTTTGATTTTTTGATTCGTTTCTCCTCGACCATCCCATTGACATGCAAGCGTAACCTTCCACGTGAACTCATCACTTCAAGCAAAACCCCTGAGCCAACCTCGGGATCTTCCTGAAAACATAACAGAAAATAAATGACTTTAATCTATAGACAATTCATGCAATCCATGCTGTGCTAGATGTTGGATCTAATCTTATTTCTCTAGACGCACAGCCGGGTTAGACTCGATGAAGTTCAGGTCAACCTTGTGGCCGAGCAGCTCACGGATGTTGCTGACACCGTACCTAAATGAAATGTTAGTGTGTTCTTCTCTCCGGAAACAGGGTGACAAAACTGTTACTTACTTGATCATAGTGGGACGCTCCAGACTCAGACCCCAACCGTAGACTTGCATGCCCTTGGGGATACCCATGGACTCCAGCATCTCAGGTCGGAACATACCGCTGTTACCAATCTCAACCCACTTACCCAGACCCTCGTGGTAGCCGAAGATCTCCATACTGGGCTCGGTGTAAGGGTTGTAAGCAGGCTTGAAGCGGAGCTGGTGAATGTTCATCTTGGCGAAGAAGACTTCCATGAAGCCAATGAGACCACCGAGAGTCAGACCGAAGTCCGCAATCACACCCTCAATCTGGTGAAATTCGGCCAAGTGAGTGGCATCGACGGCCTCGTTTCGGAAGACACGATCGATACTGAAGAAGCGGGCCGGCCGCGGGTTGGCAGCGAGCTTGTGCAGCATGTATGCCGAAATGGAAGTAGTGTGAGTGCGGAGTACCAGACGCAGCGACTCGTCGGCGTTCCAGGGATAGCGATAACCAATTGAGCCGAACTTGCCCTTCTCGTGAACTTCGTGCACATTATCCCAGTATTGCTTGTAGTCAAGCGGCTTGTCCTTGGACGCCTTCGGGCAGTGCGGGTCGTTAGGAGGATCCTCACGAGGGCCGTCGGCAGTGAGAGGATCGGAGATGTAGAACGTATCTTGGAGATCGCGAGCGGGGTGTTGTTGGGGCACGAAGAGGGCGTCGAAGTTCCAGAAGCCGGTCTCGACGAAACGGTTGGTGGGCATCTCCTCGAAACCCATTTCGAAGAAAATGTTGCGGAACTCCTGGCGCACCTTGTTCAGCGGGTGCAGAGCACCAGACGGTGTCAGGGCACCCTTAGCGTTGAAGTTGTAGGGCTTGAACTGAGTGGTCTTCCAGGAGCCGTTGAGGAGCATCTCGGCTGTGAGGTCCGTCTCCTCCTTGACGAATTCGCGGGCGTATTTGGGGCCCTTGGAGAACTTGTAGGTGATTTCCTTGGTCAGGACAATCAGCTTCCTCCGCTTGAGATCGGCAATCGCCTTGGTATCGTCGAGGGTCTTGGTGCGCTGCACGGTCAGCAGAGCCTCACGGGTCGTATCGACGATGGTTTCCCGGGTAGCGCGCAGCAGATCCTTGTCCTTCTTAATCCAGCCGTGCTTGAAAGCATTTCCCTGGCCGACCTTGGCGTTGTCCTTCCCCACAATGGCAGGCAACTCGGTGATCTTCAGGCCGTCGAGGGCCTTGACAACGGCGTCAAAGACCTTGGCTTCGTGACTGCCATTGGCGGCAATATCCTCACCCTCGGGGGTCAGTGCAATGACATCCTTCTCAATTGCCTCATATTCGATCATCTGACGAGAACCCAGGCGGTCGAGGGCACTTTTGACGTTCAATGAGGGGTGGGAGGGGAGGGCTTCGCTGGAAAGGAGGGGTGCATCGGACGCGGACAGAGCGTCCAGGATCGGGGCAGTCAGGTCGGACGCCATGGCTGCGGCCTTTTCCTGTAGAGCAGTTGGCGGAAGCTGTGCGGAGCGTAGAGGAGGGGTCGGGCTTGACTCTGGCAGTGCCCGCCAAAATTATGACTCTTTTCCCGCATCGCGGTGCGGCGGGGCACAGCCACCACTTGCGCCGTTTCACCCCGCTGCTCATTCTACTATAGAGTGTTTACGAGGATCCTAGTACTAGGTACTATCCCAGACTTGTTTCCTAACACACGACCAAAAGCACGGGAGGAATGACCAATCAAGATTTGGTGTCGTACTTGTGGTTGAATTTGCCGGAACAGGGTATCTACTACTTGGTGTGTACAGATATCTACCTTATAGTGCTCTGAGGAAGGCTTGGGCGATACGACCCAGGATCAGCCCTTATCGGGGAAATTTTCAACTCTATCTCGATTTGCATCAAAACCGTGCGACCTTCAGACGTGTATTTTCTCGCGCAGCACAAGCACCATCAACCTGGGATCCTGTCGGCATGTGCCCGCCCGTCGCGTCTTTCTCCCTCGTTTGCGTTGCGGCACTCGGGGTGGCGGGGTTCGTCGCCAGGCTGATCATGCATCGGACCAATATCGACCATGTCAGTGCGTGAAGGCCTTCCTGACGTGGACTGAGGCCCTTTGCCGTTGAATCTGCGGACTGTTGATCTCTTGGCACCGGCATCTGGGATGACCGACTTTCATGCAGCCACTGTTGTCATCCTATGGGATCCTACCATCTCAGGAGGGTACCAGTCCCATCCCCCCTCCAGTGCGCAATACGATACACACCTACGCCCACCGCGAGGGATTGGGATACCGGCAACCAGATACACCGAGACCGTTAAACCTTCTCCGCCGCTGGCGTCCAGTCAGTGCCAAGCGGCCTCTCGCCGCACGAGGGCCAAAACGGGACCGGGAGGAGCAGTCTCAGCCACCCTGGGAGACGGTTTTTAGCGAAGTGGACATCGCCAGCTACGGAACAGTGGCAGAGTCGCCCCGAGACAGCCAACCGCATCGCCTTCCCACTGGCCGCGACTAAGGTTCGGACCCAGCGATACCCACCCGCAAGAACCGTTCCTCAGCATCAGGGCTTTAAGGCTGTCCAAACAACGTGGGAAAGGAGCGATCACGATGATAGGAGGCGGCCAAGGGGGATACCCAGCGAAAGAAGAATAGACTATTGACATCTCAAACAAACGAACTTCGGGATGACGAGACGGGACTTGCGATCGCCACTAGCCCGGCGATCATCACGCTTTCGAGGTTACTCGTTCGATAGCCCAGCGGACCAAGGGGGGATGAAACGGCTCAGGGCCAGATACTCCAGCATCCAAGCATCCTGGTCCCCTGAGAACTCTATCGCTCGTCCGTGCGTCCGAATTTCATGAAACTTTTGGTCGGCAGCGGTGGGTACGATGCATGTGTGTGTGGTGCGTGGATGCAGAAAAGCACCCTTGGGGCCTGTTCGAGTAGAGCAAGACAGTTTAGAGCAAAAAAAAAAGAGGAAATCGTCGGCATTGCCGCCCCTTTCGAAATCGAAATCCTCCCTCGAATTCCAAACTTCTTCCCTTCACCCCCTAACCCCTCATCCTTCGTCTTTTTTTCCCGACTCCATTCTTCGTGCATTCCATCCACTTTCTACCATCCACCTTCTGCTTTTCCCCCGCAAAAAAAGTGCTGCCAGCTTACATAACCCCCTTGCCGGGCGCTTTCTTTCAACACCCACCCCCCCTTTGGTCTCCGACTCGCTTCCCTCCCCATCATCCCCCCGAGTACCTCGGGCCGTGTCGATTTCCATCTTCCTGGTCCCGGCAAGCTTGCTTTCATATCGCCCCATGTCGTCCTAGGCCGTTCGTGGTATCTCTTGTGGCAGAAATCTCCGTCCGGTAAGTGCTGGGACTCCCGCTCGGCACCTCGAAGCAACCTCACCCCGAACTCCTGGCGGTACCATCTCGGCATCCTCCTTCGATTTTCGCCCATGTTCCCTGCCCTCCAGTTTCGTCGGATCTAGGGCTTTAGGCTTGGTGTGCGGTGGCTTGTTGATGTTTGAGTGAGGAGGTGAAAAAAAGGGTTCCCTCGCTAACAAGCTGCGTAGGGCACAATGACTGGTGCGGACGAGACTCTCGTGGCCGCGACTGCGGTATTACAGTCTCTGGCCAGGGACGAGCCCTCGGCTGGCTCATCTTCGCCCCCTTTTGATTTTCAATTTCCTTCGAGTAACGGTACCAAACATGCCACTCTCCCCGGAGAACCGAGTCCTGCAAAGGCCGCCTTCGAAGCCGAGTTGGAGGCTTTGGTGCGCCGCGTGCACCACCTGGAATTCCAAGCTGTCAGTCATCACACGTCCCCCGACAACCCCCAGCAGACCACACCGTCTGCTCTCGGATCCAACGAGAAGGACCCAGATTTTTTGTGGACCTTTGGGCTCGATCGCTTGTCGTCCGGTCAAGGTTCTGACTCTTCTTATTGCCTCACACAGCAGCAAAAACTGAATCAACCCGATCGGCGACAGCGGACCCCCTCGGGTCCCGAAGAACAACAACCGCCCCCGACTGTGGATCTCGACGATGACGAAACCGATGAGGAGGACGAGACCGGTGCCCGCACCCGGGTCGTCCGCGAAGAGGATATCAGCATCTTGCGAAACCACGTTCAGAAACAAGCCGAGGAAATCAGTTTCCAGAAGGACATCATTGCGCAGGTCCGTGACGAACTGCAGAAACAAGAGGAGCATACTCGCCGTGCTCTGACCAAGGTGGAGAACGAGGACGTTGTTCTCCTGGAACGTGAACTACGCAAGCATCAACAGGCAAACGAGGCTTTCCAGAAAGCCCTACGGGAAATCGGTGGTATCATTACACAAGTCGCCAACGGTGATCTGTCCATGAAGGTTCAGATTCACCCGCTGGAGATGGACCCGGAAATCGCTACATTCAAACGAACGATCAACACTATGATGGACCAGCTGCAAGTATTCGGTAGTGAGGTGTCTCGAGTCGCCCGTGAGGTCGGTACCGAGGGCATACTCGGCGGACAAGCTCAAATCACCGGCGTCCATGGTATCTGGAAGGAACTGACGGAGAACGTGAACATTATGGCCAAGAACTTGACGGATCAGGTGCGAGAAATCGCTGTCGTTACAACTGCTGTCGCGCACGGTGATCTCAGTCAAAAGATTGAGAGCCGCGCTCAAGGTGAAATTCTGGAACTGCAACAAACGATCAACACCATGGTGGATCAACTGAGAACATTCGCAACGGAAGTGACACGAGTCGCCCGCGACGTCGGTACGGAAGGTGTGCTAGGAGGTCAAGCGCAAATCGAAGGCGTACAGGGCATGTGGAACGAACTCACGGTCAATGTCAACGCAATGGCCAATAATTTAACTACGCAAGTGAGAGATATCGCCACCGTCACCAAGGCCGTCGCCAAAGGTGATCTGACGCAAAAGGTGCAAGCCAATTGTCGAGGAGAAATCGCCGAGCTGAAGAACATTATCAATTCCATGGTGGATCAACTGCGTCAATTCGCGCAAGAAGTCACAAAGATTGCAAAGGAGGTCGGGACAGATGGTGTACTCGGCGGGCAAGCGACAGTCAACGACGTTGAAGGTACATGGAAGGACCTAACCGAAAATGTCAACCGAATGGCCAATAATCTCACCACCCAAGTGCGTGAGATCGCGGATGTCACCACGGCCGTCGCAAAGGGTGACCTGACGAAGAAGGTCACCGCGAATGTCCAGGGTGAAATCTTGGATCTGAAGAGCACTATCAACGGCATGGTGGACCGTCTAAATACGTTCGCGTTCGAGGTCAGCAAGGTCGCCCGTGAAGTCGGTACCGATGGTACACTTGGTGGACAGGCCAAGGTCGATAATGTGGAAGGAAAATGGAAGGATCTCACCGACAATGTCAACACCATGGCCCAGAACCTTACCTCGCAAGTGCGAAGTATATCCGACGTGACGCAGGCCATTGCCAAGGGTGATCTGAGCAAGAAGATTGAGGTGCATGCTCAGGGAGAGATCCTAACCCTGAAGGTCACTATCAACCACATGGTGGGTCGACTAGCCAAGTTTGCTTCAGAACTGAAGAAGGTCGCTCGCGATGTCGGCGTAGATGGCAAAATGGGTGGGCAGGCCAACGTCGAGGGGATCGCGGGTACCTGGAAAGAAATCACCGAGGACGTCAATACAATGGCCGAAAATTTGACGTCTCAAGTGCGTGCGTTTGGTGAAATCACTGATGCGGCCACAGATGGTGATTTCACCAAGCTTATTACGGTCAACGCCTCGGGCGAAATGGACGAGTTGAAACGCAAGATCAATAAAATGGTTTCCAACCTGCGAGACAGTATTCAGCGAAACACTGCCGCTAGGGAGGCGGCCGAACTTGCCAATCGTACCAAGTCCGAATTCTTGGCCAACATGTCGCACGAAATCCGAACCCCGATGAACGGAATCATCGGAATGACCCAGCTGACGTTGGATACGGACGATCTCAAGCCATATACCCGTGAGATGCTGAATGTTGTGCACAACCTGGCCAACAGTCTGCTCACAATCATCGACGATATACTAGATATCTCGAAGATTGAAGCCAACCGAATGGTGATCGAAAGCATTCCATTCACCGTGCGCGGCACTGTCTTCAATGCCCTGAAGACTTTGGCTGTCAAGGCGAATGAGAAATTCCTGAGCTTGACCTACCAAGTCGACAACACCGTCCCTGACTATGTCATCGGTGACCCCTTCCGTTTGCGCCAAATCATTCTCAACTTGGTTGGGAACGCCATCAAGTTCACCGAGCATGGCGAGGTCAAACTCACGATCCGGAAATCAGACCGCGAGCAATGCACAACAAACGAATACGCCTTCGAATTTTCCGTTTCTGATACCGGTATTGGTATCGAGGAAGACAAGTTGGATCTGATTTTCGACACTTTCCAGCAAGCCGATGGCTCAACCACCCGCCGCTTCGGCGGTACGGGTCTTGGTTTGTCCATTTCCAAGCGTTTGGTCAATTTGATGGGCGGAGATGTATGGGTCACCTCTGAATATGGCCACGGCAGTACTTTCCACTTCACCTGCGTGGTCAAGCTCGCCGACCAGTCCTTGAAGGTCATTGCTTCTCAGCTCATGCCGTATCGCGACCACCGAGTTCTCTTCATCGACAAGGGCCAGAATGGTATCCAGGCTGCTAACGTCATGAAGATGCTGAAGCAGATCGACCTGGAGCCGTTGGTTGTGCGGAATGAAGAGCACGTACCGCCGCCCGAGATCCAAGATCCTTCTGGAAAGGAGTCTGGCCATGCTTACGATGTCATCATCGTGGACTCCGTGGATACCGCTCGAATTCTGCGCACATTTGATGAGTTCAAGTATATCCCCATCGTGTTGGTTTGCCCCTTGGTCTGCGTGAGCTTGAAGTCTGCTCTGGACCTTGGTATAAGCTCGTACATGACGACCCCCTGCCAGCCTATTGATTTAGGTAACGGTATGCTGCCGGCTCTGGAGGGCCGTTCGACACCGATCACCACCGACAACTCCCGCTCCTTCGATATCCTTCTTGCCGAGGATAACGACGTAAATCAGCAACTTGCGATGAAGATTCTTCAGAAGCACAACCACAATGTCTTTGTTGTTGGAAATGGTCTGGAAGCTGTTGAAGCTGTGAAGGAGCGTCGCTATGACGTTATTCTCATGGACGTTCAAATGCCTGTTATGGGTGGATTTGAAGCCACTGGCAAGATTCGGGAATACGAGCGCGCGAGTGGACTGCAGAGAACTCCGATCATTGCCCTTACGGCCCACGCCATGTTGGGAGATCGTGAGAAGTGCATCCAGGCCCAGATGGATGAGTATCTATCCAAGCCGCTCAAGCAAAACCAGATGATGCAAACCATCCTCAAGTGCGCCACGCTTGGTGGCTCTCTGCTCGAGAAGAGTAAGGAGTCTCGGATTTCTAGCAGCGGCGAAATGCATCCCATCCACTCGTCAGTCTCTTCCGACAGCCAAAATCAGCAGCAACAACAGCAGTCTTCAAATCAGAAGCCTCTGCCGACTCCACCGCGACCTGGCGGTGCTGAGACTCGGGCCGTCACCACCTCTGGACCCATTGCGCGGGGCAGCGTGGTGAGCCCCACAGAGGAAAAAGACGAAGAGATGATCGATGATCGGGTACGTTAAAGCATGTATGTCGCAAAGGACAACACGCCCAAACAGTTGGACTAATTCATTCCATGTCTATTCAGTCATTACTGCGATCCAACAGCACCTGAGCTCGTCTGCATCTCTCTGAACATTTTACTTGACCGCCAAGCAGATCTGCCTTGATGATTTCGATTTGGCCGTGATACCCTGTCTATATGAGTCTTTTTGAGCGCTCTCTAAGACCTCTTTGAGAGGGGACCGCAAGAGCCTCAACCCTTTTTCTTTGTTTTGCTATTTATTCTTCTCATACCCACCTACCTCATCATCCTGTGATCCCAGCTTCACATTTGACCTTTGTTTCTGCATTCGTTTATCTTGGCCTTTATCCTATTTATTCGCGGTGTTTGGCGCATTTTTATTTTATTCGACAAGGGCTTGGGCAGTCAAGTGGGATATGACTAAAGGGGGAGTTTGCAACAAGAAGGCGTGTTTTTTTGTCTTTATTATCCCTCGGGGATTTCCAGTGTCGTCACATTTGCCATCTATTCTCTCGCTTGCAATCTTGCCTCGGAGCCTGCTTCTTATTTTGTCATCATTTCTACTTTTGTATTGTACCTAGTTGCTTCTTTCGCGTTCTTGTCAAGCCACTCAATTTTGGTGCGAGGGAGAACGCCCAGGGTTCCGAGGCTTCAAGTACTATTTTTCCTCATTCGCTGCCACCGGTGGTGGTGCATTAGTTACTTGGTTCTTGGAGGAGGATTCGATCATCTCGAACTGCGAGGCCAAAATGCAAGGCTTATTTTCTTTGAACTGCCTAGCATTCCCTAGTACTACACTGCGTAAATTATCCCCCTTTCCGGCGCTTTTATGCATCAACTTTAGCAATGTATGGTTTGATCTAGGTGCTCCATTGTATTGCACTAAAGATGGCCAGCTTCATGAAATCAGACTAAACAAAACAGCAAATTTTGATTATCTATTTCAGTCGTCCATTCTCAGCAAGATTACAACACCCCAATTAAACCATGTTCCATCTCTATCTATTATCTCCCCCTGCTCGACCCGAAATTACTAGCAAATTAAGTCGGAACCAACGACCTAGTTCCAAGCACGACCCCACCGCGGTCTAAATGGCTGCACATCGGTCGTCGTCGCAGTGGTGAACTGAGTCGAGATACCCGTCAGGTTAAGAGCACTCGTCGCATTCGAGAAAGGACTGCTCGTGTTAGTGAACGGCGCAGTTATATTTCCCAGCATACCCCGGGGAACCATACCCGGCTCCCGTCGAATGATATTGGGGTCTCGTCGTTCGATATGAGAGCCCCGTGATTTGACGCTGGACGTAATGGAGGCTTTGGGGTGGGTGCTCGATTCGCCGGCCGTGTCGGAGGACGATTCCGGTGGTGCGGTTGACGAGGGGACTGTGGTCAGGGTGCTCTCGCTGGAGGACGGATTGCTGCTCGTTGAGGGGCTCGCGCTAGAGGAAACAGTGTTGCTTGTCAAGGTATTCGCACTGGAAGATGGACTGTTGGTCGTGCGAGTGCTCGGAATCAAGGGAGTCGAGCTCTTCGAGGTCGTGACGGGTGCGGTATTCGATGTGCCTGCGCTGGATGCACTTCCAGAAGCACTGCCAGAGGATGTACTGCCAGATGTGCTTCCAGAGGCACTCCCGGGGGCACTCCCGGAGGCAGTCCCGGAGGATGTACTGCCAGAGACGCTTCCAGAGGCACTGCCTGTTGTCGATACACCACCGCCTCCGGTGCTCGAGGGTTTGCCGGAGGAGCCGCCGCCAGAAGCGCTGCCAGATGCTGAGCTTCCACCGCCAGCACCGCCAGCACCGCCAACTCCGGGGTTTCCTCCGCCTTCTGACGGACCTCCACCGCCGCCAACAGGAGGGCCTCCTCCACCTGACGGACCACCACCTCCTCCGCCTGGAGGTGGCTCACCTCCACCGGCTACAGAACCACCACCAGATGTCGGGCAGCTTGTCACAGTCATGGTCGTCGTGGAGACAGAGGAAGTGGGAGAGCAGAATGGAGCACAGAAGGAAGAGATATCGGGACAGTTCGATCCAGAGCCGCCAGGACCAGGGCTAGTACCACCTCCAGGGCTTCCACCACCAGGACTACCACCGCCAGGGTTGGTGCCAGTTCCACCACCGGTAGAAGTACCACCGCCAGGAGAAGTACCACCGCCAGGAGATGTCCCTTCTCCAGGGGATGTGCCACCGCCACCAGGGGAAGTGCCTCCACCAGGAGAAGTACCACCGCCAGGAGATGTTCCTCCTCCGGGAGACGTACCACCACCGGGAGATGTACCACCGCTAGGGCTTGTACCGCCGCCGCTGGGAGAAGTACCGCCGCCAGGGTTGGTGCCACCGCCAGGACTTGTCCCTCCGCCAGGGCTGCCAGTAGATCCAGGACTGGTTCCGCCTGAGCTTGTCTCACTAGGGCCACCTCCAGGAGATGTGCCGCCGCCAGGAGAAATTCCTCCTCCAGGGGAGGTGCCTTCACCAGGGGAAGTACCACCACCAGAGGAAGTACCACCACCAGAGGAAGTACCACCGCCAGCAGATGTGCCGCCGCCAGGAGATGTCCCTCCTCCAGGGGAGGTGCCTTCACCAGGGGAAGTACCACCAGCGGGAGATGTGCCGCCACCTTCTCCTCCAGGGGAGGCGCCGCCTCCGGGAGACGTACTACCTCCAGGAGAGGTTTCACCACCGCCTGGAGCGCCGGTAGAGCCAGGTGAACTTGAGCAGGGACTTTCTCCGCCACCAGAGGAGCCACCATTGGTCGAAGAACCAGAGGAGCTACTCTCGGAGGATTCTCCTCCCGATATGCCAGTCTCTTCGCTGGGGGGAGTTTCCGTAGCAGAGGCAACAGCCGATGTCAAAGAACTCATATCGGCAACATTGTGGCGCTCTAAGAGGCGCCGATTCTCGTCACGGTTGGTGAGAATGGCAACCTCATCTGCATTGGCCGGAAAACCCTGCAGAAGTATGCAAGTAGCAGCGGCCAAAAAGGCCAGGCAATTTTTGGCATACATCATGAGAGGTCAAAGAGGCTGAGGGTATAGAGGAATCGATCGACAATAGTATTCAATCCGAGGTCTAACTCTCGCAGAGATGGGAGTTGAGACGCCCCCGGAATACTGAAGGCCAGAATTAGGCAGAAGGGTATGAGAAAGTAGCCAAAATGAAGTGGAAGTGACGATAACGACGTAAAACGAGATTTGAAGCAAATTTAAAGCAATGCCAATTTGATACAGACCACAGCGTTTGCACTATCCTTTGTAAAGAGAGGATTAAATGAACACAGACGATCTGGACAATAGCAATAGCGAAGATGGAGACGAGATAGACGAGGATAGGAGGAACAAAAGGGCAGAAAAGCAAACGACGAGGGTCGACCAGAGACGAAGACCTTGTAATATGTAGCGCATAGTGGAAAACTCTGCGCATGGTGATGGTGGCGCGATGTCATCGACGTGGTAGAAGTGAGGTCTATTGTTTGTGCCGAGTTTGGTGCGCGCAAGCCCTATCTGGGCGGTTTCCGTGGTCCTCCGCAAGGTTTCCCTTGTCCGGATGGAAATCTATCCCGCCGGTTTTCCCAGGGCTAACCAAGCTACAGGTACCATCATTGTGACTGCCTCGTTACATAGATTGTGTTCGGGCAGAGGAGGATGGGGAGGACGTTCCTGCGGGAGATCTTATGTTATGGGAGCACGTGGTGGGTGATATTATTGTAGCATGTATATCGAGATAATCATGCAACTGCTGAAGGTGAATCAGAGCAAAAGGATAATCAATATTAGTAACTAGGAGCCAATTGAGTCTGTATTAAAATCTGTGAAATGCACGCTGTTCGTGGACTGCTCATCTCGTCGTGGGGAGAACATATATGTCAAAATCGCTCGGCAATCAATCTGTCAATAAGCTTAAAAATCGCAGGACTCAAAAATTTTACTTGCACATTCCTTTTATTGTTTATCTTCATCAAACTGTGTCGCATGTGCTCAGATTAATGGAATGGAGTCGCAACCAGCTGGACCTATGCACTGCAGAGCTAGTAAATAGCCAGTGGACGACGCCAGCCAACCTGGATGACCTTGACAGCCGTGCAGCAGGCCAGACCGGCCGCGTAGCAAACAGTGGTGAATGCAATAAGACCCCAGTACTGTCCATTGCAGCGCGACAGGATTTCACCGGCAATGGGGATACCAGTCAAAGTTCTGGTGGCGAAAGCATGTCAGTCAACAATATACATGACATCAGGGGAAGGTGTTGTAGACACAAGGCTTACCCGAAGCTCACAATGGTATAGGCGGTTGCGTAATATCGGCCGTAATTCTCGGTCTTGCAAAGCTGACCGACGCAGACTGGCGTCAAACTGATGTTACTTCCACTGGCAAAGCCAAAGAGTACGGCATAGACGATTAGCAATGCTAGGCTGTCTCCAGCAGGGAGCCATAGGCATGCATTGCACAGCAAGCAAAGAGCCACGGTCGCGATTAGCGTGTTGAACCGACCGAGATAATCCGCAAAGAATCCCGGAAGCCATCTTCCGAAGAACGAGCCGACGTTCAGGATAGCTACGATCTGGTATGATAGTGCCGTGGGGAATCCATGGTCGAGGGCATAGGAAGAGATGTAACTGATCGGCACGAAAAGACCCCACTCGATAAAGAAGACACTGGCGGTCGTCAGTGCGAAGCGCGGCTCGCGGAAGATCCGGAAGTCCGGGAGGATGTTCTCCTTGTTGAAGGGCCGCTTGGGCAGGCGGGATCGAATGAGGAGGTTGGCGAATCCAAAGGCGATCAGACAGATCAGCGCTACGACGCGGGTCGCCCAGCCCCATCCAATCTTGGGGAAAAGGCTTTGCAGGATCAATGGGAACGCGATACCTCCAATTGAGCCGCCGGTTGCAGCAATGCCTGTTGCGACTCCACGCTTTTCGAAGAAGTAATGACCGATGGCCGAGATGGCAGGGGTGAATATCAAAGTCGCACCCAGTCCGCCGAGAACACCGATCACCAGCATGAAATGCCAATACTGGGTGCAGAATCCCACGAGGATAATCATCGCCATCTCGCAGACAGAACCCGCCAGAACAAGCAAGCGAGGTCCCCGAGCATCGAAAATTGGGCCGATCTGCACGCCACAGAAAAAGGTCAGGAAGGCGTACATGCCGAAAATCCATCCGATACTGCCGGAGCTGTAGTCTTTCAGCTGGTGAGTCTCGATGTACGCTTGGAAAGTACCGATGGTGTTGACGAGTCCCAGCGAGCCAAAAAGGCCCAGGAAGCTTCCCAGCACGACCAGCCAGGCTTCCAGCCCACCTTCGGGATAGGTGTTTCCCTCTGCATCAGTCGTCACACGGCTCACAGGGTCTCTGTGAAAGGAGCGGTGCGAGGGTGCCACAGTCGACGCCACCTGATAGAAGTCTTCGTCGTTGTTTGCAGTTGCTGGCTCATGTTCTGCATTCTGGTTGGGAGTGTGGGTTTGGGCATGCTTTTCAAAGTCGGTGACATGCGTACCAGTCCTTTCCAAATCCGCGGTGGTCACCTGGCCCTCTCTCTCCGAGGGAGGAGAGTCGATGGTATGGTCGAAGTTGGGAGCGACGCCATGTTGATGTGGATGGCGGCCAGATGCGTTTGATGTGGTGGTGGTGAGCCCCGAAAAAGTAGACATTCTACGCGGGGGTTGCCGCCGTGTGTCTCTTTGTTTTCACTTGTTTTCCGCGGAGGATTTTGCCGGAAGAGGGCCCTGGTGTTGATGTTCACAGTCTCCAGAGACGAGGTGTAAGGATTTGGGGGAGGATGAAGCATTCAAAAAGTCGAGGAGGGGTTCGACCATCATCTCCAAGTCGGAGCTCGGAGTCATCACGGCGGAATGCACCCCATTGGCCTGGTTCCTGGGGTTCTTTCTAGACCGTTTTCATCACGCAAAAAAAATTGGTCGCGGGTGGCCAATCCTGATGCTGAAGCCGGCGGGCAAGTGGGCCACGCTCCCCCGACGGTCCACCCGGCTCGACTGTATACATCAACCCGCTGGACAAGCCCCGTCTTCTCCGTACAGTATGGATGGGGTGCCCGAGAATATAGCACCCTCGTGCGGCAGACAAATGGCATCTCTGGTCAACACCAGGGTATGTCATGATTTCATGGCGTTGGTGCATCTCGGAGAGTTCAGCGAATCACGTCTGCATCGACATGCGCCCTCCGACAGTCGGCCGTGGATTAATAATTCCGCTTTGTCTCCAGCAGATGATCAACAGTCGAGCTCACCTTGAAAGAAGATCCAGACCATTTTGCGTCGCTGGAGATGGGTATTTCCTCAAGGGCGAATGTGCTGGATCGAAATGGGCAATTATTAGTGCGGAGTAGCGGGGCAGATACTCGGGCCGTTTAAAGTACGATCCTTAGCAGAAACTGCCATCGCCTTTGTATCTCCATGTAGATGAATGCGACAGTCATCCTTGCCCGTAGAACCTTGGCGTCCAGGTGTGGTCGTAGTGAGTGAAAGGCACCCGCCTACTCGCGTCACCGGTTCCGCGGGTATCTTTCCCGAAACAGCTAGCCTCGTTTTGCCAAAATCTGCACCAGTCTTCAACAGCTGGGCTTGTGGTTTAGTGGTATAATACCCCCTTAGCATGGGGGTGGTCCGGGGTTCGATTCCCCGCGAGTCCATCTTTTTGCTTCCGTCTGCTCTTTTTAAAGCCTTGGTCTCGTGAAGTAAGAGTGGTTCTTTTTTGGGGATTTAGTCGGAAATGACCGAGGAAGGGTTTCCAATGGATGGGGTTTTTCAATTGCGATTGGTGTACGCAAGGATTTGATTCATGCAACAGTGCCATGTGTGCTGGTGGGTTTTCTTTTTCGTTGTCGAATGCGCTGGTCAAATATATATTCACATCAGTGGGGGGATGGTATATTGCGGATGTCCATATGGGATCACCAGGGCTTTAATCATCCGAACTCAATCATCCCATGTATACATTGAGTCCGACATGCAGCTGCTAAGATCAACACCGCCAAAAGCTTAGCATTCGAAACTTGCAATTTCAGCCCAGGTACCATCGCAGGAGCCAACACCAGCCCCCCCCCACATTCATCGCCGGGTCCTGATTGTCAAGGGGCCTTCCAACCTGAGGTGGTTCAGATTATCTGTGCTAGCTCAGCCAGTCGATTCCCTTGATAGACTTTTCTAAATCACGCCTCTATCTCCGACAATATACCCATTGCTAGGCGATCCGACCTGCATGGCCACACCATGCCTGAGCGGGGAGAGCTGGCGTGGTTATCGTCTAACCGATGTCACTGTACATCTGATATGAGGGGAAGAGGCGATATCCGAACCAATCGAGCAGTCAAATTCAACACAGCCCCCCCACAAAGTTTCCCCGAGAACATTCAGGCTTTTGCCATCGCCGAACGTCCGATAAGCCTATATCCCGGAATCCCGTCGCGAGCCCGGAGAGCCCTATTTTCCAGCATATCATTCACCCCCAGACAAAACCAGACGCAGGGACGAAGGACGTGTTAGGCTGCTAAATTCATTCCAACGCGGCCAGTTTAGCCTTTGCAACGCAGCATCGACCAAGGAACCAGCAAGACAGAATGGACAAGGCAGGCAGATCGGCACTCGCAGAGCCGGGAGTTTCCCCGACGACTTGCCATTTCCGGGGCGTTTCTGAACCCCGCTTGAGCGCCGCCTGACCTCAGTGGCTCATTGCTATCGCCGGGGGGAAGTGTGGAGGCGCAAGAAGAAGCATCGCCTAGCCGGGTGCTAACCATGTGGTGGAGTCGGATGCCAGGAAATCATGCGGATTTCTGCTCAGCACTCCGTCTTCCGAAGCTATTTAACTCGGCTTCGCTGCTCCACTCGGTGAGAATAGCCCTTCGCCCGTGGGACTGCCCCCTAACCTCATAATTAATTTCGCCTGGCTTGCAATGTTGTTGAAGTCGGTTGTTACCTCTGCTCTCCTGGCCATCTTCGTGGGCTCGGAGACCGTTACGGCATCCAAACATGGTCGCTTTGCAGAGCGCGCCCGTGCTCCCTTGGAGAACGCCAAACGAACGGTAGAGGCTGCTCATGCGAAACATGTACGGACCGAAAAGGATTTTCGGTTCGAAAGCAAGAAGACAGAGAGTAAGTATTGTCGTTCCGTATCGGCGCATCTTCGTTGTCAGACCATCGGACCTGACGGTTAGTGCAGAGTACTTGGTCAATCACTTGCCCGATGTGCCCTTCGACATTGGTGAGATGTACTCCGGTCTGATGCCGATCGACATGAACAATGCTTCCCGGGCGCTGTTTTTCATCTTCCAACCAACAATTGGAGAACCGGTGGATGAAGTTACAATATGGCTGAATGGCGGCCCTGGCTGCAGTTCCATGGAGAGTTTCCTTCAGGAAACCGGCCGTTTCTTGTGGCAGCCTGGTACCTTTGCACCAGTGGAAAACCCCTATTCCTGGGTGAACCTGACCAATGTGCTATGGTAAGTGTCAGACTGAGGGGGCGAATTGTGCTCCATAAGCAGTAGCAAGAGCAGTGCTCTAACATCCCTCAAGGGTCGATCAGCCAGTGGGAACTGGCTATTCAATTGGTACACCCACTGCCACAAGCCAAGAGGAAACGGCACAGGATTTTGTCAAGTTCTTCAGGAACTTCCAAAAGACATTCGGAATCAAGAACTTCAAGATCTATGTCACCGGCGAAAGTTACGCTGGTCGTTATGTCCCTTATATCTCTGCCGCCATGCTGGATAAGAATGACAAGGAGTATTTTGATCTGCACGGTAAGCGATGATGAAAAGGTCCAATTGGGTATGGAAAAGAGGCTAATCTCGAAACAGGTGCCTTGGCCTATGACCCCTGCATTGGCCAGTTCGACTACGTCCAGGAGCAAGTACCCGTCGTGCCGCTCGTTCAGAACAACGCGAATCTTTTCAACTTCAATGAGTCCTTCATGGACGAGCTTGAACACCTCCACAAAACCTGCGGATACAGCGACTTCATCGACAAATACCTGACCTTCCCTCCACCCGAGGAGCAGCCCCCCAAGATGTTCAACTACACCACTGACGGCAAGTGCGATGTCTTTCACATGGTGTACAACGAGATCTTCAAACTCAATCCCTGCTTCGACCTGTACGAAATCAACCTGATGTGTCCCTTGCTATGGGATGTACTGGCCTTTCCCACTTCGCTCGATTACCAGGCTCCAGGCTCGACCGTCTACTTCGATCGAAAGGACGTCAAGCGTGCCTTGCATGCGCCTAACGTGACCTGGGCCGAGTGCTCAGCTGAGCCTGTGTTCGTGGGTGGCAGTTCCGGCCCTGAGCAAGAAGGTGATACTTCTGCGAACCCCATCGAAAAGGTCCTGCCCCAGGTCATCGAGGCCACGAACCGTGTTCTCATTAGCAATGGCGACTATGACATGGTCATCATCACCAACGGCACACTGCTAGCTATCCAGAACATGACCTGGAATGGTCACCTCGGCTTCCAGGAGGAGCCAGGAACTCCCATCAACATTGAAATTCCCGACTTGATGTATAAGAGTGTCTTTGAGGAGAACGGCGCCCAGGGCCTGGACGGTCCCCAGGGTGTGATGGGTATTCAGCACTTCGAGCGTGGACTTATGTGGGCCGAGACATACATGTCTGGTCACATGCAGCCGCAGTATCAGCCGCGTGTTTCTTACCGCCATTTGGAGTGGCTGCTCAATCGCACCGACTCGATCTGAGTTTGAAACTGGGGCCTATATATAGAAAATGAGGACATATACCACCATTATGGATATGACCATGTAAATAGTATATAGCAACGGACATGTGCGATGAATGAAAAGCGAGCTTTTCCCTCGTGATCACGCCCGATCGACCCTTTGAAATGACTCAGTCAGCAATAATAGATCTTAAGGTAGGACGAAAGGCAACCACTAAAGTTGCGCGGCACTTATTTACAACATCTCTTACAGGTGTGACAGACCTAATAATAAGTACGTGTATTCCGGTCTTACCCCAGAAAACATGAAACCGGTCCGGATCACCCTTGCATCCGGCCCCATATGGCACCAGCTCATCTCGGCCCTATCAGCACCCTCTGAATCAGCCATAAGCGCAATGAGGACATTCCAAGAGTTTCCCGCGGAAAACCTTGATATTCCGTTATCTCAATCAGCGCAAGAAGATCCTTCGAATCTGCAGCGAAGGAACGAAAATGCTTATCTCGTGATGTCAGATATGTCCGCCACCGGGACTGCTTTGCCATTTTGAGTTATCTTTTGACAAAAACCCCTCATTCTTCAAGGCTGCGTTAGGCCGAGGTGGAGGAGTGCCGAAGTATTGGGTTGGGCCCGTCGCGCTTCTGAACTTTCAATTGTCGTGCCGAGAAGGGGTTTCACAGGGGTGGTAAGAATGGCGGCCATTGATATACTTTATATGTCCGGTCCGTGAACGGGATGTGCTTAGGGTTCCGGGGCGGGATTTCGAGGCGCGTTGGTGGCTTGCTTACTGTGGAAGTCGAGCCGACGTATATGAGCGAATATGCTTTAGTTTATTACATATGCTCTATACAGGCGGGGTTATTCTTGGCTGCGTTCCTGGTCTGGTTACGTTGCCATGAGTGTTCCTCCGAGGCCCAGGGATCTGCATGATTATCGATAGGGAGCCTTAGTGGGCCCTGTCGGTACTTATCCCAAAGCCTATCATCCTATTACAAACACTAGATGGAGAAGTACCTGTGAGATATGACTCAATTTGATGATTCATTTAGAATTCCTACCCCGAGCCTTGCCGGATCAACCAGGTAAATGCGGCATATTCGATATTGATCTATTCCGTCCAAGCGGATTCTTTCCTGCGGCATACATGAACATTTCATGCCAATTGAAGAATTTACAGATATTCATAGCTGAAAAGGTGTGCTCCGGTAAACCATCTTCAGAGAATATAAGACGCATAGGACTACTCCGGGAATACACGATAGGCAATTCCTGCGCAGCGATACGTCGTACGCAAGAAAATACATGCAGACATAACACGCGAGCCTCGCGTGGATGAAAGGACCTGTGATACACCATCCACGTGCAGGGTCGTCCCTGCGATGCCTTTCAAAGCTTTCAGAGACCATCTGATTGCCTGTCTGCAGCCTCGAGTGAGCCAAAGCGTAGGGATTGGCATACAGTACGGCAGCGTGGGGTAGTATTTCCATACCCGCTAGATCGGCGTTACTCAATACGAAGCGTTGAAGCTGAAAGAATATGCCTCAGTGGAGCAATCCTTCCGATAGTTACTTTTTTTGGTGAAGATCCTTTTCGTCCAGCCAGTTTGAGAGACAATTGATTCAAGTCACATTGGGCATTGTGGTATTGTCATCGATGGTACCGAATCCACAAGGCAATCGGGCATTGCCGAGGGACCACCCCCAGTCTCCATGCCGAAATGAAGAGACGGGATACACGTCCCATACAAAGTGCATTGCAGACGCATCCTCACACTACCATCCGATATTATGGTAGTGTACCTTAGGGTTATGTAGGATTGGGGGTAATCGCGACAAGCAGTGGATTGTGGCGGCTCCTCGGTACACACGTTACAAGGGGGCGTTGACCGAGCGTAATTTTAATTACCATCGGCCGGTGGAAAGTGCAGGATTCTAGCAAAACGAGATATGATTGGCGCAACGGACTGCAAAACATGAGCGTCCAGTCAATTGGTGTGCATTGGGGGGTGGTAGAAGTCTTAGTCTCTCCACCCATGGCTCCCAGAGGGCCGTCGAGAGTCGTCCCGAATGCGGCAAAGATGCTCGGAGAGATCTTGGGTGAGAGAAGTCGTGCTCGCGAAATCACAATTTCCCATGGGTAGTCCGAGGGAGAACCTTCGGTGAACCTGCGAGGGATCGGCTGAAGGAGAAGGCAAACGCATCCATTCACATTGGATGTAGCCATTGTGCAGCTGGGGTAGTGCCAAAGAGATAATCCTCACGGGCCAATTGAGGCAACAGGGAGATGACGTCGTCCCGAGCACGTGGAGGCCGTCGCATTCGGGTTTCGGTTTTGCCTGCCGGTTTTCTTCCAGAATTACATACTCGAATCCTAGGATACGAAGTCAACTGGGGGTCCCTCGGGGTACCCTCGGATGGTTGAGAGAAATCACGCTGAATCCGAATCTAAGCGTCGGCGCCGAAATTTGCCATCGGCATGTCGCCTCGCCGACGAGATTTTCTGCAGTTCCAATTGGCCACCCTACGGCGGACTTCTCTCGGCTCTTTTCGAAGCTGGACATCTGTCGAGCCTATCTTGCACCTGCTTGTATGATATCGGAGGCATTGTTTTCAATTAGTGATCTAGGGTATATTGTTCGACTATCATCGATGATAGGGAAGATATCGACCGTACTAAATTACGTTGTCAGAGTTAAGGGAGTCTTCACGGACCGTGAGAGCGGACCGTGTTGCTCCCAAAGCGGCCCGAGCTGTAGTCAGCCAGAGTCGACCGCTGAACATGACGCCTCCTGGCGATCGCCCGCCAGGGTGTGGCTGCGCTATGCCGTGTCCGGCCGGATGCTCAGGGCACGCGAGATCCTCCTTTCTGCCCACCGTATTTTTACAATTTTTGATCTTTTTTCTATAGTGCCTTTCCCCTTCTTTCAAGACCTGTGCAGCTCCTCTTCCAGAAGATACAATCACAGCTCTATTCTCCATAAAAATTGACAGCATTCGTTCCCCACCAGCTTACCCCCATCTCCATGATCCGGTATGGTAATTTACCGTACCAAAACCAAACCCCAGACGGAGTGGCCGCACCCGAAACTCTGTTGGGTTCTGCTAAGCCTCTCACAACTATTGGTGCGCCCACCTGGACCCACTCTGCCCCGGCCTTGCCGCAGTTTGGAAAGAACCGGTCAACCCGTAATTTAAAGTGGAAATCGTGAAGGGAAATGAGTGAAGGCGCGATGCCCTCCCCCAGAGTTCCGTGGGTTCGACTTTTCCTCCTGGTCGCTATATAGGCCTGCATGTTGCCCACCCTTCTTCCTTTGATTTCCTCTTTCCCTGTCCACAACCTTCCGAGAGTCTTGCTCTCATTGCATAATATATACCATCTTTCCCCATTTGGGTTTAAGGAAAGCTACCTTGAGCTTTGCTCACCCAACCCTTCCTCTCAAGAAGACCCCCTCCTTGCTCATTTATATCTCTCCCCTCAAGAAAGAAAGAAAAAGACAAAGATTTGCTACGACTTTTGTTCTCGAGTAGCAAGCCGCAATACTTGAGCAACAACACGCATACTTTCGTGCGACAGCCTACGTCCTCAGCCCAACTTTACATGGAATATCTCTCTGCGACTTTATTACGACTGCACGCCCCTTTCGAGTTAACCTACCATACCAACCATTTGATTGCACCAACATTGTAGTTCTGCCCAGACCAACAAACAACTCACAAAGATACCACCACCCATCGGACGGACCCGCCAGTTACAGCAGATAGCAACACCGCCCCCGGAACACCACCCATTTTGTCTCTTCCCAGGCGACTTGCCCATAAACCGCCACGATGGGGTTCCAGAAATTCAATCCCTTCAAGAGGGACCGCCAGAACTTCCCGGGTGTTGTCATCCCTCTGGCTGATGCCCCTGCCCCAAAAAAGCCCGACATGAACGACGAGAAGAAGGCTGAGCTTTCGGATACCAACAAGTCTTTGGAGCGCGCTTCATCAGCTGAGAATGGCTCTGCTGGTGACTCTGTGCAGGAGCCCTCCCACCGGACCCTTGAGTCTCTACGCGCCGAAATTGATGCGGATGAATCAGGCCGCAACTCGGTGTATGATCGTATGTGCTTCCCTCTCTTCGGTCTCCTTTCTGCGATCCCCAATGCGCCAGTCCATATTTCCCCAACGTTTGCTGCGGCGTAAGTACTTGAACATTTGATGTCTAACTGGACTACTTTACAGGCAAGGCCAAGGTCATCAACAGCGCCCTCAAGGATATCGGCATGGGCCGTTACCAATGGCAATTATTCTTCCTCTGTGGTTTCGGCTGGCTTGCAGACAAGTAAGTAATTCCTATGCCTCGCTTCTCTAACAGGACGAAGGACTAATTCTTTGTCTTAGCCTCTGGCTGCAGGGTGTTGCCCTTACTCTGACCCCAATTTCAATGGAGTTCGGGATCTCCGAGTCGGAGGTACGCTTCACTACCTGTGCTCTTTTCCTGGGTCTCTGTATCGGTGCCTCGAGTTGGGGTATTGCCTCAGATATCTTGGGCCGTCGCATCGCATTCAACACCACTCTGTTCCTTGCCGGAACCTTTGGTCTTGCCGCCGGCGGTGCCCCCAACTGGGTTGGGTATGTATCATCCGTTGCCTTTTTCCAGCTTTGATGCTAATTTTCTACAAGTGTCTCTGCTCTGTATGCCTGCCTTGGTCTCGGAGTTGGTGGCAACTTGCCCGTTGATGGCGCCCTCTTCCTTGAGTTTTTGCCCATGGCATCCGGAAACATGTTGACTATGCTGAGCGTCTGGTGGCCTATTGGTCAGATGATCGGTAGTCTGTTTGCCTGGGCCTATATTCCTTCGTTCAGCTGTGCAAACGCAGAGAACTGCACTAAGGAGCAGAACATGGGCTGGCGGTACCTAGTCCTCACCCTGGGAGCCATCACCTTCTGCATGTTCATCGGCCGATTCTTCTTCTTCCACCTCTACGAATCGCCCAAGTTCCTGCTGTCGCGCGGTCGCCAGGACGAGGCTGTTGCTTCCGTCCATGGTATCGCCTACAAGAACAAAACCAAGACCTGGTTGACTACCGAGATTTTGAACGAGATCGGCGGATACCCCGAGACTCAGGAGAAAGAGGTGCTCGCCTTGGCCGATATTATCAGGCGGTTCTTCTCAAAGTTCTCTATGGAGCGCATCGGGCCTCTCTTCGCCAACAAGCGCCTGGGAATCACCACTATCATCCTCTGGTTTTGCTGGGCCACGATTGGTATGGGATATCCCCTCTTCAATGCCTTCCTGCCCCAGTACCTGGCCAAGGCTGGCGGCGAGACCAACTCGACCTACATCACTTATCGCAACTATGCCATTACTTCCATTGTCGGCGTGCCCGGCTCAATCTTGGCTTGCTATACTGTGGAGCTCAAATACGTCGGTCGTAAGGGTACCATGGCTGCTGCTACTGTGATCACTGGCGTGCTGCTCTTCTGCTTCACGGCCTCCACCAACGCCAATGTTCAGCTCGCGTGTACCTGTCTTGAAGCGTTCTTCCAGAACATCATGTATGGTGTCCTGTACGCCTACACCCCAGAAGTTTTCCCTGCTCCGAACCGCGGTACCGGTACTGGTATCTCCAGCTGCTTGAACCGTATTGCAGGTCTCTGTGCTCCGCTGGTCGCCATCTACTCGTCCACTTCGAATGCCGATTCGCCTATCTACGCGTCCGGTGGTCTGATTCTGGCCGCTTTTAGTTCGATGGTCTTCCTCCCCATCGAGACCCGGGGTCGACAGAGTCTATAGAGTGGAATTTCAATTCTACTTTACGCCGAAGCACAATGTGCAGCAAGACGAGAGAAGATATAACGCCATCGCCTGTTTATACTCCTCGTTATGATGGCCATGAGTTGACCTGAATTGGCAGCTGCGCTGCCTGGGACAGAACTAGGTGGACTTTTTTCTATTTCCGTATATTGATTTTTGTACCACGAGTGAGCTTAGTGGACGTATGTGAGATACCAGAGTTGAATTTTGAATTGTACACAATATTTGATATTTGTACCCAGAACTACAACCGTAACGCATTGATACAGGAAAGGAAAAATACTTTATGCCGTCCCCTCAGATCAGGGTGCTGATAAAAAGAATATTGTCTCCTCTACCCATAACGCCATAAAGCGGTCTGACATTCTCCCAAAGAAAAGCAGAACGACATCCTTTCTGACAGTACTACGCTTGATAGGGAATAGTAATCAAGGACAGACAGGAAAGAATACAACTTGGGAAAACCCGATAACCCTTTCGGCCGACCGAAGTCCAGCTAGAGATGTAATTGGGACCATTCCTCAAGACCAAACAGTGATGCAAAATACGTGGCGTAAAGACAGACCGGGAGCCCGTTCGAGACAAATCCTCAAAGATAAAAGATAAAGGATAAAAGATAATGATAGTTTGGAAGGAAGAGAATATAATGACGAAAGAATACACAGATAACGCCGTCCAGTCAAGTGAGCTCCCAGGAAAGAATCAGACATAAACATAAAAAGCAAGCGTAGTAAAGACTGTCGCCAGTCGCACGGACGCATCATTCACCTTTGCCCGTTCCCATTCCCAGTCCCAGTCAAAAGCCTTGAAGTATGTATGTTCTTCTTCGCCAGTTGATCCGATAACGCACAGCTCCAGAATGAGAAAAATGGAGAGAGATGAGAGATAAAATATGAAAACAAGGAGGAGGAAAGCCATGCGAGCTGCGTATTCGACAAGAGGAAAATACTTGAGAAAAATTCCATGCAAACATATCGCTCGTGAAAACAAAAGAATGAATCTCAGGCTCAAACGCCTTGGATGCCGCTAGAAACACACTGAACTTTTATGTTGTTACATAAAAGGAATATGTTCAGGCGACGGGCTGCCCTTGGTTGCGGCGGCCACGCTTCTCGAGCAACGTGGAACCATCCAAGCTGAGCTCGAATGGCTGCGCTGCCTTGCGGCCTATGCTGCTCTTAGCAGCGGCCGCGACATTCGCATCATGCTGGCCGTACCCTTGTTTAGGGGGCTGGCGATGAGCCTCACGTGCTTGGGCGGCGCTGCTCTGGGCGCCGAGGTTAGTGGAACGAAGCTTGGCTTCCATGCCTGCCATCTCGCCACCCGAACCGGCCTTCGCCACCTTGAGAGGCGGCTGATCGGTAGTAGACTCAAGGCGGCTACGGTAATCGGGTTCGTCATCGTAGTCCTCATTCAGGGAACCAAGAGCGGATTGGAATCCAGCGACAGGGTTGCCACTACGGGCCGCCTGTTGGCGGTGGTTTCGGCGGCGTTTGCCCTCTTCTTCTTCTCGGTGAACTGCGTAGCCAACATCGAAGACCTCTCGCAGGTTGAAGGCTCCGGGAGAGCGAAAGTCCATCCGACGCTCCGAGGCAGTGGAAGGAACGTCCAGTATACGAGAGCTGCTGGGTTGGTAGGGAGCTTGATCGGCGCCGATAGGGTCGAGTTGCGGGCCCTTCTGGCGGACAGGACCGAGAGGTGTCGCCAGAGGCGGGGCATCGGCGGCCGCAGTGGTTTCTTCATCGGTTTGGCGAATCCATGGGTGGGCAAGGAATTCCTTGATCGTATATCGCTTCTCCGGGTCGACAGTCAACAGGTGTGATATGAGGTCCTGGGCCGACTTAGAGATGTCGTCCCACCACGGCGACAGGAAGGTATATTGACCACGTGCCACCTTCTCTGTGAGGACTTGGATACTCTCATCGTAGAATGGAGGGAAACCGCACAGAAGGGTGTACAGAACGCAACCCATGGCCCACATGTCCACACTCTTCGAATAGCGCTCGTCCTTGACAATCTCGGGTGCGGTATAGCCCACAGTGCCGCATGGCGTCATAGTTTGGCTGTCCCAGATCACCTTTGAGAGACCGAAATCGGCGATCTTGATCTTGCCAATACCGCCAGAACCAATGCCCGAAGTGAACTCTCCTTCATCCTCTTTATCTTCATCGCCCGGCTGCTTGGGCTTGGGGTGTTTGCTTGGAATGAATGGGCATGGATAGAAGAGGAGATTTTCGGGCTTGATATCACTTTCATTCCGGTTAGTTTCAGATCACAGGTTTTCAAGGGCTTGGATGTCTTACCGATGCACAACGCCTGACGTCTCGTGTAGATATTCAATCGCCTTGGCCACTTGCAAAATCACGTGACGACTAAGATCTTCACTGAAGTATGTCAACCGCACAATTTGGTGGAATAGCTCGCCTCCGGGGCAGAGCTCAAGGATGATGTAGTAGTATTGCCGGGACTCCGAAAAATCGATGAGTTTAACGATGTTGGGGTGGTCTAGATTGCGCATAATTTGGACTTCCTTGAGGATGTTGGCTCGCTGCGGGGCAGAAAATCGTCAGTGAATGGTCAATTCCACAAAGCAGATCAGTGGGGGGCGCGGCGGATTAGAAAGAGGCAGACCATGACCTGCAGGGCGGAAGCCAGACAGTCATGTAGGCAGAACGGACGCTATAAAAGATATTTGCGCACCTCCGCAGCTTTTGGAACCTTTTTGACGCTTGGATGAAGAGGGTCGGTCTACAAAAGAGATATTGGCGATGATTTCACTCCGCCAGGGAAGCATTGGAGACCAAGACGACGTCACGCGCACCAAAGAGGGAGGGGAGGGAGAGTACAGAGAGTAACAAGGAAAGCACGACCACCGGGTCAACCTACCTGATTGCTGTTCATTTCAAATTTGCGCACGACCTTGATCGCGACCTCTGGGAATTGGCCTGTTGAATCCTTGGCGCGATAGACGTTGCTGAAGGCGCCGTCGCCCATCTTCTCGAGCAAAATCCATCGCTCGAGGCCGGGGTACTTGGGCATCTTGGACTGGGCTTCTTTTTCCTCGGCGACAATGCGTTCGATTTCGACGGAGCGATCGCGGCGAGCGTTAGACTCGACGGGCTTCTGTGTTGATTGCGCGTTCGTGCGATAGTCACCGGTTTCAAAGGCTTCGAGCGCGGGGGAAAATTGACCCTGGGGTTGCGGTTGTTGTTCGGCGTGGATAGTCGACACGTCGGTGGTCGGTTCGGAATGAGGAGTTACAAGGCGAGCCTGTTTCCCATGCCGAATGAAGTTCTTGATGTTCTGTATCGTGCTCATAGTGGATCGGATTCAGGGAAGAAAGGAGGAAGGAGGGAGAGACAGAGGTCGTCCAGGTCGTGGGAGGAAGAGGAAAATCGGAGGCTCGTCAATCGTGGAGAAGCTGGTTCCGCCAAAAAAAAAGTTGGCAGACTCGGGAAGCAGAAGGTAGTGGGGGAGGAGAAGAGCAAAGAAGACAAGCACGAGCCGCGACGTCGGAAATAAAGGACAGCGGGGGGAGTTGAAAAGACAGGAAAGGTGATTGTGGTGGGAGGTAAAGGGGGGGAAACCGGACGGATGAGGTCAGTTTGGAGGGGCTATGTCATCGGCGTCACCGATGTCATCGCTCTGTTGGTGCGGGATGGCCACAGGCGGCCCTTCGGTACCAGAGAACACCCATCATGATTTAGAAAACTACAGGCGATCCTCACTATGTCCAGTACTCTAAAGTGATGATTTTCTCTTCAGCCCGTACATATCGCATTGCTCAATGACTTGACCTTTTTCATTTGCGATATATTAATTGCGGCGGGCCCAACGGGCGAAACGTCATGCTGTCGCCACATGCCCAGAAACCCCCTTCCCGGTTGCGTATTTTGATTGAGATGAACGGGGGTGTCGAAATCGCTATGTACCCAAGTCGATATGTGACTTGATCGATTCCTGATTGATGGCATCATCCTGGTCATGTTTTCTGCTCTCGTTGCTAGGGAATACCGGGTCATAGTCGCCATTGCCCCGGCCTCGCCAGCGTGGGGCGTCAAATCAGCTGTCCTGGTACTCTACACTAGCGTACACATGGAAATTCATTTGCGGAGGACTTCGCCAATCCCATAGGCATGGGGTAATTTTGATTGTTTCTCCCCCTCAGCACCCTCTCAGGAAGCAAACGGGGCATATCTGTGCAGAATTGGAATGTGCGTGGCTGTGGCGCATTGGAAAGAGACCTGCATCAAGGGGCCAAACATGATGGTGCTGCAAGGAGACCAACACAAAAGGAGCCTGAAACATTGGCAGTAGGAGAGATACTACAGTGCTGCACGTAGGAGTGTTAGAGACCTCGCCAAATCAACAGAGTCCCAGAATCCAGGAACGCAACTTCTCCTACACGGGATTCGACAGATGGGAGGAGACAAAGTACGGGGCAGCGATCAACAGGAGATGGCGTTGCGGGAGGGGGAAGGCGGGCCACTGAGCGGTGCCTGCCCCTTTCATCTCATGTCGTCGCCTGCATCAACAGCGCTTGTCCTCTTCAAAGACTCTAAAGACGCCCATTTCCAAGGTTAGGTTGGACGTCTGCCTGCGCTTCAAATACCACGTCCCACCGTCGCTCTTCGGCCGGCCTTCTTGAATCTTGGTTGGCCTCCCCAGCCACTCGCTAGCTTCGGGCCGCGTGTCGAGGCCTTTCGAATCCTCCGTACGGCCTGCATGCACTCGTAGTCGGCTCGAGTGGACTCACTTCACTTTGACTGATCGACTCCCTTGCATCTCGCAGAAACATCTCGGCGATCCATCAGTTTGCGATCTTTATCTATCACCCGCTTCCTATATCCGCGATGCGATCCTGGCGACCGTTGACGGCCCAGCCATCCCTCTGAAAAAAAAAAAAAAAGAAAAAACAAAAACGTGCCATGCGAAACCCCAACTACTCGATATTCCCATCTTTCCCGATATCGCAGCCGATCATCGCCCTCTCTCTTCGATCCCGACCTCGAGATGCCCAACGTGGGCGTGATGGGCCCGTCGGTGGATTCAACAGGGCGACCGCTCTTCAGGTCCCACAAGGCTCTCCCGCGGAGGGGTATCGAAGTTCCCAGTGATAATCCTGTCGAGGTTGCCCAACCGGCCTCTCCGGATCAGAATGGCACAGTTGCGCCGGCTCCCCCGTTAACTCCACCCGATGCGATCCAGGACGGACCCATGGACGATCGCGATCGCACCCCGCGCAAGACCGACTCGTCCACGGCCGAGAACCAGTCGACAGGCATGTTGACGCCGCGCCGACCTTCCAAACCCCCGACCCCTGATGTAACGCCACCTCGCACAACTTCAACCTCCAAGCGCCCGACTCTCAATCAGTTTGGCAACTACCTGTCCTCGTCCTCGCGGGCCGAGTCGTTCCAAACCGCTTGCGAGAGTATATCTTCCGAGGGTGATATGGATACTCCAGGGCGATCCTCTCGATCTCGGAGTGTATCACAGAGGGCCAGACGTAGGATTCCCTCATCATCTACCTCGAGACAAAATTTCACAAATGGAGTCCGAACAACACTTGCATATACCAGAGACAAGGACACTCCGCCATCCAACTCACGGCCTCTCAGCGAAACAGAGTATGAGACAGGCTTTGAGTCGTTCGACGGCGAATGGGCGAACCAGACTGATGGGTCACCTACTCCGCTCCCGGGGAAGCGTAAACCCTCAAAGATGTCGCAGACGTTGGAGGCCTCAAAAATGCCAGATCGACCCAGTCCTAAGGCCTCGGAGGTCAACGATACGCTGGACGTACTCAACCTCAATGCTTCCTTGAGACGCGAACAGACGCTGCGGGATAGATTGAAGGAACCACATGATTTAGCAACCAGTTCTTCCATGGAGCGTTTCCGGGAAGATATTGGTTGGCCCTCCCACGAAGAGCCGGACTCCCACCGGTTATCAGGCATTTCTTCGACATCGACTGTGGAGGCTGTGATAATCGATTCCCCAAAACGAAAACAGCGGTTGCTGCGACACACGGAGAAGAGGGGCTCGCTTCGATCAGCGAGTTCCCCCATAACGAACTCGGGACGAACATCCACGGTGTCCAATCCAGACTCGCAACAACACCGCCTGGTCCACAAGGCTGGCCGTATATCGGAGCAGGACCGCCGAAGCATATCATCGGATGTCTCTTTCTCCATGAAGAACTCGAAAAGCGAGCCTCGCGCGTCGATTGATGTCATTCCTGTTGTTGTGGTACCGGAGAGACGCTCTTCTCTCAAGTCAGGACCGCACAGCCAGGTTTCCTCCAAGCCTACGTCTCAGCAATCCAGTCAGCGGCCCCCATTGACATCGATGGGGTCTGGCACTATAGATGTTCCTCGTCAACGAAAGCGGACTATGTCTGATTCAGTGCCTGCACTATCCCGAGACACAGAATCTCGGGGTCGTCCCATGGGCCGCCCTGTTATTCCGCCTCGTAGCTCATCTCTATCCGCTCCAACGAGCCGCAATAATTCACGAGCCACCTCACTCACCTCGGAGAGCCTGCGGAGCCACACCATAGCAATGGACCTTGAGATGCAGAAGCGACTCGAACAGCAGCCCGTCTCCCCACCTCGCCAAAACATTCTGGCTTTCAAGGGCACGCCGCCGCGTCAACCCCAGACCAAGAGTCTCCTTGAGGCTCCCAATCAGCCCGCAGTCATGGTGAGCTCAACCGACGATATGGCCACCTTGCGACCCCCATCCTTGCCATACACCCAGTGGTCGATTCCGTCCTCATCCCCGGGGCCAGTGGAAATCCACGAGGCAACTGCTGTTAGTCTCTTTCCGCACAACAATCGCTCCCTTCTTCTGGTTAATCAACCGCGAGCACCGCCTGAGACATGCGTTCTGCAAGCGTTTCACAACCCTGACAATCATCCTCGAACGCCCGATATGCCCATTCAAGGAGCTGATGATCCTTCTCAATTCGCCACGGGCATGGTTCATTCCCCCTTGAAGAACCCACGTCCACCGCCAAAGCCTCCAGTTTCGAAGCCACTCCTACCTATTCCTATGCAGGAGCAAGGAGGAGCTGCTGCTCAAGAAAAGGACGGCAACGGACGCCTAGGTAGTCGATGGAGCTCGGTTCGTCGTACGTGGGGTGCAAGGCCACGATCGGATTCTTTTAATGCCATCACACGGTCATTTTCACTCCGGTCGGCGAAGAACCGCACGGCGGGACTGGAGATGGATAGCAACTTACACCCTTTCTGGCGCCCGCGAGGATTCTGGGATGATATCCCTGGATCTCCCGAAAAGGATAGATCGGCCCGTCAGAGCGTCCATGATGCCGATGATGCTCTCGTTGTCAACAACTCGCTGGGTCTGCCTCACCAGCGAATCATATTTGATGGCCCACCGTATCTCGCACGGCGCAGCCCAGAGTTGAAACGAGTGCTCGACTACAACGCTAGTCGCGGCAGTCTGGTTGATCGGGGCATGCTCCGATCCCCAGTATATCAACACCGGTACCGCGTGCTTGGTCGATGGAGCCTGCGCCTTCGATCGATGTCGCTCCGCAAGGTGCGGGTTCGTCTGCGTCGTCTGCGTCAGCGACGGGACGAGAGAAAACGAGCTGCTCGTCGTGAGACGCTCAAACAGAGCATTGGCGGGCCCGTCTATGTAGCGTCCAGCACCACCAATGGGGTCGTGCGGTGATGCTCTTCACGCCTGTTATGCCTTATATTTTTTTCACTGGATCTGTTTCACATGACAAGATCTTTTACGAACATGATGATTATGCATCTGGGAGTCATTTTGGCCCTGCTTCCAATGTTTATTTATTATTTATTTATTTTCTTTTCGTTTTGCCTTGTTTTTCCTCGTTGCGCAATTTGGCTGCGTTTTTTGATTTCTGCTTTGGTTTTGCGTGCATGGAATGATGACTTCCGATACGAGACTACGACTAAATGACTTATGCTTATGCCCTACAGCGCCCTGTTTTTTTTTGGCCTCAAGATGTACCATAAGCACCTCTGTGTTATCTGCACATGCAATTCCAGCCTTTGATTAAATACCCTAGCAATGTCCTAATTCTTGCCAGTATGCGCCTTCCATATGTAGTCATGTCCCATAATCATGTCTCGTAAACCATTTCCTGTCAGCATTAATACACTACGCGTAGAGTGTAGTACCTCATTTGCCAGCGTCTCAATGTGACGCTTGAACACTGACGAATGTTGCATTACTCTTCGACCTAATGCCGTCCTGCCCAATGCCCCTTGTCAGTACCTCTGCCTCGCCTTCCTCGACCAGAGATACTCGACCGGCCTCGAATCGCCATCGATCCGTACTCCGATTCTTTCTCGCGTCTTGCTTGCTCCTCCGGCGTCTCAACGGTGTCCGCAGGGTCCGTGTCTCCCCCGCGCATCGCACTCTCCTCGCGCGATTTCTTCAGCATTGCTTCCCACGTGGAGGGATCGAGAAAGGGCCGAGAGGTTGAGGCGAAATCGAACTCGATACGTGTGGGCTTGTCGGATGCATCTTCATCATTATCCTCGCTTTCATCGCTGTGTGCAGTTTCTTTGGGTCGAGGGTTCTTGAAGACGATCCCCGGTTCGTTGGTCTGGCTGATGACTTTCTTTGGTCTTGGGGGGAGGAGTTTTCGTTTCTCGGGGATTAGGAGTCGGCGTTTCGAACCTCCAGGGCGAGATGAACCCTCGGACGCCATCTTGGAGGAAGTAGTTGAAGATGGTGTCTGTCGACTGAACTCTCGCGCGGAAGGTTAACTCGCGACGAGCGCGGCCCCGCTTACCTTATCGCATTAGCTTATCGGCGAATCAATGCTGAGATGAATCGAGGCTAAGTTTGAGGTACTACCTTACCAAGCCTGAGAAGACCCTTCACATTAATTTGCCTGGATACAACTGATGAAAAACAATTCAACGAGATGAGTCGAATGCTATTCACTATCTGTTCACTCATGATATCCATCTACTGAACTTTCTGAAGAAAGTCGAGACGTTTTTGCATCAAGCAAGCACACAGGAGCTCTGAAAGTCCCATAGACATCTTCTTCCGCGGTATGCAAGAAAGTCACCGCGCTATAATCCAGACTCTTCACTCCCTATGACGCAGGCACAATTTCAATCCAAAGTTAGGCACATAGAATTCCTCGAACGAGAGGGACCCGATCAAGGAGCCTCGCGACGAATCGCCATCAGCCGGCAATATATCAAATCGAGTCAGGAGCTGAGCAATGACTAGCTTCATGAGGGCACTTGCCATCCATCGGCCGGGACTACAATAAGCACGAACGAGAGGGTCAGCCGAGAGTATGCCGAGAGTGCTTGGGCGGTTGGGATTGAAAGGAGAAAGACAAGAGATGATAGACGTCGCAAATAGCCGAGACCAAGGATGCCAAGTGATCTTGAATCGAATGAATTACGTTCAAAATTTACTTACCAGGCGTGCACACCCATTCCAAAAACAAGATAGTCAGGGCTTAGATCGACTAGCTTCGTATTCTTTGCTCCAGCCGCTGCGAGCTTCAAGAATCGGTAGCCATCGAATGTCTCTGGGTTCTCGTAATATACGCTCGACCGCTGGATCCAGCTACTCGGTACGCCGATGTGCGTTCCTGGTCTCAGTGTGATACCTGTGTAGATGATCCGGATTGTCAGCTACAAGATCAAATAATTGCGAAGAGGGCGGAGCAGCTCAAGCAGTGTAACCATGAAGATAGTGACGAATGACTAACCATTAGACAATTCAAGTGACTTGACGCAGACCCGGTGAGCCGAAACTGCAGATAGTATCCTCTTGTTAGTTGAGATATGCCCTGGTCGTTCCGAGTCACAGGTCAGGTGGACATACCGGCCGCAGGAGGATGCAAGCGCTGACACTCCTTGAGAAAACTGTCCAGCAATATCATTTGGTCACATCCCGAAATAGTGGCCCCATATTTAGCGAGGGTTGTCTCAATTTCCTCGCGCAGTGGCTGTATGTACTCCGGGTGTCGGGCGAGTTCGGCCAAAGCACCGTAGAGAGCCTGTAGATAGATGGTTTCAGATTCCAATTACACAGTTCAAAAACCAGACACAAACTCACGTATCCGGTAGTGTAGACGAATGCAAATTGGAGTAAGAGCATCTCGCCAAGAACTTCTGAATAACTCCATCGATGGCGGAGAACGGAACTTTCGAATAGCCACCGGAAAATCTCGACCTGGAGCTTTGAGCATCCATGGATCATGCGAACATGCATATTCGAATATGCAACATATGAGAAGAGGGTAATAATAGAATGCATACCGGCTTTTCCGCCTGCTCCGGATTGGCCTGGCTGGTAACTAGCTCTCCAGAGCGAGTTATGTCCCTGCGGTATTCAGTTGCTCGTGCCTCGAAGTGTTTTAGTAAAATCTTGCGTGATGCATTCATATCCCAACGTGTGCCTAATGTAGCCAAGCGACTGATAAAGCCACCGATGTAACTAGACATTGCAAAGGAGTGAGCAATCCGATCCCGGGCCTGAGAGATGATTTGACCTACCGCTTGAGGCAATCAGGAATGAGAAACTGGACTCGAGTGGTCATGATCATCCCAAGTATGTGCTCCTTGACTGCTTGAATGTATTCTTCATTGTGAGCAAGGCGCTCGCCTACCATGGCGAAGCTGCCACTCCGTGCGACGACGGAGTATGCAAATTCGAAGCAACTGACTGTGCATTCTAAGTTCAAAGCGAGTGAGTTCGAATCCCACTGTTAGGATGGGACATGGAATTAGATAAAGCGAGCTTACCGCCATGCGTCGTAAATTTGAGAGCTCGTATCTGTGTGAGAATGGCCTCGTTCATTGTCGGAACATACCGATCCAAGTGTTTGTGCACAGTTCCACGAATAACACCTGGGGTGGTTTTTGCGATGGCAGGCCATTCTTTTCCCGCGGGGAAATATCCAGGCATAGTATGGGAGATTTGTAAAAGCTATTTATTTTCAACAAACAAGAGTTAAGTTTCATGTGCGTATTCTCTCACCTGCTCAATCCATGGCTCCGACGACGCGACGGCGCTGCGCGTGTTTTTCAATTCCTGGATCAAACTTGGCTTGCAAATGATAACCTGACCAAAGCGGAACGTGCGAGGAACTTCAAAAAGCCCGTCGATGAACCGGTCATATCCGATTTTGATAAACCCCGGTCCGTCCACGACGAAGCGGTATTGCTGATAGAGGATGGCAAAAAGACCCCTGCCCTCTGGGAATGGAACATCATCCTGTTAAAAGAAACGCCTCAATTAGAATCCATTCTCGCGTGCACTTTCCTTGTCGTCTCTCCTGTAATTGCTTCGGTTCGGGGCCATGTACTCACGTTTGAGAGCCGAGTGGACACAATGATCAAGGCACCCGCAATAGCAGCAACAAAGAGTGTAGAGAGAGCCAAGAGGCCAGACCATGTGTGGGTCGGAGGATTCATTAAACGCGAAAAGAGCTCTTGTAGCGGTGTCATTTTGGTCGACTGTCACGAGTATGAAGAGAGAGGGTTCAAGATAGGTGGGGTGGGGGAGGAGAGATACCACTTTGGGCTGGGAATATCTCACACTCGAGAGCGGCACCCTGGAAAATGAAATCAAAGAGAAGATTGAAAAATAAAAAAGCTCCCAAATCAAAGAATGAGAGAGGTTATCTTGAGGTCACCCTGTGACCACGTCGTCACATTAACTAGTGTCATAACACCTAGCTTGAATAGGGTCGCATACATTAGATGTGCGAATACCACCACTGAGAATAGACGTATACAAGCCTAATGTACCTGCCTGGGAACACTAAGGCCCAATAAACCACGCCAAGTCTGAAAATGTGATATTTAATGCAGAGATACAGGGGTTTGCTCTAATATTGCATGCGGGCTATTCGGTTCAAACGCGCCAGACAGGTACCATATTCAGCAGGAAAAAATGCCGGGTTCATGTGAGGCACAGCTATACTACCAATCAAGAAAGAAGGAACGTCATACAAGAACCCGTTGGCGGTATGGGATTATGTGAACAACAGACTAGAAAGCGATGTGAAAAAAAAGGTAAAAAGAAAACTCCTCATGAGGTATCAACAATGGTTCCGTGTGGTATAATGGTACAAACAGAGACACCGCAAATTACGCCCGCGAGAGAACAACACCAAACAAGTAAAGAGCCAAGCTGTTGACTTATGAAATGCTCTGGGGCTCAATTCCGCCCATGGTTGAGTATGAGTAAGGCAAATCAACTAAGCCGTCAAGTAGCCAATTGAGCGGGTCAAAGACCTCATAATTGGGCTCCATGAATCCACTAGGAAGTCCGCCAACTCCGTTACCAGGCGGCTGGACCCCCAAATTGGCTTGCGGAAGTATGGGTGCGGGCGCGAGGCTTGGATCACCCCCGGTGATGCCAGGTGTAGAGGAAGAGGTATGTGGCGGACCCACAGAAGACGCTGCGGATGAGTCGGCGGCTGAGTCGGGGTTGGTGGGGTTTTTGAGATAGGCTTGATTGAATTAGTATAGTTCTGAAAATCACCCGAGGTCTGAGGAATGCGAGTACCCACCTTCAATGTTTCGTCCCTTTGTTCGAGCATCTTCCCGCCATCGCCAGACAGAATCAAAGAGCAGAGACATACTCATTCGACAGCGAACTCTGAGTCTCAAAGAATCATCGACGTCGGCACCGCTCGTTGCTTGAGGGGCACCACCCAGTCGCCACATTTGAGCCAGCACCTCGGCAAGGCGTTCAGGCAAGTCATTGTTCGAAACAGAGACGCTGCGCACCGCCCAGATTGTTCGGTTGAACAGGTTTTTTGTGTACTCCATATCGATATGAGCAGCAAAGAAACTCTTGCACAGTTTCAGAAGAGTGCAACCGGCTGCGACCATCATTTGATAGACATAATAAGGCGTATAGGAGAGCACGGGTCCGACTTCGGTTTCCAAGTTCATTGCAACCTCGAGGAATGATGTAGTCGCGACATAGAGAGATAGAAGACGCTCGCGGTAGTCTTTGGCAGAGGGATCATCAAAGAACGCTGACAAATGCAGATGGAGATTCGACGCACGGAGAAACAGGTTCGTTATGCCTGGCGGTAAATTAGAATTAGGAAAATTGGACGACGGAAATTTGCAGTCTTACAATCATTCTGTGCTTTGAGCTGTTCCTCGAGCTCGTCGAAGTCTCGCGAAAGGAAGGAAAGCATGGTACTCCTCTCCCGATCACTAGTGAGACCCACTGGATCGCGTCTGTTTGCATATAATGCCTTGGTAATCTTGTCACAGAACTTCTCAATCTCGAGTCTGGGCTTGATATCTCCAGGAAGTTTGAAATTCGGGTCTGACGAATCATTCGAGGACAAAGTCCAGTCATAAATCGTGGACGGGGGCTGTCCATAGCCAGTGGATACTCTGGAAACAAGTTAGGTCAAGCCTCAAGAGAGACGAGGGGAGGTCGGCTTACCTCTGCGCAACGATATTACAGATAGCCCACGTGCGCACCTTATCTTTTAATTCCTCTTCGATAAGCTCAACGCGGAATTTGCTGAAATCCTGGCTGTGGGAAGGCCGATGAAGACCAAGCTGCATGGACAACTGAACCATGAGCCCACAGAGCATAAATGTTGGGTCAGTGGATGTGCTGCTTGTGGGGAACGGCCATGAGCAGAGGAGACAGAGCGCCTTCACGACATGATAACTTTGGGGAATATCTGCTAAGGTGCTCCACACCAGGCGAGTGACGGGCCCTGCAAGTGAATTCAAAAGTCCGGTATCACTCGGGTACCGCCTGGCTCCGACACTGATGATTGTCCAGAATAGCAATGGTGAAGAGGTGTAGTAGTCGTCCGGAGATTGTTGTCGCTCCAGGAATGGCAAAAACGGATGGTAGTACGTGAAAAACCTAGCTAGATGGTTAGCTGAGCTAATGGCGAGAATTGCCACAAGAATCAAGACCATACAAGTTGAACAGCTCCGTCACCTTTTCCGGCACAACTATGATGTCTTCAATCCGTTTGAATTGTTGGTTCCCATTTCTCATATAATTAGAGCCGTCAAAGCCCGATCTCAAGTCCAGAAGGGATGCGACAGCTTCCTGCGAACCCATATATTGGTCTGTCGACATAGCTGAGGGGGTTTGGTAGACACCCGCGGGGCTGACTTGGCTGGATTCCTGCTTGGGCGTCAACTGGCCAGCCGCCACGGGCTGTGGAGGGTTGCTTGTCGAGCGGGTGTTGCTTGACGCAATCTGCTTTCTCAATTCGATAATCTCTCGTTCCATCTCGGCATTCCGGCTGCGTTTCCCGACGCGCTTGAAATTCGACTCGATCTTGCAGTCTAGTTTCAACCGACGACACCGAGAACAATCAACCCAGGGATCTTGAACAACATCGCATCGTAACTATATGAAGAATCAATAAGTTAGAGTCCGTTGTTTGGTTGAAGTGGATAGAGCCTTGCAATCACCGCAAATTTCGGCGGCCGGCGGCGGGTGTCGCATGACGATGAAGAATACGGGCTACACCCACCTTTTGCTGTCGGCATTCATTGCAAGCGCGCTTCACAGGCTGTCGCCTCTTGTCATCGCGCATATCATTATCCTCTGCATCCTCAATACTCCCCGGGGAGCTGTCCATACCCGCAATGGTGACATTGCGTTTGCGAGCCTGCATGTTGTCGGTGACCGCCATAGAGACGGGCGCATGATTGATACCCGCCATTACGGGATTGATAGCAGCTGCAGCATTATCAATCCCGACTGCTGGATCGAAGGCTGGGCTCTGGGACCCTCCGATTCCGCTTGATCGTCCAAAAGACGCCAGGCTGATGACGTTGATGCAGGCCGAATCGAGTTTCCGAGCAGGACAAGGGTAGCTTGTCCGGCGGTATACGAGCGGTGCACGGGATTAGATCAAGTGCGAGCCCAAGACAGTCGTCAGTTTTTCCAGGTCAAATCTTCCTTGCGATCTCCGCACGGTGGTTCACTGGCAGACTTTCAACTTTCCCAAGTTCAAGCGCCGGCGTGAATGACTCAGCGCGGGGAGCATCAGGTGACTCCGGTACAGACGCTGATGTAATATCAGGCCGACGGGCAGAAATTTGGCGCTTCGGCGTTTGTTTTTGGGATTCAGTATCTGAATAGTCGGAATTCAAAATTTCCGTATTACACTAGAAGGACCTCACGTCAGTCGTACATCGAAAGCTTTTCTTTCTGGAGCTAGATCTTCGATGTAGCCATGGCTCATGCACCGAATGGCCGTTTGTAGCAACGAGCACCGGTGATCCACCGTGGAAGGTGGGTAGCTCATTTCGACTAGCGGCTGATCGATTCGCTCTGGCAAGTCGAGACCAACTGTTCTCGCTTAAAAAGATTTTATCTAAAATGACGTGATCGGGACGTCTGTACAACATTTTACAAATGCATGTTGTATAGACTTCATCGCCGAAAAGGAGTGCGAAGAATGCGACCGCAATTTTTCTGCCCCGAACGAAGCATAAAATATTTTATGAGTAGCAAATAGTCGCCTTTTTGAAACACTCAGCTGACGATTTTTGAGGCTGGAATCCATTTTGGCGATCCGATCGACTGTGAGTGCATAAGGAGGTATGTAGGTAGCAATCCCCAAAATCTATCCACAGTATAAGTCCTTTCCACCAGTACCGGAGAAAGGCCCAAACTCCCCGGGGTGCCCGCGGACTCAACGTCCAATCGTGACTCATAGAAATTGACCACTTATGAGGTTGAAGAACAACAGTATCCTGTATTGTAGGATTTAGTAGCATGGTAATTATCAAATCGGCTTTACCGTTAAGACTGCATGTCTCAGTTGAAACAATTTTCGCTTTCAAGTAAAATTGAAGCTTACTTATTTTACCCTTGGCAGCCTGAAGCTTCAAAGCAATATGATGGATTTTGTTTTTAATTCAGACATTATGAACATCTTCTAACGAGGGTATAGTGGTCTATTTAATAGACACATGTACAAAAGACTCGCTACATAATAATGCACTTATTTCGTCGTTTTCGACTACGCTCCCGGATGGTGTGTTCATTCCAATCCTCAATTCGCCGTCGCCACTCCTCGTTCTCTGGAGGTGGTAGGCTGATCGGCTCTGTTGACACTCGCCGGCGGAAAGATCTCTGTCTTTCAGGAACCTGGGCCTCATCTTCTGCAGCCGATATGTCCAATGCATTCCCGTGTGGCTCCGGAATATGAAGGAGGTTTGGCGATGACACAGAGTAGGGAAGATAGGCCTCCCCGAGCATAGTAGCCCCTAGAGAAGGCATAGTCATGATCGGCTCTCGTGTAGCCTGTTCAGATGACTGAACCGTTAATTGTGGTAGCGGTTGAAGAGATGGAAGCTGCCCGGTGACAACAGGAACAGTCGGTGGTGCTGTGGTTCGTGGGCGTGGCCAAGCGTTCACAGGGGAACTTTCAGTTACGACAATTTGCTCCGGAGGCTGGGGTACGGCCAATGTAGGAACATCGATATGGTCTTGAACAGGCCTTTCAATTGGAGATGCAGAATCTCCCCGAGCTCTGATTGGGCGCCTGGAAATAGAGCCTAGTCGTTGGAGAATGGCGGATTGCGGACGAGGATGACCTTGCGGGTATGGTCGCGCGACACGGGTGGTTTGTGCTCGCTGGATTTGCTGAGTGGCTGACTCGCCGGGTCGTAAATTATTGCTGGCGCCACTAGGAAGCAGTGTTTGTCGAAGATGTTCCGGCAAAGGCTCATCAGCTTCTCGCTTGTATGGGGGAGGTGGTGGCACCCAATTGTCCGCATCGCTTTCATGGGGCACATAACGGCGGCTGGGGGTATTTCGGTACCGCGGGTCATATCGGCCTCGGGTTGAAGCTGCAGCTGTAGCGGCCCGGTGGAGTGTGTCTTGAGAGCGAGGCTGAGTGTTGTCATATGGAATCTCTGGAACGTTTCCAGCGGTCACTTCCTCTGGGGATGTGGGAACCGATAGACTATTGCGGCGAATATGCGGCAGTAATGTCTGACTAGCAGATCGTGGATTCTGTCGTGTGGATCTGGATGAGCGACGTCCAAGTGCAGTAAGTGTGGTGGGATCGGTATCGCCTCGATTCAAACGCGTTCTCCTTCTTTCAAGCTCGACTTCTGTATCTAAAGAAGAATCTGGTTCCATCAACATTTTTGGCTCTGTCTCCCCGATTTCGATGTCGATCTCCACGTCCCCGCCATTATTAGTCGATCTTTCAAAATCTAGGACCAACATGCGTCCACCATCAACGGGGACATCCTCCTCGCCAAATATCTGCGGACGTACGCCACCTGGTGCCACGGTAACTAAGCGACGTCGAAATTTTGTTGCCGGGGTCGATCGCACCCAGTGAGCCGCAGTCATTCCGTGCATATCAGCCACTCGACGCCCACGGATCAATGTTTTCGGCTGTTGAATTATCTTATGCAGTTGCACTAGATTATCACGAGGGGGAGCTTGGCCCTGACAATGATAGTCGCCATTGAAATGAGTCTCGATGTCCTCTTGTGGCCCCGACGTCGGACTGGTAGAGGGAACATCCAGACGCTTAGGCACGCCATATATCCATACTTCAGAGTCTTGGAATCCCAAGGCGACAAGCTCACCAAATTCGTCCGTTGTGGGGAGCATGATAGGCAGCATCTCTCGTGGTTCATCCGCCAAGAAAGGGCTAGCAAAGTACACACCACCCGTTCCGGTATTGTTGATCTTGATAGCTCTGAACGCTGCTAGCTGGATGTCATACCCAAGAATCCAGCTATCATCTTCTTCCTCGTGGCCTTTAATCAGACAGGCATGCGTGAAGCCGGATGTTATTTCCGGGAAAAGGATCTGCGTTGTCCACATGCGCATCTGCACTTCCTGTGGTGTGACGTCGAGGCCGGGCTCCGTATAAAATGGGGCGGTGATTGTCACGATTCCATCAAGCTCATAGTCCACCGGGGATCCAAGTAGCATAGATCCATCTGGAGAGAAACAGATTGTATCGATTCTTGGGCAACGAGCTGCGCGACGTTCTGTCACTAGAACCTCCTCGCCTACAGCGTGCACCTCTATACAATCCTCGAAAGATAGAGCCAATACACTTCCCGTGGGAGAAAATTTCAAATCACGAGGGGCATCGTTTAGCGTGATGGTTTGCATAAGTCTCACTTCCTCGTTGCAGAGTCGGTAGATGTTCACCTTGTGGGTAGAGGACAGAACCGCGAGGAGTGAGCCGTCATCATGTATGGTAGCCCCCAGAGGGCGTCGGCGAGTTTTTAGCTCATGCTTCACAGCCACTGGATCTGAAGAGAGTTCCAAAACAACTATGCGAGACGAGCTGATGCAAAGAACTAGCTGGCCGTTTGCCGAGAAAGAGAATCGAAATACTTCGCCTTGGGGGAATGCAGTAGACGAGCTCATAGAGCTCGATATCAAGCGAACCAGAGTTCGGCGGGGCCGAAGAAACACATCAAATGCATTCCGTCTGATTTCCTCAATGAAATGGTCCTTCAGGACTGGTAAGCTCTCCGACTCACCAGTCTCACCAGGTGCGGGACTAGTGCCCCGCGCCCAAGCGAAAGAGGGACAACGCGATAAGTGATGCGCATACAACGCTGGTGATTCGGATGTCCGCCTCCATAGCCTGTTCAGTAGGGACAGAGACGCAAAGGTATTGGCATCGGCGACGTAAAGAATGCTGCGGTCGTCAGAATTTGTGCATTTCACACAGCCTCGTTGACAAAGGACGGGAACACTCACTGTTCGATTACTTTTGGGGGCAGCCGATCAAAGGCGGGCTCTCGTGGGGAAGAGGCATCCTCCTCCATGATCACCAGCGGTCCACGACATGCGGAATTGGCGCTGGCATCCGAGTTCGAGATGCCCTTGAAGCGTGGCTGTGCGTCCCAACCTCCTCGCAAATGACGCCTGTTGTCGATCGTGTTGATATAAATAGCGCTGCACGTGGAATGAGTCAGCATCCCCGCATTCAGTTTAGCCCAGCGCGGTTTGCAAATTTGCAAATTGGCAGATTTGCCGATGCGGGCCGTCCAAAGCGGCAGGGTGGCAGATTTGCACATCGGCTAACTGGGGAAGTGCGTATTTGCTTCATCGCGGCAACGGTACCCTCATTCATCGACAAGCACTCGACTCGGCAGAACGCACTCACTGGCAGCATGGTGTCCAATGCCTCGTGACCCACGGTAGCTCGCAACGTTTGGCCCCCCGATCCCCGATCGTTCTACCTTTCGCATTCGGCCGGGTCATACCCCTCACTCTGACCAACTGAGATCGGCCGACTCCGAAAAGTCCCCGGGAACTTTTCCCCAGATTGTTCCTTCAACTCCCCTCTTCTTGTTTGCAGCTACTTGAGTTGCGCATCATGTCGCCTGCAACTCTTCAAGTCAATTCCACCTCCAAATTGCCGTCGCCGGGTTTCAACGCCGGTGCGCGCCCATACCGGTCCCACAAAGTCCGCGCCTGCGACCTCTGTCGCAAACGCAAATCCCGATGCACGGTTGATATTCCAGGACAGTCATGTCTGCTATGTCGCGTGCAGGGTGCCGATTGTCACTACCAGGAGGAGCAAAGCCAAGACTCGTCAGTGTTGAGCACAACGGAATCCAAGTCATGGCCCGGAGGTCCACCGATGGAGCAGGTGACGGGGCAAAAGCGCAAGCGTAGTCCTGATGGACTTCCTAGTTCGCGACAATCGACCAATGGTCCTAGTCCTCAGGGTACAATTTCATCTTCTGGCCGCCGGGGAAGCGATGCGCGGCGCAAAGACGATGATCCCCATAATGAGTCAGTGCTCATCGTGGGACCGATGGTCGCGGAGGACGCGCAGGTCATTGAGAAGCACATGCCTCCTGAACGGACCAGTCTTTCCGAAGAACCCAACAGTCACCCGTATAACATCTACTCGAGCGATCCTAGGAAACCCGTCCTGTATACCACCATCTCACGCCGGAGGAAAGGTATGCGGCGCGGGGTTCCTCCGGGAGAAAACCAAAGAGAGATTTTGGAGCAGATTCTTGGACCCTTCAAGCACGATCTTGTGCGACTGTGAGTAGCTGCTTGCGACAGATTCATTAAAGAATCGTGATCTCTGACACTCTTTCTTCGACAGCTTCATCGACCGGTTCAATGTCGCTTTTCCTATATTCGACGGCGAGGCGTTCTGGGAATCCTATACTACGGACGGGTTAGAAGACCCACCAGCTTCGCTGATATGTCAAGTCTATTCTATGTCACTGGTTTATTGGAAGCATGCCCCGAAACTCGCATGTCATCCCAAGCCTGACGTTCGATACGCCGTCAACATGACTGTTGCCGCATTGCACGAAGAATTCTCTGCCCCAGGACTTTCGACAATCAGCGCTGCCCTAATTGACCTGACTGGAAGGCCGATTTTCTCCATGACAGGAAATGCTATCAGCTGTGGAAGAATGCTCTCACTTGCCAACTGCCTTGGATTGAACAGAGACCCGAGCATGTGGAAGCTCTCACAGTCGGAGAAGGACCACCGTATCCGTCTTTGGTGGGGAGTAGTTATTCACGATCGATGGTATGATATTTTGTACAACTATCAGCTGCTAGTTGCATTCGCTAATTTGTTCCACAGGGGAAGTTTCGGCCACGGCGTCCCGCCGCAGATTGCGAAAACTCAATACGATGTACCCTTGCCTACTGTCGAAGGGCTGGTGCCCACGCATGTTCGCAGTACTGAGCGCGTGCGTGCGGCTCGCTGCCATATTGCGCTTTGTAAATTGACTGAGATATTGGGCGAGCTGCTACCACTGGTTTATGGCCTGCAAGCGAAGCTGGCACGTGAGAGCTCGAAGAAATTGCGACAAATCCGGACCGATCTTGACTCGTGGGAGGATTCTCTGCCCGACTGGCTACGGTTGCCTACTCAAAACCGCGGAGACCAGTTACATGCATCTAGCAGCTTGCAGCTTGCATTTTTAGCGGTCAAGATGCTGGTCAGTCGAGTGGAGTTGAATGTAAGCAAGCCTCATGACCATATTCCCTGTAGCCATTTGCTAACTCAGGTTACGCACAGGAGGTGAACAACGCCGAAACAGACAATCCCGAAGCTCGTCGGTACTTCCAAACGGAGTGCCGCAGATCAGCAGAGGAAATTGTGCGATTCATATCATCTCTGAGAAAAGAGAACTTCAAGGAATTCTGGCTGCCTTGTATGTAACCCTGCACTCTCTAGCTCCCAATTTTTCCAATCTATTTGGACTAACATCTTCCAGACAGCGCATTCCACCTGACCTCGACTGCGACCCTTCTAGTTCGTTGCGCCCTCGAAACGAATGATGGCGAAGTCGCCCGGTCCTGTCTCGCCAACGTCGAAACCCTCCGTACCGTTCTCCGACGGGTCCAAGAAGAGGAAGACTGGGATGTAGCGGACATGTGCCTGGATCACTGTGAGCGCATCATGCACCGGTTACCTGGCACTGGTACCACGACAGAGCATGCGATGACGAACTCGATGGCCGACAATGGACTTGTTAACCCAGCCGCAATCTCGCTGCCTGAGACGCAAACCAACAATGACATTGTGGACGATATGATGTCCATCTCCAATACCTTTGGTACAATGGATGGCTTCCCATTCGACATGACAGGCATCTGGGATGTTTCTGTCTTCCAAGATGTCAACCTGTCTTGATTTCGACTTGCTCATTCGATTGGTTTCTCTGGCCTTCAAGAGGGGTTTACGGGGTCTTCTTTGGGACGGCGATCAGGCGCGCACTCTTCTTAGTATGACAGTTCACAGCAACATGTACTTATTATACCCGGTTTTCAATGCGAGACCCAGACAATGCAAATACCTTGTAATCCAGCCTATCAGCTTTGTTGTTTTTTCCTCAAATTAAAACATCTGACCAAAATTTTGTACATCGAGAAACAAGAAACAAGAGAATCGGACACCAAACGCTATTTTACAAGTCGTTCCGGAAAATGGAATGAGCAGAATGAACCCAAGAAAACCATCTAATGCCCCGCCCTTGCCCATAAATGACACATAAACAATTCGCAAGGATGATGAGTTGGGATGATCAAAGCAAAATCAAGAGTAGATAGGCAGTTTCAGGCCCAATTACTCCTTGTTACTACCGGCACCAAACACTCCAGTGAAGGAGCCCTTCATGCTGGCCATCTGCTCCTGACGGGCCTTCTCCTCTTCGGCGGCCATCTCAGCGAGCCACTTCTCGCCGTTCTCACGGATCTCCCGCTCGATCATCTCATAGTTTTTCTGGCCGCGCTCGCGGATCTGATCCCACAGCATCTTGCCCTGTGCCAAACCCTCAGAGGGCGAAACTTCACCACTCATGGTGCTACCAGACTTCAAGCCAAGGGCAGAGGCGAGGCTGCCCATAGAGAGCGAAGGCTTCTTCTTCTTCTCTTCCGCGAGCTCCTTCTCAAAACGCTCGCGCATGGCCTTCTCACGCTTGGCGAATTCAATCGGAATATCGGTACCTTCAAACGATTTCAACACGGGGCGAACATCCTCGACTCCCATACCAGCAAGGTACTCCAAGAAGGGAATGAGGGCGACAAGAGTCTTGTCCTTAGGGTTGCCAGTCCATTTGTCCAACACAATGGCGTTCTCCGGCTGAAGGCGGGCGTGCTCTTCCTTAGTGTCGATAAGAATGACCTTGGACAGATCACGGTTTAGGTATTCGAGATCCTATTGACGAGTGGTCAGCGAAAGCCAAACTAGAATGCGCATCTAGTCCCAACATACCTTGATATACTCGCCATCCTTATAGCGAGTAGCTTCACGGAAAAGAGGCCAGCGAATGATGCGGTATGGGTCAAGTTTGCGGAGAACCTGGTCGGCCATCATGCTGGGAACGCTGGTGAAAAGAACAAGCTCGTAATACTGGTTGAGGTACCGAAGGAAGTAGTCGATGCCGGGGCGCTTCGCAACTCGCCATCCGTGTTCACGGCTCCATTCGCTGTGGACAAGGAGGTCCTCCAGACTGAGGACCAGAGTGTAGGGCTGGCGCATGTTGGGGTCCTCATCGGGGAGCAGTTTCGGGAATGCGGGATCCTTGTAGTAGCTAGTGAGGTCTCCGGTGCGAGCCTTAATGCGGTTCCACCAAAGACCAAGACCCCAGCCAGACGGCTGTTCGGAATGAGCCCGCTCCTCCTCATCGGATTCCCAGTTGCGGCCCAGATAACCCATTCCAGCCACACCGGCGGCCAGCATTAGGGCGTACATGATGTTGGCCATACGGGCCTTGCGGCGGTCCAGAGATGTTTCATAGCCGCCTTTGGGGATATCGCCGCCACCTCCCCGCTTCTCTTCACTGTATTCCTCTGATGTGGGATCCTCAGTAAGGTTAAGCTGTGATTTTTTGGTCCTACCCTCCAGCTCCGCGGCCAATGTCGAAGGGATACCCTGGGTCAGGTCGGGAAGAGACTGCTCGGGGATGTCTTCGGCTTCAGACTATATAGGCGCCATGATGGGTCAGAAAGGGATGCCTTAACAAGCTAAATGGATGCCGCTATACTCACGGATTTAGAGGGCTCCGGCGCGCCGGTCTCGGGCTGAGCCTTGGTATCAAACTCGGGTTGTTCCGAAGCATGTTGCTTTTGTTGGGGGTTCTCGGCAGTCTTGGGTTTATTGGCTTTAGGCTCCTTGGGCTGCATCGAGTCGGGTAGGGTGTACGGAGTGCCCTTGCCTTTGGCATACCACCGGGGCCTCTGGGCAGACAAGGCCGATACCCGGACGGCAGAGGCGAGGACGTTGGGCCTCGTGAGAGGCAGAACGGCACGACTCAGCATGGCGGGGATGGAGTTTGGTAATGTATTGGAACAAGAAACAAAACTGTCCTGTCCTGCGATACTCGCTCCTCAGACTTTCGGGAGGAGTTTCCCGCAAAAAAGTCGGCGCGTGGTCGATCGGGCGGCCCACACGGTCCCAAAGTGCAATTCTCTTTTAGGGCGCCGCGTCCGCCCCGTGTTTTCTTTTCTTTTTTTCAAGTTATGAAAGTTGCAACCCAGACATTAATTTGACTCGGTACGCCTATTTTATGCGTGTCGGGTTGTATTAGCTGGGGAGACCAAAAGAAGTCTTTTCTACTCCCACATCCAAGAGCCGCAGCAAAGGCTTCCGGTGAAGCTGCAGCTCCGTTCGTGGGAGACAAATCACCCCTTTGCTTTCGACTCTGTCTGATTGGAAAGAGACAGACGAGACGGTGTTCCAAGCCAAGTTGATTTGCTTGCTTGACTACCGGTTCTGCAGAGAATGCAATCATTTATGAAATCCTTCCGTGCCAATCAAATCTTTAGAATTCGTGCCGCGTACTTATAGATCTTTCTCGCCTCTCTGCAAACCTTTCCTCCGCCACCATGGGCCCCAGGAAATTGCGATTGCGCAAGACTCTGGAAGTCCCAGAGTCGTCTGACTCGGAGCCAGAGTCAGAGACTCAAGTACGACAGCCATTTCCCTTCCTCAGATTACCCTCCGAGATTCGCCTGCGCATCTACCATTTCGTCCTCTTCACGCCCACCCGGAAGAATCGTGCGCTGCAAAATGCGGGCACCGTCGGCTCCTCCGCGAAGAAGAGCAAGGCTATCGCCCCAACATCGCATCGCATAGCGCTGTTCCTTGTCTCGCGCTCCTTCTATGACGAGGCCAGTCATATGTTCTATTCCTCTCAGATCTTCCGCCTTTTTCCCGTGCAGGACTTCTCACGCCGGCCAACCGTTCGGGCCATCCCCCGCCACCACCGTCCGTCCATCACCACTATAGAATTGATCCTAGGCAACAGCTGGACGGCACCACCGCGATCGTGGACGGTCAACCAAGGGCTGGGCTTGCATGAGATGACTCTGACGCGCACGCTAAAGGTTTTCATAGAGTGTGACCCATCGCAGCCAGTCTTCGAGGGATTCCGCATCTCTAAGGAGTACTATACCGAATTTGCCGGGAAGCTTATGCAGCAGATCCTGAAACAGCTGCCTGGCCTGGTCCAGGTGGAGTTTGATGGGTATCCCTCAGTGCGCAAGGGTGGCGATTTGATGGTGCGGCTGCTGCACGAGACTGAGATGGCCGGGAAAAAGGTTCTCTGGGGACCACAAAGAGGCTGGACGGACTATGAGGATGATTATGTCCCCGAAGAGGAAGATCCAGCGGATGCCGCAATCGATGGTCTATGTGCCAATAATGCCGACTCCGTTGATGCGTTGACCAATACACTTCAAGCCATCAGACTGGAAACCTGAGTCTTGTCAGCAGACATCCCACAGTTTATACTGAGAAGCTTATCCTATATGGACGTGCTACGATTTTGAATTATTGAATCATGAACATTATTACATTGCGAGGCGTTGATAGAAACAGCATATACATCTCATCTTCTTTTATTCACTAGACAACATCAATACATCTGTTTCAAGTTTACAATTCTAAATTTCCTCTGCATTCTGGTTGAAAAGTGCTCCAAAGTATATTTGTTTTATGAAGTTCACGGGAACTTAGTTGGGTAATGTTTGAGGGAAACAAATCAAGATTTCATAATTAGAGCGTTTCTGTAGGTTTCATACACTCGCCTCTATGAGGCACTCTAGAGCTCTTCATCCACCTCCATATTGGCGGGGTTGGCGCCCTCCTTCGAGCTTGACTGCCGAGCTACAGAAGCCTCTTTGTCGATCATCTGTCTGGACACAGCAACGATGTTGTCCTCAATCAATTGCTGGCTGACATCTTCAATGTCTGTATAGAGTTAGCACGCCAGTCAAGGTGAGTGAGGGTTGTATAGCACATACGCTTCTTAGGGTCCACCTTGCCGACATATCGTGTCTTCAGTTGATCCTTGCTCAATTCGGTCTCTTCCTTCACCCGCTTCTCATAGCCCTCGGCCAGACTAACGAGCTGCTTCATCTGCTCCACATTGTGGTGTCCGTCCTCGTGGAAGTCATTCATTTGCAAAGCTTCAGTCCACACATGCTTGTGCAGATTCATCAGCATGTTCTCCTCTAGTCCAGTCTTCCGGTAGTTGATTCCGATGCTGTAGTAGTGGCGGTTGAGGCCGTGAATGAGGGCCTGGATCGAAGGCTTATTCAGGTGGCCCAAGTTCGAGGTTGTTTGCCGGGGCTCCTGACCCATAACAACAGTTTGGGGCTGAATGAGGCGGAAAGCATCGATGACAACCTTGCCCTTGACTGACTGGATAGGATCGACGACGACGGCCACCGCACGAGAATTAAGCTGCTCGAAGGACTGCTGGGTGTTGATATCGACGGACGAGAGCCAGCAACCGAAACCGGGGTGAGAGTGATACCAGCCAACAACGGTTTCCGGACTGTGATGGTTTTCTTGTCAGTATAGTGCTGTGATGACTTGCTAGCCCAGATAGAACGTACCGCCCCGTTTGCCGAAGCATCTCCATCATCTTGGTCTGAAACACAGGGTCCACGGCCTCGACACTAACACCAGTACCACTCTGGGGCATGGCAAACACATCTACCACGCGCACTGTATATTCGTCGACAAATTCACCCAGCATCAGACCCATAACTTCCATGGGAACGCCTGCGCGCCCGTGTCTCAACATCTTCAGCAGGGCGAGAGAAGAGATGTGAACGGTTTCGGAGTTATCGATCAGATTCGGTGTATCCTAAACAGAATTAGGGGTTAGAAATCATACTTCTCAGATTGACGATGCGTAGCTAGTCTTGCAAGCATGCCTGCTCGAGTAGGTGTACACATGGCGAGTAGCCTCGTCGCGACATCACTTACACCACCAGGGGCGGCACTTCCCATCCCCATGCCTTGTGCGGCCTGCAGCATTCGGTTGAGACGGTCCATGTTGGCTGAGATTTATCGATGAATCGGTGAAGGAGGGATACGAAAGATAGCTTCCCTGGTGGAAGCTCCCAGAAGGTTGATCTGTCTGTCGCTGGCAATTTTGTCACGGGGTAGCTGCAATCAGATTGCAATGCCAATGTTGCAGAAAGACAAATGAGATGTTTCAGTGACCTTCAGGGCCGATGTTGGAGGACTCTTGTTGATGCTTGGTCAGAGAAGTAGTCAGCCCGGGAGCTCGACTGACGAAGGCGGTGAATGATCTGCCATCGCCCTTCCCACGCGGCGATCGATTCTCTCACGCCTTTCCCGTCGTGATTCACTGCGCCATGGGCTTGTCTGGACCTGCTTGTTGCCGTGAACAATAAACGTACGGTCTATTCACGGTGCAATTCGGTGAATAAGGACCCAATCCTCTCAGTGACTCTGCGAACTCAGCAACTCCAATTATCTTGTCCTCCCCTAACCGCATACTTGCCGCCGCCCTCTCCTCTTCATTGACACGTCCTCTCCGCAAACCTCGTTGACAAGTCCGTCCCCTCGTCCGAGTATATCGCCCACGATGGCTGCGGAGCCTCTTTCCAACGGCGTTGGTGCGAACAACAAGAAGGTCGCCTACTTCTACGACTCTGATGTAGGCAATTATGCCTACGTCTCCGGTCACCCAATGAAGCCGCACCGAATTCGCATGACGCACAGTTTGGTCATGAACTATGGCCTTTACAAGAAAATGGAAATCTACGTGAGTCGTCTCTTAATCATCAAGTCTGAGCAAAAGATTAAACATGAAAGCTAACCAACATCCTGCTCAGCGTGCGAAACCGGCCTCGAAATATGAAATGACTCAATTCCATACCGATGAATATATCGACTTCCTGTCAAAGGTGACACCAGATAATATGGATCAGTTTTCGAAGGAACAAAGTCGTTACAATGTCGGTGACGATTGCCCTGTGTTCGATGGTCTGTTCGAATTCTGCGGTATCAGCGCTGGTGGCAGTATGGAGGGCGCAGCGCGATTGAACCGCAACAAATGTGACGTTGCTGTCAACTGGGCGGGAGGTCTGCACCATGCCAAAAAAAGCGAGGCTAGCGGCTTCTGTTACGTGAATGGTAAATCCTTCCAATTCCCAAGAGGGCTCTCCCAGCCACTAATTTGATGCAGATATTGTTCTCGGCATTCTGGAGCTTCTTCGTTTCAAGCAGAGAGTCCTCTATGTTGATATTGACGTACACCACGGCGATGGTGTTGAAGAAGCGTTCTACACGACAGATCGTGTTATGACCGTCTCGTTCCACAAATATGGCGAGTATTTCCCGGGCACAGGCGAGCTCCGCGATATCGGTGTCGGCCATGGAAAGTACTATGCCGTCAACTTCCCTTTGCGTGACGGTATCAACGATGTCTCCTACAAGAGCATTTTCGAGCCTGTGATCAAGAGCGTTATGGAATGGTACCGTCCCGAGGCTGTTGTCCTGCAGTGCGGTGGTGATAGCTTGTCTGGGGACCGCCTAGGTTGTTTCAACCTGAGTATGCGCGGCCATGCCAATTGTGTCAACTTTATCAAGGGCTTTGACTTGCCAACCTTGATTCTCGGTGGAGGTGGCTACACCATGCGTAATGTCGCACGTACCTGGGCTTTTGAAACTGGCATTTTGGTCGGAGACAGCCTGGGCTCTGATCTGCCCTACAACGATTACTACGAGGTATGTTACTTCCCTCGAAACTTTCACATATTGTTCAGTTTACTAACATCTACTCAAGTACTTTGCACCGGATTACGAGCTTGATGTTCGCCCCTCCAATATGGACAACGCCAATACGAAGGACTACCTTGACAAGATCCGAACCCAAGTTGTTGAGAATCTTAAGCGTACTGCGTTTGCGCCCTCGGTCCAAATGACCGATGTGCCGCGCAATCCTCTTGTCGAGGGCATGGACGATGATGCCGATGATGTTCTCGACGACCTAGATGAGGATGAAAACAAGGACAAACGATTCACTCAACGTCGTTTCGATCAGTACGTCGAAAAACCTGGCGAGCTCAGTGAGAGCGAGGATGAGGATGAGAACGCCGCCAATGGTGTCCGTCGCCAACCGGGAGCTATTCGACGTCGCAACCAAGTAAATTACAGGAATCTTGATCCTGCGGACTCTGGTCTCGACAGCGGTATGGCTACCCCGCAGGATGCCTCGTCTGTCGCTGATGGCGACTTGGATAGTGGCTTGGACACCAAGATGACCGACGTGCCCCGAACGGAGCCTGAGGCGTCGGCTACTGCCTTAAATGATCAGGATAACGCTGCTGATGCCGATCAAATGGTGGTCGAAGGCGAAGACAAGGATGCATCTGCGGCCGCTTCTCGGCAACCTTCTTCCCCGCATGACGAGGATACAGCCATGGAGGATGCCGCTCCGGCTCCTCAATCCGAACAGTCTGCTCCTGCAACTGAGCCCCAGGAAGAGAAGAAGCCAGAGACTTCAACTGCTACAGACGATGCCTCTGGTACTCCTAAAGCTCCCACTTCTCCTCGAGCTGAATTCCCCTCGAAAGAGCCCTCTGCGTCTGCAGCCGACAAAGATGCGGAAGTTCAACATTCTGTCTCTGCTGAAGATTCGGAAGCCAGGGCAGCCATCTCGGCGCCTCTTGGTGAGCCAACCAAAAAAGAGGAGGACTAAATGGCAACGACTGCAGCAACAATATCGGGTCTGGCGCAATGGGAATGGGCAGAAGGTGTTATCGGTTTGGCAGCATGCTCCTTTTCTTTTTTTTTTCGACCATGGAGACAGCAGGTTCTCTTCGCGATGGACCACAAGAACCTTGTTTCACGGGAAGAGGGTGAATAAATTCCTGTCTCTTTGGATTTTCTCGAATCGGAAAGCTTACCCCAGTGAGGGTACTGACTGGTAGTTAGCACATCATGTCCTTGGAAATTAGGTTCCGTTTAGGATAGGCTGTGCTAGGGTTAATTCAATCGGTTCAGCTTTTCATATTTGATTGCATCTGTACCATGAAATAAGGTTCTCTTTAACTACACGCTACAACTATTTGTTCCTTCATCTAGTATAGTGTTTCTATTCTGCTACACTACTACATGGCACATTCATTGAAGCTAGCCTAGTCATGCCTTGGCTCTTTGTATACCTTGTATCTTGTATACGTGCCCACTCAGCCATCCGAGGCTACTGAATCTTTATAAAGCGCATATCTGTGCGATTTCATTCACTCCCATTCATTCAACCCCATTTATCTGCCCAAAATGCTCCAGCACATCTCAGTGAACGCCATGCAAATGAACCTGGCCGGATACTTTTATATCACGTGACTTAACCTCCGTTTCTTATGTAACACGTAGAACGGTGCTAGTCCGAAAGCGGGCTAGCGCTAGGGCAACCCCGTCCACCAATACGGCGCCAAGATTTTGCGCACTCGCACACTAAGCGAGAAAGCACCGTGGACGAATCTTCGACTCCCGTCTCGCCTTCTTGTCGCCAACCCTTTTCGACTCACCCGACAACTCCGTGTGATACTCGCCAACATGTCTAGCAGAGGGTAAGTCTACCAGATCTACACCCAGCACACCGAAAAAGAAACTTGGGAGGAATTCGCCGACGATTTCGACGACCGAACGTGAACATTCAATGTTCAACATCTCGAGCGGGGAGGGTTGGATGGCAATTTGGAACTGGGATACAACGTCAAGAGATTTGGAGAACAGACCAGCTAACGGTTGATCGCATTACAGTCGTGCCGGTGCCTCGGGCAACAAGCTCAAGATGTCCCTCGGTCTGCCAACGTAAGATTTTCCCACAATCGTGTCGTGTCCCCCCTCGTCCAGTGAACCTTTCGATGAACGCCTATCACCAACTACCGCTGTTGAACCAATTCTCGTCACGACTATCGGAGGGGAAATGCAGCTCCGTAAATGGAGATACGCCATGGAATTCGGAACGACTACGGGAAGAACGAACGACGAAGCGGACGAATCGGAAGCATTCATTGGAACGAGGGGAAATGGACATGACGAGAGCACCAGAAATTTAATAATGGAAATACTAATGGTCGTTTTCGAATAGTGGCGCCGTGATGAACTGCTGCGATAACTCCGGTGCTCGCAACCTGTACATCATCGCCGTCACCGGTACCGGTGCCCGTCTGAACCGCCTCCCCGCTGCCGGTGTCGGTGACATGGTTATGGCCACCGTCAAGAAGGGTAAGCCCGAGCTGCGCAAGAAGGTCATGCCCGCTGTTGTCGTCCGCCAGAGCAAGCCCTGGCGCCGCCCCGACGGTATCTACCTGTACTTCGAGGACAACGCCGGTGTTATCGTCAACAACAAGGGTGAGATGAAGGGATCCGCCATTACCGGCCCTGTCGGTAAGGAGGCTGCTGAGCTTTGGCCCGTGAGTTTTCCCCATCTCCATGAACATAGACCAGCCGTTCATCGCATCCCATGGCTTGATACTAACAACTTCCTTAGCGTATTGCCTCCAACTCCGGTGTTGTCATGTAAAGAGAGGAAACCGATTAAAAACAAAAATCAACGATACCAAACCTGAACTCCTTGGGACCTGGGATTACGGGGTGCATACAAGACATATTGTGGAAGAAAAAGGGAGGGGGGTCCAACTGACGAATTCAACTGTGTTATTTCGAGCCGGTTATCCTCCCAATTCGTGTTTTTTCTCTTTGAACACTGGCGATTCGGAAGTACTTGAAAAATACAACTTTTCATGACAACATCCAACCACTTCTTTCTGTTGTATATGATTGAAATGGGGGAGTCGGGAGTATGGATTTCGCTATCGCGGTTTTTACACTTCGCCTCATGTTCTCTTCCTCGGCCTCAGCTCCTTGGGCTTAGACAGGTTGAATCAATTTGATCTCCTGGGACGCATCTCTGGCTTTCGTAGTGTATGAAATATTTCCGTCTACCTTTCCTGCTAGTCCAAGGTGGCGCCTAAGCAAATGGGATACAATTTCGAATAAGGCGATCATCTATGCCTTTTACGTCGTGCCCGTATCATACCCTACACCTGGTATCAAAACGTTTACGGTATATACACCTTTTAATACTATAAGGCTTGCCTCCTACATGTTGAAGGATCAGATGGTCTATAGTGATAGCAACATTTATTTATAAGTCTCCCCGGTCTATTTATATTCGTACAATCCGATGTCATGCGACTGTACAAGGAGTATTGAAGCAATCTATGTGACGACGACAATCACTCTACCGGCCCCTCCGGTTTCTTGCTCCTGCGATATTTGCTGCCTGAAGGATGGCCTCTCACCCTCTCCTTTATCGGCTTCGGAACATCTTGGACTGTCTCCTTCGCAGGTTCTGCACCAGGATCGGCCACAGTAACAACCATCCAAAGGAAACCAACAATAATAGTGATAAGAATGAGAACATGGACCGCCCACCAGATATGCTGTACACCAGCGGGGCACATCATGATCTCATAATCCCACTCGCCTAGGTCAACATCAAACCAAATCGAAAGAAGACCCGCGTTTCCACCAAAATCGCCCATCATCGAGCGAAGTGTTACTTCACGGATGGATGGAGTCTCCGGTTGCACGAAGGACTCGTTGTATCGCGTGGCGGTCCACTTCCAGCTCTGTGAGGGGGTATTATCCGAAGCTTTATCACCTGATTCTCCGTCTTCGCTCACGTCAGGATTGTGGTCCACATAATGAACGGTATCGCAGCCGGTGTGGTCATGACCGGTGAGGACCAGTCCTTTGCGGCCGGTCCCACCAGCCGGAGCATTTTCATCTCCGCTCATGCCAAAAATACCCTGCAAGATTCCCGAAGCACTGAGAAAGTCACTTAGGTGGTTCTGCTCTCGTAGACCACCTTTCTTCCAGCGGGGGACACCATCAGGCCCATCATCATCCTCGTCATCGTGGAAAGTAAAATACGGCCCATCGGTACATACTCCATCCTCCTTGTGCAGAGGCAAATGAGTGAGAAGCAACGTAAAAGTGGATCGATCCTCCACTGGGTAGAGGCGCTTGCTAATAAGATCGTTGAGGTAATTGTAGCAGTGTGACTGAGCGGCTTCAGACAGTGCCGGTGTATCAAGAATAAGAGTATTCAAGTTGATCAGATGCAAAGTCGGAGTGATCGTCGACTTATCAGAAGACACCTCAGACTGATTTCCTCCAAGTACAATGGGAGGATGCTGGAAGCGAACATCCCAATTGGCACGGCCAAATTCGCGCTCGAAACGCTCAATTCGCGCCTCGCTCGCATCCCCTGCATAGCCAATATCGTGGTTTCCCGCAATATTGATGACCCGTCTCGCCCAAGCTGGATCGGAGTTTGGTCCCAATGGCTCCAACTCCTGCTTCTCGGCAGCATCGCCCTCGACGGCCCCCGTGCGAGTTATATGGTCGTCTACGCGTTGTCCACCGCTAAGAACACGGGTCCAATAGCGCTGGCTTCGCCAATTGAACTCATCATCGTCGATCCATTGACTCCCAAGAAGGTCTCCCAGCACGGTTGTGTGTGTCGGCAAGGTCCACCAGAACAGGGTGCGGTAGATGTGGGCGAGGTAGTAGTCGTTTCCCAGGAGATCGATCTGCTTCTGGACGGCGCGCAAAGACCGTGGGATGTCTTCAGTTGTCAAGGTCCAGATCCCAGTGGTGATATTGGAGAGAACATTCTGGTTCAGGAGAGACATCGGAAGGGAGGTATCGGCCGGGACATTTCCCACCGCATCCTCTACAGCCTTCCAGTGCTTGCGGGCACGCGCAGCCAGTTTCCACTCGGGCAGTGGCAACGACGTATCGCCCTCAAGCTGCGGGTCTGCAAGGACTAGGAGTCTGAAGATTGCGGGTTGGGTGTCCGCCGAAGGGTCGGTGATTCCGAGATGTTGTAGGAAGGTGTTGGTAGCGGCATTTTGTAGGAGAGTTTTCAGGATCGTTTGGTTTTCTGTTTTCGATGACGCCGATCGAGGTATAGGAAATGCGCAGCCATTGAAGACTGGGTAGAGGTAGAGGTAGACCGTCGCCGAGAGTGTGAGCGGAAGGAGCAGCGCAAAAATGCGGGCAAGGAGGGATCGGGGGAACATGAGGATCGGATGATTAGAAAAAATTATGAGAAAATAATATACACCATAATGAATGTAACCAATGAGCGAGGGCCGAGTTGCGTGGGCCGCGAGAGTTGAGACCCCAAGGGTGGTAAACAGCGTAGAACGTTGGGACCTCCGCGGCTTGCGACTCCTTGACCGTACGCCCGCCGAGCGGTACGGTGCCTTGTGTTTGGCGGTTGCCACCCCCTTTTGATGATGTATTATCTGCAAATGATTCTAGATCGTATCACAAGTAAAGCAAAATTTTTAATTATTCGTTCAGCTGGGCTATGATGGCAACATATTAAATTTTCAGACCAGACATTGCGGCTGCCCCAAGATGATTGTTTTCCCCAAATGTCAAAGCCAAGTTCGAAATATATTCCCGCTGCACCACACAAGACGAAACAATGACGTCCGTCTAGAACAGCATCATTTGATGGTACCTATACTACATCTAGGTACCTGTTGTTAATATTTGCATAATTTAAGAAGATAGGAGACACTTTTCGACATCAAGAGATTACAATTGTAGATTTATCTACAAGCCACCAAATGAATACACTTGTTGGAAAACACAAAGCAAAAGACACCCAAGATCGGATAAGAAACCACAGGCCGTTTAATTCTTCCAGGTCAGACCTGGACTAATCAGTCACACTGTCTACATAAACCCTTCGTATCCACGTAACAAACAAAAACCGGCCGAGGCCAGAAAAGAATGGAACAGAAGGAGGTGCGAGGGGTATATCACATCAAACGCCAGACAGTCGGGGGTGGGGAATAGCCAGAAAAGATATCATAAAAGGTGAATAGAGAAGAAAAAAAAGCTAGGGTAGAAAGGTGAAGATTAGATGTCCACAGATCTTCCTGCGGGTGAAAGCAAAATCACAGTAGATTGAAAGCATCACTTCGATTCCGTCTTAGCCAGCGGGCTAGGAAGGAGAGATGTGTGACCAGTGTCAATTTCCCCGAGAGGATTAGACATGGGTTGGTCGGTGGTGCCCGACTCGTCTTTCGGGGCTTCCGCATTTGCATCAACGAAAGAGTTGGATTCGGTGGAGGGGGCCTTGGATAGATTTAGACCTTCGATTCGAAGTCCATGTTCTTCCTCGTCTGCTTCTTCGACCAGCTCATCGGGGAGCTGATCAGGTTCGGTAACCGGGGGATTGTTCATCAAAGCAGGGGGCGTTGGTTCATCATCTGAGCTTGTTTTAGACTGATTGTCTTTTGTTTGTTGGTCTTTTCCAACTGAGACAGGTCAAGCTCAATGGTTGCCTTCATCAAGGCCGCCATCCACAAGCGACCTTCCGCCACACTGTCGACCTGGAAGTAGTGGGTGGTAGGCTTGGTGAACTGCACAGTTCGGGAATTGCCCGATCTCGGCGGCACAAGTTTGAAGAAGAAAGGACCGCTCCCGTCTTTGCTGCTAAGTGAAGAAAGGACATTAGATGTGGTAACCTTGGTGCCACTTGCATTTTCGCTGGGATTGGCATTGGCAGGCTGCGCGGTAGATCCGGTCACAGTGGCGTGTAAAGCGATGATGGGGTCATTATCTGCTCGGAGGACGCGGTGAGCCGTGATGTCGATAAGGCCCCGCTCTTCGGTGTCGTCCTCAGAGTAATAGTACGATAGACGACGGCCACGCAGCACGAATAGTCGAGGTTTCCACGTCGTCATGAGGTTGGAAGACCTCTTCTTCATCCAGCCACTGTAGTCGCATCCATCCATTTGTTCCCGTGGCGACTTCTTCTCGAGACCTCGTATATAAGCGCTTGTGTCTTTCTTGGACTTGACGGTGCGAGGTCGAATCATGAACCCCGCGCTATCAGTGGCCTTGCCAGATCCATCGGTGCTGTGCCGTTCTGAGCTCTTGGATGTTGCCGAAGGAGTGGTAGACCCAGTACGACCAGTTGTAGGATCATAATCGCGAGGCGAGACAGGGGCTGAGGTATCAGTGCCTTTTCCAACAACATCAGAGATAGCACGAAAGCCGACTGCGCGACGAATCTTGGAATTGGCACCGCCCATTTTGGGCAAGTTCCAAGGCAAAGTGGAAGACCGCGCGGAGGAGCCTTCCGAATCCCCGCCCTTCTTCATGAATGGTCCCAAGTTAGAGAAGAACCCTGCCTTGCTATCCTGTGAATCATGGCCACTGCGTTCAGAAACGCGTGTGCTCAGGCTCCTGAACCGGCTCTTCTGTGGCGTACTGTGATAGTTATCAGCGGCGCTTGACACATGTCGAGCTGCATCACGCATTGAATCAACACTGGCAATGCGAGACTGGCGTTTACCAGCATTCTTGACCTTGTATTGGTCCTCTGCATAGCTGGACTTTCGAGAGTGACCGATACTACCAGCGGCCGACGTCCGTTTCTGCAAAACGCGGCGAGTCCGTCGCGAATCTATTTCCGTTCCGGAAAAGTAGCCTCGATCCAGGTCGTCTATTTGATCAGGCGTATTGGGCTCTGATTCAGTCTGCGGTCCACGATATGCCGTTGTCCCCAGCGAAGTTCCTGGGCGAGCGGGTAGACCTTGGCCTCCACTGTTCAGAGTCCAAGCCCGATCAAAGGATGGCTTCTTCTGGTGGCCATTCATTAAAGAGTCCGGAGGCCCACGGTGTGTAGTATCGATAGAGGAGTGCCGCCGAGTATGATTGAGATCACGGATCGAAGCCGCGGAGACTCTTCTTGGCGAGTCGTGACCATACGGAGGGGTACGAGGCGCAATGGGGGAGCTGCCGTTGCTGGCAAGTCTTGGGTGTTGTCCAGGGACTGCAGAGACCCGGGGCACATAGCCTGCGCCAGTCTTCTCCGACACAGTCGGGATGCGCGGTAGAAAAGGTCCAGTATGACCGGCGCGCGACAGAGATCGTTCCTCTGGACCAGCCAAATAGCCAGAGATAGAGGCTCTCGCAGCCGGCGGCTGTTGCTGTTGCTGCTGCTGTTTCAAGCCTCGAACCTCTTCCTGGAATGCCTTGACCTTGTGCCACGTTTTAAGCCGTTTGCCCATAACACCAAAGTCAAACTCTTTCATGAAAATGAAGTCTTGATCCATGTCAAGAAGGACATCGCCGGTGATTTCCTGCTCTTCAAATATATCACAATGCTTGGTATCCATTCCAAGGTCTCGCATGTGTTTCGCGGTCTCGGTGTGAGTCCACCGCCGAACCTGTTCTTCAGTCAGTGCAACGCCCTCTTCCTCATCCGTCTCATTTCCGTTGATGTATGAAAGGCGATGACTGAAATGGCTACTATATTCGCTCCCAGAGTCATTGATCGTTTTCGCTTCTTGGGTCGACACACTGTGGCGAGGTGTGTTCATATCGGTGATGTGTTCATCGATGACGCTCAAAGTCTCGTTCATCACCGGGCTCTCCTCGCCATTGGCATGACTATCAATGGACCTCCGGAAGGTTTGTTGGATGTCCGCCGCCAGGCTTTGCTGGGGCAGTGGAGACGAAGCAGACCGTTGTTGCTTGGGGGAATCGACCGAGCCGTACACATCCGAAGTACTGGCGTGTCGCGACGCTTGGGGCGTTGTTTGTTCGCTGCCAGCTGAGGCGAAAGAGGATTCGACATCGACCGGCGTTGACGGTTCCATCTGAGCTGGCGATTCGGTCTTGTCGAATGCGATCACTGTTTCGGGGGAGGGGTCGGTCTGAATGGAACTCAGATCGGGCGGTCCACGATTCCGGGGACGCTCGTGAGCATGGGCCTTGCGCGTGAAGCCTATGGCATTACATATGAATATGAATATTGGACTTGTCGACCGCGATTGATGTCGAATGTTGGGACGGGCGCATACCAGCTGGGAAGAGGCCTTTCTGGCCAGACTCGGGTTGTTCTCCAAGCCACCATCCATCTTGAAATTCTTCATCCATCTCCTCGAGACGGATAATATTTCCGCGCATCATTTGCAATTCATCGTCATTTCGTTTGAAGTGATCGTCTGATTGGGGTTAGCGCATGGTCGAGGGGCGAGCGAGAGGGGAACCACTTTGCGCGATCGCGGCCGCGCTCGCCGCGCTCGCAATCGCGCAAAAAGTCGCACATGGCCAGACGTACGTAAGACGAAAAGATAATCACCGCGCTGGACGTTCTTTGGCGGAGCGGGCGACATCAGCGAATGGTCGGCCATGTCGCGATGATTTTTGTTGGGGTGACCCCGTTCCTCCGATCGCACGAAGTGGAAACAAAGCCGAGGCGAGAGGGCAATTCAGTCGCAGAACATGGGGGCCGAGCAGCCCTTTCGGGAGAGGCAGAGGGAGGAGGAATCGAGCGTGGAACCTCGTGAAGGAGAGCACGGCAGGCTGGAAGGGGAGAGAATGCAGAAGAGGAATCCCCGAGAGGAGTCGAGGCTTAGGTCACTAGCCCGCGGGGTTCGCGAGGAACTAAGCTGGAACTGTCGGAAGCTGTCCCTCGTACTACTAGTACTCTTCGTCACTGGCAGTCTTGGGCAGACCCGATCTACCATGCCACAGCAGATACCGACCAGGGCAGATTCCAGGAATCTGATGTGGAATGGGGTTCCACCACAACAAGGCGCACAGCACGAGCAGCAGCAGAGTACCTGGTGTGTACTAGGAGGTAGTTGGGAGAACGCAGCGTGGATGACAGGCGAGAGCGTTGCGAAAGTCGAGGCCGACAAGTCCAGACGCAGAAGAGCCGAGACGCAACGAGCCGACTAGGCGCAAATAATCCCACACGAAATCCAAGAAAATGGGTCCAGAGTGACGTGTGCGGCCGTCAAGGGTTCGAGGGTTCTGGACCGGGCAATCCACGGGTCTCAGGCGAGAATGGGCTGAGAGTCGAAGTGGACAAAATAAGCAAAAGTGAAACAAATAACAAACCAGCAGAGTATCCCCAGGCCGGAGCAATAGGGGAGTGGATGGATGCATCGGGCTGAATGCGGCCATTCTTGACGATGCCGATGCTCGCGATCTATCGACTGCGGCCAGCGGAGCGAGTCCACGCAACACCGCGACGACATGATGCCTCCGGGACTGCACAGGTGTGTCTACAGGGTACCGTTGGGCAGTACATACGCAAATTACAGGCCATAAGTCAAAGATCTTCTGTTAGGCATCCAGGCTATACCATAATAGCCGATCAATGGGAGTGGTGATGGTTTATACTCTTAGTGCTGTGCTAGTGCCTGCATCTCGATTCCTGACTACACGCCCTCTTTGTTCGCGCCAAGAGTGGGCTTTTTTTGGCTTTTGCTCGCAACCGCCTGGTCACTTCGAGATTCCCGTTGAGAAAAAGAAATCAGCAAAGTAAAAAAAAAAAGTCAAAAATAAAAAAGGAAGCCACAACCCTCCACATCAACTAGAAGCACCGCATGCTTCCGCAGGCCTAACCCGCGCCTGGGCAAGAACCAGCAGCAGTTCATTGTTCAGCGACCAACATCCTGCCAGCCCTTGTTCCTGTTCCCGGTCATTTTTCATTTGTTGCTTTCTCCCAACTATGAGTCCACACCATGGCCTCTTATCGACGACGATCGAGTGGTGCCGAACAGATAGAAGAGTGTAACTCGACCGCGAGCCTCTTTCTGGGCGTCCCGCGGAGGGACTGGATGGGTACTCCGCAAATATCGAGTGCTCCAACTCCCACTCCCTATCCGACAGGCTCGCAGGCAGCGATGCTGCCTCGCGCGCATCCCAGCGCCTCATGTCCTAATGTTGCGCCTTCAATACCCTCAAAATCTACCAGCACCACAGGTAGTAGTACTACTACTAGTACTGCTACTACCACTACTACCAACCGATCCTTCGTCGCAGACATGTTAATGTCCCCCGTCACGCCGGGCGCCAACCTACCTTCTTCGTCGCTCCCAGCACCAGCTTCCCCACCTCAGCCCGACCGTCAGTCTCCCTCCGCGACTCTCATATCACCGGTGCCGAGTCCAGGTTCCCACCCGAGCCCTGCGACCTCTCGTCCTCCGGCCACCAACACGTCTGTTGCCGCGCCAGCGACCCTGCCGCAAAACCGTGAGGATGAGACTCGCATGTCGAACCAAGCCGCCGCCATCTCTGCGCCCACTGCGAGCCCCTCACTTCCGGGAGCGGTTTCTGAATCCTGTGGCGCCCAAGAAAACACACCATCGGGGAACTTACCTCGACATGGGCTTGCGCCTAACCATCAGACACTCGCGCCGAGAGTTTCTGGCCCAAGCAAGACACTGTGGCAGCAATGGAGGCACAAGTCGGTCGTGCTCCGTACGGACGCTGATGTCACGGGGTCGATAGTTGCAATGGGTAGGGCGACTCTCCTACAAAATGCCTGCGATCATAGAGACTTTTTCTTTCTGTTGCTGCATCAAGTATTCTGCCGACATTTCCTCGATATTGGCGCTCTGGAGCGTAGCAGTGGGCACACGGACTCTTTTCATGCCCTGCAACTCCTGCTGGAAGACAACACGCGTGTGCCGCCTCGGATCATGGAAAGATTCGTTGGCTTCCCCGAATCGCTTGAGGAATTAGGAAAGGCTGAGTGGTTTGACGACACGCGAAATAAAGAGCTCGTCAGGAAATGCATTGTCGCCCTGGAATCCCAGATGCCGTTGCTACAAGCTCGAATTGAGCGGGGATATTATCATGAACGTGGTTTCCCACCTCTCGCAGCCGAAATCCATACGGAATTTCAGACCAGTTCGCCTGTATTCATGACTGTGCTGTTTACATGTGCTTGTCGAAGTCTTTACCCAGATCATTGTATGCAGGACTTGAATCTTTCATTCCAGAATGACATGAGAATGTTTTTCACGTCCATGGAAGAAGATCGGCTGCTTTCGATCCGTCGATACAAAGCGATCCGAATGAAGCCCAGTCCACTGGGACGGCAGCCCTCGATGGTTCCCCAGCAGCAGAACAAGCAGAACAAGCAGCAGAAGCAGCCGCCGCCGCCGCCGCCGCCGCCCAGCGCACTTACCCACCCTGGAGGTCCCGTGGTCTCCGCCCCCAGTCCAGTTGGAAACCCCAGTCTTCCCAATGGATTTTTTATCCCTGTCTCATCCCAAAGTCCGCGGTCACAAAGCCCGCCCCAGAACGCCGCGTGGCTTCCAACGTCGCAAAATCCGCCCCGTTCACCTCAGGTGTGGCAAGCGTCCCCAGGGCAGCTTCAGCTACCCCGAGGACAAGCTCCGCCGGTACACATGCAGGGGCAGCCCCGAGCTGCCTATGATGTACCGCTTCCAGTCTCTCAGTATCCCAATTATCGGCCGGCAAACCAAGCACAGATGATGCAAAATCCGAATGCGTTGCAGCCAAATCAAGGACAGATGGTTCAGGGTCCCAATGCTCTACAAGAAAACCAGGGGCAGATGATTCAGACTCACTCACCCCAAACGCCCCAAGTCCGACAGATGGTTCAAGACCAACAAATCCACTCGACCCAACAGGCACAGGGAGTCCAAGACCAACAGGATGTTCCGCATCAAAATACGCCCTCTCCCATGTACTCTGCCCACCCCGAGTCTGTCCAGGGTCCCCAGCAACAAGACAAGATCCTCACACAGCAGCAAGTTCCCCCATTCTGTATGCAGGTGAATTCAACGGGCCATCCTCAGCGACCTCCGCTTTACGGAATTCAAGGCCATCCACAATTCATGCAGTTTCCACTGGGCAGAGGACGAGGGCGAGGACGAGGAAGTCTCCAAATGTCCATACCACCCTCCTTGCAGCGACCGCACCCGGGTACACCGGTGACACCTGGCACGTCGGGCATACCGGTTACTCCTCATACTCCTTTGCTCCCGCCCCCCAATTATAGAATCCCACAGACCGTCAACACGCAACCAATGCGGCTCGGACTGCACCAGGCCGATATTCGTGAACCAGTCAAGCAACTGCGACATTGGAACCCCCAGGGACAGTTCGCCGAGGTCGAATTGTACTATTACCTCTGCGGATATGCAGTGATTCCCAGCTTCATTGATCCGGCGGAACGACGCTACAGCTGGAAGTTTATGTTATCAGCCATCGATATACAATCAGCCCCTCGCTTTGAGGATACCAAATCAGGGAAAAGCCCGATCATTAGTATCCAGCCAGGGTGTAAAGTCTTCCGACTTCGAGCGATCTCTCTGAAAAACTCTCAGAAAGACAATCTTTACGGCATGTGGCCAACTGCAAACACCTGCTGGCCTAGTGTGTTTTACATCTTTGTCAACGGTAAGGAGCTCTTTGTCCGCCGCAAAGCTCACAACGGCAAGGATCTTCCTCTAGACATCACCCGTTTTCTCAAAGAAGGCAAAAACGAACTTGTTGTACACTTCCTACTCGGACCTGGTGAATGCAAGGATTCTCGATACGTCTTTGGTGTTGAGTCCATGGCCTTCAGCATGTCTGATCAAGTGCGGCTTCAGGCCAAGACCCTACCCGCCTCGGCGACCTATCGGAAGATCCGCCAACGCCTGAATCTGCTGACGGACGACGATGACTTGGCCGTTGTTTCAGATTTCCTGACTGTCAGCCTCGTTGACCCGTTTATGGCAACGATCTTTGACACCCCTGCCCGATCCACATCCTGCAACCACCTGGAATGCTTCGACATTGACACCTTTATCAGAACTCGCAAGTGCCGATCTGGGTCCACACCATTGAACGATGACTGGAGGTGCCCTATCTGTAAGGCAGATGCTCGGCCACAAAACCTCGTCATTGATGAGTATTTCGTCAACGTTCGCGCGGAGCTTCAGTCTAGTAACCGACTGAGTGGCGCTGAGACGATCAAAATTCAAGCTGATGGATCTTGGACTTTGAAATTCGATACTCCTGAAAAAACCTCATCGATCCCGGTCACCCTCAAGCGCAAGGCGGATCGCCCTCTAAGCCGGTCAAAGACTCCTGCAAAGCAAGAGACATCCTCTCCCATGAACACTACAAATACTGGTGAACCAATCGTGATTGAAATTGACTAATCATGTTGATGTTACTGTGGTGCTCATCTATTGTCAAGTCACTTGCTTCTCCTTTTTAATGAACGAGATATCAGTATCTTGGTCGAAGTCCGCCCCTTCATCAACCCTTTCTTTCTTTCTTTCTTTTCTTTTCTTTTTTTTTTTGGATTTTAACCTTTGTACCGAAGCAATAGATACCCCCACTTATTTCAGAGACCCTGGGACTGACCACAGTGAAGATGATTGTGACATTTTCACTGGTAGTTCTGTTCTTGTTATTCATAGTTACGGTGTTTACGGGGGGTTCTTTTTGGTAACTGTCGTCGTTTTTTCATCACGATGGATAAGATTAAACGTACGATATTCACTGTTAGACAACCCGTATTAATACAATATTGAAGTTACTGGTTGATCGCAAAATTTACTCGTCATTTTCCAGACAGAATTGCCTAAAGTGAATGACCTTCATGCTCCAAAATTGCGCTTCGATGGGTGTGAGTTTGGAGGTATAGACCGTAGCCTACCAACAGCTAGTGCAGCCGACAAGAATAAGCCATGATCACTTAGTGGATTCTCTCCACCTTGGATATTAAATTATACAGGGGTTTCAATATATGGTTATAAATGGCCATTATCCACGGTGTCATTTCCTTACGCGCCGAACATGGCTGACAAGATTCTCAATGACACCTTCAAAGGCCTCCTTTTCACTGATCAGACCATCCCTCCGCTTGAGCCAGTACTCCAATACTGTGCTGGCGCGCAGGGTAACCTTTTCCAACTCCTTGACATGAGATTGCAATTCCACATCAGTCAAGCCACTCAGCGCGGCATCGGTGGTGGCGCACAAGCGGTGTACAGCGGAGAGATCAATTTCTGGTGGAGGAACTGCACCACGACGAACAGTCTTCTGACGAGCAGCGGCCTGCCCTGTCGTGGCTGCGCTTTCAGTTTCGTTTTGAGAGCCTTCGCCTTCCTTTCGGCCTTGGCTGCGGGATCGGCCGCTGGGTGTTGTTGCCCCCGAGCCGTCGAGGTCAATGGAGGGGAGAACAAGCTTCTTTTGCTTGGATGCTGGGAGAATCTCGTCCAAGTCGACGGGGACACCAAGTGATACAAGGAACAATCGCCGGATGCGAGATTTGACCCAGTTCTGGGGTTGGAGAGGTGGTGGGGCAACGAGCTGAGACCACAGGGAAAGGGAACGCTCAGTGCTGAAAATTGCTGAGGAATCGGGAATTGGTTCGATGGGTGAAAGGTTACCGAGGTCTTGGGAGGCAGGGAATAAGTTATCGAGGGTGCCCTCAAGAGCACTGAGAAGTTCGGTGGTGGACTTGTATGTGTCGAGATCGATAAGAGGAGGCTAGCGAGGTAGATGTTAGCTTTTAGTTGTATTTACAATTGACCGAGCTACTCACAACTGAGAGAAGGGTTTGAGGCTGCTGAGGAGTGGCGCTACCCCCTGTGGCAGCACCGTCGTCAATTTCAGCACTGGGTTCTTGGAAGCCGTCATCGAAGTCCCCGAAATCATCATCACTCATGTCGTCTTGTTCCTCAACAAAGTCGTCAAATTCATCAGCCCCCGCTTGTCTTTTATTCACATCACCAAACTCATCATCTTCTTCAATGTCCTGACGCATTTGTTCGTGTTGCGGAGAGGTGTCTTCTGAGGTTGTGGTATCGGGGACTGTTTCCACGACGTCGGGCATTGCGTCACTCGGCGATGTTCGATGGTGGGCTTGGGGCCTTGACGGGAGGTCTTCATCATTAGGCATGGAATCAACGCGAGAGACGCGCGTTTCAGGAATTGGCTGGCTTGAAAAGTTGGAGTCTTGAGATGCGTTTTCCGAGGAGGATGCTGGCGGTTGAATATTCTCGGGATCATCTGTGGATTTCACCACGTCGGGCACAGCATCTGCCAGTCTCTTTTCAAATGCCTCTGTTCCTGGAACTTCGCCATAGCTGGGCGAATCCGGATCAACCTTCTCTACCATTGTGCGCGGAATTGGCGAATCCGTTGGGGTCACCGGCCGGTCCTTCGACCCCGCGGGGGAGAGGTCGCTATTGCGCGAACCTTCTGGAATAACTTCAATTTCGTCGGGAACTGCATCCTGCTGTCTTATCTCGTATGCCACGGTCCCGGGAACCTCGCCATGCTGAAGGCTGCTGTCGACTCGCTCGATTCTGGTCCGTGGGACAGGGGAAGTACCACCAGAACGCGGGCTTGATTGTTGCTGTATGTGGCCTTCACTGGCATCTGAGAAATGTTCTTCGCCACTTTCGGAGCCTATTCGGGCGCAAGGATAATCATTCAGCATTCTGGGTAGCTGAACCGGTGTTTTGGAGGCCGACATACCGCTGTCCTCAGCTCCAGGATCCTCCCTCTCGGTGGTTTTGCTGGGGGGTTCAAGATGCGTAGACGGATCGGGCGACGCCTCCGACATGTTTGTAGGTAAACTCAGGTCAGGAACATAGGAAAGAAATGGTCGGAGGAGGTGACGGGAATAATGACATGCAAATGGTAGTGTGTAGTGTGTAGAGCGAGTGTCGACGTCTTCCCTGCGATCGACCGAGTCCAGAACATACCCGCCTCAGGCATCCTTTCTGCCTGGGAAAGCAGGCACTGCCGAGCGCGTGAACCCAAACTCTCTGCCGATTGATTATTGCAGTGCTTCACTCACCAAACCCCCACCCCCTCCACCCTTCAGTCTCTGGGTTCAATTTGACAATTGTAAACAGAGCGCATTATTCACTGGACGCCGCGATCCATTCAGCAGGACCTCCTGGCCTCCTATCGGTCGCTGACCGTTGCTCAGTCTGCTTTTTTCACCTAAGCTTGTCGATTCCTTGATCGCGACAATCCCCATCGCCATGGCCTTTTCCTTCGGCACTCCAGCATCCACCGGAGCCTCCAGCGGTGGTCTCTTTGGGACTTCTGGCAGCACTTTCGGATCCACCCAGAATAACTCAAACCCTAGCTCGGGAGGTGGTCTCTTCGGAAACGTAGGAGCTTCGTCTACCAGCGGAGGTGCGTCTTCGTCGCCATTTGCCACGGCTTCTGGCGCTGGTGGCTCTGGCAGTACCCCAGCTCCTCTGTTCGGCGCCGGCGCCGGTACCAGCACCGGCGCAGGTGCGGGGGGCAGTGGTGGCCAGAATTCACTGTTTGGAGCTGCCAAACCCGCCAGCAGCGGTGGCTCAGGTTTCAGTTTTGGCAACCTCGGAAACAACTCCAGCACGAGCAGCCCAGCTGGCGGTACTTCATCTCTGTTCGGTAGTGGTGCCCAAACCCCCAATAAAACGACGGAATCGACGGCATCTGGACAACCGGCGACCAGTGGGATGTTTGGCGCCGCAGCGAAGCCGGCCTCGGGCGGCAGTCTGTTCGGGAACAACGCGTCTGCGACTCCTGGACCGGCTGCTGGCTCTTTGTTCGGCAATACCTCGACGACCCCTGCTGGCCCTCCGCCGGCCTCCAAGCCCAACAGTCTCTTCGGCAACACAGCTTTGTCGAGCACGCCTGCATCGTCTGCCGCGCCCTCGACTACCCCGGCTACTGTGCAATCATCTGGTGGTCTGTTTGGCGCAGGCGCAGCCTCTACTACCGCCCCGAAGCCTCTCTTTGGAGGCACGCCCGCCGCCGCGCCTGCCAGCGGCGGCTCCAATCTCTTCGGCACCACCCCCAAGCCAGCAGAATCCACCACTCCGACCACTGCCACCGACAACACCCCCAAGCCGGCCTTTGGAGCTGCTGCCCCGGCTTCGACTGGCGGCTCTCTGTTCAAGATGCCTTCCACCGGCGGCGATTCCGCTGCGAAATCCCCATTCCCTTCCCTTGGTGGCGCATCTACCACGCCCGCAACAACTTCAGCCACTTCTCAGCCCTCTCTAGGAGCCCCGGCTACATCATCTGCCACACCTCAGAAGTCACTCTTCCCTGCCGCAGGTGCTGCTACCTCCTCGGCCGCCTCATCTTCGACTCCAGCCGCAGCGCCTGCCGGAGGATCTCTGTTCTCAGGTTTGAGTGGAGCTAATACATCTGCTGCTCCTACTCCGTCAACTGCGGCCACCAGCGCTGCGCCTGCGACCACATCTGCCTCCCAGCCTGCCGCCCCAAGCTTGTTCAGCAAGCCTGCGACATCCACGGCTTCTACCCAACCTGCCACGGCTACTTCTACCACCACCACCACAACTGCCCCTTCTACGACGGGAACTGCCCCGGCGACTGATGCCGCCAACAAAACAGGAACCAACCCTGCCCTTGGCCAATCGACGACTGGCCCGGCTCCTCCGGCTCAGTCGCGCCTGAAGAACAAGACCATGGATGAGATCATCACCCGCTGGGCCACCGATCTGAACCAGCACCAGAAGAAGTTCCGTGACAATGCTGAGAAAGTTGCAGAGTGGGATCGCATGCTGGTGGAGAATGGAACAAAGGTTCAAAAGCTGTATGGCAGCACTGTCGATGCCGAGCGTGCCACTCAAGAAGTGGAGCGTCAACTTGCATCTGTGGAGGGTCAGCAGGACGAGTTGAGCTCATGGCTCGATCGGTATGAGCGTGAAGTCGATGAGATGGTTTCCAAGCAGGTGGGCTCTGGCGACGTTCTCCAAGGACCAGACCAGGAGCGCGAGAAAACGTAAGAGATCTGACATTCTCCTTGCACATTGATCGATGGAACTAACCTGATTTGTAGCTACAAAACGGCCGAGAAACTTTCAGAACGTCTGGATGAGATGGGCAAGGATCTGACGAGCATGATCGACGAAGTGAACAGTGCTTCTGCAAGCCTGAGCAAGACCAACCGTGCGGACGAGCCGGTAAGTGATGTTGAAATCCGTCCCGCATATTGACAAACTATGTGGATTACTAACGCATATGTCCTTTGTACAGATCTCGCAGATCGTTCGTATTCTCAATTCGCACCTGTCCCAGCTCCAGGTCATTGATCAGGGTACATCTGAGCTGCAAAACAAGGTATCTGCCGCACAGAAGGCCGGCCAGTCTATCTCCTCCCGTCTCGGGTATGGGTTCAACAGTCCTGGCACGGGCGGAGGAAACGCTGCCGATGACTTCTACCGCTCCTACATGGGAAGACGGTAGATGGTGGCATGGTTGAAGGATGTCTAATGACTTTAATGGGAGTGGATAAACTGCTAAGTGATTCTATGGCCATATCAGTGTGCTTTAGCTAGAATTGCTTATGCGAGTGACCATATTTTACCTTCTGCACTGCTCTTCAAGCCCAAATACCGGGATGAGGACCATCCTGAGGGTCGCTCTATCGTTTAGTGTACATCATCGGGTTTAGTTCGGATGGTCTGCCCCTGTGGCTTTGGGGCAGAACGGCGTAATATGGCAACAAATGATGATATTTCTGCTCAGTTCAATTCACTGCCATCTTCTTGACCGCAGCATCCTCACCTTTAGCTACTCGTATGAAGTAATAAAACATTTGAACTTATTAAAGGGAGTAGAACGGATGTACTAATGCCCAACAAGTTCTAGTAAGAGTATTATGAGTGGACAAACTCATGACCAACCCGTAGTTGTCATAGTCTGCTTCTATGGTCGCTCATTCCAAAGGAGCGACATGTTTGTTACTCTTCGAGATATGACTACCATGTCGTGGAAGAAATCCTTTGTAGGACCATGTAACTTCTGGTCTACCGATCAGAACACGGATACTTAAACAGATGATTGCTGTGGTATTTTATAAGAGCTCTCGGACTTGTAGTCTGTAAGATTTACGTGAAGATTGCAAGAGTTGGTTTAAACAAGGGACTCTCGTCATGCTGTACTCTTCGGTCTGTTCTAGTCATATGCCGCTTGTAAACACGACCACCATCTGGTTACAGTAGAAAGCCCGGCCATAGAGAGGAGATGTATGGTACAGCAAGAAAATGCGCTTGTAGGCGAGAAAAACTCTAGGTTTCGGTGTGATGGCTTTAGTTCTTGCCAGACTTTCCTTGCTCCTTGGTCAACTTGTCACTAGCGAGGGATTAGCATTCGTCTGACAAATTCCTGCCTGAGGGCAGCAACAAAAAAAGAAGATATATCAACATACACGTGTCCCTCAAGCTCATCCAAATGGGCACGCTGATCGGCGATCTTCTTCTTCAGCGCGTGGAGTCTGTGCAGGTAATCGGCATTAGCTATCGCACTTTCGAGAAAGAGATGGGTGGGGCAGATGCCCAACGTAGGAAACGTACTTGTCAAGCTCCTTCTCGCGAATGTAAAGGGCCTCCTGGGCAGCCTCGCGCTTGGTGAACTGGTCACTAGAAGGCAACGAATGTCAGCGACGGATGATGTCATACAGCAGCGGCAGGGCGGCCACGCAATTCTATCGACTATGAAGGCAGCGCCACAACGGTCATCGCAGAATGAAAGGCGAAGCAGGGGATATAGGGAGCCAAGGGTGAACCACGTACCCAGCAGCGGCACCTCCGGAGCGAGGAGCTCCAGTGTCGCCCTCGCCCATTCGAGGAGCGATGGCAGAGAACGAACGCTGGCAGAGAGCGCGGTTGGCCACGACAGCCGGTCGGGTGATAGATTGGCGGAGCATTGTGAATGGTGGTCTGATGTACCTGTGAGATTCGAGAAGGGGACAAAGCAAAAACAGAGAGAAAGATGGAGGGAGAGTTACAGCCGGGTATGGCAGGTGAGCTGACAGCCCATGACGACACGCGCCAAGATCCTGTCAGGTGATCTGTCCGGGGTGCGTTAGATAATGTATTATGTCAGCAGGAAATCTCTGCGATAAGTGAACGGGCTCCCATTCGACTCAGTACGATCATGAGAATCATGAGGGGCTAGAGATTCGTATTTACGGATGACTACTAGAGTCGGGGGATCAGGGAGATCCGGATGGTGTGAAGAAGGCAAATCCGTAGATGGCAGGCAAGACTACTACTAGTTCAGTACATTATTTAGCCACCATGGAACGGCTACGAGACGTCCAGGAGATCCAGGGGCACGAGGCCTAGGCCAGGAGGCTCCCGGATCTCAGTGGGTAAAGTTGTTTCGAAGAAATGAGGCAGGAGGTAGGGCAAGTCTGCCTTGGATGGGCAGCTCAGCCCTCAGAATGGCCGGGACGATTGGCGCCGGATGAGGGATGACGCTGGAGGAGGCCCACCGAACCACAGAGAAGCCGAGGAGGTGCATGGCGTCGGCGATGAGCACAGCAGGGCAATGATGAAGGGGGGACTAGTCGAGGGCGATATGGGCAATGGAATCGATCAGACCGGCCACAGCCAGCACATGGCCCGGCCATGGGAACTCCAGTGTCGGGGTCGGGTGTAGGCGTAAATCCCAACAACACCGCCTTCTGTGTTTCCCCCTCCTTCTCCTCTCCCTCTCTCGCAACTTCCCCCTTCTCCTTCCACTCCATCCACACCCCCATCCTCTTTCCGACTCCTCTTTCCTCTCCCTTTTTCAAAGTTCAGGTAAGTGTGTATCGTCGCGTTAAATTTATTTTCTCGTCTGGCCTCTTCCCCGCCTGGCAAATCACCACACAACATTTCCCCCTCCTCCCAAACCCACACAACCACGAACGGGGAACCCATTGGGGACAATTCAAATGAGGGGGAATGAAAATTCCTTCCCCCACATTTTGATCGCTGGGATCGCATCGCCGCCGCTTGACGATAGGGAAGCCATTCGTCTTCGTTCCCTTGTTTACTTGCGGCCCCGTTCCCGCGACCGCTACACCTGACACCCCCCCCCCCCTCAAAACACGCACAGCCCCGACGCCAGCGAGACTGGGCTGTCAACAATCGATGATCGTCATGGATCTCCACCGGAGAGGAAGGGTCCTGGTCTGACCAGAATACCTCTGGGATGCGGAGTCGAGCGCATCGGGCCCCTCATCCCTGAAAAGGCCGTCGATGGCTTCTACCCCTCCCGGTCGCTGGCGATGATCGATGATGTCGATGGCGTGATTCCAACATTCCTCCTCAACCCCATGTTCATCCGTGCCAGCATCATCTGTGAGAGAGAAGAAAGCTAACCACAAATTTTCATAAATTTAGAACTCCTTCACCATGGGTCAAGAAGACGCCGTCTACCTCGCCAAGCTCGCCGAGCAGGCTGAGCGCTATGAAGGTATGTTCCATGCCACCCGCAGAAGAATCGTGCCCCCGGAATGAAATCGCTGACGCACTGTTCAGAAATGGTTGAGAACATGAAGATCGTTGCCTCGGCCGATGTTGAGCTCACCGTTGAGGAGCGGAATCTCCTGTCTGTCGCCTACAAGAACGTCATTGGTGCCCGCCGTGCGTCCTGGAGAATCGTCACCTCAATCGAGCAGAAGGAGGAGTCCAAGGGCAACGAGGGCCAGGTTACTCTGATTAAGGAGTACCGCCAAAAGATCGAGGCCGAGCTTGCCAAGATCTGTGACGACATCCTCGAGGTCCTCGACGACCACCTCATCAAGTCCGCCCAGAGCGGTGAGTCCAAGGTCTTCTATCACAAGATGAAGGGTGACTACCACCGTTACCTCGCCGAGTTCGCCATTGGCGACCGCCGCAAGGGTGCCGCCGATGCCTCCCTCGAGGCCTACAAGGCTGCCACCGAGATTGCTCAGACCGACCTTGCTCCCACCCACCCCATCCGCCTTGGCCTGGCCCTCAACTTCTCGGTCTTCTATTACGAAATCCTGAACTCCCCCGACCAGGCCTGCCACCTTGCCAAGCTGGCCTTCGATGATGCCATTGCTGGTCAGTCCCCCTTTGTTCAGTTGATTTACAATGATGTGTTGAAACTAACAATTGTCTGCAGAGCTCGACACCCTCAGCGAGGAGAGCTACAAGGACTCCACCCTGATCATGCAGCTCCTCCGAGACAACCTGGTAAGTCATTGTGGCTACTCCGACAAGGAATCCTCTCGCATAGACCATTTCTAATGCCCTTGTAGACTCTCTGGACCTCTTCTGAGGCCGAGCCCGCCCAGGAGGGTGGTGCCGCCCCCGAGAAGAAGGAGGAAGAGGCTGCTCCCGCCCAGGAGGGTGAGAAGCCCGCCGAGTAAACGGAAAATTAAAAAGATTTCGATGATGGACTCGCGTCCTTGGGGCGGATGGGACAACTGAGAGGGAGTTGAGTGATGGGTCACTCGGCGCAGGAAGGCCACAAGCGGAGTGAAGGTATCTTAGAAAAGAGGGCAGCAAAATAGCGTTGGTCATGAGTTTCCGATTTCTCGCCCAGGGCCTAACGGCCTAAGGATTGAGACGTTGTCATTTGTTTCCGATGCTATTTCTTCTTCTTTTGACTTCGAAGCCTTTTGCTGGGGCTTTCGTACCCCTCGTTCGTCTTGCGGCATGGCACTTTTCCTAACCCTGGGATCGGTCCAGTCTTCTCCCCCTTTTCGTTTCTTTCATTCTCCTTGTTATTTTGTCTACTTGCCTCTTAACTACCCCCTTAAAGAGTCCCCTTTGCGCGCACTCTCCAATCCCCCACCCCACTACCAACACATACACACGGACAGAACTTTTTTAAATCAGCTCCTTATCAGGACTACAATGAGGGCCTCGTACTGATCCCCGATCTGGCTTCTACTTCTCGTCTTCTTTCCTGATCTCTGTCCAATTTTTCGTATCTGTGCCATACGGCGTTGCTTTCCTCGCTATAAATGGATTAAAGGTCAACGGCAGTGCTATTGACCTTTTGGTACTTGGCTCGTATCACTGACGCGGCAAGGTCACACGTAAATATCGATAGTCCTGATGTACAGCAGTACTCTTAGTTTTGCGGTGGGTAGCTCTTTTCCAGAAGGGATACTGTTCGCCGATTTTTGTGTGGTGCCTTGCAACGGAACGTTTGCCTCCATATAGATGTTGACGGTTGCAGTTGACCCTTGGGCGGCAGTATAACTAAGGGAATATTTCGGTGTTGATATGTCAATTATCAAGATCACGGATATTACCGCACCTTACATCAATGTATGGCAATCAAATCATACACTAGTCTCTCAAGGGCTATGTCCATGTCTCACGGTCAAGACACAGCCAATGCCGCAGTCAAACGTAAAAAGCCGGCTATAAGCGAGTGGTGGTTATTGAATCGCAACCTTTATTGACCTCTTGTCGTGGGGGATAGATAAACGTGAAGTATCAAAGACCAGCTCGATAACAATTTAGGTAGCTGTAGGCCGTAAGATCTAGAGAAGATGATCGTTATCAAAGGAAGGGGCTATCAGATGGTCCAATCGCAGATCACACTTAATAGAGCCACTGTTCCTAGGTAGTATCTATTCTGGTCTTTGCATATGTTGATATTAGCCTTGGAATTGACCAACCCAGTGAACGGTTAAAAATGTTTATAATGCCTGAGCTATTACGACAACACTTTGAATATCATTTTCATAGCCGTGGATACTGCAAATAACAGAATTCGCGGTGTTCATGTAAGATCATATAGGACAGCTGGTCCTCGCAAGCTCGAGATATATACTCGGTATTTTCATTTGACTATTCCTGAAAAGGTTCAGTGAGAAACGCCTTGAGCTTTAGGATTGGGAAACGCAATACTAATGTAAATTAATTTTGAAATAACAGGTGTCTGGCCGTGAATTGAACAGGGCGAAGCCGACTGGAATCATGGAAGGAAATTGATTTGTAGGCAATGAGATATCTCAAAAGGTTATATTCACAAATTCACGACGTTGACTCTAGCAGCCTGAAGTCAATTGACAACTTGCCTACGTAGTATGCACCAACCAAGACAGGTGGAGACATTAAGAGACTAGGGTGCATCTGCAGAATGTAGGATCCTGGCACTTCCCTGTTCCAAGGCTCCGCTGTCGGTATCTCGTTTTCGTTCAACTGACGCAGAGACGAATCAGATCTTGAAGATTCCGCAGCCACTGTGAATTGTGACTCAAATGCTAACGGCGACTACTTACTACAAGTCAGAAAATTGGAGTGCACAGCCTCTTCTCAGACACTACTGGGTTATTTAGGGTCAGGTTGAGCTATTCACGGAAGCTGTGATAGTTTTGAAATATTTCCATTTACTATGGTAAAACCCTCATGCGACCAGTTATGCAAGCTAGAGTATGACAAATAAGAACAAAAAGGGTTGGGGACTTGAGACATGCACAGAAAACCCAGGGCGTGACGGTAGCAGGAGCAAGGTAGGCAGTTCACCAAGGTGCGAAGCCAGTTCATCACCGAAAGGAACAGAAATGAAGTAGAAAAAAGCAGATGTATAAGGTTGCCTCTCATTCCACATCCCCCAGAAGGGAACGAAAAATGAGATAGGCTATCAGAAGTGAAGGGAGAGAGAAGATCAAAGAAATAAACAATGGACTGCTCCGTAAATGACCCGTAGATGCTTTCCACTTTCCACGCCGTCATGCTGTTGACTATGACCATGACCATATGCAATGCCTTATGACGACGAAAACATTTCCAGTTGCGGTTCCAGTAAGAGAGTCATTCAATCAAATCGAGTCTAGGTCCCAGTCCCTGAAACGCCCGAGGTGCTATGCATCCGATAAAAAAAAAGTACAAGGTGGTAAAAATAGAAAAGATGAGTCCGCAACGAGCCGCCGAGTAAAAGAAACATGTGAATGTAGAAAACGCCAAATGAGGAGACGCGTAGAGCGAAAAAAGGAAAAAAAAAAAAAAAAAAAAAAAAAAAGGATGAGGTCACAGTAATCTCGACAATAGCGAAGAAGGATCGTTCAGTCCCGCTGGCGATGACATCGCATGGTCGACGCCGGTGAGTGGCTGCAGAAGGAAGATCATAGATGGTTCGAGGATGCCAAGGCCCTGGTGGCGGGCCACTTGGCAATGCTCAAATATGCAATGATGTCACGGAACATCCCCAATAAACCCCCTTGAGTAAATAAGCACTGAGCGCTGGATATCACTGGTTCAACGGTCGGTCCCGGTTCCAAAAGGAGCGGTGGAGCCTTGTGACGAGCTGTGGCGTAAACTGACGAAGAAGAGGGTGTCGGGTAGCCACTCGAAACCAGCCGGGTAGCCGAGAATAAGGGGGAAATGCAGTGTGGCGACAGTGACACGGGTGTAATATCCTCTTTAGAACCAAGTGATAGTTTCATCATGGCAAGACCACTCGCAATGGTTCAGAAAGAGACATAGCGTTTGAGTTGCCCCCATGCGACGTATTAGCAAAGGAGCGTGAATCGCGTTTTCGTGATCCGGGAGGAAAAAAAAGGGGGGGGGAGATCGGGATCCTCGATGAACAAGACGTATGATGAGAGATGTGGTCGTTAGAAAAGGTGTGAAGAGAATCAGAAATCATCGGCATAAATCTCGACGTAGTGGCGGCTCTAAGAAACTCCATATGGGAATTTTTTTGGTCCACCTCCGGATCATAGGCAGGATGTGGCATCTTCCCACCGTCCTGCGACGCTTCTGAGTTCATCACAAACGGATTTACTTCTGCGCCTTGCGTGCCTTGGAACTGCGGGTCATTTCGGCCTTGGTCATGTTGCGGGTAAGGCCACCGATGTAATCCTGCAGGATCTTGTTCTCGTTCTCCAGTTTGTCGTGGTCCGATTTGACGGCATCGATGCGCTCAGCGAGAGCTGAAAGGGAAGATTGGAGAGCCTTGGCTTGCCTGTTTTGATTCTCTGTTAGCCTCTGATCTCAAGGGGTCTCTTCCCTCCGAAGTTCGAGGGGAAGAGGTAAGAGAATGGGACAAAATCCGGTAATCAACTCACTCTTGAAGAGTCTGGCGTGCCTCTTTGCCCAATCGCTCCAGATCGGCCGAGTTCCGTCGAGGGCTCATCGCACGAGCATCGTCAGGAGGAAACTCTTCCTCCTCGATCTCAATTTCAGGATGGTCCCGGGGGACGAGTATGGATGCGCTGGGCTTGCGACTCGCCATGCGCGGACGTTCCGAGCGACCTCGGCGCTCGGTCTCGGCGTCGGATATGGATGAAGAGGATGACAGGGATGACATATGCATGCGGCCACCGTCGTTGGGTTGCGGCAAGGTGGGCACGGGAGAGGCTTCGTTCATTTCGGTGTCTGAGGCCATAGAGGAGGTTTTTCGCAACAAACGCAGCCGAAGAGGGAAAATTTCACGAGGTTCAGCGTGGCAGATTTGCGGTCCCAGACAGGAGGTGGGTGAGATGGAATTTTTTGGGAAGGGGGGGTGGTGTGGAAAAGTAGGTTGGCAGGGTTGCTGCTTGCGGCAAGATGGGATTTTTTAGATGGTGAGAATCGTAGGTCGGAACGAATGCTGAACGACCACGGTCTACCCCTAGCGATGTACCCCAGACGAGAGAATCTGTGTTACGCTTGAGGTAGCTACCGGGGTCGGTGGGGGAAGGTCGGAGAGAGTGATAATGGGCGAATCTTGCAAATGGGCGACGCGAGCAGGGGCGAGCGGCCGGGGAGGACAAGTCGAGATGGCGAGCCGGGTTCGAGGGTGGGTGGAGTGTGAAAAAAGGAAGGGAAGAAAAGAGCAAGGAGAGTTGAAAATCGGTCGAGGACGTTGGGAAAGGGAAAGAAGCTCATAGGGAGGGAAGGAGGAGGGTATCGGCGTTACGCAGCGGTACCATCGTACTGGTCGAGGGCCACAAGGGAGGTGCCGCAGTGACTGGCGAGTGACGGGGGCGGGCACGCAGCGGCGGAGCCAGTAGTACCAGCGCGGTACCTCGCCGTACGCAGCGACTAGGAGAGTGACTTCGGTTCCTACGGGGTTCCCACGACTATCTTCGCACGTATTGAGAAAGTGGAGCATGGCGTCCCTTGGGAATTGAGGGATCGTCCGAAAGAAACCGTAGGCGCGTGGCAGCCACAAGAGGCCCTCCATACAGTTCCGTACCCAGGGTAACCCAGCTTGGACGATGGATCAGGAAATTTGCAGAATTTGCCCCTGTCGGGGACTACCCTAAGGAGCTAGTACTAGCAGTGATCTAGCGAGATACTCGCCATCCGATATTTTCCTAAACGTGAACATGGTGAATCATCGCATTAGTCCAACGCGATGACTGTGTGTCATTTCTTCAATCCACTGGATGAATACGTACACCAATACCTAGGTATGTACATGAGGTAGATATATTTGTATAGGTACATGTACATGTGTACGGGAGTGAAGAACGATCGGGTGGAGAGGAACCCCCCTTTCGGCGTGCCCCTTCTCGAAGTATCCGGTACACCGCTTCCCCCACCGCGCAGAACCGAACAAAGTACGGGTACTTACTCACCCAGTAGTGTACAGTACATACTACTAACAATACTAGTGCACGGCGCGGTGCTGCTCGTGACTGGCCCGAAATTGGGAGCGACTCCGCTCGCGTCGACCAACAAGAGCGCGACTTCCACCGCCAGATGGAAATTTTGGAGTTTTACCGAACCTTAGGAACACGTACGTATTCCTGCCTTTTCTGGGTCTGAATCCCCGAGCATAGTTCGTCCGATAATATATTAATCACTAGCAATATATTGTGGAGGATACATGGCCGAGTATACCTAAAGTACTCGGATGTGTAGAATTTGTTGGTATATAGGCATACTCCCAAATGTATGTAAAAGCAAGATACCTAGGGTACTGGTATACGAGTGAGAGATCGACTCGTGTACACCGTAAGATAGTCACCTGTACTTTTGGCTGCCTCGTTATTGGCGCTTCGTCCCGGCAGTATGGGGAAAGCGCCTCGTCCTCCGCCTCTCAGGGGAGAGGGGGCGCTATGCAATGTCGATCGAGCCGCACCTGGTGCCCATGACGCCATAACACCGGGTCCACGGGAGTTTATAGCCCCCCCCCCCCCCCCTTCTGTACACCTTGACACTTACAAGTAGCCATGACCATGGTATCAACCTGAACAAGGGATGGACACGGCAGCGATGAGGTGGAGGGCGTCGTGTGTTGGAGCACCGTAACTTCGGACGACTCCCGCGTTTGCCCCATCGCGAATTCTGCTCACGGCTATCCGCAGTTTGGTACTTCATTTAACGTCGGGACGGCCATCCGCCAGGAACCATCAATTTCCCGAATACTCCCACTGGCAGGAGTATCGAATCGAAATTTGCAGGCCCCATCAGACGATCACCATGGAGCTGAGGAGTTCATTTCCGGGCCCCGTTATTCTGCTCGGCAGAGGATGACTAACCAGTCATCGACCAGTTATGTCGATTCCCCATGGAACGACTGTAATGTACAAGAATGTGTACTACAAGCATTTAAGTAGTCCGATGAATATATGGCTCTTAGAATATTAGCATATGAATGAACATCAAATATTACCTACGCTATAGTAGATGCTCGTGTCCGTTATTAAGGGCTAGTGGAGGGCTCCTCATATCCGGCAGCCCGGAGACGGCACCCCAATATCGAGCCAATCTGCGCCCGCTCGACGCTTGGGCAGACGATCCATTCCTGTGGGTTCGACAAGTGTGTCCACCATTTGACGGGTTGGCACCCGACTAAAAGGAGGTGAAACCAGGCAGGGTCATCCAGCCTGCCGATCCCCGGCCTCCACTGGAATGCAACGGCTGAAAGCGTCGACCTCAAGGTACAGACGCTGACCAGGTGCCAGTGTATGTCAGGGGACCAGGTATATCACAATCGTGTATCATCCATGGATTGCCGCGAATGAGCACTATCAAGCACGACGAGCAAATGGCGCTAGCACAGTTGATATTGTGCTAGTCTATCGCCCCCACCCCCTCTGGCAGCATTGGGCACACATATCCCCTCCGGTCAAGATCACGAACAACACCAGGTACCGGAGCCGACATCGACGGGGCCCACGTCCCCGGCAGTGGCTTGTCGGATGAAGACTTCGAATCAGAAGTGCCGGCGCCACTCCATCACTTGCGCACGACTTTTCCGGGGATGGCGTTCCGCTGCACATTGTGCTCCAACACGGTACATGGGATATCCCGGTGAATCAGCGGTCTCTGGTATGTACGCCGTCTGTGCCAGGTCTCTGTCGGAGTGGATGTGTACACGGTGATCGTAGGAGACTAGCAGTTGTGGGTTCCGATCGGACAATTCCCAACCACCCACACTGAAGCCTCTATCGCTCCAGTTTTCCATGCTTCCAGTATACAGTATGGCAGGTACAGAATGTACATCTTGTCCATACTGTTTATGGTCAGGGTATCGACCCCTCCACGGCAGAACCAGTGGCAGGCGATCCTGGATTTCCGCCAAGTCAGGTGCCACGCTCAGACCCTGGCCGTGTGACGGTGCGATTGTCTTGCAGTGGGGATTTTCCTAGAGAGTAGACAGTAGACAGCAGATAGTACTCATGGTTGTAGTAGAGCAGCGGCAAACAAGTCGAATGGATGGCCAGATTAGGAAGCGGGTTGAGCCTCGCGGTGGTGAGATCTGGGGCAAGTGAGACACATGAGGCGATTGACTCGCGGCCGTTAGACGATTGAGACAAGCCACGTACATCGCCCACCAGACCCGAGGCCATGCTGCATCTTACGGTACAAGACAGTGCCAGTTATTTGGCATCTGTCATCGTCGCCTCCAATAATGCCGCTCCAAGTATTTTTCCTGTTTGCCTTAGCGTGTTGGCTTGCCCAGATCGCAACGATCTACACGCCCTGCTGATTTACCCTACATCTCCCACCTCCCATCGGTACGAACGTGTTTCATCTTACCCTCACCGGCTCCGTCCTCCACACTAGGCCTCTCTGGCTCGACGAAGAGAGGGGGGTAGAGAAGGCAGCGCAGCGGATGGCGCGCGAGGTTTGGGTTAGCGCGGGTGGATGGCCTTCGATTAGTCGCTTTTTTTTTTTCTTGCGGAACATTTCCCACGCTCGCAGGGCCAATCACGCCGTCCATATTTGGAGGGGACTCTGAGAGCCTGCACTAAGCAAGCTGGTGTTAATTGGCGCAGTGGGCTTCAGCTTCGTGACTTCATCCAGGTACTAGTCATGCTGGAGGAGCCTGTCCTCGGCGTATCTTCGCCGCAACTGTCAGACTGTCTCGCGGCTTCACCTTGCCATATTCATCAGGTTCATGTTGTTTTACGTCGGAGGGTGATTTCGACCGAGCTGCACTGCCCTGGTGGATCATGTCGTGCTTGTCAATGCACACCCTCGTAGTTAGTCTCGTTTAGTCTCGTCCGAGGTTGGAGGTCCCAGCGGTTGCAGCTGCAGCACCCCCCCACCACCACCACCACCACCACCCACCACAGCACCAGCCCACCATCAACACTCTGCCTGTACGAGCAATGGTGGCCAACACCGTTGCCTTTGCTCTGCTCGAGCTGTCAGAGAGGGGTCCATCTTACATGTGACCTACGAAAAGTACAATAGGGCGTGAGAGACAAGACATTCCACCCGAGTCTGATTAACTATTCGTTCGTCCAACATATCAACACAGAACATACCTATTCGTATATCAACCTGAGCTCTAATATCTTGAAATTCCTACCCTTGCTGTATGAGGTGCAATCCAGCTGCTAATCCAACCAGCCAGACCCGTGGACACAACCGGCAGATGCTGCATGTTCCCCATCCAGGCACAAAGGCTGCAGTGTTCTATTGATTTCTGCTAGCTCCGCTTCAGAGGCTCCTCGACGTCACTGTCACACAGAACCCGTCGCTTGAACAACCTAACCGACTAACAGTATCGGTCCACTCGTGTCGATCCATCGATCGAGCAATCCTGTTTTCAGATCTGTCGTTGTTTCGTTGTGCCTTGATTTCCTTTCCTTGTGGGGCAAAACTGCTCCGCAAGTAGATCCGGAGGACTATCGCGGACTATCGCGGACTAGGGAGGTGGATTGGCCTCGTGCACGGGCTGGAAAGCTTGGTGGATAGAGGGGTGTTTATAATGTTGCCTGGGTGCGGAACTTGGCATATGTAGAAGGCTGGGGGATGTAGAGAGGCTGGCTGATATGGATTCCATGAAATCAGATGCAGACAACCAAAATCAACTACCCTCACAGATGCGAGGAGGTTGGGGTCCTCCGTATAGCATGATAGCTGCCTATCTACTCCACAAAGATGCCCACTCCCTCATTTTGATATCAGAGTATAGGGAGAGGAATTGAGCGGTGATACCCGAAAGACGATCGTTTCCAATGTATCATTTAAAATGCATTTCACACACTAACGCCAAAGACCGAGATGATAATGGTAATGATAACAACCCCCCAAAACACCAGTATACGTTGTGTATAATCAGGAAAGGGCAGCGGTGGTCTGCCACTGGAACAGAGCACGGAGGACCGCAACACCACCAGACTGAGTCTCAACAGTCCGACCCCGTCCGCGATCATTGAAGTCACGCGGCACGCCATCCATTATCGAAGCATCGAAGGTGACATCGAAATTACGGTAATCCACAGCACCAGCTGGTAGGCTGCTACTAGACATTGTCTCTTCGAGAGCAGAGGTCGACTGCCGGAAAGGAACTCCCCACCAGGTACCAAACTTCCCATCATCGTCGCGGGTCACCAATGCAGCACGGGCATTATGTTCAACCCAAGGTCCATAGGCACGGCACCGTATAAGATGGCGAGCGTATACCTCATCCCATTCTTCATCGGCAATGGGCTGGCGTTTCCCATCCGCCAAAAAGCGCTCCTCCTGAGGGCGAAGCGGCCGGCAGAATTCAGTCAGATGGTGGAAGAGGATTCCCTTGAAGGTTTGACCATTTTGCGAGCAGCTGGCATGCGAGTCGCAGGCCTCTTCCAGTACGCCGCCGCGTCCGAGGCCCGCCCATTTGTTCGACTTGGTTTGTGGCCAACCGGTGGCCCGAAGAACTTTGTGAACGAGTTCGTGACCATCACGTAGGTAGTCCTGGTTACCAGTACCAAGCCAGAGTCCCCTCAGCCCGCTGAGAACGACCCCTTGGTTGTAGGTGTAGACCATCTTGTTGAGCTCGTCGCATTTCTTGGAGCCAGGGTTGGACGAGCTTTGCCAGCCGCTGATGTGGAATCCGTCGGCGTAAAGACCACCAGCGCCAGTCATGTTGGATTTCTTAAGCCATGCATAGGCATCGACGGCGGCTTTGAGGTGAGTAGGATTGTGCGGGTATGTCCGATTGGATTGTGAGTTGGCAATAAACGGCGAGTCGATGGGGTCCCCGGGAAAGTATAGGTACATCGCAATGCTTGCAGATATATAGAGCTCATTCGTGATGGCGTTCTTGTAGGGGATCAAAGTCGGATTCCAGATCATGCCCCCGCCGCAAAGAGACTTGTCCCATCCCGCAGATGCCAGCTCGTAGAAGACCCGGGCTCGGTGCGCGGCAGAGTGCCGGAACTGAGTCCCATACCAATCTTGCTTCGAGGTCGAATTGGGCGACGAGTAGTGAAGATCCGTGTGCAGGTCCTGGAACTTGACATTCTCCAGCCAGTCCAGCACAACCCATAGCATATCGTCGTAAGCCTGGTTCCTCAGACTGAAAGCATTCTCGCCAAAATAGAAGGTCGCCATTTGGCTGAAATAAGTATTGACCGTATTCTCAGCTGCAAGAGAAATTGGCTTGGGCGACTGTTCAGCATCGGCATCGCTGGACAAAGAAGAGGTATACGACGACAGTGTTGCGACGACATGGGTTCCCAGAACCGCAGCGGTCCAGTCGATGCTGGTCGGCCAAGTACCCATCCACAGCACAAAATAATGGTCTTGCATGTCACGCAGCGCGCCGAGGAGGTCCTGCAATGTCTCGACGGGTGGCGACCAGCTCCACAACTCCGTCGCATTGCTGTCTTTGAGGCCGGCCTCGACGGAGAGGCCACTCTGAGCGCCTGAATGTAGACCATCGTCTGGTTGTATCTCTGTAAGAGGTTTTTGAGGCGCATACGCCAGCGCATTGGTTAGAGGCGAAAAGGAAAGCATGAATATCGATAGGATCGTATATAGAGAGCAAGACAGCCCAGCAGGGGTCTGGATAAGGGAGTGAGGAGTCATCTTGCCCTGGGAAGCGTCTGTCCTGATGCGAGGTACGACCCTCCTCTATAAGAATAGGAGAACACCACAGCTTCTCACACCCGAACGCGAACGGAGACAAACCCGAGTTGTCTGGAGGCGCCCGCAGCCTCGGATGCGGGGAAAGAGAGAGCCCTCGAGCCCTGGGTCCCCAGCTTAGTCACCGGCTCGCCAACGAGGATTGTAACGGCGAGTTCACTTCTGTTTTTTCGCCCATGTTGATGCCCGGTTTCCGATTGATGGCTGACCCAGCACCGACATACGAAATTCACTAGAAACAGGGTATAAAATTTCATTTCCATAACACTTGTTGACATCGACTGTACAAGATTAGGAGTGGTGGATATTATAGTGTCGGTGACTGCATGTGACTGTTCAGCTGACCGTTCAGATGACTTTGGGCGACTGTTTTGATGACTGTTAAGAGGTTGAGATACAAATCTCCTATGATTCGGGCATAAAACCCTACTGAAACTGGAAAACGAGCCTTGGCCGCATGACCTACTCATAATTACGCCACAATACCTCTCCAACACCTCTACGATGGCTTCCCTTTTTTCTGACCCCGAAGACCCACGCGTGTCGTACTTCGATACGAAGTGCGCTTCACGAGACTCCGTTCCAGCCTCAGCCTCCTTTATCTCCGGGCTACCGGCGACCCATTTTGTGTGACGATTTTCGTCATTTCGCCAGTTTCGGGCCAGCGCCCATACGTTTTGGACTCCTTTGATGAAAATACGAACCCGAACCAATGGCTTATTATTCTAGGCCTCTTGGGGCAGAATATTCGAAGAATCGACCAAGAGCATCATGATCTACTCCGCATTAATTTTCGATCCCAGGTGGCATGACTGTTGGTCTGATCAAAGTCATACCGGGTGGAGCGCATGAGAATACTACTCAAAGAATGACCACATATATCCTCTTCGAGTTTTATCAAATTGGGATTTGATGCGTTTGACGTGCATTCGTCAGGCAAGACAACTTACAGGTCTGTTCAAGGAGGCCGAGGTATATAAACAACCATCTCGACGCACACCTCGATTTTCAGGATGGGGATACCCAACGATTGTAATCGACACGGGTGCGTTAGCAAGCTTACCACAATTGCGCAGGAATGCGGCTACTTGGTTTGCTATCTCTGCAGGAGATGTCCGTATTGTCATACTTCTCGCCAAATAAAGTGGGAAGCTTATTGTCGAGAACTGGATGTTGACTCCGCCCGGAATCCTTCCTCACTTGCTCCTTTGGGGCCAACCACCTCTTATTCGGCAACATGCTTCAACGCAAAATCCATACTGTTCCAAGCAGGTCATTGTAAAAAAATGGTCAAACAGAAAATGAGCCCTTGGTTCTTACATTCGAGGCAATCTTTGACCGACCGGCCAACAACGGTGAGCGGGGTATTGTTTTTGATGATGAATACTATCAATCCATGTCTCATGGTCTGCGAGAAACGCTCTTTGCCCATGCTTTGAGTGCCTTCTTATTTGCTAATTAGGCATTCATTAATCTGGTTTAACTTTTTCTCTCCGAAGATGTATTCTGGGTCATAGTTCCCAATCTCGGAACGGACACTCTGGAGAGGTCTCTGACTCGATGCCCCCTGAGTTGTATACAATTGTTTGAACACCTGATTAAGGTTCGCAACATTTTCGATGCATGGCGGGGAGTCTGTGAAAATTCCGCCGGGCGATGAGAACTGCGAGCCAGCACCCTTCCATACCACTTCGAATCAGCCATCGGAAACAATTTGAAGTATTTAAATGGATTTTCATTTGAAACCTAGTACTAGGTCGAAGGCACAATCCAGGTCATATGCATATCCTTCGTTCCGGGGCCTAATTAGTCCTATGTACTGGAAATTTGCGAAGAAGATATAAAGAATGTAAGATCTTTGACTTACAAGTTAGAACGTTATGCCAGGACGGCGACCCTACCTTCTTGCGCGCGAGCCAAATGCTGTGCTCGAGATAGCAAATTGGGATAGCTGCAGAAGGAGGAGAGTTCGGCTCAGAAGACGAGTTCCCATTATGTGTCTGCATGCAACAAAATCTGTTGCGCTTCGGTGAGAGGTATGAAACAAAAGTAGCGCTATGGGGGCAAATGACAAGGTAGAAAAGAAAGAAATGGTTCCAGGTATCAATATCAATCAAAAAAAGTGGCTGATCGTGCACATTCCTAGCTGTGCTCCATCGTTCAAGAGGTCTAGTTGCGGTCCGCATCCGGGCTGCGACTGCGATTGCGGCCAGGGCTGCGGCTGCGACCCCGGCCTCCACGACCACCCTTGGGGCCTCCATCGTTAGACTTTCCAGATGGGGGCGGGCGAACGAAGGCGTAGTCAACGGCGATCGTCTGGTCCAGCAGCTTGTAGCCGTTCAGGTTCTTGATGGCCGCTTCGGCCTCGGGAAGAGTTGCGTATTCCAGCAAGGCATAACCCTAGTGTAAACATTGTGAGAAGAAATTCTCTCAGGTACGAAGCTTTGGCAAGTCTGGAGATTTGTTGCGACGGTCGTTTAGCGGGTGACGAAGCCGCTTGCGTGACTTACCCTCGCGTAGCCTGATCGTCGATCGAGAGGCAATTGAAAGTCCTTGAGTTCTCCGTAATCCGCAAAAAGATCGGTCACATCCTCCTCGGCAGCCTCCTCGTGAATGTTCGTTACAGCCACGATCCATCCCTCGATACTGCGCACAGCAACAGCGCCTGCATTGGTTTGGGGCTCGGATTGCGAGGGAGCACCGTCCTGGGCGACAGGAGGGTCGACTTCCATTTCGTTCGACATGCCGAATTTGTGAAGAGGAAAAGCGTCGGGGAATTTTGATTCGAAATGAGAGTGGCGCGTGTGCAGTGGTCGACGGAGAGGCGAGGATTTGGGGTCGGGACTTGCGAGAGAGCGGATGGGGAAAAGCTCTGGGCTGGCAGACCGCCCGTTTCGGTTAGCGTCCGCGCCCTTCATTTACGGCTCTGACATCCAGTCGAGCAACTACATCATGCAATACCACGCGTTCAGGCATGAGCGTGCTGAATTAGCTGCTGAACTCCTCGTTGTAACACTATTTTTTTCTATAGTTACTGGTGTTGAACCAATCGGATGTCATCAAGACGCGTTTTCGCATTTGCTAGCTACTATTAGTACGTAGTTCGAGCATGAAGATAACCAACTATTTGACATAATCCTAAGCATCGGTTGAGGAGGTATATCCCTTCAGATTTTGGATGATAGTGAGGTACTTTAGAATTTGAATTCCTCATTTGTGAGGCTAGGGCTTGGGATTACCTTGGTAAGTATTGGACTGGAATACCTAATCTGCTTTATATAGAAAAACAAACCAGACTGAGGTACTCGAACATAGGAGTCTGAACGGAAACAGATGCAGTCACCGGTATTGAATACAACAAATCAGAAGAGGCCTTGGCTGATCAATGCCAATAGTCAGTTCAGGAGGACAGAGTCTGCCTTTCCAGAAGTGCGACGCGGGGGTATGTATAACTCGCAGCACCGCTGCTGTCTCCCGCGCTTCACCTGCCTCCGGCAACTCCTATGCCACGAGGGACCCGCCACCCCTCTCAACATCCAGCAACTCTCCCAGCAAAAGATGGCCCATTCAAGCGATATGCCACCTCTAGTGTAAGTCCAGTATCATTGGGACCTTGACGCGACTAGAACTAAATGAAGATATGAAAGGCCCGCTACTAACGTCCGATTCAGCCAGAAACCCGAACCTGGCACTGCGAGCCAGCTGGACCTGGAAAACGCTTCTCTCGACCCGATCGAAGTGATATCACGAGATGAGGCATCCGACGAAGTGCGAGTGGTCTGCAACCAGCAACACGACATCGACATCATCTTCAACATCTTCACTGGTACCATCCGTCTCGTGGAAAAGGTAGACAACCAACCTCGGAGCGAGCCAGACAAGGAAATAATCTACCTTACTCATTCTAGAATCAAAATCGTCAATCTGGAAGGCCTGAGCGACAATTCCCTGCTATTCTCCTTCAGACCGAAGCGATCTTTCTACCCTTCACTGGCATCGCAGCTGCAACTTTGCCACCAGGTCCACGGCTTCCCTCGCGATCCAGCTGAGACTCCGCTCTGCAAGGCCATTCTCGATAACAATCGAAACTCCGTCTTGCACCTCGTTTTCCCCAGTGACAGGCACAAAGGTTGGAAGACTATCGCATTGATTCTTCTTACCTACCGAAAACTTTCACCAGCGGACTGGCACAGAATCACGAACAGTCAGGGTCTCGGAGATGTTGCGGGCTTCAACTGGGCATCTTTCTTTTCGAAGCGACGAGGCTAAATGGTTCCCTTGTTCCGGTGTGTAGGGTGTCATGTCACAGGTCCCTGGAAGAAAGCAACACAGACGGGAAACAAGTGAAACCAGAGGTCCAAGAGTGTATTTTCTTCTGTAATATTTCTCATCAAGGTACTAACTAAGCAAACTTTGATAACTGGAATTGACGATTCCTCTTAATAATATGATCTTCCACCAAAAGTAGTTGTATACCCACGCTTGTCCTTGAGCCAGCTAGAGCATGATATGCAGCCCAGTCCCATTTCAATTACACGGGCAAGTGCGAAAATGAGACTTCATTAGCTTTTGAGATGACAATAATGATATTCTGAGAGTGCCGCCGGGCAGAAGATCAATGTTCGGGTATGGGACCCATGGCTATTGCAGTATTCAAGATATTATAACGGATTTTGAAAGAGTGGAGAATTGTATGTCCCCATGTATTGTGTCAACACTTATGTACGCCCCTCGAAATTGGAACGCATGAACAAATGGGAAATAAAAGCTATTCGTTAAAATACAGAGGTCGAGGTGGATAGATATGAAAAGGGAAAAAAGATACCAGCGGCGGCGTTCACACCAAGACTTGCTGGCTTACTTGCGGTTGTTGCTCCGCATGCCAAGGATCTGCACCATGCGGATGAAGATGTTGATGAAGTCGAGCTCGAGACTGACACTCTCGTTGACGACGTCCCGCTTGATGTAGCCGCGCTCGGCCAAGCGGGCGTGGTGCAGAATCTTTTGAACATCGTAGAGAGTGAAGCCACCGAAGACAGCAAGACCACCGTACAGCCAGATGCGCTCAGACCACATCAAGGTGCGAGCGGCGGTGGCAGGGAGGACCATAGGAGCAAGACCGGAAAGAGCAACAAGAGTCACACCAGCAAGGAGAGGACCACCAAGGTACAGGTACTTCTCCTGCTTGGCAGTAGCTCCAACAAAGGCAATCGACCCCATCATACCAACAGTGTAGAGACCAGCACGAGCAAGAATAGCAGGGTGCATGAACATCAAAGGGGAAAGGAGCGCAGCCTGAGTCAAGTTGAACAGAGTCCAGCAGCCGTACTTAACGACATAGCTAATTTGGTATGACAGTCAGCAAAATGGCCATCGGATTTGTGGATGGGCAAGGAAGGGATATATGACTTACTTGTCAGGCGAGGTGTAGAAAGTTCCATACATCGAGCCAATGCTGCCAACCAGACCGAGACCCATGACAGCCCAAGGGTTCATAGCCATAAGACGATAGGACCAGCCACTCATGTGCAGAGCACGGGCAGCGACACCAATGATACCGACACCAAGACCAGTGTGCATGAAAGTTTCATTCAGGAAGCTGCGCTCGTAGGCCGGCATGCCGCCGTCCTCACGAGTCTCGCGGTTGAAGATGAAGTTGGTAGCGAGAACAGTACCACCGACGATGGCGGCACCGTAAATCAGCTTCTGAGACATGTTTCCTGTCTGCGCATTGTAGGTCGGTTGCATGTAGGTTCGGCGGAAGGCATTTTGGAAGGTCTGGCGGGACTTGTTGAAAATCGAGGACTGAGTTCCGAGAGGCTTAGTTGCCTGGGCGGGTTTGAAAGTGGAGTTGTGAATGAAGCGAGCGGTATTTGAGAGCTTCGGAGCTTGGTGAAGCGCCGACGAAATGGCGAACGGACGCCGAAGAAAGAATGCCATGGTGACGATGATGTCGTTGAAGCAGGTTGTGAGGGGGAGGACTTATAGGTCCGCAGGCGACGGATGCATGATATCAGGTGGATTACTCACCACGGATGCCGGCACCTCTTAAGTCCGAAGCTTCCAGAACACTCACGTGACGAAGTGGGATGTCCGCATCGCGGTTTTGCAGAGATACGTCATGCTAGGTGGTCGCGAGTACGTTCTTGACCATGGCGTCGCGTCTGGAAACCCTCAATGTCCCTCACTTACCAGCAGCACTCCCGGCGTATGTGGTCCTGTACCGCGATGTCCAGAATTCCGCCTTCCTGAGGCAGCAGCTGCTTTCTGGCAATAAGGAATATGAATATGCATTTATCGATGCGAGCATGGTGCGTCTATATACCCCTCAATGAGGACAGTAGAAATTCAAGGGCTTATTTCAAAAATCTCTAGGTTCTCTCACGGGCGCATGCGACGGCAGGTATCTTTCGAGCCGTGAATGACTACATGAATGAGAGACTCAAGTCCCACAACGTGCACTCGGAGATTGTATTCGCGCTGAATCCGGCTAACAATGTTTGTTGCGACCCGCTGCACTCCAAAATTAGAGGCCATTGACTCATTCTATTAGATCGCCGAGTCCTTCCGCAAGTTCGGCATTACCGACTCCACCAAAGATTTGCTGGTCGTCAAAGTGGCCGTGTCTCCGGAGATAACACATGACTCCGTCGCCGCCCATCTGGAAGCTTCTGTCCAGGGAAAGCCTGTTCCTTTTGATGACGAGACATTGTCCGAAATTTCAGATGTCACGAAAATCAAGAAAGTATTCAAACTTGGTGCTTTGCCTTCGCCAGGCGACAAGACCAACGGCGCTCAGAACATCAAGGCCAAGCGTCAACTTGAGCTTTCGCTTCTAAGCGCCATTGCGCTAAGGGGTTCTTGAATATACATGACTTGATAATGACATTGGTAAATGACCACAGGTCGATATGCCTTGAATGCCTTGACTGCGATTTTCGGTGGGCAGGAGGCTGACGGACTCGAACGAACCAAATTACGGTGCCTGTCCCGATGATCTGAATGACCCTTCCATGCGAAGCAATCAAATACTGTAAGATTAAGAAATCTGGCAATGATACGCCCACGATATTCAATCCAGCTCTTGGACAAGTGCTATTGGGGCATATGCCCTTGTCGCAGACCGAAGAAAATTATTTTAAGACCGAAAATGGCTAGTAATATTCGATGGAATGATATCATGAGCTCAATAAAGTATCGATCACCAAGCCATCCATATGGACTGCACTGTCGCTGCCCATCGATTTGGGTTTTACATATTGTAGGCTTTTTTTTTATTTGGAGAAGGGAGGGGAGCGGGGGGTTGGCTTCCGTCTGATTGAGTAACTCTCATGACCTAATTTCATGTTCTTGGGGTGTCTCACAGGTACATAATGAGATCGACGTTGGTACGGATGGATTAAGCTGGAGGCTCTTTAAGTTTCGACCTGTCATTAGCATGCCTCCAAGTGTTGGACTACTATACTTTCAATTTACCTGCGCGAGTGCAAAACATGCAAATGGAATGGGTTGCCCGGCCCAACTGTATGTTGATCCCAAAACGGCAATGAGCAAACTTTGCCAAGACGCGATCGTCATCACCCCGTCTTGCACCTTCGGCGACTCTTCTTACTCACCTCGAAGGTGTTTGAAGCCTTGCGCAAGAGCAATCGGCTAAAAGGACGTGGCGCTCGCATTTTCACTACCAAATAAGCCCACGTGAAGCTTTTGGATTTGACACCATCACTTAACGGGGGAAATTGCTCCATATTTTCAGGCTCATACGCGTCGTTTGCCACGATGGCGAGCTCTGCGGAGGTTATTGTCTTGTCCTCCTCCCCCGATCCTCCTAAACGAACACCGAAAAAAGTAGTAGCACTCGGCTCTGAGAGATTTCTTGATGTCTCGCCACGAGGGCTGTCGCCACATCCCATCCCGTCACCTTCAGATCTCTTCAATCCACCATCCCGTTCCCGATTCTTTCCCACGCCAAACGTGACCGATAAAGACGCTATACACAAGCGCGAGACAAGCAAAAAGACTGCGCTTTCAGTCTCTCGCAACAACAATGAGTCAGCTAAATCGAAATTGAAACGGAAGCCAAAGAAAGCCGGGGAAAAAACACAGCCCAACGTTCAGGACGCCGAACCACAATCCCTTGAATCCCCTGCCGCTGGAAGCAAAAGCAAAAACGCGACATCACAAAACCCCCGCTCAAAAACATCCACCAAAAAAAAAGAGACGGGAAACATGAAACTGACGGGGAAGGTCACCAAAGGAGGCACTGATACCGAGACAAAAAAGCCAAGCAAGGCAAAGAAGATGGCTGCTGCTGGCAAGGCTCCATCCGAAGAAAACGTCGAAAAGACGGCCGTCAAAGAGCGTCCGGGGCCTACGGAAGACAAGGAGCTTAACCTTGTTGAGGCCTTAAGAAGGAGAATGGATTGGACACCACCGAGACGAACTTCCCCTAAATTGGAGACCGCTACGGAGGACGACAGAAATAATGCGAATGAGCATGAGCCAAAACCTGGGGGCTCATTTGGCAAGCTGCTTTCTGATTATAGCTTCTCCGGAGCGACTTCAGCCGCCCACAAATTGCCACTGAACATGACTAGCGGGGGACCAACGAAAAGACGACGTATCGAGCTGGTAGACCCATTTCTTCAACCGTACCAAGTATACCAGGCCGAGTCAGGTGGTGAAGCGTCCGCTCAGGTGGAAGGCGATTCCCAGCCCAAAAAGAAACCCAAAGCTCCGAAACGATACACGACTTTGACCGCACGAATGACCGCACAATATACGCCGAGTAATGAACATAACGATCCATCCGGTGATGATAGCATCCAGCACATTGCCGAGGCCAAGCCTAAGCGAACCAAGGCCCGGATGAAGGAGAATGAAGTGATGCCTATTGTCCTTTCGCCTGAAGCGGCCTTCAAGTCATTGGAGGATCAAGATCTCATTTTTGGGACCTGCAGCCAGCTAGATCGAGAGGATTCTCCACCAACCATGCGAGAGACGCAGCAAGCTAGTCATGCATCCGAAAGCCTCACCAATGAGAGGCGGGGGATGGCTCTAACTATCCCGAGAACGAGCTCTTCTGTATCTCGCATGACTGGTACCAGAAATCTCTGGGAAGTTGCTGCACGGAGCGCCGAAGGCTCATTAGTTCAGGCAAAGGCGACTGACTCTGTGGATCTCACCAGTCCCATTTGGACTCCCAATGCGTCCAATGCTCAGGCAAAACAATCCATGAACTGGGAGAACGATGATTGGTTTGAACTTGATTATGGACAGCCGAAGCCTCCTCCAAAGAAGAAGACTGCCTTGTCAAGTGCATCAAAATCTGAAGCTAGGTCTCGTCCCTCAAGTGACCGAGAGCCGCCCGTACAAGGCGATAATGTACCCATTAAGGTTACTTCAAAGCAAACCAGCAGCTCCCAACAGCCATGCATGCCCCATTATAGTGGTTTCACAGATGCAGAACTCTCGAAGCAAGTTGCCACTTTTGGCTTCAAATCGGTCAGAGGACGCAAGAAGATGATTGAGCTTTTACAGAAGTGTTGGGAATCCAAGCATGGTAAAGGGGGTACGACTTCTCTCACAAATTCGCAAGCCCACCCACATTCGCAGTCGGAAATCGTTGAACTACCGGCTTCTACACAATCACAACATCTGGATTCTCGAGGACTACCAGTGGCTCAAACGCCAAAACCCAAGACCAAAGCAGATTCAAAGCTTGACAAAGATGCAACTTCGTCCTCAGCAAATACTGTCACGCAGACAAAACCCACGAGCACCAAAAATCGCCTGACAACACTCCAAAAGGCAACGAGGACCTCCCGTTCCCAACCATCATCATTTATAGATATCGAAGAGATCCAAGATTCCGAGGAAGAGGTGATTCCATCACCAAGTCAAACTCAGAAGCGATATAACGAGATTCTCTTAAAGACGCCGAAACCAGTCAAAGAGCCATCTCTGGAAACCCAAACGAAGGAGCCAACTCCTAGCCCTTCAAAACGCAAGACGGCCATTTTTAAATCTTCTCGCAACACCAAAAAAGCATCGTGCTCTTCTGAACATAAGACCACCAAAGCGGCATTTTCGGAGCGCAACAGCCTTCCCGACTTAGCTACTCAAATAACAAAGGCCGTACGCTCCCAGTCTCGACTTTCGCCACCATCATCTTCCTCTGGAAGTCGAATCTGCCCGACCTGGCATGAGAAGATCCTCATGTATGATCCGATCATCTTGGAAGAATTCACAATATGGTTAAATGTCGAAGGGCTGAGCCTTGTTGGGGAGGATCGAGAGGTACATGTTGCGGCTGCCAGGGAATGGTGCGAGAGCAAGGGTATATGCTGCTGCGGGAAGAATAATGCCAGCTGGTGAGGCACCCATATAATGAGCATCGTTTCGAGCTTGATTTTTTTCACAACCATCACATGATACCCACTGTAGACAGAAATTTGATCAGGCTCATGCCGCATCCAACTTGCCATTTCATCCAGGTAAACATCTGCTACCCTAGGGTATGAGTACTTTTGCATGTCCTAAATACCTTAGATCATTTCTTCGATATGTAAATATGATCTAGGGTCCCATAATTACCTAAAGTGTTGGCCTGCATAATCTACCACGTGAATAAAAGGTTCTTCAAACAGCCGTGGAGATTACTACACACCGTCCATTTGTTATTCCAGAGGCGCCGCAAGGGAAAGGTGAAGGAATACAAAATGATCAGAAAATCCGCTGCCCTGATATGGTATCTCGTATGTGGCGCTATTAAACAAACAGATTCCTATCGTTACACATTGACATCATGACCCTATCTCAAACGCCACAAAATACACCCATATCATCCGTATTGAAACATAAATCTCCTCCCAGTAACTCCGAAAGAGTCGACGGTCTCCCTTGAACAACGACCCTATGCATTGAAGGTACAAAGAACCCATAACGAAAGAAGGGCTGGATGAAAGTCGAAGAGCGAGAGAACCGAGATGGCTAATGGAGTGTCAGGTACTACCTCCCTCATCTGTTCCACTCTGGGGAGTGGTAGAGGGTCGACCGAGTGAGGGATGTTCTGAATGCAGAGCCTCCTGTGCCTGACAATGATTGTCAAGATCAACCTATAGCTCTACAATGAAGATGAAGAAGTATGTGTAACTTACCTGTCGGACCGTCGGGGGGTTGATCGTCGGTTCGCCCGAGGGAGGTTCGAGGTGATAAGAGAGTCCATCATTCGGAGCGTGCAGCATGGTACCATGTCTCTGATGTGCGAGTTCGCTGCTGAGAGTCGCAATCTGACTTTGGTGATAACGAAGCTGATCCATGAGCAGATTAATCGTGACATCCCGTTGATGCATACGCTGCTCTATGCTCTCGATTTTGCGCTTCATGGTATCCATCTCCGCTCTCATCTTCGCGATGGCACCTCGGGGCAGTGATTCAATGGTGACAGGGTCGGTGACAAGGCATTCGGTGTTCGCGCTGGCGCAATTGACACAGGAATCCGGATTCTCGTCGCAGCAAAGCTTACGTGCCTATACAAGAGAGTTAACTCTGGACTGCCACGCTAGAAGAGCAAGAGACAGTATGAGAATACAGGATAAACTTAATCACATACCTTGCATCTGTCGCAGGCGATCGCGGTTCTCGCTCTGTTTGCACCTGCCGCCTTTGCCTTGATCTTATTGCGCATCTGAGCCGAATAATCCGGCTCCGCATCAGATCGGGTGCGTCGAGGACGCTTCTGACCAGCCTGAGAACTTGGTGGCATTGGGGTCATGATGCCTGGCTGGTTTGGCTGTGGGAGCGTGGGAGGAGGGAGCGAGGTGAAGGTGACCGGGGTGAGTTGCCGGCTTGGAGCACTCGAGATGGCGAGTGCAGGATTGAAGTTTGGCGTGGGATAAGGAGAGGCATACACGTTCGCCTCACGCGCAGCCGAAAGGGCAGCCTCTGCGAGGCCTTCCTCTGCCTTGGGGCTTTCCGCCTCAGAGGGGGCATGCCCTTCGGCATTAGCCATGTTGGCAGGCCAAAGGAGGGAGACACAAGAAACAAAGATAGATGTGACAGATAATAGTGGAAGAAATGGTAGATCTGAAGGTATGGCAGGTGGAAGAAATGGCGGATCCTAAAGAGAGGTGGGTGATGGAAGGTAAAATGAATGAGACAACAGCAACAATCAAGTGAATGGATGTTTGGTAACAATGATCCAGACTCGAGACCCTTAGAGCGTTTCGCGTATAATACACAGGTAATTCTCAACGGACCCCTTATTCGTTAGACCAGTGATTCTACTTAGATAATTGCTGTCAAATACGGTATTCAAATTCACATCCACCGTTGCCAGACTTAGGGCAGCGGTCTTACTACCTATTCTACTCTGAAAATGACTATGCCCGTCTTGGTCCCAAGATGCTGACCACGGTATATTTGCCCTGTGGTGCCTTTTTAAGAGTTTCCAAGGTTATGCCTCCAGAGTTGTCACTGTGGGTTCGCTCTACAACATTAATGCCATGCCTAAGCTCAATATTTGTAGAACCCGTCGAATAGGATGTCTAACTCCATCGCCTGGATTGAATTTAATTGTTTCATGACGAAGAATGGCCATTGTCTATTTTCTTTCTTTCTTTCTTTGTTGCGAGAGCTTTTGAAACGACAAAGCATCGTAGAAATACATGCAAAATTTCTTTTACAAAAAGTTAAGGACAACACTACGCAGGATCTTCACGGTTGAATTGAGCTTATGAACAATTGATTAGAGATGGACGATCAATATCAGGATATTTAGAGTACAAAGACCCTGAAACTCCAACCAAAGGAAGACATAAATAAAGACGGATGAGGAGTGAAGCATTATCTCGTGAGTGTAAATCAGAAGAAGGACCGTGAGGCGTTATCGAATATTGAGCCAAATCACAATATATGCTTTCAATCTTTGAACTCCTGCCATGCTCGACTAGCCCAAGAACCAGAGAATCCGTGACCCAAGTCCAGAACCAGAAAGGCGCGATTGTGCCACCTGGAGTCAATCTATACGGGTCGAAGCCAAAAAGAAAATAAAACATGTCCCAGAAAGCCCTGAACTCCAAAAGTATAAGACAAAGTCCTTGGTAGTCCCATAGCGGTAAAAGAAGCGGAATGGGACAGATGATGCGGATAAATCCAGGATATATCAACGAAGAAACGAAAAGGTTACACAGTGATTGATGGAAAAGGAAGGCAGACTGCGTCCGTTTGTGGATATGCCGAGAACGAAGCGTCGAGGACTTTGTATCGCAAAAATTCATTTGTGACGAGATGGTGTGGTTTCTCATCGGTGAATTTTTGCGTTCGTGGCAACAGTCTCAAATTGAACTCGAGGCTGGTATCGCATAGGCCCCTTGTCATCGAGCCAGGGGGTAAGGTTCTTGCATTGGCTGACATCGAAGGATTGAAGCTGATGGCAGCCTTCGGCCACGGCCTCGACACCAACGCCAGTAACTCGTACACAGCCTCGCACAGAAAGATGTTGGAGAGAAAGTAGATGGAGCCCGATGCTTCGCAGGGACGGATCGGAAATAGCGGAACCGCAAAACGACATATTAAGATATTTCAATTGCGAGCACTGGAGGGCAAGGACTTCGGTCGCTGTATCAGAAAGCGCGCAGCAAAAGGACTGGTAATAATACGATTGTTATTACTCGTGAGCCAAGCATAGTGGGGGTTGAAAGCGTAGATAACTTACCAGATCCAGTTCTTGGATATTCTTAGCGGCATTTGTCAAGTGTACAATGGCGTTGTCGGTCAAATATGTGCAATCTGCTAAGCACAGTCTCCGTAGATTAGTGAACCGCGCATTCCCCCAGTACTGAAAACCTTGGTCAGTGATGGTGGTGCAGCGAGTTAAGTCCATTTCTTCGATTCGAGCAGCGGCGTGCGAAGCAATGTGGTGCATCGAGCGGTCTGTGACATGCTTGCAATATGAAAGAGTGAGCTTCTTCAATTGGGGACAGCCATACACCAAGCTGTCCGCTGTTTGAAGGGTGGGTTTGATTGATGCACTCTTGCCTTCGGTAGGCTTTTGATTGCCTGGCAAAACCCATCCAAGGATTCGCGCCATGAGGGTATCGCCTACTTTTCGACAGTTGCTCAGATCGACCTCCTGTAGACCGGTAGCTTTGCTGGTCATTTCGAGTATGGCGGAAGCCGTGACATCCCACACACTCTTCATCTTCCAAGTGGTGGAGTTCGGTGCACACGTATTGGCCAGCGCATTAAAGCCTTCGTCAGTAATATGAAAGCAGTTGTTGACGTTCACGGACCGGGGACGATCGCCCACAAAGGGACAAATTATTTTAACAAGAGCGTCGTCGGTGAGCTGGCGGTTGTATACGCTCAGGTCAAGGTCACGAATCACGTCGGGGGATTTGGTGAGGATTTCAGACCAGTGCGAGGACACCCCACGCAATCGAAGCAGGTGGTGCAACTCAAGAAACTGGAAAATATTTAAGAGAATGCTGTCGGGGAAGATTCCGTGGTGAACTTCATGAGCCGGGCGTGAGTTTTGGTGCGGTTTCGACAGGCCAACACTCTCCGGTAGCGCGAGAGTCGACGAGCTAGCAGAACGTGGTTCTGATGGAGATTGTCGTTGGTGTTCCCCAGTAACTTCTTCTGGCGTCAAAGGCGCCACTGAACCACGCCGACTTCGAAGCCGAACTTTGTCCAAGCCAAGGCTCAGATAAGGATCGGGGTCTGATGGCCGTAGTACGGCCTGCTCCTGGTCTTCAACAGGCGATGACTGATGCGGTCCATCTAGTTCTGTCTCAGTCAATGTCAACAATGGCATTGAGCGACGCCGAGCTGCGGTGATTTTAACTCGATCGTCAAGTTCCAGGTTGCCTAAGGGTGGCTGTTCGTCCGTCGCATCCGTCATGACCACATCGCCATCAGCGGTGGTCTGCAGTCTCTCTTGGGCGGTGCGCTCCACCGATTCGCGGATGCCTTTGGGGCACATCTCCCAGAATTGGGAAAGAACCTCTTCACTGAGCATAAGGCACTCGACCGACGTGACCGAACGGACAGTTGCCGTTCTTCGCGGCGCAAGCGACAGGCTGACAACTTCACCAAAGTACTGGCCCTGTTTCAGTCGGGCCTTGATCTCGGTGCTAATCCGATCGGAGCCGTTTGGCAGGTCATGACGTGATTCAGTCTTTTCGGCAACGACCTCAACCTCGCCGCGGACAATGAAGTAGAGCTCCCGCCCATAAGAATCTTGTTGGATAATGTCGGTAAATGGAGGGTACGAGCGTGGTTGCGCATTGAGACCCAAGAAATGGAGAATATCGCCGGGGAGCCCAGAGAAGAGGGGCAGCTCTTTCAGGAGCAGACGGACATTCACCAGTCCGTTTGCAAGAGCACTCGATGCATCCCGCCGTCCTGGGCTCGGCGATTTCCGTTTCTTGTGTATCGAACTAGCACTGAAGTCTTCCTCGGCGACAACCAGGTCTTTTGAGTAGCTCTCTCTCAATCGCTTTGAGCCCCTTCGCACTGGACTCGGACTGGGAGAATCCAGGACAGGCGCAGAAGTTTCTTTCTTTTTCTTTTCCAGGATCATTAACCGCTCTTGTGCTTCGTCCCTGATCGCTTGTTCAACCTGGGGGAAGCGCGGTAAAATATTGCGAAAATCTTCTTTCGTGAGCACGACTAGCATGCATCGTGTGCGGGCGATGATCGTCGCAGTGCGCGGTCGATCCATCAGCACACCAATCTCTCCAAAGAAAGCACCCGGTTTGAGCTCAGCGTATATACTTTCACCATCTCGCGAAGTGACCGCTACGGCGCCACGCACCAGCCAGTACATCGCCTTGGCTTCATCGCCTTCGGTCAAGATATAGTCATTGGGGGCGTGAAGCTGCGGGCGCAGATGTTGACCTACTTCAAACAAAAAGGATTCGGGTGTCGCTTGAAAGAGGGGAAAGGAACGCAGCCGGTCGATGAGCTCCAGCGGGAGTGCTTTAATGTTGGAGGAGGCTAAAGGGGAAGGTCGGGCGGGTCGGTTAGGGTTCATGACCGAGTCGAAGGAATGAATGAGGGAGACGGTGTCCGACATGGGCACGGCCTTGGTCGGGCCTCCGGACCTGCCATGGCGACGCATGATGAGCAGTCTAGAGGGAGGTTTGCGATGAAAGAGAAGTCGACCGGCGACCGGATGTTCGGAGGGGTATTCAGAAGTTCACGGCGAGGCTCGAATGTGCGCAGAGGTGCTGATGTTCAGACAGGTCCAGCATCAACAGAACGATGACGTCGACGAGAGCAGTAGAGTCGAGCTTCGCGTCGGCATCGCTTCTCGCACCCAATGGGTAGATCGTCGGCGCTAGCAGACCGGCATCTGCGCAGGGGGAAACCGGAGGGGTAGTTGACGATGTGGAAGGGTGTCAGAGCTGGGAGTCTTCAGAAGGTGGGGGAAGTTCCGACTCTGCGACGTCAAATGCGGTTGAGCTCCACCGATCATCTGGAAAGCTTCGGAAACTCTATGACAACCTTCGTAGCTCCACCATGGCGACTACCCTACACTCCTCTGGAGAGCACGAGTATAGCCGGCCGATGCCTTTTTGTGCCCCCGTCCGGCCTAAGAGGCTGAGTGGTCCCTTCTGCTCGGATCACTGCAGGCCACTTGGAGGCTGTGGCTTCCATCAATCCGACCGGCGCGGCTCTGCGCTCACAAAGAGTTCCTGACACGGAAAGAAAGTCACCAGCACCACCGCGCCCTTTGTAAGGTATGGGAGAGCGTATGGGGTCGGGTCACCCTTGGCAGGATTCTTCGAGCTCCCGAACCCCCCGGAATATCCATTGATGGATCAGACCACAGGCCGCGATGGTCGTTCAATCCATTTTGTACGGGGTATCTTATTCAATTTGGCCCGGATTTTGCTCCGAGGCAAAAAAGCAATACAGATAGACTGAAGAACCCCCACTCAGCCCTATAACCCACCTCCTCCACCCTACATTTCCCTGATCCTGCGCAGTACTTTTGCTAGCAACCGTGCCTGAGCCTGAGCCCATGACAACTGCGTTCTCTGGAAGCGGGCAGCCGGACACAGCGGGTCACGTGCCTATGATACGACGTGGGTCGGACATCCACAACGGACTGTGTATGTAGAAATAGGGGAAGATTTGAGCATGGAAAATGGTAGAAATTATCAAATGAAGAGCGTGGCTCGAATACGGCAGCGCGACAGGGTATCAACATGTAGTGTACATTGTAGAATGGAGAAAGGCGAAACGGGCCTATCACTCAAGGGTACGGGCTCAGTCTCAGCAGGCCAAGGGGTATTCAGGCCAGCTCGGGTACGGCGAGACTGCTCGAAGGCAGCGAATATGTTCCTGGGTGCTCACGATTTGGATGAGCATGAGAGAGATAGCCATAGTATAGAACACTTCGTAGACCCATTCTCTGCGCCGGAATATGCTCGGTTGCCAGCATCCTGTCTCGGATAGTAGACAGGAATCGCATGAAGGAAAGCGATCCCCTAGGGTAAAGTATGGCAGGGATCTGGGCGACTCCTTACGGTTGGGGTTCAATGAGAAATTGGACAAAAGTCCTCTCTGTTGGAGGACAAAGTGGTTCGACCGGACGAGGGGATTGTCCCAATTCAGACACGATCTCTACCCTCATTCAACCGACGATTCCCAAGGAAGAAGTCCACGTAGGCCGGTCGGTTTCCTTTTAATGACTCCAGAGCATCTTGCGCCAGTCCATAACCAAGTCCAAACTTCAACCCGAGCTTTGCAGTACGGGCAGCGGTGTATACATCGTGACGGGCTAGTAATTTAATCGAGTTAGTCTTGGATTATGAAAGGTGAATGAATGAAAAAGATTTAGGACTTACCGAGTAAGCTGTACACCCCCGAAAATGACAAACCCGCGGTCACCGTGGACAGAAAGTCTCGCTCCTCATGACGGGCATAATCGACTGTTTCCTCAAAGAGACAGAACACAAGCGAGCCAGCGCCTAGTCTGAATCCCATTTTGAAGCCCTCTTTTACACCACCCACAATTGAGATGTAGTTTTTGGTCTTATGGTACTGCCACCAGCCAGTCGAAGTCGTCGGGAATCGGTGTGCGTTCTCTGCTCGAAACTGAAGGCCTGCTTTGTTGCTCCCATAGATATAGCCTAGACCTAGGCCCGCAGAGAATCCAGACATGGTCGCGTAAGGTATACGCTTGCTGACATCGATGCCAAGTCGGGGAGGACTGTCGGATTCGAAGAGCTTGTCCCAGTGGAATAATCGGAGAGCCACGGTGCCGAGAAGCGTGGGAGAGGTTCGCGACGGCGACGAGTCAGATGGAGGTGTTGTGTCGTCCATATCGGCGATCGCTGGCTCTAATCGGAGCCTACCAAATGCTGGGAGCCAAAACGCGTGACTGTCACGAGTAGGTGGAAGCCTGGCGAGCGGCAACAATCCGCGTCGTGCGGGACCGCCGTCTTTCCGCCTCCGTCACCGTGCCAAACTGCCAGTGCCAAACCGCGGCAGCTCTGATCGCGTCACCGTGCCAAACAGCCAAACCGCGGAAGCTCTGATCGAAGCAACTCGCTAATACTAGTCGCAGTGCTGCAAGATGCCACAGGTAAGAAAAACTCACAGGGCCGCAGTGTCCAAAAGAGCTGCCAGAGCCCAGCTAAAACCCATTCAGCTTCCGGAGCAGAATAATCGGCCTCCGCCTGGGGTGACCGTCATGTTCAAGAAGTACAAGACCACCATCCTGCTCTGCCTTCAGCCAGATGAAAAGCTTTCCGCCGTGAAAAAGGAGCTGCTCGAAGCTTTGAAGAGTCGCGGGGTCAACCATCTCGGCAACGATATCGTCCCCGGCGACCCGGCCGAGCTTGAATTTGGCCTGCCCAAGGACCGCAGCGATCTTGAGAAGGGATGGACACTCTTGAGGACTGAACCTGATACAACTGTGCAAGATGCAGGGTTCACCGATCCCAGCTTTGTGGCATTCCGCTTCCGCAAGCCTAGCACTTCCGAGCCGAACGAAACAGTGATGGACCTTGATCAGGATGAAGCTAACTGGGATGTGATTATCCCAGGCTTTATCGACGAGGCCTCGGATGATGAGGCCGTTGAGGACGATGAGGCCGGAGCCAACGTCTGAGACCCTCTCTTCGACATCCAGGAAGAGCGATTCAACGCTTCACGCTGAGATCTACGGTGCACGATGGACAATACGGCTATCTGGTGGAAATTTTCTTGCTTTTCGTTTATTTCATACCAATTCCTTCTTCTCGATACGGCGTTTGGGGCAATATAGGAGTTCGGACAAAAGAGATGGAGAACCTCATCTTTATGGAACGATCTATGGGCAGCACAGTTCATTACGGCGTCGACAATAAATAACGAAACCATTCAGACAAAGCTCACGCTATTTGACTGCCCCGGAGTACGGGGTACGTAGTTGAAACATCATAATATGCAAAACGGGGTCCTGTAGAGTCCAAGATCAAGGATCTATCAAAATCGTGGGGTAAACCCACCCACATAACTCAGTATTTTGCCCAGCTTCGAGGATCTCGACGATCTCATGTCGGCAGACACAAGGCGGTGCGTGGGCATCGGGAACAAAGGACGTGTAGGTAGCCTGAAACCTCCTAATTCTGCACGTACTCGCGGGGGGACAAACAGCCAAGCCGCACCTGCCACGGCAACTGGGGCACAATCGCCACTGTCAGCTGGTTGCCTGGAGCAACGCGGCAACAAATCAACAAATGAAATCGCGCCCAGGAGACCCTCGGAGAATACTCGTTGCTGCAACCCATACCCCATACAGTACACCTTTAGATCCACACATTCTTCGCTCTCCATCGTTACTCTCGACAACCTCATCCCCCTGGCTTCGTCGACGCAGGGTGTCGCCCAGCTGATACGGCCCCGCACCTTCGCGACTTGGAGAGGCAACGACATAACACGACACACGACATCCACCATGGCCGCATCCGATGGCGCTTCCTCGATCAACGTCGCGGTACGCGTCCGACCATTTACAATCAGAGAGGCTGCACAGATCTCCAAGTCCGATGACGGCCCTCTCTTCCTAGGTGACGGGTCGTTGGCAGGCGTGCCGGCCCCGAAGCTCAACCAGAAGGGAATCCGGTCCATTGTCAAGGTGATTGACGACCGATGCTTGTGAGTAGCTATCCGGATATGCGCCTGTTTAACTCAATCACGACTTTGCAAGATTGCTAACTGCTTATTTCCACAGGGTCTTCGATCCTCCGGAAGATAACCCCGTCCAAAAGTTCTCCAAGAGCGTCGTGCCCAACGGCAAGCGCGTCAAGGACCAGACCTTCGCCTTTGACCGCATCTTCGACCAGAATGCCTCTCAGGGAGAAGTTTATGAATCGACCACCCGTTCCCTTCTCGACAATGTCCTCGATGGATACAACGCTACGGTCTTCGCCTACGGTGCAACCGGTTGCGGCAAGACACACACTATCACTGGCACAGCGCAGCAACCCGGTATCATTTTCCTGACGATGCAGGAGTTGTTTGAGAGAATTGAGGAAAGATCTGGAGAGAAAAGTACTGAAGTCTCTCTATCGTACCTCGAAATCTACAACGAAACCATTCGCGATTTGCTTGTGCCCGGCGGGTCCAAGGGTGGTCTCATGCTTCGTGAAGATGTGAATCAATCGGTCTCGGTCGCTGGATTGTCCAGCCACCATCCCCAGAACGTGCAGCAGGTCATGGATATGATTATGCGAGGCAATGAGTGCCGTACCATGTCTCCTACTGAAGCGAATGCCACCTCGTCCCGATCCCACGCCGTTCTCCAAATCAATGTCGCCCAGAAAGACCGCAATGCAGATGTCAATGAGCCACATACCATGGCTACTTTCAGTATTATCGACCTTGCTGGAAGTGAACGTGCCAGTGCAACCAAGAACCGAGGCGAAAGACTATTTGAGGGTGCCAACATCAACAAGTCGCTGTTGGCCTTGGGCAGCTGTATCAATGCCCTCTGTGATCCTCGAAAGCGTAACCACATCCCATACCGCAACTCCAAACTCACTCGACTCCTCAAGTTTGCTCTTGGCGGCAACTGTAAGACCGTGATGATCGTTTGTGTGAGCCCATCAAGCCAACACTTTGATGAGACCCAGAATACGCTACGATACGCAAACCGAGCCAAGAACATCCAGACCAAGGTCACTCGAAACGTCTTCAATGTTAACCGGCACGTCAAGGATTTCTTGGTCAAGATTGATGAGCAAATGAAATTGATCAATGAACTCAAAGCACAACAGAAGGATTCCGAACAGCTAGCGTTCGGAAAGTTCAAGAAGCAGACCGAGAAGAAGGACGCTGTTGTGCGTGAAGCCATTGCTCGCATTCGCAGTGCGTACGAGCACACATTGCCGGAGAGACAGGAGAAGACAAACAACATGCTCAAGCTGAGACAAATCAGTCGTCGCATTGGAATCTTGTCCTCTTGGATTGCTGCATTTGATAACGTTTGTGCATCTCGAGAGGGCGATGAGGGCCTTGCCAACCTCTGGGCGATTCGGAAAAGCGCGCAGGGGATTCTTCTCGAGCTCGAAGACAGTCGACACCACTACAATCAGCGATTGTCAAAAAACACTTGGGATAGAGCGATGAACTCGGCAGTTGAAAACGCAACGAAACAACTGCAGGAATTCAATATCAGTGATAACAGTGACTTTGCGAACTTGGACCGAGAGGCTGAGCTTCTTCGGTCACACGCGGAGCGTGAAGCCCTGTCCGCAGTGGTTGATCAAGACAAAGCTGGAGAAGCAGCTGCCGTACAGATTCTTCTGCAGGCCCAATTCGAACTTATTGCCTCGATTGAGGATATCATGCAACTCAGCGCATCCGAAGCCATTCAGAAGGGCCGCGTGATGCTCACCAAAATGCTGGAAAGCTGTTCGACCACAGCATCCAGCCTTGTCAAGCCTGATGGCATCTTGCCGGCGCTCCAGGTTCCGCCAAGTCCCGTCAAGCCAGCCAGTCCCCCGAAACCCAAGAAGCGGTTCAGCATGGTCAGCATGCCCCCTCCACGAACCTCTCTTGCCCCATCCGTTCAGCTTGCCCCGGTGGCAGCTCCCTCGCCCACGAAGGGCTCGCCTCGTCGTCGGAAGGTCGCGGCTGGCCGTAAGAGTGTCAGTTTCACGCCCAAGAAGACCCAGGTGAAACCTACGAAACGATCCGTCCGCTGGAAGGACGATGAGCAAGATGGCACCTTGACGGAATGGCAGAAGACACCCCAGAAGGTCGAATCTACGGATGAAGCCAACTGGGAAGAGCCGTCTCTCCCCCGAGGAGCATCTCCTATTCCTCGAAACATCCCTCGAGTATTGGCGCCATTTGGCTCGACGTCGCCACTTCCTGCGCCATCCGAACAGTCCTTGAACATTCCGAAGAACAACAACCGATTCAAGGCAGGCTTCTTGTCTAAGCGTACTGGTAGCTCTCCCTTGGCATCACCTCCCACAGCAAGCCTGTCGCTTTCTTCGGACAATGAGAACTCGCCCCTTCGAGACATTGAAGGCAGCAGCTTCCTGAACCGAGCCTCAACGGACCGTCCATCGCGTATTGCGGTCCGGAGCCCCAGCGCAAACTTCTCAAGCAGTCCAGTTTATGAGAACAAGGACAATTGGAAGTCCGAGAAAGATGATGCAATCAAGATCAACTCGGCTATGCGCCGCATCTCCAGTTCGCACTTTGGCCCCTCGTCTACCAATTCTCTGCGAGTTCATCGCCGCCGCAGCCCTACCTCCAACACCTACGGCAGCTCCCCGAGCGACGGTAATATGTTCACCGCATCTCAGGCTCGCCGTATGGTCAAGAGCGAAAAGGAAAGCGAGGCCAAGCACCGTGTCCTTAGCCCCCACACTCTGCCTGTGATGAAGAACACTGGACGGCGTACGACTCTGGGAGGTGATGTTCGAACACGGCATGCCAGTCTCTCCAGTCGGGACGCGCTCCGCTTGAGTGCGATTGCCGCACCCCCGGTCGACCGCAACCAGGACTTTAACAGCACCTCTGGTGGGCTGCGGTGAATGATTTATTGACGTCTGCTTTATTTCATGTTGTATTCGGGGATCGACATGGCGTTGGCGCATAAGATACCATCCTTTTTCCATTCTCCTGTGTCTTTTCTTAAACTCTTACCTCTTTGCAAGGGTGTCTACGAATCTTACGGTGTTTATTTCCCTTTGTTCATTCTCTCTTGTCGTTGATTATCGCTGTCCTACCTGGCTCTCGATTCTCAACATGAGGATCTGGTGTTTTACTCTTTTCGCTTGACATATTCTTTTTGTGTACATTATGAGATTGGATAAGGTTACTTCCAATATTTAAGGTCCTAAAGTCACCATGAGACTTGTGCATTTATTGTCAGTGATACCATAAACAACTTCGTACTAGTAAATTACTACTAGTAGTCTACCGTAGGTAGTACATATTCTTAGTAGGGCTGCGGCACTTGCGGGGTGACATTTTGGCAGGTTTCCCCGCTGCTTTGTCAGAAGTCCAGAATGACGCCACCGAGCAGCTGCAGCTCCTTTGCTCCCTCGAGAATCTTACGTACTTTCTTCCAGCCTTCACGCTACTTCAAAAACAGTCGATCATCGCACTTTGTTGGAAATCAAAACTGCTGCCGTCGCATCCTTGCCGAGCCCCCGTCGCGTCAACTTCTCCCCCCACTTTTTATATCCTGTTCCCCACCTGGGCACCACTGCGCCAGAAATTATTCCAGAAATCCCCATGGCCTTTGCCGCACCTGCTGCCTCGACTCTATTTTCACGCCTCCTTCGACCTTTCTCGACCGGCACGCCATTTCTTTCTCTGACCCCGGAATCTCAATCAGGCAACATGTCTACTGAAACCGCGACCGTCGCGGCCGGCTGCTTCTGGGGCGTCGAGCATCTGTACCGTAAGAATTTCGGCAACGGAAAGGGCCTTTTGGACGCGAAGGTCGGATACTGCGGTGGCAACACTTCGTCGCCGTCCTACCGTGCTGTCTGCAGCGGAGACACTGGGCGTAAGTCTTAGCAGTTTATTTCGCGACGAGCTCGCATTGCAATACTGCGGCCTAGACGATGACTGACCTTGGATCCTTTCTTCCGCAGATGCCGAAGCTCTCCAGGTTACCTTTGATCCCTCCGTTGTCACATACCGCCAGCTTCTCGAGTTCTTCTACCGCATGCATGATGCAACTACGCTGAACCGCCAGGGCCCCGATGTCGGCTCTCAGTACCGTAGCGTGATCTTCACTCACGGTGACGAGCAGCAGAAGATCGCGGAGAGCATCACGGACAAGGTCAGCAAGGAGTGGTATAAGAAGCCTGTTTCCACACAGGTTGTGCCCGCCGGCCAGTGGTGGGATGCTGAAGAGTACCACCAGCTGTACCTGCAGAACAACCCGGCTGGGTATGAGTGCCCCGCTCAGTAAGTAGCTCATACCCCTGGAGGTCGCCATAAGGGCATGTGTCCTTTCCACTGATGGCTTGCTAACTCTGCTTTTCCTTTCTAGCTTCATCCGAGACTTCCCTCCCCTCTCGGATTGACTAGCATCTAGCCTATGACAATTTAGTCAGATTGAGGCTCCTGCGAAATATGGAAATTACCGGGGCGCACATTAGATTAATAAGTCCTGGCATGAGAAACGAAACACCAATACCCTTTGAGTGAACGAGGGTCAAAACATTCATTGATAAATACGTGGCGTCAATACATAACCATCTTTTTTGGCTCTTTGACTCTTTTCGAGATATATATACACTCCATCGAACAAAATCAATCAATCAAGTTCTTGGAAACCTCCTCGATGCACTTTTTCAAGTTCACCCGACTCAAAATCAGCCATTGCACGATCAGTATGATGCAGAAACCAATCAGTGCACCACCCCAGAGTCCCCAAACCGTCCACCCCAGACCGAATGCCGAACCAAGCCCGAGTGGAAGTGCAATGTTGGCAAATACAACCGTCTGAATAAATCCAGCAGTAGTCTTCTTGCCAATACCACACAGAATGCCATTGGAGATCAAAGTCAAGCAACCCACAAAATGAGTGGCTGCGCACAGAGGCATCACTTCAGCAGCAAATGCGATGACCGCACGATCAGTTGCAAAGACCTGTGCGACCGGATATCGGAGAAGTGACAGTGCCAGCATATAGATCGCGCCAACACTGAATGCAACAAGGAATGCAAGCTTGCCAACCGCCCATGCCGAATCAGCACGACCTGCACGCATGAGATCGCTAATGCGGTCTTGAGTAGACTTTGACAGGGAGAAGGGTACTTGCAGGACTGTATTGGTCACTGCAACCAGTACTGCTTGTGCAGCCAGGGCAACTGGACCGAAATATGAGCTTGCGAGCGTGGTCATTCCGTGCACGAGAGACTCGGCTTCTGCAGCGATCATATTGGAGATGGCTAGCCGGATCATGGGGCCCCAGTTCGAGAAAGCCCTGCGTGAAAAGCCATTCCAGTATTTATCGTGGGATCCGAGGACGATGTATAGGAAGAGCGAGCATGGTTGTAAGTAGTTGTTGATTGTCAACGCAACCGGTGCGCCGATGAAGCCCCATTTGCGGTTCTAAGATTCGTGGTCAGTTTGCGCCAGATGAGGGCCAAGCGAATAGCATACCCAGACTAGCAACCAGTTCACGAATGCGGTGATGGGTGCACACACACTCAGGACATGCGTGGTGGCCGATTCCACGCCCTGAGCTTCGATGTAGCGTCTACCAGACTCAAAAATGGCATGTGCAGGTAGACCCCACGCAGCGATTCCAAGGTACCGACCGGCTAGAATGGCTGTCTCTTGGTTGGAGAGAACCAGTGGAAGTAGCCGTTCCGCGAAACTCCAAAGAACCATGATCGGAACCGTAATCACCAGAAGAAGACACAGCATTCTTTGGAAATGCAACGGGACCAAGTGATGCATCCCAGCTTTCATCTCCTGAGCACATAGGTTCTCCAACGCAGTTGCGAGGCCACGGTAGATCATATATCCAGTAAAATTGGCGAGGATACTAGCGATACTCGCGGCTCCGAGCTCTTTCGAACCCAATTGTCCCACGTTTATTAAACCGACCGTCAACAGAGACGATTCTAATAGAGCTGCTCCCATCAATGGGCCCGCATTTTGAAGAATGTTCTTTGTTTCGTCCTGGAACGAGACCGGGCTTCCTGGGTCTTGGTCATTTGGTGGGGTGATGCTCGGTTCCGATGGTAGTATTAAGGGTGTTTCTTCGTTGAATTCGCTCTCAGCCGTTTGTTTGACTTTCGGTGTGCTCTTCTCGGAGCTGAAGACGCCGTAATTGGAATAGCTATAGTAGCGACTAGAAGAATTATGGTCGCTTGTATGGGTCAACTCGTCGAATGACCGATCGGCCCGATGCTTGCCCGTTGTTCCGCTGGCCTCGCCGCTATGGTGGAAGAGGTTCTCATCAAGACGCGTATATTCTCTCCTCGACGGGGTATGAATCCGTACTGAATCTCGGTCGAAATCGAAGTCTGGTGGAGTCGTCATTTTGGATAGGAAAGGGTGGGTGAGTCTTTCAGGAGCTGGTTGGGTTGGTCTTGTTCACCACCCAAGGATATTGGATTTACACCCGCAATGGTGAAGAAGTAAAACGAGTTCCGCTGGCAAGTTAAGCGAAAATATAAATAAGCAAATTCGATTGGAAGAGCGCCCAGATCATCTTGTGCAAGGGATGATCGAGGCAACGGAAGCCAGACTTGCTCATTGGTTCCACTTTGCAGGCGTTGCTTTTTCTGTACGACCAGCGTGCAGATTTATCGATTCCAGCCGCAGCGGCCACATGCAACCCGGACGCAGTGCCATGATAAATGCCGCGTTAATCCACTTTGTACTTATTCAGTGTGCTGGAGAATCTCATTCTAATTGCGAGGGGTCGAAGTCATTCAGCCACGACACTCCACCCAATTTTGTCAACCAAGGCTACCAGAACATCGCCGTATCGAGTAAATATAAGTTGTTTGCTAGTTCATCATTGCGGGGTGAGAAATAGGCGTCAGGTGTCAAATTTGTCAGGCTAAAAGTAAATGCATTACTTGCAGGGGCTGTACACGTAGTCGGTCGCGAACGCGGCGTAGCTGAAGCATGAAGCCAACACCAAATCACAGAACGGACTGCTCGGTTATACTGGCTACAGCTAGCCTGTGACTTTTCAGTTCGTGATTGCTCTTCTATAATATCCGACTCGTTTGTCGAAGTCGTTGACGTCCGGGATGGCTGATGTGGCTCCTCTCGAAGCCTAGCACCTATTTCACCTGAGCGTATTTCTGCAGAGCATCGTGGAGCTGACCAAAAACCCCACCATACCAGAACGTCGCGACTTCCTTCCACTCTGCCTCCGGCAGCGTCCCGTGCATCATCTGCAGCCACGAGCCGACGATCAGATCCGCATAGCTGGCCTGCTGGCCCAGGATGAACGGACCAGACTGATCCATTTGGAACATGAAGGCCAATCCACCCAGCTTCTCGCAAAGAGAAAATTTGAGCTCCTCGCGTTTTTCCCCGCTCACGGTCAGCTCATCCCAAGAAGCCACGCCTGCACGTCGGACAAATTCTGCCTTTGTCACCTCGGCATCAGCTGGGTCGAAGGGGAGACCGTGCACCATGAGCTGAACATGAGCGCTAAAGACGGCATCGACATTTGTGTTGAATCGGGCATATTCAGTGTGCTCGATCGCATTGTTCTCGGACAATGGCGCGAACATCGCCAGATCGTCGGAGTAGACGTAGTCCAATGTCTGCTGGGGAAAGAGATTGCCTGACCCCGCAGATGGATATGTCTGTTGCAGGTGGACTGCAATGTCGAAGGAATCGCCGATCTTGGCACCAGTCGTCGAGTCGGTCATCATGGGGAGAGTGTGGTAATCCGAGCCGTCGGCAAACTTGCGCGAGGCGGGGATGCCAACCTCCTGGCGAGTCTTGCTGATGTCTGGCATGGCCACCCAAGTAGTAGAGTACGGCATGCCCTTGAAATTGAGTGCATATCGAGCCTTCCATGGGTTTGGTGCGCATGGAGGACTCATTTTAATGTCGTAAAATGTGATGGCGGGAGAAGAGGTTGTGGCCGCCATTGTGGAAATTGGGGAGCACTTGCGGCCACCTGAATGCTAATCAATCGTGTAGGATGACTTCAATGACCACTGTCTAAAAGTATCGACAAGCTGTGATGTATATGGATACCGACACTCATGGTCGGTTCTGAACAACAAATGTGGCCTCTCCCTTCGTACACCGCTTTCGAGTTCTACTATGACATCTGGTGGCAGGGATCATTTTGCCGTCATGAAGCGATTCAACTTCGACCTTTTTTGAAGACTTTCCAAAAAACTAGTAAATGGGCTTATTTGCCGAGGATCCAGGGTTCATGCATCTTGAGATCGACGTGAATGAACTGGTGATCTGACGTGATCCCGCTGGTTGCGTGCGAACGGGCAGGAATTCCAGGCTTGCTTTTGACCAATCACAAGTATTAGAGCAACCGCTCCACATCGACAGTTTTTGTCAACAAGAGCCACAGCAGCGAGTTCGAGGTATGAGACCGATTCTCATACTATTAGTAGCACTTTGCGTCTTTTACGTATCACATGCTCTAAGATTCAAATATCGAGTCTATGACAAACTGGACGGACTTGGATCTTTCTCCTTTTTCAATTGATTAAACCTGCCTAATAAAATATTGATTCACGTATACAGGGCCCACTGTCTCAGCCTCCAAGCCACCACTTGCTGTACTGTGGACATTGGTTCATATAGTTTGGGACCCTCTCGCTGATGTCGATCGAGTGGAGTCGTGGTAATCTTCAGCGGCGATCATATGGCGGGCTCAACGCTAAATCAAGATGTCGGGGATTTTATCTCAATCTATACCAAACTTCCAGAAAAAATCAACAGTATGTTCATGGTATTATAGTAATATGCAGAAACTTTTGAAGCAAATCTATAAAGACGACCCAGTCTATTGTCTATGTCTTCACTCACGGACCACCAATCCGTAGAACGAAACAGCGGTCGGGATCAAGATACCCCAGAAAACAGCCTGCATGATATCACCATCGGCCCACCCAGCCTTCGACGCGAGCATGCGGGCAAGGGTTCCGCCAACAATGCCCATCCAGACAACGAAGAAACAAAGGTCATTCCACCGTTTCCAGGCCTGTCCACGCTTGGTCATTTCGCTAGTCGATCGCATGGACGTGCCCCACCCATCTTGGAAAACGGTAATCAGACTCCAAAGATGGATCATCGGGAGAGGAATGTTGTAGAAGAGCAGACCGGGAACAATCCACAGCCACGAGTTGCTGGGGCCTCGGTCAGGGTTGCGGAAGTAGTTGTATAGGAGTGTATAGGAAATACGGATGCCGACATCGTACCAATTGAAGTAGGCGAAGCATTCTCCCGTGATGAGGTAGTAGAGGATATACGCGAATCCGAGGAGAGGACCAGCCTCTCGCTTCACGGCAGCCCAGAAGAACAGCGGGTTGGTGAGGAGGTAGAGCTTGGGTTGTTGGAAAGACTCAATATGGCCTGCTCGACTCCAGCGGACTTGCTGCAGAATCCAGCGACTGAGGGTGGTTGGGGTATCAGTTGCAGCCAGCGTGTCGGATGCATAGGTCACAGTCCATCCGCGCATGAGCAGGTTTGTGGTAAGGTGACGATCCTCGTTGACAACCTGAGTCCAGATATTAGCAAGCAAGTATCGAATGTACATGACAAAACAGCACTCACCATTCGATGACCCAGAACAGTCTGAGTATACCACGGGTATAGAATCGCAGGGAGAGCAGACACTCGGAATGCCGTGCTGGGACCACTCTGACAGTCGCTGGTTCCAGAAAGAGTTGAGACGGAGCGTGTCATATACAACTCCGACCAGTACACGACACTACCCAGCTTCGTGCTGACGGTGTCATTTTCATTGTGAACAATCAGACCTGAACTGCCACCACCGACATTAGGATCTCCCGCAATGGTATCAATGGTGCTTTTCAGGGAACCCGGCAGCACAATGGTGTCCGAATCGGAGGACCAGAGGTACTCGATTCCGAGCATCTCAGAGATGACAATAGAGAATATGAAGGAAGAGAACATGATGCCTTTCTTGTGCAAATGCGGCTGATACAGACACAATCGAGCCACTCCGTCCGGCTGGCCGAGTCTCAGGTCATGTTCTGCAAGGATCTCTCGGGCAAGCTGGCAGCAGTGGGCAATAGTGGCTTCCATGTAAGCCTGGGGAGCCTGCGAGTTTCCATCGATGGTGGAGGTCTTTTCGAAGGTGTGCATCGCAACCTCTCCAAATGGCTCGTCGATATGAATGACGGCCGAGTTTTTGGGAAAGACCTGCCGAGCATTAGTTTGCGACTTTTTTGATCATCTAGAGTGGCTGGACCTACATTTTGGAAAACTCGAATCATTTCCATGTCAGGAACATCGTCGCCATCGACGCCCACAAGCACCAAACGGCACTCGGAAATATTCTTGTAACTTTCCAAGGCTCGCGCAAACAGCTCGGGGTCCTCGCGATATCCCACGATGGCCGCCATGCATTCGGGGCCGCGGTTTGCATTAGGAGACACAAGGCTCGCTTTCTCGAGATCTTGAATCTTTTGGGGCTGGCCATGCAGCTTTCGTCGACGGTTTTCGTTCATAAACCGATTGTACTCCGCCGAGAAAATAGTCAAAAGAATATCGAGCGTCAACGGATGGCGTGTGTATCCCGTGATGACGGAGTAAATAGGGAGTACGATCAGACATCCCAGCAAATTAAGAAATTGTCGGAAACGAGAGACTTCGGGTCCTCTCTCTTGGAACGAGGAAAGCCGGGGATACATTTTGTCACCAAAAGAATCCATGATTATTCTTCAACGAGAGTCGGTGGGACGAAGGTTGGACACTTGCCCACTCACCCAGACACCCTGGTACAGTATATCAGATCCCCACGTGCTGGCGTAGGGAGTGTAGATGATTAGATATTTTGAGCGACAGCCAAAAAACGATCACGCCCGGACTTCCAAACGAAAGTGATAAAAATAGCAAAGACAAAAATGAACGTGCGAGAAAAAACGAGTGTGAAGAATTTCTCAGGCGTCCCTGGCGGCATCCCCTCCAAATTTTATTCAGGCGCAGGCTGAGTCTTGATTCCCGTGCCCGTCTCGAAGACTAACTCCCCTCGTCGCTAGCCCCGGTTGCTATTCAGGGGTTTTGGGACCCGAATTCCGGTTATCCCGACGACACAGTGAGACCGCCGCTCATATTGTAGTCAGAGCGACGAATAAGCAGGCCCAGAAAGGAGCCGCATGGCTCGGTACCAGTCAGCGCCAATCCCAAGAGAACTCGGTCGCCGTTAGGGTCTGCCTAGAGCCTGCTAGGGCTGGCTAGCGGCTTCTTCAGGCCCCCGGTGGCGGCGACATCGCTTGGAAAAGAGTGAGACAGTGGAGGCTCAGTGGAGTCGCATTGATGGGACCTACCGGACGAGCCCGTTGGAGGATTCTTGGCGAAGGATGAGATCTGAGATGCTGCCGCCCCAAAAAAGGAGGGGGGTCTTTTTTAGCTGCAATTCCGCTCTTGCCTTCTTGTTTGCGATGCGCACGCCAGCATGTTGCGCGCATTTTACCGAGACAATCGCATGGTCCCCTTGGGGATCATGCTGTTGACCTTCTTGGTCTTTGTCTATCATTTCGAACTCGATCGCCAGGGCCCACTGGGCGAGATCCCCGCCGCTGCGGTCCCTGACAAACTGGTTGTTGATACTCCACGAACACATTCCAGCCCTGTCGTGGAGATTGTTGATCCGGTCGACGATGCTGCAGAGCAACTGGCTCACCCTGCCATTCCTTCCGCCGTTCCTTCCTCTAAGCCCAAAGTGCCTGCTAACAGCGGCACCACTACACACTCGTTACATCTCCCCAAAACCATCAACTCCGACGATGTCGTTCTTATGTTCAAAACCGGCGCCACAGTCCTGTGGAAACGAGTTCCCATCCATTTGGCCACTAGCCTCTCTCCTAATCGTATCAACCCGAACAACGTCCTTCTTTACTCTGACTACCCCGAAACCATCGGGGACTGGGATTTCATCGATGTCCTAGCAAACACCTCCGATGCAGTGCGCCACTCGGAGAATTTCCAACCGTATCGTCAACAAGAAGACTACGAATCACGGCAAAACTACGCCGAGATCTCCAACGTGCCTGGTGACTCCGCCGGACCTGCAGGTGGTTGGAAACTCGACAAATACAAATTCCTGCCGATCGTCCAGCATGCAGGTCGCAATCGGCCCGATGCCAAGTGGTACATCTTCATGGAAGATGACTCTTATATCTTCCTCCCGAATTTACTCCGTCATCTGGAGCGATTTGATCACCGCGAGCCCTGGTATCTGGGCAGCCTAGCCTGGATTCACGGCGACTACTTCGCCCACGGTGGTTCTGGCTTTGCGATTTCTCGCGGCGCATGGGAACAGAGCTTCGGCAAAGATCCCAACATTGTGGAGAAGTACCAGACCTTCACCGAAGCCCATGGATGTGGCGACCACATCCTGGGACATGTTTTGAAAGAATACGGTGTGCAGTTTGGTGAGACTCACGGTGACAATCGCTTCCGGTATGGATTCAATCCCGAGTCGCACTGGTCGACCTGGTTTGAGCAAGCCAATTGGTGCAAGCCGGTCTACAGCTGGCACCACACCCATTCCAAAGATGTTGCGCGCTTCTACGAGCTAGAGAAATCTTGGAACTTTGAACAGGTAGGGACCCACAGACAACCCCAAACGGGCAAGGACTGCGACACTAATTATAATCTCTCCTAGGGTCCCTTGAGATTCCAGGATATTTTCAAGGCAATGATTGCCCCCTATCTTCATTCGCGGGTGGTGTGGTGGGACAACTGGTCCTCCAAGTTTGAGATTCGATCAAACAATGCTCAGGACGCAAAGCCTCCAAGCTCTGTGAAGTCCACCGACACCTGGCGCAATGCCTGGCAGTCAGTTGACGCCTGCGAGGCCGCCTGCGTGTCTTGGGCCGACTGCGTGCAATGGTCTTTCTATGAAGATCGCTGCAAGATGGACAGTATGATTCTGCTGGGCAGCGGTATCCCCGAAAGCGATTCCCGTCGCCAAACGACCTTGCCCTGGGTCAGTGGATGGCTTCCACGACGAGTGGAAAATTGGGAATGCTAAGGATAGAATCATACTTAGAGTAGAATGTACATAGGCCTAGACGATGATAATTTTTTTTCTGTTGATTGCCAAAACAATCAGCCTTGGTGGCACAAATCTGACTATTCAGGTGGGGGCTGAGGCTTGTCGATCCCGTGAGCCCTAAATTTACCAACCATTGGATATTCCCGAATGCGACCCTGTAAGGCCTTCCAGAACCCTGGAAATAGATCCTTCTCAGACTTAGTTTGCACTGTTTCAGAAGGGATTGGCTGGGTGGGTCTATCAGCACGGAATGGCCGGGGCCCGGCTAAGAGAGATGGGGACGCTAGCTAGTAGTGCCTCGCGCCCTATGTCTACATACTTTTTGTACGTCCAGTGCGCAATTTCTCCCTCCTGTCCAACCGGAGCCACCGACCATGGACCGCACCACCTGGCTCGATGGCCTCCGGGGCATCGCAGCCGCCATTGTCGCAACAGATCACTACTTCATGGGCGGCGTCCTCGATAATGCCTTTCTATCCTACTGGGCAGAACCGCCCGAGCAGAATCGGCGGCTATACCAACTGCCACCGATCCGCCTCCTTTTCGCCGCACACGCGATGGTACCACTCTTCCTGGTGATCTCGGGATATGCCATCTCCATCAACCTGCTGAAACTGCGAAATGGCAACCCGGCCGACTTTGTGCGTCGATTGTCTTCCGCGGTCACCCGCCGCATCTTTCGCATCTACCTACCCGTCTTTGTTGTGACGGTTATTTCGCAGGTCCTGCTCTTTTGCAATCTTTACCATTGGAACTTTGGCGATGATGCGCTGTGGGGGCGAAGACCCTGGACTGCGCCGTGGTTGCATATCACCTTCGTCTTTCGCTATATGCTCGACATCATGAATATCATCAACCTCCAAGGAAACCCAGGTCTAAATGGCCAGCTCTGGACTATGCCGCTGGAATTCCGCGGGTCCTGCATCGTTTATATTGCAGTTCTAGGGCTGGCCTTCTGGAGACCGCAGCTTAGACGCATTGCGCTGGCAGCACTGACTGCGTATTGGTTCTACTTTGGACAATGGGACATCTTCGGCTTTTTGTGCGGTCTCTATCTCGCCGAGATGCGAATATTGGCCGCAGGGTCGACGGACGAAGAGCCTAATCTGCCTTTGCATACCAAGGCCATCTGGTCACCGGATCTCAATTTCCGAGGCATCGACTTTGCCACGATCCGAACGATCTTCTGCTTCACCTTCGGCTTCTGGCTCATCTGCCTAAGCGACGACGGCTTCCTACCACCAGGTTACCAATTTCTCAAGTTTTTTGAATCCTCCCGGTGGGAGAGTGACTGGGCAATCATCAGCAAAATCTGGAAAACTGTTGGTTCGCTGCTGGTTGTCTACGCCATTAGCAAATCACCAATGCTCCAACGCCCATTGGATACCCGCCCCATCCAATACCTGGGAAAAGTGTCGTTCTCGCTTTACCTGATCCACCAGACTGTTTACCATCTTGTGCGAGATCCTGTCCGGGACTTCCTTTGGTATGTGGCTACCAGGGAGCCATACCCGGGTACTCTGGAGGCAAGCGAATTTACAGTGCCCTTTGCCTTCTCGTGGCTTGTGGGATTTGCCATTTTGGCTGTCACTAATATCTACGTCGCGAATCTGTATACGAAATATGTTGATGAGCGATGCGTGCAGTTTGCGAAGAAGCTTGACAGGTGGATTACACGGTAGCAGCATCTTTTGGTGACAATAACTCAAGTCTTTTCCGTGCCCTGATATTATTTTCTCATATATGATAGGGTAACCGTATTACAAAATCACACATAATTTGTAGACATTTTATTCATGCTCATGTGGCACTGTTGCGTGTTTGCAAGATAGATTGGAGCAAATGCAACCTTCGACCTTTGAGCCACAAGCTTAATTAGTGCCACACGATGTATCCATTCCAAATATTGATCAACATTATCGAATATCCTCACGTGCTCCTTCAATTCTTTTCATTGAAATCAAGTATTGATAAAGAAAGCTGACATCTCGAGAATCGTTATGTGATAAGTTTGCATTAGTGGAGCAATTGAGGCAGAACATGAGCGCTCAGTGTGATTGGGGGCCAGACCCCTTTCTTAACCTTACAACTCCCGGCGCATCATGTCTGGCTCTCCTGTTATGCTCCTTTAGATATCGTCATAGACGGTAGCCCCTGGTAGACTGAATGCCATCATGTCTCTCGACGCGTAACCCCCACCCACGACCTACACCCAAGGCGGGGCGGTATTCGGCAACTTGACCTCAGACGCGACATCAATATCAGCCAGTATGCGCAAATACTGCGAAATTTACTCGATGTTCTAATTATCATATTTCCCAGACCACATCACGGAAGTTCGACCGCTTGCCGATTCTCTATATCGATCGAATTTAACATTCGTCCGCGCTATTCAACCAAGTCCAAGATAAGACCAGACTGCTTGTTTCGGTTCCGAATGAAACAGAAGAAAACGTATCTCGCCATGTTTAGGACCGGAAGAGTCAAAAAGTTGCCGCGACGCTCCAACAGTGCCGTGAAGTCCTGCTCAAATTCGCCGAAATGAAACAACATTTCGATAAGATGGATACCCAGACCCAGACGACAGGGATCGAATGGGATGGGGTACCGAACTACTGGTTGACATGAAGTCTAGAATGTCGTCATATAGACAGACATTGACTCTGCTGAATATCAATATGACCAAGACGTCGCATGCAAAGATGGAGCGCATGCTAAAGAAATTTATCCATGAAGTCCGTACTGGTGTACGAGATGGATCGACCGTATCGAGTATCGCTGATTCGCACGTGCCAAGCGAGAAAGAAGCTTGGGAAGAGATTCGGAGAGAGCTGCAGAGTGTTGGGATTACGGTCGAGCTGTTCGTCTAGTACCGAGAGTTCATCACCAAAACACTCCGGGATTTCGTTGATCGTGGTGATTTCGCCGGAGATTGTTTGGACAAGTCCAAGGCTTCCCCAGGGTCACCAGTCTCTCATTCCCCTGACGATCGAACGGCTTTGAAAGGCGGTGGGAACAAGATTTTTCTTAATAACCAAAGTTGAGTCTCGAAGCATACGAGCTGAGAGTATCAAGAGCAAGGTTTTGATCAGACTCCCACAAATCCTCAAAAGGCCTAATCGTCGAGCAAAAGTCTTATGCGCGGCTAGTATCAGCAAAAAAGCTCTTATATCGGCCATCAAAGAAGGCAATTAAACCCTCCCGTTTACTTACAGAAGGCGCAGACGTCGATGTCAGATGGGATGACGGGTTGCCTGTGTTGATAACCGCAATAGGCCGCTGGAGTCTGGATCCTACACCACCTGTCCGCCTTCTTTTGGAGTATGGAGCCCTGGACATCCAGTGGGTCTTCACAGAGGCGGCCAAAGGAGGAAAGACCAGAACCGTTCGACTTATTCTGAAACATGGACGCGCTTTGAGCGCAATTGACCCGGGCACTTTAGCCGTTTCATTAGTTCAAGCTGCTGAAGAAGGTCACGCTAAAGTGCTTCGCGTGTTGCTGGATTACGGGACTTTGAATGGAATCGAAGCCCTGGCCACTCCCGCCGAACTTGGACATGAGCGGGTGGTTCGAAATTTTGTCTTGATTGTGGTGAGAATCCCAATATGAACGAGCGGGACCACAGGCACAAAGACGGCTGGCCCCTTTTTATCGCGGCTGCAAATGGGTATACGTCTATTGTCGCCTTGCTGTTGGAGCATGGAATCGAGAATAAGAACGTGGCCTTGCGGAAGGCATCGAAAGGGGGATTTCTTAGCATGGTTCAGCTTCTTCTGGATAAGAAAACTGATGCGGATTGTCTTGATCCGGATGAATATATGGACGCGGACTTGAAAGAGTTCTTGTTTTGCACTTGAAATAGCTCATCCAAAAATAATAGGCAGGTGTTGATGGGCCTCGGGAGGTTCCGATGTCAGAAGCATCGGAAATGGTCAATTGACTTTCCCAAACCTACTAGAATCCAATTCCCTGAATTGTGCTCATAGACAATCCATGCCATAATCCCCGTTGGTGTTACTGTCATAATACATGCAGAATTTAATCATTCGAAAGCAGCCAATTGAAGAAACTGTTTCAGGTAAGATAGTGATATTCATGGCACCAGGGACCGGCGAATGAAGGCGGCACGGGCTTCATTTCCACCTCGATTACCACGCTAGCCCACTGTACCCTAAGGGAAGTGGGGAGGCACGTACGATAACACCTACGGCGTCCGGGTGGTACAAACCCCCAAAGAGCGTGTGACGCGTCTGCCAATGGGTCACACAGACACCCCAGATTCCCCTAGTGCCGCACGTACATACGTAGTACGTATGTAGGTACTGTGTAGCGGACCTGCGGTGTATGTACGTACAGTAAGTTCCAGTGCTGTACTGAGGACATATCTGCAGGCCCAGTTTATATTGACGTGGTGCAGACAAAAGCACTCCCGCTGGTCCCCTTGCCTCCCCCGGTGACACATTCCAGGGTCAACACAACAAAACAGCCACCAGCGTAAACAGGAACCTCGGAGTCGAGAGTTCACATTCCTTCCAGAAACAATGTTGTGGTTGCCGCGTGAATCGAGCTTATCTCCTGCAGGAGAATTATGTTGACCCTGGCCATTGTTTGGTTCGAACCAAGCCCCCTGACTTTGGCCCCCAAAGACATGCGATAGCTCAAGTGCTCGCCTCCCTCCCCGTGCTGGCCCTACGATCAGCGGCGCAGCTCCGGAGTGGATGCGCGACCACGGGCGCCCACTGGCTCGTCGGGCAGGACAAGGTTCCGTCGTGCTGGATCGACAGCTGCTCGTTCCTGGCAAATTCAGTTGCTCGGAAAGACAGTAGATCGTTGCGCCGCGCATGTTGGGCGGTCCAACCACGCCGAGCTGGGGGGAACCACTTGGTCAACGCTGGGCAAACCTGGGCAACACTGGGCAAGTCCTAGGCGACCTGGGCGCTACCTGCGCCCAGAGTTGCCCCTGCCTGGGTCAGAAATTTTTAAGATGAGGTAAATTTCTTTTAGCGATTGTAGCCTGTTCGACTAGCGCCGTGGAGAGCTCCGGTTCGAGAGGGGAATCGCCGTGGCGAACCCGGTCGGGTGTGCGCGCGACTTGCCGCCGGAGACGTGACCAGCCATGGAAGCAGAGTCATAATTATAGCACAAAATGGATGTGAACTTTCTGAACCGCGCAGTGCATTACAGGGTAGGCCCTCGGAGGCAGTCCATGGTATCAAGTGGTACGGTACGGCGCAAGGTAAATGGGGAAACTGATTTTTTCGATTGAGCCAGTGGCTGCCATTGGCACTTCTGCTTATCGGCACAAACACCTGGGGGAAAATGTCTCAGCGGTAGCCACTTGGACTCAGCACTGGACTCTGCCTAATCTCCATTAATGAGAATAATCAAACTCTGTATCAGGCCATGACGTACAAGTTGCAGGCCACGAGGGCGCGATAGCAACTGCATAGCATGGGTATACTACCCTAGGGTAATGTAAACATGGACCTGCCATGCCTCGAGCGATCATCACTCCCCCAGAATGAGAGTCCACGTCAATCCCGATCTCTCAGATCCTGCACGGAATATGGAAATATGCCACCACTTACGGTAATCGCAGGTAATCCCCAAGCGGGCACAGACTCCGGGGTGGACCGGTGGAGCTTCAATGGTCTGCTCTTTTGTACATGGCCGCCCCCATTCGGCGCGTGTGATTGGCGCTGGGCAATCAGGGTTCGCCCAAAACGGCTAGCCTCACCCGCTCGATCCCTGGTTTTGTGACGACCCTTGCCCTCCAGGTATGTAATCCCAGTACCGTCACTATACCATCAGCACCAAACTCACTACTTGACAGTCACCTTCCCCCCTCCCTTTTCTTTCTTTCACCAACGCCAAACGCAGTTCCTGCTCTCGTTCGACCTTTTTTATTATTCTTTTACTAATTCCCGCAGTTCGCTCGTTTGTCTGTGGTGTTTCAAATCCTCCTTCTTTGTACATTCTGCGGCAATTCGCACATACCCACCAGCCACATTATCCCCGTACATAATCTCACACAATGGTCCGTTTCGTGACTCCGCTCCTGGCCCTGTCGGCCACCGCTTGGGCTGCCGCCTCGTGCAGCACCAGCAGCCAGTGTCCCGAGGACAAGCCTTGCTGCTCCCGTGAGTAACCTCCTCTGCGACTATGTGCGATTCGGGTGACACCGCGACCATGAAACTGATCGCCACTGCCAACAGAATATGGCGAGTGCGGTACTGGCGCATACTGCCTCGGCGGTTGCGACCCCCAGTCCTCTTTCTCGACTGAGTCCTGTGCCCCCATGCCCGTCTGCGAGAACAAGAGCTACACCTGGGACAATGACGACAATGTTGCCCTGAACACCAAGTACCTGGGCAATGCCTCCGAATCCGATTGGACCTACAGCGGTTTCCCTAAGTACGAGGACGGCAACCTGATCATGACCATGCCCAAGAACAGCGTCGGAACTCTCTTCGCCAACAATCACTACATCTGGTACGGCAAGATCTCCGGCAAGATCAAGTCCTCCCGCGGCCAGGGTGTCGTGACCGCTTTCATTCTGCTGTCCGATGTCAAGGACGAAATCGACTACGAGTTCGTCGGTGCCGATCTGGCTAACGTGCAGACCAACTACTACTGGCAGGGTGTTCTGGACTGGCACAACAGCGGCAACGCCTCCGTCGACGGCGGTGACACCTTCAATGACTGGCACACCTACGAGATCGACTGGCAACCCGAGCAGACCCAGTGGATCGTCGATGGCGAGGTCAAGCGCACCTTGAAGAAGTCCGACACTTGGAATGAGACCGCCAACCGCTACCAGTACCCCCAGACTCCCGCCCGTCTGCAGATGTCTCTGTGGCCCGCCGGTCAGGCCAGCAACGCCCAGGGTACCATTGACTGGGCTGGTGGTGAGATTGACTGGGACAGCGAGGACATCAAGGACAAGGGCTACTACTACGCTACCATCGGTCAGGTCGACGTGACGTGCTACTCTGCCCCCGAGGGCATCTCCACCTCCGGCAACACCTCCTACATCTACACAAGCGACACCGCCCTCCAGGCCGATGTCGCTATCACCGGCAACGACACCGTTCTGGGCTCTCTCGGCGCCACTGGTCTGGATATGGACCTCGGTGCCGACAGCAGCAGCAGCGCCACCTCCTCTGGCAGCGACAGCGTCCCCACCAGCAGCGGTGGTGGCTCTGGTGGCATGTCTGGCGACAACGCTTCCTCTTCCAGCGGCTCCGGCAGCTCGACCTCTAGCAGCAGCGGATCTGCTGCCACCACCTCTGGCTTTGACCAGGGCACTGACACTAACGGTGCCCCTGCTGTGAACGAGCGTGCCCTGCGAGGATCGCTCTTCGCCGTCCTGGTGGCTGTGGTCGTTCTTGTGACCCTGTAAATGTACTAAGATGTTTTTTTTTTTTTTTCTGCTCTTTCACTCCGTTGCACAAATTTGTCTCATTCTCTTGATACTCTGCATATCGAGTATTTTTCTCTTCTCCTTCATGTCTTTTTGCGAGTCCCCGCTTCTTGACTGTCCTCTTTCTTGAACAAACCTAATGAACACCATCGTTGGCCGTTGTACCTTTTCCTTCCTCATTTTCTCTTTGACGGGTTGTCTATGTCCTCAATATTTTTATGTCCTTCTGAATACCTCGGCGTTTTTCTCGACCACGGTCGCGCTATATCTCACTACCTTCTCGTTTCTGATGTACTTCTACTCCCCAGCCACAGGGGCTTTCCATTCCCTGCACATGTTTGTGGAGATATGGCGACTCGACATCCCCTGTTCTAGATCTGTGATGATTGGCGGTCTATCTCAATTGAAATCCTTCTCGTTTAACTCCTTCCGCTCCACTTTACCCCGCCATAGTCCCCATATAATGGAGTCGATCTTTAGCAGGGTTTTATTGATATGCAGGGGTATTACCTCGAGTGGATTTCTGCACGGGAAGGTCTGCTCTGGTTGGATGTCGTATTCGGCCCCTGCAGCACGACCTCCCCAGGCCCCCGCTGTTTCATCCGCTCCGCTCGTATTCGATTTCACGTGGAGGCTGAATTTGACATATTTGTCGATATGCCGCCTGGTTCGTACTGGGGTGCTGAAGGTAGGTTGTGGCGCTGGCCCACGGTTTGGTATGCTTAAGCCACTTACCCACTGGGGTTTATCTTAAATAACCTAATCGAGAGGGCGATGGAGTGATCCAAATTTACTATTCGCAAGCTTAGGCTTTGGTTTGGAGAATCAGCTGGACCGGGAGGGTTCGAGGTGCCTTGTCAAACGAGCATTTACTGACATCATGGATACTAAGCTCCTGGACGTATCTCAGCGTATATGCTACTTTACAGCTATAGTAATGATGTCCTTCTTGGTGTCACTTTCATTTTACTGATCTCTTTTCTGTTTCTTCTTGTTCACTGGTTTTTGTTGCTCCAAGGGTTTGAATTTAAGCCTATCTTTGGCAGTCATGCCGGTCAGCGTGTCAGTCATATTGAATGATCGTTAGTATAATTTGAGTCCTTGCAAAGTGCTCGAGATAGACCATCGGTTTGATTCATAATATTGTCATAAAATTTTGGTCTTAATAAGAAGGGCCGTTTCGTATAACTATCTGACTGGATCTTTGAGGAGAGACTAAGTATTGAGGCCGCATATCTCTATAGCTTTGGGCCCGAGCAAACTCTTGTAGGTAGTATACTATTTTACTGAAACTGACTTTTGTGGATTTGGATTCTGAGTGCCATTTATGGTATTTGTGATATTTGTGACTCTGAGGTGGCCTTTGTGCAGATGCAGGTCCACGGAAGCGTGCAGAGTGATGCGGAATTTTGCTAGAGAACATCAACACTACCTTACAGTAGTGTAAGGTATGGTTGTCATTCACAAACGTAACTTCAAATCCCTCACCTCCATCGTCACCTCTTCTTGTTACCATTTCCCTCTTCCTTGAGTACTACAGTTACCATCATTCACATTAGCTCCTCCATACCAGTGGTAAGGGTTGAAAATACTACCTTAGAGAGCTGCTGCCGGTTAGTACCATATCTCCATATCTCATCCAGTCTCTCAAAGTTCTCGGCGTTGCAACAGTGTAAGCCCACTAAGCCACTGAACACTAGCCAAACAGAAGCGATGTGTCTCTTCGTGGGCCACCTCTACGCCGGTCTCCACATGCATTTCCAGCTCTACTTATTCTGCCCTGAAACCTTATACCAACTGAATCGCATCAACGACCCGACCCAGCGAGAGAAATATCTCCTACCCTTTGACCCTGACCTCCCAGGCTGTAAGCCCTACTTCCCGAAAGACATGTTTGGCTTTCCAGACACAGGAACTGTAGTTGCTGGAAACCTGAAGCATCTGCCTTGGACGAATATCGAGAGGTGGCATGTCAATTTGGAGGAATACTGCTCTACTTGCGAGTACACCGACCAGACAACGGCTCACAGCTGAAGACCGGTGGGATATCGAGCGAATTGATGGGAGGGAAGGACTGGTTGGGTTTGTGCGTTGTTCGCAACTGAGGTGGGCGGCTGCTTTTGCTTGAACTACAACGTTGTGTCTGGTGTCATGGGAGGCTGCTGAGCTGTTGTCTGATGTGATTTATCAATTAAACCGAAAAGGACTATGAGCTTCGAACGACTATCCAAGATTGTGTATCAAATATGTTGAAGTAGATGGAATGCGCCAGTATCCCGAAACGCCTATTCTGACAGACTGAGGCCCCGAAAGTATAAAAGAATATGCATCATTTAGTGAAGACCGCCACATCCACAGTCTGTGAGAGAGCGCTTCCTAAAATCGTGGTGGTAGGTATCCAGTCCATCAACTCGCACATCAGAGCCAAGAGGGTCACCCATCCAGCTGTACTTCTCCAAATCAGGAGACTCCTCCGCATCTGTCGTCCAGTAGGCGGAAGACTGGAGACGCTTAGTAACAGCACCGACGTCGAGGTCGAGATAGTCCGCAAGGAAGTTGCCAACTTCGATGTTCTCGTGGTTTCCTGTCAATGGCCAAGCGTTCTTGGCGGATGATGCGTAAATGTTGACATCGGCAGCTGAAAGGTAATGTTAGAGCACGTAATACATCAACTTGCATTAAAATCTTCTTACCTGAGTGCCCGTGGGTGGACCAGCCAATCTGTGCCCGACGGCTAATCATGTCTGCGAAGACATATTGTGTAGAGACGTCGGGTTTGATCAGAGACTCAATCTCCTCGTCCGAGGCATCGACGATACCCAAATCTTGCTTCAGAATGGTATCGCGGATATAAGCAGCCTTCTCCTTATTGCCCTTGTCTTTTCCTTCGCCAGATGTGTACGCATTCAGCTTATTACCAGCATATTCGCTGGAGTGCTTGGCATTGGCCAGGACACGCGGGTACCAGAGGTAATCAGGGTAGCTCTTGTGTAGTTGTCGAGCAGCCGCCAGACCTCCAGTCTCGTGATCGGATGTACTCACAACCACGCCAGGGGTGGAATCCTTTTCAAGGAAGTCGAGGACAGCAGCGAATGCCTTGTCATAGGCCAGAACCTCATGCACCTGGGCAGCAGGGTCGTTGCCGTGGCCGGCATGGTCAATGCGAGAGCCTTCAATCATAACGAAGAAGCCCTGATCGCTATCCCGAGTTGCGTCACTCAGTGCAGTCAGCGCGGTACGAGTCATCTCCTCAAGAGATGGGTAGACATCATTCTGGTGACGACGATCGACCTCGTAGGGAATGTCCTTGTCGGCAAAGAGACCCAGGAGCGGCAGCTTGACTTCTGTGCCGCCATTAAGGGCATCAAAAGCGGTTCGATTCTGCAGATAGTGAAATCCATTCTTCGAGGCCAGGTCCACAAGATCTCGGTCATCGCCTCGGCAGCTTCCCTCCGTGGAGTTGGCCAAGAAATGGCAACGTCCACCACCCATCATGAGATCGACAACTCGGCCCAGAGGGTGCTCGCCGACCTCTTGTTGAGCAATGCTATCTTCATATTGTCGCAGGTTGGCGTGCGAGGCAAAGCATGCCGGGGTCGCATCCGTCAGGCGGGTTGTCACGACGAGTCCAGTCTTATATCCTGCTAGGGCAGCGGCTTCAAGAACAGTTCCGCATGGCGAGTGATCCGGAAGCACCGAAATAGCTCCGTTATAGCTCTTGTATCCACACGAGAATGCCGTCGCTCCAGCCGCGGAGTCCGTCACCAAGCTGTTGCTCGATCGTGTCCGGGACTGGCCGATGTGATGCTTGTCCAAAACCAGGGTATCGTCGATGGGAAGGCCTTCTGTGTATTGACGGAAGCTTCGTGTCAAGGAAAGACTGGTAGGCCCCATTCCATCGGACACCATGAAGATCAGGTTGCGTTTGCCAGTAGGTTTGTCCCCAGGGCCCCAGCTATCCTTCGGTTGGTGTTGGCTCTTGGATGCCTCATGCTGATACACAACGGCAAGGACAATAACGAGGATTGTAGCGATAAGTGCCCAAGCAAACATTCCAATTTCCCTCCAGAACCGCCAGCCACGTCGAGGCTCTTCCCTGCGCCCTGTGGCTTCCCCCGTCAGGAGGGCATCTTCCTCCTCGGCATATCGGATCGAGGATCGTTCGGAAGATTGACGCTGTGCCAGAAGAGGCTCTTCCCGCGACATTATGATTGGTGACGTGGTTGTCGAGAGCTCCGAGTCACAGCACTTGAACTCCCCCGAAAGTGTGGAGTCGCGGATCAGGATGGGAACGGACGGGAGGGGAGATCAGATCGTGCCAGGGTCAGCTGAGATAAGATAGACCCCTGTCACATGACCATCATAGGGACCATCTACTCTCGCGAACTGAAGTACCAAAGCTGAAACATGAATAAAACACTAATGTACATAGATGGTAAATTTCTCGCTGGGAATAAATCAATCACTAATCTATTTTATGACCGCCCCTTCCATCCACTGGGGATCATCGCCGCAGCGACCTCCGAAACACCCCGCTCCGTAGCCAGCAGATTGAACTGCCCAGCCGCATTCCGCGTATCCTGAACCTCCACCCGAATACCCAAAGCATTAATATGGCGCTTAGTCTCGGGTGACAAAGGCATGGTGTTTTGGCCGAGGCCGAGAATCATGATATCTGTGCGGACGGTCAGCAAATCAGGAATTCTTCAAAGTTTCGCCTCAACTTTCTAAATTTGGTAACACAGGCAAAAACCAAGCCCATATGACCTGATCCACCACATTTAAGGCTGACCCATGACCAGTTTAGTCAAACTCACGTACCTGGACGAGGCCACACGACACTCAACAGTCCCCACACCTCCTCCGGAACTTCGAACTGGCCCTTAGCGTTGACCATCGCTGCCTTGGCCGCGCGGTCGTTCTCCGCACCCTTAATAGCCTTCCAAGGTCGCCACAAGAATGCCTCGCCACCAACCAGGAGCAATGCGTCGCCGTTTCGAACTCTCTGGCCGTTGCTCAGATCGAAGCCAGTATCTAGCGTGGCGTCAATGGCGGCGGCAGGTGCAGGAGCGCCGCCCAGCACATCGAGAGCGCCAAAATCCGTCGTGGTATCTTCGTCAGACTCCGGGCCACGGTCTGTGCTGGTAGGTTTGTGCGTATGGGACCGCGAAACAAGACGCGATGGACGGCTGTACGAGCTGTTGTTACGGTGGGTGGTTCGGATCGAAAACGCCGAGCCCATGGCAAGACATGGCGACGCACGAGGAAACCGGGATGTGCTAGTGCGGAGGCTGGCGGAGTTCGAAACACCTGAGAGTGAAATGCGCAGGGCGCGTAGAAGCTGGGACGAAGGAGAATGCATTTCTGGTTAGATGTGATGGTGTCTGGTGTGGTGGAATAATGATGGGTTCGTCATGCGAAAAAGCCGGGCGGAGACGAGGTTCGAGGAAAGTAAAAGCTGCCGGGCTTGGCACCACGTCACGCTCGATCCCTGCAAGGTACGACACCCTTCAACTACCAGTACTAAAACTTTTAATTCATCAATTTCAAAAGTATAGCAATTATTGAATGTCCTTTGTATTAATGTGTCCGTCTCGGCGGCCCTAGTGATTAATCTAGTTTTTTTTTATTTCCACGTGTCCCCGACCAATCGTGCACCAGGTTGATATGAAACAGGGACAAGGACCATGTCATTCGCGTCGTCAGTTCCGAACGCCAGAAATTGCAAAGAACGGATCAGAAAGAGAAAAAAAAAAGAAAAGAAAAGAAAAGAGAACAAGATTCCAGGCACCGTTGAATAAAAAAGACCCGAAAGACGTAGGAGAAGGGGAAGGGTCTGCAATAACAGCACCCGATTTCATGCCGTCCCAGCTGTTTTGGAAACACATTACATCCCCAGACTTTTTCGGTTCCCTCGGTCAAAAAGAATATTGGAAAATCGTATGCACACATCGAAAGTTAAAATCGCGAGGGGGTGGTCAAGTGATTGCAATTCGAGTTGCCTGTACAGACCATCGACAAATCTAGTGAGCGGGTCGGGCGCAATTTCGGTCCTCATCTGACTGGCTAGAGCTGTCGTCGCTGTTAGTTGCGTTGCGAATACGTTCCGCACGATCCTGAAGCACTTGGGCCTCTGCGGCAGCCTTCTGCGCCCGAATTTGCTTGCGCCACATGCTGGCATAACGACCCTTCATGGCCAGAAGCTCCTCGTGAGTGCCGCTCTCAGCGACTTGGCCATCCGACAGGACCAGGATGCGATCCGCGGTTGTGATTGTGCTCAGGCGATGAGCGATCACAAGCATGGTCCGGCCGTGAGAGAGCGTGGAAAGAGCATGCTGGATGTGCTCCTCGGTGTCGGTGTCAAGAGCTGCAGTAGCTTCGTCGAGAAGGATAATCCGAGGGTTCTTCAGAATAGTGCGCGCAATGGCCACACGCTGCTTCTCGCCACCACTAAGTCGGAGGCCACGCTCTCCGACCTTCGTATTGTAACCGTCAGGGAACGCCATGATCTTGTCATGAATACTGGCGGCGCGGCAGGCCCGGTAGACGTCTTCGTCGGTAGCATCCTGGTTGGCATACTTCAAGTTGTACATCAGGGTCTCGTTGAAAAGGACTGTGTCTTGCGGCACCACACCAATGTGCTTGCGAAGAGAGTCGATGGTGATGTCCTGGACGTCTTTTCCATCAACACGCAATGAGCCCTTCTCGGCATTGTAGAAGCGGAACAGGAGCCGGAAGACTGTCGATTTACCTCCGCCAGACTCTCCCACCAAAGCAGTAGTAGTTCCCGGTTCACAGCGGAATGTCAGTCCGTTCAAAGCGGGCTTTCGCACATCGTATGAGAATTCGACATTATCAAAGCTGATGTCACCCTTGCACTTGAACAATGGGGTGGAACGGGGGTTGTCGACCACCGTAGGCTGCTCTCGGAAGAGCTCCAGCATACGCTCGGCATTGATCAGGGCCGATTGAATGGAACGATAGAAAGTACCAAAGAAGTTCAGAGGGCCTTGAAGTTGAGCCATGTAGGTCAACAAGGACACGAAACGGCCCACCGGCTGCTGGCCAGTTGCAACCTGGTAGGCGGCAATGAAACAGGTGAGTAGGAGGCCGAGCATGAAGACCGTGTTTTGGGTAGTGTTGAGTAACGTCAGGGAGAATAGAACGTGATATTCGGCGCTTTGGAAGTCACTAACAGCCCCACGGTATCGGTTGAATTCATATTGTTCCGCGTTGAAATACTTGACTGTTTCGTACGAAACCATTGAATCATTTCTAGAAATGTAAGTCATTTGTTCCAGGCGCCAAAGCTCCACAAATTACGTTGAACGAGAAGCATATACTTACTTGACGGCGTCCTCTTGTCTCGAGGCATTGACCATTTGTCTTCGGATCTCTGCTCTCCACTGTGCCATGCGGACAGTGACATAAAGATAACCAAATGTCGAAATTCCGACGACGAGGGCGTAGTATACATCAAAAGCAACCAGGAAGTATATGATTGCAATGATTAGATCAACCAACATAGGGACAACTTGAAACGTGATCTGTTCCAAGAATGTGTTGATAGAGCTTCCCTTGCTCAGCGCAGAAAGCACCTCGCCGGTCTTCTTGCCCAGATGGAAGTCCAGGCTTAGGCCATGCACGTGCTCGAACGCGGCCGTGGAAAGCTCCATGTAGGAATACTGGCTGACAGGGATCCATAGACTGGAGCGTAGAGAGCTCAGCAAGCCTTGGCCGCCCTGAAGCCACCTGAAAAGGACATACATGGATATTTCGAGCCAGGGAACGCGGAAAGTGTTCAGATCTTGCTGCTTGGCCAGCGCAGTCGTAATAGCTCCGACCTGGATCGGGACCAGAACGTTTACGATGCGCTGGAGGACCAGCAGAACGAAACAGGCTACGACGACAATCTGAAGGCGACGAGATTTGGAGGGCCAAAGATAGGGGAAGAATAGAGAGTAGCCACTCAGATACTCCCACCAGCTCGTGGACGGCATGGTGGTGGGCCGTACCCAGGGATCTTGGGGCTTCGCTTCGGGGCGTGCAGCCCCATTTGTTGAGCCATAGGCATGTCCATTAGCGTGACCATTCTCGGCGCCTGAGGAATCGAGCAGTCCGGTGGTTTCGGAGGCCCCATTCGCCCCACGGTGTGTCTGTCCACCATGGCTCTTGAAGGTGAAGGAGTTGCAGGTGTAGAGCAGGACGAGAGCGAAGAGAAGAAGAATCCGGACACTGTTGGAGACAACTTCCATGCTCTCCCAGAAAGTGATAGTCCGGCGGAGCGGACCGCCGTCAGGATCTCCCACGGTGGGCTCATGGTGGACGGAGGTGTAGAAGGACAGGGAGGTGGTAAGGATAACGATTTCGATAGGGATAGCGACGGACCAACACACGAGTTGAGCGGGCGTTGGGGATGGGGTGGTATCGAGTAAGGTCATCAGAATGACCGCATAGTCGAAAAAAGAACCGACGATGTAGATCTGCGATGAGGTGGGTTAGCATTGATATTTTTGGGCCGGCAAATTTCGCCTGCAGGAATCCCCCGGGAGCAGGGCTTAGACGGACGTACCACCACCGACTGGCCCCGCCACCATTGTTCAGATCGGGCTACCATCACATGGACGACGTAGATGGTCGCATCGGCGAGGAAGGTGAGGAGGACGGCGGCCGAGAGCCAGTTGAAGCACAGCTTGACGGTGCGCGAGAAGGCCTGCGTCTTCTTCAATGCCGAGTCGCTGCGGGACCGTCTGGGCAGGGGACGACCCCCGGGGCCGACATTCTGGGCTTCCTGGCGGTTGGCCTTGCGGGCGACGACCATCGTGTTGGCCACGAAGGCCACGACGAAGAGAACGAGGAGCAGGATCGGGTAACATGTGCGCAGGTACTCCAGCAGCTCGCGAGCTGCCTGGGGATCCATGGCGAACTCGAGTGACACTTCCCCGGTGAAGAAAAAGAAAAGAAAGACCGATTCAGACGATTTCCATGACACGAGTGTCCCCGACGATCCGGAAGGGAGGAGGGAGGTGGACGGTTTCGGGATCGGAAGGACGGTGGCCAAAAGGATCGACGCGAGGAATGCGACGGACGCGGGGAGCAGAATTGTCTTCGGTTTTCGGTGCAGCCGGTTCACGTTTCACGCAAATCGGAGCTTTTTTGGTTTGGGGATTGGGATGACTTTTTTTAGTTCTAAGCGAATCAACGTTGGTTATTGTTGGTAGTGATCTTTCTTTTTGCTTTTTTGGGGTCTGCTGCGCGTGGATTCTGGGGCTTGGGCAGGGCACAGTCTGGAATTGGAGGCTTCGGCCGTGTATTTCTTGTTTTGGCTCTACTAGGGGGGTTCGGGGAGCGAATTGCCCACGTCGAAGTGGTTCCAGTGGCGAATTCCAAGAAATCACTTCGTCCGGCCCTCCAGGTGTCGAGGTGTGTATAGCACGAAGAATGACGGTGTGGATGCAGGCTGCAGCTACCGGGGTCCACTTGGGCTTGAGGGGGGTGGGTGAAGGACACTCACCAGCTTCAACCCGCCTTTTTATAGCCCGACCATGAGCATTTGTGGTCTCCCGATGCAAATGTTTGCCCTTGTCAAGCCGCGTCCGAACCTAAATGTGATGCTCCGAACAAAGTCCTAGGAGTCGGTCGTTGTAGTTTGTGCCCGATGGACCGGGTTGGAATGTGAGGATCCTCCTGTTGCGTAAGGTACGATCTCGACTCGGCGGGACTTTTTGGAGCCACCAGCACGACACACAACCGTAGGATACCCCGGGGTCATGCAATAACCTAGGACTAAAATATTTGATGCAATATTGTATAAGCACTCAAAGACGCTTTACCCGTGTTGAATGAGGAAAGGGAAGAGAAGGGAGTAAGAGAGTGTAACGGGCCGCGTGCTCGTGATATATATAGTTCCATTACACATTGCATCATGACGGCGACGACCACGCCCTGATGATTCCAGCTCAGATGTTCTGGCGATCAGACATCGACTCCGATCTAGATTCGAGCAATGTGCGACCCCCGGCGTCTTGACTGCAATCTGAGCTCCGATGGACGCCGCTGATACGCTGCACGAACGAGCCTACACTAGTGTAAGAGGGACGGTACTTGCTGGGCCAGACGCCTCACAGGTGCATCCCCCGTCGATTTTAACTTTGTTTCTCAGGGGCGAAGTTCATGGCCACCGCGTGGATCGGCCATCATTGGACTCCCGCGCATCCGGCAGTGTGAGACATGAAGCAATAGCACCGAGCTGGTATACATGCTGAGGCACATACTTAGTAACAACGCGGAGCAGCCGGCGACCTGACAATCCGACGACCTGACAGCCGCTCTGACGACACCCTGCAGACAAACTGTCCGATTTGCAAATTGGCAAATGCTGCAAGTTGCGACTGCAAATCTGCAAATTGGATGACTCTGAATCGCTGTGCTGGCCTCCAGACCGCTCCATGCCCAACCGGCGCCCAAGACCGACAGGGAAAAAGGCGACTCCTCCACGACCTCGGCCTCACCGCTTGCGCAACCACCCTCTCCATCCCACACCTCTTCACGTCAACTGGTCGTGTGCCCCCCATGGCCACCTGGTGAGCAATGTCGGACCTTCCAGGGTCACGGTCACGCTCGCCGGCCCCTCCTCCGCCGCCGCCGCCGACGCAGAAGTACTCGCGCGCCGCCAACGCGCTGGCCCGCTTTGCTCAACCCTTCTTCTCCGGATCCCGACCCCCCAGTCCGCAGAGCAGCCGAGTGGATGGTCCCCGACCGATCAGGTCAAAATCTCTGTACGTGTTGCATGCACTTTCACACCGCTCGTGCCTCAGTTCGAGTACGAGTCGGCCTCCATTCTGATCTCTCTCATCCTTTACCCTAAGCCACCCCCTCATGTCCGCGCTCCCGCTGCTGCCCGTCCGCCAGATCGGCTTCCCACTCGATTATCGGACGGGGAACTAAACCCTCCCAAGATCCCAGAATGAGATCGACCAATGGTATGCTAATCGATTCGCATCAGTCCAGGAGAACCGCAGACAGTCACTCACCGAACCGGCATCCCCATCGCCGCCCTCGATATCTCGCCGCAGCGGACACATGCGGTGATTGGTGGCAAGGACATACTCAAAACCATCCGCGTCTCGCCTGACCATTCGTCGGAGGAATTTAATATTCGCAACACGGTCATCAGCTATGCATCTACCCACCACGACGCCGGCGTGTCAATGCCGCACAAGGATCAGTTGAATGTCAAGGACGTCAAGTGGTCACATGGCAATTACGACCGAATAATCGCCACGGCTGTCGCCAATGGCCGCGTCGTCGTTTACGACCTGCAGCGGCCCGGCCTCCAATTATGTCGCTTCCAGGGCCACAACCGCCAGGTTCACAGACTCACCTTCAACCCCTATTTCGCCTCTTGGCTTCTCTCCGGCAGTCAAGATGGTACCATCCGGATGTGGGATCTACGATCCGCCTCTGCGAATCGGGGGCCTTCCACGTGCGGCAGCAAGCATGTCTATCAGGGCAATAGCGATGCTATCCGGGACGTCCGGTGGTCGCCCACCGACGGCGTCGTGTTTGCGACCGCTTCGGACAGCGGCGCCATTCAGATGTGGGATTGGCGCAAGGTGAACGCCCCGCTCATGAGGATTGCGGCTCACGATCGCCCGTGTTTCGCCGTCGACTGGCACCCTGATGGGAAGCACATCGTCAGCAGTGGTACAGACCGCCAAGTCAAGGTCTGGGATTTCTCCTCCTCTGCGGAGCGCCGCCAGAAACCTGCATTCCAGTTCCGGACCCCCCAGGCCGTCACCAATGTCCGTTGGCGACCTCCTTCCTGGGTAGGCGACTCGCCCGCCTCGGGCGAGTGGCAATCCTCCCAGATCGTGACGGCTTACGACAAGGAAGACCCGCGCATCCACTTATGGGATCTCCGTCGCCCGCATATGCCCTTCCGGGAGTTTGACCGATATGACGCCCCGGCCACGGATCTGCTTTGGCATTCCAAGGACCTGTTGTGGACCGTCGGGGAGGCTGGGGCCTTCACCCAAACCGACGTCCGCTACTCCCCGACGTTGGTCAAGCGCCGGCCGATGTGCTCGGTTGCCTGGAGCCCCAATGGCGAGTTTGTGGCCTTTGGCCAAAGGCGGCCGAGGCGACAACCACTGAATGTCAACCCTGCCGAACCGATTACTTACGATGAGGACCAATTTAGCACCGGTGAGAAATCACTTAGCCAAAGCCCGATAGACGACATCCTAGACGAAGCCGCTCTTGCTTCGTCATTACGCAGTCGGCAAACCAAGCCCTTCACGACGATCTCGACCTCCAAATCACTGGGCAACACCCCTCCCGGAGTCGGGGACAGCATCCCTGTCCTCGACCTCGAACAAGCTTTAGCCAAGATCTCCACGCCCCTTCCTAGTCAGGCTGGCGCGATCGGGAGCATCCCCGGTGCTACGAACGATGCATCCCTCTTCCGATTCTTGGCACAAAATTACTCGCCGCTCATAAACGAAAAAACCCATAATCTCCAAGCAAATGTTCTGAATTCTTTGATAGAGTCCCTCGATCATAATGCGGAACGTGCTGATGAGGTGGCTCTCCCCAAATTGGCTCAAACCTGGCGCATCGTCAAGTTCACCATTCTGCAAGAGCTTCAACGTAGATCGAGAGGGCAACCTGCAAGCAGGGGCGGGGGTACTCTCAAGACGAAATCTTCCAAAGACGGATTGCTGTCGGAGAAAAACCGGCCGGTGGATGAAAACAGGCAAGGCAAGGTTAAAAGCCGACTCTTCAAAGGAGTCATTGAGACAGAAGGCCAGAAAGGACTCACGCCTGAAGCCGAAAGCACGTCGAACATGACTACACCATTGGCGCAGCCATTGCCGGATTCGCCTATGGACTCCTGGTCGGATAGTGACTCACTGACCCCTTCGATAAACGACAATGCGGCCGACCTCGACCCTCTTCCCCCGTCTGTTTTAAGCTCTAATAACGGCTGGGGAATGTCCGATCCCGAAGCCCGCCTACCCATGCCACTTCAGCAAGGACAGTCCGCTACATCTAGCGAGGGAATGCTTTCTTCCAGTCACGCAATTGACTATTTGCGCGACCCCGGACAGACAGATCCGCATAGCGATCAAAGATCAGCACCTCGAGCCATTGCAGGCAGAGCAGACTGGCGTTCGCGGCGTCCTCCAGAGTTATTACGCGAAGCACCCGAAGATGACTATGATCAACAAATGGAAGACAAACGTGCGGCTATTCGGGACTTTAAACAAACCCCCAAGAAGGTCTTGACGTTGGGTTCCCCTATCGGTTCTAACCGCCCACCCATGGAGCGTTACCATCGCCACGATTCCTCGGAGAGTTTTCCCATGTTCTCCGCGTCGACTGACAGCTCGCATCCTTCCAAATCCATTGGTGCCTCGTACTCCTCTAATGGTCAGTTTCCCGACCGTCGAATGTCAGATGGTGGTCAAGCTGGGTCTTTCAACGGCGGCCGGCTCGCCTCTTCTGCAAGACGAGAGTCCAACCTCGAACCCGCCCAAGAAGAACCCGAAGACGATCTGGAAATTGACGATTTGACTTTGGAAAGTGCTGGGCTTCACTTGGAGAGACCATCTAGCCCTGCTCCGCTGATAAAAGAATCGACTCCCCTCGAACACCAAGACCACGACGGAAACTTTCAGTCCTCGAGAAACAACCTCTCCGCCAATACAGCTGTGTACCCGGCAATCGCTGGAATTTACGAAGATCTTTCACAAGTGAAACTCCCGCTTATCCCTGACACAGCAGACCCCAAACCATGGAGTATCGAGGCCATCCTGAAGGAGGCAGTGCGCTATTATCACAGCAGCAGTAGCTCCGTGGACATTCAAACTGCTGCTCATTTACTCCACAAGTTCCACATTCTCTTCGAGGACTGTGAGGATATTCTTCCATATGAAGAATGTGAAATGGTCTTTAAAGCTTACAATGAAGCACTTGTTCGCCATTCGTTGGACTTGGAGGCTGCAGAGCTTCGCCTGTCATGCGTTGCAAAGTATCCCGCCGTTTATGACTATGCTCAAGCAGACACTTTCATCAACGCCTTTTGCCACTCCTGTCAACGGCCATATGAAAATCCCGTGCGTGACAACACGCGCTGCCATCGTTGCAACACACCGCAGTCGCCATGCTCGATTTGCTCTAGCATCGACCCGCCTGCTGAGTGGGTTAGAGCTCAATCCCAGGAACCAACCATCCAAGTACAAAACAACGCATGCCCCAATCCAGATGCCGACACCATTTCACGCCTCTCCTCAGAGTCCTCAGTTCTCACTGAGCCCGTCCCAGCCAATGAGCCCGATTCACTCGAGTCTTTCACTACCCCTAGACCCCAAGGCTCCGCCCTTTGGTCATGGTGCCAAGGCTGCGGGCATGGCGGCCACCTAGCTTGCATCACAACCTGGCTCGGCGATCTTTCTATGAGCGAAGGCGGCTGTGCAACACCTGGCTGCTTACACGACTGTGGACCAGGCTTCCGTCGCGAATTCAACCGCCAGGTCTTTCTTACTGAATCCAAGCGTCGTGATTCCGCCAGCCGCTCCGCTGGCGTCGGTCTCGTGAAACGCGATCCCTGGTCCAAGGGCGAGAGTAAAGCTGTCGAGAAAGTCCGCGGTATGCTCGGTGCTGCAGGAGTCGCTGCTGCGACAGGGGGAAACGGTACTGTTTCCAATGCTTCGGGCACCAATTCTGCCGGGCAGAGTGCCCTATCTTCTGGTGCGGTCTCGCCCAAGAAGGTGAGACTTGTCACACCTGTCGAGCAAGGCAGGCGAAGAGCTGCGCCTAGTCGGGCTAGTAGTGGTGCGGCGAAGGAGTAATTGCGGTATCAACTTGATGGGATCGGGGAATTCTACGAGTACCTACTAGGTAAGGGAAAGAGAATGCAACCGTTCTGATTGTTGCAGACTAACTTAGAAGCTTTTGTAATTTATCAATCTCATTTTTAGGAAGTAACTGGCGCATGGTTTTGGTCGGTTTACTCTTTAGCGATTTGTTTCAGGTTCTTTTTATGATTGGGCCTTTTGCTTTTTTTATTCCCCCTTGTCGAGAGACAGTTCCAATTTACTTCAATCTGGATACCTTGAAATGATACTTGAAAGCTCATATCCAAAAATTCTTATATACATCCACTTAACTATGATAGATCCAATCAAAACCTCCGCTTCTTCTTCGCAGGAGCTTTACTCTGAGCCTCCAGCTGCCGCTTCAGTTCTTCCCGTCTCCGCTTTGCCATCTCCTCTTCTGTTTCCGCAGACTCGGGAGCAGCCTTGGTGGGTGGCTTTGTAGGTTTCTCGTTAATTGGAGATTCTCTGATCGGCTTCTTCGGAGTCGGTTCTTCCTCTTTAGGTGGAGGTTGCTGATCAGGAGAGAGTGTAGAAGGGGCAGGCGGAGAAGTTTCTTTGCGTTTTGCCTTATTCTTCCCGCCTATTACTCCGAGCTTTGAAGACATTTTTGTCTTAGCTGGTGATGGAGCTGGGTCGTTTCTGGCTGGACTTGATGTGTCTGGTGTTGGGTCTTCGGGTGAAGATGGTGGATATTGCTTTTCCTCGGCTTTCTTTTTCTTGCCTCCAATGATACCCAGTCTTCCCATTGCCTTTTTGGGTGGCGGTTTGCCACTAGTGGACGCATCGGACTTTGGCGAAGGGGAGCTGCTTGGTATCTTGGTTCTTCGTGGTCCGGGCGCAGAATCGAGATTAGACTCAGATTCAGATGCTGTTGCATCACCGTCTTTACTGGCCGGTGCTGGAGGACTAGCTATCTTGGGGCTTGGTTTCGGTGTCGGCTTCGGGGATGAAGATACTCGTTTTTTAGGTGCGACCTTTCTAAATGGTCTTTCATCTCGCTGATAAATTGGTTAGTCTAATAATAGATGATATTCGTCATTTCGACAAACCTCAAATTCAGAATCAGTGGTAGCTGTGGTTTCACCATCATTTTGGCCTCGCTCTGTATGTTCTTGGAGATTCGACCGTTGCTGAACTGGAGCAGCGTGCTCCTCTAAGGCGGATTCATTTTCGTCGTGGAAGGACGATTCCGAGCGTTTTCCGAGCTCCAGCCACCACTCATTTTGCGCTTGGTGATTTTGTTCAACATCACGCTCAGTTTCCACTCCAAAAATCTCGTGCGCTATGTTTGAAGCTAAGTTGGAGCCATCGGAAGAGGTTCCTGACTGAGAGAGCCAGGCCTGTTCGTCAAATGGCGCCACGCCTTTAATGAACCTGGCAGCTTCAGATCGCGTACCGCCCTTTCTAGCAGAGCGAAATCCAACAGCGCTAGGAAATATTGTCCCTATTTCGACTCCAAGGGACTCTATCCGATCAAACAGTTTCCCCAGAATCCAGTCTTTCTGCTTGATCTGATCCAGTAGGTTTCGCTGGCGGGACTCCCATTCAGCTCCATCTTTGATCAGCGGCAGCAAAACGTGGCTGACCAGAGCTTCTGTAGGCTCTTTCTGCAGTAACAATGTCCATTCGAGGGGCCTTAGTGGAGCAGGTAACTTAGCACTGATATGGAGCTCGAGCGAATCGGTTCGGGATCCACTGTATATTACTGGTTTGCTTGAATTGCCGCCTAGAGCTTCATCGATCTTTCTGAGTAGAAGGTCCAGTTGGTCGGACCCTTCGTTGGGATCAATTGTGGTGGCATTCTGCTCTGCGCGATTGGAGATATCCTCGACACACAGTCGTTCTGACCAGATGGAAGTGAGATCGGTCAGGTAAAGCTCATAGCCATCGTGCGTCCAAGTGTATTGAAAAAGCAGAGCAGGGATAGAGCGTGGGCTCTGCGATAGCTTCAGTCTGTGCCAATTTGGGAACATCCTTTGAGATGGCCTGGAGCCCTTTGTGGTTGATGGGGGAAGTGCAAGGAATGGAGATTGAGCTCGGGCTCGGCTGCCTGGAGCTGCGCCGGAGCTGCCTCGACCTGCAGTGCGCAACGTTAAGTTAGCCGCCACTTGACTTGCCGCCGATCTTCTTCTTCACTTCTCATCCTCCCCGCGCGTCAACAATTCAACCTCCACCGAACCCCGTACCGTTCAATTTTCTACCACAACTGTAATATTTCATCTGAATATTCCTTCGAACCTCACGCGAAATGTCTGGGCGGCGCCCGGACTGGTCGGGCGCGCAGCGCGACCGGTCGCGCTCTCCCCAGCCGCACCCCCACAGATCCCACGACAATCGTCACTGGCGCGACAGACAAGACTCGAACCGCGGACGGGACCAAGGAAGACCTCGCCAGCCCCAGCAGCGGGACATGCGCGACCAACTTCGCATTAATCAGCTACAAGAAGACGAGCAGGCTCGCGAGTGGGTGTCGCAGGAGGATAAGTTCGTGCTGCAGCAAGCCAAGAAGAAAGCCGTCATCCGAGTCAAGGACAAGCGCGCAAAGCCCATCGACTGGCTTGCGGTTATTCTTCGAGTGATCGATCCTACGCGCAACCCGTTCGAGGATGAGGTGCCGGATTCGGAGATCGACATCATGCATCCAGATGGCGTATTCGAGGGCCTGTCGCAAAAGGAGTTGCATGAGCTGGAGAAAGAGATTGATACATTCCACAAGCTGGAGACGAATGAGAAGAATCGCGACTACTGGCAGGTGAGAACCCTCGCTTCTCATAGATTTCGAACTCAGAAAGCAAACCAGACTAACACCATTTTTTGTTTTCTTAGACCATGAAAGTTATCTGCCGAGACCGGAAAAAGACCGATGCGCCCGAATCGCGAGCTTTGAAGCCTGTGGCTGCTGATATAGACCGGCTTCTCGGGCCCAAGACATACGAGCAACTCCAGACCTTGGAAGTCCAGGTCAAGCGCAAACTGAACTCGAACGAACCTATTGATACGGATTACTGGGAGGAGTTGCTCCGCAGTCTGGAAGTGCGGAAGGCCAAGGCTCGAATGCGTTCTCTCTACCAGACAGTGATCGATGAGCGAGTCCGTGAACTACGAAAACAGCAGCGAGAAGAGGCAAAGGCTATTCAGGAAAAACTAGCACCCCTTGCACCACTCATCTCTGCAGATGAGAGCCAGCTGAATGACCCCGCCGAGTTCGAAGGCTTGGATCCAGAGCCTTTGCTGCAAGTGCGTCCTGAAGACAAGGGACTAGAGATCATGGACGAAGACGTCTTTCTTGCCCAGGTGGTAAGTGCCCCCCATGAGAGCGTCTTAAATGTTCTCGACACTAACCACATACTACAGGCACGGGACCGTGAGAAAGTTCTTCGTATGGGCTTCGTTCCCCTGCGTCAGCGACAGGCTGAGAAGCCTGCCACTACCTTCACCACTGGCTTCGCCCTCCCTGCGTCCAGCACCACCTCAGCTCCCCCGGCCGGCCACAGGTTTGCCACTCTCCCCAATGAAGATTTCTCGCAGGCGACCAAGGCTTTGTACGAAAGAGAAGTGGCCAAAGGCGTCAGTGAAAATGAGGAAATCTTCACTGGTGAGGAATCTGTGGGAACAGGCCAAGAGCCTGCATGGGCTGGCAAGTACCGGCCTCGCAAACCTCGGTATTTCAACCGAGTCCAAATGGGTTTCGAGTGGAACAAGTACAACCAAACGCATTATGACCATGATAACCCACCTCCCAAGGTAGTGCAGGGCTACAAGTTCAACATTTTCTACCCGGATCTCATCGACAAGGCTAAAGCCCCTACCTACAAGATCGAGCGGGAGAACGGTCGAAAGCGTGGACAGTCCTTTGCCGCGGCCGGAGAGGACGACACCTGCTTGATCCGATTCATCGCCGGCGCCCCGTATGAAGATATTGCCTTCCGCATCGTCGACAAGGAGTGGGACTACAGCGCGAAGCGTGAGAGAGGTTTCAAAAGCACGTTCGATAAGGTATATACATCCAAGATACAAGTATCTCGCGAAGGTTGTGGCTTTGGATGCCGGGAACGGAAATACTGACGTTGTGTGTCACCCAGGGCATTCTCCAACTTCATTTTCAATTCAAAAGAGTAAGTTTTTACAAGCCCTAACTTCAAGAAACAGCCTCTTACAAAATTTGCCAGATTTACTACCGGAAATAGCGTGCGATCTGGATTCGGAGTTATGTCCGCGTGGGCTTTTTTTTTAGGATGGAGGTCGATACGGATGGTGTGTAGTACCTTAGTTACATGCAGGAGAGCGAAAGGATTTTTTTTCCAGAGAGCTGATACCCTATGAATGAACACACATCCCAACTGATTGGACTGGGAACTTTTCCCCTTCATCCTTTAAGGATCTCGCATTCAATCGTAACTAATAAGCCCGAACTTTCAGCACCGTCCACGTGTGGAGCCTTCACCCAGCCTACACTCAGACGCTTAATCTGAGCCCCTTTGAGATCTTCTTTCAAGTCTGCTGCGTTCTAGTGGTGCTAGTAGTTTTTCTGTTTCTCTTCAGGTGTCCACCGCATGGGAGGCGACTCAGCATGCTGCATGGATGAACAGGTGGCTACCCCCGAAAGTAACAGTACTAGAGCACTTCGATCCCGTCATGGCGTGCAGAGAGGCTTTGGTGTTTTATTTCAGGAAAAAAAGAAAAAGAAGAATTTTTATTTTCATTTTTTTCGGAACGGCGGACGTTGAACGTCTAGTGTCGTGGTGACACCACGCCAGCCTGCAGCTTGCAGGCCTTCATGACTTCCGGCTGGTTAGAAGCATGCCAACCAAGAAGAAACGCCCGCGTTGCCAGCCAGGACAGAAATTCAGACAGGAGACTTTTCCAGAACCACCCGTTGCTATTTTCCAGAAGGCGTGCGCTCGGGCATAAAGCCGTTGCAGGAGCAATGGCGAGAAGACTGCAGGTGTCCGTCAGCAGAGGATCATCCCCTAGGACCATCCACCTCGCCCTTTCTAGGGCTGTTGTACCAGATCGAGCCGCCTGGGCCGTCTGTGAGATTATTGGCCAACGCCTATGCTATGGGGTACTGTTGCACAGGTTGGCGACTTGGGCATCTTCAAGGCGATACTAGTACTCCGATGGCGCTAGGCTGCGGACACGACCCCGGCTGTTCGCCTCGCCTCGCTCTCTGTATTTAACGGTACAGCCAGTGGCCCACACCTTGTTTGCTAGGATACAATGCAGGATCCTAAGGCTATTTGCAGCTAAAGGAGCATGTGCCTCATTTGTCGGCGGGAGAAAAATAATTATTATCTGAGAGAGCGCAAAGTGTACAGCTCCAATTCAGTCTTGAATGGCGACGCCGAGCAATGACGGTCACCCTGGTTACTTCTATACTGGATCCTGCCTCGTTCCTCTTTCCACCCCGAGACTCTCGCCCCTCAACTTGTTTCTCCTTCGAAACAAGTGCATGCTTAAGCTTCTCACTTGATTCAAACTCCTTCCCCACGCATCGAACCATCAGAGCGGCATTCATCCAGTATGGATTCGTTTTCACCATACCCCGTCAACATGGCTCAGATCCCAACTGACCAGCGGGAGCACGAGCAACACCCCTCGGTACAAAAGAGGACCCAATTTTCCTCCGGCTCTGAGGCCATTCTGAACACAAATCTCAGTGGCCCCCAGCCTTACTACCCTGGTTCCCAGGTCGAGAAGTGGCCGGCTTACACACAAGCCCCAGCCCCAGGATCCATGATCCCCCCTCAACAGCCTGGCTATAGCAATCCGTGGGGCGCCACAGTGTTTGAGACCTATGATCCCACTGCATCGCGCTTGCCCCGGTATCCAGGGCCTGAAAACGCCTACTTCTCCTCCTTCCGCCCGGCTCATCCTTCGCACCAAAACCCTATGATTGCCACCCCATCAAACATGAACCCCAACTTGAACGCCCGATCATATAGGCACCCAGATCAGGATAATACCTTAGACTGGAATACTCAGCCTGTGTCTTCATCCTCTTTCTTTGTACCGGATTCCTATTGGCTTCACCCGGGGCACTTGGAAGCTACCGAAAGCAAGATACAAGCTATTTCCATGCGCGCTACTCCATCGCCACCTCTTTCGGTTTCTCCCCATCAGTCACCATCACAATCTCTTGACAGTACTAGCCCCGCCCCCACAACTACCACCAACGCAATGGGAGATGGGAACTCACCACCAACGAGCCTTGGAGATCACAGCGAAGAAGAGCACACTGCTGACCCGCCATACTCCGCTTTGATCTATGAAGCCCTGAAGGATGCCGAGGATAGGAAGCTCACGCTAAAAGAAATCTATCAATGGTTTGAGGAGCACACGAATAAAAGTCGAGATCCAAGCTCCAAGGGCTGGCAGAACAGCATTCGCCACAACCTGTCGATGAACCAGGTACGTACCGCCGTGCTCTTTGCATACTACATCTCTAGGTGTTTCCTTATAGGAGAAATGAGTTAACAATGCTGCATCAGGGATTTGAGGCCATAAAAGGCGAAAGCATCCACGGAAAGAAACCAAACAATTTCTGGCGCCTCACAGACGAAGCTTTTGAGAACGGCATTCAATCTACGACACGATACCGCAGGGCAACCAACAAAGGCAAGATGACCATTCCAGATTCCGCGATCCGCGACCGTCGACGCTCAGAGTCGAAAGGTGGGTGGCCGATGAAACAAGTGGCGAAGACCCGCCTGAATGCCCAGGAGGACCAGCGCAGGGAGCAGTACGTTGACAGAAAACCAACGTTACGGCCACAAGACCCGTCCACGCAGCCTCACCAGCAGCCTCACCAACAGCCAATGCGGAGCCCATTCATGCCTTCCCCGAAAATCTTCGGAATATCGTCGTTTGATCGGAGCTCAGAGCCGGCCTCATCTGCTCTGCCAAGAAGCAGCACATCCCAATTTTACGAGGCGATCGGCTGCACCAGTCCTCCGCCTGGCAGCAATGGTGTGTTCTGCGTGGCGCCGGGGTGGACCGTCGACGAGCTAAATGACTGGCAGCGTCCAATGTCCAGCTAGATTATTGGTACAGCCTGCACCAGGGGCCCAGTCACGGAATGGTCATCAGCTCCAAAGCAAGCTCCGGTCCTCGGCTTGTGCAGGGTTGAGAGAAAGGCGGGGGTTGCCAAAATAGGGGGCGATGGCGAGAAGACTTGCTCATCTGACATGCATGTTTTGAATCCCTTTTTCTTTTTCTTTACTTTCTCTTCTTCTCTTCAGTGGCTGTTTATTTTCTTTTTATTTTCCTGTCTGTTTTTTCGGTGTCTCAATGTTTTGTCGTCCTGGCCTCTCTGACCAAGTTTGAGCTGGCTCTTGAATAAACTAAAGAGGCATGGTGCATGTACTTGTGCATTTTCCATTTGCATCGGTTTTTCCGGGTGTTCAAGAGAGGTGGGCAACATTTGACGAGCATTCTGCTGGTGCTTTTTTATTTCTGTTCGTTGCTTTTTTCCCTCGTGCTTTTGGTTTCTGGGTGTCATTTTTTCGCCTCGATTTATTGAATTGGCCGTTGGGCTTTAGATCGTTTCCATCCTGAGTGCAGTTCAAGTGTATCATATCAGCAGCTATTCCCTGCTCATCACAAAGAGAGCAAAAAAAAAAAGGCCAGGTCCCATCTTTTACTGATCCGTACTCCGTACCATGTCGATCCATCCGTCATGTCCACGCTAAGCTTTGGATCCCCATTCCCACGCTACTGTGCCCAAACACTATTTACGGCTGATTTTTCCCCTTCTCCAGCGTGCTCACCATTGGGCATAATTGCCACGACTCTCCGTGATCGATGGCCCTTGCCTTGCAGATCACCCATTTGCCGGTTCGGAAGGGATTTTCATATGCAGATAGAGGTTGCTAATGCCGACCTCCTCGCCACTGCCTATGCTGTGTATACAGCACGAAATGCATGCATCTGCAAGACGATACTGTGTACGACCAGGAACGTTATCCAACCAGCATGCGAGGAAATGGGCCTTGAGTGACCTCTTCAGAAGACACAGGGTTCTCTTCGTGGCTCGACCCCCGTCTTTCGCCGGGTGCGTCATGCCGACTATGCCTCCCAGATTAGCCGCCCCCAAGGCGTCCTTTCTTTCATCCCTTCGATGTAGGTCTCCCTCTAGTCACTCTAGCTGCAGCCTGCCTTCGCTCCGGGGTGACGCGGACACGCTTGGCACTGCAAGTCCTTGATAACTACTGAATCACACTCACCAACCGAATCTATTGACCCCACCGGCACTCTCGATCTCCCCAGCCTCGTGAGAAACTCGGGAAATAGGAAGAACCCCTGCCACCCACCGCGGGCCAGATCACAAGCGGGGGCGATCTGCGCCTCCCCATTCGCGACAATGCAGGTTCAGGCTATCGGGGAAGTCATTAGTGTCATACTTGGCTCGTGTGATCGAGACCGACAACTCGCAAGGAAAGACCCCCGGGGTTGTGGGGCAGCATATCCTCCTCTCCTGGATACGAGAGGCTTATTTGCAAGGACGCTGATTGATCAATGCTCTTAGGACGAAGAAATTAGAGAAATGGTCGTCCCTACAGTCCCTACTGCTGCAGCTCGGGCCGATCCGCACTCTCTCTTCGCTCTCGCTCCTACCGCCGTCTGTCTCCCCTTTTTCTATTATCATCTTTGGTGCCATCCCCTTTGCACTTGCATAACTTCGTATATCCACTTTGCAACGGGCTATCTCCGCGGAGGGGTGCGGGAAGCGTTTCTGTACGCCGCTATACGTGACACCTGCAGTGCCGTTCGCAAGACACCCGAGTGCGGCGATTTGCACCTACCGTGGGCCGTGCCATGACCTCGAATCTGTCAGACTAAACCCAGGTCACTTGCAGACCCCCGATTAATCTACTCCAAACATGTATAATGGACCCTTCACCACGTTATCACCCTTGCGAGTGGTATTCCCGGGTTCTGTGGTACCAGCATGATCTCCAGCATGACGTTCGAGAGATGTCATAGATTCGCATGATGTGGCCCTCATGAAGGATCGACTTCGAAGATCATCTGCGACTGGCCCCATAGATTGTCTGCTCGTGCATGCTGTGAACGGATATGTACTCTAGTGCGTTGTCGCCACAGGATATTGGTCGGAACAACCACTCGGAACCTGATTTCTACAAACCTAGCTTGGAACCGAGATGGCCAGTGCCAACTCTACAGTACAGCTTTTTCACCGAATCCTCGTGCATCCATTCCGATTCTACCGAAACCAAACTAGATTTATGCTACGCGAGAGCCAGTCAAAACATTCTGCGAGGCGTTGACAGATCGAGGGTCCCATCTCGTCGGGCCACCACCGAAACCCTTTTTTGGGGATTCCTAGCTCGCGTGCTAATCTTGCAGCCAGCGTTCGGCAGCCTGTCAGACTGACGTGCCGCACCTTTTTTTTCATTTATTTTTCTTCTTTTTTCCCTTTCTGTTTTTCAACTCGGGATCTGGGTGTCTGGAATGCCGGTCCTAAGTTACCACATTAGGGCTTCGATAGTTTTGTGGCCCCGTCACAACTTAAACCCTATCACATTCAAGCGGATCGCCACCCGACCGTTTTCTGATCTATCAACTGCTCGACCCGAGAAAAGAAACAGACGGGATGAACCTTTTTTGTTTGGAGTTCCTCAATTTTGATCTATGAAACTGGATACCTTGAAAATGCCTCATCCCGGTCCACGAGTCAGCCCCTGGGGTTTTCTCGAGGTACTATGTAGCTTTTACGAACAGGGATTCCCGTTAAAAAAAGCATCATCGCGATCGTATCTAAGCGAAGATGTCTATTCAATCCATGTAAATTGGAGCCTCTGCTTGTGTTCTTGTGCCTTGCTGCTGTATCTTTACTGCCCTTCAATGCTATGTGCGAGCTGGCACAAGCCCTCTCTTCTAGCACAATAGAATGGACGAGCTGGTTCAAAGGTTGTCGAATATAGATTTATACAATCTTATGGTCACATGTTCGTTAAGCGCTAATGTTGAGGCGGACTAGGCTAAAATGAGATTGAGCAACGCAGGATCGCAGACTTTTGACCGCTTCTTGGCATGGTTCGTGTGGAATAAATCCCTTTGCCGTCTGGCCCGTGTCGCCCCGCTGGCATGACAGCTTGGACGGGTGGACGGATGGACGGATGGTGGGGAGACGAATAAAATGGAAGGAGGAAAAAAGCTGTTGGGTGAAGATTGAGGGCCCAATGAGGCCCTCTGGCGATCTAAACCGGCAATCTTATAGTGGGATCGCTATTAGCCTAGTAGCCGAGGGGTGCAGGGTGGCGGACGATCCGGAGATTCATCGGTTGCCACGTATGTATCCCTGTAGGTAGTAGTACACAGTGGCCTACATATGCACCTAGGCAGGTAAACAAGTTCCCAAGGATTATCAATATACTAGTACATGCAGTTGCAGTGTGCACTAGTAGAATTACGGAAGGAGTTGAGTCAGGTCTCAGTACTTCTGCGCCAAGTATAACCTGTTGGCACCAAAGAGAAATTAGTGACCGGGTAGCACAAGGAGGGGATAGAAGGCTCTTGTTCCCTTGTGTCATACATACATACATACATACATACATACATACATGGACAATGTGGTTCTTCGAAGCAGGTCATTATCTCGTCGTGTGTGTCAGTGCTTCGGAGGCCGGAGAGCAGGAGATCCTCTACCATATCGCCTTAAACTGCACATTAAACATAGCCGACGTGCGTTTAGCCCATAGTAGCTTTAAATGACATATGGTAGACCGGACCACCCTTATTATTTATGATTTGGTTATATTTTTACCCGGTGCTACGCGGCGGATATGTGATCTTCTGTGGGCCCTGCAGCATCTTTTAGACTTTGACAGCTGTACGTAAGAGTTACTCAAATAAAGTACCGACGCAGGGAAGACACTATTTCCTAAAAGAGCGGTCGCTTTATCGAACCTCAAGTTTGCTTTGTGGAGGTCGATGATTCATAAATGCTTGCTTCATCTTTTTTTTTTTTTTTAAGGGTGCAAGCTTCTGTTTTGATTTATTGTTGGGACTTACTGTGATATCTACGAGTCATGGTTAGTGTATTACTGTCAGCCATTTGTGTCTTACACGGCGTTCACAGCCCACAATATACATATCCACTTGAATGCGAGAATCAAAAACTCTGCTTCAAAAGTACGCAATACTAGCCGAATTTGAACAAAATCGCGAGGCTGGCGCCAGCCGATGTTTCCCGGTGAGATTTTCAGATCCGATCTGCTCAATTCCTGGATACCGTCAACCCTCTGCGGCAGATCCCTGCGGCCACCCCGCGAAGGGATTGTGTCCAGAACCGATGGGCATGGAAGTTTGGCCCCGTGGTACTTTGACAGACCCTCCATATAGAAATCGGGACATCCAATAAAGCTCTGACAGTTGTGATGCAACCGAAATCTATCCAAGGCATCCAGGGTTTCAAGCCACCGATATCTTATGACAGCGATGCCGCGATTGCAGAAGGTAGCCGTTTCAGAGGTCAAGATCAACGAAGCCTGGGAAAGAAGCGGTCACGGTGTCAGGGGTATCATCAATGTACATGAAAGCTTCCGCATGATGTAGCCCCTATTCGCAACCAGCGTATAACGCTAACTGTCAGCGTGGCTGGCCGAGATTCCAATATACCAGTGTCTATCGGAAATCGGGTCCCGGCCAACAGGATTCATAGTATCACCCGCCCTGGTCAATAGCACGTTGAAATATATGCTATGGTTACCTCTTCTGCCCAGCGTCATTCACACGCATCGCCCGGGTGTCGCGAGTCGATCTGCAGGGCCATCTGGCAACAAACCACTACTACTGCTGTGCTGGCTGGCCCTCCACCAAGCCTTGAGACAAGGATATTGTCAACCCCGCGTCGCAAAGGGGATTGTTGAGTATCATTGTGCTTTTTGAAGCCCTTGGCGATTGACTGAATGTCATCAGAGATGGCGGAGAGCTGGGTCTAGACTTCAAGCCGGGATAAAGAGCATGTCTCTTGATGCATACGAGAATGGGCATTGAACTGCGGTGAGATAGCGAGATTTTGGGGGTCTAAGGGTCTCAGTGATTTACACATCGACAGTCAATTGACCTCCGACTACCGACGCTCCATACTTCGTCACAGCCTTTCCCGCTGAATCGAGGCATTGAAGAACTACAAACACCGATCCCTGAATCTCCGTGCCCTCTGCAAACCGGCTGTAAAATCCGAGAACGGCTAGAACCAGAATATCACTTGTGGACGGAATGGCCTGGGTTGTGGGACGGCGTAGGTAGTGCTCCAATGCGAGATGCACTTGCACAATTCCAGGACAATTCGGAGACATTTCATAGAATTCTCTCGTGAAGATAGAATAAATTGGGGTTTCATTTGTCTAGTCACGATCCAGATTATGAATTCATGCTAGCGGTTCCTGTTCATCATTTTTTTTAGACTCTAAAAGAAACCGTTCCCATCACTTTTCCGTAACGTTCGCTCTCCAAAAAGACCAACACCGACGAAAGACAAGACATTGCTTAGCGCTTGCCAGCCTTCTCCTGGGACTCCTTGAGGACCTTCTTAACGATCTTCTGCTCCTCAATCAGGAAAGCACGGACGATGCGGTCCTTGACGCAGCCAGCGCAGCGCGAGCCACCGTAGGCGCGGCTGACGTTCTTCTTGGGGCGGGAGACCTGAGCATACTCGCGGGGGCGGAGGGCGGGAACCTGTAGGAGACGAAAACGATCAGTCACCGGGATATTTGGCGAAACAAAGGCGACGGAGTTGCGGAATAGTGCGGATATCGTGCCGGGTGTCGTTGGTTCACGAGTTGCAAGCCGATGCCATCCAAAGAGATTTTTCTTTGCCCTTCACTCGCTCCCCGCCACGATCGTCGTTCCGCACACAAAACCACACATCGTCCAAAAAATCAGTCGAGGAGTACTCACACCAGGGAGCTTGATGCCACAGTCACCGCACTTGGGAGCAGTACCCTTCTTCTTCAGGTGAAGGTACCGGAGCTCACCACCGGGGGTCTTGATGATGCGAACCTTGTTGGACCGCGTGTTGTACCTGTCGAGGGGAACATCCGTCAATATGTCGTCCAATATTCACCCGTGGCAATCAATCTTGATAATTTCCAATATCGACTCGAACGTAGAGAAGCCATTGTGGGAGGAAGGGATTTTTGGGGGGAAGAACGTACGGGTTCCGGCGGCGCTGTGGGAAAAAAAATCGAGTCAGTACTTTGCAAGTGAAAATCAATAGTATGAAGTTGAACTCACGTATTGGAGTCTGTTGTTCGCCATTTTGTCGTGCTTGAGCCTCTGCGATGGTCAAGAGCGGCGTTGTCGTCGTCGGGTTGTGAACGGTAAAATGTCGAGGCGGATGGGTTTGTGTGGGTTTCGCTCTAGCGCAGATTTGGCGAGACCGCGCTAGGCCCAATCAGGGTTAGCGCGACCAGGCGGCCGCCACCTCAAAGTTCTCGGCGACAGGAGCTGGAACTTTGCGTCCGTAGAGGTCCCCGACTGTTGGTCTTCTGTTCCATCGTCGCTCGGCCTGAATCACCATCTCAATACCTGCGAACTGGCCTGCTGCTACCCTTGCGTCAACAATCGCGTCCCCTGTCGATGATCTTCGACGTGATCTGGACGCGACTTTGAGAACAACTCACACCTAGGGAGGGTGGGCGACCTGCCCCATCAACAACCACCGATATGGCCTCTGTGCCTCCTCCCCCTCCTCCCCCTCCGGGATGGGGTGATGCTCCCTCATCCATGCCGAAGGCCCCGCCGCCCCCGGGCTATCAATCGACGGCCGACTCCCACGTTGCGAAGTTCGCGCAGAAGAAGCAAGAATGGTTGCGCACCCAGCGCAACCGCTTCGGCGAGAAGCGGAAGGGTGGCTTCGTCGAGACACAGAAAGCGGACATGCCGCCTGAGCATTTGCGAAAGATCGTGAAGGATATTGGCGACGTCTCGCAAAGAAAATTCACCAACGAAAAGCGCAGCTACCTAGGCGCGCTGAAGTTCATGCCCCATGCAGTTTTCAAGCTTCTCGAGAACATGCCCATGCCCTGGGAATCAGCCAGGGAAGTGAAAGTCCTGTACCACGTCAACGGATGCCTGACCATTGTCAACGAAATCCCGCGTGTCATCGAGCCGGTTTTCCACGCCCAATGGGCAACGATGTGGATGGCCATGCGTCGAGAGAAGAGTGATCGCCGCCACTTCAAGCGCATGCGCTTCCCCCCATTTGATGACGAAGAACCGCCTCTTTCATGGTCCGAGAATATTGAGGATGTTGAGCCTCTGGAGCCGATCCAGATGGAACTTGACGAGGAGGAAGACGAGGCAGTCTACGAATGGTTTTACGATCACCAACCTCTTCTTGATACGACTCACGTCAATGGACCGAGCTACAAGTCCTGGAATTTGTCACTTCCCCAGATGGCGACCCTTCACCGACTGAGCCACCAGTTGTTGAATGACGTGGTCGACGAAAACAAATGCCACTTGTTCGACCTCAACAGCTTCTTCACTGCCAAGGCGCTCAATGTTTCCATCCCCGGTGGCCCTCGTTTTGAGCCTCTGTACAAGGATATTGACCCCAACGACGAGGATTTCAGCGAATTCAACGCCATCGACCGCATCATCTTCCGTAACCCGGTTCGAACCGAATACCGCGTTACCTTCCCCCACTTGTACAATACTCTACCACGGAGCGTGAAGCTTGGCTGGTACTCTCACCCCACGATGGCCTACACTCGCAGCGAGGATCCGAACCTACCCGCTTTTTACTTCGATCCTGCCCTTAGCCCGATTTCCTCCCGCTCCGTTGCTCCGAAGAACATTACTGTTAGCCATGAGGATGAGATATTTGGCATGGACGACGAAGATGATTTTGAACTTCCTGGAGAGGTCGAGCCATTCTTCGCCGATGAGGATCTTGAAACCGACGACACAGCATCTGCGATCGTACTTTGGTGGGCCCCTCATCCCTTCGATAAGCGATCTGGAAAGATGGTTCGCGCTCAGGATGTCCCTCTGGTGAAGCAATGGTATCTGGAGCACTGCCCGGAGGGTCAGCCTGTCAAGGTCCGCGTTTCATATCAAAAACTGCTGAAGACCTACGTGCTCAACGAGTTGCACAAGAAAACGCCCAAGGCCCAGAACAAGCAGAAATTGACGAAGACCCTAAAGACGACTAAGTTCTTCCAGCAGACAACAATCGACTGGGTCGAGGCAGGCTTGCAAGTCTGTCGCCAGGGGTTCAATATGCTGAATTTGCTCATTCACCGCAAGAACTTGACCTACCTGCATCTTGATTACAACTTCAACTTGAAGCCCGTGAAGACCTTGACAACCAAGGAGCGAAAGAAGTCTCGCTTCGGAAATGCTTTCCACTTGATGAGAGAAATTCTTCGACTCACTAAGTTGATTGTTGATGCTCAGGTTCAGTACCGTCTCGGCAACATCGACGGTTTCCAGCTCGCCGACGGTATCCTGTATGCATTCAACCACGTTGGTCAGCTGACCGGTATGTACCGATACAAGTACAAGCTCATGCATCAGATCCGCTCTTGCAAGGATCTGAAGCATCTGATCTACTACCGGTTCAACTCAGGTCCTGTCGGCAAAGGTCCGGGTTGCGGTTTCTGGGCCCCTGCCTGGCGAGTCTGGCTTTTCTTCATGCGCGGTATTATTCCTCTTCTTGAGAGGTGGCTCGGAAACCTGCTTTCTCGTCAGTTTGAGGGTCGTCACAGCAAGGGCGTTGCGAAAACCGTTACTAAGCAGCGCGTGGAGTCTCATTTCGATCTGGAACTGCGTGCCTCGGTCATGGCCGACCTCATGGACATGATGCCTGAGGGTATTAAGCAGAACAAGGTTAACATTGTTTTGCAGCATCTGTCCGAGGCCTGGAGATGCTGGAAGAGTAACATTCCTTGGAAGGTCCCCGGTCTACCTGCACCCATCGAGAATATTATTCTTCGTTATGTCAAGAGCAAGGCGGACTGGTGGATTTCTGTCGCCCATTACAACCGAGAGAGAATTCGTCGCGGAGCTACCGTTGACAAGACAGTTGCCAAGAAGAACTTAGGTCGACTGACCCGTCTTTGGCTTAAGTCGGAACAAGAGCGTCAGCACAACTATCTTAAGGATGGTCCTTACGTCACGTCGGAAGAGGCCGTGGCAATCTACACCACAATGGTCCACTGGCTGGAGTCCCGCAAGTTCTCGCCAATTCCTTTCCCCAGTGTGTCGTACAAGCACGATACCAAGATCCTCATTCTTGCCCTGGAGCGACTTCGTGAATCCTACTCTGTCAAAGGTAGACTGAATCAGAGTCAGCGCGAAGAACTTGCTCTTATCGAGCAAGCCTATGACTCTCCGGGAACGACCTTGGCCCGTATCAAACGATTCCTGCTCACTCAGCGAGCTTTCAAGGAAGTTGGAATCGACATGAACGATAACTACAACAACATCAACCCCGTGTACGACATTGAACCAATTGAAAAGATCACGGATGCCTACTTGGACCAGTATCTCTGGTATCAAGCGGAGCAACGTCACCTCTTCCCGGCCTGGATCAAGCCTTCCGACTCCGAAGTCCCGCCGCTCTTGACCTACAAATGGACCCAAGGAATCAACAACTTGTCTAACGTTTGGGAAACTTCTGAAGGGGAGACCAATGTCATGATTGAGACAGAGCTTTCAAAGGTCTACGAGAAGATTGATCTTACCCTGCTGAACCGAATGCTTCGACTCATCATGGACCACAACTTGGCGGATTACATTACCGCGAAGAACAATGTACAGCTCAGCTACAAGGATATGAACCACACGAACAGCTACGGGCTGATCCGAGGTCTTCAGTTCTCTGGCTTTGTGTTCCAGTACTACGGTATGATGATCGATTTACTGCTTCTCGGTTTGCAGCGAGCAAGTGAAATGGCCGGACCGCCCCAGAGTCCCAACGACTTCTTGCAGTTCCGGGACCGGGCCACTGAGACTCGACACCCCATCCGTCTTTATACCCGCTATGTCGATAAGATCTGGGTCTTCTTCCGGTTTGATGCCGACCAGTCTCGTGACTTGATCCAGCGATTCTTAACTCAGAATCCTGATCCCAACTTCTCCAATGTTGTCAACTACAGCAATAAGAGGTGCTGGCCTCGCGACTGTCGTATGCGCTTGATGCGCCATGATGTCAATCTCGGACGTGCTGTTTTTTGGGATTTGAAGAACCGCCTTCCCCGGTCTATCACGACAATTGATTGGGATGACACCTTTGCAAGTGTGTACAGCAAGGACAACCCCAACTTGCTCTTTTCCATGAACGGTTTCGAGGTTCGGATTCTGCCTAAGTGCCGCAACCAGAATGAGGAGTTCAATGTGAAGGACAGTGTTTGGTCTTTGGTGGACAACTCTACCAAGGAACGCACTGCACACGCCTTCCTCCAGGTGACAGAGGAGGATATTCAGAAGTTTAATAATCGCATCCGGCAAATTCTCATGTCCTCTGGATCGACAACATTCACCAAGATTGCCAATAAGTGGAACACAGCGCTCATTGCTCTCTTCACCTACTACCGTGAAGCAGCAGTCTCTACTGTGAATCTGCTTGACACCATCGTCAAGTGCGAGACGAAGATTCAGACTCGTGTCAAGATCGGCTTGAACTCGAAGATGCCTTCCCGTTTCCCTCCTGCCGTTTTCTATACCCCCAAGGAACTTGGTGGCCTTGGTATGATTTCGGGATCCCACATTCTTATCCCTACCAGTGACAAACGCTGGTCAAAGCAGACTGACACCGGAATTACCCATTTCCGTGCCGGTATGTCGCATGACGAAGAAACCTTGATCCCGAACATCTTCCGGTACATCGTTCCTTGGGAGTCCGAGTTCATCGATTCTCAGCGTGTATGGATGGAATATTCTCAGAAGCGCATGGAAGCTCAACAGCAGAACCGACGACTGACTCTCGAAGATCTCGAGGACAGCTGGGATCGTGGTCTTCCGCGTATCAACACCCTCTTCCAGAAGGATCGAAGCACTCTCAGCTTTGACAAAGGCTTCCGCCTTCGTGCGGAGTTTAAGCAGTACCAACTGATGAAGAGCAATCCTTTCTGGTGGACCAGCCAGCGCCATGATGGTAAACTATGGAATCTCAATGCATACCGCACAGACGTTATCCAAGCACTGGGTGGTGTGGAGACTATTCTGGAGCACACCTTATTCAAAGCAACTGCATTCCCATCCTGGGAAGGCTTGTTCTGGGAGCGAGCGAGTGGTTTCGAGGTAGGTCCTAATTCCAAGATTCGCGACTTCCATTTTGATACTAACTTAGGCGAATCAAGGAATCGATGAAGTTTAAGAAACTCACCAACGCCCAACGTTCCGGTCTCAACCAAATTCCCAATCGTCGATTCACCCTTTGGTGGTCGCCAACCATCAACCGTGCCAATGTCTACGTTGGTTTCCAAGTCCAGTTGGATCTGACGGGTATTTTCTTGCATGGTAAGATTCCGACTCTCAAGATCTCGCTCATCCAGATCTTCCGTGCCCACTTGTGGCAGAAGATCCACGAATCTGTGGTCATGGACTTGTGTCAGGTGTTTGATCAGGAGCTGGAGCAGCTTGGCATCGAAGCTGTGCAAAAAGAGACGATTCACCCGCGTAAATCGTACAAGATGAACAGCTCTTGTGCGGATATCCTGCTCTTCGCCACTAATAAGTGGAATGTCACTCGCCCCTCCTTGCTGTTCGACACTAAGGACGCCTACGATCCCACGACCACGAACAAGTTTTGGATTGACGTGCAGCTGAGATATGGTGACTACGACTCTCACGACATTGAACGCTATGTCCGTGCTAAGTACCTGGACTACACTACCGATAGCATGAGCATCTACCCTTCGGCAACTGGTTTGATGATTGGCATTGATTTGGCTTACAACTTGTACTCATCTTACGGCCAGTACTTCCCTGGTTTGAAGATCTTGATTCAGCAGGCCATGGCTAAGATCATGAAGGCCAATCCTGCCTTGTACGTTTTGCGTGAACGCATCCGCAAGGGTCTGCAGCTGTATGCGTCGGAGAGCAACCAGGAGTTCCTGAACTCCCAGAATTATTCAGAGCTCTTCAGTCCTCAGATCCAGCTTTTCATCGACGACACCAACGTCTACCGTGTCACGATCCACAAAACATTTGAGGGTAACCTGACGACGAAGCCCATCAACGGTGCCATCTTCATCTTCAACCCTCGCACCGGACAATTGTTCTTGAAGATTATTCACACGAGCGTCTGGGCTGGACAGAAACGACTGGGTCAGTTGGCCAAGTGGAAGACAGCAGAAGAAGTTGCGGCTCTTATTCGCTCTCTGCCTGTGGAAGAACAGCCGAAGCAGCTGATTGTCACCCGAAAGGGTCTTCTGGATCCTCTCGAGGTTCACCTGCTCGATTTCCCCAATATCTCGATCCGTGCCTCTGAGCTTCAGCTACCATTCCAGGCTGCTATGAAGGTCGAGAAGCTGGCAGACATGATCCTCCGCGCCACTGAGCCGCAGATGGTTCTCTTCAACTTGTATGATGAGTGGCTGAAGTCCATCTCTCCCTACACCGCCTTTTCGCGCCTGGTCTTGATTCTGCGTGCCCTGCATGTCAACATTGACAAGGCGAAGATCATTCTTCGACCTGACAAGAGTGTCATCACCCAAGAGCACCACATCTGGCCGACTCTAGCCGATGAGGATTGGATCAAGGTTGAGGTGCAGTTGCGTGATTTGATTCTTAATGACTACGGCAAGAAGAATAATGTCAATGTCCAAAGTCTCACGAGCAGTGAGGTACGAGACATCATTCTGGGTATGGAGATCAGTGCGCCATCGCTGCAGCGCCAGCAGGCCGCAGAGATCGAAAAGCAACAGGAAGAGGCGAAGCAGCTTACCGCTGTGACCACCAAGACTCAGAACGTGCGAGGTGAAGACATCATTGTCACGACTACCTCGCAATATGAGCAGCAATCCTTCGCGTCCAAGACCGAGTGGCGCACTCGCGCTATCGCAACTTCCAACTTGCGCACCCGGTCGAACAACATCTACGTGTCATCGGATGACATTCTCGACGACAAATTCACCTATGTCATGCCCAAGAACATTCTCAAGCGTTTCATCACCATTGCCGATCTTCGTGTCCAGGTGAGCGGTTACATCTACGGTCGCTCGCCGAAAGACAACGCTCAGGTCAAGGAGATCTGCACCATTGTGATGGTTCCGCAGGTTGGAAACACTCGCGATGTCCAACTTCCCCATGAGTTGCCCCAGCATGACTATCTCAAAAGCCTCGAGCCGCTGGGTGTCATCCACACCGTCTCAGGAAATGAGCCACACTACCTGTCGGCGGCAGATGTCACACAGCACGCCCGTCTCATGAACGCGCACTCCTCTTGGGACCAGAAGACTGTCACCATGACCGTCTCGTTCACTCCTGGATCAGTGTCACTTTCCGCCTGGGGTCTTACCCCCGAGGGATACAAATGGGGCGCTGAAAACAAGGATATGACTTCGGATCAACCTCAGGGCTTCTCGACTAGCATGGGTCGGAAATGTCAGCTGCTTCTCAGTGACCGAGTCCGCGGCTATTTCCTTGTTCCCGAGGACAACTTGTGGAACTACAGCTTCATGGGTAGCTCCTTCGGAGGCGTCGAGAAGAGACCCATCTACGTGAAGATCGATACCCCGCTTCGTTTCTACGATGACCAGCATCGCCCCCTGCACTTCCAGAACTTTGCTGAGTTGGAAGACATCTGGGTTGATCGCACGGATACTTTCGAGTAAGAAATCTTTGTTGGGCGTTTTGATCTCAGGGGGCATTTATGGTTCCAATTTCTTCACGTGGCTTTTTTCTTTCAAGGCGCATGTATTCTTATCCTGTACCTTTTATTATTTTCTATATCACAGCAATCACTATCTGTATTAAGCGAGGCTAGAATAACCCCTTTGGCGCCTCTGAATGCCAACAATATTATGTTATTATATTCATTTTTGTAATGCGAATGACTCGTCAAGTAGTATACTTAAGTAGTAAGCCAACTTGACCTCCTAGGTCACCGGCTGCGCAATACCGAGGGCGGGTAAAAAGGCCATTGGCTGTCAGAAGCTACCACTGTTGTGACTGCTTGCCACGTAGCTCCGTACCAAGTACAATATTGCTTGCACCCTCGGAACCCACCCGCCATATGTGAACTGTTATGATCACCGAGGGCACTAGCGAGGCAGGGCGAGGAAAGACTTCATTTCAATATTGACTGTCTAAGGTACTTGGGACAGACGGCAATCGTCCCCTTCCCGCCATGTGGTCTTCTGATTGAATGCACTAACTATACGAGGGGCATGCAGTCAGCATTAGAATGCACGATTAACCCCCCGCCACCCGGCACAGCGGTTCTTTCCCCTTTCATCGCGTTACAAGGAGGGTTCCATCGCCTCCGAAGATTGCGCGACCATGACGGCGCGATTGTGGCCTCAGGGGAGAAGTTCAGGTCACCGGCCTTGCGCCACACTTTGGCCGGAGGCCCGAACTCCACGCCCTACACCTCTCTGGGCAGGACTCCTGCGAGGACCAACGCTGCTTGTCACAAAAAATGGACCACGTCTCGGGAGCCAGGGGGAGGCGCAGAAGCAAAGCGTCCCTGCACACCGTCCCAATGCAGACTATCGAAATTCGCAGGGATTTCGGCGTCCAAGTCCAGGCGGGGGCACAATAACTTCTCTGGCGTGCTAGGGGACAGCCCGTCTGCAGCTAACACTCCTCCTTGGGCATCCTTCGCCCTCCTCGTGCTGGGTTCCCCACCTAACCCACATGCCTCAAAGGACAAGAAGAAATGGCATGACCAGGATAGGTTGCCAGCGTCCGGTCACGATAGCCTGCACACGCTCGAGAAAAGCCGGTATCAACAATGCGAACTGACGCAATAAGCAATATTGGGAACTACGGTCAGGTCGCTTCCTCAATGACCCCCCGAACCTGACGAACCGTGCTGTCAAAAGCGAAAAGGCTGTGCGTCACTCCCAATCCTATAAGATCCATTGTTTACAACTCCCGTGCCAACCAGCTTCGGGTTCCCTGGAATTTCTTTGATTGATTCCTGCATGGTCTTGGCAGCGATCTGCCTGAACCACCTACCAGCTCGTGGACAAATAGTCGGCGTGGCTACCTCTTTGGCGAACCCGAGCCGAGTATCATTGGCCAAAGGACGGTTTCACTTGTTTCCCGGCTCGTCGGAGAGCTTGCAGGCTATACTATCCGTCGAATCGAACCCCTGCCGGCTGGTCCGCATGCCCCCGATGCTAGTCTGACGGGCGTTGACCGGCTCCTATCGGACGTGATTCATTCCGATCCTCGCTTCTGATGCACGTCCCCATCGCATTCATCCTGGTCTACTGTTGGGGCAGAATCTGCCTCGCCTGTTTCATGGAAGGGGTCACTATAGGTATTGGATAAAGAATCCTGCCATATAGCATCCCGATTTTAAGGGATACGAAAGCTTTAGTTGGGCGAGAAAATGTCAATCATTGGCAGAGCACACGAAACAGGGGGATGAAAAGAAAGCCGCGCGCTTTGAGGCTCCATCGATCTCAGAAGGACTTCGCGCTGTGACAATGAATTTTGCTTCTCTTCCCAATAGATGCCGGAGCAATCAACCCCTGGGGGATGCACGATCCAGCTGATTAGGAGCTTCGGCACGGGCTCCTCTCGCACCCAGGCGGCCTGCAATTCAACCCAACCCTAGATGCATATCCGGTGAAGAGACTTATAGAGACTGCCATTTCCACTGCCGTGTCCTCATTTTCCTTGTTTCAGTTGCTCCTCAAGTTGCTCCTTGTACTTCAAACCATGCGAATTCTATCCATTGGACTTCAATTTTCAACCTTCTTTGACATCTGAAGCCATCATCTCCCGCAGGTGAAGCAGTTGAGTCTACGTTGCAGTGAATGACATTGTTTGTGTGTTTTTGCTATCGCAAGGATCTTTCTGCATCGCGCTTCTTTATGTGACACACGCCGAAACATTGAGAAGTGTCCCTTGTGCCTATTCAGGGGCGAGATCTCCTCTCTTGGGCCTTTCCCTCCGCGATACAATTCGTTCATCCGCCGGGGGGTTCCTGGCGGTGCTGATGTATGTCCGAAACAGCGGCAGACTCGTATCCAGGCCATACCATTACGTCTTCCTCATCGGCTCAGCCTGATGACCAAGGCTTGAACGCCTACAATGAATCCGACTCGGATTTGCGTGACAAGCTGAGCGGAGTGGTTTATGGCGGCGATCAAATTCCCCCTATGTTCAAAGGACATCCTCCTACTACAGATTCTGGGTTACCTCACCTGATCCCTCAGACCAGCGGTGACCATGTCTCTCAGAATATCTTTTCTCCCGCAGCATCACAGCAGCTGCCTTTCCCCCCGCCGTACAGCTATGAACATTTGGATAGCCCCAGGAGTCCATTTCAACCGAGAAGTGCCAGAAATAATGGACACCTTCCACAGCAGATGCCTTCCTTTTCGTCCCTCCTTGAGGAGACAGATAGCTCCGCAGCAGGACCCAGCACCCTTATTGATCCATCGTTGCACCACCAACTTCCTACCTTGATGTATTATGATCCGGTGATGTCCCACAACACCTTTCCGAAACATCTACTTCCGAAAAGGCACCACCACAGACTTCCACGCTCCGCAAATCGAAATAAAGATGTCCTTGCAAGATACACTCGACCTCCATCCATGATCGGCAAAGTGGGAATGCCTTCCCCAATGCCGAGGCCTAAAAAACTAAAGAGCAGGTTTACGGCGGCAGATGATGCGCTATTGATACATCTGAAGGAGGACAAAAACTTGGCTTGGCTTCAAATTGAAGACTTCTTTCCAGGCCGGTCACACAACACCTTGCAAGTCCGGTACTGTCAAAGGTTGAAGACGAAGGCTGTTAACTGGACAGATGAGAAGGTCAGATATCCCATCTCGGTTGTTTTACAATGGACTTCCTCCGACCGAGAGACATTTACATTTACTAACAAACAATCCAGGTACAACGTCTGAGACGTGCTATAGACGAATATGAAGCAGACCGCTGGAGGATTATAGCCGACAAGGTTGGCAGGGGGGTTGGCCCGGAGGCGTGTCGGGAACGGGCCGCGCTTCTGGGGCAGAGTCCTCGCGAAGTGTGATTGATGTATGATTGTGAAATGCCGCGTTATCGATTGTCTTTCTTCATGCGCTAGTAGGAGCAGAAACAGGAACAGGAAAAGGAGTACGAGTAGGAGTACCGGTAACATGGATCTTTTATTGTTCATTATTGATAGTTTGTCGCTTTCATAGTTCAGTATACCCGTCCACCCGCTGCCCTAAGCCCTGAATGCCTAATCCGGTCATACCCGTAACAGCCAATCATCGCTGAGTCATCCACAATCACCGTCTTCCATTGGCTACCACATGGGCCAATAAGAAAGCACCGGGCGGAAGCGGCTTCAAACTCGCCAACCTCAGACCTCCAAACTCTCCATCCTCCCCTCTGCCTCTCCCTCCCTTCCACCACTTTCCTCGGGACAATGTTCCTTCAACGCACTGCCTCCGCCCTCGCGCGGCGCACTCCTGCTCGCGCCGTCGCTGCCGTCCGTCCATTCTCCTCGTCCATCGTCCGCAGTACGTGATCACCCCCAATGGCATGATCCGAACTCTCCCCGACCTCGGCCATATGCACCTCATCCCGGAGCTCAATTGGCTATCGGCACTTCCTATTCAGCAATGAAATCGAACTTCTCTGTGCTTCATCGCTTGCTAACGTGAATATTGTTGTACAGACAACGCGAACAAGTGGACCCCCAAAGACCAGGACAAGGTCAAGGTCAAGCCCTTCGACGGTCAGTATCCAACCCGCCATGCGACGGCCAATTGCGCGACTGTGCACCTTCATCTGATGGCGGAATCATCTAATCCATTGTTTCCTCGTAAACCGGACTATCTGACTGGGTATGATGCTGGAGACGTGGATTGTGGACACCATCCTTGTTGGGTGACGCGCGAGGTGGCCGTAGCAAACACATCCCCAGGACTTGGGACAAATCAGCTAAAATTTTCTTTTTTGGCCTCACAGACATCCACACCGAGGATGATCTCCTTCCCCCCGGTGCCAAGGAGGGTACCATTCCTACCGACTTCAACCAGGCCACCGGTCTCGAGCGTCTGGAGCTCATCGGAAAGATGCAGGGCATCGACATCTTCGATATGCGACCCCTTGATGCCTCCCGCAAGGGTTAGTGAGCTCCAATGCGTATTTGGTGGCGCGCGGGGACTGCGAATGATAAACAGTCGCGTGTCGACCTCGGAATGAGTCAATCGCTAATCGATGGTATTTTCTTTCCACAGGAACAATTGACAACCCCATCATGGTCAATGGTGCCGGTGACGAGCAGTACGCTGGTTGCACTGGTTACCCCGCCGACTCGCACCAGGTCAACTGGCTAACCGTATGTCCAATTCAGACAACCCGATTGTCAAGCTGCAACAAATCTAATACATTCACGTCCAGGTTTCTCGCGAGCGTCCCATTGAGCGCTGCAACGAGTGCGGCAACGTCGTCAAGCTGAACTACATCGGACCCGAGGAGGACCCCCACTCCCGTACGTTTCCCTTTTCTATCCCAGACGATGTGAACGCAATATACTAATCTTTTCCGGCAGACGACCACGACCACGGTCACCACCACCCCCCCTCACGAGGAGCCCAAGACTTTCGCCGACTACGTCAAGCCCGAGTACTGGTACCGGTAAATCTGCGTCGCGCAAATTGTCTCCGATACGGTACAAACGCGCTAGTTTGTCTGTCGGTATCCGTCCTATATTTGGCTTGTTTCCCGTCTCTTTTGTAGAATAGTTCTCTAAGTGGATGAAAATGAGAGTGCCGATGGGGGGTGTACTTTTGACTTTATACGTTGGTTCTTTTGGCTGTCAAAATTCATAGAAAGCCTGGCTGGGTTCTCGTTGTAGAATATTTGAGTACGTAGATTCAATAGGTGCTTGATTTGAGATCTCAAATTGCCAACGCGCGCAGTCAAAAAGGAGCCTCAGGTTCTATGACCAAATATCGACAATTTGCATTTTGATGGCCTGGCACTGTTGGTGCCCATTAACAGATGCAAAAGGGTATTTATGCAATAAACGAATAACTTTTAAAATGTGAAGCAACTTGACCAGCTTCGTTGTTGAGGTTGAAAGCAAGGTTGCATCTCGTACCACCGAGATTGAGCAAATAAGTATCGGTCATTATAACAATGGACATAGTGTTGAATATAGGCCCAAAGCAGCCAGGGTGGCCCGGGCCGGGAGCAAAAAAACACCGGCGAGTCTCTTCACTCCTAGCGGCCGATAAGGTGCAACTCCATGTATCTGAAGGGTGGGTAAACGAGTAGGGCCCATGAAAAGCCAACATAATTACCCATCTAAATCAAACGGTCAAATTAGTATAAGTTTCGAAAAGACAGCAGGGAAGCAACTTACGTCGGCACCATACTCGCCAACCAGCTTCGCAAGCGGCCCGATATACCACACTTGAGCCATGCACAGGATCGCACCAACCCATCCCACGACGAAAGCAGTGAAGGCTGCAACGCCAATGGGAAGCTTAGACGGATCTCGCCATGCATCCCAATTAAAGCCAGTCCGACGTCGGAAAATCAAAAACTCTTCAAGAATGATGGCAGTCCAGATCGCAACCCAGTATCCCATCAGAGCCAGGAAGTTGGTAAAGATCTCAGAGAGATTGCTGCGACCGACAAGTGCGCAGACGATGTAGATGATGGCGCCGATGGTGTTCCAAATTACGCGAGGTACCTTTTCGGCATAGCGGCCCAGGATCTGGAAGTCGATACCGGCGGAGTAGGTGGGCGCAACAGTATTGGCGATGAGGCCGAGGGCGATTATTACGGAGCAGAACTTGCCGAAGCCGTGGAGGGGTCCGAAGCCCTCGACAATCAGGGCTCCTTGGCCTTTGTTATAGGCGGTTGCGTACTCGGGGAAGGAGTTGATGCCGGAGGCGAGGCCGATACCGCACACAATGGCCATTGTGAAGGAGCAGATTAGGCCGGTTAGGGTGAGGGAGAAGATTGTGAGGCGGGAAGTGTGCTCTGGGTAATAGACGAAGAAGTCTGCAGCTAGAGGGGCGTAGGTGATTGCTGCGCTGAGGCAGATGGAGAAGAAGGATAGCCTGGAAGTAACATTAGTTATCCCCATGCTGTATTAATTTTGAGGTGGGATCAGGTAGAAACGTACCTGTTACCGGCCAGCGTCCGGGCATCACCCACGGAAGGAGTGGACAGGTCAAATTTCGAAGATGAGACGCCGAAAAGAATGCAGATTACAATCAGCTGGGGCAGAAAGGCAAATCGCTCATAGTAGTGAAACACTTGGATGCCGAATGTAGCCACAGCCCAGCTGATAATTGCGATGATGACAATTCCTTGGACAAGATTAGACAAATGACGTTCACCTTGACGATTCCATCTTCCACTTACCGACAGCAACGGACATGCCTCCTGGTGAGACCGCAGAAAGGATCTGACCTCCGACGACACAGTCAATCAAGCAGTATCCGATCATTTGAATCAGGTTTAGCAAGACAATGATCTTGCTGGGCCACCAGCCCATCGAGTATCTGCCGAATGCCTAGCCATTTGTAAGTACACCAATCACTAATCCTGGTACAGGTCAACAACATACCATAGTTCGAATGCCAGAAATCGGGCCCCAGGTCGCCATCCACGATGAGACCAAGGAACCGACGAAGCAGCCAAAGACAGCACATAGCGAAGCGTCGCGGAAGCTGAGTCCATAAATGGCGGGACCCAACATTCCCAGAGTAACATTATTGGCAGCGAGGTTGATGGATACCCAGAGCAAGAATGCCTGTAGGTATGATACCCATGATAGCCGTTCCATGCGCTCATCCGCCGCAACTCGCTCAATGCCCCGCGCCTCAAAATTATATTCCACGAGCTGCTGCTCAAACGACCGGACCAGAGCGCCCAGGCGTCTGCCAACGGGGTTGGTGCGAGTTTGTTCGGGAGGATAGGTGCTATCATGTTTCTTATTTTGGTCGTATTGAATGGGTTCTTCAGTCTGTTTGGTCGAATCTTCTTTCTCGTTGCGCACCACCGCTACGGTGGCGATTTCGTTTTCCGGGGCCATGCTGGTAACCGTTAGTATAACCATATAATTCCCAGAAGGCAGAGAAAGTAAATCAGAAGCGTGTATGAGGTTCTTTCGCTGGTATTAACCAGATCAAGTTCGACCGTATGATCTCAGAACGACAGTTGACATCCCGTGGGGGATGCTGTAGGCTGTCGAACACCGGTTCTCAATGCACGCGGTTACCATCAGGTGTACCTTGATCATTGAAAAGAACCCAACTACTCGTCTTCATGATAGCCGTCCCTGGGAGATAAGGCGGGATGTTTACTCGGGCATCAAGGTTTCACGAGAGGACTGTTCCACCTTCCGGATGAGTCACTATGAAGCAACGCGGCGACGTTAGCACCTTGGATTGGTAACGGGTCGGGATCCTGAATGAGGTGATAAGAGTAATTGATTCACCTAGAAGGGAAAACTCAGGCGAAGCACGGTTGCAATGAATGATTTTGCCCTAATGAAAGTCCACGACTGCGGAGAACTGTGAAATGCAAGGGTTCGGAGGTGGAGGAGGAGGGAAGTCGTCGCGGGGAAAAAAAGATCGGCCGCGATCTCGGCGGTTTTCCGTCTCCGCCCCGGGGTACGCAGATATCGACTCTTCATTCTATTTGTCTTGCTTTGAGCTACTTTCAGACTGGGAATCATGTAGTATTGATCAGGGAAAAATGGGAAATAAGATGAGAAAAAAGTATCCGTATCACTGGCACCCACGACAGCAATAACGCCCAGCATATAGAAAAAAATGGTAATGTAGATCAAAGTCACCCGCAATAAATAATGAAAAAAATCCAGATGAAAGAAAATAGACCATCAAATGAGACCAGATCGATAACTCCATCTGCTTTGTAAAACCAATGGCGAATGGCCAATGATGACACTTGCATCGCTGTGGAATTGCAATATCCGGGAGAATGTCAAATTCGTAAAAGATGCTTGGAAACAAATCGTCACTTCATCAATGGTCGTGGGACCGTCCGGCCTTACAGGTTCTTGAAGTGCTCTTTGGCATACTGTTCGCAGGCCTGGACACGAGTCAGGTCGAGATCGCGGCCGAGACCCGAGGTGGAGATCGCGGTGCCGGCAAGATATCTCCGAGTGGGAGTCGACTCACCTTCGCTGGCTTGCCAACCTTCTGTCCGATCACCTTCCATTTGTTCGCCTCGTATTCCTTGATTGCCTCGCGGAGTTTGATGGACTAGGCAATGTTAGTTGGCGGAGAGCGATCGGGGCAAGCGCGCGCAGAAATCATGTACCTCATCTTCGGCGAACTCGGCGTAGTGCATATCCTGGGGGAGTGAGGTGTCAGTAAAGCCGATGAAAACCCACATTGAGACAAGAGACCGGTGGGCGCATACCTTGTACCAGTGCTTCTTGACGCTACCTTCAGTACGCGTGGGGAAAGTCTACAGCGCGTCGCATGATGCTGGTTAGTTCGGACGATTACGCGACACGGATTTCGGGATGCGCGTGCGCACCTTTGCGATCTCACTCCAGCTGCGACCGGCGTCGCGCATTGTCTTCAGTCGCTGCTCCTCTTCGGCGGTCCATGGGGTGTTCGTGCGGCCCTTCTTCTTCGGGGTGGGCTCTACCGGGGGAGGCATGGGGCCGGGATCGCCCTCGATGGCACCCCCCGCCGGGTTCATCGGCGCGGCCATCATGGTGGATGATCCGGGGGTGGGAGATGGTGGACGTTTCCGCGATGTTGTTGTCGGTTGCTGCGGTTGCGATTGTTGCTGCTGTTGAGGTTGATGCGGCAATGGCGCCGTGGGGATTGGGATGCCTTCGAAGGTGGGCACGCGGTGGAAGGGGTGGATTTGTTGTTGAGCGAGGAGATGCGGCGGGGCGCTGGTGGTGGCCGAGGTTTTGATTCGCTTGGAAGTCGGAGGGGAGCTATCAGACGAAGGGTGTCAGTATTCAGACCGACAGAATCAGGCAGTCACGCAACGCGATGAGCACAAAAGAAACGCGACCCAGTGCCCCGGCCCAGGTCTCCCTCCCGACGGAGCAGAGATCACAGACGAGGGACTTACGACATGGTGAAAGACACACGCAGTTCTCAATCACGCTGTGCCGATTCATCTGTACATACACAAAGGCCGCGTCGGGGGTTAGCAGATCTGCTACAGGCGCGCCTTGGGGGGGGTCAACTGGCAACTTCTAGGAGGCCTCGTTACACTAAAAATGACACAGGCGCATCCCAGGCAGACCCAGATCGGACCAGGGAACAAGGAGAGGTCGAGAGCCTTTCGGCAGGGCGCCCTGACCGGAGCGTTAAGTGGTAGAGGTTGTCGAGGGGGTGGGAGAGGGCCGTTGGGCCTTGGGGACGGGGATGATGGGGTGTGGATGGATGGAAGAGGATGAAGGGGGGGGGGGGGGGGGGGGGGGGAAGGAAGAACGGAGACGGGGAGAGCTCACAGATCAAAATCGCATGGTCGAAGCGTCGAATCGGGGACCTCGAATTCCTCCGAGTACGGGGAGAACATGAGGCTGGAAGGGGTGGGAAAGTTGACAAAAGAATGGGATGAGGGGGGGTCCGACTGGGGGGTGAGAGGAGAGAAGGTTACCGGAGGGAAGAGTGAGAGGAAGGAGAGAAAGTGAGCGGGGATGGAGTCACCTCATATCCAAAAATGGGTGTAAACACCTCTCCGGCCAACAATAAAGTAGGCGGTTTTTTCTCGTTGCGGAGAAATCTGATTTGCGTGCATTTAGTTTTAATCTGCCTCTTTGGAATCTCTGTTTCGTGATTTGCGCTGCGGATGATCTTCTGTTGTGGTGGTTCTACTTAAAGTGGAGGGGGTCGCTGGTCTAGGCCCTCCCTCTCTTTTTGCCCCCGATGCTATACACAAACATACAAACATGCCCCAAGAATTACCCCCGCGCAGAACATGGGGAGTGAAAAAAAAATTCTGGGGGGATGGTGCAAAATCTTGAAACTTCTCCAGAGATCCCCCAAATCTCTAAAAAAATAAAAAATAAAAGAAATAAATTCCAATTAGACGAATCTGCTGCTCCTCCGGTGCATTCCACCACCGTTCGTCCACTTGGCCTAGGAACCGATGCCGGGCAGGGGCCCTTCCACAAATGGGCTCGTGCTGCGCTCCAATTCGGCTGGCGAGCCCTCTTCAGAAGCAGGATGGGCCACGTCCGGCAGCTTCCATGAGACATTTAGGCCGAAGAGACCCGCGAGTGGCCTGTTCCAGAATCCGGTGACCCGGCGAACTCTCACAACCCGTGCAAGGATGACAGCAAAGGCCCAATGACGCCCCGGACGGCCTATTGCAAAGACATCCAATGGCCCGGGAGCTCGAGCCGCAACCATGTCTGCTTTCTTGAAGCCTGTCTCCGTCCAACCCGAGACGGCACGGGTTAGGTCAAGCCACAGGAGGGTTTCGTGTGCCAGCCACGCCTTCTCCCCTCTCCCCGTTCTGCCACCCGTCCGCTGCCTTGCTGCTGCTGGCCTCCGTCGCCGGGGAGAAGAAAGAGGGGTGGCTCCTCTTCCACATCAGGTCTCATTGGATCTGTCCCCTTCCCGGGGAGAACGTGGTTCATGGGGCGCGGTGGTGTGCGTCTTGAAACATGGATGCTTAAACGGAGATCATCCGTCAATCGTGGATGGCGATATGGCCTCCTGCACTGTGTCGGACGAGGCCAGAGGAAGAGATAGAGACGCGATGTGGGCTCCCCAGAGCAATTTTATTCGACAATTGTGCCAATGAAATGCGTGGGTAGAGCGCGCCGCGCTGCAGTCATGAATGTCGAGCCAGGATGGTGCATTCTTGCGAGGCAGCGTGGCTGCCACTTGCATCAGGAGGGGATGAAATAGCCGTGATCGTTATGAAAGCCACTGAGGAAGGCGCGTTCGCATTCCAGTCTTTTGTCGCGTGGTTGTTGCCGCAACCGAATCAGAGGTCATCTTATCAATCAATTCAGATACCGTCAGATCATGTGTTAGCGGACCAGGGTAGAACCCCGTCGCAGTTTGGTTCTGAGATTCTTTTGTGTGATCACGTCCTGGCGTGAGCCTTTGCTCGTCTGGTCTGTTTGGGGCCTGCTCCTTGCTGGCAGCATGTGGACATTTGCGAGCGTTGCAACCTTTTAGATCTATTTTTTTAGAGGTTATAGCAGCATCTTACAATTGGTTCGAAATTTCCAGCTGAGATTAGATTCTGAAATCCAGGTCGCCAGAAATTGCGTTGAAGAACAATGGGATTGTTTTCCACCTCACTGCCCAGCCTATATCGGAGGTTGCTATTGTTGAAGTACCGGATCTACAGCGACGGAGGTACCAAGAAGTCACGGATTCTCACATGTCACCTGAAAATTCAGACTTCGGATAAAAAGAAAACAGCAGAACGGGATGATGATTCAAATTTGTCTACTTACATACATTAGTATGGATAGTGTCTCCTACCGAAGTCAGCCTTGCCCCATTGTTACAGAACAGAACAGGTCCGCAGGTAAATCCTTTGCCGTGTTGGTGATCCACATCTGTGTCTCCCCACAAAATATACATATCTCTGTGAGGTAGGCAACAACCCCACATGTCAAGTACTAAGAGACATGTGATTGAGATATCAGGTAAAACAGCGATGTCGATCATCAGGTGACGGCAATCCTTACTCCATGGCATGCCTGCTACCAAATCATGAATCAATTATTTGCACCTCAGCGCTTTGGCAATCGCAGTTTCAGCGACACCTCAGGTGTCGATGCTGACGTCAAACCTCACGTGAGGACACGCGGCCCGAGCTCCCAAACGTGGAGCTCCCCCAAGAGCTGAGCAGTGTTGCTTCCTCCATGTTAGCTGTCCTCCCAGCATTTTGACAGGCAGGGCCGTGTACTGAACCTGACAGCCGCGATTGCAATATTGGACCGAGAGCGTGTTTGGACGTGGCCCTTGTTGCTCCAACAACCTTTGATCGGACTCGACACCTTTCATTTCCCCGCAAACCAGCCATCCCTGCCTCACCATGGCGGTGTTCAATGTTTTCCGAGTCGCGGGTGATCTTTCCCACCTGGCATCAATCTTTGTGTTGATGTGGGCCATCCACAGGAACAAGAGTGCTGAGGGTAAGTGGTCATTGTTTGTTGTGCCATGGTTTCGTCCGATCAGGCGAGAGAGACTGCTGCTGACCCGGAGCTTGTCCTGCAGGTATTTCGCTCCTCACGCAATTACTATATGCCCTCGTCTTTTTCACACGCTATCTCGATCTGTTCTCCGGTGAATCATGGACCTTGATAGGCCCTGCAGGGTCTGCTGTACTATGGAACACCCCCTTGAAGATCTTCTTTATTGCCTCATCCTTCTACGTGATCTATCTGATGATGCGGGTCTATCCTCGGACAAGAGAAAGGGAGCGTGCTTGGAAGCTGGGTACGTGGTCGGTCATTGGATCGGTGGCCCTGGCCCCGATTGCTGTACTCATTGAGTATAGCAGATTCCCCTCGTTCTGGGTTGTCGAGGTAAGAAAGGGACCCTTGCGTTGAGATGCGCTGTATTGAGCTTTGTACTGACCAAAATATAGCTTTTCTGGGCCTTCTCTATCGTCTTGGAAGCGGTGTGCGTGTTGCCTCAGCTTCTGCTCCTTCGCCAGACCACTGTTCCCACCGTGATCGACTCTTACTACCTCGCATGCCTTGGCTCCTACCGAGCACTCTATATTCTCAATTGGATGGTGCGAGGCTTTGGGTCGGAGCACCATTGGGATCCCATTGCGTTGGTATTTGGTATCATCCAAACCGCTTTCTATGTTGACTTTGCCTGGGTGTACTACTCCCGCCAGCGCGTGAAGTTGCGCAACGGTGGGGTGGTTGACTCGGATGATTTCAGCAAGAGCTGGCTCGTGAATCGTGTCGTGAACTTCCGTGCCCGGCGCACGTCGACCGACGAGGAGCAGTACCTTCGGGAGGACGAGATTGAGGGAGATGGACGGACCAACACTAACCGATGGGGTGTCCGTGGTATCTCTGTCGCGGCCGATGATACTCTGGACAACTCTGGTCGTGGAGAAAACCACGACGATGGTCTCGAAGGGCTCTCTGACGATGATCTTGATGCTGCTCCGGCCCGTGGCCATTGAGCGTCACGTCTCAGCTCCACAAAAAGTCCTGACACGAAGTTATTGGGCGGGGAGAATTCAATGTTTTTTGTTCATGCTGCCATGTCTGTTGTTTCCCTTGATCTCGACTGTCTGATTCCTTGATTTGATACACTGTATGAAGCGAGCGATGCAAATCTGCCTGGGCACGGGCCGTGGCCCATTGGGTCCATCCGAGCCGTCAATCTACTACTGTGATGTGAGAAGAGCATGTATGTCATTTAGCCAACTTTTGAGCTCCATGGGAGCGGGTCCTTGCCAAGTTTCCACGGTGCTACGCACCCGTCTAAATGTCTCATTGCGACTGTGGCGTCGCACAGATCGTGCAATCGTACGACTCTGCTGTGATTTGGCCCCAGATATCCAGGAAACAAGGGTATTACTCCTTATCCGTCGTGCATACCATAAAGTAGGTACCTCCCATCACCACATCACCTGACCAACAACGGTGTTTCGCAGGTCCAATTTTTTTTTTTTTTTTTTTGGACCCGTTGAGCTATTTTTTTCCCCTGCAGAGACAAGGCGAACCCTGGGGGATTCGATCTGATGCAGAATTCTAGAAGCTCGCCGAACAATTTGCATGACCGTTGACATCACTCTCTGTCATCCCCTGAGTCCTTTGTTTACCTACCGTATTGCATTTCATACAGTAGAGCACCCTCCGCACATCCCACATCGGATCGACCGTGGAATTTGTCATGGACCACGCGGCCGATCGAGCACGTCGAGACCACGATCGAGACCGATGAGGGGTTGGAGGGGCGCTTCGGGGGTGGAAGCTAGTCCGTCCACGTAGGAGCAGCGAAAGACCGCTCGCGATGTGGCAATGGCACAGGTACGGAGGTGGGGGATCCCCCCAAAATCGGCAGTTCGATTTACGCCTTGCGGCTAGTCAGCGCGAGCAACAGTGGGGCCCCCTGCCAGCGCTTAACCAGCGGTCCTGAATACTCCGGCACAAGCCACGGCGAGCACCGCGCGCGGGTGCAGGTGCTTTCAGCCTCACCGGCCAGAATTACTAACTCCTATCCAGTCAAGAGCCGCCTCGGTACGCCCATGGCTCTCCTGCAGGGACCCTGGATGATGGATCACTTGGGCGCCATCCTAGGCGTTCTCGTCGACCCTCTCCTGTGCCGACGAGCCTGAGGAATCTGGAAGGTACTCCCCGTGGAGTCCCTTGTGAGGGTAGATACGAGTCGGATTTGCCTTGGGCATTCGAGATCTTGCAATCAGTGGGACGGGTGGGACGCGGTGGAGACTACCCGGCCGGTCAGAAGGATAAACCAGCAGGACAACCTTATCCGAAACTCCTCAGTACTCAGTCCTCAGTCCTCCGTCCTCAGTCCTCCGTCCTTTATCCTCCACGATCCTGAGGGCGTCTATTTAGAGTACACACGATTGGGCGCAGACGATGACGGGTGGACAACGTCACCAACAGCACAGCAAGATGCGATGATCCGCTGCGTACCTACCATCAGGTGCGGCGTAGTGTCGACGGGGATGGATCCTGTTCTGCGGCGAAGATCTGGAATGTCCCAATCCCTCGAACTCCTGCCTGTGCACCAGCCAGACCCAGCATGGCCGTCGCAAATTCCTCCGGGCCCCAGCGCTAATCACTGTCAATTTGGCCCTAACGCTCCACTCCGGCGTCCCGGGTGCAATCACTACGTGCGATCCGGCAAGGCGGTCCCGGCCCTCTCCACCCTTTGGACGGCCCCTACATCGCTCACTAGTCTTCATGGTTATTTGATTTTACTTTCCCCGATTTTCAACGCACTCACTCAGCATGTGGAGAACGGCCGAGTTGCAAGTCCTTCATCATATCCGGTCTGCACAGTCGTATCCACCGTCGCCGGTGGTGGGTGCTTGGGGGCCGAAATGGATATCGAACTATTGGATTCGCAGGCGCTTAAATATAGGCCCTCGACGAGCCTACACCTTCTCTCCCCCGAGCGCTTCGATGCAGCACATCCGTTGGCGGTACTGATTCGATTTTCTGGTGCACTCTGAGCCTATGGTTCCCCAAGTCCAACTGCTTGTTCGTCCTGCCTCGCGAGGCATTCCGGCGTGGGCTGTGATATCTCTCAAATTGCGTCTAGATATGAGGGGAATTTGAATCTATATCTTGTTGCCCTCTTCCCCTTTCAGCTCTCGCTCAGCACTCCTCATTGAACGTTGCTGGAAGAGATCTGGAGGCTTTTGTATCGCTTCTCGTGGGCATCTCGGCTTTTTAACGCCTGTCTTGTTTGTATACACGCCGTCTCTGCAAACCCACCACCCACCGTTTGGTTCCAACCGCCGCACTCGTACGCCGACTCCTGCACGGAGTGGTTTCGTGTTTCATCTTCTGCCACTTCCGCCTCCTGTCCCAATCAAGTGCACTCTGGGCCGCATAATCCAAAACATCAAAACGTGCTTTCATGGTTCTTCCCGCACACCAAGTGAAGATCATGTCCTTCCGTCCAGGCCAAGAACTCCCCATTCCTACGTCTGAAGAAGAGATGCAAGGGTTTTACGAGCCCATTGGGCCTCCAGTATGGCCTGGCGTTGATGCAGTATGTCACTTTCCTGGCCCCCAGCCCCAACCCCTCGGGGGCCTATAGGTCTACATCATGAAACACGCAAGCTAAATCGGAAAACTTTAGCCTACATTTCAGACTGCTTTCATGGATGCGAACCATCAGTACTGTACAGATCCCATGGTTCATCCCAATATCCTCACGCCAATCAGTCTCCCAGACAGTTCATTTCGTCCTAGTCCGGCAGTCAACCATCAGGAGTACCACCCGCAGGAATCCTACTACATCAACGATCCTATTGCGCAACCGCAAGGTCTGGGAATCTCTGCACCATTCCCCAGTGAATATCCTCGCACTAGCGTTCCTAGCTCTATCAACTATGCATACGCTCCTGGTGATCTACAACAATATGGCCTGGGCTCGACGCCCAGTATGTCCCCGCAAGCTCCGCAACCAAAGCGTATGAAGCGCACAAGCTCGAAGACTCCATCACGCGACACTCCGATCAACATTCTTCCTCATCCGGAAGGCATGCAGCGCATGGAACGCGATCGCCAGAATAACCAGCCTTCGCCGCCGATCATGCCGCCCAGGACTCGGGCGCCCGGCCGGGGTCGTCGCGACCCGCAGGCGGAGGAAGAGGACGCCTTTGTAGAGCGACTGCGAGAAGAGCAGAGTGTTCCCTGGAAGGATATTTGCGACATGTTTTTTGAAAGGTTTGGCAAGCAAGTGACCCCGGCGCGGCTCCAAATGCGGCTGGGTCGTCGGAAGAGCAATCGAAAGGCACGGTGGGACGATGCCGATGTGAGTACGTTAACACGAAATGCGGCGTCCAAGGACCTTATGCAGCTCGTACTAATCAGTGGTTGCCTTGCTCAGCTACAGCTGCTGACCCGCGCCCATGAATCATGGGAACAAGAAAAATATCGGTTTATTGCAGACAAGGTAAGCTCCTCCAAGATGACGTGTCTGCCCCCCTCGGCTTCTCATACTGCTTTTAGATGAAAGAACTTGGCTGCACGAAAGACTATACACCTGAACAATGCAAATCACAACTGCGCATCCAGTTTATGGGAGACTTGGAACGAGGCTCGCCATCAGCCAAATCGGATCCTGCACCATCACCCAAGACATCTAATTTGCGTAAACGCCGGCGCCAATCACGGGAAGCATAGCATTTGAAACCGCAACTATTTCCTTTCTTTGCACGGCGGTCTCCCCTTGAATTGCAGGTTCTATTCCCCATTTTGCGAATGTTATAAACAGCATGAACAGCTCAGGAGTAGGGCGCATTCTGCACACGCATAACACATACTATTTATACACCATTCTGGATTTCTCAGTCATGTATTTTGAAGGTAGCATTTCCCCACAAACCAAAATCAGATACACCGAACCGAATCTTGATCGCCCACGCAGCCTGCAGTCCTTGCAGCAGAGCTGAAGATATACATAGAACCTGCACCAGTGTGCGACCAGCTCAGACCTCTGCCTGCAGCAGAGATAGGCAGTGCAACTCCTAACTCCTACCTTAGGGTACCCTCCCTAACTAAGTGCTTACTCTGCGGGCCAAAATGCCAGTCCAGGATGAATCAGGGACGCCACACAATATGGAATACGAAATAAAAACCCCCAATCATGAAAGTACAATTTTCCGACCTAGTCTACCACCCAAAGTACTACTAAACTAGTTTCGTAGACACTACATGTCATGGTAACATTCACCGACTAGAAGATGAGCACTGGCAACTACCTGCGTGAAGACGTTTGGCCCCAACACTTGCCACACCGTGGCTCCGCCCGCACCCGAGCACAGCAAGCACAGCCAGAGCTATTCCCCATCCAGAACACCTGCATTGACCCGCGACGGACAAGGGCCACGCTATGTTCGAATTAGTCAGTCTGGGGCAGCCTCGCCCGCGACTCGAGGGCTCGGGATCTCTCCGCGTTATACCCGTTTTGTAGATCATGAACGGCCTTGCTCTGGACCCCGAATTGCCCAGTTTTTGACTGTGCATTCCGATCAATTAACACTAGCACATAACACTAGGGGAGCGTTAGACCCGGTTTACTGCGGAATGCGATATTATTTTGTTGTTTGTGGGGAAACTCTGGGCCCGGGGCCGGATTTCGGACGTGGTCTCGCGTCAAAGAACAGGGTTTAGAGGTCCAAGTATTGTCCGTGGATGATTCGGGATGTAGTTCGAGTGGGAGACTAAATTGTCGCGATGTTCCCGTCAATATTCCTAAGAGAGTGTAGGGGGGTTTGCAAGGATCTCTTCTCAACCAGGGATTTGATTGGGAACCGTCACATTCATGGTGCTTGCTATGAATTTGAAAGTGATTGACGTTACATGTACGCGTAGCAGCTGTCCCAATCGACGGCCACTTCGATGGTATGCTTGAAAATGCGGTGACTCTATTTTCATGACTCATGTTTCATTATCATGCCTCTATTGTTCAAGCTTCATCTTCTGAATCCAGGTCCTCTTCAACGATGGGAAATGTTAAGAGTGCGGCAATACCACCCAGCCCATCAAGACGCTTCCCACTCTCATGGTCGGAACTAAGAATGCGGACTTCACCGCCCTCAACATGTCGTACACGGTCCACAAGAGATACCCAGCGCTTTCGCTCAGTGATATCTTGCGATCGGAATAGACGGTTGGACATGATCAGAATGCCGCCTCCGCGACCAACGGCACCCTGGTCAACTGCAGACTCAACCTCGCGTGGACCGTAGGTCGCTTTGTTAGTCTCCTTTCGAAGCTGATCCAAGAAATCATCCATCAGCTTGGTTTCGCGAGCGTACTTGGTGTCGGACAAGAGGTTTTTGACTGCCGGGGATTGGAGCACCTCTGACAGAGAGTTTAGGTAGCCAGAGGCCGAGTGTACAACCACGACACTGGGAAGCAGTCGCTTCAAACCAGGAGTTGACGTAGCTTCAGCTTGGATGTATTTCTGGAATCCGGCAGCAACGAATCCCGGGGAGGCAAGGAGAACAGGCCGTACAGATTCGTTGTTGGAGCCGGATGTGATGCTGGTATTGAATTCCATCTGTCGGAGAAGAGTGTCCAATGTCACACGGTAGAACTTGATCATCCCCTGTTAATGGAGTTAGTAAGGTATATTTCTTCAAACGTAATTTCCCTGGCAAGAACGACACACCTTATCGTGATCGCCCCCACCCTGCCGTTTCCGCGGCACAGACATCTCAACCTTCTGCTTCAATATTGTCTGGAACTGCCCAATAAAGCAGATATGCGCCAATCCCTCCTGCATGACGACAGCGACGGCCTCGGCACGCCGCTTACCACCCTCATCCACAGCATCTTTGAGCATCTCAACCGCAATACTATCCCACCCAACACCCTCGCCATTGGCGCCGACCACCTTCTCTAATGTAAAGTTGCGATTAAGCTCCAAGTCCAGAGTGTGAAATTGCCCGATTTTCGTGTGCGCGGTCTCATTCATGATCTGTCCCGAAACGTGCAGCTGCGAGCTTTGCGGGTCAAAGTCCAAGTTCTTCACGCGGATTTCGAGCGTGAGGTGTACACGCGCGGAGCTCGTGGAGCCTGTATCTTGCGTTGTTGTCACACGGCGAATGGCGCTGGCACGGAGGACGTCGCCTGGTCGGACTAGGTTGTATGCGTGCCACTATTGCAATCGGGTCTGGTTAGATAATGTGGCAAGATATGGTTGTTGGAGATTGGACGTACGTACCATATCTTCGGGCTCCTCGGGACACAGAGTGACCATCCCGGAGCCATTTTGCTCGATTTTGTTCTTGATGAGACGCATGTTTGGCGAGGTGGGTTTGTCTCGCCCAAGTTTCGTCCGATATGGTGGACAGAAAGGTCACGACCTCGGTGAGAAGATTTCGTTTAATTTGTGGGAATTGGTATGCGCTCTTTGGGGAGAGCTTCTCAGATGAGTAGGCCTGAATGGTAGGGCGGATTGACCTCGGTGGTCTCGTGGGGTGGTCAAATTGGAGGCTGCCCCGATTACCGCGTCACTGCCCCGCAGAATATTGTACTGCCAGTATCTACCGCCTTTGCAGCGGCCATCCTGCAAACACTTTCCAATGCCTGACGAGATCATTGGAAGATTGCCCACAGTCAGAGTAGTACATAATTGCTTTGTATGCCGATCGAGGCTTCGACGGAAAGGATTTATCATCTCACAATTCAATTCATCAAGAAGCGTCTATCAGTCTAATAATCAGAAATTCGATGCTGGTAAGCTTGAGCGTAGCCCAAGTGATTTTAGAATGGGATAAGATGGACGCATGTTGACCAGAAGCCGACAATGAATCCGTTCCAATCATATTCGCACGGTCGCCATCAAAAAAATAAGCGAACATTCGCTCGAATCTGAAGGTCGTACCGAGCCTTCCCCTGAAGGTGACCAAGTAATTAATGGGAAAGGAGAGACTCGGCGCGAAAGTAGCCGAAGTGGGCCGTCAATTTTTATCAATCAGTGCGATCAGATTACGTTAAGGTTGCACCTCCAACATTCTACTTACGGCCGGTACCTTGCTTTGCACCCCTGTTTGATTACCAGAACCGCAAATATGGCCGGGCTTTCTCTTCAGTCTACATACCAGCTGACCTCGGGCCACTACATCCCCAGGGTTGGCTTTGGCGTAGGTGCCCCCGCGCCTGGCGTGTCGTCTGATCCAAAGTTAACATTTCACCCCGCTTTGCCAGGTTTACAAGACGTAAGTCGCCACATTGCAATTCCACTCTGTGATTCATTGCTGGCATCCTCTGACTCTATTCTATATTAGTCCTGCTGATGTCACCGAGAAAGTGGTCCTCAAGGCCCTGGAGCTGGGCTACCGCCATGTAAGTGTTGCGCGCAAGCGAATAAGGGTACGAATGTTCCGGCTGACGACCTTTTCAGATCGACTGCGCCAAAATGTACCAAAATGAAGCGGAGAGCTGTAACGCTATTCGCAACTCCGGACTTCACCGGTCGCAGATCTTCTACACGAGCAAGGTCCCCAGCACCAGCATGGGCTACGAGAAGGCGAAGCAGGCTATTGCAGAGAGTATTACTGCCGCTAACATTGGCTACATTGACCTGTATGTGAATTCGACCTATCGCATTTGGGAAAAGTGTGGAATATAAGCTGACGATTTCACCAGGATGCTGGTCCACGCACCCTACGGCGGTAAGGAGAGCCGACTGGGTACATGGCGTGCTCTGGTCGAGGCCCAGAAGGCGGGCTACATTCGGTCGCTTGGTGTTTCCAACTACAGCGTCCAGCATCTCGACGAGCTGGAAGAGTACATCAAAAACGGAGGTGGTGGTGAGATTTCCGTTGCCCAGTATGAGATCCACCCTTGGTGTCCGCGGGATGATATTGTGGCGTGGCTGCAGAAGCGCTATGTCATTATCCAGGCGTATGCGCCTCTGGTGCAGGGAACTCGTATGAAGGATCCCGTTCTTCAGAAGTTGTCGCAGAAGCATGGCAAGAGCCCCGCTCAGATTCTGGTCCGTTGGAGTCTGCAGAAGGTACGTGAATGGCCATATTACCAGATATCGCTTATGCTGGTAGATGGGAGAACTGACGATTGGTTAGGGATATATTCCTCTTCCCAAGTCTGTTACCGACTCGCGCATCCTGGAGAACGCGCAGATTTTCGATTTCACCCTGTCGGCGGAGGACATGGCGAATTTGACGCTGAACGAGTATTCGCCCGTGTCTTGGGACCCAGTCCGCGACTGCAAGCTGTAAATACGTGCACTGGGACCGTTGTAAATAGCTTCGTTAGACATTTGATAGATATAGAAATAGACCCCTAGTGCCAGGCGGCATTGATGTGGTGTACTTGTCAGCTGATTTCCTAGGCGGAGGACCCTAAAGGGGCAGTCTGTTGATCTCGGCACAACGTTATCCCCGCCGAGCAACAAACCACTCGAACCGAAGCAAACATCAACTCCACGACCGACAAATCGCGTACCTCATGACCGCACAATCGGCAGGCAGTCGCCTTAACGGTTGCCTTCACCATGCCGGACGAGCCTCGCCGTATCATCATCGAAAAGTCCAGCACCGTTCGGCGCCGGTACCAACGCAGCAACAAAGTGAAGAAGTTCACCGCTGCTGAGCTCAAGCGCATGGAACGCGAAGAGGAACTCAGCCGCAGAGCCAAAGCCATACGCGAAAAAGAGAAGAAACGAATCGCAAACAAGAAGAAAAGGGAGGAGCAGGAGCGGGAAAGAAAACGTCTTGGCCTGCCCGACCCTAATGCAGCGAAGATCCCTGCCAGTCAACCACTGCTGTCGAACTTCTTGGGACTCGCCCGAAAACCCCCACTTGCCCCTGAACCAGCGCCGGATTCACCTCAGGATAAAATCGATACCGACACTGATACCGAAAATTTGGCAGGAGACACGGAGGCAGACACGGAGGCAGACTCAGAAGGACCGGACGCATCGAATGCGGAATTAGAGAAAGATCTATCCGAATTCCAGGAGGCGTCAATACCCCAAGAACACACTGGAGAGGACAATAATAACGATACTACCAAAAACACTGGCTCAATTGATGGTTTCGACGAAGGATTGGAAAAGGACCTATCTTCTATTCAGAAGGAGCCTATACTCCAAGCAGCCATTGTAAATGGTATCAAGGATGACGGTGGCAGCGACATGGATCTGTTCGATGATTTGGACAAAGAATTGGAAAACGATTCACCTTGTCTCAAGAGGGCGACCGCATTGCAAGAGACCACTGTGAATGACGCCGAGAACGATGATGGCGGCGACACCGATCAATTTGATGATTGGGATGAAGAATTGCAGAATGACCTTTATTGCCTCCAGGATGCAGGCATCCCGGACAAGGATATAGTCGGTGGGACTGCAAATGGCACTTCAAATGTACCATTAGCACAAGATAATGATCGAGACGATGACGAATTCTCAGACTGCTCGGCATTTGACGATGCGAACCTCATCCAAGCAGCCGATACGGTTACGGCCTCGTCCTTTGCACAGAATGATAGACAGAAGAACCATTTACATTCACCCTCCAAACCCGCCGCTGCCTTGCATCCGCCCTCGAGCATTTGTCCCAAGCCAACAGCGCCCCCGTTGCTTTCAACTGGAAGTTCCTTCTACGACGACACTGCGGACTACCTCGAGGAAGTCTTTGCGCGCGGGACCGGCGATCCATTCAGCGAGCTCTTTTAGACCGGTTCGCAGACCATCGCTTTGCCATTTCATCTTGCATTCCGTCGACCACATTTGGTCTTTGGATAGAGCATTACAATTGTCTCGCTCACACTATTGGCTGTCCATACTTTGGCTGGTTTATAATAGCTGTCTGCACGTGAAATCATTGTGCCATGCCATACATGAAATCGATACCCCAGCTTCTCCTGGAGAGGTTTATGCCCATTCGGACCAGTAGATGAGGCTCACATGAATCTTCCAATCAAATGCCACGTTATTTTCAAGTGTTCAGACTATTTGCATTTTTTGGTATTCAATTTGTACGCCATCGAAAACTTGCGACTGATAAAGTAAAGCCCCCGAAATGGAGCTAACTGGAAAAGTCTCGGGGCATTTCGATATGATCGGCTGCGAGCCGACGGTCGGAGGGGCGCATCCGCCCTCATCGGATACCGCCATACGGTGCCCCTCATTCGGCTTTGCGCTTGGCAGTGTAGGGGGTAGTGCGAGCTGATCGAATACGTTAATCCCGACGGATAAAGCGGACCCTGCAGAGAAAACGAGAGAAGAACCGACAAGTCAGATGAACAAATGAAAACCAGGGCGCCGGCCTTATCGGCAATGACGATAATCGCTCCAGCCGCGGCCACTTGAGCATAGCCTAAGGTATAGTTCGGTCTCCATTCGAGGGAATTTGCGCTCTACACCTACCGACTCGATTCATTATTTCTTGGGGGAAATTCACATCCTCATCCGAAAATCAAGACTAAAGATGCCTTTCGTCCAAGCCAACACCCACCGTCTCAACTACGCCGACTCCCACCCGGACGGCGCCCCGACAAACGGCCACACCTTCGTCTTCATCCACGGGCTGGGCTCCTCACAGAATTACTACTACCCCGTGACTCCGCGTCTCTCAGAGAAGCACCGCTGCATCACCCTCGACACATACGGCGCCGCCCGCTCACCATACACCAATGATGCCATCTCAATTCCCAGCATCGCAGACGATGTCATTAGCGTGTTGGACGCGATGAAAGTCCCCAAGGCGATTGCCGTCGGGCACTCGATGGGCGGGCTCGTGGTGACCGAGCTTGGATCGCGGTATGCCGATCGTGTCCAAGGTATCGTCGCCATTGGGCCGACACATCCTTCGGAGATGCTGGTGACGGTGATGGGCAAGCGAGCCGAGACGGTTCTGGACGGTATGTCCCTGACCTTGTCATCCCCCTTGAGACTGTAGAGCCTTGGCTATGTCGACAAGGTGCTAACTGATCTCAATCCAGCTGGCATGGAGCCAATGGCGAATACTATTCCTTTCGCGGCCGTCGGCTCCCGCAGCACCGCGCTTCAAAAGGCGTTCATTCGGGAGCTGGTCTCGGGGCAGGACCCCAAGGGATATGCGGCGCTTTGTCGCGCGATTGCGTCTGCGAGGCCGTCTGATTATGCGGCGATTACGGCACCGTTCCTGCTTATTGCGGGTGAGGAGGATAAGTCGGCGTCTATGGAGGGATGTCAGCATATCTTCGCTCATGTTTCTAGCCAGAGTAAGTCGCTTGAGGTGTTGAAGGGTGTCGGTCATTGGCATTGTATTGAGGCTGGGGATGAGGTTGGCGAGTTGATTGCCAAGTTTGCGGCGGGAATTTCTGTTTAATTGCAGCTACACTAGTAGTGTACTAGTACAGGTTGAGCAGCGACTACGCTATACAAACCAGGCCTTCAGAACCAATGAATATCAAGTACCGTCATATCTAAGTTTATGATTAGTTTAAATCCAGACTGGGATAGGAATGGTGTGATGATACATGGAACTTGTGATACTTTTTTCATGAATCTTATTCAAATTATGTACGGAGAACGCTTCGACCATAAATATGACAGAATTCCAAGGAAACGAATTACACCCGATATGCACTTTATTTCGCGTCAGCCACGAGCTTGACATCATAGTTGAGCTCTAGACCAGCTTGAGGGTCATCCTTGCGCTCGACAAAGTCCACGACCAGTGAGTCCTTGACAGCGAATACAGAGTCGTTGTCCAGGTACTTGTCTTTGCGGTCAAAGATCTGGGTTGTCAGAGGGCGGTAGCCATCATGAGTAGCCTATTCGGAAGTCAGCAATGGTCATTAAAGTCATAGCTAGCTATGCAAGAAGCACTCACAATGATGTGAATGTGAGCAGGGCGGAAGGGGTGGCGGTCCATCAGCTGAAGCATCCTGCCGGCGGGGCCTATATCATCCGTCAGTTTGCGCCTTCTTGTAGAATCCTCTCATGATCAGTCTTACCATCGTCGGGGACCGGGTAAGGTGTCGGCCGCAAGCAGTAGAAGTAATACCGACCGTCGGCATCAGTCTTGAACTTGCCGCGCAGGTTGAACTCCACCTGGTTCTCGTCCTGCTGCTCGTACAGACCGTTCGTCGAGGCCTGCCATACCTCGACCGTCGCGCCGACGAGCGGCGTCTTCGTCTCGAAATCCATCACCCGGCCGTGCATGAAGGCCATCTCACCGTCCTTGGGCTTGGTGACCACGATATCAGCGCCGTTCTCGCGGTACGGGGTATCGGCGCGGAAGAATGGGCCCAGAATGGCGGTCGCCGTGGGCGCATCTTTGGCTTCATCGGCGAGGGTGAAGGTGATCTCATCGACAAGACTGCGATTTAATTAGGAAACCGTTTTGTTTGTGATAACTCATCACTGGAGGTATTCTCACGACTCCAGCCCGATCACGTCGCAGACCAGCTGCCCCTCATTCCGCTTGTCGTCGCTCATCTGTCCCGCCCAATTCAGCAGCTTCACCCCGGCCATCCACTCATCCACGGTGAGTTCATTCTCGCGCGCAAAGTCGTGCACATGCTTAATGAGGCCGGTCATGAGCTGGCGCAGACGCGGCGAGGTCTTGGGACCCATCGAGTTGATGACATTGTCGGTGAAGTTGGGGTCGAACCGGTGTGTCGCCATGGTGAAGGTGAGCCGTGCGGCCTGTAGATGGGGGAAGGAGAGTATGGGGAATGGTTGCGACACTGTCGCGAGCGAGTATATATAGCGTGGGCCCTGCGCCAACGATGCGAGTGGCCGCGCCTGATCCGACGGAACTACTTGCTGCTTGAGCGGCAATCACGGATCATCAGCATTTCCGGAATGCCCCAGACGCCGTTGACCAACAAGTCGATGCTTATTCGAGGGCGACCCCGCAAAATCGTGGCACGGTGGCATGATTGGGTCCGTCGTGGTCGGAAGTCACCAGCTGCGCTTCCAAAGGTTGACGTCGGCTGGTGGCGGTTTGTTTTCGGATCGGAGAGGGCGTGGGCCGCTTCCGATCCCCTGCGTCGGATATCCAGCCTGCTTATACACAGTACCATACTTGTTATAGGTAACTAGTTAACTACCTCATTCGGATGAATAATTCCGGATGATTATCTGGAGTCCTCAAACGATGATCGGAGATTGGTTACGAATTGGGCCTTCTTACAAAGAGGCGTTCGGCCCCAATAGGACTGGTCCGTGTGACAGAAATACGATTCCGACAGAAATATGGAGATGGAACAGTGGTATAGATCGGATGGATGCTTCCATTGTGCACCAGTGTGATACCAGTTTCAACATTACATTATATTATCACCCATTATATACTGAATAGATTTAAGAGTTCCAGGTTACTTATACTCGCGACTGCCCCTCTCCCTCAACCGTCATTGCCATCCACAGAAGCATCAAGAGATCATCCACTTTCTCACACCATTCAGCGAGCTCCTGTTCAATCCCCGGATTCCCGGGGTTGGTAAGATCCTCCTCACACGCTGAAGATTGTCATAGCAAAAGCAAATCTCGCAGTCAATCCTCGCTCTCCTTTCTGTTTTCTCGCGTCCATTTCTTCATTATACCGCTTCTTCCACTCTTTGTTTGATGCCGCCTCCCAAAGTTCGCGGACACAAGGTAAGGCCATGTCGAAGAATTCCGGACAATCGCCTCTCGAAGGAGTCTGTGTGTCTACCTGAAGCAGCCAGTCGAATAGATAAAGAAGACAAGCAACTCTATAGAAACTTGGCATCCGGGGTCATAGAGGTACCGGGGGAAATGGTATACCTTCTTGTGCCCTCCACAAAGACCTATATATCGCGGGAGAGACATATATAATCTATGTCTAAGTCCCATGTTCGGATATCATCCCCTCGGCGAAGTTCTGACATAGAAATCGAGTCAGTGACACAAACTCATCAAACAGGAGCATTTGGCGGGTACAAAAACCTCACATGTATCAACCACCCACGCGGCATTATCGTGCGGCACACATGATACCATATACCATGGCGGCCTACAAGGCCTGCAGCATCCGTTCTTCGTCGTATCCATCGTACTGGTCATTCTTGAATATGCTATACATCAGATGGATACATCATGAACATACCTCCTCGCTCATTTGTCGCAGTTGCGTACATATTTGCTGCCACGCAAAGCCTTGGCTACCCGGCATTTGGGACTAGAACATATGGGTGAGATTGGCACAAATAGACAGCGGTTCCGGCAAGCATCGATGAGGCGATTCTGGAGGACATTCATCATGCGCTAGAAAGCAGGGAGGGTATATAAAAGGCGGCAACGTTTTAGCATCGGCCATAATGCAAGTATAATCAGTGAGTCGACTGAAAAGCATCTTCGTCGTTAGAGAGCCTTGATGGAGGGTTCTGACTCGCTGCGAAAGCTGTGGTTCGGCCGCCTTGCCGTTGGAAAGAGAATTGACTGAATTGGACACTGTGGGTACTCCCGAATGACTAGCTGAGGAGCCATCGATTCTGGAGTTTATGGTAGAAGGCTGGATGGTAGAAAGCCGTGGGGATACCAGAAAGTCCGCAAAGGAGAAACATGCTGGCTCGATATTGGCGGGTTGCGAGGTATGTGCCTCCAGTGTAGACACGAAAGACCCATCCAATGCCCCCGACAGATTGAAGAACGATGGGTTGTAACAGAATGGGTAAACAATTCTGGCATTTGTGCACGTGTTTCGGTCACTAGCATCTCATCGGATTCTGGCCCAAGCTGTATTTCATTTGAATTTGTAGATGTGCAAGATGTCTAATCCGGTGAAATAAAGAGCCCCAAGTTTACAGCCTCAGCCGCACCGGTTCCCTCATTAGGTCCGGGGTTATATGGATCTCGTGCAGGCCTAATAGGTTTGAAACCCCTCGGTCCATCGATTTTCAAGACGGAGCGGGGCTGAATAACGGTATAGTGACAGTCGTGACGGTGGCTGGCGCAACGCTCGCACGAGTCACCAATGAGCATTTCGACTCGGTTCTGCGATAGTGAACGCATGATTTAGTGCGTCGGACCAGCATACTCCCACATTGCCGGGGTTGCTGGGGTTAACGGACTTGAGGATTGAGAGAGTATGAGATGAGGATTGCAGTCGCGGTGGCCGTGGTGAGGGAGCTGCCGGCCAGATCGCCGTATTTTGTAGTTAATCAGCGTTTAGAATGCACTGGAGATCGCGATTAATGAGATCTATAGAGTCTGCTTGCAAGAATGCGCTCCCTATATAAGTCTTAGGACGTCCTTGGTATGGATAAATTACTAGTAGATGCCGTTTATTCACTTTATATAGATTTGGATCTGTTTGAAGTTTTATACGATGACCATCGCCTGTAAAAATTGCTTGATTACCGGCTGTTTAAGCGGTGGCGCCGCCCTTGCCGGTGTCTTCACAAACAAGGGTTACCATGTCTTTGCAATAGCCCACTCGCTGCTACAGTGCTCGCGCTCGATGTGACATCGTCCGAGTCGATCGCTGCAGCTGCCGAGATTGTCCGCAAGCAAATAGGCGGAAAGCTCGACGTTTTGATCAACAATGCTGGCCTTGGATTGGAGATGCCCTGTCTGGACACCTCGATAAGCCAGGCGAAGGAGCTTTTCGATCTCAATTTCTTTTCTGTTTTTGAGATGGTTCAGGTGATTAGACCCATTTTGGTGGAAGCTGGAGGTTGTACCGTTAATAATTCGTCTGTTGGTGGTCGTTTCCTATTCCATTCATTGGTATGTTATCTACGCAGAATTTTGGAGAAAGTCGTTTTTCCATTTAGGAATACATTGACACGTCTATACAGGTATATACCAGGCAACAAAGACCGCTCTCATCTGAGCCAGTGAAGTTTTGTGTCTCGAGATGGCACCTCTGGGAGTGCGTGTTCTCACACTTCTCACGGGCGGCGTCTGCACATACTTGTCCAATACCCCGGTCCTGGAGCTAGCAGAAGGCTCAGACTACCAATATCATCAAATGCATTATCGAAAAGCAACCAGAAAAGATACCATACAGTATTAGTCCTGAAGAATTCGCAAATGATGTCATACGCCAAGTTGAGAAGAACTCGACCGGCAAGTATTGGATCGGAGGAGGCGCCTTCATGGCTCGCTTGGCACTGTGGCTTCTACCCTAGTGGATAGTCGTAAGCTTTAATGTGTTTCTTTGTTATGCTGATTTCGTAACAGCTGAATTAGGGCCGGTTTTCGCTAGATTAAATGCCCTTTGCTGACCAATTAGCAAAAGAATATCAGAGTCGATTCAAAGAAAATAAGAAGAGAAATTAACGATTTTTGTCAGTACAGATACTTCCTTCGTTTCTAATTTACTTGTAATTATCAGTAATAAGATCAGTTAATGTCGAATATTTCAAGCATAACCCTGGCGAATCTTCAACTATCGTAGACGCTTAGCTTGAGTATAAAGAAGGAAATTTGTATTCAATCTCGCAGTAGCACTGAGTGCCATATCAGCAGCGTTTAAGGAGTGGTCAAAGCTCTATTATGCTTCCCAGATTCTTTCCTCCCACTCGTCCAAATCGTCCCAAGCCCCTCTCTATTCCGAATATAATGAAAAGTTCCAGTCCGAAACAACAGATCTCATAAGTGTTGAAAGAGATTAAAATTCACAAGAAATGATCCCATGAAATAATCTAAGCCCAACAGCGCCCCTCGACCTGAGTCTGGGGAGGACCAACATCAACAGTGCCGGGTCCATAGACATCGGTGACCGACTTGTCGACACCGTTGAAGGTGCAGTGCACACCACTGACATCGATCTCAATGTGGGAGATGCTTAGGACGTTGGCTGTGAAAATTAGTCTTTTGACTCGTTCAGAAAGTTGGGGTGCAAGAGAAACGTACAGATAACTGTGGAGGTGCCATCGGTGGGGAAGGTCTGCTCGAAGTGGGCATCGGCAGCACCGATGAAGTCCACAGTGACGCTACCGCGGCGCTGGGGTTGGGCGTCACGGCGCCAGAGCTTGGTGCAGTGGCCGGAGACTTGGGTCTGAGGAGGTCCAACGTCGACGTACTGGGCGCCAGTCACGGTGGTCTCGCCCTGGTCGATACCCTCGAAGGTGCAGGTCACACCGTCGGTGCTGGAGGAGATGTGCGAGATGCTCAGGGGGTTTGCTGGAATTACTCGTTAGTTTTCATGCTATACTGTAATTTATAAGCAGGCTAGGTCATACTGATATCGACGCTGGAACCGTCGGTAGGGAAGCTCTGGGTGAACTGAGCATCGGGCGCGATGAAGGTGATGTCTACGGGCTCATTGCCGGCGGAACGCTTCATGGGGCCGGCGCTGGCAGTAGCGACGGCAGCGGAGAAGATGATGATCTCGGAGAACTTCATTTTGGAAATGGGAAAGTTGTTCAAAATGTTTTTGAAGATGGTTGGGCTGATTAATGATTGTTGTGATTACTTGTGTTGTTGAACGATGATTCTTTAGGAGATGATGGGCCTTCTTATAACTTTCGAGAGCATCTGCCATGATGCTTATTGAGGCCCTGTGTGATAAATTTAGTAATACTTTCTATACCTTCTCGACATTCATGCGGATGGCCTTACGGGAATACGAATATGGTGACGTCGGGAGGTAGCGCATGCTGGGACTGTCTCAGCATATCAGCCTATGATAATGGTAACCAAAACCACATGGAGAGGCTGAGCCCCGCGTATACTTGCATCAGGTAGAAGGCCTACAATCTATGCAGCAGCAACTATGGGAAAAAAGGGCCTTAACCAACCCCAAGGCTGTTCCATAGTTAAAGAATACTAATTATAGTCGACTACCAAAAACCATTCAATCACGCGAGGGAAATACGTATACAATATTCGGGACAAGATGCGAATTACCATGGTTCTCATAGACTGTTTCAGACGTGAACAGCTTAGTAGTACTATGGTACGATTGCTGACTCTGTCCAAAAGCCATGGCAGGAGTACGAGGAACAGTAAACCATGCGGTCGGCTGTTTCATGACTGTCGCCTCGGGACACCGCGGATCCAACAGATGCGGATCAGGCCGGTGCGCAGCTGACCATACCCTGCGTTGTAAGGCAGGACATTGCAAGGTGCTCTATGGTACGGCTCCGAATAAAGCTGGCAGTGCAGACAGCCTCTCCCCGCAATTCGTCGGCTGCTTCCCCGCAATCGACCGATCGGCCTATGGTTGACCTCATTAGGCGACCACAACCAACCGCATTGCGGCTCGGCGATGAGCGCGTCATCCGATGCGCTGGCTCGAAAAAGATCGCGCCTGAGCTGGACCCGGCTGCATATTCGTGCGGCTCGATGGTTAGATTTAGTCAGATCTCGAGACGCTAGTCGAATGCGCCAATCGTCGTTGACGCCAAATGTATGAATACCAAATGTAGAAAGCAATGCGCCTCGTTGCACGGATCGGCTAAGAAGTATTCTAGGATACGTTAAGATTGAGTGCCCAAGTTAGTATACTGTAATGATATTTAGTTTTGATCGCCTCGGCTATGCAGGAGAACTATGCAAGTTATGTAGCACGGTGCTTTGATCATCGTCTAGTACCCTTGGAATTTCCCTTCTGAGCCAGATGCGCTGGTAGTTCCTGTAGTTCCTCCCCACGTTCCCAGATCTTCCCCAAGCCAGCCTTGCGCTCAACCACCACATCGAAGAAATCAACAGAGACATTCTTCACTGGTTGTCCGTTGGAATCTTCCTTGCCCTTAGGAACAGGCAGGCCTTCACTCAGGATAACACCATTCTCACTGCGCCAAAATGGACATCCAGCTGCGAGTGCCTTGCGCAAATTCAAATAAATCAGAACCTGTGCATCCTGCCGCATACCTGAAATGACCTGATTTTGGTCCTTTCCATCTTTTTCTTGGCCTTTATTCCGGTGTTGCTGCGCCGCTAGAACGGACTCTAGGGATGGCCCTGTGGCGAAATGGACATGATTACGCCTCATGCACTGTAGCCCACCTGACTGCAGGATAGCAGGCCATGCACCGTGGAATGTACCGTGGACCACAGTCTCCGGAAGCTTGGATTCATCTGCTAGAGAGAGCGGTTCGAGGAAGGATGCCGCTTCAACGCATTTAATACTGTGGCCTTGAGTCGCGCGGATGAGGAAATTGAACGGGTTGATGTCGGTGACAGACAAGGCCTGCTCTGTCGCATTCTGTTGATCTTCGCTCGACTCGGGCGCGTCTAGGGCCGACGCCGGAGGTTGGCCATCGTTTGCTGCCAGTTCTGCGTCCCCGTGGCCCGACCCCGGTGCCGTGGCAGGTGTGGTTGTCGCTTTTGTTGTAGACTCGGTCGGTTGGGCGGAAGGAATGTGGAGGAGAGCAAAGCGCTTCTTGTCGGAGGATGCCACGGCGTGACGCACTTCGTCGAATGTGACTTTGAGGGACTTGAGTTTCCTCCATGCTAGCTGGAATAGGTGCTTGGTTAATACCGGAATAAAGAGCTACTGCAGAGCAGTCAGAGATCACGTACCACGTCTGCCACATTCGCATACCCCTGAGCGTTCATCTTAAGGCCCTCCTTTTCGGCGGCATGTCGCAGCAGCAAGCTCATTGCCTTGGAGATCTGCACCTCCCGAGAGGGAGGGTGACCGCGGCCCCGCCGGTCCTTGTCTTTCGGCTGATCGGCCATGCTCAAGATTTTACGAGGGAGTTTGTCTGGGAAGTATGGATTTGCGGTTGATAACGCGTTGCTTGCGGGGAAGCGATGTGAAGCTCGGAATTTCCTCGAGATGTTCTGGCGGGGCAGCACTGCGTTAGTACGGACCGACCAGATAGCCGCGAGTAATTGAAAATAACTTTTTACCGAAGGCGATCCACCACAATCGAATCGTCTGACAATGGAAAGGAGTCGGGGTCTTGGAAAGGAAGGGCTAAATTGAGGACGTTTGCATTGACGTCGACATCCCACTCGAAATTTTGGAGATAGCGATAAGCAAGTGGGGCACCAAATCAACAATATGGGGATCGCTACAACCACACCACTCCAGGCAGAATCTACTTGATGAGAGACCAGACCAGGTACACTGCCATTTTCGACATTTATATTAACCTCCATCATGCTACTGATTAATTACTCTACATTCTACTACCACCAAGGTAACAATTTTGCGCAGTTACTATCCAGCTTTCTTCTCGATCAGCCGCATGGTCACCTACACATCATCGCTCAATGGCTAGAAGCTCCAAGATTGAAAACTAATGCTGTACATTCTCGCTAATGAATGGGTATCGGGTATCGAAGACACATTGAACTCCGCAGCCCTTCAAAGAAACAACATATTCCCGTGATATAGAAAGGATCAACGATCGCAGATACAATTGCACTCTGCGACAGGGCAGATTCGGTGCCGGGCAAACCATTCGTGTGCATGGTCCGCATGGTATCCGTGGTTACAGTTGATGCAAAAGACAACGAATCGCCGCATCACTTCGGTCCGGGTGGGCTTGCGAGAGCCAGCTTCCGCATCAGCGGCAATGCCAGCTCGCGAATTTGGATCGGGCGAGCCGAGCCAGAGGTTGCAAACGCCGCAACGTGGCATGTGGCGGCCACAGCGAGGGCAGACGGTTCCAGACAAGGCGCCGGGGCCGAGCGGGTGGCCGACAGTGGGATGGACAGTCTCACCGCTGGTCGAGGGAGAAATTTGAGAGGAGGAATCGTGCTGGGTGAGAGGTCGGGTGCAGTAGTTACAGGTTAGACTGACCTGCTGCGGCGGTGGAGCGACAAGTTTGCGCCCATCCACAGTGACTGCGAAGCGCCGAGAGTTGACATCGAAGCGGGCACGTTCCAGCTGGAGCTTCCAGGAATTCATCGATCGTCGATAGGTCTCGCGCCATGCTTCAAATTTGGCGACATATGGTTCATGGCTAATAAGCCGGGGAACCGTATGGCTCATGGCCAAGGTTGGAGTTTGGACATCATTGAACTTTTCGATGTAAGATTGGAACAGGCCAATGGCCAAGTGGCCCAAGCCTGTGAGAATGATACCTTCGATGTCACCTTGCTTGATTGCTTCCGCGGTGGCCTCTTTCACATAGATTGTCAATTCATCATCAGGTAGCCAGCGAAGAGCAACTTCGACCCGATACTTCAGGGGTAAAGTGTCCTCTTTAATCACGGCGTGCCAGTCACCCTTGCTCACGAGGGCAAGGATTGCGCGCGAGTATGGATCGGTTAGTTCTTTAGAAATCTCGGCGCACGTTTCTTCCCAATCGGTACTGTTTTCGCCTTTCGTAGCACCTGCGGCACCGGCAATGGCCATGGCCAACAGCTTATGAGCCTGGGTAGGCTCATTGCTTCGAAGGCCCATATATGCCAGTTTTGGTTCGTCTTGAAAGATAGCCAGTGCAGCAGCTTTAGTATGCTGGTTTTCTGACGAGAGGTTCCGGACAGACTCCTCAAGTTCCTTATGGGATTGAGCCGCTCCACAAAGACGCAAGCAGAGGCGACGGTGTTCGGGGAATTTCGTATCGCATACTTTGACCTCTGGGAGATTCAACAGATCGACTAGATGCTTGATAATTTGCTTTGGATCGACAGAAGTCGAGCCAACACGGCGCCGTTCAAAGCCTTCGCCTTCTCCAATGTCAGATAAATCGGTCGAAATCGCTAATTGCAAGGGAGACAAACCTAGGTCATTGGTCCAGACGTTGCTCACGCCCACATAGTTCATGTCTACTCCATGTACGACCATGGATGATCCAGCAGAATCGTTTCGGGCGCCTGTGGAAATTGTCAGAGCTTTGTACGTCAAATAGATCGGGGCTAATCTTACGTTCAACCCATGCCCAAAAATCCTGCAGGGCAGGATCGTCTTTCACAATCTTTTGGTTTCGTGCTTCGTCAAAGAGATATCCCTCCTTAGCCCGATACTGGTTGACTGTGGACAAAGTTAAGGCCTCCTTCGCGGTCAAAAGTGCTCCCATTGTACCTAGAGAGAGCCCCTTTCCCTGTTCTCTCGGCTTGGGACTGGTTCATTGCCCATAACTCTGGAATCAGACGTATCTACTGAGCTTGATAGAGCACGAGTCCTGATATTTTCAACGAGTTCGGCAATAGGAGATATTTTCTCAGAGAGAGGATGGATAGTTCGGAACTCGGAACGTTCATTTCCGTTCGAAAGACCACAAGCCAAGACGCCCTGGGAGGATAGAGAGACGGGCGGACATGGTGGGCGACCGGTGACGATATGAGGCTGTCCATGGCCATCCAGTGCGATTGCGTTGGCTTGTGAGGTGAACCGGAAATTCAAGAAATCAAAAGACACTACCCTGTCTTTCTCTTGACAACCTCGAGTTGGATGATCGAAGGGCACACACACGTCCCGGACGTATTTTGTGTAAATGGGCTCTGGGTAGTTCTTGAAAGTGCCCTGACCGAGAGTCTCGTCAATTGATGAACGGAATTCTTCAGACAGATGATCCTTTGCGATATCAAATGTTTTGAAGTGGCCGGTATTAGAGAGCGCGCCCAGGCAGCCTCGGTTGGTTTTGGAGAAGCGTACACTCCAGATGGACGTTTTGGAGTTGAACACGTCCTTCAATTGCAGAGCGGCTGCCGCCTGGTTGGAGTCGGGACTGCTTGTTGATGATACCACAGATGTTGAGGTGAGCCTAGTTCCTACGCGCCGATCCCACACACTTATGGTGCTCTCATTTGCAGTTGTGCATGACGCGATGTAGTTCTCGTCCAGCCAATCGATCGCTAGGTTGTGAACACATCGAGTAGGGAACTGTAGAGATGGATTACCGGGCCCCTCTGCATAGACATTTAGTTAATATATGTCAAAATGGATAACTCCCAACAGCCAGTGAAACATACCTCGAAGATCATAGATCCGGACGAATTGGCCTTTCACTCCAGTCACTACCGTATCCGGTTGATCTCGGAAGAACTTGATACTGGTAATGGGTTCCGAGCTGGCCAGTTTCCTCAGAGGTTCAGGGAAACCCCTGGTACCACCAGAAGGACCCAGTCGCTGGTTCACATCCCAGATGTTCAAACAGAAGTCATTTCGAACACGATCAAGACCAGAAGCCACCAGACCATGTGTGCTAAAGGCCACAGCATTACAGTATCGCTGATTGCGAACCGGAAAAGATAGTGATTCTTTGGGGTCGGCATCGAGTCGCAAGATCGTAGCTTCGCCAGACGACTGGCCGACAGCGATGAGGTTCTCGTTGGAGGTGGACCAATCGAAAGCGCGGAAAGGAGGAACGTTGGTCAGAGTAGAGAGTACATCATGGCGCACATTCCAGCCATCGAATCCAGTTACCCTGCAAAGACGAAATGACTTGCCGGTCACGTCCACGGAGAGGTACCGCTGCTCCGCAGCGGACGAGCTCGGCGACCAGCGAATTGCGGACTCCATTGTGCCGGGACGTTGTTGAGGAGTCGGCGATCGAGCTGCTTCGGAGGCCGGAGCCTCGATTCTGTGAGTTGCAGCTCAGTAGCTAAGTACTTTGGGCGGAGCGGAGCGGTGGTGAGGGGACGATTTGAAGGGACGCGGTGTTATCGTCATGCGAACGGCCGGGCGCTCATTGGTTCGCATACCTTGGCTACCCGATCTGGGGTTGGCCGATTGCCGCCTTGGTATTCAGGCAAAATTTCGGTAAATCATTCTGCCGATGCCGATGCACATACTACAGTATGGTAGCTAGAGTCTTGAACCCTGGGAGGAATTTATGCGACCTATCTATAGAGGGATTGAAAGGTACGTACATTTACGTGAAGTGCCGGATTTAGTCTGGGGCGCTTCATATACTACATATACTACATACGAATGTTTTTTTCGGATGCAAGGAATCAGAAGGGCCGCGATGGGGTTCATGGAACTCTGATGAACTGACTCCGACAGAATTGCTTGCTGTCACGGTAGATTCATGCTTCATAGACTCATTTTCAACTTGCACCGCAATCCTGCTGACTAAGAAAAACCTCGTTAACGTAACCCGTAAGCGAGTGGATCATGTAAGCCAGCGGATCACTTACCCAACTACCCAGCCACGAAAATATATATAAAATAACCACCAACCAATATATTCAATTAACACTGTTCACACACTAATTAGGGCACCTAGTTCTCTTATGCCCTATATTCCAACAATTTGAACACCTCGGCGGCGCTCTCTGATTGGCCGAATTCGCTACCGCAGCCGCCGCCGTATTGTCTATGATCTCTGCTTCAACACCATTTGCCTCCTTCTCAATACGCTCCTGAGCCTCACCAACAGTCATCCCACCATTATTAGCTATTCGCCGATTTGGTAATGCCCTTTTTCGCTTTTGGTGGGCATTTTCAGCGCGTAACCGCTCATTCTCATTGCTTACTAGAGCAACCTGATGAATTGCTTGTTCAGCGCCCTTGATTAGCTGCTGTAACGCAATCTTAGCAGGACTTGGGGGCGTATATGAGCGTTGCCGTAGTAGTGTTTTGATTGAAGAAGCCTGCCGTCGGATATCAACTGGATGAATTGGCGTGTGAGGTATGAAATCGCGGCTACTATCACTACCACGGCTGGTTGGAGGGGTTGGTGTTCGAAGCTGAATATCAAGAATATTAAGCACTCGCTGTGGCTGATATGGTATAAGTCCTGCAGCGGCGAAGCTATTTGATATCGTAGCTGGTTTATATACCTCTGTACGCGTCTGAGGATATGAGGCCAGAAAATCAAGCTTATCAATATGATTAACGCCATTTCGCATCTTAGCCTGAACGTGTTGTCCGTATAGCCGTTTCAAAACAGCAAAACAGCCAATATCGAGAGGTTGAAGTAAATGAGAAGAGTGCGGAGGCATACAGATTGGAATAATCTGGTTTTGCTGGCAAATATCGTCGAATTGAGGTGTAACATGGCTTCCGTGGCCATCCATCACTAATAGCCGCCATACCCCATGTCGACAGTTGGTAGTATGCGGAATAAAGTGTTTTTCAAGCCAAGCAAGACCAATTTGATCCGTAGTCCAGCCATTTGCACTAACTTCAAAGCGCCAGTCTCTTGGCGGAGTAGTAAACCACGCTGAGTTGAAGTTTTTGCCTTTAAAGATAATAGTCGGCGGGAGAACATTAGATCGGTTAATACACTCGATCGCTGTAACCCACTCTCGATTACCTGGCTGCATAAGCTTCCTTTTGCCGTAGTATTCAGCACGTGTGACTACACGTGAAGTGCTTGCTAGGCCCATTGCGAAGCCAGTTTCGTCAAAATTCCAGATATCATTCTCATGAATACCATATTGAATAATGACCTGTCGGAATCGATCAAACCACTCTTGTATAATCTTCGGATCCTCACATAACGCGCGTTTGTAGTCATATCGACGTGAAAAGCGTGTTTTGAGCTCAGGGCAGCGTTGGATATAGTTATATACCCATTTACTACCAACCGACTGAGGCGTGCGTTCTCCACGTTTTAAGAGCAGTATATTGGCCATTTCTCGCACCATATCTTGCCTAGGCGCAACACCACGTGAATCCAGCGAAATTATCCATTTTTGAAGCGATTCCTCTTCCAATTGGGTTAATTTGTGGTTGTTGGCGCGTGTGGTAGAGCGAAACGCGCCTCCTTTCATACGGCGTTGTAGTGTGGTATATGGAACGTCGAATTGCTTCGCTGCTTCGCGAATAGAAGTAATTTCGTCATTTTTGAGAGCTTGTATAGCAAGTAGGATTCGGCCTTCCTGCTCAGTCGAATTTTGTTGAGATTGAGTGCGAATTGGTGGCATGGTATGTGGTTGAATAGGACGCGTTGCAGAACGCGGTCGGAAATTGGGCGGGTGATCCGCTCGCTTACATGATCCACTCGCTTACGGGTTACGTTAGTTAGTTAATTTGAAAATCACTGCAATTCGACCGTGATTTTCAAATAGAGGTTTTTCTTAGTCATTAAACTTCAGCTCAAATGGGCTAGGCGGTCAACGCCCATCATCGCTGTGGATCGGGCGGTAAGATCAACCGCGGACATTTACTTTTTTTCAGCAAGCTCCAATTTCGGTGTTTTCTCGCCAGCATCACCACAATGTCATTCGATCCTCGCCGTGAGCGCAGCTCCTCGAAGCGCAAGGTCCGCGACGGTCCTGAGGAGGCTCTTTGCCGCAAGAAGCACCAGCGAAAGGCTGCCGACAGCGACGACGAAGACATGCAGTACGAGGATTTCGGTAGCGGAGGCGAGGATGCTCCGTCGAAGTCGAGCCGCAAGTCCACGGGGAAGTCCGCGCTGCGAGAAGAGAAGGACTACCCGTCTGTCAATGATCTGAAGAGACGCATTCGGGATGTCAAGCGCCTTCTCAACAAGAGTGATTTGCCGGCCGATGCCCGCATTCTCCAGGAGCGCGCTCTGGCAGGGTATGAAGAGGACCTTGCTCAGGAGACGGCGCGTCGGGAGCGGTCGACGATGATCAAGAAATATCACTTTGTCAGATTCCTTGGTATGTTTAAGCATATCTTTCGGACGTTTTGGTATCCGACGCTAACCATTGTGCCTCGATTTAGATCGCAAGACGGCCACCAAGCAATTAAACCGACTTCTTCGACGGGAGAAAGAGGGAAAGCTCGACTCTCAGAAGAAATCATCTCTCGAACGCAAGATTCATGCCGCTCGAGTCAACCTGAACTACACCATCTACTACCCTCTCACCGAAAAATACATTGCGCTCTACCCAAAGTCAAAGGGCAAGGATTCGGAGGACGCAGCTGCAGACTCGGGATCCGAGTCCGATGATCAGTACAACCAAAAAGATGCGGAGAGCGAAAAGCCCGCTCTTTGGTCTGTCGTTGAGAAGTGCATGAAAGAGGAGACCCTGGATCGTCTTCGAGAGGGTAAATTGAACATCGGTCCTGATGGTAACCCGGTCGCACCTAGTAAAAAGGCTGCACCCAGCGCACAAAGCAAAAAGCCCAAGGCCGAGAAACCCAAGAGCGAGAAGACGAAGAACGACAAGCCGAAGTATGAGCCCAAGAACGCAAAACAAGACGAAGCCAAGCCCACCACCCGAAGAGAAAGACGTGCCGACAAGCGGGACCAATACGGTCAACGGGAACACCAGCGTCTGCAAGGCAAGGGTCGTCACCACGTGGCTGCACCTGCCGATGGAGACGAGAGTGATGGTGGTTTCTTTGAATGAGTTCGCTTGCTATGCAAGCGGATGCTTGTACGGTTGTTCTTTGTCTGTGTCCTCCACTTGATATCCCATTTAGCATTGCATCTACGTGGCCCAGTGTCAACCAATGTATCTCAATCTGGCTAGTTTTCAAGCTCTTTCTGGCTATCCAGCTACTCTATAGTGATATTTTCATTCCAGATGCCCCTGTCGAGATCCAGCATCTATCTTGACAAAAGGTAGATCTTTTCCTGACTGGCAATTGTTCGAAGCGGGCATTAAGGTCGACATGAAGAATCAATTCATCATATCCACTACTAATGGCATTGAACAGATTGATGATTACCAAAACTGCTATTTCGTTTAATATCTGATGCCGATAACACCAGCCCTAGATTCAACTGGACACTGGGTCATACATGGTCGATTGAATTCTTTCAGGAAAAGCTACGCGAATTCGTATAAAGTAGCTAGTTCCGATAGAGCTTGGAATATGACCTCGTAAGAGCTATCAATGTTTCAAATAAAGCCATTTATAATGAGGATAGCTAGATTGAGTAACTCCCACCCTCGCCATTCTAAGAGTATGCCAACGCGGTAAGCTTGTAGATGGATAAGAATATCGGTAGAATAAAAAAAAAAAAAAAAAAAAAAAGCTCAAGGAAATAACCCTAGCAAATAGCAGCGCCAGTAGCCAGGCTGTAGATAAGAAAAATAAACTGAAGAAGACGAAGAGGCAAAGAAAATGGAAAAATGAGAAGAACAAGAGACTTCCATCAAGGAGCGAATCCCGTCCTCGAGATCATGCCGTGCGTATTTCATAACTTCGGGTGACGTCGTCATAGTCAGTGATCCAGCACTGAGATAATTGTTCGGTGAGAATGAATGATGATAAATGGAAAGGTGGTACATCCCACAGATTGAAGATAGCGAAAGATGCCACAGCAACAGCCCCTTGGAAAGAGTCCTACATCACCGTGCACCCACCGCTCTGGGCGCGGCGACGACCTCCCCGAGGATGGTAGACTTCACTCTCAGAGTCCTCATCATAGCCATAGAACTGGAATAGCTCCTCTGCTTCGCGAGCTCGACGTCTCCGTCGTCGAGCGCCTGCGCCTGCAATCCCCGCTTCTTCGTGGATCATCATGTAGTCGGCCCATTTGCGGTCAATCCGACTAGCTGATTGGAGGTCTCCGCGCAGAACGCGCTTCGTATGCTCATTGACGGTCTGCTGCCAGCCATAGAAACACTTGAGTTGGATGATCTCGTTGGGATAGGTGGGAAGAGGCGGCGGGGGTGTTGAGTTCGGCGTGACAAAGGCGCTTGTCGTTGGAGACGAGCCGTCTTCGGAGACTTGAGTGACCGTTGCAATGGGCTGAACAGGTTTTCGGGAGCGAGGAATGCGTGCATTGCTGGACAGGACTTCCCTAACACCCGCCCAGGTTACGTTGGCGCAGTCGAAGACGACTAGCCGCAATCCGACCTTGGGAAGTTCACTGCCGTATCCGCGTTTGCGGAGCTGGAAACTCGCCTCCATGAGGGTCAAATCGGAGACTTTGGTGTTGTCCATTTCCACGGAGCGCAGCTTTGGGCAGTTCTTCATCAAGGCAAGCATGCCCGTATCGCCGAGGCTTTCGCAGAAGCTGATGTTCAGGTGTTCGAGGGACTGGCTGCATGGTGCCTGGGCAAGCTCGGTAAGAACCTCGTTCGTAAGTTTGCCGAGGTCCTCCAGTTCCAGGTGGGATAGTTTAGGCGTTGTGCGAATAACATCGATGATGGCGGAATCCGTCAGCTTGGCACATTGGGAGACCTGCAGGCCTTCCAAGTTGGGAACGTTGTATGCGAGGTATCTCAGCCCCTTATCCGTCAGCGCCTTGCATTGGTGGAGGTCCAGGTGTCGTAAACGACGAGGGGGAGCGATCGGACGGTTGCTGAGCAGGTCGATCTTGGGATTCTTTCCATGCATCAGCATCTCCAAGCTCCAGTCGAACATGTATTTGTTGCTGAAAATGAGTCGCTCCAGGTTGTTGCGCTTGTGCATTACTTTCATCAGTTGATCATTAAAATATCCGGTCTCGCTGGCACGGAGATCCTTCAGTCGTTTACAGGCCCCAACGACGTAGGTTAATCCCTTGTGAGCGACATTGGTACAGAACGAGACGTTCAGAATTTCAAGCTGAGGGCAGGACTCCGAAATGGCTTTCAGCGTATCGTTGTCGGCACTCTTCAGCCCGGAGAGATTGATATACTCAAGGCGAGAGTTGTTGCGAAGGAAGTTGTGCAGGGGGCGCTGCGATATGCGACAGCCCTCGAGTGAGAGCTTAACTACATTCTGGCAGAGTTTGGCAATGCGCTCACCGTGAGCCGACGCCCATTGAGTCTGCATCTGTACACAGCCCCGAATGTTGAGATCCCGGAGGTAGGGTCCACCTGAGGTGATTAAATTGACTAGATCGCTACCAGGAATTTTCTGATAGTAATCTGCCGTATCAATCTTGGCCCACAGTTGGCCATCGTAACACATCTCGTTCCACGTCTTTGAGACAGCAGAGCAACGCACGAGCTCGCAGGGCTTGAGGTAACTAAAGACCTCCAGCTGGATTTCCTGCGGCATCGCATCCCAGAAATTCAGCTGCGGCTTTAACTTCGATTCGGACCGAGATCTTGATTTAGATACGAGCTGGGATGTTGATTTCGATCCGAGCTGTGACTCCTGAAGTCCTCCGACCGACTCAACCTTGACGACATCGGGAGTCAGACTGCATGGTGGCTCCTTCGGGGAGGCCGGTCGAACGTCGACTGGCAAAGGAATCGTTCTAGGCTGGGAAACATTGGGCGACTCGATCCCGACGATCCGATTGAGATTGTTGATGTCAAGCGATTCCCCCGATGACCCCGCGAGGCCTGGAGTCGCCGGTCGGGGGCTGAAAGCATGATAAGACTGAGGCTGAGAAGACTCGGAGTTGCCATTTCCTAGGCATGGCGAGTATGCGGAGGATGATAACGAGACACACGATAAGGAAGCCTTGTGGTCCCGGCGATAACCGGTGGATGCAGATCGTCCGCGGCGGGTCAACGTCGGGCTGGACGACATGCGCTGGAGGCTCTGCAGTAGTCGATGCCGGCCCTTTAATTTCGGCGGCTGTTCGAGCGGGATCTCTCCATTCGGTGCGGTCGAGTTGGCTGCCATTTCAGGGGAGGGCGCGATTTCATCCCTCGTGTGGGCGACCATGGTGACTGGAGTGGTGGCCTATCGCGGGCGGACGGAATTAGTATATGGTGCCACTAGCATCAATGAGAATATATGGGAGCGGAACGACACACCTGCACTCAGAGGGGCATAGTAGTGTAACGAAGGAAATAGTGATCAGTCTGCCGGTCGGAGTCTTGTGGACTGCAGGCGAAGAGGAAGGAGCGACGTTGAAAGAGAAGCCCACACGAGATTGGAATTCGGGGGCCCGCGGCCGGTCAACCGTGGCTCTCCCGGACGTCGACCACCGGGACTGGAGCCGACTTATGAAACTGCCGAGAAATCCGAGAGAGCGAGCGGTGGGGTAGAGAAGAAAAGAAGAAGGGAGGTGAGTGGGATGATGGAAGTGTGGATAGAGAAGAACGCGAGAGAAGCTTTGGAAGTGAAGGCGGAATGGAAGGACTCCGCTGCGCAACGAGGCATGCACAAGTACCCGCGACATTCTGGGCGGGCAGCCCATCTACCGGGACAGCCCATTCAGTCGGAGGTACGGTGTACAACGCCCTCTCGGGGCCCTCGACACACGACGGGGCTTATCTTCTTCCACCCCCACCTGGTGGGACGGGCACTTGGATGTCCTGAGAGTACCCTCAGACACTGTCGTTACTTTGTGGCACACGACCCGATCGGCTGACGACGCCCCGAATAGACTCAAACTCGCGCAAAAAGGCTGGACTTGCACTCAGGGACAACCCCGGCTGCGTGTCTGAGAGGCGACGACTCGCCGTCTTCCAAGCGGGGCGCGCGGGGAAGGAAGGGTGGCGCGATCCGTGGGACAAGGCCACTCACAGCCTCGGAGGCGAGGGACCCAGAGACTGGGACACAAATGGAGAGAGGGAGACCACTAACCACAGAGTACCTGAGGGTAGGCTACGACACTCGACCAAGGCCTGGTCGAAGGTGCGTTGTTTCTAAGCCACTGAAACGGTCGAGGGCCCACTACGAGCCCGCTTTTGCCAAGGAATATGGGCGTACTCCCCCACACGCTAGAAGGCGTCGAATCCACAGAAGAATGTTTATTGTAGATTGGATTGGTTCGCTGTCTAAGTACAACCACGATGGGGGAAAAGAAAGAAACAATGAATGCAAATAGGGTTGTCTTCCAGCGTAAAATTGGAGGTGCTGAGAGGACTTCGACCGTGATGATCCGGGATCCGATGCATTAGAGACAGATTGGTTGGGTTTGTGCATTGCCGAATTTCTGAATTCCCCGAGCATATAACGCGCAGCAAGAAAGATACCCATAAAAAAAGTGAGGATGCCCCTCCACCCGCATTCATATTCATAGTCAGTAAGCAAAGCAAAACGTCGTGGGGTATCGTGTCTTTTTTTCTTTTTTTTTTTTTTTTTTTTTTGTATTTCCGGTCATAACCTGGCGTGAGGGCATAAAGCCATGCAAGTGGTGGAATAATTTAAGAATCGGTCATCCAGGGGTGCTCCATCACCTCGGTGATGGTGAGGCGATTGTCGACATCGCGGTCGAGCATCTTGCGGATCAGGTCGATGCAATCCTCGGAGAAGGGGATGAAGGGAATGCGGAGGGGATGGTCGAGAATTTCGTCGACGTTGTAGAACGGGTTCTCCTTGTAGACGATGGTGTAAAGCAGAATGCCCAGGGCCCAGATATCTTGTTCCTTGCCGCGGTACGACTTTCCCTGCAGAACCTCAGGCGCAGCGTAATCGATGGTGCCCACAAAGACATCAAACGGACCATTCTTGATGTAGGCTGCGCTGCCAAAGTCGATCAACTTGATCCGTCCTTCTCCGTCCAAAACAACGTTTTCGTCCTTGATGTCGCGGTGCACCACCAGGGCCTTGGTGTGCAAGTGGTAAATGGCGCTCACCACCTGCTTGAAGATGTTGCGGGACTCGGACTCGTCCATGCTGGCCTTCAGCTCGATGTAGTCGAAGAGATCCATGCCGGGGAGTCCATGGGGGATCATCTCGATGTAATAGTTGATGTCGTCTTCAAAGAAGCCCTCCATCTCGACAATGTTGGGGTGCTTGTACCCATCGCGGCGAAGGAAATCCAAGACGTGGATCTCGAGAGGGACAGTGCCAAGGCGACGGTCTCGAGTCCAGGTGTCCACCAAGATACGCTTCTTGGTCACGTACTTGAGAACCATCTTCTTGTTCGGATTCTTCTTGAGTCGCGCCAGCTTCACTTGGCCGTAGGCGCCCTGGCCCATTTCTTCCAGGATCACATAATCATTGATGGTGCGCTTTTGCGGGATGTCCTTCTTCGCATTGGCGGGTTTGACTTCAGGCACCGGCTGCACGGGACGATCTGTCAGAGGCTGAGAGGCGGCTTCGCTGAGCTGCTGGCTGAGAGTGGAGCTCGGGGCCTGGACCTCCACAGTGGTGCTGGCAGGTGCAGGAGCCATGGTGTCGTTGGTCAGACCGACCATGGCGTCGTCCTTAGCATTGGCGGAATGAGGAGTGGGGGAGTTGGGCTTGGAGGTCGGCAGTGATGAGGAGGAGAGGTTGGCGGCAGCCCCCGCGGCGTGAATTTGCCGTGAGTAAGTAATCCACAGCGCGTACACCAGCTCAGTGACTGCGACCGTGTCGTCGCTGTCCTCTGAGTCACTGGAGCGTTCCTCGATTTTCTCGACAGGCTCCTTGCTGAAAAAGGTACCGCTCTTGACGACCCGCAATTGAATGTCGACCACAATAGTGGAGCCGTCCCGGTGCTTCGCCAGCAAGCCACTCGGCTCAGTGAATACTGACGCGGCATTCGCCTTGCCATCGCGCAGAATGGATAAGGTGCGTGCGCGACGGAAGCTGTGTTCAGGGATCACGATCCCATCCACCAATGGCACGTTGTCCTCCTCGGTTAACACATCCAGGATCTCATCGAACCCCGGCACCAACTCGGTGATATGGCGTCCTTCAGGGCGGTCCTGGCCAAAAAGAGCTGAAGAGAACACGGAATTGGAGCTGATCACATTCAAAGACGCAGACGACAGCACCATCATTCCCGCGACGTGCGGGAAGCTCGACACTTGCAAAGTACGACTTTCTTCAGACTTGCCCACGGTGACCGGGATACACACGCCGGCTGCGGTGAGAGCAGCAAAATGCTTCAAATCGGTGATCTTGGCTAGCCCCTTCTCCGGCGATATTTGAAGGCAGTCGGTCGGCAGGCGAGGCAGGATCTCAGTGATGGATTGGCCCGATCGGATTACATGGGGGCCCCAGATCTTGTCCACGTCTCCGTCGGCGGCCACAACATTCCAGGATTCGTCGCAATGAACAGATGCAAAGTTCTCTGTGATCTCCTCGAGGACCCAGATGAGGCCGCCACGCTTCTCCATCACCCAAACGCTGGCTGACCCTTTGGTGCCATTCCGCTTCTGGATTGGAACAACATCGCCGCATAACAGAACCCCCCGCGACTTGTTAGCCGGATGGTTGGGGTTGCGAGGATTTCTCGTGCTCGACCCATATCCATCATCGGTCTGTGCTCTGCGGGACTTCTCACGAGATGATGGTTTACTGAGCAGTTGCGCAGTCACCCCATTTCCAAGACCCCGATACTTTGGGTTGACGGCCCGAATGTTCGGTCTCTCGGGCTGCAGTGGCGCGCGGGCTGCGGCATCAGTGCTGGGGTCCCGAAGCTTGGCCTCGAGCCACTTCCTGTGATCCTTTTGTACGACCTCTAGGATGCTGAGCCGACGAACCTCGGACTGGGTGACTCCAAATACAAGACATGAGAGGTCGTTCGCGGCCAAAATGGTCCATGGCGCCTGGGCTTCTGTCCGAAAAACGGCCTGGGAGACGGGGGTCCACTTGCTGCTGTGGGTGTGTAGGGCTGGCATCGGAAATCCCAATCCAGCGGTCGAGGAACTCAGCGAGCCAAAGGGATCGGCAGATGCATATGGTTGCGCTAGAGTCTCCATCAGCTTGCTTTTGAGGGAGACAGAGTTGAGGTCCGTGTATGTACGTTTTAAGCTTACGCGCCGGGACGTCGGAGCCGATATCAGGTCCTTTCTGGATTGTGCGATGCGGTCGCTGGGGGTGGGACTCAGCATTTGCGAGCTGTCGGATGTGGCCTGGTATCCTGGGGGCGGGAAATCCGGGGAGGACATATCCCGAGAGCTGCTTGGGGGGATCCATGGTCCGAGAAGGCCCTTTCGAAGATGTTGTCGCCATTGACATCGGCAGGTCCGGTCAGAGGGGCGCGCATATGGGCTTGCTCTTCCTCGAGAACATTGGCTCGCGTCAAAAGATCCATCATGCTCTGCATGTCCGAGTCACCCATCGCATTCGCCTGGGCATTGGCGAGTCCCGGGTTGCTGGCGGCCCATCCCATGCGATCGCGCATGAAATCAATCGATCGCTTGAGAATATTTTGTCGGCTGTGTAGCAGCTCTTCCGATTGTTGCGCGAATGAAAAAGAGTGTAATGATTCCAGGGGGAACCGATGCAGGTCCTCCAAGTCACCAAAAGCCTGGCTCATCGACATGCGGCCGGCATGCGCACGGGATGAAGAACTTGAGCGTGGTGACGGGGAAGGACGTGAGACGGAGCTCATCGGAGCCAACGACGAAGTTGACAGATTGGGAAGTGTCAGTACCCGCGAAGGCTGGTGTCGTATACGATCGAGACCGGTTGGGCCGAGTCCATGCTCGCTCTCGAACAACGGAGATCTGAAGATGCGGTGAATCCGTCAGTCTCCTTCTACATGGAGGGGGAGGGCTACAGAGGGTGACAGCCTACCTAGCGAGAGGGTCATATCCCGACGAAACACTATCTACCGAGCTCCGCAAGGGCTGGTCTGTTTGTAGGGAAAGGGTGCAAAAGCCTGACTCCTCCGACGACTCGGGCGATTCGGAGAGGGGACTCAACGGAGACGACAAAGGACTCGGTTCGCCTATAAAGGTAATCAGCAAGCTGCGCCGGACATCAACTCAATCGAGCGCATGGCGAGGTCTCCATCCCACGAGGCTCTTTCAGGAAATGTGATTCCCTCAAGTGATGTAGGAAGGGGGGTCGATCGCGGTCAGATGGGCATCCCCGGAGCATGCAAACTCTTTTTGATTGCTCTCACTCTCTCCGTCGTCGCGATTTCATTTGATCGAGTGGGAAAGGCGTGAGGAAAACAGGCCCGCGGCGTGGTATTCCCTCCGAACTGAGCTGCATGCTTCTGTGGGTGCTTTCATCTGGCCGGTGCTCCAACCCCCCTCTCTCGCGCTGCCTCGCCGGCCACCACGAACATGTGAAACTGCCCAAAGAAGACACATGACTTACCATCGGGGTTGTATGCCGACCCCATTCTCTTAGGATCGGAGACTTCCCAGCCGGGTGGGACAAGGATAGACGAGGCTCAGCGGGAGCGACGAGTCGAATGCGACATGGAAGGGAGAGTCATTCGCTCGTGTCAGCGGGCAGCGACCGGGTGGATGAGAGGGCAGCTGCCTCGGAACGCGCCCGGCATATGTGGCGTCGCGGACGAAGCTCGCGGGTCTTTCTTGCTTTCTTTCTCTCTCCAGGAGAAAAAAAAAAGGAAAGGGAGGATACAGCGGGGTCTTCGGTGGGGAGGGAAGAAAGGGGCGGGGGTGATGTAATGAGAAGGGCCTCCACCGCGTAAGAAAAAATAAGGACGGACGCTCGAGTCGATGATTGACGGAGTTAGATCGACCGATCGGCACGGGACGAAGGCCGTTGCTTCTACTCTCTTACGGTCCTATGCCTATGAGTATAGGAGGATTGGTAAGGCGTCGAGAGGTTGGGACAGGAGAAGGTGCTACTAGTACTAAAGTAATACATAGTACCGCCTGTACAAGTATGGGACCAGCTAGGACCTCGCCAAGTATCGCAGCCTCAGACTGGGACGAGCAACTACGCACAGCCCTTCGGTCCCCACTCGTCTCGAGTCCTCACGTAGCACCTTTGCCGCTGGCTTTGTGTCGTGGTTATTTTCTTGCCCGACAGATCCGAGGCCCCACCACCATCTCGCACTAGGGCCCAATGACAGCGGTGCCAAATCCAGTTTACCAACGCGGTGCCGATGACGAGGTTGTTCCTGATGCACAAGGCTCCTTGGTGGTTCTTTGTTGAAACACGCTAGTTACCAGATCGGGATACAGACCCTGGGGTAAGCCCGCTTCTGGAAGCGATCGAGAGATCCACTCGTCATCGATGTCGGCAGTTGGACAAATACAGAGTCAACTATATCATTGGGCAGAATACATATTATCAACATAGTAGATGCGTGGTCGAATTTTAGCATCGAAACATCGCCCATCGTCGTCTCGTTATTGTGAAGAATGTCTTAGAGCTCATGGCAACAGCGTAAAATGCTCTACTACTAGATTACTATGGCAGGCAATCAATCAATCAAAGCTCCGACGACGCCAATGTCGCCAATATCCGATATCACAAAAACAACTATGCCACCCTCACGGAAAAGGTCTACATGAGCGACTCCTCTCGATTCACCGACGGCTAACCTTCGAGATCGCGCAGAGCTGAACTCGCGCTCCGGCGTTTCACAGCGAAGGGGTTCTTCCTCCCGCTCCGCCCGCATATGCGTCGGTGACCGGGATGCGATCCATAACCCTGTCCTTTACAGCGGACCCCGGGCACCCCGGAGACTGCGCAGGGCCAGTTCATCGTGCTCGGTATCGGAGCCTGGCTTCTCCTCTGCACTATTGCCGAAGAGTGGACTACCCCTGGTTCGGGGCGGCTCCGGATGTCGAGTCTGTTCCGGCGGCACCGATGCCGAACTCACGAAACTGGAGAGGTTTCGGCTGCCTTCTAACATCCACGAGAAACCTGCATCCGACAGGGATGGCCGTATGCTCGGCCGCTGTACATCCCGCCTTGCTTCAGCCGGGCAGTCGGTCTTGGCTGCGCCCACCGTGCTGGCCGGTGTCAAGGAGCTCTTCCCTGCGCTTGGCTGGGGGTTGCACGCCTCGGAATCTGTTGTGCCCTGTTGATCATCCCCACTCGTACCTGCGGGAGTCTCTTTGATGTTGGGGTCTTTTGGTGGTAGGAGTGGTGATGGGACGGGCTCAATTGTCTCATCTTCTGCGTTGGAAGGCCCGGGTACTGGCAGCGGCAGCGATGAGTCTTCGAGGCAGGTTTGAACCGTCTCGGCTCGCCCCAGACTCTGCTGCAATGCACTGTTTGTGACTGGATCGAGATCCTTTACAGAGGTCAGTTGCGAGCGGAGGTCCTTCAGTGCTTCGCCCAATGCAGTTGCTAATTCATGGTTTCTTTCTTCCAGGCGATTAATTTGTGTTTTCAAGCCTAGTTCAGTCGTTGCCGGGGTTTTCAAAATCTTTGTCGGAACAGTAGCGGAGTGTCTGCGGTCCGCAATGTGAGCTCGTAGAGCCGGTTCGTAGTTCATCGTTTGCATGTTTTTCCTCGCTTCGGTCACCGCTCCTCGAACGGCTTTCGCTACACCCCAAGATTCGGTCCGCCGCTGGATCCCCTGTGAAACGTCTTGGAAGAGTGACTCCAGGCTCTTGGGACTATTTCTGGCCGGGGAATGTGCGGAAGAGTTACTTCCGCTGCTGTTTGTCAGGTCGTCCCACAGATGAACTCGTCGCGCGGGTCGCAAACGGGATTGGCTGTGGCGCTTTGAGGATTCCGGTTCTCTGCCAGAATACTTGGAAATTATGAAGCTCCCTCGTTCCGCCGTGGGATTTTGCTCAAGGTAGAGTGCATCGTAAACAAAGCTCCGCGGTTCATGCAGTTGAGGAGATGGGTAGCGTAACAACAACGACAATGCACCCGAATAATCCGCGTTGAGAACTAAAGTATGTCAGCAAAGACCTGAAATATTATATGCGGATTTCAGATACTCACGTTCCCAGCGGATACGGAGTAGCATTGCGATGCAGGTAAAATCCACAAGATCGGGTCGTAATCCATTGGCGAACATCACGTCCCACATCACCAACACATCGTCAAAGGGGAATTCTCTTCCGAAGAGCAAGCGCATCCAACGGCTAAAATCCAATTAATTCGACGCTTCCGAGATTGACAGGATTTAATACTTACGTCAAAAATATTTGTGGCAGCACCTCTACTACTTGCAGATGATCTGCTAACTCGTGGTCTATAGTCCCAAGAGCCTCTTTGTGAAGATATTCGCACCGACTGACAATCGGAATGACATCCATCTGACCACCCGACGATCGAGTCTCTCCATGTTCATAAAAGGTGCGAGCTGTCTGCATGACGCAGAGAAATAATGTAAATGAATCATGCTCCACAAACTTGGCATCAAGCAGGTCCAACATCAGCTCGTCATTTTTGTTCTCCGATGCATTTGCTGTCTTTTCCGAGGGCGACTGGATGGAATCTCGGTCGATAACCCAGAGAATTGGGGCTAGCAATTCATGCATGCCTTGCCGGTAGCCAACATCTGGGTTGAGCTTCGAGTAAACAAACAAGATGTCGGTCAATTTGGACTTGGTCGCCGGCTCCTGGAAGAAGTAGTTTTCTTGCAAGCATCGATCTACGTCTTGAAGAATTTCAGCCCGAAGCTTCTCATCATGACGAAGTGTTTGCCAGGGTGACTATCCGGTAGAAACAAAATAGAAAGTTGATCAGCGAGAGCTCCCGTCTTTTCGCAATATCTTGGCGATGTATCGCAAGCTTCGCCTTACATACCTCTTCGTCATCTGCCAGTGGATCAGCAGTGGACTCCAAGTCGTCCGGATGCTCGATGTATTTCAGAAAATGAGCGCGAAGTGCGCCATACGCATCACGCGACTCGTCCAATTTCGTCGCCCATTGTTCGCGATCAAGACCCTCGAAGAGCAGAAACACCTGCAAGTAAAATGAGCGCTTGAACAGAAGCTCCGTTTTGACTATTCTCACACACTTTCCAGCAAATCGACCTCAGGCCATCGTTGCACAGCTTTCCTCCCTGGTCCGCTCGGAGCGCGGATCGAAAATCGGCGGGAGCGTCGTTACCGAAGAGATTCGCCCATCTCTTTCTGCGAAAATTTAGTGTGACACTCAGTTTCTTCGCTCAGATAGCACGCACCTGGTCTCTTCAATGGTTCTCATTTCATGCGACTGTGGCTGGAGTATGGCGGAGGGAAGATGGGGTGAGGGGAAGGGCGATAATGTAATCCGCACCTTATCGCACACCAACTTGCCGCCGCAACATCTCCGACTCCAACCCGTCGAAGCCGACTACCCCGGGGTGGAACGTGGCCGATCACTCGGTTCCACTGCAGCCTGCGTTTGATCACCGGCCAAAGACCCTTCTCCAGACCTTTACGATACCTGGCTACGATGTCCGCGGACTTGTTGGCAGAATTCGGCCAAAGCTCTGACCCCGCGCAAAGCTCCGCTGGCGGACAGCGGACAACCACTGGCAGTCAACAACCACTGATGAACTCCCTGATTTCCGATTTTGATCAATCTGATGACATCTTCTTCGGTACTGGACCATCCCGACTGAGTGGAAGCCAATCCTTCAATTCCGGTACGGCCTCTAGCCAATACACGACCCAGGCACCAGCAGTCGCTCTTCGACAAGCTCCGAGTTTTCAAGCAGTTGATCTACCTCGACGAAATGACAGCGACGTCCTTTTTGATGCGACGGAAGACATACCAGCCGCTAGCGATACGGAAGATGATTGGGGAGACTTCGAGGGGCCAGAGTGTACCACTGCCCCACCGACTCAGGCGATATATTCAAATCCCTCTCTACCAAGGTCCCAACCACCTAGTGGACCACATATACCAGAACCGATCGACCTACTAGACTCTTTATCGATTGAAATTTCGGCTCCGTCTACAAATAATCAGCCCAAAGGCTCGGAGAACAAGCCGCCTCTACAAGCTAGCAACCATCCGCCAAACCCCGAGCCAACATGGGACGACGACTCTTTCGGCGATTGGGGGGAGTTCGCAGATGCGCCTTCCAAGCCTGAGCCAGCACCTAAGCCTGGACCTATACATGCTTCAAAACCCAAGTCACCTCCAAAAAGAAAGCCTATAAAAGTTGTCCCTCCTCCACAACCAACCTGGGACGACAACGCCTTCGAAGACTGGGGAGACTTCAACGACGGTCCAACCCCATCTCCCGCTCCAGCGCCAGCACCGCCAAAGCAAAACATAACATTACCAACTCCATCTCCAGGCAGCTTCACCTCGGGGAATATATCATCACCCGCAAGCGTCCGACCCACTAACATCCCCCCACCATCCGTCCTCCTCGAACTCCTCGTCGACATAATGAACAACCTCCAAAAAGAAGCAGTAACAGCCAGCAAAACCAAACAAATCCCAACAGAACAAAAAGACACAGCCAACAAAATACACACCACCCTCTTAACCGCAAGCCGAATAATAGCCGGCCGCACCCTCCGCTGGAAGCGGGACACAATCCTCAGCCAAAGCATGCGCATCGGACCCGCACGCGCCGGTAAATCCAGCGGCATGAAACTTAGCGCCGTCAACAAGCACGAAGATGTCAAAGAAGAGCAAGATGCGGTTGATGTCCTCGCACTTTGGCGTGAGCGAGCGGCGCTCTTCAATGCTGCTGTTCAGGGTGCGGGTCTTCGGCCCATCCCGACTGTTCCTGGACCAGCGGCGCTCAAAGTTCTAACTGCGAAACCGGGACAAGGGGCATTGAAGGCTACGCATGCTTGTGCGCTTTGTGCACTTAAGAGAGATGAGAGGGTGTTGAAGGTTGATGAGGTAGATGTGCAGGATAGTTTTGGGGAATGGTGGACGGAGCACTGGGGGCATACCGCATGTCGATTGTTTTGGGAAGCGAATCATAGGTTACTTGGACAGCGATAATTTGCTGGATCTATCATGCATTACACTACTTTGAAATGAATTCTATATTCACAAGAATCATTTACGAGTTTCATAGGCACCATATAGATAGAAGAAACAATTGCAAATTCGAATCACCGTGGCTATGAGCGGCTTCAGAAAAAGTCTCTTCCAAATACCGATACTAGGAGAAGAGAGTAGATACAGTACATGAAAAGAAGAAGCAGGCAGAGCGGGAAAAATTCCCTACGGCAGAGCCCAGGCGTGCCCGACCAGCAAGGCTGGAGGAACATGTACGCCAGGGTACACTTCTGGGATACCGCTGATAGCACAGGGAACCTTCGTAATTTCCATGTCGACGGTTTCGAGCGCCACGCTCTGGCTCGCATGGACCCAACAGGTGCATGAGAAAGGCGAGAAATCTCAAGCGCGGATCGAACGGGGTTTTCTGTTTCTGTTCAACGGCTCCAGCGAGATATCCGTAGACAAATCGGGGCCTTGAAAGCGGTGCAGAAGCGCCAATTACGCAATTCAGCCTTGGGCCATGATCCAATTAATGGAGAGGCTTCCACGCGGCTGGCAATGAGAAGATTGTGGTCAATTTCTGTCGGTAACTGCGGTCGCCATGGAGAATGAGACGACTCTCGCAGGTTGATAATCGGGCCAAGAATTCATCAAGTTGTAGACAATCTTAATAACTTTGAGCGGCTGGCAGTGCAGGCTGCGGATAGGTCGTCAGTATTTGCTAGCAAAAGTCGCTGGCCAGATGCCTAGACATGGTTCCACGACGTACGAGGATCGCTTGGCACAAGATAACTGGTGCATGCAAAGGGGCCAAGGACTCACCGGACTGTTCAACATGCTGTTTCGCTTATTGCGACCCTTCTTGATGTGGTTTTTCAGTGCGGTCGAGTCCAAAGGTTTCAACAACTCGAAGCTACAGAGCAGTTCACCTGAAACAGACATGATCGCGCCCCAATTGTCAAATTCGCCGCAGTACTAAGAAAAGACAAGTCAGCATGAACCCCACAGCGAGCAACAGATGCGGATGCCCAAGCGGGGTAGGACACTTACATTAGGTGCGGAAAATACCGTCACCAGAACACGATCCTGGTAAAATTCATATCCATCTTCAACCACCATGTGTGCACGGCACACCAGGTCGAAATCGTGCCTCTGCAAAAAGTTCATAATCACTTTTTTGCCAAAGCAATAGCTGACACCACGCTCGTTGGGCTCCCAATCTTCCTCCATATCCGCTGGGTCACTCCAAAGAAGGTCATTCAGCAAACCATAGTCGGGCACATCGGTAGGTCGTGCAATGCCTCGAATGTCGTCCATATGCGATAGACTCGGCGAAAGACCTCCATGGACACAGAAGATCTTTCCCGCAACGATTGATGCAATCGGGAGGCAATTGAAAGTATCGATGAAGGTTTTCCAAACCTTGATATTGCATCGCCGCTTACATTCGTCATAGAACCCATAAACACGTGTGACGTTGGCACACTCGTGGTTGCCTCGAAGCAGGAAGAAATTCTCAGGGTACTTGAGCTTATAGCACAGCAAGAGGAGAATGGTCTCCAGACTCTGTTTGCCTCGATCCACATAATCACCTAAGAACAGATAGTTCGACTGGGGAGGAAATCCGCACATTTCGAAAAGGCGAATGAGATCGGTATATTGACCGTGAACATCACCGACGATCTTGACAGGAGCGGAGAGCTCTAGGAGTGCGGGCTGAGAAAGAAAAAGTTCACGGGCAGCCGAGCAGACGGCTGTAATCTCGGCATTCTTCAGACAAACAGTCTTGGTGACCTTAGTCGAGTATCCCGCATCTAACAGTCGCGTGATCATGTCGTCGAGATCAATGGACTTCAGAGCGCCCATACCCATGCCGGGAGATCCGGATGTCTCCAGCGGGGCATTCAAAATGAAATCCAAGATAGGATTCACTTGATTCGGTTTCTTGATCAAAATCGATTCACCCGCCACGCCACCAGGGCCGGCTGGCGGACCACCCTGAGGAGGATCGTCGGATACCAGGTCAACCTCGCCACTCTGTTGCATAGCGCTCACATCCTTATGGCCGCGTTGCAGGCTGGTAGACAGCGATGGAGAAGGGGGAGGTTCGGGGGAGCCATTGCGTGAGGGGCCTTCGGAGCCAGGCGAAGAGAGACCAGCATTGGAGCCGGGTCGGCTGCCGGACGACTTGGCCGACCTGATTGAGCCGGCATCGGAACGGTCACCTTGACTGTCGGTTTGGGAGAGGGCAGTTGTCGAGCCACGAGGGCTGTCGGAGCTTCGGATCTTGGAGCGAATTGAGCCACGGAGAGAGCGGATTGATTCTTTGGTGTCGGATTTCGAAAAGGACGGGTACGACTGCAACGGGTCGCCCGAGCCGGCGTTGCTCTTGGAATGCGACTGACCCATTGCTGCAAGGCTGGGATGACTGCCAAGCTTGGGTTTGGGGGAACGCACGAACAGCGGGAGTTCAAACCGCTACGCCGAGAAAATACCCCCTGGATGTTGGAATGTCTTGGCTCCCAGCTCCTGAGGAGGTTTCGACCCAACCAAGGTATATTAGGCTTGCAGGTCCCCTGCGCACAGAGTCCGAGGTGATCCCTGCAGGTGTCGACACTAGCGAGATCTGTATGGATCGAGCTTCCCTAGGCAAAGCTGGACAATGGAGGCAGACGAGATGAGGGCGCTAGAAAGGGCCGTGGGAGAAGGACCGAGTCGAAGAGAATAGAGGGGCGCGTGAAGACGTGAAGAAGGGCTGGCGAGGGCGACTACGTGGGCAAGGGGTGGTCGAGAAAAAAGAAGCAGCTGGCGATTCCGGAGCGGGAGGTGGGCGGGCAGCTTCAGCACGGACAGAAGCTCCTTCTGCACGCGGGATTAGTTTTGTCCACACAGCACGAGGGCAGAGTCGAGGGGAGCAAAGGGCGACAGCAGGGCTGAACTCCACAAAAGCTCAGATGGTATGTGGAGGTGGGCAAGGCAAGGGAGGAATTGGGAAGTTTGGTCGTGGTGGATTTGGGGCGTGGACAAGCGGGTGGAGGAATGCGTCATGATCGGACTGGGCTGGGTCTGCGGCACAGCGGGCGACCAGACCTACCGACGAGAAGGCATAGAACTCACTTTGGGGTGCGATATGTTTTCTTCTGCTGTTGACTAGGGAGGATGACACAAGATGGAAGAGGGGAAGAGGAAGAGCCGGGGTAGGCGAAAGTACTCCGCCACCGCTAGACGTAGGGAAGGTACTTTGGGGGTACTCGTCCCTAGCGGGAGCTGCGTCGCTTCTGGCCACAGCTGCGGTTAGCTAAGCCGGATCATCGCCGGGCCGGGGAGGGGCCTAGGCCATACTTTGGAGGGCTTTGTTGGCCGCGATTATTTATAGTCGAGCCATCACCGATTCTCTACAAGGCCGTGGGCCAGTGTGGGAAAGCGTGGTTCATAAAGGCCTCGCTAGGTCGAATGGAGTCTAGGTGGGTGCGGGTGGAGGAGGCAATCCGCCACTCCGCCCAAGGCTACCATATTGTACATACTACACTCAGGGCTTTGCTCTCTCCGATAAGCGGACACACACGGTTCTTTCAATTTCCAGGTTTGAATTTCGTCCGACGAGCTGGAACAGTCCATGCGAATACTGCTGCAAACTAAGGCCTATCGTAACTTTGCCCGCTCCCCCCCCGGTCACCACAAAGCCCGCTGGAGGGAGCTTAGACCCCACCTGCGCTCCTATCACAAACCGCGGGGGAGGAAGGGCTGAGGCATCCCGTCACCTTTCTGACGCCACCATCTCCTTCCCACCCATCCCCACACACACACAAAGGAAATCTGATAGATCTCCCTCCGGCGCTAGCAGTGGCCCGGGGTCGTCTGGCTTGCCCTGAGCAGAACTAGGCCGAGCCTGTTCAACGGCACAGATCCAGTCCCGCCCCTGGCCGCGTTGCAGATTGGGTGGAGGGGAGCCGCAGATAGTCTTGGTCCTGCAAAAAAGTCACTTCCCCTGCACGGCGCCAAGGTATCTCCGTGGCGGAGACACCGCCTTTTTCCCCTCCTCCCAGGGCGCGCCTGTGCAGGGGTGCAAGCGTACCCGCCAAAATACCGCCTCGGGCTGACTCGAAGAAATCTCCAACTGGGTGATCGCTGACAGCGGAAACTGTTGGTCAAGCCCGCCATACTGTGATGCAGATGCAGTGTTTCTCGTGCCACGTTGATTCCGGAGCTACGAGCATAGGCCCTCCAGGAAATCGTCCTTGGCAGCCCCACGTAGGGTCCTCGTGCCGGCGGAAAAGTAAGTGCCAGGACGGTGATGCAGGGCATAGGGCAGGAACTGGGCTAACCGAAGAGTGGGTTATCCATGAGTGGTTCGCGCGGGACTTAGTCGTTCCGGGGTAGGTCGTATGCAAATGTCGGCCAATATATCGACGATGCCTCATTGGAAAATGAAAAAGCAGTCAGTATCTCGTGAACGTGAAAGTGCACATGCACGTGCTCTGGTTCGACTCTCTACTCCAGCTCAATCTTCGTAATATGTCGGCCGGGGATTACGATAAGTCCGATGAGTCGACTCGTCATGTTGACTTTGACGGTGGTTTTCGGCGCGTGCGACAAAGAATTGCAAGACTCGCTCTGCTTCGCGGCGGCTTCAACGGCGGTAGTGGTGGGTCGACGATACTCGAATGAGTTGGCCAGAATGAGATTTCTCTCCTAGAACACGATGCCTGTCAGCATGGCTCGCGAAAAAGCGAGGCGGAATTCGAGACGTCAATTGTGCTGACGAGCTGCTTACCGCGTCTGTGCACTTGAAGATGCCGACAAACATACGAGTGTCGGTCGTGTGCACGCGTAATGAGCGACCAAGAAGGCCGTCGAGATATTGGACAGCTTTTTCGGTATCCATAGTCGTCTCGAGGTCGTCGGCTTTCGATCAAGCGGATTAGGTCGATAGGAGGGGCAGTCGGTACCGAGGTTAGATAGCTTTCTGCAGAGGGCTGCGATATGCGTTTTCGGGTTCGCAGTATATATGGTAGCCACATGCAGCGCTGACTCGTCTCGGTCGCTTCGATCTAGCTCTGCGCCCACTGGGGGTTTCTCACAAATTGCAGGTCGGAGCTTGGAGAGAAGACGTCAACGGCAACAAACATTTTGATCGGTGAGACAAACACTGTTTATGCCTCAGGCAGGAATTTACGTGGGCAAGAGCGGCCATGACGCAGATTCAATCAAACCAGTGCCAACAGAACAATCAAGGTTTCTGACCTCAAATATGAGCTAAAATAGGCATGACTACCATTTATAATTTTAATAGCGAAGCGGCATTCTTCTATCTGTATCGGTGTTGGAAATGATTGATACTATTTGCATATGTCTGGATCCCTCGATGGGAGATATATATAACTATCACATTCCACACATAAATTATTTGATGAGACTGTGTATCCATTAAGCCGTGAATCACCTTTCAAAAGACAAAATTTTTCGCTGCATTTCGAAACAGAACCGAAGGCTTGGTGTATCAAATATGGCACTGACCAAGTATTCCAGGGATGGTGGAGCGGGGCATTAAGGCGACATGATCTGGATGTTGGCGAGCTCCGTCAACTAATGCAGCGACTGCAACCCTACACAATCATGGGAAAAGCACCGTGTCCCGCAAGGGCTGTACCGGGCACAATGCTACCGAAATAATCCCCTGATGCCATCGTCTATAGTCTAAACGGGGACGCCTGAATCAATCAGCGGCAAGGAACCAAGCGTTAGCCGAAGCTCACCGTGGCATAATACAGCTTAAGCCTGGGGCCCCTGGGGGGACAGAGGGAGCTTCCAGGAGGCCCTAGGCCACGACTTATGCAGTTCCAGGGCAAATTGTGCCGCGCAGATCTCCGCATTCCATGCGGGGCTCGCAGCAAGGAATGGCTTTAGGTTAGCCATTTCGCCAGCACTAACCACCAACTGACTCGGGGTCGGTTGCGGAAGAATCAGGTCGCCCAGAAAATTGGCTTAAGAGGAAGTTTTACCCCGGGTTTCTGGTACTCCAGCTCGAACAAACATTATATTTGGATCATGACAGTCCTCGAAACAGACGCTTTGATTGTTGGCGCCGGCTTCTCGGGCATTTACCTTCTTCACCGACTCCGCGATCAGCTCAAGCTCAACGTGAAGATTGTGGAAGCGGGGTCCGACGTGGGGGGTGTTTGGCATGCGAACGTGTATCCTGGAGCCCGAGTTGATTCTCCCTCTCCGGTCTATAGCTTCGGCATTGAGGAGGTTTGGAAGGGTTGGAATTGGTCACAAGCGTACCCTGGCCAGAAGGAGCTCCAGGAATACTTTCACCACGTTGATCGAGTCCTGTCCGTTCGGAAGAACTGTATCTTCAACTCTCGAGTCAATGCGGCCCAATTCGATACGACCACGGCTCGTTGGACTATCAAAACAGAGGATGGGAAGACGATTGTCGCGAAGTATTTCCTTCCCGCCGTGGGGTTTGCCTCGCAGAACTATATTCCTCCTTGGAAAGGTTATGATTCATTCCAGGGCACCATTCACCATACCTCTGAATGGCCTCGCGATGGAGTAGATGTGCGAGGCAAGCGAGTGGCTATCATTGGCAGTGGTGCGACCGGTATCCAAGTCACCCAAGAATGGGCCAAAGAGGCCGAGGAGACCTTGGTATTCCTACGCACTCCAAACTACGCACTCCCGATGCGGCAAAAGACTTTCGACCCGGCAACACAGAAGAAGCAACAGGAAGAAATGGCCGAGCTGTATGCCTTCTGTGCTTCCACGGGAGGTGGCATGCCGTATCGGCCGGAGCAACTGCCCAAGGCACTCGCAGAATTCGAAACGCGAGAGGAGGCAGCAAAACATGTGAAAAGGATGTACGACGATGGTGGCTTTGGTTTCTGGGCGCTGGCCCTGTCTGACCTGACATTGAATGAGGAGTCCAACCGCTTTGCCTATGACATCTGGGCGGAGAGAGTCGGTCGAAGAATCCATGATCCTGCGAAGCGTGCACTGCTGGCGCCGTCTGAGCCTCCCCATCCGTGGGGCACCAAGCGTCCGTCGTTGGAGCAGGACTACTACGAGCAATTCAATCGATCTAATGTGAACATCGTTGACACGAAGAAACACCCGATCGCGGAACTCACGCCAAAGGGTATTGTCACTGATGATGGCAAAGTCCATGAAGTGGACATCATTGCCGTTGCGACGGGTTTTGACGCCAGCACTGGCAGCCTGTCCAAGATGGGCATCAAAGATCTCGACGGCATTGATCTAGGAACGCGTTGGAAAGAGGGGATTATCAGTCTGCATGGAATGACTGTGCCCGGATTCCCAAACATGTTCCTGCCCTACTCAGTGCAATCTCCAACGCCGTTCACCAACGGTCCTGTCTATATCGAGAAGCAAGCCAACTGGATTCGCGACATGGTCCAAAAAATGGAGACTAATGGGATTCGCTATATCAATCCTCAAGAGAAAGCTGCTCAAGAATGGCGAGCGGAGGTGCAGGACATTGCCAATATGACGTTGTTCCCTAAGACCAAGTCGTGGTACCAGGGTGCCAATATTCCCGGGAAGCCTGTCGAGCAAATCTACTATCTTGCAGGAATGCCGATGTACTTTGAGAAGTGCTATGCGGCTCTAAATGACAAATTTGCCGACTCTTTTGTCAGTGCTTAGGCGGCGTATCTGCTTGGGAACTGCAAAAGGGGGCTATTGTCGGCTTGAAGTTGATGGGACTTTACCCGCCTTAAATGACCATCTTATTTCATGTACAGTCTTTTCTTTCAAGTGCTTCCCCCCAGTGACTGGAGCTGCTCTGCATTGGGTAAATTAGACATGTCTTGAAGAACAATGTCCGTTGAATTAGGGCTGATGAATAGATATGTTCACATAAACACGACGCCTTTCCTCGCCACGGTGATGCTCCAGAATAGTAAAATCCTAGCGCCACATAACTCCTAGTCCATCATAAAAATTGAGGACCAAACACGAACAAATAACCTCAACTCCAAACGAAGCAACATCAAAAGGAAATCACGAGAAGATAACAGCAGCACTCGATAGAGCGACCAGCGCGCGACGGATCATACCGACAATCCTTGCTATGGAGATCACATCCAACCCAAAGCACCCATATTGGCAGTGTTTGAGCCCGCGCTGCTAGCGTCGGTATCCATATCCATGTCCATGTCAACATCCATCTGGTTGAGCCCGGGGCTCATGGTCTCGCTTCCATTGGAACTGCCCACCGAGTTCATGCGTTCGAAAGCCTCCCGTTGCATAATAGCGCCCTGATCCAAAGCAGTCTCATTGGCGCGTGGCGCCAGCGCCTCACGGGATGGTTTGAAGGGGATGGCCGGCTGAGCGCGCGGCTGGAAGAAGCGATGCAATGTTTGCTGGCGCGGGTCAACGATTTCGGTGGAGGCATCGAAAGTCGTTTCCGAGTCCATGCTTTCGTCACAGGCGTCCATAGCTGTGGCATTTTGCTGCTGCTGGGCAGAGAAGATCCACCGGAGTGTTTTCGCTAGTCCGGTCAGCTGAAGTTCAGGCGGTCCGCGTCGGAGGTTGAGCAGACGAGCAATGCTGCTCACCTAACAGGACCAAAAATTGGATCCATGGGCATTTGGCGTGGTCTACTCACCATAGACTGCCTCATCGCTTGGGCGACCGTCCCGAAAGCGCTTCCGGGTGCGACTGTGGAGGTGTTTGGAGCTGTCCGTCATGTCCCAGTCGCCAGATGTGGGCGCGAATGGGCTGGAGGGCATTGCGTCGAAGGTGGTCGACTTTCGCTTGAGCGACATGGTGACAATTGGGATTTAGATGGAGAAAATGCAACGTCTTGTATCCCAAGCCTGCCAGAGGGAAAGTGGTCAGGTTGCATCTGGGAAGAAGGACCAAAGGAAGGCTGGGAATGCGATTGGCGTCTCGCGTTGCTCCGGACACGCTAGGCCCGAAGGGGTAACATTGCACAAGCGTCGCGACAGTAACCAAGAGAGTGTGATCACTTCAGTGTCGTGATCTATTCCTGCTTATGATCCAACTTTGAAAATTTATCGAAAATGTTTTAGATCGTAGAACAACCAATGGATAATTACGAAAATGCTTGGTGGGATTGTGGTGGCCGCTGGCACCTTTGTGACGCGCGCTGATCTATTCCCAGTGGAACAGTAATGTTGAAAACACACGTAATCCCACCGTCAATATTCGAACAATGCAAGTTAAAAAAAAGGGTATGAATTGAAATACTCATAGCATATGTATTTACTAATCTCGAGTTTTCCACAGTGTCTTAATCACTGTCTAGGGTGCGTAATGAATACCTTAGGAAGCCCATAGTACGCTATATCCTTGCTCGACACTTCACAAATGAAGATATTTTTCTACGTGATGATCTTCCTAAACTTTCATGAGAAGCTCTTAACTAAATCAATAGTTCAGAATAAAAGCGCTCTCCAAAAATGCTTTGCTTGGCCCGACACACCCCCGAATTGGGAGGTCGGCATCCCGCACCCCCAGCTGCGTTTGCTCCACCATGACGCTGTACTCCCCCCGCTCTTCTCCCGTAGCTCTCTCGCTGATCCTCAACCACCATCAGCCCGTCGTCAACATCAGCACCCCAAGATATCACCATGGCTTGCAGACAAGCTGACCACGCCGGATCATGGTACAGAAAAGGCCCAGACCGCTTAAATGATCAGCTGAGGGGTTTGATGGGCGCTGTGCCTCGTGAGATGGACCACGCTGGGGAGCTCCCAGTGCCCGGAGCTCGAGTGATCATTGCACCGTATGTTTGACCACTTCATTGTGTTTCAAGTACGACGACTGACGAGCACCACAATCAAATAGTCACGCGGGGTATTCCTATTCGGGTCCCTGTGCTGCCTATGCATACAGTGCACTCGATCTGTCTAACGCGTGAGTTGATATCTATGCCCTGTGTGTGATAACCCATGTTGTAGCTCACCATAACCCTACAGCAAGCGAATCTTCATTCTTGGGCCATCGCACCATCATTATCTCTCCACGTTGGCTCTTCCAGTGACCGTCGAATACCAAACCACGTTGGACTCTTCTCACCTGCCTCTGGACACGGAGCTCATCAGTAAACTGCGCAACTCGCCCGCAACCAAGCCGGATGGATCCAAGGTCGAATTTACCTCGATGTCCAAACCTGTTGACGAAGCTGAACACAGCATCGAAATGCAACTCCCGTTCATACACTATCTCCTGCGAAAGCAGTTCGGCGACGACGCTCCCACCGACAAGTATCCACCACTGGTGCCCATCATGGTCGGCAATACCTCGCCTGGCACGGAACGAGCATTTGGTGCCCTTCTGGCACCGTACGTCGCAGACCCATCGAACATTTTCATCATCAGTTCGGATTTCTGCCATTGGGGCACCCGATTCCGATACACGTACTACGTCCCACAGGCTCCTACACCTGGACCTGAGCTGCCTCTCTCTAGTGATGCTCTGCCACAGCCGGGAATGGATATCAAACATGTACTCGATTGTCTTGACTCTGTTTCTGACGGATTCGACCTGTCGCGTCGAGATCGTATTTCCAACGGGAAGCCGGCTATCCATGAAAGTATCTCATCATTCGACATTGCTACAATGGCTGCGATCACTTCCGGGTCCCACGATCTGTTCCTAGATGTGCTTAACCGCACTGCAAATACTGTCTGTGGTCGTCACCCCATTGGAGTGATCATGGCAGCTCTCGAAGCCGTCCGAGCCAGTCAGTCGATCGAAGACGAGCGTGGCAGATTCCGCTTTTTGCGATATGAGCGCAGTTCTGATGCCGAGGATGTCTCTGACAGCTCCGTGAGCTATGTCTCGGCATTTTCAGTGCTTTAGATACCGTGTTTCTCGTCCACAATACCCCTCTTGCCTTTGTGATGGCAGAAGAGAAGACAATGTTAGTCTTATTTCGGTGATGAGAATTCAATGAAAGTCTATTCATATTGACTATGCACTTTAGAGTAACTGTACAACCAAGGGCGATAGGAGCCATGCAAAATATGTCGTATACTGTGAAATCACAGATGTAACCGAGAACATCTAGGCGTTAGATGCGCACGAGAAAGATTTGTGTGCGGTTTGAGCATTAATCCGGATGCTCGTTCCTGTAGCCCAAAGACCCATTCCGCACTGATTGATTGATTAGCAACAGTAACATCGTCTGAGATCAAGACTTGAAAACTTACAATGAGGCAAGCAAGGGCAACAAGGAAGACATTGAGCGCAGTCAGAGCCATCTTCCGCTTGTTTTCAAAGTACCGTCCACGGTTCAACTTCAACCAGAATAGACCCTCCAGACCGAACGAGAACCAGCTGCAAAATGCGGCCGCGATCATGTTGAGCAGGTCGTTGAACACAGGGATAGCGTTCGCGATCAACCAGGCAATAACCCACATGATGAAAGTGATGAGTACCCAGGTGCCATAGGAACGGAAAGAACGCTCGTTCATCTTGTGAGTGCCACGGAATAGGCGCACGTAAATGCACTTCGCACCGACGTGGCAGATAACAACACCGGCAATGACGATCGTTCCGATAGAGATACCAAACGCAACCTTTGAGACGACCTCACTGGCGCTCAGCAGAGCGGGACTGAGGACGTTTGGTCCGGCGTAACGGTAAATCACCAGAGCGGTGACGAGATAGAGCGAGGTATCTGTCGCCTGGAAGACAATCAGAGCCTTGGGATAGTCGCTCGGATCCGCCAGCTCGGACTGGAAGCTGAAGAACGACATGTGTCCGGAATACGCGAGAACAATGTTCAGCGTAGCTGAGAAGCCGTTGATCAGACTAGGGTGAGTAATGGCGTAGGCCGTAGGATCGGGAGCATCAATGCCAATGGCAATCATGGTGATCATCACGGCAGTGAAGATAGACAGGGAAGCTATGGGCTGTTAGCAAGATATCACCAGGAAAAGTGAACAAGGCCACTGTACAGATAATTCCCAGATACGACACTTCCTCCAGCCGTCTCGAAAGAGTCAGGACGAAGCAGAGAACGGCTCCCACCACGCAGAAAATGATCGTACAAGCGCCGTGGTTGGTGAGAGTGTTCATCATGATGGAGAACGTCAGGATATGAGCACCCATAAGGAAGATGAAACAGAGAATCTGGGCGACACCGAAGATCTCGCGACCCCAGGCGCCGAACAAAATCTCGGAAGCATCGGCCATGTTATGGACCTGAGGGTATGCCAGTTTGAATTGGCCGACGACATAGCCAGTGTAAGTCGTCAGAGCTCCAATTCCAATTATAATGATACAACCACTGTGAGAGTTAGCACTGAGTTCTCGTTTAAGCCGGCACTATCCTCATTGAACGTACGGGACAAGACCCAGGACTGCCATTGATGATGGGAGCGAGAGAACTCCCAGAGAGACGGACTGGGCAATCATCACTATGATTGGATTAGCTCGAATCTATGCATTGAGAGGATGCATTTCGGGGCAATGTACAAATTGCACAGTTCCTGAACGCAACAATTAGCTGACTGCTTTGCATTGAGTTGCCGCGGACCCCGCGAGAATGCACATACCACCACTTCATACTCCTGTAGCGGATTCCACCGACCTCTTCGCCAGCGGCGAATGGGTCTTGCGGCTTCTCCGGATCCATCGCTTTTTCCAAATTTTTCTCCATGGTGGGTGGGTTGAAAGGTTCAAGCTGGTTGCAAGTTGATGTTGACTCATGACATATCGCCTTCCCCGAGGAAAAATCTCTTCCCAAGCCATGGTCGCCCCACTATTTACTTATCTGGGGAAGACAGCTTGCTAGGAGAGACAGTAGTGAAAAGCGAAGGTTAGAGAGGGATTATAACGGCGTAAATTCTGTGTATAGACTGCGATATCATGCTGGGTTGTTTATTGTCTGATTCTGCCAATTGGATTCCTCCTGCTGTCGTGCTGACGGCGGAAGGGAAGGGGGCCGGGCCCTGCAGGCATTCCATGCCTCTGTGGCTGGATGCTGGTTTCCATTCGCATCATGGTCACCCCGGATTCCTGGATGTGTCTTCCCCGCATTAGGTGGAGTGTATTAGGACAAGTGAGGGTCTAGTCTGAGCTATCGAAAGTTTTGTTGCCGTCGTGAAAGGAGCACGGAACACGGAGGCTATTCCGGGCCCACTTTCCGAGTCAAAGCCAGAGCCACGGGCAGAACGGTCTTCCAGGGAATTGCTAGCTACAAGCATTATCTGTCAATGCAAAGCAAAATAGCACCGAGCTAAATGAAAATTAAAGTCAGTTCTCATGATCGAGATCACAGCGACTGAAATCTGGACCCCAGATCCGTTGACATTGGTCGGGGGCGAGTATCATGTCTCAAAGCGGCGGCGGAAGCGGCTATCCGCTTCCGGGTTTACCCTCAACAACGTATTCCAAAGCCCTTTATCTGCACCATCGAAAGGAAAATCCGAATTCAGCATAGCCCTTTGTTCGAAGAGCATCTGAAACATATGATATCAAATATTTTGGACAAATATTTCGATAATTTTTCCTTAATACATACGGCCAAATACGTAGACACAAGAAACTCAATTCGATGTAATGACTGGTAATGACTGCTATGCCTGACGGCGCAACCCTTTGCTCTATCATCCCCGGAGCTATATACAACAAATCACATCAAAAAATGACAATGTATGTACATCAAAATGGTCTACTCGTCACGGGTGTGAACTAGCTTGCCCTGGACCCAGACACTCTTCACGTTGCGATCATCACCATTCCACATCCACTTCTGGATCTGCTCCTGCCAGGTCTCATTGCCAAATAGATCGACATTACCGACAGGTCCAGTCTCAACAGCACGACCAGCAAGAGTAGCAACATCAAGCTGGCCGGTGGTGCTGTTCTGCACGGCACCCAGCTCGATCAGCTGCGCATCCCAGATCATGCCCTTGTCAAAGCCACCGATGTCTTCGGCCATGTCGACGACAGCGGCGCCGCCGCGAGTAGCCAGATAGAGAACATCCTGATACAGAAGCTTCTCGCTTCCGTCAAAGGTAGTGTTGCCGGTGAGTTGCTGGTACTCGGCGCTGAACTGGATCAGCCGGGAGACCAGACTGGCCTGACGGGCAACCTCGAGAATGCTGGGGCTGTAGCCACCAGCAACATCTGTGCCCAGGCCGACAGTGACACCCTGGTCGAGCATGTAGCGGATAGGAGCGAGACCCGAGCCTAGACCGGAGTTGGAGGCAGGGCAGTGAGCAACCTTGGAGCCGCGCTCACGGATGAGACTCATCTCGTCCTTGGTCAGGTGGACACCGTGGGCGAGGATGGTACGGTTAGTGAGCAAGTTGGCCTTGTCGTAGACATCGGCGTAGCTGGTCGACTCGGGGAACAGCTGCTGGACGAGGTCAACCTCATCGGTAGTCTCAGCGATGTGGGTCTGGATCCAAAGAGGAGGCTCATAGGAAGCGGCAAGTTTGCCGAGGCCATCGAGAGACTCGTTGCTGCAGCTGGGGGCAAATCGGGGAGTGACAATTGGGTTGATCAGAGTTCCGTTGGGGTCAAGGGTGTGGATATAATCGATAGTTCGGATGGTCGCATTGAAACCCTGCTCAGCATCCTGGTCAACGTAGTAAGATGGGCACTGCTCCTTGTTGTCCATGCAGACACGGCCGATAAAGGCACGCTGGCCGTGCTTGTGGCAGAGAGCTGCAAGAGCATTGGTGGCCGGAACGTGAATAGTGGCGAAGTAAGATGCGCAAGTAGTGCCATGGGCAAGGGTCTTCTGCACAACCTCATTGTAGACACGAACGCCCTCCGGGGGCGTGTCCTTGGGGTCGCTGTCCTTGTTTTCCGGATCGGACTTGGAGCCGAAGCTTGCCTCGACAGGGAAGGTGTACTCATTCAGCCAGTCCAGCAGGCCAGATGATCCAAACAGTCCTTCATTGGGGTACTGCGGTGCATGAATGTGGGTATCAATGAAGCCCGGGAAGAAGAATTCGTTCCGGTCATCATTGGACTCCACCACCGTGACGTCGGAAGTAGTCCAGCCCTGACTAGACAGGAACGATTGGAAGCTGGCATCGTCGTTGACCTGCCAATCGTAGCCCCTTGATGCGGCCATCGTCCGAAGAGACCCACAGGACACCTTGGTTTCGAACGATCTCCGCCTTGGCCGAAGTGTCGTTCAGCAGCGGCAGGTGAACGAATGTACCGCGATAGACGGTGTAGGGGTGTGCAGCAGCCATCGTGCCGTAGGCATTCAGCGCTGCCGACAGCCATAATGTAGACACTCCTACTGACGACTTAAAGAAGTTTGAAATCATAGTTTAAAGAAACGAATGTAGATCGATGCTCGACTGTCTGGATACTTCCCCACCATCTCGAGGACAAGGCTGATTGATATATCCCCATCGACGCCTCGACGCCCCGGAAATGACGGAAATGAAGGGTCACGAAGCCGGTATCAGAAGCCGGTCTGGATTGAGTTTTGGAGATGAGGCATAATGGAATAGGAAGGCTACGCCTGCATCGTTGCAGGACGGTCATCGCCGCGGTTGTATTCTTTGACGATCCCCTGAGGATCTTGGCGATGGGAGATAACAGGATCAACAGGGGCTCTGCAGAACGCGAGCATCTCCGAATGTTCTGAGCTCGGTGTTCGGCTGGTTCCGATGATTGCGCGCTGGCAAGGCATCAGAAGGGCAGGTACAAGAATGGGGGCAGTCCTGCCGAGATCACGACAATTCTTTTTCGCTTCCGGCGCTGCACGGGCTCGTCACCGCCACACGAATTGGACGATCCTTGCCAGGATGGTGGGAAGTGCTGGTCGAGGGTCGGCTGGAGCCCTCGTGTACTAGGATGATTGGTATATCTGGTGGGCAGATAGTGGCAGATGGGCAGGTCATCGATCGAATATGCGGCGTCGCGATATGCTCGACATTCTCCCAGCGGGCCGCAGCGGCACATTCAGCCCTCTCAACTCAACTTTTCCATTTCGATCTTGCGCGCCAGAAGCTGATTTGGGACCATTTGCGCCCCTTTGCCCCAGGCGTGCCGGGAGATCAGGGGGTGGTGGGAGTTGGTGAGATCGCAGAACGCTCGGGGCAGGCGCCGCTTTGATACGACTGGAACACGGGCAAGCCACCAAAGCAACGTGACAGATCGAACTTTCATGTTTCGCTAACTTCCATCACCAGCTTCTCATCTCTCGCTTTGCTTCCCTGTTCATTTTCGTCTGGGCAAGGAATACACACGCCCTATACACGGGGTATGCTCCGGCTGCCGCTCGTCCCTCGATGTGAACTAGCCAGCTGGTTGCTTACCACGCCTTTGCCATGCACCTAATTCGAGCCTATATGAAGCAGATTTCAAGCCTCCTTAGGCTCGACGGTGACCGCCGATGGCCGAAGCCTCAACCCAAAAATTCTACCCCGGATTTCCAAGCGACCATACACTATGCATCTCCGGCTACCATGCAATTCAACGCCTCTCTCCATATTCTTGATATAATAGCGGGGGATCGCTAATTATACGGAGTTATTTCACATTCAATTCTTCTACTCCACTTCTTCCAGTCCACTCTCTTCGTTAGTGCATCAATTTGTCGAGTTCAGCATGGGCTTGAAGCCGTATCTTGGCCTTCGAGGCAATTCACTCCTCCGAGCAGCCGTTGCACTGGTTGTATTCCCAACCTTTACTTGCTATGGATATAACATGAGTGTTTGTGGAGGTCTTCTGACCCTCCCTGCCTTTAACGATCAATTCCCCCGCATGGACACTATCCACACGCATGGAGCCGAGAAAGCCGAGAACTCCACGATCCAAGGTTCGTCGATAGCGTGCCCCATATCTTTGTACCGTCTAACATTCTTGTGCACTTAGGCACTGTGATTGCTCTCTACACCGTAGGCGGTATCTTCGGAGCCTTGTCATGCGCCTATCTGGGTGATCTTCTCGGACGGAAGAAGATCATCTTCTGGACGAATCTGATCTGTATGATCGGCTGCATTCTGATGGCAACCTCTTTCGACTTCGCTCAATTCATCGTCGCAAGACTGGTCCTCGGCGTGGGTATTGGCGGGTATGTTGCTACGGTACCAGTCTGGCAATCAGAGCTCTCACCAGCGCACAAGCGAGGTTCAAATGTGGTCACAGACGGTGTTTTTGTCGGACTGGGTGTCACTGTCGGTCTCTGGGTGGACCTTGGCTTCTACTTCGTCAAGGAAAACTCCGCATCTTGGCGCTTCCCTCTCGCTTTCCCTGCCATTTTGTGTCTTCTGGCCATGGTTTCTATCCCTGTGCTGCCGGAATCACCTCGCTGGCTGATCATGACTGGTCAAATCGAAGAAGCCCGAAATGTCATGGCCGCTCTTCTTGAGCTTGAGCCTGATTCGGATTCCATCACCGATAGCATCCATGAGATCCAGACTATGCTTGCTGTCTGCGGAAATACTTCTTGGACCGCCATGTTCACTAATGGAGAGCAGCGTCTCTTCCACCGCGCATACCTTGCCGCTACTGGCCAGTTCTTCCAGCAGATGTGCGGTGTGAACTTGATTACCTACTATGCGACCAGTATCTTCCAGGTGAGTTATCGACCTGACTCTACTAATCTTGAAGAAGTCCACTGTCCTTTAAAGGGTCATATACTGACACGAAGTTAGGAATACCTCGGCATGGATGATGTGAAGGCCCGTATTCTTGCAGCGGCCATGGGCATGATGCAGCCTTTTGGGCGGTCTCTTTGCCTTCTTCACTATCGATACACTTGGCCGCCGACCCCTCATGATCTGGAGTGCAGCAGCCATGGCTGTTTGCATGGCGATTCTTGCCGGAACAACATCCCCCGAAGCTCAGAGTAGCACCGCTCCACTGGTCGTGGCCGTCATCGCCCTGTTCGCCTTCCAATTCATCTTCACGGTCGGATATTCTGGCCTTACCTTCCTCTACGCCGCCGAACTCGCCCCTCTTCAAGTGCGTGCTGCCGTCAGCGCCGTCTCGACCGCGACCGTGTGGGTCTTCAATTTCGTGCTTGCGGAAGTGACCCCAATTGGATTCAATACCATTGGCAACAAATACTATATCGTCTTTGCGGTGATCAATGCCGTCATCGTTCCCTCAGTGTACTTCTTCTTCCCTGAGACCAAGGGACGGTCGCTGGAGGAGATTGATGAAATCTTCTCCCAGTCGAAGAACATCTTTGACCCGCCTAGTGTGGCACGTCGGATGCAGCGAACCATCCGCGCCAGCCACCCGGAGGGCCGTCCGGGTTCGGACAGCTGTGGTGATAACGAAATTATCAAGGAGGAGGTCAAGGCATGAGTCTGGGCTCTGCGGCATTGTGAACAGCTGTTATGATGAGCATTGAATTATTTGTCTGGACAGTGGGCCTAAGTGCAGATCGCTATCAAAAATGCCATTAACTAGATACTAAATACCCAAGTAGGAACCTTTTTTATTCATAGGATATTGAATGAAATATTATGATCCTTGAATGTTAACAGTCCAAAGGTAGTCATTGTGTGGCTCGACAGCTAGCCTCGGCACCATGCCGACAACAAATTAGCCCACCTTTATCCTTTCTGGTCTTGCCGACGGGAACAAAACTCAGGATCCGATGTAGTCTCTTCGTCTCCCAAGCGTACTGCACCTGTGATACATATGGCATCACAAGATCAAGGTCCAATCGATGTGATGAATCCGGGGATTGTCATACGGTTGAATACCAGAGACCCCAATATGGAGGTGTTGCAACGGCTATCTGCTAGTGATATCCGTCGCGAAGATGCATCTCGGGATATTCGTGTACTATTTGAATATGATATGATCACATTGTCTGTTGCTTGTGAGCAAGGTAAACAATCGATGCCTAGCTTTGATGTTAGGCACGATCTTTGATGGAGTTTTACGCTCCCGTACATGGGACCTTTTACTACTTCCGGAAGCCTCGCCCCTCGATAACCCTACGTCAAGCCTTAGATGCAGGGTCTGGCCGCAAAGTATGATGATATGCGATGTACAAGATCGGGCAGACACTTCCCCGACGTTCAACAATTGAAAATCGCAGCATACTCCCGACGCATCCAAAATTGCCGAAAGTCAATACTCCCAGACTCTTTTCCCTTCTTGAATGATGTATCATTCATTCACGATCTAAATCAGGGGCCACGAAACCTTCCTCCAGCCACCAGCATGATGAAGCGAAAGGGAAAAGTCAACCCTTTCACTCCGACAGCCTAGACCGCCGCCACTAATGTTCGGGATTAAATGACAAGTGTTACAGCCTGCAGGATTCTTTGACGCCCTTCATCATTTTGCTCACCCAGAGTTCTGTAGGGAAATCGCCCTGGCTGCCCCGCCCAATAGGCACTTTTGCTGGGGAGGTGGGTGGAGCCTGCCTGACTCGGCACGCAACCTAAGCGCCTGTCGATGCCTCCTGGCTTCAGCCACCAGATCCGGTAGGCGCCAGACCCTCACGGTCTGACAGGGTCGCATTGTTGCAGATGGATTTAAGCCCCGTGATGACCCGGAAGGGATGTGGGTTCTCTGGCAGAGTCTAGACGGCGCTTTATTGCAGGATGGAAGGATAATACGGAACATTGAGATGATCGCGTGAAGGATTCAGAGGATCTTGCAGACATTCGCTTTATTATCTCCCTCTTTTAGTCTGCTATTTTGCAGCTTGATGACCGTGTTGGTTCGTCGACCTGATCAAACAATAATTTGCACCATCTTCTGTCAAAGTCTTCAGTTCTTCTTGCTATCATACTCAACATGGCTTCGAAGATGCTGTCTCTTATCCTGGTAGGACTGCTGATGCCATTCATAATGGGCAGTCCTACACTTCCAAGGTCTGTGTCAACTTCGACGGCGCAATCTTCAAATGCGTCGGGAACCAGCGACAAACTCGTCTTCTGCCACTTTATGGTAAGAACCAGAGACATCCTCAAGGAACCGCAAGAATCCATTATAACAAATCCATGTCTAGATGGGTATCACAAGCAGCCGCCAAAGTGCCAACGACTACGACAACGACATGAAAAGCGCCAAAGACCACGGCATCGACGCCTTCGCACTAAACATCGGAACCGACATCTACACCACCCCCCAGTTAATATACGCCTACACCTCCGCCGCGCGGAACAACATGAAAGTATTCCTATCCTTCGACTTCAACTGGTGGAACACCCAGCAATGCAGCACCATCGGCGCAACAATCAAGCAATTTGCGAGCCACCCGGCCCAGCTGAAAGTCGATGGTAAAGTCTTTGTGTCGTCGTTTCAGGGCGACGGCATCGACGTCGAGAGTATGGCTGCGGCGGCGGGCCATGAGATCTTCTTCGCGCCGAACTATCACCCCCAAGCGGGTAATTTTGGCTCTGTCCAGGGTGCGCTCAATTGGATGGCTTGGCCGAGTAATGGTCAGAATAAGGCGCCGTCGGATGGACTGAATGTTTCTGTTGCTGAGGGGGATGAGTCATATGGGAGTGCGTTGGGTGGGAAGCCGTATATTGCTCGTGCGTAATATCTTCAGAAAGAAATGGTCTTTGTACTGACAGGTTCATTGCAGCTGCCTCGGCGTGGTTCTCTACTCATTTTGGAAGCGAGGTCTCGTACAGCAAGAATTGGGTCTTTCCCTCGGACTTGTTGTGGTACCGCCGGTGGCGGGAGATCTTGAGGCTAAGACCTCGTTTTGTCGAGATTATCACCTGGAATGACTATGGGGAGTCTCATTATATTGGACCGCTTTCATCGCCGCACGATGACAACGGTGCATCGAAATGGGTCATGGACATGTAAGTCAGATGGCAATCTTTCTCGGGATATTGACTAACCTAACCCACCATCTGCACATAGGCCACACACCGGCTGGCTCGAAATGTCCAAACCATTCATCGCCGCCTACAAAGCCGGCTCCGACTGTCCGCTAAAGTACATCGACGAAGAAAAACTGGTCTACTGGTACCGCCCAACGAAGCGGGACATCGACTGCGACGCCACGGACACAACAATGAGCGGCAACCCCAGCAACGCCAGCGGCAATTTCTTCGCCGGCCGGCCAAACGGGTGGGAAAGTATGACAGACGAGGTCTTCGTCGTCGCGCTGCTAAAGAAGCCAGCGCAGGTGCGTGTGCAGTCGGGCGGACAGTCGCACGTCTTCGCAGCGCCGGCGGGCATCAGTGCCCATGCCGTACCAATGGGAGTGGGCCGGCAGGAGTTTGCGGTCAGGCGTGAGGGACGGACGATCTTGTCGGGGAGGAGCTTGAAGGAAGTCGAGGAGCGGTGCGTGTGTGGAATCTACAACTTCAATGCGTATGTGGGGACGCTGCCGGCGACAGCCACGATTGACCGACTGCAGCCGGCTGGGCTGGCCTCGTTGTCGCAGGGGCTGAGCGTCGCGTGCCCAACGAACACTTTGGGGTCGGTCACTGCTGTTGCTACTGCTGTTGCGACGGAGTAAGTGTACTCAGTATGTAGAGCACTACTGTGTAGTATCATACCTAAGGGTAGTATCGGTGTACGTGGTAGGACTGTCTATGCTGGCATAGCAGGAATGATGTACCAGTATTGCCGAACAAAATTCAATGAAATGCCCCTATCCAGAATTAATACTCAGGCCCAATCACAACAGCCGGTCGGGTGATTTAGTATCTGCTATCTCGCAGGATCCTTCAATTCGAGGTGTTATCGCTCACCGACTCTCCGTCTACTCATATTGTTTACCAGTACTAATAGGTACTAATAGTACCTTAGCAAGAGAGTACCTCACGTCCACCAGGGTAGGATGTATCTGCACTAATCCGGGCTGTATCTGGCCCTGAAGTATCCGAGGTCGGATGTTTTGTTCCCCTGACATCCCCTGTCTGCTCGGATCGAATAGAACTCACCCGAGGCTCCGGCCGAGCCCATGGCTTGATCAGCAGGACAAGCTGAACACGACCGTCATCAGATCACATCTTCATAAATTGCACTGGGGGTCGGAGAAACCCCCCACAATCAGCTCCAGCCTGTCCGCGCGAAATGGCCCGCATCAAGCAGGGTGTTTTTTCCTGGGAAGATGTGCTCGCCCAGCGATACCAGAGTTAGTCTATACTTCCCCCTACGGCTCACTCTGGACTACTCAGGTAGTCGTATCCCTGATGGTATACTTATATTGACTGCTCACGGGACAGGTAATAAACCGCCTTCCCTTCCACGCCGTCGCCGCACCAGCCCCACGCCCCAGCCACAGCCCCAATGCCGCCTGCTCTCGCAACTCTCCCCCGAGCTGCGCCTGATGATCTGGGAACTGGCCCTGGGCGGCCTTCGTCTCCACATCATTCAGCGCAGCCCCCAGCGCCTGGGCCACATCGTCTGTCCGCTCAGCACGGCCACGGCAGAGCAGCCGCGGACCCGGCGTGCGGGGGAAGTCTTCTGCGAGATCTGCAATGGCGGGGGGATCCCCCAGCCCGCAAGGGAAGGAGACCTGGCGCGCGCGGGACGAGACGCCGACGGCAATCTCCTCGCGCTAGCATTGACCTGCCGACAAATGTATAGTTCTGATTTTGCTTGCTTTTCAGACTGGATAAACTGGGCCGTGTTCGTGTTCTAATTAGCTTGGGATCTAGATCGCTCGAGTCTACCCGCCTGCTGTATACTCTCAACACCTTCGAGTTCAGCACCCCCTGGACCCTACCGTATCTGCGCCCTACGCTCCCACTGGAATACTGGGAGGGCATCCGGTCTGTCGAGCTGCGCTGGGCGTTTCCAGGCCACTGGCTGCCGACGAAAGATCCCGTTCGCACGGTGTATGTCTCCGCCGGACGTGCGCAGTGGGTCGAGACTTGTCGCGCCTTGATGAGACTGCCAGCATTGCAGTCGTTCGTGCTGGTGCTGGGTAGTAGCTGGTTCAGTGAGCCGGCCGAGAAATTGCCCGTTTTCCTGGAGCCGCTGCGGGGATTACGGGTTCAGCGTCCGCGGAGATGCGGATGGGAGAAGCTGCCATTGCACACTGGCTCTGGCTCTGGCTCTGGCTCTGGCTCTGAGCTGCGGGGCAGTTCAGGGTCCAGTGCGAGTATAACGAGAATACGTGCCGAGACGATCGGTCTGCGCTCCCCAGTCTCATGCGTCTGTGTTCGCCCCTTGGTGTCGACTGGCGTGGTGACAGATGGAGTCTCGTCACGCACACTACCAATGAAAGAGGAGGCGCGGCCGACGTGGGAATTGCGATTGCAGGGTCAACCGTATTATCTGCACGAGCTGGGTCGTGTCGGGGGTGATCTTCGGCGGAGGGGGATCGACTGTGCCATCTCCATGAAGTGAGGAGCGATGGCAGCGATGACACGAGTCACAGTCAGTACTAGTGTACAGCAGTAACGAAAACCTTGTTTTATCATTCATGCAGAGCAAAAGGTCTCGACCCAGGCAACTCACGTCACGATTTCGTTGATTTTCACGATCTTCACCAGTGTCCCGGTTTTGCCAGAAACCCGGAATCCAGCGCCAGCAAATCTGCATTGCGGGATCGGAGCATGTCTTGGAAGAGTTGCATCGAACCCGCATTTCCCGTAGTTCTCTTGCATCGGCGAGTTTGGTCGTGTCCCAACCCCCTCGTCGTTTGCCCCTTCATTGCATTTACCTGGTAACCTAACGCCATCGGCAGCATTTTAGTGCATTTACTTTTCTTTTTTTTTTTTATCATCATCAGATATCTGCAAAAGCAAGAAACTAAGCAATCGAACGTGGAGAAAGATCATTAGTCATCTGAGCTGTTACAGCGCAAGATTCCATCTCTTCACCCTCCCGGTAAGCCTGGAGATGCCTCGGTCTCAGGCATACGCGTAGATCCTATACGTTAGGGCAGCCAATACGACACTACCACATAATAGACCCTACAGTGTATACCCTAGGGTACTGGATGGTGAATGATGTGCGACTCCACCAAATCCTTTGCAAAAATTAGCCTGCGAGAGTTAAAAGGGGGCCGGCACTTTATTCGACACGGGCCCGACACGCACGACGCGTGCGTCAACATGTACACTGACCGCGTTCTGTCCATGTGCGGTATTGAAAGCACAAGGTGTATGTACGAAACCTTGTGCATTAGGTCGCAACAGCTGAACAAAGTAAGTGGTGCATGGAAAATAGTAATTACCTGGTCCCGGACCAGTCGAGTAGAGCGGATAACCTGCCCCAAGATGGGGGAAGAACCAGCCCTAACAAGACCCTGGACCCACCCGCGCCCATGGGTCGCATCTAAAAATATCCCCCTTTTCTGGACCCCATCGGGCCCGTGCTGCCAGGGCTGATGCTAACTTTATACTTATCAGCGAGATGCCTTATAATGTGATTGAGAAATAGTGGAATTGATGGTAATTGTACCATTGTGTACAAGGTTTCTCTGCGAAGGGGCGAGGCCTTCCAAGTTGCATCGTGGCAGTGATCCTACATCGGAGTGGGAAGACACGCAGCCCGGTGCGGGATGTCGCCAGGGGCTCCACGGCTGAGCCCACGCTGGCTCCACTCGCAGGGGTGGCAGGCGCTAGCAGAGTCATCGCGGGGGACGATCGCATATCATAATCAAACGGGTAATTTATGTATGGGATTACACGAAAGCGTCAGGGTCCAGGTGATCTTGTGGAGTGGAGTTTACGTGGAGATACAGAGTTGGAGTCGGATGTTCAGTAGAAAAAAAAAATTAATATTTGTGGTATCAAAATAATTGTGGTATAGAAAGAATGGAAAAAGGTGGGTAAGTGGTTGAAGTCAAGATAGCAAAGGAAATGTGTCTTCAAAGACAGTGAGCAATCGAGTCGCTCCCTAAATCAAGGGGGATATCTTGCGACTGGACATCGAGACCAAAATAAGTAAAAGGAAAATGGCTGCGACCGTGTTCTCGTACAGCATTGTGTAGTCGGGCAGAAAGGAAACCCCAGATTAAAATGGTGCGAGAGAATTGAGAGGAATCGTCACCACTAGCGCCGTAAAATCAAGCAATATGCCCAAGCCATGATGCGAAGATGGTATATCGTTGAAAAGCCGTTTTGTATTCTCTTGCTCCGGGTATGAATATCCAGTAGACGGTAGGAGAGGAAATTGATGTTCAAGACGGTTGAGGTCGTTCGGTGTGTGGTTGGATAACGAGGACAAGCATGAACTTCCTAAGTGCTCAGCATCACCAGCCATGATGGCTGGTGCACGAGTCGATCGGAAAGCTCGGGTTTTGCCGAGCATGCAATTGTGGTCGCGAACGCGGGCGCGTTCTGATCTGACTAGTTGCGTTGGTTTCAGAACATCGGGCGCCGCAGGGGCGCGGTCGGGTTACCCGGTGCGACCGTGTTGGATCCGATGGGGTCGACGCGAGTCCATGTTGCTGGGAGGTTGTGAGTCGAGGCGCCCGGTCCGGCCTCTCATCTGTTCGACTAGAGAGAAGCTGGTTGTCGGGTCGCTGGGATGATTCGACAAAAGTAGAAAACCAAGGGCTCTTCAAAAGAACCACTGGGGGGAAGAAGGTAGTCAAAGCAGAGACGGATCCTTTATCGTCCATCACGCGACCGATCAGGTCCGGAGTGACCATGGCCTCTGGCAGCGAGCCATTCGCTCTGGGCCTCCTGGCGGGCATCGGCGTGCTTCTGGGCGTCCGGTCGGTCCACAAGGCTGCGTGGCAGGATGTTATTGATCTCAGCCGCCAGAGCGGAGGCAGTGAATCCTCGCAACTCCCGCTCTTCACGCTCGTCCTCCTTCAGAAGACGGGCCCGGTCGGTCTTGGACATGTTCTCACGGCGCTTGCGTCGAATCTCCTGGATGGACCACAGCACAACCTCTTCGGATGCACGAATTCGTGGGTTGCCGTGCTTGGTAAAGTTGCGAACGTAGCGGCGGGTCACATCGGTCGCACCGTCGATTCCGAAGGCGACACAGTAGGAGATCTTCCGGCGCCATCCCTCGGCGTAAAGACGGGGGTTGTCGAAGGCCTCTTCACAAGCATCCACGTGCACCCATCGTCGCTGGTGCTCCGAGTAGACCTCAGTCCAAACGTGGTCCTCGGCGTTCCAGACCCAGCGAACCCGAGCGCCGACGGCACGGCAGAACATGCTGAAGCAGTTGGCCCACTCGCCAGCTCGTCCACGGCGAGTTTGAAGGAGTTGCCAAACGTCGGAATACCGGGGAAATCGCTCGTAGGCGCCGCATCGTGGCTCAGAGCAGCGGTACAGCTCGACGCGGGTGGCGCCGCGGGCGGTCTCGTCGGGCGATGGGGGCGTCATACCCTGGGCGATGGTGGGCATGCAGCATTGCGAGCATGGGGGTTGTTGACGAATTGGAAGAAGGATCGCTTGAACCACCTGGGAAACAAGGGATGTCAGTACTGTGGCAATCGATCAAGGTCTGGACTCTTTGCGACGTACCTCAACAATGCTCTAATCACACAATCTTGATAGCCCCATTCTGGCTTTTTACCAACACTGGCTGCTTGGGCCTGCAGAATCTGGGACTCCTCCTCGGCTTCAGAGTAAAGACGATCGAGAGGGATGACGCAAAGGGCCTCATCGAGAAGGCCTGGGTTTTCGTATTTTGTTGGTGTCACCGAGAGTCCCTTCAATAAATTAAAAAATTTGAGCGAGGCTGCATCCTGGGGCGGCGATGGCATGATGGGGAGATGGCGCTTGGCGGGTGCTGGCGATGCTGGCTGGGAAGCCGGTCGCGCGGCCATCGAAGGCGGCGGCGGCGGAGCTCGCGAGGGCGGTGGAATAGAATGGCTGGCGGTCGGAACAGGCGACTGAGAACCGGCTCGTGAACGGGAATCTTCCTGGAGTTGGTTGAATCGCTTGGTCCGCATCAACTGTTCGAACTCGCGGGTGAGGGAGTTGGCGTCGTAGTTGGTCGAGGCCGGCTGGGCCGGCCGGTGCTGGGGTTTGCCGTCCGCCATGGTCGTCGAAGAGGAGGAAACACCGGCGGCAGGCGAGGTCGAGGAATCTACTCCAGGATGGACGACGGCGACCCTGGGAGGGGGAGATGAGGAGGGAAGAGGATCAGGGGAGGTGTGGTAGTAAAGAAGGGCCTCGGGGGGGAGAAGAGGAAGACTGAAAGGGATCTTGGGATGGGATACCGTATTACGGAGCGTCGTCAGCGCGGCTGCCGCCAATCACGGGCCCCGCGTCCCGGCCGCGTGTACGAAACCTTTCGGCCAAGAAGACCCTTTTTCACACTTTTACACGTACGCTGCTTGGCACAGGGTCTCATCATCGTCAACTCGATATTGTCTGATATTATTCTGCTCAAGTCCTTTTCATCTGATGTTGAAATAATAATAATAATAATAATATTATTATTATTATTATTATTATTAATATTAATATTGATATTGATATTTAGTATTTGTATTTCTTCTCATCTGTTCTGACTTGACTCTATCTCCCTTTGCCATGATGTGCCTCTGCTGCAGCCTGCGTCAGGATGAGAACATGGATGATCGTCCCGTCCTACGCGTTCGAAGCCTCTCCAATTTCCTAGAGGGCCTCGATGGAGCCGACTGACTAGCAGCAGCCAGCAGCAACACCGGTGGCGGAGACGCGCAAGCGTCCGTCTTGGCATCCTGCGCGATCGGGCTAGAGCCTCGTTCAAACCCACTGCGCTAAGCCCCCTTCGGCCGCGCTGCTGGAGTCGTTGCTCGACACCTTGTCAGCCTTCCCAGAATCTACTTGCTGGTACTTCACTCTCAGTGTCGCACTCTGTACAGGCCGAAGTATCTCCAAGTTCTCCCCAGACGTCTGCGCTGACTAACCAGCTAAGCAGCGGTGGCTCACCTTGGGCCAGCGGTGCAGGGGGGCTTGGCGCATGCTTCGGTCGCACTCCAGAATACATGTCTGCTCTGGTATGGCTCGATGTTCCTGTCGATCGAGTGCAACATCTCGTTGTTTACGCTGCTCTTTACCTCACCACTCACCTTCTATCTGCGGTGTAAGGGCACCTTGGACAGTGGACGTGTGTCCCAGCATCCTATACGACCCTGGTGACGCATCCCCCTACGATCGCCAATCACTAGCCGTGGAAACTTCCGAACGGTCAAAAGACCCTGAAAAAAGCGTAATAAAAGAGGAGCCAGGGTCATCCCGTGATCGCGATTCGCAAGCCTGCGCTTCATTCCGACACACACTCCACCACCAAGTCGCTGGATCATTGGCGGCTTCCCGAAGTTTTAACAAAGCTCGTCCCCCGTCTCCACCGATTGGGTTGGCATAGGCAGACGGGAACCGTTCTTTCCATTAGTTCTATTTTATTTTATTTTATTTTATTTACATTCCTGCTCTTTCTATTCCCAGCAATGATTGACTTCGTATGTGTCCGAATCTCTACGTTTACCCTTTTTCCCACTGGGGCTCTGGTCGAGTCCGCGTTGGTCTCCGTCCCGGTTGATCATGGCCCAACTGAAACGGGGAAGCCGGCGTTTCATCTGGTCACAGCCTCAATTCAGGACACTATTTGTGGTATACCCTATTACAAGGTCAGAAAGGGCCAAGTGGCTATGCACCATCAGCCTCGGCCGATTTCCCCAGATTGCATCGACAGATATAAGGGCTCATGGGATGCCGTAGAGGCGCAGAGCATTGCCGAGTTGTCGAATCGCTGATCCTGCTGCATGGTGATGGCGCAACAACCACCTGGTTTCACACAATCATTCTGCTGAATAAGCGGGTGTGGATACTTCCGGTCCGCCCTGGCAGAGAGTATGGTACCTTAGACGTACTATACCCAGATCAACAGGTAGGAATCATCAAGCTTTGCATCCAAAACACTCCCTAGGTCGCAACTGCGTATGCAACCGTGCTACAACCACTGGGTCCGTCTGCAAGGAACCCGACACACCAGGCTGGAACAGCCGAGCAACACACCAATTCCAGCGCCTCTTCACGCCAAGAGAGCCAAGAGCCGTCATCGCCGTTTGGCGCATGGGCCGAACAATATAAGCTAGGGCGCTACTCCCCCGCGCGGCCGTGACGTATCATCCCATCCTCGCGTCTCTCAAGCAAATCTTGTCTTCCACAGCTCCGCGCCAAACAGAACTCGGGAGGCTGACGGTTCTCGCGCTCACCGTCGCTTGGCGAATGGCCAAAATGCTGGGCATCAGGCACATAAGGAAACTATAGCAGCCCACGGACGCGGCCTCGCCTCCAATGTGTCAACCACCCCAACCTTTGTCATCAGCCAAGAAAAGACACACGCAACCAGGCGGAGGCAGATGCGCAGAGCAGAGCAGTTTTTGCTTTTTGGTCTCACCTTTTCCCTCGTCTCTGCAGCCATTTATGGTTGATCCTTGGGTCGAAGCTAGACAAGCTCAGCTTCCACGAACACCCACCGTTCGATCTACGCACTTCCACCTCGCTTCGTTCCGCTAGATTCTCACTGACAACGCACACATGACGTAGGGAGAAGCTATAAAGGGCGCTGGACGAGAGCGGGGAAGTTCTTTTCTAGTCGATGGTCCACCCATCGCGCGCACTACCGCGCGTTAGCTTCGGTGCTTCCGCGTCAGCACCCAGTCCGCTCAAAGACTTACGTTTCGACTGATTACCCTGTCATTTGGGGAATCTGACCGACACTCTGTGTTTCAATCTTTTTACTCTCCTCTTGGCCTCGTTGCAGAGTCATTTGACGGGGACTCCACCCGTGATGCTCTGTCGCAGACAGATCTCCCCGTGTTGATGCAAGTATCTAGGATTGATGGCTCTAGTATGCTGGTGGGACGCTGGCGAGGGGCTCAAATGATCCTGCGGACTTTTCCTGGTGCTAATGACTCGCCGGACGAAGGGGAGTCTTGCCCGGTGGATATGGTAGCCACCGAGATATCGGGCCGTGATGCCGTTCTTGGGATCGGCGATGCGAGGCGACGACGACCATGTTGATGCATATGCTGATCCAGGTGATTGCTTGCGAAAGATTACTACATATCAACGATCTTTCTGCTCAATGACGAGTTCTGGTTCTTGCCTTGGTGGATACCCTAGCTAACAGTCGACTTCTACTAACCATACACACATATTTACTTGTAGTGGATGCAACCCCCCAAATACGCTAGTCCATTTATCTCAGATGTGTCTATCGCATATTTTTTTGGGCCACTTCTGGTGGATAATACGCGCAAACATCTACAAAAAATCGCGTGGGAGTGGCTATAGTGCGGCTACGCTAACATTATTCGCCACTGGCGTTGAGCTATTGTTGGAGCTCAACAAAAAGGCAGATTCTGCGTCATGGAAGATTCTATTAGCGGCTCGGGTTTTGAATGAGCTGAAAAGTTCATGCGAATCATCATGGATCGGGTAGCTCAAGGTTGGATCGTTTAATCTCTCATGTGCGCGATTTTGTCAGCGGAACGCCCAAGCATCGCGAACCTATTGACATAACGATAGCCGTGACCGCCAAATCGTGACTTTCTCGTTTTTGCCGCAGCACTAAATTAGTCAGTCTTTTAATATGAAATGTCACCTGATTTTTTGCCGAGATCTACAACATTCAGACGGTTGTAGTCCATGGTCCCTTGGTAATATCAGCTTTGGTTGCTAAATCACTTCATGATCGCCAGGGACCGGATCGGCATATGTGCTCGTTTTAAAAGAAAGAGCTTGTTCTGTTGCAAATTATCATCAGTACTGTTTCTGTTTGGGACGTTGCTTCTGCAAATATTTCCCTCTCCTATTGGCATCCCTGTCGGGTGTGACCAACCCCAAGCGAGAACTTGTCCGGAACACAATGGGAACCGGCCAACCCGACGCCGTGCTCAACAGAGAACGCCATGCAGAAACCCAAGCCTGGCGTTCTTTTTCTCCTAGGGAAAAAAAAAAGGTCTGGAGGAATCCATGGCTACAGGAGACTATTACCGTCGTATATCAGAGTGAGGTATATCCCGCAACGGTCGGGCAGCTACGGGTTTCGCGATGTATAGCTTGGGAACGGAAACCACCACCTAGCCCAAGTCGCGGTTGCCTTCGCTCAGCTGACAACAAAACATTCCCGCCTTCGACCCCTCCATCCTCTATCCATCGTATCCGCACAACCGTGACCATCCCGTCCAGGTTCATCCCAGTTTTCTTTCATCTCGGCACGATGACGGTCTTTATTGCCTCGCTGTAGGTATCATCAAATGGAATCATTATTCTGGCTGCAACGCCTGCTCAACTCCACTATTTAGTTTCCTCCCTTATACGATTGACTTCAAGTCCACAGGTCAAAGTAGTGCGCGTCGACGCAGGTCATCGCCCAGCTACTCAGCCGTCGATAATTCGGGCCTCGGTCCTATTGATGGGCGTCAAACCGATCCCAGGCGCAAGCTTCGCGTCAGATCGAGTAGCCTGGCGCTGACCCCGGGAGCAACAACCGAAGACGAGAAAATCTTCAAGGCCTACGCATCGCAATCCGCAGGTGAGATTCCCACCGCCGATGACCCAGCCGGGCCCGGTCCCAATGAGCCTCGTGCTGTACCTTGGGGCCAAAGCCGCAAGTTCAACCAACCCCGGTCGAAAGCGACACTTCACCCGGAACCATCCATCCTCAGCCGTCCAAGCTCCTGTCAGGAATCCAGAGACTCCTTTTTGGTTGGTGCGCCCGGCCAGATTGCATCAAGTCAACCAGGAAGCCCCCGCGCCACAGCGTGCGATGATGATTGGGCTGTCAAGGCCGCGGAGCAAGGCCATGGAGGTCTCCAGAATGCGATCCATGCCGCGGAGGAAGCGGGTGTTCTGCAGAACAAATTGTGGGTAGGAACATTGGGCATGCCAACCGATTCTCTGCATGCTCTGACCAGAGAGGCTATCCAAGGGACCCTCCGCGAAGAGTACGAATCCCTCGCAGTGTTTGTCAGTGACAGCGAATTTGAGGGTCACTATGCCCATTTCTGCCGATCGGTGCTTTGGCCCGCTCTCCATTATCAGATGCAAGAGAGTCCCCGTCATATAGAGTACGATGATTATTCCTGGAAGCAGTACCTCAAGGTGAACGAGGCATTCGCCGACGCGATCGCCAATAGCTGGCGCCCCGGAGACTGCATCTGGATCCACGACTATCATCTCCTGACTCTGCCAGGCCTTCTGAGAAAGAGACTACCTCATGCCGAGATTGGTTTCTTTCTGCACACAGCATTTCCTTCGTCCGAGATCTTTCGCTGTCTGAAGTCTCGAGAAGCATTGCTCGACGGCCTTCTTGGTGCAGACTTGATCGGCTTTCAAACGGATGAATACTGTCACCATTTCCAGCACTCTTGCAGCCGGCTTCTCAGGCTTGAGGTGTCAGTTGATGGAGTTCAGCTTAAACACAACGGCCGTTTTGTTCAAGTCAGATGTTGCCCACTCGGTATTGACTACGAATCTCTGAATATTCTGCGTCAGTCAGCCGAAGTCAAAGTGTGGATCTCTAGCATCACTCAGCGATACAGCGGAAAGCACATGATTGTGGCTCGAGATCGCCTGGATGTACCTGGAGGTGTCAAACAAAAGCTTCATGCTTATGAGCTCTTCCTGGAGAGGCACCCCGAGTGGAGGGACAATGTAAGTGTACAACGAAGCCCCCAAGGTTCGTTGAGCTGTGCTAAAGTTCGCGGAATTATAGGTTGTGCTGGTGCAAATCACATCTTCGGTTTCCGATATCCCGGAGCTTGAAACACAGATCTCAAAAATCGCCATGAAGATCAACTCTCTTTACTCGACAATCACTCACCAACCTCTCGTTCTCCTCCAGCAAGACATCAGCTATTCCCAATTCCTAGCTCTGCTGAGTGTGGCTGAGATATTCATGGCCACCAACCTCCGCGAAGGCATGAATCTGACCAGCCACGATTTCATACACTGTCAGGACGGCGAACTAGCCCCACAGCGATATGGGTCCCTCATATTGAGTGAATTTACGGGCAGTGCCTCTATTTTCCATGGCCATGAGCTCATTGTCAACCCATGGGACTACAAACAATGCGCCGATGCTATCAAAAAGGCCCTAGAAATGTCTCCAGAGCAAAAGCAGTGCAACTGGAAATTTCTCCTTGAACGCAAATCCCCACACACGGCCTTGGCCTGGTACTCATTTCTACAAACCGCACTCACGGACGCCCACAGCATGCAGCAGGCTCGTGATGCCCAGGCCGTCTGCCCGCTCCGCATCGAGGATCTCCGAGAAAACTACAATTCCTCCGAAACGCGTCTTATCTTCGTTGAAGATGGCGCCACCTTTATCACCCCCACTAACTCCGACCCATCTAAGCCCTCACAAGAGGCGGTCGAGATCCTCGAGATCCTCGCAGACGACCCCAAGAACATAGTGTATCTCACTAGCAATCGCAGCCCCGAACAACTTGACTCGATGGCAAGCGTCCTCCCAGAAAACATCGGCATGATAGCAGAGAATGGCTGCTTCATTAAGCTTCTGCGTGCACCATTCTGGATCTCGCTGGTGGATGTCAAGCGCACCCAAAATTGGCGTGCCGGTATCCGCAAAGTGATTGAGTATTTCGCCGAGCGCACCGAAGGAAGCACCATCGAAGAACGACGGTGTACATTGACCTTCCACTGTTCTGATGCCGTAGACCCAGATATTGCTGCCCGACAAGCCTCTGAGCTGGCAGATCAAATCAACGGCTCTCGTGGCAGCGAGCCTATCCGGGTCGTGCGGGACATCGGTGCCGTCAGCATCGAGTCGCAACACGCATCCAAGGCTGAGGCGGCTTCGTTTGTCCTGCAGAAGTTCCCAGAAAATCACTTCCCCAATTTTGTCTTTGTGGCCGGCGGGGCGAGAGGTGATGAGGCTTTGTTTCGGTGGGCTAATCGGTTGACTGTCGTGCCGTCCGCTGAGCTGCCAAATCTGGCGGTTACTACTTTGACGGCCGGAACCCATGCCACCGAAGCCCGGGCTAGGTTGCCCGATGGTGTTTCGATGGTGGCAGTTTTACGTTCTCTCGTGCCTGGTGAGAGTACCTGAGTACTCTCATATTTCGTCGTCTCGCCTTTCCTGATATGATATCATGTATCTTTAACCCTCGAGCCATGTGAAGAGAAGGGCTGGATTTGCCTCTAGTTTACAAAAACCTTAGATCAAACGGTGAACTTTCTCATTTAAAGTGTTTTTACTTTCCTCTCACCTTCATTTTTGATTTCAGTATCAGCAATGTGAAATATACGGATCTGTACAGAGAGCAGCTTGCATATGATTCTCCGGTTCCGGTTAGGCAGGTATCAGGCTAACCAAGTTTTGACGATTGATTGACCTAATTATCTATCAACTAGAAATACGTTGGACCAAAGCACTCATATCAAAAGACATCCATTCTACGATGGACTAGGCAAACCCGACTAGAGAAACACTCGACAGAACACAAAAAACACGCAGCGCCGAACTTCATGAGCATGGAGTGAAATTGTGAAAAATGGCCAATATGCGGGGAAAATGGATTCCACTGTGTATAAACCCCAGGAAGAAAGAAGCTGGGAACCATTACATGTGGAAAGAGAAGAGGTAAAATGGTGATTGTGGCATGGCGCACTACTCGCGACAGAATGGAGCCCTGGATCTCATCAGGAGGCCCGATAGAAAATGCAGTGCGAGATTTATTGAGAAAAAAAAAGAAGAAGAAAAATCAGAACAGTGGTCGTGGAATTAGGAAAAACATGATTCGTGAGAGGCCGTGAGCCAGCTAACATAGATATCTCACGGGGATTCTGGGTGACAGAATTTTTTTCGAAGGGTAAAAGGGGTAAAGTGGATAGTTTGTCACATAAGTCCAACTTTCAAGTAGCAGGATCCGGTTTCTGGGTAGCATCTTTCGAGCCAGAAGAAGACGCATCGGTTCCCGCAGAGATGAGAGTCGGGGCAACGCGACGTTTCTTCGGTTGCTGGGCCGGGGCCTGGGGCTCTGGAGCCTTGCTCTCTTCCTTTTCGGATTCGCTAGCGGCGGGCGCGTCGCGTTTTCCGAGCACGCTGGGAGCATTTGCACTTGTTCCGCTCTGTGCTGTGGTTGGCATCGGGGTTTGGGGTGGGGTGGTGAGTGGGAGTGGTTGCGCAGAGTGAGTGGCTGTTACAAGGGGAACAGAGCCAAGGGTCGGCGTTGGGTTATTGACTACAGTCGCCTGCTGTTGAGTAGAGGACTGCGAACAGGCCGAGTTGGAGCGTGCAGGGCTGGCCGGCGGGACCTGGGCCGCAGGCGCAGAGGGAGTTACGCTGCTTGCGGATGCATGGCTGGCCTTGACTGGGGATGGGATGTGTGTGGGCGTTGGCAGGGGAGTGACATTGTTCGAAGGAGTTCCTGGGCTGACTTGATTCGAGTCTCGAGAGGTAGGTCCCGTGTAAGGCTGTCCAAGCTCTCCGGGAGAGAACGACAAGGTCGAGCAGAACCCATCTGACGAACTCATGATGAGGGTCAAACCGTCATTGGACCTATAACTTGTTAGGAGTGTTATTTGCGCATCTTGGGGGTGGGGAGTAGTACTTACCAAGTCAAGTCGGTGAACGTAGCAAAGTGCAGGTTGCTCACGACACACAAGGGAGTCTGTTGTTGAGTGTCATATACCAGAACAGCATCTTGGGTGGCTACGGCGTAAACAACGCGGTATGGAAGTGCGAACACAGGGGCTGTCGAGCCTTGGTTGGTGTCGCTGCTCTCGGCTGCCTTAGGGGAGGGCTGAGTTTTTGCGTTTTCTCCGGCTGCCGGGGTGGAAGAGGGGGGTTCCATTGCTGGTTGGCTCGTGGACGATGCAGCCGTGGGCACAACCGAGTCTGGCAAAGGTGGGAACATATCACCTTCTGACGATGTATCCAAGGTGATTTGCTTTGCGGGTTGAGTACCCTGTTTCAGGGTGTAAAACACTGGAGAGCACTTGACAGCCACTGATGGCTTCTTGTGACCGGGAAGATGGGAGATGGGCGGTTTGTTGAAACCTGCCCGAGTGTACACATAGACCGTATTGATGATTTCATCCGTCGTCTTTGACGGGTCGGTGGCCGACACATGGGTAGTCTTATACTGGCCGGCCGGCGTGAACAACAGGCTTCCGTCCGGAGCGAAAGTCAGTCGGCGAAAGAACGAAGTAAAAGTTTCGTTTGCGTAGATGCTGGCGTTTTTGACCCCGAGTCCACCCAGAACACTCGGGGACGAAACCTCCAGAGGCTTCACCGCGGGCAGTGGCATGGATGGGGCAGGGGATGCTGAGCGTCGAATGGATGGAGACGAACCAAAGGATGAACGGCGGCTGTGGGAAACTGGGGGCGGATCCATCGGCAGGTTGGATGCCATGGGAGTTCCAGGGGTAGACGGAGCAGGGGATGCAATAGCAATCGAATTTGCGTTGGTCTGTTGTGGTCTGCTGGTCGATTCTGGAGCAGGGCTGCTCGAAGCCAGACGTCTTGCTGGCAGATCCATCTTCAGGACCTTGCCATGAGGGGTCAGTGTAAATTGGCCATCCTTGGTCTTCAAGCTGTAGATGTGAACAGATCGGTCCGACGACTGGGTCGCGACAAATTCGTTGAGCGGATCCCATGCGACGCCTTGGACATAGTGAGAGTGCTCGGCGATCTGCCGTACCATTTGTCCTATGATCCCAAATGTCAGCTTCCTTACTGCAGAGTCAACGCGATGGCTTGGAAACCAACCATTTTGAGCGTTGTAGATCCGTGCAATGTTATCCATGCTCCCTGTCATGATAAAAACCCCATCGGGCGACCAGGCCAAGTCGTAGATCTCGGCGCCAGACGACCGGCACATGTGCTTCACTCGCCAGGTTTCCTTGTCATCCGACCGATCTTCGCCAAGTCCAGCCTGTGTTTGTAGCTCCGAGGGGACCCAGAGTAGAACATTGCCGTCGTCGCCGGCAGACGCCAGCATTTCACCTGCAGAGTGTCAGCTCGCGGCCCCAGTAGCGATGTGTTGGAGAGAGCCCTACCTTTGGGACAAAACCGAACCACATTGACAGCTTGCGTATGCTTCAACAGTGTACTCAGATATGTCACCTTTCGTTCCTCGCCAGTGGATTCGACTCGCCAGAGCTGTGGGGGATTGTCAGTCGAGGAGCGCGGAGGTAGGGTGATGGGGACAGGGGGCGTACTCGAACGTTGTTGTCACTAGAAGACAGCTGTCAGTTTCGGGTCCATCGACGGACAATAAGTTGAGCACTCACTTTCCAGCAGTCGCCAGGCGACCTTTGCCATTGGGATCGAAATGCACGGAGTAAATGGGGGCGTTGTCATTGTGCCACGAAATCAGCAGCGGGGAAGCCTTCATGATGAGCACCACAGCTCTGCAAGCTGTTCCCGATGGTCACTCTACTCAGACAAGAAGTGTCCAGGATGGAATTCCACCGTGGATCCGGCGGGTTTAAGGAGATCTCTCTCGCCAGGGCCGGTGGATGGGGTCGTGTCGGAGAGCTCCGTGGGTGCGAAGAGCCAACAAGGAGTGGGAGGTAGATCGAATGGTGCAGCAATGCGGGAAGAGAGCGGGTCAACGTAGAAAGAGGGAAGGAGAAAGTAGGAAGTGCAACGAAGGCGGGACTGCGATGATGCTTCGAGTTGTTTGCGCGGGTACGCGACCGACACCCGATTAGATAGCCACCGCCAGTGACGAGCGGCCGATTGGCGATCGCCGTTCTCGAGGCAACAAAGCAACATAAAAGAATACTCGCAAAGAAAGAATAGCCAATAAGTCTGCTTAGTTGTCTGCTTCGGTTTCTGACTTTTTGTAGGGTTGTCCCGGTGCTGTGTCCTTTGAAGCGAACCACAATTAGAACGAGTGGTGATGATGCACTGAGATGCAGAGCAGTACCCATACGGAAGATATATATTGCCAACATGAGAATGTCCACAACAGTGCTCTTATAAACAACAAACGCCCCTTAATTTCCATTCCCAGGTGATAGCTACAGTACATGGTATAGGAGTAGAGAACTCGAGGTAAATACAGATTATATTACTTGCTTGTGGGAGAATCATCCCAGCCATTTCCCAATGCCTTCGCCGAGCCAGCTCGTGACCTTCTCCTTGCGTTTTGCCCGGCTTTCCTCGTGGGACTTCATGAAAGGCTCGGCCTCCGCCACATACATCTTGTGCTGCTCCAATTGGGCATAGTGGGCTCGAATCTCCAGTTCTCGCTCGTGTGGCGTGAGGTGGTGCAGGGGCTTGGATGGTTTGAAGCCTTCCGGGATGGCCTCGCCCCCGGGAATGTCAAGATCGGATCGCTTGCCCGCAGGCTGGGGGGCTTTCTTAGGGTCAAAGAGTGACATGAGGGGTGGCGGTTCCGTGCCAGCGGCCTTGGCTGCCTCCACACGTCGCTCGTAGTCGAGCATTTGGTGATAGAGCTTGTCGGCGTGCATCTGAATTCGCTCTTCCTTTTCGGCGTCGTATTGGAAGGACGAGGCATAGCCGAGGGCCTGGAGGAATTTCTTGAAAAGGTCAGTACCGTTCAAAGTAGGGTGCTGCGATTCGTACTGGAATACTCACGCTCTGTGTGGTGAAGCACCTGGAAAATGATCCGTTTTCTGCCGAGCACATTGTCAACCGCGACTCTAGCTGCTTGCGCCAGTTCCCTGTCTGGAAGCATAATGTCAAAGCCTCATGCTCCAGCGCACAGTTCTCCATTGCTGCCCGCTGCACAGTATCTCCGCGCTCCTTGAACTTTTCGATTACTCGATTCGCCCCGCCCAGATCCGCGGTGTTGTCGTTCTCAGCCATTGGTTTGTAGGTCTTCCATAGATGCGCATAGCGGCCATCTTGATATAGCGAAGCAGACGGCACCTTGGTAGTAGATTCTTCTGTCTGTTCCTGGGGTCCGGCGCCCGGTTTGGGGGTTTGCGAGGGCGTGGGTGCCGGCGTTGGTTGCTTCAGGCTCGGCGCAGGCTCATATTTTCCGGGCGTTTCCTTCTCGAGGTACTCGCGGAGCCCTGGATCAAGCTGCTTGACGGGGTCGTCTTTGTTACTGTCCCAGAGCCAACCCATTGTGAACGGTTGCGCCGGAGATTCGAATGGAGGAGGTGCACGAGGCGAGCGTCAAATGTTGCGGAGAAGTCGGGACAAAAATGGATCGACGCCGATCAACTTTGGTCCCGACCGCCGTTGACGCCTCTACTCTTCCACCACCACCACGACGCGTCTTTCTCGACGCCGTTCCTCCACCATGGCTTCCAGTATGCCTTGAATGTGAATTGTGATGCGAATATGATTACTGACGGATTACAGCGCGCCAGGAGCGGCAACAAATGCGACAGCGCGGAGCTGCGTACGCGCATCTACCCCGCGAAACCATAACATAAGGGCATTGAGCTGACTTTTGACATAGGACGCGCAAAACAAAGGCAGTCGACTTTGGTTTCTCATTTGGAGGCCCTGCGCTTGGGTTTCCAGAGCCCTCTCAGCCTTCGATCGTTCCTGAACCCGTATTACCGCCGCAGACCGAGACCGCGCCAGTAGCTTCAGCACCTGCGTCGCAACCAGAGCCACAGACTGACAAGCCGCAACGCACACCGGGCAGCGCGCGAAATCAGCTCCCCCAACGACCCTCCACCTACGATATACCCTCTGACGAACAACCACGGAGCAACAAGAGGAGAAAGATCAGTAGGTCAGGAAGCGATTGTTGCTGGTTGACTCTTGAGACTGACCAAACTGAAGACCCCCCTGACGCGACAGGTGATATACCCTCGCATAAACAGACCGATGGCTCTTCGAAAAACAATTTGCCGTCTGCCCCGAATGGCACAGAACTGCAGAATAATCCCAAGAAAGCCTGGACTACAGATGGTCCTCAGCCAGAACCCGCACATGATATGTCCCCAATACAATCCCCTCTTGCGGTCACCCAGATGCATAATGAGCAAGCGGACGTGGAGAATTCGGCAGTCAATGGCACAGAGGCCGAAGCACCTACTTCTGCAAAACAAGCGCAAACCACTACCACGACACCTAATCGCGCCCGAACCTCAGGTTCCAAATCCCTTGTTACGGATAGCCAAAGTACTGCTGGACTACCACGGAATATCGAACGACAAGAGAAACAGCAACAGACCGGACCACCTACGGCAGAGTCATCTACGATGACGAACAACGACGAGAGCCCAGAGATTGGCAAGCAGACACGTCCACGATTGTCCAGAAAAGGAGGGAATCAGTCCACAAGTGCGGACGACCGTGAGATCAACAGCGGTCGTTCTCAATTACCGAATGCCGAACAAGCAATACCAGAACCGGCACGTGAAACACAATATATGCCTGAAGACGCGCCATCTGGCGGTTCCGCAAAGGTAAAGCGAAAGGGAGCCAGGATCTCGCCCGCGAAGCGGCCGACAAACACAGAAACAGAGTCTCGACCGCAAAGCCCGATTGAGTCTGCGCCCACCACTGGTAAATCCTCCGCAGCTGGTGCACGCAGAGGTCGCAAACCGACAAAGAAAGCGGAGATACAAGCTGCGCCCGAACCCGAAGCTCGAGCAGAGCCAGCAGAAATCGAAGAGTCAGGATCTCGCCGGGGCAAGGCCGGGAGAAAGGCCACGAAAACAGCAGAGCACAAGTCTGCGGCTGCATCCAAACCGACAGCCTCTCAAACAGAGCCGGAGCCGGCGCCACAGCCCCTTGTTGAAGAGCCGTCACCAGCAGCTGAACCCGAAATCTCGAAGAATCGTCGTGGCCGACCGGGGAAGAAGGCCAAAGTGGGCTCGGAACCACAACGTCCAGCCGATTCGCACTCAGATCCTCAGCCTGAATCCCCACCCGAGCCTGAACCCGAAGTTGAAGAGCCAGCCCATGTGCTGGAACAGGAGACGTTACCAAGATCGTCAAACAAGCGCCACGACAAGCCCGGAAATAAATCCAAGCGAGCACCGAGGCCGGAAGAGGCTCCGCCAGAAGAGCACACGGAGGCAGAGGCTCCTCAAGAAACCCAACGGAAACCAAGAGAACCCCGCGGGGAGACAGTCCCTGTCACGGTTCATCGTCTTGCCAACGCTGCTGCACTCGGTGGCACATACGCAAGTGTCGATGATTCAGGGGACGAGAGAGAAGGATCTCCAGATGAGATTTCGACTCGCCAGAAGACAAAGATACCGAGCCGCGGGGGCGTCAACCCTGCCGATGTCCTCGGTCAGATTTGCCGTGAGACACTGGAGAAGACGCTCGCGACACTAAAGACTGGGATCGAGAACGAGTCCAACCCCACGCGGCGGGCCGAATGGTCGCGTAAGCGCAAAGCCGTGGAAAGCTTTGGCATGGAGCTGGATGGTCGCTTGTTGGACCTGAGTGAGATGCTTGACAGCAATTTCGTGCTTGGTGTGCAACTTAAGAAGGCGAAGCGCGATATGATGGACTTGCGAAGTCATCTTCATCAGGTGCGGCGTGAACGAGAAGCTATCGCCTTACAGATGGACAGGGTGCGCAGCAAGCACATGGAGGAAGAGCAGGAGACGACGGTAAGATTGATGCACTTGGACCTTGATTCTTTGAAATTGACTAACATTACAAACTATAGGCGCGATCCACTATCAACAATTCCATACACAGCCTCGAGCTCGCGCTCGACCGCAGCCAACATCGCGCATCATCATCTGCAGAAACATCATCTACCGAGCTCGAATTCCTGCTGCGTACTGTTGCCGAGGAAGTGAGCTGTCGCGCCCCTGGCGCACAGGGTGGTTTACTTCATCAGATCCGAAGCCTCAATGCGCAGCTGGAGGCAACGGCACGGCAACTGGAGAGACAGTGATCATTTGTTATGGGGCTCCTTTTCAGCCCTATTTGTCATTTTTCGAGATACCAGCCTGGCAGGACCAGGACGTTGGCGTTGCAGGGATGTGTTACTGTGGGGATTAGCTTCAGCTTGTTATAATTAACTTTGTATTATGTGTGGTGACGTACATACATATCAGTTAGTTCATGGATGTTTGGCAACTCTCAGCTTATCTCTTCATTAATGCTCTCTGCCACTGCTCACTGATTCCTGACCAAAGAGTAAAATTGAGCAAAGGTAGTATAACCTTTAACTCCCAACTTAGTTGTTGGCCGGATTCGCACCAGCATCGATACATGGGCCAAGGCAGTTGTTAACATATTGGCCTTTGTAGCTTTGTGATGGTTAAAATGAGGACAAGTAGCACCAAAACAGAATCACCTGCAATACAGAGCAGTTTATGAGATATATTACTCCTTTCAACACTGTCTACGTTGCAAACACCGGCCTCTTTCTGAAGATATTTCAGCAAGGTCAACTGGGCCCACATAGGCGAGGGGTAGGACCTCGTGGTCTCCACAAACGAGATTGAGAAGTCCAGCTACAAAGATGGCGTGGGCAAATGAGGGTGCTCAAGGATTGGGCAAAGCCAGACAGTTTCGCGAATTTCATGGAAGAGGCGCAGAATATAACAACAAAGGCTATTGAGAAGCTCAATGGCGATGGCAGTAGAAGACCGCTGATGATCGTGTTGTGTCAACAAGATCAAAGATGCACTCACGAACGATGCAAATTCCCGACGCTAGAATCAGGCGTCAAACCTAGTCAAAGTTTTTGTGCAATTTGCCCCTGGACGGGAATACCTTGATTGCGTACACAGATCCCATCGAGAGGCCATCGGTGCCGGGTTACATTGACATCGATCAAACCCTCGAGGAACACCTAGGCCACGAATGTATCTTAGTGGATCAAAGTTCGACCCTTGAGGTACCAGATGTGAGCGTGTGATCGGGAGAGGAGAGAAGTGAAGTGGTAGAAGGACGATGGTGACTGACTGCCAAATACCTTTCAAGTCCGCGCCTTCCCAATTGTCGATATACTTCGTCGTGGCCTGAATTGTGAAGTGTCTAATAGTCCTATGTATTTCAGACTCGGCCAGATGAACGTACCACTGAGTGGTATATGATGACCAAAGCGCCATAAAAAAGTAACAAGTATTCCTCTTTATATTCACTCTGAAACTATAGCCTTCTTAGTTTTCTCCACTCAAGTTATGACTACCTCGGGTGGCCTCTTGAGGTAGAGGAGATAACTACTAGTATCATGAAGATACGCGCTAACAGAGACGTAAACAACACACGATATGACTGGCAAATTGATCATGGACAACACTTCAAGTTTGTATTGGGAATACGGCGAAGAAGTCAGAAGAAATCGGCTAGTACACACCGGAGGTAGAATAGGACGACAAGGTGAGAGAAACGTCGGTCACATGTTCTGAAGGTCTCGCTACGGCGGACGATTGAACTCGCTTCTCTCACTTCTCAATCCTCCTCTCTCTTACCTCTCTACACTCGATCTCTTCGCACCAATACAACTTCGCTGCCATTTCCGGGCGACCGTAATTCACCGACACAAAATACACAATTTACTGTGTAGTGGCGTTGCCTAGCGTGCTTGAAATCCCTGGGGTTTGTAAGCCCCACCATTAGTTAATTATTAATGCTGCTGATGCCTAAGGTTGCCACCCGAGGCTCCGAGTCCTAAAAAGTTCTTTCCATCTTGAAAACTGCGACTACTCCTTCCGGAATAGGAATGGTACGTAAAATAATTACATGTAACCATAGCAGCGGGCTCAAGTTCTGCGTGATATACGGTAATACACATACCAGGCGGTCGGACTGCAGAAAGGAGTAGCACTGGCAGAAGCCAAATCGAGAAATCGAGCGTCGGCATGGAAAGTGCCGAGTCCCACCTCGGAGACTTTCAACTTGCGCCTTTGAAATTCTACACAAATCGAACAATATCGGTGTCGGCTTTGCTTGGAAATCACCCTGTGGGGCAAGGGGGCATTCTACACCCCAGCTAATCACTATAAAGCCATATCTTTCTCCATCTCCATCTCCATAGACCATTCAATTCATCAAATACTCAATCCCAATTGATACAATTGATTCGTCCAATTCCGCATCCGTAACTGCAACCACAAGCGCAAACAAGACAAAACACTTCACAATGACCAAGCTCTTCAACCCTCTCCAGGTCGGGCGCATGCAGCTCTCCAACCGCATCGCCATGGCCCCAATGACTCGCTTCCGCGTCGACGACGAGCACAATCCTCTCCCCTTCGTGAAAGAATACTATGCCCAGCGCGCCTCCGTCCCCGGAACCCTCCTCATCACCGAAGCAACCATCATCTCCCCCCAAGCCGGCGGATACCCCAACGTCCCCGGGATCTACACAGACTCGCACATCGCCGCCTGGAAGGAAGTCACCGACGCCGTGCACGCCAAGGGCTCCTACATCTACCTCCAACTCTGGGCTCTGGGCCGCGTCGCAGACCCTACCTACCTGAGCAAGCTGGGCGCGCACGACGTCGTCTCTGCGAGTGACATCCCCGCCAGCGCGGATGCCCAAACGCCCCGTTCGCTCTCGGAGGAGGACATTCAGTCCTTCATCAACGACTATGCCCAGGCTGCGCGCAATGCCGTCGCCGCAGGCTTTGACGGTGTCGAAATCCACGCTGCGAATGGCTACTTGATTGATCAGTTCAACCAAGATGTCTCGAACAAGCGGACTGATAAGTGGGGTGGTAGCGTTGAGAACCGATCCCGCTTTGCGTTGGAAGTCACCCGCGCCGTCGTCGATGCCATCGGTGCTGACCGCACCGGTATCCGATTCTCGCCCTACAGCACCTTCCAGGCTATGCGCATGACCGATCCCATCCCGCAATTCACCCACCTGGCCCAGGAAACGGCCAAGTTCAAGCTCGCTTTTGCGCACATCGTTGAGCCGCGCATTGCGGGTAATGCGGACGTGGAGGAGATGCACGAGGACCTGGACTTCTTCATGAAGGCCTACGGAAATGCCACTCCCGTTATCATTGCTGGTGGATATAAGGCTGAGTCGGCGAAGGAGGCTATTGATGGCAAGTACAAGGATTATGATGCTCTGATTGGCTTCGGACGTCCATTCATCTCCAACCCGGATCTGCCGTTCCGCGTCAAGGAGAATGTGCCTCTCGTTCCTTACAACCGGGATACTTTCTATATCCCCAAGGACCCCAAGGGTTACATCGATTGGGATTTTAGCCCTGAGTTCAAGGCTACTCAGGTTGCGGCTTAGAAGATGTACCTTTGATGAGATTTCTTTAGATTTTAGAATTTCTTGCATAGCGTTTGTTGTTCAAGTATGATTGATTTGTATATACATCAAATACGAAATAGACACAATTTGAGTATGAAACAGATAGTCCAATGTGGAGTAATGTGGAAATTGCTTGCCAACAACGTGTGATCCCAGATGTCATTCCAACACACTATGGCGAATGGCTAACATATTCCATGCATTGATCTCCTTCTGCTGTCATGGAATGACCCACGAGATGTGAAGCACCCATCTAGAACATAGATACCAATCATGAATCACACCTTATACTGCAAGATATTAGCGATAATCCCCACAACCCCAAAAGAAAACAAGACAACTTACCCTAAACTCTCGATTTTGCCTATCAGTCAGATCCAAAAACTCCGAGTTCTCCTGATGAACCTCGCCCTCATGGCGCTTATCCCTACGACGGTTCTCCCAGATATAATAATAGCGCAGGACGAACGTGAAAATAATCGCGACAGCCACGGTAATGACCAGCGCGATCTTCGCCGGGATGTAATTCGGCTCATCCTCCGTGCGGAACGTAATCGGGCCCAGGATATTGCCTAGACAGAAGGACATGAGAAGGATGGCGTTCATGGTGACCTTCTTCGTGTGCCCGGCGGCATTTGCACCGGCGAGAGAGTAGAGAATTGGCAAGGCGGAGCCAATTACTTGGGTTAGATAGTTCCCGGCTAGTTGGGCTGCTTTCATATCTTTGGGAGAGAATGCGAGAAGACAGCCGCCGAGAAGTCCGATAGTTAGTGAAGCGACGACGCAAAGACAGCGCTGGTCGTACCGAGAGGCAGTGTATGAGGCTGCGAGGATACTGACAATGCTGACGGCTCCATTGGGGATATTGAGGAGCTCGGTTTCTTTGGTTGTGAAGCCGATGTTCTTGATGATTAGTGAGGTGAAGCTGCTCACGGCTGCGTTGGAGATGTTCATGGATGCCACGATGATGATGATTAGGTAGGTCTGGGGGTCGCGGAAGATCTCGACGAATTGAGGCCATTTGAAATGCTTGTTTTCGATACCAGTGCGGTTCTCGCGGAGTCGTTCGATGGCGAGGACTTTTTCGGCGTGGGTTAGCTTCGAGGTCATCGGGTTGTCGGGAAGGAAGATTATGATGCAGATTCCGACTACGATGGTGATGACGCCGAAGATCAGGAACATTATTTGCCAGGATTTGAATTTGTCGCTTGTGTAGAAGAGGAGGCCGTAGGCGACCAGGGCCCCCATTATCGAGGCGGTTCCGGTGCCTAGGTACCATGTTCCCATGCGCTTTGGTTGTTCTATTCAAGTCAGAACAGCTTTTTAGATCGGGGAAACGATGGGCCCATACCATTCCGCTTGTACCACATGGAGGTGATGAGGATTAAACTGAGATGGGAATGTGAGATGATATCGAGCGTCGAGACAAGGTATACTCACGCTGGAGCGATTGAACTCTCAAAACATCCCAGCAGCACCCGGAGTGTCATCAGCCCTCCAAAGTTCTTTGCAGTGCAGTTCAACGTTGTCATCAATCCCCACAAGGTAACTAGTTTTATCAGTCCAGCTTATACAGCGAAGGTTGGAGTGAATGATTACCATTGAGACCCAGATATTTCGCCGTTGGTAGTCGCTGCATCAGAAATCCCGTTGGCAATTCGAAGAAGAGGTAGGTAACGTAGAAAGCCAGAGTCAGATCCGAGAACTCGTTGGTGCGCATGTTCGTATCGCTGAGCAAGCCCATGACGGAGGCATAATTGACTTGAGAAATTGAATTATTAGAATCGCTCAAATATGTCTTATGCATACCATGAACACCTACTGAGCACCTTGTCCAGATACTGTAGATTATATGCCGCCCACATCAACGGCATAATCATCCAGTCGATCTTGCGAACAAGCGTCTTCTCATCAACCTCGACGGCACCAACTGTATCCTCGGCGCGCAAGAAGTCAAGCGCGGCATCGGCCTTGCCTTCCTGGACCTTGCCTTCCTGGATAATGCCATTCTTCACATCCACGTCGGCACTATCATTTCGGACCGGATGGTCGTGTTTTTCGGAAATGACCATGATTCAACTGCTTCAATTGATGTCTGCAAGCTAGGCGAACTATCCAACCGCCCAAAAGCTCAACAAAGCGACAACGCTCGAAAGAATCCTCCGTTCAGTGCACGACCTGGCCATTTTGACAACCCCATCTTCCCCGCTCTCTCGTGTGCGCATTCCCGACGTAGTAGCTATTGCACTCCTCGGCAGAACTCAACCGCAGCATTGGGCGACCTAGCCACTGATAAGAGTAGCCACGATGCCTCATCTAGAAGCTTGTTCCCTGGGTTGCGAGGGCGGTGGTAGGCGTCGCGTGCGGAGACGCGGTCTATTCCGCCCGCGACAGCTGTGCGCAGACGGGGTGGCCGTGGGCTCGAGGCATGGTTGGCTGCGGTTATTCCCCTCGTGGGAGATACTGAGGGCAGAGCGCTGATAGCTAGATGGTCGGCAGGGAACTAGAAGTATCAGGGCATTTGACAGGCTCGTCGGCGAGATGATTAGGCCCGTTGAGGAAGGTGGTGCTGGATATTGTAACGAGAGATGCAAACCCCGCACGGCGAGTCATGATGATAGCATCAGGGGTTAGGGGGTAGTTTTGCGCAGCAGTTAGCAGTGATTGAGTCCTGTCGATAAAGAGGACATGCCAGCCTCATATGATGAGTGATTTGGGCGAGATCCATTGTTGATAAGAGTGGAGCTGCCCAGCAACGATGGGCGAGCTGGGCATGGCCATGCTGACCCTCAGTCGGCATGCATCATGCCAGTTGTGCATGGTGCACTCGCAGCGAAATCCAGAGTAAAGTGCGATCGCAAGTCGTCGAAATCAGACCATCAGACACAATTGTCGAGAATCGTACTGTATGTGTCTCAGTCGCGACCATCGCAACAAGCATCCCTGTTTTTGGGACCAAGCTTCACCGCAGGATGCGCGACTTCCCGCGTGCTGCAAAGAGAGAGGATCATCGCAGGATTTCGGCCGAGCCGTGCTACGCTTCGTATTCTTCATAAGTGTACGATGACGAAGCTAAGGTCAATGGGGAGCTCGAAAACTCTCTATATTTGGGTGCTCTGGTCGGTCAGTTCTGCTTTGAAGTCACTGTCGTCACCGATGAGCTGAGCTAGCGTATGGAGCGTATCGCGTAGAGCAAAGTCAATCGTAGAATGACCCATCTACTGAGTCCTTCGGGGCAGGCTAGTTGATGCAAAATTGATCCAACCCCGCATTCTGACCTCTCGTCCCAACACTTTCCATTCTGCACGCAGTTTTGCAGACACGGTGCGTAAAGGCGATTTCATGGGGAATACCCGGACCATCCGATGTGGGGAACCCCATATCATCAGACCCCGGATTCTCCAATCCATTAGTGAACCAGACCTCTGAGCCGTGGATGCCCAGCCCAGAGTTTCCGCTCCGCCGAGCCGAAAACGGCCACTCAAGCTGTCCGGGGAGAGAGATATACCCTCGGTTTCGGTAATGGTAGAAGACATCCGAATGCCCAGCGAAACCCTCGTATCCACGGTTCAAGGCGAATATTCCGTTATGCCGGGACGGGAGAACCAGGAAGCAGCATCGCTTCATTCTAGAAGAGCAAGTGCCATGACTGCGACGTAGGTTTCGCGCCGAGCCCGGGCTCGCACGGCACAGTCGGCAACACGTCTGCCGCGCTGACGTCGAGTCTACTCGGTCCGGATGCCGCGGCGACATCTGGTTCGCTGGGCAGATGGGATGGGATTTGGATTGGATCCCCCACAATGCGAGGATCGGTCAGATGAGCAGACGATGTGGGGATAGCAGTGGTTCTATTCACAGTGTTTTTGTTGCCGGCGTGTTGATCTTTGCTCGGCGCAGGGCTGATAGCTCTCTCCGCACTGGCATTCGCGTTGGCATCTGCAGCTGCGTCTGCATCGGGGTCGTGCTGCGACCGGGGAAATGGAGGTCATTGTTTGTGATGATCTGGTTGGGGTGATCTTCCGTACATACTGACTGTGGGGAGCCGCCTGATCCGGTGTGGCGGTCGGCGATCAAGGCAGCGCCAGAGGAACAGGTGTGGCTCAATTCATGAAGCCAAGCCAGCTAGAGTTCACTAAAGCAGGAATTGGCGAGGCGTTCGTCGCGTTCTACACGTGGGATCTCCACGAGGAGACGTCATGAGGGAATGGTCGTTATGTCCGGTCGATGGTATTGGCGAGTATCGAGTATTGAGTACCAAAGATCGTTCGCTTAGGGGAAATCCGGGGTTAGTCACGTTTTTATGGGTGCCTGAATGCGGGGGACCCAAGGTTACTGCTAGGTAACTATACAATCGATGTACGCGAGGGTCGTGTAGCCTTGGCTGTGAATTCTGCAGTAATCAAATCCTTTGATCCTTCAGCCCTGTACTTTCGGCTGGTGTACATGTACATCTGTACATGCACGCCACGCTACACTAGTATAGCACGGGCACTAGACAGCTTTGAGCAAACACCTCGCAGAATAGCCTAAATACGAGGTCAGTTTACTCTTTCTCGATCATGTCTGTTTGCAATTTGGAAATCAGAAATCAGTTTGATTTTGTTTGTCTTCGTAGGTTCCAGTAGTCTTAATCGAATTCGCGTTTGCTACGCCTATAAGACGCCCCCACGAATGCTTGTTAATTTCGTGGCAAGCCACCTTGCGCCCAAAGCTGACTACCGATAATTAGTAGCAGATTACTGATTTTTACTAGTAGTAGTACTTTGGCGAGCTGACTAGATGCAGTAGTCTCGTGCGCCACGAAATGCACGCATCAAATGGCCGTGAATCTCCATCAATCACGCCAATGGATCGTCTATCAAAGGGGGGCCGTCGACCCGGTCGCGCCAATCAGCGGTCGATCAATAGCTTTCTATTACGGATGCTGCTGCATAGTTCGTGCCGCCATCGAGTAGTTTCATCTAGAATGCACCTGCGAGATGGAGCGAGTGCACTGCACACTGCAGTAAAACTAGCGAAGTCGAGATCGCCTTCTAACGGCGTCGGGTGGCTTTGGACACGACCTTTTTTCCTTTTTTTTCACCGTGGCCCGGTTGGGAAATGGCCATCTTGCCTTTGTGCTGTGGCTCACAATTCCAAATTCGGATGCGGATGCAAACGCAAATTCAAATTCAAATTCGTTCGCGAGCCTCGTCTCCCATTTTTGGTGGAGCAGGCGCGAGCCAACTCGCGCTCGCCTGTTACGGATTGACTTGATCTGATACACGGTCGGCGTCAAAATGAATGGGGACACGGGCCGAATCCGAAGCTTGCGACACCTACTTGTCCACTCGATGGACTATACGGCGTACTCAGGAGAAAACATAGACGGATTTTTTTGTTGTTGTTATTGTTAGTTCCTTGAGGCATTATTGTTAGTGCATCTTTAGGGAGTCGACGGAGTCCACGAGGTAGGCACCGAGTCCACAGTCCACATCCACAGCGTGTTCTAGTTCCTGCAGGAGAGATTCCTGTCGGGATGCGCAGCTCGCCAGCTGTCCCACCCGATGCGCGTCTCCGAGACAATCAGCATCGCCGCTTAGGGGACCAGCAAGAAACAATACCATAGCTCGTCGATTAGTGCGCATCTCGGTCCGCCGATCGCCATGTGTTTGTCCCCGCCAGCGCAGGCAGACGAGCATCCGCGACGCCCTACGAAGGTAGTGTAGTGTAGTATCAACACTGCCTACCGGGCTGATGGCCTGTCAGGGTCTAGTGGGAATACGGACGCGGTGGTGCGACAGCTCCGGCCGTGTCGCGCAAAGTCTATTGCGGCCCATCTCAATCAAAAGTAGGCTGAAACGGCAATCTCTGCGCCTGCAACGGCGTCATCGGGGTAGTTTAATGAAGATGACCGCTGTCTGCTGTCGCATTCGGAGGGGCCGCGAGGGGCCGCAACGGTTAGGAGCGACGAGGACTCCACGCCAGGCTAGTCCTGGGTTAGTAGCTGGTCGATGGAATGGTTCGGAGGGGGTTCTCGTTCTCGCGAGGATGACATCCGGTGCACCGTGCCCGCTGAGCCGTGTTCTCAAAAAAGGGGCAACTGGACAAAAGGGGATGAACACAGTGGGCGTCTGGTGCACAGCTAGGGCCATGGCCTGGCCAAAGTCCCATTGGTGCGTAATTGGCATCTCCACTGCCAAGCATGATCCGCCCATTGTGCTGGCTGGCCGAGTGGGCTGGCGTGCAGGACGAAGGGAATTAGTTCTGCTTAGTGAGGTTAGCCGGAGACTCGACCCGCCTGGATCAACAAGCCTTGCCAGTATGCAATCGCAGGGAGGTGTCCAGTGTACCGTGACATTCAGCGAGAAGCGTGAGGTAAGCACGTATCGTACGGTATCGCAATACACCGCCCAGTTCTCCCCGAGGGTCCCACCTGCCCGAAGATCCAGAAAATACGGATCAGCATCCCAGCATTCGCAGAGCCCTGTTGCTCTGCTCGACTGAGCGTGTCTGACACCATTGCCAGTCTCACTGGGATCAACTTGGGACGATCTACTGGATCCCCCATCCGCACCCGCCTGCCAATGATGCCGGCGCATCCGGCGCATTCTCCCCACTGTTCTCCCAGCTCGCCCACTTCTCGCAGCTTTCCCTTCCCCCCGGGCTCCTGTTGCCATCCTTAACTCCGTGACCAGTTTAGCCTCGTCTGGTTCCCGCGGCTTGACCCCCCTCATGCCAGTCTCCATCCGCTGTGCCGTCCCCGGATGGACCTGGGTACGTCGATGCGCCTCCGTCAGGGTCACTGCAAGCTCCGTACCCATGTCTTGTAGACAAAAGCACCTTGGGACCGGGGTATATATTGCAAAAGACCCCAACCCTCTTCGGCCGATCTTTCTGCTCCCACGGTCATATTTCGCGTCCCCCAATTAACCTCCGTTAGTGTCGGTGGGACTCCTCCTGCGGCTGCACATCATTGCGATTTATTGAAACAGCTTTCGAGCGGGTCATAGTAGTAAGTTTGCCTTTGGTGCCCCCACTTTTTCCCTTCGTCCTTTTTTCCCAACGGCCGAATTTTTCTGGCCCTGGCCGTGAACGTGAGAAACGTGAGCTTCCACGGCAACTGGGGTGGTTCCCGAGTTGGGCTGCCGGCCGCGCTTCCCCGGCCAGCGCGACTAGTATATTAGTCCCAGCTTCTCCCTGCATTCTGGCTGCTTTTTCCTTTGTTCTTCATCCTTGTCAAACCCATTCAGCAGTGCTGAGCTTTTGATTTGATCACTTTTTATTTCCCCCCTGTTTTCTTATTCCTCAATCACCCGTATAACTGTGTTATACTCCCGATCGAGGCTTCCACCCGTGTTCAGCAAGCTGAACCATTTTGATCCCTTTTTTTTTTTTTATCATCGCCTTTTAAATTGTCGCCCCGCCTTTTTTTAATTAAAACGGGCATTAATTCGTTTCGTGAAGTCTTCCTCTGCAGATTTTCACGATGTCTTCCACTGAGGCTACCAACAACGGCGCCGTCGAGAAGGACCTTGGCGCTACCCCCGCCAGCGGCGCCCCCATGAACCCTCAGATGTCTGCTGAGGAGCACGAGATTGCTCGCCAGGCCGCCCGCTTCGGCTACGGCCCTCTCGCCCATGTCAACACCGCCGAGGCTCGCCTCCCCGCGTTCGGGGGTGAGTTCCAGCCCGGTCTGTACAAGCCCGTCGAGGGTCGCAAGTTCGGTAACCCGGCTCCTCTCGGCCTCTGCGCTTTCGCCCTCACCACTTTCGTGCTGAGTGCTATCAACATGGGTGCCCGTGACCTCACTGCGCCCAATATCGTCGTTGGTCTTGCCTTTGGCTACGGTGGTCTCGTTCAGCTGCTTGCCGGCATGTGGTATGTGCAGAGCTCCCTACTCCAAGCTTCCAGCATGTCGCAAAAACTAACCCAATTGTCCAGGGAAATGGCTGTCGGTAACACCTTTGGTGCCACTGCTCTCTCCTCGTACGGCGGTTTCTGGCTTGCTTTCGCGATCGTTCTCACACCCGGTGGCTTCGAGATCGAGAAGACGCTCGAGGGTGTGAGCACTGACGCGTTCCCGAGCTCCATGGGTCTGTTCCTGCTTGGCTGGTTTATCTTCACCACCATCCTGGTCTTCTGCACCCTCCGCTCGACCGTTGCTTTCTTCCTGCTCTTCTTCTTCCTGGATCTCACCTTCCTGCTGCTCGGTGTTGCCTACCTCTACCACGATGCCGCCGGCCTCCCCAACGTCAAGCTCCAGAAGGCAGGTGGTCTCTTCGGTCTCCTCTCTGCTTTCGCCGCCTGGTACAACGCCCTTGCCGGTATCGCCGACACCAGCAACTCCTTCTTCATCATCCCTGTCGCCCACTTCCCCTGGTCCGCTACTGGCCGTGAGCGCCGTGGCAAGACCGACCGCGAGCTGGCATAAGCTCGTCCGCTCTCCGCATGGATTGAGTGGATGACGGTGGTGCGGGTTGCTTATTGTTGTGATGTTTTCTGATACCCCTTGTACCAATCCGGGTTTGTGGTCGAAAAGAGCGTCAATTCATTGTCCCCCGGTTTCGATTCTTTTTGAGGCGTTTGCTCGCCCTTGATGGGATTGTTTTCGGGGTGGCTTTGCGTTCCCTCCTTTTCGGCTGTCTGCCCATGAATACTAGCTTGACTTGTCTCGTGATCGATCGATAGTCGCGAACAATGTTCTTGCGCAATTTTGTCTCGTAGCTCGTCGGGGATTTGGTTCCTTCGTCGTGTTCGGGTACTTAATTAGGGTTCGTTACGTTCCCCAATAGTTTCCTTGTTGTTTTAAGTCTCCTTGCCTATTATCGCAGTTAGTAATTAATCCATTGACTTATGATCAAACTTGTCGTTTCTTCTAACGTACCTTGTTACTTGTTCTTTGTCCCACGTTATCCGATCGTAAGGCTCGTTGAACTTCAGGCTGGTCCGGATCGAGATTGCAGTGTGAGCTTGACGAGCCCCTATTGTGACACCACATCCAATTGAAAGACACAATCGGCCTTGGTAGCCTTCGTCGATAGTGAAGATACCTAGTCAGTAGCGTCAGGGTTAGCCTTCGAAAGCAAAGCGCATTGCTCTGATATTTCGCTGAGCCAGTATACCACAAGGGCCTGAGAAGCTCCATGCAAATGATCAGCAAGCATTCTCATTGGACAAAGCCCTGCATGTCAAAGCATGCACAACAGGGTCTGAGCAAGATAGAAGAAGCCCCAGAAAAACCCTGCTCCTGCAAGTCTTGCAAAAAGCAAAGAAAATGCACGAAGACCAGCGAGTGGGCGTCCCGCGTAATGTGTAGTAGATCAGGCACCACGATCTAGACCTATCTAGACCTGTCTCCCCAAAACAGCCTCCGCCCGTTTCGCCTCAGATTTCAGCACGCCGATCTAATGTCCCTGGGACACAATAATTCCTCAGCGCTGGGCTATTTTGAGCGAAAAGCCGGGGTGAAAGGGGAGAGGGAAGTATGCTACGAGAAGGTTAATGGACGATGATTTTTGCGATGCAATAGTGGATGGGGAACATACCTTCGGGAGACCTAATAGAGTCTGGAGCTTCATTTCCCGTGGCCCTATATTGGTGTGTGGTGGAGGGGTTAATTAAGGATCAGGGGGAAGTGAAGGTACGATTTTGGGGGGAGAATGGGATGATGAAGAGTTTGGGTGAAGGATTTCTTTTGACTGTCAAATCTACTAGCTGAAACAAGACAGAGGCCTTCCCCTATCCCGTCCGAGCTACTCCCGATGTCCGCCCGGCAAATACTCGGCCTCGGTATATGCTCGGGATTTAGGGGATCGGCGGTGCTTCGGGTTGCCGGTGAAGTTCGTGCCGAGAACACCCAAGCTCGGCTTCTCCTTTATTATGGGTCATAAATTATTGGCATGATTCATGACTCGAAGATAATTTGCGATTATCAGGATATTTTCGTGGCACGCTCGGGGTGAAGATGCTCACTTGAGGCGTTATGGAAGGACATGTATGTCTTCGGCCATTGTTCGGCAGAAATGACCCTAAAGTGGACTAGCTGCACTCGTCTGGCTAAACCCATGTCCGGATGTCGTCGTCTTCATTTGCGGCTATGAGCGGAATATAGAGCCCGATGGGTCGCCCTACCGAGAAGGGCCAGATGGGCCGTGACTGACAGCATTGGTTGGTGCTGTGTTACAAGAATAGATCGGGTTCTTCCGGAGTCATCATGATGTATTCGCAACTTTATGGATTCATTCATCATCACTCAGTGTATATAGATTGATTATCATATCTGCATTCATCATGAGAGGGGGCTGTATCGACAATTAGAAGACGGGCAGGTTCCATCTTGGGAGGGAGAAGAGAAGATAGCAGGATCATGCAGGCAGCGGGTCCTCCTGCAGCTGAACCTCCTGCCATATCTGACGCAGCATTGGCAGGTGGACGCGATCGGCATAGAAAAAGCCGAGCAGGATGGACCGGGCTTCCTGCCAAGATGTCACGCCATGTAGACGGCAGGCTGTTGCGAGCTCCGTTACAAAGTAGGTGCGTTCCGACGGCATGACTTGACTGCATGCTGCGCCAATGAATAGCAGCCAGATTAAAAGGTCGCGGCAGAGGGCAAAGACGCCGGAGGGGATGGTGGCCTCGAGGGCTGCGCGGAGTGCAAGGATGGGTTTGGGGAGTAGAGGTGCAATCATAGGGTAGAAACTCCAGATAGCGCTGTTGTGGAAGCACAGACAAGCCAGCCGGCAGCATCCTTCAATGGAATTATCGCCCTTAGTGTGGCCGGTGGACGTGTATCGGTCTGCGTGTAGAGAATACTCGACGTAGAGCACCTCGAAGTTGAAGTAGTCCTCGGTCTCGTCATTGAACTCCTTGTATCCCATGCTGCCCTTGATCCACTCTGCATACCAAGAAAGTTCGAGCAGGTCGTATATTATTTTAGCAAAAGATTCACTGAATATTCCAGGGATCTTGATTAATGGAAGTAAGCGGGTGGCGAGTAGGGCGACGTCGTCGTTGGGCGGTACCAGGGAGAATCCCAAGGGGCGGGTGGATCGGACAAAGGGGAATATGGGCCTGGTCATTGCCATACATGCGACTCGAATATCCGTCCTGTTCCAAACAGTTAGCTGCATTTTGAGTTTCTAACCAGTTCCAGTAACTCACCATGATATCTGGAAGCGGACGTCTGGTGGAACCTCGGCAAAGTTCTTGCGCAATCCGATCATTTGTCGCAAGCCTGCCAAGTGAATTTTGAGATAGTCTGGGTTTCCCGAAGCAATCTAGATCTTTATAAGTTCCATGTGCATTGTCCGGACAAGGATCTCCAACTTGCCTCAATCGTCAAGAGTGCAGATACCGCAGCGATCAATTCATCACTTGAAGCCTTCACGGGATCTGACAAGCCCTCATTGACCAAGCGAATAGTTTCACCCCGATGATGAAAAGTGTCTACTACCAGCGCGCTACGTCTCTGATTCGGGTCTCGAACGGGTAGCTCCCCCCGCTGCATGGCCGCATTGGAAGTAGCCACGCATATTGTCGCATGCAGAACGGCCGGGTCGCGTTGAATGAGGGCGGCCCAGTGGGCTTGCAGCTTTGGCTTATACCGAGTCTGCAATGGATGCGCTTCTTGTGTCAGATCCCAAAGGACTACTCACAAAGGTTGTTAGTTGATTGAACCCCCCAGGGTTTTGGGGCGCAGAGTAGGTGATAACTCACAATTTTGCAAGTATCGCATCATTCGATCTGTGAGCTGTGTATGCCCAGTATTGAATGGATCGTGGGCACCTGATCCAATCACAGTCCAAAGTGCCGGTGACGCTGCTTGATCCTGGTAGCCCACCACCCCATCGTTCATCCATGACTGTTGGGGTAGGTCGGAGTAATATTCCATGGGACTGGCGTAGATAGGAGTCAACTCCTGCTTCGTTTCCCCCTCTTCGACCATTTGGGAGCCCTGAGAGGATGCCGAGGAGAGCGGAGGGGACGGCCCCATGGCCCCAGGGACTGTCTCTGGCGGCTGGAAGGCCAGGTGCTTCCATGATTTGCCCTTATATCGCTTGGTACTCTCCAACCGTTTCTTCCTGTTATGTTCCGACATCACATGGGATCGAATCCGCTTCAACGTTTCCTCCTTCGTACCCCCAGAGGCCGAATCTGGGTCTGTATGGACCCAGAACAACGTCGATTTCCCGGCTGACGCATTGGCGGCTTTGCGCGGCTTGCGAACCTTGGAAGCTGCATTGCGCTCCGTTTTGGTTGTTGGACCCGCCTGTGAAGGTTGTGTAGCTGACGGTTGGGATGCTGCCGGTGCAGCCGAGCTGATAGGCGGTATCTCAGCTGAGGCGAGAGTGCTGGTCGGAGGGACGGTCGCGGGGTCGGGCTGGAACTGGGATTGGGGGCTCTCGCTGGCGGCCCGCCAGACCGTTGTCGCTGGAGGTCGGGACAGCACGGGCAAGGTCTGCTCGTAGCCCGGAAAGGATTCCTCTGGGTCCATGATACACGCTTCTCCGGAGCTGCGACGGAGAAAGAGGAAACGAGCCAGCTCCCGGGAAGGGAAGGGTCGGAGTCGAAGTGCGGCGGATTCTTCCTAAGCACGGGGGTTCCGCTAGGCAATTCCGCTGGATGCTGGCCAGATTCTTCACGATTTATCATTGCATGGTCGGGCGAATCATGGCCCCCCGCTAACGTCGCTAGTGGGATGCGAGGCTGCGCCGGCGAATTCTGCGAGATTGCGGTCGGTTTCGGTGCTCTCTCGCGGGGGCCGCGGTGCGAAGAGGGCAAGGGCGAGGGTAACGGGCGAGAGTTGAAGATGCTGAGATGTCTGGAATCGCAAAGTCCGACAGTCAGCGCTGGGGAATAAACTTCTAGGCCCCAGAGGGTCTGAACGCAACCTAGATCCAGACAACCTTGACAAGCTTCCATCGTCGAGCCCCACTCGAGTACGCAGCACGGGGTCCCTAGGGCAGCCGGGCGAGTCCATATTTACAGTACTAGTCAGGGGATGCAACGGCGATCCGGAGCTTAATTTCTGCGCTCCGTTTCACTTTAACAGCCGTGCAGAACGGATGGGCAAATTTTTCCAGCGGCGCGGGGTGGACTTGCCACCGGGGATAGGGTCCACGGAGCCCTCCACGGGCTATTCCCGAAAGCCTACTCCTATTCGAGCTTGGAGATTCACATTAAGGGATCGCGCGTCACAATGAATTATGATGGCCATTTGCTTGGATTCATGAATGTTTGTTTCTATTATCAACGCTGAGCCCTGAGCCAGTCCGACGCAAGGCTCATGTTTTTACCATACCGGCAAGCTCGCGCCGCGAGCCGTCAAGATGCAGTATGAGCATGGGCGGGGAATGGGGGCCGTAGAAGACAAGGAAATTGGGAAGTACATCGTGGAGGAGAATGAGAAGGTAGGGCGATGATGTGGACAATAGGATTATCTCGAAACCACCAGGGCTAGATCATTCCCGGTCGCGGAAACACCGGGACCGTATCCATCTGCTCCAATCCACCCATCGTGCCACCCTGTCCACTATTCTGCCAGCCCTGTCCAGTCTGTTGGTGGATGAACTGGCTCTGGCGGAATGGATTGGTGCTCCCCGTTGGAGTCGGCTGCAGAGGCTGCAGCCCCGTAGTCTGGGGAGGAACGGTCGAGCTCCGCGCAAACGGGTTGGTTCCGGTTCGCTGGGGTTGGAGCGCTTGCGGCTGCTGGTGCTGCTGCGCCGGTGGCTGTTGGGGAAGTGGAGGCACTGGTTCAGTTGGAGGGGCATTGAGCTGGTGCGCGACAGAGAGTCGCTTTGCGAAGGGGTTGGTGTTTTGTCGTTGGAGCGGAGCAGCCGGGGGAGCGCCACCACCGGTGGCCGAGTTGAGCATCATGGACTGTCGGAATGGGTTTGTTCCGGTAGTCTGCGGCTGCAATTGATTTGCGACGGCCGACTGTTGTTGCTGCTGGGGGAGAGGAGGAATCCCATTCTGCGGAGTGGATGCGAGGTTCGACTGATAACCATATTGCTGCGGCTGTGGAGTGTAGCCTCCAAAACCAGCACCGGTGGGAGTAGCCTGGAGCGGCTGGGCTTGCGGCTGGCCCATAGGTTGTCCGAAGGGATTACCAGTGTTCTGCTGCTGCTGGAAACCTCCGCCGTATGGGTTCTGTTGGCCGTAGCCTGTCATTTGAGGCTGCTGCTGCTGCTGGTAGCCGGTCTGCTGGGGATAAAACGCCTGCTGTTGCGGTTGTTGGAAGCCTGTTTGCCGATACTGAACAGTATTCTGCTGGGTAATGGGCTGCTGGTTTGGTTCGATCGACTCAAAGAAGTCGATCAGGTCCGATTGTGGCGCTTTCTGCGGCTCAGGTAGTCTTGGTGGGTTCGACGCAGGCGCGGGTGTGGGCTTAGACGGGGTGGCAGACGAAGGCGTGTCAGAGGGAGCACCAAAATCTTTCTTGATGCCTTTCTGTGCCAGATACTCTCGACGGCGCAGGTCGAAATCTGGGTCATTCAAGTCGTCCTCGAGCAAACGCGCCAGATCAGTCGAGGCATGCTTCAGCTTCGGAATTTCGACTCCAGTGGCTGACTGGAAGTGTCTTGCCACTCCCAAGAATTGTACCACTTCTTCCGTCTGTCGGGTAAATGTTTTGTAGATTGCCAGAGCACGTTCACTATCCGGTCTGGACATCTCAAAGTAATGCTCTATTGGTTGATATAATTGTAAGCAACTGAAAGGTCAGGTTCGGGCGAAATTTGCGGGGGGCATACCCAGGACGTTGATGGTACCCTCATTCATGACGGAGTACAATGTCAGGAGATCAAGGGTCAACAGGCGAAAAGCAGTCAAGCTAATCTCGTTCTCGGGCTCGTCGGTCAATAACTGCATGTAGGGTCGGTCAGTCGCGGTTGACATCCAGGAAACAGCGGATATCACTCACGTCAGCTCGTAGCAGAGCGCGAATCTGTTTCTGCACAAACTCCGTTTCTCTCAACAGGCCCTTCTCCACGCTCAGTCGCTTTAGGCGTCCCGGCCCGCTTCGCACGTAATCCGTCTTGGTTGCTTCAAAGGCTCTTGCGCGTGTGATTAGATACTCGGCATATCGACGAATGTTACGACCTTGTGACTGGGCTGCGCTTGATATTACTAGATGTTCGGATGCCCATTCGCTTGTGAACTGAACTCACCTTCGGAAAAGTTGCTGGGGGCGATCTTCTTCGGGTTGTCAGAGAGATAAGACAGGGCCGCGTTCTCTTGGCCCTCACGGATCAGGAGGTGCACGATGATGAGAGCCTTGAAAACGATGGTCCATGCTGAATCGCGCAGTCGAAGTTGTAGTGTTCGGAATACTTCTGCGACGCCCGCCTCGCCGGTGTGGGTCGCCACTAGGATGGTCTCAACGTATTTGGATTTAGGGGCCGCAAGCTGTTGACCCAAGCAGGTTAGTCTGAGTCTTCCACCATCTCTCAGAAAGTAGGTTCAGTCGCCTAACTCACCTTGAGCTTCGTGGCCCCTTTGACCGACTTCTCGAAGTTGGTCATCGTGTTCCGGGAGGCAGATCGGCGCTCGCTCCCCCTGATGAAGTCGAGCAACTGGGGGAATGTACAGGTGCGAGACTAGGAGGGATTAAATAGTTGAAGAGCCCGGTTCATACGCCAATGCCTTCGTAGTGGTCGTGCAGGTTCTCAATCATCACTGGGGGGATTCATGCGGTGGCTGATTGGGCATCGCGGGTGCCTGGGCGTGGAGAGAAGTTGCGGTTCGGCGGAGGTCGATGTGAGGCGATCGAGAAGACCGACGCGGCAATTGGCAAGTAGGAAAAGCCCTCGAAAGCGGCGGATGCGGAAGAGGATTGGATGTCAAGGGGATATCAGGAAGGGCAAGGTTGGGCTGGGCGGAGCACTCACTCCGGGTTGGCGGATGCCCGATCGGGCCTAGCGCCGGTTCCCGCACGAGGAGCTATCATTCGCGCAGCGCGGAGTATATACTAATCGATCCTGCAGGAAAATGTGAGCTTGTGTGGGCTAGCTGATGCAATACGCTTCAAACTGAGTATATGCTGGGGCACTGTGTGTTACATATCTCCAGATCATCCTTTCTTGTGGGGTGGCGGACTGGGAAAAATACTTCGTGGTATGCATTCTATCCTGGCAGCTAGAAATATATAGCATCTATGAGTATAGATGTATCATAAGAACACTATACCCTCGATACACTATTGTGGCTTCCCTGTAGTATACGATACCATGTCTAATATCAAGAAAAAAGGGCTCGAGTCTTAAATTAAGGGCCCAATCAGGACCTCTGCCATGTGCTATAAAAAGGATACCCACCTCAAATCTCGAGCCAAGAACCTCGAGCGATTCCATCAACTCACTTTTCTCAACCCTTCTCGTCAACCCATACAGCACTTTTTCACAGAAAGCCACACCGGAAACGACAGCACTGTCACACTATGGGGAGCTTCTCAAATTTTCGCATTGCGCAACCTAAGATGGCCGACTCCACGAACCCCCCTCATCCTGAAATGGGATGGGATTGTGCCCCTCGACAAATTCTCTGCTGTCTAATGAGATTCTTCATTGTACCACCTGGCGAGTTGAAGCTAATCATTGGTGAATTTGTCCGGGAATATACCTGCGGTGCCCATGGCCTCTTGACTATGTCTTACGAAACCCTTCACGCTCAGTGGCTGAAGATACAGGACCAAGATGAACCTGTCTGGCGCCATGTGCACGCGCTGACAGGTTTAAAAACGGATGGGATATGGGTGGAGAGGATCTCTCAGATTCAAGCTATTGCACAGCGACTGAGCATAACTCTTAACGTAAGAGTCGGCAATATCACGGAACCGTCAGGATCTTCGGCATTTGATGCCGACGAGCATCTCCCCGAGATCCTGGAGTCAGCCGTCGCAGCTGTGAGTTATCCCCGACAAATTACTGGGACTCTTTCTTCGACACGATTCTGATTTAGCGATTGAGATAACTTCCGTGCAGAGATCCGAGACCAAACCCCATACAGCGCCCCTCGTCCCCATGGACCCGCTTCCGATGCAGAAGAGCATTGAAGGAAAACCGGAGATGACGATTCTCCGACTGAATTAGTATCACGAACAATGAATCTATTGCGCGTGGGAAGAGGAAGGGTCTCAGCGCATCGAGCTGTCTCCTTCCAATTCTCCTGACATGGACACCGAGGCCTGCTCCCCCTGCCGGAGACCATGGAAGTCAGCGAGCAGGACCGATGGGGCATTTCTTATCCAGGGGAATGTGCAGAACATGATCGCCCGCATCTCCTGTTTCGGTGGCCAAACAGAAACAAACAAGGCATCAACCATTCCACTCACGTTCAAGCTGGCGCTTTCGTGGCTGCTAGCATTGAAGAATGTCGCAAGTTGAACAAGATGGGGGAAGAGGAGTTTCTCGAGGCGTTCAAGCGCCATGTGCTGAGGGACTCAGTCCCAAGTCCCTTTGTCTCTACCCTCTCCTCCCTACTCACACCAATCCACCGTGCTCTCCATCGTCAAGACGGGGCATCAGTGGCCGTTATTGATAGCTCTAAACTGTCAGTGGAAAAGAAGCTTTACAAAGCCGTGCGCCTAGTCGAGTTGACAAACACCTCCCTAAAGAACTGGAAGGGATATGGTGAGTATGAGGTTTGGGAAGAAACAAATCCCTCCTCAATCGTTTGCTCGTTTAGCATAACCAGTCTCATGGAAACTGGTGAAAGAGATGCAGACATTGGTCGGTTCCTGCAGATTCCAATGATTCGCAGCAAACGGTACTGTACCCGCTTCCTGCGTAGCAAGCTCGCTCAGAACATCAAATCATACAAGTGATTCGATGTTGAATCAACGGTGGAACGATTGATGAAATGCTAATTGTGCCGGAGAATTACTGGGTGCCGATGCGCCGCTGTTTCATGGAAGCTTGGTTACAATTTAGCTGCATGACATACGAGGCCCCCGCGTGTGAGAGCGACAGCGAGGACTCGGGCCAGAACCCTGATGCCGAAGTATTTCCGGACCCCATGCCACCGATTGTGCCAATTCCGCTACGCACACATCGCAGAGCAAGAAGCGGAACATCGGAAGTGTCATATGAGCCCTCAGAAGACGCAAATATCTCAGATTCAGACTCAAGCGAACATTCCTCAGAGTCGCCAGAAGAACCATACCGACGAAGGGACACCCCGAGCCCGGGCGTATTCTCGACTCATGACGACTCCGACTTCGACGAATTTGATCAGCCTGATGTGAACAATTTACTCACCCCTGTGACCAACAGGCCAGAGAGGCCGGTCAGACCTGTTGTGGCTTCTCGACCTAGGAAGGCAAAGAATCGGTCCGCTTACATCAGAGATGGAAGGTGATGTGTCTACTCCTACCACCCCTACGACTGACGCGTACCGGCGTGCCAGAATCCGGTCGTTTCTCGCTTCACCTCGGATTCGGCACCCAGGAAGGCCGGAAAATTATAGTATGATGCAATCAATATCATCGTTGACCGTTAGTTCGAGTAAGCGTGATGCTGGCCAGATCGCTGACGAGACCGACGCCGACGCAGCACTGAGTAGTGACTGGCCCTCCGAGGACCTAGCCAAGAGGGCGAGGACGACAATGGCTTGTGAGGATATTGAGGATTAACCAACGAGGCGAACGAGTGGTGCTGTTCCTAGAATGATATTAAATGGAGAAAACGCAGGAAATTGAACAACTACAAAACCCAGGAAAGAAATTGAGACGGTTGTTGCAGCTCGGAGGTGTCCTTGATCTGGTATTTCGGAGAGGTACTCAGGGAGTTGTTTGTGGTTTTCCTGAGAGCAATACAAACGTCTTTCAGTTCTCATATCCAGTTAATTTTCCATGAGTCTCGCACTGGTATGTTCTGCTACAATACAGATTATGGATACACACTCTTGAAGGCCACTTCATGGCTGTGATGATCCCATCTGGTGAATCTCCAGGCCAGGAAATACGGTGCTGATCGGAGTTTTCCCGTTGGGAGACGTTGTATGCTGCTTATCTCGCTGATTGCGGAGTTGGAGGATATTCACAGCCCCAGACATTGACAATATGCTAGGACAGCATGAGTTGCCGCCTCTACTCGAGACGAGCGCGCTCGAGGCCCTATTCTACTTCGTATTTCTTGCTTGAACATGAATTCGATTCTTCCTATCGTATCAATGTCAACGGCGTAGAAGAGCACAATCTAAACTGGAAGTGCAAGCATCAAAAAAGGCACCGCCTTGTCGACCTTCAGATGGGCCATGTTCCCAGGCGGGCTGTACGGTTTCCGTGGCAGGAGGATCGATGAAATATTTTTGCTTTTTGTGTGGATACACATTCTTCAGCAAGGTATCTGGGACATGGAAACTCGTAAACTATCCCGACCCCCGTACAAGAAAATTCCTTATATCCAGTTTAAACCGCTTCCTTCGCCGTATCCGACCACCCAATCTCTATCCAACGCTTAGAACTTGGAGAAAGCCTTGACGGCCTTGCCGGTGCGGGGAAGGACGCGCAGGACGTTGAAGCGGACCTGTAAAGATCATGTTAGAGAAAAATTCGAGAAAAGATCAGGCATGGCTATAAGGCAGGTGTAGCAGTGCGGTGAAAGTTCCAAGACGATTATGGAGCACAATGCTATTACCCGTCGCAGTGTAAAGCCGAGTTCAACGTACAGTCTTGGACAGAGGACGGCACTGGCCAACGGTGACCCAGTCACCCTCAGAAACACGGAAGGCGGGGGAGACGTGGGCAGCCAGGTTCTTGTGGCGCTTCTCGTAACGGTTGTACTTGGGGATGTAGTGCTAAAGCGATACTTTAGTCAAAAATATGCCCCAGGGTCGTCGGGCGGTTTGAGATTGAAAATACTTACGAGGTATTCACGGCGGATGACCAGGGTACGGTGCATCTTGGTGGAGACAACGCGACCGGTCAGAATACGGCCACGGATGGAGACCTGACCGACGAAGGGGCACTTCTTGTCTGTTGGATGTGTTAGCACTGCATTCGGCTGGTGCCCGGCGGCCGGAGATCTTCAATATTGGCCAGTCATGTTCTCGACATCGAAACGTGGGAAATTCGATAGAAAATCGAGTAGTAATGTTGAGATTACAATCGCTCTGAGGGCAAAGAAAATTCGTAGCCACTCTGCGGTGTATCCCCATTGCCAATCGCATCTCCGATCCTTGTCCCATGACTTCTTTTCGTTGTCGGTTCCCACGATCGAAAAATGACCAGTATTTCGTAGATCTCCGCGCTCCAGGTGTATAATTTTCTCGTAGGTCGTGCATACCGATGTAGGAGCCCTCGATGGCGGTCTTGGGGGTACGGAAGCCCAGACCGACATCCTTGTACCAGCGACGGCCAGAGCCAACCTTCTTGGACTTGGACTTGGTCTTCGCGTTGAGGAAGATGTGAGGCTGCTTCTGGAAAGCGCGCTCAGACTGGACGGTCAACTCGGTCGCCATGGCTGCGGTGTGTTGGTCGACGAGGAAGCGATGGTCGAACTGCGGATGAAAAGATTGGCGGGTCTCGGTCGTCGAAGTTGAGAAAGATTCGCTAAGTGCGCGGGCGGTTGTGTGTGGCCGCTAGTCCGCTTTCGGAATAGCGCGGACGGGTTAGGGCTTCACGTTTGTTTACAATCACGTGACCTCGACGCGCCCCGGAGACGTGTAGCTGGGAGGGGAATGCGACTAGCGACTTGATGGTCTACTCCGTGATATCTCCGCCATCCGCCCTTCCCTTCCCTGCGCGACATGTTTGGGTGATTGCGCCCTGCCGTGCCCATCGCCACCATGTCCTCTCGTGCCGATTCCGGCGCTGCGCGAGTACGCTCTCGCCGTTCCATCGCTCATGTACCCCGATCTAAGATGACGTCTGGTCTGGATAAGGAGAATGCGACAACAGATATCGGTGCTGCAACGCCACTCGGAGGCAACACTAAAACCGTGTCAAAGGATAAGAAGTCGCGGAGTAAGAGTCTGGGTCCCGGTGGACTTGATGCTCTGCAGAATGCCAATGGCAACCGGCGTAAGGTTGTTATCGTCCGAGCTTCCTCAATGTGTCAGTAAATCAATGTCACTAATTGGATCGGCTTCTAGTCTACGGCTTCGTTTCCGCTCAAGTCCATTCTGAAGCCTACTGTACCGGTATCCCCTGTGCGAAACATCCCGTCCTTCGAGGAGACACGCCGGCGCACCCCAGGTCGAAATGCGCCAAGTCAAGAGTCCAACTGGGAAGAGAGCAGCCAAAACCAGGAAGGTCTGCTCATCGATTTCGCAACCCCGCCTCGACCCGCTCCGGAGGGTGACGACACCGCCAACCCGTTCGACACCTTCAATGCGACATCTGCGATTCGAGAGGAAATGGCAGCTACTAAGGAACGTGACGAGAAGGAACGCCGAGAGCGCGAAAAGCAAACCATTCTAGAGAAGCGTGAAGCACGAAGGAAGTCTATGGGTAAGCAACCCAACCAATCGAATAGCCAGAGGGTATTCCCTGACACGCTCAACCCAGCGAACCGCCGCGTATCATTTGCCCCCGAGGCTACACTCCACACCTGGAATGTGGTCGAGATCCCCGACGACTCGACCTCTTCATCGGCAGCAAACTCTACGCGACGTACGTCTGGGAAAGCTCAGGAACAGGCGCCTTCCTCGGTCAAGGAAAATCCGTCATCACCAGAGTCAGATGCTGAATCGGAATTTGGGTTCTCACCTGTTGCACATCAAGACCTAGAGCAAATGAGAGGTCAATCTGGGTCTTCTGCCGGTGATGAGGGCCCCAACATGTCTTCTAGTCCGTTTAGCGGAAGCTCGGTTGGAAGCGAAGACACGGGCGCGCAAGACGAAGAGGAGGCCGAAGAAGATGGACACTCCTCGGAATCTGATGAGGGTTTTGATGCCGAAAGCACGGCTATGAGCATGGATGACATGACAGCCCGATCAGGTGCCAGTATGCAATCCGACGTTTCGAACAGTTCTAGTTCTAGTGCGAGACTCAATGAAGCACTGCGTCAGGCTGCCAAAGAAGCTGGAACACAAGCGGTCGATGAAGAAGATGAAGAGGTGTCCATGGAAATCGCAGACCAAGAAATTACAGGTGCTTTTCAGCCTTGGATTAAGAAGGGTCAAAGACAAAGCTTTGACTGGTCGGATATCAGTGCTCGACATGATCAAGAGAATGTCGATCCTTCCAAGGCTACTTCATCCGCAGATGCGGCAGGGTCCGATGGAATGGACGAAGATGAAGACCTTAGTATGGATGTGACAAACGCCATCGGACGGATCTTGGGCAAATCACCTGGTCGCCGAAAGAGCGCCGTGAGTCGAAAGTCCATGGGCCAAGAGAGCGAATATGATGACCAAACCATGGAGATGACAAATGTGGTTGGAGGAGGAATTTCAGGAATGAACCCTGTTCAGCCTGCCAATGATGACGATGATTATGAGGATGAAGAAATGACCATGGAATTCACATCAGCCATTGGCAAAGTCCTGAGCAAGATCCCGTCTGACACCCACGATGAGCCGCCTGCCATCCGCTCTCCTAAGTCGGACCGTATGGACTACGAACAGGATGATGGCTCAGATGATGAGATGGATATGGAAATCACTGGCGCAGTTGGCGGAATTTTGCCCCAGGGTCTTGAAACCCAGGAAAAATCTCAAGCGAAGATGCTGATGGAGCTTGAGACCGACTCTGGCCAGCTGAACAGCTCACCTTTCCAGGAAATTGTCCGACAGTCTCCTGCCAAGTCACCGGCAAAGTCGCCCCTCGCTTTCCAGGTGGCAGCAGTGGCTTCGGAGAACGGCAGTCCTAGTTTGGCAAGTGTCAAGTCTCGGACGCCTCGACGCAGCTCTCATTTGGAGGTTCCAGATTCCCATACTCCGCGCCGATCCCCACGTCGATCACAGTCACCGGAAAAGAAGCAAGTGACGCCACCAAAGCAAACCACGCCTCGAACCAAGCCTACAACCCCGAGCAAGACACCTCCATCAGCCAATGTGTCTTTCCGGAGTGCATCTCCGAAGAAGCTTTTCCGGCCTGACATCGAACAGTCTGCGGGCAAGCAAAAGACTCCACGTCTCAGTATTTTTGACCAGAACTCGGCCAGTGGATCGTCCACCCCCCGTATTGTCTTGCAACCTCGCGAGGGACGTCGTTCCTCCGGCCTCGGCATCGATAAGGAGGGACTCGGTTCCCCTCGTGTAGTTGCTCTTCTGGACAAGCGTCTATCTCTTGGTGAAAATACACCACAGTTCGTTCCTCAAAAGCAGCAACGAGGTGGCGTGCGCTTCGAAGATCCCTTGAAGTTGCAAGCCGACGAGGAGAGAGATCGCGAGGAAGAGGAACTCCGAGAAGATGGACATATCCCGCCCTCCAGCTCTGCCGATCCGGACTCAACTTCGAACTTGAGGGATATGATTTCTAGCATGAGTCCGAAGAAAAACAAACTCGGCGGCCGCAAAAGCCTTCATGTTGGTGCCGCGCGTGGCATTCTCGGAAAGCGACCAGCTGAGCTTGATTTGGATGATGAGGAAGCCGAGAACTCTCCGAAGCGTCTTCGGGGCCATGATGTGAGTCCAGTCAAAGGGGTCAGACTTCCTGGCCCATCATCGGCCAGGAAAGACAGCGCTCGTCGATCCATTCTGTCACCTGTTCGCAGGGCCCGCAGCTCTTCGCCGCTGAAAGGCAGCACAACTCCCACTCAGGAACCACAGAGTGCTTCGAAGAAGGGTGTTACCCCTTTGAAGGAGGGTGTGGATTCTCTACATATTGCCTCTGACCCCCAACAGCCCGAGCCCGAGGAAGAGATTGAACCCATTCAGCTTCAGGATTTCCTAAATATGACCAACATCCATTTCATGGAACTCACCACAACAAAGAGACGACACACAACTGCACCCGGAAGTACCAGCAAGAGACTAAGCCGACGGTCTACCGAGCTTATTCCGAAGGCAGGAACGATCACCTTTGACGATTGCGTGGCTGCGGGAGTATGCACGGTTCCTATGCTGGAACTGTACCAGCATGTAAGTTCTTTCCTAAACTACCTCGAGTATGATATTTGTTTACTAACTTTTTCTAGTCCTGCCGTGAGCTGAAGTCGTATATCTCCGAAGGTCGCCAAGTAATCCGATCTATCGAGGCCGAAACGTTCGCCGAAAATCCTCCCCTGTTCCGGGAGTATGTCACCGCCCCGCCTGACATTCGAGTCATTATGGACAACCAATTCCGCAACGTGAAGACTCATGCGCGCCTTCTGAGCAAAGCCACCTGGTACGAGTGGCGCATGAAGCTGCTGGAGGGTCTTAAAGAAGGGCTCATTCGTCACGTTGATGACATGAAAGCCGACGATGCACTGCTGTCCAAGCGTGAAGAGCTCCTCAACAACACCCTGCCCTCACTTTTGGAGAGACAAGCGTCTCTTGAACAGCAAGCAGACAATCTGCAGCAGCTTGTTGAGGAAATGGAGAGCTGTGACCAGAACGAGCTGCGCGGCACGCGCGAGAAGCTTTCGACCGTCGAGGATGAGATTGAGGCCAAGAAGAGAGAACTCGAGCAGCTCCAGGCAGAGGTCCAGGAAAAGACTGCGATCATCGAGGCCGGAACCGAGATGCGCGATGAGTACGTGGGTCAAATCCAGGAAGCGGAGCGTGTCAAGGAGGAGTGCCGGGGATTCAGCGCTCGCGATATCGGCGAACTGAAGAACTCCGTTCAGCGCATTGAGAGTCAGACTGGCTGGTCGATCACCTCTGCATCGTCCCTGCCAGAGTCGTCCACCGATCCGATGTTGGTCATGTCCTATCGCGGACAACTGCAGATCAGGTTCCACCCCAGCGCATTTGCTACCAAGACATCCAATGGTGTCGACAAGGAGAACCAGCCTCTCGAGCTTAGCCTCATTAAAGGAAAATCCATCTCTCCAATCGCCTCACTCGTCCTCCAGTCAATGCAACAGCATCTCTCCACTATCAAACAGTCCAAGATTGCTCCCAGGAAACTGCTTCGATTTGTCTCTGCCGCCTGGGATCGCACTGCTGGCCTCGAAAACGAAGCACGCATGCTCGAATTTTGCGGCGTCACCCGTCTCACCCTTTCCGAGCCAGAGAACTCCTCTCTTTCCCTTCGGGCCCGCTGCATTCTTATCGGCAACGCAGGTCGGAAAGGTGCGAAAGTGAAGCAGAACGGGCCTAAGCGTATCGACGTTGACTTCAATATCCGCACGCGCATGAAAGCTGAGGACGACAACACGAAAGAGATCGGCTCGCTAGAATTCGATATTGACGTTCTTGCCACGAAAGTTTATGGCTTTGGAGCGGGAAATAAGTCTGGTCTGTCCGGCAAAGAAATGGAAGGTATCCTTGGGAAGGGACTTGTGCCAGAGGATGGTGGTTCACAGCTGGGCAATGGTGTATGGTGCAAGGCTGTGCGAATGCTTACCGGGTCTGTATTTTAACTTGATACCTATCCTATGTTGATGATTTCTTTTCGATACGGCTGTTAGGATTGGGAATTGATTTGAAACCGGGATTGGAACTTTGTTATGGATCCGGATGGGATATGGAGTTACTAGTAGTTGGGGATTGGGATTTCTATTGTTTTGCACTTAAGCGATCATATCATTGATTAATTGGATCATTCTATTCCATATTCTCTACTTTCCAATGACTCAAACTTTGTGGTCCTCATCTGATATTTTTCTTGGGAATGTAGAATAGGATGATAAGATTTGTACTAGATATAAGAAATTCGACCCACCAGTGCTTGTCAATCAACTACCATAGTATGCAGTCATATCACATTCAGTCGCAAGAAACAGTAAATACCCTATTTTCATGAAGGGATTGATGTTCATAACAATGGCATATGCAACGCCAGAAATGCCAGTAGAAACGAGAGTATAGTAGTAGTAGTAGTATGAGTAAGTCCTCAACGAGAGAGACGATGTATCAAAAAAGCCCCAAAAACCCATTTGGCCACAGATCACCCTCTTGATTCGGATTTTGGTCTTGCGTCGTCGAAGGCGCGAACCCGTAATCCATGTTATCCGTGCCAAAGGTGATGTCTGGGTTTCCGGTTGATTGGGACATATTTGCCTGGTCTGCGTTTAGGAAAGATTCGGCGGAGAGGATCGGCATTGGTAAGCCCGGGTCTTGGACTGTGCCGGAGGCGACGAGTGCTTCTGTTGGGAAGAGACCGGACCAGAGGTTGTCGCCGTAGGACCAGTCGGCCGTTAGGGGGACTTGCCATGATTCTGGGATTTGGGTGCTGTTTGTGCTGGATGCGGAGAATGGGGATTGGTGTTGGTCTTGCGGGGAGGAGAGTGTTGTGGCTGTATTTGTGGTTGTGCTTTGCTGTTGTGGCTGGATCCATATGGTGTTGAAGTCGGGCGTGGTGTTGTTCATGTTGCTTAGGCCGAGGCCCGAGTAACCGCCGGTAGCTGACTCAGGTTGTTGCTGGTTCGATATACCTGTAGACACCGAGAAGTCTATCCTGCTTGGACTAAGCGGTACGACGTATCCGGACGAGTTGATGGGTGGAAGGCCTTCGATGGATTCCGGAATTCCGAAATCCGCCATGTACGAGCGGGCTGTGGCGGATGGGTTTGACGCGTGCGGGGCCTCGGATGTGTGGTAGTGATATGATCCCGTCGTATCGGAGTTCATTGATGTTCGAAGGTTCGTGGGACGGTGGCGAAATTTCGGTTGTGAAGCCGAGTTTGCTCGAGAATGTTGTCTCTTGGCGCCTGGGGTTTGATCTCCGTTGTCTATGTCGTCGGGGTCCCGGGCTCGTTTCTCGTCTTTTTCTATTGCTAGCCTGGCGATGCGCTCCAAATTGGCGCTCATTCGGGTCATGAAACCAGCATAGTTGGCAGGTCCATCCCCTGGGACGAGTGTTGCAAAGAAGGTCGCGGCCATGTTGAGAGAGTGTAGATCTTCTCGTACTGACGAGTGACGAGTATCCCGAAGGATGTTCGAGAAGATTGTCGCTGCCGCCAGGAATACGTAGTAGAGAAGAGACCTAGATCAATGAGATGTCAGCGATTGGAAAAGGTGTTGAGAGAAGGTTGTCAGCGCGTACCATAACCACGCAATATCTCCCCACGGCATATTGTTCACCAGTTTCAGCGTGTCTCGCGCGGCCTGCACGCAAATCACAGCTGACTTCGACGCCTGTGCCTTGCTGAGAGATTTCAGCTCTTCCGGGTCTTCCCGAGAAGATATCAAGTAGTTGAGAAGGAGAGGTATTCGGTGAATCATTATCAGGGCATTATAGTAGACGAGACGAAGACCGATCGAGCCGAAGCCGAATAGAAAATCCGTTTCGGCAACCTTTTGCCTGGGCTCCTCCTCAAATGGGTAGTCCTTTTCCCACTCCTCTAGCTCGGCATGAAGCTCCTTTACTACTTGATAGATCTCTCGAGGCGGTTTGAGAAGCGCTTTGGCGGAGTACAGTCGACAAAAGATGCGGCTCTTGATCAATGCCATTCGGCACAGTTGACGAAAGAAGGGAATGTTGCTGGCCACTTCGGAGTCTTTCTTCTCCTCCTCTAGTTCTTCCGGTAGAGGCACATCGAAGTCATCGGGGTGTTGAGACGGGGCATTCCCAGCCCTCAAACATGTACTAAACGGCTGTTAGCCATCGAATGGTTAATGCCATCTGATTGCAGAGCTTACCTCTGGTCAACGGTGAAGGTGACCCAAAAGACTCGTCGCCTCTGTTCCTGATCTTCAATACTCAAATCTGGTCTCGGGATGTCTCGGTGCAGGCCCATCCGCTGGCATGAACGCATGGCTGCCGTAATGAACGGCAGTGCAGACTGGGTACCGGAATTGCCGCGGAGAAAGAAAGCCTGTAATATTCAGCAAAACTACCCTGATGGCAGATTCATCTGGGTCGCGGCCAGACTTACCATGCTCAACAAAGCTTGCACACTCAGTATGTCTGTGCGTCGAAGAGCCAGCTCTGTAAAGACCGACATGGCATTCTTGAAATACATCCGAGCCTTTTCTCGATCCTTTTCCGATTTCAGACTGTTGGAATATCGATATTCATACGCCAGACAGATGGTCATATTGATACTGGCCCACCGCGCGGCATCGTCGCATGTCTGCTGCGTGTACTGCCATTCAACCATCTTCATAAAAGTACTTTCATGGAAGATCGGAAAGAGTCGGTTTGCAGTCCGAAAGAAGTCTTTCATAAGTGAAAATACCTCTGACCGCGGGGGCAGCGGTCGATAAACCTGAGAAGCGAAGAGATCATGGAAGACGTCTGGTCTCCAAATGCTCCATGGACTATCGTGAACTGAATCAGGTGATAGAAGGCGCAGGAAGCTGACATCGCCCGTCTTATTCTTGATCCATTCAATACCGCCGCGTGAGAGAATCGACAGAGAGCAAGACCGACCGAAAAATCGTGGATCGTCGCTTTCATGAGCTTTGAATATGGGAGTGCCCTCCAAGTCACCGCCATACTTGGCTGCCTCGCAGTAATCTGACAGCGCATTGGATTCGGAGGATCGATACGACAAGTTGCCCAAGGACCTTGTCCGTCGGTGACCATTGCCCTGGTCATCGTCCGGGGACTCGGCATCGATCTCATCATCCAAATAGTCGCCAGTCACGTCGCTTTCATGCAGAATGCCTGCTGTCTTGAGCAGAGTTTCGATTTTCTCCAATCGATCCTTCAAGGACTGAATATACTGATCCCTGTGATATGACGTGAGAACACCTCCCAAAAGCCGGGACATAGACGAGAAAAGGGAAACCTACCGTTCTTCCTCCTGCTGCGTCTCCGACACGGGCGAAATCCCGGGAAAGACACACCTGGAGCCCCGTCGCGTGCATTGCATGCAGATGGAATCGGAGGTTTCGAGTTCACATTTGGTCTTCTTCCGGTAGCACATCTCACAAGCCTGGATGGAGTCATTCTCGTTAGCGCCGTTGGTGTCGCCACCGTCATCCCCAGACCCCCGTCCCGCTTGGGCATGCGCGCCCGGACGGAGACCTCACGGTCGAACGTACCCTTTGGCATCGTCTCCGCCCGCCGGAAGAAGTGTTGGCCATTGCGGGGGTGGAGAATGCGTTCGTGTCAGGAGTTATGCCAGCGGACTGTGGCATTGCGTGCATTGCCCGGGGAGTCCGCGAATCATGCCAAGTCTTGCTTAGCGGGCGCGAGATTCGGGAAAGCCCTTTACCGCGGTCGATTAAGCGCCGTTAGAGCATGCGGCGCGATCCTGGTCTTTCTTTGACATCAAATAGGTCTGATCGGGAATCTCTGAGGGGTGGCCACGATGACGGAGGTTGGCGTCGGGGATTCGGCAGTGCCGACTCCCGACTGCGTTTTTCGGTGGGACCGGCTATACTATGGCATTGTTGCGACCAAGCAGATTTGCTACGGATCAGCAGCAGATAACGAGTCATGGTAAATTTAGAGTGATAATTTAGTTGCGGACAGTGTCTTTGAAACACCAATCTTTATTTCTTCTGTTTTATGTACAATGTGCATTTATTGCGGATATTTATAACGTATGTGCTGTAACCACACTCTTTTTGACTCAAGACCACACCCCACCATGACGTCTCAAAACATTGTGCCAATTTCGCTATCAAATACTACTTCCATTATGGGTATTTATTTTGAACGCTGAATTCCGCCTAGAACTTGTCTCTTAACTAGCCACCTATTTGATCATTTAGCGGATCATCCATCCAGTCACCTGCAAAATCAGCTGTCTGGCTAGCCATCCTGTACACTGATGCTTCACAGACCAAGTGAAATAATCGGGTTTCGGGCTTCGGACTTCGTGATTATTTGCAGAGCAGAAAAATCTGTTTTGTATACATACACTCAGGAAAAGCACCCAGAACCATCATATGATGCCTTGAAAACCCGGGAGAGGTGTGGTGCGAGGCAAAAGGGGGGTGGTTACAGTATCTCCATGAGTAAGGCACTGCCATCCCCAAGGCAGTAGTAAACAGAGACAAGGGATGAATCATGAATCATGCAGGACGGATTGATACCGACATCATGAGACATCGTACACGTACCACCCGCACCTACCACTACTCTAATGCACCTCGTGCCTGATCCAAGCTTCATGACAACACCACTTCACGGCAGAGATACGCCAGCTGACAAATGGCTCCGCGCACCAATTGAGGGTATCCAGAGGGCTAGGATACGCTGTAGTCAAGTCTTTCTCCTGTCTTATCTCAACCTCACTATGCGTCCCACGACGGTCGGTATGGTCTCCATCGGATATATGGGGCTTCGGCATGGCCAAGCTGCTCCAGGTCCATGGCTACCGGGTGGTCATTGTCGGTGAAGGGCGAAGGTAGGTCTATACAACCTACTCTCAGCTATCCTGCTTACTTTGTTTTACCCTTCTCTACACTTTACTACGGATCATACTGACATCTCCCAGTGAAGACACCCTCGCCCGAATCAGAGCAGTAGCCATCGAGGCGCTCCCCACGGATCAGGACCTGGTCATCCAGGTCGACTACATCTTATCCATTGTGCCACCCCGCAATGCCCTCGACACGGCAACAAGGATTGCGGGGGTCTGCAGGCAGCCCGAAACAGAATCGCGGAGACGATCACTGACCGACATCAACGGACACGCGAGCCGAAGTCCGCTCAACTTCCTCGACCTCAATACGAGGCCCTCCCGATTGGCAGAGGAGACGAGGGCCCTCTTCGCCGATCCCACGACGGCCACGTCAGGAACGGTCAGGTGCCACTTTCTCGACGGCGGCATCATTGGAGGACCTCCAGCGCAGCAGGCGGACGGAACGTGGAAGAGGCCCAGCGTCGTGGTCTCGGGGGTTGTGGGGGAGGGCAGACAGGCTCCCCACACGTTTGCGCCGTTGGCCGCGGTCCTGAAAGTGAAGATTGCCACGGAGCGGATTGGAGCGGCGCCGACCCTCAAGTTTTCGTTTGCCGCTCTTTGCCGCTCTGGCAAAAGGTCTCACGGCGCTGTCGATCCTGTCCTTCTCCACGGTTCAGCGGGCGGAGCTGCTGCCGGAACCCTGGCTCACCTGGACGAGTACTCGCCGGCGACGGCGGCGTTGTCGCGATCCGGGGTGGTGGGGATGAGCCCCAAGGCGTACCGGTGGGAGGAGATGCGTGGTATTGGGGTGACACTGGATCGCGAGGGCGGGTGGGATGGTGTCGGGGAGCGCGTGTACGGAGTGATCGCGGAGGGTGTATCGCACGGTGGCGGAAGAGACGATCCTCGGACAGGAACGAGTCGGGCGGCAGACACAAGGACGCAGTGTGAGCGACGCTGCCGATATTATTGCCAGGTGCTCCCGATGAGGACAAGCACTGCCAAGACATGGTCTTGATTGGGCTGGAAGTACTATGAAAAATGTGCCAGTACTTCTGGTACTCTACCTCATACAGTGGTACACCTGCTAGTACAGTGTGCAGTATAGTTGTATAGTATACTCCTAGTAGAGTAGGTGGGATACCGTCTACTGCGACTGAGTAATCCTCCGACTAGTCTGAAGTAACGCGGCTCCGACCGCGTCATCGCGGAGTGGGGATGGGCCCGTGTCATCTCGATTCCCCTGGAGCCCCTTTTTCGTTAGACTGATATCAACAGACCTACCTCTACTCGACTTTCATCTACAAACTACTTTGAATTCTTCACCACCACCTTACTACCATTCCAGCTGCAGTATCTGCATCATATAACGGCCACCGCCCACCGCCTACTCGCACCGCCCGCTCACTGCCTCGGCTCGGCGGTGAACCAGCATCCAACCAGAGGTGCCGATGTCGTGATTTCTCCATTCTATCAGATCATCGACTAGCAGATCGCGGCCGTCCTGCTGCTCGTGGCTTGCTTGTCCACGCCTGGCCTCGTCCGACTTCCCACGCCTTCCCCCCTTTTTGCCTTTTCCAGATTCACCTCTCCTCTGATTCGTGGTGTACGTGGCGCGCTATGCGGGCAATGGGTCGTCATTCCAACTCCTCCATTACCTCCATTTCCGTGCTGTGACCATCCCGGTGCTTCTGCTTCGAGATCGTCTCTGACCCAAAGCCCTAACGCTCGGCCTTGCCCTTCTTCTCACCTTTAAACCTACATCTCCCCTCCCACCCCCATTTCCACCCTTCCCCCATCATGCCCGAGGAACATCCTCGTCCGAATCCTGCCTTCGACAAGATCGAGAACTTCAACTTCTTACTGTCGCGCACTGATCCGGCGGCCAAGACTCGTCACTATTCTTTCGACGCCGACACCGGGCTGGTCCCGTTTACCCACGTCAACATGGATTACGATCAGACCGAAGGCATGGGCGGTCTGTCTGTCAGCTCCTACGACAGCATTGACGATGATCGCTCACTTGACTTGAGGGGATATCCCTATCACGGTATGTATTAATTGTTATGGATTTTCCTATTTCCCTTTTTATCTGCATGGTTTTATTCTGTTTTGTCCATTTTCATTTCTACCTGGGTCTTTGCATATTCTGCGCTGTTGCCAGACGTTGCATCTCTTGCGCCATCGCCCGGCGCGCTGGTTCGTGTTGGGCGGTCGGCCCTGGAGCTCGTACTGGGCCAGGGCTTGGGATGGGACAGATCCTGGGCTTCTGGGGATCCTCACAGACCGCAAAAAACTGGAGATCCTGCATGTCACGTCTTATTTTGAATCCCATTCTTGCGTATTTCTGCGTTCTGCGTTCGTCCGAAGCCCTAGTGGCTGTTCCGGCTGCAGGGCGTGTACCGTGGCCTTTGCGGCCCCGAGATGCCACGATCTACCCCAGACCAGACGCCCTATTTTTGGGTTTAACGCCATCACGGCATCTGGTCCAAGCTGTCGCATTGTGAAATTCTTATTTCGATGCCGACGCTGCTACTGCTGCTGCCCCAGCTGGGATCACCAGTGCTAGCGAGCACGCAATCCCGTATGCAAATGACACCCGCAGCGTCATGGCTGGGGCTGCTCTGCTGGCCGCTGGAACCCTTATTCCCCAGCTTGTGCCCGTTGTTCGCTCCAGGATGCTGCCCTACATGGCGTTACCCTTTTACTCCCATCGTCCCCTAAGCCTAATATCAACCTCACCCGCCTCATCATCACTCCTCTCCACTGTTCGCGCCTGATGCTCCCCTCTTGAACCTCCTCTCCTCCTATCCTCCTCGCTCTCTCTGCTGCTGCTCTCTATACATCATGTCCTCACGAGGACTCCGTCGAGCCGACCGCTTACTCCCTCCCACAGGCCCTGCCGGCGACAAATCAATCAACTATTCTATTCCCGACCACATGATGCCGTACTCGGCTCACTCCATCTACCCGCCAGTCCCCTTTGCGCCCGATGAGCTCGGCCACGCACCGGGAAACATGACCCCATCGGACGTCTCCTCGTCCATCTCCCCGCCCAACGGAGTCATGGGCAACACCAAGTACTCCACCTCTATTCCCGGAGACCGCATCGCGGCCGCCCTGGGACAAGAGGAAGGGGTCCGCATGGCCGCGGAAGAAGATCGTCGCCGCCGCAACACCGCGGCCAGTGCCCGCTTCCGCATGAAAAAGAAGCAACGCGAACAGGCGCTCGAACGCACCGTCCGTGAAACCACGGAGAAGAACGCTTCCCTCGAGGCCCGGGTAGCTCAACTCGAAATGGAAAACCGATGGCTCAAGAACCTACTCACCGAGAAGCACGAGGCCACCTCGTCGCTCATGCCGCCGCCGTCTGATAGTTCCGCCTTGGAGAATCCCAAGGGCGGCCGTGGCGGTCAAAAACATATCCAGCCTAAAAAGAAGGGCGTCGGAACTGACGAGTAAGCGCTAAATCAAAGCGTGTCCCTTTTTTTCTTTGTTTCTGGCGATCTCTTTTTGCGGCTGCGTTTGATTCTGCGGTGTTTCTCCCTCTGTATCATCTTGCCATCGCGATGGCTTTTTACCTATTGCTCGGTTTCCCTCCAGTACCGGATACCAGTTTACTTCTGGAGCACTTCGATACACGGCTCCGAGTTGGTGTGCTGGCAACGGGACCATGACGATGTCACGACCTTTCTCCAATTCTCGTTCTCCACGTCGATCTACCCCGACCGTGGCTCCTGCGATTCTCAAGGATGGTCTTACTTGCTCGGATTCGGAACTTTCTTTATTTACGGATGCGTTGACGGTTTCACATCTTCCCTTATATCCCGCTCCTACCACCCGGGCCTTCAGTCTCTGTTTCTCTCCTCTGCCCGGGCCCTTGCCTCCTCCTATCTCTCTCTCTGCTATTCTCTTCTCTTCTCTTTTTCTTTCTCATTTGATTTGTTCCATTCTTCCGCGATTGACCTGTCTCGGGGTGGACAGGACGATTAGATGTGGTGGTGTGGTGTTGTCTGCCGATGGGTTCTCGGTGGCCATGGATATGGCTTGTTTTCTCGTCGTTGGGTTTGCGTTTTATCTGATTCCTTTCCTTGCGCCGTCTTCTGGGTTGGGTTCGCAGTTTGCATACATATAAATTATTGCTTTGGACCGGGGTGTCCTCTCTTCATGACCTCGTAAATATCTGCGAGCACGAGTGTAAACACCGTCCTACATCAAATCATTGGCTCGCTACCTTTTAACTACACTAATCTTGACATGATACTACACACTGCTGTAACGAGTACTTACCCTAAGATATGGTACCTACTCAGCAGGTCCGCACTCGAGGTATCCGCACAAATGGGGGCAGGTGCATGTAATCTCAGATAATTCACGCTTACGCTTACACATACAAATGGCATAGCAGTAATAAAACGATTCATTAACACCTAATCGATTACCTTCCATCAAAAAACCCAGCACAAAATGGTATTACATTAAAACAAAAAGCGAAAAAAAATGTCGTCACCGGAAAACCCGCGCGTGTTCCAACATGAACGTTGACGCCATCCCCGTCTGGAAAGAGACAATCGACTATCGAACCACTGATAAGCAGGACGATCGTAAGGAATGGACCTGGTTCCGCTCATACCCTATTACTGTAATGCAGTTGTGACTCGGGAGGCCGAGGTACGGGACTCAGGCCCGGAATAAAAAATGGAGCACGAGACCCACCCCCAAACCAGGACGATGGGGCTGAACGAGCACGACCCACGGGTATTTTATCACGACATTGAGTCTGGCAGAGGGAATTGCAATGGTGTGATGGGCAATGGATGGACAAGCAAGGAGCTTGGAAACCGGATCCGTGGGTTGGCGAAGATCATGGGGAGGTGACCGGATAGGCTGGACGAGATTGCGTGACCACCTTTTTGCACTGGAGGTCATTTGCGGCTGCAGGTGGCGTAGACGGCGGCGGCCATGAGGTACGGTTGGAGTTTAGAAGCTGGACTGTAGCCAGGGACTAGACTGAGGCAGAGGGACCGATACATAGTGCCTCCCCACATTGAGGACCGATGACCCTGGTGTTTGATCCGGAAGGGGTAAGAGAGAGAGAACCCATGCCAACCCATGCCACAGATCGTAATGACACCATCAGGAACGCTGCAGAGACGAGGAAAAAGAGTGTGGGGGGTTGCAAGCACAGACACATGACAGGACAGAGCAAGAAACGAAGCCGTCAGATTCGTAAAAAAAAAAAGAAAAAAAAAAACGAAAAAAAGAAAGGAATAATAACCAGTAGGCAGAAGGGAGGAAAAGCACGCAGGAAGAAACGGACCAGGGGGATCTTATTTTTTTTCCTGATCACGTCTTACGCAGCGATGGGCTCTCGCTCCTCCTCGCGTCCTCGTGCCTCGCCGTCGACGGTGCTGACGCCATCCTCACCATCCTCATAGCTGGGGTGCTGGTCAGCGGGCAGCCACGAGTCGCGGTCACCGGCCATGGGGGCGTCCTGGGTGGAGAGGTCGACGCCCTCGCGGTTCTTGATGGCCTGACGGTGGCGCTGGGAGAGAGTGCGCGATCGCTGCGACAGACCGGACTTGACGACGGCCTTGGAGGTGACCCAGTTGCTCAGGGCATCCTCGCAGTCCTGGATGATGGCCTTGCTGGCGTCGTAGCCGTCGTAGGCGTGGCGGGTCTCACCGGGCGTCACGGGGCTGTCGTCGATCAGGTCCAGCAGGTGCTTGCCGTAGCCGGCGATGATGGCGACCTTCTCGCAGTGCTCGCGCAAAGCATCGAATTGGTACTGGAAGGCGGCCTTGACCTTCTCGCGGGTGATGTTGGACAGCTGGGCCTCAGCGACGAGTGATTCGGCCTCGGCACGGACGAGCTCCTGCTCCAGGACCACAATGCGCGGCGAGTTGGGGTCCTTGTACTTGAGCTTGGCGATCTCGTCGGTGATCTTCTGCTTGCCTTTTAGGGGGTCAGTTTTGATTCGATCGGGCTCCCGCTTTCCCTTTTCCTTGTATGACTTTCCATGTGCGTCGGGGTCGGGGGACTTACGGTCTCGGCTGGGCTGTACGGAGGCCTCGATGTTGCGGATGCTCTTGACTGTGACGCGGTACTGGTCATATCGGTCGACGAAGAGATCTTCCAGTTCGCCGATCTCGTAGATCAGGACGCCGAGCTTGTCGGTGACATCCGAGACGTCCTCGTCGCAGGCCTCGCCCCAGATGGACAGTTGTTGCTACAATGACAGGTCAGCATTCCAATTGCGTCAGCGGGGGATCATATCCCACCCCATGGGGCTGGTTTCTGGCATTGACATACAGCGACCTCCATGCGCTCCCGTGCGACCAGCTCCATGCTGCGCATCACGTTCTTCTCCATCTTGACCAGCTGCGACAGCTTGCGGGCGAGGTCGGGTCCGAAGGCACCGGCGGCGTTTTTGCGGAAGGCATGGCCTGTCACGGCATCAGTGGTGTTCCACTTGGAGCTGGGCTGATCTTCGATCACTCCCCAACTGTCGACCCTCGACCCTCGATCTTCGACACTGCGCGAATCCGGCGGTTAGGGAATGGAGGGGAGTGGGTTCAGGTCTCGACCCGATCAGGCAGCACTCTTCTCCCCCATCCTCTCTCTCCCAGCTCCTTATCCTGGTCGCGCGGATGTGAATCGCGAATGTGACGGTCGAGGTCGACGGGTCGACAGAACGACCCGCTTCTCACTTACCAATGCCACCCTTTCCGAGCCAGCGGTTGGACTTTGTAGTCGACAATGGGGGCGGGGGGTTCTCGACCTGCGACGCGGTCGGGGCGCGCGACTGGCGCATCGAGTAGGTACGGTGCATGGTGGATGGTCAGGGGGTTGTAGGATCGGGATCGAGTCGGAGGATCGGATGGGAGATGGGAGATGGGAACTGAGGTGTACCTGCAGGGGGAGGTTTAATGGGGAGGATCGAGGTCAAAAGGGCCTTGCGCAGTAGTGACGTGAGGTAAAAAAAAAGGAGGGGGATTTGGCAGCGGAGGCAGACGGAAATCGAGCTGCAACCGGAGATCGACACAGGGGTTCTTTCTTATCGTGGAGGAGCTCTGGAGCTGGGGCTGGTTTTTCTGAAGAAGTGGATTCGCGTTGCTTGCTGTTTCCCCTAGTGACGTCGACGGGGAGATTTACCCGGCGAGGCCGTCCACGCAACATTCAGTACTAAGCAGTGTAAAGCTGGCGGAGTCGGCGGATCGTTGCGCCTTCCAGCAACCACTCTCCACCACGCCTGCTAAATCCCACTGCTAACTGCGAGCAGCGTAGTCGCTCACACTAAGAAACCTTTTTACCTGCTGGCTGATCGTCAATTGGGCGTCCTAGCCAGCGGAGTCCTCAGTAGCGCCGATGAAGCTGGGGCACGAGGTGGCTGTTGTTCCATACCTCGATCGCCGACGTCATCGCCGCTCGGCTTGATGTCATGTCTGGGCGAGCGTTGAGCAGATGTAGAACTCGACCATGTCATCACTTCCAGCGTTGCATTTGGGTCAGGGTAATCTATGAGTCCCTGAGGAGTAGTCAATAGGTGCCTGTCATCGATCGTTTGTGGAGACGAGGAATGCCAGGGCACTGCTTATTTGGCGGATCAGTGGGGGATCGGAGGCGAAGAGGCCGGTACGCCATCCTCGTTGGCCGCGGCGCAGATTGCAACCGTCCGTTCGGATCATCTACATGCAGAACTACGCCATGCAGCCGTGGAGTGCCAATCCCCCGGATTGATGGGCATCGGCATAAACTAGGTACATTTGCTATTTGTAGAGCGGTATTACTGCTATATTACTGGTATATACACACTTAAGAACGCCTCCCGCCTACGTTTTCTGCTTCTTCCGTCCGCCACCAGCCGTGGACTGGCCCCGCTTGCCCGTTGCACCAGGCACCGCCGACATCTGGCTCTGCTCCTGGTTGTGGCCGTGATCGTGGTCGTGATCCTGGCTCGAACTCGTCCCTCGCCGCCCGGTCGGCGCCCTCGTGTCTTTTTGAGCCCGTCCTTGCCCCCTTCCTCGACGACTAGTAGGTCCGCTGCCACGCACTAGAGGCGCAAAGGCGCCAACGCCCTGCGTTCCAGACATAAACTGCGTGATATTCGATTGCGTGCCTTCCTGTTGTCGCCGATTGCGGTCGCGAATCACCGGCAACAACACCTCGTCCGTACGCTCGGGACTCCAGCCGATAGTGCTCATGAGAAACCGTCGCAGCCCGTCCATGTCGACCTCTCCCCACTGGAATTGCGAAGGATCGGCATCGACTTCGGGCTCCAGGTAGGCTTCGTCCACACGTTGGTCAGGGAAGACAGGCGGAAGGAAGATCTTTGACGCCTTCTTGCGGAATTTCTTCCGGAAGGCGGAGTGGGCGTCGTCCGGTCTGTTCACGCCCATCTGGACTTGTGTCCACCAGTCGCGGAACTCTTGTAGATCGGAAAACTCGGTGAGAATGTCCTTCGCAGTGACGGGGCCAATGCCCGGGATGCCCTCCGTGTAGTCACTGCCCAGGAGGTGAGCAAAGTTGATCAGCTTATGTCGGGGAAGAGAGAGCTCCTTCTCCAGTTGTGAGGACATGTAGCATTCCACAAACTTGGCTTGGTTGAACATATTTTTGTAGACGCGAGTGCCGCCGAACAGGAACACATCGCTATCATCCGTGACAATGCCATCCACGAGACCGAGCTCGACGAGCTTCGCACATTGTGCTTCGGCCTCCATCGGCGCGGTGACGTACGGCAGTCCAAAGAGTCGCAGGAGTTCCTGGCATTCATTGATCATAATCTGAGTAACCTCGTCGGCATCTCGCTGGTCCTTGCGGTGCTGGCTGCGGAGCTGCTTGAGCTCTTGCTCGTAGTCAAAGGCATCCTTGTTGGCAGGAGCGGCCGCGTTGAGGGATTGAGCAAACCGGACATACTCTTCCCCCTCAGCGGCGAGCTGTCGCATCAGATCCTCATCTTCCGGGTCGCTGAATTCGCCTTCATCTTCCACAAAATATTCCATAGGCGGAGCTGCCTCTGCTCCTGGCTCGATGTTTTGATGAGCGACCACTGTAATGTTGTCGGCCTCGACTGGTAACGGATCTGGGGCCGGAGCCGGTGCTGGTGCTGGTGCTTCGGTCAACACATCTTCAAAATCAGGTTCGGGCGAAGATTGTGGTTCAGGGGAGAACTCGGCAGGAACGGCCTGTCCCTGAACTAGAGGCTCTTGCTCTTCATCCTTATCATAAGCGGTCTCTTCAACGATTGCCGCAGCCGGAGCTTCAGGAACCTCGGGTTTATCCAAAGGATCGGCCTCGGCCTTCTCAACGTCCAATAGTGCGGAGACAGAGTCCTGCTGGTTGTTCTCGGTGGTCTCGATTTCGACTGGAGGTATCTCCACATGTGTGTCGATCTGAGGCTTCTCCTGCTTTTCTGGTTCATCATCGATTGCAACGACTTCCTTCGTATCAGGTAGCTCATCGACATTGACGATTTCCGGAGATCGACGGCTGAAGAGGATGTTGGGCTCGTCTTGGTTCTTTGCATCTTGGGTTATACAATTATCGGGCGTGCGATCAACAATGAATTCCTCATTTGTGTGTTCGCCGACGAACCATGGGGGAAGCGGTTCCCCTTTCTTCTTCTCTTTACTAGACTCCTTGACGAAGCCGCCCGCATTCTCATCGAGTTTCTTAGACTGATCGTCAGGCTTGGAGATTTTGTTAAGCTGGATAGACTCGAATGGTAGAGGACCGCTGAAGGGGTTAGCTGGCCGTGGCTTGTTCTTAGCAACCTTGGTCTGTGTCATGGCAGCTGAAAAGTCCATTTCATCAGAATCCTCTTCGCTTTCAGCGGGAAGATCAATTACGGGCACAGGAGGCGGCGCGACAGTGGTCTTCGGTCGATTGATGGGAATATCGGGCACATCTTCGCCATGTTCGTGATCTCCATCTGGCTGTAACGACAGCGCTATCGCTTTTTCAAGATCATCGTCTTCGACTTCATCGAATAGACCAGCGTCCTGATTCTGTCTTGGCAGAAGAACATTGTTGTCGCTCTGAACAAAAAGTGCATCATCTTCGGCTTGCGCGTTGTGTTTCATCGCTGCGGCTTTTTGTGATTCGAACAATGCCCTCTGTAAGTTGGAGTCTTCCTGGAATCTCTCAAGAGACTCGTCAAAGACGCCGTTCTCAAGGAAAGGGAGCTTTGGGAGTCTGTTGAGGCCCTCGATGGGGACGTCTTCAAAATCCTCTTCGGATGACATGTCTTCAGATCCTGACGGATACTCGGGTTGCCCATACCGATCGACATCAATCGGTTTCTCTTCGTTTCCTTCGTCTTTGTTTCCGACCACACCAAGCACCCAGCCACCTTCATGCTGGCTGTCCTTAACCAAGACATATTCTTTGCCTCGTTCTCCCGCAATGCGTTGACCAGAGTTGAAGAATGCCTCCTCACCATTCATTCCGTTTATATTCATCAGTCGTTGCGTAAGATCGTTTCGCTCTTTGACTCGATCAATTTGAAATTTCGAAAAGTCCATGCGGTTGGGGAACATGACGTCAAGTTGCTCCTTCGAATAACCCATTCGCAGTCGACTCCGGAGCCTGGCAGCGTTTAAAATATTATAGCGATCCGTAGCTGGAAGACTGAGAAAGAAGGGACCGTCAAAGTCGATTTTAGAAAAGTCGTAAAGATTGATATCTTGACCCTGGTGGAACTGGCGCGCGTATTCCTCCAGCTCTTCTTGGGACATAATGCGGGGGTCATTAGGAGCACCCATCTCTTCCAGAGAAACCTCGAGATTCGGTAAATGATAAGCATCCTTCTTCTTGAATCTGCGAGCCTGCTGTCGCTCCTTCTCACTCATCAAAACTTCATCGGCGTAGACCGGTGTTTCGGTCACCTGCTCTTCCTCTTCCTGACGTCGTTTCTTTTCCCGACGTCGCGTCTCTGCTTCATCTTCGGCAATCCGTTGCATTTGTACGGCAAGTAGCTTTCCAGCTGTACGGGTAGCATCTTCACGTCGGCCCTCCCTCCTCTTCTTTCGACCTGCGATGGTCTGTCGCTTCAGGACTGGAGCGCCGCCATCGAAGATGAAAACGGGTTTGATGCCGAAGTAAAGCAGCTTGCATATCCTCCGGAAGAAGCCGACCACGTGTGAATTTCGTAGGGCATTTCCCTCTTTATCGCGCACTGCTTTGAGGAACTGATAGATCCAGATCGACGCGTCGACGGCGAGTCGTTTCCGGTTGAGGGTTTCGAGTTTGATGGGTCTAGCACAAGGCTGCACTACGGTCCAGAGACCGGTGACACCCATGGCTACTCAGTGCGTCAGGTCATTCGAAAGTGACTTAGTTCTGAGCAAGGGGAGAGAGCCGCTCATGCCAAGTTTGGGGGCGATAATCATCATTGATGGATCCACGCGGGCTCCGCCTTCAACACCACGCTGGCCGGCGCGAGATCCCGTGACCAATTATGCCACTTTGGTCCTAGTGCGGGACATAACGGATGACATAATATTTTCTGGAAGCTCAGCACAATTTTGAAGGCGGTGCCTTCCTGTTTGGTGAGCTGGAATTAACCGCATACAAATTGTTGGCGCGCAGCAAGCAGTGTTGGATGCTCCATGCCTCGCGCACATGCACCATGACGGAGATTGTGGGATTGTCGCCGTTTTTCGAGGTTTGTGTGCCCCGCCGGATTATTCCTTCTACATGAAATTGTCCCGCTGACTTGAAGATCGCAGCATGTGGATGCCTGTCTTCCCATTACAGCGTTGAAAACGTTTGAATGGGGCCAGAGACTCTTTGTGTTTCAAGGGCAAGGCCCATTCTCCCGCATCGTTGACGATCAGACTGGAAATGTTGTTGCTCAGATTCAGGCTTTCAAAAGAAACAACGTTCATGGATTCATTCCTCTGCCTTACCAGCAAAAAGATGGTCATGCCCGAGTGATCATCTGGGGTGGCCAATCGATCAGAGCGGCTGACCTTGTATTCGGCCCTGATGACTCAATTTCTCTCTCTCCAATCAGTTCTGAGTTCCTTGCTCCGGATTGGATTCTGAGTGGCTGTGCTGCAGTTGGAGATGGACTTGCCTCGGCATATCTAATTACTGCGAACAATGCCCTTCTCAGTTTGAAGCTGGTGCAGAGTGAACCCAGCCAACACCAATTTTCGATCTGCATACACCAGCTCACTACAAGTGTCAAATCCATTCTGTACTCTGCAGATTTGGTCGCGCTTTCTGCCTCTCACCTCCTGATTGCCTCCGGTACTGCATTCGGAGAGACTATTGTTTGGTCTTGTTTCATAAATGAAAGTAAGTCGCCCAATCCCGAGGCAATCGGTTCGATCCACCACTTCTTTACTGGTCACGATGGGTCGATATACGGTGTACGAATCTCGCCCAAAATTCAAACCATCAACGGTGGAAAATCTGGCCGTCTCCTAGCAAGTTGCAGTGACGACCGAACTGTTCGGATCTGGGATATCTCGGATTGTGACTCAAAGTCGGCCGAGGACCATTCAGCATACTCCACAGACGGGTTCGAGCTTCGGAGTACTGGCTTCGGGAGCACTGCTACTGAGCATTCTGGGCTTGGATCCGAGTCTTGTATTGCAAAGTCCTTTGGTCATGCAGCTCGCATCTGGGGTATCAAATTTCGATCGATGAGGGAGGACTACCCGAATAATTTGGGCATTGTAACTCGTGGCGAGGACTGCAACTGTGTGGAGTGGGATTTGAACTGGGAGACATCTGCGACTGGAGAAACCCAATATCAGCTTCGGCAAACAGCCTCAATACATCGTCATTCTGGAAAACATATCTGGTCCATGGATCTATGCAGCCGGGGTGTTGAGACGGTGGTGTTCACTGGAGGAGCTGATGGTGCATTGAAAAGCTTCAAGATCAGAGAAGATGGGTCCCTGAAACCGCCCGAGCCACCTGTCAACTTGAAGAAAGAGAAACTCCGTGGTCCCAAGAATTTTGCCCTTGTTGCGCCTGACTGTTTACTTGCGTTCAGCATGAGCAATGAGCTCCAACTGGGGCATCTGAGCCCAGGTGAAAATGTGACAACAGCATGGGAGACCTTGTGTGTCATAGAGGATCTGTCCTCATTTATCGCAATGGCCGGTATCCACAAGCTGGGACTGGTCTTGTTGGGAAATTCCAAGGGCCTCATTCGATTATACAACCACGGCACCAGGTCGCTCTGTGAATTGGTTACCTTGGGCGAGCGAGCATTGGGCCTCTTTCCCCTCGAATCCACCTTGCAACCTGACTCGTTCTCCTTTATTGCGTCATATCTCTCGGATGAGAAAGCGACATTGGTAACTGTCAATGACTGGAACACCTCGAGTCCACAGGTTGAAGCTACTACATTTGCCTTGCCAGGGAAGCCTTATGACATAGCCTCTGCTGGAGTTACACACGATCAAAAGTATCTTTTGATTGGCTCCAAGCTTGGTGGATTGGCTGTATACCGAAATTCGGGACTTGGCCTGTCTTCCGAGCCTGTCGTGTTGGACCGGCACGCTCACGGAGGCGAGGGTACTAACTACATCCAGGCCCTCCCTCAAGCAAAAGAACACCAATCCGGAGATTCTCACTATATCCTGACTTGTGGGCGAGATGACACTTATTGCGTTCGCGAGATAAAGACCAGTAAGGACGGAAATGATGTCCTTTCCTTCGAGACAATTCACCAGACTTCTTCTGGGCTCGGCAACAACCTTTCGGGGGCCTATCATGACGAAGTAAGTGGTGACCTCATGCTTTATGGCTTTAAGGGACAGACCTTTGTCCTTCGGAACGAGTCTCAGCAGAACGATATCGCCTCTTTCGTCTCCGGAGGCGCACGCCGTGCCTGGGCTTTTCACCCTGGCGTGAACGGCAGTGACGATGCCCTATTTGTTTACAAAGAAGGATCTAAGCTGCAAACTATTCGGATCCAAAAAAGCCGCAACCGCTCTCTTCGACTTGGCTGTCATGGACGAGAAATAAAATCCATGGACTGCCGAGCAGCTGTTCCAGGGCAGCCGTTGCTTTTCGCTACAGCTGCAGAAGATGCCACTCTGCGCATCATGTCGCCTTCAGATAATGCTATGCAAGGGCCCTGGGGGTCATTTCAAACCCATCACATTCTGAAAGCGCATGACTCGGGCATTCAACACGTCAGTTGGTCTAAGGATGGGCAGTATCTTTTCAGTAGCGCGGCTGATGAAGAGTTCTTCGTCTGGAAGATTGGCTCCGTTCCTCCATTTGGTGTCACGGTCATGCTCTTGGCCAAAGCTCCCACCCCCGATGTGAAGTCGGAAGTTCGTATCACCAATTTTGATATGGTAGAGGTTGAGGAGTCTGGCTCGGGAAAGGGTTTCCTTCTGTGTCTGACAATGTCCAACTCCAAAATCAAGGCATGCGCTCCAATCCAGACTTAATGGCTAAAAATTGCTGACAAGAAAATAGATATTCCACTTTTCCCCGAAGAGTCGTCAATTTACTCAACTAGCAAAAGGGCAATACATGACCAACTGCTTGACCGAAGCGCACTTCGTGGTGAAAGAGTCCTCGATCAGCCTCGTTACAGCTGCGACTGATGGTTATTTCACTCTGTGGGATCTGACAAGTACCCTCGACCCATTTTACACAGTTCATTCTTCGACAACGAAACTCAAATCCGCTCTCGACAGCTCTTCCATTTCGCCCGAGAACATTACATGTGAGAGTCGCTACCAGGTCAATTCCAACAGTATCAAGGCAATGGAACTTCTCCGTCTCTCCGACACCGTGGTTATGGTGTTGACAGGAAGCGATGACAATTCCATTTCACTTTCTCTACTCAAAACATCGTCTACATCCACCAGCAGGAATGCACAGGTGGCGACCGTTTCAATCCCCGACGCCCATACTGCGTCCGTGACGACTCTCAAAGTCATTGATCAACAAACGATACGCGATGCCGAGTCTGACTCGATAATCACAAAGCTGACTGTCGCATCCTCGGGCAATGACCACAGAGCTAAGATCTGGTCTATCACAATCGACCCTGCACGTGACACCGACGGCATCAAGATCGATCTACTGGTAGACCGATACAGCTCTGTCGCTGATATCTCATCTATCGGACTCATTCAAGAGCCTGAGTCGGATCAAGCCAAACTGCTGATCTGCGGAGTGGGCTTGGAACTGCTACAGCTGAGATCGCAGTAAGCCCATTCAAAGGGCCCATATCTGCACGATGATGATGCGACGCCTGAAAACTGTACATAGAAAAGCGCTTGATACGCTGTCTCTCGATGGGATGAGAGACACAAGCCAACTGGAAATAGACACGTTTGCGACTTGATTTCACCCCGCGAGGAAATTCCGTACGACCTGCCCAGCGACCGGATTCGCATTTTCCCAGCCAGTTTAATTCGGGCTGTAGCCAGCCCACATCTATGCGATCTGGCCACTCCGTGCTGAAAATGGCAAGGACTTACCCCGCGAAAACACTAAAATGTCGTAGCACAGCAGAAAAGCCACGAGTGTCGATCAGTCGTCGGATATGACGGGAGTGACGGACCCCGCAGTGGTTTCGAAGATTTCCCCTTGCACCAAACGCGGCTGGGTCCTTTGCTGAAACACGGAAGCGGGTCGGCTGGAACAGCGAGCGGAATAAATTCATTAATCTGGACAGAGTGTTTGACAGGGGCTTGTGGGGGATTGCCTTTAGTTTTTGCGGATTATGCTGGAGGAAAGTACGGCTGTGGCTTTGGATGGATGGGTCGATTCGGTATATATGGGCCTAGGAGGTACTCTTTTAAAGAGACTTTGTCTCGGTGTTCAGCAGAATTTCTCGCTGAATCGATTATTTCGTCTTCTTTTGATCGCGTTGGCTCATTGACGTTGCACAGAAAATGAGATATTCTTTGCTTTGTCTTGCTGGGGCTGTCATGGCTACTGCCAGACCCTTGGCGCAGTCATCACCGACGTACTTTTTCACCTTGTAAGTCCCACGGTGTTAATGTGAGGAAACTCTTCATATGGAAGAAAAATTCTTACAGTTCTAGTGGCGACTCCTACTCCCAGTCCAACTTCGACGTCAATGGCACGCAACCATCAGCCTCAAACCCGATGGGAAATCCGGAATTGGGTGAGCATAGAATCGGCAGTCCAAACAACGGTTTCATCTGACATCGATTTTAGGAACCGGAACAACTGGCGGAGGCATCAACTGGGTCGGATACCTGACAACTGTCGACAACAGCTCGCTCGTCCTGAACTATAACCTGGCCATTGGCGGAGCGACTATCAGCAACAACCTCGTCTCAGTTGCGTACGAGGACATGACCTCCCAAGTCGCCACATTCGAGAAATCATACAGCGAGAAGCCGGAATCTGCGCCCTGGTCTTCCAAGGATGCAATTTTTGGTTTCTGGATTGGAATCAACGAGTATGATGACCTCGGTGCTTTCCATGATATTGTGCCGATACTAACGATTCATATAGTGTCGGCAATGCATTCTGGCAGAACCAATCCAGCGCCCTGGTTCCCAATCTCATGGACCAATATGAGTCACTCATCAAGGAGATCTACAATGATGGCGGACGCAAATTCTTGTTCTTGAATGTTCCTCCCACGAATCGGAGTCCCTATTTCATTGACCAGGGTTCGGATACGACGACGCAGCTTGCGGCTTGGATTCAAGCGTACAATGATGGCCTTGCGAATATGGTGGAAACCTTCAAGTCTGAACATAGCGATGTGAGTCGCCTGTCCCTGAGTGTAGTTTTCGATGGCAGACTAACATGGCGTAGGTCACGACTGTGATATATGACACCCACAGCTTCATGAACAAGGTTTTGGATAGCCCTGTGAAATATGGATATCTGAATGCTACATGTATTAATGATAATGGGGAGTCCTGTGTCTGGTGGAATAATTATCATCCTGGTACTAAGTATCATAAGCTCCAGGCGGCGGATATGAAGTCGCACCTGAAGTCACTGGGTGCGTGGTAGAGTCAAGATACACTAGTTACAACATTTTTGCTATAATATAAGCACGGCAACTTGAGTTCTGATTATTACACTCGTTATAAGTCATTAAGCAAATCGCCGGAACTCCGAGACACTCAAGTAGTGACTGTATCTAGAATTCAGTTAACTTTTGGTATAGTAAATTCCTGTCTCCAATTTCGACACGGCAAGCCGTAGACACTAACCAAGACTTGTATCAATTCTGCAGAAGCACCCCCGCTCCCCAGGAAAGATGTGGCGCCGGTCAAGATCACCGAGCACATCCGTTCCGTTTCACATTTGGATTTAGCCAAGACAAGCCACATCCCTGAACAATCATACCGAGACGCTCAACGTTGTGGAATGACGTTCCTGCAGAGCCCTGCAGCGTTCATGAAATGACTATTTAGTCGAAAGCGGGCATGAAGAACTACGGGTGGCGGTCCGAGAAGCTTACTCCGTGTCCTTTTGCGACTCCGTCTGCAGTTTTGGCTAAAGGGGTTGGATGAGTTTAGGGGCATTGGCCGATGCATGGGCGTAGGATTGCTTAGAGTGACTATAAAAGGGCTGCATGATTCACGGGAATGTTGGGTTATCAAAGCAGAATATCTTGAAATTGGCCTTGCCTTATTCTTCATACTAGGCAGCCATGAAGCTCACCAGCCTCATTCTTCTCGCTGCTGCGGCTGGCTCCGCGGTGGCAGCTCCTGTTCGAGAACATGCTAAGCGGGCATCTTTGTTCCAATGTAAGCTGCACTCACAGTTGTGGAGGAAAAGATATTGATTGGACTGTCAGGGTTTGGAACAAACGAGTCGGGCGCCGAATTTGGCGAGAACAATCTCCCTGGAGTGTGGGTGAGTGGGATCCGTCGAGCACTGAGACCATTTTGGCGTCATGTCTGATCAAGACGGTATAGGGGACCGACTATATCTGGCCTGATACCAGCACCATCCAAACCCTGATCGACAAGGGTATGAACATATTCCGCGTCCAGTTCAAGATGGAGCGACTGGCACCTGGTTCCATGACGGGATCTTTCAATGCCGATTATCTGAGGAACCTGACAGCTGTGAGTTCTGTCTATTGGAGCTGTGGATAAGGAGCCGCTGATGGGCAATAGGTGGTGAACTATATCACCAATGCCGGAGCCCATGCCGTGATCGACCCACACAACTATGGACGATAGTGAGTACTAGCACAGATCCTAGAGATGGAGGACGTCTGGGCCGTGTTAACGATCAGCAGCAACGGTGCCATTATTACCAGCACGTCCGAATTCCAGACATTCTGGCAGAACGTCGCCAGTAAATTTGCCTCAAACAACAAGGTCATCTTCGACACCAGTGAGACCGTTCCGTGAACAAGCCCTCGCATTAGCAGAAAATGCTGACATCAATGATGTAGACAACGAGTACTACGGCATGGACCAGACACTAGTCCTCAACCTCAACCAAGCAGCAATCAACGGCATCCGCGCCGCAGGGGCAACATCGCAATACATCTTCGTGGAAGGCAACTCCTGGACCGGGGCATGGACCTGGACGAGCGTCAACGACAACATGAAAGCACTGACCGACCCACAGGATAAGATCGTGTATGAGATGCACCAGTACCTGGATAGCGATGGGTCCGGGACGAGCGCGACGTGCGTGTCGAGCACGATCGGGGAGGAACGCGTGAGCTCTGCGACGGCGTGGCTGCGGGCGAATGGGAAGAAGGGGATTCTGGGGGAGTTTGCGGGGGGTGTCAATGATCAGTGCAAGACGGCGGTGACGGGGATGTTAAATGCGATGGCTGCGAGTTCGGATGTGTGGTTGGGCGCGATGTGGTGGGCGGCTGGGCCTTGGTGGGGGAGTTATATCTTTAGTATGGAGCCAACGAGTGGGACGGCGTATCAGGGGATGTTGGCGACGTTGGAGCCGTTTTTGGGGTGATCTACAGATAGTTACTGCCAGTACTTTTAAGTAGTGGTGGAAGAATTCAATGGTCATGAGATCGTGTTTGTGCCTGAGTGTTGTATATTGGATTCACGAACAGGCGGATCCTTGTTTACGACAACGTACGATGATCTCAGTGGCAGGTACCTATGGCAACGTACACCGCGTGCGACGCGGCAGTTTGAGAATCAACTCGAAGATCACAGTGCTGCATCTGCCGTCAGTGCCGTCTTGGCGGGCATGCTTGAGGGCATACGCAGTGTGGCTGGTGCAGGCAGATTGATTATCTCGGGAGTGATCCGTGGAGGAGAGGCCGATCCATGGAAATCACGGCGTGGACGAGTTGCGTTCGTCAGCATCTCCCCAGAAAAGTTTATTTGGAATAAAACAAAATTAGAAACATCCCGTCGGTATGGCTGCAAGCTCGTGGCGGTGGCCGGCAGTGCTGGTGGAGCTGGTGGTATGTGCCAAGCGGGAAACGGAGAAGCCTAGGGCTGGTGCGAAAGGCGCAAGGCTGGTCTCGCACTTGCTACTGCCTTAGTCAGTAGGCTGGACAACGGCCGTAGAGACTGAGGATGTACCCTACGAATGGGCGGTACCCTAGGGATTTTGTATAGGGAAGGTTTTGGGAAGGGAAAAATTCGACGATCCACCGTGCACAGGGCTGCGATGACGACTCAGGGTGGCTGCCCGATTCGGGTGACGGCCAGGCGATCTTGTGTTCAACCGTGGTTGTCTCAGGGCGGTTCAGGCACGAGAACTGATGGCGTTGTTCATGTTCACCTCAGTATATTCATGTTTGAGGGTGACGGCAAGTCAATCAGGGTACTTAGGTCAGACGGTCCACCTCGCAAAGTCTTCAGATGAAGCAGGAGTGAGATCAATGGGTGGCATAACATGACGAAAAGGCGAAGGTAGGGGAACCCAAAGGGGCTTAGCGTGCCACGAATAGAAACAGCTGTCCCGCGCAAATTGGGTTAGGTAAGCGGGCGAGTGGCGGTGAGTGGGTCCGTATGCGCGGAGTGGGGCAGTCCCTGGCCCAAACGGGCAAGCGTCATTGGGCTGTGCCGCGAAGGCTGGGGTTGTTGCGTACTTGCCGTCCACTTTGAGGCTGTACCCTCCTACTTGACTGCCTGGAGCTGCCGATCAGCCCAGCATAAAAACCATCGGGTCCCCCCTCCGCTGACTTCTCCCTATCCCTTCCGACTCATCTCGCCCTCCCATCAACCTCCTTTTCCAATTCGCTCCCATCATATCAATTCACCATGGGAAAAGCCGGTCGCGTCGCGTGTATCTTCACGCCCTATATCCTCACAATCGCCTCGCTGATTTGTATCATCCTCGTCGGTCTGGGCTGCACCAAGGCCAGCGACAGCAACCTGTCTGACCTTTACTTCCTGCGGGTAAGTTCCGATTGAGCTCACGCTCCGCCAATGCAAGAATGCGCCACTCACAATTTCTCAGATCAACCTACAAAACATCAGCAGTAATGGCACCAAAACCGTCTCCGAGATCAAGGACTTCTTGAGCGAGAATGGTATCAGCACCGTCTCCGCGGACGAGGTGTCCGACGTCCTCAAGACCCTGCAGGATGATTCCCAACTCGCCGACTTCTACTCCATCGGTCTCTGGGGTTACTGCCAGGGCTCCATCGAGAACGGCGACTACAAGACCGAGAAGTGTTCCAAGCCCAAGGCCGAGTTCTACTTCGACCCGCTCGACGTCTGGGGTCTGAGCGACAACGAGGCCATCAAGAATGAGCTCCCCGACGACTACAACAAGATCATGAAGGTCTACAAGGCCGTCTCCAAGTGGATGTTCATCGCCTACCTGGTCGCCTTCATCCTGGGCATTGTCGAGCTGCTGATCGGTATCTTCGCCATCTGCAGTCGCTGGGGCAGCTGCGTTACCACCCTCTTTGCCGTCCTCTTCTTCCTCTTCACCGCCGCCGCCTCCATCACCTCGACCGTTCTCTTCTCTGTTGTCGACGGTAGCGCGGGCACTCTCCTCAAGGCTTACGGCATCACCCTGGACATCGGCAAGAACATGCTCGCCGCCACCTGGATCGCCGTCGCCTTTGCCCTGTTCGGTGTCTTCTTCTGGACCTTCAGTGTGTGCTGCTGCTCCGGCCGTTCCCCCTACAACCACAAGAACCGCAACCGCGGTGGTGCGGTGACCGCGGAGAAGGCCCCCTACACCTACGAGCCCATCGGTGCCGGTGCCCAGCCCTACGGCAGCCACTACCCGGCTCCCGCCCACCATGGCGGCGAGTACCCCATGACCAACACCCACCACCAGCAATCGAGCGCCTACGAGCCCTTCCGTCACGTCTAAGCAATCGCCAAAAAGAAAATGATTGGTTTTTTTTCGCGTTTTCTTCTGTGCAATCCTGAAGCGTTCTTAGACTGGGATACCATGGCGTTCGTCGATTTCTGCCTGGATCGGAATTTTGGTTCTGCATGTGCTTTACGACCTCCTTTTTGATGACTATAATGCTTCGCGACTCGCGAACGATCGCAATTTTTGTGTATACGTTTCATATCATGCCAATGACCATCAGAATTTACTGCAAAATACGAACAAAAACAATTTCAGAAAGCAAATAATGATTTTCTACGCCACAAACTCTAGTCCCCGCTTCAAAGTATAAACCCATAAACATTTTTCCACCCCTCCAGACCTGGAAACTGATAATTGCTATCACCGACTATCTATTGCAGTAAATGGCTTATTTTTCGGGATATTGATCAAAACGAGAATCCGAGTATGGACTACTAAGTAAACGAGGCTCGCTCAGCCCAACCGGTGGACCCCAAGTGCCGGCCCCCATTCGCACCAGTTTCCGTAAATGGTGCTTTAGCGCGCTGCCCCGCGGGAAAGTGTGAGCTGAGCTTTACTTCAGATGGGGGCAAGAATTTAGTGTTTGTGTTACTTAAAGTGTCAGATTTTGCAGCATCAAGTTGCGATGATGATGGGGCAGTGTGAGAAGTGCGAGGTGCCCAGCCAGCCCTTGGGTGGTCCGTGTCTCATAAATCATCTCGTATAGCTTATCCCGTCCAAGAGGGTACTGGGGAGCCTTGTGTTTCGCCTACAGGGTCAATATGTCTATAGATTGGAGCTGAGCTCATTGCATCCATGGATGAATGAATTGTGCTTATGATATGTCCTATCCTTGAAACATGTACAGATGAAAGTAGAAAGATCTCGGGGTAGAATGATCGAGAGAATAATCCCACAGAGTTTGCACCGTACGAGTTCTTCGAATAAGAATAATTCCCAAAATCGACGCCAGCGCCGACCTGCTCAGAGTACTCAGTTCGAATCGAGCTATTCACATTGAAGAAACTACGGTTGGGCCCATTCAACGGTTGGTAGGTCGTCGAATGACGCCTTTCGCATCGAGAAGGATTTTAGCTCCCCCACGCCGTCGCCGCTCGCTCATAATATTCTGATCAGCCTCGGCCCATCGTTTGAACGGCGTGTTGGGGTCATCGGACCAAGCTGGTGTCGGAATGAGTGAGCGCCGCAACGCCAAGAACCAGTTCTCTTCGCTTTCTGGCTCAGAGTCCCCATCGGGACTGGCATTGTCGTTCGTGGATAGATCTTTCTGAGAAACGAATGTCTCGTCGCCTAATTCAATACTGGCTGTTTCGTGGCGTGTGTCGTCTGCGTCGGAAAAGTCTGAGACTCCCTCGACATTTTCCATGGAGGTATATTTCATCACCTCGTCTTTTGTGTTGGGGATATAAGAGCCCAAGGACTCGGGCTCTTTGTCTTGCCCCTTTGAAGTGCACCTTCATAGCTGCTTAGGGGCAGATTCTGTGTGTCTGGAATCTCGGAGGGCGCTGCGGAAGACTCCCTGATGTCCATCGATAGGATTTTAGAAGAGGATCGCTCAATGGATTCAGGCTCAGGTTCATGCTCGGGTTCGAGCTCATGTCCTTGTTCTTGTTCGTTATGAATCGCAGGAAGACTGCTTGACGGGGGTGCGCTGAATGAGTGGGCATGGAAGTTGGTGAATTGGTTGACCAAGTCCGTTGTGAAAGAAATCTCCCTACTCTCACCTTGAGGTGCCGAGGAGGTTGGAAGGTCATGGTCGCTTGTGATGAGGAGGGAGTTCTTTTCTGCAGAGATGAACTGCGATGCAGCCGCAGCTAACGATGGAAGCGTCAGACAACGCTTCTTGTGCACCGGATAAGAATGGTTGAAGATGAAATATTCTTCGTAGCTCGACGAATTCGTCTCTTGGGATGAGTGGTGTTCGACATGGCTTGGGAAATGGGTGAGATGCATGATGATAAAGTCATCCCACATCGGTGACCGTTGCAAGTGTCCCCCGGCCCTGACGGCTTGTAGCTTCGAACATAGTTCAGTGAAATGAGCAAAATTCCCAGTGTAATGAGAATATTCGCTGCGGAACTTTTCGAATATCCCTTTCGCCTCGGCAAGCTGCTGCGGATTGTCGAGATAACCCAGTCGACGAGCAATGAGACCTGCACTCTGGGTGGCCGGCAATTTTTGCGATGCGTTGTGAGTTTCCCATCGCGATTCTTTGGCCCTTTGGGATGGGGATTGACCTTCGTTGGATACTGGCATGAAACGATTGAGAGGAGAAACTTGTGGGTCTTCAGGCTGACCAACAGAAGAAAGGCCTGCCATGGAGTCCTGGGTGGGCTGATGGGCTGGGGATGCTTCTGCGCCATGAGAGCTCGCACTCTGATGAGAGGGCAGGTCGGCAGTGGCATTTGAACTCAGTCGAGAGGTATCCTGGTGACGCTGAGCCGGGCCTGATGAATCAAGTACCACTTCTGATTGTGACTGTTTTTGATTGAGATCTTGCGATTGCTTGTCATGGTTGTTTGTCTTGGGTTGAGTGCCCCTGACCTGGACGGATCCCTTCGAGCGGACCGAAGAACGAAGATCTTCATTTGATGACTGGGGCTGTTCATGGCTTCCGTGAAAAGGATAGGTGTTGAGGACTCGGGATTGCGATGATCCTTTGTAGAGCTGAGACGAAGAAAGAAGCTCAGCAGAAACTTCAGGCTTATCTTCTTCCTTTGCTTGTTGGACACAAGGAAAGCGACTGTTATTACCCGCTGGAGTTTCTGTAACCTGGACGTGATCGTTCTTTTCTGCTGGAAGCGAGCGATCCGAGCTTGCAAGACCCTGCCCCTGTTCTTGTCCCTGCTCCTGCTCCTGCCCTTGCTCTTGTTCCCTCTGAGTACTTTGCGATGTTTCTGGCCAACTTCCGCCGAGTGCAAAAGGAACAGACGTATCCATCATTGACTCGTCACTCTCATCGCCCGAATCATGGTCGATGGGGCAGGAAATAGGCTCGGGGTCGTTCTCCTTGGATGGCGATGGACCTTGAGCTGGGATTTGTCTGTCCGCTGATTCTTCCCGCGAGTTGTTCTCAGGGGCCGTCTCATGCTCCTGCTGGTTTGGAGCATCTTGAGAGGGATATTTGGCAGTTTCCATTTCGATATCCCCGTCTCTATCTTTTTGAGCATTAGAACTATCGAGTTTGGGGCTTTTTTTGTTGGTCTCCGAAGCACTTTTGTCGATATCTTGGGTTTGCAATGAGCTTTGTTCATCCATAGCAGTCGAAGTTGTGTCTGGTTGCCTAGGTTCAGTCTCCGCCTCAGCTAGATTTGGCAGTCGCTTGGCAGGGGACCGTCCTTTCAACGGACTACTGTCAGTCGGTAGCCGTTGACGTGGCTGTTCGTACTCAGGACTAGGAGACCACGGGATTTCTTCCCCAGACTCGCTGTCGGAATCAGAACTTGAGTCGGATTGTTGGGTAGGGGTAGTAGGTTGTTCTGTAGAAGCAGGTCGCTCTGAAGATACAAGCTGCTCTGAAAGTGCAGTCTGTTCCGATGTAGCCCTTTTTTCTTCAGCAAGCTGGTGCCGTCGCTTTGCCATGTTATTCCACTGCCGTAGCAGCGCAGGTGGCACTTGTCCTCTAGGCTCGGGAGTGCCTGGCAATGGTGGAATCCAGCAGATTTTGGTATCGTCAAGGATCGCGCTCTGGTCCTTTGGGATTCGAACCTCTCTCGCCGGAATATTACCAGTCCATTGCCATGGATTTGCGCGACTTGGTTTGACACCTTTAGGATCCGTTGGATTATGCGGCTTCCCATTCCGTTTGTCTGGCGATTTGGTAGTTTCGGTCGTCGGAACCACAGTCTCACAATGCTCGGTCGAAATTTCTGGAGGAGCCGTTTTTTGTTTCTTTCTGGATGGCTCCCCACTGTTCGAGTGCATGTCCATGCGCTCGCTTGTATCTACCACTGGTGCTTCGCCATGGCTTTCACGGGAGCGCTTTCGCGGAGAGCCCCTGCTCGCAGCAGCTGCCAATTCTAAATCTAAGGATTGCTCGACTGTCTTAGAAGAAAGCTCTCTAGTCTCTGTGGAGGGTGGCGAGGCAGGACATATAACGGTCCTCGCCTGCTTGGGAGCAGTTTTCAGAGTTGGAGAGGCCAGAATACCGGAAGGTGTGCCGACAGTGGTTTCGAGAGCATCGGCCCCTACCTGAGATTCAATAGACGCTTCACGGCTAAGAATCCTGTTTGAGGTCAAATCATGCGAGTCATGCGGGCCATGCGGGGCTGGTGCTTCATCTACGGTCATCTGCGGAGCTTCGCTGGTCGCAGCAAGCGCCTTTGGACTGCTCTGAAGCTGGCCGTAGGAATCTGGTTCTTTCTTTGACTTAGATTGAAATGGGTTGAGATGTCGGAGTAGGGCAGCCCCGGTTTGTAAAAGAGAGCGGCCAGTGTCCGTCCTCTGCTCCGGTAAATCATGCTGGGTGGACGGTATTTGTGAATAGAGCTGTGACCCAGCCCCGTTCAATGGGCTGCTCTGAAGAGGATCCGGTTGTGCAGTGATTCCGTCTCTCGGACTGGTAAGCCCAGCTGACGGGCTTGGCGTAGTAACAGATTCGCTCGCGTGTGGAGCACTGTTGGCCTTTCGGACTGTCTTGTCCAACAGATCTTTAACAACATTGACCTTTCTCAGCTTCTTTTTGGGCACAAATTTTTGTTCTTTCCCTTCCCAGTCGATACGAAAGCGGCTCACCCTTATGCGGACGTCAGGTGAGGGCTCCTTGTATGCAACGATCAATGCAAAGCTCAAGAGCTCAATACGGTACTTTCTGGGCGACGTCGGATTCGAGATGATCGTGCTGGACGTATCCAGCGAGTCTTTGGGGATAGTCCCTTCAATCTGGTTATTTGTATCGATAAACACTGCGCCGTCGCATGAGGGACCTAAACCCCACTAGTAAATCCGTGAATATCAGCACCCTGGTTGTAGGTAGGAGTCTTCGTAGGCTTGAGAATGACATACCTCTGCGACCAAGGCTACGCATGGCGGGTGCTGAGTATGGAAGTTCAGACAGGTCCCATCATCCTTCACTTCAACGTCGCTACTCTGAGTCTGGCCAACGTAGAATGCCAGGCACTGCTCGACGAAGCCCGCAATCCAGGGAGATATGGTGTTGTGAGTGGCCATTGTGCATATCAGACTCGATATCGAGTCTGGCGTAGCACGCCTAGGGTCATACCCAGGCCGAGAACATGAGGGGAATGGGCACGGGTGGTCGTATGCAGCCGAAATCAAGGTGTTCAACAGAAGAACCTCCAGGTCACATTATGATCAAAATCGCCCGATAACCGATAAGACGCGACGCGCCGCGCTGACTCAGCCCCACCAACGTCATTGGGTTGCAGGGCAGGCGCGGAGGGAAGCTGCGACCGCCGCACCTCCAGGCACCTGCCACAACCGCCCAGGACTGGACTGGAGGTCTTGTTTACAGACCCAGGCCCAGGCGCGTCACTCTTCCCTCTTCCTCCTCCCCGAAAATCCCGTCACTACCCCCATCTCCGTCTCGAAAAACGATGATCTACGAACCTCGCGACTGACCGCCGAAGCTACCAAAGCGTATCGATGGAGCACAAATCAACTAGATCACCGAGCCCCTCCACGTCGTCTGGGTTCTTTCCACTCAGACGACATGGATCCAAAGCCTCTCTGGCTACTACAAAAACCGAACGGGAACCGAATCAGGCCACTTTGGACCGGATTCACAACGCAGAATATCATTCCGACTCGTACACATGGTTCCACGATTTCACCGGTCCACCGACACCCGTATCGGGACAAGATGATAAAGGCCTGTCGGAGGAGTTGCAGGGAGGTCTGAGCGGGCTATACACTCGCTTCAGAAGCTCCGTTGGTGGCATCGTGGGCGGTGGAACGAAGACGGCAAACAAAAGTGCAGCGGAGTGTCCTGCACTCAAAAGTCCCACCTCAGAGCGCTCCGTGACGAAGTCTACCTCGAACTTGGCTGTGAACTCTGGAGAGGCTGCACCATCTCATCCTGCCTCGTCCCAAGCCTCGAGACTCCATTCACCGGTCGCGGCAAACTTCCAGCATGTTCAGGACACCGCCCCCGCCCCGCCAACCAACACCGGAAAGAGCTCGAAAATTCCGTCTAAGAGTGCCAGCATATCTTCGAAGGCCTCGATTCCACCTTCTTCGGCTGCCAAGAGCAACCTTGCGCCTTTGACCAAATCTGCGGGTAGCTCCACCGCAGCCGATCCGGCGATCACACAACTCCATGTAAACGCCATGGGGCCAGATCACCGCTCGAGAAGGAGCTCTGTAAATGTCCCTTCTTCGGGACTCAAAAATACAGAATCTTCGAGTATCGGAGACCGGGATGGCCCGGCAGATTTATCTTTGAGTCAGTCGTCAGTCGCTGGACAGAGCACTTCGCATTCACCAGTGCTGTCTACGAAAACGCATGAGAGTTTGCATGATGACCAACTCCAGTTCGATGCGGCCGGATCTTCCATGTCGGGAAGCCATGTATTGGCTAGCCAACCTAGAAAGTCTTCCGTATCCGCAGATCAGCCAAGACTTCCGGAAGATTTGTCTCATTCTGCTATATCGCGAACTTCAAAGCAGTCTGACTCCGACAGGGAAGTGTCGTCTCAACTCCAGGAGGACAGATCGAGTTCCCGGTTGTCTTTTAGTCATGCTGAGCCTTCTAGCACGTCGTCAACAACTTCAAATACTCAGCCGAGTTCCAACCCTCAGAGTACTCGTGATGTCCGTCGTGAAGAGACCGGGAATAACGTCGCACAGAAAATCTCGTCCTTTGCCAAATCCAGCGAGATGTCCAACCAGGTCGCACTCAATGTCAAGCACAGACTACCGGGTTACGTGATGTCTCGAACGACTACAGCAGATTCGGCTGTTACTACCTCTTCTTTGCCACTTATCAACACGGCCGTCCCCGGGTCTCCGCACCACCAATGCCAAAAAGTCGACCATCAGCATCTGGATCCGATGGCGTCAACCCCGAGCTACGAAAGAGATTACTCAGCAGGGATTTTTGGATGCGTGATGAAAATGCGAAGGATTGCTTTCATTGCGGAGAGCCTTTTACCACGTTCCGAAGAAAGCACCACTGCCGTACCTGCGGTCAGATTTTTGATTCGAAATGTACGCTTCTCATTCCGGGGACGCAATTCGGGCAACCCGGCTCGATTCGTGTCTGCAAGCCTTGCGAGAGGATGATAAATGCGAACGAAGACGACTCTTCCGATTTTTCAGAAAGCGACCACAGCCCCGTTGCGATGAATCATCGAATCTCTGAGCTGGGCTGGGGTGGCACTGGCCGTCCTTCTGTGGAAGACGACGACTCTTCGTCTATTGTTTCTCAATCTATTGATCATGTCCTTCGAACCCCGACCATGGCCATACCAGCCACGCGCCGAGCAGGCGAAGGGCACAATCGCCGGTCGGCGGTTCTCGAAATCAATCCCGAGCGTTCTCTGGCAAGACCAACTTCATCGCGATCCTTGAGATCATCCCTGGGAAATAGATCGTATTCGATCAGTCACAAACGGCACCACTCTCGCCAACAATACATACGGAGCTTCAAGCCCTCCCATGATGATCAAGCCCCATTTCAGCGCCGTCATCCTGATTATCTGAGCACCGAGGCCCGCCTTCCTGCATTCCACAGAGACAACATCATTGATCCTGACCTTGCTCAGTATCTTTCGGATGATGCTTCAAGTGGCGATGAACAGCCTAATCTGTTGTCTGCTGCAACAGAGACAGGTCTATCGAAAAGCCCCGGCGACAGTGAAAAGGCCACATTTGGTGGTCTTCTTGCTGCAATGAAGAAGGGTCGATCAGCGCTCGCTCCCAACTTCGGCCAATTTGGTCGAGATGCAGACGATGCTAGCATCAGTAGCTCAAGGGCGGTGAATTTACCTCGTTCCTCTCGGCGTCGTAATTTGAGTGTGGCTAGCAGCGTCCACCAACGCCAATCTCCTAGAACTTCCAAGGATAGCATGTTCCCACAAGAGATGTCTGCATCGGCCATTCCGTTCCCCGTCAAACTAAGGGAAGCTGGGTTTAACGTGATCAAAAGTTCATCGCTGAAAGGAAGCGGTGCCCCGTCAGTTGACCTTAATAAGCCTAGCCTGGAGCATGTTCGAAGGCTCTTGCGCCAACTTCTTGTTGCGGCTTCTGTCCCTCATCAGCACAGTTGGGAAAAAGCCCTGATGCCAATCTTACTCAAGGCTGCCGATGAGGTGGACCCAGACGTTCGGCGTGGCGACGACATGGACATTCGCCATTACGTCAAACTGAAGAAGATCCCTGGCGGACGGCCTAGTGACACATCTTATGTTTCCGGCTTGGTCTTCACGAAGAACTTGGCTCTCAAGGGTATGTCACGAAGCCTTCCATGCCCAAACATTTTGATCATCACATTCCCACTGGAGTATGCTCGCCAGTCGCAACACTTCATGAGCCTAGAACCTATCATTCGCCAAGAGCGTGAATTTTTGGGTAATCTTGTTAGCCGCATCGCAGAACTCCGGCCGAACCTACTGCTTGTTCAGAATAATGTTTCTGGACTAGCCTTGGGTCTCCTGGAGAAGGCAGGCATCGCAACTGCATACAATGTAAAGCCTTCTGTCCTAGAGGCCGTATCGAGGTGCACCCAGACGAGGATTGTGACCTCGATGGATAAGCTCTTGACAACTGAGCTGTGCAGCAAGTGCAGCAGCTTCGATGTCAAAACATACGTTCATTCTGGAAGAAAGAAGACGTACATGTACATCTCTGGATGCCCGAAGGAACTAGGCTGCACAATTGTTCTTCGCGGCGGCGACGAGGATGTTCTTGCGCAGGTCAAACATATCGCAGAGTTTATGATTTATGTCGTGTATAACCTGCGGCTTGAAACATTCTTCATGCGTGATGAATTTGCAAAGCTACCAGCATCCCCTGCTGTCGCCTCGGCCGACGAGGACAAGATTATCAAAAGCAATGATTTCTCGAATGAAAGCAAACCCGACTCCATGAACTTGTCCTCCCAGTCAAGTACGGCCGAGAAATTGGGCGACGAATCACCGGCAGACAGCAAGGCGTTGGTGGCCGCGGAAACAGTCGACGTCCCGGACGATATTCCAATGCCGACTTACTTCAACAACATTGTGCACGACCATGAGACAAAGATCCTATCCGCTTCTCCCTTCGTCAAGTTTGAGCCCCCATATCTGTTGATGCGAGCCAGAGAGATGGAGCGAAGACTGGCATACCTCAAGCGTCTTCGTGATCATGATGAATACTCCGGAGAAAACAAAGAGGAAAAATCAAAGCCCCAGAAGTTCATTCTTATTACACCTGAGATGGTTCATCAATCTCCACGCGAGGCTCCACCGAAAGTCAAGGAAGTGCTGCGTGCTGCGCATGATGCAGAGTATGACCGGGTCTTCTATCACTACCAAACCCAGAAAAAGCAGTGGGAAGCCTACGTCGCCGGCAACAAGAACATGTTCGATACATACTCACATCAGAACATTGTTGTTCTGTACAGTCTTGTATGCACAACAACGTCAGTACCCTGCGCGGGGCCTGAGTTGGTTGCACTGGAGTTCTACAACGAGCATGGCGACGATGAAGTTTATGACCGGGACCTGACGCTAGGCCAATTTGTGCATGACCTCTGCTCAACAGCATCTCATGTCTGCATGGCGAATGGTTGTGAGAAGCTCTTGTTTGAACACAATCGCCAGTACGTCCACGGAGATGCCCAGCTGAGTGTGATGATCCAGCCCTGTCCTCCCAAGCTTCGTGGGCTACAGGAAACCATTTTGATGTGGAGTGCGTGCAAGATCTGTGGCAACGAGACGCAAGTTACACGCATGTCTGAGAATACTTTCAAGTATTCATTTGGCAAGTACCTGGAGCTTTCCTTTTGGGGTCGCAACCTGCACGCACGTGCTGGAGTCTGTCCTCACGATCTTCAAAGAGACTACTTTCGTTACTTTGGCCTCAAAGATGTTGCGATACGTATTCAGTACGACACGGTCTACCCCCTTGAAATCATTGTTCCTCGTCCTCGGGTTACTTGGAAAGTCGACAACGATCTGAAGCTGCGCAACGAAGTCTACGCACGAATTGAGCAACGGCTTAGCAAGTTCATGTTGTCCGTCGTGTCACGACTGAAGGGGATCAATGTTGAGAGTGTCGTACCCGAACTCTTGGACCCCTGCCGAAAGGAGATCGATGATTTGATCAAAAAGGCCCATGATGATCACGTCAGCTTAATTCGACAATTGCAAGACAAATACACGAGCTCTCGCTACTGGGAGATGATTCCCTTCAACCAAGTGCTTCGTGCGGCGCAAGAGAAGGTGGTTGAATGGGACACCATTTTTGTGGATTTCGAGCAAAATTTCTTCCCGTCAGAGAAAGACATCAAACGCATGGCAACTTTGCAGCTCAAGAAAATTTTCCTCGACAAGGACGCGACATCCGTTACTTCCGAAGACCCTCTGCATACGCCGACTGATGTAGAGGACGAAGGCACTGCCGAGTCAGACAAGCCGCGAATCTTGCGCCGCATGACTCTTTCTCCGGAAAAGGCCCAAAATGTCCTAGTTTCGGTCGTCGAGGAACACGCTGGTAAAAAGAACCGTGGCATGCCACATGAGACTGAACGGCCCCCGCCTGTAGCTCCAGGCGAAGAAGCAAACTTGCCTATGGGTGCTGTCGATGAGAAGCAATCCCCCCCCAAGACGAGGCTGTTGCGCAAGAAGAAGTCCGTCATCTCGACCTAGCCGTTCCTTCTAGCCAGTCTGAAGTTTCGCCTGCTAATATCGTGTCACCTGTGAATCGGCCATCATTCAGCTCGGATACGCCCACAGGCCCCATTGAAGTCGAACCCGGCAAGGCAATTTTCGATTCATCGTCTCCGAAGTCTCCCAAGTCTATCGTGCAGGAAGGTTGTCACAGAAAGCAAGACAGCTTGAATAATCTCCCAACTACGCCGCCCAGTCGCCCTTCGGCAATTCCAAGACTTGCTGAAGGGGCTTTCAGACGGTCCGGTCAAGCACGCTCTCCCCCGCTGTTGCGCACCCAGTCGCAACCTTCCAACCTTGTCCAAGAGAAATCCTTTGGGTTGAAGCTTGGTCCGACGAATACCAATGACTCTAACAATTCCCGTGGGGAATCAACCAAGACCACGGAGAAATTGTTCACCGAGCGCCTGGGTCTGTCTGCTCTCAAGAACGGACGCTTTGCTCCAGGTCACTCTCTTATCCCTCGGTCGACTCCAAAGCGAGGAAGTACCCACGTATCAAACCTTGCCAGGCATTTTGAGCAGTTGAGTCGAGAGTTCGAAAGGGAGAGACAACGTGAGAGACGACAGCGGGCCCGTGGAGCCCAGTCGCGTGCCTTCCCCCTGGCGTCTTCTAAGCCTATAGTAGAGGTTTATAGAAACGTCCAGGAAGCTGTGGAAGAGCGAGAACCCCCAGTTGATGGAGAAGAGGCTGTGGCGGCAGCACCAGAAATCCCACTCCACGAATCTAGTGGGAAGAGTGAAGATCTCATGGACCAAACAGAGCATCCGTCCACGACCATGCCTATCTCTGGAGAATCTCCAACGGAAGCCTTCGAACCAGGGAGCATTGTACTGACTGACTCCAACCTGGTATCAGAAGGTGATCCCGACGATAACGCAAGTGATGAAGAGCGGAACACCGCAGAAGATCTCCACCCGGTTGAATCCAATGATGAAATCAAGCTGCCGGATGATGATTCAATCGACTTCAAGGATCTCCCTAAACACGAACGAACAACACTTCTGAAGATGTTGACCAACTTCTGGTCCGAGCGCTCAGCTAGTGGCTGGACAGCACTCGAATATCCTCTTGGTGTGATGGACCACGTCTTCTCGGACAGTGATATCATTGTGCGAGAAGATGAACCCAGCTCCCTAGTTGCATTTGCACTCGGCTCGTCTGACTACAAGGAAAAACTGTCAAGCATCCAGCGGCGGTATGACGAGATGGAGGGCTATCAGGTAGATCCTTCCATGGGGCCTGAGGCTCTCGAAGAATCTCGAACGGAAGCTGCGCTCTTGCGAGAGACGGGCACTCATCTTAAGTATCAGTTCCAGGAGGGACAGGCTAAGATGCTTTGCAAGGTGTTCTTCGGCGAGCAATTCGACGCGTTACGCAAGAAGTGCGGAGTGGCAGACCGAATAGTGGAATCACTGTCTCGGTGTGCCAAATGGGATTCAAAGGGAGGTAAAACCAAGTCTATCTTCCTCAAAACGCTTGATGATCGATTCATTCTCAAATCGCTTTCTACCGTCGAAACCTCTGCTTTCCTTAAATTCGCTCCTGCGTATTTCCGGATCATGTCGGAGACATTGTTCCATGATATGCCGTCCGCCATCGCCAAGATGTTTGGCTTTTATCAAGTTATCATCAAGAACCCCTCCACAGGAACAGAATTCAATTGGTTCCTTTTGCTCATGGAGAACTTGTTCTACGATCGTGTTCCGAATCGAATCTTCGATTTGAAGGGCTCGATGCGCAACCGCAAGGTCCAAAGCACCGGCGAACGTGACGAGGTGTTGTTGGATGAAAACATGGTCGAGTTCATCTACGAAACTCCCTTGTTTACACGCGAGCATGCGAAGAAGCTGCTCGGGCAGAGTGTATGGAATGACACTCTGTTCCTAAGCCGACAGGACGTCATGGACTATTCGCTCATGATTGCGATTGATGAGAAGCGCAGCGAGCTCGTAGTCGGAATCATCGATTGTATCCGCACATATACCTGGGACAAGAAGCTTGAGTCCTGGATCAAAGACAAAGGCTTTGCTGGTGGTGGCCGCAACCGCCCCACCGTGACCAGTCCCAAGGAGTATAAGGTCCGATTCCGAGAGGCCATGGCACGATACGTGCTGCAGGCACCCAGGTACGTACCTACTAATCGCAAAATCCCCCAGTATTTGAATAGTGTGTGAATAGTTCCTGACGAATTTAGCTGCTGGCACCAATTCCAACCGAGCGCAATCTACCGTCAACCGCTCGGTGAGCCCCGCGTGTCCGAAGTCAACGACCTCGAAGCCTTCGATGCGAGCGGAGAAGCAGATGCCCCTCTGTAATGATAACGATGTACGAACGCAGCCAGCCCGCGGTGCTGCTTTCTTTTTTCCTAATGATTAATGAGATAATGACAATTCTTCGGACGATTTAATGCAGATAATGTGATAAACTTGCCGTTCACTTTATGTACGATGACACCGTTCCAGAGCCAATTTTTTTTTTTTTTTTTTTTTTTTTTTCATTGCATTGCATTGCATTTCTCGTAGAATCAACGACATCTTCATTTTTCAGCGGCTATTGAGCATGTGATGTGAAATCAATAGCAGAATCCTCAGCGCGATTGCAGTGTTAAGGCTTCTTCCCACAAAACTCGATTCTCGATTCTTTCTGTGCCTCAACAGACAAGCTGAAGAAGAGAGTGAGATCAAGCTCAGATCAATTTGACGTGAGTTATTCATCTTAGAGGGATATCTAGGGTAGTTAACCTAAGATTCCCCGGTCCTACTGTACTATTCGTATTACTCTACCCTTGATTGCATTGTAGAGGAGGCATTACAATCTAAAAAAGGTGTCCCAATCCGTACTTAAGCCTTATTCCTCAGGCATACGTTGTGACTACCCGATGGCATCGGCGAAAACCGGAGCCGAAGAGTTTGCCGTCGGGAATTACGTTTGGTCAGAGGGGGCATTGCCAGTCGCAAGTTTAGTTTGGTCGATTCTTTTCTCTGCAATCCATTCTTCACCTTGACACCTTCATGCTTGCCCAATCCACGCGTGGGAAAAGCATCCCGGCCTGCACGGTATGGAAGGCGGGTGCCGGAACGCCTGCCGGACACATGGAGCCTCGGCCTCGGAGTCGGGGAGCGCGTTTTCGTCCCCCGCAATCGTCAAGGGCAGGTTGTTCCGGTCTTTCTCTTTTCCTTTTCGCTCTTTTCTCCTTCGCAGCACTTGCAGTGTTTTCACGGTGGAAAATTCGAGATTTGAGCGATGCGCCCGGCGCTCGACTCGCCTTTCAATAGACATGAACGGTCGATGCGCATCGCGTGCGAAGGACTTCAACTCACTCCCAGATTATTGCGAACAGGACTAATAACTTCAATGAAAGCAGCAATTTCCCACGTCTATTCATTTTGGAGGGATGTCTAGGCTAGCTAACAGCGCAGTTGACCTGAAGGCATTAAATTCGTCTCATTTACATCAATGCATTAACCTTCTCCCAAAAGCGATGGTCCAGACCACAGCGCAGAGACGATCTTCGGCTTCGAATGAACATGAAGAAATAGCAAAAAGAAAGGTATGTATCCCACCCGCGCACCAGCGATAACCAGCAAGAAAATCAAGAAAGAAGAGCTTGGAGTATATATCCGGTCGGCTTACGTTTTCTCGTCGATGCAGATTTACTCCATAGAGAGGCCAAGGTCTTCCTCGGCGGGGACCACACGGACGGTGTTGGTGTGGCCCATACCGCCACGCCATCCCTGAACGCAGACGATGGGGTCACCCTTGTTGATGATGCCGAGCTTGAGACCGTGGTTGATACCCCACTTGAGGCGGCGGTCGACATCCTCCTGCCAGATCTTGACGTTGAAGTCGGGCTTCTTCTCGTTGAAGTAGAACGGCCAGACACCGCGGTACAGGTGAGAGTACTGGAGAGAGATTTGGTTAGCGTGGCACACACGATAAAGTTGGGGAATAGGGAACTAACCCGAGAAGCAGTGGCGTTACGAGTGACCATCAGGATGGGACAGACAGGACGGTACTTGGACAGAAGGCGGGCAGTTTTACCGCTAGAAACTTTGTCAGTACACGCAATCGCAGGCGGAACGGAGACTCCAGTTCGACATACCTAGTGGTCAGGACGATGATGGCACCGGCGTTCAACTCCAGACTGGCGCTGACGGCAGCCATGGCAATCGACTCGGGGGTCTCGGTGGGGCGAGGGCACAGGTTGCGCAGCTCATCGAAGATCTGGAAGTGAGGCACGGTGACCTCGGCGAGCAGGCAGGTCTCGTGCATCATCTTGACGGCCTCGCAAGGGTAGGTACCCTTGGCGGTCTCACCCGACAGCATGACACAGTCGGCACCGTCCAGGACGGCGTTGGCGACATCAGACACCTCAGCACGGGTGGGGCGAGGGTTGTATGTCATGGACTCCAACATCTGAGTGGCACAGATAACGGGCTTGCCCTTGATGTTGCACTTGGCAATCATCATCTTCTGGGCGATGAAGACCTTGGGGGCGGGGATCTCAATACCCAGATCACCACGGGCAACCATGACACCGTCAGTCTGCTCGAGGATCTCGTCGAAGTTGTTGACACCCTGCTGGTTCTCAACCTTGGCGATGATCTGAATCTCCTTACCCTCCTCGCCGAGAACTTCACGGATGCTCTCGATATCGCTGCCGCGGCGAATGAATGAGGCGAAGACCATGTCAACCTTGTTTTTGACACCAAACTTCAGGTCGGCAATATCCTTCTCGGAAAGAGCGGGCAGGTCTACATCGGTACCGGGCAGGTTAACACCCTTGCGGGAAGAGATGTTGCCGTTGTTCAAGCACTTGACGCGCAGAGTCTTATCGTCGACAACCTCGAGCACCTCAAAGGACAGAATGCCGTCATCGACATAGATGAGCTTGCCGGGGGCGATCACCTTGGTGATGTTCTTATAGTCGAGGTACCTATGGTTCCGTGGTTGTCAGCCTCTTGTCTCTCGCCTTGCTATCTCGACGGTCGGTGTAGGGGCAGACCATGTCCGCATCCTCCACCGTCGAAACGGGGTCTCAGAATTCTTACATGTTCTTATCATCACTGGCGGTGGCGTATGCCTCGTCGGTGGTGATGTTGAGCTCAGTGCCCATCTTGATAGGGATATCGACATCGTCGGTGGTGTTACCAGTACGGATCTCGGGACCCTTAGTGTCGAGGGCGATGGCCAGGGGACGACCAGTCTGGACGCGAGCAGCCTCACGGGCGTTGTCGATCACAGATTGGTGGTACTGTTTCCATTGTCAGCGACTGTTTTTTCGAATGAAGGCAGGATGAAAAACACTCACCTCATATGAGCCGTGGGAGAAGTTCATGCGAACGACATTGAGTCCCACTACATTCCAGTCAGTTCTACCAGCTCCTCTGATCATGCGGGGAGCTTATTGGGCATCTTGATGCCATACCTGTGCGGAGAGCGTTGATCTTCTCGACGGAGTTGGTCTTCGGGCCTGCGGGGCAATCGCGGTCAGCGTCATTTTTTACCATCTAATCAAGGGTGCCGCACGCCGTCTAAGTCCCCAATTGGACCAGCGGAAACACTGGAGGTATTGTGAAGGCACATACCAATGGTACCGATAATGGAGGTACGGCGGAAGTTCTTCGCCGGCACCAGTTCGGTGTTGAGCTTGGAGTGCCACTCCAGCTTCATGCGGTTGCTCAGGTGGTCGAGAGAGGTAGTGGCCGCCATTTTGAACTGCTAACAATGTAACCTTGACTAGCAGAGAAGATTGGGGTTGGATAGATTGGGGTGGGAGTTGAAGTGAGGAGGGGGAGAGAAAAGGAAGGTGGGTGAGGGGCGGGAGGGAAAATGTTGGTCGCCGATGCTATCTCCGCCGCGCTTTTGCTTCTCCGTACCCGCCCCAGCTTTTACGGGCTGCGGTGAACCGGCCTTGGCAGTGGTACAGCTGGCCGTTGGGTTGGATGATCTGCAATTTTTTGATTCGTAGTAGTGCGTAGCACGTTTATTAACAGCAGTGGTCATCATTTTTTATTTTTTTTAATTGAAAAACAGTCATGACCTAGCTCAAAACTCCTCTCAACATTATCAGTTTGAAGCCTCACCGGAAACGGCGGCAGCGCTGTACTAGGCAGAAAAAAAGGAAAAAAAAGAGAAAACCAATATGCTCCCCCAAGGCGGAGAGGGGCCGTGCTGGTCTGCCCAGCGTACATTGGATCCCTTTTATCGAGTAAACGTGACAAATAGCGACACCCAATTTGCCCGGCCCCTCTCGACAGAAACGGCATTCCGGTGGGCTGCGCTTGGTGGCAAGTTTGTGACTATCCTGAGGCAGAAATGAGGCAGAACTCGAGTACTCGACGCCTGGGGCATCTAGATGGGTGGCTGGGGCAGCCACTTGTATTATATAATTCACCAGCCACCCAACCGCCGTCATGTGAAAGGGACCCACGTGAGGTCGTGAGACCCCGTCGGCTGTCCATTCACACCAAGACATAGCGCCTGCTGCTTCTCCTCCGAATACCGCGATCCCAAGTGACCTCAGTGTCAGAGTCCTCTCATCATGGTATGTGGGCTGTCATTCGGTCTATAGAGGACCGTGGGAACGAAGCATCCAGAGCTGACTTTCGTCGTCCAACACAGTTCGGCCGTCTTACTCACTACGCATTTGATGCGGTTCTCTGTGAGTCTTCTGTACCGTCTCTATAATACACAGGACCAAAGCTGACCGTATCTCTGCAGTCTCCGCCTTCCTAGCTGGTGTCAAGCGCTCCACGGGTCTCACGTAAATATAACCCCTCCTACCCTTCCCTACCTCGGTTCCTTTCTCGCGATACCCTTCGATCGAGATTGTCACCAACTCTTGCAAATCAGGCAGCGTTTCTAACTTTTTTGACCTCGCCGCACCCCCCTTTTTCGGGTCGTGTGCGTGCGGGGACTTTCACAGCCCCAGTGTCGACTCTGATAAGATTTCTGACAACAAAGAAGTGAAGCGATGGATCGACAACTACCTCGGTGTTGGCGAGTGGGTGATGGATCAATCTGTTGCCGTCATGGGCTCATCCAGCTGGTTTGAGCGCCGCCGGTGATTGGTTTCGCCGTTTCACCTGGGGCTATATCAATGATTCCTCCGGTTCTTCTTCTCGACTTGACATCCGGCCAGTGATGACTCCCGGCTTCCGACTGGCACGACAATATATGAGGAATTGCACAGCAAACTGGCTGGATTGACGAGTAACGACCAACTCTTCTCTACGCCGCAACCAACCACTTTTGACATTACGATCAGAGTTATGGCGTCTTTGGCTTTTTCGTTCTATTCGATACCTCTCTTGCCTGTATCTATTCTATCTCCGCCATGTGAAATGCACTCTGCATCCGATTCTTTCTGGATTATATCTGCTCAGCAGACTTTTCTGCGGCTGCTTTGGCTAGATGTCAGTGGTGTAAGAAAGTCGTTCAGGGCTTCGACAGTTATCGACAAGTATGAGGCGCATGAGTCTGTAGCTGCAGAGGATCAGAGTTGTTCGATACGCGATTGCCAGGTTTTTCGAAGCCGTGACTATCCTGATGGCGAGCTCGGGAGATAATTCTGAAAACCAGCTGTTTAATCTGTAAGGCATGCTCTCTGGTCATAAAGGACAGGAAGTGAAGATGTCGTGGCCTCTCAAAATCCGACGATGGCAAATTGCAAACACGAGGGGGTATGTAAGGGGAATGGAGGGCAAGTAAATCAGAAGAAATCCGGAAAGTATCGCCAGTCATGTTTGCAGGAGATCATCGATATCAACGCGGCGGTAGTAGGAGATGTGCCCCATCTCCTGCCAATAGTGGGCTATGTATTCAGTAGAGACCAGAATCAGTTGGGAAGCAATAAAAGTATCTGTTTATAATGTGGGTTTAGTTTTTCATGAACAATGCCTGGTCGCAAAAAGGGTAAGTCGTGAAAGAGAAGCCTGGGTTTCTTACCATCACGAAAGCCACGGCCTGCAACATGACCCCGAGAATGCACAATCCGACAGCCGGCGAAAGGCTCCTCGGTTTCCACTCGAATAAGGCCATTTGGTCCAATGTCAGGAGATTGAAATGTTATTTCACCACGGGGAACATTGGGATCTCCTGTCAGCTTGATGGCATCCAAACTTCCCCTCTGAATGACACCTGACGTGTTATCGACTTCTTCATCCGTGAGCGGGTCACCTTGAGTGATGAGTAGGAATTCGCAGCCATGCGCTGAATAGTCGCCGACCCAGATCCCCTGGTATGGCTTCGTTCGTGTTGGCGTGTACACGCTGGGATCGAGAGTAGAATATGTAACCATTGCCGAATTATTCCCTGGATGCACAACGTGGAAATTCGTCCAGCGGCGAATACGAAACGCTTCTTGGGATGCCTCAGACCAATGCGAAGGTTCTGAAACATTCATATCGTCCACCGATCTAGCAACACGATTGTTGCTAGGTATCAGCGCGGGAGGCCAGAGTCTCGACATGTCTGTCACACCAGTGTCCGTATTAGAACAAAGTAACAGCGAGTTGAAAAGATGGTGGCTTTCTGCAGCCATCCTCATACTGCGCTCTGCCATCCATGTTTGGCATTCAGATGTCGGGGCCGATGGATCAGGGTCCTTCAGAAGCAAAACCGGGTCATCCAGCCACAGGCCGACGTGAGGGTCGAATGATTGAATCATCACATCTGGGTGTCCGGCCCAAACATGGAACATGGGTGCACCACGGTCGGCGAGAATTCGATATGCTTCAATCACCCCCCGACGGTTATCGTAGCGAGCTAAGATCAAGTTCCCGGTGTGTTCATTATCTGCGAACCAAATCTTGTTCTGCGGAATGAACCAATATGGCAAATGGGCGAGATACAGGCGGCGGAAGGATTCGAAAGGGCCCGGTTCGTCGATAGAGAATGGTATATGTGAGTTGACGAGTTTCTTCCACAAAAGGTCATTGGAGGCGCTTTGGGCGAGGGCACGGCACGTAATGGACACGCGAGCTAGCTCGTGAGGTGACAAGAAGGAGAGAATCTGATGCAGGGTCTCGGGGGGCAGTTTGTCAATTTTCGAATTCGATTGTGTGGTCTGTTTCCAGTGCTGGTCGTAAAGGAGGTGCTCAATGTACTGTCGGTTATCACCAAGCGTGGAGCCCTGTGTCGCAACGCAAATTAGTTCATCAAGGTCACATTTAGGACAGAGCTCAGTGCGCTGCGGGCAAAGAAGGTTGTCTGGAGATATCTGCTTAGCTTGAGTACAACCTACCTGGTCCGAGTGAGTCACGTCCGCCATCCTGCTGTCCCGCGGATGGTGGAAAGAGGAGAAGCGGATGCAGGTGTTGATAGCTCGACCCCTTTGGACAACTCAGATGACATCACCCGAGGATGACGAGGCAAAAGCGCATTTAGTGGAGGGGTTGCAACAGAGAACAGGCCAAAGAGGAGCAACAGTGAGGGCTCAGCCCCGAGCAAGTTCCGACTAAGCAGGCTCTAATGCCGGGGCAGAGCGCGTGCGTTGGAGACGAGAGGAGAAGCAGCTCGGTGGGTCGTGGGTGGTGGTGATAAGATAATGCGACTGGGGGTTGAAAATGGAGCCGGTTCCGCAAATGATGAGCGCCGTAGAGTTGGACAGAGAGCAGCGTGAGATGCGGTCGGAGCCCGGGCTGACAGCTTGGAGTGTCGACCCGGTGGAACAAAGCTGGGGAAAGCAAGTGTTGGTGCCCCGCCGGTCAAGTCTCGTTGCGGTTCGTGATCGGGTCGATCGCAGGGTGGTTAAGCTTATTTATTACAACACTTCTCCAAGGATCATGGTTACAGGTGTCTACTTAGGTAGGGCCTGGTTGTAGAATGTTGGTTTCAAATTGTTGGCAGATATTTTACCATTTCAAAAAGCTGTTCTAGTTCAAATATGTGAACATAGTTGTCAAAGGATGGTAAATGGATCAGTGTGTTTATTTGGAACATTCTGCAATATATCCCCAGGGACGTGCGTACGGCCATAGAGATCTCGATAATAATAGAGAAAATAAACTCCCCGTAATCAGATAGGCCATGATTTTTAAGCTCTTAAATGTGAGACAGCACTAGATTTTACAATTTAGTTGTGGATATTCCAGTTTCACGGTTGAGTACAGCTCGCCCAACTTCAACTGAGCAGATCACACGTGACCGCCAGTCCCTGAGGGGAAGCTTGTTTACCAGTCCGGAATAGGTAATCATATTGGCCCTGGCACGCGCCACGCAGGCGCGCTCCTGCTGCCTACATGGCCCCACCGTGTTTGTTTATGTTGTGAGGTATACAAAACGCCCTTATAAGCGCGAGTCGGTCGATTCTCAGCCTCCCATGTCCCAAGCCTGTTCTGGTGATTTAGTATTCACATTCCCCTCAGCCTGTCGACTACCCCGATAATTTCTTTGCTATTTCCATTCATACTGCCAGCCCGGTTACTTTACTTCGAGCCTTTCAATCCTGCACAATGGAGACGCGACTGTCCTGCAGAAAACGCAGGAATAGCGCCATCTCTGAATCGACGACTGAGGTTCCTGTTTCCCATCGCACAAGACAAAGCGCCGGGATAACAACGGAATATGACGCGCCCAAGGAAAATGAAAATGCTAGTACCCCGCGAAAATCGCGAAAAAGAGTACGATTTTCGGACCCCGGCCCTTTGCTGCAGGGCACAAGTGCCAGCTCCACTGGCTTGACACCAGCGATGAGACGCACTTCTTTTGATCCTCCGATGACTGCCAGTGACAATCAGACACCATCCCGAAAAGCGCGGCGGCGGTCGGCGCCAACTCGCCGTCGCTCTTTGGATCCCGTTGACGGGCTTGATGAGGCCTCTGAACGAGTACGGCAATTCACCCCTCTGCGTCAGATTCTGGATCGTCGAACGCAAAGAAGAATACGACGGTTTGGTCTTAGCGATGAGATTAACCAGATTGAGCGAGAGAAACGCGAATATCGCAATTTTGAAAAGTCATTCGCAACGCTGCGACAGGAGCGGGATGACTTGCGACGCGAACTGGGCGCGATGAAACAGAGACAAAGTGTCTCGGAAGTCCATCCGCCATCCTACGAGCCTAACTGGAGGTCGATTTCAGCGTGCGTTCCAGGCATAGGGAATGAGACAATGAGACACTCTGACGAGGTCTCGGTGACCTTTAGTAGAAACCAGGACCGTGACGAGGACAGCACGTTCACCCTCAGTGATAGCGCCATCATCGTCTCAAACTCCCCCGACCTGCGTGCTATGCGCGACTGCAGATCAACAGAGCCTGATAGCCTCATGATCGACCAAGCCATTACGGATGTTTCGACACAGACATCATTCAGGAACCACACCGAGCAGTCCGACATGCACGACTTGACTGTTGACTTGGAAGCGGCGAGGGCAGAAAAGGAAAAGCTCTTCAACGCCTGTCGGACGCAAATTGCTGCCTTTGAAGATTCGGAAATAGCAGATACTCTTCGCCTACCTTCGCCCCCCTCTGATTTCTTCGACAATATCGTCAACATTCTGACAACTGCTCTCTCTCGTGCCTCAGATGCAACCGTGGCCCTTGAAGGAATCAACAAAGAATGCTCAAATCTCGGATTCTCGGGTACCAGTGCCGATGAGCTAGTTTCTGACATGAGACGTCATTTCCGCTCTGCACGTCTTGAGCTAGAGAGAGCTGTCCCGGGAGAGACACCGGATGTTGGTCTCGAGGACGGAAAGGCAACCCTGGGGGCTCTTGTCAAACGAGTCTCCTCCTTGGCAAGAGATCTGCAAGCAGAGCGCAAGCATCATCATGGCTCCCATGGCCGAGAGAAGGCGCTCCGAGGGCAGTTCGATAAATTACTCTATCGATATGAAGCAGCCGCAAACAAAATAGACAGCCTCGAAGACTCTATCGCATCTTCCGCAAGCGATATGCTTCACAACAGAATGAGACTCCAGGACCTCGAAAATGAAGACCAAGAGAAGGCCGTTGGGATTGACAGATTAAGCACTGCCCTCGAAAAATACCGCGACGACATGAAGGGCCTCGAGAACCTGGTGAGCAGGCTGGAAGATGAGAATGTTGCCGCCAAGGAAAAATATAAGCAGCAAATCGCCAAACTGAGGTATGAAGTGGCCCATGAGCGGAAGAAACGCTCAGCAATCGAAACATCGGCCTCGGGGTACGAAACACGGATCAGGCAGTTAGAAGAAACCGTCGAGCAGAACAGGATACATGTCTGTGATCTGATGGCACATGTTGAAATGCTGGAAAAAGAGCAGCAAATCGCCTCCGATGCTCTTGAAAAGAAAGCATATGAGCAAATGCAACAACACGAACAGGAGACGGGAGCATTGAACGTCCGCATCTCCGAGCTGAACACATCCCTCGAGGAGAAGAGATTAGAAGCAAACCGTCTGCGCCAGCTCAATGCTGGCTTGGAAGACCAGTTGCGGATGGAGGTCGAGGCTCGTGATGAGCTGCTCGACAAGTGGGCGGCAGAGCAAGCGCGTTCGTTTGCGTTCATGAAGGAGAGTGTCAACTCTGAGCGGCGACGAGCCAAGGTTCGTGCCGCCAACTGGGAGCTCAAATCGGACGATTTCATGTCTGACGGTATCGCCGTCATGGGAAGTGAGCCAATCACACCGGTCAGCATGACTCGCTTTGTTGATGTTGAGTATGGCCGAGGCAAGAACCGCAAGCGCATGGATAGCGGTATCGGGATCCTCTCGGAGGAGGAGCTTTTGAGCGACGAAATCGATCTGCGGCGTGAAATTGACTCGGATATTGACCTTCCCACTTCCGATTTCATCGATGTATAGATCTTTTTGATCTCCAGCTCCCTCCCTCCTTTCTCTCTATACTTTATTTTGTTGGAAATCGATTTGTACATAGGCGGCGATCTTTTCGTCCGATTTCTTTTGTTCTTATAACCTTTGCACATGGACCGAAAATGACTGGCAACAATTGACACCACTTTTCATTATTATTGCTCCTTGCTGGCCCCTTCTTGTTCGCCGACGAGTTGAGCACGGCTCTGGTTTTCCTAGATTCGTTATACAAATCCGGTTAAGCGGTGTTGCGTCGCAAGAGGAGTTGAACCTTAGCGGACTTTTATCTTCGTTCCCGGGACTCATTCGCTACCTGAACCTCCATAAGCGGTCCCTTGTAATACTTTCGAGCCCATCCAAAGTAATATACCACCGCAAAACTATCGCTCCCTTCAAAGAACAACGCTAAAGTTCACCTTCGAGGGCTCTGAATGAAGTTTTGCAGGCCAAAAGCCAAAAATCGTGAGAATGCCTGAAACAGAAAAAAAGTGCAACCATGTTATTCAACGTCCCCAGAATACCTCTTACTCGGAATGGCCCCCAGCTAAGCCCCTTATTCAAACCCTGGTTTGATTCCGATATATCTCCTCTGAGAACTGCCTCATCCATCGCTTCGTTGATACGATCGACTCTGCGCGGATCCAGACCGATGAGCTTGGGTGCAATCTCGGCAATAGCTGCGCGGACCCCCAGTGTATGAGCAGCAACAAAACTGGTGCCGAATGGTGTACTCTCCCCCCAGCCTTCAAGTCCATTTTGCGTGGCAACTCGGAAGATGGTTGCGTCGAAACTGCGGTATTCACGCCCTCCCGACAGGACGTACACTCCACCTGAGTAAGGTAGGTCCCTTTGGAAAACATCGATCTTTGTGATGAAGAGTTCCGACTTCCTTGCGAGGTGAGGTGGGTTAGACTCTGTTTGGGAAACTCGTTTTGATTTCGTCGCACGGGGTCGAGCCGGAGCAGATCATTCTATTTATTAGCCCTGGAGAACCAGTCATGGCATTGGCCAATCGTGGCTTCATTCGAAGTTGCATCAACAATAAGTTCAACGAGCCCTTGGCAGCGTTCAGTGCGCTCGGTATCTAGCCGCTGGGGAGAGAGGATTGCATTGCAATGTTTGACCAAAGGATGCTTGGCGGAGACTCGGGTCTCCCGAAGCAAGTAGCCGTGCATTTCGGGTCCAATAATCCGGTCAGAATGGAAAGCAATAGCCGGAAAAGGCTGCTTGAGACAAATTCCAGCAAATACCCCTTACAATGAGGATTCGTGTGTGCTGTTGAGCCGTGATGTGGATTGGGGTGGGAACAGAATGCGGAGCAGTCTGGAGACGTCGGCATCGTTCCCGAGTGACGGCCATCCCGCACTTTCGGCCCCGCCGAGCAACTGCGGCATTACTAAGCGCTGCCATCGCCGCCTGCCGGATAACTAAGTGCACTACTACTATTGAGAGGAGTAGTCTAGCTGCTCAGAATCATTGGCGAGATACTCCCAAAAATCTCAACGAAATGTCGAACCCAGCAGTGACCCACCGCCGCGCCTTTCGACGAACCGATAACTATACCCCCGGCACGCCCAAGTTGAAGTTTGTCCAGGAGGCCATGCCAGCTCTCGCCCCGACGGATGTTTTGATCAAGGTACACGCTGTAGCTCTCAACTATCGTGACGCCAATATCGCAAACGGAGGAAACCCATGGCCAGTTGTGCCTAATGGAATCTTATGCAACGATGCAGCGGGCGAAGTGATTGCCGTTGGCGACAAAGTCAAGACTTTGGCTATTGGCGACAGGGCTGGACCTATCACCGACACCGAAAATATCTCGGGGCGCGAAGTGAAGCGATCTTGGCTGGCAGCCGACGAAGATGGGGTTATGGCGGACCACGTAATATTTGACGAGAACGTTCTTTGCAAGCTTCCGGAGTATCTCGATTGGGTCGAGGCTGCTACTATTCCTTGTGCTGGCGTGACTGCCTGGTCGGCCTTGAAGGGCATGAGTATAGGACAAACAGTGCTGATCCAAGGTATGCTTACCACTCGTCAAGCTTCGCAGTGGCCTCGAAGACAGGAAAATGGCCCATTTGCTTACAGTTACATGTACATAGGAACTGGTGGCGTGAGCGTGTTTGCACTCAAGCTCGCCCAGGCTGCTGGTCTTCGCATTATTCTAACGTCTTCGAGCGACACCAAGCTTCTACAGATGAAAGAGAAATATCCGGCGATTCTGACCATCAACTACTCCAAGACACCAGACTGGGACCAAGAGGTTATGAAGCTCACTGGGGGCGAGGGCGTCGATATTGTTGTCGAAAATGGCGGAACCGGATCATTGGTCAAGAGCCTCCGGTGTACTCGGCGTGGTGGAATTGTAAGCCAGGTTGGCTACCTTTCGAAGCAGAACCCGGAGGATCTGCGGGAGCTGGTCCCGACAATTATCGATCGACGAATTAACCTGAGGGGCATCAATGCCGGCTCCAAGTTCGATATGGAAGACTTCTGTGCTGCTCTATCAGCCGCTCAGTCACGACTTCATGATTTAGTTGATAAGGTCTTCCCATTCGAGCAAGCCGAGGAAGCTGTGGAATATGTTTGGCAGGGGAAACAGATTGGCAAGATTGTTCTTCAGCTGTGATCGGCCGATTTTGGCACTCTATCTACCATGTAGCTATTCGATGGAACAAAACGATATATACCCGACCGCTATCATCGAAAATCTCTTCGGCACACTTGAAGAACCCGGAGGTTTTCATTTATTTTACTATCATTTCTGCGGGGCGAGTGGGGTTGGCAATTGCGTCGGCTTAGCCCCCCTGCAGAATACGAGATTTGTACTTATGGCACGAGCGGATTGGAGGCTCGGACCGGGTAAAAAGCGCAGATCAAAAGATTTTGCAACGCCGCGACTATGTCAGGTTACATCCAAGGATGTTTTAGGCATACGAAGGCAGTCCACAATTCGACTCTATATCTGTGGAAGCGCGGCCATTCTAAATTCTGCCACAGCCCAGAAATTTCTAGATGGGGATGAAATCGGCGATTGCAATCTGCATGGCTCTCACCTGTCCCTTGATATCCTCAAAACCTGTCCGCATCTTGAAGCATGGCTCACCAGAGTCAGTGGGTCTTCTATCTGGACCCTTGAAGCAGATGCAGATGAACCTGAGTGAATATACCTGCCCAGCAAATTATGGTTTACACTCCTACAACGAAGTACATCCGATCTTACCTGGGGCTCCGTTATTGTCGGCCACAAGGCAACGACCGTCAGTGCATTTGCCTTCGGTAACGCAAGCCTCTACACCAACTCCAATGGCACACTTCTCCCGCCTAATGAATGGATACCGGCGAAGGTGGAGACCATTTATGACATGGCTAGTTTGACAATATTCACAGCAATGGCCACACTGCGGGTGATTGACGAGGGCAAACTCATATGCACAAGCCGGTCGCGTCCTACCTGCCCGAATTTGCCGTCAACGGGAAGAGCAATGTCACTGTGCTGATGCTGCTTACCCATATCAGTGGGTTTCCTCCCGACCCTGAACCTGGGCTATAGCCTGGGCTATACGACCAACGCTACAGCAGCATGCATCAGCGAATCGAAGCAATCATCGAGCATAAATTGGCAAACCCGCTGGCTCGACCTATACGTACTCGGATTTGAATTTTATGAACTTGCGATTCATGTTAGAAGAAATCATGGGGGCCCCATTCGAGGACCTGGTACAGTCATTCACCAAGGATTTAGGAATGAACAGCACGTTCTTCAACAAGAGAAATGTCGGTGCCGAATCATTGCCCTTCTATCCACGGATGGTACCAACGGAGTATCAAATCGAAGTCCTGGGCCCCTCTGAGCCAGAACGCCCACAGCCAGTGCGGGGAACTGTCCACGACGAGAATGCCTGGGCTTTGGATGGCGTCAGTGGGCACGCAGGATTTTTCTCCTCTGTGGGCGATATCTCTATTCTCTGTCAAATGATTCTCAATAACGGAATATATAACGGCAGAAGAATCTTGACTTCACACAGCGTCAGTTTGATGTTTATCAACTTCAACGAGAAATTCCCTGGAGATGAGCACAGTATCGGGTTTGAGTTGAATCAGTTTTACTTCTCAGGCCCGATGGCCAATACGCTAGCTGAGGGCCACACTGGGTTCACGGGGACGTCACTGGTTGTTGATCGGGCATCAGACACGTTTATGGTGCTCTTAGCACATGCCGTTCACCCGAACAGAAATTGGTCAAGCAATAATATTGTTCGTGAGGCACTAGGCTACTGGGTAGCGCGCTCACTTGGTCGGGAAGTGGCTTTCCCCTCTTAGAATGTGATATATGGTGCTTCTTGCTTTCTATTCGTGACAGAGCTCCCCAGCAAGCGATCTTTACCTGTTTTGGTTTATCCTGCTTTCACGAAGGCGCTCAGATAGTAGACGTCAGTAAAAGTTATACAACATTAAACTTACAGTTCCCTACTAGATCTGCTACCACAGATAGTGGAGTATTTCTACCTTTTTCTGCTCCTAGTTATGCAGACCGTCATACTCGGGGTTGACAGGATCTGAGCTCCCGGGACCTCTCAGACTTGCAGCTTGACCGGGAAAAATGGTCCACACCTGTATACCCTGAAGTAACGGAATACTATGATATGCATGTGGACAGGGATTGCAAGATGTAAGATTGCCATAGATAAGAATGTTCACCACTTGAAGTAGCACAAAATGCACAGTTCCAATCGCACCAATCGACTCAGAATGCAAAACTAAATACTCTGAAAAGGAATGTTCACAAGAGCGATGTTGAACAGAATTGCAGAATCCTCCAACTATCTTCTTGAAGATTAACGCCAGAGAGTCATATTGAGAGAAGCCCCGACAGGGAATGGGGTTACACAGTATGCTAGAACTAGCAAGTTCTCTGGGGGCTTACTATCGGCTAGACTTCACAATGCTCTATGAAATCCCAGAGATCGGCCTCCATGGATCTGGTTTAGTAGGATGCCTCTTGATTTGCATTGCCACTGAGTACTTCTTCCATGTACTGAAGACTCGTGATAGTTACAATCTGAGCTCAGTTCTCCTCGTGTGAGCTTGTCGACTGTTTTAGACCTGCAATAAATAAATAAATAAATCGAAAATGGAAATTCGCACCGACGACAAGATACTTTGCAGATATGATCGCCTCTCTGAATCAAGCAATGCAATTTTTCCATAAGTAGAGAGGCCCGAATCTGATATAATGTCTTTCTGTAGACAGCTTCTTGCATTGACTCGGAGACAACTCCCGTCAACACATTGGATGAACTCAAGCCAGAGACTTTATGTCAACACTTTGACAGCTCACCATGCCACGAAAGATGACATTAGATGCTGTGATGTGACATTTGAGAATGCGGACGAGAGGAATTTGATTACCTACAAGGGTAGAATGGCATTCCAAGGTTGTTTAGAGGTTATACAAACAGATAGCCTATCCGGTCTTGTTGTCCGTGATTAAACATTATTCTCACCTACTGCAACAGTTTTGACTGTCCTTCACCCCATATTTTGAAAGTACCATGCACCAAAGTTCTTGTCATTTACCACTTTAACAGTGTTATACTTGTCTTCCATTATACAGCCTTCGATCCCATTATCAAACAACAACCCGTCAGAATAATCTTCTATTGACCAAGATTGCAGTGGCACTTCGTCTGAGCCTGACATGCATGCCCTTGTAAAGGCCGTGCAGATGAAGGGCGTTTGCGAAAAGGCCAAGGCCCATGCCTGATTGCGTAGAACCGATTTTCCCAAACTCCGCATACAGGGGATGCTCAGCGACATCAAAGTTCGCTACGCCATCACCACTGACGGATTCGAGGACCTTGGGCCTTTCGATCATTCCGATGTCAGCGGGTGCTCCTGGGAACTACCAGGACGGCTAATCGCCCCACCGGGCTCCAATAAAAGAGGTAACATGCAGCCATATCTTCTATACTTCCAATTCAACTGGCAAGCCGAAAGCAGTTCAGATTACCTACTTGCCTGAACATCTTGCTACCGCGACTACGGTCACTCCGCTCAAAGCAAATATTCGGGTCGCAGTGATCAATAACTCAGGCCATTGCCTGTCACTTTTTGAAGTGTAGGCGTTTCTTTCGGGTGCCTGCATTGCCGTTGTTTCGAGAGGTTGTCATTGACCCTCTTTCGTTCCGCGACTTTATCGCAGATTGCCATTGCCGCATGGGTGTTATGGGTCTGGCCTGCCCTACTGCTTTTCGAAATATTCGGGAGGTCCTGACTGCTGGTGAGGTTGCAAGTCCTCTTGCCATGCGAACGGTTCCAGAGTCAGGAGGGCCGCCCGAGCGTCTCTGGAACATCTACGGCCCAACTGAAACGACAACCTTCCCCGCCAATCCAACTTGTCATTCCCGGAGTGGCTCAACGCAAAAAGATTGGCATCAGTCGACCTCGCGGCGACAGTGTCTATTTGATAGATGAGCGCCTCACGCCGATTATCACCGTCGAGACACCCGGAGAGACCTTCATCGGTGGACCGCTAATGTATTCTGGCTACATCGGAAGACCAGAATAGATTGCGGCGCATTTCCTCGAATTTTCTGGATCGAAGCTAGGTATTGAGAATCGGGATATCGTACTTCTATAAAAGATAAGAAGTTTGGCACAGTGGAGAGACTACTCTCCCTGCATCCTTTATTTCATCGGACGAGTCGACCGACAAGTCAAACGAGATGGGTTCCGTGTGGAACTGGAGGGGATCGAACGGACACTGCTTTCTAGTGAATGGGGCACCGCAGTCATCGTGAAGCAAGTTCGGCATTATGAAAAGACAGCGTATTCCTCGTTGCATTCGCTACGAGTAGGGTGGCAGGAATTTCGAAGCGTCAGGTCCTTGCATGGGCGTCAGAACGAATGCCGTCATATATGGTACCGCGGGACATTGTGTTCTGCTCGAGCTTTCCTCTGACACCAAGCAACAAAACTGGATCTCAAATAATTTGGAGAAATCCTACTGGGAGGGATATGAAAAGGTGCAAAGACGACCGGCTAGGGGACTGAGAATACCAAGTTCATCGCCATGGTGCGAGACCTCTGATCTTCATTGCTTGGAGTGCTGACCATTAACGGCGAGATGACTTCTTTACCCTTGGAGTTCATCTATCAAATATGCGAGCTTGATTAGCAAGTTGTGGATAACGATGGGGAAAACAGTTTCCATGAGGGCACTACACCAGAATTCCCGGTTTATGGACTTTGCCGCCTATCTGACCGAGTTCGCTGAAGGGTCGCAACACATCAATGCGAGAAGTGGAAACAGGATTCCTGTCTGGCATATGGGTTCAGTGCCATCCCAGGAGAACGCCAGAATGGCTCTCAGAAGATGAACGCCGTGTTTTCATGACTCCAGCGACCGGATTCATCGGTGTTTATTTCCCTGCTCGACTTCTTCGTCAGCCCTCTGTTAAAAACGTCGCTTATCTCGTAAGGGCCAGAAATAATACAGGACCTCACCTCCAAGTCGAACAAGTCATGAAGAAGAATGATATGTAGGATACTACAGCTTCCAGATTTTCCAAGCTGGTAGTACTTGACGGCGATATCACCAAAGACAAACTTGGCCTTGGTCAGGATGATTTCGCTTGGCTTTTAGAGTGGGCTAGCGCTGTGTTCTCCTTGGGAACGAAAGTCGACTCTGCGTGTGATACGAAGCTCATTTCGAAGCGAAAGTCTTGGGTACGAAGCACGCGCTCTAGGTTGCTACCATCGGCCGACGGAAGTCATTCCATTTCACCTCTAGTATCGATGCATGGGGTCTGAATGGATTGATTGTGGGTACCCGTAAGTGCCTCGAGGTTGACACCCTTGAACCAAACCTGAAAGGACTTCCATACGATATTAGATACGCGGCCAGTAAGTGGGCAGCTGAACGATGGTGCATCTTGTGCGCGAACTGTCTTCCGACAGCCATTTATGGGCCTGGTTTCGTCATCGGAGACTCCAAAACGGGTGCAGGAAATCCGGACGATTTCTTCGCTCGCCTGATGGTTGTGTCGATTCAGCTTGGAGCATTTCCACATTTGCCTCGGCAAAGAATAGAATACGTGACGGCGGACAATGTCTGTGATGCGATGCTTCATATTGTTTTCAACAACGGAAATCAGGGCCATTCGTTCAGTCTTGTTGCTACCGACCCGTCGGTAAACCTGGAAAAGACGGTCGAGGTAATTAATGATGCTGGGCATCCTGTTGATAGAATCCCGTACTGGAACTGTGTGAAGAGACTCCACGCCCCTATGAACGTAGATAACCCGTTGATGCCCTTGATGCCTCTTTTGCAAGTGAAGGTCTGGGGTGAGTTGACGTGTTTTGGGACCAGTCGGAATACACATTGTGATTCGACCGTGGCTATGGCTGGTCTTGCAGATGCCCCAGATATCGGATATGTTCCCTTCAGTCCTGACCAACTGAACCAGTTCTTGGCTTCCTGGAAAGCGAAGGGCTTTTATGGTGTTTGAATTTTGTTTCCCTGGAAGTAGCTTTTTTTTCTCCAGTCTCTTGTTTCGAAACTCGACCTCTTAAGAATGTCTTGTGAAAGATGTGATTGATTGTTCAATACATTCTATGTAATAAAATTCAGATCTTGGTCATCGCGGGTATGTGGTATCACTATTAAAACTGAAATGCTAATGCGCAAAGCTCAACCGGCCCCATTTAGATCGCCGAAGGGCGCTGTTTCCCAGTCTCTGGCAGCGCGGCAGCTTCTGTCGCAGGCTGACCCACCTCAGAGGAGGTCCGAGAGTGGGAGAAAGGGGCAGTCTTGGGAGCTGCGCTACTGACCTTGGGCTCATGGCCAGGACGAGCAAAAAGAGCTCCGGCGAGGTTGAGCAAGTTGCTGATCCGCAGGGCCATTTGATAGGCTAGCGTCAAACTGGTCACGACGATCTCTTCCTGCAACTCCTGACTATGTGCCATCGGCCCCATGAATTCGATTCGACCGATTTGTTTCAGCCCCCAGAGATTCATGGTGAGCTTGGCGACGGGCAACTGTTGTTCATCGCAGCAGATAAAGTCCCACTTGGTGAAGTTGCTGTCGCTGTACCAAGTCAAGGTAACGGGCTTGTCAGTGGTGGATGCCGCGACGGAGCGATGCGCATATGAAGTCTTCAGCCGGCTCTGCGCGACAATTTGGTCTTTGCGCCCGTGGAGTTCATAGTCGGCGTCGATGCTGACCACGCCCATGCGCCCGAGGCCGAATATTTCGCCATTGGCATAGTGCTTGAATTTGAGACCGGCTTTGATGATTTGGTAGTCGACGACGTAGAGAGGGTCTGCATTGGGGGTATTCTCGTTGGAGATAAGCGATTTGAACTTGCGCCAGCCAAAGTCGATACTAAGTCGGGGAGGTGAGCTCTCGGGAGCTTGGGGAACATTGGTAGAATTTGAAGGTTCGGCAGAGGGTTCCATTATGGCGAGCAGAGAGCGCGTTTCTTGCGTTGTGTCCAAGTTGTGTTCCCAGAGATTAATGCTGAAACAAATATGAATTCAGCGGCCTCTCGAGCAGTCCGGTCGGGGGCGCTTTATACGAGACTCGGCTTTCGTATTTTGGGGCTGTTTCGTGCCGTCCCAACAGGGTCTCTTGACTAGATCCACTGCGCCCAAGATACCGCTTGGGGGCGCAGTTTGGCTAGGCGCTTATCCCTTTCCCATTGCAGAACCACGCAGCACTGCAGCCAATCGCGAGGGTCGGTGCTGTTGGAGGTTGGATGGTCTCCGCGCCCGCTCAGCCCTGCGTGATGTCACGGCCCCCAAATCGCGATGGGGCAACACTCACGACCGAAGCTATCTTGGCTTTAAGCGGCTGAGCAGCTTTTTAGCTATACTTAGCCTGCAAGGCTTGGTCAATACTGTGTCCCGAGTGGCCTAAAGGCTAAAGGAATGCTCTAGTGGCATTGAGAGAGTTTCTTGCGGAGTGTGAGGAAAGATTAAGGATTAAGGTTGGAAGATGCACGGGCAAAGCCATGATGGCGGCACGACGTCAAGACCACACGCGCCACGAGGCCGGTTTCGAACTTTACAACATCCACTGATTGACACGACCACCCACGCATAAATAGCTTTCTTGTAGACAGCCAGAATTAATTTCACCTGCAGCTGAATTATTAGAAGCTATGGCTCCGCAATCCGAACCCTCGAAATACCGCCTTAGGGTGACAGCCGGCCCCGACTATGACCAGGCCACCCACCAGCTAGTCGCAGTCAACGACAAGACGCTGCACTTCGACAGCGATCGAGCAGCAGTAGACGTGCATGTCCATATCCAGGACTACGCAGGTAACGATTGGAGACCGAATGGTATCCGAAACACGTATGCTGACTGAACACCAGGATTCCCCGACAACTCGCCCTCCACTAGCCCATATTTCTCACAACCGCTTCATACAAAAGATCAATATTCTATATCGTGCTCGTTCACTCCCAAACAAAATATTAGCGGCAACGACTTACTCTGGGGGAATGATTTCGACCAGCCTATTCGCGATCGCCTGCCAATGGGTTTCAATACTGCTTTCAAGACAGCCAAGTGGGTCATCGACCCATCGCTAGACGGCGATGCTTATGCCGACAAGCCGTATCTTTATAGTCCTGCCCTGGCAACATGGAACCAGTTCCGTATTGGTGGAAAATACGACAAGTCAACGCCGAAGTTAACGAGTGAGTATGTTGTTGAGGAAGGGGCTGATGGAGACGGCGTGCAGAGTCGCAGCCAGCTTCAGATCTCTGATGATACGGCAAAAGCCCGGCGGAGCCATTTTCAAAAGGAAGAGCATCGCAAGGCTTTTGAGTTCGAGGCTGGGAGGTCGTATATGGCGGACTTTGGCAATGGGTATCTTTCTTTCAGTGGTAAGGCTCTCTCATCTTGTGTCGTGCATTAGGCCACGCTTGCTAACACCGCTTGCAGATATGTCGATTCATTTGCCCGGGATTACCATCCCAGTAGCTGGCATGGTTGACGATAAGCTCAACCAACTGCGATATGTTCTCAAGAACACGAGAACTGGCGAGGTATACCTTGTCGTGTTCTTTACTCTTGTCTGGAACCAGGTGGAACAGACGTCAGAGCAAGATGTAGACTAGACGATGACGCTCAAGAGGTACCTTTGATATTGTATATACAGTCTTCCACAGATTCTTGCTTCAAGATAACTTAACTCGCTTTTATTTTCAAACGCTTATTCTCCTTGGAACACCTGCGCATCCCAATAATCTATATACAATCTCAATTCTTACAGACGCTTCAGAACATCTTCCAGAACCTCAGTGGTAGAGGCCTTGCCGCCCATGTCGGGGGAGAGGAATTTGGCCTCGTCCAGGTTGGCATCGACAGCGGTATAGATCTTAGCAGCGGCGTTCGCCTCGCCGAGGAACTCGAGCATCAGAGCAACGGAGCGCAAGGTAGCGATGGGATTGGCAATGTTCTTGCCCTCGATGTCAGGGGCACTACCGTGGCAGGGCTCACCGATAGCGAAGCCGTCACCGACGTTGGCGCTGGGAACCAGACCCAGGGAGCCGACCAGAGCAGCAGCGCCATCAGACAGAATGTCACCGTACAGGTTGGGGGCGACAATGACATCGTAGTACTCGGGCTGACGGAAGAGCTTGTATACCATGGAGTCGACGATCTGCTCCTCGACCAGGACAGAGGAGAACTTCTCGGCGGCCAGGGCCTTGCGCGCGGTCTCGCGGAACAGACCGTCGGTCTGCGACAGCACGTTCGACTTGTGGGTGATGGTCACCATGGGCTGGTCGCGGGTGGAAGTGGCCGGGGCAGCGGCGCGGATCTTCTGGCGGCGCAGAGCAATCTCACCGGCGATGGTGGAGATGCGCGAGGAGGCATTTTCGGAGATGCGCTTGATGGCCTCGGCGACCTTGCCGTTGGGGCCCTCGATGGTTTTCTCCTCCTTCACGTACAGGTCCTCGGTGTTCTCGCGGACAATAACGAGGTCGATGGGGTTGCCATTGCTGCTGCCGATGGTGGTCTTGACGGGGCGGACGTTGGCGTACAGATCGAGCTTCTTGCGAAGGGCGACGATGGGGGAGGAGTAGCCGGCGACCTTGGTGCTGGGGGAGCTGCAGGAGGACAACGTATTAATTGGGTATTTAAGAAGAGTTTGGGTATACACTGCAACTCACCTGACGGCACCAAACAGCGCACCGTCACACTCTTTCTTCAGGGTGTCAACGGTCTTGTCCGGCAGGGCGGTGCCGGTTTTCTGGAAGCAGTCGTAACCGGCCTCCAGGTCGACGAAGCTGAACTTGAGGTTCAGAGAAGAGGGCAGGGCCTCAAGGACCCGACGGCCGGCCTGTATTTTGTCAATTTATCGTCCGGACAGCGAATTGACCTGGTTAGGCCTGTCGGAAGGAGCGACGTACCGGGATGACCTCCCGTCCGATACCGTCTCCGGGGATAAGTCCTATAATAGAGCAATGAGCACGAATTCACAAATACCGAGCACAGAATGAGCAGATCAGCTTACCAATGCGAAGAGTCCGAGCAGCAGCAGCCATGACGAATTGATATTGGGGATGCTTCTGTCTTCGAACGTCGCCGTCATCGGAGCTTTTTCTTTTGTATCCCGCAGCCCGGATGATCAATGATCCGGCCACGCTCCGGTCCGGAGTAAAGACGCTGTCGCCATCGTCAACTGTTTTCGCAACTATGATGGTCATCAAAAATTCAATAGTAATGAGAAATTTACTCTAATCTATGAAAAAGCTTTCCAGCTCGATAACTTAGCTGGCTGAATCGCCTCTCCACATTATCCTGCGGGTGAATATTTAGACTCGAGTCGGCCAAGTCAGAAATCACTACCTAATTGGGACAGTTCTCGCGAGCAGCATAGACTGCCACTGAGTGGCTGATCCATGCGCTGACTCCGATTAGTGCCCCGATTTTCCACTGTCACTTTCGTGTGGCTCTGGCGCTCGTACTGAGCCACTTGACTCGTGCTTTTTCGCAGTAGATTTTAGAGTTCCACCGTCTGAATGCCCACGCTAAACCCGAAGTGGTCAGTATCCGCGATGCTCCACCGGAAAAGATCTACCCAGTATACATTGGTAGAACATGGTCAAAAGAGAGTAGAACAGATATTTAAGGCGGGAGAAACCCAGTATATCTCTCTCAGAACTCACTCAATTGACCATTTATTTTCTATATGAATATATTATTGTGTGTTATTCGATCATCATGTCAAACCATTTGTTCACACGCTCGGCAGATGTCTCCATCTCAACAGGAAGGCGGAACTTTGCAATTGCAGATCTCATCCTGTTCTCTATCATCCATCTGATCCAGATGCCCATTCGTTACAAGCAAGAATGGAAGTACTGGCATCATCGGAAGAAGAGACACCCAGGACGCTGCTTCACCTACTCTTGGTTCAGCATGATTGGACTGCTTTCTCAACGTGGGTAGAAGTGATCTGACAAAGATAAGAGTGGTCACAAACTAATGGGAACTATGGCAGTTCGCATTGCGAGCTCTGCTATGGTGATTTCTACAAATCATACCAACAAGTCGATGCTCATTGCCGAGTCCTGCTTGCAAAGCGTTGGCCTTTCGCCGCTTTTATTTGAAGTCAGTTTGGTCCTTTTGCGAAGGTACGTATGGCATTGTCCGAATTGCTGTAGATCCCCCTACTTTTTCAGATGGACAAATAAGCTAACAAGCAATTCACATCACAGCGGACAAGCAGGAGAATACGGACGCGGAAATTCGAAATGGACCCTGCCAATCCGAATCGCGCTGCACGGGTTCCGATTTCCGGTCTTTATTTCGATTGTTCTTGCAGTGGTGGGTGGGATCATCGACATTCATCCTTGCGGAGAAGCTGGTTCGGCTGTCCTCGTCGTCACTTTTGTGTTCGTCTGTGGTTTGGTCGGATGGCTCGCTGTCAGGTCTCGGTCGACTCTGCCTGTGGCGGGTCACCGTGGCATCTTGTTGACGGCAATGACTCTCCCCTTCCTTCTGGTACGAATCATTTACTTCCTTTTGCAGGAGTACGGCCCTTCGATGTTCAGTCCGGCTTCAGGGAGCATCAGAATCCTGGTTGGTATGGGACTCCTGATGGAGATTATCGTTATCAGTCTTTTGCTGGTGGCCCGTGGAGTGATCGAGCCGATCCTTGGATCGACTGAGAACAAGAGGCATATTTTGTCTGACAATGCGGGATGGGCTCGAAACTGAGAATGGAGAAACAAATCCCGACGTTTATAGCAAATAATATCCCAATGTTAAAATTCTTTTGGAAAAAGAAAATAGTTTGCGTGGTTTTCTTTCTTCCTCCTTTGAGACTTGGATCATGACATCTCCGCGTGATTCTCTGGACTAGCCGCAGCGTAGATTTTGGAAAACTCTTGCAGGCGAGCTATGATCCATGTCTTGGTCGCAGGATCGGCGACTTCAATAGCCACCCGTAGGGGAAAACCCAATCTGTAAGGACCGAGTACCCCGATGCTGCAATATTCGACGGACTTGCAGATTTGATCTCGGAAATAGATTGTCATAGGAGCATGAAGACCAGGATAGGAAAAGGTTCGCAAAACCTCGTGGATGATCACCTTATAGGAGTAATACCCGCAAAATATGATGGCGTAGATCATGTCGGAGTAGGTGAGAACGACAGGAAACATCTCGTCATTCTTGAGAGAGGGGGCCTCGACAGGCTGTGGGGCTATTTTCTCAAATTTTTTGTACCACGCACCGACTTTATCCTGTAGCTGAAGAGCCTGCTCAAGTGCCACTGAAATAATCTGCAGAGCCTCGGGGCTGGAAACATCCATTTCCTTCAGGCGATAGAGTTTGTGCACGAGGCTTGGGGTATATGTGAAAAGGGCGAAGAATTCTTCAATAACTTCATGAAGGTCTTTTCGCATATCTGGCGTGTATTGCTGTCGCATCATCTGATGCCATTCTTCCGAAGCCAGAAAGCAATCTTCCCCGGCGAACATCGAGTGCATGACCTGTTCACGGTTAGAGGACGGTTGGATGTAAGCAACTCAAATTGGAAGGACCACATACTATCAGCCCTCGTGAAGTCTTCAGGAGGCTAATGTCGAGGGTATTTCGGTAACGATCAGGGCCCCTAGCCTTGATCAACTGGCCGAGTCCTTTGGCATGTTTCATCCAGGACTCGGGATTTTCGGTGTCCGTAAAAAGCTGGCTCGCCATTAGAATGAGGTGCCTTTACGAGTCAAGTTTCAAGGCCAGGTGAGCCTTACCTCGTACATGCATAGTAACACCACGGCACAGAAAACGTGCGAGGAAAGGCTTTCGGATGGGCTCTGCAGTGACTTGCGCAGACGATACAAGGCCTCCCCATAGGAGCATCGAGCATAGGCAACCATCTGATCATTGTGAAGGACCTTGCCAAAATGATGAGCCATGAAAGACTTTATCGTAGCATCGAGTGTCTGGCTACGGCCGTAGACAGACGGAAGGAACCCAAACCAATGCGAAACGACATTGTTCTGAGTTGTCGGGACAGGTTGAGAAAAATCATCAATAAGGGCATTGAGGCTCTGCAGCACGTTTAAATCCGAAGACACCAAAGTTGATGATAGCTTCTCTCTCGGAAGCACCAGCAACCCTGATCCGGAGGAATCGCTTGATGCATTTGGTGATGTCGAGCCGGACTGTTTTCCGGATGTACTGCTATCTCCGGAGACTTGCTGCTTCCTCTTAGTTCGGTAGGGCTTGCCCGGTATGAACTTGAAACCCTTGTCATATCCCGGGCAAGGCTTGCCATACGTCTCGCATTTGGCGCAGCCAGGCTGCCTCTCGTCACACTAGTAGCATGTCAGTCACTGATGCACTCTGCCAACCGCAATTTCTCTCCTCGGCACATACTTTGACGCGGCGCTTCACACACTGACGACAACCACTGCTGCGAGGGACCCCAACCATCGTCTCGCATTTCGGATCACCCGTGAGAAAGCACTTTATGGGAGCTCGTATTCATCCAGGCCACACTCAATCTTAGTCAGCGACCCCGGCGATATGTTCCGCCGGTCCGCGCTGGCGTTTGTTGATTTGTTTACATCCACGCAGTCCCCGACGTTTGCAGCGCTATCCCGGCTCTTTCTTTGGATAAGCCACCAATCGTAAATTCAAGTCGCACTGGCTAACAGGAAATGCATGGAGGGCCTTCTTTTTTCCATTAAATGGCAATTTCACTCCCATCTCTTGCGAATTTCTCTTTACAATCTGTAAGGTACTCACGGCCACCTTGCAGATCGGACTGGACACCGGAAGATCCAGAATGCATGTAATAAATGTAGCCCAACGCGGAGCCCCTCCATTACGCGCATCGCGGGGGAAGTCTTCCCGATCGACCCCGGACCATGGATTCTTACGATCGGAGGCGCAGATCCGTGTTTCGATCTCCAATACCCGGTATCCCTTGTTGACATTTTGATAGTTCCGACGTTGATAGTTATAAAGACCCTAGAATAACCTTACATACCCTAGGGCAGCCCTAAGCTACGATCGCTATACCTGTCCATACTCTGAAATTGTCACCCACACTTTGCCGAGGCTCGCCTAAAACGTAAGAACCAGAGTCGCCCAGGGTAGAAACGGCCAGCCCGTCAAACGAGATGAGCAGGAGTGCCCTCAGGGGGCCATGAAATCATGAAAACCCACCCGCCGCCACAGACAGATGGCACCCCCTGAAAACGAGGTGCGCGGAGGACGGAGCAAAATGCAGGCGGACCCATCGCCTGCGCTAATCGTCACTAGTGCCTTAGTTTCCTGATCGACCCTTCTTCACGCCTCCCCCTTCGACATCCTCGGAAACACCGTGTTCACTCTCGCACTTGAGGAGGGGTCTGTGTCTGTATATCCCGTACTGCCTTGTTCCACCACAGCCGCGCCCCAGTGCGCCCACGCCTGCTGTCCTTCACCTCCCCTCCGCGCCTGCGTCTGAGGCCCCTGACCGCTCCGCAACCCCATCTACCATGTCCGACAACAACGCGCACCCCGGGGTCCGCAGCTTGCTGGCCAAGTTCGAAAGCAGCGAAAGCCCCGTGGCATCGCCCCCGTCGCGAGGAAGAACCCCCGTGCCCGCCGATACCCCCGGATCGTCGACCACACGCCCGCTGTCGCGCGTCCGCGCCAGCTTCGTGACGGTCGAAGGAGCCATTCAATCCAACCCGGGCTCGCCATTGCGCAAGACCAGTGGACGCAGTGATAGCCCGGGCATGTTCGGCCCTAAGATCAACCACGAGGACGTCGAGGCACGCCGGCAAAACGTGATCTCTCCAACACCTGCGGGCGGCAATGACAACGGCCAAACAAGCACCATGGACCAGGCGATCAATGGGGTCCAGAAGGAAACTGCAGCCATGAGCCTGGAAGACAAGGATGTTCCCAAGGAACAACCTCCATCCCGAGTGGTGAGCGGAGCCTCTTCGGAAGCCGCTTCTGTGAAGAACAATAACCCCGCTGAGTCTGTACCAGCGCCTGCTGCTACCTCTACTGCCTCCTCTGCTGCCCCGGCTGAGAAACCGACCGCGAAGACTGTGACGAAGCGGCCCTCCAACAACCACGGCGCTAAGAACAGTGCGCCGAGCAAGCCTGTCTCGGCTTCCACTGCAGCTGCCGCGAAGTCCCCCACGAGTGCAACCGCAAAGCCCACTTCGGCCCGCGAACTGGCCAAAGAGCGATCCAACGCGAATGCGATTGTTCACAAGTCGAGCCGTGCCTCTCTGAACCCTACCACCAAGCCTGCCTCTCGAACCACCCGCGGCTCGACACCAGCCCAAGCGGGCCCCAAGACGTCGACCTCGAGTCAGCCGAGCAGCAAGCCTCGTACAAAGTCACCTACCAGGCCCGCTCATCTACCCGCCTCTGCAACTGCATCAACCGCTGCATCTTCTGCTAAATTGGGTAACACAGGTGCCTCGAATGGACGCACCACCACTACCTCAACCCTCACACGCAAGCCATCTTCTCTCAAGAGTGCAGCTAATGCAAGCTCGACAAGGGCATCTGGTGCGACTTCGGGTGTTCGGAGGCAGTCTTCTCGGCCGTCCCTCGCCTCACAGCCTGCGCAAGAACGCCCGAGCTCACGGGCTAGTGACACGGGCTCTAAGCCTGTCAACGAAGGCTTCCTCGCGAGAATGATGCGCCCTACTGCCAGTTCCGCCAGTAAGACCCACGAGAAGCCGGAATCCAAGAACTCTCAGAAGAGCACTTCTGCTCCATCCAAGCCCACGAACCGACGAGTCTCGGATCGTGGCACGGCCCAGCCAAAGGCCAGGCCAGCTGCTCTGAGACCACAGACCGAGAAGTCGCAGGCATCTAACAAGGAGAAACTGGCGCCTCAAAAACAGGAGGCGAAGGCTCCCCAGAAGAAGAAGCAGGAGAGCGGGAAGGAGAATGTGGAGGCCGTTGCACCGAAGGTGGAAGAGCCAGTGACTGTCGAGGCCCAGGTTACCATCATGGAGCAACCCGAACTTGAAACCCCAGCGGATTCAGATGCCACCAGCGAGAAGCCGGAGCCTGTTGAGACAGAGAGTCCTGAGGCTACTACCAAGGCTGTTGAGCCCGCTCCCAAGCCAGTCGCTGAGCCAGCTGAGCCAACCCCTGCTCAGGAAACTGCTGAGGCTCCGGTTGAGGCTCCGGCTGAAGCTCCGGCCGAGGTTCTCGTGGAGGCATCGGTCGAGGAGGCGAAGGAGGACAGTGAGACTCCTGTTCAGCCTGCCGAGGCGGTCGAACCCGCGGCTGAAGCCCCCGCGGAAAAGGAAGCTCCAGGGGAGAATGTGACAGAGACTGAGGTCTCGACCACCGAAGGTACTCCTGCCAAGACTATTGTTGCTGAAGCGAACGAAGCTGAAGCCGTTTCTGAGAAGCCTGTTGAGACAGCTAACCAGGATGTTCCCGAACCCACCGCCGTTGAGCAGGTGCCCTCCAAGGCCGAGGTCGAAGCTCCCGAAGCTTCTCAGCCCATTGACTCTCCTGCTCAGGTCGAGGAGACTGCTCCTGAGCCTGCGACGGACAATGTCACCCCTGATGTCCCAGCTGAGCCTATCGACGAGGCCCATTCCAAAGAGCCTGTCCAAACCGAGGATTCTACGCCTCAGGTGACGTCGGATACAGTTGATATCGACTTTGCCAACCAGCTGAGCTAAACTCATCTTTTGTTCAGTCTATACTAGATACTACCTCAGTGTAGTTTTCTTGCATTGTTCCATTCTCATACGCCGGGGCCCCCATCATATAATCCTTACTGTGTTATACCCTTCACCCTTCTCTCCTCCTTTTCTGATTGGTACATCTTCTATCCGAATGTTTCGGGCCTTTTTTTATTCTCTTCTGGGGGTTCATTGTTCTTTCATCACCCAGTTGGCTCTGGGGTCATTGCAAATGGCCTATTTGTCAGATTGGCTTTCATTTTATTTTCGTGAGCATGGCTTTTCTTGAGCGTTTCAGAGCATTCTTCGGGTTGAGCATTGTTTTTACTTGTCATTTACTTCTGAGAAAACGTGCCTTGTACTTTTATAAATGCAATGCTACTTGGGCTTTTTAACTCTTTTCTAAAGGTGTAGTTCCACCGACGATTCTATTCCAAATGCAACCGTCCTGTGGTCATAGATGCAAACTCACACTTCTGTCAGGTCAAAAGCTACGACATATGTAGTCTCAAGCCGCATGATATGGATAAGGGAGAACAATTTGATACATGAAACGCTTTAAAAATCTTTTAGGCTTCTCTTCAAGATTCAATTCATCCAGGTCAAGCCTTCCAGTCATCGGCTTTAGAGTTTCTTCTCCAATTTCTTGAAGAATCGATTCACTCCACTCTCCAGCTTCTCTGCCTTATCCTCAAACCTCCTGGGTCTCGAACCAGCGTTCTTCATGGTCTTTTGCGAGTGTTTGTAGACATGCGAGTTGGCCTCCGTCTCTGTCGGTTTGTACAATTGATTATGGATATCATACTCATTTGCGTCGGGTTGCTGCGGCTGCTGTTGAGATTTGTCGTACGAAAAGTTCGCGTATCCGGCAATTTGGACGGCTGGGTTCTGTTGTGGAGGAGACTGCGGCGAGCCGTACATTTGCTGCTGCGCTTTCTGTTGTGCCTGTTGTTGCGCTTGTTGCTGTGCTTGCTGCTGTACATAGAGATGGGCGTTGGGATCCTGTGGCGGGGGCGCAAAAGACAATGTTGACCCCGGTGTACTAGGTGTACATTGCTGACCTCCAGGCTGGAACGGCTGTTGGGAGGTAGGGAGTCCTGGGCTCTGGATAGAGGAGCGTGTTGAGAACGTTGCTGGATTTGTCAGGCCCGCACTGGGTGGGGGCGAAGCGTAGCCTGTTGGTGCATTTGCGATTACAGGTGGACCTGTGTATGGCAAGCCCTGGGAAACCGGAGGAGGCGAAAAGGCCGCCATGCCCACCGGTGCGCCGAATTGTGAAGGCGGAGTATATGGCACGCCATTGTCGGCCGCTGCTGCCGCCGCCAAGCCGGTACCATCGGTGCCGTCTTCAGGGGGCGGAGTCTTCTCGCGGTGCTTGATCGGCTCTGGTGCTGCAGGCGCGGCTGGGTTGTATGGCAGTGGTGCGAAGCTTTCCGGTTCTTTCTGTCCTTCTATCGCCTGCTGTTGGTCGGCGGTTGGACCGCTTGGGGGCGGCGGAGGGAATCTAGGAACCTGCTGGAAGCCTTGTGTGGCTGGCAGGGTTGCAGAAGGAGCCTCGGTTCTTGAGTTGGGTGTCTGGCCGTTCTGGTAGGCTGGATCTGATACGGCGACATTTTCGAGCTGCTGTACGACCGAGCTCATCGGCTGGTCTGACTGTGCCGATCGATCGGTCTCCAGCTGAGACGTAGCTAGTACCCGACCGATCACGTCGAGGAATTGGTTGGCATCTTCCAGTGTCCAGAAGTAGATATCCAGTGTGTGCAAACGCAGCAGGCTGTGGCGCTCATTGCGGGGATCTCCACTCGGCAGTCGCCATTCGTAGTGGGCAGGTTGCTGAGGCGAGCCCAGTCCGTCGACTGTCAAGGTACACTGAGTAGGGAATTGGCTCGAATTTCGAATGTGAATGTTGTCCAGGCCACCGTGGAAGGCATCCTGATCCTGAGTTCCCGGGTTGTTGGCGATCTCGATGCGAGCCTTGTTGTCGGCGTCGTCGTAGTAGATATATAGATAGGAGCCCTTATCAAAACGATGATGCAGAGGCTTTGGAGTCGGGGCCGTGAAATAATAATGAATGTCGGCGAAACTGGCAGATTACACCGTCAGAGCCCTTCACATCACTGTTACTGCGCTGTTTGCGGGGAAAGTCAGCTTCGACTCACACTGTCAGAAGACGCTCTTCGCCCGGTAGCGGAGGCATAGTAGCCCGTTAGGAGAAGGTGAGGTTGGCGGAACGAAAACAGATTTCTAGGGGACAGGGGAAAGAAGTGGGAGTGAACGCTGGAAACTTACGATTATGCGGCTGCCTTTATAAGGCGCATGGAGGGGCCGGTGTTCGTCCTGTGAGAATGCAGCTGCAGCCGCCGAGTGTGATGGCGCTAAGCAGTGTGACGAGAAAGGTACCGAGTACTTGGTTAATAGTACATTAATTGCAGGTGGGACAGGTATTGGGTACCTTCCAGCATGTATAGTGTTAGTGCTAGTAGCATTGGCACTTCCCAGCGGAGAGCTGTCCGGCTCCGGCGCCACATTTCTCCGAAAATTTCCATCGCGTTTCACCACGCATTGCGGACTTGGACCTGATCAACTCAACGCCGATTCGTTGCCCACACACGTCGTCGAAGCTCTTTGTGACGCTCTCCATTCCATCTCCGCCTCGCCCGGAATCCGATTCTCGTCTTTATTACACCGCCTGTCCTTTTGGCATCCATCATCTCCCCAGCACTTTTTCCTCTTCCCTGAACCACGGCCCACGGAAGGGCCAATTGCGCCTGCAGTCAATCAGAATGTCTCTCGTCAACCTCGCCCACGTTTGCTCCCACCTGAACAATGCCACCAAGGCTCGTCTCAGTCTCACCTCTATCCCCAACAGCAACCTCCACCTGAAGCTGTGTCTCGCCATGCAGAACTCCGGCTACCTCTCCTCCGTCGTTCGCGGAGGGCCGACTCCTCCACCCGCCCACCCGATCCTGGGATATCCAGCTGCCAATGACGAGGCTGAAGGTGTGGAGGCGGTCACACGCGATAACGTTGCCTCGCGACGCCTCTGGCTCGGTCTGAAGTACTGGAAGAACGAATCTGTCCTCGGAAAGGTCAAGATGGTCAGCAAGCCCACACGCCGAGTGAATATCGATGTTGAGGGTTTGCGACGGGTCGTCCGTGGTGAGGATGCTGGCTCCGTAGGTGGACTGCGCTCACCCGGTGAGAGTCTGTTCCTGTCGACAGACCGCGGTATTCTCGAGGCGCGCGAGTGTGTGGAGAAGAAGATCGGTGGCCTGGTCCTGTGCCGCGTACTCTAAGCGTTGGTGCTTCATACTATGTGACTCGCAATCGGGTGACCATGTCTGTCTTGTTGGGAGGGATGAGTCGGGACACCAGTCCCGATATTTCTTTTTGCATTTACTTTGGCGTTTGTCGGTTTGTCGCAGCGGGGCCTTCTCTTGAGGCTCGATTCTTTTTGGTGCGACTGAAATAATTGCCTCGATCGAGGATCTGTATATTAGATGTGTGTGCGTTTATCGCATTCCCTGCACTACATGCACGCAGGGTGGTCGGAGCCCTGGAGCGACGCCATGTATAGACTACGACTTGAAACAGGTTCAGATTCCCCTTCCCTCTCTTTCGGTTTGACCCAGTTTGATTTAAGACCTCAGTATTAATCTCCATGGCTTAAATGCCTGTAGACGTGACATCGGACCACGGCACGACGTGTGATGGCACATACTTTGTCACGGGCCTGACCGATTGATTCGATCCCTTGTTAGCCGCCCGCCAGCTTCAGCTTCCCACGCAAACCAAAACGTGCATCTCGCTCACGAAGGAAACAGACAAAGATACATTCCCGTAATGGCAGGCATATTGAAATCGAAAAAGATCCTTATCTCTGGGGGCACCGGCTTTGTCGGCTCAGCCACCGTACGTGCCCTGGCAGCCAAACATCCCAGCTGCGCCATTACCGTCATCGATCAGAGTCCACCTCGGCCGCAGCATGCGCTCCCAGCAGAAATTACATGCATGCAGGTGGATATCACTACGGCAGAAGAAGTCAGCAAGGCTTTCCAGGCCGTTGAGCCTGACGTCGTTGTCCACACCGCAGGTATTGTACCGACCCTCGCAGACCGTTTCGGCCGAAGGCTGGAGCCCCAGGTGTGGAGGGTCAATGTCGAGGGCACGCGCAATATGTTGAATGCGGCCGCCGAAACTAATGTGAAGGCCTTTGTTTATACGAGCACTTGCTGTGTGGTGACGGATGACATGAGCACATCATACTTCAATATCGACGAAAGATGGCCACCGTCTGAGAGATCTCTCATCTATGGCGAATCAAAGGTTGTATAATCTTCTCCAAAACCGACACCCTCTTGCTGACAGGGAGTGACACAGGCCGCAGCCGAAGCACTCGTCCTCGAGGCAGACTGCACCACGATGGCGACTTGTTCCCTCCGGCCATCCGTTTTGTGCGGAGAAGGAGATTATCAGCTGGTTCCGGCCATCCACGCGTGTATTGCCAAGTACGAGACGCCCTTTATCATTGGCGATGGACTCAATTTGTGGGATGTGACCCACGTGGGCAATGTCGCGGACGCCCATGTCCTCGCCGTGGAGAATCTGGTGACCTCGCGGACGGCTGCCGGCGAGGCGTTCTTCATTCAGAATAATGAGCCCATCACCTTTCGTGATTTCTGCCTCGCTATCTGGGCACACTTCGGGCACATCCCGCCCTTCGAAGTTCGAGTCCCGGAATCGCTGGCCTACTTTGCAGGATTACTGTGCGAGATAGCGACCTGGGTGACTGGCACCACCACCACCCTAAGTCGGGGAAGTGTGCGAGATGCATGTGCCATTCGATACGCAAGTGGGGAAAAGGCCAGAGCCATATTGGGGTACGAAGCTCGCATCGGTATAGAAGACGCGATCCGTCTGAGTTGCGAGGTAAGCAGAACACAAATGATCCGAAATCCTGCAGTTGAAGAAGTAGCCGGAGTGGACAGCTCATGTACAGAAATGCAGGAATATGCCCGCCGTATCGGCGTTGAGCGACATACCAACAACCCCTAGGCACGAATTGGCTTGTGGTGCGGGAACTCGACTGCTGGCGCGTGGGTCACTCATCTACATGACGAACATTGAGATAAACTTTTTGATCCTAGCGATGGCTGAGGGATGATCCCTTGCAATTAAAACCGATCCATATGAGCGCCCAGTCCTCGTTGATTTAAGAGGCGCCCGCTGACTCTTCTGGTCAATCTCTCGCAACCTGCAGCCTCTCTTGAACGTCTAGGAAGCGGTCTTGCGGAGAATGTAAGACATTGGGCCGTCCATTGGGCTGCAAGCCCATCCCCAACCAGGAAACCTCCAAGCGGCTCTCCACCGGTCCTGGTATGGGGAGAAGTCGATCGCGGTCGAGATATTGACATGGCCCATGCGCTGATTGGGCGACAATCACCTTGCCTGCCCGATCGCGAACCCAGCGATCGTGCCTGGTCGAAGCATCAAGTACGGTACTCTGTACAGAACGAAACCCCATCTGCCGAGGACGGCACTGCGCCGGTATGAAGACGTACAGAGATCTACACTGGAGGTCCCCCGACGTCACGGGATTCCCGCATGTGCTTCGCCTCCACCTTCAGGCTCGCTTTCCTCTCTCATTTTGCAGATCTCTCTCGCCGCAGTCATGTCGTGATGGGCCAACGAGAGCTTACGCCCGACCCCCAATCTATGTCCTTATACCCAACTGCTGCCCAAGCCCATCGCCCTGGCGAGACTGTCGCACCAGGGTAAGGGTGGCGCTGTATACCGTTGGTCTCCAGAGGTCTCTGCAACCCCCTGACTGAACTGGACTGGATTGATGCATCCGAGCTGTGAAGAGTGATACCATCCCCATCCGATCACGGGTGGATATTCAACGGTGGATACAGCCCCCTCCCAAAGCCCCAGGGCTGCCCTAGGACACCTTAGCCACGTCGAATCAATGCGCCTCGGGGACCAGACCCAACAGCTCGATCGATCGAGATCTACTCCGTAGAAATAATGCATGCTGTGGGATAGGGGAGAGCCGGGGATGGCCACTGTCATCATTGTGTAATTGGTGTCTGCCAAAGAGCAACGCCCATGCCACAGAGATGTACTATTTGCTAAGATTGCCATCTCCACTCTGGGTCTGAAAGCTCCCGGCGCGGCTCCTCATCCACTTACGGAATTGGATTTGCCCTAATTGTCCAGAAGGAGGCGTCAGGCACACCTACCAGAAAGGCTCGCCCGGGTTCTCCTGTCCATATATTACTCCGAACTCGACCACCCTGCGGTTCTTCGTGTCTACGGATTCGTTAAATGCCCACTACTGCATCTTCTTTGGTCGTATACCCCCGACTAATCTTCGATTCTATTTTACCGTTGCTGAGAGCCACGGCTGCCCAACGTTCACCCGTTCAACCCTCATGGTGCCTGCCCTCCCGCCCCCTTTGACGGCTGTACCAGTAGGCTTCCAGCCATTCTCTGCGACCCCAGCACACCTCGCCCCTCGGGTTAGCTCGGTCAGCGGTAAACTGGATATTCTCTCTCGCCCCAGGTCAGCACAACACAAATATCGCCCCGTCTCTGTCCGCTTTATTTCTCTCCCTCCTCCCTCCTATACGTGATGATCTTGATGAAACATTTGGCTCATGCATCCCCACAGCGCTATGGCTCAGCATTCCATGTATCCAACCCCGGGAAACGCTCCCATCATCCATCGGCAAAGGTACTCCTATACCATGTATAGTGGTCTTTCTCCTCCTCGGGTCCAACTTCGAGATGCGGTCGTTGGTTATTCTTGCTAAGCGGTTAAAAGGGCACCCTCGGCACCTCGAGCATACGGTCTTGATCACAACCGTCAACTGCTCCTCAGCTCTATAGAATTCGACTCTCGACCTTCTTACCTTGGAACACCCCTAGATAATCACGGCCACGTTATGAACCAATCCATGGCACGGTTGTCATACCCTCCCGCTGGACATCCTCTTGCACCGGTCCCGGTGTACCCGGAATGGGACCACCCTTCGCAGATGCCGCGTGGGACTCTTCGCCATGATGCCAGGCCAATGAACTCACCGGAAAGCCCAGAATACATAGTGGAAACAAACAGCCGGCGCGCTGCCGATGTGACCCGAGGAAGCCCGCAATACAATTCCCAGAGACGGACTTCGAACCGGGATGAATTTGATGGCCCGCATCAAATCCTAAATCTCCCTTCTGCACGGAACCTCCCAGCCCGGGAGGAGGAGATGCCCCAGCTCCCCACTAATCTTGATGCCGCAGACCAGGACAGGATTCTGCACGAAGTCAATGATCGCCTCTCCCAATGCGCCTTTGACTTCTTCGCACGTTACCAATTCCCCATTCCCCTGGAACAGGACAAGAGGCGAGTCCAGGTCCCTTCGGACCGTGAATGGAATGAGTGGGTGCATCTCTTGCGGAGGTTGGCTACTCGTCGGCGCATCCCCCGCCATGCCCTGCACAACGGTCAAATCAAGCAGTTGATCACTGTTCTCGAAAATTCTCTGGAGATGCGTCATGCTGCCAAGCACAGTTCCCGACCCATCAAGGATGACCGTAACGTGCTTCAGCTCATCTCTGCCGGGACGCAGGTGGCTAAGATCCTGAAGGATTCGAATGCCATGCAGTTCTTCGATGATCTATATGTGGACACGGAGAAACTGATACACGACCGTCGGCGCCGCGTGAGATTCGCGAATCCTTGATTTCACCAAGGATTGGCCATTATAACCCAGGTTACTGCGGCCGATGGATGTTCGTTTTATTTATATTTGACCATGGAAATTGTTGCCCTGGACCCACCCTTTTGCTGTTATCTGTCTATCGCCTCTATGGAAAACCGTGGAGAGCATCACCGTTGATGCTCATGGAAAGCCCGCGATGGAATACTTGCTCTCTGTTTTTGCACTCCACTGCCGATGGATTTCCTGCCTTGGTTATTGTCGATAGTGCTCTCGCTTTCCCCTTGAGAGTGGATTCGGGACTCCATTATCCTGTCTGGCCTCGCTCTCTGGTACATGAACAGCTGCGTCCAGAAAACGACAATCACCCCCCGCATTTATGCACTATGCGCAAGCTATTTCAGACCTTGTAACCCCTCATCATGATGAGCTGCCTTGGAATACACGACCCCGCTACGGTATGGTACATCCCTTCTAGCAGCAAGGACACAATGGCTGGTTACGAAACTACGACTTAATGTGTGTTCGGTATTTAATGTCATTTCACTTTGTTCTGATTCCTGAAATAAGGAGTTTGTTTTGTTTTGGAGTTTGTTTTGCTTCGATTGTTCCGGGGTTGGCTGTCTCGTATATTTTATGTTCGGCATTTTGACATGTATCACGCAGAACAGTTGTTGTTTGAAATTTTGTTGTCTGAAACTTTTTCTAGCATGTATTGAATTATATCTGCTTCCATTCGTGCTGGTTCAAGTTAACTAATCGGTCGAGTGTTTGTTCGTGCCAGGTTCCCATCGGATCACGTGATAGTATTGTCCGCGTTGCAGGAGGGCATTGGGTCTTCGGGGCAATCTCATCAATTACCGGAACCATCTATATTGGCTTTCCTTCCGCATCCTGGAAATGATCTGGATGGAGAGTAACTAAATCTTGCCTGAGGCTCATAGGAGCACGCTGGGGCATATACATTGGTGTTGAGTAGAATTCTAATGAGGTTTCTGCGTGACTATCCTGCAGGAATCAATAGTCCTTCTACGAGTCGCGATTCTTTTTCAGAGTCACGGTTTGTTCCTAATCACAATTTGTGAAGACCGCGGCTATTGAAGATCACGGTTGTTCTCCTGCCATCTACTTTTCAGTGCCCATTCTGTATCCATCTGAATTTGATGCATGATGCTACGCTAGAAGTAACCGGAAGTAAGGAAGCATAATATAAGTCCCCCGTTTATAGGGCATGCTCTATGTGTATCTGTGGCAATGTGCCGGGGATGAGTACCAGAGGCCCAGAGGCGAATTTCGAGAACTCATAATATAAGAAAGTCCTCTAGCACAAGCGTATATTGCAATTCTCAAGCTAGAGCCAGCGAATAGATCACGAGGGGCTCATGGCCTAGAGTGCGCTGCCATATGTCCATACTCTAAAATGTATTTCACTAACTATTGAACTGGATCAGCACACAGGGACTGTGCATAACAATCATTGGTATTTTTAGCGTTATTTGCAATTTCCTTTACACCCGGCTGGTCTGATTGCCCCTCACAGCTAGGCAAAATCTTACGTCGCATTATCAGGCAAACTTATAGGTAGCTTGTATATGACATGATATATAACGGACCTATACATATTGCAAGAAGAGGCACCTGACTCTTTTGAAAGTAGCGCTGAGATTCGGGATAGCGTGATATATTGCTTTCATAATCCTTGAAAAGGTCGATTTGAATCTCTTTATTACCTGGGCGCTGTATGAGGGCGTAGTCGAGGTGATATGACTCTGGTGCAATGCTCCCGATATCGGGTGTACCGATCTCATATTGGAATTTAGTCGTCAAAACTGAGCATTGCAATACCAATTTTTGGCCCAGAAACCCTTGAAAGGATCCCATACATCGCCAAATCCACCTTCATAGGCGTCTCCGTTCTGGAGATGATTGATTGAACCACCCCCGGCCGGTTAAGTGCCAGCCTCAGACCGATAGGCGCACCATATTCAAAGATGTAAACAGAGAATGTCGGTATACAGAGCTCATCAAGAAATTACTCTACGTCAAGTTGTCGAATGTGTAGATAAAGCTCGGTAGCACTTCGGTGAATCCGAAACCTGGCAAATTTGGAGCAATTACACGATATTTTGTCGCAAGGAGAGGTATCAAATTCCGGAATTGATGAGAGGACGAGGGGAAACCGTGGAGTATGTATGACTGGCGAATCTGTGTCAGGCTTTTTCTCACGGTAAAACATCTTCGTCCCGGAAGAAGGTTGGCTGATTTTCATCGTTGGACACTCATTGTGTTGGCTTGTGGAGGTAGCTTCAACGAGCCCTGCAGAAGAGGATCGACCGCGTTGTCAACATCGACAGTATAGCCTTTTGTATCATGGAATTAGAGAAAGCAAAAGGGTCATAAATTACATAAAGCCGGAGCAACCAAGTGAAATCATCTCCTCTTGCGACATTTTACGACGTTCCGTGACACCTGGTCATTGTGGAGCTCCATGCTTTCAGATGCCTGGGTGGGGTATCATGTGACAATTCGCCAAGAATGGTCTGGACTTCCGACGCCGACGTTGTGAGTTCCAGCAGGTCTCCCTCTTATTGGTTCATTGAACCAGGTTATCCTTTGACTTGCAGTGACCGAGACAACTAGTCATCATTGTGTAACTAAATGAGACCAGGAAAGGCTTAGTTAGATGACAAACAAGCTTTCTTTCCCGGCGTTACGAGTCAAAGCTTGATTAATTTCATGAAACAGCACTTGCTCTTTCCGAACTCATGTACCGAATCCGGACTAGTCTTGTATTCTCTGCGTCCTCTGGATGCTATGATTGATTTTTTAGCATTATTCAGCGCAACAAAACTCCTAAATAGATGCCTATCTTTGGAAGCCCTACTAACCAAAGGTTGTCAAGATGACGCGTTACACCTATACCAAGAACCTTACCGTGTATCTTGCTTATTATTTAAATAACAACCACCTGGTGGCGACGCTTCAGTATTCATACACATTCCCTCCATCACACGTACTTCTCGCAGAATATCATACGGACAAGGTCACAACCTAATCCGGCATTTAACATTCCCGAAAATGTCAGACAAGATGAATGCCATCGTCATTACAAAATTTGGCGGACCTGATGTCCTAGAGCATCGAGTAGTCCCGAAGCCGACGGTTCGTACCGGGGAAGTACTCGTCGCTGTTAAAGCTTTTGGTCTGAATCATGCCGAAATACATATGCGCAAGGGTGAATGGGATGAGTGGAACCCCGTCACTGGATTGGAGTGTGTCGGAGTTGTGGAGGCTTGTCCAGGCGGGGAATTCAAAGTTGGTGAGACCGTTGTTGGCGTGATGGGTGGTTTAGGAAGAAACCGACCGGGAGGTTATGGCCAATTTGCGGCCGTGCCTGCGACCAACGTTATCGCTGTGCAAACAAAGTTGCCATGGGATCAATTGGCCGCAATTCCGGAGATATATATCACTGTATGGTCGTGCCTTTTTACCGTCCTCGATCTGCAGCGGGGCGAAAGCATTCTGATTCGCGGTGCAACATCAACTCTTGGCCAAGCCGCTGTGAACTTGGCAGTGAGTGCGGGCGCGAGAGTAACGGCAACCACCCGCCGCCAAGAGCGATTCGTGTTACTCCAAAAAATGGGCGCAGCAGAAACCATCATCGAGCAGGCTGAGCTTGACCGTATTCATGATGCCGAGTTTGACAAGGTACTGAACCTCATTGGGAATCATGCACTCTTGGAATCAATCAATTTGACTAAAAGTGGAGGCCGCATGCTTCAAGCGGGCTGGTTGGGAGGGTTGGATCCCATCAAAGACTTTAATCCAATGTTACAGATGAAATCTGGGGTACACTTCAGTCTTTTCCATGGGAAGGTTCTAGGGGGCCGCGACTTTCCTTTCTCTAAAATCCCATTGCAGCGAATCGTCCAGCAAATCGAAAATGGGGAGTGGGATGCCCGGCCGACGCATGTCTTTGATTATCAGGACATCCGCCAAGCCCACGAAATTCTGGACTCAGGGGATGCGGGAGGGAAGATCGTTGTCAAAAGATCTTAACTGAAGAACAAATATTTCGCTCATATGTCTTTGGAGGCAAAATGTCTTTGTTTAGCTGTTAAACAACTAGGATGGCAATATCATGGCCGTATAAACGGTTACTTGACAAAATAAATCTTGGAAGTGGGGTGTTAGGCAAGGCTCCCGTTCAAACAAATATTGTGGTTTGGGCTGCAAAGTTGCTGAGGTGATTGAGGATCAAGATCGGCTATCATAGAACTGGAAGGGGCAGAGAGGTCACTTGTGTATAGAAGTTACATGTAAAATTCGAGCTGTCAGGTCACTCATTTGTAATGTAAATAAAAATGTAATTTGAGAAGGCAGTCTATAGGCAAGGCTAATTATAGAAATATCCAACCAGAGCTCTGGTACTGCGGATATACTATCCAGGAGAGAAGTTGTGTGCAGAGCTATAACTGATTTCGAAAACTACTGTAGTGAGTTTTCATTACTTCAAGATGCAATCAGGCCCGGGAAAAATTAGTGGCAAAACGATGGCGCTTCTTTGCACCCGAGGATTCAAGTTCGACCTTGCTCGCCCGTTATCACGGTCTTTTAAAGCTTTATATCATGACCAGACGAAGCCGCGTTGAAAAGCAGAGCGAAGACTTTGGTTGAGGAAAAGTCCTGCCAGCTCCTCAACATGCTGAAACTTTTGTCCAAAGTCGCATCTACTTCTGGCTTGATCAAAGTGAAGATCATTATGATTCGCCGCTACCGAGGTGAAATACAAACGATTTAATCCGTATTTTCCCTTCTAGTACAAGAACTAGGCTTACAATACTTTCAGATATTCAGACAATGCTGACAAGTGTATTATAGGTCGGCAGGTCTCTCGCAACCCCGGATGACCGTCAGATTATCCTCACAGACGAAAAAATTATTCCCTTAGAGAAGGAAGCTTGAGCTGAGAGAATTTACTATTTTTGAGACTTTAAAAGGTTGGGCAGAAATTCAAAAGTTTGAAGGCCGTGAAATTTGTTGTTGGCTGCCATTGAAAGTAACGATTTTCGACGAAATTCTAAATGCCGTCTGATTTCTACTACGAGTAACCTAGTATAATGACTTAATTGATTCTCAACTTGAATAAATAAAGGTTCAACACCAAAATTTTAAGGCTGCGACCATATTCATCTAATCAACTAGCCAGTACTCGAGATTCTTTGGGGGCGGCCCCGCGGATGAGGAACAAAGGCGAGGTTCCCTATTCTTATCTGTGATCTGTAATGTTAACCCGGCGTTACACCGCTTCTTCTTCACCATGTTTTGTTGTTATGTTTCAATTTCGGTCTACATATACGAGAATCATCTCATGAATAGTTGTTTGACAGACAGTTTCTCAATATCATCTGTTCTCACCCATCTTATCTCTCCATCTCGTTTGGGGCCCAGCACATGACTAATCAAGTCCTAGACCCCGAATGCTGACAGAAAATGTGCTTAACAAGTAAGTTACATCCCCGCCTGGTAAAGGTACGGCTCTATCACCTAGCGAAAATAGCTCACTCACCTGAATAAGATCGATTAGCAGGGGCCCGCCAAGGAAGAGAATCTAAGTCCGCTGATGGGGTCAAATTGAAATTTGTAGTAAAGAAACCGTGATGGTCAAAAATCTTGATGGTCAAAAATCTTGATGGTCAAAAAAGCGTGATGGTCCAAAAAATTGTGACGTCCTTAGAATAAAAACAGAATAAAAATGCCTGTGCTGGGTAATTTCTAGCAGAATCCAAGGTGGACTGCGATAGGAAGTAACAGTTGCCCTCTAGGACCAACTCGAAGTTAACTCGACTGCCCTAGGTGCGGAAGCAGAAAAGAAAAAATGACTCCTCGAGTACGGCGTGACCGATGAATAGCCTTGATCCAAGCGAGCACGCAATGGGCAGCCTGCACGAAAAGGATATTTGAGGGTGGTGATGAGTAATCTATCAAAGGGCACGTGAATTTTAATATTCTTCTTCATTAAAATATGAAGTGGCTATACCGAGCATCGTGCTTGGGGAATAGGTATGTGCCATAGAATCGCACAGTAAGCTTCCAAGCGACAAGTGGTCGGATATATCCTTATTACATATTTTGTAACCGTCTATCACAGATTGGCCGGATGGTGTAGTTGGTTATCACGTATCCGGGCGCAACGGTGAATTACGCCATGCGGTTTAGCGCCCCCCGGTGCGGTTTAGCGCCGCCGCCCAGCCGCTCTGCCCCGTGCGTGGTTCTATAAAAGCCCCTTCATGGCCGCTTCCTCGTTACGCCGTTTTTTCGCTCTCCTGCTCTCCCTCTTCCCAACCATGTCGATGTAGACGCTGTCGTTGAGGCATTTATGCCATTGATCCGGATCACCGAGCTCCGCCGCCCTTCCGTCGTCGGCGCGAAAGGGCCAGTCCCTAGTCCTTTGCGATCGTTCAGACCCCTCGAGCGCAATCTGCGCTGTGTTCCCTAGCCCGGCCCCGTGAGCGCCTAGCCCCTCCAATTCTGCGCTCAAGCTGATGCTTTTTTTGGACCCGCAGTCTGCTACCACGACGGCAAACCCGGCCTCTCACATATCTCAATGAATCGGTTGATGCATCATCAATCCTGTTTGCCTCAAGATGCATTCACGCTCCGCTCTGTTCAGCCCATTGCCACTGCGCAGCCCCAACTCAAATCTGCCTTGCTTTAAACCTGCCTTGAGGTAGCATGACGCTTTAACGAGGATGCTGTGACTGATCATATCCGCCATCGTCTCAGAATGAAGGCCGGGACTGAGCTTCTTGATCGCGCTCTGGATCAGGCAGTGATGGCTTATTTCATGCGGGAACCGAGTCGAGCATGGGGGCTCTACATGTTTGGCAATGGCCGCAAAATCTCACGCCGGCCATATTGAGACTCCAGAACAGCCTCGGAACTTCCGAAAGCCGTCAGGTGACCCCGTTGCACAATATGCGAGTAATTTTCCATGCTCCACAACATGGCTCAGCTTTGCATCAGCCCTTCGCATTTCCGGATATCCATGACACCTCGCCTCCTGTCATCAAGTGCGTCTTGTTGCAAGCCTTAGTGGCTTCTGGATCGATTGGCGTAGAGGATAAATTGGGCCAGCGAGACAACATGACCTCCTGCAGCAATGGCGTCATGCGTGTTAGAGATGAGGAGGGGATGTCTCGCTTGCTCACTTTGGCGATAGAATGACTGGTAGGGAGAGCTCAATTGGCTTGGTGATGCTCGCATTAGGCGCAGACTCTGCGCAGGCTTGCGGCCCTCTAGAAATAGCAACAACATACTAGGGGGTGATAATTAGATCAAGTGGATAGATTGGTTAGTTCTTCATGCAGAGCTCCGTGCTCGGTGCACCAGGAATAGGATGATTGGTAGGCAGGTCTGCGCTGATTGTAATCCTGCGGGAGCTTTGCTGTCTGATGTTGAGATGTGACTGAACGAGTCCAGCTTGGCTTGCATGTTGACCAAGACGCGTTCGACGAGATCAGAGGTATAAAGCCATGTATCTCGCACGCTGTACTCGTGAATGCAGCAGCTCAGAATCTCACTTGGTCTTTTTTGTGACCTTTCTCCTCTTTGCGCTTTCAACAAGAGGTCCCGGTAACAAGGTCGTATATCAGTCATGGCTGAGGATGGTGATTTATACTTCAGTACGCGAACCCTATTTCCACGGAATCCATTGATTGATTCAATAAACTGATAGCTATTAGACTGCTTGTCTTTCGATTCGGCAACTCTGCACGTTTGAAGTTGTCATGAAATTGGCAATCTCGGCTCTGAAGGCAACCCTATAGTGATCAGTGATTCTGATCCTCTTGGCTCTCCTTCGAATCCCATAGTCATTCACTGCGAGGATTGCGACCCTAGCACTCATAAGTTGCCCGTCCCACTCTGGTCCGATGTCGACACCGAAATCATATCGACGCCAGAGTTTTGGGTGTGTGTGGAGAATGGCTTTCACACCGACTCACCAAACAAGGGCCTGGGTTTAGAATCAATGCCTACCCGGGCTGCACCTGTGGCACGCCTAGGCTCCGAGCCAGCTCCGATACTTAGCCCGCCATCTTCCAGGGCACTGTTGGATGGAGATAGAATGGGGAATGTCGTATCGACTTTGCACGAAAGCACTATGGAGGAACATTATGCTGAACAACAGACCAAACCTGTGATTCTGGATGCAGTTTCTGTAGACGAAGCTCATCTTTCGATTTGCTCCAGTGCGGGATAGACTCAGACAGTTACTCAGCCGCCACAAGAGAAGCCCCAGATTGGAAACACTGACCAGACTAATGAATCATCCTCGAACACACACGAAAGTCTTCATAGTCTAGAGGGCGCGCACGGTAAGCTTCCAGGTCGCCCAGAAGTAGATTTCGCTAATTTACTAAGAACAACAATGGAACAAACCTGAAAACACTGGCTACACTATGAAATACTGCGGATATAATGCTGTCACAGACGAGTCTGTGAATAAAACATTTCTAGATGAGCATCCATCATGCCCTCTCCCTCCCTCTGATAAAAAAGCACTTGGCAAATGTAAAAGATTGCATGATCTGGAGGTCGCACTAGTAGAGGCGAGACGGTCACAGCGCTTGATTAAGAAGACAAGATCTTGACCATCTTTATCACTTCGCTTATTGTGTTCTCATAATGAATGGCATTGTTGATTTTTTAGCTATTTATTCTTCGTGACTTCAGAATGAATAGAAACACATTAGATATAGGAGAATTTCAGTCATGCTGATTCAAGTGGCGTTTAATCATCTGTGGACCTGTTCTTCATTGACTAGTATCTCACTTCATATAGAGATAAATCTGACTTTTTCAAGATTGAAGAGCAACATATATAACTCAAAATGGTATTGACTAACCACAAAGATCCATACTTGGGTGATGCAAAATGCATCGGGTGACTGGTAAAACTGATCACTTCAACCATCTGCAGAAGGAGAACACGGGGTCCAGAAGCAACCCACGGCCTAGTGCAACATATCTTGGAATACCTTAAACCTATCATACGGGCAAATACCGAGGTTAGGGTGGCAAACGCATGTCAATGAGCTCCTCGAGGAGGTCGCTGACCTAATCTAGTCGTTGTCCCTGGTGGCGCCAACTACCATTTCTAGCAACCACGTCAGTAATCCAGGGAGAAGCTGGGCATTTATCGCTTCGCAATCAACGTTAGCGTCGTCTAACACTCGGCTGCGCGTGCCAGATTCAGCTTCCCTACTGTGGACCTGGGGCCTACGCTTGCCATAGAGGAAACAAAGACAATTATAGACTATCCCACACAGGCATGGGTGAAGTCCCGTGGAGCTCTTCGAAGCGAGATGGCTACTACTAGCGTTGATATCAACAGGGTAAACCACCTCGGGGACTTCTATCAAGGTCTTTGTCGACTTAGGAAGCGTCATCCAGTGAGCTACACGTTATAAAAGTTACCAAGGAGCCTGATCAATACATATGACAGCTGAATAGAATCTCGCGAAACATTAAATCGTCCACCGCCCCACGATATTCTTCACTTCACGAACAAATCTGTCTTTGAACGAGTGCCAATTTCTGACTAATGTTAGTATAGACGTTAAAGAGTAATCACCAAACTGACCTTCCAGGCACGCGAGGCAAGAGCGCTTTTTAGTACATTTACAGCAGTTCCGGATTTAGCCCTTGAACTACCATCAGCGATATCATGAAATCCGGGACAATGCCGCCGAAATAAATCGTCGCCCTCATTCAGGATCACGTCTAAGGCCCGCAAGCGGTTGTCCATGATAGGCTTCTGAATAGCCCATTCGGTCTTCTTCTGCAAGTTCCCGCTGGTATCATTTCGGAACTTTTCGATCTCATTTATTGTGGCTCTGATTTGGTCTTTGACCCTGGGTAGTATGGAGGTAGTAATCGTCAAGAGCTGTTCTTCGTTAAGGGATGCTTTTTCGATATATGTTATCCATCCTTGTAAGCGCGTCTGACGAATATTGATCCAGGCGAAAGTGTCTTCTATATCCGCGGGTGCATCGGTGGCTTTGCAGTAGAATTGCCAGATGTCGTAAACCCCACAAATACCGTTGCTAACTTCTGAGACTACAACTGGAAAGTGTCAGCAACAACTCAGATTTTATGTCCTGTTCCTTAACTTAAAGCACATACCCATCGAGCCGACCAGCAAATTTCTGTAAAGCGGTGTCCCGAGGTGACTGTGGATATTCCAAAAGTAGGGATCAAGGCGTCTAAGACAAGTCTCTAATAGCGGGGTTTAGAGACGGGCGAGCGAACAAGAGCTAACCGACCGTCTCGATTCAGCACAGTACGGCAACGTACAGGCACCACTGGGAAATGCACTATTAGCGGTCTTGGCTCCATATTGATTGGCCGTCTTGCTGCCCGCCTTGGTCATCTTTACGACGTATTTTCCAAGTAGTTGTGGTGGGTGGGCAACAATTGAGTATTGGGTCGTCACGAAGGCGATTTCTAGTATAATATGAAGCTATTCAGACCCCTCCCCTTGAGGAAAAAGCTTTTAAGCCGCCTCGATCTCCCAAATTTCGTCAATTTATACAGTTACAATTACTTTAATATTAATAAGAGCAACCTTCCCCTCCCCCCCAAGGCCTTAAGCGCAAACCGCCTGATGTAGTTAAGATCTAGTGACTCAGCCAGTCTAAATGGCCTTATTGATAGTAAGTGCCAGCCGAAATCCCGGAAGCCCGGCAGCCTGTATCTTTGAAATTCTTAATTCCCTGTAGTTTCAGTATTGGGACTTCATTTTCTATGTATGACAGGGAGAGTGCTGCCTGAAAGTAAAGTGTCAATTCTGTATGGGAAATACGTATTATCAAGCGTGCCCAACTTAGTAATACAAATCAATACTTGATGGACGGCGCACCGGACGGAACTACTACAATGTACCAACACCCACCGAGGAAATATATCCTTCTTCCTAGGAGGAAAGTCGCCTTCCGATGATCAGAAGTGGACGCCGAACTTAGAGGCGGTACGGGCCTCAATACGATTCACCATCGCCACGGGCCGACTCGAGGCCACCTAACCATGCCGACGAACATAAATCACCCCCCATTCGCCGATCTAACCCACCAACCACCTCGTGTTACAGATGGTAGACACGCTTCAACTGCCGAAAATAGGATGTTGAACACTTGGAGAAGCGCCTTCAAGCCAGCCTACTAACAAAATTACTAACCCACGAGGATCCGTTGCGATACGGACATCTGAGATGACATATATTGCAAGGCTTTATGTATGGGCTCTGAGGAGACACAGTACTATATATATTATGACATGTATAGTAGATTAGAGATAGTTGCCCTTTCGGCTTGGCCGCCGGGCGTTAATAAATTGTGTGTGTGTTTGTGTGTACCTCTCTTCCATGTTTCCGATTTCCGATCGGTTACAGGTTAAGAGGTGGCCGGGGTTCGATTCCCCGTCAGTGCATTTCTTTTTTAGATCCTAAATTTTTGCACCCCACACCGGCACACCGACATCGACCTGTTCACTAACTGTAGAATGCTAAGCACCCACGGAGTAAGAGAATTGCGAGAGTCGAGTGTTTTGAAGTTCAACAGCTGGGCAGGGCACCCACTGTGCAGCCTGGCGCTTTGTTTACCTATTCAATGACCCGGCTGTTTACACCAAGATGTCTCAGAACGATGCATCGAGTACAAAAACCGGAGGCAAGAAACCGCGAAAAGTCCGGTCGCATAAACAGCATAGGAAAGCGCAGACAAAACAGAGTAAAGGGATCCCTGGTAGTCCGAGTGTGTTTTCGCTCGTCCATACGCATCAACAAACTGCTGGGGCATCAGCGTGAAGCGGAAGCTTTCGACACGGATGAAATTTCTTTTTGGGACTGTTTGCTGAGGAATTGCCTCGAAAGCCCGTAGTACTCCGTATACGTCCTGCGATCACCGAGGTTAGTACAGATCCATTCCCCCTTCCCGTCGCCAACATAATCCAGTGCCCTGTGGCATCTGCATCCCAAATCTTGTCACGACGGTTTAAAGATCCGTTCCGCAATGATACATGTGAAAATATTGGCAGACTTGATGCGTAAATTGATGCAGATAAGGGCGTCGAAAAGGAGGTATGAACCATATGACTCGTGCTGGCCCAAGTACCTTGACCTGAGCCGATGTGCTTTTGGAATGAGACGGGTTGTGAGCAGGATATATGAGAATTTTCCGACAAGAAACCAATAAACGACTTGATTCTCAGAGCTTGCCGGAGTCTGCCATGCTTCCGTTGGGGCTGAATCAATCATTTAGGATTTTACTGGTGTGTTAGTAGAAACCACGATACAAGTCGCAGCTCCTGGTCCTCGTCCCGATCTTCTGGCTCCTTCATTTGTGCCCTCGCCGTGTCGAGATTCGTCCGTTTCGTCCAGTTCGTCGAAATCACTTTCGTGCGCAAGTATTGAGAAAGTATCGAGAAAGTATCGATCAAAATCCATGCTGTCATTCTGAAGGTTTGACTCCATGGCATAGAAGTGGAATGAAAGAAGTCCGAGACCCTGTAGGGAGCACTCCGTACCCCGTAGATATCCCACGGTCGGAGTGGAGAGATGATCAGGGAGCCCCGCTACTGCAGGGGCTCGCGGCCCCCACCTGGGAGGATCATCGGCGGTGGCAAATAGCGGGGCTTTGCGGGTTGCCGCGTATAAAGCGGCATTATGCCCCCAACGGACTTCCGTCAACACTTGAGTATACCATGACTGGTTCAACTTTCACGCCCCTACCCCTTGAGCTTTGGGGATTAATCGCAGACCATCTGTCAAATGCCGATATCAAATCTTTGCGCCTGACTTGTACCCAAGTGAACAATGCAGTCCCTCTTCGCATCGACCGAGTTTTTCTTTCCGCCAACCCACTTAACATAGAAGTCTTTCGCAATATTGCCTCACACGAGAAGTTCCGTCATTCAGTGACCGAAGTGATCTGGGATGAAGCACGCTTGCCACGGGGCCCACAGCGAATGAATCAAACTGCCCAGGGGCACGAATTACTCTCAGACGATGATGAGCCCAATAACACCAGAGAGTGGGCTAAAGTCTATTCCGAGTATTTCAGAGAAAATCTCATGAGCCAGCATCAACACGACGAAGAGAGCGGATGTCCCAAATGGTTCAAAGACGCCTGTGAAGAAAACCTCCGAATCCTCAGGAGCCGAAAAGGAGCCGATGTTGATAGACCTGGGCATATTGCATGCAGAGAGCAGATCCTCGCTCAGCCTCCGCTAGGGGAGTGCTGGAAACATTATCAGCATTTGCTTCGTCAGCAAAACGATGTCCTCACCGGCGATAGCGATTACGAAGCATTTTTATTTGGCGTGAAACAATTTACTGCTTTGAAAAGGGTCACTATCACACCAGTGGCTCACGGATACCTCTTCGACCCGCTCTACCCGACTCCGATGATTCGCGCGTTCCCAAAGGGCTTTAACTATCCCATTCCGTGTGGCTGGCTATTCAGGAGAGCGATATCAACACCTGCTACCTCGTATCCGTGGAACCATTATCCGGAACTCAGAGAAAGATACCGCGGATTCCGCAATGCCATGCGTGTGCTAGCCAATGAACCAAATTCTGTCTCTGAGCTCGTGATGACTTCCAACTTTGTCCCCACGGGAATCAACTGCACAATCTTCGACGAGCCATGTGAAGAGTATGACAACTTTGCTAAAGTGCTTCAGAACCCGGGCTTTCGCCGTCTGGATATCTCACTGCTCGTTGGCGGAGAAGATGAATCAGACCTTGAACCATGCTGGCGATCTTTGCTCAACGGTCGTTTGCGCTGTGCACTCAGTGGTGCAACAGAAATGGAAGAGTTCAGGCTGCACACCACTTTCGACGAGGATATTCATGCTGGGGAACTATACCCAGTGATTCCTCTAAATGGCATTGTACCAGTGGAAAAATGGTCAAATCTACGCCACTTTGCCCTGTCCGGCTTTGTGATCTCACAGGACGATCTCGTCTCGTTCCTCAGCACCCTGCCAACATCCATTAAATCCATTGAACTGAGCATGTTGGAATATCTTTTTGATGCGGACTTGTATACCTTACTGGAAGAGATTCGGCGAATGGTATCCGAGAAGACGTCATGGAGAGACTCGAATGCCGCTTCCAGACCCACAATCACGATCGGAACGTCAGATTCGTATGGGGAGCCCGAGAATTATGGAAGGGCTAGTTGGATTGAAAAGGAGGTTCATGATTTTCTATACGGTGATGGGGAAAATCCCATCGAGGAATCATTCCCTCTTCAATTCCCAGATGGGACGGGCATGCTGAAAGACGCATTTGATACCAGTTATCAACGCTCGAACGTGAAATGGGATGATTTAGTATCGTTGAACATTTACAAGGAGAGTTTTGACCCATTCAAATACTGAACGAAACTGATCAATTGGAACGATACTGCCCACGAGGATGGCACGAGCGCATCTGGGCCTCTTTCTCCTACACTGCCAAGATTACACTGTCTGTTCATCTCCCAAGAGCCAATTTTACTACTCAGGCGTCTGGTAAATGTGGTTAGCGGATTTGAAATCAGTTGATCTTCATGTACTCACGAGTTGTAGATTTTGGACTTTGAGTAGACGACGCAGCAACCGATGAGGGACTTTGGACTCTGGTTGTCTGAGTATTGGTCGGCTTGGAGAGCTGCACACAATAAGACGAGCTGCTTTGAAGTGTACAAGGATAATTGTAACCGGTAGCATTCTTCTCGAGCGAGGGGTTCCACATAATGAAGTCCTTGGGTTGTCAGCATTGACATATCGAAAGGGGATTTTGAGATCCCGAGGAATTCTAGTCCATACCTCTTTCGGAACGTCGATTGTCATGGCCATTGTCCAGCAATCCGCGAGCGCATTGTCGGTGATGTTGTTCATCCAAATGTAACTAATCGAAAATGAGCCAGTGCCTCAAACAATTGGAAAGCGCACTCACTCGTAACAGTCCTTTCTAGTATCCTTGGCAAGAGGAATGGCAGGGATGGAGTTGTTCTTCAAAGCGCCGGCAAAGTCGGGTCTAGAGGCCGACGAAGGAACGGAGGTCATGGAGACTTTGCTGAATCGATCTGAAGTACTTCCAGCATGGCCCGAGTAGGTTGTAATATCTCCAACAGCCTGCACACAGTAGTACACATCCTTTTGGAGGTTTGTGCAGGTCTCCGTGAGCTCGGGGTTCAAAAACATGCTGCATAATTGTTAACTAGACTTTTCAATCTCTTTGAATAATGGCGCCGAGACTCACAAGTCAGATCTAGAAATACCGGTTTTCTCTGTGACGGTGTCGCAGGTCTCATCTTTCCCAATTTGATAGTACTTGGCACACTTTGTATTTGTCCCAGAGACAATGGTACGTCTAAAATTGCAGATCTCTCTGACGCTCTTTTTGAAATGAATCGGTGTAATGAGATGATGCGCTAGAATTTCTGTAAGGCGCCAGATGTCCTGAGGGGATTTAATATGAGGGCTGGCAAAGGCGTCATCCTTAAAAGCATACGTGAGTATATCTTGAATGACACAAAGACCCAGACTGTCATTCTGTTCGGTATACGTGAAGATGGGGCTAAAGCACATTAGAGGCTCTGCGTCAAAGATCGTCAGTTCTTCTTTGACTCACGGTCTTCCTTTATTTCGTCTTCTTTTTATGAGCCTGTGCTTGACTCTCATGAGGAGCTCACACCGATTTGGATCTTAGGGGTGTTTCACCATGAAAAGAGCCACATCTTTCTATTTCAAAATGTCGCTTATATTTTCATGCGCGTTGGACTCAATCAGGGTTCCAGGATGAGCTGTGGTGGAGCACATCATTTTTCGCAAGGTATTCAGTTAAAGGAGTATGCGAAAGGTGATAAAGGTCAAACCACACGCGGCCAGAAGGTGCTATATGGTGAATAAGAGATCATCAATGTTGATAGGAGGTTGCTCTTTTGCGCCTTTATCGAAGTTCCATTTATTACTTAGGGTGGATGTGAGCTTTGGAAGTTAGCTGGGAAGGCTTTTTGTGCCGCAAATTGCTGAGACTTACGTGGGTCACCTTCTGTGATAAGTCTAAAGGCAGTGGGCGGTCGGTCTCTTCACGTATCCACATCCTCTAATAGCGGGACATAGTGAGGAAGCCTGACTAGTACACTAAGTTGTGGTTTTCATGATACCAACGGAAAAAGCCCTCGATGACTCTCAATGTGAGATTTTCCACTCAGAGCCAGCAGGCATAGTCTGGCGGAGTGAGATTGCTTGTAAACCTGTCATAGTCTTAGCCACAGGGCTCCTGATAAAGGGAGGGTGTATGACTTTCGAAAAGCATTTTGAGCTTCCCGCATCTTGTCTCTGGTTGGTTTCGCAAGATCAGCGACGACTTCTAGGTCCGGCTCCTGAATGAACAAGTTCTAATCGAAAGCCACCATCTTGTGAGCAAGATGGTTGTCGAGTAAGGGGATGACGTGAACGGGCAAGCTCTTTCTTTGAGAGGCAGACGAGGCCCTCTTATGCTCCCTATTTATACTCATGATAGAAGCGCCCTCCCTCTATAGAAAAGTCGCGTCGGGGCACTCGGCCAATCACATCTAGTTGCTGTCTACTCGCCTAATCCGACTCAGGGTTAGCGTCGACGCTGCCGTCCAAACCCAGCTGGCCCTGAAGGGTCAGCGTAGAAACAGCACGGTTTCTTGCTCTAAAGTGCACGGCAGACCGTGGAGTTTCTATTATCACGACTATTTACACTATTGTATCCGTTCCGTTTTTCTAATCTTATATTCTGGGTGTGAACGGTGCGTGGACTAGCTGAATACGGCCTAGAAAGTCTCACTATAGCCTTAGCGTTAGGGTTTGAGATACGTAGTTTCCCTGTGTAAAACATGGAAGCCAATTTCGAATCTGAGCGTATGTGAGGGTGATGATGAGAAATCCGTGAAGCTAAGGGCACGTAATTTTGATATTCTTTTTAATGAAAATCTGAAGTGGCTATATCGAGCATCATGCTTAGGAAATAAGGTATACTATGTACTATGGAAGCGTACGGTAAGATTCTAAGGCGATTACTGGCCACTCTAGGTCCTTGTTACATCTCAACAATGTCACCATTGTAAATTGGCCGGATGGTGTAGTTGGTCATCACGTGTCGTTAACACCGACAAGGTCCTCGGATCGAGCCCGGGTCTGGTCACTTTTTTTTTCCTTCTTTCTTATCTACATGTCATCGCGGCTGGGGACTCTTTCTCTCTGAAATTTGCCGTTTTTTTCCTCCTTTTGGTCAGTTTCTTAAATATGTTCTTGACGTGGTGCCAGTCAAATACAAAAACTCCCGTCAAGTCCAAATCGGTATGGGTATGGTGTCGAGAAAATTGTTCCAGATAGCCAAATGACAAATTATTATGCGGCACAGGTCGGTGTAAGTTTGAGTGCAGCGTTGATCTGCCCATTTCTCTCGTCTGTAAGATTTCTCTTAACGGGTTTCCGCCTGTCATCCTCAATATTTGGAATAGTGGGACCTTCGGGTGAGGGACGAGCTGACGAAAACATTCCCCGCTACGCATGACCTTCACTTAATCCGAGTCAACCGAATCAACACAAGTACCATAAGTGATCGTCCCGCCCTGGCGAGGACCTGAAGCGCGGTCAAACGTGTCCCATGGCATAAAGCACGTCGTGACAGAACAGACAGGAAGTATGCCGTCCACATGGTGCGAAAGGGCTTGCAAGAATTGTGCGAACTGCCGAGCTGTGAAACGACGGGTCGGTGTCCTTTCTGTTCCATTTGTTCTCTCGCCTTAAAAGCTACCTCAAGTGCACTCTGACTTTCCACAGTGCGACAAAAGTTTCCACGTCGTGGACAGTGCACTCGTCTGCGCGAAAAATGTGCTGGATACCGGGATGAGTGGGACTTTGTCTTCTGTGACCGGACCTACCAGACCATAAAGCGAGTCAGCCAAAAATTGCGAAAGGGGCAGGCCAACAACCCTCTCTTGCTTGCAAAGTGATCTATTCCACCGAAGCTTAGATTCCAATCCCCATTTCCAAACCTTCAGGCGGTCACCCAGCTACTCGTCCTATCACGAACCCGTGATTTACCCCAGGCTGTCAACCCGGGCTCGGTAATGCGCCGCCAACCCTCTCGTCCTATATCAGTGATTATTTTCCGCGTATCGTCAGGTCAGTATGTCATCTTGACATGTCTCATTTCATCATATCGGGCATCTGTACGCTTACTATAAAAGCCCAATGCTCAAAAGGGCTTGCTAAGTATTGTCATGTGTATTCCTGGGAGAGCTCCATCGGGATATACATCTTTTGCAATATGGGCTTCGGCTCCATAACCTGGCAATTCAAGAATTGGCAAGAGCAATTAGTCGCAACGCCCACAACGATGTTATCGCTTATAGACGTGCACGCTATTCCAGCAAATCCAGGTTCGAAATGTTTCTCCGCTTTCTCATATTGCTGAGTGTAGAGCTCATACACCGACAGACCCACCACTGCCCCAAAACACTTACGGAATGGTATGCTCCTATAGATGGGCTGAACGCGATTATGAGGTACTACCGTCCTGAGAAAATCGACTCTCCGATCATGGCTGCCATCTACGGCCCGCACCAAAATATCAAAGTGATAAGAGGACTCATCTCCCAATGGCTCCATTTACTCTCTGATTACAATCACTGGTGCTTTCAGGGTTGATGCATTTATCAGAGGCGACAATTGTGTGACTTCCAGAGCCCCGGGAAGGCATTTTGACGATTTCATCAAGCTCTTACAGACTTATCTCGTCTTGCCGCCGCTGTTGACAGCTCTAGAGTCCGCGACCGATATGCATGTCAATCCCTACTCTGTGACTCCTTGAAGATTGAAATAGACCACAAGGAAATCTATAAGAAAATTCATGACGACATCGATGGGGACCTCTTATATATGCCAGCGGTGAATTAAAAGCCACGCTGACAGCTACAGATCGTTTATTCGGTCCTGCTTATCAATCCCGGTAGATTGGTGAAGCGAACATATACATCTTTCTCTGGTCTTCCACGTCCTGTGTCTATCCTCTCATTTGCCAACGTCAATTTTCTCGCTATGACAGACACGCCTGACTGTTTGAAGATCGACGATCGTTCTCCGGAACATCTTAACGCAATATGCGTCAGCAAGGCTACTAGATATATACTGTATGCAAGAGGGTATGAATTCATGGTCTATCTTCTATAGGATAATCTGTGAAATTCAAGTATCTCGAATTTACGGCCATATCAGGGATTGGGAGCGATTTCTTTGGGCCCAAGATATCTTTCAATACTGTGGGCTCCTAGGTTTGGACCATGCTGCGCGACTACGCGATATTTGGCGGAATTATTGGTTTGACACCAAAAATCATTATTTTCTCAAGTGAACAGGCTCTATATTATCCTGTCCGACCGTGGCAAAAAAAGCCATACATTCTTTTGGGCCTTCTATTTACACCAGGCAGAAAAACAGGACAAGTTTACCACCTGGCCAACGATCGCGGGCTGAGCGAATGAGAAATTGAAGTACAATCCAGCGTAAGGACCTCGTAGTTTCCCGGGGCGCAAGGTGGGATTCGACATAGGGGTTCTGGACCCAGTACTGCAAACGCCGTTTGTTGATCACCTTCAAAATATACCGATTTGCAGATCCACCCTATCAATGAAGAAATGACTTGTCGCGTGCGGCTGAAAGAAGCACTCCTTGTACTAGACGACTAAGGCTACGTGAGTCTTACCCGAAGCGTAGAGGAAATGGAAGCCAAGGCGACACACCTTGCTCTGCAAGACGAGAAAACAGAAAGAACGACAAATACTTGTTTGGGCCGCCGTGAGAGAACAAGGATTGAGATTTCAGACCTTATATTCAGGAAATTAACATGACGGGACTTGAAACTGCAGATACAGGATTCTTCTATCAAATGTTATGAATAGAGACGAAAGGATAGTCTAAATTGATCATAGAATACTATTGACTGCCCATGTCCCATATGAGCGGGTATTATCACATTCATCTCACGACCGCTAATTCCTTTGCCTATCTAGCTCTCATCACTGTCAAACTTCTCGCCAGCAACGTGCACAGTTGCACTTTGACGGCGGACAGCTTCTTCAAGATACTCTGGCTTGAGCATACCATGCTTGTCGTAGCGGTATGGCTCCTTGAGAGAGTATGTAACGGCATTGAAGACGTTTGTAGACTTCTTGAAGATGGCGTCCATCTCTTCCAGGGAACGGTAGCGGGTTTCTGGGAAGAAGAAGTATACAAATGGGAACATGAAGGCGTTGCTGTGATTGTTAGTTTGGGTTGAGGTTTAGGTGAGGCGAGACAGGCTGGCGCAACTCACATGACGGCGAAGATGATATAGGTTTGATATCCAATGCTGTCGAATGCAACGGGGGTAATCATCACAACCATGAAATTGAAGATCCAGTTGGCACTGTCGAGAGAAAAGGGTTAGAGTCGACTTGATAGGCATTCCCGGGAGGACCAATGTTTACCTGGTCGCTAGCGCATTCGTGGGTGCACGAATTCGCAGCGGGACAATTTCAGCAGGGTACAGCCATGTCATTCCAAGCCAACCAATAGCGAAGAAGGTATTGAAGACGAAGAGGAAAACTGCCTGCCCGATACCAGCTTGCTTGTCGCCGAGGTGCTCAAGGCGGTAGTTGCAGCCTGCGAGAACAGCCATCGAAACTGACATACCAGCAGCCTGAAGAGAACATTCGTTAGCCAATATTCTAGGTACGTTTTATAATAGATCACATACGCCGAACAGCATCAGCGGCCGACGTCCGGCCTTTTCAATGATGTAGATAGGAATAAAGGCAGCAAGCAAGTACTCTGTGCCGTTACAAGCAGCCAGTAGCTTCGGGAGACTACCTGACCCCAAGCCAATTTGAGCGTATAGCTCAGGCGCCTAGATGAATGTGAATGTATTAGAATGGCCCGGAAAATGGATATGACAAGAGAGAGAGAGAGAGAGCAAGAGTCTCACATAGTAGGTGATAAGGTTGATGCCTGAAATCTGCTGGAACATCTGATTGATGTAGGCAAGAGCAACACGATGGAACTCTCGGTATTCGCTCATATCGAACAGACTGCGGTAAGAGCCCTTTGACATCTCCTGAACGGTCTCCTTGATTGCGATGAGCTCGTTTCGGATGAAGGGATCGTCACGGTCCTTTTCATTGAGAGCCTCCAGGATCTCCAAAGCCTCTTCATCTCGGCCTTGCATGACAAGCCAACGAGGGGACTCGGGAAGGTTGATAATCGAGATGAAAATGACGACGGCAAAGAGGATTTGGAAGGCGAGCGGAAAACGCCAGGCGACTTCCTTCTCTCCGATAAACGAAAAACCTAGTTCACGAGTGTGAGTTGTTTCCAATCAACTTGCTCAATCAAGGATCGGACCTACCATAGTTAATCCAGTAACTGAGTGTGATTCCTCCGGTAATAAGGGCACCCTCAATCATAACCATTTTACCACGATCATGTGCCTTTGAAGATTCGGACTGCCATGTCGGGACAGTACTCGTGTTCATGCCATTGCCAATACCCGTTACAATTCGACCAACAATAAATTGCGGTAGGTCAAAGGAAGTGGCCTGCAGCAGAGCGCCGGTTGCCATAGTCACGCAGCCGCAGAAAATCGTCTTGCGTCGACCAAGCGGGTTGCCGATGAAGATGGTCAAAATAGCGCCGAAGAAACATCCAAGGTTGTAAGACGCCACGGCAATGCCTTTATTCAGACTGCGCTGGGACACAAGGGCTTCATTGTCCTTGATAGCCGGATCGGTGGAATTGATATCGGGAAAGTACTTGATAAATGAGGGCAGATCCAGAAGACCGCCGGTAACACCTTGATCATAACCGAACAGCCTGGTGCATTGACTGTTAGCTGCGAACACCAACGAGAGACTGTAATTGAAGTATCATACAGGAAATCAAGACTGCCAAGGGAACTGATGGCCAAGTTCAGAGATCGGCCTCTGAAACCGAAGAACCTCGGAAAGTTAAACATGATGCTCACACACAGCCCTATCTGGTGAGGATCAATCGAAGCATTGAGAACAGGGGAAATAAAGGCCTGACGGCCAGCAGGTTATATATCGTATCCACTCTCTAACTACATCCCCGGATTGACAAAAGTAGTAACCCGAGATGACTGGGGTTCCACAGTGCATGGGGAGAGCCAAGATGCTTGGAAACCATCGTGCGCAGCGGGGATGGGGCATTCCACGGTCGTTGCAGTTGGGGGCGGCTCAGCTGCTCCGCTATTACTGGTCCAAATGCCCAGACTGCTACTTTGAGGGTAATGGACGAAACCCTTGGCAGTGATATGCCACTCCTTGGCAGCGGCATGGCACAACTTGGCAGGCTGCTCTCGACTGGAGCGTGCCCATAGATTGGTCTGTGCTATATAAGCCGGGATTAGACGAATGGAAAATCAGAGACTAGAGTCAGAATTCGTGCAAGTGGGAGTGCTCTAGTGCGTTAGGGTACCACATGGTGAGTGTCGCTGCCTACGAAGTCAATGACTAAATAGGCTAGTACATAGAAAGTGCAGTGGATCCAGCCAGTCACCAGCGATGCAGTCATTTAAAACTCCGAACGCCTCGAGAGAATCGCAAAATAGATCTCTGGACATACCAAGACGGACAAGAACAGCTGGCATCGCCATTGTCATGGCGGATTCACGCGCTGGCTGTCCGTGACGTGCGCCAACAGCGGCGGGCATGGACCCCACGATCGAGAAAAGCCAAGACACCGCAACCGGGGGCGTCTCTGGGCAAAGCCACGCGAAGGGCGCCTTTTCTTGGCCTGGCCATGGCACCTGGGGAACCGATCCCTCTGCCCACGGGGAAACGGGTCTGTCGGTCCTTGGCCTAATTCCTCCTCCAATTGAAACCAGCGGGACGACTCTTGGAAGAGCAGACATGCCTTGAATCAGGAAAGAAAAGACGTCGAAGGCGCACCTCTTCTTCCATACTAATGCCAGGTGGATTGCTTGATTTTATTATTTACCGACGGCCGCGGTCCTTTTGACGCCGGAACGTGGCAGGGCTGGCTCGCGCTCACGAATTTCATTGGCGTGGAAGTAGACTACAGTAGTGTAGGGGCGACCCGGGCCATTCCATCATGGATCAGTTCGCGAAACTAGATCCCTGGCTCCTGCGGACTGCCCACCGGACTCCATTTCTCCCTGCTAGATCATCATCTGTTCGAGAGCCAGGGTACCACGTCCAGGCGGCACCAGGGCTCGGGTGACTGTTTTGAGGATGTAAAGTCGATCGTGACGCCACGGTGCTCGCCGGCGCGGCCAGTGGCACCCGGCCAAGACGCTCGTGTTGCGATTTCCGAAGCCGGCGAGGCGCCCCGCGATTCGCTGGACGAGATTTAGTTCGCCTCGGACTATCCGACCGGCGAGCTCCCGCCGTGAACCAAGGTTTGAGTGTGGCAGTGAGGCGGTTGAGTTGCGGGTGGCGGGAGGAGTAAATGGCGTCACCACTCTGCGCTTCCCCTGGCGCACCGCCGTCGGCTGCACGAAGCCGAGCCTCCAAGATGCTCTCCGCAGCCAGCATGCACTCGGCGTTTTTGGCGCCGCATGAGGTCGCACAGCATATTGCGAATAGGTTGGGAAAAGAAAGGGCAACTTGGGGCTGAATTATCAATAATTGGGATTCTAGTCACCTAGAGCGCCTCAGTATATTACGTACTTTCATCTACAATCGTCGAGGACTAGTATATTTTGATTATTTACGAGCTCCGATCCTGTTATAAATTATCTATTGTTCGTAGCCTCAGCAGCCCGTTGGATTACCTGAATTTGACAGTGGTGAATAACCACCAATCAGTCACAACGCGTGATGTGAGCTAGCAAGTCCGTGCACGGTGGCTAGGTAACGCGAGGGCAACCCAGATAGGTAATCCGCACTGTACTTATGGCGCCATATGACCCAAATGACTGATTCCTACTCGGTGTTCTAGTAAGCAGGTTTGTGCTAGAGTGTGGGTCCAAGATGGGGAACCACATGGCACAGGAGATTCCTTGAAGGTCCCCAACGGCTTGAATGTGTATAGTAGATTGTTCATGAGTCGCTTTAACCCACTGGGCTGTTGATAGCGTAAATGTCAACTACATCAAACAGGCCTGACGTCAGGAATCAAGAAGCAGAAGAGGATGGCTGCTCGATCTGGCAAACTGCAGAATTTGGGTCTTCCACTATCGCTTTGAGACAACTTGGCGACTGAGTGTACCAGTATCTTCACTCCCCTAAGGTAGGCACTATCCAACTGTGTTCCATTCCGTGTTGAAAACTATGCGTGGATGGCTTGCCATCGCACTTTAAAAACGCCGCACTATTTTAAGAAAAGCACAGATCACCCGTAGCCAAGGAAGAATTCTTGTCGAAGGTCGAAAAGTTGGTCTCGGAGATTTCTCGCGTTTCATCATGGTCGATGGCACCACCTAGGATAGTTAACCGCCGGTGGATACCTTGCGCGCGAAAGCTTGCATGACAAATTGAAGCTACTTTAGTAGTTAGTAGTCTAGCTCTGAAACCGCCTTCAGAATTTGGAATTGTGGGTTTTAGACGACACTACACTAAATCTAGTAGAAAGAAAACCCCGAGAATCTCCTGATGACGGGCAATATCGTCCTAAGTCCGTGGCATCCGTGCATTGACCGACCATCAACAAAATCTAATATCGGACCGACTAATCCGCAGTGGCCAAAAGTCGCCGAACACCTCGGCTCGGGGGATGAATTGCACCGCCTGTCGCAGAAATCTGGGTGAGCGGGTCGCGGTCTCAACGGTGACGATCGACGGTTCTCTACTGTTACCCGATCCGGATGCTTCCGGGCCGTGGCACCACCTTCCACGAGGAAAGCACGAGTAACGCACTGCTAAACGTTGACCGCCCACGCGTAGCCGACCCTATAGCAATTAACCTTAACCTGATCGTCTTGGAAATCTCTGGAAGCCCTTGACGTGCGGCTCCACGCCGAATTTTTTTCTCTGCAATATCTCCACTGAATAATCCACTCCGATCGCTGGAACACGGCACACAGCTTCCAGAATGATGAGAAATCCAGGGGGGAAGCACGGTGCAACAGGGGCTTTTAAAAGCTGGGAGGAAAATTGGGTTTTTCGTGGTGCTAGTATTAGAATCAAATCATTCCATTGAGACACCCCAAATCGATAATCCAAGTTTCAACAGCAAAAATGAGCGTCACTTTCGATGTTTTCCGCGGCTCCAAGGAGGGCCAGATTGTCGCGGACCAGACCACACGCACTTTGGGATACAATGAAGTCTACATCGAAACGACACACTCCGGCCTCTGTGGTACCGACGAGCACTTCTTGAAGTCCGGCCAGGTGCTGGGCCACGAGGGTGTTGGTGTTGTTCGTCAGCTGGGTCGTGATGTGACCGAGGTGAAGGTTGGAGACCGCGTTGGATTTGGATACACCCACTATGTCTGTGGCACTTGCGACAAGTGTCTATCTGGTAGGTCGTCATGAAAGATCTGGACGATCAACGGACGCCAAACTGACTTTACCTCTAGGCTGGGACCAGTACTGTGAGAACAAGAAGGAGTACGGCACCCACGACCACGATCTCGGTTCCTTCGGCCACGGTGTCGTCTGGGATGCTCGCTGTGTTGTTCCCATCCCTGATGGCTACGACGCCGCCGACGCTGCTCCTCTGATGTGCGCTGGCGCCACCGTCTGGACTTGTCTGACCGAATATGGCGTTCGTCCTACTGACCGCGTCGGTGTGATGGGAATTGGCGGTCTCGGCCACCTGGCTATCAAGCTCGCCTCTGCCATGGGATGCCACGTAGTTGTTTTCTCCAGCTCTGAGGCCAAGCGCGAGGAGGCCTTCGGCTTCGGCGCCTCCGAGTACCACGTCTTCCGTGCGGGCCAGGAGCTCAGCGACTTCAAGCCCGTTAACCATCTGCTGCTGTGCGGTAGCGCCAACGTGGACTATACCTCGTGAGTGGATATCGTACCTACCATGATTGCTCAGATTTGCTAACGAATGAATGACAGTCTGATCCCCTTGATGGACGTCCACGGCTCGATCTATCCCCTGACTGTCGATTTTGCTCCCTCTCCCGTTCCCCTGCTTTTCATGAACATCAAGGGTATTCGCATCCAGGGCTCCCTTGTCGCCTCTCGCCGCAGTCTTCGGACTCTTGTTCAGTTTGCTGCGGATAAGAAAATCACGCCGACAAAGATGACCTTCCCCTTGACCAAGGAGGGTGTTGAGAAGGCTATGCAGACCCTTCGCGATGGCAAGATGAGATATCGCGGTGTTCTCGTGCGCCAATAGCCGAGTTTTGCAACGTCGGTGTTATGGAGTTGATGTAGATAACAGAATTAAACATATTGATGTAGACTAGATCATTTCACAAATTTATCTCATGACTTGAATCATTCGGCAAAAAGAAGTCGCATGTCTCTATATTGTAACAATGTCTAAGCTGTTTAACTGCATTCCTTTGCAGGCATTTACACCTTGGGTGGTTGAACGATGTTGACCATACATGTCGATGAGAACATCCCGCATTGTCTCAGCAGTTTGAAACTAATATTGAAGAGACTTTTCGGGCTGAATTAGGCACTATACGGCATGACTGAAATACACCTGAGAAGCCCATGGGACTTTCCGCCGGCTTCGCACAAAATGGAAAAGAGCAGTCTGGGTATTGCTGCTGTTTCTTTCGTGTTTTTTCCTTCGACTCTTATGATCTTGCCTGGACATACGTCAACTATACCTACTGTGCCACTATTATGCCTTAAAATCTGCGTACCAAAGGTCTTGCTATTTATTTGTCGGTCCAACAAATAGGCAACACCTCCAATCAGTTCGTCAACCCCATTTCCCTGGACGCGATTGCTTGGCGGTATTACGCTGCCTACGTTGCCATTGACCGCAAATTCGTTCTCATGATTTACTAATTCCCCTTCGAGACCAAGAAGCTCTCTATGGAAGAAGTGGGTATGATCTTCGACTTCGGCACCCTGCTAGAAAGCCAGCTGCTATTGCATTTGATGATCCTCTCAAAAGGCCTGAGGCTGTTACAGGGGTGGGGTCTTCTAGTCACGTGGAAATTAAGGAGAAGTTTCAGGACAAGATAGGGAAAGCGACTGAAGCGTTTATTGAAATCCCGATACGCCTTTCAGCTATCTTTCGCAATTTTCTTTTTGCATTTGTATAAGAAAAGGACTGTAAAATTCGGAGGAAAACAACGAGTTCATCCCCTTCTGCAGTTTCAGAGATCGTGATCTCTTGGGGCATATAGGAATGTCCGTCATTCCTGTTCCATTGCCTTTTTGAATGGGTCAATATCGGTTTCTTCCGATTTGCCTTTGACTGATATGCCAATGTTGGTTTTGCCTCGTAGCGGATCCACCCACATCTCGGCATCACGCTGGACTTTTGCAGCTTTTCTGATATTTCGACTTTGACTTGAAACTAATATGTTTGTAGTCGTCTGTAATCGTCTTGGCAATCAACGTCCTGGCGGAGGAAATATAACAATATAGGGCACGCTCGATGCGTCCGGGGGCAACATTTTCCGCTTATGTGATTGGCTGTATGGCGGAGTAGAGTGATGACTAATGCTACTCATATCAACAATGCGATTGTTCGAGTATCGAATAAATTTCCCTGGAGTAAATCTATCTATTGCTGAGTAGACATGCTTTTAAAAGGCTATGTATACCACCACAGTCCAAGTTTTCTCATGCCCGACGCACCTTGAACTGAGGCACCGTCCACCCCGTCACTACTCCAACAGTATTCCTAACCTCAAGCCTATGGAAATGAGCAACCGCATCTCGCATAGTCGACGTTCCAACCTGCAGCTGCTCCAAAATCTCCGCCACGGCAGAATAAAGAATCGGGATACTACCATCCTCAATCTTAACCGCGATACCAACAGCACCCTCAGCCCCAAGCGACCTCGTCCACTCCGACTCCTTCACACCAACCCCATAACACCCATCCGCACCCAGTTTTCCAATAACCTCCCCCCCAAACGCATTCATCAGGATAGTACAGAATCTGTCCTCACCCCCGACATTCTCAGGATACCGCGCCATCGCATTAAACACTCTACCCATCGCCTTCATCCTCGAATCACTCGAATCCTCCATCTGTGACCGACCCGCCGCCGCAAAAACAGCATACATACTCGCAAGACAATTCAACGAAAATGCCGGCGCAGGAAGATTACACCCATCAAGACCCCACTTAGATTCGCCCGGTCCCAGCCCACAAATCTCATCCACAGCCTCGCGAATCCGCACTTGAAGTGGGTGCTCAGGGAGATGATAACTCCCCACGTCCGCGCCCAGTGCCTTCGCCGCGGCGATCATGCCTGCGTGCTTGCCGGAGCAGTTACTGCATACGGGCGTCGGGGTGAAATCCTCGCGTATCCACCTGTGATAAACAGCCGGGGAAACAGGGACGTGGCCTCCGCATTTTAGATCATCTTCGGAGGCAGAGATGTCGGAGAGGATTCGTCGTGCGCGCTCGATGTGTCGGTCCTCGCTGCTGTGTGATGCACACATTAGTGCGAGGTCGGCGGGGGATAGGTTAAATTTCTCCAATGCGCCTGTTTCGACGATTGCGAGGGCTTGTGCAGGTTTCGCTGCTGATCGGGCGAGGGTTGGTCGGGTTGCGTCGCCGACGCTATATAGAAGGTTGCCGGTGCTGTCGACGATGGCGGCGTGGACTGCGTGGCGGTTTTCGATGACGCCGCCGCGGTCGGTTACGATGAAGTCAGTGGAGAGCGGTGTGAGCATTTTGAGAGGGTATTAAAATTGGAATTAGAGGGATAATGTTTGAATTCTATTTCCTGGTGGTGTTCTCTTCTTATATTTACCGATGCTGATTCCGTCGTTCCTGCCCACCCCTTTCGGTTTAGTGCCTGCCCGCAGTCAGGGTCCACGGCTGATCGGAAATCCCGTGACTGGCGTCTTCGAGAACAATAACCCATCCAAGTGAGGAGCGAAAACTACTGCAGTTTCCGAACCCTCTCGGTTTTGGACCATCGAGTAGACTTGCAAATAACTGGGGACTACTAATAGGAAACACTGGTTGCTGCAAGCAGATGCTGTTTTTGGCATCAAGATATATCTCGCACACTAACAGCTACCCATGTTGCTTGGTGATGACGATCGGCAGGTCCCGATCACACCAGACGGATCTGGTCTATTTTGCAATACTCACGGCGAGTGAACATTTGAGAAATGATAAAGAGCCGGTGCTCTTTTATATGCTTTTTCCATATTTACGTCACGTGATCCCAAGAGGAAAGGGATTCTACTCAATACCAAGCGACCAGAGGAGACAAAGTCGAGGAGATGATAATAGTAATATGCGCTGTTGTATGTAAAAATGTGATGAGTCTAAATATGTGAATAAGGATAACCCCGTAAATGTGCTCGGTGGTAGATAAGACCCATGCCAGGCTAAGAGCCAAAAATTTTCCCCAGAACTCCATAAAAAATCGCTCAGACGCTCCAGAAAACCCCAGAAATGAGAAGTCATTAGATAACCGTGTATGGACGCAAATTTGCTCGAAAAAAGATGCGCAAAGAAAAAGATGCGCAAAGAAAAAGTCGAAGCAGGTCTAGAAGCTGAACAGACCAGTGCGCTTCTTGCCGTAGGGATAGACGATGAGGGCGGCGATGAACAGGCCAACGGTAATACCGATAGCGACTTGAATCATGCCGAAACCGAGGCTGGCAACAGACGTTGCGGAAAGGCTGCTGCTGGAAGAACTGTTGCCGGAGGTCTGGAGGTTGTGTCGGACTTCATCGGCGTACTGGATGCCCGCGATCAGGGATCCACTAGATGCCAGACCGGAGGGTACGAGTACGAAAATTCCTGGGAGAATGGCGGTCGCGGCGTGGCCGTGCCAGACGCGACTGTAGAGATTGCCCAGGACGCCGATGGTGAATGCGCCGACGGTGTTGGCAACCTCGGAGTTGGAGCCGAGTCTTGTGGTACTGAAGTAGTTGCTGATGTAGCCCGACACAGCAATGAAGACCATGACCGGCATTTGCTTCCATTTACCGTGGTTGACGATGGCGAGAAAGACTGCGTAGATGGCGACGAAAGGAAACTGTCGTACGTATTCAGATCCGTAAATGCCGAGATTGGAACATGTAGAGGAAGAAGTGGCGTTGGCGTCCATGAGACCGTAGATGGTGGTGCCGACGGTGATACCGTAGCCGAGGAAGAGAGAGTAAATGATAGCGTAGACCATGCGAATAGACCCAGCGATCATCTGGTGCGATTGCAGTTCCAGACTGCTGCAGAGGACCATGAAACCGGGAAGAATGAGGGCAATCGATGACTGTGCCAGGGCAGAGAAACAAAACAGCTCCTCCTGGGTACCATTGCGTGTAACTTTGATACTGCCAAAGGCCCGGGCAAGGAACGAGGTGAGGACAGCGGCGGTGACTTCGAAGACATTTGAATAAAGAACGGAGCGCGGCGCGAGGACATGCTGCATGAGGCCAACGAGGCAGCCCAAGAAGAAAATGATCGGCATGTCGATTGGGCGAGCCTTGAAGGCAAAGGGACCGACCGTTGCGCTAGCCAGGCCATACATCAGGACGATGATCCATTTGTTAAATCGCGGCTTACGCTGCATGATCTCATCCAGTTCCTGGGTTGCTTCCTCAACTCCAATGAGATCGTGCACGACGTTCTTGTACACATTGTGCGTGTCGGCCAGACGCCCCAAATCGACACCCTGCACCATCCGCACCAGCTTGACCTCGGCCGTTCGGGTGACCGGGTCGTCAAAGGACATCATCATGCACCCGGGGAGGTACAGGAACTGGCCCGAGACCTCCAGGACGCGGGCCGTCATTTGCATGTACTCCTCGAGACGATGGGTCGGCGCACCGTATCGCATGAGCGCACGACACAGCTGCATGATGTAACGTTGGCGAGCCAAGATCTCGGCGATGTGAACGGTGACACGGATTTCGTCTTCGAGGCGCGTCTTGCGCTTGTTCTTCCTGTGCTTCTTGCCCGGCTGCATGGGGGCGACACCCGGCAAGGTCGTGCTGCTGAGGTTCATTGAGGCGTCGACCAGCGACGACGTAGACCGATGCGCAGGCTTCTTGTACCATTTAATCTTCTCCTTGCGGGGGGTCGCTGAGCCCGAGGCCAGCGCCGACGGCGGGACCGACGGCGAGAGGGAGCCGACCTTCTTGGGCGTCGTGGCCCCAGATGAGACCTGAGTGTCGCTGTCGGAGTCATCAGTGATGACACTCTCCGGGCGCGAGGAGCTGCCGGTCGAGACGGCCTGCAGCCTCAGCAGCTGCGAGAGAATACCACTACCGCCGGCCAATCCACTAGATCGTCGACGGGCAAAGCCTCGCAGCACTCCCTCCGGCGTGGTCTGGCCGGATCGCTGGTATGCGCCGCGCGGCTTGCGCTTGCGCAGCTCCTGGGCCTGGGTCATGGTGCGCACCAGACGGTGGGCTTCAGCGGTTGGGGCAGCCTCGATGGGCTGGACGCCGCTCTCCAATGCCTGGAGTTGGTCTGCCTCGTGGAGCGCTCGTCGGGCCTGCAATTCCTCGAGAGGAATGCCATTGTCAAAGTCTTCAGGGAAATAGGATGCGTTCAGGGCCTCGCCTTCGTCCAAAGGGCGACCGAGCCGTTCCGTCAACTTGATTGTCTTCTGGCGCAGCATTTGCCCTGCAGCTCGGAACCGCTCGCGCGCCGACGCGGTGCGCTCAATGAGCGTCTGCTTCTCTGCATCGCCTGGCTCTCCAATCTCAGTCAATGGCTCGCCTGGGGTACGGCCGCCTGTGAGGCCGCGGGAGTAGGAATGCGTGGGCGCCGGCGGGGTGACGCTTCCGGAGGGCGCCTCGCTGATCTCCGGTGGCGGCAACAATGGGCGATTTGCTGCGTCGGACTGGTTTGAAAAGATGCGATGGTGGCCATCCTCATGATGATGGAATTTCTCACTAACAGACCGGCTGATCGAGCGAAAACGCACCCGGGGCGATCGTATGGGCGGGGCAGGCGGTACCTGCATGGTGTTGTGCAGCCCCGCATCGTATTGCTGCACATCGGCCGTGGCTTCACGCTCAAGGCTCTGCCGGCTGCCGGGATTCACGGCAGTCTCCTGGCTTCCATGACGACTGTCGCGATGGGCACTGGATATGGCCTCGAGATCGGGGCTGGCGGGCGGCGGCAGGGGGACTGCCAGGGAAATCTCGTCGTACTCTTCGGTTGGGCTGGGATGCGGATTGCTGATGGGGGAGGACATGAAGGGCGGCACCGGCGGCCCGGCTAACAACACAGGTGTGAATATATATAGAGAGAAACGAGAGAAATCTATGAGAAAAACAATAAAAACAAACTCACCAGCAGGAATGTTTGAGAATATGTAGAACGGGCTGCAAACAGAGCTCGATGGTGGAGTCGGCGAATATCACACGGGCCGTGTAGACGACGGCTTTTTTTTTCTGGAACCGGCAGTTCACAGGTCTAGATCAGGGTCGCCCGGAGATCGCCATGATTTCATCGATAAGCCCGTGGTTCTGCCTGAACAATGAGGTGCCGGGCATAGCTGTAATACCGGCAGAGATTTCTGCCTGTGCCTTCCACTCTTTGTCCAAATCACATCCCGAGCGCAGATAACGCAATCCTTCTTCGCGCACCTTCTTTTTTCGCCTCCCCATCTCTCCTTTTGCGCCGTGCCTGGCAGGGTCTCTCACCCCTGCCAATGATGGCGCCCAGCAGCGCACACGTACCACCGTGCATCAGCTTGGCCAGTGGGTCGAGGGTGGCAAGCTTGGGACGCCATGGTTCGTTCCACTTTGTCGACCTTCCTGGAGGGTCTGTCGGGTCGATACCAGCAGCCCCCAGAGACCTTCGAACGGTTCTAGCGCGGGCCTACGAAGCCTAATGCGATCTAGCCTCACGCCGAACCCGACTAGCTTTATCGCTTGCTGCGTGCAATAACGAGCGAAAACCGTGGAAGGGCCGACCCTAAGCCCCCCTCCGGCGCCACCCTTCATCCACAGTTGGGCACAATGGCTTGCCCCTGTCACATCCCTCCGACGGATGCCTGTCGAGCACGGCCGACGTCGATCGGGATCCACGTTCACTATGTAAAATGATATAGCCACCTCCTGAGCTCAGGAGCTGAGGTGGATTTATCGCAAGGTGTGACAGCGCCATGGTCCACCGCCATGGTCCACCGCCATGGGATCATCCTGCCATGATGGCCGACCAGAGGCGCTTAGCTGCCGAGAGCGTCCCTTGTGGAGACGGTTGACTGTCAACTGAGGGGAATAAACAGGGAGCATCGAACCAGCCGCCGCCGTTTATACATAGAAACACCCCGGGGGCCCACCGCCGCGAAAGACTGAAGTGACATTACGAAACGCCTAGACATGACAAGACACAAGAGTGCTCTGTGCGCGCCACTCGTCGCAAGTGGGGGAGGGGAGGGATGGATCATTGCAATTGGATTTTCCTAGACGCCTCTGATGTGATACACTAAAAAAAAAGGTCCAGACGCCCTCCTGTCCCAATTTCAAGATTTCCCTTTCCATCTTCCCCGAGGGTCCGCCCCGTCGCAGATTTCCGGTGTCATGCATGTGCGCGTGCATGGCGCTGGCGTTTTGAGTTGCGCATTGCTGCACTTTGCATGATAAACATGGCATTTGCAGTAGTGGCACTGCTCTGACGAAATTCAAATTACTCCGAGCGCTTCTTATCGGGCAACGACCATCCATTCAAATACCCCACGCCCACATTGAGATACGACGCATATCCCAACCACGCGTAGTACGGAACCATCAGCCAAAAGGCTATGCGATCCGCCGACCACCAGTTGGCCAGAAGGGCCGTCACGTTGCCTACCAACAGGGCCATATCGCCCAGGGCCGAGGCCGGTCGACCCGCCCCGAAGAACAACGGCATCCAGAGGAAGTTGAGCGCGAGCTGGGTCGTGTAGAGTGTTTGGGCCTTTGCATTGGCCTCCCGCACAGCCAGGGAAACCGAGTTTGCAGCGGTCACCGTGGCATGGTGCGAGGCATACCCCATCATGCCGTACAGAACGGTCCAGACTGGGGCAAACAGCCAGGCCGGCGGGTTGAGCGGGGGTTGGCGGAGATCGCGGTAGGTATTTTGTGTGTTGTTCCCTGGTGAGAGTCAGTGTGAATTCAGAGACCGGGATTTGAAAGCGCAGCTGCCGTCGCATTGGCATTGGGTGGGAGAAATCACTCACGGTTGACGAGCAGGGCGACGGCCGTGCCGCCGATGATGGGCGTTGCGACCGATAGCAGGGGCGACGTAAACACGCCCTGCGGGAGAGCAAAGGACCACGGCATGGTGAGCAGTTGAGATATGTTCAGATTGAACGATCTGTAAGAGTGGAGGGGGAAATTACTGGTCAAGTCGATCGGCGTTGAAAGAGGGTTGGCTTGATGAGGCGATCGCGATCTGGGGATGTTCGCGGGCCGCTACGTCATCTGCGATTGCCGAGGAGCCACTTTGGCCGACGCGATGGCTAGGTCACGCTCCAACGCTCGATTCCACCTCGTTACAGCTCGATTCGCACTGGCGCCGATCTGGTGGTCGACTACCTATGGTCTAGACGATCGGGTCTGGTGGGCTGGTCCTATTGTTGATGCCTATTGATTTTTGTCTGAGTCGTCATGTTGGGCGCATTTTAGCACATCCTCGTGGATACCCTGGTTGGTGCTGTACGACGTTTGCTCGATCACAATGAATTTCTCCTCCGGGGACTTTTTCTTTTTCACTTTTTTTTTTTTTTTGAGTGCAGGTCTTCACGAGTCGTCGGGGAGCTCGGTGCTAAGTGACCGGTTCAGAAGGACCAGGCACGATATAAAGCGATGCAGGTTGGGCTGGAGCGCGACCCCCGACTAAAAGCGCCTAACCGCAGAGCTCGGTGACTTTTTTTTTTTATTGCTGACTTTGCCGATTGCTGACTGCAAGATGCCATTGCGCTTGTTGTGTCTCCATGGTTGGGGCACCAGTGAGAAGGTTGGTGTTGAGTGCTGGTGTCGAGAAGGGAGAGGCACCCTTGGTGCTGACACTGATTGCCGGTAGATCTTGCGCTCGCAACTGAGTAGGCAACACGCAAGCCAAGAGCTGCCTCAGGTATTGCATGATTCTGATCCATTGAGCCTTTCTAGGCGGTCTTATAAGTGACCTGCAACGGGATAATATGGCCACCTTCCATTTCCTAGAGGGCGAGGTCGACTCCGACCCAGGGCCAGGCATCGCAGGCTTCTATGAAGGTCCCTACTATAGCTACTATCGCTTCCCGCGGACATTTTCTCTAGAAGACCGTGACGAAACAGACATCCTCGAAGCCTACGAGCTCCTCTACGAGACAATCGCACTCCACGGCCCCTTCGACGGCGTCCTAGGCTTCTCACACGGTGGCACCTTGGCCGCCGGCTTCATGATCCACCACGCAAAACTCCACCAGAACAGAATGCTACCACCGGAGCCGCCGCTGTTCCGGTGTGCCATCTTCGTCAATTCCTTACCGCCGTTTCACATGGATCCCGGTAAATTCCCCGTGATAGATCCGGGTCTGGATGGCTACATAACCATCCCCTGTGTAAGTATCACCGGCGCACAAGATCCGCTCTTCGATTGCTCGCTCGCTCTGCATCGCCTCTGTGATTCCAGGTCGTCGACCTTTGTCGTGCATGGGAAGGGCCATGATGTCCCCACAGACCGGAAGAATGTTGCCCTTATGGCGGCTGCGATTCGAAAGTTGGCTATCCATATCTCGGGCTTATAGTGTTACCCGAGATAAGAGAATTGAGCCGATATCATGTCTTAGTTTATCGAACTACTATTGTATTGATGTTCACTACCCCTGTTCGATCCGAGTAATGCAACTCTCTAGGTCGCCATAGATATCCTATAGACTTGAAATGACCCGAGGGAAATCAGGAGCCATAAGGTTCGGGGGCTGAGACCAGTTACTCTGACGTGGGCATTCGTGCCGTTTTCCTACCGTCTCACTCTCCAATATACCAATTCAGAGCAGAAGGCATTGGAATCAATCAATCATGGAGGAAATCCCCATCCTCATTGAGAATGCAGACCCCAAGATTCAGGAGGATGACTCTGCCATGGAACCTATGCACAGGTTCGGCGAAAAGGAAGAGCCATATGGAGATCTCTCAATCCTAGCCCAAGACCTGATGACGCCGATAGCGATTATAGGGATGGGATTTCGAGGACCTGCCGATGCCGTCACTGTTGACAGACTATGGGATATCATGATGGAGCAGCGAGAGGGCTGGTCGCCCATTCCGGCAAAGAGGTGGAATAACGCAGCATTCTATCACCCAGATCACGCACACCATGGCACAGTAAGTAGTCAATATACTAATCGGACTTGGTTGTCATCTCAAGCATGCTGAAACGTGGTGGTGGCAGATAAATGTGCAAGGCGGTCACTTCCTCGAAGAAGACATCTCCCTGTTCGACGCACCCTTCTTCAACATGTCCAGCGATGAGGCAGCCGCAATGGACCCCCAGCAAAGACTCCTGCTGGAGGTGACATACGAAGGACTTGAAAGTGGTAAGTTTTGACGGAGATCCCAGAGAAATCAACACGATGCTCACGCACGCCCACCAGCCGGAATCTCTTTGAACCACATCGCGGGAAGCCGGACTTCATGCTTCGTCGGCTCATTTTGTGCCGACTATACCGATATCCTTCTCCGCGATCCAGAATGTGTCCCGATGTACCAGTGCACGAATGCCGGGCAGTCCCGCGCAATGACCGCAAACCGGATCTCATACTTCTACGACTTGAAAGGACCCAGCGTTACCGTGGATACGGCCTGCTCTGGGAGCCTGGTCGCATTACATCTTGCGTGTCAGAGTCTACATACCGGGGACGCGACGATGGCTATTGCGGCGGGAGTCAATGTCATTCTCAGTCATGAGTTTATGTCCACGATGAGCATGATGAGGTATTGCAACCCGATATCCAGCAGAAATGTGCTGGGGCTCTGACATTTCACAGATTCCTTTCCCCAGATGGCCGCTGCCATACCTTTGATGAAAAGGCAAATGGCTACGCACGAGGTGAGGCTGTTGGATGCGTGATCCTGAAGCCTTTAGACCAAGCCCTGCGGGATCGAGATACCATTCGAGCCGTCATCCGAGGAACGGGATCTAACCAAGATGGCCGAACTCCCGGAATCACACTTCCAAGTGCCACCGCCCAAGAAGCACTGATCCGAGATTTATATACCAGAGCCGGACTAAATCCGAGCGAGACGGACGTGGTCGAAGCACATGGTACAGGGACGCAGGCTGGCGACCCGGTCGAAACGGGTGCAATAGCTCGCGTATTTGGACCCGGGCGAGCTCAGGGTCGCCCTGTTTGTATAGGGTCTATCAAAACCAATGTTGGACATCTCGAGGGGGCCAGTGGGATCGCTGGTGTGATTAAGGCGGTTCTGATGTTGGAGAATCGTACGATCCTGCCTAGTCGGAACTTTGAGACGCTGAATCCGCGTATACCGTTGGAAGAATGGAAATTGAAGGTGAGTGTCCGCTTGCTGAGGTTCCTCGTTGAACTGTCTCTCACACAGATAGATTCCTCTGACACCGGAAGTATGGGATTCAGCTGGTCCCCGTCGTGTCTCAGTCAATAGTTTCGGGTATGGTGGGAGCAATGCTCATGTAATTTTGGAAGATGCATCAGGCTATATTTCCAGTCGTGGCTTGTGTCAGTGGTTTAAAAAACCGTCGAAAGCAATGAGGAGAAAGGAAAGAGACAATGAAGGCTGTTCAGACGCACATCCTGAAAGGCAGCGAATATTATTAGTCTCAGGATTTGACGAGAGGTCTTGCGTCGAACATACAAGGGCGATTTGCGACTTCCTCTTGGAATACGAAGACACGGTTAACGAAACATTGCTCGACGACCTCGTATTTACCCTGAGCGAGGGTAGATCTCGATTCATGTGGAAGACGGCAGTCATCGGAAGCTCAATTCACGAAATGGTCAGGTCACTCTCCGCTGGGACAAAACCCCACAACTCATTACGGAGACCGACCCTAGCTTTCATTTTTACTGGACAAGGCGCTCAGTGGGCTGGGATGGGAAAAGAACTGCTAGAGGCTTATCCCGTTTTCTGTGATTCTATTTCTCGGATAGACAGCTTTTTGGTGGAGGCGGGGGCATCGTTCACTGTTCATGGTATGTGTGCTATCATATTGAGATCCTACATTCTGGGCTAACTCAGGGAAATACAGATGAAATTTCCCAGGGCCCCGGAAATTCTCAACTGTCTCACCCGCTTCTAAGCCAGACAGTGTGCACGGCACTTCAGATCGCGCTCGTGGATCTATTGGCATCTTGGAACATATACCCCGACTCAGTGGCAGGCCATTCCAGCGGGGAAATTGCTGCTGCATATGCATGCGGTGCGTTGAGCATGGAAGATGCCATGAGGGTTGCATTCAGCCGAGGTTTAGCTGCCAGCCAAGTCCTGACCTCGAGCGATATCGAAGGTGCTATGATGGCGGTTGGGATGTCATGCGATGAAATCCGGCCTTTCTTGTTGAAAATTGAATCTGGAAATGCTGATATCGCCTGCATTAATAGCCCTTCAAGCGTGACAATTTCTGGTGATGCCAGCGCTATCGACGAGCTGGCACAGGTACTGGAATGCAGGTCCATTTTCTTCCGTCGCCTTGCTGTCAATGTCGCCTATCACTCGCATCATATGAAATGCGTTGCCGACGAATATCTCAGCGCAATCTCTACTATAAAACCCCGGGGCCCGCAAATGAGAGATGGATATGCACAGAAATCGTTTGATGTACAGTTTTTCTCCTCGGTTACCGGAGACGAGATCCAACCAGAGGAGCTTGGCCCTCAATATTGGGTCTCCAACCTACTTGGCCAAGTCAAATTCTCCGAGTCAGTTAAATCACTTTGTTTCAAAACAAATGTCTGGCACCAAGAGCCGAAGTTGAAGAGAAGATCTAAGCGACTCGGAAGTTCGCAAAAAGCGAGCGTGGACTGTCTCCTCGAGGTCGGCCCACATTCCGCCCTTTCTGGTCCTATCAAACAGACGCTTCAAGCAAATGTCAAACTTCATACCGTCGACATCACATATATTAGCGTTCTTGTTCGCAAGAAAAATGCAGTCAAGTCAGCGCTCCTGGCCGCATCTACACTGGCGTCCATCAGCTACCCAGTCAGTCTGGACGCCATTAACTTCCCAAAGGGCGCGAAGCATGGAAGAGTACCACAGCTTCTTGTCAATCTGCCGTCATACCGCTGGAATCATACTCGGTCCTACTGGGCTGAGCCACGATTGAGCAAAACATTCCGGTGTCGTGAAAATTCCAGGACAGAATTGCTAGGGGCGTCAGATAGCATGGCATGTCCTTTTGAGCCGCGATGGCGAAATTTCATCAGAGTCTCCGAGGTACCGTGGTTGGTGGACCACAAGATTCAATCGGATATTGTTTTTCCTGCCGCGGCGTATCTGTGCATGGCTGTTGAGGCTGTCGTCCAAATAACAAGAAGTGCGCAGATCACCGGAATCGTCTTGAGAAACGTTTCAATTAACTCCGCACTTATCGTCACCGAAGATTCAGGGATCGAAATGATGACTTCACTTCAAATACTGAAAGCTCGCTCAACACACGGCTCAGAAACATGGTACAAATTCCACATCTATTCAGTCTCAAAAGATAATAGATGGACCGAACACTGCACAGGAGATGTGGGAATCGAATCACAAAACAGCGATGCCGAGAATGTCACAATTCGCTACATGGATAAACTTGAATTTCTACCTCCGGGCTCCGAAGCACAAACTATTCAAGCAATCGACATTGACAACCTCTACCAGCGACTGAAAAATGTGGGATTAGAATATGGGCCTTGCTTTACCAATTTAGCACGTGCCCAGTCAACAGCAACCGGAGAATGCTTTGCTGAGATTTCAATACCGGATACCGCGTCAATGATGCCAATGAAATTTCAACACCCACATCTCATTCACCCCTGTACGCTGGACAGCATCTTCCATACAGCCTTTGTCGCCTTGCCGGATGGAATGATAGTGGAGAAGGGACCTATCATTCCTGTCTCGCTCGAGTACATGCGTCTATCCCATCAGATGACTTCTTCACCCGGAGACATACTGAGCGTCTGTACCGAGATTTGGCCGACGTCAAACGGAGACGTCGTGGCGTCAATAGCCGTGGCGGAAGATGACGCACGATACTGCAGTCTGAATCCGAAGATATCGATCAACGGTCTGAGGTGTACTCGGCTTGCGGTTACGCCCGGCATGTCTGATAGACAGAGCGATGTCCCCATTGCATATGGGATTGAGTGGCAGGCTGATCCTACTTTTCTTTCTGTGGAAGATTCGGTTCATTTATTCGAGCTGTCCGAGAAGACGCAACACGAGACTTTGGATAATATATCCACATTGAATAGTCAATATGACCAGTGTGCCGCGGCCCTGGTACAGAGTGCGGTCCAGGCTTTCAAGGAAGAGCACTATCAGAGGCCCGGTTTGATCTATGACAAATACGGATCTGCCCTCGAAGAAATGATCCAATCTTGTGGAGCCCAGCACCACGAGACGACAGAGCCAGCGGTTGATATTAGCGCGGATTCTCAACAGATGGGAAGATTGTTAAGCGCTATCGATGGATACCTTTCTTCAATAACACAAATTGAAGAGGAGGCATTTGCGCAAGTTCACGATGAGCTTTGCAGCGCCTATCACGAAGTTATTTCCAGTCACCCGACTTATGTTTCTGCAGCCCAGCATCTCAAACTTATTGCGCGCAAGAAGCCAGATATTTCCATTTTGCAAGTCGGTGGTGCATTTGGACGACCTTTGACTATTTTCCTCGAGTCCCTGGTGACAGAAGTCAGAAGCAATAAGACTGCGGTACCATCCTTTTCGAAATACACAATTGCACACAAAGATGAGGGCGAACTCGAGCAGATCAGGACTAATTTTGAGGGATGGGCGGAGTGGGTTGATTTCGTGAATATTGACCCGGCACGAAGCAGTCCAGAAATTTTCGAATCAGGGCTCAAACATTCCTATCATGTGGTTATTGTACCACATGGACTATTCTCGTTTCCTTCGAATACCCGAGGACTCTCCTTTCTGCGCTCGATATTGAGACCAGGTGGCTACTTGATAATCATCGACAGTCTACGTCCGAAGGAAAGTATACTGGATGCCTTTCTGGCTGCTTCTCTGTATCTGTGGCCATCGGGGAACTTTGAGGTACCGAGATCTTTACAAGAGGAAGGTGGTTTGGATGAGGCAATACAAAAAGCTGGCCTCATGATATACAGGAACGAGACATCCGAAAAGGATTTCAACCATCTGACTACAGAAAGAATGATTATATGTCAGCCACAACACGAAATGAACCTCACGGAAAAAGAGTTTTTGATTATTCAAGATGATGATATGAACGCTTCAATGGCTGTGTGTCTGCGAAAACATATTTTGGATGTCTCGTCAAAGGTCGACATTTCATCTCTCTACGATGCGCAGATAACGAACAAATTCTGCATCATCTTCACCGATACGCACACCAAAATACTTTCAAACCCTACCTCCGAGGTATTTAATAAGCTGAAGGAGATATTTTTAAACAGCAGGGGCATGTTATGGATCAGCCGAGGCGGACTACCCGACCCAACATTCCCAGAGTATGGACTTGCAGTCGGCTTTGCAAGGACAGCCAGGTCTGAATCTGCCGTGAAACCAATCTTGACGCTCGACCTAGACGCGCAAAATCCTCTACCAGAGTTCAAAGTAGCTAAAATCATCGTGAGATTGATTCAATACTCCCTATGCCACGTCAACGCAGGAGATATGGATACCGAATATGTCGAGAGGAACGGAGTGCTTCTGATACCCCGAGTCGTTGAACGCGCAGACGTCAATCGAAGCCTGTTAGAGATCAACAAATCCGAAACCCAACGCGAGCAGCTATTCCGAGAGCCCGAGAGCCCCGTCCGTGTCTCTCGACCGGATGCAAAGAATGTTCCCCCACATTTGGTTGGAGAGCCAGACATGGGTGGACCTCCTGCAGGACACGTTCGAATTGAAGTAATGGCCTTTGCATTAAGCGAATGGGATGTTGACGAAACCACGCAGAACTTCCGAACAGAAAAAACACCAGGTCTAGAATGCAGCGGCCGAGTGGAAGCTGTCGGCGCCGGAGTTGGCGACCTTGCAGTGGGCGATCGCGTCGCTTGCCTGGGAAATGGCACTGCGAGAAGCTACTACCAGGATAGGGAGTCCGCTTTCCAGAAGATCGAAGATGCCATGACTTACGAGCTAGCGGTCTCTCTTCCTGTCCCGTACACGTCTGCCTACTTTGTGATCCACTACCTTGCACGAGTCAAACCTAATGAAACGGTATTGATACGACGTGCGGCCAGCTGGATTGGCGAGGCGCTACTTGACATCTGTCTTTCCTGGGAGGTCGATGTTTTAGTCACCGTGACTACTTTGGCAGAAAAAGAGGTTTTGCGGAGCAGATTTAGCATCCAGGCGCATCGAATCTTTGTCGAGGGTATGGATGATGTTGCCAGGTGCGTCTCAGATCTCACCAATAGCAAAAAGTGCCAGGTCGTCATCACATCTTCGGAGGATGGTAGCGAGCGATATCGGTCTCTCAGCAACGTCGTCGCTACTTTCGGGCACTTGGTTCGTGTACGAAGTCCGAATGAGAGCGCCGGCGAAGATGATAGCTTGTCTGGATCTTTGAAAAATGTCTCAAGATCTATTTTCAATATTCTCGACTTCCTCAGAGATCAGATGGATTTGGCAAGATATATCTGGTCGAAGGTCGTTCGCTTGTTCCACGAAGGGAGACTTCGTGGCCCATCGTCATTGTCGGTCTACGGGGTAACCGACGTTGAAGAGGCCTTTGCAGCTCTCGGGACTGAAAAACATGTGGTAATTGCTACCGATGGAAATGAGGTGGTCACAGTGAGAAATATCCAGCCCAAATCATGGCAAGTACAGTGAGAACTAAATTAATCAAGGTCTCTCAACCAAAACCACCGACCACACTGTTCCGGTCAGATGCATCGTATCTCCTTATTGGCGGACTCGGTGGCATCGGTAGCACAATCGCCCTCTGGATGGCAGACCAGGGAGCGAGAAATTTGGTTCTCGTTAACAGAAGTGGCTTAGCGACGGAAGCTTCTCACTCGCTTGTTCGAGACCTGAGCGATAAGGGGGGTACAAGTGGACATTCATGCCTGCGACATATCTAATGAGTCTGAAGTCCGACAAATGTTTCTGGATATACTTTGGGGCGCTCCTCCTGTTCGTGGAATCGTTCATGGTGCTATGATACTAAAGGTATGGGACACCAAGATGAGTCCACAATCCAGAAAATGGTATCTAATAAGGTCATATAGGATGTTCATATCGAGAAAATGACTTCATATGATTACTTTGAAGTTCTCCGACCCCGATACAACGGGACTTGGAATCTCCACCGCCACGCCCCAGCAGACCTCGACTTCTTCCTCATGTTATCATCAATCAGCGGAGTAATCGGAAACGCAACACAGGCCGCATACGCCGCTGGATCGGCATTTATGGACTCTTTTGCAGCTTACAGAAATACATTGGGCCTGCCAGCTATCTCGTTAGATCTCGGAACGGTAACGGACGTCGGGTATCTCGCTGCGAACAAGGAACTTGCGACCAAGATGGCAAGGCAAGGATTCCAAGGCACGGATAAAAAGACGCTGCTGTCTCTCATCCAAGTTGCCATCTCACAGCCGACAAAGGTCGGAAACGCACAGATTATAACGGGGTTGGGAGAGTGGAAAGAGGGCGAGTCACTTGGGAACTTTGACGCGCCCCTTTTTGCGCAATTCCGAGTCAGATTTCGCAGGGATGGTGAGACTGCTGATTCCAAAGATGCGGTTGAAATACTCCGAGGTTCGTTGCGGGCATCTAAGTCGCAGGATGAAGCTATTCCTGTCATTTACGAAGCGCTCAGCGGGAAGATATCCACTCGGTTGGGAATTTCTGTGGAGAGAATCGATCCTGCTAGTCCGTTGTCTGAATTTGGTGTTGATTCGCATGTCGCTGTTGAGTTGAGAAATTGGATTAACAAGACTATGGATAGTGCTGTGTCAATTTTGGAGATTCTGGCAAGTGATTCTGTCCTGCAGTTGGTGGGTCATATCGCTGGTCGATCGTCGTTGATTGAAGGCACAAATAATTCGTAAGGTCAATGCAGAAAGATATGTGGAGTTGGGGGAGTGCTGTGGTAATTTATTCAAAATATATAAGACAGTTACTTTTTGGGCGAGGGGAATAGTACGTGTTCATATTCGTGTACAATGTGGGAAACACATTACTATCAAAGCTTCACAGCAGTGGTGGGTCCGCTGACAGCAATGCCACCATCAGAACAATCTTTTAACAGCCGCCGAGGCTCTCCCTGATAGTTTATCTTTCGTATTCACCCTTCCACGTTCTTGACTCGGCCTGGAATAATAATATCCATGAAATCATAGTCATGGGTGGTATTGCCAGTATTTGGACCGGTCACCTTCCACATGTTCCAGAACCCCTCTAAAGTTTTCGCGCCAGATTTACAATGTCGGATCTTTCTTATCAATCGCAGTGCAAAATTTACGGTCAACAGCTTTGTGTCCGGCAGGATAGTGGCTGTCAAAATATTCCTGAGCGGGAACATCGAAAAAGTCGGCAGGCTTTCCAGTGACCTGAGTGAGAGTCCTTGCCAGAGAAGCCCAGTTTACATGACCTGTAGCAATTTCTAAATTAATTCCATTGGTCTCTTTCGGGGGGATCGGAAATCCAACGCGCGTAAAGGCCAAGGACTCCGAGATGCATCAAGGCGACATGACCCGCTTGGCCGAGTGGGCTATAAATTGGTAGACATCCTCGGCACTTTTCTTTGGGAGCATGAACTTAAAAAGAAGTCCTATGTAAGGCCCGCTAGTAAGTACAGGTACTGCTGTCTGATTCCTAGGCTGAGCGAGGAGCCAATGTACATAACGGATTAGCATCTCGTCTTCTTTCTCCAAGCAGGATTTCTAAGCTGACATACCGGCGACCTTACCTTTGCCGTCGTAGTGATTGCAGCGGAACTTCTCTTCGAAGTTACCTTTCTTCAAAGAGCAGTCAAGGCTGCTCCAGACGTAATGCTCGATACGGCGTGGGATCGCAATCTCGAATATGCGCATGCCTATGTGTGTGGAAAATCAATTAAGATAAACTTGAGAAATTTCATCCCAAATACTAAATATCTTACCCCAGTAAGTTTCACCATTTTCACCGGAAACATATCCATTCGTATTGACGTAGCTAGTCGGGGCAATTGATAAGAGCAAGCTGAAAAACCAATATTTTTATCGACGCCCAATTTAGAAGACTACTGGCAATACTAATGAACAGAAGTGAACATTCGGGCTTTTGTATTGAAAGGTGTGATAGCTACTAAGCCTCTTGATACTCGAAAACAGATTAAAGATTAAGACCTCAACGCCTAGCGATGCAGATCTATTGTATGGTCTATGAGATTCTTTACAATGAGAAAAAGATCCGATCATCCCCTACTCAGCCTTCTTTGAAGCCTTCGTCCGAAGCTTCATGAGCAGGAAAACCAAAGCATACGAGCTGATGGCGAAGATAGCCACAATACCGATATCTCTCCAACCGTAGTAATACTCCTTCAGGTTGATGGTCTTGAGATAGTCGGCGCCGGTGCGGTACTCGCAGACACGGCAGCTCTCCGTAGCCTCCGGGTTGACCAGGTTCATGTGGGCGCCGATGGTGCTCATGTAGGTCTTCAGGTATGCGCCGCAGGTACTTCCGTTGGGTGGGTCGAAGATGGCGAACTCGCTTTCCTTGCAGTTCACCTCGGTGTCCCATACTGGGAAGACAAGCATGCCGCCCATCAGGTAGTTGAAGGGGTTCAGCCAGTAGATCCAGTAGCGCCAGAAGGCCTGGATCTGCGAGTAAGGCACGAGAACACCGCAGAAGGAGACGAGGGTACCGATGATGAGGGGGTTGATTAGGGCAGCGAAGGTGGCGTTGGGGGCGTAAGCGGCGACGAACTGACCGATACCGGTGTAGACGAACTCGTACAGAAGCATGATCAGGAAGGTTGGGCCGGCCTTTTCGGAGACATTGGGGAAGCCGACGGTGTAATACCAGCAGACATAATACAACACAGCGCAGATGCAGAGGTAAGGGATTTCGGAGACAACCAGAGCGGTCACAAAGGCAACCCAAGAGTACATCTTGGACTTCTTCTCGCGCTGCTCGTAGATGGCACGGCGCTCCAGGAACAGGGGCTGCAGCTGGTTGATCACACCGGGGGCGACGAAGATGAAGTTGAAGATTGTGAAGAGGCGAAGCTGCATGCTGCCCACACTGTCGCCGATCATCCAGAAAGAGAAACCGTTGAAAAGAGCAGAGCCAATGTGGAGAGCGAACTTATTGTTGACATAATCCGTGTTGCGGTAGAGGGCAAGGCTCATGCGGAGAGTCACCAACTTGATCTGTTCCCAGAGCGATGTAGCAAACTCGCGACCATCATCAAATGTACCGGGAGGGTTTGCGGCAGCAGTAGTGATGATGTCGTCCAGCTCCTTGGAAGCCCTCTCATGTTCCGGGGACTTGAGCCAGACATCGTTCCAATCCCGACCCTGGCTGAGGTGTCCAGAAACGACATCGATCATGTGCTCTGCAGGGTTGGTGTTGGGAGGGCATGGAGCATCGTAGCGAGAGAAGTAATTCTTGACCGTGTTTCCATTATCGCCGATCTCTCCGAAGTACACAGTCTTGCCGCCCTTAGCGAGCAAAAGTAAGGTATCGAACTCGGCGAACAGCTGTGCAGAAGGCTGGTGGATGGTAACAAGAACAGCTTGGCCGACGTCGGCTAGCTTGCGCAGGAAGCGAACGGTATTGTAGGCGGATTGTCCGTCAAGACCAGATGTCGGCTCGTCCAGGAAGATCAGAATGCTAGGCTTGGAGACCAGCTCGACACCGATGGTGACACGCTTGCGCTGCTCAACGCTGAGGCCAGCACCGACTTGGCCAATCATGGTATCGGCGATGTCGTGGAGCTCAAGAAGATCGATGATAGTGTTGACATATTGCAGCTTCTCCTCCCGTGGGGTCTCCCGAGACTGGCGCATCAGAGCAGAGAACTCCAGGGACTCACGAACGGTCGCCTGAGGCTCAAGAACATCAAGCTGCTCACAGTATCCGGCCGAGCGCTGGAAAGAAACAGGAAGCTCGCGACCATCAACGAGGATCGAGCCACGGATGGTACCCTCGGTCTTGCGTTGAGCTAGGACATCGAGGAGAGTGGTCTTTCCAGCACCAGAAGAACCCATCAGGGCTCCCAGCATACCGGGCTTGACCCAACCGTAGACATTGTCGAGAAGGACACGGTCACCGGATGGGGTCTTGACGGTGTAGGTCAGGTCCTTCCAGGTGAAGATGGAGGTATTGCGAACAAGCTGCTTGTCAATTTCCTCCTCAGTCTGGGCGCCGCACTCAACAGGAGTCTTGGTCTTCTCCTGGACCTGAGACTCTTCGTCGTGGCCGGCATTCTGGCGGTGTCGATCAAGTCGCTCGCGGGGAATGACAAGGCAGCTTCCAGACTCAGAGGGAGACTGCCAGCGAGAAGTAGCTATGATGGTGACAGCAACAAACAGAGCCCACCAGGCCCAGTTAATACCAAAGTTTCGCCAGAGGTGGGAGTGGCTGTAAGAAAGGGAGCTAAGGTACTGATCGCCGGTCACGAATGTAGCTCCTCGCTGGGCTCCACCGACACCAGCGCAGGCGGCATGCACGGTGTCCTCATAACCGGGCCCCATGGGGATCAAGTTGGTGCCGACGCAAGGGATCGTCTTCTGGAAGAATTCGTTGGAGAGCAGAGCTTCGAAGCCGTAGGCGAGCGGGTCGATCCAGAAAATCCAGCCGAGCCAGGGGTGCATCTGCGGCTTTTGAATCATATAACCGGTGTACATGATGAGGGCAGAAATCAGGAATCCGGAGACTTTCGAGGCACCATCGAAGGTGCTGAAGAGGGCACCGATTGCACGGAACAAAGCAGTCATGCACTGTAAAAAGAGTTAGTAAATACCCCAGCAAAACAATTAAGGGGAAATGAGACGTACCATTGTGGTAGCGAAAACCATCACCCAGTAGGTGAAGAACGCTCCAGCAGACATGGTCAAGCCCACCATGAAGTACACCACAAGCGAGAACATGCTGATCTGGAACAGCAGAACGGGAATATCGGCAGTGATTTGAGCAATGCAGAAAGCGGCAGGGTGGAACATAGCGAAGCCTTTGTGCTTGATCAAGACAGGGCGGCCGTGGAATGAGTCGGTCACTTCGGACATGGCCAGCAGACTGTTGTACAGGAGAGAGAAGAAAAGAGCACCGGACTTGACGAAAAGTCCACCCGAGTTGTTAGGGGCATTGTAGAACAGAGAACCGGCAATCAGAGCCTGCATCAAGGTCGCGACTTGCTTGATGATAAAGGACGCTTTGTCACCCCAAATAATTTGGTACTGACGGGCGACACAGGCCTTGACTTGCTCAGTGAAGCTGACAGTCAGAGGGCTTTTCTTGGGAAGCTGGTTGGAAGTCTCCAAGGCGACACCCTCTTTAAACTCCTGAGTGCGTTGAATGGCGAGGTCAGAAGTCGGATAATCGTACTCGGAAATCATCTTGGTGTAAACCGGGGACTTTTCATATTCCTCGCGAAGGGCCTCCTTGTTTCGAGGGAAGCGGTTTTCATATCCATCACGAATGCGGCGCTCAGTCGGGACAGTCACACCAGTCAGGAAATCGGCGACGTTGGATCCCTCCCGACAAATGAAACCAGCCTTCTCCATGAAAGGACGAGCCTCCTCGCGAGATCCGTAGTAGACTTGTTCTCCTTCGTCGAGAACCAGGACCTTGTCGAAGAGATCGTAAATTCCATTACCGGCCTGGTAGAGGGTGACGATGGTGGAGAGACCCATGGTGTCGGTCATCGCACGGATGGCCTTGGTCCACTCCAAAGCGGTACTAGCATCCAGGCCACGAGTACTGTTGTCCCAGCAGAAGACGGAACCACGAGTGGCAAGGCACTCGATGATGGACACACGCTTGCGTTCACCACCCGAGACACCACGGACGTACTCGTTGCCTACTTTTGTGTCCCCCGTGTGCGAAATACCCATCGCCTCCATGAGGAACTTCTTGGACTCCTCAGCGTAGTCTTCGGCGGAATCGACACCGTCGGGCAGCTTGAAGGGGACCTTGAGGCGAGTCGCAAAGTCCATCGTCTCGCCGACGGTAAGGGCAGGGAAGAACAGTTCCTCCTCGGTGTTCATGACAATCTGGCCACGATAATTGCGTGCCTCAGCCGAGGTCATGGAACCAAAACGGATGTCACCTTCCACGGACTTGTATCCGCCCGTTCGATTGGACAGCATCTTGAGGAGGGTCGTGCAGCCGGAGCCGGGGCGGCCCAGGACGAGGAGCATCTCACCGGGCTTAACGCAGCCATGACTGTTGCGCAGGATCGTACGGAGGGGCGCTTTGTTGCGGGATTCTTTGATGTGCTTTGGGATGTTGAACTGCGAGAGAACGTTCTCGTTGACGGCGGCTTCAGCAGAGATGACGTCCACATTTAGGTTCTGCCAGGTAACACCTAGTTCCTGTCGTTTGAAGCCCGACGCCAAATCGCGTTGGTGCTGCTCTTGCACGCGGGAGAGCAGGCTCCAGTCATTGCCAGTGTTTTTCGTTTGACCTTTCATGCTGCTGGCCTCGCTGGTACTTTTCGAGTGGGTGTCCTCGCCGTAAACGGTGGCGGCCGCGCTGGTGGTCTCACCTTGGATATCCATTGAGGTTCTCTTGAAAGAGAAGGAGGGCTGGATAGGGTCCCCCATCGTTACGGGAGGGAAACAAACCGATGAAGAGGGAAAGGAGTCGAAGAGAGAAAAGATACTTGTGGGAGATGGAATCAAGTTATACACCTTCGCCGTCACACTCCGCCAACTACGCGGTTTTCTCCGGTGGATCAAACACCGGCCGGCCTAGCTTCTGTCCGACTTTCCGGATCCAATTGGTAGGTATATTAGAGAAAGGCGTCGGAGATATCTACTTTGACGGGTTATGGGTGCATCCAGGCCAACAGATCACCTCGTTTCGGAGCCCCTATTCCATCGTTCGAGTCACAATCTCAAACTGCGCCCCACGCGGAAATGGAGTCAAAATCTCTGCGAACCAAACAGCAGTGGAGCGCCAGGCCGATCAAAGAAAACAATCATCCGCACGCCATCTAAACTTCCGCTGACACATCCGGCGGGGCCTCGCGGATATCTAAACTTGGATGAACCGTACATAAAAGGCATCCTGTGAGCAGGCGTGAACAACCCTGGGCAGTAGAATCCATGAACCAGAAGCAAAGAAAGGCCAATCAAAGGCAATTGACCCCTCCACTGCCGTTTCGATTGTTAAAAAAGAAAAGCGTAGGCGCGCACGGTGGAAAATAACTTGGTTCGGAACTCGCGCTTCCAAACCGCCGATGCCACGCGGTCGGCGTGTCGGCGTCTCGGTGTGGTCGGGCTCCGCTGACACAGCGGGATCGATGCTCGGAATGGGCTAGTGCAGTTCCGAACCGCGTTCAATCGGGCAAGTAGGGTTCCAAACGTGCCCCCGGTCGTTGCTGGCGGGGGGCTCCCTGCAAGGCCCTGCGGCTCGGAGGGTCTATCTGTCCGAATCTCCTGTGTGGCTAGCCAGAGCCGCCCGTGATTGCGAGGTGGCCGATCAGGCAGCCGCCTCTAGTTGCTGGGCTACCCACTCATCTACGCAGGTATCTACTCGGTTTTGAAACGGTGGACGAATGCATCAAATTGGCAGAACACTAACCATTGTAGGTAAAAAAAAAACAGTGCTAACACCGTTGTCGGTTGAAATCGATAACCCGTTCGCCGTGGAGTCCCGCAAAGAGGCATGAGAACTGCAGATCGCCAAAACAAATAAAACCATGAAAAAAGAGAGATGTCCACCGGAGCGCACCATCAAATCAGCAATCGTCATCGCTTTCAACACTCTCATCATTCTTAACGCTATCGTCGCTCGCATCGTTCTCCAAGTCTTCCATTGATCTGCACTCGTTGCATAGATCATGTCCCTCCGCATTTGAATCTGAAAAGAACGATGCGTCCTTCTCAGTTTCACAACCAGCGCAGTATTTTTGCCGGCGTTCGAGGCAATATGCACAAACACTGTCATAATTCAGCCCCACACTTCGTGCTTTGTCGCAGTGTACAAATGAAGCAAGACTCTACCGGTTCGTCCTGAAAGCCCCGGTCAGACACCTCAGAGCAGACCATCTCAATATCGTTGTGGATGCGTTCAGTGTCATCGCTCTTCACTTGGGCCTTTTCGATTGGTATAGTCTCTTGAGATGTAACAGGTGCTCTTTCAGTGTGAAGCAAGTCTTGCACCTCTTGTAGTAGCTCAATAACCTGCTTCATGACAAGAAGGATCTGTTAGTTGAGATCTGCCGGTGTCTCCTGGTTGGTTGAAGCTGTCGAGAGCGAAGTGACAGTGGAGGTTTCATCTTCATCAGCTGTGGTTGACTGGGTCGATTCACTTGGGTCGAGGTATTGATTCGGCACGTACCCGTGCCCGTACATGCCGGAAGCGTTCATGGTGCCCATAAACGCAAGACCTTGTGTACTTGTGCTCAGGTTGTTGTCCAGATGCACCTAGTTGAGCCTCGGGTTGTTTGAGAGCTGCTAGTTGATTGAGGCCAAATGCCGTCTTCGATCCCGCTTTTTCTGTGACAGTGTTAGATGTTGGTGTTTCCCCGCTTGATTGACTATCGCACTGACAACTTGCGTGGAGTTACGGCAATAAATGCAGGTATTTAGCTCCATGTCGCCCTTCATGAAGATTCGTGCTGTAATCAGCTTGCAGCATTTGTGATAGAATCCAGCCGACCGGATCCTTGCGTGACCATTGGGTTTTGGAGCATCTCTCTGCGCAGGGCACCTGTAGTGGCCGTTGTGTAATTGCTGAGAGGGCTCAGATGGGAGAGAGGTGGTTGTGTTCGACGGGTTGTCGAGAGGGAGGAAGTTCGGGTTCAGATATGAATAGAGGTGGAGAGCGGGCTTGTCGCTGCAAGTACCGCCCCACGTGCCGCGAACGCTGGAAGTGAGGTTTCTGGGGAGATTTACCAGTGGCGGTAGCTTTGATACTCTTTTCATATCAGCAGCTGTGGATGGAACTCGAGATATTCGGAATCTCTAGTTTGCGCTGTTAGCAGCTGATCGACATGTGTCCAGGAGAACCCCTTGCCGAAATGAGAATGGAATCTCGTGACTAGAGTTAGAGGTGGTTCGATATGAAACGTCGCGAGAACGGCCTTTCGTCAGAGTTCACTATTTCTGGTGGCGGATGTAGAAATGTCGGCAGAATCACTCACGAACTCGAAAAGAGATTGAGAAGCACTGGGGATGTTGTCGTCAAGATCCTTTTGCTGGAGAAAAAATGTCAGCGAGAGTAACAACACCATGCCAGTGTTAATCAAAAAAGACGTACCAGAGAGGGTTTGAGTGGAAGCAATGACAATGGCCTTAAGTGGAAGGTTATATGAAAAAGGAAGATGTGGAAAGTGAAATTTGTTTGAATAACAGTGCAGCTGCCGTGTCTAGCGGTGCTGAATGGAAGTTGCTTTCTAGCCAGACTTTGCTTATTTCATTCAAATTTCGACCTTTTTATATAATCTAAATTGATGAATTTCTTTAGTCAGATCAGTCAGGGCCTTGCCATTAAAAATAGCAGTTCAATCCAGAAGAAAAGTCAGTGCCAAGCTGGTCCAAACAAATAGACCTCGTCTCTCAAAGGAGCTGCAGGTTTCGTACGGTGATCACAGAAAAGCTGGCGAATGTGAAGCTTGGGGCTTAGTGTTGTATCGAAATCCAATCATATTTAGAGTCCAGGGTTAAACATTAATAGCTCTGCTACAGCATCGCGAGCCAAAACTGGAAAAGGGAATCACATTTCTTGAATCTGCTGAAAACATATATATCGCGCAATTTCCCCCTTCCGACTAGCTCTTTCCAACTCCGACACGGCCTCTTCCAACGATCGCATATTCCAAGCATCCTCATCCGGCATCAGCGGTTCGTCAGCGCCTGGTAGTAAAGGCAGCGCTTGTACCGGCATCTCTTGTTGCAAATTATCGAGCCGGTGGAGCAGATCTTGTTGGGCCAGGCGCTGCATCGAGGTGCAGGCCAGCACATGTCTGAGGTCAGGCTCGGACGCCCGCGCCTCTTTTTGGATTTTTTGTAGGGAGAGCTCGCATAGTCGGTAGGCGAGCTGGTCGGAGTCTGTGGTTGGGTTCGGGGTGGAGAGAGGGTGTGTGGAGGTGGAGATCTGGACCGTGCGGATGGGCGATCGTTGTTTTGGTTTGAGGGATGGAGAGACGTTCCGGACAATGAGTCTCGTGCAATGCATGCTGGATATTTTGGGGCTCAACTCAATGCGGTTGTGGTTGAGGTTTTGGGGATGGTTGCTGTTGGAGAAAGAAGGTACGCAGGCCAGCGCCCAGTTCCCGATCTTTATACAATGATTGCGGGGCGATCTGGTACTATCGCTATCGTCTTTGAAAAAAACGGTCGATCATGGGGCCATCGGGTCCTGGAATCGACGAGTCACCCCACCGGTGCCGCCCCTTTGAATTCTCGCGGAAGGTGCTGGTTGTAGGAAATTCCCGGCTGGCGTGGTTGGGTTTCGCCACCGCAGCCATCATGCCACCCGCGCGTCGCACCAAGTCAATCCTCTGCCTTGAAACAATCCATGCCGGAAATCATTCCACTAAAGTCTTGATCTCTTAGTAGCGTAACAGGGAAAATGGAATTTGTGATGAAACAGTTCAAAAACTGCCCTCAAAATATGAGTACTATTCGAATGTAGGACGACCTAGAGATACCTGATTTAACAGAGAGAGAAGAAGGCACCGCTCAATAAATGAGATAAATCGACACTGGTGCAGAGGAGCCGAATGCAATAAAATTCATTAGCGCCGACTTTCTGCCTGTCAATTCGTAAAAAGTCAGCACTCCAATAACTTTCATGTAGTGGGACATGAATTAACACTTATGTAAATGCAAGACCTTGTCGTCATAAAGTAGCTGAAGAACTAATTCCAATATGTGTGGTATCCCTGATTTACCAAGTATCCTATACCAAAAAAAAAAAAAAGGCAAGATACCCAGATAAAAGCTACGAATACCCAATTAGCCTGTCAAAATTAGAGGGTGGTATATCAAAAGCCGCCAAATAAAAAAAGCGTACTGCCGCGGTAAATGCAGCCCACGCTTCATCGCGAAACGAGAAACCGTATTTCACTCAAATAAAAGCTTAAAGTCAATCCATGCCGAGGAAATTCTGGGATAAAAGGATCCCAAATTAGCGAGTTGAATCACTCCGGGTAGGCTTCATACGATATAATCCATTTTTGACATCTGCCTTTCTTAGATTCCATGGTGATTTCATTTTGTGCTCTACTGGCTATTCCCTTTGCCCCTGACCGATAGCTTCTATGACCTACAGCGAGCCTTTCCAATATACTTATTTCCCGGAAATATTTGACTGCATTGATATAGGTGTATATGTTGCAATCTGTAAATTGCCATGTTATCGGAGCTCGGAGTTGGTGACTCGGAATCGTCGACCCACCCCCGCGTTCCCTGACCGGGCCCGACTGTTGTCTAAGCACAGCTAAAGTATATGAGATCATGTAACGCGCACTTCGCCGCCATGCCCAAAAGAGACCCCGACCTTCAAGATAAGCAATCTCATAGATAGAATACCCCACAATTGGCCTCTACCGCTAACTAACTATCAAAAATCTTTACACAACCCTTTACATAAACCCCATTGTGATCGGACGGGAAACCCGACCTTGTACCCATGCCGAGCAAAGCCACATACAATTGCAGACAAGAAATCCCAGACTATGCAGCACTTCTCAGAGTTCCGATCTGGACTTGATAAAACCCAGCAGAACCACATTGGGCCAAGTAAGCCCACCTGCACGCCCTGCAGCCTGCTCACAGCTGATCACCTGGAAGAAGGTCTAGTTTCCCGGAACGATTCCCGATAAAGCTCCATTTTTCACGGGCAGGGCGAACCACGCACGCACTCCCCCACCGCACCTTTTATCAGATGAGTCACCACATCGGCATGGTCTGCCGATGGCTGAAAACGGCGCATAAACCCACTGAATCGCGGGGCGATTGATCTTAATTGACCCCGAGAAAGACCCTGACATTACCCATACACAAATCGTGCCAACTGCGTCACAATGGCAACAGATACCAAATCCAGCGCCATGGTCTCAACCGGTCCAGCACTAGGCTCCCTAGAAGAAACCGCAGGACCAAGCATCGCACCAAGCCGCGCACCAAGCACCGACCTAAGCAGAAGCAGCAGCGCACCAGGCGTCCGCAATGAAACCGACGCACCAAGTACCGCATTCTCAATCCTCGAGCCACCAGCCCCCCTCTCCGCAATAACAACACACACAACACACATCCGCGAGACAAACACCGACGACACATTCCCCGACGGCGGAACACGCTCCTGGCTCGTCGTGATGGGCTGCTTCTTCCTGCTAATGAGCAGCTACGGCCTCATGAACTCCACCGGCGTGCTACAGAATTACTTCGCAACCCATCAGCTCTCTGAATACTCCACCAGCGCCGTCGGCTGGGTTCCTGGAGTCTTCACATTCTTCGGACTCGTGCTCAGTGTGCAGATTGGGCCTATGTTCGATCGGTATGGGCCGACGGGGATTCTCATTGCTGGGACGGGGTGCTACGTAGCTGGTCTGCTTTTGCTGGCGGAGTGTCGCCTTTATTGGCACTTTATTCTCACGCTTGGTGTGTTGACGGGCACGGGGGCTGCGTTGCTGAGTACGGCGGCTATGGCAGCGGTGCCGCATTGGTTTGATCGGAAGGTTGGGATGGCGATGGGGACGGCGATGGCGGGTGCGGGACTTGGGGGTGTTACGTTTCCGCTCGTCCTGCGCGCGGGCTTTGCGCGGTTTGGGTATAAGTGGGCGATTCGGCTTGTTGCGTTGATTGTTGGTGTGTTGTGTTCGTTGGGGATTATGCTTGTGCGGTCCAGGCTGCCCAAGGGACAGAGTCGGTCGAGTATTAATTTGAGGGCGTTTAAGGATACTAGGTTTACTTGGTTGACCCTCGGCACGTTTAGTGAGTGATACCTTCGGTTCCCTTTTTTTTGGGTGGATGGCGCTGACGCTGATCCCAGGCCTGGAATTGGAAGTCTTTGCTGGATTGGGTCTGTACCCGACGTACGTAGTGATGCAAGGATTCAGTACATCGACCAGTGTAATCCTGCTCTCTCTTCTGAACGTGTAAGTTGGTTCATACTTCCGATCGATGTCATATCACTAAAAGTCCATGCACAATAGCTGTTCAACAATCGGCCGCCTAATCGCAGGCCGCTTCGCAGACCAATACGGACGCATCAACACCCAGACAGCTCTAATCGTCGTGGGCGTCTTTGCCATCTTCGTCATCTGGCTACCGTTCGGTAATACCCTCCCAGGACTCTATGTATTCAGCTGCGTCTTTGGACTCGCGTCGGGATCGTTCTTGAGTCTTGCTCCGGCTTGTATTGGACAAATTTCCAAGGCGAGCGAGGTGGGCGGTCGGTTTGGGATTTGCTATTCGATTGTTAGCTTGGCGTAAGTCATTTCACAGCAGACTGCAGTGTGTCAAATTCGAAAGAGCAGGTGAGCTAATCTGGCTGTTCAGGACATTGATCTGTATTCCGATTGGTGGTGAGATGCTCGAAAAGGTCGGGAAGCAGGCCATGGTGGCGTATCTGGGGAGTGTCTTGGTGGTTGGATTGGGGATGTTCGTCATGGCCCGATGGGCTTGTCTGAGCTATCGGTGGCGATGGCAGGCGAAGATCTAAGTAACAAAATGGGGGATTTCTGGTAATTGGCATAGCGTGGCGCGGAAGGGACAAAAGTTTGTAATATTTGCATTCAGAATGTGCATTGGTATTCGGATACATGAATTGTGATCTTATCAGCCTGAAACGAATCGGCACATGCATGGTATGAGTATTGATTCGAACGATAACGAGTTGCATATCGATCGTAGTGATCGTGCTTGATCAGTCACGAGCCTAGTTCTGCTCGCCGCCTTGTTCTTTGGTAAGCTCCTCCCTGGAATCGTCGCATTAGTATCACAACTATCACAGCTTCGCCTTACTCTGTCTGCCTCGCGGGAATTCAGCCCAGAAGGCTGATCCACTCACAGATGCTTATCCAGCTCATCCATATGTTTCCGCTGCTCACGCAACTTCTTTCGCAGCGCGAGTATCCTGCACACGTATCAGCAACCCATCCCCGCCCCAACCCAATTTTTTTTTCTCTTGCTAATACTGACTTCTCCTTCTCCTGCTCCCGAATATACATCAACTCCTGCGCCGCCTCGCGACGTTGAAACTGGTCCTTCCTGCGCCCGTTAGTGGTGACGTCATTCGTATTTTCGCAGTCGGGTGACTCACTCGGCGAGGAAGCCCCGCGGCTTGGGGCTGCCTGTGTCTCCGGCTGCCATGACGGACGGGGCGACGGAGAATGATCGTAGGATTGTGGATTTGGTGGTTGTACGGAGGAGTGGGCGGGTGAGTGCTGGATTCATGGTGAGAGGTGGAGATGTCGATCGGGATCTGCGTGGTGGAGGGCGGAGGATGTGTGTGGAAGAAGGCGGGACGCTCGTGAGACGCAGCGGATGATTATTCTGAGAGGGGGGCGCCGGCTTTAAGACGGGCGCGGCCTGCTGAATCCGGTCGCGATGGTACGACCGGGCAAAAGTACTTGCTCCTTTACTCCAGGGTAGGAGGAAGGATTTGGGCACCCGCCACTTTCGATTGTACGTTCCCAGAGTTTAGTCTGAGTCTAGTCTGCAGGGATGGCACCCCGCACCTGTGAGGCTGTGATGCCAGTTACCTTGTGTTGGCGACTCTAAATTGCATTCCATCGCGTGGTTCGGGTATACAGGGATGTGCCATCCCTCGGCGATGCAGAGGAATGTGGAGTCGAGGAGCGTCACGTTCCGAGCCATTGACATCAATCATATTGTGGCGTGGCATTCCGCCAAACTAGTTCACTGCTAGTACGTAGTGTGTAATAAAAACAAGAAACTTGAGAGCCCAGCTAAAGCACATATCGGAATCCCTTTTGCAGCCGTCTTGCTGCCGCAATATCGATGCCCTCCGTATCAGCCGTCAGCTGCAACCGCCGCAGCTCCTTCTCGCTGAGCTGGACATCTTCGTTCTCCAGACGCTCCTGGCGCTTATTGAGCATGCGCAGGTTGAAATACATGAAGATGCCGCACAGCGCGCCAATGCCCTGGAGCGCAATGTTGACGCCCAGCGCGGTCTGGTAGTAGGGCGATTCATTGTCGAGGTAGGTGTACGGGGTCCAGATACTGGCTGAGTTACCAATCGAGTTGATAAAGGCGTAGGCGGCGGCGCGCTTGGCCGGCGGACGGGGCAAGGCGTTCGCGATCCACGAGTACAAGGTGCCGTTCTGGGCGAAGACGAAGATCATGAGGAACATGGAGAAGTAGCGGGGGCCGAAATTGTCTTTATCGACGGTCATAAAGATCACGAAGCCGATGATCGTGATCGGGATCGGGTAGAGGAAGAACCAGAAGCGCATCGCCAGTTTATCGGAGACCCAGGAGTGGGCCAGGGACCAGATCACCATGAAGATGTATGGCGGGGCTACCAGGAGTAAAGAATAAATTTCATTGTCGGTGAGCGTCTCCGTGAGCGTCGGGAAGAAGTTCTGGAATCCCGCCGCACCGGTAATGCACATGTAGCCGAGGGCGAGCACGTAGGTCTTGATGTCCGTCATGGCGAGCTTGAGGCCCTTGATTTGGCTCATGCCGCCAGCGTCGTCCTTGTCGGCTTCGGCGGCGTCGATGGCAAGACGGCGCTCGGCGACTTTGCGCATTTCGGGAGAGAGCAGTTTCCATGTTTCTGGGAAGTCGGGGAGAACGACACAGATGATGAGACCGACGAAGACGGTGATGGCACCTTCAATGATATACAACCATTGCCATGCAGACAAGCCTCGATGCCCAGCCAAGCCGTTCAGAATGCCTGCCGCAATCAGGTTGCCAAAGGCACCGCTCAGCAGGGATCCGGAGTAGAAGATACTCATGCGGAAGGCTAATTCCTTTTTGGTATACCATTTCGAGAGGTAGAAGAGAACACCAGCGAAAAAGGGAGCCTCTACATCCAGTCTGTATTAGTGAGGGTTCTGTGGTGCCCGACCGAATTCGAAAAAAAAAAAAAAAAAAAACTTACCAACAAAACCCAGCAGGAATCGACAGGCCACAATACCGCCATAGTTCTTGACCTGACTGGTTAGGGCCGAGACCAGACCCCATGCAGTAACGAAGAAACCCAGGTAGAGCGATGGCCGTCCCATGTAATTGAGGAGCAAATTACTGGGCACTTGCATCAGGATATAGGCGACGAACAGAATCGACAGGCCGGTCTGATATTGTGTCGGGGGTGAGGCTGAGGTCCGCTTCCAGACCTTGCAATTTAGCCGCGGCATAGTTGTTACTATTCAATATTAGTATTCTGCCTCAGAGAAATGCTCTGTGCAGGACTTTGGTCGGGATCTGGCATACCGATCAATATAGTTCAGCAGGTAAACCAGCACGACCAACGGCATAATCAAACCATCAATCCGCAGCCGCAACTTCTTCTCGAGGATCTTCTCCTCCTCCGTCAATTGCGTCAAATGCACGACTTCCTCATGCGTGATGCCGGCCTTCTCCCCCATGGCCTCCGAGTCGGTGATGGCCATTTCCGCGTCAACCATGATGGATGACCAAAAAAATTAAAAATAAAAATAAAACTTCGGTCGGTCGGTATAGCACTGGAGATAGAGTCTCGAAACAAACCAGCCGAGCTACATTTCCAACCGGACTGGGCCCGATGACCTCTTTATGTCTGTCAGAGAGGGGGAACAGGGGAAACCCCGGATTCCCCAATCTCCCCGGATTGGCCGACGTTTTTGCACGGGGCCTAGCATTCGGGAGTTATCCTCCTTCCAGATAGCGATCGCACTTTGATTTGGACGTGGGGGCTTTCTCCTGCGTGGCCGGCGCCAATGATGGACAGCAGCGATCGCAGCCATGCGGAGAGACACGAGGCTCGTGGCTCGCCTTCGCTCAGCCGGATATCGTGATAGGCAGAGCCGGCCGCGGCGAGACCCCCACGGTGGAACAACTGGAGGTGGGTGCCATGGAGCTTGCGGAGGCGAAGCCACTGAGGTCCGGGGAAGAAGTGGAGAGCTGGTGATGCCCAAAGGCTATTCCCCCACGATTTGTTCACTGGAATCGGACCAAGTCCGAGCATGCCAGCAGTGTTTGATCGGCCGTGGAACTGGTCTTCTCTTTTGAGTTTCCTCCTCAGTCCGGTCGATGCCCCGGGCGCGCATGCAGCAAACAGGAAACCGGGCCCCGACTGTCTGCTCTCCGGGAAGCGGGAAGTCTTGGCTGTTGACCGTGCGATCTTGCGGTCGCGTTTGTTGGTAAAAGGTCTGCACTGCGCTGTTACATCACTGAGATGATCCCAGGAGGTCTACGATGATGCTATCCGCCGATCGAGACAAACGACTGTAGGCTCATGAAGTTCGTGCGTCTCGGTCTCTAGCCACCGGACCGAGACCGACCCTGTCCCGCAGCCACTTGCACTGGAAATTGGTCTCGACGCCACCTCCACGCCCAGACCAAGCATCAGCTCCTGGCCCAGCATCCCCAACAAGCTCAGATCTCGCAGTTACTCCGCGGTGGCCTTCATCATGCCACGCGGCAAGTCTATTCATCATGAGATTAGACTCCTCGGTAACTTCGCAAAAGTTGGTCTAGGATATTCTCCGAGTCTGTTAGTCCTCGTATTCAATTTTCCCCCGCCCCCCGATTATCCCGGACGGATGCCGATATGCGTGTCGCTGAAAAGCCTAATTATTGAGAGAGATAGCATCTCCTTCGGTTCGCCGGGTTACTGCTGCAGGACAGCCGCCCTTCTCGGTCTTGGCATTCTGTTTGACGCAGGCCATCGGCCGAGAAATGACAGTTACTGCCCGTAGTGACGCGGATTTGGACCGATATGCGGGTAATTGCGAGGTCTTTCACGTGAGTGGCTGGGTGCATGGGTAAATCGGGGCGAGGACAGAGTCAGCTTTAAGGTGGGCAGGTGACAATGCCCGTGTTTGCAGCAGTATCACTTGAGAAGTCGAATTCTATAATTACAAGTCTATCGTCTAGAATGTAAACTTCTAGAGCTGGGCTGGGCTCCAAACCTATCTAACAGTGGTTGGAAAGAAAAAAAAAAAAAAAAAAAAAAAAGCACAAAACCTGCAGTACTTGTGGCCAGCCGCCATGCCTCCCAAGGCCACAGTAAGAGCGGGACAACAGCCAAAGCCCTCCTAGTCCTTAAGAGGTATAGGACCAAGAAGCCCAGCTTTCAAATCGCCTCTCTCAATCAAAAAGCCCCTTACACCGCTTAATCCCAAGCGCACCCGCCAAGAAAGGATTAACAAACTGACAATCGGATCCATCCTCTCCTGGAACTTTACCCACTCCTCCATCCTCCGGGATAAACAGTCTCGGCATTACTCTCATTATTAAATAACATCTTATTCCAATGCGGTCGCTCATTAAACCGTCCCCCGAAACGCGGGATATACTCACTCGTCAAGTTCTGGAAAAACCACTGCATCGTGAAAGTGCTATGCGACGGAATCCACGAGTACTCCAGCGTCGCGAAACCCCCACTCGCATTCGCAGGGAGATTATACGTATTCACCAGCTGCAGCCAGATGTCATCGCCCTTGATATTTTGCGTGATGACCGTCGCATCGTCACTCTCGTACCCCTTCATTCCCTTGCCGATGATATCCGTGCTGAGGTAGGGACTCATCCGCACAGATTGTGATCGTGCGTAGTCGACGTACGCTGTGCCTACCTACGCAAGATTTTGCATCGGGAAGAAATTCTCGAATTGACCCATGAATCCATGGTAGCAAATTCCCGCTGGGGTGGGGGTGTGTCGAGATCGCGGCCATCTCGTAGTTTTTGCAGTGGTAGTCGCGATCGCAGCGGTCGCAGTCATTAGAGCAGAAGTCGACGGACGCGGACGTCGGTTTCTTCCCAGTAGATTATGGTGAAATTTGTTTCCGGAACGAGTCCGTGGGTCGTCGCGTTCCAGTCCAGATTGGGGCCGAGAATGTTGACTTGTTCGTACTTTTGCGTGTAGTCTGTTTATAATCTGGTACAGCTCGGTGATTTATCGATTACGTTTGTCGTGCTCTTGATGTAGGATACTGGCTCCGCTTTGATCGTGACTTCTATGATGATTCCCATCGCCTCGATGGCGATGCTGAACGCTTTCAGCAGGTCCGGGTTGCGATCTTTATTAATAACGTGGATACCACCCTTTGCACCGGCACGCGCAGACCGAGATTTGATTCGCGAGATTCTGGTGCTGCTTGCCCGTGGCGTAGGTGCCCGTCGTCGCGGCCCCGATGTAGTTTTGCACTTACTCGCTGCCGAGGTTGGAGACTTGTAATCCCTCTTCTTGGAGGGCGGGAATGAGATCGATCAGATCCCAGCCTCCGCCGATTGTGGCGGTGTGGTTGTCGTGGATTTCGAAGTGTTTTGAGGTTCGTTAGGTTAATGATGTAGGAGTCGAGGTCTGTCTCGCCGTCGCTGACGCACGTAGTGAGGTTTCCAAAGCCGTGGCCGTTTCCGACGGGTCTGAGCATTGTTTTTTGTGGGTGGTGTGGTGGTGGACGAAGTCGACTAGGTCGGATTCATCGGCGGGTACGAAGAGGCCGGTTGCTTCACTGGTTATATCTTACTGCCAGTTGAACCAACGGTGCGCGAGTGTTCCTGGGGCGAGGGCCAGCATTGATAGGAGGGTGGTGCTCCATGATGCCTTGGGGAAACGCATTTTTGGCTATTTCTGGTAGAATAGACACGCACGATCGAGGTTTCACGAGAGAAAACTTACTTTTTTTTTGCTTTTGTAGCAGAGTTGAAAGGTCTTCCAGGTTGAAGCTGAAACACTGAGGCGACGTACACGAGTCAAGCCAAAAGTGGTCCCTTGTATCTGTTTCATGGTCGTTGGTTTTTTGCGCGAACTCTGCTATGGGTCAAACAGGGGTGGGTGATGCTATGGAGATCTTCGCTCTTTATATGCTGCGTGCTGCATACTGGCATGTTTGGTGGGAGTAGCTGTAGCTGCCTTGGGACGGAAGTATACTGACCTATTTACATATGGGACTGGCGTAGAGATGTAACCAAATAATTATTTTTAATTTCCCTTCACTCGCTTCAAATTAGCAATTACAAGAATCTCTCTTCTCGAGTGTTTGTCCTTTTGTGGTAGTGGGTTTAAGTATCTATTTTAGTCCAATGTATTGCACTGATGGTACGTTTGTACTTGGGATGTTAGGCTTGGGATTGACCGCCTTGGGAGATATCGAGATCAGACGGAACAGCAGTTCATGAATTCGAGAATTCCTAAGGGTTCTGTGCAATATCAAAAAATAGTTCCAAGTATGATTCAAAAATTTGGAACATCATGTCGGGGATCATACAATGTGTAGAGTGTTGGGGTACCTCAGTAGTATGTTCTAGCCCGGAATATTGTTAGGCTGGTCACGTTGTCGGTGGCGGATGTACTTCCCCGCTTGATGCAACCATCCTAACCAGCATTCGAGTGAGTACCGATGTAACACTGCTATTATTCGGGGTGTCTGATTTATCTGACTCTCGACTCCGATGAGGAGTCAATTTCCCTCACCATAGTTCAAAATTGTTTGGGACAATGCTCTGATTACTGCCTACTCGTAGACACCCGCACTAATGCTAAGGCGACGTGAATGCCGATAGTGGGGTACCGGGCATGTACGCTAGGGGGTTACTCTAATTCCCTCCAATTATTGCTGCAGTAGTGTATTGCTTTTTATTTTGAAGGACACCTTAAGGTGCCTTGAGCTACTACGTAATGGTTGAGCTCACCGCCGAAGCTACCCTTAAGTTAGGGTGCGGTATAAAAAAACAAAAAAAAGGCAGAAAGAACCCCGCGCGGCCCAGCACCAACTTTTTGCGACCGACTTTTCGCTCCCCTTCCGCACAGTCGACCTCTCACTTTTGGTCCCAACCGTTCCAGGCAGCCCCTCATTTCCCCTTTGAGCGACTGACAGCCCTGCACCCTCTCACCTCTTGCGTCACGCCAATCGCAAGGCGACCAGGCTGGCGCAGTTGCAACGGGCGGAGCTGGATCTGCCAGGGTGCCGCCTATCACACCCAGCATGCGACCACCGATGGAGCCCACCGGCTGGGGCATGAGGAAGCAGATCCACCGGACTCAGCTGGAGATCTCGGACGCCCACTTCGGCAATCTGACCTTCGAAATTCCCGCCGCGCCGTTGGTCGGCATGCCCTCCTCCCTTCTCCCTCTCTCCATCATCGCCTCCTCATGGCCGGTGATACGCGACAGCTCGCCAACGACTCGCGAGTCAGGAAGGCGCCCAACCGCCAGTCGCGCTCCTGCAAAGTCTGCCGGCTCCGCAAAGTCAAGGTACCGTGCTCAGATCGCCCCTGGCCGACGGGACCGTCCGTCCCACTGCCCTTGCCATTGACAGCATGCTGTGAGCATGCTAGGATGGGTGATGGTGGTTTCTGCCGAACGACGAGGCTAACTCTTGTTATTCGTGGTCCAGTGTGACCGTGTCAAGCCCTGCCATGCATGCTGCGCGCATGGGTACCCATCCAAATGCGTGTATGAGAGCGTCCCCGACGACGAGGCTCGGCCGATCAGCCAGGCCGAGGAGATCCGAAATCTGCGCGAAGAGATCCAGGATCTCCGCAAGAGAATAGACGGCCGGCGGGACGGTACGTAGAGCCCGAGCTCACTCAACTAGATCGGTGGATTCTTAGCCTCCGACGGCCCTGGTGAAACTCCCCCCGCTAACGCATTCTCGGCTGCAGGGACCCAGGCCCGGAGCCTCCAGCGGCTGGACACGCTCGAGAGCTTATTTGAGTCTATTCGCTCCGCCCCGCCACGCGTCGTCGATGACTTGGTCCGTGATATTCGAGCCACGCATGGCGGCTTGAAGAGAGAAGTGACGCCGGTGGGGCCGTGGGAGGGCCTCGAGGGTAAGTCCAATCACTCCAAAGCGATGGCGTCGGCAAAATGCTGACTACATGACTCTGTATAGCATACGAGACCTACGATTACCAGCGACAAGGATCTCCGTCATCCGTGATTCCAATCCGCCGGAGTCTCCACAACGGTAGCCCCGAGCAAAACTTCAATGATCCAGTTGTGCCCAATGGCCATGATGACGATGACGAGGAAGACGACGAGTTTGGAGAACTCATGTCTGTGGACAGTGGATCAGACTCGTCGAGGTCATCGGGCACAATTTCGATTATGAGCACGCAGCGTCCGGCAGTGGATGTCTTTGTCGAACGCTTCCTGGATGCCTTTAGCCCCGAAGTGGACATCAAATCTGGGCGAGCTGGCGCCATCCGAGCTGCAGCCGGGATCCGCATGTTCTCCCCACTCATTTCCGATGCGTTCGAGGCGGTGTCGGTGGCCTTCTTTGGACGTTCTATTCAAGACAAACAGATTGAGGCGTCTGGGTTTCGGCTGTATCCGCGTGTGTTACGTGGGCTGCAGGATGCGCTGAACGACCCGGAGCGGTGTAAAGCAGAATCGACGCTGGTGACCGTGATTCTTCTGCTAGCGTTTGAGGTGAGTCTGTTTTTTTTTTTTTTTTTTCCTTGTCATATCATATCAGCGCTGACTCTTTCGACAGAGCGTGGAACGCACTACTCAACGCGGTGTCGCCGCTCATGTCCGAGGCGCAGTGCGCCTGATTGAGCATCGTGGACCGGAAAACCACATGTATGGAGTCGAGCACCTCTTATTCACTGAGTTGCGACCATACTGGATTGGTGGGGCACTGGCTGCTCGACAACCCTCGTTCCTCGCCCGCGAAGAATGGAAAACCATCCCCTGGTCGGCTGGAACGACCACAAAAGACATCTTGCACCATCTCTTGGATCTGGCGGCCGATATCCCAGGCCTACTGGCGCAATCCGACACGTTCCAGGAAGAAGAGCGATCGTCCGTGATGAGCGCACAGGAAAGCGCCGTCAAGCAAGCGTCTATCTGGAACGGAATCACCGAGCTGACGAGTCGCTTTCAACAATGGTACCAAGACTGGGTAGTGGCGTACCCCGACGGCCCCCCACAGGAAGTTGAGCAAACTGCCGACCAAGATTTCCCCATCTTCCGACAGCGCAATCCGCGCACCGGGGCGGTCTTTACCCCGACCAAAATCTCCTACCCCAACCTCCTCCTTGCACAAACTATGTCCGTATATTACGCCTTTCGACTCGTTCTGTCGTCGATCGATACTCGCCCCGAGGACCGCGTAACTCCGCTCGAACAATACGGGTTCGCCTGCGGGATCTGTCGGACGCTCGAGTGGTATATCCTAACTGCGCCGGGTAACATGATCAATCGTCTCGCTTTCCCCACTCGCGTTGCCTGGGAGGGACTTCCGGACCGGGGCCCTGAACGGCAATTCATGATCGAAGTGTTGAAGCTCGTGGAGCGACGGCATGCACTTGGTCTTTGGGGAAGTGGCATGGCCGAGCTCTCTGTTCGCGAAAACTCGCCTCTTAATTCCGATGAATGATGACTGTCATGTAGTTTTGTTGTTGATGATATGGGCGATATTTTAATTCTGTCGATATCCTGATGAGCGAGCGTGAGCGTTCTGTCGTATGGCGCTGGTTTAAAATTTGATTTAAATTCGCACCTTTGTTTATATTCGTTTTTTTCCCTCCCTACAACACTCAGTGCACGTGTGTTTAATGTGTCTGTCTCCCGCAGTGGGTGGCATCCTGCTGCATGTCCCCGGCGCACTGGGCAGCTGAACAATGCATGGAGTCTTTGACGGAAAGCCCTCTGCGCGCCAAAGAGTCCGATTGGGCCTGACCCCACTAGGACGTTATACTGCTAGGCCCAAACGAGGCTAGAGGACGCCAGCAAGACCCTCTGGCCCACCGATTCAACCAGTCAGCAGCCATGCAACACGATCAACATTCGATAGTTTCAGGAACGGATGGATCTCACGTCCGATCAGCCCGATCAGCGAAATGAGGAAAAGGAGAGCACGGTTTTCCTCCGATCCCATAAAAGCCTGACGGGCGTCGTTCCTTGGATCGTGCAAACCTAGCTCAGGACCACGAGGTATCTATAGCTCAGGACCACGATGCCCTCCCTCCGCCAGCTGCTCGCCTCCACCCTGGGGTGCGCCGCCGCCGTCACCGCTACCGGCATTAACGACTTCTCCTGCCAAAGCGACCACAACCCCGTCGTGCTCCTCCACGGCCTCGGCGCCACTTACTATGAAGACCTGAACTTCCTGCAATACTGGCTGCAGAAGGAGGGCTACTGCACCTACTCCCAGACCTATGGCGCCTACGACGGCTTCCCGTTCGTCGGTGGCCTCAAGCCCATCAACGAGTCCGCCCCGGAGATCGCCGCGTACATCAAGGAGGTAACGGAGAAGACGGGCAAAGACAAGGTCGACCTGGTCGGGCACTCTGAGGGCGCCTTCCAGAGCCTGTACGTCCCCAAATTCGAAGGCGTCGCCCACCTCGTCGACAAGATCGCAGCGATCGCCCCGCCAACGCATGCGACCTCCTTTGCCGGCCTGTACAAGCTCGCCTACCTGTTCGGCAACTCCACCCGCGAGGCCGTCGGCGATGTTTTGCACGCGCTGGGCTGCGGGGCCTGCGACGATCTCGGTCTGGATGGTGCGGCGGTTGAGCGGCTGAATGATGGGAAGCCCATTGTGCAGGAGGGGAATAAGGTGACTATCATTGCGTCGAAGTACGATGAGCTCGTTACTCCGCCGACGACTTCGTTTGTGCATGAGGATGGTGTCCAGAATTGGTGGATTCAGGATACCTGCCCTTTTGATCCTGTTGGTCACATTGGGGAGGCGTATGATCTTAATGTGTGGAATTTGGTGAAGAACGTGCTCGATGAGACGCCGGATCGCAAGTTTGTTTGTTTGATTGGGTCGCCGGGGAAGTAGGTCCCATAAGAACCTTCCAGGGCCGGAGCAGGACCCTCGGGGTAATAATATGCGGATTGGGATGGTCGAGCCGAGGGTATTGTCAGGTACCTTGCGGGTCGTCAGGTATCTCGCGGGTGCGGGGGCAATGATCCCACGTACATATGGGATGGATAAGTGTCTTAGTTGTACATAATAATTAATTAATGGTCTATTAATACCTTTGCCCTAGGGTATCCCCTGTCTGTGGCGTTCCGATCCAAATCCTACGCATCCATATGTCAGACAATGCTGTCATCGTGCAGCCCAATCCCCCCATCCAACACTGGTTATACCCTATATGTAGGTACCGACGGTGTCACTCCCTTAGCTTACTGTGCTTCAGTAGGGTAAATACCTGATATCATCGGCACACGTGTCATCGTATCCATCGGACCTCCGGCATTTCCCAATAATTAGGCGCTAACTAGCCTATCACCACCCCCAATTCCGGTGGAGACTCCCCGCCTGCCCGTTCGAGCTTGGCTGGAAGCTTAGCCTTCTTTGCACGCACATCACCGCCATCTTCTCGCCAATCATCACCACCATCTGTCCTCGCGATCCCCATTGTATTTAGATAGTGGTGTTTCGGATCCACCGCCACCGCCCTCGTTGCGCCACGGTTGTCGGGTTAGGGCGCAGACACGCTGGAGACGGGCCAAGTGGCACGGCGACTTGCCGGTTGTACGCTCAAGGGTGATTCGCAATGGATGTGAGGGTGGATGGTTTCCACTGGGGTTTCAGAAAGAGGGGTTGAGCTGTTACTCCCGTTGTAGTTTCTAAGATGTGGTTTGTTGCTTGTGTACCTAGGAGGGGTATAAGTATGTCAGCCAACCCCCTCCTCCCCTCTCCTCCTCCTCCTCATCATCACCTCTTCTCTCTACCTTATCCCACTTTACCTCTCACATCTTTCATCATGGGTTGGTTCCACGGTATGTACCTACCTCCAATGCAGATAATGCTGTGCCCATCCCTACACACTCCCATGCACCATCTTACATGATGTTGATTTTCACCGTGCATATGCTGACACCTTGCCTCTACAGACGACTCCGACGAGTCCCAGCACTATAACAACTACCAGGAGTACTCCCAGAACCCCGAGGAGCACCAGGCCAAGTTCTCCCATGAGCTCATCGGTGGTGCCGCCGCCTACGAGGCCATGAAGGCCTACGAGGACCACGAGGCCCGCGAGGGTAAGCCAACCCCCCACCTATACACTCACCCGACCCCAACACCTCCGACCTCATATTCACGTCAATGAGACTGTACATGGACAATACTAACTGACTGCAGGCAAGGTCGACGACCACGCCAAGGCCAAGGAGATCGTTGCCGGTCTGGCCGGTGCCTTCATCGACCGCGAATTTGAGACCAAGGGTCTGGACTTCATCGACCGCGAGAAGGCCAAGCGTCACGCTGAGGAGCGCTGCTACGACCAGATGGGCCAGAGCGGCCGCTGGTAAATCTCGAAGTTGATGGGGGGGGAGGGGTTAGCGACGCTTTCACGAGATATGGAAATGGAAAGATATCAATGAGCGAATTGAATGAATCTAGCATTCTTGCTACTCTATCACCCCTTTGAAAGCGTAGTTTGTTCTGTATTGTAGAATGGAGCTAGTAGCTGCATATATTGTAGGTATACAGAGTGTATGTGGGGCAGCTCAGCAAACCACCTCGTTGACGGGCGATGCGCTAAAGCCTTGGCGATCGCAACTCACTGCAATCCGTGCACCACGCCCTCCCCAAGGTCCACTCCACCTCTATAGAACTTAATCTAGTGCAAGAGACTAGATCCGGGCTCGGCCCAGCAGAGTTCATCATGGATGCCGAACTGGACGAGCACCTCCAACGGATGAGAGCCAACGTCGCGGAGGTGCGAAAACACCGCGAGCTCATCCAGTTACAAGTCCAATCGGAACGGGAGAATTAACTGGTCCAAGAGGCGCACCAGGAGCTGTACCAGCTTCAACAGGCGTCTCTTCAACCGTCGGTGGCGCCTTCCTTGTGTTGTAAGCCGGAGGCCCAGCACACAACCCCGTTTAGACGCACCCGCAGCATGTTCCTGCCACTCCGCATGGGCAACCGTTTGGCCCGGGGTTTGGGGCGATGAGTCCCCAGGCGAGTGGGCTGAGAATTACGAGTCCGCGTGTGAATGGCGTATTGGGGCTTTCGATTAAAGGGCCTGCGAGGACGTTGGTGGCGGATCAGTTGATGAAGGACTTGCAGGATGATCTGGGGGCGGAGTCTATGATCGCGTTCCCCCGGTTTTCCAGTCCAGGGCTCTCAAGAGTTGGAAGGATACTACTTTCTATCCTGATTTTGTGGATTATCTTGCGATGGTGGAGTCGAGCGTGCCTGATCGGAGTGATCGGAGTGACCGGGGAAGGCGGGCTACCACCTCGACAATCCCTGTGGAACGACCGCGATCGCGACATCGAGCATAGTTGAGTGGGCTTGTCCCATAAGGTGGCATTTATTTGGTGCTTGTATTTTCATTCTCAGAGCTACGGGTTAGGTCTGCAGGGCATGTGGCTGGCGCGGTTATGTGCTCTATCATACCTAAGGTATTGGTTATTTTCTATGCATGTATAGGCGAGTTCGACAATATAAGTAAACGTATATTCTTTTTCGGGGCTCTACATTGTTATGTTTGTGTAGATAGGGTCTAAATTAGGGTGGTTTGCGATTATGATTATGCAGAGTCAATAGCCGTAACTGTGTAGACGGGGTGGACTGGACCAACTATGAGTGCGGCCGAGGGCATCACCGCCGGAGCACTTGACACCTTCACTACTTGAAGCTGTCCAGCAGTCTTCACAGCATGCCCGCCACGAGTTCTGACTCCAGTCAATGATATCAGTCAGGACTATGCAAGCCTTGTCGCAAACCATCTGGGTTGGGATCGTGGCTGACACTTGGTCGATAGCTCTCCTGCGTCGGGTTCGCGATCGTCCACGATCACCCCACGACTCATGCATGCTGTCTGCACAGTATGCATAAGACACATGGACGGAGGTCCCGATGAAGATTCAGTCGAAATGAATTGGCAGCTAGGATGAACGCAGGTACAACCTCAGCAGATCCGATCCGTCGTCCTCTCCGACCTCGTTTTCACCATCCCCGGCCTCTCGGTCGATATACAATTGGACTCCATTGATCGGTACTCAACAATAGCTAAAAGAGGAGAGCAGTGTAGCGCCGATCGCAGCGTTCATGAGTCTCGCACAAACAAGAATTCAGAATTGGACGAACCACGAGCCAGTCTGCAGCACCAACGTGCGTAGCTGCAGTCGTTTGCAGCCGTCCGCCCCATCAGCGCTCCCCGATTTCTCAGCATCCACTCAGCAGAGTCAGGCCATCTCTTATACACCGAGAATAGATCCAATGAAACCCGCCGGGACGGTGTATTGTGATCGACCAGCCTGCCCAAACAGCGACCCCGCAGCCCACCGATTCACGCCCCGCCACTCCCCACCGCGGACCCCTTCGATCGGCGTAGCCATGGCTCACCACTGTCAACCCGGTTTGTTCCTCTTATCTGATTTTCCCCTTCTCCACCTGGGATCTTGGAGGAGGCACCGGGTTTCGCGTCTCTTCTCCTTGCTCTGGCCTCGTGTCCAGAGAGAGAAATTGTTTGTCTCCCGATTCTCCGACCGACGCGCTATTTAGCAGGGACCCTTTTACCCCAACGGACTCGGAGGTCCTCCACTGCCGTGCTTATCGTCGCGTGAGCCATGGACGACTGGAAATCGCTAAATCCACGTCCTGCCTCGCGGCGGCCCTCGTTGCGTAGACGCTTAGCTGTGGCATCGGGTGCTGCGCTCCTGCTTGGCGCGTCGCACTTTTCATGGAGACAGTGGTCCTGGGGCACGCCCGCGGTGCCTGTCGAGGCGCCGACGGTGTCCCAGTCGCCCTTTGGCTGGGATGATATTACGCCCTCGCCCACGCTGGAGTATCATGACTGCGGCGCTGGCTTTCAATGTGCGCGTCTGGAAGTGCCGATGGACTATAATCGGACCGAAGCGGATGGTCGAAGATTTGCTCTTGCGATGGTCCGCATCCCGGCCAAGGTGCCCGTTTCAGATCCCCGCTATGGCGGTGCTGTCTTGATCAATCCAGGTCAGTGGCTCTGCCCTGCCTTGAGAATTCGCTAAGGTGTGCTCATGATTTTTTTAGGTGGCCCCGGTGGCCCTGGAACATTGTCAGCCTTGTTATCAGGGCGCAGTCTGCAGACGATCGTCGACGCAGAGAACGATCCTCAAACAGACCCCTTCAACGAAAATGATAAATATTTCGACATCATCGGGTTCGACCCTCGAGGCGTGGGCTCCACCACACCCACCGTAATGTGTTTCCCCGATCCCATCGCCCAGCGAAACTGGGAACTGCAGCTGGAAGCGGAGGGCATGCTCGGGAGCTGCCCAGATGCACTGCAGCGGAATTGGCAACGAACCCAAGCTTTGAATCAGGGCTGCTCGGTCTTCGAAATGAGCGCTGACGCGGTGGAAGGCGAAGAATCTATGATGGCTTATCTGAATACCCGCCTTGTTGCGCAGGATCTGGTGACCATCGTTGAGCGACATGGCGAATGGCGCGAGAAACAAGGGCAGGAAGCCCAGGTGGCGTATGACCATTGCAACGGTCCGGATGAGTCGCGTGCGATTCTTCGACAGACGCAGTGGCGCGTTGGGAAGGAGCCTCTTCTATATTGGGGACGATCGTATGGCACTGTCCTGGGGACCACGTTCGCCGCGCTCTTCCCGGATCGGGTCTCCCGGGCTCTGTTGGATGGCGTGGTCAATATGGACACCTATTATGAAGGACGCGGACCGAATGTTATTGTAGATGCAGATGCCATCTTCGATCGATTCGGTCAGTATTGCGATGCCGTGGGCCCAAAAATTTGTCCCCTGTACACGAACGGTGGTCCAGAGGCCATCAAAAATGCCTACTGGGCCCTCGAGAATCAAATACTCAACGCCTCGATCCCAGTCATGGCGTCTCGGGCCCGTGGACCAGAAGTCGTCACCTGGACAGACATGAAAGCCATCCTGCGCGTCGCCGTTTACCAGCCCTTACTCGCGTTCCAGACCTTTGCAACGCTAATCGCCGCCCTAGGTAATGGCAATCCCATTCCAATGGCGGACTACAAACACCGCAAGCATTTTGGGTCGTGTCCGTCGAACGCATGCAGCATTGCCGGACCGTGGTCGCCGGAGTGTGCCCAGGGACAGGATAACTCTCTATACGCCAGTGCTGCGATTCTATGCAGCGATGCAGAGTTTTTGACGAAGCATGATTCGCAGTCTTTTCGGACGACGTGGAATAACTTGAGCTCTGATAGTGCGGTTCTGGGTGATTATTGGGCTCAGCTGCAGATGGCTTGTGTAGGGTGGCAGGCCAAGGCGAAGTATAAGTTTAGTGGTAGGTTGATTTCCCAGCAAGAGTTTCTGACTTGGCTAATTTCTGAAGGGCCTTGGGGTGGAACTACTGCTCACCCTATGCTATTTGTTTCGAATAGGCTGGATCCGGTTACGCCTTTGCGCAGGTATGGTTATCATGGTTTCTACGTGAACTAGTGGCCTCTTTCTGAATCTAACTCTCGCAGTGCACACCACATGTCCAAAAGATTTCCGGGATCCGCAGTTCTCGAGCAGAACTCTGAAGGTGTATGTATGATCAGGGTTTTCATCTCGTTCATTAGCTAATAGCCGCAAAAAAGCACACTACGATCGCCGCGCCTTCCCTATGCGTCGCCAAGGCTATCCGAAACTACTTCCAAACAGGAACTCTCCCCGCCGCAGGAACACTCTGCGAAGCAGACATGAAACCATTAGTTGGTAAACCCAAAGACGCTGCCAGTCCTGCATCCATGAGTGTGGGAGACCGCAAGCTTTTGGATGCGCAGCTGGAGGAGGTGATGCGGGGACATTGGCCGAGCGTTTCGTGGCCTTGGAACCCGCCGCAGTATCGCGGAGATTTCTGAAAAGATTGGTAGATTTCTTTCTACATCTTTTGCAACTTTCAGTACTAGATTCAGATTTCGGATGAATGTTCGTGTCTCATATGTTTCTGTCTTAGATAATTCTGGGTTCGTATGTAAAGTCCACATCTTGTGCCGTCCGCTGTTCTGTGGATGTGTTTGTGAGCGATGGTCTCTTCTGCATGAGCGATATGACTCTGAATCTATCATCTTTATTCCTCCATGTCCCTTTAACATTCCTACGAGTGCCCTACACTACATTGCTAAAGCAGTGTTGCCTCGGGCTTCCCGCACGGAGAGAGCGGAGACGCCGCAACCTCGGCTGGCCGCCATCCAATCTGCGTGCGGTGATAATCAGCGACCCCGCTTGAGCTCATCCATACTCCAGATTACTACCAGACCCCGGTTCTCGTCCAAACATTTCTTGACTATCTTCACACTCTCAACACGACACCATGGCTCCCCCCACCGCAACAGAAACCACTAGCTCAATCAGCATGCAAGCGCCGCAATCCTCGCAGACATCCGGCGCCGAAAAGGCCAAGGTCAAGATGCAGATGCCGACCATGCCCAAGTTCGAGGATAAGATGGCCGAGCGCGAATACCTCAAGGGCCGACTGGCTGCCGCGTTTCGCATTTTTGGCAAGTACGGCTACGATGAGGGTATGTCTTCTCGCATGCATTTTCATCTGAAATGAATGAATGCATCCGTCGAAGACTTTAGGTACATGCTCACTCATATATTCTAGGTGTGGCGGGCCACATCACACTCCGCGATCCAGTAGACCCATCCACCTTCTGGGTAAACCCCTTCGGCACAGCCTTCTCCCTCATGAAGGCATCCGACCTTATCCAAGTCGACCACGCCGGCACCGTCATCGACGGCGGCCCAAACCGGATGCTCAACGCAGCCGCATTCATGATCCACTCCGCCATCCACGCCGCGCGCCCCGACGTGATCTGCGCCGCGCATAGTCACAGTCTGCACGGACGGGCATATTGTTCGCTTGGCCGACCGCTTGATATAATCTCACAGGATTCCTGCGCCTTCTACGATGTGCGTGACATCTATCCTCCTCGTCCAGGTTTCTTCGAGAGTAACAAAATACTGACTGATTCAGGACCATGTGGTATACAAACAATTCAACGGCGTCGTCCTAGCCGAAGAAGAAGGCCATAATATCGCCCAGGCACTAGGTGCGAAGAAAGCTGCGCTGTTGCAGAATCACGGCCTCTTGACCGTTGGGCAGACAGTGGAGGAGACCGTGTTCTGGTTCGTTAGTTTGGAGAAGTGCTGCTATGCGCAGCTTCTTGCTGACGCGGCGGCGACCGGCCGTGGCGGGGAGACGGTTAAGATTGATGACGCGGATGCTGCGTTTACTTATAAGACGGTTGGGACGCCGAAGGCGGGTTGGTTTAGTGCGAAGCCGATGTTTGACGTTGTTCATCAGGAGACGAAGGGGGAATATCTCCAATGAAGGCGTAGAGTAACATGAAATGAATACTTCATTACTTCGCCTTCAGGTACTCTAAAGTTTTCTAGTCAATTGCGAGGTTCTGTTTGTGTAGAAATGAAAGTTCGAAACATCTCAGCCCTAGAACAGGGATTCCCCACTCGTGCCTGTCATTCCATTCTGCTCGGACCTTGACGCATTAGTTCTAGCCCATGAGCCTTGTTCGGGGGGATTGATCCACTCTACGGAGAAAATGCCGAGACGACCTTATTCTCCGTTTTTTCCAGGGGGCTGTCTTGATTTAGATTAACGCGTCAATCAGCAGTCCAGGGGTTAGAGGTGGTGAAGACCCCGCCGTTTCACTAGTGGACGATTCTCAATTTAACTCGTTTTAGGTTGAGACAAAACAGCGACTAGATCTTCTTCACCAGGCCCATCGTTTCCACCACTAGCGAGTCATGGCAGTTTCTCCATGTCTGTTCATGAGGGAGTTGGGTATTAATAGGGGCGATCGTTCACCTTTGAGGTAATGATAGTCAACGCTGAAGCTCCTTTCCATCGCAGTTCACAAACCATGCAGCTCCTCTTCGGTCTTGTTGCCGGTGCCAGCCTGGCCAGCGCTGGTCTAATTCCTTCATCCACCTCCCTCTTCAAGCGCGACAGCTGGGGTGGCAGCGTCTCGCTGGGTCCCTCCAAGTCGACCATCATCAATGCCGTGACGACCCTGATTCCGGGTGCTGCACCCTCTTCCCAGAATGGTCAGCTCTTCCTGTGGCCCGGCATGTCAAACGGTACTGGTGATCTGGTCCAGACGACTCTGGAGAGCTGGCCCGATAACTCCTGGTGTGGAGCTACCACTGGCCAGTGGTGTGTTCGTGCCAGTGTTTTTGGATCGTTCGGTCAGCTGGATGGAACTGGAAGCCCCGTCAGTGGCACCGATAAGGTGCGGATTGAGTACAATTTGGAGAGTGATGGAGAGACTTGGAAGCAGTATGGAGTCCGCTAGTCAACAACTCTTTGAGACTTGCTAATCTTTAATAGGACTGTCACCAACGCTGAGACGGGTGCTACTCTTTCCACCTACTCGTACGCCTCTGGGCCGTATATGACTGGGTATGTGTCTTGAAGGCTATTGGGTTAAAAGTTGGATTGAGCAATGAGCTGACTACTATTAGTTACGGCACCGGTACCGAGTGCAACTCTGACTGTACCGGAACCATCGAGGTTCAGCAGTACCTCGACACGACCATCACCCTCGCCTCCGCCGACACCTCCTTCGGCAACACCATTGCCTCCGCATCTGGCGCGACCTATACCGGCCTGAGCTCCAGCCAGAACGGCAAAGTGTGGAAGATCAGCACTATCAACATCCCCGCCATGTCCTAGAACACTTACACTGCACGCGAAAGGCAAGAGATAAGGCTAAAATGAAATTCGTATACAATAAAAAAAAAAAAAAATCCTAAAAGCCATTCAGAAATCCCAAACTCCATTTATGCAAGGAACTGCATTTAGACATTACTCTGTATAATCCAACTCAACCGCCAATCGCACCGGACCAGGCGACGCCGCACCCCCAATCCCATCATGATGCTTCTTCGACTCCGTATACGCATTCACCACCTTTTTCGCATCCGGTGTAATTGCTGAGCATCCCTGCCCGTCTGCCTGACAAATCTTCATACCTTGTACCTTCTGCTTGGCAACCTGCGCCTGGATAGCAGACACGTCCCAGCCAGACCAGCCATTATTTTCGATATCGCCGAAGCTAAACTCGCCCCATGTGGATGTATATCCGCCCCAGCGGTCCGTCGGGAGACCGTTGGTGCCCGGCGCCGCGCTCCACGCACCGACAGAGTCCTCGTCGAAAGCGACGTATCTCGTTTCACCCGGTGCGAGGACGAATGTCAGTGCTGAATGGCTGTACCACCCATCCATCTTCCCGTCGGGCCCGATCTTGTTCCAGATAATTACTGTCCAGGGCTGGCTGTTGGAACCGGTAAATCGCGCGACGTATTTGTAGCGGTGGGCTTCTGTTGGGCTCACGGCGATGATGTTGCTGCCCCAGGGGACACCGACGTTGCCGTGGTATTTAATTCCTGTACCGGCGGGCTTACTGCGGCCGCCGAAGCCTTCGAATGTGAAGGCGTTGTTGGCGGGCAGGGCGGTCCAGTCTAGGTTTGATGGCGTGGGTGTCCCTTGTGGGTGGAGGACTTCATCAAGGCCCGGGACTGGGAGGTGCGGGATGATCTCTGTTGGGTTGGTGGGGAGGATGTTTGGAAGTGATGGGAGAGTTGGGAGGAGGTGAGGCTCCGTGGCTGGGTCGATTTTGGTAGTTGCCGGTGAAAGCAGTTGCTCCTCTGCTAATGTTGTGGATGGATATGGAGCTGCACTCGTGATAGACGAGGAATGAATGCTGCTGGCGGAGGTTTCGGTCGTGGTACTGGTCGTGGAAACACTGGTGGTAGAGACACTGGCGGCTTCGGTTTCTTCAGCAGTCACCGTCTTGGTCATGTGAATTGTTGTCGTTTGTTCTTCGGTTGTCTGCTGGGGCTTTTCGATCTCCGCATTTGTCGGTCGAGAGAAGGTATTCAGCGTGTTCGAAGACTGCTCCGTGGTAGTTGTCACGGCTGGCTTGTCTGTTGGTGATTGAGGGACAACCGGCTTCGAATGCGTAGGGTGCATGAATGTGTTGGGGAAATGCGATGTCTCCAATGCGGTTTTTGAAAAAGGCTGCGCCAATAGCGAATGGGTCTCAGCATTCTTCGAGTCCGTAGGCCGGGCATATGTGTTTGGGAAATGCGACGGCGACGGAGACTCGGCGGCTTCAGAATGTGTGGGTCGAGCAAACGTGTGAGAAAAATCCGGAGCTTGCATCACTGTCGTCAAGCTCGGCTCTGGCGACTTTTGTACAACAGTAGGCTTCAATTCGGTGGACTGGATCGTTGCGGTAGCTGGTTCGAGCACGCTTTTTACTGGTGCTGGCTTGGGAGATGGGGTATGAGATGGCGATTGCTCCAGCACTGCAGGCATCGAGAGTGCCGTCGGCTCAGAGTAGTCTTCAAATACAGTGGTCGTGACATAACGAGTGTTGGTCGGAATGCATTCTTCAAACACGGTGGTCGTCGTGGTCCGGAACTCAACCAGCATGTCCAGCTGGGCAGGATTGGTGTCGATCAATCCCTGGTCTCTCGGCGCCACCTCCACGTGAGGTTTCTTGTGGCCATGGTGATGGATGTGATGATTGCGAGATCCCAACGCGTAGTCGGCGCCGGCCACGACAAGAAGAGGAATAGAAGTGCTCCAAAGCATGGTAGAAAGAGTGGATCGTAACGTGGACAAAATAGTGCAGTCGATAGTAAAGAGTGTAATCGCGAGCTCAATCGCTCAATCGGGATTCTTCGAAAAGGAATACTGTAAGAGAAGGATTGAAGTTGGGTTCCTAGGGTTAGTACTGCGGTTCCAGTCCACGCTTACTGCATCTTGGTGGTTGTCGACATCGTGGCTGGCGTTGAGAGTAGAGACACGCGACGGGAACGCGCCGAAGTTTTATAGTCTGACGCGAAGGTCTGGAACAGAACGATGAGGAATGCTAGGCGCGTTGAATCTGGGAAGGGCGATCTGATATGGACGGTAGCAGCCCTGAATTCCATCCTGCTTGGCTGAACATTCACCACCATAACCTCTCTTGGTTGAGCGGTACTACCTAGGTATCCTGCTAGTGTAGTTTTGATGCACTAGACAATTTTTATCGCGTTAATTACAGAAATAGGAATTTATCAGGATGGCCTTTCTATTGGTGTTCAAGGTCTCGAGCGAAAAGCGCAGTCGTGTCGCCAGTCGTGTCGCCCTTGAGAGGCGATCCCTCGCGCGGGACATTCCAGCCCTGGATTACAGCCAAGGGACACACGTGAAACGTGAGGTCTAGAGCGCAAAACGGCGAAATTGAGTTTAGGATGCTATCGGGATGAGAGCACTATTCGGCGTGTTCGTTAGGGAATAAGGCCATTGTGATTGTGTCGAGGGCATTATCGAGTGTCGGACATGCTTCCGCTGATTCTATTCGCTACCGTTCTTATCGGCCGGGCTTCCCGAGCGTCTGCCTGGGGCCGGGACACCGTGGGCTGTCTTTCCAAGAACAACTTTCAAAAATATATTCGTGTCGTATTTAAAATTGAAAGTAGTATTTTAATCGCACTTAGAGAACCTCTGAGAATCTTCTTCCGAAGATACACAATTGTTCTTACATTCGTCATGTTTTGTGCTGACACCCGCAAGGTTTCGGGGTCCAATGTGAAATATATTATCAGTAGAGTTTCGGGCCACGCGCCCTTTCAACGCCCACGACGACATAGTGTAGCGATCTTACCATTGATTATCGAGCAATCGGACTCTGCGATTTGTGATAGAGCATTTGTACATGCACATCTCACTGCAGCTCGGCAGCTCGTATCTCTCTCCGGCCTATCGCTATCCCAGAAATTCCCAGAGTGACTAAGAGGTTCTCCAACTCGCGCGAATGCTGGCGGCCTTTTGTCCTCGCGCCAAACCCTTTTCGGATAAAGATGCGCCGGGTGGACTTAGACTCGACCAATCAGCGCCGACATCCCCGCCCGTCGAAAGATTTACCGAAAAGGGTTCGGTCCAGTTGGGGTTCGCGAGGAATATAAGGAGTGTCCATCTGGCTTCAACCTGCCTTTTTGATCTTCATCCTCAATAATGGCGTCCCTACACCCCTTCGACCCCATCACACCCGGGGAGATCCAGTTGGCCGTGCGCGTCCTGCAGTCTGCCTTCCCTGGCGTCAAGTTGCGCTATAAGCGTATCGATCTCCAGGAACCCTACAAGCATGAGGTGATCCCCTACCTCGAAGCCGAGCGCCTGGGTACCACTCGGCCCTTGAAGCCGGCCCGTCTGCTATTCGCACTGTTCCACCGCATGGACAATGGCTCCTTTTACAAGGCCCTGCTGAACGCCGACACCAAAACAATCGTGTCCGCCAAGGAATTGCCCAAGGATATTCAGGGTCCTGTGGATATAGATGAGATGATCGAGATGGAGCAAGTCTGCCTAAATCACCCCGCAGTCAAGGCGGAGATTGAGAAATTGCAGCTGCCGCAGGGCGTCACCGTGTGCCTGGATCCGTGGATCTACGGTACCGAAGATGCCAAAGAATCCCGACGGCTATTCCAGTGCTACATGTACGTGGTAGCAATCGACCACCCGCAAAACAACCAATACTCGCACCCACTGAAGTTTTCTCCTGTCTTTGATGGAATTACCCGCCAGCTCGTGCGAATGGACTACCTGCCCGACGGTGCGGACACCCAGAGCTCGCAGACACAGACCTGGAAGCCGGTCAAGGCCGTTCAATATGCACACGATTTGCTGGACGAGCCCCTGCGCACTGATCTGAAGCCATATATTGTGCAACAGCCAGAGGGCGCCTCGTTCTCGGTCATTGGCAATGCCGTTTCATGGCAGAAGTGGCGATTCCGTGTCGGCTTCAACAACCGCGAAGGTCTCGTGTTGCACAACTTGACTTACGATGGGCGGAACACATTCTACCGTCTGTCATTCTCGGAGATGACTGTTCCTTACGGAGGTTTGTCCAAGCCCTGGATCCCGGCATTTTTTAAAGCATTGACTAAGTGAACAGACCCTCGCGCCCCGTACCACCGCAAGCAGGCCTTCGACGTGGGCGATGTTGGCTTCGGCATTACTGCTAACCAACTTGCGCTCGGCTGCGATTGCTTGGGTCACATCAAGTATTTCGATGGATACCGTACCGACTCCCAAGGTGAGCCGATCCACTTGCAGAATGTCATCTGTATGCACGAGCAAGATGCCGGCCTCCAACACAAGCACACAAACTACCGTACTGGTGCGGCAACCGTCGTCCGCAACCGTCAGCTTGTCGTCCAGATGATTTGCACGGTCGCCAACTACGAGTACATATTCGCCTTCATTCTCGACCAAGCAGCAAACATCGAGCTGGAGGTTCGCGCCACTGGTATTCTGTCGACTGTGCCATTCGACAACGAGAATGGCCAGACAGTACCCTGGGGAACAAACGTCGGCCCTGGCGTCATGGCTCCATTCCACCAGCACATGTTCTCGCTTCGAATCGACCCCGCCTTGGATGGCTACAAGAATACTGTCTATTACGAGGATAGCGTGCCTATGCCCGAGGACGACAATAACCCGTACTCGGTGGGCTACGTGACCGAGAAGAACATCATTAAGAAGAGCGGCAGTGCATCCACCAGTGTGGAGAAGCACCGTGTCTTCAAGATTCGAAACGACAATATCATCAATCCAATCACCCACCACCCGATCGCATACAAGCTGCAAACATCACCAAGTCAAATGATCCTTTCCCGCCCTAAGTCCTTCGGCCTGAAACGTGCGCAGTTCGCAACCCGCCCGATCTGGGTTACTAAATACCAAGACGATGAGCTCTTCGCCGCGGGCGAATTCACCAACCAGAGCAAGGAGTCTCAAGGTGTGGAGAAGTGGGCTTCCCGAAATGATACTGTTGAGGATGAGGACCTGGTTCTTTGGCACAGTAAGTTTCTTTCCCATTACCACATTCAGATATCATACTCACCATATCTCTAGCATTCGGTCTCACCCATAACCCCCGCATCGAAGATTTCCCGGTGATGCCGATGGAGCGCGTGAGCGTCATGCTCAAGCCCGATGGATTCTTTACCAAGAACCCGGCTTTGGATGTGCCGCAGTCCTCGCAGGCCTTCAACCGATCCACTCAGCACCCTGAGCCCTCTTGCTGCTCTGGACCGCAAGATCGGAGCCAGGTCAAGCTGTAGAGAGGTACAGATCATGATAAGAAGATTGAATGATACAATATACCTAGGATAGTTATTTACGATCGAGAATGAAGATACCATTATCAAATGGGTTTAGAGGTTTTTGTAATAACTAAGCTACCACCAATAGTGATAAACCCTATCGGCTGCTTTGGACCCTCTCGAGGCCCTGTAATAAAGGTGACGGTAAGACTGCCGCCTCGGGAAGCGATCGGCTCCCGGACCCCAGCCTGAGTTAGTCACCCTGCCGCCCTGAGCAGCGGGCGCTCCCTGAGCAACTCTGAGCAACCCTGAGCAATCCTGACTCCTGAGCAATCCTGAGCGACCCTGAGTACTCCCGGAGCACTCCCGGAGCTGCTCCCTGAGCACCCCGATCGCTCACCCCGGATGCTCCGGCTGGCCCACAACACGCTTCTTTTTCTGTTACACTTCCTCCGATGGTAAGCGCTTTGCTGCCTACGGTCGCTCCTAGGAGCTCGAACAAAGAAATGAGCTAACCTTACACTGTATCTATTCTCCAGCGTTTGCTTACTCGACTTTATCGCTTAATGACCATGATCCGCCATGCCGTAGGAGAAACGAAATCCCACGAACACGATCTTCGTGGTCTCTTTTTCCTTCCACAATGTAGATGCTTGCGTTCCTTAGCGGAATGCCAAAAGAGGAAGTTTGGTCGCTGTCTCTGGCTCTATGCTCTGGATTAGTTCGGATTAGTTCAGCCCCAGGAATATTATCCATTACTTTAGCCTGGCACAGGCTCCTTGACCCATAGGTCCTCCACTCACATGAAGAAGCTGGAAAGGCGTTCATAGCCTATCAAATTCTACTTACGGTCCGATCGCTAATCACGCTTTCATTTCAAACATGAGTTCCTAGGAGCACCTCCTTTTGCTGGTATAACACAGGCAAGCGTGGCCCTCAATTGGCTACGACATCTTGCAGTGGAGTAAAGCCAGGGATCAGTCGGATGGACTCTCGACCTCAGCTGTAGCCATTTGCAGCTCGAGCAGAGGCCGATTCTTTGATTACATCTTTCCCTTGGAATTGGGACCGCGAAAAGCACGACGGCACAAACAGTTATAAAAAGCCAGGGGTATCCCCCTTCGCGGATTTTTGAAATACATCTTTCCTTTAAAATCTTCATCCTCGCGCCCCTAGTTCCCTGGCTCGACAGCTCCTTGATCAAATTATCCAAATCTCCTGTCATCATGGTGACGCTAAATCATCAAAAATTTTTGGCAACCGACCACGGGATTCTCCAGAGAAGGCTCGGATAATGGTCCTGAAAATAGCTCTGCTGGAGTATCGGGGCAATCCATCACTCTCATAGAAAAATCCGAGGCAAATGGCTACGTGCTGTGGAAACGCAGACCTCATGACGGGAATGAAACGGAAGATTTTGGTACGCATGATTATTTCAGCATCCGATTTTCACTTGGGGTGACCTAATACAATCCCTTAGTGTCGCAGAATGGCCAATCTGCCCAGGAGACTATACCTGAAGCGTCTGCTAGCGATATATCAGCCGCTGATATCTACCCTGATCATCCCGTTTACCCTGAGGAGGTCGCACTCTATCCTTCCTCTCGAGTTAGCAGCAGCCCTTCCGTGACTGATCTGGATGGGCCTGGGACGTCAAGGATCTTCGACGTATTTCAGGATGATCCAACCGAACAAGAATGTGAACATGTGCATGCGCAGTCTAGTGTAAGAGGCAAGAAGCGAGCCCTGAAAAAACTGGATTTAATATGGAAGTCATACTTTTCTTCCCAGAGCCGGACCATCTCTACCAGAGAAGCTCCAGCTTCTGATGAATAGTTTTTGCAGACGCGGTCGAATTCCTTTGTACGGTACAAGAGGATCTTGTCGACACCTGCGTTTCGCATCTCGAACAGTCTCTTCCAGGAAAGACGGCACTGCCGTTGATTAGCGAGGCTAAGCCCATAACCCGCTTCTCTCATGAACCGCTCAGTGGCGACTTTCTCGGCCATCGTGAATTCATCAAGAGGACCTCTAGAGGTTGGCAAATCCTTTGGGTCAAGGAGGTCCGCGCCTTTCTTGAAAATTTCCCAATACACGGTCTCGTTAAATCGAGACTGGATACCTTGACTTGCGGATAATGCATTCTCCTGCTTGATTAGCTGAACTGCACCGGAGTATTGCAACTGGATAATACTATCCACAAAGCCCTGAATCTCATCCATCTTCATTGTGATAGTTGTCTGTTTCGATTGGTGTCCGTATCTTCAAAGTGGATCGTTACGCTTTATGCAGTTAACAAGGATATTTTCAATGATCTTGTGTGGCGCTTTCTCGCATCGAGACATGTTCAAATTGATCGACAAAGGCGTTTCAGCCCGAGTCGGGTTCATCGCTGCGTTCGTTTCAGGCGTCAAAGGAGATTCGGCTGATGTTGCCTCTTCCCGATTTGCCGCAGTGTCGTTCGGCTTTTGCACCGTATCTTTCAGAGCATCTTTACTGTATTTCCGCACCCTTTCTTTCATTATCACAAATCACTGCTTTGCTTGTCGGCCACCCATTCCTCGTGTTTCGGACTACAAAGGCAAAATCATATTTACTATATGTAACGTGAAAGCTTTCTCGTACTATCATACACAGGAATCGTGAGTGGACAATCATCTTGAGTGGCACTTGTAGCTGTATCAAGTATTGCCATCCACTTTGTCCTAAATTGGCTTAGACGTAACGTATAGTTCAATAGTTTAATAGCCTAGCAAAGTGAAGTAGCCTATCAGACACATTAATAATCTCAAGGATCGGCTTCATACTTCAATAATTATGCAGAAGCTCATATGATAGCTCACAAAGTCGTCGAAACAGCCCCTAGTTAACCCGCTTTGATGGGGTTGAGCATATCGTCCCAAGGATACGCAATCAATATTACGTTCACTTGTGCTACAAGTTTTGCAAATTTGTCCTTTCTAAGGATCGCCCTAGTTTGTGTAGCACAGCGAGTTTATGTAACACAAGGAAACTCACATGTTGTTCAGGGCTCATCACTCTACCCCAATCTATAAATATTTATAGCAGCACATCCGAGATTCTCTCCTTGCAAGTCCAGCACAGTGTTTGTCTCAATTTTTTTTTGTAAAGCCTCTAGCCCACGACGGCATTTTCAAAGTTATTTTGGATGCCCCAATCGGCGGCTCGCAGCCAGATCGATCAAGATGTACGCAGCCGCAAAGTGGTTGTGTCTAGTTATTGCATTGCAATTACCGCAGATGCTACTTGCTCAGGTATACACACCTCCTATTATGGGTACAGGCAGCATCACGACTGGGGGCTAAAATACACACAGAAGGAAGGCGATTCGTGCAGCGTGCCGCAGTCCACAAGGGGGGATTGGGCATGTGACGACTCTAATGACCGAATGAGCAAACTTCTCCAGTGCCGATCATTGAAATGGAAGTTTCATGGCTGTTGCTGGGAGTGTGCCACGCAATTGACGTCCGGCAGTGGGGGATTAGTTGCGCAAAAGCCATACTGTTCATCACAGAGAGGGAAAGGGGATGATGGAGAATGTCCAATTCGCTGGATGCCTGGAAAGAAACTCGGCGAGTCGTGCAGCACAGTGGAGGACTGCGCTCCTAGATCGGCTGATGGGCGGATTTATCCCGTGCCGGACATTCGATGCCGGAACGGAAAATGCACCCGGAATCCTGCCGGTGCGTCTTGCTCTAAGGATGCCGACTGTGACTATGATTATGGCCGGCTGTCTTGTATCAGTGGGACATGCAAGGGTAGGCCCGGTGGCCAATGCTACGAGGACTCTCAGTGTACTGGAGAGAAAGGCACGATGGCACGATGCATTAACAACTACTGCCAGGCAAGAGCTGGTGATGGTTGCGAGTCTCAGGTACATTGCCAGAGTCCCAAGAACACTCTCATATGCTTGGGGGGGATTTGTCAAGCCGAACCAGGTGACAGATGTGATGATTCCAAACAGTGTTGGCAGCCATTTCGGACTGCCCAGCACCCTGATTGGCAACTGGGTCCGAATACGAAATTCATCTGCAAGAAGGGGACCTGCCTTCCAGAACTCAGTGGACCATGCAAAGGAAACATTGACTGCTTCCCGAACACCTGTGGACCGGAGGGTAAATGCGAGAGCCAAAAAGTGTCACTGTGCAGGATTTGTGCAAAAAAATATGAAAAACACTATAGTGATATCCTCCGTCCTACTCTCAGCAAAGTCTGTCCCAAAAGCAATGAATGCGAAGCTTTGGGCGTTGCATTTCCGAGTCCTACCTAATGGAGGTGATCCGACCGGTCACTAGTTGGGTCAGGGTTGGGGTTTTCCGCCAATTTGGGAGGTACTTTGATTAATATCTACACACATCTTTGTATGCATTTCCTATGGAAATTGGGTCAATTTGGAATACTTGCGTCGTAACATCCTAATACTAGCCCCTCAGGTTATGAAGTCCCTGTCAATAGCGGTCTCACAGGTAGTTTTTTAACTAGTTATATGATAATTTATTATACGGCTTCCGGATGATGAGTAGAGTCCCATGGTGCCGCCTTCGAGTGCCACTCGGTTCTAGAAGAAAAATTTCACAGGAAATGGGGCGCGAGAGCCCAGCCGGGCCAGGAAGTCAGCAAGATGAGGGAGTCCAGCGGACCTGAGAGCAGGTGCAAGATTAGCTGCCCTCGCCCACTTTGACCAATCTTGATGGATTCAATAATACATCCCATGTTGACATCAATCCAAAACCCCCTATGGCAAAAGCTCTTTTATCTCGGGGTAAGTCAAATATGATCAGTTTTCTGCGTCCAGGGATTGAATGGAATACTTCTGGGATTGATCTAATGCAGACATCCTTAGGTTTGCCCCTGAACTGATGCTTTATTAGAGTCCCTCAAAAGCTTTCTGGTCCTGGGATGGGCAAGTTTACTCCTAGGAGGGTTTGAAAGCTCCTAGGGTCGCGTGTTAGCTTCCTAGGAGTGTAAAGTCTGTCTCTGGGAACATGAACTACCTCTCCTGGGAGCTATATTGCTCCTGGAACTCTAGGTAAAGTTCCCAGAGGCAGCCACTGGTCATCCCAGGATCGATGGAAGTGTCTCTGGGATCAGAATTTCTTTAGAGCAGGTTCATGTTCTTTCTTTCACAGGCCCATCGAGTTCAGGAACGTATTGGCCTGCCCCGGGAACTCTACTGCTCCTGGAACCTCAAGCCGCTCTTAGAGGTCAACATCAGGTCTCTAGGTGACTGAAGTACCTTTGGGATCGCCCGGGGTGTACCTGGGGCATGAGCTTACACAGCACTAAGATCTATTGGCTCCAGGAACGTGTTAAGTCGGCCCTAGGAGCTTTGTTGCTCCTGGAACCTCCAGTACAGTTCCTAGAGCAGCCACATGTTGATTGATTGATTGATTTATTTATTCATAGACTGTCCCAGCCACCCTAAGGCAGCTATGCAGCGTCCATCTATAAGTACAGGTGTCCCCGCCCTTGCTTTCAGACAACAAGCCGTCCTTCCCAGAACTACTTCCTTCTTCCGCTCCGGCCGGTCGTCCCCCACTCAAAAGCTAATGATTGTTCTGTGTCTATGTACTTGTCAGGCCTTTCCTGGCCCTCCTCTCCTTCTATATACCAAAAATCACTCGTCTTCGCTATGTGTACTTTAGTACTGTGGATGGTACTGCTCGGAATTGTCCCAGCAGTCCAGTCCTCAAGATCATCTTTGCTGCTTGTACTGCCATTTGACGGGCTACAGAGAATGCGTTTGATGTCGATGCATGGAGCCCTGCCTGCCCACATTCGATGTCGTTCGTCCGCCCAGTTTCGGCACTCGAGCAGGACGTGCCGTACGGTTTGCGGCCCGTGGCCACATTCGCATTGGTCGGAGTCTGCCTTGTTGATGGCGTGGAGGTACGCACGTAGGCCGATCTTGTCCGTGTGCATCTGTGTGATGGCGGAGCTGATCGCTCTGTGTGTGCCAGTGTGCGTGTCGAGTATCGCCTTTCCTGGCCTCACCCCGAGTCTAAAGAGTTCTCTACCGTGCCTGGCATTCTCCCAGGCCGTGTCCCACTCGCCTCTCATCGCTCGACGGATGATGGACTTGGTGGTTGCCGTGAGTGTTCGTAGAGAGTCTGCTTCTGGCGGCCGCTCGGTGTTCGCTCCCGTGCTTGGATTGATTCCGGTGGCCTCTTTCGCTGCTTGGTCGGCTGCCTCGTTACCTGGCACTCCCACATGTGCGGCCGCAGACCCTGTATCTTGGAAACACGTGGATATTCAGGCTTCATAGCACAGTATTAAGAGCATTTTGACTTTTCTACCACATTGCACATACCTGCTTGTATACCGCTCATCGTAAAGCCCATACTCGACAGTACTGGGGCCGTTGCAAGGCTGGGAGCCGCCAGTATAGTCGCTCCGGTGGCGCCGACAACCGCGCAGGCAGCGAGAATCGGGTTTTGAACACACCAGCTTGCTGCCTACCGGATTTTAGTGGCAAGCATTATAACCATTTCCATACGTAGAAGGTGTATACCAACCTGGGCCGTCAAGTTTGCGGGCTTTTCAAGGGCAGGTCTGCATAAACTGCGATAACCTTACTGCCTTCCAACCCCGCTCCCATGATCCTCGTGCCCCCAGCCATCACCTCCTCGGGAGAGAGAGTTCGAAAAGGCATGGATAAAATGGTCATAGTCTATTTGTTGGACAAACAATAGAGCAAAGCCTTTTTTGTTGCAAATAACCGGTAAAAAAGAAGCGCTGCAGGAGATTCACTCCAAGCCCGAGGATCCAGCCAAGCAACTGGATGTGACCATTGGAAACCCGTGCCTCTTACGCCAGGGAGCCTAAACCTATCATCTTTTGGGGACGGGGTGGAGCTGACATAAACGCGCTGGTAATTTGGACTTGTCACAGTTGTTCGATGTTCTCTCCCATCCAAGCCGACGGTCGACAGCAACTCCGTCCGAGAGTCCAGAGCAGATGAATCATGGGATATTGATGAGATTGGGTCGAATGGAGTCGACATACTACATTCGATTATGTCGATCGCAAGCCTGATTAATAATCTGATATGTCTCGAGGCCGAAACCAGTCTCAAAAGTAAAGCTCGGAACCTTGGATGTCCTATTTGTTTATTAAACATTAGCCCTGGACGCCACTTGAGTCCTTATGAGTATGTAGATACGGTGGCGATCCCGGGGATCTCGCCACAACCTCAGTATAACAGCAAAATATTTGCAGCAATCGGGCTACTTTCCTGTAACATGTCTCTCTACTTAAATAACACCGGATTACCTATGGCTAGACGCCAACTGAGCATCTGTGTCCACTTCATCATATTCCCCGCTCCTCATTTTTAGTATTGGGTTGTACTAAAGAACATAATTTTGGCGTGCGGTGAATATTGGTCGAGACACTCACAATTGTCTAATTTTGGAGGGTCCGCAAATACAACCGTGTTACGCTCTCCCATTCTGGACAGTATCATACTCAAACATAAAATATATTTATCGAACTGGTTTACATCTGCTGCGGCCTGCCTGATAATAGAAAAGCAACAAGCCTCCAAGATCTTTGTCGTTGGTGGGACCGGTGCCTATGGCTTGCCTGTCATCTCAAGTCTAGTGCAAGACAAAAAGTATATAGTCAGAGTGCTCACTCGCAACCAATATTCCACGTGAGCCAGATATCTTGCATCCCTGGAAATTTCGACGTCGTCGAAGGCACTTTTGCTAGCGAATCTGATCTTCGTTAAGGTTGTCAAAGTTTCGCTGCGGACATTCTGATGGTGGACTACAGGGCCGCTAAGCATAATACTAGCACTATAAATGTCATTATATTTGCAAATCTCCAGTAATTTAACCTTCTGATTTTGAATACAGTTCAGTCATTTGCTGCTACGTCGGTTTACCAGGATACTGATTGCCACCTCACAGAATCATAGATTTCGTGATGACAAGGCCTGAATGCTTGCAAAACAGAATCTACTCCCGGGGGTGGGATAGGGTCTATTCGGTTACTGTCTGTAATCGGCTGTAGAATTGGACGTACCAAAGTTTGTGACTTTTATACAAGGAAAAAGCTATAGCAAGGGGTAACATATATCATGGAGCGTTTTACTATGGTGAAATGCTCATGAACTGATCGCAAAGGACCTCGAATAGGGTTAAGATTATTCAACCGCCCGTGGGCTAGTTAACAGTTAGGTTCATTACAAGGATGTTCAGTAATCAAGGCCGATGGGACGTTAACGTAATCCACTAGCGAGTGAGACACACGGGCGAGTGAGACAGAAAACGCGGTCACGCCCCAGCGCGTCAACTTCCTCATTTCAACTACCCACTATGCCCCCAATTCGCAGTCAAAATCCTCAAAATTCTATCAACCAAGAAGGTAGAATCCAGCTCGCGATACAAGCCTTTCAGAACAAAGAATTTCGATCGATTCGCGAAGCTGCGCGCCGATTTCAAGTACCTACCGCAACTCTCCATCGCCGATACAATAACCAACTTCATCGATCGGAAACCCGCGCCAACAATTATTGATTGACTCCAACTGAAGAGGAATCGCTCCTACGGTGGATGCTCTCTATGGATACGCGTGGATCAGCTCCCCGACCTAGTATGGTAAGGGATATGGCCAATATTCTACTAGCAGAGCGTGGTAGTCAGACTGTTGGAGTCAATTGGGTTTACAGATATACAGAGCGCTATGATGAGCTCAAATCGCGGTATTCTCGTCGATATAATTATGAGAGGGCAAAATGCGAAGATCCGAGGATTATTAAACCATGGTTCGACCTTTTACGACGCACGATCGATGAGAATGCTATCCAACCTGAGGATACCTACAATTTTGATGAAACTGGCTTCGCAATGGGGCTTATAGCTACTGCGAAAGTCATTACAAGAGCTGAATACTATGGTCGGAGGTCAGTTCTACAGCCAGGGAATTGCGAATGGGTCACCGATTGAATGTGTGAATTCAACGGGCTTTATACTCCCACCCTGCATTATCTTCAAATCGTCAAAGTACCAACAATATGCATGGTTTGATGACCTACCCGACAATTGGAGAATCGAAATCAGTGAGAATGGCTGGACTACAGACGAAATTGGGCTTCGATGGCTAGAAAAGCTATTTATCCCTGCGACTACTAGTCGTACTAGGGGTGAATATCGACTACTAGTTCTCGATGGCCACGGCAGTCATTTGACCCCCCGTTTTGATCGATTGTGCGAGCAAAACTATATTATTCCAATCTGCATGCCTCCGCATTCGACTCATCTACAGCCTTTGGGTATAGGCTGTTTTGCCCCCTAAAGTGCGCGTATGGGAGCTTGATTGAGCGCAAAGGACGGTTGGGGGTCAACCACATCGACAAGCTTGATTTCCTTGCAGCATTCCCAAAAGCTCGCAAAGAGGCCTTTAAACCAGAGACTATTCAAAATGCATTCATCGCAGCTGGTTTAGTACCATATGATCCCGATCAGGTCATTTCAAAGCTTGATGTTCAACTTCAGACACCTACCCCCTTAGGTAGTCGACCAGGGAGCCAATCGAGCGCGTGGGGCCCTAAAACGGCAGCAAATCTCAAACAATTGAATCGACAGGTCTCGTCAATCAAGGCACTGCTTAAGAAACGCTTGCAAAGCCCTCCAACGCCTACGAATATAGCTATTGATTAGCTCCTCAAGGGCTATCAGCTATCATTGCATTCTAATGCAATTCTTCTAAAGGAAATCCGCGATTTACGGGCTGAAAACGAGACAAAAAGCGAAAATGCAACAGAACGACTAAGCGCGTAGCTCATACGGAGGGCTTTACGGCCAAGAAGCCAGGGAGTCGATGAACCAGGCTCATGAAGCTCCTAATACTACCCCCGCGGAACCAGCTGCGTCAGCTTCCCAGCCAATTACACGCGCACCCCCGCGATGCAGCGACTGTCATCAAATAGGGCATAAAAGAACGCAATGCCCTGATAGGTCTAATAGATAGAAATTTGAAATCAATGGCGTTGTTGATTTAATAAATTGGTTTGAAATAATAGTAGCTGGTTTTCTGTCTCACTCGCCCGTGTGTCTCACTCGCTAGTGGATTACGTTACGTTATCGGCAAATTGATTACCAAGCCTTCCGATCACAATACATCGTAGCTCTGATCCGGGAATTTCCAACATGAAATACATACAAAACATGAAGTGATAGTAATTTATTTCGAATGAGCGATATAAGGCGCGCTTTTCTTCACTTCAATATCTGTACTTCAGCCTCACTTGAGTATCAGTCGGAACCATCTAGCGTCTCCACTGTGCCATTCAAGGCTCAGACAGTATGGCATCCTCATCAAAACGCTCCATTCTGATCACTGGGTTCGTTATTAAAGAAAGGGTTTCCCTACCTTTCCCTCCTCATGAAAGCATTATGGACTGACAAATGTTGCCACTGTATAGCTGCTCACCAGGTGGGGTTGGTCATGCTCTCGCTCTTGAATTTGCCTCTCATGGCATGCGTGTTTTCGCGACAGCTCGATCCACCAGTTCCCTCTCCAGGCTATCAGAGAAAGGAATTGAGATATGTGAGCTAGATGTCACGAATGCCGAGAGCATCACGGCGTTGAGGGATGAGATTTCCAAGAGAACTGGCGGCAAATTAGACATGCTGTTTAACAATGCTGGCTCAAGTATGATACGTTCCGTTCTTTCCTTTAACGCACAACGACACCCTGCCTATCCCGGCTCCGTTCATCCATGTTGACTGCATTTTCCTGGCGTAGTGTATGAAGCTCCGGCAATCGAAGCCGATCCTGCCCGCATACGTGCAGTTTTCGATACCAACGTATTTGGCCTGTTCAATATGGTCTCAGCATTTACTCCTCTTCTCTTTGCCTCATCTACCCAGTCAGATATGATGCCAGTCATCATCAATACGTCATCAGTGCTTGCAAGGTTGCCATTCGCGTTTTCGGCCGCATACAATGCCTCGAAAGCAGCCGTGGCTTCTTACAGCGACACCCTCCGGATCGAACTTGACCCACTCGGTATCAAAGTCGTTACGCTATTCATGGGTGAAGTCTCAACAAACCTCATGTCGCCTGACAATATCTGTTTTGACCCCGAGGGTATCTACACCGTCGCTTTAGAGGGAACCAGGGAGCGAAGTCAAAATCATGCTAAAAAAAGCATGAAGCCAGAACTATTTGCCAAACAAGTGGTTCAAGCCATCTTGGCTAAACATTCTGAATATGGAAAGGGGGAGTTTCTGTGGAAAGGAACCAATGCTTGGGCGATTTGGTTTCTGAATCTTGTTGGATGGAGATACATGCTGGACAACGTCGTCAAAAAAATGGTTGGGCTTGAAAAAAAGAAGTCCGAAAGTCCATTCGCGAAAAAGCAACAATTCTGTGGACAAAGGAAAATGTGCAGGGAGGCCAATAGCTAATCGGTCTAGTGTTGGGTGGTAATTTTTCGTTCAACTCTCTTGCGTTGCTTGTTTGATTATTTGGGATGTTCAGTCACAGAGCCGGGAATAATTGATACTCAGGATATTTTTCTGTAATGAGATAAGGGTTCAAGTCGAAATATGGGTAGTGTCTTATAGGGCTGATCGACTCTAAAATCGTATGAATGCCGGTAGAAAAAAAAAAATTTAAAACAACACAACACGAAGAACAACAGAAAGGATATGACCATTAAAAAGATGGTATGCAAGAGGGAGTATCGCTGAGTCCGAATGTTGTGAAGAATTGTTGTAGAGGGGATTGAAAGAGCTTACGAATCTCGGAAAATACCCTATCTTGGGGTACCCCTTTTTTTGTAATCATTCAATTCCTCCTCTAAGAATTCTGCTCTGGCGAGAGACCGAGAGTAATCACTGACAAGTCTATCACGATGTCGTTTCCGCGATCGAGGTGATGAATCTTCAAATTCGTTTAATCGCTTGCGAAAATTCTCCGCCGCAATCTCGAAAGTATTCGGCCTTCCCTGGTTGTCAGGCGTCCGCACAGGTGTTGTGGCTCGGCGTTGACGAGGAACAGTGCTTGCAACTTCATCGAGCGGTGGCGCCGGTGTCTTCCTCTCACTGACAGGTAATAGGGGCACATGCGATGACTGCGGAGTTCGAGGTTGAGAGTCTGTACTTGGTGGAGTTTCTGGTGTTGGCGTGGGGCTGCTAGCCATCACCGTTGAAGTTGTAGGGATTATTCCAGGAGCAATGATAGAAACGGAGTCATCTGGAGCCACCACGGCCTCTTGTGTTTGAGGAGGAAGTGTGGCTTGTCTGCCTCGGAATCGATTTTTCAGAGCTGCTCGATCCACAGGCATGAGGCATGTTTTGAGCCAAGCATCTTTCGACTCGCTTAATCTCTGACGTGAAGCCAGCTGCGTGTTGATGAAGTCCACGAAGGCCTTGGGATCGATTGTGAAGGTGTCTTTTCTGCTCTGGTGCAGCTTCTGCTTCATGTGCTCAATGAAAATGTTGGCCAGTGAATCGAATATTCCACAGTAAAAGGGACTGAACATTTCTTGTGTCCGCTTTGGAATGCAGAGACAGACGATTTGGCGACGTTCGCAGTAGTTCTCAAAGTCCGTTGTGACTTGAAATCGACGAGAGTCAACGAGAAGGAGTCGGTGCATGCGGGCGCTATTGATCCGCTCCTTGCTTATAGGATCAAAGACTGTCTTCAGCCAGTCCAAGGCATGTGTCTCATCAGCCCAGCCGTCCTTGTTGAATGCCATTTGAATTGATCCATGTCTCTCGGGACGTGGGGGCTCGTTGCTTTTGACAGTAACATAGGGTGGCAGGTGCCTGCCGCCAGACTGAACACAATGAATAACTGAAGAGTATTGACGGGTTTCCTTTTTCTTTGACTCAGGTCGATACAGAACCATTCCAGGCTGTTTCTCCGACCTAACCGTTGTGACATAACCCAGTTCGCTCACGGCAAAGACATTCTCATCTATGATGTCGTACTTCCGTTTAATTTCATTGAACTTGTCAAGAAAATCCAAAAGTCGCATCAATTCGTCATCCGGGTTCGGGTCAGGCACTTTCTTCCTCTCATTTAGGCGAGCGGCTTGATAGGAGTCCTTGAAACTGGGATGGAGATTGAAAAGGCCAAATTCCCACCCTGAGGCCACTTGGTCCCGCTCATGAGGTGGCAGCCGCCATTGTATGGAATTCAAATGTGAATTGGCCACTTCAACCACCATGAGCGTATTCTTTACGGGGTGTCCGAGCTCAATCCATCGCTGAGCATGTGTCACAATGGTGTTCTCAACCGAGGGATGGATCTTGCGCTGACTGCGCTTCGAGTTGGATGGTTCATCTCTGCCTTCAGCATTCCTGGGCCCCATGATGTTGGATTTTCTTCGAAGATGATCACCGGCAATGTTTGTTGCCAGTTCAGACCTTATCAATCGTGCAGGTGGCGCATCGATGACGCTAAGAGACCTCCTGGATGGCATTCAACAGGGTTGGAAGAAGCTTGTCAACAAAAACGGGGGGCCCTAGTAACACAAGAGAGTTTTGGAATCCAGCACTGGGCCAAGAATCACAAAAACGACTTTTGGGGACGGCCTTCTACCCGCAATCAGCTGGGAGCTATATCCTCGCGGCTGGGATTGAAGATGTCAAGAGGCCGACTGGTCAACCTGGATCTTGAGCAGGCCCAGAGCAATACGAAAAAATTTGCATGATTTGCCCCAGCCCCCGTAAACATGATACCGGGTTCGCACAATTCCTGGAGCAGTGAGAAAGACATGGGTCCACAGTAATAGTATGAAAAGGGCGTAAATTTGCAAGAAAACGAACTTTAGTCCATACCAGAAATTCCAGCTGGTATAATCACTTTCAGGTTAGTGAAGCTGGTCAAGTCTCTCTGTCCAGTCGCCCCTGCGTGTTGGTGACGGAAGTATTTTCCGGTGGGACTAACAAAGCCCACAACCAAAACTTGACGGGTCATGGCTCCTGGTTACTGCAGCTAAGAGCGATCGATTCGGATACAACCGGGGCAGTTGAGATAAATAAAAGCCTCTGAATGGTCAGAGCTATCTGGAAAATAGACTTTGGCAGTGCTAGGTTGAATTGTGGAGGCAATGTCGGCCCCGGTCATCGCGAGAAAATTTTGCGCTTCCAAGGAGACATGTGTGAGTAGCTGCTCACTCAGAATAGAGTGTAGATTTACTGCCAAACCTATATCGAGTCAGAAATTCCTGGACATGAAAAACGATATCCTCACTTCTATCTTGTTCTAAGACGGGAGGTAATGTTTCCATTTCTGTCCTTTTAGGCAGCTGAGAGTCAGTGGAGTGGATTCGCTGCGAAATTTTCCCACACAAGCTCGGTTGTTTCCATAGTGACAATGCCCACAGTTTGATGAATATGGAGCTGATGAAAAGACAGATCGTAAACTCCGTCGAAGTTGTAAAACGGAGGAAGAAGGACTGCGCAAGAACGATGATGTCCAGTTGCGGTTTCGGGTGCAGGTGAAGTCGTACACACCTCATCTTCGACAAGCTCGAGACAAACCGAACTACAGTATAGGGCAAGTATCTTTTTCACCGGAAACCTGACATTAACCTGGTATGCATGTTGGTCGTGGAGTTTAGCCTCGACATTCCTGCGTTGAGTTCGATCGTAGGACCGAATGGAGAAGAGCCAGAGAAGTCGCCATGCTTTATCTTCGATAAAATGAGCACAAGGTCTGGCACAAATTACCAGGCCATTTTCTGCATATCTGTCAGCTCAGCGCGGACAGACTTCGGAGGTCGGGCCCATTGCTCGGGTATCTGACAGGCGTGAAGCTCCACCAGGCGATCTCCACCAATGATGGCTGCCAAGCCACTCTCACAGTATACAAGGACAACCAGGATAGTAATAGCGATATTGGAAGTCGTCGAAACCAAGAGAGGAAAGTAGAGAAGTCAACTAGGGGTGCACACGAATAAGGATTTTGGTTATTCGTATTCGTCAATTTTCCTCAACTCATTATTCGTATTCGACTGGCTATTTTCGTGACTTTATTCGTATTCGATTCGTAATTATTCGTAATTTCCGCCAAGACTAACTTACCCTTACTGTAATAGAGACCCACCGCCCATCTAACGATGCTCAACGCGTCGCGTGATTGTTTACACTGCAGATACACGACCATAATTTCGTTTTCTACGCACTTCTTTCCTATCAGTCAACTATCAGGACAAATTTCTCGCGCTACGAATGGACGAGTCCACGGAGTCACAGCGCAAACGGCCATACAGGTCTCAGCGAATCAATTACTGTGCGCTCAATGATGGCATCGACGAGGAGGCTCCACCAGAAGACCGCATTATTGAGATCCCTCCTTCGAAAAGGGCACGCAGTAGCGTTGAACCGATTACTCCTGATGACTCTGCAAGCCAATTAAGCCGGGCTCGAAGTCCACTCGTGGCGATCTGCTCCCAAAATGAACTGACTGCGGAGGCGTTGCCTGACGTGGTCAGTATCTCCAATGAATCTGGCCTTTCTCGAAGAAAGATGCAGAATCAAGCTCTCTGGGCACATTTCGACTGTTCCCCGCTACCGGGAAGGATGTGGTGGCCAAAAAGGGGAAAGGGCCCAATCAACGACCGGGAGGTGCGCTGCAAGCGATGCAATTGGAAAACGACAGATTCTACAAGGGCAACATCAACATCCAATATGATGTTCCATCTCTCTAAACATGGTATTATCCTAAGTGGCCCTGAAAACAGTTCGGAGGACGACAGAAGCAGCATAAAACAGCCGTCAGTTAGCAGCTTCTTCCAGAAGCGGACTGAGGAGCAGAGAGCAAAGGTCCTGGAGCAAAACCTGGTTCGGTGGGTGGTTATAGACGACATGGCATTTGACGCCATAGAATCGCCCCCCTTCCAACAGATCTTCCAGGACTTGGGTGTTTCACTCCCTTTCGCATCTCGCATGACAATGGCTCGTCGAATCGATCGTGATTTCGACAATTGTCGGGAGCAGTTGATTGAAGAGCTAGAGCAGACATGCCAAACGATCTCTCTTTCGCTAGACGCTTGGACGAGCAAGAATTCAAAAGCCATGTTCGGGGTTGTTGGCCACTGGTTGACAGTGGATTTTCAGTACCGAGAGCGGGTTCTTGAATTTACGGAAATCCACGGCATTCATAGCGGAGAGAACATGGCAGAAATTCTTCAGACGCTTCTCACAGAACTTCGAATCGAACACAAGCTCCTCGCGATCACAGCAGACAATGCCACAAGCAATGAGCGCTTGCTATCGGAATTATATCTCAATCTCACCGAGAAATTTCAAGCCATGTACGGAGCCGTGAGTGCTGCAAGAGCCCTACGATTTCAAGGAGTGGATAGTTATATTCGCTGCACTGCGCATGTGCTCAATCTGATTGTCAGCGATATACTCGTCATGTTGCAAGCAGGGGACCACGCGTCGGCGAATGCAGCTTGTGATCTCATGCAGGAAAACAAAGAGATTGGCCCGCAATCACCATTGGCTCGCCTTCGGATTATGGCGCTTTGGATTGCAAGAACCCCGCAGCGGAAGCAGCAGTGGAAGATCATCTGCCAGAGCAATGGGCTCAAGGACAAGTTCATCGAGTACGACGTGGATACAAGGTGGAATTCGACACACCGAATGCTCCGAGACGCCCTGAACGCGAAGCAGCAAATCAAGAAATGGATCCACCATCAGTTAGATTTTCCACCCTTCAGTGCTGAGGATTGGGATCGTCTCCAACAAATTGAGGGCTTCTTAGCCAGGTTTGAGGAGTTCACCCTCACTGTTTCCAAGCGTCAACCGCAAATTACCTTAGCCATCCCCATTTACTATGAACTGCACGATCTGTTGCATGATGCTGCGTCTAGGGAGGGAGAATTCTCGGATCTGCACCTGGAGATTTCTGCTGCTGCTGCTGCGGGCTTGAAAAAGTTCCAAAAATACTACAACCTGATGGATGGACAAGACGCCTATTATGTCGCCCTAGTGCTTGATCCGCGATTTAAAACGCTCTTGCTAGACAGAGATCTAGGCAAGCTCACAGCACCCCAAGTTGTCACGCACATCAAAGAACTACTGCATGATCAATATCCATTGGCAGTCGACTCGTCGGCAAAGCCCTCTAAGGAGCAGCCGAGCCTGAAGAAGAGCATAGAGGCCCGTTTACTTCAGAAGCTGCAACCTAAGAAGAGACATTCATCTGACATTGACCGGTACTTTGAGGATGACGTCGTCACGATAAATGAGTCGATTTCACAGGACAAGAATTGGCTTTTATCGTGGTGGAGAGCACAGAGGAACGAATACCCACAGCTAGCTACTGCTGCACGAGACTATCTGGCCATTCCTGCATCATCAGTGTCGGTGGAGAGACTATTCAACAAGGGACGAGATTTACTGGGTGTCAGGAGAAACACCTTGAGCGCGGAGACTATGCGGCGGTTGATGTTGTTACGAGATATATATCTCTCTGAGGAATATTAATCACACGTGATTTTTACGAATAATTTACGAATAAGACACATTTTATTCGTACGGATATTATATAAGCGACGATGCTTATTCGTATTCGTAAAATTTTACGGTATTCGTACGAATATTCGTAAAGTGATTATTCGTGTGCACCCCTAAAGTCAACTGTGGAAACTCTGCAAGGGCAACCGCGGGCAGGTGATTACATAAGTACCAATTACGTCGTTCAGGCACGCGCTCGAAAAAACGCGCATGCTCGACCTCACTTCCAGCATGGCCAACACCTCCAGCGCGTCAAGCGAAAGCCATCTCTCTATCCTTATGCGCTTTGCGCACGCGACATTCTTTACTAATACCCACCATGGCCCGAACGCCGGTTCATCTCTCTCATGGGAAGCAAGGTGTGTTTCTGCCGCTAGTCGCTACATTTATCACGCCCTTATTAACGGCGGAGCAGAATACCTCGAGCGAGTTGCAGCCCTGAATGGTCGTGTCTTCGACACTGATCCAGTCGTCAAGTACATGCTGCTCGATATGTCGTTTGAAGAGCGGCTCGCATACCTCCCGACATACTGGTCCACTCTGGTCAGGTCTGCGCTCATGAACGATGCGCTGATTACAGAGGCCGACGGGTGGAAAGCTGCTTCGGTCATTATTCCACCGGGGAAGGCTATTGAAAACGTATGGACGCTGCTCTATGCCGGCTTCCTTGGTGTCTTGTGGAAGATTGGCTTTGCGGGTTTGAAGGTATGCTTATAGTCTGGGGTGAAGCTTCAGTTCACAGCACATGCTCTAACAATTTTCGCTAGCGACTGTGGATGGAATTCTCTGGAATGACTGACAACGCCAAGATGAAGGGTCTTCATGGTCAGAGGCGGTACTACTATGTCTTCAGTATCGGCACCGAGGGAGAATATCGCGGAAAAGGTGAGTCTGGCAGTATCTTCCACCGGCAGTCTACTGACAACTCTCTAGGTCTTGCCAAAGAGATCATGCGCCATCATCAAAATACTGCGCGCGACGAAAATCTCCCGATTTGGCTAGAAGCGACCAGCCCCGGCTCTCGTCATTTGTACTTATCGATGGGATTTCAAGAGGTCGAGGAGATCGTTCTCGGAAAGGGGAAGGTTGGTGCGGATGCCAACACCAAGCCTGGTGGCTCTGGCGTCCCACTTTGGGCTATGGTGTGGTGGCCAGAATCCTCTGAATTTGCGACTCAATCATGAGTTGTCCTTTCTTTCCTCATCGCTACGATTGTTTTAGCATTCACCATACAACGCATTCTTCATCGGCGTGAGGCCACGGACAGGCATACACATGGCAAAGGTGTTCAGCTTGCTGCGAAAGAACATGGATACGAGTCGAATGATTTACCAATGCATATCTGACTTTACTAATTGAAACGAAATTGACAATACAGCCATAGATTGCCGTCCATCACCGGAAAGACATCTAGTTACAGGGATCCTGCAAGGAACCAAGATCCTTAGGGATGACACCTGCCTTGACAGCATCTATGAAAATGTTAGTAACTTGAAACAATCCGTAGGAAGAAGAAAAGACATACCCTGATAAGACCAACGAGGATCATCAAGCTGAGCCTTCCAAGTCCAAAACACCCACCCCTGCTGCTTCTCATACGAATGTACCTGAGCAGCAAACCACTTCGCATAGAAATCCGTGTTGGAACTAGGATCCCAGTCCGAGCTCGACTCCACATCATCCGGCACAGCAAGGCTCCACTCGCCCACAATGGTAGGGGTGTTGCTATCCCGGTTATCACTACAGGACTCGCTGATGTAGCTGTCGTGGGAGACGTCGACGCTGGTATCCCACTTCAGGTAGCGGTGGTCGTCGTACGCGGCGTAGTACAGGTCATCGATGTGCTCGTTCGGGTCGCCGGAGCCCCAGAGCTCGTCCATCATTTTAATGTGGAGGTAGTCGTTCTTGTCGATGCCGCCGTTTGTTTCGTTTGCGCGGATGCGCTGTGCAATGAGTTGTTAGGATTAGAAGAACAGTGTCCGGGAAAAGAAGAACTCACGTCAAATGCCTTGGGGTAGTAGTTCTCGCGCATCGACGAGGCCTTATCATCGTCCTGGACAGGCTCATTGACGACTTCCAACATGCCAACGTTGCGAAACTCGTCCACAGTGTGGATCAGGCCCGTCATCCATTCCAGGAACTTAAGAGCCCGCTCATATTGGTAGTCCACATAGAAACCCGGGCCAGGGGCAAGCTGACCCGTGAATGCATTGGACGGCGTCTGGGCACCAGGGGCACCGTGCAGGTCCATGATGATGTACATTCCAGCATCGCTTGCCCAACCACAGATCTTCTTGACATAGTCCAGACCACCCTGAGGGAAGTGCTCGCTGTCGGAGTAGACCAGATCTTCGCGAAGCCAGTACCCCACCGGGACACGGATGGTGTTCAGGCCATAGCTCACCATCTCACTGATATCGTCCTTGGTGGTCCAGCTGTCCCAGTGCTTTTGGAATGCACTGTTGGCTGCGTCTTGGCCGAGAGAGCTCACGCAGTCGAATTCCGAGCCGGTGTCGCCGCAGCCCATGCTTTGCCATTCGCTCTCGCCTATCCATGGCTCGAAGATGAACTGCGATCCCAGGTTGACGCCGCGGATCTTGCCGCTGGAGGAGGAGAAGAGGTTCTTTCCGTCGCTGGATTGGATCTGCTTGTTTGTCTCTGGTAGCCAGGCTGTCGCGAGACTGGCAAACGCACCTAGTGCGGCGACTTTGGAGAAAACTCCCATATTAAAGATTGAGATGGGGTGTTGGACGAAGACGAACTGGCAGTTGAATCTGGTAGATGTGTAGTGGTGTACTTATATCCATTTGAAGGCCGACTGTGGCGGAGGCTGTTCCCCACGATTCCCTAGAAGAGCATAAGTGATCAACAGGGACTTGAATATTGCTCATGGGATGCAGCCAATGTGAGAAATCATAGTTGGAACCGCGTGCAAAAAGAGTTAAGATGTGCGGGTTTCAAGATTGACGAAATTCCTAATCGGGTAACTGCCCGCGGCTCACTGCTCAGATTGCTCTGAAGTACCACAAGCAATCAGGAATTCCAACAAGAATTCCAACAAGCTTGCTTTTTGTCTTCATCTTCACGGATATAAAAAGATCACCCAGAGAATATAAGGTGCATCATTCCGCAAAATTAGTGTCGATGGATGGTCCACATAGTGCTCGCAAGATGCCGGGTGGGCCATTGCAAGGGAAGTGCTTCTATAAAGTCAAATTATTTGCCCCTGAGACACCCAACGGGTCCCCGAAGGCCATCTTACGTTAATCTGCTATTGAAGGTGGATTGGATGCGAAAGTGGGATGTGACGCAGGGCTTGGGGGCGGAAAGTCAATCAGACTAGGCCCGTGGCCTTTCAACGATCGCGTAGAAATGATTATCGTTCATTCTACCTTGCGGTGTCTGATATCTCAAAGCATAACTCTTTTGGGTACAGCAATTCAGACGTTTTTATTGTTGTCTAAATGATGGCTTCGCATCTCGGTCCTATGCTTCCAAACAACGCTATCCTTAGTCCCGTTTCAGATGTGATGAACCACTTCCTAGACTCGGTATTTACTTTCCTGGTCACTCGGTTCAGGTAACTGAATTGGAAACGTGACATTTCGAATCTTCCCAATTCCGAACTTCGTGTGCCCAACGCCGTGCTTCAGCGTGCCTCAGGCCAGTTATGCGGCGTCACAAAAGAGGACTAGCGTAGTCGGCCTCCGTGGCGTCCGGCAAAGGTTTAGCTTCTATAAAGTATGAAGACAGATCCTTGATGGAACAACAGTTCTTGCAAGCGATATGGGGTAGTGTTCTCGGCTTTTCCTGAACCTTTCTCGATGAGACAATTTCTTTTGAAAATGCTCTTGTTTTGCGGCCATCGTCAAGCAAGCCTCGAGACAAAAATATATACTCAGATAACCCACCGCATCTATAGATGGAATAGAATAAGATGAAGACCTCGACTTTCCAGATGGTGGCTAGCGCGCATGAGGCATCTTTATCAGCTCCTGGTGCGCGATGTTCCTGTCATTTGGGCTGATGAATACAATTGGTGTATTCGAGGCCTAGTTGGCGGATCGTCAATTGAGAGAGTATTCGAAGGCGTCGATTGGTTGGGACTTCAGACTTTATATGTTCTTTCTCCATTTTGGAAGTGTGCAAGGTGGTGAGGTTTGGCTTATTGTGGTCAAGGAAGTTGTGTGGCGTATAGATCAGCTGACAATACTCCAAAGGGCCGCTGTTTGATGCACATGGTCTTGCGCCATTTTTGGTCTCCGGACGTGTTGGGCTTCTTGCGTCGGTGATGGTTTTTAGCGTTGCACATGGTACAATCTCCTTCGATCTTGAGAAGATTTTTCCTCGACAAACGTCAAGTCTAATCATCGGATAGAGTACTACCAATTCAAGCTTGGCTTCGGCGTCCTGAGTGGAATCATTTCATCGATGGTCTTGACCTCCAGTATGGCATGCATCGAACACCGGTCCTATCGACGCCGCACCCCAGCAACAGGGATAGCCGCGACAGCAAGAGTAATCAGAGGAATCATATTCCCAGTCCTAATCTCGAACCTCGCGGGGCTAGTCGGGTTCCCCTGGGTTCCCCTGGGTGATCCGGACAACTGGACTGATCAGCGCAGCGTTCTGTATTTTGAGTGTTGCCCATTCAAGAGGGCCAAACTCCCTCTCGACTCAGCACACAAAGGAACGATCGACATCCGAGCGCTGAAAGAAGCCCGCTTCTCATTATTGACAATAGCTATAGTCTTGATCGACTATGTCCTCCTAACCCCACTGGCATATCTCCCTCCTACGCTCAATTGCATGGACTAGACGACTCGCTCGCATACAACCTCTCCTCAATCCTCATCGCCGCATCCATCATCGGCCGCATTGTCCCGGGATACTTCGCAGATCGTGATCGTCACCACGTATGTTTATTCGGTTTTTACACTCGGACTGTAGCTTGTGTGTGTGTGTGTGTGTGTGTGTTGGTTGGGGGTTGGGGTATTTCTAATAATCTTATCCTAGGGTTTATGGTACACAATAGAAACTAAGTGTTGAAGACTTTTCACAAGATTTTATCATCAGTAGTACTCTACACGCCGGTAGGATGATCAATGCATGCTGACTCTCAATGCCGAACCATACGACCAAGAAAGGGGCTGTCCGAGGTCCGACATGGCATAAGCTGCATCACCTCGCATAGCCCAGGTCAAATTGTAATAAAAAGGCAGTGATGCTTACACCGCAACTCAGATATATTAACTTCAAATTGGCCCAGAGCCAGACAAAAGTAACCCTCCTATCGAGAGGTGAAGTCCTCGAGAAGATGCAAAACAACTTCCATCTTGCGGGCATCCAGGGCAGATTTCCCCGGAGATAGAAAGGGACTACAAATTCCCAAATTTTCCAATACGGTAAGATCCGGCGAGCAGAAAAGCAAATCCAAAGCGCGGGGGGACGTGCTCACGGTCACGAGAACCGACGAATGCAAATCACGGTTCCACGAAGGACATGAGGGAGGTGGTATTGGGCATCCTCGGTGATCTCATACTTGAGTCTACCTAGTACGAGATAAGAAATGGCATGGTTCGATTCCCTAGCACTGAACGACTAGCGCAGTAAGGCAGAATCCAGCTCGAATGACATGACTCAGTCACCTCGAACATGCCACTCCGGGCTAAACCCTAAGCAGCTGGTAAGGCCGAATAAGGCAAGAACCAGGCGGAAAGACGGAAATCCCCAGCCGCCGCTGCAACTGCGTCTGCGCCTGAAGGATGACCAGCATCGTACGGTGTGGTGCGTTGTGATATTTGCTTTCTCAGCTGTTTCCCCTGACCAGGCCGCAACCGCAATGCGCACTGGCAGGATTTGCGCCTTCCAGGAGTCAGTTCAGCTCTCCATCCTAGACCTTGGTGAACTCCCTCCGAATCTCGGATAGAGCGCAATTAGATGTCAGAAACACAAGACTATGAGGAGTGAGCGTTCTCCCCGGCTCCGTCGATGTTCAGTGGGGAGATTGTTAGGACGATCGTCTGATCCACTTTGACGGCCCGCGGGGATTTCTCGGCCGGCCGAACCCAGCACTCCACCGTGGAAATAAGCTCTGAACTCGGCCGGATGTCGCCGGGTGACTGATGCGATGCCCGAGGGCGCGACCTGCTGTGAGCTAAGTACCTTAGGGCACCCTAGGGAGGGGAGGTGGCACCGTAGGGCCCAGACATATAGGGCGCGGCCACGCGCAAAATATGAAGCGCACAAAACTTTTGCACGCCTCTTACTTGAAACACCACCGGGTGCATGATGATGATATCAGAGACCCTAACGAGTCATTTCGTAGGGCTGGTGTCCTCCTGTGGGATGTTGCTCTTCTTTTGATTTAATTTATTTTTTATTTTTTTTATTTTTTACCCCCTTCTTCTTTACTATGGGGCGCGACGGCGGGTTAATGTGCTGCTTCTTGTACCTACAAGAAGGGATGGAGGTATGTATGGTCATTGCGCCGTGAAGCTCGCGCTCGGCTTGGCTCGACGTGGCTGGGACATGGGTATACACATGATAAGAATGAAAAAATACATAGACACTAATCAGAATGTGTGGACAGGAACCAAATTCCACGCTGTACTTCCCTCGACTGCGAATGCAGGATTTCCGAAATGAACAAGAAAACAAAACAACGCCGGGCAATGCGGGGGGTCACGACTTCTAAGCGGCCGGGCTTTGGCCGTTCATCATGGGGAATAACATCACGTCCGACACGCGGCCGAGGATATTGCCCATTTCAATCGGCATGGAGACTCCGCTGGCGACCAGGTTCGCGGGCATCTCGGGGCCTGAGTCCATAGATGGCGGGGAAGGCAAGACCAATGGCGAGAATGTCTGGCTAGGAGTGTGCGTCGGGCCAGTCTTGCGCGCGCGGAAGGCGTCGCGAATCTCACGCAACGCACGAAGGGACGAGGATAGGTGCTTGGCGGAATCCGTGCGATTATTATGATCTTCGTCGCCGTCGGCATAGACGTGGTCTGCCAGGACATTCTCGAGTCGGTCGATAAGATCCCAAGTCTGGGTACTGTCGTCGTTCGCGACAAGTAGGAAAGCCGAGGCGATCGTGCGTTGCAGACTGATCCATGAGCGGGAACAATGCGAGTTAATTTCGTGCAGCTCCACAAAGGCGTCGATCGTGTCCATCAAGCTGGAAATGCAGTCTTTCCGAATCATCGCGCGGCGCTGATCATCTATGTACGCGTTGGGATCCAGAGAATCACGACAGAGCACCGAAAGGAGGTAGCATGAGTGCAGACGCAACTCGGTTCTTTCGATGTGCTCTGAGAGGGATCGACATTGCTCGCGATATCGCAAATGGGGAGTCGCCTCGTCGAGCATGCGCTGGAGGCGCTGCTTCCACTCGCCGATCTCATGTAACTGTGGTTGTGAGGAATTAAGATACATGCGCGATCGCAGGATCTCCAATGCCAGCGACACCACTCGGCAGAGGGTCTCGAAGTAAGTGCGGTGCCCGGGCATTGACTTCCGGTCAAATGGGATCTCGGGCTGGCTGACCATCGTGATGGATGGCCGGTCGTAGGCCAGGGAGAAATGACTGTTTTGGAAGGCCATCATCCACCTGTCTGGCGTTAGCAACAACGTGCAGAACGAAAACCACTGCCAATGCTTACCACACACGTCGCCGGACCGCTTGCTCCTCGAGTGAAAAGCCCCTCGACTCGACATGAAGACCAAGAACAAGACACATGCGTTCCGTCATACCTAGCCCGGACATTAATGGATGGTCAGGATGGTCGAATGCGGGTGCTGCACAACTCACCAAGCAGAGTGTAGGATGCACCAGCGTTCATGTTATACGACAAGACGTTGCTGATGATGAGCAGAATTTGAATGACCTTAACCGTCGGGTGCGAGACATAATTCAACATTCGAAGGCAATGGTATGCACAGGAAACTGAACCGACTGTCAGGGGGATATTTTCGTCAACATCTTCGACGCTGTGGAGGACATACCATAAACCCAAGAGGTCAGCTCGCGATCTCGCTCCGTCATATCCGATAATTGGCACCCCGAGGCCAGAACCGCAAACAACAAACTCAAGAATGTCAGACTGGCCCCAAACGGTTCGACCTTCTCATTGGCATCTGGTCTATATTTCCCTCCCGCCTGTCGTCGACGCTCCAGTAACCGATTCGTCTTGCGTTCCAACTCATCTAAATCTGGCAGCACCGGATACAAAATTGCTCCGATATCTCTGTAAAACCCCAGAAATCTATCTCATGGTCAGCCATTTGCAGTCTTTTCTCGACCCAAGCTTGAGCATACCGATGGCATTGCCCGTCTTCCGGAAGCACCTCGCACACCCGCGCAATATTAAAGGTCATCGGATCCGATGACCACAAATCTACAAAAGGGTACATCGACGCCTCATTCCCCAATGCGAGTTCCTCCAGCAGATCTTCCTGCGGCAACGCCCGCGCCATGTCCTCGGAATTCTTCGAATTATCCAAGATATCCATCATCGCCGCCCGGGCTCCGAGATGGACCGCCCCGGTCCTCGTCGCATTCACCCCATACACACCTTCCGACCGAGCCGAATCCTTTCGTTCCGGCTCGGACGACGGCGCTACCCGCTTGCGAGACGAATGCGTCTGGAACAAGTCACGCAGGCTCCCGATGATCTCCTGCATCGCCTCCATCTTAGTATTGATCTCATCCCACTCGGACTGCGAGATGTCAACGACCTGGGGTAGATCGGGGTCGTCGCTGGTCTGGGACGGATGATCGGCGTAGTGATTATCGGCATACTGGTGCCGCGGATAGGTGGGCGGGAAGGCGGGCGAGACGAAGGAGCTGGAGGATTGTAGCGACGTGGAGGCGGGGGTGAGGGAGGACGGAATGGCGGGTCGCGAGGGTTGCGGACGGCCGTAGGAGCAGTTGAAGTTACGCTTCACGCAATTGGAGCACGGGACATTGCGATCGCAGCGGACTTTGCTGGCGCGGCACGGTAGACAGGTCTTGCACTCGCGTGGGCGGCGCCGGATGGGATACGACGACATTTTCCACAGTCTCCCGAGCAGTGCGGAGGGTAGGCTGGCTCATCGAAGGAGCGAGGGGTCGCATAGACAGTGAGGGAATGAGATTCAAGAGACAGGCGTTAGTGGTCGAGCCGCGGGCCGTTGCGAGCGTAGGCCCGTGAGTCCGTCAGCTACCCCCGGATTGTCTGGTGCGCGTGGAGAAGCGATCGAGAGATCTTGGAGAGTGCCGCCAGGGGGAAAGGACTGGCGGGGGTGTGGCTGCGGTGGCTGCAAGGAATGTGGCCTGAGGAAAGACAGGTCGAAGGTCGAGCAGCTGCAGTGGATGATTTCATAAGGTGGCCGGTCCTTGGTTCGCCGCGCCCGAAGCGGCGTGTGGCAGGCGTGGGCCCTGGATTCCCGAGCATCAGGCGATGCTCCACTAAAAAATTATTATGAAAAATATTATAGACTGTAAGAATATGCATTGCTAGAAAGTGCGGATATCATGCCCATCCTGCCTATCCTAAGCGACTCCATGTCCTAACATTGTGCTAATACGTGCGGGTATGTAGTAGGGACGGGTGGTATGGAGAAGTATACCAGCACAACACCCTAAACATCGCCGATCACACGCCAAAAATTATATAAGAATAGACTTATGTGTTAGCCTTCTTCTCGGCGACCTGCGGCACCACCCACCACGCGTGCCATTTGCCTTTGCTGCCTATCTCGGGGATCGTCACCTGAAGGTTCAACGGCTGTTCCTCCGACGGCAATGGGTTCTCAGCAAGCGCTTTCTTGACCGTCTGGATCGAGATACTAGCCCCAATGCATGCTTTCATTGCGTCCTTGATATCCCGCTTCCAATCTTCTTCAATGGCGATGGGTGGTGCCGCCTTTTGGGAATTGGCATCCTCGAGGAACGCCCCGTGCGACAACAACGCCTCCCAGGCTTTGCGAGCCTCGGTGATCGCCTTGGAGGCGCGGTCCAAAATGGTCGCGTCGGAGTCTCCTTCCAGGGCCGCTTCGCGTTCGAATTCTTCAAAGGGTGGTAGTTCCGGCAACGTGATCGGGATAAATGGTTTCATGCGGAGCTCGTAGCGCAGCTTGTTGGTCGAGTATGCCTCGGCACCGGCAGCACTGGGGAGCACCCGCTGCCGTTTGAGCAATACATAGAGAGCGTGGAGGGCGATTGCAAATGCATCGATCGCGACCAGCTCGGTCGTCATCCGCTCGAGGGTGCGGAAGCATCGGTGAAAGGCCGCGGACTTCTTCAGATCGTTCGGTCCACTGCTGTTGGCAACAAGATCCTGTTTCCGGGCAGCCACGGTGAAGGTGCGGATACGGTCCAGGTGGCCGAGGTGGGTGGAACAGATATGGGCTAGATACCAATACATCCCCGGCAGTTCCTCGGGTGCATAGATGGAGAGTTCAAAGCCCATCTGAATGATGCGCCGGATCTGGTCCAGCTTTTTGCTGTAGGCCCAGCTGCTAAGTGGGAAGGAGAAGGTCGGCTCGCCTCCCTTCATCTGCAACGGGCGCTCTTTGCTTAGATTTTGCAGCTCAAGATCGAGCTCTTCGGCCTGTTCAGCAATTAGCGTCTTTTTCTTCAATCGTAGTGCTGGAAAAGGTTGTTCGTACCTCCATCTGAAGATTATCCCAATCCACAACAGTATGACACACGGTCCGACGAATTCGACACCGGTTGAGACACGCGCATCTTACGGTGTCAATGAATGGCTGCAGAAATTATTTAGCATCATGCCATCATGTCATCAACCCCGGCTAGGTGACGTACCTGCGCAAATCGTTGCACAAAGGCCTCCATCTTGAGAGCGATTTGGAACCGAGGGTCGGACGGCACTTCCACATCGAAGGTGTTCGCCTGAAGTAACACACTGGAGGGCAGCACCAGCTCCGCCAGATCGTCATACAGAAACTGCTTGACAGAGACCGCGCCCAGGATGGTCATGTCACTCAAAACCAGGGCCTGGAGGAGACAACGAATGTAGACGGAAGGCTGGGGTTTCCGTGATAGAAGAGTCCAAACGGCAGTCTAGAACCATGGTCAGTAAGCACAGAAGACGCAGAGAGGATAGCAGCCATAGATACCCTGAAGTTGCCCGGTCCCCTGTAGTCCAAGATCCCTTGCATATCGATCGCATCTTGGCAGAGCCGTTTGATATGAGCAAGAGCATCCTCGGGGCTGATTTGAACAATTGGTCGCGGGGGGACGGTGCTGGCAAGTCTCCGCTGGATTTTGAGGCTAAATGCTTCCGGCACTGGTTGGCCGACAGAAAGAGAATCTGTGAGTTTAGCTAACGAAGTCAAGCAAGACTCGAACGAATCCGTTGACCTGGTGTCAATAACTTCAAGATCTTGGTCCAGAGCAGACAGGAAATCGCGTCGGAACAGTATCCTGCACTCGAGAGCATCTCGGATGTTGTCGTCCATGGTTTTCTCGGCACGTACCCATTCCAACGCCTGGTCCAGCAGGCGGTAGAATGGAGACGGGTCGAACCTGGATAGCAGGTTGCGATTGTACAATTGGGTCACAAAATCTTCTTCCTGCAGGAAACAATTTTTAGCAGCGTCCCAATGTTCGCCCTAGGCCAACTCCCACTGCTTGTCACCTACCTCGAAGTAATACTCGGTAGCAATTCGGGCATGTACAAAGTCGCAGCACCTGACCAGCGCCAAACAGTATGCTCGCAGAACAAGGCTGATCAGGGGCGACTCGCTCGGGACGCGGTCGAACCGGGCATCCTCCATGGTCTTGGGGACTGGCCACAACAATTTATCCAGATAGATCGACGTAAACAGCGTTTGTGAGAGAGGATGTCCCTTATGCCATGCCATCTGCAACATTATGAGTTTGTCGTTCTTTTTCCCTGTTAAAACCGCACACTCACCTCGTGGCAGAGTAGCTGGTCCATCAAGCCCACCACCTGCACCGGTGACAACGCTTGTCGCACGTCGTAATCGTCCTCGAGCGCTTGCGCATGGTTTTCACCGGGAGAAATGTAACCGCTGTCCATTTTGGAGTCCATGATCTGCCGCAGGGTCGATTCCTTGTTAGCACAGGTTTCTTCCGTATGTTCCACACATTAATGTGTCGATGACGCACCTCCAATGCGCCCACTGCCTCGAAGAGCGTGAAAAGCTCATCTTTCACGAGCTGGCCGGTCTTGAGCTCTATCACAGAAATTAGATAGTTAGTTCAAGGTCTGCAGTATGGGGGAGACAGCAGACTCACTCGACGCGGCTTCCGTGAATTCGGCGGTGATGTCGCGCGGCACAGCAGGCTGCGCAGCCCGCGGAGGGGGCACGCGCACCTCGTTATTCGGCAGCATCGTACAGAGACTCGCGGCTCTGCAATCGACTGCCGGCCGATATCATGGGACGTCGGGAATTCGAGCTGTGAACGCCCCGGGTTGAATGTTGGAAAGCTACGGATTGAGGGGCGGGCGGAGGGGGGGAGGAGAGAGGGCGGAAAAAGGTGTTTCGGGCAGGTGTGGCAATCGCTCTGACGCGCAGCGGTGCACCAGCTCCAGCCACGGCGTGAGCAAAAGCGGGTTCTACAAACGAGCTCAGGTTCAACGGCGGAATACGGAAAGGACGAGTGCGATTTCTAGGCTCGGTCTAGCCAGACACGCCTGTATTGCTACACATGTACAAAGTTCAATGCCTCCCCAGGGTCGGCTGCTCCTCCGCGGTCTTGTCCGTTCATGTTCCCCCGGGTCCATCGCTCCTCCAACATGACGTTCTCACGATCTTGCCATCGCGTTCGGTGCGATGCAATCCGTTTATTTCTCGGCGGCCTGGGCAAGAGCCTCGTTGTTGGCCTGGGCGAGGGAGCGGGCCTCACCCTGCTTGCCGTCCTGTATTCGCGATGTCCGGTCAGCCCCGTCCGCTCAAGCTTCCTATCTGCTATAATTTTCAACTAACCTGCCACTTGGCGAAACGAAGGTCCATCTGGCCGCGGCGCTCGGAGGCCAGGCGGGGGCCTTCCTTGAGAGACCGGCGCACGGTGCGGGCGGCAATGGCCAGGTAGCGGTTGTAACTGGGATCCCGGTAAGCGATTGCTAGGAATTCGTGGTCGTGGAGACGTACGTGAGGCCAGCGGCTTTCCAGGCGGCAGTCATTTTGAAGGTGGTTGGGGAGGTAGGTGGTTTGATTCGAAGGGGGTGAAAACGGCTCGGGTGAGTTTGGAAGCGTTCGACTTCGGAGGATCGGGATGTTGATCACGTGATAGAGACAATAGTAGAATCACGTGCATAGAGCTCTGTGTAGTCGGATGAGTCATCAACGCTATGTTAGATCACGTGGTACGGGAACCCGTAAACCTTCGGACATCCGGGGATCCAAATCCGGACCTTAGGACTACATTCGATAGCAGTACACAACATTGACTTCAGTAGCTGTCTTTTGTAACTTGGAATAGGCTATTTGGTTCCCTATCACGAGCAAACCCTCGCTCAAGGCGGTGGATATGCTGTTTAGCCTTTAATTGTCAATCAAACCCTCGAGGAGTACTTGGGTAAACAAATGTCCGAGCGCCGTCATTCCGCCAAAAGTGGACGAAGAGACTCTCAATTATAAGTAAATGTAGCCAAAGGATATTTATACTCGACTGGGTTCTTGAATTTTGCATTTAGAACGGCCAACCTTCCCCCCATCTGGGTTTGAGGAGGATGATTGCCGGACATGGCTGGCATGCTTTCCTTTTGAGCGATCTCGCTAAACAACGAGGATTCCAATGGGCGCCTGCGCTTATACTAAGCTGTCATCTTGTACCAGAAGCATATCTCATTCTTTCGCTCTGCTTTTGTAGCTATTATTAGAGCACGTGCTCAAGTCCGACATGTATAGAATGTCTTGGCGGCGTTTGACGGCCAACACAGAATCTAAACACCAGTGACTGGCCACAAACTATATGCATTTGATTGAATGCTCTTTTTATAAATTATCTCACTTCCTATGAGCTGCATCGCCAATCGCTATCATCAGGCGCACTATTGCTAGAACGTTGGGTCGTTGGGCGGTAAACCGGCCATTTACGGCATATCACCGTAGCATGCAACAGTGAGTCCGCAGGGGCACGTGTACCGCAAACGCGGATACACGCAACAACAGGCTGAGGCGGCGTTTGTTCTGGCGGCCATTTCGAGCCAGTCAATTATGTACTCGTCCAGCATTGTTGACCAATGAGATACCTCAGATAGGCATGTAAACCTGCGCCTTGGGCAAGAGGAGAATATTAACTCGAATTCTTGATCGCCGTACAATCGCTATGCGCTCAATGATTTCTTTGCAACTTTTTCAAGACCCATTACTGGTTCGCGTAATTTGGCATGTGATTTATTGCCGGTACCTAGCATTTAAACAGCCGCCCCTCCCTCCCCTCTTCCCCTCCTCAACCTCTTCCCCTCCTCAACCTCTTCCCTGTCATCCCTTCTCCTCTTGTACGTCTTTCCCCTTGATCTGAGTCTTCAAGCATCTGGTCAACTTGTCTGATGATTCAATTATCCAGTTCATGTTGTTCTTCCAGACTAACATTCTGTCCCAGATCCTTATCCTCTCAACCCCGTCTCGAGTTCATGAGCTCCGTCTCGTATTTCGAAGAGTGACAATTTCCAAGCTGCTAAGCACCATCCATCCATTTTCCTCGGGACTCTTTTGAAGGCTGGGCTCGCTATCCAACCCTGACTGGTAGGTACAGTTGAGCCATCTCGGCCTCGGTCATTGCTTCCACCAGCGCAGCTACTTGTTTCATACAGACGGCTCGCCCCAATCACCCATCAAGTTGTCCTCAATTATGACTTCGGCTAACAGTTCTTAGGACACCGGCGCCTGTTTGCCGGTGTCTTTATCACAGGTTTGTTCTCGTCTCCATCCCCCTTCCGCGGTATTCCTCACAACACCTCTTCTGCTCCCAACCGCTTTTACCATCTCCCTTCTTTCAAGATGGTTTTAAACAGCCCAGGTACGAGGGGAAAGACTTCCTCGGATGCACCCGCCTCCAACAGTCCGGCTAAACGACTGAAAGCCACCGCGAATGCTACGCCGTCCTCACCGGAACCAAACAACGTTGCTTCTGACACGACACCTGGTAACACTCCGAAGAATGCCCTCAAGGGTAGGCGCAAGTCTACCCCGCGCGGTAAACTTGTTCGCTGGGATAGTAAGTTTGGAACCCAATCCCTAGCTTCTGACTTTCTCCCGTGCGTTTTGGCAGCTGGTACTCGATTCAGTTATGTCTTTTCGCAATTACGTTTCCCTTCTTTGTTTCTTTCTACGGTCTTTGACTGATTTTGCAAGCAACTGGCAAGAACTCTCAGCTAACTGGACTAGATGACACAGATATTCTCCTCCTGCTGGCCATTCAGTACGTCTGTAACCAGCACGCCATCAAAATCCCGTTCGACCGCGTTGCTGAGATCATGACGGCCAGCTCCGCTCAGGCATTCACAGAGGGGTCCATCACCCAACACCTGGCAAAGCTCCGCGCCCGCAGGGTGAATGAAAGCAAGACAGTTCCTCCCCCGCTAAAGCGCGCCAGTGGCAAGGCCAAAAAGGCCACCCAAACCCAGGAATACGCGGACTCGGATTATGATGATTTCGCCGAGGATTCCAGTTCGGACACCGAGTCGTTGCAACGCTTTGGCACGAAACGCCGCTTCGACGAGCTCGACAATGGCCTTTTTGTCGGTTGCCCCGATGGTAACAAGCAAGGCATCACCCCTCGTTCATTCGCCGTGCCCCGTGTGAACACCGTTGTGGATCCCTGTCTTTCGGAGCCCAGTTTCTCACAGTCGGCCCTTGGAAAGTCCCCCATTCCCACCGGCAAGCAGGAGGTCGTTTTTTGCCAAGGTGCCCCGTTCTTGCAACTGCACCAGGACATGCAGCAATCTACTGGTGGAAGTTATCACGGTTCGTCTCAGGTTCCTGTTCGGTTCTCCTCCCTCCCTGAGGGGTATATGCCCCAATATCCCCCTCTTCAACCCACTCAACAATTCCAACCGGCATGTGCGGAATTCCAGAGCCCCCAGCAGCCCATTAACTGGGAGACCATTAGCCAAGTTCAGAGTGCATTTCCGTCTCAGGACTCGGTAAGGCAATTGTTTCCGTTTGGACTCCCAGTGTGTCTCTTTGATGTTCTTTTTACGGATACTGATATCAACCAGGTGAATATTCCCACGGCTCCACGCACGTTTGGCCAACAGCCTCAGAGTTCCGGACCCTCTGACGAAAGCCTGATGCAAGGTGTCACCGTCAACCCGGCTCTTCTGGATATGAACAATATCAACCCGGGATATGTTGGCGGTGAGATTGACGCTGCGCTAAATGATCCGGTTGATCTGAATGGTCTGTTTGCCACCGACGAAACCCACCAAGACGCCTCAATTTGGTTGAACTACAGCGATCAGGAGTTCCTCAACTGGCCTGAGGCGAACCAAAGTGGTCTGGCCAGTGACCTCGGGAATCCATAATGGTCTGTGACATCAACATCTCGTACAGTTCAAAGTTAAGTCGTCAAAAGTGCCTGCATATGAACGGAGTTGCTGACGAATAGACAGAATCAACATTCAGGACCTCATCTCCCTTTTATATGCGACGTCTTTAGAAGGTGAACGACAGACGAATCTAAAACGGGAGGTAGAAACGGGTTTCACACAAGACATCACGGATACACAGCATTTTCTCACTCATGGAATAACAGATGCACAGAGTTATCCAGTGAGTATGGCGTTCTGCATTTTAAGTTCGTTCCTCTGGTATGATTTGATGGAGAATTGAAACCCCCAAATAGGTGAGTGATTTTCCGGGGGTTTCTTTGAAGAGAAAATTAAAAACCAAAAAAATTGCATCTGACATGGCCTTTCGAGTTTTGATTTTTCATGGAAACGGTCCTCTTTTTATTCTCAACCACACAAAAACCAAAGACAGGAAACTTTTTCACTTTTTGACGTCTATTTTCAATTGCATTTCTTTCCAAAAGTGCTCTGGGTTTCATATCACTGACAGCCCTCCTAACCGCAGTCGGTTTACTCGTGCACATCCATGGCCCATTGCTACATGAGTGAAAAGTGAGTTTAAACCGAGGTACTCACGAGCAAGGCAAGTACGAGCACCCTCCCACCTTTGATCAGTTGTTAGCAGATGTCGAAGATAATCAATTATCCTTGTCAGATTTCACATCGGGTTCGACTGGAAAGCAAAGTTCCAATGAGACACCCACCATCACCAGTCATAAGTGGCTCTAAGCCTTGCTTCTAACTGCCAGTGCCCTGTGAAAATAAGCTTTAATGTTTAGGTAATCAAGTTTTGTACACAGTAGGCTGCTGGATGCACGCGATCTGTGATAGTGCTATCATCCTATGATTTACTGCAGTTTAAACATGTAGCTTAAAGGCAATATCACTCCAGCAGCGGTTCGCAGTACTTCACGGTGTAATGTTGGCTTGGCGAACATCACATACCGTCACCCTCCACAGATGCTCGTTATACTTTGACCTTCCGGCCAGTAGAATGCGATCCGAATTGCCGAATATATTTTGACCGTCACAGCAACGGTCGAACACCACTGGCAAGCCACACATCTAAATACATGGTGGTAGTACTCCATTGTACAATATTCTTAGCAATAAACCAATCATTCAACTTCTCCCAATATACCTGTTGCTAATACACTGTAGTAGTGGAGCCTTGAATAGCCGCCCAGCCGATTCCCTCGGGAGTGGCTCACGTGACCTTCTAGCTGTTTCTGCCGCCAAGCTCTGGGGATGGGGAAGAAACGCCTGGAAAATTTTCGAGACTTTGGCTTCATCTCCCCCAGCTTCCATCCCTCTTCCTTCCATCCTCCTCCCAACCCGCCATCCATCCCCACCGGGTTGCTCATCGCTCCTCTTGAATTGCTTCTCTGTTCCATTGTTTTTGTTTTCCAGCCATGCAGCGCGCTCTCTCTGCCCGGACTTCGGTCCTCTCCGCCGCTTCCAAGCGTGCCCCTTTCTACCGCTCCACCGGCTTGAACCTCCAGCAGCAGCGCTTTGCTCACAAGGTACGTGTCCTTCTTTTGATGCCAATTGCCCTCGGATCGGATATCCGATGACCGCCGACCCCCCTCCCCGACGATTCCGATCGCCCCCGTGTTCACCCTAGCTAATTCCCGACCAGGACCTCAAGTTCGGCGTTGAGGCTCGTGCCCAGCTCCTCAAGGGTGTTGACACCCTCGCCAAGGCCGTCACCTCGACTCTGGGCCCCAAGGGTCGCAACGTCCTGATCGAGTCCCCCTACGGCTCTCCCAAGATCACCAAGGGTAGGTCCCTTTCGTGCCTGGCGCAATTCGGAATCATCGTAGAACAATCAATTGCTAACTTGTGGTAGATGGTGTGACTGTCGCCAAGGCAGTCCAGCTGCAGGACAAGTTCGAGAACCTCGGTGCCCGTCTCCTCCAGGACGTTGCCTCCAAGACCAACGAGATTGCCGGTGACGGTACCACCACCGCTACCGTTCTGGCCCGTGCCATCTTCTCCGAGACCGTTAAGAACGTCGCCGCCGGCTGCAACCCCATGGATCTGCGCCGTGGTATCCAGGCCGCCGTTGAGGCTGCCGTCGAGTACCTCGTCCAGAACAAGCGTGCCATCACCACCGGTGAGGAGATTGCCCAGGTCGCTACCATCTCCGCCAACGGCGACACCCACGTCGGCAAGCTCATCTCTACCGCTATGGAGCGCGTCGGCAAGGAGGGTGTCATCACCGTCAAGGAGGGCAAGACACTGGAAGACGAGCTCGAGGTCACTGAGGGTATGCGCTTCGACCGTGGCTATACCTCCCCCTACTTCATCACCGACCCCAAGGCCCAGAAGGTCGAGTTCGAGAAGCCCCTGATCCTACTCTCGGAGAAGAAGATCTCCGCCGTCCAGGACATCATCCCCGCCCTGGAGGCCTCCACCACCCTCCGTCGCCCCCTGGTCATCATCGCTGAGGACATTGAGGGTGAGGCTCTCGCCGTCTGCATTCTGAACAAGCTCCGCGGCCAGCTCCAGGTCGCCGCCGTCAAGGCCCCTGGCTTCGGTGACAACCGCAAGAGCATCCTGGGTGACCTGGCTGTCCTGACCAACGGTACCGTTTTCACCGATGAGCTCGACATTAAGCTCGAGAAGCTCACCCCCGAGATGCTCGGTACCACCGGCTCTATCACCATCACCAAGGAGGACACCATTATCCTGAACGGTGAGGGCAGCAAGGACAGCATTGCCCAGCGCTGCGAGCAGATCCGTGGTGTCATGGCTGACCCCACCACCTCCGAGTACGAGAAGGAGAAGCTCCAGGAGCGTCTTGCCAAACTCTCTGGCGGTGTCGCCGTCATCAAGGTCGGTGGTGCTTCCGAGGTTGAGGTCGGTGAGAAGAAGGACCGTGTCGTTGACGCCCTGAACGCCACCCGCGCTGCCGTTGAGCAGGGTATCCTGCCCGGTGGTGGTACCGCCCTCCTGAAGGCCTCCGCCAACGCTCTGGAGAATGTCAAGCCCGCCAACTTCGACCAGCAGCTCGGTGTTAGCATCATCAAGAGTGCCATCACCCGCCCCGCCCGCACCATCGTCGAGAACGCCGGTCTGGAGGGCAGCGTCATCGTCGGCAAGCTGACCGACGAGTACGCCAAGGACTTCAACCGCGGCTTCGACAGCTCCAAGGGCGAGTACGTCGACATGATCGCCAGCGGTATCGTCGATCCCCTCAAGGTTGTCCGCACCGCCCTGGTTGATGCCTCCGGTGTTGCCTCCCTGCTCGGTACCACCGAGGTTGCCATCGTCGAGGCTCCCGAGGAGAAGGGCCCTGCTGCCCCCGCTGGCGGCATGGGTGGCATGGGTGGTATGGGCGGCATGGGCGGCGGCATGTTCTAAACGCCTCGCCTATGTGTTCCTGACAATTTCCGATCTCCCTCTCCCCCCTGATCTTTTGCATCGCCGTCACACCCTTCACGGCTCTGGAACTTTGTAATGTGTCTCCTTTTATCTTTTCCTATACCTGTATTTTTGTGTTGTTTCTTCCTCTCCACTCCTCCTGGAGCTCGAAAAAGGTTCCGGCGCAAACCCTGTATCATATTTTCCCATCTACACTTGGTTCGTCTAATGCATTTACTGAGATGCTTTCATGTTGCTCCTCAATCTCCGGCCACGATTGGACGAGGGGTAGTCTCCGATGCGATCGACGATGCGTATTGGCAGGCTGTAGATCGCGATCGACCCGCCCGGATCTGCATGTGTAGACTACATCTAATTTCTGACCACACCTACTAAGTAATGCTATGAACTATTAAGGTAATGATACCCATAACTTCCCAGTACCATCCTACTCCCTACATAATGGAATGATCCCCGCAGCCATCCATTCCGCTGGAATTCGGATGCGCCGGCCCATTGGTCACCCCGTCGGCAACTCAGGCTGGGTGAGGCATTGGGCCGCGTGCCGCAAGCCATGCGCGGTCTAGACTGACGTTGCTTTCCTCCGCCCCCTCGCCTTTCCCCCATTACTCCCGTGTCACCCTTTTTCTTCCTCCCGACTCTGCGCCGAGTGGAGACCTGCACACGACTGGCCCTCTCTATGTATCAGTCCGCGCTTCAGTGCATCAGCACCGGATCTTCGATCAGGAGGCTCCGTCCAAAGTAAGTTTGTCGGCCCACCCCCAGAATCTCGAGTCCACTCTTCGATCCTTCGATCCGTGGTACACTACGACTTCCTCGCCCCCCACCTCTGATCGCCTTCTGACAGTTCCAGCGAGGTTCTCGACGACACCGGCTGATCTGTTTTGCTCCGTCGTGTCTCATCAACAATGGCGGCCCTGGTTGATGCACCTCGGCCAGCCTTGGTCAGCGATGCTGACCTGTCGCAGGCCCGGGCAGCCCTACAGCACCAGCAAAGCCCAGAGGTGTCGGTCCCACGCGAATTTATCTCTCTCATCGTCGACGAACTCATCTACCGCCGCGAGTCTCACTCATCGGTCGCGGAAATCGAACATGAATGCTCTCATCTCCGCAATGAACTCCGCAAACACACCCACATCAATGAAGCGTTTCAGAAAGAGCTGCGATCCATCGGTGAAATCATTACCCAAGTCGCCCATGGAGACCTTTCGCAGAGAGCCCGAATGCACCCCCTCGAAATGTCCCCGGATATCGCCGCCTTCAAGCAAACCATCAACACCATGATGGATCAGCTCCAGGTATTCAGCCAAGAAGTCACAAAAGTCGCTCGCGAAGTCGGAACCGAAGGTGTCCTGGGAGGCCAGGCGAAAATTGAGGGGATTCAGGGGATTTGGCACGAGTTGACCGTGAACGTGAACGCCATGGCGAACAATTTGACCACGCAGGTCCGCGACATTACAACAGTGACTACTGCGGTTGCCAAGGGTGATTTAACTCGCAAAGTGCAAGCAGACTGTAAGGGTGAGATCCTGCTACTGAAGAATATCATCAACTCTATGGTCGACCAGCTACGCGAGTTCGCCTTCGAGGTGAGTCGTGTAGCTCGTGAAGTGGGCTCTGACGGAACACTGGGTGGACAGGCCGTGGTGCATGGGGTGGAAGGAACATGGAAGAACTTGACCGATAACGTGAATCGTATGGCTTCGAACCTGACACAACAGGTGCGCGAAATTGCCAAAGTGACAACGGCGGTCGCCCGGGGCGATCTCACGATGAAGGTTACTGCCGACGTGAAAGGGGAGATTCTGGACCTCAAGCTCACCATCAACGCTATGGTCGATAGGCTTAACCAGTTCGCGTTTGAGGTGAGCCGCGTGGCACGAGAAGTAGGCACGGATGGAACGCTGGGTGGCCAGGCTCAGGTGGAGAACGTGGAGGGAAGGTGGCGCGACCTGACAGACAACGTCAATACCATGGCCCAAAATCTTACCAACCAGGTCCGAGAAATCTCGAACGTGACCCAAGCAATCGCCCGGGGAGACTTGAGCAGAAAGATCGAGGTCCATGCTCAAGGCGAAATTTTGACTTTGAAGGAGACCATCAATCGCATGGTAGATGGCCTCAGCCAATTTGCAAAAGAGCTGAAAGTTGTGGCGCGAGACGTGGGAGTCAGGGGCAAGCTTGGTGGACAGGCTGACATGGAAGGCTCTCATGGAATGTGGAGATCCATTGGCGAAGATGTGAACACCATGGCGGACAACCTTACTTCGCAGGTGCGAGCTTTCGGAGAGATTACGGAGGCAGCGATGAGCGGCGACTTCACCAAGCTGATCACTGTCTCGGCATCGGGCGAGATGGATGACCTGAAGCAAAAGATCAACAAGATGATTAATAGCTTACGAGATAGCATCCAACGCAACACAGCAGCCCGTGAAGCCGCCGAGCTGGCTAACCGAAGCAAATCGGAGTTCCTGGCAAATATGAGGTACGACCTAAGACGAGTGCACGAAGTGTTGGAAACTAACAATGCCCCAGCCATGAAATCCGAACACCAATGAACGGAATCATCGGTCTCTCTAGCTTGGCACTCGATACTGAAGATCTGCAAGCACCTGTTCGAGAGACCCTCAACATGGTGCACAACCTCGCCATCAGTCTGCTGACCATCATTGATGACATCTTGGACATATCCAAGATCGAGGCCAACCATATGAGTATTGAGAAAATGCCGTTCAGCCTGGGATCTACTGTCTTCGGAGTTTTGAAAGCACTATCAGTGGAAACCAACGAAAAGGCGCTGAGTCTAGCTTATGCTGTTGATGGGAATGTGCCTGACTACCTGATTGGCGATGCTTATCGACTCCGTCAAGTCATGCTGAACCTGGTTGGCAATGCAATCAAATTCACCGATCATGGAGAAATCAAGGTGTGCATCAAGCGGGTCGAAGCACAAGGCTTGGCCCCTGACGAGGCCATGTTCGAGTTCTCGGTGGCTGATCCAGGCATTGGAATTGACGAGAGCAAGCTTGGTCTCATTTTCGACAAATTCCAGCAAGCAGACGGGTCCATGACAAGACGGTTTGGCGGGACCGGCTTGGGACTTGCAATCTCGAAGCGTCTAGTTTCGCTCATGGGTGGCGACATCTGGGTGACTTCTCAGGTTGGCCATGGAAGCAAGTTCTCGTTCACATGCCGCGTGAAGATCGCAGAGCAACCAATCGGATTTGCGGAGCAACTGCTTCCGTATAAGAACCGCCGCGTCCTACTCGTCGATAATGGAAATGTGGCAGAGTCGACTGTTCCTCTGATACTCGAGCTGGGCCTCCAGCCAGTAATCGTGAATGATGCACAGCTCGAGCTGGGGGAGAAGGAAGCAGAATGGAATTGCGCTCTCGAAGCTATCGTTGTCACAACGGTTGAAACTGCAAGCAGACTACGAGCTCGTCCGAATCTCGCGTCAATACCACTGGCAATAATGGCACCAACCATCTCCCTCTCGCTCAAATCAGCCGGCGAGCTTGGAATTACTTCCTACATCACAACACCCTGCCGAGCAATCGAACTCTGGAACGGGATTTTGCCAGCGCTGGGCAACCGCGCAAACCGCATATCTTCCGGCTTCACACGATCCCTCGCAATTCTTCTGGCAGAAGATAACGATGTCAATCAAAAGGTTGCCGTCCGAATGTTGGAAAAATGCAACCATAACGTGACCGTGGTGGAAAACGGACTGCGGGCTGTGAAGGAAGTGAAGTGCCATCGATACGACGTCATCCTCATGGATATCCAGATGCCAGTAATGGGCGGCTTCGAGGCGACGACTAAGATCCGTCAGTACGAGAAGGTTAACTCGCTGCCACGGACGCCGATCATAGCACTCACCGCCCATGCAATGATGGGCGATCGGGATAAATGCATCTCGGCAGGTATGGATGATTACCTCTCCAAACCGCTCAACGAGAATATCATGATGCAAACCATTCTAAAATGCGCGGCGATGAATATTACCTCGTTGAAGTTGCCCAAGACTCCCCCATGAGCCCAGCTGCGCTGGCAAGCGAGTGATTAGGGCCCGGCATGGGGAAAAAAGTTATGGCTTTCTAACGTAGGTCACTGGAGAGGGAACTTTTATCATCGTTTCCCGGTTAATGTATCTATCTCATGATTCAATTCTCTTCGGTGCTGGTGGTGTTCCTGGATGTACCTTAGATAGGCTTGGATGGTTGTGAACGAATCCAACAAAGTACGGATCGCGTTTCGGGCTTCTGTTTCTGTCTCCATCGAGTGCGTCTTTCATTTCGCATACGAATTCATCATGAAAGCACTTACGCGAATAATTTGTTATCACTTGTTTCACCTCGATCTGCGACGCGCCCACGGTCGCCACTGTTCATGCAATGCATCCAGCGACGGGCCGCCGCGACGTGGGGCTGTACTGCAGATGCAGATATGGACGCAAGGGCTGATTCTCGAACATCAGGCATGCATGCATATGAAATGCATATGAAATTCACTGATTTTCATAATTTATGAAGAGCAGATCTGTAAAACAGAGCACAATACTACACTCAAGGGAAATCATGTTGAACCGAAGTGTACAGATGGGCAGGGATATTAGCCTCTCCCGATTCTATTATGAACTGTACTAGTATAAAAAGGAATGTCTAATTACATCGCTTGGCAAGGATATGCTCATGAACCTTACCACCAATCAAAACCGAGAAAGCCACCAGTATTGAAGTACCAGCCCACATAACAGCAGGCGTATACTTCTCGTGGTCAAGGTGGATAATAGCCCCACCGAGCGGGGCACCCGTCAACGAAGAGAAAGAGGTGACGGTGCATAGAACACCAATGCGAACGCCCTTTGTGTTCTCGTCTTTTGCAAGAGATGAAGAAACAGCAAGGAAAAGTGTTTGGAGAGTGCCGACGACAAGACCAAATGCCGTGCACAGTGCGTAGAGACCGTCGTGTGTGAGAACTCGGGACCAGCAGTAGAAGATTACGGCTGCGAGCGCGAGTCCGCCCATGAAGATTTCCTTCACGATACCGAAGCGATCGGCGAGGAGGGACGCGATTACGCGGGCTGGGATGCCGGCTGCGTTCATAATTATGACCAGATTGAAAGTTTGGTCGGAGTTAAAGTGGAGAAAGTCCTTTGCGTACTGGGAGATCTGGGGGTTTTGTTAGGAGCTGGAGGTCTTTGAATAACAGGAGGGAGTACTCACGTAGTAAAAGCCGAAGTAAATAGGCCAGAATGCAAGAAAAGCGGAGATAGCGAAGAGAATGTAGTGCAAGTCTTTCAGAGAGCGGAATGGGAATGCCTTGACTTTCTTCTGGGAGTTTTGGATCGGTCGAAGGAAGGCGAATGCGATGGTCAAGAATGTCGCCACGATGAACCCAGCGACGCGAATTGACCAAGAGAGGCCCAGAAGAGGAATGAGTTCACGCAGGAGGGCTGGGAAGACGGTGCCACCAGAGGCACCACCGCATGTCGCCAGTGCGATAGCGAAGGAACCGTGCCGCTCGAAGTACGAGGAGAGAACAGCGATGGTAGGAGCGAAGATGAGACCGGCACCGATGCCCACACAGAGACCGTGCGATATGAAGATTTGCCAGAATGTGACTGCGAAGCTCGCCGTGAAGAGTCCCACGAGCTGGAAGATCATGCCGGTGACGAAAATGGCGCGGAAGTGGCCTGCATCAGCCAGGTGGCCAGCGAGCACGCCGAGGAAGTTGACGAGGCATACTTGGATCGAGCCAATCCAGGATATTTGTGTAGCGGGGACATCAGGTAGCTGCGTCGTATATACTGCTTGGTAGGTGCCGAATGAATTGAAGTATCCTTGGGTGGAGAAGACGACGAGGAAGGCTAGTAGAGCGTGGATCCACGAGGCGGAGCTATCTTTGGGCGGTCCTGGGGCTATGCGGTCGAGTTTGGGGTTCGATTCATTGTTATCGCTGAGTTCATTCAAGTCTGTGTTGATGGAAACATCGTATTTCTCCTGTTCCTTTGAAACGAAAATGGCTGTTAGAATCCAACCGTGGGATTGTTTGCTCCAAGTCTGCAGTGTTGGGAGTACATACTGTGTGGCCCGCCATGATATCAACATGTGAAGCGCACTCGTCTTTTCCAGAATAGTTTAGGGTCCGATATCACGCAATATCTGGCAGGTCTTACGGCACAATATATACGCCATCACAGCGATTGCAATAATACGTCAGTTGGGAAGGAGATCTCTGTGGCATGGGATCACCCCCAGGCTTGCCGGTATGCGAGGCACTGAGACCCGGTGCGCAAACCCACTGATGACGCGTATTTGCCTTGCGGGCGGAAGAAGAAAGCACAGAAAGCTTATGTTAGGAGAGCGAATAGAGGGATGCAGATACTGTTTGTCTAATTTTAGCTCTGCATATAGTGCAAAATAGACTTGAACAGTGCGTCGAAACACCAACACCAAGGAGTTTCAAGACAGAAGGAACGAGCTATAGATTTACTGGCTCTCACTCCCATCTTTTGAAGTTCTTATCGGCCACGATCCCTCCCTGGCGTTTCAGAACGTATTCTTCTTTCGGATAGTGGCATTCATGCAGCTCCACCGCTAGCGAAGATCCCCCTAGTTAGACCCTGCGGCTCCTGCGTCTCTTGGCACCACCGTCAATTATGGGGCTATGGTAAAACACCATTTTTGAGCTGCTATTCCACGTCAGCCTTCCACGACAGCTTCTCCTTTGCCACTTCCTTGAACGCTCCCGGCTTGGATGGTCCTTGTACTCCTTGGACACATCAGCCCAATACATAATATTACTGAACCCTACTGTCCAACCCGAGCCCCCCTTGTCTCGATTCAGGAGATTGTTGCACAGTTGCGCGTAATTCCGTGGTGCCGAGTTTGTGTCGCGTTTCAGTCTCGATCGTGGTCGGAATCGAATGTTTTGAGGGATCATCACGGAACAATACCCTAGCCCTTCAGCAGATCTTCACATAACGACCCAGGGCGATTTTTCTCTAAGGCCAGTCGAGTATCTAAGGACTATCGGCTTGCAAATAATCACTTGATGACGAATACAGGCCCACAGGACTACAAGATCCACAAGGGAAAGTAAGCATCAGATCATCGATCACAAATTTCAAACGGAAACCGTGCCAGAAGTTGCATATGACATATTAAATGCATTCGACGGCCCATCAATGATCAGCCGAGCGCCGGCAGAATGCATTAGGGGGACTGATCCGCCCGGCAAGCTCAACGAAGATGATCGACAATGCATGATCACGATCTAGATGATGATCAATGACAATCATGAAGAAGCAACGTGAATATCTGTGTCTCGACTATCATCATACTACCAGGAACAGACCTTTGCATCTTTAAACTGGAAAATTGAATATTTGAATCGATGCCTTGGGGTGAAAAGATGTCTCAATACCTTTCGCCACAAGTTATGACGATTTGAATTTGATTAGCAATCGCGACAAAAACCAAGGATCCCGGAATGACTCGCGTCGAATACCCTAGCAAAGTGATAAATACCCCCAGGGACTATTTATGATGATCCGCTAGTGGTGAAGGTCCCACATTCTATATGACGACACCCTTCCTAAAACTGACACTATCTGTCAACACGAGGATTTATCAGTTCCGTAATCCCCTTATCTGAGGGTCAATGGAGATACTCTCAACTGCGATTGTCTCAGGGCAAAACTACTTGCCCGAAAACGCTAGAACTAGGTGTGCTTCCAACAACAAATTAAAGCATAGGGCTAGGATTCTGTAATCCCAGTTCCATTGCACTGAATGTGGGATTCAACAAAGGTACAGGCATCTCAGGGTCAGATTCCAGTCGAGTGAGATCTATTTCTGGATGAACAAGTCACAAGTCATACACAACAGGCAAGGAGAAAATTGTCTCGCATCTGATCTCTTATTCATCTGGAAACTCTACCCTCCACCATCCACAAACCGGACAGATATTTATACAAAACGCATGGAACAGCTCATCGCAGATTTAGACCGCTTCGCCCCTCCGCGCTCTTTCTGCGAGAATAGAGAGTGCAGTTTCAGGCCCAGGCTGGGTCCTAGCCCGACGCATCTGCTGCTCTAATTCGACAATGGAAGCTTTGTTCTTCTGTCGTCGCTGCCAAAAATCCTCATCAAACTTTACTTTATGACGCTCATAGCCCATATACCGATTGAACCTTTCCCGCATACTCGAGTCCTCGGGTACTACCGGAGAGGGCATTTTGTGTTTGACAGACTCCCAATGAAGAAATGACCTGATAGGGTGCAGTAGGTATTCCCCGATCAGCCCAGCGCTTATTCTATGCGACTTGGTCACAACCTCGCGAAGGCTTTCACTGAATGCCATCAGAAGGGAGAGACCGATTATTGCGAAGGAGGCGGGTGCTAAAGAAAACGCCAGATTAGCATTCGTCAAACGAGGTCAAGGAAGAGCACTCGCGCCTTACCAGCTATTTCGAGCATGGTCGCCAAACTCAAATTCTCGTTCTGCCCACTCCATTCCCGGGCGTTGATACCGAAAAGAGATGTAAAGAACGAAAGAGGAAGGAATCTGAGCGTGTTAGTAATTATCGCTAAAAGATTTCAAGGGACTGGGCTCTTACATGACGGTGAAGATCGTGAACACCATGACCGATCTTGATTGGTTTTGCGTCACCTCGGCTTGCCACCGAGCCATCTTGGCCTCGTCCACATTCGCCTGCTTTTGCTTGAGATCAAGAAGAGTTTCCACCTGCGACCGATTAGCAGATTCCTTGGACCCAAGCTGGGAGGTACTTACAGCCTTCTGGGCAGTATGGCTATTTGACTTCATCTCTTCAACCTGTGTGCGGTATTCATCGATTCTCGACTGTGCAATATCCAGGAATACCTTGCCGTAGTTCTTCCGGTCGAAGTACTTTTTCATACTCTTGATGACAGAGTCCTGCTGTTCGAGGAGCTTTAGGATAGTAGTAAGCTCATCCTCAATATCCCGTAGCTCAAGAAGCACAGACAGGTCTTCTCGATTGCGTCGTGCGATTTGCTGGTCTCGCTGATCGCGTTGGTTGGCTGTCATCATCCTGCCTTCCGGGGTTCGGTTGTGGTCGGCTGGACGATTCGTAAATCCGCGATTTCGGAACCGTTTAAAAGACTTTGTGACTGACTCGGTCTGCGGAAATCAGTAAGTTGAATCTGGAGTTGAATTTAATGTCTCTTACCAGAATGCTGATCGATTCTTCAAATATGCGTAGCACTTGTAGATCATGGTGAAGGGTTTTATCCAGAAGCACAGTCGTTGCGTGAAGCATGATAAGAGCCGCAAGATCCCCGGCTGTCTCAAATCGACGTGCCAGATCTCCATTGAGCTCGTTGTAGATACTGCTGTGGAGATTCGACTGTTCGAACAATTTGCCTTCGGATGTGGTGGCTTCTTGATTAGGAAAAAAGTAATGACGGTTTTCTGGTCCAGAATCCACAACCAAAGTTGGTCAACCATCAGAACATTTCCATCCATGAACTCAGTGGGTTCAGTATCATCTGCATCGTCTTCCGGTGTCTCGAGGTATTCTCGTAATTGATCATCCAACCGGGCGGGCTTGCGCGTCCGCTTCCAGAGCATCTGGTCGTCATCTCGAGCGACCGTGGAACGGAGATTGGGGTAACCGAATTGATCCAGCGTGCGACGGAAATGAATAGGTGGCTCACATCCGAGATACTGCCATATGAGCTGGGCTTCTAGACTTGATCGGGCAATTCGGCCAGGCACTGGTCGGGAGCGGCCTTGACGGAGTCGGTCTTCGACGACCTTGCGACGTTGGATGAGGTTTCGATATGTATCCCAGTGGAGCTGCGAGTTGTTAGCAGTGTTAGCGAAATTGGTTCAATAGACGCACGTATGGAGTCTGCAGTAAAGGTGTTAGTGAGATTCGCACCAGGGATAACTTCCGCTCGACATACATATAAGGCTAGCTGGGGGTCATCCGAATCCTCGGAATCGGTATCGTGAGATACATCGATTTGCCTCGAATGTATGCATTGCGGCTTGACGAAACGTGCATGCGGCTCAAGATGACGTGCTCTGTTGAGGTTAAGGTACCAATTCTTATCATTGATAAATTTTCTCACGCTGTGGCCTTGTTAGAACTACACTCATTATATATTGGACGAGGATTTCGTACAATGTTGGCTCATCGCGGTCCTCACATGCCCGGCGAATGACCTGTGATACCCAACCCGTGTGTGTATAGGGGATGTGAATCCAAAGGAGCTTTTCTGTGTCAGGTTCCGGTCGATCGAAACGAGGAACGGAACGGGGGATATCTGGAGCCTCAGCATTCTGATTGATGCGGTCTCGAGTGGAGGGAGGAACTGGCAGAAGGCCTTGTCGCTGTGGGGATGTGGAACTTCTAACACCATTGTTACTATTCTGTCGTGTTATAAGCTTTTGAGGCTACCTACGATCCGGGCCGCGAGCTGCTTGCCTGCGAACTGCTATCAGATGCACTGCGCCTGTGCGATCTCGTGAAGGGTATCAGTCCCATTGCTTTCGAAATAGAGTTGCTTCGCGGTCGCTCCACTGGCGGTGGAGGGCTTTCGCTGGGAGAACTGCCTGTCTCAAAATACCCATCCATTTCGGCCTCAGTAATATGTATAGTAGGGGACATTGGCGATGGATCCATGAAACTCCTGCTATGCTTCATCGACGGTCGCGAGGGCCGGATTTCACCTTCTGAATCTCTAGAATTATCTGGAATCCTCTGGACGGAGTCATCCTCGGGCTCGTCTGGCCCTGGTATAATATGCGGGAAAGAATGACGGCTGTCAAAACTGCTGACGGACGAATCATCTAAGCCGCCTGGCTGAATGCGCGTGAGGCGCTCACGAAGGCAATCTGACGGTCCCCGAGCAAGGTAGTCCTCAAGAGTCACGCGTGTTGACCACAGCTTGAGCGGCGTCTCGTCGCTAACACCCAGTGCCGTATCCTCGAAGAAACCGTTGACTTGAACGATGACTTCTTGCTCCACGCGAAGGTAGGTATCCATCTCCACCGACAGCTTAACTGCCACGTTAACAGCCTCATTTAGCTCGCGCAAGAAGTCTGTTCGAGCCGAATCCTGTCCTTGGAATTTTGCTGTCCCAGCGTGGTCGGTTGCCATCGGGATCTCGCTTTCGTGCTCAATGCTCAGCAGGCCTGAACGGATAGACGTGATGGGTGCGTGGAACTCCATGTATTTGCCAGTCTCCGGATCCTGGACGTGTAAGGTCGAGTCTATCGTCTCGAGGAAAGACCAAACCTTCATGTCCGCGGACAGAGCCTTGAACTGGTTGGAAAGATGCCATAATCGACCTGAGCGGGGGCGGAACTGCTCTCGCAAAGATAGAGGAATATCGTGTTCCAGATGAAGGAGGCGACGGATACTCGGTGCATATTCCTCAGCAGACAGGTAGCTTGAGCCTTGGTGGGGGGTTGCAAAGAACGCGATGCCGTGGCAGCTGGTGAGAATGGCCTGACTCTGCTCGGTTCGTGAAGCTAGGGCCAAGCAAGCCTTGGCCACAAGGCCGCCAGTGCTGTGGCAGATAAAGAATATGGGTCGGCGAGAGATCTCATGCCTGCGTTCTTCTAGGAGAAGATTCAGTAGGCGCTGGCCAAGTGCTTCAATCTTGTCATGCTCCCGCAACTCGCCATGATTGTACAGCAGCACCCGTGCTCTGGGCATGAAGCTGAGAAATCCAGGTCCAAGCCATGGTGATCGTGTTCCTTGTGCGGTCCACGTCTTCTTGTGATGAGCCCCTATGGGCGGTACGGCGACGATGCTGAGACAGGTTAGTTAGCATAACCCTGAATTCGTACGCTAGGGTACAAGAGGATTCAAATGGTTGGTACCCCCGCGTGGGAGGGACGGGTCGAAAATCTGCCGGGCTCCACTTACTCCACATTCGTGTTGGGGGTTGCGAGAATGCGTTCGAAGCATGGCGAGCGCGTCGGAGCCGTCCTGGGCCGAGACATGGTTCATTTGGATCGCGTAGTTGACGCGACCGAGATATGACAACCTCGAAGTTTTCAGAAAAAGGCGTGCAGGATGGGGGCCGGTTTAAAGGGGGGCTTTTCAGCCTCAAAATACGATCATCTGCTCTCGCGCCCGGCATGCACCCCGGTTCACCCCGGTTCTCGCTCCAACAGGCTGCGCCTGCCGATCGTGAGTCAGTGCTCTTCACACAGGCAAGCAGGTCATGCACACCATATCTATTTTCGCTCCTCACGTTCTGGCCCCCAGGACCACTAAGCAGAATAGTTTGCCCCCGGAGGCCTAATCGAGGATAGGAAGAAGGTCACGATCATTGATCGCCACACTTACCGCCGAGTCGAAGAGGAGAAACGTTGGTGCAACACTACCAGTATATTTCAAGAGACAATGGAAAGACGCCTTGATAGAAGTTGGCCGAGTACAGTAATCGACCCTACTTTAGGAAATAGAGACGGAGCAGGTCATTCGCCCTTCGACGGGTGTTGCTCGGTGCTTTTAGTGCTCCATATCAGATCTCTTGCTTGTAATGCTACTAAATGATGAAAAACAGCGAAGAAATAGGATTCCAAAATACCTCGATTAAACTTAGGTCTGGGAAGACCAAAAGTCAAGGACCTACTGCGGAGTCACATAATATGTTTCTGCCCCAGGCAGAAAACCCAGTCAAACACACCAAATATGACTTCGGTCGCAAACAGGGAAAACGTCATGTTTCGTGGTCTCCACAGTTGCGAGGGAAGAATTCAGTGACTCCTGGAGTATCTGAGGAGGAATTTTCCGGATACTCGACAGCTTCAGACCCAGTGAAATAGGTTATTGGCCTGGTTCGATTCCACCACAGGACACGACGAGTGCGTTTGAGATCTTGCCCTAATCGGTCCGAAACAAGGCTCCGGGAGAGAGCCGGTTAGTCAATGTAAAATGGGACTTTGAGGAGCTCAATAGAAATAATAACCTTGGACATTACAGCGGCCGGATGCCCCAACTCGAGTATTCGAGTCCAGCAGCAACGAATCTAGTGCTTGATCTCATAAGGCTTTGAAACTAATACCCCGAGAAAGTAGCATATCTCTATAAATTTCTGGAAGAAATTATCTTACCCTCCATGGATCCTCTGACAAAAGGTTCTCCGGAGCAACGGCTCTCGCGAAATACTGATAACGAGGGGGCACCAAATCGCGGCCAACCTTCTGTCACTGTTTGTGGAACGGTTGATGACCCTGATCATTCTATAACATGAGCTTGCAAAGAAAGTGGCTTGCTGTTGTTACAGTTGCCCTGGGCTCACTTTGCATGTAAGTAGTTGCTCTGAAAATACCCATGCTCAGTCTAAATTCGACAGCTGATTCAGTGTTCGCCGAGAGCACACCTGCACTTCATCCATTTATTCGACGACGTATGACCAAATCATGTCTGAGTTCAAACGCTCCTAAGAGGTTGCAACCCTTGGACTCTCACTCAATATTTGGGTTCTGGGTATGGCATTAGGTGCGAATGTTCCTTTTCCATGGTCGACTAACTAACATCCGGCATACAAAGGCGTTGGTCGGCTCATCTTGAGCCCATTGTCTGAGGTAACCTTTATCACCCTCTCTCCTCGTTAGCTAGTCTGATTTATGTAGCAGTTATATGAACAGAGAATTGTCTACTTGTGTTCTTTCTCATTTTTCTTTAACTGGCTCTTTCCATGCGCTTTTGCGGCAAATATTCACACATTAGCAGCGTATTTCTCAGCGTTGCAGAAGGCACAGTTGGTGACGTCTTCCCGCGACAGAGGCTGGCATTTCTTATGATGTCTTACACGAGTAGCTTATTCATTGGGGCCGAGCTCGGACCTTTGAAAGTGGTCGTGAAATATGCTTTTCCGTATCGCAAATCAGAATTGGAATCTTACTCGACAGTTCCAGAGTCGTCGGTTTCATCAATTAGTACACCAGTTAACATCTATCTCCACAAAGTAATAATTCCTTCGGGGTGTAAATTCAACTGACGCGACGAGGACTAAGCGCTGGACCTTCTATGTGCTACTGTTCTGGGCATCTGCGATGCTTTTTCTGATCTATTTCTTGGTACCCGAACCGGTCCTCCAGTGTTGGTCCACCAAGTGCTAGAGTTAGATTACACAACACACTGAAATATTTTTTCTTTCTAGGCTTCTTAATTGGAAGGAACGTGATATAAGCAAGCACAGTGGAAACATGGCGTCGCAGTACCAGGATAAGAGCGTATCCGTCCTCGGGGCAATGATAATGCGAATCTGTTTACAGGCCTCTTATGCTGCTAGCCTTGGAACCAATGTGCTTGAATCTGTGCATTTATTCTGCAATCCGACGTGGAATCATCTACCTCTTCTTTGGTGCCTTCCAGGCTGTCTTTGTGTCAGTTTATAATTTCGAACTGTGGCAACGTGGAATACTGTTTCTCTTGGTCGGAATGGTATCCGCTGTACTTTCCGATCCATACTGGAGATCAAACTATTGTCGACTAGAACGAAACCATCGAGCTCGAGATAACTCAGAAACACTCATGCCAGAATGGAGACTTCTTCAGGTAATTAATTGCTCCTCACATTACCATCACACGACTGCCAAAGATCTAATACGTTCATCATAATTTTCAGCGATACTTGGCGTGCCTCTATCTTTGCTTGGGCAATTAGAGCAGCCACAATTTACTTAGACCATCAATCAACGAAATCCACGATCATGTATTGTAAGAGAATTTCCAAAATTTGAATCGAGTTTTTCAGGATTACTTCCCAAAACACCGTATGTACAGTAAGGGAATCCTTTTGTTTTCAGAAAGTCACGCCAAAAATGAACTTCAAAGTCCGCCCATGCAGTGTCTATGATTCAGCAGATGCGGTATCATCAAAACGTGAACGCCAAGAAAGAAGAGGCAATTAGAGAACAGGAAGCTGAGAGGGGGCGATCGAGCACCGATCGCATGCATGTCCAACATAATAATACAGAGAGGAGATGATGAGATGATGAGTAAGTTTAGGAGCTTTCCGAGTGTCGTCGCTCATTGACTTCGCGGGCCATGCGCTTTCCGACCTCGTATGTGGAAATCATGATTGCACAGGCCGGTGCAACCTTCATGCAGCGTGCGCCCCATCCGCTGAAGAGCCCGGCCAGGCCTTCTTCGCGGAAGATATGCATCAGGAATTTCGGGAGAGAAAGTTGTTCGGGAACGATTGTCTGCGGGTGAAGGGACGGTCGCGCGCCAGTGGGTTTGTTGGGCGCATGGTCATCCATGTGCCGGAGAACCTGCTGGCGAGTCTTACCGACGTCAAAGGGAGTGGTTACTAGCGCCGCTACTGATCCAGAGGTGGCACCAGCAATGAAACTTTCGAGGAATGCGGTCGCCGTGGACACTTGCTCGGTCTCAGAGTGTGGATGGTGCAGTGAAGCTTGGCGGGATCTCTCCAGGCCTTGCTTCACCTTCTCGTATCCCCACCAGTAAAGACCGGAGAAGGGCACGTCGCGCCACATGGTAAGCGTCAGTCCGCGCCAAAGAGACGTGTAACCCTTGACTTGGGTCATTTGGTAGAGACCTTGCAAGGTGACCTTGAAATGTCCAGCGCCAGTACCGGGGGTCGCTTGGAGACGAGTTCGGAACATCTCGACCGGGCTCGTTGCCGACGCAGCGGCAGTTCGAGCAATCGCGCCAGCGACAAACGGCGCATACACATCGGAAACATTCTTCTTTATGGGACTTTTGTCATCGGTCCGTAGCCAATCGTACCCGGCGAAATAGATAATATTCGCCGGAATTCCCATCATCAAAGTCGGACTAAGACCTCGCCACAGAGCGAACATGCCTTCGTTGCGCGCGATCTTTCGCAATCCGTCGAAGGTTGAGGTGAACGTCCGTCTTTGTGTTTCTTCCACGGCACAATCGATGGCTGGATGTGCCTGAGCACCAATAGCACCGGCCTGAGGGCCTATCATACACATTTGCGCATTGTCTCCAACCCAGAAGACCTCTCGGCAACAGGCTGTAATTCCAATATTGGGCGGAAGATTCTTCAGCGTTTGTGCGGTATACGAAGTGTACTGAGATGGCTTGACATTCTTCATCGTTTGCGATTGTAGTCGGACGCGGACGACATCTAGTGGTGTGACTGCTAAGGGTCAGCAATTTGTCCAAGAATCCAATGTCGAATCGGTGGGGGACCTTGGAACTCACCGAGCAATCCAGTCAAGATATTGCCTGCGGTTGCCGATACCATGCGCTGTCCAGCCGAGATATCATCATTCACAAGAGTGGCGTGTGCAGCGGGCGCCTTGCCCGTCCCTGCGGTAGCCATTGTTGAGGGTGTGTCAAAATGCGAGGTCCATGACGCCTCCGCAGAGGAATCGCTCTCGGGCCGAAACAGGCTTCCAGAGTCAGCTGGATAGCTCGAGGAGGATGTGATATCCAGTCCGGATGGCATTCGATCGGTCAGCCCGATCGCAGGATGGAGAGGGCGGGCGTGTCGTGGTGTGGAGGAAGAAAGAAGAGCGATGCGTCACCGGGAAGTTTTTCGGGGTTTTGCGGGTGGCGGCGGGCGGAGATAAGCGTCCTTTCTTCAACTACCTCGACAGGCAACGGGGATTCCGACTCAACAACGACCACCAGAGTCAATGGCTGCGACGAAGGTCCTCGGATAGTCCTTTTCATTTTGTTCCCTGCTCAGTCTGCCCCGGTGGACCCCTTGAGGGGCTTATCTGATCGATCTCCGACACCGGACTTCGGCCCCTCCAATACCGCCATGGCAGACAACGCGGAGCTCGAATCGTTTCGCCGCGAGTGGCGCGAGGAGGTTGCTCGTCGATCCAAGCCTAGATCTCGAGCTGCCCCTCCTTCTGCCCCGGCCGCTGCGCCGGCCCCGCCGCGACTACCACCGACTGCCTATGAAGCTATTCACCGCAAGGAGCTGGAGGAGGAGGGACCCCCGCCGGGCTCGTTCGATCCGGATGACCTTGCCCGGCAGGTCGATGATCTGAGTGTCAAGCCGGGAGAGAGGGAAGAGGAAGATGAGTTTACTCGTCAGGCACAAGCTGAGCCCAACTCGGCGTTGGAACACTTCGAGCGGGCAGTTGAGAAGGAGGCTGCAGGTAATCTTGGCGACAGCCTCCAGCACTACCGGAAGGCGTACCGGGTGAGTCCAAAGATAGTTTTCACCGGCAACACTTGGATACTAATTTGCGATGGATAGCTGGACGACGCTGTCGATAAGACCTACCGGAACAAACACTTTGCCCATGTCTGGAACAAGAAGCCCACAGCACAACCCCTGCCAAGTGATACTGCAGCTGTACCCGTGACAGTTCCAGCGGCAGCGTCTGCCGAGACTGAAGTCCTCCCTACATCCGAACTGATCGCGTCTTTTGCGCATCTTCCTATATTGCCAGCCGAGCCTCTGATAGAAAAAACCCCTCCACCGCCATGTCCCATTGCGAACGTTCCATCGGAGGTTTTGATCGTCATCTTGCGGCATGTGGCGACGCGAGATCCTTCTACATTCGCTCGAATGGCCCTGGTCTGTAAGCAATTCGCATACCACTTCGCGCATGAGCAGCACATCTGGAAACAAATCTGCCAGCGTCCGGAGTTTGGATTCCAGGGCATGCATTATGATTTTGCATGCGACGTCATAGGACAGCCTATATATACACTACGCGGAGAACGGTATACACCATTTCCGGAGGGAGTAGCGCTTGAGATTCCCAAGCCATTGTCTTCTTGGAGCCAGGTCTTCCAATCATATCCTCGAATCCGATATACGGGCATCTATATCAGTACAGTCAACTATATGAGGGCAGGTGCGGCGTCCGCCTTTCAGAATGTCTCGTGGAATAGTCCCATTCACATTGTGACATATTATCGCTATCTGCGATTCTATCCCGATGGATCCGTCATCTCATTACTCACGACGACCGAACCAGTCGATGTGGTGCCACATATCAGCAAAGAGAATATGATTCTCGCGCGGACGACCAAACGCGGAGCCCACCAACTACAGGCATCTACTGATCCCGGCAAATCCTTCTCAGGGGCAGCGGACTACGTTCCCCCCGTCGCAATGAATACACTCAAATACTGCCTTCGTGGGCGCTGGCGCCTGGCGTCGCCGGTCGCTACCGAAGATGACGAGGAACAGGGACTTGAATGCGCGCCTGGCCAGGAGCCAGCACCTTTCGACCCTCGCGATCTGGTCATCGAAACAGAAGGTGCGGCTTCGCAGTATGTCTATCTGATGAACCTCTCTCTGCGATCGCCAAACGCGTCCAAATCGCACACGAATCCCTCCAAGAATACCAAGCTTGTCTGGCGCGACTTCTGGAGCTACAACAAAATCACCGACGACTGGGCCAAATTCAATCTCCGTAATGACCGGGCCTTTGTTTTCCGCCGGGTTCGAGGCTGGGGTCTTGACTAAGTGACGAATTGATGAATTTACATACATTGATCTTAAAACGACATAGAAATAACATACGAAGATGGATTTCCAGCTCTTTTCAATGAGGCTCTTCAATTCCTCGCACTCTTGCCTTAATCTAGACTAGGCTTATACGAGACAATGTTACATTCCACTTCGCAAACAATCAGATCAAATGCAACGCTCCATGCTCGTGCGAGAGCTCCAGATGGGGCAAGGTCCGTGGTAGTATTCGCCCCCAAATTATGGCCGCCTCAACTTAGTTTCGGAATCGCGAAGGAAGCATTCTTAGCAGGGTGCGGCTCCACGGAACAGGCTCCTCTAGGCACGAGACGAAACTAAATGGCACTAGTCGCAACTAACCTGGGGCCACTCCAGCTAGAACCGAGCAGACCGGATGTCCGGCACTGGAGAAGGTATTCTGCAACATGTAATTGGAGCGGATTTCCATGTCTGGAGCCTGCGCTAGTATAGTAAACAGGCATCACAGGATGAAATGACTGGATAAGTGCGGCTCTGGAGCGGCCCGGAACTATAAGTATCAGCGTCGATCAACCCCCCAAGTCCTTCACTTCGCTCGTGAAATATTGAATCTCGAATCCAATTGAAACAATGTCTCTCCTTCTGGCCGGCTTCTCGCTGCTTGCTGCAGCCCAAGCTGCCGTTCGCCCAGTCGAGGTCTCGGGAGGATGCGCCAGCCTCCCGGCCTACGATTCGTCTGCCAGAATCGCCGGTCCCTGGGTCGTTCCCGTTGACTCATGTGTTAACACCACTGCCACCGATAATGTCTGTAGCATGGAGGGATTCGGCAGTGAGGCTGTTTATTTCCTACAACAAGGCGACACAAGCGTCCAGCGTGGTTATGTATGTTCCACTTTCCGCACCACAAGAAAGTCTAGTCCGAATCGTGGACTATGCTAATGCAATGCCCTGATTAGATCGCAATTGTTTCCAAAAATGACTTGGCAAAGAGCCCCCTCCGCTGCAACGATGAAACGAATTCCTTCGAATCTTATGTCCCCTCCGGCGTCAGCGGCGCTGAATGGAAGAGCGTCAATGTCACCGATATCCCCTACAGCGCGCAGCTTATGTGGGGACTGGGTCAGTATAGCCTGCCTATCCAGGCGTATCATCACTACAGGAACGGGGTGAAGCAGGATGGCATTTTCCTCGGCGCGCATAATGTAACCACTTGGGCTTTGCAGCTTCAGAGTGGTTCGGCCGGCAGTGGAGGCAAGCCGTACTGGTTGATGAGACTTCTGGGACCGAATAGTGCTGATCCGGTTACTGGGGACGCGTTGGCGGAGGGAGAGTACCGAACCTTTATTCGGGTTGACGGTAGTTAGATTCGATGGGTGTCATTAGATTGATTGTGTGAGGTGGGTGTTTATTCACATAGGGGCGTGGGAAGAATGAATGTATGTACATGAAGATAACAGGGGAGAGGGATGGCTGAGGGGTGGGGTACGTCTCTAGTTCCGCCTATTGATAATCTGTTCTTCGTCGTCGTCCACAATGACCACCATCCAGACACCGACTTGTCCATTGCTGGCGTAGAGAGGCGTACAGTGGACCCAGCGGTTTCGACCCTCGGCGCTGAATCGTGTTACCCATTTGATCCGTGCAGTGACGCTTTGTCCATTCTTCATTGCTTCTGTAAGTTCGTCCTTAACGGCGTTTGAGCTGCCGATTCGGGCGAGGAAGGAGGATTGGAGCATGCCAGGGATTTGGAGGGAAGGCGATGTAAAGAGGACCTTGAGGGAGGGGTAGGGTCGGACGAGGAGGTACTGTGTTGGACTTGTTAATTTTTGAACAGAGATGTGTAGTCATAACTACTGTGTTTGAAGGAATAGGAAGCTTACATTTTCATAGACACCAGCCAATGACCCCCGCAGCAAAGGCGACTTGAGGTCCTGAAGACGGATCGCCTCCGCTTCACTGTCAATGGAATTACCCCTCTGCAACCAGTGTTGCTGGCTCCGGGAGGCGGCTCTGGTGTTCAAGGGCTGGAAAAGATCCCCTCCGTGTTCCTGCACGGCGCTGAGTTCACGCGGACTGAAGAGTTCCGCCATCGCCTGGAGCTCGTCTTTGTGGGCCCTAGCAGGCATTTCCGCAACGCTCTCTTCTTCTGGATCGCAGTAGCGGGATTGCAGTTCGATCAGTGATTCCATCTGTGCGCCGTCGAGGGCGAGTCCGGAGACATCAATCTGCGCGCCGATAAAGTATTTTACACGGCCTTGGCTGTCACAGAGAGGGGCGCATTGGAGGAGGTTCATGAATGGGGAGCCGTCGCGTCGACTTTGTTGCTTGTTAGTATCTAGAGAAATGAGGGTATAGTCCTGAGCTAGACATACTAGTTGAGAAAGAGTTCGGAGTGGTGTCGGCAGTCTTTGAGTGCCTCTCTTATTCTGCGCACGCTATTTGGGTTGGTTTTGGGACCCTGGAGGAATCGACAATTCCGTCCGAGGACATAATCCATGCCGTACTGTGTGGTGCGGTGGAATTCTGGACTCATCTATTAGAACCATGTTGTTATAGGATGGATAGCAGGGTACTAACCTTCCGATGCAAAGATGATCGGATTATCTGGCCGCGAGGGATCCGTCAGACAGAAGACTTCGGCGAGCGCATTCGAAGTCTCGCGAAATTTCAGAGGCAGTTTACCACGCACTCGCTCCCCGACAATCTTGCTGGTAATGGTGATGCATCGCGACGTGATGAACGCCGGCAACTCCTCCGCCGTCAACGCTTTGAGCCCATCCTCTACACGCTGTTCTAGGACTTTATTCGCGGTGATCCCGACGGAGCCCTTGTTCTCCTGGACTATTTGGACCGCTGGAGGTGGCACATCGGTCGACAGGCGCACAAGCGCATTGGCATATTCAATGGCCTTCAGTGCCTTGACTGCATTAAGGTAGTACGTGAGGGTTGAGATGGAACGCGGACGTTCTTCAATCAAGAACTCGCGAAAGCGCAACAGGTAGCGAGGGTTATTCAGAATCAACAGCATATGCTCTGTTCCAAACATCACATCGGTGAGACGCTCGAGCTTGTGCAGAGGGGCGTCGACGCCGTCCCATGGCGCGATCAGATCGTAGGACGCGCCTTCCTCGTTGACGGGTTTGAATTCCTCTGCGCCGTCGTAGGGATTGACCTCCTGCAGGAGCGGATAGTCGTTGTCGGTGGTGACTAACTCACTGGCGGTGACATCCCGCCGCATATTCTTAACCGACGGCTTCGGCGTCGGATAGATCTCGTCTTCCACAATCGAGTCAGGGTTCTTGGCTCGGCTGGGCGGGTGAGGAAAGTCGTCGAGCATTTGGTCATTTCTACACCTCAATGAGCGACTTTTTCAAGCAGCGACAGTTTACAATGGCAACTTACCGTGATGTTCGCCCGGATTCCGATACCCAATCGTGATACTCGTCAGGCAGGCTCTCCGAGAACGAGCGCAATGACTCAGCGTCCAGGCTCATCAAGCCCTCGTTCAATTCTGCGCGCGACATCGTCAGGGACCGCAAGAGAAACAAAAAATAATTCTAATTTCACGCCACAGCGCCGGATCTGGGGAAGGGCTCACCGTATTTAACACCCCCTGCTTACGGACAAGGTCTCCCCTAAGAGCACTCAATTGCTCTGTCTCGGGGTGATACATCAAGTGATCGACAGCATCCACCGTTCGTTTTTTCTTTTTCTCGACTGGAGAACCATGCGACTGAGACACAATGGCCCAGCAGAATACGACACAAGCATGGAGCATTCGCGTCCGGAATCGCCAGGTCACAATCCGCGGACGCAGGCTAGGGCACGATCGATCGATGGAACGCGGTGGGCCCGCACGAGATCAGGGTCGATCCCAGGCCGGTGATGCAATGGGGCAGGGGCTCCATCTGTCAGGGTGCGGTTGGCGCGAAGAATGTTCGCTGATCGCTGGCAAGTCCCGAGTCTATCGATTCTTGCTTTCGCAGATCCTGGCGAGCTGGAAGCAACTGCCGCCCTTTGATTGGGTTCCCCGGAACTGGGAGGTTTCGATACATCCAACGAACGGTGTGAAAGGCAGCCATGCGCCGATGCCCTCCAAGGCGATGGAGCAATTATCCAGCAATCAGCTAGATCATGGCGTCGTGATTGGATTTGCCGCACTTAATACTATACACGGTGTTCTTAGTATGGAGACCGCGAGTGGCACCCCCTCGTTCGTCCCCTGTAAATCCTCTCCGAGGGGGGGAGGGGGCGCTGGATGCCCTCGATCAGTTCCATCCATGGAGTCAATTTGGCTAAACTGATGCGGTCTGAGCGCTGACGCAATTACAAGTATTCTCGTGGTGGCCTAGACCTGCTTGTCGCTGCAGCTGACATTCCTAGTTCGTCAGCTGAATCAAAATACTTACTTGTCTGTCCACTTCGAGATCGTTTTTCTAATATATACACCAGGTCCTCCAATGCGCTGTCTCTCTTCAACACGCTTGCTTGTATTGCTGGTCATAGCATGGCTTCCTTCGGTCGGCAAAAGGCCAATGTCTTCCAAGCCTGTATTGGCATGCTCTCAGACCTGCGCGATGATTCAAGTCACCATGACACCTTGATTGATGTTCCAACAAGCTCAACATCTTGAAGGCTCTATCCTCCAGCTTTCGCTACCGGCTGTCTGGGTGCACAGAATAGCACTGCCAGGAGCTATATTATGTCGACAGTCTAGCACATTCTTGGTATTTTATGAAGCCAGCTTCTCGACTATTGACGAGGTATACAAGCGAACAAGTAATTAACATACTAGTACGTTGGAGACGCTGGAGGGTATCTATAGACTTTATGAACAACCGAACAATATTGCCATTTGAGTGCATTGATCCCTCTGTGGATATATATTGATGGCTATTAGTGATCGCTATGAGTGACGACAATCATGACTCCCGAACCATTCCCTCCTCGACATGATGCTCCTCATAGCCGATGCTCATCCGGATGCGACTCACGTCAAGCAAATATTTCTCATCGGGGACGACTTTCTAGGAAGACCAAATTCATATATTAGCGAACAAGCGATCATATCACATTCAAATCAAATAAATCAGGCGGTATACCTCAATGTAGTAAGGATCCTTTGTGGCCGCACCGAAGGATTCTAAGCTTTCCATCCACACCTCGCCAGTCCCGTCGGCATCGTCAAAGTTGACTGCATCGTTCTGCCAATTCATCTGGCTCATAATTTGTCTCAATTTGGAGGGTGTATGGTTCTGGGAGCATTATTACATTGGTTTGCTGTTGATTTTATCTATATTTTGGTGGGTGGTGGAGGTTATGTGTTCTGACCCACCTGTGTGTACTTGACGATCCCATGTCTCGCCAACCACCCTCGAACCAACGGACCATGCACTTCGGACCAATACCGGTGAAACTCGTCTTCCGTTAAAGCGGGGTTTCGGTAGAGAACCACGGTGACGCGGACAAGCTTCTTTGCCTCAGGCATCGTGGGTGCTGCTGTTGGTTGTGTACGATGTGCACCCACTGTAGCAGTGTAGTATAATGCACATCAATATAGCGCCAGGTAACCCGAAGAGGGCGGATACAAGACTATTTAAGCTGACAGAGCTGACGTACTTATAAGCGGACCCGCAAAGGCTCCGTTCTCATGCGAGGAGGAATTGGTTGCATGCAAAATCGGTTGCCAAGACGAGGGGACAAGGGGATGCAGTAGCAACAAATTGTTAAGCAAGCTGCTCTGACGATAACGAAGCAACTCCAAGTCGATCCAGGCCGATAGCACTAGGTCTTAGTAACTCCACTATATTGAGCGAGGCTGAATTGGTTTGGGAGCTTTTCCCCAGCAGGTCATCCATTAACACCTTTCCATACGATGTTTGGTCGCATTTCGAACGGAACCAGTTGTTTAGTGCGATTCTGGGTCCACTCGAGTTTCACGAGCAACGTTGGTGTGTTTGACTGCCAGCAAATGAAACGGTCCCCTCCCTTCAGATTCCTGCCTCAGGCGGGAGAGCAGAACATTGAGGCGACAATACATCACGTGACTCCGACACAGGACAATGGGTTTATGCCTCAGGCAATATATCGGGTCGCCAAGACTGGCCTTATCGATAACGCCTGGGAATTTTTCGAGCGCCGCAACAGCTGCTTTACTCGCACCCAGCCACAATGCCGGAGAGGATAAAGACATACTTTGGCGACTCGGACGAAGAGCCGGCCAAGCAGGTCCCGAAGCCTGTCGCCGAGCCCGCTGTCACCGAGGACACGGGACGCAAGAGAAAGCGCAACAAGAAACGGAAGCGTGACGAGCCCGCAAACGAATCTCAGCAGCGCGACAGCGAGCCAATTCAAGTCGATGAGCCCGTCAAGGCTCCCCCGGCCGTAATCGAAGCCCCTACCTCCGCGCTAGAATCTGCAGAGAACGATGCGCCTCAATCACCACAGAGCGAGACCGCCCCGAAGGCCGAACAGAAGTTTAACCAGGTCAACAATAAGCCTAAGCCCGTAACCGACAACAAACCCAAGCCTAATTTCACTTCTCTCCGGAAAAAGGCCAATACGTTGTACGAGCAGCGGAAAAATTTGCCCATCTTTGGTCATTCGGACGAAATCCGCAAGAAGCTCCGGGAACAAGACGTCATGCTCCTCGTTGGTGAAACGGGTAGCGGAAAGAGTACGCAGATTCCGCAATTCCTTGTTAATGAGTTCTGGTGTCGTCCAACGGATACGAAGATCACCAAGCCGGATGGTACAGAAAAGCCCATTAAGGTCGGTGGATGCATCGCTATCACGCAGCCTCGTCGTGTGGCGGCGATCTCGCTGGCTCGTCGTGTGGCGGAGGAGATGGGCACACCACTAGGCTCTTCCTCGCCTGCGAGTAAAGTTGGATACTCGGTGCGATTCGACACGTCTACGTCACCCAGTACTCGAATTAAGTTCTTGACTGAGGGAATGCTGCTGCAGGAGATGCTACACGATCCGTGGTTGACTAAGTACAGCGCGGTCGTGGTTGATGAGGTTCACGAACGGGGCGTGAATGTCGATTTGGTGACTGGATTCCTGCGGAATTTGGTGTCTGGTCAGGATAAGGGCCGAGGCGGTGTCCCGCTTAAAGTAGTCGTCATGAGTGCTACGGCGGATATGGAGAGTCTCCAGGGGTTCTTCCAGGAGGGATTCAAGCTGGAAGCAGAGGAGAAGAAGCTTATCCAGAATGGATCATATAAAGCAGATGACCAAAATGAGAAGAAGAGAAAGGATATCACGGTCTGCCGTATAAAGGGTCGCCAGTTCCCTGTCAAGACGATCTATGCCCCAGAGCCTGTGCATGATTTTGTGGATGCCGCGCTCAAGGTCATTTTTCAAATCCACTGCAAGGAGCCAATGCCTGGCGACATTCTGGTGTTCTTGACTGGACAAGAGACTGTGGAAGCCCTGGAACATCTCGTCAACGAGTATGCTATTGGAATGGACCCGGCATTGCCGAAGATTCAAGTTCTCCCACTCTTTGCCGCTCTCCCTCAAGCTGCCCAACAGCGAGTCTTCATGCCTGCACCGCCTCGCACCCGAAAGATTGTTCTTTCGACTAATATTGCAGAGACATCCGTGACTGTCTCGGGCGTGCGGTATGTGGTGGACTGCGGAAAGGCCAAGATCAAGCAGTTCCGTTCGCGACTTGGTCTGGATTCGTTGTTGGTCAAGCCCATCTCCAAGTCGGCCGCTATTCAGCGGAAGGGTCGTGCTGGTCGTGAAGCCCCTGGACAGTGCTTCCGTTTATATACTGAGAAGGACTATCTCACCCTCGACGAGACCAACACCCCCGAGATCCTGCGATGCGATCTGAGCCAGGCCCTGCTCAACATGAAAGCGCGAGGCGTCGACGATATCGTCCGCTTTCCCTTCCTCACTCGACCTCCCCGTGAGGCACTCGAGAAGGCGCTCCTCCAGCTATTGAATATCGAGGCTCTCGAGGAGACGGGCAAGATTAGTGAAATCGGTCAGCACATCGCCAAGCTACCACTTACGCCCACTCTCGGACGCGTGCTTTTGGCGGCGGCAGAGAACGGCGCCGACTGCCTGACAGACGTCATCGATATCATCTCGTGCCTCAGTGTGGAGAATATCTTCCTGAACGTCAACTCGGAAGAAAAGAAGGAGGCCGCTGAGACGGCCCGACGCGACCTGTACCGGCGCGAGGGTGATCATCTGACGATGCTTGCGACAGTGCGTGCCTACGCTGCCGAGCACGCCGACCGCAAGGCGTGGGCTGAGCGACATCTGGTCTCGCACCGCGCGATGCAGTCCGTCATGGTATGTTCAAACTGCTGTTGATGGCCCTATCTTGATTTCGGCCACCCGATCTAACCCGCTGTTTTGTTTTAGGATGTTCGCAAACAGCTTCGCATGCAGTGCCGCCAGGCCAAGCTACTCCCTAAAGACCAGAGGGACGACCACTATCCTGATCCCTCCCCAGTTCTCATATTACAGAGTTTCCTCCGTGGCTTTGCCACCAACACCGCTCGCCTGGTGCCGGACGGTAGCTATCGTACGGTGGTTGGGAACCAGACCGTTGCGATCCACCCCTCGAGCGTGTTGTTCGGAAAGAAGGTTGAGGCGATCATGTACAACGAGTTTGTCTTTACGAACCGCAGTTACGCCCGTGGGGTCAGCGCGGTGCAGATGGATTGGGTGGGCGAAGCCCTTGCCGGGTAGTGGCCCGACCACGTTGATTGGAATCTTGTATATACCCTGTTCGAGCGAGCATATTATATCACATTTGCATGGCACCCCACTACGCTTCCCTATGTACCTTCTTTTGTACATACCTACGGTACATGTCGCCTGTTCCTGACGCGATCTGAGCCATTTCATCGACCTGACACCACCTGTGCCTTCCGGCTGAAACGATCGACGCACTGTGTCGATCCCTGTTGCCACTTTAACCCACGTCAGACATGGCTAACCCGACTCGGTAGCGCCTTGATGCGGGCAGAGCGAGGCAGTCACACGCGAGCAGTCACATTTGTTGGTCCATCGCTCGTTTTATCGGGCTGACATCGTTCTAACATCTTGACACTTGCCCTGTCCAGGGGTTGTAGTATTTTTCCACCTCTCACCACTGTGTTTTGTTCAAAATCCCAACGTTTGATGAGGGAAGGTAGTGAGGTGGTCCGATACCGCTACTTGCTGCTCCGCTTGCATCATCCGCTTGGCTCCACTTGACCGCCTGGTTATCTCCCGCTATCAACGCATCATCGTTCCTGCCCCAGCGTCTTTGTTTCTCGTGGTTTTCCCAACTTCTCTTGACGTCTCTTGTTGGAACTCCCTCTTTCGACTGAATACTTGCCATCTGACCGCCCTCGTCTGGCGGTCCTTCGTAGCGGGGAAGCCCCACGACACTCTCGAATCTGGTTGATCAACGACTCGATCACCATGGCATTCCGCGTTCCTACGCAGGCGCAACGCCGTCGAACCTCCTACTCGACTCCCCAACGTCCACCGCCTCTCGATATACCACCGTTCCCAACCGAACAGCAAGAAGAAGACACGGCACAATGGATCCTGTTCTCCCCGACCGCTCGCACGCACACGACCTCGACGGACAGGACACGCACCGCCGGAGCCTCGCGTCTGAGTGACTTTGACTCTCTGGGAACGGCCACTCGATCAATAGTTGGCCCTGAGCTCGATGCTGAGGGAGAAGATGCGCTGGACGACCAGCTCGACGAGGACGGGACCGAGCTGGATAGCTTGGATGATGGGCTGCATGCATTTCGCGCCCCATCACTGCTGCCCACTTCCCCGCACGGGTGGATCAAGGGCAACTGGCTATACTTCCCGCCCATGATGGGCTAGGGAGCTTCCATGCCTCGAGCCAGTTGGCTCAGGATCAGCTGTGGCAGCATGAGCAGTATAATCCCCAGCGAAGGCAATCTTACTCTCGTCATCGCCGTCACTCTAGTGTCCAGCGACATCTGGAAACGGTGGATGAAAGTGAGGCCAATGTGGAGCGGGAGAGATGGCAGCGGATCGAACAGTGGAGGTTGGATCAGAGCCGGGCTCTGTTGCAGGAGATTGAGCGGGAGACTCGTCGGCGCCCTGGTAGCCGTGCTAGTGCTAGTCAATTTAGCATTCCGCGCTCCGTGGAGGATGTCTCGCCTGCACGTATCGTCGAGGCGCATTCGGAGATTGTCTCTGCGCCTAAGGATGAGGAGGAGATGGAGGTAACGGACGAGTCGTTCTGGCGTCGCATCACCCGCAGAGTCATCCGGGACCTTATTGGTATCGACGATGAACTGCTGAGCGTCATCTTTGGCGAGTCTCTGCCGGAGGAATGTCAGGTATCTTCCAGGCCTGGGGAAGAGCTGAATATGGAAACCGTCTTGGCTCGGGAACCCGGACCAGAATATGCAGAGTCCCCTCTCTGGCAGAGCCATGTTCTGCAACGCATTGCCCGCGAATTGGGCACCTTAGTCCACCAGCTCTGCGAGCATCCCGGGGCATTCACCAGCTATTATCAAATGACCAAGAGCATCTCGAGCGAGTATGCAGGCATGTCGCTCGGACGCCTAGCAGAGAGTAGCAACTCGCAAAGGCTCACTGAGCCAACCGCACAAACATCCGATACGGCAGCCGATTCAATACCATCACCGCAATTCATGCCCACGCTGCGGGACCCCAACCGCGAGCACGAAGCACAATGGGGCATCGAAGATGACGATCCCGCCGACCCTGTCTCGGAATCAGCTCGAATTCAACAAGAGCAAGAATACTGGGAACGCGGTCTGGATGTCATGATGGTCTTCCGCTACCTGCGCACCCGCTTCAGCCGGCGCGGATATATGCCCACCGAGAAACACACACCCAACCCGCCCCCTCGCCATACGCAAGATCCCTCCCGTCGCGCTGCGATCATCCGTCAGCACCATCCCCTGGTGGCGCGTGCCCACACCCGCTCCCAAACACAGAACCGCAGAGCATCAAATTATTTCGGTGTCTCCGGCCCTGTAGGCGTGTCATCACCCCTTCTACGTCCGCATCTCCGAAGGCCCAGTTCTAGCTGTGCTAGTCAAAGTGCCAAGTTGTCGGCTATCTCAAGTCGACGTACTCTGACGGGCTCTAGTCGGAATTACTGGGATATCGGCGGGAGTGTGGATAGCAGTAGTGCGATTGGGGTCGGTGCTGGACTTGGTACATGGGGTGAGGCGTGATCTTAATCTTTGGTTTTTCATATATGTCGGATTTTTGGTGTTTTGGATACGCATTTGCATGACCTTAAGTAACGACATTTTGACACTGATGATGGCAACGGCCGTGTTTATTACTCTTTGATCTTTGGAAGATCTTGCTTATACGTGGTTTGGTGTTGTCTGGTTTGGCTATTTTGGCATTGGTACCTTCGTCTCTGATTATCTCCATTTTATATCATACGCCGTTATCTATGGGCTCGTCTCTACTTCATACAACCATATTAACCATGGATACACACATTGTATTGCATACACGAATTTACATTGGAGATATACACTGACTTTTTCATATACATTTAAGAATCTCGCAGGACTTTATCATACAAAACGCAGGATCCATTTCCCCACGATTACTTTTCCACCTCTGGCCCCCAAGCAAGCTTCGAATCAAACTTAGGCAACCCCTTACTCTGCGGCGCATTCTCATCAAAATCAAACCGATCCGGCACCTCAAGCCCCGCCTCAAGATGATGCTTAACCAAAAGCATCGATACCCCATCCCGATACAACCAAGGGTCCTCCGTCCGGCGCTGCCACTCCTCAACAGCCGCCCGCATCTCATCCAACACCTGCTTATACTCCGGCTCCTTAGCAAGATTCCGCACCTCATGCGGATCAACCTGGATATCATAAAGTTCCTCAGCGGGACGGAAGAAATAATCCTTCAAGGGCCGCGACCCAATCATCTTCGACTCCGAGTTCCGGATATCCTCCCAGGTGAACGAGCCGTAAATATCAGCCGCGAAGGGGAAATCCAGACGCCAGGCGATGTTGCGGTGGTATTTGAATTGGCGGTTGCGCATGAAGCGGGTTGGCCAGTAGTTCGTGATTTCATGGAAGGTATGAGAGCCGAATACGCGACTCCAGTCTTCGAGGTGTGTCTTCTCCGCGAGGATGGGCAAGATGGAGCGCCCGATTCGGGATGGGTGCGTTGGTGTTGGGTAGGCGGCCCAGTCCAGTAGCGTCGGGAGAATATCAATGTAGGAAACCATGTTTGGATTTGCGATGCCGGATGGGGAATCGGGGCATTTTATTAGGAGTGGTAGACACACGCCGGCGTCGTAGAGTGTTGTCTTAGAGTTGATGAACGGTGGCCCGTTATCACTCATGAAGATGACAAGGGTATCATCGCTCAATCCGCTCTTCTTCAATCCCTCAAGGACCATCCCCACGCCCTGATCAAGTCGCGAAATGGACTGGTAGTACTCAGAGAACTCGAATCGCACACCAGGGAGATCATTTATGAATGGCTCAACGGCCACATCCTCTGGTTTGTACTCAGTCTTCTTCAAGCGCGGGTCATAGCTCTCAACATTCCCAAATCCAGAGCGCGTAAGGTCCCGATGCGGATCGATATACCCTATCGTCAAGAAAAAAGGCATCTCATCCTCCTTGCTCGACTCAAAGAACGCAGAAGCCTGATCCGCCACCGCCGCAACGTCCCGACTATCGCTCTCAGCGCGTAGGTCCCACGGGTACGCGGATGAAGGCCCAACATGCACCTTCCCAATAAGTCCGGTCTTGTACCCGTGCTTCGAGAAGAGGGCCGGTGCCGTCTCGACGTGGTCGAAGGTGGTGAAGTGGTGACGGCCGTTGTGTAACCCGTATTGTCCGTTCTGGTGCGTGTGTAGGCCCGTGTAGATGACTGAGCGGCTTGCGCTGCAAGAGGCCGTGCTCGTGTATGCTTGCTCGAATTTTGTTCCTTCTGCTGCGAGTTGGTCCAGGTGAGGTGTTTGGATCTTGGTGTTGCCGTAGCAGCCTAGTTGTTTGCCCAGGTCGTCGGCGATCATGAGGAGGATGTTTCGTTTCGCCATTTTGGAGGAAATTGCAATGGGGAATGATGTTTTTGAGGCGATATGTCCGAGATGTCTTCTTCTTTTTGCTTTGGGATTGAGCTTGGGGTTCCGTGCGATATTTCTTATCTACATACTTTCGCGGCGGATGTCGGCTGTTTGGAGGGTGATATCCGGATGTCGGATCGGATGTCGGTTGGTCGAGGGACTTTGTGGAGTTTAAAAGAGTGGGCTTTTTGCTTGCGCCATATTACGAATAGATTTGTGATTTTGTTCGAGCGGCTTCGTATCAGATTAGTGGGTGGTGGCGTGCAGACCCTGAGTTGCTTGCTCGGATATCGGTGTGAAGGCCCTTGATGCAGAAGGTTCCGTAGGCAAGACAGTTGAGTGGATGTTACGGAAATGAAACTGACAGTAATTATTAAAGACAGATTGCAAGTTCATGGATCGATTACATTGAATTGAAAAATTGAGTAATAAGATAGAAGAGATTAAGATCACTATGCCGCGGAGGACTTCACGGGCTCGACGTGATTCACACCGATCTTACCAGCATCTAGGTCCTCCTTCGCCTGTTCGATATCAGCGACAAACCGACTGGCTGTGTGCCTAACCTTGAAAGCCCAGATGCTCTGGTTGTCAAAGATGTCGTCGATTTCCTCGAGGGACTTGCCGCAGGTTTCCTGGAACAGGAAAAAGACGTGTAGGGCAGCGACCATACAGAAGGTACCGAAAATACAGTAAAGCTGGAGATGGTCAGAGACGTCGACAAAATAACATACGATGGACTCACCTTCCACTGGATATTTTGAAAACCAGGCGGAGTGAAGAAGGTAAGTGCAAAGTTGCAGCCCCAGTTGAAGAAGGTTGAAAGTGAAACGGCCTTGCTACGGATGTATAAGGGAATGATCTCGGGAGGGTATGCCCTATATTGCGTCTCGTCAGTATAGGCTCCAGGATGGGTGATGGGTGTTTTTGTTTTGGGGGGGGGGGGCTTTATTAAACGTGAACTAACCATCCTAGAGGCCTAAGTAACAGAATAACAAAATAAGTGTTAGCATTTCTTTGCGTATCAATGTACTTAATATGATTGAGATTTACCCCCAAGTGGGTGCATATGATGCAATGAATAGATACGAGCAAGCGATGAGCGCTTTGGAGGCCTTGGGGTTGGTGACTTTCCAAGTAACCGTTGGTGATCCAGGTAGGCCACCTGGAACATAGTGTCCGTAGGAGGCCATGAGTCCAGCCTGGGTAAACTGGAAGACGCCCATGGCAAGAGCCCCAAAGATAAACAGTTGGCGTCGAGGAAGTTTGTCGATAAAGATGAGGGCGGGGAGAGTCATGACCACATTGATGACATATTGAATAGAGGCAGAGATGAGGGTGTTGTTGCCAGTAAGACCAGCCATCTGCGTTATATCGTTAGATCGAGGTTAATCAATATTGGGATGAGTCGATACTTACCTGGAAGATATATACGATATAATACATCAGTGCATTGGTGCCCGACATTTGAGACCAGATGTGGGTGAAAATGCCAATGTGAACACGAACGATGTTGCGTGAGTGGAAGAGCTCGAGCCACGACGTGCTCTGGTATTGCTTTTCGTCTCTGTAACATCAAGTCAGTAATTTGTCAGTTCATTGAAATAGGATCTACTCACTCAATCTTTTCGCGAATCTCATTTGTCTGTGCTATAACGATAGGGTCCAGTGTGTTGCCCTTGGCGTGGAGTCGGGAGAGAACCTCGACGGCCTCCTCCCATCTGTCATGCGCCGCCAGCCAGCGAGGGGAGCGCGGCATGAAGGGTAGACAGGTGAGGAGGGCAATGGCTGGGAGCATTTGGATACCCCACGGAAGACGGAAAACGCCGTTGTTGCCCATGAAGGATGCGCCGTAGCTAATGAAGTACATGATCATGATCTGTCACGAGTCAGTATTGAGGCTTTTACTAGGGTAAAAAATCAACACATACACCCCAAGTAATCATCCATTGCTGCAATGAAAGTAGCCGGCCACGTTGGTGAGGGAGACTGATTTCGGCGATAAGAATTGGCCTGGAAAATGTATCAGTCAGTGGCGAACGGGTGTCACAACTGGGAGGTATATCTTACCCTTGACTCGTAAGCATGCCGACAGAGAACCCGTTGATCACTCGAGAAACGATCAACATTGGGACGTTCTGTACAGCACACATCAAGGTCGATCCAATCAACCAAATGATGCATGCGATGAAGAGAGAATCGCGTCGGCCAAACCGATCGCTCGTCCAGGAAGACAGAAGCGAGCCCAGGAGGGAACCACCCGCCATGCTCGCTGTGATACCTCCCTGAAGAACCGCATCGGGCTTATTGAAGTAAATTTTGTATTCATCGGTGCCAATGATCGCAGACATACTCGACACGTCGAAGCCCTGGATCAGGCCCCCGATGGTCGTCAGTCCACTGATCAAGTAAACATTGCTGAAGCCTGCGAGTTTGCCCATGGCGAAAAGCAGCTTAAACCTAGGAGTTAGATCACAATAGGCTGTACGGGACAAGCAAAACAAGCTGTCGGTCCGGGGCCCCGGATTTTTATGTACTCCACCCGCTCGAGCTCAGTAGTCGCAGCGAATGGCGCAGGGCCTGCTCTCTAGCCGACATCCGATGGGGCCGGGAACCGAGCATGCAGGTCGTATTCTCACACGCCGTACGTCAATCTGTGCACGAATTGTGCCATCGAGAGTCATCCATCGGGCGCTCCATTTCGACGAGCCGAAAAGATATTGGAGGAAAGCGGGCGTACCCCGGCGACTGCGAGGCAATTCTGCCGCGGGCCACCGACCCTCGTGGCTGTAGCCGATTGCCGTGCGAGAGCCGCAACTCTTTCCTTTCTGCAGTGGACTTGCCAGCATGGAGTGGAGTGGAGACGCGAGCCCGCGCCTGCAGGGGAAAGCATCTGGACCGCGACGCTCTCGTTCAGGTTTGTCATTGGTCGAGCATGGAATGTCGGAGGCAGCTGCATCTAACCAATCGCCGCAGGATGTTCTCTTTGCCGCGCGAGAAAGGTCAAATGTGACGAGAGATGGCCGGTGTGTCTACACTGTGAGCGCCTGAAATTGGATTGTCCAGGACCACCGGGTCAAGGAGCCAATGCTCGCCCAAAAGCCCGCAAAGCGTCACTACGCGATGCTGCATTCACACAGGCCGGAACAGTCCGGCAGCGAGTTGCCAAATCTTGTATGCCCTGCCGATATGCAAAAGCGCGATGTACTGGCGGGGTGTCTTGTGATAGATGTTCGAGAAAAGGCATCGACTGCGTTTATAAGGCAGAAATAAATAGCGTGGGATCCGAGAGGCGAAAGTCAGTGGACACAGCTGAAACCAACGAACCGGTATCCATCACGAATGCCACTCAGTCTCTTGCGGGAAATCATAACCCGCCAGCGCCCACATCAATTGATGAAACCTCAAATAATCCATGGTCATGGTAGGTGTTCATTTGTGTCATAATACATTAACGATTCGCAAGCTAACGAGACAGGCTCTATACACCGGAGCTACCAGAAGGCGACCGTCTCTGCGCGTTGATCGAGGAATACTTCGCGCATATTCACCCTTTGAGATGCTTTGGCTTCGTTCATAAGCCATCGTTTATGCAGCGCCTAGATGAAGACGTGGGTTCGTTTCGCGACGAAGAGTCCCTACTTCATATCATCTGTGCTCTTGGCGCAAAGTATCTCATTCACTCGAAGCACTGCCTGCCTCAGTACTGACAATTGGTCAAAGATTTCTAGCTCTGAATTATTCAGGGCAACTACCCCCCGAATCGATCCTGTCCGCTGGGAATCAGTGGGCGAAAATCGCCAAGGCACGAATATTTATGGACTTGGATGATCTTTCGATTGAGAAACTAATGGTAAAGCTACCCCCCCTCGGACCATATTAATTCTCAAATGACAAACCAATCTGACCCTGTGGTGCTTGAAGACTGCAATTCTTCTCTACGATCATGACCTCCGGATCGGAAGCTATGCGAGTGCTTTCATGCTGAGCGGGATGACCGCGAGAATGTCACAGGCATTGCAACTGAATCTAGAAAGCTCCGCCGATGTACTTTGCTCAAAGCCAGACTCATCTCCAATTGTCAATGAAGCCCGACGTCGTCTGATGTGGAGCTGCTATGTCATGGATAGCTGGGTCGGCAGTGGCGTTAACCAGCTCACTTTGCTAGAAGACCGGGATGTTAAAATTCAGCTTCCCTGCCACAGCCACAACTTCATATTAGGGATCCCATGCATCACTGAAACCCTGGATGAAAGTAAGATTTTGAATTTCGTGTCAAGAGATATGGTCCCCACAGATCCCTCTCAAAATATGGGCATCGAATCCTATTTCATTCGGCTTGTCAGCAGTCGAAAGAAAGTCTTGCGGTAAGCTCTAGCAATGTTAATACCGAGCCCTGGCAATACCATCTGATCACATATTCAGATATGTCAAGCACCTCGATACTTCAGCGCCACCGTGGGAACACAACTCGGAATTTCTTCAGCTGTCGGCAGAATTCGATACATGGCGCCGCTCCCTTCCACAAAGCCTGATGTGGAGCCCAGGCGCTATTTACGCCCGTAAGGAATCAGCTCAGCTCGGGGCCTTGACATTACTATGGTGCACATTCCATCAAACACTGGTTGACCTGTATCGCATCGGCATGCCCACTCTGTTTCGCATACAGAAGGATATCCAGTTTCCGCCCGATCAGCAAGAATTCCTTGACCATTGCCGAAGGGCATGCTTTGACAATGCTCGCGAGGTGTCCAGCATTCTTTCAGAGGCACTGCGACATGGCACCAAGGTGCTTGCTGATACTTGGCTGTGTATCATTGCTCATGATAGCACCAAGGTCATGCTTTATTTTTTAAAGCTGAACGAGCATTCTACGCGCGGCTTGAGTAAACGAGAGGTCGAAGGAACAATATCCTTGGCGCAAAGGAATCTTGAAGGGCTCCTACAAATGAGACCTATGGTCGCAACTGCCGAACACTGTGTATGCCAACCTTTTCAGCACTATTTTCGCGACGTATCTTCTCGCTAACATTCTTTCTTAGTATTTCTCTGTAATCAAAATGATGATTGCCTCAGGAATCCAACCACAGATCCCGCACAATACAACAGCAACCTCGCACCCGCACGATGAAACGAACATGATGTAAGTTTCAACCCACTATCCAAACTAATCCCTTCTAAATTGTGATAAAAGTCCCCCAGCACCAGGATCCCCTATACAGGGATCACCAGAAAACGTCCTGAACCCACTCGCCATCTATCGCATGGCCCGAACAGCCCTTCACGAAAAGGACAACCAATGCTCCGCATCAAATTCCCCATCTACTCAAACAACCGCATCACCAACGACGGCACGTTCACGCCTAGGTCGTGCCAGAAACCGAAACCCATCAAACATGGGGACACCTCAAGCACTACTTCAAAGTCCAGATCCGACCTTCCACGGCATTCAAGGCCCCGGAAACTTTCAAAATATGGGGCAGTTGTACATTCCTCAAACAAGAGAGGACCCATCGTTAGCGATGGGTAATATGGGACCTATGGCAGCACCTGGTTTTGGGGGTACATGGGATCTCGCAGACCTAGCTGTGTTTGATATCCTGGATGGCGGAATCGCCGCGTGGACAGCGGAATACTTGACAGATGGACAAACTGGCGTGGACCCATTCCTGTTTCCCTTTTAAAGGTACTTTATATGATAGTGGAGAAGACGGGTTCCCGCAGGGCGCTGATATGGTGAAATTGTCTTGTCCATCTCTATATTTTTAGTACGAAGATCTTTGAAAGAAGAAGGAACTACCTGGTTCTTATTTAATTTCATTGTCACTTCGGGATCTACTATTCATTGAGTTTTGCTTTCAATTTTTGGTTTGATTCAAACCAGTCCATGTCGCCAGTTTACTTCTGTGCCTTTAACAGCTGAATATATGCACACTGATTTGTTAATTTCTTCTCGCGGAACGTACAGGTGAGTCTCGGTGAGGATATGTCAAGCCATGGTGATTTAAGTACCCACACCATTATGCATCTCCCTTCGCCTATTTCCTCTTCTGTCGTGTTTTGTTGTTGATGGCCTTGATCTTTGCCTGTGGCTCCTTCCATTTGCTAGCATGTCTTGTTCGCGCTCCTGCTCTTTCTCCTCCTCCTCCTCCTCCTCCTCCTCCTATGTATTCTCTGCGTCGATATACTCTTCTGACATACCCTCACACGGAAAATATGCTGCAGGAGAGGCAACCCGGCACGAACAAATTCCACTTAGCCCTGCTTCAGGAGGCCAGGATCGAGGAAGAGAATTGCTGGAAATCCACTAGTGGCGCATTCAAGGTGGGTCTTTCACCGGACAGATAGAACATATTGCTCCGAAATGATCGCGGCCGCGGCTGCCGACTGTTGGCAAGACGAACATCCAAGAAATGCTTTGTTGGGTTTCCTCTTGCGCTATTGGCATATTTGATATGGCCCTAGGGCCTATGTAGACTGAGGGCTCATCTGCATAACCAGAGACAAGGGGGCCTGGATCCTCGAGCGGACGGAGTAGCGAGGCGACACCGGTGGGACTCTGGCGGGCGTAGCAAAAGCCGAGCAGGAACAGGGGCCGCGCAGTTTGGCGAGATGTAGGCGAGCGGAATATTGACAGCGGACTTCGGGATGTCGCGGAGGCTGCAGCCACCGGTGGTAGCGACGGACTCTGCATTTCTTAGGTAGTAGGAGATAGTTAGTACTAGCAGTATTACAAATCCATAAAATACTGTGTCTACTAGCAATATTCACTAGTCATCACTAGTGACTAGTGCTGGTAGTGATGGATGCAATATTGCGTGAAATCGTTTCAAAGTTGGACTGGGCAGAAATCAACAGGAATCATCAGAAATAAGTAGAAGTGACGCCTCGCCATGTTTGATCGCGATACAGAACGTGTTTCTACGCACACCAAACACCAAACCCCCATATATCTCCGATCATGTCACTTCCAGTCAATGGCAGCAGGAGGTGAAGACGCTGGGTATAAGGAAGATATCAAAAACCTACAGCGACGAGAGGCAGTGGGAGAAATACAACGCCGATGATGAACGATATCGAAGGAACATGGCATGTTGAAAAACGGCATGCCAACTGGAGCAGATGTGGAAGCAGAAGCATGGGATGGTGCGGCAATACGGGGATGAGATGTGGTCGCATGGCACGGCGTGTGCTGGCATAAGCCGATTACATTCATTTTGAGAGTTCTATGACGGTTTTGTGAGATTTTCACCTGTTTTTTAACCGCGACATGCAGTATTTTCTTTGTATTTGTTACTGTTGGGCGTGGCGTTTGGACGAGTTCTTGTTTCCGACGGAGGAAGCACCTGCATAGCCATTACGTTCTAGTTGGGCTGCATCAGGTTAATAGAACTTTGAATTGAATTGAATTGAATTGTCATTTCCGCATTCTTCTTCAATTTCCACTAATCGCAAAACGAAATTTTCGCAATGTCTTCGGCAAGTCTCTATGCTGATGTACATCGGAATCATCAAGGAGCGGGAGACGCCCGACCAACCGCCCTCCAGATCATTAAAGATGAGGTCGTTGGATGCAAGCTCACCGGCAAGGTCATTGTCATCACAGGCGCTACCTCAAGCATCTTCTTCGAAACAGCCAGTGCCCTGTCAGCTATCAGAGCCACCCTTCTCCTCACAGCTCGCAACCTGGAAAAGGCCGAAAACAGCCGCCTGAACAGTTTAAACCTTTCTGGTAACTGAAACTGTTCTACGGTGTTGTCTCGGAGGTTCAGGCTGTCTTCGTGCTCTCCCAGAAGCTGTTCCGCCTCTTCGAAATGAGAATATACGAGACGTAAGTCAATGATGTCGCAAAAGTGATCCTTTATCATTTTCTCCACTTGGATTCTGAAGTAATTGACCGAACCTGACTTGGGGCCTTGGTCCACAGGGCCCTTTTTCCGATATGAACGTAATTGTGTTTGTGTGTGGGCTCTATATACTTGTACAGTTTCTGCAAAAACATAAGGGTCCATCCTGATCTTCAAAAGCCTCTCTTGCTTCAAACTTAAATTTACCAGTATGAGTTCAGGAACGAATCAATTTGCATTCCAGTGGGTGCAATATATGGTTCTTGAGTAGTCATTGTGAGTAGTGGATGTTCTTCAGGCTGATTCGGAGGTGTTTTCTTTGATGTTTCCTTTTTTCTCTGCATTCTCTTTTCGATCATGGCTTGGAACGACCCTTCGTTCATAATTCTCTCGCAACATTTCTGTAAGAACAGGTAGATCCCTGATTGCAGTTCCAGTACCGTAAACCCCTCCCTCGCCTCCAACTCAACTCCAATACCGGGTGGTATTTCCTCTCCAGTTTGCCGCCTCTGTCGGCCCTGTTCGGAAAAAAAGCTGTCAATGATAATTACAGCTTTAATCGCCTCTCCGAATTGGTCGTGCGGTCTTGCGGAACAAAGAATAATGGAAACGCCCAAGCCAAACTTCTATCTGATGAGCAACATCTATGTTTCTTTCATCCTCTTTGTGAACACTTTAGTGGAAACCTCAAAGCGACTCAGTACCTGAGGGATTCCGATATATTCGTCTCGACAGAGAGTTTGCTCGGCATCTAATCGGCCCCGGCTTGTTGCGTTGTTTTGGATTAGACCATGTCCAAATATTTTCCATTTCTGAATCTGAAGCCATTGGTTCACGCCTCATCTATTGTGACATGCTTACAGCATTATGGATCGTGTAATGGTAGTAACTGCACCTGGCCTATGAATTTTCTTTAATTTTTACCGGATGTTACGATTATCCTGGCTGTTGGAGGAGAAGGAAGAATGTCATATCTTTGTAGGAGGGAGAAAGAGAACCACCTGCATGCCAATAGTTCTTCTGATCTCTTTAGGAAAGCATTGCCGGCACGTGCCTCGCAGGTGCGGAGAAACACGTGACAGATATAAGCATAAACCCCTCTGTGAGATAGTGCCATTACCCACTTTGATCTCTCCGAGGCAGGGTACCCTTTGGGAAGGTACCTGAGGGTACGGTACCTCTTGTTAAGGAGGTTTCGCCGACACCTTCCAGTGCGATAAACTGTCCTATTATCTGCAAACTTCGCGCCAGCAAGAGCATGGCGTTACCAGTCAGGCTGCGGTCTATAAAGTCCGCAAGTTTCGAGACAAAGGGAGACCAAGACAACACGTTCATCAACAAACAATCATGGGGTCCGTTCAAGTCGAAAACTATGATGTGCTCATTATCGGAGCCGGTCTATCCGGAGTTTGCAGCCTCTACCACCTACGAAAGCGTTTCCCTACGTGGCGCATCCGCGTACTGGAAGCCGCCGAGAGCGTGGGCGGAACCTGGTTTTGGAATCGCTATCCTGGTGCCCGAGTTGACTCTGAGTCTCTTTCATACGCATTCTCTTTCGACAAAGAGCTGAGGAATGAATGGCACTGGAAGGAGTCATTTGCCCCTCAGTCGGAGATCCTCCGATACATCGAACGGATCGCGGACAAACACGACCTGTCAAAGAACATCCAGTTCCAAACTCGCATCAAGTCTGCTCACTGGCAGGATACCAGTCGGACATGGTTGTTTACGGATGATACTGGAAAGTCATACCAGGCCCGGTTCTTTGTTAGCTGCATGGGGTTCTTGTCGTCCCCCACGCTGCCCGTCATTCCCGGCATCGAAGATTTCCAAGGCGAAGCATTCCATACCTCTCGCTGGCCCAAGAATTTTGATCTCAAGCACAGCTTCGCCAACAAGCGCGTTGGTGTTATCGGTACCGGTGCGACCGGAATCCAAACCATCACGGCCGTGTCCAAGGATCCGAACGTTCAATCAATTACCGTTTTCCAACGAACCGCAAACTGGTCCGCGCCCTTGCGCAATGAGGAAATCAGCCTCGAGCAAATGAAAACCCACTGGGAGAACTACGACGACATCTTTCAACTCTGCGCCGAAACACCTGGTTGCTTCATGCACCAAGCCGACCCTCGGAAGTCCTTGGAAGTTTCCGAGGAAGAGCGCTACACACTGTGGGAGGAGATCTATGCAAAACCAGGATTCGCAAAATGGCTCGGAGCTTTCAGCGACACATACACCAACCGTGAGGCGAACAAGCTCTACTCCGACTTTATCGCAAACAAGATTCGACAACGCGTGCACGATCCCAAGGTCGCTGAGAGCCTGATCCCGAAGAACCATGGCTTTGGCACCAGACGAGTGCCGCTTGAAAGCGGATATTTCGAAGTGTATAACAAACCCAACGTGAATTTGGTTGATTTGCAACAAACACCGATCGAGCGAATTACGGGAAAGGGTATCAAGACATCTGACGGCAAGCACCATGACCTTGATGTGCTGATTTATGCCACTGGCTTCGATGCCATTACCGGTGCTTTCAGTGCTATTGAGTGGCATGCCAAGGATGGTCGACCCCTTGTCGGTAGCAGTGATACTGAGCAAGGCGAGCAAGCCGTCTGGGTCGATCATCGTCCCCGAACTTATCTTGGATTGACGGCTCGCTCGATGCCCAACATGTTCATGGTTCTCGGACCTCACCAGCCCTTCGGCAACGCGCCCCGGACAATTGAGCATGCTGTTGCAGTGGTCTCTGATCTACTTCAATACTGCAAGGATAACAACTACACTTACGTCGAGCCGACCGAGAGGGCTGTGGAGGAATGGACGGAACACGTAGTAGAATGCAGCAAGGGATCACTGTCGAACGAAATTGACAGCTGGATGACTGGCGTCAACAAGAACATCAAGGGAAAGACTGTTCGTAGTGTTGCCAGATACTCTGGTCATGCTGTTGAGTACCGCCGACGATGTGCCGAGTGCAAGGAGAATGGTTGGAAAGGATTCTGCTTCAAGACTGATCAGCCAGATCCCCTCGCAAGGATCTAAATACTCTGTGCTTCCCTTCTTGCCTTGAGCGACATTCGCATGCAGTTTCTGTTGTTTAGCTTCATCGCATTCATCTAGATAGTCCTTTCGACTATAATATCATGCCCAAAGATCATTATAATCGTTCCATTGAAGCCAAAACACCTCTTCAGTCGGAGTCTAGACTAGCCAACAAGCTGGCCGAGGGCGCAAAGAAGGTCGTCCCAGTCAATGGTTTAGAGAAATCCAGAATCCGATCATGCAATCCAGGCGGATCTCCAACAAACATTCGCTCCAGCATCTTCTCGATCACCCACAAGTGTCGCGTATATCCAATAAAGTATGTCCCGAACTCCGCAGACCCAGGCGATCCAAACGGCATATTATCGCGCAAAATATCACGCTCATTCCCATCTTCGTCCTCAATCGTGTTCAACGTCTTATGAGAGCGCTGCCCAGACTCAGCATCATCCAACTCGATGTTATCGATCTTCGTCCGCCCAATTATCTTCTCCTGCTGCTCAGTAGACAGGACTTTCCAGCCTGGTAGGTCGTGGGTGTATTTCTGCACAACAATATAGCTTCCCCCTGCGCAGACTGATCTTCTTCTGCGACGAGAACAGAGGCTGGAACGGAAGGTCCGACGGGGTTGGCCGTGCCGTCGACGAAACCGAGGAGATCGCGCACGTCGAAGTATCGGAATCCAACTGTCTCGTCTACCACCGAAACCGCATCGCCGAGCTGGTCCATTAATTGCCGCTCGAACTCGAAGCAGAGGTCTCGGCGCTCGGATCGGATGTGGAAGAGCAGGTCGCCGGGTGTAGAGATTGCGGTATGCTTTGCGCCCTTCACCTCGCGGAATGGGTGCAGCTCAGCTGGACGAGGTAATTTTGTCAGCTCGTCCCATATGTCATGGCCGATGCCGACGGTGCAGGCGAATTGAGCGCTTAGATCGCGTATTGAGACGTTTTTGGCTAGGCTTTCTAGACCGGCGAGTGTTGAGCGGATGGTGCTGATTGAGTCGGGCTTTTTGGTCGCGGTGACGACGAGGAAGGTTGCTGATTGAGTCAGGGGCGCATCGACGCGCTGGGGTGCAATTGGTACACGCTGGCTGCTCATTTTTGCTTTGCTTGGCTTTTGTGGCGCGGCGGGTGACAGGTTCTGGGGTGTGGAAGAGAGTCTTTGTTGGCTTGTTCGGGATGATGCTGGTCGTTGGAGGGCCTTCAGTAGGTTTGAAGCTGGGCTTCTACCAGTATTGCTCATTTGACGTTGCAAGCTTGGCAGTGGTCGAAGTATGATGTTGTAACAGCTCGATATATTCGTTCTAGCTCTGCTCATGGCTGTCGCGACGAAATGATGAACCAAGTGACCGCACCGCGCCTTAAGAAGTCGTTGGGATGCCAGGCGGAAGACAGACTATTTAAGTACAGGTCATTCATTATTGGCCAGCATTTTGAGATATCCAGGGCTATTCTTCGGGAAGTGGAATGCAGAAGTCTATGATGCCGACTATTGGCGGGTGATGAGGTCACACATCCGGAAGCGGAGCGACCAGCTACAACTACACTGAGTACCTTAAGGCACTACTACTATATTTAACATCGGATCACCTGCTGGGACCCTAGATTTAATTCTACATCAAACCTACATACAAGTCTCGATATCGAGGTTGTTTTTTCAAACACTCTGTCTCGATTCTTGCTCGTAAAGGTCAAACGGTAACAGTATATTCGACTGCGCTAGGTTATCGACATCTAAATAAAAGGTCAACATAAACAGAAAGCACCTTTCATCGTTGGGTATAACCTCCATCAACCATCAAAGATGTCCCAGTAACAAAGGAACTGCGTCCACCACACAAGTAAATCACCCCATCGGCAATCTCCTCCGGACGACCCATCCTAACCATCGGCACGGCCGAGGCAACCCCTTTCTTTCATAGCCTGGAGGATCTGCGGCGACTTCGTCGTCAAAGGCGTCTCGGTATACCCCGGACAGATCGCATTAATCCTCAACCCATCTTTCGCATAGTCCTCCGAAGCAGTCTTTGTCAACCCAATAACAGCATGCTTGGTCACCGTATAAGCGGTCGACAAAGGAATCCCAACAACACCCTGGATAGACGAGAAATTGACAATCGACCCCCTTTGAAGTGGTCTCCCGTCAATGCTCGACCGAATCGGTTCCTGCTGCAACATAATCTTCGCCGCGGCGCGCAGCACAAAGAATGTTCCGTTCAGGTTGATGTTGAGGATGTGATCCCAGTCGGAGGTTTCGACAAAGGCCGTGCCGCCAGGGTGCTTCATTGCGATTCCGGCTGCGTTGACGACGTAGTCGAGGCGGCCAAATGTTCGAGCGACTATTGACACTACTTCGTTGACGCGGGCTTCGTCGCCGACGTTTGTGGGGTAGACTTCGATTCGGGCTGGGTCGGTGTGGCCGAGTGTGCGTTGTCGGACTTGAATTTCTGACTTGACTTTTTCCAGGTCTTGTTGGTTTAGGTCAAGGAGGGCGAGGCCCGAGACGCCGTCTCTGATTAGGCCCAGGGCGCAGGCGCGTCCGATGCCAGAGGCGCCGCCTGTGACCAATGCAATGCCAGGTACGTCCATCTCTTCGATGGGTTATGCAGTAGGTTGACTTTTTTTCGAGGAATTAGAGCACGAAATAAGTGAAAACTATCTTCTCTTCATGAATTGGGGGCGCTGGCTGAAAATAAGTAAGTGAGGGGAGCTCCGCCTCTTGGACATATACTTCTGTTTGTACTCCAAAGTGGGTCTGTCGCGGAAGCCTTCCTCAAGCGCTGGGGTACCCTCAGGTAGCGCAGATCCCCGCCCTGCACCTTATCATGCTGGATCGTAGATCACCGGTTGGCTCAGGTTGCAGGTGACACGCTGCAAGCTGCGAGTGGCTACACGACTGCGGGGAGGGCGGCTAGAACGGTAATTCTATTTCTAATTGCTATAATGGTAAGTCATAGGTGAGGAGAAATACTCCATTAAGGTGGAAGTAGAGTAGAGAAATTCATTCACATTTAACACATATGTAAGTGAAGATTGAATAAAAGCGCTACTATAATGCTAGTTCCGTAGTGAAAAAAAAAATAATAAGTTAATGACTTGGCAATATCATACTCCATGCTGTAAAGAAGCCGTCCGCTTCATCAAATCCACCCAAGTAACACTACTCCCATTTCCATCCCTCTTCTCCTGCCAAATCTTCTCAATAGAAGCCAGTGTTTGTCCAAAACAAGACAGTCCACTCCGCTGAGACGACATCTCAAACCAAGTCGAAAACGACTCCTGCACCTTCGGATCCTCGGCCTCGCAAGCCGCAATAAAAGCAGGCCAGATAAAACCGGCTGAACCATGAACAACACTCGAGTCGGCATATTCACACTGAAGCAGACAGTCTCGAACTCCCGTCACCTTCTCTTGTAGCATCGACGCGTCGATGTCGTAGATCCGCCGGTAGAAGTAGATAGCCAGAGCCTGGCGCATGGCCTCGAGCATATTCTCCAAGATATGTTGGTCAACCGAGGATTGATGGGTTCCAAGTCCAAATGAAGCCTGGCTTGGTCGTTCCAGCCGATTGATGTACTCTTCCAAACTCTTTGCGCGGCTGATAAAATCTTTCAGGTTGAGACCGTTCGGGGTGCGTTGTTGCTCTGAGGCATCCTTCTCGGTGCCGAGTCGGATAATCAATGACAAGAGAATCATCCATGTCTCGGGAATCCCAAAGATCTCCGGATAAAGGGTTGCCGAGAAGAGACCCGGTCGCTCCAGATGAAGATCATTCTCTCCTTCTTCCCGATCCCGAACACGCAGCATCTCTTGGTGGAGATTCTTCCACTTGTATAGACGGAAAGATAGCCCATCAACACTAGCCGGGGCAAGACCACTAGATTCAATAGCGCGACGCACATTACGGCGCTGATTCGAGTTTTCGCCGCAAATGAAGATACTCTCGTGAAACATGCGTTCGAAAACATAGCAATGATGCAGCAGTCGAACCTTGCGTGATTTCCTGCGCTTCAATCCTTTCATGCGGATGAATTTCTCTGCTTCCAGGAAGTACCCTTCTGCCTCATTGCGATTGCCGCAGAAGTTGGATAATTGGACCATGGTCAGTATGGCCATCAATGTCGACTTGTATTTGGCTAATTTGGGGATATTGTAGGCGGTCATGAGCATCAGTCTGGTATGGTCTTGAGCTTGGCGGAGATAGAGTCGGCCCTGATCTAGCCAAAATTGGGATCGGGAGACGCCACCCAGGCTGAATGCACTGATTGCTAGTGTGCCATAAAATGCGCATAGGCTGGCATGGTTCAATTCTTCACCCATTGCGAGGGCGGCGAGACAGTCCTTGGCATGGGGAATGAATAAGACGTGCCATGGAGTCTTCTTGTGTCTCACGGGAGTCATTAGACTTATCACAGTGGAGGAGTAGTGTTTTAGCAGAAATACTGCGTCTTGTGGTAGAGCTCTACTTCCTCCCGGAGCAGGGGTGATGGAAGTAGTAGTGATGGAAGGGTTGCAAAGGGTCTCTGGTATTGTTGAGGTTAGTTGGTAGGGTTGCGGTGTGATTGAAGTATCCTCCAATGGAGCTTGATCCATTATCAGGTCTAAAAGGTCGGGTGAAGTAGAGCTGAGATCGTGGTCTGGCTGTTCAAGAAGGGATTCCATAAATCCTGGAGACCATTGGGACATTCCTGGGGCCACCGAGAACGAATCTATCATGTGAGTGACATCCTGTGGAGGGCCGCTGTTTGTTGTATCCTCGGACTCGTCGGCTATAGGATGCTGGTCAAGAGGCGGCGGAGTGGCAATCTGCGCATTTCGAGAAGGCTGCACCCTGAACACGCCGAACGGCCCATGTGAAACCTCAACATTCTCTAATGGAGACGCAGATTCGCTCTGCTCGTCTATTTGCAGTAATAGTCGATGTGTTGACTTGGGCGGCGCCGATGTGATCAGCCACTGGCTCATGCGCTTCCGTTCTTCCTCCGTCAACAATGGCCGGCGAAATCGGATCCTGCTGGCGGGGTTCTTCGATTCGAAGAAGATATCCTTCTTATACCCAGCGCATTCCAGGCCGAAGTATGCGCACATCAAGCATGTCGGCCGCCCTTCGTCGCATTTTACATGGCGAGTTCGACACTGGAAGGTCAGTGTGATTTCCCCGGCAGCGGGAGGAGGCAGCATACCGTTGCGCATCCTGTAAATGAACGGCCGTGGGGATTCCCCTCTGTACGACCAAGAATGCTCGTCATGGTCGAGCGGTCAGGACGTGTCGAGAAGCAATGCCCCAGCCCAGGCCTGTCGCAACATCATCGGCAGAGCAACAGATTGCGGGGAAAATCTAGGTGCAAGTTGGGTGGAGGCCAAGTGGGACGATAGCGCGGACACTTGCCATTTCTACATTAGGAGTACCCAGCGGCAACACCTGCCCGATCCGCTTCAACTGCGCCTGCCCTCTACATCAACCTGCACAGGCACATGAAGATGAAATGGCAAAGCAGGTATCACCCCGCAAGTCGGCGAGGTTTTTCAGAGACGAAAGCCTTTATCCTGGATTTTACGAAGTGCAACAATAAATCCCAGCGACATCGGAAATGGCTTCATTCGACGGCAAAGTGGTGAGTACTATCTACATCTAACGCAGCTTCATAGTCACTGATATTCCCCATAGATCGCAATCACTGGCGCGGGCTCTGGCATGGGCCTTGCCACGGCAAAGCTCCTCGCCTGCCGCGGCGCGATTGTGTCACTCGCAGATATCAACGAAAACGGCCTGAAAGCTGCGTTCGAGTCGCTCACGGGGAGTGACAAGCACATTTACACCGTCGTCGACGTGCGTCACAGCTCATCAGTGGATGCATGGATTCAGTCCACAGTCCAGAAATTGGGCAGATTGGACGGTGCCGTGAACATGGCTGGTATTATCACACCGGCTACACCGATTACAGAAGTCAGCGATCAAACCTGGGACTTCAATTTCGCAGTTAACACGCGCGGAGTCTTCTTCTGTTTGCGTGCGCAGCTGCGGGCTATGACTGCTGGTGGCAGCATCGTAAGCGTTTATTGAAGAGTGTGATCTGTTCGCATACTAACTTTTGAAAGGTCTCCGCAGCAAGCGTCTTCGGTCAGTTTGGATCTCCCGGTGTCTCTCCGTATTGCGCAAGCAAGGCCGCTGTAATTGGGCTCTCAAGAACGGCGGCAAAGGAAAATAAACACGTTCGAGTCAATTGTGTCTCGCCAGGTGAGAGATCAATTCGAATCAACTTGAAGATGTTGTGCTAATCTATATTTCTAGGCTCGGTCAACACTCCCATGTCACAGGGAGAAGACCCGGAGGACGTGAAGCGCGGTCTGGCAGTCACAGCACAGAAGCGACGCGCAGAGCCGATCGAAGTGGCCAACGTCATTGCATTCTTGCTGAGCGACGATGCGTCCTTTGTGACAGGCGCAGTTTACAATGTGGACGGCGGATGGGTTTGCTGAATATTTTCAATAGCAACAAATCAGCCATAACAGTATCCTGCATCAATTTACCTGCGTGGTTCTGAATTGCTCAATCCAAGGCCTGCACGACCCGAGCCCAGTCCCCAAAGCCATACGGCCCGGGGACATTCTCTCCGTCAAACAAGCTCGCCAACACAACCCGGTCGCTCTGTTCACCTTTCCATGGCTGTCTTCCATGCTGAGCAATGGTATTATCATAAACTAAAACATCCCCTTCTTGCCAGCGATGCAGCACTCGAATCTCATCGGTAATCTTAGCAAGATACGCCAGGTACTTCTCCGGGATGACCGTGCCATCGCCGTAAAGCTGCTGTGTGACATTCTTCCGAGCTTCGGCATCAAACTGAGTCCTCTTCCAGTATGCGGCCAGCCCCGTGAACAAAGTAGGTAGGTTCGTGCCGGGCTGCGCCCGAATAACCGGCAATCGATGTGTGAGCACGATTCCGTCCTCTGTCCACTCCCACGTCGTATACTTGCCCCGACCATATCGAGCAATCTGAGCCTCGATCTTCTGTCGCTTGGTATCCTCGTCGTCCCCATCAACAATTTCCTTGCCGAATGCTTGTCGCAGAGTGGAGCCGCCTTCGTATTGCTTTTCTAGTTTGTAGGTTACCCTGCTCAGGATTCCCTTCTCCGCGACCTCGGCGATAAAATTTGGAATTTCTTGCTGCGCTCGATTAAACAGCTCCAGGGAAGACGAAATAGGTGACTCGCCTCCCTCTTTAGGCGCGCGATGGCCGTAGAAGAAGATGTATTCCGGTGCGTGCGGGACTTGGGGGGATTCGTTGTGATTGTAGATGAGCACCTCCTTGGGAGCTTCGTTGGCGGGCGCCACATTTGGTGCGAGCAGCGGTCTGTCGACGACTATTCCAATAATCTCATGTGGCTTATATCCGAACGCATGGGCGAATTTACTAAAATCCTCGGCATTCTTGATCGGGAGGCCTCGGAAGAGCAGCGTGCCGTGGCGTGAGAGTCTTTTGGTGAAGATTCCATCTTTCTCTTGCACCTCCTTAACGGTTTGCACGACACTATCGAGACTTGGCCGTGGCTCTTCGTTCGTCAGACGCAACGCCAGCGGGATCACGGTATGTGACGGGTGAGGAGGTCCCAGCACACGCTGGTTGGAGGGAGGTAGCTCGAAGGGCTCGAACGACACAGTCGGAAAATCTGCACTGTTTGTTTTTTCGATATGGAGTTGCTTTGTGGTCGCGATCATGGTGGTCTTGCTGTATACAGAGGGATGGAGCAGGAGGCAAGTACTGGCGGTCGAGCCGAGGCCTTAAGTAGTCGTCCTGCAGCTCGGCCCAAATGAGGAGTTGCTTCTTTCCTCCTCATTCACGCCAAAATGACGAGGGATGATTGGCCGGCAATAGCCGACCACTCCGGTACGATATTCGACTGCGATGTCGCTTGTCGTACGAATTCGAGCCAAGGGAACATGGATTGTGTCATTTCCAGCTGCTCGTACGTGCTTGCGGGGAATCATCTGAGGACTAGGCACGCGGTACCTATATGATAACAGTACTATGCGCATACAAGGCAAGGTTCTTCTGGTTAACTAGTACTTAATCCCAGTGCGTCACTATCTGTCCCACTCTTGTCTCCAGATCTTCTTCATGGCGCTGAAAACGAAATTGAACGAGGAGATCAAGTCCAAACCGATATCCAAGCAGTTCCAGGAGACAACAGCAAGAGAAAACATCGACCGCCCTTTTTCCGCAGCACACTATTCCAGATCCTAATTGTCGGACTCTGCGCCTTCTGCGCACGAGGAATATGGAGTCCAATGAATGGCCTCGGGGTGGGCGGCTCACAGAGTCCTGACCTGGTGAACGCCGCCAACGCTCTTCTCTATGCCTTCATGACAGCCACTTGCTTAACCGGGCCCTGGCTCACAATATGCGATCGGTTTTCGCTGGACTCTGTCTCTCGGTTCTATCGGCTACCCGCTCTATGCGGCTGGCTTGTACCTCAACAACCGCACAGGAGCGACATTTCTTGTCTATCTGGGCTCGGCCACCTGTGGCATCAGTGCCGGTTTCTTCTGGAGTGTCGAAGGTGCTGTGGCAACGGGCTATCCAGAACAACACAAACGGGGTCGATATATTGCCACGTGGTTTACTTTTCGCAATTTCGGCAATATCATCGGAGGCGCCGCTGCGCTTGGAATTAACCATAATGTCAACCAGCGTGGTCAGGTTGCTTACCAGAACTATTTGGCATTTATCGCAGACCAGTGCCTCGGCCTGTTTATTGGACTTCTCCTTTCGAATCCCGAGAAGGTCCAGCGAGACGACGATACCAAAATCGAGGCGCCGCGCAACATTCATTGGCGAACAGAGGCCAATGCCATGTGGAAATTGATGCGGAGGAAGTCAATCCTCCTACTCGTCCCTCTATTCTGGTACTTTGGATGGATCCAAGCGTACCCTGGGACCTACTTCGCGACCTACCTCGCGACCTATTTCACTGTGAGAGCACGGGCACTGGGCAGCTTCATGTCTGCCGTAGTGGGCACGCTCGCAACCTGGCTCGGCGGCTCGCTAGTTGATCTGACATGGCACAAGAATCGCAAAATCCGAGCCATATTAACGTTTGTGCTGATTGCTCTGCTGAATACTACAACTTGGATATGGGCTGTTATCATTCAAGATGAGTACCGACACACCAAACCAGTTCTAGATTTGGATAATCAACGCACATTCGGTCGTGGATTTGGCGTTTACCTTTTCGAGCGCATCAGTCTGGGCATGGTGGAGAACTTCATTTACTGGTGTATTGGCAATCTGACAGATTCTCCGGGAGACCAGATTGGATGCATTTCGCTGCTGCGAGGAATCGAGACAGCTGGAGTTGCTGTTGGTTTTGGAGTGCAGGCTGTTCCCACAGCACTGATTGCAACTGCGAGTATCAACTTTAGATTGTGGATAGATTGTGGATGCTGGCACTTCTGTTCAGCTACTATGCTACACTACAGGTTGTGCGGAAATTCGGGAAGTTGAGAGCTGTGGATGAGGACACTGTTGCGACATGAAATAGTCATGCTGCGTTGGCAGATAGATGCTTGCCATCGATACGGATTCGGACAAATATTTGTTCTTGCTGCTGCGTACTATGTTGGTACAGAAATCGTCTCTGTGGCAGCTGGTGAATACAAAAATCCTCAACGCGACGTTCCCAGGGTATGTCCGTTTTTCATCCCATGTCTTTCATCTCATGGTTTTCATCTCATATTCAAGTTCCTCGCTAATAAACTTAACAAGGCCACCAACTCAATCCTGTATCGAATCCTGATCGTCTTCATCGGCATGTCCTTTACTTTTTATTCGCTCGCCTTGAAAAGAAAAGCACCCGCAATTTTTTGCTAGGGTAAGCTCCAGAGGACCATACCTATCACTCTCACAATTCCTCGAGTTAAAAGAATCAAGAGCCATATGTGGCGATCATCTTTTCCAACATGTGATGATTTTTGGGTTTGATGTCCTTGACAACGACTGCCGGTAGTCTCTTTATTTATTTCACTTCCTTCGGCGGTACAGCAGCCTATATCGCTTTGGCCACGATTACTTACGTGCATTTGAGAGTGCGAAGTGCCGCAACAAAACAAGGCATCGACATCAAAACCTTCCCGTTCACAGCTCCTGGTCACACTGCAATTTATTGGGGTAATTTCTGCTTCAATATCTTCCTGCTCTTGATTCAGGGGTTTACCGTTTTTGATAATTCTTTCAACTACCAGTCGTTCATCGCTTCCTACATCAGCATTCCGATTGTCATTCCATTCTTCTTCGGCTTTATTAAGTGGTTCAAAACGAAATGGTGAGCTCACAATTACACGAGGTCCAGGATTCAGGTTAAGAACACGCGATCGCTGACATTACAGGGTATCTTGGATGAAATTGATTCCTCAGACAGTCGCCATTTCCTTTCCGAGGATACGATCGGCGCGAGATCACGACCCTTGGGCCGAAATCATGGGTCCTGATAGGGGCACCACCGATTGTACTCCCGACAACACTTTTTAGCTGACTCATCTTAATTACCACGCTAATGATACAAGCGGAAACATGAAAATTAACGTATAAGCTCATCTGCTTCTCTGGCATCACAACCTCAATGTTTAGCTCTTCTCCCCCGCCATATCATCTTCTTATACTCAAGGCATTGATTGTTCCTGTGTCCTTGAACGTGGTAATGAGAGCAAGTTGGAGGTCTTTTTGCCTGTCTCAAGGCAGAGAAATCTCCCTGTGAACTAGGATGTGTTTACTACTTGATCTCGAACTGGGATGGGCTGCGGCCCTCAAGTCTGCCTTCACAAGCCATGAACGGAGAACTTCTCTTGTAAATTGGAGCTGGTAATCGGGACTCGAGTATTTGGCTATCTCTAGTTAGCACATTTCTATACTGTTCAACAACAAGATATTTACCGATAGGGAGTTGTATCGTCTGTAATTCTCCAGAATGGATGTACTTCGGCAAGCTGGATGGATTATTGGCTCTGCAATATTTCGCTATCCGATGAGAACAAGGAAGGCCCATTGTTCCTGTGAAGGTGTTTGTGCAGGGTAACAACGGTGCCTCCTTTGTGACGCGTTTGACTCTCTGATACTGCTTAACTAGGAGAGTGATTGCGTATCTCGAAACACGTCGCATAAGGTAGGCAAAGAGGTCTTTGTTTGCAAAGATTAGACTGAATATTCAATCCTGTGCGAGTCCTGCATCTATTGCATTTACCTGCGCAACAATGCTTCTTTCCACCATATAAATACTGTCAAGATATCAGCTGTGGAGGAGCCAATCCAGCGCTTCATTGTAGAGTGTGCGCCTTCTACCCCTGAGGTTGCTGCATTCCCTAAATGAAGCCACTTTCTTGTCCACGCGACGACAAAATTTTCTCGGTGAACGAGTACATTGCTTTCCAGGTAGTGAAAGATATGCGGCTTATCTCGGAGGAATAATCGGATGTCCTCTTTTGATTGAGTATACATCTCTTCTTTTGGAGCGCTCGCCAGGTTGATCCAAAGGGAGAAAAACTTGTCATACTCCTCGTTTGTAGCGAAATCCTTCTTACAATGGGCCTGGATATTCTTTTTTAGATGCCACACGCAAAGGATATGAGGGAAGTCTGGTAACTGATCATCGATTACTGATAGTAAGGCCCAGTCTCTATCGGTGCATAAAACGGACAGTGGGTTTGGGCGCTTGATAAACGAGAAGAAGGTGTTCAGTGCCCAGCAGTATCTCTCCACTTCCTCATTCTCCATGAAGCAAAACGCGATGGAGAAGGATTTGTTGGTTGGCGAAATGCCTACAATATGAAGTAAAGGCATTCGGTATCGATTGGTCTTGTACGTGCAATCCAGAAGGAACACTCTGTTATACTACTTAGCATAGTCAATTGACTTTTAGTGTGCAAACATCAGGAACCGGATGTGTCCCACGTCGTCCGTTCACATGGCATGTAGCCAACTTTCCTCACTCTGGAGTTGTTGGACAAGATATTCAACTGGGGAATGTCCTCCTAGTCACTGTATGCAATCAGCCATACGAGCATTATAAATGTCCCGCCTTGTAAAAGAGGCTGACACATTCGCCTCGCGAAGTACTGCTTCAATAGTTTGTGGTCGCACACCCATACTTGATAGTCCTCCGATTTCTGCTCGTTGATCGGTTGTAGATTGTCTCGCCTGCGGATGTGCTGCCAGGTCACTCGGTCCATGTGTGTGTATATGATTACGTACTTTGAGTTTCCAGCTACCATTGGTACACAATCCATGGACCTCGAAATGGCAACCGATACGACGGGTTGATGTTTTTCGGCGCTTTGCTCCGTTCGGCGCCCCCACTCGATCATGATAAACTCCTCCCATATCACACCCCAATATTACATTCTTATTCGCTGTTGAACGTCGAATTGTCACAACATACCCCTGGGATAAGGTGAAGTTCCTCACTGACGTGAGGAGATCATCCCGGGTAGAAATAGATTGCTTCTGGCGGTGCCTCCATAGTCTATTGAATCAGACACAGGTGAACTTCAAATGTACAGTGCTGTGATATTAAGTATCGTATGTAATATTGTCCGAGCAACGTCCTGGAATGCTGGGTCAGTGTTGTGTCCAGAGTAAAACCGGTGGTGCCCCTATCAGGACCCCGAAATCATTGAATGCTTTGAAAGACTGACCAAGGTACGCGAGATGTTTCCTAAGGGATCAGTTCAATGTAACTCTGCCAGCCACAATTATCAGCCAAGTCTAATGAAATTCTTATTGGGTCCATCGCAGTCGAATAACCTGTCATCTGCGGGGTGAATCTCGATCCCGTTGGTCCGTCACATTCCAGCGATTTCTCATGCCGCAGATCGCCCTAGGGCAACAATGTTTACCACAACACAACATACCCGTCTGGTAAGGAATGTAGGACTGGGAAAGAACCTATTTACCAAGCACATGCCATAGGCAATTGATGGGTCATCGATCTCATCACCTATCTTGTCCCATCCCATCCTTAACCTCTGCGTCTTTGGTCGTTAACCACTCCAACCCGTCGATATGAAGCTCTCTATCTTCGTTCCTCTGGCGACTTTCTTGTCTTTCGTTGCTGCTGAAGCAAGTGGCGCAGCGGTTGACCCTGATGACATCAGCAACTGCCTTGTAAGTCCCATATAGCTTCGTGCCGTTTTAGTAGGAGAGGAAATGCATTCGGGACAGATGCTAATTTTCCTTGGATTGCAGATGCAATGTCTGTCTGAGTCCGCTTTGGTCGCAGGATGTGCTTCGGCCTTCGATAACAAGTGCACATGCCCAAGCAAGGCTTTCAAGGACACCTTGACTGTCTGCTTAAAAGATGCTTGCACGGCGGCGGATGTAGAAGGTGAGCTCCTGCACTTTGACACTCTCATATCACCAACATACCTGAATCTGACAATGTTCGATAATGATAGTTGCTGGGCAATTGCATCAAGAACGCTGTGGGACTACACCATCTCAATAGACCATTTTGTGTAGCTGGTTACAGGGATATTGAAGCCCGGTTTTCTTCTGAAATGGAAATATTTACTCATTTGATGGATTCTTCATTTACCAATTATTTAATAAAGTGGCCTTCATGCGACCTTACATCATTCATAATTGTGAGAGATTTGAAGTTGTGATGGTTTCGTCCCGAAGTCCCTTCTTGTATATATAGTAGTGGGGAGACCCTCCCCCCTACTACATGGGTGCCATCCATGTTATGTGACATAGTCGGCAGTATACGGTGGCCGGTTAGCTAGTTCTAGAATACACCTGATGACACCTCCCCGACCTGACCCCTACATTTGGGTTTCTCGCTATTTCCTGACAACTACGCGTGTGTTTTGTGGTGGTTTTCTGCTGAATCGACCCGCACGTCTCAGCGCTTGCTGCCATCGAGCGTTCCCCTCTTCAATATATATTTGGATGCAACGAGAATAAGCTTAAGCTAGTCACAGAATTTGTTATACCGGCTGGCTGCCAGAAATGCATTGCGATCGTTAATTTACGAGTTACAATGTCTCACATGGACAATATATATCAGAATATACCAAATCATACAAATTAACTATAAGTCCAAATTGCTTTCCAGTCCTTCCGTAGCGTTTGTGCATGATTATACGCCACTGGATCTGTCGCACCTGCAGTGTGGGTTGACGGGAAGGACGCAAACCTTCCTAAATTCAGAACCACTAGCTCCAATCTTACAGTAGATCAATACTATCGTGTTCAGGAAGTTGTTTAGACCCATGGAAGAACTCCATTTTAGAATTGCACACGAGATATCAAGCTAGTTGAGGAACAGGAAGAAGACAGTTTAAGAGAACATCCAAGTAATTTTTTCGTTCTTGATTCGTATTCTGGATCATCCCATAACCATCTAAGCCTGAGAGACGTTCTCGTAGGCGTCGGGGAAACGCTTCATGTTCTCCTCAATCAGACCGTGGCCACGCAGGAACTGGACGTAGGCACCGTCCTGCTTGAGCTTGCCCTCCTGGCGGAGCTGGACGTACTCCTCGCGGCGAACGGGGGTGAAACCCCAGTTCTTGGAGACGATGATCTTTTGGCGACCAGGGAACTTGTACATGGAGCGGCGGAGAGCCTCGATAGCGGCGGCACGGTTGGAGTCACGGGTGCGGACGGACAGAAGAATCTGGCCAATGTTCACACGGGCGACGAGACCCTGGGGCTTACCGAAGGCACCACGCATACCGGTCTGCAGACGATCGGCACCAGCGCACGACAGCATCTTGTTGATACGGACGACGTGGAAGGGGTGGACACGGACACGCAGGTGGAAACCTTCCTTACCAGCGATCTTCACGAGGTACCTGGAAAAAGCGAGAATGTTAGAATCGCATGGCCGGTTGGTGAAAGCGCGGGGCGTTGGCTTTGGTGGGGAGGTAGGACGTACTTGTTGGCACAGATACGGGCGGCCTCAAGAGCCTCGGAGGACAGCTGCTCGTACTCGTTGGAGACGAGGTGAACGCAGGTGGGGAAGTCATCGACGGAAGCCTTCTTACGACCCAGGTCGAAGATGCGAATCTTGGGGTCGGGAACACCACGGTTGAACCGAGACTTGGGGTACGGCTTTGCGGCAGAAGAATGTCAGTATAGATTCGAGGTTGCCAAGATTTGCCCATCTTTTAATCAGATCGTCTCCCATCGCAATATCACAGAAATTGGAAAACTTCGGGTGTAGAGAATATGCGTTTGACGACCAGCAGCGCAACGATCACATCCGTTGCGATCACGAGCGTGGTGCCTTACGCATTCCCCCACAACCGAGCTTCCGCACACAAAATCCTCCTGGAGGGTGAAAAGTCGAAACGCACCTTGTTCTTGCAGTAGCGGTAGCAGCGTGCGGGACGGCGGGCCATTTTGAGTGCTGGAAATGGGGTGACGGCACTTCCTGCGAACTGGGTGTTGGATGTCGTTGGTGTCGAGGGATCGAAAAGAGAGAAAAGAAAAGGGCCGGCGGGTCACGGGATTGTTTGATTTCCAAGCAGTGAGTAGCCAACAGCCCTAAGCCCTAACAATCGGGCCAATGACGTTCCGAAGTGGAGGGCCCGCATTTGTCATCTCTACGCGATGGGCGCCCGAAATACCAGGCAGCGTTACATGACCGCATTTATTACGCCTGCGCAGTACAACAGCAGGAAAAGTGGACACTGGCATAACCGGTTGAAGGTGAGGTCCATAAAAATGGAGGTCAGGGCTGCTAGCTCCTCACTATGTATATCACCTGCAGCGAATGTCTTTTTCTGACAGTGTCATCACTCAGAATTGCAACATATTTTGTCAATGTCCACATCAACTAGGAATCGAGAGATTCCTGTCTATTGCTATTTCACCACTCCTTCGGACACACAGTTAACTACGTACTGCTGTTTTGAATTAGTAATAATGTCGCCGAGTATATTTGTAAGCTGAAGGAGTGCAGCGATCAAGATAAAACTGCCAGTGGCAAGATGGTTACCTATCACAAGAGCCAATAGCAATGAAATTCGCAATCTCCAAATGACTCAGAGAAGCCTCTCGGAGTTGTATAGTTCACGGCTGCCGATGCGGAGGGGTGGGCTGGCGGCATAACGTTATTCCGTTCCTTGGGGGGCAGCCCGACCACCGAGTCAACACCTTGACACCTTGACGCCTCGACACCTCGACACCTAAAACTGATCTCGACCGGGAGATGACTATCGCCGATCTGCTGACCATCATGAAACGGCGGCCTCAGGCACCGATTCACCCTTTCATTCGCGGCACGGCCGTTTATTTACCAACGGCCGATCCAAGGACTTCGTGTCTAATTTGATCCCATTTCTTTCATTGAATTGCCGCGATTGCTTGCCACTTCGTGTTCTTTTCCCGCCCCTCTCATCCGCCCCCAAAGCCTGACCTGAAGGTATTCTGGTATTTTTAGATTAGAGTAAGGGATTCCGCCTCCCCGCATTCCTCACGAAAACAAGCCTGGTCGTCCCCGGCTTCCTCTCTGCAATCGCTCATTCCTCTCCCATTCCAGTCTGCTTCCAGCCAGTGACGCACTGTCTTCGATGATTCTTCCACGCTTCCATTAGCCATGTGGCGATCGATCAACCTCTGACAGCGCTCATTACGATTTCCGGTCTCCCCAGCCCATACAAAGCCGCTCTCCACCAGGTGTCCACCATTTTCCGCTTTCTGACCGCCACTGATTCCACTCCTCCCACCACCATCTCCAGCCCCCGTGGCCTTTTCTCCTCGAGTCTGTGCGATTCGACGACTCTCCTGCTCCGATCTATACTTTGCCCCCCGAGTTCACGGGCTGTGGAACCCGCACGATGTCAGCAACGCCTCGCAAGCCTGGAACCGCCGGCAGTCCCAGCAAATCATCGACCGCAGATCCGCCCTCGGCCAACGGGTCCACCACACGAGGACATGCACGTTCGCCCAGCACCGCTACCAATGGCCTCAACCGCTCCCCTTCTCTCAGAGGCTCGACTCCTGTCTCTGCGCGTGCCGCCGCAAGAAAACCCATCCGATCCAATCTGAGCATGTCCAACGTCCCGCGCATCTCGAATGACCCCTCCGAGGAGGAGGCGCGGGCCCAGAGTGCTGCCCTCATAGAAGAGCTGCGGGAGCAACTTCAGAAAGCCGAGACCGCATCCGAACAGTACCAGAAACAACTCGGCGTATTGCAAATGCGCCTCGATGAATCGATCGCGGAACAGAGCAAACTGGAGGATCAAGCCCACGAGCGAGACAGCCGGATTGAGACGCTCAGCAGCGAGATTCGAGAGCAAGCCCGCCAGATCCGTGATCTCGAGCAGAACCATGAATTAGAGCGGAATGCCATGCTGCAGGAGAAGGAGCAGCAGACCAGCCGGGAAGAGGAGCTGCAGGCGACTATCCAGCGCCTGAAAGAATCCGTGGCGCAGAAGGACCGGATTAATGCCGACAGTGAGCGCCACCAAGTCTCGCGATCATGTAAGGTCTACCTTGACAGTGACTCTATCATACACAACACATACTCACTATGAACACAGCTAGCTTCCGCAATCGAGCCTCGCCAGATGCGGACGGCCAATTTGCGCCATCATCGCAGCTCGAGCGCAGTCCTTCTCGCAATAATTCGAACCTTCTGCTCCAGAAGGACAAGGTGATTGAATCTCTTCGTCTGGAACTGGCGGAACATCAAATCAAGCTTGTTGAAATGGAGAATGCGGGTGGTGGTCGACAACGCGAGCTGGAAAAGGAACTTCTGGAGGCGCGCATGGCCAACGCCCGCCTCATGGAGGACAACGAAAGCTATCAGCTTCTCCTGAGTGAGAAGACGCTGACCGGCGACTTCCACAAGGGCGATTTCATGCAGCATGCTCAGACTGATAAGCAGTCCAGTGGTGGCTTGGGATCCCTGGCGGATGAACTGGAGTCGGTGGATGAAGCACCTGAAGTAGACTCGAACCGCAAGCCTGAAGTTAGCGAGATTAAAAGTCTCAAGGATCAAAACAAGGCTTTAACGCTCTATATTGAGCGCATCATTAGTCGTGTTCTCCAGCACGACGGTTTCGAGCATGTTCTGGATCGCAACGATGATGAGGGTGCTACCAACGCTGCGCCTAAGTCATCGGGTGGTGACAAGGACCTGCCACCCACTCCTCCCGAGAAGGACGATGCCCAGCATCAGTCATTTTTGCAGCGTACCAAATCGATGATCTCGGGCCCAGCTCGTCCTCAACCCCAACCCCAACCCCGGTCGCGCCCGGCCAGCATGATGCCACCACCTGCAATCCCACACAACACCGCCAACGAGAACCCCGAAACTGCGCCCAGCATTCCTTTCAGAACTCAATCAGTGCGGGCTAGCCACCGCCGCACACGCTCGGAGCAAGTTGACCCGAACGCTGCCTCTGTTGTGGGAGCCATGTACCGCGGTCGTAATTCTGGAGGCGGTCCCATGAGCCCAACCGCCATGGGCCCTGGCTCGCGCCAAAGCATGTTCTCGGGAGCTGCCAGTTACATCTCAGGGGTCAGCCGAGCTCCTTCGATGTCGAGTCAAACCGACCGTGCCAACCGCAGTAGCTCTCCTAGTGTTACCAGCGATATCCACGGCGACACCAGCTCCACCGGTGCGACATCCAGCCCGCCTCGCTCGAGCAGCGGTATGAACAACTACACTGGGGCTGTGATGACACAGAACAAACTGCGCCCACTGCGTCTGGTTAGTGAAACTGCCAAGCTTGAGGAGGAAGAAGCTGCTCGGAAGAAAGCGAATCGCGCAAGCTGGATTCCGGGATGGTTCAACCGTCCAGCCAACGCGGAGGAGCCGCAGCAACAGCCACCTCCGCCACAGTCTTAACCGGGCCCTCTCCTGTCGAATGATTTGATGTGATATTGGAAACTGTCTTTACCATGTTATTCATACCCCTTTTGTGATGCACATAACGCGAAATGTCATGGAATGTATGGCTCAAGTTCGAGCGAGGTTACCGAGTTGATTTGCTCCATAATTTGAATTCGATCTCCCCTTTCGTTGCTTCCCTCTGGGAATGTGTAATGATGTTCGATGGAAGAACTATGTGGACATACAATTTTTCTTTGAGTCTTACCTTTTTGTCTTCTCTTTTAAACCGGGCCCTCGAACTGAGCTCCGATCATGTTTTCCCAAATGCTTGTGATTGTAACCCAGCGGTCTGTAGATGATTTATACCCCACGCTTCTATCATACGAATAACATTATGTCGATTGGAAACTGGCTTGCTTTACGGTTCAACGAAAACAAATCATTTGCAAAGTGAGTCTTTCAGTAAGCGCCTTGTCGCAGTAACCTTAAGCTTCTAGCACTACCCCGGGCTGTCAAGGATTGGAGTATTCCACAGGATTTGCTGACTGCACCCTGGGCGGAACAAGTTGGGGAAATATCTCGACGCTATTCGATCCTTTCATAGCCCAACTAACAAAGGACATCAACACTGGCCTGATGCTACAATTTCTCCCACGTCTGAATTCAACGGCTAAATTTGAAAACATATCCGCCGATGGTTTCTCAACCAATTTCTCAACTAACTACGACACGGTGCCAGGTGCGTTGTTACTCAGACAAAGCAATAGCCTTGGGGTCCCAACCTCTTCCACGTCCTCTTATGGAAAGGCCACCTTGAATGGGCAGTGCACGCTTGTATGTCCGCTGATCTTCGAAAGACACCGTGGAATCCAACGGACTCGACAAGACTTTGAAGAACTCTTCCTTAATATTTCGCTGCAGGCCAGCCTGTTCTCAGCTGCAATGATTACGAAACACAAGTGCCTTTCTCAGCATACTTGCGGGTCTGAACAAATACCTTAAGAGCCGGCGTTGACTCTCGGGGCATTGATACTGTCCATTCTGTGAACGATCACATGAACAACGTCTCCACAACAGCGGCGTATCTCTTTTATGGGGCGATGGGTTGCTGCCGCACAAAGTGTTTAGTTATTGAAGCTTACGATGCAATATGACTTGGGTGTTGACACTCGCAAACCATCCATCTCGCTTGCGGGTATCATCGTGGTGTCGATCCTGATTGGGGTTGATTTACTAGCTTTGTTGACCACAGCCCTTTATGCAAGCTGGTTTCCTCACTGGACTGAGTCGTTGGATGCGTTTAGCTTGTTGAGGATTGGAGGAACAATTGGTGAGCGAGTATCTCTGAAATGTCGTTCAACAATGATAAAGTCGGTGTACTGGACGAACCACCTGGTTGGACGATGATTGTTCTGAGGATGGAAAGGTCAGGCATATTGCATTGGGCGGCCAGGGAAATGTCCAACTAAAGACAGGTTATGAGGCATACGACTCGATGAACGATGAAGCTGAGAAGGAACAGCCTATCCTGGAGGATCGCTACTAGTCGTGGTGAGGGTTTTACTCATACATTGTAATTTAATGTCTTTTTCTTTTTTCTCAGCGCCCCGAAAAAAGTGGTGTCAGGAGTAAATATATATTCCTGTCCAGCCAAGGAATGTGAAACATGGGAAACATAGTGTTTATAGAGGACCATACCCCAAGTTAGTAGTAGTGACGGTTGTATGCTCCGCGGAACAACGTTAGTGCGGCTCCGTCTGCGGCCAGATGGCTCCTGGGAGCATCAACACTCAAGTCCCTCCCCGCCAATTACTCCAGCAACACCCCATAATTCACCATGCCCGGTCCTCTCTCCCTCTTCTCCGTCAATGCGGTCCTCGTCATGTCCGCTGACGACGGCTCGCGGATCTTCGCCAAGTACTATTCGGCACCGCATCCCCCCGCGGGCACTGCGCCCAACTCGACCGATTACCCCGGTGCCAACCCTTACCCAACCGTGAAGGAGCAGCGCGCTTTTGAGAAGGGACTACTGGAGAAGACCAAAAAGTCGACCAGCGATGTGATCCTCTACGACAACCGCATCGTTGTCTTCAAGATGGAGAGCGATGTTATGCTCTACGTGGTGGGAAGCGCCGACGAGAACGAGGTGTTGCTGTACAATGTGGTTCTGTCGCTGCGCGATGCTCTGGGAATCCTATTCAAGTAGGTTTTCCAATTGGGAGCTGGGCGGTCGGGGAGAGAAATGAAGCTAACGGAGATCTTTCAACAGGGGCGCCACCGACAAGCGAACTATTGTCGAGAACTACGACCTCGTTTCCCTCACCATTGACGAGATTATCGACGACGGAATCATTCTCGAGACCGACCCCATTCTGATCGCCTCACGAGTCAGCCGTGCCCCCGCCGCCGATGCGCCAAACATGAAGAGCATCGATCTGTCGGAGCAGGGCCTCATGAATGCTTGGGAGTTCGGCAAGCGACGTCTTGCCGAGGGTCTGCGACAGATGTAGGCTCGACGCTCGCATGGCTCTTTTTAGCGCTCGAGCGGTTGGAGGGCTGCGTTGTGATTCTTTGCCGTCATCTTGAGCATTCCCGCTTGTATTGGTTTTCCTTTTTTTGGTCGTTCCTGGCTGGTCCCGGCGTGATACGGTTGTCTCTTTGTTCTTTTTTCTCTGTCGGCTCAAGCTCGACGGTTTCCGGTTGTTGGAAACACCATAGATCCTTGTGCATCTCTCTGCATCTTGCCAAAAGCCTTGTTCGTCTGTTTAGTGGTGCGGAGATCTTGTGCCCTGCGCTAATATCCCCATGGCTGAAACGCTGATGACTGCAATGAAAAAGACGAATCCAATAATCCAATCTGCAGCCTTGTCGGCTTGAATATTCGGAGCATTGGTGGTGGAATACCTGGTGTTGTAGTATGTAGGTAGTATAGTATGCGTAGTCACAAGTGGAACTTCCCAGAAGAGTGTCCGACTCGGTTCCTGCCCCGCATACGTCACGCTCGAAAATTCCTTTCTTCAACAACACACCAGAGCCCACGATGAAGCAGAGGTTCTCGTCCATAGACGTCAAGGTACATCCCAAATCACCGCTCACGATTGGATCCTCACTCACGAGACTCTCAGGTCATCACCCAGGAGCTGGCCGCGGAGCTGGTCAACCTGCGGGTGTCCAACATCTACGACCTATCATCAGTATGTCTCGCACTCCCTGAAGTTGAAAGAAAGGCCAGTACTAACACAGGATCTCTAGCGAATCTTCCTTTTCAAGCTCGCCAAACCAGACCACCGCCGCCAGCTCATTGTCGACTCCGGCTTCCGCACGCATGTCACCCACTACTCCCGCACCGCCGCGACGGCCCCCTCACCCTTCGTGACGCGCCTGCGCAAGTTCCTGAAATCGCGTCGCATTACGGGAGTCGCCCAGATTGGCACGGATCGGATCATCGACATCTCCTTCAGCGATGGCGCCTACCACATGTTCCTCGAGTTCTTCGCCGGAGGTAACATCATCCTCACCGATCGCGAGTATACCGTTATCTCGCTGTTCCGAAATGTCCCTGCCAGCGCGGGCGAGGAGGAGATGAAGCTTGGTATGACGTACAATGTGACCAACAAGCAGAACTACGGCGGAGTGCCAGAGATCACATCGGAGCGAGTGAAGGCGGTTATTGAGAAGGCTCAGGCGCTCTTCTCTCAGGAAGGTAATGCGCCCAAGAAGTCGAAGAAAAAGGCCACGGACGTCGTACGCAAGGCGCTTTCTCAGGGATTCCCTGAATATCCTCCGCTGTTGCTGGATCACGCCTTTGCGGTCAAGGATTTCGATGCTGCTACGCCGCTGGACCAGGTGCTCGGAGATGATACTCTTCTGATGAAAGTGGAGGAAGTGCTTCGCGAAGCCGAGAAGGTGTCGAGCAGTTTCAGTGTCGGTGAGAGTCACAAGGGCTATATTGTGGCGAAGCAAGACGAACGACCTTCTAAAGAGGGCGAGAGCCCATCGAAGACTCCTGGCTTGCTGTACGAGGACTTCCATCCTTTCAAGCCGCACCAGTTTGACGGAAAGCCCGGATTGTCTATTCTGGAGTTCGAACAATTCAATGCGACGGTGGACGAATATTTCTCTTCTTTGGAGTCCCAGCGACTGGAATCTAGGCTCACTGAGCGAGAGGAGGCCGCCAAGCGCAAGCTCGACTCCGTACGAGACGAGCACAAGAAGCGCATCGACGCATTGAAAGATGCACAGGAGATCCATATTCGCAAAGCTGCTGCCATCCAAGATAATGTCTACCGTGTTCAGGAGGCCATGGACGCTGTAAATGGCCTCGTGGCGCAGGGAATGGACTGGAGCGAAATTGCTCGTCTCATCGAGATGGAACAGGGCCGAGGAAACCCCGTGGCACAGATCATCAAGCTGCCTCTCAAGCTGTATGAAAACACAATTACGCTTCTGCTTGGAGAAGAGGAGGAGGAGGAGGAAGAAAAAGATGCCGAGTCCAGCGATGAATCTGGCTCTGAATCCGACTCTGAGAACGAAGCGCAGGAAAACCAGAGACGCGCAGATGCTGCATCGCGTATGCTTAATATTGATGTCGATCTCGGTCTTACTCCTTGGGCCAATGCCTCGCAGTATTACGACCAGAAGAAGTCAGCCTCGGAGAAGGAACAGAGGACTGTTCAATCTTCTACGAAGGCGTTGAAGAGTCATGAGAAGAAGGTGACTGCCGATTTGAAGAAGGGTCTGAAGCAGGAGAAGCAAGTTCTGCGCCAGGCCCGCGAGCCGTTCTGGTTTGAGAAATTTGTTTTCTTCATCTCTTCTGAGGGATACCTCGTTCTGGGGTAAGTTTTTCAGCTCCATCGTGATGATTACATAGATTAATATTTATATCAGTGCGCGCGATGCCATGCAGGGTGAGCAGCTCTACAGACGCTACCTGAACAAAGGCGATATTTTTATTCACGCCGGTCTGGAGGGCGCATTGCCGATTGTGGTCAAGAACCGCAATGGCAACCCCGCCGCACCTATTTCCCCAAGCACACTCTCTCAAGCTGGAACCATGTGCGTCTCGACCTCGGCAGCATGGGATTCCAAGGCTGTTATGTCTGCTTGGTGGGTGCACGCCAACCAAGTCTCCAAGATTGCTGAAGTGGGCGGTGGAATCTTGCCTACTGGTAGCTTCCAGGTCAAGGGTGAAAAGAACTTCTTGGCTCCCTCGCAGTTGGTACTTGGATTTGCCGTTATGTTCCAGATTAGCAAGGAGAGCGTACGTAACCACAAGCAGCGATTCGAGGTGACCGATGGTGTTGAGGAAGTTATTGCTACTGAGGCTTCGGAGCCTACTGCTATGGAAGAATCGAAGCCCGCAGAGCCTACAGAAGAGCCCGATGATGTCGCCGAGGAGGCTCCTCAAGATCCTAAACCGAAACCTACTGAGCAAGCCACTGAAGAAACGCAGCAAGGCAATGCTTCTGATGAAGAGGATGACGATGAGGACGCAAAGCCAGCAAGGAATCCTCTTCAGCGAGGTGATCCTGAGGCACCTCCTAAACAGGAGGAACAAGCGCCTGAGGTCGAATCTGAGTCAGAGGAAGAAGCAAAGTCTGAGCCGGATACTGTGCAAGACGATCAAGGAGCTGATGAGGTTGATGAAGCCGAGCTGTCCAAGCCCGCTGCGGAAAAAGAACCTGCCACTCAGCAAGACGAGCGCAAGCAACTTACAGCGCGGGAGCGACGTACTTTGCGACAGGGCAAGAAGGTCGACCTACCTGGTGAGGCCGAACCCTCGCCTGCACGGATGGCCCCAACCCGCGGCAAGAAGGCCAAGGAGAAGCGCGCCGCGGCCAAGTACGCCCACCAAGATGATGAGGAACGCGAGCTTGCCCTTCGCCTTCTCGGATCCAACAAGGGCAAAGCCGCGAAGGCAGCTAAGGCCGCTGAGACCAAAGCCCAACGTGAACGGGACGCCGAAGCCCAAAAGGCCCGCCGTCGTGCACAGCACGAGCGAGCAGCTGAAGCAGAGCGCAAGAAGCAAGCGCAATTAGCCGAGAACGGAGACGACTACAACGAGGAAGTTGCCGCAGCCGAAGCCGCAGACTTGACCTGGCTTCCTGCTTTGATCGGTACCCCGACACCGGAGGATGAAATTCTCGCGGCTCTTCCTGTTTGCGCGCCATGGGCTGCCTTGGGTCGATATAAGTACAAGGTCAAGCTGCAGCCTGGTACGGTGAAGAAGGGCAAGGCTGTTAAGGAGATTCATCATCGATGGATCTCGGAGACTACCACCGGCAAGGTCAAGAAGGATCATGCTGAGGATGCGGGTGTTCCTCGGGCTGTTGCTGAGCAGCTTCGGGCACGAGAGGGAGATCTCATTAAGGGGTGGAAGGAGAATGAGATTATCAACACTATGCCCGTTGGCAAGGTGCGCATCATGACGCCTGGTAGTGCCGGTGGTGGTGATAAGGGCAAGGGTAAAGGAGGTGGTGGAAGTGGTAAAGGTGGCGGTCCGAAGGGAGGAAAGGGTGGAAAGAAGAAATAGATAGACCCGTGTCTACGTACCCTAATCCATACTAGATCCCATGAAGTCAAATGTATGATGCATCGTGATAGTCCGTCACTAGCTGTGTGCCTACCGTAGGCTGCCTCCGTAGGAAACCTTGATTCTCGGCGTTCCGAACCCTTAACTTAATTTTGAAAGCAATATTTGAAATCCAAAATTATGATTAATTTATTGAAGCAATAAAAATAAAAAATAAAAAAGTTATCACAATAGAGTGACACGGGGATCGAACCCGTAATTTTCAGAACCGAAATCTGACGCCTTACCATTAGGCCAGCCACCCATATCGCTGAAGGTGGAGAACTTTTGTTTTACTTGACCTATTTCGTTCTTTCCTTGGAACGGCTATTCTTACTCTCAGGCGAAAGAATATCTGTATCAAGACCTGACGATGTATGAGTAGGCATTTTAGCTAATGGGCTCCAGGAATTCGAATTCCACACCAGAATCTATCTACGGTCGGACCAATTTGAGAAAAAAAGACCGGACTATATATTTGATCAGCTTGAATTCAATTGGATGGGAAGAGTAGGTACACCCGCAGAAAAGCAAAAGGAGGTCAAAATGCATGATATTCAAATAAATAAGAGTGATATGATTTACGGAACCCTCTCCATTCCTTCTCAACTACTAGACTTCGTACAAAAGTATCCCTCACGCGGCATAGTTCGCAGTATTGCTATGGAGCTCATTTATCACCGCCTGCCACATTGAGATATATAGTCCAGCTGAGTCATTCGACGTCATGGCACGAGCGAATTTCTTTCCCAATGGATTTCGCTTCTCGCAAGACGAATTCAAGCGCTGGATGGAATCGAGCGGGATGATCGACAGCCGGATACCTTAGGGTAAACACTACGAGCACAGATGAGCCCTCGCAGCAACCTCAAATCCAATCTCAAATCCAATCCAGTGTTGATCTGGGCCTCCATATCGAACTGCCGAGTCTTTTCGCCCCTCTACTCCCATTGCGTGTGCGCGCGGCAACTGCGTCATTGACAACCCAAGTGGCCCCCATACATCATATCAAACTGTTGTTTCCCGGGATTCTCGCTGGGTGCAAACCAGCAAGATTCCTCACCACCATGGCCTCCGATACAAGGGTCATTTCCGTGCAGCGATTAAATTCCGGCCCGGGCTCTCGCTCGTTGGCGGAATGGTGGGCGGACGAGCGCGAGGCCTCGACACCTGAATTCAAGGTCATCGAAGAGGCCGCAAACCTGCTTCGAACCAGCGATATTCCCGTCGCATTCCCCACGGAGACAGTTTATGGTCTGGGTGCCGATGCGACGCGCAGTTCCGCCGTTCAGGGGATCTACAAGGCCAAGCAGCGTCCCTCCGATAACCCACTGATCATTCATATCGATTCTCTGGAGATGCTCGATCGCCTATTAAACCCCGCCCCGACCAGTCCTAGCTCAACTAAGACGCCGCGCATCTCTATACCTGCAATTTATAAGCCGCTGATCGACCGCTTCTGGCCTGGCCCGCTGACGATCATCCTGCCAAACCCGTCGGGCTCCGAGCTGGCGCCAGAAGTGACATCCAAGTTGACGACCTTTGGCGCGCGCATGCCCTCTTCCCCTCTGGCGCGTCTTCTCATCCATGCCACGGGCCGTCCGCTCGCTGCGCCCTCCGCCAACGCCTCGACGAAGCCCTCCCCCACGACCGCGCAACATGTCCACCATGATCTCAAGGGCCGCATTGACCTGATCTTGGACGGTGGCGCCTCCGGCGTCGGCGTCGAGAGCACCGTCGTCGACGGACTATGTGACCCACCCGCCATCCTCCGACCTGGCGGGATAGGCATCGACGAGTTGCGAGAGTGCGCTGGCTGGGAGAACGTGACCGTGGCGTACAAAGACGGCACGCTTGATATCAAGGAGATCCCGCGCGCCCCCGGCATGAAGTACCGACACTACTCGCCCAAGGCGCGGGTCGTTCTCTTCGAGCCCTGCTCCAAGGAAGCCGGCGTGACCAAGCATGTACAGAAAGATCTGAACGACTCCGCCATCGGCGCGCACAACATTGGCATCGTGCGCACCCGCAACTGGAGGCAGGGACTTGGACTTGCGCCTCCAGATGTCGTGGCTAGTACCGTCAAGACAGTCGATGCGTCCATTGACCACCTCACAAGCTTCCCCATTCCTGTCCAGCAGACGGGTAGCCCCACCAGTCGGACCAAGCTGGCGTATGACTATCACCTTGGCTCGGATACAGTGTCTATCGCGCATGGATTGTTTGCGGTCCTGCGTGCGCTGGATGAATTTGATGTCGATGTCATCTATGTGGAAGGCATTAATGATCGGGATGGGGACCTGGCTGCTGCGGTTATGAACAGACTCCGGAAGGCGGCTGGGGCGGAGATGAAGGTGTAGATGGTATTTACGGGGTGCGAATGAGTATAGAGGGGATTCGGGTTTATTGTAATTGAGCGTTAGACTTTTCAAATACCTATGCATCTTTTGAAATTGGTATACATTGTATAGTTCTATACATACTTGACTCACGTGGATGTAAGTGGGGAAACCAAGGAGATTCTGAAGTTAGGGCTTCGGTTGCCCACCTTCCAGACCAACTACTTGTGAAGAGATGTTCCCCGCATATCAACATGCGTGCGGTATACAATTGCATTCTCCTGGACTTACCCGTTGTGTATACATTCTGAAGTACTACGATGTAATACGATGTAATAATGTGAGGGGCTGCCGGAGAGCTCCGATCGACAAAGCCATCGTTGCACCCGAACCATACTTAGTAGAGTACCTGAATCCATTGTGGAATCCCTTTTCGGCCAGTTGCCAACCGTGAAATGGTCACATTCGAGATAAGCAAGTCGAGCCACGGCCCCGCTGAATTGGGACGGAGATGCGTGCATTTCGACGCCGGTGAAGCGTGACTTGTGGCTGGGGCGGACCAAAAAAGCGAGCCCACCCGCCCCAGTCCATTCAAAACCACTCCAGCAGACGCATACACATCCCTCTTATCCAAGGGTACCAACCTACGAGTCTTCACAATGTGCAAATCATCACTTCACGATTTTATTCATGGCCTCCCCAAATGTGAACACCACGTTCACCTCGAGGGATGCATGTCTCCTGAGCTGATCTTCACCATGGCCGCGCGGAACAACATCTCTCTCCCAGACCCAGCAACCAACCCAGCCTACGCCTCAGTTGCGGCCCTAACAGCCCGATATGATCACTTCTCCTCGCTGGACGACTTCCTCGCCTTCTACTTCCGAGGCATGGACGTCCTAGTAAACGAAGCCGACTTTGCCGATCTGGCCTGGTGGTATTTCCGCAAAGCGCACGCAGACGGCGTCCATCATGCCGAAGTATTCTTCGATCCCCAGGTGCACATCGACCGGGGCGTCTCTTACGAGACGGTCGTCAATGGCTTCTCAGCGGGGTGCAAGCGCGCCGAGCGCGAGCTGGGTCTTAGCACGAGACTAATTCTGTGCTTCGTGCGCCACTTACCCGTTTCCTCGGCGGCGAATGTATACGAGAAGTTTATTTCTTCCGGCCACTTCGAGGCCGGAGTCGTGCATGGTCTTGGTTGGTCTTCGTCGGAGGTCGGGCCACCTAAAGACATGTTCCGTGAGCAGTATGCTTTGGCGGCGCAAAGGAGTATCCCGCTCACCGCGCATGCCGGTGAAGAGGGGGATCCGACTTATATCAGTACGGCACTGGAGCTCGGCGCGACGCGGATTGATCATGGGATTCGGTTGGTCGAGGATCCGGAGTTGATGAAGCGTATTGCTTCAGACGGGACTTTACTGACTGTTTGCCCGCTTTCGAATGTTCGGCTTCGGTGCGTACCGTCGGTGGAACAGGTGCCCATCCGTCAGTTCTTGGGAGCTGGCGTCAAGTTCTCGATCAACAGTGATGACCCTGCTTACTTCGGTGGATATATTCTGGATAATTACTGCGCTGTTCAGGAGGCGCATCAGCTGTCGGTGTTGGAGTGGCGCATGATTGCGGAGAATAGTGTGCAGCAGAGCTGGATTGAGGATTCGCGCAAGGCGGAGCTGTTGGAAAAGATTGAGAGCCATGTTAAGCAGCACATGCCGGCTGCTATATACTAAGAGGTAGTGGATGTTCTTTTGGGTGGGAAGCGTGAAGCGTGGAGTGATTGATGTATCTGATACCCGTCATTCAACATTTGTCTGTGTATAGCCGTCATTTTCAACGGGCATATTCGAGGGGCAGGGATAATCTCGATTGACGAAATCTATAAATTTATTTATTTCACATCGAACTACTACTACGGTCCTTGGCTTGTCTCACCCGCGGAAAACGATATTGGTGCCTGGAGAATATGGCACCAACTCCTGCATCGAGCAACGTGCAGCCGAATGGGGACAACCGACTACATAGACCCCCGCATCTGACAACGCAACGTGACTGTCCGTTGAACCGATGCTTCGAGTCCCGCTTCCAACCTACTCCACCGTTCGGTCTACACTGCGGCCGCAGCAACTGGCAACCACCTACAAATCTTATCAGCTACGCACAGTCACGTCGCAAGTAGCAGCGCGTCCTCCATCTACAAGCACTTCTACACACCCACAGAGAGCCAGCCTCTCACTCCCCAGACGAACAGAGATAGTACCTCGGGCCCCATCGACGCCCCTCATTCGCAATATGTCCTCAACCACCGAATCCCTCCCCGACCGCTACAAACTGGTCTTCTTTGTCCCAACCGAAAACGCTGAGACATGCAAAGAAGCCATCTTCGCAACGGGTGCGGGCTCATTCCCCGGCGAGAAATATACCAAATGCTGCTTCCAGACTATCGGGACGGGTCAGTTTCTTCCGAATGAAGGGGCGAATCCGGCTATTGGGGCTGTTGGGGCTGTGGAACGCTGTGAGGAGGCGAGGGTCGAGGTTATGTGTCTTGGGCGCGAGGTGATGCTGGGCGCGGTGCAGGCGCTTGTACAGGCGCACCCCTATGAGGAGGTTGCGTATGAGGTCTATCGGATGGAGAACGTGTAGTTTGTTTATTTCTCCGTTGACGATGGCCCGGATGGCCTCGGATAGTGGGCGTCACTTAAGAGGTAGTCATCGTGATGTGGTGCATTTTAGCAATTTAAAATGCAATGCTGCAATATGACTGTGGCCAACAACCGTAATCCATATTTTCGCCAGCAATTGAGTGTGTAGGAAGTGTGGTATTAATGAGGGAAAGGAAGGGAAGGTGGCTGACAATTGCGAGACGAAAGGGCGGCAGGCGGGAGTAATCTGTCGACGCTGATTGGCCGCCCACCGCCCGACAACTTCGTCCCTTCCTCGCCGTCAAGTTCACCTTCGCATCCGCCCGACTCTCGTCCTCGTCTGCTCCCACTGAAAGCCATGGCGTCGAAACTCTTCCCCGTTTCGCGCGCCTCTCGTGCGCTGCGCCAGTTCCCCTCCTCCTACAGATCCTTTTCCGCCGCCCCCCAACGGTGCAGCGACGTCCTGGCCGTGGTACGTGATCTCTGACCCCTCCCGGCCATACCCAGCATTTCCTGGCCCAGAAGGCCGGTTAAACGTCGCGAGAAAGGGCAATTGACTAACTCAGACGTACTGAACAGCACCGCAACAAGCCCACCAACAACCCTTCCCTCCCCTTCCAGTTTTCCGACCAGAACCTCAAGCTTGCCGATGAGATTCTCAAGCGTTACCCTCCCCAGTACAAGAAGGCCGCCGTCATGCCTCTGCTGGACCTAGGCCAGCGCCAGCACGGCTACACAAGCATCAGCGTCATGAACGAGGTCGCCCGCATGCTCGAGATGCCGCCCATGCGTGTCTACGAGGTCGCTACTTTCTACACTATGTACAATCGCGATCCTGTTGGCAAGTACTTTGTGCAGATCTGCACTACTGTAAGACATCTCTTTTTGATCAGCTCATTGCCCCCGGACCGAAGAATTGACCATTGACTTTCCTTTCAGACCCCCTGCCAGCTCGGCGGCTGCGGTAGCGACGCCATCGTCAAGGCGATCAACGAGCACCTCGGAATCACACCCGGCCACACCACCGAGGACGGTCTCTTCACCTACATCGAGGTCGAGTGTCTGGGTGCCTGCGTCAACGCACCCATGGTCCAGATCAACGACGACTACTACGAGGACCTGACCCCCGAGTCGATCAAGACCCTTCTGACCGCGCTGAAGGACTCTGCCAATGCCACCAACGCTGGCACCAAGATCCCGGCCCCCGGCCCGCTAAGCGGCCGCAGCACCTGCGAGAACAGCGCCGGCCTGACCAACCTGCAAGAACCCCCCGTGTGGAACCCCGAGACCATGATGCGCAAGGACAACGCGCTGGACGAGCAGCCCCAGCAATAGACGTTGCCGGGATTCTGATTCAGAAATATATATGAAATCATAGGGCTTGATTCGGTTTGCGCTGTTTATTACAAGTGCCCTGGTACAACCCGGAATGGAGAATTTTCAAAGCGGGCTCGTGGTGAGCCCTGGGCGCTTTCATGCGGAGCGAAAAAGATAGAAGGACTTTCGGACCCGTGTGCGAGACGATGGCGTCCTTTTTTTCCTTTATCATGTACAGTATGTTGCTCTCGCTTTTTTGGGAGCTGTTTGATCGAGACATCCACATCAATCCAATTTTCTACGTTATCTTCCATCTAGATCTCACAACTTGATTACGAAAAATGTTAGAGGTTGCTCCAACCTAATCCGACTGTTACGGTGTACAGGAGCTTAAGTGTTATTTAGTGAGCTTTCAACATACTAACTGCAGACAGTGTATCTCACTCTGTAGCCCGACAATGAATTTAACATCTCACTACACATTCTCATCGTCATCCCCAATTTCCTCTCCACCCTCCTGCTCAATCTCCTGTTCCACTCCCTCAGCCACCTCAACATCCAGAGCAACCTCCGGCTCAAAGCTCAGCTCCGGAGCCCTGTACACCTTTTCTTCCTCACCGGGCTCCGCCTTGAGGACTGGATCGTCCGTCCCAGCCAGAACCTGGCCATTTTGCCAACGGAGATAGAGGGCCATGTCGGCAGCCTCTGCGGCAAGAATGTGGTAGATATGGACGCAATCACTCTTTTGACCACACCGGCGAGCACGACCGATTGCTTGTGTCATGTGGGCTTCCCACTGCTCTTGCGAGTCTGTGACGATGGGACAGAGGAAGATGACGTGGTTTGCGCATTGCAGGTTCCTAGTGAAAGATGGGTTAGTCCATTCGGTCTTCACGTTTGAGTAGATGATCTTCGTGGATGGGTTCACGTACAATCCAGCCATCTCCATACTAGCCATCCGCAGCAGAAGAACCTTCGGCTTGCGCTCGTTCCTTTTGACCTTCCCCTGGAATCGGGAGATCGGTCCGCCGGTATTGTTCGCGCGACAGAATCCGATTTTTTCAGAAGTGAGAACTGCCTCGACTTTATCCAGTATATCTGTATACTGGCAGAAAAGCAGGACTTGTTCACTTTCTGGGATCGAGGTAATTACTCGAACTAGCTCGTTCAGCTTTGAGCAGCCTTCCGCACTGCGTTCTGCAGCTGCGACATGGTGGACTTTCTCGGTCGAGCTGTGGCATTTTTCCACGGGGCAGGTCTGATAGGTGCATTTTTCCAGGCAGTCTGCACAGAGGACATGTCCGCAGGTCCGGAGAATGGTGAGTTTGTTCTTGTCGAGCTTTCCTTTACTTGTGCCTCGAGAGCTGCCCTTTGAACATCGTGAACAGCTCACTCTGGAGCCTTCGTGTAGTTCCAGCATTGTTTTCCAGAGCAGGCGCTCTCGTTCAAGGCTGACTAGCTCCTCGCATTCGGACTGCTTCCATTTTTCGTCAAGGAAATCCTCAATGGGGTTTCTGCGGTTCTGTGTTCCGCGAGAAACTTCACCATGACGAACTCTTTTGGCGGACGGCGTAGATTCGTTGCCTGCTTTGCGCTTTTTGAATTCCTGTACCGTGCGCTGGAGAACCTCGCCTATCTCGGATTGTATCTTTTCATCGTCACAGTCGGGTTGCAGGGCACCGGATATCATCTCCCACAGATCAGGACGGAGATGAACGAACAGAGACTCTGGCATTTTGTCTACTTTTTTCTTGAACTTCTCCCAGCTTTTCAGCTTCTCATTAACATCCTCGAGATTGTCATTGCATATCTTGACGTGGTACTGGGCCTCCTTAAGAGGCGCTGACTGACAGCATTTTAGAAGAGCGTCTTCAGGCCCTCCACCCTGAGCACTAGCGATGATTTTGTTCAAGAAATCACGGAAGCCATGAGGCTCACGATCAACCTTTCCGAGATCGCCTCGTTGGAAACGAAGATGTCTATACAAAGAAGAATAAGCCTGACGCACATCTTCAGACAACGAAACAATCCAATGATGAACCCTGAGCAGAACTTTCATAGTTGTAAAGTTCTGGCGCGCAAGCCTGTTCAGAAACTCCTGTGCACGAGCCCGTCGATTCTCATACCAAGCGTCACTTTGCAGCGGTCGATACATTTGCAGCTTTTCGAGCCCGGATTGCTTCTCCCGAAAACGGTAGAGCCGTTTATCCTTCGATGGAATATCGTTGTCATCGTCGATACCGAGGTGAACGCCCAAAAGCTGTGCAATTGATTTGACGCCGGTGAAGTCTTTCAGTCCCGGCGTTCCGGAGAGGATCCATTTTGAGCGGGCTTTAATCTCCAGCAGGGGGCGACTGCCTCGGATCTTTGTTTGTCGTCCCATAGGTAGGTGTACTCGTCTACGACGAGGCGGTTCCATCTGATGCCGTGTAGAATTGTCTGAAGGAAGGGGATATTTTCCTTGATAGACAGAGGCAAGAGGCTTAGCATGACAATATCAGCCTTCAGTAACTCTGATTCGTTGAACTTTTTCAGTGTTGGAGTATTTCTCAGTAGCACGACCTTGTATTTGCATCCGAGGAACTTCTTGATCTCCCCAGCCCATTGCGTGAAGAGATTCATCGGTGTAACGATCAGAGTGGCGTGGTGGGAGGTTTTATACTTTGCCCTCATCTCAATAGCTCTTTGCGAATCTGTTGTGAATTGAGAATCTATCAGACCACAGATCACAGTCGTCTTGCCAAAACCGACTTCATCGGCACAGAGACCGCCCCGAATGACTCGTTTCATGCACACCTTGACTTCAGCACGCCATCGCCGGCAAGATGGCTTCGTCGACTTCCTCTTCTGTGAAAGGGTCGATCTCCTCGCTCTCCTGGGCGATCATCCAACCCAAAGACCGGCGCTGTTCTTCATCTAGGGTGACTCCCTTTTCAAAGCCTGGTGGGTTTTCCGCGGCCGTATCCTCCGTGTTGCTGGAGAGGGTAAAAGCTCTGAGTGACCGCTTCGCCAGATCAAGGGTATTTGTAACAAGTCGCCAGCTGATATCGACCTTCGGGACATCAGAAGCGTGCACCAAACCAACCAATCTTCCACAAGCGTGATGAGCCATTGTGCGAATATTGACGGAAAATCGAAGCTCAGCTTGTTCATCAATAACTCGAGAAAGGAGAATGTATGATGGCGGTTGCAACTTGATACTGCGCTCATACCGCGCAGCTTCTTGGGCCTTCTCCGAGCGTGCGCCGGATTTGGGGTCTGTGATGATGGGGAGTTTGGGCTGGCAGATGCTACAGATCTGGTCTCTTGATGGGGGAAGAGTCGTGTCGGTACTGATTTGTTTCCAGTCGTGCATCGCCATTTGCATTGGTGCCCTCTGCAGTACCCAGTTGAGATCGTTTAGCTCACCGGGGAATCTTCCAAGCTTCTGTATCTCCCAGTCCAAGGACGTATTTGGCTCTAGCTGAGGACAGAGAATTGCTGAGGGGCCCGAGACTGCCAGTAAAGCGCTGTATGCTTTGTGGCAATCTTCAGCGGCGTGGGCGCCCATTGGGCATGCCCTTGAAATGGGACATGTTGCTTCCCTTGCTGGTCGGGATCGCGGGGAAGCGAGATTTGTCGATGCAAATCATGTATCCACGCTGACGTGTTTGCGGGATGTAGAAATATCTTTGGTGTCGACATCCACTCTGAAAGCCTCGTAGTTGAGGGCAACCAGGCGTTTCTCCATCTCTTCCCAAGGGGCACTCTTGATGTTCTCCAGGATGACAAAAGTCGGCCGCTGGTTCTTAACATAGCCCAGAAGACCTCGAAAGGTTCTACCGGACTGGCCCTCATCATCCAGTCCTTTCCGTTTGGAGTTGAGTCTTGAAAAGTCCACGCATGAGGTCCCGGCGATAAGAAGGTCGCCTCCGGAAGGGACTTTTTTCAGGGCACCGTATGCCGTGTGACTATGTTTATCTGTCAGGTTCGATTCACATCTGACATGATGCTGTGATGACTTACGCTTGTTTCTTGCTTAGTTCAGTGATATCTCGGAAGAGGATTGGAGGGCTGAATGTGCGTTCGATGTATGCCTGCTTGAAAGGCTCGATCTCGCAACTGAAGAGGTGAATGAATTCGAAGTCCAGGCCGGCTACTCCATGAATCGGTACAATGGAAACGTACTAGCCTGATTTTGAGAAGGGTTTCTGCGGGGTGCAATTGCTGCATACCTCTCTGGACCATATCCAGTGCCAGAAGCGGACTTTCGGTGCCCGAGCACATAGTTGCCACGCGAAGTGGTCTATCCTTGAGAGTGTTCAAAACATGACCAAACCCATTATCCAAGGCCTTTTTGGTAGGGTAGGACTCCAGGGACCCCCCCTCTAGCTAGAGAGACCCCCCTTTTACTCCTCGGACTCCCCCAGGGCTAGGGGGACCCCCTCATGCCTGAATTATAAGACAGACATTCCTATTTAGGTTTAGCGTAAGGCAGTAAGGTTTGTATCACATGATACATAACCCCTCAAAAAATTCTTGGAGGTTTTCTGCCAGATCTCTAGTCACATGACTAATTATTCTGCCGCTTTCTGCCATTCTGGTCTCTACAGCCTACCATTCTGGTTCAGCCAATCAGACGCCACCATTTCTCACTCGTACAAGTTGCTTAAATTCGTCAATCTACAGCTATCTAATGCATGATTCTTTGGCTGTGATTCAGGCGCTTGATGCATTAGACGCCTCAGATACGTCAGATATAGCTGCCTGGCTGCCACGGGCTCGGCCACGCCTACGAGGTCCTCCGTTTTTAGGCGGTGACGAGGTTGTGGAAGCGGTGTGAGGACAGTGAAGGCGGAGAAGGGGGGGGGGTCTCTCTAGTAAATTTTTGCCTAGGGATTTTTGCCTCACTGCCTTACGCTAAACCGAAATAGGAATGTCTGTCTTATAATTCAGGCATGGGGGGTCCCCCTAGCCCTGGGGGAGTCCGAGGAGTAAAAGGGGGGGTCTCTCTAGCTAGAGGGGGGGTCCCTGGAGTCCTACCCTTTTGGTAAGGCCCCGGAAAATATCTTCTAGGCGGTAGATCGGTGGCAGGTCACGGTTGAAGAAGTTGTCCACAGGGTCCAAATTTCCCCTCATAACTTCGGGCGGTTCTTCGCCAGAGGGTTGGTCAGCGTGAGAATGACGAGTTCCATGGCGTCGGATAGGCAAGGCTGGCGAATCGTGACCCTGGCACTCCGAAGACATCCTTCGAGATCTTTGAGTTAGCCGCTGCCACACCGAAGCATAGGCAAGCAGTGTTGTGTTGCCCGTTTGCTCTTCTTTCTGACATTTTTTCGTTGCAGTAATACTTATCATACTTACCTAGAAGATCTTGTTCCAAGTATCTTGGGATCGGGCACTTCCACGTATCTGGGTTGTGTGTGGTACGTGTTGTACGAAAGGTGACAGCGACCTCGAGGGTAGAAAGGTCTCGAGAACACGGAAAGCTTCGAGGACAAGTCGAGGATAACAAAGGCCTCGAGGATAAAAATGACAAACTTCCAGCGGGAAGACTGAAAGTTCACGCAGGAGGCGGAGACGAGTGGGAAGAAGAATTAGTGGGAGGGGGAAAGGTAGAAGAAGTAGAAAGAGGGCAAACGAGGGGCAGAGAAGAGGATAAGTACGCTAGTTGTAAACGGACTCTCTTCAAAATGAAGGCAAAGGTCGAGAGCAGCTGTGAGGGGAGCGGAGTCAGTGAAATTGCGAGAGCAGGATGCCCAATCTGGAAGACTTGAAAGAGAGGCAGCGCGTGTTTCTTGTTGAACGCAGCACTCCTTCGACCCACTGAACTGATTCGTGGCTTCGATTTCCAGAAAGCAATTTTAAATACAAAACCCTGCTTCGCGGAGGAAGCAGCAGCATCTATAAAGAATGTCTAGACATCATGCGCTATGTCCTGGCTTGAGCCTGGAGGCTCGAGGGTACCATGCAGTCAAGGATACCACCCACGAATTATTCACCGTCATAAATTCAAGGGCATTTTTACGAGAAAGAATTGAATCCATGCATGTATCCCACCTGGCTGTGAAGAAACAGCAACCCTCGAATATTCAAGATAAGGGCAAGATTTCTATATCGCTGTTCCGGGCAAGTACAGATTTTAAATCTACGAAAATGACATGATTTTGAAAATGAATTGTTCGTATTGTAAAGGTACATTGAAGATTGAGGCTGGTATGCAGAAAAATGTGCTCGAATCCATAACGCCAGTTGCGCCGCCCTTCGCCAGGTCAAGGATTTGATCGATGAAAAAAGGAAGTAAATCCCCAGATCAAAAATTTCAGCCAGAGTTGCTGCAATTGAATGTGGTTTGGAGTTATTAGGTGCCAAGAGTAGAAAATGTTACCCCAAGGCATCAAAGGTCATAATTTTCTTTCATTTTTGACGTCTTATGTTTGGCGGACGCGGGTATGATCACCGCATGCCACCTCCCATCATTTGCTGGCGCAAAATCATGATCTGTTGGCGTTCTGTGGGAGGAAGAGCATCAACCATAGACTGCGGCATATTGAGCACTTGCTGGAGAAGCTCGTCTCTCTGTGGGTTCGGAGCCTGGGTAGCAGCGGGCTGCGCAGGCGGAGGTGCGAAAGGGCCGCCAGCAACGGGCGGGGTACCGGTCTGGCCAGGGACACCTGCGTAAGGCGGGTACGCAGCAGCCTGGGGAGCAGGGGCGACTTGTGTAGCTTGCTCGACAATGGATCCCAAGAGCTGGTACTCCACAAGGTTCATCAACAGCAAAGCCTGGAAGATAGCGTATGCGAGCTGCGGAGCTTGACGCAGGAGCTCTGTTGCACGAATGGGATCGTTCACAGCAAGATTCTTGAACTCAGTGAGGACATCGAGGAGCTGATTTGGCGGAAGAGCGGCAAGTGTGTGGGAGATGGCATTGGGGCAGTCGAGGTGAGGCGGAATCTCCGCGCCAGGCGGGAGAGGAGGAAGCGGTGCAGATCCAGGAATCTGCTGCATTTGCTGCGACGGGTCCTGGGTAATGGGCTGCGATTCCTGGGGATAATCGGTAGGCACGGAGTCCTTTTCGTTGTTGTGAGGCCAGTCGACGCGGATCTTGCGGCCCATGATCTCGTAATCGTTGAGGTTGCGCACAGCCGAAGCAGCGGCGTCGGCGTCGGCGAAATCGGCGAATCCATAGCCCTTGGGCTTCCCAGTCTCAGGGTTCATCATAAGGCGAAACTTGGTGACAGTACCGGCGGTGCTGAGGATGTCCTTGACCTGCTCCTCAGTGAGGTCTGGAAAAGCAGTTAGTAGGTGTGACGCGGGGCTCGATTTCAAAAGAATAAACATACTGTAGGGGATGTTTCCCAGGAACACGCTCTTTCCCGTGCGATCAGGCGCCATGGTTGTGAAGGGCTGCGACGAACTGGAGAGATGGAGGAAGCAACGACCGATACCGTTGCAGGATGAGAGAAGATCTGCCGGACTTTTATTCACCGCCCGATTCACTACCTTCTTCCAACTTCCCGAAGCCCTCCACTTCACTCAAACGCCCTCCGCACTCACTCACACATCATGTCTCAGAATCAACGGGAAGCCTGGGAGCGTGTGCAGCTCATGCTGCAGAAGCGCAAGGCTGGTTTTGGTGGATTTCCCGGAGGTGGCGGTCGCGGCGGCTTCGGCCTGGCCGGTTCTCTCATCCTGCTCGGTGTCGGTACCTGGGCAGCTTCCAACTCCCTCTTTAACGGTATGCTACGTCTGCTATCCTCGATCGATTCATTGTCTGACATACAATTCAGTTGACGGTGGTCACCGCGCCATCAAGTACTCTCGAGTAAGTGGTGTGCGGAAAGAGATCTATTCCGAAGGTAGGACTGCTCCCCGGGAAGTTTAGCATGAGCGATATGATATGTCCTAACACCACGGCACGATTATAGGAACTCATATCCGTATTCCCTGGCTCGAGACTCCCATCGTTTATGACGTCCGCGCCAAGCCGCGCAACATCGCCTCCTTGACCGGTACCAAGGACTTGCAGATGGTGAACATCACCTGCCGTGTTCTGTCCCGACCTCGTGTGGACGCTCTGCCCCAGATCTACCGTACCCTCGGCCAAGACTTTGACGAGCGTGTGCTTCCCTCAATCGTCAACGAAGTTCTGAAGAGTGTTGTCGCCCAGTTCAATGCCAGCCAACTGATCACTCAGCGTGAGAATGTTGCTCGTTTGGTTCGTGAGAACCTGGCGCGCCGTGCTGCTCGTTTCAACATCGCCCTCGACGATGTCTCTCTGACTGTAAGATCTCTTACGCATATTGACGATGACATCCGCTAACATGTTTTCGACCTGCAGCACTTGACCTTCTCTCCTGAATTCACCGCCGCTGTCGAAGCCAAGCAAGTCGCTCAACAGGACGCTCAGCGTGCTGCCTTCCTGGTCGACAAGGCCCGCCAAGAGAAGCAGGCCTTCATTGTCCGCGCCCAGGGTGAGGCTCGCTCGGCTGAACTGATTGGTGATGCTATCAAGAAGAGCAAGAGCTATATCGAGCTGCGCAAGATCGAGAACGCCCGCCACATCGCCCAGATCATCCAGGAGAACGGTGGCAAGAACAAGTTGTATCTGGACAACCAGGGTCTTGGTCTGAATGTCAATGCGACGAGCGAGGAGAACAAATAAATCACATTAATTGGGCGCCGGGTGGATCAAATTATGTACAAATAGCTTTATCAGAGCATCCGAATGCGGTCTCTTCTCTTCAATTTTTGTCTGATATCCATACACGTCGCAGTGCTACACTAAGGTAATTTATAGATTTGTAGACCAGCTTTGGTGCTCGAGATGCCCGCAGCTGCAGATATATTTGGGCGCGGGGACGAAAGGCGGCGAGCGGGACTCCACCAACTTTTTTTATCGCCCGCCATTCCCTACTTTGCTTTCCTCAACACATTCAGACTCGAGGAATTCTTAGTAAGTACAGATGTGCAGCGTATGCCTTGATCTCAGTTGCAACCGAGATTCCCACTATTGGGAAATGCTAATGCGCACAAGAACCACCATGGCCGAAGCAGAACCCAAGATCAGCTTCCAACAGATCGACGTCGACCTCGACGTACAAGAGATCCTCCTCGCCGCCTCACAACACGACCTCGCGAAGCTGCGCCGTCTCGTCCGCACCCAATCGTCCCTCCCAGACGCAGCGAACGTCAAGGACCCTGAAACCGGATACTCACCCCTCCACTCCGCAATCGCAGCCTGCGAGCCCGAGACCGAAGAACAAGCCAAAGGCGATGCCTCTAAGATTGATGCGGAGACTCTAAAATCTGGCGTGGAGACCGTCAAGCTCCTCCTGCAGGAGGGCGCGATCTGGAACGACCTCGATAACAACAATGAGACACCGGGCTGTCTTGCGCGCCGAATTGGCGCCCTGGAGCTCTACGATCTTATCGTGGACGCGGGTGTGCGGGCTGAAATGCTTCTAAACCGATTGGACGGGTACGAAGAGCTCTCCGACGACGAAGACGATATCAAAGAGAGCGGGGAGAAGGCCGAAGGTGCAGAAGCCGAGACTGAAACCGAGGCGCCGGAGCTGGTGGATGTGACGGCCGAGCAGGCCGCGACTATCATCGCCAATGCGAATGCCGAGGCCGAAACTGTTGCCAACCCCGACGTGACGAATGTGAAGTACCTCGACTCAAACCTGAATATCCAGAAAGACCGCATTCTCGACTCCGACCAGAACGGCGTCATGATGCAGTGGGAGAGCGATATCATGAAGAAATCTGCCGTGGCGCTGCTCCCGCGCCCCGGTCTGAAGGTTCTTAATATTGGACATGGAATGGGGATTGTGGATGGGTTTTTTCAGGAACAGAGTCCTGCCGAGCATCATATTATCGAGGCGCATGCGGATGTTGCGGCTGAGATGAAGAAGCGCGGTTGGGATAAGAAGCCTGGTGTGGTGATTCATGAGGGCCGGTGGCAGGATATTTTGCCTGGGCTTGTGGGCGAGGGCGTCACTTTTGATGCGATCTATTATGATACCTTTGCTGAGTCGTATGCGGATTTCCGCGAATTCTTTTCCGAGCAGGTTATTGGTTTGTTGGAGCAGGAAGGAAAGTGGGGATTCTTTAATGGGATGGGGGCTGATCGGCAGATCTCCTATGATGTTTATCAGAAGGTGGCCGAGATGGACCTGTTCGAGGCTGGATTTGATGTTGAGTGGGAAGATATCCCTGTGCCCAAGTTGGAGGGTGAGTGGGAGGGAGTGAGAAGGGCCTACTGGGTGGTAGAAAACTACCGTCTGCCGCTGTGCCGGTTCATGGAATGAGAAACGTGATGCGATTTACGAGTGATGAGAGATATTAAAGACTTTCCGTGCATGTTGATTCCCTGCCGGGAAATGATTGGTTCTATGAAACAGATATGTGACGCTTGGGAAATGCTATGCAATAGAAATACAGCAACGCTCATGGAATGCAATGGATCACAACTGGATCAAATCCACCTCAGAGAAGTCGGGCGGACTGCGACTGAATATTGTCCGGCACTTGCCATCCAACGCTTGATATTCGTTGCTAACCCAGATGTGTTTACTGAAGCGCTGGGTCCGATACACCTCGTCATTACTGACTCCGATGTCATCGCGAGGAATCCAGATCACAGGTCGTTTAGCGCGAAGGGCTTCATGTTGGAAGGCTCGCTGGACCAGTTGATCACGCTCGTCAGGTGTGAGGTCCTCCAATTCATCATGGATACCTGCAAAGAGAGCATGCCCCAATTTGTTCGTGGAAGGCCCTTGGGCTTCCGCATCGTTCGCCATCATTTCACGGAGACCTTTCACAGCAGGACTCGCCGTGGCCGAGCTAACACCGAAATACTTGGATCGCCGATTCGACTGGGTGGCACGGTCGGCCCATGAATGTTTCTTCCTGCCGAGCTTTGGAGTAGATAGAAGGCCCTCTGATGTATTGCGCTTGGAGGGTTTGGGACCTGTATCCAAGCTTCGGAGTTCGATATCTTTCTCATTTTGATCCTGGTGACGTTTCTGACGTTCTTGATCAGCAAGCTGCCGCTCAAGCGTTTTACCCTGCTCCTCCTCTTCGTCTTCGTCATTATCATCGTCATCATCAACGGTCAAGCCCAACCGAACATGTTGAGCACGGTTGAACTCCTGATCGCGACGAACGGCCTCCTCTTCCAGCGTAATCGGCAAGTAACGAATGAGAGGCCCAAAAGCCTCATTCAGGAGGATTTGATATCCGATGGTCAGGACGAGGACGACAATCATACAGACAGCTTGGCCTTCGCAAGCTACCTTGCCATCTTCGTCTCGAACCAAGAAGAACAAACCGATCAAGCAAACTTCCATGACATAAAGGCCAGTGAAAAGCTGATTGATGGCCCGAGGAAACAGGAGACCACCAGTGTCGAAGCGGAACTTTGTGACGTATAATGTATTGTACCGGTAGACGAACCAGAAGAGGCTGAAAGTGATGATGTTGAAAACCAAGATAAGAGGAGCAACAACAGAGTAGATCAATCCTACAAAGCATTAATAAGCCACCGCTGTCTGTGGGTAAGGTTGAAACAACTTACCAATTGAAGCTAGGACGGTATACACTGGGAAAAAGGTACCCCATTGCATCTGGTTCAAGTTTGTCGTGCGAGCCCACTTTTTCCTGGCAGTGGAATCCAAGATCGGCGCGAGGATGAACCAGCTAATCAGGCCGAAGATCTGCACCAAAGCACCAGCACTCACAGACATGGCTTGTAGAATCATATATGAGAAGAAGTAGTTACTGGACTTGGGGATGTTCTGGGCCAAGAGTTCCGGCCAGCTGGTCACGTCGGTGATGTTTTCGATGATAGTTGAAAAACTGGAGGCAATAGTGACGACCAAGAACAGCTGCACAAACAAGAATGCGAAATAGTAGTTTTGGACCGTTAACTCAATAGCCATGCCGGTGTGGACACCCTGGGTCCGACTTAAGAACCGAAGAATCAGAGGCAGGAGTGCCATGAGGATGGCAAGAAACAGTGCGGGGAGAATACCCTGAATGGCAGAAATGAACCAGTTGGGCAATTTGCTGAGCCATTCTAGCCACGTGAATGTGCCTTCCAGGTAGGATAGTTGTGACAAGAGACCAGTAAAGGCGACAGGGAAGGCCCAGCCAACAACCATTGCACAGACGAGAATAATGATTCCGAATGTACGCAGATAGCGTTCCCACCATCTGATAGACATGTTGTCCCAGATGACATCGTCGGGAGAAATCTCCACAATACGAGGCGCCATTTGCTTTGGTACGTGGTGAGCGACGGATTGACAGGCCATATGCGCTGCAACTTGATGGTTGAATTGAACAAATGCCGAGTTCATGAGAGGGAACCGCTCCGGGTTTTGCTGGTCGACTTCGATTTCCAGATTTAGACGAGCCAGTTCTTTGCGACAATAGTCAATGGTGTCGACCTTCTTCCCGATGAGCCAGAGTGAAGGCATCCACTTCCAGCCGAAGATAGGAAGACGCATGGTATCTCGGTCCTTTGCCCGGATGTACTTCTCCCATACCGGTTCTCCATAGTCTTCATTATCAAAGTCCTCGTTATAGGCGATCGGGTACTCTTCCCCTTCGACTTCCTCGCCTTCCTTGAGGCTTTTGCGGTTTTTGACCTTGTTCTTCTTGTCCTTACTGCCTTTTGTCTTCGCAGATCCACGTCGATCTGACTCCTCCGCAGGGGTGTCAGGAGCCGTTAGAGGGTACTCGTCGGGCTCGGGCACGGAACTTTTGGACCGAGATGAGGATACTCGTGTCTTCCAGGATGGTCGCTTGGGCGGTGCTGTTTGTTCAGGGAAGGTAGTAGAGGCCGCTTGGTTTTCGGGTGTTCGTGGAGCCTCGACAGAGTGAACAGGCCCGGCAATCGCATCGTCGGTAGGCGAATGTGAGCCGTTTGCTTGAGAGGAGTTTCCACCGAACATCGCATCGTCTGTTGCTACCCATCCTCCATTTCGCGTCAAGGTCCCATCGATACCCCCCTCAACCTTCTTGAGACCACCCAGAACAGACTTGCCAAGCTTTTCGACACCGAGTCCAACGGCTCCAGCGGCCGCGAGAGCAGGGTCGAAAACGCCCCCATTCCGCCCACTTTCAGCAGACGGGTCTCGTGAATGCCCGCCTGGCTTTCGGTGAAGAATTTCGCGTAATGTGTGTGCCTGATGGGGATCGCCAGAACTGATGCCGGGCCCCATGGCCAGTTGTGATGCTCGCTGGTCGGTTTCCTTCTTTTCGTGTTCCTCAACCTTATCACTGTTCTTTCCAGCCTGCTTGGCCTCGGCTTTGGCTTTCTTGAGTGCCGCCTTCTTGCATTTGATGATGAGGTCTGTCTCTGCTCCCTCGAGCTTGAGAGCGAGTTCGTTTCTCTCCTTGACTTTCTCATTCAAGTCATCGAAGTTGCGGTTGATCCAAATATTTCGAACACCACCCGGGAAAACGTCAAAAAGGTTGTCTAACGATTCAATGTTTAACCAGTTAGGCGGAATAGCCGTCACGAGCACGGTGGTCGCAGAGGCGCGAAGCCGGTGTTGTGGGGAGGTCATATAGGCCTGTCGCATGCGGATATACCCTCTCAGCTCGTCGAAAAAGATACCACAAACGTAGAAAACGACGATGACCGCCATCACCAGATGGGCCCAGTAACGATGGGTATGCTCCGGCTTGACATTACCCCAGGCCAGCTGATCCAGGCCCGTTACACTCCAGTGACTGCCATTCTCGGTGCCATTCATGGATGTTGTGCCTTTTCCATCCACACGATTGATTGGGAGCAGCACTGGTAGAATCAAGAAGCCGAGGGGAAGAAATATCTTCAACAACATGCGAAGGTATCGTAGGAAGAAATAGGCGTCGAGCCCACATTTCTGAATAAATTCTGTGCTGGAAGTCCGAAACACGGGGCCGACCCAGCGAAAGAGACCCGGGGGGGATGGTTTCGTTCGTTCACGATCGGGGACGAGGTATGTACGAGGTTGACTGCGCATGGCAATGTTAGTGTCCCCTCCGTTGAAATTTATGGGCATCCGTCAGGGCGGGGGGCAACAACGTACTAGATTCGGGTCAGTTTACCCTTGAGCAACATAAAGAGCAGAAATTCGACCGCAAAGACGATCATGGCCGACGCCAGCGAGGCCAGGAAGGTCTGAATGGAGACCCCAGCAGCGGTACGGCCATGGCCGCCTGTATGCTCCAGGGCTTGCTCCAGCTCCGAGCTCAACCCCATCGCGGCGACTGAGTTGGCGCAGAAAAAACTAACGCAGCTAACAAAGAGTATGGAAAGGGTTGTCGGATCCCCAGGATAATGGGAGAACTCCCTTGCAGGTGTTTCCCAGGTCAGAGGTAGTTGTTCTGAAATTTGAGAGGGAAGAGCATGGTCCAGGAAAGAAGTGGGCGTGGGGAAAAGAAACAAGAAAAGCGAGTGGAAAACAAAGCCAGTGACGATCCAGCATCAATCGGGTGTGGAGTCGCCTTATGGTTCAGAAGCGCGGGCTTTGTCCGTCACACAATGACTGAAGTGGCTGGAGTTTGAATTGGCGCCAAAGGACCTGACAGCTCCCCGCTAGCACGGCGATACCAGGGATGATTGGAGGAATCGTGGATGCGCCGATCGGCTGTGGAATGACATCAGGCGCCAGGTGAAACCACTAAACAGATTCCGGGTTTGAGGCAGATTGCAGGCTCCCCAACTGGTTTCCACGGGCGCAAGCTGCAACAAGCAACAAACAGGACCCGAGTCGCCGGTGAGCGAGGCAGCAAGCAAGAACCCCTAAGTCGCGCTTGTCTTGGGAGAGGGTCATTTTGTGGAACTCGAACAGAAAGGGGAAAGTGCGGCGGATGGGCGATCGGGGGTGGCGGTGCCGAAACGAGGGAAAGCCACTTGTCGTCCAGATCTGGAAGGTAGCATCGCCACACTTCTGAATCAGGAACGGTTCCTTGGTCAGGTGATCAATCCTCCTTCCCGGGAGTCATATGGTGTTTAAATCACATGACGCGATTGCGAACACGCTCGCCCAAAAAGGAAACCACTTAACGCGTAAAGCCGCCAAGCGCGTCGCAGCGCGTCTTAGGAAAAGTTGTTACTCCCTTTCTCCGAGGCCGCCCCATCCTCACCACCCACCATTCATCCCAACCCATCCCCCTCGAAGTCATACACACACACATCATGTCTTCGCCGGCTCCACGGAGGGGTCGCTCCGCAAAATCGACGGCTTCGCCCACCTCGTCGGCTCGTGAGCCTCCCAGCAGCCCGAGTCAACAGCAGGCTACTCCCCGCGCTGCACGACGCCTGGCGGCTGAGCGAGCTGCGCAATCATCATCGCCAATGTTCTTCCAGTCATCTCCCACCCGATCAAACCGCGGAGCAGAGACGCCCGATGTTCGGATGGCTGAAGCGAGCTCGACTGTTGACGATGGCGAGAGGACACCACGAGCCAACAATGCAGGAATTCGAGGTATGCGAAAAACAGAAAAAAATAATTTAGCGACTGAACTAACAATCGATAGACTCCTCCCCAATCAATTATGTTCCCAGCTCTTCACCGACCAGGGGCTTCGCCCGCAATGATATCCGATCCGACATTCGCTCAGATGCCAACAGTGTAAGCAGTGGACTTTTTGTCTCCCCGGGTGGCCAAGGTCGCCGGGGAGGACCCCGTCGTAGTGACCTCCACTCTGGCGGCTTTGGATCGACTCCATCTCGCAGAAACCGTCTTTTCGTGGACGCCAATGGCATGCCCTCTGGCGATAACGCTCACCGGTCCGATGCCACCTTCTCGAATCTCAATCCTGGCACCTCCGAGGCCGAAGCGATGGCCGGCAACTCCTCTCGTGTCATCTGGGGTACCAACATCTCGATCCAGGACTCCATGTCTGCCTTTAAGAACTTTCTCTATAATTTCGCTACCAAGTACCGTCTTTGGGCGGACGGTGCCTCCGAGGACGAGACCCGGATTCTGGGCGATGCGGCCGAGAAGCGGGAATACATTACTTTGCTCAACGACATGCGTCGACTCGGTATGACGACTTTTAACTTGGATGCTCGCAATCTGAAGTCCTACCCCCTGACTAAGAAGCTGTGGCACCAATTGCTGGCTTATCCCCAAGAAATTATTCCGTTGATGGATCAGACTGTGAAGGATGTGATGGTGGATCTGGCATTGAAGGAGATGGATGTTCTGAGGTCTGAGCACCACCAGCGTGGTATTCCTCGGGATCGCCGCGGCCAGTCGATTCTCACCTCTGATGGTGCCGTGCCTGCGGCCGAGGTGCCCGACCTGGTCGGTGAAGTCGAGGCCATGTCATACAAGGTGCTTCCGTTCGGTTTGGACAAGACTGTGAACATGAGAGATCTCGACCCAGCTGGTAAGTTGAAGATATTCAAATGTTCCATTTTGAAGATACTAATTTTACAATAGATATGGATAAGCTGGTCAGCATCAAGGGTCTCGCTATCCGTACCACTCCCATCATCCCCGATATGAAGGAAGCCTTCTTCCGCTGCCACGTCTGCAGCTACGGTGTCCAGGTTGACATTGACCGTGGCCGTATTGCGGAGCCAACTGTTTGCCCCCGTGATTCTTGCAAGGAGAAGAACTCGATGCAGCTCATCCACAATCGTTGCTCGTTCTCCGATAAGCAAGTTATCAAGCTCCAAGAAACCCCGGACAACGTGCCCGATGGTCAAACCCCGCACTCGGTTTCTCTCTGTGTGTACGATGAATTGGTCGATGTCTGCAAGGCTGGTGACCGTGTCGAGGTGACTGGTATCTTCCGTTGCAACCCCATGCGGGTCAGTGCCCGCCAGCGTTCCCAGAAGACACTGTTCAAGACCTACATCGATGTCCTGCATGTCCAGAAGGTCGACCGCAAGAAGATGGGTATCGACATGTCCACCGTCGAGCAGGAGATGTCCGAGCAGGCGGCCGAGGCTGACCAGGCCCGCAAGATCTCTGCGGAGGAAGAGGAGAAGATCAAGCGCACTGCTTCACGTCCCGATGTCTACGAGCTGCTGGCCCGTTCTTTGGCACCCAGTCTTTACGAGATGGATGACGTGAAGAAGGGTATCTTGCTGCAACTGTTTGGCGGTACCAACAAAACTTTCCAGAAGGGAGGTAACCCCCGCTACCGTGGAGACATCAACGTCCTCCTCTGTGGTGACCCCTCGACGGCCAAGTCGCAGCTGCTGCGCTATGTCCACAAGATCGCCCCTCGCGGTGTTTACACCAGTGGTAAGGGTTCGTCGGCCGTTGGTCTGACTGCCTATGTCACTCGCGACCCCGAGACCAAGCAGATGGTTCTCGAGTCTGGTGCCCTGGTCTTGTCAGATGGCGGAACCTGCTGTATCGATGAATTCGATAAGATGAACGAGGCGACCCGTTCCGTGCTTCACGAAGTGATGGAACAGCAGACCGTGTCCATTGCCAAGGCCGGTATTATCACGACCCTTAACGCCCGCACCTCTATCCTGGCCTCCGCCAACCCCATCGGCAGTCGCTACAACCCCCGTCTGCCCGTTCCGCAAAACATCGATCTCCCCCCGACCCTTCTCTCCCGTTTCGACCTGGTCTACCTGGTGCTCGACCGCGTGGATGAATCGGAAGATCGCCGACTGGCCAAGCACTTGGTCAGCATGTACCTGGAAGACACCCCCGACAACGCCAGCTCGGAGGAGATCCTCCCCATCGAGTTCCTGACGGCCTACATCACCTACGCCAAGACTAAAATCCACCCGGTCCTGACTCCTGCCGCCGGCACCGCTCTTGCGGACGCCTATGTCGCCATGCGCAAGCTGGGCGACGACATCCGGGCCTCGGAGCGCCGCATCACGGCCACCACCCGACAGCTGGAGTCGATGATCCGTCTCTCTGAAGCCCACGCCCGCATGCGCCTCTCCACCGAGGTGACCGCAGACGACGTCGAAGAAGCCGTGCGTCTGATTCGCTCGGCCATCAAGCAGGCCGCGACAGACTCGCGCACGGGTCTGATCGACATGGGTCTCCTCACAGAGGGCACTAGTGCCAGCGAGCGACGCATGCGCGAAGATCTGAAGAAGGCGGTCCTGGCCCGTCTGGACGACCGTGGCGGCGTGGGCGGCGCGGCCGTGCGATGGAGCGATCTGTTCCGCGACATGAGCGAGCAGAGCGATGTGTCGCTGGACCACAACCAGTTCGGTGATGCGGTGCGTTCGCTGGAGCAGGAGGGCGCGGTGCACGTGTCGGGCGATGGGGCCCGGCGCAGTATCCGCAAGGCGGCGGCCGGCCTGTCCTAGGTGATATGATCTCTATGAACTTGAATGATTGGGCAGCATATATTTATTTTGTATTGTCTCTTTCCCGGGTTTGCAGGTGGGCGTTTTCAGGGTTGCTGCATTGTTTTGCCGAGTATTATTAGTGTTCGTTGGGGAGTCGCGTGAGGTCCCTCCGGAGTGGGATGGATCGACCTATTGCCGCATGGCCGCATAATGTAAAAATTCATACTTATTCCAACCCATTTTGCCTTGCACAGCCTTCCACTGGACTCCTCGAGTCGGTGTATTTGCGTAGAGTAGACCCCTTTATTTAGTGTAGTATGGTCGGCTATACTGCCAGTGCATGGGTGGGCCAGGCTAAATGGGACGGCCCCGACGGTGTCTCATCCGCACGGCTCGGTAGTTCAACTTCCCCATGCCTAAGCTTTGCACTGTTTATACTTGAACATACCCGTATGCCCTGCCACTGCCTTACAAAGGTTAGGTACTACAAGCGCAAAAGCAAATTGTATCATGCATTGCACGCAAGCTAGTAAGCTTGCTCATCAAAAGTGAAACTGTCACCATACATTATTATTGTCGGCCCACTGACCGAGCCGTGGCGATCCTGGTGATGTACTGCATCTACTGTATGATTGAACGTGACACAATGTCTATTACTTACAAAAGACCTAGTCAGCTTGAGTACGTTTGACGTTATACTTAACCCGGCAGCTCATTTCATGCCTACGCAGGGTATTGACTTCGACGATACCAGGTATTGCCCTAATATTGACTGTGTAGTCTTTGCCACTTACCTTTCGGGGCCATCTTAGGGGCTTTTTAGGGCCAGACTAGGCTGTCGTCCGTAGTGTAAACATCTTCATGTCTCCACCCGACTCAGAATACATCGAGCACGTGTGCCAGCGACTGGCCGATGATGCAAGTGGGTACGCTGAGTCAGCCGATAGCTGCAGCTGGAATGCTGGGGACCCGCCGAGACGGGACCAATCAGCGCCGCCAGCTAACAGAGATGGTCGAGTCGGCTGGTCCTCCCGCCGCGATGAGATATGAAACGGGCACTACCACAAGGAACACTCGTACAGATGCTAGTGCAAGGAAGCTTTCTTATTATCCAAAGGTACTGCAGTCCGCCCGGAGCCACCGTGGTGCCCGTAACAATACGCCGTATTGCGGTTGCACTCAACCGCGGATGGGTCCAGCCTAGCCGTTCTCGGGCGGCCGATAAGCGTCACGCCTCCAACGCCTGCACCTTCTCTTCCTCCGAACACCTCTGGACGTGGGATTGATCTTGTCCACCGCCTCGTCCCCCTCCTGCCCAGCATGAGGTAAGTCGCCATCCATTCCCACACCCTGTGCATTCCCCGGGGCGCTCACCCGCATGCCCCAGTCCAGCTAGAGCTAACCGGCCGGGTCTGGCCCGTCTCTCAGGTTCGGTGAATACCTCCACTCCTCCATGATCAAGGAGTACCATCCGTTCTACATAGCCTACGACGAGCTGAAGAAGAGTCTCAAGACCGACTACGTGACGCCGCCGACTCCCGAAAACACCAAACCCGCCCGCCGCGAATGGACCGAGGACGACGAGAAGGCTTTCGTCACTTTGCTTGAGACCGAGCTGGAGAAGGTCTTCAACTACCAGAAGCGAAAGAGTGAGGAGATTGTTGAGCGCATTAAGGAGAGTGAGGCCGAGGTCACCGATGTGATTTCTCGTTTGGAGCGCGCGACGGGCAATCGCCGTGAGAGCGTGTCTTTTCCCCCGCCCACCGATGACGATTTCCTGCTGCTCGAACAAACCCTCAGTGATATCATTGCCGATGTCCACGACCTCGCCAAATTTACACAGCTCAACTATACGGGCTTTCAGAAGATTATCAAGAAGCATGATGTGAGTTTTTGCATTAATTGGGGAACTCTCAGCTGTTTGATGATTAACTAATCTTCAAATCCAGAAACAAACCCAATGGTATCTGAAGCCCGTCTTCGCGGCTCGCTTAAACGCAAAGCCCTTTTTCAAGGACAATTACGATGCTTTTGTCGTCAAGCTCTCCAAGCTCTACGACCTGGTCCGCACCAAGGGTAACCCGGTCAAGGGCGATTCCTCCGCCGGCGGAACCCAGCAGAACTTTGTTCGCCAAACCACAAAGTACTGGGTCCACCGCGACAACATCACCGAGCTGAAGCTGGTCATTCTCAAGCACCTGCCCGTGCTGGTCTTCAATGCCAGCAAGGAGTTCGAGGAGAAGGACACGGCCATCTCCTCCATCTACTATGACAACCCCGATACCTGGGAGCTGTACCAGGGTCGTCTGAAGAAGACCGAGGGCGCCGAGGCCATCCGTCTGCGTTGGTATGGAGGCATGGAGAGCGACCAGATCTTCGTCGAGCGCAAAACGCACCGGGAGGACTGGACTGGTGAGAAGTCGGTGAAAGCCCGGTTCTCCCTGAAGGAGAAGAATGTCAATGCGTTCTTGGATGGCCGCATGACCGTCGAGCAGGTCTTTGACAAGATGCGCAAGGAGGGCAAGAAGAGCCTCGAGGAGATCAATGATCTGGAACAGTTGGCGCGGGAGATTCAGTACCGGGTTATCACTCGCCGTCTCGTCCCCGTCACTCGTACCTTCTACCACAGAACTGCCTTCCAACTGCCTGGCGATGCTCGCGTGCGTATCTCCCTGGATACTGAGCTGACCATGGTGCGAGAGGACAATCTGGATGGCCGCCGACGGGCCGGCAACAACTGGCGCCGGATGGACATCGGAGTCGACTTTCCCTTTTCTCAGCTTCCTCCCGAGGATATCGACCGCTTCCCTTACGCCGTGCTGGAAGTCAAGTTGCAGACACAGGCCGGCCAGGAGCCGCCTCAATGGATCCGTGACTTGACTGCCAGTCACCTGGTGGAAGCCGTACCGAAATTTAGTAAATTCATCCACGGCACCGCCACCCTCTTCCCAACCCGCATCAACTTGCTCCCTTTCTGGTACCCTCAAATGGACGTCGACATCCGCAAGCCCGTCTCCCAACACTACGGCATCCGTCGTCCCATCGCCAGCACCTCCGTCTCCGCCAACGACGAAGAAGACTCAGACGACGACGACTCACCGCAAACCGAACAAAGCCACGAAAACGGCTTCGCCAACCACCTTGGCGATGACAGCCGCCTCTTCACCGAAACCAACGGCAACGAACTCGACATCGAAGAGCGCATCGCCGCCCAACCCCTCCCCGGCGACGAAGACTACCCCCTCTACGACTCCGACGACGAATATATGTACGGCTCGTACTTCTCCGACGAACTCGAAGAAGCCCGGCACATCGGCGGCCTCTACTATGCCAACCAACTGGCAAAGCATTACCTGAAAGTAACCGGCTCCCTCCTGGCCGCTGGCTTCTGGGCCGTAATCCCACGTCCCCGCGCAACGGAAATGCCACCCCCTGAACAACGTGGCATCCAAGTCCTGGGCCCACATCAACGCTCGTTCAAGCGCTTCCAAGCACCACCCGGCAAAAGAATCTTTGTCCCCGTTCGCGTCGAACCAAAGGTGTATTTCGCCGCGGAACGGACATTCCTCTCCTGGCTCGAGTTCTCCATCATCCTCGGCGGTATCGCCGCGACTCTACTGAACTTTGGCGTTGATACCGTTGCCATTGCATCGTCGTGGGCATTTACGGTGCTAGCGGCTGGTGCGCTGGTGTACAGTCTTTTCCTGTATATCTGGCGTGTGGATAAGATTCGGAAGAGACGTGATGTTAAACGGGTTTATTATGAGAAGTGGGGGCCCACAATTGTTTCGGTTGGTCTTGTTGTTGTTGTGCTGGTTAATTTTGGGATGAGGATTCACGCTGGTGGGTTTATGGCTGGAAAACCGGGTGTACCTTTGCCGGTTCCTGGGAATGGGACGAGGCATGGGGAGTTGTAGAGTGATTTACATGCCATAAATTGGGCTGTGGCTTGTCATGATTGTATTGTCATATTTCAAAATTTGGATATACTTCCAGGGTTGACTGGCTGCCCTTGGATATGTGTTAGCTGTTGGCTTGCATAACTGTGATGTCTAGCATTTCGATGTTTCGTTTTACATGTATCTAGGTGCTGGGGTGTTGGATAGTTGTTTGAATATATTGTGTTGATGGTACCAGTCGGGTCTACTTTTCCCTGCCATTATGAAAATGCACTTGAAAGTTGCAACATTACTAGAGATGAGTCGAGAAAGGCGAGGAAAGAGTGAAGTAGTGAGAAGTGAGAAACGAGAGTTGAAAGTGAGTGAGGGATATGTGGAAGAATACATTGACTTGGTGATGCTGATATAAGATACAACGTGGAAAATCCGAGGTCTACTGAACACCCGTTGAGACTGACGGAATTCCGCCAATTTCTCCTCAGCATCTTGAATATTTCGCTCATGCACCCATTCGTCATAATCTGATCCTGCATTGATCCTGCGGTGTTTTGCAAGTTGTCAAAATGCTGCGCCACTTCAGACTTGTGCGGACTCAACGACCTCGCATTTGGTCGAGGCGAAGACTCTCGATAACTCGGATTTGAATGGGATACCTTGGAGGATGGACGGTCGTTGAGGGAGAAGCCGGGAGGGTGTTCGAGCTCCCAGGTATATCGGGACCTATCGGACGGCTTCTTGTTGATAGAGCGTACTGCTGAGTTGAGGTGTTGTGTCACCTCTAAGTCGGGTTTAGCTCATGATGGATGGGTGCAGCGGAATAATGCTGATCCAGACGTATTTACTTCCTAGCTCTGTGAACAACATCAATACACCACACAGATGCCGTGATTTCGTCCTCCACAAGCCGCGCAAATCCCTACGCCCGAGACCATCCTCAGCACCACGTGGCCGCCACCGTGCATATGTTTCCTGGCAGTGGCTGGTACAATCTCCATTCAAATTTCTCTCACACTACACTCAGTCTTCCTCAAATCATCTCACACGGCGTTCCTACAACTTCATCGTCCGTATGACGCTAATACCTCAGCTGCGACTCGCCCTATTCACTATCAGATCCTCGCGTAGCATGTTCCCTCGCCTTGAGAGCTCGAACTGAGCACACCGAGACCAACAAAGTCCAAATGGGAAAGAGGCGAAGGGAATTGCGATACGTTCCTCTACCCAGATCGAGAGTCCGCCTTTCCTTGTACCGCAATGGCGGGATCTGGAGCTAAGCTTTGCCGAACAGTCGGTTTTCGTGGTATCAAGAATGGAAGTGCTGGCTTGGACGCTACCCTGCAGAGCGAGTATTGCTCTTTTTCACCAGACTATGATCTGTGAGATTTCATCGAGAAGTGAACGAAGACATCGCCACTATCAATACGCTGTACGGTATGTCTTGCAGTCCTTTTTTTTGCATTACTCTTACGTCTCGCTCATACCCTGCTCCTAGTACCTTATTGGACATATGCTAACATTGCTCTCGCTTTTTAGCAAGACTCCAGAAGGAAGGCGAACTACGAAGATGAGCATACGCTAATAAACCGTTCGTGAAAATCCGGGGCAGGATTCGCAAATACAGTCAATTCATGCATCTGGGATCCTTGTGACAGTCACATTTCTCGCCAGATGCCCCTCTCTGATGCTCTGCGAAAGACGCATGCACAATACTTTCATGCAGAGTGTTAGGCTCAAGATCAAGCCCGCTATGGCTTTCTTGGGAATGAATTCCGGCTCTTCGGAGCCATTTAATTTCCTCGTTGCGGCGTATGGCTTTCGTTGGTGAGGACAAAGAGTCCCGAGGCGCGCCATCCGCTGGTGATAGTAATCAACCAGATGCAGAGTGGGGTGCGCCTGTTTTCAATGTTGAGGGTTTAAAATTCTTCAAACAGAGGATGACCCTGGAACTGGTGGGAGGGAAGAAATTATGGCATGGCTTGGGGTTTCTTTCTGGCAAAGCCGGAACATTCTCCTTCATTGTCAACTGTAAACGGCTGACGGTCGGCCCGTTGCAAGCTGATCAAGATCTGGAAGCGGTTGGCGTGCTGGTTGACAATAAGTTGCGGAAGAAGCATTGTGTCCACCACTTGCATGGCACTGCTGGAGGACGAGGTATACTCAACAAAGTCGGGGACCACATTCCAAAGTCCAGCTTAGGGGCGTGCTGTGAAGGCACTGGGAGAAGATTCACGCCGAAGCTAATTGATTGTGGGTTGCTGCCAACAGACAGCCCCGGTTTTTTGAATGACGAGCTGTTGAGATTGAGGAACGTTACTTTTAAGTGGCACAGGACTTTGAGATCTGGACGTGAAGAATATGTCGACTCAGGTCCCCGGACATGTTCGAACCCCCTCTGACGGATGGTATTCCGTTCAAAGTCGTCGGAATGGAAAACGCCCACTACACCAAGAACTGGGGTTCTGCCCATAAAATCATGAAAAATACGTCGGCATTATCACCCAAATATCACATGAGGGTTCCAGAGTATTAGCTAGACAGATTATTGGCTAGACATGTTCCGAGTCTGGTTCTACCCACGGCGACGAAAACAGCCAGGCAATCTATTGATGCGCGTGCAAGGACCACGCAACGGCTACTCGGCAACCTGAGCAACAAATGCCAAAAATATCCCCGTCAATTGACTACCCAGACAACTCGGCTATACATGGCTGGCTACAGCTTATCGACACTATGGGCGCAGCCCAGAAATGGACATAGGACTTATGATGTCGGCCTCACAAGATAGGCAATCGATAGTTCATTTTCTAGCAGGTCTTTGTCGTCTGGGTACATTGCAGTCGACCACGCAGGTCATTGCAGAGGACGGCGCATCCGTGGATGATGGGTCGGTTCGAGTTCTCGAGGAGTAAATGTTCTCCCTTCATCTGCTACGAATGCGAACGACCACGAGTTGATGAGTAAGTACTGCTCGAATTCTGCGAAGTCACTGCAGCCAGGAGGAATACCCTGTCACGAATGGCTCCGCACATACGATACCACGGTCTATGCCACTCACGCTATGACTAGAGTATCTTGCTATAACCTCTGGTATCGGAAAGACGGATATTGCGGCAGTCCTGGCCAACGTTGCTGTCGGACACGGGGAAATCAACAAATTTGTGGCCATGCACGGTTCGGAACCCCTGCACGCATCGATTCTCGGCAGAATAGTGAATGCGAGCAGGCTGATGAGAAGCAACGATGGCAGGGTGGAGTTGGAGGGTAAGTAAAAAAGCACCAATCCAATCCGCTGAGTCTCGTGCGCTTTCTCTATATATATCTTGCGTGACATGGAAACATCACGGGCCCACCAATGGGCGTAGTGCACACAGAAGATGAGGCTGAAAACGAAGCGAGTCAGCCCCAGACAATACGTGTGATAAGTCTAAATGTATCTCACATATTTGATACCAGAGGATAAGTGACATGTGATGTTGCATGATACGGTCATGGCTGTTTTTCTTCGTGTTGTGACAATCCTGGAGGTCGCATCACGGGGACTCGTCGTGATGCATCGCCTCAATAAAGCACCCGGAGTCACCAGGGTCTTTTGTTCAATCTACCACGAAGTTGGCGATTCGACTTTTCTCCAGCGGTCGTATCGCGAGTTATACGGCACAGACCATAATTTTTGAATAGTATATCGCGAGTGGGCACACAAAATCAAGCAGATTTCTTCAATCCCAACCATAATGTAGATTCCAGCACTTCATCAACCATGACGGTAAAACTCCAAAAAAAAGGACTGTCCGAAAAAGGACAGGGGATACAAAAAAGATCTCTCCCTCGGGGAATCGAACCCCGGTCTCCCGCGCTTATCGGTTTTAATGACAAGCGGAAATCATGACCACTAGACCAAGGAAGATGTGATAGCCGAGTTACCGCTCGACCACTTGGTGCTGAAGCTTAGTAACTGATTTTTACTTTGTGTAAATATATACTATCCTTAGGAACTTGCCCCACTAACAGCCCGCCCTACTAAGTATATATACATCGGGGTCGTAATGAACTACCGAGTGGTCGAGCCGCCACAGCTTCTGGCAGTTCACAATGTTGTCTACATTTATTGAGTGTCTCACCAGGTAACTTTTTATCTTACATGCGGCTAACTAGGACACAGTATCGGTGATTGTCAATATATATATTGTAACCTCGAGGGAAACATTGCAGGCCTATGATAGCGCAGATGGTGCTTAGAACAGAGCCCTCTGGTTTACTAGCGGGCGCAAAGGAACAGCGAGAGTGTCAGCTTAAGAGCATAGAGTGCACCTGGGTGGTTCAAATACCCAAAAGCATGTCGTTTCGGATCATGCCTAATTGATTAGGTCAACGGGTTATACACAGTGTACCTAGGGGTAGAGAGCAAGGGTTTCACTCTTTTTTGAATCATGCTGTGATAAAAAAGCGGCGTGAGTCCTGTCCCTTAATTTTGAGCTAAGTCACATGGTCAGCAAACACCAGGCGGGGATCTGCCGCACTATTTGGGATAGTGAAGTTCTGCCCGCCATCTCTCACTTCTCCCCTCTTCCGTCTCCATCTACCTTCCCAACATTATCCATCCAACCTATCAGCATTCTATCGACATTTCCATTCAACCGCAAACTACCTGAGCAAGCATGCAGATCTTCACCGACCTTTATCAAGGGATTCGACGCCCCCGTGGTCACCCCAGGCCCAAGCTCGACCAGCCAGACTCCCCCGAACGGTCTATGCCCGCGACGTCTGCGAAGCTCCTTGGCGAACTTGAAAACCCCAAAGATACCCCACCTCTCCAGAAAATGACTGCTCATCTCGAAGCAGACCAAAGAAGAGATCGTCCTGCCAGTGACTCAGGTCCCGTCACCGACGACTCTTGCATTTGGAGTGAGTGTATTGATTCAGGAAGCAATCATCGTCTCAAAGACATGGTTTCTGTTGCCAAGGACCTAGGCTATTGGGGTGAGTGGACCGATGCAAATCTACCCACCACTGAAGCGGAAGGAACTACTCACCCCGAAGCAGATCCACGAAGCGACCAACCTGCTAAAGACACGGCTGCCCCTCAAAAGAATACAAATCCCGCCGCCAACGAGCCTAGCTACTGGAGTGAATGGACCAATTTAACCATGTCCATCATTGAAACGGACGCAACTGCTCATGCCGATCCAGGTAATGATCATCCTGCCAACGAACCGATTCAAGCTCCCACTGACACTGGCGACTACATTGTGCACCCCGTTCTTGATTCCCCCCGTGATCGATTCCCAAATTATCTGGCATCTCCACCGCAAAACCTTCGAGATGGCTCGCCCTTTTCGTTCCCAGAGGTTTGCCATGAGGCTCGCTTCGATGAATCGCTGTCGCCTGCGGATTATCCATGGGAACTCACTAACGAAAGAATGCGAAATAACCTACTCAAACGTTACGTCGAGGCATTGAACACTAAGGGGAAGAGTCTTTTGGACAAGAACAAAGCGCTGGAGAAGCATAACGCCGATCTCAGAAAGAAAATTCGTGAGATCACGGGAGAGGAAGTCAGCCCAGTCGCCATGCCCCCACCTAATGACTCCTCTAGCCAGCTCCGTCCTGATGGCGAATACATTTCCGCCCAAAGTCAATTCGAAAGACCGGGAGAGGCTGGATACACGGCCTCGTTGAATAGGACCGAGAAAGAACGAGATGAGAAATATGCATGGCTTGAGAATCTCTTGCAGGGCATCGAGAGCGGAAATGAACTTCCTGGGTTCCCGGACAAGTGGTCTAAAAACTTCCGAAGAAAGCTCGCAAAAGGCAACTTGCCTTAAGAGTATGCGCGGCATGGGTTGATGGAATGAGCCTAGTGGTAGCTTACGGTGACTCTATTATGATTTCCGACTCGCTATCTTGATCGGTGAATTTGATTGTGGCGTCACTGGCAGTACCGAGTATTTCAATTGCTACATTTGTGATCTGCCTGGATTATCGCTGACGAGGTGCCTTTATTTGTTTTGCGGAAGCTCAAGGGACATGGCATGGTCAAGTGTCAATTCCTTTGGAGAGTTTATGGGAGCTGTAGTGGTCTGGTCAGGTTGTTCTTCTTCGCACGTGCAGATAACTGCTACGACTACCAATTTATGCAGCTCTCGCTGTTACTGATTTGATTTCTCCATGAGTTAAGGCCCAGTGAAAGAAATTTCAAGTTTCTGACTTTTGAAAAAAGGGAGGGAGATAGGTCGATATAGATCGATTTACTGCCGAGGTGCGGATCGGAGAGGGGAGCACCTTCTCTACGTGGACAATAGACTCTTTACTTGGATATTTAAATACTACTGTCCAACACGACCTTGGTTTTGTTGTGAACGGGGTATTGATTCCTAGAGATTTGCCATCACAACTAAGAATGAAGATTTAAGAATCGAGCCCTTCAAGAGGGTAAAGTGCAAAGGGCAGATTCCATTCACAAACGTTCAGCTCCGTGGGTAAAAATCAGTATCCAGGTCAATGTGCCAAAAAAAAAAAAAATAATAATCCAAAATATTGCCAAACCATCAGAAAACACCAAACCCTGGAGGGGCTTCAGTTCTTATCACTGTCATCCACCTTCTCATCATCAAAGTCTTCCTCCTCATCATCAGAATCAGGAGCGAAGTTGCTGTAGTGCGAGAAGAGATGGTTAAGCAAAAAGACAGGACGGCGGCACATAATCGCAGAGCAGAAGCAGGGGGTATTCCGGATTCTCTCGCAGACGTTGGCAAAGATCACCGCAACCACGATGTCTACCATACGCTCCCACTCCGGGCGAAGCGGGTGGCCCTTGGGAATACGCTTGATCCTTTCGGCGCTGCTGGGGTTGAAGACGGTCCAGACCTGGTGCTGGCGGAGGATGATTTCGATGCCGGTGAACCAGGCTGTGAAGTTCTCACGGCCACGGAGGGGAGCGAGGCGCAGATCGATATTCCGGTGGGTGGTGTCGGCGTTGTGGAAGGCTTCGACGGCGGCGGTGCTCTTAGCGATGTCAATCACATACGCGTAATCGACCTCGTACTCTTCAGAGTCGTAAATCAGGCTGTCATCGTCGTTGTCCTCGTAGCCAGAAACGTCCGAGTCGTCGTCGTCCCGGGGAGCATGGTGGCCGTTAGGGCCAGCTTCGGACTCGTCAATCCACTGAATTTCGCCTGTAAAGATGTTGGCCCTGAATAACTTACCATCCGGGTGAGAGGCATCATGGCCGTTGGACGCAGAAGGGCCGTGACCGTTAGCAGCAGAGGCGCTGTGACCGTTGGCAGCAGAATCACTGTTCTGCCCTCCGGCCTTCTTCTTGCGTAGCCAAACAGGCGGCATGGTGGGCGAATTTGGTAACGGAGAAGCTTGGTGGTGCGTTTACGAAACGAGAAATGCAGATTTGGGTAGCGAGAGGAGGGTTGAGAAGGGGAGATTCTCGAGCAGGGGATGGGAGGACGTTGTCGAGGGGAGGGAGAGCAGTGCGGCGGAGACGAACTCACTTCGCACTTTATACTCTCACTTGGCCACTGCACTACTCGACATGTGCCACGCTTAGGCAGCACATTGCAAACGCACCCACGAACAGAACGATTCCTGCCTGGTGCCTATTTTCATTTCACAGTTGAGATGGTTCAGATATGCCTCACAATCCGCGGTCCTGATACCCTACGCCGTGAAAGCATTTGAAACAATCTGAATCTGTTTAACCAAGTTAAAGGTGTATGCATTAACAAAGAATATGTACAGCTTTCCCTCTTTGTACAACAATATCCAATGTTTAAGACACCTAGGGGTTGAAGTCTACCACCGGAACGATTGTATCATCAAGACTCACTGCATTTGGGTTCTTCTCGCCAACACCCGAATAACGATTGATCCAGCCAAGCACCTGCTGATGCCATACCAGACTGTTCTCCTGATTTACGACCCTGTGAGACCACAAAATTAGTCGCAGACTCTACTCAGCTTTGCAATGCGAAACTCACCAGTGATTCTCGTCAGGGAAGTTTAAGAACCGACTCGGAACACCTCTTTCCTGCAAAACATTGAAGAGAGCAAGACCATCTGACACAGGCAGACGATAGTCCTTGGAGCTATGAATGAGCAGCATAGGTGTATCGAACTGCAGGATATGCTCAGGAGCAGACGGGTCCCAGCGACGATAATTGTCTCGGTTGGCCCAGAAAGTGCCATTGAACTGAACGATGTTTTAGCAGTGATAGAGCAAGACGAGGAAACGGGAGGCATACATCATGCTCGATGAACCAGAGCTCATCAGTCGAGATCTTTGAATCTGCAACAAAGGTACCGTCGTGACTGACAAGTGCTTTGAACTTGCGACCCAGGGGATTTCCTTGGATCCAGTTCACCATAAAGCCGCCGTAGCTGGCTCCCGCAGCAACACCGTTGTCGGTGTCGATGAAGTCGAAAGTGTCGCGCACATACTCCCAGCCCTTGACTAGGTCGTCGTAGGGGTAGCTCCCTGCAGAATGAGGTCAGGCTTGATGATCATAGGCAACGGGGATCTCACTCACCCCAGTTATTTTGAATCGCATCCGTCAGCTTGTCACCGAATCCTGTGCTGCCTGTTGGGTTGGGAGCCACGACAACATAGCCCTGGTCAGCCCAGACCTTGTAATTCCATCTTGTACTCCAGGAATCGGCCCAGGAACCTTGGGGCCCACCGTGGATGTAGTAGAGCAGGGGGTAGCTCTTGGACTTGTCGAAACCAGTGGGATAGATGATCCAAGCGTGGATCTACACACGTTAGCATTTAGTAAGAGGATTTCCTAGCAGGGAGAGAGTATACTTACATCAGTCCAGTTTCCCTCATAATAGAACTCGTCAAAGTCCTTCGAGCTTAGTCCCTTAAGACCGGGATCGACTTCATTCGCGGAGAGTAGAGTGCCAGTGACGCCCTTCTTCGGACTAGCGGTATACAACGTCCAGCTGGTCCAGATCGCCGATCCAGTCACGAGGAACTCGCCACTCGGGGAGGCTATAGAACGCCGTCGCGGAGCCACTATCGGTAAAGTTGCTGGGCTTGTAGTCATCTTCAGCATCAACAGGAAGAGTGAACAGTCTCTCACGTCCGAGGTCCTCAGTGGCCAAAACTAAGGTCTCACCATCGGCCGTCCACTTGATAGTATCAGGAGAGCGGTCCCAGTCTTTCGCGAGAGTTGAGATGGTCTTGTCAGAGCCAATCTTGTAGACGTAAACAGTTCGTCGGTCAGCTTCATAGGAGATATCGGTCATTTGGAGGTACGCGATATGCTTGCTATCGGGAGAGAAAACAGGGCTGCTGGAGTCTCCCTTGACGCCCTCCGGCGTGCCTGGGCTACCCGGACCATTGATCGCCTCGGCTTCCTTAGAGCCATCATGAGGAACGAGGTAGATATAGGACGCAGTATTGTTCGCTCGGGGTAGCTCGGGGGCCTTGCTCTTGAATGCGGCCCATTTGCCGTTCGGCGAGATGTCGTAGTCGCTCGAGCCGCCGAATGGGGGATAGGGCGATTCGAGGTTCTTGATGTTTGACACTAGGTTCTTCAGAGGACCAGCAAGGGCGTAGCGCTTGGCTGCCTTCTTCTTGAGCGTTCCTGAGAAGACGGCGTTGAAGGTGGTTGGGAGCCAGGAGTCCCAGTGCCGGGCGTAGATGCTGTCGTAGATGCGAGCTGAACTCAGAGGGGTGGAAACGAGTTCTTCGTTGTATGCTGTGCCATTGCCGTATGACTGGGCATATACGAGGAATTTGATATCGCCAGACTTGGTCACCGCAGGCTTGAGACCCGAGAAAGGTGCAGCCAGGGAGGCGGCTTTATACCGACTTGGAGGCATTAGGGTATACGTTTGAAGTACGAGGGGTAGGAATACTTACGAGTTGGCAAAGTTGTTTGCGTCCGCAATCCAAAGCTCGACGCCACCAGGAATATCGGCGTTGGTGCTGTTGATATAGAGGAGCCCAGAATCACTCGAGCCCAGCCAGGTCAACTCAGACACATTGCTATCGTTGGTGAGCTGGGCGGTCTCTCCACTCCTGATATCGATCAGACTCCACCAGGACGAGGAGGAGTGGGTGTCGAATGAGTACTGAGAAGTGGAGAACAGCGCAACTTTCTGCGGGGCAGTCAGTTACATCACTTGATGTATATCCACTTGTTTAAAGAATGGAACAATTTGAAAGGAAAAGGCACTGGCAGACTCACACCCGAAGGATTAGGGATCGCATTACCACGACGCGGAGCAGATATCAACTGCCTATCTGGCTATCAGTATCACGGCCGAAGTCTCTACCTACAAGGTATAGGACCTTGCAGGAGGTACTAGGAGTAAACAAAAGTACTTACTCAGGTGTCAACGCAATCGCCGAACCAAGCACCGAACCCAAAGCCAGCCATTGAACAGTCCACATCGTGCCGAAGAGATACACGCAGACGCAACCATAGACAGTCGTGCAGATCAATGCGCGAAGAAGGGAGCTAGAGGTATTTATCGGAACCAACCCACGCCCACTGCGGAACCATGAGCAATCGCAGTTTCCCGACGAAGAGGGGAAATGTTACATTCCACCGTGCCAAGAGAGATAAACGGGGAAGAGAAAGTGGTGGGAACAATGATGTGATCTCTTTTGAGGGGAAGGCGAGGAGGCTAGAGGGAGCTAAGGCTGAGATGGGAACAAAGAAGGGTCGAATGTGGCGCCGCCGGCTTGGGTTGCAGCTGCGCGGCTTGGCGGCGGGCCGTCGGTAGCCGGTTATCTTGCGATCGGAAATCTGGGGAGTGAGTATTCAAAAGATGATAGTCATGGAAATTGTATATGTGTAACTAGGAAGTGCAATTGCTTGTTTGTAACAGATACCAAAGATGGTTGGAGTCAAATGTGGTGGAACGGTGCATCATCAATAAGAGGGCAAGTAAATAATCTCAATGATGCATGCCAGCTAGTCTATGGTGCGATACTACAAAGAATGCTCGTAGCTATCAAAAACATGCTCAATAACCATATGGACTAACCGTCCACATGGTGCCGTAATATTATCACTAATATTATCTCAAATCTTAGTACTCAAAGTCATCATCCACGCCACGCTTGCCGGTGCTCTCCTTTGCCACGGCTTCCTGTTTGCGATACATCTCCGCCACAGCGCGGGTGGTCGTCGCTTGATCGGGGTTCTTGTCATCACGCGACTTGATGTAGCGAGGGAACCGTAGAGATACACCTTTGCCGCCACCGGTGGTACCCTCAAATTCATCCGCAGCACACTTGTACCGCGGACTGAGAGTCAAATCGGCTGTTTTCACTTCCCACACCAACCGGGGCTCAAACCACACATCGGGCTGATCCTTCGGTACGCTCGAATGAGCATAGAATGGCTTCGGTCGGTCGATTATCATGGGCGTTAGTGCTTTGTGCATCTCCTCCAGTACTGCCTCGGAGAAGCCTGTGCCGATGTTGCAAATTGTTTCGTAGGTGTCGTTATTGGGGTTATAGGCGGCCAGAAGGAAAGCACCATACACCGAGGTTCGCTTGCCGCGGCCATAGTATGCGCCGAGGACAACCAAATCGAGGGAGTCGCCCACACCAGCGAGATAGTCTTTTTTAACCTGCGTTGTGTAAGTAGGAAACTGATATGTGGAAGAGTTGGGCAATTCGTACCTTGAGCCAGTTTCGACTCCGCTTACTGGGTTCATAACCACTCTCATCAGTGTCCAGCATCTTGACCATAAGTCCTTCGCACGACGCCTTAACACTATCTTCAAGCATGGTTTGGATTTCGTCGAGGACGTTGGTGTTGCCAAATTGCGCAAATTGGAACTCGCCTTCAACTGGCTGGAAGCACTCGTGCAGCAGTTTCCGACGTTCCCTGAGTGACTTCTTGACACAGGGCTGTGAAAAAGATTAGTATTTGCTGGAGTTGATACCGTAAAACGCCATCTCGAACGTACCTCTCCATTGAAGAAAAGCAAGTCAAAGGCAAAAATGCACACTTTGACCTTGATGTCCTCGGCCTTAACATCCTTCCGCTTACGGGTCATCAATTGCTGGAATGGCAGGACCTTCTTGTTGACGGTGTCCCAAGCGACTGTCTCACAGTCCAGAACAAAGCTGTCCACGCCATCCTTGACCCAGGTGTCGAGCTTAGCAAGTACATCGGGGTACTTCTTTGACAAATCCTCGGAGTTCCGGGAAAATATAGAGCTGAGACCCTTGCTATCCCTTTGGAGAGTAGTTGTAGCCGCAGGATACTTGCGAACCGAGTCTGGTGCGACGAAGTGGATCTGGGCCCGCTCTCCGTCGTACTTGTATTCGCAGGTAAATTCCTTTCCTTCAAATCGATCAAGCACTTCGGTGATGGACTTTGTCGGGTTTGCAAGCATGGGCTTGAGAGGGATACCCGGGGAAAGCTTGCAGACGTCGGGAAGGTTAAAGAGACCGTGTTCCAGCATCGCCGGAATGATCTCTTCATAGGAAGGAAGTTGACTATATACTGTTTTGAGGATGGATTCGCCCTCTGTCACCTTTTCCGCAGAGACGGTCTTGCCCTCAAGCGCAGCCTCGTGTGATACAACTGCCTGAGCAAGGGCCACGAGCACCGTCCTCTCTGCGAGACCGAGTCTCAGTTTGCCCTCCAGGAAGCGAACAATAAACTTGGCCTCACTAGGACCACCCTTGTCCTTGGTGATATCGACGCCCTTGCTGCCCTTGCCGGCGGTTGCGGCGTCTGCGGCGGACAAAAGCTTCTTGATACCCGAGATTTTCTTGTCTTGGGAGCCGTGGCCCTGGACCTTGGCGATGGCGAGAAGTCCCTCATGGACACCTCGGACTGTCAAGGGCTTGGGCTTGAACATAGTAGGCTGGTTGTTCCGGCTCTTGGCCGCCACCAACCCGAGGTCACCGATTTCATGTTGGTCACTCTTGATAATGGCCAGATTGCGACCGGTGGTCTCTCCAATGGCCTTCATTATCAAGGATTCTCCAATACCCAGTTCAATACCCGCATAGTCAGCCGCCAGCTTGTTAATCATAAGCTGAACAGTGGGAAGGAGGTCCTTGGGCGTTAGACGCAGAACCTGCTGCAGAAAAAGGGAACAATGGGAGAGGATGAGGAGTCGCTTCGAAGTCATCTCAACCAAAGAGAAGGTAGTGCACAGTGCTGCATAAGGGACAGGTTCACCCGCTTTCCAGTCTGGATAAGGATCGTTGCCGCTGGCCTTGATGGTAGCCTGCATCTTCTCCATGGTCTTTTTCTTGACCTCAGGCTTGACTTCCTCCTCACTCTCACTCGATGATTGCTCTTCGTCTTCTTCCAGCTCTGGTGTCACTTGTTCTTCAGGTGTCTCCTCTCCAGAGGCTTTCTTCACGGAAGCCTTCGGTGATGATGATTGGGCCTTGGCCTTCGCAGGTGATCTCTTGGGGGACGGCGATTGCTTCTTAGGAGACGGCGCACTTTTCTTTGGCGTGGTAGAATTATCCTTTGTAGTCTTGCGCCTCTTCTTTGAAACAGGCTGCACGTCTGATTCATCACTGTCCTCGACCTCGTCGGCCTTTTCGCGTTTCAAGCCACTACCTGAGTCGGCTTCATCCGAGGCGGCCGCATCGTTGGTTTCTGTCTTCGAGGGCGCGTTTGACTCTGTCGGTTCCTGATCGGCGTCACTGGTTGCTCTTTGCCGCTTTCCTCCGAATGCCAGAGTAGTTTGCTTTTTGGGAGCTTGTTGGGAAATGCCATTGCCTCCAAAAAACCGCCTAAACAGGGGGAAAAATATCAGCTACATGCGATTCACTTTCGGCGATCGAATTGACACACCCAATGGCCACTTGAGAGTCGCGCACATACCCCAGAGTAGCCTGTTTCCTGCTCTTATCTTCCGTCATGACGTGGTATTGTGGGCGTAGAGGAGAGATCTTTGTCTCGCGCACGCGTATATGGGAAATGACGGATGAAACAGAAAGTGATTGTGACGAGGTTGTCGGTAGACAGATGAAGTTGGGACTGGAACTTCTAATTCGAATGTTGGGTCGGAAGCGCGAAAGCGATGATGGCGCGGCTGCGATCTGCAAGGCGCGCATAAGCAAACAGCCAAATTGACCAGCACGAGATGAACGGTGCTGCAATAAATAGGTTTTCGGCCAGTATCTATTGGAGACGCGGGGAAAAACTTGAGGCAGAAACCAGGCCGACACAAAAGGCAGCAGTCGCAGGCAGCCGCATCGTCCGCCGTCCTCTGATCTCCACGCGACGTGACGCGACAGTCACGTGCAATCCATCTGTCCCAAATAGGAAAGACACTCCCGGAGCCGCCAAGGCGAGAGGATTCACCGCCAAATATTAATCCAGCAGAACGATTGCAGCGGTGTGTGTTTTCCAGCCGGAGGATGCCCGCGGAGGCGGGATTCAATCGTTGGCAAGCTACGATCGAGATGGCCTGGTCTGTCTGTTGTTGACCAGTTGCAAAATTCTGTCTCGGCACATTGTTGTGCTGACGATACTGCGCTTTGTTGCTTGATTGGCATTTGCAAAAATGGAGAATCAACGGCAGGAATCCTTCAAACAGGTATGATATGCCGACGATGCGGACTGTCTTCGAAGCTAACATGTTATGAAGCTCCGTCAACCTTGCGTGGAGCTCAGTTCAATCGGCCTACGCTTTCGTGGAAATCAGGCGACATCCCAAGAACTGATGCGAGCCCTTGAACCCGTCCACGATGTATTGCAGACACTTGCAGGGAAGAATGCGCTGGACGAGAAGCTCGCCGAATACGCCTTCTTCCCACTCACGCATATTTTCAATCAGACGCAACGACTACCGACACGATGCCTCGAAATCGCGGTACATTCTCTCCAAATACTAGTCATCAGCGGCTATCGGTCGCAATTGAACCCGGCTTTGGGGAAGCAGCTGATTATCCTTTTGACGTTGGTTGTGGCGGGATCCCCAAACAAAGCCGAGGACAAAAGCCTTCCTAAAGCGCAAGCTTCGGAAGAGCTTGCGGTTGCTGGCTTTGATTGTATGAGGTCTGTATTCGATGTTTTGGAAGGTCCTGTCGCTGGAAAGACCATCTTCCACGAAATCGGCACGGCAACCGTTGTCGATCAGACCGTCTATATGTTGCTGGAAGGGCTGGCCGATGAAAGATCTGATGAAGTTTGTCTCGCCGCCGCAAAGGCGCTACAGGCCTTATATGCTCGTATCACAGATCGAGTGGTCCTGGCGAGTATCATGCCGCGTACAGTGTCAGCTTTAGCGAAGGTAGTGAGACCGACAACCCAGGCTCGGCGGTCATACAAGCTTCTACAAATTTCGCTTCAAATTCTCACGTATATCCTGAGGACTGTGTTGAATGATCGTGTTGCCAACATGGAAAAACCGCCTCCTTCTCTTGGGCAAAGTGATGGCCTCGTGCTGGACGATTCCTGGCTAAAAGCTACGACGACTCAGATCAAGCTCGCCTTGGCAAACGTCATCCAAATTCGACGACATCCGCGACTCGAAGTACAAACAGCAATGCTGGACCTTTGTGTGATGGTGGTTGAAGATTGCCCAAACACATTGAAAGACGCTGTTCAGATGATGGTCGAAACCGCCGTGGTCCTTGCCGATAAAGAGGAGGAAGGATCGAACCATGCATATAATATAGTGTCTCACCTCACGACATCTTACCCGATCGTGCTAGAGTCTTTAAAGGAATCGCTTCATACGTGGCTTACTTCCTTCCCTCGAATCATGCAGAGCAATGACGAGACAGCTAAACAATGGGGCATCCGTCAAATTTCTACTGCCTTTCAAATACTGTCGCAGGTACAATCCCAATCAGATTTGCTCACAGCTGGCTTGGCCACTGGGTTGTGTGACAGTGTCGGTGCTGTTGTCAAACAGGGCACTACTGCACTTCAGCCTGTGTCCTCTTCGACTTTTGGCGACGTCAAATGGGAGGTTCTACACTTAGATGCAGATTCGAAGACATTCCCTCCAGTACTCTTGGATCATCGCAGTCAACAGCAAACCCTGAAGGACCTGCGCTCTATGATTATAAGGTTGAATTTTTCAGAGTCTGGGAACGAGATCACCCGTTCCATCATCAACCGCTTACATTCGGCATCGGATTCTTCTATAATCGCTCCATTCTGGCTTGCTCTTACATCCCTCCGTGCTCAAGCACAACAATCGGCTGCGTTCGATGACTTGATTTCTGAAGATCTACTGAAGCAGCCTCTGGCGGGTCCAAATCGTTGGAGTATGATCGAAGAGCTTTATTATGTGTCTTTATCAATTCTCAACGACATTCCCTCCGATGGCTCAGGCGATTGGCGTACTGCGGCTCTTGCATTGGAAGCAGTTGCTCTCCAAGCACAGCAGCTTGGAGAAGCCTTCAGGCCAGAGCTAATGGATACGCTTTATCCAACACTGCAACTACTTGCCTCAAGCAACCCGAATCTTCAAAAACATGCCATGACATGCCTGAATATTCTTACTTCTGCCTGCAATTACCAGGACGCTGGCTCCATGGTCATTGAGAATGTGGATTACCTGGTCAACTCGGTGGGGTTGAAGCTGAACACCTTTGATGTGTCGCCGTACCCACCACAAGTCCTTTTCATGATGGTCAAGCTGTGTGGTGCGCGTCTTATTCCCTACTTGGATGACTTGGTTGACTCTGTTTTTGGTATCTTGGACCTGTACCACGGATACCCGAAGCTCGTGGAAATCATGTTCAAGACATTGGCAGCAGTTGTCGAAGAGGGCTCCAAAAAACCATACCTATTGACGATCGACAGTGGTCGAGAGAGCGGTCCATTCGACTCACACAAGACCAAATATCAACATCTGTCTGTTGCTGCACTTGCTGGGAATATTTCAAGCCGAAAAGAAAAGCTTTCAAACATCGCCATTGAAGACATGGAAGCCGATGGAAATGTTTACCACCCCAAGAAGCCATGGTCCGAGACCTATGAGAATCAACCACCCGAGTCTGAATCAATCGAGGAACTTCTCAACAAAGCCAAATCTGATGAGCCCCTTCCACCACCCAAGGAGCCCGAGGATAGCGAGAAGCCACTAAGCAAGACACACTCTCTCCTCCTACACATCGTCAAATCTATCCCCTTGCATCTCTCCTCTCCATCACCTTATCTTCGGCGCTCTCTACTTTCTATTCTCATCGACGTGCTCCCAACCCTCTCGCAGAACGAGAACAGCTTCCTCCCTTTGATAAATGACCTTTGGCCATCGGTAGCATCAAGAGTCATCTTTCCATCTTCACTAGGGGCCGAGTTGTCCTCAAAAACCCTGATGACACGATCGACTACCGAATCAAACCGTTCCGCGAACCAACCCGATACCCATGCTTACCAGGAAGAAACATTCGTCATCACCACAGCTTGCCAGGCTATGGAGGTAATGTGTAAAGGAGCTGGTGATTTCATGGCTTCGCGCATTGAAACCGAGTTCCCTCGCTGGGCACGTCTGTACCAGCGTGTCTGGACGAGAGTGCGAAAAGATGCTGAATCCGTGAACGAACGACGAGCGCGGCAGCAGAAGGGCAAAGCGAATGCCTCATTCACTGAGGCATTTGAACCCTCTCTTGCCGTTGTTTCCTCCCTTGCTCTTTCCACGACCACGCATGGGTCAAAAGCATTTACTCCCGAACACGCTCTCTGGCGAGCCTTGATATCCCTCTTTTTGACGGTCTTGTCACATGTTCGCTTGCCTTTGGAGGTTGGTGATCAGATTTGCGAGATGCTCGGTTCTTGGGTTGCGCTGTTTGTTGGAACGGACTACTATTTCCTTCCCTCAAGGAGAACTGCCATCGCTGAAAACGAGGCTCAGAGAAGTGTTCGCGAGTCGGTCGAGGATGCAATCCAGGCTATGGAAACCTGGAACTCCGATCTTACTTGGTTTATCTTCGTCCATCAAATTCGCAGTGCGCCAGTGACTACAGGGATCTCGACTCCCGTTCATGCGGTCGATGAGTCCAAACTGCTGGTGAACTTTGACGGGGAGAAACTGCATTTTGCAGAAGTTGTCTTCTAGAAATATAGAGCGTTTATGTATGTCATGAGATTGTTATGAGTTATACCTGATAAGTACGAAATGCCAAAGCACTTCTTCCGAGGCTCTTTAATCGCTGCCTGCTAAGTCGGCTTGTATGTCAAGGGCAAGTCAGTCTTTGTCTACTCGGGTTTCTATTATCCTACTAGAGTATGAAGATGCAGCAATGAAGGAATGGCGATTGGTCAGCTTAGCTAGAGAGAAAAACTACTGAAGTAGACGGTCACAGCCCGTGCCAAATTAACACTGGCCGTAAGTAGAAACGAATTGAAGTAATCGAACTGTTTACTCGTCGTCCTCGCTCTCCTCCTCAGAGTCACTCTCGGCATTCTCCAGCCACTCAAGGAAGGGCTGGGCAGCCTTGTGGATCTTTTTGCTGGTGGAGATGTCCACGTACTTCTTGCTGGCCTTGGCGCCCCAGGCCTTGAAGGTTTCCTCAGACACAAGGTCGTTCTGGTAGTAGCCGAGCAGGATGGCGGGAGTCTGCGAGACAAGGGCAGGGCGGTCCTGACCAACGAAACGCTCAGTACCACCAAGGAAAGCCTTCTCGTGGCGCTCGGAAGTGATCAGCTTCTTGAGCAGAGGGGCGCGATCCTCGATCTGCTTCACGACCTTGTCGTCAAAGATGCTCTGGGCGAGGACGGCAACGGTCTTGTGCTTGGTCTCGATGCCGAATTCGCGGGCCTTCTTGTAGATCTCGACGTCGCTGACGTTGGTCACGCCGCCCTTCTCGGCAGCGGTGTCAACGATCCAGCTGCCCAGCTGCTCGTAGGCAGAGGGACCATCGGCCTCCTCGTCGTCACCGTTCTCAATGACGAGGGCGCGCTTGAGGTCGTCGGGAAGGTCCTTGGCGCGAGCCTTGACGGCAGCTTCAGACACATCGACAGCCCAGTCGTCATCCTTGATCTCCTTCTCAATCTCGATGTCCTTGGCCTCGGAGTTGATGCGGCGGGTAAGCTCGTCATCGCTGCCGGCCTCGACACCGACATCGCCATTCTCGTCACCGTTCTCGGAGCCATTGCTGTCGCCGGGGCTAGCATCCTCACCGTTGGTGGCGGATTTCTCCTTCTTGGCCTCACGGCGAGCCTTTTTGTCCTTCTTGTCCTTCTTGCCACCTTTGGGGTTGTTGCGGACAATGAAAGTGCTGAGCTTCAGGCGAGGGTCGACGTCGCTGCGCTGACCACAGGCCTTGCAGTCGAGGGTGATCTTCTCGTCCTTGATGATGACGTCGGTCTCTGGGTTCTTGCATTTCTTGCAGAGCACGAACTTGGAGATGAAGCCATCCAGGTAGTCCTGGAGCTTGGGCGCCTCGTGGGCACCGTTGATGATCCAACGCTCATCGGTGGGCTTGGCGTTGGCTTGGGCACCCAATTCGAAACCAAAGTACTTGATCAGGTATGCAGGAGGACGGCTCAGGGATCCGGCGACCGAGTTGAGGTTGACGATGACGGTCTTAATGCCGTTACCCTTGCCCTCAATTTTGGACTGGAGCTTCTCCATCTTGTAACGGTAGAAGGGATCGGTGACATCCCGACGAATGTTAACGGTGGCCATGATGACGATTGGTGATTGACTGGTTGCTCAAGGGAACGGAGCGGTAGGCTTGCGGAAGAGGAAGCGAGAATTAACTTGGACGGAAATCTTGTCGACGGAACAAGACATGCGTGTTATGCCGAGTTGGGTTTTTGATGGGTTTTGCAGTGAATTCTGTTGCACGTGCACACAGGATAGATGGTGTTCACGAAATGGTGAGGGAAGTGATCAGGCAGCGATTCAGCCACAAGATCTCAGGTGTATGCTGCAGGGTTTCGACGCGCGAAGCGTTTGCAGCTTGGGCGGCAGATGGTGTTCGAAATTTTGCACGGAGGACGAATACATAGACGAGTCCGCAGCGAACTTCTTCGGAGGCTTTCTCTTGGAAACGAGAACGACCGTTCTGGAGGGAATCCGAGTCGAAGGCCGGAGACCCTGGTGCGGAAAGCTGAGGAGAGTGATGATGGCGATACCGAGCTTGTGTAGCGTAGGTTCGAATATGCGTAAACTGTGGAAGACAGTTGACGCAGGTGGAGGCTTCACTGGGTAAAACCTGGAATGAAGCGTGTGTGGATGGAAGTGGGAAAGCGAGAAAGCGAAGGAACGACGAGTTCCGAGAATTTTAACCGGGCGCTGACTCAGCGCGCACGTGGGTTCGGCGTTGAGTCGGAGTTAGCATTAACACATCGAAGACAATTCGATCACCAAAATGAAGGAAATGGGGGGAAAGCCTGGGATCAGCGCCGCATCGCCTTCATGCAGCGATTTGCATGCCATGCCCATGCCCACGCCCACCGCCAATGCTCGCGCGCGCTGAATAGCCTCCCTGCGCAATGAGATCAACCGCCGGCCCCACCACTCCCCAACGGCGGGATCGCCCTGGTTCGCGACTGTCGGCACTTGGCTTTGGTTCCGTCAACTGTGCGTGATACGTCGGTTGCGTGCAACGGAATTCTGTTCTCTGATTATCTCGAGGACGCAGTGAGCTCCAGAGATCCCGACAGCATGGCCGTCGATCTTTCACTATACTTGGTCACCGACTCGACCCCCGCCATCCTCAAGGGACGGGACTTGTGCGTGGTCGTGGAGGAGGCTCTGAAGGGAGGTAAGTACACATTAGATGCTCTATCCTAAGGTATGCAATGCCATTAAAATAGCAATTGACTCGATAATTGCATATAGGCGTCACGGTAGTGCAATACCGCGACAAGAAAAGCGATACCGGAGAGCAGATTGCCACAGCCCGGAAGCTGCATCAGATCTGCCAGACGTATGGAGTGCCACTCCTGATCAATGACCGTGTCGATGTCGCGCTTGCAGTCGGCGCAGAGGGCGTGCACCTCGGCCAGGATGATATGAGTGCGTCTCTTGCGGTCTCCGCGTGTTTTCCGAGCTTGCCCGCTAACTCCCATTATCAGAATTCGCCGAGGCCAAGAAGATGCTTCCGAAAGAAGCCATCATCGGCATCAGTGCCTCGACGCTAGAAGAAGCGCAGAAGGCAATTGCTGACGGGGCCGACTACCTGGGCATTGGGACGATGTTTGCCACGCCGACGTAAGTTTCAAAGTGGTTGATGCAGGGAGCATGTATGGATTGACAACCTTGCAGTAAGACCAACACCCGGTACACGCTCGGCACTGCGGGCACACAGGCCATTCTCGATGCCATCAGTGATGCTACTTCGGTGAGTACTGTGGCCATTGGTGGTATTAACCATTCGAATGTGCAGCGCGTCATCTACCAGTCCCAGTCGCCAAAGAAGGGCTTGGATGGAGTGGCTATTGTGAGCGGTATCATGGCAGCGGATGACCCTAGAGCCTCGGCTCAAGAACTTGTCAAGCTCATCAAGAACCCTCCTCCTTTTGCATTGGTTCCCCCGGCCCCTAGAGCGAACGAGGTCGAGGCACTTCTGAAGGAGGTGCCAGCCATCGTGCAGAAGATGGTTGAGGTGCACCCGCTTGTTCACAACATGATCAACTTTGTTGTGGCCAACTTTGTTGCTAATGTCGTCCTCTCCATGTGAGTATATCTACACACTGCGCAGTCGGTGTCGGTGGAATTAACTGTGTCAGTGGCGCGTCGCCTATCATGTCACCTTACGGCGACGAAGCCAAAGACCTGTGCAAATTCGACGGGGGCCTCCTCATCAACATGGGCACACTGACCAGCGAGAGTGTTTCCAATTACTTGAAAGCCATCAAGGCCTACAACGGACGAGGCAACCCCGTGATCTATGATCCGGTCGGTGCGGCTGCAACTGACATTCGGCGCAATGCTGTTACCGACCTCATGGCTGGCGGCTACTTTGACCTCATCAAGGGTAACGAGGGTGAAATCAAGCAGGCCTGGGGCAGTGGTGCCGTACTGCAGCGTGGTGTGGACAGTGGGCCGAGCACACTTGACAGCCAGCAAAAAGCCCGGTTGGCGCGAGACCTCGCCAGGAGAGAACGTGAGTGGCCCATGAGGTGCCCAATTTTCGTCTCTGGCTGACTCCCTTAGGTAACGTGGTTTTGATGACTGGCGCGGTGGATTATCTCAGTGACGGAGAGCGAGTCGTGGCTGTTGAGAATGGACACTCCTTCCTGGGTCAAGTTACCGGAGTAGGCCTTCCTAAGCCCCTGTCGCACACATTTAGCTAACAAACACCTCCCAGACCGGATGCGCAGTCGGCTCCATCTCAGGATGTTTCCTAACAGCCCACCGCTCAGACAAACTTCTCGCAGTCCTATCCGGCATCCTCATGTACGAGATCGCTGCCGAAAATGCAGCAAGCAAGGAATTTGTCCGCGGGCCCGGCAGCTTCGTTCCCGCCTTCCTCGACGAGCTGTACGCCATCCGTGAGGCCGCGGGCAAGGGAGACCACAGCTGGTTTACCGGTCGGGCCAAGGTTCACGAAGTCCAAGTATAGATAGATTCCGTAACTACGATATGCTGTACAGGACGAAAAGTAAATTCATATGATTTTGTTCGATTGCAGCTTTGCGAGATATTCGATGTAGCATGGCTCTCCGCAGTATCAAATGTACGAAAGTTCCCCTCGGCGGCTTCCCCGCATCTCCGAGTTCCCCGCCCGCCAATTCTCAACTTCACCTCCTCAACCTCACCTCTCCCACAGAAAATCCATTCCAACCATCACAATGGCTGTCACCATGGCTGCTCTTAATCTCGCGAGCCGTATTCGTACGTCCTTCTTCTCACATCCGACCCGATCTCTCTAATATTCTCAACATAGGGAACCCCGCATTGTTGTGCGTACAATAACCCACACTTCCTCCACCAAACTAACAACCGCCAGCATCTGCGACATCCAAGACAAATTCCGCAATGCAATTTACGAATTCCCCAAGATGTACTCACCCCTCCCCCACCAATATTCCTAACAAACCCTTACCACAATTCAGGGTCACAACAACATCCAAAATGATCCGCGCCGCAAATACCCTAAACATACCCATCTACATAACAACACAATCCCGCTCCAAACTCGGCAACACGATTCCAGAGCTCTCGGCCCACCTCTCCGGCCCAAACATTCGCGCCGACATCGACAAAACCCTCTTCTCAATGGTAACGCCCGAACTGGAGGCGCAGCTCCCATCCTCGAGGTTGGACGTGATCATCGTCGGCATCGAAACGCATATCTGCGTTACGCAGACGACGCTTGACCTCCTTGAACGTGGCCATAGAGTTTATATCCTCGTGGATGGGGTTAGCTCGATTAATGCTGAGGAACGCGGGGTTGCGCTGGCACGCTTACGGGATGCGGGAGCTGTGGTTACGAGTAGCGAGAGTATGCTTTTTGAGATTCTTGGGGATGCGGGGCATGAGGAGTTTAGGGCTGTTAGTGGGTTGGTTAAGGAGACTAAAGAGGAGACGAAGGCTGCGCTGGGAGCTTTTTCGAAGATTTGATTTTATTGGGGCTATCGCTGCTTTTAGTAGAGGTTGGATTTGTTTGTGTACAATGGATTTATTTTGAGACTATTTGGTATGCTTACTGTAAGAGGAGCGTTCAATGTAGGTATAGTGCTCGAATGTCGATGTGAGAAAGGCATCAGGGACGGAAGTTTCATGTCGAGGACTTACCAGGCGGAGACCGATTAGAACATACTACTAAGATCACTGGTTAGATGGCTGATTGAGTGGGAATTACTATTCCTATCTCACTGTTCCTGTCTTTGTCACCAAGAATGACTTGCAAAGACAAGTGGCCCTACTCGAGGATGAGACAGACCTCCGTAGAGGTCATCTACATCAGGGCTGAAAGAATCAAAAAGAAAAACTCAAAATAACTCCGTGTAACGCCCGCTGCATCCCTAAAAAACCATAATCCATTTTCCAAAACACCAGAATATGTTCGGGCCTGCGCATCGAAAACCGAAGAAAAAACTTGCGGCAGGCCTCACTTGGCGGGGCCAGCCTTGTTGCCAGACGCAGGTGCGCCCGAGTTCAGCCATGGGAAGGCCGAACCACTGCCCACTGGGTTGGAGGTCCGCGTTTTGTTGCTACTGTCAGAAGGGACGCGGGTGATGCCCGATCCGTTGTTCCGATTGGAATCAGTAGGAGAAGTCGGCATGGCATCCGGAGGGTCCGCGGTGGCATTGGTAGACGCAAAGGTCGAAGAATTCGTTCTGTTGGACAGTTTAGCCGGGCGAAGGACTTTCATAGGGCGTTTCTCGGGCTCCTTGGGCTTGACTTCCGGGCGAGAGTTACGACGCCAGGGCCACGCTCCAGCAGGGTCGGGCTTCGCGCTCGGCGTGGATGCTTTGCTGGCGGCTGCAGGAGTGCTGGTATTTCCGATCTCCACGGTGCCGTCTGCTTGTCGTTGAATGGCGGGCTTGCCGGCTTCACCTACCGAGGCACGGGCAGAGGCCGGGGCCGAGGAGGATTGCTGAGGATTGGCTTTGTTGATAACGCCCATGGGCTCATGGCCATTGGTGCCATTGTCGCCCATGTGCGCGTGATCCGAAACAGTCCACATATGCTTGAAGGCGGAATCTTTCTCAGGACGGACCATTGGGATAGAGAGAAGGTTGCGCTCATCATCGACCATCAGAACCTTATCTTGCGAGAACAGAATATCGGCGTTGTGGGATCGGAGGACATCGCTACCAAGGACGATCTGAATGGACTGATCGGCAGGATCAATCTCACGGACTAGGAATCGAACCGTCAAGAAAGGAAGCCGGGGGTCAGGGCTGGCAGAGCGAGTAGAGGCCTGGTGGATGCTAGCCTCTGGAAAGTAGAACGGAAGCTTGATGAAAAATTTGCCGTCCTCCTGCGTGACTTCGCCCTCCAGGCCGAGCTTTCGGATCAGCGGCGCGCCCAGAGTGGAAATGTACGAGCCCGTGCAGACCGCAGCGTACAGGAGCGCATCGTTCGTGAAGTTTGTCGTTAACCAGCATCGGATAATTCCAGGAACGGGACCAAGAAGAAACAGACCAGCAGATGGGGTGGCAAGCGGAGAGCTGCTGCAGGAGATGGAGTCCAACAGACGGCTGGTGTCCAATCCCAGGCTGTTGGTGCGTGCAGAGTGTGCAGAGTGTGCAGAATGGTGCGACTGCCCAGATGAGCTCTGCGGTCCATCAGATCGATGTGACAGAGACGGCTCAGATAAAGCAATGCCTCCCAGTCCACTGCCAGTGCGGAGGGGCAAATCCGTGCTCGAGCGACCCATGTGTCCGTAAGAACCATGAATCGCACTTTCGTCAAAGCGTACACTATTGGCGCGGGATGCACCTCGGCGTGGTTCCTCCTCGGCGTCGTGGCCGACCGACGAACCTGCCATACCGTGATGAGCGTGATGACTCTGGTCGAAGCCTGTGAATGGGTCAGGAGGGGATTGGACAGGCGGTCCTTGTTGCCGAGGAGCCAAGTCAGTAACTCGAATATCGCCGTAAAGAGTAATACGTGAACACTTACCAGTTGCGAATGAGGTTCCTGCTGGGATCGGCATTGGAGACAGCGGAGTAGGCCCCCAGACGTTTCTCAATCTCGCATCCTCCTCCCGGCGACGCTCCAGCCGGGCCAGGCGTTCACCCTGGTCGTCTTGGCCCATACGTAGCTCCCTGATCTCATCCAAGAGCCTCCAGATATCTTCACGCGAAGCAAAAGGGAACTGTGCATCCATATCAGAGCGCTTTGTCCAGAAAAAACGTTGGGAAAAACTCAGGTCGGACTGAGAAGGTACCGTGAAGCAGTTCAGCAGTCAACCCTTTAAAGCTGCAGCGTTGAGGCGCCGTCACTGGGCACCAACGCGAGCCAGAGCCCACTGCGACCGAATTTCACCTCCTCCTTCAATCTGTGAGACGGCCCACGGGGCCGTCCACCGAGTTGCGTGTTGCAGGTCCTTATTGTTCGGCTTCTAGTATGCGCAGGTGAGGTCGGGGAGCTTTGGAGACGGTCGAAGTGGATCGGTGGGTAACGGGATAAGGGGAGGCGTGAGAGTTTGAAGAGTGATAGTTTTCGGAGAATGAGAGGGCGAGTCAGCAGCTGGTTCAAAGGCTGAGTGGGGGAAGCACTTTGGTGTGCAGGAAGGGAAGCGCAGCCTGATTTGCACGTGGGTTCGACGAGAGGTCGGTCGGGCGAAGGAAGAGGTGAGTTGCCTTGGCAAGACGGTGGTATATCCCAGGCAGATGGGGTGTTTGAGGGACGGGAAGGCACGAGGAGTTGTGCGGGAAGGTGCGGCGGAGGTCAATTGGGTTTGGGGATGCGAACGCACGGGAAGCTGGGGCTGTGGAGGGAGCGTCATGCAGAGGGGATACCGATCTAGACCGCCCGGCTCCACTAACGGTTCATCCACTGCCACGAGCGTCCATACTCCATAAAGCGGCGACAGTTTATCATTTGAATGTTGGGATTTTGATGGCATCACAGCCAGAATTTTTTTTTTTTTTTTTTTTTTTTGGGAGGGGGGGAGAGATGTGTTTAAAATTCACAAATGTTCTAGTCTCAATCACTGGTATAATATACCTATACCACAGTGTCAAAGAACAAGGAGAATACAATGTCGTATAGACACACCCTCTTTGTTTCCTGCCACACCACCGGCTTTTCAAGCGTATATAGTGCTTGTGACTCCTGACTCCTGACTCCAAATAAAACAAAGGCATCAGCGGTATAAGAGCGGTATAAGCAAACCTTCGCTCTAGGCCCAGATGCCCTTTTGCCTTGAAGCAGTAAAGGCATTATTAATTTGTACAGAAGGCGACCACGTAGGTGGCTCACAGATGGCGAGTTGTAGTTAGATGATCAGACATTTGAGGTGGCTGGGTTAGAAGGTATGAATTCAGGGCTGTCTAGTCTCAGTCGCTAGTCTATCTCAAAGACCAAAGAGCAAAGGTATCAAAGCCCTATTTCGGGGCCTCAGGGAACGGAGGGAAGATCATAGGCAAGGCCATCGGAGCAAAGTCCGGGAGCGACTTCTCAATGGTCGTCAGGACCTCATTGAAAATGATCTTAGAGCCACCGGGCGAAGGGTGCAAGCCTGTAGCAACTTCTGGTCAGTACTTCAAGTCGGCTCTTTTTCACGGAAAGAACATACCATCCACAAACAACGCAGACAAAGACTCGATCTCAGGCAGATCACGCGACCCAGGCAGCGGCAAGCCTTCCTTCCATCCAGTGACATCCATGAAAGCGGACCAGATGTCTGCCACAGGGAGATTCAGCTCTTTCCCGATGACGCGGGTGACATCTGCGTAGTCCTTGGTGTTTTTCGCGGTACGGCTGGGGTGCGGGGTGCTCTTTTCCGCGTCGAATTGCTCGAGTTGGTACTCGTTGACTGGGGGCGGGGTCATGAGGATGATGTAGGGGTTTTGGGCTTGCACGGCGGGGTGTTGAATGATTTTCTTCAGGTTCTCCTTGTACACCTCGATCGAGACATGTTGGAAATGGTCCTTGCCCACTGAGTCATTGGCACCGAAGAAGATGGTCTGCATCGTGCGTTAGTATATGTTTTCTCGTTGTAGATGGATAGCGACGCGGCTTTTTACCATGAGGCGAACGTTGGCGGTTTGGGGGGAGGGGAAGAATTGATCAAGGATCTTGATTGCGTTCGCAGTTGTGTATCCACTGCGGGTTATCAGAAATGATCTGGCGTTGTTTTGAGGTAGTGGGAACTCATAGTGAGCTTTGGGGCGTGGTGCTCACGAAAATCCGCGATTGATAATGTCCAGCTTGCGAGAATAGACTGGGAGAGGATCAGCACGCTGCAGGGGCTTGAGTATGGGTCTTGCAATACATACCCTCCTGCAGCTGAGCGCCCCATCCAAACCCCATCCCCTGGTTGTAGGACTGCTGGGTGATGGAGTCGCCGAAGATGATGAACTGGTCGTACGCCAAGCCGACCTTTTGCGGGGAGCTCACGGTGTCGGCCATTGTGCAATTCTCCTGGATTCTCAGGCCAATCTAGACAGAGGCAAGAATACACTGGTGTAGAGATCAACGTGGTGGACAGGCTGGCAGATTGTGAGTTTTAAGGTGGGGTGCGTTCCGTGGACAAAACGGAAGTGGAGCTCGATTGGGTTGTTGACAATCGCAGCGAGCGACGCTGGCGCAGTTTATCCACCAATTGCCCAGCCAGCTGGAAGAGCCATGCTGGGTTGGTCGATTTCGAGACAAAGCGATAAGAGTGATGGATTCAAAGAAAAATAACAACTCTAGTGAAATTAATAAATGCGCTACGATGCTATACATATATCCAAGATAGATCGGTTTATATGCTGCCAAGCACACAGTATGGTGATTGGCCCAGCTCTAGGCCGATCGAGCATCCATAACGACTACTGGGTGATGCAAGTCAAATATCTAAAAATCAGACCAATTACGATGATTCGGACACTCCTCCTACGCTCTAACAGGCGCAGAATAGCCATACATATCCTAAGGTAGGCAGGCTTGGGACAGTGCACACCTATCGGATAGATCGCATGTCCATGCACGATCAAAAGTTGGGGCCTTGATGCCGTGCACTCGCAGCAATCGGTGCGCCGCGGAGGGAGGACCCTGAAGCAGCTCCGAAGCTGTCCTCCCACTGGGGAGGGTCCTCGTAAGCCATGAGCAGCACGCTGCACCCCGCCAACGCCACTCGAGGCCCGATTCCGGGTACCGACTAGGTAACGTCTGGGCATCTTGACGACGTAATCCCCAGTATTCGTCAATCGGGTGCTGGTTCGGAGGCAAATAGTCATGGTGTAGGTGTCACTGGCCATTCACGACCAGGTCAGTCCGACATAAACCGGTCAGGCGTCCCCCTTTGAGTATATTAACAATCTCCTTCGACAGGCAGCATGGCGCTCGCACAGCCCTTTCGGGGCGCACCTGAGGACTGTCCTCTGAATCATCTGCCCCGAGCGGCTGCTAGTTGGGGAAGACTTGGCTGTGCGCGGGCGAATCAAGTGCGGTGGTAGCACCGTTGAAGGTCGGAGATGCTCCTCAAAGGTCACCGCCTGCGATCAACACTGCAGCGCACGCGTTGATACGGCGACGATCAGCGGCAATCGCGGGGATGCCACTTCGAAGGGATGACAGGACCAAAATCCAGGGTCAATCCAGGGTCAATCCAGGAGGTATTAACCACGGCCCCGCGCGTAGAATGCGTGCTGAGAGGCGAAGCGGCGGGAGATGTTGATTGCACAAGTGGAGAGTTGGGCTGCACCTGACGCGGCCAAGTCGATCATCCGCCCTTGTTGACTCTTCCGACATCCACTCTGGCGAGCTACAGCGGGTCTTTTGTGCTCGTGTCCCCTCTTTTCGTTCTTCTCAACGATTCCTTTACTATTATCTTCGTCTGTGGAACGTGTTTTATTTCTCCCCTTTCGCTCCCTCTGACACGCGTGGAGAGCTGTCATCGCTGCCTTGCGTCAATGTGGGCCTCTCCGGGTCCTCCCCGACTTTCTCGAGGCCTCCACTCCAATCTGACAAAAATCCCCCAGGACCTGCGAGCGTGAGAGCTTCCAAAGGCTTCGCAACACCACCATGCCTCGCTCCGTTCCACAGTTCCGGTCCTCCTCCAGCGGGGAACCGGGCGACGACCCGGAAAATGCTCCGACGACAACTCGCACAGCGCCCCCGTCCCCCACAGCCTATCGTCGCTCGCAAAGCTACCTCGCCGAACCGCATACCGGCTACCAGTCTCTCGAGGCCCAGATGGAGATTGGTGAAACCACCAGCCTGCTAGGGGCCGACGCCCAGCGCCGAGTCCCGCAGCGCTCCTACACCAGTACTTCGGGCATCTCGGGCCCGGAATCTCTGCGGTACCTGCTGGCGACGGGCAGTTTGCGCCGCACCCGGAATCATAGCAGAGCCAACTCGACGAACCGGAGGGTAAGTCGGCGAACAAGTGTGGGTGAGGAGGCCCGCCCGGCCAGTGTGCCGCCTTCCACGAAGGACGGGTTGACTGCTTCTTCGTTCCTGGACGAACGGACTTGGTATGATCAGTTTACCTCAACGGATTGGGTCCACGACAGCATTGCAGACGGAGCGCGTCTGCGCCAGCTTCGGCAGCGGAAGGATATTCGGGGCCGGTTGCTGGCCTGGTTTGATGGTGCGCAGGGATGGGTGCTGGTCGCGATCATTGGATGCATTACCGCCGCAATCGCCTACTTTGTGGATATCACCGAGGGCCTGATCTTTGACATGAAGTCGGGGGTCTGCCGTATGCCGCCCCTCGCCAATCGTGACGGGTGCACAGTTTGGTGGTCCTGGTCTCAAATCTTCAAATGGTCGAAAATCCGAAACCAAGCGATCGACTTTGTCATGTTCGTTGTGTGGAGTGTGGCTCTTTCTGCAATCGCCTGCGCTCTCACCTTACTCACCAAGACGGTCGTCCCCTCGTCTGTTTCTTTGACTACCCTCGATGAGAACCTCGGCGCCGAGTCTCGGGGCACCGACCCGCATACGGGCAGCGCAGGAAGTGGAACTCCTTCATCCCAAACAAGTCCGCATGGAACCTTCCCCAACTCGCCGGTGCATCCGGCAATGACTTATTACTCGGCGGCGGGCAGTGGCGTGGCAGAGGTGAAAGTCATTAACAGCGGGTATGTCATGCATGGATACTTGGGCTTAAAGACGTTGGTTATCAAAACAATTGCATTGATTTTCAGTGTTTCTTCAGGTCTCAGCCTGGGAAAAGAAGGCCCTTATGTCCACATTGCTACCTGTGTGGGCAACATATGCTGCCGTCTATTCGACAAATATAACCACAATGATGGCAAACGGAGAGAGGTCCTGAGTGCAAGTGCTGCCAGCGGTGTAGCAGTCGCTTTTGGTGCGCCGATTGGTGGTGTTCTCTTCAGCCTGGAGGAGGTCAGCTATTATTTCCCACCAAAGACGCTCTTTAGGACTTTCTTCTGCTGCATCGTGGCCGCCTTGTCCCTGAAATTCCTCAATCCATACGGCACCGGAAAAATCGTTCTCTTTGAAGTCCGCTATCTCTCCGACTGGGTATTCTTCGAGATTTTCATATTCATTCTTCTTGGAATCCTTGGTGGTGCCCTCGGTGCGCTCTTTATTAAAGCATCCAGCCTTTGGGCCCGATCTTTCCGACGCATTCCCATCATCAAGCGCTCACCCATGTTTGAAGTCGTCCTTGTTGCCTTTGTCACCGGTGTCTTCAGCTTCTGGAATCGATACACCAAACTACCAGTTACCGAGCTACTCTTCGAGCTTACCACCCCTTGTAAAGGTGAATCAGAGTCACGCACCGGTTTGTGTCCACGCGAGGAAAATATTCCCGAGATTATTCAGTACCTTCTCATTGCTTTTGTTATCAAGAGTTTCTTGACAGTCATCACCTTCGGCATCAAAGTTCCGGCTGGTATTTATGTGCCTTCCATGGTTGTTGGCGGTCTCATGGGCCGGATCGTTGGACATGTTGTTCAATACTGGGCAACCAAGCACCCGACCATGTTCCTTTTCAACTCTTGCAACATCAATGGCATGGAGTCATGCGTCACCCCGGGTGTTTATGCTTTAATAGCAGCCGGGTCTACGATGTGCGGCGTGACTCGCCTATCAGTCACACTCGCCGTTATTCTCTTTGAGTTGACTGGCAGTTTGGACCACGTCCTCCCATTTTCAATGGCAATTCTATGTGCCAAATGGACAGCAGATGCCATTGAGCCTCGGAGTATTTATGTAAGACTTTTCCACATCTTTGCTCGATGCGTATGCTAACGTACTACCAGGACTTCCTCACAGACATGAACTCCTACCCCTTCCTCGACAGCAAACTCCAGCCAACCTCCGACGCCGATCTCGGCGACATAGTCCGACCATCCCGAAAGAACCGCATTATAGACATTTCAGGATCCCCCTTCGTCCCGGCCTCCGAACTCCGCTCGAAGCTTGAGACTCTTCTGATGGCAGGCGAACTCGACGGTGGCCTCCCCATCTTGCGGGATGGTATCTTAACCGGACTCATTCCAGCACCAGACCTGGAATTTGCCCTTGACACCCTCGGCGACGACGAAGACCATACGATCTGTTTGATGTCAATGGACTCTTCAATTGCCATCTACGATAGCGACAACGAGGATCTCTTGCAGGATGATTTTACCCGCTACATTGATCCTGTATGTCTGCCCCGATCCTCATGAAACCCAATATACGATCGTACTAAAACTTCTATTAGTCACCCATTGCTCTCGACGTCCACTCCCCCATCGACCTTGTCTACCAGTGCTTCGCTAAGCTCGGTCTTCGATACCTCTGCGTTCTCCAGAATGGGCATTACGTCGGCCTTGTGCATAAGAAGGCCTTTGTGAAATTCATGAAGGAGAAAGAATGAGTCGACGCGCCATGAATCATGCATTTACTCGTTTTTACCTTTTTGACCCTTAAGGGTGGCGTTGATATATTTTCATTTACTTGGATGGGATGTCTTTTTCAGTTTCTGATTCTTCGTGAACATTTTGCATAGCATTGCATATTGTCCCTATTTCTGACAGCCAGCTGTCGAGACGGTGGTCTTTTCTAGACGTTTGTCAGTACATAAGATTTGCATAGTGGTGATTTGAGAATACAGTGGAAATGAACTTGAGAGTTCAGTCTATTTATCCTCATATTTTGTGCTGGTTTAATCTACTTGCTTAATAGTCAAAATGTACCTGACCCTAAATTGTATGAAGCAGACAAAGCAATTGTTAGCGCGTCGGTGGGTCCACCGATAAGATAAACTCGCGATCCCACTTCGATCCGCAATGCGACTGCAAGACCGCACCTCAACCAAATCAACAATCCCCTCAAAATCAAGAAGCAAAAGCATATCCAGAATGCCACCCCCAACAACCCCCGCCCTCTCCACGCGCCCGCTCACCCTAATCGTCGCAACAACCCCCCTTCCGCATCGCGTCCACCCTCGACAACAACGAAACCCGCCTCGGCATCGGATTGAAAGGCACCCTCCCCTGGCCCCGCATAAAAACAGACATGTCATTCTTCGCCCGCGTAACCTCCAGACCACCGACAGCGGGCACAACGAACGCAATCATCATGGGCCGGAAGACGTACGAGTCTGTACCGGCGTCCCTCCGTCCGCTCGGCAAGCGGATTAGCGTTGTTATTACGCGGGATCGGACAGGCGCTGTGAAGGAGGGTATTTTGAGAGAACTTGAGGTTAGGAGGGAAAGATTGCCGCCAAGGCGGCTGAGAATCCCTCGGCCCAGGGAGAAAATGAGCCTCAGACCGATGCGATTGTCGAGCCGAGTCTTGATGCTGCCTTGCAGCGGCTTGAGGGGTACAAGGGGCTGGGCAAGGTGTTTGTTATTGGGGGGCGCGGAGATTTATGGGGCGAGTTTGCGGTTGCAGAGCAAGAGGCCTGTTAGGATTGTTATGACGAATGTTGTTAGGAAGGTTGACGGGGTGAAGGTGCCGTTTGAGTGTGATACTTTCTTTCCGGTTGAGAGGTTTGAGGAAAAGGATGGCTGGCGGAAGGCTAGTGCTGAGGAGGTTACGGGCTGGGTTGGGGAGGAGGTTACTGGGGAGTGGAAGTGCGAGGGGGAGGTTGAAGTTCAGATGGTTGGGTATGAGAAGGTGCAGTGAGGTGCTTACGTTGGTTTTTGTTTTGAGTTTACTGGGAGCTCTTTGCATATATCGCATTTCTACAATATGTCGCAGTCATCGAGGACCTCCGTGGCCTTCTAGCTATTCTAGCATGAATGCTTAAAGTGTCGCTGAAGCCTCAGTTGTTCTCTTTCAAATGTTCTTTTGCGGTGACACGCATTTTCCTATATACTTCAAGATTTGTTTCTTTACTTTCTTCGGGCCCGATAGCCTAGATAATCTTCATCACTTATCCAAAGCTGCGAATGTGCTTTCCATTAGTTATAGCATTTATTTTATAACTCATGTGTTGCAAAAACATATCATTTTATGTCATGTGATACCCTATGGATGTTTTATCGTATAGTGCCGTATACCTAAGCTGTAGGAGCGTGTCTTAGCTCCGGTAGCGCATAGCGTATCATCCAAACGGCGTATTTCGGAAGGCGATTCGGGCGTATCTGATAGTTCGTGCATATATACTGGATAATGTCTGGTAACTCTTGGCGCTCCCCTTCCGTTCTAGTGCTCACCCGCTCGCCGCTTTTGCTCACTGAGTAGAATTGAGCATGCCCCTGACCGGCCTGAGCTGATCAGGGGTATTTGTCGGGGCTGCGGAATCCAGTGCCCTGGCGCTTATTAATCGTTCATTGCCTCTTTTACGGCACTTGCGATGAGCCCAGAAGCTAGTCTAGCATTACCAGCTAAAGTGGTATTATTCTAGTTGTCGTTCCCGTGATGGGTTCTGTGTTCAGGAGCTATATTCAAATTTCAGATATCTGACCATGAATAACATATGGAATAAATTGTGTACGTAGAGAGGATTAACTAGTTCTGGAGAATGGTGGTAAAACTAATTTGTTCAATTTGTACAACTAAAGAAACATTTATCATCCCAACTAAAACAAACAAGACAATTTTAGGCTTGCGCTTGGAACACATTATAATTCAACAACGAAGTAAAAACTTCTCCCTTCAACGACGTGATTGAAGGGCCCCCGAATTTTCCCCGCTGCCCCCAACAGTCGCTTCCTGCGACGCCAGAAGGTAGTCAAATCCATGGGCCTTAATGAGACCAAACCATTTCAGCACGGGCATCGGCTCCAGGTCTTGCCGATGTCCTCGCTCCTGCTGGATGTAAGCGGCCAAGTCATCCGTGTGGGCGGCCAGGGAACTTTCATAGTGCGAAAAGTGGGCTGCAGCAGTAGCAGTAGACGAAGAGACAGCAGAATCGATGAGCGACAGAGAAATCTGCTCGCTAGGGATCAGGTCCACACGGCCGGCCCAGACGCTCATGTCGGGTGTCTTGCCAGTTGTATCCACGTAGTGGATGAACGCGTCCATCAACCGTTGTTTCTCAGAAGGCTCTTCCTGTGACGCGGGGAGGAAGCGGTAGATGAAGGATGGAATGTCGAATTTGTCCGTGGAGCGCTCAAGAATACGCTCGCCGGCCCACTTGCTAGCAACGTAGCCCTCGGTTCCATCCACGGGGGGCACATGGGCGGCAGCAGAGCCGGCATCTTCGGTCGCAAGTAGCTCGGGGAGAACACCCATAGTCGAGATATAATGGATGGGCACGCGGCGCGCGGCGGCCATCTTGACCAATTCTTTGATAGGGTGGACATTGCTGGGGCGCAGCACGTTGTAGTTGTCCCAGAATGATCTGACGGCACCCAGGTGAAGAATGACATCCGCTTGGTTTGCTAGCTCGCGGAATTCATCAACACCAAGCCCGAGAAGTGGAAGAGATAGGTCGCCGGGGTGAAAGACCACATTTGGAGCAGAGAAAAGCGGGCGTGCGCGAGGCTTGTCTCTCACAGCGACGCAGTGAATCTCAGCCACGTCGGATCGGGCCGCGAGCTGCCGGATAACGGATTGGCCAAGGAAGCCAGTTGCGCCAGTGACTAAGAATGTTTTGGCGGCCGTTGTGCTCTTGGATTGGAGGTTGCTAATGAAACTGGGGATGCTGGGCGGGGCGGTCTCTTGATCCCAGTCGATGGAGTCAACAGTGGCGCTTTCTTCGATACTGCGCGCCATTTCGCCGAGGGTGCCAGCACCGAGTAGTTTAACGAGCGGAAGCGCAACGTTGAATGTCTGGCGAATGCGGGCTTGAAGACGGATGACCAGGAGGGAATTACCACCGATGGCGAAGAAGTCAGTTGAAGGACCCAGGTCAACCCCAAGTTTGTCAACATTGTTCCCCAAGATATCCCGCCACACATACTTGAGTTGCACCATAGTCTCAGTCAATTCAGTATAGTCCTGCTTTTGGAGAACGCGGTCAGGCAGTGGCATCTTTTGAATTACTTTGCGATCCACCTTAGAGTGGTTGCTGAGAGGGAACTTGTCGAGCGGGATGGCCATCACTGGTATCATGTACTGAGGGAGAGGAAGATGACCAAGCAAGTTGTGCAGGAAGGCTGCCTTGTCCGAGACATCGTGCTTGGGCGCGAACACAACATGGGCAACCAGAAATGGCGAATCGCCATCGCGCAGAGTGACGACAACTTCTCGCAACGCACCACCCGCGGCGGAGACGATGTTGCTCTCGATATCGCTCAGCTCGATCCGAAGTCCACGAATCTTGACCTGCGCATCACCTGCCATTCGGCTATGGAAAACCATGGCTCCGTCGTCTTGCAAATGGCCAATATCACCGGTACGATACATCCGCGTCCAGCCGCGGGCGACATCATCTGGTGTCGCAAACGGGTTCGTGACGAAGTGTTTGTCAGTGAGTTCCTGGTTGTTTAGATAGCCACGGGAGACACCGGCACCACCTAGACAGATCTCTCCCGGCATGCCAATGGGAACCGGTTGCAGCTGCTCGTCAACGACATAAGTATAGTAGTTGGGGAGGGAATAGCCACATGGAATCCGGCCCATGCTTTCCAGAGTCTTCGTCTCAAGGTAGGGGATTTCCATTTTATGGGAAGAAATGGAGATCTCGGTTGGGCCATATGAATTGAAGAAACGGAGCTGCGGGAGCGCAAGGTTGGAGAATTCTTGAGTGACAATTGTAGTAAGCTGCTCGCCACCACCGAAAGCGAAGCGCCAGCTGTGTGCCTGGCGAAGGCTCTCGCTGCCGTATTGCATCCAGAGTGAGTACTCAGACGGCGTAGCCTTGGTATAGGTAATGGCCTGCTCTTGGATGATCTTGGTTATCTCAATCGGATCACCTCGTTTATCAGCGGGGACAATGTACACCATGCCTCCGTTGCAAAGGCCGGTATACATTTGGTCAGAGGAATGATTGAAGGTAAAGGCACTCTGTTGCAAAGCGCGCTCTGCCTTCAGTCCCCATGTCTTGGTATATCCCTCAATCTCGTTCCGCAGACCTGAATGAGTGACCACAATGCCCTTGGGGTTGCCCGTTGAGCCGCTGGTGTATAGTATAGCTGCGGTGGAGTCTGGCTCTGAGCGGTTGGAGACACGGGACTCGGCTGCGTCAGCGAGATCCGAGACATTGATGATCCGGGAACCTGGTGCCACTGCTTGTAGCTCTGGGGCCTCGTCTTTGGTGGTCTCATCAGCGAGGATGGCGTGCGGCTCGCAATCCTTGGAAACGATGGTAAGACGGGCCAAAGGATTGCGGAGGTCTAGTGGCACATAAACGGCACCAATGCGCATGATGGCAAGCATGGAACATGTCCAATCCGCCGCAGGCTGTTGGAAAACAAGCACTCGGGAGCCTTCGTGCACGCCAGCATTCAGAAGGGCCTCGCTTATCGCCTCTATCCGGTTAATCATGCCCGAGTAAGTGAGGACCTTGCCAGTGCCATCCATCAGAGCAACCTTGTCCGGGTTCTCCTCAGCAATCTGGTCGATCCGGCGGGGGAGCGTTGCAGGCCAGCCAGAGGTCAGGTTGAGACCTGCAAAAGAGTTAGTATATTCAATTTAGCGACATTGAATGGTAAAGAACGAGGCTCACCGCGCCCGACTTGGACTGCTTTGGTTAGCTGGGTGTCGTTGAAGAGAGGAGTAGCCTCCAAAGACACTGATGCATCACGAGTGACAGAGTCAAGGAAGTGGACATATGTCTTCAGCAAAAGGTTTGCCGCCGTTAAGTCATAGAGACCGCTCTGTACTCGAATCATGACCAGTGTATCCGTAGCATTCCAATCAGTGACATCCAAGGTGATGTCGTATGCTGTCCGTCCAGGATGGACCTCTTGGAATTCAAATTGACAATTACCCCAGGGGTACTTTTGCTGAATGCCCTGGCGGTAATCCAAAAATGCCTGGAACAATGGACTGTGCAACGAAGAGCGAGCGATACCCAAGTCTGTAAGTAGTAAATCGAATGGTAAGCGCGAGGTGCCTAGCGCTGCATGAGCCGTATCTCTGGCTTCCGCAACCGCATCACCAAAGCTCTGCTCGGACTGACGGCGGAACCGAAGGGTTAGAAGATTGAGGAAAAAGCCAATGCTGTCTTCCATGCCGGCATCATTACGGGCGGCGTCAGCAATGCCAATTGTTAGGTCCTTGGTGTCATGCCCGGCCAGGCGGAATAGCATGGCCTTGAAAGTAGCCAGATGTAGATGGAATGGGGTAGACCGCTGTGCTTTGGATACAGCTTTGATCCGCGCGACCAACTCGGGCTCAAGGTCGCAGGCCACCTGGTGGGTATCGAAACCTTTCATAGGCACTCTGGAGCTTGTACGAGCCATTGGGAGAAGCGGAAGAACAGGAGGCTGCTCGCCGGCGGGGAAGACCCCCTGCCAGTATTTGAGGTGATCGGTCATCTCACCCATATCAAGGGCTTTTTGCTGAGCAACCGAGAAAGCAGGATACTGTCGGGGAGGCGCTCCGAGAGATTGACCGTTGTAAGCCTTTTCCAGGTCTGCAATGAAGATGTTGAAGCTGACGCCATCCATGACAATGTGATGGTAATTGATCAGCAGATAGTGATTTGCCGATGAGAGCGTCAAAAGAACCATGCGCATTACATCACCTCTTTCCAGATCGAAAACATGTTCCTTCACCCTCTTATACTCGGCAGAAACTTCTGCTTCGGATCTGATCTTCTTGCGTTCGAGTCGCAGCGGGGAGCTGCGCAAGACCTTCTGGTAAGCCTCACCGGCGTCGGTCTCACTTTCGACAAAGCAGGTGCGCAATGATTCGTGCCTCGTCGTCACAGCGCGGATGGCTCTCTCCAGGGCACCGACATGCAAGTTGCCTGTGACGTGGAACTCGAAGACCACGTTCGGCGTCGTGGGGTCTTCGAGCAAATGCCGCAAAAACCAGAATCGTGACTGTTGCAATGAGAGGCGCTCACTCTTCAAGAACTTCTGGCGTTCCGGTGTCACTGGGATAGAGGCTTTAGGGGAGTCGCCGTCATCGGAAGCGATGGATGGAGTGGTTATGGTTGTCTGAGTCATGGTAGCTGGCTCCCTTTCTGGGCTGGCAATAGAGTTCTCCCCAGATGTTGAGGCAGACTCGGAATCAATGCTCTGTTCCCGTGTCTGTGGCACCTCGGGCAGTGGCTGCGGCTTGGAGATTGTCGCAGCTGGCTTGGTAGATTCAGACTCCTCGCCCCGGTTTCCAATAACAGCAGCAAGCTCCTTGGGAAGCTTCTCAAAGGCCCCTTGGCACAGCTCAGCGAGAGAAGCGCCTCCGATTATCTTGAGAACAGGAACATCCACCTTCAACTCCTTGGTGAACCAGGTTCTGACTTCCACGGCAACCAAAGAATCAATGCCCAGTTCAACGAGAGGGGCATCGTGGTGGATTTCCTGATCTCCCAACTGTAGCATGACGCGCAGCTTCGTGGTAAGACATTCTGCGTTCTTATTAGTTTTCTGCTGATAGAATCACACGTAGGGTAAACATGCCTTGCAGGATATCGAGAGCCTCTCTCTCCGTGGTAGCCGTTGCAAGCTGTTGGCGGACAGGAAGTGCCCTTATATCCTGTTCGTCGGGTCCTGATGCTGAGGTGTCACTTTGCCAGACCATATGCGAGAAGAATGAGTTAGTGAACCAAGGACCTGTGACCTCTTCCTTCTCCTCGTCACTGTAAATGCGGAGCCCAGTGGTGACTGTGGGAATGTAGTCGTAATCATTAGGTCCTGGGTAACCGGCCTGAATGGCTTCACCAATCGCTTTACGTAGAACCGTCTCAGAAACGAGCGCCAGGCGGAGTTTCCTGAGCTGGTCGTGGACACTTTGAGCAGCGGCCTCGATCAATCCGATACCTGTCACCTGGCCGATATCAATGGCAGAGGCAGCCAGGCCACGTCTTCTCCGCTGTCTAGCAAGTCCACCCATGAATGCGTTTGCTGCATTGTAATTGGATTGACCAATGTTGCCGAAGACAGAGGCAATAGATGAGAACATGACAAAGAAGTCAAGGTCCTCAGAGTAGAAGACATCATCCAAGTTCTTGGAACCGTCAATTTTGGGACCAAGGACTCTTTGCATTGAATCGGCTGACATATTTGCAAAAAGCTGGTCTTCGAGGATCATGGCTCCATTGGCGACACCAGCGATTGGTGGGCATGTCTTCCGGATCTCATCCACGGCACTCTGCAGTTTTTCCTTGTCGAGGACATCCATTGAGAGAACCTTGACGGTGGCACCAGTTCCACGGAAGGACTTTAGCCAGTTCTCGTCCACCTTAGGACGTCTGCTTGTCAAGCAGACACACCCAGCACCATTCGATACCATCCATTCACAAATCGACTGTCCCATCGAGCCGCTGAGACCGACAAGAATATAGGTCTTGTCTTTGGAGAAGAGAGCTGGAGCATCCAAAGGACACACCTCGACCTCGACAAAGCAATCCACAGGCCATGTGATGACATTTGTTGCGCTCTTTTGGCCGAGCGCTTCAAGGGAGTCAACCGAGGTAACCAAGTCCTCAACGTCAACTGGGACGACGACCGCCCGAGAAACGGCATCTTCGAGTCGGCCCGCCAGACCTGCTTTATTATACGACACAGCGAGTGATGACGACTGGTGTCTTATGGCAGTTGAAAGGCTGATCCGACTGCATCGCGAAGGCAAGAATTGGTCAACACGCAGACCGGTCTCGCTAAGTGAGGTTGACGCAGTCAAGTCGAGGAAATGCGTAGGCTTGATTTGATGGAGCCTCTCGCGCACGCAATGGTTGGGAGTTCGTACATCCAGGGTGATCCACGATGGGTCTCGCTGTTTGTCTTGTCCATCACATGTGAATTCGACGCGTACTGCTCTAGCGGCAGCTTGCCTGGACAGGGCCGCAACGAGGAATCGATCCTTCCCAGAGCAATGAGCAAGTATGTGACTTCCAGTGGGGATTTGATGAAGCAGGGAGTCAGCCAGGAGCTCACTCGCAACGGCGACGAGAAGTCTGTCGGCCTCAGCTTTCGAATCCACTACTCCACTCGCAACTGGAGAGACCTCAGAAGAGTTGGCGGTCGAGACAAAAATGTGCATCTTTCCATCTGTGCCCTTGCCGGCGCCGAGGTACAAGAAAATTCCCTCCAATATACGGATCGCCATCACACTTGAGGCTTCGACTTTGAAGGAATCCCCAGAGTTCATTTTGCGCTTGCCACCAACGAGCTCCACGAGGGAGGACGGCGGAAGGACGGTGATGTCTGGGTGAGAAATCGGGACGGTCTTGGTGATGACACGTTTAGACGAGTTCAGTCTGGCGTTTTGCTCATTGTTCACCATCAGCCGAGGAATCTTCAGCTTTCCGTGGTCAAGGAACACCTCGGGCTCTTTTGACCAAAGCAATGCAAAGTCCCGATGTTCCCGATCGCCGAGTGCCGATGGCGGTGCCTCCCACTCATCTAGGGCGCTCTGTTGCAGAAGGTACTCGGCGATAGCCTTGGCCGTATTGTGCTGCAGATCGGAGACATCCAGAAGGTTCCAAGTGATATGCCCGGCCTCTTGTCTGATAGTGCGGGTGAAGCCAACACTTGCCATGTGGTAGGGGTGGTCGGTGTGGGCGCCTTGCGTGACCCAGACGATTTGCTTTGCCAGCTCCACCATTCGCTTCAGGCCGTCCATTTTTTCAGGGGTCATATCCTTGAAAATTGCGGAGTCAAGATCAACCAGGTTCACGAAAGTACTCATTGGGTGCAACTGCAGCGCCTCATCCTCGGTAGGTAGGCCATTGAGAACGATCGTCTCGCCGCAGAAGCGCCCCAGGCTCTCAACTACCTCTTCTCCAAGGCGCACGGTCTCAAGGGTCCCATTCCCGAGAATCACCAGGCTTTCGATGTGAATGGGTGGCGAGGGGATGGAAAGCGGCCGACGCAGAAACTCCACTCGATTATCCACGGCCTGGGACGCCATGACTGAGAATGGAGCAGCGACGCGGTCCATATCAGAAGTAGCAGCATCAACTCCACCGAACCCGTTCTTGCGCAATGCGGAATGCCACATCCCTAGTGTCAGTGGTTGCCGGTCAATGTAGCCGTCTTTCTGGCCAATCCGCTCATCAGGAGTGCTAGCTGCGGTACTAAAGCCGGGGCTAGTCGGCTCCGACAGAACGAGATAGCCACCTGGCTTGAGAAGCTGTCGCACATTTTTCAAGGTCGTCGGGAGCGATGAGGTGGCAGAAAACACGTCGGATGCGATGATGATATCGTAGGAGTGAGGTTCACATCCTTGCTCGGTGGGGGCCTTTTCAATGTCCAATGCCATGAACGACAACTTGTCGCCGTGTGCATGGAGAAGTTGTTCTGCTGCGGCGAATGAGTCCTGGGATGCATCCGAGTAGGTATAAGAGGAAAATTTCCCCGCGATACCTTCAAGGATCGGATTGGTGGCGCCACCCGTTCCGGCACCTTATATATGGGTTAGCTAATTCGAGGAGTGTCAAATTCAGCAAGACTGATCTTACATATTTCAAGGATACGCGCGTGTGGATAACGATGTGTTATCTGCGACACCATACTTGCAAGGTTCTCAGCGGCAGTTCCATCAGGCAGCGCGAAGCCAAACTCAGTTTTCGTGAACATGACAATATCGTCAGCCGCAGTGGCTGGTGCGAAAGGCTTGAGAACGATGTCCTCCACGTGGATCATGCCATTTAGGGCGTCTTCACTAAGAAGATCGATACTGGCAGTGAATCCCTCTGATTCGGGATCGAGCGCTGCGATAACAGGAACTTTAGACCCGGAGGTAGGGAGCGAAGCACACACTTCCGGGTTGACGCGGATAGCTTTCATTCCTGTCGGGACGAAGAGCGATGTCAGCCGTCCATCACCCGGGGCAGAGTAGGCGAGGATAGATGCCTGAAAGGCAACATCGAGAGTGGTTGGGTGGACCAGGTAGTCAGAAACATCCGCGTCTGTGTAGGGGTACGAATCGATCAGAGCGGAAGATCGGTTGAGTCTGCGCTTTGTTTCAGCCAGGGTTTTAAACGGCCCGCTATAGTGATATCCGAGCTCAGCAATGGCGGAATAGAAACGGTCGGGATCGACGTCGACCATGTTGTGATCGTCCGATGGTAGGCGAGTCAGCGCTTCTACATCTTGAATGCCGAAGACGATCTTCACCGTTCCGCTAGCCATGAGTTCCATATCCTGGTCTGATCCCTTGCTGAGAACTGGGACAGAGTAGCAAGCGAAATGCGCTGTAGCGGTTTGGTCCGGGAAATACTTCACTCCCGTCAGCGTGACGAGGGTTTCAACGCCCGAGTTGTCCTTTTCCTCGAACGTCAGGGCCCGCGGAATGGCAAGGTCATAGAGCTCGAAAAGCTTGACCGGGCTGTTTCCAGCAACATGTCTCGATGCCTCCAGAGCCATGGCAATATAGCCTGCAGCCGGGAAGACGGTGAGGCCTTGCAACTGGTGGCCGGCTAGCCAGGAAACCTCTGATGACTTGAGAACATTCAGCCAACGCAGCTCCTGGGCATTGGAATCGGTAGACAGGAAGCCAAGGATCTCATGGTGCGGCTGCTTTCGCGTACGCATTTTTCTCGATATGCGCGACTCGCTCCAGTGAGAGCGTCCATGGTTCCATTGGTATGCGGGCAGCCCAGTCACTAGCTTGGGAGGGTTTGATTCCTGCGCAGCCACGGCCTTTACAAATGACTGGAAATCAACCAGTTGTGGGAGGTTCGTCCACACGAAACCCAGCCCCTCAGCGAAAGACTCGATGTCGTTCTTCCCACGGTTTAGAAGACCAGTGTAGGGAAGGGGGGCAGTTCGCACGTCCGATACGTTCTGCAAAGCCGGGCCCTTCAGTGCCGGGTGAGGCCCGACCTCGACCGCGAGGTTGATCTGTTCGTCACTGGCCACAGCGTTCTTGACGGCATCCGAGAAGAGCACCGTGTTGGTCATGTTGTCCCTCCAGTAGACATCCTGAAGTTCGTCAATCGGCTCCATTGGTTCGACTGATCCCGTCACGCTGGAGAACCAGGAGCAAGCTTTGGATCTCTCTCGGTTGATTCGGATATCGCATGCTTGTAAGGCCTTGACGTATGCCTCTCCACATGGGAACATGTGGTGCGAGTGATACGCGGTGTCAACCTTCAAAGCTCTGGCGAACTTTTTGTTCTCGTCGAACACCTTCTGCGCGCGCACGACGGCGTCGGCATCTCCAGACAAGGTCACGCTGGCAGGAGAGTTGTGGGCAGCGATGGCCAAGAGACCCTTGAAAGAAGGCAAATTGATGAAGTCCTCGGCATCTTCCCACGAGGTACCAACTGCGAGCATGGCACCTTTTTGGCCGGTCGCTTCATTGCCAGCTAGGCGCGCATAGAGTCCACGATAATAGGCAAGGCGAATCGCGTCGCGCGCGGAGATGAAGTCAGCCGCATATGCAGCCGCGATTTCACCGGAGGAATGCCCCACGACAGCTGCGAAGGTAATCCCGGCAGCCCGGAGAAGATCAATGAGGACAACCTGGACAGCAGTACATAGCGGCTGCGACAACGCAGCCTCAGCAATGCGCGAGACGTCGGCTCCAGCCAGCATCTCCTCTCGGAGGCTCCATGTCGGACGATCGGCCGGTGGCAGCGTGCTCAACGAGGTTTCAAGATCCTGAATCCTCTTTTGAACAAATTCCGACTCGCGGATGAGATACGCGCCCATCGATGGCCATTGGGCACCCTGGCCGGTAAACACGCCCAGAAGGCGAGGGATGGCCTTGGCGGCAGCGCGGAGGCCAACAACGGTCGCGGGATTCTGCTGCACCTCTGCCAACTTTTTGTCGATCTTCGACGCGAGCTGCTCGATTGTCAATGCCGAGAAAGCTGCCTTGGTTGACAACTGGCTTCGGCGGGAGTGGAGGGTCCACGCCAAGTCAGAGATATTGATGGTATCATGGTGAATTTTCAGGTGGTCAGAAAAGGCCCGTAACTGAGCGATCAAAGAGCCTTCCGTTGCCGCTGAAAATACAAACGGGGTCAAAGATGGACCGGATGATGCAGGACTCGTTGGGGGGGTGTACGACTCCAAAATGGCGTGGGAGTTGGTGCCACCGAAGCCTGTCTTTGTCAGCATCTTGAGGCTGCGAGGATAACTAGACGATACATCTCCGGTGGACTATACTTACCAAAACTGTTCACACTCACTCGGCGAGGAACTCCCTCTTCTAATGCAGGCCAAGCGCTCAGCTTTGTGGGAACATGCAGGCCCTTATAGAACGGTTCGATCTTGGGGTTGAGGGTTTCGAAGAGCATGTTCGGAGCCACCAATCCAGCCTGAATCATGCCAGAGGCCTTGAGCACGCCAGCGAGACCCGCGCAGCCCTCAAGATGTCCAATGATGGTCTTGATTGATCCCACATACAGAGGGTACTCCGAGCTGGTAATGTGTCGACCGAAACAGTCGTGGATAGCGGCAGCTTCCCTTGGATCTCCCGCCTGAGTCCCCTGTGCCGTGGGCTTCAAAGAACTGTTGTTTGATTTGTGTCAGCGTGCCGGGCACAGCAGATCTTATGGTGTAGGGCATCATTTCTACTCACCTGTGGCCGGTCGCGAGGGTCATTCACAGGGTCTAGACCAGCTCTCTCGTACGTTTGGCGGATCAGTGCTGCCTGGGCATCGGAGTTGGGAACTGTAAGCCCATTGGAAAAGCCGTCTTGGTTGGCCCCGGTCTCACGGACAATACACTCGATGTGATCTCCATCGGCAATTGCATCGCTAAGCCGTTTCAATACCACGGCTGCCACGCCCTCGCCACGGGCGTAGCCATCCGCATCTGCATCCCACATCCGGGAGCGGCCGTTGGGGGACAACATCTTCAGCTTGCTCTCGCCGATATACATCTCCGGGTTGAGAAGCACTTGGGTGCCGCATGCCACGGCGACGCGCGATTCGTTGGCACGTAGGGTTCTCACACCCTGGTGCAAGGCGATCAGACTGGATGAGCAAGCGGTATCGATGGTCATGCTGGGCCCATGCCAGTCAAAGAAGTATGAGACCCGGTTGGAGATGATTGCTCGATTCGTGCCAGTTGCGAAATAATTCGGCATGGTGTTGTGGTCCCGGGTTAGGGTATCATTGTAGTCGGCAGTCATGGTTCCAGCATAAACTGCCGTGTCTGATCCCCGCAAGGACTCGAGAGTATGGCCTCCCGCTTCCAGGGCTTCGTAAACGGTCTCCAGCAAGATGCGCTGCTGGGGGTCCATCGAGTCTGCCTCATTGGGGCTGATGTTGAAGAAGGCTGCGTCGAATGAACGCACGTCTTCCTCCAACAGGTAGGATCGTAGGACATTGGATGTGCCATGATGGCTGCCATCTGGGTGAAAAAAGGTCGTAGCATCGAATCGCTCCGGGGGATGTCCTTGCCCACATCGCGAGGATTCTTCAGGAGCTCCCACAATGCCGAAGATGAACTGGCACCTCCAGGGAAGCGGCAGCCGCTTCCCACTATAGCAACAGGTTCGGGTTGCGTAGACGGCATCTCTGAAGAATGAATGTGTGTTTCTATAGAAGATAAAATTTCTTTTGTGTTGGAAGGAATCGAATTTGAGAGAAGTTCCCAAGGGTTGCGAAGTCTATGGCATGGGTATCGCAGTAGTTGGGCTCGTGTATAGCTCGAATGGCAGGCAACAGAACCAAGTACTCTATTATTAAAGATCTCTGAGCCCCTCTATGGAAGCAGATTGCGTTCGGACTCTCCACTGATTGATGGCCCCCTTTCATTGTCGCCGACCAGCGACTCAGACCCAAGGTTTCCTATGCCCTCCCACTCTCCGCCGACACGAGCAGTGGAGACGAGCCCCGATACAGACGGTGCTGGTTGACCAATAGGGTTTCGTTTTGGCCTGGCAATTCTCTCCGATATCTGAGTAGGTGCCTTACTGGGAAGTATCGGGTCCGCCGAATGTATTTTCAGCCGAAAGGGTTGCATAGCATGCAGCAGGACACGAGGCTATAGGCCCCTTCCATTCAAACCTTACGTACAGTTCTACTAAATCATGACTACCCAAGGTACATGATTTTCGGCGAATAGCTCATCCCTAGAGGTTTTAAAGGGTAGCCAGGCTCTCACTGATTCTGCCTGTTTGCCAGATTCTTGTTCGTTAGGCCATGTTGTAGAATATCCATCAACTTGTCATAGTGTGTATAATTTAATTTTTTTTTTCACACGTTTTTCCCTTTGTCGAATTTCTCTATATTACACGTCCCATGGGACAGAGGAAGGACTATCTATGGTCCTTATCAAGATACCGTGCTGGCCATTCACTTTTGAAAGCACCACCCGGCAATTTTCGTATCCTAGTATCCTATGATCACGTCTTGCCTTCAAGTCTTCGGTGCTTATTGAGATTCCCCGATCTGCTTGCCAGATGTGCACCCGGGAAACTCACATGGCAATTTTTTCTACCACAGGAGGGAATATATTAATTTCTAGAAAGGAAAATAGAAAATGCCATTCTCGGTTATTAGCACTGTCTACCCACTCGCACGCTACCGCGCACGGTGCTCTCACAGTCTGCGGCTAGTTGACATGATCAATGTACTTGGAAGTAGGCCTCAATCCGAGTCCACTCTTCTCATATGCCATATCAAGCATCCTCATCTGCTTGATCGAATCCTCCCTCTCAATCCAGTACTGAGTGGGGCGACCCTTAATTCGGTTCACAAACTGTTCCAGCTGGTACCGGAACGACATCCAGTGATCCTCGCCATCAAGCTTGGAAATCTCGCCAGTAGCGTCACGGGGCTTGTAGGCCTTCTGCGATCGCTTCTCCGTCCACTTCTTGATTAGTTTGCCATCAGCCTTGTCCCGGATCTCAAAGGTTTCCGTGACATCAACTCGATGCCAGAAGATAGCGTGACACCATCCATTGATGGTCACTTCACGAGTGACGAACTTCTGCTGGGAAGGAGGGAGACTGGCATCCGGAGCCTCAACCTTCTTATGGGTAACCGTCGCGTAGGATGGGTGCCAGAAAGTGGGGCCCTGGAGGGTGCTGTATGCCTCGCCGATTCCGCCGTTCGGGAAGCGAAACTTGGCCTTGAATTCATAGTCGCAGTCATGGTGGACACCTTCGGTGAAAGCTTTGGTGTCGACGGAGAAGCACTCAACGGGCTCGTCGTCAAAGATAAGACGCAGGGCGGCGAAGTTGTACGTTCCCATTCCCATCATAGTACCACCCGCAAGGTGGTGCTTGAAGTGGATGTGGTCTTTGGTGACCATCCACCAGGGAATCATTGAATAAGTATCGACATGAACCACATCGGCAGGAGTGATCAATGAGCGGAAGATGGACCAGATGGGGTGGAAACGATAGTGGAAAGCTTCGAGCAGGACCGGTGCGTTGGGTTGGTCAAGCTCCGGCAGGTTGAAAAGAACCTCGGCTTCCCTGGCGTTAGATACGGACGGCTTCTCAAGAAGAACATGCTTGCCGGCTTTGATGGCCTTGACAGCCCATTCAAAGTGCAGGGCATTGGGCAGAGGCACGAGAATGACATCCACATTAGGGTCGTCGAGAAGTTCTGGTAGGACAAGGTCAGAAAAAGAAATGAAGAGGCGAGATGCAGGAGCCTACTCACCCTGGTAAGTGTCCATAACGACGGGAATATCATTCTTCTTGGCGAACTCCTCCGCTCGCTTTCGGTCACGAGCAGCCACGGCGTAAAGCACCACTTCGGGATGCATTTTGGCGGGAATGGTCAAGGTCATACCACTGCGAGTTGTCAGTCATGGCTATACTACAACGATGTTGGCTTCGTGTGGAATGCTACTCACGCTGAATTTGCCGCTCCCAGAATACCAAACTTGAGGGCATCTTTACTCTTCTCGACCTTGGGCGGATCAAAGGCCCACCAGATGCGTAAGAGCTGCGATACAGACATTCTGGGATGTTGGGTCAGAGACTTGGATAGAGGCAGCCTCAGGCAGAGTATACGCTATACGCGCAGTAGTGGGGGGAGGGGGCGGATTTTGCAGGTTGTGCGGGTTTTGTGTTTTTGATTTGTGGAATGAGCTGAGAAGTAAATGTCTACAAGGGAAGGTCAATAGATGCAAGGCATGCTGCTTTACTTTTCTTTCACTTTCTTACAATTGACGTCGGGCTTTTACTCCTTAATTCGACACTACTATTCGGTTGGCCTATCCGCCGGCGCTGGAATACCTACCTCCCAGGATGTCACCATCCAATGGGTCGATCCCATCAATTAGCGCCGACCTTGGATATCTTGCAGGAAACCGCACTATCAGCAAAAATGGCCGAGCGAAATTGCCGAATCTAGGCATCGCTTATTAAACATGCTGACGTAAAAAAAGGCCGAATTTCTGAAACCAATCTGAAGCCAATCGGGTGGCGCAAAAGGGGCCGATCAATGCGTTTAATGAACATCGCTTTAACAGATCTGACTTGGTGTGATACGACGTAGGAGACGTAAAGTTACCGCTCGTATCAAAAGATTGGAACGGGGCATGATGGTTTTACTTCTTCGAGCGTGGAATGTGCATCTGCTGCGGTCGGTGATTTCAAGCAGAGATGTTTCTTTGTTTGTTTCAGCCCCCAATTGGCGTGATTGATAAGCCTCGGCCTTACTGAACCCCTAGTCCGATGCATCATGGAGGGGTAAGATCTTAAGTACCTACGCCAACTGTTCCCTAACGCTCCAAATTGAAATTTCCTCATTGAACCTTCCGTCTTCTGCTTTCTCATTCTTCCCTTATCCAGCTTACCTCGATAACCCGACATGTCTAAAGTTCTCGCCATTTTCGGTGCCACCGGTCAGCAGGGCAGCTCAGTCCTCAACCATGTCCTGAATGACCCAGAGCTCTCCCAGCAGTACAAGCTCCGCGCCATCACCCGCGATGTCAACTCTGAGAAGGCCGAGGAGTTGAAGAAAAAGAATGTCGAGGTTGTGGAGGGCGATATCTCGAGCTCTACCTCTCTGGCCACGGCCTTGACAGGTGTGCACTCTGTCTTCGCCATGACCACTCCCTCCCTCGGCCCCGACGCCTTCGAAGTCGAGCTCGGCAACGCGAAACGGATCGCCGACGTGGCTGTGGAGCAAGGCGCCGAATATATTATCTGGAGCACTCTTCCCTCCGTTCGGGATATCTCCAAAGGCAAATACACCGCCGTCGTCCCCTTTGATGCTAAGGCTGCCGCAGAGGAGTATATTCGCGCACTTCCTATCAAAAGCGCATTTCTATCTCTTGGGTCATTTATGGAGAACTACCAGTCGCAACCCTTCCTATTCCCCACAAAGGCGGATGATGGCACCTATGTGATAGCCCGCCATATATCGCCCCAGGCGAAGTTTCCTCTACTTGACGCGGTCGATGACGCCGGCAAGTTCGCGGGGGCTATCCTCGCTGATCCCACCAAGTTTGAGGGAAAGCGCCTCCACTGCGCTACAAAGCTATACACTATCACAGAGATCGCCGCCCTCCTATCCAAGAGCTCTGGCAAGACCATCGTCTACAAGCAGGTCTCCGTCGACGATTTTAAGGCAAGCTTGCCTTTCTTCCAGGATGTCTTTGCGGAGGGCTTTAGCCTCTATGATGAGTATGGATACTTCGGTCCTGGTACGGAGGAGTTGGTTGCTGAGGCTGCGGCGGTCGCCCGGGGCAAGCTCTCCACTTTCGAGGAGTACCTGGAGAGACACCCCTTCCAGCTTCCGTAGAGAACACCTTCAGCTTGCATAGAGCAGAACGCAAAAAAATACAAATACAATTAAATTTACCGTACAGCAGTGAAATTTCATCGTGCCTAGACTTGATGAACTGCATATAGCTTCACCGCGAACGCATCACCATTTCGTAGTATGAAGATTACCATGAAATTCAAGTTACATAGGCTTCTACCTATTTCTGTATTCTGCTCAGAGGTCCAATGCGAGCAGGACGTGAACCCTAAAGAGCTAGAGAACCCTCAAAATGATGGGTATCTAGAAGTACAGGATACTAGATGGCAGTTGTGTATAAATGGATAAAAATGCGATTCAAATACTATATGCATAGTACCTTAGTGAAGGGGAAGTAGCCTCGTCAATGTGAAAGAGCTAAGCTCGATCAACTACTAGTAAGCAGTAGGTCGCCGTCAGGAAGTTAGCCATACCGTGGCACACAAAGAACGTAAACAAAACACTTGTTAACTAGCTCTCTTTCTACTTCTTGTCCGTGGGCTGACCTGTATATATATGCATTGAAACAAGTAGGCTCCGACATTACCAGGGGGTGAATGGTGGAGCGAAGTCACCGAAAAACCAAATCGGTTAGTTAAGGAAGATGATTTCTAAGCAAGTCTAGTAGTTAGTATGACTGAAGTTGTAATAAATATAAAATGGGTTGCATCATTTAAATTCATCATATCTTCGTAACGGAGTAGTCATATTCTAGTAGGTAACAAGAAAGCTAGTGAAAGCCAGGTATACTCTAAAGATCTATGCCCCAAAGCCCAAAAAAAAGTGACAGGTGAATAGCAGCAAAACGTATACCAAAATATCTCGAAGTCACAAGAGTGGCCACCATGGCTGTGGCCTTGGGACCTGTCGATCTTCACCCTGACGGGGTTTATAAAGGGAATCCGTTGGAACATTCGAGTGTTGTTCAAAGCCCGGGACATCCGAGCCCTGTTGCCCACAGATCGTCGCCTTGGAACAAGGAGTTGGGTAGAGATGACAAATACCAACGCACAGCCGATGTTCCCTTTCGGGTGAGGTGTAGCGAAACAAGATTATTAAATCGTCCCACCTCCTCCCCCTCTCTCTTGGGTGCCTCCCATGATTTTGATTCTCATGAGATATCATGCCGCCTAGAGGCTACATCGCAGGGTTTGACGCAGGTGGGTGAGTCTCCGTCGCACCTGGTTTCTGAGATCGTTCAACACGTCTCTGTCCCTGTCAAAGGGGTTCCCAACTATCCCCGATATGTTAAAATTCGGGTTACTCAGCCCGGCCCCGCCGTGCAATTTGAAAGGACTGTGAGGTGCTAGGTAGGCATCGACGGCTTGCAATTGGCGCTCAATGAGATAGGAACAGAGCTGCACGACCAGCACCAGCCGTACGTCTCCCATAGCCGGTACATGTGCTGATGGGCCTGCATCGTGTTGTAGCACGATGAGGACTGCCACATATATCTCCAGGAGTAGTACATCGCAGGCCAAGAGGAGGTGGTGAATGGCTTGCATAGTGCCTTTTCCGTGATTCTGACCTGGATCGAGTCGAGCAGAAGACTCCATCCCATTGGCTGGCACAGACGACACACCGTCTTGGCCGGAAGCACCCATGAACGGCCTGTGTGGTGGAGTCATTGAGGGAGAGGGGAAAGGGTCAGTCACCGGGCTAACCTGCAATTGTCCCAGAATTTCCAACAGCCTGTGCGAGGCACAAAAGACTTCTCGCAGCATTCGACTGGTTCCACCTGCTTCAGGGGCCGGGGTCGGATAAGGGATCTGGTTCTTGGAAGTGACATGGGCTAAAGGATTCTCCTTCACGCTGCCAAACCCATGGCCATGAATGAGCCATGTGCTGACGAAATCGAAGGCAGAATCATCAATCAAGGCGGATCGTTTATCATTCGTGGAGTGGAACGAGGACGCTTCTGCTGCTTTGGCCATATTATAGCTTGCGTTCCGCAATGAGGCCAGGTTTGTGCTGAGCTGGGACAGATGTGTCAGGGTGACACTGGGCATGGGAGTCGATATGCCCAGACCCAAATTCATCAAGCCACCACCCACGTCGATTTTGTCTCTGCCGCTGCCATTGTGATTCTGGTCAATACCACCATGAGGCTGGGGATGATCATATGCATGGAGGTTGTTGTGATTTGGAGAAAAGTGGAGTTTGTCTGGAGAACTTGGATTGGGTCCATGTTGTGTGCCATCGTTGCAAAGGGCATCGATCGAGGTCAATAACTTGTCCACTTGACTGGCGTCCTGGTTGCTCCACCCGGTGTCCAGTTGCATATCGTCCCAGGTCAAATGCGCCAACGCAGGGTCACTTTCCATGACCCCAGTCAAGACGGGGTGTTCATCCAAGCATGCATTGGCCACTGGAACCGCATCTCCATTGACCATGTTGCTGTCCTCGACGTCGACGTTACTACCTGATGCTTCTCGATGTTAGCCCCCGTCCAATTGCCTAACTGATCCGAACTAGAATTGATAGGTACTTACCAACAGGCTCGGAGGACTCGGCTGGCGGGCTTGCTGGGCGGCTATTTGCAGACGCGTTGGCTGCCCCTCGACGTGCCGTACCATTTGCCCCACCAGACCGATACATCGTCGGACGACCCTTGGGCAAACTGAAGCTGTACACGCATTGTGCCCGTTTTCGCAGGCATCTGTCGCATACGCCGGTGTTGCTTTCCCGGATACAACGGAGTTTCTGCTTGTGACATCGGTCACAAGACTGTCGATGAGGGAGGGTGGATGGGGCAGGTGGTGTTTCTGCAGCTGCAGGCTCCTCTGCATTTGGTGCCATCGTTGATGGAGGGGGAGGGGAGAGGAGAGAGGCTCGAGTGCGATTGCGAACACAAGATCTCCGAAACACTCCAAAGGAAGATTTCAAGGTACAAAGTGAAAGGAAGGTGAAGACAGGAATAAGCCCATATAATGCTATTGAACGGATAGGATTTCACCCATTCGGCCCCTTTGGATCATTTCATTCCTTCAAGCACACCTTTTTAGCCATGCATCCATCGTATCCCCCTCAGTGGCTGGCCTTAGCTGAGCTCTGTTCGCTTCTCACTGCCTCGTATCAAGATTGGGTAGTATCGGCGCCTGTTGCAGAAGAAATCTGTGTATCTTCGAGTAGACCCCACGATTTACAAGGCCATCAGGTCCTCTGTCGACATACCCTGCTCGAACGTGGAAAGCCGCACGATCTACGATCCCTGTCAAAAACCATGATCAGTCCAAAAAAGACCGGGTTCTGCGAAAGCAATGCTTCAGGGATTGAGAGCACGTTAACTAATCGAGCTAGACTCCAAAGCCCTGGCGAGCGGGCGAGTTCCCGTGGGCTTGGTCGTTCAGGACCAGATTGGGACTAGCCGAACTGAGGGAGATTTTCTCGCTCCTCTAGCCATGCAGACTAATCCTCGTATTACTAACGGTGGTCAATGTTAGGCTCAATTCTCGTGAGTTCCGCTCTCCACACTAACGGCGACCCCCGAAGTTCGGGTTTGGGCGTGCTCGGCCCATGTGAACAGATTGAGTGTTGATGGGATGGCGTTGCACATGCATGTAATAATTTTTGGAATCCGTTGCTGCCGCACAGACTCCAAAAAACCCGGACGAAACGAATGGTTCACAATCAACCATCAACTACGTGGTTTCCTTTTTTGTGATACCCTGTGATGCCCTGTGATACCCCTTTGATAAGCCAATGACCAAAAATGGAGTGGTGGCAACACCCCTGGCCCGACCTGCAGGCGAGGTTGAAGTTGAAATTGACAGTAACCTCATTAAGGGAACCAGCTTCATACGGAAAGTTATCCGATGATCGGAACGTGGGGCATTGAATACGACCTTTTGGAGATTAACATCTCCTGAAACGGGTTGGCCAACTGCAAAAACTCACACCCGCTAGCCGTTCCGACGGCTTCGTATCCCCGCTGCATGTATGCACGTATACATGCTAGTCACAGTTTGGTTAGGACTCCACCGTCGGCTATTACGCCAATCCCGGAATGCCGCTGCTACGAGATTAGAAGCAGATTGCAGAGGGGCTCGAGGCCAGCTGTTGAAAGCTTATTGTAGCAGAGCCTCGTTCTTCATCCCGTCCCCGAACGGACCCCCGGGGCCGAATCTCCTCCGTTCCAGCACTAGGCATGGGCCGGTTCTAAGCACGCGGGCCCACGGGCCGGTCCTAAGCACACGGACCCACGGGCCGGTCACGGATGGCTTGGTCAATCATTCGCAAGATCTCCATCGCGTTTTCAGCTTTGTCCGTGGCATTTTACACGTTGGCATTGATTTGGAATTTCGGCAGGAGGGAGGGGCTTGCTTCATCGCAGCTCTGGGAATCATACTCAACGAGGTCGACAATGGAATCAGCATGCGAACGCCCTGTGAGGCAGAGTCTACGGTGGCACGTGGGCCCTAGGGACAGGGTGAACTCCCACATTTCTCGGTTTGTTGGGAATGCGGGTTGCCATTCATCGGTCATCTCTGGACGTGGGCGAACGCGTGCTTGTCGATCAGGACAAACAATGCCGCGGCTCGTTCGTTAGATCTGGGATGTGTTGGCCGTACCCATCCTCGACCGTTTGGGCGGGACAGGGTCGGGTGCATCCACATTCCTGATTGGTCTGCATAGTGTCTAGACTTTCTTGGCCACGACAGACCCCTGGCATGGCGCGATGGCGAAAACGATTTGCAATGCAAATAGCGACATTTCTTTTTCTTTTTTTACCCCAGAGATCTGTTTGGTCAGGGAGATACGCAGCACCTCTTCCTGTAGGCGAACTATTGACAGAGTTACGCGACGATCGAATCCTACGTCGGCAAGAAACAAAAGTACCAAGCCATACTGAGTTGGATCAATCCTTCTGCCGCTGTGGTCGATGAGAAAGTCGCGGAGAATGTGAGTGGTGGTGAATGGATCGCAGCACGAAGGACTGTTGATAAAAATCGCCGGGGAAGAAGAAGGGGCTGATCTCCGATTCTAGCCCGAATGATCGCCCTCCGAAACCACCAGAGCGCGAGCCCTTCAATTCGGTGATTACAAATGGGGTCACACCACCGAAACCTTGGCTGCAGACGCCCGATTGGACAGATGGTGGTTATTGGCTCGATGTTGCCCTTGCCTCCGAGGCCGATCTTCAGCGGTCTTTGTTCTATCGGTAATTTATTGACACCTCTCATTATCTGTCCAGGGGCTAAGCATCGATTTCTAAGCGGCATGCAGGGATCACTGCTGCCCCTTCGAGCTTTTTGTGATACTTAGTTGGTGACTGCATCAGAGAATCATCAAGAGTGGAAGGATGAAGCACCTGAAAAGACAAGGTATCTCCCACTTGGAAACGTTCCTGTATAACAAGAACTCACACTTTCAATGAGGCGAAACTTGCTTTCTTTATTTCTCGATTTAGACTTTTTATTCAGCCTCCGCCGAGATATTCTATAACAGGATCATCTTCTCCTCTTCGCTTTGAACCGCTTTCACAGCATCCACACAACGTCAGATCTAGAACGACGGGTTCCGAACCCCCCAAAATGGCAGCAGCACTGGAGAAGGAAGTGCCCGGTGATACAGAAACATCCCAAGAAATCCCAACCGATAGCAGCGACAATGAGCAACCAGCACCTTCAGAGGAGAACGATCCCAAGATGGAATACCCCCAGGGTCTAACCCTAGTCCTGCTTGCGGGAGCGTCGATCATGGGCGTCTTCTTGATCTCTCTCGATCAAGTAAGTGAATCATTCCCCGACACTCGAGGAAATGTCAATCCGTTCATTCACACGATCACTAACACACCACGACAGACGATCGTCGGCACGGCAGTACCCAAGATCACCGACGAATTCCATGGTCTCTACGATGTTTCTTGGTATGCCGCCGCCTACTTCATGACCTTTGGCGGTCTCGAGGCCACATGGGGCAAAGCCTTCAGGTATTTCGACCTGAAGTACACCTTCATTCTTTCGATGATCATATTCGAGATTGGCAGTCTGATCTGTGGGGTCGCACCCACTTCCAAGGCCTTGGTCGTCGGTCGCGCCATCGCTGGTTGGGGCGGTGCAGGCATCTCGGTCGGAGGCACCAGCATCGTTGCATTGAGTACGCCACCGAAAACGCGACCGATCCTCATGGGAATCATTGGGCTCACCTATGGTCTTGCCGCCGTGCTGGGTCCCTTGGTCGGGGGTGCCTTCACGGACAAGGTCACTTGGCGATGGTGTTTCTACATCAACCTGCCGATCGGAGGCCTCGCCGCTCTGCTGGTACTTTTCTTTTTCCATCTACCCAGTGCTGCCAAGCCCCCACAGGTGAGCCTCAAGGAGAAGCTGCTGCAACTCGACCCAGTGGGTGTGGTTCTGGCCATGGGAGCGATCACCTGCATTCTTCTGGGCCTTCAGTATGGCGGCAACACTCATCCCTGGAACAGCAGCGAGGTGATTGGCTTACTCGTCGGGTTTGGTCTCATCACCATTGCCTTGATCGGGTGGGAGATTTATCTGGATGAGTATGCGATGCTACAGCCGAGATTGTTCAAGCGCAGATCGTTGTGGAGTGTCGCCCCGTACCAATTCTTCTTCATGGGCGACCTTATTCTGATCCTCTACTATCTCCCCATCTATTTCCAAAGTATCAAGGGTGCAAGCCCGATCGAGTCCGGTGTTGACAACCTCCCCATGGTTATCGCAGTCGCCATCTTCTGCGTTGTTGGTGGTGTCGCGGTCTCCAAAACCGGCCATGCAGCGCCGACGATGCTCGTTGGCTCGGCGATTGCCACAGTTGGGATTGGTCTGCTTTACACTCTTGACATTGACACTGCAAGTGGGAAGTGGATTGGCTATCAGATTTTGGCTGGATCTGCCATCGCCTTCTCCGTTCAGAACGGTCTCAACATTGCTCAAGCCAACGTGGGCCCAGAAGATATCCCAGCCGTCACGGCCAATCTTTACTGTATGTTCTAATGTCACGTCAACGTCGAAACACTCGCTAACGCTTTTTTTTTTTTTTGGTTAATTTTAGTTTTCCAAACCGTTGGAGGCGCATTTACCACCTCATCAGGACAGGCAGCGTTCATCAACAGATTGTATGCCAATTTACCCCTCACAGCTCCTGGTGTAGACGCAGCTCTTGTGGGCGCCACGGGTGCAACAGAGCTCCGAGATGTGTTTACCTCCGAGCAGCTACCTGGAATCCTTCTTGCCTACATGCGAGGACTCAAGGCTACTTTTGCGGTTGCAATCGGCATGTCTGGTTTCGCTTTTTTGTCTACCTTTATCATTCCTTGGAGCAGACTCCCAACTCATGCACCGGCCAAGGACTCGGAGAAGGACGAGGCGCATCCCATGGCCATGCCTTGATATCCCTTTGATTTGAGACATATGGTTTGCAAGCCAGATTTCGTTTCATCGCCGCGGCCGCCGAATCTAGGAGTTGCGGTAGCTGTCAACGGCATAAGCTTACAAAATTGCATATTTCCCTCTCTTTAGGTTGTTGTTGTTATTGTTGTACAGGGAGCCTACCATATTTCCGGGCGTTTTAGTGGTGGTTATCGGCATATATATTTTATGATACCTATTGTCTGGTCAGATGGATTCTCGCCTTGGCCGCTGTCTACGATCTGTAGCAGATGTGATACACTGCCAGATAGTCAGATAGATCATCTCCTTTAAATCAATCCTACACAAATCACCTAACAAATATCCATAATGGTTCTTCAGGTACTTCTTCATATACTATGAGATTTCAAGCTTCCTCTAGTTGGTATGAGATATGTGACCGACCTATGGAAAGGTAGGTAGCGAGTATGAATAGCAACCCTTGAATGTATTGGAAAATTGAGCGTGAGAGAGATTGAACGAGGCTGTGGGCCAAGTGTCGACCGGAGAGACTGATATTACAATCAGGAGGAGGATAATTCAGCAGATACCCAATCTCCTACCTGTTTTGTGTGGTAATCGGGTATTCTCGGAAAAAGCAGCGCTGTAACACACTAAAAACCACTGAATAGATGGCACCCTGAACGGGAGCCGACAGATAGTTCTTCAGTCAATCAATCGATCGCTGGGATGGTTCAATTGGCCCCTCACGAGTACTAGTCGATACCGATATCCGAAAGTCCGACACCAAGCCCCAACACTGAATTTGGATGGGATGAGCTTTAACGATTTCTGTAATTTATAGGCAGTGCATTACAGGATACATACAAAATAATATACCTACCATACCCAATCAGGACTAGAGTGGGTTCAGAGCGACTCTAACCGTGTATAAACTGCGATGAGACAGAATGAGAAGATGGCTGTGAAGATGCAGGTGTGATATGGGACAACGCACTTTGGGGCTTTTGGGACTGGGTCAACTTGGGGAGATGGGCCGACCCGCCCGTGTGGGGCTGGACCACTTGCTCCGGGACTCGTCAATCAGTGCCGATCTTCCAGGACTTGAAGGCCTTGGTGATACAGTCTTTTGATTAGCAATCTCGCGCTGCTCGGGCTTGGGAATATGCGAGCTAGTATTGCTACTGTCTAACAGTGGCCACTCACCCCAGGTAGGTTGGGAAATTGTTCCTGCAGACTAAGAATGGCCCAATAGTCAAACAAATCTGTCAAGTAGAATGGGCCCGCCAGTAACTGAGCGGGACCCACCGGCACGTAGGCGAGTCCGAGTCTTACAGGGATACTCGAAACCGCTAGTATTTCTGTATGGAAACACGGGTAACCCCGGAAACCCAGTGCGGTATCGGATGCTGGCCGCAGGGGGTGCCATTCAAACCTGGCACCCAGATAGATTTAGACCTTCACAGTACCTGATTTCTATTGGATTATCCGCATACGCTGCCATACTGTATCCTAGGACTCTGTCAACATCGTAACGACCCAACCCTTCGTTCCCTCGTTCCTTCGAATAAGCGATGAGTTTCTAGCAGACATTTGAACGAAATGTCCGAACGCAGCCCCTCCCCAACTTGAATACGGACTACTCAAGGTAGACTCGGCGGATTTTTGACGTCATAAATGGCCGACTGCCAAAGTCGGTCGTAGTCGTGCCAAGAATGTGTTTGAGTTGCATCGAAAACGGGTGGTTCACCTACGCGATAAACTAGCGCGAGATCGCTTACTAGTTTCCATTGCTATGGCTTATTACGTTCAAGACATACAGTCTGCACATGTGTCTAGCCTCAGGCACCATCTGTATAACTAACATTCCAGAACATTTTTTACTCTGTAAATGGAAACAATTCGTAGTGTTCGGGAATTACCAACTATCAGACAAATAGCAGAGTGGCCCCCAACGAATAGGAAACATCTTCATAGAATCAAGGCTTAGCCAGATGCCCAGGTGGCACTGTATATTATTAAATAATTGATCCTGCGTATGCGCATGAGACACTGGCTTCCAAAACTATGGAACACGAGGGAACGAGTGAGTCTATGCCCTGTCACCTTTATCTCAGGCGATGACATCAGGATGCAAGCACAATCGGCTCGTTAGACAGCTGCTTCATCCCAGTAATAAAGTGGTTTCCATCCTCCGCGCGTTTCTGGGCGTCCTGGTAAGAGGATCTTGAGGCGCGGACTGCTGCACCTCCCCTTCTTAACATCTCCTCGTGATACCCTGCGACCGCTGTCTTCACAGCAGTAATGTCATGGAAGTCCCCGTCAGCATCCAGCTGGGCAAGTACCTTGGCCAATTTAATCGCATCGATGAAAGCATGGAATGCACCTTCGCCGCGGGACGGGGTCATCGCATGCGCCGCATCACCCAAGAGCACGACACGGCTGGAAGGGAGACTGTCGAGTTCAAGGTCCCGCCAGATATGTGGCTCTTTTCGAATCCCCTCAGCAGGGGTCAGTTCGAAGATCTCGCGAAGCTTGGGCGGCAGGCCAGCCGTGGTCTGGAGGACGTGGGCTAGCTTTTCCTGCTGGGTGGATGTTTGAAGCCAGTGCTGCGAATCGTTGACTTCGGCATCAGGTTGCATGAACATCCAGTAGAAGCGACCGGACTTGCCATCGGGGAGTACGTAATGAAGGCCGACAAACCCGATGAAGCCGAGTTCGGGGTTGATGAGGTTATACGCGCTGTGACCGAGAGCGAGTTGGCGTTCAAAGGCATCACCTGACAGGGTCAGTTCGCCCACGATGGCGCTGAGCGGGACGACCTGGAGGAGGTCGCTGCTGGGACGCTGGAGGAGGTGTGTTCGGACTTGATGAAAAGTGGGTTAACAGTTAGTTAAACATTGTCGATACATCGATGGGTTTCTCTGTTGGGCTATCAAATTGGAACAACGTACCGGGACTATACACCCCATCGGCACCAACAACAATGTCTCCCTTAGCACTCGTGCCATCCTTAAAGAAGACCTCTACGCCTGCGTCATCATGATGAATTTCAGTGACATGCTTGCCCCACTGAATGGGAAGATTGGTCAAGAGCCACTTCCGAAGCCGAGAGCGCTCGGCACGGATGAATGGCATTTCAGGAGAATCCTATTTTCCCGAGACAGCAACTGGCGAGTTAAAAGTAATTCTTAACTTGGTACGTTGAGCCATTATAATCACATACCTCGAATCCAAACCCATCGTCCTTGCCAGCATAATAATAACGGAACTGAGCCGGAATGTTCAACGGGGCTAGGTGATTGGTTGCCTCTCTCACATCAGGAAGATCGGACGGAAGAGAGGACAGGAAAGTGTCAACAATACTATATCTTTGTTCAGTCTGCGGTCTTTTATCTTTGAACTCTTTTGATCCAAGTCTTACGTGTGGAGCGCAATAGCCCATCCCTGGAAGCGCGCGTTGTTGTCTACGTCACGCTCGAAGATCTCGTACGAGATGCCTAGCTGTCGGAGGTTCTGAGCCAGGGTCAGGCCACCGATGCCGGCTCCAACAATGAGAACTTTCATGGTGCAAATGAAAGGTAGATCAGGGGTAGCTTCAGATAGATTGATTGATAGTAGACAAAAATTGAAAACTTATCCAATCCCCGGTCATATAAGGATTTGAAGGGAATGAATACTTTCTTGACACTGAAGAGATTGTAAAATCACACCAGAGTAATGACGCTGTGATGAGCATTCCGGGGTGAAGACCGATAGATTCGGCGCTTAATAATAACAAAGGTGCAGATAGTCTCACGAGGGACGCTCTTGGACGGCGGATCTGGCACAACTAATGGATGGATTTAGGTATGACCGGGGAATTCGACCAGTTCAGCAAGCTATCTGAGCAGATCAAGAAACCGCCGAAATACTAGGTGACCTGAAACACCAGGGTTAAGAGGACTCGCTCGGTGTATTGACCCCGGGCTTGGCTGACTTGACCACTCTCGCAGGTGGGCTGAGTATAATACCACGCGTGCAAGTGAGTTTGTAGGTGTTGAAAACATCCTTATCTAGGCAGAATTTTCTTGTCATCTTGCTCTATCTTGACTTACCACGTTGGAAATAATCCACGGAAATCATGGCGACAGACGAAGTGACTCTCCCCTTGGTCGACTTGAGTGGATATATCAATCCACAACAGCCAGGAGACAAAGAGCGAGTCATCGCGGAGGTGAGAGACGCGTGTGCGAAGTATGGATTCTTCCAAGCGACCGGCCATGGAATTCCCCTGGGCCAGCAAAAGGGTATGTTGAAGAGTATCAACACTCTCTTCAATATGCCCGTGGAAGAGAAACGGAAGCTTTCGTTCTTGAAGAACCCTTGTCGCCGAGGATATGAAGAGTCTGGAGCATCGCTTCGGGACGGTGATCCTTTGCCGGACTCGAAAGAGGTACGAAGTCACCGATGCGAAACTCACTATCTTTTGCTTTTGTAAAAACTGCGATTAACACGCACACTCTTGCCTAGGCTTATTACATCGGGCGAGAGGACCCCGTCGTAGAGCACTCCGGCTTCTACGGCCCGAATGTCTGGCCGCCTCTCCCTGAGGAGGAATTCCGCAATCCCGTCTGGGAATATTATCAATCCACCCACCACCTCGGCCAGCTCATCTGGGAGATCCTTCTCCTTGGCCTCGGGCATCCTGTTTCCCTCATGGAAGAGTTCGCCAAGCGCCCAATGGTGGTGTTGAAGATGATCCGCTATCCCCCTCATCGTTCCGATCTCCCCGGTCAGTTCGGAGTCGGTCCTCACACCGACTTCGGCGGCATCACCGTCCTTCTTCAGGAGGCTGGAAAGCACGGTCTTCAGGTCTGGCACGAAGGATTGGAGCAGTGGCTGCCGGTGAAGGCCGCGGAGGACATCTACATCATCAACTGCGGCGACATGATTGGAAAGTGGTCGGGGGGTCAGTACAAGAGTGCGAAGCACCGGGTCATCAATGCTGCGGATAATGAGCCGCGTCTGTCGTGCGCCACATTCTTCCACGGCGATCTGTTCGCGACGAACCCGCTGAACCCGTCAGACCCTAATCGCGAGACTGTCGGGGCGCTGCTGGTGAAGCGGTTCCGCAATCAATTTTCGTTTGACAAGGAACTGATCGCCGCTGTTGGAGCTCCAGCCTGATCGCTTCCCTAGACTAGATACAGTTAGATGCAGAAGGGGCCTGCGGCCTCCACCTGGTAATTAACCGAAATTGCCGACAAACCGCCGATCTTCGTGATTCATAGTTTCCACCTGACTTCGGAAAGGAATGAGGTGAATCGTAAATGGCCGAGTCTCTGATCCTCCTCGTTTCCCACATCCTCAAGATTTGAATCCTATAAGACCGTCTAAACACGGCTTGATCTTCACAATGCCAAGGAATCTGATCCTTGAGATTCTCCAAGATGAGACCGTCCCTCCTGAGCAGTTTTTGCGCTTTCGTAACCGTGGTCGGGGCTGTTGGTGTTAGGCCCAGTGCCCAATGCAAGTGCTTTCCCGGTGATGCGTGTTGGCCGTCCAAGCAGGAATGGGACGACTTCAATAGCACAGTAAGCGGCCGTCTGATCAAGACGGTCCCCTTGGGCGCTCCATGCCATGCTCCGAACTATAACGCGTCGCTGTGCGCGACATTGGCGTCGCAATGGAAGTATTCGGAGGTGCAGTGAGTTAACACCTTCGCAAAAACTGGAATTCATTACAGGACATTGAAATTGAGAGTCCTGCAGTATCGACTCGTCTTCATCCATTCAAGACCCGATTTATGCCAACCAAAGCTGTGATCCATTCACCTCTCACGCTTCGCCTTGCCTGATGGGCAACTATGTGCGATATGCGGTGAACGTGAGCGACCCTAGCGATGTCGCAGCGACCCTCCAATTTGCCCACGAAAAGAACATCCGACTGGTGATTCGAAACACTGCGCATGACTACATGGGACGTTCTACTGGGGCTGGGGCACTCGCCGTCTGGACGCACAACCTGAAGAGCATTGAGATCAAAGACTGGGCGGATGCCCAATACACCGGCAAGGCCATCAAGATCGGTGCTGGAATCCAAGGCTTTGAGGTGTCTCAGAGCCTCTCCAGGCATGGACTGGTGGCCGTGACGGGCGAATGCCCGACCGTTGGCATCGCTGGAGGGTATACGCAAGGTGGCGGTCACTCCCCTCTCAGCACGGCGTACGGCCTGTCCGCCGACAACACACTGGAGTTTGAGGTCGTGACGGCCGACGGCAAGCTCGTGACGGCCAGCCCGACTTCGTCAAAATACGCCGATCTCTTTTTCGCCTTGAGTGGTAGTGGCGCGGGAAACTACGGCGTCGTGATCTCAGTCACCCTTAAAGCGCACCCCGAGGCCATCACCAGCGGCGCCGGGTTCACTCTGGACCAGCCTAACCTCGATTACCCAGCGATTGTCAATACCTGGCACGCTGCACTGCCTGGGATTCTGGACGCCGGCGGCATGGCAACGTATTACGCACAGAACGACACCCTCGTTGTCTATTCCATTACAGGCTACAACCTCACACAATCCGACATGGAAACGATCCTGGCCCCATTTATCAAGGCCGTGGCTCCGTTGGGTGTCACCCTCAAGCCTAAGTATACCCAGTTCGACACCTACAACGAGCACTACGACTCGTATTACGGCCCCCTCCCCGTGGGAGTCTTCGGCTCGGCCGGTGAGTACCTCATGGGAGGCCGCCTGCTCCATCGAGATACGCTCCAGCACCTTGGGGACGCGATCAACCAGACCCTTCAGTTGGGAGTGCGCGTGATCGGCCAAGCAACCAATGTAAAGAAGTTTCGCTCGGAGACCAGAGCCGTCCTGCCACAATGGCGCGATACCCTCGTCATGTCTTCCTATACCCTCCCCTACAGTTTCAATGTGCCATTCTCCAAGATGACGGCCGAGCAAGACTACATCACTGACCACATCATGCCGATCATTGAAAAGGTCACTCCCAATGCGGGTGCGTATATCAACGAGGCGGATTTCCAGCAGCCCGATTGGCAGGACGTTTTCTTTGGGCAGAATTATGCGCGTCTGTTGGCGATCAAGAGGAAGTATGATCCGAATGGACTGTTTTGGAATCGGATCGCGGTCGGGAGTGAGGGATGGATGACGCGACAAGACGGGAGGCTGTGTCGAGTTTGACGGAATCCGAGTACCTGAGTTGTACCTATGTCAATAATCGCCGTGTAACTGGTCTGGGGCAGATTTATGGCTCAGCTCCCTTGTCGGGCTTGGGAAGATGTATATACGCAAGGCTAGGCAATTGGCTAGGCAATCATACGTATCGTATGCAAGCTGAGTTTCGGCTTTGCTTCAGAAGAGCTCACATATGCCTCATCCATGGCGTAAAATTCACCATTTGCTTCCATACCTGGTCTCGGCATAGCTAACAACGAAGGACGAACCATATGGGGAATATATTTTTGCATACTAGTTGAGCTTTATGGGCACTTAGCGATTAAAGAAAGAACTGACTTGGTGCAAATGCCATGATGGATCATTGTTCTATACTGGGAGAACGAATGGTTTGACGAAGTAGGTATTCGCCTATATTATGGAATCCATCTTGTCCTCATGTCATCTAATCAATCTCCTTCATGGTGTTTAAAATCTTTTATAAATGATTCGTATGAAAAACATCTCCTGTGACTAGAACATCCAAGTCTATCAAGCGTGACAGAGCCTTGCCTCATCATCCAAAGTAAACTCATCCGCACCCACCGCGAAGTGCGCATACATCAAGCGATGCGGGTCATGTGCATGCTTGATTCTTAGCAATCTGTCATAGTTATCCCCGTACATCGTCTGTTTCCAATCGCCGGTATACAACGGATCCATTTCATTGAGGTAGACCCCAGACCCGGGCGTCGCTGCCTCCACAGCTGGGAAGAACTCATCCACAAGCTGCCGTTTCAAGGCGAGGCTCTTCCCTGGATCATCCCAGTCCCAGGGGTTGTTGGGGTTGCAGTAGGCGATGGCCTTGCGCCAGGCTGGATGGACTGCATTCGGCGGGTGCGGGCCACGGATGGGAGACCCTTCGGCCACGTTGATGATGGAGCACCCGACGAACCAGGTGCCATCGGACGTGATGGAGCGATATGTGTTCATCAGCTGGGCATTGGATGTCGAGTTGAGGACCGTCGCGCGGGGGATAAGCCGGCTGGAGATGATGGGGTAGGTCGGGCACAGATTTCCGTAAGGAAAGGGGCCGTACGCTGTAGCCAGGCTGTCGGCGTAGGTGCTTGACTGGGTGGTTTTCAACTCGTATGCGAGATTGAGGCGCTTCAAGTCCGCCAGGAAGGGAGCCACGAGGTCGTGGATGGCGGAAGTGTTTTGGTCGGGCAGTACGAAGCTAAACACTTGGAGGGTGGCGTTTGTAACCAGGAACTGAACATTGTTGGTAGTGTTCTGCACGAATGATGGGCTTGTGTGGAACCAGATGCCGACGGCTTCCCAGAACGCGGCGTCATTGGTATTGTTGAAGATCAAAGTCCCTCCGGCAACAGGCCCGTCGGGGTGCGCTTTGATGGTCACGCTGAGCACAACTCCGTATGTTCCCCCTCCACCGCCAGCGAGCGCCCAGTACAGGTCTGTGTTCTGCTCTGGAGTGGCAATGAGATACTCTCCGGCGGGTGTGACCAGTTCCCATTCGAGGACTTGGTCAGCGGGCGCTCCGTACTTGGTGACAAGCTGCGAGTGGCCGCCACCTTGAAGATAGCCGCCAGCGATGCCGGTGAGGCCACATTCGGGCGCGACAATGCGGTATCCTGTCCCATTTAGGGCTTCATAGGCATCACCAGCGATCACTCCAGATCCGAGCTTCACAGCCGCGCCCAGATAGTGAGTGCTAGCGTAGTGGTGGATCACGTCGATGGATTTCAGGTTGTACATCCATAAGGATAGTGCTCCATGACCGCTTGACTTGCCCATATAACTTTGCCTTTCGTCAGCAACGGTGGATATCGGATATGCCACAGAAAGAAACGGGTTTCGGGCTAGTCTTACTCAAGGCCTGTATTTTTGACAACAAGACGGATGTTGTGATCGCTGGCGAATCTCAAGCCAGCCTGCACGTCAGCGGGGCCAGTCACATTGATAGAATAGACAGCACGGTTGCCGAGCTCGCAAGGCAGGGATTGCGATGTAAACGGAGAACAGGATGTATTCATAAAGTAGGGATTTAACATTTCACCCGGTTGTGGTTCGCTGTTCAGGATTGCGTAAGCATTGGATCATCTTTCCTAGCTCCAAGAGGGTAGATCGTAGGATTTCATGGACTGATGGATTGATGAATATCATACAGTGTCTGTGCGCCTGCATCGCTAAACGCTTCCTGAAGCGCGACGCATGCTGTCTCATTAAACGCGGGGTAAATGCCGGCATTGTGACAAATATGTGCCACGGGGATAGTCCCAATAAGCCTTCCACCCACTGTGTTGTTTAAATGATGCCACACTCCGGGGCCTGGCCATCCGGCATCGCCTGGAATGTTCTTACAAGTCGAATATGCTGTCTGAATCGGCGTCGCAGCCGCCGTGGTCCCAACGATGAGGAGCGGCAATAACCGGAGAACCATCTGAATGCGAGGTGATACTGTGTGTATCTCGTGAACAGGGGTTGCAGCTTCGATGTTGCATCCCCATTGATCAGCAGGATATGTGAAGCTTTATCCCTGCGGAAATACCCCGACATTGGTGTGGATCTGGAATTCGGCCTGTTCTTTGTCATCCCCCGCATAAACGAGACCCACAGTGAGTTCGGTGCTTTTATTTTTCGGGATCGGGATGGGTATCGGATTTAGTTCGGTTGGAATCTTAAGTTCGTGGCCAATCGGGGCTCGCCATTCCGACAAAGCTTATTTTTGCACAAGAGGTAAGATCTTGGCATTCATAAAGATGCTCAACAATCTAAGTAAAATACTCTTTTTTACCTCTGTTCTGGTTATTCCCATAAGAATGCTGTGTTACGCGGTGCTAACTGGTCACGGTGAGTGGTCAAATGGTCAAGAGGTTTAACCTATTGTGAAAAAGTACAAAAACGATATGTGCTGGTGTAGTCGAAAGTGGCCTGCTGGGCACGACGCGGGGATCCTCGTGTATCGACTCGCAACCGTAACGTTCCCGTGCTGGGCGTCATACGGACTGGAGTCCTATGAGGTAACTTCGAAAGGATAGGCAGATAGATCGCCAACCCGGTCAGTCTGAAGAGCTCCCTTGCTTGTGGGATGTTTGGCTTGGTCGAACAGTGAAGGTACAATAAACGGTATATCCAAGTAGACCTCGCCACGACCCGAGGGTGACCCTGACGACCCGGACCGCGACCCGGACCACGCAGGTTTTAGGGTCGTAAGGTTAGACCCTGAAATGGGGTCAGGCTAGGGCCATAAAAGTCGCGAACCTACCCTCAGGGTCGTCAAACAAGGCAAACATTGCCAAGTCACGCGGAGCATAAGTTATGCAGATTTTGTCTGTATTTTTGAGTATCTCACTTAGTTACAGTATTTAGAGGAGTAGTTTCTTAATTTGGCAATGTAGAATGAATTAAATCAAAACAAATCAAACTAATGAATCAACCGAAAAGAATGCCCGAATCTCGAATTACATATTAGACGTTTCATACCCATCTAGCAACCTTGAACGCTTACGGACTCTGCCTGACACTCGGTGCTGTATCTCTGGCAGAGGTATTGCTTCCGACTCTTGACCATCGTCTTCCTCCTCATCGCCTCTCACATACTCAGCTATTTTGCTTATACGTCTTTTGCCGAGTGCTTTTGTGGATGGACCCCGGGCAGCCTGCGAGGTTGGTAGGGTCTGCGAGATAGCTCGGGGCTGGGACCTGGCTCGGAGCTGTGTCGTAGACGCTTCATCCTCTTCATTGTCGCTAATTGGATCAACAGCGAGTTGCTGCTGTGTTCTCTCTTCCTTTGCAGCCTGTATCTCCTGAGCCGAAAGATATTCAGAAAGCATTATTCGCTCCTCTTCATGAATCTCAAACCGTGACGTACACATATACATCATAAGATCTGATATTGCTTGAGGTTGAAGAGAGCCTCGACGATAATGACAGATATCTCGTGCAGAGTTAAAAAGCCGCTCTACTCCTGCACCACAAGCTGGGATAGAGAGCACATCGCGAGCAAGCCTTGCCATCGTAGGGAACTCATCTTGATGATCTCTCCACCACGTCAGAGGCTGGGCATTTGTGACTATATCTAAAGGACAAGTCAGTAATTGCTCAAATAGAGATCAAGAGATACTTACTGCTATCAAGATACCTTGTAAGCTCATCTGACTGTGCTGGCTGTGAAATTTGAGACTGCTGCGACTCATCTAGAGCACAAGCTAAATCAAATTCATCCGGTATCGGACTTATAGTCGGACCACCTAACCTTTGATGGTCCTCGGCAAAACTCTCAGAGTACTTCTGGAGGAAGGACTCAAGGCTCTGGCGATAGGCTGCTCGGTAGTCGACCCCAGATCCTGGGTCTGGATCCCAGTCGGGAGTCGAGAAGAACTTGAGTTTATCCTGTGGAGAAAGGATTGTGCCAACTGCGTAGAGATTACTGTCAATCTTGTCGGTGTCTCTGTAGTAGGCTGAGAGCTTGAGTTTTGCTGCTTCGAGGGATATAAGCATCACCTGCTTCCAAGCAACCTTCTTCCGTCGAAGCTGGTTAATCGACTTTTCAAGATGATCAAATAGCTTGTTGTAGACCTTGAAAACCCGATGGATAGTGACATTCTTTGTTTTGCACAAAAGTGCTGTGAATCGGTGAAAAGGCTCAAGAATACAAAGGAGATAATCAACCTGCCGCCACTGCTCCTGGCTTAAGGAAAAGTGCCCTTGGTCATATTGGGAGCAGAAAGCATCGAAGGCCTGCTGGAGCTTCTTCGCGCGTGCAAGCATTAAGAATGTAGAGTTCCATCGAGGATTAACGTCCTGGATTGGAACTAGCTTTTTCTCTCTTGCCTGCAGGTTGTAGAATGACTCCTGGCGCTGAGGACTTGCATTAATATAAATCGCAAGGTTTCGGACCTAAGGAACAAATTAGGTTATGAATCGGAAATTAAGTTAAGACGTCTTACCTTGCTTAGAGTGTGAACAATCCCTCTTTCCTGCTGCGTCGCCCGCAGAGCTTCTACCCGATCATCAGACCATGTTTGCTCAGCCCTGTCATTCTTTGGAATAGCCTTCATCTTCCCAAGAAGACTTTTTAGGCTAATCTGGATCACATGTGCAATACATGGTACCCGAATGATAGCGACGTCGCTCGAGGATTGTAGACCTTCAATCGCCTCGTTGACACTCTCCATAAGAGTTTTGTTGTTTGAAGCGTTGTCGGTAGTCACCGAAAGCACTCGATTCGTGATCTGATGCTCTTGTAGCAAGTCGAAAACCACCTCACTCAGATTTGCACCAGAATGAGCTCCATGTAAGGGCTGAAATCCAAGTAATATCTCACGGTACTCCCAGTCTTTGTCAATGAAGTACCCAGTGATAGCCATAAATGCCTGCTTAAATGGAGATGTCCAGCAATCAAGGGCAAGTGATAGCTTAGCACCAGAAGGGAGTGTCTGAAGGATAATCTTTTGGTTCTCACGGACTAGCTCTCGAAGCTGCCGGCTCATAGCTTTAGCGGATGGGATATCTGGCATTGATGGTGCAAGCCGGGCGTAAGAGATAAGATCACGGAACTCAGGGTGTTCAAGGAAAAGGAACGGAAGATGTGACACAGTAAGTAGCTTCGCAAGCTTCTGCTGCCAAATACGCGTATCGAATGTTCGTACGGGTGTATTCTGAGCCTAGGCGTAGAAGTACGTTAGTAAAATAAAGCCGATAATAGGGTGCTGAACATACAGCATGCTCTAATGCCAGCTTGATATTTGTCTTCTGCCTTTTGGCTAGGGCAGCTTTCCGACAAGTCACCCCATTATAGTGCTTGTTCATTGAAGTTGTTCCGCTATGAGCCCAACCAGGGTGATCAAGAACCTTCTGACATTGCTGGCACATAACTCCTGGTTTCCCATTTCTGTCTAAGGCGACCTGGTCAAAGTATTCCCAGCACTTTGCGCGTTTCCCATCCCAAGACATCCGTTTCTTCCTCCCAAAGTCGGTCTGAAGCCACCAAGTCACAAATTCATCACTCATTTTTGGAGAATATAGAATGTATGTTCTGATCCGGTCCGGGCAAATGCGTTTAAGGCATTCGGGGGCTTTCAGAGGCTCGTACACGGTCTGTTGGCTTCCGGAGGGGACGGGGGAGAAAGGCTGAGCTGGTGTAGAATTAGCAACGGATTCAAGGAAATCCGAAGGTGGCGCATCAGTTTTAGAGGAGAGGAATATATCAGATGACTGAGACATGATGAATCTGTGTATAAGAAGGAAGGACTTACTGAGATTTTTCTTTGGTGTTAGGCGAAAGGACTTAGGGGTAGAGGTACATGCTGATTCTGCATTATCTAATTTTTTGCTTGATAGATCACATCTAAACCCCGCTTTTTATTCAAATCCTCAAGCTAATTGGGTGACCTTCCAGGGTAGTCAGGGTGACCCTCAGGATAGTCAAGGTGGCCCTCAGGGTAGTCAGGGTGACCCTCAGGGTAGTCAGACTGACCGTGGGAGGGAATTTCCTATCCCGAATCCCACCCGAATATTATGGCATAGGATAGGATTCCCATAGGATTTCCTTTTCATTGCAATAGCCACGGTCCTTCCTAGGTCACTGACTAGGTTTTCAAGACCATCACCGCAGGAGTTAGGATAGTGTTTAAGTTCTGCGGAATGTAGTGCATCTATCTCATACATTAGAAATATATTTCCGCATCCTTACACACCAATTTCACCAACTTTCTATAAAACACACCACAAAAATTCCTCTTAGATAGAAAAGAGGGCAAGTTTAGTATTACAAAGCCAGAAGACGTATTCAAAAGATTTAATTCAAAGAATTACATAGGGGGTGGATGAAAATTGATGGAATCATAGTTAGACATACAGAACAGGTATAAGAAACAGTAATATATAATGATATGTCAGCGAATTTATTCATCCTAATCAGGAAAGGCGTAAAAGAATTATGCAATTCAGGGTAGTCAGGTTCGTAGTCAGGGTGACCCTGACGAGATTTTATGACCCTGAGGGTCGGTCCGGTTCGTAAGGCTTGGAACCGGAACCGTCCAGGTCCGGGTCGCGAGTCGGTAGGAGGGACCCAATATCAGGGTCGTGGCGAGGTCTAGTTATTTCGTGCTTCTATTCCTTCGACACAAAGACAATTGTTCTTACTAAAGCGTCACCCCGGCCGCAGCAACCCCCACAAGAGTGTTCTAGCATTCATTGCCATAAACTCACCCACAACCATGGCCCTCTCTCCTGAGCAGACCCGACACATTTATCAATCAGACGTAGAGCAACCACCAATATACGAGATTTCGCGACTCAAACCCGAGATCCAACCATTCGCCGGAAGAATCGGCGGTAACCAGGAAATAGTCGTCGATCGCAGCGATCCCCAAAATGCAGCTTTGCTCAAGAAATTTCCCGATGTGGCTCCTCTTATGTCGTTCCGCGAAGGAACTGACTTGAGTGGCTTTTGGGATCTGGATTTGTGGCGATTCGGTTTCATTGAGATGATGGGTGAGTAGCGTATATCCCTTCTTTATCGCGATCGCAATGCAAAACAGTGAAGCTACTGATCTCATTGTTCCAGGTACCATGCTACTGGTCTTTGTGACGGCCTCAATCTCTGTGCGTCCAACTGTGTCTTCTAATACCGTGCCATCTTCGGCATCAGGTGTTTTCTCTACGACGGCTTTCCTCGGTCCTTTGTTGGGGGTATTATCAATTGGTTCTTTCTGACTTTATTCATCTTCACCTTCTCCAACGTCAGTGGTAGTCACCTCAACCCGGCCATTTCAATTGCAACTTTCTTGGCGCGTCTTATTTCATTCCCACGAATGGTCATTTATGTGCTCTGCCAGACACTCGACGGGGCCATAGCGGGTTTTTTCTCCGTAAGGCGTACGGAGCTAAAGACTTTACCCGTGGAGGCTGCGTAGTCGATCAATCAATGGTCCCTATGGATGAAGCGTTTCTTTTGGAATTCATGTTCAGCTTGATTCTCATCTTCCTGTCCTTTGGAGTAGGGCTAGACCCCCGTCAAGGGAAAATTTATGGGCCTGCGTTGTCGCCTTTTTTGGTCGGAATGGTGCTTGGAACGTTGAGCTTGGGCTCCGCGTTCGTGCGAAGCGGGTTTGCTGGTGCTTGTGAGTTATATACCAAGGACATTTCGAAAGAAAAAAGATCGCTATGCAATTGTCTCACACTCCCTTCGGCAGCTATGAATCCTGCTCGGTGTTTCGGTGTCTTTGTGGCCACGTCGTTTCCGACTTATCACTGGATACATTGGGTAAGTCGACACAAATTGCTTGATGGTGGACTATTTGCTCGTTTAAATTTATACTTATCCTTGTTCAGGTCGGACCAATTGTTGCATCCGTGGCGCACGGAATCGTCTACTATGTGGCACCTCCTTGGGGGCATTGAGTACACGATATGACCCTGTCATTTTTTGAGCTCGGATCGAAAGATGTTATGATATCGAGGAGAATATAACGATTTGTGGAATTTCATAACTGAGCAACTCCTATACGCATTCCACATCCTTGTTCAACGCAAGGATCAAATGATTAGCATACCGAAGACTACAGTGGTTACCAGAAAGGGCCCATTTTTTACACATTTCACGAGCGAAAAGGCCGTCAGCATGGCAAAGTACAGGGGGTGTGTGTGCGTGTGTGGAGTCATTACGCTGACCCCTCGCGAGTTGCCTCCCAGATTACGTGATGTATAGATATTGTGGTGGCAGCCGAATAGGCTGCCACCACCACTCTAGGCAGAAAGGCAGCTACTGTGACTACAAATAGCTGCGCCTACTCGCATAGCTAGAGAATGATCATCACACTTGAACCTTGAATCCAGTTTCTCAACTTTGGTAAGAGTCAGCGTAAATGAAATAGTCCATCCATCTGACTGCCAATGCTTTTTCCCCTATTTTCTCATAAAAACTAATTATAATAACATGAAGACTTGTCCTAACATCATCTGCCGTAATCTGAAACTAATCAGCCTTGTTCTCGCTCAGAGCTAGCACTTTAGACTTAGCTTCTCGTGGGTTTATGAAGTCACATCGAAGGCATCTCAAAAATTCCTGTTTCTCGAGGATCCCGTTGACCCTAAACTCCCGTCACCGACACCTCACATCAACACAGCAAGATGCGATTTTCCACTATTCTACCAAGAACATCGTTTAACTTAGATCTCCTCAGACGCTTCTAGTAGTTAAAACGACTAAGTAACGGTTTTTGCCCTGACAAACGCAACTATATTCACCTGTGCTGTAGCTTAGTGCAGTTGATAGTCAAAAATTTGGTTTTCCTATAACCGCCCTATCAATTTTGCTTAAGACTATTTAGGAAAGTGCTTAATGACAGTAAGCACTTTCCCGCTTCTTATTCAACGGTCAAAACGTGCTAGTTATCTGAGGTAATTCCTAAAGACAGCATTGTTATTCTCGACAGACCTATCGGAACTAGCAATGAATGTCAAAAACCGCAATTGTTCGAGCTGGGCAATAGATCAAAAGTCGTAACGTATCCACGAGTTTAGTAAATTCAGCATTCTCCAGAAATCGTTATTGACATGGTGGTGGAGCTTCGTAAAGAGATTCATTACCCCTCGTAAGTTATCTTATACATTTAGTCACACATAATTCACATACTATCTGTCACAGGTGGGCTGGTTCCTGTTATCGACTGGAGGCGAGAATTTCGGGGGGTTTGAGACATACGTATGTAGTAAAGAAATGCGCTGGAGGCTTTATACACCTTAGAGTCTGTACACCAGCGGTCAGGGGCCAAGAGACGCTAACATATTGATTGTCAACATTCAGCCAGTCAGCACCCTACAATACTGTATTACTGTAATTTAATGTATTTTACACACTGAATACTAAACCCATCTTTTACCACAAAAAGTTAGTCTGTGGCTGATTCTCATAACGCCACGGCCAGATATCCTTAACTGCTGGTAAGCGAGATGATGAGATGATAGGCAAAAATGTCCTCGGATTTATTACCGGCACGGAGGCTTCGGAGTTAATTTTCCGTCTACATGATAAAAGGCGAGTCCTCGAGCGGGGGAATATGGGATTTAGGAACGTGGACGTCATCAAAGTACTTCCTATAGTGAATTGATTGCATCACTGCAAGCAATTTTGCGTTCCCTGCACTCTTGGCACGCCTTTTTCAGGTCTTTCCTCAACTTCGCACCTTCAGCAAAATGTCTCTCCAGAGCGGTGCTCGCCTTGGCGATAAAGTAGCCATAGTCACTGGAGGTTCTCGCGGTATCGGCGAGCGCATTGCATTTGAACTTGCGCAGAATGGAGCCAAGGTAGGAGCTTTTCAACTACCTTGTATCAAAGTCGAAAGGCAAATCAGCTCACATGTTATCAAGGTTTCAATTACATATACATCGGCCGGAAGTGAGGCGCGCCTGAATGATTTGATACAACGTGTCAACGCGCTCGATAATGGTTCCTCTGCTATCGGTGTAAAGGCCGATCTGCGGGACCCCGCATCCCCAGCAAAAATCGTCACAGAAACAATCCAGCATTTCGGCGAGCACATTGATATCCTGGTCAACAACGCCGGCGTCGAGCTCGTCAAGCCTCTCCAGGAGATCACAGTGGCCGATTTTGGGTTTGTTTACGACCTCAACGTCCGCGCGCCCATGCTCATGCTGCAGTCTGTCCTACCGTATTTACGTGCCCCAGGGCGAATTATTAACATTGGCTCTGTTGGCGGGCGGTATGGGTTTAAGCAGCTGTCTGTTTATTGTTCTTCGAAGTCAGCACTGGAAGGCTTGACAAGATGCTGGGCAGCTGAGCTAGGGTTAAGTGGGCACACTGTTAACTGTGTGAACCCGGGCCCTGTCCAGACGGAACTCATGGATAATATTCCCAAGGAGACTATTGCGATGCAAAAAAGCCAAACCCCTATACAGAACAGGATAGGTACCGTGGAGGATATTGCGCCGGTAGTGGTCTGGCTTGCTAGCGAGGAGAGCAAATGGATTACTGGCCAGGTTGTCTCGGCTAGTGGAGGGTGGGCCATGTATTAGAGCTGAGTTGCTGGATTGCTCATATTTTTTGGATTATGTTCCTCTGGTAACCAGCATCTGGATGTAACGTAATGCCTGGCCATGCTGACCACCCCATCCCCAACCTCAACCCAACACCATGCCAGATGCGATTTGTCAGGTCAATGTATCAACAAGAAGAACTTTCTGCCGATGCGATTCTTAGTTGGATATGATTCCTGAACATGAGATACACTGCAGCATTTCTATCCAGCGGCTTCCGGGTAAAGATTAATAACTGCGATTACGGAAAGTGCGCTCCAATCAACCGATCTAGATGTACGTATTCAGTTGTTATGCTTTTCGGAATTTCTCCACCCTGAGAAAATACATGGTGACAGATCCACCCAGACACTGAGATATCCCTGGACCGTCCATATGGTGAACCTTGAGTGCTGAAATATGATTTTGTGTAATATCGCATCAAACTTGGTGTTTTGGAGTGACCAGTATTGCTGGAAAAAATTGCTTAGATGCAATAAATCTCAATTGAAAGCAGTTTGTTTAATTGTTAGATTTACTCTCTACAATTTCAGTCTCGACTCTACTCAGCATTGGGCTGAATGATCAGCCTCTCCGCACTGATACGTCCCTGTCTGAGAAGATCCCAAGCTAGCTGAGCCTGGTTTAATCCTCCCATAATTCGAGACGGAAGCACATGCATCTGATCATCCGCCAGCACCTTTTCCAGATACTCCCACCACACCCACCCGGTGAACTCCGCATTCGCCGGGTCCATGTAATCGTCTAAGAACTGGGCGAAGAACCCAGTGACCCCATCCGGCAGATTCACGCCAGCCCTCACACCCATAGTAGACAGAAACGTGCCACCCCCTGCGCGGCCAACACAATGCCGATCGTCCCCTGGTCCTTCGCTGAATCCGCTGCGGCAAGCACAGCATGATACGGCCCCAGCGCAATCAGAGCCTCGGTTGCAGAATCATCCGTCCTGTCTACAAACTCAGATGCGCCTAGCGATTTGACCAGCGCGGCATTCGATCCCGACGCCACGCCCACGACCGAGTAACCGGCGCTGGCAGCTATCTGGACGGCAGCAGCGCCGAACGAGGAGGATGCTCCCCATATGAGAATCTTTTTTGACTTATTCTGTGAATCTGGAACAGAGCCAGGCCTGTCCAGTTTCAGATGGAGAAGAAGCGCACTAATTGCGCCGTAGAGGTTGGAGGCAAGCGTGGCCGATTTCTCGAAAGATGCGTCGCCGATCTAATGCAGATGGTATTATAAAATGGCGAGCTATTAGGGAAAAAGGAGAAAGGGACGGACAACTGATACCTTTGCCGTAAGCTGTTGTGTACTGAGCGCATACTGCTGCAGGGCTCCAAAGCGCGCGTCATTGCGCAGTGTTCCTGCACTGTTTGTCACAACTCGGTCTCCTATCTGGAACCGGGTGACGCCGGGGCCAGTCTTGACTACTCTCCCAGCGAAGCACACTGCTCAACAATTAACAACCGCGCACAGACGTATTTGGGGTCACCACGAACAGCCAATGATTGTGGGGTATGTCAACGGGAATGGAAGGACACCATCCTGGATTTTGTATTCGGCTGGTTGAACGGCGACCGCTTCAGTCTGGGGAGGTGATCTTCTTAGCCTTGTGGCGGGGCTCACATGTCTTTAATATCGCCTACCTGGATGAGGAGCTCATCTCGTCCCGGTTCAGAGATTGGCGCCGGGCGCAGCTCTAATTTCGCCCCCACAGCTGGAAGCCAGGCCGCGGTATTATGCATTTCTGACATTGTTGGTGAGAAATGGATAGATTCTGTGAGCAAGAGTGACTGAGTAACGATGGCAAGAAATGAGACTCGAAGAAGATTTCAACTGTCTCCCTGTCACGACCAGTTTTTAGTCCCTTTTATACCCCTCTATTTCCGTTTTGAGTTTGCTTAGTCCGTCCTCGGGAATGATCCACTGATTAACCTAGTTAATGCGTTTTGTCAGCAATCTAGACCGCAGAGAGTCGAACTAGTGTGGTGTGTACAATATGTATCGATCAGGTATTTCCGACGCATATTATCAAGTGAAAGTTTCCTGTGCAGTAATGATTACAATCCAACATAAAGTTTCAAGCGTCGAGCTTTCATCGAAATTGCCCTTAATGGAATCAACTAGTCATGGTGCTAATGCGGAGAAATAATCCACATCCGTGGCCACATTTTACTCCGGCAGATAGAGCTGATTGAAGCTACATGCGTTTCCCACATTTTATTCGAAGTAGGACGCGTGACGGGGGTATAAAGGGGGTAGTGATTGCTCGGACAGTACTTTTCTATCATCTAATTGTAAACATTTTCTTCTATCTCGTGAAATATGAGTTCCTTTACAGCGCTAGACATTTGTCGTCGGCGGTGGTCTTGCTGGTCTTGCTGATGCTCTATACCTCCGAAAATCTGGCCACAGAGTCACAGTTTGTTCCCTGAGAATGATTTATTTATTGAACTTCCACCCACTAATACTCTTTACGCATGAAAGATATTTGAAATGTCAGCTCAATTCAAAGAGGCGGGGTTCGCAATCTCTATTGCGCCGAACGGAGCGAGAGTTCTTACTGCTCTTGGTACGAATTTTGAATTTTCCGCGGACGCAACGCCTACATAAAGCTGGCTAGCAAAGATAAGGGCTGATTCGAAATAAACCCAGTATTTGACTATACGAGCGACAAAGCAGTTGACTGCCAGAAGGTAACTTTCATTCAGTACCTCTTCAGGCTGCCTAAGTTCCCGCTACTCACAATGGTCGACGCCCAGATCATAGTCAGCTGCAGAATCACACTGCAAACTTTGGTTGACATACCGTTAGAAAGGCATTTAAAGGTAATTATTCCCTAGCAGACCAGTCTAAGGGAAGATCGATAAGCAGCTGATCCTGTATTTTTAATTGTTAGAGATGGGGCGATCGCTGGGCAGTATTATATCGAGCCGATATGCATGCGGAATTGACAAGGCTCGCCTTGGATCAAGCAGACCAAGGCCCGGAGATCGTCATGCGACTTGGTGTTGGAGTTGTGAAAACAGTATGGTATACATTTGCTGATTCGCGGTTTTGTTGGGTGAAAAATTCACTAACTTTCTACCCATGGGACTAGGACATAGTAGGAGGAACTATTTTCTTCGAGGACGGGTCGAGCTTCTCCGCAGATTTAATCATTGGCGCGGATGGTGAGAACGTAAGTTTTGCAATGTTAATTGCGTTTCTATCGGTGATTTTTCCCAGCAGAGCTCATTTCAATCCAATTCATAGTCAGTTGTGAGACAAGACGAGAGCTGGGGTGGCAACTCGAAGGTGTTGAAGAGTCCAATTCGAGTATGCCGCTCAATAACCCCAACCAAAAACTTTATTAGCGATGAGGTTCTTGGTCCCTTCCTTCAATCGAAAGAAAGCTATCTCTCTGCCTTCACTGATGGAAAAAGAATATTGACATGGTGGGCGTGTAGAGGGTAAAACTTATCCTATACCCACAATGCTCTCTTTCGCCCGTTCAACTAATTAGTCATTCTAGTGGCGAACTACAGGATTTAGAGGCAAGATATCGGGTCTCACAGAGAAAGCAGCTTGGTATAATAGCCCCAGTTCTTCTTTTGTTGAATGCTGCTCCAGAAATGGAGGAATCTGACCTAGTTATATGCAGATCAAAAAGAATCACGGCGCAAACTCTTGTGAGGAGTACAAAGACATCCATCCCACGATTAAAATGGCTCTCTATTTGCTCGGGACATCGTCCGATTGGGATATCAACTTTACTGGTCCCCCAATTCAGTGGACAAAGGGGAGGCGGTCCTGATTGGCGACGCTATGCACTCGGTATGCTTGCTTCACAGTGGTGAAATATTGCATCACTTGACTGACTAGGAGGACATCTTCCGCAGATGTTTCCGACAACAGGTCAAGGAGCTTGCCAGTGCCTCGAAGACGCAGCCGCCCTTGGTATACTGCTAAGCCAACTTAGAAGCATAGAGGACATCCCGAGAAGACTTGAAAAGCACCAAGCGCTGCGCCGCGGACGCGTTGTAGAGATTCATGCTCTTTCGTCGCTTCTCTTGGGAGGAGAGACAAAGTTGGATGAACATGCCCGGAGTGCTCTACCAGACGGTAGAGTCTTCAAGGGACCCTTGGACCATCTTGATGTTACGAATGGGTAAGTTCTATACAAGCTGAGTAGGAACGTGCTTGCAGTTGCTAGTAAAGTAAGCTAACGAGAGATGCAAGGTACGATGTGATTCGCGAAGGCAATCAGATGTTGCTGAGCTGTTTCGAAGGTACCGGCGAGAATCTCCGGGCGTCACTCTGATGAGCGTATCACCATGAGCAGCGACATCTCAAGGTTTCCCTTCACATAGATAGATCTAGCTTCCAGTTTTGTCAGTCGTATCAATCACTTGACCTTATCTCCAAAATATTGATACCGTTTGATTGTATTCGTCATGACACATGAATCAATACAGTATTGTGTAGAACTTCTTACAATTTAATTGGCAGCAAGCCATCTGCCGCAAAACGAGCGATGTGTTACTTTCCCCGTCGCCGTATCCTCAGGTCGTGTGATTTGGCTAGATAATTCTATTGGTCAAGTTTTAGAAGTGTCCTGTATTGTAACTAGTGTAGTGGGGAGACTCCCTCCCCCTACTACATGGGTGCCATCCAGACTATGTGACATAGCCGGCAGTATACAGTGGCCGGATAGCTAGTTCTAGAATACACCTTCTTACACCTCCCCGACCTGACCCCTACATTTGGGCTTCTCGCTGTTTCCTGATTGCTACGCGTGTGTTTTGTGGTGGTTTTTCTGCTGAATCGACCCGCACGTCTCAGCGCGTGCAGTCATCGGGCGTTCCCCTCTTCAATAGTTACTGCATCTGTGGGAGCCTGGGGAGCCAGGCAGCCGCTACGGCGAAAGTCGCTGCGGCGCTTTCCTCGTCTGTTGTCTACTTGGCACGGGCCATCATCATTGTGCGGGATAGCCGATGCTCATTCAGCTTGCTGTTGCAGACGATCATTGCAAATTTTTATGGTTCCCATGAAATTTTTTTTTTTTTGGCTGTTGTGCTGCCTTTTATCTTGTTACGGAATTTTTGGACTGGATAGTTTCATATAAAGACGTATGAACTGTCCAGGACTACTCAACGGACAAAAGACTAATTTCTGCCTGTTAAACCCCGTGAATGGCTCTTTGAAGGTCAAGTCCCATTCTCAAAAGCACTACTCACGCAAGCCTGGTCGGGGATACAATCTACAAGACACGAGTCGTTTAATACACATATAAATCATTTCAGGCATTGCCACTTCATGTTCATTGATAAGCTAAAAACACATCACAACAAAAATAGTATGTCACAGACTCCCTCCAACCTGATAGCACCTAAAGCCAAGCTCGAGGAAGAGAAGAAGGGAAGGGGAGGAGAAAAGAGGATAAAAAGTATAGTTTTACAACGCTACCAATTTCTTGGTACATGCAATATTCAGGTCAACAAGCAAAGACAAGCCGCAAAAATGCAGCTGGGACACTCAAAAGCCCGGCGGCCGAGAGCTCGCCATTTCACCATACCGACCACGACCCTTAGTCGTGTCGTAGGCGTTCAAAACACGCATTTGCGCACCATCGTCCGCTTGCGAGAAGGCGTAGCCGCGCTGCTTGCGCATACGCTGCACTTGACGGACCTTCCGGATGGCCTTCTGGAACTGTTCCATGCGCGGACGATAGTCCTGCACGTTGTACTTCTGGATCTCCTGGACGTGGTGGTAATGCTGGGGGTAGTACATGCGCTTGGCGTACTTCCAGGCATAGTCACGCATGAGGCAGATGCACGGGAGAACAATTGCCATGAGGTAGAATTGAGGGAGTTTGAAGAGGACTGGAATGGTGCCATAGTATTCTCGCGAGAATCCGATGGCGGGAGCGGCGTAACCGTAAGCCGGAAGGAAGACCAGCCAGAGGAACATTGATCCAGGGATGGCGATGAAGGTGTATTTGGTCCAGATGTTAGAGATCAGAGCAGCCTTGCCGAGAACGGTGGCGAGAACGGCAGTGTACAGCGCCTCACCCCACACCCAGTGACCAGCAACCTTGCCGTCTGCCATAGGCATGTCCCAGAAGAAGATAAGCTCGGAGACGATGTAGAGAAGCAGAGAATGGAAAAATCCGTTCAGAATCCAGGCCCAGAAACTGTGCTTCCGGAAGAAGAGACCTTTCTGGCCCAGCTGGTACAGTTGGGGATAGCGGTCGAGGAGCCGGGCGGAGATGTACTGATCAAAAATTCCCATGGCGAATGGAGGCAAGACGGTGAAGAGCACGTTGTAGAAAGACAGAGTCCAGGATTCGTAGATGACTTCTCCGGAGAAGGCGTTTTGAAAGGAATACTGAAGCAATTGTTAATGGCCGACCATCGGCTCGGCAAAGATCGTCAAACTTACCCAAAATTGAGTCATGTACAGCGTAATGTTCTTATAGAACGAGTACAGAATGACACGGCTAATGCGGGAATAACTCCAGGCACCATGCACCAGAAGGAGCTTACGCAAGAAACGGAATTGTCCAATGGCCACATCGGCGGATCGAGCAGCTTGAAGACCTTCCACACCACTAATACCCACGCCGACGTGAGCGGCTTGGATCATAGACACATCGTTCGCTCCGTCGCCGATCGCCAGGAGCAAGGACTTCAAGTGGCGCTTGACAAGCTTAACAACTAGAGCTTTCTGGAGAGGAGAAACACGACAGCAAACCACGGCCTTGCACATGATGGCAAGATCGAGGAAAAGTTTCTCCATGTCTTTCTCCAAGGCATAGGTCAAAGACTTTCCATCAATGACCAGAGCAAGGGCTTCGATGTCACCGGCACTTGCTTGGCTCTTGACAGCCTCGAGCTTCTTCTGCAAATTGTCGCGTGTGGCCTCTGCCGATTCCTCATTGACAATGAGAAGAGTCATGTCTTCGGAGATAAGCTTGCACGACATGCCAATGTTGATGGCAGTTTCTTGTCGGTCACCAGTCAGAACCCAGATCTTGATACCAGCAGTTTGGAGCGTGTGGATGGTATCGGGAACACCGTCCTGCAGTCGATCTTCAATAGCCGTAGCACCCAAGAGATAGAAGTCCTTCTCAATCAGCTCAGCAGCCTTGTCCAGTTCCTCGGCACGGTTGCCGCTGACGGTTGTGGCAGCTTTGTCGAATATTTGATACCACTGCTGGAACTCTTCCTCTGGAACCTCACGCATGGCCAAGCAGAGTGTTCGAAGACCCTCCGAGGCATACTCTTCAAGATGCTGCAGAGTGGCCTCCACCGTCGGGTTGTCAGGGTTCAGACGCTCCAGAATAACGGTATCGGCGCCCTTGGTGTAGATACGAACCTTGCCGTCAGGGCATCTGAAGATGGTCGACATACGCTTCCGAGTGGAGTTGAATTCACACACGGCCAATAGTTCGTACTCATATTCCTGGCCGCCAGCTTCGAAAATAACCGATCTGGGCTTGCGGTTAGTGAATCGGTACCCAAGAGATGCAGCACCATCCACCAACGCTCCCTCATCGGGTGAAGCTGCCTGGTACTTGATTTCATCGGGATTGTTTCCGGTGCGTTCAGGAATTACCGTGTGGCAGGTTGCGAGGAGAGTGAGGAACTGCTGGATTGCGCCTTGGCTGGGATGCGACTGCATGTTCTGACGGAGAGTCTTGAAATCGTAGATACCATATTCGCCCTCGTCTTCACCAGTCGCTCGTCGGTCTTCGGAAACGTCGTCTCCATATTGGATACCGCCGATGGTACACTGCTTAAACTCCATCATGTTGCAAGTCAATGTACCTGTCTTGTCGGAGAAAATGTACTCAATTTGACCAAGTTCTTCAACCAGTGAAGAAGTTCGGCATGTGGCAGGAGTGTCGGTCTTGTCGTAGTAGATATCCAGATCGGAGTTGATCAGGTAGGCCTGGAAGTACTTGACGATTTCGATGGTGACGAACAGCGAGATAGGGACCAAGTTCGAATACAACACCCAGTAGGTGAAGATGTCCATGAAGAACTGTTTCACTGCATGAGTAGATCCATAATCGAGATATGCGAGCTGGTCGGAACGAGTTTGGCGAATAACAAGATCGCCAACGGAACTGATAACACTGAGGGCGATCAGAATGCTGACGAGCATAAGAATCTGAATATTCACCATCCGTTCCACTGCGGTTCGCTTTATTGGGGTGGCTGTCGCATTTCGCATCAACTTGGTTTCGTGGCCGGTGAAGACGACAATGCCGTGAATCCATGGGGTGTTTCGAAGAGTAGCGCCTCGAAGTAGAAGCTGATCCGGTGCCAGGGGCAGTTCCTTCTCGCCGCCTCCGGCGTTCATAGTCAAGGTAGCCTCGTAGGTGTAGAGACTACTATTGGGCTGCTCGGACCGAATTCGCCCACCGACGCGACTCAGATCACTGGGGCTCACAAGATGCGCCGTCTCCGGAATAGCTTGCTTGATCTTCAGATTGGTCTCACCATCCAAATTCGCAGTTTCGATGTAACAAAGGCCCTCGGGCTCGGATGTTGCCAGAAGAACCAAATCTGCGGGGAACGGCTGTTCCGACTCGACGCGAACCACATCTCCAACCTTGACGTCGACCCATTTCGTCTCGTGAAAAGAAGAACCTTGGAGAACCTGGGTTTTGGAGTAATTGAGACCGCGATCCGACATGCGACGCTTGTAGTCCTCCACCAACTCCTTGATCGCCGAGACCAACAACACAATGGCCAGCGGAACAACAGTGGTAAATTGATTTGTAGGGGAAACGTTGGGGATTTGTTGGAGAACGGCGGTGAACAAGAAGAACAGGTTGGCGTATTTGGAGAATTGTTCGAAGAGGAATTTCGGGAGGAACGTGATGATATTGTATTTCGCAGTCGAGACGTGGTTGCTGACGAACTTGTGAACAGCATTGGCCGGCGGATTGTTGACTTGGATGAGACGCGGGCCCATCGTCGAGGGGTCAGCCTTGCGTCGTCCGAAAATGGACGTGATGTCGGACGCCTTGAACTTCTTCTTGGCCTTGGGGGCGGCCGCGGGGTCAGCGGTGCTGTCCACAGTCGCTCTCCTGGCACCAGCCTCGGTCAACGGCAGGTCCATCTCCGAATACTGCGGGCCCATGCCAAACATGTATTTGGCCTTGCCCATCAAACCGCCTCCCAATCCCAGAATGCTATTCCGCTCGTTCGCCTTCCGCACATGATGCGCGCTCGGCATTCGATCTTCGTCTGCATCGAGGTCATAATATCCGGAGCGTCCGTCTTCAAACTCGTCAAAGGAATAGCGCTGGTAGTTGGCGAGGCCGGATGATTGAGAATAGGTCCGGTTCATCGAAGCATCGTTGTAAGGGTCGTGAATGTAGACGCCGGTGTTGCCGTGCGCGGGGCCCGAAGCTGCATGCTGCTGAGTTCCAGCTCGCTGCGCCGGACTGCCGACAAACTGGCCGTAGGATACGGAAGGGCGCGGCTGCGCATGGAGTTCGTCGGAATCGTCAATGTTGTATTGCCGCAACAGGTGGTCGTCATTCACGGGTGGGGGCTGGCCGGAGTTGTAGGTTGGACCAGAGTCGAGCAGCAGATCATCGTCGTGGCCAGCAGGATGCGACCCGGGAGGCCTACCGCTGGCCATGGTGCCGCGGGGGAAGCTGACACCCTCACTAGGAGTAGTGGTGATGCCCCTGAGGCATTGATCGGAACAAGGACGGATTCAAGGGCGCAGCACGTGGCTCTATCTGCAGTGGGTATGGCGATGGAAGCGGATGCAAGAGGGGAGAAGCCGACAAAGGGCGAGAACAAAAAAGTGGAAGAAGGGAGTGAGGTGGCTTAGCGGGTTGAAGGCAGCAACTTGGAGTGCCGCGTTGATCTGATCGTCCCGCTTTTCTCGGGCGGTAAGCCAGCCGCAGCATCACAATGCACGGCCATTCAGACAGTGCAGATAGCTCACATCAAAAAATACACTGTATGTGATGAGATGAAAATCGCAGCAGCGTCATAGTCGAGCAATCAGAAATGGCATCACACAGTTATGACGGTGCAGGGACCAGCTAGGATCGACTTGAAACGCGGCACTCTCGAAATAGAACATGCTTAGCGCTGCCGTGGTCGGAAATATATTAAGCTCATTTAAACATCAACCAGCAACAACATCAAATCGACAACAACACTATCCCCGACATTCGTGAAATGAAGCAGTACATCCATGGCACTTCACATGTTTTCTACACTGTGTAGAATAAAAAGTACCTTATGCAATATTCTCTATATTTTCCATCACCAGCATTATTTGAAAGGGTACGTGCATAATTACACTCAATGCGATTGGTTCTCATAAAGCAATGCGGAACTCCAGTCCCAAGATCGTAAAGGTTCTAGTCATACAACATGGTCGTCGGTCGAATCACCGGTCATTTTCAGCACGAGAAAGGTCCGCCATGCCCTTCTTAGCCCGTTTCGCCAGGTCGGCCTGCATCGCTTTCTCCATCTTGGTGTTGATATCCTTGACCTTTTCCAGTGCCACATTGGACTTGACCACCACCTCCATCGCGTCGACCGGCGCCCCCGAGAACTTGGAAACAAAGCAGACATCGCCGCCGTTGTTGATGCCAATCACCAATTCGCCCTCCGAAGCCTGCTCCTCCTTGAGAGTGGCGTCCACAATAATATTCTTGCCGTCATTGTAGGAGTTGAACGTAACCGAGAGCGGCTTGTGCGTAATGTTCAGCGCCACGGGTACTCGCTCCTCCACACCATAGACGATGACCTGGCCGTCCTTCACCACAGCATCCGGCCGGCGGAAGTGTTGCAGTCCGGTCATGATCGCGATACAGGCCGCGTCCGTCAAGTTACCATCGAAATCTAGCACATGCACATCGGCACGAATGCTCCAGCAGCTCACGCCCTTCAAAATACAGAGCGACTCGGTATCGAGGGCGTTCGACCGGCGGACGACACTGTCGAGGACGTGGGTGGCGTAGGCCTCCAGATCATTTGAACTATAATCAATCGGTCAGCGCGAGCCCAGAATAAGTGAAAAGATAGCAGTAAAAAAGCTTACCGGCCATTCTCCCAGGCTGGTGAGCCCATAGCAGATAATTCAAGGTTGATTTGAAAGAGACCATCGAAGGGACGGTCATCCCGCGGTTGTGTGACTTCGGCGGAAATACGGACGACAAGACTAGGATTCACGTCAGGATCGAGTCGCAAAGGGGCTTGGAAGCAACGAGTACGCACCTGGTCTTTCCTAGCTGCAGCTTCACATGTCCATACTCCTCGCCGAAAGTGATGCTTAGCGGGCGGAACTGGTCGGGCCCGCGGCCATCGAGGCGCGCATCTTGGCGCAGTGCCTCAAGAATGAACTGGCGTTCTGAGACCGAGAGGGGGGCTTCTTTCGACATGATGCAATCAGAGCGATGTACAGCGACGTGGGGAGCCTAGCTGCTTTTTTTGGGCCATTTTGCCATCACTGGCCGCATTCTGTAGGCGGAGTGGCCAATAGAGGTGGCAGTTTGGGAGAGCGGTGAAGAGGATGGAAGTCGGCCAGCAACATTTCGACGGCAATTGCCCGCCTCGACTTCAACTGTACCTTTTACCACCTCCTCGACAGAATTTGTGATTGACGACATCATGACTACCGGTATGTCCATTTTGCGAGTGACTATTCATTATCTGCGAATTACTGACACCTTCCAGCTCACAGGCCCACGTTTGACCCGGTACGAGCGATTGCATATGACTTCCATTTCCACGAACTAAGCTAAATGAACCAGGCGCAAGGAAAAGAGGCTCTCCGTGGCCCGGCCTATCACCAACGACTTCTCCCAGCCCACACTCAGCTGAAAGTTCGGTACGTGCTCGGGCTATTGAATCGACAAGCAAGCGCAAAGACAATGGCTAACTTCGTCCAGCCAACCCGGACAAGGAGGTGATGCTGATGACGCCCCCCGTGACCTTCGCGCAGAGCTCCTCGCCGCGGAGGCTGCTCACTTTGCCAAGAAGAATGGCGTTCCTGTTGAAGAGGCTACCCCGGCCGAACCACCTGCACACAAGCGACAGCTGGAGTCTGGTGCCGACGCTGATGCAGATAATGGTGACGAGGAAGATGACGCCGCAAAACGGCGGCGTATTCTAGAAGAGACGCGCGAGATTGATGCGGACGAAGAGTTTTCAGACAGCAGCGACGAGGATAGCGATTCCGAGGATGAGGACGCGGCTCTGATGCGCGAATTGGAGAAGATCAAGAAGGAGCGCGCAGCACAGAAAGAGAAAGAGGTATCAATATTTGATATTTCGTCAGTTATGCTATGACTCAGCATGCTAATTCATTACAGGAACAAGAGAAGGCAGCCGCGGAACAGGAAAAGCGCGAGGTCGACATTGCTCGCGGAAACCCCTTACTCAACGGCAAGGAATACAATGTGAACCGCCGCTGGGACGAGGATGTTGTCTTCAAGAACCAGGCTCGTGGCACCGAGAACAAGGAAGGGAAGGAGTTTGTCAATGTAAGTTTCTCTTTCTGAAGCTTTCCATTAGAAGCAGATTTCGTATCTAACATGAACCCCAGGATCTTCTGCGATCCGACTTCCACAAACGATTCATGGTAAGTTACAATAAATCTAACACGCTTCCCCCGAGGTTTTCAACTAAGTCCTTTCCAGTCCAAGTATGTTCGGTAAAGCCCGGACTCGAAACACCAGCTTCATCAGATTTCACGTTTTTGTGGAAGGCACGGACAACCTTCTATTTAAAATACCCTAGGCGCATGATAGGAATGGACTTTTTACATCAACTCTTCGCTTAGCCAGGAATTGGCTTGCATAAGAAATGGTCCTTAAGGTGCCCTAGGGTACTCGAGGGTAATGTAGAGCGTAGGAGATGGTATTGTGTTTACGAGTATAAAATATTCCTACCACAGCAACCGTATTTTAATACCGGTTTTTTTTTACAATACCGATCAGAATGAAAGCGCGGCCGACTTTTTGGGAAGGCGAGTGTTGAGGAAGGCGCGACAGGCAACACACCTGGGCGTTGGTGGTTTGTTTTCTCCTCTAACTTTCTCATCGTCGAGTCTTCTCCTCCATCCTTTTCGCCTGCTTCGTTTTACTCTGCATCCTTATCTTTGCGTTTTTACTTCGCTACTTTCATTATCATTAAAGTCATATCACGTGAACCATTCACTATGGCAGATCCACTGCGCCCTGACCGCCCCGCGACCTCGGCTGCTATCAGCTCCAACGGCCGAGAGTTCACCGACGACAATGCAACGGACCTGTCTCCTATAACCCACCACGAGGATTTCTTTCGCGAGTGGCTTGAGAGTATCGAGAACGACAGTACTCTCTTCGAAGTCCACGAGTCATTAGAAAGTCAGGAGGGGCGCCAAGAGGAACATTCAGACTCTCTCCCCCAAGTTGACCAGCAGGAGAGCAACGAGGAATATCTTGATTCCCGTTTCGACCTTGAAGACTCGGTGAGCAGCCAAGTCTCTCTACACAGCCACAAGGATAGCGACGAGGAGTATTTTGACTCCTACGCCAGTTTTGACTGGCTATTTAGCCACGACAACAGCGAAGACCAGTACTTCGATTCGCTTTCCCAATTCGACGAGTCGTCCGACGGTGAAAAAGAGGAACTGAAGGGTCCTACCGATCCTCCTTACGCATTCGCCGAGAAGATGGACGGCCAGTCGATTTTCAAGAATCTGCACAGTAAGTCCAACCAGCAGGGAAAACAAGCCTCTAACCGGCTTCGCGAGCCGAATCAACTAACAAAGGCCCTCGAAGCGCGCATCAACACCGACATCTCGCAGCTGCTGCAGCGGTTCGAAAACATCATGGCTACGGCTACGGTGAGATCTAACTATTTTCCAAAGCATGTCAAGTCTTTGCTAATTCATGTGATCTCAGGCCGAGAACAACACCCTCACTGCCACCGCTGTGGAGTCCTACCAGGTGGATGTTGAGTCCACTGCCCTCGTAAGTTCACTTGAATCCCCACACTTGCAAAACATCTAATTAGCTCGTTTCACGACAGATCCGTGCCGCAGAGGACCTCCTCTCGGTGACCCGCACCATGAAGGAGATGTGGTTGTTCGGCAAGCTCGACACGATCGGTGAAGATGAGCGGGACGTTGAACGCCGCGAGAAGCTTGAGGCCGATGTCGATGCCGTCAAGAAGGCAGTTGAGGATGGCAGCCTGGAGAAGCTGGCCCCTGCCGACCTGAATAAGTAGGGGGCACATTTGATGCCCCCTCTTCACTCATTTTGCATTGGGATTACCCGCGGCGTTTATGAAACATGAAAAGGCGCAAGGAGTTCGCAGTGGCCGGACGCGGATTTGTTTTTGGTTTTTGACCATCCTGGTCGGGACCTTTTAGCTTTTTCGTTTTCTTTTCCTTTCCTTTTCTTTTCTTTTCTTTTCTTTTCTTTTCTTTTCTTTTTTTTTTGTTTTAAAAAAAAAAAAGATATTAGTGTTAGAAGAATCTCAAGCCAGGTATTTCAAGCAACGCCTATCTTCAGGAATCATAATCAGTAGAGCCTCACGCCACCACATACACCAAGGAGGTGATCCTCAATTTCTTACGATTTGACCATCAGATAGTCCCGAAAAACCCATGTGGCACGAACGAGACGTTCTACGGCGAGCGTCGATATAAGAACAGCTGAACCGTGAGTCACTCCCCTTGCCTTCTACACTGCAAGGCCTCTGTGAATGAACCTACATACACAAGATACCAGAAGTGGTAGGGATATGCAGAAGACCTCAGCTATGTGTTTGTAATCCCGAGCTGAGCTGTTCATCAACAAGTGGGGAGAAGCATCCAAGCGAAGATATGCCGAGCAATACTGATAAGTGAAGAAGATCGTCATACGTCTACAATAATAGGATACCTCGGGATACAGTTAGTAGCATTTTATTGGCAGTATCTCTTGAAGTGGATTGGGATCAGCCTCTAGGAATGAAGTTTTTTTTAAGAGATGCCGCTACTTCCAACACTCTTTCCCGACACACATTCTGAGGCTATGATTAGTTGCAAAAGAATACGGGCGATCGTCGGCAGAATACGATGTTGCATTTTTAGCTCTTGGCGTGGAGACCGCGAGGCATCATCGCCTTGCTTGGCATTGAATGAGCCGCATTTAAATACGAGGCATTCAGTAAATTGTCGCGTCTTGATTCTCACATACCCATATTGTCCTTGAAGAAATCCAAGGAAGACATTTTTCATCAGCATAGAACAATATACAGTAGGACTAGTCAAAGAACAATGCGCCCTCAGCTCCATCTTCTAACTCATTATATCACATCTCCAGGTCCCACCAAGACAACATTTACGATCGAAATGTTGCTGCGAAACATCGGTCTCCTCTCCACCCTCATTCTCGGTGCAATGGCGAGCAAGAAATGCTACTACTGCGCCAGTTATTCCTATTTCGACCCGGAAACCCCGACCTACGACTGTGGAAAGAAATGCGGTTATCAATACTACCACGATATGCATTGCTGGCGATCGACCCATGCATTGAACCAGTGCTTCAAAGATTGTTGTGATGATGCAGGGAAGGTGGCGACCAATTATATTTGTGATAGTCCTCTTTCTGAGTGTTACTAGTGGGTTTATATCGGGTTGGATGCGAAGCCTGGTGGTATTTGATATTTTGCAGTAATATCGAGTAGCGATGCTTCATTCCAAGGTCTCGTGGCTGATTGAAATCAGTATATCTATCATTTGATGTTCGAATTTGGATTTATGTAAAGTGAGTCAATTTGAGATGCAGCTATTGAATGAATGAGCAAAGGAATGAAAGTGAAAGGCAAATTTCGAGGATCCTATTGCTGTGAAACGAGTGGACTAAGCAAGTAGGAACTTGGATCTAGTGTACTAACTGTTCTCTCACATGTTTGAAATAGACCAGACATGATTCAACCTCTACTAATCTCCGTGAAAAGAATCAAAACCCTTAATTCGACACATCAAGCAGGAAATTCGACCTCTGGCTTCAAAACTAGCTCGGTCGTCCGAAAATTGTCACATATACCTTCCAGATCGTAGTTCACGACTGCCGACAGTTCACTAAAAAATTATTAGATACTGTCTCTGCCTTCCATGAAACAATAGCAGAGAAAAGGGAAACTTACACAAAAGGCTATCAGCCAGAGTAAGAGTTATAAGCTTGCGAAGTATAGCCCAAATTAATGCACTTGTCCTTCTTAAACGTATCACTACCTCCATCGGCCCACCAGTTCTTGTGCTGGATAGGGTGGTCCTTGCTGCCATCACCAAGATAGCAGTGGGTCGATTCCCAGAACTGGGCTCGTTGGTGATAACCACCGTAGGACAGAACTCGGAAAGATCGAGTCTTGATGGTGTTTGAGTCTCTGCAGGTGTTGTCCCAGACGTTGATTTCTTTCGCGGTGCCCGAGCAGTTGTCGCCGGTAAACGCGCGAATTTTGAAAGAGTACGCTCCGGAGCTCAGAGCGAGGAACGTCAGGATGTTGCTGAGTTGCATTGTTGCGGTTTGTATTGGATGTCCTTCGAGGTGTGTTTGTCCACGATTGTTAAGATGGGTTAAGGTGGATTCTGAAGATTTAGGGCTGTCTACTCACTCTCTCTTATACCCTTTAATGGGCCTGCCAAGACGCTCAAGTAACGAACAGATTGTTTCCTTCCGAGTTTCTTTCCGAAATGGTCATAGCATATGATAGGAACCTCTTGTGCAGCTGAGAAGATGTTTGCGAGTTGGTGCGTATAGGACATTTTGGTTACGACGGATGCAATCAACTGGAGATCCCCTGTAAGGCACCCAGCGGCTTGACCGGACAGTGCAAACATTGATTCATTGACATGCATTTGCCTTTCATTTGACTACGATTTTCTGTTGGTAAATACTTGCTTGGCGTGTCAGATGTGAGCTTGGATGTAGCTCATCCCAAGTCCTTCTTCCTCCTATGACATGTTATGCTTAGGCACTCGAATTTATTCCGAAATTCAAGACTCTACGTGTCCATATTAGATTTACTCACTTGATCTTGCTCATGCATTGTGCAATGTACCCCATTCACTCTCGGCCAAACCTTTCTTCCCTGCAGACATGGTTCCTGGGCGCCTAAGGTACTCGATTATGAGTAAAGTGACTAGACATCGCAGGAACCGGTCAATTTTGGAAAGGGTCGCTAGCCAAATCAGGTGCTAGGTAGTGATTGATGCTATACCTGACGAGGTAGAACTAGGGTGTTCAGCTGAGGGGCGGGAGGCCTAGATTTAGATTAGGGCCGCCACAGCACTGCAGCGTGGAGGATTCAGACGAACTAGCAGTAAAGCTGTGAATTAGGCTATTGATATCGTAAATATACTATCAAGCAGTCTTTTCCATAATTGTTTCTTTCGTTTTTCTCTTGAGTTCGCGAGATGCGAAATGCGAGTATGTTTTTGGCTGCGAAATGCTGGGGCCGGCAGTGCTGAATAAGCGAAGCTGTAGCCAAGCAGGTAACTAACTACATGTATGCACCTATATACTGAAGAGGGGAACGCTCGATGGCAGCACGCGCTGAGACGTGCGGGTCGATTCAGCAGAAAAACCACCACAAAACACACGCGTAGCAATCAGGAAACAGCGAGAAGCCCAAATGTAGGGGTCAGGTCGGGGAGGTGTAAGAAGGTGTATTCTAGAACTAGCTATCCGGCCACTGTATACTGCCGGCTATGTCACATAGTCTGGATGGCACTCATGTAGTAGGGGGGAGGGGGTCTTCCCACTACACTATATAGGCCACCTTCCTGCTCAGCTTATACTCTTCTCTTCTTCCTTCCTCTTCCCCTCCACCGTCCGACTAACTGCCCACGCCCGCGTATCCCCTGCCTTCTCATCTCGCGCTCAAGCAGCTGTGGGCTTCCGAGGACGCCCCTTCTCTTCTACACCGGGTAAGGAGAGTGTGGCGAGAGGCTTCTCGACTCTCCGTGCGAGTATGCCAGAAGCCAACACTCTCCGTCAATCATCAAAATCTCTGGCTCCCATGAGCCTGGTCGGTACCTTACCAAGTTGCCTTAGCTCGGCGGAATCCCAAGGGACATGGAATTTATTTCTTTTTATATAGTACTTGTAGATTATTCAAGTACACATAGTGCATCAACGTGAGCATCTTTCCTCCGGCGGCCTCCACCCAATTCCCAATCGCTCCATAACAAGTTTCTCTCGCTCCTCCCAGGTTTCACCTCCATGCTCGAGGTCAACCACCTGCCCACTAGACGCCTGCTCCCGCACCCCACTGGAATCGAATTTCCAGGCATGCGCCTTTTTCGCGTACCGTCTTAAGTCTCGCTGGAACGTCGTATCCCCCGACCAGCCGAGCACAGCACATCCAACCGTCTGCCATGGCGAGATGATAATATCGACCCGACGATGTGGATTCAGATTCTTCTCGTTTTGGTTGGCTGGTTCCTGCCAGACAACCAGTGCCTTATCCAGCGTGTCAAAGTGCTTCCCCGTTTCATCGCCGTGAAAGGGCAGCGTCTGCTGCTCGCGCTGTGAGGAGGTAACATGCAGCGAGAGGGTATGAGTGATATACAGCTCCGTCTCAAGACTGGCAACGACATCGACAACAAGGTTCTTCGTAACGGCATCATCCCGATGCGTGAGAATGATATCCACGTCTCCGCTAATCTCCTTCCCGCGCCGGTACCCGCCAACAAGGATGCAGTCGATCTCCCCCCTTCCCTTCGGCCGCACGCGATTGGCATGTCTCTTCACGATATCGGCGATAGCCTCACACTCAGCCCGCGGCACGCCAGTCTGGAACTCCTCGAAGAACTTGACCCCGATCTGCTGCACGCGCGAGAGAGTATCCCAGCCATACTCGACGATATCATCAAGATCTCTCCACCCACGCCGATAGTAGAAATCCCTCGCCGTCTTCGCGCCCACGCCCCAGATTTCATTGAACGTGTTCAGGACCCGCAAGACAGGATTCGTTTCCAGTTCGTCTGCCGCCGCGACATTCCCGTCGTCGTCGGTATGCTTGCAGCCGCCGTGTTGCTGGAATTCGGCAAAGAGATTCGCAATCTTCGCTTCGCAGCCTGGTAGCGCGAGGACTTCGCTTGGGCGCCGGAGTGGGTATGGGTACGCCGCTAGCGCGGCGATGGAGGTGCTGTAGGCTCGGACGCCGATTTCGTCCAGTGTGAGCTCGCGGATCCGGCGGATTTTGAGTAGTTGGGTAATGAAGTCTTCGTTTGGGGGGTGGAGTGGGGTGGAGCGGAGGCAGGCGTAGAGAACTTGCTCGCGGACCCAGATTGGTTGGGGTGGTGTTGGTGTGTGATCTTCTTTTTCGGAAGTTGTTTCTCGGTGCAGGATTGGTGGTCGTTTATGGCTGGGGTCGTCTGGGGATTCTTTTGTGCGGCGGTGGTAATGGCCCGGTGGGAATGTGTGGATGGGTTGGGAGGCGGCGTCTTCTTTGGCGCGTTTGATTATTTGGCTTGATATTGCTTCTGGTGGTGGGTCTGGTAATGCTGGATGGCTGGAGCTGGTCTTTCGTCCTCGGTAGATCAGGAAGCTATCGTGCGGCAGAGGTTTTCCTGCTGTAATGGACTGATTCAGCCAGTCCAGTTTGAGGACGCTGATTATGTCGACGGGTTCGGTTTTGGGTTTGACCAAGAGTTTGCCTGGGTCATGCTGACTTTTCATGCCATCCTCCTCGTCCTCGGACTCGGTAGAGAGATCGAAGATATCAACGCCCGGAGTATCCAGTGAAGGCTTTCCTTCAACCTTCTGCCGTTTTTGAGGGGGGTCTTGACCATCCTTAGACACTGTCGAAGAGCGGGAGATGATCTCCTCTGTCCAGAGCCCGCGGGACCGAAGCTCCAGCGTCGCCCTTTTCTTCTGACCGATTTTGCCGAGAACTAGTGGTGCCTCATTGATATCCCAGGTCAACTTCCCCCCATGTTCGGTCACACTGTTCTCTGCTTGATGTAGCTCGTCCAGCGAGAAGTGAGTGTTGAGGATGAATATGGATGGTTCGTTCGAGAGGAGGGCCTCTTCAGCTGTTGCTTCCGTTGGCTCGTGAGGGAGCTCAGTGATAAGGTCATCCGCTGGCATTTTTGTAGCAAATTTATGTGCAGGATTTGAATATCTCCAAGTATGGGAGCAGCATGTAACTAGCCGATCGGTCGGCTGTTTGACAAGCTAGTGTTTGGTTGCCCTTGGGGAGGGTCTGATTGCGGCCAACATGGTGGCTCAAATGTGCATAAATGGCTCTGAAATTTTTCACAGACATGTGCTAAACAGAAATTGTTGGTATAGATTGTAATGCATCGACATACAAGGATGACCGCCGGTGGTCGAGAAGTGAGCCTGAGGCAAGGTCGTGTGGCAGTCATGTGACATATCGATATGTGACGTCATTAATCATTACTGCTGGGATCCGCGAGTACATGGACATGTACAAAGGTAGTACCGAAGGCCAGATACTCCAAGGTAGTGATCAGTTTTTCACACTTTTGGCTGATTTGAGCATTGAAATTCGTTTGACCGTGCTTCGATATACTACTAACAACCGGTAATCCGAGGGAGAAGTGAAGTATAGAATTAGCTGCAAGTAAACGGACGGGCACTTTGACTTCAAACTTCTAAAGCAAATAAATCTCTAGAAATCTAGACCATCAAAATCATCAAACACAAAATGTGAGCCAACTTAAACAATCTCATCCTCAACCCTCCGCTCCTGCGTCGTAACCGCAACCCCCGAAGAACCTCCCTTCCCAACAACCTCCGTCCTTCCCTGTCGAGCACCAACACCCTCAGAGCCACCAACAACATTAACAACACCACTTTCACCACCGTCCTCCGGCTCCTCATTCCAATACTCCGGCTCAAGAACCGGCCTCCCATGCCTCCGCGCCATCCACCTCCGCCACGGCTTATACAGCAACACACTCAGCCCACCAATAATTAAGAAACAACCACAGATCGACCCGCCAATAACATCATAATAATCTCCCGCAACTTGGACACCATCCCAAAACTTTCCCGTCGCATTCGTCACGTTCAAAACCATCGTCAGCAGCTGGATGACGCCGATGACGATCGCCACGATGACGGTTAGCGTCGTTAGGACGATGGAGTAGTACAAGAAGGCGATGGGGTCGCGGTGGTTATCGTGGGACTGGGGAAGTTGATTTTCATCTTCGCCTTCTTCGGAGGTCGTGTCGGATTTCGGAGGCAAGAAATTCGCAGCAGGCTGCACGTACAACGAGTACATAAGCGCCCCATCAATGGTATCAATAAGACACATCCCCGCCGTAAAAAGCGCAGGCAGAATAAGAATAACCCAAAACGAAGTCCCCTTCGCAGCCTGGATGGACGAAATCCCAAGCAAGGCGATTTCAGAGGAAGTGTCGAAGCCCAGACCGAAGAGGATGCCCAGTGGGTACATTTTCCAGGGTCGGTCGATTAGCTTGAACATCTTCTTCAGGACGGAAAACAAGATCCCGCCGCCCTCGATCTTCCAGGCCTCGTCTTCTTGGCCGGCGGGTAGGTTGAAGACCTTTCGCATTTGTGCGATTAGTTTGTACAGGATGTACCCGTTCATTAGGCCCAGTAGGATTAGAAAGGCGGCGGACACGGAACTCCCGATTATACCGCCGATTGTGCTGAAGCTGTCGAATTTGCTGGACACCGCTGCTGCGGTGGCTGCGACGACAATTGAGGTTATTATTACGATTCTACCGAACATGTTAGTGGTGGGGGAAATAAGTGGTTGGGTTGGGTTGGTGGACGTACGTTGAGTGTCCGAGGGAGAAGAATGTCCCGACTGTGACAGGCTTTTGGCCCGTTGCGAGGAGTCGACGGGTCATTAGGTCGATGGCCTGATATCACTATGTTAGATCCGAAATTTTCTTCAAGGGAGAGGGAGAGGGATACGTACCGAAATGTGATCTGCGTCAAATGCATGTCGTAGACCGAGGGTGTAGGCGAGGACGGCTGTAGATACCAGCGAGCTTCACATCAAGTGAGTTAGACAAGCTTCAATGAATAGTCAGATGTACCAAACTTACGTATGATACCGCTGAAACTTGACATTAGCAAATTGATCTGAGTTTGGAATAAAAGGTAAACTCACCAACACAATCCCCGCGGCAATCCAAACAACCGCATTCAAAAACGAAATAAACAAAATAATCCCAATAGCTCGCAGCGGAATTTTCCTAATACCGGGCATCTTCTGATGCGAGCGCTCGGCATGGCGCAGGAGTGGCTGCAGACTCCATTTACGATCGCTGTCGAGGCTGCGCGAGTCGAGGGAGGGCATTTTCAATCACAATGCTGTATCTCCGCTCCAGCCTTGTGGGTCGTTTGTCAAAATTTGTGGGTTGTTTTAGTTGGGGACAAGGGGTTAAATAGGATCAAAATTCAAGCTTTGCAGTGCGTCAAGACGACTGTAACCTCGTCTGCAGATCAAGCTATGAGATATTGTAATTAGTCTTATCACTGAGTGCCCGGGTTACGACCCTAAGACTGCACTAACACTGAAGTCTCTGGTAGATCGTCTTGGCGAGAAACGGCAGCGTGCGATGGCCGAGCCCCACGTCTGCCTGCTTATCCCACAGAATCGAGAGGACTGACAGGAGTACCTCATGCAGGTAGACTTGTGAGAAGAATAGTCGCGAAGCAGAAATGCCATTGCTATCCGTGGTTCCACGTGACATCGCGGGGCAGCGTTGCGGAGACGTCCGACTAGTTATCAAAGTCAGTATTATTCATGAGAGACGTTTTGATGATAAAAAGTGCCCACTTTCGGGCGATAAACATAGCCGCGGGTCCACTTCGGCCGTCACGGACGGGTTCGCGAGGAGTTTGCCGAAGACTGGGGCTCGGCGGAGTCGCCCAGCGAATATCGTCAGGTATTGTAGGGACTGAGTTTTTACAAGTGGAGAGGTTGAAGTGATCAAGTATTTGCTCATATTTGCTCATTTACATGTAGTAATAAATAAGACAGACAATCCTTTCAGTCGACGTCGAGAAAGAAATAGTGAAATCAAATGCAAACGCTTTTCGTTTCGGTCGTGAGTTCGTGATATTTTACATAGGTGCGAGCCACTGTGTTTTCAAAAGTGGTCGGGTGAGGAAGCTTCGTCCGCATGACTACCCGCTGCAGAGTGCACCTCATATCGAGGGCATGTGTGTGCGGCGGGAGATGGACGGAGCTTGCCGATCTGAAATTGCTGGCAGATCTGCAATCTGATAATCCGACCATCAAAGCAGGTTGAAGCATGTGATCGGCGGATTCTTCGAGACCATCAGGCTGACTGTGACCAGCGTATTGGTGTGGGAGACATTTTCAAATGTCTATGCTTTTTGACTTGAAGTATTTCAGGCACAATAGCCCAAATACTCTGTTAGGGCTGCTCATGCCACGGCAAATACCGCCGGCGACGGAGTCCACTTGGTCACGGAAGGCTGCACCTCCCGGATATCCTGACTGACAAGGATATTCCACTCATTGCGGGTGATGGGGGTAACATCGGACGCCGACAGAGGCGTCTTCGGCCCCCGCTTCGCCGGGATACCATGTCGCTTCGTGACAGTACGAGACGCCGACTTGGCCGGCGGCGGCTGGCGAGGCGCCCGCACGGGACGCGCCGGGGCTTTCCGCGAGTGCTCGGCCATGCGGGGCGGCAGGATAATGGCTTCTTCCTTGTGGGTATTTTTGTATGCCACGGCGACGGCCGTGAGAAGGTCGTCGCGCACATCAAGCTGCTCGTAGACGCGGTGGAAAAAAGCCTTGCTGAACGGGCGGCCTTGGTAATCGGCGACAAGCCGGCGGAGCAGGCGCACGCATGAAACCATGTACTGCTCGTCGGTGCGGGAGAAGGGTTTTTCGGACAGAATACAGAGGCGGCGCTTGAAGGTGTAGATGCGGTGCATGTTCAGCAGGGTCAGGCCTTCTTGGCTGAAGACGACTTCGTTTTGGAGGATGGATTGCTCGACCAGGTATTCGTTTGCCTGGCGCTCGTATTGGCTGCGGTTGAGTGCGTCGGTCCAGCTTTGGCCGAGGGAGAATTTCTTTGAGGCTTTTGCCAGAGCGCGTTCGAGGACGCGTCGGGAGGAGGTATCGAGGTGGGTGGTCGGGATGATCATCAGGTCGGAGGAATGGCCCGTTGGGAAGGGCTTGCCGCGGCCGACGAGCAGGGTGACGTGCATCATTTTTTGCTGCAGCTTGGTGGAGATGTACTCGAGGGCGGGCAGGATGGAGGGGACGAGGATCTCGGCGTCGAAGTTGAAGTCGGGGGAGAGTGGGGGAGAGATCATGTCGGTGGTGAGAGTGCGGGTGGGCGAGCCGGGGACATAGATGCCCGTGGGGCGAGGGAAGCGGATGACGCCCATATTGAATGTTGATACAAGATGAAGGATAGGGGAGGATCCCTCTTTGGTATATAGAATGGATTGTGGGAAACCCCTTGGATGGAGGAATGAAGACAAGGCGGAAAGAAGCAGGCTGATATACCTCCCCCCAGCACTTCCCCACGTCTTTACATAGAAATGGCGAATCCCCCCAATTCTTCCGTTTTTAGCGGCCGCCATGTTGCTAATCATAGCAAATCCATCACATCATCCCCCCAATCACATCCTCATCAGAGAGTGTGGATTCTCGCCTGACCAATCACGACCTGCAGTGATCGACACGATATAAATAAATTAGCCCTCATTTCGTTCAGTTCATTTAGGAAAGGAAGGACTGCTGTAACCGCCGAGGCGTTCTCCAACCAACCACTTCACGCCTTGCCAACATCTTCTGCATGCCGTCACACGCTAACACGCACCACGACCAGGGCGCTGGACCGCTGGAAGGGACGACTGTTGGCCCCTGCTCGAGCTGACGGGTTGAACCTCCACTTGCTCAGGGTCTTGGAGCCGCGAGCTCCAGTTGACTGGCTGTGAGCGTTTCTGAAGATGCAATCCCTGCATTCGAGCTCCGTGGCTTTCAAGTTCACCTGCTCAGGCTCATATCGCTGGCCAGTTGCGCGTGGTCCGGAGATTAAGGCGTGTAGAGTGGGATATCCACTGGTTCGTTTGGCATGCAATTTTTCAATAGTTCTTCTTGATCATGCTGGGACTTTTGTTCAGTGTTGTCCCTGATATGATATTGGTTCTGTGGCTTCAGCCCGGTCGTATGGATGACCGTGTCCTTTGCCCGGGTTCGTGGTTGAGCCTCATTGTGTTTGACTGATGCCATATTGTCTCTGTTGTTGATTTCGTCTGACATTTGAGGGAGTTGGGATGAATAGTGTCGTACTTTATTCTCGTAATGGTTTACTACCATGTTGCGATACTTTCTGTCTTCCAATGTGAGCTACCACAACTACAACATAGTCTGTAGCAGGGTAGATGACGAGACCACCCTCGTCGCTATCCCAGCCCCAAGATCAAATATGACTTCTCACCGACGCCGCATCATTGGGGGCCAATCGTTCAAGCATTGAAGCCCAATCCCACCGCTCTCACCTGGGCAGTCACCAGCGGCTTCAACACCACAGATCTAGTCGTGTCTACTATGGCCAATGCATGCCAGCTCGGAAAATTTCCCCTCTGGTCCGTCCTCCGACGCTGCAATGCAATCCGATTGGAGTCCGAACCCAACACAAAGCGCCGCGAGTCAGCATCGATGAATCGCGTCCTCCCAGGAGCCGCGCGTGGCTTTTGGCCCCATCCTCTCTGCAGAGGAAGAGTTGGTTGTGCGCTGTTTACATCGTCGGCTGGTCCAGTGAGATTGTTTGGTTGATGTTGGTGGCGCCTTAGGTGGGGTAAATGAGGCTAATTTTTCGCTTATCGAAGAGACCTTAATTATTGTGATTTTTTTTCTGTCTAGATCTAAGGTTAAAGATCTAAAGAAAGAGATAAAAGCCGGTCACATGATAATATTATACTGTGAGTGTCAGGGCTGGAGTTTCGGCCCGATCAGTATAGTTAGGACGACACAAATGAAATATCCGGCCACGCCTCAGAAGGACCTCTCAGTATTTCACCCAACTCCTCATTAACGAAATACCGCACCGCAGCAACGGTAAACTCAACAATAGCATCCCTCGCTCTCAGCGCTCCAATCGTCCCAATCCGCGCCTGAAAAGCCCGCCTCGCCGCATCAGCGATGTTAACCGCATCAAGAAGAATCGGATAATCAGAGAAGGTATAATGCTCCGACTGCGCGAGTTCCAGCTCAATTTTCCACCCCTTCAGTCTTGGCCACAATGCTTTCCAGCTAGGGTCGGTTGCTTGTGTTTTGTTGGTATGCCCAAATAACATGAATGGCTTATCGAGGCCTTTCTTCACGACGGACCCCCAGAGCGTGCCGTCTAGATTTATTGCGCCTGCGAACCGGTTGTCCAAGAGGAGTGTCTGGGCGGCTGTTGCGCCGCCCAAGGAGTGGCCCATTATCGTGACGTTGGTGAGGGAGAGGAGGTGTGGATTTTTGGATAGGGGGAATATTTGGTGTAGTGTTTTGTGAGTATGCAGTTGGTCGAGGAGGAAGGTCATATCTTCTACCCGGACGTTGAGTACGGGTTCGATTTCGTATTCTGTGCTGATGTTTGATAGCTTCCCGAGGACTGTGTGGCCGTCCGGGTATTCGATTATTTCGGCGTCATAGGGATGGTCGACTGACACGATGGCGAGGCCGTTGCTGGCGATTTCTCGGAGAAGGAGGGTGTACATGAGTCTGGATGTTGAGAGAGCGGGCGAGAAGAGGACGACTGGGTATGGGGTGTAGGTTGTTGCGGGTGATTTGTGTCGTGACTGGAGTTGGAATGAGGAGAATGTGCCGGGTGGTAGGCCGAAGGCTTTGAACTGCGCGTCTTCGTATGCGGCTGTTCCGTTTGGGAAGTAGGGGGTTGACTGTATGCTTCCGCAGTTGGTCGGTGTGAAGCTTGTTATCATCAAAGAGCGATTGCCTCCTTTAGGGTCGAATGGATCAATGCGGGATGAGTCGACTAGTTCGCTGGTGTGAAGGGTGACGTCGCATGCTCCCGTGGTTGAGGGGAGAGAGATTGATGCTTGGCTAAGGCCGAAGAGGCAGGTATAGAGGAGGAGGACTGGTGTCATTCTGTTCTGTTGATGTAGATGCAGAAGAAATTGGATTGGAATGGGATGAAAAGAAAATGAAATGAACCCGGGAGGTGATGGGTGTATTTATATTTATCCAATCCATGAGGAACCCCCGGAAGACCAGCCAAGTCGTTGTCTCCATTTCCATCCCCAAACAAAAAGTATCCTATCTAGGAAGATGGTCATCGAAAAGCACTCATGAAAATCATGATGCCTATTTAGATTCCCGATTTGGCATCTTCTGTATACGCCAACCAATGAAACCACGCCTCTCGCGAGATTGCTTCCTAAAGCGGTAATCTTACCGCATCAGGCCGATTGCGCGGCTGCCTGAGGATCCACAATGCCCTCCGACACATAAGAGCATCTGACACAGCTCAGCACTCTTTCTTCTGCAAGACAGCAACTCTCTAAGCATGTTCAAAGTCGACCGAAAAGCCAATTTCGGCCCCCTGGACCGCCGACTCCGTCGGACGCGGTGCGCGAATTGCTCCAGGCAGCATCTGAAGGTATCCACATGAACCCGTTTCTCATTATGAACTAGTAGTGTACTGACGATGGCAGTGCGAAGGGGGCGTCCCCTGCAAAAGATGCCAGAAAGACAACGAGGCGTGCTCTCTAGCTGAATTGGCCCCTGCCGGGCGTCGTGGGGTCTTTGTGAATCAATTTGTAATCAATGCCGTGGAAATGAGTTCAAGCTGCCAGCCGACCCTAACGCCACGGCCCAATCCGATATTTGCGTGTCCAGACAGGAAGACAGAGGTTATTCGAATGGTATTTGACTTTTTCAGATCGCATCAGTTCTCGCTTCATGGGGTGGTGTCGTATGGGAATCATCTGCTTGGGCTGATTCATTCTTCCGCGCCGCTATATTGGGCTTGCATCGCTTTGTGGGCGAGTATGAAGCAATGTCACGGTTTCCGGAGTGATCGGGATGAGTATTTTGCGAATTTTGGGCTTGCGGCCTATCTGAGGGCTATACGGTTGTTGTTGGAGAGGTTGAAGTGTAAGGATGTGCATGAACAAGAGGATTTGGTGTGGTCTAGTTTTGTGCTCAGCTTGGTTGAGGTTTGGTTCCTATTTTCCGGGTGAACAAGTATGGATTGGCTAAATTTGTGGTATAGATGAGATGCGACAACACCGCCTCTGACTGGACGCGACATCATACCTTTGGTACTTGCCGACTGCTAGCATCTTGGGATCGTGAGTCTCTGAGGAGCAACGAGAGACGTCAGTTCATCTTCCACAGTTCGAGGTTAATTGAGGCTTGTCGTGGGATTCTATATGATTGTCCTGCTTTTGGGACTGATGATCAATGGTTGAGGATAAGAGATGTCAGTTCGGCATACGGCTCTGAGTATGGGCATACTTTTGACGATGTGATCGAGTTCCTCGTTCGATGTTCTTATTTCGGTGGGAGGCAAGTGTTCTCCCGATATTCCTTGCATTCAGTATGGATTCTGACCTATACAGAATGCGCGACTATATCCAGCGGAAAGCCTCCACTGGGGCCACTTATATCGAACTTGAATCCTTGAGTCAAACAGGATGGGAGCTACAACAGGAAATACTAGCCTGGAAACTCTCAGCAAAAGACCCAAATTCATTCAACCAGGTCGCAATGCTGTACCAGCAAGGCATGCTCATCTACCTCTCCGGACAATACGACTACCGTCCGGAACTCGGGACCCTCCCGGCCAACGTCCCACGACGAACAGGAACCGAGATCCAAACACATGTGTTGCGCATTCTCGACTTGACACCACATCTCCTGAACAAGTCAAACTTCGCTGAAGTCATGTATCTATTCCCACTACGCGTAGCAGGAGCCCGTGCCGTCGATTTCGTGACGAGGTCCAAGGTCATCGGGCTGGCAAGGCGGATTGCCGAGCGAGGGTTCCGTGTCACGGAGCGAGTCTTGTCGGATCTGCAGCTGCTGTGGCGGTTTCGAGATTCAGGTCTTGCACCGCTCCCTATAACTGAGATTTAGAGGGGGTAGATCGTTTTCCCTTGACATATTTCATGCATATAAAGCTTGACCCATCCAGTATGGGCATGTACGGGCATACTTCACTCCCACGTGGAGAACCAGGCAATGTCCAACATTTCCTCTTCACTTGCAGTGCAAGCCTACCCCTCCCACCTCCTCGATCAGGCCAAGTCGACAGAGATAAGAGGAGTAAAGAAGGTCAGCAGGCAAAACAGACCCCTGTCTCCTCGTAATAAGGCTTGGCAAGCCCGTGATTGGCAGCGGGCAGTCTTGGCTGCCGCCCGGGCAGCGCAGCCTTTCCTTCTTTCCTTCTCTTTTTCACCGACTCGATTGATGGCTGGACAGGTCCAGTCACACAGCCTTGCGTGATACGCCTCGAGTGGACGATGGGATATCAAGCATTGCCCAGCTGCGCCTTTGGATTGACCTCTCCCAGGTGAAGATCGATATCCACTGGCCGAACAACACAACGATGGGAATCACACCTGACAGTCGACTCGCGTCTTGGCGGCTGGGCACAGCTGTTTGTGCTGTTAGCGCTGTTAGTGTCTTGGAAAATGGAGCCCTCCCCACGCTCTTATCGCAAGGAAGCTTCGACGAACAATTGGACGCATCGTGTCCGTATACAGTAGTAGTCAGCTGTCCCCCGACCATTGCTTCTGCGTGCAACAAAAGGGGACTTCCACAATGCAGCCGATCGGGCTGATGCAGGCACAGCCCCGTTATGTCTTCGATCTTCAATGCTTTCAATAGGAGTAACGGCGCCCGCTCGCGTGTTGAACCTTGTCCGAGGAAGAGCCTCCGGTCGAGGCACGGCTGGCGTCTGCACTGACAGGCTACCTGGAAGTGATTCTCCGCCACAACCGCACGGTTCTGGCAAGTGTGCTCGTGGATTGTCTTGGGTCGTACTCAACTTAAAGCCTTGGCCTGCCCAGAGGTCAGCGTATCGCAGGGCTTTAAATCGCTCTACCCCTCGCCAGACTTGTCGGTGATTGTGCCCCTCTTTGTTGCTTGCGAAACGGAGTGCTGTAGAGCCCCAGGTACGTCCAGGCGAGAGTGAGAGTCCGGCCGACTTGGAAATCATCCCCTGTCCTTCCTGCTGTGCCTCGAACTGGACTTTTGCTCATCGAGTTCCCCTCGTTTTTCGAAACCGCCTCCGTTGAAATCCGGCAATTCTCTGCTTCTGACTCTCCGACTTCCATTACACGACTCCACGCCTTATCACATCCATGGTGATGGACGAAAAGAGCGAGGGCATCTCCTCTGAGATGCCTATGCAGCACGAGGTCAGCCACGACAAGTTAGGAACGGCCGAGGAGGGTGGCCTGTCTGACCCCAACCATGTCGAGCTTCATCGTGCGCTTAAGGCGCGACACATTACCATGATTGGTATGGTTTTTCGAATCTCACAAATAGCGAAACTGCGACTGAGCTCACGGTGACAACAGCTATCGGTGGTGCGATCGGCACGGGCTTGATTATTGGAACGGGCGAAGCGCTTGCAAAGTGAGTAGACCACACTCTTCATATTGCGCATGTTACTGACCTCTTGATCCTGCTAGGGCTGGAGTATGTCCCCTCAAATCCCCGGTAAACACATATAATAACTTGAACAGCCCGGCGCAATCCTCATCGCATACGCATGGGTCGGATTCATTGTTTACCTGGTAATGTGCGCCCTCGGCGAAATGGCAGCATGGCTTCCTCTCCCCTCTGGATTCACCGGTTACGCGGTCCGATTCTGTGATCCAGCGCTCGGCTTTACACTTGGATGGACGTTCGTTTTCCCTCGCTCTGATGTTCTGCTACAACTTATCTAACGTTAATCCAGGTACTGGTTCAAATACATCATTCTCTCGCCAAATCAACTGACAGCCGGCGCCTTGGTCATATCATACTGGATCCCCACAGAAAAAGTCAACGCCGGCGTCTGGATCACCGTCTTCCTGATCCTAATTGTCAGCATCAACTACTTCGGCGTGAAATTCTTCGGCGAATTCGAATTTTGGCTCTCCTCCTTCAAGGTCATCGTCATCCTCGGCATCATTCTCCTCTCCTTCATCCTAATGCTGGGTGGCGGTCCCGACCACGACCGCAAGGGATTCCGATACTGGAGAGACCCCGGCGCATTCAACACCTACATCAAAGAAGGTGACGCCGGCCGCTTCCTCGCATTCTGGTCCACCATGGTCTCCGCCACCTTCGCCTACCTCGGAACCGAGCTGGTCGGAGTTACAGTCGGCGAAGCGCAGAATCCCCGCAAGACCATCCCCCGCGCAATCAAACTGACCTTCTATCGTATCTTGGTCTTCTACGTCCTGTCGGTCTTGCTAGTCGGCACCCTTGTCAAATTCAACGACAAGAAACTCGCCTTCGCCATCGGCGCCACCAGCTCAGCCGCCGCATCCCCATTTGTCGTCGCTATCGAAAACTCCGGTATTCCCGTCCTCTCACACATCCTCAACGCATGCATTCTACTGTTCGTCTTCTCAGCCGCCAACTCGGATCTCTACATCGCAACCCGCACCCTCTACGGCCTCGCCCGCGAAGATAAAGCACCAAAGATCTTCGCCCGAACAGACAGCCGCGGCGTCCCCGTCTACTCACTGGCCATCTGCTCCGTCATCGCGCTACTGGCCTACATGAACGTCAGCAACGACTCGCGGACCGTCTTCAAGTATTTCGTTAACCTGGTTACCATCTTCGGCCTGCTTACCTGGATCTCGATTCTGGTCACGCACATTTACTTCATTCGTGCGCGGAAAGCGCAGAACGTACCCGATTCGGACCTGGCGTACGTCGCGCCTTTTGGGGCCGTGGGCTCTTACGGCGCGCTTGCTTTCTGCATTCTTATCGCATTCACCAAGAACTATGATGTCTTCACGCATAATCCGAAGTGGGGCAATTTCGACTATAAGAATTTCATTACGGCGTATCTTGGCATTCCCCTCTATTTGATTCTGATTACGGGGTACAAGCTTGTGACGAAGTGCAAGGGTGTTAAGCCGGAGGAGGCGGATCTTTGGTCTGGGAAGGATGAGATTGATCGTGAGGAGGCGGCTTATCTTGCGCGAAAGAGCGCCGAGGCTGAGAAGCATGCGCAGGCGGGCTGGTTCTATCGGAATTTTGTATCGTGGCTTTTCTGAGAAAGCCTGCATTGTGTCTTACTGGTTGTTCCGTGGAATTTGGAGGATTGGGTTCACGAGATCATGGATGGTATTTCTACTTTGGGGGATTTTTGATAAAGTCCTTAGCATGCAATTTCTATCAAATTAGGTCTACCTGATTACAGTAATCAGACCCATCCCTGTCATTCCAGCTTCCTATATCCTCTATATCTCTAAGGGCGCCAGTGGCCAAGTGCTCATTCTATTGCACAAAAGCGGACTAGCGCCCCTGAATTGCGGGGAAGCCGTTGATAGGCGGACTCGCTACAGATCTGTTGCGGTTTCCCTAAGCCTCCTTCTTCATCTTCAGTTGACAAGGTAGATCTCGACATGATCTCCGTCTATGTAAAAACTTCATAGTCTCTCAGGCTCCCTGATCTGATTTCTCTGTTTCACATATCACACGTTGGTCGCAAGCATCGATGGCCAGCGAAGCGCCGAAGAAAAAGCCAAGGCGAGTGAAAGGTACCATACCCTTGCTGTTCTAAAATACCGTTGACTCTGATATCTCTAGGGTGCTACAATTTTTCCAGCGTCGAATAAACTGTGACCGCGGGACACCGTGCAATAAATGCGTAAAGAAGGGGCTAGAATGTTTCGGTCTCAGGGTGCGGTATAGGTTTAACAATGGGGTTGCGTCGAGGGGTAAATTGGCTGGGCGGCCGAGCCCTGTTCCTGATTCTGAGTATGTTATCCATGTTTCATTGAGAGAGAGAGCCTGTTGCTGACAATGCGTTTGGTGAATCGCCAGTCCCGTCTCCTGTGAAGAGCGACCAGAGTTATGAGCTGCGGCGAATGAATACTTACAACGCGACGTTTAATGACCTTCTCGGCGATATTCTCTTATCCGAACCTCCTGCTGATGAAAGCTTGGATCTTGCACTGCACACTGACGGTCCTCTAATTTCCCGAAATTATCTCCCCCGCGAACTAGACGCTCTCGATGGGCAGTCTAGATCCCTACTGTTGTACTGTGTGTTAGGACAATCAATCTTCAAAAAGATATACTAACACGCAAAGTCTCCGACAACATTGCCCCGGCCATGGCAGCAATTAACAACGTTCTCAACGGATACCGCGACATGATCCTACCCATATCTGAAGGCGATCCCACCGTCAGAAATGCAATACTCGCCGCCTCAGCCTCACACCTCACTGAAACATCCGGCGTGGAAGGAAATCTCCACGAATTATCACATGGCCGCCATCCACGGACTGAATCGTCAAACAAAAGACAGCGCGGATAAAGATAATTTTGAAAAATTCAATCTGTTGCACGATGGTGCTGCTGTTAATCGAGGAGATGATCACGGTCGGGACGGACTTTCATATTCTCTTGCGGATGATTAATAGCTTCGTTCGATCGCCTGGTGGTTCGAGATCGGTCGAGAAAGAGCCACTGGGTAGATTCTTATGCAGCAGATTCGCAAGTATGTTCTTGTCCTCCGCCTATGTCGATATTCTCTTTGCGATACGAATGTCATTCTATGCAGCACCTCTCGACACGGGGTACAGCGCCACAAAAATTCTCCAGAATGTCATCCCTGAACACCTCGACTTTCTCTACAGCTACCTTGCCCCATATCCCGAATACACGGAGATAATCTACATGCTCGCCGACCTGATCCAAAAAGCCGCGCAGATATACCAGGCGCACGCGGCAAATATGCCGGACGCCATGATCGGAAAGCTCGTTCAGTCGTTCTTGAAGGAAACATCAACCTTCAACACAGGTTCGCCGGGCGGCCACATCCTTATCTGGCCATTCTTTATTGTTTGAGCGGAGTGTTCAGGCGACAATGGTAGGATATTTGTGGAGCCGCAGCTGAAAATGCTGTGGGGATACACCGGGTTCGGCAACATGCTTTATGCGATCGAGGTACTGAAAAGAATTTGGGGGCAGGGTATCGGTGCGAAATGGACGGTTGGGTTGGCGAGTCAGGTTGAGGGGTTTATCATGTAAATACTCGCCTCTCCACTCTAGGGAGTTGAGGGGTTATACAGGGTGACATCCTCTAGGTACTGTTGTACCATGTTATCTGACACCCACGTTTCGACCGACATGCACCTATTCTGCCAGCAAATCCAACCGACTGACGATCGAAATTTCCAGTCAGGATCATGGACAGCTCATTAGCTGCTGTGTCACTTGCCCTACAGTAGTCTGCATTGTGGATGGCGATCGGGAGGATATGCGCCACACAGCTGCGCAGCGCGATCCACTACTCAGACCTTGCATGAGAATGGCCGGGAAAGCGCCAATGACGAATCTGTGACCAGATCGAATGGGGTGGAGAAGATAATGCACACAACATGATTCAGGTCCGGCGAGGGACTGTGAATTCCTGATTTCTTCAGTAGATCGATCGTTGGCACCTCTCTTCTCGCATATCCTGCAGAATCATCAAACCCAGAACCAGAATCAATATGGTACAGGTCGCTCTCATTGTTGGCGGCAGTAAGAATCCCCAAGCAACCACCAGATTCAAGTCAATAATTTACTAAAATTGAGCCAGCCAGCGGGATCGGCTTCTCCGTCGCCGAAGCCATCGCCCAACGGGGCTGGCAAATAAACATCGTTGGTATGCGCGAAGAAAAAGGGCAAAAAGCAGCCTCCGCCCTTGCCAACGCGAAATTTCACAAAGCCAACGTGAGCGACTACGACGAGCTAGCGAGGGTCTTCCACGCTGTCTTCAACAGCTTTAAACGCCTCGACTTTGTCTTTGCGAATGCCGGTATTCCGGAATTCGTGGATCTTTTCGCGCCGCGCAATGATGATGAGATTCCGCCCAAGCCCGGGTTGGATTTACTCGATATAAATTTGAATGGCGCGCTCTATACGAGTTACCTTGCTGTGCATTATTTCCGCCGGTCGCCTGAGCACACGAGGGGAAATCGGAATTTGATTATTACTTCTAGTATTGGTGGTCTATATCCTTGTATGCTTTCACCTGTTTATTCTGGGTCAAAACGTGAGTTATTCACACTCCGTGTGCGTGTTTCTGTGCTAATACTTGATAGATGCCCTGATCGGATTCGTCCGCTCTATCGGAGACCGTCTTTTCAAAGAGGGTATCCGGGTAACCACAATTTGCCCCGGGGTTGTCAAGACTCCTCTTCTGAATGAAGAGCTTTTGTCATACTTCCCTGAAGACGTCCTTATTCCCATTGAAGCTGTTACGGATGTCACGATGAAAACTCTTGCTGGTGGAGACTTGATCGATAGCAAGGGGAACCAAGTGCCGGCGGACAAATTCCATTCGCAGGTTTTGCATATTACTGGGCAGGGCTTCTATTTTATTGATCAGCCGCCTATTCATGATCAGGAGGCGAGGTCTACATGGAATGCTATGATGGGGTGGCGTTGATTGAGTACTGTGATTGATTGAGATGCTAGATGTGCGTTGTCTTAACTCTGGGTTGATTTAAGTCAGCTCGGCTGGAAGTCGTGGTCCCTGATAATTTTTGTTGGCGTGCATAATCCAGTTGATGAGAGAGAATATGGCCATCGTACCGATGACGACTGAGGTGTAGTCTGTAAAGCAAGTTAGCCTTATCCGCCAGCGGCATGAAAAAGACAGATGTGTCAAGCACGCACTCATGTTCCCCCCAGTAACGGGCATCTCCGCCGGAAAATTATAAAAAACCAGTGTAACCAATCCAAACGCCAGCGTAGCAAAATTCGAAATCCAGCCAAAGCGCCCCATATTGAAAAACCGGTGCGCCGGAAGGTACGTCGATGACCTTCGGCGATAAAGCAGCAGTCCAGCCGGGAAACAGAAGGAAACCTGCTGAAGAACCAATCCAGTGCCTATGAGCGCATTAAACGCAGTAGACGAGGCAAGGTAAATACACCCGATGATAAATATCACTGCTGCATTTGCTAGCAGGGCATTTACAGGAACCTTTAGCTGGCTGTGGATGCGACCGAAGTATTTGGATAAGAAGAGCGCGTCATCTCTCGCGAAGGCCCATGTTAGTCTTGATGAGGTTTGTTGGCAACCGTTTAGAGAGAAGCAGGCTATGAGTGCGAGGAGGGTAATAAAGACTGTTGCGCAGGCGCCTGATTGGGTGGCTTGGAGCCAGATTTCGTAGATTGGGACTCTGGGAATTTATTAATTGCAATTGGCACATTTGGAGTTGTATTCACCTACCCGGTTGAGGTCTCGATTACTGCATTCATATCCGTTAGACTGTAGAGCATGGCCACTACGAATGCGAATGATGTGATGAAGCCGATGGCTAGTGTGCTCATGAGAGCGAACGGAATGGCTGTGGTGGCGTTTCCGCATTCTTCGGCCAGGTGAATTGCTCCGTCGATGCCGGCGTAGATGTAGTTTGGGTTTATCATGCCTGTTAGGAATGCGATCCCGTTTGATTCCCATCCAGACTGATTGATGAATGTTGTCCAGACGAATTTGGAGGAGGACATCTGTGGCGTGCGGGCGAGGCAGGCTACCAGGATTATGAAGAAGGATGAAAGGGAGATCACAACTATTGCAAATATCAGTAGAGCTTTTCACGTAATGTTTTCAGTGGGATATTTACAGCCGATGTCGTGTACCCAGGAGGTTTTGCGAATTGCAAAGGTGTTGTATAGAAGGATAATAACGTTGGTTGCTTGGTAGATTAGGAAGTAATGCCAGGTCTTTGCTTCGTAGCTGGGGTTATTGTAAATGGCCATTGAGATGATGAATTGAGCGGGGAGAATAGTAACGCCCGCACTGATGGATATCCAGCTGAAAATATTGATTGCACCGCAGCAGTAGCTCTGTAAAATCTTAGTAAACAAATTCCTAGTTTGCGGGCGGGAGTCCTTACCAGAACACGACTGTACTTCTTCGGGCTGAGGATAGAAGTCCAATGGTACTGGCCGCCGGCAGTTGGATAAACCGAAGACAGCTCGGCTAGTGTTGTTCCACAGCACCCTCCGAATATTAACATGATGATGATTCCATACAGCAGAAGGATCGTGCCGCCTTCGCTGATGCCGATAGCTAGGGTACCGACTATTCCCGCCCAGCTGTTGCAGATATTCCATCCGCCACAGATTATCTGGAATGTGCCGAGAGATCGTTCGGTTTGTTGTGTTAGACCTAGGAGTTCTAGGTCTGCTGATTCCACGATTCCTTTGACTTGTTCGTCTTCGGGCTCGAGCCTGTCTTCTGGTGGTATATCATCGGATTATTAGCACTATCTACACAAAGGTGTACAAAAGAAGTACCTTTATTCTCTGGTATATTGGCCTTGGACCCTGTGTTGTCCGACATGATGAATACCTTGCCGTATCAGTCTCAGAGCTAGTGGTATGCTTTATGATAGGGACGGAATGACAAAGTGCCATGTACAGACAATATCAGAATTCATGAATTTTTTAATCGACGAGGAAGAACTGAAGATATCTTTATACCACAACTACAACTTAGTGCTGACATATACCGAGAATCACTTTTCGCCAATAACTAACAGACCAGCTATCGGCTACACAGTATATCCCTCATGATATGCGTCCTCACGGACAACTCTACCCAAATGATCGTCGCAAATACTACAAACGGTGCGCGCCAGGTTACGGTTACTTGATCAAACTCTAGTAGATGCCACAATCTCGGTTTCGCAGTGTCCCAATTGGTTTGGATCAGATCAGTTATGTGGGTCTTTCCCCAAACGGGCAGGTTGAATGAGCAGCTACAGATAAGGTTGTGCGGGGTAACCCCATATCAGGCCCGCTGACGTTTGTTCTATACTTTTTCCTGGAACTGACAAGACGGGTAGCCAAATAAAGAAGGTTGAATGAGCATTTTGTCGGGGGAGGGATTGGTCGGGGCGATAGGTTGGTTGACAGCATCTTCTCCGGCTCCGTGGCGGGGATGTCTGATTTGGCGCTGTTATCGTGGGGTAGTCATCTGTTGATGGAAAGGGTGGGATGAAAAGACTTATCTACCCGACTTGCACTCTCTATCATCAGAGCAAACCTCACTCGAAATATCATGTTGGTTTCCAACACAATCTTACAATGGCCAACTTGGTCCACGCTATTTTGCGTCAGCTTTTGTTCCAGTCTCCTGCTTTTTATCTCAACTGTTATCCTGCGACGAAATCATACGACTGTGTCACGAAAGCATGAATCCCACATTGTCTCAGAGACGATCGGATATCCGCCAGTCGAGCCGCTTCGCGATTTCGACTGGCAGAAGAAGGAACCAGTCAAGATTCGGCCGTTCAAGCCAAAATACAACATGACAATGAGTAAGTCCGTATATAAAAAGATCAGACAAAAGAATACTAATTCGTCACAGGCATTCAGGAAGCGACCGTTAACGAGCTCATCGAAATGGATAAGAACTACCTCGATCGCATCATGCTACGAAGAAACCTCATCGCCGAACATTCAGATACTGTCCTTGCAGCCGAGGACTCAGTGAAACCCGCAGTAAATGAGTTCTACACCTGGCTGATCGGAACATATCTTCCTACCAGGTTTCCGAGCATGTTCCAGCTACGATTATCTCCCAGTGGCGAGCCGTCCACTCTATACAATACAGTCACCGATGAGGAACTGCCAGTTTCTCCCGGGGAGGAACCCACAGAGACGCTACGCGTTCTAGGCGGCCTAATCGATGACGATATCCTGTTCCTCATGCCATCTGAAGATGGCGATGGCTTTACTCTTAAGGGATTTGTAACGTGCTTCCCGAATGGCTTTAACACAGCGAAGAAACTCAATATGAAGCTTCGCGATATCCATAGGCCGGTCCCGAATTACAAGGAGAAGCTGGAGAAGAGTATGGATCGGTATTTTCAGAGGCTGCAACCTGGGAAATTTGTTAAGCGAGCCAACGTGAGTGTTCTTCATGATAATCATGGGCAGGACTGACGGGTCACTAGTGGACCATCACAACGACAAACCAACTCTTCACCGCATCGGGTAACCATCTTTACGAGGGTGAGGAACTCCCACAAGAGCATTTGGACATTAATCTGGTAAATACGCCTCAGCGCCCGTATCCCGTGAGCTAGGTCCTGACACGATGACAGGCTCGCGTCCGTGTCGAACGTCAATTCCTCCACCGGTTGGCCGAAAGCCGGGCAATCATATTCTCATTCAAGACCTTGCTCTACACATTACCAGAAATCAAGGAGGAAGGGCTTGGTGAGGCACTCGCCGAAGCAATCGATGGATTGAAGCAGGGAAATGCGCCCGGTTTCCATTTTTATAAGCGGGCTGCTGTTTGGGGTGAGTCTGCGAAGGCTTATCTGCGAGGTGCATGAGTCTGCATCGGGGACGTATTGTCAGACAGACCATTTCTGAACAAGGCGGAATATGAGACAGTCGTGTAGAGACCCTGCAGATGGTTATGTGTCTATGATAATGTACACGGCTAAGCCTTCTTGCGAGATTGCAGTGGACGTTCATGAGCTTATATCTACGCTCCTTCGGTAATATCTTTGAATAATCGGACTGGATTTCTAGAAAGCTGAGAGAAATGATAAGATCAAATTCATTAAGCCCGATGTGTGATCGACTATAGCCCTTGCTGCCTATGAGATCGACATGCTGCTCGCCGAAGTACAAATCACTTTTCCATGCGAAAGACCAAAATATGTATCGCAACCAAAATGCGACACACTACTACACGAGTGTCACGTGGTAGTGTAGTAACCACAAGACTCAATTCAACCACAAGTCCTTTCTAATGCATCAACGTCTTCTCCTGTGATCTTTCACAGATGACCTTTCAAAGGTCTATGACAGCCCGTATTGAAAGACGCAATTCAGATTCCACCCACAGAAGCATGGCAAAGCCGAGAACCACTCGCGGCGAACGCAACAAAACCAGCCAAAACCACAACGCCAAAAGCAATTCACTCACAGCACTAGTGCAAATTGATCTATCATCTCACACCTATGTTCCAACCAACTGGCGCAGTAACACGCCCTTCAGCTCGCGACAATCCCCAGCCGCCCTGTGAACAAGGGAGGTGATACCCACCCGCGCGACTTCCTGCCAACGCCCGCAACAATCCTTCGGCACTTGCACCCCCGACAAGAAGCCGAGATCATCGAAGTGGGGAGAGTTGTTGAAGTCAAAGCTGGCCTAGTGCAGAATCGTAAGTAGCGAGTCCCACATGGGGCCTGCCAGCGAACGAGGCCCTCTCCACCCCCGCAAGTACGACGGGGAGGAAGCCCCACTAAAACGAAACTGCAGGGCGGGAAATGAGGCTGGGTAGTACTGAGCTAGCTTGTCGCGGTTTTGAATTGCTGTCAGAGTCCCTTATTGATGGATTATCAGGACTGTGTCAGCCTGTGGCCAATTCCGCAGCTCTCCAATGAATTTCAGACCGTCCGTCTTAAATTCGTCCCCGAGGTATTACTGCTTTATACGAGGCGTTACAAAGATATCTTTGGACCAACTCCCCCCTTGCTGCGAATCTGACATTTGTTGCCTTGATTTCCTCTATGGTACCGGTCCCGAACGGAGATCAAGAGCTTGAAGGATGCGCAACGACAAGGAGGAACACGTCCCGGGTGATGGATTCTCTGATCCGGGAAAGCCACGTCTTGATCTCGAAGCTCTCGGCGAGCGCGAGGGCTATGTCTTGAACGATACTACACTCGTCCATGATCGAGGATTAAAGACGACGCCGGATGGGCAGACGATTCTGATCCCCCAGCCCAGCGACTCACCGAATGATCCGCTGAACTGGACACCTTTTCGAAAGCATTTGATTCTGATTATTATTTCTTGTACGGCTTTTTTGCCTGATTATGGAAGTGCGACGGGGGCTGTTACTTTGGTGCCGCAGGGAGAGTGAGTTTTCTTTTTTCTTTTGAGTTATTTGCTCGGCCTGTTGTGTGATGTGCTGAAATCTGCTAGGGAATGGAATTTGGATCCTAATGTGGTGAACCACTCGCAAGTCGGGAATGTCTTTATGCTCGGTGCGGCGGGTCCGATTATTGTTGCGCTCTCGGCGTATTTTGGTCGATTTCCTGTTCTATTCTGGTGGGCGTTGCTGGCTGTTGCGACTGCTATCTGGTGTGCCGGGGCTCAGAGCTTTGAATCATTTATGGTTTGTATCTCCATCAGATAGAAGATTCGGACGCTAATATTGACAGGCTGCTCGAATCCTAAACGGATTCTTCTCAACCGTCACTCAAGGCGTAAGTTGATACCTCCCTATCACTAATCCAGAAACTAACTAATGATATAAGGGAGGCCTAATGTTCATCAAAGACATGTTCTTCCTGCACGAACACGCGCGCAAAATCAACATCTGGTCCGGCTTCATCATCCTCTCCCCATACATGGGTCCACTCCTGGGGTCCTTCATCGTAAACACCCAAATCTGGCAGTGGGCATTCGGTCTCTACGCAATCGAAACCGGCCTCTGCCTAATCGCAATTATGATCTTCGTGGACGAGACGTACTACGATCGTCGAACTGGACAGTCTGAACTTGTACCGAATGGACCGCGCTGGCAGCGTATGTTGGGCATTCAGCAGTATCACTCGAGGTATCTTCAGAATACTTTCAGGGAAGCTGCGATGCGTCCGATTACCATTATCTGCAAGCCTGTTGTGTTTATTGCTGCTTTCTCGTATCTTTTGATGTTTGCCTGGGTTGTTGGTATTAATACGACGCTGTCGATTTTCCTGGCGCCTGTTTATGGGTTTGGAGCGAAGGCTGTTGGTGAGTTTGTTCTGCAGTAGACTCTACCACTCAACAAATTGCTTACTTACAGCGTGAAATAGGCTTCTTCTACTTCACCCCCGTCGTTGCAGCAATCCTTGGCGAGGTAGCAGGGCACTGGCTACACGATCTCATCGCAAAAATCTACACAGCCCGACACAGTGGCCGCTTTGAGCCCGAAGCCCGTCTCTACGCAATCTGGTTCGCAATGCCATTCATGATACCCGGCCTGATCCTGATGGGCTTTGCATTGGAGCGGGAATACCACTACATGCTCTCTGCGCTGGGATGGGGGCTGTATGTCTTCGGCATCATGATCGTTACCGTGGCGATCAATTCGTATGTCTTGGATAGTTACCCCGAGGCTAGTGGGGAGGTTGCTTCTTGGGTTAATTTCGGAAGGACGACGGGTGGCTTTATCGTTTCGTATTTCATGGTTGAGTGGGCTGAGAAAGAGGGGACTATCCGGCAGATGGGGACCATGTGTGGAATTGTGGGCGCAGCGTTTTTTATAATTCTGGCTTTGCAGTATTATGGGAAGACGTTGCGGATTTGGGCTGGGCCGGCGAGGTTTAAGACTGCTTGAGAGAAGCTGGGGTACTTTCACAGTGTATGTCTGTTGGCAATGTGGTGCTGGATAGAGGGCTAACGATGGAGCAAGAGACAATTTTTGATTAAAACCTTTTGAGAAGGGAAGATTATGTGAGATGGAGTGACGGGAAAATATTGCAATGCCATTTTCAATCATATCTCTTCATACAGAAGTTTGGTCATTTTCATTGTGGCTCTAGGAGCCAGTATGTACAGGAACGTGAAAGAAGCAAACCAAACGCCAATGAAATCAGAAAACGCTATGCGGACATGGAAATTCTCAATTAAATGTCAGCAAAGGAGCGCTCTCAAGAGAAATTCGGATTCATCGTCAAAACAAAGGCTGCTGCTGTTGCTGCTGCGAACCCACGGGGTCACTCATAGTCGATAGTATCTGGTTGTTCCAGACAAAGTCACCGAAGGTGAGAACAGCCTCAAAGATCTCCTTGCCAGTGGGGACAATGTGCTCGGATGGGAGAAGGAATCCATAGCTGCCACGGTCGCGCAACTTGATCTGGTAGGAATACTTGACATGCAGGTTGTGGTAGAACCAGTCCAAGGCGCTTCCGCCAGAGCTCATGCTAGCAGCTTCTCCGTTAGGGAGAATACCTTCACAGGCAGACGTTACGTCGTATTGTTCTCGGCTGGTCATCCGAATGGCCTTGGCCAATCCCAGAGCCAACTCTTCGAGGCTTTCCAGGGTTGGCGGAACGGAGGAACAGGTGTAGGAGTAAGGGTAAAGGATCTGCTGGGAGTAAGAGTGCAAATCCAAGAATCCCACAATATTCGCTCGTCCACTGTCTGTCTCGTTCTTTGCCCACTCCGCGAGGCGTTGGGACTCGTATGCTTCAAAGGGCTCGGCACCGGCATAATTCTCCGAGCAAGGGTTGGAGCGGGTAGATTCGCCATCCCATTCAAAGTCCCAGGCGCGGTCGAGGTCGACTCCTGGGCAAATTGACAGCCCTGTTGGCTGGCGGTTCTTGCGCCAGAGGCGATCCGTTTCCCACGAATAGGCATAGCCATCGGGATTGAGGGTGGGGATTAAAACCCAATCGTACTCTTGAAGAATACGGCTGACGGCTGCCGACTGGCCGTACTGAGTGATGAGGTTGTAGGCGACATATGTCACTGTAGAGGTACTGATCCACTCCCGAGCGTGGAGTCCCCCAATCATAACGATAGTCTGGCGCGGACCAGCAGTCTCGTGCTGTTCCCGAGGAGCCCCGAGTCGCAGCGCGGGAATTTCACGCCCTTCGTAGGTGAGGCCAATACTCGTGTAGCGAGCGTGGGACGAGAACATTGACGCCATCAGGCGCATCCATTGCACAATGATGGACAGAGGCTGATATTCCCGGAAGAAGACATCCTCAACTTGAGCCATCCGATTATGACCAGCTCCAATCCCAGAGTCTGGGTTCAAGGTATGATAATGATGTCTCGGGTATGTGGCGTAGATCATGTCGACAAGATCATCCATGAGGGGGCGTGGGCTGTACGGAGGGACGAAGGCAGCAGGTCGAGCAGTGGGGAGATCTGTTTCGATAACTAGTGATTAAAAGTCCATCCGGACAAATAATCTGAAGGGACGGAAGGAGACTTACCATGCTGTCTGCCAGTCGAATGTCTACATATTCCGCCGTGATGGCCCAGACGTCCAACACCAAGACTCTGGATGCCGCGGCCAAGGCCTCTGCCTCCTCCGGTTGCCGCACTTGGAACCGGAGCACCACATCGCTCTCGTAGCGATCTCGGACATTGGACGGCGGGTTGACATGTTTGGGACAAGAGTGCGAATGCTGAATCCCCCAGACGGATTCAATCACCCAGTCACGGAGCCGGGTCCACGGGCGCCGTGGGACAGAGGGCTGGGAGAGAAACTGGACGGGCTGCAGCGGTGGCGGCGGAGCGATGCTGGATCCCGCAGGCACGGCCACAGCGAAAGGAACGCTGGAGAGGACCAACAAGGCCGGAAGTAACCGCATGGCGACGGGAGGAGAGTAGTTGCAAGCCTCAGGTGAAGTTGCAGTTGCGTCAAGTGTGGAGACGGCGGAGGTGCCGATAGACGATAAGCGCTCGCCGGCACCTTAGTCAAATGTATACTGCCGTTCGTCAAGTGGTCATGAGTAGTAGTTTAGAGGGTACTGGCGAGGGAAAATTGAAAAAGTTCATGATGAAAATATTCTAAGCTAATTGAAACAAGGTGTCCCAAGGTAGTGCTGGAATTGCTCTACCGGTAAAAATATTGTGATCTGGCACTGTTTATTTCGTCAAAATCCACCGACCATCAAACCAATGAAGGCGAAATAATTACTGCCGGTGATTTTGATACCTATCGAGCAAAGAAACTCATCTAAATCGTTCGTGACCCTAGAGTAGTCAGTCCACTGTAACCGGGGATGGCTGGCTATATATAGGACTGCCGGTCTAGAACTCCCTTGGCGCTGGGACGCTCAGGTCGCCTCGAACTCGTCTGCCTTACCGCACGCAGCCCCTCAACGGCAACTGTCAACTGTCACACTCTCTTCAGCAAAGCCCGCCGCTGTTCCTCGTCGAGCAGTCCAGACCCTCAACTACCGCGTGGCCTTGAGTGGCGCGTTACCTGTCCCGCGTTCCCCTTTTTCGCGAGCTGACGACACTCCACTTCCCCCCAAATCCCACCGCGTTCTGGAATCCTTGACCTCCACGTCGCCATGTTCCACCATTGAAGACCCGCCACACCATCTCGATTTCCATAAAGGCGCTGGCACTGCATGGGTCGGCTCGCTCTACTGCCTCGCAGCCATGCACTGGAAAGGCCTGCGGCTGGTCGCCGACAGCAGCTCCAAGCGCCAGAGCACCATCGATCCTCATGCCCACCTCCAACCCCAGGCCCGCCGCAGTGAACACCTCCCACGTCCCTCCCCGCCGGCCACCGAACCCAGATACTCCGAATCGACCCCTCGCTCGCCGGGTCTCGTACCGTCCAGCGAAAATCCTGAACTTGCAGGTCCCAGCAATGCTGCGCGGGGGCTTCAGCTCCCTGGCGAACAGGGGCCGGCCCTGGACCATAGGGTCGCCCGCACCGACTTCGCGGGCTCGGCGGGCGATACCCCGAGTTTGCGGAGGAATCGGTTTAGCTTCATGAGACTTCGTCACGCCTCCGATCCTCAGCTCTCCAAGAGTTATGCAAAGGCCGAGGAAGCTCCCCCCGTCCCGTCCCTGCCACCCCCCAAGATCATCACCACCGCCCCGACCAGCAATGAACTAGACCAACCGGTAAAGCAACGAAACAAATTCAGCCTTCGACCGTCCTCACGCAAACATTCGATGGAGAACCTCTCCCGGAGTTCAGCGGAGCAATCGAGAACAAGACTCGATCGCAAGAATCAGGGATCAACCGACTCCCAGATCGGGGATTCGAGCCTCTCCACCTTTCAATCGGCCACCGAGGTACCAGAGCGACTCTCAATAAACTCGCGGTATGGAAGTCGAGAACTGGAGTCACACCGAGTTTCCACGGCCGTGGAACCTCGATACTCCGAGTCGTCGCGGTCAGACCAGAGCTATGGAGACCAGGCGGCGACCTACCGTACCTATCCACTGCGCGATAATCAGAGGCAGGGGCTTCACGCGACTACGTCGAACACGAATACCAAACGATTCCGCCTCCCCCGCCTGAAGCGCAACCGCAGTCCTTTATTCCCTCTACCTCCTAAACCCGTCCCCAATCGTGCCCTCGACGCCGCGCCCAAGTTCCCCGCAGCAGACACGCCCAAGTCCGACGGCTCGGATGATCACGACCAAGTCTCGCCGCTTCCCTCGCCTTCTCGTTCCTCCGTGGGGTTGGCGTCCTCAGTCCCTCCGCAATTGTTCCGCCACGACTCGACGAACTCGGCTCGCTCCGTCCGGTCTACCCCCTCTCACCAGGGACGTGGCCGATCTTCTACCATGGGGTCTGTGGCTGAGAATCAGGACGATCTATCTCCAGTTCCCAACCTGGCATCATCCGGCCGTACCTCGACCTCGACCAGCGGGCGCAAGAGTTTCGGAGATCTATTCAATATTTCTCAGCGATTACGCCAAAACTCTGAACCTCCATTCCCTCGCAACGGCTCTCCAGGACTTGGCGGATCGGCGACCCCGGTCTCAAAGCCAGACCTGCACCCGGTGCCCCCACGGGAAGAAAACGATACGCCCGCAAGCTACCTCACAAAGCTGGAGGAAAACCTCCCCAAGGGAATGATTGCTGGTGTCCTTGCTCAGTCGGATCAAGATTTCTACAGGGTCGGGCTGCGGAAGTATATGCGAGGTTTCCACTACTTTGGAGACCCCATTGACATGTCTATCCGCAAGCTTTTGATGGAAGTGGAACTGCCAAAAGAAACTCAGCAGATCGACCGCTTCTTGCAGGCTTTTGCCGACCGATACCACGAGTGCAACCCGGGTATCTTTGCATCCACTGGTAATTTTCCTCCATATCTCAATCACGCGGTATTCGCTAACCATTGATTACTTTGAAACAGACCAGGCATATTTCATTGCTTTCTCCATCTTGATCCTGCACACAGATGTTTTCAACAAAAACAACAAGAGGAAGATGCAAAAGCCCGATTATGTGAAAAATACCCGTGGAGAAGGCATCTCTGACGACATTCTCGAATGCTTTTACGAGAACATTTCATACACCCCGTTCATCCACGTCGAAGATGCAGACTTGCGCGATCGCACCCTCGCCAAGCCCCGTCGGGCTCTTTTTAAAACAGCCAGCTCTGAGCATCTGTCCCGGATGTCAAGAGAGCCTGTGGATCCATACGCGCTGATTTTGGAAAACAAACTCGGCTCTTTGCGACCTAGCTTGAAAGATGTGATGGATCTCGACGATACGTACAATCATGTTGGAACCAATGGCTGCGCAGATATCAACGACCTTCATCAGGCTTTTACCAAGTCGGGAATTTTGCAGATCGTATCTGCTCGTTCTCGGCCTGATGCTTTCATGCAAGGAGGGTTAGCCAATTCCGCAGACTCGAATCCTGGATTAGTCGATATCAAAGTCGCCAAAGTTGGTCTGCTCTGGCGCAAGGACCCCAAGAAGAAGAGAGCTAGATCCCCGTGGGCAGAATGGGGCGCGGTTTTGACCTTTTCGCAACTTTACTTCTTCCGAAACGTCAACTGGGTCCGGAACCTGATGGCTCAGAACGATGCGTATGTAAAAGGCGGGCGGAAGGGAACTCTCGTGTTTCGCCCTCCTCTGACCGAGTTCAAACCCGATGGCATCATGTCTACCAACGACGCCGTGGCGCTTCTGGACTCTAGCTATAAGAAGCACAAGTATGCGTTCTCATTTGTTCGACACAACTCCCTGGAAGAGATTTTCCTTGCCCAGTCCGAACCTGAGATGAACGACTGGATTGCGAAACTCAATTATGCTGCAGCCTTCCGAACCACCGGTGTGCGTACTAAAGGTATGATCGCTACCAACTACGAGGGCCAACGGTATCGAAAGAGCCAGCGAATGAACTCGATCTCCTCAGAGCAATCACACCAGTCTCATTCCACCGACAAGGAGCCACCTTCGCCCAGCATTGACAATGACATTGTCGCAGAGATCGTTGCGGCTCGCCGTGAATTGATGAACCACAAGATTCGGGAGACGAACGAAAAGCTCTTTGTCACGCAGAGACAGCTCGATGACCTTCTCCGCAATGCACGTCACCTTCAGATCCTGACGCCTGTCCATGCACGTGCCCGCGAGGGGGTTATCATGGCGGCAGGCCGCATGTCTGCCAAGCTCAAGTGGGTCAGACAAGACATTTGGCGCAACAAATGCTACAGAGAAGTACTCCTTCGGGACCTCGGAGAAGACGAGAGCATCGTTCCGGAGCGAGCAGCATCTGTTTCTGATCAACCGTCGGTCTCGCTTCCTGCGCGGATGCCTTCTGTCTCTGGACCGTCGGTGATTTCTGAACCCAGCGTTCAACAGGCACCTAGCATTGTCCATACCGCATCTAGCCATGACACGGAGGAGCTAGCCACAGCCGCTGTTGACAGACTTCTCGACGCTGCTCTTCTGAAGCAGCCTTCCACTGAGGATATGCGCCGCCCAAGCATTCCAGGATCGACCACCTCATCCGATATTGCTCGTGTGGGACGACCTCTGTCGATCGCCATGGCCTCCGATCATGGTAAAAATTCCGACTCAGACGTGCAGCTTCAACGGGAGGCCTCTGTGCTCAGTCGGGGTAGCCGATTCGATGGTGCCAGTCTGGGATCTCGAGGCTCGAAGCTCACTTCCCCTGCCAGTTACGATGATGGCGAGGAGCGTTTGTTGCGGGAGACAGGACTCTTGGACCTCAGCGGCTCACCTCCGCCTCGCAAACCGACTACGGTGCCGGAAACAGAGAGCGAAAGCAAACCAGAAGACCCGTCAGAAGTCGCCCAGGGTGATAAACCGAGCCGTGTCCGCCGCAGTCTGCATCGCTCCCTACGCGAGCCTCACCTACACGTGCATCGCCATCATTCCCACACCCGCGGCAAGAAGAACCGTGGCTCTGTAGGCAGCATCGGGCCGCTGTCAGACGAAGAGACCGGTCAAGAAGGTGGCGGTCTTTCGCGAAAGACCCCAAGTTTCACTGTTCATGGCAAGAAGGCCTCGATTGTCACATTCGGATCTGAATGGCAGAACATGTCTCCCGAGGAACGTCTCAAACTGCGCAAGCCTACTCCTCATGACGAACCACGAGCCTCCGAACCCAACATGGTGGCCAGTGGCGAGTCGGTGACCTCTGACAGTGCTCCGGGTGGCCGTCCTCTATCCTTCCGCAGTGTCAGCACGACAACAGGAATCAGCATGCGGAGTGACGACGAGCCCGTTGACTTTTTCAAAGACGCACACGAAAACTTGCCCCGACCTTCCACCGAGGTTGACGTCGATTTAGCTCCAGACCAAGTCGACCCTGACAATACGCCGCGGCCCAGCTCTGGAGCTCCAGTCTACAGCAGCCACCTGGCCGCGCCGACCGACACGCCCTCTCCATCCTCGACCTCCCTCGGCGAGCCCCCGTCGTCCGAGAACCTCCGCCAGCAAGCCGTAGGCGCCTAAATCGACCAACTCCTTCTTTTCCTCCCCCACCCCTTCTTTCTTCTTTTCCATCACCATATCACTCAAACCTTGAACACAACTGTACAGCCCCGAAATCTCTTTGATCTGCTGTTTTTTTTACGACAATTATACCCCCAATTTTAACTCCTCTTTTCCGTTGGGCCCTTTGCATTGCACCAAGGCTGGAACTGGCTGATCTCGGGTTGTTTTTTTTTTCCTTTCTCGCGGTTTCGGTCCGGGTATGGGTTATCTGTGGCAAGCATTAAAGCATGGGAAAGCATGGTGTGACACGATTTTATTCTGTTTTCTTGCGTGTGTCTTTTCTCTTGTGGGATTAGGATGCGGAATGAGGATAGTCGGTATTTCTTTCGCCGTTGCCCGTGTTTCGGCCTCCAGTCTCTAGGTCATGTTATTCCCGCTAGGATTAGGCTGTTAGACAAAAAAAGCTTATGATCTATCAATCTTGAGTCGTAACAGTGGACTGTACAGTATCTTTCTCAGATGTACTGCGTAGGGTAGCGACGATGATGTATACCGTCTTAGAAAAGCAGGCGGTCAGGCCAAAGTCAATGCATGGCCATTCTGCCGCCCGCCCCACTGGAGCTCCGCCGTCCGGATTCAAATCGATCTTCTCGAAACTCCGTCATCAATTAATTCCCCTTTCCAACACCTCACCCACAATGGCGCACTCAAAGCGCAACACCTCGCTCCCCCACTTCACCTCCTACGAAAGAAGCCTCCTCCGCAATTCATGGGGCACAAAGCGCAGCGTGATCGGTCGCGACTCGTTCCTCCCATTCGCCTCCTGCAAACTATGCCTGCAACCCGCGCGCTTGCCCGTCGTCTCCTGCCCGACGAACGGCGACCTCTTCTGTCGCGAATGCGCCATCAACGACCTCGTCGAACAGCGGCAGGAAATCAAGCGCCTCGAGCGCGAGCGAGACGAGGCGAAGAAGCGCCTTGCGGAAGAAGAGGAGCGGACGCTGGAGGAAGCAAGACAGAAGGATTTACATGAGTTCGAGCTTATTTCGATGGGGCTAGAGGCTGTGGTGAAGGGGGATGGGAAGAAGCGGAAAGCGGAGGATGAGGCTGCGCTGGCGAGGTTTAAGGCAAGGGAGATTGAGGTTGGTGGGGAGAGGAAGAAGGTTTTTGAGATGAGTGAGAAAGAGATGGCGGATGTTGTGAGGAGTGAGAAGGAGAGGTTGAAGGAGGACTTGAAGGAGAAGAAGGTGAGTCTTTTGAATGCTTTGATGGGCTTCTATCTTCGTCTGTGGTTGGGTTAAGTTCAAGTGTAACATGCTCATTCGCCGTGTTCAGTTTAAGGACAGCAAGTCCGAGTTACCGTCTTTCTGGGTCCCGTCTCTTACGCCTGGTACCGACCCCAACGAAATTGCTGCGAATATGGAGATCAAATTGGCGCCTATTTGCCCCGGGTCATCGGAGACGCACCGACATGAGTATTCCCTCAAGACGCTGGTTGAGGTGCATTTTACGGAAGAGAAGACGGCGGATGGAACAGTTTCGAGAGTTTGTCCCAGCTGCAAGAAGAACCTCAGCAATGGACTGAAGGCAATGCGTATGTGCCGCCACTAATGTATTCGATCATCCGAGCATCTGTGTTAATTCCCAGCAGTCACGAAACCCTGCGGCCATGTTATTTGCCAACCATGTGTCACCAAGTTCATGACACCTCACGACGTGATGGACCCCCACGCCACTAGAGAAGAACAAGCTAAGCACGGGCTGGTCCTGTGCTATGTTTGCGAGACAGATATTACGCCTCGCGGGCCGGGCGCTGAGAAGGCTGATGCGGATGACGGCGAGGATAGGAAGTCCAAGAAGAAGAAGAAGAAGGAGAAGACCGCCACTCGACCGGGACTGGTCGAGATTAACTCGGAGGGTACTGGATTTGCTGGCGGTGGTGGAAATGTGGCTACAAAGGCTGGCGTGGCCTTCCAGTGCTAAATCTGTGCTGAACTGTGCCTGGTCCTGTACAATAGTTCGATGAATACCCTTATGCCAGAAATACCCAATTCAATCGCCTTTGTGGAGATTGCCACTACAACGCCCCCTTTCAGGTACTATCTACTAGCACTCCAGCGTCTGCATTCCAAAGGAGCCAACGCACATGGTAGAGATAGCATCTCAACAGCACCAAATCCGGAGTCCCCTACCAGTGGCTTGCACCTCTACCACTCTTGAGAGCCATGCAACCATGATTCACTTCATGATTGGAAATATTTGGTCTATACTGTTGTTGCTCGGTAATTCGATTAAAGTGCCCCGTATATCTTCAACAGCCGAAATTGGAAGTTGGCGGTAGTGGGTCCATCTTACTTCTTGCGGCACCCAATCAACATCCAGTGGCCATTAGTGCTTAGAACAAGACGCACTACAGGAAACGAAACCCCAAGAGATGACGGCTAACACTGCGCCCTTTGCACTCAAATAGGATCTAGATGGAGATGAACGGGTGTTCAATTCGAGGGCATCAAGTACCGCGATTGGTCCGACCATACAAGCGTGCCAAAGATCCCGCATCCATTGCCACGGGACAATGTCCGTAGTATTATGACGTAGAAACTACTTGGGCTATATAAGTCACTGCGTATCTTCAAGAGGCGTGAATTTTTTTTTTTTTTTTTTCTTCCTAATCTAATCACATATTGTCCCATCAACGACTTCGATACTTGACCAAGAATGGCCTCTGATCCCTTCGGCTTCACCCCCGTCTCCTCCTCAGCCCTCGAGCTACTCGCATCCGCAAAACAAACCTCCCCAGCACCATTTATCCCAGCCTCAGCAACCCCTATTCCCGACACGCCTGTGGCCCGACGCATCAACGAGTACGCAAAATCCCAACTGCCCATTCCAACCTACAACCACTCCCTCCGCGTCTATCACTATGGACTGGCAATAAAGTCATACATGTTCCCCTCGTGGACCTTCACTGACGAAACCTATTTCCTCGCCTGTCTTCTGCACGATATTGGGACTACGGAAGAAAATCTCAAAGCCACCAAAATGAGCTTCGAGTTCTATGGTGGTCTTTTGGCGTTGGATGTTCTGCAGAAGTCTGGGAGCTCGACGCCCGAGGCAGCGGCCCCAAAGGATCAAGCAGAGAGTGTTGCCGAGGCCATTATTCGACATCAGGATCTGTGTGAGGTGGGAAAGATTACGGCTGTGGGACAGCTTTTGCAGCTTGCAACTATTTTTGGTGAGTTCTTGCTATGGTTTTAGTGGAGGATGGTCATCATCTGCGAACTGGGAGCTAACAAGTCATAGACAATGCTGGCGCATATTCCGACTGCGTGCACCCCTCAACCATCGAGGATGTTACCACCTGCTTTCCGCGCATGAAATGGAGTCACTGCTTCGCTGCCACAATTCATAGGGAAAATGAGTTGAAGCCGTGGTCGCACACTACTACCCTTGGTGAAGATGCTTTTCCTGCTAAAGTGCTTGGGAATAAGTTGATGGAACCATTTGAGTAGAAGTATTATATAGGAGTTCTATAGTCTAGAAGTGAGATGGAAATGTGATTCTTCATATTGGTATGACATTTGTGGAATGTACATGCGCGCAATGATCTTTGGTTTTTCCTCGCGCTCAAATCTCAGCACTGTCCCAAAGTCGAGTACTGACAGAAGCCATATGGCGCTCATCACCGTCGAGTAGCTCTACATAATTTCCAGTTAACCTTGGTGTTTGGAGTATTGCTGGAGTCGTGAAGTAGGCAGCAGCTGTGGGCACGATTAGGATCACGTGCTCTTCCAAGGTTAGTAAATAGTTTTATCCTCCCTCTTCTCGTCTTCTCTGCTTCCTGGTTCAGTTTGCGTCTCACTGTCAGAACCGACATTTTAATTTGGCACCTTTCTCGTTGGTGTTCTCCATACTGGCTATAGCGCACAGCTCGATCTGCCTCGAAAGATTCACAGGTTAACCCACCGGTCTCGACAGAAGGTTCCGAGTTCAACGTCATAGATCAGCAGCCCTTCTCTTCTCCTCTCTTCAGTTTCAGATTCTGTCTCAAAAAGCCTCGATTCGCGTCTGCATCCTCGTCTCCGTTCATGCTCAGACCTGCTCTCTTTTCTCGGCCAACGAGCCTTGAGATCTTCCAAGTTGCCAGGTTACTACGAGCCCAATGCACATCCCCACAATTAAAGCACACGACATTGAAAGCTCCGTTAATGATCACTGCAAACGCACTGAAACATGGCTGACCTGATGAGAATTCTGCCTGCCTGGACCTCCTGACGGAGCCAGTGGTGGTGTATATCGACGTGACGTAGCTTCGCGCCGATCTGAGGACAACGAAGCCGTCACTCTCTTTAGTGATGCCTCGTTCGCTGATAACACTGACCGGAAGAGCTCGGAGGGATATATATGCACCATTTTCGGAGGACCAGTTGACTGGAGAGCTGACAAACAGCGTACAGTGACTACCAGCACTACCGAAGCGGAGCTACTGGCGATCTCTGAGGCTGCAAGGAATATGAGCATGTGGAAACGTCTCTTTGAATCTATTCGCTTTGATCCAAAGCACGAGCTTGCTATCCGATGTGATAACCAGCAGACGATCCGGCCTCTCACTAAGGAAGCTCCTCAGCTGCGCACGAAGCTACGTCACGTCGATATACACCACCACTGGCTCCGTTAGGAGGTCCAGGCAGGCAGAATTCTCATCAGATGGAGCGAAACGAAAGATATGGCTGCGGATGGGCTCACCAAGCTACTGCCGCGTCAAAAGCACGCAGAATGCGTTCAATTGATGGGCATGGAGGATACTGGAAACCTGCTAGATTAGCAGAGGATTTTTGGAGATTGTGCGAACGCTGAGGGGTGTGACAAAATGAGGGGGTGGTCAAATACCACTAGGACACTTTGGGAAAGGCTTATTCATCGTTCGCCCAATTTGCCTTCAATGTGTTTACACAACATACCACAGTTCAACAAGGGAGACCCCTGAGATCGCTCAACCGATCTCAGCAACCTTCTATCCATGATCTTATTCTGTTTGGAGATCTTCAGTACTAGCCAATACATCGATTCCTCATCCTGACAGTTATGATACACGTCGACTCGCGACTAATTTTGTCGTACGTTGGGAGTTGGCCAAACTCAGCCCGCTCGTCCATGACAAGATTTCGAGTCCCTTTCTCAGACGAAAACGTCATATATCAATTCGATGGAGCCCACACCTTAGGGCTAGAACTTCAACAGCACCGATGATCCGGAGCATTCCGACCAAATACAATTACGTACCTCCACGCGAAGCTACTAAATATGCGAACAAGCCTAGTTAATTCAATAGTGTCGATTCCAAGCACTAACATCGCAATTCAATCATCCAGACAACACCAATTCACAAAATTGGGTGTCGGCGAAACCCTGAGAGCAGTCTTGGCCCGGGGCTGTCCCTGGATCTTTGTGACGGTGAAAGACATGCTAGCTGCTTTGAGGCTTAGTTTGGTGTTTGGCGGAGACGGAGGCAGCGCCGGACCCTGCCAAGCCGGTAGCGAGTGCTACGGAGGAGATTGCGCGCCAGCAAGCCAGCTTTCAGCCTCATCAAATGGGCTGGTTGTGCTCAATGGCAAGGGTACCTTATGACCGACGAGGTATGATGCGTTTATGCCAGAGTAGCTTGCATGGGGTTGGATTGGAGGTACATTAAACATGGCTGGTCCTCTTGTTGAGACTGGCTTTTGCTGTCTTTTTTTGTACTTCTTCGATCCAGTCTGCACTGGCAGTCAACAACTTCTTTGAACTCAGTCCGTTCTCATAAGAATGACTACCGTCTCCGTCGCCGGCGGCCTCTGGACCTTCCAGAACAACGGCCCCGTCACCACCACCTACACCCCCGACCCAAGCTGCACGGCCACATCCCGACTCTCCCTCGGCACCATCGACTCGGACAACTTCCCCCACGCCTTGTATCAGGTTGACTGTGCGACTACCAAATTCACGGACTGTGTTCCATCCGTCACTGCAACCCCAACGGGCTTATTCAACGAGGATGACTGGGTCGGCGTGGGAAGCTACTACTCGCCGGGTCTGTACTGTCCTTCCGGCTGGGAGGCGATTGCCCAGGCCGCGCGCGATGGCGACAAAGCATACACTACGTCCGGCGCCATGAGCCTTGCTGAGAGCGACCGTATTCCGTACTTTGCTTATGTACCGACTCTGCTGGCGAGCGTTTTGCAGCCTAGTGAGACCGTAGCACTGTGTTGTCCGAGGTATATCCCTCTTCCTTACACTCTGTGTGTATTCTATCTGCATACTAACGGTGTCATTGATTAGTGGCTTCACTGCCGATATCCTCGGCGGCTGCTTCAGTACAGTCCCATCCTACACCCCGACAGGAGGCTGCTACGTCTACGAACACACATACCATAGCTACGGGACGTCTACTTCGGTCTTTACCGAGGATGGCACCATCATGAGCGAGAAATACATTACTGCTACCTCAGACTTCCCGACACATACGACCTATACTACTAGCTGGGCTTCCGATGATGACTTCGCCGGGTTTTATACGCCCATCTCTTATGTTTCCGCCGTTACCCTCATTCATCACGAGTCGGATCTCAAGGTTACTGATACGAGCGAGGTTACGGTCTCGGGTACTGCTAATTCTACTGCTACGGGAACTGCGACTTCGACTTCGACTTCGAATGCTGCTGGGAGATTGGAAGCGAGATCGTCGAGTTGGAATGGGTTCGGTTCTATATTGGATGTTACTGCTGCGGTGGCCTTGCTGGGGGCTGCGATTATTCTGTAAAAAAAGGTGAATTGATATCACTAAAATTTTGATGCAATAAGTCGGCTGCTCCTACCCAAGCGCTGACTTTACAGTTTTAATTGCATTTTCAACCATATTGACCATTTCCAAACACTTCCCGTCTCCTTACTGCCGAATTATAACCTGTAGACCCATCATAAAGTTCTGGTCCCGGATATAGGCCATGGTTGAATTTGTCCTTCGGGCTCATAGGAACGTATCCTTCCTCAGCCCCATCCAACACTGGATCAACACGAGCGACAGAAAACACGGTGGCTGGGTATTCAAACCAGTTCCGTTGGGAAGTATACCCTCAACATTTCACTTGGTCGTGTGGAGGAGCACACCCCGGTCCACCGGACAAAAGATAGCGTCCACCATATGGCCATCCTCCTTGCCGGTTGACAGCCATAGGTCATTGTACATTGCGCGGTAGTTGTTTCGTCTCTTCTTTAACTGGATAGATGTTAGTGTTTTGACCGCCCTCCAATCCACGGACCCAAATGATCTGCAATGGCAGGTGGAGGAAGACCCCGCGTCGGGCCGCATAGCACAGACTCGAGAATGCTCGTGCCGCGAAGCAAGGGAGACGCGATAAATACACGAGGGTATCAAGGCATTTGCATTTGGCCATCTCCATCATCCTGACAGGCGCAGGAATTAATAACATGGCACGCCGCGCTGGCCGGAGCGGATTTGGCCGCCTGCTGCATGCGGGCAACGAGGACCTTGCGAGCACAGAATGCGCAGTCATTGGATAAGCAGGAGGCCGATCAGCCCAACCCGTCTGAACTCCTCCGCGTCGTCTCGGTTCATCTGTGCGGTGCTCCTGCCGCTGCTGTGTTTCCTGCTGTTTCTGCGTGGTTGTTGCGAGAAGACGAAGAGGCGACTGCGTTGACCGCCCGGCATCGAGAAGACTGACATCATCTGCGCTTCTTCCCTCCGCATTCGCTTTCTACCGCACTCGGTATGGCTGCCAACGACCTGCGAGGATGGGTCATGAGCGGCGTCTCGGGCGTCGGTGAGTATCGCCTTGACTTTATGTGCGAACGTGTCTCATTCCTAACCTCTCTTCACGCAGCTTGCGTCCTCGGGTCGGCCGTGATTTGCGTTGACCTGGTGCTGCGGCGGGTCTCGAGCCTGAAGAGCTTCCAGATTGCTAACAGCAACAATTTCCTCTCGGCGTCGCTCTGCCTCAGTGCCGGTGTTATGGTGAGTACCTGTTATCCGTTGCACATTTTCGGGCGAGAGCAATTTCATCGTTAACCATGCGTAGCTTTTCACGTCGCTGTACAGCATGCTGCCCACCTCGAAAGACTACCTCACGCGTGCCGGCTTCTCCCCTTCCGCTTCGGCGTACATTCTCATCGGTCTCTTCCTCGGTGGTGTTATCGTCATCCGGCTTGTCTCGGGCTTTTTGCATCGCTTCATCCCCTCGCATGTGGTGGACTGCGCGCACACCCACGACAGCCCGGAGAATGATCCCGAGCGCGGCGAGAGCCATGTCGGAGGCGAAACGCACCACCACCACCACAGAAATGGCACGAATGGTCACACGGAACAAACGCCTTTACTCCGCCCTCCGAACAGGACACACTCGTTCAAGTCTACCCCGGCGGTGCTGCAGCGGACCGGCGCAGGCTCGGGCAACGTGAAGCGCGAGTCGCTGCAGGCAATGCTCACCAGACGGATTACCTCGCTGGTCGGCGGCGCAAAGGCCCAGTGTGACGAGGATGGTCCTTGCTACGGTTTCTCCCAGACGTGTGGACGCGAGTGCACCAAGATTCAACCTCCGGAGCTGTGCCCGCCAACCATGACTGACGTGAACGAGGTCACCCGCTCGTCGATTGAGCCGCACCACCAGAGCATCAGTGTCCAGCGGAACTCGCAGCGACCTAACGAGGTGGACCCGTTCATGACTACCTCCGACACGGGCTACTACGACGCCATCGCCTCTCAGCACCCTCTGCACCACGGTGTCGGCACCTGTTCTTCGTCACCATCTGAACATACCATTCACCTCGATGTAAACACCCATCACGACCACCATGGCGATTCCCACAACGAGTCCGAAGGCACCCTATCCAAGACAAACGCGGACAGCACACACCACCACCATGTTCCGCAGAACGCCTTTCTGTCCATCGGCCTACAAACCGTCGTCGCAATCGCCCTGCACAAACTTCCGGAGGGTTTCATCACCTACGCAACAAACCACGCAAACCCCACCCTCGGTCTAACCGTCTTCCTCGCCCTGTTCATCCACAACATCGTCGAAGGCTTCGCCATGGCGCTCCCACTGTACCTAGCCCTGAACTCCCGCTGGAAGGCCATGTTCTGGTCCAGCCTGCTGGGCGGAATCAGCCAACCCGCCGGCGCAGGCCTCGCCGCGCTCTGGATCTGGGGCTCCGGCCGCAGCAGCCACGACGCGCATGGTCCTTCGTGGGGCGTGTACGGTGGAATGTTCGCCGCTACGGCTGGCGTGATGACCTCCGTCGCTCTCTCGCTTTTCAGTGAGGGACTGGGTCTGACGCACCAGCGCAGCATGGGGATCGGGTTCGCGATTGCTGGCATGGGTCTTATGGGACTGAGCTTCGCGTTGACGGCTTGATCGCGTCAACGCGAATACACTCCCAGAAATTCTGGACAGACCCTTTTTTTCGTGTCTATTTTTGCATGATCTCGTACCGGTTTGCATACACCAATAAAGGACGGGTATGGCGTTGGGGGTCTTTCTTTTGCACAGGTCGTGGCGTGCTGTGGTTCATGATGGATGTCTTCGCTCGTTAATGTTTTTCACTGACGAAGGTTGACGTCTAGCACTGGAATACATAGTCATAGTCCCTAGACACCTCTTTCTTAATGTGTCTAGCCTGTTGATAAATTTTCTACGAATGATGAAAATGAAATCTTGCAATGGCGCTAATGGGCTTTGGATCTCCTTTCCACCCGGCTATATCCCACTGTAGCATCCTGGATAGTCCTAGATTACCTTCAAGACGTAACAGACCAATTTCATGAAATAGTGGCATTAACTGAACTCAGACTATGGAGATATCATGACAATTTAATCTCCAAACTCACTCTTTAAATCTCAAGCTCCAAAACCAGCACTTCACAATTCAACAACATCACCCGCCCCGATCCATCACTTATCTCTTATTCTCCACTTCACAACGCCTGAACCGAAATCCTCCTCACATGTCCACTCCCATTAACCAAACCAACACCACTGGACTCCCGCAAATGATTCTGATGCAACTGCCCCTCATCCTCAAGATCCTCAATATCAATACTGAACCGTCTAGGCTTCGACCAAACACCAAATGTCTCGCCTCCATGCGCAGCTCCGGCACCCTGGATCTGCTCGGACTGCAGTCCAAAGCGGTCCGTGACCTGCGCGACAAGATCGGTGTGTGCAGAGGCACGCGACGACTTGCCGGTACCAAGGCGGGACTGTGCACGGCGGAGCAGTTCCATGTGTTGCGTTGCGGTGTCTGCTGCGCGAGGGTGATTCTTTGCGTCGGAGTCGCCGAGGAGATCATACAAGACGCCCTCGTGTAGTGCTGCGGCGGATTGGTGGTCGTTTGAGGCTGTGTAGAGACCTGAAAGGAGTTTGGTCATGTCTAGTGTGACGGGGTCGCAGCTACCCCAGACCTGGCGCAGGTTGTAGCAAATATCCCGGCAGAGCTGGATGGCGGAGTCGACGGAACCGCGGCAGAAGCGAGTTTCGACGAGACGGCGGCCGATCCAGACGACGACGTCGGGGGTCCAGGTGCGCTGGACGATTCGTGATGTCCATAGTGAGGTGAGGATTGCTTCCAGGTCGTCGAACAACTCGTATTCGCCCAGGAGGGTGATGATGTCGTTTAGCTGGGTGAATGGGAGATCGACGATCTCGACGCCGATCGACTTGGATGCTGCCATGAGTTCCTGGAGCAGAAGCTTTGATTTGACGGACATCTCGTTGAACATCTTTTCATTCTGGCACCTGGTGGCGCTGTTGCCGCTCAGGTAGAGACACAGCTGGGTGGCTGTGATGATGCTGTCGTAGTTGCTCAGACCGTCGGTCAGATGCAGGAACGAGTGCAGGACGCCGGTGACATCGCTCGCGTCTCTGAAGCGAGAGTTGTTACAGAGATCGCGGACCAAGCTGGTGGTCGTCGTGAGGATGGTCATATTGTAATCGTCGCTGTGGACCTCACGGATGCAGATGCCGTAGAACTGCTTCACGATATCTCTGTCGGCAATATTGGTGGCAGACAAGGTGCTGCAGAAGTACTCGTAAAGCTTGCTGTTGGTGTCCTTTGCAGCACGAGTACGGTTCTGCTGGGTCTGCAGACGAGCCAGGCTGTCTCCAGAGATGAGCGTAGGCACAAAGTCATGTCCGGACAGGTTCTTGGAGAAAGCCTGCTGGGTCTGCATCTCGCGAGCCATTTCGCTCATGATCTGGTTGTAGGTGGCACGTCGGCCGAATGCTTCCTCGAAGGCTGCCACGAAGACCGCGTCGCGGCGATCACCCAGGGCAATGGCGGATGGATCAGATCCATAGACCACGCGGTGACGCAGCTCATCCAGGACGTTGTTGCCGCCATCGATGAAGCCACACTCCAAGTAGATGGCAGCGATCTTGCGAGCCCAGTCGCCCATCATATCGGAATCGCCACCTGCGTGTAGGACGTCCGTCACATAATTGTGAAGAAGAGCGTTGCCCTGCTGCACTGAGGTCGGAGTGCCCTGGCGCGAGTGAGCAAGAGCAAGCTCGCGAAGCCAGGAGAGCGTGGTGGTGGAGAAGAATCCCTGGGTCTTCTTTGCCAGCTGGAACTCTTCGGTATACAAAGAGCGCGCTTCGCTGGTCGAGTCACGCTTGCGAACAAACAGCTGAGCCAGCTTGTGCTTCAGGGTGATGGGCAATGGCTGCGTCATCTGGTCGAGACCCTTTGCGGACTGCGAAGTAGGAACCCATTCGCTGGTTTGCAGGGGCCTCTTGTACAGCGAGATAGCCTCGTCGGTGTATGAGTGGTTGGACTCGCACAGCTCGGCGAACAGCAGGGTCGCGCTTAATGTCTTCTGGTGCGAGGATCCATACACATTCTGGCAGGTCATCAAGTACTCGGACGCCACCTTATAACGCTCCGAGAAGTCAGTGTTCTTGGTGCGTGTTGTCAGAATATGCATGTAGCCCAGGTAAGTCTTTTCGATGAGCTTCTCAGTCTGCATGCGGTCGTAGACACTCATCGTTTCGTGGACAACAAGAGTAGGCCAGACATGGCGGTAGACATCGAGAGCGGAGTCCCATTGCAGCTCCTTTTCGTACAGGACGATAAGTGCAAGAGCGGCTTCCATGCCCTCGGGAGCCATGGTGCTACCACGGAGAGTCGACTTGTAGATGCGCTGGTAGGTGCTCTTGGCTTCATGGCTCATCTCCAGACGACTGGCTAGTGCAGCTTCCAGATACAAGTTCTCAATGGTATGCTTGTGGGTCTCTCCCAGACGAGAAGTCAGGAAGTTGCTGACAGAGTGAAGCAAAGTGAGTGCCTTGGTGAACTGGAAAGTGGTTTCATAGAATTCAACCACTGCCTTGGCAACAGCCAGAACGGAGGGAACTGGAACCCTTTCTGAGGCCACCAGAGATCCAAAGGCGTTCTCGTAGACGATGGTCGCTTGATCCAGGTGCAGTCGGCGGAAGTGGCAGTAAGCCAGAACCAGCGCGAGATCGGCAACAGGGGGCGCCAGCTCGGTTGAGAACTTCTTGTGAGATCCGGTTTGCTCAACGGTAGGCCAGACGTGCTGCAGGACTGCCTTGGAGCATTCGCTGGCCGCGGCCCAATCTTCCTCGCGGACGTAGATACTGGACAGGCTGTGACACAAGATCAGGGTCGACACGTTGATGTTGCTAGATGACGAAGTGATGGAGTCTAGAAGCTCGACCATCAGCTTGCGGTCACGGCTGGACAGAGATTCTTCAATGGAGACGGTGTTGGCCATGCCCTCGGCCAGCAACATCGCCAACGTAGTAGCCTCAGCGGAGTATTCCTGGTTGGTCTCCTTGTAGTAGCGCCACATAAGGATAGACAGCGAACGATCCAGGCTGTACATGTGCATTTCGCGAGTCTCAGTTCGGAGCATCTGCACGCGCTGCATCATCTCCTGTGAGTGAACGCCGGTAACCTCGAGGTCAGCGACCAGCTCGCGGATGATCACCTCGGCCTCATCGTTGCGGCCCTGGCGGCGCAGGAATTGATAATAGACAAGAGCAACATTGGCCTTCTTATCCATCATATCAACAGAGTCGATATCACGAGAGTTGAGACCAGCCCAGAGACTAGACAGTATGCCCTGAGCCTGGGCCTTTTCACCATGTTGCTCATAGAGCTGAGCCATATACAGAGCGTACTTGATGCGACGCTCATCAGTGACTTCCATTGTCCGAACGACATTATCATACTTGGTACGCGCAATATCAAGGCTCATCTCATCACTGCCAGTAGTCGAGAACTGATCAGTCAGGAAGTCGGCAGTGTCGGACGATTGTCGCGAGTTGGAGCCGTACTTCTGCAGGATCTGCTGGTAGAATTGCTTCGAGATGAGAAGAGCAGACTGATTGTCACTGCGAGACTTGTAGGTGCCGACGATCATACCGAGGTACTTGAGACGCTGGTTGAATTCTACACCGGTGATTTCTGAATCGGTCAAGATCAGGTATCTCATGATGTCCTCCTGCTGGGCAGTCATACTGCCTCGATCGGTGAACGACTGGGTCATCATCTCAGCACATGTCAGAGTAATGCTGTCGGACTGTCCCAGAAGCTCCTGGCTGAGTCTCCAGGCATCGTAGCAGTGCTCATCAGCGTGGCTAGCATGAGCCAGCTTGGAAACGCGAGCACTCAGGAGCAGACTCTGCAAGAGCGCCATGGACTTCTCGCCGAGAATTAAGCGGCGAATGTCGGTTGCCAGGCGATACAGCTCAACGACACTGGACCGAGTAAACTGCGATTCCTTGCAGGTCAACTCGAGACGAGCAAAGAGAACGGTCACAGGAAGCAGCTTCTTGAAGCTGGTGCTGAATTGGAACTCGCCCTCATCAGTCACGAGAGGTGAAGACAGAAGATGCGACAGCCAGTAGCGCCCAGTATACTCGAGAACAGTATACTTGTCAAAGAGACGGTTGCGCTCTTCCATACTCAGTTTGTCCATGGAGATTTCAGCCTCTTCGCGGATACTCAGCTGCACCCACGCAAGGCATCTCGTCAGAAGATCATAATGGGCTTCCTTGAGGCTCAGCGGTGATTTGGCACTGGCGGCGCGGGCCTGCTTGATGACGTGGTCGCGGATACAAGTGTGAGCAAAAGACACAACACCACTCTGGGTCATCACCAAAGGGCTGAGAGCCGTGGACCAGCTAGTCTCGCTGCTGCGTGAAGTACGAGGCGTGAATCCAGGAATTTGGTTATCGACAGCCAGGAGCTGCTCGATCTCCTCTACCAGAAGGGGTCTCTCCGCGGCAGCCAGCCACGAGAGGACCGACTTGGTCTCGGCCTGACTGAGATCCAGGCTCTTCATATGGAGATCCAGAAGCTCAGGCATGGATTGTGGTAGACCCTGAACGGACTGCATGGCCTGGCCCAGGCTTCTCTGCTGGCCAGCAAGCGCAACAGCCATCTCGGCCCAGCTGAACGAGCCCTGGGCGCGGTTGACAATCGCAGCCACGACATTTTCAAGCTGAGTGCTCTTCGCGTAGTCGAAGTGGCCGCCAGAAGAGATCCCGCTAGAAGAGATCATCTTGTTGACGTACATCGACAAGTCGGTGCGAGTCTGGGAACTTTGAATCGTGTACTGTCCAATGTTCTTGATGGCCATCTTCGAGCTCAGTGGGCGGGTAAAGGCAATCATTTTCGAGCCAGCATTCTGCTCAGACAGAATGGCCGTGAACTTCTCGAGACAAGAAATAGCATCGGAATCGCCACCCTTGATTTGGTCCAGGCCGTCTATCACGAACATGTACTGGATGTTGGATGCCAGACCGGCGCGAATGCCCTTCCAGAGGTTCTCTTCGACTTCGAGGTCGCCGGCACCATCCATGGCAGCCTGAGCAGCATGGGCAACTTGAACCAGGATGGCTTCCTGGGTACGCCTGTCGCTGACACAGTGGTCGAGCATTTGGTGCAGGACTCCCTTCAGGATACGCAAAGGCAGTGTTGCGACAGGAATATCAGCACCTATAGGATTAAGTTTAGTTAGACCAAGAGCTTGACGGATTTGATGGGGTTCACTCACGAATATTGTACGGAATCACGTTCCAGTTATCATGCTCGGCAGATTCCTGCAGACGCTCCACAGTCCACTGGGACATGGCACTCTTTCCGGTACCCGGTCCACCTGTCATGAGCATGACAGGGGATTTGCCGACTGTAAAGTCATACAGAGTATTATTGAACCACTCGAAAGATCCCTCAACAAGAGTGTGTGTACGAGAATCCAGAATAAACTGCAGAGGACGGTCCTGCACACCCAGGAACTGGCGAAGGCTGCCAAGATCTGCGCTCGAGTAGATCAGCGAGCTGTTCAGAACCACCTTGGAAGTAGCGGCCTCGACGATAGCGTTCCAGTGGGTCGAATAGCGCCTGGCGTAGGTCACGAAGCCCGAGTCAACGTTGTGACCAGTAACCTGCTCGGACTCCTTGCTCTTGAATCCTTCGATGCAGCTGGAAGAGGTGGTGCAGACCATCTCTAGCAGGTCAGCGAAGACAGCAGCGGCCTCTGGCTGGAGTTCCGGAGACGACTTGTACGCAGTCTCATACTGGAGAAGCAGGTGAAGTCCAACGGCAACGCGACCATATCTGCCAAAGATGCTTTCGAACAGATCGGTGTTGTCGATATCAGACTGGGTTAGAGTGTCAGTATTTTCCTTCTTGTGTCGTCATGAAATACATTTACTTACCTCCAAAAGCAGAATCAAGAATCCCCAGATCAGCTTAGCTGCCTCGTTGGCGCCAGGTGCAAAAGTTCCGATGGACTCGCGCAGAGCATCTACTGCGTAGGCCATACGAGATGCCCAGCGGAGACTGCAGTCAAGTCTGCTTCCATCGCGAGGCATCCAGCGCAGACGCTCTGCAGCCACAGCATCAAAGAACGCATCGACTGTCGCGCTGCGCTGGCTGATCTCGCTAGCCGACAAGCCCAACTGGGTCTTGCACTTTTGCGTCACCGACTGGACCTTCTCTTGCAAGATGGTGACCTTGTAGCTGCTGCCGCTCAGGTTCTGCACAACGCGAGTGGAAGAGGTACCACCGGCCACGTTGGAAGTGGTAGTAGTTGTGGTGGCGGTCTTTCCGGGGCTGATGGCACCCTGATTGAGTCCGTGCTGGCTGACATCTTTACTGCCACCAAGACCCGACCCTGCATCTGCTGCACCTGCAACGCCAGCAGCACCGACAGCACCTACCATACCTGCACCAGTGCCGGACTTCAAGTGGTCCTGACCTGAAGCAACTGAGCTGGGAGCATCAGTCGGCTGGGGTCCAGACATTACCGCCATGCCATCCTTGACCATTCCGCCGTGGTTCGACAGGTCCTTGCTGGCCTGCTCGGAAGAAGTGGTATTGGCGGCGCTCTGGCCGAGGACACCCTTGTTGATACCCTGACCAGCAGCAAACTGGTTGGTTCCACCTTGTTGATACTGCTGGGAGGCCGAAGACACTCCAGTGCCCTTTTGGGAAAGACCTTGGCCCGGTCCCTTGGAGGTTTTTCCGGCAACCCCATCACTGAAGACGTCGTCACCGATATCGGCTTGGGTATGAAGCTCATCACTGATCGCGTCGTTGCCGCCGAAGGTTCCACCTGCCATTCCGGCGCCCGCACCGACACCAGCCACTCCTGCTGCAGCGAGGCCAGCTTGGCTCTTGCTGGTATTTTCTTGTTTACTGGTAGGTTTGTCTTTCTGGCTGCTGCTGCCACCCCAGGTCTGGTTGAATTTGTCTCTGGCTTGACTCAGCAGTCCCTGACTTGTAGCAGGCTTCTCTTTGCTCTTGTTGGCACCGCGGACCTGCGAAACTTCGTCTTTCGCGCTGCTGTACTGGCCTTGAGATTTGGTATTGGACAGTTGTGGGGTTGAGCTGATGCCTCCAGCCTCCGTTGGATTGAGCTTGTTGTTGTCCTCTTCTAGGGTGCTCTGGCCTTTGCTGAGGTTCTGCTGTTGGCTTTGGCTAATTCCTCCAGTCTGGGCCTGGCTAGTGGATTCTTGTGTCTGACCGGTGGTCTTTTCGGTTTGGCTCATTCCTCCTCCGCCGCTACTCAAGCCTTGCTGGGCTCCCAAAGCTCCGCCAGATTGACTGAGTCCCTTGCCCTGACCTTGGCTTTGACTGGTCTTGAGTTTGTCCTGGCTGAGTCCTCCCTTGGTGCTGCTTCCAGCGCCTCCTGAAGTGGTTTTATCCCCTTGTCTCTGATCGCTGGGTCCTGGGAATATAGGACCCTTCTTGATATCGTCGTTGGGCTCCGGCGGTCCGACACTGATACTGCCAAACATCCGTCGGCCGACTTTTTCAATACTTCCTTTATGGACGTTGTCGCTTTTCAATCCCTTGCCTCCCAAAGCACTGGCGGTACCTTCCTCGCCAGCGGTGTTAGTGGTATTTTCTCCTTTTCCGGTCGTATCTTTGATGTTGCTCAAGTTTCCTTGGGTGGCATCATCCTTGGCTTGTTCTCCCTTGTCAACAGCCTGCTGACCAATGCCACTTTGGTCAGTGGCTGCTTCGTGAGAAGCATCCTTAGAGCCACCACTTCGAGACATTCTCTTGCTGAGTCTCTTCGCGACGCGGGCGCCAATGTTGTCGTGATGCTGGGCTTCGGCTTCAATTTGCTTGGAAGACATGATGGTTGTGGTTTAAGGGTATCGAGAGTGATAGAGTAGGATAAGGATATTTTCGTAGTCGTTAAAAAAAATTACACAAAAAATATCATATAGTCGTTGAGTTCAGTTGTCATGAGTATAGCGCGAGACCAGAAGAAAGCCGGCTGAGTTCCCAGATTCGTTCACAATTAATAGCCAAAGAAGCACCCCTCGCACGGTTGCATCATAGCTTGAGCTTGGGGTTACCAAATGAGGCCGCTACCCTTCAATAGATCAATTGATGTAATTGAGGGGAGCTGTTTGTGCAGCTCCGCTTCGTCCATCAGGCTGTGAACCATGCTTTGCTCCCATCAGGACCCAAGGACCGCTTTCAGCTCACTAGAGAACAAGTGTCCTTTCAGTATATCGCTACCAGTCGTGTGAAGCAAGTCGATGATGCTCAAGGGCATGGCAGCGAGGGGATGGGTGGGTCTGGGGGCCAGGTGATGTCTATCTAAAGATTAGCTTTTCGGGGCTCGTCACTCTGCTTCTACTGGGAAATGTCCCCAGACATGGGAAATTTCAGAACACATACCTGAGTGAACTCTTTCGTTTTTTGAGATTCTCATCTCTGCTCAAATGTAGACTAATGGGAACTTAAGACCAATAATTGTATAGTAAAAGCTCCCCAGCAACTATAGATCGTCCATTTCATAGGTAAAAAAAACGATTTGTCAATGACGAATATGGATTCCCTCTCAACTATCTCGGACGTGGGGTAGAACGACCCGACAGGGAAACAATGGCACGCGTACATGCGAATGGCTGACCGAAGCTGGGCTGTGACGTAAAGACTCGTTCGGGGGAGGCGTTCGGGGGTGGAGCCGCTTGTGAGTGGCCGCCGGGGCGTTAGTCATCCCCGGCTTTGAACATCCCCGGCAGCCTGCCGACCTTAACGGAACCACTCGACTACCTGCGTGGACCTCCGCCATCCATGGTTGCCCACGCCGTGAGCTCATTTCCCCGGTTTCCATATCTTCATCCACTACAGTGTGGTCACCTTCGATGTTCCCGACCGCTCATGAGATCATTTCGGCTTTGTATTCATCCAAATCTACCTCCTACGCGACGCAGGCACGTCCGTCGTACTTCCGTCGAACCAATGGGCGGCTTCACGGTTATGTCATGACATTCCGCAACCTGGAGAAATGCGGGATCCACGAGCTATCACTCGCGTTCGACCAGGGCTGTTGTTTTTTTTCCCTTGTCGAATTCGATCGTGCAAGGTTGATCGAACCGATGGTTGGCTTGAAGGTCATTCCTTAGCTATCCAGCTCGGGCCGGCGCTGAGCATGACCCACGCCAGGAGTTCCCGCTTGGAAATGCGGTATTGTGTACACGCCAGCTGAGATATCCTTGGTCGATCAATGCATATGCGACAGGAATCTGAATCCCTCCCCGGTCTCTTTATGAAGTCGATCCCTGCATTCAGAGTGCTGGGTCTCGATGACGCCCATCAATCAGGATCTACAGGTGAGATCAGGTCTGCTCATGATTCGCTGGGAGTCGCATGTCCATGCATCGCTGCGTTTCTGAGCCCTAATACCCTGAAAGACGCGATAGGAAAATGCCCGGCTATCTATAGTGCAGTGAAGCGACCGAAGGGCTGGAGGAAAGTGGAATGAAATCATTGCATGAATTTTCGAATGAGGTACTATGGCAATACTCGACATGATTTTTCGTGTCTCGAAGTTCGTAGCTGCTTGTGATGTTCCAAGTGTAAGACCGATCGCCTTCCTGCAGGGTACCTATACTAAACACAATCACCACTTTATGCGGATTAGCGCTGACGCCTCCCCTGTCCATAAGCTGATTGGTACCTGGGTGCACGGGGCAGCAATGCAGTGGATTTCAGCCCCATCCCCCACCATCTGATCAATCAAATACGAGAAATCCTCAACTTGAGAACATCCCTTGCTGTCGTACAGGCTGCCCACGTGGCTTCAATCGCAGTATGCAATCAAAGTTAGCCGATCTGGTCACGGACACAAACATCCGAGTCGAATTCCACGCAGATTTCGTCCATCGCTTCGCGTTCAAATCCAGTAGTGCGGGTGGCAACTAAGTACGACGTAAAGAGCGACTAGATGTTTGGCAGAAGGATCGAGAGCTCGGGAGGGAATCTTATGGGTCCGTTTGGCTGTATCGGTGTCTTACGAGTGAGGATCAGGCGGAGCTTCATGCTGTTGAAGAGCTCAGTAAAAGGGATATCTCTTCTGAAAGATTAGCTTTGTGAAAGAGCTGGAGACTATCGCTAAATTTTCGCAGAAGGTTTGATCATGATTGAAAAGGCCGTTGACTTGCGGTGACTGATTTCTATAGTATCACGGCCTGTTTGTCGAGTTTCACGGGTGGGACGAAAATGACGACTCGGTTTTTATCGCTATGGAGTACATCCAACATGGCGACCTAGCTTGCCACTTAACAGCCCAACTGCCGGAGGATGAGAGCAATCGTTTATCAGGTTGCGGAAGGGCTGGATCATCTGCATAGAAATGACTTTTTCATCGAGAACTGAAAGCCGAGATAATTTTTCGCTATCTTAACATTTGTGGATGAACAAAAAGGCGGTAATACCGCGACGCTAACAGTACATGCTGAATGTCCAGAACATATTTGTTGTCAGAAACGCTCCTTACTGGGTCAAGATCGGCGATTTCGGCTTCAGAAACCGCCTCAAGGAATACAGTTGTCTGCATTCCAGAGTAGGCACACCCGTTATTCTTGCGCCAGAGATCGAAAGCATTTATCCACCAGACGTGGATGGCCTAAGCATGACCTATTTCTATTCGGAAAAGGTTGATATCTGGTCTCTTGAGATTCTGGCGTTCTACCTACGTTTTCACGCACTTCCCTTCACTTTGAGAAGACCTCTAGAACTCTCAAAATATATTAATGGAGGGACCTTTCCCATTTCTCTCATCTCGTTACCAGACCTCAAAGTCAAAAGTGTGTTGACTTCTTGATGACAGCGATGGCCCGCGATGCTTCAATGAGGTCCTCTGCTTATGGTGCCCTTTTGAGCAAGTGGATGACGCAACGGCCTTCTGAGTTTGCCTCCGCTATGGGATGTCTGCAGATGAGCAGGTGGTACCTGGTAGTGGAAAAAAATCCTTCCAAATACCGCAAGTCCAGAGCTTGAAGAGAAAGCCACCATCAAAGCAAATATTAATACGGCCATCTCGCCAACAACTTCACGCATACAAGCCGCAATGATGCTACCGCAGAAAATGCGCTCAATGACCCTTCCACACAGCTTGATGACCCCAAAACTGAACTATTGAAAATAGTGGCGTATCTCACGAGCATGGGAAGTCTCTCTTTCATCGAAAAGAGTACGACAATGCTGAGTTGCTCTTGAAACAGGCCTTCGAAGGTCGCCAAAAGGTTTTTGGATTAGAACACAAACAAATTTTACAGTCCATGTTTGGGCTTGCTCTCGTCTAATTCCATCAATCTCAATATGCAAACGCAGAACCAATTTTTCAGACCATTTCGGACACGCGACAAAGGATCTTCGGACCAAACCACCCGGACACACTCGTCTTGGACTCGCAGGGTCGTGGAAGGCACTAGGGCAGTTTGCAAAGGCTAATTCCCTCTTCCAAGAAATTGCAGAAATACAAGCGAGAACTTTGGAGCCGCAGCATTCGCAAGCGTTGGGAACGCGAGGGAAGGTCTTGACACCTACTCGTCCGTTCCCAGAGTGGGTAGATGCCGCTGCGTGTACGCGGTGCGCATTGCGGTTTATATCTCCTAGCCAGAAATGTCGTTGTCGGAACTGTGGTCGAGTCTTTGATGAAAGGTGCTGCTCGAAATACCTTCCCTTCTCACATTTTGGAATTTCGCAGCCTTTCCGAGTCGACGATTACTGCTATAGTCAACTCGTTTCACATACGCCTTCACCACCTACCTCTCCCGGTCGAGTTGCGTCGGATAGGAATTCGGCTCCTGAGCCCAGCTCTGCGGATATCTGGGAATCCAAATCGAAAAGCCCTCATTCATCATCCAACTTATCCGTGTCCGGATCCAGAGGGCATCGGAAGACCTATGCTAGTCATCTTCGCATGCAAGACGAGATGGAACGTCCTGTCGCTCTATGTCACCCAGGGAGCTTTCTTCGTCGTTTGACAGTGCCAATACCCTCGTTTCCGTCAAAAGATTCGATGAGGCGGAGCAAATCTTTCGCGATGTGCTCGAAAGTCAAAGAAGAAATCTCGGAGCATACAACGAGGCAACACTCCAGACAACACACATTTTGGCCAGAACGCTATACCTTCAGGATAAGAGCGAGGAAACAGAGAGGGTATTTAACGAGGCAGCTGAAGGTCGGAGACAATCCCTGGGTCCAAATTACGAAGACTCTGAACTCTCTACAATGGGCGGGCATGGTTCAAAATCTGCGAGGAAAGTACGCCGTCTCTGTGTCCACCCTTGAAAAGACCGTTAAAGGTCGGGAAGTGCTCTTTGTGTCCATCAATGAGCATACCTTCGAGTCTCTCGGGTGGTTGGGTAGCTTACTCGGCAGACTCGGGAGACTCGAGGAAGCGGCGGGTGTCTATTCTCAACTGGTAAAAGGCCAGAAAGAAATATTCGGGTCTGACGACGAAGACACGTTGGATTCGATGCAAGAACTCGGAAGGCTATACCGTGTTCTGGGAAGATATGAAGAAGTCGAGGAAATTTTCAATGAATTGGTCCAAGGTCGAATTGGGACACTTGGATCAACTCATGGGGACACTGTCAGTGCTGTCAAGCGGCTTGGTATAATGAAGTATGATCTTTGCAAGTGGACTCGGGCTGAGGGGGTCTTTGAAAGGGTGGCGAGGTATCACAAGGACAGGTTTGGTTTGGCTCACCGGGAAACAATCCGGTGGTTGTGGTGGCTAGTTATGACTTTGGAAATTCAAGGGAAGCATCAGATGGAAGAGCCGGTTCGAAGGGATATTGTTCAGGGGAAAGCAAGCCACTTGAGATATAAACACCATGAGAAGTTGGAGGCTCAAAAGATTCTGTCGGCCTTGTGGGAGGTACTAGCAGAGAGCTGAGTATGATCAGCTTGGTTCATCTCGACCCAGAAGAGGAACTTCCTGGGCATATTACGCGACACTGGAAATGTTCGGTTGCTTTGGTGTATGATCTATAACGAGTCGGCATGGGCGTTGCGGTTTACACTTTTGTACAAATTTACGACAGTATGAACATCATTTGAGGCAATTCTAGAATTTTTACCACGTAGCCTCGGGCTTTTTCATGTTACAAAAATTAGAATCTCGCTCGTCCCAAGAATGTGCCGCCCAAACATCATGGCGCGCCGCCCCAATCGCCAAGCCCCATCCCGTCCTGACGCCATCCCAATACGAGGCTCCAAAAATAGCAATCTTCACTCAAACTGACCTCATCTCGCGTGAGTAGTCCGCCAAGCTTAAAAGAGGCTCTTGCTAGATCGCATTCAACAGGAACAAGCCCAAAGTAGGAATAATCATCCTCGTGTAGATTCTTAGTGTGCAAGGTCCGGTATAGATACGAGCTTGGCGGGGGCTTCATCTACCGGGATACGATTTCTGTGGTTAAATTTAGAGGGATGAAGGATGTTGTTTGAAGTAACCACTTCTGACGAAAAGATATAAAGCTATCAGAAGATTCATCTCTTTTTATTGTCTCGCCGGGTTCAGTGCATCTCCTCAACTACATTGCGAACATTTTCTTCATTGAAACAACAATGATTTTCAGTAGCGCCCTTTTATCTCTTTCTCTCGCAATCCCCTTCGCTTCCGCGTATCATCTCGCTGTCACCGACCAAAACAGCAAAACCGTACGAGTGTTCCCTCGCGATGCTTCAAAGTGGAACAATGATGCCATCTACTGGTCCTTCACGGCCGATGCAGGCCTAACCTGGCCCTGGGAAGACGACGTCTGGGCTGATCTCTCCGACGTGAAGATCCGCAAGACAGCAGACCGAGGTTTCGTGGCACTAGTTGCGGCATCTGGAGGCAAAGTCGGCATGATCGATATCATAGCCGGACAAGAATCCACCGACCTGGACGACGTCATTTGGTCGGCCACTCCGGGTGACAACCCACACTCACTCGAGCGTATTCCCAACCTCGGTGCATTTGTGGCTGCGAGCTCTGACCCGGGGAAATTGACGCTCTATGTCCCCACCGATGCGTCCGATGTGAACAATTTGGACAAGATCAAGAAGAGCCATGAGTACAGTATCAGCAAGGCACATGGAGTGTTGTGGCATAGTGAGAAGCTATGGGCCATTGGCGAAGATTATCTGTACAAGTTTGATGTTGTTGGCAAGGGAAAGGATATCAAGCTGGAAAGAGATGGAAGCCCGATCGCTTTGCCCAAGGTCCCACATCGCGCGAGGAATGGCCATGACCTCTCGGCCAGTTATAAGGATCCCGACGTTCTCTTGTTGACGCACACTGCTGCTGCGTACACATACAACGTTAAGACCGGGAAGTTCAAGACGCTTATCAATGAGGAGAAGATCAAGTCATTGGTACAGGCCTCGTCGGGTGAATATGCTTGGATCAAGGGTGAGAAGAATGAGATGGGGCAGTATGTGTCGTTCAGCGATGAGAGTGCACCAGGTACCGTAACAGACAAGAGGGGATGGGGCGATGCGGAGTTCTACAAGGCGAAGATCTTCGACCCGGACTATGAGTGAGTGCTGATAGTGGATGGAAGGTGTCGTTTTAAGCTTCAATAGACCGATGAAGATCGGATGATTACCTTTTGATCATATTTCATCCCAAATTCAAACGTCTCAAAGGATTCGTCTCAAGGGTTTCTCTGCCTCCAATAAGACTGTCAGATAACAGATGCGGTAGATAGTCGTGATGTAGAACAAATATCGAAAACGAGAAAGTCGCAATAAGACGGCCTACATCTGAGCAGCGTGGTCGCATGTGGGATTTCCTCGAGACAGTATAAGTTCCAGGTCTCTCTGGACACTGCCGTTGACTACCAATTCAAAGCATATACGCAAATACGCAAAAATCAATCCTGGGTTGGAAAAAGCAATTCACGGTGAAGCCTATGTACGAGACGAAGCAACCGTCCAGAGCTTAGAGCGTGGCAACGCAACTAAGTTCAAATAACTTTTCCAACCTCAGACCACCATGTGTGTCCATATCCATTTTCCCCTCAAAAAAACCGATCCATTGCCGAAAATTTCAAAAGGTGAACGCGAAGCATGATATCATCCGTACAAGTAGCCAGCCGCAGCCGGTAAGCCTTCGTTCGATGCAGTCGTGTGGTGCCGATATCAAGGCGAATAGGTGTTTTCCGTCATCGTAGAGATCCGGTCCGTTCACGACTCAAGGGTGTTCTTTAACGTGGATGGGCAATTTATGAGCCGGGGTTGGGGTTCATCTGTGAGTTGAGCGAGTCAGCCTTCCTGTTCCTTCTTCTCGGTCTCGTCTTGTGTGGATAGGCTTTTTTGCGGAATTGTGTGATGCGTGATGGTTGTGTGGGATTTAGCCGGTATGTACCTTGCGCTTGCCACCGGTCATGGTCACGTTAACGAAACGGCGGGTGTACTGAACACGCTTGTAGGCGCGGCCCTTGGGGGTCTTGGGCTTCTCCTGGGGCTCGACCTGTATTCGAAATCTCAGTTAGCATGGCGGTTCTTCTCGATGGTCGGCGCTTCCGGACACACAAAAGATCATGGTGGCGCAGAGTTCAGAGGAATAGAGGGAGTACTTGCCTTGGGAGTGGCGGCCTTGACCTTACCGGCACGGGCGAGAGATCCGTGAACCTTACCCATGTTGGATGACTGTTGGCGATGGACAGGAAAGTGGGAGTTGCTGGAGGGTGATGAAGCGAATCTCGAGAACGGCCACAATAGGGTTGCAAAATTGGGAGTGCGACTTGTGTGGGGCGGGCTTAGCGAGTGCTGCGGATTAAATGGTTGGTCCGCTGCCGATGCCCGATGCACGGGGTGACTCGGTGATTAGTAATGAGAGCGGGGACCGAATCAGGGAATTTTGTATGCCTTGGAATCCGGGCTGTAAGGCGGTAAGGCAGAAACATCATTTCCGCTCGATACTAGAGCATATGTTGTTCCCAGAGGTATCAAATTCTCTATACCGTCAAGTGCTATATTAAAAGTTCAATGACAATGACAGAAACATATCTCAACGCCTTTTCGATATACACCCAGATCTTCATAAGCTCCATAAATGCAAGCAGCCACCGTTGCACTCCAATAATCCATAAAACTCACTTCGCATTGGCCTTTTCTCTGGCAGCCGCTTCTTCCTTTTCGCGTTTTCTTGCCAAGAACCGCTCCTTCGCGCTGGACTTTTCGCCTGAACCCTTGGAACTGCGGGTCTTCTCGGCAATCTCTTTCTGTCTCGCAGCTTCGGCCTCTTCTTCTTGCCGAGCACGCTCCTCCAGTTGCGATGCGATCATTTCGCTCTGACGAGCACGCTGGCCAGCACGGCCCTGAGGACCCATATTGGCTCCAGGTCGTCCCGTAGGTCGAGATGTAGTAGGCTTGGGAGCCGCGGCTGGTGCTGCCTTCGGCTTTGGCGCCACGTTCAAACCGGCAGACAAAAGTTGGCGTTTGTCGACCACTTGGCCTTCGTCGTTGACAGCAACACGAGCACCCTGAGCATTGAGTTCAGCTGCCTTCTGGTCCTCTGTCTTTTCCTCTGTATCCTTCGCGGTATCTTCTGGTGCCTCGCCGTCCTTGATCCGGGTGGCTGCTTCTTCCGCGGCCTTGACGACTTCCTGGTGTCGTTCCTCTCCGCGGGACAAGACATCGCGATAGAAATTAACCATACCAGCGCCACCATTCTTCTTCTGTCGTTCTTCCTCTTCCTTGTCCCTCTTGGCCTCTTCTTCTTCCATCTTCCGATTCTCCTCTTGCTGTTTTCTGTAGGCACTCGTAACAAAGGTTTCCTTGTCCGCGAACTCGTCGCCTTCGGCTTCGCGTTCCTTGGCAAGCTGGCGATCGCGCGCGCGCATTTGGTCTCGCTTGCGGATCTCGGCGCTGCGTAGCAAGTTTTCCATATACTTCGGGACTTCGCTGTTCGTCTTGTTCGCAGACTTCTCGGGCTTAGTGTGCAGGCTGTCGTACACAGCATCATAAGAATAAATTGAAGGATCCAACTCTTCTGCCTCCTTTGCATGTTGTTCGCTACTGCGTATAGCTGAAAGATTCGAAAAGTTCTCCCCATGACCAAGTGGTTTCTTCGACTTGTTAAGGCCAAGGTGCATTTGCTCCTGTTGTGCTTTTTCTTTCACCTCTTCCTCTTCCTCATCATCATCAAATATTGAACTCTTGGTCGACGGCTTAATGGGAGGTTTGCTGGTGCCCAATTGCATCTTTCGTTTCGACGGCGGGCCGGCGTTCGAGGACGGTTTGGATAGCTTCGGGGCTGGTTCGTCCAGCCCACCGAGGGTAGTAACTTCGATTTCACCATCATTTCCCTGTTCTTCATCTCCTGAGTCGTCGTCGAATATGGTGTTCTTGCGCTTCTGTCCGAGAGCATTGCCTGGTTTTGGGCCTGACTTCTTGCTGGCAAGGTTTAGCCCTGTAGAGAACTGCGGTGCCATGATTGTGAGGTGGTCGCTGTGACCTTGGCGATCCTCTTGAGCTGCACAGGTAGCAAAGAACTGCTATTATCAAAAGGTTGTGGTGGCTGCGGCCGAATGATGTGTGACGTCGGCTCGCGGTCAAAAGTTGCGATAGCAGCGATAAAGCAGGGGCTATCAATCATGTGACTGGCTTTGCGGGGATTAGACGAATACGCGCAGGTAGCGAAACCAGTAATTAGCAAAGATTACAGGTATTCTCTTAACATCCATTCTTAATTAAAGTCACTTTGCACCTCGTTCTGCGAAACTTCGATGCTGTTGTGCTTGGAGTTGTATTCAAGTCACCAGATCATGCTACCAGATGACATTGCTCCCCACATGTACGAGACTGAATATATATCTTGGATAGGAACTATGGAGGCAACAAAATTTGAATATTTCAGTGTTGTAGATCCAAAATTACAGTTCACAGTGGCTAAATACATCTTCCCAGGAACTTTAATCAGATGAAACCGGGTGTTGCTTGGTGCACAATACAAGATCGCGACGTACTCCCGGACCAAACCATAGCTCAACAATCACGTGACCATAACCAAATAACGGCGGGCAGTCGGCGATCCCCTCGAATCTCCGTCTATTCTCCGCACCCAATCGCCAAAATGTCGTACTACTTCACCATTCTCTCGCCGACCGATACGCCGATATTTAATATCGCATTTGGCACCTCTAAAGGAGGCGGCGATGGCATTGCGCGCTTCCGCTTCCCCGACACAGCGCAATACATGAACCAATTCATCATCCACTCCAGTCTCGACATCGTGGAAGAAGCGCAGTGGACAAATGGCGGGATGTAAGTGTTAACCTCCCTCGAATATTCATTGATCAATCCCCAAATCATTGGGCACTGAATCTAACATTCACATAAACAGGTACCTCAAGCATGTCGACACCTACCCTCCCGCCGCGGCCTACATCTCGGCATTCCTTACCCCCAGCGGCGCCCGCTTCCTCCTCCTCCACCAACCGCCCCAGCTTCCTTCATCCGGAAGTACGAGTACTCTTGGGGCATCGTCTTTACTCGGCGCTGCCGGATCAACTACGCGCGCCTCATCTAGCTCCGTCGCTGCGAACCCGACATCACCGCAGACCGAGGAGGCGGTCCGCCAGTTCATGAATGAGGTGTATGAGAGCTATGTCAAGACTGCCATGAGCCCCTTCTATAAACAGGGTATGGAAATCCGGAGCCCGGTCTTTAGGTCGAAGATCACGGCGGCTGGGAAGAAGTGGCTCTGAAATCACTCGTGACTTGCGTTTTGATTGCAAGTTCAGTGTTACATGTGTTGATGCAGCGTGGCGTTGGGATTTGATTTTTGTCTCTCTCATGTCGATAGAACTTTGGGTTGTCTATTGCATAGTATTTTTAATTACTCGACTGTGGAACCTAAACCCTTATGGATACCCAATCCTTTACAATTATAGAGTGCAAGATGAATGGAACTGCATTTTTCAAGATAGATCATCAATTCTGACGAGGCCAATTTGCACCCTGGCTCTGCCAAAAATTGAATTTGACCAAGTAATGAAAACGTTGGTTGTTTCCAATGAAGAGCTGTCTAAACAGCTCTGGCGAAGAAGCTCAAAAGTATAAGTAGAAACGAACCCGAAATCCAGGTTGAAATTGGGGCTGTGCATAGCCATAGCCAGCAGAAAAGAAAAAGGAATTCATGCACCGAAACGCCACCCAATTCCTCCCAATTCCGAAGAGCCAAATTGGAACCGCTAAAATAACCCAGGAAAAACAAGAAAAACAATGAAATGACCAGAGTTCACACGGTCATTTGAGGAGCCAGCTTCTTCATGGTGACAGCTTTGAAGTTCTCGACAGCGTTCACTACATCATCGATTTTGGCAATGGAGCCGAAAATGCCGCCCTCCATTTTGACGGACTCAACGGTTCCGGTGTGAAGGGCAGGCTCGCTTGCCGCGGAGCCATCCTCCAGGAGCACGCAGTCGAATCCGCGGTCGTTGGCCTCGCGCATTGTGGTTGACACGCATACATCAGTGGTCACACCGGCAATAACAAGATTCTTGACGCCTTTGTTGCGCAAAAGGAGCTCGAAGTCAGTGTGCGCGAATGCCCCTCGACCAGGCTTGTCAATAACAGGTTCACCGGGAAGGGGATAAAGCTCATCTACAGTGTCGTGCCCCATCTCACCACGAATAAGTAGGCGACCCATTGGGCCGGGGGAACCGATACCCAGGCCGGTGCTGTTGTTGCGAGAGCGATAGTTTTCCCGACTGGAAAGGGTAGAAAGATCTGGCCGGTGTCCTAACATCAGAGTCAGTGAATGGAGTCATGGGAATTGAGTATGGCAGTGGACAGTTTTACCTTCGCGAGTGTGGTACACGGGGAATCCTCCGGAGCGGAATGCATGCAACAATCGTTGAAGCTTGGGGATAAGAACTTGGGCAGCGGTGATATCATATCCTTGGTACTCGAGATATCCACCGGGAGCGCAAACTGTTATACACGTAAGTTACTGTACTGTTCGATGCTAATTGCATGGTGCATCAAAAACTTACAGTCTTTCTGCATATCAATTAGAACCAGGGCTGTCGTGTAAGGTGTGAAAGTGGCATCATGAGGCCAGTCATATGGGACTGCCGGGAGTTGGCCCTTTCGAACCTTCTGCTGAGATACTTGCCGGGGCTTCTCGGCAACTGGTCCGTGGTTATGTGTCGCATTCAAGACCGTCAGAGTCCATATGCCGGGAGTTCCAGCTGCAACGAGCATGAACGGGCAGTCCATCAGACGGGAGGTGCGTCGCCGCTTGCGTGTTTCTTCAGTCAGGCCATTGCGTGGACGATAGTGTCCTCCACGGTCACAACGCAGCCATACTTTGGCTGTCCGACCAGGTTTCTTTTCTGTAGGCGTGCTTGATGATTTGACGACCACATTGTAACCATTGGCCTTGCCATGCGATTGAACTGCTGCGAGTAGGGATGCTCTGGAGAAGGGAAAGGTTAGCTGGGACGAAGCGAAATAAGGAGGGGGCCTTCGAGACTAACTTGTCAGGGTATGTTCCTTCCGGAGGAGGTATCAATTGAGTCGCCAGGTCCGGAATGTCTTGGAGATCGCTCGGCGCGTCCAAATTGAGGTCGATGGAATCAGACATGGCGGGCGAAACGGGGTGGCCACGCGCTCACGGGTCGTCAGTCTGCACGAAGAAAAAGGAAGAGGTTAGTCTGACTGTCACATCTTCATGGCAAGCTTCCGTTCATGCAGAATCTCGTCGTGGAGCCCGGTGGGAACTGGAGGGGCGATGGAAAACAAGTGCGTGGAAGCAATCTCGACGATCAACCTGCGACCCAAGGATTGCAGTGCGTGGGTATAGCGACCCCAGATCGAAGTCTGGGGAAGGCAGTGGGACACCCCGTCGCCCTTCCAGGGACTCGAACAATGCGGGAAACAGAGCAACACTTACCTCGCTCGGGACGATGGGATACCCCAGAAACGACCCCAGGACGTGGATGAATCGAGATCGCAGGTGATCCGAGTGACTTGCTCTTTGGGGCCTAGCGGGGGTCAGCCAGTGCTGCCTGAGGCCGTAATCAGGCCACCATCGGGCCAGAATCAGGCAGAAAGGCCACAATATTCACCATACCGGGACTAGCGCCGAGCTGGCCCCTGACGACCGCTTGGCTGGTGCGACCGAAACATCAACACCCGATCTAATCAATGATCCCGCCTTTGCGACAACCACCTTCCACCGCGAGAGTCGCCCGCCGACTCGAAAGGTAAATTCATCGGCCTCGCCGGATTCGGCCTGTTCGTCTCTCGTGCATCTGCCTCGCTCTCCCGGTGGAGGGTGCAAGTCGACTCTCCACAACACCGATCTTCTGCGTCACCGCCTCGCCGAGGGGCTCTTATCAACAACGCACGGTTGTTGACGCTGGCCAGCCACCCAACTGCATAAGCCTTTGAGAGGGCTTTTTGGGCGACCGAACGCTTGAAGAACCCATTCTCTTGCGCTCTCCTCTGCATTATTTTCTTTGAAAGCTGGACTCGCGGTCGTCATTACGACCCGCGCCCAGACACCCAACGCCCGAAGAATGCCTGCCGCCGAAGATGCGCCTACCGAACCGAAGCAACATTCGAGCAGCTCTTACAAAGATGAGCTCGCACACTACAAGGCTCAGTATGAGCAGCTAGAGTCGGAGCTGGCCGATTTTCAGGTCTCCAGCCGGGAGCTGGAGGCGGAGTTGGAAAAGGACATCGAAGCTTCGGAGAAGCGGGAGCGAGGGCTGAAGGAGAAGGTTGATACTTTGCGGTATGAGGTGGACGAGTGGAAGGTATGATTCTTTTGAGCTTTTTTACTCTCCAGTGCCAAGCGCAAGAACTGACTCGGTCGCAGACCAAATACAAGCAGTCTAAGTCTGAGGCCAATTCGGCGCAGAACAACTTGCAAAAGGAGGTCACCTTTCTTCGCGACTCCAATCGTACCCTCCAGCTCAAGCTACGCGACATCGAGGTAGCGAACGATGATTTTGAACGACAGGCCCGGAACACCACTTCGTCCCTGGAGGACATGGAATCCAAATACAATGTTGCCATCGAGCGCGGTGTGCTCCTTGAGGAGGAAATTCGGAGCGGGGAACAAGAGCGCGAGGGCCTCCGGATTGAGAACCAGCGGCTACGAGATGAGCTGTCTGATCTCAAGGTTGAAGCGGAGATCGTTCAGGAGAAGCTGCGCAACGCCGAGGGCTATGGAGGGTTCCGTCGTCGCAAGCCGACTCCCCTATACCGCAGCCCGTCCACCCCGCATACGCTGGAGATCTTTGACCGTTCTCCTGGTACGGCGACCTCTTCGCCAGTGTTTGCGACTCCTCCCGCTAAATCAAACTTGGCCTCCTCCACCGCCACTCCTCCTTCACCTCCTATCTCGGAGTCCTCTACCAGTTTGCGCCGATCAATTAATGCAACCCCCACATTCCCTCGTCAAAGAGCAGCAGGCACCGACCCTGTCACCTCTCGGACCTTGCACAATGCACGAACCCAACCTCGCCCCGTGCACTCTCGAGCCTCATCACTGGCCTACAGCAATGGCGGCCGTTCCACTCCCTTGATTTCGTCCCGCGCCAGCTTGTCACGAACAAACGGTAATGCTGCGCCTCGTCCCTCTGCATTGCCCAAATCGGGCTCCCTATGTCAAATCCGGGGCTTGATCGGTAAGATGCAGAAGCTTGAGGAGCGTGTCCAGTCTGCCAAGTCGCGACTCCCGGCTCCTTCAGAGACCTCGTCCCGGGGCTCTCCTCATTCCCGAGCTGGGTCCGTGATGGGAGACAGCCCGGTCCCGTCAAACGTCACAGTCCGGAGAAGCTCGCGTAAACGACTGAGCGGCAGCAGCTTTGGCTCATCTGTCCGAGATAGCGAAGGTACACCGTCATACCTTCCACAAAGTCGTCAGTCCTTTGGGGCTCGGACTGCGGGGGATAGTCGTCCAAGCAGCCGGACCAGTTACTCCAGCCGCAGTTCCTTTAGCCAGAGCGTTCACTCTGGCGTCCCCGTGGGGGCTCGCCCTGAGAGTCGGCAAAGCCGTCCCGGCGCCAAAACCCCGCTAGGACACTACTCGACCAACCCAACCACCGAAAGTCGACGCCCGAGGTCCTCTCTCAGCAACCATGCTGGACAAGGTTCTTCGGTTGGTGGCATGTCCTTCATTGAGGAGGACCTTGATATCACATCAACTCCAACGACATCCCGGATTCCCCAAGAGTTGCGCCGACCATCGGTTTCAGCCACCCCGAGCCTGAAGAAGCGCACGACGAGTGGCGTTTCGGCCATCCCCACCCCCGGAGCTTCAAGACTAGCATCGGGCCCGGTACGATGCCGCCACCGACAGAGCGGAAGACGCAGGTGAACGATCTGGGCGAGACATTTTGATTGATGCTTCCATAGATATTTTTTTCTAGTGGCATCTTTTCGATACATCGTTTCCCTTGATTGCGAGCATTGGGTTTGCATATTCATTTTCTGCTTCTTTGGTTTTTTTTTTTTTTTTGCATTGCAGCCACCTGGATAGTGGTCTTTTTTCCTGCTGTAACGGCGGCATCATGTACAGTTTCGGTGCTCATGCGCGGGAGGACGAGAGACAGAACGTCTTTACTCTAAGCGATCCGGGCGCACGCGCCCTAGTTGGCTATTACTACTTAGCCCTTTTTTGTAGCCTTGGATGGATTTCAAGGCGTCCCAAGCTGTGTCTCAGCATCTCGTTTCACGTCGCGAAGCGTTTGATAATACCCAGATCTTATGTTCATATTGATTCCACTGTAGTTCATTTTGTTGTAAAAAAAGGTGACGGTAACACTGCCGCCTCAGGAAACAATCGACTCCTCCCGCCGCCCTGAGCTCTCCCGGAGCACCCTGATCGCTCACCTCCGATGCTCCGGCTGGCTAACGTCAGCCCTTCTTTCTATGTTTCACTTCTTCCGACGATAAGCGCTTTGCTGCCTATTGGGCCAAGAAATGATCTACTATCACATTGCTTGTACTCTCCAGCCCTTACTCTTAAACCCATCGCCTAACGACCAGGATCTTTTATTCTGTATAAAGAAAAAGAATTTCCCGTGAAGTCATTCTCTATTATTTCTTCTTTTCAAAATAGTAATTTATCTTTTACTTTATTTCACCGAAACCTCGATCTGAACTAACATAAATATTCCTTAGTGTCTCCGCCTGTCAAGGGAAAAGTCACTGAGATCATTACTGCCTAGATGCCTGGCATAACCGAGTCTGAATGAGCGGTCATCTTACGGGGATAAGACCTTGCCTACAAAGTGATACGCTTTGAGTCCCTCAAGCGTTAATCTAGTGTTTATGAGGATATACTCATTCTGTCCTAAATTCCTCTTGCCTACTACCTAGTCACCTGGTACCAACCAAACTGGCTATTCTCTCTACACCATAGGATTGACAACGCTTAATCAAGGCTGACGGCACCTTCGAAAGGAAACCACTCATTTAAAGTAAATAAAATCAGCCTCTCTTGGAGCACAAACAAATCCCCAGCTATGAAGCTCTAGGTTGGAATATAACATAATCGAATCACGCCAATCAGTCCTTTTATTGGGATCGGGCAAAGACAGAAGGGTCAAAATGGTATTATCTCACATTAGAACTCCAGATCACTAAAGACAACCCGCATCATGGCACCGTCCAGCGGCAAGGTATCGAGGATCTTCTCAACATATTCCGGCCAGTCGTCAATCCACTGCAAGAGGGGGAAGATATAAGTGTATTCCCAGTACGAAGGATACCATCCACCCGTTTCCCAACCCACAAGTGTAGCTACTTCATACTCTTCTTTATTTGTGACAAATTTAACGATCTGGCAAGTTGAGGATGCGGCCCACAGGGCGGCAAGAGAGACTTAGACTAGCGGTAAAATCATGTGATTTCCGAGCCGATACTTTTCAACACGTAACTTGGAGGAATGAGATACCAAGGCGCAGGAAGAGACAGAAGGATTATTGTTCCCTGCCAGTAGCACACATATCCCTTCCCACAATCAAGATAGGATTTAGCAAGAGAAGTAATACAAGCATACTTCTCATATCCATTATCTTCATCAAACAGTATTATATATCGGAGCATACAGACATTCCGCTTCGGCCTCCGTTGGGGTGACTGGGCTGGGTAGCGTAAAGGAAATCTACTAGCCAGGGCAGATGCCTGTTGATGAGGTAAGGATCACACAACAGAGGAAGGGATAAACGATCTCCTGTTGTAACCAGACTGAATCTTGAATATGGGAAGTAGATACAATGTATACGCTCCTTCTAATACAACGGTGCCGACGCATGAGGATTCCGTCCTATTCTACAAGGGTTCGATCCGTTTGCCGTTGTATTCGAGATTTTCTCGGAAAAAAAATTTTGTAGCTAGGTTGATGAAGATGGTAGCATTGGTGCTTCTTCAACAGTCAAACTTCCTCCATATTGGATAAAGTATTGACGTTCCGTACGTTAGTTTCCTAGATAGCTAGGTGGCCCGCCACCTAATACAACAAGCATCCGTCGCTTCCCCTAGTATATATCTTTGATAGTGGAGTAAGACAGGTCACGGGCTTTGGACGAGTCACGAGGTTGCCATTCCACATCCTCCAGGAATTTTACCAGTACTTACAAGTATCTAGTATCTACATCTATGTACATCCCTATGAGGTACAGTTCAAGTCTATTTGTATTGCACTTATCCTCTAAAGCGCTCAGGACTTGGTATCTCTAAACAAAAGGCCGAAAAACACGGGAATGACCATTCATTCATGAGCTACTACTACTCGAAACAAAGATAGCAACAACCACGAACATCTAACAACGAGACGGCACAGATAGCAGAGCATAAACATCAAGGGAAAGCACTGGTAGGCAGCCAACACGGACAAAAAAACCCAGAAAGCAGAACATCGTATGGCCTCGTGCTGTCGTGGCTATTAACAAACGGCAATATATATACCAGAACCCAGAGCCAGACCCCCTCCCCTCCAAAAAAAAGCCGTGTCCTTCAGAGTGTTACCAGCAGCCAATAATGGCGCACCAACCCACAGTATGATCTATTGTTGGAAAATAAACCCGTTCGCTCTAAAAGCAGGTAGGGCTCGCTCCAAAGTCCACTAAGTCCACTCAGTGCACTTCACTAAGGGCCTTCGGGATTCGCCTGGCTCGTAGAAGATCAGCAGAGCCTGGGTCTTGAATGGCTCGTTTTTCATTGTCTTGATGTTGGACGCTGTCTGCTGGGGGGGGGGGGGGGGGCCCCGTCGGGACGCTCCTAAGGATCCTTTCCCAGTCGGTAGGATGCTTGGACACGGGCGTAACGCCCAGTTTCTCGAGTGAATGGGAAAACTGCGAGTACTCAGGGGAGCGCCTTTGTTGTGGGGTATAATTTATCCCATTCGCAGAGGTGATATCGCCCGTGACGTAACCAAGATATATATCCTGTGTCGTGGTACTGCGAACCAGAGTTCACATGTTACTGTACCCAGGCACCACGCCCAAAAGGGTGCTGTCAGTTCCAATTCCGGCGAGGTTGCACCGGCGGGCCTCAGGAACCAGGCACGACCGCCCATTTTGAGGAACGTCGATCTCACGTTTCAAGACCCTGCGTCCTCATTTTGGACAGCCTAGCGATCGTATCTGCAACAATCGTGCTACGACGTTACGAGGGTAGTGAGAGTAGATTTTATTCTATTACGTCATCGTGCAAGAACTGCTCAAGCCAAATGGACAGCAAGGCTTGAAGAAAACAAGTTAAACGATCTCACTAGCCGGCGGGTGCTTAGGTGTACGCGTGCCCCGGACTCAGCTGAGAGGATGGGGCGGCAGTTCGTGTCAGACTTGGCCAGCCCCGACCGCATTTGTATTGTCCCGATCGCAGTCCGAAGGGGCCGAGTCGGTGTCCGATCTGCATAAGTGACGGTACCATACGACTCTACTTTTGATAGTAGTGCATCGTAGTGCTTGCCATTTTGAATAGCTTTCACATAAAAATTGAAGGGCGTTCGTTTAATCGAAATAAGTCCAAGGCACTCGCAGAGTCCAACAAAATCAAATGAGATTGCCAAGTCGCGATAGGGGGGATTGCAACATCTCGAGGGAAAATTGGGAAATTGGTGGGACATCCCGGGGTGGAACCGCCCAACAAACGGGAGCAGTTGGCAGTTGGGATGGCCTTCGCGGCCCCCAGTCAGCCGTTCGGAGCGGCAGGCGGTCACCGCGGCGCTGGGGCTGGCAGGGCAGTAGTTGGGAACCCCACCCAGTGGGACGGAAATCATCCTCATCATTTTTCTGCGACTCTTTTCTTTTCTACGAGTTCCTCTGGTTCCTCTGCATTGCCTTCTGTATACTCAAACCGGGTTCTGGTGGTCCCCGTGAGTGCAACCTTCCATCCCCTGCCATCCCCTGCCATCCTCTGCCTGGTCGTGAGCTCTTCCGTTTGCGGACCAGCTTACTCGCTACATCCTCCGCCCCTACTGGACAGTTCGCTATCCACTGGCGCCCCATTACCAAGAAAAAATAACACCAAGAAACTCCGGACCTCCGATCGCTGACGGTACTCCTGGGGCTATTATAGGCATCTTCTCTTCTCCACGCGCCTCCCCTTTCTTCTCTTCACGTTGCCCGCGCTTTCCACCAATCCGGGCAGTTCGCAACTTTACATCCTTGTACATTACCTTTCCCAGCAGCGCTGTTTAATTTTCGATCGAGCAGTGGCCCGGATCCCTGCATGGGGCCTGATCTCGTCTGATTTCCATTGAATACGAGACACATACCATCATGGGCGCCCCCAATGGTATTGCGCCGGTCAACGGCACCGCCAAACACGACATCCCCTCACATTTCATCGGTGGCAATAGTTTGGATCAAGCGCACCCGAGCAGCGTGAAAGATTTCGTCGCTGAGCATGGCGGTCACTCTGTCATCACTTCGGTGAGCACCGCTCTGTCCTTGGCTGCTCCAGCGCCGTTTTGCTAATGTTGTCCTCTTACAGGTTCTCATCGCCAACAACGGTATCGCCGCCGTCAAGGAGATCCGCTCCGTACGGAAATGGGCCTACGAGACCTTCGGCAACGAGCGTGCCATCCAATTCACCGTGATGGCCACGCCCGAAGATCTGCACGCCAACGCCGACTACATCCGTATGGCTGACCAATACGTGGAAGTGCCCGGTGGAACGAATAATAATAATTATGCCAACGTCGAGCTGATCGTCGATGTTGCGGAGCGCATGGATGTCCACGCCGTGTGGGCCGGTTGGGGTCACGCCTCCGAGAACCCTCGGTTACCCGAGTCCCTGGCCGCGTCGCCGAAGAAGATCATCTTCATCGGTCCTCCCGCCTCAGCGATGCGCTCGCTGGGTGACAAGATTTCCTCTACCATTGTCGCCCAGCACGCCGGTGTGCCCTGTATCCCCTGGTCCGGAACCGGTGTTGAGGCCGTGAAGATCGACGCCAACGGAATTGTGACCGTGGAGGATGAGACCTACAACAAAGGTTGCACATTCTCCCCCGAGGAGGGTCTGGCGAAGGCCAAGTCGATTGGCTTCCCCGTCATGGTCAAGGCCTCCGAAGGTGGTGGTGGTAAGGGTATCCGTAAGGTCGAGAAGGAGGAGGACTTCATCTCCCTGTACAACGCGGCCGCCAATGAGATTCCCGGATCGCCCATCTTCATCATGAAGCTGGCCGGAAACGCCCGCCATCTGGAGGTTCAGCTGCTTGCAGATCAGTACGGTAACAACATCTCCCTCTTCGGACGTGACTGCTCCGTCCAGCGTCGTCACCAGAAGATTATCGAGGAGGCCCCCGTCACCATCGCCAAGCCCATCACTTTCCAGGCCATGGAGAAGGCTGCTGTCAGCCTGGGTCGTCTGGTCGGTTATGTGTCTGCCGGTACCGTCGAGTACCTGTACTCGCACGCCGATGACAAGTTCTACTTCCTCGAGTTGAACCCCCGTCTTCAGGTCGAGCACCCGACGACTGAGATGGTCTCTGGCGTCAACCTGCCCGCCGCCCAGCTTCAGATCGCCATGGGTATCCCCCTGCACCAGATCCGCGACATTCGTCTGCTGTACGGTGTGGACCCCAACACCTCCTCCGATATCGACTTCGACTTCTCCAGCGAGGAGAGCTTCCAGATCCAGCGTCGTCCCCAGCCCAAGGGCCACACCACCGCTTGCCGTATCACCTCCGAAGATCCCGGCGAAGGCTTCAAGCCTTCCAGCGGTACTATGCACGAGCTGAACTTCCGCAGTTCGTCCAACGTGTGGGGTTACTTCTCCGTCGGTACCTCCGGTGGTATTCACAGCTTCTCCGACAGTCAATTCGGTCACATTTTCGCCTACGGTGAGAACCGTTCCGCCTCGCGAAAGCACATGGTTGTTGCTCTGAAGGAATTGAGCATTCGTGGTGATTTCCGTACCACCGTCGAGTACCTCATCAAGCTGCTCGAGACTCCCGCTTTCGAGGACAACACCATCACTACTGGCTGGTTGGATCAGCTGATCTCTAACAAGCTGACTGCTGAGCGTCCCGACCCGATCATTGCCACCATTTGCGGTGCTGTCACCAAGGCCCACCTTGCTAGCGAGGCTGGTGTTGAGGAGTACCGTAAGGGTCTGGAGAAGGGTCAGGTGCCTTCCAAGGACGTCCTGAAGACTGTTTTCCCTGTTGACTTCATCTACGAAGGTTACCGCTACAAGTTCACGGCTACCCGTGCTGGTCTGGACAGCTACCACCTGTTCATCAACGGCTCCAAGTGCTCCGTTGGTGTCCGTGCTCTGGCCGACGGTGGTCTGCTGGTTCTGCTCAATGGCCGCAGTCACAACGTCTACTGGAAGGAGGAGCCCGCTGCCACTCGTCTCAGTGTCGATGGCAAGACCTGCCTTCTGGAGCAGGAGAACGACCCCACCCAGCTCCGCTCTCCCTCCCCCGGTAAGCTGGTGAAGTTCACTCTCGAGAATGGCGAGCATGTCCGTGCCGGTCAAGCCTACGCCGAAGTTGAGGTCATGAAGATGTACATGCCCCTGATCGCCCAGGAGGATGGTATCGTCCAGCTCATTAAGCAGCCCGGTGCCACCCTGGAGGCTGGTGATATTCTTGGTATCCTTGCTCTGGATGATCCCTCCCGTGTCAAGCACGCCCACCCCTTCACTGGCCAGCTCCCTGAGATGGGCCCGCCTGTTGTGGTTGGTGCTAAGCCTCCTCAGCGCTTCTTCCTGCTCCACACCATTCTGCAGAACATCCTGCGCGGTTTCGATAACCAGGTCATCATGGGTGCTACCCTGAAGGAGCTCGTCGAGGTCCTCCGCAACCCTGAGCTGCCCTACGGAGAGTGGAACGCCCAGTCCTCGGCTCTGCACTCGCGTATGCCCCAGAAGCTTGACGCCCAGCTCCAGAACGTTGTCGACAAGGCCAAGGCTCGGAAGGCTGAGTTCCCTGCCAAGCAGCTTCAGAAGACCATCTCCAAGTTCATCGAGGAGAACGTCAACCCTGGTGATGCGGAGATCCTCAAGACCACTCTTCTGCCTCTGGTCCAGGTTATCAACAAGTACCTGGACGGCCTGAAGACCAACGAGTACAATGTCTTCATTGGTCTGCTCGAGCAATACTACGTGGTTGAGAAGCTGTTCTCCACCGGCACCAAGCGTGACGAGGATGTCATTCTGAAGCTCCGTGAGGAAAACAAGGAGGACATCACCAGCGTTGTCCACACCGTCCTCTCCCACAGCCGAATTGGTTCCAAGAACAACCTGGTCCTTGCCATACTGGACATGTACCGCCCCAACCAGCCCAACGTCGGCAATGTCAGCAAGCACTTCAAGCCCATCCTGAAGAAGCTGACCGAGCTTGAGGCTCGTGCCGCCGCCAAGGTCACCCTCAAGGCCCGTGAGGTTCTCATCCAGTGTGCTCTGCCTTCCCTGGAGGAGCGTCTGTCCCAGATGGAGCACATCCTGCGCTCTTCCGTTGTCGAGTCCCGCTACGGTGAGACCGGCTGGGAGCACCGTGAGCCCGACTTCGGTGCCCTGAAGGAGGTTGTTGACTCCAAGTACACCGTCTTCGATGTCTTGCCTCGCTTCTTTGTTCACCAGGACCCCTGGGTCACCCTCGCCGCTCTGGAGGTCTACGTCCGCCGTGCCTACCGTGCCTACACCCTCAAGGATATCGAGTACAACGCCTCCAATGAGCCTCCCTTCCTGTCCTGGGACTTCACCCTGGGCAAGCTGGGTCAGCCCGAGTTCGGCTCCCTCTCCTCTACTCAGCCCTCTACTCCTGGCACTCCTACCGCCGAGACCAACCCCTTCAAGCGCATCAACTCCATCAGCGACATGTCCTACATGGTCAATGACCCCTCCACCGACCCTGTCCGCAAGGGTGCCATCATTCCCGTCCAGTACCTGGAAGATGCTGAGGAGCACCTGGCCAAGGCTCTGGAGGCCTTCCCTAAGGTTGGCACCGCCAAGCGTGCCGATGCTGGTCTGATCGCCAACCTGGAGGGCAAGCGCCGTCCCGCCGTCAAGACCGAGAACGACAACGAGCTGACCGGTGTCTGCAACATCGCTATCCGCGACATTGAGGACCTAGACGACTCCCAGCTCGTTAGCCAGATGCAGAAGATCCTGAATGACAACAAGGAGGAGCTGCTTTCCCGCCGTATCCGCCGTGTCACCTTCATCTGTGGCCGCGAGGGTGTTTATCCCGGCTACTTCACTTTCCGTGGACCTACCTACGAGGAGGATCTGTCCATCCGTCACAGCGAGCCTGCACTGGCCTTCCAGCTTGAGCTGGGCCGTCTTTCCAAATTCAAGATCAAGCCCGTCTTCACCGAGAACCGTAACATCCATGTTTACGAGGCTATCGGCAAGGGTCCGGAGAACGATAAGGCTGTTGACAAGCGCTACTTCATCCGTGCTGTCGTTCGTCCTGGTCGTCTCCGTGACGATATCCCCACCGCGGAGTATCTGATCTCGGAGGCTGACCGTCTGATGAACGACATTCTGGACGCCCTGGAGATTATTGGCAACAACAACTCCGATCTGAACCACATCTTCATCAACTTCTCCCCCGTCTTCAACCTGCAGCCCACCGATGTCGAGCAGGCACTGGCTGGTTTCCTGGACCGGTTCGGCCGTCGCCTGTGGCGCCTGCGTGTCACCGGTGCTGAGATCCGCATCCTGTGTACCGACCCTGCCACCGGCATGCCCTACCCTCTCCGTGTCATCATCAGCAACACCTACGGGTTCATCATCCAGGTTGAGCTGTACATTGAGCGCAAGTCCGAGAAGGGCGAGTGGATCTTCCAGAGCATTGGCGGTACCACCAAGCTGGGTTCCATGCACATGCGCCCGGTCTCTACTCCTTACCCTACCAAGGAGTGGCTGCAGCCCAAGCGTTACAAGGCTCACCTGATGGGCACTCAATACGTCTACGATTTCCCTGAGCTGTTCCGCCAGGCCTTCCAGAACAGCTGGACCCGTGCCCTTGAGAAGATTCCTTCCCTGGCCAGCCAGCGCCCCCTGTTGGCGAGTGCATCGACTACAGCGAGCTTGTTCTAGATGACACCGACAGCTTGGTTGAGGTCTCCCGTGAGCCCGGTACCAACACCCACGGTATGGTTGGTTGGCTCGTGACTGCTCGAACTCCTGAGTACCCTCGCGGCCGTCGCTTCATCATCGTCGCCAACGATATTACCTTCCAGATTGGTTCCTTCGGTCCCCAGGAAGACAAGTTCTTCCACAAGTGTACCGAGCTGGCTCGCAAGCTTGGTATTCCTCGCATCTATCTGTCTGCCAACTCCGGTGCCCGTATTGGTATGGCCGATGAGCTGATCCCCTACTTCTCTGTCGCCTGGAACGATGCCGCCAAGCCCGAGGCTGGCTTCAAGTACCTCTACCTCACCCCCGAGGTCAAGAAGCGTTTCGACGCTGCCAAGAAGAAGGAAGTCATCACTGAGCTCATCCACGATGATGGCGAGGAGCGTCACAAGATCACCACTGTGATTGGTGCCAAGGACGGTCTTGGTGTTGAGTGTCTGAAGGGCTCTGGTCTCATTGCCGGTGCCACTTCCAAGGCTTACGAGGACATCTTCACCATCACCCTGGTTACCTGCCGTTCCGTTGGTATCGGTGCTTACCTGGTTCGTCTCGGCCAGCGTGCCATCCAGGTCGAGGGCCAGCCCATCATCCTGACTGGTGCTCCTGCCATCAACAAGCTGCTTGGCCGTGAGGTCTACACCTCTAACCTGCAGTTGGGTGGTACTCAGATCATGTACAACAACGGTGTCTCCCACATGACCGCCAACGATGACTTCGAAGGTGTGCAGAAGATCGTCGAGTGGATGGGCTTCGTTCCCGACAAGAAGGGTGCTCCCATCCCAATCCGCCCCTGGTCCGACGACTGGGACCGCGATATCGGCTACTACCCGCCCGCCAAGCAGGCCTATGACCCCCGCTGGTTGATTGCCGGTAAGCAGGAGGAAGAGGGCTTCCTGCCCGGTCTGTTCGATAAGGACTCCTTCGAGGAGGCTCTTGGTGGCTGGGCCCGCACTGTGGTTGTTGGTCGTGCCCGCCTTGGTGGTATCCCCATGGGTGTCATTGCCGTCGAGACTCGCTCCGTCGAGAACGTCACCCCGGCCGACCCTGCCAACCCCGACTCCATGGAGATGATCGCCCAGGAGGCCGGTGGTGTCTGGTACCCTAACTCCGCCTACAAGACCGCCCAGGCTCTCCGCGACTTCAACAACGGTGAGCAGCTGCCCGTTATGATCCTTGCCAACTGGCGTGGTTTCTCCGGTGGTCAGCGTGACATGTACAACGAGGTGCTCAAGTACGGTTCCTACATCGTCGACGCCCTCGTCAAGTACGAGCAGCCCATCTTCATCTACATTCCTCCCTTCGGTGAACTCCGTGGTGGATCCTGGGTCGTCGTTGACCCCACCATCAACCCCGACCAGATGGAGATGTACGCCGACGAGGAGTCCCGCGGTGGTGTCCTCGAGCCCGAGGGTATCGTCAACATCAAGTACCGCCGCGACAAGCAGCTGGACACCATGGCCCGTCTGGACCCTGCCTACGGCGAGCTCCGCCGCTCACTGGCGGACACTTCTCTCAGCAAGGAGCAGCTGGGCGAGATCAAGGCCAAGATGGCCGAGCGCGAGGAGCAGCTTCTGCCCGTCTACCTGCAGATCGCCCTTCAGTTCGCCGATCTTCACGACCGTGCCGGCCGCATGCAAGCCAAGAACACCATCCGTCAACCCCTGCGCTGGCAAAACGCTCGTCGCTTCTTCTACTGGCGTCTGCGCCGCCGTTTGAGCGAGGAGCTGATCGTCAAGCGCATGGCCGCCGCCTCCGCTACCCCGGCCCCACTCACTGGTGCCGCTGGCGCCATCCCCGCCGAGGGCGTCCACACCACCTCCGAGTCGCCCCGTGCTGCTCACCTCCGCACCCTGCATGCCTGGACCGGTATGCTGGATGATGAGCTGGAGCACGACGACCGCAAGGTCGCCATGTGGTACGAGGAGAACAAGAAGGCTGTCCAGACTAAGGTTGAGTTGCTGCGCACTGAAGGCGTTGCTTCTGAGGTTGCTCAACTCTTGATCGGGAACAAGGAGGGTGGTCTGCGTGGTGTGCAGCAGGTTCTCTCGATGCTTCCTGTTGAGGAGCGCGAGTCTGTACTGAAGTATCTGGGCTCTGCTTAGATTTTCTATGATGCGAGAAGAGAAAATGAGAGTACAAGGCTCTTTTCTTCATGACTTGATGTGTTTTCTTTGATGTTTTACATTTTGTTGGTTTTTCCTATTACATCGGTGTTTGTTTGGTATATGAGATCGATAGTCAGTACATTTAATTGGCTCATTATTATTTCATTCTGTCCAGAAAATCTGTTCATAGACTTCAAATAGTCATCGTAAGATACTAGAAGTGTAGCCATGAAGTGTGTAATGCACTGCCGTACTCGGCCACCGCCCTATGCCGTCCGCCACGGCCCTCATGTCTAATGCCTACCGAACTTGCGAAAACCAACCCCGGGACGAGATCCGTCAGCCACCATCCTCTGCCGACTCTTTTCCAACGCCGCTAATTCGTGGCCGGTGGCCCATCCGACAAGCCCTAACGACCGCCACCAAGCAGGGCAGACCCGGCTAGCTTGTTCTAGCGTCCAGCCGAGACCACACTAGCCCGGCCTCAGTCTCTGCCGCGAGTCAACAGCCCCTGAAACAACGGTGGGGACCGAGTCAAGCGAGTTGCTCACCGATAGCAGGTCCTACACGGAACATTGCGCAAGTGCACGGGGACAATGAGTCTGACATGATCGATTTCGAAAGTTTCGGGTGATCGATCGATCGGATCGCTGCGCATCACTGCTCACTTTGGATCTTACAATAAATAGTACGATTGCGCTACCTAACCTAAGCAGCGCATCTCGCAGACTTTCCGGCACCAATCGTGCTTTCCGACGAAAGCTGGCGGGTGCAATTTCCTGTTGAGTGGGGACTGCCGATCTGCAGGTCAGACTTCCTGAATCTGGACATGGTATTGGAGCCGCTGATTTGGCACGCGGGGCTGAAAATTGGGACTCGGGTTTTGGGACTATGGTCGAACAATGCGTTTCTCTTATCCGCACATCCGTGCAGGATTGGGTGGACTTACTTCATTGGAAGATTAGCTGGCGGGCTGATTGGTAGCCGATGGGTTGAAACATGGATGAACTGGAGTGGTTTTATGGTTCTGTTTACTTCAGACACGAATGGTTAGTATACCTGACCCTATCTGTATATACCTGCTGGTAGAGGATTGAACACATTCCTTCAGAATTAGCTATTGTAGACTCAGACGGCACGACTCCGGCTAATTACTGTCAATAGCATTTAACTGCATTCCTCCTGCAGTGAAGGACAATACGCGGAAATACATCTTCATCTCCGGTCAAGGCGTGATCTCCACTTGGGCTCGTGGCAACTCCACCTTTGTAAGGGACAAAGGCGTCAGAACCCGACAGAAAATCAGGAACGAGCCTTGTACTCGTTGAGGCTGGCTCGTGTTCTCGAAGGTCCTCTCCACCCGCCCGCCCACCTCTTACCCGACTGTCTAGACTTGCCAGGGAGATGATCGCGCTAGCTGGACGTGGTAAGTGTCCATCGTTCCCCTTCCTCCCGGGCTAACGCTGACGCTGATATCAAAATTTGATTTTTACCCCGTACAGTCCGCCTCCTTTCTCTCCACAACTTTACGTCTTGCTCGAGCTTATGTTTGAGACGTATCACAGGGCTGAGTGAGAATTGAAAGACATCATGGTTGTTTATGCGGATGCTGCGCCGGGGTTGGCGGGGACTACGATCTTGTTGACGATCTTGGCTTTGTTGACATATGGAATGCGCGCTTATTGCAGGTTGAGTCGGAAGTCGTGGGGGGTGGAGGATTGGATTATGACTGCGGCGCTGGTTAGTATCATTATCACTGGGAGAGACTGTACCCAGAACGATCGACTAATATGTGCAATGTCTACAGGTACCATTCTCCGTGCTTGTGGCTGGATGTCTTGGAGGAGCATTCAATGGGATTGGCGCGCATACTTCGACACTCGCCAAGCCGGGCAATGAAAAGTACAGCACCGAGGCACAGAAGGTGAGTGCTGCTCTTCGCCTAACGACTATCCAGGACGACGCTGATCCATGTCTTCGACTAGTTCTTCCTCATCTTTGAAGTCGGCTACTGCGCAGCCATTATCCCGATCAAGCTCAGCATCAGTTGGATGCTGATTCGCGTGGCCGAGGGACGAAAGATCTACGTCTACGTGCAATACGTCGTCATCGCATTCTTCGTGGTGATGAATATTATCGCATTGATCTTCATTCTGATCAATTGTATCCCCGTGGAGTAAGTATTCCGCAGCCACTCCTCGCTGAAAAGGTATTAACCCAAATACAGCGCTGCCTGGGACGCCGAGGCTCTCGCGAACGGAGGCCACTGCCAACCAAGTTACGTGCTCGCCGATGTGTACTACGCCTGCACAGCTGTCAATATCTTAACCGATTGGGTCACTGCATTCCTGTACGTCTTACCCAAGCAAATTCTACACAACAACACGACCAAGGAAATCAATTTTAACACCAATACAGACCAGTCCCGCTGCTATGGAACGTCCAAATCAACCGCAACACCAAAATCTCCATCATCGGCCTAATGGGCCTAGGAGTTTTGTACTTAGCCCCTCTCCCTCCCCGCCCCAGATAAACAAAACTAACCACTACCTACCAGCGCCTCCCTCTCAGCCTGCATCCGCCTAAAATACACTGTCGCCCTTACCAGTCAAACAGACTACCTCTACGAAGTCGCAAACGTAGTAATCTGGGGCTTCGCAGAAAACGGAATCGGGATGATGGTCGGCAACATCGCAACGCTGCGCCCTCTCTTCCGCGTGCTACGTGACCGCAAAACCTCCGACTACAAGTACGGTAACTCCAACTCCCGCTTCAACAGCCGTGGCGGCGCTATGTTTTCGCGCAACTATGAGCTTGAGAGCGGGAAGCATCTCAATCATACTACTGCTGAGGTCGATCATACCCGCCTTGGCTCGAGTGATGGGGAGAGTCAGAAGGAGATTTTGGAGAATGGGCAGATGCTTGGTCAAGCGGATATTGTTGTTAGTCGGCAGGTTGTTGTTGCTTATGATTGATTGATTGATTGATTGAACGTGAGTGATTGGGAGGGGGTTTGTATTACATTTAATCTCTCTTTTCTCTCTTTTATTTTCTTGTGTTTTATTAATGGTTTTGGTTTTAGCGTTTGTTTTGCATTAAGTGGGGTCTCGTGTACATATTATAGATACCCTTGACATGGCATTCATTTGGTCACTTTCATTCCATCTTGGCAGCAGTAACAGTTATCCCAGTTGACGCGAGGAAGATTCGGCCGTTCCGTTGCGGATTGTATGGACGGGCCGTAGAAATGTATCATACCCGCCTCCTGAAATGTCTATTTGGTGATTGCTTGTGTTGGATTATCGACGTTTGCCCCTGGCCACGCCTTTCCGTTAAAACCTGGTAGATGGTTCTGAGCGCTTCTCACGACAGGCGCTCGTCAGGTATCACCAATATGCTAGCAGTTAAGGTCAACTGTGAAATGAAGCAGCCAATCGCTTGGTTCTATCGGCCGCAGAGTAGGCAGCACTTGAATGTGACTATTGTGGCTGTGATTCGATAGCGTCAAATGATACGGTGCCGAATTAAAGGCGTTCAGCTGTTCATTCAAATGATCAAGAAGAGTATCCGTATACATGGAATGCAGAATTATCTCCTTCCCGAGTCTGAGAGGGAGTCATCTTTCCTACAGGATAGGAATAGGGTCAACGCCCACGCAAGCCTCGAGGCCATGGCAGTTAAACCAAACATATTGGAGCCTGGAAGCTGTTGGAATGGAGCTGGACTAAGTTGTCCACCTGCGATTGACCGGTCTTTTCGAGGACAGGGCGCCTCGTGGGTTTGATGGACATGCGAGCTCGAGACAGCCGTACCCATACCGGTTCGCATCGTTCAAGTTCGATATGGTGTGAAGATGGCGGAAGATGCTGATGATGTATAATGACCTTTCACCCTTATGGGCTTTGGTGATAGGCGTTCTGTTCCTCGCGCAGCTTCTCTTGCACCTCCGGGTACATCAATTCTGATCGGTTGACTTCACTTCCACCGCGTATTCAATCGATTAAACGGATCAAAATACCACTTCTTATCATGCGTAGCCTCACCATTCTGCTGCCGACGGAGCTCGCGTTCACGCGCCCTTACTCGCTTCCAGTAATTGCGGCTCTTGGACTTTGATCGCCGAGTGCCGACCCATTCGAGTGGCCGTGTATACCAGGCACCCATGGTGGCTGATGTAGTAGACGTACTGACACGGGGCTTCGTGATCGGATGAATGTTGAGAGTCGGCGGTCGGTAGGAGGGAGGGGTCGATATGTCTAGAATTCCTGTGTGGGCAGCCTTGGGGTTTATGTAAAGACGAAGTGCTGGGGGCCTGACTGCGCCCCGCCCGGGCACAGAAGCGAGGCTGTGAGTGGCGGGTGAGCGGCGCTGCGAAAGACCGCTTGGGGTTAGTGTGGACCCTGACAAGAACTATAGAGTAGGTGGATGAGGATGGACTTAGTTAAATAGAAAGATATGAACTTCGTTGACATGCTCATTCCAAAGGCAATAGCATCGCCGTTCAACTGCGATTTTCATGTAGATTGTAGCCGGGGGGACCAGGCAGAAAATAGAGAGGACAGGCACTCCCTTCTCTCCTCCTATTCCCTCAGCGACCAGCAGTGCGTCGTTTTCGGACTCCTGACAAAATTCGCAGTTCAGCAAAGGACACACACCGAAAGAGCCACGAATGAAGCCACTAACCTCGGGTATGGGGACGCCACGGTCCGGGTCCCTAACTCGCAGCAGTTCTACCTGGACGACGCCGGCGAGCGTCAATACCACGTTCAAGTCTCCTGGCCACTACAGTGGCAGGACCACGGCCCCCCAGATGGCCATCCCATCTCCATCATGTGAGTGCAAGCGCATCATCTTAACGAAAGAGTCTATCCTGGCCCAGCAGAGCATAGCTAACACAAACTACTACTCGCTATATGGTGGATGGAAACACCCTGTTCGTGACTGCCAGCGAGTCCGCATGGAGGCGTGAGCTCTAATCGCGATGGATCGGCGGGTTTTTCATTGTCGCTATCGGATATTCGGTCAATGGGAATTGCTGGATGATGTGCGGCGGTTCCAAGATCTCGCCCGGTACAAGCCCAAGACCACCGGAGACAAAGCGGACCAGTTCTTGGGCTTCATCATCAACTGTGTCCGCCCGGCTATCAAAGACCGTTTCCCGGGGGTTTTCCGTATGGCCATGTATACGGAGGACTGTCCTCCACACTTTTCCGGGGGCCGTTCAAGCTCAACGCATTCTTTGCGAACAGCCCGACGGACCGGTTGAAGGAATGCATGGAGAAAGAGGGCAAAGAACCCCTCAAGGACAAGATTCATTTGTTGATCCTCTTTACGGGCAGGTATGAACAGTATCCCCCCCGGTGGCATGATGAATCGCCCGAGGACTACGAGGTCCGCAAGAAAACCGCCCGACCCATGCAGATGATGAACAACATCAACAGCCTTCTGACGATCCTGGACAATTGTAGCAATTCCAATGTCGTTTGAGGCTTCAATTTTCCGAACGAGGAGCACCTTGGGGTCATCTCATCCTCTGTTAGCCGGATGATACAGATTTTCCTGGAGGAATGACCCAACCCCGAGCTGAACCCCGAAACCGATGATATGCAATGAATTCAGACCGCATACACCACCACTGTTCTGCCGCCGAATCTTGAACCCTCTTCTCTCCCCGACGCCGGCACAGACCAATGATGACCTTACTCGTGTGATACCGCCACCCTCCCGCCGCCATTTACTTTCTCGATTTCTCCTGCTTTTACACAGTTTCTGAAAGGTTTTCAGACGGCCGTTTGGAGTCAGGTTGTCTCAGATATTTCTTGAAGTTCGATCGATTTTTAGCGTGACAATTCCCCGTGTATTACTATCGCCCTCGTGCCGCCGCAACCGAACCCACGGTGGATCCACACCGACGAGACGTGAAAATCGAGTACTCGAACGTGTCCATACCATCCTCAGGACTTTCGAGCTTCGCCCAGGCCGAATATTTATGCAATTTTTGGAGCTTGGGGTGTGATGAATATGAAATGGTTATTGCTATCGATCTTGTCCGATCCTGACTCGAACCGACTCGGTTAGATCGCGCCGAAGAAGAGAACGTTTGCCAAGAATCTCAATCGGTGACTGGTCAGGGATATTTAGCTTAAACTCTACAGCTTGCCCAGTAAGCTGCAGCAGAAGACTAGGCCGGATTTGCCTGAATTGGTTAGTCACGGTGCCAAGCGTCGGAGGTTTCCGGATCGCGTGGAGTAATCAATCTAATCAGATCGCGACCCTGATATGCCGAGTGTGTTGTTCGGTACGGTATCCATGGCCCCTGCTTCGATTTGGGTTCTATCCTTAGGCTATATTGTATACTATAACATCTGTTCTCATATTTGCGGTGCTGGGATTTCCTGCTACGATGTATTTTATACGAGGTTATATCAGCTTTGCTATGCCCAAGAGCCCATGGATGGAGCGAGGCAAATGGGCATTCTAATACTACAGCAGAAATACTTAGTGAAAAGCTCTAGACCAATTCCATCAAGAAATAGTGTCTAATAGTAGAATAGTCGCCAATGGTCGGCTAGAAGCGGGGCCAGACAAGCCCCCAAAAATCTCCCCCCGATCATGCGGAATTTTAACTGACACGCACAAATTGAAGAAACCCGCCCCTGCCGCATGAGCCACAAGTAAATCATTGTGGCAGGCTCCAAGTGGCGCCATTATCGCCACTAAGACTAGCTCATCTAAGGGGTTCAAACCCGCCGTGACTGATTTGTAGCTAGCAGGTCCCTGGGGAAAAAGAGCGGCCGCTAGCCGTAATTATGGCCTCCTCGTAACGCGCGGTACCGACAACGGTGGCATCGAACTTGGCAAGTCGTCGCTTATGCTCTGACTTCGCATGTTTTTTCTTGGTCTCTTGGCCAATCAGGCAGAGAAAACTCTGACTGCCCCAAAATAGTCCAGTGCCGAGAAATCATCTCACCTGCGCTGCAGAGGAATGCTGCGACTTCGGTTCGGCGGTTGCGAGATCGGATACTTAAAGCCGAACGATTCCCACGTTCTTGAGATATTGATTGCGGGTCGTGTGTTTTCTCGTTGATCTGGCAAGATGGCTATTTTGAGCAGACTCCATCGCATTGTCGGCGATAAGTCTGAGACAAATACCCAGGATGTCATTGAAGAACCGAATACGGTGCAATTGGGGGCCGATGATAAGGAAGCTGCGCATGTTCCGGTGGATGAGGTTGTTGACGATGCGAGCGAGAAGGATAAGCCGGCTGAGAATGCTCAGGAGGGTGTGAGGAAGATCGAGGCAGTAACTTTGGCCTGGAGTAGAGCGTCGATGTTTACGGTCTTGGTATTGTGAGATTTCTTGTTTTTGCATGTCTTGCTCTTGGATGAGTTGGTGACTGACTCGATTCCCTGCAGGATCTGGTTTCTTACGCTCGTCAATAACATGAAGAGCACCATGGTCTACAGTTTGACTCCATACGCCACGAGTTCCTTTATGGGACACTCGCTTTTGACTGTGGTTAATATTGTGTCATCTGCTATGACGGCTGCCGTTTACATTCCGATGGCCAAGGCACTGGATCTTTGGGGTCGCGCTGAGGGATTTCTCATTATGGTTGTCTTTTCCATCCTTGGGCTCGTGCTTCTAGCTGTATCCCATAACCTACCGACCTATTGCGCTGGTGAGGTGAGATGAAACCACCGTATCCTTTTATTGGAAACACTTGTTGAGAAGATTCTAGGTCTTCTACTCTGTCGGATTCGGTGGCCTCGTCTACAGCTGGGATGTCCTCGCGGCAGATGTCACGAACCTGCGAAACCGAGGCCTGGCTTTTGCCTTCACCTCCTCCCCGGCATTGATCTCCGCATTTGGTGGATCTAAAGCTGCTGCAGAGTTTCTCCTTCATGTTGACTGGAGATGGGGCTATGGGATTTGGACAATCATTCTGCCTGCTTTTGCGCTGCCTGTCTATCTGCTGCTGGCATATAACCTGCGCCAGGCGCAAAAGAAGGGAATCATTACGAGGGGGAAGAAGAAATGGTCGATCAATTTGCGGAGTATTTGGTGGGTTGTTACAGAGTTTGACTGTGAGTACCCAACAACAGATCATCTGATGCCAACAAAAGCTAATACCGCCTCAATCTAGTGCCAGGCGTGATCCTCTTCGCCGGCGGCTTCGTAGTCTTTCTCCTCCCCTTCACCCTCGCCAGCAGCGCCCCAGACGGCTGGAAAACAGGCTACATAATCGCAATGATAGTAGTTGGCTTCGTGGCAATCATAATATTCGGCTTCTACGAAACCTACCTCGCCCCTGTTCCATTCCTAAACTACAAATTCCTCACCGACCGAACCGTCCTCGGCGCCTGCCTCCTGGACATGACCTACCAAATCTCCTACTACTGCTACGGGAGCTACCTCTCCTCCTTCCTACAAGTGGTCTACGAGCTCGACGTCGCAACGGCCGGATACGTCGGCAACACATTCAGCGTCGTCTCGTTCGTCTTCCTATTCATCGCCGGCTGGCTGATCCGCGCAACGGGCCGCTTCAGGTGGATTCTCTGGGTCTGTGTTCCGATGTACATCTTCGGACTCGGTCTGATGATCCATTTCCGCCAGCCAGGTGGGTATATCGGGTACATTATCATGTGCGAGATTTTCTTCTCTGTCTCTGGTGGTATTTTTATCCTCTGTGTGCAGCTTGCTGTTCTCGCTTCCGTTGATCATCAACATATGGCGGCGGCCTTGGCGCTGCTTTTCGTCATGGGAAGTATTGGGGGTGCAATTGGGAGCGCGATTTGTGGGGCTATCTGGACGAATACGTTCTACAAGCAGCTTCAGCAGAATCTGCCGGCATCGGCGTTGCCGAATATCTCCCTGATCTATTCGCAACTTCCGACGCAGCTGAGTTATGCTGTTGGGACGCCTGAGCGGGATGCTATTGTCAAGTCTTATGGCTATGCACAGCCCAGAATGCTTATTGCCGGGACTTTGTTTATGGTGTTGGGATTTGCTTGGGTTGCGATGATGCGAAATCTTAATGTTAAGCATATGACACAGACGAAGGGTAATGTTCTGTGATGGCAAAATTGTGTGTTAGGATATGGATGAGATGAGATTAACGAGGAGATTAATATGAGACCCATTATGGATAGTAATAGGAGCATGACTTCGTTCAGACTCAACAAAAGCTTCAAGTTTGGGGCACTGGCTTTCGCGGAACCACTTTCACTTCCACCGGTACCGGCATATTATCATTAGACAGAGATGGAGAAGGCTGAGCAGAGGACTGCGGTAGGGATTTCTTTCCACGCTTTTGGATGCAGCACCTAGGTTGGAATAGGTTAGCTATGCACAGTGACAATAAAATGGAATGTACGTACCAGAATCCAAAGATCAAAATCGCGATGAAAGGTACCCCCAAGCCGACGCATAGTCCGATGATCAGCTTATTGTTAGTTCCGTTTGCTTTTCCGTTTACAATAGCACTTGCTCCCCCGTTCGATGTAGCAGAGGGTGTGTATGACGTCGGCGCACCAGTCGTCGAAGCTATCCTCTTGACATTCGTCCCAAAAGGGATAGCACTCATAACAGATGCAAACGTCTTCTCTGGGAATGTCGGATCAACACCAGACTCAACAGTCACCGTCGCCGTGACAGTCGATTCATAAGACGTGGTATTTTGAAGATTGACAGGACAATTCGCAAGACCCGAGGATATACACCGGACAATCGTATATGTCTCTTCAGTCGTGACCGATGTCGTAATCAAATCATCTCGCTGACCAAGCTCTGACCGAGGCATAATTTGAGCCGAAGGGGTCGCTGACTTCATTTCGGCACAAGTACTGGCCAGTGTGGTATACCAGATGGGGATGGTGGTGTCGGGCGCTGGACCCCAGGAGTAGTCATCGATTGCGACAGTTGCTCCGGCTGCGGCGCCGACTGCAAGAGTGTATTCTGCGAGGGCTTCGAGCTCACATTCTCCTTCATCTGCTGTCGAGGTTCCGTTTACTTCGACTACAAAATCGGCAACGTAGGCGAAGACGTCGGCTCCGATTCCGGCGCTGTAGCTCGGTAGGATGCTGAGGTCGCCCGAGGCGAATTCGACGCCCACGCTTGCTTGAAGTTTTAGAATTGCTTGAATAGTGCCATGGCCTTCGATTGTGATTGGAAGAAATTCGTAGGAGCCACTTGGTCTAAATGAAATCAGTCAATATGGGCGCAGTGTGGTATGAAGCGATGCAGCTTACAGTGTAACACCGGAAACATTACTCTGGAAGAGTTCCATATCAAAAGCAAGTCCATCGTCAAGCTTGATGTGGATTCCGCTCCCGATATCTACCTCGGCAGTTGCGATGAGAATCAAGTCAATGCTGAAGACTGCGCCCACGGTGAGACCAGGGATCTTAATTCCCGCGGGGGTTTCAGAGGAAATAAGATTCAGGGTATAGGTAGCACCTGCGGCAAGCTGGATTTCGAGGTCCAGGTATAATTCCAGATTATCGAACTCGAAATGGACCTTAGCCCCCGGGACATTGGTGAGGTTGTTTAGACTGAAATCAAGGTCGAGAGTGGGGAATGCCTGAATGTCCGTGTTTCCATCGGAGAGGCTTGTCCAGGCATCCTTAGCGTATTCTTCTAATTGATCGATGGCTTCGTCCGTGATATTTGTGACTTCATTCTTGAAACTGTTTACCGTGTCGGCGAAGTCGCCTGTGATTGTCATGTCGCCGGTGACAGAGCCGTTAACGTAGCAAGTTACACAGTTTATGGCGATGGAGCTGGGGAGCTGTTAGGGTCGCTTCGTTATGTAGATGGGCTTTCAGCGGGAGGTAAAGAACATCATACTTGTCACTATACTGGAACAAGGTAGCACCAGACCAGCTCTTAGCAAGAGAGGTCTTATTCATCGGATGGGTGGACTTGTTGGATTGAGCTCGAGCGACATGAAGTGCTCGCCCGAACTCATTGATCGTATCGATATCGGTCTTTCCGGGGGCATTTCTGGTGCGGAGCGCGACCTCACCTGGAGGAAGCGCGGCGATAATACCAAAAAGATATAGAAAGCATGATAAGATCGCCAGGAAATGGCCAAGCATTTTGGCTGATGTCGTTCTCTGGCTAGAAGCGTATTGCCTTGGGAATCGAAATGTCTGGCAGGGCCGCCTTATAAAAAACAAACCTCCTGCTCAACTGGTGCGGCTCCGAAGCGAAGCTGAGGCTATGCCGAGTGCGGGCATTGCTCCCCAAGGACAGGGTTCAATGTACATCGTTTGGGGGCCGAACAGGGGTTTGGACAGAACTAAAATATGAAACGCTAAGCATGAAATTCATTTCCTTGACGAATCGCTCAATTTTTGAGGGAAAAATCTTTTTCGTTAAATTTCAGATGAAGCCAGTTAAAAGAATTGGCTATAACCTTGTACCATCCTCATAGATTTCCAAAAATAAATGGTGAAAGATGCTCTCTGGGACGACGGGAACAAAAGTACCAGCTGTGCCGTTCTCGTGCAGAAGGAACACATGGCCCCGCCCCATTTTGGGGGCTGGGCTGCTGTGCCGCCAAACACGATGGTGTGAACACATGCGGCTACTAGAAATGGACCAAAAAGATTCTCTTTCTGCCAGAAAAGGTCCCGATATGGACGTGACAGCTGGCCGTCATCACAAGGCGGATCAGTCTGGACCGCTTCCACCGTGGACGTCAACATTATCGGAAGATATCGCTTGTTAGACCATGCCGCGAAATCGTCAAATGTCCTATCACGAAAAGGTAGGGGCGGGGTAAATATGCAGGTGTGCACGAAGGCTGCTTGAGGACGGAGTATAGTCCTAGAAAGGCTCTTGGACCGTGGTGAACGGATTGGATATCAATATCCGAATGTACAGGCTACAGGGGCCCCTAAAAAAGCGTCCTTTTTCGCAAATAATAGAATTCCAGAAAGAGTCCTTAAAATATTTTCAGTTGCGAGGTATGGGCCTACCTGTCATCCTATTGATCCTTTCCTTCTTCATCAACACGATCGCAGCATGCCCAACGTGAAGCCTCATGGTCGAGATGAGATCCTACCCAATAAACGAAAGGAACGGTATTCCTCTTTCATGAGGTTGGCAAATCATAACTGTGGAAGTTTTCTCAGGGCATCAAAGCGATACAAATTGAAGATAAATTACCTGTAGGCAGCTTTGGGATCGGTGCGGTCCTCGGGTCCAACAATAACGTCGTACTCGCTGCGGGTTCGTCGAAACACATAAACAATTTTTCTTTAGGATCGCCGTCTGGCAAATTGCCAATCGTTTCATTCTGGTGAGGGTGTCTGATCCTTGTATCTCACAGGTTCAGGCAGTATCCGTAGTAAATGTTGGATCGGCGGTCGAAGGACGGCCTCGAAGCTTGAGCGCGCGGTTCGCCATCTTCTCCCTTCTCATTCCGGGCCGCAAGAGAGATATGACAAACGGGGGATATAGAGGTACAATAGAGAGGTAGGCTTCAGAACGCCAGCCGCGCTGGAGATAAAGCACCACCCTGGTTAGAGTAAGGAGGGGAGAACAGAAACGATGCGTGCTTGCAGTAGTTATAGTTTCCTAAAAGATCAGACAGCCAACCAGCGGCCAAACACACATCCCAAGGCAATGTGAGTATTGACTGAAAGCCCTAGAATAAGCCTGTCTCTTCGTTGAATACCAGATTAAACTAGAACTTTCGAAAACCTGCAGCGAATCCAGGATCGACTGGCTGTGGTAAATCACGTGATCTTTCACGAGGCTCAGCTACGGCTAGGGATATGGTTTTTAATTCAAGGCTTTGGAAAATACGCATTTTTTTGGCCTTACAAGATTTTCAAAAGCAAAATGTTTTGCTGCAGTCCACGTGACTGATCAAGTCAACCTAATCCGGTAGTCGCATTGCGTTGTCACATACAATAACTGCATGAACCTTACACAGCATTTCTGACCTAGACATCATCCACGCTCCGTGATCGCTTGCCAAGACTATTACTTTTGCCGCCGATGCCTAGGATTCGGCTTCGATGGAGCAACCGCTCAATTTCCTCATCTTCCCACTCAAGCTGCTGCCGTTCTCGCTGATCCTCGTCCTCCAAGACTTGCTCCACCTCACTCAAATCCCTGCGATTCATGAATATAAACCAACTTGTCGACGCGATCTGCGTCCAGACGATTCCGAATTTTTGTGTGTTGCAAGCCCCATGCTGAGATGCCCTCTCCGATGCTACTACATTCGCAGTGGTATGGCAGAGCCGCAGAGCCAACTGTGCCAAAAGTCGGGATGACCGGACGGTCGTCATCTTTACACAAAATTGTCAGCACTTTAGAAGAAACTGTGATTTTTCCTAAGGTGTGCTTACCTGCATTCTCCAGAAACGAATAGGGTTATCGATGAAATCCCAGCAAACACTTTTGAAGAATGACCCTTGACGACCTCGAAAAGTAAAGAACTCATCAATAGCTTCCGCAGATGCATCAATGTTATCCGGACTAACACAGTATTTTTGAATCGTCCTGATTACCTGGTCCCGCTTCGTAATAGGGGTCTTGGAGCTGTGATTTTTCGGGTCCAGATAAAACGCAGCCCAGTGAAGGTCGGTCAGTTGACGGTCAATCCGCGGAGTCAGATCATGTGGAATGAACTCAGCCAGGTCCTTGCCGAGCGAGCTCCCTTCCTGACATTGCTGAATATGAGCTCGCAAGGACATCCACCGGCAGACTACTTTCATCAGATTTGCACCGCCCGATTCCGACATCCGGATCGCCTCATCCAAAGGCTCGATCAGAACCAGAAGCTCATTCAACTGGCCCCAGAACTTATGGTAATTAGCCACAGTTGCCAACTCTCTTCCAGCCTCGCCAAGGTCCGTATGTGTTGTGAAATATGCGCGAAGAGCCTGCTCGGATCTTTTCACAGACATCAACATCCGATACTGAGTACCCCACCGAGTACTCACCACTGCCAAGAGAGAGAGTTCCTTTTTATAGAACCTTTGCTGCAAGGCTCGAAGTTTGGCAAGCTGTAAATGAGCGGTATTGAAGTAGCTCACAATGCTTGCAGCCCGCTTGAATACAGACACTATCGTTGGCAGACTGAGGAGATCTTGCATCAGAAGCTGAAGCCCATGCGAATCGCAAGGGATAAAGAAAACGTGCTTTAGTTCGTCTCGTGTACGGAGCTCCCCCCATGTCGCAATCATTGTACTGCAGGTATCGGTGACAAGAGCATTTAGCCTCTTCCAGTTACCATTAACTATGGAGCAAGCCTGGCGGTGTTAGAAAATACCTAGTAGGACCGAATAAGAGAGATTTACCTGCTCTCGAATCCAGCTTCCAGTCGCAGCAGCAGTCATCCGTTCATTCCCAACGTCTTTGTTGCATTAATAGAAGGATCTATTCTGGTCAAGCACAGAAGATTGGCAATGCGCCGTTTCTGTATGTCGGTGCTCTCGTCTGCCGTGATGTTCTGGTATTCAATTTTGTCTACCTCGGAATCCACTGACTGTCTAAACGCCATATAGCAGTCGTCAAGTAACCTAGTCCCAATAGTATCGTGACTTGGAGGATGGAAGGTAGGGTCTAGTGCATGCAAAAACGCGAGCATATCTTGATCGGCGAAGAGGGTAAATGGGCGTGCTCCTGAAAAGACGGCCATTGCCAGTAAAAAGTTAGGCCTGTCTCGCTGACTTGAGCTCTTCCCCATTGTCAGCAGACGTTGCTGGCTTCTCTGCACTATTGCTGTCTGTTTACCGGCTTCCATCATGGCTGTTAAATAAGGTACACAGGTTTTAAGGTGATCAAGCTGTTGCGACGGGTTCTTTGCTTTAGTCCAATTGCTGTATCGACATTGCACTTTCAGGAGCTAGGACAGTTAGTGCATTCACCCCATAAGATGAAGTTTCCCATACCTTATCATCAGGGTTGACTGATCTATACTCTCGGAAAGCTGCCTGGACCTCTTTATTGATGTTTCGACGCCCTCCTGAGCCAGCACCTCCCATTGCGTTGCGTGGATTTCCCAATTCCTGATTAGCCCTCAAGCAAGTGCAGCAGAAGCTATCCATGAAAACATTTCAATTATATATAAACGTGCATTGCGGCCCATCGCTATGCTCAATAGCTCGGGGAAACCAGATCTGATTGTTGATTGGCCCAGGGATTCCACTTCATTCTCGGAGGAGGTAATGCTATTGGCCCTCATCGATGACTAATAGTTTCGGACTTTCAAATGTTTTGAACTTTTTGACGAACTGAGGGGGTGGTCAAATACCACTAGGACCCTTCGGGATGGGCTTATTCATCGTTCACCCAATTCTCCCTAGTATGGTTTCATAACAAGCCACAGTTCGATTATAAAGACCCCTGAGATCGCTCAACCGATCTCAACAACCTTCAATCCATCATCTTATTCTATTGGGACATCTTCAGTACTAGCCAGTACATCAATTCCTCGTCCTGACATTATGTTATTTGTCACAAATTTTGAAAATACGGTACTTGCCAAAACACAGCAAAAAGTGTCAGGATGGGGAATTGATGTACTGGCTAGTACTGAAGATGTCCCAATAGAATAAGATGATGGATTGAAGGTTGTTGAGATCGGTTGAGCGATCTCAGGGGTCTCCCTTGTTGAACTGTGGCACGTTGTGTAAACACATTAAGGCAAATTGGGCGAACGATGAATAAGCCCATTCCGAAGGGTCCTAGTGGTATTTGACCACCCCCTCAGTTTGTCACGTAACACTAGCTACGGCTTGTTTATTATCACGTGACTATACGCAACAAGGGCCCTGCAGTTGTATCACACAATCCCTGTCCAATGCGATGCTCCTAGCACCATGCAATTGAATCCCCACGCACACTACTATGACTTCACAAAGAACCCCGATATCCCCAGTAAAGCTAGCGGAGACATAATATGTGACTCGGCGTTCATAGAACCAGCCTCATTTTTGCGAATGACAGGAATACAGATTAATTCGATTATTGATATTAAGTTGGAAATTTTATGGTATGTAGCAACGATGAAGATAGAAATGGTGCCTTTACAGAACAGCACCAAGAAGGAGCGCGGCACCCGAAACAAGGAGGGTGTTTAGTCCGGGAGCCAGGGAGCTAGCGGCATTTTCTAGACAAACGGAACATTTAGCTTTATGCCCCTGACACGACTAGATATTGACGAGAATTCTTACCTTCGCTCTCGCACTGGGTCTGAAGATCTTGGAATCGCTCCGTGAATTCCGAAAGCTTGGAGGAAGCTTGGCTCAGTTCGCTCATGTCGCAGGTGCTTGAGATGCAAGAGCTCAGATCATCGGCACCGTCCTGGACCTCGGAGAAAGAGTTCTTCACGCCGCACAGGCACGACACACTGGCCGAGTCAGAGCTGCCACATGCATCCTCCAGACCAGCGCTGGTGTAGAATTTGTCCATGCAAGTGTCAATACACTTGGGCATGTCGCCAACCACGTCATCCCATGTTTTGAATTCGGCGGCGGCGAATGGAGCGAGGGCAAGGCCGAAAAGGGTGATAGGAAGGAATCGCATGATTATGTTTGATAGGCTCGGTATTATGATAATGGAATATGTTTGTGGGTAAAGGCAGCGAACGCGTTTAGAGAAAGAATAATAATCACGGATCAAATGTAGGAGTTAGCAGCTGAATATATAATTTCCGATCATGCCTGAGTTCCTTTGGAGGCTCGAGTCGAGAGCTTCGCTTAGAATAACTAGATTCCCCAAAGATAACAATTTGTGTCGATCAGGGTCCGATCAGAGGCTGAAGGCTCCTGAAATACGAGATGCGCGACCAGCTCTGAAGCGGATGGCGTCTTGGCGAAGTGCTATCGTTTTTTCAGTGGTGCGGATGCAGCCGCCGTGGGTGCGAACAGCGAAAAGTGATAAGCCGTATACGAGCCCTAAGATTAAGCCAAGGCTAGAATGGGACGAAGTAGGACGCTCGATGGAGGAGCTCTCGTATAAACCCCACCGAGCCGCCCGCACGAGCCACAAATAGCACACTCGCCCAAAGAATGCCGGAGGCCGTCTCCCCGACGGGAATTGACTTCGATTTTTGTCCTACTGAGTCTGATTGAAACGGCGTAGAAACAGCCTTAAAATTTGAGGCTCTGTGAGCTGAGCAGTCAGCATCAGGTTCATTGGTCTGGTGATGCGGGTGTATTCTCCAAGTAGTCTCAGATTCTGGCCCATCGGACAACTTTTGCCAACTGCAAAGAGTCCTTATCCATTCGATAAAGTAGGACACCTTATTTTGTATAACATCGCCGGTGGCAGGGGGTGATTGATCACAATACATCTCACAAAGGAAAATAAAATTTCACAACACAGCCTCCAGGGCTGCGAAAAAGCGGGCTGACCGCATAGGGCAACGGCTACCGGCGGCTCTGACTTTGCATTTGCCAAAAGATGGTAGCGATGCTCCCAAGGGCAATTCCCGCAATAAGCTTTCACGAAATACCCCAGGTGGCCGAGGCGGGATCTCGTGCGGCTTTCATCAGAATTTGATCCGACACAGGGAATGGGAGGTATTCCAACCAAGGACCGACTTCCGAAGAATTGGCATATAATTTCGCTTTGAGTTTGTCACTGGCCCAGGGAACAATATGTTGCGCAGTAACTTGAAGATCCAAGTTTCTTGAGCCTCGTAGCGCGTGATTTGGCCGGAGAGATCGACGACCGTTCTTGCCCGAGGCTCCTGACCATTTCAGTACTGAACGAAGACTTCTGTGAGTTGGCCGAGAGATGGCTTGGGAGACTGTTTGAGCAGAGCCACGAGCCCATTCATGGAATGAGCAATTCCCTCATATGCCCAAGTTCCCACCGAGACCGGGGTTGATTGTACACTGCAGAGATGAGATGTACGCTCGATTCTCCGGCGGAATCAGCTGATTCATGCTTGGCAGGGGGCCCAACCTTATGAAATGAATCGCCAATGAGAACCACCCGATTATGACTCCACTTTTTGATTGTACCTTCCTCTATGGGTACGATGGTAGCTTTCACGCGAGCATCGCAGAGGTCCTTCACAGTGTACACAGGACCCACTGGAGAGCTCCCGTATTCCCGAATACATGCCTCTGCATCGTCATCTGTGTGTTGTGGACACTGAGGAATCCTTGTCCATTTGGCGCTCTTCGCAAAAAGAAACCAAAACACAAGACCCGAGACACCAGCGGCTGCAATTGCAGAGTAATTGTCGTGGTAAACGTTGTGAACCATCGCATCAGGCAACAAAAGCTTTTCGAGGCCATTTTTGGAAACAGCAAAGATACAATTGTACTCGCTTGTAAATGCTGTTGATTGTCAGTAGGGTGTGGCAAAGAGATGGAGGAAAGCCTTGGTTGATCTCCTGTTTATTTTGTTCGCCATCAAACTTCTGACTTTGCTATGAACGCCATCCGCACCGTTAAGGATATGACCATGATGCCGCTCACCATCATCGGTAGTGATAATTATTTCATCTTCCTCCACGTATGCAAGAACAGGGATTTGAGCGTGTAACTTTAAATTATCTTTCACATTGTGGTATAGAGCCTCTAGAGCCTTGCGTCGTTCCACGAAAATAATGGGACGCTTGAGACTTTACATATCCCCAAAGAACCGAATTAGCATGTTCGACTCAAGAAATATCTGAAAAGATGGTCATATATTAGGTTACCTACATGTCATTCATCTCAACGAGAACATGCGAACCTTCAAAAGAATAACCTTCGGCGTTGTAGTGGTTTCGACCTTGCAGAGGAATAACCTGCTTCGCGATGTTTTCCCACACACCCAGTTGCTCTAGAATCCTAATGGCCTCCCAGCTGCGGTACAAAATCTACTTTTTCAATCAGTTCATAGTCGATTCCTGCGCGCTCAAGAGCTAGAGCCCATCCGAGCCTCACGAGACTGCCACCGGCGATGAGCACTTTGAATTGGCCTCTGCTTTGGTCGAGCGAAGCCATTGGGAAAAACATCGAGGTGAGTCGGTATGGTCGAAGGTTTCATGGAATGTGCATCTCCCCCAAGCCGCACACAGATAGGTCGCGTGCAAGTCAACCCCTTTATCATCCACACGCCGCCCGGATAATTTTTCTTAGCCACGCCGTTTGGGCATGATTTAGGTTGCGCCCGGTTGTTAAGGAAGTGGAGATTGCCCACGCCATTTCAGGCCGTGTGAACCATGCGGCCAAACCCTTATCCGGTTGAACGTTTCGAAGGGCATGTGTCTGCGACTCGTCTGAAAGATGATTGTGGCCCGCTGGTTGGAAACGTTTCTTCGGGATCGCTTTGTAATCTTCTTTTAGAATCTGGGAACATTTGCCTTCGGCGCGTCTTCCTGCAACATCTGTTTTTCCCCCTATAAGCCTCGGGGCAAGCTAGCGTCATTTAGTGCATATTATTGTTATCCCCAAGATAAGGCTCGATGATTGTATGGAGTGGCTCACTGCTTCATAGGCTACCGAGTCAGGGGCTAGCGTGCATCTCCTCTCAATGGAATCATCGTGCTTGGACTTCACGAACTTCATTTGGAATAGACTCGACTCCTCGAGACATTATAATGTTATGAGCTGCACAAAATTGTTATGAAGAGCCAAAGGTCGCCTGAGCACTGCATGCTGACCCCGTTGGTCGAAATTTGCTTCCATCGATCGAGTCCGTAGAGCCATGACAACCTTCACTTGCCAGACCTTTAGAATTTACTCCTTCGTGAGAAGATCAGAGCGTGAAGAAGAGTTGCGTAGAATCTGTTTTTAAAGAGAAGGTGGAAGAGGTAAGCTTCGAGTCTCAAGCTTCAGTCGGCGCTAGCCAGAGGCAATCATATCACGGCCTCAGGCAGACAGCTGAGCGCCTTCAGGAGCAGGAGAGGGCCACTCTCGTCCGTATTTTTGATTCGTGCCATTTTACCTCAGACAACTTGCGAGTCCTATCTGTTATGAAGAGGTTTCTCGAATTGGCAAGTGTTTATAGCCAGGAGCTTCTGAATGTCGGGATGATCCACTTACTGGCTCAAGGCTAATGAGTTAGCACCATATCTCGACATTTTCCTGGTTTGACTCGGCTCTCTCGCACGTCCCACTATACCGTGTATTTCTCTGCTATGCGCTCACTTTCGCTGGTTCGGTCCACCTATAACGATGCAACCCTCGATCGAACTCCCGACAGACAATGTGTCCCGGGAATCCTGCTGCGTGAACGGTAATAGCTCGTCAAGTCGGAAGACTAAACCAAAAAGAACGTGAGCATCCTGCGAAGTGCCACTGCATGGGTCGGTAGGAGTAAAACCAACAGACATTCGAGCACCGGAGCGCCTTCCGTCGAATGAGCTGCCCGTGACTTGCGTTCAAATATACACAGTCTGGATCTTTTAGACTGGCACATCTAATAGCACGCTTCAAAACCTTGCGAGTATAACCTCGAATTGCGTGCGACTGTTAGGTGTCATCAAAAACTCTCCCAAAAAATGGCTCCAAGGGTCACCCACGAAGCCCTTCCGAAGAACCAGCCTGGTCACTGTGCTCTTCCTCGAAGGGCCCCAAAATCTTCCTCACAGGATCAATTCAATATGCACCTAAAAGATTCCATCACCGGGCGCTAATACAAGGCGAGTCTGCATACTCCACTAGACCCGATCGTGATTAGCTCCTTCAGCCCTACGGCAAAAGTGGGACTCGACTGGAACTTCTTCTTGGATGACGTCCAATGAAACCATGGGTAGCATCAGGGATCGACCCTGGCTTTTGCTGTTGCCTAACCTCCAGCCATTTTACCTGTGACCCAAGGCTTTCTTCTGTTTTGACAGGGTGAGGTTACACCCATGGCGCAGGTTATGAAACCATCTACTTGCGGACTCAGGCAGCAGGATTACACTTAGTCCCCAACGCTCACAGTTACTTTCATCTTCGTGCAAAAGGGTATCAAACCCAGGGTCTTCGGTGAGTTTTGGGAGTGTGATGCATATTCACAAAGCGATTAATCGATTCATAAGGCATGAGTGTGTTCCATGGGAACATGTTGACGGTGGATCTCAAAGGCTAACTTGGAGAATTCCGCCAGGAAATTCGTGCTTGACAAACTTTAAAGAATACTTGGAGGATATTTCCATCTCATGAATACAGGCTTGTAATGCATCATTCTTTACAGTCTTCCCCCTTACTTCAAATTCGCAGCTTAGCACAGAAAGACCTTCCACCCGCATTATGTGGTCAGAACGGACAAGAGGAAAGAAGAACAACGAGGAACTAAAAGAGCAATCGCGAGTCAGCCTGAAGATGACATGAAGAGGCTTGCTCGTCTCCTACCTTTGTGAAACTATTGTCGAGGAACGTCTTGTTCCATCTGCCTCGGCGTCTGCACAGCCCAGGAAGCGACTGGAGGGGGCTTTTGGATCTCAGGTGAGGTAGGATAAGCCCATTGCTGTATCGGGGGTGGCAGAAAAGAGTCTTGCTGGAGTTCCTTCTCCCGCTTCTTCTCGCGACGCATCTTGATAGTGAAGACGACGATGACGGTGATGACAATGAGAAGAACGATCGGAATGATGATGGCCTTGAGGAGAACCTTTACAAGACCCATTTTGAGCAGGCGAGGGGACACTTGAAGCGAGTAAAAAAGGGTGACTTCGAGAAGCGACTGTTCTTCTATGGGCTGACTAGAATAAGAAAAATGCGTCAAGGGTGCCTTTTGCAGGCCTTTTATAGTCCAACGCCTTACAGGCATCTCTAGTGACGAAGAAGAGACGACAGAGGCGCAGGTAATCACAAGAGAACGAAGAGAAGCAGCGCTTATGTTGACGATGTGGTTGGATGAGCGTTGTCCAGGCCCACGTCGAGGATGTGATGATGCCTGTGTCACCGGCTTGGAGCCATATATAGCCCACCAATGGACTCGTGAGGGGGTTAGTTCGTGGAGGAAACACACTAGTTTGAGAATCCACTTGATCATCGGGCTAAGCTTCAGCCCTATAGGGCTTTTGTAACGTGACCAACGTTGAAGGGTGGAGAATAGCTTGCATGATTATTTTTAGCCACTCATAGGCTTAGGAAGGTTGATGGATAGCTATATTGAATTTTATTGGCGTTCAAGATTACTAATGCCCTCAAAGTTGAAGTGTAATGGCTGCGAATGTAGAGGACTTGTGAAGATAAAGATGAAATTCGGGAATCATCCCGTGGTTCATGTCATTATTAGACGTAAGAGCTTTTATTTCGAGTTCTCTAGGCCTCTTGCAGCTGTAAGTATTCACCAAAGCGCGGCCTGCTCATCTTGAGAGATATGGATATATACCATATTCAAACACACTAGCTTGTTGACCCCTCGGCAGCTCACATTGCGCATTTACATACGGGTTGATACTATAGAAAGTTGGGATGACAAATGGCATCATCATTGCGGACGAAATTTCTTAGATCAATCGAATGACAAGATAACCTCAGGTTGGTCCCGCAGCTCATGGTTTGGCAAAAAACAAGTTAACTATATCCACAGCAGAGCACGGCGCCCAGTAATAAAATTCCGCAGCGAGCACAACAATAAAGAAATTAATCGCGAAGAGTTCAAACATAAATGCTAACCCAATAAATCTCATATAATGAAACCAATTCTGCAATTTGATGAGCCCAACAGCCTCAAATATGCCAATAGAAGCGTCGTTATCCCTATCTTGGCTTGTGGTGCTGCGATCAATTGGCACACTTGTCTGTACATCGACGGGCAGCAATGACGCTGCGACCCTCACATATACCGCTCTCGTGAATGACGAGGCCAATAACTCCAGCAGAGGTGGAATATAAAATTCAGCGGTGGTTGCGATTTGGCCCCATGTGGACGATAAGGGCTCGCCGTTTGGGCCTGAGAGAATGGCATTGACAAATGCCAACAGGTTGCTCGACAAATAGTAAACGCAGGTTGGCAGAATTATATCCAGAAGTACAACTGGAAGTGTGTTAAGAGTCACTAGCAATCCATGGTTTCTGAGAAAGTCAGGCCTTTGTGCGGGTGTTGCGATGACAGTGTGAACCCAGGAGGTATGGAGTCCGGTTAGAGGAAGTGCCAAAGCCAACTTGCAACAAATCAGGGAGTAGAATGTGTGTGGCCGAGTCAATGTTGAGTAGTTCCATACAGCAAGTAAGACCGTGATGAGCATATAAACAGAGAATACTCCGATGCCAGGGAAGAAAGAGCGAATTCCTCGGCTGCGCAGGTGTTGTCTAGCTCGCTTTCGTGTGTTCGTGACAGCGTTCGAACCTGGCGGATGGCCGAATGCCCCTGATATGCTGCTCATGATGAAAGGAAAGCCGGTGCAAAAGTATAGATTTCCCATAGTGATATCGGCGAAACTTTTGGATGACAGGAAGTAGAAACCTGCGAAAGAGACCAAGCTCGCATACAAAGAGATTTTCGATGACTGCAGGAGGTTCTTTTTGATAGTTCGGAGGAATATTCTCTCGTTTTGCAATTCTTCTGTTGTCGAGGCACTCTCTTCTTCAGGTCTTTCCATTTCAGAATCATTGGTCTTTTGATCTTTCTCTGGGTCTCTGGCGCTTGGAGCCTCCAAGAGAGCCAGGATGGGCAGGACGCTTCCATCCGTGTATTCGAACTAAAGCCGTTTGTAAGCAATTCGAAACGTCCCAGGGATCAACTGGGAATCTAGGTCTTACTAGGAAGAAAAACACAATGGAACTGAACAGTACTGTTGTAACCACGCTTCTCGGTATCTCTGTTTCTGAATCTGACACGGCCCTTGTGAATCGAGCGACCGCAAACAGTACAGACTGCCATTGCGTCAAGGATCCTAGTAGCATCTTGCTAGAAGAAAGTAGCAATTGATTCAACTAGAACGGGTCTGCGAGTCAACAATTGATACGACTTTTTAAGGACCAAGGACATCATGAGGCAGCACAATAACGCCAGGGCACTGCCTCAACGCGGGGGGTGGGGGCGGCCCCTAAAACCAAAATAGCACTTTGTGAACGCCCTGGCATTAACAATGATCCGATACACTGGTCTCGGCTAGCTATCATTGCCTGTCAATACGGAAAAAACACTGCTCCGGCAAGCTGACTCGGAGTTATCAACATCACCGTTGGTTTATACTTCAGTGCCCGTGGGCCGAGATAAACTTTTATTCTCATTTCAGTATCCAGAGGCCCTAGAAAACCGATTAAACAGTAAAACAGGATGGCATAAAATGAAAATAAAATCGACAATAAGGTAGAGAATTCAGATACGCGCGCGATTTAAGAATCACTATTGCAGCGAGAAGACGCACCTCGCCTGGAACACGTAGAGTTGCATGTCATCAAGGGGCAGGCTGGAGTTTAGGTTGCGCTTATCTCCGGCCTACATTCGACACATCACTTCGAAGACTATCTGAGACTAGATCGCATTCTCTGCATGTTCGTCCCGGTTTGAGTTAGTCGGCAAACGTCATCTGCTTAGGACCGGCGCCACATGCGACCAGATGCAGCCATGTCAGCCATTCAGCCCTCCGCCAGCGTGTCTGCTACGGTATACCCTCGGATCGAATCGCAACACAACATCCGCCCTTGCATGCCTGCACCACATCACAAAGCCACCAGCAAGGACCGCGTTTGCTATCGCATTCGAAATGCCCTCCTCGAACTTGACTTCCTAGTGCGATCCTGCGCGATATGAAATTCGGCTGCCTTGTGCTCGCCTAACTGCCAATGCTTGGCGACTGGAGGATGCCCGGAGTAAGGCTCGTTCTCGCACTTCGCTCCATTCCTGGTCGCATTAGCAATTCCTCCGTAAGGCTCAGGTGTTATAACCCCCGGCCAGGCCCTGGCTTGGCACCACACGTGTGCTCCTGACCATTTCCGAGTGCTCACCGGCCCCCGATTGTACCAGCGCGATGCGGGAGATCGGCAGATGGGCTGGCCCTACATTTTGGTGCGCGCCAGGGAGGCGGCCTTTAAATACCCCCAAGGAGTGGCGTCGTGCGCCGAGCGGTGATGGCGATTTTGGCGTGGAAAAATGTCTCGACTTGCCAGACTGTCTGGACTGGTGCGGTCACAGGTGTTTACCAAAGTCGCCATCCTCGGCGCTTGTGTGGTGCTTCTTTACTTGTCTTTTCCCTACTTCCGGGACATCCGACACATCGATCAATACTTTGATTCTGCGGAGGAACGACCGATCGAGGTCTTTGATTACAAGGATACCTTTGACGAGAAACGATGCTTCGATAGCGTGACTCCGGCGCCGAATCCCATTCCGAAAATCGTACATGTCGCCTGGTTCGATAATCCGGAGCTGACCTTTATGACCTACTTGACGATTCGATCAGCCATTGTCTCGATCAAGCCCGACCACATCAATCTGCACTATACCTCGTTGAACGAGACAAACAAATGGTTCTTGCAAGTGCGCGACCATGTCCGCCTTGTACAGCACGACCTGGGAAAGGAATATACCACACAGGTCCAAGAGAATTGGCAGATAAAGCATATCAGTGACCTCTTCCGCCTCGACACTATTCACAAAGAGGGAGGAATCTATCTCGACATGGATGTACTCGCCCTCCGCCCATTCGACAACCTCCTCAACAGTCAAAAGGACGTGGTCCTTGGCCACGAAGGTGCGGACCGGAGCGAACTTTGCAATTCTGTGATTGTCGGCCGCCCAGGCTCACAATTCATCCAGCGCTGGCGCAATAGCTATAGTGGAAACTTCTCCACCGACGACTGGAACTATCACTCGACCATTCTACCCAAGGAGCTTTCTGAGCATCATCCGGACGAGATCTGCACACTCTCCCCTACGGCCTTCTCTTGGCCGACCTGGACCAAAAGGCATATTGATTATATGCATGAGTACCTCTCCGAAACAGAAGCCAAGGAGTTCGCCAAAGAAGTCGTTACAAACAATGGCAGGCTACTTCAGAGTCAAATGACTTATCATGAGTGGAGCAAGATCGCTTCGTCTCATTTAGATCGGCTGGATCCGGAAAGCGTGATGCGGGATGCCACGCGGTTTAATATACTCGCGCGTCGATTCCTTAATTGAATATATTTCTATTGAAGTACTTTATCATGTCATCAAAGAAATTATAGAAATCAAAACGAAAACTTGAAAAATTCTCCAAAACAGTGCAACGGACAGAGAAATCAAAATGCAAACTCAAACATACCCTAAATTAATAGCAGCCCTATTCACCGATACCCAAAACTGAAGAAGAATTACCCCAAAAAGAGCCCTACTGGCAAGAGTCATGGTGCCGACCCTGAGAGCCAAGATACTCGGTACTCTCCGACGAGTTCAACCGCTGAGCCTCCATCTCATGACTCTGGAACTTGGGCAGCGAAAAGGTTTCATTAGAAGGCATCAACCAGCCAGGGTGGGCGAAATTGAAAACCGCAACTGCAATTACCATCATGGCGCCATCAAGGACGACGAAGTAGACTTCGTGCGTAATGAGATATCCGTCCCAACCCTCAGCAAGCTCAACAACACGATAGATAGATCGGATATAGATCACTACAACCGAAACAACCATCGCGCCAATCATGTATGTGATCGGACCCATCTCGGTCATCTTCAGTAAACCCATGCGTGTCGCGCGACGAAGAAAGTCGAAGGCGCAGTAGACGAAGACACTGGTTGAAATGAGTTGGAACACTATGCCAGCAACCATGGTGTTTGTTCCTGGTGCTGTGTCGCCTTCGCCGCCGGATGCGGATGATGCCATGCCGCCGCCGGCTGCTTGAATGACTAGGGAGATTACGTCGCAGGTGCAGAAGATCCAGAGGTAGAGTTTTGGTGAGAGGAACGAGGTTTCTTGACCGAATATCAGGATGAAGCGACCGAGGAGAACGTAATTTCCGGCTGTGAAGAAGACAGGCGCTGTTTTGGGAGGCTCTGGTCAGTACTCAATTCTGTACGGATGAAGAATTGCTTGTATGTGTTGTGACTTACCTATGATCAGGGTAGAAATTTGGATCATGAAAGCGGTGCCGTTGTAGGGGCAGACAGCAGACCAGGTACGACCAGCCCAACCAAGGATTTCAACTGTTTGGTGTCAGCTATGAAACTTCCGGAAAGGAATCAATGGTTTTATTCATACCTGCGCACCCAATTGCAAATACACTGCACCACCACGTCCGCTTCCAAGAAAATTGGATAACGTGTGCGACAATGGACAGGCCAAAGAGTGCGCAGAATACCATTCCTGCTGCTTCTGAAGGAACATAGCCGTATGAAGTAGAAAAGCCATCGTGGTAAGCATGGCAGCCGAGCTTAAGATCGTCGTAGATCTGTTCTTGGGTGTCGGAAGACATTTTCAGAGGTCGTTAGTCATGGACAAGTAAAATAGTCAAACAAAGTATAAACACAGTTTGTCTATGCACAGATCTTTAAGAAAGTAAAGAAATATATGTGCAATGAAACGAGAATGTAAGTCGTGGACGGCGGGTAGAATGATGGAGTTGTAGAGATAGTCGGACTGGTTATATACAAAGCCCAGCAAGGCTGAAAGACAGCCCCCCTAACGCCGACCTTTTCTGATGGGCCTGGGGCTGACAGATGAGAGGCGGAGCATGATACAGGATCTGGGTGAAATTCGTTCGAAGTGCGACAGGATATCCTAGATTAGCCAAATCAACAGTCTAACTGCCTTAGTGCCAGTCATTGAGGCTGAAACCAGATAAAGCCATAAAGCCGGTGAATGCCACAGAATCGAGCATCAGGATTGGCACGCTCGTGAGAAGGACCACGTTTCGCTGCCTTGGAGCTGAAGGTAATGAAGGCTAGAATGCAAGTCACGACGAGTCTCGGATCCGGGAAATGAGCACAAGCCACAGCCTTAGCAGCTTTATGGCGACGGTGGAAAGTATGCAGAGCTCAGGGCGCAAGCTGTTTCGTCGCTCCGTAACTTGGATCAGTCCTCACAACTCCGAACCGACGCTAACTCCTCACAAGCTTATTTTTTTCGGCGATAATATTTTGGGACGTGCTCAGCCTCTTTGGCTTGGCGTTGTTGATGTTGCGAAGTTAGCGCGGAGGGGCCTCGTACGGCATTGTCTTGCTTCTTATTGGCTCGGTCGTATTTCGAAGGGGCCGGCAACGTGGGTACGAAGCATGGCGGCACCAAACCTTGTACTAGATGCGATTTTGCGAGGATACTATTCTTGTAAACTGGGTTGTTTCGAAATAATGGATCGCTAGTCATTACCGATTATGTGGGAGCCTGATTGCGGGATGGCTGTCCGGAGATATTGGTTCCGGTGGCTTTTTGGCTCGCGGGAGTGTATACTTGGGATTAAGGCTGCCAAAATAATGTCTTCTTCCTCAACATTAACAGATCTGAGCGGTTAGGATCGAATTAAATATGCCGAGAAAAGAGGATTGCGATGAAGATGACGGTGGACGCAAAAAGAACTTGAAGATAAACTCCGCCTGCAGGTAACGTTTCCGATGAATCACATGATCGCGCGTCTGAGGCTTCTCATCAGATTGCGACATTAACACGCCGATGTTTAGAGAGATTGGAATCCTGTAAATCTTCTTTTATACACGAGAGAAATTGAATCAAGTATATCCACAACTAAATGTGCTAAACTGGCCGACCGGATTTGAATTGCAAGATGCCTTATTACGCGTCAAGAAACACACGAAGCTAGAAGAGTGTAGAGAAAACAGCCAGGTTGGTTGGCGCCAGGTGACTAGATGGTAGGCAAGAGGGACTTACGTAGGATACGTGTATTCTCGTAAAAACAAGATTAACGCTTGAAGAACTCCAAGCGTATTGGTCTCTAGGTGAGGGGTCTTATACCCATAGTTTTGACCGCTCGTTCTGATTCGGTTATGCACACGATTCTGCCAGTTATCTAGGCAGTAATGATCACAGTGACTTTTTCCTTGACATATATAGATTTGTTAGAAGTTAAGACGGTTCAACACCTAACTTCTAAGGCTGCGATCAGATTCACCTGATCAATTGGCTAGGACTCGAGATTCATCGGAGGGTCGGCCCCCAGATGAGAAGAAAGGCGAACCATCCTACCTTAAAGCGTGCCCCTCATTGGCATTTACAGTAGAACCATTTACGAGAGTTGGCGAGATTTGTGCGCGACGATGTGCATATAGCTGCAATAACTCCGCAGGATAGGGGGTGGGGAACACACAATAATTATCTCCGCTTTATTGCTTTGACGAAAGATCTACACTGCATACATACATCGCAGAGGCCTCACGATCTGATCCGCAAATTAGTGAAATGAAAGCATTAATTTCTTCTACAATCGATATTTCAATATTATGATCCTTGATTCTCAGCCAGCCTTTCAAGCAAAAGCAAGATATAAAACGCTGAAAAGTCAGGCACTCTCAATAACTCAACCCTAACAATCTGTTTTCTTCCAAAGCCTGGATTACTACAGCGTGGCCTACTTCTCAACATGCATATCCGATCCTCTACCTTCGGTCTTGTCGTCCTTATCTTTGTCACCCTTAGCCACGCATTTGTGGACCCAACATGCACAAAAATGAAGGATGCGCTAAAAGAAAATCCTGACAAGATTTTCCACCACTTCCAGGAACTCGTCTGCGATAAAGGGAAATACAAACCCAAGGTATCCAATTATGAAAAATGGGCCGACAAGAATGCGGTACAACCTATGATCAAGAAGGTGATGAAGGATATGGGTCTTCCGGACAAGGAATCGATCTTGCAGAAACTCGCCAAGCAAGTTGTTAAGGTGGTCAAAACAAAATGCAAGAAATACGTGACCGTGAATCTCTGCCAAGATCCTGAGACACTTGAGGGATTTGGTGCGTGCTTAAAAGATAACCTTTTGCCCGTCGTTATGGAGAATATCGGCGGACTGATGCCGCTCGTCTCTGAACCGATGTGCAAAAAGGAGTTCGCGTATCTGCAAAAAGATGAATTGTGGGACAAAGTCATTCCTTCCTATATGTTCAAATATGCTGCAGTCTGCAAGAAACTTAACTGTAAGTATAACATACCATGCAATGCGATTCGGGGAAGCAATTTGCCGGCAATGCCGTTACAAAGCTATGTCAAGAGTGTCATGGCTATCTTTTCATTCGGATGATTAACATCATGTCTAGGAAAATCTACTGGTCTGGTACGACGCCTGCTCGAAGATCACACGACAAATTTGCAGACGAAGCCAAGGGGACGGTTATATCCACTGCGACGCAATAAGGAAGCTTGATAAGCTAGGGGTTGTACCCAGTATCTACCAGGAGGAAAATTTGTCCGAGTCAATTGCCTAAAGGATACCAACCCTGTTCCATCAAAGTACTATCTATACTCATATCAGGGCAGGAAGGGAAGATATACAATGACGCTCATTCATTTACCTAATGTACTTCGCGACCAAATTCAATTGTTACTTGGATAACACATTTGATTGAATTCACGAACCCCTGGTCTCCATCTTACAACCAGGGAAGCTTCCTTTACAACAAGCCTCCCTGGCGCTCTATCTGGCGTGCCTACGAGCCTACTCTGAAGTCTCGGAGTCGTACAGAGCTAACTCGCAAAGCTCAAGCCCAGTAAAACCCTAAATTCCTTGTCGAGTGGAAAAAATTCGATATGCTAACCAGATTATCCGAGGATTTCAAGTGTAAGTCATGTAAATGGATTTGGAGATAATTTTTTACATATTGCAATAGGCGATCTGAAAATAAGAATCGAAGCTCTCTTGCACAATATGCACCAGCAACTTGAATCCACAGAATACGATTCGAGGCATGACAAAACGTCTCCTCTCTTATTCAAAATCCATTTGTTTGAGATGCGGACATATCTCTATACGCCTAGTAACCCACATTGTGAAGTCACGCTGTCCTTATTGAAATACCATTTGTGGTCAACAGCAAATGATATGCACCGCAGGATACAGATAGCGGAGTACTTCGAAGTTCTGGGAACGTTTCGCTCTGGCCATCTTGGAATTGGCTTCAAGGATTTTTTGTCTCGGCCGTTGCTCACCGCATGTTTCGTGCTAGAACGGATTCAAATCTCTACTGTGATGCTGCGGATAGGTGCCCATTACAGCAAAGGCTAGAGACACTTGAAAAAGCAGCTCAGACAATGATCGAAAATGTGAAAGGTCTGGAACTATATCCCCTCCATCAGTCCAAAAGTAAACTAGAAAATTGTGAACACTCGTGGTTTTGCTGCTTTACTTGGGCAAAACTGGTGAACCGTACTTCAACTAAGAAAGCATCAATTAACCAATTTCACCCCTGTCAATCCTCCTTCCACCACTCCACATACTCCCACCTCTGAACAACCTCCCCCTCAGGCCCATAAGGCCTAAACAAAAGGACACTTCCGCAATCTCGCCAAACCTCAAATTTTCGCGAAACTGCAACGGATCCACAACCCTCCACTCATCCTTCACCACCCTCTCTTCAACAGGCAAATGCCAAAGAGGCCCCTCCTCTACCTCCATAATCCGCTGCGCAACCGCTGAATGCCGCGGATTTTCCCATCCACCTTGACAATTTGGAAAGTCGACTATTGATCGGATTGCACGTCGTCGGAGAAGTGGGTATCGGCATTTATACGCGGTCCAGTAGAGGGCTGGTGTGACAGGGGCTTCGAGGAAGAAGGGGCGTTTCATGGCTGATGTGTCGATTCGTTTGCTCATAGCGATCATTTTCTTCGGCGCTTTCGATGTTTTTCTCGTAGTCGGATAGGTGCTCGTCGTATTCTATTTCGTATTTGGATGTACATTTTGAGACCCAGAAGTGGGAGACATGGTATTCGATTGTTAGGGAGGGGGGCGCGGGGGTCGCGGTTGCCGGCTTTCTTGGGTGGTTTAGCTAGGAAATTCTGGTAGGCTGCGTGCCAATGGTGGAAGTCGTTTAGGAAGCGTTGTTGTTTCTAGGCTAGCTCAGGAGATATATCTTTGACTCCGAAATTGTCGGGTCGAACTTCTTGAACAAAGGATAGTGCGCGAAGCTTGATGTTGGTAATGGTGTCGCGGGCCTGTGTGATGTTTTCAAAATATAGATCCTCTTCCAGTAGTGGTGAAGGGGCTGTTGGGTCTTCGGATGGTATCTCTGGGATTCGAAGTTGGCGGCCGGATAGAGTGATTTGTAGGTTCATTCTATAGAAGAACTGAAAAAGTTCTCGATCAAACGTAGTCTGTGTTGCTGTTTATTTTGGCGGTTGAATAGAAGCACATTTCAGTCGAGATAAGAGGATTTGAACGCCTCCTTCCACATGGTCCATTGCCCGGTTCGAGTTCGAATGAAGCACCTCGAGGCAGGTGAATAACGCGCAAGTAATGAGAATCAAGTCAATATTTTGATCATGTGGGTTCTGGATTTGCTCGCGGAAGCTCTGGATGGCTTTACTATATTGCTGTAGAGCAAAATTCTCGGTTGTCTTCTCGCCAGGAGCTCGAAGTGCATACTGCTCATAAGCAGCACCCACAGCCGCAGCCGCGTGTCGAATCGTAGGATGCTGATGAGTCAACTGAGAAAGAAACCGGTCCCAACAGTCGGAAGGAAAGAAGCCCGATAGTATTCCAGTGGCCTCTGAGCAGAAGAACTGGACGTCTTGGCGCTCTTCACGGATGCCGGGGATCAAAAAAGGCGGTTATCTGCACCTGCGGTCCACGCTATTTGCTGGGGAGAAGTCTTGTTGATCTCTGCTTGGAGTTGATTCTGCGAGGCCTAGGAGTATCCGTCGCACTTTCAGCCGGTGCGAGTGCATTGGTAGCATTCGGGCTTCTCTTCTCCACATTTGACATGCCGGATTCTGGAGGTGTTAGCGAGGACTTTCCTGAGATGACGGACCCCTGTTGCAAAAGCTTGGCCACTATATTACCTATTTGCAGGTAATGCAGCCCTTCTTAGACTTGGGTGGGCTTGCTCGTCGGTGTTGGATCTGCATGGTGGGATCACGTCAGCGGCCAAGCAGGGTGGGGTTACGACAGCGTCAATCAGAGTTGAATTTGTATTCGAAGAGCCTGTAGGGGTCGTAAATTTGGGTGTTTCAAATGAGACTGATATAGTCCCACCGCATGGCAGTCCGTTCACGGTCACTGTCCGACAGTCGTGGGGGTGAGGCATAATTCAAGCCTGATTCTTGGCCCCCAACTCTGCGGTGTAAGCAAACACGCCCTGATTGAGATCGACTTGCTGCCAGCGATCTTCGGGCTGAAATTCAGAGACTTCATCACACTTCTCTACGATCTGCCAAGAATGTGGTAGTTTTGCTGTGTGTGTGTTCCCCCCACATTATTTGGTTCTTGGGAGTATACCCGAACCAAAATGACAGTGGTTAACTTTCGGAAGCGTAAACATGGCAGCTATCACTCGTAGCACATTCGATAGAGACAGCTACCATAGGAGCTTCGGAGATCAAAAAACTAACAGACCTCTCGCATTCCAAGCAATTCCCTGCAGCGAGGATTTTCAACAGCATGCAAGGAGTGCCCCTAGTATCTCAGTCAAGAAGCAAAAACAAACACCCCTGAACATGTGACCAAGGGATGGCCAGGGGTATAAAGACCCCCATCAACCCGCCGCTCTGCCTCTTCTTTTCTTTCTTCTTCATACTTACCTTGTTTGGGTGGCCGCGATCATGAAGGCGGTCCACCACAGTTGGGTCCCTGCATTGCACAGCGCGGAGGACCTGTCTGTCCAAGGGCCTTCTGGGTCCTTGGGAGGCATATTCTTTGGCACTTTCCATTCTGTGGATTCTCTTTTTCATCATGCCAGAGTCAGCGACTTGGGCTTGAAGAAGAAGCATCGGTGTAGTGGAATAGTTCTAGTGTAGTGATGTAGTAAGTTCTTCTGTGAGATTGCAGGATGTTATTGCCCGCAAGTCGTGCTGATCCCGTATTGCATGCGTCGTTCGACTACCCTCACATTCCATCCATGGCTAGTGGCACGCGGTACCCAATGTGAGCTACTGATGGAATTCTTCAGGCATTGACATGGTCAATCCATAGTGCAATCGAAAGCTCTCACTTTCGTTCCCTTCCCTGCCTGCTTGAGACGGGTATAACGCCAACTCCCGCGTGTAGTGTGGTCTAGATGCCATCCAACAGAACAACACATCGTAAAGAAAACCGAAACTTGGCTACATGAGAATAATACGAGACGTCAATGAAATATGATTCAAGGTATAATCGCAACATAGAACTAAAAAACCAGCTCCACCGTGGGTATTCTGAAACAATCATAGAGAACAAGGACAGCCGCATCCCCTCACGACCAAACCGTATCTAAACAGAAAAAAACAACCCGAAGAAAAACCAAAAAAGATTATCACGCAAGCTGACGCTCAATATTTCTGGGACCAGTCAAAAGAGAAGGCGGAATGGGCGAGACATTCCGGAAAACATGCGGCTCATGAGATCCGGGTCGAGGAGGCGGGGGTGGAGGGGGCGGAGGAGGCCGACCGAATCCAGGATGTTGAGGGTAGGGTTGTGTAAAAGGATGAGGCGGCATGTGGTGACCAGGGACTCCGCCGACAGCCAGACGATTAAAGTCACCAGGTAATTGTTGGTGTTGCGGGTAGCAGTGTTGCGGGTGCTGATTTGGGTCGGCGTAGCCCATCGAGCGGGGAGGTTCACCGGGGAGAGAAACGAGAGAGGCGCCGAGTGTTCGAGCGATGTCGTCGAGGGTTACTTCCATCGGCGAGATGTAGGTGGTGTTGCTCCTTGCAGACCAGGCGAGGACGTGACCGCAGACGCGGCCGGTTGAGCGGTCGAATACCCATGCTCCGGAGTCGCCGGGGGCTGTTGGAGACAAGTAGTGTTAGCTTGCGTGTCTTTACTAGATGAATACATGGTGTTCGTGACGGTGATCTTTATAAGATTTACCAACTTAGGGAAGAACAGGAAGGTGTGTGACAAAACAAGACAAAGGGTATCTAATTAAGGATCGTATACGACATAATCATGAATCTGCGGTGCCGGTCTTACCTCCGAAGTTCCCGTTCACACAAAAGCTCGTGGAAAACGAATGTCGGCCATGTAGCTTGACCAGCGTCATTGCTTTGGATATCTGGCCCGTTTGGAGCCCGCTTGTCCGTCCGCGACAGTGGACTGATAGACCACCTAGCTCCTCCATTCGGGCTACCTGGCTGAGAAATATTGGGGGAGGTGGCGGCATTCCTGGTCGAAGTAGAAGAGGGGGGTTGTTCTCCATGATAATGTTGCGGGGGTCCATTCGTGCCTCATCGACTTTAATCAAAGCCCAGTCTATCTCGTGCTTGATACCCTTCCGCGTCCAACGACGGACGCCCGATGAGGCGTGAACATATCCCAGAGAGTGAGAGGCAAGATGTTCATCGTCGCGGTCTTCTGGGGTTGGAAAGAAGTCATCGTGAACATCGTCGATGGCGGGTTGGGTGACCAAAAGGCGAGGCTCTTCGCCGGGCTCAATGCCGGCAGTGTCACCAATGGACGCGGCGTCATCGTCGTCGTCAAAGCCACCATCGATGGACTCATCGTCCGAGGAGTCGTCATCTGATAACCAGTATTCATCATCGCCTCCATCACCTCCTAAAGACAAGGATGCATCATCACCATCTTCTCCATCCGATATCTCAAATTCGAATGAAGGTTCATCGTCGGCATAGGTGTAGTTAAGGTCGTGATGGGCGGCAACGCTGGATGGATCCCCAGGCCAAGTACCAGCAGATCTGGATGGGGCTTCTGGTTCATCATCTCCCTGGCCCTCATCATCACTGGGCGCTTCAAGCATATGATGCACGGTTAATCCATAAGGCTGGCCATCAACCAGGACGGCGCCACCATAAGAAACCGGAGGCAGATGTTCCTCATTCTGGAAGGCGCCGATGGAGGCACCACACAGGGGCTGTTGCTGGTAGCACGGGTTCAACTCTCGCTGGCGAAACGGGATTTCGTTGGATCCGTTAGGACGTGTCTTAGCGGGTCTGCGCTTCTTCTTGCGAGGGACTTTAGATCGTTCGATGTCTCCCCGGAGGACGATGAGGTCCCAGTCATCTCGACCAAGAGGGAAATGTTTCTTCAGTGCTTGCCGAACCTTTTTGACACTAGCACAGGTGACACAGATGGTTGTGCGTGCCGTTTCAGCGGACTCTCCGGTCATCATGAGGGTAGCGCCGCAGGACTCATTTGACTCTTTCAGAATCTTCTGCAGGAGTCGGCTTAGTCGTGGCATCATCTGGAAGTTCCATTCCTGCAAGTGTTCATCTGGGATCTCAAGATGAGGAAGTCTCTTCACAGTGCGCTTCTTGGCTGGCTTATCCATGTTCCTTTCCTCGGCCATCGCACTCCACTCGCACGCGGGGATGGTGGGAAGCTGTTTATCGAGGTTGGCCGGCTCACGAGTAGGCATCCAGGCGCTGGGCTGGGCGGGGGCATGGGTTGGCTCGGGGGTCGGAACAAGCGCGAGAGGCAAACAGTCATCCAGTTCTTCTGCTGGAGGTGCTCCAAAGATGTCGATGCGGCAGCACGACCAGAGTATCTTGCTGATGGTGTAGAGGAAGTTCATGGAGAAGGAGAAGATACCGTCAGGATCAGACAGATCCAACACAGGGTAGTGATAGATCTGAGGCACGCGGAGACCAAGATCGGTCATGGGCTGCGTCGACAGATGAAAGTTGGGTGCATCCAGGCAAAGCTGCACGGCTTGCATGTACCCGTTTCCACACTTTGGCGCAAGCTTCTTGACATAAAGATCCTCAACACGGTGCTTGAACCACGACCTGTCGTACTTCATCTTCCAAAGCTGCTTGACTGGTGCCCATAGTCCAATCTCCAACAACACAAGGCCAAGAGAATAGAGATCATACGCCCAAGCCGCATCATCCTCCAGAGATCTCTTGTCCTCTGGGTGTCGGTACATGGCACTCGAGACTGGCTCCGGCGTAGGACCATCGCATGAATAGCGAGCAGGGGAGGTTAAGTAAGGGCGACGCATATCGGGGGCCAGTCCACTGTCGTCATTGTTCGCATCGGTCCGGCCGGGGAAGAAAATGACATTGCTGCTATTGATATTACCATGAACGGCATTCTGGCTTCGGAGATGCAGAGCGGACATCAACAGATCATAGGCCAGGCGGAACCGAGTTTCAAGGTTTGGCATCCGCTTCTCGCGATAGTCTTCTGCGGAAGGCAGCATAGCAACGAGAGGAACGGGTTTGAGCTCTTTCAATAGATCGCTGGGGTTTCGTAAAAAGGGGAAATAATCGACGGGCATTTGGTAAAGGAAGGCGTAGCGGGCATTAGGTTCATCAAGGGTGTAGCCGATGAAGCGCAGAAGACCTAGATGGGCGATCCTGGCATTCTGCAGCAACTGGTCGAGGGAGTGCTGGAGCTTCTCCAATCGCGAACTGTTAGAGTCCATCTGAGAATTGACCATCACAGGCATGAACTCGACCAGCACCGAGACATGCGAGTCCTTTATGGAACTAAGCAAGTATGGGGAAGCAGAGGTCTTCAGTCGACCGACCGCTCGGGAGTTCGACGAGGCCGCAATTGGTTCATAGGGAGGTGGACAGTTGTCATGGGCGGTGCCGTAGAGTTGTAGGGCGGATCGCTCAATAACGAGGGAGCTGGTAGGAACAAAGGGATTGTTGTAGTCGCGTTGCGAGGCGGAGGGCGAGTAGGTGAAAGGATCGTAGAGGGATTTGGGACTCTGAACTTTCTCCTTGGATCCGGAGAAGGAGCCATGAGAAGCGTCATAAAGAGAGACAGCGTTCGGTCGAGGTCGTCGAGTGCTGGCGCTACCGCTGTGCTTGTTCGAGGACATGCTGGAAGCCATTGTCCGCCGCGAGCTGGACAGATCGTAAAGGGTATCAATGCATGCTGTGAGATCGCTGAGGATCGTCTTTGATCGGCTGATATCCCTTTCGGTCCATTGGGTCTTGAGCGGCCGGGTCCCGAGGGTATCCTTCGATGGCAAATCCACCTTGCGCTCCTTTGAAGGGAGCAGTGGCGGGTCGATGTGCTGCACTCGCTCGGCCTCGTTCAGGAGATCCTGGATCGAGGACATCACACTCTCGACCACATCGCTGAAGCCGGCGGCAGTCAAGGACTCATCGATATCATTCGGCTGGGCGGCGCTGGCGTCACTCCAATCCAGGCCCCACGCTAGCAGGCGGTCCCGCTGCTTCTGGAAGCTTTGGTGTAGGGCAACGAGTTCGGGGTCGTCGATGGCTTTCGAGGCGGTGGTGACGCTTTCGCAGGAGGTCTTGGTATCGGTATAGAGCTTGGTGAGGCGCCTCTGGAGAAAGCCGCCTCCAGCTCCTCCGTGGCGCAAAACGGACATCGTGAGCGATAGCGATTCGATAAGATCAGCCTCAATTGCTGGGGGATTCTTTAGATCAAATCGTCGAGGAGATCGGTCGCTGAGAGGTTAGAAGGCCATTGCTGGGAGTCGCGGAGGGGCAAAGAAAGCTGTGGATGGTGCGAGGAGAAAGAAGCGATCTTCCAACGGGTGCCTGGCCGACTTCAGTCTCCAGCGTTGCGGTGCACGTCGGTCGTCGCTGCTCGTTCGGGAATCCTGTTGCCTAACCAATCAGCACCGCGCACCGCGGGGACAGTGGGTCACGTGGCAGGCATAGCGATGAGGTAAGTCAGGCAGCCGCATTTTTACTAAATTTAGAGGTCAGGTGACCTCACGCATTTATACTACTATTCCCTAGGCGAATGTAAAGAGTATAGAGGACTAGTGGCCTATGCTAGCGCACCTACAGAACAGGGGAGCACACTGCCAGGGAGAGAAGGTGTAGGCGATCATGATCATACCAGGCGGAGCCCTGAGCAAGGGTCCTGCTCCTGGAGTCATCGATTGTGCAATTCTATTGTACAAAATTCCCCACTCTGGGGCAGGAGAAGAAATAGCTTAAACTACTAATTGCCCCCGTGGTAGGGACTAAGGCTCATTGGGAGCCGACTGGAGCTACGGAGGCGACTCATGCCGTCATCATCGGCCGCGAGACCCCTACGTGGGGGGGCCGGGGCTCAGTGTAGTTGTGCAACCGCTCGCCGATCAGGTAAACCTCGTCACGGAGCTCGTTGCGCCAGGCGGCCAGGCGCCGCAGACTACGACGAGTCATCCACGCGTCCAGCACGATCATGAGGGTCGCGGGGTATGCATAGCGGTAGATGTGCGACTGCGCCTCGACGTGTGCGTAAAACACGGTCCAACGGGCAATGCCTCCTAGCGTCAACGGGACAGCTACGGCGGCGGTGGTAAAGAGCAGCAGCGGCAGAATGAGGGCCTTGGTCGCGATGCGAACGTTTGGCGAGAAATACCCGTTGGGGAAGATTGCATTAAACACCGCCGTCGCTGCAGAATGAGGGTCCCGGGGATTCCGCACAAACAGCTTGATCGCCAACTGGACCCAGAGCACTCCGAGCGTCCAATCCTGGACCACATGCACGACGTGTGACTCTCCATCCCCGAGCAAGGTGTGGGCGGGGATGAGGATGTACAATTCAGTCAGGAGCGCAAAGAGCAGTGGGATCACGATGGTAAAAACAGTGGCGACATAGAGCAGGCGGGCGACATCCAGAGCAAATCCAACACCCAGTTGGACGAGCTGACCAGGAGGTCGCAAGATTGCGCCAGGATTCTCACGCACCGTTTGAATTCCTTGGTAGCAGCAGTAGACAAAGTAAGCCAGGCTGCCACACGCGCACACTCCACTCGAGAAGGCGTAGATGTCGTTCACGGGTGCTGAGCTGGAGAGGAAGAATGCGATGATCCGGCGGCCAATGACGAGGGGGACAATGGTTGTGCCTACCCCAGTGGTGGCAGCAAACAGCCAGATGAGGAGGATGAACGCTGCAATACGAGTCCGGAAGAAAGGGGGGATGTAAACCTTGGTAAATGAAGTGTTGAAGCGGCCATGCAGGCCATCCGGAGCATCATACCGCCCGTCGGTTCGCAGATTATTTTCGGTGACTTCCAGGAAAACTTGGGTGCCTTTCGGGATGCGAACCTGGTCCGAAGCAGGGGCTCGGACATATCGGCCGTCGCGCAAAAAGTAGGCATCAAGGTTCTCCGTCTCTGCGGAAACATGTTCCACCGATCCAACGACGGGATGTTCCCAGTCACCCTCGCTTCCCGAAAGAAGAGCCCACCAGGTTTTGCGGACGTGGTGGCCCTCTTCCTCTGGGTGGCGTTCGGAGAAAAAGAAATTGCTGAGACGCAGGAAATGTGCACACTTGTGGAACCACCAGTCATACAAGTCGTGTAACCCATCCGAAGGCTTGACGGATTGGAGCGCCCACGGCATGACGAAGTTGTAGAATAAGAGGTCGATAGGGAACTCCAGCATGGGAGCGGTTGCAGACCAGTGAATCGGGAGGATCCCATCAAAGGCAAAAAAAAGGCCCCAGACCACGCCGCCGAGACAGACAATCACGAGAGCACCATACACCAGAGCACTAAATCCTATTTTGCGCAACTGAGTAGTGATGCTGCGCTCGAGAACATCCCGAATAGGGTGGAATGTCGGATCATCCGGGTCGCGGATGAAATCTCAATGGAAGTCAGAACTAGTAGTTTAAGGGTTAATATCAAGGGTACTTACAAAGGACACCGCTTCGCAGAATTTTGCGGCACATGGACACGAAGAGTGCGAAATGGAACATGTAGCATGTGCCGATGAACCAGTGCACGAAAAGAGACGTGAGTGGGGAAGCAACCGTAAACGCGATACGCGATGCAACTGTGGCGTCGGAAAACAGGGGGAGGAGCGCAATGTCGAGCAGAGTACCGCAATATAAAGGAAATACAATCATTTCGATGCCGATGATAAGTATAACCTTCATGACCCCGGCGGCCTGAAGTAGAACCTCGGCAACGATGCCTTCAGCCCGCTGCCCACGGTTCGTTCCACTGAGGAAGCCGGAGATGCGGAGATAGAGGAATCCCACGGCAGTGGCCAGGACATAACCCATCAAAATAGCAATGGCGCGGTCCTTGGTATCCCAGACCGCAAGATCGTAGTCAGCGGTCAGATTCGCCGATGCTGCATTGGCAGCAGTAGCATTCATCAGTTTCGCCCCAGGGCTGGAGGAAAATGAATACCGTGCGAAGTTGACGACAAGTTCTTGAACGTGATTTGCAGCTTGCTTAAGTTGGGCAAAGTCGAAACCAAACGAGAAAGCGCTCGGGACACCAAGGGTGGCTAGACGTAGCGGAAAGTCATGTAGGATGAACTTCATGATACCGTACACAGTGCTCACCAGGGCACTGATTCGGGTCTGGTGTAACTTCAGGGCCTGATGCGAAAGCACGGAGAACATGGGAATATCAGACTCGTGGAGGACCAGGAATGCTTTTACAACCTTGTTCAGGCGATTTGTGCTCGCATCAATCAAGGAAAGCGATGCACTAGTAACAGATCTGCCTCGTGGGATCCATTCTTCGAGGAACGCAAAGGAGCCGACGGGACCGAGGAGAGTCTTGAAAAGAAAGCTGAACCCAAAAAGGACATAGCCGACGACACCGACCAAAGTATCCAGAGCAATGTCGGCAATGAGAGTCACAATAGTCATCGGAACGCCAATGATCAGCTCGAGTGGGTTGGCGAGCAGAACAAGGGCAATTTTCCCCCAGAGGTAAGGAAGCCAAATTCCGATGGCGATTGTAAAGGCGATCAAAAGTGCACAGAAGACACCATTCTGCAAGAGTCCAAAGATTGGTCCTTGCATGCCGATGAGATCCATGATGCCCTCTAGATCGTCACCTTCGAGTTGGTCGTCCACATCGTTGTTGTTAACGTTATTTGGGGCTGGGTCGTCCTCATCGTTGATAACCACGACTTCTGCGCCCGGAAGCGGCACAAAGGGTTCTTCGAAATGCGGATCCTGAAGAACATGCCCATCGTTTTCTGGCTGGTGATCGTCACCATCAGTGCGGTGGAATGTGATATCACCCCAGAACCAGTGGATCAGTGTTTCGTAAAAGCTCCTGGGTGGTTGCTCTTCCCGCTGGGCGTACGCAGATGCGGCCTGGCTTTCCGTGTGAAGCCCGCCGTCTTCGTTCTGTGCGGTTTGTTCGTCAGAGCGGGCCTCGCGTTCCTCCAAGAACCAGTCGAGGTCTGCTTCGAGGCTCTCCATGTCTTGTTGTCGGAGGATCCGCAGCATTTCGTCTCGATCTCCAGCTGTATGGTCTGCGATGTTGGACAAGACCAAGCGAGCAAATTCCCTTCTTCCTTCGATTGAGGCTGCTCCCGGAACCTCATCGTTCAGCGCAGGAATCCGTTCTTCCAGAAGACGATCGTGGTGAGGCCAAATCGGCCGCTCGATCACTGGATGACCATCGTCGGATTCCGTCACATCGATCACTGGACGACCATCATCGGAGGAGTCCGTCAGAGAGGGCGCCGGTGATTGATTCGGATCGCGCGCGAGAATGTCGCCATGGACGTGTCCTGGGTCCTCGTGCTGCGCATTAGCGAAATCGGCACGAGGGTGGGCTGGGACAACGTCGGGGGGCGGTGGCTGATCCTCCTCGGGTCGATCATTATTGACCACATTATCAGCCAAGACCTGTAGTGCGGCTTCACGTTCGAGTTCGCCAATGTTGGCCAGCGGCTGCTGTTGCACCACCCACTCCCTGATGAGAAAAAGGAGAATGAATGCTACGACGACTAGAAGCGTGATAAGCTGACCTTCCAATGTGTCGATGATCATGTTGTTGATCGTCGGATAGGGCGTTAACGTGTTCAAAGTTTTGACGTCGGAAAGCCATGATGGGTATCGGGCCTTGGGGATGCTCGTGGTATTGTTTGGGCTTGATCCATCAAGACTAGCTCCACCTGTAAATGCAGGAATGAAGCTCGGAATCGCTTTCTTGATCAGGGCGAGCATGAGGGGATCTCCGCCATGGATCCCCGCCGTGGACAATTGGCCCGTAGGTGCAGACGCCGTAGCAGATTGAACCGCGCTGGAAACGATGGCACTGGCCGAGGAGAGCACCGAGGCAGCATCGGCCACGCTGCCATTGGTTGCCAACTGCGTCATGCCATCTTGAGCCGCCTGCGCCACGCGCTGTTGAGCAGCGGCTCCTGTGGCTGTCCAGTGGCCGTCTGCAAGCCAGAACAATACTCTCCAAATCGCCCGCATCGACCACGGGAGCCAGCCAAGCCAGACGAATGCAACCAGCAAGAACCTCATCCACGTCACGACGGTTTGAAAACATTGAATGGAAGCTTGTTTTATAAACAGCGGCGTCGGAAGGCGTTCGGGCATATTGGGGTCGTAAATCTTGGTGAACTGGAATTGTTTTCTGCAAAGCTCGCAGTGCTTTTTCTGGGAATGTGCCAGCCACTCCACCAGGCAGGTTTGATGGACAAACTTGATGCTACCACTGCATTTGCAGGGGTAGAATAGCGGCTCTTCGTCTGTGCCTTCGCCATGGCAGATGCGGCACGTATCCATATCTTCGAGACCTTTGTCCTTGTCACTGAACCTGGAGTCGTTCATCGGGTCCGGGAAGGGCGTCGCAGGGCGCGACAGGCCTGTCCCGAAATCCATGGTATCGTATCTCGTTGGGTTCGAGGGTCGTCGCGACCGAGATCAAGCGTTCGTCATTTCCTCGCTACCGGGGGAAACTCAGCGCGTGCGCGGGATGGTGGGTGGAAACCGGGAGGTGAGGATGCCAGGATGGACGGGCTAGAAATCAGAGATGCTGAGTCAGTTTGCGTCAGGTCGCTCTTGCTAGTTTTCTATCGGGACGCACCTTCTCCCTCTTTCTCCCTTTTTGCCTGGGCTTTGTTGTCTGGCAGCAGGTTGCGTGGTCGAGTCGGGCCTTCCGCCATCGCTCTTACCTACAAGATGAGTAATCATGTACATGTAATACCGCGATACCAAGTACCTCCCACTCATTCCTGTGCCTGTATGGGTATTCAGTGTACGCCATCAATACGCCGTGCCACCGCACCAGCTATGACCTCACCGTTTGCCCGCTCCCGTGACTGGCAGTACCTTATGAGCAGCTTGCTTTCAACCATACTTGGTGTTTCCCCAGCTTTCCGAGGTGCGGAGTCCTGAAGTGCCTGCCGAACCTTCGATCTAAATACCGATTGATGCGCTCACCCTTTTCTAGACTGTCTGCCTCGGAAGCACTCTGCGATCTGACCGCGGCCCGTGAATCTTGACTAGCGCCAAGCCGACGCGAACATTCCCGCCGAGCTCTTTCTTCCAACTTCCACTCGCTGCCCAGGGACCGGTGCAGATTTCGCGCCCCGATGAAGCAATAACCATTCCCCCAGACACTCGATCCCTTTGTTCCTCGACGCTAGACTCGCGCGACTCGAATTCTGTGGTCCGCAGTCCGTCCTCGCAACTTTACTCAAGGGTCGTGTCGCCCTGATCGACCGACGATAGCCAGCATGGCAGGCCAGGAAAATGGACATGTATCGGAGCCGGTGGTTAAGCAGGAGACACAGACAGTTCCTCGATTTTCAACACGCAGAAAAAGTCCTATCAGGTGGACATTAGGACTGGTCGTTCGGTAAGCTCACTTAACCGGCCCTTCTGCTCAATGAGCATAAAGCGCGACTAACCCCTGTTTTTCTGACTACAGGTTATGCATCTGGTATACCTTGCTCACACCATTTTTGCGGTGTCCTTCACGCCTATCTGATCTGACAGACTCGTCGCCGCGTGTCTGCAAGCCCTATCTGATCGCTCGGTCGCACATGGAACCATATGTCACGCCGTACTACGACACCTATGCGGCGCCCTATGTTGACCAGGCCCGCCCATACGTCGAAGTGTTCATCCAGCAGGTCTACACACCTGCGTCCAACGTCGCTAAGTCCGGCTATGAGAAGTATGGTGCCCCTGCCTGGCAGCATGCTCAAGCATATGGTGCGGCGCAATGGAAGGTCCAAGTGACGCCGCGCTTGGAAGCCGCCCAGGACAAGGCGCATAAGCTGTATCTGGCCGAAGTCGATCCATATGTCCAGCAGGGTGTCGCAGTGGTGTCGCCGTATTATCAAAAGGCCAGCAACGCCGCATTCACAGTTTACTGGGACCACCTGGTGCCCTTCTACACGCGTTCTCAGCCCTTTATCGGCAAGACCTATGCGACTGGTCAGGGTATCTTGACCACACAAGTCATGCCGGGGGCGCGCTACACTTGGTCCTCGGTGGTCTACTTCGCGAACAGCTCGCTATGGCCGCACGTTACTGGTCTGTACTCCGAGCAGGTTGAGCCCCAGCTAGTAAAGATTAGCCAGCGGCTGGCGAGTTACCGTGAGGGTAAGCGGCTCCGCGCGGTCATTGAGGATGTCGATGGCTCTACTACTGAGCAACCTGTATCTTCGACTGTCACCAGCTCTCAGCAGTCGCTTCGTCCTCCCACTAGCGTGGTCACCACTACTTCCACTAAGGGAACCCCATCCGTGCAGCCTACTCTTTCTCCCGAGGAAATTGCCAAGGAGGCTCGCAAGCGCATCGACTCGGATCTCGAGAGGTGGCAAGAGAAATTTGCCGTTGCCGCTAACCGAGGGATTGAGGACCTTGAGGGGCGAATCGAGGAAATCGTGACGGCTCTTATCGCGAGCAGTGCGAGCGGCCATGGTCAAAGCTTGTCCACAGCGCTCCAAGCGGTGGCATCCGGCCAGGTCGCCTCCACCAAACAGCGCATTAATGAGCTTGTGGAGTCCTTGCCCGAGGAGGATGCGCCGGAAGAAGAGCAAGCGGCCCGTGAAGAACTCGTCAGTGAGATTCGGACTTCTGCCATCTCAGTGAGGGATCGTGCTCACGCTCTCCGGGAGTGGTCCTTGTCTTTCGAGGATGAGCTCACACGCCGGGTTTTCGCTGCTATTGACTCCACTTTGGATGTTCTGGACAACATCCGTGACCTCGGCCTGCAAGAAATCGGCATGCGGTGGGCGTGGATGGACAATGTTACCTATAAAGACTGGGCAAGATATCATGCTCTCAAGGCGCAGCTCGACGACTGGCGTAGCGAGATACGGAAGGTGGGCATGAACCACCAATCGGTTGTCAACGCCAGGGCTGTGGCTTCCGAGATCTTGGATAGTGGCATGGATGTTGCTGAGAAAACCGCCACGGAACTGGTCCGACTCAAGGATGTTGGTAATTGGAAGATTGCCGCTCGCGAGGTGGGCGACAATTTCGAGACCCGAACTGAAGCTCCCCCGCCCCGCCCTAAGCCGCTGCAGGAAGAGGTCGAGGAGCCTGCTGAGACATCTGAAGTTGACTATGACGAGTCTTTGGAGGATTCTTCGGAGCCAGATGAGACTTCTCTGGGTCCTGAGGACACCACTTCGACAGCCAGTGATCAAGAAAATGAGACTCCCGAGCCAGAAAATTATTCACAGGATGAGAAGATGGACGCCGATGAAGCTTTTGAAGGTCTGCAAGGATCTGCCAAGCCTGCATTTGGCGTTGCTGCCGCAAATGCCAACTCCCGGCAGGAGCCCATTACCGATGAGGAGGATCAGGACCTTTTGCAAAATCTGGCGAACAAAGCTGGAAATGCTTATGACGATGCGAGCTCGGCTTTGGCTGACTCGACTTCTCAGGCAAAGGTTCTCTACGACATTGCCAAATCCCAAGTGATGGGACAGATGTCCCAATCCAGTGCCCCTGCCCACGCTCAAGTTTTGTCTTCTATCGAGTCCGCTTACCTTGGAGCCGTGAAATATGCTACCAAGGAATTTGAGGCGAAGCTCGGAAATGTAAAGGCTACGCCTACTCCGTCAGGTCCTCTCGCCCACATCTCTTCCGTTGCATCCTCCAGACTAAGTGAAGGCCTTAGTCTCGCCTCCGTTCAGCTGGCCCAAGTCCGACAGACCGAAGCCTCTACAAGCTCCGCCGGTTTCCAGCCTTTTGTCTTGGATGCGCAGCGCCGCTACTATGAGGCTGTTGGCCTGGCTCATGATCACTACACTGCCTTTGTGTCCACAGCATCCGAGGCAGTATATGGCATTCCCACACCCACTCCGGCCCCTCTTGGCTTCCAAGAGCTCATCGACGCGGCTGGATCCCAGTACTCCCTGGCCTCTTCATTGGCCTCCGCCAGCCTTGCCGCTGTGGTCGCCTCTGCAAGCTCCGTCGTTTCCTCGGCAGATGATGGCAAGGCGCAAGGCATTATTGACGACGCTTCTTCCCGCTACCATGCAGCCCTTACCGCCGCCTCTGCCTCCCTATCTCGGGCGTCTGTTTCGGCTAGCTCTGCCTTCTATGGAACCACCCCGGGACCTCTAGAGTCTCTCTCCTGCCAGGCCTCGGAGCACTGGGAAGCTCTTGTTTCTAAGGCTAGCGAACAGATCTATGGCACCCCTGAGCCGTACCTTCAGCAGGTTGTCCATGACCGCTTGCCTCAGTTCGAGGCTTTTCAGGACGTTGTTTCTGAACTCCTCGTCGGCAAGCAGCCTTCTTTCACTGAGAGTGTGCTGAGCAAGCTTCGTGTTGCATATGAAACCCCCTACCCGGCTGCCGCGGTGTCCTCTGCATCAAGCTACGTGGGTGAGGTCTACGGGTCGGCCTCCTCGACCGCCCAGGCATATGCCACACATGTGCCTAATGTTGAAGATGTCATGGAGAACGCCAACCAGCAACTCAGCTCAGCCGTCGAGGCTGCAGCCGATGCCTATTCCACTGCCTCCGTCCACGTGAGTGAGGCTGTCTACGGAAAGGAGTCTGGCTACGTTGATGTCGCCAAGGATGCCATCGAGGACATCCAGTCGAAGGCCAGCGCCGCAATTTACGGCGAGCCCGGAGCAGTGGAAAGCGCCACAAGCCACCTTGCCGCTGCCGTCGAGAGCGCCCAGTCCCAAATAGCTGATCTGGCATCTAGCGCAAACAGCGCTGCATCCGAAGCCGCCGAGACAGTTGCATCTCACGTCGAGGATACGACTAGCAGCATTAAGGCTGCTGCTTCTTCCAAGGATGAGCTGTAATGGATTGGCTTCGCGGATGCGATCTTTCTCTATACGTACAGTAGTCTGACAGTTTTTTTTGGGATAGTTTTTCTCTCTATTCCCTTTTGATGCCTTTCCTCCCTCTATCTTACCTGTCTTACACTAAGCTTTCTGTTCACTCACCTCGTTCCCATAGCGGGGCTTCACCATACCTGGGGCTATTGACGTTTTATTCCCCACATAGTTTGTCACGACGGCAATATGTTCATGACCGACAAGATGCACTTTATGTTTTGCTTTTTTTGGCTCTATGACATTTCGGTCTTTCGTCTTTTGGATTTACTGTTGTTCTCGGGCGTGCTTTTCGCAACGATGTAATCTTCAGTACATAAATCAAATGCGTTCTGGAAGTCACTCAGCTCGGTCAAGTGTTGTATTTCAAGTAGTTACACTAATGTATATCGTACTATTTTTTTTAGCTTGGGCTACACTACCTAGTGTGACACTCGTGGATTTATAGCATGACGCTTCAGAGTGTTTTTACTTTGCTTTTTGCACCAGTAGGCGTGTTTTTATTTTTCAGTTTTTGATCTGTATTATCTTACCGAGCGCATATAGATCAGCGGTCCGGCCCGATCAAAATATATCATGACTCGACTCTTCACGTCATAGTGTATGGATTTGTGTATTACTCCTTCCTTTTCTTCAGCCAAACGCGTAGAACATCAAATTATAGTCAAATTCTCAATCATACACCGGAATGCTGCCACTTTAATGCTACGCAATCGCCAATGCAGTATGGTCACCCAGAATCCCCTAGATAGTTTATATCACGTGACATCGATGGTACGATGTGGAGTGCCAATAAGCTTCATCCATTATCCCGTTACGACTGTATCAATACGCAGTAGCGCGATCAAATGTTCGATTGAATGTCCTGTGAAGGCGGGCTCGGAATATATTTCATAAAGAGCTTCCTTTTTGCTGAAAGCCTGTGTACGCATTGAATGTCATATTATCCTAAGGGCCATGCTAGCACGATTGCAAACAGCGTAGACGACCAAAAGTCCAAATCTACGTATTGTTGATATATGTATACTCTCAAACTAGAGGACTTCCACTTTCTAGCTTTCAAAAATCCACCAGAGATGTAATAGAGGCTGAAGGCGTCAGGTACTGAAAGTTGTGTTTGTCCTGTTTGGAACAAGAGGCAGTTTCAGTCACTTTCGAGGTGTAATCCTTCATTGAGTGTTGGAATCTGGCTGTCTCGAACCTTTCGGTATCACTCCAAGCCCTTCAAAACAAGCACACATCATCGAGATCGCGGCAGTGTGTTGAAAACAACAAACGTGATAAACATGCTGTATTTTTGGTATTGTATCTTCAACCCAGACATCCGCGCAGCCTTCCCGACTCCCTCAGGAAGTCCTGCCTCTCCCAGGCGCCGAGTTCGATCGTTTACATCCTCTGTTCTGCTTTATTCTGTCCCCGCCCCTCACTCAGCACCAAATCGACCGAAGTATATCGGAGTCGATGCCCAGTTTCCTGAACTAGCTTTCGATAATGGAGGCGAGGCCAACAAGAGGCTGAACTTGGCTGGAAGGTCTCGGTGCTACTCTCAAGATCAGTACTGATACGGCAATGAGGTATCCTGAATTGTCATTTCCGACGCACGCACGGTATTGGGAATGGAAAAGAGGGAAATAAAGTACTTGTCTTCATTACGGTATCAGTTGGTAAGTATTTCTCAGTTCGTAACGAATTCCTTTATTGTACATGTCTGACTCGCAATAAAAGTAACATGGCATAACGTTGAGCATCTGCCAATTCGAAGCCGACTATCGCATGCAATCTTCCGCAAATCAACGAACACCTCCATGCTTGGCTCCCCGTTTTTCCTTCTTCATCTGAGTCTTGCTCATAGGCGCATCATAGTCCGCTCCCTCAGCACCACCGCCCATACCCGCGAAGCCCTTCTTCACGCCCATGACAGTGGTATAAGCCAGATAAACAGAATACACGGGCACGACAACCCACAGCCACCAGGCTCGGTCATTGAAAAGACACACCGCAACCATGCAGCCCTGGGTCCAGTACAGCACATCCCACATGTACTCCGTCAGTCCAGTGGCATTGAGATCCTCACCCGCAGATCGGAGAGAGCCATCTTCGCTGTAATGGGGACGGCCTACTCGGTCTAGATAGTACTCAATGACGAGAGTTGGAACGGCGATGAGGAAGTATGGCTTAAGCGAGCGTGGCCGGGCAAAGACATAGTGCAGGGCAAGGAAGAGGAAATGTAGTGCCGCAGAGATAAGGTGGGTGCGAAAGAGAACGGCACTGTTGCGGGCCGCGAGGCTCTTGGCAGCTTTCTGCAGCAGAATGTCAGATCTGGGAGACATACAATGGATTGGATATGTCGAGACGAGGTACGTGATGTGGAATCCACTCGCAGCTACCTAGAGAAGCTTACCTGGGCCATTTTGAAGGGAAGGAACCGAGTGGGAAGGTCAGAGTCTTTGAGGGAGTCTGTTTGTTTGGTTGGCTGATGAACCTGGAAATGCGCCGGGGAATTTCAAAGACCCAGATTGACGACAATGCGGTTCATGCAGAGTGCAGCAAGTCTGGCAGGTCCAGCGGAGCTCGCGGCCTCCGCGATTGTTGCCCACCACAACCGGTGAGCGGCGGCAGAATCACTAGTTGAGCGATGCAACCAAAATAAGACGGCTCGACCTTCACGACCTTCACGAACACCGCGATCCCGAGCTCCCTCCACCTCCGCAATGAACCTGCACTAAAGCAGCGTGGGCGTTCCTCCTCGGCGACTTAGCTGCGCGTTCCCTGCTCCCATCTCCGTCACTCCCGCTCTTACCTTTTCCGGCCTCCGTTTACGTTTACATTCCTGGCCGCTGGCGTCCGATCGAGGTCGGGCTAGACTTCCTGCCTTCAGCACAAGGTCTTCTGTCGCTCGTGACTTTCCGGCAGACCCCAAGTTCATGTCGTGCGGCCGTTGATGGGCGGTTTTCCTTTGTCGTTGTTGACATCGCGTGTCCCCGCGTCTCGGACGGCGTCACCTAGGCAATCCGGCCTTTGAGCAAGCGTCAGTCTCGAAAGAGGCAGCAACGAAAGACTTACGATTTCAATCAACTGCAATAGCGCTCGAAATTACCTCTCAATATCCTACGATCCTTCGGTCCCGCCCTTCACGTTGCCTTGTCACCACGCGCGTTCAACCCCCCGCGCGCCCCTCATCATGGCATTCTCCGGTGGCCATGTCGGCAGTCAGCTGCGACATTTTATCTACTATCATCTCGACAATAACATGATCCGCAATGCGCTGTTCCTTGCTGAACGATACCACGCTCATGAACCGCGATCTCTCGAGGCGCAATACCTAATCTCTCTATGCCACCTTCTCAATGGCGAAATGAAATCCGCGTTGGAGTTCAGTGAGCCTGCGGCAGGGCGCGGCTTGCATGCTGGCTGTGTCTATGTCTACGCGCAAGCTTGCTTGGATCTTGAAAAATATCTTGAAGGCGCGACGGCGCTGGAGCGAAGTAAACCGCTCTGGGCCACAAAAAACAACTGGAGTATGATTTTTTCCTCCACCAAACTCTTGCAACTTTGTGGCCAAAATACTGACACCTGATTTTTAGACAAACATAGCGAAACACAACGGCAGCATCTACCAGACGCGGCGGCAGTATATTGTCTGCTAGGAAAGTTGTGGCAGGCGCACAAAGACGTGAACAAAGCGGTGGATTGTTACGTGAATTCCTTGAAATTGAATCCGTTCATGTGGGATGCATTTACGGGTCTCTGTGCTACAGGTTTGTCCCAGGTAACCCCGAAAGGACAACTGATTATGTGCTAACCTTCGACAGGCGTCAATATTCGAGTCCCAAATATTTACGACCTCGGTCCCGACCTTCGAGCCATGATCAACTCCACCCCTGAGGAAGCGGATACATTCACAGATGTCTTGTCACCAACAGAAGGTGCCTTGCGATCTAACAGAAGCGCCGCCTCTGACCCGTTCACGGTTCCTTCCTCCCGCGCCGATCCTGAGGGCACTTACGGTAGCTCGGCTCTCTGGGAGAAATTCAATGGCAGTTCAGTCAGTGTCGCATCGGTAGCCCCCATGTAGCTCACGAGGGCATGGAGACACCAGGGAACCCGAACAACGCATCGGGATCAGAAGACTTCCGTATTGCAAACAGCGTGCCTGGCCCAGACTCCGCGAGCGAGCCTCCATTGGCTCCTACTAGAAAAGCCCGCACAATTCACACGATGAATATAGATCAATCCGGCCACCCGCCCCCCAAGATGAAGACCACCGGGATGCGAAAAATCAAGCAACGAACAGAATCAGAAGAGCCGTCAGCAGGACCCATAGATCGAGAACCTCCACCTGCACCGCGAGTGGGCGATCGCAAACGTACTGTCTCTGGCCAAGTTGCTCATCCTCAACAACATCCTGTCGAACCGGGTGCCCCGCAGCGCCGCAGCGTTAGGCTCTTATCTCAAATAAAGCCCACGACCAGCAAATTTTCCAGCACGACACTGACAGGCAAGGACGGCCGTGAAGTGAAAAAAATCAGGAGTACATCTGGTAAACCACGCACGGCGACTGTTGGTCGAGTTGTCAGTGGGAACCGCAAACCTATTGAATCTTCTGATCCTGATGGCAAAGAACCTCGCGCTGCATCCGTTCCAATCAACTCCGGAGTTCCCCCGGTGCCCAAGGCAAGCGAAAGGACGAAAGAACTTGTCGCTCTGGACGCGCTTTTGGGTCTCTTCGCGAAACTTGCCTCTGGCTACTTTTCTTTGAATCGATACAAGTGCCCTGAAGCGATCTCACATCTCAATTCGCTTCCACAGGAGCACCGCGAGACCCCCTGGGTTCTCGCCCAACTCGGCCGCGCATACTTTGAGCAGGCCATGTACACAGAAGCTGCCAAGTATTTCTCTCGCATCCAAGCCTTAGCGCCCAATCGACTTCAGGACATGGAAATCTATTCCACGGTACTTTGGCATCTCAAAAACGACGTGGAGCTCGCTCATCTCGCTCATCACCTTTTGGAAGTTGATCGACTATCCCCTCAGGCCTGGTGTGCCCTTGGCAACTCTTTCTCGCATGAACGAGACCACGACCAGGCTATCAAGTGCTTTAAGCGTGCAACTATGCTGGATCCAGAATTTGCTTATGCTTTCACCCTCCAGGGTCACGAGTACGTCTCGAACGAGGAGTTCAACAAGGCGCTCGACTCTTACCGTCAAGGCATCAATGTCGATAATCGACATTATAATGCTTGGTACGGCCTTGGAACTGTCTACGATAAGATCGGTAAATACGAGTATGCGGAACATCACTTCCGCAACGCTGCGTCCATCAACCCCACCAATGCGGTACTCATCTGCTGCATTGGACTGGTTTTGGAGAAGACCGACGACTTCCGAGGTGCCTTGGTTCATTACGAGCGAGCTTGCTCTCTCGCTCCGCACTCGGTGCTGGCACGTTTCCGTAAAGCCCGTGTCCTCATGAAATGCCAAGAGTACAATTTTGCCTTGGCAGATCTGAAAATACTGAAGGACATAGCGCCCAACGAAGCCAACGTACACTTTCTCCTGGGAAAACTGTACAAAATGCTCCACGACAAACCCAACGCCATCAAGCACTTTACCGCAGCCCTGAATCTGGATCCAAAGGTAGGATATCTTGTCACACCTTCCCTTATTCAGTTCTAACCTCCAGACAGGCTGCACATTTTATAAAGGACGCAATGGACGAGTGGGAGGATGATGATATGGAGGACGACGATATGGCATAAACCTGTGATGCTCCGGGTCAAATTCGCTTCTTCTTTTTGCGTTTTCGTAGGGAGTGCCGCTGGGCGTTCTCAGGGGCTTCTGTTTCTGCTTTTCCTGCACAGCATACCACTTCGGAGTTTTATCGGGTCTTCCAGGTGTAGACATCTGGCATCGGCATGGTGTTTTTGTACATTAGTGAGAAAGCCAGGTACCGTCGTTCCGTTGACCTGGTGAACCGCGGCATAGCATAATCATTACCGATCCACGAGCCAAGACAATGACTTACAGTAACCATGCTTATCGACATATGCTAAATTAGCCTTCATACCATAGAAATTGTGTGTCACAGGGCGACATGGGTCTTGTTGGTTCGATAAGTCTGGAAGATCCCGGTCATCTAGCTCGTCCCATACATTGCGGAGATATCCCAAGGCGACTTCGCCTCTGTAGACTTATCAAACGCAATCGGAGCGGAAAAAGACAAGAAAACCGCGTCTTCCGCTACAACATGTTCCAGAATCTCCAAGAATCGAACATGGAAGGAATCATACTCGACCATGCCGAGATTCCCTAAATCGTCAAAAAAGTGCTACATCACCTTCCACGTCGCTCGTCCATTCATTGTACGCTTTCTCCATTTCATTCCTTCCAAGTAGTGCCGCTCCGATTCTTCATCTTCAAATCCGAAGTAGTATACCAGCTGTCGAGCAGCTTGGCCACGGTACTCAACTGTGCTCTCCATCCATCCACGGTTCTTGGAAAGAAACCCGTCCATTGGATGTCTGGGTCTTTGTTGTGGCGTTCCTGGGCCGCACCAGGTCTCTTCCTGCCTGAATTGGTCTTCGCAGCTTCCCTAACGATGTAAAAGTGGATTCTAATAGATCTGTGGGAATATAGACTATCACGCTCTCGTAGAGCCTTCGTGGAGAAAAAAAGGGTGTTGCGGGTATTATCATGGAACACCCACGGATCATCCAGACAAGCTCTCTTGTCCATGAGCGGGATGAAAGCGTTTGTGTGAATCTCGAATAGACAGATCTGTTTTTACAAAGCCGTCTCTGATTGTGCTGTTGCTCCACTCTATTTCATATTAGAAATATTTATCTTGTCCGTAGATCAAGGCTGCAGTTACTTACCGAGTATCAACCACTAGACGTCTTTGAGTTCATGTGCACGCCCTCGTACCACGATCAGGCAAGATTTCTTTCGTTTCAGTTCTTGTAAGATACTGAAGTACTCGTCGACGTTCGGGACCGCGCCATCGGCCAAGACTTCGAGCGATATCCACTCCATCAAGCCGCCGTTCTGACTTTTGCCGAAGCCTTGCAAAGTTGTCGGTAGGTTGGACTCGGTGGTTTTTGACTTTTTCATCTGTGAATTCGTAACATTTCTCTTTGCCACTTTTGCTTTTGCTTTTGTGGCCTTCGATTTTGCTCTTGTTGCTTTTGTTTTGACAGGATCTGATTTCGAGTTTCGCTGTGTCGCGTGTGTGGCAGATCGAGTGACAACCATGGCTTGACGAGTACTAATAGTCGAAGGGGACAAGAGGACAAGGGGCAAACCTTCTCGTTGAGTAAGCCGGACTGTGTGATGATAATGAGGAGCATAGCAAAGAGGGAGGTGGTTTGAAGTGGTCGCTAGTGTTTCTTCGGACTAGCCTGTTCTCGACAACTCGGAGGCCAGTTGTACGTTCGTCAGTTCACGATTCTCTCTTTGGAGAAGTGTAATTAGATCGATCAACTGACATAGATCATGGGGTCTTCATTCTTGATCTAATAGGGAAGACAGAAGAAAAAGAATGGGTGGTGGGAGCTGTTTACTAATGTAATTCCCTACCGAGTCGACCACCCAACCAAAAAGGCGTCAAGACGGTTACCCACTATTTTCAACCAACCCTCCATGCAGCCAAAACACGCTCAATCAGGCCGGAATTTGATCTAATAGGAATACCGGATACTACTAGCTATTAGAGGTATTCAGAAATGCAGTATCGACTCAATTCGCGTGATACCCAGCGCGTTACCACATACCCCGCCCCCGCACTACGCTACAGGACGGCGTCAACGGCCACCAATATGGAGCTGATACACACGCTACTAGTCATAAATTGACTGCATTTGAAAAAAAATAGCTTGCTCAGTGGATACTCTCTATAGATTTACGTGAGGCGGCCCCTAAGCCCTCTACTGTGAGAGAAATAGCCAATATTATACTTGCGGACCGTGAAACCCCCCCCCCCCCCCCCCAAACTAAGTGTTGGGACAAGTTGAGTAACCGAACTTATAAAACGCCGAGAAGAGCTCCAAGCACATTTTTCAAACTGCTATGATTACCAACGTGCTCAAAAGAGGACCTAAAGGTCTTATGCGAGTGGTTTAAAACGTGATTAATAAGAATAGTATCTAACTAATCAGATGATATCTAACTATAACTTTAGTAAGACTAGTTTTGCGGTAGGCCTTATATTAGCACAAAAGGTGGGTTACTCGAGCTACGTATTATAGTCGACAGACAATCTTATAGCCTAGTGCCTAGTGTTACGCGCTGCTGTCTGGGCGTGGTGAAACGGGGTTTCCTGGGTGATACTTGCCTAGTATGCTAGCCTCTAAGCGGGTCCGTAACTGTACTGTCGCTGATGCTAAGCCTTACACGGGCCCGGGGGTCTCCACTGACACCGGAGTTCGGTTTTTGGGCTTTTCAGTACCCTTCATTTCGCGATGTGTGGACAGGGCAGGGTCCCCGGTGATACTGATATTTTAGTGGTTCACGGTGTCCCGGCTCTATATGGAGACAATGATGGCGAGTATGGACCGACCGGAAGAGTCAAGGTGAAGGGTGACGGGTATTTATAGCGCGAGTTACGAAGGGTAAGGCCCAAGATGGTTATCTGTGGGCATATCCATGGGGCATTTGGCCTCTCCATTATCGAACACCATGAAATCCAAGACGTCATGAACGGGCTACAGATGCGATGGGGAGGATACGCCATTCATCTGCGAAGTCCTGTTTTCGGTAAGGGGCTTTTGGATCCACATATCCCTGGATCCCACCGATCTGAGGATAATTAGCGGTTTGTCTTCGTGATCTTTCGAAGTTAGAGTCTCACGTTCTGCTGTAAGAGATTGTCCTCCGCTTGCTCCTTGCCAGCTGAAGTTAGTATTTGTCCTTGTGTGACAGTGTCATGTGGATGAAACTCATACATGTTATGGACAACCCGATTGACCTGCTTCCCCAGAATCCTTTGGATTTCGGGAGTTCCAAGGTATCTGCTTTGTCAGTATGCTCTTGATATCGCCCTTGGGACCAAGGTTCGCACCTACTTGTAGAAGTAAATATGGGCCTTTACATATTTCAACGCTGAGCCCCAGTCAGGCTGCCTTTTGTCTTTAGCCTTCTTCATGATCACATTCAAACATGTTTTGTGAGTTTCCTCGTTTCCTCCAAAATACTTGAAGTCGTCAGTTGAATGCTACCAATGGGAAGAACGCAATGGGATATAAACTTACATTTGCTTTCACTGAAGAGTTGATGTATGCAGGAAGAAGCACCTAGATAGGTTTCGCATGTCAGCCCGGATTCTTAGGCAATTCAAGATTGAGAAACCTACAAACTCTTCAGCATTTATCCATTTCCTTCCATCTTTCCCAGGATAAGCCGAGGCAACAAATTTGTGGGCACTCCAGGCATTTTTGTCATCATCGTTCTTCGCCCACCAAACCTTCATGTAATCACACATGTGGATGACTCCCGTGTGTCCCTGGCGGGGTTCATTGAACCCTAGTGCATCGGATTGGAGTTAGGGTCGCTTTCATCACCCATATTGACGTCACCGTCATCGTCGGCCTCGCCCATTTCGGTATCACCATCGTTATCAGAGCCACTGTCATAAGACAGAACATTGGATCGCTTAATCGTCATATGTCTGAATAATTGAGGAAGATATGACGGGTTAACTTGGAAGGAAACGGCGTGAATATCGGAGTCGAGATCAAGCAATACATACCACCTGGGCTCCAAGAACGTGCTCGGCTGAGAAATAGATGAGATTCTGGTCATTCCAAAACATGATCAACGTATTGTCAGAAATTACCATCGTAGCGTGGTTTGTTTTTGCCTGGCTCGTTGGGAGTGGTGACGATTCCAAAGTCGAAGTCGTTGCAGTCATCAGGTTTAATCCCATCATATGACACGACATTGGACGCGCCGAACTTTTTAGCCAAGTCTCCGGAGGATGGAAAAGTTGGGAAATTGATTTGTAACCCGTCGGTTGTGAAGCCCTCGTATTGTGTGGCATCTTTCCTGGTGTTCTGCTTGCAGTAGTCCATTGGCTCTTTTTCACTTCGTTTGTACAGCATTTTGGCCTGCAAAGACAACATATCGCAGTCAGGATCCGGGTCATCAGACGAGTCATCGCTGCCTGGGCATGAAATGTGTGAGGTTGACCATGCGCACTGGCGCTTGGCTTCCTTCGGTGTATCCAACGCACGGCTCTCCAACTTTGTGGAATTGGGCAATACCATGAAGCCAGCATGCTCCGATCGTCCCGCCAGCGAGGAGAATGGGATACAATCATGATAGACCTGTCTCATAGTAAGGGAGTTGAAGGTATAGTCATTTTTGCCCCACGCTTCAATGCCACTCTTTACACTTAGCTCGGCTTCAACCTCTGCCTTCAATGACAGATCTATGCCTGTACATGAAGTATCGGCAGTTGCTTGATATGATTTTAGCCAATTGAATTCTCTCAAGAAGCAAATTATGAATCGTGGGGACATTACTTTTTTCACGCAACTCGCTCGGGGCAGCCAGAACGTCGACGAAAGTTAGCATGCCATGTACAGTATATGAATGTACCAGACTTTTGGCCATCCTGGAGTTTAATTCGGAAGCTCTTATAAATGGAATGTTCACCGTGGTCAAGGGCACCACTAAGCGATGTATTTAGTTGGGCCGATGACCGTATAGGCCAGCAAACGTCTCTTTGTGTATTGGAACATATTGAAATTGGTATATGGGAGCTTTGAATTGATTCAAACGCATGTCGGGAACAATCTTGAGAAGGAGACGCTCTGTCAAGAGCAGGACTTGGTCGTTTCATTCCAATAGATTTCCCGGCAGAAATATAGAAGACCCAGCGGCCTCATGAAGGCCTTACACTGGTCACGTGTGATGGTGTGTCTGAAAAGTAGAGGAATTTGAACTTTCAACTTCTAAAAGAGGTGGTGTTGGCGTACGAAGTTGAAAGGTAATCTTTTCAAGAACTCGGTCTGGATCAAGTGGGTTAAGACCAGCTCCTGCCAATCCACTGTATATGTTCTCCCGATTGAAAACAGTTTCGTGCGCAGGTGGATATAGGTATAGGACGTCTTCCTTGTCAATGTGGTTGTTACCGGCAGCTATCATCGCCTCAGTCAATTTCCTGTACGCGCGTTTAAGCGGCCCAAAAACACCAACATCTAGTGGTTGAAAAGATAAGAAATATAGGGAGGCATGCAGAGGCAGATTATTGAATTCTCTTTGCAAAAATCATCAAACTCTGCAGTCAGATAGCTAGAATAGCCATCAAGAATAAGCAACCTCTTCGCACCAGTTGAGTGGCTGCTAGCATATGGTTCGAACATCTCCTTTAACCAGCGAAAGCTAGTTTCATCCGTTGTCCAGCCATTCTAGCTTCTGAAAAGGGCATATTCTTATTAAAAAAAGAAGGCTCCTGATACCAAGCAACTTGGTGAGATTCGGCTTTTAGGATAATCCTAGCGGTATAGAAATCCCTTCGGAGCTCACGCATTCGATGATTGTGACCCATTCGTGATTCCCCTAAATAACCCTGCGAAGCGTTTCACTGCGCTCTACTACAGTAATAACCTTAGGGGTTGAGCAGAGCCCTATTGCAAAGCCAGTTTTATCAAAGCTCCAGATATCACCCTCGTGGATACCGTGTTCTTGAACAGCCTCTCGTACGGTCGCAAACCACCGTTTAATAATATTTAGGACTCCTGATTTACACGCTGGTATGTAATCCGCCGGTTATATCATTTACGTAGTGCTGGATGGCGTTTATATGCCCAGTTAACGCCAGGGGTTTCAGTAGGATCTTATGTGCGCTCGTGAAGAAGAATCTGCGCCATTCCACGTAGGAACTCGGGCCGAATTGAAAATCCTCGTTTGTCGGCCTCTATAGTTTCTTCTTAAGCACCTCTTCTTCAAATTAATTTAATTTATAAACGTTGGGTGCGCGTGTTTCCCCGCGTGATTTGCTTTCATTGAGTCGACGGCGAAGGGTAGTTTCAGACACATTAAACGTATCAGCGGCCTTTAATCTTGATTTGATTATTATTTTTATTTTTGAAAGCAGAAATCGTCATCTGGGTGCGATTTTCTTGAGATATATGCATTTTGGATAGTGGTGGTGAAAAATAACGCGTGGAGGAGATAATGCAGAAGGGAAGCTAGACGCGAAATTCACCGCTCGGTGGTTAATTACGTTAGTTAACATGTTCTGGTAGGTGCCCACTCGGGATATCCGAGAACTAGAAACTAACATAACTATGACGTATAGTTCAGAAGCTTGAGCTGTCCTGTACACGCGTCTTGCGTCATATAAGCTACTGTACCTCCGTAGACTATGCAATGTGAAACTACCTCAAATACTCGCCTTCGCTGGTCTGATCAGCTAACTCAGGAGATCACTTCATTGGTTCAATTTAAGGATCATATGATGTACATGCTAAGGTTTTGATGTTGACGTCATGACCTTGTTCACCTGCTACCAAGGAAATAGTCGGAAGTTAAATTTATATCTATTTCAACTTTGCCCTTCCGTCAAACCTGTTTGGAAGTTCGCATACATACGACAAGAAGAATTTTGATTTCTCTCCAAAGACAACTGCCCTTACCGCTATTGAATAACATAATCGAAGAGTGCAATTCTCCGAAATCATTCATGATGGCTACTCCACGGATTGAGCACTATACAACAGACGTTCACTCCCACTGGGAAGGCAGTCATACTAAAGATTGGGCTGAGGTCGATCTACTCGGATATGAGACTGCCACTGATAGGATGTTCCGGAAGTTGTGTGAAAATCCCGACGCTGCTCTTGTCCAAGTTGGCCATAGATCAAAACTGATCAATGATCACGGCCATGACTATCGGTTTAATGGAAAATTCACTAGTGACCAGACTCAACCAGAGCACAGTCACCATGAATATAACCACTTTGGGAAGTTGATGAAATGGGAAGGGGATCGTTGGTATAAATATGACTTTCAAGTGGAAGTGACTGATCACATCAGGTCTCAATGACCGAGGCAATATGGTTCAGGTCACTACGGCTATGCGTAAAACAGAAGCTGTTGTTGGGGCAGTATTTTCTGCCCAAAAGTATTTTCTGCCCACAGCATTGTATCTACTATGCCCCAATCTCAGGGAATTTCTGAGGTCACTCAAATCAGGAATCTTTCAACAAACAATATGTACGCAGATTACAGCAATCAATTTTCTTTATTATAAGACCAAACCCCTACGTACAGTTTAGTTCATCAGGCTGTTCTAATTTTGTGCCATCAGATTCCTATAGTCAGTTTTGAGGGTGGATAGATGCATTTTTCAGAATTATAGGGACATTGGATGATTTTGCTGGTAAATTTAGGTGTGTATTTTTAGGCTTGATTTCGCATCAAAGAGTAATGTTAAATGGATATCATTGTTGTTCCAATCTGGATATAAAACTCCGCATGATGTTTTCTACAGCGGGTAATCGATCGTATAATTCTGTCGCGAGCTTACTGCTGAGTCGAACATTACTGAGAGATTCAAGGAGTAGCTTAACGCTGTAGAGTGCGGATTTAGCGACTTGAACTGTAAGTTCGTTGGTGTTGAACGGTTGAAAATTTTCCATCTGAAATACGATCAATGACAGAAAGATGAATTTATTCGTTGTGCACTCACTCTCACCCGATGCTAAACATATGCTAAACATACTAGGACTTGGTGATTATCTTGCGTCGTTGGATCCACGTTGGACATGGCAAGAGCATTTACAACGAGTGCTAATTTTCTGTGAAACCCATGTTAAACGAGCATTCAAAAAGAAATTCGGGGCCCATGATGCTACTCCATTTATCGATTTGATACTCCGAGCGGATGACCTATCCACAGTTCTTGGGTACATGGATCAATGTGCTGAAGTATGGCCTGAAACGGCTAATTGGTTTAAGAATAAGCGAACGCCATGGATATTAGCAGGCCTCACACGTGAGGCCTCTAGAATTCCAATCTATTGGTGGATGGCGGCGCCACATCATACTGGGATCTGTGAAAGCAGCCACTTTGTGGATAATGAAGCTATTGGACGAAAGCAGTCACTCTTGGCAGCGATTTTGATGTATCTAGCAGCTCTCCATATGGTTAACATATCACTAACTTATTACGTTTAGGACAAAGCGGCATGTTAATAATATGGTTGAAAAGACAAAGCTTGCTGCTGAAGAAGGTCGCCACTCAACATGGAAGCCCGCAGATGCTGTTTCACGTATCTCGAAAGCAGGTCATCGAAAGAGTAAGTTCTGGTTTTTTAGTATATGGTTGACATATGTTTAACTTATGTAATAACTTCTTTCCAGACATACGAAACCGTGCTTCAGCAGAACGTCGGAAAAGAAAGTCGCATATGCCCTACAAGCCTAGCAATCCGTATGATTCAATTGAAATATCTACATCGCTTATGGGGCCGCCTCCGCGTCCTGGTTCAGATATCAATTCAGATTCAATTTCAATATCTGATACACAAACTATTCAATCATCTCGCTCTCGCTCATGCTCAACTCGCTCACTATCAATCCAGCCACAGTTGACTGAGTTAGCTGAGCTACAAAAAGAAGAGGAACGGCTCCAGCAAGAGATCGAATTGATAGAACGACGTGAACGGATTCAGAAGCTAAGGCAACGGCTAGATTCATTGCGTTAAATAGTTCTCTGTACATAGGAATAGCATATGTTTTGCATATCTAAAACATTCATTTCATTGAGTATGTGTACGCTGATTGCATATTGTTCTGAGATGTAAAACATTGAAGTCGTCAATCATTATCATGACGAAAAACGGATCACTTACCCTCTCAAAATGTGCATAATATATATCCTAATTCGGAGGACTAACAGCGTAAAGGCCCAGCTAAGGAGAAGCAGGTGCAAAAGCACTATCATCAGCACTATCACCACCTCCGGTACCTTCTCTGTCGCTATCACTATCTCCATTACCGTCGCCATCTCTATTTCCATCTTCATTACCGTTATCATCGGAGATATACTCCTCCTCGCTAGAGTCGTCAGGGGTAGTACTCATGCCGTCGGCCACATGCAGCTGAGTGGGGGTCATAAATGGAACGGGGTTCGGAGGAGGGTTTTGTCCGCGCTGCATATGATTGGCATATGGTTGGCGTATTAACAAAATAATGTTAACTTACGCGTCTGCTACGTCCGCCACTAGTAGGTGTGACGGGTTGCTGCTCGCGATGGTAATTAGAACCGTATCCCTGGCGCCAGTAGCGGTCATGTCGGCTAGAACAATCAGATATGTTAGCTATATGCTTAAGTTCTGCATACAAAATTCTTACGCAATATTAGTCAGGTTATCAGCGTAGTGGCCAATCGGGCCGGCCGCTGGGCCGCGGCCTGGTTCGTTCATGAAAACATCCTGACGCCACTGCCCACTGCGAACATAGTTGACAAGAGTATTCTGACCCTCGACACGCTCTTCAAATGATATAGGTTTGCGGTCAGGATTAACAACTACAGTGTTCATTGGTTAGCATAACTCTCACATATGTGAAGAAAAAAATGCCTACAGCAGCCGGTATGCACCTGACGCATATGCCGACGAAAGTCGGGCTGCGACTCAAATGTTTGGCCGCACTGGTGCACGGGTGGGTTCTCCACCACTGGGCAAACTAGAGTGTTTATTTTAGATAGCCGAAGACGTGGGTTTGGATGCATATCAGTCGGGTTAGCCAGATCAGCAGCGGTGATCTGATACCGAGGGTTGCCAGGTGGGCTGTATGCCAGGCCACGGGCTTCCAGTTTGGGTTAGGGTCAATAATAGGGCCTGCATATGATCAGCATATGTTTTCCGAGGTCAACAGAACAACAAACCATGGTGGTAACCAAACACTAGGTGTGGGTTCATAGCAGTCTCTACACCATCTGCCTCAAAGAACGCGCGAGGTAGTTGGTGGCCTGTAAGGTGGCGAAACTTGTGTGATCAGCCATTTCAACATAAGCAAATAATATGTGAGCAATATGTCAAATGCGAGCGAGACAATGTGTGGAGAGTTATGCAAAATAAAGATAGGGAGGGTAGGAGAGAGAGCTTGTTGAGTGTATGTTGTGTATATATATATCACAGGCTTTGTTTACATTTACTGGGCATAACTGCCCAAAATAGGTGGCAGGCTCTATGAAAGGAAAGCGCAGTAGTGAATTCCGCCATTGAGCCTCCTCCTTTGTTTGAAAACAATGGCTGCAAACCTTGGCTGCGATATGCTCATGATATGTAGAAAAACTTGAGTGCAGTAAATTGAGGTTATTGTTCAGGTATACAATTAACGTGATTCACTACCGAGTCGCCCACCCTACCGAGCCGCCCGCTCCGCCCGCGAACGCGTCTTTCTATCCCTTCCTACCACTTCATCCGGCAACCATGCCACCAATTCGCAATATTACCGCCCATACGCGTGAGAACCAAGAGGGCAGGTTATTACTTGCTATAGAGGCTCTCAAAAACAACGAAAAATTGACTGTCCGACGCGCTGCAGACCTATATGATGTTCCTCGTACTACCCTTCGCGGTCGCCGCAGTGGCACAACTGAACGCACTGCCACGCGCGCAAACAGCCATAAATTGACTGAATTGGAGGAGAAATCGCTAGAGAATTGGGTTCTTTCTATGGACGACCGTGGAATTGCTCCTAGGCATGAATTGGTGCGAGAGATGGCAAATTTGCTACTATCTCAGCGCGGCAAAGGTCCTCCGGTCACGGTCGGCAAGAATTGGGTCACCAAATTTATTAAGCGCACGCCAGAGCTTGATACACGATACACACGCTGTAGGGACTATCAGCGTGCTCTCTGTGAGGACCCAAAGCTAATTCAGCAATGGTTTGACCTTATTCAAGAGGTTATTTGCAAATACGGTATCCACCAAGACGATATCTACAATTTTGACGAAACTGGCTTCGCAATGGGCCTCTGTAGCACTTCTAAAGTAGTAACTCGCGCTGGTTACTATGGACGAAGGGCTAAAATCCAACCGGGGAATCGTGAGTGGGTAACGGCAGTTGAAACAATTTGTATGAGTGGATGGGCGCTTCCGCCGGTGCTCATATTCAAAGCGAAAACCTACAATTCGGCCTGGTTTTCCTCCGAAATTGACCTCCCTCGCGACTGGCATATTGAGGTTAGCGATAATGGATGGACGACTAATGAAATTGGCCTTCGGTGGTTAACAAACCACTTTATACCATTGACTAATGGTTATACAAAGGGCAAGTGGCGTCTCCTAATTTTGGATGGACATGGAAGCCATATGACTGCTCAATTTGACCAAATATGTAGAGATAATAATATTATCTCTATCTGTATGCCGCCACATTCGTCTCACCTACTTCAACCACTTGATGTAGGTTGTTTCTCTATTATCAAGCAAGAATATGGTCAATTGGTTCAGTCAATGATAGTGGATGGTATACACCACATCGACAAGCTTGATTTCTTGTCCAATTACCCCTATGCGCGCACAAAGGCATACACACAATCAACTATTCGAAATGCTTTTGCTGGCGCCGGTCTTCTACCTCTCTCTGCGCAGAGGGTATTAGAAAAATTGAATATCCATATCAATGTTACTCCCCCAGGGAGTAGGGCAGGAGAGAGCGGCAGCAGTGGTTTTATCCCCTGTACACCACAAAAGCCTACTGAAATTCAGCGGCAAACACGATCAATTGGCAAATTACTACAGCAAGCTCGCCAATTAGCGCTGGATACCAATATTGAGAGAGCTTTGGTGCAAATCGAACAATTAGCAAAGAGCGCGCGCGCTAGTATGCATGAAAAAACGCTATATTTAGCTGATATCAACCGAATGCACGCTACCCATGCTAAGCAGCAGAAGAAACAAGCAATTCCTGGCACGAATATTGGTCGATCGGAGGGTTGTACGCGCGCACAGTGGGAGGAGGAATATGTTCGTGCCAATGATACTACTACGGCAGGTCCTAGTGGGACAGGAAAAACGACATTTCAGAGAGCGCCGCCGCGTTGTTCGAATTGCAATACTCTTGGGCATAAGAGAACACACTGCCCGGCTTAGTTTGATATATTTATCAATTTCATACAATTCCTGGTGGTCGAGTAATATTCAAAAATAATGGTAGGGGCCGAGCGGAGCGGGCGGCTCGGTAGGGTGGGCGACTCGGTAGTGAATTACGTTAGCGTATATTAGTCAATGGAGAACAGGGTCTTAGTTATAAGCCAATTAAATTAGCCGTAGCCGGCTTACGTGTACCTGGCAAGGGCCAAAAGTTTTGGCCCTTGCTCCACTGTAAAGCTGAGCGAGGGCCAAAATCCGGAACATTAATATTCCGGCCTAGTGGGGCGGTCACGTTATTTTTTGACACTCGTTCTACCAGAACCCGGGGGCACCACCGGTTTTACTCCGGACACCAACCTGACTCAGCATTCCTGTATGTCGCCGTGACAACATTACATACAATACTTAATATTGCAGTTGCCCCGACAGGAGTTAAACTATATTTGAATCAAACAAATTATGGAGGCACCACCGGAAGCAATTTATTCCACTCGAGAGGACCTCCTCATGTCAGTGAGGAACTTCGCTCTATCCCAGGGGTATGTTGTGACAATTCGACATTCAACAGCCAATAAAAATGTCGTATTAGGATGTGATATGGGAGGGGTATATCATGATCGAGTTGGGGCCTTGGAAGGAGCAAAGCGCCGAAAAACATCTACCCGCCGCATCGGCTGTCCTTTCGAGTTATACGGATCATATAGCAAGGGGTACTGGCAACTGAAGGTTCGTAACCCTATGCACACACATGGGCTGAGTGACCTGTCGGCACATCCCCAGGCAAGAAAGCTTTCGGACGATCAACGAGCAGAAATCGGACGACTATCAAGCATGGGTGTGAGACCACAAACTATTGAAGCGGTACTTCGCGAATCAGACGCATCTGCACGTTTCATAAGGCGAGACATTTATAACGCTCGTATGGCTGAACGCCCACGGCAATTGGGAGGACGCTCCCCAGTTGAATACCTTGTTCAACAACTTCAACATGAAGGTAGTTGGCTGCATGCCAAGCAGTCTGATGATATAGGACACATCAGGTTCCTCATGTTTGCACACCAAAAGTCTATCGACTTTGCAAACCAGTATAACCGAGTGTTTCTTCTGGATTGCACGTACAAGTCCAATCGATACCGAATGCCTTTACTTCACATTGTAGGCTTTTCGCCAACCAACAAATCCTTCTCCGTCGCATTTTGCTTCATGGAGAACGAGGAAGTGGAGAGCTACTGCTGGGCACTGAGCACATTCTTCTCATTTATCAAGCGCCCAAACCCACCATCCGTTTTATGCACCGATAGAGACTGGGCCTTACTATCAGCAATCGAGCATCAGCTACCAGACTTCCCGCATATTCTTTGCGTGTGGCGCCTAAACAAGAACATCCAGGCCCATTGCAAGAAAGAGTTCGTCACAAATGAAGAGTATAACAAGTTTTTCTCCCTTTGGATCAACTTGGCTAGCGCTCCGAAAGAAGAGGTGTATAACCAATCAAAAGAAGATATCCGATTATTCCTCAAAGATAAGCCGCATATCTTCCATTACCTGGAAAACAATGTACTTGTTCACCGAGAAAAGTTTGTCATTGCGTGGACAAGGAAATGGCTTCACCTAGGAAATGCAACGACCTCGAGGGCAGAAGGCGCACACGCTACGATGAAGCGCTGGATTTGCTCCTCCACAGCTGATATCTTGACAGTGTTTGAGATGCTGGAGAGAAGCATCGTTGCGCAGGTGAACGCAATAGATGCGGAACTCGCACATGACCGAATATTGACTCCCGTCTTTGCGAGCAAAGTCCTCTTTGCCAACCTTATTGGACATGTTTGGAGATACGCAATCACGCTCCTAGTTGAGCAGTATCAGAGAGTCAAATGCGTCACAAAGGAGGCGCCATTGTTACCCTGTACAAACACCTTCACAGGAACAATGGGCCTTCCCTGTTCTCATCGGATAGCGAAAATATTGCAGAGCCAATCATCCATCCAGCTCGCTGAAGTACATCCATTCTGGAGAATTACAGATGATACAACTCCTTATCGGTAAATACTTGACCGTCGCCTAGCGTGGAATTATGCTAATTAGAGGTAGCCAAATCCTCGAGCCTCAATTACCAGCTCCAATCTACAAGAGAAGTTCTCCGTTCATGGCTTGCGAAGGCAGACTTGAGGGCCGCAGCCCATCAGGGTTCGAGATCAAGGAGCGTACACATCCTAGTTCACAGGGAGACTTCTCTACCTTGAGACAGGCAAAAAGACCGCCGACTTGCTCTCATTGTCACGTGCAGGGGCACAGGATGAACCAATGCCTGGAGTATAAGAAGATGATATGGGCGGGTGAGAAGAAGTAAACAATGAGGTTGTGATGCCTGAGAAGCATATGACCTGTCGAGGATAGTGGGGTAGCACCCGAAATAGTTTAGTTCCGTTTGTGTCGTGATATCTTCATTTGTACTAGGGGATTCTCGACACTCCGAGATCGGGAGGTTCAACTCCTCACCCTACTCATGTAAGCAAGGACACCCTAACGTGTCCTCGCAGCATGCGCTCTTTTCTCCTTTTCTTCAATTAATTCATCCTATCTTTTTGGATTGGTTCCCCTTGGTAGATTAGCCCCATTCTTGCATACAATGCCATACTGTATCAGCTAGCTGCGACATGACCTTATACGGTAATTTTCATGTTTTGACCTGTATCATTAGCGTGGTAATTGTGTTGAGTCTGCACAAAAATGGTGTTTGGAGTAAAACCGGTGGTGCCCCTATCAGGACCCTAGTTTGCGCCACATTTGCAAGGACTTTGTGTAATTCCTAATCCACAGAATCTAGATCAATATTGGCCCTGATGTTCGTGGCGACGGTCTTGTCCGAGCCGACCGAATGACTCGATTGTTATCAGTTCGGCGATGCACACTTCAAGTCCCCACTATCTGTCTCGATTCTGGGCAACATCCGAACGCCGGTAGACTGAGCCGAAGCATGGTCGTCACAACACCCACACGGCACCCCCCCTCCACCCCCCTGCTTGTGCTAGCTGCATGACTTATAACGGAGAAATTTGTTAAGAGCTTGCCGATTGCCAAAACTTAACCGAGGGGCATCTTTGGATGTTTCCGTTTATAGTAAGTCCCTGAGCCCATATCCTGGTATTTCCAGCCCAGCTCGTTCAACAATTCAAGGTTGCGACATTCGGTCTTCGGGGCGCTCATTCAGGTCTCGCAGCGAAAACAGCAGCAGGCAACGCGTCTGCCCGTAACCCGATCGAGCTGAACAAGTTCATCGTGACCGAAATTTCGTCCTTCAGCGTCTTAGACTCGACCAGGAAAAGAACATGCTATGACGCAGCGTCGGTACGGGGTGCATCGAGTGGAAGATAAGATGACTCGGCAATGCTTAGCGCGGGAAGAATTCGCGCTGATCAAATGCTTAGCCCTCTGCACGGCGGCAACTGTCCAATTTTCCACCAAGAGAAACCAACGGAAATTGCCGGCAGACCGTGCAGGCGATCGATCGAGGCTCGAGCGACTCAACCAACAACAGAGGCTGATCGGAGAAATTGTGCTGGGGGACGATGGCAAACTACCCGATCGGCCGGCCAAGACTGCCACACGGGAATAAGGTTAGGCTGGAGGCGCTAGGCGGTTCGGCAATTTTCCCCTGTGCCCTACATTGCATCGTGGTTCCGGGGTTCGAGGGTTCGTGTTTGGCTTCGAAAAAAAGTTATCATGTGGATATTGGGACCTTAATGTGTGGAATTGTCGAGCATAATAGGACTCTGTCTATCTCTACAGCCTTCCGACTATCTGGAGAGTGCCTACAGGTTCCGCCCAAAATTCAAAAATTGCGAGTGATAGTATTGGCTCGAGATAAATGGGAGTCAGCAATAATGCGAAAAGAAAAAGCTGAAATGTAGCCAAATGTATCTGGGTGGATCAGACTGACCCTCGGCTAACAAGCACGATCGATGTAGAAAGAACAAACACCGAATAGCTGGCTGATGAGTTGAATAAATTTCACGGAAAACCGCCTGTGATTATGCTCCTTTCCAGCACCGAGGAGCGAGGACACTCATACTGTATCGACTTGGTCTCACCAATATGGGTGAATATGGTGGGCAAGCCCACACAAAAGCAGGACAGTCTTCCCTGCCTCAGCTGGGATCGTTATGGGGAACACCTATCTTATCCTCCGTACTCAAGGTACTAGGAAGCATTACATCTGCGATACGATAGCGTCCTGCATACCGCATGGCAGAGAATACTGGGCTAGCATCATTTTAGCTAGATGCAGAGTACGTGTATTTACACTACAGGCAAAGCTATCTACTGGGCATATAGCATCCCCATTGTTACCGAAGGGTACGATTGAGAATGATCCTTTTCTTCGCTGAGGCTATCATTGACCGGAAGTTGCCGTCTTCCCAGGTTGAACTGTGATGCTATCTCTGAGCGGCCATGCCAGGTGCGGCCATGCCAGGCAGCCAGTGTTTACGCGACCTGTTTATCTTCACTTTTTACGCGCATCCTCATCTTTCCCCCACCAACACCACTAAGGACGATCTCTTCACCTGCATCGTTACATAACGCACCTCATCTTTCCCTGGCAACACCTCCTCGGCAACACTACTGAGGACGGTTTCTTCGCGTACATCGAGGTTAGTATGCCCCCTCTCAACATGCGTGGCTGTCAGCCCGTCCACATATTTATCACTTTTGAGACTCACACCCTACTCCAGCATAGACCCTGGTTTCACCAGCTCTCTTGCTCGCCATGGACGCTCCCGAGCCGGCCGTGTTGCTGGACCTCCCCATCGAAATTCTGTTCATGGTCACCGATTACCTATCGCCTGTCGATATCGCCTGTCTTGCTTTGTGTTCCAGGGGCGTGAAGTCGATTTTCACATCCTGGGATGGACGATTGCTGGGTGATATGCCTTTTCTCAGAGACCTGGGAGACACGAGCGGAGAAAGATCTACCCTGTTGACGAGATTCATACATGACAACCCCAACTTTTATATCTGTGCGAGGTGCTTGCGACTTCACAACTGGAGAAAATTTCCCCCGCCATCACGGTTCGTCCCTCCAGCCTGCTTTCCAGAGTTCAAAGACCTTGCAGTCCATGGAAACTGCGCGAAACTCAGGGAGAAACAATTCCCTATCGGGCTTCCTTTCTACGCAGGGATCGAATATGAACTTCATTTTCCCCACGTTCAGCTGGCCATGAAGCGATTCTACCACGGAAAAGAGCATGGAATCCACACAGACTCACTGTGCTTCACCGAAGCAACGATAAGTCGCGATCCGGTCAAGCGAGATATTCTTTATGGCTTCATGCCCCACCAGGAGTCAGTGAAAAGAACTTACCTTACATCAGTTGATGCCAGATTCCGGACACGCCCCCCGTCGCTTTGTATTCGTATCCAAAGTTTGGTCATGATCAACAGTCAAGACGTGGCCGTATTTCCGGAACTGAAGCACACGATGTGTGCTCACTTTACCTATATCTGTTCTGGAAAGCACGGTATACTTAGCGTCTATCCTGACGCTCGGTCCTTTCTCAAAGGCTACTCGATGGCCGATAATCATGGTCAGTGTCTTCAATGCGGTATCGAGTGGGACCTTGAAATACGTATGATAGGCACCAAACATCTGGCCGTTGTCGTCACGAGATGGCTTGACCTCGGTCCTGGTATCCCCATCAATGGACGTAAATGGAACGATTACTATTGGGTCTACAATTACAGGCTTATCCATAGTCTGATTCCGATGAGAGAAATGTGGAATAACCCCTTTGACAATGTTCGCCTGCCTCGAGCAAGTTTCGAGTCCGGGGTTGTCGATGCTCACAGCAAGAACAATCTCTCACACGAGGAGCTATGTATTCGAAATCTGTCACTCTTGGATGGAGAAAGATTCAGGGACGTTCTGGAATTGTCTGCCAGTGGTCAAGGAAACTTGTGGGCCATCGGCTCAGTGTCTGGAATTTCCCCTCACACCTCATGAATGCCCTAAGCTCCAAGATTTACTGTCCGTAGGAATCCAAAAAAATTTCTTTATCGACATTATTGCATTATTGAAACTAGGGCAGGGACCCTCACAGTATACTTCGGGAAAGCACATGGTCGTGCGGGATGCCGTCATCTGCTGGGGTCAGCTGGCGGTGAGTCGGCGCAGGCAAAAAAAAGTGCCTTACCTCCGCAGCCCCCCACGATGGATCTCCCTTGACGATCGACTCCTTTATCCCTCCCTCGACCTCGTTTCCTACAAGCCGCGGCTGTCCAAAAGCACCCGGTGAACCTAGGTAGGACTGACCACGAAGATCTCACCATCTGTCCCGAAAACTCACCCCACCTGCCTTTCCCAACAGTTTCCCGTACCTAGCGCCATGTCGTTCGGTTCCTATATTCTCTCGGGCATCAGCTCGTTCGTCGTGGTGACATTATCCCTCTTCGCTCTGGGTCAAAAGGTCCCCCGCGCAGCCTTCGTTGCCCGCTGTCTTGCTGCATACGGCTCCCTCCTTCTCTGCGCAACCTACGGCGTCATCGCGTCCATCGTTCTCCGGCTGGTCGGCTATGGCCGTGTCTCGCAATGGGCTACTGCTCGCAGCTTCAAGTGGGTGATGCGCCTCACTACGGGTGTTCGTTTCGATATCGTTGAGGGCGAGGAACACCTTACTACCCGTCCAGCGGTGTTCATTGGCAACCACCAAACCGAACTGGACGTCCTCATGCTCGGCGCCATCTTCCCGCCTTACTGCAGTGTGACGGCCAAGAAGTCCCTGCGTAATATCCCCTTCCTTGGCTGGTTTATGGCTCTGTCCCGAACTGTCTTCATTGACCGTGGAAACCGGGAGACTGCCATGAAGGCCTTCGATGGAGCTGTGGATGAAATGAAGGTCCACCGTCAGAGTGTCTTTATTTTCCCTGAGGGTACTCGAAGCTACTCTGATGAGCCGATTCTTCTACCGTTCAAGAAGGGTGCATTTCATTTGGCTGTAAAGGCTGGTGTGCCGATTGTGCCCGTTGTCACTGAGAACTACTCCCACGTTATGTCGCCGCGGAACTTGCGGTTTAACGCCGGTAATATCAAGGTCAAGGGTAAGTTTTCTTGTTGCACTATCTGCACTCTGATGTCACTGCTAATCCTCTAAAGTACTGGCTCCTATTGAGACCAAGAATCTGACCTCCGCAGATGTGGACCGTCTCACCACCACCACCCGCGAGAGCATGCTCACCACTCTCCTTGATATGGCCCAGGCCGAGGATAACAAGGTTGAGTCTTCTCGTGCCAACGGTGTCTCGACTGCTGTCGAGATCTGAGCACCACAGCCTCCTTCCTAAGCTATAATCTTGCCGTCATGACAAGGCAGTATAGGGTATATCTTTTCTCCTACCAATCGCCCAGCGCCACCTATACAAACCGTCCTTCTTCAAGACCTCTAATCCGCCTATTAAAGCAAGCTTCGAGTTTGACTACGACTGCTGTACATCCACGTCGTCTCCGCTTGGTACATATACCTGCTTTTTCCTTCTTCCTCTAGAGTCTGCACGGACAAACCACGTCATTGCACGCTGTGAGCAAGTTTAAGCGACGTCTAGCGGCACTAAATTCTTGTTGGATTCAGCTTCAATGCCGCGAAATGATAGCCTATCCCGCTCTTGGCAGGGTACCATTTCGGATTCCTCACTTTTCGTGCCTTTTGGATACTCGGCATGATTGAATTTTCTTGCACTCCCCTCACTTGTCTTCAGATGTATATATCCTTAGCGTGAAAAGATTACATGACCTGCTTTTTTGCTTTGACCTCGGTGCAGATGACCCTTTTTCTTGTCTTTTGGGGTTGATTTATTTGCGGAATAGAAGAGTCCCTTAAACTAGAGATATAGCGTCAAATATACGGGTTTGTTGATCGTAAATGCAAAGTAATCGTCACGCGAACGCTCGGTATCGTCATACCAGATGCAAAATGATGCGAATCGCTGAATTCCGAAAGTGGCTAGATCAAGGGCGCAAAGCGCAAATGAGACATTCGTAGAATGGGATAAGTGTCAATCCTCCTATCGCCGTTGCACACTCGAGAGAACGGTATTTTCTACCGGATGCACACAGCGACCCTCCGCGCAAGCCCGCACATCTAATTCAATATCAACCTCCTGCGGCGGAAGCCAAGGATCGGTAATAGCAAATGGAACGCTCCAAGGGTTCATATCACCAACAACCTTCTTGACAGAAATGGGAATCCGCTTTTTATCAACCTTTCCATCTGGATGTGAGAGATTGATATAACCAGGAAGGTGATATAAGCCATCCTTCTGAGAGTTGAACGGCATTCTGCCGATATGAGGACCTGATGCAGCGGTGGCGAGGATATAGTCTGACTCGAAAGCCTGAAGTTGAAGACGCACGGTATCGAGATGACGTCCGTTTCGAGTAATGTAGACATGCGGGTATATAGGACCCCAATTCCATGGTGATTGGGGGATGTGATTCGGGTCTGAAGATACACCATACGGCTTTGGTGCTCGGAGCGGGCTCACAGGCTCTGGGGGAAAACGTTCTTGAATTCAAGAGTCTTAACCCACGGGGCGAGAAGAGCGTCGCCGGTCATTTTGAGGTAGGCTTCCTTCAATGCCCAGTAGGAGTAGAATAACCGCACGCCGTATTGGATGATGGTCCGTTCACTGTGGAATTCGGTTCCGTCCGCCCCGGTGTGTTCTGGAACAAAAGAATTGGCGTAGCCGAGACGTCGAGCTTGTTGAAGAACTTCTTTCGGATTTTTCATTGTTGCAAGTTCTGTTCGTGAAAATACTTCGCTGAAGACGGCTACGAATTCTTTAAAGTCATGCATTGTTCGAGGGGCCTTATTGCGGCGCTCGTTGACGCAAGTGATGTCAATGCCAAGCTGGGAAGGCTCCTTTGAAAGTGAACTCGAAGAAGCGCGCTTGAGCAGTTCTTCAGAAGGCTCAATTGTCCCCGCGAGTACGGTCAAGGATGCTTGATGGGTGACATTGAATTCGATCTCAGTTGACGAATTGGATTGATAGAATGGGCGATTTTCCGGCTTTGCGGTTCGACTGATGACAATATCTTTCCAAGGCACACCACAGGCATGGTGGATATAGAGGTACTTCAACAGACTGGATGCCAACGACATGCGCCTGTCCGCCGCGAAGTGATATCGCTTCACGGCTTCCTGCTCCGTGGGGCGCAGTGTGTGCAAAAGGGGAAGATCAAGGCCATTGACCTCCCATTCTCGGATGTCGATGTACCATCGCACTAGGCTTGGAAGCCCACGCGTAATGGAGTCGAGACCTTCTGTGTTAGGTTCATTTCGTTGAACATCTGCTTGACTGATCTCATTTGGCGCCATGTTGGCGACTCGGAGAGTGGGGGTTATAAGCCGGCCGAATGTTATGACAGTAGAAAAGTTCCAAGTAAATCTGACGCTTGGCAAAACAATATCCCACGGGGGCTTTGGTGTAGTTAAAAGGATATAAAAATTACCGCAAAAGCGATAGAGTAAGCCTGACGAGTACAAGCCGCAGGCTCAAGTTGCATGCTGGACTCCAGATGGGGGAAGATGTTCCGATCACGTGGCGATAACTGATTCCCCGCGGAAAGATAAAGATCACGTGTGTCCAAAAGAGTCATATCGAAGGTCGGTCCACGCCACTTAGGTTTTCTTGCATCTACAGTCATGACCGTTACAGTGGGAGTCCTTGCCCTGCAGGGCGCGTTTTTTGAACATATCCAATTGTTGAAAAAGGCGGCCGAGCAAAATTTCCTGCCGGACTGGGAATTCATCGAGGTCCGCACGCCACAAGAGTTGGAGCGATGCGCCGGACTGGTCTTGCCTGGCGGAGAGAGCACGACCATGTCTCTGGTGGCAGCCAGGTCCAATCTTTTGGAGCCCCTGAGGGACTTCGTCAAGTAAGTCTATTAATTGAGCCCATTCGCATTTCCAGCAATCTTCTAATGTGGCAAATGTAGAGTGCATCGCAAGCCAGTTTGGGGCACCTGCGCAGGACTAATCTTGCTGGCTGAGTCGGCCAACAAGACGAAGAAGGGAGGGCAAGAGCTCATCGGTGGTCTTGATGTGCGAGTCAATCGCAACCATTTCGGCCGACAGACGGAGAGTTTCCAGGCCCCATTGGATTTGCCATTTCTGGGTGAAGGTGCGCCAGCCTTCCCGGCGGTCTTCATTCGCGCCCCCATTGTCGAACGTATTTTGCCACATCAAAAGGGAATTCAAACCGGGGAGACCGAGCTGGAGGAGACTGTTGTTGCGCCTTCTCGGCAAGCCAAGGGAGCCGCCGCAGAGGCCGCCACGGCCGATCACGTTGAAGTACTGGCTACCTTGTCCAGACCGGCCTCGCAGATCGCCACCCAGGGACGGGACATCAGCCCGGACAAGGAGCTTGGCGATATCGTTGCAGTGCAGCAGGGCAATGTGTTTGGCACCAGCTTTCACCCAGAACTGACTGGAGACGCGAGAATCCATGCATGGTGGCTGCGCCAGGTGCAGGCCGCTGTGAACATTAGAAACAAGCTGGGACAATAGAGCATAATAGATGGCACGGAGAGAGAAAGAGATATGTTTGTAAATAAGGGTATCGGGTGCATAGAATAGAATCCTGTTCGTTCCTAATTAAGATCATTCCGGGAAAGTAACGCCATTTTGTGCCGGGTCCATTGTGCCGCCTATTATCCGACATTTACCTTCCCTGGCCATACTCCTCGTCTTCGCGCTGGCGCTGTTCATCATAAGCCCGGCCATAACCACCACGGCCAGGATCGTACTCCTCACGGTATTCGTCGCGGACCTGGCCACCCGATTTTCCGCGACTATAAAAATTGTTAGTATCAGTTCTCAAGATAGCTCGAATATTTTAAAGTATAGCTTACCCATACTGCCGACCCTCCTCGAAACCAGTATCCAAATCAGCCCGGATGATGCGCTCATCCAGCTTGGTGCCGCCAACGTACTTCAAGCAATCCAGGGCATCTTGATGGGTGTAGTATTCGACGAAGCAGAATCCGCAGGGTGTCTTGTTGAAACGGTCCAGTCCCATCACCAGTCGCTTGATCTCGCCGCACCTGTATATCACGGTTAGAATATGAAAGCTTTGATGGAGGGTGATTTGACCCACTTCGAGAAGAGTTCATGGATTTGTTCCTCGGTGGTGTAGAAAGAGCTAAGATCGATCAGCTGCACTGTCATTGGGACGCGGTCGCAAGGGCAGCATACAGGTTTCCCACGTAGAGAGTAGTCGCGCCTTCCAGACGTTTGTTGGTTTCCTCTTCTCGCTCAATGTCGCGGTCATCGCGGCGTCTCTTGTTCTGGCTTGTGTTGGCGCTGGGCTTCGCGTTCTCGGGCTGCAGCACGTACCTTTCCTGCATAGTATGCACTGGGCCGATCGAGGCGATCGACGGTCTTGATCGGTAACAGGCTCATAGTGAATGGTGTGGTGAGGTGTCGGAGTGGGTTGAAGATGGAAGAAGCGGAAAGGCGAAGGAAGCTCGGAGCTCCCAAAGATTCTTGGCGCGCAGGAATTCCACCGCATCAACACAACCCCAAACTCCCACCTTCCACCTTGCGTGTCCGCGATGACCTAGAGCCTTTTCTCTCAACAACCGCCATAGTTTCCCACTACACCTCTTCATGCCCAAGGTCAACAGCTACGCGCCGGCCTGGCTGTGCCGGCCGGCACCTGGCGCCAGCCTTTTCACCAGCAGCGCAATCGCAAATTCATCGCAAGACGCCAAAACCTCTGCGAAGCCGAACCCAGCTAGCGGAGCCACCAGAACTATCGCGAAGCGAGGAAACGAAGCGTTTGCTGTGGTCGACAATGAGATTCGCTGGTCTAACCTAGCGCGAGTTAAGGGTCAATGGCAACAGCAGCAAGCGAGGCAGAAGAAGGGTCCTGCTGCTCTGCCTAAGGAAGCGCCAAATGGCAGCGGGCTCCCGGCTTACAGGGTAAGTGTGGAAATCGCAGCTCGACATCCATTCGTCCAGAGCATATGAAACTAAACTGATAATCTATAGGTTCTGGCTGTGCCGGTCTATGGTCTGATTAAACAAATCATCCCCTCGCCCAACGGAGCCTTTCTCGCAATCGTCACCGAGCATACTGTCCACATCGCTGTGCTCCCCGATGCTTCTCATCTGTCGTCGACCGATACCGCCCAGATCCGCTTGAAGACCTACCAACTCGGTCCTACAACCCATGTTATCCCGGAGTCGCCGGTCGTCTCTGCCTTATGGCACCCGTTGGGACTGCACACCAACATCGGAGGCTGTATCGTGACCATTACTGCCGATGCCGCAGTGCGAGTTTGGGAGTTGGACAGAAACAATCACTGGTCTTTCGACCAGCCAACGCTGGCAGTGGATTTGCAGAAGCTGGTTGATGGAACCTCCTCCGACCAGGACTTCGCGCCCACTGGCTTTGGCAAGAACAAGGGATTCTCCGCGGATGTGTATGACATGGAGGTCGCGTCGGCCTGCTTCGGGGGTAACAATACTGAAAGGGAGGATGCTTGGGCGCCCATGACCCTCTGGGTAGCCATGAGACCGGGCGACCTCTATGCCTTGTGTCCTCTGCTGCCGTCCAAGTGGCAGACTCCTTCTACGACAATCCCCGCTCTTTCTTCGGCTATCATCCCCAAGCTGTCGGCTCTGGAAGAAACACCCGAGGATCTGGAGGAGGAGCTCACTGCCTGTCGTCAGCAGTATGAATGGCTACGTGAAATTGACGATCAGGCGCCCTTGGACCCTCCTGCTGAATTGGAGATGACCCAAGGAGCAGAGATTTTCATTCGACCCGGCAACCCTAGTGCAATTCCGCGTCTCCAAGGACCCTTCCGCTTTAACACGGGCGATGAACTCGACGATCTAGATCTTTGCGATATCCTGGTGATTGCTGCCAAGCTAAATGTCGAAGATTTGATGATGGGTGAAGATGAGGAGTTAGCAGTGGAAGCTAGCGAGCGAGAGAACCTATCTGCGACGGTCATTTGCTTGACTAGCGGCAATGGCCAAGTTCACATTTGTCTGGAACTTGACGGTATCGAAGGACAGTGGTTGCCCAAGGCGCACAAAAACACTTTCCGCACTCCTCTCTCCGAACCTGCGGATCTGGTTTTGGTGGAATCTCTTGATACTATCAAGACCAACGGAGGCGGAGCCGTTACCTGGCCTACGTTCACTCGGGATGTCCATTCCCGATACTCCTTCTTTGTGACGACTGCCAGTAACGTGGTATTCTTCAGCATCGCTTCTTGGGCCCAGACGCTCGAAAGCGAGCTGCAGGCCGAGGATGTGTCTGGCTCGGACTTCCGTCTGGACGTTCTCTGCGGCGGTGATGTCGCGAAGCGAGAACGGATTCTCCAAGTCCCGCACGCAGACAGCACGGCCAAGAATGAGCATCTTCCTGCGTCTCTTGTCTTCTATGATTACGATCTCGGCTACTTGCTACTTACTTACCTCTCTTCCAACCCTTATGCCGCTTCCATGGATACACCGGAGGATTCTTACTCTGGCTCCACCGATCTCCTCGAGAACACGTCGCCCGTGGCCGGTTCCCCTGCCTTGCCTCCCCGTCGCGCGCCGTACCAAGTCCCCGCCATTCTCTATGCGCCGTCTCCATTGGACTCGTTTGTTGAGAAGCACGTCCCGCATCGCCAGCGACACACACTCCAGGAGCAGGTGCGCCTCTCCCCTGCGACCTTGGATCTCGTTACCGTTGCCCATCGCGTGCTCTCGGCCCACACCAATGCCATCGAGCGAGCGGCCTCAGACCTCTTCCGTCGCTGTGAGCGGTTGTCATTTGAAATGAAGGATCAGCTTAGGCAGCTGTCCGATGTTGCCGACCGCATCAAGGGGGTGACCAGCGAAATTGGCCCAGATGGTCGTCGGAAGGAAGGCTCTCGAAATAGTGAAGCCCTTGACAAGAGACTCGATGCCGCGAAAGACAGACAGGCTGAACTTGCCCAGCGTTATGATGCTTTGCGCAAGAAGCTTCTCAACTCTGGCGGCCGCCCTCTGAGTGAGAAGGAGAAGTCCTGGATTAACGAAATCAACGTATTGTCCGAGTCGTTCAGCGAAACAGAGCCAAAGGGCGACGAAGAGGATCAAGTGCTCGCGCAGCGCTTGGAGACTGTAAGTTATAACCTTCTCATTCCAGTTACAACTTCATGGCTAACATCATTTTTAGGTCAAACGTCTTGCCGCTAGCCTGGTCTCAGAGACCAAATCTATCATGGCTAAAGTGCCTTCTCCCGAGCCTCGAAGCCCGTCTTCCCCTGGTGGCTCGCAGCCCAAGGTCCCGCAACGTCTGCAGCGGGCCAAGATTGAAGATGCCATGAGAATGGTGGAACGAGAGTGAGTATATCGAATTTATATAAGATGATGATATTTACTAACTATCGAATCTAGGTCCGCCGTTATAGATGCAATCACGTCCCGTTTGGAGCGACTCAATACAAGTTTGTGAGGCTGGGTGACCTGAATACTCTGGTCAGCTGTTTTTCTTCTGGTACATAACGCGCTGCTCAGAACGTACAGCGCATTAGCACAATACTTACTTGTATGCTAGTCTAGAGTACAACGATGGTATGAAATACATTCTTGAAATGTTCCACATCTGCATGAGACTTCTTTCTTATAATATGAATAAAATCGCCCAAATCCACTTCCAAACTACAGTAATGTATACTCCGAAGTTCGATCTAGCTATCGCAATTTGAAAGCTCTTCTCTCAGGACTCCTCCGCCTTCATCATCTACAAACCCAAACAAAGTAAACTCTCCTGCGGGCACTACGATTCTCAAAAAGTCAGAATCTCGAATGCAACACGATACAATTTCACAGGGGAAACCTACCTCCCATCAAATACCCTTTCCTCGGTCCACGCCTGGCGCGGTAATGCCCAGAAACCTGCTCAACGGGATCACATACGCGCGAAGCATCAACCCCATTCCCATCCATGATATCCAACCACGCCGAATGTCTCAGATTCATGTACGGTGTTAAAGGTCGGGATGGAGGCTGGGGAGATGTTCGTTCTTCGTCCATGTCGAGGTATTCGAGTGCGTCCACGAAGACATCATCGTCGCTGTCGCTTGATTGGTTTTCTGTAGATGGTATTAGTATCTCTTCTAATCCCTCTTCCCAGATTTCATCTCCAGGTTCGCTATCAGACCTTGCGGTGTCGCTGGGCTCTACAAGGTTGTTTCGAAAACGTGGTGGGGCATTCCTATTGACCGGAGAATAGATGGTTTCCTCATTCTCAGAGAGTCCGTGAGCTTCGAACTCGTCGTCATTGAATTTCCGTTTGTCTCCTCTTTTCCAGCATCCGCTGCATGCCTCTGTCTGGTCTTTTAGAAATACCATCCTATTGCCCTTGCATTTGTTTGCCTTCTCTGGTGGACAGGCGGTGGTGGTTACTTCGCGGATGCAACCGCATACAGTGTACTTTCGAACCCAGAGAACACACATTGTGAATTCGGGAGCTGGTGGTGATCTCTGATCTTCGATTCCCAGGATCGAAAATGGTACAGGTGGGATTTGGGATGCTAGATTTATCTATATAGCTGCGTCTGGTAAGTGATTTTGAACTAGATAAAGAGATTGTGCTTTGAAAGAGATTATGAGACAGAAGAACTCGGGGCTAAACAATCAAAGATAAGCCCACAACCCGTTTCTTTGTCGTAACAAAGAGCATACTGTGACAATGGTGAGAGCCCTTCTGTGTTTAAGGAGTAATTCGTACATAGAATTCAACTGAACAATCGTGGATTTCCAGTATTTGAGGCCTGACCTGTCTAATCTGTGTAATATTGACACTCATGGAGAGATCTTTGCTCCTGCTTTCTAGCTCAGCAACATCGGTGAAATGATTTGAATGTCTGCTAGAAGTCGTGCGGTCCGGATTTGTGTCGATGGAACTCTGCAGTGCGTGCTAGAGTCAAAGCGAGTCAGTGCGAAAGAACTCGTTGACCATGACCACTTCATCAATTTCATCAAGCTCATCAATATCATCAGTGTAAGTGCAGTTTCCTTCCTGTGTGTTCTTAAACACACGTTCTACGTCGGATTCTGTATCAGCAGTGAGGCCATCAATATGAGCAGAGTACCTAGGGTTGCATTCCTGGTGTTCATTGACTTGCTCCTCGCTGTCGATTACCATCATTTTGGCATACTCCTTGTCCCGACACTTGGAAAGGAAATTGGCGAGTTTGCTAGGCTCCTCAACTCGGTCGATAACCCAGATGTAAAGGTCATCGATCACACTTTCCCACGACGGCAACACAAGGCTGGCGATACAACCCTCCCACTCGTGCATCCAAGGTCGAAAGTAACGATTCCACCAGAAAATATAATTCTGATGGTTGTAGGAGTTGAGAGAATGGGCCGCCGTACTCTCAGTGCGGTACAAGTATAGAACATATTCCTCCATGGGACCCATGACAAGCTCGAGGAGGAGATTGCTGAACCACTTGTGAAATGCATCATAACGATCTGGATCAAGTTGGAATTCCAGAACATCCTTGTTTAGTTTCTGGCGAGGACAGGGTGTTCTGTACAGGGGGTTAGAGAATAGCATGTTGTAGTCCTGCCACTCTCTAAGGAGTTTAACAGAGGCGCAATGCTTGTCCCAGACGCTTCCCAGCTCGGCGGCGCACAGAAAGTCGTAACAATGTCCCTTCAGCCATGCCATGTAGCTAATGCGGCGCATAACGATGCAGGCGCAATTATGGAGGATCTCATGGGCTCGGTACACCTGGGGATTAACTTGGAGCCATGCTGGAGGGATGAATTGCCTGGCATCGTAGGCATAATCAGTGATGGAAGGCCTGCGTCGTTCTTCTGCCAGCTTCTGGGCCCTGCGTGCTCTCACCTTTTCCTCCATAGATGGTTGCCTTTTGATGGCAATGTCTGCGAGATGAGTATGTGCAGAGGCAGACTTGTTGGGAGCACGGGTGGGTATTTGAGGGCGGGTGTTCAAGATTGGCAAATCGGGGTGAGGATTAGAGTACTTCACGCGCAGAAAGATGAGTGGATGGAAGAAGCAGAGAATATATAGACGCGCAGATTAATTGAGTGCGAGAGGGGGTGTTGCCTGAAATCTACGCGCAGTTACTGCGAGGAAAGTGCCGTCCCGAGTGGGATGTCAACAACGGCCTGCGAACAATATCTTCTCACAAATCGGTACCACACATTGTAGGCCGACAATCAATTTCCTACAGTCTTGGAAGTGAATCGCGAACCGATGAAACGGTGCTACCCGAAAGAATTACTGTCTCGTCCCTTAAGCTTGTGATAGTCGTATTTTTTATTGACATTGCTTCAAAATCTTGAGATGGCCCACCCTTTTACCACCACTTCTTTCGACCCACATTTTCTCTACATACAAACTGCTTTCCGCCCAGACAGCAAACCATTTAAATGAAGGCCTGGGTACTATCACAACGGACTTTTCCCTTTCTTATTATCTCCAGAATTGACGGCAAAGGTACTTTAACCAGGAGGTGTATTAACAAGAGGATCCGAATCATCGTTGAGGGTCAACCTGGTAGATTGGAAAAGCTTTCACTGGACTCTTTTCATTCGCGTTAATAAGAATGCTTCTTACACTTGGTTTCTCTAGATTATCTTTTATTCATACCGTTGGATAAGGTGGACACCAGAAGCTGTCTCGACGATTTCGCTGACCTGGCCCGGCTCCAGGGCAAATGCCGCTTCCTCGAACTCCTTCTGCATCTCACCGCGACCGAAGAAGCCACTAGACTACAGTCAGTATTGCATCGAATCAGTCTCCAGGATCGGGGAATAGAACATACAGGTCGCCTTTCTTGCGGGCACTGCTGCAGTCGGACTCGGAGACAGCGATGTCCCCAAGGGTCTCGCCGGACTGGATGCGCTGCTCGTATCCCTTTAGGATTTCGATCGCATCCTCTTTAGAGCGAGTAATCTCGGCCTCGCGCCAGCTGCTGGGGCGGCGGCTGCCGCTGTGCTTGACCAGCAGGTGGCTGCAGCGAATCTTGCCTTCGCCTTGGCCGGCAGCGTCTGGGCGCGTGGCGGGAGTATGATGCGTCGCCATATAGATCTTAAGCTTCTCGGTATCGGTGTCGGCAGGAGGTTCCCAGCGAGATTCCTTGTTGGCGGGGTTGAAGTAGTAGGGAAGGTTCTTGGAGTTGGAGTGGCGAACTTCCCAGCCGGAGGGCAGTCCTGAATCGGCCTGAAGACTCGAGTGGTCAGTAGGCAACCGGATGGGATTCTATCCGAGGGTTACCTACCATGATCGATGGGATTGATGAGGTCGGTACACGCGTGGATGTTGACAGCTGAAGCGGAGAGCTCCCCAAGCGCGGCCGGCGGGCAGTGAATGCGGGGAGGCTGCAAACTATACAAACTCGGCCGATCCTCGCGCCTTCCGTCCACTTCTTCTGCCTGTTGCTTTGCTCTCACTTCGTCTTCTTTCCTTTTCATCCACCCCATTTCCCGCTTGCTTTTCGCATCCGCACACATTCACCTTCTATCACCTACATCCGTTTCTCTTATCGTGTCTTCGAGATGTCGTCCAGCCCCGCTCCTTCTGACGCTGGCGAGGCCAGACAACCCGACCAAATCCACTTCCGTTTCTGTCGCGAATGGTGAGTAGCCCCCGGTCGCAAGCCATGATTCCTGCACCCGAAGGCTCTGATCCTGACCCCCTCTCAGCTCGAATTTGCTCTACCCCAAGGAGGCCAAGCACGGCAACCAGCTCCTGTTCACCTGCCGTACCTGCCATGTCGGAGAGCCGGCCAGTTCGCCCTGTGTCTACCAGAACAAGCTTAACAACCAGGTCGGCGATACTGCCGGTGTGACCACGGATGTCGCTACTGACCCTACTGTATGTGATACCGTCTTCCTCAAGCTTTCTCAGTTTGGCTTTGTTGTCATGCCCGGCCTCTGCACCTTCTGTGGTGGTGCTATTCTCTGTTCCGTCTGCAATCTGACCCCGATGCTGGGTGAGGGCACGCAGGCCGACTAGGCGACTACTGACTGCCTCGTTCTTCCACTTGGATACTCGGCTGATGATACAATCCTCCTCGGTGGATTTAGCTTCCCCGTGCCAACAAACTCTGCCCGAGCTGCGGGGAGAGCGAAGCCGTCTTCTTTCAGTCACAGCAACGTTCTGCCGATACTGGAATGGTAAGTACTAACCCTGTATCTCCTTTTAGGGACCCTTCCGCTAATACCCGAAAAGAAACTGTACTACGTCTGCTGTGCCTGCGCCAACGTCTTCCTCTGATTTTTGCGATTTTTCGACCCGGCGTGGTCTTCGAATACCCCTACTTGTTTTCTTTTTTGTCTATTACACTTGTCTGTGCATATCTTCGGAGTTAGGCGATGGGAAGATAGGTGCATACAATGTGTGACTAGGTTTCGTTTGCCTTGTGTCTTTGGAGACGTGTTGCTTCAAAACATAATGGTAACTTTGAACCGGTCTGGTCTTTGTTTTCTGGGGTTATTGATACATGGAAATGCAAATTCTGCTCTAAATCAAACTCGCTTTGCCCAAATAAACAGGTATCACAGTAGATGATGGTGTTACACATGCACCGGCGCCAGCGACAAGATCTTGGACCACTGCTTGCCGCGCAGTTCCTGACCGACGACTCCTGGAAAAGTATCAGCATTTGAGCTCGTAGCAATTTCAGTGGCCAGAGATTTTCCAATTCCCCTGGCCATAGGGCCCCGGCTAGATAGAGATTCGAAGCACGCACCGTTCATTCTTGTTCCAATCGGATCCCCCGACTTGTTCACTAGCACACAGGCATTGTCGCCGAAGCGAACGACGGTTCCATCAACGCGCTGCAGCTCCTTTTTGACGCGCACGATAACAGCGTGTCGGATATCTCCACGGCGGACCTTGTTCGCGAGAGTGGTGCCGGTGCCCTCCGATCCGGCGGCCCTTTGCTTCTGAACGACGACGACTATCCGGTCACCTGTACCCAGCCAATGACGTTAGCTTTTTCGTTCTGAGTCTGATGTATCGATTCCTTGCGTTTGATCGCAATTGTCGAGTCTGGAGATGGTCGGGGGACTGACCGATTGTTGCGGCCCGCTTCTTCTTCAGGACGTTGACGCACTCAACGACCGAGGCACCAGAGTTGTCGATGCAATTTAGTAATGACTGTGGAGGAGTCAGCAAAGCCCATTTGGAGGGAGTGCAGGGGGTGTACCTTTAGTTGAATCATGTTTGCGCCTTGGGGAGTTGATGCTCGGCGAGTCGCATCACCACAATTTGTTCGGGGTTCGGAAGGGGTTTCTCCGAACGGCATATTTGTCCGGCCTACAGCCTCAAAGATCATCAGGCAAATCAACTGGTTTGGACTATGCGTTTCACTTCATTGTTTTTCTCAGGGTTCGATGTCTATTTATTGTAGTCAATAATCATCCTTTTGCCCTAGTAATCATAATGTATGAATGGCCTTTTCCAATTAAACGTCTCTTTCATTGTTCATGTCGAAACTGACGCTACCGATATATATCTCTACCCTGTGAACCGTTTCTTCCAATTGCCATATTGTGATCATGCTTGAGACCGATGGAAGGCTAGAAGATTTCAGTTCTCATTTAATAACAATATTCGCCAGAGGGAAAATGCTCAATGTTCACATCACATAATTTCCTGCATCGATTGCCGGCCAGACCGAATATGAGCACTTGCACTACGGTATGCAGTCGGACAACCGCGGCTGCATACATGGGCTTAATACCCGGCCTTACGAGGCAGACAAAGTTCGCATAGAGGAAGCTGGAAGCTCATGTGTGAGTGGGTTACAGTGCAAGGGGCAAGTGACCTGGAGAGGGGGCGGTCTACTCTTAGGAATCCATGGATTTCGATCCGCACCGTGATCTGGTCACGGCACTACTTGGGGCCGGATAGCACAGAGCCAATCAGTGCTGGAAAAGAAGAAATGCCTAGGAACGAGATGAGAGAAGACATCATGGAACCAAAATCATGGTTTAGAGGCATCACGACTTGTCGTCTGCTCGCTCGTCGGGTGTGCAATCCCACGGTTGTAGCTTGTACGCCTCTAATCGAGCGATGCGCCAATGAAGTTGGAGGTTGTCAGATAGCCCCATCGGTGTCCAGACAGAGAGCCATGAGAATCGGGGCCAGTTACTCTGTGAGCTATGGCGGACGGGGATGCTGCCATCGGTGCCCCGGCTGATATCACCTTGCACGTCGGGTAGGCATGAGGCTGGAGGTGCTGAAGTTAAAAGGCGGGCTGCGCACCCAAGCACGAAGAACAGTTCAACGATGTAGCGCTCGTCTGCACTTGGCCGCGCTGAGGGGACGGGCAAGGAGTAAGAAACCGGGCAGAATGAAGAAGAAATGAGGAGAGAGTGCCGAGAGAGGAAGGAGGGGGGGCAGAAAGCCAAAAGGGTAAAAGCGGCGAGGCGCGGACGGGCGACTTCGCGTCGCTGCGCAGCGCATAGCCTTCACCTTGCAATTGGGGACGAAGTTGGCGGCCATTCACTATGTTGGTCGTGTGAATGTCCTTTCTGACTTCCTGGCCTTTCTCTTGGATATCTCACCCCCTTTGTACTCGTCTCTCCCTTCGCTCAATCTGTCTCGTTCGACACTCCATCCCGCGTATACCACCCCGTGGTTGATGACCGGCTTCGTTCACTCCCTGCGGGTCTGTCGTTCTCTGTAACACCCACGATGCCGCCCAAGAGGGCGCGATCCAGTTCGTCTGCGCCTGAGCGCCGCGAGCGCCTCACACTGGCGAAACTGGCCAGTTACGACGATGTCGCAACAGATGCGCTGGTGGATCATGTATGCCCCCTGGCCGGCGATTGAACACCACCTGGCACCGACTGACTCCTGATCGCAACAGGCTTACTTTTGGACCACGATCCGAAAGAATCGGAACAAGTATAGCTCAGCCCGCGGTATTCACGACGATGAGGTTGGCCGCATCCTCCTGCACGATGTCGTCGTCGCGAAGGATATTCCCGGAGCGGAACGCAAGCTGTTGGAACTGCCCGGCTTGAGGAAATATATGGCCAATCTGCCGAGTCCTCGGGAGAAGGAATGGTTTCGTCGTCACCTTCGAAAATATATTCAGATGTATCATCCGGACTCTCCCTTCGAGGTCACCACGACGAACCGCTACATCATCACGCAGCCTGAGGCCGCCCTTTGCGCCCGCAAGTTTATCAAGGCCGGCCAAGAGATCAGGTACCTCAGTGGCACCCTCGTCTCTATGACCCAGGAAGAAGAGACAGATCTGGGCCTCACCCGCAAGGATTTTAGCGTGGTCATGTCCAGCCGCCGCAAGGCTGCCTCGTTCTTCCTGGGGCCTGCCCGGTTCGCCAACCACGACTGTGATGCCAATGGCCGCCTGGTTACGCGAGGCACGGAAGGGATGGCTATCATGACCACCCGTAATATATACGAGGGTGAAGAAATCACTGTATCCTACGGTGAAGACTATTTCGGTATTGATAATTGTGAATGTCTCTGTCATACCTGTGAGCGCGAAGTCCGTAACGGCTGGTCGCCCCACGCGGACTCCGATGCGACTAGCAAGGAATCCACCCCAGTCTCTGTGGATGAAGCTGCCCCTATCGAAAGCGACACAGGCAGTAAAAAGCGCAGGCGAGACTCCGACGTGGATTCGGACGATCTCACCTCGGTCTGCTCTACCCCGCGCAAGCGCACCAAATTCACGCGTCAGACTTCCAAGTTGCGAGAAGAGATCTCTCTCTCCGAACTCCCGATGGAGACTACTGCAACCCCCGAAACCGACACGCCATCCACGCCCGGCCCCGATCTCGGCCCGGCCCCAAATGCCTCTGCTTCTACCTGCGACCGCCCAACATCTCGCCTGCGACAGGAGATCGTTATTTCGGCACCAGCCGAATCGACCCCCGAGGCGCCATCAACCGATGCACTTTTGTCATCCATTGGAGACCCTGAGCTGTCTGAACTGAAGAATCCCGACCTCGCCGGGGCTGCCAAGGAATCGGCTGCTCCGGTCGACCCAACTAAGACGGACACCAACAACCAGGCCTCTGCTCCTGCCGACTGCTATTCCCCTAGCTCTGCCGCGGGCGAGTCCCATCGCTCGTCGACCTCGACCCTTCCCACATCCGTGGACGACACCACCAAGGCCGACCAGGTCAAGATCGAAGTGATCGAAGAGATCGAAGATACCAAGGAACAGGAACCCCTCGATCTTTCTGTGACAGGCCAGCCCGCCACTTGCCTCACTCCCCTGGATCAAGATAGCACCTCGGACTGTTTGGACTCACCTGGACCACTCGAATCAGACGATACCACTGAAACCGCCGTCGAAAAGAAACGCCGCGGCCGCAAGAAGTGGAAAATCGTCGCTTCTGTCGAAACCGAACGGCCAGTCGCCCGCGTCCCCGGAGACTACACGAAGACCTCGCGCCTGCTCGCCCAGAAGTACGACCGCTGGGTCGATTGCCAAACCTGCGAGTCGTGGTTCGTACAGTCGAACTCCTACCAGACCCGCCGTGAATGCCCTCGCTGCGAGCGACACTCCAAGATCTATGGATTCCAGTGGCCATACACGGACAAGGACCCGGATGGGCAAGAGCGGGTGATGGACCACCGAACCATCCATCGCTTCCTCACCATCGAGGAAGCACGTACCTCCCGTCAAGAACGCGATAGCTCCGACATCACCCCCACCCCCGAGCTGTCTGACGTACATCCCGAGACGGACACCAACGATGGGACAGAGTCTCGTCGCAGCACCCGGGCCAGTCGTCAGCGGACCCGAGAGCTTCGCATGACAATGTGAAGGGAGTCGATGAATCAATGAGGGAATGGATTGTAACAATTTACTGGAGTTTTTGCGAGACAGGACGTTACTTGTATTATTTTGGTTTGCGCATTGCAAAGTGGACATGGTGTTGAATAAGGTGCATTGGGGGAATTCGGGTTATTCATTTTCATCTTTCTGCATGGAGTCAAGCGATGCACTTGGGCATCTTTCCATATTCAACATTCGAACGAACATATAATGAAAGATCTTCATTGACTGTGCGCATATCCATGATGCTCGTAATTGCCTCATTTAGAGCCTCGGGATGATCAGTCCCGAATCGCCGATGTAGCTGCATCCCCCGCATTTCCCCCGATCGCCGTCAACAATAACTGCACCAATGACAGCGACCCTAGTGATTTTCAGCGTGTTCATTGATCCTTGGCTTTACGATGATGGATGCAAAAGGTTAGCACGAGATTACTTCCAGGAGCCTTTTGGGCTTTTCTCCGGCCGGCCAAGGTCTCTATGCCAGGAATGAGATATATAGACCCAGCATGGTCTGTACAACCGGAATAGTCAGCTCGAGTTTGAGAAAGAAGGAATTCCAGTCCAACATAGGATCTTCAAGATGAGGCTTCTTGTCACCCTCATCGCCACTGCACTGGCTTTCACAACCACAACAACAGCATACGACGACCCCCTCGTCCACCTCAACTATGGCAGCTTCCAAGGAAAATACGACAGCAGCTACAACCTCTCATACTTCCGCAAAATACCCTTCGCTTCTCCCCCAACCGGCGAAAATCGCTTTCGAGCTCCACAACCACCGGCGCATATCACAGACAGCATCTACGACACAGATCAGGACTTCGACATGTGTCCCCAGCGCACAGTGAACGGCTCCGAAGATTGTCTCTACCTAGGACTTTTTTCCCGACCATGGGATACAGATAAAGCAGTAAAGAGACCCGTACTGGTGGTTTTCTACGGCGGGGCCTTCATCCAAGGCAGTGCCTCGTTTACAATGCCGCCATCTTCGTTCCCCGTCCTCAATGCCAGCACCCTCAATGATTACGTTGTGATATACCCGAACTACCGCGTCAATGCCTTTGGATTTCTCTCCGGGAAGGCAATAATGGAATCATCGACTTCCGATCTCAATCCTGGTCTGCTGGATCAGCAGTATGTCTTAAAATGGGTACGATCCCACATTCACCATTTCGGCGGCGACCCCCGAAATGTGACAATATGGGGCCAGTCAGCTGGTGCAGGGTCCGTCGTTGGACAAGTCCTCGCAAATGGACGACACGGACAGCCAAAGTTGTTTTCAAAGGCGTTGGCGAGCTCGCCTTTCTGGCCGAAGACGTATGCCTACAACGCACCCGAGGCCGAGGCGATTTTTGCAGAGTTTGCGAATCTGACAGGTTGTTTGGGGAACACAGATCGCGAGACAATGTCTTGTTTGAAAGCTGTTGATGTGCAGACGATACGGGATGCGAATCTCGTTATTGCTGCTGGGAATACTTGGACGACGAGCTCATATACCTGGGCACCAGTTATTGATGGAGAGTTTTTGGTTGATACGCTTACTGAAGCTGTTAATGCGGGATCCTTGAAGACGGAGTTTGTTTTCGGGATGTATAACACCCATGAAGGGGAGAATTTTGTTCCTTCCGGACTGAAGTCTGAGGCTGGTGCTAATGGGTTTAATTCCTCGGTTGCAAGTTTTCATTCTTGGCTCACGGGGTTCCTGCCTGGATTCTCGGAGAAGCAGATTCGTGCTGTGGAGGAAGTTTATTACCCGGTTCTGGGTAGTACTGAGACGATCGACGAGTATAATAGCACGTACGTGCGTGCTGGCCTGGTTTATCGAGATGTTGTTCTTGCTTGTCCGGCTTATTGGGTTGCGAATGATGCGCAGCGGAAGGGGTATCTGGGAGAGTACACTATTTCGCCGGCGACTCATGGGAGTGATACCATATATGTGAGTCGAAACATCTGACGGAAAAGTGCGAGAAGCTAATCATGGAGCAGTGGAACCGGATCAATGCAGTGCAGACGAGAAATCCAGTCGTCTATGAGGGATATGCGGGTGCTTTTGCTAGTTTCTTTCAAACTGGTGATCCGAATGTGCACAAGCTGACGGATGCTTCCCAGCCTGGCGTGACTGTGATACAGCGGACCGAGGAGGAGTTTGTAGTTGTAGACAATGGATTTGAGAATACTCACCTGACTCAGCTGAAGAAGAGATGTGATTTTTGGAGGGGGCTGGGGAAGCATATTCCTGTTTGAAGTGTCAATACCGAGATCTACGTTAAGGAGATAGAATACACGAAACGTCCCGACCGAAGGATAGAACTGACCCCGAGGTTGGAATTACCGTGATTTTTCTGGCCCTGTTCTGCAACTCCATTGAGAGTTACGTCCCAAAACAGTTTGCTGGCTAGGGTTTCCCGTCGTCAGGCGGTTGCGATGCATACTCGACTCCTTCATACTCCGAATATACATGACTAAGCAGAACCGGCACTGAGAATCAGCCGTAAAAGTGGCTCCACCGCCCACTAAGTAGTCGGAATGTTGATCGGGATGTTGACTGCTCTTGTTGCTTCCTCACCTCCCGCCGATACACAGTCAGCCATGCTGTGCTATGCCGCAGGATTCTGTAGAGTACAACTGCAATTTGAGTATCACAGATCGAGGTGAAAGGTCGAACGACAGAGTGGGATTCATTTTCTGACAATATGTTCTTGACAATCAAGGGCCCTATGCAAGTGGATGTTGCAGGAGCCGGCAACAATTTCACCGTCTTGAAGGATGAAGTGTCTGGTGCTTGGAGGAGTTTCCCACAAAAGTGATACCCGGGTCGAGCTGAGTGAATTACGAGCAGGGTCGCGTGCTTAAAACCAGCGGGGTTTGCGCCAGAGTAGAGGTTTTCAACGCGGTTCACCGTCTTGGAGAGCTGGCTGGTTGTCATCTCGACAAATACCGAACTAATAATTCTCGTCAACGTATAGGACAATATTGGAAGCCATGATTGTGATATTAGAGCTCAAAATAACAGCAAACACCCAAGAAAAATGGAGTAGAGTCTAAGGAGAAGAGACGAAAAAAACTCAAGATGAGTAGCGAAGTTACTCAGACTCATGTGGAGCAAGTCGTTTTAAGATCGAATTTTACCGGAAATGTTGCGGACACAGATCGGATCTTAGAGATCTACAAAGCCTAGTCCAGCAATTTTGACCCTAAGAGGTTACGCGAACCGCCTCTTGCATCCAGACTGGGATGGTCCACATCTGCTTCCCCACCATCGGAGGTTGGTAAGTCGGGCCCTACAGGACGTAAGAGACCCACAGCCTCGGCCTACTTCCATATTTCCTTCACAGGAGTCGATCAGCAGTGTTCTTGAGACAAGGTACTTGCATCCATCTGCCGAATCATCCGAACGGCAGCTTATCGCGGCAAGTGTCATCTATAAGAAGACGGTGCTGCATGAACGAAAGCAGACTATCACTTTTGCGCACCACTTTTGTATAGTGCCCGCCAGCTTAAGCAATATTACAAATGTGTCCGTCCAAGAGAAACTCCAAACTCAATTTGTAGACACGGCTTACGCACCCCTCGTGCCCCGAAACAAGCACGCGGCTTTCAACTACCAAGGCTTCCACACCGGGGAGATTCAGCAAATGTCTCGATACCATGTGAAGAGGCCTGGCTACGAAGTCTTTCCAGTAGACGTCGCCTGGGAGCGTGAACAGGCAGTCCCCATGCGGGATGGTATCACAATATACGGTGATGTATTTCGTCCTGCCGATGGAGTCAAAGCCCCCGTTATAATCCTGTGGAGTCTGCACGGCAAGGCCTCGACTGGCTCTAAGACTTACGACGTTACGGGCCCTTGGCATATCGGTATCCCTCGTGAGCGTTTGAGTGGATAACCTTCGAGGTTAGCTTTGTCTATTTTAAAAGTGGGAAGTGAAGCTTATGAATATCTAGGGGTCTAATCTTGCCGACTGGTGTGCGAGGGGATATGCTGTTGTTGATATTGATGCTCGAGGGTGCGGTCATTCCGAGGGTGATATCATATTTTGGGGAGGGCAGGATTGTTTCTACTTTTTGTTTTGATTTGGCTTCGATACAATCTGACGACCGAGCTATGAAGCTGTGGATATCTACGATTCGATCACTTGGATTTCTGAAGAGGACTGGTATATTGGATCTGTTGTTATGATGTTGTTTGTTTCTTGCTTGACGATTCCGTTGAAGGAATAGAATGCCGACCAATACCACTAGCGGAAACTCTTGGCTGGCTATATCGCAGATCAACTTCGCATCTCGCTTCACTCACTTAAACCTGAAAGCGATCTCACCCTGAGAAGGTCTTAAATATGTGTATTCACAGCAGTCTGTAGGGGTGGAGTACCTCGTCACGAATTCGGCGAATTGATCATCCGGGGATTTTCACTTCAGGTACATTAACAAGACGCACTCGGGTACCTACATAACTAAATCCGAACAGGCTTCAGTCGAGCAGAGAATCCAGAAGCGATGCTCAAGAACAACCACCCACGCTTCGACGCTACTAGAAAGAGAAAGACATTTAAGTCGAAAATATCTGGGACATACCTATGTACCTCACCACGTCCTACTCGACAGATCTCCATTGTGAAGGCTTATTCTGGACATTTGAGGAGGCAAAGACTCCTCGCAAGTGGCTCAGAGTGCATGTGTTGCAGGAATGGCATGAACTGTACCGGACAGAAGCTGTGGATGATCTGCAACGTTTCTACGACTTCTATGCAAATGAAATATTGGATGGATGGGAGGAGCAAACGCCGAGGGTTCGTCTTACATTGCTGGGTTATGAGTGCAGTCAGACCCTGACTGCGGAGGAGCATCCTGAGGAGCAATGGCCCCCTGCTTCGCAGTGGTGTGCGAAAATATACTGAACGCAGCCAAGAAAGGTTGGAGCCTGAAGTGCCTGAGAAGGTTGCGAATATTGCGCATGCAGGTTACTCTCTCACGGATTCATCGGTATGTTTTCAAGTCACCCCCAAGACAGGGTTTTGCGATGAATCAGGATACTGACACAATATTCAAGGGCAGGACTACGTGATTTACTTTACTTTGACAAGAAGACCGAAATCTGCGGCCGACCCTTCGTGAAGCTGTACATGTCCTGCGACGAATCAGACGACATGGACGTGGTCGTCCAGATCGGAAATGTCACATCATCAGGCGGATTCTTCGAATCTTTGAACTGGTCTACAATGCCTGAACCGGCACAAAGTCCCGAATGTCAATGTTGCGAAGCATCGGGGTCAACAAGGAATGGCCCGAGCTTCACATCGTGTAAATCTACGCCCGCGACAGAACGAGGACGAGTTTCCGGTTTATTCTCACGGAGGACGACAGCCGATTATTACTGGAAAGATTGCCACTTTATATCCCCATTTGGCCTGTCGATGCGGTATTTGAGGCTGGGGAGGGCTTGATGCTCCGGGTTTCTGGTCATGATATGGCGCTTCCCGAGGTGGAAATGTTGAGACTTACGGAGCCGGTGGATGAGAACCGGGGAAACCTTTCTGTGTACACGGGAGGAGAGTACCGGAGCTATTTGTCTCTACCTATTATTAGACCTTAATCTTACCCAGTCTTAGGTGTGTGGAATGCAGACTGGTTGGGCTTCGGCTATCCGAGATTGCTATTTTCAATTCCCTGGTTCAAGACACATGATTCACACAAACAGAATTAAAATTATTGTTTATCAAATATCAACAAGAACATCAGTATAGACAGAAATAATTTCTGCACAGAGAGTCCCCGCGTAACTTCTTCCATTGTGAAATAACAAAAACGTTAGAATGAACAATGCATTGCTTACTGCCAACCTCCCTCAAATCCAGTTCCAGCGCCCTGGCTTCTCCGCCTCGCACTAGAATACTTTCTCGCAGCAGCAAAGTTCGCCCGATCTTTCTCCTCCTGGCTCAAGCGACGCTTTTGCTGCGCTTTGGGATCCTGCTGGTGGCCGAATCCCCAACGCCACTGGTGCTTCGGATGGGTATCTTGGGCAGTGGTACCTATACCTACAAGAGCGCCTTGTTAGAACTACAAACATATTTGGATTCCAGGAAAGATGTCGTACCAGTTGCCGCCTCGCTCTGCGAATCACGCTTGCTGGGGTCAGGCTGTGCATCGGGAGACTCTTGTATGGGAGATTGTGCAGCCGGGGACTTGGTTGGATCGGTGGAATCCATGGAGTCTGTTCGGTGATGTTTGAAAACATCGGATGCTCTGCGGAAGAACCCGGACATTGTGAATTGTTTCTTTTGTATTTGGTAAATATGGTCAGAGTAGAAATGGTGTTGTTGAGAAAGATTCCTTATGTAGGAGCCGGAAAATCCTATCGTGACATCATATGGCCTGATCGAGGTTGGTCTTGTGATGTCTCACTTAAAGTTGAGTTAGCAGGACTGCGACCGCAGCCAATTGATTCATGCTGAATTCTCCGTTTTGCAGGATCGTAGGATCATATGTGGATACTGCGACCGTGGTTCAGATGTCGGGTCCGAACTCTCCGCAAGTGTGTCTATTCTGGAATAACCCTGGAAGTTGGATGATTCGATGCAAAACTTGGACACAATCAGGAGCCGAGTCAGAAGAGTAGTGGGGATTTGTATGAATTTTCTGAATTTATGATCGGATAGTTCGTGAAGGATTTGTTGCTCGTGTTCCTCTCCTTGCTGGATCTACTTCCAGGTCTCGATTGTCTGCTGGCGGGCTTTAATGCTGAACCCACTGTGGGTCTGATGTGTTGTATTGTCGAAATAAGAAAGTCTAGAACGTGTACAATGTACTCAGAAAGAAGAAAACGGGGCCCGGTCCCTGGCTCGAGGTGCAAATATTGATAATATTGTTTTCAATAACTATGTACAAAATCATTGATGAATTCTCCCGTCTCTTGAGATCTCGATTACAGGATTTTTCAATCCTGGAGCGAATCTCCCCAATGCTGAGATGAAGAAGCTCGTCGCTCAATGAGCATGTCTGCCAGAAGTACAGCAATCTCCATGCATTGCATCCCTGGCCAGCTTAGCCCGACTCAAAGGGCGCGGCCGCGGCAGGAAGCTGGTACCAGAGAGATCGGGCTCTGCGACTGCGTCTCGACCCTTGACGAGACCCCCAAGATCACGCTTGGCAATTTCGGATTTGTAGATCATGTTGAGCCAGTTAGCTAGACGGTACCCGCCCTTCGCAATTTGCAGCTCGATGGTATCGATCACAGAATTGTAATAGGTTGGGTAGAGGTCACCCTTTTGTAGGGCAGCGGCGCCATCAGGCATCACAACAGTGCAGACCAACGCATTGCCATCCGACGCCCAGCGCGTAGCAGCCGCGATAGGATCGCTAATATCATCCCCGTCAACCCAGCTAGCAGCGTGGGACGAGAATTCGCCCGAATCAATTTTCTTGATGAGGTTTTTGGCCCACGACTGCGCATCGTCGAGCGAGTCCCCGCCGACCAGCTGCTCGGGTATATATGTATCCCAATCAGAATGCAAATTATCCTTGTAGCCATTGAAGGTAACATCGATGTTATTTCCGCCCACCTCGTAGGCCTCGTCGTGGAGGGGCTGGGTTATGTCGCCGAGGAAGTGGACGAGGAACTTGAGGGCTTCTGCGACATTCTCGGAGCTCAGGCTGCCGTCGCCCACGCGCTGAGTGTAGTTGGCGATGGCGGAAATGGAGCACCCGGAGTCTCCGCAGTCACGTTCGTAGTCGACGTTGCAGCTGGAGGGGGGTTATCCTCGGCGTCGATATAGTGTAACGAGGCAGACCATTTGCCTGCGCTTGTGAGGCGGTACTGGTCGGCCCAGGAGGCGATATCGGCCAGGTATGAGCTGTTGGTATTTCCGAGAACGCTCTTTGCCCTTTGGAATTGTTAGCCTGTCTGTAGTCAAGGTGTGAAAGATTGATACTTACCACGATGCGGTGCTGGAAGAGACGTAATGTTGAGCGACATACGCGACAGTGGAGTGGCCCAACGAACCCCATGCCTGTGCTCCGTTCACCACGCCCAATCCAACCAGTGCTACCTTCAGCATAGATGTCATTCTGAACCAGAATATCAGTACTAGTATCTCTCGACACACGGCGACTAGGGTTCGACCCGTGATTTATGAGGACCTTGCAGGAATATCGGGGTGCTCATCCTGTGGTTTTAAGGCCAGTCCCTGACTTCACGACCGGCGATCTAGTCATATCGGTTTAAGCTCGAGGGGTGGTTGCAACGTGAAGATGCGTATCGCTGGTGGTGATTGGCTCGGAGGACGCCACGGACAGATCGCTGGTGTTTCAAGGGTGCTGTCCTGCGGAGATAACAACAAATGGGGACCGCTGAGGGATCTGAATGGTCAGGCTAATTGGCGGGGGTTGGCGGGATCTTCGTCGCTGGGTTTCGGAGTCCACCGGTCGCGGAGGGTGTATCGTATAGATTCAGAGTTCTCAGGGCGATTGAAGCATAAATCAAGAGCGTGGTGCACGTGGGTGCGACCATGGACGGCCGCTCTTTAGAGTTAGCCATTCAAAGTCTGTTCTGGAACAACGTGGACATCACCATTAAACTGTGAATTATTGTATAGGGTAGCAATTATTAGTATATGGATCTGTTTGCCGACCCTCAACCCTCAGATCGAGTTGATTGCCAGAAGTCCGTCGGAATACCGGCGGCCAAATACTTGCGGTGACATACCATGTAGAAAACCGATAAGCAGGCTCAACAAAGAATCGAGACGATTTTAAAAGAAAGACGTAGCAATTCAAATAACAAGAGCTGTCCATGCAGTCAAAAGGGCGGGTTCTGACCTAATCGGGCATGACCACTCTTCCTTTGATCGGCGTCGTTCCGACAGTTCGTCATTCAGCGGAAGCCCAAAGGAAGCAGAAAAGAGCCGGGAAGCCACTAGAGACTATTGAGCATCTCTTTGGGAAGGAATTAATTGAAGATATTGTCTCGCTACAGTCACAATCAAGCCTCCTGGTGAGCAAATAGCCTGCGCTAAAGTGCTGTCTCGGGGTACTTTAGTACACGGTCTCGGAGCAGTGTAGCTGACCGTTCATAGCAATGATCTCATAAGATGATCAGCCAAGAAGCTATCCCAAAGTACCTAATTACGAAATGATATACCATGCAAAGACGAATTCGAAGTCGAACAGCATAAATAGTGGGATGCCGGAAGGTCGACGGGCTTAAACAGGTGGGGCTGGCCGTACCGACCTTGGACCAACGTGCAGCATCACACCTCACCAACAGCGCAAATATCTGACTCGTGCGTGTCACCCAGAAAAATAAACGACAGTTCGTGGCTGACCAGAATCTCTGATTGGAGCCTCAGCCAGTCACGCATCGAGGCGTTCGTCTGGCTGGCGCCAATTTGAAGCTGTTTGCCCATAACAACGCGGGCCATACCAATTACGATAGCCAAGTGGCCCACTTCCTGCCCCCACCACCTTAGCAACAGAAGCCGACAACCGATTCTGTGCGCGATTCGATCAGCTTTCCTTGAGCTCGACGTGGACAAATCCGCCAATCCATGCGCATCCACTGCTATCGTGGCAGCGATCTGTTGCCCTGCAGCAGCACCTGATGTGGATTCTCGGCAATGTCCGTTGTATGCATCATGTTGATCTGAGCTGAGGTTGGCTCTCGCGGGCTCATGATCATGAAGCTTTTTAACCGAACGACTTTTCCGGCTGGGCTCTTATATTTCTGGGCCAATACACCTGGAGCTTGGACTGGCGACTGGCGCGAGAAAGAAGAAACATGGCTGGCAACTCCACGTTTCCGTTCACCATCAAGGAACATCTTATTGATGGACAGCATATTCGCGAATACCCGAATGCGACGAACAAGCCTGGCCCTACGTTTAAAATTGCCATCAAAAAATACACACCGATCGTTAATCCCAACCCGCAACCCGGGGACGTCACGATCATCGGTGCTATGGATGTGGGTTTCCGAAGGCACTTCAACCTGTCCCTGTGCCTGCGACGCCAAAAATCAAATGTTGAGCTAGGAGCTGTACGAGCCTCTCTGGGGATATTTGTTCGTCCGATCTCGTTTGGACGGCAATAGAATTCGATGCATTTGGATTGCAGGCATCTCAAACCTCGGTGCCAATGGCATTTGCAACGAAAGGTCTCTCGCAAATGATCACGAGTAGCTCCAGTGTCTCCTCTTTAAGTATTTATTAACCGATAACAGCATCTTGTTTGGGTCACAGCCGTGATCTTCTGCACATGGTTAATACCTTTCGCGATGAGATGCCCGAATCCATTGTCGAGGTGAGTCATAGTATGGGAGCAGCGCAACTGTAAGTCTTAGCGAGATCCAAAGACGACCATAACGCTAAATCGGGCTCTCAACCTTGACTCCTTTTGGCCCTCCTCCATTTCCGCCTTTTTAACTCTCTGAGCCTCATCGAACCGGTCATTTCCCCAGACATCATCACGGGCCGAGGCCCCATCCTGGCCATCATGTCACTGAAGCGACACGACACCTGGATCTCGCAGTCAGCAGCAATCGAAACTGCGCGAAAACATACAAGCAATGGAATAAGCGTGGTCTCGAACGATGGATTCAAAACGCCTATCGGGATCTACCAGCGGAAACCGAAAATGGTTCGAAGGAGCGACTAATTACCCTGGCAGGCTGCAAGCATCAAGAAGTTCTACAGTACCTCCGGCCAGATCCGTCTGACTACAAGCTCGTTGGTGAATGCGATGCCGATCATACATCCTTGCCTACCCATGACCCCTGCAATTACCCAGACATCATCGGCCCCTCGCGCGCAACCTCCCTCCTCTACCGGTACGAACAATCCTCGCCTGGAAACTGCTCAAATACGTACGATTACCAGTGCTATACATATACGGCTATAGCAGTCCAATGTCTCTCCCTGAAACTCGGAATAAGATGTTGAATCGAACTGGGATGGGAGTTGGTGGGAGTGGTGTTGTTCGGGAGTCCCTTGCAAACAGAAGGTTATCAAAGGCTCTCACCAGCTACCGCTGGAGAAGATTGATGAGACTGCGACTATTGTCGGTCTGTGGATTGGAGGGTCAATACAGAGCTGGGAAGAGGATTAGGCGCGTCTTGAGAAAGGGTGGAAAAGCAACCTGAGTGATCGATTAGATGCCATGGCTGATTAGGTGCCTGTACTACAAGGTCTTTATAAGCCGGAGGTAGAAAAACGGGTCTCTGGACTTTGATTAGTAATAGGCATAAATTGCACCGGTGAATACACCTTAGCCTTTTCACATGAGCATCTTTGACAGACATATGGAGAAGTCTTCCGAGCTGTCGAACCGTGTGTCGTAATTGTTATTCTGAGGAATGCTAAAATCAAAATCCTTATGCGGATGCCCTCTATCTTGTGAATGGCGCGTTGATATGTCAGTGTACTATCATCAGCTGTATCTGTTCAGGAAGTAAGGGTTCAGAGGGAGGTCGAGATATTTGCGTTGCCATTCTTGGAGATGACTGACACCCAGGCACATGACAGGTCATATGCACGGTCTCGAGCCATAATGCAGATAATTCAACCCTAATAAGCATTGAAGTTATGAAATCTTCATTTGGAGTCTTATAGCTGATAACAAGATACGGAGTCATGCTCCATCAGGCAAGGGGCGTCTATATAGTAGACTTGATGGGTCCAGTTGGAGATTCTCTTATCCGTACTAGTAGATCCATGATTACTGGAATTGTATACTTCCTACAATCGCCTTCCAAGTGGCAGGGTCTCTTTCTAAGCATAACGCGATTAAACTGAAACCTGGGGAGCCAACTAGACTGAAGGCTCCTGCAAAAAAACCCCAGCAAGCAGCATACGGGTATAGATCATCATGTTTCTGATCAGCTACTATTTATATCAATTTCCAATCTGATCATCCATTTCCTGGAGATGTGAACATAAATCTTCATTTTTTTTTTTATCATCTTGTCACCTTTTTTTCAGTTTTGACCACCTTGCCCCTCGAGAAGTGAAGGCAACTATTTCCATTCAATCCAACCACGACTTGCTATCTTCATTCTCCGGCGACTCCTTAGCCAGGCGCTGCCGTTCCTGGGCCAGGCGAAATACTTCCTTCATCAAGTTGAAGTCCTCGCCAGTGAAGTACCCAGACCTGACCCAGGAACGGTACTCCAAGCGCAAAAACATGAGCTCCACGCAGATTTCATCCGTCCTGGCGTGGGCTGGGCCGTGTGATGATTAGCTTGCGCAACTCAGCATCAACGGATTCCTCCGGATCGTTTTGATTACCTCGTTCATCCTCCTCCGAGTCCTCACCCCCGGCTAACTTGGCGGGTTCTTTGCCCTTCACCTCGGTGTCGTGGGTTTTCTGAGCCCCGCGAGCTGCCTCGGTCTTGTGGGACTTCTTACGAGCCTTCTTGGCCTTGCTGGCGCCCTGGGTCTGGTTGCCGGCTGCATTGGCATCCGGAGACTTGCTGGTATCGGGAGTTTCGTACTCCGAAGTTTCCGGGCTCTCCTGGGCCACTCCGGTCTCCTGGGCTTTCTGGGCCTTTTGGATCTTACGGGCCTTCTTTCTCACCCGGTCCTGCTTGTTCTTCTGGGCCTTCTTAGCCTTCTTGGCTTCCTCCGCCTGCTTGGCTTCTTCAGCCCTCTTGGCCTCATTCGCTGTCTTGGAAACCTTCGCGGCGGCATTCACTGTTTCGAGCAGCTCATCACGCTCATCGAGAGCCGCCTGAAGTGTAAGTGCTGAGGCGAAGGTAGTATCATCAATCAGCGGCTTTCCGGTTATAATTTCTCCGAAGCACCGGAGTTGGAGGCCAATGTCTTCGCTCCAGTTCTTCTCGATGTCCTCAATCGAGATCCAGAATGCCGCATCGCCGATGCACCGGCGGAAAAGCAGGAATCGACCCAGGAGGGACTGAGTCTCCTCCTGGGTCCACCAGGGTGGCAGAAGGCCACGCTTGCGCTCAAGATCTGCAAGCATCATGCCCAATCCCTTGAATCCATTCAACTCGTCGATATCGCCAGTTCTCTTGAGGAACTTCTTCTCGTCGGCGATACGCAGGCGGTAGGTAGCGAATAGAAGACGGTAGACGTCCAATCGAGGACGACCATGTAACCACTTTCCGTACTTGAGCGCTTTGTAGGGGAACTTGATCTCTTCAAGAGGTGCGTCGTCGTACGATTCGAAGGGAATACCGGTACAACCATAGTGGGGACCCGGAAGGTCTGAAGGTGGCTCCCCGATGTTCGAAGGCTCTTCAGTGGTCGAAGCAGCGCATTTCGCCTTGTGATACTTCCAGTCAGTAACTTGGCACCCGCGCGAGCAGTACCATGCTCTTTTGCATCTATTACAGGTGCTGAGCTTGATATCCTCGGTGGCTGGGATGTAGCACTGAGCGCACTCCCGTGTGGTGGTGGTGGTGGAGGAGGAGGAGGAGGAGGAAGGGTGTGCGGAGGAAGGTGAAACTGGGTCGGACGACGCCGAGGTAGAGGTGGGGTTCGCCATGGTGTTCTGGGTTAAAGGTGTACGAATGCAATAACGTGAAGAATTGTGGTGATGAAAGATGAAAATTTGTGAGATGGAGAGATATTATTGCGCGAGACAGAAAGATGAGAGCGTGCGAAGTGGAAGAAGGGTGTGGGAGAGAAGAGGGAGAGAAGAGGGAGAGAAAGAAAAAGATCCCTTATGAATTCTGGTAGACCTGGGTCGCGCCTGCCTCAAGTCGGCTCCTTCCTTCAATTTCTGTCTGACGCCGGAAATTCCCATTAACTCGCGTCTGCCTCAAATTTCCAAGCGTTGGCACCGCCTTTCAAGTTCCAAGCTGACACCGGAAGTTTCCATGCTGTTGCTTCGTTTGCTTTTACCATTTCTCGGCGACATCGATGGCCTAGCTCCAGCTTACATAGGAAACCCCTGAATACTAGAGAAAAGGTCTTATTCAGGCCTTTAGTAGTATCAACAGGGCAAAAGTGGCATGTGCCCCCGTAGTAGTTTCGTTTACTGCCTTCCCTTCACTCTCACTTCTTGTGCACTCACATCAGCCATGCCTGCAGCTGCAAGCCAGCAATTTTCCTTTAGACATATTTCCAGAGTTATTTTTGAGCGTGACTGTCAGCCTTGATCTTGATACGCAAGTCGGATTGGATCGATGAATTCAATTTCGCCAAGACATTGTATAAATGTTGAAGCATGCAAAGCTACGCCACATATATGCGCCATTCTGTGGCGCGCCGATCATCGCTGTCGGCGATTCAATTGTCCGGATCGCCTTCGCACTTGCTCCTCAACTCCTCAGAGTATCAATTCTTCCCGCAAAAATTGTTCAACAAAATTGATTAGAACGCTATCTCGGTGTCTCTGTGTAGTCCTCTAGATTAGTACTGTATGAGTAATAAATGGTACCTCTCCATATTGATCGACCCACTCTGACCCCTGAGGCAGATGTATGTGGCGCACCAAATATATATTCATGGGAAAGTCCGACCACATTCCCATGCTACACGATGTGACCCAGGACTATGACCATGGCCCTGAAACTTCCGCGCAATCACAACGCCGAAGGTTGTAACGACTTCACACCATCACATATGTTTGTGTAAGGTATAATAGTATTCGGACATCAAAATTTGACGAAGCATATAATACGAAACGGAGGAACTTTGAGATGTTTTATATTCAATATCGTACACTATCACATCAAGTCTAAATACTATTTTGCCATTCCGCTGGGTATTTATTGCCGAAGCGCGGCACGTCCAAGCCATCATCAACGCCACATATGGTATAGAGTTTATACAGATTGAATGCATCATATACTAAATCAGAGCCTGTCCGCGGAACATGCCCTCGCGAACCTCACGAACAACATCTTTGCGGTCCTTCTTGCCAACCAGAACCACACCTCGACCACGCTTACCCATACGGCCCAGACGACCCAGGCGATGGATGAAATCAACAGTAGTGTGTGGAACATGGTAGAGCACCACAGTCTTGACGGCCAGGGTATCGATACCCCGGGAGGCAATGTCGGTGGTAACGAGAACCTTGGTGTTGGGAAGGCGGCGAGTGATTTCCGCTTTCTTCTCGGGAAGGACGAAGGGAATGGACTTTTCCGCCCGGGCTTGCTTGTTGGCGAGCGAAACCTCCTCGGCGGTGGGAGGTTGTTCCACTTCAGTAAATTCGGCAAGAATCTCTTCTTGCTTGCGGGAGGTCGAATCACGAGACAAGGAAACGGCGTCAATTCCCTTCGAAAAAAGGAATTGAGCAACTTCATCCGCTTCCTCACGCTCGTTGACGAAGACGAGGATCTTCTTCACGCTGGGACCCATGTACTTCGTCAGAGGACCGTGACCCTCGCCATCGCTACTCTCGCCTGCCTTGCCGATCGACCAAATCACATCGGCACAGGCAAGCATGCGGTTGCCACGGTACAGTTCCTTCTCGATATCGACAACACCAAGCTGGACACGACGGGGGATAGCGTGCAGGTTCGGGGTTGTCAATCGCTTGACATCGGGATAGCGCTTGCGGAGCTGGTTGTCGAGACTGCGAGGAATGGTGGCAGAACAGAAGATCAGTTTCTTAAGCGACGGAGCCACTTTGTCGATGATCTCGGTCGTGGTCGGAATGAAAGATCGATCCATCAGGGAATCGGCCTCGTCGAGAACGAGGTGGCTGACGCGACTGAGGATATAAGGGTTGGTTTTGGCAATGGACGCGAGAAGATGGGGAGTCGCGACAAGAACATCGATACCGGCGGGATGGAAGAGCGTGCTCTTGATTCGACGGGGCGTGAGGTTCGATGAGATCATGCCGGAGCGGTACTTGACCGTGTGTGAAAAAGACTTGACCTTGGCTCCGACCTGTGCCACCAGCTCTGACGTCGGGACCAGGATGATGGCCCGAGGACGGCCGGAATCTGTCATGGGAGGCTCCTCGGGTTCGAGCTCAAATGTGCGGTTCTTCAAACGCTCCTCACGCTCCTTCGCCTTTTGTTGATCAATAATTTTCTGTTCTTCCAGGTCCTGCGCTTCTCCCCGCTTGACAGCATCGAGAACGGGGAGAAGATAAGCCAAGGTTTTTCCAGATCCTGTTTCAGCAGCAAGTAGGTATTGGTCGTACTGAGGCTCGTCCGCTTTCTTCGGCTTCGGCTTGGTGATATTAGAGTCGAGTAGTTGCGGAATTGCCAGCCGTTGGATCGGAGTGGGGGTGACGTCAGCGAGACCAGGCAGTCCCTGAGAGAAAATCGAGTGTCGAACGGTGGGAAGGAGAGGGAAATGATCGAAGCTGGTGAGACTGGCAATCTTGGACTTGATCGCAGTCCGTCGGCCGTAGGTGACTGGTGACAACGTAGTCTGCATTTTCAAAGCTTTATACAGAGGCGCTTCCTTCTTCTCGGCCTTGCCTTCCTGCCCTGAACGCTTCAGCGCCGCCTGGGACCTAGGTCGCGGTGTATCCCGGATGCGTGCTTCCGTCTGGTTCGTCGAGGCCCAAGGGCCCGCGCGATCGCGCCCTGAGCGAGGTTTCTTCAGCGACGTCTTAGCGACATTGGGAGATAGCGTCATGCGCGCGGCCTTGCGCGGTCTCGCGGTTGCCATGTGTCGCATGGCCTGCCATGTCGGGAGCAGGGTCGGGGTGAAAGGCAGCGTAGCCCGTGACTGGCACAGAGAGCATATCGATGACCGAATGGGCAGAGGCATCCTGCCAGCAATATTGGATCGAATGGACGTCGACAGGACGGCGGGCTTGAAATTGCAGGAAGATCCAGCAGCGCCGGCGGAGCCAAAAAACCAGTTTGGTTTGGCCGCACGCCTTTCCCCGTCGAGCCTAGCGCCGATCTCTCCACCCTGACCTCTCAGGCACAGAGTTCACGTGACCATACTATCACGCTGAAACTCGCTGAGTCATCACGTTTGGCGGCGGTCCCCCGCGGTTGCCATGGAGACTCCCGTGACTGCCTCAGCGTGTCAACACCAAAGCAGGCTTAGGGTAACAAACCCACTTCGATCCATGGGAACAATATCGAGATCCGATCCCCTCTCGTCTTTCGTCTCTTCACGACCCTTCGTTATCCTTTTGCTTGCCCTCGTTTCGTCCGCGTGAGACTGGCAAGGTCGCTTGGTCACGCCAGCATTCCTGAAACAATCGACACGACCCTTTTGACGTTCTCATACCAGGACGAGCTGTTTTCCCACGCGACTCCTGGTATTCATTCGTAACGGTATGTTGGCTTGTTATCGTCTGCGCGCCCAGCACCATCCTCGCTACTGAACTGGCGTCCAATTTGATCCCAAACTCAAGGAAATGAGCTTTGGCTGATACGCTGGCAGACGATCCTGTTGCTACGATTTGTTGACCACAACACACTCCATCACGGCTGGTGCTTCTCGAATATGAGCAGCGGACTCGGCCAACGGCCACTTTCGGAAGTGAGCCCCATGGCGCAGCGTCGCAACTCGCCTATCTGGAACCAAACGACTAAGGTAACGCGCCTTCGTCCCCGTAACCCGTTGCGTGAAACATCATGCTGACCTTTGTTGATAGATGCCGTCCGGCGACTCGACCGCGTACGATGTTTCACCCTTGAACAATAATGCCTCACCGCGTCTCTTCTGGAAAGGTCGCGAATCCCCGTCGCCCTCGAAGGGCGTTGAAAACTGTGCGCCGTACGATCCTGAGGGGTGCTATGTCCCCGCTCGACGCCCGTCGCTTGAGAACTTGAAGCGCGCATCCCGCGTCAAGAACCATAGCATGTTCCGCGAGAGCGGCCAAGAATATGAACCGACGCAAGTGTCGGTACCTCACCGTCCTCTCGCGATCGACCGATCGCCGAACCGCGATAGCCAGATGAACCTTGCAAAGTCCCAATTCGTCGACAATGAGCTTGCCGATCAGGTCCCCCGACCTCACTCTCCGAGCAAAGATCAACCCTCCCCGAGCAAGTCTTCATTGTCCAAGGGCAGCAGATACGGCAAAGGCTTTGACCCTGCGCATGACATCTGGTCCGAGTACGATAGTGCCGGCCACCGACACGCCAAGAGCGTAACCTTTGATGCCGCTCCCCCCCAAGTTAACGAATACGAAATGCGCACCCCCGATCCATCATCTGTTGCCTCTGAATCGCGCGAAAATAGCTACGAGTCCGAGGATGATGACGATATCAGCAGCTTCGAGCACGACTCCTTCATGGATCGCGAGGACAGCTTTGATGCTTCTCTGGAAGATATTGAGAAGACCCCAGTGGTGCTCCCGGAGGACTGGCGATTTATGAGCCCGGGAAGCGCCAACGGGGAGGAAGACTCCTTTGTTGAGAAAATGGAGGATCAGAATACCGATAAGCGGCCTGCCTCCCGAGATGAGGAGAGTAGCCAACACTCACGTGTCGATTCTCTCGACTCCAATGGCGAGCGCCGTCCATTGCCCCCACTTCCTTCCGTCAACCGTCTGTCAGGATCGCGGCCCTCTTCCCCAGAGAAGCTTGCTGCTGCATTCGAATTGGGCAGCGGTGGTCAGCGTGTGTTGCCTGCTCCTCCAGCGGCGGCATCCTACACCAAGTCTGATATCAACGGAGGCATGTCCCTCGAAGAGCGGCTGCGCCTGATGATGCTCAATGATAGGAAGGCCGGTGAAATCCAGGAAGAGCCCGAGCATGGTGCAGAGGTACCCTCTAAGGAGGATCCCACCGCCGAAGACCAGGAAACACCCGCCCGAGAGCCTGCTAAGGAAGACATGTTTTCTCCTCCGCGCATTTCTCGGGATTCTATCCTTCGCGACATTCGCAAGAATGACAATTACGATGACGATGTGTTCAACGACGAGGACTCTCAGCTTGATTCCAGCCCCCAGCGTTACGACAAATATGACCCGGATGTCCCCATTCCGTCTTTGGAAACCGACTATGATGATGCCGATGACGATGATTCCTCCAGCGTGATCGTCAAGGAAGAAGCTCACGATGAGGATCTTTACTCCATTCCCGGTTATTACCAAAACACCTCTGACAACAGTCTCTCTTCGCGGGACCAGCGAGCTAAATATGACGAAGACAGCAACTACTCCCTTCGTTCTGCTGCTGAAGATGCCGACGCGGCCCATACTGCCGGCAATGATGCTAGTTGGGGCTCTGGACAGACCACGCCGATTGGAGGCGAGGAGAACCGACTTGTGCCTGAACAGGGCCCCAATGAGGCCAAGGGTGCCCCTGCTCCGGCGCAACCCCAAGCTCTCGATATGGCTTCCATCCGTCAGTCTTTGAATCGTCCAGTTACCCCCGAAATCAAGGAAGAAGAGCTTTCTGAGCCATCTACTCCTGATTCTGTCATCCGTCATCCTGTCCAGGACGAAGAAGAGGATGATGAAGAGCAGTACGCAGACGAGGGACAGAGTTCCTCCGACGAGTCTGTCCCTGAGCCAATTGCGACCATCAAGGCTTCGGGAAAGGGTCTCAAGACCCGCCCTTCGTTAACCCCCGCTGATGTCGAGTCTATGGCTGCGACTCGCCGCAAGATTAGTGGCCAGCATGCTCCTCCCGTTCCTGTTCTGCCTTCGCAGACACTCGACGAACCCGAAAAGCCCCATCATGAGGAGGGAAACGACAAGGCTACTGACCTTCCGCCCCAGCTGGCTCTCCCGACGAACCTCGACCAGCAGCGCCAGTCCAGCTTGATGCAACTCGACATCCCTTTCAGCATCCAAGAAGAGAGCCTTGGCTCTGGTCTTAACAAGGAATTTGACCGTGTCATCGAATCACAAAAGGTGGAGTTGGCCCAAGCTCTTTCCCATATGAATTATCGGCAGTCGCCAGTACCGAAGTCGAACGACCCACCGGGGTTCATTAACTACAGTCTCCCAAGATCGGTCAAAATAGAAAGACATGCTAACTGTTTCCGTCAACAGCGTGGTTATCTCATGCGCCAAAACACCAAGGTCGTCATTGCCAGTAACCGTAACGAAGATGAATCGGCTACTCCGACTGAGCAAGCCATGCAAGATCCTCGAGGAACTCGCTCGGCAGGCTCATCTCCGCGCAAACCCAGTCAGCAAACCTGGACAACTGTTCCTTGGAACGGTTCGACTCGTCGTCCAAGTATCAAGATGGCAGGCTCCATTCCCAAGAAGAAGCCTGTCCCTGGAGCTGTTCCTCCTCTGCCCGGCCAGCAGAGCAACGTTCAGGAGCCTCCTGCTACTATCGAAGAGAACGAGCCAGTCTTGAATGATGCTTTCGAAGATGGTGAAGAGCGTGGTAGATTGTTCGTCAAGGTCGTTGGTCTCAAGTATTTAGATCTGCCGATGCCTCGTGGTATGTTGCTCCATCAACCTTTGCTTGAAAAACAAGATGAGCTAACAATCTTTACTAGGTGAGCGATCGTATTTCGCACTAACCCTCGACAATGGTCTCCACTGTGTGACCACGTCCTGGCTCGAACTCGGAAAGACCGCACCCATTGGCCAGGAGTTTGAGCTCATCGTGCAGAACGATCTTGAATTCCAGCTTACTCTTCAGATGAAGGTTGACGAGACCAGGCTCTATCCCCAGGAAAATGCCGGCTCTCCCAGCCGTCAGAAGACATCCACTCTCAGCCGTGTTTTTGCTTCGCCCCGTCGTCGCAAGGAGCTCGACCTGAAGCAGCAAATGCAGTCTCAGCAACAGAAGGCCATGGATGTTAACGCCCCCGTCTACGATCGTTTGCGCAACCTTATTGCACGTGACGGAAGCTTCGGCCGCGCTTATGTCGCTTTGAGTGACCACGAGAAGATGGCTTACGGTCGTCCTTACACTGTAGACATCGCGTGCTTCAACGAGTGGGCTGTTGACGAGAACCCCAGCAGCGTGAAGAGCAAGAAGAGTGCAACGAGCATGACCGCACAACGACGACCGCCGTACAAAATTGGCAAGCTGGAGCTGCAGCTTCTCTTTGTCCCCAAGCCAAAGGGTGGGAAGGACGAAGATATGCCTAAGAGCATGAATGCTTGTATTCGTGAGATGCGCGACGCTGAGAGTGTTGCCGCCCGCAGCTATGAGGGTTTCCTTTCTCAACAGGGTGGTGATTGTCCGGTACGTATTTGTTTTGTTTCACTTTGATGGCATTTTGCTAACTTCTGCCAGTTCTGGCGCCGTCGTTTCTTCAAGCTCCAAGGCTCCAAGCTTACAGCCTATCACGAAACTACTCGGCAACCCCGTGCCACCATCAACCTGGCAAAGGCTGCCAAGCTCATCGATGACCGTTCCTCCCTGACCCAGAAGGAGACAAGCACCCGCAACGGCGGTCGTCGCAAGTCTGCGTTTGCCGAGGAAGAAGAAGGTTACATGTTCGTCGAAGAGGGTTTCCGAATCCGCTTTGCCAACGGCGAGGTGATTGATTTCTATGCGGACAGTGCAGCAGACAAGGACGGTTGGCTCCGAGTCATGTCGGAGGCCGTCGGAAAGGGCTCTACCTCTGGCAACGGTGCCATCAAGCCGTGGGCCGAACTCGTGCTGAAGCGTGAGCGCAGCATGAAGACTCGACGCTTGACCACCGAGCGCTTCAACCCTCCCAGTGGTATTCCCGTTGCCCCAGGCTCACCCACTGGCAAGAGACAAAGTGTTGCAATGGGACCTCCAGCATCGGCCGGAACGGGAGCGCAGGCGCCCCAATCCCCCCGTCCTCGTCACAAGCACACCTACTCTCAGCCTGAGATTGGCACCGATGCTCGCCGCCAGAAGACCAGATCTCTCATGTTTTGAGCTCACGACACGACCGCATTGAACAAAAGCTTCTATTTCCCTTCTTCTGTCCATGATGTCAAGTTGTCACAATAGCTTTTTTTACTACTTTGTGGATGTCGTTTCATACGCCCTTTTTTCTTCACCTTTGGAAGAATCCATTTCCTTTTTTTTCTCTGGTCTGCTCTTTACCGGTGCTGGTGTACGAATGCGGATTCCTTTGTGTTTTTTTTTTTTTTTTTTATTTTTTTCGATTTATTTTTTGTGTGTGCAAGCGGGCAAATGACAATGCTATGACCCCTGACTGCAGGACACCTCCAGATGATTTCCTTCGAGATCCTGTTGTACGTTAATGAGACATACACTCACCAGCTTTCTCTTCATGAGTTGATAGTTACTGCTTACAAATTCGATTTATTGCTCTGGCTATCCTTTTTACTGAAAACCAAACATATATTTCGAATAGTTTCAGACCTGCATGTTATGGCATTGTGCTTTCTACTTGCAGGGAATTTGTCATCCGGAATTTATGTTCCTTTCATCTCTCTACATTGTTTTCCGGATCTTCCGAGTAGACAGCGCCGTTGCTGTGAGCGTGGTGGGATCGAGATTTCATCCACCGAGTCAAATTGCGGGGATTGGCTTATGGAATCAACATGATCCTATTGCAAGTCGTCGATACGAATGACATTATCAACAGCGTATAGGCAGTCAAATTACCCAGCAGCAATTATTCATCAATAGTAGCCTTCCCAATCACATGCTGAGTTGTCATCTGCCATGGCATCAATGCTGCATTTATCAGCATTTCTCTATGTGAGACGTCTATTGCGTGCTGCTTTCTGACAAATGAAAGTCCACCATCCCGCAATATATGCATAGTATAAGATACGCAAGGAGATCCCATCTTTCTCTTGGCGATAGCATAGATTTGTCACTGATCTTAGACAGACAACACGATTTCATCACTATGGCTTCGGCAGCAGTTCAAGTCTCAGCAGGCCACGGCCCCAGTCTGGCGCAGAAGCCATCCATCCCGGTCTCGGACAAACCACACCATGTGCAAACTACTCTCAACTTCCTGAAGGAAAATGAAGATGGCTCGCCTCCTTCTCCGAGTTACGTCGGGAAGCCGGAGACTTATGACAAGCCGACGGTGTCGATTTCTGTTACTATTCACGATGTCAGTGGTCGCGAGCTCGATTATTCGCTTGACGATCAGGGATTTCAGTTCTACTACCACGAGAGCGCCGAGAAGGATTTCTTGGATGATGAGAAGATTAAGCGCGAATATTATCCTGAGACGGAGCGGCTACTTAAGGATGCGTATGTGCTGATCCCACTTGATAGTTGTATTTCCCTAGTCACCTGCAGCAAGGCTCCACTCTGCTCGATCAAACTAACACTTGATTCAAATGAATAGTACCGGCGGCTCCCGAGTCTTCATCTTCGACCATACCATCCGCCGCGCACCAAAGGATGCATCCCGCGAAGCTGCTCTACGAGGCCCCGTCCAACGCGTCCATATAGACCAGACCTACTCAGCCTCCAAGAATCGAGTCTCATACCATCTTCCCGAAGATGCGCCCGAGCTGCTGAAAGGTCGCTATCAAATTATCAACGTCTGGCGACCGATTCGCACGATCCTCAAAGATCCTCTGACCGTCGCCGACGCGCATACTGTGTCTGACAACGACCTGGTGCCTGTGGGATTGATCTATCCGGATCGTGCGGGCGAGACGTTCGCCGTCAAGCCGGATCCGAATATTAAGTGGTATTATCGGTATGGACAGATGCCTAATTTGGTCACTTTGATCAAGTGTTTTGATTCGAAGACGGATGGGCGGGCGCGAAGGGTCCCTCATTCGGCGTTTGTCAACCCTGAGACAGAAAATGAGGCTGACCGGGAGAGTATTGAGGTGCGGGCTTTGGTATTCCATCCTGAGGACCAGGAGTAACTACCACGATAGGTGTGACTTTGTTCTACAGTGGTGAGATAGAGATGGTTTATGAACGTTAATGACTTGAAATTGACATGATATACGTGGAAGATGGTATTCTATAGCCAGTCGTTTATTTTCCCGCAGCAACGCTCTTAATAGCCTCAGCGATGTTCTCCGGAGAAAGACCCTGGAAGTTGATCTGCTCGAACAGACCACCACAGCCATCCTTGACAGCACCGATGGCCTTGAACTTGGGCGTGTATCCGTGCTGCAGAAGGGTTGTTCCCAGGCGAGATCCCAGACCAGTCTTCTGGGAAATGGACTCGACGACAACGACGAATGGAGATTCACCATATCGCTTCAGAGTCTCCTGATCAACGACATTAAGAGTGGGCTTGTTGATCAAGCCGACATTAAGACCCTCCTTGCGGAGCCGCTCGACGGCGTCGAGCGAGCGGTACAGCATGTCACCATAGGACACGACGTATCCGGCAGTACCGGTACGAATAACTTCTTCCTTACCAGGGACGAACTGGTAGTCGCCGCCATACAACTTCTCATCAACGCCATCCTTAAGGATGTAGGGGACCTTGGAGCGGGTCGAGAAGACAAAACGCATGCCGCGGTCCCAGAAGATCTTCTTGATGACAGCCTTCATCTGCTCGCCGTCTGCAGGGAAATAGAGAGAGCAGTCGTCGGCTTCAATCAGGCCGTTGTCGGCGAAGAAGTGATTCAGGCCGAAGTGGCAGGTGTTGTCAGCCATCTCGTCGACACCGCTGTGCGAGAAGTGCGAGAGAACGGTGCAGTGGTTGAGACGGGCCATGGTAATCTCGGAAATGCACATCTCCAGGAAGGCAGAGAAAGTAGAGAACACTCCCTGGCGGTCCTTGCCGTTGCTGCCAAAGCCGAAACCAGCGGCGGCAGAGAAGTTGCCGCGTTCCATGACACCGGATGCCACGAAGGACTCGGGATGCTTGGAAGCGATGGCCTTGAGGCCGGTGGAACCCGCCAGATCGGAGTCAATGACCATGACGCGGCGGGCAGCCTCTTCCTTGCTCAAACCGTCGAGGATACCGTTGACGGCTTCACCGAAGATGGAGCGGTTGGCACCTTTGTCCTTGCTGCAACCCAGGTACTCGTGCGGGTTGGAGCGGCCCTTAATCTGATCGTAGAAGGCAAGCGCCTGCTCGCTGTAACCGCGCTTGGTGAGGTATTTGCGGGCGATATCGACAGTAATGACATCGTGGGCGTGAGTCTCGCCCTCAATTCCTTCAATGCCAGCGGCCATTGTTCGGTCCACGACGACGGCGGCAGGGCCGTTGTAGTTGATGACCTCGCACATGGCTCCATAGAGCGAGTCGATGTTCTCGCCCTGGGCACGGACGACATGCAAGCCGTGGCCCTTGAGGGTGTTGGCGATGTCATAGCCCTTCAGATATTGGGATGGGTGGCCAGCAATGGTGACATCGTTGTTGTCAACGAAAAGCTTGACCTTCAGGTTGCGAGCCACAGCAATGCGTGCAGCCTCGGCGTCGTTACCTTCTTGCTGGGAGCCGTCGGAGCCCAGCAGAATGACGTTCTTATCTCGGTTGGCCATGGCAATACCGTTTACCATTCCCCACATGTGTCCAAGGCGACCGGAGCTGAACTTGACGCCGGGAGTGAGGCCGAGCTCGGGGTGACCGGGCAGCTTGGAGTTGGCATCGCGGTAGTTGAGCAGGTGCTCGGGCTCGAGGTGGCCCTCGAGGGTAGAGAGTAGGTACTGGGTGGCCACACGGTGACCAGCCTCGTCGAAGAAGGTATCGATGAAGTCGTTCTTGTTGTTGGCGATCATCGCGAGCAGCACACAGACCTCGGGGGCCGTGTCGTAGGGACCACCGGTGTGGCCGGAGACACCACGCGCGGCGCCGGTTGCGGTGAAGGCGATAATGGCATCACGGAAGATGTTGATGTTGTGCAGCAGATCCTTCTTCTGATCTGCGGAGAGAGTGGGATTGCTGGGATCCAGCGAGAGGTTCTTCTTGAATTGACCGAGGTCAACAGGGAACTTGAAGCCGCTCATCTTGATGGTTCTCAATTGATGGTGAGATGAGAGAGGGACAGTAGCTGCATTGAACGATGAGGGGCCCTTTTTATTAAAATGCAGCAAACATCCAAGCGGTCGACGTCAAAACCGGATCGGAAATGCAAACGGAGGGGTGTTGACGTCATGTGCAGTCAGCGGGGTTGACCGGTCTTTGAAGTACAACACAACGCACGAATAGTGATCTAGATCCATGGATATCCTGTTATGCACTACAATATGACCAAGACGGGGCCAAATTTCTGGAAGACATTGAGTCAAGTTGTGATTTTGATGGGCAGGCTGGCTCGCGGTGATTCCCATAGCTCCGTTAGGTACATCAGCAGAGTAACGGTGGGGCATTGAGAGTGGAAAGTGGGACACGATCGTCTGTGTTTTCTTACTATTATTGCGAGGCTGTTGTCAATTTCCTGGAAAAGCTAGAAGGAGAGAAGATCAATCAAATTGATCTATAGGTGTTGCTAGCATCAAACTTCCATTATGTACTAGAATCTCGACCCCTCAGATGTATAGGAGGTTTTGTCGGAAATTGATTTCTGAAGGTCAATTCCTGAGTTTGCACACTCCCGAGAACGTAGATTTATACACATTTGAAGGCACGTCCAACCCAGCATAATACTCCCATGAAAGAGGTCAGTCCGGTACACAGAATGATCAGTCCATAACCACTGCCATATGACCCCTGCGCATGACCATGCCAGTTATCGACCCGAAGCAGCATCTCACTAAACGGACCGCTGACAACATTGCCGACTCCTCGTCCGAATGCAATTGCTGAGAAGATGATGGTGGCATCAGAGGCCGAATCCGCCTGTTGCACCTCTCGTATTATCGCCGACCAGATCGCCGAGAAACTACCCGCGAAAATCCCGTACGCGAAGCAGAAGACCAGCAAGATCGCAATATGGGAGGAGAATCCCCATAGCAAAAAGACTGAAAGAACAGTCCCAACGGTCGAAATTGAGATACACGTCAGTGCATGGTAGCGATCCGACAAGAAACCCATCGAAATGCTGCCGAAGATGGATGCCACATTCAAGACCGTCACCGTGAGCGAAGCCAAGAAATTGGAGACCCCAAGACTATGGGCGAAAGTGGGAAGATAGATACCAGGTAAGAAAAACCCCAGTGCCTCGAAAATATTTACCAGCTGGTAGATGACAAAGACTCGGTTGAAGAGGAATCGAGTATTCAACCGGCGTTGAGCTACTCCACTTGAGACTGGGACTCGGGACTTGTGAAAGTACAGGAATGGAAGAGGCAGGACGAAGAGTAAAGCCGAAAGTATTCTGAGCGTCATCCGAAATCCAAATCGTCGGAGAAGGTTCTCAAGTACAATCGGGAAAAGAATTCCGGATAATCCTGATCCAGCCCAGACGATGCCAAACGCTAGTCCCCTCTTTTTGTCGAACCACTCGGGCATGAATAATATCGAAGGGCTGTAGGCTATACAGCCACCGACTCCGAAGCCGATGCCTTGTGATAGCACGAGATGAGTGATGTTCGTGGAAAACGATCCCATGGCGAGGGAGAAGCACATTATGCTCAGTCCGATTGTTGAGAACCATCGTGCCAGCCGGGGGAGAAATATCATCGCAATTATCGCACATGGGCAGCACAGATATGCTGCGCCCTAATTAATGGTCTGGTCAGAATTCGTTCCATCGAGTCACGCGTTCGGGGCCTCTAACTGTTGCACATGTGCCGATAGCGGCCACCATATTTGAATTTTCGAACAATTCATTATCGCGATAATAACTTTGGAAAACTCCAAAGGCAAATGCAAATCCTGTTTATCCAAACTATTAGCATTTAATGTTTAAATAAAGACCTTTCCTGTAGTATCACTGTGGTGGGGTAGTGTTTTTGCTTACCCCAGACAAGAGCTTCTATCATCGTAGAAGCGGCTAAAAACATCCATGCATGAAACCCCCCATCCATCCGCGGTATTCGGCTGTCTCCAACGGTTTCTTTGGTTTCATTTTCGTGACATAGTGCGATCTCGTGTTCCTCGCCTGTGTTGGAGTCCGAGGATAAATATTTCGTGTCTTCCATGGCATCGGTTAAGGTGTCGTTAGCTTCCCAACAATAGTTGTGATAGCAAGCTCAGGTCGGAAAAATTAAGAGCTTATCTTATGAGCCAGAATCCTATCGGTAAGGTCACATTCAGCAATGCTCCGGGTGATTTTTCTGGAGAAAGGGATAGAAAGCCTAAGTATCCGTCAAGTGACGGAAGGAATTCAGGGCAAGGCGGGGATGGAACATCGGCTGCGTTGAGCTCCAAGGTACAAAGCGGTAGCCGGAAACAAGGAGTTGGACCTCGGATTAGTGCAGTACAGTATCCTGGCATAATGCTCTTTCTCATCATGCAATTAGACCGGGAATTCAATCATCGCGATACAACGCCCAAGGGCATGCAACGACTCTTCGAATGGTTTCACCCTGTGGAGGCGTGGACCCGAGACGGTGTTTCCTGGCAAGGAGAATAATTTAACACGAGATTTGACGTGCTACTCGTGGGGCATAGGATCATCCAAAGGGGGAATTCTCGGCTGGTGTGTAGAGCCGGCTAGCGACGGGGTTTGCAAGGGCTGGAATGTAGGGCGAGGTCATGGCCAACCTCCTTTGGGTATTCCAACAGCTTAATTAATCATAAAAACGCATTGTGACATCATTTTAAACAGCTTCTACCAATAGGTAGTTGGAATATAGCCAAGCTTCCTATTTCAGTTCCTGTAGATCATAGGGCTAGCCACGTTAGGCAAGTAAGCTCGAGGGCATCGACCAATACACCAATTGGGTTGAACTCGAAACTGGATTATTACACATCATCTCTTACTTCGGATTGCTCTTCCGTCACACATCACAGTGTCCCCTACGAGCACGTGAAGGGCTTTCCCACAGTTCCCGACTGAAATTTTGTAATCTCGTAATTCGGATGAGCTAAGTCCACTCAATATGCGAAGGGGAGGTCTTACCAGCTCATCAATACTGGCATACGTGCCACACCCGAACAAAATAATTCCCACAAGGAATACCACTCCATTGTACATTGCGGTCTTCAGATTTTTCTTTTCGTACCATGATCCTTCCCTCAAAAGCATATACCACATGACCGGTGGTAGGTAGAAGGATAGGCCCGAAACAAAAAGCGATGAAATGATGGAAAGCAGCTCTGAGAAGATAGGGACTGCTTCTGCGATAACCCATGCAATGACTGTAATGGTGAATACCAGACCGATCCAGGTCATCCAGCCTTGTTTAGTGTTGATGTAGCGAATGATCGAGTCGCGGTATACCTTTCCGTGAATGTAGCGACAGACCACTGTCGTGTTGATCGATCCAGATATAAAGATGACTGGTAGTGCGATGCCGAATACGACCCGGGAAATGACAGGGCCGGCAGAGAGCAAAGCAGGCGATTGTACTCCCTGACCAACGAAAGCATAGATGATTGAACCCGTAAGACTGTAAACCACGATCTGAATGCCTCCCATCGCCCACAAAGTCTTGATATAGTCTTCTGGGGTATGCATTTCCTCCATAAAAGACGGTAAACAACCAGCAAATGAGTAGGCAAAGACGATATTGTTTGCTGCAACGATAGCACCAGAAAATGTAAGGCCGACCTTGGGCCAAGCAGACCACGGAACAATATCAGGGGCACTGACGGCTGAATTACTCGTGTATTGAATTCCGGTAGCAATCATAGTAACCCCGATCGCGATCACGATGGACGCGAAATCAACGTACCCGAGAATTGCAATTTCAGAAAAAGAAGGTGGAATAGCGAGGATCATCAAAATCGCGGCGGACGAAATGCTGAACACCAGCGAGCATACATCGCTTTGGGTAATGTTCTGGAATGCAATTGCACCTGTCAAACAGTGTGATCCAATGACGAAGACCAGTAGCGAGACAAAGCTCCCGATGAAGATTTTCGATCCCCATTTTCCGAACAGCAGTCGGCCAACATCTGCATAGTGCCCGATTTGTGGGTATTTCAGCTTGACTTGTCCGATGTTATGGCCGGCGTACATTGCAACCAGGCCGATTCCGACAGTCAGAATCAGACCTGCTACCATGCCGAGCGATGCGAATGCAGACGGAAGTCCCAGGCTGCCTAGGGCAATTGCTTCGACTATTGAGAGAACAGTGAGGCGCTTCCATCCGAGGCGATTAAAACGGCTGTCGCCTTCAATTATGCGTTGTCGCTCGGGATCGCAAAAATCTTGGTCTTTTGGGAGGTCGTCGGTACTAGCCGCCATCTTGTGATAATCTCTCCAAGATCAATGGATTGGGGTCACAAGTAAATAGACGATTTTGTTGCTATGTGGAAGTTTTAAACAGAATTGCTTAAAAAGAATAAAAAAAGATCAGATATGATTGATAAAAAGTCTCGAAGGCCGGAAATCGGAAATAGCCGAAGAGTGGAGTGGGCGAACCCCGATGTGGTAATGAGGTCCGGGGGGAATTCGGAAGCTGCTTTGCCATCTAGTAAGCGAAGCAGGCGGGGCGACGTGCCATCGCTCAAGCTGAAGATATTTACACGGTTATTCGATGCCGGGACACTTATTTCGGTTATGGCGATTTGTTCCTGGCCTTTTTGTTAATCACATCGGCAACAGTGTGCCCACAGAACGGGTAAAGAAGTCAAACAACGCCTGCGTGAGGGTACTTCTTGCTCGAGCACTCAGCCAGGGTCGTCGAGTAGGGCGGAGAGTGCCCCGTAGTCGCGTGTACTAAGCAACCTGCAGCAAAAGAAAAGCAAAGACTCCACCGAGGCAAAGCTTCCCTGTGCATTCCTCTGCACGCATCCAATGAGGCCTAGCAGCCAAGAACTTGGCAGTTATCTCTGAGACATGCGAGTCCGTTTCTCGTAATATCGACGATAGGGAAAATCAAAAGAGTGGCCTGATCCCCGGGTCCCTGGTTCCCTGGCATGCAGAACGGCCTGCAGTACGCTGCTATACTTTGATATCTAGTTAGTTAGTTATCGACCTCTGCCTGTCACTTCAGGCTCCACTTTCCCTGCGCATATTGCGGCAACCCTCTCAAAATGACTAGGTTTATTCTCTTTTCGCAAATCATTACACTGTGCCAGCCGCTGCACGACAGAACCGAGCTGACCGGGCTTTGCACCATAGATTTCGTCTCCAATTCCACCTCGTCCACGCCATCGCCGAGGCACTCCAGACAGGCCTTTGTATACAGATCGCCCATCTTTGCCTTCATTTATTTTGACGTCCCGCCCTTGCCGCGCACGCGCAGTAAAAATGGCTGGAACCGCACCAACCGGCTCAGCGGAACATCGCCGACGCCAACATTGACGTCTTCAACGAGGTAGCGAAGCGCCCGCCACTCTGCAAATTCGAGTAGTACGGTTCCAAGCGAGCATACATCCTTGGACACATGAAGCTCTCAGTGGGCTCACCGAGGGCGCTGCCGGGTGTCGGGGTGTCTTGTTTGTGGTCGGCGGAAGGCTGCTCCGAGATATCGCTCGGTGCGCTGGGACGTGCAAAGGAAAAGCCGGCAAGGATTGAATCCTGAAGAATCTCTGCTGCATCTGTCGTATTGTTCGTTAAATAGAACAGGATATTCTCGCACAATGTGAGCGATTCGAAGAGCCAGCTGAATACTGATGGTGAGGCTGGGTGGTTTATGGCCACTGTTTCCAAAGAGCTCAAGGAGCGACCGAAGCTTTGCGTGTGATGTGTATTGAGATTGTTGAAGACGAACGGGATAACGTCGTCCTCTTCAATAATTCCTCTGACCGTCAACGAGCGAAATATCTCGCCCTCGGGGAGACGGAGAAGGGCTGCTAGATTCTCCGCTCGAGGCAGAATCTTGTTACGGACCACTCGGTCGATAGTTTTCATCTCGCTGAATACCGTCTCCCCTCATATTCGGGGACGCGCATGCTCTCATTTTTCAGTGCACTGAAACCCAAGAGTTTCAAGCGCGAAAGGGGCGCAAGTGTTTTCAAGAGGGCCTGTCGTTTGGGCACGTCGATGGGATTCGGGTCGCCTTCCCTAATCCTACTCGCGATGCCTTCACTCCAGCAGAAACAGCGAACGCCTTCAGATCGGGATCCGAAGCATGACACTGACACCCCCCACCCGGGGGGAAATTGTCGAACGCCTCAGCAGGCGAAGATAATTGATCGAACTTGTTGTTCATTGAGATAAGTTAGGAGCCCATCCTCTTCGTCGCGTCAAGAAGATCGTCCTGTCGCCAGGGGTCGAGTAAACCCCAAAGCCTGCGAATAAGAGACTGTACGTCGAACACAAGCCCAGTAACCTTTTCTTTACCCACGTCTGCCCACCAAAGGCGCCTCGTAATCCCAGGCTCCTGAGAAATGCCAGCTTTTCTCAGTATCCATCGATGTGTCTCATTCGAACTCCCTGCGGACACGGAAGGCGATTCAGAAGGAGCTTCGATCAAGCCGGAAGACCGCGGCTCTGGCATGCTGTTCTCTCCTATATCTAGGCAGTATCGCTTCTTGTGCTGTTTTGCATCTAGCAGTAGATCTTGCAGCCGCCGAAGGGACTCCTCGACAGGCCTGGCGTTAAGGCATAGGTCAAGGATACCCTCATCTCGCAAAATGCCTGATCTCCAGCCCCATTCGGTGAGTTGAATTTCTTGTATATGCAGCATGCAAATAATCGTCGACGAATCTTGTCCGAGGTTGTTAGCCGTAAACAACAGAATGAATCCCTTGATGCAGCCTCCGAGGAGTTGCAGGGAAAGCGAAATCACACTCACCGCGCCAGCGGCCACGCTGGAAGGGGTCTCTGTCATGGCATATAGCTTTTACTTCGAATCGCCAGCTGAGAAATACTTGTGGCAGCATGCTGACTATTTATGGTTGACTGCTCCCCTGCCCTGTTTGAGAATCGGCGGCTGCCTGCGGCTAACGGGCGATACGAGGGTGTTGAAGACAATTCATCGCGACGCGATGGTCACAACTATTCAAAAAAAGCTCATCTGCTGGGATCTGTGGCTGGAAATAAGCACAATCGGAAATCTTCTACTCAAACTTGGCAAAAGACAAGTCCTGCTCAATTTTGAAAACCCGCCCAGAATATCTGTCTCACTTCAACGCGACAATGATCTCCAACCACCAGGATGATCTTCCCCTGCCACCAGAAGCGTGGCGGCCACGATCCACATGTCCAATTTAACTAGCAAGTGGCTTCCCTTGTCGGAATCGACCAGTACATTCCAAACATGCTAGATGCCGTCTTCCCAACCCATCGCACCCGCGATACTGCGAAGCTACACATTCCACCCACGTTTCTTCAGCGTGAGGCCGTCGACTCTTCTCTTCTTCTCGGACACGGCGCTTCTTTTGCTGTCACACGTCAGGCAATCCCTCCCGAGCCCGCTGAATATATCGAAAATCAAAAATGGGAACTTGGTCCCTGGAGAAAGTTATAAAGGCACCTAAGCGCCCAAAATACGTTGTTTACAGGTCGGGTCGGGTCTGGTTGCGTGAAGATAGAGATCCCGCAACACCTCGAGACCGCCGTGCTTTGCAGAATGTTCTTATAGCTTGGGAAAAGCCCCGAAAGACGTGACTTGCTTTCCATAACTCGAACCCTCGAAGTTCAGGCTGTTGAGCAACAAGCGCAGGAAATAGCCTGGTGAGGAATTAGTCAATACAGAGAAGCTTCATCGCTAATTAAATGCAGAGGACTGGCAAGTCTTGATCTCGATGCTATCCAAGCCGTAAACGAAGGATCTTCAACTGAATGTCGTCTATCGCGTTACCAACAATTCACCTGCCCCAAAACACTTTACTACACGCCTGTTAGATCTCAGCCTCCAGCCCAGCCAGGTCCCAGCAGTTCAAGTCCCACTCAGGTCGGATCTTCCCAGCACCAGGGAATCTCGAAGGGTAAGGAGATGTAAGCCTCTAGGTCTGCTCAAATGTGTTTTCACACCTAATAAGAATTATTTCAGAGCACCGCAGAAAGTCAGCTGGTCAGAACTCGGCTGCAAGGTACCTTTCGACACTTTAAGGGAAAATATTCACTACCTAATGTGAAGTTAGCATCAATGATACTCTGAACAAAACATGATAGACCTCGAACCAAGGATTCAAACTATCGTGGCAAATACTCTGATTGAGCTCAACGATCCGATTCGGAAGTTCTCTTTAAATGCCGTTTTTCTGAATGTATCCATCGAATGATGGAGGTGGCCTTTACATCTGGACGAAAGGGGCCACAGCTGGCCATGCAATCGCTCAGGAATATCTTTATATAATGTTCAATGCATGCTCAAAGCCAATACTCGATGACATCCCAGTGCTGAAATATCTCAAGGGCCATGCACTGAGAGGATCCCGGATGACACTCGAAGATCTAAAACAACTGTATCCCACTGTGGCCGCCCACATGAGCAAAATGGTCAAATTTGGAACCGGGCTTCATTGGTAATCGATGTCATTACGGCCTGAATCAGGCCGCACTATTTAGCGCAGAATCTGTTCCCGAGAGTGTTGATCCATGAGTGGAGCTCGCAGATATTGTCATAAACAACAGGGGAGATAATTACGTCCATGCAGCTGCAGCGTTCGGTGCGCTAGTTTCTGAAACTGGGATAGTTTCTCAACTTGCAGTCACCGAGCCTAATCGCAACGGAGAAACTGCGCTCCTATGTGCATGTCGAGCTGGACATCTAGATAGTGTCAAATTTCTTCTTGATCAAGGTGCTGAGGCATCCATTCAGTCTGAAAATGGTGAAAGCCACCTTCACTGGTTGATATCTTTCGATTTCAAAGTCAATACCTCGGCGTTATGTAATGATCTGATTCAAAGAGGCGGCACTAATGTGGACGCTTTCACAACCTGCTAAATCTCGTACTCGACGTACCCTGTATCATTGACGTTGATTTCCAATTCTAGGGGACGCCACTTATGTGAGCAGTCCACAAAAACCAACTTCGCCTCATCTCATCCTTATTGTCTAAGGGAGCTGATCCAAACTTTCGCTTCAGACAAGGGCATCTGTCGCCTTTAGACTGGGCCGCGTTTTATCACTATGCAGATTGTTTGAAGCGCATTTCAGCATCTTGAAGAGACTGCTAAATTGCCGACCACAGGGAGGGCATGGAGAGATCTGCGACATGCAGTACATTACAGTCCACTTGCCAAGAATGCTTTGAACGAATATGACAAGTTTTCCAGGATCATACGGAACGGCACAGAATACCTCTCGAACCTGTGATCCACCTTGGCTCATTTTCAAGAGAAGGCAATAGCTCATGCGATTCAACTTGCACCAGAATCAAGCACCTCTTCAATATGCCGCTCGCGAGGCCCATGATGAGGCCTGCAAGGGTATCCTAGTGTTAAAGTGGTTCAGAAAAGGGTAAAGTAGCAATACGCAAGCTAGTCCAGAGGAGCAAACACCCCCCCCTAGAAAGTGTTCGTTGAACCGGCCCTCCCTCTTCCACTTGCTCCGAAGCCATGGTGCCGATATCAACGCTCTTTGTACCCCCTGTTTGATGTTAGCGGTCAGCGTACATGGACAGCACCTTAACTGCTTTCCAATGAAGCCCATGATGACGACAATACCCTTCTGGACGACATAATCGTGGCAGGATTACCGGTAGATAGTGATACTTCAGCAGATACAGAGACTGCATTCCAGGTAGCCGTTCACCGCAATGCTTTCAATCTCGCTAACAAGACTATATCTCGCGGCGCAAATTCCAATATTGCGAGAAAACGATCGGGTTTGCTCGTCGCGCCGAGTCCGTTGACAGTTTTGGGGCACGAGGTCGCTCGCAATGCAAGCAACGGTTTACCGGCGCTGCACTCTTTTTTGGCTCTGCAGCCGCGTCCTAATTTCGTTGTCGATCCCCAGCAGCGGTTTATTGCTCTTCACCTTGTCACCTCCATGACTCGTGGGTTTTCTTATGTGGGTGGAAGAGAACTCCACCGTGCTTTTTTTTGATTAGGAAACAAATCGCGGAATTATTCACGAGCCCTTGTTTAGTACCCCGATCCAGATTCACTCGGTGCGTGCTGCTTGGGTGGAAAAGCGGCACTACATATCGCGGCTGAGTGTGGGGATCTTGGTGTCGTCAAGGAGCTTGTCCAGACTGGAGCAAATACCAACGTGAAATGTGATTCTGGAAAGACGCCTTCGAACGTTTCTCGGGATGTCTGGAAGCATGAAAAAAGGCCCACTACTTTAACCAAGCTACTCAGCTGGTTAGAGTAGCTCACGAGCACCTTCCTTTAAATAATGGCACAATTCTCCCACTGTGATGAAGACCTTTCAGCTGCACGTGTTACTTTTCAAGTTACTTCTGCTACATTTGCACCTTTCCTGATTTCCCCGAATGATTCATCAATGTCAATTTGGATAAACTATTGGCAAAATCAGATAAGATAACCTTGTCCCAAATAAGGTCGTGGCCGTAACCTTAACTTTGTCGGCGCCGTTGGGACCAAACGACGTCGCCGCCTTCCGGCTCAGGCCTGAGCTCAGTGGTCCTCGCACCGTTGACATATACCCTATTTGGGATCCCCTTTATTGTTGTCCCATCTCCATCCGGTTGGTACCTGCGGGTACACCGGATAAAAGATCTCCGTGGCTTTTCTCCCACGGATAAAGTTGCTCTAGGGATTGAACGAGTTCCCGATGTTTCTCACTCCGTGGCTTGATACTGAGCTCAAATGGCGCGGGATGACTGATAACACCAGGTAAAAACTTGATCGGGATATCCTGGAGCTTGCCATCCCGGATTGGCTTCGAAATCTCAAACACAGTTAGAGATTGTGCGATCGAGAGGAAGACATTCGAGTCAGCGAGATTCCTTCCAGGACAGATGCGTCTGCCAAACCCAAACACGAGCATATGAGGGTCTCTTTCCGGGACATGGCCATCGGTAGCCAAAAAGCGTTCGGGTTTGAACGCCATCGGATCATGGTATACGTTTTCATCGTGGGTAAATGCCCTATATAACGAACGATCCGAATTAGCCTGTCTTCGCGTTCAAAATCGTAATATAACAACTCACCATAAATTGGTGATCACGGAGGATCCTTTTGGGATGAAATATCCCTCGAAGGTATCATCTTGTGTTGATGTGTGTACCACGTTTATGGGAACTACTGGGTGCCAACGGAGGACTTCTTTGACCACGGCATTGACGTATGGGAGGTTCTCACGATCGCGGAACTGCGGCATTTGACCACTCTCGACCACTTTGTCAATTTCCTGCTGGGCCTTGTGCTGTACCTCAGGGAACAGCGCCATAGCAAGGAAGAAATTTGCAATTGAAGAGACCGTCTAGTACATTGTCAGTATGGGATCAGCATTCCGGGCGTGCTCTCCTGACCGTGTCAGCTCCTCCTCCATATAATGAGGCCGCCGACCACTTGATAATATCCTCTTCCTCTGATCCAGGTTCGACTGAGCTCTCTTTCAAGGCGTTTGAAAGGAAAGACGGTATGAGGTGGCCACTTTTCATCTGTCGTTTGACAAAATTGTATGGCACATCACTAACTGCTTTTGATCTGGTTTCGAATTCCTTCGCAGTGCTGATGAACCCAGCTCCAGGGAGCCACGCTGGTAGATATCTTACTGTTCAGTCGATTAGATACTGGAGATTGCGTTGCTTGTTGTTGATCTGCTTTCATGACTCACGTATAGGGATAAAATCCACCATCCATGTCATTGCTAGCATCGCCTGGCCAAAATCGGCCATTGCTGTATTGATCAGGTCTATGAGGGGATCTCGATCGTGAGCTTCGATGATATAGCCATAGGCAATTTTGAGAATGATACCGCCAGCCTCTCTGCTTTATGGTTAGTCTTCTCTCGCTCCCTTAATTCGTGTTGTGTCTCGAATTTATGAGATACCGACTTTCTTATGTGCTCCTGGAGTTTCTCTGGCTCGTTCATGATTCTCAGCAGAAAATGGCTCGTCTCAGTTAACTGTACATGATCAAAGGAAGCGACAGAAATATTCGATCCTATCTCTTGATGAAAGTGCTTTCGGGTCTTCCGGAAACGATCTGGGTCATTCATGGCTCCCAAAACTTTGGACCATCCCGACCTAAAAGCGGTCATTATCACAGTCGCACAGATCTCACTATCGGGGCAGAAAGTATAGCATCTTACATGTCAAGAAACTTTTGTCGTGGTCGCGAAGAGTAAATTCTGGATCTCTTTTCCAGCAGCTCTACGGCCACTCGCGCATCATTTACAATAATAATTTCCGCTCCCAGAACATTGAGCGAGCTGATAGGGCCTGTCTCAAACAGGATTAGCATTCTTTCATAGTTCAGGCGTAGTACCGTTCGAGCTTCACCATATCGATCTTTATACTTCAACCAGTATATCCAGTCCTGCTGATCCGGACCTGGCAAATCTAGCAGGTTGCCTATGATTGGTATTCTTCGAGGCCCAGGAGGAAGAGGAGGGCGCTGTCTTCTACGATCATGGAGAAAGGTAAAAGCATAGATTCCAGAAATGATGGCAAAAAGTCCGTTCCAGACTGAGAAAAACATGTCTTTCCTTTGGATTTAGGATAGGAAAGCTCTTCAGACGAAAAGAGGGTTGCATCACGCCAGGTAAAGCCTGCCCTTAAATCGCTGCTTGAAGAGGGGGTATTTCGTACCAGTCTCGACATGTGATTATTGATCGGCCTCTCAGGCACGCTTTCTTCTCTCGCGGGGTATTGCTACAGACAAGATACATTAGATGCAGTAGCTAGACACCCAAGAACGAGCCGTCCTGCAGATTGAGCGGGGTGAAAAGGTCTTACATACGTGAAGGTACTTTTCCAACATCCCTGTCTGATGACATTCATCCTTGGCAACTCCACTTTCTGTCTAATGCAGCTATTCTAAGTGGTCATTTACCTAAAGGTCAAATACACGACATGTCTTTTGTGACGTGTGCTTCTTGGCTGTGGAAGGCCACATTTATCCTGGCATTTCCCTAATGATTGCATGTATTTTTTTGGCCAAATTTCTCCCTTCCTGGGACCTATTGATTAATATGCCCTCTAAATATAATTGTCGTTTCTGTATAGTTTATGTGCGGATGATCTGCATTAAATATTACTAGTAATAACCAACACTGTGAAGACAACGACCGGCTCTAGTATGCTCATTTTTATTGGTGCAGTGATCTATCTTTAACTGACGTAAATTTCCTTCTTTTCCCCTAATGCTTTCTTTTGGCGGAAATGAGCCCAGAAATTGAAGGGTCGGATTTGAAATCGGATTAAGAGACCCAAAACCGAATAACAACTACTAATTTGACTTCTAAATGGCAATTTGTAGTTCAAATTAGGCAGCGTGGAGTGCATATATAATCCTGGAGTATCCGAGGCTGAAAACCTGAAGCAAACGGAGCTTGTCCCCATATTTGGCCCCTTTTCCACCCCACCATCAATATTTGCCCACTTCAAACACCGCCGAGCCAGAGTAATAATGTCCGGTCTCGAGGCAATAGGGGCCGTCGCTAGACTTATCCAGATTGCAGACCTGGGCACAAAAAATCTCGATTAAAATTTTCACTTTATATCGCGAAATCAAAATACAAATCAAGCGACCTAGCGACATCGCGCTCGCATGTGCGATTTTGCGAGAATTGGGTCAAAGCCTCCCTCCAGAGGGAGGTAAGCCTCCCAGGATGCTGTAAATTCGCAAGCGGACATTGTTACGACAAATAGAATTACCACTCAGCTCCAGCCTCAACAACCACAAGCTTCAACATCACAGACTCTCATTTTCCCGACGAGCTCGAGACATACAATGTCCTCATCAGCAAGATGCTCTCTGAAATCAATTCCTGCAAATCGAAGTTGGAAGGTGATCGAAATCGGCGAATGAGAAAAGGCATTTTGGACATTCATGATTCAGAGAACATGCGCTTTCAACTGTCGCATGGGCACAAGACCACACCTCTTCAGTTGGGAGATGCCATATGGATACTTCGGTTTCATGACCGAGGCCAAATTCATCTGAACCACCCAATGGATCGACTGCGTGAAATGACTCATCTTCTACGGCTAAGCTTATAAGACGCTTTCCGACGCCAACGAAGGCATACATGATGAGCTGTGAATCCTACATCGAGACCGTCGAAACAGACTTGACCCTGACAAGCCCTCATACACCATCGACACGACAAACCCCACCAGTCGTGCACGACGAAACCGCAAAATACGAAACCGAGATCGACGATAGCATGTACGAAGACCGATTCATGGTCGGTATGGGAGTCGTCAACCTATCACTCCCTACCGGAAGAGCTTCAACGGCTTCGTCGACGCATTGTCTACGGGCAGGACGGCGTCCCGCCCAAGGAGCTCCTCAATGCTACCCGTCTCCACGCCCGACACCAGGAGGTATGCGGCCTTGTGCAAGCGCAGCGGATGGGCTCGCAGTTTCGACAGAATGCGTCCACGACCAACCACTAGCTCCCACAATTTACGGGTACGCTACGCGATCCGAATCGGATTCGCCTGGTGCAGAGTACGGTTTCGACGCGGCTTTTGGAGGTCCTTCTAGGGTTGATGCTTCTTGCGGCGGGAGCGGCTGTCTGGGCGATTGATATGAAGCGCACGTTGCCGAAGAATCCGTGTAGTATTGGGGTGGTGGTTAGTCTTTTGGCTGGGTCGAAGGCGATGCTTGATGAGGGTCTCATTCCAATTGGGTCGGAGTGGCTTAATGATCGGAGTTGTCTCGAAGGGGTGTTCTTGCTGGGTTCTTGTTCAGTCTTGGGTGGTGGGATGAGAGTGGAAGAAGAGGTTTGGAATTGGGGTTGGGCAAGCTAAAGATATGACCATGGCTTTGATGTGAACGCGTTTGTATGATAGAGCCTGCGTATAGAGCAATTGTAATGATAATGGAGCACGTTATTTGACTGTTGACTTCAAGTTGGTTCCAAGGTTAGTTGCAGCGTCCACTGGCTCTCTTCGGGGCTGACTTCCGCACAACACCAGCCCTATCTCGTCCCCGCTGCCACGACTAGCCTTCGAGTCAATGGCTTCCACGTCAATTCTCTCACCATCTTGGTTTAACAAGGATATGGTGGCTGACGCATGTTTCACAAATATGGATAGCAGTGGGGCCTGCGGGCCGTGCGCAGGCTGTGTGCGCGGCGGGTCATGGTTTTCCCGATCGAGGCTGAGGTCCTAACAAGCTCACCGTGCTCACCGGAAGTTGATCGTGTACTCGTACTCTGGTAGGGTGGTGCCTAAGTAGAAAGACGTGTCTATGTTCGTAAGGCTATTCGTAAAATTCTGTCAAGCCGACTTCGGCAAGATCTATCGGTTGAGACCTGCGCAGTAACCATAGCTGCGATATACCAAACAAGATTAAAGACATCTTGGTAATGACCAGAAAAATGCAAAAAAAAAGAGAAAAGAAAAGAAAAAAAGAAGAAAGATCTGACGGGGTGTTCAAGACCGCGAGACAAAAGTGACAGAAAGTAAACAAGTCGAAACCAGTGAAAATAAGAAAATTCAATCTGAACATTGGGGAATCACATTATTTCTTTTTCTTTTCCCATCTGAGTAATGCGTCGATTTACTCAAGGATGGCGGAAGAGGAAGAGCCGGTCGGGTTGGGAGGGTTCCACTCGAACTTGAAGTCGTTGCCAAGTTCCTTGCGGATGGCAGCCTTGACGGCGTCGAGCACGTGGTCGAACACGCCGAAGTTGGCCGGGTTGTTGACGTCATTCTTGCCGCCTTGGAACACACCGGTGCGGACAAGGCACGTGTTCCAGCCGTAAAGGTTACCGCCGATGATGTCGGACTGCGGGTTGTCACCGATCATGTAGATGTTCTCCGGTAGCTTCTTCTCGCCGTAGATCTGCTCCATCCACGACTTGATCACCTCGTCGGCGACAATGTAGGTGGCCCGCTCGGGCTTACCGTACACAATACGCTCGAGGTCGCGGCCGGTCAGGGCCTTGTACTGGGCCTCGAGGGCGACGCGGAAGGCACCCAGGTGCAGACGAGGGGGGCCCTTGTGCTCGGTCGGGCACAGCAGGTCGCCCTGCGAGAAGTAGATCGGGATGTGGCCGGCCACGGCATCCCGAGCAGCGGGGTCCTTGGCGCGGGTCAGCAGGCGGCCGTTGGCGCTCAGCAGCAGGTCCAGGATGATCTGGTACTCGGTCGACTGGTCGTGCGACTCGGCGAAGCACATTATGGCGTCGAATTTGAAGTTGGCAAAGTCACGGGGCTTGGCCTCCTTCATCTCCTCCTCGGTGAACTTGCGGCACGGCGAGATGGTGGGGTCCCAGGCCAGGATATCTTTCGGGTGCACTACGTTCTTGAAGCCGTAGTTCTCAGCGACGCCTCGGATGTTGAAGCCCTCACCACCGCAGACGAGCACGTTCTCGTAGTACTCCGCAAGAGCCTGCATGGGAGTGTGCGACTGGATGAACTGGTCGGTCGAGATCGGAAAGCCGAGCACCTCGGACAGCTGCGCACAGCGAGCGTCCTCGGTCTTACCACCACCGTTAGTGAGGAGGATGTAGGGGAAGGTGATGCCTGGATGAAACAGATTAGTCTAGACGCCCTTTAGAACGGGTGGGCATCTTGAAACACGCAAACAGGATGTTTCGGGAATGCCGCCGGGATGTCTTACCAAGCTCGTTCTCGCCGTTCAAAATCTTCAAAACGGTCTTGGCCTCCGCGATAGCGTTGTTGCCGTGTGCCAGCACACCGTCAATGTCGAACGCAAAGCACATGTTCTTGACCTTGGCAACCTTCTCCTTCTGGGTATCCTGCACCTGCGAGGCCAGGATGTCGCGGGCCGCCGAACCGGGCTTCTCAGCCACGGACATGCGTGATTTCCGCGGCTCGCGAGGAATGGGCAGAGAAACACCGAACGAGTTGCGCGAGCCCCGGCGGTCCCGCATGGAGGGGGACAGGCTCAGACGCTGCATGTGGATGTCACTGATGGAGCTGCGGGTAGCAGGCACCTCAATGGTGTGCGAGTGGTTGTCGGCGGCCGGGATGGCAACGCCAGAGCTGTGGATGTCCTCGCGGGCAGTGCCATCGCTGGGAGCAGGAGGGGGGCCACCAGGGCTGGCGGGGTCGCCGCCGAGATCCGCATCAGAAAAGCGAGGCATGATTGTGAGATGAATATAGACAAAAGGATGGAGAGAAGAAGGGAAAAAAAAATTGGTTCGTCCGCGACTTGTCGATAAGGGTGTCACTGGACTAGAGATGCACAATACAAAGTGGGAGGAAGATTGGAGAGGGGCAAGACTGGTAGAGAAGCTGGCAATCGTTTTATTTAATAATTCGCCTGCTGATCGGTTCCCTCAAGCAGCAGTCCCGGTTATGGAGCCTGGGTGGATGCTGGACCCATAATCCTGCCAAATCTCTTACATATATACCCAACCAGCGCGACCAGCGCCATTCTTCCCTAGACCACAAAGGTGCAAGCGCCGCACAGTATCCATCCTCCGTGGTCTACGTGCAAGATGCGTCATTGACTACCCAAAACTGGTCCGGATCATTGATTTCTCCTTTGTATCAAAGTTTGGCGGCAGACACCCGAGTGGGCGTGGAGGGCTGTCGCCGCCAGGAAGCCGTTTTCGGTGATGGCGGGTGCCACTGGCACCTGCCCTGTGATCTTTTTAAAAGCCTGGCGCGAACCTGTCTCTAGCCTCGCGAACGATGAGATGGTGGTTTTATGGCTAAACGACCCAACCCCCCAAACGATCCGGACTGAACCCGGACGTCGGATTCCCGTTCGTTGTAGATCTGAAAATAGAGCCCGCCCCTCGGACAACTTTCCCGCATGGTGCTTGCTAGATAGGCACCGTTCGCTGGGGATTCGCTCTTCACATTCGCACACTAGGGAGCAACGCATTAGCGGCAACCACGTTCTGACCATTGGCGGCCCCTCCACCGAATAGACCGCTCCCGGTCAAGCAGAGTGGCATTGTAAAGGTTCGATCGCCCCGGCATCTTCCTAGTGGGGTGCCGATGACATCATGACTGCCGCCCCCGATTTAGGCAGGCGGAACTGAAACCGCCAGCCCAAAAAGTTGCCTGACCGCCCGCGCGGAACTTCCCTGTGTTTCCGTCTGTTGACGACCACATCGTACTTCTACCAGCACTGACACCTCGCGTTCGAGAACTCTTCTTCTGCTCTTCTAATCCAGATTTCTGCTCTTCTGTACCCGACTCTCCAGCGCTTGCCTGCATCGCTGCAGCCCGCGGATTTCCCCTTAGGGGTACTCGGAACCCACCCCAGGTGGATCATGGCCCACTGGGTATATGCAACCCGTAGGTGAATGGAGGGTCGCGACGGGTAACGCACGTAGAGGATGGTACGGAAGCATGTGGGTGGAGATCTCGGGTGAGACTTGAAGCATGGCGATGACGTCCTCGGACGACCTGCGTGGCTGTTCGCCTGCCGTGCTGCTAGTGTACGGGCATTCCTTTTTCATTTTTTCAAGTGAAATTTTCGCGCGGGAATCACAGCCGTGCGATGACCGACCGGCACCGTGAAGCTCAGTGCCGGTCGGTGCCCAAAAGGGTCTTGTTTTCGGCCCGCGACCGAGAACACTCGGCGCTGAGTGTTCCCTGACCGCTGATTGGCTCGTGGGCAATATCGGCATGTTTATTTGCTCGTATTTCTATCGCCACAGCCGCTCGTTTGCCCCTGTTTTGCCTCTGTTTCATCACTCGCTACACCCTGAGGCAGAGTTTAGAATGTTCGACGCCACGAGGCACTCAAGGTTTTCCGGCATTCCCGCGTCATGTCTCTGCGCATGTCGCAGCTACCGGTGCCCAGAATTGAAAACGTTCCTTAGTAAGGGACTAGTCTTCTGCAGTCGGGAATTCTCGGGTCCCGATCGCGTCAAGATATCCCCAGTGGCTGGTGCGGCGGGTAGGCTCCACCATCGCAATGATCTCATTTCCCGTAACGCCAGGAGATTATTTCCCTCATGTGGAGGGCAAGAGGGCGATGCGCGGGGTTTGCCCGAATCGTGCTGTTGCGGCATTTGCATGTCGAGGATCCTGGGGGTGTGTATGGAGGATGCACAACACGGGGGTATGTATACTGTAAATTATGCCGGCGGACTATTGCAGGGATGCATACTTGGCCGATGATCTACCTGCACTCTGCACCAACAAGGTTCAACCGTCCACCCCGGTGAAACTTTTTCAGGATTTGCGGTTAGGGCCAGCCTCGGCTTCGGTCGGCTTGCATTCTCCGGGACGGTTCAGATAATTGATGGAACCACTGTACCTGTATTGCAGGTACCTACTTGGCAATTGCCAGTGCGATACTCATTCACTCGGAGTACTGCGATCCGTAGTGGACCTATCAGCGCGCACTCATGTCGCGGGATGCGAGCCCTCGGCGTCTTCAGGCCAATTGAGTACCGCAGTCGGAATTCACTTTCCCCTGGATGCAACCCCCTAGGAATATCTTGGGTTTTCTCGGAAAAGCCGCTAGGCGATGCCGCCCACGTTGTTTGCTGGGTAAGGCGGCCAATAGTCAGGAACCAACAAGACCTAAAAAATTCAAGAGTCGACGAGATGCTTGCTTGTTTGCCACGACGTCATGCTACTAGGTACCAGTATGTAGTGTAGAGTGCAAATGCCCCTGCAGCATATGAGATGCGTGCATTGATGTAATCAAGGCATCAACATCGACATCGATCCGGCAGATGCCTCGATCATCGGTTTGGTTCCAATCAATCGGATCTGATCTGGCATACTGTCTCTGGACCGAGTCATTTGGCTTCGATTGCACCTTTTCACGAGCAAATATCCCGACTCATGTCTGCTGTACGTTGACGTCGGCGGCAGATGGCTTCATACCCCGCACTCTGATCATCCTCGTGCCAGACACGTCAAGCACAATGCATGAAAGAATTTATCGCGGTCTTTGCGCCATTTTTGGTTAAAGTGAGCAATTCATGAGATTGTTGGGCACATGAAGGTAGATCTAGTACCGCTGTGCTTGGTAGACGATCTTCTTGCGCTATTCAAGGCCGCAACAGTGACACTCACGTGGGCTGGCGGGGTATTGATCCTCAAGTGGACACTGTCAGATATATATCGCGATCACCAGCCACACCTGGAGGTGGTCACGCGGGCGTCAAGCCTCACCCCATCCCCGCTGATCTACCGCACAACCAGCCATACAGAATAGACTGAATGGGTTCTGATAGCTTGGACCATGAGTTCCTTTTCGTCGGGTTATAATTGCAATACAATGTATCAAATGGCCGGTCACAGCCTTAGCTTCAGCCACGGAGCATCACGTGACCATATGATTATTCAAAATTTGTATCTTCGAGTAGAACCCCGCTAGGCAAAATTTTTTTTTTTTTTTTTTTTTCAAAAAAAAGGTAAAGAAAAGATAATAGAGCACCGGGATATCCATCCCCTTTAAGCGAATCAACTCGCATCCTTTGATGGGGACTTTTGCAGATCGCTGTGACGAGCTCTTCTTGACTCCGCACCATCACGTGAGAGCTCCGCGCGGGGTGCGGGACGAAGCGGGCGAACGAGGATGTGTCACTCCAGCTGAGATCGCAAGTCGTGCAAAAGAGCAAAGATGGCGCCGCTCATTACCCTCGCCACATGCGCACTGAACCAATGGGCCCTGGACTTTGAAGGGAACCTCCAGCGCATCAAGAAGAGTATCCACAAGGCGAAAGAGGCCGGCGCGACTTTGCGCGTTGGACCCGAGCTGGAAATTCCTGGCTATGGTATGTGCACCTGGAAGTATACGCTCCCGATAGAGGTGGATGATGCTGATTGGATCAATACTAGGCTGTCTGGATCATTTTTTGGAGAATGAACTCTACGATAACTCGTGGGATTCGCTGTACTCCATTCTGACGGACCCCTCCCTCCACGATATCATCATTGACGTTGGGTACGTCCATTCCATACCATAGAGATAGATGGGTCCATGTCTGACACGATATTCTCATAGCCTTCCCATTCTCCACCGGAACTGCCGATACAATGCCCGCGCGATCGTCTTGAACGGCAAAATCCTCTGCCTCCGTCCTAAACTCTACCTCGCCAACGACGGCAACTTCCGTGAAATGCGATTCTTCACCCCGTGGAACCGCCCGAGACATGTCGAGCAGTATTACCTGCCTCCGCACATCCAGAAACACCAGGGTTGTCGTCATGTTCCGATTGGAGATGTCGTTCTTTCCACTTGTGATACGGCCCTGGCTGCGGAGACCTGCGAGGAGCTCTTCACGCCGAACAGCCCTCATATCAACATGTATGTCATTGTATCGGATGAGGAGATTTGGGATGTTTTGCTGACTAGGTCATAGGGGACTCAATGGCGTGGAAATCTTCACCAACAGCAGTGGAAGCCACCATTCCCTTCGAAAGTTGGATGAGCGCGTTGCCTTGATCCAGGAAGCTACTCGGAAGAATGGTGGTGTCTACCTCTACTCCAACCAGCTGGGTTGTGATGGTGATCGACTGTATGTGAATTTTCTTTCTGTCTGGTCCGGTACATACTAATTGTCAACTAGGTACTACGACGGCAGCGCGATGATCTTCGTCAACGGCGACATCGTCGGCCAGTCAAGCCAATTCGCCTTGAACGAGGTGGAAGTCGTCATCGCGACTGTCGATCTGGAGGTTGTGCGCGCCTACCGATTTGCTCCCTCGCGCGGTCTGCAAGCTGTCGCTGCACCAGAATACCAGCGCATCGAGGTCGACTTTTCCTTGTCCCATGAAAACCTTGATCTGGACGAGGGCCACTCTGCCACCGCTCGCCGACCCGCGCGCTACCACCTTCCCGAGGAGGAAATTGCGTACGGTCCTGCTTGCTGGCTGTGGGATTACCTCCGTCGATCGAAGAGCGCTGGGTTCTTCATTCCTCTGTCCGGAGGCATTGATAGCTGCGCCACTGCTACACTTGTCTACTCAATGTGTCGGCTAGTCATCAAGGCCATGAGAGAAGGCAATGAGGAGGTCCTTGCGGACGTCAAGCGCATTGCTGCGTACTCTGATAAGCTGCCCGAAACTGCTGAGGAGCTTTGCAACCAGGTCTTGTGCACTTCGTTCCTGGGTATGAAACACCAGAGCAGCAAGGAGACCCGGGAGCGGGCTCAGAATCTTGCTGATCGGATCGGTGCTTATCACACTGATACTAATATTGATGATGTCTTTGCTTCGACGAAGAATATTCTGACTCAGGCTACGGGCTTCCAGCCCAAGTTTAAGGGTGAGTTTACCTATCCTTGCGCTATGTGTATTGCTTGTACTGATTTCTCAATAGTCCATGGAGGTTCGATGACACAGAATCTGGCTTTGCAAAACATCCAGGCTCGGTCGCGAATGGTCATTTCCTACTACCTTGCTCAGGAGCTGTGCGAAGCTCGAGGCCGACCCGGTGGTGGATCGCTTTTGGTTTTGGGAAGTTCAAATGTTGACGAATGTCTGCGTGGATGTGAGTATACCCGCTACCTGGATGTTCGTTTGACAGAAAGCTAAACTTCGTTGCAGACTTGACCAAATATGACTGTAAGACCGACCCTGTCGACAACGCAATGCGGCGAAAACGTATCACCTGTGTACACCGAACGGTAACTAACCCCTTGAGCAGGCTCCTCGGCGGATATCAACCCAATCGGCTCCATCAGTAAAGTCGATCTGAAGCGATTCATCGCCTGGGCCGCGACAAATTTCGACATGCCCATCCTGAAGGATTTCATCGACGCCACACCCACGGCCGAACTGGAGCCCATCACCGCCGAACACGTAAGATTATATCCTGCCACATCGAACTTACAAGTGCACCGAGTCTAACGCCTCTCTAGACCCAATCTGACGAAGTCGACATGCAAATGACCTACAAAGAACTCTCCCGCTTCGGTACCCTGCGCAAGGTAAGCCACCTGGGCCCCTTCGGAATGTTCCTCGTCCTGCTCGAAGAATGGAGCGGTGAAGGCGAGGATAAGCTCAGTCCCCGCGAAGTCGCCGATAAAGTCAAGAAGTTCTTCCACTTCTACCAGATCAATCGCCACAAGCAGACTGTCGCCACGCCGGCGTACCATGCTGAGAGTTATAGCCCGGATGATCACCGGTTTGATCTGCGGCCTTTCCTTTACCCTTCTGCATTCCAAAGTTGGTCTTTTGAGAAGATTGATCGCAGGGTTGAGGCTTTGGAGAAGAGGACTCAGAAGAAGATGGAGGGTAAGGCTTAGGCTACCAGCGGCTGATAGACGTTCTAGAAGTGTATTGTTGCATCCAAGTCTAGTCTTACGGTAGATTATGATAAATGGATAGAATGAGTACTCGGTCTATGTGGACCTTGTATAATTATCACTGTGGTGTTCAAAAAATTTCCAAATGTCATATTATTCATTATAAATTGTATTTCGTCACATCGTGTCCCATCGCAAGGTATGGTCTGTTGAATTGGCGGGGGCCGAGCGTCACATCTAAGTACGGGGATTCAGATTAGAACAGATTTAAATAGGGATAAGTGCAAATTGACTCACCGCTGCAAGCTCAACTAGTATCTACCCTGCCCGGCATAGCGACCCGGAGGAAAGGTGTATTCATCATCCAAGTGCTCCTTGGCCGCCATCAGGGGACCCCATTTCTTCCGAATCTCATGCAGACGTTGCTTCACGCCGGACATTGAAGTCATAGAGCGCGGTTGTGAATTATCGGAAAGCGCGTCATTGCCACTGTATTGTGTGCTGACAGACTTGGGCGAACTATCGCGAGGCATGGCGGATAGAATGGGGCGGTTGTGGAACGTTGCGATTGGAAGCAACTTGACTGAAAGCCCTGCAATTTCAAGAGGAAATTTGAAATTAAGACTTTTCTTTGTATCGCAATAGAACCCAGGTCCCTCTTAGTTCATTTATATCATTACATGTAATCACAAGCAGAAGAAATTTTTCTCGGAAATTCACCGCGATTGGCTGGAATTGCCTCACCGAGTCCTTGCCGAGACATCGCCGTTGTCGTCGGTACCTGGGCGACGGGACGGGATCTTGGTTCGTAACGGCACTATGCCGAAAAGAAGCTTATTTTGATGAAGGGTCTATAGATAGTAGCTCGTTCAGGGCCAGATTTTTGTCAATGCGTGTTTTGATTTGTCGGTTGACGTGGCGAGTGCTTCGGAGATCAGTCGGTAGAGGTTCGGCGATGGGTCGTCGGGAAGGATTTCCATGCTGATTGCTTCGTCAACGCGCGATTTCTTTCTTTCCTTTCATAGACCATCGATCACTTTGTGCAGGGTTTAGATCATTCGAATACTTCGGACGGGTTCAGCATCATTCAGGTGACTCATGGTGATCGAGCTGGCTAATCTGGCGGCTCGCCCATGTCTCGTCAGGCAGCTGGAATCAGCTCTGCCCAATGCACGGAGCAAGAAGTTCCCAAATACTCATCGATAAGGAGGAAAGATAAATCCGGCATTCAAGAAGTTGCCACCATTTCATTAAATAACTGCACTTTCATCATTCGTTTAACCTGATGAGGTACTAAGCTCATACCCACAAGCCGCAGCAGGAAACTTCAACAGTCGTCGCACCAAAGGATCAGTGCTGGTCTCCAAAAACATGCAGATCGCAATACACTCTCCTCTAATTCTCCCTTCAATCCACGGCTGCCATTCAGCGACCGTACACATGAGGCCCAGCCAATGCGCCAAAATAACAAGAGCAGGCACCTCCCTCTTACGACAAAGCGCGAGAAAATCACACTCTAGTCGACCCATAAATGTAGCGCAGTGCGCCGCATTCGGCCTATTCTTCTCCAGCTTCAGGAGCGGAGTAAGGATCCGGAGTGGATTATGATATACGCTGTTATTCTCAGTGGTGTACTCGTCTATTCCGCATAGATCTGCGAGGTCGGAATCGAGACCGTCTCGGCCTGTTTCGTACTCCCGTTCGAAGATTTTGAGTTCTTCTTTGTGGATTGATTCGAATGATGAGGCCCAAATGCTGTTTGGAATGTATGGGGCAGCGAGAGTGATTATTATTCTTAGACCGCTTTGTAGACAGAGCCAGTTCATCCGTTCGGGTTTATTGGTTAGAACCCAGGAATCTGTGGGTTTAAAGTTTTCTGGGCAGATTGTCATTACGCCCATCATCATGCAGGATGAGAGGAGGGCGTCGACATTGTCTGCTCGGACCGAGGTGGAGAGTTCTTTTTGGTAGAGTTGGATGGCGCGTTGCCAGAAATAGATTTCTGCGTATGATCGCTCTTTGTTTGGAGAGACGCGATTGAGGTGGAGGAGGCCGACTGCGAGAATCGTATACATTACATGGGGATTCTGACATTGTTTGTTAGCAACTGTATCTTATCCCAGGATGATCGGAGAACTGACAGCAAATGACACCCGTACCATATCCGAACCCATGACCTCGCGTATACCAGGATTTGCAACAGTCTCAAGGGAACATCTCATAAAATGCTGGAACGCGATCGTACTCATAGGATGCCCAGAGCTCTGACTAATCAGTTTAGGTGGTATAGGCCTTGAATCAAAGCCGAGTGCCGTCTCAACTTTGTTCAAAACATCTTCAAAAGAAAGGGAGAAGAATGTAGCTGTCGGGTCACCCACACCAAGGGCTTTACTTATTTTCTTTTGATGCGCCAAGTCTAATTCCGGGGTATAGGAGCACACAAGTCCTTTGTTTTGGCATTTTTGGCAGAGAGGCTTTTGCTCATCGCACTATAGGAATTAGTTGACGGATCGGATCGGCACACTGCTTCATAGCTCACTTGCCATACCTTCACTCTCCTCTTTTTGCACGTCACGCAGCCCCCTCGGGATTTTTTATGTGCTCGTCGTGCATGGAACGTCTTTTGTTTCTTGCCTGGCAGGGATATTCTGAAGACGGTTTGCAGTTGTTGGCGATCTGAGGAGCTGTCCTCCGACGAACGATCGTCAGAGGTCCCAGACCCTGCTGGTGATTTTATTTGATGCATCTTTGTGTCGCGAAAGGGCTGCCTGCCCATCTGGAGGGAGGAAGGAAACGGTTTAGGAGCAGTTGCCAAAATAAGTTTAAGCATCGCCACGAAATCACGTGACCAAATACGAGGCATGTCAGGTGATGCGGCTGAGTCTGTCTATGTTTAACTGTATTTCATCATTGCACATGTCTTTGCATATCGATACGAGGTATAGGACTCCCCAGGCAGCATCTTCGATTCTCCAGTGTCTTGGCAAATGCCCAAGATACGCGAGATGAGGGCGGATATCGTGCTCCTTGCTACATGACCTCGTCGCGAGATAGTTTCATGATATAAGGTCGTATTCACATATATTTACATGATTGAGAGATATACCCCAGGGTACATTATTTCATCGTCGCTCCGCAAACCGCCAAATGGTCGTCTTGGCCAAGAAGCAAAGCGATCCAGCAAAGCGGAAGAGCGAAAGACCGACAGTTCCCCATGCGACGGCAAGCAGATAATTCCAGATCCGCCGATCAGGAAGCGTCTATGGAGAAAGTTAGTTTGCTGACAGTATACAGGGGATGCGAGCACCTACATTGAGACAGAACCGGCTGATACCCGTGCTCATGATACAAAGCACCATGATAAGGTTACTGAAAACCCACAACACCACGAGGTACGTCCGGAAAGCCTTGTACACATCATCAACATCCCTGTCCTCCGACTCAGGGGGTGCTTCGAATGTCGCCAATGCTCGTTTCACGGTAGCCTGGAAGAGACTGTCGATATCGACCTGGGGCCGCTCAAATTCTTCGATGAACCGCGATTTCTCGTCGCGTTGCGTCTGTGCTTCGGGCAGACTCTTGCTTTTGTCGACTACATTTGTTCCGATTGAGACGTCATGCCAGTTGCAGAAGGCGTAGACCATTAGGATGTTTGAGACGCATGTTGTGCCGGAGAAGTAGGCCCATGTAGACGTTAGGACGTGTAGCGGGTCCATGTAGAGGATGCTGGCGGCTACGTGGACTCCGTAGGTGGCGACTAGGGTCATGAGGATCATGCTTGAGCCGACGTCGCTGGAAGCTGACGAAAGCATGTCGTCTTCGGCGATGACCATATTGAAGGACATTTTAGTTTTTGCTTGACTCACGAGGTAGAAGGCTAAGACGGTGGTGTAGACTTGAATGATGGGGAAGTAGAGGAAGGAGATTGTGTAAGCCAGGCGGGAGCTAGAGAGGGAGGTTAGGTGGTGCGATTGATAGAGGTGGGAGAATAGGGAGAATCAGCTCACCCTTTAGGACGATTGCCAAGAGACAGAATGAATTGAATACCCAACAATAGAACGTAGCCATATTTGAGAAAGTCATTTACGATAGGCGAGGCCTCGTTGCCAAAAGGCCACGCGCGGTAATTGTTCGCCTCCATCGCGGTGCTCACAACACCCATAACAACTGATGTGATGAGAAAAAATGAAGCTAGATAGTGTCAGCAGCAGCGCGTATGCCGATACTCCATCGACTAAACATACCTAATGAGAACCAAGACAACACAATCTTGGCAAATTTGTAAATCATTTGAAGATGCAGAAGCGCTAGATGCAGAACGTTGTGCCCACTTTGGTAAATTCGACCAAAGTGTATAAAAGTATACAAGTTCGCAGCAAAAGAGCCATTCAGCCATTGCCGTCTCGAGTTAATGAAACCCGCAAAATCCTTCGGGACCTCCGCTTCTGCCCTCGCGCCTTTGACGAAGGTCAAATGCCACTTGAATCCGGCTTTTGCGACCAGTTCAAAAGAGAGAATGCGGTCGCCAGCGAAGAACATGTTTTTCTTGAAGATACTCATCCCTTCGAAGCCTTTCTTTCCGAGCTGTTTGGAGAGCGTGAGATCGCCGTGAAAGTACTGTTCCAATGGTCGGCCCATGATTGCCCGGTATCGGTATGCGGAGAACTCGCCGAGGGAAACGTGGCCGAAGATGCTCTCTAATGGTTTCTCGAGGATGTTGGACTTTTTCATTTCGAAGTTTTGCGCCGCGACGAAGGGGTTGATCATGTGTTTGGTGTTCATTCGGGCGTGGACTTCACCGCATGCCCCGCCGAGGTTCTTATCATTGTAGAAGGATTGCCAGAGAGCGAGGAACGATTCTTTGCAGGGTTTTGTTCCGGCGTCGAGGAGAACAACCACCTCCGGATTCAGCATGCGAGAGAAAGCGTTGAAGATCCAACGGTGGGAATTGATCTTGTTGCTGGTTTGCTGCTTGAGACAGAGAATTGTTTGGACCGGAGCTAGATTTGTGGACTCATCGCCTTGGGGTCGGATCAAATTTTGATTTGAGGTGACAGAGAGCTGGGTGGTGTATTCGAACTTTACTTCTGGTGAGTAGGACTTCCAGGAAATGTTCTGCGGTTTCAAGAACTTACGATATGAGCGGTCGTCTCTCTCCCATCCACCGATCGCTTCATGATCCCATCCTGATATACACCAATCGTCGCCAACACGTCGAGGGTATTTTTATCACAAGGGTCGATTCCGTCAAACACCAAACAGACCACAATCTTCTGCCATGCGGGTCCACCTTGATTCCAAAATTCTGATTTCTTGAGATTGACGATATCGCGGATGTTCTGGGATACTCCGTGTAGGGTCCGGGCCGTTAGGACTTTATTCTCGCTTTTGCAGGTGATGGCGATGAGCAACTCGGTGTGTCGGTTGTACATCGTGGGTCGTAGGTTGTAGCCATTTCGCACGACAAATTCGTCCGGATCGCAGGTAGCAGCGGTGTCTGCACCATTAGTCTTCTGTATCGCATTCCGCGGGGTCTCCGATCACTCACATCGTAGGTGGGTGAACTCCTCGGCGAGCTCCGCCGATTCCCGATATTGTCGCTGGACGGCATTTTGGATCGCGCTGGGTACAGGATAGTCTGCGCTCAAGACGTTGCCCTTGACAAGCTTGATCTTGCGGGTTGTATGGCGGCGAATGGGGATCAAGGACCTTCTTTTCTATTGTTCGAAAGGCTAGTATTAATATCGTGTCGACTCTAGGGAGTAATCCGAGACAAAGTCCATGGGGGTGGGGCGTGTTCGCAGTCACTCACATCGTACGAGCCGCTCGACCTGGAATTGAAGCTGCTGTCCCTCTTGTGCTGCGAAAAGTAGTCGGCGGCTGGAACCAGTGGGCTCGGGCTGGCGGATGGCGTGAGGGACCCCATTGTCGCTAGAGACGACCGATTAGGGGGGGGAGAGGCCGGAGACGAACAGCGAGCGAAGGGTGTCACCACGGCGCGAGAACTAACACATGGAAGGAAAGATCTGGGGATGCAGGCGAAAACGGGGGGACGAACTTATGCCAATCGTTCGGGCGATCATTATTAGCCCGACGGACTAGTTCCATCGGTATGACTGATCATTGCCCGCAAAATGACCCATCAGACGATAACTTCGGCGAGGCACAACAGCCGCATAACCTATTCGTGGTGCAGCAGTGACAGTCCTTCGTTTTTTTCTATCTTTGCCAATTTTTCTACTTCGCAGACTCTTAATTGGCGGCGGCCGTCGTGGGCCATGGATTCGAGCAGGCGGGCATGGTCTCGCCAACGACGCTGCGCAATGGATGTACGTCAGCGGGCCTTTTGGTGGTCCACTCGCAATGGAGGGGATGAAGATAATTCCATGTTGCCATTGCAACATGCAACCATGCTGCGTTCAGGCCACCTAGATGTTGAAATTGCTGGGTAAATAGACAACTTCAACTTCAATCACGCTCGATCGTCGGTCGCATGCTGGGCGCAAAATGGGGAGTGGCAATCGGCAGAGAATAAACTATCGCCGCCCGCGACTCCACCCGCATCCACACCGCTCGGCACGCGTTGCCCACGCGTGGAAATCAGCCTCATCTGGTTAATCTGGGCGATGGGAGCGTGGAATGGGTCCTGGAACGGTAGACTAAAGATCACGGGCGGTCCAAAATAGGATCAGATGTTTTTAGGGCTGGAAATGCAGGGCAAGCGAGGTCAACCGGCTTCTATACAGAACACCTGGAGGGCACGGGCCCATTCATGCTTCGGTTAGTTGATCCAAATGGGCAACCAATACGCGATCGATTTGGTAGTAGCAGAAATGCTTTAGAGAATGGTCTTGAAGATGAAAATCTCGACATTGAAACTGTGCGAATCCACTAAAGACATATACTGGCGTGCCATGGAAATTGAACAGCTTGCTGTGAAATTGCAAGTCCAACCGATACGAAAACTTTGTTCGGCGCTATTTGAGAGGAGTGGGGGAAATAAAGAGCGAGGCACCGCCAAAACCCTTGAGGACGATGGAAGGGAGTAGCGGCCACGATGAATGTCATACGGCACCGTGGGTGATAATATTGTGTATATTCGGATTTCGGATTTATTTTTGAGAAAGCCCAATCAAAGAGAATTATAAGAAGTGTGTAACTGGCCCCAAATTATATTTCGACCTCGAAAACGAGAAACAAGACAGCAGCACCGATCCCAACAAGTGCGGTCACCACTGAAAAGCCCAATTGACTGACCACGCTAAAAGGAACGAGATTCTGATTCTGAGGTCGAAGCATCTGAGGATAAAAGTACCAGGTCGAGGTAGTACCCAGCCATGCCATCGCCCAGAGCAGACCCAGTACTTTTTGCCATCGGGGTTTGGCCGTCTTTGTCTCCTTCAGCTGATCAGAACTGCGCAGAGGTGAAAGTGAATTCCACAATAATCTGATACAATCTTCGATCATAAGGCCTAGAGGAGCCAGGGCGAAAAATAACATCGCTCCAGACTCTTCGACGGGGATTCCTTGTACAAGATCAAGCACGACATGCAGCCCGCCTGAGAAGAAGAAAACCAGGCACACGATCATATAATGCTGGAATGAAGATTTCGAGGCATGGCCGAAGAGACTCTGAGTAATGAAGGCGCTGACGGAGGTCAGAGGCCGACGAAGGAGCTGATGCCAGAATTTTCTGGCGAATTTCGTTAGCAAATCTGATTTATTGGCTTCCGGTTGTTTAAGATGAGAGAAAGACACACGCCCAAAAAGTGCGTAGACTATGCACGCTCGTAGCGCTACCAAATAGTGGAGGGCAATCAGATGTTGACTCAAGCCCCAAACAGACGGTGATCACCGAAAACACGCGATGATGGAAGTCAATCAGAATCCGGCTCACGACGAATCCAGCCATTAGATTCGAGATGATTCGTTCGATCCATTGCTCGAAAGTCAAATCCCATTGAACAGTCGGTGGCAGCGTTTCATGCTTCTTCTGCTCCAGCGCTTGCTGTAGCGCAAGGGTGCAAAATAAATCCAGAACTAAGTACTGCCAAACAGCGATGGAAATTTGTCGTATCAAGAAACGGCCGCGGGGAGGACTGACTGTACCCTTCCGCCGGTAGTAGGCTGGATGTGGTGGAGCATTCTTGATTTTCCAGGGCGTATTGACCCCGCGAGGATGAGTGAATAGTTGAGCGGAGTAGTAAACACGCCCCAAAGAGCCATTGGCAACCTCAGAATTAAGGTCATGCCCATCCTTAGGATTGATAAGCAACAGATTGAGAGCTTGGAACACCACTGTTAGGAATAGCCGCGCTAGTTCACACCAGACAAATCCCGGGCCCAGCAAGGAGGCCACATGGACAGCGCGATAGGTGATGTAAACCGAGATTGGAATCGAGAGATACCGCAGCACAGATCGCTTGGGTGTCGCGAGGAGAATGATAGCCGGAATCGAGGCATGTGTCACGTAGAGAAAAACAATTTCCAGGATATTCGCGGTGGTTGAGGTGTGCGATTCCATTGTCGCACGACCGACCCGGAATTCCCAGGGAGGGTGCCAGTGGCTTGCTGAGTCTGGGGGAGAATCGCTGGTGTAGCCATCGGAATCTGTCACGTTGCCCCGCTCCTTTTTTTTTCCCATTTCGCTAGTCTTATTGGCTGCCTGGGCACTCTGCAGATCCCAGTGCGTTCCCTGTTTTGGTTTAGCGTCAAGTTGCGGCCAGATAGGAAGGGGCATCGTTTTTGAAGGGGTGCGCCCGATAATATCGATTGGAAGGAACCCCGGACTGAAAACGAATGCAAGAGCTTGGTTATTAATTGAGACAGGTTACGTCAAGTGCGACGCGTGTGTTTTGTTGCTGGGAGAGTGGAGCTGTTACTATTCAGCACGCGACGTCGGTTGAATCGGACTCGAGTCAGACTGCATGAGTCTGTCATACGTCGATTTTTTTGCATCGGCGAGGGCCGCAAAGGGGAAGTAAACGTGTGGATTTGGCAAACTGACATATTTCATACATAATTGAAAACCATTGGTTGTCTCAAAATAAATCGGTATCGGAAAGACTCACGCAAACGCCGCTCTCATCAAGTCGCCAAGTTTTTGGTTCTAGAATAGTAAGCTACCACCATAGTAGTATAGCAAGGGGAGGGAATGGCCAACTTACAAAAGGCGCTTTCATCATGGTAAAGTGGTTACCAGGAATATGAGAGATCTCAATATTCTGCAACCCAAGAAGGGCGTCCCATAGCTGGGGACCAAGGTCATTTTTATTTTCCAAGAGGAACTGAGCATGCCCGTAGGGATAAGGGTCCGGTCGAGGATCGGTCGGGTCCTTGCAAACGCCATGCTCACACCAGATGAGGAAAGTAGAAGGGGCCTTGGCGGGATTCAAAGCACGCGCGCTGTAAGTCGACAATGCATTGATGGAAGCTTGGAAATGCGGGAGAAGCCATGGCGGAGTTTTTTTGGATCGCCATCGCCGAGGAGTCCTATTGTGTTGAACCACTGATGGAGAGAGCTTGGGAGCGGCTCTATTGTCAGAGGGCAGGGCGCGTCGAGTAAGATCAGACGCTCGACGACCTCGCCTGATCGGATGAGTTGTTGTGCGCCTTCAAAAGCTATCACGCCTCCTGCGGACCATCCCTTGATCGAACTGTCAGTATGCTGGTGTCATATGATCTGGCATTTGTTGGGGAACATACTCCGATGTTGTAAGGCCCCTGGGGTTGGCGGCGTCGGATTTCCTGGATGAAGTATTGAGCTATGCCGACCACGCCACAAGTATATTCCTCCGGTGTTGTCATGAAAGGAGAGTTGAGGCCATATATGACAACATCTGATGATAGATCAGGTATGTGAGTGTAAGATGTAGCAGATCCACCACCATCCGGGAACAGAAACAGCCTGACAGTAGCCGTCCTTGGATTCCCTTGTAGCAGGTAGGATGTCGCATGTCTCGTTGTATTGAGGGGGAGCGAGACAGAGTGCGAGACCGGATCGGAGGGCTCTTCAACAACAGATAGAGCTGGTCCGACTTCAACCCCTGAGAAATGTCCTCTCCAATTGCTATGGTAGTTGGTGAAGAGGGTCGTATCATCAGTGTCAATTGAGACAGGAGAGGGATTGTCATTATACTGGGATGTCGCCATTGTGGACATCGAGTCGGTCGTGTCTTCGAATAATTCGCGGTTGTCGAGGGTCTGGATAAATGCCTTCAGAGACCCAACGGTCGGATTGTCGATAAAAAGTGAGGATGATATCTCCAGATTAAGCTCCTCTCTCAATCGCGAGCTGATGGCAAGCTGCATCAACGAGTCGACGCCAAAATCTGCGAAACTGATCGCGTCTGCCAGTTCATTTTGTTCAACACCACATTCCTCTGAGACAATATCGAGAACCTGAGACAGCAAAGAAGGCCCATTCACTTTAACATGGGGTACCAAAGGCGGAGCGTCACCAATTGGGCTACCTTTATCTAACTGGATGATCGGCTTCTCAACGTTATTGACGGGTCGGGATGCGATCGATCGAGGTCGTGGGAGGACTTGATCAAGGATTGCCCGCGAAATGCGCTTGAAAGTGACACCCCCGAAAAGAGCGATCACAGTTGATTCCTCCAAGCAATACACGTCCCCGGATACCGTGTTTGTACCTGATTTTTCTATCATTCGAACGTAGGTTTGGTAGACTTTCCCAGGGATGAGGGTCCGCGCTAGCCGAAGGGACTCCCAGCCATGCGAGACGAACACATTCTTCGCCTCACTGTCATCGAGATGAACGTTCATGATGAACCCTGACAAATGGCCGATACTATCGATCCAATAAGGGGGGACATTAAAGCTGTGATCGACACCAGGCGTCTCGAGAACAATGTCCGCAGTGGCTTCCCAGTGCTTGGCGTCTAGATATACCTTCTTGATACCCCGGAATGTCTTACCATAATTGACGAACGACGAGAAAAGTTTGTATGCTACTTCCTGGCGCAGCAGATGGACGGTGCCGCTATTGACTTGCTCGCGGAGCGATTGAATGCGAGACTCGACCAGGAAGCCTGTTCGTTTCCATTCTTCCACCCACTCTGAATCTTTGCCGAACTCAACATTGAAATGCGCGTGTTCGCCATCCTGTGTACTGAGGGTAAAGCGGATACTTTGCTTTGAATCGGAAGCCTTGGCATCGATTTTCAGGACCAGCGGCGCGGCGTCCCGGGCGATGAGTGTCTTGGGAATAGTCATGTCGCGAACATTAGTACATGGAATTGGGTCGTCCTGTAATTCGGGAAACATCTTCCTCCACATATATCTTCCTACGGTGATTCCGATGTCTCCGTAGAGCGAGGATGGACATAGCGCGACATCGTTAACCAAATGTCCAGATAAGACAGATTGTATGTCCGGACGAGCTAGATCCGTTTCGGCAATGATGAAGTTCCCACGCCTGTCAAATTGCTCTTTCAGCACGCGATGAACCGAAGTAGTCGACAGGGAATCTAAAGTTTGGACCTGTTCTATGGCTGCTGGGTTCGCCCCCTTTGTTAGACACCAGCTGTGCTTATAGTCGATCCAGTAATTGGATAACGTCCAGCCGTAAGAGGGGAGCTCAAGTAGCTCAAGAGAATTTTCGAATTCGCGATGATATTCGCTCCAATCTATATTTGCCCCTTTGCTGCTTAGTTCACTCGCGGTAGAGGCGATAGTATCCCATGATGCACGGTTGCGTTGGAGGGAAGTACAAGTCGTTATCGAGTGTCCGAGAATTGACTTCAGGAATGCATTGCAAACGGGATGCGGACCAATTTCAAGGAATATCGATTTCTCGTCGATCGTTTTATTTGAGATGCCCATGGAGATTGCCTGTTCAAAATTGACCGTTTGTCGAGCATGCCGACACAAATAATCTGCATCAATGGTAGATTGGCCGAGAGTGCGACCGAGCAAAGATGAGACCACTTCACACCTTGGCTTCCCGAATGTGACTGATGAGCATATTTGGGCAAAGGGGGCGATTATAGGGTCAACCTGACAACTGTGGAATGCGTAGGGTACACTCAGACGTGTTGTTCCTAGCCCCAGTTCCTGAGATTGGCACTGGATTCGATCAATATCAGCAGTTAGCCCACTAAGAACATACTCCTTGCTGCTGTTGATACAAGCGACTTGGACGGGAGCGGCGGAGATCAGGTCCTGGTGTAAGGAAAAGTCTCCTTGAACAGCAAGCATGGCATGAGTTCCCGCAGCACAGTGTGTCTCCATAAGCTGAGCCCGACATCCGACAAGATAGATAGTGTCAGCGGCTGACAGGATCCCTGATGCAAACAGTGCCGCATACTCGCCGAGACTGTGACCGAAAACCACATCAGGGACAACCCCAAGAGAATGCCACAGGCGGGTCAATGCCATTTGAATAGAGATCTGTGCAACTTGTAGTAGCACGGGGGAAAGATCTGCCACGGGGCGGTCTTCACTTCCATCGACAAGAGCTCGTATACTTGGGAACCCACAAGAAACGGCAATCGAGTCGTACTCGAGCAAACTCTCCCTGTAGATCGAACATGTAGCGAACAAATCAGCCCCGATTGCAGCATACATCGAGCCTTGGCCAGTGAATGTCATGATAAGCTTAGGTAGTTGTGATACCGGCAAAACATCTGCTTGTGCTGTTCGCGTAAGGACACTTTTGACAGTAGTAATATCCGATGCGGCCACAGAGAATCGGTAATTATGTTGTATTCTCCGAGCCGTTGTCGTGTAAGACAAGCTCGCTAGTGATACATCAGGATTTTTGGTTAAGAACTCCAATAAGTTGTTCAAATTCGACTTGAGAGAAGACAAAGCTCGAGCGGAAACTGCAATGACATGAGTCTTTCGAGGGTCAGATCCCACCAGGCGTCGAGGTTGGCTGTCAGTAATGAGGACAGCTGTGTTCCCACCCGCAGCACTGAAATTGTTGACGAAGGCGTTCCGAATATTTGATGTATCGCTTTCCCAAGAGACAGGCTGCCGAGCAATGTGCACGTTCCTCGCTGCAAGATCGGGAAATGTCTTGTTAAGCTCTTTTTTGATCCCCACGTGCGGTGGTATCAAATTGTGACGCATCATTAAGAGTGTTTTAACGACCGCAGTGACACCTGACGATCCTTCACCATGTCCAACATTAGCTTTGACTGAGCCGACGTATAACTTTTTGTCGCTGGGCCTCGATGAGGTGGCGGGTGCGAAGACGTTCGTGACGGATCGCATCTCTGTGCTATCTCCCGCCTGTGTACCCGTGCCATGCATTTCGACGTAAGAGACGTCTTCCGAGTCGATGCCGGCTTGGGCAAGGACTCTTCGATAAAGAATTTCTTGAGTTTCGGCGTGTGGATGCGTGATGGAGATGGCGTCCGCTGAATGATTCGTTGCTACAGATCGGATGACCCCCAAAACATTATCATGATCGGCCTCTGCATCGAGGAGCCTTTTCAAGACAAGGGTAGCAACGGCATCACCTCGACAATATCCGTCTGCATCGTTGTCGAATGTCTGGCAAGCTCCAGTCTTCGATAAGAATTGGCCTTTGCTGAGACCGGAGAAAATGTCGGGATTTGTCATGACGTTAAGCCCACCTGCAATTGCGGTATCGCAGTCTTGTAGCCAGAGTGCATTGCATGCTGCATGGATAGCAGCCATGCTGGACGAACATGCTGTGTCCACATTGAAGCTGGGACCGCTGAATCCGAAGTGGTAATTGATGCGGCCCTGCTCGTTCCAGAGATCGTCGTTGTTAGCACACACGTGATAGCACAAAGAGTAGTCCAAGAATCGCCGAGGATGCGACGGGAGATAGGAATGGAAGGAGAGGAGAGGGCGGACTGCACTGCTGCCAAAAGAAAGAGTTGCTGGCCTCAGGCCCGTGACACCCGCCCAATCAGGTGACCAATATCTAGTGCATTTGTGCGGCAAACACGCACGAATAGCCAGAATAAAGGAGAAATATATTGAAAATACATACCGGGCCAAATGCTCTGACACCACCCGTGATGAAGTAAGTGTCGATATCTTGCGCTGCATTGGTCTCGCGCCAGTCGTCGCTCGTCTGTCCATAAAAGGTCCCAATCCGATCTAATTGAGTTGAAGGTGTACGATTAGGCACATAGCCGGCCATCTCGAGAGCTTCGTATGCTGTGGTAAGTGCAAGACGCTGCATGGGATCGGTCTGTGTAGCCTCTCGCGGGGACATGTTGAAAAACCGTGAGTCAAAAAGACCAGCATTGTCAATGAAGCAGCCAAAGGGGGTGTGACTCTTGTTTCTCCCTTTTCCGGATACATCACAGTGAGACTGTGCATCGAATCTATCCGAAGGAACCTGGGTGACAAGGGAGTCAATAAAGACTTGAAAATTAAAGATTATTGTGGTTGACCGACCTCGCGATGCATGTCCAGTCCCTCATAGAGAACTTTCCAGAACTCTTTCATGTTCTGTGCACCTGGAAATCTGCCTGACATTCCAACAATAGCAATATTATCGCTTCTCTTCCTGCCATGGGACTGAAATGAAGCCGATATTTGCTGTCTCCAATCGGCAAAGTCCGTCGGTTTCAGAGGTAGACAGCGCCCAAGCTCGACACGAAGAGGATCGTGGAGATCAATGGGGCCGAACACGAGAGTTCCACAGCTTTCAGTCTCTGACAAAATCATGCGCTTCTGGTGTTCGAACGCTGAGTATAGATTCTGACGGGAGTAAAGTAGATCTGTAATGATCAGGATATAGAAGTCCTTCAAGGAGTCGGCGTGATATGGACGCCCATCTCGTACAGAGAGGACAGACGAGCGGAGAGCGGGTTGAATGCCGTCACGATGTGAAAGAAGATCTAAATCAAGGAATCTCTGCGCACACGTTGAATGATGAATGTGAGGTGCATGAAATGGCTCAAATGAGTATGAGTCAAGGTATGACACATTGTGCGCGTCTTTCAAATGATTTTTGAACCGAGTCACTGAGCTGGTAGGACCGGAAATTGTGACAAAGGAAGGCCAAACTATAGTCACATAAGGCCACTGTGGCTTTGGTAGAGCCTATATGAAGTGTCAACCTGATGATTCTTTTGTTACCTTCCCACGAGCGGCCATAGTAGCATTACCTGGTCGAGGATAAAACTCTCGATGAAACCCTTGACATCGCTTTCGCTCAGTCCACGAGCATGAAATGACGAAAATTCCGAATTTGATTCTGTCTCCGCAAGACTGAAAGGTTTCTTTAGATTTTCAACATAGGAAGCTAATTTCAGCATAATTTTGACTGCGTGAACGGCAAGCTCCACGCCGTTCTCTCCAAGTGGAATGGAAGCGGCCGTTGCGCCCGCAATCAACCCATAGGAAACCGAGAGGATATTCTTATTCCGGTGAGCGTCCCGGGTGTCTGTCTCCAGGAACCTAGGGTCATTTGTGTCAGACACAGTCAAAGAACCAGAATGGGACGAAATGTCACTCACAACATGTACTCAGCCAATTGTATGATACACAGGAATGTGGCCTCTATTGTTGGATTTATCTTGCCACTGGTATTGTAATTGTCGACAAATTCTTGCAAAGTCGTAAAACGAGGGAACTTATTTCGTTGTGTCGAGGGAAACTCAGAGATAGTGCGTCGCAGCATGCGACTGGTGGCAAGTAGGAAATCCGATACCATGGGAGAAGTGGCAGTTGAAAGAACAACTTTCTGTAGATACATGGCAACTGATCCATGAGGACAGGTACCAAAAACAAGTGTATCCATAATGAGTTTATGATATATGCAGCGTGACAATAAATCAAGTGTAGAAAGCATTCAAATTTTCCTTTGGACCCGAATATTTAAACATATAAATTCCTAGGCGTCATTGAAGCCCATTCAATTATCCGGTCAGCTGAAAGGTCGACCACATGATGAATATAATCATGGAGATAGTTATTCTCGGAGGACTTAGCTCAGCATTGCAATAGATGAAGATCTCGTCTCAAGTTCCCGAGAAATTTTTGGCTACACAGCATCGGGTGACACAGGCCACGCTAGATATGCAAGTCAGCATGACTCTCCTAAGCATACCACGAGATAGGGTCCAAGAGGAAATGAGATCTAGATAGGACTGAGTGAAACAAAACCCTTTACGTGTCATCGCAAAAATGCTCAGCCTGGACCGCCTTTTCAAATCATCGCAACCCCAAGCCTTCCGCCCAGGCTTATTGGAATAATCATTCTCTCACTGGCGAGCTTAGTTGTCACCACTTCAGGCCTTCTGGAGCTTCTAGAGCGATCTGGGTGATCGAAAGATATACGAAATTAACGAAGCTGCCGATATTGTAGCAAATTATACAGCGGCGGTATATGCGCAGTGCGAACGGAGCCCATGAGTAGCCCTTGAATCTTCTAAGACAATCCCTCGTATTTGAACAATATTCAGGTCACTGAATCTGTTTTAGAGCTGAATAGGATACCAAATGTACAGGAATTACCCTGAAAATGTAGGGGTGCAGCGCTATGCTGGGCGGAATCTCTATGCATGAGCCTAGACAGCTATATTTCGACCAACATCCAACCAAGGAAATTGTCGACACGATATCACATAATGGGTCCATTGTAATTAGCGAAGTGGACTGACTTTGGCAGCCACCATATTGCGGCGAGGCGGCTAGGTAGTATGGTTCAAGCCCATCGATATACTAAAATGAGACTAGCTAGATGCACCAAGGGTCAGCAGTCGGGACCCCTGTATATGCAGGATCCAACTTTGGACTACTCAAACACGTTCCCTGTACTACTCATACCCGACAGCCAATTATTGTACTGAGTTACGTTTTTGTCTGAAGTTCTGAGAGTGAAGATTTAGTCAAAATGCCCAGGAAATAAACAGGGGGAGTTGAAAACAAGTCAAGTCTGGGATTTTTGAAGCTCGCTGACTAGTCGATTCTCTTAAACCACTCCCGGTCCTCATCTGAATTCCAGAGCCAGTGAAGACCTTCCACTCGGTTCTGGGCCTGATCCAGCTTGAATTCAAGTAGGGTCTCCTCATATTTGCTCACAGCCGCTCCTCTTGTAACCCAATAGTCGTAGTCCGGAGTGAAGAAACTATAAACATCACAACGATAAAATATGAGTGGGCTGCTGGATGCTTGACGATGGTTGAATAGAACAACGAGGTCCCCATTTGCGTTCCTCGTGACGATCATGGCAAAGAGACCCCTGAAGCCAACATAGTTTCCCACATACAGCTCTGGATCTCGCTGCAAATCATCCGAAAACCTATTTTCCATCCAGGGGGCCAGCAAGTCGGTCTCAAAGTAGTTTCGCACCAATTTGGTCTCCAGTTCTACCCATGGAAACAGATCGATCTGGGGATTCAAGTCCAACAATGCTTGAGTCAGAATTTGCGCTGCAAAATCGCTCGCGTCGCCGAGACCACGACCGTTGGTCATTACCACCACTGCACTTTGTGTCTCGGGGAAGGTCCAAATTGTTGCAAGAGAGCCTGGCATGCCCCCGGAATGCCCAATCATCAAAAATGGGTTAGATCCCTTGCCAAGTATAAATTCGGGCTTGATATGCATTTGGTAGTCCTTTTTCCGAGAAAGACTATTGCCACTGAAAGAGCTAAGTGTTGACGATGGAAGCTCCATTCGGACCCATCCCATGCAGTAAGCTGCATGCTTGCTGGTTGACGGGTCGTCTGCCGGACGAGTCCAGTATCCACGACGGACCCGAGTCATTTGCTTTAGCGGGTTGCCCGGGGACATCAAGGTCCCAGTAGCTGAGGAGGACTTGGCGTGTTTGCCTTGGCTCATCCGACTCAGCTCATTCCTCTCGGCGGAAAGGACCGCTGCACACCATTTAAGTACGTCGTTTACACTGCTCCGGATCCCTGCTGCTGCCAGCAATGGGCTGACATCCTCGCATGGCCAAGAGGAAGTATCGAGCTCAACAAACTGACCATTTGCTAGAGTTGCACACGAAGAGGCGACGTTGTCATCGGACACGATATCTGACTTTGCCACCGCTGTTCGAGTCATTTTGAGAGGCTGCAAGATTTGCTCTTTCACGAATTTGTCAAATCTTTGACCGCTGACATTTTCAATGGCCTTGGCCACGATCCCATAAGCGATATTGTTGTACGCCCAGTCCTTATTGAACCGTTGCCCTTGATCGTTGGACGTGGACATCATGTTCAAGAGCGGGATTAGGTCATTTTCGTCCACAAGAATCGACCCAGAAGGACCGAGGCAAAGGCGCCCTGCGTCGCCGATGCCACTTGAATGACGAAGCAAGTCGATGAAATCTGCCTGCTCCCTAATGTGTGGGTCGCCGACCGGTCCAAACTTGGGAATGTATTTTCGCACCGGTTCTTGCCAGCTCATTTTTCCGGCGTCGACGAGAATGCCCATTGCGGCGGATGTGAGCATTTTGGAACATGATCCCAGCATGTAAATGGTATCCGAATCGGCTTTGAGCGTCAGGTTTGCATCGCGATATCCTATAGAGTGGCAAAACGTCTCTCCCCTGTGCAAAACACCAAAGGATATCGACGGGACTTGGCATAGAGATTGGACTTTTTCGATCTGTGGTATTGTGCCTTGAAGGCGCTTCGCAAGGGACAGTTCACACTGTTTTCTGTCGGCCATTTTTGCAAACTAGCTGTCAGTAACAAACTTCAAAATAAATAGGCCAGACCTACACCTGCCGAGGAAATCGCACAGCTTATATAACTATACGAATAGCAACATACTCAAGTAGCTGATGTACTTACCCTTGGTATTGTGATGCGAACGTGAAACAGTTCTCGTCCCGGCTGTTCCGTGTCTCACTGATATGGTTATTTTCTGCTCACGGCTCACGACGATCGTAAAGATCCATCTTTTCGGAGCTTCCCCATAAACGTTTGGCGAAGAGCAAACGGATGTCCAGGGAGATGATCGATTGACAGAGGAGGAAGAGAGGGTTCCGCTTTATCTAGAGAGGCTATTGTTGGCACAGGCATGATAGCAGCTGCCTAAGACCGTCGGGTGAACCGTCATTGTTTAGATCAGCATAGAAAATTCGCATTTAATTCAAAAAATTTGTATAATTGACTACTTTTGGCTATTTAGGTCAAGTCATAGATTCCTACTGTCATAAAATTGCTAATCAAGTTGTAGTTGCCTCTGCATTCGCATCAAGAGTACAGGGAAAACCTCTCGGCTTCGAGATAAAAGGCCGATAGGAGACAAAAACCTGCACTGAGGCACATCGACTTGGATAACTCACTTGGACAGAGGTGCGCCCTCACCAGCAGAAGTACCGGCCGATCCCCACCCCCAGATTAACATTGTGCAGCCGTCCTTTGGGATGCCCTCGCCGCCACCAGACTCGGAGCCCGGGGATCCCCATCCCCATCCCCAAGAGCACTCGTCCTTGGGCTGGGGCACACCGCCGCCAGAGCTACTGCCTGGAGCTCCCCATCCCCAGGTCCAGGCCGAGCACTCATCCTTGGGCTGAGCCGCGCCACCGCCAGAGGTGCTGCCAGCAGTTCCCCACATCCAAGAATGGCATCCATCCTTAGGCTGAGCGGCACCACCACCAGAAGTGTTTCCGGGAGCGCCCCATCCCCATCCCCAAGAGCATTCGTCCTTTGGTTGAGCCACACCACCACCGGGGCTGCTGCTAGGAGCACCCCAACCCCATGTCCACGCAGAACACTCATCTTTGGGTTGAGCCACGCCGCCTCCAGAGCTGCTGCCAGCCGTTCCCCACATCCAAGCATGGCATCCATCCTTGGGCTGAGCGGAACCACCACCAGAAGTGCTTCCGGGAGCGCCCCATCCCCATCCCCAAGAGCACTCGTCCTTGGGCTGAGCCACTCCACCGCCAGTGGCGTTACCAGCAGTACCCCAGATGTAAAGGATCATCGTGATTCTTTGAGGGAAAAAAATCAATACCGAAACATTCTCTCCAATTTCTGGATCCAACATGCTTACCGTATTGAACTTCGATAACTCGAGATAGAGTAAGGCAATTCAGGGAAGATGCTGTCTTTACCAAAGCAGACACTTCTGGAGAAATAAATGTCCACCTGGCAATGAGGGTGCTTTTATATCACAGACCTTGGCCATCTCCTCAGACGCCGAGGTAAATCATGTCTCACTTGCTTTTCGCGGGGGAAGCTAGTCATGGTGGGTTCTCTGTGTGACCAGCCATGTACTCAAATGTTTATCTGTCTTAAGCTTATGATATGACTGAGAGGACCCATTACTATACCGACTGGTAGTTATGTCAATGGGACTCTCGATGTTACCGGAACTCGGAGTTAAAACAATATGCATGAGGAAAAAACTTGAATTGGAATCACTCAGCACTCGTTATTTGATTTCAAACCTCACAGGTGCTACTGATATCTCATCGGTGATAGCTCGTGCTCATTTTTAGCATGTGAAAGAGACGCTATTTCATAAACAGATGGTTTCCTTTCTGTAATTGGCCAATTGATCCCAAGTTCTCCGAAACTCTTGAGTAGCTGGAGACCTGTCAGCCTGCAGAAGTACAAAAGCCACATTTAAACCTGCTTGGTACATGGTGATACTAACTGAAACATGGATTGATGGATCAGATCCATGCAGTTCATGGAGGCAAATCGCTTCGGATAGGACAATCCATCCACTCAAAGCACTTCGGAATGAGATTGCTTTTCGCCTTCTCATGGATAGTCAATGAAGGATAACCCGGAGTTCTGAGTATCCAATGAGAAAGGTTGAGAACTCGGGATGAAAGCTCTATCAAGGGGGTCAGTATCTTCCCTGTTCCAAGTGTGTGAAACCCCGGCTCTAGTCGGATCTGCAAGTAAGATATGATGTCCAGGCCCATCTGAAGCTCTCCAATTCTATCAAAATGACGTTTTGGACTAAAAACATTTATCTTCTCATTCGTTATGGTCTTATCCCGGAATTCAATACTAAATGGAAACGGTCCAATTAAAGGACACAGGCGAAGGGTTCGGTTCTAGGCGCCTGGTAGACAAGTAACCAACTAATCATGTGGTCTAATGGGCATAATTTTCTCCGCTCTTATATATGTTATGTCACCTACCAGCTTTAATCCTATATCTTATCCAATCCCGGTCAAATTGTTGAACATGAATGATAACTATTACGTCATCAAATGTTCAGGAATGTGGTTAAAGATGAGCACTAAGCTACAATTGTGCCATTCTTATGGGGAAAAAATATTGCAGAAGCCTTTGTCATAGGAAAATCAGCGTAGACAATGATTAGTTACGCAATATTCTTCAATATATCATCGATGTACGCCAGTGTTGAGCCGACCCTTGGCTAAAGCACCGTCTATGAAGGCTCGGATGACAGCCTATGTAATAGGTACATTCGTAAAAATGCAAATAGCTGCGATGGATCTGCTCGGAAAACATACATTGTGTGGATCTCATTACACCAATCGCCAACTTATTGCATCATGTGTCCAATTTTGACCTTCACGGATATTCAAACGCTATCATAGTTTATTTTTGCTTCGGGCGTAGGCTCTTAGTGTTCCCTTCTAAAAAGTCTCGAAACATTTTGATACAATTTGTACAAACATCAATATCCGAAAGTGCCTGTTCTTGAAATCGAAGTGAAGTAAGAAATGCTCTGGTCGCAGGGCAGGATGAGTGATGCCCTCTGTTTTTTAATTGGTTTGATGTTTTCTGCCGCCTGACAGAACCATTTTAATCGAAGATGCAGACCGTTGGTTTCGTAATGCTGGTCGATGGAAACTTGTAGAGTCACATCACTGGATTCTCTGAGTAGCAGTCCACGAGGCTTCTCTGATATGTCAATATAGCCTGGAGCTGCAATGACCTGAAGATCAGAAATTTGAGCCGCCTGGCATTGGGTGGATATACTGTATCAGTCTAGTGTGATCCCATCACTTCACTGGGAATAACGGAGTTGATCTCCTCCACGGACCATCGGAAACAGTTATCTGCCCTTGCTGGATCTCAGTCTGCGATAGGGGGGCGTTCCAGAAACGGACGGATTTTGGAAGCGTGGAAAGGCAGTAACTGGGAAAGGGCGCTGGCGTCACATGACATCTCGAAGTGCACCGACACCTCACTGTGCCGCGAATGGCCCCAGGCATAAAATCATTGATGCCTGGGCTAGTTGAAGTTCTGTTTCTTTTCCATCCACCATCATCATCATCCGTCTTGCAGATTAGTTCGCTCGTTACTACGTGCCAAAAACGAATCAGCTGAGGTATCTCATACTAGGCACAGAACACGCTCATTCACGTTATTGAGGGATCGCGAAACGGCAGCCTTGGCCGAGTGCTGCCTATCTGGGGGCCCCGTGGGAGCCTGGGTAACCCTGGAAATATAACTGGTGATATTCAGAGATTTTTTCAAATTGCTCTCATGAGGTTGCTTACTTAAACATAGATCTTTGAATTTCAAACTGCTACAGATATTTCATCAGGAGTGATGCTATCGAATGTCAGACGGAAGGTCTATGTCAAGCGATCGTATCTGGCGATCTGCAGGCCGTCGAAGACTACCCCAAAGAGAAAGGTGTTGATGTGAATCGCCGCCACTGCACCAAGCGGACACCTCTCCATGTAGATTGTCTCGTATCGACTCCCGAGATGGTGACATGCTTGCTCGACTACGGCGCGAGAATCGCGGCGCGCACAGAGGAGGGACAGACCGCGTTGCATCTGGCGGCCGCGCGGGACCGAGTGGACATCATTCGCGTCCTTCGAGCCAGAAGCGAAGAAAACCAGCGAGCTGCATGTGAATGTGGTATCTGGAGTCGAGACTCGCTTGGACCTGAATCTCATTGCGTGAGTGCCCATGATGGCGGTCGCGGTGATGCAGGAGACGACTCCGTGCCCCTGGTGAACATCATACATAATAAATAATACTCATCTATACTTTAATAATACTTATTCCTGTTCTTAAGAATACCGTGACTGGCTACTACAACTACGTCCCCGAGCCCTTCACGTATCCTCACCTCTTTGGCTTCAATCACGGTTTGGTAAGGCAACTTGATTTCATGTGGGATTTTTGGTGATGTTTTGGCTTTTTGGGTTTTGGCTGAGCGATGTGGTTGGCAGGTGTGGCTGGTTTCCGAATAGAACGGGAGCCTTTGATCATTGAAGCGATATGCGCGTTGTCCGGTGTGACAAGGGGGTATGGCGCCTCTGACGTCGGAATAAGCATTCTCATGTATTCTGTCAACCTGACTGCCGCCACGACGGGAGAGTAGTATCGTGGAAATTCTTCATTTGGCAAATCTTTGGGCCAAGCCTTTATTAACCGGTAAGGTGTCTCTACTAGAAATGAATTTGAATTTCCAGTAAGCCAGCTTCGTGACTAGGAATACCCAGATATATCCAGGCTATACAGTATGCACATTGAGCATAGAACAAATCACTTCCGGGCGGTGCCTTTATGGGTTCCAACGGCGAGAAAAATTCAGGATACAGGGACACCCGGTAAATCGTCCTGTACTTGGCCAGGAACGCGAGAAACGCAACGCGAGTGCAGGCTTTCATTTCTCAAATAAGATTTTCTCGGCTGAAACAGATTGTGATCAGAGCGAGAAACGAAAATCCTTGGGCTCCCAAAATTCGTGATTTGGTGAATGCAAAATGTCGCGGAAATATGAGCGATTTCTGATTTGAGGATGGCGCTACGGTGGAAATATGCTTTCTGACAAGGATTAGGGAAGGATATCAAAGAAGGAGGAGTTCACAGCATATCAGAAAAAAAAAAAGAAAAAAAAGAAAGAAAGAAAGAAAGATAAAAGGCGAGGATAAACGCACGTAACAACTGGAGATAATTTCCCGAATTCCGTCAAACCTCGCCCCCGACTATTTGCATGACCCAGATTGATATTGGTTGGTGAACCTGACACAAGGTTCAATAGTCTAATTGCCTCGTATTTGTTGATGTGGATCCCGGTCCATAATGGAGACGGTATTAGTAATTCCAAAGCCGATCGCGACAATCTCAATGGTCACAGATGGAAACTGGAAGTTTCCTTCCGTTAAGTGGGTTCTGATGCAGAATATTCTGATGTGACATGGTGGCCAAACTCTACCTCCTCCGGCATAGAAGGAGCCCACAATCCCTAGCACCTGCGCACCGAATCAAGGGATGAAAAGTGCACTCAGAAACTCCACAGCTCACCGTATTCCCTGTCTAATTCCATGCTTATGCGCCGATCGATCTGCATGGAAACCACTCATGGCGATGATGATGAAGGGCCCTGCTCGATCACAGTGGAGTGCCCGAATCTCAATAAGCCTCAATAAGCCAGAATTTCGACCCCACAACCCGAGCAATCTCCCCTTCATGTCCGGTCGTGGGGATGTTTATTTCAATGGCGGCCTACAGTTAGGCTTTCCAATACTTGATGTGAGCTGGAGGTCTGAATGCAATAGCATTTTTTAGAACTCAATGAGCTTACCTTGTTTGTCTCAAAGGGCCGCAGATCAGCCTTGTATTACCAATATTCCATGAGCTCCACGATTTATTTCACGACCTGACTGAGCGCAAGTACGAATTTTCAGACCTTGCTGAAATATCGGAGGCGGCGTCGAGGGAAGCACCAAGAAGTATACGAAGTACTACACCTTCACGGATGCCTCTGGCCTATATTATACTGCATTTGTCTTGACCCTCGATTGAAAGAAGCTCTCCACCTAAAGGACTGGGTGAAAAAAGCGCTCGGAGAAACGTCCTCCAAACCCCCCGTGATAACTTTCATCGCAGATACCTGGCACTACCGAGCCACTGGGTATGACACAGCCACCCAAACCTAGTCATAGGAAGCAAAAAGTGGGTAGCCGGATGTTATAAAGACTACTGCCTCAAGTTAGCCCTCATTTTCCGACATTGATCAGTATTTTTTTTGATAGCGCTAGGACCGAATAAGTGATATGGAGGATTATAACCGGCTGTGCGATTGGTGGAGGATGCATAAATAGGAATACCCTCGTATTGTTCCTGTTGCCAGGGTTGCCTACCAATGCCGGCGTCTGAAAGCTTAGCTAAGAGATTTTTATATAAGAAGAGATATTCTTGAAATACGACGATTCTCAATGAAGGGAAGGGCGTTGAGGATGTTTATGATACAGAAGATGTATATTAATTGATAATACAGAGATGTGCATATTCCTGCCCATGCCTGGCCAGAGCCCGACACAAGATACATATATATGTATATGCATGACCACTGCAGAGCGTCGACTCCACTTCCTAGTATTTTCCTGTCAGGGCAGCAGTTAATTAACAAGACTGGATTTGCATAGAGAGAAAAGGGGATACAGAGCGGGTTTATATCCACTCAATTGGAACCAATTATGGGTCTTTATGGGCGAAATACGACAGGTGAACGAGAGATTCGAGGCGTGTATCATTTACACAAAACTACCGATAATTATCTTATCGGCGAATAATCACGAATATTCTACCGACAACTTTCAAGCCATGATACAATATGCGATATTTATCGGCAAAATTCCTGAATTGTCGATACGATAACCGATATTGCAGGTCCCTGCGAATGTCGTATCTTCAGTGTTCCCATTGCGAGCACTTTTCAACCGGATGTTCTGGATCACCGAGAGCGTAACAGTTCTGGTACAGTACCCAGTGGATCGCCCCATCGGGAACGTGCGTCCTGAGCTGCGTTTCAAGTACGATGGGCGGGCGCTATGGCCAAGCGGTGAATCTATGGAGAACGCAGGTAGCGAATAGCTGAGCTTGGCAGTCTGGGTTTGATGCTTGGCAGCGTCCCAGCGATGACACGATAAAACTCGCGGAAAGTGGGCCCCAGAAATAATAAGGAATAGAAAAGAACCCTTCCATCTGCGAATAATGTCTTTATCACATTGCAAAACCTCAACTCGTTTCGTCCAATTACATACAGTGCCAACTTGCTATTTGAAAGAAGGATGGTTTTGCTCTATTACAACAATCTCATCTCCTTTGGTCTTTTGGCGGCTAGTTTTGCCTCCGCAGCTCCTCTATCTGTACATGATAGCAAGAAACAGCCCGATAATTGCGCTCCGGTCCATCTCTTCGTCGCCCGTGGAACCAGCGAAAGCCCGGGTGATGGATCAATTGGTTCCCTGGCTCAGTTGGTCCTCCAGGAAAATCCGGAGGCTACTCAAGAAGCTATTGATTATCCGGCCGCTCCCTTCCCGTTCTACATCACAGATGTTTCTATCGGGATTAAAGCGGTTACCAATCAATTCATGCACTATACGAGCTTATGCCCCAATTCCACCCTCGTTTTTATTGGCTACTCGCAGGGGGCTCAAATTATGCTCGATGCCTTGTGCGGCTCAGGAGGACCCTTGAAAGGGGGCACCGGGAGCCCTACGATTACCAAGTCGCAGGGCAAGAATAGTAAGTCTAGCTGGTGTCGCGTTGGGTCTTCGGAAATGCAATCGCCTCTCTATTGAGGAAAGATCTGGCTGATACCACCTACCTTAAATATAGTTGCGGCAGTTGTCGGATATGGCGATCCTGGCCATGTCGCAGGGGAGTCTTGGGACCAGGGAACTGCAAAGGCCGATGGGGTAAGTCCAGTGCAGTAAATGCAAGGCTTTCTTAGTGAGTGGACGTGCGGCTGACCACGGGCTATAGATCTTCGCTCGACCGGCAGGTGCGTGTAATGCATGGGCAAACAACATACACTCGTACTGCGATGCAGGAGACCCATATTGCGCCGGCGGCAGTAATCAGACGATTCACCTGCAATACACACATAAATACAACTCCGCGGCTTCTCAGTGGGTGAACGGGCAAATTGTTTCGGCAAGTGCCTGATACAACGAGCGGGGTTAGATGGGAAACGAACTGAAAGGTTTCGTTTTGTTTTCTTTGGCTGCCATCCCTATACCTTAGTAGCTGAAGGTATCTGCCAGCTCCCACTTCTCTGCATCCTCATTCGTCCATGATGCGTGTAATCGTCGCCCGTGGTGCGTGCCCGTTAGCCGCAACACCCCCAGCCAGATCATTCAGATCCGAATGCAGAGTTCCGCCAGGAGGCATCTGGAGATAATTCTTCAGAACGAGTGTAGAATCGTTGAAAAGGTCAGGGAGCGATAAGATCTAATGATTGAGATATAAACTCAATACAGACTAAATCAAATTCTACACTTCCCCTCATTGATCATCCCTACAGAACATCACAGTGAGAGCAGAATACACATCCTAGAAGCTGAACAGATGGGGAGGGATCCGGCTCGTTCATACTGTGGAAGTAATGTTGTTGCCCCACTGGGGTTTGTTGATCTTTATTCTTAGCAATGGATCCATCTACTGTAGCTTCATGAAGGTTGGTGAGTGAAAAATTGTTCTTCCGCTGGGGCGCACCCTCACCGCAAGGTGGGGCCGCTACCTCGGAACTGCTAGTTACAATCTAGAAAAGCGGGTAATGCCAGCTCGCCACGGATCCTGTGGGGCTTTGGGTTTAAGGTCTTCGAACTGACCCATAGATAGTCATGCTACTCTACGCGACCTCCTCCTTATCTACGGTAAGGCTTTTGTCTATGTTGCTTAGTATACTACACTACAACGATAATTGACGGTAAATTGAGCGCCGACAAAATGGCTAAATTCGACGCTATTTTAAGCGTTCATTTTACCAATATATTAGTCATCCAAACATCACGTGATTGAAATCAAAACAGTCTTGTTTGCTCCCTGATTCTCACTGAGCGCTCATGGCAACTCAGCGATCAGCTCCACTCTATTCAGGGTGCTCTTGGTAGACGATCAGGCACGTCACCGGTATTTTACTTCTCTGGCATCCGCTTGTAACCGCTTGTACAAAAATAAAGGAATGACTTTGTCAGGTATTCGTGCCAGTTCAAGCTTTCGGAGATACATAAATAGTCCTTGCTCCCACCTGCCCATAGTTTTCTTTCAGAGACATTCATTCAAAACACTCTCTTTCAATAATCATAATCTCTTTGCCTTTAGCTCGGTCGCTCGCTTTCGTTTTCTTGTTCTGTTCGATCTATGTGCCTTTAGTCTTCCTCTTTGGCGCCCTTCTTTTGCCCTGCTAATTATCCTATTTTTTTGCCACTATTGTCATTTGTCATCATAATACCTGAAGACTTCTTCTGTTTTCATCTTTAGCTTTCGCATTTGCTTCTTGCGGATGGTATCTCCAGTTATGTCGATCCTTGAATCTTCTGCCACCAAAAGGGGCTAAAATGCCTAGTCCCCAGTACTACCGGCGACGCCGTTAGTAATTGGAGAAAGGTATAATCTAGAAACGACATGCTGTTTCAACCAAAGACAATATTGACTATATTAAACGACGATGGATCAGGTAATACTACGCTCTATTTATGAATCCTTTGAAGCTAATCGCCCTAATGTCACGCGTTGCTATCTGGTCACGGTGAGTGGTCAAACGTTGGTCAACAACTTACCAGTTGTTGATCGGTACAACTACAATATGTGCTGGTGATACCGGAATCGGCCTTCTGAGCACCACTCGGTCAGTCCTCAAATTCTGACTCGCAACTGTAAAAGCTGGCTCGTTATGGAGGCAGAAGATGGCCGAATCATTACGTATCATTCTCACCCAGATTTGCCTGTGCCGACAAAGAAAGAGATGGTGAGTTATATTCGACCTTTCGGTTTTGGAAAATTGTTGAGAACTAATAGAATGATCGAGCGTTGCCTCCGGTACAGAAACCCCAATAGATTATATTTCGAATCAAACAAATGGTTCTGTCAAGTCAAATCTTCCAGTCATCCTGCTTCCTGCCAGACGAGATGAAATGTGACGGGCTTTACATAGGTGTCTAAAATAGGTTCACTGCTCTACTCGATAGTCACGGCGTCATCTCAGTAGTAAATGGACCCACATACGATCTCTTCATGTGACAAGGTAAGACAAGCTGCTCAAGAGGAATGGCCTAAGTTTAGGTCGGAAACCAGTTGCTTTTGATTGGCCACGCCTAGCCAAAATGAACCCAGACATAGGGCTTTTCCAGCTTTTCAGCAGGAAAACCTGCTGATGAGCTCACACTGCGACAGGTTGATCTTGGAGCTGATTTAAGGGGTCAAAGGTGGGAATTGGGTTCTTTTTGGGTTTTCTGGGGGTTTGTTTGGGGTTTACTGGGCTTGACCCATGTTTAATCTCCTAGATAGCAAATCAATGACATGAATAGTAATTTGCTCTTGATCAGTCTCCTTTGTTTGCCCGCTTTCCTACTTACTGCTAACAAATTCTTCCTTGGTTAAGAGTGCGGCGTCCTTTCTCTCTTCCCTTGCATCCTTCTGTTATCCCCCTCTCCCTTTCGTCTACTATGTCACAGAATCAATACTCAAACATTTCAATGTCACAGAGCCAACAATCTGATATTTCATCCTCTCTACATGATGGAGAAACAGATGATCTGAATTATCTTATCTCAACCTACTTAGTCACCCCATCTGGTAGTCAACATACCTTTGATCCGCTTGATGTTGATTTTCTTCGACCCAACCTCCCTCCTTCAATCCCTATGACTCTTCAACGTGTTGGGCCCGATAGAAGAAAAGGTTTCTTACTCTGGGAAGCAATGTCGCATAGTGAATGGGTGGATTGGTGGTTACAGACTGACTGGGATGAAAAGCAAGTTTAAATGGGATTCAGCCCGCCAAGGGGACCTAAGGTGATGTGTAAACAATGTTGTCGAATTCTTGAGCATCCTTACACCCAGACAACAAAGAGCAATGGGAAAGTCCAATATCATGGTACATCAACTGTGAAAAGTCACTGTCGGGGCATATCCTCCTGTCGGAACAAACTGGCGATGACCCACTGCTAGCGTCTGATGGATAACATCCCTTGCTTGGTGTACGCATTCTTGCACTGGGCTGCGGCTCCGGTGTTGTGACCGCCGAGGGCCGGCGTGTGGAATCCAGGGGAGTTTTCCAACTAGACTGATCAATCTACATCTATCTACATGAATCAATTGACTTTTGCTTTGGAGCATACACACTGTCCACTTAACTGTGTATACAGTACCTAGCTGGTGATACCAACAGTCAGCATTGTCTGTTATGGTGAATTTGGGATCGGGGAGAGGCAGGAGATGTTAAACATTTAGGTGTTCTGTGAGAGATGTTACTTGGTTTTTGCAGCATTAGTTTAGCGATCGCATAACGTAACCCGTAAGCGAGTGGATCATGTAAGCCAGCGGATCACCTACCCAACTACCCTACCACGAAAATATGTATAAAACAACCACCAACCAATATATTCAATTAACACTGTTCACACACTAATTAGGGCACCTAGTTCTCTTATGCCCAATATTCCAACAATTTGAACACCTCGGCGGCGCTCTCTGATTGGCCGAATTTTCTACCGCAGCCGCCGCCGTATTGTCTATGATCTCTGCTTCAACACCATTTGCCTCCTTCTCAATACGCTCCTGAGCCTCACCAACAGTCATCCCACCATTATTAGCTATTCGCCGATTTGGCAATGCCAATTTTCGCTTTTGTGGGCATTTTCAGAGCGTAACCGCTCATTCTCATCGCTTACTAGAGCAACCTAATGAATTGCTTGTTCGGCGCCCTTGATTAGCTGCTGTGACGCAATCTTAGCAGGACTTGGGGGCGTATATGAGCGTTGCCGTAGTAGTGCTTTGATTGAAGAAGCCTGCCGTCGAATATCAACTGGATAAACTGGCGTGAGGTATGAAATCGCCGCTATTATCACTACCACGACTGATTGGAGGGGTTGGTGTTCGAAGCTGAATATCAAGAATATTAAGCACTCGCTGTGGCTCATATGGTATAAGGCCTGCAGCGGCGAAGCTATTTGATATCGTAGCTGGTTTATATGCCTCTGTACGCGTCTGAGGATATGAGGCCAGAAAATCAAGCTTATCAATATGATTAACGCCATTTCGCATCTTAACCTGAACGTGTTGTCCGTATAGCCGTTTCAAAACAGCAAAACAGCCAATATCAAGAGGTTGAAGTAAATGAGAAGAGTACGGAGGCATACAGATTGGAATAATCTGGTTTTTCTGGCAAATATCGTCGAATTGAGGTGTAACATGGCTTCCGTGGCCATCCATCACTAATAGCCGCCATACCCCATGTCGACAGTTGGTAGTAGGCGGAATAAAGAGTTTTTCAAGCCAAGCAAGTCTAATTTGATCCGTAGTCCGGCCATTTGCACTAACTTCAAAGCGCCAGTCTCTTGGCGTAGTAGTAAACCACGCTGAGTTGAAGTTTTTGCCTTTAAAATACTAGTCGGCGGGAGAACATTAGATCGGTTAATACACTCGATCGCTGTAACCCACTCTCGATTACCTGGCTGTATAAGCTTCTTTTTGCCATAGTATTCAGCACGTGTGACTACACGTGAAGTGCTTGCTAGGCCCATTGCAAAGCCAGTTTCGTCAAAATTCCAGACATCATTCTCATGAATACCATATTGAATAATGACCTGTCGGAATCGATCAAACCACTCTTGTATAAACTTCGGATCCTCACATAACGTGCGTTTGTAGTCATATCGACGTGAAAAAGCGTGTTTTGAGCTCAGGGCAGCGTTGGATATAGTTATATACCCATTTACTACCAACAGACTGAGGCGTGCTTTCTCCACGTTTTAAGAGCAGTATATTGGCCATTTCTCGCACCATATCTGGCCTAGGCGCAATACCACGTGAATCCAGCGAAATTATCCATTTTTGAAGCGATTCCTCTTCCAATTGGGTTAATTTGTGGTTGTTGGTGCGTGTGGTAGAGCGAAACGCGCCTCCGTTCATACGCCGTTGTAGTGTGGTATTTGGAACGTCGAATTGCTTCGCTGCTTCGCGAATAGAAAAATTTCGTCATTTTTGAGAGCTTGTATAGCAAGTAAGATTCGGCCTTCCTGCTCAGTCGAATTTTGTTGAGATTGAGTGCGAATTGGTGGCATGGTATGTGGTTGAATAGGACGTGTTGCAGAACGCGGTCGGAAATTGGGCGGGTGATCAGCTCGCTTACATGATCCATTCGCTTACGGGTTATGTTGATTTATAAGTGATACTTCAGTGTTCATGTTGTTGAGGGGAGTTGATTGTGTAAGATACAAGTAGACTGGTGAACAGGTATATAGGCATGCACGTGATCCCAGCCCTCATGATTATCCCAGTAACCGGGATATTTCAACAGGTTACGTTAATGCATGGGCGGCCCAAACAGCCCAACGGGCGGGCGGGTAAGTGGCGCGGCCCAGGTGGACGGCCCATGGGCGGCGTCGAGGTCTATTCGCCACGTACTTTTGTATTTGGCAATACCCAACTCCTGATGCAACCGGCTGAATAATTGTTGTTTTTTGATTGCATCAATAAAGTTCGGAGACCCAGCAAATGATACTTAGTCTATTTGAATCTAGAGCTGACGCGGACCAAATGAAACTTGAGAGCCAGATAGGCAGGAAAAAGGCATTGTCTTGCCAATTCAAGATGCAAACCACTTGCCTGGCACATCAATTAAGGAGAAGTGTAATTAAAACTTTTGCTGTTATCTCCCATTTCACTAACTCGATGTTTTCCACAACTCGATAACTCGATGCAAGTGATATTCACTCAAAGAAAGCAAATCTCTGTTCTACAGCGTTGGGAGCGTCCTAGACTTGAACGAGAGTTCATGGCCAGGTGCACGACGGTTCGTCGGGTAAAATTTACTAATACCAAACGTTGAGAAGTACGTCTTGGTTCTATTATCGATTCTAGAATTGTTTGAGATGAGTGAATAACAAGGCTCTTGGTTTATGACTTCACTATTAGCCCATCAATATGAAAATTTAACCACTACAGATATCATGTAGTGGAAGAACATGGTTGGAGGATTTTCTACTGCCATACCCTTCTTCCTGCGAACCCCCTTGCCCGAAATTTAGGCCATGATGCTCACATGAACATGAACACCCTGATTCCAGTTAGAAGAAAACATTGCGCTTTTAGAACGCGGTACTTGAGCATCAAAGTTTAGGGTTTTCCGTTTGCGTGAAAGTGGGGAATCAAGAAACTGGATTAAGTGTTGTCTACTCTTGATACTGCATACCAACCAGATTTCGGACACAAACTACACAGAGTGTCTAGATCGCTCTACCTCAAAACAATGTTTTACCATCCTTGTTACACCTTGAGTTCACAGATATGGAGAGAGAACCGACATTCAATTTAAATAGAACCGCTTCAATCCTTCCGAGAACTGCTCAGTCTCCCCAGTGATTTCGCTGTCCCTCAATTTTCAAAGGCCTTCATTGTTATCAATTATATTGGATTGAGATCCAATACATATCGATTTTAGAATCATGAGCTCCTCTATGCTGTGGATCTGGGCCCCCGACGGGCAGTGGGAAGCTGCAACGTTTGGATTTGAGCCCTATAACTTCCCTTTCGCCAGTTATGATCAGGTGCAGAACTTCGCAAATCTCATGGCTTCTGGAGATATTGATTCCTTGATTTCATCGCTTCCGACCATTTTTACGACCGATGTGGATCCCCAGACTATCTACAGTGTCCTACTCCAGCAACAGTCACAAATAACCTGGCTAGGCGATTTCTTCTTCCCAGAAGAGCCAGAGGATGCTCTTTGCTTTGAACTGGAGGAAGTGGGGGAATTTCTCCTTGGATTTTTGGCTGGTGCAATGACCTATCAGAGTCAGTAATTACTCTCTCCATCACTTTCCGGTATAGCTGGTTTAATGTTACTAACCCATTTCAGAAAAAAGCAAGTATGTGAAGGCACCACCAGCAGCTTTGGCTCAGACCAAGCCACCTGCTAAGGTACCAGAGGCAACTTGAAAAACACATACTAGAGCACCTATCAGGGTATCTTCAATAGTTCCTGTCTAACAGTCTGTTTACGAGAAAGAGACCAGCCATAAGGTTCTGTTTCTCATATCACATGGATAGGTTCTCAATCTTGATATTGCAGGATGTGGAGGGATTTTACCGGTTTCAAAAAACTCCATGGCCAGGAGAGTATGATTGATGCGTTCTTTCTAATATTTTGTCAGAAATAACTTCGAACCAATCGAAATTATTCCTACGCTTCTGTATATTAATGTTTTAAAATCAAGTGCCAGTTGTACCATAATTAGTTATACTGGCTTTTTAAAATTCCCGCTCCTTCGATTTATACCGAAGGAATCTTACAGTCTAATATCACTTCAAATACAGATCCTCCGTGCACACTGGAGGCCAAAGACCACGCTTCTTTTTTTATGGATATTGGTCTCTGCTCTCCTTTTGAGTGAATACAGCTGGATAACACATTCAATATGCGATAATAAAGAGATGTCTTGAAGTAGGAATAATTGAGGTATTAAATTTCAAATAAGACTGCAATCAACTTTACACTGATAATTAGCCATGAGGATTGGCCACTCGAATATCCAAATATCGGTTATTTGTATGACAGAGTTTTTAAACTGAAACAGTGCCTTCCATAGGATAAGTCCACAGAGTCATCTCTATAAACTAGGTTATATATCGTTCGGAAATTGGTAATTGTGATTTGCCGAGTCGACTTAACTGTTTCCATCAGTAACCAGGACAAATTCAGGACTAATTACATAGACGTGTCATCGATTCCAGAACCCAACGCGTAGCCAAAAGTGAGACACTACATTCTTGTCGAGATTTAGAATGTCTTGTGAACAGTAAACTTTAATATTCGTGGCGAATAACACTGTGATTGACAGACGTGCATTGCAAACGGACTCAAGAGTACGTAGGACAATGTCCGCTTCTTTTCTTGTGGTGTTCGGGTTTGTATCCGAGTAACCCAAAAGGCCTAGGCGGTTCTATTTACTCCATTCTCGCTGGCAGTCCAGTGGCACTACTCTCATAGTGACGTGCTCATTGTGTAGACGACATTTCTTGAAGAACGGAAGATTTGTTGCTAGGTATTTGCGCTCGATAAGTTATAAATTCTAACTATTATTCTTAATGAATTCTGTGCTTTATAGTTCTAAACATTACCATATCTCCATACTCACCATGCTTTATTGGTATATCTGGAACCCCGAGGAGGTGAAAGCGGGTTGGAAGATCACTGTTTTCAATGCGGACCATTCGGAAAAACAATTCAGATTCGCTGATGTACACCAGCTGAATCTGTTCGTTCACCTGAAGAAAACTGGTAATAAGGATCTCTTGCTCGGCGCCTTCCCCAGTATGTTTGAAGGAAAGACCCATCCCATTGAGATCTACGATCTTCTGTTCAAACAGAGTAACAAGGCCTGTTGGATGGGGGGTCTGGAGTATTCAACAAAGGATCCTGGAACGACCCTCGAGGCAGAAATGGAGAGCCTGGGAGAGTTCTTCATCAACGGTCTTGCAAACCCGATGGAAGCATCACGGATCTGGGCCAGGTTTAAGCTCAAGGTATGTCCGAATTCTAGCCCAGCAGGAGCCTCCAGGATCATTAAACATTTTTTTCAGTCAAAGCATCCAGATTTGAAAACGTCCGTGGAGCTCAAGAAGCCCCGAAGTGTTGCAGCACCACAGGACGTACCCGAATGGGTTATTACCTGGATCAATAATTCTGCCAATGAAGCCTTGTATATGAACCAGTGGTATTGCTATCTTGATGTGGCTTTGGGGACAATCATTCAACAGCCTGACGATGTGCTGAATTCAAAAGGTGGTGCCCAATCACTGTCGTGGTGCCAAAGCTTCTCTACTTTAGCCGGTGGAGACACATATGGCTATATCATCTGGCAATGGTCCGAGGGGGACACCAACTATGTTGTTGGAGTCCAGATCACTGCCCCGTTTCAGATGTTTGGTATTGGATATGCGCCGTATTATCAAGTCACAACGGATGGTGCGACCTGGAGTGAACCGCATTATGCGGACAAGTATACCTTTCAAGGGCTTCCATTGAACATCCAGGTGGTGCCAGTGGCAGGCCACTCAACAATGACCTGCGACATTCAAATCAAAGATCCATCTAACGCAGCATAATTTGGGGTGGGTATCGGGATGTGTCTTTACAAAACTTATGAAAAGTTATGAGCTTATATGTTCTCGTTAATATCATTTACGTCTTACATTTAATACTTCTGCTACCGCCTGGGAGCCTCGCTCGAGAAACTGCTCATGCCATCGTCTATATAAAGCACTATGACCTCGTTTACCATTGATTAAACCGGTCTAAGTTAAGTCAATGCCACCAGTATTAGTTGATTCCATATCGGACTCCAATCCGTGGGATGTTATGCTTGTCATGCCTACCCACCATAAACTCATGTCCACAACCATTTTATGGTTTGACTCTATGAAGATGCTGTCTTGAAAGTGGCATGTAGAGGTGGAAGTTTTGACCGAGGCGGTGTCCTTGAACGGAAAAGCTCGTTCATGTTCATTGACAAGGGCCGGCTAGTCAATTCCCAGGAAATAATCATCCATCTGATTGAGAATCTTATTTTGGGGAATTCTGGCTTGGAAAGTTGAAGTAAGGTCTCTGCTACCACAGACTACTTAATGCCAGCTTCCGCCCCGAGTGTACCTTCGCTCGTAGAGAGTTAAGGTAAAATCAAGCATAATCTAACCTTCAGGGCTTAAGTTCTAATGCGGGGAAGGTATTCTTGAAATTCATCTTTAAAAGGCAGTTATCACCACTGCCCAGCTGAACAGGTAAACCATCCAAAGGCTGAGATCTGAACACCCTTTACTATAAGGGTAGCACAGCTCCTCGAGCACTTGATATGTCTTCAAGTAATGCACATGCGCTGTTTATTTCTTCTATAATACAAGATCCAGCAATCGTCAAACCTAATACTCCTGCTGGTTATTCCAGTAAAGCGTATCATGCGTAACCTCTCCAAGAGGCTCGAGGTCCCATCTGAGGACCATCCTCACCCACTGCAAAAGGTGGCTGGCCAACTTGATATGACCAACATCCGTCGGGTGGTTCTTAGGGTTGATGTCATTGTGCTGTAAAATTCCCCTTGTGTTGAAGTAGTAGACGAAGCCTCGGTCTTTGAAGTGTTCGTGGACCTTGCGGTGTTCCTCCTCGTAGACTTCTGTCTGTTTGTAGGAGAGTCCGTCCTTGACCCATTGGCCCCATTGAGACTGAGCATGTCAGTTGGGACCCAGTGATAACCTTCGGATTGGGAATCGACTTAGGGAATCGACTTACCAGGAGGAGGACGGTCGCGTGGGGGTGGGTTCGGTGAAGGTCCTCAATCAGCTCGACGTAGGCGTCATAGTAATTCTGAGGAGGGATCTCGTTGGGGTGGCGATGATCATTTCCGCCCATTTGGATGAGGAAAAGATCGGTTGGCTGTTCGCCCTCAACGTCGAATTCTTCTGGGTCGTCACCGAAGAAGGCGTGGGCACGGCTGCCGGGATCAGATGCGCGGTGCCAGTACCAACCCTATCCAGACTGTCAGTTGTGACCACATGGGAACGAATGATTGTGTAGATATGTTCCAAAACGTACAATGCCGTGAGACTGGCCGCCGTAACATTGTTTATCGACGAGGCAGACACCGGGGTAGGCCTAATCATGATCAACTTGGTAAGCATCTAACCGACATGTAGCTTGTCGCATTATGGAAATGTTCATACAGTCAGCGTATGCTCGACGTTGCCCAGCCCGGCGACGAATAGCCATGCCCATGATGAGAGGGTCTCATATGTGCCGTACTGTCCTGAAGCGACACTGCCCATCTGTCAGCACCCATATCCTCAGAGGCAATCTGGATAGAGTGCGACTCACGATCCGCCAATGACTTCCACTTTCTTATCGAATCGTTTCGGGATGGTGAGCTCTGCGTCGTCTGCGGTTGCGACTCCGGCGATCTGAACTGTATATAAGGATTAGTGGAAGGACGATATTGTTGGAAGCGTAAAACTTATCCAAATCCCCAGTTGGTAACTAGAAAAAAATAGTCAGCGATCTGTCCAGTGCCGTATCAACATTTCCGGCATCTTACCTCGCATCTCAAACACCTTGCTGGTCTCCGCCGGGGTGTCTTCAAGCTCCGACCAATCCCCGACGAATTGATAAGTCGCGTCGGCAGTCACATTTGAAAATTGCCAGTCAAGATTTCCAACTCTAACGAATAGGTCAGCATCGCGACCGTCGCGTTGGTGAGGTGGGAAGGTGTTCGGTACCGATAGGCAACCAGGACGCCATCGGTGGTGCTGGGTCCGAAGCTCACAGCAAGCTGGCGCAGATGTCAATATCTCCGATCGATCGCATATCCACAGTTTGATATTCATGATGCGCGTACCTTATTTCCAGAAAATTCTACCTTGATGCCCGGAGCTCTAGTGATGTCAGGATCGCCGTTAGCCGTGGTCGCAAGGGGGAGGGGGGGGGGGGGGGAACTCCGGGGAAGACGAACGACCACCCTAAAGACTGTCAGAATGTGATACATCAAGTTTGGGGTTGGTCAGGGCGCATAACATACAGGAAACATGTTGACTATCCCAACGGCCTTTGTAAGACACTTCCGGGGCATCCGCCCCATAGGTATTCCAGGTGTCGTCGAGCGCGATCTCGGGCGCTTGCCCTGGCCATGGGTTCTCTCGCTCCTGGCCGTTCTGCAGAATGGTCGCCGAGGCATGCAGCGACCAGGCGAGCCAACCAAAGAGGTGAGCCACCCACATGATTAAGGTGTTGATGCGATGTTAACGGGAATGGCAGCACATCCACCGTTTAATCCTCCCGATTGTCGGTCCGGAGTGGTTGAGCGGACTCCAGGGTTATCGCCGATGCGGTCAGAAAACTAATAATGGCGTGATCTTGTCCTTAGCGGTCCACGCAATCTATTTCGGCGTTGGGGAATGAGCCAGGAGCTGCTAGCGCCAAGAGCAATTTCCCGCGACGTGAGCGACGTATGTGAAGCGATATTCGGGTAGAGTCTCGAGTCTGGAGCAGGGGAAAGCGAATCCATCCGCTCCGCTGGCTACGAGCTTCCAAGGTTAGGGACACCTTTGACACAAGCGTCGTGACAAGCTGGACCAACAAGAGTGGATTCCTCCATCTGTGGTTCAGGGGCTACCAGGCTATTTTCGAACGCCTTCAAGCCATCAGCACTAAAATAAAACCCTCATGTGCGACTGTCCATACTTCTACTGTATTCTACATGTATTTCTATACGGAGGAGACGAGGAACCGGCAGACACCAGATGTGATTTGTCGGGTCGCTAAATCTGGGTGTCTTGGGATATTTCCGTATTGGGCAGAATGAAGCGTCTCTCCTCGCCACGGCCCTTGGCATCCACGAGGAGTTGGTTGCTGGGAATGTGACATGTAACAGTAATTGACCTGGTGGAACGAGTCAGGGTTTGCACCAGCAGGCCAGCTGAAACGCTTCAAATAGCCAACGGTAGTCCCGTGCTTTTCGCACTGTGCAAATGACGATACCCTTCATCTATGCCACACTGCAATCAGACTGCCTCAGCACCGGTGAGACTATATTTTGGACCCTGGGAGCGCTCTCCACTTCGGCAGCATCGGAATACGCGCGTTCCCTCAAACCCGCTGAGCTCGGTGCACAGCTCGCTGGCAGCGAGTGAACCCTGAAAATCTCCGAGTTCCCTGTATTTATCTGACGGGATTACACATCACTTGCCTAACAGTACATGCGCCCCACATATATCCGGTGGGTCTCTGCAGGGCTCTCCCTGCCACCTTCCAGCGTTCTTCTGCACATCCTCTTCAGCCTTACACTGGGGTTTGGGGGCGACCCGGCCACCATCCTCACCCGCTCCTTCTCGGCATCCTCGTCATTCCGCCTGCCTGACAACCAGAAGCTGTCTTCGCCCCCCAGCGGCCACCTTCCGCTCGGAGGCAATGATGATGCCAAGCAGCAGCGGATACCGTGCTGGCCATGTCTCGCAGCCCCTGACCCCAAAAATGCTGATAGAACCCGGTTCCTTTGCGCCAAGAACCAGTCAGACCCGGAAGGACAACGGCGTGGAGGGGCGCGCTCGGCCCAGCTTCGGTCCAGCCCTAATATGAACGGGCGCATTCTGCAGCAATCCAGCATTTCTTCCCCTGTCATCGACCCGACTGCCTCTGGTATACAGGCCGTTCGGCTCGAATGCTCCTGAGAAACGCCCCAAGACGGTCCTTCTCGCGCAATCCTGGTCGAGTCGATGCTTGTTTTCGACCCCTGCATTCATGGCCCTCTCATAGTTTCCCCCATTTTGCGCCACATGTGCCAAGCCACGTATGTACCGTCACAAACCAGTAAAATACGCGTAAATACGGCACACGTCAGGGTTCGGCGGGTCGCGCCAAGCACGATCCACGACGATCCAATCGCGCGGGTGCCAGCGCCGATTAGGTCAAATGGCGCCATTTGCCCGTCACCGCATGCAATCCTACTTTCAACCTTGCTTGCCTCCGTTCAGCCACGTATTCGCTTGGAAAAGAAAAGAATCCCGGGGATGGCGTTGGTGCATGCCAGAGCAATACTCAAGGGGCACAAATGAATATGGACAGCCCGGCAGCAAATATCAGATATATCAACGATGGGCCGGAGAACCGCCAAGAAGACTCTGGCCTGCACAACCCCGAAAATCACGCAGCGCAGACCAGTCAGTGTCGAACGGGTTGCTCTGCATTTGTAGGGCTGGCGAGGGAAAATCCACAGAAGGGAAAGTGATCGGCGCCAAGGGTTGGCGCAATTCTGCTTCACGTTGGGGCCATAGCAGAATTCGACTCGGTTGCACTGCTTGATTGGAAGGTGGGAAAGCATCCTTTACGGCATTGTCAGCCTCTAACCCTCCATAGAGCCTCGTTCGTATCACCAAAGCTCGCGGAGCGCCCCATTGATGCCCCCTGCTTGGCAAAGTCGGCCCTTATATCCTCTTTAGATCGAGAGGATCGGGCGGGTTGGGCCGGATAGTACTGGAATCCCGTGGCATGAAGAGAGATGGGGCCCGCAGACGTGTCAATCGAGAGACCGCCGGGAGTTTGCCTGGGGTAAGTTTCGAAGCGCCATGGAGATTATACGTATACGTAGTTATACCGTCGTAGTTATACCGTCCAGTAATAGTATAGAGGACGTGGGTTGAGACCGTAGGATTGAATGCAGGGATACAACTTCTCAGAGCAATGATATTCGATCTCGATGAAACGTCTCTATCACCTACGGACCTCCGGCTGCACGAACAGCTGAGCCAGAAGCAACCACTGGTTCTGGAAAATGATCATCTTGCCCGGTGTCCCAGGTTTTGCGTGACCAGGCCCGCTTGTCAAGCCGAGGTTTGGCACTATGCATTGGCAGACCCCACTGCCATTCGGCAATCTCCTATCGGCCGCCCTACGAGCAGGGCCAAAAGGTCCGCGAGTTATTCAAAACCCCAAGCCGCCCCCCATCCCACGCATCCCTTCCTTCTTCGTCGTTTCGATCCATTTCAGCCCTCCCGGCTCCATCGCTCCGCCATCTTGGCGCATGTTATAACTACGAAGCGTGCCGACGTTCCTTCACTCTTCACTCGTTCAACGTGTGCGCGACCTTTTGCCGTCGCCTAGCATTCCTTCCACGTCATTCTCTGCAGGCCAAGAGAATACAGACACGCCGATGACACAGTCTTGACTTATTCCTCCACGACTCCTTCCTATTGACTGTTAGCTCTGTCACCATGGATTATATTCGACCTAATTATGTCTATACTCGGGTGCTCGACAACCTCCCGTGGAAGTCGGGAGACCCCAACGTCAAGGGGGACCCGCGAAAAAGTGTAAAGTGGATCGACGTGAGTCGCCAGATCGCCAGATCGCCAGTAGCAAGATCCCAAGTTCTGACAAGCTCTCCAGGGCCTGCGAGGTATCGCATCGTTTCTAGTGGTGATGACCCATCTGGCTCGTGGATGGGACTATGATCTGTTCGCGCCGCGCGATGACGAGGGCAAGGCCCCTCGCATTCTTCAGTGGCCAATTCTGCGGATTCCGTGGCAGGGACGTCTCGGTGTCACCATCTTCGCCTTCTTGACTGGTTATGTCTGCGCTCTCAAGCCCATCAAACAATCTCGCAACGGCGACATTCTCGGATCTTTCACTTCGGTAGCGAAGAGTGCTTTCCGTCGTCCGCCCCGTCTGATTTTTCCTGCAACCATCGCTCTCATTATTTCTTGGGTTATGGCGCAGTTTGGCGCTTTCATTGTCGCCAACCGGTCTGACTGCTGGTGGTGTCGATATGCGGCGCCCGATCTGGCCGATACTTTCTGGGAAGAATTCCTGCGCCTGTTCGAGAACTTTTTGGGTGTCTGGACGACCGGTTACATGGCATACGACGATCACCAGTGGGCTCTTTTACCTCTGTTGAAGGCTTCGATGCTTGTCTATGTCATGTTATGTATTACTATGTTTGTTAAATTCCGCTGGCGCCTGGCGATTTACGCCGCCATGATCCTCTACTTCCACCAGGATGGCGCGAAGCAAGTTGGTATGTCGATCTTAATGATCAAACCTTGTCTACCTTTATCTCTCCTAACAACGCGCAGAAACCTTCCAAATGCAAGCGATCTACGGCATGTTCCTCAGCGATCTCTCTTACGAAGCCTCGTTCAAACAGTTCATCGACGACCACAAATGGGGCCGCCGCATTTTCTCTGCCACCTTCGCCATCACCGGTCTTTTGATCTGCTCCTATCCCGGAGAGCACCCCGAATGGGCGACCTGGTCCGACCTTATGCACAAGGCTGCTCACTACATCTTCCCGCCGGATGTTAACATCGGACGACGCTACTCAGCCATCGGAGTCGACCTGATCATCGCGGCCATCTACATCTCTCCCTCGACCAAAGAGTTCCTTTCCAGTCGTCTTCTTCTCTGGCTAGGAAAGCAGAGTTTCGCAGTCTACCTAGTCCACGGCACTCTCCTCCGCACCGTTCTTTGCTGGATGCTGTACGGTATCAGCGGTCAGCCGTGGGAGGGTCAACCCGTGGATGGAAATGGAAACCCCCTGCTGGACGAGAACGGCGAGCCGCTTCACCCGAAGTGGATTCCTATCCGGGGCCCGTGGGTTGTGGGAATCTCGATCCCGGCCTGGATTGCGCTCGTGTACGTCTGCGCATCCATGTGGACCGCCTACGTCGACCCCTTCTGCGCGAAACTGACGCAGAAACTGGAAAAGCTCATGTTCCAAGAAGATGAGAAGTCCGAGGCTGCATTGCCTCTCAACAACATGCCCATGAACACTATGCCGATGACTAGCGCATAGTGTGAGCATCTTTTTTAGCCGGAAGGCTCGGCGTCAAGGTTCATGCATTTATTGTATTTTTCTTTGGGATGGTTCTCTACAAGAGTCGTTTTCACGAAGATTCCACGTTTTTGCATCTCTTTCCACATGTACATATTTACAACATCTGTCATTCCTTCGTCAATATTGCATATCTGTCTCGAATCGGACAGCTCCAGACCTGCCTTTCCTGTCAATAATCCGGATCAAACCATCCCTGTCTCAATGACCACATAAAAGGTGCCAAATTACCACCCACCTCGGTAACAATATATCAATAGTAAGCCCCGCCACAATGGTCCATTATTTAGAATGTCTCAGACAGCTCGGTTGGATGGGTCCGCCATACGGGTATGGAGAACGTGCGAGACCCTACCAAAGCGGAGCCATCCGAGCCCGAGAACGAGCACCCGCGCTCGTTCTCTCTTTCTCTTCTGTCCCCACGTTCAAGCTGTATCGGGGCGACCAATTTCGTCCGGGCCTGGCTAAGCGCCCCAGACCGGCTGCCAAGCGTTGGCAGTCTTGGCAAAATGGGCCTTGTTTTTGGTCGATGTATTGTGAATACCTTACCCTCTCCAAGGTAAATAACAGAATCCTAAACCCTGATGAAATTCTGCTGCCTGTTTCCTGCAGGCGAGCGATATGCCCTACCCGTCGACCTGCGAGTCAGGGATTGTGCAGCTGCACATCGTAGCGGTCAATGCATCGTTTCAGCTGCCCTATGAGTCTCGGCATTATCGCGACTTGATTAATCGTGTAGGCCTGCTTGGCAGAGGAGCGGTTATTTGATTTTCGGCGTTTCGCGCGTGGTTGCTTTTCTGGGCGAAGTTCAGGGGATGAAACATTGTCTTTGAATGAGAGTTGCGGTCCGAACCGCTCCCTGTACAGTACGGAGTCCGGAGGTTGACTTCGGTCTATCGGCACCCGATATCGATTGATAAGCGACCGCTACCTCTTGTGCACCGGCTCCACTAGCCATGAGATGTGAGGGTATTCTTCTGGGGCCGCCAAGTTTGGTGTGCCATTGTGGCTTGACAAGAGCCGAGAAATCATGCAGAGTCGGCTTCCAAGCACTGATTCTATTGATAGAAGTCCATCGCATAGCCACATGCCATTCTGCATGATGAAGTAATGATAGTATGTTGATGAAAACACCTTGAGTCAGCCCTATCCGCATAGGTCGTGTCTATGTTTGAGAGCTTCACCTATGTTTTTGAAACTTCCGGGTGTGGATTTAAGGCCACTGATATCACACTATGGACATGGTAACCGCATTTCCAGTTAATAATATGCCGCAATAGTGACAATGTAGTTTATCCGAGAATCAAATATCGGGAAGTAAGATCTTCCGACAAACAGGCTACCCCATAGTAGGTTTCGACTTGACGGAGTCACCTCATTTGTACACAGATACCGGTGCCGCGACAATCTCATAATGAAATGCAACTCGGTAGAGCCTTGCGATACCATCGGTCCAATTTCGATGTTATATCCTGGAGAACCTCAGTAAGACCTCTTATCGCAAGATATATTTCTGTGATGTAGCTGCCGATGGTCTTTTTTCCGGAGCCATCCGAAGTAAATCTAGGATGATCAACCAGGCCACGGTGAAGAGCTGTCGAACCCAACAATAAAGCTTCCTAGTTGCAACAGCCAGATACTTGGGGGGGGGGGTGATTGGTGAGTTATGAATTGGTGTTGTGTGACCGCGTGGGTTTCACTCGAGGCAGATTGCACTGCCGACTTCCAGTTTTTGAGAGCTCCGGCCGGAGGTAGTGTCGCACCGCTGACTATGAATTCATGAATGACATAGTGCACTGTGTCAGATGAAACCTTACCATATCGCTCCTCAGAATCTAGTGCATTGCTCAAGTTCCATGAGCCGACGACTCTTTGCCACAGCTCGTCGAAGTGACTTGGAACGCCCGAACCCCGAGAGTGCAAATGATAGAGCGATAATAACCCCGGCTTGAGATAATCGAGAAAGTCTGCGTGGAAGGCTCTCAAATCTAGAGCTTGACAGAGAACATATAGATGTGACACAGATATCATTGTCACCAAATCAACGCACTCGGCAGCATATCGTGCAGCGATGAGTGCTAGTGAATTGACCGACTGGTTGTTGGTCTCGGCAGCATGGACATGATTCACGACGGAATTCCCGAGGAATGCAAGCTCCAAAAAGTAGGAGGTCATATTGATGTCAACTCCTTTACAAGTGAAGGAGAGACTCGGATCGTCAAGACACAGGTTTGGCGGTAAACCCTTGTTCATGGTAGGATTGATTTATCTCTTGGCATTGTGACACGAGTCGACTACCGCACATTACGACGGCGGACTTTGTTTTCACCATCACAGAGGTAATGGAGCTTGCCTGGAAGTTTCCACATGGTGGAATCGATCGCTTGTCACATCTATCAATGTGTTGTCGGTCGTTGAGTTTAGCTCCGTATTGGCCTGCCGTGAGGCGGCCACGAGGTCTTCGAGGACAGGCCCGATCCATTGAGACGCGGTGCGCAATGCGTATCGGTCTTGCACGAGGCCTGTCTGCTAGAACTGCATTTTGTGACTGAGCTCCGAACCTGCAGGAAGTATCGGACGTTACTCGCTGCCTCGATTTTACCGGGATGAGGCCGACACTGAGCGATGAACTCGTGATAGTTGTCTTCTGTTCCGTATAAGGCTTCGGTTGACATTGCGGTGAGAACTCGAGTGAGAATTGCAAGATTGCTGGCGTCATAAAGTGCCAAAGCTGCGGCGGCGCTTGGTGTTGTGCCATTCATGATCCCTAGTGCCTCCTTGACCTGTAGTCGAACAGGTGTGATGTTGAGATCTTTCAGAGCATCTGAGGCAGAAGCCACTTGCGGCTGCTGATTTGTATCGCGTCCATCTATCTGAACAAATGTGTCTGGATTGCCTTCGATAAGCCCAGCGACATATGCGAGCGGAGACAAATCTCCCGAAGCAGAGATACTGCATCGTAATGGAACAAGAGGAGTAATGCGGCGATTGAGCGCTTCACACGCAGCATATGGCCATTATTCCTCGAGTTATCTCTGGATGTAAGCAGTGGTGGACAGTCTGTAATTCGACACCTAGAGGAAGTATTCCTGCCTGGTGGTACTTCATCAATGCCATTTGTAGTAGCTCGAGCCCATTCGCAGTTTATCTGTCGGCATTTCCGCAGCACCCTGTGTTGCCTAAACAAAATTTGAGTTACCATATATATCCGCTCCCCTTGCCAGATGTCTCTCAGGAGTGGTTATACTGTCCTGGACTCGCTTGACCAAAACCTCCGATCTCAAAGTTGATATCCATGCTAAACATCTTAGAGGCATTATAGCACGATATACAGTCGCAGAGAAGGCCACAGTCACCTGGCAATAGCCACAACATGCGCCAGCCGTAGGGACCCTTCTTCCCCTGTCAAGATGATGCCGTCAGTGGGTATCTTCTCGCTCGTAATGACCTGCCAGTCACTCTTGGTCATGGAAAGGTGGTTGCTCATGGCTTCGGCGGTTTGCCTGCAATTCGAGGGTACACTGGGCTCTGATCGGTATATGGAAAACGGCTCGAGGCCCGGCACAACAATCGAGAATGGATGGAAGGTAGTCCAAAGCAGGGATGGACAAATTTGAGCGAAACAGTTCCCAGAATGTAACAATGGCCGCTGACTGACTATGCGTGTGTTAGTTAATATCGGTCTCTCCGACCGACAAAAATCATGATCTGTCCTGGCCGAAGTTTGAGATAGTTGTGACGGATGAAAGTTGACCACGCCGTGTTAGTGCATCATCTGTCACGCTTGTGTATGCCAATACAGGCTGCAACACGCCATTTCCATCCTCTAAATCAAAGACTTCCAGTTGGGCAGACGAGCCAATGGGCAGACCGTCGTCTTGGAAGCGCTTTTTATGGCGGTGAGGCGATTTTCCCAACTCTGCAGCACAGCGTCCGGGAAGAATTTGCAGCGACGAAACGATCTCGTTCCCAAGACTTGATAACAGTGGAGTAGACAGCAATCAAGGTCTCGGCCGTGAACCTCTAATCCTCAGGAGCAATGAAACTATCGTCATTCTCTTCATTGTCAGATCCCAGATCGGCCAGGTCTAGGCAATCAACATGGCGGTCGAAAAGCTCAACATCTCGGTGTAGACTGCCGAAATCTCGCATCGATTTGGCAGTCTTCCTTGGATTTCCGAAGAAGCTCGATATTGGCAGCAAATTCTTGGATATGAGGAGCAAGCGTTGGTTTGACCAACGACCATATGTGCGAGTACTGGCGCAAACAAATAGGCGAAGTGATTATAGAAGAAACAAGCAAACGTATAGTAGAAGCGGACATTTCATCTAAAATTTAGAGAGGCAAAGCTGGAAGTGAACACGTAGCAGTGCACAGAAAAGCAGTGGCGGTGTAGTAGAACACGAAGCCATATAGGACCACAACCAATCAGAAGAAGACATCAAACAAGAGCGTGGAAAAAGCATGCAGGCAATGAAAGAGTAGATGTAGCAAATAAGGGATTGCGCATGGAGAACAAAAATCACACAGCGTCCGAGTTCGAGAGTAGAGAGCCAGTGAATAAGGACAAAAAGCGCCCGGGCCAAGCCTAAAATGGAAAGCTTAGGAACAGCACTCAGACGAGAGTGTGGGAAAATGACACAGCGAATACGATAAAAGGCATAAAAAAGCTAGCGAATGAAAAACCGGGATTTGGCTAACAGCAATATCATAGAATAAAGTTTTTGACAACAAGGGTATTCCCTGCGCACGAAAGTAAATCCTTCCTCTCACTTCGTTCGTTTCAGGGCACGTAACAGGGTTTCCTCGTTTCATGAATTATTGTAAGTTACCGTATAGCACTGTAGAATGTTCTTGGAAGGGGTCTAGAATGGGAGGGGGAGATCTGGCGATCTGGCTAGATTCCCGCCCCCCTGTCTGTCTTTCCAGTTTCCTTCGCAGCCTTCGACTTCATCTACCTCTTACATGGTAAAGGTTGTGCTGGTGCTGTAAAGTACTAACCTTGGTAGGCTACTATGATTTTCGTTTGTGTTACCCTATGGATTTTGCTAGCCACTGCCGTTCCTATTTGCTAGTGCTTCCCGCGCAAGGCTGGAACCGGAACCGCCCCTGTAAGCTGACGCAGATCTCGATCGTGTGTAGATTTGAGCGACAGCCCATATCACGTTGATTACATCTTCCAGCCACAGGAGCTTGAACCATGGGATCGGGATTCACACCTCTGTGCGCCCTGCCCATCGACCTCCCAGACAAAGGCACCCATCTTTGTGTAGCTCCATCACCTCGAGACTTGCTAAAGAGAATCTGCATAGTTTAGCTGACAACTTCATGATCAAAGGCACGGCCGATTGAGTCCATGGACAAAACCTTTGAACTGGAGGAAAAAGTAGGCTTGAAGCCACGATCAAGTCAGGAGGAGACGAAAGGAAACGAGCCAAGCGGTCAAACAGTTCTAAGGGCTTCGGTTCTGAGATTATCCCTACTGAAAAAGGTCGATAGTCGAGAACATTGCGGAAGCAATACTACATGAATCTACAAGGAATGCCCAATATCTAGAGGAAAGATGTTTGTACTGTAGCTTATAATGTTGATCATGGCCTGTTATGGAGAAGCGCCTCTCACATTCCATTTCACGTCTGCAAGGGATAAGTATATGTGGGACAGTAAGGGGTTAGCACTATAAAAGGAGGGTCGAAATAACCCTACGCTTCGTGAAATTTCTTTGCGACAGACGACTTCGATCACTCAATAAACGCATCGATTCACTACGGACAACTGGACTCGCGAAGCACAGTTTATATCAGAGCACCAGACGTTGACGAACCAAAGACCGCAAATCATGGGAACGTATCAGCCACAAGCACGCCAATATTGGCTCCTGACTTATCCACGCACGAGTTCGAATTTGTTAGTCAAAATTTTGGGTCTGGAAGAACAGCCAAATATTATGCAAGGCCATGTACAAGGTGGCTATTTCTTCTTGCCGGTCATTCAACTGATGATCGAGTTGAATCTTCGCGGCCGAGGCGTTCATGAATGGACCGAAGACGAAAGAAAACAAATGAAGGAATGCTATCAGAGCTGTTTCAACACATTACATCAGCATCTAGAAGATGCTAAGAAGAAAGGGTGCTCAGTTTTCGTGAAGGAACACTGCCATTTTATGGCCCACCCTGCCTCTATGACGAAAGAGCTAAATGGCTTGATCGTGCACGAGGAGCCGTGGACTATTGAGTTCCCTGAGATATATAGCCAACTCACAACGCGCTCGATACAGAATGAAACAGTCCTCCCGGACGGGTTTCTTCGCCAATGGTTACCTACCTTCCTCATCCGGCACCCTGCATTGGCATTTCCGTCCCGCTATCGCGCGTCTTTGGATCTAGATAACGCAGATGGAGACTCGATTGGTGGCGACCAAGGCACGTTAGGCATGACTCTGCATTGGACTCGACTTTTGTATGAGTGGTACAGTCATAACCTCACAGCCGAAGAGGCCTTTATTGACGGGGATGCTACCTGGCCACTCGTTCTAGACGGAGACGACGTGATGGCTAATCAAGGCGTTGTCCTTCGATTCGGCGAAATACTTCAACTCGACACGACAAAGATGCGCTTTTCCTGGAAGCCCGTGCCGGAGGAACAGCGGGCTAAACTGGAGATGCGGCCGAAACGGATGCTATCGACATTGCTTGATTCGGAGGGTATTATAAAGGGCAAGACTGCAGAAAATCTTGATATCGACGTTGAGGTGAAGAAATGGCATAATGAATTTGGTGGGAAGGTAGCTGTCCGACTTGAGGAGTTGGTAAGAGCTGCTATGCCAGACTACGAATTCCTGAAATTGAGGAAACTCAAGGCAAAAATAAGTCTTCCGGCGGTTTGATGGAAGAATTATACTGTACATGTGACTGTACAGTATACAGTATGGCTGGATGGATTTCATTTACCCTGACCCCTCGCAAAATAGTTGATCTCACCACTAGACCAAAAACGAATCCGTTCTCTGCCTATTGGATGAGGTTTATAACCAACTTGTGAAGCGATATGTAGGATACAACTACTGTGTAAATACATGATAATTGATCCACTTGGCTTTTTCCAAGCTTCCTGAACGGTGAACTTTGAGCCTCACCTGGTAATGCCTGTCGTAGCCTCCTTGCCCTTTGAGTCGTTAGGCTGCCTCAACGGCGCGGTTGTGGTATGTAACTTGGCATTCTGCTCTTTAACCTTCTGCAAGGCGGTCTTCTTGGACCATCCTTTAGATATAAGAGCCCTTCTAATGCTGAAAGTCGTCGCTAGCATTCGGGATTAATCCCACAGAAAAATAACCATCTCCTTAAGGTATAGGCCCGGCTTTTACAGCAAATGGGCACAGAGTGCTTCTAGCATCAGCGGTGTTATGCTGCGTCTACGACCGATACGAATTGGGGGCGCATAGAAGTGTCCAAACAGTCGCAAGTTCCTGCGTATATTTTTGACCATTTGTTCGCTGCATTCTGCTGCCTCAGCTATTTGAGAACGGGTTAACGACTCGCCTTTTGATCATATCACTGACCAAAATCAACTTTGACGGGTTGAGTCTGGGTGCCATGTTGAGCGGAAGATTTGAGCAGTTGTCAGAGAGATGCTAAGAAGCAAAATGTCACGGTTGGGAGGGGCAGGAAAGTGCAAGTGTATAGGGATGTCATGTAAAATACATAATTATAGGTAAAGCAATAGTGTCAGGATGAGGAATTGATGTACTGGCTAGACTGAAGATATCCCATAGAATAAGATGATCAATTGAAGGTTGTTGAGATCGGTTGAGCGATCTCAGGGGTCTCCCTTGTTGTACTGTGGCATGTTGTGTAAACCAGATTAGCTGCGATATTTTAAAGTCGAATATCTCAACAACGACAAGCTCTGTCTCGCTTTCATTCTTGATTTACTAATTACCACAGATGTAATAAACCATATGGTAAAATATAGGGCAAATGAGGCAAATATTGTATCCTGATACAGTAAAATACAACAATTTGGAGCGATGTACACTGCAGTTATATATTTTTGAATCACCAACTTCTAAATTTCTTGAGACTTTAAAAACAGACTAGATATATCACAAAGAATATTAGATCATAGGAATACCCTACGATAAACAGTGGTTGGCAGGATATCAAGTGTTAATTTATCGCATTTAATATGGTGTTTTGGGGTGCGCCGCTCGTTCACATTCGGTGCTCGCTTACCGATTACGTTAAAGGCAAATTGGGCGAACGATAAATAAGCCTTTCCCGAAGTGTCCTAGTGGTATTTGACCACCCCCTCGGTTTGTCAAATTCAAATGAATCATCAATTTATGCATCCGAAAACGGAAATTTTTGGCAGAATAATGAATTTGCGGTTCTGGAGTTTCAGAACCGCGAAAATATGAGGTGCGGTGCGCGGTTCCAGGTGTTAGAACCGGAACCGCACCAGGCCGAGGCCTAGTTACCACTACTGTGCAAGGAAAGGGAGTAGACAATGGCACGAGCATGGACAGAAGGCGCAGCATTGCCGAGGATGATGGCGACGATACCGATACAAGACGCATACTTTCCGATCACAGTGATCAATCCCATATAATTCGCCAGGTGACAGAGGTGAGCATTTCATATGAGGAGAAGGGGCGACTCAACAGCGACCGGGGAAAATATGCCTTCCATGCCTCTGATTTTATTCGTCTGGCATTTCTATCAATCTTTTAATCCCGACTGACTCCCTCTTCGGATAATAATTTTGGGAAGAAAAAATTGGCACTTTGGTAGAATAATAGAACAAATGGCAGCAAAAGTGGCAGAGTAATACATAGAGCACAACTTGTGGGAGAGTGGCTCGGAGATTTACTCATGGGTTATTCTTTTAAACCCTTAGGCTAGTCTCTGCTCGTCTTTGACCAAGCTCTGCTCTTTGGTCAATTTAGGGTTCCGAATACAAAGAGCAAAGGCAATCAGCGGAACCGTCAAGCAAATTCCGGTAATGCAGAGCAGGCGCTGAGTCTTCTGGTACGCGACAATTACACTGTCGCGATCGGGCGTTCCCACTGGATTTGCAGCGGCGAAGGTGAATGGATCTGCGTAGACCTGTGCAGCAAGAGTTTCGTTTCCAAGCTGGTGGCCCAACTCCGCGGGAAGGACTTGGTTCCAGATCGCGCCGGAAATAGTGTTGCCGATCGCGCTTCCAATGCTGTAAGAAGCGAGATAGATACTAGTCACGACGGCGAGATCTATATAACGGTTATATTTCGAAGAAATAAGAACTTGGATCCAGTTACGGAGGGATAAGACGTACGTTCGTGTGACAAGGCCACTTGAATGCTTGCTTGGGCCGGGTAAGCAAACAGACCACCCGCTAGTGATTGTTAGCCACAGGGACAGAATCATGTTAGGAAACAATCAACGTACCAAGACCTAGTAGGACCTGACCTCCGATCACTCCAGAATGACTGGATCCGCTGGCACCTCCACGATAGTAAATCAAGATTCCGAATGCAACCAAGAACAGAACTGTGCCTGACACAATAAAAGGCTTCAATTGACGAATCTTCATCACGATGAATCCGAGGGCAACACCAGCTATCACCGATGTAAAGCTGTATAGAGAGGCGATTCTGGTAGCACTGAGCACGGACTCATCGAAACTGACGTAGAGGACGGTATAGAGGAAATCTCCTTGTAGATACCATGCTAAGGGGATGTCAGAGAAGGTAGCTCAGGACACAACATTAGACGATGAAAGGGCATACCAGTATTCAACATGACGGCAATTCCAAGTGCGCCCCAAACAGCGCGATCTTTGAGATGCTGAAGTATGATTAGACTAGATCCCAACTTTGTCAATTGCCAAGTCATGTTGCTCACCTGGAAAGGCAACATTGGATAGCGGCAGGTTTTCTCCCAGTAGATCCAAACGGGGACCAACAGAATTCCAACAACAAGAGGAGCGATCACTTTTGCCGTTTTCCATTGTGCTTTGATTCCACCGGCCAGCGTAAAGGGGACGAGTATACAGGCGAACATGGCAATCATCAATATGAGTCCTATAACGTCGAGATGCCAGAAGAGCTCCGTGATGAGCCGACGACCACCCATTAGCTCGAGAGAGCTCTTGTAAGATCCCAGCCTCCCAGACTTCTTCGCGCGCCGGTGGACGATGAACAGGACGGCGATCAATGGAAGTGAACATACCGGATAGATGATAGCGAACATGCCGATGCCCCACTTCCAAGAGGTTACCGTCAAAACCGCATCCGTGAGATTACCGCTAATCCAGGTGTTGATCTATGATTGGTTTGTGTGAGCATGAACTGTGAATGCGTCGCGATGGTACTCACGATGAAGGGAAGCGCCGGGACGAAAGAGAACAGCAGTCGAGAGCGAGTCGAGGTAACGTCAGCTACCAAGACTTCAAGCAGCAGCATGATGCAGGTGTATCCAATCTGTGTATTTGTCAGATCATGCCTTCCCACATATCATGGTTTCAAGTACTTGATATATCACAGCGCCCGCAGAGAATCCCTCGACGCTCGTCGCAAACGTTTCGATAATGGTCCCGATGGTGTAGAATGCAATGGATACTATGATAAGCTCGACTCGACCAAAAACATCGGCGATTTTGGCAGCAGTTGGCTGAAGGAAGCAGAGAGTAAGCCACTCAGTATCGCAACGAGCCGTATGGAAGCTTTTACCTGAGCTGCAGCTGCAATCACAGAGCGAAGGACCATGATGGTCGCCAGAAGACTATGCCGGTCATAGCTTGCGGTTGCATTCGGCTGTGAGATTGCCTTGGGATCAGTATGCCAAATCTCAAACAACAACAGCAAAGCGCAGGCTAACCTGGTAAACATTGCGAACGATGCCATCCAGACCGTAGACGTAAGCAACGAGGAAAATGCTGCAGAAGAGGAAGATGCGGTCGATGAAGTGGAAATGCGATGCGACAATCTCGATGCGACGAACACCAGGGCTCCCCTCGCCAAGCAGATGCACCTCTGGGGCAGAGGCTGTGTGGTGTTGAACCTCCTTCTCCGAGCTTCGCCCGAGCTGGTCGCCATCGGCGTTCCGTTCAGCGATGTCTGTCATAATGCCCGATCTGAAGTTCGTCGAAGGGCACGTAAACCACAAGGTCAGAATGCGCCAGCGGGGCTCCGGCAAATTTTTGAAGGAGCGGACGAAGAAGGAGAAAGGGCCAAGGCCAAGCCGAAGAAAAAATCATGTACCTCGTGGCGGCGGCAGTCGCGCCCGCGCGCTCCACACTGCCATCTTATCAGATCAGGGAGTCCCCTCTGGATACTTTTACACGTGTGATTAGCGTGCGCCTAGGTCTTCGCCCAGGGACACTAGGCCGGTTCCCTTTGTGGTGCGACCACTTACAGTGCGTCGTTCTTCTCCACCTCGTGTTCTGCCAAGATGGGAATTTCCTGGTCTCGTGTCCAGCTGATTGCTGACTGAGACATTCCGACCGTTGAGAGATTTCATCGTATGATATTTGAGTGAGCATATGAGCGCCGTGCACTGTGCAGGGATGCTAGCTGCTTGGCACAATTTCAGAAGTGAGTCGAAGCTGGTATAGTTAACTAGAGCCGCGCGGATGCCAGCAGCCTCCGGTATTAATTCTGGTCAAACATGTCAAACACCGACGAGGATGTTCGAGGTAATTTTATGGCCTCGTTCATCACGTGAAGTGCAGGGGTACCTCATAAGAAAACAAGCCACAGCCAGGCACAGATATACCCTCACCGCATCCTCACTGAAATCATCTAATCGCGGGCAAAGATGGGATTCCTCAACATACACTGTTCAACGAAATTACTCGCCATGAGTCTTAAATCACTCTATTTATCAAGCCCGCCTTGATTTCATACATGGCTTATCGAGGGGAATGTTTGATCTGCCGGCATGTGCCTCAAGATGGAAATGACTTACGAACTCCACTAAGGAGGACTTACAGGCAGATACCCAATTTGAGCCAATTGCATATGACTTGTCAAAGCCAGTCCGGCTGCGTGGCTTTTTCATTCGGCACTCGTGATATGATTCTTCGTCCGACAAATCCCGATACTGCAAGCATGAAAGACCAAATCGTTTCGAGAATGAGGTTACTGCGAGAACGCTCGTCGCGGCTGTGCTAGACCCTATTTCGAGCCTCACGTTGTGCCCCGCCTGTATGGCTGGACTGTGAGCACACCTAAAAGAGGTGGGCGCCAGCAGGGTTAGATTCTCCAGGAGCTCATGCAAGGTACGCCTCTAGACGAAATCTGGATAACATGGGACTCGAGGAGAAGAAAAATGTCTTTGCACAGATCGCAAAACTGCTTAAAAGCCTACGGGACGTTCCGCTGCCGGCATCTATCACCCAATTCGGGGGACTCGCCTGGGATCACGAGAACAATGTAATCGGTGCACCAATGACGACAACCATCAGTCTAGTGCCTTAGTCCTCATATGAGGCCGCATGCGAAACACGAATCAGGCGAGCTCAAAGATAGCCGACGAGAACCCCTATATACAGGGCTGAGATGCGAATGGCGTTCGCGCTCGACTAGTGGCCTTTACAGAGCGAGGGCTTCCAGTAGCATTTCGAGCCTGTTGAATTGCGCAACAACAAGTTGCTTGTTCATGCAGACCTCAGTAAGTAACTTTCTCTTTCACCCCGTGAATCCAGCCGCTCGTCCTTACAGAACGTTTCCCGCAGCACCTAGCAACATCTTATTCGACACTTCCTCGGGTCGCATCAGAGGTTTAACTGACTACGGCTTCTCGTGCAGTCTCCATCTATCATACGAGTTTCTTCGCTCCTTTAATGGGATTGGAGGTCAGTTTCGCGGCTGGACCGGCATCGTTGGCTGTGACTAATCCCCAAACCCTCTTCCTGAAGACCAGGAAGACGACCAGGATGTTCAATGGAAGGCTGACAAGTCCTGGGAGGACGATCTTGAGAATGCGGGCTGCAAACGCCCCATGAGGATCCCCGGGATCGATAGGGTAGCTGATTTTAATACTCTGCTAAGTACCATCCTACCCTGGCGCGTGACAAACTCGGACATTCTAATGAGGCAAACCGATCAGGTCATTCAAAACTTCTGCGATGACAATGAGAGCTTGCTAATACAAACTCTAGCATCACCACACTACAGATCCTACCCTCGCAATAACCAGACCCGCTAGCAACTATATAATCCAGTTCGGGACTCAGCTTGCTTGTTCACACCCTTATCTTGGTGCATTTTCAAAGTAGCTTGATTACGCGAAAAATTACCATAATTACGCTGCAGTTGATTGAAATGGATTTGAGAGGTGCGGGAATATTACGTGAGTGAAATTCTTTATGAATGCATCACGGGTCGGAACACGCCAACACTCGCACCGACATTACAATGGAAGGTCTCTACTTCCCCTCGCAATGAACACTGCTGAAATCACTGCGATGTGCTCGAAGAAATCCTTACGCATTGGAGGATCTAATGGTTGCCCTTGGATCAGTTTACATTGACATCCATGGATCCTCGCAAGGCTGCCGTTGAGGGCCTCAAATACTCAGCTCCACTGGGAATGGGATTGATTACTGGAATACCTTAAAGCTTACTATTTAGGATTTCTGACCCAACGGTCCACTTTGCAGAGAAACTAAATTTGATCAAATATTGGATAGCCCAATCGATCTGGTCCCTGGGGAGGCTATGTCGGATAGTGCCCCACCGCAGCCTTGTCGCGACGGACAGCAGCTGAAGAAGAGCAGCCTTGCTACGCAGCCCTAAAATCGGAGCCCCTGAAACCGAGCTGAAAAAGATAAATTATAGAAGGAGTCCTTGCGAACTCGTGCAGTCCCCTTCTCCAAGATCTCCAGTCTTGTGTGTCAGAAACCGTCCGCCCTACAATCGAAGGCCTATACAACAGCATCAGCCACTCTGCCGTCCTAGTCGAAATCCTGATTGTCACGATTGATATTGGTCGACCGTTCCGTTCCACCTGTCTTACGAAACTCCATAATGGGCCGACACCATTGCCCGATCAGCGTGCGCGTCCCGCCACACAATCTTTGGACCATGAACGACGTTGTCGCATGGCGCATCAGCAACGAACATTCTGACGAGGCCAAGAAGTGTTGCGGGGCAACAAGCGACATAGTTATATACGAAAAATCCTGCTTCGATTTCTGCAGCGTGGAGACAAATTCGACAGTGGTTGTATCCTGCATGAAGGACGCCGGAATCAGTTCCGCGGTCCATTACCACAATGACTCGTTTAGCACACGCCCGATGTCCAAAAGCGTACTGGGCTTGATTTTCCTATTCGCAACAAGCTTTTTGGTTGGCGGTATATAAGAAGTCCGTTATATCGAGCGTGCAATAATTTGACGTATATATAATGTTTTGACGATTTTTTGGGCGTTTGGAATGGCGGAATGAGCTGTACGACCAACGAGTCATTTGAGTTGCGTATTGTTTCAATGGATGTCGTTGAATTGTGACTATAAACCTTCAGAAAAAGCCTTAAGCATAATCGCAGTCTTGACGCGCCTTCGCAACGCCACGTGGTGGCTGTGACCGCTAATGAGGCGCACGTCTTGGTTGCCACCGACGCGACTGTCGCGACATCGTCTGTTGTCGCACCCACCCTTGGCTCCTGGTCCCCGAGGGAATGTCAAATTATGGAGATATTATCAGGGAGACAGGAAGCCACCAGCCCAGATACCTCATTTACTATAAGTTGGTTCCAGGCGACGCGCTTCACTGTCAGGGGGAACCCTGTCCCGGCAGGGGAGCTGAGAGGAAATTAGCCGGGCTAACTGGGGCTGGCCGGGGGCGATGCGAGACAGACTCGTGCAACTCAATCACCGATGGAGGTGGAGTTTAGCGAAGATGAATTTATAGGTCCAGGTGATTGGAGTGCCTCGGAATTGATGTTGGCATTGCTCCCGGCCCCGTCACGATATCAAGTCCAGTCAACTGCGCGTGGTAACACTTCTTTCAGCTAACTTAAACCCCGTTCTCTTTTCCCACGGGCTTCCTCACTTCACAATCCTGCAGATTATCAATGTCAGCGGCGCAAGCCCCCACGAGTCTTACCTGCCGGGGTTTCATGGGAAAAGCTTCTCGTATGGAGTAATCCTTGCGCCTTGTCAGCATGGCCACGACTTCATATCCCCACACTACGTCACGAATACTACGATAGAAACTGCGAGGCACTGTCTTGAGGCCAATCGCGAGGGGATCGGTAAGCCATAATGAACTTAGCCCCCACGGCCCGCAACGCGCCCGAGGGGCGAAAGCAAACCTTGAGTTCCTACTGGAATTAACTGCCAGCTTGGCAAACATCTGCTCTCTCGACTGCATTGTTTGGTGGGCTCAGAAAATTTTGATGATCGGTTCGGTTGCTCACCAGCGGGCATTGTTTTTGATCCTGTCTCACTCAAGATCGGACATTGAGACAACATAGCCTCAAGTGGCATGATGTACTCAGTTTTGAAGAAGCTCACTGAATTCAGGAAGAATCCAATCAGCTTCTCCTGTCTTCTTATGCGACAAAATCTTGACATTGCTGCCCTGACAGCCGGCATACCAGTTTCGCAGCAGTGGAGACCCCCCCCCCCCCCCCCCTGGACGTTGCCTAAAGAGATTGTAAGGTTGCTTCCCCTTTAAGACACGCCTGAAGAATCCCCAGACACAGCACTGGTCGAAAGAAACCACTAGTCCCATGTTGTTGTCGCCCCTAATAAGATCTAGTGGGCCCGAAGTCAGAACACGAGATTCGACCATGTTTTCTATGAGGCGTGGGGTAACTGTTTCTGCGCGAATGTTGTCTAAACCGTCTCAATAGCCATGGCACTTCAAAAATGTAGTCTACTTGTGGGTTGGGACAGCTCAGACAACATATGGGAAGACAACCTCGAATGACATAGCTTTGTTTGGGGATATCGATGGACTTGGAATGATCGTCACTTGGCGCCTTACAAGCCTCGCTGAGATCTTTGCCGAGTCTTACATGATCTTCATAGATGTATCCTTTTGCATCAGGACGATACAAGGCAGACGACCCGACGCCAAAACAGACCCGGGTACAATATAATCTATTCTTCGTGGGGGCAAGAAGAAAGATATTTAAACCCGTCTCTCGTCCGGAATTTTTGAACTATCTATCGCATCAAGTATCGTCCTACAACGAGGCATCAAACTAAACCAACCACCCTTTATTTATCATGTACACGTACAGTAAACTTTCAGCCCTGCTTCTGGCAGCTATCAACATCCCTTCCGCGCGTGCGGACTCTTGCTACGCCGTGGGATCCCTGAACACAAACTCCGAGGGCTTCGGACCAGGAGGAACAACCTACGCCGGTGGCCAGAGCCTGACTCTCTACAACTCCAATGATGAGATGATCGGGAGCTACGATCTGTGCGATACCTGCAGTGGCGTCTGTTCCGACTTTATCTCGGTCCCGACCGGCAATCTCTCGCAAGTTTTCGAATGGGGTGCGTCTTGCGGCAATGGAAACTTCGAGTACGTAAACCCCTCTCGCCCTAATTATCATAGATAAGCAAAATGCTGATTCGATCGACTTCTAGTGAATGCCACGGTGCTTATGGCGATCAGACTCACATTGAAGGCGAGGAGCCGCAGAGCGGAACTGACTTCTACGGTCTTGGTATCGACGCAACCTCTGAATGTCGGGTCAACTTTGACTGCTAGATACGTCCAATTCGATCCGAAAGGGGATATGCCGGTGCGTCTAGTCGTCATAAATTTGCCATAGGACAGAATCTGGGGGTAGCCATTCCTTGGTCTCTGAGCTGGAATTCATGTATCGAGATTCTTTCGATTGCATTTTTGAACTTTCGAGTCACAGAATAGGCAATATAGTATCAAAATGATATTCACCCTCGCCATAAAGTCAAGAGAGTGAATACAGATAACTTTTGCCAATTTTGTCAGCTCGACCAACAGACATCGAGAAGCACAAATTCAGAATTATCGTCAAGCAGAGAACCAGCAAGGCAAAGAACCACAGCAAGTCCCATTACGAGCACGCAGAGCCCCACCAAAGTCAATATTATGACAATTCCCGTTGGTGAGCCAGACCAGAGCCGTGAATTTGTATGCTCGATCTGTCAACTGGATAAACCTTTCCAACAATTAGTAACAAGAGCTTCCTTGACTGGGACGGCAATTTGATACAACAACATACGGGACTGGACACTTGACACGAGTGCAATTCATAAAACCTCCGTAGAGCGTACCAGCATAGAGGGAGCCAGTGATATAGTCCAGTATAGTTAGCTCTTGATAGATGGTACCTTGGCTGTTAATGTAGTCTGATGCGTTGAGCTGGCCGTACCATGCGCAGGCGGGACCTGCCAGCATAGCTGGGGCGAAAAGCCATGGGAATTTCATCGCGCCAATTTGGCATTTCCCTTTCGGGCACTTCTTTTTGTCGTTGGTCCGGAGTGGGGAAGAGGATTTTATATTCCCGCCTCCGAAATCCCGTCGAGTCAGAGCCCTTCGTCTCAAGGCCGGAGTTGAGTGAAACAGGGTCGAGCTTCCCACCCTCCCCACGAAGTTAAACCAGTCGTGTATCCTCTTAGCCTAGACTTTAGTGCTCAGTATCTGCGCACAGGAAAGGTGTGTGGTTGTGCAAGTGCCCTGAGGATCCTGGAAACGGCAGGATAGATGCCACCGTCGCAACACGTAGGACAAAAATTCCTGATTGCCGATGTCTGCAGGGATTGAGAATATCTGTTAACAAAACCAGAAGAAATGGCACGTATTTGTGAAAATTGGATTAAGAAGACCAGTGTAGTCTACGAGCGCCAGCTTCTAGCGCATGCCAGCGTCTGAGTATTTAATTGACGGAGCGGAACGCAAAGTATCTTAAAACTGAGCTCTATTCCCTAACAAGATGATGTTGCTCATCATCTTGCAGCGAAAACAAGGGGTTCTCTTGCCATGGGTACACCTCATGAGCTTTGAGGCTACTTGGAAGCTTGGACGGAAATAATGGCATGGAGACCACGCCATAAAGAAAGAGGTGGTAGAGAACGTTGTGGAGTCTCATAGTAATGTGGGTTTTTATTCAGTTGGTCCGTCTTCGGATGCCTCAGCTGAGATACACAATGACCAGAAATGTAGCGTAAGGCTGCCAACACCGATTTTGCAAGCGGTCGCATTCTGATCAGGGGCCTACAAACATTGAACCACCACGATTCTTGAGTCCCTCGAAGCCTATTGAAAACTACAAGAAATCGAAGAGAAACGTCAACAACCCGATCTGGCGAATGAAACCATTGAAAGTTCTTATAATTTTCGCGATCGGCACCGCAAACATGCGCATACCGGCCGCCACATGTGACAAATACTGTTGGCCCGCAATCCTTCGGTGACTCAGCGAGCCTTGCATGTCTCGAGCAAAGAAAGTGAGTACTTAGATTCAATCTGACCCCTGTCCACTAGCTCGATCAGATAAATCTTGATTTTGCGCAAATGGCGCCTCACCCGGGTGGCGGTCTTCCGAATTGCAACAGTCGGATAACACCGGGCGCCTTTTACATTTGCCCCAAGATTTCATTTATGTGTGTTTCGGGCAGCGGTCCAATCAGCCGTGGCTGTGCGATTGATATTCATCTGATAACCCTTTCTGGAAGGTCCGATTACGGGAGTCCCCGAAGAGGTCAAGGGACGGTCGGATCGGAGGGGCTAGCATGAGGTGCATGAGCAGCGGAGTGAAGGGAATCATGAAGCTGGACCCTGCATCAGGGTCCCTGAAATGGTGAATGCTGTGCTGGTGCTGTGTTGGATTTTGTTTGACCCGAGATCGGAGACTCTCTTGCTGAGCAGGATCCGTTGTCAAGCTGATTAACAGTGCCGAAGTGGCTCCTGATCCCAAAATCGCACCTCGGGACGGGCAAATCCACTCAAATTATCTGATCTCGCCGCGCTCAGGCAAGGCTCGGCCGCGGGCGAAGCAATGAGGTGAATTCAAAGAAGTGGACCCAAGCCGAGCCAAGCGCGATTTAGGGGGGAACCCTGCACAAGGCGTAGAAAAATCAGATCGATTCCTGCTTCTCTGTCGGCGTTTTGATCGTTCCTCTGCTGCTGCTCCTGCTGCTTGTTGGCCTGATAGATCCAAGTTCAAGTTGAACCGGCGCAAGGGACATCCTTCAGAAGCCTCTGGAAACTGATCGGCGCACACAGGATCGCCCATTTCGAACCTTAGGCGCAAACATGAGTAACCGCGGTATTCTCCGAAGCCGCACAGCGATGAGTCGCTGGCCGTGGTCACGGTCAAAGAAGGAAGATGTGGCAGCTGAGGGCGACGGGGAGGCGCAACTATCGGGGAATGAGCGCAGTGAGAAGGAAGCCACCACACACCCCGCAGACAGTGTTGCCGCGCCGCCCCCACGTTACGCGGAAGGTCCTGAAGCAAAAGATGAGATGGAAGCAATCACAAACCCAGAAGGCGTCAACTTGAATGCCAAGCGGGGTTTGCAAAAAGCCGAGGCGGCGGCCCTGGTCTGGGGGAAGAAGACGGTCTACGGTCTTTTAGCCTGGTAAGTGAAGTTGCAAACGCTGCACACCAGACAGCTCAGCATTCGACTGTTACTATAGTTGAATATCTTGACTGACACAATACCACAGGGTCTGGGTCTGCTACATGATACTCGCCCTGCACCAACTGATATTGTCAAATATCACACCATATGTGTATTCCAACCTCAAGACTGCGCCCCAAATCACCAACGCCTACATCATCTCCAGCATCATCGGCGGTGTTTTGAAACTGCCTCTGGCCAAGACCCTGAATCTCTGGGGTCGTGCCGAAGGCTTATGTGTCTCTTTACTCACCTATCTACTGGGAATGATCATTTTGGCTGCGGCTCCAAATCCCACAGCATACGCTACCGGCTACACGATATATTTCATCGGATACGATTGCATCTATCTAAATTTGCAGATCTTCGTCGCCGATACCACTGGACTACGCAATCGGGCATGGGCCTTGGCCTTTTCGCAAACGCCCTTCATCTGCACGGCCTTTACAGGTCCCTTGGCTGTCAATTCATTTTTGAAAACATCTGGATGGCGCTGGGCATTTGGTGTGTTTGCGATTGTGACGCCATTTGTCTTTGGACCTCTTGCGATTGTCTTCAAGTATTACGAGAAGCAGGCTGAGAAACTTGGGTACTACCAGAAGCAGTCGAGTGGTCGGACCGTTGGTCAAAGCATCATTCATTATCTTTACGAATTTGATGGTGAGTTGACGCCCCTGGCAAATTGACCTGAGAATTGCCGTACATATACTGACCATGAGAAAAGTCATTGGAGCTTTTCTACTCATGGCTGCCTTTGTTCTCTTCCTACTGCCATTCAGCCTGATCACCAATGGAAAGTCCAGCTACGACAGTGCACTCTTCATCGCGATGGTTGTGATCGGTTTCATGCTCTTCTTCGTTTTTGCAGCTTGGGAGCGATGGGGTACCCGAGCCCATTTTATCCCCTGGTACCTACTCAAAAATTCCTCCGTCTTGGGTGCCTGCCTGCTGTCGATGCTCTTATTCTTTAGCTTCGACCTTTGGGACACCTATTTCCTCCAGTTTCTCTACGTTGTGTACGACCTCGACTTTACGCAGGCAGGGTATATCTATAACATCTACACGATCGGCTCCTGCTTTTGGTCTGTTCCAGTTGGTATCTTCATCTACATCACGAAGCGGTTCAAATACCTCTGTCTGTTTTTCGGTTTGCCGCTCATGATGCTCGGTTCGGGTCTGTTGATCTATTTCCGCGGCAACGATCAATCAATCGGCTACATCATCATGTGTCAGATTTTCATCGCGTTTGCAGGCGGTACCTTGGTGATTGGCGAGGACATGGCTGTCATGGCAGGTGGTGATCGCGAGGGCATTCCCATGACGCTCTCCTTGATCATGCTGTTCTCCAGCATTGGCGGAGCCATCGGTCAGGCCGTGTGCGCTGCCGTTTACAACAACACATTCGTCGACGCCCTCCGAAACGCTCTTCCGGATGACATGAAATCACAAGCCGAATCCCTCAACATCAAAGGCTATCTAGCACAGATCAAGTATCCCTCTGGAAGCCCGATCCGGGAAGCGTGTGCTTACGCCTGGGGCTGGTCGCAGCGACAGAATGCGATTGCTTCCACGGCCCTGCTGGTTCTGGCTATTCCTTGTATCATGATGTGGAAGAACTTCAACGTGGACAAGAAGCAGAACAAGGGTAATGTTCTCTAGGCATCTCGCAGCAGTGTCATGCCCTGGGGAGTCGAGGGGGATAACACCGCGACCATGGAGGAAGGACAGCCTTGTGCACAGTTGCATATACTGTCAATAGATCATGTGAATATGAGAAATCTCCGTTCATCGCATTACGGGACGATTTAATAAATGATAAAAACCCCTTTAGTATAATTTGGAATTCGAAATTTGTCACCAGCGATTCGTGTTAGCATTCCCACCATCCCGGCGAAGAAACCTCCCAGACTAGGAGAGATACACTGCGAACAAATTTACCAACAATAAATTGTTCGCATTTGAAAACTTGCAGGACATAATCACATCATATCTCGAACCAACAATGGCCACCCGAGGGTTCCGAAGCGGGACTGGGGGAGTGGCGAGCGGCAACAACTCAATCAATTGCGATTTCAAGTGAATGACGATGCACATTGATTCGAACGGACGATCCCGACAACCTGGCTTTGATATTAAAAACGCTCTGCGGGTTAACCAAGCGATTTAGTTCGACGAAGAAGCTCGACTCTCATGATTCAGCCGTGGTTCGCTTCAGGCAGATTTCCAACGCCTCCGCATCGACGGGTAAATCGGCCCCATCATCATTCTGATCAAAATACAGCCTCCAGATCCCCTGCGCATCATCCACCCCTAGATCGCGCTGGATCCTCGTCTCATCACCCGGGACTCGCACGGCCAGCCACCCTTCCCACCCTTCCAGTAAGACCTGCGCTTCATCCTTCGTCCAGTCGAAAGGACCACATAGATTGCCTTGGCTCTCTTGGCGTCCACCCCATCGCACTTCATGAGTATTTGCATCGACATAAAACCATCGTAATACTGGAGGATTTTCACAGGAAACAGTCACGAAGCCTGATGTATTGTCCGGGGGGAAGTCAGGGTGCTTGAAGAAGCCACCGTTGAACAAGGTCAGGCCCGAGGACGGGTGTTTGGTGATGTAAACCTGGAAGCATTTAACAACTACACTGTATTAGAGATCGTGGATCAGGCCGTGAGCGTACCTTCCCGTCTTTCCCGAGGTATACTTGGGCGTTGTGCACTTGCCGTCTCTGGTCCTGTGTCCCTGCGAACAGACCACATGTAGCTGTCAGGTGGGAACGCTGTGTTCGTGCATGTTCTCGTCTGTTCTCTTCACGGTCGCGGGTGCTTTTCGAGGCTTCGTTCATGCCAACCATCGTCGGCAGCATCGCCGTCATCATGACCACGCCCAATACCATGTTGTGTGCTTGCTCGAAAGGAATGTCGGGTTTATCGCGGGAGATCTCGGCGATCTTAAGCCATTGGAGCAGATTCGAGAGTTCTCGGGCCGTATTGTCTGACGTCGAGTTTCCAGCTTTCGGAATCAGCGCAAGTCGTCATAGGGTGGGTGATGCGAGATCTGAGAAGGGGATCCAAACAAAGGATGACCTTGGTGCTCGCAACCTTGGTACGCTTAGTTTCCGCATGCGGGAGCTTGACTCGAATATAATTCAGACACTTTCAGAAGCTCTTGAAAGGCTCTGCATCGCACCTTTATCCTCAGATTCAAATGTTCATTCTCGAAGCCGGCCACAATGAGCGATCCCACGCCCGCATTGAGGTACATCCAAACACACCTCACCTTCTCCGCAATACTCTTCCTCCTCTACATCCAACAACACCTCTTCCAGAATATCATACAGGCTAACTCGAATCTTGCTGCGCCTAGTAACGCACCCGTCGCCTTCGGCAAAGGGAACCGCAAGGGCCGCCAAAACTCACAAGACTCTTCGTCGAGCGCCGATCCCATCGATAGGCTTGTAGACCCTCAAACACTGGCAAGCGGAGAGGGTGAACTCATCGGACCGTCTGCTGCCCGGATCCTGGACCGCAAGAAGAGGGAAGAAGATGAAGAAAAGGACAAGGACAGTTTGAATATCAAGATTCACCTTGACTTGCATGCTAAGGTTCGGCTGGATTTGGAGGCGGATGTTTATGGTGATGTGGTTATTGGACTTCTGTGAGCTCGGAACTCAAAATCCAATCGTAATGAATACAGGAGATAATTAAATGAAATGAATTGGCTTATCTTTGTTGAAATTCCTCGGTATGGCGGTGAATTACGGCCTGGGGCACCCAACTCCACGCAAACAAAAGAGACAATGTCAAATTGGAGCAATGTTGTAGTGTTGACGGCTAATCTCAATACGTACAGCTCTAAAGGGACAACTTTGATGAAGCTCGAAATAGCAGAGGAGCTTGCGTATTCGGGGCGAGAGTTCCTGCCCCCATCATCGACCGGATATCGTGCGGCCCCGTTGCTCGATGACCCGACTGTCTGGTCCTCTTTGATTACCGCGACCTTACCACAAAAACAAGATGTGAATGGAAAAAGGAAAGACGAGGGAGAAGAGCGCAAAGGGGAAGAGGGGTTTTTATACGACAATCTGCCTCTAGACCACACGCTCCCATGAGCGCTGACAGGTCGGGCAACACTGTTACACGGCGCTCTCAGCCTCTCAGCCCTCAGCCGTTCGTCTTAAAATCCCACCTTCAACTCTCCACCTTCAGTCGTCGGCCCTTGAACTGGGCGACATGGGCATGGCGGAATGATGATGACGAGGAAGTCTACTTCGCCAAGATTTGGTTCGGCCCCGGAAAAAGAAATACAGTACCGAAGCTGAATGCACGAGGCCAAATTGTCTCACAAATCCTTTGAGATGGCAGCATACTTACGAGATTCGTGTTTTAGCGTGAGATAAACGACTTGCTTGCTGTCCGACAGATGCGCATATATATCAAGACCACGAGACAGGCGAGATTCACTCCAGTTAAAGCCGGGTATCCAATACGAGGTGAGCATACGCCGATGGACCAACAGGCTAGCGCGGCTTGGCTTCATGTCGTGCTATTCCAAGCCGAGGCTCCATCTGCCCGGAAGATTGCTGCATCGTTATCTTAGTCTCCTCCGCTCCATCCCCTGGCGAACTTCGGCTGTACACATGGGGCCATCGCCTTGAAGAAACTGGCCTTTGGGTATTTCGCAGGAAATGAATGGAGCTATGTGACAATTGCAGACAGCTCGATGTAGTTCTGCTTCTCATGACATCAGCGAGTGACCAACAGCGGTTAAGGAGCTTCTAGACGAAGTGAATCACAATTCCACACCACTTAGAGTTTCAAGAAATCCACTGCGAACCATACGAACACTATCAGAGTTCAGAAGAGCTGAGATCATTATCAGAATTCTCGACTTCCAGCGAAATGATTGCTCACATCAACAAGCTTTGGATGCGTCTTCATCACCAGCTTTGTGGCGGCATGCGCGGATAATCACTTGGCAAAATTGTACCATCTCATTCAAAGAACACATCAGATAACATCTCAATGCGAGCGCGATCTACTAGTGTGATGGAAAATCTCTCATCGAGAGCTGCGATGTCAACATCGAGCCCAAAGCTTAATTGATTCAAAGGCGAGATTCCACAAGTCGCCGATCATCTCACGCAGAGGCATTTTGCGCACGCTGGCTGGCTGGCGGCGACTTGACACGAAGCTCGGCGCAGGTTTCGGGGGCCAAAAAGCCCCACGAGTTGGGCGATGGACGGTTCCTGGCGCGCAAATCGATCGTTCAACTGGTTCCCCTTTTTGGAATCACGCCATTTGCCCTAAGCAATTGTCATCCAGCACAGACATCGCGAATCTCGAAGAGGACCACATCGATCTTGTAAAATGAGAGCGATGTCCCCTGCCGACGTGGGTCGCGGATTTGGAAGACGATATTTTGTTTGCAGTCTCAATGGGCTGAGTTTGCTCCTATCTAGGACTGTACCTCGATTCTGTTGTGGAGGTGGAGCCACAACCCTCATCATGCCATCGTCACTCTCTCAAGACCAGCTGGATATGATTAGTGTCGCTGGGCGAGTGACTTCAGTTCTTTCAATACTTGGATCAGCAACGATTGTCGGGGCTTTTATTTTATCTCGCCATTTTCGAAGCCCTATACACCGCATCATCTTTTTCAATGCCTTCTACAACTTGTTCGATTCTGTCGCGACGATGATCTCGATCAGTGGGCCCGATGCGGGGGATACCTCATCACTTTGCCAATTCCAAGGCTTCGCACTCCAAATGTATGTCTGCTCGTTCGTTATTCTGAGATTTATAAGTGGAGGGAGGACCTCGATTTAATCCTTGCTTTTCTACAGGTTTCCGATCGCCGACGTACTCTGGACATTCGCCATGGCCTTGGATACATATCTTGTTGTCTTCCATCGATTCGACACGCACTCCTTGCAAAAGCTTGAAAGATGGTACCTGTCATTGATTACAGTACTCACATTTATTCCCGCCTTAGTGTTCCTCTTCATCCACACGCCCGCCAAGGGCCCGATCTATGGTAGTGAAACCGTAAGAGCACCGACCTTTACGACAGGTATTGGAAGGTCAAGAGCTAACATTTATTGTTAAGATATGGTGCTCAATTTCGCCGAACTGGATGCTCATTCGAATTGTTCTCTACTACGGTCCTGTTTGGTACGTGTTATGAGATGCTGGCAAACAGAGAAATGACTAACATCTCTCACAGGCTCGTCATCAGCGTTGTCTTAATCTTCTATTTCCTCATCGGCGTCGAGATATCCCGACTCCGAGACGAATTCAAACTGACCGAAGACGACCATATCGCACTCACTTCCAACCTCTCCTCCCAAGCCCCCGCCTTCGAAAACCCGACCGGCACAGTCACTACAACCGTCGAAGCCACGAAACCGAAGATGACACAGACGTCCGACGTTCGAGTGACCAGCGAGACATCCGTTGAACATATAATCACTCCCCGCCTCGCGTCATCGAAGCAATTTCCTATAAATTACAATGCACCCACACAGCGGCGCATGTCATTTAAGCAATACGTCCTTATGCCCTCGTTATTCTTCCTGGCTCTGTTAGCGACTTGGGTGGCGCCGACCATCAATCGTGTTTCGGCTTTTATTCGCCCTGGCTACGAGTCATATCCCCTTCTGTTGGCCGTTAGTGCGTTGGGGTCCCTCCGGGGATTCTGGAATGGAGTGATATTTATCACTATGGGGATGAAGGGGTGGAAGAGGCGCTCCAGGGAAAGGAGGATACATAATAAGGTAAGAGGCCCTACACATACTGGCCGTGTTCGGTCGTTCGCTGACTTTATTGCAGGCTCGTTGTGGCATCAGATAGTATTGCTGATCCTTTTACGATACAAACAAATATCATTGACATACGACTTCAGATTTTCGCTTTCATATACAGTATTCCACCCACGAGTACTTTTCCTCAAGACAATCTACTGAAGTGCGTATTGCGAGCCTGTGCTAATATCTGGACCAGCGGACTCCATTAACCAGAGCTCCGGATTTGGTATTGCTATTCAGAAACCCCCCTCGACATGGGACATATCAACGCTTGACCCCTGACTAGCAACCAAAAGCTTTGCCTCATCACCTGGATTTCTTTTCACAGTTTCAATATTCTCCTCCGTCCTCCTTCCTTCTTCCTTCATCTCGCCACTCCGACTCAACTTTCTTGTCTTGCACTGCTTTCCATCATCGATTATCTCCTCCCACGTAAGGCTGAGGTTCAAAGCACCTTGACCATCGACCTGAACCATCGACTTGGCCAAATCCTTCTCGGAAGGCGTTATGCAAGGTATCCCAGACTACTGGTGGTACGAAATCGCCGCAGAAGAGGGAAGAAGCAAGGATGATGCCGCGTTGATCTACCGGAGGTACGAGCCCAATCATGGTCTTCACCATTCAAATCTCTCTTCTAACTATATTATCTTTCTGCATGACTCAGTTTCTTCATGTCCAATTCTAGCTACCAGCTTGAAGCCTTACTGACAATGAACCTTGCAGATTCTTCAAAGTGGAAATTCTTCGGACTTTACAATACACTTCAAATATCACGTATTTCTAGTTCATCGCGCGATCTTAGCCACATGATCGACCTTCTTTGACCGAATGCCCAACTCTATATTCAGAGTATATTTCCTTTTTCCACCTTATGTGAGCGATAGCTGATGTTGATTGTCATTTGCATGAAGCCCTCTCGGGGGAAGCGCGACTTGACGAGCGGAACCCCGTTGTGGTGTCACATATGCTGGCTTTCCTCTATGCGGAGGAGTATGGCTTGCTGGAATTCCTCTTAATGAGACATCCAGCGGATGAAGGGCCAGTCATATTCTTCGGAACAGCCGAATCCTGTTCTACATCAGGGTGTTCGAGGCTGGGAACTACTTCAGAAACGACGTCTTTTGCTACCGTGCGACGCAAAATTACAGTAGCACACTGGAAGCATTTTTCTGCACCCCGAACATTCTTAAGACCGCAAGCAGAGAGGTAGATGTAATGGGTGAATTCACCCGCTATTCACCGCGCGGCGATCGAAGGGTATGGATCTGTTCCCATATTCTCTGACAGAGCACATTATCTAACCACTTCTTCGACACAGCCTCTGCAAGACAAAATTTCGCCGATTGTACGGTCATATGGGAATCACAATCGTTCAAGGCCCATAAGGCCATTCTGGCAGCCCGATCACCATACTTTGAGGGAGTGTTTCGCTCGAAACTGGAGGTATTTACCTTGTCATATCTCCGTTAGCAGGTAGCAACTAACAGTTAAAATATATGATAGGGAACCCAGTCAAATCATGTGGAGCTCGACAGCCGGAACCCAATCGCGATTGAGCAGATGCTAGAGTGTATTGATACTGTCAAGTATACAGGTTTCATGTCCATCCAGATCCACTTCTTGACCCCAGGCAGTCGGACTATACGCCCCTGGAGGGCCCGGAGGGGGTAAATGAGCTTGAAATCGCTTCAAGCGTTGCTGTTCCAAGCTGGAGACTACTTCAGATTGGATGATCTTTGCGCCGACTCTCTCTTTGGTTTCCAACATCTGGTATCCGCGAAAGGTGCCCGGCTTTGCGTTTGAATAATTCCCTCAACTGATCGAAAGCGATCGCAAGAGTTACTTGGCATGGAAGGGAAACAAGGATCCTTGAACCACTTCCCTTGCATGGAAAGGGCTGAGTCGCTTGACGTTTATGTATCAGAGCTGGGTGAAGATTTTTCCGTTTTCCTGTTTGGCATCTACCGGGTCGTCTGAACAGCCATCTTCCCGGTCCTCTGCCCAAATCTGGTTCTCATTCTACGTCTTAGGGTCTGCCTAGGAATCTAGAAGTTGCAAATTTTCTCAATTGAAAACTTAGAGGAGTCATCAAAAATATGTGAGTCTTATGTGAGTGGCTCCCAAGCACCGGCTCTCGCCCGTGTATACAAGGTAAGTAGGGATAGGCAGGCGATCCGCGTCCTCATTCCAGAGATCAGGAGGAATGGAAAGCGAATCTCTCATGAACGTAGTAGATATAACCGGGCCATAGCTATGTCTTACCGTGGATGTATGCGTGCTAAACTGAAGATCTATTTTGATGTACTGCATTGGAATCGGCCTTCTCTCCGGTGCAGCGCTGTACATCTCCGACGCGGATAAAACAAGCGGAGAAGGTCGGACGTCACGGGGGTATTTATATAAGGCGGAGACTCCTGTTTTTATCTTGACTAATTCTGCAGGAATTACTATCTCTCATAATGGCTTCCAAACCAACAATCCTCCACATCGGCGACCCGATCAAGTATAACCACGACTTCTACAACAATGAATTCTGCGCCCGTTTCAACGTCATCCGAGCAACAGAAACAAATCGAGCAGAATTCATCGAGGCAATGAGGTCTAATAAGTAAAATGCCATCGCACCTAGCATGCACTGCGCACCCGCTGACGAAGTTCCAGATACGGCAACTTCTCAGGCATCTTCCGCCCGCACTTCCAAACAGGCGGCTTCATGGGCCAATGGGACTCCGAACTGATCCCTCTCCTACCAGAAAGCGTACGAATTTTCGCCTCTGCAGGCGCAGGCTTCAACTGGGCAGATGTCGACATCCTTGGCCAGCGCAAGATTTGGTACACCAATGGGGCCGGGGCTTCCGACGAAGCCGTCTCTGACACAGCCCTATACATGATTCTCAGCGTTTTCCGCAACTTCACGCATTCGCAGCTTGCAGCTCGAACAGCTGACCCGGAAATATTCACGGCAACGCATAAGCTTATTGCGACAATCTCGAAGAATCCGCGTGGTCATGTTCTTGGCATCGTTGGGTTTGGCAATATCAGCAAGAAACTTGCGTATAAGGCTCGTATGGCGCTGGGGATGAAGATTCATTATTTTGATATTGTGAGGGCTTCTTCTTCTGAGGAGGCGGCGCTTGATGCGGTTTATCATGAGTCTTTAGATGCGCTGTTGAAGGTCGCTGATTGTGTGACGCTACATACGCCGTTGAATAAACACACTGAGGATCTGATTAATGCAAGGGCTTTGGCATTGATGAAGCCTGGAAGTCGCATTGTCAATACTGCGCGAGGACCGATTGTGAATGAGGATGAGTTGATCGAGGCGCTGGAGAGTGGTCATCTCTCTGCGGCTGCGCTGGATGTGCATTACTATGAGCCGCAGGTTTCTCCTAAATTGGCCAGCATGGAGAATGTCACTTTGACGACTCATATTGGAGGTGGTGCGATTGATACGCGGATCAACTTTGAGTTGAATGCTATGAAGAATATTCTGGCAGTGGTGGGTCCAGACGGTGGATTCGCCGGGGCTCCTTTAACTCCTGTCAATACGAAGGCTTTCGAGAGTGTAGCCTAGAAGGCCATTTTCTGTGATGCTATGTATTTATTGATATATGAACAAGTTCATTGTAGTTAACAAGATCATGACCGCCGCGATAGAATCCGAGGCCTTCTATTTAGAAGACTGCCAGGCCCGAATGTAAACAGGCAGGTTCAGCAGGAATTCGGTCCGCTTAGGAGTCCAGCCAAGCACGGTCTTAGCCCGAGATGCATCGCCCTTGCTGGATATACTTAATGCTTCCAGAAATGGGTTCCCGATCGAACCAATATACTCAATCGGGGCATGAATTTGGAAAACAGTCTTGGAATTCTCCATGATCTCCACGAGAGAAATAGTCTCAGTCAGCACATCAAAGACAGGCCACGAACCAAGCTGACCATCAAGACGATCTATAGCAGCATGGTAGACAGAGGCCACATCATCAACGTGCACAACTCCCGCTCGAGCCGAGATGTCCGCGGGTATTTTCACCACCGAGTCACTTCCAGTTTTCGCTGCTTCAGCGAGAGGTCCCCACCAGCTATCAAAGACCCAAGATCCTCGTCCGTAAATTATATAGGGTCTCATGATAGCGACATTCAAGTGGTCCCGCGCAGCAAGAATCGCCTGTTCGTGCGCAGGGCGCCATGCAACAACGGTAGCAGGCTCATCCTGGGCCAGTACATTGCCAACGGGGGCAAGATCATTCAGTCGTACACCTGGCGATCCATGGACCCAGGCCCCCGACGTGTAAACGAATCCGATCTTGGGACCGACGGCGCCCTCTTTCGCAAGGGCCTCTTTGCGGGTGGTGGCGGCTGAAATCACACCCCGGAGGATCTCACCCGCATGTTCATACGCGGAACTAGTGTCGACAACGACATCGATGGAGTTGGTGAGGATTATGTTCTGCAGTTGCTCGGCGTCGGCGATTTCAGCTTCGACAGGAGTGATTTCGTTGGTGGCGAGCAGTTTCGCTTTCTCGACGCTGCGTGCAGTTCCCCAGACAATGTGGGTACCGGACTGCACAAGAGATCGCCCAAGTGCCAGGCCGAGGTATCCAGAGCCGCCGAGGATGAGGATGTTGGGCATGGTGAGATCGTCTGGTGGGTAAAAGATCTGACGGGGTTGATAGAGATAGAATCAAATGAGCCTTTGTGCGGGTTCTGTCTAAACTCGGCATCGAGTCGCATTTATGTGAATTATCTGGGACCGCGTTCAAATGCCTTTCGGTCAATTATCTTCGATCTTCTGTACCCAAAACGTGGCTGTCTGAGATCAGGTCATAGATTTGTCAGTGGGTGTGTATTCGGGGCCTCAAACGCAGCGAATTCGGGCGATGGATTCCATAAGCAAGCTCATTGAACTCAGAATCTGACTGGAGCCTGCATAGATTCATCTGATCGTTACGGAGACCGAAGATGTAGAAGTCCGAATCAGTCGTAGGAGTGCCGCTGAAACAGTCCGGAGATCGAGCAAGCCCGCCGCAGCCCGCAAAAGTGGGTCCGCCGCCCGTCGGCTTTAAATCAGAAGTCCGACCAGCGCCTTCTTGCATACAACTAACCAGCTATTATTGTTTTGCATTCGGCTTTGACGTCCTTCGGGCTTGGCTGATGCTCGGGGATGCCACTTTCAGACGCGGTCGGCCCGAAGCTGTCTACTAGTATGCTTGGATTGGAAATGACGACTTGTGGCGCGGACGGCTAGAAGAGCGTTTTATTTTGATCATGGCATATGCTATCGCCATCATGCCTTGAATGTTATTTTTGTTTAGTTACCCTCCTTCGCATCAGGGGCCGTTCCTTCATCTTCCGACTCGACGGCAGCGAGAACATCCTTCTGAGAGTTGTCCACCTTCTGACGGGAAGAATCCTTCGGGCTTTCAGTGTCGGCAGTGGGCGCAGCGACAAGTTTGGCCGCCTCGATACCACCGGAGGTAACATAGAGGAAGAATTCTTGCGGGAAATGATCAATGTGGTTGAAGAAATTGCCGAACCTAGAATATCTCATGTCAGTCAAATCACGAAAGTTAGGGTGTCCGCTAGACACTTACGCCGCAGTCTCCTCTTCCTCGCGGAAAATCCGGTCATAGATTTCCCGCTGTTTGAACTCGTTCATGGCCGTGGCATACTTGTCGAAGTTAATGGGCTCACGACCCAGGCCCACGGCTTTGGTGTTGTAGTTTTCGAAGATGGGACGCTCGAGCAACAGACCCAGACCAGGGGCCTTGGGAATGGCAATACGTTCAGGGCCATAGCTATCATTGATCCGGTCAGGTGTACAACCAGCACGAACAACAAGGGTCGACATGGCGACCATCTTTCGGATCTGGTGCATCATGAAACTCTGGCCGTGGACCTTTAGGCTGAGCCACTCAGTTCCGTTGATGACCACGGGCTCTGGGTTCACCTTGAAAGACTTGATGTGACGCTTGGCAGATGGATCCTTGAAAGTCTTCTGGATGGTGTAGTTGTGGTAGTTCTTGGTGCCTTCGTAACGGCTCAGGCACTCTTGCAGACGTGTAATGCGGGCCTGAGGAACGCGATAGGCTCTCCTGGCCTTGATATAAGCCGCCTTGATAGCCTTGGTGGTGTCGCTGATCAGCTTCTGTCGGGGACCCATCTGGAAGGGCTTATTTTCGTCGGCCGCTTGGTCCTGTGCTGGTTCTTCGACGTTTTCAGGCTCAGGCGCAGGCGCAGGGGCTTCAGATGCGTTTTCGGGGTCTATCTCACCCTGCGCCGGATCGTACCAATAGAGAGCCTTTTCCACAATGGCGCGGATGTCCTCCGGAACACCATCCAGAATGGGCTTGATGTAGGTCTTATCCACCTCCTCCCAAAAGCCGGCGACCTCTTCCTGTCGCGCCTTGACGACATCCAGTTCACCCGTCTTCTCGGCCAATTCCACAATCTTCCGGCCGAGATGGGTACTGGGATGAGGGGGCAGAAGGCAGTGACTTGGCATCAGGTATTCGTAAACGCGGGAGTCACACAGCTGGTAGCAGCTGAAGCCGCTAGTAGTCTGTTCGATACCCCACACACGGATCTGGGGGCTCAGCTTCTCGTTGATCTTGTCGACAATATCGGGGTCCTCCATAATCATTTTCAATGACACGACATTTCCTGCGGCATGCACACCCTTATCCGTCCGAGCGCAGCGAACAAACGACGACTTCTTGGGGTCCTCAGCATTAGCTTTCGAGATGGCGCCGGCAGCGACCAGAGCAGCGAACAGGTCACCCTCGATGGTCTTTTGGTTCTCGTTTCTGTCAAACTCCTGTCAGATTTCCAGTCACAACCTTTGTTTCCCACGCATAATGAAAGGAATGTGGACATACAATTGCATGCCAAAGTATCCAGTGCCAGAGTATCCCATCAAGATGGCCGCCTTCTTCTTAGGACGACGCGCTTCGCCCTCGATTTCCTCCTTTGAGAACTGGGTCGCGTAGATTGGGGCTGTAAGCTCCTCGCCATTCTCAATCTTGCGACGCTTGGCCTCGTTCTGTCGCTCTTGCCGCTCGCGTTTATCTATCGCTTGCCGGCTTCCTTGGTTAGCCGCTGTCCCGGACGGCACTGTAGAGCAATTGAGACTTACCTGAAGGCAGCCCTTCCCATATCGCGGTTCTGACGCCTTCCACGACCTCGGCCTCCTCCGCCTTGGTTGTCGGCCATGTTATGCGACTGAAGATCTCCGCAAGCTCGGGGCGAGTGAAACGGGTTCCGAAGGATCGGACTGGTGGGCGCGAAGATGATCGAGCGGTGTGGATTGACGGTCGCAGTGCTTTCTCAACGGTATTCGAGACAGCGGAAATTTGCTGCCACAAACGAAAGGCACGCATGAACTCGACTCGGCGCAGAAATCGTGGTCCGTCGCAGCTGCTGCCGCGGTGGATTTTGTATGGCGGTCGCACTAGTCCCCATACGACTAGCCTCGACACCTTGCACTGAAAGCCACAGGGCTCAGGCATCAATCTTTCATGTGACGAGAAGCTCTCGGAGCCGCATGCACTTTCGCGATTGCTTTGGATTCTTTCACTTGCTTCCATTCACTAGCCCAGCGCTCGCCCTGCGCTGCTCGCTCGCTCTCTCTTTGACTATTTTCGTCTCGTCCGTCGCTCAAGAGATGATGACCGGTCTTCTTCCCTGAACTTTGCGACCAGAAGCTCTGTCTTCCGACTCGATCTCCGTCAAATCGCTTAATCCCAGGTTCGAGGGTGCTTTCGAACTCGAGAACCCGTCGCAACCATGGATCTCGCTAAGACTCTCATCCGGACCGTGGTGCGGGCCTTTTATGAGACTAGGCACATCCTGGTCGTGGATGCGCTTTTCCTGCACTCGGTGTATGCTGCTCTTTGAAGGCTTGGTCTGCCGTGGTTCATTGTGACTGACCCTGGAATAGACTCCATGCCGAAGACCTCGCCTTTCTCATGGGAATGCAACAGAAAGACCTGCGAAAGCTTTGCGCACGCCTGCGCGAGGACCGCTTGATCGCCGTGTAAGACTTTCCTAGCTAATACTTACAAAAAGAGTCGCTAACGGCTTCAACCTACAGGAGCACCCGCGCTGAAATTCGTGATGGATCAACTCGCCCGGTCAACCGTGAATACTACTACATCCCTCTGCACCCCATCGTCGATGCGATCAAGTACAAAGTCTCCAAGCTCACCTCGACAATCAAGGAGCAATACACTCCCAGCGAGGAGCGAAAGGAGTACATCTGTCTCCGATGCGGGGAAGAATGGACCGAACTTGACGTCCTCAGTTTGGTAACTGACGAAGGAGAATTCGAATGCCAAAATTGCGGCGCCATTCTCGAACGTACCGAAGACATCAAGGGCGTTGAGGGAATCGACCGGACCGGCCACGAAAAGAACAGCAAGCTGATGGCCCAACTGGACAACATGCTCAAGCTGCTCAAGCAGATTGACACCATCGAAATCCCCCCCAACGACTTCGATTCTGCCTGGGATCACAAGGTGGAGGTCGCGCGTAACCACCACACCCATCCCGTTCGCGCCGCAGTTCCCGTTCCTCCCAAGCCGCAGGATACCACACGCGTCAGTGCCAAGACCGACGCTGCGGCATTGCAAATCTCCCTTACCTCCAGCGCCGAGAAGAGCGCTGCCGAGCAGGCCGAGGAGGCGGCCCGAAAGGCCGAAGTCGAGAAGCAGAATGCCCTCCCCGTTTGGCACACCCATTCGACCGTCAGCGAGCCTCGTGCTGGTGCCGCCACGGCCAAGAACGAGGCCGGTGTCTCCGTCAAGTCGGAAGCTCAGGAAGACACAAAGCCCGCAATTGATGAGCTTGACGACAAGGTCGCCGCGTACTACCGCGAAATGGAGCGGGAGAAGGCACTCCAGGCACAGGAGGACGAGAGCAGCGGAGAGGAGTCAGATGATGTCGACGAATTCGAGGACGTGGGTGTATCCGGCCAGAGTGGACCAGGAACCCCGGCCACCGGAGCTGGTCCAACCAGCGCCCAGACTCCTTCCAGCATGGCGGGTGTCAAGCGTGAACACGATACGGCCTCTAGCGGAGCGCCCTCGTCTGCTGGTACTCCGTCTGCGCCCGCTGAGGATGGACCTGCGAGCAAGAAGGTCAAGACTGACCCTGATGTGAAGGAGGAGGCAGGTGTCAAGAGTGAGCCTTTCATCAAGCCTGATCCGGAGGCTAAGACCGAGCCGGATGTCAGGGAGATCAAGGATGTTAAGGAGGAAGAGGAGGAGTCTGACGAAGACGAAGAGGAGTTCGAGGACGTTTAGTTCTTGGATGCCCTCGTAAATTTTCACGAAATACCCGAGTCAACCAACAAGTTATAGGCGCAGGCGCCGACAGCAGATAGTGTATTTCACGAAGCAAATTATAAGAAATATCAAAAGCAAGCATTAGTATCAGCTGGCTTTCTGCAGATTTCGCCGCCTCAATATTACATTGTATCACAATCAAGCCAGCAGTCTATTGTTACTTCCAAAATCCCGATACGTAACGCACGATCCACACAGTATATAGCATCCGAGACTGGCGCGTGGTCAGATGGCACTTGTAGCAATAAAATTTAGCGTGAAATTACTCACTCGTGTAGACGTTTCTTCGGGTACCCAGCTAATAAAGACAGTCGTTGCTCTGGAATATTCAATTAGCGAAAGATATTCGCAGTATGTCAATAAGAGAGTCTGGGTGATCTGTACCTTTTACCATCATCCTTCAGGTCATATTCCATGTCATAAACAGCATACCATGGTGCGCGGTTTCCTTCATGGTCAACGGAAAATGAGAGCTTCTCGAGAAACCCTTTCGTAGTGAAGCTGATTGTATGCGACGGATGTTGACACTGGTCTCGTGGCATTAGTGAGAACTCTTCAAATAATGTGCAAGCTCTGGCATGGCGGTAGCATACCCGGAAGGAAGCTAGCAGTCGAGATGACATCAAATTGTCAATGGCTAATTCGTTGAGACGGCCATTCAGCGTCGCGACACCTCTTGCGGTATCAATTAGATCCGGTCGGTTTGTTGTTGGGGTTCAGAACATATATCTACCTGATTATGGGCTTTATTCACATAACGTGATGACGGTGCAACCCTAAGAAGTGTGTACTCAGCATTTTTTACAAACTACGAGGCAAATAAAAAATGTGAATAACATGCTCACATTCACAGAGCGTTACCTTTTAGATTCAAAATAGAGAGAGAAAAAAAGATCTCTATCGGACGCCTGTATGATGACAGCAAGTTCTCAAAGATCCAGGGCATCAGACCACCCCGCCCAAGCCACGCAATGGATGCAAATGGCCACGCAAATAAGACACCAGACACCAGAACACCGAACCCAGAAAATCACAAGGTCATAAAGTCGTAGGATGATTTCATCAGGTTCATAGTCATGGTCGGAACAGAAGAGGATGGGTTAAAACCCAAACGAAAAGAGAAGAAAAAAGCACCAGGAGGAAAACGGTAATGCCAGCGGCGAGGAATGTGCGGGGACGGGACAGTTCCATCTAGGGACTGTCGGGGTAGGCGTGACCGACGTCGAGATCGTCTTCGCTCGCAACAGGGGAGTTGCCGCATGTGTCCCAATCAGCGTCGGGACCGTCCGATCCTGAGGGGGCGTGTTAGAAGTTCGGGGGTTCGAACCAGATTTCGATTTTTGGGATGTCTGATTCCTCACCTGAAGCGTAGTCGTCGGGGGCAGGCTGCGTTCGTGATTCAAGGGTCTCCAGCATATCTAGAAAAGGTTGGTTGGCTGCGTTAAGAGTGAGGTTGAAGCTCTGGAAGTTTAACTTACGAGTAGAATCCTCGATTTCCTTAGAATCGTCAGGATGGCTAGCATCGTAGTAGGCGTGGAAACACTGATGAACGAGAGCCGACAGGATTTCGAATTGATCTAGGCGCATTTGGCGTTCCGCAACTTCAAAGGCGAGAGTCGTGATGGTTGCCATGCAAGCAGGAGCCAGTTCGTGGGCAATGTGTGCACGACGCGCCTTGGCCTGTTTCTCGGCCTCATCGGTATCGTCTGGATCCGCCGGCGTAATAGCAGGGAAAAGCAGACGTTGAACGAGTTGATACATCTGTTGACGAACTGCGGTTTTTACATCGATCAAAAGCGCCGGAGCAAAGTCGGGAAGGCGGTCTTGCACCGCACCAAAGAACCAATCAGGCGATAGTCCAATTCTGGCATTGGTTATCTGCGAGATACTTGTGAAGAATTCGCTGTGTTCCAGTGCAGCAACTGGGCGATGAAGGTCGATGCCCATAGCAACGTAGTTGATAAGACCCAGAATGCTGCCTGCATCAGGAGTGAGCTCACAGAATACAACCGTGGCATCAAGGAAAGGAATGCAAAAGTCAGAGTTGAAGCGCACGCCAATCTCCAACGTCTTCACGATGAACTCCAGGTAGCCCGCTGCAGGCTCAGATTCGAGATAGGCACCAAGGATGGGGAGAACGTCTTGTAATTTTGCCGTGTGCGCACTCGAAAGAAGTTTCATCAGCAGACATATGTATCCTTCCTCAGCCACGGACAGAAGCAATCTGGCCTCCGTTTCGGTGGGTGGGTATTTTCCATTCGAAATAACCCGAGGGGCGTCTGCAGGAATGGGAGGACGTGAGAGATCAACCTTCATCAGGAGAGTTGCGACTAGTTGAAGAAGGTGTCGATAGGAGAAGCGACGACCCTTCTCCAACAGCCTGGCATGGTTGAGGTAGTTGCCTCTCAGTATTCCCTTGTTCTGAGGATCAACGTTGAGAAGCTCCAAGAACTTGGTAAGCATGCCATAATCCAGGAATGTATCGATCTGGCGCATGTCGATTTTCAAGAGCGAAACAAGGCCCGCGAAATAATCATCCCAGGCACGTGGCATCGCTAGAATACTCCACCACATGCGTTCAAAATGACCGATGAAAGTACGGACTATTTCAGTGGCTTTGCGTTGATGACTAGCAGATTCCTTCTTCGCACTGGGCGGGGGATCAAAAGCAAATTTGTGATAATCCTCCAGTACGATCAAGATCAGTTCCAATCCCGCTTTTCGGACCTCTGCACTTGCGGTTTTTATGACCAGATTGTTGAGCGAGGATTCATGATCGATAACCCAATCCAAAAGCCGCATCGCCGGGCCTTCTTGTCGCGCAAACCGGGAAATCTCATAGATGAGTTCCCTCGTTCCGCGATGGTCCTTGTTTCTAGCGATCAACTGTTCGAATGTGTCCATTCCGATATCCACGGCCACAAGTTTAACCCTCTCCTTTTCGGGATGATCGGGAGACATGTCATGGACATGCCGAAGCAGATCCGTCACCAGATGGGCATAAGCCGGGTCGAAAAGACAATAGGTCCGAATGAACAGTTCATTGTTCATGGCGATCGGATTGGCCAGGACTGTCGGAACCGACGTGCAACCGGCTGGACCAGAGTTGACAGGCTTGAAAATTCCCTTGCATTTCTCGATGGACGAAACGCGCTGGTAGAACAGCATGTACGCATTGTTGGATTTGATCATCTGGTAACTACCCGTAGTGCTACCACCGAAGCATTGCTCCGGAATGTCGGCAGGATCAAACCGGGACACCAGTGAGTCATTGAACTCAACCCAGGCAGGCGAATCACCTTCAGAGGTTCTCTCACGAATGTAAGAGTAGTAGTGTCCGGTTTCTGCCGTGCCGGCATGGACGAGGACGCCGACGAGCTCGAAGATATCCGGTTCAGCCGGAGTCTGTGGATCGGCGAGATAGGCAACGTTGTACGGAGCCATATCAATCTGCAGGGGGAACTTGAACAGATCATTGATCTTGTTCCGGACCATATTGATCATGTCGAAATCAAACCGCTTCAAGTGAAAGATGAGATTGTCCGGTACATCTTTCAAGCAAGCCCTGGGAAGTGAGTTTAGCAAATCATATCCGGTGTTCAAAGTAAGGCCATTCTTTTTCTCGACTTACCGCTTCACAGCGTCAACGTGGCGGTTGCAAGAAGTGCAAGAGTATTTGTTATCTAGTCAACATGTCAGTACCTAGTGATCATAGGTTCATATTGCTGTTCACTCACCTCCTTGCATGATTTCACCTTCGACATATGCCTGAAGACTATCCTCAAGGCTTGCCTTTCCGATGATTTCGCACTGAATGGCCGAAAACGGCTCAAATCTCTCGGAGACATGAGGACACTCCTTGGACTTGATCTGCTGAACAAGTTCACCGCCATAGAAGGACCGCAACCGTTTCTTGGTTGAGTTGTCGATGATCTGGCCTTCCCACCGATCGAAAAGAAGGTTGTAGAACTCATCGACGTCCATCTGGATGGTGACATCGATGTTCTCATTTTCGTAGGTGCGAATGCTTTCAACAAACTCCAGCGGATCGAAACTCTTCAACCAAGAATTCTGCAAGAGTGCAAAAACATTCTGCGTCTCTGCAAGAAGTTTCTGGGAGCCGTTGGGGTCCAGGAGGTTAAGCTTGAACATGAAGTCTCGGAACTCGACGTTCATAAATAGCTGCGTCATGAGCGAGTTGAGATAGCAGGTGTTGGAAAGATTTCCAAGGCCCGCATAGCCCGCTGGAGCTCGAATTGTCTTGTCACGATCTAGAGTCCAACCTGATGATGCATTGTACTGGGTGTCTTTGCCCCATCTGTCAGTAAACCTGATGGGGAAATCATCGTGGAACCTTGGCGTTTGCTGACCTCGAGGAATAAGGGCCACCAATTGCTGGAGTATGCCCACTGTGTTTTGATCGTTTCTCTTGGAGAGCTGATCAACGATTTCAAGAAGCTTGTGCCGAGTCGCCGAGTGAAGAATGGGAACGCGTGGGACAAGAATAATGTCATCGGCGGAGGAATCACTATGGTCTGGCGAGAGGTCGGGGAACAGATAATCGTTCAAAATCCGTTCGCCAATACCACTAGAAATTGTTAGCTAATAAAAGGAACCTTGGTTTGCGGACTATTGGGTTAACGTACTCGGTCTCGAAGTCAAACTCGGACTCCTCGGTCAATTGGAGACATTTTTCGAGGAGTGTGGCAAGACCCAAAACGAGATCATCCGCTGTTTCACGGCCCACGAACTAGAATGTGTTAGAAAAGAGAAACTTAGGGGCAGACTCAGGGGAGTTTTGACATACCTCTGCTGGGCATTTGGCCAATCGTTCAAACAAGATATCACTCCATGGCTTCACATATTCACCAAGAACAACGTCCTCGGGGGACATTCCAGCGATCAAAGCGAGAACCTGGACGGCAATCTCATAAAACTCCGCGGATTGAGTTGCGAAATCCAGGGTCTTGGGCAGAGCCTTGACCAACGACTGCCAGAAAGTTGCAAGCATGTCGATTTGGGATGGGTTCTCCGCCCGAGCCAACGGAGAAGACCCCTCCTGAGCGTCCTTTGCTCCCTTCGAGGTTTTGGTTGAGCCGGACACGAGCTTGATTCGGCCAGCGACAGAAATGCGGCCTGACTGCGAAGTTTGCTCCAGAAGAAGGTATCGAATCAGGTCATCGAGTGGTGCTTCCTTCTTCAGCGTCGTCCAAAACACGCGATCGCGGATCGCGCTTTCAACGATAACAGAGAAAGAGCCGCACATTAGGCTCTGCGCATTTTGAGCCTCGGCAGGGTCGGTATTAGATCGGGCCATGTCGATGAAACCCAGAAGTCGCTTGACAAAGAGTTCTCGGTCCGAATAGAGTACAAGATCGTCATCATCGCGACCGTACACTTTTGTTTCGTGGTCGTCAACGTCACTCAGCGCAGGGGCAGGCATGGCGAAGAACTCACCGGTAATAGCCTCCAAAAGGAGACCAATGGCCGTCGTCGCGAGGCAGAGCTTGATTGGGTCCTCAAACAAGGGCTCAGCGAGCTCGTCGGCCAACAAGAATTTCTCCCAAATACCAATGACATGCCGAATGTATTCATACTCTGGAGTAAGCTGATTTGCATCCTCATCAGAATCCCACTCGAACAAATCTAATGTGTCAGACAGTGTGTCAGGGTTCCAACCCACCTCGGATCCTTCATCCCGAAGACATGTACTCATTGTATGCAGCATGTAGAGGGCCTCATAGGGCTTGTCGAAGGGCAACAGATCGTCTGCCGTGCTCTTTAGAGACTTGGCACGGGCAATAACCCAGTCGGCCGGGGGAAATGCAACGAGGAACCCATATGTCTGTTGGAAGTATCATATTAGCAATTAATCAAAATTTTCACAAGAGGGGATTAAAAAAAGAAAAGAAAAGAAAAAAGAAAATATACCTGGCGTGCTGGTTCTTGCTTGAGTGACAGGCAATCGTAAATGACATCAAAATGCTTTTTTACTTCACCATCCATCAGTGTCACCGAGTGGCCCTTCAACACGTCGGTAGATTTCACCTCCTCAGGTCCTGATTTGTTTCGAACCATGACAAAACCCCCGAGCGCTTTCTCTAGATCCCGCAGAGGGGTATCGGGATCCTTGACTATGTCCATACGGGTGCCCGAGCAGATCAAATCGAATTTCGAGAAACCAGTGAGCTGACGCAGCTGTTCCACCAGTTCTGCCTTTGTCGAAGATCTGCCAATCTGGAGCTGTTGAACCTCCGAATTAGAGGAGCCGGTGAACGATTGCCAGGACAGAGTCATCGGATGGCCTTTCATCGGTGTGTCAGGCAGGTTGAGCGACTGGCGTCGAGGAGAAGTGTACTGGGGACGGGATCGGAGGCCATCAAGGAACCCTTTCAGGAACAGAAGCGAGCGGCTGAACATGAGTTCGGCCGGGTCCTCATCGCCAGCAATATCCATGGCTGTATCTGTATTGCCCCTGGGGACTGCATCAGTCTTGGCCCGGATGCGCGCGGCGGCCGTCTTGAGCTGATCCACGCAGCGATCGACAATCGCAACGTGAGTAGCATGGACAGCGGACCGTGGAGCCTGCTTGATGATGAAGTGGTCAAGATAGACCTCGATGGCAAACTTCGTCGCTTGAATCTCGATCGAGTTCGCTGGGGCGGTCAAGATAAAGTCCCAGAAGCAATCCATTCCCGGAATGGACAGGATCTCGTCGTTTGACGCAGCTTTCTCCCCCTCACGAGCAGCCGGAAGCAGTTTCAATCGAATTTGATAATTGAGAGCGGCCTTGGCGAAGTGCATAAGCTCGATGTCATAGTGCTTGGGCGTCAGAGCAGGCATGTACTCGTGGATGCACCGCTCCAAGAACGAGTTCCGGGTCCCACTACTGGCGCTTTGGTTCGCGGCAGCGATCATGATATTCCAAACCAGTGTATGTCCCAAGGCACCCATCCTGGGCGACAGAAGGATATCGTTCCAGAACGCCTTCGCAAGATCTGCGGTCACAGTCTCCGTGGCATGATTTATGAGGCGCAGAATCAATGCATTGCGCGCCTTCAGACCATGCACAGAATAGTTGTCGGCAAGGTCCAAGTCCCCTTGTTCCACGGTATGCCGCAGTTCGTTGATGACGAGTCTTGCCAAATCGAATTCGGTCGTCAGCTTTCTCAGCTCTGCTGAGCTCCAGCAGGAGATCATGGCGTAGATGGAGTGGATGCTGCCAGTCCTGAACTCGTTATTGTCGGCGATGTCTTTGATGCAGCGCTCATACAGCTGCATGCGATCAGCCTCACTGATGCCGGATCGGCTGAGCTGCGCAAGCCGGGTGCAGACCAGGCTCTGCAGCTGCGTCCTCTGGTCCACCGGAAGATCGACCGCCGTAGCGCATTCCCGAATCAGATGCACGCAGAGGCGCAACGGGATTGCATGGGCATGTTCGGCGTCTGTTTCAGTCTGGTTGGATGTATCCTGGCCCTGGCTGTCAGGAGGGCCCACAAACGTGCCCAGAAGTTTGTCCACAAACTCCATCATCCGCGAGTCAAAGCGGGCCAGAGGAAGACTCGAGAGCTTCGCACAAATATAGCGCAAGTCCCCAGGGGCAGTGAGGAATGGGTGCGCGAGGAGGCCTGCGGTCAACATTTCCAAGATGTCAGAGGTGACTCTGTTGTCTTGGCTTTCGGCGATAGCCCTCCAGATAACATCTGTCTCGTGGTCGGTGTATGAGTGCGTCACGACCAGGAATAAGAGAATGTTGCTGCTCCGGGTGATCAACTGAGAGTGCGAATCTACACCGACCAGGTATTCCACAAGCTTGTTTTCCTTGACGAATCGAATGAGATAGCGGACAGAGGGGACATCATGCCCGTTAGGAGACCTGGTGAAAAAGCTGGCACAGAGCGCATGCAGCTCCCGTTGCATTGTCTCCATGCCGTGAACACGAAGCTCCATCCGGCCCTCCATGATTTGCCGCTTGAGTGTGTCAAATTTCCACGCCTGGTTGAGGATGTGGGAATTTTCGGGACGGGTCGTTCCCTCGGGTAGTTCGATCGACAGATCCTTTGCGAGTCGTTGGACGTATCGATTGCCCCATCCACAGAAGGATGACATAGCGTTTGGCACCTGGCGGAGGATCTGATCGCTCATGTCGCTGGTGATCCAAGAATACTTCTTTGCAACCCACTCATTGTATTTGACCTGAATCGATGTCATGATCTCATAGGACTGGTCGATAGCGGGAGCATTTGAAGACGGATGGGAGATGGGATCCTCATGATCCAACAAATCGGGATTGACGGGGCGATCGATGAGTTGGTTGATCAACATCATGATTTGCTGTGGGATGACGACAATGTGGTGGTTTTCGGGCGCAAGCTCAAGGGCGATAGTGCAGTACTTGGCGAGCTTTTCGGTGGCATTGTGCGGGGGTGCCAGGACTTGAGCTCGGAGATCAAGGATGAAGATTCGGGCCTCGGTGTTGTATTCTTCTTCCAGGGCGCTGTAGAAGGGGATTCCACGGGATGACACCAGGAAGGTCAAGGTTCTCAAATACGGCAGGGACATACTGGCCGGGGCTCGCACGTCGTCAGACTTGGCAGCCAGCTGGCGCAAGACGTGGATGTCCTCTTCGACCAGGCGGAGGGTGATTTGCACGTAATCCAAAAACAGGTCCCGGAGAAAGGCGAGCTCGCCTTCACCTTGGTCCATGGGGAGGACGAATCTAAGATGTATGTGTTAGTTGGAGGGGGGAGGGGTCACTGTGCATGGCATGTTGAATGGTGGATGGTCAGTACATACTGGCTGCGAAGAAGATTCTCGATGACAAGGGGCAGGTTGGGCCAGAAATCTTGATCTTGAGCATATGCTGCAGATGTCAGTTCGTGTAGGTTGCGGGTGCAGTTATCGAACCACAGCTTGACCGCGCGCAAGAACTCGGCTGCCGCGTCGTCGCCTGTTCGAGGATTCGTTAGTATGGTGTTTCAAATCGTCTCATGCAACCAGCAGGGCATGCTGGGATTGAGGCCATATGGGGATTGCATTACTTTTTTCGACGGCCAGGCAGATTCGCGAAAGGCTGGCCATGACGGTCATGTCGCCATTAAATTGCGGGAACGAGTCGATCAGCGAGTCTGAATCGGTCACATCAATGATTTCCGGCTGGGTGCCCTCCATCATGGCCTCGGTGAGAGGCCGCCAGTTTGTGTTGGTGTTATCCGTGTCCTGCTCCATGTCTTCAGGATCGGCGATTTCGATGTGCGGGCTCTGGGCCGGCGAGGAGGAGACTGAGATCGCGTGGGGAGGAGTCGCGTCACATACGGGAGATTGTGACGGGCTATCGGGTGGTGGGTGCGCCGATGAGTCTTCGTTGGACTCTGGCGTCATGTCGCGGGTGGAAGATTTCACGTTGATGGTGACTTTGCTGGGGGAAGGATTGGAACTTGAGTCGGAGTTGGAGTTGTGCGCCGCGTGGGAGGAAGGTGCGACCAGGGCATGCGCGGGGGTGGCTGCCTGGTCGATGGAGAGAAACTCGTGAATGCCGCTTCCGCTGTCGACCCGCGGGCGCTTTGGGGTGCGCGCGCCCTCGTCGTCGGGGCGGTCCATGAAGCTGTTGTTGTTGTCTCGCGGAGCTGGGCTTAACGGCGAGCCAGGCGGGGTGTTGGAAAGCTCAGGTGGGGGTTCGTCCAGGACATTTCTCCCCCAAGCAAGACCAGTGGGGATGAAGAATGCCTATGGGGTGTTGCGAACCACGCGGAGAGGGCGGGGTGAGGAGAGGGCGAAGGGAAAGTGAAAGGGAGCGCGTGGAAGCGGTCGACTTCTTTTTTTTGCGGAGCAGAGATCGGTGACGTTGTGCTGTGGGGATCGACCGCCAGCAGGATCGACGCGCGCCCGCGTCCAGCTGGGTCTAGAGAGGTCGATAAAGAGGACAATTTTATTTTGTCTACAATTTTATTTTGAAATTACGAATAAATTTCTGGAGGAATTCGCGTTGGCTTCTCCGTGGTACCAGCAAAGCCGAAAGCAGTAGTTCAAAGGGCTGCCAGGCACGCCCGCCAAACTCCGCGCCGCGCAGCCGCCCGCGCTTCCCAGTTTGGCCCCGGCAGAGTCCCCAATCTACCCCGACCGCAAAGTCAAGCATGTGAATTTTCAAAACACATCATGAAATGGTTCTCATTTATCCGCCAAGCCCAAATGATATTTTCATCTGGGCCAAATGTGCCTGTTCCTACGCCAGTGTAGATGACAGGACTGGTCCCAAGTGTAACTAAGGTAAATAGTACTATTGCAGTAATATATATCTCCACCCATGAGACGCTTTCTTTGATGAATTGCAATGTATAATATATGAAAACAAAAGGAAATCGGAATCCTGCATATAGCCGATTCTTCTCCTTCCTCTACTTTAAAACTCCACTATTGTATTGTACGAAAGTGTAATTTCAGAATTACTCCATCGTAGTCTCAATCTTCCTCAGGATCCTCGCCGGGTTACCCGCAGCAACATGGAAGGCCGGCACATCCTGCAAGTGTCAGCTACCCATGACCACACACACACACACACACACACACCAACAGATACTCCAATGACAGTATAAAACAAAAGCTGAGAAGAAACATACCTTAGTAACAACACTCCCCGCCCCAATTGTCGCTCCCCTCCCAATCGTCACACCCGGCAAAACAATCACATTCCCGCCAATCCAGCAATCCTCCCCAATAGTAATCGGCTTCCCCATCTCAGGGCCCTCCGTCCCATTCCTTATCGCCGGATCCAAAGGATGCGTCCCAGAAAACAAATTAACATTCGGCCCAAACAGCGTCCGCGCCCCGACGGTGATCGGACAGGTATCGATGAACACGCAGTTGAAGTTGACAAAGACGCCTGCACCGAGCTTCACGTTGTATCCGTAGTCCACTTTGATAGGGGCTTCGATCCAGGGCTCGTTCTTGAAGAGCTCTGCGTCGGCGGTTGGGTCGTCGAGGACTGCTGGGAGGGGTGTTTTGTCGTTGATTATGCTTGAGTGGATTAGAGGCTGAAGTATATATCCATCTGCTGCCGAGGATAGAAAGACGGGTCTAGGGGATATCGAGCAACGCGGACCTACTCCCTCCACAGCTCAACTAGTCGCCGACGAGGCACTTCGTCTGTCACGGCATTGAATCGATTGCAGGCGTACTTGGTGCGAGCTCGGTCTGCCACCATCTGCGGTGTGAAGGCGCAGAAGAGCTCGCCGCGGAGCATCTTTCCTTTCTCGGTTAATTCGGCCATGGTTGTCTCGTTGGAGCAATAAGCATCAAATGCAAAACAGAGCAGCTTCAAACGGAAATTGTGTTGTCTGAAGAGGCGCGGAACCCGTGCTCGCTAGATGTTCTCGCGACAACGTGTGGGGAGTGAGGGGACCGCAATGCAAAAGTCGGGGAGTCCCCGCCGAGGCTCCGGTGGAAGCGGAGCTAGCGGACTCGGACTCAGGAACAATCATCTCCAACTTCTTTTTCCTTCCTGCGCCATGGTGCCCTAGCCACCAGGGCCCCTTCAAAAAGCACACACACCTGAGAAATTGCTCTTCCATCCTCACCTAGACTGAATCTCCAGCAAAACCAAGAATACTCAGACAGGCGAACACTGTTCACAAAATGCCCAACGCCCGAACAACCAGCGCCGACTCATCCGACACCATGAGCTCCCAATGGGCCCCCGACGCCCAAGTCGAACCCGAATCATCCCCCTACCCTTCCGAATGGCACCCATACTTCGCCAGACGGCAAAGCACCTCCTCCCTCTCCTCCTCTGACCCTCCAACAACGACCCCAACCCCAAACACAATCTACCCAGATGGAGCACACTCGCTCGCCGGCATCTCTCTACGCGCCTTTCTTTTGGGTACCTCCCTGGGGGTCACAGCAACCCTGACCCTCCTAACAACAACCCTAACCCCAACAGCGTTCTGGCGCATCCCATTCTTCATCGCCGCGCTGAGCCTATTCCACTTCCTCGAATTCTTCGTCACAGCCCGCTACAACACCCCCGAAGCAAAAGTCAAAGCCTTCCTCCTCTCCTCAAACGGCTGGGCCTACAACACAGCGCACGGCTCCGCGCTCATGGAATGTGCTCTCTCGCACTGGCTCTGGCCAGACGGTAGTCGGGTGTCTCAGTGGCTTTCGTTTACCGACCCGATCTTTGGCACGAAGATTTCCATCCTCCTCTCTCTGGGCCTATTGTTGACGGGCGTTGGACAGCTCGTCCGCACGCTAGCAATGGCGCAAGCCGCAAGTAACTTCAACCACCACGTGCAATCCACCCGGCGCGACGGACACGTCCTCGTTAAGAGTGGTGTCTATGCGTACCTGCGTCACCCGAGTTACTTTGGGTTCTTTTGGTGGGGGCTTGGGACGCAGTTGGTGCTTGGGAATGTGGTTTGTTTCTTTGGGTATACGTTTGTGCTTTGGAGGTTTTTTTCGACGAGGATTAAGAGTGAGTTTTATTTCTTTTTGTTCATGCATTTCCTACTTTTGGTTTACTTTGTTACGGTTTTTTGGACTAACTGGATGACATGATGGTAGGTGAGGAACAGTTCTTGATTTCTTTTTTTGGGGCGGATTATGTGCAGTATCGGGAGGAAAAGCCTGTCGGAATTCCTGGTATTCCGTAGGTCTACAGCAAGGTAGAATTGTGATTTATGGTGGTGAAGAATGTCGATGAGAATAGGAACCTTCAATGGATATTCTTCTGGAGACTGTAAGCTGTCCTGGTATATGGAATGGTATATGACATCAACGCTTTGTACAATGCATCTCGAGTAAAAGTCAATCACAGTTTACTCTCCGGCGCCACAGAGCCCACAGCTCCACTCATAAACGGCCCCTCCTCCTCAGCAGGCGCAGGCTCAGTCCCATAAAGAACCAACTCCCGTCCACCACGGGTACTCCACCACGTAACACAGCAATGGGCGCGGTCAACATCCATTTCGCCGCCGCTCATCGCCTCCCAGAATCGATCGATGCATGTCTGGCGCATGGAGCGGTCTGGGATTGCATTGATCAGCTCTGCTGACAAGGGAAGCCATTCATTTAGATCGTCGACGCGGAGGAAGGAGAGGGAGTCGAGGAGGGCGAGGGTGAGGACTGTTTGGGCGGAGAGAGGGGGTTGGTTGCCCAATTCCGGGGTTGTGCTGTTTTGAGCGGTTGGGACGATGGGTGTTGCGGAGGCGTTTAGGGCGCGGTCTCGGACTACCTCTAGTAGGATGGAGGGGAGGAGGGGTTGGGTATTTGCTAGCGGTGATGGGGGTGCGGTCACTTGGATGACTGTTTTGAAGGCTAGACGGAATTGGCGGGCTGAGAGGTTGTCCGGGAAGACCTGCATTGTGTTATGAGAGATGTAAACAAATAGGGCCCAAGAGAAACTTACAGCAAACAAGTTCTCAATGTAGAAGGGTAGGTGTTTGCTAGCCAGATCCGCATTGTGTGGGATGGCGAAGACAACGAGTACGACGCTGTGGGCGGCTTCGAAAATCTCCAGCAGCAACGGGTTGGCGCCTACTGCCAGGTAAGGGAAAGCAGCCGACAAGAGCAACTCCTCGTTGACTGCAGGCGACAAGACCAACGGGAAGTGCTCGGCAGCATTCATGAAGAAGAGATCCAAACATCGCTCGACGGGGTGATCAGGAATCTGTCCGATATCGCTGGGCTTGATGCTGCGGAGGAAGTTCTCGGCCAGATCCGGGTATTGTGAGAGGATGTCAATGGCAGCCAAGAAGACAAAGGCGTGCTGCGAGGACGAATTCTGTCCGACTCGAGAGGACACGAAGTATAGATTGCGGAGAATGTGAAGAGATTGCATGCAAAGATATGGTGCACCTGTAAAGAATTAATGTCATGGTCTTCTTGAATGAGCAATCCCACTTACAACTGCTCGCAGCAAGAGCCGGGTCATTGATCGTTCTCCCGAGAACAGCACGGAGAACAATAACCACCGAGTAGAGCGTGTTCCTCAAAACCTTCCACAAAGCCGGGATAGTAGTCTGCAAAGACTCCGCATCCAGGAACTCCGCCTCCTCCGCAACATCGACCTCAGACAACTTATTTTGCCGCCATTGCACCATCAACGTCCTCACAAAATCGGCCATATAATCAACCGTCTGCGCCACCAAATTCGGATTCTGCACATTATCCACGGCATGCGAAATAAGCCTGGACAAAGGCCCCAACGCCGACACAAGCGGTCGGCCTGCAATATTCGAAACAAATCCAAACGTCACCGAACGAGGCGACCAGCGGAACTTCTTTCCCGGCGCCTCAACAACATCCTTATCAATAGCACCAAGGAAATACCCACCCTCCAAACCCTCAGGCGACAAGAAAGTCGAGCGCACCATAACCGGCAACAGCAGGTCATAGTTAATCTTGCTCCGCTCCATATCCGACAGAAGCTCAAACGTATAGTTCAGCACCATTGTGACACAATGCCCATCGATGCCCGCTTCGGTATCCATTTCTTCAAGCGCCAGCTGCGCCGCCGTCGCAAGCGCAGACTCAAGTTTCGTCCGGATATGCCACGGCAGACCCTGGCGGTTCTGTCCCTCGAAGCCCAGCAGGATCCCGCCTAGTAGGAGTACATGTCTCCAGCGCGGGGACTTGTCGTCCGCGCCCTCGGCAACGGCCTTAACCCATGCTTCGCGTTCAATCTTGCGGTTGCGCCCGTAAGCTGGTCTTGGCTCGTCGGTGCTGTCGTTTTGCAGGACGGCGATTGCGGCTGTGTTGAAGATGCTTAGGATCTTGCGACAGGCGTGCAGGTCGACGGGTTGGTTCCATAGTGCGGGCGCGGAGAGCAGTTGGGATGCGAGGAGGCTGAGGTTTAGTGGGTTTCCGAGGATTGAGAGGAAACTCGTCGCCGTGGGGAGGAGGCTGTTCCAGGAGGTGTTGCTGTTAGCAGCTGGTCTGCTTCGGCGATTACCGATTGCTTCAATGGATTGCGTTTCTTACCCAGATGCATCCTCGAAACTGGATGTTGACTGTAGGGAGCGCAGGAGCGCAGCCAGGGAGCGTTCCGTCGCCATGTCGAGAAGGGTAGTTGAACTGAAAGACCGACAGGTCTACATGGCACAAGGGAGATGGAGTAGGACGGATAGCGGAGCCCCAGATGGGCTCAGCCGAGGTCCGGACTACGGCGACCGACAGCGGTCAAACAAGCAGCATCATACCTTCCGACGATCACCGCGACTCACGACTCAAGCTTATCCAGTCCAACCGCTGCCAGTACCGATACATTGACGATGCCACGCAGTCCGAGTCAAGTGTGAACCTCCCCCGTCCGACAGAGGGACACGCCGCCATGACCAACAACCGCGTCCCAATCAACTACGAAGTCCCCTCGTTCCCATCGCTCTACGACCCGCTCCCGACGCACCACCAGGAAGCATACTACCTCTACTACACGAAGGACATATGGCGGTTCACGCTATACTGGACATTGGTGTTCTACGGCGCGACGCATCTGACCGTCGCTGGGTGTGCGGTTCTGACGCATTGTCGGAATTGGAGTGTCATTTGGCTGGTGCCATTGTTGTATAGTGTTGTTGCTGGGTTGGAGGGGTTGTTAGCTGGGAGTATAGTTGGGCTTGTGTGAGTATTTCCTAAGATAAGATAGGTGTAGAGCGAGACTAACGGGCGGATAGACTCGGTGCTGTATACGAGGCGGGCAATTTCCGAATGTCGACTTGGTTGCCCATGATTTGGGGCGGTGTGAATGTTATGGTTCTTATCGTGACGAGCTTTCCTATACAGGGTGGTCTGTGAAATCTTCAAGGTTTTGGAAGACCATGTCTACTATCCTACGCCTCGACTTATGTCCACGTATCGCCAATCACCATTGGCAGTTGCGACACACGGATGATGATCAAATGGTTCTCGATTCGATATGATACACCAAAGATTGTGAACGAATACGCAATAAGCGCCACCTTGCCATGGAAATCAATGCCTTAATGTCCCAGACGCCGTCCCGAGTCCATATTTCTGATACACACTAATGCGACCACGCGCTCCTCACTTGCGCCCGTTATCCGGCATACTCCCCTGCAAACCAGGCAGACCGCCAAGCCCGGCCGCCAGATTCTGGAGGTTCATATTCGCCGGCAACTGAATCCCCTGTGCCATCAGCTGTTTCTGCAGCTGTGCCATATCAAGATTCATATTCATAGGCGGAGGTGGAGGCACCCCCGACATGCCAGGAAGCATGGGGAAACCAGGCGGCAGGCCTTGGTTTGGATGACCGCCTTGTTGCGCCGGGGGTTGTGAGCCCATAATCGCAGCCAAACGGCCAGGATCCATTCCGCCCATGCCTGGCAAGCCACCTGGCGGGGGTGGGGGTTGAGCAGCGCCGATTCCTGGAAGCATTCCAGGCCCATCCACTTGGTTGTCTGTCGTTTGGGTACCGGGCAATGCGGATCGTCGCTGGTCGGGCAGACTGTCGGCCTCATCTTGATCTTCTTGCTCCTCTTCCTCGCGCATCTGCCGACGGCCGAACCCGCGGTTCCAGGTCCCCTGGGCTTCGGCGGCTTCTTCACCGATATGGAATCGGTCCTTCATGTAACTAGTCTCACCCGATCGAGCGCGCGACCAGAATCGAGTGAAATTATCCTTTGAACCAGATGCAAGAATGTGGCCTAGTGGATGCCAGTCCAGAGACCAAATCGTAGCTGCATGAGCATACTGTACCCGATGGGCTGGGAAGATGACTTGCGGCGGCGTATTCGCTGGGTCGGGGCTGTCGTACGGTGCCACAGTGGGTATCTGACCCGTGGGTAGGTTTGGTTCATCGAGTAGGTAGTGATACAGGGAACCGTCCTCGGCTCCGGTAGAGATAAGGTTGCTGTGAATGGGGTGCCATGTCAGCGACGAGACGGGCTTCTCATGGCCCCGCAAAATGCAAATATCACGCATCATCCGCAAATCAAAGACGCGTGCCGTCTGATCCCGCGACGAGGTCGCGAGTAGATTGCTATTAACTCGTGAAAACCGTGTGGCTGTGACCGTATTCTTATGGCTATGCAGTGTAGTGAGGCATCGCGCGGTCCGCGGATCCCAGAATTTGACCTGGTGGTCCTTGGATCCCGATACCAGCAGACCCTTTGTCGGGTGCCAATCGCAGGACTTGACGTCCCAGTTGTGTCCGGACAAGACTGTTTCGCAGGTCCGCGAAGTGAAGTCGAAGATTTTGAGGGTGGTGTCGTCGGAGGCGGAGACGAATTTCGTGTCACTGGGGGACCACGAGAGATCGCGGACCGCATCGTGGTGTGCGTCGTCAATGGTCTCGACGTTGTTGAAGTTGGGTCGCCAGTATTTAATGTCGCCTCGTTGTCCACCGGAGATCAACCATTCCTGACTATGCGCCCACGCGAGGGACGTGACACCTGCTTGAACTTGATCGTAGTGAGCCTGTTCGAAGAGCTAGATTAGCAAGAGTTTCCCCCCAACACAAATCAAGATCACGCACATCCATGACGGTCTCGAAATTAAAGGCTGTCCCGTTCCAGAGCATAAATTCTCCCGTGTGTCCACCGGTCAGCAGTCGTCGTCCCTCGGGCGTCCATCGCACGACGACAATCGGCTTCTTCGACTTTCCAATCGACTGATGCAAATGTCGTACGGGAATCGTGTCGACGGCGCGGTGTGTTCGCGCAACGGGCGGCAGCATCTATTTATGTCAGTCTATCTTGACGACCCAGCTCTTTGCGCTGGCTGGCATTAGCACGGGCACTCACGTCCACAGTGAAGCTCGCACTCGGCCGTTCCACCTCCATGCGGTGTTCGCCTTTCCATCGGGGTCGTCGCGTCCGCATCCATTGCACCATCGACGAGCCGTAATCCGTAACCAGACCTGCAGAATCAGAATGTGAGTATCCGGGCTTTCACCCTGCTGCGCGAGCGAGAAGACTTACGAGGCCGCCGGGGTCCGACGGGAGCATCATAGTTCTTGTTGAAGCGCCCAGGGGCGTCGCCCCCCTGTTCCTCGTAGAAGGCCATGAGCGAGATGTGCAGGGCAAAGAGTAACGCTCATGCAAGCGGGGCCGTGGACGCGCGGGGGTCTCTCATTGGCGATTTGATGCTGGGGAAGAGCGTTGGGAAAGTCGAAGGAGCTTGCAGCGGCCGAGCCTCCGCGAGACCGCCTAGCAGGCGGTGATTGGCCGCGCTATCAGCTTGGCCGCTATGATGCCTTTTTCCCCCCGCCAGCTTGTTCGAGACAGCTCCTCCTCGTCTATTTCTCTCTCTTTCTCTCTCTCTCTCTCTCTCTTCTCCTCTTTCTCTCTTCCTCTTCCTTATGTGACAGACCGACACGGAGCAAGCTCTGGCGTTGTTGTTCTGAGCTGCCTCTTGAGAGATAGTGTCCCCGCATCAGCCCACTCCTACTAGTCTTGGGCTCTCGGGCTTGTGATTGCTGAACCTGAGGTTTCAGATTCACTGCAATTGGAAATGGCCTCCCAGACGGAAGCGATCACAACGTCTCGGAAGCAGTCGACTCAGTCGGGTGAGACAACTGGACATGCTTCTAACCAAAGCGCACCTTCCGCGCACCCGGCCACGGGCAAGCGTCGCAGCAAGTACCGCCATGTCGCGGCTTACCACTCGCAGGCGCGGCACTCCAGTTTGAGTCGGGAGTCTGAAGAGACAATTAGCTTCCTGGGGTTTCGAAACTTGATGGTCTTGGTGCTGGGTATGAATATATTTTTCAAGTTGTGTTATGTTCGCAATGCTGACGTTCTACAGTTGCTATGAACCTGCGTCTCATCATTGAGAACTTTATGAAGGTACAATGCTGACAATGACCAACGCATCTCTCAAATTGCTCAACAGATCTAATTTTTTTTCTAGTACGGCGTCCTCATCTGTATCAAATGCCACGACTACCGCAAACAAGACCTGGTCCTCGGATCCATCCTCTTTGCGCTGGTACCCTGCCATCTATTCGTCGCCTATCTCGTCGAACTATCAGCCGCCGCAGCAGCCAAGCAGACGGTGGGCCGACAGAAGAAGACTGCCGAGGAGAAAGAACATGACCAGCAGCGATTCCGGTCAGACTGGCGCTATACAGCTTTTCTGCACACTGTTAATGCCACCCTGTGTCTTGCCGTGACCAGCTTTGTCGTGTACTTCTACATCCACCATCCGGGGATCGGCACACTGTGTCAATTGCATGCCATCATTGTATGGCTGAAGAACTGCTCCTACGCCTTCACTAATCGCGATCTCCGTCTCGCCTATCTCAACCCATCTGCCGAATCGGGTCTGCCGGAGATCTACGCTTCCTGCCCTTATCCTCAGAACATCACTCTAAATAATCTGGGCTACTTTTGGATGGCTCCTACATTGGTCTATCAGCCGGTCTACCCCCGCAGCGAAGGAATCCGCTGGCCCTTTGTTTTTAAACGCCTGGCGGAATTCTTCGGTCTCTCCGTCTTCATCTGGCTCCTGTCAGCACAGTATGCAGCGCCCGTCCTGCGCAACTCAATTGAGAAGATTGCCATTATGGATATCGCCTCTATCCTGGAGCGCGTGATGAAGCTCTCCACCATCTCGCTGATCATCTGGCTGGCGGGATTCTTCGCCCTATTCCAGGCTCTACTCAACGCCCTGGCTGAGGTCATGCGTTTTGGTGACCGCGAGTTTTATACTGACTGGTGGAATAGTTCCAGTCTGGGCGTCTACTGGCGATCCTGGAACCGCCCTGTCTACCTCTTCATGAAAAGACACGTCTTCTCTCCGCTTGTCGGTCGTGGCTGGAGTCCGCTGGCGGCGAGTGGAATGGTGTTTTTCCTTTCTGCTGTTCTCCACGAAATGCTCGTCGGTATTCCAACTCACAACTTTATCGGTAACCCCTACCCGCCTTACTCTCGGTTGAGCTTGGCTAACTCCTTTATAGGCGTCGCATTTTTCGGCATGATGTTCCAGTTGCCATTGATCATCCTGACTGTCCCCCTGGAGAAGAAGCGCGATCCTCTTGGAAAGACCATCGGTAACTGCATCTTCTGGGTCAGTTTCTGTTTGGTGGGACAGCCTCTGGGAGCTCTGCTCTACTTCTTTGCTTGGCAGGCCAAGTACGGCAGTGTGAGTCGGATGCGCACTTGAGGCTGTCAAAGAATCTAACGGCATCTACCTAAATCTTGCTAGGGATAGTGCTTGAAGATATGAATAACATTTATGTGCGGCCGCGGTGTTGATTTGACCTGCTCATTGCTACATACGATGTGGGCGTTAGCATAATTCTTGACAATTTACTGCCATCTCACATGCCTAATGAAAGCAGCTTTGCTGACTTGACCTTCCATTTGTAATGCAATAGAGAGATATGTACTTGGCGCTGACCAGATAATTGAACGATTTGGCATTGACGTTCACCAGCACGGCCCTGATCAAGGTAATTTATGAGGTGGCACCTTCGCTCTGGGCCCAATGGCGATCATCGCAAAACACGGGGTACCACATGTTGACAAATAGTGCCTACCTTAGGGTAAAATGATCGCCATCGAATCGCATCGCAACGCGTAGAACGGGCCAGCTTGGATCCGCGACGGAAGACGGCCTTCGGAGAGATGTTGCACCGGCGCAGCAGAGCTTCCCCGGCCCGTCCGTTAAAAACAGATCCGAGGACCGCTTATAAAACTCCATCCCATCTCGAACTCTGCTCAGTACATCAGCACAAACCAAAACACTACAAGCACAATGGTCGCAATTACCATCCCTGAGAACTATGGGTGAGTTAGTTGTTCGTCTTCGCTCACATTGTACATTCTTTTAACAGTCCCAGCGCGGTCATCACCGTCGCGCTCGGCGCCATCCCCGTCCTAGGCTTCGTCCACGGCATCATCACCGGTCGCCAGCGCAAGGCCGCCAAGGTCCCCTACCCGCATTCCTACGCGACCCAGGAACAATGCCGTGAGAATGTACGTCTTTCCCTCTGCACTCTGCAACGCCCCGCCAATGCCATGCTAACTCCGGACCCACAGGCCAAAGCCGAGCAATTCAACTGCGCCCAGCGCGCTCACGCCAACTTCCTCGAGAACGCCTCCCAGACTATGCTGTTCACCCTTGTTGCGGGTCTGAAGTACCCCCAGCTTGCGGCTGGTATTGGTGCTGCCTGGGTGTTCTTCCGCACACTCTTCCTGTATGGATATGTCTACTCCGGCAAGCCGCAGGGCAAGGGCCGGATGATGGGTGGCTTCTTCTGGCTGGCGCAGGGTGCGCTGTGGGGTCTTAGTGTGTTTGGTGTCGGTCGCGATCTGATCTCCATCTAGGCACACTAAAGTTTTCTATAATGTACTATTATTTAGCTCTGTAGCTGACCCTCAATTGATGATTCTTTGTATCCTCCCCACCCCCGTATGCACCGCCACACCACCGAATGTGGCTGACACTCCACTGTGGCGTCTAAAAAAGTTCCGGGTCGGTTGCATCGTCGACTTTACGCTGCTCTCAACTTGGACTGTTCTGGTTGCTGATTTCTTGAGGAGCATACTCGGCAGACTTGGATCCTTACGGCAGGCAGCAATACCCCAATTACATACCTGTGGCCGCCTACGATATATCCACCACCACCCCGCCAACCCCGCCGCCATGTCCTCCAAGTCGCAAATCCCCTTCGGCACTCGCGCCAGCAGCCACCCCAATCCGCTCGCCCGCAAGCTCTTCGAAGTCGCCGAAGCCAAGAAGAGCAATGTCACTGTCTCCGCCGACGTCACAACCACCAAGGAGCTCCTCGACCTGGCCGATCGTGCGTGACAGTGTTCCTCCAGAGAGAGACATGAATGGGGCTAATTTATGAAATCAACAGGACTGGGCCCGTACATCGCCGTGATAAAATCCCACATCGACATCCTTTCCGACTTCAGCGAAGAAACCATCACCGGACTCAAGGCATTGTCGGAAAAACATAACTTCCTCATCTTCGAAGACCGCAAATTTATCGACATCGGCAACACTGTGCAGAAGCAGTACCACGGCGGCACCCTCCGCATCTCCGAATGGTCGCACATCATCAACTGCGCCATTCTGCCCGGCGAAGGCATCGTCGAAGCCCTAGCGCAAACCGCCCAGTCCCCCGACTTCCCATACGGCTCGGACCGCGGTCTCCTCATCCTCGCCGAGATGACCTCCAAGGGCTCCCTCGCTACCGGCGCGTACACCTCTGCGTCTGTGGACTACGCGCGTAAATACCAGAGTTTTGTGCTTGGTTTTGTGTCGACTCGTGCCCTGACGGATGTGCCTGCTAGCGTAGCGGCGAATGAGAATGAGGACTTTGTTGTTTTTACGACGGGTGTGAATCTCTCGTCTAAGGGGGATAAGTTGGGTCAGCAGTATCAGACGCCGCAGTCGGCGGTTGGGCGGGGCGCGGATTTCATCATCGCTGGTCGTGGGATTTATGCGGCGGCTGATCCTGTCGAAGCCGCGAAGCAGTATCAGCAGCAGGGTTGGGAGGCGTACCTGGCTAGAGTTGGAGGGCAATAGGCGGAAATTTGCGATTACACACTGCACAGAGGGGCTTATTTATTTTAGGTTGGAATATAGACTTTGATAGCTGGGATGCGAGTGCATATGAAATCATGAGCGCGGCCTGTTTCCGTTATTTCCTAGCCTTCCTCCATGCCAGGTTCTCGCGCACGGTCTCTCAATTAGGCAGGCGGATAGCGCCGGGTCTGGGCTTCTCTTGTGCAATGCTTAGCACTGCTTGTCGCACGACGCGACATAACTCGACTGCCAGCTGCATCCATTGCTCACCCCACTTAGCGTCTGGGAATAGCTTGGATGGTGCCATCGCGATAAGATAAATCAAGAGATAACAACAGCGACCCTAATCCTTCCTAATGGTTAAGCCAAAGTCAACAATCTCAGATAGCATGCAAGATACTTAAAGGAGGTGACCGTCGGTTAGCTCTCGGAACTAAATCTGGCCCCGAGACACCTCCTTCCTCATCCACTAACTATTAGCACCAGTCGTACCCTGATCAGCATAGGGCAGCTACGCAAGTCGTTCTCCTCACCTTGGCCAAATCAGCCGAACTCGGCTATCCCAAGGCCCTCGATAGGCCAGGAGCCAACACTCTTCGCCCTTTGCCGATCTTCTCCTCACGCCCCCTCTCCTCCTCACCCAATGGGCATCCGCTTTGACGATCAAGCAGCTCAACCCCAGACTTCAAACTGGACGCTGGGATGCTTATCGCGGGGGAGACCCACCGGCCACACTCGATAGGGGAATCAGGTGTAACCGGCTGCGCTCTGCGGCCCCCGAGGCTGCTCGAGAGGAGAGATAACACCACGGCTCGTATCTTGTGTCACTCGTCGAGAATGTGGAGAAGATCTCCCTATTAGACCCCCGTGCCTGCCTGCGTGCTTTCTTTTTTTCCCCTTAGGTCACCCTGGAGTATTTTGGTTATACCTACTCTTCTCTCACTAAGGTCTCCGACAATGGCGGAGGAGAAGGTGGAAAAGGATGTTGCCCTCGGCACATCCTCTGCCGTCGACGTCGAAACGCCGAAACATGTTGATCCCACGCTGGAGAAACATGCCCATGATGCTGACGAGGCTATGAAGGCTTTTGATGAGATGCAGGGGGAGGCAATTGAGCTTGATGAATCTACGAATCGCAGGTTACTCCGCACGATCGACTGGCATCTGATGCCGATCATGTGCTGCGTGTATGGGATGAATTATCTTGATAGTATGTTTCGCGACGTTCCTACCCTATACACAGGCGACGACACTAATCAACAACTAGAAACAACCCTCTCCTACGCAAGCATCATGGGAATTAAAGAAGACCTCAACCTAGTCGGTGATCAATACCAATGGCTCAGCAGTTTATTCTACTTCGGTCCGTCCACAACACGCCTCTCCCAAACTACTTGAACCCTCTAACACTCATGATGTAGGCTACCTGGCCTGGGAATACCCAACAAACCGCCTTCTCCAACGCCTCCCACTCGGAAAATACTCCGCCTTTTGCATCCTAATGTGGGGCCTCGTGCTAAGCTGCTTCGCTGCCGTGAAAAGCTACTCCGGCGCAATCGCCATCCGCCTCTTCCTGGGCGTCTTCGAAGCAGCCGTAACACCCGGATTCGCCCTGCTCACCTCCCAATGGTACACAAAGCGCGAACAAGGCAGCCGGGTAAATATCTGGTTCAGCTTCAACGGAGTCGGCCAGATCGTCGGCGGACTAATCGCGTACGGCATCGCAGTTGGAACAAGGAAGCATGGTTCCTCGATTGAGCCGTGGAAGATCATTTTCCTCGTCACGGGGCTCATGACGATCGCACTGGGATTCGTGTTTTTGTGGATTATCCCAGATAACCAGCTCAATGCGCGCTGGTTGAAGAAGAAGGATCGTGTCCTTGCTGTTGCAAGAGTCCGAATTAATCAGCAGGGGATTGGGAATAAGCATTTTAAGCTTTATCAAGTCAAGGAGGCCCTGCTTGATCCGATGACTTGGGCTTTCTTTTTTTATGCGCTTATTGCGGATATTCCGAATGGTGGGATTACGAACTTTTTTAGTCAGTTGGTATGTTTTCCTCCTTTCCATCATGTCGGGGGTGAGATTCTAACAAATGAGTTTAGATCAACAGCTTCGGCTTCACGGAAGAGGAAAGCCTAATCCTTGGTGTTCCCGGTGGCGCCGTCGAAGTCATCGCTCTTATTTTGAACGGGTATATCGGACACATCACGAACCAGCGTCTCCTCTGCAGTCTAGGCGGGCTGGTCTCCGCCTTTGTCGGGATGCTGCTTATCGTCGCGCTGCCGCAGTCGAATGACGTCGGTCGCTTGATCGGGTATTACATGACGCAGGCGAGTCCAACGGCGTTTGTTGCGCTGTTGTCGATGATCTCGTCGAATGTGGCTGGGTACACGAAAAAGACGACCGTTGCTGCGTTATATCTGATTGGGTATTGTGTTGGAAATATTATCGGTGGGTTGCGGCATCCTGGAGAAGACTTTGGAATTAATGGACAAAGTGCTGATAATGACTAGGACCCCAAACATTCCGCCCAGAAGACGCGCCGCGCTATCTCCCGGCGGAAATCATAATCCTCGTCTGTATCGGCGTGTCGCTGCTTATCATGCTGTTCATTTACTGGTGGTATCGGAAGGAGAATAAGCGGAAGATGGAGATTCAGTCGAGGCCGGATTATGTGCGGTTGGAGAATCAGGAGTGAGTTCCGTTGTCTTCTTTGTGGTCCGGTTATTGGTTACTGCTGAGGATTTTTGCTAACGTTTGCCTTCTAACCTGGAATCTAGGTGGCTTGATTTGACGGATCGGGAGAATCCGGACTTTTTGTATGCCGTTTGATTGGGGATGGATGCTTTTGTATCGAGTTTCCTCACAGCTAGTTGAATTGGCCCGCTGCTTTTATTGGCTTTATGAATGAATTATGCTTTGTATTAAGTCGAAAGTTTCCTCGAGGAAGGAATTGTACTTTCTCTTCGGCCTGGCGAATCGCATCCAACATACCTACGTAAAGTATCATCAAGCATCTCTCACATTGAACCAGTATATTTTTCCATCATTTCTAATGCATTTAGACATATCAAAAAGACTTTGCGTAGTTCAAGCTGAAATTGTCACTTTCACAATGGCGCAGAATCGTACTCTCGTTGTCGCTATAATTAGGTAAAGTAGCTTCAGGTATCATTGGACGCTCTCAAGCATCACCAGTTTCACCACCAAATATCTCCATGATATTCAAAAAGAAGATAAAAAAAAGCCACAGTTAAAGAGAAGAAAAGAAGGGCGTGGCACTGTGCCTGGATCTGCAAAGTTCTCCCACCCGTCAGCCTCTTAAAACCTACATTTCGCGCCACCTGTCCCACCAAAGCCGCAACCCTAATACAACCAACTCCCAGGCCGCAAAAGAGGACGCAAACTGTATGCAGTCCTGGCTAGGGACCGCTTTAGAATACAGTGGAGAATTGCCAGCTCGACCAAGGGGGCTTTTGGCGAAGAGATTCACCTCTTTTACTAAAAAAATATATATACATTGAAGAGGGGAACGCTCGATGGCAGCACGCGCTGAGACGTGCGGGTCGATTCAGCAGGAAAACCACCACAAAACACACACGTAGCAATCAGGAAATAGCGAGAACCCCAAATGTAGGGGTCAGGTCTGAGAGGTGTAAGAAGGTGTATTCTAGATCTAGCTATCCGGCCACCGTATACTGCCGGCTATGTCACATAGTCTGGATGGCACCCATGTAGTAGGGGGAGGGGGTCTTCCCACTACAATATATATATATATACCTATGGGAGCCCTGAACACTTGAAGTCTTCCGCCTGTCAGTTAGTCGTGCGACAATACAGATCATCAGCCATCCGATTCTAGCCCTCCATTAGTGAAAACCAACCCATAATACCCTCGGCTTCCAATCCCGAAATGATCCGCAGATCTCCCACACCTCGCATGCCGAACCCGAGCCAAGCAAGGAAGCAATATCTTCAACGCAAGCCAAATTTAATAACCTTGGCAAAAGCAACATTTTCTCAGAAAAATCTCTGCCGCAAATCCATGATCGACGTCCATCTCACCCCGGTCTCCCCCGACTGCCAGGCAATGGAAAGTGGATCGGCCCCACGTTGGAGAAATGCACGTACCTAATTCAACCCCGAACATGTAAGCGTTTGCTAAAGGAAATGCTAAAGTTTGATCATTTTACCCCAGGCTGGATTTCGCGGTGTCACTGATCCACATTCTTCGGATGTCGCTGCTTTCTTGGGGTCGGTTGATCTTGCAGTGTGGTATACGGAACACACATAAATGGGAGGTTTCGACCCTCACCTGACGTAGTGAATCAATTTGAAGATCGCCTTCACCAGCTCCATTAGACACGAAATGTCTTCCCCCATCATGAAAGGTGGTGACCACGCCATGGAACTTTCATCCTTCCGTCCCCAGCCCGAGAAACAGCTCGCGGATCCTGTATGTGTCTCTTGATGCCAATGCTTGAGTGAAGCTTGAGCCCAGGCTAATTTTTTAGGCACCGCTGGCAATGGGCGGGTTTGCGACGACTTTGCTATCCGTTTCGCTGGCGATGATGAAGTTGCGGGGCGTCGAGACACAGACCATCTTCGCGGGAGACCTTTGCTTCGTCGCTATGATCGGCCTTTTGATTTCGGCGCAGTGGGAGATGGTTCGTGGGAACACTTTCTCTTATACTGTTCTTTCTGCTTATGGTGAGTGAGCGCAATACGGTGTTAGATACGAAGTAGTATCTCTTCTGTCGCTGACACCAGCTCAGCGTTGTTCTATGGAGGTTATGGCGCTTTGATGGTCCCGATTTTCGGCATCATCGATGCGTATGGGGGGTATACGCCTGAGTATTATAATGCGCTCGGGTTCTTCGTTCTTCGTGAGTACTGAAGTTCCGACTGTATAGACATATTTGATTGACAATTTCCAGTGTGGGGAGTTTTCAACCTCTTCTTTTTGATCGCAAGTGTGCGATTGTACGTTTTCTCTTCCAACCTATCTCACCTTATTCTAACATCTTTGTAGGAACGCGGTCTACATCATGATCTTCGTGTCACTCGAGCTCTGTCTAATCTTCGATGCTGCCTCGCAGTTCACTCGCGCCGATGGCAAGCTGAGCCTCAGCGGTTCCTTCTCTACTGTCGGAGGCGCGTTTGCGTTCATTGCGAGTATCTTGGGGTATTATACGGTGCTGCACTATTTGTGCCAGGATTCACTGCCTTTTACTGTTCACATGGGGGATACTTCGAGGTATTTTGGGAAGGGTTCCCGGGCTCAGAGTAAGGCGGATCATCATCTTGTTTGAAAGGTTTGAGAATGGTGTAATGAGAGCATAGATAAAAGATAGATATAGAGAACCACCTTGTGCCATAATTCAAATGCTCTTTCAATTGTGTATTTTCTGTAAAGAATACAACATGGCCGATCCCCAGCACCCATCATTCATATAGAACTCGAGATATATTTGAGGACTGGGAACGGATTAAAACCAATATGACTGTATCACAACAAGTGTCCCCACCGCAGATCCAATCAACTTCAGCCTCATGAATTCAAAATATATTTTTCCGGGCCTCCCTGGTTAGCATAATTTATCGGATAGTGCTACCGAGTAGTAAATCGCAGGATTCTGTTTGGAAGTTCCTTCCGAGCAATCTAGCATAGTGTTGCACCAATCACTAGCCAAATAGCAATCGAAATGCGAACCACTCAAAACCAAATCCCGACGTACTCCATACCAAGTACACCAGGGTAGGCCTTTGAAAAGCGCAGCGCGTGATTGTGAAGATGTTCCCTGACTAGATAAATGCATAAATGCCTCGAAACACGGTGATGGGCTTTCCCTTGTCTTGCTAGCTCGGAATTGGCGAGGTCGAGCTTGTAAACAACGTAATGAACAATGGCCTTGATTGTCCTTTAAATAATAGTATGGGACTGCTTGAAGAAGAGTGGGTGTAGTGGTCGACTTTATGGGTGCACTCTCGTATCCAAAACAGTGCCCGACTCGATTAGCTCAGTATGAGATCTGTGTGAAGTTCTCGACAGCCCCGCAAAAGCATGTTTGCATCAAATTCTGGCAGGGGCCAGGGATGATGGCCGGCTGACGCCAGAACGACTCGAGCAGCTCAGGCTGCATGCATACTGATTACATCCGGTCATCTCAGAGCCAGCGAGTGTTAAACCGTGAGTTTACCGTCAGACCCAGCTACAACTCGTCCCCGTCCGGATACGTTAACCCTATTCTAGTGTATCGGATGGTAGTGTTGCTAGGCATATATACTTGGCTCCTCTTTTCTGGCTAGCAGGATTTCTTCTCGAATCGATGAAAGTACGTAAAAAACGCTCGTAAAACAACCTCGACAGCCATTCTGGACTCATAAAGGAATTGACCGATCCGCGTCTCGTCGAAGTCCTCGTCTACGTGACGATTTTCAAGAATTCCCCAACAGCGTAACGAAAATCGATAACTTGATCCTGGATCCGCCGAAGGCTGAGACGGTGGGTGGACAAAGTAAGGCACAGAGAATAGACTGAGACTCTTGCGGTCATGTTTGTGATCTCTTCATAGGGCTATATCCATTTAGCTCGTAGAGGGGGGATTTTGAGTGGGCATCGTGCAGTACCGTGCTGAGTCAGTCAAGTAAATAGAATCCTGGTGGGTGCTGCTTAGAGCTGCCAACATGAGCGAGGCCCGTGGGGAGTCTCAAAGTCCACGCCCTGGACAGTAGAAAATCTCGAACCCCTCACCACTGAGTGATTAGGTAGGCAGGAGGTGAACGCGAAATTCTCATAGATGACATCGTATTGACTGAGAGGGCGACGGAGCAGCAGAGGCTCTCACTATACTAACAACTCATAACAACAACGACCAGGATAGACCACACATCCGTAAGACAACTTCAACTTCCACAATAAAGAAACTCCTCTCCATCCTCAAGTCAAGACTCAAGAGATGATGAATATCCCAAGAAGGGTATGCCAAAGAATGCACCTCCTAAGCCCCCGCGGGGAAATGAACAGGCAACTGATGCGCTGTGCAATGCAAGAGCTGGACTATGGCAGTCCGCCCTCATGACCGCGACCACCTAAGCATTGTGAGTTTCAAGGGGGAAGGAGAGGAGAGGGAAGAGGTGGAATTTGGCTGGGGAGGAGCGTCGTTTGCTTGGGCCGATCTGAGAATCTGAATGGCCTCGCTTGCGTGGCCGGCGTTTGGTTTAGGTAGGACTGGGTGCTGATTTGGCTTCATTTGTGCAAGGGACACCTTCACCCGCGAGAGGCGCAGTGACCTGCGTTATGAGGTTTCTAGACAGGTGTTCTGTCTAGTATTTTCTAGGGCTTGAGTTGCTGGTCTAGCATGGTGAAGATGCCCTGATATCTGTGCTGAAAGTGTGTTCCTGGCCTGGAGGGCAAAAAGCAGAAGACAGTAATTATCACAGTTTGCGATGTAGTGACTAAGCGGTAATGCGCTGCTTTGTTGAGTATAGCAGCACATGGGGGAGGGAGGAGTAGGCGAAAGGGCGGACGCAGGGAATTATAGTCCCGGACCACGTGGTTGCACCACGTGAGCGGCTCGTGGGACCGAGCCGTCTAGAATCGGGATTGAGCCTATCAATTTTGTACAGGGCATTCCATCTATTAAGAGGATGATCCCCTTTGAAATTGGGAGGGGCCACCATCGTCAGAAAGGAGATATGGCGTCCACGATTTAGAAGATTCCCCAGCTTGCAAGCCATGGTTATTATTGGGTCCCTACGAATTTCAAGCAGGATTTGAAAATCAGAGATGCACTAGAAAATACGAGAGAGCGTTTTGAATAGGAAGAACCTGATGACAATAATACCTTTGAGGAATGACCTCTTCGTTGACCCACCACATCCTCTAAACACCAGCGACACGCAATTGAATTGGAAATAATTACTGGTCTCGCAGTTATTTGAAGTCCCAAAAGTAGTTTGACAGCGAGTTGTGGGATTCGTTATTCGCAATCACACCACTGGCTGACCGACTTTCTTCGGGATATGGTGTGTTTCCCCACACTCATTCCGGGCTCTAAAAAAAAAGGGCAATATAGTTTCAACTTTAGACCGACTCGACCGAATAACGCCTTTGTCGTCGTAGTGTAGACGAGTAGATGGTGAAGAGGTAGAGTTGGCAATGCCAACAGCGATGTTTCGGTCGTTTGCAGCGGTCGCGATGGCATAGTCCAAGTTCGAATCAACACTGAAGTTCGGAGTGAGTTCTATATCTCCGTCGCCCCTGAGCACCCCATCAAAAAGCATTAAAAAGCAAAGCAATAGAGAGATTTGAATCGCTCGTTGACCGCATAGAGTGGAGCGATTCCTTGATAACAGGTTTTGTCGACCGCTCGGTCCGTCGGTAGCGGCCGATTAACCTCTCTTCCCGCCACGGCTCTAGAGCAAATCCCTACTCCAAGCAGCGAGAGCAACTGCATGTCTCACAACGGCTGACAAGCGAACTCTAGTGAATTCCTGTTGTACCTTTCGGACAATTTCTGCTGGAATTGATTAATGTTGAATAAGCTTTTATCCGAATCGGGGGTCATCCCGTGGCAGCCACCGCGGACTAGCTTTGATGGGGTTAGACGCTCAACAACACCCTAGCCACATACCTTAGTAGGTCCGAGTCCCTTAAAGTGCTTAGGGTGTTGGTACTTCGTGTGTACCTGGACAGCCAGCGGTGAGACGAGTGGGATTGCGAACCCACCCCACGTTGCCGCCAAGCTCTAACTTCTGGTCGGTATTTGCAACCCATCACCTGGGGCCGTCTCAGCACGCGCCGAGACAAGCGCTGCGCAGCGAGAGTTCGCTAGTTGCTAAAATCTCTTCGCGCTGATCGGCGGCCAGCGCAGAGTCCACCAGCGGATTTGTGATGATGCCGGTGGGGCTGGCGGGAGACCTAGGAGGACCTGACGTCGCATCTCCAGTCTTGGTTGGCGGCGTGGCTTGCGGCGGGCGGCTGCCGAGACCGCTGTTCGAGACCGTAGTTTTGTCAGTGCGAGTGCTGGTTCTCCGCGAGGAGTTTAAGACGATACTAGGGTAAGCAGCGAGGTATCTGCGACGAACGGCGGAACTCGGAAGACCAGCCCAATAATAGTTTGAATCGGGACTCCCCTGCATATTTGTCACTGCAGGGGCGTTGCGGACCCTAAGACGTACCACCCGAAGGCACTCTAGGGCAAGGCACGAGGAGAAGCAGGGTCGATCCAGACCGTGCGAGGTCTGCTGGTTTGGGGAGAGTGGAGGCGCCCTTTGCCCCCCCACCATCTCCGCTGGGGAGGAGCGGTGTACGCAAATGAATTCTTATTAATCCCTGCCATAATACTTGCCTGGCCAGTCTCTCCTTTCAACGAAGCCCTCTGCCTGCGAGGGACGGGCGCTGTCAGCTTTCTTTGTTGTACCTGAATTCTGGAGGTGTGAACGTGAAGGGCCAGCAGTAGATCCGCCGCGATGCCCGCCCAGCCCTAATCTTATCGTCCGACTATCCACGGCATCTACCTCTACCGGGGCAAGCACACCTACCTCAAGGGACTAGCAGGTACTCTGCTTGCTGCCCTCAAGGCAGAGCGTCGCTCTGGCTGGCTCTGGTCATCAGAGCCAGAGTAAACTTCGCCCATGGCCGTCACATGCCGTGGCGATCTTCACATGGATGCCGCACCTGCACTTCCCTATCTCGACCTCAAATCCTTGGAGACAACCATCTCCGAACTCCCTACGAAATGCACTTCGATCTCATCTCCACCAGCCAAGATGGACATCCCGCGAGTCAAGCGCATCGACCCTCCCACCTCCATTACCGTCCCCGACTCACCACCCAACACAGGCGGTCCACGCACCAGCTCACGCCCAACATCCGCCGCGGCCTCAGGACAGCACTCCCGCTCCAACTCACGAAGCACACCTCGCTCCCGACCAGCAAGTCGTCATGATCCACTCCATTCTTCACGAAGGGCCGTCCCAGCCGCGAGCATCGTTCCGGTCCCATGTACTCGCGCCCCGCCGCAGGACCGACGGGAGTCGTTACTAGCCCTGCACAGGGAATCATGCCGACTTTTCCAGGACCTCGATACGTCAAAGACATCGTCAGACGAGATCCGCTCTGCACCATCGTTATCCAGAGCGCCTTCATCATCATATACATCCCGACGGGAACGACGCACATCATCCGAAACAGGATCCGTGCCTCCATCCCCAATCGCATCATCGCAGTCCAGTCGTCGTTTCACATTTGAACACCGCGACTCAATCAGCCCCATTGCAGCGCCCTCACTTCAGCACCGCGATCGCTCCAATACCCTACCCAGCATCACCTCCACCTCCAGCCAGTCCAGTCCCTCCGCCTCCTCCATCAACGTCCCGGTAACGATCATGGAGTGGACATCACCCTCGTCTCGCAGGGCGGAGTACGAGAAGATTGATCGCGCCGGCCGGGGGGTACGTGGATTATGGCGGAAGGTTGCGCCGAAATGGTGCCAGGCGCGCGATGCGCGGACGCCATTCTTTGAAGAGGGTAAAACGAGTCGGGAGGGGAGTGTCCGACGCTTTCGGATGGATATTCCGGATGAAGAGGATCAGATTGGTCCTAAAGAGAAGGCTCAGGGCCAAATGTTGGACTTTTTGGGGAAGGGGTGCGAGCATACTCCGTGTCGCTGGACGTATCGTCGTACGAAGACGTCTCCTGCATAGCTTGACGGATTTTGTTGACGCGAGTCTGCCTTCCCTTCTCTTGACCTGCTGGTAGCGACCTCGCATTTCGGAACAATGATAACGGCCTACGATTTGACTTTTGCATTTGCATTGCATTGCGCTGGCTTCCCACCCTTCTTTTGCGCATATTTGCTCGTTCACGCTCAGTTGCGTTACGGGTTCTGCTCGATTACATTGCCCAAATTCCCCTATACAACTAAACCCTATTCTTACTTGCATCACTTACCAGACTGAGATACCCATGTTGCAGTTCTCGCGTTGTACATACATAAAATGCACTATACATATCTATTATCATACTCCGCAATTCAGTACATTTCTACCCGGATTTATCCTTGTTATTGTATTCTCCAATCTGTTTTCCATCGTTTGCTTAAAATGCCAAGCGCCTAGCAGCCGGACTTGTTATCGACGCTAAAACGCCTGCAGGGAGCGTCAATAATTCAAATCTTTCAGGTCATTATGCAGCAACCTGATTTTAGTAATACTGGGATATGTCCAGAACAAATCTCCTTCAAGCACCACCCAGCGTTTTACTACACTACATGCTCGTACTTACATCGAACAGCGATCGGCAGCAGTGGGGCCGACAGCCCCCGGACCACCCCCGGTCAGGCTGTGAGTACCAATGACATGGTCTGCAACAGAATATCCTGGAAGTTCGATAGAAATCGGAAATCTGAGTTCATCTCAGAAGCTCTATCATATATGATCAAGGAAAAAGAACCATTCATCCGAAGAATCAGAACGTTGTATACAACGCTGGTACTTCTTTTTGCCGCCGCCGACCGCCCTCAGGGGTTCCGGCCAAATGTCAACACTCTTTCTATTTTAAGACAACTCGGTCAACAAGTAACGAGTCACAACGCCCACCTGTCAGTGCAAGCAGGGGATCCGCCTTGGCATAGTATTTCGTAATGGATACGCCGGTCGTCCCATTCTGGGGACCCCCGACTTCTTACTTAAAGTACGTTTACCTTTCAAGTGGTGTTTTCCTTTTCCGAAACTTGGAACAATGGCATTGTTCGCATTAGCATGCTAGGCTGAACCTCAGACTGACTCTCACTAATGTAGTTTCTGCGAAGAGGTATCCCCCCTCAACACCTCTCGTCCACTCACGTTGAGCAGGATAGTATAAGGGTAATGCTGACCCGTGCAGGACTACGTCATATCGCGATTCGTGGCGGAGTTTATCAACACGTTCAGCAGCTTTGTTTACAGTGAGTCTATTCTATGTGATATAACTCATAATGAGCTACGCTAATATGTCGGTATAGTCTGCTATGGCATCTACGGCCTCCTCCACCTCCGCGGAAAACCGCAAGCGGCCTTCCGCTCAATATCCTACCTCGGCCTCATCGGCGTGGGTGTTTGCTCGGCAGGGTACCATATGACGCTGAAATATCATACGCAGATGTGTACGCACTTACCCAAACCCTAAACCCTTTCCACTTTGTTGTGTGATACAGACTGACATATTACCAGCGGACGAACTATCAATGCACCTTCTCACCACTCCATTGCTCTACCGTATCCTAACATTCCAAGCAACCCCCAAGAAAACCAGGATAGTCGGAATCATCCTCTCAACCCTCTTCACGATCGTCATGGTTGTGCACATGGTCATGGACGAGTTCCTGCTTCATGCTGTTTCGTTTGGGTTGGCGGTTTATCTTATTGCGACGAGGACGTTGAGGATTATTCCTGGGCAGGTAAAGGATGTGCAGTTGAGGGGAAGGTTGAGGAGGCTTTCTTTTTTGGGTGTTGTATGTCATCTTCCTCCACTGGTGTCTGATGGGTTACTGATGCGGTTTTTGGCAGTCTGCTTCGGATTTGGATACTTCGTCTGGCTGATTGATGAGTTTGGGTGTCAGTATCTGACGCAGATTAGATATGCTACTGGGGTGCCAGTGGCTTTTCTGTTTGAGTTACATGGCTGGTATGTTCCCCTTTCCTTTATTTTGAGCAATAGTTGCTGATGAGTTCAGGTGGCATGTCTTCACTGCTATCGGTGGGTATATCGCCGTTGCGATTGTGGATCTTATTACCTCCGGTGATGTGAACAAGGATCCGACAAATGGTCTTGCTTGGCCAGTTGGGACTGCGATGAGGCTTATAAAGAAGGGGATGGAGGTTAAGAAGGAGAATTAGGCTGTTATGATGAGTTTTCTGAGGGAGACCGTCTCTTTCACCGGTGTGAAGTACAGGTCCTGCTCTCTCGTATTGCTGATTTGGTTTGATGGATGAGTAGGATGGCCGATCATGATCTAGAGAAAGGGCTCTGTCGAAAACCCTCACAGAGAACGGAGCAGATATAGCGTAGCTTTTGCTATTGTCGAGTGCCGCTAGGTACTATGCCCAAAAACATGAATAGAATGCAGGATAGACAACATATGGACGATCATGATACCACCTTTTCCCTATAGTCCATAATTCCATGATATCTCATCCTATGATCTTCACCCACGATCTAAACTCACGCGTAATAACACACCCCCTTGGGAGGTTCTACCTCCCAAGCCGAAAACGAACAATGATCCACCTCCCCCGAAAGAAATTCGGAACAACCCCCTACTGCACCGGCCTCAGATGAGAATCAAATTCGTTCGAAGGCGGATGACACACAGCACTAATAACCAAACTACAATGATCAGCCGGCGGAGTAGCATACTCGATAGTGCAGGATATCATCGCCAAAATCGACACAGCAATTGCGAGAAGACAAACAAGAAACACCAACAAACTCAGCGTCGAATACCCACCCGCCACGAGTCCACGCATCTTCCCTCAATCCCTGATCCTTGTCATAGACCTTAATCTGGACCAGGAATAGAGGCTGCGAAAGTAACCAGTGGAGTAGTTCTGATATTGTAGTTAGTGGAACGGCCCAGCGGTATGGGAGCTGGAGGAAGTAGGCGCTGCGTTGGTCCCCTTTTGGCTGGGTTACGCGGAGGGCTTTACGGGTTCGGGCGTGGCAGTTCCATTTTTGGGCGAAGCAGAGCGATGTGCATATTCGGTCCGCGGCTAGGTGGAATACCGCGAGGAGGAGTTGCGGGCAGTTGGCTAGCTAGGATGTGAAGATTATACCTCTGACTTTGAGGAAGGAGATGACGAATGGGATGTGTAGTTTCGAGGCTGTGCCCCACGCGCTTAGGTGTTCTGTGCTGAGAATTACGACGTCGACGGTGGATATGGCGATTAGTAGGCCGCTGGTTGAGTTAATATCATGATTGTCTTTGGGCACTTTGGATGGTGTGATATCTATCGTCCTCGTGCCCGATCTGAATATCGGCCTGTCTCTTACGACCATTTCCCCCCGTCGTTCGCTGAGCTGATCGAACTCCCTCTATCAAGTCATGTTTCTCTGCAACACAGCGACTGATAGTCGTAGCTTCCGGAACTTGAAGAGAAGTGGAAATAGCGTCCCCCTGCGTGATGATCTGTGCCGAATACGAGCTCGCGGAGTACGGTATATAGCGAGGATTTTGATGCTGTTGCAAACGGAAACGACCTCGATTAACGCGCTAGAAACTTGCACCGCGCTGTCTTTGTGTAGGATCTCTGCTATGCCATAACCAATGTGCCAGCGGAATGCATCCATGTGACGGGGTGATTGATTTTCATGCCTCCATTCCTGTCGAAGGATGCCATGCTCTGAGAACATGAATGTTATGATTGTGTCATTCAGAATAGGACTGGAAATTGGACGAAGACTATTTAATCTAGAGCAATAGTATATACCGTCTTACGTTGCTGCTTCCGAAGTCATTGATGTCAAGTGGGGTCAATATCGGGGATTTGTAGATCGCCAACAGAGGCAAGCAGCAACCCCCTGTGACTAGGTCTAAGACGCTGCTTGAAATTGCATTGATATTTCCAAGCAGCCCAAAGAAATAAACTGAGTTCATCTCCGTCAGATGAACTGAAATCCACTTGGATAGATGTACCACGCCCAAGGTCTTCCTCCACGCCCTGCCGGTGACAGCCCCACCGGACCCAATTCAACTCGAGAGCCGCCATGACTCTTTCTCACTTCTTTGAAACGCACACTGTATTTCCTCGCGGCTATCATATTCTGCACCGCGAGTAAACCCCCTTGACGACATAATGCGACAACCGACGCATGAAACAGAACACGAACTAACAGAACTCAATTCTGCCTCCGAGAACCCCGATGCGGGCGTCAGTCTCGCCTTTCCCGATGGAGGGAAAGAGGCATGGACTTGTCTGCTAGGCTCGGCACTGATGATGTTTCCGTCGTTTGGATTTCAAACGGCCAGTAGGTGCACTTTAGTTTCCTTTCTTTCGGCCACCTTTAACAACTGTTTATAGTTGGATCCGTCCAGGATTACATCAACACCCATCAACTGGCAGATTACACAGTTCGTGACGTGGGCTGGATCACTGCCATCCTGGTCTTTCTAACTCTGTTTCTGGGAGTCCAGGTCGGGCCCTTATTTGACCGCTACGGGCCTCGGATGCTGCTAATCTGCGGCTCGTTGGCAAGTGTCATTTCCTACTTCCTTCTGGCAGAGTGCACAAAATACTGGCATTTCATGCTATGTCTCAGTATCCTGGGCGGGGTCTCCTCAGCCGTTGTGACAACAGTCTCCATCGCCGTATTGAGTCACTGGTTCTATCGCCGTCGTGCACTTGCGTCTGGCCTCTGCATGTCCGGATCGTCGGCAGGGGGCGCTATCATTCCGCTACTGCTGCGGACGCTGTTCAAAGAATACGGCTGGACATGGTCGATTCGAATCATCGCGTTCATGGCTTTGGGTTGCTATGCAGTAGGCATTCTCCTGGTCAAGGGTCGATTGCCCGTCGTCTCAGAGACAAAGGCACTGGTTGATCTGCGAGCGTTCAAGTCTCCACGACTATGTTTCCTTGCAGTCGCGGTGTTTGCATTCGAATTCATCATTTTCGGATGTGCTGCGCTTCTGCCAACTTATGTTCGGTACTCGGGTCTTGATCTGGATGTTCAGTTTTACTCACTTACTGTGCTGAACAGTATGAGTCTTGTCGGCAGAGTTTTGCCTGGGGTGGCGGCAGATCAGATTGGTCGCTTTAATATTCTTCTCACACTGGCTTGTCTGACTTTGGTCATTATGGGGAGTGTCTGGATTCCATTTGGATCGCGAGATGCCGCTACTTTATACGCCGTCGTGGCAATTTTTGGGTTCGGGTCTGGTGGTTGGGTTTCTCTTGCTCCTGTTTGTGCGGGACAGCTTTGTCGCACAGAAGAATATGGCCGTTTCTATGGCACCATCTACTCCGTTGCTGCCTTTGGCGTGCTCTTGACGGTTCCGGTTGGCGGTGAGCTGCTGCAGTCGACCACTCCACAAGCTCTTGTCGGGTTCTACGCGGCGGTGCTATTCATTGGTCTAGTCTGTGTCGGTATGTCACGTTGGGCATTGCTAGGTTGGAACTGGAAGTGGAAGGTGAAGGTTTGAGCGAGTGGTTGTCAAAAATTTCGTCAATTGGAAGCGCCGGGAAATATAAAATGCATAAGCGCCGGGTATATCAAAACAGGACCCAAAATGCTTTTCGAAGGTCGTAGTCCTTTCTCGCCTCCGTAGTCCAACATCCCATTCATATTCACAGCAAATCGTAATCGTCTAGCTTGTCGCGGTACTGCATAATGTTGCGCTTGATCTTGCTGGAATCCACCCAGGTAACAAAGTCCTCCATGTTGCGCGAAACCAGGAAAGCGGGATCGTTGACGACTTCAGTTCCAACGCGGACCTGGCCTTGCTCAATAAACGTCGCGGCCTAATAAAGTCAGCATGTCGTCCTACCCAGATGTATCCTCTGCTGTGACAACTTACAGCCTTAATAGTCTGCACCATCCCCGAGCGAACCATCAAAACAGCCAAACGCCTCCGGCAAAACGCAGAAACGGTAACCTCCCGCTCAACACGCGACAAACCCGCGCCCTGCTCACGGGACTGTTTCAGGATTCCCATCCGCCACAACTTCTCCAGCAGCTCCGACTCGAGTTTCCTGCGCACAGGATCGCTCTCGGGGTCGAGCTGCGAAAGCTTGTGGGCAATCTGCCGCAGAGATCCGCACAACGCGTTATATTTGCGGTAATCCATCGGGTCTTGCAGGAGGTAGCGCTGGCGAATCTGGTGCTCTCTGTGGTTGCCATCGGATTTGTAGGTGTGGAAGTCGACCTTCCGGAGAAGTCTGCAAGCAAGCTTGTTAGCTGATATTCTTTGCAGCTCGGCGATGACAGCTTCAAAGGAAATTGGAGATTTGCGGTGGCAGCAATAAACTTACTTCTTCTCGTGATGCTTGAGCTGACGAACCATCTTGACTGGCGAGTGACTGTACCTCGATCACTCGATGTTTGGGGATGCTTGCGGCCGGACCACCAGCGTCGTGAAAAAGTATGCGATAACGAAATTTGTTATCGAGGCGGTGTCGTTCTGCCGGAGTTTGTCACTTTCCGCCCGGCGTGGATCACGTGATTGGATGCTGTCGAACGACAGGGTTATGTCCTAATCGGGTAACACCCCACCCCTGCAAGTCGACCCCTTTTTTTCCCCATGGAGTCACGTGACTCGAGATTCGTGAGCTACACCAGTTGTTGTCGGCGGACTGATGTGACGCTTCCCGAAGTGTTTTTCTTGTCTTGAAGGTGTCGAAAGATCGTCAACGAAGAGTTATTCGTCTTTCTTGGACTACACTACACAGTGTAATGATAGAGTTCACCCAAACAGCAGAAATATATTTAGAACATGTCAATCGGAGAGATACACATCCGCGCCGACGTAAACCATTAGAAATTATGAAATGACATGCAAAACAAACAGTACGAATCGAACAAACTGCAAATATCCTGCCCAAATCATAAGTCGTAAAAGCCTCCCTCACTTGCTCACACCCCCTTCTACTACCAACAATTTTCTCGCTGAGCGACCGAATATTCTGCGCTCCCATGATATCCAGCACCGAAACCTCAGCCTTCAGCTCCTTGATGATCCACGACCGAAACTCCATTGCGACAAGAGAATCAATGGCTCCGAGCCCGAATTTCTGGGCGTCAATTTCGGAAATCGGAGTCGCGAGAAGAGAGGATAGCCTCTCCACGATTCCATCGGAAACGACAGCCACAGCTTCGTCAAAGGTATTTGTTGCCATTAGAAGAGTCACAGTGTTGGCGGTCTTTTTCTCCTCCTCTCCGTCTTTGCAGAGTTCAGCCGTCGCTCGCTGATGAGTAAATAAAGAGTACTCGAGGTACGAAGGTGGTGAGACGCCATTTTGACGAGAGATCTCTGCAGTCGGTAGACCAAGAACTAGTTGAGACTGAGGTTGGCCGCTCCAGTCCTCTTCTTTTTTGTACCGATCATCAATCATGAACTCGATCGCGCTGTGTACCTCGTCTTCTTTGAGCAATTCGAATAATGTTGCGGGATGCGTGGTCAGTGTGTCTCGATTCTCGGCCACCCAGCCTATATTTGACACACCCCCGAGATTGATGACGGATGCCTTGAGCCCGCGGGCTGTGCGATACGCTGCAAGAGCATCCTGAAATGTGTTTCCTGCTGCGTAGTTGGCTTGCCCGCGGTTTCCAAAGATACCCGCAACGGAAGACAACATGACGAAGAACTCCATGTTCCGGGGAAGAAGTTCATGTAGGTTCCACGAGCCCTGGACCTTTGGTTCGATTGCGGTTTTCCAATTGGCGAAGGACATCCCTTCAAAAGCGCCATCCTATCTAGGAGGTTAGATATAGTACCTTCTTTTTTCATATTTTTATTTTTATTTTTTATTTTTTAAAAATGGGGAAACTCACCTGCAACACCATCGAACCCTGGATACATCCCTTGATAGGCGGGAGTCTCGAATAACATGCTCCAACAACAGCTCGCAGGCGAGTGCGGTCGAGGATGTTACAAGCAAAAATATGTGCGCTGCATCCCATCGCCTTCAAATCGGCGACCATCTCATTCACTGGGCCATTACAACGCCCAGTCCGAGACAGGAAAATGAGGCTCTTTGCGCCCCGTTTAGCCATCCATCGCGCTATACTGCGTCCCAATCCACCAAGGCCCCCAGCAAGAATGTAGGACGCTCCACTGTCGAATTGAAGTGGTGGAAAAGGCTCAGGTGTCGGGGGGAAGTCGGCTGGATTTGGGATGAAGACTGCTGCCCCAGCTCGCTTTTCCTCAGGGAGTGCTTGCATGCCATGCTTGAGGTCATTCAATTCCAAGAAATTGACAGGGATGACCTGGCCGAGCATGCCTTTGCTATAGAGCGCCAGAGTAGTCTCAATCAACCTCTTGACAACGCCCGGACGATGACGAACGAGGAGAGCAATGTCGATGTTGGAGATCGAGACAGCCCTGTGAGTTGGGACAATCTCCATGGTGGAATTAGATAGGCTCTTTGTCGAGGCGTCCACAAAATGCCCGCACGCAGCGACACAGGACAAAGTCTCCGTCCGAGCTTCACCTGTCAAAGTGTTGAAGACAACATCAACGCCATCATCGCTAGTGCATTTCAAAATACCAAGAGCAAAGTTGAGACTATTACTAGAGAAGATACGCTCTTCCGGTATGCCATATTCTGAAACCAGAAGCTGTTGACTCTCGACCGTGGACACCATGGTGTAAATCTTTGCGCCAATGAATTGTGCATATTGAATAGCAGCTTGCCCGACAGCATCGGCGCCGGAGTGGATCAGAACCGTGTCACTTGGTGACAGCCTTGCAATCTCTCCCAGGCCGTAAAGTGCAGTGACAAAGGCCGTTGGGAGGCTAGCGGCGACTTCGAAAGGGATGCTATCTGGAACCCTGACAGCTGAGCCTTGATTGATTCGTGCTGAGGCTTGCGAAAAATTCCCAGAAAGCCCGTCCGCGAGAAAGACAACTTTGTCGCCGACAGCCAGGTCTTTGACTGCACATCCAATCTTAGACACAATGCCGGCTCCTTCTACAGGAGCACCAGTTGAAGGAATGTTTGGCCTCAGACCCACAGCTCGAGCCTCAACTTGTACTTGATCATCGGAAAGTTTCTGTCGATCGTGTCGAATATTGCGGAGACCGCGAGACCGTTTCGCCGTAGGCTGCAAGTTTTCCAGGTGCAGTGAACTCTTCGAATGGCCAATGTCTCCTTGAGGTGCCGACTGCATCGAAAGAAAGTCGTCGGCACTCACAAATTCACGAAGATGTCCAATGTGAACAATGTGGTTTTGCAGCAGATATTCAGCATGACGACCCTTTTCATACTGATTTTCAAACTGGTGCTTCACGATGCCACAAATCCAGACCGACAAGTCTTCCGCAGCAACATTGAGCTGATCAGCAACTGCCAATGTTACTATGTTCGAGTCATATGCATCTTTTTCCCAGCGGACGGTCCGGAGAAGCCCCATGCTCATGCTTGAAAAAGGGTTATCGCGTTGGTCTGGTGTAACCCAAAGGAGGTTCGGACAGTACAGCAGCATCTTCTTGATGCTGCGGTAGTCACCCTTTTGCATCGAGGATAGAAATGGTTGATAGAGGTCGAGGAGGGATATGCAGAGCGAATCGCCAAAGTCAACGCGATCCAGATCTATGGGCTTTAGTGCCATGACACAGGACTGTCCATCCACTTCAAGGAGTTGCGTTATGCAATCAACAATGTCGAGACTTCTCTCATTATCTGATGAGAGAATGTACACATTCCTGAACCTTTTTTCCTGCACATCTAGAGCAGTAGAGACCATGATACTCAGCCAGCTGAGATCCTTGTCGTCAGAACTGGGATATTCGATATCAACACCTGAGAATCCAGACTCAACGAGAAGCGCATCCCATTCACAAGCAGGAATGTAAGGGCACCACTTGCGAATAGGTTCATTGCCGCACCACCAGCCAGGAAGAAGACCAAAAACAAGTGGGTACCACAGGAAATCCTGTCTAATCCCTTCTTGGATGATGAGTTGTCCACCCGGTCTCAGCAGAGATCGCAGGCCTCGTAATGTCCCAGACAGATTGGTCGTTGCATGAATGACGTTTCCCGCAAAGATAAGATCGTAAGTATCTGGCTCAAATCCTTGAGAAGCAGGGTTATTTTCGATGTTTAGCGCTTGAAATTTCATGATCTTCTTCCATGCATGGAATCTCTCTCGTGCCTTTTCGAAGAACCCAGTGGATATATCGGTGAATGTGTAACTGGCAATGCTTTCCCTCAGGGGGTCTGCATTTGGCGACAGCACACTTAGGATTTCTGCGGTGAAGCTTCCAGTTCCGCCGCCAACCTCTAGAACTTTGAGCAGTGAGCACTGGTGGCGGAGAAGAAAGAGGTAGCTTCGAAGGTGTTGAGGGAGGTCGCGGAGCTGAAGTCCTTCTTGGTAGACTTCTTTCATCAAGGAGTCCTCCGCGAACATCAGATGGAGAGGATCTATTTCTTGTCTGATGACGGATGCGATATTGCGGCCCATGCGGACTGTTATGGCGCCTTCTGCATTGTAGCTTTCGACTTCCGCGAAGATCGCTTGCTTCAACTGGTTATTCGCGAATGCCAGCTTGAAAGTGGCATGTTTCACTTGTGTGATCCTATCATTCACAAGCTCATCCTGGACGTGTTGCATCCAATCATAGAATCGGAGAAGATGAGATGGAAGACCTGCGATGTCGAGACCACTCAGGTTCTGTAAGGCGTCTGCCATGAAGAGCGTTGTGGCCAATTGCAGATTTTTCACCCTGAACCTGTCCTTTTCGTGATCTCTGTGACTGACATTACTTACACTGCAAGCCGTTTCCGAGTCCAGGAAATGCACATCTGGTTTCCAATCAATGGTGGTACAGATTCTGCGTTCGAAATTGTTGACGATTCCCGTTTCGAGTGGACTGAGTTCAATTCCATCCATGCGGATCAAATGTGCCTGAGATACAATGTCGTAAATCCTGATCTGGCCTTCGAACTTATCCGAGGCAGATGACTGCACCGAGGCGTAGCCTCCGAAGGTATACCCAGGCGTGGACTTTAGATCGGCGGACACCCACATGTCGCGGATATATGTCGGCAATCTGATATCATCAACGGAGTCCGTTCCGGTTATGTCAAGCATGGCAGCAATCATCATGTGAATCATGCTGTCCATGGTGGCCGGATGAATGAGATGCTGATGCATGTACCGTTTCGGCATGGATTGAGCAATGTCAGGAACCGTAACGGTGCCAGTCATCCACCCGCGACGCGACCTGGTTGTCCTGACAGTATTGAGATTGCGGAAAAGCGGCCCAAACTCAAGACCGACCGAGATAAGATTGCTGTATGTCCTTGCAAAGTCTATAGTTTGATTGCACACTGACTGAAATTTCTTAAGGTCCTTCGCCATGCACTGGGTGTCAACCTTTTCCACAAATGCAGATGCGACGGGGTCAAGTGGGAGCTTCTTCTCCACCAAGACAATGCCCGAGCAATGTTCCGTCCAGTCCTCACTGTTCTCATTGTACGAGCTGATCTGGAAACGATAGAAACGTCTCAAATCTGTTGATGGCCCAGCTGTCATAGAGAGGCACACCTCGACACCTTGCTTCGTGTCTGGGATGACCAATGCTTTACGAATGGAGACTTGACGGAGCTGGAAGCCTGAAAGTTCCTTTGAGCCCATCAATTGTCGAGAGGCTTCAATTACCATGACGAGATACCCCACACCGGGATAAACATAGTTCCCAGTAACCTGGTATAAGTCAGTACGTTTAAAAACGAGGTGATAATGTCAGAAACACACCATATGATCCCTGATCCAAGGATTCTCTTCCAAGCGGATAAAATGTCTCCATCGTGGCGCATTCGCATTCCAATCCGGAACAGGCGCACCAAATAGGTCATGTCGAACGAATTTGCGGAACCTCAAACCCTTGCTCAATCGACTCTCGTGTATCACCTTTTCTGTGTGCTTGAAAGAGTACGACGGAAGATCAACAAGTGGCTCAGCGGGTTTCCGTGGTCGATAGCTCGAGGCAGTATTCACCCTGTGCAAATCGATCATGTAGCCAGCAGCAGCCAAGAATCCGATCGAACTTAATAGCGGATTCAATGTTGGGTCGTTTCGCTTCAGGACGGACAGGTATTTGAGTTTTCCTTGGCTGAACTCAGTAGACAGCGTGTCTTTAATGGCGCTTTGGAGAGTCGCATGAGGGCCGATCTCAACGATGAACGATAGATCATTTCCACTGGGGCTGTTGTCTTTCATATTCTCGTTTATTGCTTTTAGACAGGCGACAAACCGGACTGGAGAAACCATGTTGGCGACCCAATATGATGCCGGCAGGAAATCCCCAGTGACCTCGCCAGCTTCGAGAGTGGAGAACATACGCACTGGGTGCGGCAGTATCATCTTTCTTCCGGATTCGAGGGAACCCATCAATTGAAGGTATTCATCTGCAATGTTCATCATGTGCGCTGAGTGGTAGGCATTTCGGACCTTCAGCTTGCACGCGTATATGCCATTTTGTGCAAGGACGCCCTCTAACTCATCGATGAGTGCCGAGTCACCAGAAACCGTGTTGTTTGTCGGGCTGTTGTAGCACGCGATTCTTATTTCCCCAGGAAAGCATTCTCGAACGGAAGTGAGATACGGCTCGAGATCGGACGCACTCATGCCGACTGCCATCATTGCTGCACTGGCTGACTGTTGCTTTGAAGACAGACAACCTCGAAGATATGCAATCTTCCAGGCGGATTCGCGAGATATCTTGCCCGCACAGTAGGCTGCTGCTAATTCACCAGACGAATGTCCCGTGACAGCCTTTGGGAAGATTCCCCAGCTGGAAAGAAGATCGGTCAGCGCGATCTGAAGTGCCGTGCAGAGAGGCTGAGCGATTTCGGGAATATCGACTCGCGATCTCTGACCATCTGCCAAATGCTCTTCTGTTGTCCAGGAGTTAGCCGATGTCTTTCATCAGTTGGAAGTGAGTCTCCTACCTAAGAGGGACCACGGGCTTCCAAGACTGCGGATATATTCGGATGCTTCTGCCAGAGAATTTCTAAACACCGAGTACGCGAAGAGTGCTTTTCCCATTCCATGGTACTGCGCTCCTTGCCCCGTGAAGACGAACCAGATATCGGGTGGACTGTCTGCTCTAGTTGGTTTAGTGAAATTTCCTTCTGAAAGATTCCACTGCAATTCCTTGCTGGTAGATGCCATGGCAAAACTTTTCCATGGGAACAGAGAACGTCGAGATGAGGTCGTCAGCGACAGGTCGTCGAGCAAGTGGTCATTTTCAATGCCTTGGGATTTGCATTTGAGGTAATGCGAATATGCAGCTGCATTGCGCTTAATACCATCTTCATCGAATGCTGTCAACAACAAGATGTGTGGAATCTCTTTCGGCCTTTCTTGGACATGTGTTTGTTTGGGCTGTGGAGATGCAGCGCGAGATACGACGCGGCTCTGTGCTGCTGGTGTTTCCGTGAAGTCGACCTCGCTGACTGTATCATCGCTGTGGGACTCATAGCCGAGGTCCTCAGAATCTGACAATTGTTTCGATCGAGGTAGTAATAAGAACTGCGAATGATTTTCATGCGAAATCATTCCAGGCACAGTATTGTGCGTGCCGGAGATTTCGCGTTGGGTGAGGAAATTGTAGGCATCGTCAAGTACGCAATGTGCATTCGTACCGCCAATCCCGAAAGAATTGACCGACACTCGACGCAGCCCTGTCGTGGGCCAGAAAATGCTCTCAGAGGGAAATGAAATATTCCAATCTGTCACTGAAATCTCAGAGTTGATCTCTTGAAGGTCGAAGTTGCCAGGTATAACTCCCGACTCAAGAATCAGGACGGACTTGATGAGACTTGCTACCCCTGAGCCACCCTCCAGATGACCCAAAGTAGCCTTGATAGATCCAATGTGAAGTGGAGAGCGGCTCTGGCTGTTGAAAGCTCGGGCAAGAGCCTGCACTTCGATTGGGTCGCCTGTCCGGGTTCCAGTACCATGAGCCTCGACATACCGGGTGTGTTTCATGTCCAAGCCAGCTCGACGGTAGACATCTCGTACAAGTCTCTCCTGTGCTTCGCCGCTGGGAACCGTGATACCTGGAGTTCGACCATCTTGATTGACTCCTGTCTCGCGAATAACAGCGCGAATGACATCGCCATCTCTTACTGCTGCATGTAGTGGTTTCAAAATGACAGTCCCAACGCCTTCGCCGCGAGCGTATCCTTCAGCGCGTTCATCAAAACTGAAAGATCGACCCTGCGCCCCAAGTAGGCCATGATGGCTCATCCAGATCGTCTCCGCGGGATTCTCGAGTACGCTTACGCCGCTCACAACAGACTGTTATCAATGTTAGTCAGCTCGTTCTCTGCAAGCCGTGGTTCGGGGACTGACGTACCATGGTAGTTTCACGGGATCGTAGGCTCTGGACAGCCAGATGCAATGCAACCAGACTGCTCGAGCACGCTGTATCAATCGTCATGCTGGGTCCCTTGAAATCAAAGAACCAGCTGACCCGGTTCGACAGGATGGCATTCATGACTCCCGTCGGCTTGTACTTGAGGGCCGTCTCAGGATCTGCCTGTAGAATCCCCATATAGTCATGGTTGAATCCACTGACGAATACTGATGTATTGGATCCGACGGCACGGGCCATGGGAATACCGGCATTCTCAAGTGCATGATACACATTTTCCATCACCAACCTCTGCTGTGGGTCCAGGGTAAGCACCTCATTCTTGGTCATATTGAAGAAAGAAGAGTCGAAGAGAGCAGGGTCTTCCGACAAGAAGTGGCCCCCTTGAATGTAAAACTGCGTCTGATGTCAGCCATAGCTATACCGTCGTCGCCTCTTGGAAAACGTACCGTGCCTCCATGTTCGGGATCTGGATGGTAGAATGCGTCGGCGTTGAACCGTTCTTTGGGGATTGGTGACCAGGTTGATCGACACTGTAGCAGCGTCTCCCAAAGTGCTTCAACTGAAACAGCCTGCTGTGGGAAACGAGCCGCAAGTCCAACAATAGCAATCGGCTCCATCACATCCGTAACAGTGCCACCTTGGTCATCACGGGTGTCTTCTGGCCAGGGCCGCATAATGTTCGTTCAATTGAAAGAAAGCAAAGAGCCAGCATACCCCCTGCAAAGGTATATCTTGAAAACAGGCGCGAGGCGAAGTTATTTCTATTTTCTGGACAGAGATCGCCAGGGCGTTGAGTCGACAGAGTTGAGCAAATTAGCCAAAGGACAGTGCCCACAACTGGATGATGCCTCCGATGAACAAGTTGTCATTTCTTTGCTCATTCCAGTGGACGGGACCGGAACTGTTTTTCCAGGAGGTCGAAATGACATGCGTTATCTTCCACGTGTTGACTGATCGGCCTCGACGGCTCTAACAGTGAGGTGTAGCCCACGTCACCTCGAAATCATTCTTTGTTTCGAAGCAAGCAGCCCGTTTTTCTACTCCAGTTCGGCTTCTTTGGATGTTTATTTCAATCCGTTCACACAATCAAGACTATCACAGCTCCAGGTGCATCGTGCATCTTCCAGTTTCCTGGACAAGCGGGGGGAGATTGGCGCCATTATGCGGGCTGCTGCATGAACTGCCCCTCCGATCGTCGCCCACAAATCCAAGACGTATATAAGTCAAAAAGCTGCATCGGTCTGTCTCGGCCCTGTGTGATCCAAGTGGGTGCTCCCCTCATGTCTCGGAGAGGAGACTCACCATAGAGCGCGATTACGAAGGCGGCAGCGAGAGTTTCTTTGACAGAGAACCTTGCAGATGATCGACCCGTCAGAGACAGTCTGTTGTTACTTCACAGACATCACTATGAGAAGGTACGTCGAGCAACAAGGAAGGTGGAGATGGATAGTTGGTGCGCGGCTGTTTCCGCAAAAGGAAGAATGCATGCAAACAAAGAATACACCGCGGCTTCCCCTCGCCAGCCACCCCAACGCCAGACCCCTCCTGCCAACATCTGCCAACTTTTTCGTTCACTCGTTTTACAGTCAGACAACATCCTGGCCCCAGGCGAGCCACGTTCTTTGTTGGGTATGTGCACCTGCCGCGATCGAGTATCGGGGCTGTGATCTGTGACCGAAGCACAGCAAATGGGCCCGTACACCAGGGCCAACGAGCGCCAATCCTGGCGCCTATGCATGCTGTTCACTGAAACTAGCACACGCCACTCACGTTGAGAGCAGAGTTCACCAATAAACCATCCATCTCCCGATCCATTCCATCCCTGCAATTGAAAGCTGTTGGGGTCTCTGGCATATAAGAGCGAACACGTGGACAAGATCGACCGCACTGGATTAGGCCGATCTCACAGCAAACCAACGCAGCGATGAGGTATTCCTAAATAGTTAGGAGTCAGGGATGGGACTGAATTAGCTGCAGACGAGGACCCTCGCCGGCTCCGATAAAGCAGTCTCTCATTCGATACTCAACAGGCCCGTCTCCGCCATGCAACGCGAGGCTAAGGTCGAACCGCCAAAGAAGCTGGGCCACAACAAGACTCAGCTCCATCATGGCTAGCTTCTGCCCGACGCACCCCGTAGCGCCGGCGCTGAACGGTGCAAATGCCGACGGCTGCATTTCCCGTCCCTCGTGCTCTTCAGTCCAACGTTCGGGATGAAAGCTGAGTGGTTGGCTGAAATAGAGAGCGTTGCGGTGGAGTGCGTATGGTGCGATGCCTACTTTTGTCTGTGGAGGGAACCAGCATCCGTCAATGACACTTCCTTCTTTTTCCAGGATCTCCCTGGGCAGATGCCCGGGCGTTGGAGGGGAAAGTCGCATTGCCTCGTCGATACATGCGCGTAGATACGATAGACCGGAGAGTTTGCTGTCGGCGGAGTAGCGAATGGCGTTTTCTGAGTCAAATGCCTGGTGGATTTCGTTTCTGAGTCTGGTGAGCTTGCCCGGGTGATGTGCCAGGTAGAAAAAAATGGCGCTCAAGGCCCCGGCTGTCGACTGGGAACCTGCTACCATGAGAAGCACGTTTTCGCAGGCCAAGTCGCCGAGGGAATAGCTCTCGCCTGTTTCTGGGTCTCGGCCACTCAGAAGGTGCTCAAACATGTCGCAGCCCTTGTTTTCCTGGCCAGAAATGGTTGCGGTCTTTTTGGAGGTTGCGCGCGACTTCAGCTTTCCGAGACAGAATGATCGAAGTCGAGCGTTATCCCGGTATGATCGGCCCCCTAAGAGAGACCCGAGCGGCGTTTTGAACAGAATATGTCGCCACCATTTGGTCAACGGATGATAACCCAGCTGCGACGTCAGTCTCGGAGATTGCGCAGTTGGATCTGTGGATCTCGTGCTCACCGAATACCAGCCACCTGTAGCCCTTGGAACCAAACCAACGATTGAGCGATCTTCTTCCTTAGCAGTAAATCCGAATGATGCCCCGAACGCGAGGTCTCCCAATATGTCGAAAATCAGGAAGTTGCACCATTCTCCCAAATCGACAGTACCATTCTTTGCTTCTGCTTCTGCTTCCAGGTAATCCAGCCAGCTTGATATCTTCTGACAGATTCGGGGCTCATACTCTCTCAGCGCTTTGTCTGAAAATGCGTGTGACAGCAACCGTCGCTTGACACCATGCCGCGCCTTATCCCTAGCAGTAAAAGTGCTCTCGAATCCTCCGGCAGAGTCTCGAACACACTGGTACCAGTCTGACTTGATAATGTTCGCCTTCCTTGATTTGTATATTGATTCAAGAGCAGACGGCGTATTGAATGAGATCGAGTTTGGCGTGAATCGCACAATGGTACCTGCAATGGTCTTAGTGATTCTGTTTCTGACATAATCTTTAGGAGGACCAACCATATTGAGTGTGCATCTTATGAAGCCACTCATGTCTATCGCCCCTCTTCGCATGATACCAATTCGGTATGGCCGATATCCGCGCGAATAATGGACCAGGGTGTCTGGCCAGAGGATGTAAGGCCAGCCGGTAAACAGCTACGGCAATTATCTGCACTTGTCAGTAAGATTCTCTCGCATTCGGACCACCGAATGAACTTACGCAGAGTAAGAAATAGACCAAACTAGTCTGAACACAGATGGTCGTGTCGTATCGAAGTCTCTTCCCGGAGTCCATTTCCCTAGCTGATTGTGAAGTTGATGCTGCGGGGAGTCTGACAGAAGGGCCACGTACAATGGCATTTTATTCAGGGCCCCGCTTACTGGCCCCGTTTGGTCTGAGCGCTCTAATGTGTCCAATTGCAGCTCGGACGAAAGTACATTAATCAGCTAACATGTATCACATTTCGATTAAGAACTGTGAGCATATCAAATTGAAACCTTTTACATCTTCCCCGGCCTTTTCATTTTTTTCATCTCCGCAGCAAGAGCAGCTATAAATTCCGATCCCACTGTTTGCTTTTCTTCAGTGGACCTTTTTATCCAATCCTCTCGATGCCTTTCAGCACCCTCTATCCACCTGCCTGATTCTGTCTTTAACCAGTCCGACACTTGCTCTGCAACCTGATTCATATTGCGGTCAAAAGGCATGGTATGCCGGCCCTTCTCGATGACAATCTGCTTTACTGCACCCAGTTTCATTCCACCATTTCCCCCGACGCCAATTCCAGTAAGTCGAGCCCTCTCTTCTCGCGTTTCGGGGTGCCCAAAAAAAGGCGAATTGCTTCCATTGATATACAAAACCCAAGGCCGAACACCAGGCAGTAGTCTCCACGCCATCCGAAGTTCCTTTCGGTAGAACGGACCCAGGTTGTTTGCGCTCGGGTCAATATCGGGTATCCTTTGTCGCTGTTCTAGCGTCATCTCCTCGATACCTCCCGGTCCAAGACCAAGCATCTCTGGGTTAAACCGGCTGACCAAGCTGGCGATTTGGTCTTTCGGGGTTGTCAGGTTCCACGTCTCCCCTGCCGCGGCCGTCCTTTTCACTACGCTGTACCTCTTCAACCTGGCCTGGACTCTTTCATCCCAAGTCTCTGCATGCTGTCCCTTGACAGCACCTTCCTCCGCCTCCGCCTTTGTCAACCACCTATCCCGCTGCCTGAGTACAGAAAGCGACCATGGGATAGTAATGCCCCTGCCATACTGCTCATCGATCCCGGGCTCAATAAATGCAAACGAGTGGAAGAGACTCGGATGCCAGGACGACAGACAAAGCAGCTGATTGCATCCGTACGAATGGCCAAGACCAATAATCGGCTTCGCCATCTCAGACTTGAAAAAGTTGATCACACTCCACAGATCGTGCGCATGATCAATCCACGCAGGATCACAGCCCAAATTGTCGGTATTCGCAACGGCACTTTCGCCCACATTGAACATATCCGCTATCCATATGGAGCGAATTTTCATGCCTGACCGGGAGCAGCGGCGGAATATCTCTTCGAAAAGAGGCTCATACAGCTCTTTGATGAAGCCCAGTCCCCCGGCCGCGATGATCGTGATCGCGTCCTCTCTGTCGGCGGGTCTCACATCTCTGGGAATGTACTGTTTTACAGCGAGACGCACTCCTTTCGTTTCGTCAATTATTGCGTGTGGGTATTCTCGGAAAGGTGCGACTGGAACCAGGTGTGAAATAATCTGGAATGGGAAGTCCGGCTCGAGGGGTGTGATCCTGGTTGATTCCGCCATGGTGCTCCTGCTTTCCAGATGTGACCAGAACGTCGAATGCACCAAGCTCGAAAATTATTCAGACCCCTTGAATTCTTCCTGCTCTAAAGAGAAATAAGCCATCTCGCCCCCGCTAGCAGAGGCGCAGCATAAGTGCTTACATGTGGAGACGACTGCCCCATCAACACCAGTCAGACAGTCTTGGTGTTGGATTTGCTGACAGACCTGGCGTAGACCATGCTGGCTCTTGCATTAGTCTCTTTGAGAGATGAGGAGTGTGTCCAAACCTTCTTAGGGTAATATGGTGTAACAGGTCTGCAAAATACGAACGCCCACATCTCGCGCTTCCTGCCCTCCTCAGTCTCTTCCATTTCCACTCACACCACCACAAAGAACAATGGCAGTAAGGCGACCGATCGAAACAGAATCAATAACAGTCCAAAGACTAGCAGTTTCTATCCCCGCATCTTACGCGAAGGTGCTGGATCGATTCCGCACGCTCGTGCCGCAGATCAAGTTGGGTGACCTGCGCGCTTCTACGAGCGCGGAGGAGATCGCGAAGGTCATTGCCGATACGCAAACATCTACCGATTTCGTGCTTTTTGCGGAATTCAATCATGGGAGGTGGATTCGGCACTTTCCGCCGTTCAGCGGCGAGCAAAATTTAGGAAGTGGTGAATCTCAGGGAATACACAAGGGACGTGGAGTTCATCGCTTTATTTTCGGGAATCCGTTGCTGGCTATTACGATGTTGCGGGAAAATGTCGAGGCAGCGCTGCATGTTCCTCTTGACTGTGCTTTTATTGAGCAGGAGGATGGTTGGACAAGAATGGTGATGTTACTGCCTGAAGGCTTGGTTGCGGGTTATGATGAATTTGCGAGTAATCAGGCGCTTCGTGAGGCTGCTTCCAACCTGGAGGAGAAGATATTTCGTCTTGTTGATGCTATTACCTCGTCCGATGCGGCATGAATGAAATACATAATACCTGAGAAAAATTCATGCTCAACTCTTCTTCCCTCATTGCCCTTCCTTCGCAGAAACATCATGACTCTCCCGCATCCTATACTCCGGCGCCGGACTAACACCACCACGATACCACAACGCCTCATCGCAGTCCCTGACGATATCCCCATCACTACGTAACCCAAACTCCTTATCTTTATCAGCATCCTTCTCAACCCACTGACAGTCCCGAAACGCAATCTGCAGATCTTCATAGCGGAATTTCCCACGGCCATGATAATGCTTGCCCAGCAAAGGAATAATCGCCCTGCTCGCAATGGGACTATAGTAGTGCGGAATTCGAGAAAATAGGTGATGCGTAACGTGGTCCGAGGAAATATGGTGCAGGAAGTGCGTGCCGATGATACCAAAGTCGCGGTCGATTGTGGCTGTTGCGCCGCGGAGGAAGGTCCAGGATTTGGAGGTGTATTTTGGGACAGAGGGGTGGGTGTGGTGGAGGTATGTTATCATTACTGTTAAGATGTTAAGATGTTGTCAGTATTTCTTTGAAATGTTGGTGCTGGGGGTTCGTACCAATCCAGTGGTTAACCCATGTCCACGGCACAATATATACCCAGAATAACGTCTCAAAGGACCCGAAGACTCCATAGAGGTGATAGAGCACCGCAATTGTTGCAAGGCACCCTAAATCCGACATGATAATAGCTATCGCTTCTGAGTCCCGAAAAAGCGCACCCCAAGGATCAAAATGGCTATGTCGCCAGACTGACATCCCCTGCTTAATCACAGCAGATGGCGGACAAGTGATATTCGAAAGAATATACCAGTTCCATCCAATTGTCTGCTGGAGCAAGATTCGAAGGAATAGCACCAAAGGGGCATCCTGCCCTACTTCGTCGAGGACCTCGACCGCATGTCCAATTTTCTTCGCGTACTCTGCTCGTCGCGGCGGTACATAGTTCAGGTCCTTCTCGACATGGTTCGCGTAGATGTGATGTCGGCGGTGCGTGGATTTCCATGAGAAATACGGGGCGAGGAGGGCCGAGTGGAGTGTGAATCCGACGACGTCATTTAGGATGCCGGACGTTGAGAAGCCGCTGTGTCCGCAGTCGTGAGCGATTACCCATAGTCCTGTCCAGACGATGCCCTGGCAGATGCCGTATATGTTGACTACGGTGTAGTAGAGGGGGCTGGAGCTCTGGACAATGTGGCTGCTGAGCAGGTAGAAGAGGGTTGCGAGCAGGATTGCGGAGTATGTCAGGTCTCGAAGGAGGTAGAAGATTGACCAGAAGAGCGATGGCTGGAAGCAGTAGTCTGGTATTGCGTTTCGTAGCTCGCGTACGCTGATCTCTTTGTTGATATGCTGCGGAAGGTTAGGTCAGGGCATTTTGCAGTGTGACGGCTCTCTTCAAAAGCAGGTCATATGCTGTGAGGATTTGGAGGATATACACACCCCGCCTTCTACCAACTCAGTTGGATGGACCTCCCCTTGAGTTTGGAACCCCGTTCTGCCCTTCTCCATGTTGACAAGCAAGCAGTTATCCGTTCATACAACACAATGGCAATGTTCACGACTAATGAGGAGTTAAAAAATGAAATCGACGAAAGGTCAGCAGCTGCCCAACCCTTCGTGGCATATTCTTCACCAGGCTTAGTTCCGTAAGCATGCACAAGCTCTACAGTAGTCTGCATAGTGGATTCTGCTAGTCTCTCACTGGAAGTTATATCCACCCGCACTGCCCAATGGATTATGAGTATTTACCTCGCAGATGAAGTATTGGACGCCCGATTGTCCTCCTGCATTTTCGCGGTTCAGGACTAGTCCGTCTCGAGTTACTCGTTCTGTGGAATCCCTCTTGCTGACGTGTTCCACCAATTGTCGCTCGCTGATTCTCGTGTACATGATAAGCGGACCGAAACGGTGGGGGCGTAAGCCGCAGGCTTGGAGGCGCAGTCGGTTGCCAATTTTGGAAATCGTTTCTTCGCTGGGATCTGGTCGTTGATGAACGGGCACGGATGTATCTAGGAGGATGTCGATCAGAGTTTTCGATATTTGAGGAATCCCTGGCTTCGTTGGCCGAGTGTTGTCTTGAGTAAGGGCCTTGGGGGCCAGCGGTCGAAGGTTTGGTTGTCAGAGACGAATTGGGGTCCTGAAGATAGAAGCAATCATGTAGAGACACAGAGATATACACTCCGAAGAGAAGACAGCGACGGGCCAGGCGTTCGTTGCAGCAAATCACCAACAGCCCTAGAGGAACATTAGTCACTTGCGAACATCTCCTTCTCCAAGCCCGAGTCATTGACCCAAGGCATGATGAAAAGTGTAGATAACCCCACGAAAGGTATGCCAAACAATACATCTCTCAAACTCCCGTGGGTGAACGAACAGGCAACTAACGCGCTGTGCAATGCGGCAGCTGGTCCATGGTGATCCGCTCTCATGACCCCGGGCCACCCAGCAATGTAAGTTTCAGGAAAGCTGTGGAGAGAGTGAAGAGGAGCTATGCCCCAGCGATGGTGGCGATCACATGCCGCGCTTGCGTCGTTTGCTTGAATTGGTCTCGGTGCCTGAATGGCCTTGCTTTCGTGGTCGATGTTTGGTATCGGTGGGTCGTGGCTCAAGATTGGCCTTAACTGCGGAAGGTGTGGCTTCACTTTCTTGAGGAATGACGATGGCGAGGGAGTAGGGGATTTGGGGGATGATTCCTGATTAGGAAGGTGTTCCTCGCATTATATCTATTGATCACCAAATTTGCACAGCAACTATTATTCGCGTATGTACTATTTGCAAAGTACCAACAACCTAAATAATTTACATGTCATTCAAAATATCCTCCGCGGCCTTCTCACCAACCATATACGTCGACACAGCCGTGAACGTCCCCGGAATCCGCGGGTAAACAGATGCGTCAACAACCCGGAGTCCCCGCACACCGCGAACATGGAACTTCGAATCCAAAACAGCCATCGGGTCATCATCAGTACCAATAGGACAGGTACACGACGCATGATGGCCCCAAGCCGTATTCTTGATATACTCATGAATCTCCTCGTCCGAGACAACATCCTTCCCCGGCAACACTTCCTTCACATCAACAAGTTGCCGATCAAACGCATCACGCGCAAGCCTAATTGCCTCCGTAATAGCCGTTAAGTCTTTCTCGTATCCGTCACTGCCGGTGTCGAAGTAATTGAAGACGATATCAGGCATATCGAGGGGATCCGCCGAGCGAAGCGTGACTGAACCGGCTGTATTGCGCGGGTGGGCTTTCAGAACAGCCCAGGACCACCAGTCGTGACGCTCGGTGATGTTGATGCTGTAGTCCGGGAAGTAGCCGCGGAAATTGACGGGTCCGCCAAAGACGAAGGCGTCGTAGCTGTCGTCTGCTGTTTGCGTGGATTTGTAGAACATTGTTGCGGCGAAGCCGGCGGAGGAGTAGATGCCGCGGTTGCCCAGGACAGGACTGTTCCAGCGGTCGAGGCAGGGGTCACCATTAGGACTGAAGGTACATCCATCCAGCGCGGTGAAGTTCTTGGGTGAATGGCCCTGGACGGCGGTCTCGTAGTGGTCTTGCAGGTTGGTGCCGACGCCGGGTAGGTCAGAAATCACCTTTATGCCGAACTTCTCTAGTTCTTTCTTAGGACCGACGCCGCTTAGCTTCAGTAGTTGTGGAGAGTTGTAGACGCCACCGGAGACGATGACCTCGCGAGAAGCCTTGACGCTGCCCGCAACACCCTTTTCAGCTGTGCCGGAGCGAGGACTCGCGCGGTAAAGGTACTTTCCATCCAGAAATTCCACACCCGTTGCGCGTGGGGGAGTCGAGTTGTCAAAGGTCACCTTAGTGGCATGGCAGTTGGTTCGGACGTCGAGAGGGTACTTCTTGGAGCCGTCATCGTTCGTCGCATCCCGGACGGCAACAACGAAGTCACGGGGTCCGTTCCGCTTGCCGCCGTTCGTCGCAATGGGAATTTGATAATATCCCGGCGTGGTATCTCGCGACTTCGCATCGCGATTAGCGTCACCAGCGAGGAGTGTCCCGAGGTTAATGACCGAGTTCGTCTGGTTACCTAGTGCGAAAGCACCACCCAGCAACATACTCAGCAGCTGCGGATCTTCGAGGACAATACTAATCGGCGCCTCTTCATCATGCAACCAGCCATCATATCCATGTCCGGGAAGGCCAGGGAGGGCATATTGATTATTCTCCATGCGCTCAAAAAGCTTTCGCATATTCTTCGGCGACCAGGACCCATCGCCTGTCAACGTGGAGATATAGTCAAAGTCCGATTCGTGGGGATACACTGTGATCAGGGCGTTGTGCGCTGTGCAGCCGCCCAGCGTGCCGGTGCGCGGGTACAGGGTTCCCTTCATCTTGGATCCGGCTGGCGGGTTGAGACCGGTATATTCTTCGCCGGATGGGGTCTCGTAGGTCGTTTTATAGTCAAGGGCTTGTCGGTCGTCGTCGGCATAGTGGCGAACGAAGAAGTTCCAGGCTAGAGCACCATCTTCCGAGGCTTTGGCTGAATATGCTGGGACGTTGTAGTTGTCGTTGAGGCCTTGATCATCCCCGGCTTCGATCAGGAGTGTCTTGTGGCCGTGGAGAGCTAGACGTGCAGCGAGGGGACCGCCTCCTGCGCCGGATCCCACAACGACGTATTCATAGCCTGTTAGTTCCACCGCGGCTGTCAGGCTTGCGGAGAGGACCGCGAGTCCGAATAGGTGCAGTAGAAGCATATTGGCTTGCGATCACTATCGCTAGATGGTATACGAAATGAGTGTGGTGATTCAAAAGAATGTAGAAAAGTAAAAACTCAAAGAACGTGGAGATGAGGTGAAATGCGCAACACTAGTGTGTTTAAATCTCCTTACTAGCGCACATTTTAACTGACATCAGAACGTGTTACAAGACCATCCATGTCGGGCTTTAGTGGAGCTTGAGTCGGCTTTGACTCTGGCTATAAACACCCCCAAGCGAAAGGAGACCGGGGATCGGGTTCACCACACAGCCATGCACCAGTGTGGTGTGCATGCGTTTCCCCACCGTGGACCCTATGCCAGACGACGCAGCGAACCGGAGGGTCACGAGGCATCGCGGTGACGATCAAGCCCGTTTTAGAAAGAGTTGGCCGGCTAGTTGGGAGCTAGTGGCCCCCCACGGATACAATATTGTGCTCGGATCGCGGGTTAAAATGAAGCCGAGGTTATAGCGTAGACGGTGTATATTTGAGTTTATGGATGTGTATGTTTCTAGTGAAATGTTCTTCTTTTTTTTAGTTCTTTTTTTTAGTGAAGAGTGTGTGTTCCTGAAGAATTCTGCGGTGGAGCTGGCCCACTTGTGATGCGAGACCTCATCCTGATCTTGTCGAGTGCCGGCAGTTTGAGTAACTCTATTAAAAAAAAAAAAAGACCCACTGGATGGAGCGCTTTGTAATCATCCAATATATTTATCGTGGATTTTCTGGGTTTCAAAAAATGGTAGATTACTTGCCGCTTCAATGCTGTCACATTTGCACTCTCACATGGACCCAAATTGAGTTCTGTCTAATGCCGTGCTGATCGCAAGTGGATCCCCGACCATCCCGACCTGCTTGTTTTGTCACTCGCATTTGTTAGGTAGCCTCTAAATACAGTGTATGACTGTCATAAAAGGAGCCCTATGGACCTGAATGATTGTAATGGCTTTGACTAATGTCGGGACAACTTCACATGCTACCATATATTACTGAATAGAACAGTCAGGAGGTAGAAAGGTGGAAGATGTATTGGTAAATCAGGGCGACCTGGGATAAGCCTGAACCGCCGACTAAAAATGCTTATTTGACATCTGCCCCCCCCCACCGAATAAGCTGTGTCTTCACTGTTGTAATAATCCACAAAAAAGTAACTCGGACCCAAATGAAAGATAGTATAACCAGTGAGGGCCACTTGAAATTGTGGCCGTCCGGAGAATCACCGGGGGCGACGAGGTGTCTGCTTCTCTCGCCCGTGCTTTCCTTCCTTCCCTCCCGGCAGGTGTCACAAATGAATGCTCTTCGGGGCAAAGCGGTTGATCGTGTGTTGATTGATCGATAAAGAAGGAGAAAGGCTCTGCTGTCTAAAAATGCTGCTGCGTTGTCACATGACTGCAGCCGGGCAGGCTACATGGTGTAGATATTGGACGATATTGTTGCGATAGATCGATCGCCTTCCCTTCTTTTTCTTTGTATTCTTAGACGAGTTTACTTTACTTCACTTCAATTAGTGGATCGATGATTTACTGAAAACTAACAGCTATCTGCTTCCCCTCGTAGCCTGTTGCCTGAGTGGCCAGCACATTCCAAAGGTTGTTATCCCAGGCGCCGAAGCCACACCGGCTCAATGACATTACTTTTGGGATCCCAGTCAAGTGTACAACTGACAGCCGTATGCAGGGGTATAGCTATCAACCCTCAGGTGCATACAGCCGTACAATTGCATGATTGGATCCATTAGACACATTAGTTTGGATCTCCATTAAAATGCTTATGAACACCGTCATCGCAATGGTGTCAATGGAATCCATAAATTTCTGAACTCGAATTTTGATACAGGGTGTGTGAAATCATTCACCCTGGCCCCTCGCGAACGATATACAGGATACAGCAACTATATATCTCCGTGTACGTACATGTAGAGCGTTCCACTGTTTCGCGCTCTCTGGATTGCCTGCAGCGATGACCTGTTGTCGCACAGGATCGATGCTGTCTGTCGTTCGTCTGCGGTCCTTGAGTGTTGATGGGCCATCTTGAACACCATGCCAATTGCGTAAAAGATGCCTATAAACTCCGGCACATGGACGGACCAGCGGTCCATCGGTCCAACCCGGACCTGTTGGGATTCGGCGATCTTCAGATTGTCGTCGAGCGCCACTACGGCGGCACTAATGTGACCTTCGCGTCCCGAGGCGTCTGAGTAGACGACAATGTCGGTCGTGGACCGTACGGTCTCGGCCCGATTCCTTGCCGTTTCTCGGTCTAGCCCGATCTCAATCTCCGTGAAGGCCTCGGCTCGCCACGGCGGTAGCGGCCGTGGGTCGATCGTCTCTAGGCCGTTTAATCTGTCTACGTTCATGGTCTTCAACGCCTCCGCAAGTGGGAAGCGAGCATATGATCCGATGTTGCTCCTACGTTTCTGAGGTCGGGGTAATTCACTCCAAATGGGGTGTTCTGGAGGTAGAGTGTGGAGACGTGCGATGGTGTTCTGGGCTCGGTGGCGGAGACGGAGGTGGGTAGGAAGGCTGCGTGCCTCTACTTCTAGGGTTGTGGTTGCTACCGTCCTGAACGCTGATAGGATCCGGACCAGCGATATCCTCTGGACCGAGTTCAAGTGTCGCAGGTGAGACTTGTCTCGTAATGGGTCATGCCAGACTGTCGATGCGTAGTCTACCACTGGTGTGACGCAAGCCTGGTAGAGCTGATGCATCTGTTCCGGGCGTAGATGTCGTAGCCCGCCTAACGCAATACTGACCTTAGTTGCGCGCTTGATTGCTTGCTGGACGTGTTCTTTCCATCTCAGCTCCTGGTCGAAGATCACGCCGAGCAGCTTAGCCGTGGGCGACTGTTCCACCGTCTTCCCATTCATGACCACATGGCCCTGGAGCTGTTCACTTCTTTTCCTAGTGAAGTGAATAAGCTCGGTTTTCTCAGCTGCGACGCGGGACCCGATTCGTTGGGCCCATGCCTCGATGCGTGGGATGTCTTCCGACTCAATCTTGGCTAGGTTATCCTCAGCTGAGCGACCTACTCGCCAGCGAAAGTAGTCATCGATGAAGGCTGATGCACCGCCGTGGAAGGTGACGGGTTGGTCGACCAAATCGGAATTGAAGAAATCAAACAAGATAGGGGAAAGGGGTGAGCCTTGCGCTAAACCTGCATTTAGCAGGAGCGTAACCTCGGTGCGGAAGTCGTCGAAACCTATGCTAGCGTGGCGGTCGTTCATAAAGCTCGCAATCCATTTTCTCGCCGTCGTTGGTATCCTTCTCGCCCGGAGGCAGGTGTCCAGGCTCGCTTTGTTGACTCCATTAAAGGCTCCTTTTAGGTCGAATGCCACCAGCGTCACTACCTTATTTTTATACCAGGCTCGGTCGATCGCGTTAGATTAACAGGGCGGTGCGGATGTGGGTGTTGGCGGCTTCGGTGGGGAGGTATCGGCCGAAGGTGTTTCCGTCAGTAGTGTCATTGTCTCTTGGGTCCACGAACGATCTCTGGGTGCTGATTCGGATGCAGTTCCGTTCTTTCTCGGGTGGGTGGTGGCTCGGCTGGGGGGAGCCATTGCCGCCGCTAGCCGCTACTGCCGCCCACGATCTGGCTGGGGCTGCTGGTGTCAGGGTTTCAATTCGATCTCGCAGAGCTCTGATTTCTTCGCGGACTTTTCATTCTGATCTCGGAGGACATTCTGGTCGTGTTTGACCTCTAGGATCTCGGCTTTGGTGGATTCGATGACCGTGGTCTGGTGGGTGATGATTTCCTTCAGGCTGTTGATGAGCTGTCGAACCTCCTTGGTCGTCACCCGTCCGTTATTGTCTTCGGGACCTCCAAACTCAGGGTTCGAGTAAGCGATGGTGGTGGTTTCATTGCTATTGCGAGGGCTTCTTCTCTTTCGAGGTACAATCGGTTCGATGTTCTCCAGGGTGAAAAGCTGTGCTCCTCCTTGGGTGTTTGTGGGGGAGGGCTTGGGCTCTCCCGCGGGTGGGTCCGCCATCGGTCCGGGGTTAGTTCCCGCTCGGCACACAACAACGTTTTGTATCGCAATAGTATCAGCCACAACGTAGTCCAAAAGGGCTTCGGGTCTCCCTTTTTCCTTTATTCTTTTACAGGGTGTGTCTCTCCAGTACAGGCGTAAATATAAATGGCTTCTGTATCAGACTCGTAAGGTCTCCGGGGTTTCTAGAACGTTGATCCAGCAAACAAGCCAAACAGACGGATGCCAGCTCGTTTAGAGACGTGGCAGGAACCCCCCATTCTGCCAACCACTGACCATCTAGAGTGACCACAAAGAATGAGCGAGTTGTATAGAGACAGTACTAGTGGGTAATGTATCTTTGCTTCATGTAACAGGCTTGGCCTTCTAATAGGGGGCTAGCATTTGCCATAGCAACAACAAAATGCGATCTCGTATTTCTATTCGCGCACTTGAGAAACATGTACTTGGTCAATCTAGTGAGCGAAAGGGACCTAGCTTAGCAAAAATCGGTAGTAACACGCCCGATATAAGGAAAAATCTATATAGACTACCGTTGTTAAGATATCAAGTTGTAATTTATCGCATTCACTATGTGTTTTGGAGTGGCCGGGCCGTTTGTGAAATAATGTTACTAGATGTTACTATGTGAACATAGTTGTAAACCTTCGTCAGGCTATACAGGCAAAGCGCATAGAAGCTATCTTGGATTTTGCCGAAGCGTCCCACCGGTTTCAAAGCCGCACGTTATGAGGACAAGATGAAGGCAACAACGGCTTCTAGGCCATGACAGGTCTCGGCGAGGCATTAGTTAAGTTCGCTTAGGAAGTGGTATATGGTACCTGTACACAGAAAACCTATCTAGTTGTCAAAGCCTGCATGTCGTTCGCGAGGGGTCAGAATAAATGAAGTCATCTATCCTCATCATCCTCATCATCCTCATCATCCTCATCATTGACTGTAACTTACAAGAGTAACGTTTCCATGATCCGAAGCTCGCAAAAGATAGATGACAGACATAGTGCGAACCATTCTTGACCAAGTGGGTCGCCACATGCTTGTAAGCGGTCATATAGATCGTATTCACTGCAAGACCTATCTATGCTAGCTGTGTACCGTAAAATATACATGAAAACTCCACTGCTCGAGAATATCATGCAGCGTGATAAAGGCGGTCCGGATTGCCGGTGTAGGTCGTGGCTAGCTGGAGTTCACCCTCACAGTGATATGTTGCTCCAATCGACGCCACTCGCGACTCATCGGGTCTATTATATGCATTAAGGCCGAAGCCAGGTGACGCTCAGATGGATCTGTTTGAATGGGATTGACTATTGACCAATCAGGCCATTTTTTAGCTATTTTCTCGGTCGAGGTAAGCAGAGCAGCGGCTAGTTATCAAACTTCCTCTTGAACTATAGTGCGGCAATTGACAGTCCTCACAGTTGAATTGATTCGTCACTGCTCAGCCCAGGTTGAATACCTGGATCTAATCACTCAGCCACAAAGAGGCCTGCAGATAAGTCTTCTATCGAAGACTCATTTCGATACACTCACTGGCAGTCAAGCCGTCAAATCAATCAATGGGTACAGGCATCCTGCGAGGAACGTCTAGCCTGTTCTTGACATTATTTATAAAGGAAGCGGCGTTGGAATGATAAGATGAAAAGGCATTCAAGAGGCGCTTGCGTTGTTCAACTGAGCCCGCTGCATCATACTACAAGTATCACTCTCCAACTCGTAAGATATTCCGCTAGGTACGCAACCCAGTCTCACTGGATGAACCAACGCTTACTTGGCTTCCTTATAAGCAGTTGCAGTCCAGGATTCGAACAAAACCCCTCCATATTGTTCAACATCTTTTTGGATGGCCTCCTCAACGGCAGCGGGCCATCTCCCTTTCTCTTCATCAGTCCAGCCTTTTGTCATAGCATCCCGAAACCCATCCCACAAGATGGACTTTTTCATCTCTTCGATATGCTCGCCTTTCCGTACAGTTCTCTCTTGTCTCACTTCCACTTTTGCCTCGCTGAATCCAGCCTCGACGACAAATTTGAACAGCACACCTTCTCCACTGAAATCTACGCTGGAAAAGATTTCAAGAGGCAGATCGGGGCGAACAAGGCTCTGCGCTTGACGGATAACCGAGCACCATCCAGATCGCTTCCACGCAAGAAGCACTGCGACCCCGCCGGGCTGGAGAGTGCGGTAAATCTCACGGAGGCTTTGAGGCGCATCCGGGAAATGGAACACCGTGAACATGGCAATAGAGTGAGTGAACTTCCGATCAGGAATGCTGCTTAAATCCTGAGAGTCTGCCTTGACAGCCGTGATTCTGGGGCTCCACTGGCTATAGCACTCATTTGCTACGTCTAGCTTGGAAGTGTCGGTAATCAAAATCTCTGGGATTTCATCCAGAAACTTAGGGTCAAGCATGTCGAGAATGACTGAAGTGGCAGCACCAGCACCAGTGCCATTGTCGTGAACCACTGAAGACGAGGTAATCCTCGGTGTAAGATGTTTCAACGTTGGGGCAAATAAGGCACGTTCCGCGTCGGCATGAAAAGGAGAATAATAGCGGGCCTTGACGTTGCGCTTGAACTTGGAGGCCCAATCGTGGTACCTCGAGGCGGACGGCGGTTTTGTCTCCCATTTCCACCAGTTAAGGTTAGTCGATGTCGTCTGATTGACCGATTTTTGCATTATCCTTGAATGCAGCTCCCTGGATGGGCCCTTCCAGGGCTGAAGGCTGTAAATGCTAATTGTGGACGACACAAATCACTATACGAAGAAGGCCCTTAAATACTCATGTTTTGAGCCACGTTTCGGCCACGTTACGCTTGCGCCAAATCCTAGGCTGATGTCAATCTGGTGACCAAATTTAGTTTTGTGGCATTCGCAACTGAATTCGTTAGTGAACACGAAGAAGGGAGAGTGGAGAAACTAATTGAACAAGAATGTCTTGACTTGATAGAGAAAAGAAGGGGGCTGTGTAGTATGCTGTATTCATAGGCACTAGTTAAATAGTTACTTAGTTACCTACTTACCTACTTACCAACTACCCAACTACTCTGCCCATAGACAGCCCCCCAGACGGAGCCCTAGACACCTAGGGCGGAATTGATTTTATTGTACTAGGCCGACATGCTGTTTACAAGAATCTTGAGGAGAGGAAGATGTCGGGAAAATGGACACTGGCATTGTATTCACTCGTCAGATACCACTGTGGCTGGCTGAGATCTGCAATTTTACAATACCCCCCACCCCCCCCCCCCCCCCCAAACCACAACCCAACACATGTTCCAGCTACGGGTTCCAAACGGGCTGGGGTGGAGATCCGGCGATCTGGCTTGATCCTGCCCACTTTCCTACTTTCTTCTGGATCCGAAGAAATTTAATGCGATTCAGATTGCTCCTGACAATACATCACAACTGTAAATAGTTAACAATTATTTTTTAATGAATTAGCGATTTATGCAGCAAAGTATTGCATAGATGGCCCCTCTCGAAGGCCTTCTCGGTGTTGGGTTGTTGGGGGTTAAGGAGGGGGGTGGACTGTGGGTTTTCCACAGGTCGATAGCCGAACTCTCGTTTGGTTGCGATATCGGACAAAATAAAAAGTCTACTCTGGAGCCTTTGCCAGTTTCAACCGCTTGCGAATGCTCACTAACCCAATCCCTGATTCGCCTTTTGCCATCTCAATCCAGATTTCTGATGTTGTTGAAATGTTGTGAAAATGTCTCTTCTTCATTTGCCAACGGAAATACTGCTGTCAATAGCAACATTCGGCATCGAACTGAGGCCAACTACACATCAAGTGCAGAGCTTCTGAACGACTCTAGTGATGGGGAGACATCTGAATCTGATATAGGCCCCGATTTTGAAGATGATATCACAACACTGAGGGATTTTTCATTTATATCTGTCAGTGAGAACAGCAATTTTTTACAATGCATCGGCTGGTGCAACTGACTATGCGCGCGTGGTTGAAATCTCATGGACAAAAGTAACAATGGAAGGATAAATTCATTAGCACCCTGTGCGACAAGTTTCCCACCGGTGAATACGAAAATTGGGAGAGGTGTAAGGCACCCTTTCCTCATGTCAAATCCGCCATGTCACAACGGCCAGCATCACCTGAGTGTCTACAACTATGGGCTACGTTGCTTTATAGAGGTGCAGGGTATGCGTCGCAAAGCGGTAACATCGCGGATGCACGAGAAATGGCATCAAAATCAAGAGATCAAAGAATAATTTTATTAGGGGAAGATCATGAACAGGGCCTTGATAGCACAGCCATGTTGGCTATAGCATACTGGCTTGACGGCCGGTGGAAAAAGGCCGAGCAGCTCGACGTGCAGGTCATAGAGACGAGCAAGACAAAGCTCGGCGAGGATCATTCTTTCTACGCTGACGAGTATGGCTAATCTCGCTTTCACTTGGAAGTCTTTAGGTCACGATGCCGAAGCCATCAATTTGCTACGAAGTTGCTTAGCCAAGCAGAAACAGATACTAGGGCTGAAACATCCAGACACTTTATCTAATGCCGAAACATTGCTGGAATGGGAAACCCAAGGCCTTAAAATGAATGCCTGGATACGCTGGATACTTGAAAATTACAGATTTATATAGCAATTTCTGCTTTCTGTTTACATTCCTAGAATGGCCTTTCTATGAAATATTAATTTGGCGTGCATTATGGAATGATCTTAGCACTTTAATGAACGTTGCTGCCAGGAGTGAGCACGGCGATGACGGAAAGAGGTGACATGAGCCAGCTACGAGGGGCAATGACGTAGCAGTATTAATAGTACGAGTATTTCAATCAATCTAATAAACTCAATCGCACGTGATGACATCTTTCAATACAATTCGAGTCTTGAAATAAGGCTAAGCAAGATACAGATTCGCGTGTTTCTAGATAGGGAGAAAGAAACTACGAAAGCTAAGTGGTGAACCTGATTTCGATCCATCCTGTATTCGTATCAAAGCTGGGCCGAGGGGTATCAATACAATTCAAATCCAGCTCACTCAATCTTCTTGCTGGAGGCCTCCTTCTGCAAAAGATAATCACCTCCTCTCCAAGCCTTGTAAACACCATACAATCCACTGAAAGGCCACACATCCCAAAGAGCCCGCTTAACCATCCCCTTCCACCCACTCTCAAAGTTTCCCCTATGTGCACCAGGAAGATCCGACTCGCGCACGCGTACCTTGTCATACAAAGTCGGGAGATGCTGCGCGTGGTACTTCTCCCGAAGAGAATCATATCGGTCCTTGTTATATATATCCCAAAATTCCGACTCGGTGTAGTAAGTGTGTGCGTACAACCACTTCTTCCCGCCCAGACTATGGACCTTGTGTTCAATTTGTCGATTCTTTCTCATAAAGTCATCCTGCCCCTTAGCGTTGGATGGGCCCCAGATGCCAAAGTTCATGAGCGTTGTTCTATCCGCGTCTTCGTTGTCGAAGTCTTTCACAGCCTGCCCTTCTAGGCCTCCTGCACTTCCGGGCGGGAGCGGGCACAGCCAGAGGGGGTATTCGCCGAAGTTCTCGGGGCGGTCCAGCCAGTCTAGGAATTCGGCGGCTGTGGAGACGGGGACGCCGATGTCTTGGATAATGTAGAAGCGTGATAGGCCGCTGACGTGCAATGCGTGGTACATCACTCGGGTATGCATGAATCGGTCGAGGATCCAGCGTGTGATGAAGTTGAATGGGGTGAGGAAGTAGCTGTAAGCATAGCGAGCTACCCAGAAGCCGCCGCGGTCGTACCGGAATAAGTAATCGGTCAGCGGGATGTAGTCGACGGCCGCGGGTGTCGAGATGTTATTTTGGCTGGAGCTGAAGCTCTTCGCGATCTTTTCCACGTGCAGATAGAACCACTTGTCTGCGCGTCGAGTAAACCGCTGAACCGTCGAGTTTGTTGCTGAGATATTCTCGACCTGTCGCCCAGCACAAACCACAATCTTGTTGTGCGCATACACAATGCCATCCAGGTACTCTGTCTGCGGATCGGCACTCGCCTGCTGAAATATGCGGAGCGCATCCTTCATGTCCGAGCTCACATAGTACTTCAACTCCACCAGCGGATCCGCCTTCTTCAACCTCACCTCCAACAATGTCACAACACCCATGGTCCCAAACGACGACGCAGCGCCCCAGAACAAATCCGACCGTTTCTCCTGAACATGATCATTGCTCAGAATGCGATCATTAAACGCCTTGACAACCTGACCGTCCGCAAGAACCATCTCCACCCAGTTAACCGTATGGTCAAAAAACCCCTCTCGAAACGAGCTACTCTCCCCGGAGGTCCCGGAGAAGCCGCCGCCAACAGTGATGCCGGGAAACTCCATCACGACGAGCGGGACGAGGCCCTGTTGCCGGGTAGTGGCGACGAGATCGTCCATTGGGACGTTGGGCTCCACGACGGCGGTGCATCGCTCGACATCGATTTCCAGGACTCGCGTCAAACCTGCGGTGCTCACGGTTGTGGATGCGGAGTGGTTTGCGGGGCGGGTGCTGTTCGTTGAGCCATGGTAGATGCGGAAAGGTTGTTGACGACGGTGGAAGTCGGCTACCCTTTCGGAGATCTGTTGGACCGTTGTGGCGTGGTCCATTGTAGAGAAAAAGCAATTATTGTACAGGTTCATGTATGCAAGGAGATGTACGGGATGCAAGAAGCAAGCCGCCGACGCAGCGCTGATCGCCCGGCCGAACATGGCTGCCTGCGGAATCGGGCGGTGAGGCCACATCGAGGTAACTGCGATGGAGCTGCTCTGCGCCATGTTGTTTCTGTATCTCTATCACATATACTCTTGATTTCCAAAGAACATTCGGGAAATACCTCCGGCTAAAAAAAATCATTTGCTGCGCCGCGAAACTGATGGTCGGTTAAAATGCTCTATGAATATATTGTTGACCTCACATACGACAAGTCCTAGTCCACATGCGATATGACTCGGCGCATCTTAATTTATTTGAGCAGTAGTAACTTCCTCCAGCTAGATCTATCTGAGTCTTTTCAAGTTCAAGTAGTCCTGGTCACATCTCGTGCGGCTCTACAATCATCTGCGCATGGTCACGTGCTGGAACAGGAACCCATTGCTGCCTGAGGCCGCAGTCCAGGTGACCTTGTACACAGTACAAAGACAAAGACCTTTGGCAACCTTTTCTCTTTCTACACTCTCGCCCATATATTATTTTTTAAAACTCCTCAACACCACTACCCGAAACCCATCCAGGACTCCATCAAACCTCTCCCCTTGTCTGACTTACGTCTGTCATAGTCGCCGAGATCTATCAATCTCGCTGCAAGTCTCAACTATGATCGATCGTGCCCGGGCATTTCACATGTCGCCAGCAGAGGAGATGCCTGTGGATCGCCGATGTTAAGACACAGTGGCTGCAAGGGTGACCCACAAGCCAACCCTGTCGATACTTGGAACACGTTCGACTGGACTCTCCAGCCCTGGCTGTAAGTAAAACAACTCTTCCGACATCCAATCCAACATGCTCACAAATGACGTAACTCATCAGAAGTATCGTCAAGCACCTCGCACCTCAAGCCCACAACATACCCCATATCGCTGCCTGCTTCCGATATCCTACTATGGAGGCACCCGTGATCTGGTCGATAGATACAGTTCTTCCTCGTAACACGCCTGCGCACGATTACGAGGATGCGAGTGGAAGTACTCATCACCTGCGATGACCTTCGAAGGACTCATGCCAAGACAAGAATTGTCCCTTTTTGATTCATCAACTGCAAAACAGTTATTTTGATCCTCATAATGCCAATTTCCGTCATGTGCAACTTTGCCTCATCAACGATTTGGAAGTGACGCTTTTTCAATTCGAGCGAAGCAAACGACCGTCTCGATTATAGAAATGGCCAGTGTTCCGGCTGGGGCACATCGCTCAGACACTTTCGACAAACCTGCAGTGTTTCGTGGTGGTTGTAGAACAACCTGCATCAAAGATTATCTCAAGTTTCCATGTCTGCGTTTTGAGGCTGGGCCCCAAGGATGCTTCAAGACATCTTCCCCTTCGGGTATCTCCAGCACCCACAAGCTCATGGGAAGCGCATTCTCTCATTTTGAGCCGATCATCACTCATTCAGCATTCTATGCGGCAGACTCAACTCAGCAGGCGGAGACTCCCTCTTCCTCTTCTCCTTCTCCTCTCCGCGCCTCTCCGTCGTCTCTCTTCATTCAAATCTTCCTCATGCTTTTTCTCTACTCCTTCCTTCATAATTCCCCGCCAGAGAGGACTAGAGATCCTGGCCTGTGGACAGAGAACATACTCGGGTCTCCTCAGGAGGATCCTACCTCTCGACGCACGATTCAAAACAATTTCCCTCAGTTCAACAACTCAGCTTCCGATTCTATCTCGAGCCATTTCTTCATCCGAGTCGAGAAAAATGCAAATGCTGATTTTGTGCAATTGGATTCGCATCTCTGTCGAAGGCATTGTCGCCTCCCCAAACATATCGTCTTCCTATGCCACTGTGATCCTCTGGGTCCCACAGCACTTTTCAGACGTCGTTGTTCTTGCTCGCCGGCATCCTTCCCTCTAGTGATTGTCATTTCCGGCCAGAGCATGAGACTTTTCGGCATTGCCTTCGAAATCTGCCAATCCACTCTTCATTGGTAGCCGCGGCCTATATCATACCACGAAGCCCATTTTGGGTCCGCCTGCATTGAGTACTTGAAACGGGCTCGAAAGTTTCAGATAGGTCTACCTGGTCTTTGCTGGAAATGAATGCCAACTCTCCCTGGATTGTGCAGGCTGGTCAGCTGGGACGTTTCTCCGCTGTGAATTACTTCACGAAGAACTCCAAGCTTCGTGGTGGTTTGCCAGCATCATCCCACAAACCGTATCCAACATTTCGGGGATGTCATTTTCAGATTCTGTCTATGCCAAGAATGTCTTCCGACAATGCAACCGTCGATTAAACTGAGCTGAAGTCACTATTGACCTCACACGCTTCTTGTTAAGCTCGCGTGTTTGCGAGCCTCAAGGACATCGGGAACGGTCAGCCTGTCGCACATAAAGTTGCTCTCACATGACACATCTTCAAGGTTGATGAGCTGCTGCGAATAATGTGATATCTAAGGTGTTTTGCACGCCCACATCGTGGTGATTTGGAAGTCGAGTTCAAATTAAGGCCAGAACAGTGACAGTGCTTGGGGCATGACAAATTTGCTACTCGTTAATAATTTGGACCTCTCTTGACAATTCAAATTCCTGAGAACATATTTACTTTTCGTATGCTGCTTCCAAATTCACGGAGTGCCCTTTCTTGGATAAGATCCAACGAGTCATTCAAGAAGAAACAAAGAACGGAAGCAGCATGCGAGAATACAATCAAAGCACATGAAAGCGATTCTGTCATTGAGTTCCGGAACCGCTGGGTCAATTTCATCGAGGGCCTGTGCAAGCATGCGGAGAAGAAAAATCTTGCAGGGTGGCGAGGTTGAGATCAAGCGCCACAATGCTGAATGAGGATTCTGAGTGTGCCATGTTGGAGCCCTGGCAGAAGTGGACAAGTCTGAAATTATCCTCACACTTGAGCACATCAAAATAGCGCTAAAAGTATCAGTTATCACAGCAATGTCCACAGAGAAAATCGAGGAGCACAGCCTCCTGCTCGTCATTTCAGAGGCATCGACTTATTTGGAGTCCGACGACGATCCGCCCACGTAAGGCCTTTCTCGCTCGATGATTAGAGCCTCCGCAGATCTCAAGCGTATCCGCCGAAGCTATTCGCACGAACATCTGGCGTGAGGATTCTTTGCGAACAGCCCACGGCTACGATATCATCGGCGTCAAATCAGGTCGATGTGGATCTACGAGATTGCAAGGGGCGTCCTCCTCTACATATACAGAGCCCAGAAATGCTGGCGCTGTGTGACCTTTCCAACTCCAAGGCGTTGATCGATCCTCGCAAAAGCCCGTACGAATGTTCTAGCCAGTCAAGCACCGGATTCTCACGTCTCCAACAGTGGCAAGAATGAAGAGCGACAGTGGCACGTCACGGCTCTGATCTTGTCGAATTTGCAACATACAAGTAATTCAATAATGAAAGTGAAAGAACACCACGCGGTATCAGGCAGATCTGGGCAGCAGCGAAGTGGCGAGACCGAAGAGACCCAGTTTCGGCGCCCAGTCGTATGGGCACACAGCCTGCAAACACTGGAAACCGTGAATTTCCATAAAATATTTCAGGCAATTGATTGGGTATTCAAGAGAATATGTCGTCACCCACTACATTCCAAGTCGTCTTCTAGCCCGGTGAGCATTGTCGGTGGCCGACAGGGGCATGGCTCATCTTCGCTTCCGGCACAATGATTTCAAGGAGTGTTGAAACTGTTTGACTGAGCATCTGTGAGATACCTAACCCCGCGGAGTCAGTCTACCTTCATACTGCGATACTCCTTATCGAGGTAGGCAGTGCATACGGGTGAACACGAACAAGATCAAATACCTATCGGTGCCGGTCAATCGGCAGCCAGAGAACGCCGTCCAGGTCGTCGGTTGAAAGCTACTCGCGAACCAACAACCCATCATAGACTTACCAAAATGTGGTCACTCCCAAGTATTGAAATCTTCCCAGTGGGTAAATGAGAGTCTGCACTTGGGTGTTAAACAAGTCAAACCGACGTGGCGAGTCCGATGTCCGCATGGGATCTCCCAACCCTTGGCTGCGCACAGAGCCTAGATTCCGGCCTTCGCCTGGGATTTCGGTACACTTCAGTAGTACTTTCACGCATAGCTGAAAACACGAGGAAATGAGAAAAACACAGCCAGGGGATCCTAAATCCCACTCGAACCTGCTATCCTTTCGAGTGAAAGCATGACAAAAAGGGTGACACTCCCAAACAAATTAAAACAATGTCTCCATCTGGTGCACTGAAGGGCGTGTTATCACTGCTGGGCCAAAATAGATGCCGACATTGTTCGTCGTATGCATTTTATTCGCACTTTCAAGTGGGTGATGAGTGATGAAAAAAGGTCAGATGGGATTGCTCTTGCACCGAGTAGTTCATCTGTATCGGAGAGCCTTGAATTCGAATGCATCTCAGAATCCTAAGGCTGTCCATGACAAAATCAGATATCCGTGCCCGTGCACAGAAAACTTGGCTGCAAAGAGATATTAATTCTCGAAATTGAATATATCTCGACATGCGAATACGATACACGACGGACGCAAGCATCAATGTCCGTGTGGATAGGTCGGATGCGATGAGGGATCTTTGACAAACAATGGGGCGTCTTCAACCGAACATACGACAACCTTTTTCTACAAAGCATCACGACAGCCAATGGAGAAGGGGAGATTGATGAGCGGAGGCGACGAGCGGAGACAACGAAATATTACTACCGACACAATTCCTCGTCTCAGATCTATGTCCTAGAAAAGTATTTTGGGCTGGATAAACGCGAGTATCGCAACAGTGGCCGTTCTGCAAAGGTGGTAGGTAAGGGCCTGTATCACAACCTCCGTGAGCAAGTCCATCACTCTGCCTCTGTCCGGAGCACCGCACAGGCGTGTGGGTAACACTAAACCATTGGCTCTCCTATATCTGCACTACAAACACCCCTACCACAAGAAGCCTACCGGCCATTCAGAGGCAAATAACGGCCCGTCGAACAACACAATGAAACCAGCCAACAAGCGAAAGAGGGTTACCTTCCCGAACGCTAGTCCGAAACGTCCCTAAGCGGCCGCTGCACGAGGCGCCCTCAGCTGCAAACTTACCACTCCGTTGGGCATCTTTCTGATGAAGCGTGCTTGGAGTGACGTCCACCTACGTTCGCAATCATGCCCAAAATCTGGAAGGCCAGCACTACAAACGACCTACGTCGAGCTAGGAGGATAATTTCCCAGGGTTTCCGATACTCGTGGCACAGAAAGCAATCTTCCCTTTCAAAGATGGAAGTGGGACGGTGTCTTTGAAGAAACATGGTGGCAGTCGATTTTGCCTTGATTGAAGACCTACCCTCCGCGAAAACTTTTTCAATTTCATGTCATGATGACAGCGAAGGTGGCAGAAACAAATTTTGCGACCAACGACTTAAATATCATTATGAGTATTCATCGATGGCTCTGTCCGCACTCGTGAGGGCAAGAAGGCCGCTTGGGCGAAGCAGATCGCTACTCTAAACAACTCTAAAGAGAGAACGGAATGATAAAACACCTCGAAATCCATTCGGCAGAGCTAACTCGAGGCTGCGAATAGAAGGAAGAGCCTACCTAACTTTGAACCGTCTTCTTTTCGGTCCACTCCCATTCGCGCTCTGTCCTGCTTTGAGTCGCCTTGATCCCGATTCACTCACATAATGCATCTATACCAGTCGCGAAGCCTCCACATGTATTGGTTGATGAATTTACCACGAAGATGATGCTTTAAGAATCTGGATGGCGTACGTGCGAAATATAAGTAGAGATGCAGCAATCGCATATACAGTGCTAGCGTCTCTCGAGTTCAAGTGCATCGACACAACGGTTCGGAGGGGTCCATTCAGAGCATAGACGCTTTCTTGCAGAGTCTCTTAGAAACCAACTTCAAAATTCCTGAGCACCCTATCTTTCTACGTTTCTGCGTACTTACCGGATGGTAAGAGTACTAGATTCTGATTCTGGATAATAGCTGTTGTTCATCCGTGCTAGCTCGCTCATATGCTGCAGCATAATAGTTTTGTGTAACGATCAGACACGTTTCTCTTGAATGAGAATGGACGAGTCATCAAATAGTTTCCATTCAGATGAATTCGTCTAGTCACTTCATCTTCATAGTGTCAGGTTGAGGAATACGCTAGTATCTACAATGGCTTCTACAATGGCTGCTACTCGTACAACAAGCATGAAGAAAGTCTAATCTTGAGCTAACCGTCGACAACAACATCGACTTAGGTTAAGAAAATGCAATGTACACAGGACTCACAGTTCGTCCTTAACATCCTCCGCCGGCGGAGGTATCGGCCGGCCACTATCCACTCCCAGATCAACTCCAATCTTCTTACGCCATTTCTCCCACAGCGCAAAGAACTCCTTCTCCATCCCGCTCTCCATCTGATCCGGCAAAACAACCCCATACTCCACATACAGATTACCCGGCTCGTCATTCTCATCCTCACGCTGATCATGCAAATGGCCCTCAGAATAATGAGGCATACCCTCACCAACGACGGTCTCAACAGCCCAAGGCTGAACAACCTGTCCCCGACTGCGCCCCAGCCTCACAACATGGCCATCGAGATGCGTAACATTCCGACTCCACTCACCCATCCACGCCTCCCGAAGCGAAAGCATCTCCTTCCAGAACAAATCCTTCCCCTTCCTCCGGAAAAAGGTCCCATCATTTCTCTCCGCCTCCGAGCTTGAAAGCTCCGGCTCCTTCTCATCCAGAATAACAATCAAATCACCAGCAACCCAGTCCGGACTCTCATCAGCCTCATTCTCAAAAACAAGACGAGTCCCCTTATCCATGCCCGGCTCAATCGAAGCAGAAGTCTCAACCTCCTTCTTCACAACTCTCTGCCCAGCACAAACCGGACAAGGATTTTTAACATGCTTTCCCTGCCCACCGCACTTATCACACGGCATCTGCACCTGCTGGAACATGCCAGGTGCAAGCATGTGTTTCTGAATCACCATGCCCCGCCCCGAGCACCGGTCACACGTAATCACCTCCCGATCTTTGCTTCCGGTTCCCTCGCACGAATCGCAAATCTGCTGCTTCTCAACCAGGAAGTTGATTTCGCGCCCATTGTAGAAATCGCGGAGTGGCAGCGCCGCCCGAACTTCCATGTCGGGTCCGCGTCGTGCTCCGGGCGCGTGTCCAAAGTGGCCGCCGCCGCCGAAGAAGCGAGAGAAGAGGTCGAAGGGGTCGTTGCCGCGCCCGCCGGCCGAGCCGCCTTTTCGGTGTTGTTCGACGCCATCGTGGCCATATTGGTCGTAGATTTTGCGGAGGGAGCTGGTTGAGAGGACGTCGTAGGCGTCTGCGATTTCGACAAATCTCTCGCGGGCTGATTCGTCGTTTCTTTGGTTTGTTAGTATTCCTCTCTCATTGGACCTTTCGCGGTTCGAATGGGCAAGGATAGATCCGAGTATGTGCTGCATGTACACATACTCGTATCTACCCAGACGAAGATATTTGGACTGCAACTCACGGATTCTTATCAGGATGAAACTTCTTGCTAAGCGTCCGATAAGCACGCTTTACATCCTTCTCAGACGCAGACTTATCCAGCCCAAGAACCTTATAGTAATCCTCCGCGGCGAGCACAGCAACCGCGAAAAGCGCCAGCGCCAGCGCAATTAGCATTCGCTGAAGATACATTTCGATGCGGCTCTAGCTGCGGCGCAGCGCATGAATTGACCCTGTGGGAGCGTTGTAATTTGCGGACGGTGTCTTGCTGGCACTTAGGTGCGGCGCGGAGTATGAAGCTAGCTCCGTGAGCTTGAGCTTTGCGCAATTTGGTCGAGCGCGGGCTGTGGAGGAGTTGTATGGAAACCAAATGAGGGTTAAGAGGTCGGCATGGAGGGTGGGATTGGGGGAGGACCGGTGTATTTGGGCGGACAATTGTTGCTCGAGGGTGTGTCGCGCGTCGAATCGAATCGGGCCAGGTAATCCTTATCACGAGGGGGAACAATGTTCGCCCGGGTCACGTGGATGTGTACCAGCTGCGCGATAGCCAACTCTTCACTAGGTACTTTCGGAGGCTTGATTTATTTCAGGAAGTAATTATTTTGCTGCGAGAATTTGAGTTGTTGGGTATATCGTGAGCTTCTAAAATAGCGCCCCTAAAACTGACCACGTTAGCTGCTTTCGCTATTCCCGGAACATTTACTGTTTGTACGAGCTGCGAGCTACAGGAAATGACAGCAAATAGGATAACTCCTTCCCGGCCGGAACTTTGTATTACATGCCAAATATTCCAGTAGTAGTTACGCATGGCTGGGTATAACTCTGTGCTCCATTCGAGTGTCATGTCTTCGAAACTTCCCTCCCCTCATAAGTACCCGAGTCACCCTAATCCATGTGAACATGAGAAATTCTACATCTTTCTTGGGTTTCGTGGCTAATCGGTCGGAACCACTATCAGATCAACAGTTATGGTATTTACGTATAGACAATTCGCAAGGTAAATAACATTGTGAAATGAAATATTTATGGTAGTGGCTGAGCGATATATATTGCCCGGCACCGCCGCTGACAAAACCGGTACACTACACTTGTGTAGCGGTATTGATGTAGCTTTTGCATCTCAGATGAAAATGGCTTAAAACTATTAAGCACATCCTCTATAACTGAAAAATAGTTGATAGTATGTGATATCCAGGAAGATTCCAATAAGAAAGGACATCAAATTGATTTTAACCGTTAATGGAAAGCATAATCACAAACCCTCATCGTTAACCATATCAACCATACCCAAGCCCATCCCGAAACACATCTCAACTGGTCATCTCATCTACCAACAACATCAAAAATCCCATTTCTCCAACCAGGTTCAAGGCCCGCGCTTCCACTCCCATCTGCATCCTCAACAACCTCCCCAGCATTAAGCGCCTCCTCTCTCCAAACCTTCACAATACTCCCCGGCGCATAAGTGTCTTTAAAAACTCCTTCCTTAGCCGGAGAGAATGCAAGCCTCGCCTCAACATCCGAAGGACCGGGCTTCAACCGCGCAAGCACAGCCCTAACAAACGTAACCAAATCACCAGGATTCGCAACCCGCGTCGCGCGAAGCCGCTCCCTCGCAAAAACCAGTTCACGATTCACCGTCTTCGCCACAAGCACTATCTCCTCAGCGATTTTCTTTTCTAGGATTCGGCGGAGGAGGTGTTTCAAGAATGGCTTTGCGAGCCACAGGAGCCATTTCCATCGGCTTTGGTGTATTTTATAGTCGAGTTTGTGGATGCGGACGCGGACGCCACGGAGGGTGAATATGCTGGAGAGGTTCTTGCCAACGTTTATGTCGAGGGTTATGTCGACGCCGCGGCGGTCGAGTGCGAAGCTTGCGATTCCGCTGTCGTTTGGGAAGAGGTGTGGTTTGAGGATGTAGCCGAATTCGGAGGCGGAGATGTTGAGGCCGTTTATTGTGAGCGTGAAGGCGGTTGTCGTTGTGGTAGTAGTTTGTTTGGCGTGTTTCTTTTGGATATCGATGTCGTTGCGCGTTGTAACATGCATTCGGTAGGGGAGGAAGGAGGTGAAGTTTACGCTGTGCCCTGGTTCCAGGATTAGATTTTCGAGCAGGAGGGAGAGCTCCGGGGCGTAGACTTCTAGACGTGGAATGGGGATGTATTGAATGGTTCGGATGAGAACGGGGAGGATTATGTTTATCATATCAGCGGGGAGGTCGGATTTGTGGGTGGTGTAGGCTGTTGAGGTGTGTTGGTAGAGTCTTTTTGTTGCAGCGATGAGCTTTGAGATGCCGGGATCGTCTGGGATTGTGCGAAGGGTTCGTTTTGTTTGGAGGAGGAATTTGTCGAGGTCGTTTCGGAGGTTGGTTTCTGTTACTCCGCTTGATTTTTGTTGGAGTTCGTCTAGTTTCTCTGGGGCGTGGTCGAAGAAGTCTGGGTCTGTAAGCATATCTCGGAGAGAGGTACCCGCTTCGCCCATCAATTGTTCGAATTCGGGGTCCTTGTTGGCGTGTTGGAGAAGGGCGTGGAATTGTTCTTGTAGTTTATCCCACTCCTCTGCACTTCCGAAGGATCGAAGCAAGACCCAAAATTCGTCCACAGCCTTCTTAAGATCCTCATTGACTTCCACATCTTCCTGAGCGGCATCCGCCGTGTCCTCAGCTGCATTGGCGTACAATGCTGCGTACCGTTGTATCAACTGCGTAATCGTCGAGACCGAGTCTGTATAGTCCGACCGCTCGCGGAGTCTCTGCACGGCTTTCTTCAGTCGATAGAGCAATGTCTCTCGCTCCCGACCAGATAGATGCTCCTTGGCACTCTGGGCCGCTTCTTCGCCTGTGCGAGCCACGCCTTTGCCAGCGACATCGGCAATATGTTCGAGTTCCCCCTTCACCTCCTCACTCGACAATTCACGGCCCTCGTCCGCGCCAGCCCCTTCCAGCGCCCGCTGCTCTTCCTCCGATGGCTGCACTTCATCAGCTACCCGCTTAGAAGCCTCAGCCAGCGACTCGGCCGTATCAGCAAAGATCTGGCGTCCAACAGTCGCGACATCATCAACAAAAAGACGAAAATCCGCATTCGTCAGCAGCAGACTCCCCACCGTCCGGAAACTATCATACGCTATCATAAAACAAGGTTCCGTTAGCTACTGTAGTGGTGCTGCCAAGCTTTGAGTATCATGGGGCGACCCACCGGCTTTGGCATCAGCGCGGGCTTTCACGTGGGCCGCCTGCTGCAACGCCCGGCCCTGATCCACCGAGACCCGGGCGCGGGAGAGGCGCCAGAGGAATTGCTGGAGGTGATCGGTGTTGTTCTTTTCATGCAGGAATTCGATGAAGGTCGTTAGCCAGAGGCGGGCGTCGCGGACAAGTTGTCGGCCTGTTGTGCCGATGTCTTGTTTGCGGAGGTTCAGGACATCAGAGGCGAGGAGGGTGCGCAGGTTGGCGATTGCTTGTTCAGTTGATGGGAGATAGCCTTGCGAGAGGGCGCGGAGCATCTGGTAGGTGTGTAGTTTTTGGTGGAGTTGGCGCTGGCGAGCTGTGTCGTCCTCGTAGCGGGGGAGAAGGGGTTCTGTTTCGGTGGGCATGGTGGTGGTGCTGTACTGCAGTGTAGTGGAGTAACTATTTTTTGAGATCAGGAGGTGCTGTAGCATCATGGTATGGAGCTGGAAGCTGCTGGTGTTGGGCTGGCGAAGCTGTTAACTTGGAAGAGGTGAAGTTGGCAGGACGTCAGCCTGTTTTGGCGATGACGACATTGCTTACAGCAAACTCACTACTAGCCGTACTACCTACGGGTACAAGGATATACTAAGTACACAATTCATTTGAAATATAAAGGAATGCGATCAATTCTGGTGTGTTTCTTTATTCTCCGCTATAACTCTACTATAGTATACACAATGTGTATGGGATGGCCTTCTCGGGGTCGCGATCGGCGGGTCTGGGGATCCTCTACCAATAATGACCGGAGCTATTTTTATGACCGGCCCGGTCTGGATCGGGCGATCGCACGATTCCACCGCATCGCAGGGAGGGAATGGGACTGTCGAGTTGCGCGATTAAATATCAAGCATTGGATTTTCTAGCCACATATTTAAATGATGCAAGTGTTGACTGTTGAGTCCCCAGCTTGTAGGTACACCATATCCTCATACACCTTTGGTCGGCGCCAAGGAATTGAATCTGGTCCCAATCTGATCTGCTGAGTCATCATTTCCCACGAAAAACAAGATTCGCCTCCCACCAACCGCCATCCCCCCGGCAATCTACAGTATTTACTGTGAATATTGGTAGACAGTGCGGGAATCACACCTGTTCAGTGCTGCTGCGGGATTGCGCAAGGGATCCTGATCCTGCATCCTGCATTCCGAGTCGGGGTGGATATCCGAAAATCACGCAGAAAAATCTGTCGCACCGGGCGACCCCCGTCGGCGGCAAAGACCATTCACAGCGCCAGACGGCCATCGTCAACGCGGCCGCTTCGAAACCGTCCCAACAGTCTCACCCGAGGCGAATGGGGACGGAGGCAAGTACTTAGGACGGCTGTCTTCCGGTCAGTCCTTCTGCCTTAGGGGCACTACTCGGATTCCTTTTTTTCGTTTCCGCCCGATCCTTTTTCCTATCTGCGGCAGGCTCCGCACGCCGGCTCCCGTCCGGAGGGCCCCTCCTCCCAATATGTAGGATCTATACCTCTGTTATAGAAGAGTTTGTCAGCATCTAGTCGCATTAGTCCATGATAGGAAATTCAGCACAGGTTCTGGAAGGCTGGGAGCTCCGCTCCGCTGGAGCTCGGAGTTTAGGCTGTAGTCAATTGGCACCGAGACTCCACTTCGGCCACATCTGCGGCTCTGGAAGCTCGCTGCGGTGGAGTCGGCGGTTTGTCGCAGCCGGGCTCCATCGCACTTGGTCATCCCCGGCTTTCGCAGCCACTCACAGTCCAGAACTGCCTCTGCCCCGGAATGCAGTTCGAGGTCTACCGTGTATTCTGTGTCTGCGCTCCATCGCCTGCAGCTGGGACCCGGGATACCGTGTATGCCTCTTCACGATGTCTCCCTCCCCAGCCTGCCTACCGCGTTGCTGTCCGTACGGGCTCTCCGCATCCCCACACCCGTGCAAGGAGGGCCTCGAAAGGGCAATGCAATTCGAAGAAGCTTTGGAGGGATCCAGATTGACTGTACAGACTGATCTGGCCTGAGGAATCCACTCCGACCGGTGGATAGCCTGCTGGGCAACGGTTCGCTGCCATCACCGAACATATCCACATCCCAAGTCCCACGCCGCGACCCTCCCTTTTCTCCATGGCCCGACTCTTCCCGACCTCCAAATCATGCCTCGCTTTTTACTGAGCCTTGACCTTCCCCTCTGGCGGTCCCGGCGGATGCTCATTGCTCGGAATGTCGTGGATGATGTGCGCTCGATTGACCCAGGGGAAGCCTAGTCTCCTCCGTGCACATAAAACCATGCCACGCTCTCCCCGTCTCTCCTCTTTCTATCATTCTTCCCCTTCTGTAACGAGTACTTTTGCCCGTTCTCAGTCTGACACAATGGCTCGATTTTCGCCTCAACAAAGCCGGCCGGTCCATGCGACGCCGTTTATGAATCACTCTAACCAGCCTTCGTGAGTACAACCTCCAAATTGCCATGCTGCGCATGGCAATTGCATTCCTTCTATTACTAGAGGGGACTCTTCTCTAGTAAATGAACACATTCTAATCCTCTATTCTTCTAGTGACGCCAACTATGATACCGCCAACCCCTCCTACATCCGCAAGTACCTGCGCACCTATGGCCTCACTCCTCCCCGCGCCGAGAGCTACGAGACCCAGAAGACCCGATGTTTGGCCCAGCTGGGTCTGAAGGATACCCCCATCGAAAAGTTCCAATACCTTAGCACCCTGCGCAAGAACAATGTCCACCTCTTCTACCGTCTGGTCACCGACCACCTCAGGGTACGTTGAGTCACTCCCATGTGAACCATGTGATCCATGTGATCGCGAAAATGCGCGAAAACAGAAAACCACATGGCGCTAGCTTCTTCGGGAGAGATCCAGAGCTAATGACTGCAGGAACTCACCCCTCTGATCTACACCCCCGTCGTCGGCGAGGCCTGCCAGCGCTGGTCTGAGATCTACCAGCAACCCGAGGGTGAGTACCGTCAACGCCTACCACATTGAGTGCTAGCTCCCGCCAGCCCTAGCGTGTTTCTCCGCACTTGGCGCGAGACGAAGATGAACCGGACTGACTTTGTGTTAGGTATGTACCTGAGCTGGGAGGACCGGGGTAACCTGGCCGCCGTCATCGCCAACTGGCCCCAGCCCAATGTGGAAATCACATGTATCACCGATGGCTCCCGCATCCTCGGACTGGGTGACCTGGGCATCAACGGCATGGGTATCCCCATTGGCAAGCTGGCCCTGTACACTGCCTGCGCGGGTATTCGCCCCGAGGCCACCCTGCCCCTGACCCTGGATCTGGGTACCGGCAACAAGTCCCTCCGGGAAGACCCGCTGTACATGGGCTCCCGCCGTGACAAGATCAGTCCCGAGGAGGAGCGGGAGTTTATGGACGAGCTGATGGCGGCTCTCACCGAGCGTTGGCCTGGGTAAGTGTTCTCCTTCCTTCTCCTCATCTGCCCGATATCTTCCCCTCACCCCCTCCCCCTTCTCCGATCTCTTCCCCGCCCTCGTGACCGCCATGGAACATCCCGGACCTTGATCTTTATCTGTTATGACTCAGACTAACAAAGCTTAGCATTGTCATCCAATTCGAGGACTTCAAGAATCCCTTCCCCGCCCTCGAGCGCTACCGCGACAACTACACCTGCTTCAATGACGACATCCAGGGCACCGGCGCCGTTATCCTCGGCGGTGTCATCAACGCCGTCAAGCGCTCCGGTCTCCCCTGCAAGGAGCACCGCGCCGTCTTCCTCGGCGCCGGCTCGGCCGGTGTCGGCGTCGCCAAGCAGATTGTCGAGTTCTTCATGCGCGAAGGCATGACCGAGGATGAAGCCCGCAGCTGCTTCTACCTCGTCGACACCAAGGGTCTTGTCACTGCCGACCGCGGTGACAAGCTGGCCGACCACAAGGTCTACTTTGCCCGCCAGGACAACGCCGGCCAGCAGTGGAAGACTCTGGAAGAAGTCATCGACCACGTCAAGCCCACCATCCTGATGGGTCTTTCCACCCTGGGCGGCGTCTTCACCCCGGAGATCCTCCGCAAGATGGCGGACTGGAACACCGCGCCCATCATCTTCCCGCTCTCCAACCCGTCCTCCAAGTCCGAGTGCGACTACGAGAGCGCCGTCACCAACACCGACGGCCGCTGCCTTTTCGCGTCAGGCTCCCCCTTCCCCACCATGTCCTTCACCAACTCCAAGGGTGAGACCAAGACCTACTACCCCGGCCAGGGCAACAACATGTACGTCTTCCCAGGTATCGGACTGGGCAGCATCCTTTCCAAGGCCGTCCGCGTCACCGACAGCATGATCTACGCCTCCGGTGAAGCCCTTTCGGCCGCCCTGACGGCCGAGGAAATCGAGCGCGGCCTCCTCTATCCTGATGTCACCCGCATCCGCGAGGTTAGCATCGTCGTCACCCGCAAGGTCATCCGTGCTGCGCAGGAAGACAAGGTCGACCGCGAGACTCACCTCCGCACTCTCTCCGACGCCGACCTGGACAACTGGATCAAGTCGCGCATGTACGACCCCCACACCGAGGTCCGCTCGCTCGAGCGCGAGGTTGGCCACCTCCTATCCAGCCTGGGTAACCTCTCCCCGCTTATGAACGGTTCTCCCACCGAGGAGAATGGCTCCAAGCTGTAAGCCCCAACCTACCTTACTCGACTTGACCTTATGTTGGGTTAGGGTGAATCCAGACCGGCTCTGAGATTCCCTGCTTTCTTTCCTTGCATCTTCTCACCAGCTCCTCAGGACGTGATTTTGCACTTCACTTCATTTGTTGTTTCTTCCAGCGTCGTTTTTGTGTCTGGTTTTCTTTGGAATACCCTCCTTGTCGTCTTTTCGGTCGTATAACTGGCCTTGCATTGGTAGGATAAAATCATCTGAATGATATGTCGAATATTCCCTCTTCCCAGGCTTTAGGGGTGGTGCTCTTTTAAATAGTGGCTGTGGTTCCGCTGCTAGCCGTTCGGACCGAGGACTCTACAGTGGAAGTAGAGAGGCTATGTTCTCTATCGGACTCGTCTATGAAGAATCAATTTACCACAAATGCAATTGATGCTTCAATGTGCACCCTCGCTTTCACTATATCATTCCGGGCAAGTACAATGGCCATATCCCTGCACTACCCCTAGATAGGGTACTATGTACGTTAGAAACTCTTCGGGACCAACCCGGATATCACATGCAACTCAAATACCCGACTGGCCCCACATCCTTTAACCCCCGCAAGTCACAATACAGGGTCTACGGCTCTAGTATGTCCCATCCGCAATGCATGCCGAATTGGTCTGAAGATGACCCACCGCTCCAGAGGAATTAGCTATACCTCTTAACGTGAACCAGTCCACACTGATGCATTGTTGGGGATATGGAGAAGTGGGACGGAACAACCTTCTCTCCGCAATGACTAACCAGGCCGAGGTTTCTTTCAACATAAGGTTTAACTGGAGATGTTCCTGCTGCTCAAGCTTGTACATATACTTCACTGAGATACCAAGCCAGCGATCAAGCGTTCAGACAACTCTCAGGTGAAGCATCACATCGTCAAACACACATCCAGTGTATCACGGCTACATCTACGATAATTGAGCTGAATCGATCGCGAAAATGGCGAATCCCCTCGCAGACCCCGTCAAGTTACCCTGCGGCCTCGTGCTTCCAAATAGGCTATCCAAGGTACCTCCTCCCACCACCAAAAAAGCCTCAGCACAGCTCTAACACGTTTGAAACAGGCAGCAATGGCCGAACTAATGTCCAAAAAAACCACCCAGACCCTCTCCAACCCGCCTACGAAAAATGGTCATCCGGCGGCTGGGGCAGCATCTTGACAGGCAATGTTCAAGTCGATATAAATCATCTAGGGAGCCCCTTCGACCCAGCCCTGCACGGCGAGTACTCCTCAGCAGAGTCTAACACAGAAGTACTGGCACGATGGAAAACCTACGCCTGCTCCAGCCAGAAACACGGCACACCAACCCTAGTCCAACTCTGCCACCCGGGCCGCCAATCCTTCCGGGTCGCGGGGAAGAGGGGTATATTCGCCAGCAGCGTTGCGCCGAGCGCGGTGCCGATCTCTGTGGGTGACAGTTGGATCGAAAAAATAATTGCGGCGCTTGCGTGGAGTAAGCCCAGGGAGATGACGACGGCTGAGGTTGAGACGACTATTGCCCGGTTTGTGGATGCTGCGAGACTTATGGCTGATGCTGGATTTGCGGGGATTGAGTTGCATGGGGCGCATGGGTATCTTATTGGTGGGTTCTTATCTCTGAAATGTGGTTGTTTCTGTTTGATGGGAAAGTGCTAACTGTTTTGGCGGATAGATCAATTCTTGAGTGGGAAGGTACGGGCATACACCCATATCAAATCCAACAAAACGGCACCGCAGCCAAAAACCCCTCCAAATCAACAATTCTAACCCTTCTTTCTTTTTGTTGTATAGACAAACAACCGAACAGACATCTACGGCGGCACCCCGCAAAAGCGCGCACGATTTATCCTCGAAATAATCCGACAAACCCGCGCTGTCGTCCCGCCCAAATTCGCAATCGGCATAAAACTCAACTCAGCAGACCACGACAGCTCCACCTTCGAAGAAACAATGACGCAAATCGCGCTTCTCGTTGATGCGGGTATTGACTTTATGGAAGTTTCTGGTGGGACGTATGAGGATCCGAGAATGATGGGGTATGGAGGAGGAAAAATAGAAAGAGGAGGGGGAGCCAAGTCTGAAAGAACAGCCGCCCGCGAAGCCTTCTTCCTCTCATTCGCACACGAAGTCCGCGCCCGACACCCAGATCTATGTCTGATGCTAACAGGCGGATTCCGGTCTCGGGCCGGCGCGGTTGCGGCTATCAACGACGGGGCGTGTGATCTGATTGGGATTGGACGGCCTGCTGCTATTAATCCCAGTTTGCCGCATTTATTGCTTGATGAGGGAGTTGAGGAGTGTAACGCTGTGCTAAGGCTGGAGAAGGTGCCGATGCCTTGGTATGTGGGGTTTTTGCCGAGGAATTTGGTTGGGGCAGGGGCTGAGAGTGTGAGTATTTTTCCATATTTTGCTTATGGATCAGTGCTGATGGTGGTAGACTTATTATGCGCTGCAGATTCAGAGGTTTGCGAAGGGTTTGGCGACTTGTCTTCCTGGTCTTTGAAGGGGTTGGGTGATGTACAATGTAGACTGGTTATTTGTTGATTTTGGTTTTGGTTAGGGATGAATTGAATGGAAGTTATTATAAAACTACTTGAAAGTGTGGATGCAGGTGGAGACACATATACCGGGTTTTACCTCTCTGTAGATCAGGGTCTCTTCATTACGATTGGATTTGGGACGAAAAAACAAGTTTGGATTTCGTCTCATGAGAACATGTCAGACGAAAAAACCGGGAATCGGATGGAACAAGGGACTCGACAACGTTGCATTACTTTTTCTTACTTCAGGGTCTCAGATACTTCATCAAAAAGTGTCCTTTTATGCACACCTTCCGCTCCTGGCTTAGGAAGAAAAAAATGCTCTATGTTATTTATACCACAACGCTAGGTGACGGTAAATTGAGCGCCAAAAATGGCTACATTCGTCATCAGAATTTCACGTGATCGAAATCAAACCGCTCATCATTTGCTCCCTGAAGGCTCCCTGAGCACTCATGGCTACTCAGGGTTCAGCTCCGCCCTATTCAGATTGCTCCAATTAGACGATCCGGTATGTTGTCAATGTCTCTCTTCTCTAGCATCTGCTTATAGTCGGTTGTATAAATATAAAATGATGATTTTGCCGGGTGCCGGTACCACCTCAGGCTTCGCCTTTCATTCTGATAACAGAGGAAATTCTGATCATTTTTGACCTCTTCGACCTCCGCCTTTGTGGATTCGATGAGTGCAGTTTCGTGCGTGACGATCGCCTTCAGACTGTCGATAAGTTTCCACCCTTCTCTAGTAGTGACGCGGCCTGAGTTCTTCGAGAGCGAGAGGCGTCGCCACTGCGGATTCTTTTGCGGGATATGTGGGCTAACGGTAGCGGCTCAGTTGGAACCCGGGGCTGGAAGTCTTCGACCGATAAACTGATGCTCGATTCCTGGGTGTTTGTGGAAAGGGGCTCGGCAGCCCCCGCGGGGTGGTCCACCGCCAGACCGAGGGTAGAACTGGCCGTACTCGCTCCACCTATGCTGGTAAGTTTTCTAGAGATTTTTCTGGAGATGTTTACGAAAGTGAAAATCATACTCATTACCGCCATTGGTCCGGAGTCTAGTTCCCGCTCAGTAACAACACAGCAATTTTATGTCGCGGTAATCACAACCACAATGTCCCGAATTTCTATGTCGAGGAACAGTCGTGTACCATACAGTCGTCCCCAGCAAAGACTACAGGCCCGCTCAGGATTGCCTTCCATGTCGGCAACATAGAAATGTTCTTTCAAAACAGTATTCGTTCATTGCTTGCTTCTAGAGTAACTCCTTCTCAAAGATTGCCTCTTCATCTTTCACGAACTAAATATCAATACCGGGCTATGGGTCAAAATCGTTTTTCTTAAGGCGTGATGAGAAGGCCAAAGAAAGGCGCCGTCGCTTACGGCAGACGAATGGATATGTTCCCAGAGCCCACAAGAAGGAAGACGCTGTTCGAAATAAGGATAGAAAACTTCCAAAGACCAAAAGGCTACATCAACAGACTTTGAATCTCTGGCTTGAGTGAGTTTGACAGACAAAAAAGAATCATTGATTGCCAAGCTGATTATTTCTTAGCTTCATTGCGGACCCAGAAAACGAATTTGGATATTACAAAACTGTTCCAGGTTGCCTGCCTCCAAGCCATGAAATGGTGAAAGAGTTCATTCGCTGGTATGCGAATTCTACCAGGGGCCGACTCTGCAAAAGCGGGAAACCAACAGTGAGAACAGCTAAGGCGTGGGCGGAGCGATTTTTCGGTGGATTTAGAGAGACTACCGGTACAGAGGTCACTGAAACTGACAGAAAAGAAATATACGATGTCAGTATTTGTTCATCACGGGTTTCGCGGTTATACTAACTCTATCTTTTGAATTATAGTGAATAAAAAATACTCTCAAGATGAGAAATTGATGTACTGGCTAGTACTGAAAATGTCCCAATAGAATAAGATGATGGATTGAAGGTTGTTGAGATCTGTTGAGCGATCTCAGGGGTCTCCCTTGTTAAACTGTGGCAATGTTGTGTAAACACATTAAGGCAAATTGGGCGAACGATGAATAACCCTTTCCCGAAGTGTCCTAGTGGTATTTGACCACCCCCCAGTTTATCAAATTCCTTAATCTTCTACGAAACTAATGTCACCACCTACACTCGTCGATTGTTTCTCGAAACCTAATGCCAAAAACCATTATGCTATATTGAGAATAATCACGAAATATCAACGAGTCATTATAGACTATGGTAAGAGGAATGTAGAAATTGAAGGCAAAAGATAAGTAAAAGAACACAAATCAGACAACATGGAAGCACACCCTTAGCTAGGAAACACAGATACGAGCTATATAACCAGTTTCTCGTCGCATAATGATCGGTCCTAACTCGGTTATCAGTGCTTCGAAGACTTGGCACGGAAATCTGCCAGAACGGCATCAGAAATCTTCAAAGCCATAGCGTAGAAGACAGTCATGACGTGAGAAGACACTTGAGTCGGCACGATCGAGCCGTCAACCACCCGAAGGCCCTCGACACCATACACTTGAGCGGCAGAATCAACAACTCCTCCAAGCTCCTTCGCCATCATCGAGCAGGTGCTGATAGCGTGCCAGTTGGCGCGGAAGTTCTGCTTGACATAATCCACCCACTGGTCCAAGTCGGCATTATAGGCCAAGTTGGGCCCAGGTTTAGTCTCGCCATCAAAGTAGGTCTGCATACCACCAGTGTTGGAAACCTCGCGCGCAAGCTTCGACCCAGCAGCTTGACCAAGAAGGTCCAGCTCGTTCATGAAGAACTTAGGGTCGTAGGAAAAGCGTCGCAGGTAGGGGTCGTTGCCCTTTATATGCACGGAACCACGGGTGAATGGAATAAGATCCCATAAATCAAAGTTGATCTTGTCGGACGTATCGAGGAACAGCTCCACATAGGCAACTTCTTCCTTGACCAGCCAATCACGGTAGTTCTGATACTGGATCTCTAGAGCAGTCACATTATGGAAACCACCCCGCGCCACCGTCTCAGTAGCCCACTGGTGCAACTTGGTTTTTAGTAACTGGTGAGCCTGAGGTGCGTAATCCCCAAAGGTCTCATTGAAAGTAGCAAAATAGATGGCCTGACCCTGACCATTACCGGAGGGTTTGGTACGGGAGCGGACGGTAGTGGTGGTTTGATCCTGCATATTGAGACCAACAGGGAGATCAACAATTTGCTGGACACCGGCCGATTCGAGTACGGACTGCAAGCCAATACCCGAGTATTCTAGGATTCGAGGGGAGACAGCAGAGCCGGCCGCCAGAAGTACTTCGTGCTTGGCGTATACATCAAAGTTCACATTCTTGTTGGTGCCGAAGTTTACACCAACGGCTTTGTGACCAGAAGCGGTCTGATTGATGAGGACTTTTCCAACAAACTGACCAGTCAGAATCTGCAAGTTCGGGCGCTTGTAGTTGGGCAGAAGCAATTCGCGTGCAGCATCCGAGCGGGTCTGGTCCTCGTGTAGCGTATTGGGAATCATAGAAACACCGCGAGGGACCCCACAGTGAAAGTCTAGCTGGGTAGGGACACCACGTTCCTTCGCAGAATTCATGAGGGTCTTGATTATCGGAGAAAAGGCCTTTCCGGTGTTACGGGGACCAGCATGAATGGTGCCGTTCGTTCCATGGCAGGAAGCATTGTAATAGTGACCAGCGGCAATCTCGACATCATTCGGAGCACGGGCGATCTCGACCTTGTTCATATATGCGAACAGGTCGTCCCAGTTCCAGCCCTTGTTGCCAAACACTTTCTCCCAAGAATCGATCTGGGATTTGTGGGGGCGTGTCCAGGAGCCACCATTGATCAATGTTGATCCTCCAAGACCATTGCCAGATCGGATGTTCTCAGTGCGGTTATTGGTCATGTGAGGGACGGTTTCATAGGCGTGGTCGACAGCGGTGCCAAAAATGTCTCCGTAGGCGTTCAGATCCTCAATGATGGCTCCATCGTTGGACTCATAAAAACCGTTTTCAATGACCAGGACCTTGATGTTGGGGTCTTCAGTCAGCTTGGTCGCAATAGTCAGGCCCGTCAAGCCACCCCCGCAATTATGTAGTCAACAGTCTTGCCGGCGACCTGGTTAGGATCAGAAAGAAGGCTGGATTGGACATCGATTTGCTCTGAGGGCATGTATCTCTGGGCTGCGGCCACAGAGATAAGAACGCAGGAGAATATTGGAGACTTCATCTCGAGTTACAATCTCAGATGTAGGGGAGTAAAAGAAAAAGAAATCCTGAGTCGGTTGCTATACAGTAAAAGTTCTTGACGACTGAGAGGGTGAGAATATATAGGTTTCTTCCTACCTAAACATAATCTTTCGACCAGAAGCTCGTCATAAGGGTGCGTTCGTCGGCTTCATTTGTCAGAGGTACCAAAATTGTGGGCTCCTGGAGGTGCGTACTCAAGGACGAGGAGCATAATAAGCGGAACTACTGTCAATCGTACGCTTTTGGCACCTTAATTGTTCAACGATACGTAATATTCGGAGCCTGGGTTCCAAAGTTGGTCGCTAAAGACTCGTGCAACTTGTCTCTAAGCGTGGAAGCAACCATGCCACTTGCCACTTTCTTCACCGGCAAATTGGATTTGGAGAACAAGGCACGGCAGGACGTCTCCTGATTGGTAACATTTAAGGCCCAACCATCTTGGATCTGCCACATGGTGATTGATAAGAGTCATTAGGGTGGATCAGCCCAAATCCCCTCGCTCGGTTTGCCAGGATGCGGCAAATACTAGGTGGATCTTTAATTGAGTTTAACACATAGCCAAAAAAGTGGATACTGACAGGGTTCAATTTTCTTTGGCCTAAAAGCCAAAGCACTACGCACTAGCAAGAGATAAATAGCAATGATTATTCTATTGAAGGGTTGGTTGATTGGTTGAAAGATAGAAGAGAGGCAGCGAGCAACTAAAATTCTTACCTAATGGACTGCCTTCGTGCCAAAGGATTTGACTCGCAAATAAAGTTCAACCTCAATAATTAAGATCATCATACTCTGTACCTGCGCCACAATGTCCCGCACTGACCCAAGGTCGGTCAGTGGGCACGGCTAGCGTGATGATCCCATTCGAGTTTTTTATCTGATCCGAGAAACGCCAAGGACGCCTCGGTGGGCAGATTTCCGAGAAAGCCTTGATGGACTGAAGCACGGCAACATTCTTTTGGTAAATCTTTGTAGTGTGTACGATTTTCCTCACTAACTACGTTTAATGCCCTTTTCTTGGAACCTCGAACCAAATATACATCCAGCATAACAGAAAGGGCAAACTGCAATGGCAAATAATCCCCTGTATTTTGTACACACTTTAGTTTCAATTTCCCGCTATGCAGGCCACTGCCCACCCGCCTGATCGACGATGACTTCATCACAGGCGGCACGTATCAGAATGCTCCAGGCGAAAGGAAAAATTTGCTCAAGAGTGGAGTATCTCGTCGATCGGGATTTATTTGAAACAGGAGCGAGTTTGAGATTATATAAGTTGCCTTCGCTCACCGTTCTCTTTCGCACCTCCGTCTCTTCAACGCAACACAGTCCTTTCAATCATTACTACTGCGATAATATCTCTTGTGAGACGATCTTCTTTGTAGTTCGAGCATTCTTATTCCTGTGAGTCTTTCCTTCGATTTCTCCCATGCCAGGTAGTTTCCTGACATTGGAGAGTCCATATAATCAGAAATGCTTAGCCCTAAGCTGGCTTTTTTGCTGCTGCTGCTGCACGCAGTGTCCGGCTCAGCCTACCGCTGGTTCAACTGGCAGTTTGAGGTCACTTGCGAGTCTGACGCCTACATTGCTCCTCAGAATGAGCTTGCCGCCGCCAAGTTCCTCAAGGAGCAGTACCATGAGGGCTCCCACATCAAAGTTGTTGGAAATGGTCATGGATTCGGTAACCTCACTACCTGTGTCGACAACACTCTCACCAAGAAGCCCACCTATATCGTTTCCCTCACCAATTTGAAGAAGCTCAGCATCGACAAGAAGAATCTGACCGTCACCTTTGGTGCTGGCTGGGATGTCGATGACCTTGTCCAAGAGCTGAAGGCCAACGACTTATCCTTTGGCAACCTCGGTGTTGAGCGTGTTCAGAACTTTGTGGGTGCCGCCTCCACCGGTACCCACGGTTCTGGATCCAACATCGGTAATATCGCATCCCAGATCACTGGGCTGCGTGTGCTGGACTCGCAAGGGAATCTCCGTGTCATCAACGAGACGCATAATGCAGAAGAACTCAAGGCTTTCCGTATCAGCCTTGGTGCCCTCGGCTTAATCACAGAGTTGACTATCAAGGTCCAGCCTACCCAACTCCTGAAGAAGACCACTAAGGTGTTGAATGCCACATCCGACTTCTCGAAGATGTACCAGGAGCTTGACCAACTGTACAAGGAGCACGACCGTATGACTGTTTGGGGCCCTCACTTCGACTGGGATGAAAACACTCAGAGCTGGGCCCTCGAGCCTACTTATTTCCTCTCTTACTGGGAGCCGACTGACTATACCGGTGTTCGCAACTGCACTCTCAATTACTGCGCCAACGGCTGCGGTGACTGCAAGAAGGAGTACATCTGCTACGACGAAGTCACTGACGCTGTGTCCTGCCCTCCCCAAGGTGTCTGTTCCCGAGACTTCTACGCAGAAATCGAGCACTTCCTTCCCATTGAGTCTTACGCGGAAGCTGCCGCCAACTACACGACCTTCCAACAGGCCCAGACGCCTCGCATGAAGGCACCCTATAACAAGCAAATGGTCATCCAGCACCGTACCCTCAAGGGTGACGATACATATTTGTCTCCTGTCAACACCTATAACCTTGGCCCCGAGTCCAGCGGTGTTTTTGCGATCATCGAGATTGACTGGATCCAAGAATATAACAACTTCACCACTCTCTGGCAGAACCAGGAATTGGCCCATGAATTCCTCCCTCAATTTGGTGAAACCTACAATGTTCGGCCCCACTGGAACAAGATGAGTCCTCCTAATGCTACCTATACCCTGGAGAAATTCCCGAAGCTGCCCGAGTTCTTGGCTATTCAGCAGCGCCAGGATCCTAAGTGCCAGTTTGTCAACGAGTTCCTGGTTCAGCAGCTTGGCATTACCCGCTGCGCGGACTATATCTCTCTGTAGGATGTGACACAAGTGGTCCAAAGCATTCATTCATTTATTTTGTTTTCAAGGGTGAAGCGGCTCTCCATATGTCAAAGGGTTGGCGAACACCACCGCAATTTCTGTCCCATGCGGTATTGAATGAGCATTGTGTTGAGACTGGCGCCACCCCTCAGTGGTTTTCCTAGCTAGTTCTGGAATGTTTTGCTACAGTATAGAGAGGAAAAGAGAAGAAAGGGAGGACTGAGAGTAAATAAAGACACATAATTCAAAGATACCAGCCAACGAATTATAGTCAGTTCACTGTCGTTTGGCTTCTTGTAACATGATGCTATCCAAAGTCGGGTGTCCTCGTGAGTCCACCTCCAGCAGTTCCACGGCCTCCTAGAAAATACTCATTCTTGTTTGTACCCCACATCCAGTTCACAATGTCTATTGAAGTCCCATCCACCGAACCGGGAAAGTCCATGATTCTTACAGAAATCAACGAAAAAGATGAAACGTCGCAGATGAGCTGGGCATCATGGGAGGACGGTGCCCAGTATGATGTCGTTTACAATATGAATGTTCACCTGAAGACGGCACCGATATTCCAATTTACAATCGGCATCTCTATTGCGCCGGTGCTGAGGAGGCAAAAATTTTCATTGAGCAGCGAGATGATAAACCTTCCAATCATTTCAATTCCAAACTTGAGGATTACTGGCTTTTCTATGTTCACCTAAACCATGCCGAGATGGAGATCGCCCTTGGAGGAGAGACACCCGTTCTCGTTACCTCTAATCCGAGTTTCCGTAACTTCTCTGCAACGGAGAACGACCATGTCACTTATAAGAATGATTACGGGAAGATCTTCAAGGTGTCCTATATGTGATGAATCGGGTGGCAAATTCGATCGTTTCTTTGCCGTTCGATGTCCGAAAATGGACAACCCAGCCATTTCTGTGAAAGTCAAAGGGCACTATGGTGGCCTCCATTGGGTCGGCCTTTACGCACGACATGCCGCCGACGACACCAACCAGTTCATTGCCGTGAGGACCACCAACCGCTTGCTACCGGCGTACGCCGAGCGCATCAAGACCTATGAAAACTACAAGAACTGGTATAGCCTGGACGGGCCCCTCTACTTACTTGATAGCACGATCACCCTGTTCTCAAAGCAACTTTAAGGGACGAGAGGTGTGGGTAAAGATCTATACTACCAATTCGTGACCAACGAATCAAGAAATCCTCTTGGCAAGAAGCATTTCGACCATGTCTACCAGAAATTCTAATCACATGACATGGGAAAATAAAATGTTTGTACCTACCCGTAATAAGACCAGTTCCTTTTTATAGATTGTAAGATAGATACAAGAGGCTGAAATTAGAAGACTGAAACTCCTAGAAAGCTCCACGCTAGTGATGGTGCAATTACGAAATTGACCAACTGAATACGAAATATTGAAATTCCACCTTTTTTCTCATTTCAATTACATTTCAATATGTTATTTCTTGGCAGTTATGAGTCATCATTCCATTGGACCTGAACGAGCTGAAGGGAGTAGATGATGCTGTTTCTGCCGCTTCAGGTTGAAAAGCCTTGGCGTAATATTGATCAGAATATGGAAGCCCTTGCCTATTTGGGACCAGTATTATTTCAAATTTCATTTCAAGAGGCCAAATTTCATTTTAATATCCCTATTCCATGCAAACGTAACAAACCGGGCAAACATAGCAACGTCTGGACTGGCAAGGTGTCAATTTCTCTCTTCTGCATTTCGTAGTTACTTAACTGCGGGTCTTGGAGCTTCTTGGGGGTTCCAGCTAGGGCCAAGGTGATATGCGAGTTTAACCCTAAGGTTTTGTTTCGGGATCTCCAACATTGCTGATCATCATGCTACGTGTTAAAATAATATTAGATACAAGGGATTACTGGCTAACGTCTTACAGTTCTGCTAAGGTCACAATAATCAGAAGATACAGTTTCGCAACACGGAACCGAAAATCTTATTTTTATAAAGTTTGTGGAAGGGATTTTAGTAGCTAGAGTAACCTGACGTTGCTTTCTAATCCTTTCTTTCCCAGCCTCGCCGCCTATTAGCGCTTCTGAATAGGACGATACGCAATCCAGTAGGTCACGTCGCCCGTGTATTTTGGCTGGCCGTCCCAGGATGGATGTAATTCGCAGTGGCTGATTTTAGTGTTGAAGTTTGCACCCTGATAGGTGGAATCTGCAGAGCACGCCTTTACACAAGATTCTTCAGTCATGTTGTCCAGATGTTTGGAACGACAGGTTGAATATGCTTTCTTGCACATGACAGTGTAAGTAACACCATCGACTGTACCCACGTGTCCATCATCTGGGGGGCATTGACCAGCAGCCAGCGGGGGTCGGACAACTGGGGCAGATCCACCAGCAGAGGGAGGTCCGCCTGGGGAAGAAGCACCGTCCGGAGGGCCACCGGTAGAACCACCACCGAGGGGACCACCAGTAGAACCACCGCCAGGAGGACCACCACCACCAGGGGGCCTGCCTCCACCGGTGGCTCCGCCCGTTGACGAGCCCGAAAGTTAGGGCAAGGCCAATAAGAGAGGTGGTAACATCTCTCATAGTGGCTGAAAGGGTGAGAGGGGTGCGAGAGGATAGTAATGACTTATAAGAGATTGCGAGGAGGGTTTGGATGATTAGGAAGGGATAGTGAGATTCGGATGGGAGGATAGGGGATATTAATGCTATTTGTCTCATCCAGAAAACACAACAGGTCTGCCGGTGGATCTGTGCCCTTACCCTTTTTACTCTTCTTCATCTGCAGTTGTGGATTTATGCGAGCGATATTAATGCTCCATCACTTCTCCTTACTTCATATGTGGCTGTTCAGCTGTCCTTAATCACGCGGGCGATCCTGAGTAGCTGCCGTGTAACCGTGACTATTAAACTAGTACTAGCTAGCGGTGTTCGGTCCTTAGGGTAGCTGAGGTACTTGTGAAGATCTTCTACCCCGGGATACGATTGTCGATCTTAAACACTTATTAATCATAACTCGGCTATTCGCGTTACTAATACTAGTTTACTATACGTGGCATATTTAGGAGGCATATTTATAAGTATTAGGCCAGCCACTGGGTAGCGTAGAGCTAAGAATACAAGGGTTTTAGATTAGGCTCACAGAGAGCCTCCTCTATATCACTTAAGGTAGTAATAGGCTTAGGTGTGGTGTATATCCTAGTAATTAATATTCTTTGATGATCGAGCTAGTTTGATTATATACGGGCGCCGCGCTATTAACAGATCTACATTCTTCGTCGATGCTTGTTACCCGAGCTTAGTATGATCGACCAATTATTGTTGGAAAAAGTATTGTTCACTAAAACCTCTACTGCCACCTTAACTAGTTGTGGTAGCACTATATTGCCCGCATCGTAAATCTGAGGGACAGCTACATATTATCGACGCTTCGAGCTAATATACCTATAGCAACTGACAGGACTAGCCTCGAGTCATTTAACCAGCAGCTATACCTCGAGTAAGGGCTACACAGACCCACCACCATCGATGCAGCGGCGTCTCCACCTAATATTACACGGCAGCTACACCGGCAGTATTGTCTCAGAATGACCTCACTTGTTGCATAACGCTGAGTTTTGTAGATCTTTACAGCTCCAAAACTGTAGAAAGACGAGAGCAAGCAGAAATATCACCCCTCTAGAGAAGTACTAACATAAATAGCCCAGGCCTATCCCTGAATATTGCTATCCTTTCTTCTTATCCAAACACTCCTCGCAATCTCTTATAAGTCATTATTATCCTCTCATACCTCATCCTACTCAGCCACCATGAGAACTATTCCTACCACTCTTGCCGGGCTTGCCTTGCTTTACGGGCTCGCCAACGCCCAAAGTGCCTACGACAGCACTTGCAATCCCGCCCCCGCGGGGGATCAGGACATTGAGCCCGGAGTTGTAGCCACCTACGGCTGCGGAGAGATACATAACGCGGGCGACTATGCTAACGAACAAAGCACTGTCGCAACGCCCGAGGAATGTGCCACCGAATGCGCCAAAAGAACTCCCGAGGGCCCTTGCAGCTGGCATGGTGGTACATGTTACTTCTACAACGCAGGTGCGGGCGCCGCGGCCTGGCCTAACGCGGTCACAATCGTGACGCGGAAGGATTGGGATAAGCTCAAGGTGGCCTACGACCAATGTGGCACCAAACTCACTGCTTGCCAGGCAGCCACGGTCCCTGGCGGAGCCACTGGTGGAGGCGGGCCCCCTGGTGGTGGTGGTGGTGGTGGTGGTCCTCCTGTTGGTATTCCAAAGCGCAAGATCTGTAAGAACTGAACCAGCCAAGCAGAAACATCAAGTGGATATAGCATCTAACTAATCCTGCTTTTGCTAGGTGAACACAACACACACCTGGATAAGCAGACCATTAGTTCTGACGGCAGAACGTACAAAATCTGGTGCAACGCCAGTAAGTATTGCTCCAGAAAGTGGCGAAAGTTTTCTAACATCACATAGTCAAGCACGGGCCCAACGACTTGGGAGAGGGCATTAAAGTCAAGAGCATTGACGAGTGCATTGAGTTATGTAACAAGAAAGTGTCGCCGAAGAAGTGTGTCCGTGCTATCACGAACAATGCTGGAACCTCATGCTATCTCCGCTCGCATGGCAACAATCTGACTCCTGATGCACCAGGATACATTAGTGCCCACCTAGTGTAGGCATTCAATGGCTGCTTTGATTCGGAACAACAGCCCATTGCCAAGACATCTGCCTTGACTGGGGCTGTTGTGAAGGGGACTTCTGAACTTATGTTTTGCTGTCATCGGAAAACCACATTCAATATTTCTGAGGTCCTTCTAGGGATGTACAAAGCCTCTGAGGTGCCAGGGGCCACGTAGCAGCGTATTCGCTCGCTAGCTTACGGCTTGGAAAATCTGAGCTCCATTCTTTCGGAATTTGCACACTCCCCAGTTACTTGGACTGTACCGCTCGTTTCCAGAATCTGGGTTTCTTATACTGTCTCTCCTTTTAGTTAGTCGAAGCAATCCGATCAAGCACGGATCACAATCCACTCTCTGAGCTTTCTTTAGGTACACCGCGTTCCGATGAAATTTAGGCATTTGGGCTGGTGGCAGCCTACTGGTGACCAAGTAGTCCGCCTCTTTCCCATCCGTTTATCAAATCCGAATCTATCAATGGAAATAGTGTAGTACGAACGTGTCTCGGATATTTAAGGTTCGTAAAAAAACTCGTAGTTGAGAGTTCCACTCTTCGGCTTCCGACTGGGCAGGGCCTTCTAGTCCAGTCAGCCCGAGAAAGAGCACATTGAATGCTGGACAGCGACGGTGATATGTTGGACACGTCCCATAGGAAGTCCGCCATTTCTTCTATATATAGATCGGATTTTCCAGCCAGGTAGGGTTGACGCAAAGGGCGTCTAGCATCACAGGAGAGATGCTGGGTGGCGGGCTGGGAGGGATTGTGCGAGAATTGGGACTGCCAAACAGCCGCATATTCTTGCGTATGTCGGTGATAGAACGCTCAGTACAATGCTAACGCTCAGTACAATGCTATGGACCCTGCAACATGAGGGGCCGCAGCTTATTGATGGGCCACCGAGAGCCAACCATTCCTGGGAGTTATTGTTGTGATATGTCGTATCGTAACTGAATCAATTCCTAACCTCACGGAATTACCAGCTTTGATTGGAAATCAATCTATAACCCTCAAGTTTTCTGTCCAGAAGGAATACAAGCAATCTTCCTCTGAATTACAACAGTTATACGTGACCCCTAGTCACGTACACGAAGGAGCGGAAAACGGCCTCCTTCATACCGCTTTAAACCATGTGACGGCTGGCACAACTCACGTGACACATACCAGGATATACTGTCGGACTTTCGGATATCGGTATCGACTAGTACTCGTGAGGGGCCAGTTGAAGCATCCCAGCGATCGATTGATTGACTGAAGAACTCTCTCGGCTCCCGTTCAGGATGTCATCTATTGAGGGGTTTTTAGTGTGTTACAGCGCTGCTTTTCCGAGAATACCCGATTACCATACAAAACAGGTAGTTAGGAGATTGGGTATCTGCTGAATCATCCTGCTCCTGATTGTAATATCAGTCTCTCCGATCGACATATACTCCAGAAGGAGTACGAGCTACCCCCTGGGTAGGCATACCTCGGAGGGAGTATGAAGAACTAGATATAAGGACACTCTTTCACGCACATGTATTGAGTTCTTCGCGTTCAATCTTACCTTGCTACTTGGATACACCTTTGCTTCCACACGGTTCAACCCGCCACTTCCGGCATATCAGCACATACCGTTATTGTACCCTATAACGACTGGTAAGTTGTTGACCAACGCTTGACCACTAACTGTGGCCAATTAGCAATGCGTAACAAGGTTTCCAAGTCACCTATCTCTTAAAGCGGATTAATGTAATAGTAACTTATATGGCTTATGCCCATAAAATTTAGGTGCAACTCCTAAGTCCGCTTAATATAGAGGCAATGACAGTTTCCGCTCTGGACGATAAAAATACCTTCCACCCTCAGATCCCTCAGCTTTGGGATATGACCCTCACATATGCGCCAACTCCTGGTTATTGTGATCGGGATTGGACACCGTCACTGGGCTATGCTTCTCCTGAGCCCGAGCAAAGAGCAGATGGTCGTTCACGACTAAGTGCTCTGGACACCTTTATACATCTGGTTGATGAGGAAGGAACATTAGTGAACAGCTGCCAAACACACTTGCCTAATTGAGTGGAGCATCACCCTCAATCATCGGTTGATAGTGAAAATCCCGGAGCAGGATTTGGCTCAACATCTTAACATCCTTTCGCCGAAAACTTAACAAGAGGGAGGCAGCTAAAATCCAGAGAAGCAATATAGTCCACAATCACCGAATTAGGCCAGACGACAGGAATGTGATGGCTTTCTGTGAACAACTGATCTCAGCGGGATTCGATCAAACGCTTTGAGAGTATAGATATCAATTGGGCAGTAATAGAGAAGCAGCTGCGCATGTGGGCCGAGATGTCCTGTCTTGGTAGAGATCTCCGGCTAAAGTTATCCGTGAACTATAGCCTTCCACCTTTCTCTAGTATAACAAAGGAGGAAATTCTAAAGTGGAACCTCGAGGGAATGGATCAAGCCCTGGCGGGTTCCGCAAACAACAACCCGCCAGCAGTGCCAGGACCTGTATTCCAGGCACAGCCGAAAAGAATGAAGGTCGCCAAAATGCAAGTGGTTTTCGACCCGCCAGCTTGAGAAAGACGCATGCCTCGAGGCAGCCAGGTGACGGCTACAAACGCCAACAACAACCAAGCGTTCCAGGCGTTTCACGACATGATGATAAATGGCTGGCAGGATTGTCTCGATACCTGGCGAGCGCTTGTGACGAATGGACTACATGCACTGCAGAGAGATAACAGATGCTCCAACACTGTTCGACAAGATTTTCGCATGTACCGCGCTATTATTGTCGAGTCGTGGGAAAGATCGCAAGATGCCGCGAAACATTTGTTGCAAAGTTGTCGCGCGGCAATGAGAGAAACAACGCGACCAGGAAAGCGAACCTAGAGACCAATAATTAAAAGACTAGATACATCCTCGGGGAAAGAGAAGAGCAAACCATCGCCAATTCGAACTGCCTCATGTAGATAATGCATGATCAGTAGATAAATGCACCAGCCGAGGGTGTATGGAGGTACCGGAAAATGTGGACAGGATGGGGTTTCGACTTCAACGACACCTTCATTCGGTACAACGCCCATGTCGAACTTCGCGGACCAAATGGCCCGCTCGTATCACGTTTCCGTCTCCACCATTTGCTGGTGGATCCCGAAGAGTAACAGTTTGAGAAGACTTGATCAGAAATTACGTGGGTAAACGCTAAATTTCTCAGTACCTCGACACTGGAGCGCATTCCCAAGAAGAAGAGTGCCTTTTTGAAGTCCGGCCAAAGACTCGTCTGGTATCTATACCGTCCGCCTCTTCAGCCTAATTAGTGGCCTATAGATCTCCTGTGTTCAACGATGTGACATTTCGTAAATCGCGGACCATTTGAGACGATTCGATATTTTGACTGGTCGACGTGACGCCGCCAGACACAATAAATTCGGGGATGAACAGCCACGGTATGTGATTCAGATTCAGAATATCACAGGGCGCTCGTCAAAGACGACTGCGAAGACTGGAGCACCAAAGGTGGAAGACGACGATATGATTAGACGGCGGCTTGAGGCTAGTGGTCAAGACAAGAAAACTGTCGCAAACAACGAAGAAGTGGATATATCCCACAACCAATGGGGTGGTAGAGGTCTGAATTGCTGTGAAGCCCCTGTTCTGGCAATTTATGGGGGCAAGCTGACTAACTACAAAACAAGGCAATAAGGCATCAATCTAAACCCAATTAGGTCCTCCAGCACCTGGATTCCGACAAAAACAAAGCAAGCCAAGCAAACGAAACTACTTGAAATCACGGGACCTGGGCGGTGACGGGCTAGGCTACACCATACCTCCGTCACACACACCTTCTTCCTTTCCTTCTTCTTCCTTCCTTAGTTAGCCAGATAGCTACGAATACAACGTTCGGCAAGCTGCACTCTGTTTAGCTCACTCCATCCAAACAGAAGCAAACCGAAGAGGAGGAAGATGGGCTCGACTAACTATTAGAAGGAACTACTCCCGAGAACTCGACGACTACCGACAAGGAGGCTAGTGAATTTAACTAGGCTATTAAATGGCCTCCAAAACCATCCGAGACTACTCACAAGGAGCTGAGGAAGCAGATGAAGAGAGGTGAAAGGAGGCGTCTAAGCCTCCTGGGAAGAGGAAGAGGGAGGAGACTGAGACTGAGACTGATGCCACAAAACCTCGTCGGGAGGGTGGCGATTGCGATGATAATCCACGTCCTACTCAGAAGCAGAATGGGTAATCCTTCTCTCTTCCTGAGGTTTTTCAGAAGATTGGCTTCAGTATAGTGCACTGGGTAGATAGTGTGGCTTGGTAGATTTGATCGGTAGTCGAACTCTATGTCATTTGATTTTTTTTGTATGCTGCAGACTATCTTTAAGTCACAATCCTTTGTACCCGCTGAATAACTTCAATACCATCCATTTTGAACAAAACTGTTCCTTATTTATATACACGAATAAAGTCATAAGTCATATCATAAATCCTCCTTCTCCATGAATTGCCATACATTTGGCTCCTCATGCGCTTCCATCTCCTCCAGTTGCCTCTCCAAGTCTTCGTTACCTTGCAATAGAGAAGCCACATACTTCGCCGTCACGTCCAGAATGTATTTCCTGGTGAAATTATGGTTCTTCAATCCAGGGACCAAGTCGGACAATTCTCGATATCCCTGCGAGACAGCCTCCCTTCGTTTCTTTTCCGATCGACAATGACACAATTGTTGTCCAGGCTTTTGAACACACTTTCGCTTCTTCTTTGGCGGTTGTGTGTTTTCTTCTTCCTGCTGTTCTGCCTGTCGCCCTTCTGGTTTTTTCTCCATGTTTTCCGGACTGCTCGCGCCGAGTGAGGCGGCTGTCGAGAAGGAGGCTGATCGTGACGAAGGCGTTTCACTACGATGACTGCTTGGCATGTCGGGGGCAAAGTCGTATTTATTTAGACAAATGACATCCGGCGGGTCCGAAAGGAAGTTCGTCGTGGGCGTAGGGAAATCGAGCTCGTAGCCAAAATCGACAGTCACACTGTTGGCCATGGAAGCCATATTGCGCATCAAATTCTGGGTGACTCGTTCTTCTGTCCACGTCCCGATCGGACAGGAGAATCCATGATAGCAGAAACTCGGATCAGACCCCCACTGGAGACCAGTTTCCAGGGGCCAGCGCTTCTGCACTTTCGTATAGGAGGGAGTATCAGGACCCTGGCAGCATGATTTGCGCTCATGGTTTTGAGGGCGGCTCTGGTGTTGAGCGTGCATTGTGTTAGGACACAAGTCTTGGACGAAGGACCGTTTTCCTCAGGGTGTGTAGGTATTTCTGCATCTGTGGGGTATGGAAGAAGTCGAATCCGGGGCAGAGCCGGGCAGGGGGTTGTCTCTTTGTGGTCGGATTGGGTCTGGGTACAAAGTGGCATGGGATGACATAGGTAAGCGATGCGCCCGGACCTTGGCGTGCCAGTAGAGTTTTGTTGAGAAGTGAGTGTCTTGTGATACAAAATCTAACTTGCGAGGCTTGCGAGGGAGTAGGCCCCAACCATACGTCAACACCGGAACGCACCCGGGCAGCCCTGCGTGTCCGGGATGCACCCGACACGCCACAATTACCCCTGACCGGGGATTTATGGTGATACTGTGCCTGCAGTTGAAGCTTTATTTGTAATAAATGCTATATTACATGATTTTATCTTTCAATCTGTCAACCATAGCGGGAATATCGACAAATCCAGGCAGAGACAGGCAGAGACACTGCTGTATAGACCACGTGACCCGTTCGGGTACATCCCGGGCGCGGTTGCTTCGACTCTTGCCTCCTCCACAACGCGCCATTGAGACGACGATCTACGCGATTAAGGCCTAAATTAGATCGATCTATTTTCCAGGCAACTGTATTCGGGTCACCCAACAATCCCGGCCACGACAGTCTTGTGGTTGCCTCAGGGGACTCCGGACTGCACATCACTGGCACATTGTCCCGACTCCGGAATGGTAGGGAATGAGCTCCCTGAGCCTCGGGACTTTTGAGAGATGTCTTCGCGAAGAAAAAGTGCAAAAATAGATACCCCGCATCGTCGCAAGATCGCATTAGCATGTGAATCATGCAGAGACAAGAAGGTCCGGTGCAACGGGGAGAAGCCGATCTGCGGGCCTTGTGCTCGACGGGGGTATCCGATAGACCGGTGCGTCTACAAGATTGACAATGCCCGTTCTGCCAGCAACGACGTATACCTCAAAGTCTTGCATAACAGGATTCGGGAGCTGGAGGATATTTGCGCCCGGAATGGCGTTGCTATTCCGCCTCGAAATACAGATGAGAGGGATTCAGATAGGGCGGAGGAGCGTCAAATGCGTATAGATACCATGGACCATGAGTCTCGTACGTCTGTCGCTGTGGAAGGCCTTCTTGGTCTAGGCTCTCATGCGGCTTTGCTGGGCCAACTGCACCCTCCGATGACGCGTGGCGGATCACGAGCGACTCCACCGAATCATCGACCGTCTATACAATCAAGTCATTCGAATCTGGGGCACGCAGAGTCGGAATCGCCTCACAGGAATATCATTCCATATGAGGCGGCTCAGCCTCCTTCTGCCAATACTTATGCCTCGCCCTCAATAAACTCGCACGGAAATGTCACGGCCATGGGCGCCATATCTGTTGGGGAAGATGGGGAAAGCAATGAATCGCCTCGAGAGCAATACTACGGCAACTCGTCTGTTGCCTCCTTCATGCGCCTCGCAAAGGATTCCATGCCAATACGATCCTACCTGCAGACGCTGAAACGCATGGAAGGCGATACCCCGAGTGGTTCGTATCGCGATATGGGGCTATGGCGAGATTGTCTCACGCCCACTCTGGGTCTTCAATTTGATGATTTCTCTTTGCCCCCTCGCTCGCTGGCAGATCATCTTCTTGAGTGTTACTGGGACCGAGTACACTGTCTATACCCGTTTTTCCATCGCCCGAGCTTCGAGCAGGCATATGAAAATTTGTGGGGGTCCAGCAAATGGCCTAAGCCACAGCTACCGGAACTGAACATAGGTCTGGGAGGTTCTTTTGATTCTGGACACCAGTCGATTGTCTTCCACTGTGCGCTGAACGCCATTTTTGGCTTAAGCTGTCATTTCTCAGACATCCCGGCTGCTGAGCGCGAGGCGGCTGCTTACTCGTTTTTCCTTCGCTCGAAGCGGTTTGTTGGTCTCGACCTCCTAGATATAGGCACGATTGGTGTGGTTCAGACGCTTCTCATAATTTCTCTACTGCTTCAGAGTACGCCCTATCCCAATCGATGCTGGAATGCAATTGGACTTGCATGTCGTGTAGCCCAGGGACTGGGTCTGCACGAAACAGCCTCGCAGCAATCTATCAAACCTCTGGAGCAGGAAGTCAGACATAGGACTTGGCACGGCTGTGTCATCATGGATATGTATGCTGAACATCCACTGAGTGTCTGCACCTAATTGACTGACTCTGATTGCAGGATAGTGAGTATGACATACGGTCGTCCAAGCATGACTTCCCACATCTCCCCTGCTCCGCCTCCAGTCATGAAGCCAAACCTGGCATCCGAGGACCCCTGTGCCTTAAGTGGGCAGCCCTGTGATCACAAATCAGGTTATATGACATTTTACGTCTGCACTATCGAGCTCTACAAAATCCTCGAGTCGATCCTTTCGGATATCTACAATGCGTGGCAAAGTCGGTCAAGCCACCACCGCCCCATGTCGCACCGGGGAATGAATCACAGCAGCTTAGATGTTATCATGGAGCTTGACGACAAGCTTTGCACGTACGAAGCCAATATTCCTCCTGTCCTCAACTGGACGAACATGAATCCGCCTCTCAGTCCACAAAGCACCCAAGACTCGATATTTAAACGTCAGCGAAATGTCCTACGCGCAAGGTATTTTTCTTCATTTTGTTTTGCATGTCTCAAGCTAACAATTGCAGGTTCATTCATCTCCGCCTCCTCCTGTATCGCCCCATGTTCACTCAACTCTGCTCCGACGAACGCATGGGCTTTACACGACAAACGGGTCTCGACTCCGACAGAAATACAATCGGATTGGAGAAGAACGTCATTTACAACTCCATGTCCGTGAGTTGCGCAGCAGCCTGCGTCAGAGCAGCTATGGAGCTTGTCTCGCATGTATACGCGACATATCGGACATCACTGACAGACGCGTGGTGGTACAATGGCTTCTGTAAGACCTTTCGAGTCAATCTACGAGCATTCCCCTAATAATAAAACAGATACATCAACGGCAGGATTCGTCCTCATCATGTCATATTCATGCCGCTCGATCCTCGACCAGATCGACGTACACGCTGTGGACGATACGTGGCGCAAATGCGAAGAAGTCCTCACGTACATGTCCTCATTCAGTTTATCTGCTCGCAACTCACTGCAATTCTTGCAAGTCACGCACCAGCACATCGTGCAGAACTATACTGGTAAGTATCGCCACCTGCTTTTTTTCAGCTAGTACTAACGCGTATCCAGGCGGCTCACGCAACGACGATAACACCCTTGCACCAAGTCAGCTACAAAGATCCAGCAGGAACACCGATCGGTCAGATATGACTTCCGAGCCCCCCGAGGGAATTGCGGAAGAGCCTGGGTCTCGGGATTCAGAGTCGAATGGTCCGGCTGTGAATCCGTTTATGAGCTGGGATGAGATGGGTCTTGGACAGGAAGAGCTGGGCTTCCTGGGGAGATTCGATCTGCCGGATCTTGCGAGTTGGTTCTCTGATGTTCCAGATGTATTATCATGAATCATACATACAGTACCATATCGGTCTATCATGAAGCTATTTATTCTTACGAAAGGGTCATCACAATGCATCAAAAAGTGCAGTATCAGTCCCACTCCAAAAATTCCCCGACAAACTCTCCAACGTCTCAAAATCCGGCATCCAGAGCGGATCACTCTGATTCTGATCAATCCAAGGCGCAAGCTGCAGCGCCATCCTCACCGCATGACCACTATCCTCATCCGGATAAGGCTGTGCCCCAAGATCCGCAGTATCAGGCGCCAAACCCGTCGGATTTTCCGCATGTAGTCGTTCACTGCTGGATATGCCGGGCATAGTCGCATTTGAAGAGGCCGTGCCATGCTGCGCTGTCATAAGTTCTGCCATTCCTGCGCTCCGTGCAGTTTCGTTGCCTTGTAATTTTTCCATTGCTGCGTTGACCAGTAACTCGAATGCGTCGCGGTATTTCTTTACCCATGCTGCTCTTTCCCCCATTACGAAGAGCACGGTTGAGCAGGCACGGATGTCGTTACTCATTCGCACTGTCCAGACTTGGTCTGTGTGTGTCCAGAGTGCGTAGAGTAAGGTGATACCCGCCATGAAGACGGTTTGCACGGCGAGGAAAGAGTGACCGTATTCGAGAGTTTGGTGGAGGCGTTTGTGGGATTGGCAGATTTCACCGGCGGCGTGTAGGCAGATTTGGTAGTAGGGGTCTGTGATAGGGAGAAGGGGGGAAGGGGGTTGGATGAGGAGTCTGACGGCTCGGTTGTAGTGTAGCATTGGGTAGTCAAGGTCTTGGCCGGTGAAACGGAGGAAGGCGGACTTTTTCCAGTCTTCTAGTTCGAGGTAGAGGGGGTCCATTTTGAGTCGGAGGGAGGAGAGGGGTCGGTCGGCGCGGTATATCTTGTGCTGGATGCGGGAGTCGATGCGTCGGAGTTTGAAGAGGTAGATTGCGAATGTTAGTGTTGTTGTCGTTCCAGGGGCTTGTGGTGCGGTGAGTAAAGCCGGATCTTGGATGTCATCGTCGATATCTATAGGCAGATCGAGGTCGATGTGGCGGTCGGAGATACTGAATGGACGGCCGAGGGACATGGAGACTACTCTTTCTAGGTAGTAGACTGTCCAGAAGAGTCTTCTTCGCATTTGAGTCGTGAATGGGTCCATGTTGATCTCGTTTGCTTTTCTGTGGAGGCCCAGGTCGATTGCTGTGCGCATTGCCAGCCCGATCATATACCACATGCCATGGCTAGACGCAGTACGGAGATGGTAGACAACAAGGAGTACCATTGCTTCAATGTTCTCGATGGAGCGCGCTTCGCACATTGTGGGCACATATTGCAGTGCAAAGGCATAGAACCGCTGTCACGTTGTTAGCTACAGCTGTTGGAATTTCCTGGTGATGAAAAATACCTCTGGTGCAGTGTATGAATATTTATATTTCTCACTGAGCTGAAGCATCGTTGCTCCAATAGCATAAACCAAATTCAGCTTGAAAATGGAAAATCTGTCAGATCTTGTGAGATCTTCGCGTTTTGTTTTCGCCAACTCCCAACGTTCTTCATGAAGTCGCCAGATCTGCTTCCGATCGAGGAACGGGTAGCGGGAATGAAGCCGCTTGAGGTACGTTTCGATCATCCGTGATCCCATCTCATCATTCGGCGGCTCTGGCAGAAGTTCTTCTGCCCTTTTGGTTCTATCTCGAATTCGGGCGCACCCGCCCCCGAGTTGCTGCGGCGCCCCTGAAGCCAGACCTGTTGTACTTTGAGAGGCAGGGTTCCCTGTATGGTTTTGCTGCGGCTGCATCCGTGAGATAAATTGGTTCCAGACACTTGTCTGGACCATCTCCCCCAGGTTAGCGGCCAAGGAGAGGCCGGAGCTTGAACCCACATACGCGGGTGCTTCGGATGAGCTCAGGGCAAGGAGGCCCACGATTTCTCCAACTGGATTGTTGTCCAAGCCGGAACTCGCTCCATGTGGCGTTGTGCTATATCCTTGAGGAGACCAGGTTGATGCTGGGATCGAAGCAACATGCTGGCTGGTCAGTAGATCCGACTGGCCAAGTCGGCCTTCAAGGAAAGCCACCCGCTCCTCTAGGGCGCGTGTATAACTGTTGAAAGGTATTAGCGATCTATTTCATACATCTTCATAATCTCTCGACCCACTCGTTCTGCCTGTCCGAGTCTTCGCGCACGCTAGACTTGTCGCATGTGACCCCGGCTTTCTGACAGTTGGAGCAGGTGGGATATTCATTGTCGCACTACATCAGTTGTCAGTCGCCATCTCGCATTTGGGCTAGGAAAGCTCCTCACTTTCTGCTTTCTGGTCTTGCAGCGTGTACACGCTGTTCGTCCACGCTTTCGGGGATTCCAGTCTCTTGACGCGGGACTCGTCTGCCGGGAAAATTCCGGACTGGGGCCAATCGTGTACATTGTGTCACATTCTCAAGAGCAGATTCTTCTTGGTTTCAAAGCTGCGCTACTAACACTGGAGACTCTGATGGGGTGTGGGTGCGGCAGACGTGGAGGTTGTTGAGAGGTGGTTGTAAGCGGAGAACTCGCTGACGGATGGCGATGCCAAGACACGCCGAAATAAATGCAACGTTCTTGTTTGGCATCGACGCCTTTGCGGAGAATTACATAGAACACGTAATTTGATAGACTGATGATTACTTAGTCTAGATCTACTATATCTTCACTCTGGAAATTTTGCTTGGTATGTATTATGTGATTATCTGTGTACTTTTTGGTATCAAGCGCCATGCGATTGAATCGCTGATGCATAAAAGAAACTATAGGAGATATCGTCAAAACAAAAAGGCGCTATTGAACGCTGAAAAAGTGCTGTTTATCCCCGTTCCCTTTATGTCAATCAGTCAGTGCCCTTTGCCTTCTCGGGCTCTGCGAAGGTCGGCTCAGCGCGCGATGGAGGGATAGATGGATCGGGAAGAGTCGACACAGACCGTTGCTCCTTAACCACCGCCTCGTCATGGTGATTTTCCAAGTCGTCCTGATTTGACTCGGACAAAGCAGCCTCTGTATCCCTTTCAGCCTCCGCCTTGCGCTTCTCTTCTTCAATCTCTTCAGGCTCCTTGGGACGCTCAAGACCACGATCACGCACAAACACACAGGCAAGGAAGCAGACGCCAATCAACGGAACTTGCAGAATGAAGACGGCGTGCGAGGCCTTGGTGTATGCAAGCAGAATCTGTGTCCATTGTGCATCGGTAAGGGTCGATCGGGATGGGAGTGAGTAGGAGGATTTCGTCAGGTAGGCGAATTCAGAGGGTAGGTTCGAGCGTAGCGTGGCCTGCAGGATGGCGGCGGAGATGGCGAGACCGCAGGCACCACCCATACAACGAAAGAAGTTTCGGTTGGATATGGATACTGCGCGCTGCGATTTGGTGCTGTGGGCTTGCAGGGCAACGAGTGTTGGCTGGAAGGTAAAGCCGATTCCAATGCCTGAGATTGCCACACAGACCGCAATGACGGCCGGGTTGGTTCTGTGGTCGAATAGCAGCATAAGGCCGGCGCCCCTGTATTATCGTTAATGATTGATCTGATTGCGATCCTAGAAATGATGGATACGCACAAAGTCCAGAAACCAAAGCCCACCCAGATGATCTCTCCGTACCGCTTCAGTCGAGAGATGTACTGGCCAGAGCAGATTGAAGCGAGGGACTGGCAGGCCACCATTGGGGACGTCAAAGCGGCTGACACGATGGGAGACCATCCACGAGCATTCTGATAGTAAAGCGGTAGGTAGTAGAGGTACGATTGATAGACCGCTCCCAGAAGGAAGCTCTGTACAAACAGCGCGGTGATGACTTTGCTCTTGAAGAAGACAACTGCTAGAAGTCAGTAAAAATTTCCCATCGCATCTTCAGGGTGAGACATACTCGGCAGCATTGGCAACGACGCAACCTTCCACTCGATAAAGACAAATGCAACGAAAGCGCATCCTCCGATAGCAAGCATGGCAATCACCATCGGCGAGTCCCACGGGAAATACGATCCACCCCCAGAGACAGGAATCAAAACGAAGATGATTCCAATCGACGAAGCTAAAACGCCAAGCCAGTCAATTCGGCGCGTATTCTTGCGGAAACCATCCTTCTTAGCGTTATTCGGGATGAGGAAGTATCCGACAACAGCAGAGATCGCCGCCAGCGGCGAAATCATCCAGAAGAAGCCGCGCCAGATCGAGCGCATAATGTATGCAGCTGCAATAAACGGGCCGATGATATTACCCACTCCGAGGGAGGCACCTAGAATACCTTGGTATTTCCCTCGCTGTTCAAGAGTCACGACATCCGAAACAATGATCATTGTCAAAGACGTGACGCCACCACCGGCCACACCAGCCAGACCACGGAAGACGTAGAACATGGCTGGGTTTTGCGACAAGCCGCACAGTAGATCTGCAATGCACAGCAGAACCAACGCGGAAAGGTAGACGACCTTACGACCGAAAATATCGGACAATCGGCCGTATAGTACGGTGAACATAGTATTGGCGATCAGCGAGGAGGTTCCTGCCCATGATATCGTATCCTGGGCTCCCAGATCGCGTGCAATCGTGGGTAATGTAACACTGATACCATTCTGGTCGATAAAGGTGATCACCAGGGATGTCGCCAGGCCCGTGAATACCACCATCAACTGACCGAAGGGCAGGATGTTGGTTTGGTCGTGCAAGGCCTTTTCAGCCGCACGTTGTCGATTCATGATCCAATAATTGGCTATCCTGCCAGGCCTCACGATCGATTGTTTCCAAATCGAAATGTTTTGACAGGGTCCGAACTGGGATAAAGTTTCCAGTGTTTGGGATGCGTAACACAAGGACGCAAGGAACGTTCTTTAAAGAATGTTCTTCGAAGCTTCAGCGCAGCTCGACGTGTTGGTAAATGGTCGCCTTCGACGGTGGGAACGATTCTGTATATGAATCAGGAAGATAAAGTATTTTCCGTGTTGCACTTTCCTAGTGGTATCCGGCACATCGGCAACCGATGCTGGGTGTCGATTGGAGACTGTCGCCGCCGAACAGGATTCGAGTCGGATATGACTCCGATGCGGGCACAAATGTCCTACATCTCGCCCGAATCTTGCACCGGTGGGCGCAAGTTCATCTTTTGACGGGTTAATTCCGCGTCATCGTTGTTGTGTCGGGGTTGTGGTTGGTGCGGTGCGGCTCCTGCAGTGGAGCCGCCGCTTCGGACCTCCGATCGGACTGCCGATATTAGTCAGCGCGGAGTAATTCTAATGCGACAATTCGATGCATTCTAGGTGCGATCGATGCGGAGGGACTATTCACAGTAAAACAGTGTGATGGATGTAACATTTCGCGCTATAATGTTTTATCTGTCAGTTATCAGAGCAATGTTGATGCTGCGTTGTAAACTACATGACCGGCCACTGCACCTGCTTCGGAGGATCTGAAATCTCGAATCGGGTGATTCCATCCGAGGGCATTGCGGCGATACAGGCCAATAGGCAGTTTCATGAATTCAGACAGGCTACTTGATTCGGCCATAATGACTTGATGTTTAAATTCTGGCCCAGTTTTTATTATATTCTATTAATCTCAAATGGGCCGTTTATTCTTAACGTCAGTCGGGAGGAACGCACCATGTGATGACTAAGTATTGAAGAGGGGAACGCTTGATTTCAGCACCCGCTGAGACGTGCGGGTCGATTTAGCAGAAAAACAACCACAAAACACACGCGTAGCAATCAGGAAATAGCGAGAACCCCAAATGTAGGGGTCAGGTCGGGGAGGTGTAAGAAGGTGTATTTTAGAACAAGCTATCCGGCCACCGTATACTGCCGGCTATGTCACATAACATGGATAGCACCCATGTAGTAGGGGGAGGGAGTCTCCCCACTGCAGTATATACTTGCGCAAGGTCTTGACATGAAGTGGTTGAAAATCTGATTTCCAAGTACTTCCAAATCATACAATACAAGGTTTTAAAAGCAGTGCTGTACTGTTTACTTTTCTTGGTGTCCAGAAATAATGCTATTTTATCTTCCATTGTCAGCTCCTCGAGACCTCAGTATATGGGGAAGCCCCGCATCAGATCAATGGCAAGGATATTCTAGCCCCACAAATAGCTTCCTCACTTAGCCTGGCCTATTGAGAACATGATATGTTTGAATTGGCTTACAAAAGTCCTCGGAATTTGCGGGGATGCGGGGCGATGTGCTACAGAACCGCCAAATCCTCCTACTCCTCTGCGGCCCCGCAAAGCGACTCTCCACATCTTCATTTTGGCACCAATTAAAATGATTCATCAGCAGTTTGAACCGGCAGCCGGCACCGAACACTCATTTCAAATTGGGTTAATCATACCGGCAGTCGGTAGTTGAGTGTATGATCAGCATCCGGAGCTGGACCTACTCAAAATCACGAGCTGGGTGCTATAGAGGCCTTTTTCTCTCATCTATCGCAGAAGCTACTTGAGACATAAAATCGAGAATGACGGCTTCACAAGATACTGGTAAAGCAGAACCCCGGCCAACAGGGATCAAGGTGATTATCGTGGGAGCAGGTACGTACCCAATGCCCCATTTCGTCAGTAATCTAATTTTTGATTCAAGGATTTGGCGGCTTGACGGCCGCGATAGAGTGTCATCGCCATGGCCACAGTGTGGAAATATATGAATCATTTCCTAGTCCGTATGACCCGAGTGATCGAAACAAGTAGCTTCTAATCGCCGCGACGACAGAACTGAAGGCACTGGGGGATATCATCTCCTTCGGGCCTAACGCTGGCCGGATATTTCGACGCTGGTCTGACGGCAAGGTTGCGGATCGCCTAAAGCCCCTCAGTATTGATCTCAAGAACCACGGTTTCAAAATCCACAAGTGGACAGGCGAGCTGGTTCACACGCAGCCGGCACATGAGCCTGATTCTGAAGCACCGGTCTTTAATGGCCACCGGGGCGAGCTGCACTCGGTGGTTTTCAACTATGCCAGGGATGAACTTGGGATTCATATCCATCTTGGCAACAGGGTTTCCAAATATTTCGAGGACGGAAACCAAGCAGGCATTATTCTGGAAAATGGCGAAAGAGTGAGCATAGCCATTTATCCTCTTCCTTGGCAACACAAGCTTATTTGTGGAGGTTGTCGGCGATGTAGTCATTGGCGCAGATGGTGTGCGTTCGAAAGCGCGTGAGCTGGTCCTGGGCTATGTTGATAAGCCCAAATCCAGTGGCTATGCTGTTTACCGTGCCTGGTCTGTCAACACCATGAGAGACTTTATCTGCGTCGCCGAACTGATAGTCGAATCAGGTTTCCGAATACTGACATGATTCGCGATCCAAGAACAAGGCATTTTTGCGATGGAGACACCTTCAACGGCTGGATCGGGCCCGATGTGCATTTTTTGTTCTCCACTATTAAGAATGGACAAGACTGCTGCTGGGTACTAACCCATAAGGTTTGTACTGTCCTGCGCATCATCAGCTCTGTGTCAGTCTAACCTCTTGTAACTCAGGATGATGCAGACATCGAAGAATCCTGGTCTTCCCCAGGCAAACTTGAGGACGTGTACAAAGTCATTGAAGGCTGGGATCCGCTTTGCAAGGCGATTATCGAGAAAACACCTTCATTGGTCGACTGGAAACTTGTATATCGTGACCCACTGCCCCGTTGGGTGAGCGATCATGGACGCATTGCTCTGCTTGGCGACTCGGCGCACCCTTTCCTGCCAACTTCCGTGCAAGGTGCGACGCAGGCAATGGAAGATGGTGTTGTGCTGGCTGTATGCTTGAAGCGTGGCGGGAAGGCGTATGTTCCGGCTTCTGTACGTGCATATCAAAAGATCAGATACGACCGTGTTTGCGCCGTCCAGAAGACTGGCGAGTCCACGCGCAACTTATGGCACAAGGCGGACTGGGCTAAAGTCGCCAAAGACCCCGCATCGATTCAAATTCCTCGTCAGGATTGGATTTTCAAGTTCGACGCGGAGAAGAATGCCGAAGAGATTTTCTCTCGCGTTGTCAATTATTGAAGGTTTCAGTGGCAGAAACGAAAGCTTGATTATGGCGAACGTGCATAGATGAAGGAAAGAAGATGAGAAACTCCGCTATCTGGTCGCTGGACTGTCACATGACCTGGTTCCGGGAAATACATCGCAGTAAACAAATCGAACATGAGTAACTACAGTAGTTTTCGAATTCAGTTTGACCGCTTACTCTTTAGACTTGATTCCCGGAAAATAAATCCGAAATACGCTAAAACTATTTAGGGTCGCCGCTTTATTTGTTAGGCAGAAGTATGGTGGTAATGTCCATGCCTCATCCAAAGACGTATTGCAATAGATCTGTAACGATACATCGAATCCTCTACTGCGTAGTACCCTTTAGTAGGTTTGGCGATCTGGCAAGATCGCCTGCCCCTTCCGACCAGTCAATCCAAGATCGCCACTTGCCCTCATTCTTCCTACATGCAGCACAGCCTTCGTGTACCTCTGTACGCCCGCCAGTCATCACACAGTGGCCGTGCTTACCCAGTGTAGAGCTAATCCTGGTAGGGAAGGATATTTATTTTATCACCATGGTTTTGTCATCTGCGGCGTATCTCATTCTTTGCCAGTGTTGATTCCAATCTGGCTCACCCCGCAAGCTAATATGGGCTTTCCAAATATTTTGCTTGACAAGAGCTTATCTCAGTTTCTGAAGGGCCAAAACAGCTACGGCTCCCATCATGCTATGCGCTTCGGCAACTCCCTCTCCAGGTCGCCCGAGCCTCCCACAGCACGACATGTAGCATACTGAGATTCCACAAGCGCCCATTCCAAGACTAGTTGGTAGTAGCCTCAGAACGTATTTGGCCCTCAAAAAGTTCCTCCACCTGCGTGACATCTTCAACAAACGTAGCGCCATACTCTCTCATCATCTGTATCTTCTCCTCCATATTCATCGCTAAACTCACTCTCCCAAAATCTCTTGGCAGTTGCCTAGCACTCTTATACCTCAACACCCAAACACCCACTCCATCCGTCGGCCAACCAAACACCAACACCTTTTCTTCTTCCTCCGTGGCCTCCCTTAGGCCAACCTCTACCTCGATCACATCCTCCTTACTCGGCCACAACGTCGCACCAGTCCGTCGCATAAGATTACAGAATCTGTCTTCTTCGTCGGCACTGGGTGAGCGCTGCGATTCATGAAAGCGGGGGAGCGATAGGAAAAGCATGTCGAGAAGGTTAGCGTCTTTGACGAGAACCCCACCAGTGGAGGGATAGCCATAGACAATGCATCCTTGGCCGGTGCCGAACTTGGTCCGTTCAGTCATCGACAGAGGAGGGTTTGTGGGGCATGAGATGCGCTGTGAGTCGTCATCCATCATTGTTCGTTGGTGAAAAATAGTGTTAATGTTGATGGGAAGTAAGCGGCCAGTCGATAGAAAGTTAGAGGAGATAGCGACGATGGCGACTAGTACGGACAGGAAAAGGCCAATCTTTGGTATCACGTGACTCGACATCGGAGCCCATGAGTGCGCTCTCAGGGTCATACAGATGACCGCGTTTAAGTATTCTTTGCCTACCCATCGCTAAAAGTTGTCATCAGCGTTATCGCAGGTCTATCCAATCGGAGTTATGAACGCCATCGCTACATATGCACACTCACCTTAGCGAGTGCTAGCCTCCGAATTCTCCTCACGGCTATCCTGATTCTGATCCTTCGCGCCGTCTGCGCGGATACTTGGACTAGGTACTAAATTCCTACTATAATAGCAGAGTAGTATTCGTTTCCATAGTTTTATACTCCTAGAGTGATTAAAGTTAGATCCACGCTCTATCCAATCCGACGATCAGGGTCCGGGCTGAGTACTTCCATAGTGTCTTGGCTTCGTTCTCACAATTCTCTTATTCATTTAGCCACAAGGCTACACTAGTATAATTTTAGCCAGTGCCGACCTGGTTAATCTCCTATCCAGTCAACAGTAAGGACAAGTTCCGCTCTTGGTAAAGCTAGACCCTTTCGCTAAGCTAAGCAATTTTGTTAGCAGAGCCGCCACAAGAAATAGGCGACTACCGGTTATCCTTTGTGGACTAGACTCCCTCATCACCCTAGAAATGGGCTCATTTCTCTCGGAATTGAATTTTATCGGCCGGTTATATGTCGATGTTTTGCCTAGTATAGCCCCCAAAGGGAATAGCACATTTAGACCTCGCCACGACCCGAGGGTGACCCTGACGACCCGGACCGCGACCCGGACCACGCAGGTTTTAGGGTCGTAAGGTTAGACCCTGAAATGGGGTCAGGCTAGGGCCATAAAAGTCGCGAACCTACCCTCAGGGTCGAGAACCTACCCTCAGGGTCGTCAAACAAGGCAAACATTGCCAAGTCACGCGGAGCATAAGTTATGCAGATTTTGTCTGTATTTAAGAGTATCTCACTTACAGTACTTAGAGGAGAAGTTTCCTAATTTGGCAATGTAGAATGAATTAAATCAAAACAAATCAAACTAATGAATCAACCGAAAAGACTGCCCGAATCTCGAATTACATATTAGTCGTTTCATACCCATCTAGCAACCTTGAACGCTTACGGACTCTGCCTGACACTCGGTGCTGTATCTCCGGCAGGGGTATTGCTTCCGACTCTTGACCATCGTCTTCCTCCTCATCACCTCTCACATAGTCAGCTATATTGCTTATACGTCTTTTGCCGAGTGCTTTTGCGGACGGACCCTGGGCAGCCTGCGAGGTTGGTCGGGTCTTCGAGATAGCTCGGGGCTGGGACCTGGCTCGGAGCTGTGTCGTAGACGCTTCATCCTCTTCATTGTCGCTAATTGGATCAACAGCGAGTTGCTGCTGTGTTCTCTCTTCCTTTGCAGCCTGTATCTCCTGAGCCGAAAGATATTCAGAAAGCATTATTCGCTCCTCTTCATGAATCTCAAACCGTGATGTACACATATACATCATAAGATCTGAGATTGTTTGAGGTTGAAGAGAGCCTCGACGATAATGACAGATATCTCGTGCAGAGTTAAAAAGCCGCTCTACCCCTGCACCACTAGCTGGGATAGAGAGCACATCGCGAGCAAGCCTTGCCATCGTAGGGAACTTATCTTGATGATCTCTCCACCAGGTCAGAGGCTGGGCATTTGTGACTATATCTAAAGGACAAGTCAGTAATTGCTCAAATAGAGATCAAGAAATACTTACTGCTATCAAGATACCTTGTAAGCTCATCTGACTGTGCTGGCTGTGAAATTTGAGACTGCTGCGACTCATCTAGAGCACAAGCTAAATCAAATTCATCCGGTATCGAACTTATAGTCGGACCACCTAACCTTTGATGGTCCTCGGCAAAACTCTCAGAGTACTTCTCGAGGAAGGACTCAAGGCTCTGGCGATAGGCTGCTCGGTAGTCGACCCCAGATCCTGGGTCTGGATCCCAGTCGGGAGTCGAGAAGAACTTGAGTTTATCCTGTGGAGAAAGGATTGTGCCAACTGCGTAGAGATGACTGTCAATCTTGTCGGTGTCTCTGTAGTAGGCTGAGAGCTTGAGTTTTGCTGCTTCGAGGGATATAAGCATCACCTGCTTCCAAGCAACCTTCTTCCGTCGAAGCTGGTTAATCGACTTTTCAAGATGATCAAATAGCTTCTTGTAGACCTTGAAAACCCGATGGATAGTGACATTCTTTGTTTTGCACAAAAGAGTTGTGAATCGGTGAAAAGGCTCAAGAATACAAAGGAGATAATCAACCTGCCGCCACTGCTCCTGGCTCAAGGAAAAGTGCCCTTGGTCATACTGGGAGCAGAAAGCATCGAAGGCCTGCTGGAGCTTCTTCGCGCGTGCGAGCATTAAGAATGTAGAGTTCCATCGAGGAGTAACGTCCTGGATTGGAACTAGCTTTTTCTCTCTTGCCTGCAGGTTGTAGAATGACTCCTGGCGCTGAGGACTTGCATTAATATAAATCGCAAGGTTTCGGACCTAAGGAACAAATTAGATTATGAATCGGAATTAAGTAAGACGTCTTACCTTGCTTAGAGTGTCAACAATCCCTCTTTCCTGCTGCGTCGCCCGCAGAGCTTCTACCCGATCATCAGACCATGTTTGCTCAGCCCTATCATTTTTTGGAATAGCCTTCATCTTCCCAAGAAGACTTTTTAGGCTAATCTGGATCACATGTGCAATACATGGTACCCGAATGATAGCGACGTCGCTCGAGGATTGTAGACCTTCAATCGCCTCGTTGACACTCTCCATAAGAGTTTTGTTGTTTGAAGCGTTGTCGGTAGTCACCGAAAGCACTCGATTCGTGATCTGATGCTCTTGTAGCAAGTCGAAAACCACCTCACTCAGATTTGCACCAGAATGAGCTCCATGTAAGGGCTGAAATCCAAGTAATATCTCACGGTACTCCCAGTCTTTGTCAATGAAGTACCCAGTGATAGCCATAAAAGCCTGTTTGAATGGAGATGTCCAGCAATCAAGGGCAAGTGATAGCTTAGCACCAGAAGGAAGTGTCTGAAGGATAATCTTTTGGTTCTCACGGACTAGCTCTCGAAGCTGCCGGCGCATAGCTTTAGCGGATGGGATATCTGGCATTGATGGTGCCAGCCGGGCGTAAGAGATAAGATCACGGAACTCAGGGTGTTCAAGGAAAAGGAACGGAAGATGTGACACAGTAAGAAGCTTCGCAAGCTTCTGCTGCCAAATACGCGTATCGAATGCTCGTACGGGTGAATTCTGGGCCTAGGCGTAGAAGTAAGTTAGTAAAATAAAGCCGATAATAGGGTGCTGAACATACAGCATGCTCTAATGCCAGCTTGATATTTGGCTTCTGCCTTTTGGCTAGGGCAGCTTTCCGACAAGTCACCCCATTATAGTGCTTGTTCATTGAAGTTGTTCCGCTATGAGCCCAACCAGGGTGATCAAGAACCTTCTGACATTGCTGGCACATAACTCCTGGTTTCCCATTTCTGTCTAAGGCGACCTGGTCAAAGTATTCCCAGCACTTTGCGCGTTTCCCATCCCAAGTCATCCGTTTCTTCCTCCCAAAGTCGGTCTGAAGCCACCAAGTCACAAATTCATCACTCATTTCTGGAGAATATAGAATGTATGTTCTGATCCGGTCCGGGCAAACGCGTTTAAGGCATTCGGGGGCTTTCAGAGGCTCGTAGACGGTCTGTTGGCTTCCGGAGGGGACGGGGGAGAAAGGCTGAGGTGGTGTAGAATTAGCAACGTATTCAAGGAAATCCGAAGGTGGCGCATCATGTATAGAGGAGTGGAATATATCAGATGACTGAGACATGATGAAGCTGTGTATAAGAAGGAAGGACTTACTGAGATTTTTCTTTGGTGTTAGGCGAAAGGACTTAGGGGTAGAGGTACATGCTGATTCTGCAATATCTGATTTTTTGCTTGATAGATCACATCTAAACCCCGCTTTTTATTCAAATCCTCAAGCTAATTGGTTGACCTTCCAGGGTAGTCAGGGTGACCCTCAGGGTAGTCAGGGTGACCCTCAGGGTAGTCAGGGTGACCCTCAGGATAGTCAGGGTGACCCTCAGGGTAGTCAGGGTGACCCTCAGGGTAGTCAGGGTGACCCTCAGGGTAGTCAGGGTGACCCTCAGGATAGTCAGGGTGACCCTCAGGGTAGTCAGACTGACCGTGGGAGGGAATTTCCTATCCTGAATCCCACCCGTATATTATGGCATAGGATAGGATTCCCATAGGATTTCCCTTTCATTGCGATAGCCACGGTCCTTCCTAGGTCACTGACCTAGGTTTTCAAGACCATCACCGCAGGAGTTAGGATAGTGTTTAAGTTCTGCGGAATGTAGTGCAACTATCTCATACATTCGAAATATATTTCCGCATCCTTACACACCAATTTCACCAACTTTCTATAAAACACACCACAACAATTCCTCTTAGGTAGAAAAGAGGGCAAGTTTAGTATTACCAAGCCAGAAGACGTATTCAAAAGACTTAATACAAAGAATTACATAGGGGGTGGATGAAAATTGATGGAATCATAGTTAGACATACAGAACAGGTATAAGAAACAGTAATATATAATGATGTGTCAGCGAATTTATTCATCCTAATCAGGAAAGGCGTAAAAGAATTATGCAATTCAGGGTAGTCAGGGTCGTAGTCAGGGTGACCCTGACGAGATTTTATGACCCTGAGGGTCGGTCCGGGTCGTAAGGCTCGGAACCGGAACCGTCCAGGTCCGGGTCGCGAGTCGGTAGGAGGGACCCAATATCAGGGTCGTGGCGAGGTCTAAGCACATTCATCATTTAGCTCTTATGTTAGCTTTTCCGTAAAGAAATCCCGGGTATAGCAACCCGTAGAGTCAAAATATGCGGACAGTTGAAATGAAAGTCTAAGACATCTCATTTCCACTCTTTTCACTATTACAAGCGATGTAACCTGTCTGGGGCAAAAAGAAATTGGATCAGAAACATTACCCGATAAGATATACAGCACTTTAGATGAAGCGTCCAGTGATCAAGTATATATCCTTGTTCCTTTTGTTGGATTTTATCCGAATCTCACTCTCTGCAGCCCGTCAATATGGTTCTCCTCGCAGCCCTTACAACGTTCTTCTTGCTACTACGCTACACTCTAGCTGAGCCGCCTGCCGATTTTCCAGGCGACGAGACTCCTTACCGAGTGACTCCAACTGACACTGTGTCACCTGAGAATTGGATGGGAACGTACCTCTATAAATATCTTGACTGCAAAGAAAACTTCGGCCCAGGAGCTAAGGGCAAAATTGACGACGCCTATTATGATGCATGGCTAATATCCAAGTAAGTCAATCTCTCGTAATCATCAAATCCACGAATCGTCGTGAGCTGTCCCCGTTCCCTAGCCTCCATACCGATCCTGATTTTTGCGAATTCATCTGGAGAAGAAGTACACTGACTCCGTCATCATGCACTCCAGTACTGCAGGAGTGGGGAAAGATATCGATTGGAACAACGCAGCTGCACTGGAGTTTCTGGGTGCCCCAGGGCTGAACAAAGCCCAGCAACCTCAAATTCAGGCAGTCTTTGCAAATACGGCAACGATGATCTATAGCTACAAAAATCCCTTCTTCCAGAATTATATCAAGGTTCGATGCGATGATCCAAAAAAGAAATGCCAAAATCGGCCCGATCAACAAGATCCGTGTCAACCAAAGTACGTACTGCCACCCTATCTTTCTGTTAATACGGAATAAGTATAAAGTGACTTCACTGATGCATTCCAGCCAAGCAAACTCAGGCGATCCGCCAAAGCCAAAGCCAACACCACTTGCATATTCGATGAACTCTGACCCAGATGACTCTGGCACTCCGATGATCAATTTTTGCGGCGGCTTTTTTGATCGCAGAAGTCTGGCAGACGCAATCACATACGGGAATGCTCTAGTTAGCCCAAACAACCTGAAACTTGCAAGCTATGATAACAGAGCACAAACGTTTTTGGTGAGCTGGATCAAAAGTCTTGACCCTACAAATCTGGATGACTAACCGAAATGGATCAGCATGAGTTATTGCATTTAGATCTGGCTGCTGACTCCCCAAAACCGAATCCTCGTGTCCTAGATCTCCAGATTGACATCAAAACGAGCGATAAGAATACCGTTACGACTCCAGCATACGGCACCCTTTGGACTAAAGTATTAGCTCGTTGGCAAGAGGGAGGAACAGGAGGCTCTGTCGGATACTAAGTTCAGCGAAACGCCGATAATCTGGCATATTACGCATTGGCTAAGTACGTGATGTCGAAAAATGGCAACGTATATCCTCACCTACCCATCGTTACACTCAAAATCGATGGGCCCCCATATCCAAGATTACCGGATTCACTCGCCACATTCGTTACAGAGGGCAGCGACTTTTACTTGAATGCTACCGACGATGTTACGATTTGGGGTGGAGACTATCTTGGTTGTCCTGACGATGCAACCGGGAGCGAAGTCAGCTCTCCCCTAACCATCGACGGATTCGCTCCATATTCCGCCTACCCAGATAGCTACAACAGCTTATTGTCGACTTGGATAGAGGCCCTGGGCTCGACGGATGAGGGATCAAATCCAGATTCGGGAGGGGACGCCGGCCAGCAGATTGCCATTGCGTCGTATATCAACCCCCTCGGGGACCCAGCTTCGTGGGAACGACTCCTCACATACGACACTCAGAAGGTCAGCGTATTGGTTGCCAATGTTTTGAACGGACCAGATTATATGGTCGATGAATCCTGGAAATCGGTGATTGATCAAGCAGCGAGTCAAGGCAAAAAGATCCTCGGTTATGTTCGGACTGGTTACCTTGGCGTGAGTCAACAACAATTTACAACTCGACTGGGCTCGCATGACCTCGCAGACTGGGCTTCGCAAATTGAACAAGATATCGATAAGTGGTTCGAGCTATATGGCACCAGTCTCGGCGGTATCGTTTTTGATGAAGGCTGGCCAGAATGCGGTCCCAACAATATCTACGCAGATCTATACGCATACATCAACAATTATACGAAGCGGAAACACCACGGCGTATATACAGTACTCAATCCTGGCTCACCAATAGCTCAATGCTTTGAAGACACTATGGATACGCTATTGACATTCGAGAGCAGCTATGAGACTTATACAAACTCGTTTGTACCTAATGATTGGATGCCAAAGGACCCCCGAAAGATATGGCATATCATCTACAAAGTACCACAGGATCAGATTGCGAGTGTCGCTGCTCTTGCCTCGAGCCGTAAGGCCGGGTTCTTGGAAATGACCGACGATGACCAACCTAACCCTTACGATAATCTACCCAACGAGGCTTATATGCAAGCAGTCATCGGCGCCGTACCAGGTGGCACGCCTCTCATTGATGATCTAGCTGAAGTTACTAGCTCCTCTGTTGTTGGTCTTCCAAGCGACGCGGTCGTCTCCTCTTCGGACTATAGCTCCGTCACCCTTACCTGGTCATCAGTCGAGAATGCTCTTGGCTATGCGGTTTATAAGGACGGTGTACAGGTACTGGAACTGCCAGCCTCATTGACTCGAGCTACGATTGGTATGATCGACCCCGGAACCTCTGGTATCGCCTTCGAGGTGCGGACGATCTTAGCTTTAGGCAGTGGAGGTAGCTCCCGGTTGATCTCGGCGAGCACGAAAAGCCTACCGGCTAATGGTACAAACGCCAATGTTGGCTTTACACAGAATGGCGACACCGTTGTCTACAAAGCCGACGTCCTGGTCCCATACGCATTTGTGCGGCTCTTCATCGGCACCAAACAGCCCGACATTGGAATTGTCCACGGGTGGCCGATTCAGGCCCCAGGCGTGACGCTAGGCATGGACGGTCAAGATACCGCGTATCACGAGATCGTCAACTACCTCGTCGAAGGCAATGACTTCTACTCCGGCTTTTACAAATACAGTGGCGCTTGGTACGAGACAGCCAAAGCCAATGCGGATTGGTCGTGGACCTCTATCGGTGTCGCGACTCAATCTCAGAGTGGTTACACGTATACGTGGAACGTTCCGTTCGCTGGCACTGATGCTGTAGCCAGCGAATATGTAATACAAGGCCAAGGATACGCCCCGTTAAACAATGTCTTCATGGGATCCCTTCGTCACTATAGTATACTTTAATATTGTGACGAATGTGACGTTCTGGCGAGAACAAAGGAGATCGGAAGATATGGGAATAGCCTCAGATGTTGCCATTCACGGGTGTCTGCCTCAGGTGTCTGTTCGCTTGCTTTGAGGATGTCTTAAATCCTCTCTCGCTGATCTGTCTTCTTTTCCTTCCTCTTTCTCTCTTCAGTCTTGATACCTTCGTTGAATGGTACAGTTTGATCCAGGATCTTTCTATTGGCCCGTAACAAATATTACGGTTTTGGCCTTCATCAACCGAACAAATTGGACTTGGAGTCTTCAGGGCCCATAATTGATGGACACCAAAGGGTAAAATGATTGGCACGGGGTTAGAGGGTGTTTTAAGCATCAAAAATCTCTATGTTTAAGCCCGCATGTCGAAAATAGCCTCTGGCACTCTCTGCTTTCGCACCGACTATATTAATACACTATTCAAGAAGAGTATCAAATCCTTGTTCCGGGTCTTTCTCGTAGTGGCCCTAGTTACGCTTAATGAACCCCTTAATGTGACAAGAGCCTATTCTTCAAGAAAAGAGAGCATTCCGTAGCGAATACTGAGACTGGAGAGGAGAGAGAAGGGAGAAGTGCCGGAGCTGTGATGCCTGCCTTCATACCCGTCGGTCTCCGCCAATCAGATCGCTCAAACTAACTGACCTGAGTTGAATAAGAGCCTAGAACCATTCAATGAACCGACTCAAAACATTGCGATTGCCAGGCTCTGCCTTCGCTACATGAACTTTCCAATGTCTTGGGCAGAATGCAGCCTCATAGAGGATGATAAGGTCTTCGGCACCTTTTTGAACTATGCTGCAAGCTCGTGGCAACGACACAGCAAGATAAGCGACCCGAAAAGTCCTGAAGTGGTGGAGCTCATGAATCGGCTGTTCGATACCAACGGCCCGATTTGGGCACGGTGGAAAATATGGCTTGACGCAAATGACAATTCACGGAAGGCAGGGCACTCTGAAATAATCGGGGTCTCAGCTAGCCCGGTCTATTATGCAGCATTGCTTGGGTTGAATGATACGGTGAAGTTCTTGATCCAAAATCGCAAGCACCCCATTGACCAGATCGGAGATCGGGGTCAGACGGGGCTCCTAGTCGCCTGTGAAAAAGGATATTTGGATGTTGTTAAGACCTTGATCAAATATGGGGCAAATGTCACAACTGAAACGATTGACGGATGGACGCCAATCAATATAGCCTCCCAAAGCGGCCATTCCGAAGTGGTCAAGCTGCTGCTTCGCGAGAATGTGACTGGTGTCATAATTCCCAACAGAGCTGGGTGGATGCCGATCACCTTCGCGTCTCAGATGGGTCATTCCGAGGTGGTTAGACTACTTATCGCGACGGGTGCGGATATCAATACCACAAACAACCTGGAGAATGGCCACAGATTGTCACCACTCAACTTAGCCTCGACGTATGGTCACACAGAGGTAGTGAAGCTACTTCTCGATAGCGATGCAGATGTTAACATGCCAGACGAATTCGGATGGACGCCAGCGAACTCTGCGTCACTGAATGGTCACGCTGATATAATGAAGCTGCTTATCGCGGCGGAGGCGGATATCAATACAACAAACAAGGACGGATGGTCACCACGCAGCATAGCCTTGGTGAACGGTCAGCTGGAGCAAGTGAGGTTACTACTTGAGAACAACGCAGATGTGAACACTTCGGACGATCATAGATGGACGCCAGTGAACGTTGCATCATACAGTGGTCACGCTGAAATAGTGAAGCTGCTTATTGCACGGGGAGCGGACATAAATGCATCAAATGATGCCGGATGGACGCCGATCAATACGGCATCTCACATGGGTCACATCGAGGTGATTGAGCTACTCACCATGGCAGGGGCAGACATCACTATCCCAAACAGGGGAGGATGGACACCAGTCAGCTCCGCATCTGCAATGGGCCACGATAAAATAGTTAGATTACTGATAGATGTCGGGGCGGACGTCAATGTCCCAGACATCAAAGGGTGGTCAGCTGTTCATGTAGCCTCAGCAAGAAATCATCTGGAAGTTGTGAAGCTTCTTCTCAAGCACAACGCAGATATCAGTATTCCAGACAAGAATGGGCAGTCACCTGTCACCTCGGCCTCTGCAAACGGTCACCTCGAGGTACTCAAGCTCCTCCTGGAGAGAAAAGCCGACATCAATTCAAAGGACCATAGGGGCTCTACACCTCTACATCTCGCTTCGGAAGGAGGCTCTGTGGACGTTGTCAAGCTCCTTCTTCAATACTCTGAAAGAAACGGCGTTGATGTTCAAGACGTCATCGGAAGAACTCCTGTTTTCCTCGCCGCCGCTCGAGGACACGAGAAGGTCCTGCGCCTGCTTTTGCAATCCAATGCATCTCCGCACATTCACGACCATTATCATATGACCCCGTTGTGTACCGCTATCAGAAATGGACATGAAGAAGCAGTCAGGGTTCTTCTTCCGCTAACCAAAATCACAAATGATTCGGAGGATGATTTGGGTTCCAAAGTTGTTCGCTGGGCGTTTAAAAGCGGAAACAACGCCATTATTGACCTCGTGCGCCAATGGGCTCAAGAAATGGACATTGGATTTTGCCAAAGTACCCTTGACGTGGGCTGGATTCGAATCAGATTCGATCTATCTTCAAGGTGGTGTGATGTGTGTACTGGAACTATCCCAACTGGCTCTTCTCACTACTCTTGCAAGACTTGTTTCGACTTTGATATATGCGCGAAGTGCGATTTGTCCGGTGCTAAATGTTTGAATTCTTCTCACGAGTGGGAGCACATGCCAGGTCGCTCTTGAAAGAAATCATTGCAATGCAGCATTTCATTTTCATCGGGTTTTCCCTGTTAAGTTCAATTCACATATTCGTATAGTAAATTAAGAGTAATAATTTGCACAGAAGTTCGTGAAGCGTCTTGCTATCAGATCAGACGAGTCTATTCTTTCCCCTCCCGCTCTCTCCAGCAGGAAGATAGCACACCCTTTTTTAATTTTTCCCATTCAACAGCCCGGGTGGTCTAGTGGTATGATTCGCGCTTAGGGTTCAACTCTGAGCAAGATTGCGCGAGGTCCCCGGTTCGATCCCGGGCTCGGGCCTGTTTTTTGCTCTTTTATTTATTTCCCCTTTTATAATTACCCTTAAACTGGGTCCAATTGTGAAGACGACGTTGGTGGCGCGTGGCGCGTTAGCCTTCTGTGTGGTGGAGACATGAGAGTGGGTTTATTCTCGCTTATCTAATTCGCTTCGCTCAGCCACGTGTGGCTCAAGCTGAGTGTATATGTGACCTGAACACCTGCGGGTGGGTCAGGCCACACCTGATAAGCCCGATAAGTCCAGGCCACACCTAATTTCTTGGCACCTGTAATTTATTTCTGGCGAATACATTTAATAAATTACTGATGTATTATTCACTCGCACTGAACCATGGGTCAGGCGGGGTAGTTCATCTCATTCTAGTGTTTGCACTCACACCCAGTATGACAGCCTTTTTAGAGGACGACCAAGATATCGGTGAATCCCTGGAGCAGGAGCTTCAGCAGGAGCTTCAGCGGCAGCTTAATAGTGAGGAGAGTGCAGTTCCTGCTACTGTTCAAGGGACCCCTGGACCTACAGATGCTCTAGATGAACCTCCGGTATGACGATAATATATTCTCAATATTTAAGTATACATTAATAATATATTGTGTCTTTAGGAATTCCTACGGACTATCTTACACGACAAGCGCTCGCCGATTCGAACACGCTTTATCGAATATACTTCAGCGCTACCTGAATATCCCCGGACAGACCCGGATGGCTTCACATATGTGATCAATGTGCCTGATCGGTCATTGTTCGCAGTGGAGCAGTCAATTGAAGGAGTATATTAATATCCCATTAATATATTGATAATATGTTAATAATATATTAGGTGCAATACTCGTCAAAACAAGCCTATCGAAACAGACGTAACCAGCATGATTCTATCTTTGGAGAAAGGGTCGCTTTTCTACACAGCCTCTACAGATGTACAGGCATAAAAATGTGTGAATTTACAGATCCTGAGCTCAAGCAAATGGTGCATTCGCATGTTACTGAGGGTATTTGGCAGCGAATCAAAGAGCTTCGCCAACATATCGCATTCAGTGATACCCAAAACCCTCTACAACCAGCAACATATAGGTTGTACCAATCTACGATGCGCCAATTCAAGATCAATCGCACTTCATGTGGATCTTGGAAGGATACTTGTTCGCCGCGCGGTCGATGGGTTCAGGATGTAAGTAATATACTACTAATATATTCTTAAAATATTTCTAACCTGTTATTTATATATCAGAGTGTTATTGGTGGATCTGACTTTTATATCTATTGCTCTAATTCATATGAAAGTCCAAGGTCTCATTTTGCATCATGTGTGCGCCCTGACTCTGGTATCGACAGGGAATTGCTTAGGCGAATCCTTGATGGAGAGGTCCAGGGAGAAATTCAAACCTGTGGTTATATCGACACAAATCGTCATCGTGGAGACTATTGTGGTAAGGAATATATCTTTAATACATTAAGAACATATTATTAATTACTATATTATAGAATTTGACCATACACGTGGGCTTGGTAAAATTAAAAGGCACAAATGCTCCGTTGAGTTCCATTGGTTTATTCCAATAGACCTCACGTCCAATCCATTTTGGGTTTTTACCTCAACCGGGATTCATATGCACCCTCCGCCACCTCCATCGAAGCCTCCACCCGCAATTATAGACGGATTAGTACGAATAATCCGCCTACAGAACAATCCTGCATTAACAACAGGTAAAGTTCTTTCTAATATGTTAGGAATATATTAAAGAAATATTAATAATGTTTTATCCTAGGACGTTTTCTCGTTAGCCCTGAGCTTCGGGGTCTATGCAAGCGATACAATAATAGCGAGTCGCTGCTCAATGTCCATGAAAGCTTTGCTAATTTAGACCGGATCAGCACACTCATTCGAAAGGAGAGACTCCTACGATTTCCTCATGGACAGGATATCAATGGTTTGATCTTTGAGATGGAAAAGGATCCTCCTTTAAAGGTATGAAGATAATAGGTCGTGATATAATGAGAATATATTATAATTAACCTTTTTGTAGGACTACGTTCAGCATATCTATCAAGACCCTGACCTTATGGTTATTTGCTTCACATCTGACATGGCTGAGCTTTTCATCCAATCTGAATCGGTAGAGATTGACATGTCTTTTAAACGATTCAAAGAAAGATCAATGCGAGAGGTTACATTTTCAAAATATATACCTGAGCAAGACCGAGGTAAATATTACCCTAATATATTAATAGTTCTTTATTAATACAATGTTCTTCTAGTTTTTACACTAGCACGTGTGATTGTCGTTTCCGAGACCCATTCAACCTATTATCTCCTATTTACTCGGCTTTTTGAGTGCATAGAGCGTGTGCTTAGTCGCCAGTTCTACTTTTATCCAATCCATCGTACAGGGCTACATGCTGTCGTTCTGGATATGGATACAAAGCAATACGGAGGTGAGAAATAGATCATATACTATTAATATATTACTAATACGTTATAGGTCTTAGAGACTTTCTCACTGATAAGAGTACTCTTCAAGTATCGCCTGATGATCTTATCCAACACTTCGTTGTCTTCTGCAGAGCCCACTTCTACAGGGGTATTGATAGAGCACTTCGTGGGCAACAGGTCGCTCCTGGATGTAGGGAAAGGATGCGAGCAGTGATCGATATTCCGAATCGAGAGGAGTATATTCAAGCTTTAGACTGGATAATCGGTAAGTATACTCTAATCGGTTCTTAATAGTTTATTAATTTATTATTAGAGCATGAATCATCTGTTGTCATTCAGCAATGGGCTCGCCATAAAAAACTGCCTTACGTTGCGGCAGCTTTGAATAAAGCTTGGAGTCAGATACCTGATGTGATTTTCGAAGGACTTCGAAAGAACACAAATGCAGTGGAGCAATCGCACCATATGATCAATAGTACTGGTGTTCAGCTTTCACTACTACAAGGGGTTTTGAAGTAAGTTCTTATTAATTTCGTCGTAATATATTAATAGTATATTAATACAATATTTCTAGTTCTTTTGCCCATGATAAGAACCGCATGCAAGCTTATTCTATTCGTCAAGTAACCGGAATTCGACAAAGGTATCGGATGAATGGTATTCATGCAGCATTCGATCGTCACCTAGCAAAGGGTAAGTTGATACGAAGAATATATACAATACATTATTAATCATTTCTATAGAGCAAAAAAGGCGCCAGGAGAGGCTACTAGAAGAGGAACTCAATCAGCTTGAGAGCTCATCGAACATAGATGAGTTCTTCGCATCTGATGAGACAAGTGTACGGTATACGACCTCAGGTGTACCAATTTCTCGACGTTCAGCTAGTGTACCAAGGAGATCTAGTACTAGATCCCCTACCGCTACTCCTCGCCGAACAAGAACACCTACACCAAGGTTAGTACTCTATGATGTTTTAAGAATATTTTATTAATATATTACAGAGCTCAAAGCCTACAACGGGTTGCTTCTGACAATTTACGACAAGAGCATGATAGTCTTGCTATCCAAAAGCTTGAACATCAGCTCCGAGAGGAGGACTTAAAGGCACAATTGCTCGAAAAGCAGCTTGCTAATCGTAAACGGCAGCAAGAATTAGATGAGATAGATAGACAGGTAAAGCGTAGGTAGGTTAAAATATGCCCACTTCTATTAACTCTAACAATTTTGGTCAAGGAATTAAGAATAATTGTAAATTTATGCTTCCTCCTCGAGACGCTCAAAGTCTGCGTCCACATCCCAAAAGTGAGAAAGATACTCGCAGGTGAATGGGGCAGTACCGCATTCTATTATGATATATTAGCAATGCATTAAGGATATATTAAGAATCGCTTACTGATATTAGCAGTGATACAGGCGTTGCAGTCATCGTGTATATGCTTAGTGGCGAGGAAATCCCTCACGGCTTTAACCGAAATCTATAATATATTAGCAATCTGTTCTCAATAAATCAGAGATAACTTACCTTCCGATTCTTGCCTTTACCCTTCGTGAAGGGAAGTCGCGGCTTCGTAGAGATACGGGCAACAAGAGCAGTGTACCAAGCTAAAATCATATATTAGTAGTATAACAAGAATAAATTAGGAATGTGTTAATACCCTTGACCTCGTCCATCTCCTTGATAGCGTGGCGGCCCTTACTAGCGTACTTACCAGAGACCGTCACGCCTTGATGACCGGTGAGGTGCGTCTTGAGGTTGCCAGTGTGAGAATACTGCTTCTGATAATACATTAGTAATAGATTCAGAATATTTTAAGATCATATAGCATACCTGGTGATCGCAATCCTCGAATCGACAGAAAAGTTCTCCAGGAAGGACAATAACGCTACCATCATCATCCTAGAAATGCATATTAGTCATATATTCAAGGTCACTATTAGGATTTTTTAGAAGCACAGATGGCGCATTCAATATATATTTCAATGCCCAGGACAATCAGAAACCCCACTCAGAGATGTTTCCACTCACCTTCTCATACGCGGGTAGTTCTAGAATACCGGCCTTCGCATCCGCCACGTATTGCTTGTATGGGGCGTGGGACTCCAGGAAACGCACCATCTTGACTCAGGGACCTGTACGGTGTAACTAGTTAGGATTCGACAATAATAGATTAATAATTTGTTCTTGATGAAGATAGGCGGGGAGTTGGGAGGGCTCACGATTGGTGGAGAGGAGGAGGGGTGTGGAGATTGAAAGGGTTGGTATTGCCAAGAAGTTGGTATTTGACCTGACCAATAATAATAGATTACTAATCTATGCTCTACACCTGGAAAATAGATCTTCCGGTCAGGTGTGGCCCGACCCACCTGTTACTGTCGGCCTGATCTGCTTCCTGGCTCAAGCTTATGCTATGTTGGAGCTTAGCGTGTTTGTATATTTGTCAAAATTGCGTTACGTCAGTTTTTGGAAATGAGATGGTTTTACAACGTTTTGGTCTCTTTTTCGAGATTTGGATGGAGAGGAATCAAACGTTATGATTCAAGACGTTAAGCTTTTCCATCTGTAAGTTTGTAAGCAATAGAATAATAACTATCTCAAACTTCCGTAGACAACTCGATAAACCAACACAAGAACTGCCTGTATCCCACGCCCAACGCTCCCCAAATTTACGCTCATCACATAAGAGAAAGCAATCTCAGACATCGACCCCAATCTCCCTCCCCAGTAACCCCGGTTTCGTCCCTTCAGAATAGGCAGCCAACCCCATGACCAGCCCCCTCTCACACCCCTGCATGGTGCTCGCAAGGGTGATTGGCAGAGCTCAAATCGATAGATTCGATCGGCGAAAGAGGACGGGCCGGTGACCTGTTTTCAATCGATCACTGCCACATAATGAAGTCCGACCCGCTTTCCCCTCTTTACTTCGTACTTGTGGTCGGCTCTGGACAGGGGTGTGGGCGTGGTTGGGGGTTTTGTATCCCTGGCCAGTACAAGTATTTGAGTCTTTTCTTTTGTCTTCATTTCTTTTTGTCTGATGAGTTTGGATGGGCGAAAATGCTGTCGCTTCTTGAATTGTTGCTGGTGTTTGAGGGTCCCGTGTTGTGTTGCGGGGATGATCAGCGGGAGATTGTGGGGAAGTGGGCGGGTGTTTGTGGCTTCAGATGATCAGTCAGGTGAGGACCGCCAGGCCGATGTTTCAAGATTGGGTGTATTGGAGCTGTCTGGTTTTGTGGAAGAGATACCACACTTGCAAATAGTTGGGAGAGAATATGACGAAGCCCACCCGTCTTCTTCCAGCGGAATACGGGTTCATTGATGCTCTATGATGGTATGGGCGGCTCAGCCTGGATGCAGACGAACCGCAGGTAAATTCGATAAATTAAGTCTCAAAGCCATGCACCCGGCAATGACTCCTTCAAGCTGTCAAGTCTGAAAAAAAAAAAAAAACCATACGCTATAAAACCGAATCAAATAAACAACGTCCAACTATCATATCTCATCATCGTATCCTGATGTAGCTATATCAGTCAATCCTACTAGCCCAAAGGAAAGATAGGCTTCATATAAGGTATACGCAAATATTCAAGATTTCCCTGCAGTCATGGTTCCAACTAGATCTCACTTCAATGGCACCCGAGATCCGAACCAAAGGCAAATAAGGTATCAATCATAAGCGCGTCAAGAAGAGAAAAAAGTAAGAAACAACCGCGTTGGGCTTGCTCTCACGTATTCGGTGGTCCAATGGGGACACCCAAGCCTCCAGTTGCCCACGCATTTTGCATGACGCGAGCGTTGAGGGCGTTGACTGTATACGCGTTGTCCTCTGGGACTTCGGTGCCATTGCCGTCTGGTCCTGGAGGAGCCGGTCCAGGATGTCGCGCGACAGGACTCTGAGTTGGGACATGTTGATGGCCCATGTAGCTGCCTCCAGTGACGTTGCCCTGGTTCGGGAAGAAACTTTGATTGAGAGAGCCACAAGTGGTGCAGGTGAATTCAATCTTGAAGTTCGTCAGGAGCATTTGCGCCGGGACGGGGTGGTCGTTGCGTTGTGGGTAATTAGGTGGTTTGGGGTGTTCTGGTCCAGCCACGGATAAGGCAGGCCCAGTTGGATACCCCAGTCCAGCCTGCGATCCTGCCATCGGACGCGGATCGGTGTTGAGTGAGGACTGGCTAGATGTTCCAATCGGAGGCGGTTGCGGTATTTGTGTTGGCCGTACCTGGGCGGGAGGTGGTGGGGGTACCGGGCCATGGTTTCTTGGAGACTCGGCTGGATTCATCGCCTCCTCGTCCATCAGAGTTGGCGGGAGGGGGTCTGAGATCCAGCGATTCTCCGACATGGCTCGGAAGGCTGGGCCTGCGTCCCCCTGGGATGAAGGTTGGGACTGCGTCGGTGACTGTTGGTCACCTGCACTCATGTCCAGGTCTAATGACTGGTCGCCCTGGCTATCGGTTCGTCGTGGTTGCAACTTGATCAATGCCCGTTGTGCCTGTCTCATCGAGATGTCATATCCATGATACCGCTTGACGGCATCCACAACATCCTGCCCTGTAATCTTTCCTTTCATGTCAAAGAGTTTCGGGATTTCAGTCAGCAAGAAGCGCACATGCGAGGCTTCTGAGCGCGCCGGCGTCGCGGCTGGGGTTTCTGCACTCCTCCGACAGGTGTGACTGTCCTGGAGACTCGTGATATAGGTCGCGTTCTTGTTTGCACGGCAGACCACGCGGAAGAAGCAATTGGATCCGGACCGACAGCCAATGACGACGCTCTTCTTGTTGCTGCGCATTACTCGTAGCTCCCAGTGCTGGCGGACCGATATACTCCTAATGACCGTCTTGAAGTCATCGAGGGACGAGAAGCGTTGGCCCACATGGAGCCCCGAGTACATCTCGGTCATGTTGGCGAGGGCAGGACGCGCACTAAAGGTGGAACCGACTGAGCAACTGAAACGCCAGCCGCGAAGGCGCCAAAGACAAGTTCCATTTAGGTTCAGTAAACGGCCGCGTCTTGTAGTCACGAGGCTAAGGAACCTGGTCCAAGGCGAAGCAGGGCGTCGTCAGGCCTAGCCGGGCATCGAGAAGCATAGGAATGGGGAAGAGACGTGGGTCTGGGAGAGAGGTACTCGCGCCGGCAAGGGGTGGCCTGGGGAAACACCAGGAATGCGTCTGGGGGAAAGCAGCCGCATTGTCGGCGCCTGCCAGACCGCTCGCGGCTTCACTTTTCTTATTCACTCCACCCCCCCCCCCCCCCGGTGAATCAGCAGCCACCACCACCGTTATTTCTTGGCCGTGGGGTTTTTACTCGGGGTAATTTTCTCCTCCTGACACATTCTCACGTCGGTCTCAACCATGGCGTCCTACAGCTTGCTGGGTCAGCCAGAAGAAGGTCGAGTCGTGGCCTATCCCACCCCAGCCAGCTCCGCCTGCTAACATGCGATTTGTGATACAGACACCCTGCACAAGGCCCGTCTGCTCAATGTCGAAGAAAAACCCTTCAAGCGCGTCTCGAAGCGCCTCCTGAACCCCGAGTCGCTTGCCGTCTCCAACGCGCCCCAGGTCCTCACTCCACCACCCGAAGAATCCGATGCCGATGCGACCGCCACCGACGCCGACAAGCAGAAGAAACTCGATGAATGGCGTCACTTCAACGAAGATGTATCCCTCGACTTTTCCGCCTTTGAAGGCAGTATCGCGCGCATCCAGTTCCTCCTCGCGAGCAACAAGAACGAGCGCGAGCGATACGGGACCCAGAAAGTGCGGATCTTGGAGACCAAGGAGTCGGTTCGAAGGAACAACGGGGACCTACGCAACCAGCTGCAAGGCGCACAGCAGTCGCTTGCTCGGCGTAAGGGCTACGATGAACTTACCGAGAAAATCACCGGCAACCGACTGCTGAAGACGCGGGAGGACCAGCAGGTCCAACTGCAGAGACTTCAGGATGAGATTGCAGACCTGGACAAGGAGAGCAATGACTGTAAGACCACTTGGGGTGAGCGACGCGTGCAATTCGCTCGTGTTGTGGATGAAGGCACCCTGCTCCGACGACAGATTCGCAATGAGAACGAAGTAGAGGAAGAGACGGGTGATGAAGGGGATGCCAATTCCAGGGGAAAGAGCAGTGCTGCCAACAGTCCTCGCCCTGACTCTGAGAGTATGACTCCCTCTCAGAGCCAGGATGAGAGTGGAAAGCTGCAAGTGGAAAAGGGTTCTGGAAATGCACACGAGGCATCCCCCCTGCGGAATGAGACAACCGCCGAGGATGTCAAGCTTACAGCCGAGCAGACAGATACCGAGATGCTCGATGAAGGTGAGATCCGGGAGAGTGTCGAGGAGGATGATGAACTGGAGGAGGGCGAGGAAAGGCCGGATGACCACGGAGGACGGATGGATACCTCATGAAGTTTGAATCTTGTAAATTCACAGCGCGGCGTTTAGGATACTGGCTGGTTGCATATTGGCTACACTCTTCTATCTTCCATCATTAACACCGGGGCACTTCAAAATATGCTACTGGAAATACTAGACAGATGAAATTTTCTAATTTCGCGATATGCCGCTCGCATTGAGGGTATTCTTTTATTTCATTTCGCATCTTGACGATGTTTGAGTGCATAGTAGCACCCTAGGAGATCTCCCGCTCAGCAGTCTTCGCCTTCGCAATAGCCCCCTTGGCAGCGGTGATGTGCTCAACGTTGCTCTCGAAGCCCTTCTGGCCCTCCTCAGCCTTACCCGAGTCAATACCAAAAATTTAATTAGTAGGGGATGTGCAACTCACAATCAGAGACTCCAGCTCGGCCACGGTGTTGACGAGCTTAGTCTTCAGGGAAGGCAGGACCTTCTTGGTCTCCTCGAGGGCCAAGCGCTGGTTCAATTAGCACGGTCCAGAGGAATTTTTTAAATAACTTGATCAAAGACAAAGCTAGCCTCTCCAGGGATAGATACATACCTCTTGCTTAAGCAGATACTCCTGGTTCTCGTCTTCACCACCCTGAGCATTCTCCAGCTTCTTGATGCGCTCGGCCTGCTGGATCAGCTCATTGTGGTAGGAAGCCTCCTCCTTGACGAGGCGAATGACCGAAGAGGTCGTGATTTCGAGTTGAGAGCGAGGAGCCATTGTGATTGCTGTTGAGTCAGTCGGAGTTCAATGCGATTGAGCTTGTTTGTGATGATTGGTGACGCAAAGCATGAGACGGGAAATTGAGAGTTCCAAAGGAGGACCTTGCGCACTACACTAGTGTACTTGACACTAGCGTCAGTTGCTGTCAAGCTGCCCGCTGCAGAACGGGAGGTTCACCCATGCAGAATGCATTCCGCCGGTCCCCGAGATATATCGCAACTTGGAATATTCTCGCCCATAATTTGGCGCTCGTGTGGGATATTGCGCAGCTCAAAGCACAATGATGTGACCTACATACCTGTGTTTCTGATTCGACTGTTCGAACTCGAGATCAATGGAGCCAGGAAATTGACGTGCCCCTCCTGCTTCTGATGATATCAGAGCTGTTTGTCTTGTTTGTCCCCAATGCTTTAATGTCATGTGATCCTATTGTCATGTGACATCTCTGCGAATGTTGGACGATCGATTCGAACCAACACACATCTGATTCCGTCCATCAGGCAGTAGTCTATAGTCGCTCCCATATCTGCCTAGTTGAGATCCTGTTGCGCTACCATCAGTAATCCTACATGGCTGCAATTGCTACACTCGACACCCTTGTCGACTATTTGAAGAGGGCTGACCCACTTTCATACAAGCTGTGGGCCAATGGGTGCTCCTCAATGTAGCTCCGTCATCCCTCCGACGTTCAACTTGGGTCGCTCCTGCCGTTAAAGAAACATCGCAACCATCACGGCAGGCACCCCTCGAGCCCATGGTCGCGTCTGCCACCTTGGGATGAACCCTGATGGACCCTCGGGTATAAATATTCTGCCTTGTTTATATTTCTTCCCCCTCTTTCTCCCCTCCACCTCCATGTGACCCTCGATCCTTCGCACCCCCGGTCGAGTGCGCCGTGTTCAAGATGCCCGCGAGGTCCCTGCTCAAGATGGTGACAGCTGTCGCCGTCAAAAATTACAGAGGTAAGCGGCTCGTCCGAAAGCGCCCTCGCGCGCATCAGCAAACAATTCTAATGTCAACGCGCCATCAGACATCAACGATATCGGCGACGTGCCTTATCACATTGCCCGCCCCATTCTCGTGAAGGTCGAATCCCCCGTGGAACTCGTAAGTACCGAACTACCTCGACCCCGCTATGTCTTCGACCAAAGAAGTCATGCCAACTCGTATTTTTCATCCAACAGCGCCGTTTCGAAGCACAGTCCCCCCAGATCATCGGACTCGACAAAGAGCTGTGGATAAACTTCATCAAGCGCGACGTCGAGCAATGGGAAACCCGCAAGATCCCAGAGGAGTCAGACGACTGGGGAAAGGTCTACGACGACCTCTGCTCCGAAGTCGCAGCCGAGGTGGAAAAAGACGCGGAGCGATTGGTGGGCATCAGTGACAAACTGAAGGCCGCGAAAGAAAGGTTCTTGCCGAAGCTGATTCCCATGCGCGAAGGTAAACCACGCCGCACGTTGATGGCATGGAAGAACTGCGGAGGCAAGCCCCCTCGCGGCATGTTCCCCCAACGCACGAAGACGACTATCTTCAATGAGCACCCGCGACGCAACAAGGCCCTCGAGACCCCGTTTGGCAAAATGAGCTCACGCGCTTCGCAAGTTACTCAGGCTCCGCAATCTATGATTAATGCTTATCGAAGCAAAACCAGTGCACCTGCAAGTCGTGAGACTGCTCGATATGCCAATGCATCTCTCCGTACTTCGTCGATGGCTCCTGCTCCGAAGCATGCCACCGCGTCGTCCCCGGAGCCTGCGAGTGCGTCGTCCCGGAAGTATTCCTCTTCGTCTGCGGACCTTGAGACTGCTCGGTATGCCAATGCGTCTCTCCGTGGTTCTCCGGTGGCTCCTGCTCCGAAGCATGCCACCGCGTCGTCCCCGGAGCCTGCCATTGCGTCGACCCGAAAGTCTTCCACTTCGTCTGCGGATCTTGAGACTGCTCGACATGCGAATGCGTCTCTCTGTGCTTCTTCAGTGGCTCCTGCTCCGAAGTATGCCACTGCGTCGTCCCCAAATTCTACGACTGCGTCGTCCCGGAAGTCTTCCACTTCGTCTGCGGATCTTGAGACTGCTCGATATGCCAATGCGTCTCTCCGTACTTGTCCGGTGGCTCCTGTTCCGAAATTTGCAACTGTGTCGACCCCGAAGCCTGCAACTGCGCCTACTGCGAAGACCGCTACGAAGGTTCCTACCGCATCTCCCCAGAAATCTGTTCTGGACCCTGCAGCTGCGCCTGTCCCGAAGCCTTCGGTTAAGTCTGCCCCGGTGTTCTTCTCGCGCCCTCCGTCGAAGCCCGGAACCACGTCTGCCCCGAAGCCTGCTCCCAAGCCTGCAGCCGTATCTCCCGCGAAGCCTACTCCGGAGCCCGCTACATCTGCGCCGCAGGGCAACAACCAGAACAAGCCGAAGCCTGCTCCCGCTGGGACTCGGGGCCCGTTTCTGGTTCGCAAGCGCAAGGAGCCTAGTATTTTCATTCAACCCAAGCGCCGACGCACTGGTTGATGAACTCACTACGGTATGCGTGGATTACCTTTATCCTCGCTTCAATCTAGGGTGGATATCTACGACGAGCGTGACGATTTGACGATTCTACGCCAATCAAAGGATCAATGAAAATTCTACCATGAATCTTTCCATTCCCATTTCCTTTGTAAATTGCCTTTCTCATTTCCTACCTGTAAACCTTCCATAGTTCTCGTTTCTCATCATTTTCCTCTTTATCATCATCACCCTATTGATAAATGGGCTCTTCCCCCTTCTCACATACATCGAGTCTCTCCTTCGACCCCCTCATCTCTCCATCTACCGAGTTCAAGATTAACGGTGTTGATCGAGCTAGCGGAGATCAAGCTAATGGAGAGAAATGACGCTTTGCCAAGATGAAGACATTGAGGGGGAAGCCACCAACTGACTCGCCTAGCTCAGGCGCCGCAGCCTACTCTCAGGGTCTAGTCTCAGAATCTGACCCCAGTGATCTAGCTCAGCTCCCAGAGATCGTCGCCGACCTCACCACTCAAATGAGTGCACCCCACAGCTGCGCCCCACCGCTATCTGCCAGTGCCTCTGTGGCACATTGCAGCAACCACCTGGTCCTACTAATACATCTCACAAGTATCCCATCCTTCTGTTGCCTTCCTCCGTCCTTGATCCAGCAAACAGACTCAGTAAAAGACTCGAAAAAAGACGTAGGATTTAGAGAATCCCAAGCCGAGAGAAATATATTTACAGCTTCCTCCGAACTCAAGAAGCCTAGACCCTCGCCTTCACACTACACCAGGTAGTGCATTGCATCGTCGACAAGAAACGAAGCTCCCCTACCCATCTGTCGCCCATCTATCTCCATTTACAAAACACCAAGAGTATCTCAAGCCATCGCATTGCAAGAATAAAAAGGTGGTATCTAGAATCTGAACGGCCGCATAACTTCAAGTTCAAGCTTAGAAGCCACCGCGCAGGGCGAGAACGAGGTGGAGGGTAGCGCCGCCCTCAAGGTTATATTCGGAGGCGGTCTTGTCGTCGGCCCTGGAAAAGAATTTAACGTCAGCCTCTTCGTCCACGGATGTCGGTCTTTGGAGAGGTGGAGGGGGAGGGACGTGCATTTGCTTGCCGCCAAAAATAAGCCGTTGCTGAACAGGCGGAATACCCTCCTTCTCCTCGACGCGCTCCTTGATTCGAGAGACCTATCCCCAGTATTAGAGTCGGCTCAGCTCAAGTGTTTCGCAAGCTCATGCGACGTGTTTTGTCGGCGCGGATCGGTGCAGGCATACCTTGTAATCAGGCTCGATGTCGAGCTCGATCTCCTTTCCGGTGAGGGTGCGGACCCTGAAGGTCGGGTGTTAGGTGATTTTGAGGTCCGGCGCGGTGATCCGGTGGGGTGGTGGATGGTTGCCCAGGGCGGAGGGCGGACTGGGACTTACTTGATCAACATTGTGGATGTGGGTACTCTGGTGAGTACGTGGTTTGAGAGGTGAGGAGGAGGGTTGCGGAGGTGAGTTTGTGGTTTGCTGTTGGGTGTTAATGGGTTCGGAGGAGCTGCGGCGGCGGGGTTGGTGGGGCTGGGGCCTTGTTGCCTGATTGATAATGAGGCGGCTCTCCGGTACTGCGTCAAATTTTGTAGTGGCGGCTGCGACGATTTCGGTTTCAGAGGGACTTACTTACTAGGACAAAAATTATGGCTCTTTCACATTCTTTTAAATTCTCTTTGGTAATGACAGGTATCTGGTGCTTGGTTTGGGCTGGCGTGCTCCCATTCGCCAACACGACACTAAGCCATGTAACTGCAAATATAGTACTGCTTTTTGATCTGGATTCTTCTATGCACTGTCAGATTTTCTGACAACGATCCAACGCCCAAAAATTCGTTACGAATAAGCTCGAATGCCATAAGGCAAGTGGCCGTGCTGTAATCGACCCAACTGCAGTGTGCTGAAGGCCGTGCGGTCTATATATATCTCGGCTATCGCTTCCCTGCTTCTTAACTCCGGCCGATCTTGCCACGACTTCACAGAACGAGCTGAGTCTTGGAAATAGATACGCCTTGCAAAACACCGTGAAGAGAATCATGTGTGTGAAAGACTGTCAGGATGAAATCCCCGCGGAGCCGAATCAATTCCAGCAATTGATTCTCGCGTGCGACAACAACCCGGTACATGTAACCCGTGTTTGAGTCATGGCAAGCAAAGCTCACCTCTGCATCAATAACAGAAACAACTTCAAGAGGCATACGACAAGCACCGAAGCCACCGAAATGCACAGTTCAAAGAACGACTCTTGGACTCAGGCTTTCGCGACTGGCAATTCGACGACATCTTGCACAAAATCCTCGAAGCCAAGCAAGGCCTGAGTGAATATGTCGACGCTCGAAACAATCTCGCACTCTGGGCCAGACCACCCAAGCACATCATAGGATTGATCCATGAGATACAGCAGGAAATCGCGCCTCTGGCAGGAGAGGGTATGTCCGCTCCTTCCCATTCGAATGTTTCGTTCTTAAAGGCATAATGACCGGTTCAGGGCTATGGCTTGCGCCAATGAAGAATCTACATATGACCACTCTCGAAATAATGTCTGCGCGGAGAGAAGCCGAGGTGGATGAAGTCGCGACCTTTCTCCAAACGAAAGCTCCTCTACGAGGGATTGTCGACTACACACTCGCCCACCGAGCCCGGCTCATCCGTCCGATCGTTAGTTTCGACGCTTCCGCCATTGCGCTGGGTTTTCTTCCGGCGGAAGAGGGATACTCGTATCACCACCTGCGCCGCGATCTCTACGATGTTGTGTCCCACGCTGGTTGTCAGATCGGGGCTCGGTATACGGTCCCTTCGGCACACGTGACTATCGCGCGCTTTGTTGTGCCGGTTGGAGAGGGCAGGAGGGCGGAGATTGCGGAGTTGCTTTCGCAACGAGTCGCTCGGGTTATAGACAAGATCGAGGACATTAATTGCGTGTTGAGATCAGATGATTGGGAGCGGTTTGGGAGTCCGGCGAGGGGTGAGTGGGTGGTGGGTCAGGAGAAGGGGCTGGAGTTGATCAAGGGTCGGTCATGGTATGGCGAGGGCGATCGAGTTGTCATCGGCGAGGGATTCTAGAATGTCGCAGCATGATGAATAGCAGAATAGAAGCCTTGAATACTGTGATCCCATCCCTGTTCGAAGTCGTGGACAATTGCGGGATGACGAAGCGGCCCGTGCGTTCCCAATCGAGCGACGCGATGAGTCAGCTATATCCTACAATACTAACCGTAAAAGGCTAGCGCCCACCCGAATAGGGCCTAAGCGAAACGAAATCCCACAACCCAACCATCCGCTCGATCTCTCCGACAAGCGACAACTAACGACCACCACCCTCGCAAGCCGGCAAGTCAGTCAAAATGGTAAGATCCTCCATACCAGGTTGCCGTGCTATCCAGTCCCGGGCCTTCGAAAGAAGTTGCGAAAATTCGTGAGATATTGTGCGTCGAAATGTGTGCGGCCGACTCTGAGATCCCTCGAGACCCTTCCCCGACCGACCATCGCTCGCCGTGAGATGTTCGCCACTCGAGAAATGTTGCCGACAAATACGACATTCAAATTCTTGTTGTTGTGACTTCAATTTGTGACGGGTCTGGACCAGGTGGCAAGAAAGCTGTAAAGCTTTAGAGGTGCGACCGGAGGAGATGAGGTGCCTTCAAAATGGACTGGATATGAGGATCAAGTTCAGACAAATGTCAAAACTCGCATGGAATACTCCCACACGCCAAATCTCGATTCGATCCGCATTCCACACCCGCACATCTGCGATCGCACTTTGAAGCCCGGACTAAACAAGCAACCTGGAACCTCTTCATTGTCGAACCCGAGCTCATGCATCGTTTAGGTCAACATCCCGAAGACCCGCCGGACTTACTGCAAGTCCAAGGAGTGCCACAAGCACACCCAGCACAAGGTCACCCAGTACAAGGCTGGCAAGGTGAGAATCTCTTACCAACGACCAAGAGTCAAACATGCACTGATACTTTTATCATTAGGCCTCCCTGTTCGCCCAGGGTAAGCGTCGTTACGACAGGAAGCAGAGTGGTTACGGTGGTCAGACCAAGCCCGTCTTCCACAAGAAGGCCAAGACCACCAAGAAGGTTGTCCTTCGTCTTGAGTGCACTGCTTGCAAGACCAAGAAGCAGCTCGCTCTGAAGCGCTGCAAGCACTTCGAGCTTGGGTATGTTGTCTCGATATAGATGGCGTGAGATTGATGCTAACGATGTTCTACAGTGGTGACAAGAAGACCAAGGGTGCTGCTCTTGTCTTCTAAGCGTGCGATTTCCTTGTTCGGCTGCTGGGTTTCCTGCATTGCACGACTTCGCTGTGTTTGCGGAGGACATATGATGGCAATGGAAAAATGAAATAGGAATTCATACCTTCAAAACAACGATGATTACCATATGACTTCAATGTACAATGTAGTGGTGGGGTGAAGATCTTTCGCGATGGTGTCTTAAGTGGAGTACAATATTAGGTAGTGTGGTATTGCCACGCTGGGTTGGCAGCAACGAAGTTGCGGTCGCTATCACAAAATTCTATGCCTCTTGGGGCAGAACTATTCGATGCTATTGAACCTCGCGACGGTTCTCGAACTTTCAAAATGGGTGCCAACCCTATGAACCACCACCCTTGTCCAACCTAAACAGGTAAAGGGAAACGTGATACAAATGTAGTCTAGTTTTTCGCACTGTTTGAATCTATCAATTATAATCAGACTCTCATTAGTGTACTGGTTTGGGGGAAGTAGATACAATTCCATTCCTTCCAAGATTGAGGCTCCTTGTGCTGTCAATATATATCCGAGACGTGGTGTGATGCTTCAGATAAAATGTCTTGGCACAGTCTCTGATCTCAATTTACTCCACGCAACATCCACCCATGTCAGTGATGCTGCGATGATCTTGCCCAAGCCAGATATCGAGTCATCGAATAAGGTAATTTGACACGCCATTCCAATACTCCCATCATTCCCTCAGCGTGTGGTCGATTAGCATCATAACAAGCTAACCCCATTCAGCAACTCACTTTCACCCGATGAGGAAAGCACAAAATCAACAAGCACAGCCAAGCGCCAACTCGGACCATCTCCAGCATCTGCCAACAGCATTCACTGCTATCCGCAAGCCCCAAGGGCGCAACCCATGCCAGATCGGGCCCTGCAAGAGTCATACTCTGCGGATATCCCCCGCACCCCCACGCCCAGCCAAAGCCAACCGCCAGACCCAATCACGACTCCGCAATACCGAGATCCCCATTATCTCCGCGACAATGAAGCTCAATTCTACCTATGAGACTCAGGAATCCAAGGGAGATACGCGCCATCCCCCACCACAGCAACAGGACGGCTCGTATCGTGTGGTGCACCCCCGCATCCCCAGAAAATCATTACCCTCGGCCGACTTCCAGCCATGACCAGAGCAACCGTGTCACGCACCTCGGCTGATCGGACAACGGCCGTGATGACCAGAGCAGGGTTAGGGAAGCTACTAGTGTAGGACCAGAAAGAGAGATGGACTCGGGGTAAAAAGTCCCGGCTTTGGGAATGTTAAATCAGGAATCCCCACCGAGTCCACTTCCCCGGACTTTCACCACCTCACACGTCCTCCACAGTGTGACAGTGCAAGTGTGAACTACAATGGCGATGTGGTATTCCCTAGGAGTGGCGCTTTTCGCTGCTATCGGTACTTTCCTTTTTGTATGTTGTACCCACGGGCCAAGCTTTGCGATCTGGTATTTCCAAGGGTTTCATGCGCTGACGAATCTAGGGGTTTGATACCGGAATTGCGACGACAAGTGTGTACCCAGCTTAGCTACCACGCCTCATGGTGCAATGATCGCCAAGATAAAATGTGAGCTAACAACCCAACAACAGCAATCGCCCACCAAAGCTGGATCGACTACATGGACAAGCCCTCCGAGGGCCTAACCGGCGCCGTACGTACCACCACCTTCTATCCAGCACCGGGCATGAGCTAACCAGAACAATACACAGGTTGTCGCAGTCTACATCGCCGGCGAAGCCGGCGGCGCCCTAACCCAAACCTTCATCGGCGACAAACTCGGCCGCATCCGCTTCATGCAACTAATGTGCATAATCGTGACAATCGGCACCGTAATCCAAACCGCATCCGTCAACATTGGGATGTTCCTCGCCGGTCGAGTACTAGCCGGCTACGCCGTGGGGTGAGTCTCACCCCCAGCACCCCTCTGGGGTGAACAAACCAGCCCGAACCCAGTTCACAATATTTTCTAGTGGAATGGTCGCAACAGTCCCCATCTACCTAAGCGAAATCTCCGACCCGCGGATTAGAGGACTCATCGGGGGCATTTCAGGGTGCGGCATCTCCTTCGGGACCATGATGTCGAACTGGGTCGGGTACGCGTGCAGCTACGCGCCATACGGTCCTGTGCAGTGGAGACTTCCACTGGGGATCCAAATCCCCTGGGGTGTTATTATGTTTGTGGGGTTGGCGACGTTTATGCCGCATTCGCCCCGGCAGTTGATTCGCTCCGGAAAGGTGGAGATGGCGGCAGCTGAGTTTAGACGGATTAGGCGCGGATTTGAGGAGTTAGAGGTGCAGGAGGAATTTGCGGTTATGAAGGCGCAGATTGAGTATGAGATGGAGAGGGAGATCACCTCGTATAGGGAGATTTTTAGGTTGTTTCGGTCCCGGGTTCTTGTGTGAGTTTTCCTCTGCGGGGTGGTATGGACTTGAATTTTGCTGGGGAAGTGAGCTAATGGGATATTAGGTCGATTGCCGTGCAGACCATGACTAGTCTCACGGGCGTGAATGTGATTCAGGTACGTGCAATCGAGTGAAACTTATGCCGGTGCTAGATACTAATCCTCTCAGTACTACCAAACAATCCTCTATAAATCCCTCGGCATCCCCTCACACACCATCCTCGCCCTCGCCGCCGTCTACGGCACCATCGCGTTCATCTCCAACTCGCTGACAACGAAGTACATGACCGATCAGTGGGGCCGACGCAAGTAAGTCAGATCCTCAATTAACCCTGCCCTCGAATAAGGTGCAGTGTCTAATCATTTGCAGAATGCTAATCACCGGATTGGCGGGCATCGTACTCATCGAGATCTACGCAGCCGTTATGCAGCGCGAATTCCAATATACCGATAATCGGGTCGGGAAGGGATTTGCCATCCTCGGCATATATCTTTTTGTTGTTTGTTACTGTGAGTTTCTCCATTCTCCACTCCCGGAAGGTTGTTTTCTGTGCAAAGTGTACACTGAATGGCTGCTCACATTTATCAGATGGTATGCTGAATAGTACAACATGGTTATACGGCGCCGAGGTCCTACCCATTGCATTGCGGAGTAAGGTTATGGGACTTGCCGCTGCGTCGCATTTTATTGTTAATGTTGCGAGTAAGTTCACCGTTCCTTCAAATATACACGATCAGGCTATGATGTTGGCGACTCTGTGGACTTCACTAACAACCTTAATCTGCAGTCACCGAAGCCGGACCAAGTGCATTTGCGAATATTCACGAGAACTACTACTACGTCTTCGTCGCGTGCTCGGCCTTTTTCTTGGTCATTGCCTACTTTTTCTTCCCGTATGTTATTTCCCCCCGTCCTCCAAAAAATCCTCCTTGGCTCCAGGCGTCAGGCATCCAGACCATCCTGAGGCATCCATTACTAACATCGTGTAGGGAAACCAAGCAAAAGACACTGGAAGAAGTCGCCGCCGCGTTTGGCGACCGTGTCGTTGTTGCTGATGAGGGTTCCAAGGGGCTTTCTGTTGTCGGTGAGACGCAGCATCTTGAGTCGGCCAAGGCGACGAAGGCGACGGAGGCGTGAGCTGAAACTGTGTCCATTGTCTGGTCGGTCGGAGACGGGATTGGATTGTGTTTTCTAAATTAATTTTGAATCCATTTACAGAAGTACTTGACATGTGAATGTGGTTTCAACTAGCAGTGTAAAACTCGCAGGATTGCGTGGAGTTGGAGGCGATGTTTAGTCATCTCCAATTCTGCCAATGTGAAGGTACGTGGCGCGAACTAAAGGAAGCAAGTTTCAACCACGCTCGTCCGAACATCATTTTGGATTGACAGGTTGACAGCTTCCTGGGTAAATCGACAGGTCAATTGTTGCATCATACTTTCACCCTACCTTGGTTGGTCGAAGTGTTGGTGTGTACGGGGATAACTCGGCATCGGATATCCTCAACCCTCCGTAGGTCAGTCAATCCCTGAAACAGATCGACCACCACCCTGCCAAATTCCACTAAGGTAGAGAAACACGCACGATCTGGGTACATAATCGAACCTCGAGGACTAGCTCATCCGATGAAGCGCGCATTCTTCCGACGAGAAAAACTTTATCGCCACGCGTCCGATGCGATCCCTGAGCGTTTATGAAGGCTTATGTACATTGCAATTAGTTAGGGAGAGGGTTAGATGATTTAGATGATCGGCCTCGTATCCCGGAGGGCTAGGGTCCAATCGCGCCGGGGAGGACACTATTTGCCACGCGCACCATAGCACCCACAGTAGTGTTCTAGTAGTGTACCCTACCCTAGGGTAATGTACTCATCGTGGCCGGCAGTCGGTAAGTGCGGTGCTATGGACGAGCTGCTCATCCCTAAATTAGTCACGCATAAGCGACTTACCTCCCCTGAGGTATGTATAATGTAAGTAGAGGCTGCGGAGGTTTCGCACCCGCACCACACGGCTCATTGCTTTTCCTGGCAGGGACATGAGGCCCGAGTCCCTCGCTAAAGTCGATAGTTCGCACACATTCTGGGGAGCCATGTGCGCGTGGGTCCCGCTCCCTTGCTGGTCGAGGAGGAGATGGTGTTCAACTGCCGTGATCGACGGGTTCCGAAGATGAAGATCGTGCTTCATTGAATTCAATTTGAGACTACATAATTGTGTAGTACGTAGTAGATTGAGGCGTCCTGAGGCTTCAGTGAGAGGATCCTGTGATCGGCGGAGACTCCCGTCACCGCCCACGGGTTTGTCGGCTTGATGGGGTATTCTGTTTACTCCCTCCTTCCATGCCCTAAAGAACCCAAGGTAGGGTCCAATGGCTGCTGGACCACCGTTGACGCTTACGAGGATATGTTTCACCTTCTCCTTGAGGCAAGCTAGACGGGCCCGGCTGGGTGTTTCGTCGTCGAAAGGGGAAGGTGACGGTCCGGGGGACTGGTAAGGCGACGTCAGAATTTTCAGCTTAATCGCATTCTAATCGGGGCTGGGCGTGTGGCTCGTGGCGTCGGGCGGTGCGCTGCTGCCTGTGGTTAGCCTGTTTTCTCTTATGTTGCTGATACCTCAAGGTGTGCGCTGTAAGTGGTAGCCGCCCTACGCTCGGGCCTGCGGTGGCAAACCCTAAGGATCGGAAGAATCAATAGCATTCACTTTCCTCCCTCGACCCTCACAAATAATAATGATAATTATCAGTCATCCTGTAGTCATAGACATCTGCGACCCGATCTCCTGACCCGTCTTGGCGGCCTGCAACGTTCGGCATCCGATGTTGTGTACAATCCTACACAAGCCCAAGCGACTCTATGCATTACCGAGACAAATGGTGCCTGCAAGGACTGCACGTTCCCCTGCCCAGGTTGTCGGCTTCGGCACTTCATCCGTCTTCTCTATCGTACGTAGGACTCTACCACTATGGCACTGTAGTATTTGTCTACGCACCCTTCTAGAAGAATGTCGGATCGCGTCCGCTAAAACCTTGAATCGCCGATCCCTCCGATATGCGGGTCCAATGTTTTCTAGAAAGCTTCCACCGCCCCACCCCTCGGGGGTGCCGCTATTGTCCTCCCATGCTGTCGCAACCGGTCCGATTTAGCTACTTTCGGATGTGAGGGAAGGGGCGACGTGCTCAGCTCGCCCGGCTAAGTGCTCGGCTCTGAGGTTTGCCTCCTGCCATATTGCAAGGAATGATAGCTCTTGCTTTGCAGAGTGGAGAGAAACCATGACGCAGTTTAAGGTCGCGCTTCCACTTTAAAGACCTGCCACTTCCCACTTTCGATCCCCGCTCACGTCGATTTGGTGTATATTCTGGAGCCGAGTGGGTTTGGTATCAGTTGGGAGCTTTCTCCGTTCCCATTTTTCAGTTACCTCCAGACTCCCGGACAGCAGATCTGCTCCGTCGCCACGCGCTTCTCCGTCGCTGACCCGGCTTTCATGTCCGCTGTGGAGTAATCTACTTTGCTTCTATCTTGGAAATATCGATATACACGTGCGATCCAGAAGATCCAGTCCAGGTCCAGTGCTTGGCCTCTACCTCATACCTACAGCCGCCATTACGTCCCCAAGGTCAAACTGAGATGGCATCCTCATCCCGCTCCACCGGGAAACGCCTCCCAATAAGTTGCCAAGCCTGCCGAACGAGAAAAATCAGATGCTCGCGCGACGGCCGACCGTGCCAAACCTGCATCCGGCGTGGTCTCGGCGCGGAAGACTGCGTCTACCTAGGCCAACCGCGCCTCTTAACCGAGCAAAGTTCTCCAGCCGATCAAACCGTCCAAAACGAGCTCATCGCCCGCATCCGCAATCTAGAAGGCCTGCTCCAAAAACAAGTCTCCTCCCAAGCCAGCACGCCCGTCGCCGGCGCCACATCCCCGCAGGCCCCCAGTGCTTCCGGCAGCTTTTCCGAACCAGACTTGGACCCCTGGGGAAGTCCTATGCTCGGGAATGTTGGGACGCTGCAGACAAGTCCGTCGGGTCATGTGCGGTATGTGCCAATTGCGTCGCAGTGGGAGTCTGTTGTTTCGAAGGGTCCGGCTGCGGAGTGTTTGCGGAGTTCCGAGGCGGATATCGCGGATGATGATGATCTGCAGATCCCGTTGGCGAGGAATGGTATTGTCTCGCATGCGGAGCTTTTGGCGTTGTTGCCGCCCAGTCGGTATTGTGATAGTTTGAAGGAGGTTTATTTTCGGGTTTTCTCGCCGGTAAGCAGTGCTGTCAATACCCTAAAAGGAAAAAGGTAGCAAGAGCTAACAGATCAGGTCTTCCATATCTTGCATGATTTGACCTTCGAAGCAGAGTACCAGCAATTCTACCATGATCCAATAAGTGTCTCGAAATCATGGCTGGCTCTACTATTCGCAATCCTGGCTATTGCAGTCAGTGCCCTGGACGACGACGATACTCTCCTCTCCGACCTCGGCCGCGAGAGAACCGTCAGTCGAAATATAAAAGTCCTCTCAGCAAGATATCGCTCCGCAGCCCTACGCTGTCTCGCCGCCGACAGCGTCATGACCCGCCACTCCATCAATTCCCTCCAGGCCCTGATCTTAATTAGCTACGCCCGTCTGCACCGCAGCCTCCCATTCTGGACTTTACTGGGCTTCACTCACCACGTCGCCATCTCGATGGGCTGCCACATTGACCCAGAAAGATTCCTTCTGGGCCCAATCGAGCGCGAAGAACGCCGCCGTGCCTGGACCGGCCTAGCGATGCTCTACACCATCCAAAACACCTCCTTCGGCAGCCTGGACCAACAAATGATCTCACAAGATGTCAAGATGCCCATCGACGTCGACGACGTCGAACTCCTCACCGGCTCAGGCATTCCGACAAACGACCTCACCTCCTCTCCATCTGCAGCTCGCCCAACCCAAATGACCTACCTCCTCCTCTCCTCCCGCCTCTACAAAATCTCCACCCGAATTAGCGAAAACATCTTCACATCCCCGCACTCCCGCTTCAGCACCCCCCAGCTCGAAAGCGAGCTCTTCGCTGTGCGAGAAATCTGCGACGCACGCTACAGCAGCGGGGACGCCCTCCCAACCCACCACCAAGCAAACCTCAACATCCTCCACAGCCAAATCCACCAGCTTTTCCTGCTCCTCCTCCGACCAAGACTCGCCCGCTTCCTACAGGGGGAAATTACCCCGGAGACCTGCGCGTCTAGAGCAAAGTGCATGGCTTCGGCCAAGGCTTCGTTGGGGGTGTTCCAGAATATGCTTGAGTCGCCGCAGTTTGCGTCGTATAAGTGGTATACGAGTGGACTGGGCAGTTTTCATGCGTTTCATGCGGCTGTTGTTTTGGCGGTGGGTTTGCTGAATCCGGAGTCTCCGACCGAATTTGAGGAAAGTAAGGAGATTCTGGCGAAAGCGCTGGATTTGTTTGCATCGTTGTCTGTTAGAAGTGTTTTTTGCAGTAAGGCTGTGCCGGTTGTGCGGCAGATTATGTATGTTTGCCCTGCGAGTTGGCTATCTGATGAGTTTGTTTTTACTGACGGACACAGTGATGTTGCTTCGACTCAATACGCTCAGATACAGCAGCAGCAGCAGCAGCAACAGCAAGCAGCTGTCACGCAAGGTCAGCTCCAGCAGACCCAGCCTCAAATGTTCTCTACTCTCCCGCCGAGCATGTCGTCGGTGACTATTCCGGATACTTATGTCCATTCTCATTCGCAATCTCATTCTCCTGTTCCGACTGTTTCATCGTCGGCGAGTGATCCGACCATGCATTCGAGCTTCGGGGTCCATCTTCATCCGCAGAATTGGCTTGGTCCAACTTCTGTGCCGTGGGATACGCTTGGTGCTTCGGTTGGTCAGTATGGGTTTGAGTCGGATGTTATGTAGACGACTTTTTTTCTATTCCCCGTTTTAGGGTCTGATTCTTTTCTTTTCCTTATCATCTCTGTCTTTTTTATATCTTCTAAATGCCTGGGACGGATGGGTGGGGCAATCTGGTTCTGGTTCGGGGTTCGGGGTGTTCTGTTTATGAGACCATGATGAATGATATCGGAATCTTTCTGGGAGGTGTCGCTTGGTAGCTTTAGATTTTCGGGGTATTCACAGTCCTGTCTATCTAATAGAATGAACCAATGATGTTTATTGTGTTGGTCACACTGTTCCTCCGTAGGAACAGTCGTACTCGGTTGAACTGCGTGGATCTGCTCGATAGTAGCAAGGTAGTACCTGAGATACTTGGCACTCTCCCCTCCATATTATCTTCTCCTGCCTAAACCCCCTCCGGCAGGTATACTCAGGTATACTCGCTGTATCTCTTTGTGGGTCCCAAACAGCCTAGAATTAAGCATAGAGCCGCCCAATCACACCCGCCCACCCAACCACGGGCGCCGATCCCTGCCGCAACCTCGCCGCCATGCTGACCTCCTCATCCTCCCTCTTTCCTCTTCTTTGTTCCCTCCCGCAGACCACATGCCCCCCCCAAACCCCAAGCGAGAACATCGTTACATGATCGGCACTCCGAAAATGGCGTGCGCTTTACTCCGACATCGCCTTGGCATACCCTCTACCCACTACATCCTTGCTCCTCGAACGAGGATCACCCACGCCCGGCGCGTGCAGGAAATTCGATCGCTGATTTGAATCGCCGATCATACTTAGTATCGAGCATGGCCCACAGGCCTTGCAGCATTGCCCTGCATACGGTACCTTCTGATCCATCTCTCATGGGAAATATCTCCACATCTCCATCGTAACTCGTCCAGAAAAAGGTATGGTGTGCTCGGCCCATTTCGTACCTGTCAATCGTGCCATCCGCCCAGGGCAGGGGAAATGCGCATCCAATCTGATCTTTACTATTATCTCATCGGTCATGAAAAGGAGATCCGCTGAGATTCGATGCTGTACCCCGCAGCGTGGGCCGTCTTGTGTCGTGCACTTATGATTTAAGCGAGAAGATGATCAGAGTCGATACACGTGGGATGAACGCGAAGCATCTAGCCATGTCGGTGCAAAGACTGGCGCGGAAAACGCCGTCGCGCGGGACTATAAAGATCGGAGGGTTTGCTGCTCTTTCATGGACATCGACATCCCCAGCAACTCAACCGCCTGAAATAAAATCTCGGGTCCAACATGCATCCTAGTGCTCTTATCGGTTTGCTGGTTTTCGCAGCCGCGGCTTCTGCTGCGCCGCCGAAGCGATCGCACTCTGCGCATTCGGCGAGATCTATCAAGAACTTCAAGAGCAATATCAAGAATGTTGTTGTGCTGGAGATGGAAAATCGCTCGCTGGATAATATTCTCGGTGGGCAGACTATTAAGGGTCTGGAGAATCCTATTAACAATGGGCCTTTCTGTAACCCTTACGACCTCAATGACGCTTCCAAGGGCAAGGTGTGCAGTACCGCGAAGGACTTTGATTCTATTCTCGATGACCCCGACCACTCGGTTACTGGCAACAACATCGAGTTCTACGGCACCTTTACCCCCGACAATGCCGATATCTCCAGCGGCAAATTGACGCCTGCCCAGAAGGGTTTCGTGCACGAGCAGCTGCGCCAGTATGGAGACGACACCAATAAGACCGAGCTCGCGATTCAGGTCCTGAACTACTATACCGAGGAGCAGGTCCCGGTTTTGACCAGCTTGGTACAAAATTACCTCACCTTTAATCACTGGCACTCGGACCACCCCGGTGTAAGTATAAACCAGAACTGCAAATAGCCAGACCAAGCCAATCCTAACCGAACTAGCCTACCAACCCCAACCGCGCCTATGTCCTCTCTGGCACATCTGCAGGCCACGGCACAAACGACGAAGACTTCGACGCCGACAAACACCGCCTAACTCAACGCACAATCTTCCAACAGCTCTCCGAAACAAACCACACCTGGAAAAACTACTACACAGACCCGGATACCGGCATGGTGGACGCGTGGTTCTTCGACTGGACCTTCAGCAGCGGCAACGACAAACTCGCCGTCCCCCTCGAAAACTTCTACACCGATGCCGCAGCAGGCACTCTCCCCGAATTCAGCTTCATCGACCCCTCCTGCTGCGGCACCGGCACAACCTCAATGCACCCGACCGGCCTGATCTCCGACGGCGAGAAACTCATCAAAGACGTCTATGACGCGCTCCGCGCCAGCCCGCAGTGGAATGAGACGCTGTTCGTCTTGACATTTGATGAGACAGGCGGCTTCCATGACCACGTTCCGCCTCCTCTTGCGCCCCGTCCGGATAATTTGACCTACACTGAGACGGCACCGAATGGGGAGAAGTATACGTTTGAGTTTGATAGGCTTGGTGGCCGGATTCCGACGATTCTGATCTCGCCTTGGGTTGCGAAGGGGGTTGTTGAGCAGAAGGGTGTCAACTCGGATGGGAAGACCGTTTCGTATTCTGCTTCTTCGTTGTTGAGAACTCTGGGCTATCTTTGGGATTTTGAACCGTTTACGCCCCGTGTTGGTGGGGCTGCTTCGTTTGAGCATTTGATTCAGCGTGTTAAGCGGGATACCCTGTCTGAGTTGCCTGAGCCGAAGGCTTTTAAGAGAGTTAAGGCTTAGGTTGATGGAGTATGGTAGAGTAATTATGTTATGTCTGATGATTGGCTTTATTCACAATGATAACTCAAGTTCTTACCAGTGTCTTTTGAGGTCGAGGGGGTGCTGCTATTGGCATCTCTAATGTCCACGTTTGCCAAACTCCACAGTTCTAACCACTATCAACAGGTATGATTGAAAGGAGTCATCTTCTGGACCTTAACAGGCATATCTCCAAAGCAAGAGGGCAGCAAACAGTCCTCAAACCGAAAATTTCTTGGCCGAAACCGTCATTCAGCGTGTGTTAAGGTCCGTGTAAAACAAAGAGATTCGAATGATAAAGGACGCTCAACAGAGCAGTACGTATTCCTTGCACCAATGACAAAAAGTCGAGCCACCAGTGGCTAGAGTGTAGACTGTACATCAGATCAGCAACACGTCTTGGTTGATTGGTCTGTGTTGTGTTCCACTGGCATAAAATTGGTTTCGATCCCATTTTGAAACCGAAATCTCAAATGCAGTTCGATGTCAATCAGTCCATGAGCTCTTTTGCGCCCAAGTGAAAGTACTGCTGCGTAGTATCTCCTTTCTTTTTCATTGGTCTTTTTTGCGTCTTGGCTTAAGTGGGTCCATGCAAGCCCAAGCACCTTGATTACAATCTAGGATCGCCTCCCTTGCCAAGGTTGATATGATTCTTGTTGCGATCGACTTGGATGAAAATTCCTATATTAATAGCTCTGCTCGAAAGTCTACACTTTCCTCACCATAACCCTGCAAAGCTTTGATGTTTTCCATCCACCATTCCACACTACCAACTTTTGGAAGCCATTATGTCTCTAGGCATCTCAATCGGAGACATAATCCTCTGCACCCAAGTAGCCCACCACCTCTTTAAATCATTCAGAAAAGGCCGCAGAACTGCCCCACAAGATCTCACAGGACTCGACGATGCCCTATTCAGCTTCTGCTGTGCTCTAACAATTCTACAAAAATGTAGGAGTCAACCATGGCTCATACAACCACGCACTCTTAACACCGACGACATCAACATGAATCAATACCTCGGAATCATGATCACCTCCTGCCAAGGAACACTGCAAGAACCGATAATGCCACAGCCAAATACGGCCAAGCCGCCGAGAGCCGCGCTGCGCCCTGGCATTTCAGCGCCCAAGCCAGGATCCAATGGAAGCGGGTTATGTGGAGTTTGCGTGGTGATACGCTCAGCAGGCATCGGATGAAGCTTCAGATGCGTACTGATTTGATTAATTTGTAGTTGCTGGGTATTCTAATTGGTGAGCTTTCTATTATTCTTGGAGGAAGCCTGGGCTTATTGGTTTTCTGTAGAGCTGTGACTAGTGGGATCGAGGATGGGCGACAGTTCAGGTGCAGAGGATGCATGAGCTCCTAACGCGAATTTCGCAGTTAAATGAGGTCATGAGGACTTTACAGATGGGCGAACCTGCGCAGGGGTATCATACTTTGGGTAGCGGGTTTCTATGTCCTTGCTTGGTTGAGCTGTTTGTGAGGTGGAAAGGGGCCGGGAATGTAGCTTCGTCCCTGCCTAGACGTTGTGAGATTTGATTCAAAGCCTGGGCGTCAGAACACCTATACTGATTGGCGTTATTGAATTGGAACTTGGGGTGTGAATATAAGCTATAAATGGGCTCTACAACAATAGTTGCGTGTTTGACCCGGCAACCAGTAAAGAATCGGATCGAGCAATTACACACATTTGTCATGGCAACTTCCCAACAACCATCATCTCGGAAAATCGAATCTCCGACACAAGCCACAAAGCAAACAGTAGTGACAGCGTAGTTGTGAGCACGTCACTTGAGTCAAGCATTGATCGCTAAGCACAGGGGCAGCAAAAGAGAATGGAAATGGCTGGTTGAAAGAGTTCGGCAAGGGGTCATGCGTACAATGTCTACTTCTTACGAACGCCCTTTCAAGGAAGAATATTCTTCTCCAGACCCAAGTCACTGACTTCGGCATGATGAAAAAAGAATCCACAGAGTGGAAGGTGCCAAAGAATATGCCTCCCAAGGACCCAGAAGGCCCTTGGACAGACAGGTCCTCCGCGCTGTGCAATGCAGGGACCCAACTGTGGTGGACCGCCTTCATGATCGCGGCCACCCAAACAAGGTAAGTATGAAGAAGAAAAAAAGGAGAGGAAGGTCGGCGGAAGAGTCAGGCTTTTATACCCCTGGGCCACCTCTGGGTCACATGTCCATCCGCCGGGGCGGGTTTACATATTATCCGGCATAGCAGGCAATCTTTGCCTAGTTAGTTATCGTATCTTCCTCGCATCTCCTCACTCTGTAGACTACTTTGTCTCCCACCAGAGAATCTCCACATCTATCCAGTAAATGCATCCCATTAAGACGGGATTAAACTCGCACCGGCGCTGCCCAGGACCTGACTGATTTATTCGAGGGCGTCTCTTATTAGGGAGCCTAAAGTGGGCCATCACTTTTCTCAGGTATCCGTTTCACACCTGATACCGATTTCGTTACATACCCTGGTCGGGCGACACATCCAGTCTTTCATGGAAATCACAGCGAATCAAAGTGAGAGGATGGAGGCCAGTTGGAACTTTGATCTCGAATGATCAAACAAAGAACCCAAATCGAGCGACGTCATGAAAGTCTTTGAGATTGCTATCCGGACTGGTGCCGTCACCCGTGTTACGGTGTTACCCATGACTCGACGGTACATGCACACATCCACATCGGACATAAGACCAAGAATGCCCAGATGGAGTCGTAGGGCTGGAAAACCGGATCTGATCTCCCCGAGGATCCGTCTAAACTTGTCCGCATTTCTGTAGTAATCTATCGAGGGCGTCTAGACTGGACGGCGTTGGTGCCCCGCACTGTTGACGTCATGCTAATCGCCGTTAATTTGTGCTGAATGTACTCGACTTCGTGTATAATTATTGGTATCAGATAGATGGAGATACTGTCGATACACATGTCGATTTCAATCTGGACTGGGTGGTCGCATTGCGGCGCATATCCGGGGTTCCTGTACGACATGCGCTCTCGTAGGTTGCGAGGCCCGGCATGTCTTATAGCCAAGGCGCGGTGGGGATGCTGGGTGAGAACTGCGCCTCGTTTTGTTGCAGGTCGCGCTGCCCTGCCCTGGCGTGCATTCGAGGCTCGTGTAGAGCAAGAGGGCTGAAGTGAAGGTGACCCACCGCAAACCAAGGACGAGAGAAGGCACCCGTGGGTGCGAACGGGAGGGAACCAGTGGTCCATGGGGTGTATACTGTAAGTCAGTAAACACAATCCGAGTAACTTAGTACAACCGCCTGAGAGTAGAAGGTGCAGATCGTCTAAGCCCCGGTACACCGTTGTTTTGCCACGAACGCCCGGGCAAAAGCCGCCCGGCACTGCGAAACGAGCAGAGTCCAAAAGGCCGTCGGCGGCAGGCAGTCGGTGTATTCCAGCGGGAGCCTCACGTGGCGGCAGTATTTCTTTCGCCTTTGAAGCCTTCCCTCTCTATTCTTCCCCCATCACCCTCTTTACCCATCTCGAGTCCCGCCATTTCAAGTTCATTCATCTCCTACGCGACTCGCATCTCGATTTCCCATCGCAAACTTCCTCATTCACGCGGCTCATCGCTGTTCATTACGCTCTGCCGATCGGAGGCTCCTCGAGGCTGAACGCGGGGCACCAGGCTTGGCTCGGCTGCCCTACGGAGTCCACGGAGTCCTTCACGTCTCGCGCCTGACGAATTTCCTCTCCGGATTCCTCTTGCACGCCTTCCATTGCCTTCTGGAAGGCCCCAATCGGATAACGGCTGGCCATCCGCCTCAGACACTAGTCGATCACAGCCTCTTGCACCACCCCACTTCCCTGCGCCCCCCAGTGCTGGGTGCATCTTCCCGTCCCCCTCTGACATCTGCGCCCCTCCTCGTTTCTCATCCGCCCGCATTTTCTTATCCCCTTTCTTCTCCCCCTCTTCCGCTTCTTTCATTAATCCACTTCCACTCCCCTCGGTGACTCGACATTTTTCATCATGTCGTACTACCGGGACAGTGGCTACGACGACCGCCCCGTCACCATCAAGCGTTACGTCATTCCCAACGAAGAGCGAGAAGACCGTCGAGAATTCTCCATGAGTCGCGACGACCCTTACGGTGAGCGGAAGCTCGTCATCCACCGCAATGAGCATGAGGTCGAATACGAGCCTCCCGCTCGAGACTACTATGAACGTGAGTCGTCAGCACCCTCGGTGACACACACCCACCACCGGCTGTCCAATCACTCTGGAGAACTTTCCCATCATTCTCATCACACTGGGGAGCACCTCCATCACCCCCATCACCCCCACCATGCCCATCATGCCCATCATGCTCATCACACCGCGGAACATCTGCATATGGAACATCTCCATGTGTCGGAGAACCGCCCGGGTCCTCGGCCCGGTCCACTTATTATTCAGGAGCAGCCGATAACAATTGTACAATCAGCTCGCAATGTCTATGCTAGTCCTCGTGAATCCGACTACGATGTTGTCCGCCGCTCAGACACCGAGGAGGATCCTTACTACTATCACCATCGCCTTCGAGTCCGCGATTACGACGACCGTCGTCGCCGGGAGCTGAGCCCGGGTGATTCAATCTCCCAGGCCAGTCGCCGCCACCACAGCGATCGTGACCGTGACTACAGTAGTGATGATAGCATGGTCTACGTCCGCAAGGAGACTCGCTACGAGGATGAACACGGTTCTCATCACAAACGCCATCTGGCCGAAGGTGCCCTCGTTGGTGCTGCCGGTGCTGAGCTGCTGCGCAGCCGCAGCAAGAAGAAGGGCGAGGAGGTCAGTCATGGCATGAGCCATGCTATGAAGACTGCCGGTGCTGGTGCCCTCGGTGCCGTGGCCGTCAATGCTGCCGGTCATGCCCGTGATTGGTACCGTAGCAAGAGCCGAAGTCGTCACCGTTCGCACTCGTTTGACGATGACCGTTCTCACCGTTTCAGTCACCACAGCCACAGCTATCACAGCAGCCGTGGCCGCCATGGACGTAGTCGCAGTCGTTCCCGCTCTCACTCCCACTCCCGGGCCAAGACCCTGATGGAGCTTGGTCTTGGAGCAGCTGCGGTGGCTGCAGGTGTTGCCGCTCTCCGAAACAACAAGAACAAGGACGGCGAGCGCAAAAGCCGCTCGCGGACCCGCTCTCGTTCCCGTGGTCGGGCTTTGAGCTCTACCCGCTCAGAGAAGGGAGGTGATGATGCTCGCAGCGAGTCCAAGCGTCGCCAACATATGGCTGGAGCCGGTCTGGCCGGTGCTGCCGTTGCAGGTCTTGTCGAACACCACCGCAGCCGTTCCCGTGCTCGCAAGGGCGAACGTTCCAAGTCTCACAGTCGTCTTCGCAAGGCTCTTCCCGTTCTGGCTGCTGGTGTCGGCACTGCTGCAGCCACCGGTTTCTATGAGAAAAAAAGGCCGAAAAAGACGGAAAAGACCCCCTCAGCCGTGAGCGACGCCGGTCTCGTTCTCGATCCCGCAGCCGTCCTGCGTCCGAAATGTATCCCGACCCCTCCCGTGATTCTGCCGGCTTGATCGAGTATGGCAGAGACCCTGTTGCTGGTAGCATCCCCGCCGAGCATTACTATGGACAGCCCAACAGCCCCGCCGGGGCTTACTATTCTGACGGAGCCGACGCATATCGCCGCAGCCGTAGCCGCAGTCACAGCCGTGCCGGTCGCTACAGCAGCTCGTCGGGCTCGGACCGTGATGGCCGTCGTCGCAGCCACAGCCGCAGCCGTAAAGACAAGAAACACCGCAGTCGCTCCCGTGAAATCGCCTCCGCCGCTCTGGGCGCTACTGGCCTCGGCTATGCTGCTGACCTGTACTCGCGACATCGAGACCGCAGTAAGGTCGAAAATGAGAGGAATCGGACTCGTAAGTTCGTCACCAATCTGCTGATGGCGTCTCCCCAATCACTAATAACACCTCCCTCCCCGGTACAATGCAGGATACGATGACGTTCACCGTGATCCCTACGAGGAACACTATGATCCAGAGCCCTATCCACCTTCTCCGGTCGTACACCCACCTCCTGCCGACAACTACTATCCCAACAGCAACTACTTCCCTCCACCCCCGGGATCCACCCCCAACCTGAACGCTACTCCTCAGCCCTACAACCCTGCTGACTACCCTCCTCCACCGGGCGCTGCCCCTCCCCCGCAGCCCTACAGCTATGGTGCGCCGGGTCCCGAGCCGTATGCCCCGCGCCCACGGAGAGCCGATGAGAATGTGAGTGCTTCAAGCGCAGCCCAGCCCCAACACGTCAACGACGGTGTGTTTTCCATTGAAACGGTGCTTCATCATCAACAACCACATCACTAACCGGGGCCTGATAGGTGTAGGCATTCGTCACCAAGGAAGTGTAAATTCAGGCCCATACCCGTCCGTGCCCCACAATGCCAATACAACCGCCCCTGCGAGCAAATCCGTCCAGTTCGATTTAAAGGGATACGAATCGGATGACAGTGATTCAACGATTCGAAATCATTCCCCTTCACATTCATCTTCACATTCACGTTCCCCCCATACTCGCCATCATTCTGGTTCTTCCACCAATCCCCGTTCTCAGCATCCTTCTTCTTCTTCCCGTCGTGAATATCGCCCACCTTCTTCCGAAGAGTCTGATTCTACCATCGAACTTCCGGACCGCTTTGATTCAAAAGGCAAACTTCTGAAGGAAAATAGCTCTACGGAGAAGTTGGAGGATTTCCTGAACAAAGTTAGCAAGGTCTTGTTTTAGCTGGATCCTAAGCTTTTCTTGGCTTGCTTTCTGGATTGCCATTTGGATTGAGTGGTTCCTTTTTCTTCCCTCTTTGCAATGCTTCCATTTTCCCACATGCTATGTTTATTATTTTACCACGATATCGTCTATTCTCTGCTATCCTAACCATGTATCTCTTATGCCCCCTTTCCTATTTTTACTTTCGATGTTTTTCATGCTTGGCTTTTATCCTGTTTGATATGACTTATGCCTGCGCAATGATTATGATTTATGTCTGTATTTCATTTCTACATCAATGACTTTTTTTCTTTTTCTTTCATAGTTGGTGGCGATGTAGATATGTCTTTGTAGCTTGGTCGCTGTTTTCGGGATATAAGGTTAACATTTGCGATATCAGAGTTAATGCAATCGATCTACAAGATAAGTCCACGAAATTGATTCATTTCAAGGGCTAGACACCCAACTAGAAGAAACAAATTGCCCTAGAAACCCCCCTGTAGAGCGTCTATCATGAACATCTGGTCGAGGTACATATTGGTGATATTGACGCTGCTTCCCAAAGAGCCCATTGCGCGTCCACCACTGATGTTGCACCACGCATTTTCAATCAGTATATTCTTTGCTAGATTTTATCAAGAGGAAAAGAAGAGTTAATAGGTGTCTAAAGTCCTTTTTGAAAGGCAATTATGGAGCTTTGCCACCTTGGTTGTCACGCATTCATCCTTGTTCGTGGCCATGATCTAGAATGGGGAAATGGAAATTAGAAAAATTCCTCAATGATCCATGTTCTTGAAACGCTTATATCATGGATCCAAATGTTGGTACCGGTAACACCGATCCCATCCAAACCACCATGATCCGCTCCACGGATAGTCATAGTGCAAATTTCACTTTTAACGGCCCTTTAATAACAAATGGAACATAGGCGATCCACGAGGAGCAAATCATGAACAGGCCAATTGGCCAATCAGTGATAGCCAGAATCCGTGGGCCGGTAAGGGTACCTGTTATATGGTAGAGATATACACTTCCCTGAATCCGCCGGCAGATGTAGAGCTGCACAGTTCGATGTCATTACCGCCGGAGATGTTGATAATATACGACTGACTTGCGGGAGACGAGCCATGCCAGAGAACCCCATTCATCTGAATGGCCCAGGCAGTGTCGTTGGTCAATGTAAGCCACGTCTGCAGAGAATAGTCGCCCTCGGGAATGTATATGTGGTCACCGGAACCACAGTCTGCAAATGCATCGGTGATAGGCTTCCCAACGTATGTGTAGTTACCTGGCACCACTTTGTAGATGAGGACGTTGCAAAATTTTGACAACGGCCTTGGAGGAAGCTCTGGTAAGAGGTCCGACAGGCGCGGAAAGCTGAGCTTTCATGGCGCGAATGAGCACGGAAAGGATGGAGACGAGCGTAATGGCTTTATGGGCAGGTCCGCAAGCATCTTGAAGGCGAAAATCAACCAAGCAGGAAGCAAAAAAGATTCTTGCTTCATATTCTCTCAAATTGCCTGTTGTGGTGCGTTCTTATATACGAGCCATGCTTCCAGACCCGGAACCCCACGTATCATTCGCTTGTCAATATGACGCAGCGGCTTCAAGTGCTATTTCAGCAGAAGGAAGGCGACCATTGAGACTGTTTGTCAGGGGGGACTCACACTCTACGAGAAATTGTCCGGTGGAGAAGTCTTTTCGAAAGGCAGGAATCCATTCAATGTTTATTTCTCATGACCTCTTCTCGGTTGAATCATTGCTGGAGTCCCTTTGGGATTGCTTCTCAGCTTATCATAGCTCGGGGTTTCCATAGACGACGATCAAAGCCTCTTGTGAAGAAAATCACACTCGACGAGCAAATTTACGAAGAATGCAGAAGGAGAATTTCCTGATGTGCTTACAATGTGGACAAATATCTAGCAGCAATACTGGGCTGACCGTCGGTATTTCATGATGATGACATTGATCAGTTTAGAGACGACTGACGAGGATTCAAGTCCTTTACGCGTGAAAACTCACTAATGTTCACAGGATTATCCATCAATGGTAGATGACAAAAAGAACTCACAAATTATGCTTGCACCAGTTCTTCATTTCAAGCAAGTCGAGTATTTAAGTCTTACTAGTAGTTCTTACACCAGCTAACTTAGCGGCAGACTTTTCCGGATTGTGAGTCGTGTCCGCGATCTATACGGAATCCGGGCTCCCACGAAGGCACGTGATATGCAATTAGAGAAACGTTTTAATCAAAACTAGAAAACTGGCGATATGAACTTCCTCCTTTCTTGGATTCGAAACTTGTTGATCCCAGGTTGCTTGTCCCTACTTTCGAACGCCAAAGTGATATACCGAGCCTGGCATATCTCATGCTGTGATTATGACCAATCGAGGATGGGTAATGGGAGACCTGCAAGGCGACAATCGGTATACACTCAATAGAGAAGTGCGCTCGGATATATGCGCTTGTATTGTCGCTGCGAAATCAATCCTCGACACAATAGAATGCTCCGGACAGGCCGGTATCACCTGCCTTTTAGGTATCTGCCTCCCCAGCTTTTGCTAAAGAGCATGAGGCTGTATATGGCGCTAACAAAATACCGATCGCAGTTCACACAGTATCAAGGATTCTGTGCCATCATGACAGTATACACATACACAATTCGCAATTGGTCCGAGTACAAGGAAGAGTGCAACGATCTGTTTCAGGCGGCACAGAAATGTCAATCTCAACTCACAGGCATCGCATACGAAGGGTCTCTTACACATCGGTATCTTCTCATTATGGAAGAATTTCGATCGGAAGAGTTGAGTGAGATCGATGTTGATTGCGTTCACAAATAAATGAAGTCCCCAATCGATATCATCATCCCTTAATTCTTGCAGTGGACTCTCGATCCGCTCACGAACATAGAAATCTCGACAATGTGGAATGGGTGTCTTGATCCCGGGATACCATTCTAAATTTTCGACTTTGAGGGTTTCTTGGCCCTGAACGAGCTTCTAATGGATGCGGACTTGCAAAGTTTTGGACTTCATTGATTCGTTGGGATTGAAGGTATGATTGGAGATGGTAATGTTGGTAACACAAAGGTAGAACCAAATAAAGCTTTCTGGTATTGTTATAGCACCTACCATGACGGGCCTATATATTTTTCTAAATTTGAGGCCCTATATTCAGAAGTATAGATACAACGCAATTTTCCGCATCCTTTCTCTCCTTTCTTCTTCAAAACACATGTCCCATATCCACATTATTGTCGCCTACGACTGCAAACGAACAAGGATGGCTGTTCCATTGAATTGGAGAACGGATGCCCCAGCCCGGTCGAGAACACAACCATCTCCCGTTGCGGAAGGAAGCTAACCGCTCCTCAAGTGTTATAGGAGAGGAAACTGCCGATGATGGACTTTCGAACCTTATGCATACTGATTAACCGGCAGCAAAGGCCTGCTACAACAGTTAAGCCGGAACAAAGCCACGCACACGAATCTGGTTGGGCCAGATAGTGGCTGGGATAACTCACATGACCAGGACCAGAGCGTCGATCTCCAGTGCACCAAGGACACGGTACATGTCTTAATGGCATAGGATACAACGACTTGGCTCTCCATATGGAGACGGGTCGCAGGGTGCCCATGTGTGACCACCAGACTTATTCCGTCTGGAATGAACCGGAGCATAAGATTTGAGTCGCCGCTTTCCAGCTCAGGGCTTCAGCTACGAGATGAGTATCAACAAACCGAGCAAATCCCGCCCCCATGTCCTTGGCCCATTCACTTGTAGCAAATCCATTTGTTGTACAATCCATTTGTTGTATGTATGTACACTTACAGTTCTACCACGTGGCTCGTGCCGCAAGGACCTTCAGCGACCTAGCCGCATTCGGCATTGCGGGATATCGGAGGCAGAAATGAGCATCGTTTACAGCACGGGATGTATATATCCCATCACACAGGATCTTCTCTGAACCAGCGATTAATCTACTGGGAGAACCAATCTCTGTTTTCGGCTCGCCGACGCCAACAGTGTTGTCCACTCTCGTGGAGTCAATTTCAACTACCCACGTAATTATCCTTTTAGTTCCCATATTGGCTTCAAATTTAGTGAGGCTATGCTCTAACAGCTATATTATGTAGTTGGGATATTTGTCTGCCCTAGAAATATTGATAGGTCACATGATACATGTAAACTTTCATTGTATACAGTACTACCGTTGCTAAAAGGACCAATGTAACAGGGATTTTGGGAGGATACCCGGTAATTTTTATGGGGATTTGAAGTGGGCGGGTCTTGTGATTGCTAAAGAAGCCGCCTTCCAATAATAGCATCGATAGCTCAGTGGTAGAGCGAGGATTTGCAGTGTCCTAGGTCAGGTGTTCAATCCACCTTCGGTGCTATTTTTTTCCACCTTTTTTTTTCCCTTTTACTCACCTTTTTCTATACATCCTTTGCTCTTGTTTTCTTCCATTTTTGTTCCACACATAACTCTACACAATATGCAATTCCAGACTTTCTCGCAATTTCTGCCAATTTTTCTATCAGTTTCCCTCAAAATTCTCACTAGATGATGTTCCGCCGTCGTGCTTCTCTTGCCTCGAATTTCTGTATGCCAATGTACTAAAAGCACTGGCAGCGATTCGTCTCTCAATGACTTTATTACACCTCCGTTTGCTGTGTGTCATGTGATCTGCGACATTGTTGGTTTTTCTTTTAAGACGGAACGGCATGAAAAATCTTCACTGGTCCACAACATAACTGTGTGGCCTAGAATAGGAATCAAACCCGGTGCCTCTACTGTAGACATGTAGATACTGCTACATACAGTACGATAGTACAGTAGTTAGTGGGGTATACTATACATGGCCGGGGCCTCAGCCAATAATGAAGAGCATATCATTGGCCGTTTCCGTATATTTGCTGGGTGTTTGATAAATACAAAGTACAATTTCCGTATTGTTACGAGCGCTGATAGCTCAGGGGTTTAGAGCGAGGATTTGCAGTGTCCTAGGTCGGGCGTTCGAATCGCCCTCGGCGCTTATATTTTTTTTAAAAAAATTTTTTAATAAAAATTTTTGCTGGTCTCTTATTTTATTATCAAGCCTTTTTCCATTCTCAATAGGTACTTTTAGTACTGATCAATCTTTTCGCGACTGACCGGACAAGATTGCGCAACCCTTGCACCAAGCGGTGATGCCATCAAGGACCCGTGGACCCATCTATGCGTACATTATATATTGAATAAATTGTGTTATTGTGAACCCACGTTCTTCTGTAGGGTATGTCCTGTAATTCCCATGATATTCGCGACGAATCATTGCCAATGCTGGCATATTTTTACTTAATATGAAGGTATACACTATTGCTGTCGAGATTCGACCCATGGTTTATCGCTGACCTCATCGGTCAGTTCACAGTGTTCTAGGCAATCGAGTTCTCACTGCAAGCCGAGCACCAGCTTTCGTTCTGACCACCGGACATCACACTGCACCCCGCGTGAGAGGAGGTTGGATTTCTCGTCTCGCACCGACAAACTCTTATCGGACTAAAGGTTACACTCCTCCTGTTTCGCCACACGCGTCATCCGTCGTCGGCAGCTCCAGCTCCAGCTCGCAGCTCTGATTCGATCCCCCTTCCTGCGCGAACGCTGGTCGCCCTCTCTCGAACATGCCGAGGACACTTCTACCGTGATCATCGCCCGCCACTACGATCGCACAGCTGCATACCTAAAGGCGGGATTCGCCGCTGAGCCCTGCTGTCGCACGCATCGTTTGGGAACCACCCCCTCCGGCAAAATATCTCCGCTCGGCTCGTGCCGCGGAAGCTCGTCTTTGGACCCCGCGTGCGACGTAACTGCTATAAACCAGTTGATCTTACGCCCATAGGGTAGAAGCTACACTATGGACCCGCCACTGACCCCGACGCCCGGCCTCGGTGAGTTGCGACCGCCAGGCTCTTCCACCTCATCAACAGCAAGCCCGCGAAATCGTCCCCAGCGCTCCGATTACCCACTCCACACCGACACAAAAGCCGGGAACGGTCCAATGGGCGGCCGTTCTCAAGACCGGGGACCTGCTACGTCGTCCGAGACTCGCTCCAAGGCGGCCCCCGCGCCTGATAATGGTCCAGCCAAATCCTCTGAGTCGCCGGGGCGCAAGAAGAAGTCGGGACGCAAAAAGAAATCGGGGCGCAAAAAGAATCGCAATCGACAAGAGTCCTTCCTCACACCCGCCAAAGAAGAGCCCCATGACCGACCTGGCTCTGGTTCGGGGACCGGCGCCGCTATAGAATCCATGGAGGGTGAACGGCAAACTTCAAAGGACAACAATCCGTCGTTTTTCAAATTGGGCAGGAACCTGAGTAATACCAGCGTCGAGAGTGATACGTTGCTCGACCATCGGTACGTGGCGCTTGGTTTAGTTGTTAATTGATGTCCGGGTGGAGTACCACATTTGCTAACTTCTCTTCGTGTAACGAACAGGCACCAGCGCATGATGCGGCCTCGTCGTGACAGTCGACTGGCATCTTCCGTTCGCCCCAGCTCCCTATTATCCAGTGCCTTCCGAGGAAACGACGGAAGATCACGCAACTCACAAGCCGGAGGCGGAAAGCGCGGCCAGCAGTACCAGGATGAAGACAGTGATGGGTCCGAGGCGAACGACCGAACGCCTCTGGTGCGGCCCTCGTTGAATCGTCCGAATTCTGGTGCAGCGTCGGGATTGACTCGCTATGGAACGGAATCGCGACCGAGTCCATTTCCTTCTCGTCAACGGCGGCCGTCGGTTCATACGTCGTCATCACAATGCTCGCCAGGTGGTCACAGCCCGGCGTATTCGCCAGAGATCGACCGCGATTATGATGTCAATAACCCGCCTTCGATTCCAGGCTCCCCAAAACTCGGCCCGGATATGAATTACGACGATGCGTTAATGACGGGCGCAGAATTTGACTTTACGTTCGAAAACCGCAGGTCTTCGTTAGGGCCTCTGGGCGAGAGTCTGATCAATATCGAGGGCGGTCCTCCTCCACACAGCTCCGCGCCATCATCTCCTCATTCAGGGCGGTTTTCTCCCCAGGACCCACGCCGGCGCCGGACAGTCACATTACCAGTGGAGGAAGATGTGTGCTTTCCTAACCAGGAAGAGATCTCGGAATTGGGAGACGAAGGCGTGTGCGCCGCCCGTGGTGAGCCCGGGGAGCGCCGCCGACGCAGGCACCGACGCTGGCCTGATCTCTCAGTACTGGAGGAGTGGAGTCGCGAAGAGAAGGAGGATCGCAGTGGAGACCTCCGCTCCAAAAAGATCAGCGAACCCATGCTTATTGAGGGTCGACTCCGTCCTCAGTATAAATTATGGCGCCGCGAGGAGGACGAGGCGCCGTATCGATTTACCTACTTCAACGAGGAGTTTCAGAGCACCATCCATGCGCAAACAATATCGGAGTTGGTACAGCCTGGAAGTAGCTTCCGAGAGCTTTTTATTCCTGATCCACCCGAATTGGAAGATTCCTCAGATGAATCCGACTTTGAGGGCTACCATTCAGGTCACGAATTCGGACATTCGACGAACACTGGCCTGCGAGGACAGAATTCCCATAATGACCTCAAAGAACCACCGTCGAACTCTCAAAGCGGCGCAGCTACCCCCATCGCATATACCACCACCAAAAGTGGACAGGACATGGTACAGACTACTACCGATACAAATGGGTCGCGAGGACAGTCTCGCTTGCCAGTTATCGGCGAAGGTCACCCGGAGTCGCAACGCGAAACCTCACCGGTGCAGTCACACCTTGGCCCCAAACCCAAGAAATATGGACCTCGGCCAACATTTTGGCTAGATGTGCTTTCCCCCACCGATGCAGAGATGCGGGTGATTGCGAAGACCTTTGGCATCCATGCCTTGACCGCCGAGGACATCATGATGCAGGAAGCGCGCGAGAAGGTGGAGTTGTTCCGCAGCTACTACTTTGTCAACTACCGCACGTTCGAGCAAGACACGAATAGCGAAGACTACCTCGAGCCGGTCAACATGTATGTGGTGGTATTCCGAGAGGGTGTAATATCCTTCCATTTCTCGCAAACCCCGCACCCGGCCAACGTGCGCCGACGCATCCGCCAACTCATGGACTATCTGATTCTGAGCTCCGACTGGATTTCCTATGCCCTAATTGATGACATTACGGATGTTTTCGGCCCCCTCATCCAGGCGATCGAGGACGAGGTCGACGAGATCGATGAAATGATCATGCAGATGCACTCCTCAAGCAAGGAGGGCTCGCCTAATGACAGTCTGCAGCCCTCGTTCGCTCCCGGTGAAATGCTTCGGCGAACAGGAGAATGCCGCAAGAAGGTCATGGGACTCTACCGCCTGCTCAGCAACAAGGCAGACGTGGTGAAGGGGTTCGCCAAGCGCTGCAATGAGCAATGGGAAGTGGCACCCAAGTCGGAAATTGGTCTATACCTGGGCGATATCCAAGACCATATTATGACCATGACGGGTAACTTGACACACTACGAAACGTAAGTTTGGTGACGTTTTGCTTTCGAAGATGACTGAGTGGGTGATGGCTGACACCGGTTTTTCTAGGATTCTGTCTCGTGCGCATTCCAACTACCTCGCGCAGATCAACATTCTGATGAACGAGCGCCAAGAACAGACTGCTGATGTCTTGGGCAAGCTCACGGTTCTAGGTACCATCGTTCTCCCCATGAATATCATTTGTGGTATGTGGGGTATGAATGTTAAGGTCCCGGGGCAAGATATCGATAATCTCTATTGGTTCTGGTCGAGTAAGTCATGCATCTCTTTTAAAGTGACCCCTAGTGCCGACCATCACGATGCTAACTTCTTCCAGTCACGGGCGGGTTGATTTTCTTTGGTCTTGCCTCGTTCCTGATCGCCAAGCGAGTCTACAATATTGTTTAGGTTTAGCCTGGGGTTGTTTCCAACGTTTGGAAGTCGGGGGACGCTCCACCTGTTTGGCCCCCGGTTTTCCCTGCTCATCTGTGAATCTTTTTTCCTTGGAAAATTCCAACTGTATTATTTTGCCTCTCTGCCTTAATAAATGGATTTGGTTCAGGCGAGCATGCGATGGCGTTCAAGTCGGATTTGGTCGAGACGATATACGGGTCATGCATGTCTGGGATGTCTGCCTTTGGGTAGTCTTTGTTTCATTGTTCCGGTTGGATGTTTCACTTTCTTTTGGATCTGTAGATACCATTGCTGATAGATGTGTATACTTGCTGCTAGCTACCTATATTGGATCCATCAATTATTGGAATATTGCTTTTGTTCATGTATTACTAGGAGCAAGGAACTCGTTCCCCGATGAGGTCATCGCCGGGTAATGGAAATACCGGCCGTACCACCGTTGGCGGCGTGCTGTGGCTGGCCGCCGCCCTGTTTTATTACTGATTACTGTCAGTCAGGTCCCGTCATGATGGTTCCCCAGGTTTCTCGCAACCGCCAACGTCTTTTCATCCTTTCAACTCTCTCCATCTACATTGTTGCTCTTTCTTCCCTTTGACTTCTTTGACTCGCCTTCCGCCCTCACGCGCCCCCTATCCGTGCTGTCTTCGTCAGCCCGTGAGCGCCCATCCCTTCTAGACCCTCATCCGCGTGCTCCCCTGCAGTGCAAAGGCCCGCCCCTTCCACCCTGACGTGGGCCACGATCATTGGTCTTCGCTGGCGCCGGCCCCGACCCTCCACCTCGCTTTTTCACCCGAGGTCTTGGTCACCGACATCTCTGCAGGCGCATTTCGGCACCTAACGGACGGACGCCACATCTCCTCATTTTATGGGCGAAAAACAAGTCAAGCCCAAACGTCCGGCCGGATCGGCGGTCTCCATCCAGGCCCCAATTCCGCCAACCACAACCCTCGCTTCCGCCGACACTCGGTTCTAGACGTTCTTCGTGTGCTTGTGCCCCCGGAAACAAAGCATCAGCCTGGTGATGTGTGCCTTGCTTGATCTTCCGATCGTCTTCCTTCGACCTCTCTAAACACTTTCAAACAAACCTCTCTTTCTGTTCAACCCACACTTTCCACCCTCCCACGCATCTCCACCCCTGCAGCGGCTGCAGCGAAACCCTCCCCCGTCGTTCTTGGTCCAGTTCTCGTCAACAGCATGTGGACTTCGGCTATTCGTTCTACTGCATCGTCACCTGTGTAACGACCCGTGTTCTGCGCAACATACCTCGCTCGACATCTACGACTTTCTCATTCGTGACCTTGTTTCGCTGCCGACAACTCATTCCCTCACCGTCGAGTCGTCCCTGGTTGGCCTCACCTTGCTTTTTCGGTTCCCTCTTCGGGACCTTCGTTCCTACCCAACTACCCGGCTACCTCTCGGGTCTTCTGACTTGTCTGCGTCGCGTCAGTGCAATCTGACTCGGTAAGAGACCATGGCTGCGGAGTCCGAGAGGCCGCCTTACCTCAATGTTGTCTCTGGCCAGTCCAGAGGGGCCAGAGGGGCCGGAAATGCGGAGGTGGCATCGCATCGCGCGCATCGGTCGGCCAGCGAGGGTGACCTGATCGAACAGCCGCACCCGAACGTTAAATCTCAGACCCAAGCCATGTCCCAGGTGCCTAAATTGTCCCCCAGTCTCTCGAATACCTCTGCCTCTCCGTCAGCTCCCAACTCCGCCGTCTCCTCCCGCGAATCCTCTCCGGTGCGATTCTCCTCTCGAAACCTCCACTCCTCCCCGGTCAGTCGTATCCAAACCCAATCAAAATCCCGGAAGAGCAGTCAAGACCGAAGCAGCCCGACCAGATCCTCAAACGGTCAGCCGTCAGCCTTGCCCATACCCTCAGGATCCACGTCATCGGGCCAGCGTGCGCAAGCGCTGCCGGGAAACACACCATTCTTCTCTCCTCCTGTTCCCGAACCACCGGCCAATGACCTCAGTCCGGAAAAGTCCAACATGCCATCATGGGCGGGAAGTCGTCGCACAGATCAGGAGTCCACACCGCCGAATACTTCCCACAAGAGAGCCTCCGTGCCGCCAGCGTCGGACGACCAGGGAAAGGTGGACCGAAACGCCTCTCGAGCAGTCACGAGAGCTGGGAGTGGACAAGGTCCATCCTTGGATACAGTCCAGGAGATGACCAGTGATCCTTCAACCCCATCGAATGACACGGCTCCTAAGCCGGTCACCCCGGACGATTCACGGTTACACACAATTGACGAAGACCCGACACCTCGAGCCGCAGAGAAGAACACTGAAAGCGGCAGCGACAGTGGTGGAAACCGCAGTTCGGATCCCAAAGAAGATAGTCGTCCTAATGCTTCCGGAAGCGCCAAACCCTCTGCGACCATCATGCCCAAGCGGTCCACTGCCTCCCTCAGTGCTGGGGCCCGCGGGAAGCCAGCAGATGGCTCCGTTCGCAATATGATTGTAGAAACGGAGACCGTCAGCTCAATACCGCAAGTGTCTTTGGGGGTTGGTGCTCCAGATCGAAACAATGCCAGCCGCGCTGAGCCTGGAAACCTTCGCAAGCAGCCTTCAACAGATACAATTCGGCCGCGCGAAAAATGGAAAAGAAGTCGACGGCCGAATACTGTCACCACAGGCCCGGCATCCAGCAAAGCTGATATCTTCGAGGCCAAGGTCGCCAGTGCGGTTGACAAGGCCGATGTCTCTGACTCGGATGAAACTTTCGTTTATGAGTCAAATCCAACGGATCCATATCCTCCACGACAATCTCGATATCACTCCCGGACACCCAGTGCGACCTCCATGGCAAGCCAAGTGGACCAGCTGGCTGGTCGCGCGCGAGGCATGCGGGATGGCTCCCTCAGTGTCACTGGTAAACGGAGTATGAAGTTTACCAACAACCCAAACCCATTCAACCCGAGCTTGGACGGTGAGATGACCGAGCAGGATGGCAGCCGAAGTGGCTCTCGGGTTGATGGAAGTGGAACTATAACCCCGCGACACCACAACATCGGACGTCATGGACGGAGTAGTGGTGTGTTACCATCACTTTTCGACAACGACAATGCTATGCAAACGCCTCAAACTCAGCCCAAATCCCCACGTCATTTTATTGGGAGTGGGTATAGGCATTCGCGAAATAGCAACATTCGCTCTTCACCCAATTACAGAACCATCAGTAATTCGAAAAAGTCGAACGAAATGTTCGACTTCGATGCCGAGGGAGCTGATGATGAGCGCACCCCATTGGTTGGTACTCCACGGGTACCTCGGAGCCGTCATGGCCGCAGGCCCAACAGTGCCAGTTTGCGCCAGATGGAATATATGCAACGGCAGCGTGGCTGTGTGTCGCGCTATGGCTCCTGCGCTATAATACTCGTTCTCTTGATGATCATAGCCGGCGGTGCCACCACCTTTGTGATTGCTGCGACCAAGACTTTATTGGATGTCCAGGTCCTCGCGGTCCAAAACGTGCTTGCATCTGAGCAGGAGATCATGCTGGATCTCAACGTACAGGCTGTGAATCCCAATATCTTTCCGGTGACAATTGACGACACCGATGTCAATATATTTGCCAAGAGCCGCTATGTCGGCACGGACAAGCTTTGGCGAGACCATGGATCGAATGATGAACTTGATCGTTTCCCCCGCGTGAAGCAAAGTCAACGGCGCTGGGAGCTCTCGCAGATAGTCCGATGCTTTGGAAATATGGACTGTGTGCGGGAGGCCGAAGCTCGCAAGTTGTCAAAACCTCATGTCACAGATGGTGTTGATCGAGGTACGGATCCAGTCACTGATCCCGAGGGTGATCCGCAAACAATGCTGCTTGGCCGAGTTTTCCGCTTTGACTCGCCACTATCCTTTGACGCATCGCCTTGGAGTTACATGGTATCCACATCGAAGGGACAAATTCGCCTTCCCCGACCAGGCAACAAGACCGAAGAAGGTGGCACAGAACGCTGGGAACGTGTTCTGCAGCACCCGTTTGAATTGATTGTTCGTGGTGTTATCAAGTACCAGCTCCCACTGAGCTCGCGTTTCTACTCTGCTTCCATCAGTTCCAGCGTCAAGGTGGTCCCTGACGATGATAGCACCACGCCACCCAGCAACGATACTGCTCATGCCACACTGGCCAAACGCGACCTCCCCTCCGTTCGCCTTTTGGACACTGATACCTCACCCGAGCATCGATCGGAATTTTCTAAACGACAGTTCACGGCATGAAAAATCCTTTTCCTTCAATATTTTAGCGATAGAATTATGTCCTATATCTTTTACGACAGCCCTCTTTTTCGATTTTCTTTCTTTTCCTTGCTTCACTATCTTCAATATGTAATGAGATGATGACAAAAGAGGCGCCAAATGGGACTCTTTTTTGGGGATCCAGATCCACTTGTTCTATATCTGATATTTCTTGCTTTCATCCGCTGTATACCCGTTCGCGATGACTGTTTTATTGCTCTCCTTTAGTCTCGATGCGCTGTGCATTTGAGACTATGATACAACTCCCAGCCCCCACCCTTTTTTTGGTCTTAGGGTATCTCCCACCCACACCCCTTGTTGTACACAACTGTCATTGGTATTGTTATGGTGCAATGTGGACTTGGAGTTTGTCGTGGTTGAGATTTGGATGTTGGTTGCTCTATGGGTGCCTCCGTCCTGTCCTGGCATGTCTGCCTTCTGTTTCCTTATTGTCAATGTATCTATACTTAACATGTTCCATATTTATCATAAAAGATATGTCCCGGTTGGGAAAATAGAAGCGGTTATATAAGCACTACATTCAATGTCCACTTGACTATTTTGATAATGCAAATTGACACGATACTTTACAATTCTACCCCGATGGTGTATCTAGTCGATTTTTATAGTGTAGTTCGTAGAAGTAGTTCGCATAAATAGACATCATCAACACATTGGCCATATTACACTAAGCTAATCCCAGCGCATCCCCTTCAATCTGGTCCTCTTGCGGTGGGATATTCCACGACGGATTGGCATAGTTCACCTGCCCAGGTGGCAAAGGACAACGGGCACCCCTTGTCGTCTACGACGCGCACACAAATAAAGCCACCACAATCCTTAATAAAATACCGCGGCGTATCCTCTAACAACCCAGACGACATAATATTCGATCCTAACGGAAACATTTGGTTAAGCATGATTGAACTGCGGATATCTGATGCAGGGCAGGATAGTGTTGAGACTTTCATTTTCGTTGTAGTTTCAATCCATTCTCGAAAGGTCAATTTCTCACTTCTCTCTCTCACTTCTCTCACATCTCGCTATTCTCTCTCTTACGTCCTTTTTCAGCCGATCCTCCTATATTCCGCTCCTCTCCAGTGATACCAGTATGCTTCAGCCCATGTTAAAACCAGACCGAAGCAAATCCTCCACTCCAGAACCACATGCTGAGTTGCAGGCTAGATCATCTGGTTCTGTTTGTGGTAAGGGCGTCTTCTTGGTTTGGGCCTGCAAACCAACCACGGCTGGAGAGCAACCTGGACCAGACCCGGGGGGAATTCGAGCGTGCATATGAACAGATCCAGTGCGGATTCAATTACCTAACATTAAAAACAAAGCTCGAATGATCTAATTGGAGCACTTGCAACCGAAATAATCAGACAAATGGTCAAGAGATGCGTTGCAGGAAAACTGGTTTTGGTCGTCAATGGGCGGGATGGATTAAGCACCCACCCAACTTCGTGAAGCTGCTCGGAGATAATACAGTACGATCTTTTCATAGTGAAGAGGTTTTTCCGGGTTGATGTCAGGCGGGTGGTGAAGATGCTGACCGAGGATCAGAATCTGCAGGGGGTCAATGCAACTGAATCGGAGTGATCCTAGTTAGATTCGACAGATATTTTTATTGAAAAGATCGATGCGATCAAAGCTGTTAAAAACTAGATGAAGTCGTCTATAAATGAACTGTAGCGTGTTACTTTTCGCCGCAATGCCGGTAACAGCACCCAGGAACTGGGTCGAATGGAGTGTGGTAGTCGCTGCCGTAACCCGGAGCGCCCAGTGCGTTTCCCGAATACAGACCACTTTGATGCACATTGGCATAAGACCGTTTATCAATGATTTTATGAATCCATTTTAAGTCATTTAGTCGCTACTAGAGCTAAGTTTCAATAACAAGCACCGATAGCTCAGGGGTAGAGCGAGGATTTGCAGTGTCCTAGGTCAGGCGTTCAAATCGCCTTCGGTGCTATCTTTTTTTCCCCCGCTATCTTTTTTTCCCGTTCTCAAATTTTTCCCCCTCCCTTTTTTTTCCGAGGCGAAGAACTCTGTGCGCAAGTCGGTGCTCATGAAGTAGGAATCGAAAAAGCCGACAACATAATATTATATCAGCATTTCAGAAATAATCTTTAACTTGTACCGTAAGGATAACCTACAATATCAACCCCATTGTTGACCCTACTTCCGGACTCCAAGGTCCCCAGCTATAGCCTTTGCAATGTCAGTCACTTCGACGCCGACCACCGCCTTCCCCTCAGCGCCTAAGCCAGATCGAAGTCTTTATAAGAGCGTAAAAGCTAGCTCGATGCCAGCTATGCCGTCGCGGGCACGAACCTCTCGACCAAGTTAACCTGAACCGGCCTTGGCGAATACTCATACATTGTCCAGACAGCCAGACTAGAGAATTACTGGCCATCGATCTAGATACACATGCCAGTGGCCAGCTGCGGAACAAACGTCCGAATCTGGGTCCGGGTCCCCAATACCCGGGCCCACGGTATCCTGTTTGTTCCAGTGATATTTTGGAGCTACCCGTTACGAGGAGACCAGACTGGGCTTCCGAATCAGATATACGCGGACTATGAGAAAGTCATGATAATCAAATCCTCACTGGATTTGCCCATATGCGCACTCGAACTCCTGACGGGTGTTTTCCAGAATACGGAGCTGCCGAGGGTGAATCATAGACCTCATAAGGCCAGGAATGGTAATATTAGAGTGTAGGTGACTGTTTAGATGACTGTTCAGATGGCTATTCAGCTGACCGTTAAGAAGTCTACTTGGCGACTGTTTTGGTTCGAAATAGCCGATAAATTCTATTACAAGGCAAGCTGAAGTCAAAGTCGTGAATCATCAGACATCAAAGATAGTAAATACAAGTCCAGCGGCCGTAACAACTCAACGAAATAATAAAATAAACACGAAATTCACAATAAACAAATAAACTCCAATAAATCCAGACTCAATCCAGGCCCATCACGGTATCCAAGAACCGACGCCAGATTGCCATTTTCACCGAAAAACAAGAAAGATTATAAGACAACGGGGGGAGTACGAGATAAGAGTGTGACGCCTCAAATCACATTACTCATGTCCATTGTAGAAGGAGCCATGGAAGGAGCCATGGAAGGCGCGACGCTGTGCACGGAGCGCGATCCATCGATCGACATGCGATCGCCACTCATCATCCGGGAGACACGCTTGTCCTTGCCGGGGCGGGCGATGAGGACTTGGGCGGGACAGACGACGACTTCGTCGTCGCCTTCGCCGACATCGTTGCCCTTTTTGACGACAAGCGGGAAAAGGACGATGCGGACAACGGCCTGGGAGGATTCTAGCTCGTCGTTGGAGGTGGTTTCGCCGCTGCGCTCGTTCATCAGAGACGCATTGAAGAAGACTTGTCGAGCGAGGTCGCCGTTGGTGTCGTACTCGGGCTGCAGTGGCGGGAGCATGATGAACTCGGCGAGTTGTGTGCGCATCTCCAGAGACAAGTTCACGGCGACGCGGAGGACCTTGCGGAGGGAGTCGAGGAGCTGGCCTTCGACTTGGGAGGGTGGAGGAAGAATGCGGGAGAGGGTGCCGAAGATCTCAAGAGCGACGGCTTCGGTGTCGCTTTGGCGCTGGGAGGCAAAGGCCGGTCGTCGCGACAGGAGGGTCAAGGTGGTGGCGCGCCAGCGGTGGACTGCACGTCGGGGACCGACCTCGCCTAATTGTTTCTCGAGCGACTTGAGTTTCTGGCGCTGTTCTCGGTCCATGCCGAAAAGGTAGCGGGTGAAGATGTACTCCCACACCATGGTCATGACCACCGACATGAAGACATCACGACGGCGGACACGGTCAGAGAGATAGGCATCAGCGTCGGAGCCATCGAGGAGGGCGTTTTCGAAACGGTCGGCCATCTTCTCGTCGTGCAGGTCGCTCAGCGGGCGGCAGCGACGGTGGTCAGAATGCTTAGAGAAGCGCAGCACCCATTGCTGGACGTGACCACAGAGCTTCTGGCACGCCGCGTCGAAGTAATCTTCATCGCGGAAGACAAGGGCATTGTCATTGACCGACGAGGCGATCTGCTGCTGGAGCTCCTTGACTTTATCGCGGGCCTCCTCTAGTTCGGCGCGCAGGCGTCGCAGCTCGGCGTCCTTTTGGGCGAGGGCCGACTCGATCTCTTGTCGGACTCGGTCTTCCATCTGCGACGAGAGCGCATCGTGTTGCGACCGCAGGTCGTCGAGTTCGCGGGTGGACGATTCGCGCACGGTGGTGACTTCGGCAGCGTGGGCGGCAGCGAGGGCAGCATTGGACGCTGTAAGCCCCTCATTCTCCTGGGTCAGACGGCTCATCTCTTTCTGGAACCAGTCCACTGAGCTCTTGAGCTGCTCGACCTCGGCCTCGCGATCTCTCAGATCGGCGCCACTGGAGTTGAGCGCTCGGTCGCTCTTCCGGCGGGCGACGCTGGCATTGCGCAATTTATCCTCGGCTTCATCGCGGGCGGCGATCAACAGACGGTTCTCGGAGATGAGCTGGTCGAGGCGAGTCTCCATGTCCTGGAGTTGTTGCATGCTGCGGCGGCGACGGACACTCGGTGGTCGGCTGGGCGACCGCGGGGAGTTGGGCGTCTCACCCCAGCCCTCCTAGAGTAACCCGTTAGTAAACAAACAATAAACAAATAAACACAGAAATGCAGAATCGCAGAATCGCATCCGGAACTTACGTAGACATCCATGTTCCGGAGGGGCTGCTTGCCCTTGTCATGGACGGGGTCGTAGGAGGAAGAAGAGGGAAGCTGGTGGAGATCGAGATTGGGAGGCTGGGAGTCTAGCGCCCGACTCGCCGCCCGCAGGTCGCTGCTCGTGCTGCGCTTCGTGCGACGCAGCGTGCCCTTGCTGTCGCTGGGCCGCAGGATGGGCATGCCTTGCTCGGGCGTTTTCAGCGGAGATCGCGACGCACTTTTGCTACTGTCACTCTTGCTGGCACTCTCATTCTCTGGCGTGGGCCATCGCTCCCGCGCCAACGCATTGTCCGTGAACTTGCGCACCGGCGTCACCGGGCGAGGCAGGACATGTTCGGGCTTGATCTCCAGACGGGGCGTCCCGTACGGAGCCGTGGTTGCGTCTGGTTCCTGCTCCGCAATGGGATCCAGTGGAGTCCGCGGGCGGGAGAGCGAGTCCTGCTCGAAGGGGCCGCCGAAGAGGGAGCGTGGCGGCGAAGGACCACTGGTGGCGGGAATAGATCCTTCGTCCAGACTCCAGGTCCGGGGAGTCTGCTGGTGTCGGCCATGGATCACGGAGGGCGTGCGGCGCAACTCACAGGCCGAGTCGTCCGGACCTTCCATTTGCGACGGCAGTAGACGCCGGGGCGTAGAGGCCTCCTCGGTGCGCGTAGACGGCGACGAGTCGAACAGTAGAGACGACCGTTCTTTGGTGGCAGGTGCGTGTACGCTATCTTCAGCAATGGGAAGGTTTGGCTCGTCCATCTGGAGTTCCTTCGCAATGGCCTCGGGGGCCTCCTCGGCGGTTGGCGCTGCATCTGCATCTGGGATGGACAGCTCACGGCTGGCTTCGGGGGTCGCTTGGGGTGCTTCCGAGATGGGGATCGTGAGTTCACGATCAGCTTCCTGGTCCACAATCTCTTCCTCAGCACTATCTTTTGGCGACGGGGTTTTGTTCAGCGCCGATCGCTTGAATCCACCACGCTCGAGGCCGGGAAAGAGATTCGCGATCTTGGAGCCACCGGGAGTTGTAGTGCGTGCGGGTGGCTCAGTTTCGATCTCTTTGTTGGCAGATTCCAGCAAGGATTCAGGCTGGGGCTGGGGCTCGGCCAGTTCGAGTTTCTTGTGGGATGACTCGTCGGCGGTCTCGGTGTTGGCCAGAGCGGCTTGTTCGGACTTTCTCTTGTTCTTCTTGGCCTTTTTCTTGTCCTTTTTGCTCAATGGCAGAGAAAAGTCTTCGGCGGACTCCGAATCCTTGGCGACCTCTTGCAAACCAGCAGGAATGGCAGACTCATCGTATGCCTCGATGGTCTGGGGCACGGGCTCGGGGATCTTGACCTCAGGCTCGGGGGCCTCAGGCAAGGATTCGGGCTTGTCGGTCTTGCCATCCCATTCAATCGCAGGAAATTCATCTTCTTCTGGCTTTGCTTCCTCTTGCTTTCTATTTGTAGTAAATTCAGGAACTTCCTCCTCACGAGTTGATTCTTCTGGACCAGGAGAGATTCCCAGACCCTGTTGCTCCTGAGCTGGGGATTCTAGCAAGGCTTTGGCTTCGGCGGCTTTCTTGGCCTTTTTTGCTTTCTTTTTGGAAGCCTTGCGAGAGAGCGGTGCTTCTTCTTCGGCTGGCTCGGGGACAGCGGCAGTCTCGGCTTCAGCTGGCTCGAGAGCAGGCTGAGACTCGGTAGCAGGCTCAACTTCCTTTGGGCCATCCACCTCTGGCTCCAGCTCTTTTGTTGACTCGGCTTCAACTGGAGCCTCAGGCCCGGCAGATTCGAGTTCTGCAGGAGTCGGAACAGGCTGGGGTTCTTCGTCAATGACAGTTGAAGTCTCTGGCTCTGGCTGTTCCAGCTCGACACTCTCCTCAAGAACACCCTTCTTCTTAGCCCTGCGCTTTTCCTTCTTCGACAACTTCTTCGCTTCGGGTTCCTGAGGTCGATCTTCGAACATATCACCAGCGACTTCAAGATCTGCTTCCTTCTCAAGCGCGGTGCTGCGAAGCTTAGCCTCTTCCTCCTTTTGCTGTTCTTGTTGTTCAGGAGTAATAGCTTCAACTGGAACATCCTCAGTAGCTTGTTCGACGGGAACATCTTGATCCTTCTCCCGTGCAGGCGAAGGGGCGTCGAATGGATCCAGTGAAACAACATTCTCCTTGTCAGCCTCCGCTTCCTCTGAATTCTTGGGCTTAGTCGTACTGGGAGTGTGAAGCTGTTCTTGTGGGTCCTCGGGAACTACTTGAGTCTCTGTTGATGTTTCGGCGGTGGGCTCAACTTCAGGCTCTGGTGCAATTTCCTTTGATTTTTCACCAGTTACCTCAGGGGTCGCGGGAATCTCGACTTGGACAGGCTCGGCAGGCATTTCTGCCACAGGTCCAGGCTCAGCAGGAGTATCAAATGGCTGCTCGGGCTCGGCGAGCCGCTCGGTGACAATTTCGGTGGGTGCAGTTGTTACGGGACCAGATTCCTCAATGACATCCTTCTCAGCTGGCTCCGCATGCTCAGGCTCAGCGGGCTGCTCAGTGACATTTTCGGTAGGCTCAGGCGAAGGGGCAGCTTCCTCAGTGATCCCCTTCTCAATTGGCTCAGGTTCCTCACTGGGGACTTCTTGTTCAACCTCAACCTGCTTATCCTCCACAGAAACATCTGTACTTGGAACCTTTGCGACTGGTTCAGGTGCAGGTTCTTCAACAGTAGGTTCCGGCTCAGACGGCTTCTCGCTTTCTAGCGCAGCAGCAGCAGCAGCAGCAGCAGCAGCAGCAGCAGCCTCTCTCTTCTTCTTCTTGCTCTTCTTCTTAGATACAGTAGGCCGCTCCTCTTCAGGCGCAGCCACAGTCTCCCCAGGAGCTTGCTCAGGGGCTTCCGCAGACGGAACTTCGATAGCAATTTCCGTAGCAGTAGCCAGGGCAGGATCGGCCTCCTCTGTAGTTTGTTCAGAGTGAATGTTGGCATCGACATGCTCTTTGATGTCCTCGATAGCAGCGGGCTGCTCTTCGATCGAACCCTGCTGAGCGTCCTTGGGGCTGTCGTCGATGACATCGGATGGTTGTTGTTCAGGTTCAGTAATGTCAGTTGACGGTTGAACCTCTTGCTGGTCATCGGGGGCAGGGGCATCGGCAGCAGCCTGGACAGCAGGCTCTTCGACCGTCTCTGGCAATGCTGCTCCCTGCTTCTCTGCCTCGGAGGCGGCAGCAGCAGCAGCAGCTTCCTTCTTCTTTTTTTCTTGCTTTTCTTTTTTGAAACCGGGGCAGCTTCGACCTCGTCAGGTTGGGGAGCAAGAGCAACATCTTTAAGTGACTGAACTTCCTTGGAAGGCTCGGTCTCTTTAGATGGTTGAGACTCTTTGGTTGGTTGAACTTGCTCTTCAACAACAGGTTCAGTATCTTGCTCTGCAACCGGCTCAGGCTCAGCAATGGTCTTTTCCTGTTCCTCGGTGACAGGCTCGATTTCAGGCTGCTCGATCTTAGCCAAGGGCTCTGGCTCTGGCTCAGGCTCAGCAGGGGTCTCTTCTGGTTGAACCTCCTGCTTTTGCGTCCCCTTTTTGTCTTTCTTTTTTTGCTTCTTGGACAAGTCCGGCTCTGCTTCAACAGATGGTTCTTGCTCAACGAGAGTATTGATAGCCGCAGGGGGGATATCGACTGGTGGCTCGGGGACCACCTCTTTTTCACCAATTTGCTCTTCCTTGGGAGGATCCTCGTCCAAGGTCACAGGCTCAACAACTTCCTCCTGTTTCTCTTCAACAACAGGCACAACATCAGCAATATTTTCATTCATCTCACTCTCAACAACTTCATCCGATTTCTCAACAGCCTCCGGCTCAGCTGCAGGCTCAACTGCAGGCTCAACTGCAGGCTCATCCCCCTCCTTCATTTCACGTTCCCTCTCGCCAAACTCAGAACGCTCAAGCACGGGCTGGGGAGGATAATCTGAAGAACGACTCTCTATCTGCGGCTGCTCTACCTGCGAAAACACGAATTCATCAGTCGAAGCCTTCTCAATTGCCGGCACGTCGGGCGTCTCTACGTCGTGGGACTGATGATCTTTACCGTCATGCTCCGCAGGCGAGGGTGCCGTTACGGGTGTAGAGGTCTCCCGTGTATTTTCGGTGGATTGCTCGGCGGGCTCGGCGGTTGTCGTGTCATCAGTGTCGAGGTTTTTGGATTGGCGCTTTTTCTTTTTCTTTAGCTTGCGCTTTTCCTTGGCTGACATGGCAGTCTCGTTTTCCGGAGTCGCAGGCTCGGACGGTTTCGGCTCGACTGGTGTTTCGGTAGACTCGGCGGCGTCGGTCGTAACAGGCTTGTCGGTCTCGGTGGTCGCTTCAGGTTCCGCGGGCTGATCGGTCTCGGGGGTATCAGTCTTAGCATCCGTCTCCTCTTCAGCAGGCTGTGCTTCAGCAGGCTGTGCTTCAGCAGGCTGTGCTTCAGCAGGCTGTGCTTCAGCAGGCTGTTCTTCAGCAGGCTGTCCTTCAGCAGGCTGTTCTTCAGCAGGCTGTTCTTCAGCAGGCTGTTCTTCAGCAGGCTGTTCTTCAACAGGCTGTCCTTCAGCAGGCTGTTCTTCAGCAGGCTGTTCTTCAGCAGGCTGTCCTTCAACAGGCTGTTCTTCAGCAGGCTGTTCTTCAACAGGCTGTCCTTCAACAGGCTGTTCTTCAACAGGCTGTGCCTCCGCAGCCTCTTCTATTTGAGGCGCATCGACATTTTCTTCGGTGGAGTCTGGAGCCTCGTCGGCTTTGTCGGTTTCTGGCCCAACGTCCTTGGGAGCTTCTTTAGAAGTAGAAAGCTCTTCTCCAGTAAAGTCAACAGAGTTGCCCTTCTTTTTCTTCTGCTTTGCCTTAAGCTTGCGGCGCTCCTTGGCGGACAGGCCTGATAGGTCTGGCTCAGGAGATTCGACACTTTCAGCTGGCTTGTCTTCAGGGACTGTCGATTCAGTTGAAGGTTCAGGCTGCTCCTCGGCCTGGAGAGGAGCGGCAGACTCGGCCCCCACTTCCTTAGAAACATCCTCAGTTGGAGTTTCAGTAGTTTCAACAGTAGACTCGGCAGTTTCTTTAGGAGTATCTTCCTCAGTGGCGGAGACCTCGGTTTCCGGAGCCTTCTCAGCAACAGGCTCCTCGACAGTCTGACCCTCTGCAGGAGTCTCGATTGTTTCTTGAGTCGGGGCATCCTCAGCCGCTGGCACAGTTTCTGATTTAACAGCCTCAGTAAGAGCAGCAGCCTCCTCAGGCTGAGCCTCCACTTGGGGTGCAGACTTCTCTTCAAAATCCACGGAATTGCGGGTCTCCTCCTCCTTCTTCCTCTTTTTCTTCTTGTCCTTCTTCTTCTGCGCAGCAGTCCTAGGGCCAAGCTCAGCCTGGCCGACTGGTTGTTCAGCAGTGTCATCTTTGGGTCCTTTTTCAGGTGCAGGTTCTTCAGGCTTCTGCACATCTTCTGTGGCAGTAGAAGGCTCCATATTTTCGTTAGACACAGGTTCTTCAACGTTTTCGGCTGCGGGCTCGGAAGCAGGGGGCTCGGTTGGAGACGCAGTGACAGTCTCAGAGGCAGGAGGCTCAGTAGGAGACTCTGTAGCAGGCTCGGCAGCTGGCACAGAGGTAGGTTCGGCAGATTCCTCCTTGCTAGCTTCAGACACAGGCTCTTCGGAAAGAGACTGGTTCTTTTTCTTCTTCTTTTTCTTCTTCTTAGAAGAAGTTGTCTCAGGCTCTTCTGCTGGAGGGCTTCCAACGGAAGGCACCTCAGGCTCTTGAACCGGCGCTGATTCTGCCTGCTCCTCGGACTTGGCTGTTTCTTCGGGAGAAGGCTCAGGGACAGTCTTTTCTTCTTCGGGCTTGTCGTCAAGAGACTTTTCTAGGGAAGACTCCTCAGCAGGGACTTGAGACTCTTCTGAAGGAACATTTGCGGGAGCAGTGGTATCGGCTGGCGTGGCCTCTGCTGACTCTTCAGTCACGGGCTCTGCTGGGGGAGCTCTATCATCTGTCGAGGGCTCGGCGGGAGTATCAATTTCTTTCTCCTTTGATTCGGCCTCGGCCTCAGGTTGAACCTCCGGTTCGACAGTAGTCTCTGTAAGAGCAACAGGCGCAGCCTCCTGCTCAGTGGGAGTAGATTCAGATGTCGGCGCAGGCTCCTCTTCAACAACAGACTGCCGCTTCTTCTTGTCCTTCTTGTCCTTCTTCGACATTTTCTTTTGCGCAGCAAAGGGGAGTTCATGTTTGGGCTCTGCGTCAGGAGTCTCGGGAACCTCATGAGGCGTCGTAGCTTCAGGAATGGTCTCAGTGGCAGGAACTTCAGCGGGTGCCTCTTCATGTGCTGGAGTTTTATCCTTCTTTTCCTCTTGAGGAGCTTCAATAGGAGCTTCAATTGGAGCAGGAGTTTCAGAAGTAGGAGGAATATCAGCAGAAGTCTCTTCAGAAGAAGCGGGGACATCAGCAGGAATCTCAGCAGATGTAGTCTCGGCTTCGGGCGGGGAAGTCTCGGCGACAGGAGCTTCAGTCACGGACTCAATTTCCTTGCTAGCCTCAACAGGCTCATCTGCCACAGGTGCATCGGCCTCGGGAACGGCTTCAGCATCCTGGGCGGCATCGGTTTCAGGCATGGGCGCATTATCAGCGGCTTGTGCTTCTTCAGTGGTAGAGCTGATGCTTTCTTGTTGCTTCTGCTGCTTCTTCCTGGCCTTCTTGGCCTTCTTTCTTTCAGCTGCTGTCATAATTTTAGCGGGCTTGTCCAGACGTGCTTCGGACTGCTCCTGGACGGGCTCGGAGTCGTCTTTCCCGGCTGGAGCTGCCTCAGCGGGAGCTTCTTCGACGGCAGACACCTGCACCTGCTCTTGTTCCTTTGGCTGCTCGGGCTCGGGTTCAGAATCATTCTTTACTTCTGAAGTGGCAATATCTCCTGCCGGTGCTTCGGGTGCAGGCTCAATTTCCTTGGCTTCGTCCGCAACAGGATCGGTTTCGACAGTGGGCTCAGCAGATTCAGTTGGCTCTGTAGATTTGGTGGGAGCAGACTCGGTGGATTCGACAGCTTCGATTGACTCAGCGGGCTGGGCATCAGCAGACTCAGAAGGTTGAGGCTCGACAGGCTTCTCCTCTTGGGAAACAGAAGAAACGCTCTGCTTGTCCTTCTTCCGTTGCGTCGCAGTCCTAGGCACCTCAGGCTCGACCTCGGTCTTAGCTTTGGGCTCAGCAGGGGGCAGTTCACGAGATTCCTCGGCTGGCTCAATGGGCTCAGGTTCTTGAACAGCAAGAACCTCATCAACAGCAGCAGGTTCAGAAATATCCTTAGCAAGCTGCTCAGACTCAGGCTGAGGCTCGCCGGTCGGAACATATTGTGTATCAACAGGTTCAACAGAAGCACCTTCTTCGGGCTTAACATCTTCAGCAACCTGCACCGACTCGGGAGCAGTCTCAGGCTCTTGCTGCACCTCAGGCTTGGAATCAACAATCCCAGAAGGAACATCAGTCTCCTCAGCAACAGAATTTTTGTTGTTTTTCTTCTTCTTCTTCTTCTTCTTTTTCTTTTCGTTATTTTCGTCCTTCTTCGAACCTGATTCATCAACCTCTTCAGGCTTGGCTTTTTCTGCTAGAACATCAACACGTTGTTCTTGCTCTGTCGGGATCTTCTTCTCTTCTGTCACCGTAGGCTCAGGCTGTTCCTGGACAGTCTCGTGGAACATGTCTTCGTCTGACTCGGCGGTTCTCTCTGTCGATGCCGGAGGGACTGCGACATCTTGTAGCTGAGATTCCTGCGCTTCGGTAAAGGTAAATTCTGGCTCTTCGATTTCGTGGGTCTCGGTTGTAGGAGCTTCAGTGGGCTCCTCAGTAGCCTTGCTCGAGTCATCGGCGGTAGCCTCGGGCGCGGTCACAGCAGCGGTATCTTCCTGGGGAGTCTGGACAGACACTGACCCTGCGGGCTCGGTAATTTCTCGAGTTTTTTGAGCATCAGGGGAAGCCTCAGTAGGCGCAGGTGTCTCGGAAACAGTGACATCCTGCGGAACCTCCTTTGTAGACTCAGCCTCTATGGCAGGAATAGACTCCGGCTCTTGACCAGTTTCAGCAGGCTTCTCCTGAGCCTCTTCAGCAGCTTGTTCCAGTGTGGCATCAGCGGTAGCTTCAGCGGGAGCAGCCTCGGCAGAAACAGATTTGACAGGCTCGGTAGAAGCAGCTCCGATCTCTGGCATAGGTTCGGGGACAGAGGAATCTGGCTCAACAGTAGAAACAAGCTCGGCAGTAGGAACAGGTTCGACATCGAGTTCCTGCGACAATTCAGCCGGTTCGCTTTCCAGCTGAGGCTGAGCGGGAGCATCTTTCACAGGAGCAGACAAAGCTTCAGGCTCAATGGAACAATATTGGTCTTCGGTCTCAGGCTCTGGAACCTTTTGTTCGGCCGGAGCAGGCTCAGAAGTCAAGTCGACACTTTCACTGGCTTGATCCTTCTTGCCCTTCGTATTTTTAGTTGCTGCCGGTTCCTCAGTGATTGGTTCCTCGGCCGGTGGATCTTGAACAGGCTCGCTGGGCTCCTCGACGGGCTCGAGAATATCTTTAGCTGCTTCTTCAACAGCAGGCTCAAAAGGCTTGGCAGATTGCTCCTCGACGGCAGTACCAGGCTCGCCGATCTCCTCATCTGGGCCCTTCTCCTGTGCTGACTCAGCGCTGACGGCAGCATTCACTACATCCGCGAAGCCAGGGAATGCACCTGGAGCACTGGAGATCTCGACAAGAGCTTCTGGCTGCTCGGAAATTGAATCGGATACCTCCTTGTCAGCTGGCAAAGTAGGGTCCTGATTTTCCTTATTATCAGATCCCTTGCGTTGCTCAATTTCCTTTGCAGCAGCAACGACGGCGGAATCGACCACACCGGAAAATCCAGCACCCTTAGGAGTCCCAGACCTGGATGCCTGCTCCTTCTCTGCGGTGGGTTCCTCAGTTTCGATTTGAGGAGCAGTCTGCTCAACATCAAGTTCACGCGTTTGCCCGCCCTCATGGGTATCCTTAACACCAACCATCGACCCCTCGACAGAAGGAAGCGCCTCCATAGTCGGCGAAGGAGGCATTTCAGGAACCCAGTGGGATCTTGAAGGAGTTCAGACGGAGAATGGAACTCATACTTGGGCTTTTCCTTCTTCGCCGAATCTTGCGCAGCATCACGCGCACCAAAGTCCTCGGCAGTAGGTGTAGCCTGTTGGGAATCGAGGACATCAAAATCTCTCTCGCCCTCATTAGCCTGGTCAGTCGAGATTGTCAGACCGGTTGGGCGTCGATTCTCCATAATCGAGTGGCTGAGATCAACCTGTTCCCAGCTTCGAACGGCATCTTCATCATTCAGTGCGCGGAGGTCCTCCACGGATGGAGCGCGGGAAGAGGTCTTGCTTGATGGCAAGGAAGGAAGAGGCTCGTCGGTTTCGGCTTCAGCTTTACTGGAACCATGGCGTTCAACAAGCCATAGCGGTCGAATCTCGCGCGAATTGCGGAATTCAACGGAGTTCTTGGAGCGGTGGCGGGATTGTGTTGGCGAGCCTGGGGAGCCGACTGTTGGTGATTCGGTCGTTGGCACAGCTCGTGACAAACTGGGTGAAATTGGTGGACGACGGAAGTGTAAAGGAACTGCTGTTGGAGATTCGGTAGTTGTCGAACGTGCTGTGGATGATCGTCGGCCGCGAGTAGATTGATCTCCGTCCCGGGTCGCTTCTGGTGAGGAGGGTCTACTCTGTGACTTCGGGGCCAGATCGAGGGCTCTCTCTGTGCCTGGAGGAGAGATGGAGCGGCTGCGAGGTCGGTCTTGCATCAGACCCTCGCCTAGTGCCAATCCGGCAGCTGTCATGGCTGCTCCCTCTGCGATATCAAGCCCCGAAGCACCACGGTCGTCGCGCTCAGTTGCGGCTGGCATTTCGGGGCGTTCCCCTAAAAAAGAGTGGTCGCGGGCGTCATCGTCCTGGACATGGAAAGTAGCAAATGCTTAGCATGAATTCTTGTAAGGTTGGATTGTGCATTCGATGATAAGTCGGGGTTGGAAAGGGCAACTGAACTATATGGCAATAAGAGTGTACAAGAACGCAAGGTTCAACATGTCAACAAAGAAAGGAAAAAATCAAATGCTATACCTTCTCATAATCCCGACGTTTTCCGGACTCGACGATTTCCTCGTACCGATGACGACGACGTTCTTCCTTCTCTTGTCGACGCGATCGATACTCTTCCAGATTGGTTTCATCCGCATTGTCAGATCCATAAAGACTATCTCCTCCGCTGGAGCTGCGTGACTTGGAAGAGCGCTTCTTGCGTCGACGCCTTTCGTCATCAAAGCCGACTTCCGATATAGTCTCCCGAGATGATCGCTTCTCTAGAGAGGTCGTGGAACGATTGCGGTCGTCGGCAGGTGCCGAGACCCGCGAGCCAAAGATGTTTCGCAAGAAACTGCCAGAGCTCGGTTCTTTGTCATCCTTGCTCTTGCGCTTTTCGCGGGTCTCGTCGATGCGTGCGGGTGAAGAAGTCACCGAAGCTTTGTCGTCAAAGTCGCGTTCCCGAGACGAACGATGACGGTGCTTGCGGCGTTCAGTCTTGTCTGCATCATCATCATAGGAAGTCACGGCGGATCGAGCATCATCATCCCTCTCCTTGTCTTCTCTGCTCTTCCTCTTCTCACGAGTCTCATCAATCCATGCGGGAGAAGAGGTGACTGAAGCGGTATCATCGAGGTCACGCTCTCGAGAGGAGCGGTGGCGGTGCTTGCGACGTTCAGACTTGTCCGCATCCTCGTAGGAGGTAACAGCCGAACGAGCATCGTCATCAACAGAGAAAGTGTCGCTATCACGCTTGGAACGACGCTTGCGCCGTTTCTTCTCGCCATCGCCAGCCTCGCCGTCTGAGGGGGCAGGGGACGCCACGTTGGCTGGGATATTGAGATGCAGATCAAAATCATCGCCACTGCGATGGGACTTCCTGGACTTGGATGACTGTTCGTATTCTCTCTCAGCAGGAGCAGAGAAGACGGAACGTGAATCACTGCGAGAAGGCGAGACGTCTCGAGAGGAAGTAGTATGAGAAAAGTCGAAATCGTCCCTACCGCGACGAGACTTTCTAGACTCCTTCTCCTTCTTATTCCCCCTTTCAGGCGGAGCAGAGAACACAGAGCGAGAATCATCATGAGAAAGCGAAACATCATGCGAAGAAGTAGCAGGAACCTCCTCAGCCCGAAAACGCACCTCATGCGACAGCTCAAAATCATCATCACTGCGACGAGACTTCTTTCTCTCGTAATCCTTGCCAACAGGAGCAGAGGAGACCGAGCGGGAATCATCACGAGGCTCAGGAGCAGTCTCAAACCCGCCAGGCATAGAGAAGACCTCATGATCCTCCAGAGATTCAGGTCGCTGCTTGCCCTTACCATTCAATGTTTCGATGACCTCCTGAGCAATGGAGCCGCGCTCGGGAGTTGGGAATGACGTGACATCTTCTTGTTCAGTCAGGGGTTCAGGCTCAGCATAGATTGGCTTTTCTTCAACATGCTTGACGGATGGAGTGATTTCTCTGGATTGGCTAGGCTCGTCGATGTCTATTTCGCCTTCCACGAATCCGTGAGGTTGCTGGGGTTGATAGTGAGGAGAGAAAATACCCTCATCCTCGGAGCCGGGGGGAGAAGTTCGAGTGTGATATTTCGGATCGTTAATCACGAATGAAGGGTCGAAGCCGGCCGCTTCAGTACCGGCCGCGACGATGGCTGCGAATTCAATATCTTCTCCGTAGGAAGGTGCTGACCCAATATCCCTTGAATTGGACTGTTCCGGCTTGCGCATGGGCAGTTCCTTGTCATCGAGCGGGGAGATATCATGCTCGAGCGGATCTTGATCAGACGAAGAAGGCACCTCATACTCGTGAGTCGAATGCTCGCCCCAAGAGACACGGGAACCGGTGGACGGGCGCTCACGCTGTTTGCGCTCGACTGGCTCAGGAGGTTCAACATGCTCAGCATGTTCGACGTGCTTGTCAGGCTCAACGTACTCGACAAGCTGGTCGGTTTCCGGGGCCCGGGCGGCAGAGGTTGGACCCGAAATACCCAGGGCAGATCCGTTCACACTGTGAGGAGGGGTAGGGTCGATGTAATTAAGGCGTGGAACCGGCCACGGCAAATGGTCATGATTTTCATAAGGCTCTTGGCCAAATCGGGACATTTCTTCTTCACGTAATTCGCCGCGGGCCTTGCGGACGTTGGCGGGCATCACTTCGACGATAGAAGGTTGTTCAGGAACGTCGCGATCTCGCGTCTGTTCGTCGGGGCTGTGGCGGATTTCGGCAGGGGCATAGAATTCGGCATAGTCATCATACACGGGAGAAGGAGAGGTGGCTTTGCGGGTTGAACGCTTGCTTGGTTTATCGCGGACCTCGACAGGCTCCACGACACTGGAAATAGTGGATGATTCGATGCCTCCGGGCTGTTGTCTATCAGCGCGGCGTTTGTCACGGCGTGACTTGTAGCGTCGAGAGCTAGTTTCAGAGGCGTCGTCGCCCTCGTGAGAAGCGTGGGAAATAGCGCTGACAGCGGCGGCACCAATAGCACCAGCAGCCGCCGCTTCAACCCATGACGAGGATGAACTCTCCTTTTTTACTCTTTCGCTACCACGGCGCTCGGCATCGCGACGAGCTTCTTCTTCTTCTTCGCGGTCAATCAGCTGAACAGAGTCATCCTCTTCCCGGGATCTCTGATCAAGACGGTTCAGTCGACGTTCACGCTCCGCCTGCTCCTCGGTCAGATTGAAAGACACAGAGGCTTGATCTTTGGCTGTAGAACGACGCTTGAGACTGGAGACAGATTGGTTCTCTTGAGTAGGGAAGACCGGAGACGAGTCACTTCGGCGAGGCTTGCGGCGCTCAACGTCGTCCTGGCTCCAAACAGCATCCCGGGATGCCTGAGGCTGGAACCGGGGGTCATACTGATCGTACTCATTGGCAAAGATCGGAGGAACGACCGGTGCACTGTATGCAGGAATAGAGCTAGGAAAACCACCCTGGGTCGTGTAGACAGATTGAGAAACAGGAGTGACCGGCTGAGGCTGCTGCAGAGGAATCGGGCCAGGGCGCACCAAAGGAGGCTGGCCATCGGAAGCAACAGAGGTCGACACTTTGGCGGCATCGAAGCGAGAAGGGTCAGAGGTGGGCATGGGATAGACTTGCTGGAGACTACCGGCCTCGCTGGGGGGACGGCTGTCGCGATGGCGAGCGACAGAAGCAATAGCGGCACCCCCAAGAGCACCAGCACCGGCAGCAAGAGCAGCAGACTTCTTATCCTTCTTCTTGTCTTTCTTGCTGCTTCTCCAGCCCCAGCTCCATCTTTTGCGGCTGCGGCCGGAATCAGAGCTCGAATCAGCACTGCTACCACCGAAAGCCAGAGCGGAGCTGACACTGGAAGGAGATTCATCAGAAGAGTCGGCGTCAATCCACTCATCATCCTCATTGGCAGAAGAGTTGTAGTTGGAATGGCGAGAGCGAGGATCCCTGGAACTCAACATCTGACCGGTACTACGGCCGCGACCACTCGATGAGGCAGCGAGAGCTGTAGCTGTAGCACCCAGACCCATCAGTGCTGCATTCACATCTTCGTCCTTCTTGCTCTTCTTCTCCTTCTTGGACTTGGACTTTTTCGAGAAACCAGTACCAAAGGCAAGATCATTGTCAAGCGAGGAAGAAGACGAGCTACTGAAAGAGAAAAATCCTCGCCTCTTCTTCTTGCTGCTCCCCTTCTTTTTCTCGTGCTTCTTTTTCTGGTTCTCGGAGGTGGATGTGAAGAAAGAGGTGAAGCCACCAACAGACTTGGCAGCAGGACGAGAGACATCCACGAATGATGAGCTGGAAGATGATTCTTTGCGTCGCTGAGCTCGCGAGGGAGAGCGACTACGACTTCGCTGGTGAGACTTGGAGACTGCGAGCGCTGCACCGCCAACTGCCGCACCCAGCGCGGCCTCCTTCATGAAAGAATGGTGGCCAGACCGAGAAGAGGACCGCGAGCGTGCCCGTCGGGAATGCTTGCTGTCGGAATAATACTCTCGCTGGGGGCTGCGGTCGGTTCGGCGAACCACACCACGAGATGTATAGCTTCTGCGATCCGACATGTCATCTCCATCGTAGGATGAGGCACGATCACCCGCCATGCGACCAGAACGCAAATTGTACGAGTCGTTGAAATCTTTGCCAGAGAAAATCGACTTGGCGGCATAGCCTGCCAGCATCCCAGGTAGCCATGAGGACGACTTCTTCGATCGCTTGCGCCGGCTTTCGTCTTCTGAAGAATGGTATCGACTGAGTTTGCTCACTCGAGAAGAACTGCTAGCACTATAGCGGTCGGCAGAGTGTCGACGTCGATGGTAGTGATGCTTGCGAGGCGCGTCAATCGAGCTAGAGTGCGGGTCGAAACAGTACTTGCAGACGCCAATGGTCTCAGTGTAATCCTCGAAGCGTCCCACGCCTTCCGGGTCACGCCAGAAGTCCACAAATTTCGAGAGAGGACCCCGATGGCGTTGCTGGTAAGCAAGACCGCCGGGTGCGTATGGGTAATAACCAGGACGGTGGGGAATGGGGTGAGAGTGTGAGTGAGCATGGTGGCCAGCATATCCCGCAGCGCCAGCAGCGCCAGCAGCCATCATGGCATTATTGGCCCCGGACCCATGCAGAGGAAGTCCGGTCTGGGAGGATTGCTCGTAGTTCTGGAAGGTGTACTGCGACGAGTTCTCGGGGCTGGAAGAGTGATGTTGGTGGCCAAGCATGTATCCTGCCGCTGCACCTGCCGCGGCAGCGCCAATGCCAGTGCCAACACCATATCCGGGTTTAGGAGGCTTGCTGGTACTAGATGCGCCGGGCGGCCGCGAGTATGAAGAAGACTGTTGTTGTTGGTATGCAGTCGTAGAGTGCTGGGACTGAATCTCTTCATAGGATGACATGGTATTACCCAAGCCATACCCGACAGCGCCGGCCGCTGCTGCCGCGGGAACTGCACCAGAGACAGAAGGCTTGCTGGGCTTTGAAGGCTTCGATGGGTTGGATGGCTTAGAAGGCTTAGACGGAATGGATTGCGACTCGACTGGGTTTGTGTCTGCAAAATACGCCGCGGCGGCACCGACCTGGCCCATACTGCTCGGCTCCGGCGGAGGATTGGAATTCGGCGATGCGGCCTGCAGGTGTGCTTGGCTGGGAGGGATCACCAGCGGTTCAGGCGGTCGCACACCGGGCTGATCTTGCACCGACTGTCCCTGGTCACCGTAATAGTCTGCGGCAGCGCCAGCAGGATTGGGAAGATATGGTTCCGCAATGACGGTCGGGAATTGGCCTGGGAATTGCTGTTGTACATGGGGGTCGTAGGGTGATGGCGTCGACTCGTGGGCAGGCGAGAAGGGCGCCGGCGGCATCCCACTGGCATACTGGCCGGGAAACTGCGAGAAGCCGGGCGCAGCGACGTCGGTGGCAAACTGCGCACCAGGGGCACTCGAGGGCATCGTGGGCATGTATAGGTCTCCAGACCGAGTGCGCCGACGCTCGCGACGGTCGCGCTTCTGATCATCGTCATCGTCGATTCTGTCATCGGTTCCTCGACTCCTCCGTTCACGGTCTCGCTCGCGGCTTTCTGAACGGTCGCGATCACGACGACGAGAGCTCTTGCTTTCCCGGTCACTGTCCCTGCGCTTGGGAGTGCGCTCGATTCGGCCGGGGTTGTCAGCGGACTCGGGCTTGGCGGATACGAAGGATGCGACGGAGTCGCTGGCGATGCTGGGGGCACCACGGCTCCTTCCTGAGGTCGACGGCTCGTACGAAGTCAAGTCGCCCAGGCCGCGATCACGGTCGTCACCCCGTGAGGACTTGCGGCTGTGTGCAGACTTGGACTGGGACTTGCGACGGCTGTTCTTGGAGCTGGTGGTGCTTTGGACGTCGGAGGACGACCGGCCCCCGCCCATGAGGGCTTTGAACATGGTGGGCAATAATTCACAGGGATGCCCAAATGGGAACGGCCACCATGTGGAGGAGGAATGTGGTGATTGAATTGGGGAGGGGAATCGGAATGTTAGAGATGAGGTTGGGGTGGGTTGTTATGGTTTGTTTGGGGGAGTAAACAACGGAGCTGAACCGTGGATCTTCTCTCGGAAGCCCCAGCGGAGACGGACTCGATCCTCGGTTGCCCGATCGATCAACCAACCTGGAATTTCGTTACCTTAGTAGGTAGTCCACCACAATTTAAGTTGAAAAATCGATAAATGCTGCGTTGTGCACGATGCAGACGGCAATGCAGCGAATGCAGAAGGAGGGAGAAAAAGAGGTGAGCGTCGAGCGAGTTCAGTGTGGAGCGAATCAAAGTCGCGGTGAGGCGGGTGCACGTGCCACGCCAGCGAAGAACTACAGATTCAGCGATTGCGAAATTACGCTGTACCTTAGGGAGTGATTTATGTAATTATTTGCACAATTTAGAAAGACGTTAATCCAACTGGACATTAACCCTTGATTGTAACAGCAGCTATAGGCCCAAATGTCGCACAATGCGTTGTTGAGTAACGGCTCGGCTGGGATTACTACAATCAATATACGAGTGCCTTACACTATTTAGTTCACTAGGTAAGTTAGTTAGTTATGTATGGTGTAAGCAATCCAGAACAATCAGACGAAACCCATATTTACAATCAACGACCAGTAATTCCAATACAATACCCTACCAAATAAAACAGACAAAAACAAAATGGTATCCAAAAACTCACCACTGCCACAGTGTCAGAGTGTCTCTGACATCACGACGCCCGCACCAGCTGCTCCAGCCGGCAGCGCAGGCCATGCTGGAGCCACAGTGGGTACCCGCGGAGACGATGACACAGATATCCCGCTGACCCCGGCAACACCACATTTCCACTCTCCCCCGTCAACACCTGCTGCACAATCCCCTCCGCCACCGTCTCCGGGTGCAAGAGCGGATTGAACCATGTGTCCTCCGGCGTCAACACCCCTATCAACGGCGTGCGCGTGAATCCCTGCGTCACCAGCACTGTCCGCACCCGTGGCGCCTGGTACCGAGTCACCAGCTCCGCGGCCAGGCCCTCGTGGAAGGCAATCGCCGCCGCCTTGGATGCAGAATAGTCGACCATGTTCGGGGTCACAGTGTACCCGGCTTGCGAAGCGACCGTCACGACCATCCCGTGGTTGGCGCTGATCATATCCGGCAGGAACTCCTGCGCCAGCCAGTAGTGCGCGAACGTGTTGACCTCGAACATGCGCCGGGTGGTGGACTCGGTCGTGCCGAGGATGGTTTTGCCCGTCAGGATACCCGCGTTGTTGATGAGGATGGTGGGGCGGCCGAACGAGGCGCGGATGGCATTTGCGACTTCCTTTATGTGAGCTGGTGAGGTGATGTCGCATTCGAAGTAGCGGACACTGTTGGGCAGGGTCTCGGTGGGCGGCGTGATGTCCAGAATTGCGACTTTGATGCCACGCTCGCCCAGCATTTGCGCGACTTTGTGGCCGATGCCGCCGCTACCGCCAGTTAGCAAAACAACTTCGCGGTTCCAGTCATAGTGGTCGAGCTGGCCGTTGTTGATGGCGCGGCGGTCGAGCCAGGTGCCGACTCGGCTGAGGACCGCGAGGGCGGCGAGGGTGCGCAGGGCTTTGAGGAGATGTGGGCGGGTTGAGATGAATTCACGGCCTTTGTCGGTGTATTGGGCGAGGGCCAGGAGGGGCACCATTTTCCAGGGACAGAGCAGAGTGCGCGAGATCAGCTTGCCCAGCACATCGGCCGTGAAGCCTAGCAGGAAAAGTTAGGATCCGGTCATCCGGTCATCTCCAGGCTGGTCGCATACCTTCTCGAGATGGCCATTTCTTCGCGGGCGATGCCATGATGACAGCACGTAAAATGAATTAGGATGAATGTAGGGTGTATTATTGCTGTGTGAGTCTCGGCGACACTGGCAGAAGACTAAGATGAAATGGCAAGGGACGGGATAAATAATGAGGCTGATGATCTGCAGCCGCATTCTGCGGGGAAGCCGAGGTCCGCGCACAAATATGCATTTGGTACTGCATTGCCCATGCCTTCTTATGTATACCTGAAGTAGAGATGATCGACTTGATACTCATTGCAGACATGACTGAAAATAACCTAGCGCTGACTGCATCTCGAGGGATGGAATGAATACTGTCATCGTATAGACATCTCTCAAAGCAACCATCGGCATACTTCACAGCCACTTCGAACCACACCAGTCTGTGAAAGAAGTTTGTCAAAGGAAAGTCAAATATCAAATATCTGCTTCGCAGAATGTCTTTGACAACTGTCAATTTTTGGAACGTTGGTTCTCGGAATCACTGTTCGTTCTTTATTCTCATCCCGGCTCTTCCGGTCCCTTTCTTTCCTCCATGCCTACAAGAAGACCAAATCAGAAGGAGGCGGAGCAAAGATTGCACCGATTTTCTTTTACTAAACATGTCTGTTGCTTCTAGTACCTGTGAGGATGAAAGGAACCTCGTGTCGCTGCTTGAGGTCGAGGACAAAGTATAAAGAGAACGAGCATTCAGTCTCAGCATGAGAATGAATCAGACAATTTTCTTTCCTAGTTTATCGTTTTGAGACCAAAAATCTATGTCTGTATCTTTATACCGATAAAAGCTGTTACAAAATGAGGGACGGTATTAAGAAACGCGTGAGAAATGCCTGGGAGCGGGTGCGCCGTCGTTCTTCCACCCCTGGCCCTGAACAAACACCCCCTCCTCCTCAAACCGCTCCTTCTGCTCCTCATCCTGCTCGACGGCCCTCCGGGGCAGCCCTCGCTCTCGCAGCTGGACTCAAAATTCCAGGAACAACATCAGTATGGTCTGGGAAGTTTGCCCCCGGTACGGGGACGCAGCAGCGGGCAACTGGAGCTCAACCGCAAGGAGCTGGAGCAGGACCACCTACCATATCAGTCAAGCTCCCGCAAACAGCAACGCTGCAGTCCATGGTGGGACTCACCCCTACTCAGGCGACCACCCTGGCCGGACATATCCAGATCGATCCGACGGGCACCGGACCTGCGTCGGGACCAACACCTCCCATTGTTCCTCGACAGCAAAAGTATCCCTCATTCCAATGGAAGGGAGAACTGAGACGACGGTGGATAGATGATCCTGCCGTCGATGGATGCACGATTGACCACACGTACTTGGACTACGTCGAGCTCGATCGGAACTATACGCTCCAATACCCGATCCGTAGAAACCTGACCGAAGACTTCCGCGACACAGTGCAACACGAGGGCCTCGTCAATGAATTCGACAATCCACCAGCTGACCCCAACAATTCCGTCTATCAAACGCACATCCGCCGGCACCAGCTGATGAACTTCGACATCACCACCGGCCCCGGCATCATTGTCGTGAATGGCATCTGGCGCGAGCCCTATTCCCAAGCACCATGGGGCTACGAGATTCTCCTCGCTCTCTACGAGCGAGACTACGACATAATGACTCTGAGGTTCATCTTCATGAACGTAACCAGCGGCGAAACGCTCGACTTCGTCCGCGACCACGTCTACACCCCCATCAACAACCTCAGATGGCCCGACCCCGACTACGTCGAATTCGCCCACGGAACCCAAGACTACGACGCCTGTCTCGGCAGCAAGCTAGGAAAGCTCGCAGCCTGCACCGTGCTAGCCGGTTTCGTGCGCGGCACTCACCAAATCAGCCGTATCCTCTGCTGGCCCAGCTCCGTCGGCTCAGGCAATGACACCATGCCAATCCTGCGCTTCGACATCGTCGAACAAGGCCCGAACCCCAGACGACGACCCACCCGACGAGTCGCGCAAGCCGGCGGCCAAGCCAACATCCAGATCCCTTGGGAAGTCTCCATGCAGTATCCAATGCACTTTGGCAAGCTCCAAAGCGACGGCCTGCGATATCGCGAATGGATCGAAGACCCATCAGCCCCGGGCTGCATAGTCCAACCAACCGATCTAACCTTCGACGCCTTCATCACAACACGCCCCTTAAAAGGTCCCGCTCGCGCCCGCTTGCCAGAGACCTACCGGAGCCAGCTCCACGGCATGAGCGCCGCACAAGGCCACGACCTACCCACCTACAAATCCCCATACCGCTACTTCAACATCTCATTACCGGACATAGTCTGGATAGGATATATCGGTCCTGGCGTGATCTTCATGCGCAACCTCCTGCGCCGTAGCCACGCGCCTCACATATCCGCCGTCTCGCATGCATTCTATAATCGCAATTTCGACCACATGACCCATAAATACCAGCTGAGGCATTTGATGTTTACAGATATCAACGAGATCTGGACGTGGCGGTTCTGTCGCGAGATTCTGTATCCGGATAATGGGTGGGCTTGGGATGACGATGCGCCGCAGGGTGTGCGGAGAAAGTTTAATCGAGGAGGTCGGAATTTCGATGCCTTGCTCGGAACCTCCATTGGCAAGATTGCCGCTGCGACGGTCTTGAGCATGTATCCGCGAGGTGTGAAGCCGATTACTGCTATTTATATTTGGCCGACGAATGGGGTTGGGCCTGGGCCGGTGATGGGTCCCTCGCCGCGGGGTTTGTCGTTGACGATGCGGTTTGATATCCAACAGGTAGGGCCAGGGACTCCTGGATTTACTTAGACGTGGTTTTCTTGTTTGGACTGGGGTTATATTTGCAGATTGATTATTATCTTGTTTCTGAGATTTTGTTTTGTGTCGTCTTGATTAAAGCAATGGTGTTGAGCACATGCCGTTCTTGGATTGCAGAATAAGGTTGCCGAAAAGTAAATTTTAACTACACTGCCATAAGATTTCACTACAAACTATTGAGACTGCTGCAGTAGGTTGCCTGCAGTTGCAGCCCTCAAGTAGCCTTGCTGACATTCGCGCAGAAGCAGTCGGTAAGAACTCCAGATGATCACCATTACCCCCTCTCTACCGGCATGTATGCCCCCCAGACGCAAAACTGGCACAAATCGCCAAGCTAAGCTTGCTTGACACAAGACAAAGCGCAACTGCAATTGAATGAGTAATGATGGTATGTGACCCGTCCCATCCCTCAATCCCAGAGTTTGACTGGGACTGTACAAAGTTATAATCGCTGACAGGCAATCTCGACTATACATTCGCAATGTATTTCTATCTTCGCTATTCCTAACAATATGCTTCGATCACCCTGCCTCAATACTTACCAGCCCATCCATCAATCTGGAATGCTGATGCGGCCGTTACGTGGCCGTGCATGCCCTCCGATGATTGGATGTATCCCCTGGATATAACAGCCGGGCCACTGAGGCTCATGCATCTCAGCAGACATGATCCCTGTCAACTCAATCCTGCAATTATAGTTATCTACTAATCGCATAAAAAAGAGTGAAAACCCCCCATCACGTAAAAACCACCCATAATGTGATATCATTCCCAAAGGAATCGGAGCCAAGTTCCATCCGATCCTCTACCTCCACTCAGGGTCTTGGTGGAACCCGAGAATGAGATCACCAAACGACGACCCAAAAGGAAAAAGCAGAAATTGGCCCGATGGATCAGCGCTCACAGCAAGAAAAAAGCAAAGACAGACTCGGTCTCGAATCGACTCGACTCGCGTGAACCACTAGTGGCTATGGTGCGGGGCTTGGCCAATTCCTGTTTTTCATTGCGATCAGCTGGCGAGTTGCCTATCCGCGTGGAACGATTGGGAGAACCCCGTTTGTAGGCAAAATTGGGAACTGCTGACCGCCCGATAGCGGTGGACAACACATGGCAGGAAATCGGCGCTGGCCCTAGCAACCACCACACGCTAGCACGCGCCTAGCAACACTACTGCGTGGTGACTACCGTCTGTACGACCGAGCACTCCTAGGCAGTCGTGTTGGGAGTGAGCAATTATTCTACAGGACTCTCATGTAAGTTGGTAAGTAAGTGGGTGTACCTGGATGCCCCTGAAAAATCTATCGCAGAGCCGTGGTTTTCGTCGCAACAGCACATCTCAACCAGGGATTGCGTCAAGGCTGTTTCACCTTATCGAGATCCCATTTGTCTATTGGACCTGCCCCAGCGCAAGATCTGGCCATGCATTTATCAGCGCCCCGCCCTCTCGTGGCGCGCACGCATCGGGGCTCCTGCGCAACAAGCTTTGGCGTGCTAGTGCCTGATGGGTGTGAGAGGCATCGGTGTTTAATTCGATAGCGCACATTTCCAATTCTACCTTTCCGGATCCATGATTTTCTTTTTCTTTTTCGATTGCCTTGTATTAGCTTGGCTCCGCTTTGTCCAGCTAGGCTCCGTAGAGGGAAGATATAGGCAGGACTGATCTCGTCGCTGTCGCGATCCGATGCCATTTCCCACCACCGCCGCCAACTTCTGAGCACCAATTGTTGTCAACATGCGGCCGGCGCAATCCATCCTCTTCGTCGGCCTAGCGCCGCTCGCGCGCGCACTTGCGCCGCGCACGGAGATCGCCGACTCCTACGATTTCGTCGTCATCGGCGGTGGCCAGGCCGGTCTCGTAGTTGGGGGGCGTTTGGCCGAGGATACTAATCACACTGTGCTGGTCCTGGAATCCGGCGGAAATGGCGACGATTACAGGAATCGAATTGGTCGGACTTTTCTTCTGTCTGTATTCACGCGCACACTAACATTCGACCTAGATACTCCCGCATACTCCTACTTCGACTCATTGTGGACAACCCCACTGAACTGGGGCTACTACACCGTCTCCCAGCCCAACGCAAATGATCGCGAAATTTACTGGCCGCGCGGAAAAGTGCTCGGCGGCTCGTCCGCCATCAATGGCTTGTACATGACGCGTCCCGGCGAGGACGAGATTAATGCCTGGCAGTCCCTGCTGGACGGTATGGAAGGCGCAGAGAATTGGGGATGGGATTCGTTTTACGCCGCTATGAAGAAGAGCGAGACCTTTTCCCCACCGACGGATGAAATGAAGGATCAGGCGGAGATTACTTGGGACGCGGCGACGCATGGGAGCTCGGGTCCTATTCATGCTTCGTATCCTGGATTGTACCACCCCCACAGAGAGAGAGAAAGAATTGCGCTAATTGATGTCTAGTACATTCGACCAGGTCGGCGAGTGGTCCGAAGCTTGCGATAACATCGGCATCGGTGTCTCTGACGAAATGTACGGCGGTTCACCCTGGGGCGCCGAAGTCTCGACCTCCTGTATCAACCCCTCCAATTGGACGCGCTCCTACAGTCGGACTGGATATCTGGACCCGATGCCTGATCGCGGGAATTACGACGTCCTGTCTGATGCCCATGTTACGCGCATTCTGTTCGCGAGTGACTCGAATCTGACTGCTAATGCCGTCGAGTATACCCCCGACGACGGCACGACGAAGAAGACTGTCAATGTGACCAAGGAAGTTATTCTCGCTGCTGGGTCGGTGGGAAGTCCGGCCGTGTTGCTTCACAGTGGTGTTGGACCGAATGATGTGCTGGAAAGTGCAGGAGTTGATCTTGTGCATGAGCTTCCGGGTGTTGGGCAGCATTTGCAGGATCATTTTGTGAGTTTCCCCTCTTCTATTTTCCCAGAGCTCAACTAACCGGTATACAGAGCGCAACAGTGAAATGGACCACGAATGTCGAAACAGCCGGCTCAATCTTCTACGACAACGGCAGTGAACGAGTATGAAACCCTATCCCAATTTCTTGCCCATCACCATCTAAAAACGTACAGAACAATCCCCTCTTCCTCACATACATCGACTCAGCAATCGCCTACGTCAACTCAACCTACCTCTACGGCTCCGAATTATCCTCAACACTGGACACAATCACCTCCCAAATCAACTCTTCCCTCCCAAACTCAACCTATTCCTCCGTCATCGACGGCTACAGAGCAATCTACAACACAACCACGAGCATCTTCAACAGTCCAACCGGCCTAATAGAGCTCCTCTTCATGAACAGCGACGGAAACGGCAACGTCGGCATCACAGCTGCATTGCAGCACCCATACAGTCACGGAAGAATCTACATCAACTCTTCAGACCCCATGGACTACCCCGTCATCGACCCGAACTACCTTGCCAACTCAGCTGGTACCTCTCTCTTCCCCAGACCATAAAAGCAAAACTAATTCTCTTACAGACACATCCCTCCTAGCAAAAGGCCTCCGCCTAGCCCGCAGCCTGGGCCAAACAACCCCCCTCTCCTCAAACCTAACCGGTGAAATCTCACCAGGCGACAGCACAATCTCCGACTCCGACTGGGAAGACTGGCTAAAAGACAACGCGGGCACAGAATACCATCCCTCCTCCTCCTGCGCCATGCTCCCCGAATCGCTCGGCGGCGTCGTAGACGCAACCCTGCGCGTCTACGGACTGAAGAACGTCCGCGTCGCGGACGCGAGTGTTCCCCCCATCGCGCTCTCAACGCACCTCATGGCTTCCACATACGGCGTTGCGGAGATCGCGGCGGCTGTTGTGCGGGAGTATTGGAATCAGGGTGGGGATGTTGCGTTTAGTTCCGCTTCGGCGAGTGTTACGGGGTCTTCTGGGAGTTCTGCCGCTACGAGTGCGCCTGTTAAGGGGGTTGATAAGAGTGGTGCGGGCAGGGTGGGGACCGGGTTTTGGTGGTTGGGGTTTTTGAGTATTTTTGTGTTGCTCAAGGTAAGGTAAACTGGTATTGTGTGAGCGGTTATTATACACTGTACGTACTCATGAATAACGACAATGATCGAGATGATCTGTGAATGGACCTTGGATAGAAGTTGTGTTTAATTGTACAGGTACATAGAATAATACAATCTACCGCAGTCAAGTTCAAGGAGCATATGAGGTGGATCAAGATTAAATGGAAGACGAGAAAAACTTAAGCCTGAATTTTAACACTGAAGTGACTTCAAGTGTAAAGGCTGGACAAGCTTACCCGGGGTAAGCTTGAAATGATGACTCTCAAAGTCAGACGAACTCGAGATTAAATTGATCTGATGAGATAGTAATCGCAGATCGCCTCAGTGTTCACAGGACATGGATGTAATCGCAAAAGCACTTAGGTAACCACCAAACTCAAATGCAACCCATTTAGTAAACAAACAATTGCAAAGGGTCAATGGCCCTGGGTAAATGAGGTAAAGTAAATGAAAAGTGGGTTTATCATGCAAAATCGCTAACCCTACCTTAATGAACACAGAAAGGAAGTTGACTCCGTAGTTAATCCGGTACATAAGATAGACCGTTGATCACAATGCAATTTCAATAAACGTCGTACAGTCACCGCCCCATCTCTTGAAGAGATGGAGGCAGAGGTGTGTGACGGAAATCCAAATCCAAACCCAACCTAAATCAAATGCCATTCGCCGGGTAAACACCGGGTAAATCTTTTCACCGTATGGGGATATCATATCGTTGGACAAGGCAGAGGCCAAACAGATTTCACAAAATTCGAGACGCTAAGGGCTAAGGAGAATCAGGGGAATCCAGGTTGGGGGAGTGGTGGAATATCTTCATGAAGATCTCGGTGAGGATTCGGGCGTCGGCGCGGAGAGTCGGGGAGATATGTTCACTGCGAATGAGGAAGCGAATGGTTCGCTTCAGGAGGCGTTTCAGAATGTCGCGGTCGACTAGTTCGGACAAGCTGGACATGTATGTGGCAGAGAGGACAAGAAGGTTACCGAATTGGCTGGGATATTGTTAGGGAGAGGTTGGGATGAAGAGGGAAAGAAGTCTTACGCATGAGCTGTACCGAAGATATTGGTCACCACCAATCGGCTGTTCTCGTTCTTCGAACCATATTCCGTCTTGGAACTCTGACTGAAGTCCCGGTCCATGACGAACTGATCTTCCATCCGGGCTCCTCCGAGAGGATCATGCGCACTGCGATATGGCTCTTCAGTGTAAGGGTTAGTCATCGCAGAGAAAGGGTCCTCGATTCCATCGAACGCTTGTGTACTAAGGATGGCCGAGTCAACGCAGACTTTGCATGCACGGCGCAGTTTGGAAGGCAAATCTCGCAAATTGACGACAGGCGGCGTCCACCCGTTCGGGAACGCCGCTGCGGGGTTACTCGACACCGTCCCGATATCGCTGATCATCCGTGTCATATTTGGTGCTCGATGAGATGTATTCGTCATGGAGGGAGACATTTGTTGGGAGTTGGTCACGGAGCTAGTGGGCGAATCCACAGCTGGCGGCTTCGCAGAAACACGCGCGCCAGACCCGCCATAGTGCAGAGCATGGTATAGGAGAGGACGGTGGATAATGTATCGAGCGCCGTAGTATTTGGCACGCATTCGGGCAGAGTTGATGTCTTCTGCTGGAGGGTCTTCATCTTTCCAGTTCATCACATCAGGAAGACTGTTTCGCCAGAGATCGAGATTCTGACTGAGCGCCTCCTGCACACTAGACGACCACCGTGCTTGTCCTTGCTTGGACACTTTGTATAAATCGGTATGCACGCGATTGAGAACTTTCCGCAAATGGATCTGGGAGGAGTAGAAAAGCATCATTCGCACACGTGGATCGTCGAAGTTATTCGGTAGCGGGATGGTCCATCGTCCCTTGGGAAGGGCGATGAGTCCTTCTGAGCGGGAGATACCACTAGCAGGAATATCCAACTCGGCGAGAAGATCACTCTCGAGTTGCAGGCAAGTCCAGTATGCGAAGTTATCTAGATCTTGCGCAGGACCTCCGCCTTGGGCCGCAAGCGCCTTGTACTCCTTCGAGGCGACGAGTACTTGGCACGCCCACGCGGCTTTGTGAATGTGACTGTGACTGGAGAAGGGGTGCGCAAGTTGACCTGCATAGAGACCCGCAAGCAAGTTCGCTTGAACATGCTGCAGATGGATGCCAGAATGCAAGAATGCCAGAATCTGAATAGCATAGCCATATAAGGCGAGACCCGGGATGACCTTGTAGTTCTTTGGCCGTTGATCCGTATCAGGAGTTGGTCGAGGGACGGGTACAATAGGTTTCGGCGATTTCTCTCTTCCGTTCTCGATTTTCGCCGATGGAAAAGACTGGCTCGCATTATCAAAAGGAGGGGGAGGGGGAGGTTGAGAGTAGTAGGAGTGTGAGTGTGAAGGTAGAGCCGAATCCGAGTTGGCGGGAGATGGGAAACCATTCGCAGGGTGCATTGGTGGTTCTGGAACCGGCACGGGCGGTGCAGGTGGACCGGGAATGTGTTGCTCCAGGTAGTTTGGTCGCTTGGCCATCACCGGGCCTGGGAGGGCGGATTTGGTCTCGCAGATTGCACCTAGAGCAAGAACCAGAAGGATTATAGCATTGTCGATATTCAGACCCACGGGTGGCCGGGGCCATCCGTCTCGACCGCTACCATCCACGTCCTCCGCTGAGCGTTTGCGCTTCTTATCGCGACAAAATGAGAGTGAATCGACAGAGCAGTAGCAATCGATGAAAGTCGCAATCTTGGACTCGAGCTCTTGTTGGTGCAGGAAAGGATGGAGCTGATGAATATGTTTGATATAGCTCGCTGCATACTGCCTGACGGTTTTCTTACCCAGCCGGAATATCCCCATTCGAGAAATTTCGGCATCGTCGTCTTGGAGAGCCAAGCCCGCCCAGCTCCCCAGATCAGGGTCTGCCGCCGTATTCGTAACACCTGATGATTTGGGAGTGCTGTGATCGCCGCTTTGAGATTTGACTTCCTTTGGCTGCCACCCCGGGAGGAATGAACCGTCCGCTGAGAAGGAGTTTTCGCCTCGGCCAAAAATACTGGTCACACCACGTTTCCCCTCCACAGCCATCACATAGTCCTTATCATAATCCTGTGGGCTCAGTAGCTTCTTGATGGCCGGCCACATGAGAAGCTTGTGTGCTGCGGTCGTATGTTCCAACGGAATCGATAGTTCACCCTCATTATCATCCTTCAATGCCGGGTCATCAAAGCTGACTGCCGCTGGATCCAACCTTTGCTGTGACCCATAGGGACTTCGATCAACTGGTGCATCCATCTGCGAAGGAAGAGCGGGCGCTTCCATTTTCATCGGTATGTCCCGCGGGGGGTGGAGGCGCGATGGCGCCCTGGCTCAGACGGCTCTTGTCGGTGGTTGACAGGCTACTTTGCTGCGCCGCAAGAATATGTGTCAGTTGGTTGGTGTTGTGCTCTTGAGCGTTGAGCATGCGCCTGAGGTCTTGGAGGACCTCGTCTTTGAAATGCATGAGTGAGGTCAAAATCGGTTGAATCGACTTTTCTTGTCTGAGTTGGAGGATTAGTTCATCGTCTGATGATGGTGGAGAGCTGAGTCCGGACGAACTTATGAGTGGGGATCTCCTTATAAACACATTTCAGACCGTTTTCTTTACAGTGGCTACATTCCGGTCGACCTTCGTCGCATTTCGCCTTCCTGGTTCGACACTGATCGCAAGCCTATAGGGTGGAGATTAGGCTCGTCCTTTTTCATTTTCTGACAAAGTAGAACTTACTTGTTGCGCTCTGGCCGCCTTGCGCGCCCGATGTCCATAGGCAGGGTTCTGATAGAACTCCGGTCCATACGGCGGGGGCGGGGAGCCCCCGCGGACATCGGTGCAGGCGACCAGTGCGATGGCCCCGGCAACGGACCTGATGTAGGTGTTGTTTCGCCTGTACCGGGCGGTTCTGGCGGTTGATAACCGATGGACGGGCGGTATTCTGGCGGGGCGGAATGCGGCGAGGTCTCGTGCGGACTTGGGACTGGCCTTGGACCTGGTACCGGTCCTGGTCCCGGTCCTCCATTTATTGGCGGATTTATTGTCGGACGGTATCCAGGATGTGCTGCGGCGTGCGGGTCGGGAATTGGCGGCGGCCCTGATCCTGGCAAACTAGCCGTGCGACTATACGACCCGTCGATGTGGTGGAGGTGTGCCAGTTCGCGGCCGGGCATGGCGGCGTAGTTGGGCGGGGGCAGGGTCGCCACGGCCTGAGTCGAGGACGGCCGGCGATCCTCGAAATGCGAGTGCGGCGCATATGGGGGTCGCCAGGCGGGTGGTGGTTCGTAGCCTCCATGCGTACCGGGGGGCAGCTGATGCCCCTCAGGATGTGGCATGCGACTCATCGGTGGGAGCAGTCCGCGTCGGATGGGAGTGTTCTCGAGATCTGGACCGTCAGCGTGGTTCAGCGGGGGGCGGGTGAGGCGCGTCAATATACCGATGAGAAGCTATATAGCTAGGACAGAAAAAGGGCCCGGAGCTTAAATGGACATGGCGAGGTCGCGGCGGGATTCGAAGGAAAAAGGAACCGCAACCACAGTTGGGGGCGAGCAGGGAACGGCGCACCGGAGGAATCTCGTGCGAGGGCGCGCGATGAAGATGGGGGAGGAGCAGAGGTGAGGTGTAGCCACAAAAATGAGCCAGCGGACGCGCAGATGGGGAGGGGGGAAAGCTCTTTTTCGAGAGAGTGGAGCGACTGGAACAAAGAAATAATCAGATCAGGCGAAGATCGGACCGGGGGCCCATGTCGTGGTGAAGCGTGGAGGCAGTCTCAAGAGGGAGGCCGTGAGCAGACTAGGCGAAGAACGCCGATCGGGCCGTGGGATCAGATAGATCGTGCAAAGGAGTGACTGGTCGATGGAGGGGAAGTACCCAAGGACTGGCAGGTGCTCGGGGTATGGACGGTATGGTGTATGGTGTATGGTATGGCAGATATGGCAGGTGGTGTATTGTACCCGCGGGTATGGTATGGTACGGAGCCCGTATTGCTTACGTACCTGGGAACTACTTGCTCACGTATACAGTAGTAGTAGTGGAAGAGTGCTGAGTACGCGAACTGGGTTCGTCAGACTGAGACTAGCTGAAGGTCCAGCCTGCCGGGTCAAGAGGTACCAGAGAGCTGGGTCAGGAAAAGGACGAGAAGCGAGGGCGCGGGAATATAACTGGGGCGAGGGAAAGGAGGGGAGTGTTCGGATCACGCCCAGGATCGACACCCCCCGAAACTATCAGCTGTTTGCCCCTCCCTTGATGAGTCTGCTCCAGTTGACAGGTCCGTTTCCTTTCTTTTGTGGAATGACACGCGGTGGGTCAACGCCAGCCACATGAGTACATTTTGCTGGCACTACTGTATTAGGTTACCAGTGATGTTTACTATGGAAATCCTAGATCCCTGCCAGTGCTTCGAAGAGACCCTTATTACTCTTTGTATTATCTTGTAACTTATTATCTATACAGGCAATATTAATAAGCATGCTCAAATCGCATGCAGCTAGATCTCAGACACCGATCCGACGCGTCAATAACACCAGATCTGGTGTATACACTGCGCATGTCGAACATCGAACATCCGCCTCGCTTGCAAGGGGCGGCACACCTGGCCAAACTCTGTTCTCCCACCGCCGTGGATCCCACACGGAAGCCAACTCTCCAGATCGGCGTTCGAGAAGACGGAATTGCCCTCCCGCGGAAAGGGTACTCCCAGAAGTCTGGTCGACCGGTAGATCAACGGTGGTTGACCCGGAGGAGTGGTATAGCCTTGCGAGCGTACCTTGGGATGTAGTTTCCTCCCAAGGTGTACATACTCCCAAGAGTTGAGGGTTCGACCCCCATCTATATCGGGATGTTTACTGTGGTGCTGGGTATTGTCACCCGCTTACGCGGTTAAGGGACACCCGTCGCCGCCCATGGAACGAGCGCGGGAATAGCCAGCTCCACCAGATGCTGGTGGACCGAATTTGAGTCGGGCGAACGGATTCTGGTATAGAGTAAACAATGAGGTCAGCTCCGAGAGATCCGCATGATGCGCGGAGCAACACCCAATATCTCGTCGCAAATCCAAAAAGGCTCGATACGCATGGAAAAAGCTAATGAGACTTTCGTCAAGGAAGGTACATTGTACATTGGAAGTACCCAGCCATCCATGACTTCATCGGATCCAGTGTCTCCCCCCAAAGTCGCCCATTGGCGCCCACCGGACGAATGATATCAGCCTGCCACGCTAATGTGCGAATGAGTACACGAATGCCCCCCATTCCAGAAAAACCTGCCGAGCACACCGCTGAGATCCTCGGCACATTCTCCTCCGACTCCCAGTGTCTCTCGCCCTCTGGTCGTACAAATCACTCGGGAGGTATGAGCATAATAATTTGCTTCTTTTGACCGTTGCCTGGTGGTGTGCGCGCGGCTGGTTACCGTACAATAGCTCGGTCCCGGGCCGTCGCGGGCGCAGCTGGTGGACGCGACCGAAAGTGAGAATATCAATTCATTCATCACTCATACCAAATTAAATTAAGTGGTAAGTGGGCAATTAGTAGACTAGATTCATGCGTGCATTTGGAATTGTTAGATCTATACTCCCATCCAAACGGTCGCGGTCATGTGAGCCGCGGCTCTGATTGGATCCCCTCTCTTTGCCACAAGGGACTCACTTCCTCTTCAATCTTTGCGTCTGCTGAGTTTGACCAGGAACAATCGACTAGATGAAACACGCGAGTTCGCCATCCCGTTCCCACCCCGATTATAGGTCCCGGTTGAGCGCAGTCTGCCCGATATGAATCGGTTGGGCATCCAACAACCGCCGGTCTTGACCTAACCCAAGCCCCAGGATAGGGAAAGGTGGCTGATCTGATCTGGCCATATTGGCAACCCAACCAACTTCCCGCCTTTTACCAGGAGGTCGGACTAGACCTCAATTCGCTCACCTCGACCTTGATGAAGGAATGGATTCGAAACCCGCCCGGGCGGGTCGCCTGTAAACTCGCGTTTGCAGTGCGAGGAGGGCGAGATGGCCCTGCCAGAGCGCCCGTGGATCTAACCAAACCAAGTGAATCGCATCGAATGGCCATTCAATTTCATACGCATGACAGGCTAGGCGGATTAGGCACAGGATTCTAGTGACGATAGAGTTTGTGTTGACTGGTTCCTGCTGCAAGGGGGGATCTAAAGAAAACATGACCAAACAGTCTGGCTTGCTGCTCTGCTCGGCTCGGCTCTTGACAACAACTGCTCGGTGCTGTGCATGGGTTGAATCATCCAGTCTGATAGCGCGTCGCATACCTCGGCCGCGTCTATTATCTCGCTGTCCCATAGCTCGACGTACTTGAAAGTGTTCATCGTGGACGACGACCATTCGATCGTGAATGCGAACCCCAGAATCCAGATATGCACGACACCTCCCCGCCATCCAATAAAAGCCAATTGTGGAGTTCACGAGACTAGTGGAATGTCCTACCTGGAGAAGATGATCTTCCCCTGGAATCTCAGCATTTCAATTTCATGTTCATTTTCCCATCATCAGCATATCGCATGAGAGCTCCCTACAGCCCCTAGAGCCCCGATAGCGTACAATTCCATTTCTCTGCTTCGGGTGGTATTTGCGAAATCACGGACTTGACTTGCATTTTCCAGTATTTCCGGCAGGTCTCAGTCCTAGCGTCTGCCCAAGACAGAGGTGCGAGAGATCTGCGAGCCGATGCGGCTGTGGCGGGTGCAGATTCCACGGTCGCATTGAATGCTCAAGAAGGGTCTCCGGTAGGAAAGGGAATTATAATCCGCGGAGGTTGAGGATGATGTCTGACAAATTGTTGTATTGTCAATAGAGGAGGGGATGATCTGGAATGCGCGGAGATGAGGCTGGTCAATACCAACAGCTGCTGGTAGCTACTACTGGATGTAGGACTGGTGGATCACGACCATCTTTCCCCCTTTTCAGAAATCACAAATTCAACATATTCCATGCATATCAATCTCGTCCGAAAGGAATCCTGTCGGTATCTCAGCTCGCTTTCCATGTGTACCATACGTTGTGCTCTGTCGGAATGCTGGGGATGGATACTACCCACTGGTAAAAATGAATGGCAATGGTAATAATAGCACTGACATCGGCATGGGACACATCCTTCAGACCCTCCAGAGTACCTCTAGGCCATCGCATGTCGTCTCGAAAAGAGAGGTATTCGCGTCTGGCGGACAAATGTACCGAGAGCAACGATTTATCAGCGATGGAGTTCGCTGATTCGCGCGTGCGAGCCGATCGGCTGCGCGGCCGAGCTGAAAATAGGAACTCTGATCTCGCAAAGCGCGGCGCCCCAGTTCTGCAATGGCAGCGGGATTGGCCGTGCAAGCGTCTGTGGCCTTGGATCTGAACCCCTGGTCTGTCCATTGGCCAGTCCACTGGTCAGTGTTGGTTTGGACATAATCTGGTCCGAGCTGGAGCGTGGGCTATTGCCGGTGGGTTCCCGCGCAACAACCCGAACTACATCTTCCACAACATTTGTGTACAGCGTACTGTACATGAGCAGAGAAATACCAGAAAGTACGTACAGTACTCGTTTCATACACACGAGTCGCGCGCAAAGGTGGAGTGGTATTCGGAGTGACCGAAATACCCTTTCATTTCACCCCACATGAAAATGTGATCTATACACGTCGCACAGCGCAGGAACACGCGCCCCCTCTGGCCGCGCTCGTCTCTGCGGTATTTCCCTCGCCACTCGCGAAACTGATACGTCGCACGAGACCGATATGACACCCGCAAGACCAGCTGTCACTGTCGCTGTCGCTGTCACTGTCTTGATTGTGACTCGTACGTACTGACATACAAGCCTGGCATCCCCACGTGGACCCAGTCCCATGTGGTTCTGTGCAGTTCTTCACAAGAGGCTCTGTCACGATCGACCGATACGAGCGCGGTCTTTACTCTGGAAATGCTAGTCCGGTCAGAGGGTTCAATCCGATCCTCCATCCCTCCTATACTCGAGCTGGGCCAAGTCTGGAATTGATCATTGCTTCTCCAGCCTTGTACATCAGACTTTGGCATCGAGAGCTCCTTACGCTGCATTCGTGTTGCCTCCCCGCCCCAAGGGGGAAAGATGCAAACAAACATTGAAATCGTCAAGCCTCGCAGGAACGGTTGGTCTGTTCATGTATGCAAGGGAAATCAGGAATACCCTGATTGCGACCGCTCCCAACTCAATCGGGGATCTTGCAGATGCTTCCCTGCATTGTATCAACACCCTGGGCCATCCCGTATGGGAGATGTGCAGCGCAACAGGTCGGCGGGATCGAAATGGTCAGACTCGCATCTACCAAAGAAGTCTATTTTGTGGATGTGTGCTGTTCTGCTCAGCCTTCCACATCTACACCGATTCTTTTTCCTTCCAGAGAGTGGTAGCGGAGCGTCGAGTCCCGCATCTGCCGATGTGGGGGTTGTGAAAGTCAAACTCGGCCATCCTCCACTGCGACTGATTTAGGGCCCTGCTAGGTGATGGTGCTTGTACTTTTCTGGTGTAGACCAGGCCCAAATCCCGTCCCTCGGGAACTCTACAGATGATTCACGCAAGTCATTGGGGCTGCATCGCCGAAAAGAGCATCCTGCATTGAATCCGGTCATTTGGATTTTGCATCGCAGCTCACTTGCTTCGTAGTATCGTCTGTGGTTTCACTCCCACATATTTTGATTTCATATGTCCTGAAGTGAGTGTTTGTTTGGAGTACCCGCGCAGGAAGGGATAAGCGAAAAAAGCTCAAAGCGCGGGATGGAGATGCAAAAGTACGAAATTATCCCGTTGGCTTTTCCCGAGGTCCCCGGCAATTCTGCGAAAGCGATCGAATCTCGAAATTTTATTAGGTTTTGAGGCACTCCATCAGGAAAGCACTACGTACGTGGGTTTGAATCTGTCGAGTTACAAGACGGATGAAGTGCCGTACTTGGAAGTTCATTGGATGCGACGGAGGTGCGAGCACAGTCGATCATCCCTTAATCGTAGAGTCTACGAGTCATAGCATTGACTATTGATTTGATCTTGTCTTGCCACTTTCTCGCTATGCTCTGTAAAGAAGCCTCTGCGGCGAACAATCGCTTCGATTCCAAACTGAGCTGATTGCTACCAGCCGAATTCGGCAATTACCAGTAGTTCATAGTATGTGGGTGCGTGATGAATGTGCATGAACCGACACCTGGCAGGAAACGGGTATTGGCATCGGCTTACAACAATCACATAGAACCGTTAATGCGACAAACGGGATGTAGTCAGGTGGTATGTTCAGGCAGAAACCAGGGTGTGGGCTGGTCGAATAAATGAGATGAAATGGTAGCCCAGAAAAAGCAAGTTGTTGAATGCGATACGATCCTGGTATCTACCAGGAGATAGCTTGGTATAATCTTGATATTGAAATGTTTGTTCTTCAGATTACTCGATTTTAACGCTTGCATTCGATGTTTGTCGGAGATTCGGGTGTTGCAGTATGCTTTCTTCAGAAATATATTCGCAAGCGCTGTAACCCGATGTATATATTTCCGCTTCGGTCCTTCGGCTTCACATCCTATCAAGCAAACAGGTGCTTCAATCACCAGCTGATCGCATTCTCTACTACCACACAGCAGCATCAAAAGCAACCAGATACTCCTCAGATTGCAATAGCACGAACCGCAAATTCTACAATTCCTCCCCAACTCCTCCACCAGCACCTTGTCCACACTTTTGCATGGATGTAAGGATGTAGCGTGTGATCAAGAACACAAGAACAATCCCTCACAGCCAGCCCACGCTAGTTGAGATCACAATACATCCCAGGTGGCTGCAGCAACCAACGATCTCCACGGCCGTCGCCTAACCGATCGCCTCTACATGCGCCCGCCTCGGCAAGCATCAGACTGCAGCAACTCCGCACCAGCGAGACATCATGATGTACACCTGCATCGCGAGACTTGCGCAAAACAGGGAATGCAGACCGCCCCGATAAGCGAACCCCGTATGCTGGAAAGTTACGGGGAGAGAAATCAACCCCAGCCCGGAGGTGGGGCATGTTGCAGCAGCGATCCGACTTCACTTTGTCTTGTCTGGAATGGAATCATGTCCGCTATGCACAGTGCTGGGGATGAAATTAGTGTGTGTATGGGAGGTCACCTTCGTTTGGAAATGCTCATCTTATTCTGGAGCGTCATTGATCATGGTGGAAACATCAAAGAATCAAAACGTGATCGCTCGGAAAATAATCGCCGCTGGGGCCCGCGCAAAACGTGAACTAAACTAGCCCCCATTTCTCCCCCAATCCACGCTCTCCCCACCGGACCTCCTTTTGCGTGAAGAGCCCGGAATGCGATTCATCACATCGGCTCTCCGCGAGTCCCAGGCCTGGAATACTTCTTTCGCAATCTTCTTGATTCTAAGATCATTCGCGATCTCCATTCTTCGTTGGTCCGAATACCTCCGCGGGTGGCTGGAAGGTTTGGATGGCGAGGGGCTGGGCGTGTGAGAGCTTGTTCACGTTCGATCGGAGGAGACTCGAGTGTTGTGACTGATTGGGTGGTTATTGGGGGATCGAAAACACTTCGTCTGCGATGATGCGCTCTCTCCCCTTTCCCTCTGGACTCACCAGCGGAGTTCCCAGAGTACTGAGGTAGGCATCCAACGAAGGAAGGATGGATGGATGGGGGCGGAACTTTTGTCGACGCTAGCAGAGGTTGAAATACGGGGCTGTCTTGGGTTGTATGCGATTGTCTCATCGGTATCTTTGTGTACGAAGTGCTGTAAGTGTTACGTGTAAGGGTCAAAAGCACTGTATTCAGGAATTGTTGATTTGTCTAAGATCGTGCTGCTGTCGCGGGTGCTGGGAGTGCCAGAATGAAACAATTTGGTGGCTGGTTTATGCTCCAGGATTGAGAGGTTGGTAACTCCAGACATAGATCTGGCGACGGGAGTGGAAGTACTCCCTAGATCCGCCCACTGTGTTGCCAGTTCCCCGGGTAGCGCGTCCCAGCCAGCTGGGACGCTGGGACCAGCGTGTTAATAGAGCTATAACTACTGCAGATATCTTAAGATATCTTAAAGTAAGGAAAAATTGAGATGGCAATACAAGTGGCTGTTTCTTTTCGTATGTTTTGGTACAGTGTTAGCTGGCGCGTATGAATACTACAGATAGGACGAGTTTTGCGATCCTACGTAGTACATGGTCGACAGCATCCACAAGAGTTCAGTTAGTACTTTCGAGAAACCTTGCTCCATACGCTCTCCGCTCGAACTCTGTGAAACATAGCACTAAAAATTCAATGCTCAGTAATTGGTCATAGATACGACCAAGATCACGAAAGAAATGGACCAAATGCCCACGGTAACTGCATTGCTGGCCACACATACGCTGAAACCTACACTGGAACATGCGCGCGCCCGATGAGCAATTATTCTGCCTGTGTCGGCTCTGAAAAATGGCTAGGGAAATAAAAGGGTGCATTATGTTTGTGTGCACTGCACGTATAGACCGCCTGCCTCTGGTCCACAATAAGGCAATGCATCCAAACGCCATCACGGATGTTTATTCAAAATCAACAGTCCTCGCAACGGCCACAGGCTTGGGGGTTGTTCAACGTATAGTTGGTTCGAAAATTGCTGGGCGATTCGCCATTCGTTTGGTGCAAGTGCAGGCCCTGTAGCTCGCCAGATGAAAGAGACGCTGCGGAAATCAAGGCCATAAATAGTCGCTGCTGCTGTATGGAAACCTGAATCCTGTCCACACTTGGCGAATTAAGTAACAGTTGTTGCGACAGTAGGTGAGTCGTCTAATAGATGCCGCTGTTGAGGATTTTGGCAGCTGTTGAGAATCCTGGCCATGCCTAGGATTGGTGAAGGTGCAACTTGAGTCCCTGATGCATAATAGCCTGGAGAGCGACCATATCTGAGCATTTCACCTGGGTCAACACATGAGTATGTCTGCCTATACCGCGGCGACATCAAAGGCATAAATTCAACTTGAAGTATAACCATCCATATCTTATGTGTCGGCGCCGGTTCTTGAAGACGAGTTGAAGACCCGCGAGGTAGGTGGATTGTCTAGGTGTCGTCGAGGTAGTGAAAAACCGAAGACGAGTCAAATACCTGTCAAGTTTCACTATGCTTGCAAAGGTTCGCGATGACCTAAGCCTCGTAGTGAATGTAGTGAAGTGATTTCAGAAGTAGAAAACTCAGCTTCACCGAGCGATGCCAGTAATTTGGCTATCAGCCCCGTACCCCAACTTTCTCGTTGACCAAACATGCAACCGTGATGAACGAGCACCCGGTTCGAACCTTCTTGGCGAGCAAAACCTCTCGGTATTGTAACTGAATTTTTGCTCAATTGGGCTTTTATTGGAAACCAAAGTCAGAATTTTCAGGGACGCATCATAAAGCGCGTGAAGATAGTGGGAAAGATGTTTCACACATGGATAAACCGATGATTTGTAACCGATACAGACAGCAAACTCGGTAGTCCTGAATAAATTGTCTGCACAGCATAATTGCCTCCGCAGTTTTAGACAGGGGGTACCGATGCCGAGAATGGAGGAAAGCATTTCCTGAACTCGATGAAATAGCGCTAGGACTTTTGGAGCGCATTCGGCACATTCACTGAGTTGGAGAGCGATTCGCAACCTTCATCAATGCTGCTGACCACATGGGTGAAGAGCCATCTGGAAGCCGGGACGATACCAAAAAGGGTTCAGGAGGGAAGGTGTGGTTTTGACCCATAAATTTAGCATTCTTATATAAAGGAAGTTTTTTGCTGAGACCTAGTAGTAATGGGCGGTAAAAAGAGTCAGTCAAGGTCATGAATGGTACTGGATAGAGGTGCTCTCAAGGAGAACACGTACAGCCCTGAGAATATTGAAGGAGGTTGAAGAAGGAAAGGAGGAAGAGGTTAAAGAGGAGGTTGAAGAAGAGGGAGATTAGGAGGAAGTGGAGGCCACAGAAGGGAAAAGGGTGCAAAAAGTAAAGGAAAGGAAAAGCATTCAGAGGATCTGAAAATAACAAAGAATCTAGCGTCTGGGAAGAAACGAGATGGGTGATAAAGGAAGAAGGGTATTGTAAGAGAAAGGAAGCCCTAGGGAAAGTAGCTCTAAACCTCAGACGACAATCCGACATCATCACCGCAAACAATTTACGTCAATCCACAAAAGAACGAAACTCGATCTCCTTTCAACAACTACAATAATTTATAAAATCCCCTCCCCAACCAATTCTGCCCCTCCAACAGTCCTCAAAATCCGGCACCCAGACAAGCTCCATCAACGGCTTCAGAATCTCTGCCTCCGACCCCATAAATGGATTATCAAGAGAAAATCGCTGCAGAAAGACATATTACGGTACACGCACACGCGCATCTTGCGCAGTCCTTTCACCGTATTCAGGATTTCCCAGGAGTTATTCGGAGTAGGATACCATACCCCATTCTTATCATTATCAGACTTCCACAGGCTTTCATATTAGATTAGGAAACCTACTTCCGTTAGGGTTACGAGCTTGTCGGTTTCTTTTATTGACGATAGTCGTTATGGGAGGAATGTGTGGTGGAGTTGGGCTGGGAGTAGGAAGGCGGACGTTGCGCCGTCGTCTAGTTGGAAGGTGGTGGTGTTTTTGTAGAGGGTATTTCGGTTTCGGAATATATTGTGATGTTGAATTAGTTCTACCGCGGTCCTGGTTATTCTATAACTTGGTTGAAGTGTTGTACTTACATGCTTCGACAGGTTAATAGGTGTCCCAGCCTGTGCTTCGGTACATCGGGCTCCACATCGACGCAGCCATCGTCATGAGTTTGTCTCAGATAGAAGCTTCTGTGATACCTTCGAAGGCGAATTGTTTTTCCCACGAGAAGCTGGTGGTATATCCGGTCTCTAATTTTTCGTGGTAGAAGGTCGAAAAGGGGACATTGTTCTTGGTTCTTGTATTTTTGAAACTTGCTCAGCCGAGGAGAATATTTTGGAAGGTAGAGTGAGAGCTCGTCTGCGTGGTGGAACAAGTCGTAGGGCACTTCGAAGTACGCAGCCTCCGCGTCTTTTGCGCTAGTTAAACTTGATCTGGCCGATCAGGAGTATTGATACTGGGCATGGGAGGATGAGGAGCTGAGAATCCACTCCCCTGCCCTTTTCCAAGTTCGTTCATCTTTTGTTTCATCAGGATGAGTTTGATTATTCAAGAAGTGATTGTTGAGGCTGTCATCGGGGGCCCCCACACAATCTTGCACTAATGCGTCGATCGTGAGCCGCGTTTTCCAAGTGACAAGTCCTTAATGTGATGTAATGTGCCTAGGGTAGCCAAGCCTTGCTCTGAGTCTGAAGATAAGAAGTGTCTTTGATTCTATGTAGAAACGCATCACCAGGACCTCGAGGCGACGTGCTAGGAGCAGACGTCAATTGCAGCCGAGGTGCAGTTGTAAATGCATTCGAGACCGAGCCATCACAGGTCTTTCTATGTACATTATGCGCTGCATCTTTGAATATGAAATAAACTCATGGATGTTCATGAGGCTGTGGCCGTACTGCCGACTTCAAATAGAGTGCGACGTTTCACCGTGCCGATATACCCTGTACTCGCTAAACCTTGCGCAACTGGTAATGGAAAAGACGCCAGACGCATTTCAATCCGTCGACACGATCGTTTGCATCAAGTAGATCGTACCATCTGCTGCGCTGCAGCTTCAGAACGTGCCAAGGGTGGTCTGTGTCGGCGGGCTCTGCAGGGAAGTCACTTTCACCAAAAGTGAGAGCCTGCAAGTATCGCTTGTGGATCCGGAGGTGTAGGATCGAAATATGGTGGTTGATTGACGACACCATGTAGATCTGTGGTAGTGGTAAATGATTTTAGCGGGGGAAGATGATGTGGTTCAACGTAGATGGTCTCGACTTACGTCGTCATATGGGCTCTCCGGAACCTTGCCAATCTGCATATATCTCATGCGCTTATCCCACAGACTTGGACCAGGCTGCAGGATCTTCCATTTCTCACCGCTGGAGAGCTTGCGCATCGCACTCGGCTTGCGTGATAGAGACGTGACAAATGGATGCTCGAATTTATGACGCTTGCGAGCGCTCTCCACTTCCTGCGCGGGAACTGAGGGCTCGGACTTACCTTCTCCGAGCATCGAGTCTGGCAACGGCATGCCATGCATTCCATGTCCCTTGACCAAATCGTCCAAGATGTGATCATTGGGGGCACCGCCGAAACGCGGTCTTGTGGTCCACCACTTTCCTTCTCCGGGACGCAGCTCGGTGGCTCCCTCTCGTGCACGCTCCTGAGCAGCCAAGAGCATGCCGCCCACTTCACGGAACAAGTCGCACACTTCTCCGATTCCTCCTCCCACGTCGTCGCCGGTGGCGCGGAATGCAGTCTCTGGGCGACATTGGGCGATGAGGACAGGTCCTTCCAAGATGCCGTTGCGGGCCACCTGGCGGTCTCGCGGAGACCGAGCAACCTGGAAGGACTGCCGCACCGGGAAAAGAAGGCTCTTCACCGTCAGTCGTGGTGGGAGCGTAGGAACACAGACCTGGCATCCAAAGGGCCAGGCTGCCATTTCCACGAAGGCGCGGATGGTCTCGTCACGCAGTTCATCGGGCATCTCCGTCCCCGAGCCGATACGGCGACCAGTATACATTCTCACTGACGGATGAGGCGTCGTTCCATCTTCCGCCGTGCCATTGGATTCTGCTGCAGCCTCTGGCTGGTCCACATCCATTTTTGAATGGCCCGAGCCGGAGGCGGGGGTGGCGTCGTCCGTCTGCATTTTGTCCTCCTTGGATCCGTCGTCATTGGATGGCGGTGTCGGCGTCGGGCTCGCGGGTCGATCGAAGTAATTGTCGAGACTGGAATCCCAATACTGTGCCACACGCTCCAAGCCCGTCCAGAACTTCCTGGACTGCGTGACCCGGACGCGGGTCCGCCCCTCACGCGGGGGCAACCGGGCCATCTCACGAAAGGTATCGTCGTTGTCCAGCAACAATTCCTTCCGCAGAATCTCGAAGCGCTCTTTCGGCGGGTAGGGCAGCCCATTGCTCATCAACGGACGGGAAGGGGGCTCGCTGCTCTCGGGCTGGATCTCGGGCTCATCGTCCCACGGCAGCGGAGCCAGGGACTGCGCCTGGTCGTCGGGGAACATGCGACGGACATCGACATCGGACTCGACCTGGAGATTCAGAGGCTTAAAGCGGTCCAGCGAGATGTCCTGTGGGCGCTTGATCGAGGCCAGCAGGCCAAACAACTCTTGGAGGGTACATTCGGACTCGGGGACAGGTTGGGGGAGGTGGTAGACGGGGAAGTCAAGCGGGGTTGGGTCGGTGGGGGGTTTGCGTTCCCTTTCAGGTTCGGAAGACGCTGACGGTAGGGCTGGCGAGGCAGTGACCGGGTCAGCAAGGGGATGCAATGGGAGCCCTGTCTCCAGGACGTCGGGCACGAGTGTGTGGTTCTGCAGGGCTGTCGGGGGCAGCGTGTAGCGCCCGCATTCCGGGTAGCAGGGGGTTCGGACGACTTACCCAGGCCAGGACCCCAACCAAACATGGTGAGTAAATCTGCACAGAGCGATCATACACGGTGCTGACATGGGGGGACAGCAGCAGGAGGAGGGGATGTTGACAAACTGCCCCAGGCGGAGTTCAGGTCGTACTTTGGCCGGTGGGGAATTTCCCTCTTCCGCAGTAGTTCGCATTGCTTCCAATACACGGCTTCATACAATAGTACTACTACATAATACGTACTATTGAACAGACGCAGAAGAAGGCTCATCTCCGCCATGGCCTCCCTCTCCTCTATCCTGCTGGCGAGACCGGTCTGTCCTCCCGGCTGAAACACGCGTGGTTGGACCAGTCCATTAGGCAACTCGAAACCACCCTCTGTTTCGCCCGTTTTTTCCGATCGGCGCAGAAACCAGCAGAAACGACTGGTCACTGCAGAAGTATCACATTTGCTCGCCCGCGGGGGTTCTGATCGACCTGCTCGCTTCGCTGCATGCCGTCTCATTGGGCCGAGTGCCCTCATGGCTGCTAAGCGCTGTCTGCACTCGCACATGGGGAAGCGCCAACGGCCCAACATGAAACACCCAATGGCCTTGAGTTACTTCAAGCCCCCCAGCTCCGTATAAAGCGTGCGGCATGGGCATCGGGCGTGACGTTGCAGAGTCTCCCTTTCGGCCCCTCTATCCGGCCTGGGGAGTTACGACAGACCCCAAATTTTTAGCCCAAGATCCAGTACGGAGGCCTCCTGGGTGCGTCGTGGACGGTCTCCATCGAGACTATGGTCGCGGTGTGTCACTTGCGCCGTTGTTGCAGAAACAAAGAGTGGGATCGACAGAGGATTGACCGGTTCTTTGTAGGGATTCTGCACGCATACAAAGGCCTTTGGCTCCGCTGCTTGTGTGAAAGATTCTCTGCGCGAACCCGGTCGTCGATCTTTTTTTTGCTCCCGGCCTGCGGGCTCGGACGACATGTGGAATGCCTCGTCGGTAGGATCGTCTGCTTCGATTCCAGACTTTACCACTCAGACGCCGCTGGCGGTGTCGTCGACAGATGCTGGTCCATCTCTTGTCACCCTCACATCGTTCCTGACGGAGACGGCGCGTCCAACCTGGACCTATACGGAAGTCACCACTATTGCCAATGTCCCGGTGACAACGCAGGTGGTGAAGTCTCGGCTGAGCACTGTCGCTCAGTCAGAGACTGTACAAACGGAGACTACTCCGTCATCAACGCATTGGTCAGAATCATCGTGGTCGGAGAGGTCTAGTACTCGTTCCGAGACTCAACAGGAGCCTGCACAGCAGACGCCATCGACAACTCCCATTTCCTCCTCGCTTCCACCATGGAGTACGAGTGATCAGTCGGTTAGCTACAGCACCGAATTCTCATCAACGGCATTGGCGCAGTCGTATACTAGTGTCCAGACGAGCGAATCTGGTGCGGCACCATTGATCTCGGTCTCGAGCTCATCAAGCACCGATTCATCAATGATCACCCGGGCAAGCACACTGAGCTCTCAGTCTTCCACTGCTCTGGGGTTCCAAGTCATTACGAGCCAACCCGCAAGCACGGGAATCCAGTCATCTACGACGAACTCATCCTCATCCTCATCCTCGTCTCGTACACCCACGGCATCACCTCTGGCAAGCGTGATATCCGGCTCGACCTCCGGAGTGGATTCCGACTCTTCAAAAAGTAACTCTGGCAACCACAAAGTGGGCACAATCGTCGGCAGCGCCCTAGGGGGAGCAGTATTCTTAGCTCTGACCTTGCTAGCCTGCTTCCTCATCCGTCGGAGGCGACGAAATGCCGTCCACCGCCGCCAGCCCAGCCGAAAAAGCCTCCTTCGAAACAACTCAGTTGGCTCTACTCGTGCATTCCTGCATAACCGCCAGCCATCCTGGCCCATGGTGCGATCCGACTCCATTCCTTCAGCTCCCGTCTTCCCACCACTACGTAGTTACTCCAACCCAGATACCCGGCCAAATCCCGCATTGGCAGCCTCAAACCAAGACCTCTCGCTGGATAGAGCATACCTCCGCAACCAATACTCCCAGCGCTTCACTGACGACCCTCTCTCGGATCCAGAAGATGGTCCCACTATCGAGGTGTCCCCGCCTAGCCGCAGCGTATCCATCTACTCGCAATCATCCTGGGAAGGCGGACTCAAGTTCATAGAGTCTTACGATTACTCGTCCCACAGCTCCCAGGGCGGAAGTACCTACTACCCCGATGGAAGTACGGGAACGCTCCCCGGTCCCGGCGACGAGACTCCAATTTCTAGGCTCGTCACGCCCAAGAGACGGGCGAGTATTCGCAGCAATCCGTTTGACTTGGAGCCGCCACCGAGTGCCTTATCCAGAGGTCCTGTGCCGCAGATTCCGCGTGGTCCAGGTCCGCCGAATCCAGCATGGGGTCGATGGTATCCGTAAATGTTTGATCTTCTTGTTGCTATGTTTCGTTTTGTTCGGATATTCGGTGGTTCTGTTGTCTGTTTTGGAAATACCCCTTTTCCTTTGTCATTTCCTTTCCCCTGAATACCCCCTTTCGTTAAAAGCGATGCATTCACGACTGGTTATGGTGTTTTATGTGTATAAACCGGGTTAACCCAATAGACAACCCATCTCCTCTACGTCAACAATTGACCCTCCAAATGCGTAATAACAGATAGGGGTGCACACGAATAATCACTTTACGAATATTCGTACGAATACCGTAAAATTTTACGAATACGAATAAGCATCGTCGCTTATATAATATCCGTACGAATAAAATGTGTCTTATTCGTAAATTATTCGTAAAAATCACGTGTGATTAATATTCCTCAGAGAGATATATATCTCGTAACAACATCAACCGCCGCATAGTCTCCGCGCTCAAGGTGTTTCTCCTGACACCCAGTAAATCTCGTCCCTTGTTGAATAGTCTCTCCACCGACACTGATGATGCAGGAATGGCCAGATAGTCTCGTGCAGCAGTAGCTAGCTGTGGGTATTCGTTCCTCTGTGCTCTCCACCACGATAAAAGCCAATTCTTGTCCTGTGAAATCGACTCATTTATCGTGACGACGTCATCCTCAAAGTACCGGTCAATGTCAGATGAATGTCTCTTCTTAGGTTGCAGCTTCTGAAGTAAACGGGCCTCTATGCTCTTCTTCAGGCTCGGCTGCTCCTTAGAGGGCTTTGCCGACGAGTCGACTGCCAATGGATATTGATCATGCAGTAGTTCTTTGATGTGCGTGACAACTTGGGGTGCTGTGAGCTTGCCTAGATCTCTGTCTAGCAAGAGCGTTTTAAATCGCGGATCAAGCACTAGGGCGACATAATAGGCGTCTTGTCCATCCATCAGGTTGTAGTATTTTTGGAACTTTTTCAAGCCCGCAGCAGCAGCAGCAGAAATCTCCAGGTGCAGATCCGAGAATTCTCCCTCCCTAGACGCAGCATCATGCAACAGATCGTGCAGTTCATAGTAAATGGGGATGGCTAAGGTAATTTGCGGTTGACGCTTGGAAACAGTGAGGGTGAACTCCTCAAACCTGGCTAAGAAGCCCTCAATTTGTTGGAGACGATCCCAATCCTCAGCACTGAAGGGTGGAAAATCTAACTGATGGTGGATCCATTTCTTGATTTGCTGCTTCGCGTTCAGGGCGTCTCGGAGCATTCGGTGTGTCGAATTCCACCTTGTATCCACGTCGTACTCGATGAACTTGTCCTTGAGCCCATTGCTCTGGCAGATGATCTTCCACTGCTGCTTCCGCTGCGGGGTTCTTGCAATCCAAAGCGCCATAATCCGAAGGCGAGCCAATGGTGATTGCGGGCCAATCTCTTTGTTTTCCTGCATGAGATCACAAGCTGCATTCGCCGACGCGTGGTCCCCTGCTTGCAACATGACGAGTATATCGCTGACAATCAGATTGAGCACATGCGCAGTGCAGCGAATATAACTATCCACTCCTTGAAATCGTAGGGCTCTTGCAGCACTCACGGCTCCGTACATGGCTTGAAATTTCTCGGTGAGATTGAGATATAATTCCGATAGCAAGCGCTCATTGCTTGTGGCATTGTCTGCTGTGATCGCGAGGAGCTTGTGTTCGATTCGAAGTTCTGTGAGAAGCGTCTGAAGAATTTCTGCCATGTTCTCTCCGCTATGAATGCCGTGGATTTCCGTAAATTCAAGAACCCGCTCTCGGTACTGAAAATCCACTGTCAACCAGTGGCCAACAACCCCGAACATGGCTTTTGAATTCTTGCTCGTCCAAGCGTCTAGCGAAAGAGAGATCGTTTGGCATGTCTGCTCTAGCTCTTCAATCAACTGCTCCCGACAATTGTCGAAATCACGATCGATTCGACGAGCCATTGTCATGCGAGATGCGAAAGGGAGTGAAACACCCAAGTCCTGGAAGATCTGTTGGAAGGGGGGCGATTCTATGGCGTCAAATGCCATGTCGTCTATAACCACCCACCGAACCAGGTTTTGCTCCAGGACCTTTGCTCTCTGCTCCTCAGTCCGCTTCTGGAAGAAGCTGCTAACTGACGGCTGTTTTATGCTGCTTCTGTCGTCCTCCGAACTGTTTTCAGGGCCACTTAGGATAATACCATGTTTAGAGAGATGGAACATCATATTGGATGTTGATGTTGCCCTTGTAGAATCTGTCGTTTTCCAATTGCATCGCTTGCAGCGCACCTCCCGGTCGTTGATTGGGCCCTTTCCCCTTTTTGGCCACCACATCCTTCCCGGTAGCGGGGAACAGTCGAAATGTGCCCAGAGAGCTTGATTCTGCATCTTTCTTCGAGAAAGGCCAGATTCATTGGAGATACTGACCACGTCAGGCAACGCCTCCGCAGTCAGTTCATTTTGGGAGCAGATCGCCACGAGTGGACTTCGAGCCCGGCTTAATTGGCTTGCAGAGTCATCAGGAGTAATCGGTTCAACGCTACTGCGTGCCCTTTTCGAAGGAGGGATCTCAATAATGCGGTCTTCTGGTGGAGCCTCCTCGTCGATGCCATCATTGAGCGCACAGTAATTGATTCGCTGAGACCTGTATGGCCGTTTGCGCTGTGACTCCGTGGACTCGTCCATTCGTAGCGCGAGAAATTTGTCCTGATAGTTGACTGATAGGAAAGAAGTGCGTAGAAAACGAAATTATGGTCGTGTATCTGCAGTGTAAACAATCACGCGACGCGTTGAGCATCGTTAGATGGGCGGTGGGTCTCTATTACAGTAAGGGTAAGTTAGTCTTGGCGGAAATTACGAATAATTACGAATCGAATACGAATAAAGTCACGAAAATAGCCAGTCGAATACGAATAATGAGTTGAGGAAAATTGACGAATACGAATAACCAAAATCCTTATTCGTGTGCACCCCTAATAACAGAAAACACGCATACGAATTTCTCGTTGCAGAATCATTCTGAATAAATTGTTTTTGATCCTTCCGAGTCGATTCCGACTGCAAATGGGCACGTGAGAGCTATTTGAATCATGTGATGGATGGCAGATGCCGATGCCCCGCGTTACAAGGTCGAGGCTTCACGCGATCATGGTCACAGCGCAGAACTGCTGCAACGACAGCCTATTAGGCTCAGGAGTGCGAAAGGGCGACTATAATGCTGATTAGATTCTTCTCCAAGCAATCGGACAAGCCGACCAGTTGATGAAAAAAGAGGGTTCGCGTCGATCGGAGGTAGTGTAAGCCCGATGACACTGTGCGACGAGACATGTGCAGAGCACAGAGGGCAGGTCGCGGGGTACAAAAATTGGAATAATCATTGATGTCTTCCGGAGAAGACTTTCAGAGATTAAACTGAAAAGAACAGATACTACACTTGATCTAAGCCAAAAGGCAAAGAGAGCTAAAGAAGAAAAGAAAGAAGAGGAAGGGTGCGGGAGGCTGAGAATATTTATACCCAGGGGTAAAGGCGGTGGTGGATCACATGGTTTCTGCCCTTTCCATCGGTCATGTGATTGTTTTCATGGGCTGTTGTAGTGACTCAAGTTTGAACTTCAATGGTTGCCTGTGGTGACATTTTTGTTAGACTAAGGAGTCGCTGGAGTAATGGCCTATCCCAAGCTTCTCTCGAAATATTATCAGTTGAGCTTTGACTCGGAGAAAAAGGGGGTTTACTCAGAGATCACACAATGATTGGAAGTAGGTTCCAAGAAATTACAGGACTGGTGTTGTGAATATAGCATATTTTGCTGGCGGTAAGAAACTTAAGCGTCAGTCCTGGCCCATTTTCTCGGAAAGAGCCGACCAGAAGGCTTTCAGGGAGGACTCATTTTATTTGGAGTTCCACTAAAGATGAATTCGCCAAACTATCCCCGCTTCCCAATCTTCCAACAAAACTATACGTTACAATGTATCCTAGAAAATGAACACTAAATCATGAATTCATGCTACAGAACAGAGAATCGGAGGTCTGCATCGGCGTCCATGTTGTAGCGATTAGCCAGCCTCTTAAGCTGGTCGTCTGAAAGGATCCCCTCAATAACGCATCCTGCAAGGCAATAGAAAAACTAAACTAGGTTATTGCATTTGAAAAGGGGATGACCCTACCATATTTTTCTTCTGGATAGCTCCTCCAACGCACGACCTGACTTCTCAGTTTCAAGATCAGGAGAGAGCTCCTCACTTTCAGCGCACTGGTTATTAGGGGTATCGATGGAAACCAGATGCTGTACCATGTCTGATGTGCGGCTATAGTTCCCGAGCCAAGCCCTCCGTACGACTTCATCAAGACCCTGGCTCCCTGGTTTCAAAACTGGCAAACCCAACTTCCCATCTACCCCAGACGAGCGAACCCAGGCTCCATAAAGAACATGAGCGAAGCAAGCGCAAACATGTCTGATGCCGGGGTTAAACAGGCGAGGGTCCATTGACTGGAAATGGAAGATTTAGAAAGAGTTTTATTAGCTTAAAGGGTCTTACCGCGCTTAAATCACAGAGTATGGCCGAGCACTGATCGTGAGGGGGACATTGTCAGCTCGTACATCGGCGTGTTCAATCTTCAGGTCATGGAAATGACAGAGAGCATCGGCAATCTCGTGGTATATTCTGATGCGGTGGCCCTGTAAGGCGATTATATGGCGCAGGCAAATATCGATATTTGCGGAAATATACCCCCTTTGGGTGATCGGTGTCAATGGCTTGGATGATATGAGAATATGGCCTCTTTTGCAGCGGCTGCAGGACCATTCGCTCCTCTTTCAACACGCTGAAATGAAACAGCATATCTAAAGCACAGTCAAATTTATTTCTTTCAGAGGCATCGCCATCAGGTAGTGCAATATTCGACAAGTCTTTAGAACAACTTGGACACTGACGGTGTAGACTTGGCTAGAAGCCCCAACGCCGACCATGTCAAGATCATGCTGTTCTTGCAGGTGTGCAGTGAAAGTGTAAGAGACTCACAGGTTGAAGACCCTTAGGTCACTACGAAGATAGAGCTCTTCTCCGTTGGAAAGGGCGGAGCTGCAGATGCAGCTTGTGGGGGTATAATGTCACGTGCATTGGTTCTTACATGACTTCTCTGCTGTACACATCCATGATTACTTGCTTGAAGTTTCTTTGCGTGACTTAGGGCCTTTGAATTCTGGTACACCAGCAGCTAGAGCAGACCTTCTAGCTCGTACAGCCATTTCGCTGCCTCCTAACTACTTCTTGCGATTGCTTCCTATTTGAAATCCCGGTCCATTTGAGTAGAATAGTCTGCCGTTACTTCTCCCTCGCATCCATATCTTGATCAGGGAAAAATGATTGCGCAGACTTTACCGAGATTCTGGGGGTACTAATCTTCATCCCTTCATCAGACATATCCAGTTCTTCTTCCGCATCCTCTTCAGTCTCGTTCTTGTCCTTCTTGCATTTGTCAAACTTGTCAAGCCAACCCGTCCATATCTTCCTCGTGCCCTCTTCTTGTTCCTTGTTTTCCGAATGACGGTCTTCTTCGTCCGGAATTTGAGGCCAATGTGACAAGTCTAATAGCGACTTAAGAGGATTTATTCGATCTTTGTCCTGCTTTTCCGGCCAGATAATACTATTCAGCATCTCCCTCGCTTCATCAAGATCAACGTCCAAATCCCGGCGCCCGATTTGAACACGGTGAAAGAATTTCGCATCTTCTCCAATGCTTTTATTCGAAAGTTTGTAGAGGTGCGCAACGAAATTTCGATCCTTGTTGACGGAGTAGTAAAGCATCATATCGATGCTATCAACGCCAGTTGGCCATCTGTGTGCCCCGAAGACCTCTTTGATTTTCTCTTTTTTCATGAACTGTCCAGCAAGACAGGTCATCACGAACTCCCACTCGCTTTTTGCGGCTGCGCTGCGAAGGAAGCCTGGCTTGATGGACTCATTCCCGATGAGAGCCTCTGCTTCTTTGTTGTATACCTCTCCCTTTCTATCACTCCTGATGGATTTGATTATGCGGTTCCGCTTGGTTTCCTGGTCGAAGTTATTTACATTCAATGTGTGCTCGAGTAAGAGCGTCATGAGCGGAAAGTCGGCGTAGGCTTGCGCGAGCGCAATGATTGTCTGGTAGCTGTGGTTCCTTGCCAGTATGTCGGCTCCGTTGTTGACGAGCATCTCACACATATATGCGCGGTGGTACGGGTTGAATCCTTGCTCGAGGCGACCTATTTGGCATGCCAATAGGAGGGGCGTGTTACCCCTGGAGTCAGGCGTGTCAACCCTCACTCCGAAAGATAGGAGAGCATTAGCGTTTTCGACCTGGCAGGCCTTAACCGCGATGTGGATAGCTTTGCTGATAGAATCTCGATACTGGTAAGCCGGACTTTGAGGATAAAGCCATTGACTACCAATTATCTTGCTCAGGAACAGTCTCAAGCTTGTGTGATGCCCGTTGCGCGCTGCAAACCACAGGACTTTGATCTTGTCGTCCCAAGAAAGAGAGTCGAACTCCCTGTGCAGTTGGAATTTGGTCAAGGTGCTGCTGCTTTCCCACCGGAGAGCCACATGGAAAGGAGAGAGGCCTTGAGTGTCTTTTGTGAAGGGGTTTGCGCCATGGTCGAACAGCAATGCGGCTATATCAGCACGTCCGATGTCCATCGCCACCAAAAGGGGTGTTTTCCCATGGATGTTCGGGGCATCGGCATTCACGCCAGCTTTGAGTAGCATTTCGATCATCGAGCGAGACTTTCGTCGGATCGCACAGTGCAATGGAGTACCGTTCTCGTTGTCTGCAAAGCTCAAGTTCGCACCTGCATCAATGAGTGCCTGTAGAACCTCTTCCATACCATGTATAGCTGCTGCATGGGCTGGTGTGAACCGCAATTGATCCTTGTGGTCGATGCGTGTACCGCCGAGCAGAAGAATCTTTACGTTCTCCGCAGTCCGACAAAAGTGCAAGGCGTTTTGTTTTCGTCCGTCGAGATCACCGTATGAGGCTCCGCGATCGAGAAGATAGTTCAGCATGCGGGTGGATGATCCCATTGCTGCAATGTGTATTGGTTTGACCGATGAGCTGTCTCCCCGATTAAGGGCAGTTGGATCAAGCTTAAGGATATGTTCAACGATTCGAATGGCCTCGTCCGTGTCACGATTTGCGCCTATCTGGACGGCAAAATGCAGTGGATATGTGAATAACTTTTGGTCATCCGGTTGAACAAGCTTTCTGGTAGCGAGAGCCGGGAAATGTGCCAGAAGAAGTTCGACGGCGTCAACATCTTCGAGGTCAATCGCGTGAAAGATTGCACTTAGGCCTTCTGGGGATGACTGGAGCAAAATATCCAGTGCCAAAAGGTCGATCGTCTCTTTCAACTTTTGCTTGTGGTTTTTACCGTGGATGGCGAGTCGCTCGGCATTGGTAAGCAAGCTCAATGCACAGCCCATGGGGAATGAGCCGAGTTTGGCAACGAGGGATACTCCGGTCCCTGTGATTTGCTGTTTACCAAATTCCGCTTCCCAGAGGAGTTGGAGTATCTTGGCATTATGGTATCGAACAGCAAGATGAATAGGCGTGAATTTCGGAGCTGTGTCGCCTTCAATTATCGTAAAAGCAGAGGCAGCAGGATCAGCTCCCATTTCTAGAAGAGATTTGACAACTTCTATGTTCCCAGTGGCCACCGCTGTCGCAAGTGGGGTACCATGCACCTGGAATGGCCATTGGGGGTGGAGAACGATCCTCTGTGGGCACGGCCGATTCACTAGAGTCCTCAAATCAGAGCTGCTCAGTGTGTTCTCCAGCTGCTGTTGGACATTTCTAACGCTTGAGATGTCCAAACAGAAAAGCCAGTGTAGAATAGAGGTCGAGATTTCGTAGGCTATGATTGCTCCTTTGCTGAGAAGTCGACAAGCGATCTTGCCATAACCACAAGCAGCAGCTTGGGCAACAAGGGTCTCTTTTTCTTGCTCTAGAACCATGCTCGAATCAGTTAAAGATAGCATAGCTTCCAGGAGTTCTATATCTCCATGTCGAACCACAATCTCCAGGGGATGAAAGCGTGCCGTCGCAAGGTTTTGAGTGACGAAAGTGTTTAAGAAGTCCACCTTAGCCACCTTGTCGATGGCTTCCCAGGAGATCATATCAATATAAGCCTTTCGAAAACTCTCGTAGTTTGGAAATCGCACCACTTCTTCGCCGTTGTGTACAGTCAGAGAAGAGGACGCGTCAACCTTTCGAGTGACACTGAAGCCGAGGGCAAGACATTCACTGTATGACTTGTGCGCACTCGTCGAGGTCGCGGAGAATCCATCAAGCATGCGTGAGCCCAAGATTCGAGCGATGAGATGGCCAGCCTCTTCGGCTTTGCGAATATATTGAGTTGCCTTCGTAAGGTCTTGCGAAGTGCCAAAGTTATTCACATAACAAAGCATGGTCTGGAAAGCGGCGGAGCCATCACTCTTATCTGGGCGTGACTTCTCGGCCACGGCTTCAAAATCAATCAGTAATTGCTTCTGCTGTTCCCAGATGATGTTCGGGCCGATATCTCTGCTAAATATCGAGTATCTTATGTCTCCTGAGATGGCATACGTAGCTAGCTTTGACTGGAGAGATTGGGCACCGGACATCTTATTCCAGAATCCGATTATGGGAAGTCGATTTAGGTCCGACACTCTCTTTGAGGGATCAACTTGAAGGGTACGATCCATTAATGGTCGAAGAAACCCTTTCTCAAAGCCGATGCCTGGTATCTTCATGTTGTTCACAAACTCTCCGGCAAGGATCCTGAGGTAGGATAGATCGAAGCGACCAAAGACATGTTGGTCATCTCCATCAATAGAACTGTCCTCCTGGGTCTCCGAGTCCGTGGGCGTTGCTAGGCTCTCTGATCGGGCCGAACGTTCGAATTGAGGATTGTGCTTCCAACTGCGCTGGAAATACACCTGTCCATCCGCTAAGATCTCCCACGCACAGAGACCAAATGCCCAGATATCGCATTTATGGAGATTCTCGACCAGGATTGGCTGCGTCTTTTGTTGAGCCACCTCCGGTGAATTGTACCTCATAACGATCAGCTAAGAATATCATGGTTTTTCGGTCTTCAACTAACAATGTTGTTCCGAAGTATTGTGTCCGTTTCTCTGGAGCTGAGCTCACAAGTATAGAATGACCGAAATCCGAGACTTTTGCAATCGTTCCGGATGGCCGGTCCAAGGACGCGAATACCACCACGTTATCCATTTTCAGATCGCCATGCACAATACCACACTTATGCAACGCCATCAGCCCCGCGCCGACATCTCCCATCATGATCAACTTGGTTCGGATGGGATGGCATTTCTTCATGTAGTCTCTGAGGGACCCCATCGCAGCAAATTCGACTGATATGAATGGTGAAGGCCGTTGCTTCTCTATGGTCCAGCCATAGCCCAATAGATTAATAACGTTGGGATGATATGCTAAAGGGGGTGGCACATGATCAAAACCTCGCGCAAGACAGACTGCAGGCGTCGCTGGAAATGCTGGCGATCAGAGGTCCCATGGCTATCCTCGTTCAGTCGGATGCGCTTGATAGCCACGACAGACCCTTCGTATCTGCATTCCGTCACGGCAAAAGTCTCTCCAGCCGCGATAAACCGATTTTCCTCCAGTTCTTCGACAAGAAGCCTTTTGAGCTTCAGTTGCTGGACTGTACGCAGTAAGCTCTCCAGGCTATTCATCGCTCCGACATCGACGCTTTCGCTGAAACCAAGGCCATCAACGGTGGACACGCGGGATCTCGATAGCGACGTTGTCCATGTTAGCGCGTCGTTCGATGACCCTTTTGGTGTCGGGCCTTGTGTACTTGTCAGCTGGGATACGCGCAACTGGGGGATCTTGACCGCATACACCGAATCCAGTCATCGTTGAACGAAGAGAGCGACATGATGGCTACATGTCCCAGGGATCAAAATGAATGAGACTGGATTCCGGCCGGGCAAGACGAGCGTCTTAGGATGTCGATTGAACACGAGCTGAGCCTCTGCGGGGGCTGAAAACTGCGCCGGTGTGATTGGATGCAGTCGCGCTATCACAGACCTGGAGACGCCCCGCGCCCCGCGCAGGCAACCCGGGTGTGTGGATTTTATAATCTTCAAAATTCAAGTCCTTTCAGAACCGAACTGGTGCTGTCGTGGGGGTTGAAGTGCTTGCTTGGTATTGCGGTATACGCCTTTGGGCTCTCGGAACGGACCGCCGCCATGATCGACCCCATATCCGTGGCAGGCCTAACCATCACCATCGTTGATGCCCTCATTAAACTGGGCGAGAGAACCGCAGAGCTGATCTCAGATGCCAATGCGTTTGAGAATGTGAGTCTTCGAGCCAAAGCAGTCGGTCGGAACACGCTTCTAACAGACCGACATCGGCCAGGATGCAAGCGAATCCCGGAACCTGGTACAGGATGAGAATCTGCAGACCAAGTTGCTTCGCAATCTGCTTTTCTCTGAGTGTTCGGTGAGTCTGGTGGCCCTCGTCGTGGGATGGCGGACGGTGCAGAAGAGAAGCGGTCTTTGTGCTAAGGTTTGCAGGTGTATGGCGGTAAAACGCTCTTCGAGCAATTCGACCCGGACATTCAACGGCAGATCGAACTGCTCTGTCGCGAGATCAAGTCCATCCTGCAAGAGGGTGTCGAGATTCTCGAACGTCGATATGGGTTGACTCGTGAATCGTCTGCTTCATTCCTCAATCTCAGGGCTATTTCACCTAGCCCTGGGTCGTCGCATAGCTGGTCAAGTCAATCACTCCCTGGCCTTCTGCGCTGGTCTTTCCGCGACAAAAAGCGCGTCGAGGTCATTCTCGAGTCCTTCAAGGATCGTAATTCTCGCCTAAAGAAGAAGGTCGAACTGTGGTGTCTCGCCTCGCAGCTGGGGGTGTCTCCTGAGCATCTCATGCACCTGCAGAACGACGACGCTTCCAGGGAGCTCGGTTTCGATAAGGATGCGTCGTTGCGTCTAGCTCAGTGGGACGCAGGCCATATGAACGGGTCTCTTGAGCTGCGAGAACCATCCTGGGATCTCTTTCTCAAGGAGATTCGGCCTGTCGAACACCAAGGCATGTTTGCCATGTTCTCTAAAGATGGAACGGCGTATATCCAAGAAAACCACCACTATGACCCCATAGCAGGGCCTGTTATGTCGGGACATGATGTCGATCCTCGAACAAAGAGCCGGATTGAGTCGCTGGCCAAGCTTCTGCATCAACCAAAAGAACGCGTCTTCCGCGTCCTACCATGTGTGGGCTGGAAATATCTGCCAGCTCAGAGCTCTATCGCTTTCGTTTTCGAGGTACAGCCGAAGCCCATTGGCGCTCCGGTCAGTCTCCAATGGCTATTGTTCGACTCGGACCGTCGTCCGGAGCTGGGAGATAAATTTCGGCTCGCTCTGGGTCTCTCGAAATGCATCGCCCAGATGCACATGGTTCAATGGGTCAGTTTTCGTTTCCGGCATGATTGTTTCGGTCATCGCTAACGTTCGCAAAGTTGCATGAAAGTTTTCGCAGCGACAACATTCTTCTCCTACCGCATCGCGTTGAAGACGAAAAGATGGGCACGCGGGCTGTGGTGAACTACTCGGAGCCGTGGGTCCTCGGATTCGAGTTCAGTCGCCCCGAGCCTTTCTTCTCAATGGGGCAGGCGGACTTCGAGCCCACACGCGACATCTATCGGCATCCAGATCGTCAAGGTCAGCCAATGGAAATGTTCAAGAAAATCCACGACATTTACGCGTTAGGGGTGGTGTTGTTGGAGATCGGTCTGTGGGAGCCTGCCGTGAAGCTAGAGAGGAATATGTTTTCGCATGCCAGCAATCCTCTTGCTGTCCAGTCGCAACTGATTAAACATGCGCAGAAGCGGTTAGAGTCCCGCGTTGGTCGCAAGTATAAAGAGGTTGTGCTCAAATGCCTCACGGGGGATTTTGAGGTGGAAGATGATACGAAGGAAGACTTGAAGCTCCAGCAGGCCTTTCGCCATCAAGTGGTGGATGTGATCGAGATGGCTGCAAGTTACGTATAGCAGCAATGCACTGAGTCGGATGCATCATTATATATTGTGTACTATAGTACTTGAAGATGTGTTGGGGTAAATGGGAGGGTGCTACGGCAGAATAGTGATGTATATATCCCCGCTTTACATTAGTGTAATGCGTTATTTGATATATGTTCCCGTTAAGTTCTATCCAGTCCAGTACCAACACTGCAGCGTGGCAACGTGGGGGATTCCTAGATAGGTAGGAATGTCTGATCTCCTGCGTTATGAGTTCATAGCAGATCTACTTACAGAGCACTCCGCATTCAATACCCCAAACAACTAGGTCCACTCCAAGGTTGTCGTCTCCAGGGCTGACTGTATTAGAGTAGTGATTGTACGTATGATCTACATATCATCAACTGGCAAGGCCAGCGAAGATTTGCAAAAGCAATCGATCGCATTTCGTAACCTTTACACACAAGCGCCGTGTCGAAGGGGGAGGTTGGTTTTTAGTTTTTTTGTTTTGAAAAAGAATTTCCTTTCGCCTTCTCGTTATTAACAAGAAAAGCTTGAGTATCACATCATCATCGCATCTTCCTAATTTGCCCCATTATCCCAAGATCCCAGAAGCCCAAAACCCCCACGCGATCCAAGAGACAATGGGAAAACATTTGCAAGAGGATAGTAGTCCGACTATAGGAAGAAGTGGGAAAAAATGGCCGACCTAAAATTCCATGGATTCGAATTGGGGGAACAAGGGGACAGCCGTCGAATCCCGGAATAAACCCAGAAGTTCAATAACCGCTTTTTCGACCTCCGCACCGCCGAACGAGTAAAAAGTCACATTTTTTAACACATTTACTCCTCAGCGACCAGAGCGTTACGCTTGGCCTCAACACGCTCCGCCCGACGCTCACGGAGAGCCTTGTTCTTGGCACGCTTAGCGTCCATCTCCTCCTTGAGGACACGCTCACGCTGGCGCTCGGCCTTGGCCTTCTGGATCTATAGTAGAGAAAAGAACGGGTCAGTCGGGTGTTCGTTTCAAATGTTGTAACCAATGTTGCAGGGTGTTGTTGGGGGAAAAGGTGGTCGGAGGGGCAGGCGGTTCATCCGGGAGAACTTACGTGCTCAACGAGGGCACGCTTGTGCTTGAAGGTGTTACCCTTGCTCAGGTGGTAGAGCTCGTGGTACAGGTGCTTGTCGATCTTGCCGGCGGCACGGTAGCGGACGAGGAGACGACGGAGGACACGCATGCGGCGCATCCAGAGGACTTGGCTGGGCATACGGGAGTCCTTGGTACCCTTACGCTTACCCAGACCGCGGTGACGACCGATGCGGCGGGCCTCGTTCAGCTCGCGGGCGCGGGAGCGCGAGTGCATGGTGACGGGCTTGCGGATGATGAGGCCATCGCTGACGAGCTTGCGGATGGTCTGGCGGGAGTTGGCGTTGGAGATCTCGGTCATCTCATTGGGGTCGAGCCAAATCTTGCGCTTGCCGCAGCCGACCACGGAGGCGGCGAGGCGCTTCTGGGTGCGAAGGTTGACCCTAGAATGAGAAAAAAGTCGGGGTCAGCCTCTGCACACAAAACGAACATCACGGGTTCCTCTGTTCCCTTCAACCGCGGGAACTCTGTTTCGACGGGGGCGACAATATCACTGGTCGGGAACCTCAGGAAATAGTCGTAGGAGATGGCACTCACATCTTGATGTCGGCGTATCGACGGTCGTTGGCGGATGATGTTCGTAGCACTCAACGGGAAATCCAGACGGTGAGAGTTTGGGGCGGGCGCGATTAGCTAATGTGCCGTAAGCGAGTCGTCCACATTAGGGCTGCACCCCTAGCCCTAGTGCCCGATCGGGTAATCTATACAATTCAAGCCAGAACGGGGAGATGATCATAGAACAGAGGGATAATTAATTGAAGCGAAAACATCTTTTCGATCCTAATTACTTGACCCTGATATTTCTCTCAAGATTCTCAAGTAATCTGAGCTGAAGTTTGCGAGCGACGTCAACGATCACCAAATCACGTGACCGAAGAAATCTGTCAATGTCACATGACACAAAATCTTCCCGATTGGGATCGTCGAGGCTTGGCCAGAACTATAAACGTCACGTTTCACTGGTCCATAATACAATACAATTGAACATAACGAGATGGATTTAAATCAAGTGTAGAGTAATATAGTCATCGTAATCTCCCAGTTCTAGCGCGAAAAGTATCAAATCTATCGAATGTAGTATATCTACGCAGTAAAGAGTAAAGACCTCGCTTAGACATTCATCAACACGTCATAAATTCCTAACTTTTGTACGATAACAGAAAAAAAACGCCCAAGGGTATATCTAGATAAAGATGTAGATTCAACCTTGGGATGCTGATTTGTTCATCAATCACTCATCTGCAAATCCATCCTCCCCCAGGTCCACCTTTCCAATACTCCACAATTCCTTCTCATCATCCACTTCGTCATTCGACAGACCCAGTCCACCCTCCCCACCTTCAGCGTTACGGCGCTCACGAGCTTGGCTAGCAAGACGCATACCAATACGCTTGAAGTACTCAGACATGCTGCGCTTAGGACCGGGGGGAGCGAGGCTCCGGGGCCGGACATGTACTTGTCGAAGACCTCGCTATCGGACTCCACCACTGAGAAAATGGACAGGAAAGCGGCTTCCGCGGCAAGCTTGACGGGGATGACCAGATCGCGAACACCGGCGAAAATCGGGGGTGCGAGCAGAGCCAGGTGTGGGCGGGTCAGTTCGGGGTGCAGACGGCTCACAGTCCGAATCACGACCAGCGTCAGACGACGGGTGTCGGATGGGGCACCCGGCGGAATGACGGGGGCCAAAGCCTCGAAGATCATCTTGTGAGTCTCAAAGCTGTGGTTGCCATCCTCAGCCAAGAGGAATTTACCAGCGGCAAGAACGCTGTTATCAGAGATGAAGGGCTATAATCGTAGTCAGTATCAAAATTAACCGCTCGGGAGAATCACTGCGGTTTCTACTTACGTCCTTGTGCGCGATACCCTGGCAAATAGCCGCGGGAGTCTCCTCGGCAAAGTTCTCAATCATGGTGCCAGCAGCCTCAGCCAAAAGGGCGTTCAGGCCAAGAACAGAGACATGCGAGAATTGACCGTTGAGAACTCGGTTCTTGATGACAGGAACCGCAGTAGTGGGAGGGAGGACCTTGACAAGCAGGCCAAGAAGGCGTGCGTTGGTGATGGCGACAGCATCTGATGATACACATTAGTTTATTTGGAATTGAAATTGCATCAGTTAAGATTTCACTTACCGGTCTGGTCGCTGGCATCATCGTCAATGAGACCAAGGATGGCAGTCCGGGACGCCTCGCTCATACTAGCACCGGCCTTACCAACAACCTCTTGAAGAGCCTTCATCATGGCATTCTTCACACCAATATCAGAGGTCTTGGAACCAGTGATAAGCTCGGCAATGAGGGGGTCAACACGGGGGGTCAGTGTAATCAGAATGCCAAGACCCTTAGCGGCGCGATTACGCAGAGTCTCGCTGGTAGTATCTGCCAGCCCACGGGCAAATGTGCGCTGAAGCTGGGGCAGGAACGGCTTGACAGCCAGAGGAATCTTCTCTAGGAGCTTGTTGATGGTGTAGAAAATAGCGCCTGATTATCTTGTTAGAATATTATTAAATTTTGGGTTGACGAGATAAGAGGGACTTACTCTTGATGTCGGTTGAACGTTCGGAGACAATACGAATCAGAGGACCAGTGATCTGGGTGACGAAAGGCTTAAGGGAGTTCGCGTTCGTCCGGTCGATGATATCAGACATGGCGAGAGCCGACTGAACACGCTGCTCGACGCTGCCGTTAAGTAGACCTTGGAGAAAGATAGGCAAAATAGCCATGATACCCTTGGGCAAGCTGAAACCAGGCAAGTCCGCACCGGCGACGCCGACCTGCCGCAGGTTTTGGCGGGTGGGAATGACCAGAACCTCCATCTCCTCCTTGCGCAAGTGGGAGGTAAGACCGCTGAGAGCGGTCCATGCTGCCTTGACAACCTCCTGGTCCCGGTCGTCGAACGAGATCAGCAGGACGCGGATCAAGTCCTGGTGGTAACGCGAGTAGTCCATTTCAACGTCCGAGAAGAACTTGTTGAGGTGCAGAGCAGCCTTGGCTCGGCGGTGGTGGTCGTCGTGCTTCATGAGGGTCATCATCACGTTCATGGCCACGTTCAAGCCATCAAACTCATCGACAGACACCAACACGGTATCGAAGGCATTCTCGAGTTCCGAACGCAAGCCGTCGTCGGTGGTCTCGAGGATACCGTCCATGAGAGCGTTGAGGATATTTGGCAGTCTTCTCGTCATGGCGGAGCCAGCAACCTCGGCCAAGGATGCCAGGGCTCTGGCATTGAAAGCCGAGATAGGCGGCGTGAGTAGCGTAGGGATAAGATTGGGGAGAATGATGTTCGCGCGGGTCTGCTCCGTCAGGAGAGTCAGAAGAGCAGACAGGGCCTGCTCGGCTTCTTCGTCGTTGCGAAGCAGGTGGAGAAGGTAAGGCAAAACCTGGTCGACAGCCTTCTTGCCCAGAATCTGCTGCAAAGCGTCGAAGGCTTCGGCAGCAGCCTCACGCACATCTTCATCGTTGTCGACCAGAGCCACACGCACAGTGGAGATGAGAACCTTCTCGTAGTCTTCCAAGCCCTCAGGGGTCGCAGAGCTGATAAGCTCACGCAAAGCGATACATATACCCTGCTTGACGTCGACATCGGGGGAGGTCTGGAGACCTTCCTCGAGTAAGGGCAACAAGGTAGAGAGCACAGATTCGCCAGCCTTCTTGATAAGGTCGCCAAGAGCGTTGCTGGCGATAACCTTCTGCTCCATGTTGGAGGATCCGAGGCGGCGGATGATGAGCTGAGCCAAGGTCGGGAGCATGTCCTTGAGAGTTCTGGGGGAGGCGACGAGAGCCTTCCACACAGCCATGGCGGCGCTCTTGACCATACCAGAGGTATCGCAGCGACAGATGAACAGGGCCGAGAGGACCTTGTCCCTCCGCTCTTCTCCGAGAACCTCGAGCAGGGACTGGCCAGCCTGTTGAGCTTCCTCCTCGCCCTCTTCCTCAGCATCGGTCTTTCCAGTAACACCAGTAAGACTGAATAGCAGATCCCCAACCAGCTCCACGGAACTGAGACGGATACGGTAGCTGTCGTCGGCAAGACCACGCTCCAGTTCGGGAAGCAAGAGGTCGATGGCCTTGGTGGCGAAGTTCTTGACAAGCAGACGACCAGCACGCAGAGAGGTCTCGCGAATTGACTCGATATCGTCGGCCAAACCAGCAAGGATAGGCGGAATGATCTTGCTGAGGTAGTTAGCGAAGCTGTTTCCGAAGCAAGCGGGCAAGAAGATGAAGAGAGTCATGAAGCCCTCGCGAACGGCAGGCTTGGAGCTGGAAACGTTCTGGAGAATGGTAGGCAGGGTCTCCTCGAGACGGGTGGTTCCAAGACCAGCAAGAACCTCGGAAAGAGCCTGGGCAGATCCCAGTCTGTCACCAGCACCGGTATCCGACTTCAGAGTGGTCATAAGGTTGGGAATAAGGTCGGGCAGAGCATCCTCTCCTAGCTTCTCGATAAGTGAACCCATAGCCTTGGAAGCAGTAGCCCGAGTGGTGGGGACAGGATCGACAATGGCGAGGTTGAGGCCGGCAATAATGATAGGCAGGTGTGCAGTGAGATCCTTACGCTCAGTAAGATGCGCCAGGCTGCCAATGATTTGGGCAGACTTCCGCTTGGTAGCGGAACGGTCACCAAGACCACGTTCAAGGATACGCACGACGAGTGCCAGCGAAGGGGCGTCGAGGTAGTGCGCAAAGGACACCTTGATGAGAGCATCCAGAGCCTCATCGGTGTACTTGGTGGGATCACTCAGGGCCTTCAGCAGCACGTTGACCAGGCTCTTAATCTCGGGGTTGCTAATGACCTCGCCGAAGCGCTGGAGACTGCGGTTCGCAGCGTTTCGAACCTCCTTGTGGGTATCATTGAGGACCACGGTCAGGGGAGGAATGATGTCGGGCAGACTGGCGGCCAGCTGCTGCGGGTCAAGATAAGCCATAGCCCCCAGAAGCTCGCAAGCTCCCTTTTGACTACGCCATTGGGTATCATCCAGACCATCCAAAAGAGTAGGCAAGATCTTCTTCACACCGTAGGAGCTCAGGTTCTGGAAGCAGGCCTTGGATGCATCCAGACAAGCGTCGCGGACATCAATGCTCATATCACCGAAGCCAGCAAGCAATTGCGGGACAATCTGGATGACATAGGGCTCAAAGGTACGCCCGAGGACAGTGGCGAACAATTCGTAGGCCAGCACAGCACCCTGACGCTGATGCGGCTCCTTCTTGTTGTCAAGAGCATCAGTAAGCAAGCTCATGATGCGGAACTCTCGCAAGGTCGAGATACCCTTGCCGAGGACAATACCCGCCAGACCGTAAGCAGCGCCACGCTGGGTAGCATAGCTCTTGACGTTGAGAAGCTGGTCCAGCATCTCCTTCACGTACTCGCCGGTCTTGGGGCCAGACAGCCTGATCAAAGGAGGCAGGCACTCGGAGACAGCGGACTGAACAGACTCGGACGGAGTCGGGAGGGTTGCAAGAAGCTTCTTGATGACGGTTTGCAAGCGAGGGTCATCGCCCTTCAAGTGCCTAGCCAGCGATCCGTAAAGCACGACGACTGCCTCGTTCAGCAAGTCGGAGCTTTGAGTGGCCTTGTCCGATGTTTCCAACACAGTCTCGAGCAGCTTCATGAGTTGCTCGACCTTTTGTTGACCCCGTTGAGCGATCACCGATTTACCACTCTCAGCCATCTGGGAACGAACAGCAGAGTTCTTGTCCACAAGAGGACCACGCTCGATCAAGAATTGCAAGAAATTAATGATTTGATCGCCTTCAAAAAGACTTGTCATGGCATTGAAGGCAAGTGCAATACCGCTTCGGGGCTCCCAGACATCGGTGTTGTCCACCTTCTTGGGCATGCCATAGGCGTCCTTTTCGGGCGCCTTGGGCTTGATTTCCTCGGAGTACTTGGTCTCGAGCTCGGAAACAATACCGGCAAACTTTTCCTTGTCAAACTCAATGGCGTGGGCCAATGCACGAGCAGCAGAGCCTCGGAGATGAGAGTCCTTGGAGTCCAAGTACGTCATGATCTTGGCAAAGGCCGAGTCATCCACTTCCAGCGCATTGTCTTCCCAGATGGTTTCCGCGATCACGACATTCTCTTCCACATGGTCATGGCAGCCCAACCAGATGTGTTCGGAGAAGTCGAGATCAGTCAGGTCAATCTCGTCGTCAATCACCTGGAGTACTGAGGTTCTAACAGAAGAATCGGCAACGATAGTACCTTCCAACAGAGTCTGCAACTCTTCAGCGCTAATATTGGCGGAGATGCAGCGGCAGAAATTGAACAGAATATCTTTGATCAGCTTGTAGTGCTGAGTGTACCTTTGCATGGCGGACAGAAGCTGGCGAAGGACTTCGTTGCGGGGGAGACGAATATCAGTGAAAGAACTGGTGTGGAAGGACAAGATATCAAGCGCAAGCAGGACCTGCTCGCCCTCCTGTTCACCCTTGACCTCCTCAATGCCATTCTGGCTCAAAACCAAAGAAAGCAAGGGAAGGATATAGGCGATAGACGGGGTATCAAGAGGACGCTGTTCAGATGCAAATCGCAACTTGTACAAAATTCTTGTGGTGAGTTCTCCCAGATGCTCCAATTCCATTGTTGGCGGGAGGTTAGTCTTTCCGATGGCACGCAGTGTTGCAACACCAACGAACGGACGGATGTTACCCAGACGCGAAGATAACTCATTTGCACAGGTGACATATGCTTGAGACACAATGCCACCAACAAACAGGCCAGCACCAGCGCGGGCAAGAGAAAGCAGGCCTTCGACGGCGGTATTGATCCAGCCTTCGGCGTCATTGGCCGGGCCAGTTGCCAGGCCGTGGATGAGACCAGCACCACGCTCGATGCGCTTGACTTCTTCAAGCACCTCTTTACGGATATCGGCTTCCTTTGCAAGCTGTGCTTTGACCTTAGACTGCTCTTCGAGGGTGAGCTTCTTTGGCTTCTGGCCCTTTTTCTCCACCAATTGCGCGCGGAGTTCTTCCTCCCACTTTAGAGTGTCATAATCCTTGGTGTTCTTGTCAAAGGCAGGCTGCTTGGACTTGCTGCTCAGCACGTCGACGAAGGTAGTTCCCTCGGGAGTACGTGCAATGGCAGCATCAGTCGCGGTGAATTTGGAAAGACGAGCACCATCAAGATCCTCCTTTATCTGGTCGACAAGGCGGGGAATCATGACCTCGGGGGCCACGAATGCCAGGTCGGCCGCAGCACTCCAGATAGCAGGGTTGACATTAGGCACGATCGATTGAATAGGGTCGGCGTTGACACGGACCAGCCGTTCGATGCATTCGGTCTGATGGGCGCGAACCAGGTTTCCGGGGTCGATGCCTGTCCTCAAACACAAATCGATCCAAGATGCATTTGGAACCATCTCAGGACGGCTAAGGAGCAGGATGTTGATCAGCTGGTTTTCGAGATCAGAAATGGTTTCCGATCCTTCCTTTGGGGCCGATGTGGGACACAGAGCCCTCAAGACCAAGTGCAGCAGGCGCTCGCTTCCCGGTCCAGCAAAAACAGCAGCTGATTCCTTCTCGTGAGTACGGTGGGAAAGAATCCAAGTCCAAAGAGCCTTGACGACGATACCACCGATAGCGGCCGCATCCTTCACGTGGACGCTCGACAATGTTTCCACTGCATTTTCACGGTGGTTGGTAGGCATGGCCGGGGCAGTAATGGCAAAAATGAAGGATTGAGCCCAGGCAATCTTGGCCGCTTCTTCAGCCGAGGCAAACTTGGAACCGGAAGTAACAGCAGCCAGAGACCGGACGAACCATTGCATCTCGGACTTCGTTGTCACCTTCGAGTAGGCTCTGGGGTTCAGCAGGAACGAAGGCTTCGAACCCATTGTCATAGATTGCGACACCTTTTCCTCCCAAGTGGACTTCTCCGTGCCTTCAATGTCGGAGGTTCTCTGGAAGAGAGCCAGGAAGACGTACGCGGATGACAATGCACCGCTTTGAGCCGACGGCAGTGCGTTGGAAGCAACCTCGCCAAACAGGTCTTTCATCTTCGCAAGGAATTTGGACACAAGTGGCTCGACCTCGGGACTCTTCAATGAGGTAGCGTCGGCCTTCCAAAGGACCTCTCCAACATTGAGTTGCCAAAGCTTGCGAAATGGGATTCGCTTGTCGGCAACGCCCTTGACAATAGCATTGACAATGTCGTCGCTGACCTTAACATTTGATTGAATCAGGAAAGCGAGGTGCTTGCTGAAGGCCTTGAGCTCGCCCTCGAGAGCAGCTTCATTAGACTCCTTGTTGAAGACCGGCCCGAATCCTGTGATAATCTCTTTCGAGACGCCAATTGAGAATGGAATCGCCGCAATGGCTTGCGCATAGGCAACACGGTGCTCGGGAGTGGTGATCTTGTTCGTCTTGAGAGGGCTGACAATCTCGCTCGTGATCTTCAGGACCAAGGCGTCGGACTTGCATCGTGAAAGCAATGACCCGAAGGCGTCAGCGGCGCCTTGCCGAATGGCCGGGTTGTTCGACTTCATACTAGCCAACAAGTGCTTAGAGAGACGGGACTGCACCGTCTCGGAGAGGTCAATCTCCGCGGACAGCGAGTCGCTAAAAGGCGGGATCAAACCCGTCAGAATTACTTCGGGTGCTCGCAGCATAGATTTCTCCATCGGAGGCACCAGCTCGGTGGTCACATCTTCGGACGTGACAAATGACTCCATGAAATCTGACAATCCACCGGCGATGTGTGAGGGCACCACAGTTTTCGAACTGACGATCTGATTGACGTAATAATCCAGAATGGCCTTCTTGGACTCCTCCAAAATGGGCTTCCTGGCGGGAAGTCGTGCGCATACCCCGGAGATGACGCCCAAGAAAAGCGCGTTCTTATTTCCGGCGGCCGAGTCCGTAGTCAATCGGCTGACGGACTGGCGGACAGCGTCCTCGCCCCATGTCTGAGAAGAGAACACGGCACGCAGAGCACGTCTTGTCACCCGCAGGGCCGACTGCTTCACTGGCGTCTTGGGCGTGTGGGCAAAGCAGTTCTCCAATGCCTTGGCATCCACGGCGATCAGATCCAAGACAATTGCCAAGGGTGTCGCCTGATCCTCACTGACTTGCTGCAACAGGATGCAGCACCATTCCAACAGAACGAAGGCCGACGATGAGGCCAGTCCGGGCTTGCCAGCTTCGATCTTTAGTTGCTCGGTTAGGTATTTGAGAGATTCCGCGGCGTTCGGGGTTTGGAGGAGGGCGCGGAGACATTGGTGCACCGCCTGTCGGGATGATCGGTCGACGTAGAGAGGGTAGGTCTGGAAGAGTAGCGCGATAATATCTTGATGAGATTCGGGAGGTATTTCGGTCCCTATAGAGGCATGCATTAGCACCAAATTTCATGAAACCAGCCAGTCCTCTGCGATTGCACTTACCGCTCTTGTCGCGAAGTTCTTGCAGGGCCCGGAGCCTGCGCGAGGTCGAACTCGAGAAGAGTGCGACCCGCAAGGCTTCCAGGTCCCCAGTCTTGACCTGGTCCCATGGAATTGGATCCATGATCGGAGGTCAATACAGGGGAGTGGGTGGGTTGAGGTGCGGTGAGGTGAGGGAGGGAATTTGGTGAAGTGGGTTGGGATCGCTCGAATGCTGTCATAAGAGTTTTGTGTGGGGGGGACGAGCTGGTGCCGCCGCCCTTCAACAACAACCATGGCCGCACCTTGATTTCGACACTCTCCACCAACCCTCTCAGTGAGTCTTCGGCGCCGCTTGGCCTTCGCATCGCTTGGCGAAGTCTTTTCTAACTGTTCATTTGCGCGTGCTCCCATAAAGACCCCTCCCCCTCCGACAATGCCGCCGAACAATAAAAAGAAGAAGAAGCCCGCGTCCAACCCTGCTCGAGGCTTTGCCACGGTCTCTGTGCCCTCGAAGCCCAAGACAGAGAGTACTGAGACTCCATCCACAACCCCCGGGCAATCTACACCTACGCCGCAGAGTGAATCGCCGATCCCACGCGCTGAAGAGCCTCCCGCCGCCACCTCCGCCGTTTCCGCCTCCGCAGCGGGCGCAACGCAAGGCGACCCCTCACTACAGAGCCTTTCGCCGGAAGAGCTAGAGAAACATTTGGAGGAGTCAGAGCTACAGATCCTTGTCGATAAATATGCGGCAAAATGCAAGAGTGATGCGGCGCGCCAAGTCACTAAACTCGAGACCGAGAAGCGAGTCTTTAGACAGCAAGCGGCGTCATTGAGTCTCCTCGAATGGCTTTCGTCTGAAGTCCAGGACAAAATCCTCGAGCTTGCCAATGGCGAGGAGCACGAATACCTCACATCTGGCCCCCGGGGCGCCAACACAAAGCAGCCAGGTTCCGAGGAAGAACTCTATATGAAGATCTGGACATTGAAAGAGACGCTTTTGAAGCTAGGATTCCCGGAGAATCGAACGGAGGAAGCACTCAAGCACATACTGTTGTATTTTACCGGCACTCCAACTAGCGCTAGTCGCGATGTCGTGTGGAACTTGGACGAGTCGTTGGAGTGGCTTGCTATGCACAGCGAGAAGAAAGAGCTACCCTCGTATGTCCAAACGAACTCCCGCCCTCAAAAGGATGCGGATAGTGTTACCTCTTGGATGATCGGTAAGTTTTTCACTTCGACAAGTACAGCTCCAGAACGAAGTAATAACTATCCATAGACTCCGACCCTTCGCGATCCTCCACCCCAAAAAACCAAAACAAACAAGATAAACCAAAAGATGACTGGAAGGCAGCCAAGGTTGCTCCTCCCGTTTCGTACGACTCGGATAGCTCGATAGATCCCGACTCAATGGTTCCTGAGTGGCTGGACATGCAGACGCGGCTTTACGGTCTTCACCCCGAGCTGTTCGATCGCCCAGGAAAGGGAAAGAAGGGCCGTGGTGCTGCAGTCGGCCAGTCCGATAATCCCGAGGCGGCAAAACTTCAGCGCAAGATTGCAAAGATTGAACGGGATGTCCTCTTTGAACGCCGAGAGGCCGAATACATCTGGAAGGACAAACTTGAAGAACTCCGGAAGGACGCTGCATTTCTACGCCAGGTGGATCGGAAGAAGCAGAGCCAACAAGGAAAGCCGCTCGTTGACGAAGACCCTAATTTGACTGTGCCAACATTGGAAGAGATGGATGCCGGCGATGCTCTTGGAGACATGTTCTCAGCTGAGCCCGCAGACGGCTCGATCTTGGGACTACCTCCTCCGGTGGTGGAAGCCGCATTGACGATTCGCGACTTTGGAAAGTTTTCTGGTCTTAGTCCGCGACGCATTCTTGAGGAGGCATGCAAGGCTAGGGACTCGTCATGCAAAGTTGTCTACCAAGACATCTCGTCCTCGGGGCACCAGAAAAGAATGGCCGTGGAAGTGCGATGGTCGAAGCCTCAGGATCCTCCGTATCCCTTGACCATTGAAGCAATCACACACAAATCGAACGAATTCGCGACTTTTGTTTCAATGGATGCGCTTGCTACACCCAACTCCCAGCAGGCCGAGGGATATGTGTCAACTCTTGCTCTCTTCATCATATCTCCCCAGAACTCGAAGGAAAGCAAGTCTAACCTCCGATTACCTGCAGTTTTTAGAGATCTTTGGACGGAATTCGCCACTTTGAAAAAGACCCAAGAAGATGAGATCGACAAGAACACCGTCAAAGATCTCAAGCGCCTCGTCCAGGAAAACCAAAGTACCATTGAGGACGATGTCGTGCTTTTGGACAATTTCCGGAAGAGAAACGGAGCTGGAAGCAAACCCGGTAGTCCTATGAGGGGTCCGACTCGAGATGGCTATCTTGGCCATGACGACCAGTTGCGCGAGGCGTGGGCTGCCAAGTCCTCCACCTCATCTTTCCACCGTATGATGGAAGGCCGAATGAACCTGCCTATTTGGAATTTTAAAGACGATATTCTGAACACCCTTGAAACCCACCGCGCTCTCATTATTTGCAGTGAGACTGGTAGTGGAAAGAGTACTCAGATCCCGTCTTACATCCTCGAGCATGAAATGCTACAAGGGCGTCCCTGCAAGGTTTATGTGACGGAACCACGCCGTATTTCGGCAATATCACTGGCCAGACGTGTCAGTGAGGAGCTGGGAGAAAGCAAGAATGATGTGGGAACCACCCGATCTATCGTTGGTTTTGCCGTAAGACTAGAGAGCAAGATCAGTTCAACCACACGTCTTGTCTACGCGTAAGTGATTTTCCACCGGAAATTTGCTCTGGTGTGATTTTCTAACCTCAATACAGTACCACTGGTGTCGTCGTGCGAATGCTGGAGCGACCCGATGATTTCCAGGACATTACTCACGTTGTTCTGGATGAGGTTCACGAGAGAACTATCGACAGTGACTTCCTTCTTGTCGTTCTGCGGAGACTGATGCAGAAGCGCCCCGATCTGAAACTTATTCTCATGTCCGCGACGCTCGAAGCACAGCGCTTCTCGAACTATCTCGGTGGAGTTCCAGTGCTGAACATTCCTGGACGAACATTCCCTGTCGAGATTAAGTACCTCGAGGATGCCGTGGAGATGACCAACTATCGTCTATCCGAGGACGATAAATATGGTGCCCTCGACGATGATCCTGACGAGATTTCTGATAGCACTGGTGACAATGCTGGCGGGCTTCAGGCCAGTCTTGAAGGGTACTCTAAGCAGACACGGGAAACGATTTTGAATTTCGACGAGTATCGCATTGATTATCAGTTGATCAAAAAGCTTCTTTTGAAGATTGCGACTGGCCCTGAGATGGACCATTACAGCAAAGCAATTCTGGTCTTTATGCCTGGTCTAGCTGAAATTCGTCGCTTGAACGATGAGGTTCTTGCAGAGCCGACCTTCCAGAATGGCTGGATTGTGCATGCTCTTCACTCGTCCATTGCTAGTGAGGATCAAGAAAAGGCTTTCAACGTTCCACCCCATGGCATGAGGAAGATTGTCATTGCTACCAACATTGCAGAGACTGGTATGAAACCATCTCTTCGTTACAGATGAACTATTCTAACATTTTCCAAAGGTATCACCATCCCTGATATCACTGCAGTGGTGGATGTTGGAACGGAGAAGACCATGAGGTAGGCCCTACACTTAGCAACCTATATCCTAGAGCAAATACTGATCTCTCGACTAGATTTGACGAACGGAGACAACTTTCCCGGCTTGTCGAGTCCTTCATCTCCCGTGCAAATGCCAAACAAAGACGCGGTCGAGCCGGTCGTGTCCAAAACGGCATCTGTTTCCACCTCTTCACCAAGCACCGACATGACAAGTTGGTATGTAGATTTGCCTGACCTTACCAGCAGATCAAGATATTAATGATATTAACAAAAAACAGCTTGCAGAACAACAAACACCGGAGATGCTCCGACTTTCCCTCCAAGACTTGGTCTTGCGAGTTAAGATCTGCAAACTCGGTGAGGTCGAGCAAACCCTCCTGGAAGCTTTGGACCCTCCGTCGTCCAAGAACATCCGACGTGCCATCGATTCTCTCAAGGAAGTCAAGGCTCTTACCAGCAATGAAAGTCTGACACCCCTTGGATCGCAGCTGGCAAAACTCCCGCTGGATGTCTTCCTCGGAAAACTCATTATCCACGGTGCATTCTTCAAGTGTCTCGATGCGGCAGTCAGCATTGCGGCTATTTTGTCTTCCAAGTCACCTTTCGTGAACACAATGGGTTCCAACACTCAACGGGATGCAGCTCGCGCGTCGTTCCAGAGGGGTAAGCTACACACGCCTACCTTTGACCTTCACTTAGAGTAGCACTAATCCAAACCAGGCGACTCGGACCTCTTGACAATTTACAACGCCTACTGCGGCTGGAAGCGCGCAAGAAGCACGCCCGGATCCAGCGAATTCGCCTTCTGCCGCAAGAACTTCCTCAGTCCCCAGACACTGCAGAGCATCGAAGACGTGAAGATGCAGCTCATCGTCTCGATCGCGGACACGGGACTCTTGAATCTCGACGGAGCCCAGAAAACAGCCCTCAACCGGTAAGTCTTTCCTCCGTCTCAACTTCAATCTAGAAGAAATCCCTAATACCCAGCAGAGCCCGCTCGGGCGGCCGCCAACGCCAATTCTTCACCATCCCAGAAGAACACGACATCAATAGCGCCAACGACACCGTCGTCAACTCCGTCGTCGCCTGGAGCTTCTACCCAAAACTCCTAACCCGCGAAGGCAAAGGCTGGCGCAACGTCTCAAACAACCAAACCGTCACCCTGCACCCGACATCTATTAACAAGCATGCTGATTACGCGCTGAAATGGCTCTCCTATTACCACATCATGCAGGCGCGAAACCGCAATCTGAATGCCCACGACACTAGCGCTGTGGATGATTTCTCGATTGCGTTGCTTTGTGGCGATGCTGAGTTTAGGGTATGTTTCTCTTCCCCTTCTACCTCTCAGAAAATCAAAGAAAAAAATCCCGCTAATTATGAGTTAGATGTACACCGGCGTCATCTCCATCGACGCAAATAGAATCCGCTTCGCGGTCCGAGACTGGAAATCTATGCTCGCGTTGAAAATCCTCAACGGACGACTCCGCGACCTGCTCGCGTCCACATTCAAGAATCCGCACCGCCCGCTTTCTTACAAGCAGCAGCAGTGGCTGGAGATCTGGCAGGAGATTTTCACTCAGGCTGGGAAGCGCTAGTTTCTAGACATCTCTAGACACCTCATGTTCTTCTTCGAACCTTGCTTCAGGACGGGTATTGAAAGGCCAGATGGATTTATCTTTTTTTCGTGGTTTTTATTTTCTAATGTTGTTCTTGTCTGGCTGGTTCGTCGGCTCATATGAAATGATGATATGAATGGGTTTGGAATTTAGCCCGTGGATATGGTCTGGTGGTCAATGTTATGGCATGATTCTGGTCGGCGTCAAGAATAGACGGACATAGAATGGGTTTTTTGTGTATACATCAATTGGAGATACTCTGGTTTGTAAAGTGTCTATCATCGTTTTGATTTAGATACTCCAGTGGTATATTGAAAGGCCGAATGGAATAGAGCATTGCTTCAAATATCTTCACAACTTCGAAACTCCGTTAAGAGTCTCCAAATTCTACAGTGTAAAACTAAGTCTCATTGACCGATAGGAATTGTAAAAAAAAACTCACAACCTGCCAAGTAAAGTCAAGAAATCATAATCATTCATTACCATCATATCATCTCTCTAAGAACCAGAAACCAGAAAAAAGAAACATGCCAGAACGAGGGGATTAATTCCAATGCGAAGAACCTTGGAAACGATCTCCGAATCACAAACATACGTAAAATAGAATCCCCACGAAATGCCAGGATAAAGCATTTCAAAGTATTTGGAAGCCCACCCCATTTCTGCCAACCACTTCCATCTACCTCTACCACGGTGGGAGGGAAGGAGTAGTGGTGTCGAGTGGAAATAACAAGCTTGACAACGCGAAATCGAAGAGAATCAAGAATAATCAAAAATGAGCAGGCAAGAACAAGCGTAAGCGATGAGACATCGCACATAGAAGATTCGTTATATGAGATTCGTTACATCATAGTCATCAAGGCTGATTCTCTTCCCCTTTTTTGAATATTGCACTTGCACCACTAGGTAGGTAGGCAAGAGACAACAGGGGAGAGAGTCAACCGATTCATCACAAGTAAAAAGGACGCTAATACCCCAAGAAAAATAAATTTTATCTCCCGAACCAGAGTTGAAAAATGGTGAGAGATGAGGTTGGTGTCACTGCGTGATAAACGCCCGAGAGTAGGATAACCCCAGGAAGTTGTGTTGTGTGTTTTGTGTTATGTTTTTGGTTTTCTGAGAGATCGTCTGATTAAAGCCAGAAATGCAATGGCGAGGAGAAGGTGAGTCCACTCTCTTCCTCAAGCCCGTTAAAACTTCATGGGTTGCTAAACCGGGATAAAAGCAAATGAATCAGACCGAATCCGAGTCTGCAGGTTGTCGAATCGTGTGAAGGATTTTTTTTTTTTTTTTTCGCACACGAAACCACAGTCTATCAAGCAAAACTCCGAACCAGAGAGGGGAAGGGATGTCGTGAGGCGTGATGAATGTAAGAGGCCTAAAGTTTTCAGACCCAATGGCAGTGGCAACTGCTTATCGACGACGGGCCATCACCGCGCCAGTCTTCATGGGCTGCAGGATGGGCGCTCCGCCGACGGGACCACCGAGAGTAGTATCGGTCAAAGTCTTGCGACGCTTGGTGCTGTCATATTCGCCAGCACTTTCGGGTCGGATGACCTCGTCGTCCTCGCGCATGCGCTTGGTACCGGAGCCACCCATGGATCCGTTCATGGACGTCGAATACACAGGAGTTGTGTTCGAGGCCATGGAGTACGGATCCGAGCCATTGGCAGGAGTGCCTCGAGTATCACTGACAGCGTTGTAGAGGGTGGTCGCCGCCGCTGGACGAGGGGGAGTGTTATATCCCGAAGCCCAGTGAGGCGGGGGTCCACCGCTGGTACGAGGAGTCATGCGGCCCGATCCGTTCTGCTGCGGTGATCCCGTCATTTCAGGGGTGAGTTGCGGGTGTTCACCGGTCAATGAGCCGACAGACTGATTGGTGGTGTAGGTGTACGAGCCGCGGTTGGCATTGTACGCATTGCCTTCCTGCAGGTACTCCGATTCCTGCTCTGAATCACCGGGACCATTGGTCTGGGAGTAACGGTCAGATTTCAGATCAGAAGTTTCGGTCTCAGGAGCACCTGGAGCCCGACCAGACGGCGGTGCCATGTCGTTCTTGAGATAGCTCACGTTGGGGAGACTCTGGCCGTAGCTCGACAGACCGGATTGGGTCATGGGCGTCTGCGGGGCGTATTGCGAGTGCGATGGGGGCGGCGCGGAGTAGTACGATTTCGAGCTATCGTAGCCGGACTGGCCCTGGTAGGGCGGCATGCTCTGCATGTTGTTTCCTGGCGGCGTGGTGGCAGGCGTGGTCGGCATGGAGCGCTGGTTGCTCAGGGTCGTGTCTATCGAGAGCGGCTGCTGCGAGTGTGGCATGGCCTGGCTTCCCCATTGGTAGCTATCCTGGTTGGTCACACCCATCAGACTCGAAGCGCTGGCGGGAGGCGTGGGAAAGGTGTTGGCGCGGTCAAGGCCGGGCCGCGGGCCGCCAGCCATGGACGAAGGCTGGGACATGTGCGAGGACATGGGGGTCTGCATGGCGTGGTGGTGCAGGCTCGAGGGCTGAGGAGCCGTCGGTGTCCGCTGGGGTCCAGCAGGAGGTCCCTCCAGGCGGCGGTTCTGCGACTCTTGCACGACCATGTTGGTGCGGGTCTGGTTTGCCGGGTGATACAGCAGACCACCGATGTTGTGCACAAAGAGAGGATACAAAAGATCGGTGATCTTCTCCTTGTTGGCAAACTCCAAAGCGCGTTCGAAGGGGATCCTGATTAAAAAAAAAAGTTAACAGTTGATCTTGAACAGACAATTCAGTGGATACCAACGTACCAGACACCCTTAAGGTGCATTGGGCCAATCTTGACCACATGTCGCAGCTTCTCGCTCTTGAGGATACCGTCACGACGGCCGCGAGTCATACCCGCCACGTTCAGCAGCTTCGTACCGTTAATCATATGGTTGTCTAATGCAGAGTTAGTGAAAATCGTCCCAACCGATGTATAGAATCAGACGTACCCTCTCTCCGTGCCACACAGACACCCTTGGCTTCCACCTGGTAGCAGAGACTACCTTCGTCTTCCCACAATGTGGCAGTCACTCGAGGCTTGGCTCCTGGAGGAGCAACCTGACCCGTCGGGTCATAGACGTATCCTTGCAACGGCGCTCCTGTGCTGTTTCCATATCCCGGCGGAGCAGCCGAATGGTTCGACACTGCTTGCGACATGTGGATTAGTATCAGGTCTATCATCATCTGATCTTGCGAATTTTCTCTCAACTTACCTGGCAACGGCAGCAACTGCGCGGGCATCTGTCCGGCCATAGAACTGGGCGGCGGCGGGTGGCCCGTCGGTGGCGATGTCACGCCGTTGGGATAGCCGTACTGGGGGTACGAGGCGGGGGCATAGGACGACGCGGGCTGCAGCACCGGGGGCTGCTGGTGATAAGGATAATGCGACATGGCGCCGGCGGTCACGCCCTGCGAAGCGTATGGTTGCGCGGACGACAGATGGGAATGGACATCCATGTAGGGCTGCGGCTGGTTCATGCTGCCGAGCGAGGTGGGACTTGGGTAGTAGGCCTCGTGGGCGACGCCGTACTCGGACTCCAGCGAGAGGCGGCCCTGGGTCCCCAGATCGGCGGGAGGAGGACTTCTGGGCTCCTGGATGGCGGAGGCGCTGGAGAGACTGGTGCGCGCGCTGGAGCTGGGCTGGTATTCCTGGTAAGGGTTGCGCGTGGGCGCCTGGGAGGCCGTCGGCAGATTGAGACTGAGCGCAGGGAGCTTGTCCGGCAATAACGGGCGTTCGGCCGCGTGGTGGTTGTACCAGGGGGTATCAGCAGGACCGCGGGTGTGGACCTGCGAGATCGACGGCAGCTCCAGCTTTTCGGTTTCACGGGGAAAGAATGGGAAAAGAGGGGGAGAGCGAGGGGAGGCCGACGGACGGTGGGGAGGTCCGACGAGCCGTTCAAACACCGGGTTTTGCGGGCGACAGCGCAGGTTGCACGGCGTACGAGAAGGGGTGAAGAGCGAGAGAAGAGAGGAGGGGTTGAGCAAAGAGGAAGTCCCGGGGGTCAAGTCTCAGCGGCGGCGCTGAGCAGGCAAAATGCAAGAGAAAAGTCCAAACGACAAGCACTTTTTTGATGCAGCTGGGTCAATGCAATGGCGGATCAGACAAGAATCATTCAGAGGTCATGAACAGTCGTGACAAACATGAAGAACAAAGGACATGCAGCGCAAGAGGACAGAGAAATAAGGCCGCAGCCCACAAGGGAGGTTTTACAGAAGGAGGCTGGCGTGCAGCAAACGCATCCCTCTGCAGTTCACAGGAAGGGGGAGCAGGAACACATAAGGAGCCGCAGGCGGGAAAGTCGATCAGTGGAGGGATGACTAAGAACGAGGGTCGCTGGGAGGAAGAGGTGAAGAGGCTGGGATGCAAAGTGGAATGTGCAGAGAAATCCCGGCGCGCCTTTTTGAGTGTTCTGCTCAACCGAAATAGCATCGAATCACGGTGGACCCGGGTGGAGAGGGGGGAGATCGAGTCAACCGCCACCAGAAGCAAGGACGAAATAGAATCATCATGCTAAATCAGGGAAGAAAAGAAAACGAAAATGGAAAAACGAAAATGGGCGATGCAGGGACGGGGATCCACCGGGGACGCACTGGCGGTATGGGCACGCACTTGCCAGATACCCTGCCCGGGCAGATCATCCATGTACACTACAGTACATGTGTCGGCCTTAGAATATTTTATGATCGTGATACTACGATGATAGTAAAGTATGGTACAAGTATACGAACGTTGTTTACTCGACCCGAGCATCCTGCCATAGTAAACGGCAGCAGTTCCATGGTTCTCGCTGACAGTCCCACCGGAACCAGGGATACACACATACTACGATGAACGCCCCGTACTATGGACGATGGACTAGTAGTGAACAGTTAGCATAGGCAGGTCTCGACTCCGATCGACGGGTCCCGTGCAAGACATGATGGTGTTAGCTCGGCGGCTGCACAGTCGATTATCGTTTCAACTTAGCGCTGTCAGTGTAGGCACTCGAGAGGTACGGGGACGTCACCCACCTCCTGATTTGGAGTCACATACTACACTATGTAGAGTAGTTAGACTCCGCGTAATAGCGATCATCCGAATAATGGAACCATAGGGCTCGCAATCACTAAGTATAATTTAATTGATGGATCTCCAATTGATCGATCAACACACACACGGACTCCCGTTCCGACTGGCGGCCCGTCGATCTCCGGCGGGTACTCTACTCTTCGTTACTACACCACCGAGGTATCCCAGTACCCTCTGTACTCACAAGCAGCACTCCCCGCTCTCTACACTCACTCTCGCAGAGAGTGAGTAGAGTGAGTGGGCGATAGCCGACACAATGCCTGAGCAAGGCCCGAGCAATCGGCGTCACACCCAAGGGATGGAAGGAGGGCAATCAGTGGCTACGAGGCCACCACGCACGGGTGGCTTGAGTCGATCAAGGGTCTGTTCTCTCGGGATCCCTGCCAGTGCGACGGCTGTGCGTTTACCGAGCCCGGATCGAAACATCCCGTGACGAGGGCGGTTGGCTGGACTCTCAGCTAGCAGAAGCTAGAGGCCAGTAGTGCGATGGCGTGGTGGCCATGACGTGGAGAGACCTCCTTGCCTGAGGACTGTCTTGGGAGCCAGCAAGTACTTACTCAGAGGCAATTCACCGCCAGACTCCTTACATCCGCAACACGGTTGACAGATGTCAGAAGATGACAGGGGCATTCCTGATGTATCTGCTGTTCCGGCCACGCTATCGGGGAAATTATTTGATTCTCTCAAGATTATTGAGTACACCGGGTCACCATATTGACTGTAAGTAGGGTAGATAGATTACGGGTACGAGAGGAGAGACCGGGGCCCCCCCCGGTCGACTCCAGCTCATGGCCATTTCGTCGAATCCGCGGCTCGTCATGTCTTTCCCACGGACCCTGTTTTGGTCCGTCGGAAAGAAACGGGGCATGCGATCAGGCAGCGGCGCGTGGGTAACTTGCCTCGATGGGGTTAGGGGTATGGGATCACTGTGCTGACCTGGAGGGGACGAGTAGACTGTAGGGTACCCGAAGCTCAGCAGCCCTAATACCTGAGGAATGTACATATGCATCGGTGACCGGACCTGGCCATAGCTCTTACGATATTAGGGTATTTGTAATTGCCCGTCATTCAACTATCATCACTCGTCAATCGACACATCCCATAGATAGGAATAGCAATGCTAGTGCTAATCCTCGCCGAATCTCGAGCTAGACAGAATGACACTCACTAGTCTACTCAAGTACCACTCGATCCCTGCACGCAGCTCGCTATCGACGGCCCGATACCCGCTGCGCAGCGTACAGTAGGCGGATCCGCCCAATCGAATAGAAAACCCTGCAAAGGCCAGGTAAAAAATGAGAAGGGGGATGGGTGGAGGGTTGGTGGAGGAGGGGCTGGGGATGGTCCACCACACTAGGGCCGGCCGGTCTTTTTTTTGCTTTTTCCTTGGTGCGATATTTGTTCAGAAAATATTTTCAACGCGAAAATCAACGTCCTTTCGGACACGACGACGGATCTGCCCAACCTCCCCCCTCTTTCCTCCCCGGGGCCACCGGATCACAATCACATTTGATGAGCTTGGGCCAGTCCCCAACCAGTGCTCGTCTTGGTGCGGTGGGGACTTTCACACAGATTGGAGGTCCAGTGGACACGCCCTGGGCCACCTTCGGGGGCTCCACCCGCGCTCACGGGGGGTGGATGTATCATGTTGCGTCCGAACCGTTGAACCGTGATTCGAAAAACAAGGGCAGCGAGCCTGGTCGACCGGACTTGTATGTCCCATCACGCGCAAAATGAGCAGAACCTTTCATCACGCCCTAGTCCGGGCAGTGGCTGCTCCTATTGTCCTTGTCCTGGGTCGTTCCGTCGTTCTCCCGCTCGGGTCGAGCCACGCCTCGCAGTGCTTTTGCTTTTGGCGAAAGCTCTCCACTCTCCGCTGAGGGCTATTGTTTGGAGCATAGACCATCTTCGATCGACGGGTTCGCCCGTACCTTGCAGCGACGAGTTACCCTGCAGCCCCATCCGTGCAGGCTGACATTCCGCGGATTGGCCTGAGGTTGTGGGCAGTACATCCAAGATATTTGATACTGCGGTACACTGTAGGCTGTTTTTTCTTCATCTCTTCTCGGCGAAGAGAATATCTTTCCTGTGATTTGTAAATACATGTATTTGCCATCACTTTGCTCTTCACAGTGCAGTCCCCGCTGACGGTGGGACAGCAGGACTTTTGGTCGGACAAGAAATTAGTGTCGGGATGTCGAGCAGGGAGACCCCGGTCAGCGAGGATGATGGCCGAGCATTTTTCCTCGTTTCGTCGCGATGTGTTGTACGGGCGGTTGATTCGCTCCGGGGGATTGTGGGAGAGAAGTGGGGAGTGTGGAGTGCGAATCTGGCAAGTGCGGGAGTGCGTAGCAGTACAGTCACGCGTTGCTGCCACCCCTCACCACCTTTGGGCAAGTCCTCCGCTCTTCCTCGCGACCTCCACCTCAACCTCCTCTTACCCAGCGCTAGCTCGCCACGAATGACAGCGCACCACTTACCCGGGGCCGTGCGACCCCGATTTAACCTCGCATTGCATTGTCCCGTAAGAGATCGACTGCACGTTCATCGTGCCTCTAGCTTCCTTTCGACCTGCTCCTGGTGGTCCTCCCTAATTGTCCTGATTTCCCCCGAGACCAATCCAACCACGACCGGTCTGGTCGCTCCTCCGAGCCCACCATCGTGATCACCGGAGACTCCCCGGGAAAAGTCAGAGAGGGGGCGCAAAGGTGTAACGACGCTAAGAGCGGGTCGCATTGGTGGGAAAGGGAGGGGAGGCTGCAAGCGCCCGCCGATCGACGATCCGACCGGACAATGACTGGCGGTGGCCACGACCACGTAGCGGGCGCCGGCCTAGATCGTGGTGGATTCACCGCCAGTTGCCCCCCTTGCGTGCAGACGTGGCACAGGATTATCTCATGCCTCCACCGGGCTCCACCCGTTGAAGTTGATGTGCTCGGAGGCCTCAGCTGGACTCTGACCAAAGACGGAGCAGACTGAAGAGAGGAGAGAGGGGTCATCACCGGTCAGGGCGGTCCGAATTGAAATTGTGAGAGAGGAAGAAAATAAAAAATATAAAAAATAAAAAACCCTCTCCCGAATAGAAACCCAGAAACAGCAGGAATCATCAGAGCTGAAACCAAAATCCAAATGATCGGCACGATGTCAGCGATGGGCAGACGGCCCTACAACGGACAGCTCTTGGACACTAGGGTAAGGGCACACACAGATGGCCAGATCAGATCAAGCCTCTTCCAGTAAGAGAGGCTAGCTCGAGACTCGACTCGGCTTGAACCAGAGTTGATGTACGACATTCTGCCCTGCCCCCCTAATGCACAAGCCCCGGGACGTGCTGAAGGGCCGGTCAATGCTCAAGGTGCAGCTGTTCAGTGTGCGGTGCCACAGCCCATCCTGTCCCTCGTTCGTGCGAGTCAACCACCGCCAGACTCTGGAGACTCCAGTGTCCTCTGGGGTCTGGTCTGAGTGTCGCGCTTCACCGTCTCTTGTCAGACCCTCCCCGGACGATCGAAGAATGTAAATGCATGCACCTTATCCCCACGATGCTGCATGCGCATTCTCAATGCACGTCGTTCCACCACAACTCCTCTGCAGACAACTTCCACATACAGACTCGAGGAATGGCCGAGCAATGAGCTGGAGCCTGGTCGAGCGGGAGCTTAACACTACTGAGTAGCACTGTAGACGAGCTGTAGCATGGAGAAGGTGTGTAGCGCGCGCGAATCATACCCTCCCCATCCAAACGCGTGCGATTGCCACCATCCACAGATTCTCGAAGCATTCCTGTGCACCCATGCGTGTCTCGCTCGATCTGGACCCGATCTGTCACCAACTAACTTCCGTCACAAATCTACGATGCGAGACCCTGCCAGGATCCGGCGACTGCTGTTGCACACCGCTGGTTTCAGGTCTTCTCATTCGCATTGATTTCCAGAAATCGCTCGACTCTATTATGCTCTACGGCTGGGAATCCTTCAACAAGGGATGAGTCCGATGCCATGGCTTGGCTGGTATCACCCTCTTGTCTTGCTTGGATGTTTTGCTATTTTTTTTTTCCGACATGTGTCTCGTGTCTCTCCCCGGCCCCCGTTACCGCTAGGATCTGAGACCCAGCACTGGAATGTACTTGCGTAGACGTGCATACGGTTTGGGAGAGTTTGTGCCTTGGTTGTAGACCGACTCTTCACGCTGTCTGTAATGGGAGGTTGTCAAGCTGCTCCTCGTGCTGGTGGGTGGTTGGCCGTTGATGCTCCCCCTACCTTCCAGTAGCTGAGCATCGAGCGAGGTCTTACTACGTTGCGTCTGGCTCAACTTTGTCCCTGCGAACGCGGTCGGCTTCGGCCTCTACGTGCAGCGGGTACGTGCTAGCCACAATGCATCGGGACCTGGCACGGTGTACAGAGCTGTGCAGAGATCTCGGAACGGGTTGCAGCAGGCTTCTGGAAGCGTAGATGCATTTGTGACAAGGGTGCCGATGCGGCGTAGCGGATTGAGGCTGAGGGAGTCAATATGAGAGGTAATAGTTTGTTAGGTCTTATTCTTTGTTTAGTTGAGTGTTCCTTTATTTCAAGGGCGTGTTTATTGTGTAGGTTTCAGTTCTTTGTCGGTCTTGGTATAGTATAGGTGTGGTCTTGGCTTGGTTCTTGGTTGCTGCGGCCGGACGGATTGAGGTAGGCGTTTGTAGATTGACTATTCTTCAGGGTGAGATTCTTAATTCAATCTTTATTATTTTCGTTTTCATGCTGCCGATCGATATACAGGGCTTTTGTTTGCGTCGAGGTGTTACACATGCTGGAGGATGTGCTGGTGTCGTAAGTCAAAGAGAAGCTGGTGTCCAGGTCTTTCTTTCAATATTAATGTACCAAAAGGATCTTTTCAATTCTATATGACAGATTATCCTTTCCGTGTCTATCCTAGTGCTATTACGTAGTTCAAGAGTCTGTCTCAGTGCTAGTACCTAGGCACTGTTCATGTCGCGCAAGTCCTGATACGAACCTTAGAAGTATTCGCGCAAGTCCTGATACGAACCTTAGAAGTATTCGATGCAATCCACGCCTGCAACGAGAGTCAATTACTTGTATTGAAAACAACTAACGTCTCTCATAGGGCAAGGATGCTGTCTTCTCTTGTAAATTTTGACTTTTAATTACAGGTATAAAAGGAGTTCTCACTCAATGCGTAACTACTTTTTACAGTGCATGGCCACCACAGGCTGGATGGATGCCTTCCTTGTAAGGATGATAGTGTTGAGAGTTCGACACCATAGTAAAGGTATTCATCAATTTCTTCCGGGCTTCCGAGTTCAGCTTTATGTAGTCATATTTATCTCATGAATATTTGGCATGGTCCTGCGTAGCACTGGTACCTCTTCGCGAATGATCGAGAGTACACTGCGCAGATGGTGCAAACTTCACCACCAAAATATACGTTGAGACCAGACTACTCAACCACACCAGAACATCGAAAAGAAAACCCACAGCATCCAATAAATAATCCGAGCGCCGCTATGGAAACTAAATACCATCAACTTTTTAGAAAAAACACAGCAAAAAGAGTATCCCATCCCGACATATCACAGCCACGTGACTGCCCTTTCCCAAAACAGCAAAAACTAAACACTCCAACCATGGTTCAGTCCGCCACGGTCAACGTCACTCGACGGCGAAAACTCCAAAAAAGAAAGACACGATCCAAAATACACCGCAGTCACCCTCACGACACCAACAAACCAGCCCACCGCGGTACGAGCAACTACGCCAACAACCGAAAGAACTCCATTAAGGGCATACCTCCAAGGAACCGAACGATGCCCCCAAAAACTCACCACCCAATCCAATCAACATCAACGCCAAGCACACACATCTGGGCCGCCCACTCAGGAGGCCACCAAGTGGCAGAAAACCCATACTCAAACACAACCGCCTGGCGCGACACGCGCGCCGAGAAACTCGCGCGCCAGTTCCGGCATGGCGATTGTCTGCCCGCGAAGTCTGAGGCTAGGGGGGAGATCGAGCCAGGTGCGTTTGATGGGACGGTTCCTGCTTCGCCAGATGCGCCGAAGACAGGACATGCACATGTGAGTGCGGATTGGGGACAGGGGGAGTATAGATGGGTTTCGGATGCGGAGGCTGCGCGGTCGAAGTTGGGTGTTAGGGATATTAGGAGCTTTATGGGGATTAATAAGCGCAAGGCAGAGCAAGACGTTTGGACGGAGAAGAATTTGAAATGTGTTAAGCCGGTTGATGGGAAGGGGTTGAGTTCGAGGTTGAAGTCTTCGTCAGCTGTGCCCAACACAGAAATCGACTCCAAATCCGAGATTGGATCTGGAAAATCAGAAGAAATACCCAGCCAAACCAAGTCCGAAGCAGATACCACCACAAGCCCAGCATCAGATCCAGAAAAAACCCCCTCCCAAATCCTCCACGGAACAACAATCTACATAAACGGCTCAACGCTCCCAAGAATCTCAGACCACAAGCTCAAACACCTCCTCACACTGCACGGCGCAAAAGTCGCAAGCTACATGGCTCGGAAGACCGTCTCGCATGTTATCGTTGGCACGCCTGGGACGTTGGGAGTTGGTGCGGGGGGTGGTCTTGCGGCGAGGAAGTTGCAGGAGGAGATTTCGAGGGGTGGGTTTAAGGGAGTTAGAATTGTTGGAGTGGAGTGGTGAGTTTTTCTTAATTGCTTCATGGGAGAATTTTTGCTGAATTTGTTCTGTTTAGGGTACTTGAGAGTATCAAGGCTGGGAAACGGCTTGCTGAGTCGAGGTTTGCGGTATTGAATGTTGCGCCGAAGGGGCAGAGGAGTGTTTTTGGGATGTTTGGGAAATGAGATGATGAGATGATGGTGATGGTGATGGTCTATCTGGTTGGAAGTACCGTGCAACCAATTTGTATGGTATCTGCCCTACAGATGGCATTTGTCGAGGTTTGTTTATGCTTTTTACTTTTTGCGTGGTTGGCGTTACATTGCATCACATGGCGCGGCATGGCACTCGTAGCGCTCTGCATGATACCAATAGACTCCGTCTCATGCATCTGGAGTTAGGGATGTTTGATTTTTACTTTTCTTGGCTTGATACCCAGTCCTCGATCACGAGTACAATTGTGTTCCTATGGATCTAAATTTAGATTAATTCTTATATTAAAGGTGTAATCATCTGATATTGATCATTCATGCATTATCATCTCATCTTGTCATCCGTATCATACAATTCTGGGACGAAACAACAATGTCCAAATAAAAACCAAAACCCCATCTCACATCCAATATATCCTCTTAAACGGCAAACAGTATACATCGAATAAATCAGATAAGATCAATATACCCTAGTGTCCAGGTAGATGATGCCAACGCCGTCGTAAATGCTCAAGAAAAAATCAAATATAATGCCCTCACATGGTCCGATACTTACCCTTGGTTATGATATCACTTACATAAATGCCCCACGGTGTCCACGCTCTTCATATGTTTCGCCGTCATCACTGCTTGCTTCGGACATGTGTCGGCGCCAGCCACTCTGTGAACCTTTCGGGTTCACAGACTGGGAAGTGTTGGCGTGTGCTTCGTCTCGACTTTCGGCTGAGGAAAGAGATGCTACTCCACAATCGGAATCTGATGAGACAGATCTCATGACAGGGGCGTCGCCGCTGGCTGCGGTTGGCTCTTCTCTATCTGGAAGAGGGGGAGCGGGTTTGGGTGGCGGTGGGTAGAGAAAGAGGATTGAGAGGGTGGAGGGGCGCGGTGTGAGGAAGAGTTTGTTCGTGTGCGTGTTCGCGTGCCACCGCCTGGAAGTTGCCAGCCTTCGTGCTCATCCATGCGTTCTGGTGAAATGGAGGCATGGTATGATGGTGGAAGGTAGTAGGGGTTTGAGGCGTTGCCTTGGGAGTAGAAGGCGTGGTGGTCTTCGTAAGGCGGGAATGCCGCTGTCGACATGCTGGAGACACTATCTCCATGTGGACGACCGGCCGGCATTGGAGGAACAGGCGAAAGCTGTGGCTGCGGGAAGGAGCGTGGGTGCATAGGCTTGGCTTCATTGGCTTCGGATTCGCTGCTGGACCACCGCTCCAGTTTCTCTCCTAGGCTTTCTTCTGGGTGTGCGGCCCGGGAATCGCCTTTGACCAGACCCAGGTTTTCTTCCTCTGTCGCCGACGAGCGAAGGTCGGGGACGAGGTTGGATCGGCGGAGAATGCCTCGAGGTGGGCTTCCGGAGCGCTTGGAGGGTTGATCATGAGATCCTCCTCGCATTCGGTTGAACATGTTGTTGAAAGAGAACTGACGGCGTGCGGTATTCTCTGACAGTTCAGTCTCGCTTTCCTTGTCTGCCCAGTGAATAGATCGGGGTGTGTCGCTGCGGTCTCGGCCAATGAATCGTGGTGGAGCTTCCAGACCATGATCAGCACCGTGATACTCGGTATCGACACCGCCACTTATGCTTTTGTCATTCTGTTCATTCAGCGGGATCCAGTTTGGATGAAGCACGCTAGAAGCTCGAGACCGGACATCACTAAAGAATGAGCGCCCACTTTGCTTAGTAGTAGGTCGGTGCTCATCATCATCTTCAGGTTCAGGGTCCGGGAATCGTGACATGCCCAACGGCGGCAGGTGCTGCTTGATTGAAGGCGAGCGCGGAGTAATCGGTCGAGACATCGTAGGCCCCTCGCCAACAACCGTCTTGCGGCGGCGAATACCGTCCCATTCGATAATCTCATTCTCATTTGGCGGCCGGAGGAAGTCTTCCTGCTTGTCGTGGACATAACGCCTAGCCTCATCGGCCTCTGCAGTGCGACGGGTCGTAGAGATACGGCGGATGATAGAAGCTGCGCCACGGATAGAGTCGGCCTTGGGCTCATACTCGGGCTCTTCCTGTGTAGCAACTTCACGGATCTGGTCAAGGTCGCCCTTGAAGACCGCAGCATCGGGGACATCCTTGGCAGATTTGGACAGCTGCAGCAAGACAACGCCAGAGCAGATCTGGAAGAAGCCCATGACCACAGTGGCAATCTGGGTACCGGTACCCTTGAATCCCTGGAATAGGACAGCGGAAGTCACGATAGTCGCAGTGGTGAACATGACGTAGTAAGTCGGCGTGACGAGAGCGGCATTGAATATATTCAAAGCTTTCTGCAAAAAGTTAGCCACCATTCTTAATGAGTAAGATAAGAGATGGACGTACGTTGAGATAGATAATCTCCGTCAAAAGCGTCCCAACCACAAAAACAAACAAAACATAAAGAAACCACTGCTTAAACTGCGACTCGCCATTGATCTGCGCCAAAATAGCAGATCCCAACCCCTGCGTCGCAACCACACTCAATCCACCAACCAAACTGCAAATGCTGATATAGACAAACATGCTCTTCTTCGCATACCGGGGCGCAACCCAGATAGCCACAATAAACGAGCCCAGCAGAATAACACCCGCATACGACAAAAACCCAGGTGTAATGACAAAGTGCTGCATCTCCTGGATATTGCTGACAGACGACTGTTCGGGGGCATTCATGGCAATGACCACCGACCCAATAATACACGAGAAACAGCCCACTTTCCCGACAAAACTCAGCCGTTCTTTCAGAAATATGGCCGAGAGAATCGTCGTGATTACCACTGACAGTGCTCCGAGTGGAGTGACCAGGATCGCATCGACGAAGGCATATGCGACGAAGTTGCAGATCTCTCCAACGATCATGAGGGTCATGCCGGTCCACCACCAGAAATTCTTCAGATACCCGTATCCCTCGCCGGCTTCTTCATTGTATTTCACGTTGGCCTTGAGAAGACCGATTTTCTTCAGCACGAAGGATATACCGATGAACACGCCTGATGCGACGGCTAGCGAGATGCCGATTGCTTTGTAGACCGGGGGCGACCACTCGAGTCGGATCGGGCGAGGAGCGTCGAGGCGTGTGAGATGGTATGGGCGTCCATGGTGAGCGTTGGTCAAAATGGGTTTGAAGAGAGAAACGAAAAGGTCGAAGACCGCACTGCCAGCAGTGGGGGGTAGGAGAGTTGTCGCGGGGACAGAGTCGTCCGAAGACGAGACTCAGCGACTACTGAGACACTGCTTTTTAGGCCACTGTTGCACGGTCGGCGGATGTAAGCCTGTGACAGTATTGTGTTGTACGATAAGAGTTTTTGACGTCGGAAACTGCAGAGAGGAGTATTGCGATGCGATCTCTGCGCCTGGCTGTCTGCTAGAATGCAATGCCGATCGCTGGAATGCTTCTGGAAAAGTGCCACCACGAGGAAAACAAGGCGGGGAAAAAAGATTAGCGCCGGGACGTCAAATGGCAGGTTCTTTTCGCGGCGCGCAACTGGGGAAAAAGGTGCAAGAAGTGAGGGAGCAGTTAGTCGAGAAAGACAGGAGAGAATGATGAGAAGGAATAAAAAATAAAATAGCTATCGTTCAGGAGAAAGAACGTGCTGGAGGAATAGGGGAAGCAGAAACAGAGAGGCTGGGCCTGTGGGGAAGGCGGGTCGCGGTGGGGCGATGGACAGATGCACGATAACACCTTGAGGCATCAACCAGGCGCGGCTAATTAGATTGGAGTACCTTTAAGTACACAGGGTGTATATATGCTCACAGTAGATGATAATTAGATAAACTGCCACTCCATTAGGTCGTACTACTTAGGGTACTCAAGTCTCTCATTAGTACTATACAACATCTGGTGGTCATAAACGTCGTCATTCATCACTCTCGAAACTAGTCCAGTCTTCTTGAGAAGTTCACCTATTCCATTCCACTGCAAATCGAAGCCTGTCTCCGTGTACGCCGAGGACACCGTATGGCCAGCCCACTCTCGATCGTCCATCCCAATTCACTTCCGAGTGAGGGGTATCCAACAGGGAAAGAAAAGGCAGAAATGATAATAAAAATGCAGAAACCAAAGCAAAATACCAAATCCGAAACTGCGCCCATCCCAAGTGTACTACTAGCAGTAATACTTATCACGGACAGTCGCTGTATCACCGCACGTGGTAGCTCGGCTTACGTTGCCGGTTGACCACGGGTGGCGCCCCATCGACCGGGTAAGGTGGGCGCACCTTACCGCCAGAGGGAGGGGGTTGCGAGAAGAGCGGCGCCGGCATCGAGACATCTCCCCCGTTGCCATCTTGCGCTGGGTATGGGATGGGGGTCTTCGGTGGCACGGGTGGAGGCATCCCGTTGAAAGGTGGGAACTGCTCGGCGCTGTGATGAGGCGAGTTCTGTTGCTGTGATGACGGCCGGATGTGCTCGTGACTTGGCCGGAAGCTGGCGACCTCGCCGATGGAGTGTCGTGTCGGAGAAACAGGCAGGTTATCATGAGGCGTTGGGTGGACGGGGAGTGAATCGTCACCAGGCGGTGCGGTCACCGTCACGCTGGCCGGTATAGGCGCCGAGCCCTGCGCAGGCGGTTGCGAGAAGTACTCCACAGGCTCGGCCGGCAGTTCCACGGCGAACTGATTCGAGGGCGGCGGAACGGTGTACGCGGGGGTGTGGGTAGAGACTGAGATCTCCTCGCGCTCCAGGTCAAACGACATGTCGTCCCGATCACCACCAGTGGCCGCGTGCGCAGCCAGGCGTTTGTTCATGCGGTGGATCTTGGCAAACCTAACGCTCGAATTCAGGATCATCTTCTTCACCTCGGGACGCGAGAGATAGCGACGGGTGTTGGTGCTGATGTCGGCCAGGCGGTTCCACTCATTCATGCCAAACTCGCCCACTCCGACTTCGACGTTGAGACGGCAGTAGACGTCCTTGTTGACATTATGCTTGGCAAGAATGTCCCGCAGCATTTCCTGGTGGATATCTTCACAGCCCTCGATCTTCGCAATCAGTCGTCGCCGCGCCTCAGCGAATGTACCAAGCGCATCGCCGAAGAAATCCTCCCACCACTCGTGTTGTCGGTTGTTGGTGCCCGAGGGCCGTCTACCAGTACCAATACTAACAAACACACCGACCTCTCGACCAGGCCATTCATTGACGACTGCTTCCTCGAGGATCTGCGGCGCCGGGTTGTAAGTTCCAGGGCCCTCGTCGATAAAGTTGTGCTGGCCGATCCGGATGGGCTTGAATGCCAGCCCCGTGGCGGATGTAGCACGGCCGGCTTGCCATATCGTACAGTCAAACTCGGGAGGGGGTTCGCGGCGAGAATCATAGGAACGCAAAAGCACTGCAGGCGAATTGCGCGGAGTGCCCTTGTAGAGCGCGGTAACAGCACTAGTAGTATCCAGTCAGTATCACAAAAGCAGAGTCGAATGCACAGCACTTACGTCTTCGTTCGGTTCTCCCGATTATCATAAAGTAAAGCCTCCGGATTCCCCCAGCGCAGCCCGTTGAGGAACGTCGATCCTCTTTGATTCGACTGTTGCTGCTGCGAGTAGGACTGACCCGAAGTACTGAAGCTACCCCTGCTGACCGAACGCTGTGGCACTGAGCCAGGGCTATAAGACAGACTAGAAATCGAAGCTCGCGGTCCCGAGTTATTCGGCATGTCATTGCCCTCCGCTTCCCACACCGTATGTTCCCGCACGCATTCTCGAATCGCCTCTTCCAGCTTGGACGCCTTAAACAATGTCGAGCGGTACGGGATCCCAGCGATGGTCTTATCAGTTTCGAACACTTTGCGGGTCATCCGGACGTATACTTCTTTGCAGGTTTCGAGGTCCAAACGGAGTCGGCCGAGCATGATGGCGATCAAGCCGCCAGTGCCAGTACCCGCAATCAAGTCGAAGTGGTCGCAGGGTTTGGGGATCTCATCGCGGCGCGGCGGCTTGCCTTCGCATTCGACGTAGGTGCGGTACATCAGTTCCTGGAGTATAATGAGCATGGAGTAGCCACGGACACCGCCTCCATCTGGTTTTGTCAGCATGTTCATGAGAGGAGAGTGATTGCGGCGCGCTTACCGAGAGAGAGGATCCGGAGCGGAGGACCCTTGGTGGTGTCCTTGCGACGCAAGGTGGCCTCGTCCATTGCGACGATTGTTGATGGAGCGATCGAGATTCAAGATCGTCTCTTTTTTTTTTTTTTTCCGCAGCGGCAACCTTACCCGCGGCGGGGCTGAGCGGCGCCTTATGCACCGAGTCGCGGACGCCTGATCGGTTGGACCAGAGCGTGGAGATTGGCAGCGTGACACTGGTGATACCACACGCGGACAAATGCGGTGCCGGTGGGTGGTGTGTGACTCTTGGTTAAGGTGAGCGGGATGCGAGTATACAGCAGAGTTCCGAATAGGCAGCGGCGTAAGATCGAATAGGAGGGGTGGCTTGGCTCGGCCAGCCACAATTTGCGCTGGTCTTCGTTTCGCACGTTGGGGGCGATCAGTCGTCGATAATGCCCAAGGGAAGTGCGAGCACTTTCAGAATTCTGCAGAGATGAGGAGACGTAGAGTTATTCTTGGAAATTGAATCCACCGTCGAATCGCTCTTCCATGGAACAAGCTGGATCAGCTGACCAGTGGCGGTGCAAGGGTGTCTGACGTAATTGTGGCTATGTGAGTCAGGGCTGGTGGGCCACGATGCATTTTATGTGCTTTCTGGAAGGCGATAGAACGAGATTATTCGTTTAGGGCTGAAAGAGGGTCCGTCGGAGGGACCGATTACCCCGTGACTCAGCTAGAGACACAATAATGCAACAATAATGACGATTTGTGTGAGAGATACAGACGATGGATGGATGGATGGACTTCATTTACCCTGTAGCTGAGAACTGATTTCCTTGTGGAGACTACCTGAGATACAGTCGGCACTCTACACCCCACTATGCTGCTACAAAACACTCAACCGGAATAAGATGAACGTATTGCCCGCTGAGAAATCTGCACTTGGCAAAACTCTCAAATGAAACATCGTAGTCCAAACGCTTACAAGATATCGCCCGTTGGGTACTAATTTGTAAGACCGGGCCAATCTAGCAGAAACATCAGCCTCGAACACGAGCAAGACAAAGAAGGCAAGAAACTCACCAGTAACAGTCCTCTCCTGTCCCCGCGCCACAACCTCCACAGAATCCCCAACCCGAATTTCCCGCCCCTCAAACCCTCTCTCCAAAAACGAATACCTGCCAAAAACAGGACTGAACTTTGCACCGCGATCCACCCGTCGATCCTTCATCAACTTCTTCAACACAGTCCCTTCCTCGCCCGTCCCCATCTTTCCCGTCTCGTAATCCACATTCAGACTCTGACACCGCACACAATTCCCCGTCAAGAGTAGTCGGACTCGCTCCGGTCCAATCACAACCTCTGTCCAGAAGTCCTCTTCAAACGGCATCTCAGCTCCAGAGACAACGATGTTCGGTCGGAACTTCGTTCGGTCCATTTCTATTCCCGATGCTAGTCGTCCTGAGACATCGTCCACGGACTTCTCGGATATAATTAGGAATGGTGCACAGTCGGCGAACCCAATTCTATCTTCTCTTCGGGATATGTAGTAGCGTGTGGCGAGACCGGAGCCGGCTAGTATCAGGCCGCTTGTTCCGAGGACTAGGGCTGGGTGTGCGCCTTGCTCGAGTTGTCGGGCTGCGTAGGAGATTATCGAGATGATGAATGAGAGGAAACAGATCGGTATCAACCATCGATCTGGGCTAGAAATCTTCGGACCGGGTGCAATTATTTCTAAAAACCAGTGCTGTATCAAATTACCGCTTCCTTTCTTCGATTCAAGTTGCGCTTTTCGCTTCGCTGGCGCAAGTGTCCCCAATACCCCTCTCGTATTGACACCGAGATAAGCCAGGACAACAGGGTACCCGAAACACTCACTGAACCAGTCATTATACTTAATCCCCATATTAAACCCGCTTGTCGGACTCTGGTGCATCGTCACCGGAAACCGGGCAAGAGAGTCGACGTTCGGTTCGAGCGGGATCTCCAACTGCCTGCTTTCGCGCGGTCTGGGATCTTTTTTCTCGAGTGAGGTGGGTGGGTTGTATGTGACTTTGATTTTCCCGTTGGTTTCGTGCTCGTTTTGTGGTAGTTCGAGGGCTGTTTCGAAGAGGGCCATCTCTGGGAAGAGTGGGACGTGCATGTTTTTTAATGTTGTTCCTGAGCCATCTTCTTTTGGCTCGACTTTGAGTAGCATGAAGCGTCGGTCATACTTTAGGCCGAGGTGGGATAGTGTTCCCTCTGTCACTGGTGTTGCTCGCAGGGACTTGATGGGATAAATGTAAAGCTGTTGAGTACGCTGTTAGGGCTGAGAGGGCAAAAATCTGGGGTTATGACGGAGCGGAGGTGAGAGCTGGATCGTACCTGGCTGACTTTCATGGCCGCGGTGGTTGACTAAAAGTCAACGTTTTTCAGATTCCCTGCGCTCACGAGAATTGATCCAACATGAGAAATTCCCAGTTGGACCCCAACCTTGAGGGGTCGACGTGCATTTGTGGAGGTCGGTCTTCACTCCGCGCTTATCGGTTATCAGCAGAGCGCCGGTTATCAGCAGAGCGCCGCAATTGCGTCAGACACAGATTGAGTTTAGCGGTTTGGACTACTCGATTCAGGCAATATTTGGAGAGAAACATAAGGAAAAGTCTTATCAATCATATTCGTGTTGAACCGTGCGGGAAATGTACATAAAGTAAAAGCGCCCAAGAAATAAAAGAAAAACGTCTACTGGTCCTTAGCCCAAGGCAGGCTGAATGTGCCTACCCAGTCCTCCACCTCCTGGCGGAGGAGCACAATCTCCGAAATCTCCTCACCCTCGCCCAGGTACTCGTGGAAGGCCTTGACGGTACCGGGGTTCTTCACACCGCGGGACTGAGCATGCTCACGAGCAGCCTTGTCCAGCTTCTGGGTCAGGATGACGGCGCGGTCGACGATATCAGCGACACGGCGGAAGTCCTCGGGCTGGAAGCCGCGAGAAGTCATGGCGGGGGTACCCAGACGAAGACCGCCAGGCTTGAGGGCGGACTTGTCGCCGGGCACGGTGTTCTTGTTACTGGCAACGCCGCACAGCTCGAGCACGCGCTCGACGCGGGCACCGTCTACACCGCGGTTCTTCAGGTCGACCAGGACCAGGTGGTTGTCAGTACCGCCAGACACGATATTGTAGCCGAGGCCGCCGTTGCTGGTGGACTCGCCGAGGCGCTCGGCCAGGGCGGAGGCGTTGGCAAGGACGGTCTTCTGGTATTCGTGAAACTCGGGGGACTGGGCCTGCTTCAGGGCAACGGCCAGCGCGGTGATGGTGTGGTTGTGAGGGCCACCCTGGTGGCCGGGGAAGACAGAGGCGTTGATCGGGTTCTCCAGATCGTACATTTCCTTGTTACCCTTCTTGTCGGTACGGCGGAGACCCTTGCGGTAGAAGATCATGGCACCGCGAGGACCACGCAGAGACTTGTGGGTGGTGGTGGTGACCACGTCGGAGTAAGGGAAGGGCGAGGGGAGAACATCACCGGCGACCAGGCCGGAAATGTGAGCCATATCGGTCAGTAGGTAAGCACCAACAGTGTCGGCGATCTCGCGCATACGGGGGTAGTCAACCAGACGGCTGTAAGCGGAGGTACCGGCGATGATCAACTTGGGACGGTAGAGCAGAGCCTGCTTCTCGAGCGCATCGTAGTCAATCAGGCCGGTAGACTCATCCAGACGGTAAGGCAGGGTCTCGAAGTATTTAGAGATGGCGGAGATCTTCTTGGTAGGGGTCTGGTAGCCGTGCGATAGGTGACCACCGTGAGGGAGATCCAGACCCATGAGACGGTCGTGGGTGTTGAGCAGAGCGGAGTAGGCCATGAGGTTAGCGGGGGAGCCAGACAGAGCTAGAGATACGTTAGCATTCTCAATTCGAGCATTTTGAGGTTCGACATACGCTGAACGTTCACACCCCACTCCTCGGGGTTGAGGCGGAAGGTCTCGAGCGCGCTGCTGGCACAGGCGCTCGGAGGCGTCAATATGTTCGTTTCCACCATAGTAACGGGCACCGGGGTATCCCTCCGAGTACTTGTCTATAATCAAATTGCAATTAGCATCCGTTTGATCTGTTGGTCCCGGTGCTGGGTCCGTCGGCCGGGTAACCACGTACTTTGCATAACACTGCCGAGTGCATCGAGGACGGCTTGGGAGGTGAAGTTCTCAGAGGGGATCAAGTTGATGAAGTGCTGCTGGCGTTTTTTCTCCTGCAATTGGGGTCAGTGATTCCACGTCCTTGTGTAGCGCAACGGGAGCTCCGATTGATGACGTACCTTCTCCAGAATCGAGAACACTGCGGGGTCAGAGTCCTTCAACGACGAAGAGAGGATCTGGAGAGATCGTTAGCCATGCACTTTCACCGCTAGTAATACCCATTGAATGTGAATCCCACCTTCTGCTGCGCATCCCGGCTGGAGGAGGATACTCCCCGCACGAGGGGGTTGGTTCCGGCGACAAAGGCGCGCGGAGCCACGGCGGCCGCCGGGCGAACACTCGCGAGCGAGAAACGGGCAAGGCGCCCACAACGAGCAAGAGACATGGTGCGCGCGTGAACAAAAACGAGTACCGAAAAGCGTCGTCGATAGGAAAGCCGACAGCTTTATATTGCGGAGGCCGGCGGTCGCACGTTCCCCGTTGCCCGCGGAAAGCGGGAAAGCGCGCTAGGCCCGACTGGGCTGTCCGCCTGGTCTGTGCTCGGCCGGGGCAGTTTTCAGCGCAAATTTTTTGCCGCGCTTTTCTCTTCTTCACACAACTAAATCCAAGATGACGAGTCGGCGTTCTATCTGTATCAGCACTCGTCGGTGCCGGCCCTCTGGGCTGGTGCTGGACGGGCGCTGCTGAGAGGTCCCGCGCCCTTTCACCATCCATTTAGGGATCAGTTACCATCTGATTGGAGCTGTTGTGTTCCAGCTGGTTGAGCTGAGCTGAGCTTGAGTTCGAGCTTGAGCTGCCAGCTCATGATTTGTGCGGATGAGATTGGATGACGGTGACGACGGGAGACATTGGAGAATGAGCAAAGGCTTGTGTATCTCTCACTACAGTGAGGATCATCGGTGTCGCACTTGGGATGCTCGATTTTCTCGTGTTTTCGATCGCGTGTCCGATCATCCCAACCACGGATCAGATTGAATAGTCACTGTAGTCACTATAGCTTTGGTAACAATGAAAAATCTTCAATTGATTCGACGTGTCTAGTATTGTATTCCACCCTTGTACTTGCTGGATAACCATTCGAGAGCCCACATTGCTGGCCAGTTCCAATGGCTACAGGTACATTGCCATCGCGTCGTGACTGCGATGATCTGGCCAGGTAGCCTGTACTTGACTCCCGGGTGACAACCAGCGCCGACAAGCCACCGCACACTGCCAATACCCTTTTTTTTTACACTCTTTCTTGTCTAACTCTGCTATTCATGTGACCCCTTTTGACTCTTTAGCTAATTGCCATGCCATTCGAGCTAAATTTCACACCAGTAAAATATTCATTCATCTGATGTGGTGAAATGCGATTGTGGAGTGTTTCCCTATCACAGTGCTGATATATATCTGGATGGAGTGCTAACGGGCAGATCTTCACGCCAAGCTCAGACCGACTCAAGATCGTTACTTAGCTGGGTATAAGGTCGAGTTTGATATAACTCTTGCTCTACCTGATACAATCTCCAGTTAGCTAAATAATTCTTAAAAGAGCCACACCATATCGAACCATACACTTTATCAGTGTCCGTTGTACCTATTGCCAGCTAGGACTATTGCTGCCTTGCCCCTGATCGCATATTCTTTGAAGCTTGGCACCCCAAATCCTGAGACGAGATGAATGCGATTTTCTCTATATGACCTACTAAAGCTCTGTTGGGCCTTTACCTCTGCAGAAACACCCAACCCAATAATAATATGTTGCATATGGCCGCCCATTTCAGAATGCTCTGCTTGCTGCATCGCACGTGGACACAGCCCCTCGGCACTGATTCCGGCCCTACAATAGCGTAGTGTTGTCAAAAATAAACAAAACCCTCGCATACAATCTCTCATCATCATCATCGTCATCATCACCCTTGCGGGACCAGCCTCCTTATCCCACGTCGCACCGTGCAACCCGGTGATCTCGATCTCGCCCTTGCGACATTGACATTGCCGTCTTCCCACCGATGCAATCCTTGAACTCGACCCCGCTAGACCCAATCATGGTGCTTTGTTCTGGGGAAAACTCATCAAAGCCCCACCCAACCGAAGCCGAGGAAATGAGCTGGCGTAAGACGCTCGAACGGGTTCTGCCCAGGGGTCCGAGACGCACAAATTTGAGCCGCGTTTCAGGATGCGCGTGGCGGGCATCGAGGATATACAACGCGAAAAGTCGACTCGATCTTCGGATCTGCATTGCTGGAAGCTCTGTCGCAGTTTGCTGGAGGGATAGTTAACCATGACGATCGCCTGCAGGTCCAGACTGCGGCCGACCGGGATGCCCAGGACGCCCTCGCAGTGACGGCCCAAGCGGGCAAAGATCCTCAGGAGCGAGTGCTGTTAGTGGACCATTCGCACAAACTGGTTCCTGCCGCGCGTGTTTCGAGCACGCCCGACGGTGTCTGATTGGGTGCAGGGAAGTGCCACTGTCTCGAACGCTGCAGAGTGGTGCATTTAATACTGCCAGTGCAGTGTCTGTAGAAAGCTGGGCCGCTCATTTCCGGTAGTGCCACGGCCGGCCCCTTTTCGCCCTGCGCTAGTGGCCCGGGTACCTGAGTGCGTCCATGGGCCTATAAACCACCCGTCTCGCCCCCGTTTCCCTCCTTCCCCCATCCACATCACATTCTCTTGCCCACTCCCGGTCCTTGCTGTCCGAGTACATTCTTTAAATCCTAACGCCAGTCACTCTCTGAGACCTTTTTGTCGGATCTATACCCTTTCAGTCTTCTTTCGAGAACTCTTTTTCACATCAAAATGCGTTTCTCTCTCGCTGCTGCTGTCACCATGGCCGCCGGTGCCTTTGCCGGTGTTGTCACTGAGACCGTCACCGACTACACCACCTATTGCCCCGAGGCGACCTCCATTGTCCACGGCAGCCACACCTACAGCATCTCCACCGTAAGTAATCAAAGAGTGGATGGGAATGTCCTATGTTTCTATTTTTGTGTGATTTGCGATGGATCGTTGCGATGTGATCTTCGGTCGCATTCTCGATCTGTCGCAACTTCATCCGATATACTCCAACCCATCCCATCTCATCTGATATCAACATACCTGATGAACACATGGCTAACATTCTCTAGCCCGGCGATATCACCATGACCCACGGTCCCTTCACCGTCACCCGTCCCCTCGTGACCCAGACTGTGACTCAGTGCAACAAGTGGTAAGCATGCCATATTTGACCATGACCATCGCATATTTCTAACACAACCTAGCACTAGCACCTCCGCTGCCATCCCCACCACTCCCATCTCCTCCCCCACTGCCCCGGCCTCGACCCCCCTGGTCCCCTCCAGCGCCGGTGCCACCGGCTCCCCCAACCCCTCCGGCTCGGGCTCCAGCTCCCCCGCCCCCTCCCAGCCCGCCTTCAACGCCGGTGCCATGAACGCCGCCGGTGCCGGTGCCGGTCTGGCCGCCGTCTTCGGTGCCGCCGCCCTGCTGCTGTAAACACCTTCAGCTTGATTAAAAGTTGATTGTGGTTGAGCGGGGGTCTTCTCTCTTCCTTTTGTCTGTCGCACTGCTGCTGTGATGGATTCTGACAGAGAAGACCAGGCGTTAGGGCCGGTTGGAACTTCTATTACTTCTTGATATTTTGATATATTGATACGTCTTTCCGTCGGGTGTATACATCTTGTCTATGTTTTATTAGATAATGCATAATTGATTCCCTCGGGTTTCGTTATGTCTTACACCTTCTTCGTTGCTACATCTTTTTCTTTGACATACTGCCTGGACATAACGTTTCTTTGATTCAATTCACGACTACTGTTACCTTGTTCTTACTGAGTAAATCTTTTTGTAGTGGACGCCCTCTGCCGGGGAGTGAGCACATAAGTTATCCTTCAGCTTTATAGGATGTCTAACCTTTATTCTGCTTTGCATTCATTCAAAGTCCATCTATCGCATCTCTGGGATCATCTCAGGCTATTCCGTCCAATCTTGGTATGCATCCCAGCTTATTTTTAGCTTGTTCCATTTCATCTAATTCCGAGTTTAACCTATTCATGAATTCTCAAAGTCGCATTAGCCATCCTATCTCAAGCTTGATTCGTATTTCCGTTATTTCTCCCATTGTATCCATTCTAACTTGAGCTTATTTCATTTCATCTGATCTTAAGCTTATCCAATTCATCCCATCCCAAAGTCATTTCATCATATCTTATGCATTGTTCTCCTCATCCCAGTATGCTATGGCTATACGTCTGCCATCCCATCAAACCCATCTCACCAAACCCACTCCTAACCTAAAGCTTCGCCTTCACCCCCTTAACCCCAAAGTACTCCCTAACCCTCTGTCTCGCAACCTCCACAACCTCCCCATCCTCAACAGTCGGCGGCACACTAACCCCCTCATCAAATTTCCCCACAACCCCATTCTCAACCAATTCTCTCAAAACCCGGCGCAGCGTCTTCCCACTCCGGGTTTTGGGAATCATCCCCCGGCCCTGAATAATACCGCCCAGCGAGGCGATGGCGCCGATCTGCGTGCGCACGAGCTCGTTCACTTCTTCGAAGAGTTTCTTTGGTGCCTTTGCGGGCAGGGGTTCGGTTTGGTTGTGCAGGTGGATGAAGGCGAAGGGGAGGTGTCCCTTTATTGCATCGGGGATTCCGACTACGCTTGCTTCACTTATTGTGGGGTGGGTGAGGATTGCTTGTTCGATTGTTCCTAGACAAAGGTGTTAGAGCTTAGAGCTGGATGGGAGAGAGTTGAAGGGGAGATTACCTGTGCTGAACCTGTGCGCGGCAACGTTGATAATATCATCTGATCGAGACATGATATGCACGTAGCCGTCTTCATCGATTAAGCCCGCATCACCGGTATCCACCCACTTCCCATTAAATCTCTTCAAATACCCGCGGTAAAAGCGTTCCTCGTCCTGGAAGAGACTCGTGAATGCAGTCGGGGCCAATGGCGGCGCCATGACGATATTGCCCATCGTTCCGGCGGGAACTTCAGCACCTTCATCGTCGACGATCCGAACGTCGAAGCCCGGCATCGGGAGACCCGCTGAACCGGGTCGGGTGGGAAGGGGTTTGTTCGTTTCTGCGGGGAGTTGCGACGCAATGGCTGCATGGCTGTTCAATGCGAGACCGGTGATCGGCGAGCCGCTCTCCGAAGACCACCAGTTATCAACAACTACGGCGCCCGGTGCGGCGTATTGCGAGAGGAGATCTTGGTAGGCGCGCACAATACTTGGTTCGCTGCGCTCGCCGGCTAGGAAGAGGGCGCGTAGGCTCTTTAGGCCGTTGCGCTCGCCGACCTCTTTGAAGAGGTGGTTGTTGTTGTCTTCTTTGCGGATGGCGCGCATGGCGGTTGGTGCGGTGAAGAGTGTATTGACGTTATGCTTTTCCACGATGCGCCAGAACGTGCCGGCGTCGGGTGTGCCAATTGGTTTTCCTTCGAAGAGGACAGTTGTTGCGCCGACTAGGAGTGGTGCGTAGAGGATGTATGAATGTCCGACTACCCAGCCGATATCTGAGGCGCAGAACATTACATCGCCGGGTCCTTTGATGTTGAATAGGGAGCGGATGGATAGTTCGAGGCCTACTGCGTGCCCGCCGGCTTCTCGGAGAACTCCTTTTGGTAATCCTGTCGTACCTATATCATCATGAGCATAACCATACCTCAACTGATCTGGATATTGATAGCTGACTCACCACTAGTGTAAATAATGTAAAGACCATCCGTGCTCTTTACGGGTACCGGGCTCGCCCGAACCCCACGCATGCGAGCACTCTTCACAAGCCGCTGCCAGTTCCGCTGCCCACCCAATTTATCCGGGTTGTTCCAGCGCAGCTGGTCCCGCTGCCAGACAATGACTTTGCTCGGTTTGTACGTACTGGCAGCAACGGCTCCTTCCACCAGCGGCCGGTACGAGATTGGTCCTTTGGCCCCCTCAATGCCGCACGATGCGGTCATGATGACTCGAGGACGTGCAGCTTCGATGCGCTGCGCTAGGGACTGTGCGGCGAATCCGCCGAAGACTGCGGCATGGATTGCGCCAAGTCGAGTTATTGCTAACGCGGCGATGAGCGCGGCGGGTATCATCGGCACTGTGGGGTATTAGATTCATTTTCGTCTGGATGGTTTGCATGGGGTAGATGAAAGGGGCGAGGGGCGTTGGGTAGGAACTGAAGTTAAAAGATAGAACTTACTATAGATGATGACTACATCGCCCTTTCGAACACCTTCTTCTCGCAGTACACCTGCCAGTACTTCCACCTCATCTAGCAGCTTCTTGTAGGTGTATTTCTCCGTGGTCTGCGTCACGGGTGATTCCCAGATGATCGCGACCTGATCGCCTCGGCCATTGTGTACATGACGATCGACGCAATTGTAAGTCGTGGAGATCTCACCGTCCGGGAACCACGACCAATGCTCGTGCTGCACCCCGCTCGGAAGGGTCTTGGTTTGGCGCGTCAGAGCCCGAGACGGGTTCTGGTGCCAGTGGAGCCTCTCCGCATGTCCCGACCAAAAGGATTCTGGGTCGCGGAGGGAGTGTGCGAGCGCCGCTTGCTGGGGATGTGGCGTCATGATGGGAGTGGTGGGTGAATGTGTTGAGTTGCATTCAAGTCAATGGCGAATGTTAATAAATGGGGACCATACCCGAGGTCCAAATGTAGCAGTTCCGCCGGTGCGATTGGTCGGAACAGTGGAAGGACGCAGGAGAGCAAAGCCTGCAGGGAGTGCATTGCAGCGCAGCATCTTCACGGGGGAACCTCATTATGTTGCGGGGAGAGCTGGCGCTGGCCCGAGGGAGTCCGTGCTTTCCCCCGCAATGCGGCACCCGGCGGTACATCGGCGATACCTCGCGAGCCACTCTGACGCGGTGACGGCGCCAGTACCCCAGGAGTCACTCGCTGAGTGGTGGATATCGCTTAGACCAGGCTGGCGGCTGAAACTTGGGGGTTCAATTGGATTCACCATGATTCAATTTTGGGTTCACTACTTTCGTGAGGAGCTGAGGCGAGGTGGAGGCTGCTCTAGGGCCATACGAGACATCCCCCTCCCTTGAAGACGATTGGTTTCAAAAATCTGTATTGTCTATATACGTTGCAAGATGGCTGGCAGAAATTCAATCCAAATAAATGAACAAGCTCAGTCGTAGGGTATCATATCGAAATGCCTGCTAATGCGCGACTGCGATCTTCTGGCTTCGTCGCCTGGAAAATTTTTTTTTTGTGTTTGTGGCGTCGGGGGTTGCTCCAATTATATGCGAAACCGTTCCTATCCTCCGGCATGGTCGTCTCAAAAGTCCACAGACCAGCAAGGAGGTGGCGGGTTGGGACGAGGTCCTCCACACCTCTGCGTAGGAGCGAACAACTGAAGAGCCAGAGCACGAGCGGGAGCAAGTGCGACGGAAAACGGTTATCGGAGGAGTTGGAGCGGCGGAGTCGAAAGTGGTTGCTTCCACCTCCCGGAACTCGACAGCAAGCGGGGGTGGGTGAATGAAGCAAGGTCGAGAGTTAAGAGTGAGATAGAGGGGCCACCGACGCCGAACAGAAGGTCGTAACCAAAAGACAGAAACCCTCCAGATGCACCCGAGACCAATAAACCAGCTGGAAACGTATAACGAATTAAGAAAAAAAAAAAAAGGAAAAAAGAGCCATGGAGGAGATTTTGGAGAAAGAAATCAGAAGCAAACGCATCAACTCAATGCACCTTTTCCCGGACGGGCCCGGCCGGATTCACAGGATGGTGCACTGCAGTCGACTGCGATGTCGAGGCTTGTCGGATCGGAATCCAGTATACTTGGCTTCGGCGTCTCGGTCGCGGTGACCCGACCCGAATCCAGGTTGGCGACGATCCTGGCCCCGACCTCCGGATGCCTGTTGTCGCTGCTGACGGAGCATGCGAACGACGTCGTAGAAGGCCTTCTCGACATTGATGCAGTTCTTGGCGGACGCCTCGACGAACTCGCATCCCAGCTCCTTGGCGAGTGCTTGCCCTTCCTGGGCAGAGACAGCGCGCTCGACCGCCTTATCGCTCTTGTTGCCGACCAGCATGACGGGGACGGGGAGAGGCGGACCGGCCGAGCCTTGCATGGGCGAGGCGAGGTAGCTGGGACCGGAGGGGGAGCCGGAACTGGCAGACTCCTTGACCATCTTAATCTGATTATAGAATTTGGTGATGCGAGAGAACGAGGCGCGCGATGTTATGCTGTAGACGAGGACGAAACCCTCACCATCGCGGATCCACTGGTCCCGCAGTGCGGTGTATTCCTCCTGGCCCGCCGTGTCCAGCACCTCGAGCATGCACGACTGTTGGTCGATGACGACTTGTTTGCGATAGGAGTCCTCGATGGTCGGATCATAGGTTTCGACGAAGTGGTTGAGGCAGAGCTGGCGGGATCAGTATGGGGGTCATCCACAAACTAGGGATAATTGGACATCCGGGCCAGGGTTGACGGCCGGTCGGGGGATTGAGGGCGTTTGGGGGGAAGATTGGGGGGTGATCGCACCTGGATGGTCAGGGCGGTCTTTCCGACACCACCGTCGCCCAGCACCACCAGCTTATACAAGGTCATTTTCCCCGACATGGCGGGCAGGCAGGCAGATCGAGGGTAGATGAAGGAGGAAGGGGGGGGGGGGAGGTCAAGGAGGGGCCACGTTCCGAGCAGCGGGGAGGGGGAAAGAAAAAAGGCGGGAGAGCTTCCCACGCACAAAACCCAAAATGACGCAAAGAGCAAAGGTTCAGTGGATGCCATCGACTGCACTAACAGCACTCAAGAATTATTCTGTCAGAAAGATGCTCGCAGCCTTCGCCCTTTCGCGCAGTCAAGCTCCGAGACGGTCTCGGGGGAAGCGGGAAACGACGCCTCCACCGGCGTGACAGCTCGATCGTTTATATACGACTCCTGCTGGGACATACTAATTTGCGTCCTGAACAGTCGATCGGGTCCGGAACTGCTGGTCGCCTTCCCCGGTCTACATCGAGTTCACGTGCATTCGATCTGGCATTGGTACGTGTGATGTGATACATACAGGAGCTCAGGGTCTACGCTTCCTTTGCTCTCGCTCTGTATGGAAAAAGCAAAGGCAGCCAGGCACAAACCGAGCAGCAAAATTACCCTAAAGTACCAGTACCCGAAGTACTTAGGGTACTCCTAGGGACCAAAACCACGGCAAAGCTAAGCAAGTGCGACCAAGCGGAAAAAGGGGCGGGTGGAAAGAGACCAAGCCCAGGCCCTCGCAGGTGCTGGAGTGGAGACACTCGGCAACTCGATTTAATATCCTTCGCTGGTACCCTTCTACTTACAATCTGTTAGTGGGAGTGATGGGATGCGGATGCACTGGGCCCGAAGTTGTCCAGTGCGTCCAATGCACGCGGCCCGCAACTCTTTCGCACGTGGAAGCCGCGATTCGTCCTCTCTCCGGATTCACACTACATACCCTCTATGTATACTGGATGGTCAAAATTTGCGCAGAGATCGTGTAGGGTACCAAAGTCCTAAACCCAAAGTTCGCAGCCCCCACCCGCTGGGCATGCCAATGCCTTCCCACAATCCCGCCGTCGCCGAAGGGACCGGATACGTGGAGAGCACGTCCCGGTTCCATGGCCTCGACGTCAATGCTTCCTTCCTTCTGTTCAATGCTCACGGTACGCTCGTCTTCGCAATTGCTCTGCTCGGTGCATCCACCCGCGGAACGGCGCGTGAGTTCCCGCTGATGGATCGTCCCCGGGCCTACCTGGCATGGTGCGGTGTGGAGACCAGTCTGCAATTGTTGGATTCGAGTCGTCCACTCACCTCCCTAGGAAACTGCCGCCAGTCCAGTGTAATTTTTCCCCCCTAGCCCTCGGTCTCCCAATTGGGTGTTTCTCTGCCCTTTGGCTTTGCCCGGCACGCTGGCTCCGCCCTCCGTCGTTCCCAGTCCTCTGGCCGCGGGCCACGGCTGTGCTCCGATGGGGAATTGCTTGCTGAGCTTGAACATGTGGAAACTCGCGGACCCGCTCGTCATCGGTCGACGGTGTAGGGCCTCCTTTTTTGTTTGCCCTTTACGGAGTAGCCTGGTCAAGGGATGAGACTCATGCTACTCCGCTAGTAAATACAGTAGGTTAGGTATGTCCCTATTTCTCGGGACCGGTATCAGCTCCGACAGCCATTGACATGACTTCAAGCATTCCGATGGTAAGGTAGAATCCTTCAATAACTCTTATCTCGTAGCGATTAACCCTCACCCTTGCCTTGGACCTTCCTCTCATCCCCCAAACCAGAAGACCAGACCACCCGTCACAATACTCCAAATTCCCGCCCGGCCGAGCACGGAAAGAACGGTTCAGGCCAGGTTCACGAAAGGCCCGACGCGAAGCGAAAGGGGGAAGGGGGGCCAAGGGAATCACAATTCCATTATCTCGGCGCCAATGAAAAAAGGGCCCAGGGCTCTCCAGGGGCTTGGGCTTGGACAAGCGGATCCTCCCGTCCTGCTCGGCCGTTACGGAATCATATAGTCGCCATATGGTTTTCCAACGGCCCGCGCAAACCCTGGCCTCTCGCTTAGCCCTGCTGATAGCTACGTACACCGATTCCACTGACAAGGATGTTTGCTGCACTGCAGCCCGACTTAATCTACATCGTGCAGCCTGGTTGGATGCCTGCTTGCTCTGGAAGGACCCTTCAGGCATTCGGCGGGAGGCGGCATTTGATGGAGTGCCTCGCCCGTCGGAAGCTGCTCCTTCCCTTTCAACCGAGCCACTCGCTGTCTTTGAAACACACCCTGAGCCTGAAGATCGGCAGGGTCGGTTCCGGCACGTTGGCTCTTGGGTGGACTATCGCAGAATTGGACAATGGCCTAGCTGTTGCCCAACGGCCGTGCGGAAGATGATGCGAGGGTCCAGGGGTAAAGCCGTTTAGGATATCTTCCAGGAAAACTTACCTATAGGAGGCTGCGGATGTGGCTTTGTCTATATGAGCTGCGAACTTACTATTATTGCGTAGCCGGGGTGGCCTATTCGGGAGTGGATGCCATTTCCCAGGATATGCCGTTTGCCCTTTACACCTTATTTGCCATACCTTCACTACAACCATTTGCTCCTATCAACTGATGCTGCATTCCGATGCTCCTTTCATCTGAACATCACCTGCATTGAAACGCTACGAATGTTATCGGGCACAAAAGCAATCGTCTTATAATTCAGGGGTTTGACGCAGCCACAATCTCTTGTCTCCTGAAACACTTTATCCCAATTTTCAGTATCTACTAGTAGTACCACAAACCGAATGTCCAATTTCATGTAAGGAGAAAAGAATCTTAGCTTTTTGCTCTGTATTTGAACATTCCGGCCCCGGACACTGAGACATCGGTCAACTAAATAGATGGTATGATATCTGATCACCTGAGTGACTGGGTAGATGATTAGATAGGCCAGAAGATCTGACCTGCTGCAGCGCACAAATAAAATGGGTTCAGACCTTCATCTTATTATTTATATGGTCTGTCAACTCATACTTTCTCTCCCTGTAACCTCGCAATGCTCACAGGCCATTCCATCCTTTCAGAAAGCTCAGGACTGCCAAGTCTATCAACAAACGCGTTGATCTTCAAAATTTCCGTACAGAACGTCTTCCCCAGAAACCAAATATCATCTAAAAGAGCAAGAGGAAGGTAGAGATGAGCAAGAATGGCAAATGATAGCCCTGTAGCCAAGCCTACATCGTCATCAGAATCCAGCGTAGATATAAAGGCTTCGGAAAGCATGTGCGGCCAGGATGTGATAGCTGCTTCTCCTAGTTCTGCCTGAATTTCATGGTTTGATAGACTTGGCTCGATCGGTTGTAGTTGTAGCAGATAAATTATCCGCATATAGATCTGCTCGATGACATCGATTGCCTGTTCTTGTGCCAGGGGTGGCTGTTCGGTTGGTATTTCACCAGTGGCTCCTGGACTGGGGTCTGCAATTGGTGAAGAGTGTAGGCCATCTTCAGAGACTCCATTTGCTTTCGCCATGGACTTTACCAGGCCTTTGAGACTGGATATGGCAGGACGGGCACCCTGTAAAAAGGCCGAGAGACCCGCTGATAGATTACTTCCTGGTGGCGAAGTGCTGGGCAGTGAATCCGGATCATACAGTTTCCAGTCATCGTTTGCATTGCGGTATAACAGCAGTGGTCTCAGTCGGCCCAGTCTAAGAGTCCTCCATGACTGCTGTACAATGGATACCGTGCCGCGCACAAGTTGGAGCCAGTGGACTTGAGGCCTTCCGACAAGGCTGGGAGTGCTCAGGTCGTGGTTCGCGCCATCGACAGTCCCTGGTATTTGATATGATATATCAAAAGTCTCGATACGGAGCGAGGCGAATGCGAAACCCGCGATTAGCATCGACCCAGCGAATAATGCTTCCGCATCTGACTCGTCGGCGGTCGCCAATTTCTCCTGGAGGCCCTGTAGTCCCTTTTGATGGTGCTCGACCAGAGAATGGAGCTCAATAGCATCCAAATCCGTGGGTACTGAATGTATTGACTCATCAAATGATGGATCAGTAGATGGCACGTTCGCTGGCTCGTGGTTCGTCAAGAGATGCAGACCCGCCAGTGCCAAAAGCAAGTGCATTAGGAATGCATTCTTGGCAGCGATATCTGGGATAATGCGTGTCCAAACCAAGACTTTGCGAGGATTCAGGCTCAATTTTGGGGCGGTGTATAGGATGAAATGTTGCAGGAGGTTCAAATCATGCATGTTGAGGCAGCCCCTAGATTCGTGTTCGTGCTCGGGTTGAGGTGTTCTCACCCGCGAAACGTTGAAGTTCAAAGGGCGCATAGGCATTGTATGCTCGCTGGGCGGATTCCCCGGATTTGTCTCTTCGTGGGATGTCCTGTCGCGACGAGAAGGCGCGCGTCTTCGTGTGATGCCTCGCGCGTCTTGTAGGGGTGGATAAGTGCATTGGTCTTCGCGGATGGAGCAGGCGCCGCAGATCGGTCGCTCTTCATCGCACTGTCGTGTTGAGTGAGCCGTCAGAAGAAAAACGCCGAGAAAACTTTGGCTCACCTTCACCCGACGGTTCTTGCATGTATAACAGCCATTTCGTGATTTGGTGTGGCCGATCCGACGCTTCGGTCGAGTTTGTCCTCTCAGGATTGGAGTCGACGGAGTGTTTGAAGATTGTCGCGATGCGAGGGGAGGCATTGCCTCTGCATTCCAATTTAGTACACGGCAGGGTGAGCCAATTTGACTCCTTTGAGATGCGTGGGGGTAGAGTGGAAGTGAAGAAAATGCCGGAGAGGAAAGAAGCCCGATTCGAGGCGCGCCTTGGCACCGCGTGTAACAACATCTTTCTTTGATGCCGTCCCCGCTTCTAAAAGTACAATTTATTGCAGCCTGTGAAAAAACCAAGACATTTCAGAACACTTGGGACACGCTAGGTGGGTATTTGATAGGAGGCGGAATTCAGTGGTACTATGTCATCCCTTGGGGTACCGATAGTCGCTGGCGCCTCGGAAATACTGCAAATTTGAAGATAAATCGAACAAGAAACCATTTAAAATCCATGATGCGGACGGAGGATAACACAAGGGAGATCTATATGAGACAAAGGAAAAGAGCAAAAAATCACTTTCGCTTTACGGATATCCGCGCTTGGGGTCTGTGTGAGTGAACCCTTCCTCAATGGATGTAAGCCGGAGCTCGCTATCCCTCTTCGAAGCATCCTTGGACAAGAAGGTGCCCGGATAGACGAGAAAAAGCACAATACCACTTAGTGCCATGAGACATGCGTCGAAAATGTAAAGAAGGTATTCTTTGCGCATAATGAATCCGTCGTTTCCCTCAATGAATTCCACGACTCGGAATACCGACCGCACTAAAATCAGTAAACAGGCCGCATAGAGAGCCCACATGATAGACTCCCAACCCATGTGTGTTCGTGAATAATTCGATGCCGTAATTTCCGACACATGGATATACTGTGGCTGCTTCTTCATTCGCCAGTGCAGCAAGGCTGAAACGAAGACGAAGAACCCGAAGAAGAGAAGTTGGACAACCAAGCCACCGATCACAATGTTCGAGCCCATATCCATGACCGATTGCGAACCACCTGCCATGATACCACCACCTAAAAGGGTTTAGAACTCGAACCATAGCTTATGGACCGAATGAGATTCTGTGGTATATCATACCTCCGCACTGCATTAGAAACGAGATGACATCGCCAGCAACAAACACTTTTGTAAGAAACCGAACCGGAATGATCGATTTTTCTTCTGCATCGAGTTTGACAATGATCCGACCGAGTGTCATATAAATCGAAGCCGCGAAAAGAGGAGGCGCAACCAGGATCAGCATGGTTTGAACGATGTAGGGGCCGAGCGCCTTTGTGTCAAAGTGTGAAAATATGCGAGCAATGTACCCCGCACATTCAACTGTGAAGAGGACTTGGGCATTAGCCAAGGAACACTGTTGCGATGATATTGAAAGTGAGTCTCACAGAGCAATCCCACAATGAATGGGATGAAGAAGAGAGTGCGGTTCCGAATCAGTCGAATACAATGGAGAACAGAGAGAACAAGAAAGACTGCAGCAAAAATCACCGCAGCCGGTATCGATGGCGTGTAACGATAGAGTGCATAGCTGGAGCTGCCATCGCTGTCAGAAGTAGACATGGTAGGCGAATTGGCGGCCTAAGATATGTGGGCTTTTGATGATTATGGTAAGGTGAGAGAATCAAGGAGTGTTGTGAGGATGCAAGAATGTGATATTCAATTTAGTAGTACAGTAGCACAGATCTTATAAGATCTGGGGTTTCAGGCTCCAGCGACAGAAATACACTGCATGCATTAAAATAATTCTTCATCGCCATCCAACTGGCCGAATACGAGAATCCGAGAATGCGAGAGGGAAAAAAAAGCTACAACCGAGAAGTGGGTCCGTAGAGCCGCATCGCCACAGCGCCACGTCGGGACCGATGCGAGAAAGCGAGTATGCGAGAGGTGGGAACTTTCATTCGGCCCACTAAAACTGCTCACGTTCACCATGAAGATTGTTAATCGTACTGCTGAAAATCCTAGCATAGTTGATATTCACAACCAAATACCAAATACAGCTCTACAAATGCATGAGATCGAGATTACTATTTTCAAATTAGGAACCCGGATTAGCAAATTCTAGACAAAGTTCATTTTTTATTAATTCACAAGGTCACTATGGCGTTGACCAGGCTCAGACGTTCTCTGCTTGTCTAAAATGAAGCAGTGAAAATGTTGATGGAGAGAGAGAAGTATAAATATGCTAGAGAAAGCCTTTCAGGCGACTTTAACAGAAGGCGAGAGCGAGGATTAAAAGAGTCTTTTTGCTCAGTCGCTTATTCAATATACCCCATGATCTACTTTATCGTCCGTCAGAAGTCGCCGCAATCCCGCACCGCCGGTGTCTGCCTGCTATACCGCCCGGACATGTTTTTGCCCAACACGCGCGCCAAAGGGCAACTCACCGTCCTCACCCACACTCACCACACTATCTTTGTCTTATCACCAGTACTACTCAAGTGCTACCAGAAATGGCTATTAGGAAGGTGTCCTTCCAATCCGCTCTGGCACGTATCTCCGACATCCTCCAAGAAGATTCACAAGCTAACCAAGTCAGACCAACGGGCTTAAGGCCTCTTCCTCGAAGGCACACAAGCCTTCGGACCCCCGAGCTGCTTGTCGATCAGTCAGAAGTCCCAAAGCACCACGGCCATCTCAGCAGTCTCACCGGGATTCTTTTCTAGATCGAAGTCCTCTTATTCCTTGACCCCCGCGGCCGGAACAGCTAGCTACCCTGGACAGCAGGGTGCTTGGTACACTAAAACCCACCAAGTTTGTCATAATGATCAAAGCTAACAACAGCAGGGAAACTCGCCTACAAATCATTCCCTACGTTCGCTCGCTTAAACTCGACGATATGACGTATCGTGCCCCTTCTGGTGAGTTCCACCGTCGCTATCCCCTCGGTGGAAGCTTTTCGATGTGAGTTGCGCGAAATGAGCAAGGAAAATACGGTTTGAATCTACAATTCTCCCCTGCTGCATCTACCATTCTTTCACTACGCTCATATTGTGAGAGATTTCACTGAGCAGAACCGACATCTTTCGATATTTGAGCCACCCAGTTGACTGAAATCACGCTGATATTGGAAATGGATGGAAAAATTGCAGATTATCGCCCAAGACTGTGAGTTATGACTTCAAAGCATCTTCTGAGAGATCAGTTCCAAAACTACCAGAAAAACTGCCTTTACCTTCTAGTTTGGATGACTTCAAAGTATTAATGTTCTTCAATCTTTTCCTTGAGCACAAAAGGCTTAGGCGCTAACAGAGGACGATCGTTCGTTTCATCATCCGCTTTGCAAAGGAAATACCGTCCTTCGTATTCCCAGGATACTCACTCCAGTATTGAAAGCCGGTATCCCGATCATATAATTGCCATTCTATTTCTTTTGTAAAGGACACGCTAATCAAGATTTCTGAATATCATCCAAGTAAGACGTCACTCTCTCAACCAGGGTCCGCCGCGGCTCCGCCTGATCCGAATCACTCAGAGCATGCGATGCATTCGGAATAACCATACTGCGATGGTCCCAGTACTCCCGGCCACCAGAGTTGATAGCCGCTTGCCACCTCTTAAGCAGTTCTTCCTTGTTCACCCAGGGGGGAACAGACTGGTCCCGACCAGAGTACAGCACCAACAACTTCTGTGCCAGTAGCCCCCGAGTACCAACTTGTCCGAATGTCTGCTTGAGCTGAGCATCGCTCAGGTCCGAGCTGAATAGATCGTCTTCCTCCGGCTTTTCGGGACTGTCGGGACTGACCAGACTCAGGAATCGTCGGCTGCTAACTGGTGCCGTGGTCGGGTACCCCATGCGCCCTGTTACTGAGAGCGGGACAAGTGTATCGACTGAGTCATTGTCTTCGTATGTTTGGCGCCGGGCGTCCTCGACAGCCTTGTTATAAAGCTCGCGCATGGTCTCGGGGCTATCCCGTGCTGTGCCGCACTTGATTACCCACAGGATACCCTCGCGATCTGAGACAGGTGCTTGCATGATGGCACCGTCAATCTGTGGGCGGACTATGCCGGGGGCATCTTTGTCGAAGATTGGGTGTGCGGGTCGCGGGTTCGGGCAGTTGAGGTAGTGCATGACATCCTGGCTGCCGGTTGAGTGGCCCATGACGACGACCTTGCCGGCGCCGTATACGGGGGTCTTATATTCGCGGATGTAGTTGACTGTTTGTGCGATCTCGTCGATGTCTTTACCGAGTCGGCCCATGCCCCAGCCTCCGTATGAGGAGGACAGGATCAGGTTGAATACGGTCCATTCTGTTGTCTCGAGGGCGCGAACGATGTCGCCCATGTACTCGACTGAGCCGAGGCCATCGCCTAGCCCGCCGACGAAGACTAGTGTGTTAGGTTTGCGGGGCGAACCGCGAGTGAATTCGAAGGAGACGAGGCTGGAGGCCTAGGGTAGGGAGATCGAGTTAGCTTGGCGGCGGCGTCGGTGCGGGTGGGATGGGGATCGGAGGGTGGTTTACAATGTGGTGGAGGATTCCTGGCTGGCCGCGGGCCAGAGAGGCGAGCGCTTTGAGTTCCATTGTGCGGTCAATTGCAATGGGAGTGTTTGGAGGACGAGGAGAGAGGCGTGGAGCGTGGAGGAGTTCATAGGGTTTTGCGGAGTGCGTCAGATCAGATAAGGAGGTCGGGTGATGAAGACATCAGATAAGCTGTGCCGATAACGGTGGAAACATTTTCCCGTTTGTGGCATTAGGGCTTCGCAGTACATGACGGTCCCGCTGTTTTATGTGTACTGTTACACTGCGTCCGCGCCATCCGCTGTTTGCGTAGTGTGGTTGTGATGGAGCAAAAACGGAACAGAAATGGACTGAAGTCGATGGTGGCGCAATCAAAGTACGAAAATGATCAGATTGATAAGATAGGGCTAAATACGCAAGCGAAATGAGATGCAAATCTCTCATTCAAGGTAAGGAGTAGGAAGTAGGAATCTTTCATCAGTACGCAGCTCTTACGAAAAATTATATTGCATGTTAAGTATGTAAAGCTTAAGGATTCAAGAAGAATATTGTCATATGCACAATTTGTATAATAACATAATTCAATTAACACATGACAGATGCAACAGAAATGCAGCAGATATGCAGGTATGCATAATTACAGACACAAAAGGAGAGGTATGCAGAATAGAACAGTACAAGAATCAAATCACGGCTGCAGGATCATTCGCTAGCTCCTCGATGGCAAGAGCCAGCTCATCCAGTCTCTCCTCCCAGAACTGGAGGCGTACTTCGTCGCCGACAATGCCAACATAGGTCTTGCCACCTTCAGTGTAGGACGTCACACGAATCGGGTTAGGAGACTCGGGGTGCGGGTTCGTGTAATCAACACCACACTCGCCACCAGCGAAGGGAATTGTATCAAAGTAATCAATGTCGTGGTGGTGGACAATCGACGAGAAGAATGGAATGGTTGGTGACCAGCTAGTGCAGTTGTCAGAGATCTCCTGGAAGCCCAGTGTGGCGTGGCGGCTACCCTCGAGGAACTGGTCACGCACACTATCGAGAAGGTCCTTCACGGTCCATCCCGACTCGAACTTAACTCTCAGAGGTATGTACTGGTAAGTCGGGCCCATGATGCGGTCGACATCCGGCAGGTCGACTGTGCGACCGGACACGACACCGCCGAATGTGAGATCATCTGTATCGAGATGCTTAGACAGCACGCGTGCCCAACTGGCCGTGAGAAGGGTAGCCATTGTGGTGTCGGGAGAACGAGCAGACAGAGTAACCTCCTTCTTGATAAACTTGGGCTTGCTGTCGGCCTGAGCCGAGGGCAGTACGGTCAACCAAGCGCCTTGGAGAACGTTGCGCCAGTACTGGATTTTCTCGAGCTTGGTCTCGGCTTGGTATTGGATGTAGCTAGCGAAAGGAACCGGAGACTCGATGTCCTTACCCTCGTATATGAGCTCGAGCTGTCGAAGAACTTCAGGGAAAGAAATTCCATCGTATTGAGCATGTGAGATTCGAATCATCAGTCCTGTTTCTTCGGTGTTTTGGACGATAAAGAGATGCAAGTAAGAGGTGCCCAGGGCGAAGGAGGAGTCAACTTCGATGTCCTCCCCGGCGAGTTTCTTGCAGGCATCCTTGACGGGTTCCTCGGTACTGTGCTCTGAGAATGACACCTTAAAGTCTTTCAATACGACTTGCAGCGTACGACCTCCTTCCTTGATGAAAACAGTTCGCAGTACCGGGTGAGAAGAGACGAGCTTCTGGAAGCTCTCCAATAGGCGAGAGGTGTTAATGTCCTTGAAGTACAGCATGTTGTACTGAACAGCACTCCGAGGCCTGGAGACGGTAGTTTCAACATCGCGCTGCTGCGGGTCGGTGGCGGGAAGGACATCTTCAATGCTCCAGGCTGCATCGGCCAGGGTGGGCTGAATATTCTTTGACAAGTACTCCTGGAGATCACCAGTGTTGATCATCGAGAAGGGCTTGTATTCCTTAATCACCCGTCCACCATCAAGAGGAGCATCCACCAGGACACTAGCCATGTCAGAGAGTTGCATATTGCGGAAAATGTCAGTCACGGACAGGTGGTATCCAGCCAGACGCAAAGCAGTCACTAGTTTCATGGCCATGATAGAATCACCACCCAGTCGGAAGAAGTTGTCATCAAGGGTCAGCTTTTCTTCCTCCACACCAAGAGATTTAGCCCACAAACCGCGTAGTGCGCGTTCCTTCATAGTCATTTGCTTCGCTCCTCGGCCAGAACGGAGGCTCGTGAAGACAGTTCGAAGCTGCAGCAGAAAATCCTGGGTAACATGCTCCGACAATGACCTCAAAGACTCGATGTCAACTTTTTCACCGAGATAAGGAAGCTTCTCAAGAGGAATGTAGATAGAGGGAATCATGTAAGGAGGAAGAACATCGGCAAATTTCTTGTTCAGACCAACAATGGCTTCAGCAAGTTCGACAGAGATGACGCTGGACAATGCAAGTTTGTTATTCGGTGTCTTGAGACCAAGGTCCACCACCTGGCCCTCCTTCGTAGGAGGCTCGCTCACGAATGCGACCAGCACGGGTAATTGAGTATCAGAGGCGTTGGGGACAATAAGCTGACTAGCACCGTGAACATTTTCGGGGAGCCAATGTCTCAGCTGAAGATCAACAGTCGCAAGATCCATGACATAGCCGTCGACCTTTCGAAGACTCTCCTTGCGACCCATGAAGACCAGACTCTTGTCATCAGCGTACTTGACTAGGTCACCAGTCTGGTAAAGTCTGACTTTGCGACCTTCAATCTCGCCCGCGCCCTTTATCATCCACTCCGGAGTATCGAGGTTCGCGGCTTCTCCGACACCCTCTAGGAGCAGCTCACCCACAGTTCCGAATGGCATAAGCTGATTGGGGTTCGCAGGGTGGACGATCCATGGAACGAAGGATGTTGGGTATTTGTCTCCAGTCATAAGTCCCTTGGGCTCAAGAACAAAGCTGGAGGCATCAGGGACGGGGGATTCAGGAGCCTTGTTGATAAGCCAGATCTCGGCAAGTTCCTGATCGCTCAGACAAGTGATGTTTCCGAGCTGAATTGAATCGTCATTGCAAAGTTGCGAGACAACATATTCAAGCTGCGCAAGGACACGGTGCATTTGGGGTTCGGAGATCAAGTTGGAATCGAAGCTTGCGGTGACCTCAAATCCATCTGAACGCAATGAGCATGCCAGCATCAACGGATAAGAGTTGAAGCGTAGAGCCTCATGGGCAGCATCCTCGACGCGGAACGGCGGAAGCTCACCTCCAGATTCCTCAGGAGCATCTGCTGGGCGAGGTTGAATAACCAATCCCATCTTAACTTCACATGCCAGCTGGGCGTCGCCACTCACGCGGCGGATGTTCTGCATACCAAGATGCTCGTGAGCAGCTCGTACAAGACCTTGCTCTTGAATGGATTGAAGGAACTCCTGAACAGGTGCTGATCGGTCGATGCGCACACGAACAGGAACTGTGGCAATCATAGGGCCTTCAATTTGCTCGACGCCAGGGATGCGGAGAGTGCGTCCTGCAAATGTCTCACCGAACACCACATCATCGCTCATGGTATATTGGGAAGCAACCATGGCCCACGCAGCGCGAATCAGAGTTGCGGTGGTGATGCTGGACCTTGTGGACTGCTCTACCGGAACGATTCTCTGTGCCAATGCATTGGGCTCTGGAATGTACATACGCGATGGCAGCGACGGATACTGGGGTCCAGTTGCACCTTGCAGCTGAACGCGCCAGTAGTCCTTCGAAGCCTCTCTGGAAGGATCGACGAGGTACTGAATAAAGTGCTTGAACTCGGCTGGTCGGGGTGTCGAAATACCCCTGTAGGCGTTCTTTGCATGTTCGATCATCAGGTCCGTTGACCAGCCGTCATAGATGGCATGGTGAACGGTCCAAACGAAATAAATCTTGCCGGCGGAGTCATCGTGGACAAGGGAGAATCGACTTAGGGGCATATTGACAGACATAGGAGTCTTCTGGTCCTGATCCAAAAATTGCTCAAGGCTCGCATCGCTTGACTGCCACTCTGGGACCTCGTTGGTCACAACCTGCATGAAGCCATGCTCTTTGAACTCCACAACCCGGGTGCGCAAGATTGCGCTTTCCTTGATGACAACACTCCATGCCTCCTTCAGCTTGTCGGCTGTTTCCTTATTGGGAACCTCGGCAATTCGCTGGGCGACATAGCTCTCTGACGAGCGGGCAGAGAATGCCATCAAAATTTCTTGCAGTGGTGTGCAAGGGTAAATATCCTCAATGGACTCCTTAGAGACACCACACTGGCCAGCAGCTTCTTCACACGCGGATTGCCGGTCCCAATTAGAGTCGATGAGAGAGAAAGAAGGCACCTCGACCTGCGAGCTTGCCTCTTCCTTCTGCATTGCCTGTGCCATGTCGGCCAGGACGGGGAAGCTGAAGATGTCCGCCACCGTCAACACGAACCCTTGCTCTCGGACCGCGGGCACCAGCTTCATTGCCAGAACGGAGTCTCCGCCCAGGATAAAGAAGTTATGAGTGGTGCTCACTTGTTCTGCTGTCAAGCCAAGAAGGTGACACCAAATTTCGTGAAGGCAGGTCTCTGTTTCGCATAAAGGCTTCTGGTTCTGGCCTCTGGAGGAATCAGATGAGCTGGATTGCAGAATCAGTTGTGATCCGAAGGCACGTAGGAGCTTGCGATCAATCTTGCCGGAGACAAGCATCGGCATACGATCAATGCCAATGTATGTTGAAGGAACCATGTAGATTGGGAGAGCCTTGGATAACTGCTCATTAAGATCCGCCATCTTCTCACGAAGTGCAGAGGAGAACTCAATTTGCTGGAGCTCATTATCCTTTGCATCTGGCTTTTCGGCATTGGGATCAGCCACGAAAGCGAGGAGCATCGACTCCTTGCTCCGACCCTGGGGAGCAATGACTTCAGCGACAACATCAGTTCCCGAAGGAAGAAGTCGTCGTAAGTGATGTTCAATCTCGCCGAGCTCAACACGCTGTCCACGTAGCTTGACCTGTGTATCCTTACGGCCGACGAAGACAAAGCCTTGTTCACCGTCTGGGTCATAGCGGACCAGGTCACCGGTCTTATATAGTCGGCCTCTGCGTCCTGGAACGCCTCCACCACCAGCAACAAGCCATGTGGGGTTCTCAATAAATGCAGCCGCTGTCTTTTCAGGGTCGCCCAAGTAGCCTTGACCAACGATGGGTCCCTCAACTAGCAATTCTCCGACTGCACCGATGGGGACGAGTTTGTTGTGGTCGTCGGGGTCGGTCAGCCAGATCACACCTCCATTGCCAGGTCCAATGCTGACATACGGCTTGCCGGCCGCGCTGGGGTTGATCGTGCATCCAACCGTGCATTCGGACGGACCATATCCGATCACAATTCTAGTTTGCTTGCCCCATTCTGAGACGTCGCCGATGGAGCATGACTCGCCGCCAAGACCGAGACTGTGTAGAGAAGGAATGATGTCGGCATCCAGAATGCGCGCCACAGAAGGAGTCATGTTGGACATGGTGACCCCCATCCGGCGAATGACTCCGCTGAGATCGTTCAGACGATCCTCGTCGGAGGGAATACAGAGACATCCGCCGCGAAGTGTTGTGCAGAGCATGCTGTCGATACTGACATCGAATGCATATGACGCGAAATCGAGCACTCGGGTTTCGGCGGTATATCCGACAGCAGCACTCCGCGCGATGGCACTGGTGGTATATGTGGCATGGTTGATAACGACACCCTTAGGCTTGCCGGTACTTCCGGAAGTGAAGATCAAATAGAGGATAGAGTCGGTTGGGACAACTGGAAGCTCGAGCTTGGCTGTCTTGGTAGCCTGCTCGGCCAGCTCATCCAGTGTATCCTGGGCGACGACCACGGCCTTTGCGCCAGGTGCAATCTTAGGACCGAATGGCGCATGTGTCTTAGATGTGATGACGATAGTGGCGCCGACTTGCTCAGCAATAGTCTGACGTCTCTCGAGAGGCTGGCTGGGATCCATCAGCACCATTGCACCTCCGGCTTTCAAGACACCGAACACGGCAACAATGGTCCAACGTGATTTCTCAAAGCAGATGGGAACAATCTGGCCAATCTTCAGACCGATTCGGACGAGATTATGTGCGACAAGAGTCGCGTATCTTCCGATCTCTTCATATGTGAGGTTTCCGTCCCATGAGCAGATTGCCTGTGCTGTCGGTCGCCTTTGCACTTGTTCGAAGATCAGGTCTTGCACGCAGGCATTTTCGGTAGCGGGCACGTCCTTGTTCCAGCGCCAGATTTCAGATAGATCCACGCCACCAGGTCCCAAAACCGAAGAAATCGGGTTCGAGAGGCCAGTCATGAGAGTGTTGAGGATTTCTACCACGGCATTCGCGTAGTGTCCCGCAAGGTATTCCGCACCGAGGGGTTCGCGCCAGCAGGGCCGCAGCCACAAATTACCGTCCGACATGGTCGCTTGCAGCTGGATATTTCCCTATAATTGCGTCAGTTCCAGACTCATTGGTTTTGATCCTGTATTGCTCTTTTTTGTTGTGACGTACCCATGCCATTCCGCCTCCAAGTGCATCGCCGTCGCTGACGCGCGCATTGCTGGAAAGGTCACTCGGCGCACATTCATCGTTGAAAAACACGATAGCCTCGTCGAGCGCGACTAATTTGCCTGCTTGGATCTGTTGTCGGTAAGATTGCACGCCTTCCAGGGCCTTTGCGATCAGCTCGGAGGTGCTCCAACTCAAGCCGGAAGTGCCGAAGTTGAAGGTGAAGTCGGCCGCAGTTTCGTTGCGGCCCCAGGTAAATTCGATATGATTGCCATTGCTATGGCGAAAGAGCAGCAAAGCCCAGGCGAGCAGCAGAAGATCGACCTCATGCCCGCGATACTCGGATGCGCGCAGGAGGGGCACGTCGAAGCGGGCAAATCTGGCCAGGAGCTTCTTCGGCGCCTCTCGCTCGGTGGAAAGAATGGCGCCCGAAGCCATGGCGTCTCGTGTCGACTTGACAGTCCAAAAGAATGAGAAATCAGAGAGACCTGCCGATCCGAAGTAATCACCATCAACAGAGCCCGCAACGCTTTTCTCTCTCCTCACTCGGATATTTTTGGCCCCGTCGCATTGCTTTTCTCGAACACGAGCCCCGAGTCCCGGCACTCGGGAGAGCAGAGACCCACGGTGGGCTTCGGATGTGTCACCGGTTGTAGCTGAAGAAACTGGAAAGAATAAAAAGAATAAATGGGGCTTCCTGTATTAGGGTCCGGGTGTATGTACCGATTGTACGAGATATACCATCGGAGATGTAACAATGGTATTGTCACAGTGTAATATACATTTGTTACTTACCATGGCGTATAAGCGTAAATTATCATGCGTGGACCCACCGCCGCCGGGATTCTAATTTGATATGCAGCCCTTCACGTTCTTCTGCTCCCCACCGCCGCTGACGTTGGGTATTTTACATTTGCACAGAACGAGAAACACCTCTGGGTATCTATCGAGATCGATTGTCAAGATCAGAGAAAAAGGGTTCACTCCAGATGGTTGTAGAAAAGGTGCGGGAAACGACGATCGCGATCTCTGCAGCCCTGCGGTGATAAGCATTCCAAGCTTCAGGGCTGAACTCTGCCTTGCGATCGACGGTTCTTGGCGGGCAAATCCTTCGGATCGACCCTTGGCAACGAGTGAGACACGGATCCGATTCCTGCGCCTTACGCGAGCACGGACGAAACTTCCTGATGTTGCTCATTTTACCCGGCCCATGGCCAGCTCCGAGGGCTCCAGCTCGTTACTCCGAACAGGCGGAACAAGCCGAGATGGCCAGTGGGGGGATACTGATCATCGCAGGAGCTGCCTCCTGGGCCGAATTTCTGCCGTTTAGCGAAGGGCCTCGGCCTCCACCCGTACATGGCGACAGCCTGGATTTGTATGTTCAGAACGAGTGATGAAACGCTTGCGAAGTCGGCTGGCGTTGCCCCACGGAGCTTTTCGGGGCGCGCATGGAGCTGAGCCAAGAACCAGGCAGTGGCTTACTTCGATTCGGATTATAAGTCTCTGCAGAGCCGTGGACCTCGATTGTTGCTTATTTGCAAGTTGAACCTTACCTGCTTGCATTGACCTCCTCCCCTCCAATAATCATGGCCAGCTCCCAGCAATTGGCGCCGATCAAGGTTCAGCTGCCGCATCCCTATCTCACCACCTACCACCTGGTGCCCTCCAGCAAGGTCCAAGACGGCAATCGCCTGTTCCAGCTCCATAAGGCCTCCGGGGATGAAGCGCAGCCCTTCCCTTATGAGCTGCAGAATGGCCAGCTCTACTTCAGCGCGCCGCAGCCGGTAAACCCGAAAACCGCGGTGCCAGCCTCCAACAACACTGCTTGGGCGCGCGCGCAACGCAGCCCGGTCTCTCTCTGTACCTGGGAGAGCTCCTCTGCACCGACTGTCGGTCAGGTCTGGCTCTTTCTCTACGCTATCTTCACCGTTCAGGAGCACATGGAGACCTTCCGTCTCCAGCTCAAGGGTCCCGATGCCGAATCTCTGGCGCACGCCCTGCGCCTGTCCATGGTGGCTATTGACCACCCGCGACCTGTCAGCAGCGAAACCAGCGACGAGCCTATTCCCAATGAGCTCCTCGTGATGCGCAGTGCCTTCTGGCAAGGCTGCGGCTCGCCGCTGGGCGCTCAGCCTATCTGGCTGCCGAACTGGAACCCAGCGGCTGCTGTTCCTAGCCTTGACTACACTATGACCTCCACGGAAGCCTCCCACCGTCGTCACCCTCGTCGCCACCCTAAGCCTACCCCTGGAAGTGTCGTTTACAGTCGCTACATCCCCTTCCTAGACGAGCACTTCTCCCTCATTGCCCTGGACTATCAAAATCCCGAGCACCTGAATCTCTTCCACACCTGGCAAAATGACCCTCGCGTCGCAGCAGGCTGGAAGGAGACCGGTACCCTCGACGAGCACAGGGATTACTTGCGCCGCCAGCATGAGAGCGCACACACCCTTACCGTGCTCGGCCGCTTCAACGACACTTTCTTCTCGTATTACGAGATCTTCTGGTCCAAGGAGGACATTGTCGGCGCGCACTATGCGTCGCACGACTTCGACCGAGGCCGCCACACCCTTGTTGGCAATGATAAGTTCCGCGGTCCCCACCGTGTGATGGCCTGGTGGCCGAGCATGATCCACTTCTGCTTCCTCGACGATCATCGCACTGAAAATGTGATCGGCGAGCCGATGTCGACCAACGACAAGGTCCTGACTTATGATTACACTTTCGGCCTCCACCAGGATCAACTCATCGATCTGCCTCACAAGCGCGCTAGCCTAGTTAAGTGCACCCGTGAACGCTTTTTCCAGTTGTGCCCGTTTAACCAGGGTGCTCCCCATATTGCTGGTACCGGACTGGGCTTCAAGCCGTGCCTGTAAATGTGTGACGAATTGCTTTTTTGGATTATAAACTTTCTGGGCTATTTTGCGTGCGATCTTTGGGCCTTTTGACTATTTAGACATATATATTGTGACTTGGTGGTCCCATCAAGTACACGCTAGTGTAAATAACATATACAAATATTTGTGCTGAACTTGTTTTTTTAAAAAAAAACCGTAAATTTGTTTGAGAGAGAAGGTATCTATAATTACATCCGATAGGAATTATATGCAATGCAAGTCTATAGGTATAAGAAAGGAAATATGCAAATGAAAGAATGCAGCCCTGGACACTTCTTAGCCCTCGAATGTCTGGCTGAGAACGTTGCTCCGATAGTTCTCTGACCGCGTGAAGAGCTCGTCGTGAGTACCAGCATCGACACAGACACCAGCCTCGATCATGTAAATCGTGTCGGCCTTGCGAATGGTGTTCAGACGGTGTGCGATGGCCAGCACACTGATTCCCTTTGACGCAACCTCTAAACCCTCCTGTAGAAGCTTCTCAGACTCGGCATCCAGTGCACTCGTCGGCTCGTCCAGGATGAGCAGTCGTGGCTTGCGCACTAGCGCACGGGCAATTGCCAAACGCTGCTTCTGACCACCAGACAGCTTACTGCCGTTGGCACCACACTCTGTGTCGTAGCCCTGTGGCAGGTTCATGATTGTCTCGTGAATATTGGCTAGCTTACAGGCCTGGATGATCTCTTCGTCGGACACAACTGTACCAGGCCTAGAACCCAGTGAGACATTGAAACGCACGCTACCCTCAAAGAGTGTGCCTTCTTGCGGGACGAGAGCGATATCATCACGGAAAGTGATATCCAACCGCTGGGTAATGTCTGTTCCATCAACAAGAATTGCACCGGAGCTAGGCAGATACATGCGCTCGACAAGAGCGATGATAGTAGACTTTCCAGCACCGGAGGGGCCAACCAGGGCACAGAATTGGCCTGGCTTGACGTGGACATTCAGTCCCCGCAGAACAGGGGCATGGGTACGAGCAGGATAGGAGAACTTGACATCGCGGAGCTCTACGTCAACACCTCCTTGCGCATTTGGGGAGAATGCCTTGGTCTCTCCAGTAGACTCCACGTCCTTCTCAGAGGGTGACTCAGTGGGCTCAGGTAGGGCCTTCACCTTCGAAGCCAGTCCAGATGAGCCGAGCTCAAGAATCTCCAGAACTCTAGCCACGGCAGCCCGAGCGTTCGATACTTCAGGAGCAAGTGCAAACATTTGGCTCCAGAGCTGGGCACTAACCAGCAAGGCAAACATGACAATGATGAACTGAGTCTCGCTGTAGGTGCCGTTGAAGATCTGCTTGGAGCCCCACCAAAAGGCAAGGGCGTAGGACAGATTACCAATGAAGAATGCCAGGCCCAGCCACAGATTAGCCCACAGACTGATCTGGGTGGTTTCACGGCGCGGTCCAGAGAGGGTACGGCGATAGACCTCCAAGGTCTCGTCCTCCAGCGAAAGCGAAGCGATGGTCTTGATGGAGTTGATGGCTTCGACACTGATACTAACGGACATGTTGAATGCATTTTCGTGCTTGTCTTCGAATTTAGCGAGAACGTTCAGTTCCATTAGACCAACACCTAAGAGCAGAGGCACAATGGCGATACAGACAAGCGCCATCTTCCACGCGATACACAGAGTCATCACAATAGCAATCACCAAGTTGATACAGATTGAGAAGATAGTACCAATCACTGATCCACTGAGACCGGCGATCAGACTACCGTCATTGGTGATGTATCCCAGCAATCCCGTGGGCGTGCGGCCCTCAGACTGGTGCCATTGCAAATCCTGCTCGAACAGCGAGCGGAAAAGAAGAACGCGAATGTTGTATATGGACTTTTCAGACACCCAGCCGAATCCAACCCAGCTGGTAATGTTGGCGAAGAACTCAACAATAGCCAGGATGAAGAACATCAGGCCGAAGAAGCTACCACGCGACCGGATGTATTCGGGGGTTTCGCAAGGCGTCAGACTGCCCACGGTGTTACCGAAAATGACAGCTTCAATCGAAAACGCCGCACCAACGATACTGGCACCGAGGAGAGCCACCAGGGCAATCAGAAGGTAAGGGCGCATAATGGGGAACATGCCCTTGAGCAGATACCAAACAGACTTCTTGGCAGGCTTCTTTGATTCCTGGCCGGAGGAAGAAGGCGGGGTCACTTCATCCTTCTCCGTCGCATCAACAGACACAGGCTCCTTGCTGGCTTTCTTGGCCAATTCAGGAGATTCGCCGTCATCACCGGACTGATCAGTCTCGGTGATGACACCGGACTGATCAGTCTCGGTGATGACACCGGAGTGAGCGTCGACTTGCTTGTCGGAGGGTTGTTGCGTGCTGAGGTTCTGAAGGCCGACTAGGCCCGCATAAGCCCCTTGCTTCGTCATCAGCTCGGCGTGGTTTCCTGTCTCCACCACCTCGCCATCGCGCATCACAATAATCTTGTCGGCTTTCTGGATCGTCGAGAGCCGGTGTGCAATCGAAATCATGGTGCGACCTTCGGAGCAGCGCTCCACGGCCGCAAGAATCTCCTTCTCACTCTTGGAATCAAGGGAGGCAGTGGCTTCATCCAAAATCAAGACCTTGGGGTCCTTGACCAATGCACGAGCGACTGCAATGCGCTGCTTCTGGCCACCACTCAGAAGAGTTCCGTTGGATCCGACGACTGTGCCCAGCCCCTCAGACAAGTTTCCGATGAAGCGGGCGGCATCCGCGAGGGTTGCAGCGTGTTGAACCATTTCGATAATCTCCACAACCTCAGGCCCGTGGGATTGAGCGGCCTCAGTTGCATCCTTTCCGTCGCGGATAGCGGCAGCTACTTCGGCAAGCTGGGGACCGATCAGGGCATCGTGAAGATGGGCGTGCTTCGGAGCGGCAGAGTTGACCAGACCGTGTGCGATATTCTCCAAGATTGAGCGGTCAAGTAGGGTTGCCTCCTGTTGAACCATACCAATGCAACTACGCAGCTGGCGGGTGTTTAGGTCGCGGACCTCCTGGCCGTCCAGATATAGCGATCCCTCCAAGGGGTCATACAAACGGAGCATGAGGCTAGCGATGGTAGATTTACCACTGCCAGAAAGGCCGATGATGGCGGTTTGCTTACCGGCAGGGCATTCGAGAGAAACATTGCGAAGAACGGGACGTTCCGGGCGAGATGGGTAGGTGAACGACACGTTGCGCAGCTCAAAATGACCAGCAGTGTTACAAGGAAGCTCAAGTCCCTTGATGGATGTGCCATCAATCAGCGGTTGGTGGTCCATATCCCGCGCAAGCTTGGTGAAAGCGGCAGACGCAGCACCGAAGATCTGCAGGAAAGGGGCGACCTGACTGAGAATCAGGGTGGCATCAACAAGCAGGAAGATGACAGTGAAGATCGATCCAACAGACGCGCCGTCACCACCATTGGCATTGGAATCGGCAACTGAATCGGCAATGGTGTGACTTCCCTGCCAGAAAGCCAGGGCGTTGGCGGCATAGGCAATGAAATACATCAGTCCAGCTTGAACGCCAGTTGCAAGGGCCTTTTTCATGCCTTCATTTCTCGCAGTGCGCAAATGAGCAGTGAACTTGGCTTCCAGTCTGTCATTGGCGTTGAACGCGTGCACAACCGCAACGTTGGACAGACCCTCGGATGCAATGGAGGAAGAAGCCGCGAAGCAGTCGGACACCCGGCCGGAGTACTTCTCAATGAACCAGCCACCTCCAATGGACATGATAAAGTAGGCGGGGAGAAGCGAAACCAGGATTCCCGCTAACTTGGCATCTTTGATGAACGCCACGACATAAGCAGTCACGAAGAACGAAACACTGGAGATGCAAATTCCAACCTTCTCCGAGGTACCAGATCGAATAGTCTGTATATCTCCGTTCAAGCGAGAAGAAACTTCACCAGAAGGAAGGTTGTCGAAGAATGAGGGCTCCTGACGCAGAAGGTTTTTGAAGTATTGTTCGCGCAGGCGCTGAGCCAGTCGGGCACCACCCATTGACCAACACACGAGATGGATATACATAAATCCGAACTGCGCGATAGCTAGATACAAGACATAGAGGATCTTTCCGTTGACCTCTGACTGGTAAGAAGCTTGAGTGGCCGCATCGAGAGATTCAGATGAGGAGCAGCTTTCCGAATTGAAGTTGTCGATAAGCTGACCGAAGATGATTCCGAGCAATGGGAAGGGAATTCCAGATGCAATGGCGCAAATAATACCGGCGATGAGCAACACAATGTCGAAGTTTGTCGGGTTCGTCCGCAGATAGATAGAGAAGTACACGAAGAAATTCTTTAGCTATAAGGGTGGCAAACTGTTAGCTCCAGCTCTCTTGTTCATGCAGAGGTCTGCGCCAATGTACCTTGTCGCCAACTGGCGAATTTGCGTTTGGAGGGGCCTCTGTTGGCGTCGCGACGGCCATAATGGGGCTTTGCGCAGCTACAGCACGGTCACGGCGAGATCAAATCGCGAAGGTTGGAGGGCTTATAGGCCCAATTGCCGAGACTTGGTGATTCTTCAGCCACCGAACGGGGTTTGGCGCAGAGTAAGTTCGACGACGTGAACCAGTTTTGTCTTCAGCAAAAGGAGCTATGTGCAGTGGGCCGATACCGGATCGACATCTCAGAGCTGTCTCGAAGAGAAAAAAAATCTGATAAGATCAATCAATTGGAGTTGGCGGCCGAAGGGAGGCGCAATTCAGAGCGAGGACCAGAAAAAAAATTGCTAGCTGGGCTTAGCCGGTGGAGCTTCTCGTGGACGTGTCGATGCCCACATGCTGCCATTTATGGAGTGTCGGGGTCGATTACAGGCCCCATACACGGCATTCCCGGCAATATACTACTCTTGGTAACCGGAATGGAGATCTCTGTATGAGCTTGATCTCGTATAAGCTTGGTTTTTTGTTCGTCCTGTGGTGATCCACTCGGTTGCGTACGAGTTCCACTGTAAGCTCGTAGTGCAAACACAGAGGGACATAGCGATCTTTGCATTTGAAGGAATTACCACGTTGCAGGTTGCTGCAGATCCGGGAAGATTGTTCGATAGTGTGCTACTGCAGGGTATGTACCCCTCAATCTGCTTCGTATAGCACCTCTTCGTGGCTTGAAATGTTGTGAAAATGGAGGGTGAAGAGGGAGAAGGCGGTGGGTGGGAAAAAGTCACGCAGATTATCAGATTAATCAGATAGTTGCAATCAGATTAATTAGGCTTTGCGTTATCCGCGGTTTCGGAATTACAATACGTTATTACGTGCGTCCGTACGGCACACCACTGTATTACACACTCCGAGGTCGTCCCAGATTAAAACGGGCATCAGATAATATCGGTAACCTCGGAAGCATTGTTCAAGCACTCCGTGATTACTGCCGGTTGGGCAGCTCACCAAGTGGGTAAATAGAGACCTCACAGACGAGTTGTGCCGTTGCATTCCACGGCATTGAGGACCGCCGACAACGACCGCCTGTCAGCGACCACCATCTGCATACGGCCTGTCGCCATAATTCTACGCCTGTCGATATGATTTCTACATCTTCATTCAAGCGGTTTCCGCCGCCGCAGTCATATGCATTCGTCTCATTTCCGGTGCCGCATGTCATGCTGGTCGTGTTCAACCGTCCAAAGGCCCTTAACGCCATGACCAGCGCGGCGCAATATGACCTTGAAACACTCTTCACCTGGTACGACAGCGAGCCATCTCTACGTTGCGCCATCGTCACTGGCGCCGGACGCGCATTTTGCGCTGGAATGGACCTGAAGGAGTGGAACCAGCTCAATATTCGACGCGCAAAGGGCGAACATACCACCCAGGCGCCAATGCCGCGGTCAGGCTTTGGAGCTCTTTCTCGCCGACATGGCAAGAAGCCCATCATCGCGGCCGTCAATGGTATCGCGTTTGGGGGTGGTATGGAGATTGTCTCCAACCTTGATATGGTCGTTGCCGTGAAGAGCGCACTGTTCGCGCTACCCGAAGCCAAGCGAGGCGTCGTCGCGATGGCGGGCTCCTTACCCAGACTTGCTCGGACTATTGGACGGCCTAGAGCGACGGAGCTCGCGCTCACTGGCAAGAGCATTACGGCTGCGGAGGCCAAGGAGTGGGGTTTGATTAATGCTGTGACGGAAGATGGCGCGGCAGATGATGATATTTTGGACCGGCCAGTCGTCAAAGCTGCATTGCAGTATGCTGCTAGCATTTGTGAGAACAGCCCCGATAGCGTGATCATCAGTCGCGCTGGTATCGTGGCTGGCTGGGAAGATGGAAGCGCGGAAAACGCCAGCCGTCTTCTCAGTGAGAACTGGGAACCTGCATTGAACGAGGGCGAAAATCTCCGAGAAGGCCTGCGGGCTTTTTCTGAGAAGCGAGAGCCTCGGTGGATCGACAGCAAGTTGTGATTCGGAAGATGATGGATAATATCATGTATAGATAGAACATGTATTACCACAATCAAATTGAACCTAATTGATCGAGATTTGGTAGTAAATCTTGATGGATAGATTTATTTTACGATCTCCAATCGAAATTACCTTGATGCCTACAGCAATTTACATATGTACACTATTTTTGTAGAACATGCTGGGCAATGCAATGCAACGTCGGCTCCAGCTAGGCTGAGCACGGCCACGACCTCCATTCCCACATGGTTTCAACCCTTTTTGGAAAGCGGACTATTACATAGCAGGCAGTGTCATCATTTTTCACGCGCCCAGAGCACAAAATTACATGCACGATTCATGACTGCCTTATGCTATGCCATACACCACGTACCTGGCGTCGTAAGGCCAAGAAGCCCCTGATGCGCCAAGCCGAAAGGTGGTGCTTGTATAAGCTTGTACTCCCCTACTCTGCCAGCCGTTGCGTATTACCAGGAAATACCAGCGATACGCTGATATCGCTCGGAGATGGCAGTATTGGTTTTACCGACATCCGGTCCGCACTTCGCGCCCGAATGCACGAACGGGGCATTGATTATCAGATTCCCTTGTGCAACAGTACGAATTTATCAATCGGTCTTTTTTTCGGTTAGGTGGACGACAGGACCCGCATCTTGCTTGGCGTTCCCTCGGCGGTGGACACTGCTTCTGAAACATGGACAGGTGGGATCCGGAAATGTCTCTTCGCGCCGTGAACGCAGAATGCGGCAAGATTCTCTGCGCAGCCACAGCAAGTGGCCCTCGCCTCCAGCAAATATGGAACTAACGCCAGCCTGGGAACTCATGGACGCCAGTCGTCCACACCGTCTATCACATCATGACTCTGCCAGAGAACCCCTCGGATGACAACAAGCCCCTTAGAATACCCACTCTGACCTGCTGCATCTGCCTAGTCCACCCGTCGCAACGGATTTCCGGATTTTGTCTGGAGCCCGATTAAGGAGGTGAACCCGGGTTGACGGCCACCGCGGCAATTGCATGAATGAATGCGTGTTCTCCGCCGAAACATGAGAGTAAAAAGCAATGCGACTGTCTTAGCTGAAGTATGGATTTCAATGTCGGACATGGGGGCCATGCTGTCGGAGAAGACCGTTTCAGCTGCGCGCCGCGACGATCTCTATGCGAAAGCACAAGACAGGCAGTGAGTGACATTGGTCCCTATAAGGAGATAGTGGGACATCTGCGATCGTCCAAACATCTGGCCTCGACTGACCTGAACCGAACAACTCGAGCCTTGCTATTATTGCTTGCTCGCATTCACCGTGTTAACAGGGATCGTGGCCCCCAGGGCGAAATCGTGGAACCATGGGAACAACTCTAGCGCATATCCAGAGTTATCTGATCATCTTCATATCGGAAGATCAAGGGAGAAATATCTCAAAACGGCTTGGCACTCCAGCTTGCGATGGAGGATCGCGTCAAGCGGCACCACACGCTGACCGAATAAGAGAGCTGCCTGGCTTCTCCAGTTGCACTCCAAGAAGATCATCGCCTCTTTGCGTGTACAGTGGCTCGCAGGACCCCTGTGGGGCTCTATCCAACACCCGCAAGCCCGGATCAGATTAGATGGTTGGTGCAAATCAGGGTGTTTGCCATCTTTGACCAGGGTGTTGGCATAGTTTGAGTGGTTGAGATGTCAAGGCTTGCGGCAGGGCTCGATGTGATGTGCAGTAGTGCGACAAGGGGAAAAAGCCTGGGGGCCGCCCTACGCGGAACCTTTTTCTGGAATTTCCGACATCAGTTGATCGCGATGAGCTTATTAACACGGCCGCCTGCTCGTTTCTCGGCAGGCCGATCAGCAGTATTGACTTTTCATCCTCCTCTTGGCTTGTTCCTGCCACGGTCCTTGGTCAGTTATCAAGACCTTTTGATCGCCCAGTGACCTCGATATCACTATGGCCGACCACAACGCCTCCCAAGAGGGTGAAGTCATCAAGTCGGAGATGAATGTCAACGTGGAGAGCGGAAAGCAGCATTACTCTGATGGCGAGGATTTGGCGCATAACCCCGATGTGCCCGACTACAATGCCCAGTATGGTGTCAAGTCGGCTGAGGCCATGACCCTGTCGTGGTCGAGGACCTCCCTGATCGTGGTCTACATGAGGTGAGTGATCTAGCGGAGCGACGGCTGTGAAGCAAGACATGCTAACATGATATGTGCAGTATGTGGCTATTGTACTTCAGCAATGCTTTCGAGGCATCATTGTCCACCAACCTGTCGCCTTATGTGTCCAGCGCATTCAACGACCATTCGCTGGTGACGGTCATCAACGTAGTGTCACAGGTCTTGACCGGTGTCACATACATGCCTGTTGCAAAGATTTTGAACTTGTGGGATCGTAGCGTCGGTTTCACCATCATGCTTACGATTGCGGTAATCGGCATGATTCTCATGGCGTCGACAAACAGCTTCGAACTGTATGCTGCATCCAACGTAAGGGATCAGCCCCGTCTTTGAACCTCCATATGGAAGATTGCAAGCTGATATCCGCTACCTACAGTGTCTCTACTCCATCGGATTTACTGGTATGACCTTCTGTGTCGATGTGGTCACAGCTGATACCTCCACGATGCGGAACCGTGGCTTGGCCTTTGCCTTTACTTCTTCGCCCTACATCATCACAGCATTCGGTGGCCCCAAGGCTGCTGAGACGATCTATGCCGACAACTGGCGCTGGGGCTTTGGTGCCTGGGCCATTGTTCTTCCTGTGGTCGGTGCTCCCATGATTACCATGATGGTGTTGGGTAAGCGCAAGGCAGAGAAGAACGGACTCGCCCCTCGACAGGACAGTGGTCGGACATGGTATGCAAGCGTTTTGCATTATTTCATCGAGTTTGACGGTAAGTAATGTGGGCTTCCGCTGAGTTTCGTTGCATGATCTGATAGACTCGCTCAGCTGTTGGAATCTTCCTTCTGTGTGCTGGATTCATTCTTTTCCTCCTGCCTTTCATCATAGCCGTCTCTTCGGCAGACCAGTGGAACAGCCCTAGCATCATTGCTATGATTATCATTGGATTTTTTTTGCTTGTCTGCTTCGGCTTTTGGGAGCGATTTGGTGCCCGTGTGCCTTTCGTTCCTTGGTCGTTGCTGACGGATCGGTCTGTCATCGGTGCTTGCATGCTGGACTTTGTCTACCAAATTGCTTACTACTGCTGGTACAACTACTTCTCGTCCTACCTGCAAGTCGTTTACAACCAATCGCTTGCTGGCGCGGGTTATATCGGCAGTATCTATGATGTCGTCTCTGGCGTGGAGCTGCTGATCGTCGGCGCCCTGATCAGCTACACTGGCCACTATAAATGGGTACTTATGTGGGGAGTTCCGATGTACATTCTTGGTGTGGGCCTGATGATCTATTTCCGCCAGCCTGGTAATGGCATTGGCTACATCATCATGTGTCAGATCTTTATTGCCTTGGGTGGTGGCGTCATCACTATCGGTGAACAGGTTGCCCTAATGGCGTCCGCCGAGCACAACGATGTTGCTGCTCTCCTGGCGCTGCTTGGATTGTTTGGCTACATTGGTGGTGCAATTGGAGGCACAGTCTCGGGTGGTATATGGACAAATGTCCTACCTGGTCAACTCCGACAGAGGCTCCCTGCAAGCAAAGCTGATCAGTGGGAAGACATCCTGAACAGCCTCGATGTGCAGTTGAGCTACCCTGTCGGGGACCCGACTCGAACCGCCATTTCCGATGCCTATGCTGCTACGAATAAGTATATGCTTATCGCTGGCGTTTGCATCATGTCTTTGGGCCTAGTGTGCATGGCAATCATTAAGGATCGCAATGTCAAGCACATTGTGCAGACCAAGGGTCTGCTTTTCTAAGCTGGGAAACTGCTGGTCACTGTCCAGTCCAGGCTCACCATGTGCTGAGTTTGGTGAGACCCAGACGGGGATTTTGTCTTGGGTTCTCAGTGAAATGAACATTTTTATCTTCAGGAATTTTAGGAACGGTTGATAATAATGGAAGTTTACTCATGTACCGGTCGGTCTTGAAAGAATGCTGCCAAAATTCTTGAGCACCGAGTAGTTCTGATAAAAAAACAAGCCAGGGAATAGACAAAAGAAATCAGAACAAAAGAGTAATCGACGTTAATGTGTACTGGGATAAATGACTACCCACTTACGTCCATTGTTTCGTACTGGTCGCTTGTGGGCTCATGGCTATGGCCTGTTTTGCCAAGGGGGAACTGAGCAGCAGCTTCTAGAATGATAGAAGCCAACAGAGGGACAACAATTTCATCGTACTCCTGGTCGAAGCAATGAACTGCGGTCCCTGCCGTTAATGCCACCTTTGAAGATAGTGATAACAGTTAGAATAAGTGAGCACCACACGGTCCAGAGAATCAACATATCTATCTAAATATGACCAATGATTTGGTTTAGTCAGAAAGATATTGTCTAGTTAGATATCTTATCACTGCCTTCTTATACGATTTTCTATATCTTCTACGCTGTTATTCCCCACTCTCCTCTCACTCTCCTGTCACTCTGCTCCTACACCGACAATGCCAGAATGTCGTTCAGGGACAACGCCAAGAGCCATTTGCGAGCCCAAAGAAAGTGAAAATTGATACGAGTTACCACTTGTAGTCTAACAGTCTGCGTTGCGTTGGACATCTCAAAGACAGCAGTTCCTTGTGGGTTCAAAGCTACACCTGGTCCATGGCCGAAATCTGCCTTGAAAGAAGCCAGCACTTCAATGTGAAGCTCCCAGAGTACTACAACTTGTCTATCTAGCACACTAACTGATCTGTTCCCAGGAAATGTCTTGCTCGGTACTAAGAGTTCCATGCGTCTTCAGATGTGAAATTAGAGTCAAAAGAAGCGGCGACATGATAACCCCGAACTTACTGAGCCTTAGGACCCTCTACGCTGTCCATACGTCCGAACCAGCCACGTCCCAAATCTTCTGTCTAAAGCACGAGGTGCCTCGAAGCTTCAGTCCAGTTCAAAACGAGATACGCAGTGTTCCTTCTCATAAGACTCGGTCACATACGGTGTAGGGGATCGCAGACTACAAACTCTTTTACGGAGACGAAGAAAGAACGGATCAAAATCTCGTCCTCTAGGAAGCGAAAGCAAAGGGCAAAAGCAGATGGCTCTACAGATCTTTCCGCTTCTAAACACACTCAAGCCGGGTTTGTCAAAAAGAGGCACTATGCCAAATCACGTGTTGGACGCGTAGAGGAACATAGACCGGGCATAGTTGACGATTATCTGAAAGCTGGTATTCTCAGTCAAGTTTACCGCAATCCGAATGTTTATTGTAAAGACAAGATAAGAATGTTCAATCTAGCGGAGCCTTTGCTTCTTGATTTACTCTTTGATTTTGAGTACTCTCTCATCCACCTGCCGAATACTTCCCCCGATTATTCCACAAATATCTCATTATGATCTGTCTCTACTTTTTATACTTGGATTCAGGAGTCGAAGTCCGAGTGGATATCTCAAAAGCGAGCAGGAGCTGTGCTAGAAGACAAAGGGGATGTGGCCGCAGTAATACTCATTGGTAACAGCACAGATAAAATGATTGCCCACTACATGTCTCTGACTATTGCTGCTGAAGCCTATCCCTCGTGAATTCTGCATTAACACACATGCTGCAATAAATACATGGTTCTGCACTGACTTGACATTTGGGGGCTGCTGCACCGGGCCTGGGGGAACCTCGACAACCCACGGCTTCGAAGTGTTGTTGGAGGTATTGATTGGGCGCGAACTGAATCTACAGGGACAGCGACACCTGCGATGATGCCAATAATAGAATAAATGTGACCTGCAGACCTGCGACTCGCTGATGTAATTCAACGAGACTCGCGGGGAAAGTTGGGGTCCTTTTCATTGTTGCTGTACCTGGACAGCATATAGAGTGGGGCTACGAGATATGCGTGCCAGACAGTGTATAATGCGGCTTCTTGCCTTTGAATACCTCATATTTTACAGGTGCCAACTGTTGATCAATCCTTTTGATCGGGCCAAATGTAGAACGAGGGCCGAGAGATATAACAACGAGAACAGGTTTCTGGCTCGCGGGGCGGATCCTGGAATACTCAAAATGTGTATAAGGCAGGACATTGCTCTTCTATTCTCCATCTATCCTTAGTTGTCTATTTCTCTGATATATCAGTCAAAGAATGTATCAATCTCCCGACTACCCTTTTCGAAAAATCGATACCTCTTTCGAAATGAAACTAAGCCTTAGACTTGGAGCAGTTCTCCTGGCCAGCTGTGCCACTGCAATCATGGGTAATATTCCCATCCCAGTATAATACTATTTGACCCCTAAAATTGTGAAGCCCCCGGATATTACACGTGCTGAAGCAAGAAATGTGCTGGAAAATGCGAACCCAAAAAAGGCGGAAAAGACGGCACTGTTGTTGCCACACATATACACGACGGAGATTCCTGGTGCTACATTCAAGCTGGCCTCGGTAAGTTGTCGAATGAGCCCAGGGAGTGTGACCCTACACTTGGATGCGCTCCACCCCAGGAGGGTAAGATCAAGTGCGTCACGAAGGACTATGACGAGGGCATTGGTGGATGCACTGTCTAGCCTACATTAGCTGGATTGGTGACGTGATGTATTGTTATGGCTGTGCTAACGCAGTGCTTGATTTCTGGCCATCATCTGGGGTTCTCTGTATCAAAAATTTACTTCAGAGTAATTTTTGATACGCGTCAATCCATCTTATCAAGTACTTCCTCTATATAAACCTGGATTCCACCTACTACCTAGTTCCCTGTCCAGTCTTCTATCCGATCGTATGCCTGGTCATATACCCAGTCACCTATGTCATCTACTGACGAGCCAAGAATTTAGACTAAGGAATGGTTTCAGGCGCAGAGTATTGATGCGCGTAGCAGAAAGTCTACTTCAAAATCCAGGAGGACGTGTGACAGGAGACAAGAGTCGTTGAAACAGTTCAATTCAAATCCGCGGGCCTATGTCGCTTTCTCAGCGGGAAGAATGTCAGGAACAGGTCCAACCGGTACCACCAACTGCGTATTGCCAGTCTTGCTTCCAATAGCAACACAGTAACCGAATTTATACTGCAAATAATTAGAATAGATCGAAATATGCCGGAACTGAGGTACTCACAATATCGAAGAAAGTCGTTTTCTTAAAAGCTCCTCCCGTCAACTCCGTCTCATCATAGTAAAGTCTCCGATACCATTGATCAATCCGCGGATAATCATGCCGAATCATTTTAAGATTGCAGCGGAAGATCAGGTAATAAGCCACATCAAATCGAGCGATCGTCGTATACAGACGGATATCAGCTTCAGTTATAGACCCGCCAAACAAGAAAGGCTGATGTTCCCGCTGGCTGAGATGCGCTTCAATCCGGTCCAGTGCCTCGAAAAGCGGGTAGATGTTTTCCTCATATGCGGCCTGTGTAGTAGCGAATCCGGTCTTGTACACGCCATTGTTGATCAGTGGGTACACCCACGCGTTCATTGCGTCGATTTCAGTCCTCAGATGCTCCGGGTAGAATCCGCCGCCGGCACGATTCTGTTCGCGCATGTTCTCGGGTAAGAACTCATCGAATTCGGTGTATAGCATGCGAATTACCTCACTGCTTTCGTTGTTGACTATCGTCCCTTTCTTCTTATCCCACAGCGTGGGAACTGTGTAGCGTCCCTCGTAATGTGAGTCTGCTTTGAGGTAGAGTTCTTTGAGGTATTTGAAGCCATACAGTGGGTCTTTCTCTGCGGAGCCATACCGTCCAGAGAAGAACCACCCATTGGGTCCGAGTTCGGGATCGAGTACGACCAGTTGGATTATGCTGTCTAGCCCTTTTAGGCTACGGACTAGATTGGCCCGGTGCGCCCATGGACAGCCATAGTTGATGTATAGCACGTAGCGGTCCTTTTCGGCGGGGAATTCAGCCATTGGGTCCCGGGTGATTTGGGATCGAAAAGCCGAATCTTTGCGCCGGAAGTGACCGTCTGAGTCGGCGTGTTTGTAGATATTCGTGTTCTGTTCGCGTTAGTTCAGCGGTTTTAGATGGCTGTTATAGGTTAAATGGTGGGACGAAAAGTGACTGACTTGGTCGCTCATCGTGGATACTAATGAGTCTGGCTGGAATGAGACTGGTTGACTGTCCTATGTATCTTCAATGGAAAATTGATGTATTTCTTTCCCCACTTGACTCGGACAAGAACGTAAATGATAGATTCGTTTCTATATATCACAGCTGACGTGACGCCTTCTCATAGCGTTGTTGCGTAGCTGACAAATCGCCCGCGGGTCTCGCGCGTCATCGCATAAGCACTTGGAATCGTTCCGCAGATTATCAATTCGGATGTATATACTCGTCTCAAGGTTATGATGCATCGGGATATAGAGAAGGGCCTTTCTCAAGAGCTCTGGATTCCAAATTGTCTGGCCACCTCGATAAAGCCTCCAGCACCCTGATCTACCCAGATATTCACCCATCCATCCGCCTTCGTCTGTGCCACCTTTTCGGCAGACCATTGCTCCTCCAACTCGCGCGCAACATAGATGGCCTGGAACCCGCAGGATTTGGCGGCCTGGAGATCATCCAAGTGAGCGGAAACAAGCGCACATTGGCAGGGCTCAAGCCCCAACCGTTTGGCGGCTCCGTAGTACACCTGAGGCGAAGGTTTGTATGCTCTGAAGTGCTCGGAGCTAGTGAGATGGGTGAAGGGCAGGGACCCATGTTTCTTCAAATCCTCCAGCAGGGATACATTGCCGTTGGAGAGGGTGGATGTGATAAACTTGGTGTTCAGTAACGCCACTCCCTGGGCACTATCCGCCCAAGGGTCGAGTCGGTGCCAAGCAAAGGTCAGATCCCATAGCTCGCCGTCGTTGAACAGAGGTCGGATCCCCCGTTGATCAAGCAGCTCCTGTAGAGCGGCGTAGTGGTGCTGATCGACCGAGATGAATTTCTCGGACGGATCAAAGTTCCGCGTAAAGACACCATACGAGCGTCGCCATGCCACGGCGAGGTCGAGCCAGTCTTGGTCTGTGAGGGATGTTGCACGGTCCCTCACGTCAGCTGGGAGGTCCCTGTCAGAGTCGGCGAGGGCCTGCTGGGCTGCGGCTCTGAGATCCTTGCTCACGCATGGTCGCCATTTGACGACGGTACCGAACGTGTCGAAAAAGAGAGCGCGGGGAGGCTCCGGCATTGTGATGTAGTGGTGTGGGGGTGGATCGACAGGTGCGAGAACAGTTGTGATGACTCTGAGAGATCCAATGCGTTTGGGTGCAAGATTCATTCGAATTCCGATCTTGCCGGAAAAGAACACTATTATGTATGAATTGTTGCGATGGCATGTGATATGTGATGGACGATGGCGACTTTCGACTATGAGTCAGTGAGCCGCGGCGCCGCGGGGTTCGGGCTGATCGTTTTGCCTGCACCAGAGTAGCATCACCAGAAGCAAAACCAGTTGGGCGTAGGCAAGTAAGAGCACGTTTTGTAAGAATGATATGTTCAATTGGGTGAAGAATATGAGTAAACTATATTAGAGAGAACATCTAGTGAGGCTCAGTGCTGTAAAACACCGTACCAAGGGACGTTAGTAGCCATACCCCAACTCCGGGACGATGAGAAGATGAACATCAAGACACATCTATATACCCGAGGCATTGTCAGAAGGACGTAGAGATAGGATTAGTCCAGAATTGGCACTACTGCAGTTACAACATTCTCGGTGACGACCGAAGGCGGAATCCTCACACTTCGGCAAATCGTCGCGAACTCGTCTCGACCTCGCCTCTCCTCGCATCCTCCCACGGACTCGCTCTCCACACCGGGGTGTCTGGGCGCATTAGCGCTGCTGTCAGACAAAAGAAACTTGCGAGTTGAACCTGCTTGCATCGAATGACGAGGCCCGGCTGCAAATAGACCTGTCAAACGGCCCGTGTCTGCATCGGCAACCCCTCTGCCCAGCGAGCCCAGCGGGTCGCCCGGAGCCCTCGAAATAGCTCGCGGAGATGCTTCCTCGCGTGTCTTTTTGTCCCCCCGGCCCAATTGGTAATTGGACTAGCAGGAGAGCAGGGCAAAAGACGGAGTCCTGGATCCAGCGCTTTATTGTTAAATAACACCCTGCGCCGTGGCTGATTGGCAGACGTTTAATTTGTCTTAGCCGCGCCTTAACGGCCACAAGTGCGACCGGCTTCGACATTCGAGATGAAAAGGATCGAGACCGAGAGCACCGTGCGGACAGCTAGACGATTAGCGAGACCCTGGCCGATGCGATGGTCCCATGGGGGAGCATGGCTGGATGGCACTTCGCAAACGCCATCGCGATCGCGTACCAGTTTTCCTCGGCCCAGGGGGGCGGACGAAAACAAAAACAAAGCAACACAGCAAAAGTTCGGTTCTCGCTCGGAGTGGGTGCCTTGAGCTCACACGGTGGAGATCTCGGATGGACCTCGCGGTACGGGGACTCCGTCCTGCCCCCGTCGCGTCTTCACGGGGGACGCATCCGTGGCCGCGAATGAGGTGATCGATATGCAGCTGGGAATACGAACAACACGCCCGGGCTGCTCCCCTCAAGGACTTCTAGATCAGCTGCAGCGACGTATTCCTAAAACACGGACCACGGGCCATAGGCTCTCGTCGAACGAAATTGCCTACGACGATCATCGTGAGGGAACCTCACGCTAAGGCGACCTGGCCAACGCCAGAACAGGGGAATGGTGATTCCTAAACACGCTAACCGTCTCTCCTATTCCGCAAGCAGACGTCTGTTCAATCTATTCGCGTCGCCGATTGCTGTTAGTGCTGGCTGATCGCACCGGTCGCCGCCTGATTGGCTCTGCGCGTGGCATTTTCGAAGACTTTTTGTGATGGATGATGGCCGCCGTCCTCTCCACCGATGCCTCTCTGCAATTACCACAAAAAAGGGGCTATGATCGGAGCCGGGCGCAGTTGGCTGCGAATGGCTCTTGCGCGCAAGCTGAACGCGTTGTTTGGGGACCCGTCTTGGGCACGGTGGATCCCTGGATCCAGCTTTTTCGTCACCGACGAACACCTTCCCCATGCTGGAGCTGGACGGGGACGATCCCAGCCCTTCAATGTCCGTCACGACCTCCTTTTTCCAGATTGCAGGTGCCGCGCCTGCGTCTCGTGGGATTCGGATCCTTCATTAATAGTTTTTACAATGGCTATTCGAATGGCATTCTAACCTTTTTTCTTTGTTTCTTTTTTATGGGTCCTATGGTCTTTTACTTTTACATTTTCCCTTTTCCAGAAGGTCTCGGCATCCACGGTTCTATCGCGAGCTTGATTTGATATCAGCATCAACTCGACCTATTACCGTATCGACAAGGTACCATCAATCAGCCACAATTTCCGGCGTTGCTGGCCCCCGTCACACCCAGCCCAGTCGCGCACGCATCGACTGATGGTCCGGACCTGAGAGTCGAACGGGGGCTATATTTTAGTGTCTTGGTTGGCAGCTTTCCGGTGGAGCATCCTGCATCCTGGCTAATCGTGTGGGTTACTAGCTTCCCCATGTCCCCCCTAACGAACACCCCTGGGTCTCTTCCTATTTTTCATGCATGGCGAAGGCCGCTCCCTCACATCCGGCCCTATTCCGATTCCTGTGCGGCAAGGCTGATCTCAAAAGAGCCGTGAGGTAATCTACCCAACGGGCAGCTTCCTCGGATCGTTGCTTCGTTCGTAAGAATCCCGCGGATCGCAAGGCCCGTCACGTCCTGAGCCCCCCCCCTCCTCCGTGCACAAAGTACGGTGGACTCGAGCGATCGCGATCGGCCTTCGAATCTTCCAGGGGGCACTTGACATCTGACCCGTCTCCTCCCACCTTCTTTCTCAGATCCAACCTCCCGCTGGTGACGTCCGCATTGCCTGTAAGTAGATTTAGGGCCTCCGTGCATATCGAAACTACCGCAGTTGGCTCCTCGCGCATCGACCGTGCATCTCGCATCCGCACTGTAACAAAGTGGCTGACTGAGTGTTCCACTACAGCTCACAGTTGGATTATTTTTTTGGCCCCCCGCTTGTGACCATCGACCAGATTGGGAATCTTGGGTCATTTGAGACCTTTGGGACTTCCTGGGAACGTAACACGACCATTTGCGACGATTCGACAGAAACTCGAGGACGAATGAGTGAATTACGGTAGACAACTCGATTGATGGAACCCGGCCGCGACGTGCTCTGGTTAGCACATTCCAAACACGAAGATATCCCGGTGATGATTTGAGCTTTTTTCGGCACGCGCAGCAGAGATGGCCACGGATTTGCAGTCTCCGACTGCCTCTATGGCCCAGCCATCTCCCGCACCTTCTGGCTCCCGGGCTGCTTCCAAAGCACGATCTAGATCCCGACCAGCGCGCCGCCGAAGAGATTCATCTCCGGCGCCGTCCTCTTCTCCCTCCGGTCTACCGACGCCCGCCTTTTCGCCAGACGATGGACATACCGATGCCGATGCCGATGACGACATGGTCGAGGATACACTATCGCCGTTTGATCCCCGCAGAATCACGCCGACCCTTCATGCATCGCTCGTTTCCGAGATTCTCAACCTCCGCCGGGAGGTCGAGAATAAAACAAAAGCAATTGATTCGTTGGAACAAAGCTTGGATGAATCACGGACTGAAGCGGAAACTCTGAACGCCAACTTGTCGCAAGCGACTCGAGAAGCGCGGTCTCTCAAGCATCAGATTCAGCTTTTGGAGGGCGGGACCTCCTCTGCGATGACAGAGCTGGCTCGTGAACGAGATGATGCTGTTGAGAACATCAGCGATGTGCGTAAGAAGCTGGAACAAGCACAGAAAAAGGCTCGCAGTCGCGAAGAAGATGCGGAGCGAACACAGATAATGTGGGACCGCGATCGCGAGTTGTGGGACAACGAGCGGCGCAACCTGGAACGGAAGGTGCACGTGGTGGAAGGCCGCCTCAAGACGGTCCTGAACGAGGTGGCCGCTGCCCAAGAGGCCGCAACCCTCCATTCGCACCCCAGCGAAATTGACGAGACGGCCAAGGATAAGAGCAGAGGAAGCGACTCCGCCAGTGTAGCGTCCAGCAGCCAGGGCCGCCGACGCACGAGCATGACCAGCGTGACGACCGACGAAGGAGATGAGGAAGCCAATTATCACAATGTCCGATATTCCGTAATGAGTATGGCTGCTGGCAAGGGCGATGCCGGGTTGAATCTGGCCCAAGAACTGGATTTTGATGAAGAAGACGAATTTGCCGCTTCTGACGACGATACGCCGGCCTCGCCGGGTGCTCTTCCTGAAGAACGGCCCATGTCCGTTCATTCCGCTGCGTCACATTCTGTGGCGTCCAAGGCGAGGAAGATTCTTGGTCTCTCAATGCAAAGTACGTCTACGGCGGCCGGTGACTACCGCGCGATGGATATGGGTGGTCCCACGAAAACGCCTCCGGAAAAGCCAATTGTTGAATACTGCGATATGGGTATTCAATATTCACCTCCACCATCCCCCAAGTTGCCGGTCATGACGGATGACGTGGATGCGCCTATGTTCATGGACACCACACAACCGGAGGAAGATCATAAACCGCCGCCAGAGATGAAGGACACCGCAACAATTACTATTGCAGCGGAGATGATCTCTACCTCCTGTCAGACTGTGGAAGATCTTCCCAGTCCTCCCTATACCCCAAAGATCCCAGATTCACCCGCTGAATCTGCTGAGATGGCTCCAGAACGGGTGGAAATGGCATCGACATCGACTCAAACCGAAGATATTCCGGACGAAGAGCCGGTCTCGGCTCAGAAGGATACCCTATCGCCCCATGACATTCCAGAGCAAATGGATATTCCTATGATCGCTATCCATCCACCAGGTTCAGAGCCGCCATCGCCCCGAAACAGTGTTGTTCTTCCGCCGCAGACCAAGAACGTGTCGTGCCAGGCCAATTTCCGCTCGGTGATCGAGGGACGCTCCGTCGCTATTCAGACCGAAGAAATCCGCATCGATAAACGGCCAGTCAAACTTCCCGCCAGGCTCCTCCCATCCGCCATTCCAGATCTGCCTACTCGGGCCGAGTCTCAAGACTCTGGTGTTCAGTCTTATCAGCCATACCGACCGCCAGTTCCTCCACCTCGCTCCACCAAGCGAGAACAGCGGCCTGTACAAACTGAACGTTCGTCCAAGCCCGCCCGGGCACCGCCATCTGAGCTGGCTCAGGCTTATCCAGGTAACAATGACAATGGGCCACTGTCAGATGATGTGATGTCTGGCATTCGTCGACCTTTCCGCTCCAGCAGTCTCTTTGCTGGGTTCGAACAACTAAGTGATGATGAAGGCCCCGGCGAAGAGCGAGACATTTTCACCGATGATGAGCTTCTTAACCGACCTTTCGCATCATATAAGCTTCGCCGAGGCAAGATGGTCAACTCCAAGCAAAGAACAAGCCTTGATGATATTGGCCTTCCTGAAATCGATGAACATCTATCTGATCCGGAATCCCGACAATCCATTGACACAGAGCGCGGCCCCACCCGTGCCGGCCAGCGGTATGGCTCCCATGGCTTGTATGCTTCAAACAGCAGACAATCTGGTATGCGCAAGATGGCCATGATCTCGAGTGGCACAGCAGCACATCAGAAGACCCGCGCTAGAAGCCCCAGCGAACCAAGCCTCGACAGCGGCAGTGCGGGCTCAAGTATTGCGCCTCCATTCCCAGTGCCGATCCGTCTGAGCTCCCGTAAGCTCCCATTGACTGGAAGTGACGGACCTCCAAGCCCGACTCGCTCTGCCGGCCGACATTTCTCAGATCGTGGTGCCCGTACATCTCTTCAGCGACGCCCGACCCTACGCCGAGTACGCTCTGCGGCTGCAATGTCCCAGAGTGATATTGCCGAGCGTCCAGAAACTCGCTCGTCACCTGCACGCTCCATGTCTCCCTTCACTGCAGACAGCCCTACTGCATACAATCCGCCACCCATGCCATTTGACGACATCACTGCCCCGCGAGATCGACGAGCTGGCCAAAAGCGGGCCGCGCACCGCGGTGTCCCGTCCATGAACTGGGATCATGAGCAGCAAGATTCGACCGGTGGCGTGCAGCCGACTAGTGTTGTGGATGCCATTGCTCAGACAATGGTGGGCGAGTGGATGTTCAAGTATGTTCGTCGGCGAAAGTCCTTCGGAATGGGCGAGTCCAAAGACAACTGGGAAGGCAGGAACCCCGATGAGGTCTCAGCCAATATCACCAACAGCGGAGTTCGACACAAAAGATGGGTCTGGCTTGCTCCGTATGAGGGCTCCATTATGTGGAGCAGCAAGCAGCCAACCAGTGGCCCTGCTTTGTTGGGCAAGAGTGGTCGGAAGTGTAAGTTCTGAAACTTCCATTACTGCTTTATTCGCTCTTCCTAACACAATAACCTTGCAGTTACAATCCAATCAGTACTAGACGTCAAGGATGATAACCCCATGCCTAAAGGCGCTAGTACATCACCTCCATTCAACCGCTCGATCTTGGTCCTCACACCCCAGCGTGCTCTCAAGTTCACTGCGCTAACAGTCGAGCGACACTACGTCTGGCTCACCGCGCTATCCTTCCTCAGCCATTCCTCAATGGGTCTTCACGACCTCGCTGCTCTCCCACCTGCTCCACAGGAGGAAATGGGCTCACCCACGCCGCCAACCGCCACTCTCAGACGCAATCCAATCCGCGACTCTATCCGTGTAGCCAAAGGCCGACCTCGACCCATGCCCAAGGGCAAACGCTCATTTCGCAATGCACCGGATCCCGTCCCGGAAATCCCAACAGGCGATCTAGAAAGCTTGAACGACGCAGCCGACGCCCCACATGTCCCACGCTTCTCACACCACAACCATAGCCGCAAACGCAGCAACACTGCTCCACGTCCTCCGGCCCTCCACGCTATCCGCAGCTTCTCGAGCCAAGGCACCATGCCCTCCTCGCACAGCGGTTCATCCGATCCTTACTTCTCTCCCGCCCCTCCACCAATTCTTCCCACGGGCATTGGCAGTGGTCGCAGCAGTATCAGTCGTACTTCTGAAGCCAGTGGTCGTGCCTCCAGTACCGGTGCAAGCAACATGTTTGATGTCGGCACGGTCCGCATGGAGGCTTTCATCGACCATCATGCTGAACAGATTAACCGGCCTCGTGGTGCGCCTTCCGCGCGTGGACGTCATGTGCGGAAGACGTCGAGCCAGTTCAGTCAGGGCCGGTATGACTATGACGCGCCATCGATTGATGGGAGCAGTGAGCTTTCTTTCCGGTCTGATCCTTTCCGTGGCTTTTAATATCCCTTCTATCCCTATTCTCCCCTTTCGACCATCCTCCCTGGCGCCGGATATCATCGCCCTTGCCATTCTTTAATATATCTGTTTGAGCCCGTATATATGCTTTTTATTCCCTCTCTTTTCTTGTCAACATATTTCTTCTTTCCCTTTACTTGTTTTATTCTATATCCTCCGCCCTTCCTCATTTCTTTCCTTATTCTTATTTTCATTTCTACTTCTTCATCATCGTCTCCCCGGGCCTCTTATTCTACGGGTTTATTGATTGTTCATGTTGATACCATTGTGCGAAAGGATACCACACCACATTCGACTCAAAGCAGCGGTGGATTGGACACGGGGCGTTGGAACAACTGAACTCCTGGATTTTATACAGATAATAATGTATACTGACCTACTCAACTCCGCTCCTCTCGTACCCTTCCTCCATTAGAATCGTATTCTAGGCAATAATCTACAGTAGAACGTGGAGGGGAAAAAAATCTAAAAATAAAATTTATATTTATAGTTGAAAAGCGGGTATTAACAAGAATTCATCGCTAGCAACAGTCATTCTCAAGGCTGGATTCCCATTTCCACCTGTCGGCTATTGAGACGGCGTCGCCATCGGCATCGGTTTAGTCGCGTTTCGCTTGGCTTCTCTCGGCCGGGTCCGATCATACGATCGCCATCACGACCGTCTCCGATGAACCCAGCTTATGCGGTATTCTTATTTCGATTGTAGGAGGTGTTGTTCACAGCTTCGCGGCGTCCTTGACCTCGCCGATCTTCAGCTTCGGGGAGTACTTCTTCAGCACGGATTCATTGTGGTACTATCGGTAAATGAATTTAGTCCAAGTTCGTTTCCAGACACAAGTGGAAAATAGATAAATGAAAATGATGAATAGATTGTGGGCTTACCTTCCAAAACTGCTTCGAGGCATCCTTGCCCGCAACGCGCTTCAGGATCTTCGCGCCGCCGGGGTGCTCGTCGACGAACTTGGTGACATCGTAGACACCCGTGTCGACGATGATGTACATGCCCTTGTCGGCGGAGTTGTGGGAGGCCACGTCGGCGGGGGAGAATGTTTGAGACATAGTTGGTGTGGGAGGTCTTTTGGTCTGTGGGATTTGGGAGGAGGAAGAAGGTGACGTTATTAAAGGGAAGGCGGAGGAGACAGTCCGGGGGAGGCGGGGCCGAGGTTAGACGGCAGCCGCGGTCGGAATCACAAATGGCCGCCCGCTGATTGGCTGAGGGCAGAGCTTCGAATGTGAACCGGATTGTGCTCGGATTTCGTGCTATTTCCTGCCGAGGATCCATTGAGGCCATGCCTGTGTGATCTTGTGTCTATTGCTAGCTAACAATGACATAAATTTATACCTTCTTTGGCTAAATTGAAACATCCAAAGATGGTCATACTGTGAGAGGAAGACCCGAATCTCCCAGTGATGCTACTAATGTAGACCTGACGCGTCGGAAATGAGACTCAAAAAAGAATCGCTAGCTAGCATTTGCACTAACGTAATCCACTAGCGAGTGAGACACACGGGCCCGTGAGACAGAAAACCAGCTACTATAATTTCAACCCAATTTATTAAACCACCAACGCCATTGATTTCAAATTTCTATCTATTAGACCTATCAGGGCATTGCGTTCTTTTATGCCCTATTTGATGACAGTCGCTGCATCGCGGGGGTGCGCGTGTAATTGGCTGGGAAGCTGACGCAGCTGGTTCCGCGGGGGCAGTATTAGGAGCTTCATGAGCCTGGTTCATCGACTCCCTGGCTTCTTGGCCCGTAAAACCCTCCGTATGAGCTACGCGCTTAGTCGTTCTGTTGCGTTTTCGCTTTTGTGTCTCGTTTTCAGCCCGTAAATCGCGGACTTCCTTTAGAAGGATTGCATTAGAATGCAATGATTGCTGATAGCCCTTGAGGAGCTGATCAATAGCTATATTCGTAGGCGTTGGAGGGCTTTGCGAGCGTTTCTTAAGCAGTGCCTTGATTGACGAGCCCTGTCGATTCAATTGTTTGAGATTTGCCGGCGTTTTAGGGCTCCACGCGCTCGATTGGCTCCCTGGTCGACTACCTGAGGGGGTAGGTGTCTGAAGTTGAACATCAAGCTTTGAAATGACCTGATCGGGATCATATGGTACTAAACCAGCTGCGACGAATGCATTTTGAATAGTCTCTGGTTTAAAGGCCTCTTTGCGAGCTTGTGGGAATGCTGCAAGGAAATCAAGCTTGTCGATATGGTTGACCCCCAACCGTGCTTTGCGCTCAATCAAGCTCCCATACGCGCGCTTTAGGGGGGCAAAACAGCCTATATCCAAAGGCTGTAGTAGATGAGACGAATGCGGAGGCATGCAGATTGGAATAATATCATTTTGCTCGCACAATCGATCAAAACGGGGGGTCAAATGACTGCCATGGCCATCGAGAACTAGTAGTCGATATTTACCCCTAGTACGACTAGTAGTCGCAGGGATAAATAGCTTTTCTAGCCATCGAAGCCCAATTTCGTCTGTAGTCCAGCCATTCTCACTGATTTCGATTCTCCAATTGTCGGGTAGGTCATCAAACCATGCATATTGTTGGTACTTTGACGATTTGAAGATAATGCATGGTGGGAGTATAAAGCCCGTTGAATTCACACATTCAATCGATGTGACCCATTCGCGATTCCCTGGCTGTAGAACTGACCTCCGACCATAGTATTCAGCTCTTGTAATGACTTTCGCAGTGGCTATAAGCCCCATTGCGAAGCCAGTTTCATCAAAATTGTAGATATCCTCAGGTTGGATACCATTCTCATCGATCGTGCGTCGTACAAGGTCGAACCATGGTTTAATAACCCTTGGATCTTCGCATTTTGCCCTCTCATAATTATATCGACGAGAATACCGCGATTTGAGCTCATCATAGCGCTCTGTATATCTGTAAACCCAATTGACTCCAACAGCCTGACTACCACGCTCTGCTAGTAGAATATTGGCCATATCCCTTACCATACAAGGCCGGGGAGCTGATCCACGTGTATCCATAGAGAGTATCCACCGTAGGAGCGATTCCTCTTCAGTTGGAGTCAATTTATAATTGCTGGCGCGGGTTTCCGACCGATGAAGTTTGCCATTGTATCGGCGATGGAGAGTTGCGGTAGGTACTTGAAATCGGCGCGCAGCTTCGCGAATTGATCGAAATTCTTTGTTCTGAAAGGCTTGTATTGCGAGCTAGATCCTACCTTCTTGGTTGATAGAATTTTGAGGATTTTGACTGCGAATTGGGGGCATAGTGGGTAGTTGAAATGAGGAGGTTGACGCGCTGGGGCGCGACCGCGGTTTCTGTCTCACGCGCCCGTGTGTCTCACTTGCTAGTGGATTACGTTACTTAATTGAAAACAATAGCAGTATGCAGCTGAATATGAAGGTTTCATTAAAATTCCAGGATATCATCAAATCACGCCTTGCTCTGCTCGCCACTTGCTCCAGCTCCCTTCGGCATTTTCTTCTCCAGTCCCAAGGTCTCCAAATCCTTCTTCTTGTAGAAATGAGGCGCGACCTCCATAAGCCATTCGGCTTGGAGAGGCATGTTGCTGCGCATGTACTCCTTGCTGGTCAAGACGAGCTCGAAGTAAATCACCCATCGTGGGTTAACCTCGAACAGCGTGCTAGACGGGTGCAAATAAACACCTTGTCCAGTCTTGATCGTGCGGTAACTATCACCGCCGCGCTGCAATCGTGCCGCGTTGGGGAAGAATCCAGCTGTGATGGCCTTTTGGATAGGAATTATATTGTGCGCACCGCATGTACTGACAGTGACCTCGACACGATCGCACAATTTGGCCAGTTGATCGCGGACATCACGCGCACGCGTGAGACTGCGCTGTTGCAGGAAGTTCTCCTTCGCCCAGATGAAACTGAAGTCCGAGTCTACCCATTGGTTCCAGACGTTCAGAAGGGTGAGGTGGTCGCCGCCTTCCTTGACGGTGAATCGGTTGCGGGCGCTGTCCGCGTGAATCTTCTTGTCCTTTGGTCGGAAGAACAGCGCGCTGCCTTCACCCAGCATGGAAACGATGGAGAGGACTTCCTCTACGCAGCCGTATTTATCAGCGGCAAGGATCGCCTTCGCTAGCATAGGGTCGGTAGGGAACTCGGCCATTTGTCGGCCGACCTTGGTCAACTCGCCGCGGTCGTTCAGGGCACCGAGTGCGTACAGTTGCTCCAATGCACGAATAATGGTCTCGGCAGGTGGAGGATCCATGAAATCGAAGTCGAGAAGTTGATCAATGCCTAATGATTTCAGCATCAAGATCACGCTGTTGAGGTTGGTCCGCTGGATCTCGGGAACAGTGTTCTCCATCAATTCGTTGTAGTAGGCCCATTTAGTGTAGAGCCGGAAACATTTACCGGGACCAACACGTCCCGCACGTCCAGCTCGCTGGTTAGCAGAAGCGCGTGAGCACGGTGTCACCACCAAGCTCTCCATGCCAGTACGCGGATTGAAGACATTCTCCTTGACGAATCCAGGATCGATCACGTAGACAATACCGTCAATTGTCAAACTAGTCTCGGCAATATTTGTCGCAAGCACCACTTTCCGAGCTTTCGGGGGAGTGGGCTCGAAAATCTTCGTTTGCAATTCCGATGGCAGATTGGCGTAGATGGGGCAAATGATCAGCTCTGGCATTTTACCACCTAGCTTTCGAGCGGTTTCTTGTAAGCTCTGTTCTGCTGCTTCAATCTCCTCTTGGCCTGTCAGGAACACAAGAATATCACCTGGGCCCTGTGTGACATGAATCTGGAAGACGGTCGTAATAGCAGCAGCTAGGTAGTTGGCCTCGGGTTGCGAAGTGTAGTGTACGTCGACCGGGTATCGTCGGCCGGGGATATTGAAAATGGGGGCATCGTCAAAATACTTCTGGAACTTCTGCGCGTCCATGGTGGCAGACGAAATCAACAACTTCAAATCCGGTCGTGCTTTCGCAATATCCTTGAGAAGACCACAAGCAATATCCGTGGGAACGGTCCGCTCGTGAGCCTCGTCAATCATCAAGGCTGAGTATTGTCCCAGGTCTGGCTCGGTCAAAAGTTCTCGAAGAAGCATACCATCGGTCATGTACTTGAGAATGGTCTTGTCGCTGGTGTTGTCTTCGAAACGAATCGCATATCCGACCTCATTTCCAATCTTGGTCCCCATCTCCTCCGCAACACGGGCAGCGACACTCATGGCCGCTACTCGTCGTGGCTGTGTACAACCGATCTTCATACCGTCCTTGGTATATCCGGCTTCGTGGAGATACTGGGGAATTTGAGTGGTCTTTCCGGAACCGGTCTCACCGACGATAATCAAGACTTGATGGTTGTGAACAGCTTCAATGATTTGGTCGCGGAATTGATAGATCGGCAGACTCTTCCGAGTCTCTTCCATCGTGGCAGCCTGCTTTTCAGCCTGGTCGATCTGTGCCTTGAATCGAAGCTGCTCTGCAGTCATTGGCTTTTGAGCACCGTCCATCTTCGCATCCGTGATGAAGTTAATTTGTTGCGAATCATCAAAAACATACTCGTAGTCGCCCTCGTTGAAATACTCAGGCTTCTGGATTTGCGCCTTGGCCTTGGCAGATTGCTCCTGCTCCCATTCCTCGTGCTCGGTGACGAACTTTTCCTGGCCAGTCTCGTCGCGTTCGACATATCGCTTGTAAAGCGCGTCCTCTTTCTTCTTGCGATCGATTTTTCCCTTTTCGGTGATGTAGTCCTCTGGCATAATGTAGCCATCGCGGTGATCATCAATGCGAAGTCGTTCTTCAGCGAGGCGAAGAACTTCTCGGTTCCGAGCGAATTGCTCCTTCTCTCCACGGGTCAAGTTCGGGTTCTCTCGCAGTTCCGCGGCCTCGTCAGCAACTTGACCTCTTAGGATTACTAGGCGCTCCATCTCTCGTTTCTGTAGGTAGTCCTGCCGAGAGCGCATTCGTAGGTCAGGCATCACGGAGGCCCGCGCACCGACATCATCGGCCAGTGCGCGGCGACGGGCAGCTTCGCCATCCCTCGTACGATCCTCCACAATCTTTTTAGATTTGTTGTCATCCTTGCTGGCCAATCGCTTGGCGAGCTCGTCACGCTCGCGGAGATCCTTCTGGCGTTCAAGTTCTTGCTTGGTTTGAGGGTCGAGATCGTCGGCCGGGGAAACAGAGCGCGGAGAGGCAGATCCGTCTTCAAGCCTAGTTCGTTTGGAAGGCGGATCTTCAAATTCGTCCTGGTCGGCATCATCGTACAGTTCGTCTTCCGGGATTTCTTCATCGCCCCATCGATCCTCAAAATCTTGCAAATCCTTTCTGCGCAGTTTTTTTGTCCGCGGACGATCTCGACTCTCGGCATCGCGACTGCGATCTCGTTTCCGGCTATCGTCCTTCTCCCAGCGATCACGAGCTTCTGAGTCCATCTTGCTTCGGCCACGATCGCGATCACGATCACGATCACTGTATCTCTCCTTCTCTCGACGTCGTCGCCGGTCACGCTCGGCCTCGACATTGACTGGTCCTAGTGAACCGGCAGAATCCACGGGGTCTTCGCTCATGTCCACCAGAGCATATTTCTTCTTGGTCGATTCCTTCGGGGCGGCGGGTCGCGAACTCGAGGCGCTGGGCTTACTGCCACCCTTGCCTACGCGAGAATAAAGCTGGCCGCAGAACGCGGCAATGTCATCGGCGTTGCCATCGAGGAAGGAGACGAGCTTGTCTTGTAGCGAGGAGGCAGATTTGGCGGAGCTGGCTTCGGCGAGAACGAAGTCCACGGCGATTGAGTCTGACGCACCGGTCAAGCGGATGAGAGAGTCGGAGACGAAGGTCTTGTTGTCCATGATGGAGGTGCGGAGTTTTGACTGATTCAAGTCTCTCTCCCAAGCACGCACGCGGTTTGCGACAACAGGGTTATGGATGATTAAGCAGCACTGGGAGGACTGCGCATAATGCGCAGAATCCGAGAGTAGCAGGTGAGTCAAGATCCCTGGTGTTACGAGGTGGAGGCTGAAGAAAGAATTTGGGGTGCGGAGTGAAGGTCGGAGATAGGCAAAGCTCGACGTGTTGCCAAGCCCGGTGGCGATCTCGGGACAACCCAACCAGCCCACCGCAGGCAGTATTCACTAAGATTAGTCACAGCCAACGAGCATTTAGAGCAACTATGAAGCAGTTTTCGTCGAGCCAAGAATCCAGAGAATACATTGGAAATTATATAAGTTCCGAACGCAGTTTTGATATGGACTGTGACTTCTGCGGCGAGTTCCTCAGCTCCGACCCGGGACTATGTCTCTGGCTGTTGGGGAAATACAATGGGGCTTCTTAAAAGGCGAAATCTGGACAATGGGACTCTTTTTGCTTGGGAGGGATCGAGCCAGAGCTCCGAATACGTCTAGACAACTACTGCTTACGAACTGAAGTAGAGTCATTTGAAGATATTCATTAATATCATCCTGGGTTCTGAATCGCAGGGTATTCACAGACATAGAAACTAGACAGGTCACTTAGAATAAACAAGACTTAAATAGATCTCGCTCACAGTACAGCATTGTGGGAATCATTCATCATCAAATCAACAAAGGAAAAAGGAAACAGGAACAAAAATTGCCAGCAAGTCTGTCAAGAGTAATCAACCCAGAAAGAGCAGCCAAATCAGCCAGCTGAAACGTATGAGAAGACACCCATGACATGTTCAAGACTTCCTGGCGAAAGAGCACCCAGTCGCAAAGCGATGTTGGTACATTTTCGTGGCACCTGATAATGCTAGGCAAGTGGTACAAAGGAAAGGGAAGGAAGCAGACAACGCCGTCGAACGAACGAAAACGCCACGCTGAACATCCGGGGTATTTCACCCTCAGCAAACTCCACCAGGTCATGAGAGATAAAGGGTGGAAATCAGTTCAGTCAATAAACAGTAATGGTCAGAGTTATCGCGAAGATGCAGACCATGCCTTCGAAAGGCGCTTGTCGTTGACATATGATAACGAATAGGTCGGCTTCGACCCGAAAAGCCTCCAGTTGAAGTTAAAAAAAGTCGTGATCGGAACGTGACATGAAAAGATGGAGTAGCCGGAGCGCCGATTCGTTTCAACGCCGGTGAGAGATGACAAAGGAGAACAGGAAAAAGAAAAGCAAAGAACACCCTCCATATGCACAAAAAAGTCAAAAGGGGAGATAGATTACACATCGATCATCTCAGCGTCCTCAGCCAGGATCTCGTCAGCAGGGCCGAAGTTGCCCTCGAAGACGGTAGCACCGGCACGGCGACGCTGGTTCACGAACTGCACACCGTAGGTTTCAAGGATCTGATCTGCGGTAGGGCGGTTGGATGGCTCAGGAGAGATCATCCAGCGAACGATGTTGTCAAGGGCCTGCGCATGTGTAGAGTCGATCATGAAAGAAGGAGGATCAACGAGTTCACCGCTGCGTGCAAGACGCGAAGACTTGGGCGCATTGACTTGGCGACTGGTCAAGAAGTCGTCGTCGAAGTTGTCATTACCGAGATCAGAAGCACAAAGATCTTCAAAAGAGGACTCTTCGGTGACCGGATTGCCAGAAGCATCGCGGAATATACTAGTTTCCGAACTCCAGGTCAGGCTGGGAACATCGCTCATGTCACCGTTGCGTAGCTTTTGCCAGGAGACTCCATTGTCGGGTAATTCCACATTGCCAGCAATTTCGAAAATGATCAGGCCAAGAGAGAAGATGTCGGCGGGTTTGTCGAATCGACCCATCAAAATCTCAGGGCCAATGTACTCACGATCACCCTCGCCCTCAATACCTTCTTCGGCTGGCCAACGGGTAGCCATGCCGAAGTCACCAATCTTGAGAACACCCTCGAAGGTGACTAGAATATTTGCCGGCTTCAGATCAAGGTGGATGAAACCCTGGTCATGAATGTGCTTCAGTCCCAAAGCAAGTTCCAGCAGAATCTTCCAGATGCGGAAGTCATCGAGACGAGCCTTGAGGCCAGCCTGCGCCAAGAAGACATCCAGACTGCCCTCTTCGCAATACTCTGTCTGAATGTACAAGTGGCCAAGATCTTCCCAGCTGTTCATGAAATTGACGACATGATCGGAGTTGGCCAAAGATTTCAGAATGTCCACTTCGCGAATCCGACGTTCGCGGTCCTTCAACCCCAAATATGGTTGTTTGCTCTTCTTCACAGCCCAAATCTGGTTCGGCAGATGGGTGGGAGACTTGGTCTCATTCGAAGGAAGCGAGAAGATTGACGGCAACGACGAATCACGAGGCTGGCTAACGCGGAAGACCTGGGAGAACTCGCCGGTTCCAACCAATTCAACCTTGTCAAAACGTGCGGTCAAGCTGGGGTCAACATCAGGAGCGTGATGACCACTGAGGGAAAGACTGGGCCGCTTGCTTGAAAGCAACGAGTCTCGAGGACCTGTGGGGGTTGCAGGGAGGGTTGAGTTGCCAAAATCGGGCTGCGATTGGTCGTTCGGAACAGAAATAGACAATCCACTGGGATCCGGAGGGAAGTACTGGTCGCGAGGGGTTCGAGGGGAGCGCGAGGCCTGCAAGAACCGCTCACGGAGAGGAGTCGATTGCACGCTGGGGTTTGATTCTGACAACCGCTCCAGGGAGGGGATCTGGGATGTAGCTGGAGGATAGGTGACAGAAGGGAGGAAAGTTTGTTTGGTCGGGGTGGGAGGGAGGTCAGAATCAGTGAGCGGTTGGCTCTCATGGCGAGAAGAGGGAGATTGGGACTGCATATCATCGCCATCAACGCTAACAAAGCTTCCACGTCGTGAAGTTTCGGGGCGATTGAAAGAGTTGCCGAAGATACCCATGCCCTTGGCAAAGGGGCCTGCCTTCGGTCGTGCCACGAAAGGCGTAGGGTTGAAAGGCGAGGCCGGCGCAACCTCGGACTCGCGAAGTCGAGACTTGTCGAACAGACGCTCCGGAGGTGGATTGGGACCAGCAGTGAAGAGATTCACGGGCCGCTTGCACGGCGTGTCGGGCATGTTCTTGCTGAAGCTCGCACCATTGGGATCTTCCGCGTTGCGATTCTTCTTGGAGATAAGCCCCGTAGACATAAAAGCTGCGGGCAAAGGCTTGACCAGCTTGTAGTTGTTGTCTGGCGTAGCAAACTCTCCCGAATCTTCACGAGCAAGGCGTCGTACTGGCGCTGGTCGAGTCGCGCCTGCTGGAAGGGACTTGGAGAAGTTGAAGAGAGGACGCGGTGGTCCTGGCTTATGGACCGGTTCGTGGGTCGGCGAGTCATCAAGACTGGAGCCAGAGGAGGATTGGGTGATAGTTCGGGAGAGAGGATGCGCAGTAGGTCGAGACTTCTCGGGTTGAGTGGTTCCAATGGGCGCGGGAGCAACATGCGGACTGGGAGAAAAGAGAGGACTGGCGGGAGGTCGAGGCGAGAAAAGGTTGTTGCTCTCTTGGCCCTTGTCAAAAAGACCACTGTCGAAGGACATCCGCGGCCGAACAGCGAGTGGAGTTCCGGGAGGCGCATCACCCTCACCGGCAGCCTTGGGACGACCAAAGAGAGACCGCTCACCCTGGCGCTGTTGCAGAGTCGAGCGGCGCAGTGAAGAAGAGCGCTTGGGAATGGTCGCGAACGGGCTCAGCGACTGGATCGACGGAGGGAAAGATGGAGACTCGCCTCCGGTAGGGCTTGTAGGCGCAGACTCGTTGTCGTTGTCGAAGATATTGAAATCAGTGGAGAAGTTAGGCGCATGCATGCTGCGGCGCTTCGCAGAGGGACTACCTCGGGAGGCTTGGTCTAGGTTCATGATGCCGTCGCTGCGCTTCAGAGGACTGACTGTCGCGAAGGATCCGAACGTTCCACTGCGTCGCTTCTCGATGCGGGAAAGAGTTGAACGGGGCGCAAAAGTTGGCTCGCCTGGTGGCGCAGAAGGCGTGGTTGAGGCGCAAGGGTTGACGGTGTCAGTTGGATCGGCCAGATCTTCGAGAGTCAAGGCATTTTCTTCGCCTGGGGCGAGAGGGATTGGTTGAGTGGGAGTAGAGTTGCCTCCGTCGGCAGACACAGCAAGAGCGCGTTTGGCGGGACTGCGAGGCGACGTGCGTCGTCGCATGGCCGGCCGGGTGATTTTGGCGCTCGGAGGGTAGGGGACTGCAAGAGGTGAAGGTTGACCTGAGGAGGGGAAGAGCACGAAGTTGCTCTGAGAGGAGCGCCTAGAGGGAGACAAAGGTGAAGATACGTAGGTTGACTTGGATGGTGACGGGTTGCGCGTGTTGAGGAAGAAATTGGAACTCTTGGAAGGTGACCGCGACAAAGAGCGCCGTAGCTGGCGGATGGCGGAGCTGGCATCAACGTGGTGGATGCCTGAATGCGATGGAAGATGGAGGGTGCCGCCTGACTCCCGGTGCGGCGAGAAGGTCGCAACCATGATGGCGAAGCTGGGGAATGCTCAGCCGTGCTGCACAACAATCCCAGAATGAGGTTCGCCCAATCAAGTATGAGAATCACCCAACGGAAGAATGATCCAGGAATTAAGCTGTTTGGGTTTCTTCGTGTTTTCAGAGGGTTTGAACGCGCAAAGACAAAAATACACTTCGCTGAAGTTTTTGTTCTCCTACCCTTCCAGGGCGGCCTACTCTTGAGTAGCGACGCGGTGGGGAGGAACAACAACGCGTTCCCTTTTCACGAGGGGCGGAGGGGGAGGAGGGGGTGTGCACTGGACAAAAGGGCTGAGTCTGGACGATTCAGGACGACTGGAATGCTGGGAAGGCGCAGCCGTACAGTGGCGAAAATAGGGCAACTGCCATTCACCCACTCATTGCGAGATGTCGAAAGAAAAAGATTAAGAGCGTGAAAGTCCGTCGTTGGCACCCTCCGCGGGGGGGGTTAATTGAACAAACAAAAGCGCGCGCGCTGGAGATCGGTGATGGCGGGATTGGGATAGGACGCGCGGGAATGTTTCAGGCTGAACACGCGGACCTCCGATTAGGGCAGCAGCTGTTGATGTCCGCGAGAGGCAACACGGGGTCCGAGTTGAGCGCGGATTCTTCTTCCTAGTGTTTCAAGAAAGAACGGAAGCGTAAGGGGTAGTTCCCCCTCCCTCGAGCGTCGGTGTCGGTCCACGCGAGATGAGATGAATCGAAAGAGGGACGAGAGGAATGTGCCTTTGCGATGGGATCGTGGAGGATGCAAAGCGCGGAGCGGAGGGAGATGAGCGGAATGTGGATGGCGAAGTCAGTCGAACCCAGAGGTTAAGAGAAGGTCGAAAGTAAATGTGATGGAGTTCAATCAACGCGCCTGTCGCGTTGTTGATCCTCGATGCCCGATTGGGACTAGTGGCGGGGGACGCGTCGTGACATAAACAAATAGGCTTATGTCATCGGTTTGCACTGTTATAGTTACAGTAGGGCTATTGTACCGCGGGTACCACAATCATGACAATCGCCCCGAGTGGACGCTTGTGTCCTGTAGGTGATGAAAAAAGTATACAGAAGCTGTGCTTTCTTTTGATGGTGGACTGCTCCTGGTCATATTTATCACATCTGCCTGCGTAACTTCTGTGCACGTTGACGCTCCAACCAGACGTGCGAGTCCGTGGGGTACGCCCCTGCAGAGCCCAACTGTACATGAGCGCCACTCGTTCGAGAGGGGGGATGCGCGAAATATCCTCTGCACAGCAACTCTCCTGGCCATGCCCAAGTGTAGGTACATAACAGCAAAAATAAAACTTTCAGATCAAAAACCACCCAATAATTATTTCGCCCAGACTCTCTCGAAAATTCCGGAGGGACGCCAACTGCGCGTTGCACCAGACTAGGAGCACGCCAGTGCCACCGGACCCGCCGTGTGTCCGGTGTCGCGTCTCGATAGGCCACGCGAATTCCCCTTGCTTCGGAAGGTCACCCATGAGCCCAATTCCGTGGCTTCGTGACTGCTCTCATCTGATTTATCGCGTTCAATCTGCATGGGTTCGGGTGGAACGGCGTACGACCCCGGTGTGCACTGCCTCTGTTTACGGGGGGACTTACTATCGCCACGGGTGGCCGACGGACTGTTGGTTTACTTGTGGATTGTTTGTGGCAAATGTTGGTGTCTAACCTTCTATCGAGTTTCATGGGGCTCCAACTGTCAGGCCGCCGGGATCCGCCCGTCCCGTCCCGTGTGTCGTTGCCCCTCTCGTTCTATATATATTTTATTGCCTCGCAACGAACACATCCAAAACGCCAAAAGTACAGCAAAAGCAAAATTCTATATGCACAGGACAGGAGAAATCAAAGGACTAACCGCGGGAATAATCAGAATAATCAAAATAAACAATTCGAAGGGAAGAAGGGGACCCACGACCCACAGAAGGAGGGGGGAAAGGAGAAAAAGAGAAAGGAGGAAAAGAGGGAGAGGGAAGACCAAGTCTCCCTCTCCTGTAGGGCAGAGTATGCTGTATCCCCTAGAAGTTGAGGGTCTTTGGCATCTTCTCCATCTATGAAAGTCCAGATTCCGTCAAGGATACCATCTCCTGGCGCATCCTTTCAATGGCCCTTTCAGCATCGTGGCGCCCCAGTCGGGCATTGGGGGCGAAAAGACCAAAGTCCAAGTGGCCCTCGCGAACAGCGGCTTCCACATCGATCGTAGGCTGTTGAACATGTAAAAATTGCATTAGTGCCCGCTTGCCGCCGTCGGTGGACATTCGGAATACGTCACTCACCATGAAGATGTCTTGATTAACCGCCGTGGACGCCGATGGAGCCATCATCTGGGCCGGACCGGGCGCCGCTGCGGTGTCACCGTTGGTTTGAGACCCATTGGGCTGGTCAGAATTGGATTTTTCCAGATCGGCCAGATCGGCCAGACCGGAGCGCTGTATCGACTTGAATTTCACCCGGTCTCCATTCGACCCGTTGCTGAGGGGCTCGGACTCCGCCAGCTCTGGGAGCCGCAGGAAGTTGACACAGGTACTAATGCGTACTCCGGTCCATTCGGCAATTTCCATAAGAGAGACACTAGCATGTTCTATGCGGCTGATCTCGTTGATGTCATCCTGGATCTTCCGAGCGATGAGAAAGAGTGAGTCAGGTCCGTTATCCACGTTCACATCAAGACGCAATGGCACAATATTGACAGTCGGTGCCATCAGCTCAGACAATCCTTCCATAGCATGCGACCGATTGGCAAGGTATAATCCAACCACGAGTGGGGTATTCTCGTTGTCAACACTCCCTGTAGCAAAGACCTGGGCATGCACCCGAGCATAAACGGCCAAAAAAATTGACTGGACACTGAGGCCCAGGCGCTTAGCGGCTACTTCGACGCGAGACATGTTTGGCACCAGCCCAGGCCGGTAGAAGTGCTGGATCGTTCCGAAACCATCCAATTGTTTGTCTTCGACTTCGGGAATTGAGATTTGGCCCAGGTATCTTTGCCAGAATTGCCGCCGAACATCCACTGGCGAATGGAGGTGCTGCAGTGCCACGAGATCTGAGAGATCTCCAGAAACGGATCTCGATTCAGACTGGGCGTCTATGCAAAGCTCGGATAGTCGATCTATGATGGATGGAAGACTGACGGCGTCATAGAGTGCGTGGTGTATGTGCAGGATGATTGCTGTGCCCTCGGTTGTCTGACAAGCATGCAGCGTGGCTGGAATCGAACCAAAGCCTCGCTCAGTCTGCGGTGCAGAATGCAGCCTATGGAGATCCTCATACCAGAAAACAGAATTTTCGGTCGACTTGAGTATAACTTGAACAAATGGCCGAGTTTTGCGGTCGCTGGTCTGCATAAAAGCCGTTCGAAGCATGGGTGTTTGCTCTGCAAGGCGGGTCCATGCATTTTCAAGAGCGTGTCGATCCAGTGAGTCCGATGCCATATAGTAAAATGAGGGATAGAACACTTCTGGGTTCAAAGCGTGCATTGCAAGGAAATACGATTGCCCTGCAGTTGCAGGTAGAGCTCTCTGGATGTTTTCGGGAGCGATGCCGTAAGACTGAGCCAGAGAGATAACGTCGATTCCATGCAACGATTCATCCAAGGCATTGGCAATCTGCTTTCGAGTGAGTTCTGCCTGGCTGTTGTTTGCTGCTCGCGCCATCTTTTCGATTGTGCCCTCTCTGAGCATGTCGCTGACCGCAAGTCTGACCGTCTGTTTCTTGAGGAGCGCGGCCACCTTGATCGCACTGATACTATCCAATCCGAGTTGGAAGATATTGTCCGTCTTGTGGATCGAGTCCTCTGGCACCCCGGAAACGACCGAGAGAACGTTGCGAATTGTGGACTCGATAGGTGACCACTCTGTGTGGCCATTCACCCCATTCATCTGAGGCACATCATTCTGGGCGCCCTCCTCGGGGATATCTTGGACAACCGAGTGTCCACAGATTTTCAGGTTTTCCCCAGCAAATTCGACTGTTTGCTGAAGTTCTTCATCAATCACCAACGGCAACACCTCCCCCAAGTGCTCCAACAAAACGAAAGTATCCTCCTCTCCCAAAACACTTCCCCGACAAGCCACCCGACCAACAAGGTCATTCTCAACACCCTCAACCTCCACACAAACCGGATACTCAACATCGGATGCTCCACCGGTAGATTTGTACAGAACTGGCCCTGTACTTCGGCTGTCAGATGGTCTCTTCTGGTAAATAAACAACGTGTCGAAAAGTTGTTGCGATCGCGTGTTCGGTCTTGCTCGTCGCAGCGGGAAGTGCTGGTGCTCCGACATTTCGAGCAGGGTCTCCTGGACATATTTGACCAATTCCAGACGAGTGCCATGCAAAATGACACGCATTGCGACAGTGTTCATTGTGGGGAACATCACATTCTCGGAGTCTGCAACATTGCGACCGGAGAGAACAAGACCGAAAATGACATCCAGCTTCTTGACATGGGTGGCCAGAACAAGCGACCAGCAGCTGACAAGCAGAGCCTGCATAGTAATGCCGTTGCGTCTGCAAAACGCCTCTGCCTTCTCAACTGAGACTGGAAGTTGTTTCTCTGCGCGATGGACCGCATTTGATCCCTCTTCAGCGTGATTGCCAGGAGGGAATGACACCGGTGAACAATTGGAGAGTGTCGCTCTCCAGAATTTGAGCGAGCGATCACCGGATGATTCAAGAATTTGTTCCAAAATAGAATCGGAACGCGGACGAGCGCAATCTTCACCACGGTAGGACCGGGAAACATCCTCGTGAAGCAGATTGATCGACCAGCCATCGTAGAGCGCGTGTGCAATTGATAGGATCAAGTAACGATTTTCGCCATCGATAGCTGTGGTCAGAGTAAGAAGTGGGGACTTTCCGAGCTGAGTGATAGCTCTCAAGCGCTGAGTCTCGATGATTGATTCCACGTTCTTTCCACGCAGCTCCACAGACTGGAAGTCAAATGTATCCTCACTGTGAACGACTTGGGCGTAAGAAGCGGAAATCTTGGGATCCCAGACTTCAACGAAAGAAGTACGAAGAATTGGGTGTGATTTGACGACTGCTCTCCATGCTTCCTGCAGTCGCTGAAGATCCACATTAGGCTCGAGCTGTAGAATTTCGTGATTGTAGTAATGATGCAACTCCGAAGAAGACATCTCTGCCATCATAGCTTCCTGGATTGGCGTCGCTGGAAGAATTTGACAAGCACCTTGGGGAACAAGATTCTCCCGTTCAAGGAACTCTGTGAGGGCTTTTTCCATTTGACCAAGAAGAGGGTATGTTCCATTTTGCTCCACGGGCTTTTCGACCACCAATTGTGCAGTCATGGCCTTCACATTGCGGTGGCGCATGATGGCACTAACCGGGAGTTTGATACCAGATTTGCTTAGTCGCGATGACAGTTTGATTGCGTCGATGCTGTCAAGTCCAACCTCGAAGATCGAAGTCTCTGCAGAAATAGACTGCACATCCACTCCTGCCAGAGTCGCAATGATGTCGCGAATTGTGCAGGCCTGGGGGGTCCAATTGAAATGCGAGTCTCCATTTATTTCGGCAACAGGAGCAGACTCTACTTGTTCGACAGTGACGTCGTTGGTCTGCACAGGAGTCTCTTCTATTATGCCATTCATGTAAGGCAGCTCTTTCTCCGGGTTCTGAGCGAAATCAGACAAGACATCCTGGAATTGGGAGAGGATTTCCTGCGCTGCGTTCGAAGACAAAACACTTGTCTTTGCAGCCAGCGTGATTGTCAGAGACTCGTTTCCATTCCGAGCAACTTCGAATGCCAATGGATACTCGTGCTGAGCTTCGGAGTCCAGAGTGGTCCAGATCTTGCTGGTCGGTGACTCGCCATTCCCATTATCTCTCTGGAAAACAAAGAGAGACTCAAAGAGACGTTCGTCGGGATTTTTACCAAGCCATTTCACAATATCTCTCAAGGCTGTATATTGGAATGGGATGGTTGAGGCGTGGTATTCGTGGCATCTCTTTGCGACTTCCAACCAAGATTTGAGGCCATGCAGCTGCACATTGCTTGGAATGGTGTTGAACAGGGGACCAATGACATCAGCGATGCCCGGCACATCAATCGTTCGACCGGAGGCAATGATACCCAGAGGTGGCACGAATGAGTATTGTCGGTGAAGCGTCAAAAGCCAACAGGCGTGGAGAATTGCTTGCTCGGTGATATTGAGAGACCTTCTCAGATGATCAAGAGACTCTGTTGATGTAATCTCAATCTTCTGGACGATTGTACTGTCGCTGTCGCTGTCTGATTTGGGTAGGGGCTTGTTTTGGCAGTTTGCAAGGTGCTCTTTCCAGAATTCTTTTTCGGATGGATCTTTGCAAAGAGGACCTAGATGAAGAACATCCAAGAAATTGGGTGGGTTCGAAGAAGCCTTCTCATTCAGATAGATGCGGGCCACAAGTTCGAGTAGCAACCTCAAACTGTTGCCATCGTAGAGAGCGTGGAAAATGTTGAGACACAGCACCCGCTTCTCGGGAGAAACGATCAGTCCGACTTCCCACAATTGGGTCATGAGACTGTCGAGCCCGGAAATCCATCGCTGCAGCTCCTGTCGACGGGAACTTTCAATAGCCTCGTCTGATTCTACCTCCCTGTGGAACCAAGGGAGGGCATTTTTCTTCAGCACAATCTGAGCATATCCGTCTGGCGATGGGGCGAAGCGAGCCCGGAGCACTTGGACTTGAGTTTGCGCTTGGAGCCAAGCAGATTGCAGCTTCTCCGTGTCGACAGAAGCGTGGAGTTCGAAGGTGAAAGAAGAGCAGTATAGTGGCGTGGTGCTCGATAGGAAATGATATATAATACCCTCTTGAAGGGGTGTGCAAGGGGCAATCTGCTCGACGTCACCCTCCAGCACACCAATGCTCTCAATGATCGCGTGAGAATTTCGGTGCGCAAAAGCTTCAATGCCTTGTTTTGTATGTCTATGAAGATTTTTATAAGACACAGTGGGCGCCTTGGATTCCTGCAAGGCCGTCGCCAATCCAGCAACGGTGGGGTCTGGATGGAGGTTAGCTATATGTATTTCACACTCGACCACAACGGGATCTCAACTCACGCTTCATGATAAGGGACGGCTGGGCTTGGGAGAAACCAGCCTCTCTCAGACTTCTCGCAAACGATAAAACAGAGATAGAGTCAAGTCCAAGCTCGTAGATACTTGACCAAGACGAGATTGTTGACTCGCTGGACCCGATGAACGTCGCCAGAATCGAGATGATCTTCTCCTCTTGCGCGCTCTTGGCCGTCTGATCGACAGTCATCGCGGTCAAATTCTGAATGTCTTCAAGAGAAAGGTCTTGATAGATGGCCTTCAGAACCTTCATGTCGGCTTTATTGTTTGCCGAAAGAGGGAATCGAGTCATCGGGACCATGTGTGTGGGCACCATGTACCCAGGCATATGTGTATGGCAAGCAGACTTGATTGTGGACAAGAATTCACGATCTTCGACAGATGAACGAACTTCCACATTGCTCGCCTTCTTGTCTGTGCCGACCTTGGTGACGAAAGATACCAACTGGTCCTTTGATTGCTTTGGATGCTTGATCACCAGGGTAGCCACTTCATTTAACTCGGATGTAGATTGCTTGATGACTTCATTGATTTCGCCAATCTCAAGCCGTTGTCCTCGCAGCTTGACCTGGTCATCGATGCGACCGAGGAATTGGAAGCTATCATCGTGCAGGATTCGGACCAAGTCACCGGTTCGGTAAATGCGATCTCCCCATTCTGGCAGAGTTTGGAATCGCTCCTCCGTAAGTTCCGCGCGATTCAAGTATCCTTTTCCAACAAGGGGTCCAGATACACAGAGCTCACCAAGACCACCACGCAGAACCGGTGTCGAAGAGTTGGGGCGGAAAACGTACGATCCAACATTGTCAAATTGCGGTCCAATGTTGGAGGGTTTATCATTAGCACGCATCCGAGGAAGCATCGTGCATCCGATGGTCACTTCTGTCGGACCGTAGCCATTGTAGATGACACCATGCTTGCCCCAAGCATCGAGAATTTCTTGCTTCAGAGCTTCTCCGCCGGTGATGAACACTCCTCGGCACAGGGAAGGAACTTCATCAGGGTGCACCAAGCGAGCCAAACTAGGAGTCAAATCGATGTGTGTAATCTGTAGCTTTTGAATCATCCCAGGCAAATCTTCAAAGAGCAAATCGCGAGGGCATGAAGTCACACATATACCAACGCTCCAGCTCCAGTATTGCTCAAGAACACTGACATCAAAGTGGAATGAGGCAAACTGCAGCCAGCGCGAGTCTTCATCCCAATGCGGGGAGAAGAGCCTCTGGAACGCAAGCATGGCCTGCACTGCATTGTCATGAGTGAGCTCGCAGCCCTTCGGTGTTCCGGTGGTACCAGAAGTATACAAGCAATAGCATGTATCATCAGGTTGAATCTCTCGTGAAAGGGAGGGCTGCTCTGGGGAATAATGACCAAACAGCCCTGGCTCATCAAGAACCTGGACATCAACACCCGAGAGCTCCATAAGATCAGCCTTCCTCGCAGAGTTGCAAAGCAACAGCTTGGAATTGGAATCTCCCAAAATAAATTGCTTTCGAGAAATAGGAGCCGAGGGGTCGATGGCAACGTATGCACATCCAGCCTTCAGGATACCCAATATGGCAATGGAGGCTTCTGGACACTTGTCAAAGCAAATAGCAACCATAGCGCCTGTTGTGACGCCTTTTTCTTGCAGGAAATGTGCGACACGATTGCCATCCTCATTGAATTCGCAATAGGTCCAGACTTTTCTGTGTAGGTTATCGATGCTGGTGCCAGATGCGAACTCGAGAGCAGGCTTTTCTGGAACCCTTTGGGCATTTTCTTCGACAAATTGATGCAGTAGAGAGACTGAGGTAGGGATCGATTTCTCCTTAGCAGGTGTGACGGACAGAAGCTGGTTTCCAAGGGAAAGATAATCGTCGGAACTGGTGTCAGGTGAGAAGACAGTCTGCTTCAGCAGTTGGTTGTACTGCTCTAGAAGAATCTTGGCTTGGTTTTCGGGGACAATATCACTCCGGTAGCTGATTCGAATTTCAAGCTCCGTCAAGTGTGGAACCAGCTCGATCGACATGGGGTACTGCGAAAGTATTAGCATCAAGTTCTCCGCCAACGAGTTTAATCAACATACATCAATCCTTGTATCTTCATCAGTAACCTCCCAGGAGCGGGTATCCGTCAAATTTGAACTGAACTTCTGATACACAAAAAGTGTATCGAAGAGAGGCTCATCGCTGCCAAGCCATCGCTGAATTTGCGCCAACGGAGTGAACTGGTGCTTCACCAAGCTTGCATTCCTCTTGAGCGTGCGTTCAAGCAGCTCGCGATTTGTTCCTCCGATTTGATGAGGGGAAGGCACAGTAACCAGACACGGAAAAATCGCATCCTGGGCAGCCGTGGAGAGATTACGACCAGAGAGAACAGTTCCAAAAACAACATTCTGCTCCCCGGTATATGCCGAGAGCAATCTCGCCCACGCGACTTGTCCAGCAGCCTGCAGGGTAACACCGAGTTCCCTGCAGGAATCCTCAAGGGTAGCAAGGGACTCTGAACAACGAATGGAGCTTTCAAGCAATTCTTTCTTCTCGGTTCGGATGGGATTCAAGTCTGGAACCTTGGTCGGGTGAACTTCGGGAGCTAGTCCTTGCCAGAATTCCTGCGATGTTTCTCTTTGTTTCTGGCTTTCAACTAGGATAGGTCCCAGAGTTGCAGAGATAGAAGAAGGCTGAGCGAGAGCCTTTCCTTCATATGCTGACATGACGTCCGAGAAAAGCGATCCCAAGGACTGGGCATCATAAATGGCATGAAGCGCCGAGAAATGAACCGTGGTGATCTTATCTGCAGATTCAACGATGACTTCCCAGGGAGGCCGATGGAAGTTTTCGAAAATTCTCTTCTCCTGGATACTGGGGCTCTCCACGGCAGATTCCGATACTTCGTACCAAGGAAGCTCAATGCCTGGCTGGTAGGTGATCATAGCAAAAGGGTGTTGCTGATCGTGTAGTTGAATAAAGCCAGTGCGCAGCATCTCATGTTGAGACATCACTGTCGACCATGCTTCCTTGAGAAGACCCCGGTCTAATGGCACGGTTGACTTCAGAGCCATCCGGTTGAAGTACATGCTGCCGCTGGAATGAGCGAAGAGCGCAAGCATTCCATTCTGCACTGGAGTACAGGGTCGCAGGGATTGCACTTCTTCGGATGAAATTCCCAGTTGCTTGCAGACAGATGGCAAATGTTGGTTCTCAAAGGCAGAAAAGTCGAAGTCTTCTTCCTTGGCGTTCTTCTCGCTAGTATCAAGAAGCAAGGCGATTTTATCAATGGAAGCAGCCTAGAGCTCTGTCAGTCACAATCGGAACAAGATCCTATCAAGCTTGGGTAACTCATACCTCGAGAATATCACCTGCCGATATCTTGTAGCCGAGTCTGCGCATTTTCCCGGAGATTTGAACAGCATTGATACTATCCAGACCAAGTTGGAAGATTGTCGTGTGCAAAGATACAGCCTCCGGCTCAACATTAGAGAATTGGCATAGAATGTCGCGAAGCGCTTCTTCTTGATATGACCAAGGTCGAGTATCTTTCTGCGGGATCGTTGAAGCTCCAAGAGTACCATTGACCAGCGGCTTCCTCTCAAACACCTGCGGAGTCTTCTCACTGATAGCCTTCTTATCAGAAGCCTGCGAAGAAGGGTATTGAGTCGTATGCTCAACAAGAGCAACAAAGTCCTGTGCAAGTCGTTCTGCATCGGCACGATCCAAATGCGACGACTGGAAATGAAGGCAAATCTGAATGGTGTCATGTAGCTCATCGGGAATGACTTCGCAAATCAAAGGGAATCCCATGTTGCCCTCATCCGAAAGAAGCTCCCAATATTGCGGATCGAGCTCAGTACCTCTAGTTTGGAGGATGACCAGTGTATCAAAAAGTCTGGACCCTCCATTAAGCACGCGTTTCTGGATCTGACGCAAAGGAGTGAGTTGATGGGGCAGGATATCGCTATTGTGCTTCTGGGATAGCTTCATAATGTCGTCATTGGTTGAGGTCGAGGAGAATTTCACTCTCATCGGAAGTGTGTTGAAGCAGGGGCCGACGATCCGATCGGCTCCTTCGAGGGGAATGGTTCGACAACTGTAGACATTACCGAAACAGACATCCGGTGAATCGGCATAGAAAGACAGAAGTCTTGCCCATGCTGCATGGAAAACGTTCAACGGGGTCACGGAAAGATCTTGGCACTGGTGTTTGAATGAAGCAAAGGATCCATTCAGGTTGACTTGGATTTGTTGCGAAGCCGACTGATCCACTGACTCCTTGAGTTCAGGGGTGGATAGTAAGCTAGGCGACACACCAGACAAGTATCGGTCCCAGTATTTGTTGGATGTATCAGTGCTAACAGACAGCATGTAGTCGATGAATCGATGGAATGACGTTGATTCTGGCAGACCTTGGCCAGCGAGCAAAGTCTGAAGTTCATGCAACAACTGCGCAATTCCTTCTCCATCATACAGTGCGTGATGAATTGACAGCAATAGATGAGTCGCACCAATGGCAGGATTTGTGTATGCTGTCAGTGAGTACGGGAGTGTACCATCGACAGGAGATCGGACTTCAAACTCCAACTTTCTCTTCTCAACATCATAATCAATTCCTTGAGAAGAGACTTCAACGGCATCCCAGGGCAAAGATGCACTGTCCAGTACCACTTGTGCATAAGCAAACTGCTTATCGGTAGTTGGCTTGAAGCAAGTTCTGAGGATATCATGTCTTTGTAGCATCTGATCCCAGGCCGATTTCAACGCATCCATGCTCGTGTTCACGCGCAGAAGTAAATGATTGAAGTATGCGGAGTCGGCGTCGGATTTGGCTGCTAGCATTGCTTCCTGCAGAGGCGTGCAAGGGTAGACTCTATGGACAGATGCATTGCCAGCCTTGAACTCGTCATTTACTTCGCGAAGGAATTGTTCGTCAAACACGGAGCTGGGCTCTTCTGGCTCGGTGGGTTGATAAGACACATGTCCATTTGTCAGGAGTGTAGTGACTGTCGCCAGCTGCGCAACAGAGCTGCGTTGGAGAATGGTCGATACTGGAAGTCTGCCGAAGCCAGATTCCTGTAGCTTGCGTGACAATGAAATCGCAGACAAAGAGTCCAGACCGAGTTTGTAGAATGACGTGTGTTTGTGAATGCTCTGTTGATCGGCGCCAGTCACTGCGGACAACGCACCGGCAATGCGCTGCTCAACTTCATTCAGAGCAGCATCAGAGTCATCACCGGTGAGTTGAAGTGAGAAAGCTGCAAGTCTCTCTGGGCCCATGTTTTGAATCTCTTCTTGAATCCGTGCGTGGTCTCTTATGTAGGATTTGGACATGGGAATCGTATCCATCGGGACAAGAAGAGATGGGACTGAGGAAGTTGGGAGCTTTGTGGTAAGTTCATGGAACAGATCCCTGACGATGTCTTCGAGCTCCCCTGAGACTGCCGAATTTTTGGCAGCCTTTGAAGGGACCCAGACAGTCGCCAGTTGCTGTTGGTTAGTGATAGGGTTGTTCAGTACAACGGTGGTGGAATCTTGAACCATCTCCGACAATAGAAGCGCGCGATCAATCTCGTCAACGGCAACATATTCCCCAGAAATCTTGAAATGAGGGAGCAGAGAAATACCTCCATCCGGAAATATCCTACCTATAACACCGGTCCTGTACAGAGGACCGAACTTAGGGTGATCAATAAACCCTGCGCTCACACTGGCTGGATGAGAATCATGTCCCTGGTCATATTTATCAGTTAAGCTCGAGGATGTTGCTTCGATCATGCTTACAACTTGAGTTCCACCGAAACAGATCTCTCCAATCGCACCGCGCGGAAGCAATTCGAATTTAATCTTCTCTGCTATGATCATAGCCGAAGTGTTCTTCAATGGTGCACCAATGCTCGAGCAGGTAACATTCTCGTCGAGATTAGTGTATATGGTAGCCACACCAGACAGTCCTTCTGAACTGAAGCCTGATTTAAAGGTATCAGAGTCTCGTTCCCCCAAGTTTCTAATCAAGCGGGCGTTTTACATACCTTGAGAAATACCCTTTCCAGCCCAATCACGATGCACCTTTGCCTTCAACGGCTCACCAGAGGTGAGAAGATGGCGGACCGTCGACACGTCCTCAGGGGCCAAATGCGATGCCAATGAAGGCGTCAAATGCAAATGCGTTACGCTCATCGAGTTGACGATATGCTGGATATTGCTCTCTTTCAAATCATCAAATGCAGAACAGAAAGTTATTCCTGCATGCCATGCGAAAAACAAATCGACGAAAAAGCCTATTCATGATCTGAGTTAGGATTTTGTTTTCGCTTCGTAGATAAAGTAAGAATACTTACCAATAGATGTAAGGGACGACGTATGCATTAACTTTGATCCCACCGAGGCAGGATAATAATCCGCAAGGGCATCAAGATGGCTTTGCAGATTGTAGGAAGAAAAGGTAGCGTGATCCATCAGGCCATTACTGGATGACAGGGTTTCCGAGCAAGTAATATGGAACCCGTCATTTTTTGTGAGAGGAGCGGTCTCTTCAAAGCTGTCAAGAGAGTCGGGAAGGAGAATGTGCGAGATTGTTTCCAGCGCGGTCAGCTCGCTGGTTATGGTGGATGCCGATGGATTGACGATACAGAATCGTGCCTTCGCAGAGGCGAGAATAGACTTCGTGGATTGCAAAGAGCAATCATGAGCCAAGGGTAGAAGACCAGCTCCAATCTTGGCGAGTGCGAGAATGGAAATGAAAGAGTTCATGGACTTGTCGAGGAAGATTGCTACCAAGTCGCCGTTCTTGACTCCCACTTGCAGGAGATAGTGGGCTATCCGGGTGGACCGATATTGCAACTGGCCGTAAGAAATGCACTCAACGTGTCTGAGTTCGGTACTATATTCCCTTTGTGGCAAGATTTCAATAGCTGTTCGAGTGGGATCAACCAACGCAAGTGACTCGACGCCCGACACAAGACTTGGGAGATCGGTACGTGTCTCAAAGTCTGCATTGAGAACTGATAGTCTTGAAGAAGGCAGAGAAGAGGCAATCTCGTTGATCGATAATGTGGGATTGTCAATGAGAACAGAAGCAACAGAGTCAATCTGCTCCAAGAGAATTTGTACCTGCTCATGAGGTAAAATTGACTCTTGGTATGTCATTTTGGCTCGAATGTTGTCCTCTCTTGGCTCGAAATCCAGCAAGAATGCGAACTCGAGGAACTCTGCAGCACCGACTTCACTGAACAAGGCGTGCTGATCGTCAGAGTAAATGCTCTCCTGCCACACAAGGGCTGTATCAAAGAGACTTCGCTGCGGATCGATTCCAGATGCCTTCTTGATATCCTGAAGAGGCAGACTTCCATGCTCGAGGGACTTTCGGTTCATGTTCTGAATCGCCAGCATGAGATCGGTGACATTTTGCATCTTGTCAAGGTTCACGCGTGTTGGGAGCGTTCGAATGCATGGTCCAAGAACCGATTCTATGCCCTTCACTGGCAGTGTACGACCAGAAAATACAGTACCAATAATAACATCATCCGAACCAAGGTAGGTTGAAAGGATATAGCAAAAAGCAGCCTGGAAAACGGTCTGTCGGCTGACCCGCAAGCTTTGCGAAAGATCATTGAGCTTGGGCAGAGAGACATCCAAAACTCGACTAGCCTCCTTTGTGCTTGAAGGGACGTTTGTCTTGCTATGAAAGCTCGGGAACGATAGAGCGGAGGATCCTTGGAGCTGGTCACGCCAAAAGCGCGAGGACTCATTCGCAGACTCACTGAGCTTGTACTCAATGAAGAAGTCTGTGACCACATTGTATGCGGGTTTTGGAGGAATCTCCTCGCCAACCAAAATGCGTTGCAGATCTTTGAGGATCAGCTGCCAGGACCACCCATCATACAAGGCATGATGGATATGTACCAGGGCTCGGACACCACCATCCATCTCCTTCAGCTGTACCCGCACGGGATAAAGCAGATCATGATCCGATATCAAGGAGACATCGTAGTCAAACACCTCCGAGGTTTGAATCATCCGGTTATCAAGCTCATTCCATGTAAACATGGCGTAGGAATTGTCTTTGAGACCGATTTCCACAAAACCTGATCGCAACAAGGCATTGTCATGGAAAATCTGGGCGAAAGAGCCGTGGGCAGCAGAAGATGTGACCGACTGCTGAAATTCCAGCTCGATCCAATTTGAGTAGGCTTTGGTGTCACGGGCGGTTTCCAGAATCATCGCTTGCTGAATATGGTTGCACGGCTGAATCTCGCTAGTCTGCGCAGTCAGGCCAAGTGCCTCAATCCTTGCTGCACCAGCGTCGGCGACGAGTTGACGAATTCTGTCAAGGCCAGTTTGCGTGTCTTCTGTCGACTCGCTCGCCTCCAGTTCTTTCGCAAGATGCCAGATTCCATCCACGCAATCTGATTCTAGAATGCGCGCCACATCAAGGCGGATTCCTGCATCCAACAGATGAGAGGCAAGCCGGATAGCAGCCAGAGAATCCAGGCCAGCAGACACCAAAGAGTCGGTGGCTGGAACCTTTTTGCCGAGCACATCAGAAACACAAGACGCAATTGTCTCCTCAATCTCATCCCGGAATGCCTGCTGGTCCATAGATTGTGCAACATTCCGACGACGGACAAAGTCGGCTTCGAGACCCTTGCGATCAATCTTGCCCGAAGGTAGCTGAGGAAATTGGTCGAGAATGATGAACTCTCCGGGAACCATAAATCGAGGCAGCCACTGTCGACAGGTGTCCCGCAGTTCGCGATCAGTTGCACCTTTGTCGTTGAGCAAGACATACGCAGCCAGGCTGCCGCCGCTGACAATGACCACGGCACTTCGCACACTAGCCGATTTGCAGATGACATTCTCGATTTCACCGAGCTCGATCCGCTGACCACGAAGCTTGACTTGGCCACTGGAAATTCGGCCAAAGCACTCAATGTCACCATTGGCTGACATTCGCGCCTTGTCGCCGGTCCGATAAAGCCTACCGTAGATGGGATGGTCAATAAAGGCCTTGGCATTCTCCTCTGGTCGATTGATATATCCATCTGCAAGCTGTGGTCCACCCACCACAAGCTCGCCGATTTGGCCTATCGGGAGAGTCTGCAGTTCGGATGGAGCCGATTTATCGTCTGACTCTAGGGACATGATGAACGCAGACACAGTTTTGAACGGCTGTCCGATCAAATTCACGGCGGAGCTCGCATTAAAGTGCGTAGCTGCGGTACAATGAATTGCAGCCTCCGTCGGTCCATACATGCCATGCAGAATACCGTCTGAGCTCTCGGACTGACCGAACTCTTCCACAACGTGCTTGGTGAGCATCTCGCCAATTGTGAGAAGAACGCGAAGACAGGGCGCGGCGGCTCTCGTGCGCAGAAGCTCTCCTGCTACTGTCGGAGTCAACTCGGCCGCATCGACTCGCATTTCGGTCATGACACGGGAAATGTCCAGCAACATCTGCTCTCTCTCTGAGCCGATGAGCGTTGCTCCCCGGAAAAAGGGAAGAAGACCTCGAAAACGGACACGTCAAATGTGGGCGAAGCAAATTGCAAAAATCGATTGAAATGGGGTATCAAGTCATTATGCGCCAGCAAGGATTGGGTGGCAGCCAGATGGGAAATGCCCACACCTTTAGGGCGGCCGGTCGAGCCAGAGGTGTACATCACATAGGCCAGATCGGCCGGCGACACCGTCACCGCCGGTGAGGAAATATCCGACGTGACCACCTGGTTCACAACGTCCTCCACATTGATCGCTGTCAACGTGTCACTCTGGGGCACTCGAGCCGCCAGACTGTTTTGTGTTACTACCACCGATGCAGCAACGTCCTGCAGGATAAACTCTATCCTATCGGGTGGTGCGTCGGTGTTTAGGGGACAGAATGCTCCGCCGGCTTTGAGAATACCCAGCCAGGCGATGTACAGCTCGAGAGATTGGGGAAGAAGCACAGGAACCACTAATCTCCGCCCATCGTTCCCAGTTGCGGCGGATGCTTGGACAATTTCTGCCGCTAGCCTTGATGACAGCTGGTCCAAAGCGTGATACGACAAACACCGGGTGTTTCCATCCGCAGCCAGGAATTCGATGGCATTGTTGGCGTCGTGGGAGCCGCTCAAGGCGAGCTCGTGGAGAAGCTGCGGCCCTGGCAGTACCGCAGGAGAAGGGTTGGAAATCGACATGGCAGGTAGCTCGGTGGCAGGCAGTTCTGCCCGCATGCCAGACTGGGTGACCTGCTCTTGCACGATCTGTTTCAGCTGACTGCTCAGTCGTTGCAAGGCCGTCGCATCCATGCCTGTGGTGGAATTGAGCACGCTCATTTGGGTCTTGCGGTTGATAGTCCACGACAGAGCGGCAGTCGAGGACAAGGTGGAGGTAATTGACGAAGGAGGAGAAGGAGAAGGAGAAGAAGATGTCGGAGAGGATTCGTTGGAAAGGTGGTCTGGGAATATTGACTCTTCGACGACCACAGCGGTGTAATTGTTGCTTAAAGCACGCTTGGGATCTTCCTGGGCCAACGTCTCGTCCGTTCTGGTCGTACTGGGAGTCACAGGCTGTACAGTGCGAGCAAATAGATCTGCCTGGACAGGTGCATCGTTGAATAAAAAGACCGGAGATTGCTCGGTAGTGCACGAACTCAACAACAGGGCCCAAGACACGGCGGCGAGCTCATTTGGAAAATGCACAGTATCCACATCGTGAACTATAGCGCGGGCAGCGCCCTTGTCGCCGTCGAGGACGGGGAATTGGGTGAGACGATCCATTTGATGCGGTTGTCTCAGTCAATGGCACATTGTGCAGTGGCGCTTATAGATTGTTTATTAGGAGGGATGTGAGTGGCTACTCGGCCGGAGGTGTCTCCAGCTTGGTGGTCCCGATTTAGTGAAGGGCTCGTCCCAGGCAGCCTCTCGGGACTTAGTAGCACGTCTGCAGGCAGTAGCCGCGTGGAGGGAACTCGCAGGGCGCTCGCGGCAGAAGGGGGCCGTGGTCGCCAAAAAGTGAGGAGGGGGAACGAGTAAAAAGGCCGGGCGAGGAGGGGTAGCTGGGGGATTTCCAATCACACAGTATCATGGCAGTGAGTGCTGGCGAAGGGGCGATCCTGCTGCAGCACCGAGACAAGCGCCAAAAAGCCCCAAAACGACAAAGTGGGCTTTTCACCTGTGGCCCGTTGGACCGTGGCCAGATGCTTTCTCTTGTTGCAGCTTATTGTCGGAGATATGTTTGGTGTTTGGTGGTCGGACGCGACACTACTGCAGTCCACCCCGGTTAGCTTTGGCTTTTCATTTTTTTTTCCTTTTTTCATTTGGCCGCATTTTCTGTCTCTTCTGTGTCTTTGGCGGCCTGGTCGGAAATACTCACCCCGGTGGGTCTGCACGCAAAAAAGGTGCGGTTTGTGTGGTGGATGACGTACAGGTGTCGTACTAGTTTGCACGAGGATATCGGAGGAAAAAGGGGAAATAGGATTTTGGCAGCGCCAGTCTATGGGAATAGCATCGTTTATCTAGGGTCCTGGGTTCAGGGTCCTACTCGGAACGGCATGTGTCAGATCGATCGCGGAGTAGCCACACTTGGACACAATCTGATTGTGATGTTTGACGATCCCACGCTGTAAAGCCCCACGCTTCAGGAAACATATACGATGGGAAACTTTATACCGATGGCTCTGCGGCGATGCGACGGCAGCGTACCTGCCAAATCTCGCAGGCGTCTCCAGGGTCGGTAGGTAGGCCCCTAGTGTATACCAAGGTCTGGTTGCTGGGCGTGTCGTGTGCAACACCAGACTGGTCCGGTCAAGTTTTCCATTCCCCGCCATGCCAAGGCCGCGACTCGCCAACGGCAGAGCGAAATGCGCGACACCCACAATGGCCGCCTAAGTAGTCTCAACCGTGAGGTCCCTGCGACGCGGTACCCGGTATTCCCGACATCGGGCTACTGCGGATGGCTGATTTAGTCTTCGGAATGACTTTGGAGATTTACTTTTTTCCCGTTTTTTTCCTTTTCGTTGCTTTTTTCGCCAAGGCTGCATGCTCCCATCCCATGTGCAGGAACTGGCCGTGACTCGCAGCAAAGTGGAGTCCGCTGCAACACAAGGGTCAAAACGATAAAATAAAAAATAAAAATAAAAAAATTAGTTGGTGTACAATATAAATTGAACACTGCCGAAAATTGGTCATACAAAAAAAAACGAACGCGAAATCAATCTGTATGTGGATACTGATTGATAAACGAAACCTTGGAAATAATACGCCCTGTTATACCCAACGACTTCCTCGTATCCACTGAAAATATTTTTTGGCCTCGCCAAAGTTATCTGATCCGCTTCCTTCTGAAACACGGCCATCCGCCTTGGTATTGCACTACTCGGCGGAGTAATTTTTCTTTTTCCCTTTTTTTTCCCCCTTGGTTTCTTTTCTTGGTAACCAACCACTAGGCGGTGGGGCCTGAAACGTATCATACGGCACGTCAATTGCACGACTCTCATCGCCTCGATCCGACTCTGTCTATGAGAGAAATCTCCGGGGTGGAGCGTGCAAACTGATGGGATCCGCTCCTCTCTGTACATAACCGGGTTGGCTCCTCTGCTTCTGCAGAGCTCTTTTTTTTACCGACACCAAACCAGTTCGGAAAGCTTCTTTCTTTAGCTTGAGCTCGAACTTTCCTCTTCATCTTCACCTCGTCCTACACTTCCCGTCCCCTCCCCCCTCCCCCTCTCCTTCCGCCTCCGCCCCCTCCCTCCAGGACTTATTCTTTTGATCCTTGTCTATTCCTTCAAATGGAGCCCATTGCTCGGAAGCCCGAGCTGGCCTTCTTGAACAAGATGGAGCCGCGTGTGCAATCGACCCCGAGTCGCTCGATGCTGCGCTCGGCACCCGCCGACGAAATGCACGACCTGCTCTGCGTCGGCTTCGGTCCAGCCTCCCTCGCAATTGGTATTGCGCTCAACGACGCCATGGACCCCGCGCTGGGCCGCGCCACACCCAGCAACTTCAAGCCCAAGGTCTGCTTCCTCGAGCGTCAGAAGCAGTTCGCCTGGCACTCGGGCATGCTGGTCCCTGGCTCGCGCATGCAGATCTCCTTCATCAAGGACCTGGCCACCCTCCGCGATCCCCGCAGCAGCTTCACATTCCTGAACTACCTGCACCAGAAAGACCGTCTGATCCACTTCACCAACCTGGGCACATTCCTGCCTGCGCGCATGGAGTTTGAGGATTATATGCGCTGGTGTGCGCAGCGCTTCAATAATGTCGTGTCGTACGGCGAGGAGGTCGTCGAGATCGTCCCCGGCAAGGAGACCAGTGGTGTCGTCGAGTACTTCGTGGTGAAGTCGCGGAATACCGAGACCGGTGAGATCACCTCGCGCAGATCGCGCAAGGTGGTCGTCGCCCTCGGTGGCAAGGCCAAGATGCCGCCCGGTTTCCCCCAGGATCCCCGCATCATGCATTCCTCCAAGTACTGCACCACTCTTCCCAATGTGCTGAAAAACGAGTCCGAGGCCTATAACATTGCCGTTGTCGGTAGTGGCCAGAGTGCCGCTGAGATCTACCACGACCTGCAACGGCGGTATCCCAACTCGCGCACTACCCTGATCCTGCGGGATTCGGCTCTGCGTCCCAGTGATGATTCTCCTTTGTATGTACCCGATACCTTTAAACATCTTGGGCGGAGACCAAAGACTAACAATGTTTCTTTGATAGTGTCAATGAAATCTTCAACCCCGAGCGTGTGGACAAGTTCTTCAACATGTCTCCCGCGGAGCGCAACCAGCGCATCATGACCGACAAAGCCACCAACTACAGTGTGGTCCGCCTGGAACTCATCGAAGAAATCTACAACACCATGTACCTGCAGCGGGTGCGGAACCCCGACGAGTCGCAGTGGCAGCACCGCATCCTGCCGGAGCGTCGTGTGGCCCGCATCGAGCACCACAACCCGGCCCAGCGTATGCGCGTCCACGTCAAGTCCGTCAAGGATGAGAGTGCCGAGGGCAAGGAAGTCCTGGAGGTCGATGCGGTCATGGTGGCTACGGGCTACCAGCGCGATGCACACGAGCAGCTGCTGGAACAGGTGCGTTCTCTGCGGCCTGCGGGTCAGGCGGCATGGAACCCTAGCCGGGATTACCGGGTCGACCTGGACGCTAGCAAGGTCAGCGCCGATGCGGGTATTTGGCTGCAGGGCTGTAACGAGAAGACTCACGGTCTCAGCGACAGCCTGCTGTCCATCCTGGCGGTGCGTGGTGGCGAGATCGTCAACTCCGTATTTGGTGAGCAGTTGTCCGGAGCCCTGGTGCAGGACACCCGGGTCCGCGCTATGCTCTGAGAGGCTGGAAGGACCTTCCCCTGTCCCATTTTCCTGGGCCAAATTTTTTATGAATGTTGAGTGGGGAGCGACCTGCCAATATCCATGAAGGGGGGACGCGGACGCGGACGCGCAAGGAAAATAAAACACATGGGCTACGCATACTGCTTTCTTTGTTGGCTTCTCTTCACACATACCCCTTCAATTGCTTTATTAGACGCCCCGGAATTTTGTGTTTTCTAGATTGTTGGAACTTTAATGAGACGAATGTTTTTTTTCCTTTCCATTTGACATTTTTTTGCTCTGTGGAACAGCTACGGGGTCTGATGAGCCAAGACCTTTCCTCGGAAGTGGATTCATCTGCCGAAATCAATCTTTCAAAACCCTTCGCCAAGAGCCAAGAGTGTACCAGAGTCTCCATACATACGTTGCCATCTGTAACCGGCTTTTCCTCCACCCTTTGTAACACTTATGGTTTGTACCGAAGTTGCGAAATACCATTGTGTGTGGGGGGAGGGAACCGCTCGTTACTGCGTACGCGAATATGTTTTGACCAAGGCAGTACTCAGTGAGTCAATACAACCTGAATTACGACTCTGAAAAATACCTTTCTACTAACGAGAGCCAAGAAAACTAAAAAACGCAAGCCATCGGAAACCGCGCAAAACACGGACATTCACTCGGGGCTCGGACTTGTCGTCTGGTGTAAGCGATGATGATCCGCACGCCGATCGTAGAGGCAGAGCTCGATCAAAACCGAAAAGACCCTCCTGGAGGAACCCGACCCGGAAGCAGTTAGTGGACACGAAAGAATTGGAGTCGGCGCCCGCGTAAACCAGTGTACGTAGAAGTGATGGCTCCCTCGACTCCACTGTATAACTGTACGGCGTATGAGTGGTACGGTACAGCGCCGAGACCAAGCCACGGTGGGTCCCCTGCGTGGCGCCATCAGATAACCCGAGAAAATTTTTATCTGATCAGTTTTCCCCTCCGATCCCGGTTCCGTTGCCAATTGGGCTGAGGTCGCTTGTTTCCATGGCTTTGGCGCCTGCTAATGACCCGGCCTCTGCATCTTCCGTATGGCGCGTTGGGTTTCCTGAAGAATTTCGATCGCCTGTCACCGACCTTTTGCTAAATCTATCTCCAACCGGACCCAGTTAGATTCCGTCTATCACTTGCCTACTGTGTCTAGCGAGATGGAGCCCTCCCCTTCCCACTCCTGCTCTCCTTCCCCAACTGGTTCCTGCCACTTTGCCAGGCCTCGGGTTCCGACTACCGGGGACCCGCCTCGTGTCCAGTCTCTCGTCCAGGCCCTCCTGTTTGTCTTGGCCCATGCCCGCGCCTTGGTGGATGCAGGGGTTGTCCGCCGCGTGGAGGGGCGACTTGCACGTACATAAGGCAGTGACGTGGGATGTTGTATTGACAGTCAGTGTATATTCTACTCCCTCGTGCCTCGCTTTTTTGTACCCGAATTGATGGACTTTACCGTAGCTTCGTACAGTATACCCTGATACAACGTACTATGTACGGCGTACTGCAGTATTAGATGTCGGGCCCTACATGCCCCATTCAGACTTACCGGGCTATCATCGAGCTGCGATCCTCGCATATGTACTCTGTGGGTGAGATTCCCGGGTGCCTGACTGACAGGGACAAAGTACCCCGTACATACGGGATACTCGTACATGTGGCGTTTCTGCAACGCCTCCAGGGTAAATAATATGCTTGGCTCCCATTCGAACGGTCTCGGCAATATCGGATACTGCGCTCGTCGCGGATCAGGTCATGGTCTAATCAGATCAGGGTTGCATGAAAGAGGCTATTCTTGGTTGCTCTCTGGAACGCTGACCGACTCGGGATCGGTTGCCCACTGCATCGCCGTGCATCTGATCCGGCTCCAATATTGCTCCGGTGGCTCCTTCTCCAATGCCACATGGTACGTCGCGACAGACACGCCAGCTGTCACCGAGGTAGGTGTGGGTATTGCTGGGCCGTGTCCTCAGCTCGGGGCTTGATGCGGGAAAGGGCAGCTTTCCAGAAGTTCGGTGGAAGGGGTGGGCTGGTGTCGGATGTGCAGGAACGTCCTACATTAGTACAATGCAGTCACTCGATGGATCTTCGGTGCTCTACCTGTGTCTAAGGTTAGTTACCTTAGCACCCTGCAGGGTCTCCCTCTACCTTATCTGACGCATTCGAATGGAAATCAAAGTGTGGGGGGGGGGGGGATGACTCCCGGAGGTATTTTCCCCCAAGGGTAGGTCAGGTAAGTCAGAGACTCACGTGGTGCATTTTGTACGCTAATGAGGAGGCAAACTTGAAACACATGATCATGATCAAGATGAAAAAAAGTAATCATTATCTAGCGTCCACTGTACAGGCTCCAAAAAATGCACTCCGTGTTAATGACATAATATGATGACGGGAAAATAAAAAAGGCAAGCCACGCAATGCAACACCGTCGCTGCAGTCATACATCAGAAGGCCCGAAAAAGGAAAATAATGAGGCTGCCGAAGGATGTCGGAGTATGTGAATAGTCATTAATGCACTCCCAGAACAGCCAGCATACATGGCTTGTCTTCGGGTTCTAAACCATGCGCTCGGGGTCCTCGCCCGCCACACTGCGGTAGGCACCTCCATCGCCAGAGCGACTGCCTGCGTGCATGCGCATCGGGGTCTCATACATGTCGTGATAGTTGACAACCTCGCCACCGAGCATTGCTGAACCTGTCTGGCGTTTGCCGAAAATGGGAGCTGGATCGCACCAGAAGTCCCGGCAATTGGTTGCCACGCCGTGGGAAAAGGGGTTGCGAGGTCGTGCGGCATGTTGTCCCTCGCGAAGTCCGTCCCGTGCAGTAGCGAAGAAGGTATCGATACCCAGAAGAGAGGACCACTGCTGGAAGCAGCCGTGACGACGGCGAGGAGGGTGGGGTCGTGCCAGAGCCGGGTTGGGACCTTGTCCGGCGGCAGAAAGACCAGCTGCATCCAGGGATGTCGTGCCCGCTGTCATTGCGGAGGCAAAGGCCTGGGAGCTAGGGTAGGAACGATCGATGTGGTGACCCCGCATGTTCTCATATGTGGTCTGGTTGCGCGAGATCTGAACCAGCTGGACAGCACACAGCATCGTGACCCAGACCAATTGGAGAATGATCCAAATGTCGAGGACAAGTGTGAAGGTGTCTCGGGAAACATAGTCACACAGGGCGTCGTTGATGACGTTGCAAGAGGCGGCCTTTGGGGCTGGAAGAACGTTGATGTCTGATCAAATTAGTAAAAATACTCCTTGTCGAGGTCCTATAGGTGGACTCAGAGTACTCACATCGAACAGTAAGCTGCACAAACAAAATGATGCCGACTTCAAGGGAAATAATGTACATGACAAAGTGGCGGAGGTTGTTTGCTCCGACACAGTTATCGATCCAAGGGCAGTGGCTTTGAGAAGAAGTTAGCAGGTGGGTTGATATGCAGCAGGACAGATTCAACTTACTGGTCATGCTTAGCAACACAGCGACCGCAACGGCGGCAGTGTTTGCTACGAAGAGGCTTCCTGGACATGCAAGGGACGCAGAAGTTCTCTTCGTCGAACTTCCAGAGCTCGAAGAGTTGGTTGACCACCTCCCTCTGCTGATTCCGGCTGCTGATCTTGGGAACATAGCCTGGGTCCTCGATCATTGCGTAGATGTAGAAGTATGTTGTCAAGCAGTAGAATACCGTGAACAGAATGTTCAAGATCGGTGAAATCGAGTAGGTAGCCGGGAGCACCTTGAAAACGTAGCAGAAGCCAACCCAGAACAGTGAGCCTGCGAAAACACCTGCGAGATAGGGCTAATCTAGTTAGTTCGAAGACCGCTTATACAAGAATGATTGTGAACGTACCGTCTTCTGCAGAATGCGATACTCCGCAGGACCCTTGTTCGCCAGCTGTTGCGCAACCCACTGCATACCAAATAGCGTTACCAACGCAAGGGGAATGCTAAGAAAGATGACAACATTGCTGAGTAGCCAAAGGGCAAGAAGAATAGTCAAAAACGGCCAAAGGAAGAAAAACTTGGCCATGAAACTCTTGTTCCGAACGAAACTTGACAGGCCCATGGGCACCGCCTTCTGGCTACCATCCGGCTCATAACCTCGCTCGTTCAGCGCACGGTACCAGATCCGCAGCGTGTTCATCTCTTGGGCAACAGTATTCGGAGACTTGCCGTCTCTCGTCTTTGCGAATCGGTCCGCACCGTATTCCAACAGTTTCAGGACACAGGGCAGAGAACCCTTCACCAACGCCCAGTGAAGCGGGGTCAACCCGCCTTCATCCACTGCATTGGCATTGGCGCCCCATCGCAAGAATAGATCCACGCATGTCGGGTATCCCTTGTAAGCAGCCCACATCAGTCCTGTGTGGCCTTGCTGGTCGACCACGTCCACGGGGATCTCCTGGTGGAGCAGCAGCACGAGCAGGAACGCGTTGCCGTCGATTGTCGCGAGATGGAGAATATTGTATCCTTGCACGTCGGTCAAGAGCGGGTCGGCACCATACGAGAGGAGTAGATTGACGATATAGTAGTGGCATCGCTGCGCGGCCCACATGGCTGGGGTAGCCACCGACTCTCCACCCTTTGCGTTCACGTCGGCGCCCGAATCCAGGAGGAACTTGCACATGGCATATTGATTGTTAATCGCAGCCCACTATTATACAGAAGTAACGGGCAGTTAGCGGAATGGCCCGGTCATCTCCTCCCGTGGCGAAGATTTGATCAACGGATGAGGGGGAGGGCAAACAAACGTGTAGCGGAGTTATTCCTTCTTCGTCTCGGTGGTTTGCGGTCAATTTCTTGGTCGCAAACAGACTCTGCATCGCGCCAATCTCTCCAATACGAGCCAGTTGCATAATGTCCTCGCCTAAAGGGATAGAGCCCTTGGGCGCATTGGACTGCATGTTCTTTAGTTCGACATCGGCGTTGGCGTTTGGAGGGGTCGGGGTCGCCTTGCCAGTCGACGTCGACGTAGATTCGGAGGTCTGTCCCGCGGGACTACTGCCCTGAGTATCGGACGGTGAGGTCTTGGAAGACATGGAGGTGTGGTTTCTCGTGGACGGCGAGGAGGGTTCGGGAGGCTGCCGTCGGACGGGGACAGGAGTCGAGTCGGTTCGATTCCAGGAACTGTGTCAAGTGCGACGATCTCTAATGGCGCATCGCGAATCCCGTCGCCAGATGATTTCCTTCGCGTAGATTCCCTAGGGAGAATCGGGTTTGGGGACGGAGTGGACGAAAGAGCGGACTTTTTTTTGGAGTCGGGGAAACCTTCTGGCGCGGACACGCTAAGCCTCGCAATGCGGTGCCTGTGCACTCCTTGCTCTTGGAACCAGGCACAACGGAGAAAACGGGATGCTCGGTGATCTTGTGTTCCTTTTGGCTGCAGGGATGCCACTGCGGGTTTCTCTTCCTCTCTGTTTTCTTTTCTTTTCTTCTCTTTTTTCTAGAATTTCTCCTGGTTTTGCCTACGACACTCGCATTGCCGATTACTCAGCCGCATAGGCAGCCACATATAGGCAGCCGGATTACCGAGGTTTTGGGAACGATGAACGCGAATGCTCTTTCTATTACATATGTTCTGGATATATGAGGGACGTATTTGAACAGATTGTTTGTCTAATTACTATTTCAAGGCACGAGTGAAGCTCCTGTAGAACATGTATTCGCATCGACATCAGCCGTGCGATGGTTCCGGTGGAGGCGAGATCGGGAGGCTATCCATATCTACTTCATTCATCAACATTTGCGCGTCAACACGAAGGTCAAAGTCTGCCAAAAAGCAAAAGCTGATTTCCAGTTTGGAGAGCTCGTGCTCGCTGACCCCGCCAACCTTAGCGACTCGACTGTGCGGATAACTCAGGTCTTCCAAGGCCTTGGTGGCGACGAGAAGGCCAGCCAAAACGAGTCGATGCATGTTCTTTGGTACCACACGGAGGATCTTCTCTGCCAATGCCATGCGGGTAATATAAGCGCTCGCTGCGAGGAAGACCGCGGTGGACATGGGGCAGTATCGGTGCAATCGAAGCAAGTAATCTTTAAGCGCAATCGGGGGCACCTTCTTGGAGAGGAACTTGCGCGACAACATGGTCATCTGGAACGTTTCCTCTTTCGTCCGTTCTGAATGGTCCTCCCCATTGCCACAATGTAAGCCCACGCCCTTGACCGCAAGTTCCTCTTCTGCTCCCGTTTCACTTCCGACCGGCGTCGCACAGGAGAAGTTAGAGTCCGTGGTGGCGGATTCCGATGCGAAGAGGCTATTCAACTTCTCGACGTTGTTGCAGAGTTGCTGCAGGGCTATCTCGGGCGAGATGTCAAAGACCCCCGCTGCTGTATTCAGCCGCGAATGAGAGTGCGTGGACCCTGCATCTTTCACAGGCGAACCTAGCTTTAGCAAAGGACCAGGCGATCCCGGACCCTCTGCGGGGCACACGATTTGTGTCATGGTCGCCGCCATTCTTTCTTTGTTTTATTGACCGACGTAGAGGTCTGCCAATGAGCCTGTGAAGTGAGGAAGAGCGCGCCCAGTCCGGCAAGTGGATAGTGGCTCCCCAGATCGATATCTCATTTTATGGCCGACGGATGCGCTGAGAAGAGTCGGGGCGTTCGTGAAGATCGGAGGTCACGGAGTGCGAGTCGGGCAGGAGAACGATGCGGAAGGGAGAAGTAGGAGATGCGCGCGACGGGGATGGGATGGATATGCAACTCGAGGTGGCGAATGGCGTCCAACAAAGGTGGGCTCCTCCGGACACTGGAGAAGGTAGTTGAAGAATGCGATCGATTGAGGATCTGTGAAACAGGCTGGAGCCCGGCTGCCTGACAGTGTCAATATGTCGCATGCCCAAAAAGCCACCGCACCGGGAATTCGCCGCGCACTCACGGTAGTCCAATTATTCAGTGAGTAGGTAATCACCCAGTGAGAACATCCTCTGGGGAAGAAAGGATGTCATGGGCAGGAAGCCAGAGCAGAAGCCACAGAGGACTGGTGCAAAAAAGCCCGCAGGGAACAGGGCCGAAAGATAAGATGTTTGGGTCACTCCACCCGTGACTTGATTGGGAATGCGCAGCCCACTCGAATTCCGGCCGCGGTGGAAACCTGTTTGAGAAGGTCTCGACCACACTGACACACGGTCCAAAATATCATGACTACATTATGTGATGTGCTTGGTTACACTTGGATTTTATTCGCATCTGCCATGTGTTTTGAGCGGATGTCAATATGGTCTACTCTGAATATATATATTTAATAGGATCGAGTAGTACTACATCCCTTTGATAGCACTGTGAGCAAACGTACACTAGTGTAGGTATGAACTACCATGCTAAGGCTATATAATATCTCGAGAAGAATTCACTAGATAATATTGTACATGAGTCTAAGTAAAGAAATCTATATGAATCGTGATAATATTACATCGTATGCCGAGGTCGATGGCAGCAATATGGAGTCATTTCAGGACCAAGATAGGAGTCCGGTCGGATTTTCTGATGAGAGCCCACATCCAAGTTCCAGAGAAATCCGATCGAATTCCAAACGTATTGCCTTGCGCAGACTGCGCAATGACTGGGGATTTTTTTGTTTTTTTGTCGAGCCTGTGGGCGACCCAAGCAAATAGAACCGAATCCAGAAACTGGAATTCTCCAAATCCAAGGAAAAACAGGATAAGATCGTAAGAAAGCAAGGGAAAGCAGAACGACCAAAAGAAAGCCGTAACATCGAAGAAAATCCAATCCAACTCCACCCGACCCAGAAACGCCTGTTTCGCTGATACCATTTGCTTTTCGCGGCAACTAGGTGAGTACTTTGATAAGAAATCTCGACACCGGCAGAGTTTTCTTCTGTAGTAGGAACCAGTCAGTGATTGTCCTTGTCGATACTCGCGTGGAAACAATTCTTCACTCGCACTCCTAGCGTTCGTAAAGAGGCCACGCCTCGAACTGGTTGCTGCATACCTGAAAAGACCGTGTATGCGAAGCAGGTGTGCGAATTTGCACTTGACGAAAAGCACGATCGCCGGCCTCGAAAAGCTCGCGCTTTCCTGCTTTGATGGTGTCCCGAGGGGCTCTGTAGACAACATGCACTCCATCCACACCGCGCACCCAGTGAGGCTCTCTCACTGGTGGACTTAACCGGCCGCGTCGTTTCGGGGAACGAACGACATGTTCAGGGCCTGGATCCTTTGGGTGCATGGAAGATAGACGAGGATTTCGTTCCTGTATGTATGGCCTATCAGAAGAGCTTGACGAGGAACCTCTTGACCTCGGTGCAGGGCTTGGATTCCTTCGGTGCAAGGGATATGGGCGAGGTTCTCGCTCTTGTATATATGGCCTATCGGGAGAGCTAGAAGAAGAGTCCCTTGGTGTCTTTGAAGTTGTGTGGGGAGATATCCGTCTACCAGCTCGTGGGGGTCTTCGATCTTCCACTGGTGACCTTGGCCGGGGTGGTCGAGCTGGCGGCTTCCGGCTGGGTGAACGGCCACTTGAATCAGGTGGATTGACAGCTCGAGATCCTGGCCGGATCTCCTGCAGAGGGTGCACTCGAGGGGACTCGAAGATTTCCGAGTCATCAACCACCGAGTAACCATTGATTTGTCGCCGAGCTGGACGAACCACTGGTTGCTCGAAAGTCACCTTCTTCACACTGGCAGCAGACCCAGGAACAGGTCTTGTCTTTGGGCCTTCCGGCATCCTGGATCTGGCTCGCAAAGAGGAGTTATGCTGAGGATTATATTCCTGGGTTGGTTCATAGTCATAATGTATATCAAATGACTTAGGCGGCTGAGGATACACACTGTAGTTATCGCCATATCCATCCTTTTCGGTCCTTGAAGTTTTCTCCCGATACCGAGAACTTTTTCTATAATCATCACTGTGGAGCCTTTCGACCCAATATCGTGTTCTCTTTTCGCGGCAGCAATCTTCGTTGCGTCCAAACGAAGTTGGGTGCCTCCTGCTTGGAGCCATGGTGTCACACGAGTCAATGATATCTCTGACGGCAAGCAGCAATGATCCCAGCACAGGAATATGGTAGTACCACTTATGTCGCCTATTCAAATACCGAGAAGAGGTAGAATCCTTTAGCATGGAATCGTTGTCAGACCTCACACTATCCGTGTCGGAAAGTCGACGATATCGAGAGAACGTTTGATATTCTCGAGGTGGTTTGCCTGTGTATGCAGAGGAGTAGTAAGATACCATGCTTCTTTCTGGTCTTTCTGCGGTAGCATTCTAGATGTGCTATACTACTTACCAGGGAGACAGATAGGGAGCTGCTTTATGAACCAAAGACCAGAGGAGACACTCGATATTAACATCTCCCGTCCAGACAAAGATTCCCTCGAGTAGGATAGCCGAAGATAGAACGGAGTTCTAATCTAGGTGTCGGGGAATAGTTGTTTCAAACTGCCATGCTCGAGTTGTTTGTGATGAAAGGAATGAAGGCTGTGCATGTGCAAACTGTCATAGGCACAAAGCAGATGATTCTTTGTGCGGTTGCAGAATCGAGCCGGTAGTGTGTAGTTGATACAAAGCGCAACTAAGAATAGAGACTCTGCAGAGTTTCTTGTCCGCGAACAAAAGATATTTCCAGGGGCGCGACAACATCGTTATGTATCCTTTTCGATCAGGTATATAAGACGGGCAACTATAGACAAAAGGCACAGTCCTGCCTCAACTTCGTGATATTTTCTAGGGGTGGATAATGCGCTTTGGTCACAGGGGCGCAGCGGGAGTCAGCAGGAAAACCACAGGTGACGGAATGAACAACACTCCTGTATCAAAGTCGAATTATGGAGGGGAAGAGCATATATCCTATATGTTATTGCATATGTTGTTCAAGTGTTTCACTCAGACCGTGGTATTCCGAGCCTCAATCTCGACGGACATACGCAGCCGCTTCCTGTGGATGTAGTTCTTGCAGGGCGATCCACGTGCGAGGCGGCTCTGCGACAACAACATCACCTTTGCGAAAAGTCGCCATAACGACGGCATTTGCGACAATGACCCGCTTACTGTCATCATGATAATTGAATAGTTGAATACCTTGCAACCGGTGCAAGCGTGATGCACGGCATTCACGAAGTGACGAGCGGCAGCACAGGTGGCGCGACTCTTCGCGCCCAGCCACAGGGCGGGTTACCGAATCACAGCTGCAGCGGGATGTCGCACAGTTGGACCCGGTCCCGCGTTGGGAAAAATGACAGGCGGAGAAGCGACGATGAATCTCGGTGGTGAAAGAATTCCGAGCCATGGTTGTTCAGCCCATGACGCTGAAGTTCAATGTAAACTACGAGATGAGTTGTCAGTCTACCCGCCTACGTGATCCGTCGACGGGTCACCTATCTAAGTAGACGAAAGTAGATGATGGCTATCCAGAATGCTTCTAGGTAGTGTCCGCCAACAGGTCGGTCAATTGTCCTTGGTAATTCTACTTGACGATGGTTACCCATGATGCTCCTAGGCAGCGCTTTCCCCGCCAGGCAGCATACCCCCCTCCCACAGGAAAAGTCGGGCCCCATAGCACCCTCATGCACGATTCCGCCCCCAGCGTTCTAAGAGTCGGGCCTGGCATCGGTCCCGTTGGTGCAGAACCTCCAGATTTATCCCCTGCACTCCCTTCTGAAGTGAGGCGAGCTCGCCTTCCAAGTCTGACAATGCTTTCCGTTGCCCTGGGTCTGGCAGCGACGTCTCAAAGCTAGAATTGGCGTGCAGCGATGATTCCAGCAGTTGAGCCGCATGGTCAGAGACGGCCAATTGACCGACTAGAGGCGAGTCCACTGCGGCTCCCAGATCTCGTAGCGTCTCAGCCATCTGTATCCTTTTTTCGTGAAGCCCTTGGGCACCGCCACCTTCCTGCCAGGGACGAAGCACGGATTCAGATGATACCCCGATACGCCGTAGGAGATTCTCTAGGGCAGGCTGGTCGGGCATCGAGGCTGAGTTACGCGCAGCCGAAAGAACCATTCCCGGCTGCAACGAGCGTCGCCTCAATGACTCCCGTCGGGCCGAAGGCTGGGGTACAAGCGGTGTGGCTGTTTCGGCTTGGTAGAGGGAGGCGAGTTGCTCAAGAAGTTCACTTGTTGATCCCCACTCTACGAGCTGTTTGGTCAATTCTTGCTTGGACAAAGTCATGTCAACCATGGTATCGAGGACCTTTAGTCAAGGGTCAGCTGTATGACACGTCAATGTTGACACGGCAGACACGGCAGACACACCTTTTCCATGTTTTGATGAGAAGTCACACGAAGCTGGCCGTGTTCATTCTGGATCTCGCGGAGAATGGGCTCCTGATACTCTTGCCGCGTCGACATCTCCGCCAAGACCTCAATCTCGGGGAACAAAGATCCTAGTTCTTCTTCCAAGGCTGCAATCGTCTCAGATTCGACGGCAGCCTGATAACTGCTCGACTTCCCCGCTTCAATCGCCTCGAGATATAATCGATCGAGGCGGTAGTGGATCTCCTCGGCCACATAGTCTGCAAGCACGGAGCTGAGATCGGCAGTTCGCTTCACTGTGGACGCATTGTTGTTACTGGATTTAATGCCCGACATGAGGCTTTCCATGTGACCCAAGGCTTTATCGTCTTGCCTCAGCTGGACAGACAGGGCAGACAGGATCCTCTTATTCTCCGCCCCCGCTTTCTCTGTTGCGCCTCTAAAGCTCGCTTCCAGCTCGTCGGATAGTTCATTGGCCTGAGAAGGTTAGTCAAGTGCCTCACAGTCACGGTCATGTGCCGGTTGGATGCCTACCGCAATTGCCGTGTTTTGTCTCCCTGCTTCGTGTTTCTTCCGCAGTCGCGCGATGTCCCGGGCTCGATCTTGATCTACACTCTCTTGCCGGCGGAACTGCTTCTTCAGGGTCTCACACTGTTGTGACAAGGTATCGGATTGTTTTTGTATCGCGACGGTCGATGCTTCGAGGGTTTGGATTGCCGTACGGATGTCGTCTTCCAAGAAGGGTCGCGTCGCATTAAAGTCAGGGTCTCGCAAAATCGGTGAAAGAGAACCAGTGCTCTCGAGTTTGTTGTACCTGTCCCCATGGTAAGTCACAGATCATCGATAAAGGCATGGGAAGTGGAGTCGCATACAGTGTCAACTCTTCTCGCGAGAGCAGGTAGTCTGGGCGCAGGTGCTTCGAAACCCATTCCACACTCTGGGGGCCAGTCGCTGGATCTCCCAGAGCCGAAGCGATAAAATCGCGTTTCTCTAGGATGTCTCGATCCTTGAGGACTGACAGAATTTCATCCACGAGGGGCTCGTCAGCGTGGTCCATTCTGGAGCTGGGTTGCGGATCGCGAGGGCGGCGTGTTGGATGTTGTCAGGGGGAGCTCGGGAGCTGCCCAACTCGAATGACCAATAGTAAGGGAACTTAATAGAATAACGTCGCACGGCGTCAATTCGTTTAAGGAGTGGTGATATTGTTGCACGTTTCAATATTATACGTCTAGTCTACAAGGAAAACCCGCCCGTAAATTGTTGCGGTGTATTATTTTTGGGTCACGTGAGATTGTATACATTTTGCCATATTGGGCCAACTGATCTATTGTACAAGTACTACTGCGAAGGAGGATAGGGGATGCAAATATATCAATGAATATTAAGATAGCTTGAATTTAGAGGTCATATTTTTCCGTATTTGCTAAATGTGATGAACCCTAAAAATCACATTGGCCTTGCGCAGGCTGTACTCTCAGGCCTGGTTAGTCGCGGCCACTTCGACTCCAGGATAGTACCAGGAGGTGACCGCAATGATGAAGTAAACCAACACACATAGCATGCCTTCCAAGTAGTTAGACTTGCCATCACGCAAGAAGTTACCAACGACTAGAATTGACAGGACCAGAAGGACGACCATGAATATCTCGAAATTCAGGGTCATGTTCTTGCCCAGACCCCAGCCGACGATGACGGCGAGAGGCGCATTCAAAAGTGCTGTCTGGATCGAAGGACCAAGGCAATGGAAAAGCGCAAAGTTGATCTGATTATCCCAGGCTTCGTCGACGGCTGTAAGATGCTCTGCCGCCTTCTCAACCAGAGGCACCAAAATCAAACCCATAAAATTGTCGGAGACACCCCGAGCCACAATGTGCTCGATCTCTTGCACGAGGAACACGGCAGACATGCAAACACATGTCAAGGAAACGGCAATAGCGATAAGGCACTCGAGGAAAGTGAGCTTCGCCCGAGTGATTTCCTCGTCCCGATCCTCATCTTGTCTTTCGTCCATCTCGAGTACATCATCGAAAATTGAGTTGTGACTGTGCAGGTTGAAAACGAGATATCTGTTGTGAAGACTGTTAGGTACTCTGATGCCAAGTTCATCTGGGTTTCTCCGTAAAGCACTCACGTCAAGAAAGCAACCAGAAGGATGACAGAAGTAGCACGACTGATTGTGGTGACCGAGGTGTCCAAGTCCTCCAACGTGAAGTTCTGGTTGACGGCTCCTTTCAATGCGGAGTAGAAAGCACTTGGGATCAACAGCCCAAAGCCCGCGACCAGCAACAACCCTGTTCCGACCTCGCTCACAGCCTCGTGGAACACTTGCTCGGTGCGCTTTAGGCCACCGACGAAGAAACACATGCCGAGACACAAGAGCAAATTCGCGAGGATAGACCCCAGGATGGCGGCTTGAATGACGGGAATGAGGCTGTGTTCGCTATTGGGACCCGGATCATTGTGAAGCAGCACCATGAACAGGACAACCTCGACCACAGAGCCCAAAGTTGTCTCCATCAAGACACCTAGAACCTTGGGGAGCTTCTTCGCCAACTCTCCGCCCGCGAAACCTAGCAGGTTTGCGGAGGGAACCATCGCGATGTAGTTGAGTGTGAAGACCCACACATGCAAGTCTGGGCGGGCAAAATGCATGACGATCGCGGCCGGGACAAAAGGCCAGAGGATGTTGACCATCATGGAGAGCGTACAGATGCTCTTGAAGCACACAAGGAGAAAGTGGACGGGGTGGATACCCGTTCGTCCACTTTCTCCAGCGCTGTTCACCCGGAAGAGTCCCAGTACATAGCGAGAGGGATGATGCTTTTCAAGGGTGGGCAAGACCGAGTTCTGTTGGGATCCTTTCTCCTGGGAGGGCTGGAAGTTTTCACCGCTGGCCGAAGCGGTCATCGTCTGGGACGCGGCCGATTTGATCGAGCCCATGCTGGGCGCGAAGGCGATCTGACAGGATAATTGGGAAGAAGAGACTTGGCAGACCAGCTGCAGGGGGCTGTTGCCAAGAGGGTTCAAAAGAGACGCAAGATGCACGCTAAGGTTAACGACAGAAAAGCACGGGGGATGTAGAAGGGGGAATCCCGCGGGAGAAAAAGCAAAGCTGAGCTTGTGTATACAGAAGCGACGGGAGGGAAATAAAAAAGACACGGTCTCTCCACACGGGCTGCGCTGGCAAGCCAACAGAACCAATCATGCCCGGAGCAAAGCGACGCGACTGGAGCTGGAGGAGCCAGGAGGTCTTGGCGCTCGCGATCCATGATATGCATCGCGAATCGCAGCGCGTTGATCATATCCTGCTCATCTAGGCCGGTGTTGTGGTTGGGCATACTACGGCCTTCCCCGTTGCATTTGTGGCGGCGTTTCTTTGACCGATCAATCGCAAGAGACCCCGGGAAATGGCATTTTCAGCATCTTCTTGTCATCTCGGCACCCAGCACATCAGGGATGAAACCGCGCAGGCAGTGGGGAATGGCATCTGGCACAGCCACACGGCCACACGGCCACACCAAAATGGACGCCTCTGGCCCCGACCGCGATCGACGGCGCGGCCGAGCTATCAAAGTCAATCGGGGGTTAATTAGTCGGGTGTATTCTGCTCGGTGGCGCTGTGCAATGCTTCCATCTCAGTCATTGCTTGATGCTTGTGCTTCGATCATGTCGTGTCGCGCTGCATTCGTCTGAAGGACAATCCAACCAAACGGCCGGGTGGGACCCATAATGACTCAAGGGCGTAATATGGCACTGTAGGGCCAAAGCCCATTAGTCTCGCGGGCAGTTGGAGGCGGAACATATATGTCGTCCGGGTAGCGACAGATATGAAGAAGTCGAAGGGGCGAGAGCGTGTTTTTTGATGCTTTCCGCAATGGTGATGCCTGCGACGGGTCCACCGGCGGCTATCGTCGGGCGGGGTGATCACCTTGGAAGCCAAAAAATGGCGAATTCTTCCCCTTCTTCCTCCCACCACATCTATAACTCTGAGCCATGGCGTCGACGACTAAGCCTGCTATCCCGCCGATGGCGCTGGATACTATCACCCAGCACATTGGAAACACTCCTCTCGTGCGACTGAATCGCCTGCCTCGCAGCCTGGGTATCGATGCCACCGTCTATGCGAAGCTGGAATACTTCAATGCCGGCGGTAGTGTCAAGGATCGCATTGCCTTGCGCATGATCGAAGAGGCTGAGCGATCCGGTCGCATCAAGCCCGGCGACACCCTGATTGAGCCAACCAGCGGTAACACGTTCGTTTTTACCCTTTTTACCCTCCTTTTCCGTTGTCTGATCTTTTTTTTTTGGACTCCCGCGCTAATCTATTTATGTTTGACAAATAGTGGTATTGGTCTCGCGCTAGTCGGCGCCGTCAAGGGCTACAAGACCATCATCACTCTCCCCGAGAAAATGTCTGCAGAGAAGGTGTCCGTTCTGCGCGCCTTAAACGCAACCATCATTCGAACCCCCAACGAAGCGGCCTACGATTCCCCCGAGTCTCACATCGGTGTGGCCAAGCGCCTTCAGAAGGAGCTCCCCAACGCGCATATTCTGGACCAGTACGGCAACGAAAACAACCCCAATGCTCACGAGTTTGGCACCGCGGAGGAGATCTGGACCCAGACAAAGGGTGAAATCAAGGCTATCGTCGCCGGTGCCGGAACCGGTGGCACCATCACAGGTATCGCCCGCGGTCTCAAGAAGCACAACCCCAATGTCGATGTGATCGCCGCCGATCCCCATGGATCCATCTTGGCCTTGCCCGCTTCGCTGAACGAGGCTCATGTCAATGAGCCCTACAAGGTCGAGGGTATCGGTTATGATTTCATTCCCGAGGTCCTGGACCAGAAGGCCGTGGACCGCTGGTACAAGACCGGTGATAAGGAGTCTTTCCAGTACTCCCGCCGCCTCATTGCCGAGGAGGGTCTCCTTGTGGGCGGCAGCAGTGGCAGTGCTATTGCTGCTCTGGTCAAGGCCAACGAGGAGCGCAAGTTCTCCAAGGACGATGTGGTCGTCGTCGTTCTGCCGGACAGCATACGCAGCTACCTCACCAAGGTAAGATAAATATCGATGCTAGTCTGTTTCATATTTGCCAGTTTTGACTAATGAATTGTCTAGTTTGCCGATGATGATTGGCTCGCTGCCAACGATCTCCTGGTCTCGCCCCTCGCCGAGTCCGAGCAGGCTCAGCAGCCTGCTTCCAAAGACCCCTTGGCTGGCGCGAAGGTTAGCGCTCTGCGTCTGAAGCCCATCACCACAGTTACCGCCAACTTCGCCTGCGAGGGAGCCATCGAGATTATGCGTGAGAAGGGCTTCGATCAACTCCCCGTTCTCGCTCCCTCCGGCCGCAAGCTCGTCGGTCTGGTCACCCTGGGTAATGTTCTCAGCCGAATGACGCATGGTCGTGCCACGGGCAAGAGCCCCGTTTCCGATGTCATGTTCGACTTCTCCAAGATTCCCGAGGTCGTGACCGACCCCCGTGACCTTGGAGCCACCCCCGCTCAGGCGCCTCGCCAGAAGCGCCGCCAGTTTATGGAAATCACCATGGAGACCCCGTTGAACGTGCTGAACCGCTTTTTCGAGTGGAACAGTGCTGCTGTTGTCACCGAGAAAGACGAGAGTGGTTCTATGAAGCCCCTGGCTATTGTGACTAAGGTGGATCTGCTCACCTGGATGCTGCACCACGGGAAGACCAACGGTGCCTAAATGTGCTACGATGTATCCGAGTAACCTGCATTCCGAGGAGTAAGACTACTCTCTCGAGCGGAGTTTCAACATTCCTTGTTAAATGATGATTCGTGATTTTTTCTTTTCTTTTCAGGGACTGGCGTTTTTCACATTTCGGGGCTCCGATCGGTTTCAACACATGGAACTTCTGATAGATTGTGTGATGCTACGGTTTTGGACCTATATATAATAACCTCCATAGACACCCATCAATACATCTGTATAGACATGGGCAAGATTTGAAGTGTTGAACAAATCGTACACTTGAGTAGGACTAAGTGTTTGGTCCATCTAGCATCCGCTTCCACGGCCTTTTTGTAGTAAGAGCAGAACACACAGTACAAAGACCCTAAGGTAGTGAGTGTATCTACTCAAGCAGGGGGTATTTATCGACTCGTCGAAATGCGCACCTTCAAATTCTTGAGACTAGGCAATCGCGTATGTAATACCAGGTTTGTTGAGAGAGCTATACATCGACATGTCCTAATATGTAATAGTAAACCGGACCCGCTTGCATATTGACAGAATGATGAGGACTTTTATGAGAATACATTCAAGAATGTGTTCATTGACAGCAAATGCCTTTATAGGCACATGCCGATCCACTCCTCCCAGCGACGCACACCGGAACCGATCTCTTCTTCTTGATCGCCCTTCACGGCGCCACCAATAACATCAACCTTGATGCCGACCTCTTCAAGCAACTTGAAGCTGAAGACACCCTGCGCATCATCGTCACCCAAAACCTCCTCTTCGCCGTCCACTTCCGAGTCCATGCTCGCATCCATCAGTCCCTTCGTCTTGGACTTCCGAATACGATCAATCTCGGCCTCCAGCTTCTCCCGCACAGATCCGGGAGGCAGAGCAGTAAACAGATCTTGCTTGTTACCGGCGACTAAGACAGGAATCTCGGTATCTCTCTTGGTGGACGACTTGCCCTTGCCGAGAGCGCGTTTCTGAAGGACCAGGAGGACATCATGCAGGTAAGTCGCAGCGTCGCGGAGCGTAGTCTCGTCCACCAATGCGGCCGTGTCAACCATGAACAGCACACCACGGAGCTTCATCTTGACATCCTTGGATTGAGACATCGACTGCAGCTCCGAGAGTCCCTGGGACACGCGGAGTTTGCCATGGCCGGGAGTGTCCCGCAGGCGGTATCTGATCGGGTTCCGCGCAGCCTCCTTCAGGGATGGATCGTTAACGGATCTAAAGCGGTTTGAAGCTGTCGGTACAGTTGGCGGTAGGCTGACAGAGACAAGTGTCGACGTTTGCGATGTATGGGTCGAGTGCGACGTTTTAGAGGCCGGCGAAGATTTAGCCTCGAGCTGTATCGTAGTTAGCACATTAATTTCCCCCGGCAGAGACACGGTGGCTGCAGCGTACTAGAGTGGTGAAAGCTGTCTTGCCAGCTCCGCTAGGTCCCAGCAAGAGGAAGTTGCTAGACGGCGGGGACACTACGCTCCGGAAGAAGATGATATGCAGCAGAACCGGAACGCCGAAAGTAATCAGGATCGCAACGGCAATGGCACTCAGACTCCCCTCAAAGAGGAATGTGAGGATGCCGGTAAACGAGTTCCAGCTGGCCTGGCTTGACATGGTGGGCTGATCTCGGGGAGGGTAAAGGAGAGTTTCCGTCGAGACAACACATTCAGTTGCCGGCCGCGATAGCACGGGCCACTCGTGTTATCTTAGCGCTGCACATCACTTGCATGTCATTGGGATCCTTCCTAGGGTTGTTCCTGTCTGGAATGAGGGATACACATACCACCCGCCAAGGGGCGACGGTCCTCCCTTGGTCCTTTTTGCTCAGGGCTGTTGGTCCATTTCTCTCGACAACTCCAGCATGCGGTTCGATCGATTGTCTGCTCTGTTCGCCTTGTTGGTGCTGACACCGGCACAAACCCTCAGCGGGTTGACCTTTGACGGTCAGGATGCCGTGAATCTTGTTTGGGCATCTGATGGCCAAACAGCTGGGCGCTACGACTTTTACCTGTGTGCTGGTGATGAGTCGACAGGATCCTATGTGAGCAGAACTTGAGTTTTCATCCCAATTTCATGGACCAATCCGAGCTAATCAGGAAGTATACAGGAATCCCTCGAACGAGTGATCAATGATGGTGCTGTGGCACCTGGCGACTGGCTGTCATTCCGAGTCGACCGTACTGTGGGAGGAAATGATCTTAATGCATAGTATGTATAATTCTTCTTTCGCAAACACCAGCAGGGGGGGGGGGCTCCTCACTAACTCTAAACTCTTCCTGGTGAAGCTTCCTCAAGGTCATTCCAGCGGATCAGAAAGAACAATGGTTTGGGTTCACATCTCACTTTACCTTGACCAACATGAAAGGCTCTTTTTCCAACAAGGTGTCCAAAGCCATCAAATCGATGAAGCCTATTCCGCTCATGGGCCTAGTGGACGAGACTCAGCCCCTAGAGCCAGTCGAAGACACCCCAAGCTTCAATAGCTCGGCTTTGAACAACGATATTCATGAGGAACCAACTCAGCCTGCCTTGCAATTCCCAACCCCAACCAACCCATCCGATTATGACGACCATTTTGAACTTCGCAAACGTCTTGCGGTTGATGCCCACAATATCCCCTATGGAGAACAGACAGGCCCGACCAAATACGCGCCTATGCCAAAGATGGCCGGTACGACTATTGCTCCCGGATCACCGACTCCTCAATACCCTCCTTTCCCATTCTCCATTGCGACAACCTACATGCCGGCACCAACTGTTCAATATACGGATACTGCGTATCTCACGTTCACAACACACAGCATCGAGAATACAGTACGTTCTATCTCTGATTCGCCCTCTATTTCCCCCGTGGCTAATTCTATTTGTCTTTCAAGGCCGCACCTGCGCCAGCTCCCACTCTAGATAAGCGGATGCAACGATGGTTGGAGCGTTGGAAGGACTAATTTCGCAGTCCTTTCGGTCGAGACTTTCTGCCCGGATATTTCTTTCTTTCCTTTTTTTATCAATGTTTCCTATATACTGCTGTACTTGAGGTTGAGCTCAATGTATGCTAGCGGCTATTCGTCTTCATGCGTGTCTCCTCTGGCTGGTATCACTTCAGACTTAGCCACGACGAGGATTTCGACTATAGTTCTTCCCTCTAAATTTCTACCTTCAGTTCCTGGCACAGTCGTTTGATGAGAACACTGGCCACATTCATGCATATTTGCAATCCCAACTGTTTCCATGTCACATTCGTCCATGTCATCATTCGTAAAGGGACACGAAAGAATCACTAAGGAGACTTAGGTGATTTCCATTCTTCAAGTGCCGGTGTCAGAGCCGGTGTCACTGGGTGGCTGTGGCGGTCTTCGGGGTGGAACGAAATATTCTCGTGCAAGGCGACATAGTCGCCCTCGACGTAGCCCAGCAACTCCTCAATTTGCGTGCTGCGGTGGCCCTTGATATGATCGATTTCAAGGCTGCCGTAGTTCACAAGAGCGCGTCCAACTTCCTTGGGCTCCTGGCTATGGTGAACGAAGTCCCCGTTCAGAGCATCGGGATCAGGTCGTTCCACAACGACTAATCGCACGGCTTCCTGGTGGCCGAAGTGCCCTTCGACTGCAAGAACACCGGCTGGAAGAAGACTGGCCTTGTTCTTCAAGGCCGCGTATGCCCCAGGGTCGATGTAAATGGTACCATGTGGTTGGAGTCCGTGAAGGAGCCAGAAAGTCCGAGATTGAATCGGGGTTTCGGAAGGCAGGAAGCGAGTGTGCAAAGGTGCTGCAGGTATTTCCCGACGTTCGTCCCCGCTTTCCGACTGGGCAGAGTTCGCTTGGAGGGCTTGGAGGTATTTCACAATCTCGTGAACATTTCCAGGCTTGGAGCTCTTGGTAATGACCGTGGTCACACCAGCACTAGTACCCAGTTTCGCAGCCACGATCTTGGTGCTCATACCGCCGGTTCCTAGGGAAGAACCAGCCGATGATACATCGGCCTCCAGTGATGAGATGTCCGATACAACTTCGATAGGTTCGGCATCAGGGTTCGTGCGTGGATTCGCAGTGTAGAGGCAGTCGACGTCGGTCATTAGGAACAAGTAATCGGCCTTGACGGTGGCCGCAGCTATCGCTGAGAGGGTATCGTTATCGCCAAATTTGATTTCCTAGTGACAGTCTGTTAGAGCGTTTGCCCGGCAACTTGTGTTATAGGGTGATTTGTTCGTATTCGTACAGAAACAGCGAGGGTATCGTTTTCGTTGACAATCGGGATCACCCCCATGTCAAATAGTTGCTCGAAAGTATTTTGCGCGTTGAAATATTGGGTTTTCTGTAGTCTGGGTTAGGCACTGAGGGATAGCACAGCATTGATACAACCACATACGTCTGCAATGTCATTCCTCGTCAAGAGAATCTGAGCAACAGGGACATTGAGATGCGAGAATAGGTTGTCCCATAGACTCATGAGTCGGCACTGGCCGACGGCAGCAAGTGCCTATATATTTCACGTCAGCACCTTTACAGTCCCACATATTTTGGCGCATGTTACTACAAGGCCACTCGTAGGATCTCACCTGTATCCGGGGTAGATAGGTCGGTCTTTCGTCCACATCCATCCTGCGCAAGCCAACCCCCACCGCACCTGATGAGACCAGCACAACTCTGTGGCCATCTTTGCGCAGCTTTGCGACCGTTTCGACAATCAAAGTCAGGATAGACAGGATGGGCTCATGTGTCTTCTCGTCGACAATCGAACTTGTCCCTGCAAGAAACCTGGCGTTAGTTCCATCGATGCGGCATCGGAGTCATTGGCGGATATGTATCCCCGCACCGAGTTTGATCACAATCGTCAGCCCCGAGGCCGCCATGTTGCACAGGCGCGGTCAATTCAAAACAGTAAGAAATAGAGCCTCCGCGTCACGCTTCAAAAGATCAAAACCCGATCTGCCGTATGTCGCCCAATGTCTGCGCGTTTGTTGAGATTTGACGAACCGTTCGCAATCGGAGGAAACTCCGCGGGTTCTGCCGAGTGTCTCCGCCCTCCGGAGATTCTTCGTTTCGGACGGCGCGCTGCTACCAGTTCAGCGAGCCAAAATGTCCGATCCTCAGTCGTCCGGTGCGGCTGCACCCTCAAATGGAAACAAGGATACCGGCTTCGAGCCGGGAGATGATACGTGGACGCAGTTCCGCAATATGTACTCCATCCTGACGGGAAAAATGTCCGCGGAGGGCATCGAGCAGTTCCGGGTTGCGCGCGATATTCGGAATGAAGCTGCCGATTGCAAGCGCTGTGATGAGCAGCGTGATTTCCTACTTCAATACAGTATGTTATACTCCGTTAATTTTCGCATAAATTGAGCTGGAATCCAGCTAGCTGACAGAAATATCTCCGCAAAGGTCCCGTCATCCGCTTCCTCAGTGATAATATCAAGCAACTTGGAGGCGATCTCCATAGCCACAACATCTACTGTCGTCGCTGCACAAACCGAAAGGCCGGCGGCTTTGATCCAGAATATGGTATTTTGATTTGCGCCAACGAGATGAAAGATCAGGGACATCTGGAGGATACAATGGCTCACGAGATGGTTCACGCGTACGACCATCTGCGCTTCAAAGTCAATTGGACCGATAATCTGCGCCACGCGGCCTGTACAGAGGTATGCTTAGATTGTTTCTCACCCAAGAATGCCTGGACTTAACCAGCTCACCCGTCTCAGATCCGAGCGAGTTCCCTTAGCGGAGAATGCAGGTGGTCGCGGGAGTTCTTTCGCCGAGGTCAATGGAAATTGACTCAACAGCACCAAGAGTGTGTCCGACGGAGGGCTATCCTTTCGGTGAGAGCACGTCCTACTTGCAGGGACGAGGCCCATGCAACCCAGGTGGTCAACGAGGTCTGGAACAGCTGTTTCCGAGACACAAGACCATTCGACGAGATTTACCGATGATACCGAGCCTTTTCTTCTCCCCGGATACGATTACACCTAGTTATTATACCTCCCATCCCCTCTTCTGTACAATAGAACTGTTCTTGCGAATGTACCATATTTCATTGGCACCGTATGGGAGATCAAAATTAAGAACACATTTCCCAGATCGCAGGTGCCTTCTACGGCTACCCTATACTCCAATAGAAAACTCCGAAAATGCACAACGCTGAACACCACAAACTCCACATGACCATCCCGTGGACCGAATGAAAAGAAACCGTAAAAACTCCAAGATTTCATGCGTAAACAATTAGGTCTTGCCATCCTTGGAAGAGCCCGAGCTCCGCTTCGCATCCTTGACGCAATGCTTGAGGATCCAAGGGTGACGCTGGATATCGTCCAGAGGGATACGCTTCTCGGGATCGAGAACAAGCAGCTATACCAAGTTAATGCCGGTTCTGAATGGGGATAAACACAGCTGAAACTTACCCGCTTGATGAGGTCCTTAGCCTCTGCGCTGACGAAGGACGGCACTGACATATCTGCCCGAGTAATACGTCGCTGTGTCATCACAGGAGTGTCCTCGAAAGGTGCCTCGCCAACCAGGAACTCATAAGCCAGGACACCCAGACTCCACAAATCAACCTTCTCACTGTAGTAATTCTCATTGGCGCCACGAACCAACATCTCCGGGGGCAGGTAGTCGAGTGTCCCGCACATCGTTTGCCGGCGGTTGTTGGGAGCGTGTACACTCCAGCCAAAGTCACTGATCTTGATCTCACCATGGATACCGACAAGGATGTTCTCAGGCTTGATGTCGCGATGCATGACATGTTTCTTGTGCAGATACTTGAGAGCTGCGGCCATTTGAGCGATATACTGGGCAGCCTTCCACTCGGGAAATCGGTGCTCCTTCCGGAGATGCTTGTAGAGCTCACCGCGACCCGCGAACTCCAGGATCAAGAAGATGCGCTTGCTGTCGTGGAAGTGGCCGTAGAGTCTGAGAACGTTCGGGTGTCGAAGGTTACTCTGGATCTCTATCTCACGACGAACCTGTTTCTGGACGCCACCTTGCTGCAGTTCTGATTTGTGCAACACCTTGAGAGCACAGACAAAGCCAGAAGACCGCTCCTTAGCAAGGTAAACGCGACCGAACTTGCCTTTGCCCAAGGGCTTGCCGATCTCGAACATTCCAAGGTGTAGCTGCTTGGGCTCGGCAGGCTGCTCATACATCGAAGTAGAGTTGCGCTGTTCCCCATTTTCGTCGGTGTTGCGGGTGACCACTGCACCCTGAGCTCCCTTGCCGGGGGAAGCAGGGGCAGGGACATTCATCGCATTAACCTTGTTGTCATTGGTGTTTTGAAGGGCTAGCTTAAGCAAGTGGGCGCGGTTTGAATTGCTTTGGCTGGCACCAAGTCCCGACATCGAGGCGGCCGTCGAGATAGAACCCTTGAGAGTATCGCGTCAGCTGAGATATCCGGAGCGCGACGTATGATGATTCCTTTACCTTTTGTTTGCCGTAAGCGCGGTTCGAGCCATTTTCCCTTTCATCCTTGACGGACAGGTGCTCGAATCGAGCCTCCAGCGTCTTGGTCGCCATTGTTTAGAGGGAGTAGGAAACAGGAAAGCAAAGGGGGGAAGGATGGGAGGAAAGAAGCAAAGGGACGGGAGAAATCAGGTTGAATGTCGAGTGGATTGATTCAAGCCCGTGCAATCATGATCAGTTGGCGAAGTGTGCGGAGTTGTCGATAGAAGTTGGGGAAATTGAGGACGAGAACTGAGGAACGGGCCCAAGTGTTTGGATACCGGTGGTCAGCCCGTCACCACGGCAACACCATCGGCCCGCCTCTTTCTCCGTCCGCCGCGCTTGGCCCGCGGGGCTAATCGCCGATAGCTCTAGCTCCACCATTTGGTTGGCATCTCTTTCTCCATGACGACATGGTCTGACTTGCCCGATGGATCCCAGAACAACAGTCGCGCCGCCTAGAGACCATGCGACGGTTTCTCCAGAGGCCAAGAAGCCGCAACAGATCTCGGTCGGTGGTTTCCGAATCTCGACACAAAAGCTACCCATCCTCAAGGCCGAGCCCATTGAGGAAATGACCAAAAATCTGGGCATTGCGCCCCCAGAGATGATTTTCGGCGATAACTACGTTACCATCGAACATCCAACCACTGGCTGGGGAATTAACTTCAATGCGTTTGACGCTCTGGATTTGGTGGACAAGACGGGCCAGTCAATGCTCCAGGTAGCATATTCTAAGGAGTGGCAGCAAAGCAGGTGAGACAGACTGTGCTAGCAATCATGACTATAAAGTGTTGACATACTAACTTGCTTTTTCAATACAGGGAGAAAGCCCATGATGGGATTAAAGAAGTCGTCAAGCCATTTGACTGGTCATACAGTACCGACTACAAAGGTACCCTCAGTTCGAATGCACGACCCTTCGAGGAAACAACGAAGCAGATTCCCATCGAACTCTTGAAACGCCCCGACCCGATTCTATTCTTTGATGAGGTCGTCCTCTACGAGGATGAGTTGGCCGACAATGGAATTGCAATGCTGTCTTGCAAAATCCGAGTGATGCCAGAGCGACTTCTCCTCCTGACTAGATTCTTCATGAGACTAGATCATGTCTTGATTCGCCTTCGGGACACCCGGGTTTATATCGATTTCGAAAATCGCGAGGTGATCCGGGAATATCAGTCGAAGGAGTGCGAATACGAGAAGGTTAGACAGGTATGTAGACCCGACTCAACTAACATCCAATCTCCAATAACAGAATATTGACTGTTGCACTTTCTGGTTTAGATGCTCGCGGGTACTCGGGATGATATTCCAGCCCTAATGAGAGATGCCAACCGGCTGTCTGAGCTGCTGCCTCTCATAGACAAACGCTCTGAACGAGTTGTGCTCGATAATTGAAACGTGATTTTTGACACGACTTGGTATGCGCTCCCCGCAGTGTTGTTGGTCATACATGAACATCCGCCCTACCAAAGAAAACATTGTCATCTCTGTGTGGCATTGAAAGCCAAAACAGGTGATGGTGTCTTAATCTCGATTTTTGACGGATGGAAGCGCTTCACGAATAGATGAATATGAATAGTATCGGTTTCACAGGTAGGGTGCTCAGAAATATCGATTGAATGAACATTCAGAATACCCTTTACCAATCAATATAGAAATATATCATTGAATTGAACGTCCTTTTGGCACTCAACACTAGTTCATCACATACAGGGGCTTGGAGTTCTCATGGGATTTGACCTTGTACACTACTGCACCTTGGGTCGTAAATTCCGCAATGTGCCCTTTCTAGCATTAACAGGGTAAACATTCCATATTACTCATGAACCAAGGCAAACTAAAAAACTTGTCCAACCAGAGCGAAACAAGACAGCTCAAAATTAAACTCCATAGAATTGAGCACGTTAGAAGAGACAAACAGTGCAAACACCCGCCAAATATCGGATCCAAAAAAGATCGCCAATCGCAACAGGACAATAACCAACGCCACAGCAAAATGCCTACCACACGATTGACAACATTATGCGCGCGCGAAATCCGCGCGTCGCAAATTAAAAGCCTTCCGGTATGATATACATCATGCAGTGCATTGCACCCAGGCTCTTGGAACTAACCGATCTATCTTCGCAGCAGCCCTTCAGCCACCGGGCAACGGTCTCGACAGCATCATGGACTGCCATTCGCCAAAATGGCAGCCCAAAGACACCCTCTACAGTTTTCCAATTATCAATTCCTTCCACTAGGTCATACTCAAAGGGATCGGCCGTCTCTCGTCTAGCTAGGAGTGCTTCGTCGCCCGGAGCTGCCGCTGAGACTTATGTCGCGTACGGTATGACCCAGAAGATTTTTGAGGCCTGCTCCAAGCAGGGCGATTATACAATTCCTCAGGCTGGCCAGAAGGGCGTCGAGGTCCCGACCACCGAAACCGGAGAACATATTGGGGTTGGAGATAGCTGGTGGTATAAAGGTTCGTGGTCCTTGCCCCGTGCCTCCGGAGCGGCGGTTTTGGTTCCTGACGAGGCTAATCTTTATTATTTTAGAACTCGGCCTGGCACCTACTTTCTCGACCTGGTCTCAAATTACTTTCCTCCACATGTACCTTCTTACCGTCCGACTCCGCGCTCTCCCCACCCGTGATAGTGTCCAGACCTACTCTCGCCACCTCATCGACCACTTCTCCCACAATGCCGAACACCGCATGGACACGCTACATGATCTGGGGAGTCGGGGCATTCGGAACAAGTATCTCAAAGATCTGTTCATCCAATGGCGTGGAATCATCGCCGCCTACGACGAGGGTCTGGTTAAAGGTGATGCGGTGCTGGGCGCTGCTGTCTGGAGGAATTTGTGGAAGGCGAGTCCTACAGGCCCTGACGGGAGGGAGATAGACTGGACCAAGGTCGCCTGGGTCGTGGCGTACATGCGCCGTGTCCTTTCTGAGCTCTCGAAGATGGATGAAGCTGATTTGGCCTTTGCCCTGACTCAGGGAGGTGAGCAAGGCTCCGAGTCCGGAGTCTTCGGGTATTCCCCCTCTTGACAAGAAGATGGCCGAGGCGAGTAACTGAGCTGCTGTCTAATTTGGCGCGCATTGCTTGGAAACCTCGCTTCTGAACCTCACTTCTCTTCCTTCAATTGCTTTATTATGTGTACGGGGGCCCGTTTTCAGACCCCGTTATCTACGAGGTAATCATGTACAGTAATCTACTTGGCAAAGCTCTGTTGAATATCCTTTTTTTCTTTTCTTCCAGCATTTTGTATTGCTGACATTCTGTTTAAATTCAGTTCTCCTTCTTGCCAAAAAGGTCTTTCTCGACCATGGCCCGGCAGATGGGGTGGTAGAAGTCTTTGTACTTCTCGAAGGTTTCCAGCGCGACAGGGCGGTTTATCTTCTGAAGATTGCGGTACCTGCGAGATTGTGTTAGTTTTCCAGTCGAAGAGCCGCGGGAGGTGAGTTACTTACAAAGGTCGCACAAACTTCATTCTGCCAATGCGGCCCAGCAGTTCCGCGGTAGGTTCAATGACGCTCTCATCGCCGGCTTTCATGCCAACTTGGAAATACAGGTTAGCCACCTCAATGTTCTCACTCTTTGATAGACCGTAAACATCGCCCATGAGTTTCGAAAGCTCAGGGCGAAGTGGCTGTTCCCAACGCAGAATCTGCTCCAGGAAGACCACGATTTGGTTTGCAGTCAAACCCTCAAGATCGCTTGCCTGGGGCTTGAAAGAAGACTCGGGCAGAGTCTGCCATTGCTTGGCAAGGGCATAGACGACATCCACGAGCGAAGTATCAAACTGTGGCTTAGGGGGTAAGCCCGGGGCGTAGAACCACTTGTCCCAATCCAGCTCGTTCAGCAGCTTAGATGCTTCTGCGTCTGATTTAAAGTAGTCTAGGATGGTTGCCTTGAACTCATACGAGTCCAGAGACTTGCATTTGAAAGTGGTAAAGTACTACAATCGAGGTTAGTCAGGGTTTGCCAAGTCGAGTGATGGGTCGACGAACGTGAGGGATGAACTTGTCAAACTTGGGCTTTCCAACAAGGTTCTCAAGATAGAATAGGAAGTTGAAGCCCTTCTCATAGGGGATGCTCGAGAAGGCATCATCTGGATCCTTGCCCTTCAGATCGGTCACAAGTTTGGTGAACTCGTGGTCATGGCCGAAGTGCTCGACGGAGTCAGTAAGAGCCTTCCAGCCGATTATGGCCGAGAAGTGGCGGTAGGCCTCGCCATGACTGCAAAAGTTAGCAGACCCTACGCGACGAAAGGGATGACCTGGACACATACATAGCTGCCAGGATCTAAAATCGGACGGGTTAGTCAACATGAATCAATCAATCATCTGCGGCAAGTACGTACCCGTCTCTCTAGGTACACAGTCCAGCCTTCGTTCAGCCAGAAGTGCTCCCACGAGGCGTTGGTCACCAAATTACCGCTCCAACTGTGGGCTAGCTCGTGCGCAATCACATCCACGTTTTCACGGTCCTAGTCCAATTGGTCAGCTTTCGAGAACAACTGTCGATACAGGAACCCATACCTTGGAAATAATGCTGGGAGTCGCAAAGGTGAAAATGGGATTCTCCATTCCACCGTAAGGGAAGCTGGGAGGCAGAATCAAGACATTGTACTCACCCCAGACGTAGGGGTAGACGATTTTCTGCACTTGAGTTAGGGTTGAAGACCAAAAGTTTCCGTGGCAAGTACTTGACATACCTCGATAGTGTTGATAAAGTTCTCGGTGTCTGCCTCAAGTTCCCACTTGCATTCAGCCAGCTTGTCCGGGCTCGTGGCCACGACACTGCGAGGGCCAATTGGAGCATCGGAGACATCTCTAGAAGGAAGAAAAAAATCAGTAACTGCTATCATACAGAGGGTTTCGGTCTCCCGTCATACCCACTGGCAATAGCAAAGAGGTAGCTCGGAATCGGCACCGACTGGTGGAATCGATACAGCTGGTTACCAGACTGGGCCGCCGGAGCCGAGGAGTCCCGAACAGGCAAACCACTCGTCTTGACGGGGAGCGGGGAGGTGATGTTGAAGTCAATCGTGCTCTTGACATCGGGCGTATCCTGGCACGGGAAGATGGATCGTGCATGGATGGCTTGGCATTGCGAAACTATTGTCCGTGTATGAGTATATGAGATAGAGACAGCTACGGTAGGTCGTAGGGCCCGGAATTCCATGTTCAACTCATGACTCACACATGTACGGGTGCTTCTTGTTGGAGGTTTGCGCGGGAGTCAACCACTGCAGCGCGGTGCATTTCTCCGTGGTCTTGACGGCAATCTGCAGGTGACGGGGGTTAGTTCATCCCTTTGACGACCAGGAATGTACCACTGGAAGACCTACGTCCACCTCGATGGTTCCGTTCAGCTTGACGCCCTTCTCGAGGCTGATCTTGAGCGGGGTGCCAAAGGGTTCCAGCGGGGCCAGCAGCTCCCATTTTGAGGGCTGGCCATCCACCTTGACCTCGCCAATGTCGAGATGGCTGGTGTCGAGGATGATTTCCCGGGACTGGGCCTCGGTAGTGGACCGGAACCTATGCACGACATTTCCGACGAGCTTCTTCTGCTCGAACAGGATGTCGAAGTTGGCAGTGATGTGGGCCGAACGCCAATTGTTGTAGTTGCTAAGCGTGTTCGGATCACGCGGGTTGACTGCGGTGGCCATGCTACGCAGATAACTCGGACGGGCGGCCGAGACGAGACACTGGGAAGGTCGGGAAAAGAGGGAGAAGACGCGCGGGGGGGAGAAGCAGCGGGAATTCATCTGGCTGCTTCCATGGGGATTTGATGTCTTTTTTTTTTTCGGGTTTCCCGGCACTAAGCGTCCAGAGTTGCAGCGGACAATCCAAATGCGATCAGTCACGTCCGCCCGCAATACCGTGATCGGATGGAAGAGTAGACTTTGGAGGAATCGACTCGCGTAGTGCTTTTTGGAGCGGAACCCTGGAAGAAGATGGTCTCCGACACAAGGTTCTCCCTGGTGCGATGTATACAACCGGAAGGCGCGAGGAGAGGCACCACCGTCACATCCCCCCTTTTTCCCGTCCCCCGCTACGGCGAGAAAACAATCAAACACTGGCTTTTCTTCGTCAATTCGGCCGTCCATTCGGCCTTCAATTCGGCCTTCTTTTTTTCTTTCTTTTTCTTTCGATTCCCACATTCCAAGTCTTTCTTCCCCCCCCCCCCCCATTCAACGCAGCGTCCACCGCCCGACCCTCTCACGGTCCACCCCTGACCCATTGGAAGCGCGGGACCGCGGCCCCTGACTCTCTCGCACACGATATTGTTTCTTCTCTCTCTTCCTAGCACGCGGTTCTCGCCCTCGTGAAATGTAGGTGAAACACTCGCCGATCTCGAGAGTGCCCGGTACTGATCTCCTGGCTAGAACAATCCCCAATTGTGTGCGAAGCGATGTCTCTGCAGTCCGCGATTGCTTTGCGATAGATCTTCGGAGTCCCCTCGTTCACGAAGCGATGTGTTAAGACAGCACAGATTGACCCGGAAAGATTTATACGCCTTCCCACACCCCCCACTACGTGGTCTCCTTGTCAGCTTGAGTGAAGAATGAGTGACGACACCCACGCCGGATTTGCCCAAGACCGATCTGATTCCTCGATTCTCGCGCAAGTAGCGCCGCTTTGCATATCATCTTCGCTGCGACTCGAGCCCTCGATGCCCGGCCGCGGCATCTAAGCCCGATCCTATACTCCTACTTGAATAACCCCCGCCTCAAAAATGCTACACCGCCCCGCCTTGGAAGACGATGCCAGACCGTTCCACTCCCGACGTCCCTCAGGGCCCCTCGCAGAATCCCCCTCGGGACAACCTCCCAATCGGCCCGCCTCTCGATCGTCCCGACCGGGTTCTCGAAACCGAATGGTGAAAACATCTCGTGCTGTGACGCCGACGAGTCTCGAGGTGGTGACGGAGAATGCCCCGGATCGCTCCCTGGTGGGCCTGAGCAATGCCAGTCCAATTAAAGAGGGACTGGGCAGTTTAAACCGGTGGTCGCAGTCAACCACGTCAAGCAAGAGCCCCTCGGAATATACTGGCCATCGCCGAGGCAGTTCGAAGATGTCTCTTTCGGGCCACAGCCCTCATCGGGGAGCTGGACTCGGGGAGCTCCCCGAGTTGAGTCTCCCAGAGCTCAGAGCATCGGAGATGTTTTCTACCGACCCGAACAACACCCACATCGATCTCTCATTCACGGCGTCGAGCCATATCTTCCAAAATTCCTCATCCAGCGACGCCCGAGAGTCGGGATCTGCGCCCTCCAATCCGGCCCGAACAAGCGAAGGAGCCGCCTCTTTGGCAGAGGGGGAGGGAGATGCAGAGAATCGTCAACATGGCCAGACCCAGAAAGCGATGCTCTCAAAAGCCCTCCAAAAGGCAAATACTGCCGTTCTTCTCGATAATGCGGCCAATTTTGAAGGAGCGATGGAAGCCTATACCGATGCGTGCCAGCTACTGCAGCTGGTGATGCTTCGGAGTAATGGAGGCGACGAGGAGAAACTGAAACTCCAAGAAATTGTGAGTCGATGATCGCCATGAACGGCCAGCAATAGGAGCCCGAATCGGCTAACACACAGCCCAGCGCGATACTTATATGATCAGAATCACCGAGCTCCAACGAATGGACTTCCCTCTCCCTGAAAGAGACAGTAAAGCTCTCCCGGAGCGCCCTCTTAGTCAAGAGTCATACGGAGAATTGCTTCATGCATCCGCGCACGATCATTCGCATTTCGACAGTCAGTATAGTTCGACCCATTCTAGCCTTGCCCCCAGGCAGCTGTCGATGAGGTGCAATCCTTGCCCTTCGAAGCCATTCCCCCGCGTCGACAATCCCTACGACCAGCTGGCTCCGGATCAAATGCAGCTACCAATGGTCAGCACCTTGACCTCTCAGTACAGGAAACCAGCGAATCCACCTCGTGGTTGGACACGATCGATGAATCAGGTGCATCTTCCCCATCGTCCGCGAACTCGAAAGCATCATCAGTATATTTGCGCCGACGCACAAGTCGCCGTCTTAGTACCGACACTGAGGCCGAGTTTGATGCCGCTCTCGACGCAGCCGTGGAAGCTGCCTACGATGACGGATTGGAGCCTGTCATAGAATACAATGAGGAGGAAAGCGACGACATCGTGGCAAACGCCCGTCGGAATATCGAATTGGCAAAGCAACGAGTACGAGAAGCCGAGCGAGAGGCGGAGGTTGCGATGAACCGTGGTCGAGAAATGCGCCGGATCCAGGAACAAAATATGTTTGAGGAGCCACCTGTGGCTCGTTCCTCGGATTACCTTGATGAAGAAGCAGAGGAGGAAGAACGCCTTTTGGAGGAAATGACCAAGGGCTACGTCATGGACGACTTCGAATTTGGCATTCAATCCAAGTCCGCGCTGCCCCGGGAGTCTGATTCGAGCAACATGTCAGGCAGGACTTGGGAAAGTTCGGCTGCATCTAATATCACAGGCACCGGCGCAACACTGTCTACTCTCACAGAAGACGAGGACATTTTGCCCTTGGACGGGACAGGACGCAGCCCATTGCCTTCCTCCCCTCCAACAGCCGCTTTGCCTCCAATACCAGTGTCGTCTGATTTCCCAGGCCTTCCACCACACCGGGCGTCCCTGACTAACCCTCCTCCACCTCCTACTATGGGCCCGCCTCCCATTCCGGGTGTACGAGCACGCAGACTTTCCAGACAAGCCCCCACGGAGTTGAAGATCGAGACAAACACCCGCTCTCGCACAGACTCGAACGCCTCTGGCCTGGAATCAATCGCAAGCCCAGGCACGAGCCGACCCCCTCCACCTCTCCCCAAGGACGAGCCGCAGCAAGACCCTCCCCGATCTTCTACTCCAGCATTCCGAGCCAACCTGCATCCTTCCAAACGCAATCCCTCTGTCGGCTCCATTGTGGACCAAACCAACCTTGCCAAAGCGCGTACTCACGAAGACGAGGAGAATGGTCTTCCACCCCTTCCACCGTCTGCAAGGCCCATGGGCAAAATCCCCTCGGCTCCAGATGGACTGGATAAGACGAACTCCAATTCCAAGGCATTCCGAACACGTAATGTGTCGGTTCCTAATCCCGAGACGGCACCGGGCTCTCCAACTACTCCCTGGAGCGGGTCATTCCCATCTTTGGATACCCAAAAAGCCGCAATGGCTAGCAGCGTGCCGGTTCTACCCACTCCCACGGCCTCATTCTTCACTCAGAATGGCATGCCTACCGGTGGTCTGAACCTTTTTGATTGTGATATTCATTCCCCCACAAGCCTCGGATGTCCGAACCCAATGATGGCCAACGCGCCATTACCGCTTGAACCGTGTCCGGAGTCTTTCCTCCTTCGTCCTTTCTGGCTCATGAGATGCTTGTACCAGACTATCGCTCACCCTCATGGCGGTTACCTATCGGCAAAGCTTTTTATTCCGAAAGACGTCTGGCGGGTCAAGAATGTCAAGCTTAAAGCCGTCGAGGACAAAGTGTCAAACTGTGACCTGTTAACGGCGGCGCTACTGAAGCTGGCTCAGGTCGATACATACGACGCAGACGCAGTGCTTGAAGAGATGCAATCCCTTGAAAGCGTCCTCGATCAGGTCCAGGGCGCTTTGTCCAAAAAACTGGGTAATGAAGTTGGTGTTCACACAGCAATGCCTCTATTCCGCCCGAACGGGGCTCCAGAAGATGCTGCTCACCCTGATCCTGCCCCTTCTAGAAGCTCGGGCACTTCAAATAAATCATACCTGCCGACTTGGAAGCGACTACGGGCAAAGACCTCGGGCATTGGTACCACCACCCCGACTCCTAGTTCCCGGGAGAGTAACAAAGACAACTTGACTCTCAACTCCCTTCCGATGACATCGGCTCCCTCCTCCTATGCCAAGCGCAATCTCAATCATCTCGAGTTCTCTGGACCCAATGCGAACTACATGGGTGCTCTAGCACGACTATTTGATGCTGCTCAAGTGATAGGTTCGTAATAAGTCACTCGATTCACCAGACACTGGACATATACTGACTGACCTCCACAGATCAAATCGCTCAGCAGGTAGAAGACCCTGGCCTCAAACATTCCTCCCCCACCCATGTTGGTCTAGAGCTTAGCACACGACATGCTGCCGAATTTTTCGGCTTCTATATCTGTCGTTTCGCCTTGGCCGATGTCGGGCTAATGCTTGACAAGTTTATCAAGCGGGGCAGCGAATGGGTGCTGGTCTAGTGACATTTACGCCTCATATACGACGGATTCTTCCATCTCCCCCTGCCCTGCCCTGCCCTGCCCTGTCCTGCCTTTCCCACTCCCGTCCCCATCAAATTGGCTTTTAATGGCTGATTCGATATCTTTGATTTATTTGCCAATATTCTTTTCACGTCCATATATATTTACCCTCCGCCATGTCTTTAAGATACCATGATTCGCCTCGTTGAGATATGATTTGAAGATAATTGCCATGAGATGGGACTGTATCTATTCATTTTTTTTTCACCCTTTCCCTCTCCTTTATGCGTAAAAATTTGCTTCCTTAGACTTTGCTTTTGCTGCTAGTGGTTCTGATGAAACAGGAGCACCGTTGTATTTTCGCCAAGGGTGTCATCACTTGGCATGGGATAGAAGCGTATGTAAGATTTATACAGTCTACATATGGGGTCAGGCCAAAGATCATCAGTTACGTATGCAAATGGTGCCGACAATTGCCCAGGCAGCACATTTTGATGCTCTTAACCAAATATTTTTCAGTATACCCTACAGAAGCTGGGGTTCAATTAAAGAACCCGATTCAAATGCAAGTCCCAAACCTTCTCTCTAGGTCAAATACCCAGTCCCCTTGATCGAAGGCAAATCTGGCGACGATTTTCAGCCTCGCGGATAATATCTGCCGATAATTTCAGGCTCGGAGCGAGATGTGAATACCTCTCAACTTCAGCCACGACGCTAGAGATGATTGCATCGACTCTCAATGGAGGAGGAAGTAAAGTCGATAGTACGGGAGACATCGTGGCACCCATAATCAGCAGCGTCTGTGAAACCATGGAAAGGGCACCTTGCCACAGATATGGAAGATGACCTTCGCGATGACTGGTGATTTGTTCCAATTGACGTAGTGTGGCATCAAGACATCTTCGGCAGCACTCTCGAACGCCTCGGTCTGTGCAGGCTTGCTCGTTCTCGAAAACGGCTAGGATGTACGGGCGATAAATGATTGTTCGACAGGCATTGTATCGAAGCCTCAACACCGTTTGCACTGGGTTGGAGAGCGGGGTTTGGGTGAGAGGGAATTTTACGGGTTGGGGTAGACTCTCGTACCATTGTGATAGTTGGAAATCCAGCTCTGACACAATTGGCCCTAGAGAGAAAAGTGTGTGCACTATCCAATTGGTAGATGAGATGGCTGACTCGGTTGAGAAGTCTTCGCAGTGCGATTTCGGCCAGAAAGTACCAGAGCTCGTCACGTCCTGCAGGCTCCTCTGTGCACTGAGTGGTGTCAATTTCGCGGTCGTCCGTGGTGTCTTCGTCGCTGTCGTCTTCCTCTCCAAATCTTCCGGGTAGATCCACTGACTCTTCGAAATGCACAATTCCCGAATGTGGAAGATCTAACTCGGCTAAGAGATCACTCTCATATAAGAGGGAATTCCAATAAACCCGCACGCTGAGCTCCTTCCATTGTGGAGGAACGCGAGTTGGGTTGCCGAGTAACAATTGCAGTTTCATGCTCACATTTGACAGCAAGGTCCATGCCTCTAAGGGCCGTACCAGATAAAATAAATAGGCCGAAGCAAGAATCATGCATTGCGCTGCAATGGCCGAGTTCCGCATCATGACGGATGGCAAGAGGGTCCAAGCGGCAGAAAAGTAGGGAAGTCCGGGTGGTTCGCCATCTGCTGGTATGAAAGCAATGCTCCCACTTCGACTAGCACTTCCTAAGGCCAGAACTAGCAATACGAGACAGCTCACTGGTCCCTCCTGGAATCCCTGTGCGAGGGCTATTCGATAATATCGATTCCACGTATAGGGATTCACGCAGGCGTACCAGACATTGGCGTGGTCAAAAAACGCTCGTATATACGCAGGCGCATTTGTCAAGTCAAACCCTGAGTTTGGCGTCATCCGAATCGGCTCTCGTGCCATTTCGAGTTGAAGTAGTTTCTGCGGGTCATAGGGCCTCGAAATCAAGTCGCGGATGAGAGGCCATTGTAAAAGATGCAAAGCCGGAGTTGTATGCACCTTGGGCATCGTAGAAATGCTGATACTTGGCGGTGGATTAGCCCACGACCCCAATCCAGCAGCCGACATTTGGTTGGTGACTGCACTGGGTAGTCGGACCATTGGATCCTCGCTGCCAAGGTTGGTATCATTGCTCGTGGCGGGGGAGGTGGAAGACAGTCCAAGTTGAGGCTTGTGCCCGGCCAAACTGGAATGTAGCAGGCTCTCGATTCGAGTCAAGTGTTCCAGGATTAACTTGTCCCCCGCATCAAGCTTGATACCAGGCTCGCGATAGACACATTCAGCGTCGAGATCAGTACAAAGCTGACATTTGGGTTTAGCGCCATTGCATCGTGTCTTACGCAGCCGACATATTTGACACTGTGGATGGTATTCTCGTTTTAGTTGACGGTAATCCTGGGAAGTGTCAAGCTACCAAGTGGAGTCATACAGCGATAGTCGCCCTTCTCCGAGGGTACTCTGTCGCATCCGAATTGGAGCGTTTCTTCTGGCTCGTCAACTCAGCTTCGTCACTACCCGTGATGGGATCAACATCCCTCTCCGGGGTGGAGAGAGGCATGAGTTCCGATTTTCAAGTGCAGAATCCAAAGACCAGTTCGTTGTATTAAGTGATGCGCAGCCCGCACGATGTTTCGTGTTCAAGTAATATGTAGACTGCTGCTCATGGCTCATGCTATCTCCGATTTGATGGTAGGATCTGGCATGTTCGCAGATCATCCAAACCACAACGGAATATGTATCGGCTCCAAGAGGTGGTCAGAGATTTCAAAAAGGGAGTTCAACGAAAATCCGGAGGAGAGTAGCTGGGCAGGACGTGCAAGACATCGCAGATGGCTTTTGCTTTGCGTCGGCTCCACCGCTGGACAAGTCTGTCCCGGGTGGGATTAGTGTCGGCGTCCCCAAGCCCCCACAGGCTCTCGCAGGGCGGAGGTTTCGTCCGTGGCCATTTGAGCAGGAAGCCATACGTAGTCAGATAGTCAGACCACATCATCACAGCGGCCACCTCACAACCTCACAGGGTTGTCTCTCCAAGTAGTATCAAAGTGGATCTAGAAGGCGTCTTGCAAGAACCGGTGTGGTTTGTGAAGGGCTACGGCCGAATTGATTCAATTGAGCGGTACCAACATGCTGTTTATCTGAAGCTTAGAGAAGTTTAGAAATAGGGGGTGGCCAGCGGTGACTAAATATCCTGGGGAGTTGATAGATCACATCGCACAGGCCAAGCCTGTGCAATAGGTCGGGACCTGGCCCGTTACATGGTTCGTTCGAATGCAAGTTGCATGTGTGGAGTTGGCCAGCTTTACAGTAGTAAAATTCACCTCAGAAAGACAATTTCTACACGAATTATTGCTCTCTTTCTGTTTTATTAACCGCTCGTTTGGCCGACCCATATTGATTCGCTTACGCATCCCAAGGGCAATATATTTGCTTGTAATGCATAATACCGCCTCGATTCCCTCTGGGGAGAGTCTACATACTATGGAATCAATGTGAGGCTGAAATCACTTCAGGTAGTACCATAAGGATTTATATTAGAGAGTGGGATTAGATAGGTTTCGAGTTAGACGAGAAGCAAGTGATTCTATGCAAACTCTCCATGTATGTCAAAAAGCGACCCAGTAGATGATATCTCAAGGGTCTCAGCAGGCGACCGAGAATGTAAAAACAGGGAATACAATGAGAAGATACAGCAATATTTGCGTTAAAAATAACCAACAGCATTACGGAGGGGTATAATGGGCAGATGCAATGGTTCGGAGTGGATAATCAGGCTCCCAGGCCGCCACTCCGATAACGCTATCACACGTGGACGCCTCTTCCCCCCCCCAAAACAAACACTGAACCACTGAGTGCGACGCGACTCGCCGCGTTTTTGTCTCTCAGCCCAAGCTACCAAGACAAGATCGCAGCCATGCCGCGTCCGGCCCCCAAACGAAATCGACTGACGAAGGGTCCCAAGGCCATCGCGACGGAGGCGCGCGACCAAAAAGAAACCAATTCCAAATCCCCACCCCCCGAACGCGCATCGTCAGTCGACCCGCGGCCAGCCCTTCGCAGTCAGACCCCTCAATCGAAGAGCTATGAGCAAGCAATTGAGTCGTCGCCGATGGGCGACCGACCGGGCACTGGAAGTCGACCGGGTACCGGCAGTCGACCTCCGACCAGATCCCGTGGCTACTCGTCCACTTTGTCTTTTGCTGGGCGCAAAGGGGACACGGGCGCACGAGTGCCCGGCACCCCTGGTTTTGATAGCTCAATGTTGAGCAATTTCCGGCGGCGTCCACGACAGCAGAGTATCTTGCAGATGATGCAAGCAGAGGACGGTTCCTCTGACCTGGACGACGACGACTTTCTTGGTGGCTTGAGTCCACAGGACGAATCCACGCCATTAAACGTTTCTCGCGGAAAATCGTTATTGGTGAGGCAGGATGGTCAATCGCCCTCGCCCTCACGTTCGGCTTCACGCTCGGCCTCAGAATCGCTGCCATTGTCTGAAGGCTCGCGCAAGCGCAAGCGAGCCGAAAATATTCAAGTGCCCAAGTCGCCGTCACCCGAGGCCGTCGAGGTGGAGGGGGTCGAAGATACCCCAAGTGCTACACCAGTCCCACGCGAATCCGTCAATGAAACTCAAGAGACGCCGCAACCTATCCGGTTCCCTGATATAATGAGTCAAACTATGCTACCCCCAGCTAGTAGCCCTGCGGCTTCCGCGGCAACGGAGCAGCGTTCGCCAGTGGCCGGTCCCCAGTCAGCTGTGAGCAAGGAGAAGAAAGGGCCCAAAGACACCAACCATCTGTCCACAGCTGCGTTACAGAACAAGCTTCTGCCGCGACGACGCCAACGTCGCCATAAACACAGACCCGCAGGCGAATTCGACCTACCTAGTGACGATAGTGATGATAGCATGCATGAGGCGAGGTCAGGCGATGAGGACGAGCTTAGCTATCTTCCATCAAGAAGGACCAGGCCACGGGACGGAGCAGATAAGCCCAAGCCACTAGGCAAGGCCCAGGACAAGTCCAAGCTCAACAACCAGAAGCAGAAAAAGTCCAAGTCCACACCCGCTCCAACACCCAAGCCACAGGAACCAGCGACCTACTCGCGCTCACAAGAATGCGATAAGGAGAATGATATCCTTCTGTCATCACCATCGTCTTCTCCATTGTCCTCGCCGCCAGAATCTGATGCAGAGACAGATGCAGAAAGCGAGACTCCGCAACGCTTTACAAGTGCAGAGCTGCGCGCCGCAGTTTTAAAGTTCGCAGAGGTTGACAAGTGGCAGATGGAGTTCGAAGACGTGTCTGGATCGGAAGCATGAGTGTATGAAAGCATTTGTTATTAATGATATCCCATGGTCGAATCCATGAATTATGTTTGATGTGTCACCAACGTGGAGGCGCAGACCGCTCGTAGCCGCATTTCGATTTTGGGCCCCGCAGCGATGCAACCGAGGGTCGTAAATAATACTACGCTGCCCCACGGTTGTTCCCCATCTCCGCAGCTGTCAGTTGTTTTTTCCCTATGACCAACTCCCTCACCATGGCTACCGTCGATGCTATTCTCGCGGCCAAGTACCCGGCCAAAGTTCATGCGCGCCGTGTCGCCCAGGCTCTCCAGGCCCAGGGCGAGGCTGGCGCTATCTACCTCGAAGCGCAAAAAACCCGCATGATTGAGGACAATGACGAGGCAATGCCATTCAGGTGAGCTCCAGAAAGTAAAAAATGCGGAATCTAACGCTGCATGTACTAATTGTCCTTTTAGACAGCGTCGTCCCTTCTTCTATCTCACCGGATGTCCCGAGCCCGATGCTTCAATGGTCTACGATGTCAAAGCGGACGAGTTAACCCTGTTTATTCCTCCCATCGACCCCGATTCAGTCATCTGGTCAGGCCTGCCCTTGTCCCCCGAGGAAGCTGCGAAGCTCTACGACGTTGATCGCGTCCTCTATACCTCCGAAGTCAACGCCACCCTCGCTTCAATTGCTAGCACTCAAGGTGGAAAGACCGTGGCGTTCGCCATTGAGGAGCAGGTGTCCGAAGGGATACAATTCAAGGGATTTTCTCAGACCAACTTCAACGTTCTGAAGAAGGCGATTGGCGATGCTCGAGTCGTCAAGGATGCGTACGAGATCGCCTTGTTGCGAAAGGCCAATGACATCTCGGCTAAGGGCCATATTGCTGCTATCAAGGCGGCCAGGACAGCGACAAACGAGCGTGAGGTGGAAGCGGCTTGGATGCAGACCTGCATTGCCAATGGGTGCAAAGAGCAGTCCTACCACCCGATCTTTGCCGGTGGCGCCAACGGTGCTACGCTCCACTATGTGAAGAACGATGAGTATTTGGTTGACCAAGCGACTAAGCAGCGCAAGGGCAATCTTCTCATAGATGCCGGTGGTGAATACCGGACCTACTGTGCCGACATTACACGAGTTGTTCCTCTAGCAGGGAGATTCCCCACCGAGACCCGCCAGATCTACGAGATCGTCCTCCAGATGCAGGCGGCGTGTATTGCCATGTTGAAGGAGGGTGTGCGGTGGGATGACGTCCATGCACAGGCACACCGCATCGCGATCAAGGGCCTGCTGAAGCTTGGTATTCTGCGTGGCTCTGAGGAGGAGCTGTTCGAAAAGCGTGTCAGTGTCGCCTTCTTCCCGCACGGCCTTGGCCACTATCTCGGAATGGATACCCACGATACTGGTGGCTATCCCAACTACGAGGACTCGGACAAGATGTTCCGGTATCTGCGTGTCAGAGGCATCCTCCCGGCAGGCTCCGTCATCACCGTCGAGCCTGGTATCTATTTCTGCCGCTTCATCATTGACCCCGTGTTGAAGTCCGCGGAGCTGAGCAAGTACATTGATGCCGATGTCTTGGAGCGTTACTGGGATGTGGGAGGCGTGCGAATTGAGGATAATGTCCACATCACCAAGGATGGCCATGATAACCTCACTTCCGCCCCGAAGGCTATTGAAGAAGTCGAGAGTCTCGCCCAATAAAGAACAAGAACAAGTGTTTACCAATGAAATCGCCTGGTGATAGGAGAATATCCAAGATACACAGTATTCATTGAACTAAGATCGAGCTGGCCATTGTATGTAGTGCACAAACTTCAGACGGTATCGATCCTGTCACTTGATAGATATTCCGATTGTACAACCACTGTTTCTCTCCATTTAATTTTCACTGCGCAGCCGCTTGCGGCCAGGACCTCTTGGGGTCCCTCTGTATCGATTGGGGCAGTCTTTTCCCTGCGGTTCAGGACCAGACTCAACACATCGTAGCAGAATACGGGAATGTCGATACCAATCTTCTTCCACTCGTCCTCAACCTGATGTCGTAGAACATGGCTACGGGAAGCCCAGTATGAAGCGACGGGCTTCCGAATCGTAGTGTCATCTTCAGAGGTATGGGTGTAGACATAGCGAGCGTAGGCCAGCTTGCCACTGGGTGTACCGTTAACCTGGTGAATCTTCTTGTGAGCAAGGCTCTTCAGGGCAGGCATGCCCAGTTTCTCCGCCAATGTATACACGGGCATGGCAAAGCAGGTCTTCTTCAGTATTGTCCGTTGTCGACGCAGCATCCAGCGTCCCCGTGGTCGTGTCGGATTGTGCTACGGTGTAATTTTTGGTGTACTGGAATTGCAGGAAACATCCGAAGGCTTCGACATTTCCCCCGTGAGGGTGATGCAGCGCTATTCATCATGGAACAGTACATATGGTCCTCTTAAAAAAGTCCTCAATTTCATGCGATGCTTGCTTACCGGGTCTGCTTCATCGAATTTTTCCACGAACTGAGAAAGGAAAGGCGACTCGATCAGAACGGTTTGGTGTGCTTTCAGAACGATTTCGTTGTCGCTTGTGCCGACTGCGATTTCAACGATCGGCGAGGTCAGAAAACTGAGAAGAATATGAGTTTAGCATCAACACAGCAAGCAATACAGAACTGCTAGCTCCCGCATATTGGCCAGAGTCTTTCAGGGTTTCTTACTCGAGAAAATTGAAGCCTGTGGCCTCCTTTGCCGGAGCAGGAGGCTCTGCCTCTGGGAGCGCATCCAGCAAAGGGCGATCCTCGGGGGCTTGCGTCTCATCAGCCTGGTCGTTCTGCCCAGTATTTGTGTCGTGAGTGTCTGTCATCTCGGCCTCGTTGGAATTGTCGGCAGTAGCAGGGGCAGTGGCAGGAAGGTTGGCATTCGCGTTGGCGTTGGCATTCGCAATCGCAATCGCATTCGTATTAACATTAGCATTTACAACCTCCGCATCAGGGTTGTCTGAGCCTGGGACTCGCGCGTCCATTGAAACCACGCTGCATTGTTGCACAATTGAATGTGGAGAGGGAGGAGAGAGGGGGTTGGTTGGAGGTGCACGGGTGAGGCAGTAGCTGTCGAAGCTGCGAGGCGAACTTGGATTCCGCGGGCGGCCCAGCAACGCTTAGACCGGCAAACCAAAGGGCAATCGGCCAGCCCCAACCGCCTCCCACGTTTGATTATCCCTGAACACCCCCTCACTTCTCCGGTCGCATCTGCTCCGGTTTCTAGTGCTATTCGATGGGATCCTACTAGTGTTTATGGACTGGGTAGCTGCGACGTCATATGACTGCCTGGCCGAACCGAATCCACTTGGGCCGGAAAAGCTTGAAGTCGAAGTATAAGAAAGCCCGGAACTCTCACAATACCAACCACAGTTCCATGCGAACAGAGCAGCATCCATCATGGATGAACGACGTGATTCCACTGCAGATTTCCTGCAAGCGCAACTGGCCTCGACCCCGTCGAGCTCAAGCGACGAGTTTGATTATGACCAGGACCGCGTGGACAAACGACGAAGTATACCGGTCAAGCTCCAGGAGACGAGCCAGGCGGGCCAATACCTGCTGACTTCAGAGGACGCCAAGCTGTTGCAAGAGATCCTATGGCATACCGTGCACCTGGAAAGATCAGGAGTGTCTGAAAAGGGTCGCCTTCGCTTTCGAGATTTGAAGTTCAGGCGCCAGCTCAGTACATTCGATCGCCAGAACCCCAACTTCAGCTCCTCGCAGTTCCATGGCTTCTTCACACTCTTCTGGCTCGGCGTGGCTCTACTCTTGGTCAAGGTCGCAACGAATAACTGGAGGGCTCATGGCACTGTCTGGGCCAAAAATGAGATTGTGCGGCTGATGCTCCATAAGGACGTCTTGGTTCTTGGTTTAACGGACTTTGTTCTATGCTGGTGTACCGTGCTCTGTCTGGGACTGCAGCGACTGATCCTGCGTGGCTATATGCACTGGAGTGGTCTGGGATGGATCATTCAAAACGTTAGGTGACCAGCGCTTGGTTCTGACCGTTGATTCGAGATGGTGCTAACCGAAGTTCTGAAATCCAGATCTGGCAAGCTGCATATCTTGCTGGCTTCCTTTGGTGGACTTACCATCGGGACTGGCCCTGGACCCATACCGTATTCATGGTCCTGCACTGCTTGACAATGCTGATGAAGCAGCATAGTTACGCGTTTTATAATGGATACTGTATGGAACATAATCTCTACAAACATTCCGATACCAAATCAGCCAGTACTAACCATATCTACTAGTATCTGAATTATACAAAAAAAGAGAATTGCTACTGAGTCGCCTCTGGGGGTTGGAGAAGCAGATTGGACATGGTTCCGAGCCCACATCCCATGCATCTGCAGTGGACAGGGGCCTAGAATCGGAGATTACCAATCTGAAACGACAAGATCGTCGGCACTCATTGGTCGACCTCAAGGACCTTCATGGTACTCGCGATACAAATCATCTTCTTTTACTCGCCGAGACAATTGAAAGGGGGTCTCCTTTGGAGCCGTCACAAATGATGTCCCTCAAGAATTTGTTAGAAAAAGAGATAGGCCTGCTGACCGACGGACTCAAAGGCCAATCTTCATCAGACCACCAGTATCCGCGAAACTTGACTGTGGGAAACTTCTGTGACTTTATCACACTCCCTACGCTGGTATATGAGCTCGAGTATCCCCGTACGGAAAGGGTGGACTGGACCTATGTGGCCGAGAAAACTGCAGCCACCTTCGGCACCATCTTGGTTATGATTGTGGTCTCCCAACACTGGATCTACCCGGTCGTTATGTCAGCTCTGCGGATGAAGGAGGAAGGTTTGACCGTTGAACAACGACTACAGGAGTTTCCCTGGGTCCTGAGTGACTTACTCTTCCCCTTCATGATGGAGTATCTGCTGGCTTTCTACGTGATCTGGGAATGTGTGGTAAGTAACTTGCCGATTGACATCCTATAGAAATTGCCTCTTTGATATCTTATCGATCGAATAGCTTAATGCACTAGCGGAAATTACCCGGTTTGCCGATCGTGGATTCTATGCCGACTGGTGGAATTCGGTCTCCTGGGATCAATTTGCGCGAGATTGGAATCGACCCGTGCATAACTTCCTCCTTCGACACGTGTACCACAGCTCGATCAGTGCCTTTCATCTCTCCCGTGTTTCAGCGAGCCTGGTCACTTTTCTCTTGTCTGCATGCGTGCATGAGCTGATCATGCTGTGTATTTTCCGCCGCCTGCGCGGCTACTTACTGATCCTTCAGATGTGCCAGCTACCCCTGGTGTCCCTTAGCCGCACCCGCTTCATGCGAGACCGTAAGCTGGTGGGGAACGTATTCTTCTGGCTAGGCATCTTCACGGGGCCCAGTCTGTTATGCAGCCTTTATCTGATCATATAGTCTGAATCATAATAGTTCGAAAGTTCCAGCAACCATGGCGGCTTGGCATTGTCAAACTGCGGGGCTCTACCCCACATTGCTCTGATCTCATCGCCCGGGGCCTCTCATGCATCACTTCTTCCTCCATTTCCATAAAATCACCCTGTGCTTTCTCGCATTTTGAAATGGCCTCGAATCTCCCTGCTGCTTGCTGCACCGTTGGCGTGAAGCACGAAGGCGAAGCCAAGGGCCAGCTCCAACAAATCGGCGATGGTACGTGTACTTATCTATGCCAACTACCAAATAATGATCACTAACCATTGCACAGTCGAGGTATACTTGTCTCACCCCGAAGGTCGCTCGACAAAAAAGCAATTCTACTTTTAACGGACGTGATTGGTCATCGCTTCATCAACGCCCAGTTGATTGCAGACCAGCTAGCTGCGAATGGATATTTTGTGGTCATGCCAGATCTCTTCCACGGCGATCCAGTGCCGTTGAACCGCCCTGAGGGGTTTGACCTGATGAAATGGCTCAAGGGACCCCCTGGCCATCTCCCTGACCGTGTGGTCCCCGTGGTCCAGACTGTTCTGAAGGAAATGAAGTCAAACCTTGGCTGCGAGCGCATCGGCGCGATCGGATACTGCTTTGGGGTAGGGTTTTTTCCCCCAATGATACTTACCCTCCTATGAAGGAAACTTACATAAGGCTTTCGCTTTCACAGGCTAAATATGCCGTACGGTTACTCCAACCCGGTGGCGTGGATGTTGCCTATGTGGCTCACCCCAGTTTTGTCGAATCTGACGAACTAGCAGCCATCAAGGGGCCTCTTTCTATTGCTGCTGCCGGTAAGCAATCAATGCAGTTTCGCAAATCTCTCGATGGGCCTAAGCTAACATATCTATCCGCTACCAGAAACGGACTCTATCTTCCCCACCCCCAAGCGGCATGAGTCCGAGGAGATTCTGGGCAAGACAGGTCAGCCTTACCAGATCAATTTGTTCAGCGGCGTGGAGCACGGTTTTGCTGTTCGAGCCGACATTACGAAGCCCATTATTCGTTTTGCAAAGGAGGCTGCATTCACTCAAGCCGTGGCGTGGTTCAACCAGTATCTTTGATCCATCCTTTAGCTCTCTTAGATGGTCTATGACACTTATAGAGCATTTGGCGATCAAAACAAATTTTGATAGGAGAGCGGCCTCCATTTTCTACATTTGGTGAAGGCCTAGGCCTGGATTCTGACATTTCGATCTGTTTAGGTGTTCATCCTACTCGCAACTAGTAAGCTATAGGCTATAGAACGTAAAAACGAGTAAAGTGCAAGAAACGTGACCCATTGAAATAGAATTGGTGTTTTTGATTGCGAGCCGCTCCTCTCGTTCGCCATGGTTTGAAAAGATATACATGCATCGACAATAAAGCAGAAGAGAAATGGGGATGCGGAAAACATTTGTTTGCAGAACATGGCTAACGTGTGGATGATAGCTGTCCCTGTCGACTTGACGACGCCCTTCGGATATGTAAAATGAAAATTGACACGAGGGGCCCTTTTTACATCTTCTCGTGGGTATCCATAAGGGAACCTACGATAAAAGTTAGTAGTCAGTTCAGGTAACTTGAACGGCAGAGACAAGACATACCGATGAATGTAGTGACCAAACGAGAGCGCACTTGGCAAATATCCTCCGGTACCAGCCAAATCGTGGCACCCATCTTTCTGGCAATACTGATGCTCAGCTTGGCATTGGCATATGCCTCCTCGTCGGTGCGGCCAGGAGTCACCAGGTCGTAGTCCACGTAGCTGCTCTTCATACCGTTGAGCACATCCAACAGGAATCGACCCGTTCCAATGGACTGGTCCTTGAAGCTCCGGATGGCAGAAGACTGGCCACCGCTCTTTGACATGTCATTGGCCCAGCGAATCATTTCAGTATCGGTAATCTCACGCTTGCCCAGGCGCTGGGCCAGTGCAGACAAGGTTCTGGTAATATCTCGACGCATCAACTGCCACACTAAGCCAAGGGTAAGGGTCCGTTGCCCATCAGTGATATCAGCACCTTGCACGCCTACAAGGGAGAAGCCATGGTGTTTTCCAAGTTCGATGGAGTAGTTGGTATTCTCCACGGCCTTGAAGCGCATCAATTCACCGCCTGACGCCGGCGGCTTGTTGACATGTCTCCAGTTGACGCTTCCAGGGATAACCTTGTCGTATGCTTGCAGCAGGACATTTCCATCACGCAGATCATCAAACAGCGAGTTGACGGAGGGCTGAACATCCAGCGAATTCAACCATAGAGTAAAGACTCGGGCTTCACGCTCACCCTCGGCGTCAAAGTCTTCCACTTCAAGCTTCTCCTCCTCGGTGATCGGGTCCAGTCCTGGGTGTGTGTTGAACAAGTTGGCGACAAAGGCGAGGTTAAGCTTGGGGTTTCCTGCAACCAACGATGTCGGAGTCAAGAACTTGCGGCAATCCAGCTTCTCCGCGTTAGAAAGCACCTGCTCTGCACGCTGAAGCAGGTCTTGAGTCTGAAGAGGGCTTCGCGAGCAAATTTCTGGTGCCAGTTGATTCAAGAGAACAGTGTAGTTCTCACCATCTTTCACATCGGTAGAGAAGTTGTTCACCCTAGCACACAGACCGTCAGATACCTATTTTTATGAGGTTTCCTTTCGGGGGGAAGAAGGGGAGGAGGTTTCAAATGGTGAGTACTTACCGTCTGTCCCATTTCGCGTTCTTGAGATGGTAGTTGAACCAACGGAGTAGAATCTGCTCTGGGGGCAAGCGCAGGAACTGCTCCAGTGTCTCATCCTCCTCCAGGAGTCGGTAAAGCTCAGGGTGGAGCTTGATGTCGATTTTGCCGAGCAGACCCCTGCGGATGATCTGCCAGATAAGACCCAGGATGAGGTGCTCGCGAACCTCAATGATATCCCCGCTTCCAATGTTCACAACCGAGCAGCCAATACCCTTAGCGGAGTTGATGACGATGTTGTTGTTCTCGGTCATATGGAAAGCGTTCAACTCCTTGATTTTCCGCCCGGCCTTGTTCAGGACACGTTCATCAATAGTGTCAGGAACACTGTCATTGATCAGTTTTGCGAGTACCAAGCCATCCTTGCACTTATCAAACATCTCGAAGGTATCGGTAGGAAAGGGGAGAAGGTCGCCAATATCGGGATCGCCGGCCAGAACGGCATTGATGTGTCGCGTGAACTCGGTTCGCTCATCTTCGTTGATCGTGTGGGTGACGTTCGACGATGAACCTTGGACGTGAATCCTACCGCTGACGCTGCCCTTGGAAACGTGGCGGGAAGCACCGGCGCCAGCGCCGGCTCCGGCTCCTTGGATAACAGCAGCCGGGCTAGCACCTCCAGGGGCGCCGGGCGCCGGTCCAGAGCGCAGTCTCGAGACCAGCTGGTCGAGGTCTTAGCTTTCAGATGCTCACCAGGGGAGGGGGAGGGGTTGTTAGGAACATCACCACGTACATCAATATAGTCCTCGAGCTCTACACGGCGAGAGCTGTCGAGTTCCACACCCTTGAGCGCTTGGCGCACGACATCATACGGTTGTCGCTCCGACTGTTGAGTGGCCTTAATCGCAGATGCTTCGTCTAGGTAGCCGCGGTCGTCGACGTCCAGCTTGTGGAAAGCATCCTGGAGAGAGAAAATCTCGCCCTGGTCAAGCTGCGGGAATCGCCTAGAAAAGAAAAAGAGCGCAGTCTGTTAGCATTGGACTCTGGATGCGCTATGCAAGCACATGCGGTGGAAGGTACGCACTTCTGGAGCTTGAGAACATTCATGCTGAATGCGGAGGGGTAAGGGTGTGTCCGGCGCAGGCGGTAAGAGAGCCCTCCAGGTGGTGAGAGGAGAACGAGGAGCGAGGCGCCCACGGTATGACAACGGGTTAAAGTAGGGGAGTTGAAGCCAGGCAGAAGAGGTGACCGACGAGGAAGAATTGGGCAGGGGGAGTTTTGGGCAGTGCAAGGTTGAGGAGGCCACTATACAGCGCGAGGTGGGGTCGGCCTGAGCCACGGTACGTAACCGCCCGTATTCGTTACCACGCCGACTCCACATCAGCCCGAGAGGTACCTCTGCTCCGGCGGGCACGGCCATGCTGGCTGCAGTACCACCTACGTACCGCCCCGGTGTTTCTGGCTTACAACCCGGGTCGACCTTGTTGCCTGCCTGGATGACGTCGAGGCTGCATCGAAAAATACAATAGAATTCGAGTCGCGATTTCTGTGCACTTGGCCGACTCACGTAGGCGTCAACATTTGTGCAAGCCTTGGTCTCCTGCAAATGGCTTTGGCAATGTCCTCCAACTGTGGTCCCACACACAGCTCCCGCTGGTCAATCGCACCCATTCGTTTGATCCCCATTGCCACCCGGCCTCGGCGCTAGGCAGTCGAGGCATGTTTCGATGCTGGCTTCACCAGGCAAAACACGCGTCAGTTCATGTGCGCCATCTCCAGGCCAGTCGAGTGAGACTAACAGGCTGCTACGTTCGTTCATTTTCTGGAAAGCTATTGACCTCTAGGGCAAACTGACCCCGAGCAACAAGCAAAGCAAAATATAAGATTGCATCGGGCACCTTCGGTAATGGGCCAAGTGTAGTGAAGCTACTGTCTTCCAATCCCACCTAAAATACTTCTTTGCAGTGTCTACCAGCACGTCCCCATGCTCGTGCCGACAATGCTACTATCAATCAAAATTGGGGCGTCGGTTTTGATTATCAGCTTGAGGGAGCTCAACCTCGTTGGGATTCATCGCAGGTAAGATCTGGCTATGTACATATGTGCAACGTATAATGGTGTGGCCAGAGATGGCCCTCTGGTTCTTCAAGAAAAGAGTGGGCCGACACTGATAAAATTTTCAAACCGATAATAATGGTATTAACGCAATCACATGCCCGTCAATAACCTTCGGCTACATTACCTCCCTGGCTTTTCGGGTATTAAAATATAGGTAGTACTTTATATTCGAGATTCCATCAGTGAAAGTAAATCCCTCTGGTAAACGCTCAGGATATATATATACCATCTCATCTGATCATGAGCACAATTCTCTTCCCCAAACTCCAAGAGGCCAGAGGTCGGGTAGTTAATACCGTAGATGACCAACCAGGCCGCCGAAGCTATAACGGAATCAAATCCCCGGATGGAAGGATGGGACCTCAATTGGATGGCAGGAGCAGTTGAAGCTGGTGCCCTCTCTGCCCCGGCTTCTAACCAAAGTGTAACTATAGGGATCGAGTAATTATGATTGTCTCAATACCCGTAATTAATTCCAAGAAGCTTACAAATGCTCAATGAATATCCAGGTTATGTAAAGGCGCTCACTATCAAGATTAGTGTTATCATGACGAGCTTGACTAGGGGTTTTTGAAAGGTATCCATTACCCCTACCACGCAACGTCATGAATGGAAGATGTAGCTAGACGGCTACCTTAACACAGCTATATGAATGGCATCGTATTCTCTTGAATGGAAATATATGAGCTAGTGGGAGTACTATATATACTATGCTGAAGGGCGAACGAGCAGGTAGTGCAGAATCCATAGCAGGTCAAAGCGTCTCAACCACAATCACGCCTCTCGCAGCCTCGCCGTGCATTTTGCGTTATTCGCATGCTCGGATACACATGATCATGACGGACTCTCCAGCCTGACAGGCAAATTTCGAGTCCATAAAACAGTCGATGATCCCATAACGTGCTCAAAATGGCCTCATGAATCTGTAGCGTGCAGACCATGCCGCAGAGCAGAGATTAGCTGTAATCGCCAGACCCTGTGTACTCCATGCGTGGGAAGAGATGAAGTTGCACTTTGATCTTACTCGGGCACTTTGCAAGGGAACAGCCAACGCTCTGCCGCAGAAGACAGACTGGCCCATCTGGGGTTCCTTGTCAGAGAATCGATGGAAGACTCGGCACCCGGCAAATCAATCAACGTGCCAGTATCTCACTGTGGTAGTGATGAACAGACAGGGCTGCAACCGTGGCTACCAAGCCAACCTCTTCCAAACGCGCCTGGGGATAGTAGTAGATACGTTGGCTCGACTCATTGGTCTGGGATCCTCGATGACATCCACGGTCTGAGAGCGGCGTTGAGCCAGCACGACAACGCATCCCGGATTTTTGAGCCCGCTGGTGCGTCCTCAGATTCAGTATCTGGCAGGAACCTGATCATCTTTGGCTCCCCGAGTAACTTCTCCATAGAAGCGATCATCCTCCAGTATCTGCCTTCCAAAATGGAAGTTGATCGGCTATCTGCGTTCTATTCCGAGGGTAAGACGTTCATCATTCCTTTCATTCATGTGTTTCAGTTCCGCCACCAATATCGCTCCTTTTGGGCCGATCCGCTTCTTGTTAGCTCGCCCTGGCTTTTCATGCTCTTCTCCATTTGCTCAGTGACCAGTATGGTTCGTGGCACTATTGAAATCGCCTCGATGACCAGAAAAAATGTGATTGCGGAAGCTATCCACTTCCGAGTAGCAGCAGGAAAATGCCTGGTCACGGGAGAATATCATATTCCGCAGCGGTTCGTATTAGAGGTTTTGACACTGTATGCCCAAAATATCACCATGCAATGATCCATCTCGGGAAATGGGAGCCATCTTTGCAAATAGTCTGGATGGCCTACGAGATGGGCTATCATGGAGACCCAGATTCTCTTGGCTATCTTCCTGTATTCGAAGGCGAGCTGCGACTGCGACGACAGTTTGGGCACTCTGCAGGCAGGTCTATTTCACGGTGGCAATATCTGCCTCGAGAACTGCCACACGCGATCACCGAGGAATTTAGCAAACTCTAATTTTGATGAAAACACACATATCATACCTGCTCCTCACTCGGAGAATGAGGTCACTGGCCTGCTTTGGTTCATTGTGAAAGACCGTCAGATGGCTAGCTTCGGTAAGGTCTGTCGGGATACTCTAAGCTTCAGTGATAAATCAGAGCCGGAGATCTTGCAACCCGACAATGAGATTCGGCGCATGCAAACAACAATCCTAAGCAGCCTCCGAGCTCGTCCTCTATCCAATTCTACTTCATATACACCTCCTATGGTCATGACCTGAATCTACGTGGAATTTATCTATCTAAAGAATTTGTGCGTCTTCCATCGCAAGTATATGACGCGAAGTGATGTGTATAGCACCACCTCCTGCGTGAAGGCTGGTCAACAGCTCGTGAGCAGGTCTACAGAAATGTACCGGGAATTTTCACCCAGTGGTAGACTTCATCAAGAGCGTTGGATGCTCACCAATTTCACCATGAACGACTTTCTCCTGAGTGTCATGGTGCTTTGTCAGGCAATTCATATTCGCCGGAAGAATCCCGGGATGTCGATCATCGACTCCACTAATGAGGACATAATTTCCCCGCTCTCGAGCAAGGTGCATGATATCTGTCTGGAGAAGCCGCCGTCAGTCGAGATACACGGGTTCTCGCACAAGCAATCAAGGATACTTTGGGAAAACGGGACAACGAATGGGAAAAGTCTCACGGCCCACGGAAACAGCCTCCCCCTCGAGAGCCTTGCGAATGCTCGCTTGCTTGGTTAGATTCTTTCTATACAGAGGGTGAAGGGATTGGTTTTGACTGGAGCTCACTCTGGCTCAGGAAGAAGCGGAGATCACACGCTAGTGTCGGCCCGGCATTGCATCATGCGGGCCGATCTCCAGGCCACAACAACCTTGACACCTGGCACGCCTCTGCCTTGCCATTCTTGTCACCTCCGGGCTATTTCCCTCCAGGCAAGTCCGTGGATGTGAAGAATTCCGGGATCTATAATCATCATCATTACCCCCTTTCGACCAGTGGACGCTCCCCGTCTCTTTCAATCTGGTTCGCTTCCTGGCTCTGCGACGGGCGCGGTTAACGCCCATGGCGGGCACTGACCAGAAATCTTTTTTGGGGACCTTTTCTCCGTGGAATACTCCCAGAAGCTCTACCCCACAGCCCGCAGATCGCCCTCCTTCCGATGTCCTGCAGCGATCGCAAGGGGAGGATCACACCGTGACCCACAGGCACAAATTGGGCCAGCGCCATTATCCCTCCGACTGTCCCCCACTCAGAGTGAGATGGTATTATGCCGTCGATTCGCCGAAACGGAAGCCTACACTGAATGACCAGAAAAAAGCCGACCAGAAACCGCTGCCCATACCTAAGAAATTCATTCCCTTCTCCCCAAAGGATTCCCAGTCCATCGAAACCGCGTTTCAGAAGCTTGTCGAGATCGAGGATGCCCAGGATCATGGCCAGACGCAGCAAAATAGTGGTATCCAGAGGAATGCCACCAAGGTGGCTGTGAATGAGGATTATCTCTTTGATGTGGACGTTGAACAGAGGGAACTGAGCCCGGCATATTGGATGGGGCCCGTCTATGAAGTACGACGGGGAACATGGTTCTTTCAGGATGGGTCGAACATGAAACCCTGCGAGGAGAATCTGGCAACTCAACTAGAAGAGGGCTATCTGAAGCTACGTCCATGGCGGACCGAGGTCACGGAGGATGGTTCACACGAGAAGCTCGCAGCATCCGGGCAAGACCGATCCAATGACAGCGCAGACGATAAGGTGGGCTCTCGACCAGACATGTCCGCATCACATTACGTGGAATCAACCAAATCACCTCGCTCCCGGGGTACTGGGAATATACCCCCAACATCCGCGTCGGAGTCTCGACAGTACCGTCTGTTTGGCGCCTATATGAATAGGATTGTCGCCTATCAAGACGCTGCAACGGCCTGGGTGACCAATGATGATTTCATGTCTCGTGTAAGCACTACCGTATATCAAAAACTGGGGGGCGTCCCTGGAACAAAAGTGGTTCGCGGTCTGGTGGAGCCGAGACGCCCAAGAGAAGCATCTGACTCTCGAGGGTCAGAGAGAAAAGCAACTGAGAAATCAGGAAAGCATGGCCCAGAGCCTCCAGCCTCTGAACCTACAACGGTAACTGGTCCCGGACCCGTGGACACGCAGGGACTGGACAACCCCACGGAAACCGGCTCGATGGACAGACGACCCCAGTCAACCCTAGAGCGGCAAATGTCATCCTTGGCCGGCGAGCCCCAAAATCCCGCTGAACTGGAGGAGCAGGCTCGTAGGCAGGAAGAACAGGAGATGGAAGACCTGAGGGAGGTTGATAGTGAAGATCGAGAACGAGAAGTTGACCATCTGATCCTCGTCACTCATGGTATTGGTCAACGACTTGGTCTACGGCTGGAGAGTATCAATTTTATTCATGATGTGAATGTGCTTCGCAAGACGCTTAAAAATGTCTACAAAGCGTCGCCGGACCTCCAGGCATTGAATGGGACATTTGCAGATCGTGATGGTAATTGTCGAGTTCAGGTTCTTCCGGTGTGAGTATATCCCCTCCTTCGAAACCCATGCGCCGTTTGTGTTCTGCTGTGCTGTGTGTTTTGTGTTGGTACTGACAATTCTGCAGCTGCTGGCGTCATCTTCTGGATTTCCCCTATCGCGGTGTCAGGCAAAATCGGAAGGAACTCGATCTAACCGATGCTGATACTGTCGAGGACGATGCTTATCCAAGTCTTGCGGATATTACACTGGAGAGTGTTCCCGCCGTTCGGAATCTCATCTCAGACCTCGCAATGGACGTGCTTTTGTACCAAAGTGGGTATTGTGAACATATTTCGAACATCGTGAAACAGGAATGCAACAGGATTCTCCGGCTCTACAAAGAGCGCAACCCATCATTTAATGGCACCGTGAGCCTTTGCGGTCACTCCCTTGGCAGCGCGATTTTGTTCGATATTCTCTGTCACCAGCCAAACGCTGCCGAGGCCACCAAAGAGGCGAAATCGACAGCACATGGCAGCGAAGACTTTTCAGACCAACATAAAGAGGAAAATGCTGAGCTGGCTTTTGATTGCGAGGAATTCTTCTGCTTGGGATCACCCATCGCTCTATTTCAAATGCTCAAAGGGAAGACAATTGCCGGGTATTCACCTCTGGGCGCGAGAAACCGCAAGAGTGCTTTGGATATTGAATTTGATTCCCATGCGCTCAATTCTCTCAACTCTTCCAAGCGGGAGTCACAAAGTCACATGGGCCGAAATTTCATTGACAACTCTGCCATTATCTCTGCGCCGAAATGCCGCGATTTGTACAACATTTTTCATCCCTCTGACCCAGTGAGCTACCGCCTTGAGCCTCTTGTTTCTCCTGCCATGGCCAGTCTCAAGCCTCAGCCACTTCCGTCCGTCAAGAAGAGCCTTTGGACACAGTCGGGCCAAAGTCTATCTATCATCGGATCACGGATGGGCCAGAGTGTGGGCTCATTGTGGAGTAATTTCACTTCCGGTGTCGCAAGCAGCTTGTTGAACCGCAGCTTAGGTTTGAATGCTGATGAGGTCTCCTCTGCCGTGAATGCCGGAAGCAGGCCATCCGACGACCGAGCAGGGCATAAGCGTACACAGTCTGGGTCGCCTCAAGATTCCTCCCAAAGGTCCGGTGATCATCCTCAGACACTGATCGACTCCGACCTCGAGACTTTGTATGATGGATTCCAGAAAAGTCGGGATGGTCATAAAAAGGATCGCTCTGGCTCTAGCTCCTCAGGGAGTGAGAATCATATGGACTCAGAAGATCAGGAACGAAAGCTCAAGTTTGAAGATGCCAAAGTACGCACTTTGAATTCCAATGGCCGGGTAGACTACAGTATCCAAGAGTGAGATCCCTCCCGATCTTGTTGTGTTAGAACACAAGCTGACCCATCCTCGTCTTCAAATCTTAGGGGCGCTTTTGATATCTCATTGATTGCAAGTATTGCTAGCCACCTCACATATTGGGGGGATGAGGATGTAAACCACTTCATGCTATCCCAGATGTTATCTCGAAAGCTACGGCATCGGAGTAAGGAGCTGTGAAGGTGAAGTGTATCGATAATGGGAAATCGGGTTGCACCCACTCGCCAACTGCCATTTCGCTATTGTATATTTCTTCGGGACAGTAGAGTTGGTAAACATAGGCGTTGCGATAGATATCTCTTGGACTTAGTACTGTTGAACTTATTTTTTCCCACCCATTGAAAGCATCGAGCTTCTACAACGATGTATGTGACTTCTTCAACCAAAATCATGAACAATTGCTCCCCCTCTCTAGCTGCAAGAGTAGAAAAGTGTGATGTGGTTCCCTTGAGCCTGCCGATGGTTACTAAGCTCGGCTAGCGCCGTTCAGAATCCACCTAGAAAAGCCTTCCCAGGCGCGAACTTTTTTCCCTTCTCTCTCGTCCCCCTGATACAACCTTCGCCTTTCACAATGGGCGCCGAGCTACAGCAGGTCCGCAAAGTCTGGGAGCGCACGCGCACAAACAGCCCAATCTATGAGTTCCTCTTGAGTGAGGTTGATGTTTATGATGCAGAACATGGTGTTATGCGGGCTCGACTCCAGGTCGGCCCTCGCCAACTCAATTCCAAGGGCAGTTTGCACGGAGCCTTCTCTGCCTGCGTGACCGACTGGGCCGGCGGACTCGCCATTGCTTCCTGCGGGTTGGACTCCACGGGCGTGAGCACCGACATCCATGTCAATTATCTCTCGGGCGCAACAACAGGCGATTGGCTCGAAATCGAAAGCCGTGCTAATAAGGTCGGCAAGTCGCTCGCCTTCACCACAGTGTCCATTTCCAAGAAGACCGAGACCGGTCCCGTGCTGGTTGCTCAAGGCTCGCACACCAAATATGTTCGGACTCGATGAAACGTCCGACCTGCTTCTAGTTATCCCATCCTGGCGTAGACATAGACTATCTACCCCGCCATCTTCTTTGCATCTGGCATGACACACATGCACTTTGAATGCCCGGATTCACTCGGATAGCGGAGAGCAATCTCTATTCTGTATAGCTTTAGATGTCTGGCGGTCGCTTTCCCACGGCCACTGGGCAATGATGAATGGATACATCCCTGGATATTACTGCAATTGCATTCTCAGTTATTGTACTCCCGAGTAAAATGATATTTTCTTTCGCAGCCAATATTACATATTATTACTCGATGACACCTAAGATGGTCGTCTGTATAGACTGAAGCCCGTCGCGGTGATCAGATGTCGGAGATGGCTTGCGGTTCGGCCAGCGTGGCGCACTGGCCAACTTGGGAACTGGCAGCCCATCCGGGGTCGGCCCTCTTGGAATGTTGTCAATCAACCCTCTTCCGTGGACCTGCCTTTCTCTCAGACGAAAGGAATGGAGGTTTGTCCCCCGTTTTCTCAGTGATATCAGCCCGCGCTTCTGCTAATCCATGCAGAATAACCATGGATCGACCCGACGATGATGCGCTTGCCTCCGCTCCCTCCCCGAGCCCAGCTGTTTCTCCTGTCGCAACACAAAATGACCCCCTGCCCAAGCAAGATCGCTCCAATGCGAACCTGGCAAAGGAGGCGATGGATCACGCCCTCGAATTCTTCTCGACCTCCAGTAATGAGACTATCATTGGCGTCTTTGCTCTCTTGATGCTGGGAACCTACATAATCCTGGGGCGACTCGGCTTACTACTGATCGGTATTGCCCTGGGGGTCATTCTGCACGCGTCATTGGAAGGGACCTTCCAGGATGGCAACAACGAGGAACCCAATACGCCCAGGAAACGAAAAGAACTAGCCCTGGAGGTTTCCCACAGGCTCTTGGAGTGGCCCAAGCGAACGACGTCCGTCAGCGTTGACACTGGGAATGACGGTGGGGCAATTGCTTCCCCAGAAGATCTCTCTTCTATGGATCTGGAGTATTCAACGTTTCGACCAGCTACTGCTGCCGCCCTGAAATCGCTCACGGACGCGGTCATCAAAGACTATGTCAAGTTAGAACTGCCAAACCCCCACCTCTTGACCCCATAACAAGCTAACAGAATGCAAGGTATTGGTATGAACCGATCCTACCAAGTGAATCTGTGTTCCCTGGCTCTTGTCAAAGGATATTTACCCATTTTATCTTAACGATGTCATCTCATCTCTCTCACAAAAGGACGGAGGACACTTTCCTGCAGTTCCTCACGAACTCATCCTCTATAATCATTGTATTCCTGAACGAACTAGCCGCTGCGTTTGCTGCTTCAGGAAAATCGTCAGAGGATGCCAAAATCATTGTCGACCAGTACCTCAAGGACTCTCCCGACAGTAGCCTCGCCAATGTCCTGTCAGAGGTTCAGCAGCGGAAGAAGCTCAATATGATTGCGGATGATATATTGTCGAACTATCTTGACGCTAAAGCATATAATTGTCCCCCAGTCCGGGATTTTCTTAGAGAAGTCTTCGCTGGCGTCGTGCTCGAATCTACGGTCATCAGTCTCGCTCGCCCGGAATTCATAAATGATTGGATAATCTACCTTCTCGAAGACGGTGAATCGGAGATTATGCATGCCATCGATGCTGGCGTTGAAGGTGCACGGAACCAGGGCGTGGCTGCTTCCAAGACTGTGGAGAGTACAAAGAACTTGACTACAGAATCCACGCAGGAACAATCCAATGAACGGCACTCAAATCAAACTGATAGGGCAACAGAGGAAGCCTTGATCGAGGCGAAGCGCCTGAGTGCTATGATTGCATCTCAAGACGAGCAAGGGGTGACCCATATCCAATCTGCTCAACCCGACCAGACAGAATTACATGAGATGATTGAAAAGGGTATTGATCCATCCATCGAAACTCCGAATGATGACACAAAATTGAATTTGCGAGCATCAGCAGATGCTGCAACCCCTGAGCCGCTAGCACTTTCCGTTTCTTCAGAAGCACCGGCAGCTTCCGAAGCCCCTTCTAAAGATGATGGCACTGCTTCGTTGAGCCTTCATGGTGCCCAGGTCCTAGTGGATGATGACTCCGCGGCGACAGATAAGGGAGTTGTAAAGTCACGACCTACGTGGGATTACCTCCTCCAGGTTGAGCCAACGTCAGCTCGGTCCACTGGCTGGATGGTGTTTCGAAATTATTCCGACTTCCAGTCTCTTCATGAGATGATAGAGACAGTCTCAAGATTGAATCGCATCCAGAGCTTTTCGGACAAGTTCCCAATGCTACCACCATGGAAAGGCAGAACACGGCAGGAGCTTGCTCGTGACCTAGAAAGATATCTACAAGAAGCCGTGAAGCACGAATCTCTCGCCAATACCGACCGCATGCGGCGCTTCCTGGAGAAAGAAGTGAGCTCCACTGAAGCAAGTGCCTCCAAGTCTGGATTCTCCTTCCCTAGCCAGAGCGCATTTGAAAACATGGGCAAAGGAGTTTTGGGTGCACTGACCAATGCCCCCAAAGGAGTTGCTGGAGGCGGTCGTGCGATGTTTGACGGTGTGACTGGTGTATTTGGAGGCGTTGGCCATAGCCGAAAGCCGACAAATTCCACAAATCGACAGTCACTTCACCAGAAGAATCTGTCAAACGCCAGCCTTGATGTCCCTTCCGGTGCTCTCCCTGCTAACGGCCTGGGTCGTGTCACTTCTTCTCCCACAGGCCTGAAGGCTGACGATAGCTCTGCTCCTAGCAGAGTGAGTGGGGAAGAGGACATCCATACGCTTGTGTCCTCGCCCATTGCATCTTCTGTGGATCCGTCAAAGGAAGATAAGGCTGAATCACGAGCGTCTCGCGACACTGGCAGCGATGCTAATCTGACAGCTGATGAGCAGGAGGCGTGGGCCTCTGAATCAACGGCAGTACCTTCCAATGGTGTCAACGCTCTTGGACCAACAAGCAGTCAAGAAACTTTTCAGACAACCAAAGACTATCAATTACCTTCGCTCAACACTCAAACCGGAGGAGAAACCGATATAGCCACTGAAAGCACCCCCCAAAGCCTGCAACGACGTCGAAACCCCATCACGGCGGATGAAACCCAAATCGCGGTGGAGCTCATATTTGCCGTGATCAACGAGCTCTACACTCTGTCATCTGCTTGGAACATCCGCCGCACCCTCTTGAATGCGGCGAAATCATACATCCTGCGCCCCGGTAGTCCGACTCTAGAAACTATTCGTGACCTGCTACAGGACTCAATGATTGAAAGTCATACATCGGACGATGCACTCGGGGAATACTTAAAAAAGCTTCGTGAGAATTCTCTCCCAACTGAAGCCGAATTAAAGGCTTGGCCGGCGCCTCCCAGTGAGGAAGAGAAAGCACAACTGCGAGAAAAGGCACGTCGATTGTTTGTGCAAAGAGGAATCCCCCAGGCCCTCACCAGCGTTATGGGTGCCGCCGCCAGTCGAGAAGCTCTCGAAAAGATCTTTGATAGCCTTCAAGTGGAAACTGTTGCCCGGGGGTTCGTTTTTTCGTTGCTGCTGCAGGGGCTGCGCGTGTTGACACTCTGAAAATGACGTCATGCAACCTGTGCCTTATCGCCACGTGACGTGACAATGGACGCGTCAAAACGGAGCAGTCGTTCTCGCGTTCCTCTTCCCTAATCAGTGGGCCTTCGAACTTCCAGTTCAAGCATCACATCTTCTTGCGCCTAGTTACCACCCTCGCCAAATCTCCGCATCTACATCAACGACGAAACCAGACTATTATCGCAACACCCTCTTTCCTCTCGGCCACTATGACGTCTCGAAAGCGTTCGTCCGGCCTGCAGGGTGCCGACGACGCTCAGGCGAAGAAAGCCAAAGTGGGCTCTGACGGACCGACCACGGCTAAAACCGATTCCAATGGGGACCGATACTGGGAGATATCCAAGATGCGCCGCGTGACAATCTCCACCTTCCACGAGAAGACTATGATCAATGTGCGGGAGTACTATGAAAAGAACGGAGAACAGCTCCCTGGCAAGAAGGTAGACAGGCCTAGGTACTCGTGCTTTTACAACTGCTTCAGACATATTGACTGGCTCCTCCCTCTTTTGCTTTACAGGGAATTTCTATGCCGATCGATCAGTTTGCTGCCCTCGTCGAACTTCTCCCCGAGCTCGAACAAGCCCTTCAACAGCATGGTGAAGCTTTGCCCCGACCGACATATTCTGGTGCGGCAGGCCAAGTCTCCGGTGGTAATGATGAACACGACCAATCTAGCAAGAGTCCCTCAAAGCAGAATATTGAGGCCACGAGTGATGAGGAGAGCGAGGCGTAAAGGCCGCTAAGACTTTTCCAGCGATGAGGACTCCTGCGACTGTACCATACCATTCTTTGATGCCATATGCCCAATGATACCTTGAATTGAAGTAAATCTTGGTCTGTAGCTAAAGTCTACAGAAGAAACCTGAGAAGCTTCTTGCCTTTCAGGTATGCATAGTAAATACAGAAATCTGACCCCCATTCCATGGGTCATGTATTGAGGGCTTGGTGGTTTCGCCATAATAACGTGCGAAATTACGCGGCAAATCTGACCCCCATATATCCTCTATATATCTGAATGACTGTTCATATATACCTTACCTAGGCCAAAGAGAGATGCCAGTTCTTACTGGAATCCTTAATACTGGTTTTTAAAGGGAATATGTAGGAGATCACTGTGACCACAAACCGCCCGTTATGACATCTCTTAGCTACATAAATAGAAGCTTGGCCAAATGGTGCCAATTCCGGCGGCGAATGCCACCTCCACCCTATGGTCTAGCTAATTTGAAAGCTGCACCCCGCCTACTAAGTTCTTTTCTCAGTCACCTGTCTGATCATATGCCTGATAATCTAGCCAGTCACCCACATGATCGACTGCCTGGTTAGCTACCCTATACACTGGTCCGCCATGGCCCAAGGCAAATAATGGATCGGGGAGTGGAGTGTTCTGAAGGGCACTCGCTCTACATGCTGGCTTCGTGTGTTGCCATGCGATTGGCAATAGATCCCCCTCTCCAGGCATGACGGGCGTCTTGCTCGCGCACCAGCTGTTGCTGTTCGCCCATAGGTCCCCATCCTCCCCCTCCGGGAGTTCGAATGATGATCCGCTCCCCAGGCTGCATCTGAGTGGAGTTCCTACCGCCCAAGCTGATACACTTCTCCTCCCAGCCCCCATCGGATTTTGCCACGCGGCGAATCCAAAGGTTTTGACCGCACTGAGCGGCCTCGCCTCCTTCCAGGCCATACGGATGGTGGACTCGACGCTCTGAAAGAATTGAAACTTGCACTGGGATGCGGAATTCGATATCTCGAATGACCCCGTCTCCGCCTCGGTGTTGCCCTCGACCCCCCGAGTTCGCGCGCAGACTGAACTCCCGCAGCAAAACGGGATAGCGCCGCTCGAACACTTCGGCATCTGTGATGCGAGTGTTTGTCATATGAGTATGGACCCCTGAAGTGCCTTCCCAATCAGGGCCCGCGCCGCTGCCTCCGGCAATGGTCTCATAATATCCGAAGCCTTTCGTTTCTGTTTCGCCCTGGCGATTCCCGCCAAATCCAAAAGTCAGGTTGTTCGTATCCCCCTGAGATGCGGCGCAGGCTTGGAAACATTTAAGGATAACGTCGGTTACGCGTTGGCTCTGTCGTTCGATAGTAGGAATTAGTTGGAGTTTCCCGCCAGGAGACTGCTTTTCAGTCCAGAAACTTACGGTCAAAACATTCCCTCCCACAACTGCTGCAGTTTCGGAAGGCGATAAAAGACTGTTTGGCGGGATCCGCACATTGATCGGCTTCAGACAGCCCTGGTTGAGGGGGATGTCCTCAGAAATCAGACACCGTAAACAATAGATAATTGCAGAGTACGTCACGGCCTCCGGGGCATTAATATTCGCTGGCAGCGTCAGTAACACTAGCTATTTATACCGACCCGGATCGTCGGAAAGACATCATCGAAGACATACCGTATACTTCCGGCCCCGTTCCTTCAAAGTCAAAGATCGCCTCGCCCTTCTCCGAGTCGATCGATATCTTCAACTGGATGGGGGTCCCATCATCCATATAGTCGATGGCACGTAAATCTCGGCCCGCGAATTTCTGGCTAACCTCTTTCAACAAATTTCGCACACTGAGCTCTGCATTGCCCTGAATCTGATGCATGTAGAACAAGACTGCGCTTTCGCCGTATTCCTCAATCAGAGTGCTGATCAAAGATATACCCTTTTTATTGGCCGCAATCTGGGCTTTGAGATCATTCAGGTTATCTGCAAGGCATCGCGTTCCACTGCAGCCCGGATACTGAGCAGGTTCATTGTAAAGCAATTCCGTAATGCGTTTTTCATTGAATTCGCCTTCAGAGACCAGCTTCTCACTTTTGATCCGGGCCCCTTCCTGGTAGAGCTCTTTGGAATGGGGCGGCATGGAGCCAGGTAGAATGCCTCCAATATCAGCTGAGAGAATGATTAGAAAAAAAAATGCCCCATCATCCAAAGAGGGGCAACTGACCATGATGCGCTCTTGAAGCCACATAGAAAATGATTTTTCCCTTGCTAAATGCGGGCTGAATGACGGTGATATCGGGAAGATGTGTTCCTCCCTGGCACGGGGAGTTGGCAACCAACACGTCCCCGGGTTTGAGGTTGCCTTGCCAATTCTCGGCTTGCATTCGTACACAAGTGGACATGCTGCCCAGATGAACTGGAAGATGGGGCGCATTGGCAACGAGTCCGCCCTGCGCATCGAACAATGCGCATGAGTAGTCGAGTCTCTCCTTGACGTTGGTACTGACGCTAGTCTTTTGTAGGGCACGTCCCATTTGCTCTGCTATGGCCATGAACCGATGCGAAAAGACACTCAACAGGATCGGATCCACGGTCTCTGTGCTGATCGGAGGTGGGTTGGTCTCGGGCTCACCGATATTGATCACAACATGTGTCTTCAGGAGCAGAGCCGATGCTCCTGGAGTCACTACAATGGTTTGGGTGCCGTCTGCTAGTATTGCAGGCCCTTGCACCCGGTCGTTGATTTGCAGATCGTCGAGTTTGTAGATCGGGGTTTCGTATCGACCTCCCTCGAAATACACTTTGGACGTTTTGTATGCATGACCCACAACATCGATGGGTTTTGATTCACGCAGCTGTACATCCACGGTCCTCTCAGATACTTCAAAAGTCTTGCCAATCCCACGCACTCGGACGTCGTCCACGATAATGTCCCGATCCGGAAGGGTAAATCCAAATTCTTGCTCATGTTGGTGCACAAATGCTTTCCCAAAGGCCCAACCGTTGCCCCCGAAGAGATGGGCTGCTTCCTCTTTGGTGGGTTTCAGGATCATCAACGCGGATTCTGTGCCTCTGTATCGCATGTTGAGGTACTCTTCAAATATGATGGAGTTGTCGTCAAAGCCTTGCTCATGAAGCTTGGTTGCGGAATGCTTCTTTAGCTTTTCCATCTTCTTCGCAAGCTCTCGCTGGACTTCCCTTTCGTCACTCCACGTTCTGGATTCTGGCTCCTGGCTTTCATCAACGACATCGGCCAGCGCCATTCCGTATGCGGACAGAACAGATGAATAGCGATGGATGAGGATTTGTCGAATCCCAAGACTTTCAGCAATGGCCACTGCATGCTGACCCCCCGCGCCCCCGAAAGTGGCCAGCCGATGCTTTGACGTGTCATGGCCCTTGGCCTCTGTTAATGATCGGATAGGTCGGGTCATCGTTTCGTTGGCAACTTTGATGAAGCCAAAGGCAACCTCATCTGGTGTCATCAGTTTGCTGTGCCCACCCTTTGAGATCTTTTCATTGATCTCCTCCGTCAGCTTTTCGAAGAGGTAGCGGCTTGCTTCTTCGTCCAAGGCCTGGTTTTCGTTTGAACCGAAAATCTTCGGAAAGAAGTCCGGAACCAGTCTGCCTAGAAAGAGATTTGCGTCGGTCACCGTCAAAGGCCCACCCTTGCGATAGCATGCAGGACCAGGATGAGCACCTGCGGACTCCGGACCGACGACGAAGAGTTCATTGCGGTAGAATAGCCTGGAACCTCCACCAGCAGCCACTGTGTTTATGTCTAACTGAGGAGACTGAATAGTCACCCCGGCCGTCGTCGTCTCAAAGACATGCTCATAGTGGCCGGACCCATACCGACTGACATCTGTACTGGTACCGCCCATATCAAACCCAATGACAGGAATCTTCGATACTGGGTCATACGAAGTCAATGCATAACCGACGACCCCGCCTGCTGGACCTGACAGAATTGCTCGGAGTCCAGAAAACTGGTCTACATCGACCAGGCCGCCATCTGATTGCATGAACTCGCACCGTGCACCGCGAGAACCACTCTGGTCCTTTACACTTTCACTTCCAAGCCCCCCTTTGAACCCGGCCTGAAATCCTGAGATATACTTTTTAATAGTAGGTGTTAGATATGCATCGGCACACGCAGAAGTAGCCCGTGGGATGAGCTTGATCATAGGCATCAGCTGATGACTCAAGCTCACATGGTGGAAGCCAATTTCCGTGGCAAGGCGTCCAACCAAGGCCTCATGGTCTGGAAAGGTGTATCCATGCATGAGGCATACTGCTATGCTTCGAACTCCTCGATCGTACACCTGTTGCAGCTGCGATCTTAGACGGCTCTCCGACGGGCGTTTTAAGATACGGACAGCTTCGGAGGAAAGACCCCGAACGATTTGGCTGTCGGGTGTGCTCTGCCATCGGAAAGCAGTATCTGTGGTATGACGCTGTGGATCTTCTGCATAATCTTCCAAGGTGACCCGTTCATCTACTTCGACCACCTCCTCGTAAAGAACATCTGGACGTTCGATAGCGAGATCAAAAATACGAGGCCGTGCCTGATTTCCAATTCGGAGACAGTCTCGGAAGCCTTTGGTGACTACCAGCGCAATTCTTTCGCCTTTTCGTTCGAGCAGGGCATTGGTAGCGACAGTGGTACCCATGCGAATACTTTTAATAGAGGAGGTATCGATTGGCTGGCCCCGGGGAATTTCGCGGCCTGTAGCTTGAGACATGATCCGCCGAATGCCTTCAAGAGGGGCATCTTCATAGTTGGCGGGGTCTTCTGAGAGTAGTTTGATCACAATATCATCTTCCAGGCGCCCCGTCCCGGGGTTGCCGACGCAGTCGGTGAAAGTGCCGCCTCTCTAGCTCTGTTAGCGCTATGAGTGTAGTCGGTGATCACTCGGGTGGCCTTACATCGATCGCAATGCTGATGCCTCTATCGCCGGAGGACTCCATGTAGATTCCTGTAGTTGGTCGTATTGCCCTGAGAGAGATTATGAGGTTGTAATACTTGAAATTCCCCCGCGCCGGTACGATGGGTTTCTACGTCATTGGAGCACACAGTAGTTGCGGGGAAGATTACTGTAACCACACTCCTTTTGCTTCAGGCCACATCCCTTCTCTCCATTTTCAGAATTTCCTTGGACTCCGATGCATCAGCGTAAGGGTAGCTAACCAGACAGCTGATCAAGGTGATGACTTGGTAGATAACCACTGGCAGGGTAGACGACCAGATATTTTGACTGAGCAAGGAATCTGGTAGCAGGTAAGAGTTGCCCCCAATCTTTCAAATTAGCAAGAGCATCGTGGAGGTAGCGATTCACCGTCGAAATTGGCAATTCTAGTTGTGTATCTAAGAGATGCCATTGGAGGGGAAAAATTTTTCTGTAAGGTAAACGAGGAACACGACGAACCAAGTGGGCTGGAACGACAGGGCAAGTGAACATGTCAGCAGAATAGCTACATTTCAATGTTATCTAGGCTATCAGCTGCTGTAAAAAATGATTAGTCCTAATAGGCCTCGGTTCGTCCTGGGTGATGCGCACCCTTCCCTACGGATACCTCGAACGCATACGACACTACAAAAAGCGATTCGATATGACGAAGTCCTCGCGCGGTTCGACCGATCGTACAGGGCGAAGGGAGTTGGAAAACGGGAATCGCTTTGAAATTAAATTTGCGAATAAGACGGGATGGCGGGCGGGATTCATCGAGGAAAACGCAAGGACGAGAGACGGGCGAGGGCAGTTAGAACGCGATCGCTCCACGTTCGTTTCGAAGCTGCTGACTAGGATAAATACCCAAACCCACGAAGGAATCCCCCGGAATCAAAAGCAAGCGAAAGGAAAAATAAGAGAAACAAGGGAGGAGGTTAGACCCATTTAAGGAGACCCCAGCTAAAAAACGAGAATTTCCGCAGGGAATAGCAGAGAATTATGGCTCATGCGCCACTTGGTGGGAAAGTGACAATACCGGGGTAGCCTTCGGGTGCGATAATAAAACGATTTCGGGCCACTTTCTTGCTGATCCGTGGTAACAACTCGGGGGTGGGGGGAAATTCTTCGGGAACGTGAGAGCTCGAAGCAAAATGGCACTGAGTCGATCTACTCAGCAGTATCAAGCTCATCGTGAGCAGAAGGAACGGGGTCCAGGGGTACTGTTGAGAGAATTAGCAATAATCCCGTTCGGTTCATGGTATACAGCTAACGCACCTTTCCTGTCTTCGCCGTTCGGGAGAGCCTCCCGGTCATCCTCACGCCGCTCCCGGTCATCATCACGTCGCTCGCGTTCCTCCTTGACATCACGTTCCCGGTCTTCGGGACTGCGAGAACGGTCGCGAGAGCGGTCCCGGTCGCGGCGATCATGGTCCCGGTCGCGGCGGTCATAGTCGCGGTCACGGCGATCATAGTCACGATCATGGCGGTCGTAGTCGCGTTCGTAGCGATCGTCACGGCGGGGAGAATAGTCGCCTCGGCTGCGGCGGGGCGAGGGGGAGCGGCCACGGCGTGGGGGAGTCCGCTCGCGACGGCGGTCACGGCCAGCGCCAGAATCAAACCGCCACGAGGCTGAGGGTGGAGTGCGCGCCCACTGAGTAGTTCCACGTTAGATCAAACACAGGACACCGCCATGGAAGGGTAGTGGCGGGACATACCTCGATCTTCAGCAGGTCGTCACGTCCAATGCGCTTGTTGTGCATTTCATGGTAGGCATCATCCGCGTCGCGACGGCTCTCATATTCGACAAAGGCGAACCTAGATAGATGGTTGTTAGGCTTAAGTGGATGCGAAGGTGCAAAAATTTGTCCACTTACAGTCGGCTGGAAGGCGTGCGTGGGGCTGGTATATCGCAGCGAACAAGACGGCCGTACCTAGTCTGGGTATTAGCTTGCTTGTAATCATACAAAGGGAGTCAGGCCCAGGTTATCATAGCGTAATGAGCAATATTCAAACCCAATGGCGGAGTCAAAAAGGCAAGTATGAAGCCTTTCGACTATAACGCCAGCACGAGATCCAAGTCGATCGTGCACGGGAGATGAAAGGTCATCGTGGCGCCGAAGATAAAGCGAAAAGAAGGCGGGTAGAAACGTAGAAAGTCGCGACATACCGTTCGAATTCGTAAGCGAGATCGCGGGCTCGGGTTCCATGGCCGAAGCCGGTGACATAGAGGGTGGTTCCTGAGCGAGACATTGCAGAGCAGAGAAAATCGGCGATGTCATAGGTAGGAAGGAGGTTGGAGTTGGAAAGTGCACGAAGGGAGAAGAAACGAATAATGTGACGGCGGTGAGTACGGTTGGGGATAGGCGCCACTGACGCCAATGACTGTACAGAGGTATGACCTCCTAACCGGCCACTTGAAACACTTGAAGGGAGCGCTCAAGAGAGGAAAGAAGAGGAAAAATAATTTCCATCAATACAGAGATAAGGAGGCCGTGTCAGTGGGCAGGCAGAGAAGTTCCCGGTCGAACCCCAAGTCAGTTCAACGCCGCTTACAGTTAGAGGTACCTCAGTGCTGGTAAGTGTGCCTATGTAATGCATGTACCGTGGAGTGGCTAGTGGCACAGTCCGCTCGGGAGGTACCGTAAAGACAGCCCGGCAAGTCGGGATGGTTTGGCTCCCACTCCTTCCCTCACCACTCTCCACTCCTCTCCCTACTCGCGCTCTTTCAAGCCCTCACCCTGTCCTCGATTCTGCCTGTGGTGAACCGGAAATCTCCAGCATAGGAGAAGAGGAAAAAGCAATAGTGCAATTCCATCCGTCTCCAGTTGAGCTTCAGCCCCGTCGTTACCCACCTCTCGTTTCCCCGACAAAGCTCGACTCCCGGCATCGACCATCTCCCTCGGCCACATCCACGTTGACGTCGCAATAAAAAAAGGAAACTGCCACCGGGTCTATGATCTCGACAATGGACCTGTAGAAACTCTCCCAACAGTAAAGAAAGCGAACAATCTTCATGGCCAGCGCGTCGCATTCTATCCTGACTCCCAGTGCTTTCTTTCCTACGTCGAGTCACTACGTCGAACTAGCGATACGGTCTCTCTGAACACCTGGCGTATGAAGATTCTCATCGTGTCTCAGAATAAGCTTTGAAATCTCGTCAGAACCTTGCTCCGTCCTATTCGAGAACACCTTGGTCGTCCGATCCTTCACATTTCGATGCGGATACAGCCAAAATGAGCCTCAATCGCCAGAACGCGCCTCGAGAAGAGGTATCAGAGGGTGCAACGAAACCTTCTCTGCAAACTCTACAGCTTTCTTCCCCAGCAGCCCCGGTCCAGGTCGGTTGTCTCAAGCCCGTCGTTATCCTTGGTTGGCGATCACTGACCCTCGACCTCCTAGGACTCCATTCCCGAACCACCTTCGATCTTACTTAAAACTAGAAACAAACTTGCTGAGCCGGTCGTTGCTGCATTCATGGCCGGTGGTGTAGCCGGGGCCGTCTCCCGAACCATTGTTTCACCCTTGGAACGGTTGAAAATCCTACTCCAAATTCAAAGTGTTGGTCGAGAAGAGTATAAGCTATCCATCTGGCGAGCGCTTGTGAAAATGGGACGAGAAGAAGGGTGGAGAGGCTTCATGCGAGGAAATGGTACTAACTGCATTCGCATTATCCCTTACTCTGCTGTTCAGTTTGGAAGTTATAATTTCTACAAAAAGGTACATGCCGGAATACCGGATCCCTTATACCCCTAAACATTCGATGAACGGACATTCCTGACTTGCATATCAGTTCGCTGAATCACCTGACGGTGACATGTCCGCGGCCAGTCGCCTTGTCTGTGGTGGAATTGCCGGCATCACTTCCGTTACGGTCACATATCCCCTGGATATTGTTCGTACGCGACTCTCCATCCAATCAGCTTCTTTTGCCGAACTTGGACAACGGGATATGTCTCAAAAGCTGCCTGGTATGTTCACCACTATGGTTGCGATATACAAAAATGAAGGCGGCATGATCGCGCTCTATCGAGGCATCGTCCCAACTGTTGCCGGTGTGGCCCCATATGTGAGTCCATTCTGTCTAGAACTGTCTCATTTTCCTGCTGACTTTCAATAGGTTGGGCTGAATTTCATGACATATGAATCTGTGCGCCAGTACTTGACACCAGATGGCGAACAGAATCCTAGTCCATATCGGAAGCTCTTGGCAGGTGCCATTTCCGGAGCCGTGGCTCAAACCTGCACATATCCCTTGTGAGCCTGCCTCTCCTCTTGGTTGCCCTTCGGTGTTCATTCTACCTATGTACGGTTCTGACTGAAACAATTCTTTAGTGATGTTTTGCGTCGACGCTTCCAGATCAACACTATGTCCGGCATGGGGTATCAGTACTCATCAATATGGGATGCAGTGCGCGTCATCGTGGCCAAGGAAGGGCTGCGGGGTCTCTTCAAAGGAATTGGCCCCAACCTGCTCAAGGTGGCTCCCAGCATGGCGAGCAGCTGGCTCAGTTTCGAACTTGCCAGGGATTTCCTAGTCAGTCTGGGTGATAGAGATTAGCTGCAATATACCTAGACATGCTTTCATAAGAATCGCTCGATAGATGGGTTGCAACGTTCTCTGTTGTAACTTTTTTCTCGTCGCGACTTCTCTGTACATAGCTGACTCCGAACAAAAGAAATGAAACGAGTAAAAAGAGTGCACCATACCCGTGAAATCATTTACGTGCTTCACTCTCAGAGACAATATTCTCTTCTCTACGAACCTAGGCTGAGTTGGAGTAGACTTGTCCAGATTCCCGATTCTCGTTTTCGATTACCCGTCCAACTGGCGCTAATGAACGCATAATAAGATAGTTAACTAGTTAAGTACAGTACTATATTAGTAGTTCATAATGACAACTCGATTATGGAACGTTACCGGATTTAGCCTAGCCTTCCCTGGGTCTTTGGGGGGTGGATACACGTCATGTGACGTATACTATAACGGGGTTAGCGTAGGGCTCAACCCACACACAGCCGCGCAGCCGAGAGTCGAAGACCAAAAACCTCCTGCAGTTTTCATACGGGTGCGACAGCAAGCCAACTTCCAGGTGTTCAATCCCATTTCAGCAGCCATGGGTATGTCCAATTCTCACAGCCATCATTCCGTCCTGCTCGCGCATCTCGATTGCGCTGTCGCTTTTTCCACCCCGTTCCCTGGCTGACACGATTCGAAAATCTCAGGTATCGACTTGGACCGTCACCATGTGCGCAGCACCCACCGCAAGGCTCCCAAGAGCGACAACGTCTACTTGCAGGTGCTGGTGAAGCTGTACCGCTTCCTGGCTCGTATGATACACCCTCCCTATTGAAATCCACGACGATTGCCCTTAGTGCGATACGGTGGAGGGATTTGAAAAATCCCCTCGGCTTGAACTCTCAACTAATTCTGTACACTTGCCATAGGCCGCACGGAGTCCAACTTCAACAAGGCTGTTCTCCGCCGTCTTTTCATGTCGCGCATCAACCGCCCCCCCGTCTCGCTCTCGCGCATCGCTGCCAACATCTCCGAGGCCCAGAAGGGCAAGACCGTTGTTGTGATCGGTACCGTGACTGACGACAACCGCCTTCTGACCATCCCCAAGCTGTCGGTTGCTGCCCTACGTTTCACCGCTACTGCCCGTGCCCGCATTGAGAAGGCTGGTGGTGAGATCCTGACCCTGGATCAGCTTGCCCTGCGCGCCCCCACTGGTGCCAACACTCTGCTGCTCCGTGGCCCCAAGAACTCCCGCGAGGCTGTTAAGCACTTCGGCTTCGGTCCCCACTCCCACAAGGTACGTTCAACTGTGACGGATTCGATAGACTAAAATGGACTCAAAGCGCTAACCTGCTTCGGCATCTCTACAGAAGCCTTACGTCGCCAGCAAGGGCCGGAAGTTTGAGCGTGCTCGCGGTCGCAGACGCTCGCGTGGTTTCAAGGTCTAAAGGACTTTGTAAGGATGGTGGTACCGGCATTTGTCCGGCAATGCGAATATGCCAATGCGTAATTCTACTCGCATTGCATGTCCGGGTGTCAATCTCACCGAGTCTGGCAAAAGGCCTCGAGTCGATGTACCTAAAGTGGCAAAATGTCTTAGGTTGGACTGGGGGATCAGAATTTTATGAATGGAGAGGCGCAAAAGAAAATTACATCCGGCTTAGTCCTCATCTTTTCTTACGACTGCGAAATGTTCAAAAAAAAACTTCTGTTGAATTTTGCTTCCTACTTCCTGTTTCTAAACCGTAACAATCATTTGTCGATTGGAAGGCTTTTATGGAGATACTTCCGTCCTGCCTCGCCCTCGTGGTAATCCGCAGCTCCATGACCCTCCCCGCGGATCAGGTATTTATAGATTGTCAACCCTTCAAGGCCGACAGGACCCCGAGAGTGAATTTTATTGGTGCTGATGCCAACCTCAGTACCAAATCCATACCTCATCCCGTCAGCAAATCGACTAGATGCGTTCCAGAAAACGCCTGCGCTGTCAATGCTGCTCATGAAGCAGTTTGCTGCCTCTCTAGATTCAGTTATGATGATGTCTGTGTGCCCAGACGAGTGGGCATTGATGTGTGCAATTGCGTCTTCTGCACGTGAGACAGTCTTGACGGCTAGTACCAAGTCTAAGAACTCGGTTTCGTAGTCTGCTCCAGTGGCAGCAGAGAGATTATTTCTTTTGTCAGCTGGTAGCGCTTTCATCAAGGCGTCCATGGATGCGCTGTCACAACGAAGAGAAACGCCCTTATCCAGCAAGGCTTGGGCGACGACAGGAAGGGTCGAGTCGAGTAGACTTTCATGCACCAGCAGCGTTTCGAGTGAATTGCAGGCCGCCGGGTAATCTGTCTTTGAATCAACAATGACTTTCACGGCGATATCGATTTTAGCATCGGAATGCACGTAGGCAGAGCATAATCCATCTGCATGTCCAAGAACAGGAATCTTCGTATTGTCTTTGACGAAGCGGACCAACTCATTGGAGCCTCGGGGGATTACGAGGTCAATGAGTGAATCCTGGGCAAGCAAAGAAGAAACAACATCCCGAGTCCTGACAAGCTGAATAGATGGAACCGGGACCTGAGAGCTGGCAATGGCCTCTGATACAACATTCGCAATAGCGACGAAGGACTCCATAGATTCCTTCCCACCTATATAAAGGTGTCAGTAACAGAGAGCGAAATGCGAGGGCAGTAAATCATACCTTTCAGGATGGCAGCATTCCCGGACTTGATGGCCAGGGCCGCGATATTCGCAATCACTTCGGGCCGAGCCTCGAAGATGATCAGGAGAACACCAATGGGGCAACTGACTCTTTCTAGGGTCAACCCTTCATCGAGAAGCTTCCGCAGTGTCACATTACCAACTTTTTATTCTCCTGGTTAGCTTGAGTCCTCGGGGGCGTATAGAAGAAGCTGAATAGACAACTCACCGGGATCGTTCAAATCCCGTACACTCAGGATTCCCTGGAGCATGTCATCATACTTGCCGGGGCGTGAAAGATCCAATCTTTTGAGTATACTATGGCTCAGTGTGCCATCCGCAGCGGCTCGGGTGGCCATTTCAACATCTTTCGCATTGGCGGCCAGGATGGTGGCCCGGTTTTTGTCTAGGGCTTGATGAAGTGCTGAGAGAGCTTGGTTCCGGGCATCATTAGAAAGCGTTGCGAGTTGACGAGAAGCAATGGATGCGCTGCGTGCGACATCCACCGCAGCGGACTCAGTGAGCGACATTGCGTGGAAGGGGAAATGGGTCGACGAAAGGGAAATTTGCGAGCGGGGAATGAGTCAAGAGGGGCAGGGCATCCCGTGCAGTGGGGGAGTTGGAGACCGCCTGGGCCGATCCCTCTCCGCTGTTTATCTCCTGCCTTCACAAGCCCGACCTCGAACTTCCAAAACTTGCGTCTCACCCTCGCATACGCTCGTCCACCTTTAGTGGCTCGCTTTGCTCAGTGATTCTACATCTCATCTTATTCAATTCACCGTCGACGTTTCCCAGTCCTTACCTTAGGCCTGGCGCCTCCGACCTGGCCATCGTTACTTGCTTCAACTCTTCCACAGGCGACTGTGGGTGTGGGGTCGCCCATATGGATTCTATATCAGCCCTTATCTCGAAATCGGAAGAGCTGCGAATCTCTGCACGTCGATCCGATGAAGAATATGATCGCTGTATACGCGATCATGTTGCTTCCGTCCGCCAGTCACTTTCCAGCAAAACCTTAGACCTTATTGCCACTGACCACACCCTTTTGGATGTAAGTAAACCTTTCCCCTACTGTAAGTCGATCCTGAGTGCGGCGACATTTGCTAATCAGGGGGTTAAATCTCTCTTAGCACTTTGACCCCGCCACCGATTCCATTACATATCTACTTCTTCTTCTTCTGCGGATTCAAACACTCCAGCAGAAAACACAGGAAACGTTACCAGGCGACCTGCTTCCCTCCGGGGATCTATGGCCAAAATGCACACGTTATCTCAAGACCTTCGATCCCATCCAGGTACGATATGTTGGGTTCGAATGGCGGCACCTTATCGAGCTAACGGCTCAAGCTGCTCAAACTGCTATCAAGGCAAGACTTCCCCACCCCCTATTTGAAAGTCGATTCCCTTTCCTGTGCTGACAGTCCTCAGCCGCTTCTTGCCGTGCCGTTGATTAGAGATGCGATGTTGAAACTGGACCCATCAGGCGCAGTTTTCACGTCGATGCACCTTCTCTTTGTACGTCTTTGCCTGCGCGCCAGGGCCTATTCCTATTCGCTGCCCATTCTGGAGAAACATATCTGCCATTTTCCAGGTCCAGCAGAACGAGTTTCCTCCAAATCCTCACCAGTGCTATGTGCGGAACATGAGTCGAGTCTAGCATTCATCAACGCCAGTTCTGGACTATCGTCTCCCCTCAGTTGCAGTGACTATCTCCAATATTTTCTATTTGGCGGGATGATCTACTTGGCCTTGAAAGAATGGGCTAAGGCATCCCACTTCCTTGAGGTTGTCATATCGATGCCAACCAACGGCCCTATTAGCATGGTCATGGTGGTGGCCTACAAAAAGTGGTTGTTGGTGGGCTTACTGGAAGCAGGGAAGGTAAGCGAAGAAGATGAATCCTGTGACGTACTGTTTTTATTGACTATTGATTGCTAGCTTCGCTCTCCTCCTAGCGTGGTAGCTCCGCATGTGGTTCGGATATATCAGTCTCTTGCCAGACCCTATGTGAACTTCGCACAGGCTTTTGAGCATGGTGATCTCGGGAGATTAGATGCTGAGGTTGGGGCGGCCGAGGATATATGGCGCAAGGTGAGTCACTGACTGGTGGAACTCCTTACAGCCACCATACTAACCCAATCTGTCAGGATAACAATATGGGTCTGGTCTCCCAGGTCATGAACTCATTCTCGAGGCATGCACTTGTGGGTGTTGGGGAGACTTTCGCTGCTTTGACTATCGCCGATCTGATAGGGCAAAGTTCATCGCTACCTTGTGACAAGGTGGCCGCTGAATCAGTCATTGCATCTCTTATTATTTCTGGTGCATTGGATGCCACACTAGTCCAGACACCGGGTCATTCCGATGCAGCAATGCTGCGCTTCTCGGGTATGCCTCGCTTATGCCCTTCATCGCATGAGCTTCGACTGCAGACAATGTTTACAAAGGAGAGAGGATCACTAGAAGGTCTGATGATGGCCGCTAGGGAAAATATCCACAAGCTGGGTGTGAGCCCTGAATTTGTTGATCATGTGCATAAGGGCCAAGTGTGGGCAGGTGCAGGTGAAGCTCACCTGGGAATCGGAGACGATGCAGGTCTTGAAATTGATGAGGACATTATGGGGGATATGCCTTAATATGAAAATCCTTCATATATATTTAGGGATAGCTTAATTGCACTCTGGTTTTCTTGGGTTGGTGTTTATCACTAGTATCACTTCACAATATATAATAAGTAGGCCAGTAGAAAACTAACGTAACCCGTGAGCGAGTGGATCATGTAAGCCAGCGGATCACCTACCAAACTACCCTACCACGAAAATATATATAAAATAACCACCAACCAATATATTCAATTAACACTGTTCACACATTAGGGCATCTAGTTCTCTTATGCCCTATATTCCAACAATTTGAACACCTCGGCGGCGCTCTCTGACTGGCCGAATTCGCTACCGCAGCCGCCGCTGAATTGTCTATGATCTCTGCTTCAACACCATTTGCCTCCTTCTCAATACGCTCCTGAGCCTCACCAACAGTCATCCCACCATTATTAGCTATTCGCCGATTTGGTAATGCTATTTTTCGCTCTTGGTGGGCATTTTCAGCGCGTAACCGCTCATTCTCATTGCTTACTAGAGCAACCTGATGAATTGCTTGTTCAGCGCCCTTGATTAGCTGCTGTAACGCAATCTTAGCAGGACTTGGGAGCGTATATGAGCGTTGCCGTAGTAGTACTTTGATTGAAGAAGCCTGCCGTCGGATATCAACTGGATGAATTGGCGTGCGAGGTATGAAATCGCGGCTACTATCACTACCACGGCTGGTTTGGAGGGTTTGGTGTTCGAAGCTGAATATCAAGAATATTAAGCACTCGCTGTGGCTCATATGGTATAAGGCCTGCAGCGGCGAAGCTATTTGATATCGTAGCTGGTTTATATGCCTCTGTACGCGCCTGAGGATATGAGGCCAGAAATCAAGCTTATCAATATGATTAACGCCATTTCGCATCTTAGCCTGAACGTGTTGTCCGTATAGCCGTTTCAAAACAACAAAACAGCCAATATCAAGATGTTGAAATAAATGAGAGTGCGGAGGCATACAGATTGGAATAATCTGGTTTTGCTGGCAAATATCGTCGAACTGAGGTGTAACATGGCTTCCGTAGCCATCCATCACTAATAGCCGCCATACCCCATGTCGACAGTTGGTAGTATGCGGAATAAAGTGTTTTTCAAGCAAAGCAAGAATAATTTGATCCGTAGTCCAGCCATTTGCACCAACTTCAAAGCGCCAGTCTCTTGGCGTAGTAGTAAACCACGCTGAGTTGAAGTTTTTGCCTTTAAGATAATAGTCGGCGGGAGAACATTAGATCGGTTAATACACTCGATCGCTGTAATCCACTCTCGATTCCCTGGCTGTATAAGCTTCCTTTTGCCATAGTATTCAGCACGTGTGACTACACGTGAAGTGCTTGTTAGGCCCATTGCGAACCCAGTTTCGTCAAAATTCCAGATATCATTCTCATGAATACCATATTGAATGAGGCAGCAAAAAAGAGAGATTGTTGATACACCTAATAAGGTATATTCCTACTGCTTACTATACCTTCTTATACTGACTCTTCTCCTCTCTTTCTAGGTCCGAAACCTTGCTGTCTATATTAACGCGAGTCCTCAACGCCGGGAGGCATTCTGCAGTCTTCAAACCGAAGAGCCAAAGCTTGTTCCAATCCAGGATGTACGAACTTGCTGGAACTCAACCTTTTTGATACCTCGACGTGCTAAACGACTACAATCAATATTCGATGAGTTTTGTTCCCAGTACAATCAGGAGCACTTTGCGAAGAGTGGCCACAGATTGAATATTTTCTCTGGATCACCCAACCTTTCTTCAAATTCACAGCCCTTCCTTCAAAGACTAGGGATGTTAGTATCCATCTAGTCTTTAGCATCTACAATAAGCTCTTTGATCATCTTGAAAGGTCTCAAAAGGCGTTGGAACAGAAAGAAGTTGCTTGGAAGCAGCAGAGAAGAAGTTTTCACAATATTACAGTATGACCGACACAATTGACAGCAATCTCTACGCAATTGGTACAATCCTCTCCCCGCAGCAGAAGCTTCAATTTTTTGAAGGGAAGGCCTGGGATGATCCAGATAATGATTGGCGTGCAATCTATCGAGCAAGTCTTAAAGATTACCTTGACGTCTACAAGCGACGCCATTCAGATGCACAATCAATATCTAAAACCCGATCATCTGTAGTGGCTATATCGGAGTTTGAGATGGAATGTGTGGCAGAAGGGTTCCAGGACTTTGTCTGGTGAATCTGATGAGCTAGAAGAATACCTCGAAAGTGGTAACTAAGTGATAATTCTCTATTGTATAACCTAGACTAACTTCCATTATAGGCATTGCGCGAACGCCTATTCGTGTGTTGGAAGGATCATCAGCATCAGTTTCCAGCCCTTGCAAAACTTGCCCGCGATGTGCTTTCGATACCTGCAGCAGGAGCAGGTGTAGAGCGGCATTTCAACTCCGCCCGGGATGGCTGTCACTACCGGCGAGGCTCTCTGAAGCCGTCAACAATCCAAGATCTTATGATGTTCATGTGTACATCAAGGTTTGAGATTGAAGAGGGCCGACGAGCGTTGATCAATGAATATCTCTCTTGTGAAGAGATACAGGCTAAACAGGAGGAAAAGGATACAACCCTTCACTATCTTGAACCAATCAGTGATATTGACGAGGGTGATGATCATGATTGTGATGAGGGTGATATTGATAATGTTGTCCTTGATATTGTTCAACCCCCTCATAAGAAGGCTCAAAACAAAGCGGCGACAAAGCGCTATATCTGAGCTAGAAGATGGAGAGCAGGATACTCATGAGGATGATGCTCCCCCTTACCTAGCCGGCCCCACGTAATTTTTACCAAAATTACTGGACCCTCGCTTGCGAGGGTCCGACACCCAAACAAAAAACGACCCCCACAATATAAATTATCACAGCATCCGACTTTGACACCCAAATTACCCACATTTACATTAGAATTACTAGTAATTGAGGTCTCAATATGTGTATTCATAGGACGAACAATAAATAAAAAAAATTTCAGCGCTTCAAACGGCGTCCTGACTGCCTACAGTGCCGTTTTAGTTCAATCATAACCTTCTTCCACTGGGGCCGCAGTTTATCAATTGCCTCCAAATCAGTCAGCTTTTGTTTATCCCGCTTCATTTTCGCCACATTCGCTGAAGAAATAATGCCTCTTGATAAAACCTGTTCTTGATACACCATAACGTGCATGGCGTGCAGCAGTTGCAGCTTTTGATGTCTCAATCTCTCGGTGTGCCTCCTCTAGCTGATATGCACATGATTGTGCCCCCTTTGAGAGCTTTTTGACAATATTTTCATAATGAGAAATATCCTTGTTTAACGTCAAAAGCCTGCTCTCAAGTCTCTGAAATCGTTGAATTGTTTTGGGTGTGCTGATATTTGTTGAATTGGATGAATTGGTTGAGGGGGATTCTGGCACTTCAGGATGATTATAATCCACCAGAGTATCACACACAATATTAGGATTTATTGGCCAGATGCCAGATAATTTGAACCCAAGACGAATTGTGCGTAATGTAAAAGTTTTGGTGCGAATTGATGAAATTGCAGCCAAAAAATCAATCTTTGAAAACTTTGTACAGCCAGTTGCGGTTGCTGATTCAATGGCCTCGCTGTGATAGTGTTTATACACATTAAAAACACCAACATCAAGAGGTTGTAGAAGATGGCTTGTATGTGGAGGTAAGAAGAAAAGTAAAATCTTTTTATCTTCAAAATATTTGACCATCTCATATGTCAAATGTGAGCTAAAGCCATCACATATGAGCATCCTCCAGGAACCTTTCATGCGTGCTCTTGTTGCCTTTTCAAAATGCTGAATCCACTGATAAGCAAGTTGATCATTTATATAGCCAGTCTCAGTGGTAGCAATATGCTCCTCATTCTTCAGATCATCAAACCAGCGAAATTGGAGCTGTGCAGCAGCAAGAATAATCAATGGTGGAACACAAAACCCATCTGTTGAGATTGCTTCAACCACAGTCACATATTCACGATTTGTATGGTTGCCAGAAACAATTTTTCGCCTAGGTTCACGTGTAATGATCCATTGGTCTTTTCCAATACCAATTTGGAAGCCTGTTTCATCAAAATTATATAGATCTTCAGGTTGAATACCATATAGATCAAATGCATTTTGAAACCTTTGAAACCACTCCTGAATCAATGATTTGTCATGTGCATGAAGACGTTCAATATCAAGGCTTTTTCGACGTCGGATATTGTATTTAGGATGTCGTTGTAGGAAGCGTTTGAGCCATTTTTCACTCAGTGGTGGTGAGGATGGGTTTGCGAGTTTCAAAATTGAAGTTGCAGCTGCCACAATTTGTGTACGCTTAACTGGTAATCCTAGACTATCATTATAGTCTATCCAGCCACATAAAGCTTTCTCTTGGGCAGGATCAAGCTTCCGACCATTAGGTTCACGTTCAAATAGTGATTTTTTGCCCTGATAGCGGCTACGGAGCCGTTGATAAGGCACATCAAATTCACGCGCAACTTTTGAGATATTTGGCCGAGATTGGGTATGTAGTTTTTCCAGCGCTTTTTCAATCAGTTCCTCAATTTCCTTGTTTGTATGAGGCATATTGGTGGCGTGGGAGGATGCTGAAGTGGAAGTGTAGCTTTTTGAAGAGATTTATATTGTGGGGGTCGTTTTTTGTTTGGGTGTCGGACCCTCGCTTGCGAGGGTCCAGTAATTTTGGTAAAAATTACGTGGGGCCGGTTAGTATGCAAAATCGACATTCAGGGAGAGTTCGAAAGCGCTCAAGGCTTCTTCATGAATATGAAACCCCTTAGCTGTATATAGAATAGACCTCGATAATAACATATATCAGAATCACTGATTTTACATTAATGAACACCATACGATTACTCTTTGAAATCCTAATCTCGAAAACAAAATACTCAAAAGATACAGCTGTAACCTACATATTATATGCAATCCCAGGACTTTTTGTGTTTGTCATGTTTGCGGCCCTCGAGACATTTCGAGGGCCACCCTCAGAGGGCGGGCAAAAGACCTGCCTGGCCCGGGGCAACGGGGAGGTCTAGTTAAGTCTTCTAAATTTTTATTATTCACAAGAATATATTAATTAAAATGTGTCAGCATTCGCTGGTATCCGACGACAAAGCAAGTTGACTGATGCTAAATCATATAACCAGGAATGTGTGGAGGAAGAGTGAGACCAGTCAAAGAGATAGAACTGTCTGATTAACTAATGATGTAACTAAGTAGATGTATATAGACCGAAAATAGAACAAATAGTGCAAACAAAATATGCAGTGAAAAGGGGCGCGAACAGGGGTAGTTCGATACATTAAACGCCATGCATCTAATGTGGCTTCAATATATTGGATGCCACTCATAGGGAAGGTTCAGTATTCAGAACTTCGGATGAACTATCGGCCGTCACTCCCAAGGGTAATCACGTGTGATTTCCCGACAAAATGTGTTTTAATTCTTTATTCTAACTGGTGAATATCTTTATTTTCTTAATTTACACTATATTTCACGATGTAAAAAGTAATATAGGATAGACATATATTAGTCTTTTGTAATTATAAACTAGGACTTGGAACCTACAGATATATAATATATTTATTCGATTTTTATAGTTTAAAATAATATACTAGATTTTAATATTTTAGAATTCAGAATCTCACTATATCTATAATTCTGAAATCTAAAGAATATATAACTTTAAACTCCTTTAAAAGGACAAAATTATAGACTTTTTCTATATTTTTAAGTATTACTCTCTTGAAGATGAAAACTAGCCCTGTCTCTGTTATCAGTCATTGTGTCTAAAATGACTATCAATATAAAATTTACTACTTAACTGAAATATATAGAACTAGTTAATTATAAAGATATTATGTTCTCTCTATAGGTAAACAGATGTCATAAATTATTGATAGAGAATAGAGTCCTAAGAAAAGAGTAATATTTTTTGCTAACTATTTTACTATATTGATATAATTAAATTATTTCATCTTCTATAATTAATATTTATGATTAAGGTTAAATTAGATTCGAATAGGGTTTAAATATCTTCATCCTAAAATTAAGATAGTTTCTTAAGATTATATTATATATATGTCGGCATCCAGGGTCTATGACAGTGTTGAGTCATGTGCTGGACCGATGATACTTTAGGGTTGAGACGAATCACAGACTATTCGCTCGAGGACGGGCTTTGCCTCGAGGGGTCGAGTCGCAGGGGTTGAGATTCACCTAGAATTCGCCTGATCATCTTGCTATGATCAGGAGCAGTCTTAAATAACACAAACAAAGACGTAAACACAACAAACAGAAGTAACGCATGCAGTAAGCAAACAAGCGGTGTAAAGTGGGGTAACTGATATATCTCATTCATCTGCTGGATGCCCCTCGGATGAACCCGCACTCATCTGACAGCATTATTTCGGCCGAAATGAGGAATATGGCCAGTTGATCAGGTGATAACTATTGATCGCAGCCTTAGAAGTCAGGTGTTGTTGAACTACTTTGACTTCCAACATGGGGTTTATTTGATCAAATGGGACCGATATACTCGAGATGGAACCCCATCAGAGATTATTCATTCGGCTAGTCATATCTCACGAACGCCATCGCCCTCGACCCAGCGTTCAATTCAATCTCCATCTAATCAGATCAACGATCTCAAGATTGAAGATCAATCGAATGATCTCGAGATTATAGATCAATCTGATCTCAAACCACATACGGCGAATAACTCATTTCGGCCCAAAAAACTCAGTGGTTCATATGATCTTTGGCATCAAAGACTCGGACATGCTGGAAAAGACGTTTTATCTCATCTTCAGATCATGCAGAGAACATCTTAGTTGACTCGAACTCGATACTATCTGATATCTGTGAAACATGCAAAATTGGATGATCTAATCGACAGATTTCTCGACGACCTTTCGAGTACACCAGACCATTTGAAGCTATCCACTGGGACTTATCTTTGTTTGGCAAATCAGCTGCCAAAACGAACTATCTGTCTCATTCCGTTGACCCAGTAACGAAGTATCAGATTGGTGAAGATATTACTCGAAAAACAGACTCGCCCGAATCACTGATCGCTCAGATTAATTTTATCGAAAATCAATTTCATCTGAAGATTCAGACTATTCACTGCGATGGAGAACGATCACTCATTCCGTCTATCACATATGAGGTCAGAAAACGTGGTATCAGATTCGAGACTACGCCACCGTATCAACCTGAGCAAAATGGTTATGCAGAACGCTATGGCGGTATGATCTCATCGATAGGAAGACAGATGTTGATTCAAGCGAATCTACCATCGAATCTTTGGCACGAAGCGTGCAAAACAGCAATCTATATCCAGAATCGAATCCCACATCGATTAATCAGCTGGAAATCGCCGTTTCAGAAACTATATGAAGAACTCGAACCAGAACAACGACCATCCTGGCTCACGAATAAACCTGATCTATCGAATCTTAGAGTATTCGGATGTAAAGCTTTCGTCCGGATTAATAACATTCCACGACTCGAAAAAATGAACCCTCGAGCAGAAATCGGCTATCTAGTCGGTTATACGCCTCGAATATCTGGAGAATTTGGATGCCTGAAAAAGGAAGGGTGATAAGGGCCCGAGACATCGAATTTGATGAGAGCCAGTTCTATCGGCCTAATCACCCACCATCCAATAACATCAGCATTATCAACGATCAATCTCAGCAGATTGGATTACTCGAAGATGATGAAACGAATCGAATCCTCGAAGATATTGATATACCTGATCTTTCTGAATCATCAGAACCGACAAACGGAAATCAAACGGATCCACAAGATCTAATTCTTGGTGATATACCAGAAACGCCACCTGATTCTGGAAAATCAGATGAATCAGATGATCGAGATGATCAGATTAGTCAGGAATATCAAACTGACCAAGAAGACGAAACAGATCAAAACACAGCAATCCAACCATTCGTTCTGATCGATAACTCGAATATTAATATATCAGACTATCAACCGCTCACTTTCAACCAATCCCAGAAACGTGATCGATCTGATTCACCATCACCAGACGAACCAGAAGGAAAACATCAACGTGTCAACCCGATACCATTCATCCGAGCGTTCTCAACACATCAGATTGATCAACCTAAGAAAGTGGCAATTTCCGCAATTCCACCAGCACCATCAAATTACTCGAAACTTGCGAATCACCCTTTCCGACGACAGTTCCTCGAGGCAATGGAAACTGAGTTTGCGAAATTAGTTCAGATGCAAGCATTCGTCCCATACACAATCAAAATTAATCTCCCTAGGATTCACATATTATCCAGATGATCCATGCCTATATTCAGATAGGAAGATGATTATTATGGTGTTTGTTGACGATTTCCTCGCGATCTAGATACTCGACATGCGATCGAGATCAAACGAAAGCTGCAGGAACAATTCGAGATGAAAGATTGTGGTGAACTTACTCAATTTATAGGTATCCGAATAACACGAGATCGAGTGAATCGGAAAACATGGCTCGATCAATCGGCGTATATCGAGAAGATAACGGCCAAGTATCACCTACTTCACCATCGAACTCTTCGAGTGCCGCTTTCATCTGATAACCTTAATTTGACATCAGATCAAGAGAGATCAAATCAAGAGAGATTAGATGATAAGCTCATTAATCTCTATCAACAGAAATGCGGCTCTACCCTCTTTCCCGCTATCTGGACTCGACCAGATATTGCATTCGCGAATCAGCTTCTCGCGAGATTTCTCACAAAACCCACAGAAAAACACATGAGCGCGGTCGATCATCTAATCTCATATTTATATGGGACGAGAGATCTTGCTATATGTTATGATGGGATGAGAGAATATGCTGAAGTGTTTCACCGCAGCATCAGATGCGAGCTTCGCTGATAATCCAGATCGAAAGAGTTCAGAAGGATTTATGTTCTGTTTGTTTGGCGGCCCGATTGACTGGATGGCCCGAAGACAGAGAACGATAACAACCTCGACCACAGAAGCAGAACTACTAGCCCTTTCACAGGCTAGTAAACAGCTATATTGGACTGTTCTCTTTTATCGAATTTGACCCAGAGCATCAATTCCTTATCAGATGTGATAACAAACAGACTGTTGACCTGATAACACGAGAACGATCAATTTTCCAGACTAAATTACGTCATGTTGATATCCACCGACTCTGGATTCGACAGGAGGTTCAGGCTAAGCGACTCACTATTAGATGGGTCCAATCATCTGAAATGATCGCTGATGGTCTGACGAAGCTATTCTCGAGAGAAACATGCTAAATGATGGAACAAACTCGAGATCCTTGATCTCAAAAAGAAAAGAGAAGGTATGTTGGAAGTCAAAGTAGTTCAACACCTGACTTCTAAGGCTGTGATGTAATCCTGATCAGCTCACTGGGGAATAAGAGAGTTAGCTCGTGTGTAAAGGGGAAAGTACGAAATTTATCCCGCTTTCGCTTATATTATTTGTCTGCTTGTTTGCTTCTATTTTGGTCTATTTATATGAGATTGATTCCAACGTTAGCTAGTTAGGCAGTTGAATGTTCTCATCTC